CAGGTAGACTTCAAATCGGCGTACCTCAATGCCAAAATGGATGAAGAACTCTACGTGCGACTACCTCATGGGTTCCAAGGAGCAAACTCCCCTGCTGTCGTCGTTCCCCTTCTGAAGTCGCTCTATGGAGCAGTACAAGCCGGCCACAACTGGTGGCAAGAATTAGACGGCGCGTATAAGGACCTAGGATACAAGAGATCAGAGGCCGACCAATGCGTACGATCCCGTCGAGACGAACGTGGGGAGACTCACACTGGAACATACACGGACGACACCGCGGAAGGGTCCTCGTCATTGGAAGAGGCAGAGCGCGCCAAGAGGGAAATCGGGGAGAGATACGCGATTAAGGTCACGGACCAAGTGGAATTCTCCTTGGGGATGAAGCTTGAGCACAACAGAGAAGAGGGAATCGCTTCGCTATCCATGCGCGGATACCTCGAACGTCTGCTCGAGCGCCACGGGTTCAGCGACATGAAGCCAAAGGCAACGCCGTTCGCTCTGGGAACTGAACTATCGAAGGAAGGAGCGCCAGCGACTGATGCGCAAAGGGATTTCATGCGCGACAAGCCGTACGATGTGATTGTGGGGGGCCTACAATTCGCTGTAGGCGCGATGCGGCCAGACCTCGCCTATTCGGTTAACGTTCTGAGTCGCTATACTCGCGACCCCGGCCCCTCTCATTGGAAAGCTTTAGTGCATGTTCTGGGGTACGTAAAGGGGACCCTTGATGTTGGCATCACCTACAGAAGAGACGTCAAGGACGGGATGGTCCCAATTACTTACGTCGACGCGGACTTGGGAAAATGTCCTGACACTGGGCGATCGACGATGGGAATCCTCACCAAGATGGCAGGAGTGCCAACGTTCTGGATGTCCAAGCGCCTGGACATCACGTCCATGTCGACAGTAGAGACTGAGTATATCGCACTCAGTCGAGGCTCGCAGCAGGCCATCTGGACGTACAGCTTCATGTCTGAGTTAGGATATCCACAGCCGTTGCCCATGCTGCTCTACAACGACAATAAAGGCGCACTCACAGTATCAGAGAACCCAACATATCATGCGCGCACCAAGTACATCGGGCTGCGCCATCATCGCATTCGCGAACTCATAAATCCAGGAGCCAGAGGCATCAAGCAACTCTCGGTTCAGTATGTCGCGAGCGAGGAGAATCCGGCGGATATCCTCACCAAAAGCCTTTCTACAACCGTACATGCAAGGCAACTCGAGCTCATGGGAGTCAGTCGCAGCGTTGCTTGATCCAGGGGAGTGTTGGAGAATAGAGGATCACACACCGACCACTTAGCGCATAAGCGCTACTTCCTTTTCCTTATTTAGTTTATAACCTTCCTTTTCCGTCAGTTCCGTAGATATAAATTTCGTTTCGACCCCTTTCCGCCTCCTCAGCTTCAAACATATTGCTCGATACGCTGAGGTAGGCTTATCCCATATTCATACCGTCTACAGACCAGTTACTTATTGATTATCCACTGTAGAACTCACGCTTATCGTGCACATTCTACAGGTATGTATTTGTATAGGAATATATCGAGCTTCGAACATATTGCTCGATACGCTGAGAACTCACGCTTATCGTGCACATTCTACACGATGAAATACCCAGAAGCCCTTGGATTGGGTTAGGGAATGTTTGTTGCCAGTACTTCTCGGAACCAGTGCATCAACCAGGCGAATGCACTGCATGCGTGCTTCAGGCATGGTACATAGGCAAATACAGCGGCGGCGAATAAATAAAAAACATTGTGTCGTCAAGTTATGCATGTAGAATGCGTGAGTAATTAGGAACGTATTCTCAGCGATTCCGACAGTATAGTCGAAGCTGAGGATGCGGAAGTGAAAATGAATGTTTTTATATGTGATCGAAAGAGGAAAGGAGAAATAGCGCCCAAACCGCTTAACCGTTGAGTGTGATCCATCTTCAACACTCCCCTGGATCAGACGCTACGGTTGATCCCCATGAGATCGATCTGGTTCCAATGGGCGTTGGCCGACAATGACTTCGTAAGAATATCCGCCGGGTTTTCTGCGCTAGCGACATATTCGACGGCGAGTTTCTTTGTTGCACCCTCTTCTTCTGGATTCACAAGCTCGCGAATCTTCATGAAACGACTATCGATGTGTTTGGAACGCGCATGGTCGGAGGGATTCTCGCATATACTGAGAGATCCTTGGTTATCGTTGTAGACAACCATTGGTAGCTGTTGAGGGTACCCTAATTCCGCCATGAAGTTGAAAGTCCAAGTTGCTTGTTGTGCTCCACGGCAGAGGGCCATAAATTCGGCCTCAACAGTTGACATAGCCATGGTGTCATGGTGTTTTGACATCCAGAACGTGGGTGCCCCAGCCATCTTCGTCAGAACTCCCATGGTCGAGCGTCGAGTATCCGGGCACCCGGCGTAGTCGGCATCGACATAGGTGATTGGAATTAAGCCGTCTTTGACATCACGCCTATAGGTGAGCCCGAGATCCAGAGTTCCTTTGACGTATGCGAGTACATGCACCAATGCTTTCCAATACGATGGACCAGGATTCCGGGAGAACCGACTAAGAACATTGACAGAATATGAAAGGTCGGGGCGCATGGCTCCTACTGCGTATTGCAGACCTCCAACTATGGTGTCATAGGGTTTGTCCTTCATGAACGTGAGCTCTTCGTCGGTTGAAGGGGCGCCTTTCTTGCTTAACACTGTACCAAGCGCGAAAGGAGTGGTCTTCGGTTTGATGTCCGAGAATCCGTGTCGATCTAAGAGTTGTTCAAAGTATGCCCGCATGGACAAACTCGCCATGCCTTTCTCTCTGTCGTGTGTCAGTCGCATTCCAAGCGAAAATTCGACATCATCGGTAACCTTGATTGGGAACCTTTTGCCAATCTCCCCCTTTGCCCGTTCTGCCTCTTCTTTTGTGGACGAGGCTCCCGCTGTGTCGTCGGTGTAAGTCCCTGTGTGCGTCTCGCCTAGTTCAGAGCGTCGTACCCTGACACATTGGTCTGCAGTTGATCTGATGTAGTCGAGTGCCTTGTATGCGTTATTGAGCATCTTCCACCAAACGTTTCCTGACTGGACAGCCCCATAAAGTGCGCGTAGTAGTGGGAGGACGACTTCAGGCGAGTTTTCGTACATGAAACCTCTTGGGAGTCGAATCCAGAGCTTCTCCTCGAGTTTAGCGTTAAGGTATGCCGATTTGAAGTCAATTTCCCAGATGAAGAAGTCGAGAGTGACCCATACAGCCAGAAGCATGCGTAAGGATTCTAGACGCATGACACTGGCATATTTCTTATAATAATCTCTCCCCTCGACCTGATGCTGACCTTGGACAACTAGGCAGGCGAGGTGTCCATGTAGTCCCATTATAATACCTAGTGGATTATCCAGCGATAGGTATTATAATGTGCCACTATGTAAAACCCCCCATGGAGGTATTGTAATGCGGATAGATGGTTTGTAGGCGGTATTATAATGTGAATTATAATGTCGAAGCCAGTGACGCAATGCTTGATTGATTGATCGCGTGGCTATAATCATTGCATCTAATCTTATCGTACACTGGAGCACTCAATGATTCGGATCAGCACTCTCGCTTTCCCCGCTACGCCCCCCTCCTCCGCCCTTTGCTGTTCTTGACTGCTGGGCCAACAGTCAAGTAGCGAAGCAACAAGAAACAAGCATTGACACTCAGATATCAACAACTGTACCCCAGCTTTCGGAACTTCAACATTGTTCAACTCCCAGGATCCCGCCGCCCAGGCCATTTGTATTTGTAGCTCTCGTTGAGCTCACGGTTCATATTTCTCTTACTAATAAGCTTGATACCTATAGTCTAACCCTATGTGCAAGACCAACCAACTCGTTCTAAAGTTGGTTCCGACTACGGGGAATCCTGGGTTGTGCTTGAGGCACACTGTCGCACTACGCCTTGAGGTAGGCCGCGGCAGGCTCCTCATACACCTACTTAATGTCAGGTAGCACATGAATATATACATGTTTAGGCTACTTGTCCACCCAGTTAAAAGATTATGCAAAAAGATTGTACTGCGCCGAAAGTGAGTTGAAAGTGAGTTTATGGCATTATGCACCAATTGCATGAGTTGAATGCTTCGCCTTTTAGCGCATTAGTCTGACCTTTTCAATAGTGGCATCGAGAGCACGATCGTGCTGATTTTTTATATTAGCATGGTCATCCAATCGTTCTCTTATGATTCTAGCTCTCCGATCTGCATTATATTGTCCTTTACCCTAGATATGTTCACATCAGTTCGGTTTTCCCCCCAAGCGCACATTTGACGCCCGTCCAACTGGCTGCCGCTGGAGGATTCTGCTCTCAATCAATGTGGTCCGTTCTCTTGAACCCTACTCCGAAATGTTTGATAAATCAACGGTTACACTCCATATGGCACTCATTGATCCTCCTCCAAAATCATGCAGAACAGAAAATATTGGGTATAGGTGCGTCTGGTTGGGTTGGATTGTACTTGATTGCGACCTTCAGCATATTCAGTAACTACTTGGTAATCATCACCCTCTCACAGGACGAACCCCGGCAAGCTGCAGCTGCCAGACCGTTTTAACTCTACCTGAATGTTTGTTTTCTTCGGAACACGGAACACGAGGCTGCTACCGAGAATTTACAGGCATCATGAAGACTTCCCAGGGTTGTCATTCAACGACAGAATACATTATAATGCCTACAGCAGGGAGGCGCACATTATAAGATGAACCAGGAGGCGGAATTATAATTCAGGTACGTACTAGTGACTCTGACATTGTAATGTGGACTGAGGGGGTTCAACAAGCAGACACATTTTAATGTGTCTCCCTGGAGAATCCACAAGGTATTATAATATAGCTACATGGACTATTGTATATGTAGGGGATTATCCCGAGCAGTGCTTGGTTACAGGCGCGTTTAACGGTGACTGCCCAGTCTGTGAATGTCCAAACAACGAGCTGGGGGAGTACCCATGTACCCACCTGTACCGGACCATGGGCACGGCCTTCGCTGCTCTTGAGCACAGTAACCAGCACGATTACGCGAGGATCTGCAAGTCACGACGCCTCAAACCACTTCGTGATCCATTCTGGGAGGACTTACCATTTGTCAATATCTTCACTGCTATCACCCCAGACATTCTGCACCAACTCCACCAGGGCGTCATGAAGCATCTTATCTCCTGGATAACGTCAATCTGCCATCCTGAGGAAATTGACGAGCGTGTCAAACGTCTGCCACCGAACCATAGTATCCGAATATTCCATAAAGGGATCACCTCGCTTTCGCATGTAAGCGGAACTGAGCACAAGCAAATAACTAGTTTCTTGCTTGGTCTACTCACCGACATTCCCCTTCATAATCAGTACGCAACAGCAAGATCTCGCCTCATCTCTGCGACAAGGGCACTGCTTGATTTCCTCTATCTTGCCCAGTACCCCGTACACTCGGATACTTCTCTGTGACTGCTCGAGGCTTCACTTGAGGCCTTCCATCAGACTAAAGACATCTTCAAAGTGCTTGGAGCTCGAGAAGATTTCAACATACTAAAGCTGCACTCACTCGTTCACTATGCACGTGCGATCAAATTGTATGGGACAACCGATAACTATAGCACGGAGTCCACTGAACGCTTACACATTGACTTTGCAAAAGATGCATATGCGGCCACAAACCACAAGGACGAGTTCCCACAGATGACAGCATGGCTGGAACGGCGTGAAAAAGTTCTCTTCCATGAGAAATTCATTGAATGGAGGTTGACAGCAGCGGCTACTGCACATCCATCACCAGGCTATTGGGAGCCTCCGGACAGAAGCCTCGCGCTCTCTCATCATCTGACGAAGCATCCCACACGCAAGGCAGTCCCCATTGAACTTATATCTTCGCCATCTGGATATGGGGCTACATTCTTTCGCTCTGCTTTGGCTCGATACCTTATCCACGAAAAACACCCATTGCTATCCCAGCGAGAAGTTACTGAACAAGCAAGCGATCACACCATACCATTTGACTCCCTCCCTGTCTTTCACAAGCTCAAATTCAAACTCTCCGATAACGAAGACACCTACAATGCCATTCATGCGTACCCCGGCCGTCAACTTCCAAAAAAGGGCGATGTTGCGATTCCACAACGATTCGATACTGCACTTGTCAGAGTCGCTGACAAGACAGTCGGGTCATCCTCAATAACAGGTTTGAATGATGGGCCCTCTGATCTACACATATCTGATTCTATCCTATTAGGTCTTCGTGTCGGTAGAGTCCGACTCATCTTCGCAACTCCCAAGATATACTCTGCCCAGAGAGCATCCAGAACTGCTGAGGAAGTCAACCACCTTGCCTACATCAAGTGGTATTCACCACTTACCAGGCTCCCGGATGCAAACTACCGCATGTACACGATCAGCCGCATCGCAAACGAGGCTTCTGTGGTCCCGGTATCAGCAATCAAGCGAAGCATACATTTGTATCCTAAGTGGGGAGGGCCGGTGTGCCGTGAGTGGACGAGTTCAAACGTTCTTGACCAATGCTCCACGTTCTTCGTCAATCCGTTCAAAGATCACCATACGTATTTCAATGTAACTTAGGTTTGACCGTGGGAATACTAACTAATGCATTTTCAACAAAGCTTGAACCATACGCCGGTTATTCACAAACAAGCATGATCAAGGACGAGGACAACGACAGCAACCATGTTCCCGGTCAACGACAAATAGAAAGCGATACCACATCGCCTCGCTACTACCTCGGACTCGAATGGCCCAAACATTTTCCTCCACCTTCTTCGTTCAAACGTGACCCCACTTGGCCCGTCACACAAACACTCACCGCCCAACGAAACGAGATCGAACTCTTTTGTGGTGATGACCTCCATTTCGACCTATATCAACTCCTACACCCTGTTCCTCATTCATCTACCCAGCACAATCACACCACTCGGATCTCAGGAGAGCGCGTCAACTCGGACTCACTCGGGTGTGCGCAGATCAACTGCAACCAAGACAGCAAATCGGACTCAGGGGAGGATATACTGGAAGTTAAGAGAGATGAGGTTGTGCCGTCATCTGTGGACGGGGAAGAGGATGCTGTTAGTGTTTGCCTACTAGGTTCAGATGATGAGCAACTGGTGAGTGTCGCCTGCTCAAACAAGGATCCTACCCTAACGCTTAGGCTCGGAACTACCCCAGTGCTCACCAGGCATACCCACAACTCCTACGACCCCACAAATTGACCTTCCGCATGTTGATCGTGACACTTCGTCCGTCCACTCTGAATTAATACATCGGCATGCCATTCACCAGGCCGCCAAACTTGCATCGCAAATTCACGCCTTGAGTCAGATACACTCGCAGCTCATCAAACGACGGCAGCGTCTTCTCCAACATGCCGGCCTCAATCGATGATGCTACACATCCGGAAACACATCGTCACCGACTCTGTAAGGGGACACTCCTATTTTCCCCTTTTCCCCCTGTCCCGTCCCCTTCCTCCTCGTCCCTTTCCTCTTTCTTTCATTCCCTTTCCTTTCCTTTCGTCCCCTTTCCTTTCCGCTTCCCTTCCATTCACTCCCTTCGCATCCGAGCCTCGTCCGGTGACTCCGAAGTCTTCCCGCGCTTCGGATGCCTCGGACTCGCTCGGACTCGCTCGGACTCGTAGATACACTTTGGGGCTCGTCCGGGCTACCTCCATCTTCCTTTCCCACTTTGTTATTCCTTGTCCCCACTCCCCCAGGTCGCTGGCACGGCTCCTGTACATTCCCCTTCCACTTCATTATCACATGCCCCCTCGTACCTTGTGATATTTGTTCGTACCTGTGGCTGGTGTACTGTACAGTTACCCTTCATTCCTCCCACGCTACTACAGTATATACTTCGCTTCCTAGCATGGAGAATCCCCATCCTGTTCTCTTTGGATTCTCCCTCTGCTAGGTGAGCAGCTCTCTCATGTATTGTAGTTAGTCTTATTCATTTCTTTGGATTCTCCCTCTGCTAGGCCTGCGCTGTCGGCCATCTTGAGGTTGCCCTTACAGACTCGCTTCACCTTCACTTACCCATGTATTAGTTTACTGCAAATTCTATGAATTGACCAGAATTATCAAGATCATACCCATGAAATATAATTCCGGATAAGTATCCGATAAACACTGAGATGATAATACAACGTAGTCCCAAATAGCGGCAATTCCCCAGATTGACACTTACTTACAGCAATTCTGATAAGTGCGGAGAATTCTGACGAAATGCGTGGGGGAGGTTTTTCCTGATGTTAATCCGCAACTCTGACAGTTGTTTGCCGCCATCGGAGGGTGGCGCTCTAGTCAAGACACCTTTGAGTACAGTAAGCAGCGGGAAGTTAAACACCTACTTCCGCTTAAGATTGGTAGATATCAATGAAGTGGGTAACAAGTCGTCCATGACCGTGACTGACATCCATGCGTACAGCAAGAGCCACGTAAATTCCAAGCATTCGTGTATCGTCTCGCAATTGCAGAAGGAGGTTGCTACCCGAGCACATCGTTCCAAGCTCTGAGGAGAGACAAAATCGACTGCAATTTCGATGCAGGACGTTATGTTGGACACCTGGGGCCATATATATCATAAATAAGAAAGAAGGGAGAAGAAGCGCATACCTGGTGGGCACACCCTGCTGGAATGAAGACACAGTCACCTTGATTTTGCTCGAACGTGTATGGTTTAATGCCTTTGGTTTCCAAAACGTCCAGCAACTCGGGCGTCACATATAGCTGATGCGAATTAATGGGGTCGGCCAAGTCACAGTGATGTTTCAAAATTTGTCCGATTGCATCTGCGTCGTCGCTACGGAAAATGTGCCACAAGGCCCTGCCAGATGCCATGATGTTTACAGTGTCTGCCATATCCATGTGCAAACGAGTACTGCCGTGGTGGTGATTGTCATGCTTACTCGCAGTTGCAGCGTAGACCTTCGGACCTATATATGCATTTCTATCAGTCATCTTCGTGTTTTCAAGAATCTATGTACACATTACCGATGTCCGGTTTGCAATCGTATTCTAATGGATACATGGCCGCCAGGTTTAGTGGACCATCGTCGTAGGTGTACATTGGGACGGGGAGAGCACTTTTGAAATCACGAGCTAATATCGGTGATTTATCTTTGAATAGCATGTCTTCTGGATAATCCTACATATACGGTGTAATGAAGGCGGAGGTAGACGGTGAAGGCATAGGCAGACTCACCTTGAGCTTCAAGGGAGGCCCGTCTGCCGTCTTTGATTTCCCCAAGTTCTGCAAGAATGTATTTATCGTTGTTCTCTTTATACGATTTGTTTCACATTCGACAATATCACAAGCGTCGTCTCCAAGAAAAGAAGAGAGCCCTGTTGGAGACCAGTCATACAATAGCCCAGGCGCTCCACGAACCATCAATGGCAAGCCCTGGGACCAGAGGATCTCGAAATCGTCTTGGGAGCATTCACCCTCTACGACATGGATGCCACTCTCTGTGGTGATCCGAGCGGTATTAATCACCTTCGCTAGCGAGGCACTACCTGCAGAGGTTTCGGTTTCGAGGCGATTTTGTGGGATACATCCCAAGTCCTGGTGCAGACGTCGAAGGTTGGGAATGGACATCATCGATGCAAGCACCATTGGGGAGCACTCGCAGCGATCGTCGCAGAGCGGCCTGGACGAGTGGCATGTCAAGCAGCACATTGCGCCGCAAACCTGGCAAATCCAAGCTACTAGCCCCATAGTCCACTCACAGCGATCTGCCACTTAACATATGAATCGTGACAGTCCCATAAACCTGACGCAGCATACCACATGTAATCGCCATGCTCAAGGACTTCTGCATTGGGACTATGGATTCCTGGGTCGAGTGCTCGTTAATAGCCTCCAGCGCCTGTGAGACTATCGGAAGTAAAAGTGGAGCAATTGCAGACTATATGGGGTCAATGACAACGAAATCGACATTGAAGTGAACCCACTTTCATCGTGCTGACGTGCTGACGGGTCATTCAAGGGTTGAAAATGCGAGGGAATTCAATGTCAGGTCGCGTGCTTGCGGATGGATACCAATTAGTGAAATTCCCTCCCCTCAGGTCGGGGGGGCATAGCGAGTCCCTCGCGATCCTTCTCGTCCCTAACGTGAAATGAGATTGAGATCAGAGTCTGCATAGAATTTGGGCAAACCTTTGAATCGACATAAATCTGGGTGAGCGCCCACTCGACATTCCAGGCACTTGGGAAGGGAATTCTTTTGCTTTGAGCTTGCGGGAAACCGGGCACAAGGGCGATCTTGAAGGATCCATGCTTGGGTGTCTTCTTCAAAGTCAGTTAAGTCAGACAAAATATCTCCATTTTCTGACATCTGTGAAACTTTGTAGTAAGGACTGCACGCCCAAGAAGGTAATTGAGTGACTGCTATATATGATACTACTACTAGACCTGTATTACTCACGATAAGAAGTTTGCGGAGGAAGATGTCAAATTGTGGGACGAAACGAGGTTGTTACAGGCATAAGTTTGAAGATGTTTGTATGAAAATGGGTGTTCTTTTTATTACTGTATGGAACTCCAATTTCAATGTTCAACGTTCAACCGTCGAACTCTGACATTGGCACTGAAGCTGTTTTACATTCATTTATACTTGTTAGGATATGCATCACAATAATGTGCGTTAACTGTTACATGCATGCGTGTGTGCATAATTAGATATAATTATAATCGGGTGGTGGTAGAATGCAGAAAGCGAAAAAATTTCTGACGTGTTACATAGTTACTTCTTCGCGCATGCACATTCTGCGTGCTTATTTACATACACTACCAGTATATATAGTACCTATCTACTTACCTATGAGCAATAACAAGAAGTATTTCCTCTCCTCCGTTGCGTTGCGTTGAGTTGAGCCGCACGCGGCGCTGCTTAGTTGCGTCCCGTGCCCCCGTTCCGTTCGCCATGTGGCGTTCGGTTTCCTTTTGTTCTTACTTCGCTTTTGCACACATTCTCTGTCCTCGCATTCACGCCGCGAATTCCACTTCGCGCCTACAATAATTGAATAGACAGAACGGTATATAGATTTATTGGTGTCAAAGCCAAATGAAGTCCAAGAAATGCGAGGGTATATATGCCGTATGTGTAGCCGGTGATGGGGTCAATTCAACAATATTTGATGTGAGAAGGCGAGCCGTGGGTCATGAGATAGTTCTTCAGTATAGGGAAGTCAGCTATGGATGCGTTCATCATTGAAGAAAAGGGATTGTCCCGGTATTTTGCAACAAGAATATTGCCTCGCCACGCTGATGTCTCCTTGAAGGCAGGTCCTTGAATTTCACGGAGAAATTTTTTATGGGGAAAGGTAGACCATCATTAGAGACAGTTGGGTAGAATATGATGTAGGGATTGGTGAATTTGCGGTTCATGCCATCCAACGCCTCCACCAACTAAAGGATTCATGTTAGTTTCACAGCTTCGTGAAGAATGTTTATACGGGCATAGATACCTGGTATTTCCATGCACGTAAACCTAAGTCCTTGGCAATGTAGTCCATGAACTCTTCGGGATGGGGCATACGTGGCAGGTGAAGGGTATTATAAGAATGACGATCTGACACCGGGCTGAAGAAGTGGGTTTCAGAGTAAGGACTATAATTAGAGATAATTATAATGGCTATTACCTGGTCGTTAATGACACCTGTTATAATAGGCGCGTGACAATCATGAGCGGTGGTTCTACCAACACGTCGCCTGTACGCACCATATGTGGTAGACGTCCATCCGAAGGAAACAGAATGGCTTCAAAGCTCAATGGTCGATCCATTGTGGAAACTGTCGTGCGCGTTAATATATAATCCATAATTGAGCGACGAATGTCATACAGGCAATATTAAAAGAGACTCTTGCGTACATGGGGTCGCTGTGCTTCGTGTCCGAGTCGATATGTCGTAAGAAACAAATTCCCAAGTACATGCACATACGCCCTCAATCTCACGTTTTCGAGTAAACTGTGCACAAGTTCGATGATATTAATCTCGCGGGGGAGTCCTGGATCAACCGTGAACTTGTTTAAAATATCCTACATATATTTACTTCCTACACGTACGCGAACATGATGGTAAGAAGGAAAGAAAGAAGAACCCGTGTCACAGCCGACGGTGTGATGGGCTGAAACGTCCCGGCGATAGCCGACTTCATAAGTCACATGAGTTGTAGATAACAGATTTCCTGATATAGATATTGAGGATAATCAAAATACCTTCGCCGAGGGAAGCCTGAAGATAAGATAAAGGAAAATCAGGATACCGTCAGGATACCCTCGTCGAGGGTATCCTGATGATAACATGATTATCTTCACCCAATTACCTGGCGTGGAAATCAGAAATTATTCTGATTTCCATCGACGATGGAAATTAGAAGATAACCGGAAGCTATTTAGATTACCATTATCAGTAACTTCTGCCTGCCATTGCAGGCGGTAGTTTGATTACCCCCAATGGAGTAAATGAGAATATATTGTGATTGTTATTTACATTTACTTCTTAATACTGCCGGCGATGGAAACAAGAAATTATTTATATTAACCTACAAGCTAACTTCTGGATTCCCTCAGTGAGGTTATCGGCTTATGCCCGCAGTGTATTTGTCTTTTTCACATGGTGAGTCGGATAAAAGACTGCGGAGCTCAACTCGCGATACGATGCGTGTTGGTTCTAGGAGCCTGGGTGTGAGTTGGACTTTGTGGAGGAGCTTGACATTATGGAAATCGACTAGTTACATGTCTTCTACAATGGAATGAATTAATTTGAATTTTTGGCGCTTTTTCCGGCTTTTTCTGTGACTGACCCTCTGACCCCACCCTCTAGACGGTCAGTCGCGCCCCCACTGACCCCTTCCACACTGACCCGGTCTGTGACCCCGGGTCAGTCCAACACTGACACTAATGACGTTCACTAGCAAATCAAGTTGTGGCTCCTGAACAACAGTAAATGGCCGCTTAGTGCATCCCAGAAGAAGTTCCTGCAAGGGTTGATAGCCGACCACAAGTCCTGCCAGTCAGAGAAGAGACTGGGAGATTTCTGGGCTCGTCTCTTCACAGATTGGTTTGAGCGCTGGCCGGTTGCCGATACAGCGCCTCAGCCATTGGTTCATCAGTAAAAAGGTCGGTATCTGGTGTCCAACGTAAATAACACCAACATGAAGTAACGTGACCGAGAGCTTGGAACACGACGCCGGGGTGTTCAGATATTGCCATGCATACGAAGATTCATCGACAAATGCCGTGATGTTTTCCCGATGACAAGACATATGCCCTAATGACCACAACTCCTCAGGCGGACACCAGAACACTCAATACTCGCGCGACGTATAGGCAATGGTAATGCGCAAGTAATGCAACAACTTGATGTCGAGTTGCGTGTCAAGTAGGTGCTTCTACTGTAAGTGCGCGCCAGAAATGTCCACGAGAACCAGCATGGCGGATGAAAAACAAGAGCTTTACCAGGCTTGCAAAGACTGACCAATCGTCGCCAGGATGGTGCACTGTGATATGCTCAACACTTCTCACGGTCGTGGCAGCCAGTCGATTAGCGCCTACCGCTGAAGTTCAACCAGTACTACTAGTAACAGTGGTCGCTCAGCCTACGTCTGTCGGTAGAATACGGTGAGTTACTCGGTCATGTCCCGACCACTGTAAGCTTACTTTCGGTGGCAGCAGCCCTACTACTAGGCCGACTCGGGAAAGTAGTTGAATCAAGTAGGTGGAAGAATACTACACCCTCTCGAGGCTCAAGTTCTTGCGGCATGCTTCGTCGAGTAGTACCTAGCTTCCGCCGAAGGCTGTATCACGAGCACCAATGCATCCTTTATCCAAGCTCAAGCTTCCCCGAGTGAGACGATGAGAACCGAGCTTTCAACGCAACATGGGCACTGACTACAGTGAAATGCGAGCGACATCACTAGCCACAGCCGATATTTATGCGAGCACAAGCTATATAACTGATACTCAAATTATACAGGGACGGCAAGCAGCTCTCTCCCAACATGGTAAGTCCTATTCCCCACCTCCACCGTTGGTCAATATTGTGTTGACTCTTTGTCGAAGCAGAAGCTATGTCCGTACTGTCGACAAACCAACTCAAAGTGGAAGAACTTACAAAGCTTTTGAATGCACAAGTTCCACTGCTCTCGAACGTTCACAGCGACTCAACTTACCCCGCGCTCTGAAGAGCCTGATGATGGCATCAATGCCTTAGCTGACACGGTAAGCAGACAACATGTTTACAACGAGGACTTGACTCACAAATTGCAGGACCTGATTGACACCATGCCAATGGTACCGCCAATTGATCAAGACCTGCCACCGATGCCCGATGTTTCTTTATCGAGTGGCGGACGACCGAGAAGATTACAACGCCGTCTACCAGCTCGATATCGAGATGATCCACCATCAATTCCACCAACTCTCCCCCCGGGCCCCCCTTCTGCTACATCTGAAATACTGGCGCCAGCTGCAAACTCGAGTCGCTCCACGTCGATTTGGTTTCAAACACCAACAAACGACACTGGTATCTATCGCCTATATCCTCGAAAGCCAACACACGACCCAGATGCATCTGCATCCCTTCAGGACATATGGGATCGCGAACCTGCAGAGTCCGGTGCGAATGAGGATGAACCTCCCCTGGGTTCAGATGCTCCAGCGGAGCCAGAGAAATTGCAACCGTGGTCCCCTTTTCCTATTGCAAGCATTGCACGTTTGATGTGTTGGTTTCACGCCGGTTCTACACAGAAGTCCAACGCAGAGCTTGATACACTGGTAAAAGGGGTGTTACTTCGCAACGACTTCAGCACAGAAGACCTCAGAGGATTCAGTACCAAAGCTGAGCATAACCGCCTTGACGACGCCGCTGATCCAAAGATTAATCCCATGAACCGCCTGTTCCCTCACCATGGTGGTTGGGAACGACGCTCGGTCAAGATAGCCCTTCCGGCGCCTAAACCCGACGTTCAAACGCTCGCATTATTGGGGCCTCCACTGTCAACGCACATTTGATTGCATATGCTGCCTGCTTGGTACGTAGATCAGTAGACTTTAGCAAACTATTGAGACCATCCATTTTACTCTAGGCCCGCTTCATGCTCAACAACAGCAAGGAGTGGGATCACACGGACTTCCAATTTGACGTCTCCGCCTTCTACGACCGCATTATCAACTATTTCAACAGCGGGAAAGATGACGACAGTGTAGTCGAACTTCTTGCTTGGTTTCAACGGTGATATCATCTCCTTTAGCATGTACTATTGTCTCATTGTTGGATAGTGAGGTCTTCACTGGCCGTTCACCTGCCACAACCAACGAAGAGGACGTCCCAGATTCTGAAGACGAGGTGGAGGATGAGGACGAAGATGCTCGGATTAACAAACAAAGGGAGCTTCGTCGCAATCAGCGAAATGCGAACAACGGAAACAGTACTTAATCAGCAGTGAGTTTTGAACCTGACCAAATTCACCCGCTGATTCATTTGCATTTTGAGCCGCTCGTCCTGCTTGTTTATACCCTGCAAATACCCTACACTATATCATACCAATCGCATGTTGCCCCGCCATCTCGCATTCCCGCTCATGTCCCCAAACTTGCTGTATACGATGACCCTGCTTCGGACCTTCCTTGAAAGGTGCATTTCAAAATTCCACTGCTCGCCTTTGCTACTATTGCTCTCCGTGCTGTATTACTTACTGTAGTTACTCTCCTGTATTGATATCTGTTGTAGCTCACCGAAATTGTATGATTAATTCTGGCATGCATATAAGTGACCTGATGGACACAGTGTGATGCCTTGATAGGATCATTGTTAGGCTGAACACTGGGGCTAGCGTAATGTATATGGCTCGATCCATCAGCCGGGCAAGCCTTGCAAGTGACTTGTACACTGCTGGTGAATGGCATCAGCAAGATGGGCATCAGTCAAGATAGTAGTGCCTATAAGACGTCACCGTGATGCTCGTGTTCACCATGTTGGTAAACATATTATACCGAGCAAGTAAGTCGAGTCACCGTGGCATTTTTGACATTCTAGGCGTAGATAATAAGCTCTTTTGAAAGTCATTAGTGATTGATCAACACCACATAAAGACCTCAAATTCATTGTGCACATGGTAATGTATTTTCGGCCTTACTCTACATTTCGTACACTTGTTGGCTATTTACCAGATGATCTCCTTTTCGCTGATGTTGAAGCAGTGAGTACCTTATCTTATCAGTATCAGTGTGGGTCACTAATGTCAAAACGGGTTGTTAGAAACTGAAGTCACATGCGGGTTACCGCCAACACTTGCCAGGTCCTCAACCTTAACCAGGCGCCCAAGCGCTCCCAACGCCTGGCAGTCTCTCAGACGTTCTGTCACACTTGGTGGTCCAAGAAACTTCCCGATGGAATCATCCTTCGCAATGTGGTCGCAGAGGAGTGGGTTGTCGAGTACAAGAAGAGGCCTACCTACAACGCCGCCCTTCCTATTCCCCGAATCCCAGTGACCTTCATCAATGCTGTCACCAAGCATGTTTTCGCTATCCAACTGAAGGAGATTCAAGAGACCATCTTCGCTAAGCATGAAGCCTTGAAGGTACCCTCTGAAGATGAGGAAGTTGAAGACAACGCAGATGACGATGCAGCTCGAGCTTGGGATTTCCAGATGTAAGTTCCATTGTTATAAGTGAGGCCCGATTTGACTGATACGTCGCAGTGGACTCGACTCACTTCCATACTCCTTGGACCAGGCGGGGCAGCAAATCCTGGAGCACACAGGCTTCATCTCGTTGACAATGGTGGCTGGGCCGGACCCATCGCAGGGTGGAAACATTTTGGCATATTCGTGAGTGCTCCTTTCATGATGTCATTTGACAATACTCACACACTTCCCATAGACTTACAGAGGGTAAGACCTCCAACGGCTGTGACTTTACCCAGTACATCAAGAACTATAGGAAGACCTTTCAGGTTCCTTTCACCGAATTTGCCAAGCTCGTCTTTCGTGAGTTAACTGCTGCTTTGTCTGAATCACGAAACTGACCCATGTTTAGCTCCCGAAGAACATATGAGATGTGCATTGCCTGGTACTGAACACCTTTGTGACTACAACATCCCAACCGCCGCTCCCGAGTCTAATGCTGCTCCCGTGTCTACTCCTGCCCCTCCTCTGAGTGCGGCCGCCTCCTCGAGCAACCATGATGCTCACCTCGAGCTCATTGAAGACAATTCCGACGCTGAGGAGATTCCCAATGAGGCTGAGGCGACCAGCAACATTACTGATGCCGCTCCTGCTCGCCCCTTGCATTCGGCTTACGAGATCGAGCGGGAGGCAAACATCGAACACAACAAGGCCCTTCTTGTTTCCCTTGGACTCGACAAGCCCCCTGTCTTTGGAGGAAAGAAGCCACGCACTCGAGCACCAAAGAGCACCAAGGATGCTGCAGAGCCAGTTCGGTGCTTCACAAGGCTGACTAGGTAAGTGCTTCCGAACATATGGTTTACTGTAACTGAGACTGCTATAGCGGCGAGACCGAAGCCTCTGCTCCCTTCGTTGATTTAACTGAAGACAAGATTGTGGGTGCCCCCGCTGAAGCTTCCGAGGACGACGCCGTAGTCCCTGTTCCCACCGAAGCAATCAAGGACAACACCCCCGCTCCTACTGACACAATTGAAAAGGCCAATGCGCCTACCCTCCCCGCTGAAGCAGACAAGCTGGCTACGACTGCGACTAGCGATGGCTTGGCGTCTAGCGGCGCGACCCCCAACACCACTGAAGCAGATGCCCTGCGTGACACAGGCACTGATGAAGTCGTTCCAATGGATGTCGATGTGGTCATTGCGTGTCCCTTCAACGCCCCTGATTGGCTCAAGTCCGTAGTCCCTTACCTTGCGCAACACAGCAAAGACCCCCGATGGTTCTCTGTCATCGGATGTTTCATCGACTTCGAAAGGAGCCTCGGGTTCCTTGATGGAAAGGTAAGCCTGTCAGTTCGGCGGCCAATGTCTATACTAACTACTTAAACTTAAGCTGGCCAATCACATGCTTGCAATTGGAAAGAACCGCCCCAAGGAGATGTCTGTATGGGTCAAGAATGCGCGAAATGTCGAACCGAACATCAAGAATGCTGTCACGTTCGGCTAGCAGTGGTGGCAGTGGTACTGCGAACTCCAACCAGCCAACCGAAAAGTTGGTGCCGATGGCAGCCTGCGACGTGTCATGCCCACTGAAGGATGGACCAAAGGGCACCATCAACGGTGTCTATAGCTTGATGGCTACCCTCACCTGGTGGCTTCAGGCTGCGGAGGCCAACAAGGTATACCAGGCTGAGATTACCACCACCCTCGAGGACTTCAAATGGGTCTTGGAAACCATGATCCACACCAATGGCTCCAAACACAGGTCCCCTGAGTCTGATGTTGCCACGTGTTCATCAAAGAAGGCCCGTAATTAGTCATTACATACTTCTCGTACATCGTACATTGTGTTCCTCCCGCCCCGTCCCCTCCCCCCCCCCGCAAATAATATATGGTTTTCCCGTGTCCTTTGTTAATGTCTGATGCCTGACCAATCAACTAGCTTTGACACGCAACAATGAACAGTCAGAGGACTTAAACACATGTCAGTGAGGCACAGCAAAATCTCGGAGGCCGACTGACTATATCAACAGTTAGTCACAAATTATCAACCGCAGATAATCACTAATTGTCAAAGGCGACTGTCCGTATCAACTGTTAGTTACTACGTGAGTATCTACCAACAAATAACCACAATGAGGTGCTCCCACGCCACGAATGTCCCTCACGATGTGCTACCAACTGCCGACTGCCTCTATGTGCGTTGTATGGCTATGATATCAATTCCCATGCAGCTGCATAGCAGTAATGATCCCCGAGGAGGGGTGGCAAATATTATAGGAGTTCTACCAGTGTAAAATCACCAAACATTGGACTGGTTGAGATAGGTATATAGTGATACTCACCCTGGTCAACAACAGCCACAAATCACTAAAAGAGCGGACTGACAACAACCACCCTATCATCACTAGAGCCCCACAACTAGCTACAGTATCTAGTAGACTAGATAGCCTGGTTCTACCAGTGCAAAATCACCAAACATTGGACTATCTCAAGTAGCCTCAACTACACTAGACTCCACTGGTATTAACTCATATTATCATAGGGTATTACTGTGGTCATACAAAATAGATCCGTAACTTCAGGAAAAGGATTGGCTCTAAGGGTTGGATGTGTCAGGCCTTGGTTGGAAGCCTTGGGACCAGACTAGGACTGTCTATTGGGCAACCTTTGGATGGACTTGGTCAGGACCTGGGTGGAACCCGCCCTCAAGTCGCCAGGGATGTACCTCTACGACGTAAGGTCATGCGCGCATGCAGGCATCCGGATATACAGGTCGGTGTGTGTTTGGTGCGTGGGCGTGTGGACGTACGGACGTACTGTAAGGGTTGTACCCTTACCGTTTGTGTATTCTGCACTACTCCTATCCCCTATCCACCCCTTTCTGCCCCTCGGACTCGCTCGCACATGTTTCCTCGGCCTCGGAACGGTCTCAGAAGCACGTGTTATCGGATCGTCGCACTCGCCATTCTCCCTCCTTTATCGATTTGCGTTTCGGACCTAATTTACACATGATTCTCTTCCTAGCTACAAATACTCCTGTACTCGTAGTTAGAAGATAAGATTTGATTTCCCCCCACTTTGAGTCAGAATCTAAGAAATTCTCCTGCCGTCCTTGTCATTCTCCTGCCTTCCTCGTTGTTTCCCATTGTTCCGAAGCGAGTGTTCCGACCCCGAGCGTTCCGAAGCCGTTGTGATATCTTCGTTGCACGTTTCTCTCATCGGGATCACTCGTTCTCACGTATTATCACACTAGGTGTCGCACGGACTTATCCTGTCTGAGACGGACCCTCGCATTGCACTCAGCTTGATCTACTTTACAGATTACTACTTATATTCACTACTACAGTACGGATGTGCAAATGTACGGACGTTCGGACGTTCAGACACGTGGACGTGCAGGATGTGAGGATATGCGGATGTCTGGACGTCCGGATGCGTAGATACGCAGAGCATAAGGATTCCTGGGCATGGAAACTAAGCTGTAGACTTGAGAAAATGTGAACTTACTTACATGTATAGAGGTGTTTGGTCGCTGCACCTCCCGTGATTAATACTCCTCGAATAGCATTGATGAAAGGATCAAGAAGTTAGTGAATTGCCGCGCACGTAGTGTCAGTCCCTCTTTGCAAGAAGGCTAAGGTTCTCCTACAGTATCTACAGAGTCTAAGTAAGTACGAAAGGCCCCAGGCCAAGGTAAAGATAATAAATATATCATAAGGAGGGGATCAGATCGCAAGGGGATGGGTACGAGCACGGAGAGTGGATCGTAAAGCAAGAGTAGAAAAATCGATATATCTATCTTGTGGCGCCCGCGTGCTTGTATCTGCTTGAAGTCTGTGCTGCTCCAACAACAATCTACCTCGCCATGGCCACGCGTCTTGGAATTGTGGATACTCTTGTCCACTGACAGGCTTCAGGATCCTTCTCGCACATGGTCCTCCAGTTGTTAGGATTGGAGAGTGCCACGCTATTGGCTGTGGATCCATGCCGGTCTCGGGATGCCCTCCAAATCCAGCGTGCACCCTCTGCAAGCTCAACAATCAATTTGTGATCTCCCCAAACAAAGTTAGACTCGCTGCGAGGAACCTGTATTAATCTTAGCATGGACTGTAATACCCTCATTTCAATGTCTTACCTTGGGAGACCTCTTGGTGACATAGCCAAAGGTCACCGACTCGTCTTTATCAATGTGCTGGCCGGCGCCGTATCCATAAGTGGCAAAGCTAGAGGTGTCTGGTCGTCCCAAAGCGTTCAACAGTTGGTACTCAGTAGCGGTAGCCTACAGGAGATTGAGGTTCAGTGATTATGTGACTGATATGCCTTACATACCATCTGCTCTTTTGCAAACGGGGCATGTAGGCCTCGCATGAACTCAAAGTCTTTCGCCTGTCCCACTTCAAGTGGATGGTGTTACTTGAATGGAGTATGTGGACAAGTCAGAAAACCACACACATGCATGATACTCCTTCATTTGATCATATAGGATTTTCTGGTGATCAATTCTTGTACGGATCTTGAGATTGGAGGAGGCGCTATTTTCAACGCTTGGCAGATTCTGATATCTGCGGCCAGACACCTGCTGGAGACCAGTGCTTTTGACCATGACACCATTCTGAGTGATGCCTCGTTGGACATTCCCTTTTGTCCTGCATTCAAAGTTTAAGAACAAACCCACAAAACCAAACAAAGACTGAACTGTATGTCATGCTGAACAGTTTCTTGTTCAGCCTGGGTAAGCTTGTTGGAAGCACCAAATGCTTGGCTGAAGTTTCCAGCATTGTAAACCACAAAGCCGAACTGATTGCAGAGTTTAACCTTAAAATAGACAAATACAGAATGCAATCTCACATAGTCTTTTGGGTACCTAGAACGTGGGGTGTTTTCGGATCGACTCGGGGCGTGCTGGGAGGCTTCGGTGCCCCTCAGCTCGGAGTCCGGAGTCGTTTTCGGAGTAGTCGGACAGGGTGTTAAGAGGAGTCCTTCGATTTGGGCAAGTGTATCCTGGATGGAGCTGATTTGGGTTTGGTGTTCGTACGTCTGAGCCCACAAGGTCTGCAAAGTCTCGGAGTCCAGTCCTGAAGCAACTGGCTCGGATGGCGGAATCTGGCTGGAGGTGCCCGGCATCTCGGAGTCGTCAGGGGAGTGAGGGATGGAGTTCCTTGGGTCCTCAGAGGTGGGTGGGAGTAGCAGGAGAGCGTCCGGAATGTCCGCAAAACCGGAGAGACGTCGAGAACGAGTCCGGAGTGGCGCAGGACGTTTTCCGTAGGGCTCTGGTGCCAGGATGGGAGATCCTGTTCTGCTGTAAGGGCAACCTCAAGATGGCCAACAGTGCAGGCCTAGCAGAGGGAGAATCCAAAGATAATGAATAAGACTAACTACAATACATGAGAGGGCTGCTCACCTAGCAGAGGGAGAATCCAAAGAGAACAGGATAAGGATTCTCCATGCTAGGAAGCAAAGTATATACTGTAGTAGCGTGGGAGGAATGAAGGGTAACTGGATGAAGGAAAAGAGAAAGGAATGAGGAGGAAGGGACAGGGACAGGGGAATAGGAGAAAATAGGAGTCTCCCCTTACATGTATAGTGTCATCCTAAAATAAGTCTAAACTACAGGAACAATTCAAAGTCGTCAGATACAATTCAGATGCAAGGGAAGTGGGCATAAAGGAAGTGGAAGGAAAAGGAAACAAAGGGAAATGAAGTAGAAGGAATCAGCAGGAAGGAAGAGAGATAGGAGAATAGGAGTATCCCCTTACAAGTAGCTTGTAATTGTATTGGAACTTGAAACTGAAGAGATATGAAAGTGAATACAGAGAGTTTAGAACTATATGCTATCTAATCACTGAGATCTTGAGTATAGTCATCCTTAAGACATTCAAGATATGCCTAACAGATACACTCAGCTGACTGGTTGGTATTATTTAGACAAATAAGCACTTACTAGCAACTCTGATTCTGTAAATGACTGTATTGATAATAGCCACATTAATATAGACAGCTACAATAGTATATAAGACTCACTGCAGATGTATTGTTGCCATAACAAGAATCAAATGGTGAAGTCTTGAAATTGAGTTAGGTGAAAGCATTATATGACCAGAAAGATCACACACCTTTGCTCTTTTCTTACCCTTGGCTTCCAGTTGATTCTTCTTCTGTAGCTCCTCCTGAAAAACAGCATTGAACTGTTCTGTCTTTGCCTCCCAGTCCCAGTCCTCTTCCTCATCATATGTGCATCCCAAGTTAGCAAGTTGATCAGCACCTTCATTGCCAACAATGCCTGCATGGCCCTTAACCCACTTGATCTCTACTTTATGGCCCCATTGCTGTCTGGCATTGAGAAGAGCAAGAAGATACTTGATAATGCCTCGATTTTTTACTGGTTGGCCACTACTGGTAACCCAGTTCTTCTGAATCCAGCCCCTGGACCATTCACCAAGGCCTAGTTATCAATTATGATGAATAGGCTTATAAATATGCAAATAGAATAAGAGATGATTACTTACACTTCCGTGAGTAGTCCGAATCAGATTTAATAATCAGGGGCTTGCCATCCATTGGCGCTGATAAAAGCACCATAATGATGGCCTACCTTTCATTAGTAGCTATACAATAGAACCAAAGTAGTTTTACTTACAATAAGTTCAGCCCTATTGTTAGTCTGAGCTCCGGGGCACCTGAAGGCCTCATTTCTATGGTCTCTCTCAATTAGCAGTAAACAGGGCATGGTGCAAGACTGACCTTGGATCATCGGGGCCCCACCAGATGCCTATTCCTGCAACTGCATCGGGATTTCCATTATTCTTACATGCTCCGTCACAATATACCTCCTCGAATTCTGGCTCCGACCCCGGCGCGCCACCCTCATCCTCCCTCTCGTTGCTCTTCCGCTTCACCGATTTGTTCTCACCCAAGCCCGTTTCGAGGACGAACCGTTCCGCCTCGGCGTGCGTGGCAAAGCTCTTGTGAACGGCGCCTGCGAAGTTGCGGATTTGCAACTCGCAGTCCTTCCTGTAGCGTCGCGTTGCGTTCAGAATGTAACTCAAGTTGGATCGGAAACGGCGCTTACCATGTAGTATAAACCCCCGGTAACCTTCCTTTCTGAACTGCATAGTACTTCGGACTGACCATATCAACTGGAGCTAAACCTGATCAGTGTTGGTACCTCATATGGAAGGCAAATTGAACACACGAGACAAACAGTGGTTCTCTCGTAGGCGCACAATCAACGGGCGAGATGGGCGGTACAAGAAGCGCAAAGACTGGGCGATGGGAATACGGGCCAGCGTGGGGAGTGATCAATGGGAGATGCGGCGTGAAGGAGGTTCTGGTTCGAGTTCAAGGTGCGCGTTGCGGTTGTTTGGCGGAAGTGCATCGCTCAACCTCGCGTTTTTACGTCTCAGCATGAATCATCTAAATAACTTGGGTATGTATCTCGGAGTTCCATGTCCTTCTCGGGACATTTTCGGACTTGTATCCGCTGAACCCATTATCCACTAGCTAGGGTGATGATCATGGGGTTCGCCCCGATATTGAATATCAATTAGTTGCTACTCATATCATAAGGTATGCTGGGGGATAACGTCAAAGCTGATACTTGTTAATGCACACTGGTCCGATAGCAAAGAGAAGGTAAGGGGCGGCGTATTGTATTGATACAGTAATGCAAATGGTGAATGAATGATGATGAAGGAAGCAATCGTAAGGACGTGATGTGATGCGGTGCACTAGTACGGTGGCGAGAGATTATAACAGAGCTGTCGAGTCTTTACCCGTCTTCACGAGCTCCTGCCACTCGGCTCTCCATTTCCGAATGTTCGCTCGTAACCTCTTGTCGCCGAGGACCTTCCCGATCCATAACAGGAGGGCGTTCTCGTCTTCGGGGACGAAGAACGAGGAAAGAAGGGATAGGACGGTTTCGAAGTTGGCCGCGCTAGACGTTATGTGATCTACGACGAAGCCGCCGTCAGATCATCACTCTCGAAGCATGATCGAATCCGGGAAACTCACCTCGGTAGACCCACACAATTGCGACCGACACAGCGATGAAGACATCATGACCCTCGAGCAAGAATACGTCCCATAATCGGAGCTGCGTCTGGAAAGGGACGGAGTTGGCGAAGAGGGTAATATACCACTTTGTCGCGTAGGAGGTGGTAGAAATCATATGGCGTTTGAAGGCAGCGTATACGTGCGGCATCATCTGTTCGGTGATGCGCTCTTGTACGTAGATGGCTTCAAGGAGACCGGGGAACCCAGGAGAGAAGATGGTGTGCATCTGGTAAGTGTCGTGGAGGCGAATAAGAGCGGCGTAGACGTGTGCGGGGTCAAAGTAACAAAGGAGCGTCGCGGCAATAGGTCCCATGCCTTGGACATATCCACATTGCTCACAATGTAGCGAGAAACAATGCAGGACGTGGAACAACGACCGTTGTCTAGTGCAGCGAAGGACAGTCAGATGCCTCCTGAACGTCAACAAGAGAGAGAGACATACCCTGCACCATAACGCGTACGAAACATGATATGCCCACTGATCGTCCGTGGTACATCCAAGTCGATTTGAATGTCGTAGGTCGAAGGTTTCTCCATCACGTCTCTATACTCAGAGGCCCACCTCTCCAACTCTCGTCTCCCAGTTCCTGTGAACCGACTCATCAACAACTCCCATGCAGCGCTTCTCCATCTGTCTGGAATACCCTTATACGTTCGTTCGACGACTTTATGCTCTTTGTTAGGCTTAATTCGCCACGATGCGATGTTCTGGCCTTCGTCACGCGTCCCAGGTTGGAGCATACGTTGCCATTTTGCAATTCTGGCAGTTTCTCGGACCGGGGGTTGAGGTGGAGGGACGGAGCTGAGGGTTTTAGCTTGCGGCGGATGATCAGTTGGACCTTGGGGGATGGGAGATAGACGTTTGAGTAGAGGTGCGGAAGGGAGAAGAACGAGCCGATCATGGGATGGGATAGTGAAGAATCCATAACTAAAACGGATAAGTTAGTTCCAAGTAGCGCAGAAAGAGCGTAAGGTGAGAGCAGAAGCGCACCGGTCGAGACTCGACAAGAGTTCTATCTCTTTGAGATTTATGTCCCTGACCTTCTCGCTCCCATCGCCTATTGCCTGGTCGGCAAGATGCTGGCTCGCTCTGCTATTACCCACGCGAGCCCGTGTACGTTCGACGCCTTCGTCAAACCCATCCCCCTTCACCCCCGAAACTTCCAATTGGGCGTATGTGCTTCTAACGTGGAAGGCATCAACATCTTCGCCTTCCGAAGGCACGAGGGAAACTTTGCTTGATGGCGAAGATGCTGGGTGTTTCAATGGAGACGACTGCGGTGTCTGGAGGAGTACATGTGGCGAAGGCTGGCGAGGGGGCGTACTTGGTCGAGAGAAGGATATGGCAGGTGGAGGTGTAGCATGTCGGAATACCGTAGGCGGGACGGGAGGGAGCTCGTGATTCGGCGTATGATACATTGACGAACCTTTTCCACTGTGATAACTTTCTTGACTATGAGACGAGCCCCGTGAAGGCGAAAACGAGGAGAGGCCGGGTTCAGAGGAAGAAGAGGTGGTTGCTTCGCTAGTTCGGAAAGTCTGCCCTATTGAAGTTCGTTCTCCATATGAAAGAGGCTCGGGATGGGAAGAAGGGTCGTAAGAAGCAGGACGACGTGCCTGCGCACCAGCAGCTAATCCCCCGGGTGAATATGGCAAGGGTGTATTGGGCACCGAGAGTGCTGGCAGCTTGCCAAGACTGCTCGTCCGGGGTGGGGGCACCTTTGGGCTGTCTGGGTCGAAATATGCGAGCTCTGTGGACAGGTAGCGCTCCGACTGAGGCAAGGAACGACGTGGAGACATTGAATTGTTTATCGTGGGCAGATGAGGGGAGGGAGACAAGACGGAATCACTTGGCTTTTGATCATTTATCGTCTCAGGGTGCGCAGAGGCTGACCATCTCGCAGTAGCCTTGCCCGCATGGTCGTCCTCCCCATACATAGAGTATATTGTGAATATCGTCGTTTCCGACGACAGGCGGTCTTCGACCTTGGAGACTCTTGAACTCGACGCTGTCGAGACCGGAGAGGGTGTAGTTCTATTTGAACTATGGGAGAACTTCAACGGTGTCGGCGGCAAGAGAACCAACTCGGGACTCTCCATAGAGAGCGCTCGAGCTCAATGCGCGTGGAGGTGGTGAAGAAGGAAAGAGATGGTAGGAAACAAAGAGCGACGGGCTTCTGAATCGAAAGAATTCGGTGCGGTGGCAGTACTTACATAAAAGGCGAAGCCCACTACCAGCCATGGCTTCTGTACACTCTCACCCTGAACTCAAGCATATTATTCTATTCTACAACTCATCACGATGGACACAATACTCTATGGCACTCTGCATTTTTGGCTCATATGTTACGCATCTCACGCTGCGGCCATGCACTTCTTATTCCGGAGTTTTGATCCAGCACCAAAGCGTCTCGGCGTACCATCAGTCCCACTGTCAAGGTGTGACCGAATTGACTGCATTCTCAACAAGTGCGGTTAGTTCGCTTCAACAGTATGTACGTACACATCACAGAAATTGAACTTGAGAGTGAAAGACGTCAAGTGCAAGACTCGAGACCAGTGACATGCACATGCTCTTGATTCTGGGGTAACCACATTGATGGCCGTTCAAAGGACACGTTGGAGTGATATCCATGTTTCACCCAATGCGTTGCAAAGGACTGCGCCTGATAAATCCGACTGTCCGGATATATACGACCTCCGAAACGAGCTAAGATCCAACTTCTCGACATGAATAAACGAGAACAGCCGAGTCAGAACATACCGATAGTACAGTACTCCTAGGTCGAACGCCAAAGGTGATGTATCGGCTAACTGCCGCGACAACTTGACAGCGAGGCGGTAATTTCAGCGAGAGGTTTTACTGAAGGTGCGGCTAGTCTGCATAGCCATTGAAACAGGCATACGAGGGTATGCTGCCGGACAGCCAGAGAACGAAACCTAAAACGACGAGTATAATTAGAATAATTTGAGGTCCATCAGAGACTGGTACCAAACATGACGATTCGCTCCTGTCTTTCGTTGAACAGTCTCACCGACGAGTTCGGATTAAAGCAGCATCCATTGACCTATTTGTCCCGAAGTCGAAGAGCCTAGGGAATAGGAAACTGAATGGGTAAGTGAGAGTGAATTGCCACAGACGCGGCATTGATCGTGTTGACAGCGAGAGAAGTGGAGGCGGCTAGCCATTTCAAGGTCCATCGAAGGAGTATTACAGGCGCAGGAAAAGGGCCCGTACAAGAAAGCGCCGAGTTCTTCGAGAGCAAGCGGAGGCCCTGGGTAAAGACGTCGATAGCACAGATTCGTGTATTCCGGAACATACAGATGAGCGTAGAATCGAGTTTCTACAGGAAGCTGGTGCCCACAACGGGGATACCAAGGCTCAGCAATGAAGCCCATCCGTAGTTGCACCGAGTATATCGCGGTATGGGATGAGATGTGGCGGAAAGTCTGAGAAGGGAGAGCGGCCACTGAACTGGCACGTGGCTCCTGAATATATTTTGCGTGTGGCCAAAATTTTGAGGGTTCACTGTTTTTCGGCCAATGAACGGCTCGATAGAATTCACTCGGACCACGCGGGATCTATATCTATATCTATATCTATATCTATATCAGGTGGCATGCGTATTTTCTCCCACGGGATAAATCTAGGGGTTAAAGTCAAAGGGATAAGTCAAAGGGATAAGTCTGTAGACATCTGCAGACAATGGTCGGTGATCTCGGTTCGCAATTGTTATATGATTGGTTGATTTGATGTGATTCATCACGTGCGTGACAGTTCGTGTGAAGCGTTTGCCACGTACCTAGCGTGTCCGAGCGCGTTCGTTTCCATTGCCAACGTTGTCAGCGCCGTCCGCCTCCGCTGCGTACGCAGAAACCAACGATGGGCAACACCACCAGTCAATCAAGGTAACCCTTAGCAAGATATTGTTGGCATGTATATATTCATACTTCTATGTGAATAAATTGAAGATTCCTCTGTATCTCTTATTGTTCAACCAACTCACCTTTCGCAGCGAGCAGTCAGCCACCTTCCAGTCCCAGTGCTTTCAAACACGAGCGCGCATCAGCTTTCGAGAAGCTAGAGAGCAAGAGTTCCTTCGCAGGAGTCCAGTTCACCAAGGGCACTCACTTCGGGATGAGAATGCAGGTAAGTCCGGACCTTAGTACTGTTGGATGGAGGTGTATTAACCAGGTTACATTATAGCTCCTCCCTCTGCAACTGCTCCCTCCGACGCTCATCATTCCCGATATCTCCAGCCAACTACTGTCCATAACCAGGTGTTGACTCCACCCCCATCTGAAGTACCTAACCGGCGTGCCTTGGCTCAGCGGGAACGAAGAGCTCGAGAGCGTGCTGAAATGGCCCATCAATTAGCTCTTCGAGGAGATGCCCCTCTGACACCAGCAACCAGCGCGCTGAACTCTGATCGTCGTTCGATAGCACAACAAGCCCGAAGACAGTGCGAACGTCTTCAACGGGAACAGATGGAAGTACCAACCACGTCCCCTTTGGCCAGCGAACCTACTCTGAATCGCCGATCAATCGCTCAGCAAGCCCGCAGGGAGCGAGAACGATATGAGCGGCAGCGGGAGGCGACACCTCAACCTTTGGAATTCCCGCCAACCCCAAGCAGCGAGCCACCCGTAAGTCGTCGATCAATCGCCCAGCAAGCCCGCAGGGAACGCGAGCGCATTGAGCGTGAGCACGAGACCGCCCAGCAACTATCACAGCCTGGAACTCTGTCAGTGGGCGAGCTGGCCCCAAGTCGCCGATCACTTGCTCAGCAGGCCCGAAGAGAGCGCGAGCGTGCTCAACGACTTAACATGGCACCAGACACTTTGCGCCAATTGCCGACACCACCTGCTACTCAACAAGGTGTCCCAGGTAAGTGTGATGTTGCGGGTCGCTTGCTTTTTGTTCACGCTGTACTAGGCCGCCCAAACCCTGGCCGAATGGTCACTTCGGCTACAAATTTGTTCATGGCAGCTCGCCACGCATACATTGACCCCCCGACAAGGCACGATCTAGGCCGCATGAACATTCAATGCCCTCATTGCTCCGCCCTCCATTGGAATGATGAACGTACATACAACTCAAGACGATGCCTAACGCCGGCCTTTGGCACATGCTGCAATCATGGGAAAGTGGAATTACCACCACCACGCCCGCCGCCTGACACTCTGCGCCTGTTGCTCGACGCAGATGACCCTCAATCCCGCGAGTTCAGAGCAAACATACGGATGTATAATATGGCCCTCGCTTTCACGTCGCTTGGTGTCAAGCAAGATCATAGTATCAACCAGCGGTTCGGTGGCAATACATGGGTCTTTCGCATCCAAGGCCAGTTACACCACAACTCTGGTGCCCTTGAATCAGAGGAAGGTACTGCACCTTCGTATGCACAACTCTACATTCATGACCCCGATGTTGCCCTGCGCCAGCGCATGAACCGTAATTCTACGCTATCGCAAGACACGATGTCTGCCCTTCAGACAATGCTGATCCAGCATCACCAGTATGCCGCCGTATTCAAACAAGCATTCGAGATTCTGAGGGATCTTGAGAACACCCCAGATGCCGAGATCAAGCTTCGTGTACAGCCATCGTCGGGTGAACACCGAGGTCGCCACAACCTGCCAACCGTTAACGAGGTTGCCATGATTATGCCGGGCGATACCTCATCACCAGATTACCGCGATATTGTTCTTCGGTGCCGCATGCCTCCTGGACAGACAAGACTTTACCGGATCCATGAGGGCCATCCTGCATATACACCACTACACTACGTGCTTCTCTTCCCTTTCGGAGAGCATGGATGGCATCAAGGGCTTTTACAGGTTGACCGAGAGGCCGGGAAGAAATCAAATTTGTCGCAAACCCGATATGCGGCATACCAACTTCATGTTCGTCCGGGTCAATATTCTACTCTTCTCCGAGGTGGTCGTCTATTTCAACAATTGCTCATCGATTGGTGGGCATCGGCCGATCAAGCCAATCTTCGGTTTCACTACACAAATCAAAACTCCTACCGTGCTTCTCTATTTAGTGGATTTTTCGATGCTCTCACGCACGATATGAATATTGATTTACATCAACTAGGAACTCGATACATCCTACCATCGTCCTACATCGGCGGTCCCCGTCACATGCAGCAACGGTTTCAAGATGCTATGGCAATTGCGAGACGATATCGAAAGGTGGATCTATTTATTACCGTTACAGCCAATCCTCAGTGGCCGGAAATTACGAGAGAGCTTCTGCCCAACCAAACAGTGTATGATCGGCCTGACCTGGTAGCACGAGTGTTTTACCTGAAGAAGCGCGTGATTCTGGACGATATCTGCAAGCACGGGATCTTTGGGCGCACCGTTGGCTGGGTTTATACTATCGAGTTTCAAAAGCGGGGTCTCCCTCACATGCACTTGCTGATTTTTCTTCAGGAAGGCCAGAAGCTTTTAACACCCGAAGATGTCGACTCCTGCATATCAGCAGAGTGGCCCGATCCTGTTTCTCAACCACTTCTGTATGAAACGGTCCGAACTTGCATGGTTCATGGCCCTTGCGGCACGCTCAACCCCAATTCGCCATGCATGGAAAACCGCCGCTGTACAAAACATTATCCAAAGGACTTTCAGCCATTCACTCAGTTCAACGACGACGGGTATCCCCTCTACCGAAGACGAGACGATGGTCGAAAGTACCACATTGGTCAGCATGAACTTGACAACCGATGGATTGTGCCTTACTCGCCTTATCTTTCTGGAAAGTACAACTGCCATATTAATGTGGAGTGCGCTGTCATGTTACGCTCCGTCAAATACCCATTCAAATACATACACAAAGGCGGCGACCGTGCGACACTCGAAATTGAGCTCGATGAGATACGAACATATTTGCAAGGCCGGTATATTGCAGCATCTGAGGCATCGTGGCGTCTTTTCCACTTTCCTGTTCATGATCAAATCCCGACTGTTGTTCAGCTTCAAGTCCATCTTCCTGGACAGCATATGATCCGGTTCAACCCAGATGAAGACCCTCAAGCACTTCTAGAATGCGCGGCAAATGAGAAGACTACACTCACTGAATTCTTCGCTGCGAACAGGGATCCTGGGGCTCTAGGCAACGAAGCTCGGAAGTATACGTACTCGGAATTTCCTGAGCACTTCACTTGGAAGAATGGCACTAAATGGTCACTTAGGAAGCAGTTCCGTGGTGAATCCCCGCCAATCGGTCGAATGTACTTTGTACCACCATCTGCCGGAGAGCGATTTTACCTCCGGACACTCTTAACCACTGTCAAGGGGCCGACATCATTTGAGGACCTCCGTCGCTATCAAGGAACATTATACCCGACCTTTCAAGAGGCTTGCATCGCGCGTGGGTTGCTAGAAGATGATGGAGAGTGGCGGATGTGCCTTCAAGAAGCATCTGTCATGCAAACTGGCTCTCGCCTTCGATGTCTTTTTGCGACGATGCTTCTTTTTTGCCATCCTGTTGAGCCAAGCCACCTTTGGGATGAGTTCCGTCACCACATTTGTGATGACTTATGGCATCGTCTTCGTTTGGCAGGCCGCGCAAACCCGTCCGATGAGGATGTCTACGACTATGGTCTATACCTTATCGACAGAGTCCTTCGCCAATCTGGGCACTCACTTTCTGAGTTCCACTCCATGCCGCAATGGTCGCAAGACTGGGAGAGCATCGTTGACAATCCACTTATCATCGAGCAGCTCAACTACAACCGGGAAATGGAGCGTAATGATGCAGAGGCTCGAATTCAACAGCTTAACCATGATCAACAGACAGCCTTCGAGTCTATCATGGCATCAGTTCTGGAGAATCGTGGGTGGACCTTTTTTCTTGACGGTCCCGGTGGAACTGGGAAGACATTTATATACAACACACTCTGTAACCGTGTCCGTAGTGAAGGGTGGATCGTACTTTGTGTTGCGTCGTCGGGAATTGCAGCTCTGCTTATGCCAGGAGGACGTACTGCTCACTCTCAGTTCAAGATCCCAATTGATGGTTTGACCGAGAGCTCCATGTGTTCCATTACAAAGGAATCCAACCTTGCTGGCCTTCTGCGAGCAACTCGACTCATTCTCTGGGATGAAGCGTTGATGCAGCACCGGCATACTCACGAAGCACTTGATCGAACATTGAAGGATATCCGCAACTGCAGCAAACCTTTCGGTGGCCTCACTGTTGTTTTTGGAGGAGATTTTCAACAAACACTTCCTGTTGTTCCAAAAGGCACGCAAGAACAAATCGTTGATGCATCTCTTCCACGGTCATACATTTGGACCTACATCAAGTCAGATGACCATGACCATGTCCTCCGGCTTCGTCAGAATATGTGATTGGATGCTGGGGAGGATGAAACAGAGTTTGGAAATTGGTTACTCAGAGTTGGTCATGGGTATGATGTACAAGATGACGGCAAGATTGACATTCCTGAAGAAATGGTTTGCACGGATTCAAAGTCATTGGTAGACTTTGTTTATCCTGATATCCATGGTATCACCCCGCCTCCGGAGTACTTCCTTGATCGGACCATTCTTGCTGCTAGAAATGCAGATGTCGACGATATCAATGATAACATCCTTCAACAGATGGCTGGCGACACAATCAACTACATCAGTGCCGACTCAATTGAAAACGATGATGGTTCTCAGTTGGAACGTGAAAATGAAATTCCTGTCGAGTTTCTACAAACTCTCGAAGCACCTGGCCTTCCACCAGGAAAGCTATCGGTGAAGATGGGATGCCCTCTGATCCTTCTCCGAAATCTTGCTCCAGGGCGCGGACTCTGCAATGGAACTCGCCTTATCCTTCGGCGAGCCACAGATCGTGTACTTGAAGTACAAGTCATAGGCAGTCATTTTCATGGCGAGGTTTCATTTATTCCTCGCATCACACTCACACCATCCGGAAAGGACGCCGAGTTCACATTCACTTTACGTCGCCGTCAATTCCCGGTGCGCCTTGCGTTCTCAATGACCATCAACAAGGCACAAGGCCAGTCTGTTCGCTTTGTCGGACTTGATCTTCGTGTGCCCGTATTTTCACATGGTCAATTGTATGTCGCATTGTCAAGAGCTACATCACGTCACCGTATAAAACTACTACTACCTAATCTAAATGAGGAGATGAAGGCCGTAAATATTGTATACAAAGAAGTACTTACTGATTAGAGTATTTTATATTATATGTATTATATTATTACTTAGTACAGCAATAGTCTCATTATTGTACCGACTCAGATGAAACATGCAAACCACCAGTGGACACTGATTTCGGAAGGTATCATTCTTTGAGCATTCGTGAATATTCCAGCCCATTCGCTGACGTACATTAGACACATGGTTTCTAAAACGTCAAGAATCTCAAGCTCAGCCCTTGACCATGATCTACCGGTATATAAGGTGCTGGTGCTGAGGCCGAATCCCCAGCAAGTTGCACTATCACTCTCGCTCTTTCCTTAACCACTCTCGCTCTCATTATTCTCTTACTCTACGTTTACACTCACTCTCCCTTTTTAATTATGGCGTCAAAGATCATCGGCCTCACAGTTCTCACCAACCCTCGCACTCCAGTGGCAAACCCTCATGTTGTGTTCTTCGACGCAAACTTCTGGTTAGCTGATGGCATTCAACTGCTTGGATGCCTCCGATACTATAACCGTTCATGCATCACATTTGATGATGTTGAACCCATACCCTGTGTTATTGATGCATCTGTACGTCGTGCATCTTACGTCTCTAATGGTGACAATAACAACTACTATTACAATTCAATCACCTCTTAGATTGCAGCAATGACTTCTCAGGCGAACATTGATGCCCCTGAGCTTCCAGATAGCGAGAAGAAGGAGTATCAAATCGTTGGAGACATCACATGGGTGAGTACTGAATACACTGACCTGTTTCCATTGTCTCACTACGTCCTTCAATTCGAACTCAGATGATTCCTGTCGGAGAGATTGCGCCTGAAGCACTTCGGTGCCCTCCATACTTGTATCTAGGTGGTGTAGTAAAGGCCTCGCAGAAAGACACCGGCACCGACACTGCCAGATTCGACATTGTTTGTAGCCAATGGCTAAACGCTTACCGCCACGACCAACGCCTTTCCAAGCTTCCAGTCCGCATCTTCATCAGCAAAACTCACCGCTGCCCCGATCCGAAAAAGATCTGCCCTGCCGATGACACTTGGGTCTCCGTACAGGCAGGGCGGCTCTCTAAGTTTATTCTCAATGATGCTGGGTGGCTCACGCAACTCGATGTTGACATGGGTGCGGATGGAACAATAGCATTCATGGGTAAATGGACCCCTCCGTTTACCCCCATAAAGACACCAGGTAAGCTACATTCAAATGACAGTGATCTGAACTTAATTGTGTTCACAGGAAATGCGCTGTCGGCAGGTAATAATGGGAAGAGGCGCAAATTCAGCTATGGGTCCCTTGCAGAAAGGGGAAGTCCTCTCCCTCGAAACCCGGCCAAGCGCAGTCGTATCGAGAACTTGGCGCTCGCTTCCAGTGAGAGCTCAATCGCATCTCTTGAGGACACACCTTCGATGTCATCTGTCTGCCCGGAGCCAGCAGCTTGAGTCCTATGTTCCCATATCATGATGCCAGTTACCTTATCAATATATCTATCTACCTACTAATCACCAAGTTTTTCGTAACATTCATTCATCAATTATCTAGCTTCAATATTACTCTCATTTGCACGTTATATTCAGAACTCAGCCCCGCGTGCGAAGCACGGGTTCGCAGCTAGTATATTCTAATAGATGCCTATTATCATTCTAAAACAATTCCGGGGGTAAAATTAATGGACATTATTTATTTGATGTGTTTGATTGTCCTCGACTGTAGCTCATCCGCTTCTTGCACATCTCGATCTCGTAGACTCGATCATTGATTGTCCCACAGTAAGTCGCAGTTCCCTCACGGTCAATGCATATTCAAGCATTTGAAAGTCGAAGCGCCTGATACAACCCAACTCATAGGCTGATAATAATAACGATGGATCTTCATTGCAATATGAGAGCTATGGATATCTGGATGGTGACGAATGTATGTATATACGATAGGAAAAACTCGAAATGAAGCAGAAATATGCGCGAGTTACAATGGAGAATTAAGTGGTAGTCCATCTAGTAAATAGTAATGAAAAATGAGAAACATGTCGTAAGTACTTGATTTTCTAGCTACAGCAGGTGTGAGATCCCTGATCATGATGATGGATATGGATATAGATATCTAGGAGAGTATGCAAGAGCGAATAGTCTAAGTGCTTCAATGACAAAATCTTCTATCGTTTAGCGTAGCGGAGGAAACGAGAAGCAACTACGAGCGAAGGACGTCAGCGCCGTAGCATGCGAATGTAGGCGAATGGCCACTTACTGATGGTAACGATGACATTGAAGACGAAGTATGCAAACAATACCCATACATCTCGCCAGCGGTTGCCGTAGCTGATGTTCAAGGGCTCGTAGAATTGGTCACCGACGCGGAATTGACAGTAGCGGCAGTCAGCAGTGTCGTCTGGGTTGTCCAGGTATCCACCGGCGACGGAGACGAAAGCACTGGCCCAGGCGGCGCAAGTCTGCCCGGAGGGAGGGCTGAACAAAGCGAACTCCTCAGGACGGCAAGTGATCATCAAACCGCTGGGACAATGGATAAGTACTTTTGCAGCTTTGGAGAATTATATGAACGTACTGTAGTTCAGTGCTGACAGTGGCAGCCATAGTGCGAGTGTAAGGGACCAATTCATACACCCACGACCTCCAGAACGAGATCATAGTGGGGTAGGGGATTGTGACACCGCAGAACGTCGACAAGAACAGACCAATGAAGGGGTTGAACAACACGGCGACTTGGACGCTAGGGCTGATAGCAGCAATGAGCTGACCGAGGGAGATACCGAAGAGCAACATGATGATGATGACCAAAAGCTGGAAGCCAGTGCCGTTAAGACCAGCGGAACCTTGACCAAAGTCCATGGGGTAGACCTAGAAAGATATCAGAATCCGTACGATAGGAAAGACTGGACGAGCAAGCTTACCATCAGGACCCAGTACACAATACCGCAGAGCGCGTTGTAGGGAATCTCGCCAACGAGTTGGCCGATGGCGAAAACGTACGGTGAATAAATGCGACTCGAGGCCTCACGAATGAAAATTCCTGAGCAACGACGTCAGTTGAGTTGAACAATGCAAGAGAAGAGGTAGGAAGACTTACTTCGGTTCATGATGAACATTGGCTCAATTTGGGCCATCACCAGGGCAGGCAAAAGAGTAGTCCAGAAACTGTAACGGTTATTAGTCCCACCATCATCGCTAGAAGAGTCGAACTTACATAGCGAAAACCCTGAATTGCAGATCCCGGACACTCGTACCCAATTGGAGGAAGGTGAGAGAAACGAAGAAGGAAACGAAGGCGCAGACGAAGAGACGACTGAAAATGTATTCGGGCGAACGCCAAAGGGCAAGGTTGTTACGTTGAACCACAACCTTGAGTTGGTACCAGAATGGAGTCGCATCTACCAAAGTGGTAAGTATCAGAGTCTCTGTCACGATTACTTTCACTCACAAGTCGAAGTCAGCTTGTGGTCGTCGACAGGGCGTGCAAGACCCGCGCGTTTGATGTCTTCAATTTCCTGACGAACAATTCGGCATTCCGGCGAGTCGAGCCAGACGTCCTTCCAATCACGATCACCGATACGAGCAGCAACACCGGCACCAATGGCCTCGAGCATGAATTCCGCGGGGTTGGCATTGGGTGGGCAGGGTGCACCCTCTCGGGCAAAGTAGTCGCGAATAACCTGAGAGTCAGGTCCGATGTCGCCGAAGTAAACCGTCTCACCACCACGTTCAAGCAATAGCAATCGATCGAAGGACTCGAAGAGCAGAGCAGAAGGCTGGTGAATGGTACACAAGATAGCTTGGCCCTGGTCGGCTAGTTTGCGCAAGAATCGGACCAAGTTCCAAGCGCTTTGTGCGTCAAGACCGGACGTCGGCTCGTCCAAGAATAAGAGAAGTTCCGGCTTGCTCGCCAACTCAACACCGATGGTAACTCGCTTGCGGGCTTCTACACCTAATGTGAAGATGAGGGCCTCCGTGAGATTCTGGAGTTCCAGGAGTTCAATGATTTCCTCGACGTATGCGTCCTTCTCAGCTTGGGGAACAGAAGCGGGTTGACGGAGGTAGGCCGAGAAGCGGAGAGCCTCGCGAACTGTAGCAGTGCCTTCGTGGACGTCCATTTGCTCTGCGTAGGCGGTACCACGAGCGAAGTCGGAGTCCAATGGACGGCCTTCAACCAAAATATCACCAGTGATGACACCAATATTTTTGCGTTGAGCGAGAACATCGAGACAAGTCGTCTTGCCGGCGCCACTGGCACCCATCAAAGCTGTCAGAGTTCCGGGCTTCACGTAACCAAAGACATCGTGCAACAGGCGGCGGGTACCGCCAGGGACGGGGACGGTGTAGTTGAGATTCTCCCAAGTAAAGGTCTTACGGTGCTTCTGGACAGCAGGACTGTGACAATTGAGGGTTAGTACATCTTGGGGATGGTAATAATGAGGGTTCCTACCTCTCCTTAGACACATTGGCTTCGAGCTCGCGATCAGCCTGGGTCTTTTGTAACCTCTCTGCCTTCTTCGCTGCTTGGATTTCGTTTAGCTTCTTGAGCTCCGAATCCTCCTTTGCGAAGACGCTGAAGCCGACAGAAAAGGTATGACGCTAATGTATACTGATGAGCTAACGTCCTCAAGGCTAAACGGAGCAATACTTACGGGGAAGTATTCGATCACCACGATCTGACTGAGAATGAACACGAGGAAGAAGCCGAGAAGAACCAAGAAGTTGCGTCTCCATAAGTCGGCCGCGTTAAGCCCGTAGCCAATAGAGATATACTGGGAACCAGAGATGAGGTCACTTCCTGGCTGAGAGCCAACGAGTGTACAAGCTTGATTGGGACCAAAGCCCTCCGGGTACTGGGAAAGGAAGCCCGGAATATTCCTCGGCACCACCGAGTTGCCATCACAAGGGAACTACAGCAGTCAATGATTAGCAAATAATTGTGACGTTCGGGCAAGGACACTCACCGAAATGCGCATGAACTCATTCTCCATCACGGCAGCCCATGCTGTAGATGTCTATCAGTAAGCAATACCAAATGACGGAAGCAAAATCAATACCGTAAGCGACGGGGTTGATGTAGTACTGCATGACGACGCATGAGCGCCGTTTCAGATTAAGAAAGGAGCGGTGCACTCACGATCCAGAATAGCCAGCGCTTCATGCTGTCGACGGGAATCATGTATCCACTATAGATAACCATCTAATAATTGAACAGACACTTAGCCCGAATAGGCTTAAAGCGATGATGTATACGTACGTTGGGAATGAAGAGAGCGGCGAGCCTGAAAGCCGAGTCGAAACTGGTGCAAAGCAATCCGATTGTGCGGAAGAAACCTTGCATCGCGAGGAAAGCCAAATAATTGATCAGGTGGAAAGTCCAGAATGCGCCGCCATTACGGTCCAGGTTGCACATGAAATACACCACAATGTTGAAGAGGAATACACGGACAGCGGAGAAGGGAACATCGGAGAACAAGTTCGCCACCGGTACAACAGCTGGGCGATACATGCTGTAACTGGTCTATAGATCCACGTCAGCATCAGCGGCGGTGACAAGTGGGGCTCTGACTGACCTGTTTACGCAGAATTGGTCGGCCAAGCATTGCCATTGGGATCTATGAAGTTGGTAAGCATCAGCCGTCAGAGTAATAACGAATGTGTGTACTTCTCCAAAGGCATCGAGACAGGTTACCAGTAGGGCGATGAAGATTACACTAGATTAACTATGTCAGCGAGGGAAATATGGGCCGGGCCATTCAGCTTACCTGCCACGGGTGAACGCGCCATTCGAGGACAAAGGTTGGTTGAAGTAGGCGCCACCAATAACCAGAGCGAGGAGCGTAGACAAGCACAAACTCGTGTATAGTTGGAACTTGTCTTGCATCCGTTGTTGGAATTGCCGAATCGTCAGAGCGCGAACTTGTGACCAGAAGCCTAAAGTGTAAGGACTCTTCTTCGAAACGCCCTTCTTCTTGTCGGCGAGAACGGCCTGGCGGAAAGCTTCCTGATCATGCTTCTCGGTCTCCATTGTGACCTTGTACTTCTCGCGACTGAGGTCCATTTCCTGAGCGTACTTTGAAGCGCGGTAGGCGTGTTCAAGGGCTTCTGGGGAGGCAGGAACATCGTTCGCCGAGCGTCCTGGAGCGAATTGGCGTTCGTTACGGTCAGTGCAGCCGGTAAGATAGTCAGCGGTGCTTTGGCGCGGGAGGGGTTTGTAACCGAGGTTCTCAAAGTAGGCTCTTGCTTCAGCGGGGGGACCATAGAACACCTGACGACCTTCATCGAGGACCAGGACCTTATCGAACAATTCGTAGATACCTTCGCCGGCCTGATAGAGTGTGACGAAGGTAGTTTGTCCCAGGATGTCAGTCATGACGCGTAAACTCTTCGCAAAGTCCAGGGCGGTGGAAGCGTCGAGACCACGAGTAGAGTTGTCCCAACATTGCACGCGCGCACGGGTAGCCATCATCTCAGCAATACTAACACGCTTACGCTCGCCACCACTAACACCACGGACGAATTCATCGCCGACGAGAGTCTTCGAGGTGTGGGAAATGTTGAGCATGCGAAGGAGCATATTGAGGACTTCTGAATCGAACTCCTTACGCGAAACGCCGGGTAGACGACCGTTTGGACCGGGAGACTTCATTGACAGAGCGAACTGAAGAGTTTGAGCAACCGTAAGAGTGGCAATGTGGATGTCATCTACGGAAATCGTCAGCAAGCTTCAGATGACACGGTGAAGGGTCAATTACCTTCTTGGTTGTAGACGACTTCACCCTTATAGTACTTGGCCATCTCGGCGGCATCCATGCCGGCGTATCTGACGTCGCCAGTTACGCTGAAGAATTCATCACGCTGGTTCGCTATAGCCTTGAGGAACGAAGTACAACCAGAACCTGGGCAACCGAGGACGAGGCACATCTCCCCAGGTTTGAGAACACCAGAAGATCTAATGATAATTAGCTCGGTGCCCGGGTTGAGTACGAGACGAGATACGTACTTTTGCACGATTGCACGTGTCGGGGGAGGCGCAGAAGGGAACAACGGGCGCAATAAGCTCCACACCCAAAATATCGGCGAAAGAACGAAACCAAGGATAGCACCTAGGTTACTCGGTTAATTACGATGTCCAATTCAATAGAACGGTTCATTACCTCCAAAAGTGGGGGCATAGAACTACACGTTCCGATTAGTAACGCGGTATATGGTTTGAGTTTCAGTGTATGCCCACCTTCATATCAGCACCGCCAATGACCTTTACTTCCAGGTCGTCCCACGTGACTCCGACGTGCTAATGGTAAAGATCTCAGTCAATGAAACATCACTGAAGCGGTGGAAACCAACCTTGTGCTTGATGCCAGCCGACTGATTAGCATCGTTGGACGACGAGAGGTACTCCCGCAGATCGAAGGGTTCCTCGCCTTCCTCGATAGCCTTCTCGACGTCTTGCCCGCCCCACATCGTCTCTTGGGACTTCGTCTTGATCACCCCCGTCCTCTCCACCTGCGTCCGTATCGACATCGTGCGCGAAAGCTCATTGAAGGTTCGTTCGGCAGAGGCCACGTCTACGTGATGAGCGTCGATTTCATTTTGAGGAATATTTTCCTGTTCACGGCCCGGTAAACCTGGTGCCTCGCGTTTTTCTTCGTAAAGGGTTGCTGCGTCCGCTGGAGTGCTGGCCATCGCTGCTGGGTGCGTACAGCGAGAAATTGAAAGCCTGCGAGCTCGGGTGGAAGGAGTTACCAGTATCCATTCGTTTGTCAGTTCCTTATATATGACAGAAACGCTTACAAACTTCCAGATTCGCTGAGTTTGAAGTTATATCGGTACGACCGCGTGTAAAGCACCGTTATTCGCCAAGACTGCATCTTTCCCCTATCGTCAACTGGACCATCGGGCAACCGTCCTCTCGAGGAAACTACCTGGATCGCAGTACCATACGCTAAAGGTCAGCCATCTACGCTGCCTGCGAAATCTGCCCAGCTCTCCGGAAGAAGGACCGTGGATCTGTTATCGCCTGCTGCCCTATTTCCCGAGCCAGTCGGTCTTTGCTTTGCGATGAGTCGATTGCTGTCGATTGCTTCTCGGTAGCGATAAGACTCAGCTATGCTGAATCATCCGAAGCCCCTTTCATCAAAATATATGCCGTTTCGAACACGAATCATATTCGCCGTCTAGAAAGTGTTCGCCGTGAATATGGGGAAAGTATCAATAATCGCCGTCTGGTCGGGAAAAAAGTTTTTCTTCCCAGTCTCCAAGTCGTTTCAAATTGCGCGCCCCACCGTACCTACGGTGCATATGCCCCGGGCGTCGTATCGAAGGTCGAAACAAAGCCATCATTGACAATCATCACATCAGGAAGCTGCCACTTCGGCTACCCACTTCGACGCTGTGTCCCCCAGCATTAATAATCAACCCGGCGTGGATATTACGATGGTGTCTTCTTGTAAATGGGCCGGGGGCAGAGGCGACGCGTCTTCTGAACATGAGAACATCACGGAGGATAGCCAATCCCACAGGAGCAATGCGGCTGCCGCGAGTCATATTCCTGTGCGTAGCCACCCTTCTGAAGTCATTGAAATTTTCAACTTGGCCTTCCATTAAATCTCTGGACTTCGATGAGTACGGCTAACTGGATAAACGGAGGTCCAGTGGCCCGGTGACATAAAGACTCTGTCCCTCGTTATTTGCCGTTTCGGACTAAGCTGTGAGAACAGGGTAGTACGGTATTTTTAGGGCCGACCCCAGAAAGCTTAAATAATTCACAGTAGCAGTTAGCGATATGAATCTATGCACACGCAACAGCATGAGCATCACATCGTTGTAGTGCATTGCCTTGTTTGCTTGGCCCGAATGAAGCGCAGCACAACAATGGGAACGAATTAGTTGCACCACACGAGGCCGCCGAAGTAAAGCCGAATTGAAGGTGGAGGTGGGACGAGGCGGGGGTGGGCGGGAGGGAAGGCCCAGAAGCGTGGGGCGGGATGCTTTGTCATGCATGCCAGTTCGGGAAACCCCCCTAGCCAAAGCGAGCCAATTGGATCCATCCTCACGTGTCGCGTTCCAGCTTGAGCGCCTTCCAAGTTCCCACTAGTTTCACTTTGTTCATCTCCATCATCGACCCTCATGAAAGGCCTCGCCGCAAGTCTGCTGCTCGCCGCCGTCGCGCACTGCGCCTACGGACATGGAGGACATGAGCACAGTGGCCCATCACAAGGCGAAACAATCCAGCAATATGCTCAAAGACATGTACGTCTTTCATTGCTTTTAGTGGTTGTGCATGGAGATGGTATTTCTTGCTGTGGCATATGGAGAGTGCTAACCTACCTCGCGTATAGATGTCTTCAGAGCATCATATGTCAATATGGTTTACTTGCTCGCTGTCTACTAATGCTGACTATGAAACAGAGATTCATTTGACATACGAAGTTTCTTCCAGCTTCATGACCTGAACCGGTACGAAGCTCTTTACGCTTAGCATGCTTGTGGGTAGCTAACACACACACTCGTCGTCATTCAGTGATGGTATGTGGGACAAGGAGGAGATTGAAGCTGTTTATGGCGTGCACCATGTATACTCGCAAAAGAAGTCTAAGGTGCGTCCGAGTATCTGCTGAACTGTTTCCAGTAATATATGATCTTTCTTCCCATGCAGGACGATATTGAACACCAAGAGAAAGCTGAGCAGATCGTCAAAACGGTGCTAGCACGGATAGATGCAAACAACGACGGGGTTATTACGGCAGAGGAACTAGTAGCAGTCGGGTTAGACGGTCTACCCAACTTCGACAACCTTGGTGCTGAAGGTCACCACTACGACGTTGAGAGCGGTACGTCTGCGCGTCGATCCACATACTAACATCGCTTCTTTAACTCGACCTACAGAATTCTTCCTTCACCACGAAGAAATGTATCACTCTACTCCCGAAACGCAGACTGACGAATCATACAACCACCCGGAGGACCTCGAGCATTTCGCCCAACATGAATCGATAGAGCGCAAGGAGGCTGAGAAGGAAGCTAAGTTCCAAGGTATATCAGTTGACGAGGTCCTCAAGTCGCATGAAGAACACGCCCCTGATGGCGCAGCACCTGCGAATCCTCCAGTACCTGGAGAGGGCCAACACGTCTTCGATGAACATCCTCCCAATGACCATGTGCCTCCCCCTGCTCCCGCCGACCCACCCCAGCCTAAATATACGAGAGCCGCATCTCAGGACCCGACAACTAAGTATAAGGAAGCTGAGAGGGCTAGTAACCAGAAAGCAGAGTGGGGACAAGGTCCAGATGGATATAAGCCTCCCGTGAACCCTGCAGATAAGCTTCGGTATGTTGTTTCGCCTGTGCCCCACATTTTCCATGCTGAATGGTTTCGTTTTAGACGGAACGTACCGTATAAGGTAATGTCCTTTCCCCTCTGCTTCGGCAACAGTCAGCCAGAACAGCTAACTAGAAGGAACGTATGCAGTACAAATTCCGCCGCAACTGGGGTGACTTCTGATCGTTTTGCTTTCGCTTTGTTATACGATTTTATATATATTATTGTGGATTTATTGAGGTACATGGATGTGAAGTGCATGGTATACAGATGTCCGCTCTATGGGTATACACGTCAAGCAATGTGCTTTACTATGTCCGACCATCAAACATATCATCCAGCAGCCCTCGCTCGACTGCTTCCCAATCCACATTTCCACCACTGTTATAGACACTCTCATACGACGCTATGCTAACACTAGAAAAGAAGGGGATCAGATCCCGGATACTGTCGATTTGGCGCAGTGAGTTCAGGAGGGGTCGTCGCAATGGCTTTTGCCCCGTCGCTGTGGGAGGTTGTAGATCAGGATCGGCTGATCCATTTCGGTTCGTGGCCTCCTAAAGGAATTCAATCAGGAAGAACTATGAACACGAGAAGAGACTCACTCGAGAATCCGCAAGAGGCAAGCTGCCTGCTAAATCAGCCAGCTGATCCATCATGGCTTCTGGGAAGTAATCATCTGGTCGGTATATCGCATCTACCGTGTCGGTGATGAATATCCATTGTTGTCTACGCATTAAATCAGTAACCAAGCGAACACTAAGAGAAGACGAAATACATCTGGAATTCTTCGGTCTGAAGAGCTATCAGGAGATCCAAGCACTTGCATGCTGCGAGGATGAGCTGAAGCTCCTCCGAGCCATCCGAAGGTAGTGATGTCATGACCTGCTCGAATATGCGATACTAATGGGAATGAGTCGACCTTCAGTGACTTCGTTGGTGCGGAAATGAAAGACTTACCAGTTCCGTCAATACCACTGGCCAGAAGCTGGTCAAGTTGTGGGCAGAAAGGCGGCAAAGTAAGACGCGAACGCATAAGAAGACTTCGCTTTGGACATTCGGGGCTGTCACGTTGCGAAGAATATCCGCAAGTTTCTCGATGATGGTTGGCAACGACGTCAGGAAGTGATTCTTATCCCCAGCGTAGAGGACGAAGGACAGCCGCCGCAGGTTAAGCGACCGAACTAACATCTCGTATTCCCGATTGGTGAAGATATTTGCCGATGGGGAAGTTGCAACCTTCGCTAAATAATATATGAGCACCCCGCACTCGAAGCGAAACACTAACCAGACGTACCAAGAAGTTCCGATAACGCTGATTTATCCGCATCGAAGAGAGCTTTCACGATTGGCACCCATTTGCTAGCGATGTCCGAATGGCAATTAAATAAACGATTATCATTAAGCAGCTCCGATACCGGTGGTCGCCAGGCTTTGAGGGCCGCGGGTAGTCTCGACATCTCGAAGACTATTTTGACGATGTTCTGATCTACGTCCATCGGTCTGAAGAGATGAGTTCGTGGACACGTAAAGGTTACAATGCCAATCGCCTACCTTATTTTGCCCTTCATAGCCGGACTGATTATGTAGTAGGCAATGTTGTTGCAAGCAACTAATATCTTGTCGTTATCAACCAATAGTCTTCGAGCGTGTGGCAAGGCAGCGTTTGCAATGTATTCAGTGATCTTTGAAGGATATTATTAAGAAGAACAGAAAAACGTAAGTAGGAAGGCTTACTTGGATGACTGCTTCGGCGGTCGCCGTGATTGTCAATCGAGGCGTCTCAGGTAACGAGGCTATACTCGCATCGAGCTTCTCATCCGTCTTCGCATCTGGTTAACACATATCAGATAAAGGTAAGTGGAATGGTCCGGTTGCATACCACGGGGCGCAGGCGAGTCTCTGCCGTTTGTTCCCAACGCGTCTCGAGTTGTACGGCGAATCCAAGATCCCTGGTCGAAAGAGCGACCAACCCACACTACACACGCGTCGAGTAACTTGCTGAACGTATCCTAATGATTGTCACAATTTCGCCGTAACGGTATTAACGTCACACTAACCTGAAGATCCTTTCGTATCCGTTTATCTTCCATAGCCGCAGTTTGCGTGACTTTATCCGCTAGCACAACAAGACTCCTAATTCCAGTGAGAAAGCAATCGAAGTTGTGAGTAGAACAAGTAAACCTCAGCGTAGGATATGTTTGAGCGCGGAAGTCACGAGCACTTCCAAGGACCTCCTTTGCAAGCTGGAGGAACCGGGGCCACACTTGAACTGCAATAGGTCCTTCCAATCGCTGCATATATTGCTCCAAGAATTGGAAGAGGATAGTATCCGATCTAGATGCGAGTCAGTTGGTTTAGGGTAGAAGGTCCTGATTCGCTCACAAATTAGGATTAATCGCCTGCTTTTTACTCCGTTCTGTAACGCCTGATATCCGCATTGAAATGCTTTCGCATACCATGTGCACAGCCGTTTGCGCACTGGGCAGCAGGGCATCTATCAACTCAAATGCTGCAGCCTATGGGTCTGACTCTCAGCAGGGCTGTAGTGCCAAAATTTGCGTCACATACTGTAGATTGCTTGCTCCAGCATTCAATGATCGATTCAAAGACCTCAGCAGACTGAGCACGGAAGAAGTGTTCAAGTACGCGCCGGCATCGAAGTCTACTGCGGTTGAATATCAATGATAACGAGTCATCTTTGGAAGATCGTGTCGTCGGCTGGGTCCACGCCATTGCCTCCCACATAGCATACAGGACACGCACGGCTTCATGGAGTGATCGGTACCCAGGCGAACGAGCCTGACATATCATGTCTTAGATGTAATTCAGCAGTCGAATTTTGTAGACCCACCGTCAGTTGCTCCTCAGGAGCTGTGGGACTGTTGTCCGAGCCAAATACGCCAGAGACATATCCTAGCAAACCTGTCCCTTCTGTCACCGGTTTCTCGTTCACGCTGTCATCATCCTCGGAGGAGCTAGGCTCGGAGGTATATGCTAGACTCAGAAGAACGAGGCGCTCCATACCATTGAGCAGCATCACGAACTCGGCGTCACTTGAATTCGACAAGGCGTCTACAGTGGTCCCACCAGCAGACGCCGCGCTCTGCACATCCGCTAAGCACACAAGCAATTGCTTACATATGCACTCGTTGAGGGGAGCCACGACCGCTTGTAACGCAGGCTGAAATTGCGGAATAGCCATGAGGATAAAATCAAGCCAATGTTGGAGGACGTGTCGATTAGTCGCAGTAGTGATCCCATCCATCATGGTTTGCGCGAGCAGCGCGTTGGCAGCGAACGCCTTGGCTGGGGGTGGTTGGGCCGGATCAGGTGTCCCAGACTCGTCCTCTATGCGAGGCTTCCCACTGCTGTGAGCAACTGAAATTGAAAGAACGGAGTGTAAGAGGTGCAGAAGTTTGTTCTGGATGTCCAGCCTGCCCGTGTGAACAAGAAAGTACAGCTTAGCAACAATGGCGGCTTCAAGCGACTCGATGATCTGCATATCAAGTTCGCCACGCGGGATTATGGTTTGCAGTATATCGATGCAGGTGGATTGGATCACTGAATTGAATGGTGACATCTCGACAGCAAGAACCTCCTTAGGCTCCGATTGGATAAATCTAATCATCAGTAAAGGCATTGTAGCACAAAGCGTTACGATCAACTACTCACCGAAGCAGAAGTTCCATCAGAGCGTCAAGGTACGGCGTCTCAGAACTGACAGATAGCCCTACACGGAATGAGTCAGTCGAGATTTAGTATCTCTCACAATTTAAGCTACCTGATTCTGTTCTTTTTGCTAGACTAGGATGGAGGGAACGTTTGATCTGCGTGACACGGGCAGTGCGTACAAAGCCTTGGCCACCAAAACGAACAACTGAGAGTAGCGTCTCCAGGAGATGCGAAACGTATCTTTGGTCGAACGTTTTCTCGTAGTAGAAACCTTGCAACTCCCTGCCTTTAAGCTTGTGGGATGTTTGCACCCGGCGTATTAGCGGATTCGTCAAGTCATAGAGAAGAGAGTCTAGGACCCTGAGAATAGCAGGGAGTTGAGTCAAAGGCGCAGTAGGATGTGGATGAAACGGACCGTTGATATGACTTCAGACTGCAGCGCATCCACGTTTCGCCAATGCGACGAACATTAGGATCATCGTTTCTTAGGCCGTCAAGGACGATCATCATCGGTACTTTGAACTTGAAGCCAGGAAGAAGATGGTCCTCTAGGAGTTTACTGTTAGTTATCACACTAAAAAGGTTCGCCGAGGTAAATACCTGTGAGGCGCCAGAGTACACCGAAAGCATCGTATGCACCCTGCAAGTCGCTCGGATTCGTAGTTGCCATCGCCTGCGCGACGATCGCTTCGACATGTGACCGGGTCGTTGAAGCTTCAAGGGCCCAGAGCAGGCTTACTGCTCGGGCATGGTATGCGGTGTATGTAGGACCCAAATATCGTAGGAGTTTGGTAACCATTTTGGACATTGTTGCCCGATGGTCAAGAGATAGTCGGGGCTCCAGACCCTTCATCTGGTGCAGAGCAACCGCCAACGAGACGACTCTGTCGACCACAGTAAAGCTCGAAGGCTATTCTTCCGTTAATAACTGCAGGAGCACAGCCGTGCAGGCCACACGCACCTCTTGTTCAAGAGTCTCCAAAATAATGGCTAGCCACCTCGACGGCACCCAAGCTACTGTGACAGTGGTACTCAGCCTCCCCACCAATCGGTCCACAAGCAGCAATAATTGCGCAAAACATTCACGAATCTGCTGGAGCCTGTTCTCATCCTTGAGTAGGTCGTGTGCGCAAATCTCTGTTAGCATAGTGAGGTTCTCAAAAGCGGTGATGAATGGGTTGTCGAAGGATCTGGTAGGATTTTCGCACTCCCTCTTCGGCGCAATGGAGTAGAAGGAGCAGGCGAAGAGGTATGGCCGTTGGACCAATGTCTCGGCTTGTAGAGAAGCCGTCAGCTCTGGGCGCTTCATGAGCGCGACGTGGGGGATTTGTCGCAAGATCTTCTCCTGGAGCTTCAAAGCCTCGCTAGTTGCGGGTGTACACGCTTTTGACGGGTTTGCCTCCAGCTCAATCTACGTGTTTCAGCATCTAGTAAATGAGAAATTGAAAGACATTCCGGACGTACCAGTAGCACGTCCATAATCGCACCGAAGACGATCGGAAGGTGGATGTTTTGAATCTCATCGTCTTGCGAAAATATCTCAACGATAAACGAAACCATCCGAACGGCCTGGTGAAGTCCTGAACGCCTGACTCGTCATAGAAATAGAAATAAGCTCCTTACCTCCGTTTGGGCGCCATCTCCGGTTAATTCCCCGAATACATGGGTCAGAAGATGCTTCCATATAATCTGTGGTTCGACGGCTTCGTACAGCGTGCTGGCGGTCATCGTCATGTCTTCACCGGCGTCCCCGCCTGCCTGTATTAGCGACTTCACCGCACGGAATGCATCGTAGACAAGGACCTCCGTGAGGGCTGCGCCAACTTCCCATTTGTCCAGCAGCGAGATGAAAATCTTAAATGGCCGCGACTCCAGGTAATCCGCCGATGGTGCAAACATCTCTTCCTACAGATATTGATAGTCAGCCACATCACAGCGAGCAAGATGTTTGCATTCCATGCGCACGAACCTTCAATGTATCCTTGAGGAGCTCCAGAGCGTGCTTTTTGAGATACTCTATTTGATGGTCGCTTTTATCGTCCGGCCCCAGTAACCAAGTATATAGACGTCGATTCAGTGACAAGTCTCTTCGCAAGACAACTCCAGTAGCAGCTCGCATCAATATAGTCCGGTCTTCGGCGCGCGCACGCTGCACGGCGACACTGTCCACACGCATAGACTGCAGCAATAAATCCAATGCGCCGCGCCGCACAAGTAGATTATCATCTTCCAGCGCGGCTGCGAACGCGCGAATCATCAATCCGATGTCACGGCCGACGATAGCGGTAATGTCTGTCAATCTACTCGTCAGTTAAGTGAATATGCATTGGTGTTGGCCCGTGACAATATACCTTCGTCTGCGTTCAGTCGTGGTAGGCGGCGTCCGAGGAAATTTAGGGATGTCCCTCTCGCGGATGGAGTCGTCAACATGATGAGCCAGATGTTTTGGAAGAAGAAGGAATGTGAGACTGTCCCAGAGAGTTTATCTAGGAGACCCAAAACCTGAGGATACGTTAGTGTAGTTTGAAGGCCATCAAAGCAGAGACGATTACCTTTTCGAAGAATTCTCCGGTCTCCTCTTCAAGACCTGGGAGTAGAGCCAAAATGAGGGATTTCATGATTGGCCTCAGTCCGCCTTGTAAAGGCATGTAATGAGTGTCATATAGATTCAGTAGGGTAGGCTGAACAGGAACAAGATCTCAGGGACTTGCACTTGAGAGTGATTATCACAAAGCTCACCTTAACAGAAGTAGCCGCATATTCAAAGAAGGGGAAGAGGCCAGATGACCAGAGTGCTAGGTCGCGCTTCAAACCTTCCGACTGAAGGCGTCTACGTCGGTGAAGCACATCTACCAAGAGTGGGAGAGCTCACCCCTAACACCGCGAGAATATGTGCGTAAACATCCAACGCGCGCTGATGTACACCCGTAGGCAAGGCCGGGTTCAGACACTGCGACAGCCGTTTCGCGACAATCAGCTTCTTGGGGATCTCCTTGAATTGCATGTACGATTGAAACGTCTTCACAGTACATCAGGATACCTACTTCAAATCCACAGTGTATGATGCCACGTACTTTGAGTAGCTGCTTCAGAAACGCGATGCAATCTGCCCATTCGTGTACATTATCGAAGGAGTTGAGGCATTTCTCGACCTGCTGCACGTATTTCTTGTATTTTGGATCATGAGCGTACGTTTGCTGCGCAACAACTATCGGAGTCATGTCAGTCGCACTCTCCACGTCGTCCGGGATAATACTCGGACTGACCACGTTCATTCTTTCTGGTAGAGGCCCATGCTGAGCCTGAGTTAGCGGTTTCCGCGCCTAGGACTTCGACGTCTACGGCATTGCTCGACGACATTTCAGCTTGGATGCAGGCGAATCTGCCAACCGAGAAGCAGGGAGCTGCGGTTCGCACACGTTACTGCTGCAGCCCGCAGTGGTATATGTAGAAGCAGACGGTTGAGTGATAGATGTCGGTCACAGACGTGACATCACGATCCTGACAGGCCATCCATACAGACTTCTGCGCGCAAATGAAACGCAAATCTCACAAGTGCATGATATGTGGAAACGTAGTCAACGAGAATCGGACGGGGGCGTTGTGCCCGGGCATGCGCTGAATGTCACTCAAGTGTCAATCTTTGATTGGGCGGGTGACGGACAGGAAGAGTAAAGTAGTTCATTAGAGTCCCATCGGTCTGAACTCGCCACGACGCGCCCGACGTTGTGGACTACCCACTGAGGCCTAGCCTCGACACGAATTTGTCAAGGTGAAAAATGTGGACTGTCTATACATAGTGCTGGGGAGATAGGGTGACTGAGTCTACGAGGATTCGGCTTCCCACTTCGCTATGAGCTTCTCTAGATCGAAACGAGGGTCCTCCGGGTTTGTCACCACTGTGGAGAGTCGCCGTCAATACGCAGAATAGACAATGCGGCCGGCCACGACAGCACCGGTGACGAGATACCCGTGGCTGGCGACCAAAGGGCATTCGGGGAAGGGAAGGAGTGCTCACCACCAGAGTCTTTGGGCGCCGACAGCTTCTTTTTGTACGCCTCCTTCGCCTCCGCAATCAGGATCTTCCGTTCGTGCACGGCATGGGTTTGCTTTTGGATGTCATGGTCGGCCTGAAGCTGTCTTCGGTGATACCAGCCATAGACGACACCGGTGAATAGAGCCGTGTACCTAGCAACCTATGTCCACAACAAAACCAAGATAATCAACATGGTTAGTGTGTACGCCATACAGCGAAGAAATAATCCCGTACATTGACCGTCGGTGATACCATTCTGGCGGTAGTCTATGTCTGAGCCCAGCAAATGAGAGTTTGGTATATTCGCCGCCTCGACTGTATCCATGGTCAGTCGATTGCGAACATTGTGTCTGGAATTATGCTCACCGAAATTCGCTGGAGGAGTGTGCAGACTCGTTTGAGGAGAAACGGAAACGGAACTGTTCGGATTACGTAAGCCATTCGCCTCCTGCCTAATCCGGATCGGCCCTCCTTTTGCAAGTCCTGGCCCAAATGGCCGAAGGCTCACACAGCACAATCCCTGGGACAGAGTCGGACAAGCAGATGGTTATCTGATCAAGCACCACCACCAGCATTTATGGTCGTTTCTTACACGGGGGGCTGCTTTTGCGGCTCAGTGCGGTATAAAGTAACGGGCACCCCTATCCTCAGCGCATACTGCCACTGCACGCTCTGCCAACGCTTAAATGGTTCGTGTTGGAAAGGATTGCACCATAGCAGCATCTAATGACCATCTAGCGTGTCCATTTATACATACAGTTCATTTCCCTGCATCGGCCTTTTCTTGGGTGCAGTCAGAGCCTGCCGATGTGGTTGCGGACACCTACCAAGTGCAATCCAAGCCTTGGAAACGACGATGGCGCTGCAAGACGTGCGGCTCAAATGTGACATCCGAGAACAGCAAAACAGAGAGATGGAGTATCTGGGGTGCTACGCTGGATCGTGATAGCAACGGTCGAATCGCAGGGTGGGACGCTCTGAAGCCCACTTCGCATATGTTCTACGGCACACGCATGGTCGACGTCGCAGACGACCTGGGCAAATGGGAGGGCTACGAGAACCAGTCGCAGAGATTAGATTGATTCCATGTCTTCATGGTGTTTTTCTTCCAAAATGGTAGACACGCGACATTCACGGCGAAAATGGCAACTATCTCCGTTACCGCATTATCGCTGTTTACCGTAAATACTGTGCACTGGCTTGGAAATGGATGACTGTCAGCGTTTTCTTTTCTGGCCACGTCTTATCGGCCTGAGGTGACTGTCCTCCATTTTTCCTCCCTGAATCCGAGTTGGGGGCGAATCTCGAACTTCGTCGACTCGCCAGTCCAGTGATACATAAAAGCAAATACACCGCGGGAGGATGTTTCGAGCCTCGCCTTGGATCAGTTTTAAACCTGACGTCCATCAGGAAGATCAAATGGACAACGACGTTGACATGGATGCTCCCCAAATCTCGACGCTGCGCGAAGAGGAGACACCTCCGCCCCCGAAGGTGACCAGGCGAATCAGGCTAGTCGTAAAGGAGAAACCTCCTGTGTCGCCCGCACCGTCGGTAGCCAGAACTCAGGCCACGGAAGACGACGTCGACAACGACAACGACGAGGACGAAGAGGACCAGCTCATCGACGATGACAACGACGGTGCGGCGTCTGTGCCCCCTGTGGTCGAGACCCCGTCACCGACAAAACGCAAAGCGGCAGCTAAACGTAAACCGCGCAAGTCTGAGAAGCAGACACCGCAGGCTACCCAGGACGAGAAGAAGGCGCGAGAGAAGGGAACGATAGCGCATGAAGGTGCGGTACTCTTGATTCTGCCCTTCCCCAGTGTTGTTCTGAACCGCGACCCCCTACCCAGAACCTGAGGAATCGAAGCCAGCGCCTGAAGCCATCGTGCCTCTCAGCGCTGTGCCCCCTTCGCTATCTCCGGCAAAGGGTGGTCGCAAACGTGCACCCCGTAAACCTGCTGCAAACCCCCGCCCCAAGAAGGCTCCTAAGTGAGTAGCCCCCGATAGACCGAAGTTTACGATACTGACCCCCCGCAGACTAATGAAACCTGTTATTCCTCCCATACCTCCTACGGAAGACAGTGGAATGTACAGCGATGGTGCGCATCTCGTTCTCCTGATTCCTGACTACAGCTCAAACCACTCGCTACAGCTGCTTTCACTGGCACGGCGGCCTCATCTCCGGTGACGACCCAGATCGACGTGGGCTCGCCTGATCCAGAATCAGAACCGATTCAACTCCCCCCTCCTGCTGCCACAACCCCAGAGGACACACCCCTCGACGCCATGCTCGAGAACGTCGCCCTCCCGATCTACCCCCTCCCCAACAAACCCTTCCCCGTACAACACCCGCCCAAAATCGCCACCGGATTCGCGCCTGTGATCCCATTAGACAGGACCGGCAGGAAGGTCCGCCATTGGCGCGTTGCCAACCGCGAAATCCGCGGAATTGCGGGCGGACGATGGTTCGTGCACTGTTGGGTTGGCGATAAGGAGTCAGAGTATGCTTCGCGCGCCGATGGTTTACTTGGGTCTGGCGCGATGTCCCTGCCGAGATTGGTCGCGTCGTCGTTGTCTGCCCCGCATCTAGGACGGGGCAAGTCCAAGGGCCTGAGAGGTGGTATGGTCGCATCTGCCGGATCGTCTCGCGCAGGTTCAGCCGCCCCGGATGCTACTGCTGTCCGCATCCCAACAAAAATGAGGAACATCGTCAGCGCTGCTCCCTCGGAGCCAGATATCCCAATCAACGACATGGACTCGCGACCCGTCGATTAGTAGATTCTCGTCTGTCATCCAAGACACGATTTTCCTTTTGGACTGTATCTTACTCGCCATGGCATCCGTATAATCATGTATCCGTGTATATATATGGACTTATTTGTTCAGCTACGCCACCACTCGTACTCATAATCTACGCTACTCTCCTTCGTGCATAGTTGTTGCATTGGAAATGATTTCATTGCGTGTCATACAAACCCCAAACGTAGCAATTACAAAAGAACGCGAAGGGTAAACATTTCAAGCCGTCCGGAACCACTGCTCAATCGCCACCTTCGCAGCATTGGTGGTCGCGAACCGCACAAAGTCCTGCCCGGGAACCTTGTTGTTCTCCAAATAGTTGATTAACGCCAACAAGAACGCTTGGTTGTTGAAGCAGTAATACCACTCCTCTCCGTGCTGAATGTGCTTGAACACCTCGCCGGGTAGGCCAGCAGCAAGCATTCGTGCGGGCAAGCCTCCGATGACATCGATTTCGAGCTGCTTCCCCAGCGTTCTGGTGTTGTTGGGCGCAGGCGGTGCAACGTAGTTCGTCACTTCAATATTGCTCCAATAGACTAGAGCGCAAATATAGGTGTTAACAAGTACCGTGAACGAATATGGGGAAGAGCAACATACATGACGGATTAGCCCGGCGGTATGACGCCCTCGCGCCATTTGCTCCCGTCTGACTGCCAATTTTAATGAAGAAATTTCCGCCCGGAGGAGCGGGGATTGGCACGGTGGTACCAGGTATTTGGGCGTGAGCTGGCTGAACTGGGGCCCAATGCCTGGGATCGGGAGAGATCACAATGTAGCAGTGACGGGTGGCCATATCTTCTTACTTCTAGCCAACACAAACGAACGATTAGTGAGGTTCGAAGATAGGATTCAATATAGGACTTACTCGAATTTATCGGAAGGGGTCGAGACTAATGTTCAACCGAGAATTAACACTCGTTTTAAGCAATCCTCAGTCCAAGTAGTACCACATTGGTTCTATCGGCCCAAGGTACAATGCGAGGCCTATGCACAGTAAGCTACCGTTCCTTGTCCTCTAGAACAATGACCCTCGCCGCATAGGACGATCTTTGCCCTCTTAGAAGGAACCTTGAGCCTTTCTGAAGGAAGCCTGGCACAGTTCCAGGAACATTTCCGCTGCAATGCATGGACGAGGATTGGACGCGGACCTCTGTTTGGGGAAAAGTTGACGGGAATGAGATGCACGGCCAGGTCCCAGGAGACTCGCCATTATAAATCAGTAGTAGAAACGAGGAACTCGCTTGTTGGATGAGTGGTGCAGGATGTGCCTTAGCCCTCATCTTCCTTCATACTTCCGTTGTACGCTATTGGCGTGCTCGTTAGAGTGCTGAGCGGAGGACAGGCGGCGCTTGGTTGAAAGCGATCCGACCCCTGAAAAGCCCCTGGCCTAGATTCTATGTGTTCTTTTGCTCTTTCGAGCCTTGACACTCTTGTCGCGTACGCTTTCATTGGAGTAGCGGGATGCGTCCTATGTTCCTGACCTGACTGCATAATCTATGGGTATGATATAAAACGAGACGCAAAATGAAATGTGTGCTATCATCCAGCAATCCCCCAGTGTAACCACCTCCAAGTGAGTTCACTCAATTCTCATACTACAAATCAAATTTCCACCATTTACTGACAGTTGGATTCTGATAGACAACCCACACCTACAACAATGGCTGAAATGGCTTATGTTCTCATTACGCCCGACCCAAGGCACTGGCAACCACTGAACCCGACTGTTGCTCAGCTGCCCGGTGCCCCGCCTAATGGCGTGGTCAACGCTGTCGGCACAAACTTCTACGTCAAGATAGGCGACCAAAATGCCGACGGCCATGGCGCTATAGATGCCTATAAACGGGCGAATCCATCATGTTTGTCTCTCCCCCTTCCCCATACACATGAGCAGATCTAATGCCATAGGTTTAATTTCGATGATACATAGTTTTCTGGGTCGACGTAGTGATCCAGCAACACAATGGGTTCCCGAACGATGCTGGAAAGACGCTAGAGAACATGATCTTCGGCCAAGTGCTTCCCGGAGCGCAGGTGTTCAAGCACATCGGGCACGGCGAGGAGTGGTACTACTGCTTCAATAACCACGGGAATTTGATGAACTTCATAAACGCATGCCTCGCGAATGGCGATGACCATCTGACCTACATAGACGTCCATGCTGCGTACAATGACATACAACATCATTTCCGCACGGCGTAGAAGGAACAATCGCTTTATGTACTCTACATGGTATCATTTGCGGATCTACGGTTGTAATATTAAATTCACGAAGCTTTGAGTCAACTCTTAGGTGTGATACAGTTGCTGCAGGCGAAGTGGCGCGCGCCGGCTGACGTCGTCCCCTAATGGCTCCAGACTCTCAATCGAGCGATGTACATCGCGGTCATGTGTCCAGACGCAGTCTTACAACGATATTATAGTTTACGCGTTACAGTCCATGTAGTCTACTTGCGTTTCGTCCTTTTGGACTCATCAGGAGAGGCACACACCTCCCAACGCAAAACTCCTACCTATAATAAGCTACCAGTCCCCGTGGCCAGCCTGTAAAGGATATGGAAAGCAGTCAGCCCATGGCAGCGTGCAGCGAGGAAAGAGGAAATATAGTTATCCTCATGCCAGCCTCCAGAACTGCAATTGATAGTCGCCTATAACGTCCACTTGCGTGACTTCTGAGCCGCTTAGTCGAAGTAGCTCTCGATGATCTTCATTGTCACCGCTCCCCGGCGACCGGACCTGATCTTGCTGCCCTTGAGGTGGTGAATGCTCTTCTTGCGCTGGAGGCTGACACTGCGTTCTTGACGGCCTTCGAGTCCGGGAACCATACTTATCCCTAGCCCCTGACCTACCTTCGCGGTGCTCCCGGACACGAAGCCACGCTCTTGATACACTTGCTGTTCTTGACGATCTTCTTCCAGTCCGGGCACCATACTTAACCCTAGCCCCTGGCCTACCTTTGCGGTGCGCCCGGACAGCAAATAGCGGGTCTTCAGGACGATAAGGGGTACATCCTCGTCGTCGTCTTCACGTTCAGTGGAAAACTTGGAGGACGACGAGGAAGCGCTGGGCATCGCCTGAGGATCCTTGAACGAGTCGAGAGAGAAAGGCGAGGTGTTCGTCGAGCCAGCGACGAAGGGAGAAGCGTAGAGAGATGTAGAAGACATTGCAGATAGGAGTGTAAATGTAGAATGTAGCAGTATGAGATCAAGAAGTGATGGGGTGCTCTGCGTGCGATGGGGAGACTATATACCTTTCGGCGGTCAGCCACTGTCCGTCACAGGGGCATACAGGGGTCAGAAGAAAGGGGCTGTCGATCTTGATCGGTTGCTTCCGTGCCCCACTTCATAGACTGATGAAACTTTCTCTGCCTCGGAGTCTTCATGTCTAGATTGCTTAATGATGTTCTGAGTTATCCAAAGTACATCGAAATTGTTCGTGAGAGCTAGACAATGGAAGGAAGAGGATGATTACGTACTTGTAGCTCTCATGAGGTTCCCCATACGCAACTCCTAGGCCTGCGGGAAATACGGTAGAGTCAAATGGATTCAACGTACACGGATTCTTTGTGACCACTCTGTAACCCATGGTTCCATTGAAAGCATGAGATCAGTTTCGGACATTTCGCATGATATCGCAGGTGACAGACAGAGCTCTCTCCCTGTCAGCGACTGAAAATATGGAATCAAGCGGTCAAGCACCCTACCCACCTGGTCACCGGCCGCGGTCTTCTTGCTTCCCCAGAAGGGCCATCTTCTCACCAGTGGGAAGTATGATGAACACGTACTCGAAATGCAGTGCTCTTTACAACAAAAGTACTGGACTATACCTGCACTGAGATACTTTGTTCACTGGTAATTTATTTGAGACCAACGCCAACGTGAGCTCAGGAACCGGTCTGGAGAAAGTCGGTGATGTTGTTGCGATGCGGAGGTAAGCTTAGTGTACCGTGGGAGATTGGTACTTGCGAGAAAAGCATACGTGGCACTGTGCGTTGGCCACGGGTATTTAGCCAAATCTCTGCGCTAAGACCGTCTCTCACATTTTGTATCCGTTCCCTCCTCTTCTTAGCTTCCACTCATCGCTGTCTGGCCCTTCGTACTCATCATGCGAAGCGTAGCGCTCTCCGTCTTCCTCGTCGCCGCCGCCGCCTCCGCCGCGTCGGCCGACGAGCAACCCAAACCCACTTTTGCAGTGAGTAGCAACGTGACGTATGTACGTGTCCCGACCTCGAGCTCACTTTTCTGCGTCGCCAGCCCTCCGACATCAAGGCACCTTTCCTCGAGCAGTTCACCGATGACTGGTCAGAACGGTGGACACCCTCAGAAGCCACCAAGAAGACCGCTTCTGGTGGTGAGACCTGGAGCTACGTTGGCAAGTGGGAAGTCGAAGATGCCGAACCCTCGGTCATCGAGGGCGACAAGGGCCTCGTCGCCAAGTCAAAGGCTGCCCACCACGCCATCTCTGCTCCCTTCAGCGCGCCCATTGACTTCAAGACCGAGCCTCTGGTCGTCCAATACGAAGTCAAGTACCAGAAGGGTGGTAACTGCGGTGGTGGTTACCTCAAACTTTTGGAAGATGGCTTCCAGACCAGTGGCAAGGACTTCTCGGACACGACACCTTGGGTGGTTATGTTCGGTCCTGATTTGACTTGCCCTGGAACGAAGGTGAGACGCCCTGATATTCTGACATGTTGAGCGTTCACTAAGAGTGACTCGTGTTTCCTTAGGTTCACTTCATCTTCCGCCACAAGAACCCCAAGACTGGTGAATACGAGGAGAAGCACCTCAAGAGTGCTCCCCGTCCTTCTATCGAGAAGAACACCAAACTCTACACACTCGTTGTCAAGTACGTTTAACGCTTTACTGCGCAGAGTATCCTCTAACACGTGGTCGTTGTCTCTAGCCCGAACAACACTTACAGTGTCTCCATCGACGGCGAGAGCCTCAGCTCTGGAAGCCTCCTTGAAGACTTCGACCCAGCCGTCAACCCGCCCAAGGAAATTGACGACCCCGAAGACAAGAAACCCGAGGACTGGGTTGATGAGAAGAAGATCGCCGACCCCGACGCTACCAAGGTGGGCGTCATGATCCCGTCGCGTCTCGCATTGTAACTCACCTTGATTGATGCACGCAGCCTGATGACTGGGATGAGGACGCGCCTTACGAGATCCTTGATGAGGAGGCCACCAAACCCGAAGGATGGCTCGAAGACGAACCTCTTACTATCCCCGACCCAGGTAATGCCTCAGTTTCCCACTACGTGTTCGTGTTTATTCATACCACTATTTATAGATGCCCAGAAGCCTGAAGAATGGGATGATGAGGAAGATGGTGATTGGGTCGCCCCTACCGTCTCCAACCCCAAGTGCGCTGAAGCTCCAGGCTGTGGTGAATGGAAACGGTACGCGCAACTCCAAGCAATGAATATCCATTCGCTTACCCGCTCCCTGCAGCCCATTCAAGGCTAACCCCGACTACAAGGGTAAATGGTACGCGCCTCTCATCGACAACCCCGCCTACAAGGGCGAGTGGGCCCCCAAGAAGATTGCCAACCCTGCCTACTTTGAGGACCTCACCCCCGTCAAGAGCCTCAACAAGATTGTGGGTATTCTGACGTCTCTTCGTCGTTTCAGGAAGCTAATTATTGTGTCGTCATATAGGGTGGTGTCGGTATCGAACTCTGGACTATGACCGAGGATATCCTCTTCGACAACATTTACGTCGGTCACTCTGTTGATGACGCCAAGGCTCTCGCTGCTGCTACCTTCGAGGTTAAGAAGACTCTTGAGACTGCTTCCCAGAAGAAGGAGATGGAGGAAGAGGACGAAGATGAGACTCCGTCGTTCAAGGAGGATCCCGTCCAATTCATCCGCTCCAAGATCTTGACCTTCGTCGACGCTGCCAAGATTGATCCCCTCGCTGCTTTCAAGACTCAACCTGAAACTGGCGCCGCTTTGGCTGTTGCCCTCTTCACCATCTTCGGCATGATTGGCGCTACCCTCGGCCTCATTGGTCCCCAACAGAAACCCATCACCAAGGTATGTTCATCACTGCGCGCACGTCAGATTGATTGCTTACCAGCGCTGCAGTCCGCTAAAAAGACTGACGCCCCAACACCTGACTCCAAGAAGACTGACTCTGCGCCCGTCGCTCCCGCTGGTGGTGAGAAGAAGGAAGAGGGTGGCGCAAAGAAGCGCACTGCTGCTGCTGCGAAGTAAAGTCCGTAAAATGAACCAACTAAGGTGGACGGCGGAGGGAACGCCCTGCCACTTGTAACCGTTTTGGGTCCAACCGTATTTACATTGCATTGCATTTCCACTTACGCTATATATGAGTTAGTTACCATCTGAACTCGTTCCTTCTTCGAAAGTGCGATTTTGAGAAAATTTGTGTGCATGAGGTCCTTCCCAGCGGTTGAGCAATATCCCCGGGAAATATCGTGACGTCGGGCTTACTCGATTCTCTGTTTCTCTCCTTCCCACTCGGCACTTCATAGATCCTTCCCGCTGCGTCGAACGACGAGCAGGACGTGTATTTCTTCTCCTTCGCGCGTATAAATGCGACAATGCCGGGCATCGGGGGCTCTCAAAATCCAACATGGGTTGCTGGTCACGCGTCCTTGTCGACAGACAATTCTGGCCCGAAAATACAACAATCTCGCGCAAAAGCTTGAGCAGCCGACTCAACGAACAGATCAGGCACCACCCATTCCTTCGTCGTCGTCGTCGACTTCGAGCACGAGATACGAGCTACCAACCGCAGCCGTGAAGGATGCGTTACCTCGTCGAACGGAACAGGCCAAATCGAAGACTGTGGATCCGTACACCCTCCTTGCGCCTCAATTGACGGTAGTTCGAACAAATCTACTCGGTCTGCTAGGTTCAGCGCACGAGGGCCTCACAGAAATCGCGCAATACTACTTCCTACACCCCTCAAAACAACTCCGACCACTACTCGTGCTCCTGTTCTCGGCGGCGACAAATGGAGTGGGGAGGGGATGGGACGCGAAACGGTGGGCTGCGGAATGCGAGGGCGCTGGTGGACGGGGCGAGGAACTGGATCAGCCACTATCCCGACCGGACGTGCTGAACGACTGGAACCCCAACATGCCTGACCACACACGAAGCTTCGACACCGTATTTGAGCTACGACCGCCGATATCTCATACGCCTCGAATACAACTCCCTCCCGACTTCGCTTCAGCTTCAGCTCCTGGTCTCAGCCAGTCCCTGACTTTGCTGCCAACTCAGTTGCGGCTGGCCCAAATCGTCGAGATGATTCACGTCGCGTCTCTGCTGCACGACGACGTGATAGACAAGTCCCCTCTCCGTCGCGGCGCTGCCTCTGCTCCGTCTGCGTTTGGTAACAAGCTCACGGTTCTCGGGGGCGACTTCCTCCTCGGACGCGCGAGTACGGCCCTATCGCGCCTCGGGGACAACGAAGTCGTTGAGCTTATCGCTAGCGTCATCGCGAACCTCGTAGAAGGCGAAATTCTGCAACTGCGGGAGGTGATCAAAGCTAGCGCGGACGGATCATCTAACGCAAATGTCGCGGCGGCGATGGCTGATTTCCCCGCGAAGGTAGATGTGAGCAGGGAGGCTTGGGGGATATATCTGAGGAAGTCGTACATGAAGACGGCTAGTCTGATGGCAAAGGGCGCGAGGGCTGCAGTAGTGCTGGGTGGCTGCAAGGAAGGGGAAGTCTGGAAGGAGGTGGCATATGCTTACGGGCGGAATATCGGCATCGCATTCCAAGTACGTGCCCCTCACGCTGCTACCGAACTCCGCACTAACTCACTGATTAGCTGGTGGACGATATTCTCGACTACGCAGAAGGGGAAAGCACGATGGGCAAGCCAGGGGGTGCTGATCTGCAGTTAGGATTGGCCACGGGGCCAGCGCTGTACGCATGGGAAGAATTCCCGGAGATGGGCCCTCTGATAAGCAGGAAGTTCAAAGAAGACGGTGACGTTGAGTTGGTGCGTGAATCGATGCAGTGTGCGGAGTAGTGCCCTACTGACCGAGTACATGATGACAGGCGCGCGAGCTGGTGAAGAGGTCTGCTGGGGTCGAGCGTACACGCGACCTTGCGATGCAGTACGCCAACAAAGCCCGCGAAGTGCTACAGTACCTCCCCGAGAGCGACGCACGAGTTGCGCTGGAGGTGCTCACTGACCGTGTCGTGAAACGGACGCGGTGATCGCTTCGAACTTCAAAACTACAAGACTTCCCGCGAACATTTGCACACGCGCATAGCTGATGTACTACAGTGTTTAATGCTTTTTTATGGCTTTATTAATTTCGTTGCTACATCATCCACCCCTCCCATTCGGATACTTGACGCACACTTTTAGAGACCCTTGTCGCACCTAGAGTGTATCCGCTGCGTACTCACTTATACATTCACGAACTTAGAGCTAACAGAAGCACCCAGCTATAACTTATAAGGAGCCACTGCGCGGTTCCTGAATCCCTGCATGTAAGTATATAAACGCGATCGGGCGTATACCTTTCTCGGATCGGGAGCGAGGCTGGTTCCTTTCCAACACTTCGCGGGTCACCGTCAATATCCTCCACTGGAAAGTCAACTCGATCCCGCTGGTGCGGAGAAGCTGAAAGCGCAGTGGAACGCGCTGTTCGCGCAGAGGAAATGGGCCGGGGCGCACGCGAAGTACTCTGAAGCGATTGAGCAGGACGATACAAACCCGGTTAAGTACATCACAAGTTCGCCTCGAGCTCGATGCAAAGAAGGCATGGGACTGCAGCACTGTGGTCATCAAGAAAGATTCGAAGGAATGCCTGGAGACCCAAAGCTGTAATGTCGTTTGGTCGTTTGCGAGAGTCTGTACACAACGATATGGTCGGCTCATCACCGCTCACCGTTTTCAGGTCAGGTTGCTAACCACGTATTGTGCGACAGGGTATGGATTTCTCGTGCTTTCCTAATGAACTCTTCTAGCGCCCATTCCATGGGTATGGAGCTCTATGGAAAGGCTCTAATTGAATAGGGCTGCGAAACATGGCGCGATGCTCTTGAGGATCCAGACGCGGACTTGTATATGTTCGATCCCGTGGTTGGCAGCGGGTACGAACGTTGTATCTCAATTCAATCATGGACGTGAGTGGCTCCCCGCCTTGACACCTGCGTTGTGCATACATACTGACAGAAAGATGAACTGAACAGGCCCTCAGTAAAGGCAGCACGGAAAATTACACTTTCCAGGACTTCATCAAGATGGCGCAGACTCTCGTAGACGACGTTGAACCCCGGGACTACCTAGCCTTCTGGATGAACCCCAAAGCCGAAGGTCAGTCACGATGATATCCTTCGAGTACTTTGCGACTTACTGTTGGGTTTAGCATGATCGGATTCTGCTACATGCGCATGCCCTACAAGGAAGCGCGAGTTCTCGAAAACTACACCAAGTCAGCAGGATCCTTCCCCGAAGACGACGAAAAACGCGTGTATTTCCTGACACTTGCACTTGAGGCACTCTGGGGGCGCGAAGGCCCAGTGAAGGAGACGCTCCCCGTGGCGGAGAAGGCTAAGAAATCTATCCCGAAGATGAAGAGAAGCTGGGAGCACTCGGCGATGTCTAAACGGCGCCATGCCTCCATTACCCTCATGTTGCAGTTTGAGAAGCAAGTGAGGGAAGGTGATCAATTCTGGGCGAACGACCATGGATTTCTTCGCAAAGCCCAGATGCCATGAGTACTCCCAATGTCTTGGCCATTTCATTCCTTCTTGATTCTTGTAGCATAAAGTTCTCTCTTGTAGCGTGTAAATAGTCACCGATTGCAATGTATATATTCATTACAACTAGTATCAAGCTGGGGGACTACCAGCGTCTGGTCCGCTCGTCTCCTCGAGCCCTTGCCGCAAACCCTCCAGCGTTCTTGCCAGTCTTCCTCCACTAGCCTCACTGAGCACCGCGGCGAGTTGTGTGCTTGGAGCGCTCAGCAACCCAACAATCTGGGCCCTCAAAGTCTCCAGGGTTGGCAACTTAGACACCTCCCGTACGCCTTCAGGTAGGAACACCTTTCCGTCTATTATCGCTCCGACCACCGTCAACTCGGGATGCAGAATAGCGCGTTGCTTCTTCATCCTGCGGCCGGGCGTCACGGGATCCGCATTTTTCTCCTCTAGCTCTTTCTTCAGCTCTTCCTCCGTCTTGGGTTTCCGCGGTGGGAAGCTTCGGTCTAGCACACGAAGAATGGCGTGAAGTCGTGGTGGGTCGAGTACAGGGAGAGAGAGGACAGCAAGTCCCCCTGATACCTCGTTGGTCATCTTGTCCATTGCGGTCACATCAAGCCCGGGGTACTCGCGCAGCGCTGCGCCGAATATGCTCGACCGTATGACGGTGAGTTGCGGTTGGTATTCGATGGGAGTTGGCGAGGCCAGCGACGGTTTGCTTTTATTAGCAGCAGCAATGTCGTTCCGGAGCTTTACGAGTCGCTGGGCAGAGAAGGCGTTGTGGCGGAGGAAGACGAGTGGGGAGTGTTCGGTCGTTTGGAGGATCTTGGTGTACCAGCTGAATTGGAACGCTTTTTTGTCCTTGAAGACGCGGGGGAGGCGCTTCCCTTCAAGGACCTTTGGTGGCTTTACAGAGATGGCGTACGAGCGCGTCTGCAGCGGCCATGGCGAGCGCGACGAGCAGCGGGACAACATTTGAGTGGACACAAGCGACGACCGGAGCGGTTTTCCAGTCCGGGTCACATGTCTGAGCGCAAGATAGGAGTTCCCTCCCAATTCACAAAACCACGCCCTCCAAAAAGCAGTAAACGGGATGATCGCCACGACCTTCGCAACCTCCATGCCGGCCGCTCGCCTTACACCTGCAGTTCTTTTGCCATGAAAGCTTGAAATGCTGACGATACACGGGAGAAAATATCACCCAGGCACTCTAAGTCAAAACATCCTATCGACCGAGAGACCAGTGAGTAGTTTATCGAGCTAGAGCATACTTAACTTGATGCCTTGCATTAATTTTGTCTATTTCTGAGATGAATGAATGTTCGTAAAACATTCCCAGAACATTGACAACGTCAAGTACTATCTTTATCTCGCTGAAAGCGGGCTTCTCTAATGCATCTTTCCTCGTAGTGGCCAGCAAGTGCAGAGACTCCACAGTGTTTATTTTGAGCAGCAGTGTTGTCGTGGTCAATCGACCCAGGCCTATGCACATATCACCCATTCCTTAAACCCGATCCGCCCACCGGTGCATGGACAGCATTTACTCCATGGAACCACAGAGTTCCATGCAACCAAGTAGCTTGATCAGTGCAGCCTCTCCGGATTTGCCCCTTACTCAAGGATAGGCAGCTCTTCAATGTCCTGATCGAGGTCGCCGACTTCCATATCCCTCCCAAGTGCACTCTAGAACCGAAATACCCATACATCCTAGGGTCGATTTACCACGTAAGGGAGGTCGTGCCGTTGCATCTAGCCTGCACTTCATTGAAGCCTGCATGACCGACCATACGGCGTAATCAAGTGAACCGTCTATGCTCAACGCTACTATAAGGACTGGTCCAAGTACCATCAATTCATCGTACTCCTTGTGCCTTCACTTGCGTCCATCTGCATCATGGCTAGTGTCCTGACAATTCGCTCTCGTATCATCGTGTTCCTCTTGGTCGCTGCCTGTCTTGTTGCTGCTCAATCGCAATGTGACTGTAGTAAGTCAAAGTCGTCTTGCATTTTATCGCAACTCACCAACAAAATATCATGTTTATCGTAGCACACGGAACCAGTGGACATCACTATAGTAAAGCAGACGTTACGAATGCATTCGATGAAGCCAAGAAACACCAGTCAAACACGGTCGGGTGAGCGAACAGGTAGCAAAATCTAGCTCATGTCTGACGCTGAATTTCAATCAGTAAAAGTCGCGAACAGAAGGGGAAATTTCCTCATTACTTTGGCAATGCCGAGGTGAGCTTTATGGAATTCTTCCTCAGTATGCATCCGCCTACGCGTTTCCGCAGTTATTGGCATTTCCGACTGGCTGCAAAAAGCCTGACTTGCTCGAATTCCCTATCCTCCATGATCACACTCTATTCTCCAACACCTCTGACCAAGGAGCAGACCGTGTCGTATACAACAAGAAAGGAGACTTCTGTGGTGGGTTTTGGCCAGGCAAACCCCAGTCTGACTCAATCTAATTCTAACAACAGGATGTATGACCCACACCGGTGCAGCTACTCCGAACGGATTTGTACTCTGCAAATAATAGATAGGTATTACACGAGGGGCACCATGTAGCAAAGGTGGGCTCGACCTCCGTACAGAAGGTAGACAGCCTGGTAATGTCAATCTACAGTGGCGTGTGATGCTTCGAACGTGCTATTTCCAAGCTTCGGCCAGGAGTGGACATATCCTCTGGTGGTCGCTTGGTGGAGATGGAGCGAGAGTGCGACGTGTTGCCGTTTGAGTGGACCTCCAGAATATGGCGAAGTCAGTCCATGTCAGGGGCTTTCTCCTATCTGTCCGCCATCTATCTTAACCTTGACCAACGACCAAATCCTAGCTGCTGATGGTGCTGAATACGCACTAGCGACGGGAAATTTTTGACTGGCACGCGCGCAGGGAATTTAATCGACATTAAATCCTCCACAATCGTGGACCGTTTGACACTGACTTGACAGACCATGACTAGAGCATTACAAATGTCGCAAGATATGGTTTATATGTGACAGTCAATTGCTACGGGAATCAATACAACTCAAGGATTGGAACTACTACTGTGACTTAGCTTGACTTACTGCAAGTGTAACAACGAAAGAATGAATTCATCCTATATTCTAGGGAGTCAAGGTCGTAGTTACTGTCACTGATGACCATAGCATCACAGACTACTATAGACTGTATATACTCTTACCCATTCCTCACGCCGCACACGACTAGCTACTTACGCCTCTGCTAGTAACACCTGGCCTGCAGTAGATCCAGCATTCATACCACCGGTTACGAGCGGAATTATTTTATAAAGGGTGGTCACAGTGCTACGGTCCTCACCGAGCCTTCCTTCAATCTCCATCATGTCTAGAGTAGCCGGCCTGGTAATCCGCCCTTGCGTGGTTTTCATCCTGTTGATTGCAGCCCTGCTTGTCGCTGGTCAATGCAACTGTACTGTGTGAGACCCGCTCCGTGCTGAATCACGATACTGATCAAATACTGATTCATCCTTCTCCAGTGGCGGGCGTGGATATTCCCATAATATGGCTCACGTTAACAATACGCTCAACACAGCCAGGACTTCAAGGGGGGTTGGGTGAGCGAAATTCATCTATCTCAATTTTGAATCTCACCGTGAATCAGGTTCAACAACTATCCTCATCAGTTTTGGAACTTCGAGGTGGGCGTTAAAGGACTGTCCTTTGACGTACATCTGCTGACTCTTGCTCGCTGTCTGTAGGGATTAATATTTCCTGCACACTGCTCAAACAACCTGATGGAGTTCCCCCTGCTGCGTTCTGGGATATTTAATGGTACCTCCGGCCCAGGGATGGAGCGTATTGTATTTGTATACCACAACGGAACAGGAAACTTCTGCGGTGAGTATACCACAAGACTCAAAACTTAGTTCAATGGCCGAGTTCTTCTACAGGGTGCATGACACACAATGGTGCACAAAAAAACCGATTCATATTATGCCATTGAGCATGCTGTAAAGCGAATTAGTGATTAATAGTAGCTTCATACCCATTGATACTGGCCTTTACAGACGTAGCCACGATGCATGATGTCTAAGCAGTAGGTACAAATGGTTTGGAGCAGCAGTAGAGATCACCTGAGATCATCAAGAGTAACCAGTAATCAGTTTGGAAATATCAGCGGTAAGTCGCTCAGAGGCGTGTGGCTAGAATGTGAATGGAAGACTAGAAGTGAGAGTTGCCGAAATCTTTGAACTCGGCGAACAAGTCTGATGAAAACGCCGCCAGTTAACAGATTGTTCACTACCCCCAGCATGGTGTCGACCTCAGCATCAAGCTCAAGTGCAGGACATTCAAAAGCAATAATGCTTCCGGATGTTCTGGTACTCATCTTCGAGCATCTTACATTGACCAGGTAGTCGTGCCTCGCGGCGACCCAAACTTGCCAGGCATGGAGGAGGGTCGCAATTGCAATGACTCAATTATGGTGTTCCATAAGATTGTCCTTTTCACCGAATATGACGAAAATGTTTCTGCGACGTTCCAGATCGGCCCCGTTGCGACTGTGCGGACCCGATACGGACGATACAAGTGACGAAACCCTTTCCATGATACTCCGGCACGCTTCACCCTTGAAAGAAGTTGACATTAGCAACGTTACGCACGAAGATTGGCTACAGTCGACTCTCTTATAACCCATGGCCCTCGTAACCCATAATCCCCCATAACCCATACATTTTGGCGTCCACCGGCTTGGTTACCAGGGAAATTAGCAAAATCCCCCATACTCCATAATCCATACCTTTTTGGAGGTACCAAAACCCATAAACTCTCGAATATACCGAAATTCATACCTCTTTTAGAAGGCCATAATACATATTTGTACTGATATTTACGGTAAAATTTTAAGCTATGCATTGAAAAGTTCCAAGTTGCACCCCTGAGCTCCGCAACCGATACGTTGCAACCCTTTTGTAATCCGTTACACTTTTATAATGTTTTCCAAGCAATCTTGTATGATTTCTTGCTCTCATATACTTGATTGTGGATGCTTTTTGCTACCATACATTAATTGTAGATACATCTTAATAGGCTGTAGAATAGCGTACATAATGTCCTTAATTTTTTCGTTGTATATTTGGCATAGACGCCCAATAAGCGCTCTCAAGCAACCCATACTCTCTAATAACCCATACTTTTTTGTGTCCACCGACAGGTATGGGTTATAAGAGAGTCGACTGTAGTATCTCGTCTATGCCCAGAACACTAGCGCTGATTCACAGCTGACCGGCGGTCAATTGTTCCGGTACCTACCCAAGCAGTAGCCTAAATCGCCCCGGAGTTTACAACAATTCGTAATATTCTTGACTAGCACAAGGGAAGATTGGGACAGTCCTGATTTCTTCGCTAGGATACATAACGGAGCACCCACACGCAGTAGCTTCGATTATGTCAGTGATGGGCTAGCAATACTGTCGAGTCGATGATCGTAGCTTCGTGCCGATCAATTGAAGCTTTCCTAGATAATCAATGCACAGTGCTCAACGAGTTCAGCAGAAACCCCATCGATGATCAAGTTCGTTCTAGTGTAGGGCATGAATGCGGTTTGGCAATGCTCTTCTGATCCTAGCGAGTGAGTGGCGATGAATCCGCTGTGGAGCGTGATTGAAGTTGCGAACATCTGTGCTAAGTAAAGGAACTTCGGTGAGAACCAAAAAAGCAGCATGAGGAATCACATAGTCACTCTACTCCGTCGGCATCATAATCACCATTACTATGTAGCGTTGACGCGACCGATACAGAACTCCCAAGTGCGGTCTTCGCCACCTTCGCCAGTGGTCCCATTGCCGTGCGCCCGTTCACCCTTCGTCATGCGATGTTCATATCCCTTCCATGCCTCTCTGAGAAACGCGAATGATCTGACGACCATATAATGTGGATTGGGAGGTGTGCTACCCGTAGGTGGTGGAGGTTTCTTGGCTAGCAATGGGACGTCCCTATTTACAACACTTGAGGATCATTCATAGGTAAACGCATTTCAAGGGTGGACATACCACAAAGTATACGGCTTCACATTTCGTAGGGTGATGAGGACGGTGCCGCGCGATCGTGCAGACGTACGTTCATCGTCATCCTGTGTGGTAGCATCGTTGTCGAGGGTGTCGTCGTCATCGTCACCCTCTGTCTTCTTTTTACGCGTGGATTTAGCGAACGGTATAGGACCTCGAGCAAGTAGATGGGCGGCCGATCGTAGAAAGTCCAATATGAGCACTTGATTGGACAAGATATTGCGATCTTGATCGGCTATACCCTTGCCTGGGAGGAACTTAGAGAGAGAGGCTGAATGTTCTGGCAAGAAGATGGCGTACCAGCATGGGGAAAATTCCACACGATCTTATCCCATTGCTTGTCCTTTAATGCAGCATGCCGCTCCAGTTTCGTGGCATCGACAGCAAAGATCACTCGCACGCCTTTCTCTCTGAGTCTTGCAACAATGTCCTGGGACTCGGGGTATTTTTTGTAGCATTCTTCTTCAGTGTCGTACGCCGTCGCGGTCAAGTTCACCGGGGGAAAATGCTCCAGTTGGTGCGGTGGATCGTAAACAAGAGCATGAGCAAACGAGAAGTTCCCTTCTCCAATCAGGAGTATGCTATCAGTCACAGCGAACGGCACTGTCATTTTCTGAGGAGTAGCCTTTCCCTTCCCCTTCTCATTGACGGCCGCGACAGGTTTCTTGGGCTTGTGACCAGATTTCTTGGCTTTTGATTTCTGGTCTGCTACCTGAGCCGCATGAGTTTGCTTTTCCTTGCTTTTGAACCGAGACTGCTGAGATTTGAGTGCAGCCTTTAGGGATTTTGTGGATGATTTGCCCATTATGGTCGAGTCAAGGAATAAGTCGACGTCGGTCCGCTTGTACCTGATCGGGATCGGCGCGCTATTTGGTCTTCCCAGCTTTGGCATCTGAACCAAATACGAGTGTGCCACGCCTGTAGATGACGATGCTGCCACGTCTTGTTCTGAACATATACATACTCCTTCGCTGCAAAGGATCACCTTCGCACAACACCTCATACACTCATTTCTCATTTTTGTTTATTCACTAAAATGGTGCGTATCCCATGAATTTTTTTGCACGGGCACTGTATTGACCCAGATTTTACGCTACTAGCCTACCGAATTCGAGATGCGCCAGCGAAACGCTAAGTTCGCAAATGCAGTGAAAGCAGGCAAGAAAGCTACAAATCCCTCACGGCAGGAGCAACTCGCAAAGAGAAGCCCGGTGAGCATCTGGGCGCTGGGAATCATCGTCTTCGTTGTGTGTGGTGGAAGTAAGTTTCGTTTCATATCACGAGGTCGATCGCGCGAGCTCACATTCAACTAGTCCTCTTTGAACTTGCGCGTATAGTATTCCTATGAAGGAGATAGCTGCTGCTGCCTATCCGAAAACGCCTGGCTCTCGCCGTTGTTGTATGGCAATTCAGAGCGGTACTCTGCATATTACCGGATTATAATGTGTACCACCATGCTACGCTATCTATTCTGTTTCTCACACCAATCTCAAAACAGGATTAAGATGATAATAAGACAGCTACATTACATTTAGTCGTCCCCGTTCGCGCTAACACTCATACTTTGGCTTCGCAGGCTGGCACTCCCTTTCGCATTGCCCTGCCCGCTCCCGCTTGGCGTGGTTTCTTCGATGCCTTCCATGGCGTCACCTTCGAGTTCCTTCTCATCAACCTTGACTTCGTCTCCAGCCCATATACGCATTGTTGGCTGCCAAACCATGACGACATTGTCCTCCGATGTGCTGGACACCGTCCAGTTCTCTTGCTCACCAGGGGCCCAACAGAAATCGGTCGGTCGTGCCGTATGCCCTACATGGTTGTTAGAGGTGCCCTTCACGCTGACGCGATAAAACCCACCTCCGTGGACGAAGAGCAGTTCTGGAGGGCCGTCCTCCTGGTCGTCAGGAGTTTGCTCGACTCCAATCTGCGAGAGGTCCCAAACATTAATGCGTCTGTCACTCGATGCCGAAGCAAACACGGTTGGGTTGTGCGGAGACCATGCCAGGTGCAAGACTTCGTCTGTGTGACATTCGAAGGAATGGAGCTTCTTCGCTGGTGATCGAAGATCATGAAGAACAATTGTCTAGAGTGCGTATCGGTCTGTAAGCCGTGTAATAAGACAGACGGGCAGCTAGTTCACCTTGTCAGCACTGCCTGTTAGAACTAGATGCTCCTTTGCAGGACTGAAAGCAACAGCCAAGATTTCCCGATCGTGAGCCTGGATTTTCGTGGCAGCCTCAGACGTAGTCCGCGTATCCCAGCTGAAGAGCACCGAAATTAGTAAGGTCGTTAGATAGAGGGCGGATGATAGCCCACATAAATAGCATTTTATCGTCCCCGACGCTCGCGAATACATCCTGGTTGATGGGGTTCCAGTCGACGTCCTATACACATGAACACTGTGAACTCGACATGCCATGACCATGATTGGGGAAATGAGATGTGCTTACGCCAACGATGGATGTGTGCCCACGGAACACATTGGTAGGCTCAATCGTAGTTTTGGCTTTGGTGTAAGAGTTCACGTCCCTGATTGACCAATAAATCATGTGTTCACGCGTTGAGAGCAAGACATACCAATGGCAGATGGTCATATCCTCAGACGCGCCAAGGATATGTCCTGCTTTGTTTGGGTTCCATGTTAGGCCATACCTGGCATTCTCCTTCAACACCTATATTGAGAACGCATCAAGAAAGGGGGCACTTACCCCTCCCTGGTCTGACCCACAAGCCGTATATCAGGCTTACACACACCACCTCGTTCCGGTTCACTGGAGTGTTTCGTACGATCAAAGACTAGAACCTCCCCTGTAACAGCCTTTGTCGCAATCAAGTCCGGATTCTGGGGCATGTATCTCGCTCTGTTGACTTCGCCCGAGTGGTTAATCTTCTGAATGATTTGGATCTTGGGCTGTGGGGGTATGGTGTGTCCACCAAGTTCGCCACGATCGTCGTCGTAGTCCCCTCGGTCCAGCTTATCAGAGGTAGGGCTGGAATCCCGCTTGGGCATCTGTACGGTAGCGATTTGAAGGTAATCTTGAGCCTGTCCGGACGTGTGTGTACCGAGAAGCAGCCTGTGTGTAGTATACGGCTTGTTTTGCGGCCTACATACCTCGTTAGTGACCGGCGCGAATCCGCCAAAACTAGGATGACACACGATTCTTTGTCCGGAAACCACTGGCATGTCAGACTTGGCCAGTCGAGTGCGTGCGTAATCACAACGTCGTAGAGATATGGTGCATTCTTCTTCCTGAGTAGTACGTTTAATCCACAGATAACACGAAGAACAAGACAGCGACGCGTCGATGCACCCACCATGTTTTGTATTCCTATCAAACAGTAAATAAACGGTGAAATGGATAATCGGGGAAGGACGCACCTCGTTGATGAGCTTGTTCTCCTCCTCTGCGGCCAAGTCATCTTCGACCTCCTCGACTTGGGGTTTCATGTTGAATGCGTTGCAGTAAATGTTCTTAAAGAACTTCTGTAGTGGCACCTCTATGGGCGCTTAGAGTATCGCTGCTTGTTTTTGTTTGGCTGGCCTAGTGCCCCTATGTGTGAGTGTAGCCCCTGTTACGCGAAGGCTGGCGGAAGCAGATCGAAACCCCTAACCTCCCTACAGAACCATATATAGTTCCCCATCGCACGCAGGACACCCCCATCACTTCTTGATCTCATACTGCTACATTCTACATTTACATTCCTATTTGAAATGTCTTCCACATCTCTCTACGCTTCTCCTTTCGTCGCTGGTTCGACGAACACCTCGCCTTTCTCTCTCGACTCGTTCAAGGATCCCCAGGCGATGCGCAGCGCTTCCTCGTCGTCCTCCAAGTTTTCCACTGAAGGTGAAGACGACGACGAGGATGTACCCCTTATCGTCCTGAAGACCCGCTATTTGCTGTCCGGGCGCACCGCAAAGGTAGGCCAGGGGCTAGGGTTAAGTATGGTGCCCGGACTGGAAGAAGATCGTCAAGAACAGCAAATGTATCAAGAGCGTGGCTTCGTGTCCGCGAGCACCGCCAAGGTAGGTCAGGGGCTAGGGATAAGTATGGTGCCCGGACTCGAAGGCCGTCAAGAACGCAGTGTCAGCCTCCAGCGCAAGAAGAGCATTCACCACCTCAAGGGCAGCAAGATCAGGTCCGGTCGCCGGGGAGCGGTGACAATGAAGATCATCGAGAGCTACTTCGACTAAGCGGCTCAGAAGTCACGCAAGTGGACGTTATAGGCGATTATCAATTGGACTCAAGCGGGTTCTGGAGGCTGGCATGAGGATAATTATATTTCCTCTTTCCTCGCTGCACGCTGCCATGGGCTGACTGCTTTCCTTCTTCTTCTTCTTTACAGGCTGGCCACGGGGACTGGTAGCTTAATAAAGGTCGGTGTTTTGCGTTGGGAGGTGTGTGCCTCTCCTGATGAGTCCAAAAGGACGAAACGCAAGTAGACTACACGAACTGTAACGCGTAAATAATATGATTGTAAAGCCACAATACCACATGACCGCGATTGAAATCGCTCGATCACTCAGCGCGATGTCGCCCCTTGCTGCATGTCCGCGGGAGTGCTTCTAACTACATCAACCGACGTGCACCATAGCGTTCTCGGTCCAGTAAGGATGTCAACAGCTGGATTTTATAATAATACGACCACTGATACGAAATTTGAATACTAGCCAGGGTACATTCAGTGAACTGTATATATATCTACGCAGTGCGGAAGTATCCTTCTATACTACTGTACGCATCTTTGACGTCGTCGTATGTGAGGAAACCATCGTCATTCGGGAGGCAGACGTTGTTGATGAAATTCAACAAGTTTGTAGCGTTGTTGAAGCAATAGAACCATTCGTTGCTATGGCCGATATGCTTGAACATCCCCTCCCCTTGGACCACCTTCCCGAGTATCATATTTTCGAGCGTTTTACCAGCAGCGAACTTATGCCCTGTATGGTCCTTGATTACCAAGTCGATCCAGAAAACTAGACAGGCGAACATCAGGTTTATTTCTTAGGTGGGTGAAATGGGGGCGTGAACTAACATGATGGGTTGGTCCTTTTGTAAGCCGATACGGCGCCTTTACCGTCTGCCCCTTGGTCGCCGATCTTGACGTAGAAGTTGGTGCCGACAGCGTTCACCACAGAATGAGGCGGCGAGGGCAACACAACAACAGTGGGATCCAAAGCAGCCCAGTACCTTGGATCGGGGGAAATGATGATATACGCTGTGTGAGAAGCCATTGTTGCTGGAGCGGGGTCTGTCATACAAAGTGGCGACAGTCAGTAAAACGCGCTTCTCCCTGAAACTAAAGTTTGGTGGACTCACTGGAAAGTTATAAGCAGGTGCTGTGTTCTTGTTGCGGGGCGGTGGTATGGCTTTATATACAGTAGCTTCTATTTAGTAGACAGGCCAGGAACATGGGCATATCTCACTGCTCCAACGAATGGATACCCGACGGGAGCACTCGAAGCAGCATGTAGAACAGGGGCTTGTCAGGGGGCCAAACCATCAAGCAAACGCCGCCGGTGGCTCGGTGCTCTTGTCCTCCGTTCCGTTCAGCACTCCAACCAGCACCCCAACAACCTCCAAAGGAGATGGAGAGATCAAAGGCACATGAAGTGCGAGTTGACTAGCACGCGAGCTCTGACTTCCTCATGCTGGTTTCCTGCGGCCTCGCCGAGCATTTTCACTTTTCGCAAAACAGAGATCTTCATCCGTGTCTTGGAGGTTCAGCGAAGTGGGACTGTTTCTGAGTTCCTGTAGACAATAGGGCGTAGCATGGTAAGATCGTATTTGCGGCGAGAACAAGGGACACCCACCTGCTACGCAGCTTCTCCATCAGGCGATTGAGGTTTATTTTCTCAATCTTTGTCCTGGCCAGAAGTTAGTAGATAAGACCAATGCTCGCTACTACAGCGTTGTTCGACGTGGACCCAAGTTCAAGTGGCTCATGTCCAAATCACCTAGCTTTCTCCATTGGTATTGGCAATCAGTCCAGATTGAATATATGGTTCAGCTTTCACTTCGGTTTCAAAATTATAGAAAGCCTCCAAGTCATAAATCAAGCTTCAAGGTCTTGACGTCGACTTGTAAGCTAGCTGAGTGGTAGACCCTTGTCCATAACGCAGGAATCAACCGTGACTTCAGCCACGCTGCTCAGTAATAAGCCGTATTCGCGCGATATAGAAGGAATGATCATTGTTTCGGAGCGTGATGAAACTAGACAAGGATTCAGTAAAAGCCAGCTACGAAGGACATAACTTGAGTACATACTATGTCGCGTAATTGGGTTTGAGCGTCGTTGAACTGCTTTTCGAGATACTTCGCCTGGTGCATGTGTCAGGTCCGTCGACGAGCAATATCAGAGAACCAACCTTCTTCGTTAGATTATTGATATCGTCCGAGAGTTCCTTCTCCTGTGTCTTCAGATCCTTTTCCATCTCAGGGCGGGGTACCATCATGAACCTGTAGAAGATGAGATGCAGAACTATCTGTAAAGTGCAAACGTACATTTTCCCAATTCCTTTGTACAAGTTCACTTCGTTGTCCATCTGACTGATCTCATCGATGGTCAACTGCAGTATACGGCGCTCCCTCTCCTTTGCGGACATTTGTTGACGAGAGACGTTCAACGCCCTTTGCGACTGCACAGCAGTCTGCTGAATTTGCAGCAGGATCTGTTGTATCGGTGCATCAGCCCTGGTATTCGAGCCCGAAGGAAAGCAATTCCCTACCTTTCTGAGGGTTTCGTCCGAAAGTGTCGACATTTTGGCTTCAAGACGGTTGGACGTTGGTTGGACGCGTCGTGGATCAGATCAAACCTGAAGCGCGCCCCTAATTCAAGCTAGTAGTCCGTTTAGCGCCCAGTATCGCGTTCACTCGTTCCGTGACCATGGATCGTGAACGGCACCAACAGGTCGTTGAAAGGATCGCAGATCCTGATCCCAATGAAACCGAACAATTCCTAGAAGAACTTGGTCTTGCTGGCCTCCCGTCGCGAGAGCAAATACACCGCCAGCTTGAAGAACGCTTTCTGGAGCCCAAGGACAGATTTCCTGACGACCTACTCCCGCTGTTTCAAACGTACGAGCTATCAGTTCACGGCAGAAATATATAACGAGACGCATCTCGGTTTGCAGAACTTGGGATTACAAGCTTGAGATCCCATCTTTGCTGCAATTTGAACCTTCGCCACCTCCAACGTCCGTATCTTTGGTGCGGAAAGGGCTCGACGGCGAATTCTCTGGATGGGTCGAAGTAAAATGCACGCCGGCGACGTTTGCGATGTAGAACTTATGGAGTTTTTTCTAGACCCCAAATCCCCGCGTGCAGACGGGTCTTACATCTACTTCTTTCGACCGTGCACCTGCACCGGTGGGCACGTTTGTTCGAGGAAAATCTGGTTATGTGCCGTTTTGGCCTGGTGGCATGGACGATGTTATATTGAATCCCGACTTAGTCTCCTCCGATAAAGAGCGGGATAATGCCTTGAAAACTATTCCTCCTGGTTTCACGCGTGGTTTAAGGCTTCCTGGCGATCCCGCCGTCGAAGACGAGCTAATGGCCTCATTGAATCCTGTTGATAAGCATACATCTAGCCATCCAGACGAGGTTCAATGCGTTTACTTCGTGCTGTTGCTGTCTTCTAATCTATGGTGATAGGACCAGTCCGATGATGAGGACGAAACCGATCCATCGGCGATAGGTCCCGCGTCAGAAGTGGATGATTTCTTACCAGTGTCGGTACGTTCCACTCGCTCCTTGCCGGTCTCAGCTGTTCATTCTTTCGAAGCGTACAACGCTTCAACCAGTAAGGTCCTCCCGAGCACCCCGGAAACCCAAACAGCAAAAGCGGGAATGGGCACACGTCGTTGACGTTAACAAGCCCATGAAGAACTTCCATCAACTAGTTCCTGACATGGCTCACAAGGTTCAGCCTTACTTCGTGTAAAGATGACTAAAGCTGAACAATCTATCCAGTACCCATTCGAGTTGGATACATTCCAAAAGGAAGCTGTATATCATCTCGAGCAAGGAGACTCGGTCTTCGTAGCGGCGCACACGTCCGCTGGAAAAACCGTTGTCGCTGAGTACGCCATCGCTTTAGCGGAGAAGCATATGACAAAGTACGGATCTACAATCCATTCCCTGGGCTTTTCTGATCATGTATTCAATTACCTCCAGGGCAATATACACCTCACCAATCAAAGCGCTTTCAAATCAGAAATTTCGCGACTTCAAGCAAACCTTCTCGTCCTCATCCGTAGGGATATTGACGGGAGACGTACAAATCAATCCCGACGCAAGTTGCCTAATCATGACGACTGAAATTCTCCGAAGCATGCTCTATAAGGGGGCTGATCTTATTCGCGATGTTGAATTTGTAATTTTCGACGAGGTCCATTATGTCAATGACGCAGAGGTGAGTTTACCCGGTCCCACCTTAGAATGATATTCTGATGCTCTTCTCAACCAGCGAGGAGTCGTGTGGGAGGAGGTAATCATCATGCTCCCGGATCATGTGAACATCATTCTTCTATCAGCAACCGTTGGAAATACAAAGGAGTTCGCCGGCTGGGTTGGGTAAGTGTGCGCATCTTCTCACCACAATATTCGCCACCTAACGTCACGACGATCTAGCCGCACGAAAAAGAAAGATATTTATGTGATATCTACTCCCAAACGTCCAGTGCCTTTGGAACATTTTCTGTATGCAGGGAGGGAAGTCTACAAAATTGTCGACTCCAAAGGGGATTTCTTGTCGCTAGGGTGAGATGCATGTACCGCGCCGGATGTACCCTGCTTGATGTGAGTTCTGTAGGTATAAAGACGCCGGGGAGGCCCTACGACGCAAACAAGACAAGGAAAGGGAGGCTGCTGGTTTGCCGCCAGTCCAAAGAGTCGGGGCGCGGGGCGGGGCTGCGGCACAGCGAGGACAACAACGCGGAGGGCAGCGGGGTGGACGTGGGACGGTTACGCCCGCTCGTGGCGTTGCCCGCGGTGGCGGTCCCCCGAGAACAATTCATTCCGCCACCGACAAAAATCTCTACGTTCATTTGCTGGCGAACCTTCGGAAGAAGGGTTTACTGCCCGTTGTAATATTCACGTTCTCTAAGAAACGATGTGAAGAAAACGCGGGGACCTTGATCAATTCCGACTTGTGTACATCGGTCGAAAAAAGCGAAGTTCACGTTGCAATAGAGAAGGCCCTCTCAAGACTCAAAGGTACGGGAGTCATTTAATTTTGCAGGTTCACGCTCATGCTTTGGGCACAGGTTCTGATAGAAAACTACCTCAGATCGGTCGAATGCGAGATTTGCTCTCTCGCGGAATAGGCGTACACCACGGCGGTCTCCTACCCATCGTTAAAGAGGTTTGATTGGTTCGTTCTCGTTTGGCTTTCCAAGTAACTTTAATTGTTTCAGCTTGTGGAGATCCTATTTTCGCGGGGCTTGGTGAAAGTTTTGTTCGCCACAGAAACCTTCGCGATGGCACGTCCGTTTGATCGCTACGACGAAGATTTTCTAACTTTTCCTTTAGGGCGTAAATATGCCAGCCAAGTGTGTGGTTTTTTCCACGACTCGCAAACATGATGGTCGCAGCTTCAGAGACCTTCTACCGGCGGAATACACCCAGATGGCCGGCCGAGCCGGTCGCCGTGGCTTGGACCCTACCGGTACTGTGATCATAGTAGCGAGTGACAATTTACCAGAGGTGCGGTGCCGTTTATCCATTCACTTATGAGACTAACCGTATTGCCTACTCGTAGCTCACTGCTATCCGAAATATGATACTCGGACCTCCGGGGAAACTATCGTCGCAGTTTCGTTTGACGTACAATATGATTCTGAACCTGCTCCGAGTCGAGGCATTGCGAGTTGAGGAGATGATCAAGCGCAGTTTCTCAGAGAATGCATCCCAGTCCCTCCTACCGGATCAGCAAAAGAAAGTCATTGAGGTGCGCGCGGACTCCACGCAAGCTGAAGGATCTTAATGATCATTCCAGGGTGAAAGAACACTAGCAACTCTCCCGAAGTTGAACTGTGAGATATGCCAAGAAGACATCGACATGTACTACGATATGTCACTGGACGTCATAGAGTGCAATCAACGGCTGTTAGAAATGGCGTCCAATCATCCACAGGCGTCGAAATCACTAGTATCGGGGCGGATAGTCATCCTGCGAGATACCGTAAGTGGTTCCTCTGTACGTGGCTGGTGTCAATTTCAATGATCATCTAGCATTTCAACCGCAATAATGTTGCAGTCATCCTCAAGCAAGCGCCAATAGTTGCTTCCGCCGATACTGGTGCCAAGTTGAAGGCTTTTTACGTCCTCGCGCTTGTGGATGCTGAGACGAAAAGCAGGAAGCTTGGTTAGCACCAGCCCTCAGCTACGGCGCAGCATACTGACTCAGTGTAGATGTCGACGCCCAATCTCTTGCTCCCCGCTGGCCTCTAATACCCGAAATGATAAACGAGGATGATGCAGTATACGAAGTTGCAGCAGTACCATTGACCAGTATTGTACTTGTTACCGAGCGCGTTATAAAGGTCCGTCACTTTCACATCCAGGGGTTCACAGGCGCCTGAGCAGTAATTGTAGGTCGATGTAGAACTCATCGTTGATCGGCACCGTATCACGCCCATGCGGGAAGCGTTGAAGCAGTTGCAAACTGTTGCATGCGAGTGGATCAGTACGCGTGATGTCCCAGAGATCGAATGGGCGAAGATGAGGTCTCTCGAATTCCAAGAAACATTGCAATTTAAGAACACTCAAGTCAAGGCGTTGGCTAACAAGTCCTGCGTGCTTTGCAAAGATTTCGACGCCCATGTAAGTGAGCTACAAGCATTTGGCTTCATAGTCACTTACCCGTTTGTTTGCAGTACGTAGTGAAGCACGCTGAAAAGGTTCTCCGCGCAAATCTCGCGTATCTCAAGATGGCGATCTCGGAACAGAACCTTGAATTGATTCCTGATTACGAGCAGCGGATTTCGGTGCTCAAAGAACTCAAATTCATTGACGAAAATTCCACCGTGCTCCTGAAGGGCAGGGTCGCATGTGAAGTAGGCAGTTGCCACTATTCAATTCAAATCCAGCCCCTCTCACTCCACGCAGATCAATTCGACGAGTGAGCTAGTCTTGACCGAGCTAATCCTAGAAAACACCCTAGCTGCGTATGACCCGGAGGAAGTCGTGGCCCTCTTATCATGCTTCGTATTCCAGGAGAAGACAGACGTAGAACCAGCAATACCGACGAAGCTCCAACAAGGCCGTGATGCTATCATCGCTATTAGAGAACGTGTCGCCAGGGTCAACGACTTGCACAAAGTGGCCACCGAAGAATTTCAGAATGAATTGAAGTTTGGATTGATGGAAGTTGTGTATGAGTGGGCCAAGGGAATGGTAGGATGTATTATCACTCGAGGCCACTGATGGAACTGACCAGGGTCGTGCATTTAGCCATTCGAACAGATCACCGCACTAACTGATGTACCAGAAGGGACCGTTGTGCGAGTGATAACTCGTCTAGACGAGACGTGTCGTGAAGTCCGAGATGCGGCACGGGTAATCGGCGATGCTGAACTCTTCAAGAAGATGGAAGAAGCCCAAATCAGAATTAAAAGAGACAGTGTGTTCTTTCGTTTGCTCCCTTGATGCATGGCTTCTAACGCTCGCTTTAGTTGTGTTTGCTGCTAGTTTGTATTTCTAGACCAACTGATGAACATGTATACGTTTACGCGGAGAGAAGCCGTCACTTTTGATAAAAGAAGCAAAAGGATATCTAAATCCGCGTGAAAGCAGGGCATGATGTACAACAACTACAATAAGTTAAGCTAGCCTAATAGATCTGCATGGCCCGAAGCCGATAAGGCCAGCTTCAATGATAAAAGTGATCAGCCTTGTACATGTGGAGACAAGTGCAATCAACGTACCACGAACTCGTCATCGAGATACTTGGAAACGGCGATCTGGTCGCCCAAGCCCTTGCGCCGCCGGGTCTTGAGCACAAGATCTCTTGCCAAGGCTTGTCCAGATGCAGGCTCTAGCGGACGAAGTTTGATACTCGTATCCGTGGGGTCCCCTTAGAAGTTGGGATCAAAATCAAACAGAGCTACGGCATAGCTCACTCATGCGACGTACCTGGTACAACCGACCAATGGTCAAACACTTGTAAACAAAAGGCTTGACCTTGGGTGGCCGTTCGTAGATCAGTTTCGAAACCATTCGCGTCGATAACGGGTATCAGTGCTTTGACGGTGTACAGAGGTGACCCGGCCTTCGGTATATCTTGCGTCACATGTCCTCGACGGCGGGCAAGTACCGTATAGACCGCCGATATGCAGTCAGCCGGTGCCTGGACCTCAACGTAGTAGGTAGGTTCCATTAACCTCGGGGTAGCCTGCGTATGCGTGGCGTTAACAAGACTTCTAAGCATGCATGCCTTATCTCACCATCAAGAAGGAGGAATAGCAGACTCTGCGGGCTGTCGGGACGATTTGGCCACCACCTCGATAAATTGGTTCTTGGGCTAGGCTGGCATCCAATAGTCGGAATTTGACGTTGCGCATGGCTGGAAAAGTGACATGAGTACACGCATATCTCCGAGCAACATGATCCACTGACGTTCGTCACACAGAGGTCCTTCCCTAGCGCCCCATTGGAAGCCTTGCTTGATATGCTCTTTGACTGTACCAAGGAGCTTCTTGTCAATCTATTGACACATCGTCAGACAAAGCATAGATAGAGGGAGTAAAGATACGACGTACCTGAGAGGGAAGTGTGTCATCGAGAAGAATATTGGGTCCGCTCTCGTCAGGCCCGAAGGCCCATATTGACCGCGAGGCTAGCAGATCCCATTGATACTTCTCCTGGAAGAAAGTTCCTCGTTCCTTTGGAGTCATTCGCATCGTGACTCGCCCACGCTCAAGGTCCTCTGCGATCCCTCTCTCAAGCGGCTCAGCAATCATCGTGATGCGGTTCCTAAAAATAGGCTTCTCAGCAGTTGACAAATAATCAAGGGAATTGTCCGTACTTTTTGTTAGGCGTGTCGGCGTAACATTTCAGGGCACTCGTTTCCAACACCGTTTCGCAGAACTTTGTGACGGGGTCTGATACCTTGATCTCTATTTCCGAGAAGAGTCGCCTGAGATCGTGCATCACGCAATCCAGATACAGTTCACCAGTTCCAATGACAACGTGTTCCCCGCTTTCCTCCACTTTCGTCGAGACGAGAGGGTAGGACTTGTTGATGCTGCGCAGACCTGAGAGCATTTTGGGGAGTTCGGACGGCTGAATTGGTTCGATCGCGATTTTAAGTACGGATTCAGTCATGTGTTTGATGGGTCGGAAGATATGAAGGTCCTCGTCGATGTCGATGGAAGCCAGCGTCGCCGTCTTGGATATCGACGCGTCGACGCCACCGAGTAGAACAAGGTTCCCTGGGCCTACTTCTTCAGCGGGAATGAAATATCTAGCGGCCTCGTTAGCGAATGATCGGAGACGAAGAGAGTAGTATAAACCTTGATTCACTGATCCATATGTCGTCAACGACGGTCTTCATCATGTCTTCCTCGTCTTCCGGCGAGTAGCCCTCGCCAAGAACCTTGATGTCCATTCCTTTCTTGACGGTACCGCTCATAACACGCCCGAAGGCTCTGAAAGATTGAGCGTCGGTAGTATGGTAAAGTTTTGCGACGTGAATCATAACGGGGCCGTCCGCTGAACAAGCCTTCATTGAAGCAACTAAATCTGACGTTTGGGGCCCAGTATATGTATGTTCGACCTAGTATTCATGAGCCAGACGAAGAATTCTTAAAGACGTAAGACAGACCTTGGCGGCAGCAGCTTCTACGGGTGACGGAATATGTTCAACGATCATATCTACCAAGCCCGTCGTGGGGCCGAAGAACTGGTCGAGGATGACCTTAAGTAGTGGTCGTACATCCATCTTGAACATGACTGGCTTGAGGTGGATACCTAATCCATGGAGAGTCTCCTTGAGCTCTTCGGTTTCCTCGCTGAGAACATGGCTGTAAAGTTTGTATAGCGGGTCTAATATGAATTGGATGAAGGACCGGTTGTGCTCTGGATCGGACTGCTTGCGGGTGAATTTACGGGTTTCGTTGTTAAAGTAGATATCGCCCCAAAGTCGATCGGCGAAGGACTGCACGTCAAGGGGGCCTATGCATTGAGTGAGCAAGAGGCCAGATTACACGAGCGGTTGACATACCATACGCATCAGCGTACATCTGAGCGAATGAACGTAACGTGAAACACCAGCCCATGTCAGTGCTCGCGAACGCGACGTTGCCCTTCTCGGGAGTGAGCCGCATGTCGGGGTCTGGGTTAATAGTGCTGTATATAGGGTAAGATTATGGGGTCGTTTGAACGTAGAAACGAACCTGATGAAAGTGTTGATCTCCTCTATCGTATGCTTAATTTTGTAGTACGCGTCTGCGGGTTTGATTCGTAGTTCTAGGATCAGACGGTCGATTTTGTTCACAACGAGCGTAATTTTGGTACCCTCTTGGAGGGCGTGGCGGATGATGGCTTCAGTCCCTACCATTAACTACTCACGGTTGAAAAACGGCACCATGAACGAATAGAAACCACGCACCCCTTCCACGACGTCTACCACTAACAAAATGCCGTCGGTCAATCTGATCGCGGACGCAACCTCATCGACGAAATTGACATGTCCTGGCGTATCAATGAGATGGATAAGGTGTGACTTTCCCGACGTTGTCGAGAGGACGAGGGACATCGGCGATGATTTTATCGAGATTTCGCGTTGCCGTGATAGAACATGTGTGTCAGTATACCGTACCTAATTCCTTAGGCTCAACGAAGCTAGCAGAGAGCGTAACAACCAGAGACGTACGGGTTTATCAGAGTCCCATACGAGTTTGTGAGTCTCGAATACGAGCGTGTCCATGAGCGCCGTCTTTCCATGGTGCAGATGTCCGACGACTGCGACGTTTCGTATCATGTCCGGGAAGGAAGTCATATTCAGCAAGTAGGCTTTGTCGAATCGCGTCTCCGGCATATCCTTCTCCTCGACTGTCCATTTGCGCACTTTCACTGGCGCAATGATAGGCTGGGTTAGCGGTTGTGCATCCTCCTCTTGTACGAGCGTCTCGACATCGGCGCCGTATACATCATTCGCCGAAGGGTAGTACTGCTTGTCCTCGTGTAGAATTACCGCGTTATGTACAGGCTCTGTAATCCATAATAACTCAATGTAAGAGATTGAAATTACAGCAGGTATGGGGCGCACCATCAATTTCCATCATTGCACCCGCGTCCGCCGAAGGCATTGGCTCATCGTCGTACCCTTCTAAAGGTGCTGCAGACTGAGCTGGTTGTGGGACGAATGTATTTTGCGGTACCTCGTCCTCGTCATCTGAGTCCAAGTCCGCGCCAATGTAGTTCCCGAACTCATCGTAATCTTCTATGGAGGCCATTTTTGTGCGGCGGGGGCGAGGGGGTAATACAAAAGGGCGGGTCGGTCGGTGCAGAACAAGTCCAGTTCAATATTTTTGATAGAGTGAATAGTCTATTTTTGGCACTGACTGTGGGAAAGCTCGTCTGTAACGATCCTTAGGGGTACGCTCACAAACTGTCCCTAAAGTCACTTATATGAGATAATAACATTATATTGTCCGTATGATACGATAAGCCTAAACGTTGCAATTCCTAAGTACATGTGCAAGAAAACATAGAAAGCAGGGGATATCAGTACACAAAGACAGAAGATAATCTATATAGTTAGGGATTGGAATGCTTCTTGCTGCTGCTCCTGCTCCTGCTGGCGCCGTGCCTCTTCTTGCTCGAGGAGTATCTCCGGAGCGATCCAGCCGTGGCGTTTGCGCGCAATTACTCGTTGTAGACGAATATATGTGACTTGTCTTGCGCCCCTCAGCTCTTCAGTTGCCTTTTCTTCGAGCTCGTCGACAAGGCTTTCCGGCACGCCGATTCCCAAAAGCAAGGGCCTTCCAGAGGCCATGAATGCCTAGCCGATGATTCAGCACTTCGTACATCATGCTTATAGAAATGTTACTCTTACATAAATGTCTTCGCGCATCTCGTCGCCCCAGTGTTTCCAAGGTTCTGATCTACTCCAGGGGGCGGTCGGAATCCAGTGGTCTTGATATGCGACCTCTTCAAATGCGCCATGCGTTCGAACCCATCGTTCCAGGTGATTCGCAGCGTCGGGAGTCCCACCACGTTGATTGACGGCCATCTCTGCGAAGGCAAGCCAGCGGGGCCACCACGGCCTATCGATGGTCTCGATCGGCGCGACTATTTGCTGGAATTTCCGGTCGTACGCGTGGAAATCAAACTCCATCAGCTCAAGGAGTCCTCCGGGTTTTAGGGTCCGTGCAATTTCATGGATGAGGGCCGGGAAGTCCTTTATCTGGTGAACGGGGATCGCCGAATCAGCCGGAGGTAATAAACCACGTAGGGGAGCCTTACCCCAGAGGAAATGAGCCTGGCGTGGACGAAATCGAAGTCGTCGTAGAAATGCTGGAGGCCGAGGTTGATGTCATCGACTTCGCTCCTGTTTGAGAAGGCTATCAGTTAAGATTATTTACGAAGCAGTGTGTCGTACCTGCAGTTGAAAGGCATAGCCCTATAATAAGATTGCAGTTGAGTGTGGGAGGCAGGGGACCGTGGACGAGATGCCTACGTAGACTGCATTGGGACCAAGTCCACGGCGACGGCGTCGCAACTGGGAAAGTCGCGGGCTATTTGCATGATCCTGTCACTGTTCAGCGAAAGATACATGATAGCTGCATTAAAGAGCTCACCAGCTCCCGCTTCCACATCCCAAATCCAAGACATTCTTAGTATCCCCAGGGAAAGCTGGGGTAAGAACCTGTCGTATTGTCCGTGGGTATTTACCCATGACCTCGATGAAAAGAAGGTGCTGTCGATCTGACCGGCGTTAGAAAAACGATTACGAAACTCATTAGATACGACTCACCCAGACGATCGAGCTCCTCGTCGTCTGCAGGTAAGCTATAGACGTCCGAGGCGCTGTTTATCCCGCGACCATACTCAATCTTAAATGCCGCTGCTTCCATTGAAGGAGTCAGGGATACGAAAGAAGGTGCTGGAGAGTCTGATCGGTTCGAGGCGATACTGTACGAGGTCGCAGAACTCATATCGACGTCGCCAGAGGCGCTGAAGAGCGAAGAGGACACGGTGGACCGCATGTCGTCGTCGGAGTCCTCGTTGAGCACCAAGGGCTGGTACCGAAAGTAAGTATTGTGTACGGTCGACATGGTGGACGCGAGAAACCAAGGGAGTAGCGCAGAAAAAGGATGGCGAGGGTGGTTATATATAATGGCTTGGTTTCGGCGGACATGGTTAGAACACCGTTTACGGTACGGCAAGCTACGGCATCCGGACAGGGCTACGGCCGTCTCTTTCCACGCTTCTGGCACGTGGGACCGGACTTCCCTTCTCGTCTGTCACTCCCAAGTGAGTCGTCCCTCTCCCGACCTCCGCCTTTGGCCCTCATTTGTGCTTTCTCCCGGCCCCAAAGATTCCGTAAGAGATCGCCACCCTAGTTCCATCTAATCGAGGCTCACTTCTGTTCTTTTGTTGAAGGCTCGCGAATTCTATCGCTGCTCTCACACTGACCTATTCTTGGCGCTTCATTTACTTCCAGGTGGTTGCATACTCGTCAATGAAAGGAGACTCTGTGTCCGAACACCGCAATGAGGTACCACAAAGTATCGAACGAGCGTCTGTTTACTCACCAAGTGCATACCTGATTTATTTTACCGTCCATCATAAATCCGCGTAGCGAAGCAGGTTGTACCTTATTGACCTACACCTACGCAGCCTCGCTTTGAACCGTCACTACGAAATGTCCCGCCGGAGTTCAGCAAGGCCATCAATCTTCAAAACTGAGGTAATTTTATCATTTGCGTTCTCCGACGATAGTACCCTGCTGATCCTCTTCGCTACCTTGATCGACCGAATCGGCTTCGCTTCAATCAATTATTTATTTGCTCGCCGCACGGAGGGCTAGAAGTCGGAGAAAGTATGGTCGCACACTCTATGCCATTGCGGGATCAGCGGAAATCCTCGTTAGCCCATGCCAACCAACCTTACGCCCCGCCGCCATCATCTACCGTCCCACCGTCGTCTTCCCGTCCACCGCAACGATCCCCCACGAACACAGCGGGCTTGAGTGCCTGAAATAATTCCAATGCGCTTGCGTTCATCATACGTACAAAAACCCTTCGCTTCCATACTCCACTCCACCGTGAGTGCCAGCTATTTCGGCGGCCTCTCCCTCTCAAGATCAGGTCGCCCATGAATACTACCCACGACGGCCAACCTCCTTCGCTCCGCAAATGGCAATTACCAGGCAATGGCGTGTTTCCATGAATAATCTTTCATTTTATGAAGAGTACGCCCAAGCCATGGAACGAATTTTGTACTTACACGGACAAGAAGACTCAGTCAGCACCACATTTATTACGCCCACGCGTTCGATAGCATAAGCTCTCCCTTCAAATCTCCGTCGCCGTCGATGCCTCGCTCTACTCGAATACAATAGCTGTGGGACAAAGTGCTGCGCCACCATCAACACCTGTCTCTCACCTTGTCCTTTCGATACAATGACCACCGCCGATTCACTCTTCCGGCAGCAGAAGTCTTAATATGTGGTAAAGCCTACTCCTCGTGTCCAACCATCCGTGGCCTGCGTTTACTCGGTACTCTCCCTCCGGACATCGCCCAAAGCCAGCTGGAGGCTAGAACAAGGCGATGCGAGTCTCACATGTCTGTTGCTCGGAATTAGTACGCGATGTCTTTTCGCTTGTCAATGACGACGTTGTTCGCTTTTCATAACGCCTTCCACGTACAATTTCACGCCGTATGATCTCGAGTTTGAGTTCATTGAATGTACTACATATAACCATCCCTGCTGGACGCAACAGCAATGTGCCATGCTTACCTTTCGATGTTCTATCAACTTCTCCACGTCTGATTCAGAAACGAAGTCCAAATGGAGGACCAGGAACTATCCTTGTCTACTTCTCAGTCTGCATAAGGCGCTCTTCTGCCGTTCACCGTCACATGCTGATATAGAAACGTTCACGTCCACTTGAGATGTCACCAAGTCCTCCGACAGCCGCTGTTCACATAAAGCCAAGAGTATAAAGCATGCCATGGGGAGTAGATCGAGCCACTCGCCCTGATGACCGCACCCTCTAGCTGTCGTTCCCCAACGAACGTCCCCCGGATATAGTGTGCATCATGTAGACGGTGGATACCACAGCGCTCCCACCCCGCGTAGGCCGGCAAAACATACGTACACCTGTTGGGTCAGAAGAGCAGTAAGCTCTGAGTACTTCGGCCGTGACACTATACTGTATTTAACCCCTCCGTCTACCGTTTGTAGAATCCTGAGTTCTCGGAAATTCAGGGAGGGCTAGATTGGATATATGCACCCTTCTCGTCCCTTTTTTTGCGGCGGAGACTTGACCGTCGCTGGGAGGTGAAAGCCTCGTGTGGTCAATCAAGATCTCCATCTTTTCCCTACACGGCCCACGTACATGTGTACTCACTCCCAGGGTATTTCGAACCAACCAATGAGAGTATATTCCATGATCTAGCTAACTATCACGAATCACGAATCGTAGGAACGGTGGATTGGCTTTCTTCTAAGCCGCTAACAGTCAACGCTTCCGCTACATGGACCAACGTTTTCACCGCTTCTTGAGTGCGGCGAATCGTTTTGCCAACGCGTCGAAATCGTCTTCTTCCTCGTCTTTCTTGGGAGGTGACGTTGAGGGTGATTTGCTCTTGTCGGACACGCTCTTCGCATTTGTGGGTGTATTCTTCTCGTTTGTGCCTTCTATCGGCGGAAGATCTGGCGGGTTGGGCGCTGGTTTGACGTCGTTGCTGAGGTCAGGAACTGCTATTACCGCAGACGGCTGATCGGCGGAGGACGTTTCCTGGGCAGGTGTAGTCAAACCTAATAAGCCATTTGGCAATCAGATAGGTGGTAAAAGGTGCCAACCTTGTCACCGCCTTCAGGATTCTGCTTTGAGGAGCTCGGAGGGGCCCAGTCCACGCTGTAAGCTTTCGCAATTTCCGTCATGTACGCATCGACTAACTCCAGCGATGGTGGGGCGACGGTTAATTTATTGATCACCTTCAGGCAGTGTGAGTGGCATACGATGCGACTGGTCGGGTGCAATAGAATGGAGAATAGGGTCTGGGTGGGTGCATGGCCAGCAACGACTTACCCGATCGCTGACACGTCCGTCCCGGTTTTCCATCACGGCGATGGAGAATTCTCGTCCATACTTATGCATCAAGATCTCGCGCAGGACGTGCAACTCTACAGATATCGACATTAACGTCAGTACCAAGCCTGACAGGGACAAATCCCGTCCACAAAACAGTAGCTTGCCTTTGAGTTCTGTCCGCGGGGCGGCATGTATTATATTGCATACGCCCTCGCTAACGCCGGGGTCCGGTTCCCGCGTACTACTTTATCGTCAGGCATTGCAGAAAAGGAGATACCATATCAAGGGCTTACTTTTGATCTAATAAACCGAATCTTGCGAGTAGCAGTTCGGAATACAGCTCCAGGAGCTCAAGTAGCTCGACGTGGATATCTTCATTGATAACTGCAGCTCTCCATGAGAGATTAGCCTCCATGCCGGCGTAGAGCACGTACGGCTCTCGACCTTGATGCGTGCCGTTTCGACTTTGCCCTTCTCAAGAAGAGTTGCGATATCGCGTCGGGAAGCCTTGGCCTGTGCCTCTTTCTTCTGCTGGAGCGTGCGTAGTCGCTGAACAGCAAGCCTAGCCGTAGATGGTCCAAATTATGAGCGATAGCTTGAAACAGGACATGGAATCATGTACCGCAGCTGCACCTGTGTTGATCGCATATGAGACCGTCGCGAGAGACTGGAGCCAGGGAATCAAGACCGACCTTAGCTTTGGGAGCGCTCCATTGTGGCGGCATTATATCGTACGTAAAGCTCGGATCGCGCTGTGTTGGGCGAAAGTGAATGGTACTACGTAGAGCACCGGAAGCGCAGTTCTGAAATCATGATATGTCAGAAGTTTGATCTGCCGTACACTGGGGGCAAGGCAATGGAACTCCTTACTTGTGTGATTTGGGGATATTCTGTAGGTTTCTACTTGCCGGCTTTAATCGCAGCGAACCTCGAAGTATATAGTAGGGCTGTAGATGACGGAGCGGAAGCGACAAGCGCTTAACAACCCGCAGTGGCGCAGTGGACACTCTTGGCGCTAAAACCCTGATCAAGGAAGTAACCAATCTAAGCAGGCGAGTCCGACACTCGGATGCTGCGTATCGGACTAGCAAGCTCGTGTGTGTACTCACCCTGGCCTGAATCATACTCCAAGGGTGATCGAGGTAAGATTTCCTCTTCAATTCAGTGGCGGCACCACCAACTTTCCGTGCGAGCTAACATTTGTAAAGTCATGCCAAATATTGCACCTGCTGAATAACAATCGATTATCGCACTGGCCAGAGAAAGGGAATAGGACTGGAGCGAACGGTGGAGGCGTATCCTCATTTGCATGATGCTCCATCTTTAAAAGAAATCAACGACGGATCGATAACACTTCTGTTGGAATAAGCTGCTGAAGATGCACAAGATCTGAGTGAACAAGTATTGCGTTTGACTGGGTACTCCAGCAAACGCATAAAGAAACTTAAGAATACTGTTACAGGCGCGAAAACTATCTACGTGATCACGTACCCCTGCCCCCCTGTACCGCCTAGATTGCCATAATCTAACCTCACAAACGGCAAAGCAAGCCAGTTACACCTATGAGCGACTCTACGACGAAGCAAGTAGCTCCATGACTGCCAAGGACCGATACCAATCTGACATACCCGACGTACTCCAACTACAATCATCGCTATCGCGCTCCTAAGTAGATCTCCTGAGCCTCCTCGTTCTGAGCGGGCTCGGGATGGCGGGCAAACCAATATAGGAATACTCAGCAACGGTAGGCGGCGCGGAGTTTCTCCGACATCCGCCCGCCTAGCTCAATCGGATAGAGCGTCAGACTCTTACAGGCGAGTAGCGTGATCTGAAGGCTGCGAGTTCGACCCTCGCGGTGGGCTATAGGTGTTTGCCACCACTCCTTTTTTGTCCTGTTCGCGTCGTATTGGAAACCAATTGGAAGGAGGAAAAGATATACTGAGCATCTCATTGTGGTAGTCATTGGGGTATCTCTGCTATTTAACATGACTCGTACCTAGGTCCAGGAGGGCGGTTCCAGCAAGCCAAAAGGACTTATGAAGGAATCAACAACGATCATGCTCCAGCTGGGAAACATGAGGCGTATCAGATAAGTATATCACAGTGCCACATCCTGCTGCGTACTCGACGCAGCTCTCGACGCCCGTCGCCAACTCGCGATGGGTCGGGACGCCTCCAGCTGCTCCAATGTCCAGCGCTCGCAGGTTGGAATGAGGTCCGAGTCAATTGCATTCATCCTGCCATTTATGTAGTGTCACGTCGGAATGAGATATGCTTCCGTTTTACAAAGTGGCCCCGAGTCCTGGACTTGGTCTGACATTCCCGTTATCTGCCAATCACACACCTGTATTCCGGTGACGCGCCACCATACCCACAACATCGTGACTGCGGTGCCATCAGGTAGGCTGCCTCAAGGCAAGCCTACATCAGCTTTCGTCGCCATACATGGTTGTGGATTCAGACGCGTGTACATTGAAACGTTGGCGTGCAGCGTGTCGGGCTGTCGTCGTCGGATTACCTACAGTCGACCTTTTCATCGATTTATCCCGCAATCAATCATCTAGCATGCATCAATAATCAGTAATCCATCTCTGCAGCTAAATACTGTACTATCGCATCTACATTGCATTTCCCCAATCATCTTGCTCTATTACCACCTTCAATTGCAAGTCGTGCGGCTTGAACGTGCGCGTGAGTGCTTGAATACTCGGTGCGGTGTACGCAGTGTTGTTTCAGATCCACATTTTGACTCACCTGCGAGTTCCGTAAATCAATTGCTTTGTCTGTTTCAGTCTTGCTATAAACTTGGAGACCATCTTGCAAAGACGTGATGAACTGATTGTTGGAAGCCAGCCGCCTGGATCTAATAATGCATACGACCGCGACTGTCGCGCCTCGGCTTCGACCACAACCATCACCACTACCACCACCACAGGTCTCTTCTTCTCCGTATCCTCAACGCACGCACGCACAGGCGTATCCTCATCAACGCCACCCGTATAATAATGCTACCATATCAGCCGTCTATTCTTCAAACAAGCTCAATTTGACACTTCGTGATTCCACTCCGCCCCCGACGGTGACGAGTGCTCTGGCGGCGACCAAAGAACGGAAGGCAGGCTCTGAGAAGATGGGCAGGAGCCGGGGGAGGTCTCAGCAGGTGTCGCGAGCGGCGTTGGCGAGGAAGGCGAGTGAGGAAAGGAGAGTCAAGGGGCAAATGGAGGCAAACCGCGGGCGTGGCGCCGAAATGCAGTCATGCCATCCAATCGCTGGCCCCGCATATCCACTCCCCAGTGCTTTACTCCGGCCCTCAGAACCTCTTCGTTCTCTACCATCACCATCACGACTGACTCCACCCACGACCTCAACGAACTCGAATATTACAGCTTCCAGTGCATCCAGCTCAAGCTCAAGCTCACATTACACCGCAAGCCACAGTGCACGCTCTCCGCCGACACCGAACCCCACTCATCCCGGGTCTAGCGCTGTCAGCACCCCATGTATGCAGGAAATCCCATGCGTATGCAACGAGGCAAGTCAGATTTCACGTTCCCCATGCCTTTGTTACGACGAGCCTGAAGCTGACATTGATTTTTCTTTTTCTCTTCTCTTTTATTTTGCACGTCGTCGTGGCTGGCCCTTGCTCGTTCCTGCGACGCTCCTGGTTCCCCTGGCACTTCCTGGCACTTTTTTGATACGATGCGGCGGAGTACAGATGACTTCGATGAGAGACTGTGATTACTGTACATCGTGCGATGAAGATAAGAGCGCACGCGCTGGTATGGGGAAGAAGAGTATGGATTGGGGTATAGGCAGTATGGATTCTGCGGACATGAACATTATGGGTGTGGGTATGGGAACAGGAAAGCCGTGCATCTCTACAGCATCGGCCATCAGTGCCACGAATCCTGTATTTCCTCCTGCGCCCATGTCGAGGACGTCGCCGTCGACCATGCATTCTATGCACATGTCACCCTCATCCACGCCTTCAACCACGAGTCCCGCTACGCGCTCGACAACTCCGCAAGTGGAATCCTTATCCACATCTACATCCGGCAGGCGACACCATAGGGTCGCCGAATTTCCTCCTTCAGCTTCTCCCTCCCATTTATCCCGTTCTTCTCTTTCATCACCACCACCCCACTCCACCTCTTGCTCTTCCAACGCGATAACCTTCGACGAAGTGCGCAAGAGAATGCGAGGGCCTCTATTTCTTCCCGAGCCAACGCTTGCCGAGCTTGATTTCAAATCTTACTCGGATGCAGAAGGAGCGATCATGATCTCATCGGCGCCGGCGCTGATGTCACGACCGCCACTGCGAAATTACGGGAAGGTCGATTCTATGAAGAGGAAGAGGAAGCGGAAGCAGGGGCTGTTATTACGCAGGTTGCTTTATGACGACGGCGAGAAGGAAGAGAAGACCGAGGTCAATGGTCTTGGCCTTGGCAAGAAGGACGCGAAGAGTGAAGTGGGTGGTATATTGGAGGAGGGCATCAGCAGATGTAGAAGGTGCAGGAAGGAATACCTGGTCGCGATGAACACGCCTCGGACAGCTCACGAGATACCCCTGCAGTATTCCGCTTTGTTTGCCACTCCGCCGTCAGACGAGGTGGTGAATGCGGAGGAGGACGCTGGTGTTATGTGCAAAGATGATAAGCTTCCTGAGCGACCTCGACGGTCGGGGCTGTGGTTATCTCTCGTGTCCAAGTCGTGCCTTCAACCCTCGCTCACTCTGGCTTCCACTTCATCAACGTTCCTCGATCTACCGTCATCACCCACGCTATCATCCTCATCTCTTTCACCAACACCAACGCCCTCATCTCCATCGCCTTCCTCTTCCTCTCTCTCCTCCGACAGTGCATCATCATCAACATCCTCGGCCTCTTCTCTTATATCAACAGCTACATCATCCTCGTCACTAATCACAACACCCACCTCTTCTCCGTGCACCTCGCCGGAAGGAAAGGAATACCTGACATCTGGCATCGTTGACGAGCCACTTCTTAATACTAATACCAATCAGACGCCTCAAGGCGCGTCATCGAGGTTTTCGGGTAGGTCGAATTGATTGTCCTAGACTTGCATCTCTATGTGTGCTAATGATATTCATTTTCAGGGTTCTCGTTGAGATCATGGCTCTCCCCGTATGTCTCAGGGACTGAATCGACGTCTCCTCTGGATCACGTCGACGCCTTGAATAACTTCGACACGGTTCCGCTTCCTGACCTCGACGAACAGTCGCTGAAAGGAAATCTACAGTCAGAGGAAGAAACTTGCTCCTGCTATCGTCGGCGTCTACGACATCCTCGTTCCCATCCACCGTTTAGTAGCAATGCAGCGGATGGGCATAGACATCGGAAGCTTGAGCGGACGGTGGTGACGTTCGGAGACTGCCCTCTCTCAACCACCCGTGCCGACGCACCAGTCTTTCTCTCTGCTACCGCTGCTACCAATGAACGATCAACACAGGCGTCAACGCTCGCTGTCCCTCGTGTAATGCCCTCTTTATCCCTAGGCCGGGCACTATCATCCCACTTAGTGACGGTGGGAAGGGTTCTGCAACAATTCAAGCAGTTCCACACCGCTTACGTTGGCGCTGTTGCTGGATTTGCGGTGATCGATGGAGGGAATGTGAATTATGGAGTTGCAGGCGTGGAAGAGAGAGGGGGGCGGTCGGCAGACAAGATCGTCGACGCGCGCGACTGGTTGATGGGCGCGCAAGGTGTGGGCGTGGGGCGGGGTATGGGAGGGGTGATGTATGGTGTTGGCGTGAGGCGGGGTGTTGGAGGCGGGGTGCTTAGCGATCTTGCGGCCCATGGGAAGCGTGTACCAGAAGAGACGGCAGCGAGAGTGAGAGGACGAGGAAGGATCAGAGTTAGGCGAAAGAAGAGCGGGTATAGGGCGAAGAAGGAAGACGTAGCGAGTGTGTTCCCGCCTCAGGTGGGGACCCCTTCGTCCGTGACCACGGCGGCTGCGATGACCATGAAGGAAGTCGCGGTCTCGAGGGCGGCTGCTGGATTTAGGTCTCCCATTTCCGGGACGTACGAGGAATTGGGCGACGAGGGAGATGATCTCCGTGTGGTTGAGCTCGCGCCGCTTTCGCGTCGAACGCTGTCGTCATCTTCAGGATCGTCTCGCGGGCGGCGGAGATTGAGTTCGTCGACGTCGTTCGTGGCATCATCATCCTACTCGCCTTACAACCCGAACTCACTCCATCCCCCATCCTCTTCCTCCTCGCCTTCCTCCTCACGTTCTTCCTCCTCCTCGTCGAGAATCCCATCCGCATCCTCCTCGTCGAAAGCCAGCTACTCGCCATACGCCCACTCGGCTGACCACATCATCGCGCCATCGACATCTGCTCCCACGGCCGCTGTGAAGAAGGCGACCACACCGATATATCTGCGCCCGATTGCCAATCCGGTGTATTTGAGGCTGAAGGCCGTGCAGAATGTCGTGAGGGTGATGACGTATGGGGCAGGCAATGCCTCCAGCAGCACCGTTTCTTCCGCCGTAGCGGCGGTGGACGTGGTTGGCGCGACGATTTCGTCGGGGTTGGCTAATCCTCTGCTTAAGGATACCTCCGCCTCCGCCTCCGCCTCCGCCTCCACCACCCCTTCCACCTCACGCTCCGCACCCGCTTCCCCACCCCCGCCCGACGTCGATGTCGACTCCCCCACCATGACAGACCGCAAAGTCACCATCGAGGACACGGCATCGGCGCTGGCGCTCGGCCTCCTGCGGGCGGGCGCTATGGGCAGCGGGCGCGAGCGCGTGTGCGGGGTCGGCGGCGGGGGGCGGCGGAGGAGTCTGCTGGGGATGGGGAGTCTGTGTGCGGATGTGGGGGTGGAGTGTTGTTAGCTGGTGAGAGGGGGTGGGAGGAGGGAGGGAAGCTGTGGATGATCAGGAGGAAGGGAGGCGAACGTTTGAGGATCACGAGGTCGCAGAGGGACGCAGAGGGACGCGGAGACGGTGGGGAAGAGAAGAGAAGAGAAGATAGACACGCGGGCTTCAGTGCCCCACCCGCATCGACGCCTATCAACATTGGGAAGAGCCCTTACTGTTTGCTGTTTCCCGTTCAACGTTCGACGTTTACTGGTTACCTATTATCTGCCAGCCGGCCGACACTCACACCCACACCCACACCCACACTCACACTCACATTAACATTAACATTGATATTGGGGGTTTCGGTGTTCTGCTTTGCTTTGGTGGTGCTTTTATGCTTGCTTTAATCCTGCTTCTGCTGTTCGTTGGTACTCTGTTATCACTCGCTGGTAGTCGGCTAGTCGCTAGTCACTAGCACTAGTCACACCTCACGGGCTATATATATACGCCCTCAGACATCCTTGCTTACTACATTCATATTCATGCATACACTCATACACTCATACACTCATTCCCGTACATCTGCTTTATATTGGATACTAGATATTAATCATTCATTGACTCACTCACTCGCTCGCTCGCTCGCTCGATCAATCGTACAATCGTACAATCGTCCAGATAGGCACTCAGGCACTCAAGTACTCAAGTGCTGCCAAGTAGCTACGCACGCTGCCGTTCGGCGGATTATAAGTATATAGATCTGGCCGTTCAGCGTTGAATCGATGACCCATGACCCATGATTTGATATAAATTACGAATTACAAATTAATTTCTTTCTCTGAACAAAAAAACAAAAACAAAAAACGAAAACAAAAACGAATGAAAAACAAAATCAAATAAAAAAGTTCGCTAGGAAGTTATAGAGTAGCCCACCGCGAGGGTCGAACTCGCAGCCTTCAGATCGCCCTCCGTAAAAGTCTGACGCTCTATCCGATTGAGCTAGGCGGGCGATACTTCATTACGCCTTTTTTAGACTCACAGACTGCTGGAGTACCTTGGTCACGGAGTACTTGGGTATCTCACAATGTTGAATACTTGAATATATTAGTAGATCTAGTGACTTCCCGACTGGTACCCATCTCCGCCCCCACTCTCTTACTATCCACTATCCACTGTACACGCCACTATTCACTGTACACACTCCGCACCACTACATACGCCTCTACATACACACTCCTCACCACCAGCGCACTCTGCCACAATCCCGCAATCCCGCAATCCCGCAACCACATCGCCACTACCCTCAGATCTCAGACCCTCAGACCCTCAGACCCTCAGAGCCTCAGAGCATGCTCTCCCTATCGACCCTCCACACGACGCTCGCGCACGTCCTCGCGCCGCCGCACCTCCACACCGCCATCCTCTTCACGACCGCCGGCCAGCTCATCTCGTACGCGTCTAATAACAACCACTCCAACAACGACGATTACAACAACAACGACGGCGACAACGATTCCAACAATTACAATTACAATGACAGCAACGACAGCAATAATGACGGCAACAAGTACAACAAGGATAACTACTCGAATCCCGCGTTCGCGTCGAACGTCGCGCCGAACTCCCCCGCGTCGACGCTCAAACCCAAATCACCGAAATCACCGAAATCACCGAAATCCTCGACGCAGTCAACATCCTCGACGTCCTCTGCGCCCGGACCCGGGACAGAGGTCTACGCCGAATCAGACGCGGATGCCAACCCCGATACCAGCGTAGGCGCAACAGGTGCGGGTGGGGTGAGTGGGAGTGCACTCGGGGCGAAGAGAGCAGCAGTCGCGCGCGGCAGCAGGAGCAAGGACGACATCCGCGTCCTCGTCGGGCTCGGCAGCGAGCTGTGGGGCGAGACGAAGGGCGCGGGGCTCGGGATGGTCGATAGCGAGGTACGCGTGTCTTTGACTCTGTCTTTGTTTTTGTGCTTGTGCTTGTGTTTGGGTTTGGGTTTGTGCTTGTGCTTGTGTTTGGGTTTGGGTGGATCCTGCTATGCGAATTGTGCTGACTGCGTTCACTATGTTGCTGTTATATGTGGTATTTGGGATATTTGGGATATTTGGGATATCTAGCTGGGCCGGATCGTGGTGGTCCCCATCCTCGCACTTCCTTCCGCACCCTCCGCACCCTCCGCACCCCCCTCTACTCCATCCACGCTCCCCTCTACCTCTGCGCCTCCCGCCGCCGAAGCAATATCGAAGGACGAGTCAACAACATCGGAGATAGAAAAAGAGAAGGATACACAGAAAGATACAGAGAAGAAGGAGAAGGAGAGGGAGAAGGAGGAGGAGAAGGAGCAGAAAGACGCGCCTGACGCGCCGCTCATGCTCCTCGCGCTGAACGGGACGGACGACGTGTCGTGGGACGAGATGCGTGCCAAGGTACGTGGTCCTCCATCCCGTTCCCTTTCCTTTCCTTTCTCCCCTTCACTCGTCCCTCCATTCCCTCCATTCCCCCTTCCCCAATGCAAAAACACTCGTTCTAATCATATTATATCCACATACGCGCATACACGCATACACGCACTCGTCGATCGATACACGCCTATCAGGCGACATCCCTCGCAGCGCACCTCGCGCCCCCGCTCTCGAAGTACCGCGAGTACCTCGTCGTCGCGCCGCCGCCGCCGCTGCCGCTCGTGGGCGGGGTCGTGCCGCCGGGTGGGTCGTCGGTTTCGGGGGTCGCTTCGCCTGCGCGTGCGCGTGCTGTTCACGTTGGCGGGAGGATATGAAGATGGGAGGAGGGAGGGAGGGTGGGTGCGAAGGGAGGGTAGGTGCGAAGGGAGGGTAGGGATATGACGTCAGACGATTGGGTGAAGAATTCTGTGTAGGAGGCACGGAGGAGTAGAAGGACAAAAGAAGGCATAAGAGGATTTAGGGGAACAGGGGAACAGGGGCGCATTATGACGTGCGATTATTGGTGGTTAGTACCGGTTAGTACCAGCCTGAGGAATAGCGGGAGGGAGCAGGATAAAAGGGGTGCTTAGGAGCGAGTTAGGGGCACGCGTACGTCGATGCGTCGTCTTGACGTTGAAACTTTGAAATCTTGCAACGTGTACGTACTCGCATAAGACTAGTCTGTGACCCACATATCAAGAATGATTCATTTAGTGCTTTAGTGCTTTATTCGGTTGAGGTGCACGCCAAGGTCAATTAGAAGCTCGATGCGCGATTGCCAGAAGCCGAGGAGAAGGGGAGAAGATCGAAGATCTTACTAGCAGCCAACTGAAGTACTCGAGCCTGAGGACGGGCGTAATTGATTAATGGCGTGCGGACTCTTCTTCGTCTTCGGCTTCGGATTCAGAGCGCGAGTAATCTCATTCTCTCATTCTCTCGTTCTCTCATTCCACTGCATCGACCATCTCCTCCTACGGTACTCCTTCTCCACGTATACGCGTGAGTATGGCAACTGCACTCGAAACCGACACTGAGGTTGGAGAGGGACGACGCGTCGATGACGCGCAGGAGGATCCAGACGCGACTGACCCACCCGCGTCGACCGATACTATCTCTCCTGCGGTGCTACCCCCAACGCCCCACCTCTTCCTCGACATCCCCACTGGCACCATCCCTCCCGCCATTGGCACGGGCGTACAATCCCTTTCGAGGATCCCGACACTCCCAACACGTACCAGTGTGCAGGCGTACCTCACCGCCCAACTCCAACAGATACTCACAGCCCTCGTCTTAAACAGACTGCACACCGTACGCAAGTGGGTGTTCGTCGGCGTGTTTGGGGTGTTGAACGCGTCATCTTCAGCATTTCTGAGGAATGGGGGGACGGTGGAGTTGAGGTTGGAATTGAGCGTGGGGGAGCTGGAGAGGGCGCGGTGGGATCTGGAGGCGTACGTCGATGGTTTGAAGTTACGTGCAACGTCACCTTCGATGTCGCCTTCGATGTCACCTTCGGGCGGGAACGAGGACGAGGACGAAGGTGAGAATGCCAACGCGCCAAACCCCGAGAATGTTAACGAAGACGCGAACGCGAACGCGAATTGGGCGGACTGGGCCGTTTATATGGTGTTGGAGGCCATGATATTCGTGCAACGGGTTATCCCGGCCCTCTAGTAAGCCTCCTCCCTCCCCTCCCTCCCTCCCATTTCCCCTCCCTCCCTCCCCCTCCCCCTCCCCTCCTCTTCTTCCCTCTCCTTCCCTCTCCTTCTACCCATCAACAACCCCCTTTACCTTCACCACCACAACCCACGCACACCAATATCCAATATACTAACACAAACGCTCTAAACACACAGCACCTCCGCCCACGCCCACGTCCCGCACCTCGCCCCCACGCTCGCCCTCGGCACGCTCTCCGCGCGCGCGCTCGGGGCTCGCGGGGGCGGTGGCCGGCGTTATGGGGTACGGTGTGCTTGCGGCGGTCGGGCGCGCTTTGGATGGGCTCGTATGCGCGTACACGTCGAATTTGGCGTGTAATATGAAGTCTAGGTTTGGATCGACGTCTACTTCGGGGTCTACCGCGTCTTCGCCTTTTCCAGCGCGTTCGTCGCCCCCGCCTCCTTCACCGCCGTCATCGTTACCCTCAAGTTCGAGAGTTTCGCCGGGACTGTCCCCGTCTGCGTCCTCCTCCGAAACATCGACACTCCTGGGCTCGTCCCACATATCCCGCTCCTCGACGAAAGCAGACGTCGCCGTCGCACCTACCGCGTCGACGTCCAAGCCGGGCATATATGCGTATGCCTATAGTCATGATTATGATTGTAATTATGATTGTAATTATGATTATGGGTCTACTTCTACTTCTTCGTCAGCGTACGGGTCACAAGCTACTTTCGTTGATGTCGAGTCTGGAGGTGGACGTGGTGGTGGCGGTGGTGGCGGTGATGCGTATACGCCGCGGAGCGCATACCCAGATGGAGAAGTAGACGAAGAAGTGGACGAAGCAAAGGAGGTGGAGGACGAAGCGGCAGCCTGGTGCCTCCGCGCCCTCCTGGTCATGGCTCTCGTTCTGCCGGTGCGTTCCCCTCCTCTCCGCCTCTGTACCCCTTCCTGAACGGGTAATCATTGAGTGGAACAAATTGCTGATATGTGGACGTGGGGGTGGGTACTATGTGAATGTATGATGTATGATGTAGCCGATCGTGTCGCTGTGGCGAGCCCCGGAGAGGCTGCTTGGGCTGTTGCAGCCCCGCCACACTACGAATTATGGTATTGATAGTGGGATTGATTATGGGACTGGGAATGTTAATGGGAATGGTATTGATTATGGGAATGGGAATGTTAAAGGTAGTGGTAACGGTGCGGGCAACGCCGGGGCTGCGAGCGAGGCCGAGGCCGACGAAATCATCCGTCTCGCGGCGGCCTACCTGCGCGTCGCGGCGCTCGGGCTCCCCGCGTTCGGCGTCGTCGAGGTCTTGAAGTACGTGCGCCCGCTTGCATTCATGCATTCTGTGTATTAATGCATTCTGTGGATCGATCGCTTACTGGTGGTGCATTACATTTGGGAAACATTGTGGATTTGGTTTTGGGTTGGATTTGGATTTGGATTTTGGATTTGGGTTGGGTTTTGGTTGGTTTGGGTGTAGGCGGTATCTCGGGGCAAAAGGTCCGTCTCCCCCTTCTCCCCTCCCCTTAACTCCCCCTCCCCTTAACTCCCCACTTCTCCTCCTCGATAATACGAATAACACGCGAGTCGCGAGTACTGACGACGAATGGGACTGTGACTGTGACAGGGTATGCATGGATCTACCCCGCCGCGCTGACAGCGCTCAACCCTCTGGCGGTGGGGCTCAACTACATCCTCGGTGCGCCCCTTCATACCTCCATTACCTCCATTACCTCCGTTACCTCCATACCTCCATTATTTCAAATACTCCCCATCCTAACACCCATTTGCTCACGCTAACGCATGGATTGCAGTCGATGGCCCGTTCCCCAGCCTCCGCCTCCACCTCGGCGCCGCAGCCGCGCCCGCCATCGCGGCCGTCGCGGCGGGCACGCACAACGCGCTCGCGGCGGGGATGCTCGCGTGTGCGGGGTGCGTGGTCTTGCGGAAGGATGGGCCGCGTCGAGGGGCAGGCGAGATAGGTGAGATCGCGTGCTTGTACGTCCCCCCTCCCCTCTCAGGCTTACCCCCCCTCCCAGGCTTACCCCCTTACCCCTTACCCTTACCCCCTTATCCCCTTACCCTCTTACCCTCGTCGTATAAAAATAAAAACAAACGTTCAGCAGATTAGGCCCGTCGACGCTCGCCGCGCAGGCTGTCCTCCTGGCGACGGTCTCGACGGCGCACCTGGTGCCCACTGCGGCGAGGGCCGTTTGTGGGGCTCGGTGAGTGTCTTGGTTTGTGTTGTGTTTGTGCTGCGTTTGTGCTGCGTTGAGGGTTCGTGGTTTCGTGGTTTCGTGGTTTGGTTTTCGGTGTTTCGTTATGATGATGAGCTACGATGGGTTATTAGAAGTCGTGTCGTTCGTGACGCGTTGAGCTTTCTTTCGTTATACGGTTATGTCTTTCACAACTTCGTACTTCAAAGCTTCATCACTTGGAGACCAACAACGTCGTGCTCATGCTCTTTCTCTGTCCTTTTGGAATTTGGGAATTGCGAGGCTTCCATTCACTTCCCATTCCCATTCCCGTTCACTTCCCATCCCATTCGCATTCCCTCCCCATTCCCTTCCCCTACCTACTCACCATTCCCATTCCCATCTACTCTCCGTCCACTCTCCGTCCACTAAGTGGAATTGGAATTTCCGCCATTCCCTACCCCGGCATCCCGGCATTCCCTATTCCAACACTCGCCATGCTAGCATTCAAATATTCACTGCGTATTCTGACATTCATGATGATTCAGGCTCAAGAAACACGTCGCCGCGAGAGATATCCGCCGGGCGCGCGTCGTCGCGTTCATCGGGCTGGCGTTCACGCTGCTCGGGGTGGTCTTCCTTAGGTCAGTGGCCGGTCCACCACTTCATCACTTCATCGCTTCGTCACTTCAGAACCTCGGGACTGTAACGTGGACGTGGACGTGAACGTGGCAGAGCGTTCACCAGAACGTTATGGGAGGTTATGGTTGTGCGAGACTGCGATGGAACTGGATGGAATGCACATTGCACACCTAATGGGCCTCGGAAGTCGGGGTGATTTAGCGATTTGGGTCTTTAGCGATTTGGTCATTTGGTTATTTGGGGATTGGGTTATAGTGATTCGGTGATTCGGGGACCTTTGGCTGACCTTGGTGATCATTGCTATAGCACTGCTGCGGTGTTGTGCTCGTCGAGCATAGCGCGGCTCGTTTCACCCGATGAAGGTGCGTGTAAAACCCTCCATATTCTCCGTTTTCCATTTCCCTTCATATTCCACACCCTTCATAATCACAATGTCACCACCATCGTACCTGTCACTCCAGAGCCCAGTCTCGATTCGCTTCACTTTCAGTTTCAATTTGAAGTCATAGCCCTCACTGACAACCGTGCTCTATATTTGATTATAGGTGTCGTACAGATAGCAACATGCGCGTTTCCCACTATCGCGGTGTACATAGCTGCCCAAGGTATAGGCGCATGGGTCGATGGCGCGTTGGATGCGTTTGGGTATCCAGTAAGCCTCGAACGAGTAATGCCGATGTCAAGTACTAATCTACAACCATGACTGGCGTAGATGCTCTTTTCCAGCCTCGTAGCGAGGTAAATACACCCCCAGTCCGCCAACTTCCATTTCACCTATTTACCCTAATCCGACGCAGCACGGACTATTGCGTTGGGCTGCCGTTAGGCGTGTACCTCATCTTCTTTAGCAACGCTGACAGCGCGCGAAACGGAGCGGGGGGATGGGGTATCGAAGGCGTCTGGGCTGGGCTCGCGTTGGGTCAGGTGGCAGGGTGTGTCGTGGGCGGCGTGGTGCTGCTGCGATGCTTCCTTCGGGGATAGGCGTTGGATCACCTTCGATCACTCGGAGACTAGCAGCGATGGCCTGGGCGCCTCAGCCTACAGAGGGAGGAAGTAAAGTTTAATATGCACCTGGAAGGAGTTAGCTTCGCCGAAGACTCCTTGTACTGTTTGCGGTGTCGGTCTTCATATACGCCTTCGTGCATAGGTTACGCACTGCTTGTGCCCTGCGAGAAAGACCGCGACATTACAACTCGTCCCGTAGGTCACGGAAAGGCAACGTTAGGCCCTTGGTTCTAGAAGAACATGTCTACAGCCGTAGTGCAGAGACGCGCTATAAACAGCCCGGCGTCACGGGGATGATCCCAGACATCTATGGAAGTCATTTAGCTGAGTTTCCGCACAGGCGAGAAGCCCAGGCGGACGCTTTAACTTGGTTTGGGTGCAGAGGCTGCCTGGCCGCGAGTGCGCGTGGGTGCTCCGTGGGCTCAGCTGCACATTTTCGCAGATCGCGCCTCGAGTGAGTGGATGTGAGCGGTGAGACGGGCGCTTGTGCGGAATCTGATGGTTGTGTGTGGATGGGGGCTATGCGTCGAGTCGATCATCAGCTAGCCATCCTTGATTCCACTTTGTCATAAAGTCCCGCTTTCTTTCCTTCCTTCCCCGAAGACACCACCGTCGACGGCCATGATGTCCACGCCGCGCCCGCATGTCCGCCAGACGCTGCATTTGTCCATTGATCCATCCCCATATGAACCGCCGCCAATGTCTTTGTCACCTCCGAGTTCCAACTCCCCACCCTCGTCCCTCATGTCCTCCACCACCGCCAGCAGCGCGACCGCGGACTCGTCGACCGTGCCCACCGCGACCTTCCCCATCATCTACTCCGTGCTCTGCCTCCACGACTTTGACTCGGACGATCCCGACCATCTGCCGTTCAGCAAAAACGAAATCCTCGAGATTGTGAAGCAGGAGGAGTCGGGCTGGTGGGCGGCGATGCGGAAGGGGTTCACCCGCGTGGGCTGGATCCCCAGGGCGTATGTGCAGCCCCTTTCGGAGGAGATGGCAGACAAGCTATGGAATGTGCGCGAAGAGCTGCGAGCGTATGAGTACGGCGCGGAGCAGCTCTACAATACCGCCCCCATCGCTACTTCGGTCCAAATCTACGACCCCCCGAGAAGACAGCCCTCTCGAAAACAGGTGCGTGTGTGCTCGCACGCTTCCGTTGTGTGTCTAACTGGCCGGGTAGTCCACCGATGTCGCGAGTGACTTATGGCGCATAGCGAACAAGCGGGCTCGTGAGGACCAGGAGCGCATACTCAGCGAAGACCGCGCCCTCCCCGCTTCCCCCTCGATGCTGGCAGCCATCAACAAACCCACGCCGCCCACCCCGCGAGAAGAACGCCATCGGAGCAACTCCTCGCCCTCCCACCGCAGCGGGAGCAGTCGCGACAAACGAGACGCCAATAACGTCACGAGCCCAAAAGTCAGCGTGGACAAGATCAAGCAGCTCACAGGCAGCGAGGACGCAGTCGACTGGGTCATCGCGCGCCACAATAGCTCGATGCCGTGGTACCTCCGCCCCCAATACGCCGATCAACTCAGGCTAGACAAGGACGGCAACATCAGAATGGCCACCTTGCCCGCATTGGTAGAGAGGCTGTCAACACCCCAGAACACCAGTCCGTCATTTCCTTTACGATATTGGTTTGCTTTAAATTTAACACCGTGTAGAAGCTCTAGCCTCTGAAGAGTCGTTCCGTGATGCATTTCTCATGACATTCCGCACCTTCACTACCGCCGACACCCTCTTCGAGATGCTCGTTGACAGGTTCCGCATGAATCCTCCAGACGATCTCACTGCGGACTCGCAGTTTAGTGAATGGAAGGAAAAGAAGCTCCAACCAACGCGGAATCGGGTGCTCACTGTCTTTACCGTCTGGCTAGAAGACCATCGCTTACTCGAGGAGGAGCCTCACATCGCGCAACGCTTGACCGATTTCCTACGGTTGATTACACCACCGTCACCACTAGCGGGAGTCGCGAATCTGATTATCGAGAAAATACAATCCTTGGTCAGTCGCCACCACATTTTAGCAACGATTTTTACCCTGACTCCACTTCCGATGCAGACATTTTCCCCGCCACAGATATTCCCATCGGGGACGCCCAAACGGAAGGACAAAAACTGGGCAGAGGTCGGGCTCGCGAAGCAAGACCCTGCGAACATCGCTGAGCAGCTATGCCTGCTGGAGTTCAAATTATACTCGAAAATCTCGCCACAAGAGTGTCTTAGATCCGCGAAGACGAAGGCGCACGGCGACATCGCCAACCTAACCGCTTTCTGCGCGACGTATGACCGGCTATCTGCGTGGGTGAAGATGAGCATCCTGACAAGTGATATCCTGAGCAAACGCGCGAGCACGGTGGACTTCTGGATCAAGGTGGCTGAAGTGAGTGGTGCCCGTTCCGCCCTAGTTCCTTTGATGGCCGCGACGCAGTGCTGATTGATATGTTGATATAATAGAAATGCAAGCAGTTGAACAATCATGCTTCGATGAGTGCGTTGATCAATGGGCTGATGAGCACAGTGATACAACGGCTGCATCTTACGTGGGCGCACTCACATCGTAAACAAACCCTCGAAGCTTTGGTTCGATATAATGAGCCGACAGGCGGATTCCATGCTTACCGAACCCTACTGCAAGCAACCGAAGGCCCCTGCGTTCCTTTCATTGGCATGTACCTCACCGACATCTCGCACATCCACGACCAGTACTCCGACGAAACCATCACCACACCCATTAGCACCCACTCCGCGTCCTCGTCGTCCTCCCTAATCAGCTCCTCCTTCACCAACCCCGCCCCCTCGAACGGCAGCTCGAAGGAACCGTTCATATGCTTCCAGAAACGCCAGCGGTGGTACGAACTCATCTCCTTCATGCTCAAGTTCCAGAAACGCCCGTACAATATCGCGGAGAGCGAGACGACGCAGATATTCATCTCGAATCACTTGACGCACACGACCTCGAAAGACACGGCGTGGTTCTGGAACAAGAGCCAGGAAGTGCAGCATCTGGAGATGGAGAACGCGGATATACGCCGCGGGCTGGAAGAAGCTGGCTTCCTGAACTCGTAATTTTTTGTGACATCAAGTCAATTTTGAAACCTAATCCACAGATATGGTCGCCCGCTCGTTGCTTTCTTTATAGCTATATCTATGCTATGTATTGTTCGTTCGCTCATGGGACTACTTGCGTTATTTAGAGGCTGGTTGCCTCACCGTCATCTGTACAATGTAATTTACACAACTGATGTAGCATGCTTACATACCTAGTAGTTCTCCCATCATATGTCCAACGCTGTGCTTGAACCCTTGTAACTCTCGCTATCAAGTGCTAATCAAATCCATGGTATTGAAGCAGCGATATATCCCGCAAGTCCATGATATGATGAATTATGGCAGTAAAAACAGAGATGGTGACAGAATACTACTAACTACAAGCGAAGTGAAGAACGCATTCCAAGATGGGGGATATTAACGTAGGCGAACACCTTTCGCTACGGAATGCTAACGCGGGCTCAACAGTTGCAAGGTTCGTTAGGCCCTGGGGCAGCCTGTTTGTTGAGGTCGACACCGGCTCTTGAAGCACCAGGACGAGCAGCTCCTGTCCGCGAGGCGGGTGCCGCAGTAAGCGGGAGCTTCTTGGCTGCAGAGACAGACACCCAATCAATTTCGATACGGGCAGTGAAAGTCATGATGGGAAATACCGATTGCAGTGAAGATTTCCGTAACACCTTCTCCCGTCTTGGCACTAGTCTCAGCCCACATGAGTCCTTCCTCCTCAGCGTACTTCTTCGCTTCCTCCTCCGTGACCTGTCGTCGAGCAGCCAAGTCGGATTTGTTGCCGCAAAGAGCAATGACTATCGAAGGGTCTGCCTGACGCTGGAGTTCTCGTATCCATGTTCTAGCCTTCTCGAGCGAGGCCGATTGTGTGATATCGTAGACAACAACGGCGCAGTTAGCGTTTCGGTAGTACATTGGAGCCTAAGGGAGAGAAGATTTTGCGGTTCAATGGAGGGGGTGTCTCAGACGAGCAAGCGGCTTTACCAAGGACTGGAGGATAGCCACATTGAGTCATGAGTGATTGCGTAAGGGTATATACGAAACTCACCTTATATCGTTCTTGCCCGGCGGTGTCCCTTATCAAAGAAGTGAAGTCGAAGAACGGAATCATCGGGGTGCATTCTTACCATATCTCGAACTTGACGGTGGTTTGGTCCTCCAGCGTCACTGTTTGGGTCAGGAATGCGGCTGTGAAGGGGGGGCTCCAATGAGTACACTGCACCATAGGCTACTGTTTCTGCACTCACCGCCAATCGTGCTCTCTCTGTAGTCATCAAACTGGTCCTTAACGAACCTCAGAACCAGACTGCAGTCGCTCAGCTAAGGTGCTGCTAGGGCGACTGTGCATCACTAACCTTGACTTTCCGACGGCTGATTCGCCTGTGTGCACAGAGTTCGCCAGTAATTCATGGAGTTCTTTGAGATGGAATACATACCGAGGAGGACCAGCTTGAATTGCAACTGTTTGGACATGATGGTGGTAGAGTTGTAACTGGTGGGCTGGCTCGAGGCGGAGCTATGCACGACGATTCCTTATGGGCAATTATTCCCACGACCGATGACAGGAGCATGCATTTTTCACTCAGCCCACTCCGATTCCTCCTTGCTTCCTACCATCATCACCTCCCACAAAAGCTGCATTAAGTCAAGTGTGTGCAGCAGAAATCGACATTCCCGTTCTGTCCGTCAATATTTGGCTACCAGTTTGCCGGCGTTCTATTGCGATTCAGCACCCCGACTCTCGCGAAACTCTAAGGTTGCACATCATCAGCACATTGACTAAGCACCATGAATCGACACCATCCATACGGCGGCGGAGCATATGAGGCTCCCATGAATCGACGGGGGGGCTCCCCTAGTGGTGGTCCTGATAGATCTCACCGATTCCAAGACAGAGGCGGTGGCGCCCACCGCGGAAGAGGCTTCGGGCGTGGTCGAGGAGGAGGGGGCGGGTACGGCCCCGGCGGTGGTGGAAATTATGACGGAAATTTCAACAGCGCCAACGCTTATGACCAGCCCCCTCCTCAAGGCGACGTAGGCACTTATGGTAGTTACGAAGGAGGCTCGCAAGACTCGTTCTACTCCAACAGTTACGGCAACGGGAACAGCCAGAATTCTAACTACCCTAGTGGCCCCGATTTCAATCAGACATATGGCCAATATGAAGGTGCGCTTGAAACTCTAAGATTTGCTACACCAGTGCAGTCCTTTTAGTGGCAGTGGGGATCTTCTAGCTTCCCAGTTGAGGCACGCGGAGGTTTCCCGCGAAACGTTTCATCATATGGTTTCGCGAGATGAGATCATTACAACAGTTCAGCTCGTGTGGTGAACCCTCGTCCTGGAGTCAGATCACTTTGAAATGTTGAGGCTCTATCCCTTCCCCTTCTTCGTCACATTCAACATGCCTCTGCCGCTGCCGCGTGCCAAAAGCTTTAGACGCCCCGCAGGACCATCCTCCCTTATCTTCTGTGTATACATCCCTTGAATCAGCCTCTCATATTTCCGTTCCATCTGTGTCAGAAGGTCCAGGTCCCGGCTTTGAAGATGACGCCTATGGAGATCGGCCTCGACGCCCCATTCGCAAGGAGAGGGGGGGTGAGGTTCACGATTCCATCATTGAAGAACGTATCCAGAGAGAGCGGCCGTGCAGAACATTGTTTATTCGTAACATCAAGGCAAGTCTCAGTGTTGTTTGAGATGCGCTGCACTTCGTGGGGCTTCTAAGCGTGAAGGTCATCAACTGATATGTGTCTACAGTACGAAACTAATAGTGACGATGTGCGCCGTCAGTTTGAAGAACATGGAGAAATCAAAACCTTTTTTGACCTTATTTCAACGAGAGGCATGGTTTTTGTCACCTACGTGAGTCCATCGGAGTCGTAATGTCTGGCCGAAAGTGTTGAAAGTGGTACATCGCAGTTTGACCTACGTGCAGCAGAACGAGCCCGGGAGAGATTGCAAGGGTCCGAGATCAGTGGGCGACCTGTACGTTCCAGCCCAGCGCCCTTTAAGCGTTTCGCGAACCCATTGTTCTTCATTTTCTGCGCTAGATTGATGTCCATTATTCCCTGCCGCGTGATGATGCGAAGGGTGACAAGGAAAAGAACCAAGTATGCGCCATTGTTCCCCGGAAATAGATGCTATGGGCTGATGTATAATCTTCTCAAGCAATTTCAGGGAATGCTACAGGTCTCTTTGAGAAATTCTCCCTCAGGACAGCCAATCGACGACAACGAAGTACGCCGTAAGTTTCAACAGTTTGGCGATGTCAAATCCGTCACGCCCGTTGGCGATCTTACTGAGTACGCTTTAATAATTTATTGTCCGTTTTCAATCCTTTTTTCATAATCCCTCCAGTTCTCGTTATGTCGAATTCTATGATACTAGGGTGCGTAGCTCCGCTCACCGCAAAGCGACTATCTTCTCATGGCCTGTTTGTATTAGGCTTGCGAGGAGGCGTTCGATCGCCTTCGACATCAGGGTCTACAGGACGGCGTTATGGATATAGTGTTTGCTTGGGACGCCTCCAACGATGCCGTAGGTCCGTCCGGAGGCGGCGGTGGACACCGGTATGTAAATTTGTGTCGTTGGTTCTTGTCGCAACTGAGCACTGGGCGGTAGAAATAATTACGACGGTGGGCGAGGCGGAGGCGACTGGGAAGATGGTCCCCGGGGAGGACACCGCGGTCGGGGCCGAGGTAGGGGTCGCGGACGCGGCCGTGGTGGTGGAGGAGGAGGCCCTGGTCCCGGCCCTGGTGGTTACGATGATTATGATGATCGTCGAGATAGCTTTGGTAGGGATCGAGATAGAGGTGGTGGTGGAGGCGGGCCAGGAGGGGGGAGAGGCCGTTGGGGAGATGACGATTATGGAGCTCGCGGGGGACGAGGGCGTGGAGGAGGAGGAGGCTTCAATGATCGATACGACAACCACCAAGGAGGGTACAACTCGGGCCCTCCAGGCGGCGGGTACGGTGGCGGCGGCCCGTCCGGTCCTCCTCCTCCTGCGATATATCACCAACCTCCACCCACCGCACCGGCTCCTGCTGCCGCGCCAGATGATCGTCTAGAACAAACACGCAAAGTGCAGCGGTTGCTGGAGGCACTTAAACAACCCGCCCCACCTCCCTCCGCTGGTCTTCCCCCTCCTCTTGGACCTCCTGGAATGTCAGGACCTCCTCCTTCGAGCTACTATAACCCTCCTCCCTCTGCTTATCCTGGCGCAGGCCCTCCTAATCCATATGCGCCACCGCCTTCTATTAACACACCTCCACCAGGCGGTCCGTCGCCTGCCGCGATACCTAATATCCTAGCACTACTGCAAACTCAAATTCAAAACCAACAGCAACAGCAACAGCAAGCTAACTCTCAGCAGTCAGCACCGTCGCCCTATGGAATGCCACCTCCCCAGCATTCGATGATGGGCGGACCACCACCTCCCTCGCAAGCTAACGGCACACCACCCGGCGGACAAACTTATCAGCAATTAATGGCGTATCTTGTACGTTGCTGTCCACTCGTTCTTTCATTTCAGTCACCAACTGACCCTGGACAGCAATCACAGAAACGCAACTAAAGGCTCACTGACTTACACCACTTGCCGTCGGCCATGCTATTCAGGATACACCTTTGCAGATTATGAGCAACTGAAATTACTTTTGGCTACCTCCCAACGCCATCATATATGCACCATCGTATATATCATTGCAAACTGTACCTGACCTTGCCCGCCTACTTACCTCCTATTATGTTTACTCCGACTTTTCTGCTGAGTCGTACGTTTATATTGTGCTCCTTTGCTGTCAATTTTGTTTTTATATTAGTATTATATGCAGTAGAGAGAATGCCCTAGTATTTCTGGTACCATTCAACCGCACATAAAATTGATTTGAGAGGCTTCTTTTCACTAGTTGTGTACCGCTCGTAGCGGACTCATCTCCAGTGTCCTAAGGGCGGTTAGCATGTGTGATACGTACGATGGCGTCGGGGACGGGAATATTTTGTAGAGCGCAGTCGTGGAACGCTGGTTTCGAGCCTACACTCGTACTGAGGATAAAAATGTATTCTAGCCCACCGCGAGGGTCGAACTCGCAGCCTTCAGATCGCCTATATGACAACACTCGCTAAGAGTCTGACGCTCTATCCGATTGAGCTAGGCGGGCACATACTCATTAAGCTCCCGTGCTGTATATAGACTAGAGAGCTTCCGGCATATGTATAAAGATAGAATATCTAGTGCTACAGCTGAGAGATATTATCCATTACGCAAAGATACAGTTAACTACTTTATCCGGCCTTAGGGTATATAACTCGCAGAACTCGAAGGGACTCCATCCATCACGTTACAGCAGCAGCCCGATACAACCACGGGGACGCACCAAGCTCACTTCCACTGTCCCGGTCCAAACGTCCTCCCAACGCCGACAGACCTTAGTGGTGTCCCCTGCGCGTCTGCAGTATGCTTATGGACGGTGTTTCCCCACCATGCTTGAACGGTATGTTTGCCTATTGTCCCGTTGGCGGGGTATTGCAGACTAAATTGCACGTCAGGAATTAGACCTAATGCGATGCGGCTACGAGGAAAGGGAGCGGACCAGAAAAATATAAATACCGTAGCAATGGCTACGCCAGAATCGAGAGCGGCCGATAGTACATCTGAAGCAACAAGGTCAGAATAACTAATCCTTTTTTTGATGAGGCAGACATACAATTATATTTGGTCCACCATGAGAAATGTCTCCGTCGAATAACATATTGAAAGATAAACCCGACGATGCTCCATGTGACATAGTTTACCGCGTTAGCTGGCGGTATCGACCCTGTTCCAGAGAAAATGACACTGTGCCTAGCGTAAGTAGAGGAAAGGCTGCGGAGAAGGATGCCTTACGGGAAGCTGCGATGGATGAGGCGAAGTGCAAAAGACCGTTACTAAAGAAACTGGGACATAGAAAGGCAGACGCACTTGAGATATCTTATCCAACTCTCTGGGAACCTTCGCGTAAGGATCCATGCGATAATAGGGCAAACAGCTCCAAGAAGGAAGAAAAATGTCAGAGCTGCCCAGATTACGGCATATTAGCACACGTCCGAAACTGCGAAATGTCGATGATCACCCACCACTGCATGGTGTGTTTAATGGTGTGTTATAACCGGCAGAAGGAGCAAGCGGTCAGCAAGAACTTAAAGGGGAGTTAACGACAAACTGACTAATATGTCTGTCCTTTGGAGAATTGACGTGCAGGTCCAATGACACCCCAGACTAGACAACATGTTCAGACAAGCCTACTACGTACAGACAAATAGCACCTTACCAATTGACGCTGTTCCAAAGACCTCGGTATTCGGACAGATAAAACTGTGGAAGGTTGACTATCAGGTACATCCACAGGCACCATTGATGAGAAGGGTACAAACTTATTTTTCTGATCGGGCGTACAAATGCCCCTTCAACACCACGGGAATTAGTACGTTTCCGTGTATCCCGATGTCATGTTCGTTGATACGCACGGAATATTTGTAAACATCCACGCTTGGACACCCAGTTGCACGGTGCCAGCAATCATAGCGCAAAGAACCTGAGCGAAGAACATCGACCGCGGAGGAATTTTCATATAGTGTCCGAGCTTAAAGTCGGATGTGAATGTTAGGGCTACATGGGCCGTGTCCATTAATTCTCGGAGGAATGAAGTAATAGAACAACGAGCTCACCCTGTGACATGGTGATGTACCCGTAGGTTTTAAACATCATCATGGCGATGGGTTTTCCCGGGAGTAGGTACCCAACGATGAGCTCTGCGATTACACTATTCGCAATATGGGTTCATGAATGAAGTTCTCAAGCATTCACATATGCATGAGGATACCTACTTCAGCCCCACTTGCTGATTCGTGATAGCTTGAATCATCCCTATGGGTATGATGTAGAAGAACGCTTGAAGGATAAATAAGCTCCATCTGAGGCGCATCCAGGACGCATCAAGCTTACCGACTGCAAGAGCGAGTACAAGTCCCCAGACAGGAAGGTCAACCTCCCAAACTTTGATGCAGATAACCCCAAAAGCAAACATGACCACTACACGGGAAGAAGATTAGGTTCGACACTCTCTGAGAAGTGCATATCGGAAGCAATGTGCGCACAAAATATAACGAGGTACCACCAATCGGGTACTTGCGCGTATCTGGACATCAACCTTGCATGGATATCGGCTTGCTCGCTCATCGACTTTCGAGCCTGTGTCCATATTTGCTTCCGATAGTAGAGAAGAGCATGCGTGAGTGTAGCGGTGATAGAAGCGAAGGATAGGCCATAGGACACGGCGAATGTCGTTCTAGATTGACGCTGATATTAGTGGAGCAAAAGGGCTGTGCGCAGAAGAGAGCTTACGACAGGAAGATAGGACTATATCGTATATACTCAGTGACATTCAACGACGCGTCTTCATTGATGATCCGAGTGACGTTGTACGTCTTGCCAGTGTTATCATATGATCCACGAGAGGATATTCTACATGCCGTTCACTTTAGGTTGCTGGGAATGCAGAGCAAATTCGGAGTAACATACGGAAGATAATGCGCTTCCCAGACATTCTTGTACTTCATGTTGACGGTGATTAAGAGACAAAGAAGCATCGGCGTACGGGACACTCACGTAGAGGACCGGCGTCAGTATCCCTGCAGCAAACATCAGTTATTGGTAGACGCAACGAGGCAAGCTTCAAGCGCACAGAAGAACACCACAAACCCAGCCGCCACGTTAGCTTCGGCCCACCCTAGTTAGATTCGATGAGATATAGAAGCGCGCAAAAGATCCAGATACCAACAAGGAGTAGCAAGCCTTTGGTCCATATATTAGCGGCGGCGTACGGTAAATCAGATCCCACTCACGGACTGCCGATGTAGGATATTTGGGCCCAATCGAAAGTTATCAAGCTATGTCTGAGCTCAGCACTCAAGGCGGAAGAATGCCGAACGATGTATACATGCCTCATCCCCTAATCTCGGGATCAGCTTCTTTAGAAGATAAGAGTTACGAGAGACCCACCATGCCATGTTGGTAGCTGTTGCACCGAGCGATTTAGTACACAGTTCCGCCGAGCTAGGAAACAGATATACACGCACCCAAATAATTGATTTACGACCTTGTCCGCGATCCATGCGTTACTCATTCAAAACAAAGGTACCAAGAGGACTTACGACATTATTTGGTGCTATCCAGCAAGCCTTTGTACATGTCAGTTTTAGCACAAAACTCATCTGGATGCCAATTAGACGTACCCATGTGAAGACACTAAGAGCTTGAAAGAGGTAGCCAGGGACGATATCTAGGGGATGAGGAGTTAGTGCTAGATTCACACTCGGCGGTGATGAAGCACTTACACCAACACGCGGATGCAATGAAACAGTAAAAGAAGAATCTCTCTCGACTCAGACCGCCGCGCGATCCCACCCCGGCATATACTTGGGAATGAAGTGTGTTGAATAAAGTACATGTGACAAGGTTGGAGGGCCAGACTACGATGAACTTCAGCAAGCATGGAAGGTTCGAGAGACAGACGACTCACTCATCGACGGTGGTTGGACGAGGAATCTTCTTCCGACACCCCCGATAGAAAAGCCGATCAATTGTGTCGACATGGTCAACATCCATTGATCTATAGGGTCTCAGTGGGTTTACCGTGCATTGCAACTATGGCGTACACACATGAGAAGTTGTATACTTGCTTATAGTATACTCTTTGTACGGCTACTATGTCGGTCTATATGGGCGTTAGGTATGATGAAGTAACACTTGTTATTCATACGTACCGCATACGCTGATGATAGTGTCGTCAGTGAGAAGGTCGAGGATGTAAAGGTCAATGCCACGAACCAGAGCTAGCACCGACACTGCCTCATATATATGTCAGCGTTTAGTGAATCAGTGAAGCGGTGCTGAAGTCGTACGAAGCCATTATTGTAATCAGGACCTGCTGCCAGTCAGTCACGATGTCTACACAGTAAACAGACATACGCACATGCTCCTTTATTGTGAAAGGTCCTGGATTTAATGACACGCCAAGGATGCGCACATTGGGCATGATCGCAGCCCATGCCCGTCCTACTGGGAACGACAGAAGTTGCGCAACAATCTTGCCGGGCCTGGGGTTAGATTCGAACAAGTGTACCACGGGGAAACTCACTCCGCCAATTGTTACTGAAGGATATCGGAAGTAGAAGAATTGATTGAGGCCCTATGACGAGGATGGGTAAGATGGTAGAAATTCTCAATAATTGAACGTACTGGGATGATTATGGCCCATACCATGCCTACGCTGAGATGTTAGTCATAGATCGTCGTTGTTTGTGTTATTCCGCTTGCCAATAAGCCATGCACGGAAAGTCGAAACGGGAATGCTTGTGTCATCTACGTTAGACACTGCTGACCGAACCTCTGGGTAAGGTGAGTCTTCCTCTGGAAATGGTTCAGATGCATAAACTTGGCTGGAACTTCAATTCTACACTCACCAAGTTCCCCTAGAAATGCACCGTCTGGGTCGATATTAGGGTCGTCAAAGTCTGGGACTTCCTGGATATTGGGAGGGGCTGGCGCCACTATTACAATGCGTGCAGTTGAGATATAAGCCTGGGAGCATGAAGAGAGAAAGATAAACGTACTGTATTCCTTGAACTGCAAGCCGTTCGACCTATGGGGCGCGCTTGAGTGAAGAGCGTCCTCAGACATTGCTGGGAGCGCGTAGAGTCAAACGGACGGCTAGAATGCACAACGTCGCGCGACAGGGACTCTAGTCTGCCCACTGGGCACTTGAACTGATATATTATAGTTGCCAGCAGATCATGCGCGGTGCCGGCGCGTCATGGGAACCACTAGCTCTGCAGCGCAGAGGGTGCAACATCATCATTGCTGTAAGTAAGGCCTACAACTTGAACGGAGAAGGTCATGTATGCCTCAAGTGTATTATCTGTAACGCAGTTATGAGATATCGGGACATGCAAGCCAACATGGACGCCGACCTTGTTCTCTAAAGCAAGACGTTAGTTCCTTGATTCGTCCGCCAGTATTGACGTGTAGATTGTTACATCAAGACACTGGCCATTTGCGCGTTTACATTCTGCTTCCGAGCCCTGAGTTGTGTTTCATGGGTGGTTACAAAGAAATAGACAGCTAGACAGGTGAAGGGTAAAAATGTTCAACAAAAATGCCCCAAGTGGTACAGAGTGAGAAGGACTTGCGCCGTTAGTACGCCGTGAGGTGGTGATCGTAAAGTATAATTACGTAACGATATACAGACATTATTTCTTTCCATCTTTACTGGCCGACGACGTCGGTGTACTATCTGGTACTGGCGCAAGGAAACGTTCAGAAGTGACCTCCCATGAGGACGGTATGAGCGCCACTGTCAGTAACCAAGTTGCGGTCAACGTAACGCCACCACCTGGGGGCATGTCAACTACGGCAGTTAATCAGCATTGACATCGATGCTAACCCTTGTCATTTGCCTTGATGGACTTCCAGCTCCAGGCTATAAACACTCCGATGTAGCCCGCAAACGGTGCCAATCGTTTAAACAGCGCTAGGGCAGGTCGAAATGTAGGAGGAACCAGCATCTGAGGAATTTTGTCAAGCATCCACTTCAAAGCAGCCGTGATCATGGCAGCGCGTTTGGTAGCTGCGATGCTCCCGCTGTCCAGCGTCCGGATAACCGGTGGAGGCAGATATCTGAAGTCCTTGTGAAAATCTACTTGCTGACATGGATTATTGCACCCACATTCGATAGCCCCACCACATAACTTGGACGGATATATCAGTCTCGGAGGGAACCCATATGTGTTTGGGCTTGACTTCTGGTTGAAACTGGCTTGGTCCAGCAGTATCGATGTTCTGAGCCTGTGGAACCTCGGACTTCTTCTCTCGCCCAAACGACCAGAAATGTAACTTGCTGCCGGGCTTGGTTCCACCCGAGGCCGATGCCGTCTCCTGCTCCTTTTTCTTCTGAGCGAGTTGTCTCTCTAACTCCTCCGGATCAATATACTCCAACTCCTCTTCCTCCTCTGCGAGTACTACATGCGATTCGTTCGTCGGCACAAGTGGTGTGTACATCATGATGCCTTCTGTCCCAAGTTGTTCAGATGGATCTTCATCCTTGCGCGAAGGTTCGCCCTTCGGTGTATCGCCCTTGCGTAAAGGGTGTTTCAAGCGATCAAGGGCACCAAACACCGAGTCCTTTCCAGTCATATATCCATTCATCACCGCTTCTGAAGATAGCCAAGCCATCAGTTTCTTATCTACACCATCTGGAACCGGGGGTCCTTTGGGATCCACCTCCGTATTGACGGGCGTATCAACTCCTCGTGACGAGAGAGAAACCGATGGAAGGGAATCGATGAGGTTACGAATTGTTTGAGCGAGGTTCGCAGACTCTGGAGGAGGTGCAGCATCGCCATCAGCTGCGGACGAAGTAGTGTTCACTTTTGTGGCGGAAGAACTCTCGTCATGAGAAGCCTCATCATCTAAACCCCATGATGGAGGAGGAAAGACAAGTGCAGGCTTCTTGGATCTACTAAATGAAGTTAGTCTCTGGAGAGTAGACATCACGGCGGGTTGAGGGGATAGCCTGGAGTTCTGCTGCGGTTCTTGATTCGGGTCAGACATGTTGGTGGAAGGCAGGAGAGGAATGACGACACAAAGAATGGTATTGACTAGTGATTATGATAAGATTGGCGCCGATGGACACATCTTATCGTGGATGGCGGAGAGAGCCGTTCAACGACTATCGTCGACGAATGGATAACACTGCGAGTAGGGTAATAGATTTGAAATGGTGGAAACACGCACGGCCTTGGAGGGAATAGAAGCCAGATGGTGTCTGAGCGTTCATCACGGGATTGGGAGAACGACTGGATACAAGGGACGAGTGAGAATACTGGTCATAAATAAATCAGAATAGGCCGTCGAGGATGGCACATATTGGCACACATGACGATAACGCTACAAAAGGGTATACCACACCGAAACGCCACGACACCACAGAAGGCTGCCTATCGGTTGAGATCGTGGGTGGGTCCGACTTGAGGTTGCCAAGAACGATCTAATAATGGAGACGGAGACGATGGCTGGTTATTCCAGAGATTAGTAGTCGAGGAGCCAGGTGGTGGAGGTCCGACTCCGAGAGACACTCCTCGTCCTCTACCAGCGCCAAATATTGCGTGTCGCCGCGCCGGCATACTCATTCGTGAACCGGGTGGCATATCCATGGCCCCATGCATGGGCGTCCTTTGCACCCCATTCATCTCCCCATTCCCACCGGTTGCCTCCCACAGAGGTCCATTGTCGGGTGGAGGCGCCGCAACACGCCGGGAATTCGAAAGAAGCGTAGAATGTCGCCTCATGTTGTCGATTTGTTCTTGGTCTACCCTCACGCCGTTCGCTGCCATGTTTTCTTCGTCTATCCCCAGCATTTTGCGCAGCTGCTCATTCTCCAGTTGCAGTCGTTCAATCTCGCATTCTCGCTCGATTGCCCAGTCTGCGCCGCCCTCTCGTTGGTCTAGGGAATCCACCAGACTCTCCAATTCTTCTATCTGGACCATATCGACATCCCCTTCATAGTCCGGGTCCTCGGCAAGTGGGTCCGAGTCCGGAGGTTCGCCAGCCATGGAACGAAGTAGGTTTCGTAAGTGATGGGACAGCCGACGAAATGACCGCGCAAGGTTAGCTGATGAAGTGAGGTCGGAGGTCATGGATTGGGTCTCGCGTGCAATTATCAGGGCTTCATAATGTCTCGTTAAGGTGAGCTCGTGCTGCTGGGCTGCAAGCTACTTTCGGGTAAGGACACGTTCCCTGAAAAGAGACGCGGTACTCACTGCGTGATTCCGGAATTTCGACATAATAATCTCCATCGTCTTTTCGTATTCTTTGAGTAGAAGGCTCAACTGTTTGTTTTCTTGCAGTAGCGTTCTGTTTTCAATTATGATCTGGGCGTTCATCCGCTCTAGCTCAGACTCAAAGACCTCTGGAGCAAATGAGCTCGTAACATTACGCTAAGAGTAATAGCCGCACCTTTAGAAATATCCGTATTGAACCTTCTCAATGTGAAACCCGACGCTGTGTCGGATGCTTGACTCTACTCTGTGTTCGTCGAAGGGTTGGATGTCGGATAAATAGTGAATATACTGACCTTCAAGTTGCCGGCCTGAGACAATAGATCGCTCGTTATCTTCTGGTTAGCCGCAAGTTGATCGCTGAGCTCGCTGATGAGCTGCCATACTCGCATGAGTTCGTTATCCATCTCGAAGGTCGAGTTTTTGTCGCTGTGTCGAAGACTGAAACTGAAGTGAGGGAACCTGATCGCGTTGCGTGGGAAGATCATGTAAGCGCAGGGTCTTCCCAGTTTGGCAGCGCGATGATCTTTGCGGACGTACGGCCACCATCTCAACTTACTTCCTCCTTCAGCGGTTCTTTTTCCCGACAGTTCCCAACGATGTACTCAGAGGATGAAAGCATGACGGCCGACGCCTTTTCTGCAGATCAGAAACGCGATCCCTTCTCCGAAATACAGCTAAGCTCCACGCGGACCCGAACCCTCAAGCGAACCCTCTCTGATGAATTTAGTCCTGGCGGCAATAGCGGGCCCATGAAAAGTAGAAGAGTCGACCCAGAACGCCTGGCATGTCGGCTAGATCCCAATCTAGTCCAAGATATGGAAGTTCTTATTGCTCAAGGCTCTCGAATGCCTCCGTTCGAGATTCGGAAAGAACTCCAAGAAAGGTATAAGGTAGACAGACGACACATCTACGACTACTTTCACAGCAGAGGTGCCCATGCCGATGACCCCATACTACTGCAGTACGCTCATTATAGTGACCATAGGTATGCGTGTCGCGAAGGAAGACAAGCATCGCAACTTGTCTCGCCGAAGGGCGATGCTAAGTAAACCCAAACCCCAGGTACATCATCATCTCAAATAACTGGTTGCTCAGCTTTAATGATGTCTAACCCATATATATGCAGCCTATATTTTATTCTTCAACCGATATTTCGTCCGAATCAACAGCCCTGGTGGAACACAGAAAGCCACCTACACATGGCGGAAAGACCTATCCGATGCAGCAGAACAAGCCTAAGAAGCGAAAGCGAAATACACCAGCCATTGTGCCAAAGCTTGAAGAGTCGCCTGAGATCCTTCCGGACCTTGCCTACCCTGATAGCCCTCCTCAGCCTGTATTCTATCGCGAACCCACGCCTGAGGTGAAGGATGCTTTCAAGTCAGAGCCGGAAGACCTCGATACGGATTTAGAACAATCTCCGATCAACCAGCTTGAAGCTGACGGAGAAGACCTCTTCGACGAGGAGAAACTCAACCATCTGGACTTTGCATACCTCGACGACGCCTCCGAATCCTCGGTTTATAACTTCGACACTCCGGTCTGTGACCCGGTCCATGCGGATATTTTCGAAAGTCCTCGCGCTGGCCGACTCGGAATCTACGACCTGATCAATGATAATATTGGTTGTGACACTAAGGCTGCCGAAAGCGTTGGGTCGTACCGGTCATTCATGGAGGACCGCGAACAGCTCTATTTCTCTCGTCTATTTGCTTCTCCTCAGAAGTCGCCAGGTGCACTTTCCATCGAATTGGGCTCAGACGCATTTATCTCTTCGACCACGGATCATGATTTCCCTTCAATGTGCTCGCTTTTTCAGGATTCCTCCTTTCAGACCTCTTCGTTATCCACGGTATCTGATGCCCCAGTGATTAATCAGGACGCCTCCACCACAGACGTCCCCAACCTTACACAACCGGTGTCAACGATGCTTCCTCAAACGGTTCAAGACCCCTCTGCGAACTCCGCAAAGACTGTTCGGCCAAGGATACCAACTGGGCAGCAAGCCCTTTCTTCTGGACCGAAAACCCCATCTTGTGAACATGCGCAACTAAATTCTGCCTCCGCAGTTTCACTTCGTGCATATATGCGGCCTCGCTCACAGTCAACCTTACGAAACGTGATTAATAAGGATGGTTCTTCCGCCGTCGAGTCATTTGTCCCTTCTATGGCCCCCTTTCTGGAGACCTCTCGTGCTTCATGGAAGCTAGCAGACATGAGGCCATCCAGGCATAGGACGGCGTCCGCCGGCGGAGGCTTATAGGCGAATCTTGTTTATCACATTCTGAATCCGCATTGGCCACCACTCTCCGCAACCTCGGTCCTACTTCGAAGCAGGTCTTCCATCAACACTCAGATTTGCCTTCGCGCTACACGTTTCTCCGGCCTGAAACCTTTATCCCGCTACTCTCAGTAATCTGAGCCTTCATTAGTCAACGAGCCATCCAACTTCTCCACATGACCAGGTTATCGCGAAATCGTCCGTCCCCGTTAGTCACCCCATTGCGTCCGCCCCTTCTGTTACTTCGCGTTACCCGTTACCGCCTGCGAGGCTTGCTTGATCCAAGATCGTAGCACCCACGACACCGGCCCAGTAAGGCTTCATTCATTCATCATCATCATTATCATCCAGAGTTGATAGCCCTTGATTCTTTTGGATACAAACATCCTCTTGTATTAGCTACTGTTCGCCTTTTGTAATTACCTCTTCTATCCAAGTTGTATAATACAAGTACAAATCAGACATCAATCGATGGTGTACGTGAGTGATATATGCTACAAACTAGTGCGTCATGTAATAGGAACCCATACAGCCACACGTACAAACTACGGCATTCTGGGCAAGTTCGTTACGATCGTAGGGGAAATTAGAACAAGAAGTCGAATCCTGGAAGGCGATATCAGGGAGACAACTGCCACTGACTCCTGCACCGGGAGGAAACATGACAGATGGAGGAGCCGGCTGACACAGAAGGGAATTCGGAGACAATGGTTGCTTCTGAACACCTTCTGGGGCCTTGCACGATTGTATTACCGGCTCCTCATCAAAGGGAATCGTCTCGGTCAGAAGACGATTGAGGAAAAGTCGTCTTGGACGGGGATGATGAAGAGTGATGGGTTCTTTGAATGCGAGGGCCGGAGGTGTCTCAGGTATAGGTTGATGCGATAGAGCGGAGCCAATAGATGAATCATAATCAAGGCGTGATGAAGATATTGTTGAATTGGCTAGTGAGTGTGAAGCGGCGCTGACATGATGATGAAGGTTGTGGGAAGGATATTGCTGTCGAGAAAATGGGTCTGACATCGGGACATCATTTGAGTCAGCCGATGATGGTGGCATGTATGTGATGAAGGTCCGGTACGTGATATCGGTGGCGGAGGAGGGCTGCTGTTCATCCTGCGCCATACATGAAAGATCACTATCACTTGATTCGGCGGGTGACACCGAGCATCTCTGCGGTAGGACGTGCGGTGAAACAGCATCGTGCATCGATGTATCCCAGTTATTGTTGTAAGGATCGCGGCTATTACATTGCCCCCCTGTTGAAGCTGCAAAACTGGCGGACGGGGACGTAAACGTCCCTGTATGTGACGTGGAGGCAGTGAAACACGGTGCGGCGTGGTACGTCGAATACATGCACGAATGGATTTGGGGGTTGGCGGATACCGCGTCATGGTAATCCTGGCAACATTGGTATTCCGAGGGATAATATTGGTATGATGAATGAGTATGCGTCTCGTAGTGGGAGGGCTTCATTGTTGAGCTCGGTGGCAGATTCGACAGGTGTTTGGGTTCTGGGTGGTTGCGCTCGACAGCAACTCGCGGCGTGGTGTTATTATACGATGTCGTGAGACTGCGATTGGAAATCATGCGGAGAATGTAAAACGAGAAATGGCCGGAGGTGTGGGCTTAGGTTGGGATATAAATGGTGATGCAGATGGTGATCAACAGTTATGGCTTGAGAACGTCATGCGATGGGTTCCAAGGGGTAACAAAGGGAGCGAGAGCCGACGGGAGAAAAGAAGTATCATGCTGGACATACGAAGGTCTTATAAATGTTCGTGCAGGGGACGACTGTGGAGTCTTTTTTACGCTGAGCATCGCCGTCGAATTCCGATTTTGAGTTTCTCGCCACTGTGGCGTCACATCTAGCCGATATTCATACACGATAAGAATGGTCAGCAGCACAATGGAGATCAGGAACGCCGCACGAATATGGGCGATGTCACTGCGGCAGCGATAACATAGGAACTACGAGCCTAAGAAGCGAGGAGTGTTAGCTTTCGGCGCCCTTACAGCATTATTGATCTAAAATCATACCAGCTGGGTCCGCCTTGGTATTCTTACCCCCGGACATTTGCCATTAGATTATACCATATCAGGAAAATCAGGAATGCATGGACCCAAGCAGTATGCCAGCATAAGTCAATCAACGGCCTCTAGCGTGAAGAAGGGACGGCCTTATTCTTGAAAGACAGTCATTCCACAGGGTGAATGATGTATGCCATATTCACACACCCGATTGTTGTAGTGCCCCCGTTTCCATCTCCATATCCCAGGCCGCATGCACGGTCATAAAGCATATGTGTCGTAAAGATGAGCCTCATAACGACCGCTTGGTTCGCCTTTGGCTTCAAGGTACCGTACCAGACGCGATCTCTCGTATGGGTGCCTCCAAGTGTGGGCACACGTGTTTCCTTGTTCGGTGAAAGGGCGTACATCAGATCAGGTTGATCAGCAACAAGCAGTATGATGATATCACCTCTCCTTTGTTCATGAAGCTCTGAGCGTCGTTGATGGAGCTGTGGATATACACACAAAGGGTTTGGTTCTGGAAGATTTCACGGCGTAAATTCAAAATCGTGTCCAATCGCAGACTCCGCTGGGGCTGGGTCTTGGTCTTGGGAACTGGGAGATCAAAATAGCAGCAAGCCGAATGCAGAAAGTTGGAGAAAGATGCTGTGTGCGGCTTGCCATCTGACGTTCGATTGCCTGACAACAGGAATAGGTCCCGGCTCCAGGTACACCATTTGCTTGTACTTCTGTTTACCCGCAGCAGTTTCTAGAGATGTCTCAAGATGTCTCAAGATACTCATGCGCCTGCCACGCATTCCTGTATTAGTCGGAAATTGAGTGAATATCGGAACATCTAGAGGTAAACTCAAGGCAATCGCCGTACTCACTGGCCGTTGCGGAGACGGTGGGACCCCACGGGCGCATTCCTTACTCCCATTGAATCGACACGAGGTTCAATTGCCAGAGAACCTTCCTGAATCCTGAGTGAAGGTGGCGGCGATGTGAGCGTGTGCGTGTGCTTTGTAACTTCCTTCTTCCTTTGGTGCTGCATTTGAGGCGTCCTCCACAGGGAGATCCGAGCATAATTAAGAACAGCCCAAATCATCGGAATCTTCCCATGCTTCGCTGATACCGCGCCGCTACATAGGTATCTTACGAAAGAAAGGTAAACAAGGAGAATCTTGTCAATCAGATTAAGTCGGGATCTGGGGAGCATGTGGAGAGGCACTCACCAGGGCCCTGGTGAAGCATATATATATGGATATCAATGCAGTACCAACTTGAGGCCAACATCAACAAGGAACGTACCCATGCACATACATCAACCCAAGGCTCTTGATGCTCGGCAAAGACTGGCTATCAGGACAGAGTTAAAGAGACGAATATTCTTAACGGCTATTTAGCTTTAGGTAAGTTACACCGAGGTGGATATGTAAAGAATGTTGTAATGGCGGTTGGTGGTGGGGAGAAGGGAAGCGGGAGAAGGAAATAAAGCCCTCCGTTACTCTGTATATTCGCGTGAAAGGGAGAAAAGGTGGTAGAACAATATGGCACAGTACAAGGAGACGACGACATCCACAAAGGAGAAAGGAAAACACTGCAGACCAGAACACACCCCAGCTTTACTCAGCAACAACCAGGCTCTCCATCGCCCTCTGAATGTGGTTCATGGCTTGGGGGCTGTCACGTCCGCCAGTGCTAAGGACACGGGGACCGAGAGCAGGGTGCCGTACGCCCAGCGCCGCACCCAACATCCTTTTTCCAGGATCACCAATCCTGGGCGCGCTTTCCGACGAATGCATGCTAGACGCGACAATCGCAGGATCACTAGGGAGAGAGTTAGACCCCAGCGTGACGCCGTCGCCTAGCGAAGAGCTGATCAATGAATTGAGGGTCGGTTGTGATGGGAGTGATGGAAGCGTCGGCGATGGTTCGCGACCATTGGCGGTACTATGTTCCGCGATGGTAACATATTGCGAAGCGTTGATGTTATGAGTCCGGACATTGTGGGGTTGGTTTAAACCACGAGCGTTCGGTAGGACGGATATAGAAGCGGCGCGCGCTGTGTGGCTGCGCGAGGGATTTGAATTATGTCCGCGCGAGTTCACCGTCTGGATAACGGTCTGCGCATCGGGTCCATCATATGGCCGGATGACTGCCGTTCCAGTGGGTGATGTAAGGGTCGAAGGAGGAAAGGCGAGCGTATGCAGATATGCCTTTTTCGCTGTAAATACAAAGCACGGTCACCTACGGGCCTTTTTGGGCGCAATTTGGAGCTCACCGACAGTAGCGTCTTGGAAGACAATGTACAGGCTCGTGTCGTCCTTCCACTTGATTTTGAAGCCGCCATTCACGCCCTCCCAGTCCGAGAATGCTGTCTGTATATCTTTTGTCTTCAGTTCCTTGGGGAAGCCGGTCAACGACAGGATGCGTGTAACGGAAGCAGAAAGCCCTGCGAGAGAAGTGGCCATTGCTCTTGCTCGATACGAAAGCGAAGGATGTGGTGGCTAAGGAACTTGATGTAAAAAGTCGCTGCGCGATAATGGAAGTGGATGCGAGACAGCAAATATGATGTTTAAAATGAGGATAAAGGTAGGGCAGCTGAATTCAAAGCAAAGAGTGCGAATTTGGTGGATACAGAGAAGGCCAGGCGAGGAGGAGGAGGTGGTTGAGAAAAGAGTTAGAACAGGGCCAATCCCTTGCTCGTATCAAACACATATGACATTTGTTCCCACGGTCAGAACCTCCCTGCGATCGTCGTCTAATTTACTTCCACTCGAGGCAGAACATGTTAAGTTTTACCTCACAAATCCACACTGCGTGCCCCGACACTGACGCTCGCTTATTGTCGCACTTTGAAGTGATACACGAGTCTCAAACAGCCCTAGTTTTACCTGAGACGAAGCCCCAAAGAAACGTCGCAGCGCGATCCAAACGTGACGATATGCAGTAAAGGTGTACGTTCATACAACGGTAGCATTACGAGGACATCGGACATGTTGATGAAATGAAGGCCCTGATACTTGGGAATCCGTAGGCGGCGAAGCTGGACTTTCGGAGTTCTCATCTGTGTCGCCGAGAGTCCAGGGCGCTGATAGGTGCAGTAACTTGCGATTGGTCAGGAACGTCGAAGGATTCTAGGAGCCGTATTGCAGTTGAGGACAACAGATGCTAGTGATCTACAAAGCCGTGTCTCGCGCGTGCTACCAGAGCGTTCTATGGAACGAATATAGATGAAACGTCCATCCACCAATACATCGTTCGAACGCCGGGCAACTTCGCTAAGTAGTGTTGGTCTAGTGAGTGTGAAACAGATCAGTCTTCGTTTTGACTGCCCGGCTGATGAGGCGCCCGAAAATATAGTTAACCAAGATCTCGTCCAAACAGGAGTGCTCGGATGATTGAATTCTGAAGTCAACTCAGAAGACCGATGGGCTATTCAGGCCGTACGCGTCGCTATCAACTCTGACAACTCATGATCAGGAATGAGATTTATGATTGCGATAAAGCTTAAGAAGCTCAAGCGCTCAACATTCTTCGGCATTTTGACACTTCCAATCCATCTGGTGCACATGGGTTCTTGATAGACTTCGTAGCAAGAATGAGTAGTAAACGAAACCAATAAGCTGGGACTCAGTATTACTGACCTCGCTGCATATCGGAAATTCGAGGCTACGCCGATCCAAACATCAAGGATTTTCGGCGGAATGGTGGAGATGCGTGCGGCCTTTGTGCATACCGGCGTAACCAAGTGCTTGTAAGTGCCCGCGCTAGATGGGGTACTAAGATGAATAGGCGAGGCAATGTTGGGAGCCCCTGAGACCCCTGACAGAAGGTATACGGCTCGGTTACCCCAATTGCCGGGAAGGAGCCCCGCCGGGCCCCGCCCCCTGCAAAGCTAATGCGTTAACCTGCAATTTCAATTTCCCCACATCTTCCCCTTTCCCCTCACCATTTTCCGACCCCCTTAGTAGCAAGATCGCTGCCGCCGCCCGCTCGCCGGTGCCACCTGCCGCGAGCTACAGACATGTTGGCGCGTCTGAAGAGTGTTGTGCTGACGCTGGACGGAACTCGGACATATGTCCCAGATGAGGAAATGAAGTCGGTGCCAGAGGACGAGGCTATGGTGTGTGCTATTGCATTTCTGGCGGTACGAGGACGTGACTCACCCATTGCACGCAGGTCGTCGATGTGCAGTATCTGCGGGGGTTGATGCCCGTCCCAGATACATCTTCGTGGTGGCGAGTTGCCGGAATGTGTGGGCAAGCAATAAGCCCGGTGTACAGAGGGATTCAAGGAATCCTGATGGAGGATATCGACCGGATTGCAGAAGTACTGTCCCAGGTTGGATATGACCGCGACGAGGAAGACAATGTGCATGACGGTCGCTGCACGGTGAGCTGTTAGTTCATTGCGACGTCGACTGCGTGTCTCATGATTTTTTTTCGCAGAAGCCTTCAATAGCTACATCACATCTCCCGGTTTCTCCATCTCATCTCAAACCGCCCGCCGAGTCAGATAAATTTCCCGAAAAACCACGACGGAAACGCAGACGTTCGTCAAACACAGTCAGTAACAGCTTGGATTTGTCATTCTAGCTATCTCATTGGATTTTTAAAAAAATCAGGATCGCTGTCTACCTCTCATCATCCCAAGCACTCATCCGAGCGCGCCCACCATTATCATAACCCCCTGCCCACCCGAACCACTGATGACTGACGGCCATGTGCCATACCAAGACCACGCTCATGGGCTGAAGTTAACCGTCCCTGCCCATCCAGCATTCAATGCAACCTTCCCACCTATGGCGCCTTCTCCCTACATGCTACCTTTGGTTAGCAAATGGAAATGGCAAGACGGCCATTGGCAAGCGCTCCTCCCGGATTTGGAGGAACAAGCAAAAAAGGGCATGTACTCTCGTGCTGTAACAGTCAAGAACAAGCCCTGTAGGCGACCGTTACGCTCGACAAACTCAAATTGACGGCGACCGTCGATGTGTACCACTACCTCGCATCATATCTCTCGCATCTAGGGCCCAGCAGTGGATTCCAGTCTTGCATATTCTTATCATATATCCGCCATTAGCATTGTATACTTCCGTAGCATAGGCCAATCTATTGCATTTGACTCTGATCTGAATCATTTTGTGGCGTCTGGGAAGAGTTATGTCAATCACGTGCCACTCTCCTCGAGACGTGTCTGAACTTGCTCCGCTTTCGCTCGCACTTGCTTTTTGGCCACTAACAGTATTTCTCGCTCCAGTCACTCTTTCACCTTCACCATTCCCAACTAGAGGCTCACTCGTGGTTGCTCGCATGTCGTTCAAGGCCTTGGTCTATGCTTATGTTCTCGGCGGGCTCACGTTTATCCCACTGGTCCTTGCTGCATTGGTGTTCTTCACCATCTATACATCGGTTCCCGTAGGGGACCCAGATCCAAGCAAGCAGGCTCGTGCGCACCTCGAACGCGATGGAAATGACACCGAGGACGCACCGACGCCCAACGACGCTGATGCTGCCCGCTCCGCAGGTCTCTCTGACGTCAACGACATCCCGCGCACGCGTAAAGGCTGGCTCACCATGCGGCGAACGTTCGAAGAATCGCCCTTCGAGGGGTCCTATGTCACCCTTGTCCGCTCGTTCCTCGATGCGAGGTCGAAGGACCCAAAACGCTCGCGGCCGAAGGATATGTGGTATGTTGTGCTGAAGGGGAAGGTGCTGTATCTCTACGAGGATGAGGCGATGACAGAGTGCGAGGTAGCGGTGGAGCTGAGTGGGTTTGAGGTGATTGTGTATCCGGAGGGACAGTTGGACGGTGAGCTCTTCGCTAAACGGAATGCAATATGTCTGCGGGCACGAGGGCCGCCAGTGGAGAAGGGCGCGTCAAATCCATCAACTCCAACCAGCGCGGAGGGCGGAAATGCTGGTGAAAATCTCGACGATTCGCGCTCGACCCTCGTTGAAGGAGATAAACCGGTGGATACGGAGAAGGAGAAGGAGAAGGAGAAGGAGAAGGACAAATCCAGTGATTCGGCTTCAGCAGTTTCGAAAGACCCATGGTTTATCTTCGTGCGCACGAACGTCGAGATGGAAGACTGGTACTTCGCCTTGATTCACGCCTCTGAACAGCCAGCGCAAGCCCCCACTCTCGCACCTCTTCAGTCTATCTTCTCTGCTGCGGATATGCAACATCTTGTTACGACGCTGGACGAACAGCCAGACGTCATTCCTATGCGTTGGCTCAACGCGCTAATAGGCCGGATATTCTTCAGTTTCTACCGCACTCACCACCTCGAGGCGTATATCATTGGTCGGCTTATGAAGAAACTATCCAAAGTCAAACGACCTGGATTCCTCACTGACGTCGTCGTCAAAGAGGTTAGCGTTGGCAATCGTCCCCCTACGCTGAGCAAGCCCATGCTCAAAGAGCTGACCAAAGAGGGCGACGCTGCGCTTGAAGTCCATCTCCAATTCAAAGGAGAGATACGGATTACTGTGGAAGCTACGGCCACCATTAATCTCGGAGCCCGCTTCAAGCCGTACAACGTCAAGCTTGTGTTGGCTGCTGTTGTGAAAGAGATGGAGGGCAATCTACTTGTCAAAGTCAAGCGACCTCCGAGTAATCGCATTTGGTACGCGTTTACACAAACGCCGCGGATGGTCATATCCGTAGAGCCTATTGTCAGCGACAGACAAATTACCTGGACGATGATTCTCAGTACTATCGAAGCGCGTCTCAAGGAAATTGTGAGTTCCACGAATAACTCTCCGCAATCTATTCTAACTCTGGGGTAGATACAAGAGTCTGTGGTTATGCCTAACATGGATGACATCGCATTCTTCGAGAGTTCACCCTATGAACACCGTGGCGGAATATGGTCCGACGCGTCACGTCATGAAGTTCCTGCGTCGCTGTTGCTGAATCGGGATCCAGCTTCTGTCGAGATGTTATCAACAGCTTCGGCACCAGCCACCACCGATCTCGATGGTTCGTTGACGAAGGACGAATCTAACCTGGCGACTCCAGTACCTCCAGAAGTGACCAGCGTCCAGTCTGTGCCTACTACCTTACCCAGTGATATGCCCGAGGACGCCATGGGCAATGGTTCTATCAATGGTCGCCGGCGAACGTGGTTCTCTGGCATACGAAATGACGACTTCAGTGCCTTGCTCCCTTCTCAGCTTCCTGACGCGGTCGATGGTGATCGTGGTCGAACTACCGATTCAGCCTCCACCAATGGCACCCGTCAAGAACGTTCGCATTCGAGGCACAGTACGCGTGCGAACACTCAGGATAGTAGCGATTTAGAGGCTCCTGCGCCTGTCCACCAGTCGGCGATTTCGCGGCCACGTTCACGCCAGTCATTCCACGAGAAGGGTTTGTCAGTGTCCTCGGATGGCTCAGGCGCGTATACAGACGGCAGTGCGTTAAGCGCGGCTTCGTCCCGAAATGCGGAAGCTTCGTCGTCGAAAATGAGCAGCAATCTCCCATCGTCGCCGGCGAGCCCAACAGGGTTTTTATCACAGCTCAAATCCCGGGCTACGGATAAACAGGCGCTGAGCAACACGGCCAAGGAGGCCATGAAAAAATGGGGTATGAATTGGGCCGGGCTAAGGAAAGACAGCTCTAAGGATAGGGAGGGGTCCAGTGGAGATACATCGGGCAACGAAGATCAGCCTGATCATGGTGTAATCGGCGCCACCAGAGCTATGTTCGATCCGAATGGATCTATGGCGCAAAGGGCTAGAGCAAGCTACGCTGAAGTACGGGCAGCCGTTGCGGAGCGAAGGGAGAAAGAGAGAAAGGAAGCAGAGGAGGAGAGGGACACTGGCGCAAGCGAACGGCGATTTTTGGGCGTATACGACAGGACCACGTCATCGAGTTCAAGTCCTATTCCTATACCGGACGGTGGAAAGACGAGAGCGAGGGTGATTAGTGCCCCCGGCTTAGGTCTACCCCAGCCCTCCTCGAAGCAGTCGTCTGCGAGCGATCAAGAAGCGATTTTGAGGGTAGGTTCTGAGGCTTCCGATAAGTCGATACCTGTTCCGTCGACCTCAGCTCCCTCTGCATCGCCCATAAATGTAGACGAAGATGAAGAGATCAAGCCCACGTCCCCGATTCACAGACAGCCACAGGCCATGTCAATGACTATTCCTGGTATTCATCCGAGTCACCGTGGGGACGTTCTGTCCATGGGATATGTTGCGTCCGAGGCTCCTCCTTCAACCCCACACACGAAAGATAAGGAGGGAGCTGGAAGCAAAATAAAACTACCGCAGAATCCGACCATTCAGAGTATGTATACGAGATTCTGGAAGTCGCCGGGAGGAACGGTAACGGGGAGTCCGTCATCGACGCCGTCCAGGCCAGGGTCTTCTGCTCATCCCATTGATCCGAATAATCCATTCGTTGACAGTGAGTCGAGTGCGCCAAGGGCAACAGGATTGAATGCTCCTGCGGCACCTCCACCCTCGATGACATCTCGAGTTCCTCCTCCGTTACCTCCTCGATCAACACCCACCGCAGTTTCTCGTGCACCTGTCGAACCTTCACAGCCTTCACCTTCAAGTACTCTCAATGTCACCGAACTACCTGGCCCTGAATCTTCAACATCTCCGGCTAAAGGGTCGGCATCTGAGGCGTTGAAGAGCATTGCGACTAAAGACGAAAATATCCGAACAAAGCGGGCATCTCAAGAGCTCAGCACAAATGCTTCGCCACAGCCCAGCCCGCCTCGGCCGGCATCTAGAAGGATTAGTACTTCGTTGGACACGAGTTCTACGGACGAAAGTTTAGACTCTGGGTTTTCGAAAGGGATTGTGGCTGACGGAAATATTGATGAGCATCACGAACGAACAAACGACTCTAATAACGACGAACAAGAGGACTCGCTACCGACTCCGACACCCCCACCGCACCAATTTCGAAATTCAAATCCTGGACCTCCATTACCTCCTCGTAAAATACCTGAGCCCATACTCTAGCATTGAGTCTATTTTGAGCATCTGCAACTTGTTTCTTGATTTGCATTTGGTTTCTTACATTTCATCAATCCCCGTTCTGTGTACTCATATATTTATTATTGCATTTGGATACAGGATCGTAGTTGGCAAATGAATCCTGTGGGTGTCGCCGCCGTAAACCCGATCAACGTAAGTGTCCTCGATGACTGATGGGCGTTCCAACGTGTATGAGAAACTTGATGATTGTGGTTTGCTCTCCGTCGTATCTGAATCTAGCGTAGCGGCTGTAAACGAAGGTGGTGCGGATAATTTTAGGGTGCGACGGTCACCGCTCAACATGTAATTATCGCAAAGTATACGCGAATCCACGACTTTAAATTCCCCGCCGAAGCGAACAAGCCACGTTGTGCGAACCTGCAAACTGATGTTACAGCATGACTCAACGACTCCCATTGGATTCCCTTCTGGAGATGTGTAGGTATTCTGAAACGCCAATGAATGTCGAAGCCGGGAGAATGAACACGCCCACCACCTTAGCGACGAAGCTCCGTGACTCTTGGGTCATCGTTCTTCACCATTCCCCTACTTTGCTGCTGGTTGTCGCGTCGACGTACAAACGTGTTCCTGAACTTCGAGGGTATTGTTTTCTGCGGTGCATAGACATAGTGAGTTGGAACCACGCTGCCGGTGAAATGAGGGACTAACCATCTTATCTCTAGGAGCCCCGTGCTGACCTCGTAACAAGGGAAAGGAGACTTACCATCATCAAACTTGCAGAACCATCTCGACAGCTGTTCAAAGGCATAACATATATTCTTGGAGACAAGAACAGCTCCCCCTTGCGTCCATCAAAACACAGCAGACGTGAGGTTGGACCATCAGGAAGATATCAAAGGCAGATATCATCTTGCATGCGGTGCTGAGAAGACTTTGTGAAGGTACCATTCACTCCCCGTATCGTTGGTAAGAGTCAGGAAGTGGAAGAACTCTCCCGTGGTATTGGTGCGGCTCTGTGCTTCTTGATAGTGCGCGTGTGGTTGATCTTGGACTGCAGGCTTACTGGAGGAAGGCCCAATGGAGAAGAGATTAACGACTAGGCGTAGTCAGTGCTCACTGGTGATCTCGCCGAATTTAGACGCAATGCTAGAGTATAACGAGAAGGTGCGACGGTCGAAGGGTTTGGCGAGGGCAGCCAGCGTGGGTGCTGTAGTCTCCACGATAACCAAGACCTCCCCGGTGGCGAGCGGAACCGAAGGACTACCTCCCCCTCCGCGAAAGCCTAGATGGCCACGGTCACCCACGTTATCAGAGCGAGATGAGATCAAGCACGAGGAGGACGTGACGGACCCAGACCTCGAACCCCACCGAAATTCGAATCCCTACATCAACCCAATTCCCTGCTTTGAACTTGGCAGTCTAGTTGAAGATCAGCCTGCGTATTCCACTACGGCAGTAGATGGTTCTCATGCCGACTCTTCTCCGTGGGGCGAAGTTAGTTCTAGACGAGGTCACGGTGCGGAAGGGGGTTCGCCGTCTGGATCACCGGGTGATGTCCGGTCATCGCAAGATCATGATCTCAAGCAACCATCGTCAGCAACTGAAGCGAGTTCACAACCGCCATCACCACTGTCGACGTTCGCCAAAGTTGACAACCTAAACAAATTGTTCGGTAAAAGTTTAATAAAAAGCAAGAGCGAAAGTAAGAACCACGCACCGAGTCGACCCAGCACCAGTAGCGGCACAGAACGCGCAGAGGTGACTTCGAAGCTAGCTCGCGGCCTCATTCTCGCAGCTCGAGGAAAATTTACAGCAGCATCCAAGAACAAGAACGGTGAGTCCCTTGGAAGTTTCGCCGACATGTCACTTTTTTCTTTCTCTTTTGTGGTTTCGAATGAAATACTGACTTTCGAGGGTTCTGTTTCATGAAAAAAACCAAAGTGATAGGCGCCACGGGGATGGGTCAACATGAGACACCAATCTTGGACATCCGCCGAGTCGACGATGCAGGCTTTGGACACCGAGTCGGCGGAGGTGGCCCTGCGCGGGCTCTGTACCTTTCCCACGATTCTCCTTCATCAGCACCGAGCGCATCCCTCTACTCAGACGAAGACAGCCCCAGTCGCTCCTCTCTCTACGACCATCACGACGACCACAGGATCAGCATTTCCAGCACAATATACCCTTCATCCTCCTCGCATATCCACCCAGCACGCCTCACCCCGCTCTTGCTGCCCCCAGACAGAATGTCTAGCCTCAGAAATCTCATGAGCGGCCATCGCAGCGCGGTATCTCTAGATCATGATGTGGAACGAGATTCATTCATTGATTTGGTGTCGCCGCCAGCCCAAGTAGGCTCTTTCCCGCCCAATGATCCGCGCACGGACCCCAAACCTACTTCGCGACCATCTACACCGACGGCGCACCTTAGATCCTCCTCGGAGGAAGGCAACGCGCAACCTTCTCCTTCGAGCTACTCCATGTTCGCGAAGAAGCCTCGTGGTCGCTCTCGATCGCCGAAGCCCCCTATACCTAATACGCCGAAACCGATCTTTAACCGTCCGACCACGCCACTTGGGATATCTACGTTACTTTCAGCTTCACCAAAACCGTCGCCCGCACCTTCGCCGCTCGATACCCGTTCCATCAGCGATTCACTTCCTTCCACCACTAATCTCCTGAATCCCGAAGAGCGAGCTGAGCGTATACGGAAATCACAGAAGCTCGCCCAGGTCTTCGGTCAAACTCCTGGCCCTGACGTCCTAAACCAACAATGTGTCAATCTACAGGGCCAGTCTCTGAAGCAGCGCGTCCAGCATAGTCGTGGCTCCGCTTCTGTATCTGTTGGCAAGGAACCCTCCAAGCCAGCGTGGCCTCCGCCAGAGGGTACTCAATATATTACTGCTCGAGGCCGGAGGCATTCAAACCCCCTGGTCACGGAGGATGTGTCTTTCCTCGACGATGATAGTTTGAACCAGGATAGCGTTGACGATCTTGATGACTCTAACAAAGACCACCACTCAGATCATGCGATTGAGATTGGCACAGAGGAAGGCGTGCCGTCGAGTGACTGGGATGGCCGGATACATCAGAATACACAAGATCAGAAGATACGTCCAGATTCCCCCACATCTTTCATCGATCTATCAGACGCAGATGATACACTCGACAACGAAGGCACCTCCGCCAGCATCATTGGTCCTGATCCCATCTCTGGAGACAGCATTTCCGGCAGACGCCGCACCAGAGCACTGTCTGCCGCGCTATCTTTATATGAGAATATGTCCCCAGAGGAGCAAGCTGAGGAGGAAAGGAGGCGCAAACGCGAGAAGCTCGCCAAATTGCACAGGTTTTTAGGCTCACGGGTGCCTGCGAATCTTGCTCTTGGATTGCCTGGTGACCCAAGCGACTCCTTACCACCTCTCACCTTCGCCACGAACCCCGATCTGGACATCGATACTAAACTCGATTCTCCCATGCTTCTCCCCACGGACGACTTGTCCAGGAAAATGTGGTTACGACGGCGGCGAAGCAGTAGTGCAGCTGCACTCCCGACGTCTTGGTCAGACGACATAGATCGCGTGAAGGAAGATCTCAATGATAGGGAGAAATCTATCAACGTTAAGAGAGCGCAGAAAATGGAACGGGTGAGTATTTGCGCCCACTTGTGCACTCCTTTGTCTAGCTTTCAATGTGTTCTGATGATACGTTCCTAGCTATTTGGAGTCGCCCCTCCTCAAACTCTCTATCACACCCGACACGCTCCATCACCATCACTCCCTGTTGGTCCTGCGCGTACCTTTGCCTTGAATACTCCGCCTGAGTCCCCAGTGGTTCCGAACCTCAAGAGCAACAACCAATTCTCGACCACCGCTGCCACCAAGTCGGGCTCGTTCCCATATCCTAAGCCTAAGCTCAGGAAATCCGAACGGCCCGGTACTTCAGAATCTAGCAAACTGCTCCTTCCAAGCAAAGGCGGCTCCATCTCCGAAGAACCTCAGTCTCGCTCACCACCGTCCGCTGTCAATCCAGTCCTTCTCAGGTCCAATGTCTATTCTCACTATCAACATTCCTTGAACTCGTTAAACGACATCATTGATAGAGTCAGTCTTTCTTCCATCCTCGCTAGTGTGATTTACGAACTGACCCTCGCTGGTGTATCGTCCAATAGGATGACAAAGAGTCCTTAGCTGAACTCCATGAATACCTCCATTCTGCCGACGACGATGCTACCTCTTCCCCAGGCCCTTCTCCAACAACGCTCCAAGAGTTTGCTCGTTCAGCGCTCCCACTTAACCGTAAACTCTCGACTGCGTCCATCAAGTCCGAACGGCGCCGTTCTCTCCCTGCTCGCACATCTCTTGCAACTATCTCCACCGACTTCTCTGCAGCCTCGGACTACTTCCCCTCCTCTACCGGCCTCCACAACCGCGCCAGCTTGATCAGCATCACCACCCCCAAACCCGAAATCACTGATTTCCAACTTCGTAGACGGCGGGCGGCCAAGTTGACCCAGTTCTTTGGCGTGAACTATCGTGAATTGATCCACGATATCCTGGAGAGTATAGAAAAGGGTCTAGAGGACGAACGCAAACGTGGCACCCTCCAGCCCGACGAAGTCGAGGTATGTCCACTATGCGCCCTTCATTCGGCTCTTCCTCACGTATTGTTTCACAGGATCTTTTGCAAAAGCTTCGTACCCTTCGCACGAAGCGTGGCAAGATATTTTAGAGTGTTACTCTCATTTCATCAATCTTTCCCCGTCTCTCGTTGGTATCTTTTGTACATCTGACTCATGCAATGGCCTTTCTTGTGTAGTACTTTACCCAGCGTTCATCATCGATATGCATCATCACCATCTTTCAATCATTCATTACAATCAATTGTAGTATAATCATACGAAACCTTGGATAGGACATCAACCAAATCATAGCACCACCAGATCACCGCTACATGAATGACACCAGAATACGTGGGATTCATCGAGGAAGTGTGATCTGTTATGTGGGAGAGAATCAGAGTGCTGGTGGTGAGCATGATGGTGGTGGTCGTGATCATCGTAGGGCTCTGACATATTGTCGGGTATGGGGGACATGGTTCTTGAAGGTGGATGTGAAGTCGCAGCGGTTTCACTCTCAATGCGAGCTTTCAGCATAGACAAGCTAACTTTGCGTTTGTGAAGTGTTTCTGGACTGAGGTGTTGTTCAAAAACGGATCGCGTTATTGGCGGCGCGGATAAACTGCTCGTGGACCGGTGCCCGTGTCCGCGACTAGAAGGTCGTGAAGGTACACCATTGACGGGGGAGAACGGTCTTTGCCCGCTAGTTCTTGATGTCGACCGTTGGGCTGCAACTTGCTCCTCCAGTGCAACCACCTGCTTTTGGAGGGCGTGAGCTCTCGACTGAGCCTCGAAAGCAGAGTCCTCCAAAGCTCTGATAGTGGATTGGGCAGTCGAGAGTTCAAGGGCGTGCTGCTGCCGTAGTGAGTCAACTATTTCATAGTCGAGAGAATGGGGATCGTTGGACTTGGTCGGAGACGAATTCTGGCGCAGACGCTCGATTTCTTCGTCCTTGTGAGTCAATTCGTCACGTAGAGCTTCTAGTTCACCCTGGATGCGATCCAAAAGGTCCTGGTTCTCGTCCTATCAAGGCAAGGTGAGTCGTTATTTCCCAGGGATAGAAAGATCATTCTACCTGCTCAGCCAATTGTTCGTCCAACTCACGCCGCAGGGACACGATTTTGTCCGCCTGTTCCTTTGACGTTTTCTTAAGATCGTTGATGACGTCCAATCGATGCGTAGCTTCCTGGTGGTGACTACTCCTTTCTGACTCCAGGGAGCGAACACTGGCCATGGCAGACTCTAGTTCAGCCTGTACGTCCGAGTAGGCCTTTTGCAGATCCGCTAGGCCAGCCTGAGATTGAGACTGGTCCTTTTCTTGGAGCGTGAGGGCAGATTGCAATTTCTTAGTGACCTCTTCATTCTCCTCTCGTAATTGGTCTAGCTCAGATTCAAGTTCGTTGATAGTCGAGTCCCGCATCTTCAAGGTACGCTCCAAACTCTCGATCTGTTCGCCAAGTTCCAGCTTGACGCCCGTGAGCTCAACGATCTTGGGGCGCATCTCGTCCAAGGAGCGCATGAGATTGGTTCCCTCAGTCTGGAGGTCGGCCTGTGTTCGCTCCGCATCCTCGGCCCGACGTATTGCATTCCGTAGCTCGGTTTGCGTAGTCCCCAGTTCATGAGATAGCCTCGCGAGCTCCTTCGTGGCCGATTCGAATTTGTCCTGCAGACTCCTGGTGGCGACCTGGTGGGAGCTGACTTGACTCTGCAGCTCGGCGCTTTCTTTTTGTACTGCTTCCTTCTCCGCAGTTACAGCATGGAGTTGAGTCTGCAGGGCTTGCTGATGTTCTTCCAGTTCGGCAATCCTCGATCTGGACTTCGCCTCTACGTCCCGTGCAGTGTCCAGCTGAGATGCAAGCTCGTTGCGGTCGGACGTCAGATTTTGATGAGACTGCATGATAGAATGATGAGCGCAGGAAAGGCGGCGAGGATGGGAGCAAACCACACCTGTTTCAATTTGGTTAGTTTCAGCTCAAGCTCATCCGCCCGGTCGCGTGTATTCTGCAGTGACTCCTCCAACCTTTCAGCTCGGTCATCGCTTTGAATCTGCTCTTCCAGATCGCGAACTCGTTGCTGGTGTTGGGCCGACTCGGCTTCATGTTGCTTTATTTTCCCATTTGCAAGCTGAAGTTCCCGTTCCTTACGTGGTTTCCAGGTTAGCGAGAACAAGAGCAGTGAACGGATGGACCAACTTGATCGCGGCACCGCTCCGAGAGGTCCTTCTCTTTGCTTTCATACTCAGCAACTTGCTGCGAGACCTCGAGGACCTTGGCTGCCAGTTGACGAACGCGATCGGCGAGAGCATCGCCTCTAGCCTTTTCCGCGGCTAGCTGAGCAGCGGACTCGCGAGCATCTGTGCGAAGCGCGGTGAGACAGGATACCCATGATAGGACAGAATGCGCGTATACTTTGTTGTACTTCACTAAGTAGTTCCAAATCGGATGTGAGAGATGCTTTCTCGGATACCAAAAGTGAAATAGTCTGCTGTTGACTCTGTTGGATGCCCACAGCCGCGTCCTTCTCAGACTGCGCCCGTTGGAGTTGAGCTTCCAAAGCATTCGACCGCTCTTGTTCTTTGGCAAGCTTGGACTCCGAATCCTGGAGCCTGGAGCCTGTCTCTTGGAGTTCTAAATTCCGGTACATTAATTACATTAAACAGAACACGAACGCGTACTTGGGCACACACCTAATCGCACACCAGTCAACCGTTCTATTTCTGAGCGCAGAGTGTCTCTTTCAGCCTCCAGTGCCTTCACAAATTTGTCGTCGTGATGTCCAGAGCCATTCGAAAGTCGAGGCGACGTGGAAGTATGAGAAGGGCTTGTGACGTCGGTCGGTAGCTGAGGCGCAGGTGGGTCTACCCGCGATAGTGCTCTTATCCAAGAGTCGTCTCCGTCAGGAGCATCGCCAAACCTGTTTCCAAGATTCGCATCAGTATTGCTACATGATAAGAGAACCCGAAACGACACATACAAGCTTGCTGGGTCCCGAAATTGAGTATCCGCGCCAACGGGCGGGCTGGTGCTCGGCTCAGATGATGGTGGTTGGTCAGAGAGTTGTGGTGTAAATGGCCGCGACGAGGGGGGACTGCTGACGGACTGCGAGTCTGTCGCCGGTGTTCCAGCTGCTTTCTTCTGCTGTCTCTTCTTTAGCTGCTCAGGCGGTCATTAACCTATTGTGAACACGGTCGTTCATTGGAGAAACCCACCAGGGCCTTCGCTCTCGCTGCCTTGGCCGCGCGGTCATCTTCAGACATTATTGTAGGATTTGAGGTATATAAGAGGCTAACCGAGGGTCAAAAGTCAAAGTCGTGAGTGAATGGGAGGTTTCGGGAGCTTGGCGGTCGTCCAGCGGCGTCAGCGTACGGGATAGTGATGAATGACGACGTGTCGTGCTCACGCGTGTAGCTGCGCCTCATAAATAGATAACGCAAACACTCAGAATTTTGCCAAACGAATGCAAGTACAAGTATATGGAATTCCGACTATGCCTTATGAAATAGAATTGCCGTTATTTACGTAGACCATAAGAAAAGGGAAACGGAGAGTTGAGGCAAGTTAGGAATGGATCTTGAAGGGTAATACGTGCGAGAAATATATACATGTTGCCCGCTAGGTAACACGGTTAACGAGGTGCAATAATAGCGATATCCTGTAAAGACTGGATCGAGTCGAGGCGTCCATTCCAACATGTTCGAAGGCGGCTCGCAAGTGAGTAAAAGGAGAGCGATCATATAAGTAGACAGATATCAATGCCAGCTGAAAGAAAACACAGGATGGGAAGGGATGGAGGATTTGCAAGGGGGAATAACATGTGTAACGGAAGATTACGCCCAAACCTGTGAACGACGATGAGCTTCAAGCAAACGGCTGTGAAACAACTAGAACGTACTCGGAGCGTACTATCCCAACTTCCTGTGCAAAGAGCCATGCCATCTGCGCTTACACCCAAACAACTGACTCTGTTCTCATGGCCAGTGAGAACACCCACACGTTCACCTCTCAGCGTGTCCCAGACATTGCACGTCCAGTCATCATAACCACCGAAGAGAATACGCCCGGAGATGGAGAATGAAACAGAGGTGATTCCACAAAGAATATTATCGTGGGTAAACGCGTTTAGTTCCCGGTCAGCTCGAATATCAAACAAGCGACAGGACGCATCGTCCGATCCTGTAGCGAAGGCATCACCGTTGGGGAAGAATCTGTATTGGCGCCGCTGCTAAGTAAGCCATCAAGTGAAGAAGGCGCGAAAAACTGACTGGACAGCGTTAATATCGGACTCATGACCAGTGAAGGTCTGTGTTGCTCGTCCGCTACGAATATCCCAGAGTTTTGCTGTTGCGTCGCAGGCTCCGGATACAAAAACGTTCTGATTAGGTCCCAGAGACAAGCTATTGAGATAGTCGGTGTGAGAACATCTTCGAGACGTAATTGAAAAAATTGTACCTCATTACATCACCCGTATGGTCGCTGAACTCAACCACCCGGACACCAGCTTCAATATCCCACAGCATACACGTCATATCACCAGAACTAGTCACGATTTGCCGGTCGTTGATGAAGCGACAGCAGCTGAGATAACCTGAGTGTGCGCTTAGTTCCCGAGCGCCACGTACGCTAGCGCCAGCGTCCTTGTTGTTGAGGTTGTAGATAGAGCAGATATTGTCGAGACCACCACAGGCTACGAAGTTCCCCGATGGCGAGTAAGCGCAAGTCATAACCCAGCTAGATCGAAGAGGAATGGCGTGAACTTTGTTGGTGGTATAAGCATCCCAAACGATGAGTTTCCCGTCCTGCGAAGCTGAAACTAGGTGTCGTCTATCGGCTGCCCAGTGCATTGCGTAGATTTTTGCAAGATGTCCTTTCAGCGCCCGTCGAGGGCGCATAACTATTCTGGGTAATGGGTCGACTTCTGCGGCCATCGCGCGCACTGAATAACCAGGCACACAGCACTATCAGATGCACTATCCCGGTCTCAAAGTGAATGCTGCTCACAGCTTGTGTCCGCCGACGATTCCCTCTTTGCTCGAATCTTTTCCTTCAAACTCTCTGCCTCTCTGCGAGCGGCGGCAATCCGCTCTTGAATATCTCCCTGGCTCTGCGACATAGTGAAAAGTAGACCTGTTCACCCTCTGCTGTGCTGCGATTTCGACGGTAGTGGTGAGGCAGGTCCAAAGAATGAATGAAGACAAGTAATAGAAGCACCTTTGAACGGTGAAAAAATAGAAGAAGCGCGGAGATTCTTAGTGGAATTTGCGTGAGAAATGGTGCCTGCTCGACAAACTGGCTAGCCTGTGGCGTCGTCGATGTCGCCAACGATGAAGAGGAGGGCGGGGAGGCGACTGGGAGTAAGGAAGAAAGGAAAAAGGGCTGTGGGAAGGGAGAGGCTGTGGACGAAGGAGAGCTCAAAGCTGGACAGGTTGTTGCTCTCTGATGGAATCTTTGCTGCCCGCCGGCTGCAGCCGAGCTCTCTGCATCAAATTACAATCTCCGACGGAATCCCCTGAACATAGGTCACGTCGCGCTTCAGCCAAGTTCAACCGCCGCAAGTGCCTGTACCGGGACGACATGACCAGGCCGCCTCATCAGGGCGTCCATGCTCGCCGCAGAGGCAAGGACCTGCCAGGATGCTGCCAGCATTTCTGAACTTGCAGGGAGCCGTGTCCATTGCCAGCCAAGGCCCCACTCAACTCACATATGCCAACATTGGCATCATTCGGATCTGCCAAAGTCATCAGTCCGATAAGTGCACCGTAATTAACCAGCGCAACCGGCTGAGCTTCACCTTGAAGCCATCATATTGGTCAAGGACAGTCAAGGACCCATCGTAAGCACCGTCGGCTCGATTACCAACGCCGGCCATACTAAATCCGAACATTTCAGGGACATTTCACTAGGATTCACCGACAGAAAAATATGATGACGGGAGCATCTGGGAGCATGTCCTTTTGTTTCTATGTATCAACCGTTCCTGTCATCTCAAGACAGCGAGTTCCCGTTATATAGAAGGTGATTGGCTGATCCTTCCATGTCATACAGAGATCATTTGGCGCATCAAAGCATTTCCGCTCTTTGGACATTGGCTACCCGCTTGAATTTGCATTGGAGTTAGCCCAATGACCTTCGGTGAGTACATTCCTCGAACCGGCAACGAATTCGGTAGTCCGATTCGCCTCTACTGTGGTGCAGTGCCCATTGGTTCGTTGGTCAGTCCAGAACACGGCGACCTTCTCGATTCTCTTCGAGAATTCGAACTTGCACGGCGTCTATAATCGTAGGGTAAACCACAGCGCGCCTCTGGGATGGAAACGCATTAATAGCTCAACGGTCGAATATTTCCCAGCTCGACGCCGTGGCCCGATATATTCGTATGGACATCGTGGCCTCGCGTTATGACTTGATATCTACGGTCGGACTCGGTTCTTGGCCCCATCACGCAATGAGGCCATCCTCATATGAGTTGCTTTGTGATCATGGAAAGATCGATACCAATCTCCGAAATAGCCAAATGACGTCCTGGACGGTTTGAAGACGAAACACTTACGGAACATGCTATACGTGTCCGGAATCAAGATTCTCTCTCACACAATAGCGGTATCCGGCATCCACTGCGCGGGAGCATCCCGTAACTGAGTCACTTTGCAATGGAGATCCTGCCCGGGTTACGTACAGTGTCGTGTTACGGCTTAGAATGGGATTACTTGCCATTCCGGTACACTTTGTACAGCTTCACGTCTTCTGTGGTGTCAAATTCCAGCAAGTCCTCCAGTAACCCTCGAACCGCTGAAACTCTGCTGGCGCTTACGCTTCTCCTCCCCACGGTTGGACTCCTCAAACGGTTCTAAAGTTTTCCCCTCCGTGCAATCCTAATCCCGCCCGGGCCGCCTTCACAATCGAAATGTATCCTCGGAACGCTGGCGTTTGCATTCTTGGGCGCTTTGGCCGCGTCTAACCTCGAAAAGGCCTTCTGTCCTGGTGTCTTGACTGTGGCTCAGTGCCCCTGCACGATGACTGTATATTTATCGACGGGCGGCTAACCGCGTCTATATGGTGTATTTACTTCGCGCCTTTGGCCAATTTTCTAATCCATGAAAATATTCAGAATATCATTCTGCACCTCAGCCACGTCGCAATAGCATCGAATGCCGTGGATTTCAACCGTTAAATCCAAGCGATCTACTGGCTTTATATACGGGTGTAGTAATGCAAGCCCTTTGCCGCCCATTTACCGCATCCTGTTGTCTTCTACTAGGCGTTGACCCTCAATATATCCTGCACAATCACCTGCTTGGCCCCAGCGGTTCTTGTGAGGTGGAGTATGCCGCGAGACCTAGTCATCCACTGGCGCTTAGCTAACTGCAATACGATCTTTAGGTTGCAATCGATATCGCACAACAGGATTTTATTGTGCATTCTGTACTTCTGGCGCCAGGGGTGCAGTTTCCTCTTCCCGGGCGGCTGGGCAAACCCGAGGGCAGAACGGTAGGGCTAACGGGACGCCTCGTATCGCATGGGAGCTCGAATAATCGTGTCCAGAAGTGAATCGTTGTAAAATGTGGCAAGCTGGAAACACTGGCGAAATAATAGCATCCTCTCCCTATTTAAACCCTCGAAGATATGGACTGTCTGATATCCCCCAAGCCATCTAATCGACCCAGCCGCCGAGCAAGTCTACCCATCTATACGCCCACACATCTACACACTATGCCAGGACCCCCCGGTTACAATTACAATTGTACGGCCGAAAATATCGCTTTATATGTGCATGGTTTCTGACGCATTTTTGTATAGCGTACAAACGTGCTGTCCACAACTGGGGCCAAGAGAACGGCAGAAACATAGTTTATGAGACCACTCCTTCTGGTCCTGCAAGCCACCAAGTTTGGTCCTGCATGATATATGGTCGGTCTCGCTCAATCCTTGTGCAAGCTTGACGCCTTCTTACTGCCAACTATTGCAGTCGATGGGATCCCCGGTTTCACAGGATTAGCTAGTGCTTATTCTAAGAGTGGCGCAGAGGAGGCTGCAGCTACGCAATTCTGGGCGCACAGAGACACATATGCCTAAGTTCTCTCTTTTATCGAATCTTCTCTTACTACTGCCTGCAATGCAATCTCTTTGGTATTCTTTCAATTAATCGTCTCAGCGGCGCCACTAAGTCACTGTGAGATCTGGATATACACATGTAAACAAAGACTGGTCTGTGGCGTGAGTCTCACGCACTTCATTTCCTCTGCCAAAGCGCCTAAACCACCGAGGTTCTGCACAATGCACATAGCCTCTTTGAATGTCCGTTTGTCGGGTTCGCTCAGCTGTAAAGTTGCGAGTTCCCCGTCCTCATGCGCGCTCTTCTTCTCGTTTACCCAATATGAACATTAAAGTGATTCAAGCACATTCTGAAAATATCTGAACTGACAAACCTCATTTAACGCAGGCGGCAGCAGTTGCCAATGATAACAACAGTTCGTCCTTGAGGTTCGTCACGATGCTAGGATATGAAGTTGGACATATGCATGTCTCGTGTTCAGCCTTGACTTCCTACTACTCCGTGGTCTTCCCTGTGAACCTCTGTTCTTTGTGAAGATCTCTCGACCTGGCCATGGACAATTTCGTCGAAGAATATTAATGAAATAGCCGTCGTTTCAAAATGGACATCCTGCTGCTGCTCTCTCTTCCTATATTTAAGAGCTCGCTCTTCGATGGAGGACGACACAACACGAACTCGACAATGCCCTCTAGTATGTGCTCCTCTTTAACCATGTTGCTACTTTGCTCAATGATCCACCCTAGGTGATGAAATCGTAGCTCTGAACAATTGTAATTGCCTAGTAGCATCTAGGTATGACTTTTGGCTCACTCCCCCCTGTCCGTAGACCTTCAAGATCGCAACATGCTAGCTTCTCTTAGCTGGAGTTTCCAAGCGACCGGTGTTGGCCACGAGCCGCAGTGGACCGCCCGCTGCAGAAGTATGATGCTTTTCTCGTCATATTTGTCATAGTGGTTGACCTTGAATGTTTCTAGTTAATGGTATAACACGTGGAACCGGAGCGGCCGGGAAAAAGACTCTGGCCAAGAGGCAAGCAGCTGGTGCTGCGTTGAGGTCTTTGCAGGAAGAGAACGAGGGCGAATGAAGATGATCGGGCATGGACTTTTGATTTCGATCGTTTACATCACTCATCCTAATTTAGTACTGCAGCTGGGCAGCTTCTACACTCTGGAGGACTATAATTTATAGTTTCACTGGCTTGGAACATCGTGTATATATTCCAACGTTTCTTTCCAGTCAACATCGCTAGGACATTTATAGAAGCGTTGTCTCAAGAAGTTCCCACAGGCCGGGGTATCAGTCTTCGCTGGTTCGCTAGAGCTGTTCGACTTCGATGTGGGAGAGGTGGGTGGATGGTGGTAGAAATCAGAAGCTGAGTATATCATTATCTAAGCTTCTACAACGATGTTGATCGAACAATTGGTCTCCAAGCTCAAGTCTCGCAATCCCGCAGACTTCGTTGTCTGCTGCATCACGCCCTACCTCGTGTCCTTGCCTTCCTCTCCTCTGGACGGTGAGAAGCTGAATGCTTCGTGCTCCTACTAGATCGGACGGCGACTATGCGGGGTCATTTTCCGGCCTCGTATCGTGTCTCACGTTACCTCTTCCTCATCTTTAGTGAGCCAACAAACGCTCGATACCCGGGTGCCCACTACACGCGCCGTTGCGCCATCATTTCCTCCCGCTTTCGTCCCACATGTCCCGGGTATTATGAAATTACTAGCTTTCAGCCCAGGACCGTTGCGTCGTTTCGGCAATGCATACAATCTGCCGATCTGATTTGATTCCTCCATGTCCGCCATCAAATCGTCGCAGACAATTATCTCAATTTCCCAGGCGTTTCAACCATATACCGGTCACTATATTTTACAACGCCGCCTCGGGGCAAAGCCAAGGTCAACGGGAGCTGCGGAACTAGTTGTTGCACCGGTGACAAACTATCTAAATCGCGGTGATGTCGCCCGAGGCACCCTGCATGGTGTAAGGTGAGCAACGGGATTGAGCTTCCCAGATATAGAGGTTGTCTGATAACGTATATGTTTGTAAACCTCCGAGCCGCGCTCTTGTCTAGATGAACTAGTTCAAAGGAGCTAATCGTTTCTCCTCACCGCTGTAAACTGGTTGCCTCGACGAGACGACCTGAACGGAATGTCTGTATGGAGCGACATAGTGTACCAACCCACCTAATCTTTCAGTGTCAGTTATCTGTCCCGCGTCCGAAATCACAAGGTCAGAATGGCTGCATTCAGGTGTATATAAGACGCATATTGGATCGAGGTGCTTTCACACTCATCGCACCACTCGTCGTACCCACTTCAACATCAACATATAATGTCGGCAAACGGACGTACGTGCCACCATAGTCATTACTTCGCCCCCTCTGACATGTCGTTCGTACCAGGGAACGTTACTGCACTGAACAACTGCAAGTCGCTCAGTCGATCCCGCCTCTACTCTGTGCGCTCAGACACCATTTATTAGACCTGCAAGACCACGGTGGAACAACTCGAGCGGCCTACAACGAGTCCCAGGCCGGCGTAGTGAGTGTGCCACTTATCGATTTATCAAGGATTAACACTCTTCAACAGCAAAACGCGCCTACGTGGACCATAGTGTGCAAAAGTGTGATCTGATCCATTCTCCTTGTTCAGTTCTAACATTATAATCAAGTTGATCAACAAGCCAGAGGCGCTGGGACACATAGCAGCAAATCGGTTGCTAAGGACGAAGCTTCAAGGCGAGCCTTAGAGGTTTGTGCCGCAGTGTTTTCATTCTAAAACCGAGAGTAATTTTATTCTTAAGTGGCTCATGGCCAACGAGGCCTGAAATGTTGTATCTAGTATGTAGACGTGTATAACAAACATTAGGCCGCTTTGCCCTCGCTTCTTTACGCCTACAACTCGCCCTATTTGGTTATCAGAATTCGCGGTGTTTGAATTATATTTATATCACTCTGTCACACATCTCGGTCACACGTAGAGTTTCAACTCAACGTTCACGTTCCAGACGACCTATGGCATTTCGCGGACGAGCGGTCCCGTATATTGTCGCGGGCATTACAGGTTCTCGACTCCCGTCTTATTTAAAGTAGCTGCATCAGGTTTACCCATGACTTCTACAGGGATTTTTTCGGGCATTTACATCTTCCAGCCATTGCTTAGTGCTGAGAAAGTAAAAAGCCAAACCGGGTGAGTTGAGTCCAAAGTACTGTCCTTCGGCTTTAGCTGAGGCATGAGTGATAGAGCAGAAGCCAAGCCATCTATCATTGCCCCACAGGATGATGCCAGTGTCGCCCATAAGAGCATGACATCCGAGTCGTAACCAATGCCTGCTTGACTGAGCCATTTATTCACATAGAAGTTAGCGCTCTCTTATCCAACAGACACGATTTTGACGTTTAGGTTTCTATCAAGGAACTAGTATGCTCCGGCTAGGTACAAACAACATTAGCTGTGGAGCGAGACATGCATGTTTTCCGTCCGCCTCTCCCGGAAGCGGGAATCATTGAGCATCGACATCCATGCCTTTGGCTCGGTCTGATGGAGCGTCAGGAGCACGCCTTTCCCAAATCTGAGAGCATTACACACTGAGCGCCCATAATATGAATTTCCAAAGCGTCTCACCTGTAGGATAGTTTCCCCAAGGAAAATCATTTCCTTGCGGGTTTCCTCAACGATGAGATCTTGTATCAGGAACCACTTCTCGTTCTCTCCAGCCCCTCCTGCTGCGCGCAGATGGACCTTCCATACCGTGTTGGCCTTATCTCGAGTTGTTCCTGCCACCGATTCGTGGGTCACGTTGGCGATAAGGTCGTATACTGTCGATGGCTGGTCGGCAGGAGTATCTATATCTGTAACAAAAATGGTGTCGGGCTTGCTGTCGCCGATTTGAAACATAGAGGGACCCACAATCCTTAAAGTCCAAACCCCGTAACGGGAAATTGACGATGGTCGGATTTTTTTCTTCCACGAAAACATTTTTGGTAAAGCGTTTGAAATGCAAAATGATATATGGTGGCAGGCGCTGGCATTTGAACCGGCGTAACTGTCCTGCCGACTCCTACGCCGAGGTTGTTGATCATTCTAAAAGGTAACGTTTGACGCGGGCTTACCTGGGTGGTCGTCCCATCATATTTGGCTAATATCGAGTGTATACTGACTTGCGGTATAATATTCTTCTCAACGCTGTCCTGGAAGAGCGGAGGGGGAGGCAAATCTACGGCAAGAAACAAGAAAGGAGAAACCATGGACTTGATTTCTATTTACAGTAATCAGTGGATTAAAGCTGTAAATTAACTTGCAGGGACCTACCACGGTCGATGTCGAATCTGGGGCGCTCATTTTCGCCTAAGTCGGGACGCACGAGAACTTGCTGTGCTTCGACACGAAGCTCACCCTGAAACGTGTGGAAGATGATACCTGGAAGTAGAGGGATCGGTTGACGAAAACGTGGGTCAGCGAATCACAAACTCGAGTTTTTCTTTTTGGTTCCACCCATGTCTTTATGAAGCCGGTTCAATAGCCACCCAAGAAAGTCAACTGGGTCCCCTTGCTCCTCCAGTCGAAACTTCCCAGCGCTGGCCCTGTTGACTTCTTGTAAGAATTCGTGTGGACTGACTTGGCTCTTGAAGAGACGAGGGTTCCATATTTTCTTCGCTAACGCGGCAAATCGTTTCACTAGCTCAGTTTCTTTGCCTTTGAAATTGGAGAGCAAGAGATAGTCCCGGAGCGGGGGGATATGCAAAAGCGAATGAATGATCACGTTTAGATGGTCATTTCTCTTGATATTATTCAGACCAATGTATCCAGGTATGTATGGCCGTTGTTTGAGATCATAAGATGGTCGAGGGGTTAGTGAAGGAGGGGAGAGCGTCGATATGGTGCCAGGTGTAAACACTGGTGCCAATACATAGGCAATGTCTTCCAATGATGGATCCGAAACTAGGTAGCCATCGGGTAGGACATACACCTGATCATGAGTCAGTGGATGATGTAGTCCGTGTCGACGCGACCGCGCACCTTGGTGGTCTCCAAATTGATAAATACGTGGTGGTCGTCGTGAATCGAATGTGCGTAGGCGTATGATTTCCGTCCACGGCCTTGGAAGTATTTCCCGCAAACCAGACAACCATAGATATTGATATTCGACAATGACACTGAACACACTTTCTCAAAGTCAAAGTCCATGACTGCTCGATTTATCTAGCCAAACGGTCAGCTCCATTCAGCACGCGAGCGAAACGCGACGTACGGTATCCAGGTAGAGGTCGGAAGCTTTGGTCTCCTCCTTGATGTCGGGCGCGACTTCAATGTCATCCTCGTCGATGTCGTTGTTCACGGCCACCGACGGGGAGTGGGGGTGACTGCCCTGCTCATCATCGAGCCTTAGACGCTTTGCAGGCCGTTCAGAGGTCAGCCTGTCATCGGTTTCGCCCATCGAGGTCGCCTCCGGGGTCATGGTAAAGGACAAGTCCGAGTTAGGCAGGTTGTGGGCGACTGAATTTCGCTCTCTCATTATTTCTCCCACTCGCACACGACACAGGGGCATGCATCCTCGCCTCAATGTACTGGTGGCCTTCCACGTTTGCGCCAGAAGAATACCTCGCCGCCTAATCCGACCCAGCGGTGCGCGGCGCTATGTCTCATCAAATACGGAGACTGCCCAGCCAAATCCTCCGCTAGACCTAGACCCAAGTTTCCAGGCGCTGCTGAGGGACGTCGATATCTCATTGGAACGGCACAATCCAAAGGATGCTGCGCTGCCGTCGCGACGCGAACTTGAGGCTCTTCCGGTGGAGGGGACCGAGGACTCTCTTTTACTGCCAGACGACGCGCCACACGATGAGTACAGCCTCAGAAAGTCCCCTGCAGCACACTTTGGCAGCCAGCGTATCGGTGCGGTTATCCTCCCACTGGAACTGCAGGCTTCCATCACTTCCATCATAGCCGGTGAGCGTTACTCGCATCCGCCTAGTCTCGTCTCTCACAGACCCCTTCTCAGAGTCCGACAAACAGCGGCTTCATCAGGATGCCAAACGTCTCTTCTTTGATGAAAGTGGCAACTCATCGGCGGAAGACGCATGGGAAGTCGAGTACGATGTCAAGTACCGGTCTCGACGTCAGGCAGAGCGCCATTACGAACGTGATGGAACTGCCTTCGCATCTGTTGCACTTCCCGCTCATTTCTCAGCTATCACTTCTGTTCTGGAGCACATAAAGCATAGGCTCGAACCAGAGTGGTCCATCAATAATGTCATCGATTGGGGGGCGGGGATGGGAAGCGGACTATGGTAAATACTTGTTGCGATGCAGGGGCTGGAAAATAACTTGCGATTTAGGGCATCGCTATATGCTTTCCAGGCCCGCCGACTTACCCAAGACGCGGAAGATTCGAAAGTTGCCAACTCAAGACTTACGTCTTACATAGGAATTGACAAGCGTGAAGGGTTGGTAAGAATTGGCAAACGGTTGCTGCAGAGTAAGGCGTTCCATTGCTGCTTCTAAATGGTAACTTGACCAGGCGTCGACAGACCTCGATCTTGGTGCCTTGAGTTTGAGCTGGCAGAAATGCTTTCAGGAAGGGGACAAGGTACAAGGATCGCTAGGACATAATACCCTGGCACTCTCCGCGTTTACTCTGTCATCTTTACCCACCCCCATTGCACGCAAAGCCCTTGTCAAGGAAATGTGGGAGAGCGGAGCCGATGTCATCGTCAGTCATTTCTTCGGCCATGTGCTTACAATATCGGTAACGCCGTACGAAACGTAGGTTCTCATCGATCATGGTACGAAAGCTGGTTTCGAGTCGATTGCCCAGGCCAGGGAGTACCTGCTGAGACGAAAGGAATCTGCGGACTCCGAAACTCACACTGAGAATTCCAGTGGATGTCATGTCATTGCGCCGGTATTGGATGTCGCTTTCTGCTTTGCCTGTTCTCATTCATCTTTCAGTGTCCTCACGACGGAGTTTGTCCGCTTCACCACCCAGGATCCACGCGACTTGTTTGCGGCTTTTCACAACGCCTTCAACGTCCCTCATTTATACGGCGGACGAAACACTCGGGTGTAGGCCATGAGGACGTCGAATACTCGTACATAGCAATCCGTAGGGGACCTCGACCTATCGCTAGCGACGTAAAAATGGGGAGAGTCGGCGAGGTTGGTAGGAGAGACCTAGACCAGAAGGCGGCTAGTCCCAGGAAAGAGTTGGTACTCCACGATGAGCACGAAGAAATGGCTGCTGTGCCGGAACATCTACAAGAATCGACCTCCTTGACCTCGACCGATGGACAATCACCTGAGACGGGGTCTCTCTCGGCTTTAGAGTCAGCCCTAAGACTCGAGGCATACCACTGGCCTCGCTTAGTCTTCCCTCCTCTGAAGAATAACGGACATGTCATACTTGACAGCTGTACACCGGAAGGTGATCTCTTTCAAGTTACTCGCTGATCATTTACTCAGCGTCTATCTAGGCAAAATAATGCGATTGACAATTCCAAGGTCGCAAGGGAAGCAACCGTATTACGACGCAAGGAAATCAAGCTGGGGTGATTTGTTCCCCCACGAACCGAAGAATGCACCTCAAGAACGATACCAACCTCAGCGTGCCAAACGTGAGGGAGGAACCACCCCAACAAAAGGCGCCGATATTGGGAAACGAGGTAAAACTGGCCTCAAGCTGGAGCGAGATAAGTCCGTCGAAGCTTTCTTGAAAGAGAAACAGAAAAAGTCCCGGCGTGATAGGACAGCTCGAATCCAAGCGCTGCGGGAGAAGAGTTAATTGATACCCGCTATATCTAATGATATCTATCATCTCCACTCGTTATAATATAATAGCACCACTCAGAAATCAGAAATTTGAATGCCGGGCCCTTGTCCTGAACTGAGCATTACTTTGGATATGGAGGTAACTAGGAAGGAAAGCAAACTCAGATAGATCTGAAGTGGGGTGGGTAAAATATTTACCAGGCTTCGCAGTTTTCTTGTCCTCCTTATCTCTCTGATTTCCCGTCACTCGCTTAACCGAGGTCATGAAATGCCGAACATTCTTGACAACATCGTCGATGGGGAAATGAAGCTTCAACGACATGAGTCCCCCATAACCCGGTGATAGAAGACAACGAACCTTAGCAATTGCCGTATGAATGCTGCCTGACTTGTCCGCTCTCCATTCGCTCGTGCCGTAAAGACGCTGAATATATCCTGCTATGTCGTCGGTCACAGTACCTCGACGCTCGGAGGGCATAAGCCCGAGAGGACCCAAAACACGGCCAAGTTTTGGCGTGATGGTTCGAATTAAAGAAGTCGTACATAGAATGGTGGTTGCTTGATGTCTATTACTGATCACCTGTACGCCATGTGAGTAATATATTGAAGCAGGGGGGATAACTAGCACAACTAACGGCATCGATGAGCTCTGGTCCGCCAACAACGTGTGCACCGGCTTTCTTAGCCTCTTCCGCTTGTCGGCCTTCGGCAAATACCAAAATCTTGTCCTCCGTTTTGGGTTTTGCCTCCCTCGGTAAGTTAACGCGGCCTTTAGGTATGGCAACCCCGTTCTTAATCTGCGTCTTTACAAATAGTTCGTATGTCGCGTTCGGCTTGGCGACTTCGACGGCCTGTTCGGAGGAGTCTAATACCGTCAAAGGACCAGATATAACGGACTTACGCGTAACACGGCGATTGCATCTAGCAAAGGCATCTTCTCCGAGTCATATATATTCTTTCGAGCCTTTGCTGCACGTCTTTTAGCCTTGGCCGCAAGCGTTTTCTTCGAGGGAACGCGAATTTTCGGCTGTTTGTGTCTTGCCAGCACACTCTGGCTCGTCTGGAAGCCTCTCGTCGCAAAAGGAACCTGTATGATGAAAGTTTGGTGCCAGCCATGTGTCAGGTGGATTCAGCTCACCGTAAGCGGAAATCTGCATGGTCGACAAAGCAGGCCGATTGAATTAGTGAACATGATGGTCGGGTGCAACTGTTGAAAGAGGCGCTGTTTGTATATATTTCCATCGTCAGGGATCGGGGCGCCCTTGCCGCTTATGGCCATTAAGTCCGCGAGCCTTATGTAAACCCATTTAAATTTTAGCACCCAATTAAGGCCAATTTGCAATATCAAGGTTATTTACAAGTAGGAACGAGGGCGAAACAGCCATCAATGGTAATTGAGCACAAACATGCCAAAGAACCGTTCTGTTGTTCGATTGGATTTCTAGGGAACATGGAACAAATACCGCTGGCACCTCAGGAATCAGGATCTAATCGCGAAGAGTGTCACTGTGTCAGCAGCCTTACTATCGGACTAAGTTGCTGTCTTTCCACCCCAATACTGACAAGTACATAGACGTGTGGACCTATCATCATTGATTCATGTACGACACCAGTTCAGTTGCTCGGACCGCTGGGAACGCGGTATTTGTCACAGCAAGGGGATGGTAAATTGGGCATTGAGACAATGCGGCTACCGCAAGGGAAATATGGTGACAGTGGGACTGCTCCAGTTAGGGGCAAGCCTTGAGCAATATCGAACCAGCTTGGTCTTGTGTTGTGAAATGAGGTATAAACTGGGAAACATTCTTATCATCTCAAGTCTTGATCGCCGTTCGAGAACAGTTCCCACTGTCCGGGAACCAATTCAAAGCGGCCTGGTTTCCGGACTTGAGCTGGTACGTCCCGTCTACGACTCTACGAGATGAATGGAGAACCTCATTCATCGCCCTTGAATTAAGTGAGCGGGGCTTTGACGGGGCACGGGGTATTCCATAGCAGAGAATGGAGAATGGAGAACGAGAGGAAGGCTGCACACGGAACGAGGTCGAGACTCCGCCATCTTTCTGGCCGCGAATGTCTCCGAGCTCATTCGTAAACATCGTCTATTATGCAACAACTATACCTTGTGATCAGTCACCTTCTGCTCACCTGCGCGCTGGCCAATATTAGACGGGAGTAGATTGAGCCATAGTGTGGATCCACCATGCGTGAAGGTCACAGTTGAATCCCGCGAGGCTATGTTGACGAGCACGTCGTGAGACTTCGCCGGAAGGCTGATTTGTGTTTGCGTCGAATTGGGGTAAATGAGGCTAACCGCACTCCAGGCTCTCTAAGGTTTGCAGGAAGAACATTCGGTGTCAATATTTAATCCATGCTCTGCTTGCACGCAGCGGCCAGGTGACATACAATATTGCTTGACGAGATATTTATTACGTTACAAGCTTCTGGTCGCACTCTTCGAACATCGGTACCCTGTCTTGGGGTACAGGGCAGGATGTTGCTTCCCAGTGCTGCACGCGCTTGGACCGTGAGTACTACGTCCTTCAAAAAGACTCACCAACCGATGGCGCCTTGACAGGTAGTAGGTAGCCGATGGTTCGGATTAATGATATCTGAGATGCTTACAGTGGTCTCCCCTTAGCGGCAGGGTACGAGCTTCAGCCGTCAAGAATCGTTCTTGTTCTGGATCTATATTCAGCGAGTATTCTCATCATCATAGGAACCAAGAACTCGGAATGGGTCCGAACATGAGAGGGTGACCTACGCAGGATTCCAGCAATGTTAACAGAACATTGCCATCCAATGAGATGAATTTTTACGGATGCACAGGCATACGCGTCGTCATGGCTCAGTATCTTGCTCTCCCCAAAACAAGAGTACCCACCTTGTTGACAACCGCCATAATCTCCATTAACGCCTTGCGTTTAAGGGTTGTGTGCATCTGCGTGACACGAAATTGGTGCCTCAGCCGACCGTCCTAGAAAATACAACTGGTCGATCTTGTCATGGCCGTCGCTACTATTCCAAATCCATCCAGAGGGGTCGTATTTCAGGCAACTATTACAAGGGCGGTAAATGCGAGCTTACGGATTCAATGCACATTGATCCACCTAATATACGGTACGATGTTCCGTATGTTACTCATTCGCGATGCCATGCACACGGGAATATTTGTGGTTTGGACTTTTGTTTTGGCTATTTCGCATAGAATAGTGTCTGTGACTTCGTGGGCTAATTTATTAGGCATACTGCAACAAGTTGCACTCACGGTTTCAATTAACTGACTGCGCCGCCGTCTGCGATACCTGATTGGGCCTGGGTTTAACCGCCATCACAGTCGAAAACTGTCTGGGCGCCAATTTCACCTTCGGAACTTCCATGTCACTCGCCCTCTCCAAACAATTTGGTCGTGCTTTCCCCCGCATCTCCAGGGAAGTCTACGTTCAATCGAGGGGGTACGCAGCGAAAGACGAACACGTTGGGGATCCTAAAAAAGAAATAATCCGGAAAACATTATACCCAAGCAACATCCGCAATCGCGCGTCGCCGACGGGTACTTGGAGACCAGACGTCGGACGCGCCCTTCAATACGCCATTCCTTCGGTGCAAGCACACGAAACCATTGAGCGTGCTTGGCTGCTTCACAAGCGTCACGTTCGCAAGCAGCGCGACGCCGAGTTGGCGAGGAAGTACCAATGTATGAAGAAGGCTATGGAAGAGTTGGAGAAGGTCGATAGCAAGCTCTTCATGGAGGCCAACAAACCGGAGGACCCGAGGGCTAGGAGTCAGACCGAGATGGAATTGGCGAAGACGCTGAAGGGCTCTGAGAAGAAAACGCTGGAGGCGCGTATACGAGGGCTTTTCCCGCGCGAGTTACGCATTCCCGCCGATACACCTTCGCGCACTGGCTGGAATTATGACTGGAAGCCATTGCAGAGACCTTTATAGTGAGTTGAATGCTGCTCCATTGTTCCGTCCTCTTGCTCAGACGACCCAGGGATATCGTCCCTCATCACTTTGCTTAGCCCTAAAAATAATAATCCGTCTTGTCCTTTCAACACAAAGCATGCATGCAAACTAGCTATAATACAATGAACGCAAGTGGTCAACTCCAACGATCGTCTCGGGCGCCAGCAAAGTCCCCCAGTGTTGGATCTACAGACCGTCCTCCTGTACTCGTTTTCGTGATCACTGCATTATGAACTGACTCCAGAGCATCGGTCCACTTCTGCAGGGCTGTGTATCGCTTTTTCTCGAGGCTTTGCCTGGACAGGGGAGCTTAGCAGCGCAAACGAATAAGGGGTACGTGCACTCACTTGCGATCCAGTTCTAGACGCATTCCCACTTGATCGATCCTTCCTTCCACCCTTCCTTCCAATATTAGTCCAATGAGCAACTCTTCGACTTCATCAATGGGGACATTCAATTGCTACAACGCCGTTTAAGTTTGGGGCTGATAGTTGAACTAACTTTCCCCACCTTTCCCAAGAAAGAAAGCTCTAATCGTGTATATGGCTTGATGAGGTCGATGAGGTACTGGGTGCGGAGACTGCGAAGTAATTCTCCTATGTACGAACGAATGAAGGCATCGTCCATGATTGTCGAACGATTGTCTAGAGGGCCGTGCTTCAACTTTCCGCGTTCCTAGTATATAGCATGTGGGGATTTACACACCTTTCAGGATCTTCTCTGCAGAATGAACCTCTCGACGCTGATATGCATCTACAAGATCTGTCATGGCCTTGATTTGAGGGTCGTTCTTGTACCTAGGGACAGAACTAATGAGACTTGGGACCACAGTTATGTCGAATCGACTGACGGCTTAGTCTCCTGACTATCGAAGGGATTGACTTCACTTCCTGTAAGCATGTTCGCCAGTACCAAGTATTTCAGTACTTGTATTCGTTGAGGTGAGCCAGCTTCATCGTAGTTGCGGAAAGATTCGAAGAAGTCTTCACTGGCTCTGTTCCATTGGCCTTCGCGCCCGTTAAGATTTGAGTTAGTTGGTTGAAATGATTTGCATACGTTCTCCCATCCACATCTTTCCGCCACACTCTTTGATGACGCCCATGATGCGAGGATGCGGTATAGCTGATTTGACGTTGTTCGTCGCGTTGTATATTTCCTGAAAGTGCGAAATGAGCTTATCAAGGCAACTATATTGTATACAGGTCTGCAGACCTTGAGCTTCTTGAAATTACGGGTCTCGTTGTACATCTGAATTTCGAGCGCGTAAATTTCGAGGAGCTGAGTTCCGCGTTGAGCTTGCTCGTCGCCATCGCCGCTTGCCGCAGTAGCACTATGCAGATCACGAATGAGCTAGTCGCAACGTCAGCTTGACTTCGTGGTGAGAGTAGGCTTGCACCACCTTGGACAGGCGGCCGAACTCTTTACGATCTAGCCAAAGCTTGGCAAGTTTGAGGTTCGTCTTGACTGACAGTCGCTAAACAAGTCACAGTCAGCCATTCTTCTATACAAAGATAGAATGAAACGAACCTCGTTCTTCGCATCCTCCAACGCTGTTTTAGTGACCTGATAGAAACTCTCCAAGATATCGACTTCTATAGGACCACCTTTGCCACCTCCGACATAATCCAAGATGCCATTGATGGTCTTTTCAGAGTAATTGCGTGTAACGGCCGATTTGGTGTAAGTGAGAAGCTGAGTGTACGTTCCAAGGGCTTCTTGTGGTCGATGCAATACCAAGAAGAGCAACTTGGTGGACTGTTTCAGTGCTTTGAAGCCCCTGCACGCGCGTACGATCAGTACAGTAAGTTACGACCCGAGAACTGAATAATATATCGCACCAATCCCCTTTCTCATCCTCTTGCTCGACGATGGCACGGAATTCTTTCAGAGCTTCCTCAGGGTTGTCCTCCTTCTTGCCTGATCTCGACACTGAATGCTGCACCCAAGCCATAAGTGTCGACGAGACACCGACCTTTAGCTTTGTAGTACATGTTCTCGACGTCTGCGTTGCCTGACTCGTCGGCATCATCGTTATCGGAATAATCGAAAGCATAGTCCTATGTGCAACGGGGTCAGCAGCGTTCAGCGAATGTCACATCCGATGGGCAGAGACAGACCTCGTCGTCGCTACCTTGCATATAATCCGCATCGTCGTCGTCCATGATCGTGGTAGGCAAAGGTGCCTGTGCTCGTGTTGGGAGTCAAGGCGTGATCGAGAGGGCGCTCTTCCTCAGGGTCTCGTCACCTCCATCTCCAATGCCTTCTTGTCTCCTGCGATAACACAAGAAATGGAAACGCAAGGGTCGTCACCGGTGCTGGGGTCGTTCAGCAGCCCAACGTCCAGGTCGCGTAGCAGCTCTAAGCTGGTCGACGATGTGACGAGCTTGACGTCGTTCAACCCGTTCTCGGAGGAGGACGAGAACGACCAGTCTTCATATACCTTGGTAACGTCGTTGTTCTCGCGTATGAAGAACACGCTGTCTGCGCCGCTCTCCTCTGCTGTCACCGCCGCCTCAACTTCTACCAATCCCGCTACCTTGACCAACGTTGGCGCGAGTGAACAACGGAGGCCGTCCTACACGCTTCCCAATTCACAGTCGACCTTTTCTTCCAAGTACTCTATTCCGGAGAGAAGCAAACCGTTTCCTACCATCCACCCTAACCCAGCACCGCCGCTGGTATCACTGACACCGGTCCACTCAGAATTCCCCACTTTCCATTCCGGGTCTCCTCCACGCGGTGCTGGCGGGTACCCACCAGCCTACGACACACAAGATGGAGGTCAATATGGTACTGCTATCCCCGGATTTCCCGTCGTCGATGACGCTCGTAGCATTAAGACTTCTACTAGTCATCATCGCTCCGGATCCGTGTCGAAGGTCATACGGCGCATTCGAGGCGAAGGTGAATAATGTACGACTTGTGTCTTACTTCAACTCACATTGTATCTAGGTTTATCGAAAGACTATTGGATGGACGACGAGAATTGTAAAGAGTGCTATGATTGCAAAAGCCTGTTCACGACTTGGAGACGGAAGCATCACTGTCGCATTTGCGGTATGGGTCTCGCCTGATATATGGTGTGGGTACTTATCGTTTGCAGGACAGATATTTTGTTCTCGCTGTGCCTCGAATATCATTAAAGGTACTCGCTTCAACCATGACGGTATGGTCCGGGTGTGTAACCTCTGCCTCGATAAGCTCGCCAAAGTAGATGATGATGATGACGACGACCGTCGTTCTTTTGTATCCTCTGTACATTCCTTTCCAGCGCATCAACTCGGCAACGACCCGTTCTCGTATCATCCACACTCCCCGTTTGCGGCGTCACAAATCTTCGGGCGCACGGATGAACCATTTAACCTTTATTCCATAGCTGAAACCAAGCGCTATGCGTCGCGTTCTGAAGAAGACCTAGGCGGAGTTTCGTTCGACGCTCTCCAGGAACGCGAGGATGGCGTCTGGGAACCTATACGCGAGACCCCCGCGCCCTTCCGCAGGGCGCTTGCGGATGAAGAGAAAGACACTTCTGACATTCCAAGTCATTTCGCTACCGATTCACCTGCTACTGGTGGACCGGGTACACCTTTGGACTTTCCATCGGCGGCTCCAGTAAACCCAGACGCTCCTGTGAGCTCAATACAGTTCCCTATGGGCTCACCGGAACGTGGTCTCGACAGTCCGCGATCGCAAAGTCGCTTGAGAACTCGATTCGATTCTTATGGGGATTTTGATGCCGCTACTCCCTTCATACGCAGCCGCGTTCAAAGTCGGCTGGACACGTTTCTGGGCGAAGTGGGGTGGAGAACGAGGCGAGAGAGTACAGCGTGAGTGGTTCAGAAAAGCTCTATGGACATCTCAATTTATGCACCGTCTAGTTACGCTCAAGAACTCAACCTTACCTCGATGCTTCATTTAAAGATTATGCTGCGACAAATGCTCACCACGGAACAGATACCTAACATCAAAGAATGGGAAGAGACGCTGCTGAAGCTTGCCCTCAGAATAGCGAAGGAACTGACATTCACTACGCATCCCCATCGTCAAGGGGAAGACATGGACGTGCGCCGATATGTAAAGATAAAGAAGCTTCCCGGTGGTTCACCTCAGGACTCCGAATACGTCGACGGAGCTGTGATAACCAAGAACGTTGCTCATAAGAAGATGCAGCGATCTCTCCAGAACCCTCGCATCATGCTCATCACATTTCCCTTGGAGTTCCACCGAGTGGAAGGCCAGTACATGCACTTCGGCCAAATTGTTAGGCAGGAGAAGGAGTACCTTGGTAATCTTGCGAGCCGTATCGCGGCACTCCTACCTCATATAGTGTTGGTAGAGAAATCGGTATCCCGCCTAGCACTCGATGCCCTAGCACAGTACAACATCGCTGTGGCGCGCATGGTGAAACCCTCTGCTATCCGTACTGTCGCACGTATGTCTCAAGGTGACTTATTCTCTTCCATGGACAAACTCGCGTTCGAACCACGGCTAGGCCATTGCGCGCGATATCGAATCCAAACCTTCGATCATCCTCTTATCCCTGGTCGAAGGAAGACGTTGATGCGGTTTGAAGGTTGCAGCCGAGATATGGGGTGCACAATTATTCTCAGAGGGGAGAATATCGAGACGCTGCGCAAGATCAAGAAAGTTACGCGGTTCTTGACTTTCATTGTCCGCAATCTCAAATTGGAAACACATCTTTGGAAGGATTCTGTCATTACCCTTCCCGCGTTCAATCCTGAGGCGATACCGAACAGTCCTGGGGAGGGTCGGCCAGCTCTCTCGAATTTAACCATTCCATCTATGTTCTCGCATCCCGTTTTGTCGACCCCTCGCTTAGCAACCCCAACTATCCAAGTCAACGACTCGGCCTCGGTTTCTGATGTCCTGCCCCACGATGAAGAGCGGGATGAGGTAGACGAACAACTTAATTTAACATGGCGCATCGATCAGTCACTGGAACCATACAAGAAGACATTCATATCCGTATCTGCTACCTTACGCTTTCCGCCGCCTTACCCTATTCGCCGGATGAAAGAGCTAGATGTCCAGTTACATGAAGCCAAACGAGCCTGGGAGGATGAAATAGTACGGCGGGAGGAAAAGTTGCACTCTAGGCATGCGGCGGAGGGTACAGTCACACCGGTGACAATTACAGATGCCGTCGAACCTAATGATGGGATAGTCCCTCTGAATCTTAATGTAGCATCCCCTTCAAACGATGAGGCGGCGACGCCTACGGTAGCCGCAGACGATTGCTATTTTTCCCTCCCCTTAGGCAGCGGGACTTCGAGCGTCTTCCCGGCGTCTGCAGGCTTATCGGCGCTGGCTACACCGATGTTCGAAGGAACCGCGGAGTTGATGAAGACGGAGGCAGACATAGCACTGGAAAGTCGATATACGCTCATCAAGTTGCAGCACGAGGAAGAGAGGCGTATCTGGGAGTGGTACCTTCGCAAGAACAGTGACGACTTCGTGGTGGAAAAGTACCAATGTATCAGTTTGTGGGAATATACCATCCCCATCGCTGAGTTTGGCCTACATCGCGCGTGCTTCCCACCTCAGCTGAACTATATCACATTCTATGGCGAGAACGACTGTACGCTGGGGCAGTTCATCGAAAAATCAATATCCGACACGCTCACCGAATTCCTCAACCCCAAGGCCATCTGCACTGGTAAAGGTTGTGATCAGCCTCTCGCGCGTCATTGCAAGGTCTATGTCCATCAAGAAACCCGACTCTTCGTTGCTGTCGAACAATGGGATGGTCAGATCATTGGCCGGTCGAACTATCCTCCCTCCCCAGAACACATAACAACATGGAGCGTGTGTCGAAAGTGTGGATCAGCAACACCCTTCATTCCTGTATCTGAAGAGATGCAGAGGTATTCCTTCGCCAAGTTCCTCGAGCTCCACTTCTATCCAGCAGACGTTAAGCTTGTGCTCGGTGCTGGGTGTGAGCACAATATATATCAGCATCATATTCGGTATTTCGCCTCGAACGGGATGACCTTGCGCTTCCAGACTGACCCTGTTGTTCTGCACGAAATCGTGTATCCTCCTGTGCGCATTCGTGTACGTCCGGAGACTCAACTTGAGCTCAAGAACAAGGACTTCGATCGTCTTCATCGCCGGAACGTTCTCTGGTATTCTGCTTTGATAGATGACCTGAGATTGATCAGCATCGACGCCGCTACGGGAGACGAAGAAATGGATGAGAAGTTACTCGCCGAGGTCAACGTGTTGATTACAAGAGCGGAAGAAGAGAGGGAAGAAATCAGTCAACTTATCAATCGCCTCTATAGGGACTCCCCTCCTACGGACACACTGGCCTTGAACCCTGTCTACTCCTTCCGGCAAGACAAGATCGTCGCATGGCAGCAGGACTTCGATAAATTACCCAAGCCCCGTCCAGTCCAAGAGAAGGTCATTAACGAGAAAGCCTACAAGAAGACATCTGCTTTTGGTACGGTACGCGCAGCCATGTGGCCCAAGAAGCCTGGCCTTCCTTTGGGGTTTGACAATCCTCATGTACCGTCGTCAAGCGTTTCTGAGGCTGAGGAAGTCTCTCCAACCTCTAGGAGAAGCAAGAACAAAGTCAATAATTTCACCTCGTCCGCTTCAGAGGCCTCCGAGATCGAGCCAGACACCACTAGTGCCGAAAGTACCACTAAGATCGATCCAAAGGAAGGAGAACCAATAATACTGGAGCCTCCAGTCATCACTGAATCTCCTATCGAATCTAAGCATCAGGCAACTGACCCGGAAAGTGACTCTACTATCGGTGCTGCACAAGAAGATGCTGCACAGGAAAATACAGCTTTGCCTGAGAGGCCAGATTTGGACACAGTGCGTACTCGTATACATCCAAGACTGCTAAACTAAATGTCAAGCGCAGGCGAACACAGCCGCGGAAATTGACTCGGCTTTACCAGCGTCGAAGTTACCACGGCGACCTTTGGGTCAGGACCACGTAGCTGAATTGGTTAGAAAATATTCCGACTACTTGCCAGCTCAAGGCGTCCAAGAACTGGCGAAAACAGCTTTTCCTCCACGTGTGATTGTGTCCGAAAGCGAGCAAGAGTATCCTTCAGTCCCACCAATACGCAATACGCGGTCGAAAAGCCGTCGTCTCCCAACCAAGAAGCCGTCTATCTCGGACTTCGAGCAAGGTTATACGGCCAATGTAGCACCGTTGTACTTGACCCATTCCAGGCGCTCCCTCGGCGCAATCCCCCACAATAGCCGCATTCCAGGCCCAATTGTTTCTGCCTTCGAATCTGTCCGTTCCAGAGACTCGTCGCGCCGCGCTTCTCCCGAAAAGCGCTCCGTCAGCGGTAAAACGAAGGAGGTACGATTCAACCAGCCAGGGTCACCGCCACATGGCAGAGCTCCTTCTGGAAAGTTAGGCAAGAGCAGGCTGGCGACTCGGACTAATCCCGCTGACAAGCCTCAGTCTCAGTTGCGGTCTGCCTCAACCTCGACGCCTAAATCTGCTCTCAGACGGCCTGTAGGAACCCCAGGAGGTAAAGTATCGAACATCGCCCGACATTTTGAACGTATTAGCCGCGATACAGAGCGTTCTAAAACACGCTATGCCGTCATTCGTGGAAAGAAAGCTCGCCCAGTTGCATCCGCCCGTGCCAAAGTAGAGATACTGGAAAGCATCAAAGATGCTGTACAAGACGACGAGAGCGAGGGTTCAAATTCTTCCAGTGAAGCTGACGACGAAGGGGAAGGGGACGAGGACCGTAACGACCACGGGAAGCCCTCTCTGCCGCCCGTCGTCCAGTCGACACCAGACTCTGAACCTCAAATCGAAGAAAGCGCAAAGACCGCCCCAGCTGATACATTCCCAATCCCGCCGCCCGATCCTGCCGCTGAGAATACAGCAGAACTCAAGCCTCCTCGGCCCTTGACCACCATATCATTGCCCCCGTCTCCGTTCCTGACGGCTACGAAAAACAGAAGTGTATCTACTCCACCCCCAGCAGACTTCGACATAGGAGGGACTGCTGGAAACTCTATCCTGAAAGCTATTTCGTATTTTTTGCCTCCACAGCCGGTATCACGATGGGCGCTGGAGAATGAGCTTGTGAATGACCCAGAACATATTTTCCGCGACACATCCATGGTAGTACGCACCGATGAGCCAACATCTATCATAGCCTTGGCCCTGAAGTAAGTGCCTATTGAAATATGCATTTTACTCGATCCTCATCGTCTATAGCTCTCCACAATACAGGGAGATGTTGACCAAGTCAAGGGCGGAAAAACGGACCGCTCAACAAGCGCGGGTGACTGAAGGCGGAGAAGTGTTCATGCCTGACGACCGTTCTGTAGCCGAATCAACTTCAACTTGGGGTGTCGTCAATGTAGACGTTGCTGATTCGGCCGATCCCACAGAAGACTTGAAGGTTCCTTCTTCCAAACTCCCTTGGGCCATCAGTTTGTGTGAATTCCTTCCTATTGAGTGTTCAACGTTTGACAGCATGAATCTTCTCAGCGTTTGAAAGTGGTGGGTTGACCATCAGCTGTACCGTGCTTTATCCAGAACAATTCGATGCCTTGCGCCGCACATATGACTGCGAACGAAGCATGGTGGAATCTCTCGCACGATGTGTCAAATGGAACGCCAATGGTGGAAAGTCTGGGTCAGCATTTCTAAAAACGAGAGGTGTGTAGCTTGTAAGCCCGCGGTGGCGGCGGGTGAGGCTGACAACGTGAAACTAGACGATCGTTTCATTGCGAAAGAAATCTCCCGTCCTGAACTGCAAACTATGGAAACATTTGCGCCTGCATATTTCGATTACATGTCTTCTGCAGTTTCTGCTAACGTATGCCCCGTCATTGTCGCCTTTATGCTACCCAAAGAGGCTAACCGACATTACTTTTCCGCTGCAGCGCCCTACCCTTCTCGCCAAAGTCTTTGGATGTTACAAGTTGACGTTCCGCAAAACGTCCGGCAAAGATAGCGGCCCAGAACGATCAAAGTCTACGCAAATGAATCTACTCGTCATGGAGAACCTGTTTTATGACAGGCGGTTTGCTAAGGTACTGTCTTCACTTCCACTATTTTATGATCTCGCCCTCACAATTTCCCAATCAGATCTATGACCTTAAAGGCTCAACCCGTAACCGCCATGTCCAATCCACCGGCAAGGAAAATGAAGTACTACTCGATGAAAATTTAGTAGAGAGTGCGTTTTTCTTCCTTCTTCCATCGCATCATAATTCATTGGCTAATTTTGGGCCCCTAGCTGCCCATCTTGCCCCTTTCTATCTACGCGAACACTCCAAGCGTATCCTGCGCGGAGCTCTCTATAATGATACCAAGTTCTTGGCCGATACCAATGTTATGGACTATTCCCTGGTCGTCGGGATTGACAAGGAAAGCAACGAACTAGTTGTCGGTATCGTCGGTGCGTATCCCTCCGCCTCTCCATCCCCCTTCGCCAGGCAATACTGACCTTTCGAACGATCATCTAGATTATATCCGCACGTATACCTGGGACAAGAAACTAGAAAGCTGGGTGAAAGAGTCGGCGTTCCTTGGTGGCGCTGGCAAAGGCGAACCTACGATCGTCACCCCGAAGCAGTATCGCCAAAGATTCATTACCGCTATGGAGAGGTACTTCCCTTTGGTATGTTCTTTGTACCGATTTGTGAGCTGGCGACTGGCTTACCGTTGTAATTGTGTTCTATAGATCCCTGACCGTTGGATGAAGCAGAAAGACACGCCGGAAGAAGACCCAAATTGTTTCGCTGAACTCTGGCCTGATTGGTAGATACATCGACGAACTCTTGGACGCTGACTCTGTCATGTATCTCCCTCCTTTCTTCACGCTGCTTACGACTTATGTCTGGCCCTAGTGGCCACTTGCATTTCTCTCGGAACTTTCATTGCGTGCCCTCGTCATCTTGTTGTGTCGGATATATATACCGTGCATTTTGTAAATTAGACAGCTCTTAGTTTATGGATTCGCCACTGGCAATCATATACACAGTATTCTTGTGAATGTATCTTGAGCGTAAGCTGTGATTGATTGGAATGCAAGTGTCAGCTGTTCAGCCTTGCCTCGTCGCCGCCACTTACTCCTTCAGGTATCGTACCAGCGAGAGCAAAAAGATGTGACGAGAGTGGGATTCGAACCCACGCCCCGAAAGACCAGATTGAATGCTCATCAGATGAGCTGATCCTTAGTCTGGCGCCTTAGACCGCTCGGCCATCTCGCCAGATGATCTTGCTTCCTCTAAGACCTCCACGACAAAAATAGCAGCCATTAGAGTTGTTCTGGTGACCAGATGTAAGACGGCAAGGCGCGAGATACAGAAGCTAGTATACAGAAAGCAAATACAGAATAAACAACGTATGCATATGTACACATATACAAGTTACCCGGCTTCAGACGAGTGGTTCCCCAACCATGAAATGGACATGGTCGCCTTCGCCTAGCGTAAGTCTGACTGGGAGGCGTGGGTCGATGCGTACGGGCGCACTAGTTCCGACGTAGAAATCGCCACGGCTAAAATTCCTGGTTATGGCGGCAGCCTCTTCCTCGGTCAGATTGCGCTGTCGTTTCGCTGGTCTGAATGTCGACGACGAGGCTCCGGTGAAGGCTCCGTTGTAATCATAATAATGCTGCTGAGACATGTTCGCTGCCGCATGTTGAACGGGGAATATTTGCTGTGGTGTGGCAGCAAACGTTGCTTGCACCGGCGGTGCTTCGATTTCCATAGAAGAAATCATCAGATGGGTTGTTTCTACGTGCAAAGCATGGAGAGTGCTACCTGGCGTGTGATGAGCCTGATTATTGTGATCAGATGGATCGCCCGAAGGGTCAGGATAAGCGCATGATGCACCCAAGCCCCGCTTCAAGCAACTCTATGTAATTTTGCAAAGCTGTTGGTCTACGTTGCAAGGAAAATATGGGTGCGACGTGCAACCAACCTGACAAGGCAGGACTTCGCTGCATCTGGTCTTTCCGGTGTGGCAAGCGACGCATGCTCGGCGGACGGATGGTGCCTTGGCTAAGAAGTAAGTTGGTCGTCAGTAAAAATACAGAACTATCACGATCCCGCTTGGGGCCACTCACGTTTACGACCGGAATCATTTGGAGTAGCCGGCGTCGTTACCTGCATTTGCTGGATGCCATCGGTGTTGTGGTGCAGCTGCTGCAGCTGGGTGTCGATGGACGGCGGGGCGGTGTCTTGGGCCGGATCCTCTGTTGTGAGCGCCGACATGGCAAGGAGCAGATACGGACAGGCGGACAAGGGCCCGTGGGTTCGGTACCAATCCATTGTTTGGTTCGGCCGACGATGCAAGCATTGCACCGGATCCAGGGTTAGCCGAACTGCCGGTGTCGCGCAGGATGGACCATGATAGCCCCTGTTTTACCATCCACGCGACGATCCAAAGGGCCGTCCTCCTCCTCAAGGTACTTCAACTCGAGTTTCAAGTTGGCACCGTTCATATTTTTTCAAGCCCCTCACATACTTGAATCATCATGTCCAGCACAGATTCCCCTCTCCAACCACCAGCACCCTTTCCTGATTTCGAATTCACGTTCGATCCAGCAATGTCCAACGTTTTCCCAAATCCCCCACCGTTGCCCTCGTCTGCCGATTTGTTTTCCCCCTCTGAAACCACAGACCTGCTCGGCTTCCTCGATGGCTTCAATTGGGACATCGAGAACGACGACGCCTCCTCAGCGTACCCAAATCATCGTCTGCCGAATCCCCCAGCACCGTACACGAACCCACATCTCCATACTTCGCCAAATCCCTCGGCCGCTGGCGTCAGAATATCATCGCGCTCGGCCTCGTCCAATTTGAGCCGCTTGGGACCTATCGATGATCAACATAAACTTGGGGCGGCTCAGAGTGCCGTGTCAGATACATCATCCACTTCGTCCAACACCGCAGGCCCCAGCCACCAGAGATCTACCTCTGCGTCGTCAGCAGCAGCACGCGCGAAGCCTTTACTTTCAACACCGCAGAAACGATTAAACCATATTATGTCAGAACAGAAACGACGCAACGCCATCCGCGACGGCTACGCGCAGCTCATCGCCCTCCTTTCACCCGCTGGGTCAGCGCACGGCATTGGTATGCCTACGAGAGGCCGTCCGAAAGGCAGTGGCAGCCGCGGGAAAGGTCGCAGCAAAGGGAAGAGTGGCGTGCTTTTCCGCGCCGTTGAATACTGCCGATTCCTCGAGGAGGGGCGAGACGCGCTTCGAGAAGAGGTCCGGCGGGTTGAGGCTGCTGCTGGCATCAATCAACAATGAATGACATCCATTTCCAGTGCACAAGATGAAATCGCCGGTTAGTGTTGACAGCTATCACCTTCCCATTGCCCTCGTTGATCTTCTCACCACATAGCTTTGTATTACTGCTTCTTTCCCCCTTTATCGCATCAAAGGAAATTGCTTTTTTACGGCCGAGCAAGCAAAAGTTTTACTCCATCATACCATAATGCCCATACTCTACTGTAGCCGTTATAATTTTACACCGTCATCTCCCCAATCGGGAGTATCGATCGTTTATTACTTCACATCGTTGAGATTGATTGGCAATATAATGCATTGGTCGATCTAACTTAAGTGACAATATCAATCCATCAACTGCGTGGCATTTGGCATCGCCACGTTTCATATCACAGTTATGCCGCCGACACCACCACCACCAGACTGGCCAATCCCAACGTTCACACTTCGAGTGGAGGACGTAGCACACCCGGGGGCAATAATATTCTTTCAGTGCATCCAACCAGCCGTCGACCTCCGTGGCGCAGTCCTCAACAGCTTCAAGTGGTTGTACACACCAGATAACGTCCCAACCAAGTCAGTCACCTCGTGTTGAATTGCATATGCAATTCGACAAGTATGTGGCTTGAACATCTGAATAACTGACCGTCAAACCAGCGTGAAATCCATTCTGTTGGTGTTACGCTCCATGCCTGGCGTGGCACATACATTTGGCAGCTCCACGCACAAGGAGATACATTTCTCCCTTGAGCATATCAACAACTGTGCTTCTCGTGCCAGGGAGGAGATCTTAGGGGTGCTCACACACGAAGTGGTGCATTGTTACCAGTACAACGCGAAGGGTCAATGCCCTGGAGGCCTGATCGAGGGCGTCGCAGGTAGGGCAATCAAACCATCATCATGTCAGTTGGTTGCAGAATGAGTGACTTATAACGTATCTCCTTACGCAAGACTGGGTCCGTCTGCAGGCAGGTCTGGGGCCCCCACATTGGAAGAGATCACCAGGTGATAAATGGGACGCTGGTTACGAAGCAACGGCCTACTTCCTCGAGTGGATCGAGGGTCGCTATGGTCATGGCACAATCCAAGAGCTGAACGAGAGCATGAAAGATGTGGAATACGACGAGAGGATGTTCAAAGCAGCAACGGGCCGCAGGGTTGCTAAACTCTGGAGGCTGTATGTGAACAGTAATTAATTAATTGTGTGTACCCGAGGGCCGTATCTACGAGAAATTAAACAGAACGGGATGCGGCGATAAGATACAAATACAGAGTTAACGACTATTGCGACCAGTGGATGAACGAAAAATGGAGCTACAAAACAGGATGACCAGATAGTTAACAGATAAAGAAGAATCCGATGAATGCGAAAATGTCATCCCAGTTCTTCGTCTAGTTCTCGTGCAAGGAAGTCATCATCGAAGCCTAAATCAAGTCCGTCCTCGTCGTCGCTCTCTTCATCATCTTCGCCGTCACCATTTTCCATTCCTTGCGGCGTCGCGGGATCGAGGGTGCCCCCGCCATTGTCGCCTTCGTCCAAATCACCGACCGTTATTGCCTCTTTGAGCTTTGAGAACTTCGATCTCTCAGCGGCTAGCTTCTTGCGCTTCGCGAGAGGTGATCGGAGAAGCGTGTCCTTGTCCAGCCCGTCAAAGCCACCATCAGACGGCGTCACACTCCGCAAGCGCTTGCGTCGCATCTTGGGAGTTCCATTGGCACTGCTATGGGGGAAAGAGGGGCGTCAGCACGGAATAGGCAAAAATGCAAAAAGCTTCTCCCGACCTGATAGCACTACCTGTCTCGTCATCGGAAGCGGCCTCACTCCGTAACCCGCTTCGATCACTCCTGGCGTCGTCGTCATCATCGCTCTCGTTCATTGCCGCGTCGACTTCGTCATTAACCTCGTCCCAGTTGATGGTATCAAGTTCCAGCGACGGTCCACCGGTCTCTGAGGGTGGGTCTTTGTCCCAGTCGTCCCCGTCAGGATCGTGGTCTGATGAAATGTCAATTGAGTCCATAGCAGGACTAGAACTCGGTCCAGTCACCGGAGGCTCGTCCAAAAGGTATGGCGTCTCGTCTTGATGCCGCCACAAAGCTACGGAATCTGTGAACCAAGAAACCCACACAATTTTCATCCCTCCACGCCGCCGGGCCATATCCACCTTCACCGTTCCACGCTAAAATGAAAGGTGGAAGGGAAGGTCAGAGGCTGTGTGGGCACCAAGAAGCACATCACTGACTTTAGCCGCTACAACATGGGTAACTTCGCTCGTCAATTCGGTGGAAACCTTAGCGCCGAACATATGCGCTAATCGCCATATTTCGGTCGTTTCTGGCTTGGTATCTAGAGGTATCACACTTGAAAATAGGATATGGACGCCTTTAAATACATCGGCGCGTATTCGGGGTATGATTCGCTTTGACGGCGTTAGCACAGCTATTTTGAGGAATGTGAAGATGCACTGACTGTTACATCGTATAGCACATTCATTGATTCTCGTCTCCTACCACGTCGTGTTTTATCGTCCTGTGGTCGTGATTCGTATGCCGAGTAAAATTGCTTATGCACTTCGTCTAAGAGCTACATTCGACATCTTAGCGCTGAATGGGTGCATGGAAGCAGTGCATCAATACCTTAGTGAGGCGTTCCAACTCAAAGTCATCATTCTTCAATAACGCCTTACGGACATGCTTTTCTGTTGGAGGAGGTGTATCGACAACGGTTTCGCTACTCGTAGACTCAGCTGGGGATGGCGTCTCGGTTTTCGTCGCTTGGCCATCCTCAGAAGCGACCAATGCCTCTTGTTTCTTAGCTAGTGGCCGCTCCTCCATCTGGGCTTCTAGGGCAAGGGAATTTTGGGTAAGCATTTGGTTAGTCTCGCGTTCTGCTCGCTCCGCGTCTTCTGGGGTTGTGATGGGGGTTTCGGAGGGTAAGGCATGTTCGGCGGCGGCAGCGTTGGGTGGAGTGGAAGAAGGCGCGGCTGAGGACACGAATAAATTTAGGAGCTGGCCTACGGCGGTGGAAATAAACTTGCCTTGTGGATTAATCGGAGGGCCGGTGGGTGTTAAAGGCTCTAGTTTCGGTAAGAAAGACGAATTTATGTCACCGATCCCGACGAAGAAGTCGTCTATAGAGCAAGGTGATTATTTGGGTATCCGTAGAATGGCGCTGAACGCACAAGGGATGACTTTGATAAGATTCGGACTCCATTCCCAAACGTCTGCACGATCATCTATGATCACTACCATAGATGTATCGCAAGGAAATAGGCGTTGCAGGCTCTTCTGAGTAAGACCTCGGAGGCGCAACTAATTAGCCTAACGAGTGATAAGTATATTGATCAAAGATACTCACTGCCGCTTTCGTCTCGACTCAATATCCGCCCACCAAAGTACTTCGAGTCCGGATCAATAGCCGCACATACCTCTTCAGCATATGCTCGTGTGCCCATCGTATAAACGTGCATTTCGTACTTTGAAGCCGTTTCTTCGAAGAATTCTTTCCATCCGGGCCTTGATTGGGTTGAGAATCATGAGTAGAGTGTGACAGCTATATACGCACCTTGGTTTGATATAGTACATACAACCCTCGTTCTCCAATAATTTAGCCTTGCCTTTGGGAAAGCGGGGTGGAGGCCCAAACGATTCCGGCCCTAGTCTAAACTTCTTAACGTCCTTCAACGCTTCCCAGTTAGGATTGCATTCGTCGTCGTCGTCATTAGATTCGTTGTTCTTCGCCTTGGCTGCCCGACGGGCCTCCCAAGCCTCGCCTTCCGTTATCCACTCTCCGACGGTCGGGTCCACGGTCGCATGCACAATGGTTTGATCGAGGTCCACAATCAAGGACAATTTGTGCGATTTGAGAAGATGTTGCGCTGTCTCCTTCTCCATCTTCCTGGCCTCTTCAAGAGAGACGGTAGGCCCAAAGGCAGAGTGTGTCATCGGAATGACTGCGCGGGACGCATCTGAGAAGCCAGTGTAATCGTAACTGACTCAGAACATCAGCCCTGATGCGAGGGTCACTTCTTGCAGGACGTACTCAGTCATGTCCTTCCCGCAGAGTCCGCAGAGTCCCCCGATTTGTATTCCATGGGTACATGGTTCATTGACGAGAACCACAGGCTTGTCCTTTGCTTTGCGGGCAGATATAACGTCCCCCGCCTTAGTATTCCAAGCAGCAATTTCCCCCTCGACGGTGGAATCCCATGTCCCAAAGCGCGTCTCTGGCTGTGCGCCCGCTGTAGGTGCTAGATGAACGAAAGAGTAACTTAACAAACGCTGGCCGCGTTGGATATTGCTGGCCGGCTTCGCGTCAATTGAGATGACCTTTATAGGAAAGGGAAAAGTGAGCGGGAGGTAGAGTTCTGTTGGGCCGGACATTTATCGCAGCGGATGGGGGGCATACGAGAAGCGGATTAAGAGACAACATCCCGAAGTCATTTGTTTTGGGAACATGTCAAAGCCAAACAACTACCGCCGATCACATACAGATCATCACGTGCACCGGACTCATTACTTATCGATATCGCCAAAGCGGACAAAGTCTAAAGGCAAGCGGGTATCATCATACTATAATGTTCTACAAATACAGGATCGATGCTGATGGATGTGATCTAATAGGTACAGTATTTGGAATAGAAGTGTGGCTGTTATTATACCAAAAGATGGATGCGATGGGGATATGATGATGTGTCCGAAAGGCAAGTCCATGATGATCATAGTGAGGATGCGATGCGATGTGCTGACTTGCACCAGTGCAGGAAGCAGCTTTTTCTAGAGCATCAATGCTACAGCGCTGATAGTGACTAGCATCAGGCCGTGGTGCCAAGTGACACCAGACTGGGCACCGTTGTGCTGCGTAGCTGAAGGCACGGCATTGCCGACGTGAGGTGTAGTTGCCGACGCCGAGAAGGCTGCGCTCAGTGGCCTTGTTGTCGAAGTCGAGCTAGGTGCTGAAACTGCGAATGTCTGGAATCCGGCCGCAGGGCCGGGGGCGCTGCCCACTTGCCCAGGGAATGCAGCTGGTGTTTGGACTGTTGGAGGTGCGCCCTGGGCTGGGAAGCCGTTCACTGCCGTAGGGCCAGGGACGGTGTTTCCGGCTGGGATGAACTCCGTAGGCTGCGAGGGGAAACTGAATTTTTATGTTAACTTCAGATCGTTCGTAACTGATAGATGCACCTACTTCTCTGGGCCACCCAAGGTCGCCGCATTATCTGGGAGTTCTATTGGTGCGCCTTCGAATTGCGCTTGTGCAGCAGCATTGCTGACGAAGAGAACAGAAAGAGCGACAACAATCGTAGAGAACTTCATGATGGTAGTGTTGGGTCGGTGAATGGAGGCGACAAATGAAGAATGTAGTGTGGTAGGGCAACGCGTTTGACTCGAAGGCTTGAAAGGAGATGAAATGGCTTGTGAGGAATCAGGTTGAGACCTGGTAGCAGCTATTTATGTGCCCTCTTCTCAGCTTTGCTGGATGCGATCTCCACATTGTAACGCTGTCGTAGTAACGATGTAATGCTGGAGGCGCTTCTAGCAGCCGAGTCATGTCGGTAACACGCACTAAAGAAAGGGGGTTCACGGCGGCTTGAATGGAGGGTACTTTCCACTGGTCAAACATTTGTCTCCAGAGTATTGGCAGTCGGTATGGATGACAGGAACATCGATACGAGGGTGCACACTAAGACATTTTACAAAGGACACTCTTATGATCATCATTACCGAAAAGAAAACACTAAAGATCCCCATGAGCAAGAGCAATGGAGCACAACGTCGACAGCGAATTAAATAATACAAAGTTATATGTAATCGTCCCTAAAATACAATCCGTCGTATCACATCATCTTGACCTTCTTCGAAGGCTGAGTGCTGGTCTTGTCTCCCTCTTTCCTCTTCTTCGAAGCCCCCTGCCTGTACCCATCCATCAAATCCTTGAATTTAGCACGCGCCTTGGCAGTAATGACCCCGACCTCCGACTCGGCTCCGTTGAACTTGATAGCATTAGCAAACATCAGGTGCACGTCCGCTTCAAATGCTTCCGCCGTGTCGTAATCCCCAGCTTCCAGCTTGTCCCTTATCGTTCGGATATCACGAGCATCTTTACGGGGAATGATCTCGAAATAGGTAGGAATACCAAGGGCAACAGGATCGACTGGTTCGAGGAAAACCCAGCATCTTTTGAAAAGCTTAGTATACGGAGCAATGTCTGAGGTAAGGAAACGTACAAAGGGTCTTTAGAAAGAGTGTTGAGGACGGCTTGTATACCTCGCTTTGTAGTATATGGTAGCTTGCGGTCCAATGACTTCTGCCATTCCTTCTTGAACACCTTTTCCACGACTTCCACGCAGTCGATGGGATACGTCAGTGGGGGGTTGAATTGCCGGCAGTTACTGAATACAAGCTCGACATCCTTGAGGAAATCTTCCATTGTTGTGTACTTCGATTCATTGAGCTTCTGCGTCATTGTACCGAAGTCCATTGGATGTGCAATTTCTTGAAGGTAACTAGCAAGCAGGTAAGTAAAGCATAGTGGGCGATGATAAACCACGCACGTCGGGCATCCATCCAGAACGGGGTCTACAGGACGAAGGAAGATGGCAGCCTCGGGAAGCTTCTTCAATGTCTTCAGTATCTCCCGACATTTCTTGTCGTTGATTGGTGTGGCTTGTACGACAGGAGGTTTCTTGGGCTTCGCAGGAGTTGGCGCAGGTGCGACCTCCTTCTCCTTACCCTTGCTAGACGAGCTCTCAGCACGGTGTGGCTTAGGGGGTGCCTCGGTAGCCTTCTTCTTCGCAGGGATCGAGACCTTTGAAATTACATGGGCAGTTGGCACAGGCTTTGGATGAGGCACTATAGTGGAGGGACCGGGGGAGGGCTTCTCCCGTTTAGCAGGCGTAGCCGAACGGACAATATCATCTTCATCCAGGATGTCCTTCTTGCGTTTGGAGGAAGACACAACTTCCATTGAAAGTCGTTCCCGTTCTTTCTCCAGCTGCTGTAGGCGCTGGCGCTGAAGCCGCTCTTCATCTTTCTCCCGTTCCATGGCAATAACCTCTTGCAGTATATCGTGCGAACCATCATCGACGTACGGCGGGGGCGGTTCCAATGCCTTGGGCTTCCGTACTTTCAGTTTTGGCGGTGCTTTGGCGGGCAACGGCTCTACTGGCTTGCTCTGCTGAGGAGTGACCTTCAACTTGATGATAGGACGAGGTGCCTCAGTAACTTTGCGCTCGGGAGGGGGAGGAGGAGGAGCAAGAACTGGCTCTGGAGTGGGGATGTGTCTCACTGGCGGTTCTGGGGCCTTAACTGGATTTGGCGGGGGAGCCTTCGACTCCAGCGTCTTGTTCATCCGCGTCCATTCTTCATACGACGTTAGACACAGTCAAAGACTGAGATGAAATACATACGCTTCTCGAAGAAAATCTCGAAGGCTATTGCTTCATTGTGCGCGTAGCTACCGACGGAGTTGTATGTCTTCGCATTTGAAATCATCAACTTGAAATCAGCTTCGAATGCGAACCGATCCTTGTATTTACTAGATCCAAGTTTAGCACCCATCGTGCTGAGATCCATTGGTGATTTGATGATTTCGAAGTAACTTGAATGAAGGTCATGAACTAGCTAATTGGAAGAGAAACGCGGGCAATCACCTTGGCGCCTGATCTCGAACAGGATCAACCGGCATCAAGAAGATAGTGGCATGTTTATTGCTTTGAAGTTTCTTCAGCATGTTCCGACATGCGGTTAGATCCAGAGTATCCATGCTAGCCCTTGGAGCACCACCAGCTGAGGCTTTCTCTGGCCGAACAGGTCGTGGTTTCGGCGGACGCGCCTTCAGCTTGGGAGGTTGAGGTGGGGGTTGGGGAGGAGCAAGAGCTATACTGCGCGCGGGTGAATTGAATCGAGGAGTACGAGGCGTACCAGGAGACGAGGCGTAGAGATCTGTCGGCGTTGGAGGAGGGAGCTTGAGCTTCGGCGGAGCAATGAATGGGATGAGAGGACTCTTGAGAGTAGCACCAGACTTCACGGGGCGTGGTTTCGGCGGGACCTTGACCAACGGTAGCTGCGGAGAGTGTTCGATTACTGGCGTCGGAGGAAGGGTGAGCTTCACGGTGGGAGCTGCTTCAGGCAATCCACGGATAAGCATATCCGCAATTTTCAGAATGCACCATCGAACTTCATGATCAGCGTTAGGAGCGCTGAGGAGATAACATGAGTAAGTAGACAGGGCACTGAGGAACATAGACTCACAGAGCCACAGGCATTAGGAATTCACGTAATACTTCGTTCTTCCCAACTTCTCTATCCTTCCGCAGAGTCTTGATCAGCGCATCCATCTCACTCTTCTTGTTATCCCTAGACCTCTCCGGTATGGAGCCATCCTCTTCGATGAGTAAAGATTCAGGGTCTTTCGAGTCGGATTTCATTTCACCCATCTGCACCAGCAATGCCAGACTGTGACAAGCATTTCGGGCAACGTGACGACGGATAACTCGAGACGGGTCGTTCGCCATGACTGCAAGCATATACCGCATGATAGCGGGCGTATACCATTTGGTGAGGAACAACCCGTCGAATGCTGCAATCCGGACTTGCGTAAAGTTACCCTCCCTGAAAAGGAAATCAGACGCTTGACATAAACTAAGGAGAATGAACAAACCGAGTTAGAGGGAAGAATATCCTCCACGGGTTAGGCACGAGATTTGCCACACTAAGCAATAGATAAAACTACCATTTGTGAGCATTTGTCTATCCACAACGACGGGAGCTCAATTACCTCCAGCGCCGCTATAGTGACCATGTTATGGGGAGAAGGAATGAGGCGATCCATGCTGCGGTACCGGTCTATCTCAGTCAAAGTTTGCTGGACTAGAGATATATCTTCCGAATTGTGTTCTTGCCGTGCCTCAGCTGGTAGAAGCTCTCCTCGTTCAGGAGGAGCGGCAGACACTAACGCACACGCGGCTGCGGAAATGACAGTACAAATATAGAAACCATCAGAGTACTGAGGAGTTTCAATGAGCAAGGGAAGGAATGATGGGTGTGACAAAGACCCACAGGATTCTTGGTATTGTCGTTGTATCGTAGCTGGTCGATCAAAAACTGCCGCACTACCGCTGGAGCCTTGCCATTCTCGAATCGGATACGCGATATGGCATTTATCAAGGCCTACAGAAGTCAGCAGCCTATCAAGTGGCTGCAGATGAGGATTTACCTTTCTGACAAAGTATTCGGGCATCTCTGAGAAGTCATTTGGCTTGGGAACATATGTGTGGGCGAAGAGATCCTGATTCGGGTCGTCGGGCTCGTAGCAGTAGCGCATGAAGAGCTTGAAGAGGTGGAATAGACCTAGGAAGTCTAGTTTCCGGATAGCACACTGGAAAGGGTTAAATCCGCGATAAACTACGAAGATCGAAAAATAACACTCACGCTGACTAGTCCCAATGCAGCCTCACAACGTATTCGAAAGAAGTAATTCGATACAAGGACCGTCTTCGTCAAGGTACTGGACACGATGGCAGTGGGTTGCTTCGCAAGAGCATACACAGCCTTTGGTAGCAAGTTAATCGCTAGATTTTATTGATGGAAGAGGACAATACGGCGCACCTCCAGTTGAGCAACAACATCTCTATCTCTCTGTAGCTGCGACACCCACATGAAATCGGGCTGGTCAAAATTGATGGCCGCGATCCACTCAAAGTCGGCGTCCATACGAATCCATTCATACGTTGCACCGCTCATTGCATTCTCCTCTTCTTCAGTCCAGTCAGCTACCTTCCAATTCTCCCGCTCCTGTTCTTTCTCCCACACATCCAAGCCGAACCCAAAATCTACCATGCCCATCGCTTCAACAGCCTCTGCATCGCCCTCCGCAGCAGCTTGGGCCGCCGCTTGACGAGCCAAGTAACGCTTGGTATTCCGCCGTATACGCTTGTACTTAGTGTTGAAAGGGACCTCGTAGCGTTTGAACGGTGAGCGAATATCCAGGACGTGCTCGTAGGGGGTTCCGTCTGCCTCGTGTATTCGGATCGTCATTTGACCCTGTCACGATCATAAAGTTTACGCCGCATAGATCTATTGCGTGTGACTTACCTCGAAGAACTCGACAGGTTTATAGAGTGCGCGGGCTACCTCATTCTGCTCGAGAGCCTTGAAAGCTGGGGCCTCTTGCCTCATAGTGATTTCGACCGCCATCTTCTTCCGATTGAATGAGGCAGAGAATCCGAAGGCAGGGCATCCACTTCCATATATCCACTGTTCTGCGAAACTACGAGGGTCCACACCGCTAACCTTTCGGCACGTTCTAAGGAAGGCGTGAGTCGAAATGAGATTGTTGGGCATCTCCCCGCTGATGGCAGACAGGAAGATCTTGGGTAAAACGCGACTGAGTCCCAGGGATGTACCAGATTTGCCGAGCCGTCGATCCAGAATATGCAAAACAAGGGGCGCCTTGAGGTTGATGAATGGAAGAATCCCAGCATCGGGGGGATCTTGTTGCTGGGGCTGGCAAATAGGTGGCATCGAGCCGGTATCCCACTGTAGAACTCGTTCGATGTCCTTCTTAAGTCTGAAGCGATATTCGTTGTTTCCAAGGAGCTTGCGGAGGAAAAGACCGGTGATGTAAAGACCAAGGCCGTTGACAAGCCAAAGATCTGACCAGAGCTTCGGTTGAATATTAACGCCAACCCACTGGCAAGCGAGGGCATGGCTGAGGGCATGTCGCGTCTCTAGCGTCTGCTCAATCGCATCGTTGCCATGCAACAAGTCTGTTGTGACCAGTGAGAACGCTGCGCTATCGAACCGTTGCGTTGGAAGTTCCTCGACGAATACGAGTTTGTAAGAGCCGAAGGGATAGGAACCGAATTCAGTGGTGTAGAAGGACATCGCAGAACGCAGGAAGGTAGTGGAGGGTGGAAGGAAATGTTCGTGACCAGGCAAGCAGAAAGCGTACATTAGGGGTTGAGACTGAGTAGCGGACGATTCGTCGGGTGACGCCTCTATTGGAATCGTGAATAGATTGAATGGTCCCGCGGCAAAAGCAATCTGCTGCACGGATGTGAGTGTCCCCAGCGAAAACAGGAAAATGGTCTTATTCGAGTTATAGGGATGTGCCACCTGTTATGGTCTAAGATAAAACACCATCATAAGTCAAACAAATACTTTACCTGTTCCACAAGTTCCCCACTGCATATGACTAGGGTGGGTATCGCATCCGCTACCTCATCTTCATCACCGTCCCTATCCCTAGATTCGCGCTCTTCTAGATACCTTGGAACGACGAATTCAAACTCCCATGTACACTTCTCCCATAGGTTGTCTACGCAAGGTACCCAGCATCGAGCAGCGTCGGGAGATGAGGGCGTGGTATACGCATGAGGAACACGCTTCAACAATGGAAATGAGTGTGGTGCGAACAGGACAAATGCAGAACACGTACGTAGGGGTACGAATCAGTTGGAAGAACGAATTCCAGCCCATCTACCGGCTTGCGTATGCTATACGAAATATTGACTGTAATAGGTGCGAATTCGGTGATGGCCCCGTTGACTTGACTGGCCCCCGGCGTCTGGGGCTCAGGAGTCGCAGCTGCTACCAACATCAAATATACTGACAATGGACATGCCAAGTCATACTCACCTTCACTGTAGATTGCACTAGATGCTGGTTGGCGTCCAGATTGCCTCACTGACACTTCCTTCGGTATGGCTATCGACAATTCACCCTCGTCGCTCTCTTGAAGTGCAGTGTAGAGTTTGCGCTTCAGGTCAGGATGCTGGTGGCAGTCCTGTTTGCCATCTTGGTCTACCGGAACATTGACTTTGTCGAGAGGATCTTGATGGATGAATTCAGCTGGATGTGAGGCCACGGTGACTGAATGTATGGCTGCGAAGGGAATGTAATGATTTCAAGACACTTGAGGGGACGGCCACCTACTGCACTGCCTGCAATGAATATGCAGAGTCCTCAAGTCACTGGTGTGCGGTATGAGAGTCATTTCCGTGTAACCCTACAGTGGAATGTCTAGTTGCGGCTGCGCCTGAGGGTTAGAGAGCATACCCATAAGCTGCCGGAGAAATCGATTTCCAACGCGACTTTTTGGTGACTAGTAGAGACGCAGGAAACGTGTAAGCCCACTACAGGTCTCGCAAAAGCAAGAAGATGGTACGTATATAGTGAAACCACGCCGAACATGTTCGCGATTGTATAGGACTTTGGTGTCCATTATTGCGATGCGATGTGCTGAGTGCCTTCTAGATGGGTAATGGGAGTCGTTGAAGAGAGCGTGAGTTCCTTTTCGGCGTTCTTGCTGTACAAACGGCCTCTTGGAGAGAAAAACGAAACAAGATGACTACGAGCAAGCCGAGAGACCTGAGGGAACAGTCATGGGAGGAGACAACCGTGTGCGATTATGTAACCGCTTCGGTCACGGCAAAGGTCACGCGTTCGAGTCACGGCCACAATCGCATTCAGTGGCACTCTTGCCTCTTATACTTGTGCCACCACAATCGATCATGCCACCAAAATCCATATTCCGCCAACCCGGGGCCAGGCACTTTCAGCTCGTTCATAGATCTCAAAGGGATCCATTATACCACGACGCAGAGGCCAGTAAACATGTTCTTAAGCCCATAGAGCGAGAAAATGTAATCAAAAAGGTGCACACTGAAGTTCGGCATTGCAACAGCGCAGTAGCTTATTGTTTAGTAGGGAAAGTCTCGCGCAGACTTAGAGTCGACTCTTGCGGAGTCAGATCTGGCCCATGATAGTGAAGCTCATGTTGGCGAGGCGTCGTTATATGGGATCTACTACGATGATACTCAATACGATTATATGCAACATCTACGGCCTGTCGGACTCCAAGAAGACGGTGTAGATAGTATTCTCATCGAAGCTCCTCGGACGAGCAAAGTAAAGTCCAGCAAATCAAACAAAAACAACGCCTCGATTCCAATAGCACTTCGAGATCTACCGAAGGAATCACTTCCTTCCACTTCGGAATTGCCTCGAAACTACGAATCTGAGGAAGCTGTTCCGTTTAGTATCTCGGGCTTCCAGCCGGACATGGACCCGCATCTTCGTCAAACGTTGGAAGCCTTGGACGATGACGCTTTCGTGGATGATGGACTAGGGGACGATTTCTTTGGAGAGCTGGTGGCTGATGGTGAACGAGCTGAGGACGAAGAGATTGATTTCTCATTTGAAGAGGAGGGGGTTGACGGAACCGCAGAAGGGCATTCTCAAGAGGGTGAAGGTGATGAGGGATGGGAGGCGCGGTTTGCTCAATTTAAAAAGGAGAACCAGCAGCGAGTTTCCTTTGGAAGTGACGCCGGCTCCGCGTCAGATGATGGCGATACAGTTGGGAAGCTCCCGGAATTCTCAGTCATTGGTGGAAAGGGTAAGCGAAGACGGAAAGGCACTAGCGAAGCATCGGGTTACAGCATGAGTAGTTCTTCCATGTATCGTACGGAGACCCTGCAGACTCTCGATGAGATGTTTGATCAGGTGCGTAAACTCCAGCCACCTCTCCGCCAGCTGAGTCGAAGTTGCTGTAGATGGTACTCAAAGAGTATAACGAGAACGACGACGACGACGACGGATCCGAGTCAGAATCAGATTCTTCTGTGGCTCCCGAGCTCATTACCTCCCGAACGGACTTCGACGCGATGATGGACGATTTCTTAGACAACTACGAAGTGCTAGGGCGAAAGGCTAAGCCAAAGCTCGAGGGTGATACTGGTGCTGAGAAGTTGAATACATTACGGCAGGCGTTAGGTCAGGATGAAAGAGTGCGGATTACACAGACAGGTGATTCTGATGACGACGAAGACGAGGAGGCAATACTTGCTTCCTTTGGCAAAGAGGAAGACACAAAACAAGATAGATGGGACTGCGAGACAATACTGTGTAGATATCTCTAATTTTTTGGTCACTTTGTCACTGCTGACGGTTCTATCAGCGACGTACTCTAATCTGGAGAATCACCCAAGACTAATTCGCGCACGAGACGCTAACCCAGTGGTGAAGATACGACTGGACCCTCGAACCGGTTTCCCAATGGTAGAGGAACTACCACCTCGCCTGAGAGGGAAAGCCGCCAAACAGCCTCCGATCGAAGATGACGAGGATAAAGACACAGCACGTATGGATTCCACTCAAATACGCACGTCAGACGTTACTGACTTCTCTCTAGCTGTCCATTACACTGTCACTCGACCGAAAGATGAAACGCCCGAGGAGAAGAAGGCCAGAAAAGCCGCAGTCAAAGCGGAAAAGCAAGTGCGGCGAGCAGACAAAAAGGCTACAAAAGAGCAGTTCGCTGCTGAGTTCAAGGCCCAGAAGCGGACAATTAATAACAAAGAGAAGGCCAGTGTGCGGAAGCTATAGCCTATGGGCCATGGTCGACAACATTACCAGTTGTGTATTTAGAGTCGGACTGTATCTCAACAACAACATATGGAGAGTACATGTGATATAATCTCCTTGATACAGCGGTGTGCATCATTCGCCGAACATGATCTTCAGATTCTCCACGCTTTCAGCTTCGCCTCCTTTATCCTTACTTCCTCCTCGAAAGGCTTCGTTGACAATGGCAGTCTTCCTCTGCTGGATCCTCTGAATACGCCCTTCGATCGTGTTGGCGATCTAACGGTAGAGTAATTGTCAACAGCGTGGAAAGCGGGTGGAAAAGCGGGTGGAAAAGCGGCGACGATGCTCACAATGAAATGGGTCACGTATACAGTCTTCTCTTGGCCAATGCGGTGAACTCGATCAATGGCTTGTTGCTCGATAGCAGCGTTCCACCAGCAATCCATCTACCATTAGTTGTTCAGCGGTCCGATTCGACGCAAGGGAACTCCTTGCTCACCATGAAGACATGATTAGCATTGGTGAGCTTCGCGTAACATGAGCGCATGACTGAGTCATATCAGTGAAAAGCTCTTACATTCAACCCAACGCCTCCGGCCTTGAGACTTATGATCATCACTTTCGGACTCTGAGAGGGTTCTTTGAACTCCGAGATCATTGTACTCCGTTTCTTCACATCCATAGTACCGTCAAAGCGGTACTGATCAAAGCCATCTCTTTGAAGGGCTACTTGAATAAGATCTAAGAAACTCGTAAACTGCGAGAAAACCACAGCTCGGAACAGCGGGTCTTGGTCTCTCAAACGTCCTATACATGGCATAAATTCCGTGGATCCTAAGAAAGCGCTTTCACTTACTCAGAGCCTGTACTAGAGCGTCCAATTTAGTCGACGAATTGAAATCGTTCCGTCGCAGGATCACGCGAGTTGGTGCTTCTGACCCATCCCGAGCTTTGGTGCGTAGAATCTCAATCAAGTCGGCTTGTTTGACGGGGCCGCGAGAGCAAGTAGGGCAGCGTGGTACTTCCCCCTTCTCCTCGCAACTATCCAGAAATCCAACAATGCAATCTTTACAGCTGTGCAATGCTGAGCAGAAACTAAAGGGAGGCATAACAAAGGCATACCATTTGTGCATACAAACAGGGATAATTGTTGGGACATCCATCACGTCAAAACATATCGGACACTCCGCTTCGTCTTCATCTGCAAGACCAGCGAGTACCTTCTCGGCAAAAGCATTCTTTGCCTTGCTTTCGTCCTCGTTGAGCTTCTGCACTAATTCCTCCTTGTCAACGGTACCGTCACCGTCTGCAGTGATCTCTTCCGTGTTGCCCAACACCAACGAGGGATGGAGGACTGCACGACGTAGGCTACGGCCTTGTCATTTACGAAGTCTTGTATGATAAAATTGGCCTTACCGCATAAGCATAGCCAATATATGGGTATAGTTCTTTGTAATGAGCCCCTTGGCACTGAGCTGGTCAAAATTCAGCTTCACAGTGGCGTATATGGAATTGTAAAGTTTATGCTCGAGGGGCGAAAATTCAAGTTTCTCCACCCTGACCTGTGAATAGAGTCAGTGAGACATAGAATATCGTACTCTGATTAATGACCTCTTTAGGGGGCAAGTCGACTATGGGCTTTCCATCGCTGTCCTTTGAGTCCTTCTGCCGCCTTAGTAGTATACTTTCCAAAATGACTTGAACAATTTCTATGGCCTTTGAGTCGTGGTCAAGGAATGGTAGCGTGATAAACCTATTCTTGATAAATAGATTGTCCAGACTATGTCCAGAAGTACTTACGAGCGAAAGTAAGAGAATTCCGACCAAGGCTTGTAAGCCAAAAATTTCCTGTGTCAACGTGAGCAAGCTGCCCTCGTTTGAATGACCGATGATTTACTGACAAGAGAGAGAATAGATCTTCCAACCGGTTTACGATAGGTGTTCCAGTCACCGCCCACCGATTATGGGAGCGGAGGGCGTAGACTGCTTTTGCCGTACGGCTTGTTCGAGATTTGCAATGATGTGCTTCATCAAGCACCACTCGTAGCCACGTCACTATCGGATTATGACATCAGTTCCGACAATCTTGGCAAAAGAAACAAGAATCTGACTTTCGAAGACGGGGGCTTTGTGTCCATTCTTGTCCGGTTTTGCAAATTCAGAGGTCAGTATTCCGTACGAAGTAACCACGACCTTAATCTCGTCGTCGTCGCTGTCCCCCTCCAAAGCAGCATCAAGGTCCAGTCGGTTTTGACCATGCCATACAATCACTTTCGTTGAACCTGGGGTGCTGGAACGCTGTATTTCCTCTGCCCATTGAGCAAGTAGAGACGCAGGAGCCACGACAAGGGTGGCATGAGCATCCTTATGCGAAGATCCCTTGCGAGGTGCTGGCTTGAAGGCGTTGTCGAGGCGTAATTGTCGGCCCTTGGATGGACCCTGCGCTGAATCGGTGGACTCTGGCTTCGAGTTACTTTGTATCAAGGCTGAAACCATGATGGTCTTCCCAAGGCCCACTATGAGTAGATACAACTGCAATTAGCTTTTTCCAGAGTCATAATTTAGCTATAACTCACTTTCTACATGCATAATCAATACGGATGTGTAGAGTTAAATCAATTACTGAGCGATCATCTAACGTACCGTCTCTGATGGCAATCCGTCAAAGCAAGAATCGAACACAACATATTTCACTCACGCAAGTATTCCACCTCGACAAGTAGCAACTTTGGGGAGCTCGAGACTGAGCTCTCCTGAGTAGGCATTGAAATAGAATGGTCGGTCGTCAGTAAGGTCTATGATGCCATCAACCTCAGGAATTGGAGGGAATACATATCTATGACAAGTTGAGTGCAAGAATGAGACTATAGAAAGATTGACAAACTCGCTCCAGAGAGGGTGCATAGACATTTGGTTGCGAGCATCCCTGTTACCCTTTTCAGCCGAATACATCCAGCTAGAATATCATAATCAGAATAGAAGAGATCGACAGGGTGCAGATGCGTACAATAAGGCTTGCTTTTGATATCCTCGAAGCTTGAGAGTGAAAGTATCCGCAGGTTCCATCTCACCCATATTGCGATCATTTTGCTGTGCGCTGCACAACAATGAATACGAAATGGCCTTTGGGAAGACTGTCAACATACCGTTTGTAGATCACATTGAGCTCATTCTCACTCAAGTCCTCTCCATCTTCCACCTCGATCTCCTCTCCGTCACCAACTATTTCCTTCTTTATGTTTTTCTTAGTTGGAGATGCCGAGCTAGCTTGTTTCCCTTTGGGCTGTGTGCTAGCCAGTGTAGCTTTCTTCTTCGGCTTCAAGCCGACTTCAGTAAAGAGTCGAAGGAGCGAGGTTTTGCGTTCGCGCATCATCCGCTCTTGGTCTGTTTCCTGGCCTTGGTCGAACATAGGATTGGACTCCTTGTCATCAGAGGATGCAAGTGATTTGAAAGCCGTCGGTAACATGTACGCGGTTAAGGACATGACAAGATCGGCACCAGAATGCAATGTTTCGGGACAGTCTATCATGACTCCCTTGAACTCAACAATACCTAGCATTCATAAGCGGGTGCGGTCATTCAGGACCCGTTACTACTCACGTAAATCAATCAGTTTGCATACCCATTGAGCGGCGTCTTGTCCTAAACGGCCAAACTCTATACGGGTGTGTGAGTCGGACAAAAGGATTAGCGCATTGAAGTTGCTAAAGCTCACCAAAGCCTCGAGCATTGTTGAGGTGAATGACCGTGCTAGCTTTCTTCGGATTCAGAGGCTTTGGTTGGGGCTTCATCATTGTTGTAAGGGAGAGTTGCTTGCTCCGTCCGCTTTTACCCTTGCCGGTAGATTTAGTAGAGCTCTTGGACGGCTGTGTAGTTTCTGGGATGTCCCTCGCAAGAGTGACAGGCTCGTTCATCTTGATGTATTCCTTTCCTTTGACGGTACTCCATCCTCTCGCCATGAACTCGCCAAGATAGACAGCAGACTGGAGTGCGGTCTCATTCGTTGGTGTGGGTGAGATTCGCCTCTTTTTAGCTGGACGAGCTGGACTGTGTGATTGCCTCCCCTTTCCCTTGCCTTTTGCCTCGCGAACTGGTGGCGACACGCTGCGAATACTAGGGGACCGATGAACTTTCTGTGGCCTTGGTTTAAGCGTCGGTGGAGGTGCCATATCATCATCATCATCCTGAATTTCGTACGCCATCTCAGCACTAGCACCATTGGCCATTTTGACATCGACATCGTCTTCACTGTCCGATGGTAGAAATAATGGTGTTTCCCTTGGTGAGGGTGAGGAGGTTGGTTCAGAAGCTGGAACGGAGGGGCCTTCTTCTTCCGTACCAATCGTTTCCTCGTCGGAGCCTGCAAAGAAAAGGCCAGAGTCATCTTCGCTGTCGGCCATCGCGTCGCGAAGTGATATGAGTTGGGCGCGTCTAAGGGGCTGCGCGACGAACGCGCCGATCAACAACTGTAAACAGATAGATCTACATTTTAGGATTACGCCTGGCTTTGGTCACCACCTCCTCATTTTCAGTTCCTCAAGATGCAGCGGGGACTTCCAATGGTGAGCTTTACTCTCTTCTTTCTACTGTGAGGGCCGAGAGCTCAAGGATGCGCGTAGCAACCCACTGTTGTCCTCCTCAAGGAGGGCACAGACACATCGCAGGGGACACCGCAGTTGCTATCAAACATATCGGCGTGTTCCGCAATTGCTGAGACCCTTTCGACGACTCTTGGACCTCGAGGAATGGACAAATTAATCGTGAACGACCGTGGAGAAGCTCAGATCACAAATGATGGTGCTACAATCCTCAAGTTACTTGAAATCGTGCATCCGGCAGCAAGGACGCTTGTCGACATCGCGCGTGCCCAGGATGCTGAAGTTGGAGATGGTACCACTAGTGTCGTACTTCTTGCGACGCAGATGTTGAAGGAGATCAGGGGATACATTGAAGAGGGTGTTTCGCCTCATATCATAATGAAGGGTTTCCGAAAGGCGACACAACTAGTATGTTTCTATCCATCACTTTTATACGTGCTTTTACGCCCCCTTACCAGGCTATCGATCGTATTAAAGCGATACAAGTCACCGTCGATAGATCAGATCCTGAGTACGCCTTTCCGGTCCTTAATCGTGGCTTTGCTAACGTTGCTTCAGAAAGTTCCGATCGCTACTCCTCAAATGCGCATCTACTTCGATGTCCTCAAAACTCATACACTCCGAAAAGCCATTCTTCTCCAAGATGGTTGTGGACGCTGTACTGACGCTTGACCAGAGCGAGCTAGATGAATCCCTCATCGGCGTCAAGAAAATACCTGGTGGCGGGATGCAGGATTCTCTCCTCGTCCAAGGAGTCGCATTCAAAAAGACATTTACGTACGCAGGGGCCGAGCAACAACCAAAACTCTTCCAAGACCCCTTGATTCTCTGCCTCAATGTCGAACTAGAGCTGAAAGCTGAAAAGGATAACGCGGAGGTCCGGGTTGAAGCCGTAACGGACTATCAAGCCATCGTAGATGCGGAGTGGGAGATTATTTACCGAAAGCTCCAAGCTATCGAAAAGACTGGCGCCAAGGTTGTCCTCAGCAAACTCCCAATTGGAGATCTAGCAACACAGTGGTTCGCTGATCGCGATATCTTCTGTGCCGGCCGAGTGCCTGCAGGAGACTTGCGCCGCGTTATACAGGCTACTGGGGGTGCGATCCAATCAACGTGTTCTGATATTGGGCGCGAGCACCTGGGCACTTGCGGAGTCTTCGAAGAAAAGCAGATCGGCGGTGAGAGGTACAACTTGTTCCAGAAATGCCCGAAAGCGAAGACGTGCACCCTCATTCTACGCGGAGGAGCTGAGCAATTCATTGAAGAGGTCGAGCGTAGTTTGCATGATGCTATCATGGTGGTTAAGCGAGCTGTTCGCAATGGTGATGTAGTTGCAGGCGGAGGCGCAGTTGAAGTAATTATTCACCTCTGTTTTGATCCCCATACTCAAGATTTGTGTAGATGGATCTTTCTGCTCATATTCGCAAATATGCCTTGTCTATACCCGGGAAGCAGCAACTGATCATCGCCGCATTCGCCAAAGCCCTCGAAATCATCCCTCGCCAAATATGCGATAACGCCGGCCTCGATTCAACTGATATCCTGAATAAGCTGCGAATGAAGCACGCGAACGATGAGCAATGGGCCGGGGTAGACGTTGATGGACCTTCGGGAGTCAGGGACAACATGGAGGCATTTGTCTGGGAACCGAGTCTCGTCAAGGTTAACGCGATCAGCAGTGCCTCGGAGGCCGCATGCTTGATTCTGAGCGTGGATGAGACAGTTCGCAATCCGCAAAGCGAACAGGTAACGCCCCGCTTCATACTATCGGGCATCGACACTTACTAAGTTTTCAGGCTAATGCAGGGCCCAAAGCTCCCCCAGGCACGGCCCAGCGCGCGTTGAGGGGAAGAGGACGGGGGATGCCTCGACGATAGTTAATGGGCATGTAAAATCTCAAGCAAAGCAAATTCGATTCCCAGCACTTTTTAAAAAGGCAACTCACCTTCCATATACTGCAAGCGCCCAGCATTGCGCCATTCCATCACCCCCAGACGCAATAGTGCTTCCACCTGAGTGTCTTTATTGCCGAACGCGATGAGAATTCAGAGAATATTTCAAGGTCATGGTCTGCTTATTTTATCTCGTTATATTCCACGCTCCTTTGTTTCTGACATTGCCAGTGATTCGCCGATATGAGCTCTCACCCGCAGAACCCCCTCCCCTCAGCCAAGGAAGAGGATGACGACAAGAAGCGAGTGAGCTCGGACGTTGCTTCCATTTCATTGTCGGAGAAGCCGCTCGGGGCGCCCATCGAGACGCGCAAGCGGTTCTTCTGGCAACGATTCAGACGGGTGGCCAGCGACCTGGATGCTATCGCAACTCAACCGTCAGTATTCGATGATCCTGTTGGACTGGAGTCCTACAGGCCTCCTCCACAGTACGAGAATGTACATAGGTTCGACCCTAACGCTCGTTGGACTTGGCGAGAGGAAATAGTATGTTTGGTTCACACACCCTAAAAAGCACATCTTGTAACCTTGCATATCTCTCCAGCACGTTGTCAAGAAGATCGATACTAGAATCATGATTTGGGCTTGCATCATGTTCTTCGGCCTCGATCTAGATAGAACCAACATATCCCAGGCGAATACAGACAACTTCCTCGACGATTTAGGTATGACAACGAACGACTTCAATCTTGGAAACACATTGTTCCGCCTCTGCTTCTTGACTGCGGGTGAGTATTCCCCCGCCCTTAAAGTATAGCATTTTACCACATGCGCCATAGAACTTCCCTCTCAGCTCGTTTCAAAGAGAGTTGGTCCGGATGTCTGGGTGCCGACACAAATGATCCTGTGGAGTACCGTCGCTATTTGCCAATTCTGGCTCCAGGGGCGGTCGTCCTTTCTCGCAACAAGGTATGCCATTGGCTACAGCGCGGGCGCTGACGCAACTGATATCCCCTCGCACAGATGCTTGTTAGGCTTCCTGCAAGGAGGGTTCATACCTGATGTTGTATTGTATCTGTCCTATTTCTACACGAAGACCGAGCGTGCGTACTTACTCTGAACTTCTCAACGTTCCTCTGAGTCCTTCGACATACTACTAGTCCCGATCAGACTGGCATTCTTCTGGGTATCAAACTATCTCACGGAAATTGTGAGCGCATTCTTGGCTACTGGTATTCTTCGCCTTCGCGGTACGGGTGGGCACGCAGGATGGAGATACCTGTTCTTAATTGAGGGGTTGATTACTCTCTCATTGGGGATCGCGTCTATTTTCTTGATGCCGGCGGGGCCAACGCAAACGAAGGCTTGGTTCAGACCAAATGGTTGGTTTACTGAGAGGTAAGCCACCGTTTGTGTATTATATAACGATACTGGACAGCCCTAACGTACATATCAGGGAGGAATACATTATGGTGAACAGGTTGGCTTGTGTTTGAACTGTGATCGGCCTGCCGCATCCTAACTCCCATACTAGGATCCTTCGAGACGATCCGTCCAAGTCCGACATGCACAATCGGGAAGGTCTCACACCACGGATGATATTCGATGCTTTAAAGGATTGGAGGATGTGGCCCCTCTATGTAGGTGTTTGGGTATTGTCCGAGATTGATGTTGCTCATTGAATTCCTCATCCAGATCCTTGGCATGACGCACTTGAGTGAGCAATTACTGACGTTCACTGGCTAACTGATAACCCACACCTACCCTAGTCCCCGTTGGCCCTCCTCAGACATACCTGACACTATCGCTGCGTAATCTCGGGTTTACCACAACACAGGCGAACTTACTATCCATCCCGGCCACGGTCCTCGGCATGCTCCTGCTCCTTTTCACGGCCTACTTCAGCGAGGTTGTGAACAGCCGAGTCTTGTCGACCATAATCTTACAAATTTGGGCCCTGCCTATGCTTATTGCTTTGTACACGTTCACTAGCAACACGTCTCAATGGGTGTACTTCGCGGTCGTGTCACTGATTACTGGCTATCCGTATATTCATCCCATCCAAGTTGCTTGGGCGTCAAGGAATTCTTATAGTGTCCGCACTAGGTACGTATCGGATTGGATAATGCACACTCGACTAACTAATACCTTCGATTTCAGGACTATCTCCGCCAGGTGATACTTGTTCTTTTTGACTGGTGACGATTCACTCATTGAACTATCTAGCGTATACAATATGTTTGTCCAGGCTGGCGCCATCATCTACGTAAGTCGCCGGTACTGCAGGTGCTGCAGGCAATGGACTCACGACTTACCCCTCCTAATCTAGGCCAATATATATAAAGCTGATGATAAAGTAAGCATCAAGTAATGTATCTCGTTCGAACATGACTTATTCGTTGTGTCTCACAGCCTCTCTGTAAGATTGTGCGCATCGGCTCACAGGCAGCGTGACTAAAGTTCTCTAGATAAACGAGGAAATCGGGATCTAATCGCCATTTGCTCTATGAACATTGTGCTGTACATTTGCACGTTCTTCTTCTATCGTGAAATCAACAAACGTCGGGATAGACGGTGGGAAGCGATGGACGAAAAGGTTTGGCCTCTCAACCCCATCATATTTCATCTGTGTTCACAATGTGAGACTAGCAACGCCAAGAATACCTAGAAACCACGAAGGATGAGGGGAACAAACGCTTGGACTTTCGATTTGCATACTAACGAAGAGCACGAATGTGTAACGGGGTGATGATATGTCGTTCTACGAGGGATTCCGACCTCGAGGGGCGAGATGATGGAGATAGAATAAATGACACTGATCCAGAAGCGTACGACGCCGAGGCCTCTTGCAAAAGAGAATTGACCACCTCGACTTTTCCCTTCAATCTCAGTAACAAAACAGATAAGGGTCACAGCCAGCGAGAGGATGTATAATCAAAACAAAACAAACAACACGTCTATAAAAGGCAACTCACCTTCCAAATGCTGCAAGCGCCCAGCATTGCGCCATTCCTTCACTGCCAGGCGTAATATCGCTTCTCGATTGTCTCTTTATTCCGAACGCGATGAGAATTCGAAGGCTATTTCAAGGTTGGCTTATTTTATCGTCTTCTTAGCTTCCACGCCCCTTCGTTTCCGACACACATACCAGCGATACGGCGACATGAGCTCCCTCCCGCAGCTCCCTGTCCCTCCAGCTGAGGTCAAGTACGAAGTAAGCGATGAGAAGAAGAGAGCGAGCTCGGACATTACTTCCTTGTCGTTGTCGGAGCAGCCGCTTCCTCTCGGAGCGCCTATCGAACAGCGGAAGCGGTTCTTCTGGCAGCGGTTCAGACGGGTATCCAGTGATTTGGATGCTATCGCAACCCAACCATCAGTATTCGATGATCCTACCGGTCTGGAGTCCTACAGACCTCCTCCGCAATACGAGAATGCCCATAGGTTCGACCCCAATGCTCGTTGGACATGGCGGGAAGAGATGGTATGTTTCATACACACACGCCCACCAAAGGCAATCTGGCTGACATTCGGGACCTTCTTCAGCGCGTTATCAAGAAGATTGACATTAGAATCATGATCTGGGCTTGCATCATGTTCTTTGGTCTCGATCTAGATAGAGGCAACATATCCCAGGCGAATACGGACAACTTCCTTGAAGATTTAGGTATGACGACCAACGACTTTAACCTTGGAAACACGTTGTTCCGTCTTTGCTTCCTAATTGCGGGTGAGTTTGACCCCATACCTTTTGTCTTCCTCTTCTTACCACATACCTCATAGAACTCCCCTCCCAACTAATTTCCAAGCGTGTTGGCCCCGATGTTTGGGTGCCCACGCAAATGATCTTATGGAGTACTGTCGCCTTTTGTCAATTCTGGCTTCAGGGTAGATCATCCTTTCTGGCGACAAGGTAGGCCATTTGTTCTTATATCGCCGCTGTAGTGACTGACGATCTTCGAATAGATGTTTATTAGGCTTCTTACAGGGGGGATTCATTCCTGATATTGTCTTGTATCTCTCCTACTTCTACACAAAGACCGAGCGTATGTGCTTCCTCTCAACTTCCAAATGATCGACCTCTGACTTGCTACTAGTTCCCATTAGACTGGCCTTCTTCTGGGTTTCCAACTATCTCACTGATATTGTGAGCGCATTCTTGGCCACCGGTATCCTTCGCCTTCGCGGCACGGGTGGTCACGCAGGGTGGAGATACCTCTTCTTAATTGAGGGATTGATCACCCTCTCACTCGGAATCGCCTCTATCTTTCTAATGCCAGCGGGTCCAACACAGACAAGGACCTGGTTTAGACCCAAGGGTTGGTTTTCTGAGAAGTAAGCTTTTCATTATTCGGTGATTTCGGTCGTCCCTGACGTACGTTTCAGGGAGGAATATATCATGGTGAACAGGTGGGCTTACCTCTGGATTGTTCCTGATGAACGGCGCGTTAAATTACATGCTAGGATCCTCCGAGACGACCCTTCCAAGTCAGACATGCACAATCGTGAAGGTCTCACACCACGAATGATTTTCGAAGCACTGAAAGATTGGAGGATGTGGCCGCTCTATGTAAGCGCTTACCACTATTATTCGGGGTCAATGTCGCTCATTAGCTCCTCATCTAGGTCCTGGGCATGACGCACATGAGTGGGTGTTTATTGCACGCACCGTCTGCATGATAGCTCACATCGACTTTTCATAGTCCCCGTCGGCCCACCTCAAACATACCTAACACTGTCCCTCCGTAATCTCGGATTTGACACAACAGAGTCGAATTTGCTCTCCATCCCTTCCACGATCGTCGGGATGCTCATGCTCCTCTTCACCGCCTACCTCAGCGAGGTCGTGAACAGCCGCGTCATCGCGACTGTCATCCTGCAAATTTGGGCGCTCCCGATGCTCGTCGCTTTGTACACGTTCAACACCGCCACGTCGCAATGGGTGTACTTCGCGGTGGTGACGCTGATCACCGGGTTCCCATACATCCATCCGATCCAGGTTGCTTGGGCTTCGAGAAACTCGTATAGTGTTCGCACAAGGTACGTGTTGAAATATGGGAATGTGTGCTTGATGCTGATCCTCTTGCTTGCAGGACTATTTCCGCTAGGTAATACTTGGCCCGTTTCAAGTCATGCCTGTGAACTTATCAAGGTGTTTAGTGTATACAACATGTTCGTACAGGCAGGCGCCATCATCTACGTGAGCTGCCAGTACATCCCGTAGGCGATGAACAACTCACCCCGTCTCTCCATCTAGGCGAACATATACAAAGCCGATGACAAAGTAAGCACCAATGTATCTCGTTCAAAGACTCTTAACTTATTCGTTGTGTCTCACAGCCCCTCTGTAAGACTTTGCACATTCAATATTTCCGGCCAGCGTTGCTGACGTTCGCCAGATAAACGAGGAAATCGGAACCTAATTGCCGTTTGCTCCATGAACATCGTGTTGTACATCGGGACATTCTTCTTCTATCGTGGAATCAATAAGCGTCGCGATACACGGTGGGAGGCAATGGACGAAAAGGTTTGCTACCCCTTTGCTCTATCGTATTTATCAGTGGTGACATCGCGAATATAGCAACGTCAAGAATACCTAGAAACCACGAAAGACGAAGGGAACAAACGTCTGGACTTCCGGTTCGCATACTGACAAAACCACCAATGTGGCAAAATACTTACTGAACATGCAATGTGTAACGCTTTGACAATGTATCATTACGAAAATTACGACGTCGACGTTGTGGGTAACGAAAAGTAGGAGGACAGATAGAATAGATAATGCAGGTTATGAAGCATGTGGAGGGTTCTCTTTCTGAAGAGACTTGGCAGCCTCAAGCGTTCGTCGCTCTTTCTCCCGAGCTTTTCTCTCAGCCCCAGCGATGCGGCGGAGACGGTCGTCTACGTTGATGAACTTGCCTCCGACGTCCAAGAATTTGATCGGAGCGCTGCCAGTACGTTGGGAGATCACCTCTTTCTTGGTCTTCACGAACAGTTTATCGTTGTGGATGATAGGCATATACTCCGGGTCAGATTTATGGCGCTCAGCCTGCTTCGTGATCTTCTTGGCCAGCTTCTTCGCATGCTCTAGAGACGCGGGGACGATAGGTTCCTGCGAAGGGGCATTAAGTTATGCATCACTTGAAGGGTGATACAAAACACAACATACTCTGCCATCTTCGGGTGTGGACTCCCAGTAAAGTCTCTGATATCTTTGACGAGCGGCATCGCGGTTCTCCTCTTCCTCGAGAGAGTCCGCTTCGCGAGCGTCATACCGTATGTCAGAAACAACACTCTCAGCGAAGGTTTTGGTGCCAAGTATTTTCTCCATGCCCGCTTGGAATCCCGTTTGTAGCTCTTTGCCCTATGATAGATGATCAGAAAATGAGCGAGGGATATGAACGAAACGCACTCACTGTCTAGAATAACAGTTAATGCATGTCGTCAATCTCTGTGAACGCTGGTAAGTGAGGGGAATCGTACCTAGAGTGGGAGGAAAGAAGTTAGCGACGTAGTCGTATAACAACATGTTGGCAGAAGATTCAGATTCATTTGAGCAGTTTTAACCACGAATTTTCTTCAAGACTAATCGATTATGTCTCATCCGTATAGCGACGTATCGCTTGCACAAAGGGATGTGTTACTAACCTTTAGCCAACGGTCTTCCATCCCCTTCAGACGAAGAATTGCATCGACACGCTTTATGCTAAGGTGATACCTCTGGGCAAGCTCCCGAACGCTATTCTTGATAGGATCAGCCATGTACTCATCATACATCCGGGTGCGCTGAGTATCCGAGATAGGTGGGGGAGGCTTGAAGGATTTGTTTAACGGAAACGGCTACGGTCGACGCGTCGGGGGTAAACTTGACGGTCCGAGCATTACGAAACGGAGACGAACTCAACTACATCACCACCCAGCCAGTTTCTGGGCTTCGCCTCCTTGTATGGCGCCGCTACTGTGTCGAGGAACTCCTGGAACGATCTCGGGTCCGCCGGTCCTGCCTCTTCCTCTGCAGGAAGAATATCCGGGTCGAGAGGAGCGCCCTCTTCGACTGGCTCTGGCTCTGGGTCGGGGGAAAGATCTGAGTAATAGCGCAGCCTGCTGCACGTCGGCAGCGGCGGTCTATGACATGGCAGCGCGTAACGTCGAGCGACACGAGGAACAACTCGGAAGTGGGAGAACATGAAAAGCTGAGCAGAAATTTCGAACACTTCAGCCTTTGTTTAGGGCAGGTTACCCACGCGCAATGGAGTCTATACCTCGCCGTGGGAACATTGACCAGCCGAGTTACTTCTTGGTTACTTCTCTTTTTTTAAATTCCACATATTATTTCCTTCACGGCCCCGGCAAGTGACAACGCTCGCAAGTACGCCTCTCCCATGGCCAATATCATCAGAAGCGCCAAGTCTGGGAATGAGTGAACCGAAAATGACCTCCCGCCTAGAATATCCATGTTCGTGAGCAAACACTTTGCCAGAAATTTTTGAACAAGGGCTATGCAGAGAGTCGGCGCATCATCATGATCCGCCAGACGTTGCCTCTCGTCATTCTTGGCTTCAGCTGCAGTGTTTTGTCTGTGTACTCAACAGTAACGACGTCCTGATAATAATGCCGATCCCGGGCCACAAGTCATTGTCGAAGCCATTGCCTCGAGCGTGATCTCCACCTTCCGGTAGAGTAGATGGTAATCCCTGTCACAACCATGTACAGAAGTTAGAACATTCACCACGTTTTACAAGATCACCGTTGCGGAGACTATCACTGATAAAGGCCATACTTATTCGTGACTGTGGGACAATGTATGTGACTGTGAGAACACTGACAAGTCTATACTTTACTTCTACGAATCTTCATTTCATTCCCGCTTGAGTCTGACCTTCATGGTGAGTACTAATCAGGTTCACCGCGATCTTTTCGCTTTGAAGAGAGCATACGCCGCGCTACGCCCCCCGGCTCAGATCAAGTTTCCCGGTTACCTCTGCTTCTCAACCGCCCATGATTTTCTTCTCCGATCAATCTTACTTGACCCGCACTTGCAACGATATCCCCCGTCGAGGCTGTACCAAACGGTGTTCTGGAAATGGGCTATAGCTCATTTGGAAGGCTTCGACGAATTGAAACAAAACCAGGCGCGTTTTGTTGCGGATATTTTGATGGATAAAGTCGCGATGATGTTTAGCCAAATACTTTAGGACTTGGAGATTGATTCTCAAATATTCGATCATTATACGTCTCTCATAATCCCCTTGAGCCCGTATGTCACCAAACCTAGGGAAGTGCTCTATCACGAGCTGAGGATATATACAGCGTCGCACCAGATCTTCATACAGGACCTCAACCACCATCCCAATCCTTCCTCACACATTATTGGTGTACCAACCATGGAGACGTCGGACAATGTGAGGCAAAATCTGACGACATCGACACTTCCCAATACCGACTCGTAACGGTGATGGAATCTCGTACCACGATTGAACGTGGAACTACTGGATTACGAACATGGCTAGCAAGCTTCGTACTTGCTCACTACCTGACGCTGAACCCCGGTATCTATCTATACAAACTGCTTCGGTTGCGAGTTACTTTGCTTATGGTACTCAAAGGCCTAGTGATTGGAAAACGCGTACTGGAGCTAGGATCGGGTACAGGCTTCTTGGGTATCGTTATCGCTGCTATCCAAGGATCCTCTCCCGGTGCTTTGTGGCTAACGGACGTCGAGGAGAGCGTGCTCAATCGCTGTCGTGAAAATGTACAGCTGCAATGCAGTAGGTAATTTCTACCTGTACTCATCCTGCACAATGCCGAAGCGCCCACTCCTTCAAGAACCATCATCATCGAATACAAATATCCGGTACATGCTCCTAGACTGGTTTGACGCGATCGACCCTTCTCGACGAACCCGTGTTGAAGAATTCGAGAACAGCACCCAACCGGATATCATTCTTGGAGCAGATTTGGTACAGGATACAATGAACGTCAGAAATAGCTACTAATTTACTCATCCAGGTGTTTGATTGCTCCCTGCTAGCCCCACTAGTTGCTACTTTGGAGCTACTTTTGGAGCCCAGCTCCCACAGGATTGCTATAATCGCTCTGACGGTGAGGAACGAGGATACACTCGCAAAGTTCCATGAATCTGCTAGTTCGAGTCCTTCACATTACCCATCGTGAGTTAGTTACTCACGTATTCTCTAGGTAACAAACTTTGCGTCGAGGAGCTCGAATGTGATTGGCACAGTGCACCGTCTTTCGAGATATGGGAAGATGGCACGGACGTCAATAAGGGAGTCAAAATATACAAAATCTATGGTACGAAGGTATCTGCAGAAGATCATGTGGCGTAATTATATAGGAAAAAACATCTCAACTGGAAGCCTTCATCGTACCGCAGGAGCGACACGTCCAGAACTCGTGCGGCATGGGGTACTCTCCACAGGCATGACACATCCAGCCGTATGCTTTGTTGATGGGACGAGGGGTTAGACACGCGTCGCATGTTAGAGCACGCATAGGATTCAGTAGGGTGCACGTTGGGCAGGACCACTCCGTAGGAACGGGTTGTGGCTTCGACCTAGGGAGAAGTGTCTGGACTGTGTTAGGAAGCTTCGACGTCTGGGGCTGGGTCACTCTTCGGGTGTCAGTTGACTTCAGAGAGTGCTTCTGTGGGACGGCTATCGGCTCGCCAATGATTTCAATTTCATCATCAGACTCCTCGACATTTGGAATAGCTGTCGCTGTCGCAGTCCGATCAGACTGCGCTGCAGCCACCTTTGTGGAGTTGGTCGGATCATTGAGGATCACAACTTCGTCGTCGGAATCTCCAGTGAGGTCGATTGCGTTACTTTCGATACTTTCCTCGACGGCTTTAGCTGCTTCTCTGTCGGCATCTACTCCATAAGCGCATGACTTTGCGTCTCGTGCCCGACGTTCAGCGGCCTGAAAGAAGTGAATAGGAAAGACGGGCACGGCGTCGATGTATCGCCGACTTACCTGGGCGGCGAGCTCTCTTGGAGTTAGATTCCGTACGTTCGCAACACCCCCGAGGCGCCCGCCTTGGCCTATCAAATTACTTACCTTCCTGCGCTTCTCCGCAGCTTCAAGGGCTTTCGCTCGAGCCTGGTGCGGCGGGAGGTTATGCGAAACATTTGTTCCAACTCGGTGGCCCTTGGAAAAGAAGCCCTCTCCAGAGTACCCGGAGCGCTTCAAGGCCTCGTATTCGGCTTCCAGTTCGGAAAGAAACTTGTAGAATTTGTCATCGTGAGGGCCGTGGACGTTGTGGGTCAACTAACTTCAGGTTTAGTAATGATCTACGGAGTAGGGCGTGGATAAATAGCACCTCGTGGAGCATCACTAGGACGACCTGTTCCTCGTCGTAGAAAGAACCGGCATCATGGGGCAGGCGAAGGCGGAGCAGAATCTTCTGACCTCCGTTCACATCTTCGCAAGGTGTTAATTAACTTGGGGCTCCCGGGTGAGAGTAGACATCACGTACTGAGGCCTAAACGAAGTCAGATCTTAAGTTTAATGTACACTATGCTGACAACGCACCTACAAGATGTGGGTCATCTGGATAGAATTCAGACAGGACTGGCAGCACCCAGCCATGCTTCCGCATTATGGGCTTCACCAAAGACGCGGTTGTCTGGAGCATGTGGAGAGCGCGATCTGCCTTGGGGCGATCTTTCAGGTGCGTGTAGGTTTTGATAAAGGTCTCAGACATGGCAGTCGGATTCCGAGATGGTGGTCGGTGGCAAGCTGTGGTAAGACGCGTCGACTAAATTACAAAGCTGTATACGGAAGATCATCAGGGTCGACTTATCTTATCTGCGTCAACTTCCCTGGATCTGATAAGATATGGTTCCGTGCTTGAGCGATAAGATAAGATGTGAACAACTGTGGGTCCGTTTTTTGACCCTTCGCTTCCACGACCAATGGACACCTCGGAGCCTATACCGGCGTCTCTGCCCCCATCACCGTCCTCTTCTCAGCTACACCACCTCCGTGAGGACAAGATCCCCCAATCAAGCTTTCTTCCTTTCGAACCATCATCTCTACAACCGGAATCTGCCACTCGCGCTAGATCGCAGGAGCTTCGAGACACTGTTGTAGCCACGCTAAGCGGCGCGTCGCTGGGATTGACCTCTCTTGCCTTCGACGCCTCTGACAGTGGCACGCAGATAATACCTACTCTGAACCCTTCACGACCCGGGTCACCCACGATGAGGGCACCGAAATCAAGGACACCGCGACCCAATACCCTGGACGGAATGAGAACACCCTCCGGAGTGCAGCCTTCCCCGGAACCTGTCCGACCACTTGATGTCACCGACGCGCTGAGCTATCTGGATGCTGTAAAGGTGCAATTTCAAGAGAAACCGGATGTGTACAATCGCTTCTTGGACATTATGAAAGATTTCAAATCTCAGGTGTGAGTGTTTCTCTCGTGTGGCTTTGTAGGTGACTGCACCCGGACCCATGATTGAGCCGTCATTTCTACAGCATTGATACACCAGGTGTAATTGAACGAGTCTCTATGCTCTTCCATGGGAACCCCGAACTTATTCAAGGCTTCAATACATTCCTGCCCGTCGGGTACCGTATCGACGTTTCTGCGGACCCTATGGACCCAAATTTGATCACTGTTACGACACCGTCTGGGACCACAACACAAAGTACCACATCCTTCGCGCAGATCCCCTCGGGGTCTCATGGGATCGGGTCACTTGTCCATCCTTCCATGCCTTTTCCCGGGCAACCATTGGGTGCACCCGGTTCTCGATCCATGACGCCACAGCAATACCATGTTGTTCAAGGTCAATCCCCTGTAGACCCAAGTTACTCAACTGGGACCACCGCTGCTGCGTCGTTCTTAGGGAATCTGAACGGGAAAGGTGGAGGCGATGTTGAGCGCCGCCAGGGTGCGGCTGTGTCGGGCGAGTTTCACCACGCCATTGAATACCTCAACAAGATCAAAGCCCGCTTTTCTGATGACGCGAATACCTATAAACAGTTCCTGGACATATTGCAATCCTATCAGAAGGAGCAGCGCAAAATTGAAGAGGTACGTCCCACCGAATCATTGGCTGAGCTAGGTTAATCCATCATCCAATAGTCACAAGTCTATGTTCAGGTGCAGATGCTCTTTAAAGACGCCCCAGACCTCCTGGCCGAGTTCAAAGACTTTCTTCCCGAGGTCGGTGCTGGCGGAGCCCTGGGTTCGAACGCTATTGGCTTAATGCCTGCCCCGGGGCACCCTGACTCTCCGTGGGCCCAGCCAAGCGTGGCGGACAAGTCGAAGAAACGCGTCCCTGTTGTTCCGCCTAAACGAAGAAGACGACCCGCGGAGAAAGAGCCTACACCTGTTCCTGTCCCACCGCCCCCTAAGCCCGCTCAGAGTCGCGTGAGTTCATTGTTGCGTTTCCATGAACATCCTTCTAATGCATCTACAGTCGAAGAAGCCAAAACACAATCACAAAGACCCCGATTCCCCTGTGTTCTCACCTTATGCGGGGCCTGCTTCCCCTCAGCTCGTGTCTGCCATCCCTCCTATGGGAATGCCCCCTTCACAGCTTTCGGCTCAGAACATACATCCCCACCATCACGCCAGTTCTCACGTCCTTGGCCATGGTACTGCTACCTCACCTGACAAGTTACTCTTCTTCGATCGAGCAAAGAAAGCTCTGGAAAACCGTGAAATATATGAAGAATTCCTTAAACTTCTCAGCCTATTCTCAAAGGATGTTATTGACTCGAAGACTCTCATTGAACACGCCCAGGTCTTTCTCGGAGACGGAGATCTAATGGTGGAATTTAAGGAGTTGATAGGCTGGGATGCTGAACGCGGGATCGAGAACGGCCCTCCCGGAAGTATTCGAACCGGACCCCCTGAAGCTTTGTCCGCATTGCCTGTCGACGATGGAGAGGGCCCTAGCTATCGCCGACTGCCGGACAGTGTAAGTAGTTGACATCTCCTAGAACAACGGATTTTCGATTAATTTGGTCCGTAGGAGGTGCGATTGGCATGTTCCGGACGAGACGAATTGTGTCGCTCTGTCCTTAACGACGCGTGGGCCTCCCATCCAACATGGGCCTCCGAAGATTCCGGGTTTGTGGCCCACAAAAAGAACACATTTGAGGAGGCGCTGCACAAGAGCGAGGAAGAGCGCCACGAATACCATGTCCATCTCGAGGCCCTTAAAAGGACGATCTCGCTCTTTGAGCCCGTGGGGGCCCGCCTCGAGGGCATGACAGCCGAGGAGCGATCGACGTTCAAATTGAAGGCGAACTTTGGTGGCCCAAGCAAGTGTCTTTACCACAGGACCATAAGGAAGATATATGGACGCGATGCTGGCGCAGAAGTCATCCAGGCCCTGCAGGATTGTCCCAGTGTCTCGGTCCCGGTGGTACTTGCTCGCCTGAAACAAAAGGACGACGAATGGAGACGTGCTCAGCGAGAATGGAGTCGCACATGGCGCGAAGTGGACGCAAAGAATTTCTACAAATCTCTCGACCATCAGGGGATCAGCTTCAAACAAAACGACAAGAAAGCCATCACCGCAAAATACTTCGTCGCCGATATCGAATCCTCGAAGGCTCAACAGATGGAGGCTCAGAAGAGCGTTGAAGCCCCTGCGTTCACGCGTGGCTCCGTTGGTTACCAAATCGAATACGATTTCCAGGATATTTCGGTTTTACACGACTCCCTCAAGATGGTGTATTCGTTCCTGGATCATTCCCAAGGCACCTACACCCCTCAGGAAAGGCGAGGCGCTGAGAAGTTTCTCAGGTCATTTGTGCCCCTCCTGTGTAGGTACCCTGCAGCTGAATTTAACGAAGCATGCGGGCCGCTGGATGGTGCTGATGACGATAACTCAAGTCATGATCTAAGTGGACCCGGGGAACCCCAGCGGAACAAGAAAGCCAATCCTCCTTCTAACGCGGTAACTGCCGGTGATTTGAGGAAGAAGCTTCTAAAGAGCGCACAAGAGAAGATATCCGGGAGGGATAGCAAGGGTTCGTCCGCCGTTGGGTCTCGTGCCGCGTCGCCCGCAGCTTCGTCTGTGGCATCTCGAGCGGATGATGAACTCAAAGCTGCGTTGGGCGATCACGCCGAAGATGTTTGGATCCGAGCGTCCACGAGTAGCCCACAAGGCATTGATGAACCCCCGACTATGGAAAGTGGAAGACCCATTTTTGCAAATACAACGTTCTATACGCTGTTACGCTTACTCCAGGTGGGAAGATTTAGTTATTGGGCAAATTGCAGGGCTAATGTTGGAACCATGCACTATTCATTGCTCAGCTGCTCTATTCTCGTCTGCTTACCTGCAAGCTAATTGGAGTACAATTGGCCGCAGAAAAACATAGACCGTTACTCGCGAATCCGGTCGCTGCCGAGCTTGGTTTGGATGATCCCAACGGGCCGTCTGCTGTACTCGCGCAGGCGATGGAAGCCATGGGCGAACAAGGCGTCGCTGAAGGATCCAACGTGGTGTACATGTATCTGTTGGACGCTTGCGAGAAGGTCTTTGATGGTGAACTAGACCAGTCAACCTTTGAGGAACACATGAGGTGGTTTTTCGGGAATAAGGTGAACCAGACAGCAGTCGTCTCATTGGGTTACTCACCGGTCTATTTATAACAGGCCTACCATGTGTTCACTTTGGACAAGTTGATAACCGCCTTGGTGAAGCAGGTAAATTATTCTAGTTATCTCACCGCCTAACCCGGGGAACGTCTGGCTAACCCATCTGGCGTAGGTACATACCATCCTATCGGATAACAAGTGTCAAGAACTGTGGACACTCCTGCAATACATGCAGACTGCTGATGCCTTGACAAATCGAGATATCGTACGTTATCGACGCGAAGCCGAACGACATGTTGGTCAAGATGATCATCTTTACAAGATCAAATGGGTAAGCTATGTTTAGGCACTCATTTGCCCACTGGATTCAAACGCTATTATCACAGGAGCCCGAACTAAAAATGCTTCGAATGCAGCTTATTGGTGCCGATGATCCCAGTGTCGATGGGGGTACATCGATGGTCCATCGATGGCGAGAATACGTTGACACGTATGTGATGCACTATCCCACCGAGTGGGTGCCCGAAATGAAGGAGCAAGACCAAAGTAGTGCTGTGTTTCTGCGAAGGTATACATAGAGCAACGCCCACCTGTTTGTTGAACTGATGGGTAACCTTGACTCCCCAACAGGAATCTCCGAGCTTCCGAAGAGACGCCCTCCCACTGCTCTGGTGGGACGGTAATCCGCATAGGGCTGCCCACGTACAAGCTGATGTATGAGTTCGGGACTGAGGACTGCCTAGTGCATGTGTGGTGCGCGGAGGAGCTGGCGACACTGCGTGAAAGGGCACGAGCACGCCACGAAGAACGGAAAAGATGCCGCTGGCTACAGCAATGATAGTGGCTGAGAGTTGCCGTCGTATATTTTAGGAGAGAGTATGTAAAATTAGCAGTAGCGGAGTAGAATGGTATTTTTGTATTTATATAATATAAAAGGATATTATTTCAATTTGCAGCTGTTGGATTCCAGGGGCTTTCAAGCACTCGCCCTCTTCCCCCAACTTGATCCAGCCTCTTGCTCATCGACGTCGACGTCGAGCTCCCCCTCCTCCTCGTTCCCTCCCACATCCTGCACAATCACCGACACCCTTCCCGACGCCGTTCTGGCTAGTCGTTCTCAGGGGAGCGGAGTCGAAACCTGATAACCGTCACCACGCCTTAAATAAGAGGTCTTGGCCTCAAGCCCTTTCCCGCTGCTTGCCTAATGGCTTGGCCCATTGCTGGCCCATCCTCAGCTCAGGATGGTTCCCCGGCCACACAGCGTCTACAAGACCATCAGCAACGTAACAAGCCTCGACATCGCCAGACGAAGAAGCGCCCCCCTCGACAATCCTCGCCGTCGTCGGGCCTTTTGACCATACTCGCAGGCATCGCAGCTTCCTCAGTCACAGCTGGCTGTAGTCCCACACCACCAGCCTTTCTGTGTCCGTTCCTCTCCACTATCCAGGACAACGGCCACGACCGCCGAGACAACGTGCTTGACGAGGACATCAGCTCTGATCTACTCCCAAACTCGCCGACCCCCACAAAACATCGTCGAGAGAAGCGCCGTGTTCCAGTTAGGTATGAAAAGGGTGATGATGGGCGTTGGAGAAGGATGGATACTTTCACGCTGTATGGGTCTACGATATGCTTCGTGAGTCTCAGACCTCTCCTGCTAATACAGCAAAACCAATGCAAGCACAGAATTGCCAAGAGCCCACTATAACCGCCTCACCCACCTCACTCCTAGACCCCATGAAAGATTCCACTGACCCTCCAGACGACCCGAATAAACTCGATATTACCCTTCCACCAGGGTGGGGGAAGAAAAACAGCGTAAAGGACAAGACCATCATCGTTACTTTGCCGCTGGTCCTTGCTTTCGTGATCTGCTTTCTTATCATTGGCTGTCTCTTTTGGCGCAAAAGCAGAGCTAAAAAATACAGGGAGCACGACATAGAGATGAAAGCTTTGCAGCTGCGTCGCAACGACGAGGACAACGAGTCGATCGTCATTCAAGCAGCTCGCACCAAACAGAGGCTTTGGGCCAGAGCAACGGCGAGATGGAAGGCCAATGCTCGCTATACAGCTAGGCAACGCCGGGGCAAACGCTCCGTTGCCTCTCGCGGCTCTGCATCTTACAGTTCTGCAGTGTCACTCCCTAACGCAATCAACGATAACCAATCCACCAATCGCAACGCTTCTACTTCCTCGAGGTCACCATCTCGACGAACTTCTATATCTAACACAACAGGTCCTCAGTATACCACAGAGAATGCAGAGACACCAATATCCATCTCTGTCAGTCCCCCGAGTCCCGCACCTGCCTCCCCTCCTGCCTACCACCAGCCTCTTCGTCAACTCTCTGTCGATAACTTGAGTTCCGCCGAGGCTCTATCACGGAAGCAGTCGTTTGAGGTTGCAGCTTCCCCCCCACATCCTCCGGACTCGGTCGCTGATGATACCCTTGGCGAGTCAGTAGTGGGAGACTCATCGCTGCGCTATATCACTATCAACTCCGCGCACGTGGCCACGGACGATAAAGCCCTTCTAGCCCGCCTTGGGGAATTAGCTAGCGAACCTCCCGTTGAGCCCACGGACTCCGTTGCAGCTTCGGCCTTGGAGGTATCAGCCCCAGTTTGGCAGGATGAACAGTTGGAAGACTTCGCCACCATATCTGACCGAAGCCGCCCTGAGTCGCTCGGCGGCACACACCACGGCTCTAGTTCATTTTCGTCCTCATACCACTCCTCCGGTTTTCCTCTACCTCCCCCCGCCGTCTCGCTCAAGGGCAAAGAAGCCGATCTGTCTTATTATGAGTATGAGTACTCATATGACGATATAGCCGATGTCGAGCCAGAAATAGGGCCCAGTGCACCACCATTTGACGAGTTCCCAGCTCCCAGTGCGCCGCCGCTCGACGACAGCTTCTTTGGAGAACCTGCCGGCCCGTCTGCCCCACCATTCCCTGCAGATGAGGACGATCACGCAGTTGAACAGCATTACGATAGGTCTATGCTTTCTGATTCGACGGATGATGCTTTGGAATACGTCGATGAAGAGGAGCTTCTCGTCGCGGCCCAGTCGTTTGGTACTACTCTCACGCCTAGCCAAGACCTGGCGACAACAGCATCGAACGAACCCCAACCATCTCCGCCATCTCCGTTGAACCACTCAACATCCGACTACCCTCGCCACAGAGTATCGCTTATTGAATCAGCCCAAGATTCGGTAGCGAATGACTGCATACCACTGCCTAGGTATCAACCATAGCACACCACCCACTACCTAATTTGTCCGGGCTGAACACTGGGATGGTACTGTGCTTCGGACATATGTCCTTGATTCATGGTTTCTTTTCCCAATGTCTTAAATCTCGAACCGTTTATCTCTCTGTAGTCACGCATCTTTTGATTGTTTTACGTCTTAACTATCGAATACAACATTTGTATTTTTATTTCCACAATACACCCCATGGAATGCATCCGGCTGTCGTCGCTTTGTTTTGAAGCGATGTCCTCAACTCCGTGGCCATTACCCTGATCTGCAGTCGGTTATAGGCAACGAATAATATAACGAGAGCTTACACGATCTCCCATTGGCGGTTCATTGATGCGCAAGAATGAACACCTGTACGGCAAGCTCATCAGTCTGCATTCAAACGTTCAATCTTCAACGATGCTCCCATAGATCAGGCTTAGTATTCTGAGTTCATCTTACTGGCCGGAAGCTGAGTATATTAGTATACAAATAAGGTATGCCCGACTGCCCGAGGGCAAGGAATGCTGGTAGTATGGAGTGCCGCCTCCAAGCTTCACAAGCTAAAGTGCGTCCAGAAGGTACTCACGAGTCAGAGCGAGACCCTCGCAATGGTCATTGTTGGTGCGGAAACTACGTTGCCGGCAGTACAAAGTTCGAAGTTAGAAAGAGACATCCCACATTGCGCAGAGCATCGAGTAATTTGGCCGTCAGGTGGATAGTAGTCCGATCAAAGGTATATAGATGTTTCACGGCAGGTTGACACTGCTGACAGAAGGAGGGCTGGAGGACGCACGGACGCGAGTGTGGGTTCCCTTCGCACCAGAAGAATGGGGTACGAATGGAGGACAAATGAAATAGCGCGGAGATGCAGCGGTGTCCTGAAAAGTGATATTAACGAGCGAGCGAGAGAACGGGATTTATTCCGGTCACCAAATCGTCGCACCGTAGAATTTTGTGAAATTCTGAGGTGGTGGGGTGAATCTCATGTATCTCATGATCGATTCCTGGTGTTCTACTGTCGATATATGTCGTGCTTCGTGTCATGCCTTTATCGTAATAATCATGAGCACTCCAAATCTAGCTGGATTCGTGCACCTCAGAGGACGAGTTGATCGTAGAATTATTCATGAAGGCGCGGTGCCCCGATGGACCCCGTTGGGACTGAGGAAATAGTCTTAAAGCCGATTTACATGCACTCTGGAATGTAATAAGATTCTGTGGACGGGAACGGCTGATGGGGACTAACAGACCGACACCGAGGGGGGAATTTCGATGGAACTAGAGGGCCTAGAACCACCGCCCAAAGTTATATTGACTCCAGCACACCGACTGACTGAGGCGGTTTGCGATATATTGTCGAACAATAATCGAGATTGTAGGTCTGAGGACGGATAGGGTGATAGGTGAGAAGTTGGCAGAACCCGAGACATATGGTCCTCAGCGTTCGGGGGCCGTTCTATCATTAGCACTGTTCCCGCATGACTAGCGACCCTCTGGAGTGGTAGTGATGCCATCCGCACGTCAAGGACCCATGGTGTTCAGCTATCAAGGTGTTACGTCCATTTCCGAAATACTTGGAGCAGATCGCCCACCTAAAAATGAGATTTCGGCCCCCACTAATGTGTTGTACTAGACACTGTTAGCGTCCACCCAACCGCGTGGTACCCTAACAATTTGAACGAACTTTATCACCATGCCTTCATGGTGGGACCGAGGCCAGTCCCCAGACAAATGTGGCGGGTTAGTCTGTTGGACTATGGTGAGCAGGGGTCTGAACATGGCGGAATTTTATACGTAGCAGTTGGTCATTTTACAACCGAGGCTTGGTTCCGTTGCCAAGTATTCCTCATGAACAAAGTTCTTCTCCAGGTTTCTTGGCGGGAGTCCCGCGCCACTCAGGACATCAACCAAGCAGAGCCAAAGAAGCAGCACCGCCACCTAATCACGTGATCCACGGAAATTTGCAAGATTTCGCGTTGAGGAGATTGGCTGTTGCACTCTTTAACGGGGTATCTCATCTTCAGCGCCATGGGCAAATCACAAAAGAAACGATCTATGCGACGGCATAACCCAGTGAGGGTACCGGACTCTCACTTACCGAAGGGCTTGGCGGCAGCGTCCTCGTCGTCCACAAAATCACTGGAGATCCCTCCCATCATACAAAAAGTACTTCATCATACGCATCGTGTGGTAATGACATGCCAACCGTTGGATTAGATGGAAAGTCCTGACGCTTCTGAAAGAAAATGGGCTTGCGTTGCTGTCTCTAACCTCATCCACAACGATCCGTCAACTCGCCGATTGCTGCAGGGGAAGAATGTAGTTGGTGCTTTGATCACACGGCTCACAGACAATGAAGACGAGGTCGTTACTGAAGCTATGGGTACTCTTCGGTGCGTCCATCGTCTCTCTGCGAGACCCAACGCTTATTTGCATATCTGTAGAAATTTGTGCATAGATGGAGGTTTCGATATTTGCGCAGAGATGTACAACAAAAATATACTGACACCTTTGAAATCATTTATCCCCAAAGTAAGTTCGGATCAGGTGTCGATGGGTACACTTGTTCACGTACATCAAGATTTCTTCCATGCTGTCGCAATTTTTGGCCACGCCGTCTACAGCACCTGAGAATTCGCGAAAGATGGTTTATGAATTCGCGGACAACGTGATTACCACCCTCTGGTGTCTTTCGTAAGTTTTCCTCGGCTGCTTTGCTTCGTATTCTGAGTCATTCTAGAGAGACGTCAAATAAAGCGCTCAATGCCATAAACCAAATTAACTTGATCCCGTTTCTGACGTCTTTCCTGGCATCTCGCGAGAGTCTGCCGTTGTCACCGGTGATTGCAGCAGGTAGCGTCGATTTCTGCTGCGTGGTTGCCAATATGCTGACGGCAATGTCGTAGCGCAATGTTTGTACGTTCTAACCGACGGAAACCCTCCCGCCATCAATGAAGTCCGAGCAGATGCCTCTTATATTTCCTCCTTGTTGTCGATTGTGCAACTGAAGGAGGTTGCATCAAATGGCAAGCAAAGAGAGCAAGATGACCGAAGGCTGACTCTTCGCGTTCTGGCTACTGGCTCGTTATGCAATATATTGACTTGGTAACACTGAGCTCATTCCCGCATAGGTGTCCTCCGAAATGTCTCGCCTATACCACCGCCTTCTGTTGCTTCGTCCATGGACCTGGATAAAGATATCATCCTCCCCCTTTTACAGCACGTTATCACCTCCGTGACCTTGGCGGATACGTCACAGTCGGTTCTTGCTCTAGTCTCGCAGCAGGTGAGGAAAAAATCACGTCGATCTTCCTGGGTTCTTATTCAATTTCGAAGGCCAACGAATCACCGATAAACGAACCACCGATAAAAAATCTCCCAAAATCGGATCACAAATCAGACTCCGAACGCGAACTAGAACGTTTGGAGAATGTGCTGCGTACTGTACAGCTTGCCCTGGAAATCATGACGGGGATGTGTGCAATGTTGCCAGATTCTGAACCCCATGGGGATGATGAAGTAGAAGGAGGCGACGATCTTGATGAAGGTAGTCCCAAATCATTCTACCTGAGATCGTCAATTGATGTATCATAGAAACCGAGAAACCTAACGGTGATGCAGAGATGGAAGAGGTCGGTAGCACGACTAAACCGACGTTCTTGCCCACCCTCGTCCCACCGTTACTCACCTTAATACAACCTGTCGCGCTCTCCTTCCCTCCACTCGCCTCTATATCTCTTCACCCACCCACCACCTCCGTCCTAAGTGCTATCCATATATGTGCTCTGGAATGTCTCAATAACATTTTCCTGGCCCTGGCAACATCAGAAAAGCCGGCGATTGCGGATGATGTCGAGAGCGGTCAACGAATATGGCGTGAGATTTGGATAGCCTTGGGATCTGTCGGTGTCGAGTTTGGCCTGGGCCAAGAACGCCGGAAGGAGATGTGGGAGATTGCCGTCGGTGTCATGTGGGGTGTCTCCAACGTTTGGAAAGGACACATTGTACGCTGCGGTTTTATTGATGTTATTTTTTTGCTAACCCTTGAATAAGGTCCCCGATGAAGAACAGATACAAGTTCTAATACAGTTTTGTGACGCCAGTACCGACCCTCAGACGAAGGTGCAATGTATAGGGACTCTGGAATGCATGGCCCAGCATCCTCAATCTATAGAAGCCAACAAGGTGATTCGTTCCCTCTGATCGTTGCGCAACAGTTACTGATTGAAAGCAGAGAATACTTCATTATTTACTCTCCCTCTTGCCGACATCGGTATCACCATCCGCCATTGGGACTGAACCACTTATCCAGGTTATTTCTTCACTGATCGATATCTACTCGGATGAGGCAATGCCCTACGACACCAACTTCGTCCAAAACGGTGTGCTTGAGACACTAATAGCAAGTGTTGACGGTGTCAAAAAGGTGGTCAAGGCAATTGATCGCAAGAAGCAAGGAGGATACGATCTGAAGCGGAGGGGTATGGAGGTTAGAGATAATTTACTAGCGTTCATCGAATACCGCAGGGAGTTGGGTCGTTGACTTATCTACTTCTTGAATGAGAGGTTTTTGATTGATTCTACTAAATCAGGCTAATCTTATCTAAAATGCTATCCTTTTTCTGACATCATAATATCATCGATAAACAATCCGCAGGCTTCTCAAGGCCGTTGCCATTACAGTTGCTCTTGACCTTGAACAATGCCCAACATAACGACCACACTTCTCATTCTGACTGTGCTGCTGGTGCTGCTTCCCCCAGAAGCGTATGCATTTGGCGCTGGTGATATCCCTGATTTTGCGTACCTCAACGGTGAGCCATCTCTAGATTGTTCTTTGTCTCACGATCGGAGTCGCTAAATCGAACGACAGGCAAAGCTTTCCGTCATGGAGACATTGAAGGGATCCTGGAGGATCTTGTCAAGGTTGCCGGACATGCAGGCGGAGGAGGACTGATGGGATTCGCACAATCAATACTGCAAAGTGCGGCTGGTGGCAAGAAATTCTCAAGGAGCGACATCAAGAAAGTTTACTTCGTAAGTTGTTTATGTCGGCATCTTATTGGCGCGCAGCTCACCATTTATCTCAGGGAAACTGGCTCAGAGACTATTCCCAGGTAGGAAGATTAGGTGCTTCCTCGACGGCAGGTTTTTAATAATTGTCCCTATTTCAAGGCTATGGATATTGCTGGCCTGAGTAAGCTTACGGGGGAGACTATTGTGCTTATCATTTCCGTGCTGGGATTTATGGTGAGCTTGTTCTGAAGTACTCAGTGAAGGTCAATCACCCCTACGCCTGCAATAGACATTTGGGTTCGCGACAGAAGAGTTCCAAGTTACCCCTGAACGCCTTGGTGTATACTTACCAGTCGTAAGTCATTGTACTCTTCTATCTTTAATGTCTACTGACATTTTTGATAGGAACATATTGACAATCCCAAGTCAGTATTGATTCCATCACACTCTTCGTTCCTGCTGAACGCATTGATCAAGGGGTTACGCGGAGAAGGAAGGTGATGCACGTCAATTCCACCCAAAGCTCAGGCCACCCGTTGAAGATCGCGAGCTCGAGATCGATGAACGTACTGGGATGAAGGTGCTTTCAATGATACTGTTTCCTGGATGCACATAATGACATGTGTGTTGAACAGAAATATATGGCTTCAGCCAATGAGGGTTTTGATACGTCTACTAGCTTCATCAGGCGCACCCTTAAGGCCTGCATCGAAAATGGCCGCCGCGCTGGTGGTCAGGAGGGTGGCGACCTTTGGGAGGCCTATCGTTTACTTGGCACTGGGCTCCACACTTTGGAGGATCTCCTCGCTCATAGCAACTGGTGCGAAATTGCTCTTGTGAAGATGGGCCATAGCGAGGTCTTCTGTCATGTTGGCGACAGCGGTAACTTCTACCTTCTACTCACTTTATCTTGGCTAATGGGCGATGTAGTCCGGATTAGAACACCAAACGGAGAGGCGCCTCCCATTGTTACTGGTACTTTTGGTGGTAAGTTGGGTATATAATTTCTACTCTGCGCGTTGTGAACACCCTTAGGTGCCGATTTCCTTCACTCCCTGCTGGGCGAGGCCGGAGAGTAAGTATTTTCGTAGTTCCCTCGAATCTCTCCTCTTACAATTGCTTTAGTAAACTGAGTCAATCGAGTGTCACTGATCTCTCTGCGAAGATGGACTCCGTGCGTACACACTCTCACCATCTTCGCCCTTTTCTACAACTCCAACGATAGGCTGCCCATGACGACAGCGATGACAAGACGGCCACATTACACGCCATCCTATCAAAACTCCCCATTGGTGGCGGAGATGATAAGGCGAACCAATCGGAGGAAATGCAGGCTCAAGCGAAGGCCTACAACTTCGATCCGGATAACGTTGCCCCACCCGAGGTCCAGAAAAGACTCTTGGATATCCTCAAATGGCGCGATGGCGTCTATCGAGATGTGGTCAGTAAGATCGAGATGGTTCCCGGTTTGGCAGACCTCATTGACGAATTGACGAACGCCTTGAACGCTTGTGCGTTTATCTCATTTTCGTGATTGGAGAAGGAAGTGATAATGATGCTTACCCCTCTTATTAGATGTCTTCACCGTATTGGCTCCTTACCTTACGGTACTTGATGCGAATTTCCTCGTTTTCGCTTAGCTGATCAATTATTGATAGCCAATCCTACAACAAACCACTGGCGTCCTTAACGAAGGTAGCAAGGCCGTTATCGATTCGGATGATCAATTTGCTGTTAGTGCATTGACGCAGATCTAAGGAATCTTTGATACTCAATCCCCTTGCGAATAGGTCTTCAATGATGACAATGCCTCGGATCCCTCTCATAGTATGCTATCAAAGGTATACATATTCTCATTACAATCCTCTCCGACTTATTTATATCGCCATCCAGGATCATTTTGGACTGATCCTTAACGAGCCAGCCGGGAAGATCGCGCAAGTTGTAGTCGAACATACTGTCAATCTAATTGTGCAGGTCGGGTTTACTTGTCCTTCAAATGAGCCATCAAGGTGACTGACTACTTTTCCATATAGGCCTGGGGAGATGATAGCGATCCCGATCAGGTGTTAGACCAGGTCCTGGAGGCATTCCATCACCCATATTATGCCACCGGCCGATCCGAGATCCAACACAAGATGTTCGAAACCATGGAGCAGTGGTTCGGCGGACTTGGCCCTGATCTCGAAGGTCAAGTGCTCGAGGCACTCTCTAAGGCGAGCTTACCAATAAGCGATGTCGATGTTAGTTCTTATGCCAGCTCTTTGTAGGAAAGCGTGAAGAACGGGAAGAACAAGCGAATTGGCTCGGACACTGAAGAGATCGTCGAGCCTGGGTACAGTCGCGAGAGTTACGGCGGCGCTGCCGCGGGCCATGGTCATGGCGGCCAGTCGGGCGGCAATTACGGAGGGTCCCGCAATGATGGGGGACGCTATGGACAGACCGGGGGATCGTATAGGCCCCAGCACCACCAAGAAAGTCAGGAAGAAACATACGGTTCTCGCCATGAAGGAGGGGACGACAGCTATGGATCCAGGAGGACGCACGGTGAATCAAATGAGGGTTACGGTGGCTCGCGTCACGAGTCTAGCGGGTACCAACCTTCGTATCAACGTCCGAGCGAGGAAGAAAGCAGTGGGGGGTATGGACGCCACAGCGGGTATGGAGGCAACGAAGAGGAAGAACAGCCTCGTCGCCACCACGGCTATGGTGGAGGTGAAGAGGAAGAGCAACCCCGCCGTCACGGCTATGGTGGCGGTGGTGAGGAGGAAGAGGAGCCTCGCCGTCATTATGGCTATGGTGGCGAGGAGGAGGAACACTCTCGCCCTCAACGTGTATACGGCGGCGAAGACTCATCGTCGGTTTACGGCCGTTCGCATCGTGGCGGAGAGGAGGAGTCTTCCGGCTACGGGCGCTCCAGTCACGGGTATGGAGGCGGGGAGGAAGAAACACCTAGCTATGGGCGTTCTAGTCATGGATATGGTGGCGGGGGAGAAGAAGAGTCTTCAGGGTACGGTCGGTCCCACCGTGGCTACGGTGGTGAGCCGCAGGAGGAATCGACTGGCTACGGGCGCCACTACGGAGGTCGCGAGGAAGAATCCTCCGGCTACGCTCCTAGCTATGGGAATAGCGATGAGACGTTTGGAGCCGAGAGACTCAACCTCAACGAGGAAAGCGAGCATGGATATGGTCGTCGCCACCACCGAAATGAAGAGGCCGAAGAAGAAAGCAGTTACGGCAGGAGCAACTACGACGAAGGGTACTAAGTAAAACCGGCAACGGACTTTAGAGGCAGAAGAAGAAATTTAACATGTAACCGACTGTAAATATGAATCGAAATAAATTGAAGTGCTGAGCGTCTATTACATCCATCACTCTTATGAGGCTGTTCCGATGATGCACAGCAGCAGTGCTCCTCTTTCCGATCTACCATGACTGCGGACACGATGCAAACCTTTGGTTTTCCTCCGGGATATTTCATTATTCGGTCTATTGCTTCAAATCGGCTGCTCGATGTCACGAACGACGATGTCGAAGACGGCACGGAGATAGTTCTTTGGCCGGAGAAGGACAGTTCCTTGGTCGAATGTGAGTGCATGGCGTCTACCTCATAGTTGAAGCTATCGAACGCGTAAACCGAAGCTCGTAGAAGTCCTGAGGCCAACAACCAGGTGAATGGAATGTCGCATTATACCAGGCATCACTGAGCTCACAGATAGTTAGGTCTTCTTCATTGACCCCTCTGGGGCACTGTGCGCTAGATCATCTGGACACGCTATAGATATTGAAGGTAAGCTACGTTTGTAGCCCTCGTCTCGTCGTACCTGTACTGAGTTACATGAAAGACGACCGCTTGGTTTTGCGTCACAGGCGTCCGGTTTCTCTCCCATTTCCAAACAAATACTCCCACCCACTTCCACGGTTCTTCTATGACACCAAGAGCGGCGAGATAACAGTCCAATTTGAGTATGATCCAACATATCCACCTACTCCTCAAGCTACGGGTGCCTGGCGCAACAAGACCTATGTTCTGGCTTCTATACCTATGCGAAAGCCGCGAACTATCATCGACGACGCGTCTGAGTTTCTAACCTCTGCGGTTACTGCGCCGCTGTCGTTATTTGGGCTTGCGTCGCCTAAACCCACGCCTGAGGAGGTTTATCGGAGTGACATTGACATAGGGGAAGACGAAGTTGTTGAGGAGGAACGGGGAGAGGAAGCGGAAGTAGATGATTCGCCTGAGGACATCAGGAAGGTGCGGATGCTGGCTTTGGTGGACAAGGAAATAAGCGACAAGACACTAGGAGAGAAAGCAAGGAATCGCAGACGCTGGCAGGTTGCGCCCTTGCGAACGGTTAATGCGAGAACTGGTGCTTAAAGGGAATCGGGATAATGTAATTCAATTCGTGTGTACTTCTTACTTTTAACTTTCCTACTTGTGATACTGGCTTGAAACGTGCACTCCCTTGAGGACTTCATCCTGGGAGTCTTTCAGTGGCCTCATTGATAAGCTAATCAATCGCCTCAACTCGTAGATTGTCGTTCTGCCATGTTGGAACATTTAGTGTACGCTACAATACTGCTAGTAGCCTTGTACTCGGACGTGGTGCAAGGCAGTGAACAGTCGACATTCAAGAGTGGCACCCCGAAGTCCCCCAGTTGGGCTGAAAAGTATGGAAGCCAATTCGACCAGACTTTCTCCGGCCCCCTGGCTTTCTCTCATCTCCCTTACACGCGTTGCTTGCAAGAGGACGATGTCGGTTTCGACGTCGCGATCCTGGGTATGCCTTTCGACACAGGGGTGACATACCGCCCAGGCGCAAGGTTCGGGCCTTATGCAATTCGCTCCGGGAGCAGAAGGCAGCGTGAATCGCGCGGATACACACTGTCCTGGGGCAACAATCCATACGAAAGTGGCTTGAAGATTATTGATTGTGGTGATGTGCGTATTTAGGATCATCCCTTGAAATTATGGGGTGTGTTTGCTGAGAATGATTACTTCCATCTTGGTTGTAGGTTCCGGTCAACCCCTTTGATAATGCTCTGGCCGTTGACCAGATGGAGGTCGCATACTCTACGCTGCTAGATCGGCCTGTACCTATCAAAGAGCAGGCTTCGAAGGCTTCGTGGGTCAAGGCACAGGATGGATTGATCCATCCGCGTATCATCAGGTATTCTTCCCCGACATTCACCCCAAAATCTCTTTTTGATACACCTGACGCAGTCTCGGCGGTGACCATACTATTGTACGGTTGATTTCCAGCTGCTGTCATACGGTAGAATACTACTTACGACGACCTTCCTTCATGCCCGTAGGTTCTCCCGATCTTGAGATCTTTGTACAAGTTGTACGGACCGATCTCCGTCATCCATTTCGACGCTCATCTGGTAAGCCACTCATACATTGAAGGGACATTTCATTATTGAGGAATCACCCCGTTTCAAGGACACTTGGGCTGGATACCCAGGCCAGTTCACCGAGCAATCGCGGGTTACGCACGGGACGTTCTTCTACCTCGCGCATGAGGAAGGTTTAATGTCCAACACAAGCGTCCATGCCGGGATACGATGCAAGCTTGCTGTGAGTCGAAAAGGACGCGTCCGCCCATGAAGCCCGCTATTAATTGACACCTGTCTATTTGCATATCACCAACGGCAGGGCGTTGACGACATTGAGAACGATCAAGCGGTCGGATTCCAGCTAATCTCGACAGACGATATAGACGACCTTGGGATTCCTGAGGTTGTGCGCCGGATTAGGGACCGTGTAGGGGATTCACCCGTCTATCTCAGGTGGGAAGCGTCTCTCGAAATACCATCTGACCATGGTCAGCGATTGACTGATCTCGTCCATCTATCTGTCTAGTCTTGATATCGATGTCATAGGTAAGTTTGATAAACCAACGTGAAAGTGTCAACAAAGCTCATTGCACCATTGTCATGGGGTCTGCCAGACCCAGGATTAGCTCCCGCGAGTGCGTCCACTTTTCCGAAAAGCGCACCCGCTTCGCGTTTCCATTTCCCTTAGATTAACAGTTGAACGTTCGTAGCTGGCACGCCTGAGGCTGGCGGTTGGACCACTCGCGAAGTGAAACGTATTCTAAGGGGGCTTGCTGGCCTGAACTTCGTGTGAGTTCTCTTCTTCAAGTTCTTTCAGATCCTTGAGTCTTCCCGATTCCGACTGACTGACTGACCGTTTGATTGATTTATGCGTGTGGGACGGAATGCAGTGGGGCTGATGTGGTCGAGGTCGCACCTGCGTATGACAACGGTGATTCTTCGGAATGCTCTGTATATCATTGGGACAAATTCAGCTAACACACATACACTCCTATTCCTAGCTGAGATCACCGCCATTGCCGCAGCAGATCTCGTTCACGATTTCTTATCCATGTTCCTATCAAAAACTCAGACTGCCTCAGTTAGAGACGAGCTCTGAAGATCCGGGGAAGCATCCGTGTCATCCGTTGAATATCAATCAATATCTGCAGTGATATATTCGTTCACCAGTGCATCGTACAATGTAGTGAATAGTCAGTCGATCAACTAAATGTACTAAAAACACAGGTGATCTTTCATTACACAAAGAAAGAAACAGGTCGGATATAAATATGTTAGAGATGTCCGTGAAGCTGTGTAGTAGGCGTAAAATATTAACAAATAACATGAACAACGGAGGCTTGACTAGTTCTTGCCCCACTGTCCTGTTGGCGCGCTGGGTCCTGCATCGTATCCGGGAGGCGCGTCGTCATATTGTGCCTGTGCTATTGATGGTTGAGCACGAGGTCCCCTCACCGGGCTGGTGCTCCCGCTGTGAGGCATTGCTGCGGCTGCAACGGCAGTGTTGAGCGCAGCGACCGCCGGAGATGGCGTGTGTGCGGGCGATCCGGTGGAATGTCCGCCGTAAGCATAATTGTAGCTCGAGCCGTACTGATCATTCAATGCAGGAACCGTGTTTTGCCCATATCCATCGCCACCGAGGGTATAGCTACGGTCTGGTGTTGGGTGCTGGATAGGCGGGGTTGGTGAATGAGGGTTGTAGTACGACGTCGGTTCTTCCGCGATGGGGCTCGAGGTGACGTTACCGCCAAGGTATGGGTTGGCTGCAATGTTTGGAGGGGGCGAAGTCATCATCGCAGTGGCGTTGTAGGTATCAGGGTTGAAGTGGTCTTGGGCCTGACTGTAGTTCGAAGGGTATTGCTGATGAGATACAGCGGATTGGTACGATGTGTCCCGAGCAGCATGCCCATAGCCCGCGTTGGAATAACCGCTGCGGTCTTGACCGTACTGGTTGCCCACATTCAAATACTGGTTGTTGGGCGGAGGAGAGGTGTGTGGTGTGCGTTGTGGTGGGGGAGCGATGATGGGCATCGGTGGAGGGGAAGTAGATGGAGCCTGCGAACCCTGATAGCTGTATGCCGAATAAGTGGAAGCACTGGGTTGGCGTCGAGGCGTTCTTTGTGATGGCGCTGGCTGCTGCTGCGGTTGTGGAGGGTAAGACGTATTAGTGGGGTTATAGTACTCGTCCACTGCGCGAGTGCCTGCGGGAGCTCTGGCATAGCCTCCCCCAACGTAACCGCCACCTCCGGCGGAAGCTTGGCGGCCTGGGTGTCCGTTATGCTCATCTCGGTAGGGCGTGTCGACGTAGACAGAGTCGCCTTCAACACGGGCGGTCAACGGTTGGGATTCTTGCGCTGTTAGAGGTTGAATCTCGTAAAACGCTGGAAGGCCACCTTCGGTAGCGGTCTTCTGTCGCGCCTTCCTATCAGCTTCCGCCTTTACTGCATCCAACCTCATTCGCTCCTCATAGCTGTTGTCCTTATTCGTGTTGAAAAATCCTCCCATCCTTCCTTGTTCTCTGTCATCGTTCCCTTTGTTGTTCCAATCGTTCTTCGACCTGCTACGCTTGGTAACGCAGCATCTTCCCAAGGTGTAGAAGCATCCACTGAAGAATAGCAGCAGCCAAGCTGCCAATGTCAACCAGATAGCATTTCCAATCTCGGCAGATCCACCGGGAACGCTGTTGATGCGGGATTTCGTGATGAAGAACAGGGCAATGTCAAATATGAAGGCGACCATCGCAACGACAGCCGCGAAGCCTGAGACGCAGGTACTGCAGCATGTCATGGACATTTCCCGAACGTGGGCGAGGAGGCCAAATACCGCAGACCCCGCAGAAAGCGCCAAGGCCACGATGTGCAAGACGAGTGCATAGGTCAGCCATTTGACCAGAACGTTTGGAATCTCAAACGGTAGTTTGTTCCCCACCAGGCCGTTTATGTCTGATCATGGGTAAGGTGAAGGTTATACTTTGCAAATGGCACATGAATGTGAATGGCTTCTACTCACCTAACTCGTATCCAACTGACGGAGATGAACATGTGCTGTTCCCGGGAAGGTCAACACAATATCCCAGTGTCCCGAACGTTATGGATCCAGTATTGTCTCCGAACTTGACGCTTGCCTTGAGGAAGTAAACGGACTTGAAATAGGGAACGCAGAAGGACACCACGGCGAGTAAGATTGTGGCGACCAGCGTAACGATGAATCCTGGCGTTGCTGGACGGATACAGCCCATTGCTGCAGGAAGAAAAAGGAGGTGGTGGTTGGAGAAGAAGAGAGTTTGTGGTAACCGACGATCTTCCCAGCGAATTGTATTGGCTGGTTCGCCGCTGGTGACACTGCCTTGCTGGACAAGCCGTAGCAAATCTCAATTAGGAAGCCATGCGCGCCTCCACATCCCGTGACTATTGGAACTACATAGCGCAGTACTACGCGCAGTTACTTCGACTCCAAGGAGCCCCAGAAACCGATGCAATGTGATCCTCGATTTATGTAACGAGCGGTAGAAGTCCAGTTCTGGGGGTTACCTCAACACAGCCTCATGTTCGGAGTCTCGAAGGCGATGTATGTTTATGTATATATCGAAGGAACCAAGTGCCAGCCTCACTAACAAGCAGTATAATCTGCTATGCGGCTGAGCATACCTCCAGCCGTTCGTGTAATGATGAGATAATAATCTCATACCGCTCTTCCACCGACTGGAGGTAAACTTCGGTGTTCTCGTCTAACATGTTGCCAGCTGGAACGTCCAGTGTAAAGGAAGGGGCATACAAAGGGAATCCAGAGTGGTCGGGAATGTTGGTATCTAGAGGCAATGGGTTGTCAAGTCTGTTGCATGTCAGGAGGGCGTTAGGGTATAGACTTTGAGAGAGCCATACATTATGGAGGTGAGATATGCCCAAGCACGCGCAGCGTTGGCAGAATGATAGCCCCCTACAATAGCGGTAAGAACTCGACGCGATGCAGAATTAAGTAGAGCTAACCTCCGCCGAGGTAAAGCTTCTTCCCCGACCATTCTTTATGTATACGATTGATGCACCAGCCGAGCGATCCATCTCTAGTGCCTAACGACCAATTGAAAGTCGCACACGGGTCTCCGGCCAGTGCGTCAAGTCCGCATTGTACTACGACGAAATCGGGATTGTAGGTGTCCCTCACTTTCTCGACCAATTTCCAGACCCTAGCATACGTCGTATCAGAAGCGCCTTTGTGCAAAGGGATGGACAGAGTAGCAGCGTCATAGCTAGCATCTGCAGGATTAGATAATGCGGAAAGTTCAGATAGTGGGAAGAACCCAGGAGCGGAGTGGTGGAGACTTAAAGTCTGTATCCTTTCCTGAGGTAGAGTTGGGGTACAAGGAAGGGGAATACATACCAGAACTTGAATATTTCCGGTAGGTCGAGTCGAGTAAAATGCCTGAGAGACGGCATCGGAGAAGTGTAAATCGAGGTCGAGATACATGATTCGTGGTTTACGATTGGGGGTGCCAGCGAGAGGCGGACAGCGTTTCAAAGCCAAGAGCGCGAGAATGCAGTCAGCGACATAGCAGAAGCCTGACGCATGCGACTTTTGGGCATGATGTCTATAATAAGGCATTTAGTGATTGAGTGACCAGACAAAAGAGTTTGTCACCTGCCTCCGTCCCAGCAGATAGCTTCATCACTTAGACCATTCACCAAAGCCGATACAGCTGTGAGAGTCGCCCCAGCAACCAACGGCGCGTATTCCGAAAGCCCCTTGAACATGGGGCAATCCTGTCAGTAATCAAACATCCTCGGTTAGCAATAGCTTCGGGACAGTCGGTCAAGGTAGAACATCTACATCTTCAAGACCGAAATCCGTCAAGTTGGTGGCATCTGCGTCTACCGTGTTCTCTGGATTCAAGATGAAATCCAGGTAGTCTTGTGTGTGGTACATTGCTAGAGTGCTTGGCGACGTGCGTTTTGGCGTCACCGCCACCAATCTGCGACTTGGAGAGTACGACGGGGCAAGGAGTCCAAGAGCATCGACTAACGAGTGAACGATTATTGATCTCATTGGATTCGAAGGTAGCAAGGACGAAATCTGAAGGCCACGACAATCCTTGAATCAATACACCCATTCTATAGTATACGACGAGATCCAACCTTTGCAAGTTCGCGAGACACGATATACAAGGCTGTCCTGCGAGGGCTTTGAGTAACCTCGATTGCGGTGGCCATTGCTTTATCGAGCTCTAGTCCAGACGACTAGCCGGGTTTATTGAACGTTCTGTGACAGTGGTAACGACGGTGGTAACGGTGACCTCGATCTGACTTTAAAAACTTCAGGGTTGAAACGTTGCCAACTACTAACTCCTTGAGCCACTCACTTTCTACCACTGACTTCCTGTTGGACTGTTTCTTGACCCAAGTGTGACCTCAGGCCCCAATAATATCATGAATCCCACAGCAAAACACGTCGAGTTCAGTTTAGCCACTCTCAATGCGACTTACTTTTCCCCTCAGGTGGTCTTGGCTCCCCGACCTTGACCTGACCTTGACCTGACCTTGACCTGACCTTGACTTTCGGGTGACTTTCCGTGACCTTTCGACGACCTATGCGGACTTTGCCTGACTTCCGTTGACTACAATCCCAAAACCTTGACTCCAAGGCGACTTCATTTGACGCTCAGCGACTGGATCCGACCTAATCTTGGACTGCTCTTGACTTTTGGAGGACTATCTGTGACTTTGCGGTAACTTCTACCGACTTGCCTTTGACCCTGTTTCCAAAAATTTGACTTCGAGACGACTTGGACTGGCAATGAGTCACAGGCGTTCTCGATTCTGCGTTTCATGCTACGCTGATTGACCGGTTCGTTCCTTCACCGTATCACCGTCCACCGACTACTTGGGTCCGTTCTTAAAAGTACATGTAACTCGAAGGTAATATATTACAGGTCGCCTTGTTGCCAGCAAATGAAGGCTAACATTCCTATAAGGACCACCATAGCCCGTCAGCAACATCATCCATATGGTCGATTCAACTCACTTCACTACTTCCTCGATCAAGCTCAGTGTCGTCCCTTTTCCGGATCCCTCCTCCCACCCCCGGAACTCGATATACAGCACCTCCCGAACACATAGAAGCATCCACTGAAGAACAACATCAAGAACCCCACCAGCGTCAGCCAAATCGCTATCCCCATCTCCGCCCTCCCTCCCGGAGTTTTATCGATCCTCTTCTTCGTGAGGGCGAATAGCACTATGTCGAAGATGAATGCGAGCATCGCAACGGTGGCGGCGAAGCCAGAGATGAGGGTGCTGCAGCAGACTAGAGGGATCTCCTGGATATGGGCGAGCAGTCCGAACGAGGCGGAGAGGGTCGCTAGTGCGAACGCGACGAGGTGGAGGACCAGGACGTAGGTTATCCATTTGACCACCTCGCCAGGTATTTCGAACGGGAGGTTATTATCGAGAAGTTGGTTGACATCTGCGCGCTCGTTAGTGTAAGTAACTTGTTCCCCGACGGGTTGATGTCGGTTCTCAATGACGATGAGCTCACCAAGTTTGTAGCCAACTTGAGGCTCAGAACAGAATGTAGTCTCGTTCGGGAATTTTAAGCAATATCCAAGTGTGCCGAAGGTGATTATACCCCTCAGGTCGGTTCCGACGACGGGTATGGCGGCTTTCAGGAAGAAAATGGGTTCGAAGTAAGGGACACAAAACGATACCAGACCGAGGAGTGCCGCAGCGATTAAGGTAATAAGAAAACCAGGCGTAGCTGGTCCGATGCAGCCCATTATGACGAACGAAATAAGGGAAAGGAGTTATGAAGAAAAGGAGGGGGAAGAACAAAGGGGACCCAAAGATCATCCTCGCTCAAGAGTATAGTCCCTTTTGTATGTATGAGGCCTGTTCATCCTCACTGCCTCTCTCCATTATCATTCCGATGTAGGTCCAGCGCCCTACAGCAAAACAGTTCAGACGCGCCCGCTGTCTCCAGGGCAATAAAGACACAAATCGTCTTGGCTGCCCCGACATGCGGACGGCGCGCTTATCTTGGTAGTCTCCTCGCAGTGAAGAGGGTACCATGGTACTTACATTCCTAATATGCGGACGAGGTTTTAATTAAACATATAAATGTCATGGTGATTTGAGTGCGGCAGGATACGTTGCGGAAGGGCAAGATTGGCGGTATTGCCAATAACAGCCAAAAAAGTCGTCCTCCGACATATTTAGTTACATTCTACATCAGCGCTCGGCGCCCCCAAGTACACATGGTCTGTAGGGAGACCGACTCGGAGGACATCAAGGAGCATATCATTCTCTTGGTTGCTGATGTCGTTGCTGAAATCAATTGTTTGAGTATGTAAGCACTGAACCAAGTAGTAAGTTGTGACAGAGAATTTAGGGTCCGATTGTCCCAGCGCACGCCAATCCTGATTCCTCTCCAATCATTTTTTTTTTTTTTTTTTTTTTTTTTGAATGGTAATCAGGCGATTCTTTGCGCCAACTAAGTACGGGTATGTACAGTAAGTCTAAGACATATCTACGGTATCACTAAGTGTGAGGGATGTGGCTTGCAGTGTCAATCTATGGGTACAGTGAGTGGTGTGAGGGGAGTTGTACAGTAAGTGTTGTCGCCTATGGCGGCGGGGTAACGCAATGCAAAGCGAGAAGCATGGGACATAATAAACATAATAAACATATGTGAGAAAGAGAAAGAGAATGTGGTCATAGTCCAGCTGCGGCGGACGTGTGTTGTGTTGTGTGCGTGTGTCGTTATGTGGGGTTGGTATAGGGCGTCCTCTCCAATCATGGTACTCAAATTGTACGCTATCGTTCAACGAACGTGTGCATCGCTTTTCCACATTAAAACATTATTGTGCTCACTGATCACATTTGTTGAGATTCATGACTTTCGCCCGGGCCAAACTTTGTATTTCAGACCGGAAAAATCAACAGCATCGGGCACGCCCCTTCTCATCACCGAGACAAATAGTAAGGCCTAATGTGTACATCATTAAGAAACATTTGTGCATACCGAGAATAAGTATGGCGGCCATCTTCAATAGACGGAGCCGAAATTCGAAGCGCAGAGTGAGGTAAGGGATTATATCATAGAGTCGGTGTCGACATTTACTCGAAAGACAGGGTACCGATGTACCGACGATTTTGTACGTCCTTATCCCTTACTTCTATTTTTGTAAGTCGCAATCTTCTTCCGCTTTCACAGCCTCCGATGTCCATAAGCCTGCACCGACATCCGAAACCCGTTGCCTCCTTTGCTGATGCGCATGGCATCGAGCGCTTGTTCTTCTTCCGCAGTGGCGTTGGTATGGTACTTCCATGCGGCTCTGATATTCGTCCACCAGTGAAAACCATTCCGCAGTCACGATTTACTAGCACTTCATGATTATTGACTGCGGTTGTTGCAGTTGAGCTTGTAAGGATGTCGGCGGTCTAGGGACAATTCCTAGATTCCTTCATAAATGTGCTTTGGGTCACTGACAGGCTGTCCAGGTTGTCGACTCCTATGTCTGATAGAAGTTAACGGGTGCGCGGAAGGTTGCAGCGGCGGAAGAAAGTGTCATGGTGTCGGCAGTGTTGCAAATCACGTGCGTTCCGATCACTTCTTCGGAGTCTCCGTCAGGGTCCCCTTTTTGCGACAACTCTTTATAAAGTCCATCTCGCTTCAGCCTTTTGCTTCCTTCTCAAGAATATCTTTCACCTACGCCCACCCCTCTATGAACACATCTCCCCGCTGATTCGACAGTATAACTGCAGAGCCGTATACGCATCAACACTGCAGCCCCTGTCCACCTTCAAATTTGAAATCCATCTTCACCACCCAACGATGCCTTCTCAGATCAACAACTTCTTCATCTGTGCTGCTAGTGTGGTTTTTGCGTGGGGGGGCTTTTTGTTGGTGAGTTATCCCCCATTTCGCTACGACGTTAGTGATTGATAGATTTCGGCAGAGCGTTATGGCTGCAGTTGTTAACGCTGGCTTTGTCGTCTTGGCACCCGCGGCTCCTCCGAAGGAGGCACAGCGCCCTGCAGCGCGTCACAGGAAGTCTGCCAGACCCTCACCATCGCGCCGCTCGACGGCTGCAGAGTCCGCAGCATCTTCGGAGTCGATCCAGACGCCCACCTCAGTATTCACCGATGATCAACCCCTGATTGCCTCCCCATCGGAAATTCCTGGGACATCTCCTGCTGCCCAAGACTACTTCGTTCCGAAGCCGAAACGGAAATCGCTTCTCAAGACTTTGCGACGTTCTTCCTTGAGCTCAGTGCATTCACCTGACTCAGGATCGTCCAGCGATTCGTCGTCAGCCCACAGTCCGGATGAGTGTGCCAAGGCGGGTATGAAGCGAGGACGCTCAAAGTCGATGCCCCGCTGCAAGACGCCCCGATTGCTAGTATCGGAGTGTCCGCCGCTACCCTCTTCGACACCGACTTCACCGACTTCGACTTCACCTACTCCCCTGTTATCGAGAACCGCTACGCTTTTGACCCCGAAAGCGCTGAAGCCCGCTAAGCTTAAGGAGATGTGCCTCCGCAAGTCAGCGTCTTCACAACGTAAGTTTAACACGTTAATCATCAATACGACCAGAAACTTACTGCTTATTGTTTAGTGCCGACTTTGAAGGTTTGGCCAGCCACACCTACTCTGAAGCAGAAATTTTCGCAACCCCTGCGCACACAGCCGTACGAAGCACCATATTTCTTTCCCATGCCCACAGTCGAACCTCCATCTCCTCCCAAGTCTCCGAAGGTATTGAGGAGTGCTCGACGATCTACGACGGCCGTTGCAAGATAGATCCCTCATCATCGTTCGCCGACATTCTTTTCCCAAATTGCACATCGCATATCATTATCACATATTTTCGACACATCATCATTTCCATATCGGCCTGACGCTTCATCACTCTCCTTCTGTCTCCTGCTGCTAGTAATCATGGACTAGATCCGGCATTTACTCTATGTATCAGTAGTGTATTAGAATTTCATCATCTCGTGTCATACTGCCAATACATACATCCTCCAACCCGTTTAGTCTGACGGCATCGTGTTGGGTGTCAATGCCTTTACGTGTACTGACTTGGTTTAACTGATTCCGCTGCAACTTACGTGTTTGAACGGATTTGGAGCAACATGGTCGATGGTTCGCCTTTGTATGCTACGAGAATATCTGCGGAAGTAAATATTCTCTAGAAGAGGGGCTGCTCTGTGGAGAAGATACATAGGAACGTGTTTTCATCCCAAGACACACAGGGGTAATGGGAGGGGCTTAGGGGTTGTCACAGAAAAGGAACTTCTGTCCCCAAAGGCTAGTCAAAGGTTGTCATACTTTCGTAGGCTGCTCAGCTCAACAAGGCCCAAAAGCGAGAAAAGACCTCGAAGCTTGCTCGAGCACAGATTCTCTCGTAGAAACAGGCCATGGTATCGGTATGTTGCGAAGTGGCTAGCCTATCACCAGATGGAAGCACCAAGGCTGCAGGTCCTCGTTGATTACAGCGGGCATAAATGAACCCGCAAGAAGGATTTTATACGGCATGCTGCATACTGAGTGTGGTGGGAAATCATGCAGTGTCATATGAAGAACGGCATAGCGAAAGATAGATGAGACATTCACTCCTCGTCCTCCTCCTCACCTTCTTCTTCCTCGTCTTCCTCCTCCTCCTCGCTTTCGTCCTCCTTTGCAGCTTCAACTACAGCGGTGGCAATACGATCCAAATCCCGTTGTCCATCCTGAGTGATTCTGCGTCCACCGTTGTCGGTTTGCTCCAAGACACCGATCTTCTCCAGCGATTGGCAGATTTTCCGTTGGACGTTTGTTGAGCCGTCGGCGTGGTGTGATGGACGGTTACCGCGGCGGTTGCGGCCACCGTGCAGTTTTGCGAGAGCGCCGATGCCGACGTCTTTGCGGAGGTAGATGTGACGAGCGACGGCAGCTATGTCGACGGTTTGATTAAATAACTGGAAACATAGGTAAACTTGATAGATAACGCACCTGCGCGAACGTAGTACCAGTCGGGGTCATACGGAGCGAGCTCCTTGTAGAAGCCGGTCTTGACAAGGTCGACCCATGTAGGGACCTCGAGCTTGCCTGATCGCTTGAGATGGGAAGCGTATGCAGTGATGAAGGCCTCCGCGCTAGATTTTGGCCAAATTTGAGATTAAGGCCGGGATTCGTGCCATGAGCAGAGCACCGACCTGATGTCTCGTACGCCTGGCATCTTGATGTGGTGTGTTTTTGTCTTCTTTTGTGGCTTGAAGAGTCGGCGATACGCGCAACGCTGAGGGCGGGTGGTGGTGTGTGGACAACGGAAATTTTAGGTTCGAACGCCGCTTGATCACTGTGTAGTTGGCTTTGTCAGCGGCTGATTATCTAAGGCACAACTTAGACGCCAGACGAGCGCTTGATTTCCAGCGCTCCCACAGTTGCCAAACTTCCTTGAATTCTGCCGTTCTTGCTTCTCAGTGGTTCCATTAAAAGGATCCCTGCTCTTTTTCGGCTGGGACAGGGGATGGTTAGATTCCATCCAGCAAGCTTCATTGTAGAATGGTGCACAATGCGAGGCCCGAACTCTTATATATTTTCCGATCCGGTGTTCATTTACTTTCAACCCCGCCAACTGGCATGCTGGTCAAGCCCCAGGCTGATGCCATGTTGATTTCCCCCTCTCTCAATTGAATAGCATTGACGCGGGTTCCCTTACTGGTCAACCAGCCCACATTTATAGCGGAACACCCTCAATTCAGCAGAGGACGCCAGCGAATCTTGCCCATACAGCAAACTCAAGGTGAGTAACGTTAACGGTCTACGGTCGTGGCTATAACCGACGCTGTCTGATGATATTCATTTCTATCAGAATGTCCACGATAACCTTCGAGACAATGCCAGTCGAGATAATCGCAATGATATTTTCGTACTGCCTTCCGACGGACATGTACATCGCCCCATGCCCATGCGAGGCGCCGTTGCTCTTGACACAGGTCTGCGCGGAATGGCGGAGGCTTGCCATTGCCATGCCTTTGCTGTGGTCGTCTCTGTCTGTGATTGTCTACCCCACACACTCGGACCCAGCGTTGCCATTAATCTACTTATGGCTCGACAGGTCGGGCTCATGCCCCCTATCGCTCTCGTTCACCCATGAAGACCAAGATAAATGGGAGAACGACGGCTCGGAGCTCGCTGCGCACATCCTCACCCTCTTCTTCGACTTTTGGACGAGGTGGCAGAATTTCAGCATGGTATTACCTGATCCATGCCCCGGCTACGCCATAACCACGCTTCCAGAGTCCGGACCGCCGCTTCTGCAGAACCTTCGCATGTTGATAGGCGATGGGTTGTGTGCAGAGGAAATTGACGTCGCTGCCACATTGTACGCCTCAGCTCCCAGGCTCACAGAGTTCACTTGGGGACATTCGTACTATGACATTGACCATAGAACCGTACCGTGGCACCAGCTCTCTTGCCTGCGGCTGGAATGCGACGTCCCCATGGGCGCAGTATTAAACATCCTAGAGCTCGCGCCCTCCCTCACCACCATGCATCTAGACGGTGTATATCGCGCCACAAAAGCGCGCAACGGTATTTCGCAATCCCCGGGAAGAAGGCATATCACTCACCCCAGTCTTCTGGCTCTCACCGTAGTGAGCATCCAACCTCGCAATCAACAGACTACTTCGTGTATCTTCAGACACCTCACACTGCCTAGCCTTACACACCTCGAAATCTCAGAACTTCCCATGACGCCACCAACGAAGCTCTCGACGCTCTCGTTTGAATTGCCTGCCTTCCTCTCACGATCGAAATGTCCGCTCCAGAGCCTTCGCGTTGATTCTATAAACAACATATTAGCCGTTGTAATTGAGTCCTTGAATGTCGTCACCCACACACTTGTTTGCTTGGACATTCAGCATGAGCGCGAGGTGGTCGATATCGATCCCTTACTTTCCCTGCTCTCCTTGTCCACCAAGACCGAGCCATTTCCAACGCACCGATGTTGTCCGCGGCTTCAGCACCTCAAGCTTGGCCATAACGTGAAGGCACGGGCTATCGTCATAGAGAAGCTCCTCTTATCACGGTGGGTTTCACGGGTGTTGGGATTCCCAACATTGGAGTTAAATTCGGATTGGCCGCTGTGCATGTCTCGTACTTCTGTACAGCAAAGGTAGTTATTATTAACGGCACCGGGTGATGTAGGAGGCGTCCGTTCTTAGTTCAATATTATTAGCTCACATTTTATTTTCTTCACAACCCTTATCAGACAGACGGTTAGATAAATCTAGTTTTGAATTCTTTATACTCATTTTCCATTATGGGAACATATGCAAGGGATTACAACAATGTATCTAATAAAAATAACAGTGCCAGTAACGTGCGAGTGCTGTGCGAAGTGTAAATATGATGCAGGGAAATCCGGTGGGTGATGCTGATGCAGGAAAGAGTGTGAGGTTCCAGTGTGGAAGAAGGCAAGAGCTATGAAAAAACGAAAAGGTAAGGAGCGAATAGCGGTGGGACATGCGGTGTATGCAAGATGTTGAGATATATGGAAAAGTGAAATGAGTGTCGGCTTTTCGGGATATTCTATATGTACAGGCCGTCGGCGGAAAGTTGGTGGATGATGAAGGAAAGTTGGGGAAAGTGCGGCGAGCGTTCATGATGTAGAAGATGGGAAGAAGACAGGTTTAACTCCCTTCGAGGTCCCAGGACGGCTGGGCAAGCCGCTATGAGTTTTCATTAATATTGGCGCGGTGTCGTCGTCGTCTGACTTCTTCATTGCACCGTATATACGGAAGGTTCGCACGTGGGTAAGGTCTTCAGCCGCATAGGAGGTCTGCTTCGAGTACCCTTGGGAATTTGATGAAGGGGTGTAATATTTATGCTTGACAGCTGAACGGGAATCAACGTAATCGTCGGTGCTTTCGAAATTCAAACCAGCCATCTCAACAGGCCAATTAAAGCGTTGGCGGCGAAAGCTATCATTGTTCCAAGAGCAGTAAGCAAAAGAGGAAACCCAAGACAAAAAAGTGAGACATACCATTCGTATTCCCAGACAGAGTCTTCGAACTCTTCATCTCCACATACTCTTCGACCACCCTCGTCGGTGAAACCTTCAATGTACTCCTTCAAGGAAGGCTTGCAGCCGAGCAAGACATGCAAGTGCTTGCACGTATGCATCTCTAGCTCCGATGGCGAGAGAGGGATGAAGGTTGAGGGAAGAACGATGAGACCAGGAGATTGGACAGGCCCGCTGGCAAAGAATGTCGAGGTAGCCGAGGGGATAGAGTCAATCGACGCAGGTCGTGGCTGACGCGCCGAAACTGCGGGCGATGGAGGCAAGTCACCAGGGAAGATCCCGAGCTTACTAGCTGCCTTGGCACTCAGTCCATCAGGAAGAGCAGTCGGCGAAAAGTAGTCTGTGCTCTGCTTTTCCTCTGGAATGCTCTCGATGTGCTGCTTGGCAGCCTTCTTCGATTTCTTCTCCTTCTTATCCCAACGAACAACAATCCACGGCTTCTTCTGGAAGTTCTCCCCTTCCGTCGGATTATCGACGGTGGATTCGTCAGCTAGGCCAAATTCGTGGTCGAACCTGCACTCTGGCGGCGCGAGCCTTACATGCATACTGCGAGACTTCTCGGCGTATTCATCGCCAAAGACTGTCTTCATGGCCGCAAGCACGAACTCGTGAGGACGAGGATGAATACCATACTTCTCCTTCAGCATCCGCTCGAACACCGTCTCGAGTTCTCTTGATACGGAGGTAGACTGGTGCCAGGACTCATAAGCATCGAAAGTTGCTTCTGATTCCGGTTTAGGGGGTTGCTCTTGCAGAGTCGAAACGGATTCTTTGACTACCTCCGGTTCAGTCAGGAGTTCACTGGAACACCTGGAAGCGTCGTCCGAGGGGGTAGAAGGCGTTGGCGTGGACATCGGGGTAGGAGTCTGTATTGTCACATCGGGTGGTGTGATTGTGTTACTGGAAGGCGACGGCGCGGCGGTGATCAATTCGGCGCTACAAGATGTATCAGCAACGACTGCGACAGGCTCTTCAATGGGGATGGCAGGTATTGGACGGGTAGGAGGAGGAGGCCGTGCGGGTGCATCGCCCGTTTCGGTGATATCTAAGGTGATGGGGGCTATTGGCGTGATTGATGGCAAAGTGATTGAAGTCGGAATATCAGCATTCGCCGCAGCATGTTTCTTCATAACGCTGTGGTTTGATTGCATTGATGACCTAGCCGATCGAGTGGTGGAGGCATCAGAATCAACGAGTGTGGAAGCCGTGTCGAACGAGTCGTCGTCAGCGCCGACCTTATTCTCGCCTTCCGCAACTGGTGATGATGGGATAATACTGTCGTTGGAATCCCCATCTGGCCCGAGTCCAGTCGCATCATCGTCTTCATCATCAAAGCCGGACTGGCATTCTGACGCGCCCGGGAACGCTCTGGAAGTGGGCGTGGTGGATGACATGGCGTTCTCATCTATATCTGGGTAAGGGGCTGCGCCATATGGAAAGAATATTTGGTCGTCGATGAATTCGAGCCGTCCGTTTGGGGCGAGAACGCGCTTCACTTCGGAGAGTACGAATAACCATTTATCGTAGGGGATGCAGAGGGAGAGGTTCGCCATCCGAACTAGTTCGAAAGACTCATCTCGGAAGGGAAGTGGATATTTCACGCTGGTGAGAGAGGCATCAGGATGAAGAGCACGACGAATACTAGAGAATATCACGCACAAATTGCCCCGTACGAACTTTGCGTTCTCATGTTCCTCAGTAACCACATCGACGAGGTCGAGGCCAGTTACGATTGTACCGGAGTGTTTCCAAGCATCGGCAGCTTGACAAACCCAGGTTCCTTGACCGCATCCCAAATCGAGGACGGTCGTCGGAGGCTTCTTGCCGTATTGATAGAATGTGGGAGCACCACTTGGATTGAGGCGGTTCAGGAGCTGTTCCGTATGCCGGTCACTGAACTAACGTTAGGGGGCTCCAAATCAACGAGAATGATGAGACTCACTTGTCTATGGAGACTCTATCGAACGACTGCATGTACGACGCATCCGTTCCGTAAGGATGCATCTTCATACCGAGTTTGGTCGCCCACTTGTTCTTCGTCTCAAACTGCTCTACGACTTCGCCATAGTCTTCCTCATCGTTGACAGACGCTGCTCGAGGACGAGTCTGTTCCGTCGTAGGGGCGTTAGAGGCCTGTAATATATTGCTTGATGAAGAGGAGGCATTCGTAGGGGCCGAAAGGGTTTCGGGGTTGACTGAATTGAGAAACGACACAAGTGACTTCTTCTTCTGCATTCTCGCTCTCCCAAGGGTTGCTGATACCAGCCGAGATGTACGAGACGGTACTGGAGTTGGTGTCGTACTCCCTCCTTCATTGGGCCGAGGAGTTGACTCTATTGTAGGCGAGTTCTTCGCCGATTTAACCTTCTTGTCCTTGAATCCGAAGGTCATATTGTTAACGAAAGCAGGTAATCCGACGCTTGAAGATGGTCTCGAGAATGAACGTCGCAGTGTCCGAGTACTGGGCGCGGAAAGCAGTGGCTTCGGAGGGTTAGAGATGTCCGGACTGGTTGCAGGGGACTCCAAACGTGAATCTGTTTGCGGATAAACTGGAAATCCGGTGGCTGGGGAGGCTTCTGATGTAAATATTGATGATGTTGAGGATGAAATGGAAGAGAAAGAGGCTGGCGAAGCTGGCGGAGAGGAAATTTCACGGTGAAGAAATGTGGACATTATTGTCAGCCGCGAAATATAAACAGGATTGAGCTGTGGCCTGGCTGCGGTGGATTAGTTCCTTTGTGGCTACTTGCCACGACGCAAAGGGGGTTCGGGTGGCCAGGACCTTTAATGGTGGCCAAAGTGTGGTACACGGAGGAGATGGTGGTGATTGGGAAAGAGCGAGCGTGGGGGAGAATTTGGGAGTGGAGACAAGCAGGTCCATTTCTGGCAATCCCCCGAGACTCGATCTTATTGGCGCCACACCGCCATCAGATTTTGGCGAGCGAACCTGAAACGCCACAATCGGCATGACGGGTTGATTAAACATTCAGGGCAATTTTCCATGACATGAAAACATGTAAAGCAGTGGGAAAATTGTAAAAGTGAACAGCCAAACGACTAATTGTACAATATACTATCTAATCCTCGTCTTTCTTCGGTGGTGGACCACAAGGCTGCAGCATGCGCTGGATAAAAGAATAGATGAAAGGGTTCAGTTCGGGTGTGACGGTTTGGAAACGAAGGAGGCAACAGGACAGGGAAGAGTGACATTCTCATCAGCGGCATGGAAACATACCTCGGTCATCTCGAACTTGGTTCGTCCGATGGCCTCACCGTCAGCGATGGCCAGGTAGGACGTGAGCGTGGGATGCCCGACGATGGACGCCAGCGTATCCCGGTGCTGATGCGTCAACCATTCACTACAAATTGGAAACATACACATACGGAGGTTAGTGGAGATGGTAGAAATCAGAACCGATGGATACGTACTACTTCGTCAAGTCCGCATGTCCTGCGTGGGGTCAGGACGACGGCAAGCGAACTGTCCGAGGGCACGCACCTGTTCCGGTATACCGAGCGTGAACTAAACGAACAGCGCCCAGTCAGTATTTCGCAATTCAAGGTGGGATGAATTCAAAGAGCCACTTACGGTGCTCCAGCTGCGTATTTGCGGTATACCTGAGTTCGGAGGACTGCGCATTGACTTTAGCTAAAGCTGCGGCGGTAATGTGGAATCAAGGCAGCTCACCATCTTCGAGAAACGAGTGGTAAAGAGGAAAGGGTCGCCGTCGGCGCCTGTGGCACTCGCCAATATTTGGGATCACGTGGGTTCGCATTTTCTGATCGACGAGTTCGACTGCGTTGCCAGTGAGGCCTTCGATAGCCTTCGACACTCACCACCATGATGTCGACAAAATTGACCGTTCGCCGCAAAGTGGCCGCCGTCGATGCCTCACTCGACGAGCTGGAACGCGAACTTCAGCCCCTTCTCTCCCAATCGCTACCTGAAACTCTCCTTGGCCTCGAAACAATCCAGCAAGCGAAATTACAAACCCTTATCCCATATCTTTTGTATGATCTAGTATTCAGTGCGTTGGGTTATAGTTCAATATCAGCCCGCATGCAAGAGTGCTCAACGGCTGCCATGTGTGTATCTTGAATTCTAGTTTACCTGAAGACTAAAGGGATCGATCCTCGGACACACCCCGTTATATCAGAACTTGTATGTTATCATTTATATTGCTTCTCCGAACGAGAGAAATTACACTGCAACAATGTTAGGAACGCGTTAAACAATATTTTGATAAGATAGCGAAAGCAGAGAAACAGCCCGAAGGTCGGATTGGTGCCCATTCTCGCTTTATTGTATGTGTAGACTGAATGATTATGCAGCTCGAGCACAGGCTATTGACAAGGCCGCTGCGGGTCGATTCATCAAACATGCTATCGCTCAGGCCAAGTCGGTCGTCTCTTCATCATCCAAAGACGACCCAATACCTCCCGCAGACTCGTCGAGTGCTCCACGTGTTGAGGTAAAGGTCACATCGAAGATGCGCGCTCGCGCGGAATACGAGAAGGATCTACATGAGGGCCGCGATGAAAGGGAAGATGAGGATGGGGGCCTGGAGGTGTTCGATGAGGACACTGAGATGGAAGTAGTAGGGGATGGAGAAGAAACCCAGACGGCATCGGAGACCGTTACAAACCCACCCTCATCGAAGAGCACGGGAAAACAAAAAGCCAGAGACTCACCTGTGGAACCTCTAGCTGCAAATAAACGCAGGCGCCCCGCATTCGACCCATTTACTGGTACGTACTTACTTGCTATCACCGCAGATGCCGTCGTCACCCATCAAACACCAAACTTCTTCTTGATTGACCATACACGTCTACATCCAGGTACTCGAATGCACGAAGAGACGGAATCATCGCAACCCCAATCGTCAGCGAAGAAAACGAAGAAGCGCAAAGCTGTTTTGGAATCAGATGGCACGCCTTTGGCTTCGACATCCCCCACGCCTAATGCTGATGCAGCAAAGAACACGGTGCCGTCACATACTGGCTCCACCGCCACAACGCCGCCTGAGGCATCCGAAAACGCCTCCCGGAGTAAAACCCCCAAGAAGAAGAGGAAGAAAGCGAAGAAAGAAAGGAATTCACAAAGGGAGTAATTGCATCCGTTTGCAGATGCAATGATAATAAATCTTGCTACTCGCGCCCAAGTATGGAGAGCTTGCCTCAGCTGTCCGGCACGTCAGGCGAGTACACACGCTCCTCCGCCACACCATATTCAGTGTCCATAATCGGCGCGAGCCTATCGCGGAATGGAATCCACAATGATAGTACAGAAACAAAGTCAATGCACGAGGGCAGAAACACTATATACATTACATTGCAGTCATAGTCATGAGAGGTGAGTACAGATGAGGAGTCGTGATGTTCAATTATAATCAGTACAGCAAATATTGGGCTAAATCTCCAGCCAGCAGCAACGTCCTACACGAAAAAATATTACAGATATCAAAACTTACATTAGTCTACAACCGTCATTGGCCATGTCGCCTATAAGCGGCGAGTTTGGGCCAGTAGAGGAAAATCCGCGTCGAGTTCCATTGGGAGACCACCATCTCAAAGTTCGATTGGTTGCATCGCCTGAGTTGCCATCCTCATCGTCCGTAACGAAGCTCCCTCCCGACTCGTTGGCCGTGCGACGTGCTTGGCGCTTGCGCCGTTTCTCCCTATCAGCACGAACAGCGTCCACCGTTTGCCAAGAATAGAACGTCTTAATCACAACACGCTCCTCATCGCATTCGTCTTGCCCGATCTTCAGTTCCTCGGTTACACCATCTCGAGTATCTCTGGCGTCTAAGAACCGCAACCTCCTCGCCTCATGAGCCCTCCACCCAAGGCGCGGGCGTGTCAATGTGGTCAGCGAACGCACCATCGACTCGCTCACAGCCCGACAGTCGACGGCGACGACTTTGGCATTAATCATATGTCGCTTCTGGCTGAGGCGTACGAACTCCTTCACGACATTAGAACTGATGTTCGTCGCATCTGCCTCCAAGACTCGCAAACGCGTGCAGTTGCGAACTAGAGCAGCCAAAGCGGTGTTGCTCATCTCGCTAGCGGAAGATATGATGATGTGTTCCAGCATTTGTCCGGTCTGCACGACTGGAGCGGAGGCTGATGCGGAAGCGCGAGCCTCTGGAGAGGCCGGGGTTATTGCAGCGAGGAAGGAATCAGTGAGTTCGACCGCATCTTCGACGTCCAGGCGGCGAATCAAAGGAGTAGTGTTGAGAAGGGTGACCAGGCCATCGTCCTTCAAAGAGGTGCATATGCCTGCGAGCTCCAAGAACTCTAGCTTCGGCACGGAGTGGGCGAGGTTGGCACACGCTGTGTCCGTCAGAAGGATGCAAGAAGACAGGCAAAGATGTCGAAGCCGAGTAACGCGCCTACGACATTTGTTGTAGTCGGTCGATTCCCGCCCGATTTCCCTAGCGGTCAGGGTTACAATCTTCACTCCCAGCTCTTCCTCGGTGTCGGTGTCGTTACAGGCGACGAACGCCTCCAAAGCAGAATTGTGAAGTTGTCGAGCGTAGCTAAGGTCGAGGACTTCCAAGAAGGGCGCCGCTCTGCCGAGAACCGCCATCATGTTGTCGGTAGCATACTTAAGTCCCGAAAGGCGAAGTGTCTTCAATAAAAGGTGGTCGCCGCGCGTTACGAAGGCCTTGGCCATAGAGCGTACACCCTCGGCATCCATATTTGCGCAGCGACTAACGTCGAGGATAGTCAAGCGCCGGCAATAAACAGCCAAGATCTCGAGTGTCATATTCGTGACTGCCTGAAGCCCCTTCAATACGAGCTTCTGCAACGATGGCGAACGAATAAGAAGGTGGTGCAGTGAACGTGTTGTCAGAGCTGAGCATCCTTGAAGGTTAACGGTGGTTAATTGCGTGTATGCAAGCGGGCTTGTCGGGGTGGCGTCAAGGCAGAGACTGTCCGCCAGAGAAATCAACGCCGCAGATGAAATGTGACCATTGCCAGCAAGGTCAACACTTCTGATGAAGCGACCGCCCGTCTCGGCTAACCGCTTGATGAGGGAGGTAGGCATAGCGGGGAATGCCTTGAGATCGAGATCAACCCACAGTTGGCCGTCTAGGGTGATACTTTGCCACAAACGAGATACCTAACAGGTACGATGAGCAACGCCGAGCAAGCGGCTAATTCCAGAAGGAATGGTACATACTCGACTAAGTTTCACTAACTCCCTGGCCCCCCTATCTCGGCCCACCCATCGGCCCTTCGACGATGAGGCCTTCATCATGGACCATGTTCCATCACGGACCGCCCTAGAGTAGTCTTCCTCATGCAAATGCACGAGTGCTTGAAAAATATATAATTTGAGTTCCCTGGGTAAGGCTTCATCGAAGTAATTTCTGATAATCAGGGGTATAGGGGCGAAAATATCGTTCGAAGAGGGGACGACGAGGTCAAGAGCAGAAATTGGAAAGGGTGACGAATTCGACCGCCCCTTAGCCCGGGGCGTGGTGTGGTAAAGCGGTAGTTTCTGTTGGTCGAGATCGATAGCTAGCTCTAGACTGTTGCTCAAAGACGAAATAATTTGGGAGTTGGGCGATGGCTTGAAGTCTCCGTACCAAGGTATGAAACAGTTACCCTGTCCCGAATGGACGCCATCAGAATCAATTATTTGGGAATTTCGCAAGACGGGACTCGCAGCTTCGTCTCTCTTTTTGAATAGCTTACGTGCGAGGCTTCCGGTCGGCTTCGGTGACCCGAGTCTCAATCTAGCCCCAGACATGGGTCGCGAAGTTTCGCTGCGCGGAGGGTGCGTAGGTATATGGGACAGAGAGCGGCGCCGAGAGGGCATCCGAGTCAAAGCAGGAGAATCGCTGGCCACTGCTGCTACAGAGGGCTGTATCGTTGCAACGATGGACGGCAGCTGTTCCACGGCCTTGGTGGTATTGTTCAGCGAGGCATAACCAGATCCATATGAGGAAGGTCCAGGTGAAGAAGGGGAGAAGCTGGTAGAGGGCCAATTCGAGGCATCGTATCCTCCGAGCTCGGTAGGGGTGAAATCTAGAGGGGGGAGGGTTGGAGGTTGTTCCCTCTCCTTCCCTTTCCCTTTACTAGTTCCTACCACCTCGCTGTCGGAGTATATGTCATCGTGTTCTGTGGGCACATGCTCTACAGAAGCCGAGTGACTTCGAGACCCCGTGGGTGGTGATAGAGAGGACGATGGAACATCGAGCGATCGGTTAGTAGCGCCGTCGGGCGCAGTGTCAAAGACATCGTGCTCGACCGCGGCAGAGCGTGCAGGCATCGGAATGCTCGTCGACCCCTTCCCTTTCTCAGCGCACCACTCAAGTTCACTCACACCCCATACTGCATCGGCCGCGGCCCGCTCTCCCAGCACTTGGGTAGGTGCCGGGTCGGATGATGTACTCGAGCCCTCGTAGGGATCAAAGTCGAATAGCTGCTCGTCTTTATCGATGCCATGCGCCTGCCCCATGTTCTCCATTCTGTCGGTTGCAGATGCTCCTAACAGGGGTGCTTTGTGAGCGGTGTCTCACGACGAACAGCACCAAGTGTCGTGCAGAGCTGGAGGCGAGAGGTCAAGGAGATGATGGAAGTAGAGAAACAAGAGGGATGGTACCGAAGATAAGACGCTCAAGGGTTATTTCACATAACATATCCTCGCCGATACAGGATCGCTCCGGCGAGGTACTAGAGCAGTTCAGGTCACGCGAATTCAGGGGCTGTCAGAAATAGCTGTCTCACCATCATAGTCGGCCTAGCGTTAGCCAGCAGGCTACTCTATCGATTACAATGCGATGATTATCTCCCTGATACGGCGATGTCTCCTTTAACGACCCTGGAGACCTCCACTGTAGTTCTATAATTCGTTGAACTTGGATGTAGTACTGCGATAGCACTCATTCCCCATCCAGTAACATCATTCACCGGCGGATGGTGCAAGATCAGAGCGCACAAAGCAAATTGGCAGCAAAGCTGTACAGTTAGGCACAACTCGACGACGTTACAGTCCAAGACGATATGGGTGACAGACAGTGGAAAGGGTCAGGAAGAAGATGCGCCGGCATTCTTCGGATTTTCTTTCGCGTCCTTCCAGTTCTGTGTCGCTAATTTGAACCTATTGCGTTTACTCGTTCAATCCGTTGCCGATATCGAAAAGGTATAAATGTTACTACCTCTCCTGGTGGGGAATATCAGGTTCATCCTCCTTCAACCGGGCCATCTCCGTTTGCTGTAAATGTGCGACCAGAATTTTAGCACACATCCTGGCGCACTGGCAGCCCCAGAGCTCACCATAAATTTATTGAAAGCCGACAACCTCTTCCTGCCGCCAGTAGTTCGACGGGTTGCCACTACAAAATGTTATGAGACTCATCCTCGTTACTGACAAAAAAGAAAGGCCACTTACCCTTGGGCTTAGGTGTAACAGTTTCGGTGCGGGCCATAATTAAGAGTTGCTCTGTTGCGTTAAAAGCTCTTCCTGAGACTTCTACTGGTTGTGCAACTAGCCTGTTTGGAGGCCTGAACGAAAATTTGTGAAAGAAGCCAACTTGCCGTAGGAGTAGACGCGACGGAGGGGAAGAAGAGAAGCATTTTTTGAGTAGATTGGTGGCATTTATAGGAATTTTCAAGGGGAGGCGAATTTGAGCTTCTATACTCAGTTATCCGAATAAATGATAACTTTCCCCCAGCCACCCCTGCCCAAACGAGCAGGTACGATCTATGACATGAATTCAAATACCCCACAAGACGCCGTGGATCATTTGCACGCACTGCTTCGAGATTCAGTCACCCCTCCGGAAACAACAACAGAAACATCTCGAAACTCATAAAGCGGCAGCAAAAAGCCAGACCGGCCTCCGTCGGTGCTCGGGGGCTTTCCCACTGAACCCGATGCACAAATATAACGAACGCGTCGCGTAAACAATCAACGCGTTTCGGTTGCGAGGGGTATACACATAAATGGAACTTTACCGCATTTCTTGTGGCTCTGGCTTTGCCCGCGACCATGTGCTCCCCGAAAACGGTTAACGATTCCCCACCGAGTGACAACTGCACCCATGTTTGTATTCCGGAACGCTACGGGCGACTAGATTCCAGCATCCTTGGGTCCCCCCGCCTTGCCAACGCCGGCTATGCCTTCTATGATGCTTGCCCCGCTGACAATGCTTGTCGTAGCAATGAGAAACTTCCTCCCTACCCACTATGTCAATGATTGGATGTTAAGAGGCTCTCGGCAAAACACAAACCTCGATTCTGCCGCGCGACCCATCGCAATGCAGCAATCTCCGTGTACGTACAACCCCCAAGGAAGAACACGACCGTTGTTGTCGCTTGTTCTCGAGGCACTAGACAAGGTTAGTGATGCTGAGTATTGACGTGCCGAGGAACTCACGTAATGAAGCCATGGGTGAAATGACGGCATTCGCAGGTTTCTGAACGATATCAACCGTCTCACCGGGAATAGTTGAGATAACGTCTTCGAATCCTTTCCAACCCACGATTGGATGCGCCTGGACTTTCGTGGTCTTGCCTTTTCCATCCTGATCTTGCTTGTCTCGTTCCGCCGGGTTGCTCAGGACGCCGCCCTTTTGTGCAATGCATTGAACCAGTCGGACACTGATGGGGGCGTATCCTGAATAGACAAAACTGATATCATTCTCTACCTCGTCAAGCGCCTCGGGATTGTCATCGATGAGAAGTCGCAGGGACTTTCTGAGAAGAACGAAGGGGTATTTGGGACCCGTCACAGTTGATGGCAAGGGGTTAGGTAACAGCATGGACAATGAGGGGGCTGCTAATGAAAGAAGCATTGGGAGGTAATTATAACCATAGGCCTATAGAATCTCGTCAATATAAAACTCCACCATTCACAATTGAACGGCAAACCTGTAAGACTTCTCGTTTGACATTCTCCAACGTCTTTGCTTTGATTCCTCCCGCAGTTATACTGGCTAAACATAGCAATCGAAGGACCGTTTGCATCTCCGCGCCTTGCGCAATCATATCCTCTATTGCTGTCAGCTGGACAGAAACATTGTAGGAAGCCAACAGGTCTAATGACAAATGAGACGGTGATAAATTGACAGATCGCAATATGTGCCTTACTCTGTTGGATTTCAAGTGATTTATTGAATTCCTCGGTCTTTGTGAGAGGGACCACCAATTCCGAAAGTCCGGTGTCTAATGAATGTCGTCAGTAAGCTAGAACGATCAAGTCGCATTACTCACGAAGCCGTAATGATTGATGTTCAGTCTGGAGACCGCCCAGTTTGCCCACGAAATCACGTAGTTGAGCGACAGTTTTCGCTTGTAGCCGAGCCTAGCCCAGACGGACCGCATGAGATCCAATTGGAGAAGTGGGGAACGCTGAGCGTACCTTGTAGTCTTCGTCCAATCTGTGGGCGACTTGGTTTAATTTCTTTCCAACGGACGAAAAGTTGAGATCCCGGATTTCAGCAAGAAGGGGGTCAGTTGTAGTCGTTAAGTGATATTTCTTTTTGGCCTCTTTGCGTAAGCCTGCGACTGGGGCAGTAGAGGTTGGAGCGGAAGGTGGCGCCACCTGTGTTGAAGCGGCCGGAGGATTGACAAGTGAGGCGGGAAGTTCGACGTGAGCTGGTATATGATCAAGGGCGGTTCTGTGATACACATCTGACCGTTCTTACAGTTTTTTATGCCAATCAACTCGTCAACCAGCCCTTCATACGTCAACTGAGTAAGAAGGGGGGTTATCATGTCTACCCGACGGTCGATAATAATAAGGGAGTCGATTGTTTGCTCATTTGCAAGGCGCGCTTCTGACGAGGATGAGTCCGTCGAGCCTTGACGATGCAAAAGCGTCGCGAGCCGCTGTCAACCGTTGAGGGTGCTGACAGGGAAGCATAATATAAAGTAACCTACTGCAGCAGAATCACCTTTCCCGACAATACGTGGGAAGGAACCGTAGTACTTCTGGAAACTGACCAAAGCCTGGAAAGAGTCGAAGATAACGGTCTCGTCACCATCCTAGCGAACATATGGTAAGGGAGGTCATGGGACCGGCTAGAGCATACATACGACCCACAATTCTTTGAATGTATTGTCCCGCTCCAAGGACACAACGTCGTCCGCTAGAGGAATAAATTGCAGATTGTATGTCGATACGACAACGTCACCAAGCACACCCTCTTCCTCTAGGATGCGGGTTACTAAAGTGGACACTCGTGGTACGAAGAACACTGTGTAAGCGTGCTTGAGTGACTCTCGTGCATGTCTCTTGATCTGATCTATACCGACTAGTGAGAATTCGTAATTGCATGTACTTGCAGAGCACGCACCCGCAATTATCTTTACATTCTTTATTGTAGGCCTGCACAAATAGACCACATTCGAAGTCGTGGAGGTCAATGGACCGGGCTCCAGCCAGAACATCTTGTCTACACCATGATGCTTTAACCAATCAAATGAGCACTTATCCACAATATGTCCGGCGACGCTATCACCTTCAATAGAGAGACCTCTGTCACAAGCCCAAGTGGTCCAGACAAAGACGCGTCCAGTACCAACGTCTTTGCTCCATTAACCTAGATATTACTGGATAGGTCGTTTGAGGATTAAGAGAACACATAGAAGAAGACATACAGAGTTCAACGCGTCCACTAGTGCAGATTTGGCGACATCCTTTAGCAAGCTCACATCCAAAGCACTTTCGTTTGCTGGTACAGAGGATTGATCGTCGGAGGCCATTGGTGGGAGTATCGTCGAAGTTGTGCGCAACGCGACTGCGGGCGCTTAACTCAAAAACAGGGGTAAGGGTTCGACGATTGAAGATTCGCAATATATAGATACAAGGAGAGGGTAAACTAATGACATTTCGTATACAGGTGAGCAGATGTTATGATTTGAACGGAGTACGTATGTCCTTGTTGAGATTGTCGGACTCCATGAATGTCTATAAGGATGCCAATACTAACATGGCGATGGGGTCATTACTTGAAGCCTGTTTGACACTATGAAAGGCTCACAATTATTCAAGTAATACCTCCTCTAAATCGAGTTTCTTCGTGCAGTGCGGCCCTTCCTCTTACTGCTATTACTTGCGTTCTCTCCTTCGATCATCGTTGAAGGGAGTTTACCCTCAGCTTTCCAGCCACTGAGCAAATCCATCGCTGCCTGGTATCCTATCTTCTGTAGTTCTTCAAACTTCCCAAATTGAAGCGTCCCATACTAAAAAAGAATTATCAAGCGGCACACAAGCTACGTAAAAAGAGGCTTACGTCTTGTACGGGCACCTGCATGTAGAAGCACCCTCGAGTAATCTTGGCCTCTTCCAATGTATTGACACTCGACACACTGCGCATGGGTCAGCGAGGGACAGCCAAACAAGTTGACTTAGCTAGCTTACTATGCAAGTCGGCTCTGTATTTCGGTAATCGCGGGAACCTTGATGTTTGCGAAAGGGTTCCACCTGTTGATGAGTAGCCACCATCCCGACACCGTATCCCCAAAGTTACGAGGGGAGTTATCGTCGATCTAAGCCCACTGTCAGCTCCATGTAGACCACCTATTGGAATGAATTGCTTACTGAGCCAACATCGGAAGCGAATACTGCACTGGCGCCCATGGAAAACATGGCGGAGACCTGTAATCACCAAAAGTCAGCGAAGGTGAAAAGGTACCTATCGGATGAGCGTACCGGTAGATTGTCAACTAGCCAAGTAATTGAGTAAAGATCGAGCGGAAAAACCAAGACACGCACTATATCCACCGTCCACCAACATATTTCCGTTGTCGCACAGAGGGGGTAGAAGACCCACCAGCGTCATAGACGCACCTATATTTGAGTGAGAATATATTCTGGACTGGACTCGCGAAGACATACGGATAAATCTCCACGCGTAGCCGGTTTCGTGAATATCCATCTGTGAAGTATTGATATTGGTCGTGTTACAGAAATATGGTAGCCACATGTCTTCGATGTGGAGGTCATAAAATGCCTGGTGTCCCATCATTAGCCTTGGGAAGAAGCAACTCCTTTTGAAATTGCACACCTTATAGATCGAGCGATTGAACTCGTGTCCCTAAAAAGTCAGAACTTCCATGAGGCATGGTACTTGTGAAGACGCCGTTGATCGCATACCGTCGTGTATGCTACAATGGGATACGTGACATCAGAAAGTATGCGCCAGATATTTCCCATTCTTCCACTGAATTGTTTGGCACGGCCGGAGCTGGAAAGGATATCGCCTTCCCGAGCGTATAGGCCGCCGATAAACGCACCAATACTTGTCCCTATGACAGGCAAAATGGATCAAACCAGAGAAAATATCGCGAAGAGATTAATCCCCACCAGCAATGTGGTCGATGGGAATACCATATTCCTCCAGTGCGCGGATGACCCCCTGGGACCATGTCATTTGTATTGACTATCAAAAGAAAAGGCACGACTTACTAGGTGGGAAATTCCGCGAGCTCCACCACCACCTAAGACCAGACCGATGGATTTCCCGCAGATTCTGCGAGCTAGCCGTGCAAAGTCGTTCGTGTGCGGCAGGCGTTGAGGGCGAACGTCGCCAGAGCTCCCTCTATACTTCAATATTCCACTCTGCACTCTATCGCGTAGATTCCTAAAGGTTGTGACGGCGTCTGTACCTGCTCCTTTGGGCTCTACAGTAGTCTTTGAGACGGACACCACAAGGCCCTATCAGAAGAGGTTAACGATAGGCCTCGCAGCGACCGGAGCGAGGGAACCTACAGGAAGCTCAACATGAATGTGTTGATGAACCCAAGGACGATTCTGTCAAAGACAGTAAGGTCAGACACCCAACGATAAGCTGAAAGCCGAAATTACCCACTTTGAGCCACTCGCGCGTTGAGCCAGATACGACAGAGCGATCGGGATGGAGCAAGATGAGTTCCTTCCGTGCTGTAGTTTTCATCGATAACAATAAACGCTCGTATTCACCGATACCAGGATCATCCCCCATGCCTACTATCATCACGCAATCCGCCTGGTGACACGCATAAGCGACAAGCTATGAATAAATGAAAGGAACACAAATTCTCACCTGCCGAATGCATGTCTGCGTCCACGAGCTATTGACCGGCGAATCGGCAACGTAGAGCACAATTCTGTACCTCTGCTCTTGGTCAGCAAGCCACCCAGCACTTTTAAGTTTGCCCATGCGAGTGAAGGCATGTCTTCCTAGATGACTGGACACACTCGCTTGGTTCAAGTACGACGTAGTGGCGCCCATGGCCTCCAGCGCAGCATGAAGCTTACGTGCAAAGGCCTCGACTGGTATCTGGCGGGTGACTGGCAGAACTGCCACAGTTTTGAGGTTTGTATTATTGTGGCCTAGTTCTGCTTGACTCGCTTTCCGAGCCTGGGTCGTTGTCGACGAATCTAGTTCGTCCCGCACTCGGGAAGCAATCATTCGCAACAATCTAAACATACGTTAAACGCCGTCAAGGGGACATTTAACTTCTCGCTTACTGTGCAGTGGTTTGCGGGTTCCTGCAAACAAGTGTCAGGCTTCCCACCCTGCAAGATATTGTTAACAAACATCCGACTCACCGGGCAGAGATAGCATTGAATAGAGTTCGGGGCATCCGAATCAATTCAGTGTCGCGAATAGCATGAACGGTCGTCCTTCTCCTTGAACTAGTGATCACATCCAACTCGCCGACAGTGTCACCTTGCCCATATTCTGCTACGATTGTCATGCCCTTCCCAGGCTTGTCGGATTCAGTGATGGCACGCAGACGACCGTTGATCACGATGTAGAAGCTATCGCTTGCATCGTCCGGTCGCCAGAGCACTTGGCCAGCGTTGACTTGCATCCAATCAAGCGCGGCGTCAATATGGAGGACTGCAAAGGCAGGCGTAAGCATGAATTGTCAAGTAGTAACGACAGTGTGAAGGTTACCTAGGGGCGAGAGCAAGGAAATGAGTCGTTTGGCCAAGGTGAGCAGGACGATCGGACGCTTCTCCAAGAGACGTTCCAATGCACTCGATGGCAAAAAGCCAACATAAGTGTCCGTCCTAGCCTTGATATCAACGTACGATGCAGTACTGCATAGTGATGCTGAGGCCCTTTATTAGCCAAAGGTCCGGCCAATTTGGAATTGGAATTGATGCATACCTAGATATCCCACAATGCCCCCAGGCTTCACGGTGAACAGCAGCTTCTGGCGTTTCTCAGGCTTGACTCCAGGTCCTGATGACCCCCATGGATCTCGCGGCTGTGGAGGGAATTGCTCAGGCAGTTTGAAGCTGTCCTGCGGCGGAATGCCTGAAGCACCTCCAGCATCCTTCGCTGACGTCTCGGCGGGGAGCAGGATATCCAGGAAGCCTTCGATTACATAGAACAGTCCGGTGTTCATCTCTCCCGCCTTGACCAAAGTTGCGCCAGCGGGGAAGAAAAGGATCTCAACTTCGTTGTCCAGGCCACTCAGGTAGCCATTGCCTCCCGATACAATCGACGATGAACCAGTAACACTTGCATCTTCTCCACCAAGGTCCAGTAGAGACAGCGAGCCTAGCGAGGACGTGAAACCCGTGGAGGATAAGCCCCCTTCAGAAGGCAAGAACGCTGGAGAACCATTCGCCGAGTCCGTATCGCTCATCGGAGGCTGCAGTAGACCGATGGACTTGGCAATGCACGACATAACCTCCTCCCGAAGATCGAAATCTTCCGTACCCAACAGCTTATGCCCCCCGAGACCCGTAGGCGATTTGCCCAGAGGGTCAGCGACCCTATCGTCATCCGAGTTCTGGCTGGGCATGCGAGCCATACGTGGAGTATGCAACACGCTCATTGAGCGATTGGGGCGGTAAGAGTCACTTCCATTGGAATGGCCAGTCGTACTGTGTAGATCCCCTGCTTGTACAATATGGCGAGAGGGACGATAGGCGATTGGGGAAGGAGAGCTAGAGTGGGTGGAATCTTTCTTCAAGTGACGAGCCTTGTCACGGTCCGAGCGTGTATCAACAACTGTAGGGCGCGCCGGCGCTCTCATGGGACCCGGTGGTGAATGAAGCGTGCTGGGGGGCTTGAAAAGAAAGAGGAGAGATTCAGTACAATCATTATGAAACTTGTTTCCAAAGTACTCACCGCCCCGGCATCAAAGCGTTGACGAAGATGCTGTAAACCATTTCCTTCATAGAATGACGGAGGTAGAGGATGACACGCAATTTCGTTGATGGCTTTCTCCGTTCGAAGCACTTCGGACGTGAGGCCGAGATACTTATGCGCGGCATAAAATGTCACGCGTGAAAAGCGCGTCAGAATCACTGATATACGATCAATGATCACCATTTGCATGCATCAGAAGGGAGAGTGGAATGGCATACCTTGAACTATATGTCCCGTAGCCTTGGGGAATTTCTTAGTTAGCCGCCTAAACGCTTCGGCAGGTATAACAGCGAGCGTCGTATCCTCGGTGGCGCGAACGACGACGCCGCGATGTATTCCGGGCGAATTCGACTGCGTACGACTTAGTGGCACTGACGACGCATGGGGAGTGATTGGCTCGAAGTCATCGTCATCGAGGATCGGGGAATGAGAAGTGCCTCGTTGTGTGCCGCCAGATGCATGCACAGTAGAAGCCGAAGCAGACGAGGAGACAGACGCCCTCCTCTGCGCAGCACCGGTCTTCGGGGACTTGACCCCATCCAAATTGAGCTCCATCTGCGACACATCCGAGTTCGAGCGTCTCGTCCGGCTGTGCGTAGAAGACGACGACGAAGCAAAGGTACTGGCATTCTGTGCTGCGGGCTCATTGGCAGAGTCGGCGCCTTGCCAACTCATCTTCACGTCTTCCGTGAAGAGACTCAGAATCGTGAACAAACTGGACAGCGTGCCTCCGCTGCCCACTTCGTTGAGGAGCTGGTAGCCATTTGTATCGTCCTCATCCCACGAGCCCGGCTGGTGCTCTGTCGAGTGTCCTGTTCTAGCGTATACTTGTACCATGCCATCTACTACGCAATAGAAGCTCTTGTCTTGTTCAAGGGACATGCTATCCCCCGCAATGAGGCGCCGTGTTTGCAGATGTCTAGCTAATTCATGGAAGACCTGCAGCGCAGCTCAATTCAATCGAACGAAGTCGATCGACGAACTTAGACGACGTACTGGTTTCTCCAGGAAGCCAAATACCCTGATAGCTTGCAGGAAATCGTCGTAGAACGTGGTGAGCGTCGCAAATCGCAGCGGAGCGTCTGTGTTGACATCGGGATGCAGCTCGGTGGTGTCTGGCTTCCCGAGCGGCGACTCCTTCAGTTGCATGTAGTCGTTCAGATATCGGAAGCGTATCCAGTAGTTGAGTGCGACGGCCGATGCGACGAAGATGATAGCAAACGACCAGATGTTCAACTGCAAATCACGACAACAATAACAACCTCATCTTAAGCGTGTATGTTTAGGCACGCGGGCAGAGTTCTACCCACAGTAAGTGTCATCGACCACGACAACACGGCGTAAATCCACTTGGGGACCGTTATCGTCGCGAACGCAATGAGTGCCTTTGCCCATGACAATGCCCACACTGGTATCGGCCGAGGAACACACGTTCGTCAGCGCCTTTCTGCACAGAACCACAGAACCGCTGGGTATACGTACAAATTACCCAAAAGCATGCGGAGACGAGCGAGACGACGGGGTGCCTGTCGGCGTACGGGACATCGCCCGCAGCGTCCATTTCGGCTGTGAGACGCGATGTGAGGGGGAGCGGGATGGAAAGATGGTGATGGTTGGTGGTCAAGCAGTTGCGCTGCAAAGATCCACAAATGAGTGCGTTCATTGCGATCGGAAGCACGTGGATCGGATAGCTAGCCGTGATTGATGATCGAGCTTCCAGATCTTTCGTAAGATAAGATAAGATTCGAATTGATCCCGTGCCAAGTACAACTTTCTATGTTACAAGAATAGCTTCGCGCAAGTCTGGTGCGAGTACATACTACATACTACGTTGTTGGTATTAGAACGAATGCTCTGTCGAGTCTTTCCCTATCGCAGATGTGCTAGACGACCCGGAGGAGATGCTAGACAAGATCCTGTCGATGTAGTTCGCCCCGCTCCTGAGATAACGCGCAATCATCAGAAACTTTGCTTAGCAGGCAGGGTCACAGGACACGCACCATTTTTGATGCGTAAGAACATCGCAGCCGATCTCCTTTTCTTTGCGTTGGATGAGCTGGACGTACGCGAGCATGCCGTCGGTCTTGTATCGCGCGGAGAGCTCAGCTAAAGATAACTCAGACATGAAAGGCAACTGTATTGTTTAGTTTGCGTACCAGTAGTGACGGCGTTGCTGTGAAGACCAGCTAGAGAGATGAGTTGGAGGACAAACCTAATCCCGCATGAATCAGCCGGGTCGTACATGCTTCAACGCCCCATGGACCTACCCTTCCTTAGCCAGCTCCCAAACGAAGTTCTTCAGGTCCGCCTCTGCAGAGATGTGAGTCCTCCCACAAGGTGCAAGTGTGGCACATCACGCACCGGAGAACCCATGCGCCGACCAATTGAAACTGGGGCTCAGATTGTAGACGAACCACTTGCCGGGGTACTTGGCGCGGATTTTGCGCGCGAAGTAGCGCGCCTGCTCCAGATCGGGCGTCTTGGTCTCGAGCCACAGCAGGTCGGCGTACGGCGCGAATGTCATCGTGCGTTTGATCGCAGCCTAGCGAAGACAATCAGAAAACGTAAACGGAAAGGAGTCCGAGTCCGAGTCCAAGTGCAAAGAGCGAGATAGTGGCGCACCTCGACACCGCCGGTGTAGTGATAGTATCCTTCCTTCGTCTTGGGCACTAAAAGGAAAAGAGGACGCTGTGAGTATCTAAATGCGGGGAGAAGGAGGGAGAGTGCGTACGGTCCCAGTCCCAGTAGACGCTTTCACCCAGGATGTCCTTGGCGATTTCCCGTGCTTCAGAGTTTGACTTCCCAGCGACGGCCTCGATGTACGCCTGATACGCGGCATCGGGATCATTGAGGCTCGATCCCTTGATCGCTTGCTCCACAGCTACCGCACCATCGTCAACTGAGGCACTAAACACCCATGGACGAACACCCACCTTGGTTAAACGTGCACAAGTTAACGCTCGCGGTCCACTTCTGCTCTAACGCATCGATCTCAGCGCCGCTCACACCGCTGGCCTCCGCGTCGGCAAGCACTTCCGCGAGCGCCTTGACGTCCTTGGTAGTGGTGCCGATGATGAACTCGTGGTCGGACGCGTCGACCGTGGATGAGAGCAGCTTCGCGGACTCGGAGTCCGTACGTGCGATCAGGAGCATAGGACAGCGCATCAGATCCGTTTGGAAGCGCGAGGCGATCAGGCGGGAGGTGTGCGTCGACGTCGGGACGAGGACCTTGCCAGCTAGATGACCGCACTTTTGGCGTGTCAGTAACAGAAATGCGAGCGATGGGGGAGCCTACTTTCTTGCCCCCGTGCAGTTGATCTTCGAGATGTATAGCAGACGCTCCCTATTGTCAATTAGTCACAGGAACACAGAAGAGTCGTGTATATTCACTGATTCGACAAACAGCTTCACGAGCTTCATCACAGCAGACAATCCGCCATGCCTACAATCATTGAGCACTGGATCGCCGCGTATAGTCACGACTCACCCGGTGTCAGCATCAGCAATGATGGGTCTGAGGTAGTCTATGTACTCCATCTTCGCCCTCTCTTCTGGCGTAGCCGACATGCGTTCGTCATAGTGTTTCTTGTCGTGTAGCTGTTGCGCGCGGAAGATGCGATGCACTTGGTTCGGAACGGTCGTATACGGGTAATCGCTACATGGGTTGTATTAGCCTCGCCATCACAGGTACCGGTCGCAATGTCAAAGGGACGGTACACTCCAAGTGCATATTAGTGAACGTGCCCTAAAGTTTGCTTCTCGTATGGGCAAACTTCATAGCATATGTAGTGGTAGTTCCTTTGATGCACCACCGAGTCCATAGACGTGTGGCGCGCTGAGGGTTATGTGCCCTTGATTTTGCCACTGTTAGATGCGGATCCTCGAACTCACCCCAGATCCGGCCCTACTTCATTGTTCCCAGTCGTCAATACACTCGACGCTGCCCACCCCGAGATGTACACCACCTCCTGGTTCTTCGCCATCTGCGTCATCTGGATCGGGTCGATGGCACCCATAGTGTGTACGGGCTTCCCCTCGGCAGCTGCCTTGCTGAGTATGCCGAACAACTTGTCCGCGAGCAGGTTCGTGGGTATCGGTAGCACCGGTAAAGATCCCTGCTTAGACGCGACGGCAGCAGCATCGTAGGGGCGTCGTATGTCCTTGAAACGGGGGCTGGCAAAGTAGGCTGCAACGTCCGATGTGCGTTCCGAGAACTCCTTCACCTCCTCGTCTGGCGTTGGTGGTTGCAGGGGGAGAGCCACAGACGACATTAGGCGGTGCGAGAGACGGGATAATGTGCCTAATCGTATCCTCGATGGTATTGACAACATTATTTCGTAGTCGAGAGGCGAAATCAGCAAGCAGCGTATAAATACGGAACGAGCGGGACAGAGATGAGCATGCCGATCATTGTGAGTAGCCGGAACACGTGACCGGTACCATTTATTTGCCGCACGCGTCCGAGTCGTTTGTTGAGATACGGTTGTAAGTCATGCAATCAAGTCCAGTAAGCTTTGAATACTATGGAAGAACTGACCACTTCTCACTACGAGTTCAACCAACTAGGGAGTCACTACTAGAGCGCGCGGTAAGCGAAAGGTCGCAGTAGATCTCTGCCATAGCAATCCCGAGCCCTCGCCGAAATACAGTAAGACGAACTCATCCGCAAGGCGCGCGTCGAAAGCGTCGGTCATTACTATCGAGGACTCTGACGACGACGAAGACTTCCAATTGATTCTCCAACAAATAAAGGATCAGGAGGAGAGCGAGGCTCTAGCCAAACGATTGCAAGAAGGGACTGCTTCAACGTCTCTCATAAATGGCAGTGAGACTGCTGACGCAGGCTGGCCAAAGACCACAAGTGACCGTCAAGGTCTTGAAGATCTTGAAGACGACGCGGCGATGGCACGGCGATTAGCTGCTGAATGGGCTGCCATAGATTCGTCCATTGAAATCGCGGACACTGGCTCTACTTCAACACGGGAAGGGCCTCTCAGAGTTCCGAAAGATGCAGCGAATACGACCCCTCCCGACGAGCAGCTGAGCGAATACAAAGACCTGTTCACTGGTGAGCGCTCCTGTACCAGTTGTGGGGGTAAAGTTCGGTCTCCACAAGGAGTTGTATGTCTCTCGTTTCTTGTCTTTCGTAGACATTTAGTGACGACACGCTTAGATTACTTTCGAGTCCTCAAAGGTACTTCCCACCAAGCTTCGATACCTTCTACACGCTTCTTGCCCATCGTGCAAAACGAACCACTGCAGGGGCTGCTTCAAAAGAGTTCCGTGTAAAGCGTCTTGTGATGGCCTCGCTTCCAACGCCTCTTGTCCCGTCCTAAATTGTTGCGCTGAAGTCCGGGCGCTCGCAGTTTTTGAAACATTGGGCGCATTCGACCGTCTTGTCCTTTATGAGCGCGAAACTGCTGCTTCTCGAGCTCGGAAAATTCCCAGAAATACCGGCGGGGCTGACTCAGTAGGGCCAGGCGGAACAGGCTATGCAACAGGCTATAGCGTACTCGCACACCAAATGGTTCAACAGTCACAACCTCAGGCCCAACAGCAGAGTACATCTGTTGTCAATTCATCTAAAGATCATGCCGCGCATTCTGACCGCATAACCTGTTGTGCGCTCGAAACCTTGATCAAACTCCTTCCTGCGCCATACTCCGCCGATCCGCAAACATACGACTTCCTTCCCCATCCGTCCCTCGGCCCCCTCCTCGCCCTTTCCCAATTAACCGAAGTCCTATCTAACCTCCTGCGTAATGACAGCATATCGGATTGGGGGAACCGGTCAGGGACCTATCAAACGGTGTTGAGTTTGTTAAGGAGGATGGCCGATTCTGAGGTAACCTTACGGAGGCTAGTCGAGAGGAAGTGGGAAGTGAAACAGAGCTGTAGCATAGACCAGTGGATGTGGGAGAAGGGAGAGATTATTTGGGAGCGTGAGGGAAAGGGCGGGGAAGGAGCGATCGTCCGTGGCGTGCCACTATACCACCACTTCGAGAAGCTCACGAGGCAATGTGAGGCTTTCTTATCTGGTGCGCTCCAGATGATGGAGAACTCGGCAGAAGACGACGCAGAGGTCGACGAGGCTATGATGCAGACGACTTCCTTATGCGGAGACATCATTGCTGCGAGAGATGATATTCAACGGACGATGGCCGCCCTTGGTTCAGAGGCTGAGGTTGACGAAGTACCTGGACCAGAACCTATCGTCGAGACTTCGGACGTTGACGTTGATAAGCCCAGAAAGAAAGCGAAGGGTAAGGCCAAGGCCAAAGGCAAGGCTAAAACCACAATCGCCACGGAAGACACGCATAAAGTCGACCAAGAGTACGCGCAGGCCTGCGAACGATTGGCATTCAAATATGTCAGACTTGCCGCCGACAGCGAAGATAATGGCCGTAGCGGTTTGAAATATCCTTCGTTCAACTTCAACGCCGCACTCTCGTCGTCCTCGAGTGAAACAAGGATCCCAAAGGACCGTATGCATTTAGTGAAAGAACTTGCTGTTATGGCCACAAGTTTACCCCCCGGCATATGGGTGCGTGTAGATGAAGTGCGGAATGATGTTATGTGCGTCTATCCTCCTTACAGGATTATAATCTATACTTACTTTTCGTTGACGATAACTTACAAAGCAAAATCATGATCGCTGGCCCAGAGGGTACGCCTTACGCAAACGGCCTTTTCGAATTCGATTGCTTCATGCCTCTCGACTATCCGAAATCCCCCCCTCAGATGCACCTCCGTACCACCGGCAACGGACGTGTCCGCTTCAACCCGAATCTCTACTCCTCTGGTAAGGTGTGCTTATCGCTTCTGGGGACTTGGCATGGCGGACCAAACGAGGGGTGGGCGCCCTACAAGTCAACGCTTCTCCAAGTATTAGTAAGTATCCAAAGCATGATACTGATCGATCTACCGTGGTACAACGAGTAAGTCAACACCACAATGTCGTGGGTTGCCATCTTACCCATCACCTCTCATTTACAGACCTGGCAGGGGTAAAGCCAATGCAAAGTGCCAGGCTTCGATTGATTACAACAAGGAACTGGCTAATTCGACCACCGTGTGGGCCATCCTTGACTGGCTACGCGACGAACATCGGAACGGTATATGGGCCGTGCGTCGATCCTCTCTTCTTGTGCCTTACTCCAGAACTTCTCTTCCCCTTTCATTTACCGTTTGCTCCTTAATTGCCTACCCACCTTTGACAGCGAAGCGTCAGGGGTACCAAGGGGAACTCCACCTTCGCATAGACCAAGTGCTAACTTCTGTCGCCATGTAGGACGTGATCGTCTCCCACTTTACGATTCGAAGTGCACAGACACGGGCACAGTAAGTACCGCCAGCCCTCCTATCCACTTCTCCCATCTGGCTCCTAATTAATGCTTGATTTCGATTCTTACGATCCTTCTCTCCCAAATTAAACGTTAACGTCAACTCCAAATATCAATTACCCCAGTATTGCCCGGGTTACCACCGGCAACAGCGGGGCTGGACTGGTCAGAGACTTTGACATCGGCCTCAAGAAGTTGAAGAAATGGGACCTGAGTGGAATCGACCCGTGAATGGACTTCCGTGGGTTTTCTTTGAGCGTCAAGTTGAGTTATCTAGAAGGTGTGGATAGATTTAGGGAGCTTTACAATAGAACTACTTCATAGAATTCTTGATCATCTTCGCATGAAGTCTCTGAGAAAGTGTGAAATCACACCCACTCATGTCAAGCGAATACAGAGCACTATAGTACATATTACAGGTTCAAATACATACAGATCAGACCGAGGGATAGATTGAGGGGGACAGATCTAGAGCACATAGGTACCCCTTGACTCCTATTGATACCCTATTTCACTTCGAGCTCGACCTGGCCCACCATCTCAAGTAGATATTAACGAGCACACAGTACATTGCAGATAAAAGTACAGTAGATAGGGGAGCAAGTGGCACCCCAACCCAACAAATCATAGAGCTACAAGCTTACCGGAAAATGAATCAAGGGGCGTTCCGCGTATCGGACCTCGTTCACTAACAACTGGTGTCCCGTACCTCCCAGATACCCCAGATACCGTGACTACCCTAGAGAAGTGTTTAGTGAGTTGGTAGTAATAGTGGGCCATGGAGTCACGTACCCGGTTAGCACAGTGAGTAGGGCCATCAAAGTGGTGCTGCAAGAAGTCTGCGGGTGTCGTCGAGCACATGATCTCCCAATCATCCGAGTCTCTCAGGTTCTCTAGATGCGAGTGGTAAATCTGGACAGATAGTACTAGGTTAACGGTAATAATGATCATAAAAGGATAAAATACTAACCCGAATTCCAGAGCCGTCATTCAAGCATCCCTGCACAAAGAAGGCGGAATCAGCGATATTCGCGTTATGACATGAATAATGTCTGACTTTGTCGTCGAAAGTAGAAAAGCTGGGCTTGCAAGCAGCTTCTTGAAAGTCTACTCTCCAGTGGCCAAAAACGCCTGCCCATTTGCCCTAGAATCGAAGGCGGCACTATTAAACCATGGTCTAAGAAGAAAAATCTGAATGTACTTTGTCCTCGCAATAATCAGGCCGTTTCATAACGCCGTGAATACTGCCTTCCGCATCATTGCAAAGTTCCAGAGCGTTGAGATCATCAGGAACGTTCAGCAGCTGTGCGGAGTACTCCCTTGTCCCATAGCTCAAACAAGACTTGTGCGGGGATGGTATTTCAAATTTAACATGAGCCCGCCGAATTGCCTCTTTCCTCTTCTTCTCCTCCATTCGTCGACGCCGCTCTTGCGCCCACTCGTCTCTCTCTTTCCCCCACTCGTCTCTCTCTTTCCCCCACTCGTCTCTCCTCTCCTGCCACTCGGCTTTCTCGAATTCCCACTGCCTTCGCTGTTCCTCCTGATGCCGTATCTCCATCTCCCGCTGACGCATGAAGGCCGCCCGGACGGCGGGATTGCAGTAACTATTCAGTCCTGTCGTATACCCTGCAGCCAACGAAAGAGGGAGTGACTGTTGGATTCTGACAATCTAGGCAGTACAGGGGTTACAGGATCTCACGTGACTACGTAGATAGTTCGCGCGTGCATGTATTCTTTTCTTCATGCGTTTGCTGGAGTCCCAGCCAAACGCAAAATATATCTACTTGCTCACTCGGAACTCAACGTCGAACTCGTGGGGACACTATATCAGGATGTATATAACAATGAATTACAATCACACATATATTCAGAGAGCAAGGACAGCAGAAATTACAACAACAGCGAAATTGACAGAGGATTGTATCTAGGTCGTGCACCGTATTCTGCGAGCCGTCCGATCACTGACAGTTGGCGTCAGATACGTCCCAGATACCCCAAATGCCGTGCGGGGACTAGAAGATACATGCGTTAGCTCCGTTGTCAATGAGCAGTGAAGTCACGCACCCAGTCAACGCAGTGAGTAGGACTGTCGAAGTGGTTCCCCAAGAAGTCTGCGGGAGTCGTGGAGCACATATCTTTCCAGTCGTCGGACGGTCTGAGATTCTCCAGGCGCGAGTGGTACGTCTTAATAGAATGATGAACACGAGTCAGTAGTGATTGATGGGAGAAATGTTCCACTGACTCGAAGTCCGGAACCCGCAGTCGAACAGCCCTATATAAGTGAAGGAGATGGGGTCAGCGACACACCACGATGCCGAAGGAAGGCTGACCTTGTTCTCGAATTTGGAAAAGTACGGAGCGCACGCCGCTTCCTGGAAGTCCACAACCCAGTGGCCGTACACGCCTCCCCATTTCCCCTTGCAATCGGACGAGTCAGCAACGACCTCAGCAACATCATTGGTAAGTGTAAACATACATTATCCTTGCAGTAGCTGGGCTGCTTCATAACCCCATGGATGCTAACCTCCGTTTCAGCGCACAGCTCCATCGCGTTGAATTTCTCAGGCACGTTCAGCAATCGCGCGGAATACTCCCTCGTCCCGTAACTCGAGCACGCATCGCGGGGGATCGGTGTTTCGAACTTGACATTGGAGCGTTGGATGGCCTCCTTCCTTTCCTTCTCCTCCGCCCGACGCTGGCGCTCCTTCTCCCATTCGTCCCTCTCGTCGCGCATCGTGTCTAATTCGAACTGCCATTGATGGCGTAGGTCGTCGCGGCGCCGCGTCTCCATTTGCCAGGCATGATCATATGCCTCGCGGACGCTCGGGTTGCAGTAGCTATTCAGACCGACAGTGTATCCGGCCGCCATCGCAGCAAGGAATAGAACGGCAATGGACAGGGTCACGAAAAAGAGCTTCTTCGGGGTTGAAGACCGTTTTTCGTCTGGGGGAGGCGGGGATGAGGGTGGGCGCGGCGGTGGGGGTGGGCGCTCTGTCCGATCCGACGGTGGCGCTTGCCCATGCATCAAGGGAGTATGTTCTGTGTAATACGGTAAGATAGGCGGCGGGGACTTGACCGGCGTAGGTGCACGCCTTTGCCCCGAGATTGTGCCATGGTCACTGAAGTGATTGTCAGAGTTATCCCTGTGGCCAGGAGGAAACATACCTGTACAGTCCTGGAGACGGAACCGAGCTAATCGATGGATACATTGACATATCTGGGTGCGTGGAGGGCGTCTCAGATTCTGGTGCTGCCTGGTATGAACCCTGCTCTAACCAAGTCATGCCGTCCGGGGTCAACTTTTTATGAGCAAAGGGGGAGACGGTTATACCCAGCATCGAGTGTGTCTATGTTTGCAAACGCGTAGTCTGCGAAGCTTGATTTATTCTTCACCGTAGTTTTCATCACCTTCTGCTGGTCACCGCAGTCTGTAGATATAGCTGATAACTGATTAAACTTCGGATTCTCTCACCGTAGTCGGGCATGAGGCACTTGCTATTTCCCACAAAGGTGCACGAGGAGATCGCAGCCTTTTAGTGCTCAGATATTAATGGTGCTGTCCCCAGTCCAGTCGAGGCCTTTAACGTGGATGCGGAGTGACAACGCGCAAGTGTCAACGGCGGTGACCCTGGAAACCAGCACTCGACGTCGCGCGTCGGGATGGGACACAGACCGTTCGTCGACGATTGCCCTTCGAACTGCTGCTGGAAATTCAGGGCAGAGAAGGCGGTAAATTGTCAGCAGTTCTGCCCCTTAATTACCCCTGGCCCCTAGTGCTGACAATCCGTTGCCTGGTCGGTTCTCTGTCAATCTGCGCTAGGCCTTCTTCCGTGGCTTCGGATGGGTCGTTTGTCTCGTGCGCGCAAAAAGATGCAGGAGACAAGTCTGGAAGGCGTCGGGTGAAAGAGGATAGATTTCCGCCACAGCTGAGCTTGAGTGAAAAGCTAGAACGCTGAAATCTTCGAATCGCCGCCAAGTGGCCGCCAAGAGACGAATACTGGCCGTAGCTTTCGGCGTCGAGAAACGATAATTGGAACTAAGACTGAGTCAGTGATGCTCATCGATCATCTCCGTTGGAATCTCCATTGTAGACTATCGCAAACGGAGAGATGTAAAAAATGCAAATATAAGGCGTTTTCATTCCCGCCTCGCGAACCTGAGGCAATTACGCAAACGACTTGGCGACATTACAGCATTTCTGCTGCAAGGCTCATTGTGCAGTGCGCGACTGAGGCCCAAAGCAGCAAGCGACTCGTCGTCTTCGTGAAAGCCTCCGAGGAGAGCCAGCCTTCGAATTCACAGACGCCTGATGCGGTGCCATGACTCGGACGAATGCCAGAAACCTTGTCAGACTCGTGAATTCTGAGTTCCTTTGTTTCTATTGTTTGGGCAGTTTCACGTCACTCGCTCGCCGATGAAACAAGCGGCCGGCCCTAACCGGAGGATATCTCAGTGGATATGAAAATGGCATGGTCCGTGGTATATATATTGCCTGAGGATGCGATGAGCCCAGCCACTGCTGCACCCCAGACGTCTTCGACATGGCCCACTACACCACAGCAGAGGCTCTCATGCACGCCTGCCTGGCACACGCAGCCCCCGAGGTCGGCGTGCTCGACGGAATCATAGCCTCCTCGTCGTCCCCAGCGTTGCCGCGGGAACTGCTGCTCATGGTCAGGACATACCTCGTGCCCGCCATCGCCTCAGACCTCGTCGACGCCTCACACAGCGCCCTCCACGCATACGAAGAATCGCTGCGATCGCTGCTATGTCCAGAGTGCAGGCAGTACAACGAAGAGATATACGGGGGAGATGTATGGGAGTGGGAGGGATTCACAGGACCGTGTGGGTGCAGGGACGCAGGCGACATCCGGCGGACCAACAACGCGATGCTTAATTCTCCGACGCGCTTCAGAGATCCCCATCACTGGCTTGAACAGCACTTGTCGCAGTCCGTCATGGCGGCGGCGGCGGCGGCCTCTTCGTCGTCGTCTTCGTCGACATCGCAGACCGACATCTGGTCGTTCGCCAGCGCCATATTCGCGCAATATGACTGCGAGCTCGTGCGCCACATCCCCGCGACCCACGCGCACTTTTCCAACCTGACCGCCTGGAACAACAAGTACGGCCTATCCCCGTACTCTAGCCCGCTCGAGCCCCTGAGCAGCTACATCCTCATACGTCCCACTGGCGATCCAGCCGAGACCGACAGCGACAGCATCTGCGACGATCACACTCGGAGATGGCGTGATCGGCTCACCTTGCAGCGCCTGCACAGAAACCTCGGAATTCCCTTTTTCACGTCCACCGCCTCAGCCTCCCCGTCCACCAAGTCCGAGTCCGTGGTCGGGTCCATGGATTTGCGCTTTGGCTCTCCTCGCAGCCAATCTTCTTTGACACGACATGATCACGATCTCACGAAAGCATCTTATTCGACCGGCATATCATTGCACCCTGTTCTTCTCAGCCATGTCCTCGCCAACACCGCAGCATTCTGCTTCGCCGCCCCAGTCGCACTCTTGACCGTCTGCGCGAAGGTGCTGTGCTATTACACGAGCCCGGGAGCGCTGAGGGTCTTTTGAGCCTTTGCACACCCATTACGATTCACGATTCACGAAATACGACTTTGGACTTCATTTGTACACACTTTGACATCAATGACAATCATCATCACTTGGATGCAATGTACTGATTTGCGTGACGTATGCTCTCTGGACATCCCTGGCACTCGGCAGTTTTCAAATGGCCGCTTAAATTTGCCTGTCTGATTGCATGAGTGACCGCAATGCAGCGCAGGTCCACCTCACTGAGTAAACTCAATACCAGAATCGTGAACAAACTCCGGGAGGCCAACATCCTGCCTCGAGATGAACCACCTCCCAAGCTATGCTCTGGCTGCTCAGGAATCACTGTGGCGAAGATGCGCGAGGCAGGCGGATACAAGTACCCAATCAATGTGTACGATCTCCCGAAATCAGCAGAGGAGTGCGATTTCTGCGACATGCTCGTCGACGTAATCGCCAGAAGTCTTGGGGAAGAGGAACAGTCGGATCGCCCAAATCCAAGGTCGAGGCAGAAATCGGATGCCCGAAGCACGAAGGATCTACCCCGCGATGAGCGATATGCCCTCGCGCTGGAGCAACATGGGTTTAAGCAGAAGAAGAAGGGCACATCTTTTGTGGCGCTGGTGCAATGGCCATTCCCTGGGATGCAGCATGTCGTAGCGATTGAAAAGTTCACGGGCGTAGCAGGGGCGCCAGGAGAAGGCCTTGTTTCTGTTTGCGGGATCTACACAGACTCTGGTAGGCTTCCTATTCTCCGTTGCCGAAGCACTGACTGACCGGTGACGCCTACCAGCTATACGATCGCGGTCTCCACTAGGCATCGAACTTTTATTGGCCCTCAAAGTCCCTGCCGAGGTGGACCTGGACTCGCTTGCGATCCAGGTTAAGTATTGGCGGAGGGCGTGCTGCGAGAGTCATCAAGTCTGCAATGGGCCGGCCGACGCGCCTCCCAAGCCGCCTCTGCCCACTAGGGTCCTTGACGTCCAGAAGGAGCGCTTGTATGAGACGAATCATACTCCTGGTCGATATATTGCACTCAGCCACACCTGGGGAGGCCAGGTAGAGGGTCGCACACTCAAAGGGAACCTCAAAGAGAGACTCAAGGGATTCTCCTTCGACACCCTTCCCCTCAACTTCCGTGATGCGATCAAAGTCACCAAAGCGCTCGGAATGCGGTACCTCTGGATCGACTCTCTGTGCATCGTACAGGACGATGCAGATGATTGGGAGAGGGAAGCCAAGACGATGACGGGGTTGTATATGAATTCGTGGATCACGATTGCAGCGTCGCGAGCGCCAGACAGTGCGGCGGGCTTTCTGGGGAGGAGGGATGTCCCAAAAGCGATTAAAATGCCGGGCGAGGGCGGGGAGTACTTCTACGTCTGCCCAAATGTCGCTCTTCGTTTCGACGAGGCCGTTTTTGGCGCGCCGTTGAATCGCCGGGCATGGGTCGTGCAAGAACGTGTCCTGTCGCCACGGACGCTTCACTTTACTCGATCGCAGGTGTACTGGGAGTGCGCCTGCAAGACCCTAGCGGAGGACATGAACCACCAAGCTAACCCGGACGATAAACTTTCGATGACCCAAACACCCCGCGCCCTCTTCGAAGGAGTCAAGGGGAAAACGCCACAAGCATGGTGGGCTCTACTGGAAAACTACACTGCGTGCGGTTTGACTTATCACTCAGACAAGTTGATCGCCATCCACGGGATCGTTTCGTGGATGACATCGAAGTTCGGGCTCAGGTTCCTCGCTGGAGTTTGGGAAGATAGTGCTTCCGTTGGTCTTCTCTGGGTCGCGGCGGACCGCGAAGGATTAGAGCATTTATCTGAAATCAGGGTTCCTTCGTGGAGCTGGGCGAGCAAAAAAGGCCCTATCAAGCATATCAAAATGCTGGGTGAATACGAAGATAATACATCTACGTACATTACCGGAGGCCCGCCTACAGAAGAATCCCAAACCGCCGAACCTCTTGTGCTCCATGCAGACGTTTGCTCGCTCCAATCAGGGCTGCGTTTCGGACCCTTAAGGACATCGTACCTCCCGTTCGAGTTTGAAAAGTCCAACGCACGCTACCGTCGCATCGAAGACCCGCGTGAAAAGCTTGGTGTACGTGGATGGGCTGTCTTGGATGAAGACTTGGAGTCTCCATCGGAATCCAACACTAACTTTGACGACCTTTATTGGGTTATTGTTCGATGTCAAACAGACACAGAGCCTGAACCAGAGCCGGGGACCAGTATGATGAAGTCACCATTCCTTGATACACAGTACTGCCTTATTGTCCGCAAGGCGGAAAGTGGGGATGGTGAGTATGTACGTGTGGGATCGGGGGCGATATTTGGTGCCAAGCGGCTTAAAATAAAGCGCAAAGGCGTGAAAGTGATATAAACTAGGAAAATCTCGCTATTTTATGTTCTTAGGTCGATAGTAATACTTGTCACGAGTGTAGGATCTCCTACTTTACCAGACCAGGGGTTCAGGGGGTCTTCCAGGGGCACCCGAACGAAGGGCGCTGTTCTCACCATATATTTATCTCAGCTAGCGCTGTGTCTTAGTTCGTATAAGATAAGATACGTGTGCGGTTGTTTTCTTGACATCGACTGCGATGCTCAATATCCAAACGTCTAGTATCGACTCTTCGCCATCTCAACCGTACGATGGCTCGATAGTGCGCCACACTACAACTCGCGGCGCTTTAAAAGTGATCGATCCTCCTAACCCCCTGTTCACCTACAACCACCATCTCATCTAAGAGTAGCGATCATGGTCAAAGCTGTCTGGGCGACACTGATTACACCCCGCGATCCTGCGTACCTTGCCGGTCTCGCGGTGCTTGCGGAGACACTCAAGTCCGTGGGGTCGAAATACCCCTTGGCGGCCATGGCCACGCCGGATGTGGCCCCAGAGTGGCGCGCATACCTCAAGGGACGTGGGATCGTCATCATCGACATAGAATACATGAAACCGGCCGAAGGGGTCGACTCACCTTTCAAATTCGACCCCCGGTTCGCAGATACGTGGACAAAGCTGAGGTACGCCTCATCTGACCAGCCCTGACGTCCTACACCCGAACTCAATCCACACGCCCAGGGTGTACGATTTGCGCGATTACGAGGTAAGGATTTCATTTAGTGCGACGTGATTGTTGATGATGAACTTTTCTGAAGCGTGTTGTCCTCCTGGATTCTGACATGATCGTGATGAGGAACATGGATGAACTAATGGAGATTGAGTTACCCAAGGATTGGGTGGCGGCAGCCCATGCCTGCGCGTGCAATCCGCGCAAGTTCGCTCATTATCCCAAGGACTGGTGCATAGGACTTCTCAGAAGTGACTGGGAATGGCTGACTAAAACAACGTCTAGGATCCCTGAGAACTGTGGACATACAGCCGTCGAAAGTCCTACCAGCCCTCCGCCCGAAATAAAGCCGGACTCCCCTCGACCATACGGACTCCTGAACTCCGGTCTCGTTGTGATTACTCCCTCCTCAGAGCTATTCGAAGGGCTCTCCAACTTCTTAGCCACCTCCCCCGATATCTCGACGTACAACTTTGCCGATCAAGACCTCATGGCCGCATACTTCAAAGGGAAATGGAAGCCATTGAATTGGTACTACAACGCGCTGAAGACCTTGAAGATCGTTCACAAGAAGTTGTGGAGTGACGACGAAGTTCGATGCTTGCACTATATCTTGCCAGAGAAGCCCTGGCATGGGAGGGTAGGCGCGCCAGGAACGGGTGGGGACTATGAGGAGGTCAACAGGTGGTGGTGGGACCGGTTCGCGAAAGTGGAGGATCAGCTGAAGAGTTCTGGTGACGAAGCTGGACTGAGATTGCTTCAGTCCGTGGTCCCTCCACCGCTTTAACTCAGGCACGCCAAGCGACGTGCACTTGATCTGTACGAAACCTAGAATATGTTGTCAGAAGGAAGGAAGTCTATGTAACAAAGCTCAATCTTACCTTTGCGTGCACGTACTATCCGCTAAGTCTGTGCACTGGCCCATTCTGAACGCGAGTAAGCCAGCTTGTGCAATCATTATGCCGTTGTCGATGCAGAACCTTGAAGCTAATCAGCGACGTCGGCCACGTTTACAGGCTAATATTACCTTTCGTCCGTTGCAAATACTTGGCCACCCCTCTCCTTCGCCATTATGCCCATCATCTCTTGCAGCCGTTCGTTACCTTAGTCACACCGCAACGCGTAAGCCTCCGGCACGTATATGTGAGGCAGAAGGGAAGAACGTACATCCAACGCCTCCCACAATTAGAACTTCTTTGCTGCCGATGTGGGCCATTGCACGTTCCGTAATTTCTACAAGCATCGAAAATATCGTCTCCTGGAGCGAGAAGCATAGATCGGCTGGGGTCACGACATCCTCAGAATCCGATCCGGTCCCATCCAACCGGAATCGTTTATCTTGCGTATAAGCCTCGGTGGAGGTGAGTATACCCGAAAGACTAACATCCATGCCCTTCGTCGTATAGGGAAGCGGCAGAAGGCGTTTGCCTCTGAGAACGGCTGATTAGATGAGGAACTGCGCATAAACAGAAGCATCACTTACTTCTTCGCCTCTTGTTCGATGTTGTAACCTGGGCTGGGATCATTGCTGAGGTTGATCACACGAGCGAACCGATCAAGGCAGTTTCCTACTGCGATGTCGAGCGTCTCACCGAATATCCTGTAGCATTGACGGGAATATGCTATAACCTGAGTATTTCCGCCAGAAACGTATAGAACGACTGGGTTCTGGGCTCCAGTGATCTCGCGACCCATTTCAATGTCTATTCGTAGATCAACAATGATTCAGACAGAGGAGGGTTGTGAAACGTACGACCAACGCAGTGGTTCACGCCAACAAGGGGTTTGCCGTATAATTGAGAAAGCGTTCGCGCTACTAACGCTACTGATTGTAACGGTGCACCCATACCAGGACCTGAAATGAATGTCGATCGCATCAATCAACCAAAGGCTGAGCAACACCCCACACCTTTCGTGTAGCATATGCAGTCCAAATCATGGATCGATACTCCCGCTTTCTGGAGAGCATCTTTGATCACGCCCATGATCCACTGCCGGTGATGCAAAGCCGTGTCCCTTGGCTGAAATCCCTCTCCCGGCGGAGTAATATACGTGTGTCGAATGTTTGAGAGAACAGTACTCGAACCATCTTTAGCATGCTTGATTATGCCAGCACCGAGCTTATTGGCGGACCCCTCGAGGCCCAGGGCAAGGTATGGCCGATCTGCAGCTCGGATGTGAGTTTTCGGGCAGAGCGCATAGGGCGATCATTGACCTGGCCGCTGGAGAGGGGCAGGCCTGGATGTACGAGCGGGCATGATCGTACTGTCAGTAGGCTTTTGTGAGGCCAAGAACAATCGAACAATCGGAGACTGGTGAGCGGGTGAAGCGGTCTCCGTCTCGTCTAGCATTTGAACCTGTTAGTAACTCCGAAGTATTCTCACGGTCAGTAAATTTGTCCCACAGTCATAGAGGACGCCTCGATCGACCGAAACGTCCCCATCGGCCGCTTTGACTGAAATGGGGTTGGTGTGGGTGTCCGAATGTTGGATTGGGACAATTTACCAGGGGTCAACGCTTCAGCACCACAATAGAAACGTCTGCTTCGAAAAATAGAACCCGGGACGTGGGTATATATTTGCGATCCATCTCGGAATGGTGTGTGTCACCAGGCGGTAGGCCAGAGTGAAAGCGTGTATTCATTTCTGCATCAATAGATGGAACAACGATAAAAATGAAACTGTTGCTAATGCAGACAACAAAAGTGACGTGAAATGGTAGAGAAGCGATGTCTGTCGACCTAGTGAGTCGTGGACGCAGCATGCTAGTTGATGTGATGCCAAGATGGGCATCAATCAAGCTGGGTTGATCAGAATGAGGCCATTGGCAGATAGTCCCGGGCGTATGCACTGAATTAAGGCGGCAATGTGTCCTGGACGAGGCCCGAGTCGTAGGGAAACGTGCGAGATGACCTGACGCGGGCCGTAGTGCCAGAGCTTCGAGCGGCGTACGACTCCGGATATCGGGCTGTGAAGTGCGGGGAAAGTGAGTCACCTTGCTCAGGAATTGCTGATGTGACGCTACTTTGACTGCTGAGCGCCAGGGATATATATTTCGGCAATCTGAGCACCAAAGTTCTGGATTGGCGCAGGCAGAAGAAAAGCTGAGCCACCTTGATCCAGTGATGCCAGGACTGCGATGGAGTGTGGAGGGGACCTAGTCTAGCCAGAGCACGTCCAAAAGCGAACGAGAAGATGCCGGGCTCGGATAACATTTTTATTTTTATTTTTACCGCCAGAAAGTGAACACCACGCTTCGAGGGCGTGCAACCCGAAAACAAATGAGCCCGTCTCTTGATTGTGATTGGGCTGATTGTTGATGGTCGCACAGGAAAGGAAGAAGGCCGATTATGTGAGCTGGAATATTTCGCACTCCGATGCCTGAATCTCGCCCCCGCTTCCCACGGTCGCCCTCTTTGTGTCCCCATCTCTTCTTATAAGCCGTTGTCTCCTCTCCACCACCATCCCTACCGCCCTTCCCGCTTTGCTTTCTTCGTCTTTAATCTGTGAGTCGCTTTGCCCGCCCTCTGGCTGATGTTGGGTGCAGTTTGGGTCTTGCGGTCAGCCGTGCTTGTGGGCCAGATGGCGCCTCGAATCAGACCACCTGGAGGTCAGCCTGCGTGTTAGCTGTCAAGAACCTTTTCGCTTGATTTTTGCGGACTATGATGATAAGCGGCTCGACTGTTGTGCTTGCTGCTCTACTCGTGTTGTCAACCGCCCGACCTGTTACGTGTTCCGCAGAACAGCCTTGATCCACACGCTGCCCTGCCCCTTCATGCTACAAAACCCTTGCCGCCTCACTTCATCTTTTCACTCACTCACCTCATTTCCCCCCGCATTCAGATACTTAAATTCGCATCCACCCACCATCGATGGCAGACAGCTCATCACACAGACTAGACCTTCGTGTAGGAGGCAAATACCGTCTTGGCAAGAAGATTGGCTCTGGATCTTTCGGTGAGTCGCAATGCCCCCTTTCCCCCGCTGTTTGCTTACGCGGCTTTCACAGGTGATATCTACCTCGGAATCAACATCATTTCGGGCGAGGAAGTTGCCATCAAGCTTGAATCAGTCAAAGCCAAGCATCCGCAGCTCGAGTATGAGTCCAAGGTTTACAAGACTCTAGCCGGCGGTGTCGGTGTGCCATTCGTCCGATGGTTCGGAACTGAGTGCGATTACAACGCCATGGTGCTTGATCTGCTCGGGCCGTCCCTTGAAGACCTTTTCAACTTCTGCAACCGCAAGTTCAGCCTGAAGACCGTGCTGCTCCTGGCAGATCAGTTGGTGAGTAATCAGTCATTGTCAAGGGTTTATTTTTAACCCTCTGTCAAGATTTCTCGCATAGAATATATCCACTCGCGCAACTTCATTCACCGCGACATCAAGCCAGACAATTTCCTCATGGGAATCGGCAAGCGTGGCAATCAAGTGAATGTTATCGATTTCGGTCTCGCGAAGAAATTCAGAGATCCCAAGACCCACCTCCACATCCCGTACCGCGAGAATAAGAACCTGACGGGGACTGCTCGCTACACCTCAATCAACACCCATTTAGGCGTCGAACAATCTCGTCGCGATGATTTAGAGTCGCTGGCATACGTCCTCATGTATTTCCTGCGTGGCGCTTTGCCGTGGCAGGGGTTGAAGGCGGCTACCAAGAAGCAGAAGTACGACCGCATCATGGAGAAGAAGATGACTACTCCCACCGATCTCCTTTGCCGTGGATTCCCTAACGAGTTTGGGATCTTCCTCAACTATTCACGCGCTCTTCGCTTCGACGACAAGCCTGACTACTCGTACCTCCGCAAGCTCTTCCGCGATCTCTTTGTTCGTGAGGGTTACCAGTACGATTACGTTTTCGACTGGAGTGTGCAAAGGGGCGCCACTGACGACAATGGGGCTGGCTCAAGCTCGAAGACCACCCGTCGTAAGGTTGTTCAAGAGGAGGATGATCACCGTGCTAGTGACAGAATGTACGGCCTTTACCTTCTTTTTGACCGCTGCATGTTAACGTCTTCTTGACAGGTTGCGCTCTCATACTCGCCAGGCGCAACAAGCCGCTCCCGGCGCTGTCGGTCAACAGCGTGGGGGACGCAACCGTGACGATCTCTGGTAAATGAACTCAGCCTTCCTGGTTTGTTTGCGCTGTGCGCTCCGTGTGGCCGAGCGAGGGGGGGCGGAGGGAAGGTGATAGGTTTAGCTCGGTCATGGCAGTCAGAGGGTTGATAGGTCAACCCATTAGCGGGTCGGAGGATATGCTCGCGAGTGGAAGGTGGTGGGTCGACAGCAGATGGTCCATTTTGGGACCTCCCCGGTTTCTGGTTCCATAGCCATTGGATTGTTTCCTTCGCTACCCACTCTCGCCCTTCCTGGTATCATAGCACAAGCAGCTCGACGACCGTAGGGCTACGTCTTCCACTTGTGCCGAACGAACAGACCCGCCACGTCCATCCCATGGTTACTTTTTTCTCGAATACGGACGCCCTTTTCCTTTCCAAGTTGAATCGTTTATTGCCTACGGACAGTGATGAAGATTCAATGTCCTTTATATCCCTTTATCACTCTGCGTATTATCGCACATACATCTCCCCATCTGGTTCGCGCCCGTACCATTCTCCTTTGTACAGCCCAAAGGGACTGGCTCCTTCCCCTTGCCGTATATAACAAAACGTTGCGTTATCTGTACACATCACCTTCTTCAACGTTTATACTCCCCCACATTCCTTGGATTTCACTTTATTCCTTTTCTTTCTCAGCACTTGTGGTCCTTCCATCCCCCACCTCCCCCAGTATCTGGCATGTCGGCTAGATACGGTCGAGGGCGAGCGGAATGGAAGAGGGCGTCGCGTCTGGGTACCGATTGGGCTGCAAGCGTGTTGATTTTCGAGGGAGTTTTCGCGAGATTTCGGCAATGTTTACTTCACGACCTTGTTATGATCCCCTCATGAATTACTCCGCTGCACTTCACTTCACTTCACGACATCTTTGCTCAGATGCTGGTGTTATCCATTATCCATACATCCAATACTCCACCCCTGTACTAGTCTAATATCCAACCCCATTGTGTGTGTCTAATTCTCGCTGTCAATCATAGCACAATTTGAGTCGTGGCACGAGTCCTCAAGTATATGTATTCAGCTTCTTTAGCCACTGAACTCTCTTCGTTTCGCAGCAGGACGTCGCCCAGTATGTTGTTGAGTACGATGGTATGGGCGAAGCAGCCAGAGGCGTCTCCAGAGGCCGTAGACCAACATGCACAAACAGAGGCCAAACAGACATGGTCCACGTCTATCAACGTCTCGACACACATCGACGCTCTCTACAAAATGTCCTCGCTCTCAATCATGTTCCCGTCGAAGAAGGAGGAAGAGAGCGGCCTCAGCTCCTACTATAATAACAAGACCACCATAATACAGGAGGCTCGCGTCTTCAATGATTCGCCAATTAGTCCACGGAAGTGCAGGGCACTTTTGACACGCATCGTATACCTCCTTTACATAGGGGAGACGTTTGGGACGCAGGAGGCTACGACACTGTTCTTTGGAACTACGAAGCTCTTCCAGCATAAGGACGTGAGTCGCGCTACTTGTGATGGGAGACGGCGCATTAATGAGTGTGTGATGTAGAGCGCACTCCGTCAGGCGGTGTACTTGGCCATCAAAGAACTCGCGACGACGGCGGAAGATGTAATCATGGTCACAAGCAGCATAATGAAGGACATGCAGCCGAATTCTGAAGTGATATACCGACCAAATGCAATTAGGGCACTATGCAGAATCATTGATGTGCGTGGAATCTTTAACCTCGTGGATTTCGACGCTGATTCGGGATGTAGCCGTCAATGGCGCAAGGTGTCGAGCGGTTCTTCAAGGCCGCGATTGTTGACCGGAATCCATCCATCTCATCCGCTGCGCTCGTCTCCGCGTACCATCTCTACCCACACGCCAAGGATGTCGTGAAGCGCTGGGTGAACGAAGCGCAAGAGGCCGTAAATGCTAAATCCTCGTCAAGTTTCTTCGGCTCTGGTTCAGGAAGTGGTTACCTTGGATTTGGCTCTTCTGCCCCCAGTGGTCCTCAGACGATTCCTTCCACGAGCTATGTTACGCAGTACCATGCCCTCGGTCTCCTGTACTTGATTCGCCAACAAGACAGGATGGCTGTTACCAAAATGATCCAACAACTTGGCGGTGGTAAATCTGGTAGTGGCACCACGCTCAAGAACCCGATGGCTCTTTGCATGCTCATCCGTTACGCGGCAAAGGTCATTGAAGAGGATCCTAAGTGCGTATATCAATCCTGGCCTGTCGTGTAACTGCTAACGGGCGGTTACTAGTACTCAACGGCAAATGGTAGAACTCCTCGAAGGCTGGTTACGACACAAGAGCGACATGGTCAACTTCGAAGCCGCTCGCGCTATCTGCGAAATGAAGCACGTTACACCGGCGCAACTCACGAAGTCTATCTCAGGTCAGGAGCGGAGTGTCACGAAAGTTACTTCCCGTTATTAACTTCCTATAGTCCTTCAATTGTTCTTGTCCTCGCCGAAATCTGTTCTGAAATTTGCCGCAACACGGACGCTCGCTGCTCTTGCTCTTACCCATCCATCTAGCGTTTCGACGTGTAACGTTGATCTTGAAGCACTCATTGCTGATTCAAATCGCAGTGTCGCGACCTATGCCATCACCACACTGCTTAAAGTGCGTTACTCATTGACTTATTTAGATTGTCACTCAGATAGGATCAGACCGGTAACGAAGCCTCAGTGGATCGGCTCATCAAACAAATTACTGGATTCATGGCAGAAATCAGCGACGAATTCAAGGTCATCATTGTCGACGCGATCCGTTCCTTGTGCCTCAAGTTCCCCACAAAACACGCATCAATGCTGTCATTCTTGTCTGGTGTTCTTCGCGACGAAGGCGGCTACGATTTCAAGCGTGCTGTGGTGGAGGCGATGTTTGACATGATCAAGTTCATTGGCGAATGCAAAGAACAGGCTCTATCCCATCTATGCGAGTTCATCGAAGATTGTGAATTCACGAAGCTCTCGGTTCGCATCTTGCATCTTCTCGGTATGGAAGGCCCTAAATCCCCCCAACCGGCAAAATACATCCGTTTCATCTACAATCGTGTCGTGTTGGAGAATGCGACCGTTCGAGCCGCGGCCGTCTCTAGCTTGGCTAAATTTGGCGTCAACTCTGGTGATGGTGGCCTTCGGACCAGCATTGGGGTTCTCCTTAACAGGTATTCTCTAAAACGTGTATTCATCTCCCTCAATTAACCGCTCGGTTAGATGCCTAGACGATGTCGATGATGAAGTACGCGATAGAGCTGCTCTATACCTGAAGGTCTTCCGTGAACAAACTCTCGCAGATGTTTATGTCAAGGAAGGTCGGTTGTATGTTACTTGACAGGCTGACGGCATCTGACTTTGCCAAAAGAGTCCGTTTATTCCCTGGCAGCGCTGGAAGCGAAGCTCGTTACCTACGTCAAAGATCCATTAGCTTCGGGCGAAGCGTTTGACGTTTCCTCAGTACCCAAAATTAGTCGGGCTCAGGCCGCCCAGGAAGCTGCACGTACGTTGCTTCGGCGGGGTTGTTTGCCTTTTACTTAAACTTTCGCAGGACCGAGTACGCTGGATACGATTGGCATACCCACTTCGAAGGCTTCGACTTCTGATTCACCCGCGCCACCAACACAAGCTGAGCGCCAGTCGGCTTACGCAGAACAGTTGGCTGAAGTGCCGGAATTGTCTTCATATGGACCTGTCCTCAACAGCAGCTCGACGCCAGCGCAGTTGACAGAAAGCGAAACAGAGTACCAGGTTACATGCGTGAAGCATATCTTCAAGGAGCATATCGTCTTCCAAGTAAGCTATCAATCTCATCGTTCATTTGTGGCTCCCATCAACCGACCTTCTAGTTCAATATATCGAACACGCTTCCGGACACAGTGCTTGAAGGCGTGTCTGTGTTTATGCAACCTCAGTCAGACGACGCAGGGCTGACAGAAGATTTCATCATCCCCCTTCCATCACTGACTGCCGCCACTTCACCTGGAATCGTCTACGTATCCTTCACACGCGAATCACCCGAGACCTACACCATCGCATCATTCCAATGTACGCTCAAATTCGTGAGCAAGGAACTCGATCCATCAACAGGCGAACCCGAAGAGGAGGGTTACGAAGATGAATACCAATTAGAGGAGGTCGAGCTTAGTGCTGGCGGCGATTACATTGTGCCCAGCTACGCAACATTTGGTGCTGAATGGGACAGACTTAAGTCCGGACCCAACGCCACTGAAACATTTGCCTTATCTGCTATGGAAAGCATCAAAGGTATGCTAGTTTTCCCCCGATACTGTATAGTCGGCTGATCTCTGGTATAGCCGCCTGTGATTCTATCATTGAGGTTCTGGGTATGGAGCCCTTGGGTGGGACAGAAAATCCTGCGCCGTCATCCGTTCACACACTACAGCTTTCCGGGTTGGTCGCAGGTGGAGGAGGCAAGGTTCTCGCTCGGTGTCGGATGACATTCTCCAGTGGCCAGGGAGTGACATTGGAGCTGGCTGTTCGTGCGGAGAAGCAAGAAGCCTGCGATCTGGTGCTTGCAGCTGTAGGGGGCTGATACGTCCGCACATAGATGTTGTACCATTCTGGATTTGTTGAATTAGATTCTTACCACCAGCGCGGTTTCCATTGGGCAGCTGCAGTGATCAGTGATTTCCCAACCCGGATCCGGGGTAATTTGTCGAATCGGAAAAGGAGGCACGCGCTCGGCGACCACAGAGATCGCTTGCCGGTCACGGTTGTCTCACTTATAAAGCTGGTGAAACGTACGAGATTTGTCGTTCAAATATATGAGGTTAATGTCTGAAAGGGCAGCTTCGACCGCGACAACCTCATAGAGCACCGCCAACAACCATGCCCGCTTTAGCTGCTGACCCTTCGCTTCCCACCGCGCGAGTCATCCATGTCGACACAAGAGGCGCAGTCATTCTCTCGGAGGAGTCGCCAGAGGTATGTCTTATCACACAAGTTGGCGTGCTCAGTCTGCTGACCAGAGTGCTGTGCAGACACGGGACAGCAGAGGAATCTATTTGCCAAACCACATAGAGCCAGTGTCTCATATTGCCGTCGACGTGAGTACAGGCCCTATGCTGCAGTCGGGTGACCTCAAAACTCATTTTTGGCTGTAGGTGGGGGGCTCGCTAGCAAAGGTGGTCTACTTTACACGCTCTCCAGAACCGCCCTCGTCGCCGTCTATTGCCGCTACACACGGGTCTGGGCCACACAGCGCCATATCAACCCCCCGATCTCTATCACCCTCCGAGGATGGCAGCCACTCGCCGTCGTCTGCCAGCATCAAGCGCGGCGGCGCACTCACTCCGCTGGTGCTAGACACCCCTAACCACCTTGTCTCTAACGGAAACGGCCTCTCGGGACTGCATGACGGGATGCTGCGGGAATCCGTGCTTCGGCGAGCCGCGCAACACTTCCCCGGCGGTTCCTTGAACTTCGAGCGGTTCGAGACGGACGATATTCACGAATGCGTGGAGTTCATCCAGTCCTTGATCGAGAGGTCGGCACAGGTGAATGGCGTGTCCATAGAGGAGATGAGGAACGGGGTGAAGATCATGGCGACGGGCGGAGGCGCTCACCGGTTCTACGAGCTGTTCAGGGATACGCTAGGGGTGGAGGTGAGGAGAGAAGATGAGATGGAATGTCTTATCGAAGGCCTCAAGTTCATCACTCTCATTCCGGACGAAGTCTACTTCTTCTCCGACGAACTCATTCACAATGTCTCCCATCCGATGCTAGCACTGGAACGACCAAGCCCCGATCCACCAAAGTTCCAAGTCACCTTCGAATCGAACCCAACGCCACAGCTGCCATGTCTGCTTGTTAACATCGGGTCTGGTGTGTCGATCATCAAGGTTGACGAGGATGGCAGGTTTGAGCGTGTCAGCGGCACGAGTCTGGGTGGGGGAACACTGTGGGGGTTGCTGAGCCTCTTGACACCTGCAACAACATTTGATGGTAAGCTAATGTTTGTCGATGTACACGAGGCATGCATGCTAATGAAGAGCTAGAAATGTTGGCTCTATCGGAGAAGGGAGACAATGCAACGGTCGATATGCTAGTGGGGGATATTTATGGACAGGACTACAGCCGGCTCGGCCTTAAATCGACGATGATTGCTAGCTCGTTTGGCAAGGTGTTCAAGAAAGGAGGAGAAAAGATACAATTCTCATCTGAGGATATCAGCAAAAGCTTGCTTTATGCCATCTCGAATAACATCGGTCAGATTGCGTGCGTATCACACCACCTTGCCGTATCTCGACCCCGTGCTAAGATATGTCCATGCGATTTAGGTATATGAATGCTGAGAAGTACAATCTAGACAGGATATACTTTGGCGGATGTTTCATCCGAGGTGGGTGTTTTTCATGTTTTGTTATGCCATGTTATGCGTGGAGGGAATATTGCGGCTTATCTCTGGATCTTTCCTTTTCATTTAGGACATGCTGCCACGATAAGTACACTCTCATACGCCATCCGATTCTGGAGCAAAGGCACAAAACGGGCGTTGTTCCTTCGCCATGAAGGATTCCTGTGAGTTTTTCATCGCAGCAATTGCCGTTCACGCGGAATTGCAGTCCTGATCAGTCATCCTTACCTACTATTCACAGCGGCTCGATTGGGGCATGGATCAAGAACATTGTGCCGGAAGAGGAGATAAACAGCCCTACCTCTCCATGAGGTATTGGTCATTTGGCCGTTGATGCTATCATGAAACTGCAAACTGCATTGCACGGCACGCGCAGTGGCCGGGATCTAAATAACTGTCGATTACTTGCTGTATATGCAGTGATATCCTTTCTTTGATCAGTACGGATTTACATGTAGTGTACTTTAGAGTGTGCTGTCCAGACACCACACGTAGTAGTATTTGTATTCTATACATACTTTTCACGTTCGCGTAGCTATTCTATCTAATTGTGTTGCTTGCATGGTGATGATGAGAACTTGAAGGAAACTGCCAGAGTGAGTGTGGGAGGACGCCTGACACCCTTGTGACAACTATAGAGCAAGCTCAGCCAGGCTCAAACTCAGCCTTGGATCACCACCACAGGTCCACTAGCTCGTGTATTCGGTCGTACCCATGGTTCCATAGATGGTGTCGATGCATATCAGCAAATTGACTGCGTATACTCGATAGCAGTTCAATGGCCGGGACCGACCGCCTTTGAAATTGGGATAATACGCCAGAATTCGGTTTACTGCAAGCGACCGCATGTGCGTTCGTGCAGCGGAAGCAACTGTTACCATCCCGTGTGTTTGGGAATTGAGATGGGTGCGGTGGCCCAACGATATGGGTCCTTGTATTAGGTTCGTCGAGTTCATGCTTAGTCTGTTATTAGTTTCGCTATCAACTGATCTTCTGATTCACTTGATGTGATCATGCCCGTTTATTTCGTGAACTAGAGCAATCATCATTGAATGTTCATTGCTAAATTGCAATTGACATTGAGCGCATTTCCATGCACATTGCAGTTGCACACACGACATCGCAATTCGCGTAGCAGCGTGTATTTCGGGCATGTATGATTTACGCCCTTTGGGTATGTCCCCGGTGGGCCATATCATTATGGACGGCTAATTGCTATAGACTCGGAGGCACGCACGGCGCTGTACTGCATTGCTGCATATGATGAAAACTTTGGCGGAGTCCCAGGACTCGTGGTCATCCTGTGACTATCATTTCCTTTCCTGAGAAGGACAATGTCCGTTGCTTCCCCGTTGCCTGGGTAAACACGAACTACTCATCGTCCTAGGTGGCTAGAACCCAGGCAATGTCCACGATAGCAAAGTGAGTCTTTGCCCACGTCGCCATCTAGTCCCTCTGACTAGCAATGTATTTATCTAGTACTACCGAAGGAGGCTATGATGGTGTAAGTTGGAACACCGGACGGTGACATATCAAACCGGCATGGGGGGACCCCGAAGCGTAGTGATACTGATGTTTTGTTTTGTAACAGGGACAGGCCATATGGAAACTGATGGGTTTGCAGGGATGCTGTCTCAGTGGTGGTGAGCTTGCGACCGTTCTACCTCCGACCTCCCGGCGGCGAACGCCTCGATAAATTGAAGCCAGCGTCGAGACGGCTTGATGAGAATCTCGAATTAATTCTGAGGCATAATGGAGCTTCCCCGATTACCTGCATGGCTGGTATGTTTTTTTATTTATACAAGGCAGTGGAGACGAGCAACGTGCTAGCCCAGTGCAACATCATAATCAGCGTCACTGTCATCCCAGCTGCTACACAGTATAACCCGATTCGGTAATCAGCGTCAGCAAGGGAAATCGCTGGCTGAGAGATGATGCACCCGCCGTGTACGCTGCTCTAGCGCCCTTTTGAGGTCGTCGACGTCGTTTGCGACGATGAGGAGGACCGGAGCAGCAGAGTGGACGGTGAAAGAAATAAAAAGTCGGAAATATAATAAATTAGCTATAAACGATCGGAGAATTAGAGCTGTGGGAAAGTGGGAGAATGGGATTGGACTTGACCCAAAAAAGTTGATGTCAGCTCATATAATGCACGGTTTCAAGTAACTGCTATTCCTTCCGGTACCACTATCATCTCTCTAATGGTAAAAAGTCCCCGCCTCACCTGGCCCATGATCCCAGACGACCTCGACGTCGAGCCACACAGCGACCAGCCCTCCCGCCAACGGCCTGCTGCTGCTGTCAATATCTGGAACGCTCCTTCACAACAAAAGAAACCCAGGCACAGACATTCCCCAGCTGCAATAGCCGCCCTCAATGAGCTCTACGACAGAGACGAGCATCCAGCCCTCGAGCTGCGCACATCCCTGGCAAAGCGTCTAGGAATGTATGTCCTTTCTCTTTGGGGCCCGTATTGATTGCTGAGAAAGTCTCACTCAGGGAGGTCAAAACCGTCAATGCGTGGTTTCAAAATAAAAGAGCTTCATCAAAGAAACAGCGCAGCCGGGGTGGAGTTCCTTCCCAGCGCACGTCGAGAGGCAAAGGCGCAAATACCCCTCAGGACCTCCACAAATACAACGACGATCTTGAGGACGAGGACGATTATTCCCGGGCAGATAGTCCTTATTCGCTTAATAACAGTTCTGTATCTATAGCTGGTTCAGACAACCCCTCTCAGACGGTATCCCCTACCTTTTACGCAGGAAACCCCGACCACACTCATTTCCTCGTCGAACCCACCGATATGCCTCGCAAAATGCGCAATAGGCCCACTGCAGAGCAGACAGAAGAGCTTCGCAAGCTGTACAATCAAAACCCACACCCTTCAACGGAGCAAAGGCAAATGCTAGCAGAACGTATCAACATGTGAGTGATACCTCCTATACCCTCGGGGAGTTTATCATCATCCCACGTTGTCAATGTGATGAACTGAAACTGACTTGACGATTGTCTCCATACTTTATGTCAATCCTGCAACTATTCCAGGCGATACCAAAGCATCACGAATTGGTTCCAAAACCAGCGCAGCCTTGCTAAAAAGCGGAGGGAAGACGACGGTGATGTCTCTACAGATTCTCCGTCTAATAGCCGGGAATGGCCAGAGCCAAATAGGACTTTTGCCGCTTTTCCGCCCCCTTCTAGCCATCCTTCGCTCCATTTACCTCCTCCTTCCACACACCCTTCTCTCGGCCTCCCATCGGCCTCTGCCCCTCCATCTCGGCGCTCTGTCAGCGTAACACCCTCTATCATTGGTGACGAGCCTTCACCTTCGAAGAGATCTAGACGGAGCGGTACCCCATATAGTAGTACTGCTCCTTCATCACGACCGAGACGGACCCGGCCCGAGCCTTATCAGCTCCATGCGTTAAAGGAACTGTCGGCAAAAACAATCAATCCATCCATTGAAGCACGCACGGCGCTTGCGCTTGAAATAGGAATGTGAGTGCAATTTTCTATTCCCATCAGTCTTTTTAGGTGCTCACGGATCCTATTCGCTTCAGGGATCTTGGTAAAGTCACGAACTGGTTTCGCAACCTTCGACAGACGGCTAGGAAGCGTGCGTCGAAGAAGATGGGCAGCGGCGATGATGATTATGAGGACAACGATACAGAGGGTTATATTGCCCTCAGTCTTCCGTCGGCTTCTGTCTCCCGCGCGAACTCGCCATTCGTTACTTCATCATCATCGTCTAGTCACGATGTAGATGACTCTATGGATGTCGACCATCACCACCGGTCTGAACCCCGCCGAAGACGAGTCATCCGTGCACTCAGCGAGTTTGATATGGAGACCCCCAGCCAGCAAGCATCTGATGATGGTGCAAGCGACGAGGACTTTGAAGAGGCGGTCACGCCGTCTCCTGACCCATCTCCCTCCCCTCCATCACCCACAGACATCCCCATGCCAATGCCAATTTCCATGCCGATGCAGCTTCCTTCCCCACCCAACCACGGTCACACGCATGCTCATGTCGATTTGAGGATGGTTCTTGACCAAACATACCCCAGCGAGATGGACAACAAGTCCGCACACTCCTCGAATGTGACGATTGAAGACGCTCTTCTGTTATTGAGCTTCCATCAACGCGCTGTGCATTAAAAGTTCCCGTCTGTATGTCGAAAGTATACTACTGGTGAGTGATTACGTTGTTGGTTGCTTCTCGCGGATTCTGAAGAAGGCATTGTAGATTATAAATATATACATACGTGTCGGCCATCGAACATTCGCGGTCGGCGCTGTACCTTTGCCTTGTACTTTATAATACGCGATACCAACAGGTCAAAGGGACGTACTTACCGCTGCTGTCGCTCGTTTCTCGTTACTCGCTCACTGCTGGACACCACTCATTACACACTGTTTCAACACTTGCCACCCATGCACGCTCATACATACAGCTTATACCTTTGAGATAAATTCCGACTGGCTAAATCTTTTCGTTATTCGTTATTCAATGTTACTATTACTTACAAACTGCTTTACCCACCACTCATCCAGTTACCCTCGTTTCGATATCGTACATATGCATTACTGATGTGTTTGCCAAATTTATCTGATGCCCTGTAGATCATGTCTGTGAGCATCGCTTCTAATAATGGAGTGTTTCAGAATAAACAAACTCCTATGCCCCTAAGGAATAAGCGCCGCCTCTTGAGCGTGCTGCCGGTCCCCCACACTCGGGTATTGGCCCAACTGCGGACGGTTGCTAGTTGGTGTATTTTTTGATGCCGTCTAGAATATCTGGTAGCTCATCTAAAGTGAGGTGCTGAATTGAGGATTCGCCTCCAGTCACGCGTTTTCCAAGTCCCAAGATGGGAACTGCCGGCCAGGGCACTCAGTGCTGGGCATCAAGTTCAAGTTTGAATCCTTCTCACAACCATCACCATCTCTTCCCTTCTCCCCGTCGCCAGCTCGTCGCTGCCACTCATTCCCTGGCCTTTTCTGTGAATTTCAGGCCGTCCATTCTCTTGCTGGTTGTACTGCACGTCGACAGACCCACGAATCTACAATCTCCGTGCATTTTTGCTTAGCTTTATTAGCAGAAGAATTCCAGCATGGCGTACCGCCAGAACCACGATCCTTACTACGGGGCTCAGCAACAGAACTACTCCCACCCAGGTCACGGAACCACGGGACAGAATGACTACTACGCCGATAACCAGGCTTATCATCAACAGAACTACGACACGCAGTCGAACTGGGATTCGAAGTCTACGAAATCGTACAATAGCTATGCTGCCAGCTCGCAAGCGCATCTGAACCCGTACGAGATGAGCCAGGTGCCTTCGCACCACGCCCCGCCGGTCCCTACTATGCCATACCAACCAAACTACCCCCCAGTGCAACCCCGACCAGGTATCTACCGTGACCAGAGTACCGCCGGCTACTCTGTTGCTCGCGAGAAGATGATGAAGAGACGTTCGGTCCGACAAATCGAGCTCTACCAAGGAAATCTTGTCATTGACGTCGATGTCCCCTCGACTATCGTGCCAGCAGGCAAGCAAGACATTGAAGAATTTTCCAAGATGCGATACACCGCCGCCACATGCGACCCCGACGACTTCTTGCGGTCCCGGTACTCCCTTCGCCCATACCTTGCTGGAAGACAAACCGAACTGTTTATCGTGATGACTATGTACAACGAGGATGAAGTTCTGTTCACCCGCACCATGAATTCCGTCATCAAGAACATCGCCCACCTATGCAGTAGGTCGAAGTCCAAGATGTGGGGTTCGGAGGGATGGAAGAAGGTTGTTGTCTGCGTCGTATCAGATGGTCGCAGCAAGATCAACAAGCGGACTCTGCAAGTCCTGACCGTGATGGGATGCTATCAAGAAGGCATTGCTAAGGACTCCGTTGGCGGAAAGGATGTTACTGCCCACATCTTCGAGTGAGTGATCATCTTTCTTCCGGCATGATATGCCTGATCATGATTGTCGGTTAGATACACCTCTTCCGTTGTTGTCACAGAGAAGGGCGAGGTCTCGCAGGGTGTTTGTCCCGTCCAGATCCTTTTCTGCTTGAAGGAACAGAACAAGAAGAAGCTCAACAGTCATCGTTGGTTCTTCAATGCATTCGGTCCTTTGATCAAGCCCAACGGTATGTTTCCGTGCCTCTGGCACATTATCTTCTTGTCTAAACAATTGGAACAGTCTGCATCCTCCTTGATGTCGGAACCAAGCCCACTGGAACGTCTATCTACGAACTGTGGAAATGTACGTTCGTCACAGTTTCCCTCTCGTCCTCCGAAGCTTATCGTCGTTGTTACAGGTTTCGACAAGCACTCAAATGTCGGAGGCGCTTGCGGAGAGTAAGTTTTGTAACAGTGCTTTCAGTATCCAGCTTGCTTATATTACGATCAGGATTTGCGTCGACACTGGCCGTGCTTGCTCTCTCCTCCTCACCAGTCCCCTCGCCGCATCTCAGAACTTCGAGTACAAGATGTCCAACATCCTCGACAAACCTCTTGAGGTATGCAATTGACAAAACTCCTCGGCAATCTGCATACATTCTTATGCCCTGTCTAGAGTGTGTTCGGCTATATCAGCGTTCTGCCGGGTGCCTTCAGTGCCTACCGATACAAGGCCTTGCTCAACGGCCCCAACGGGAAGGGCCCGCTAGCTTCATATTTCAAGGGTGAAACCATGCACGGTGGTAATAGCAACGCAGGCCTATTCGGTGAGTCTAAGACCTAGCTCAAACTCAAGCATGTACTAATCTCCATGCTAGAGCGAAACATGTACCTCGCCGAGGACCGTATCCTTTGCTTCGAAATCGTCACTAAGAAGAACGAAGGATGGGTGTAAGTTGCTCCCCCAACCTTAGATGATTATCTTTCTCTGATCAGACTTGCAGTCTCAAATACGTCAAGAGTGCCAAGGCCTCCACCGATGTTCCCACTTCCGTCCCCGAATTCATCTCACAACGTCGCCGCTGGCTCAACGGCTCCCTATTCGCCTCCATCCACGCTACTGTTTTCTTCTGGAGGATATGGACCTCGGGCCAAGGATTCTTCCGGAAGATCTTCCTCCAACTCGAGTTCATATACAATGCGGTGCAATTACTCTTCACTTGGACTTCGCTAGCGAATTTCTATCTTGCTTTCTTCTTCGTGAGTTTGATCTTACTCCATTTACTTTTGGAGTGGAATGTGGAGTAGAATACTGATCGTGGTGTGGGATATGTAGTTGGTTTCATCGGCAACGGCAGATTCGAAAACAGACGCGTTCAACTTCCTGAGTAATGGTGCCGGCAAGGCCGTCTTCGAGGTGTTCCTCAAGGTAAGTTTACCCATCTGAACCTTGTCCTAATACCGGGGCTGATCCTTGGCATAGCTCTACATCGCGCTCCTCTTCGTAGTCACTGTCTGTTCTCTCGGTAACCGTCCTCAAGTAAGTTCCTCCCCCTCTAGGCTATCTCTCTCAGATCACTAAATGATTACGACTTTGGTTAGGGTTCGAAATGGACATACACGCTTGCGATTGTTCTGTTCGGATTGTGTAACGTGATCACGTTGTGGTGTGCTGGATTTACCGTGTATCTCGCAGTTCCGAAGACGATAGAGGAATGGAAAGACTTCCCTACGTAAGTGCCCCTGCCTGCCATCTCGTAACACATACTGATTCATTCTGACTTTCCATGCAGCCTTGTTCAGAACAACTCGACCTTCAGAGAGATCGTCATCTCACTCGCGGCAACCTATGGCTTGTACTTCATCAGCTCGTTCATGCACTTTGAGCCATACCATATGTTCACATCGTTCATCCAATATATGTTCCTCCTACCAAGTTGTAAGCACCTCGGTTTACCGTTACTTTATGCGAACAACAAACTGACGAGTCCCCTTTAGATGTTAATATCTTGATGATGTACGCGATGTGCAATCTCCACGATGTTACCTGGTATGTTTATCCTGCCTGGATTTCCTTGCACACTCGTTTCTAATGCACGCTGCGTTAGGGGTACCAAGGGTGACAATGGTTCGGCTAAAGACCTCGGAGGCGCCAAGAAAGTGAAGAACGATGACGGCAAAGAGTTCATGGAAGTCGAGCTACCAACGGCAAGGGAAGATGTCGACTCGCTTTGGGCTGCCTCCCGCAGTGCACTGCGAGTTGTACCTCCCGAGGAGAAGGAACATCGTGACGCCGCCACCAAGCAGGCCGACCACGATCGTAACAGCCGTACCAACGTCGTTCTGGCTTGGGTTGGATCTAACATGGCCATGATCGTCGTCTTCACGTCAACAGCTTTCACCGACTGGGTGGCGCAGAACTTCTCGAAATCAACCGACGCCAACTTCAATCCGTATCTGACATTCCTATTCTGGGCACTGTAAGTCTATACCCTATGTTTCCATAAATGCATGGGCTGACGATTAATCTGTTTGTAGTGCTGGCTTGTCAGCAGTCCGATTCATGGGCTCCTTCCTCTATCTCCTCTTCAGGCTAGTTGGCTTATAACCACACTACCACCAGCGCCAGCGCTACCTTTTGACTTATTACTATATTTCTGTATCGGGAATGATGAGGACTCGTGTCATTCCCGCCATACCTTTCCAATCCGTTTAATCTGCGTGTATCCTTACATCTCCAAGCCCAAATTGATTTTGGCATCTGTGAATAGCAAAGATGGAGCAATGGACTAGAACTACGAACTACCTATAAGTACAGGAAATGGAATAAGCTATACTTAATCTCGAGATATACCGAGGATGCCTCGAGCCCATGTCGCGTCGCCCGAGATCTTTGTTGCGAAGAAGTCGCCGAGTGTTTCGTGCAATCTGTCTCGTACTCGTTCGTCGGCTTGGTTCGTGAAGTCGAGATTTTCTGGCATGTCGGACGGCGGGTGTAGCATGGAAAGAGCGTCCTGGAACCAAAGGTTATATACCATAATACTAGCGACACAAGAGTGATTGTACTCACGATAACACATTGTGCTAAGGCCCTCGAGTCCAACCTGTTGGCATTTGGGCCAGAACACTCACTACCAATGACTCTCGCTCCTCCGCCTTCGACAAGGCCTTTTCGGATGGCCTCTTTCCCTACTCCCATCAAGCCTCGTATTGCACCTTCCCTTGTGCCCTTACCCTTACCAGGAGCGACAAGGGCGAGAAGCAGTGTTTTCATGATACGAGGGGCGAGGGAAGGATATGTTGTTGAATGCTGCGTTAGGAGCCGAGAGAGCGTCTGAGCTGCCGCCGTGCGCAGATGTATTGCATGAGACGGCGCTAGGGATGAATGGAGAAGGATGGACAGAATCGGGGGTAGGACTTGATGTAACTTTGGAGTGGTTAGCACGAGATCTAGGCCGGAAAATAACGAGGCTCACATATGGTTCCACAAAAAGTGTTGTGTTCTCCAACAACGCGCTGATAACATCCAGTAGAACCTCCAACACCTTGCCATCAGCCTCGCTCTGAAGGTCTTCCTTCAACGCCCCTACAACTCCTTCGCCAACCCATCTTATGAGATACGGTAGAAGTGCTTGCAGACCTGCATCTTGCCTGAGACTCGCTAACGCAGCTGTTCGCTTGGTAGCATCGGATGTTGGGGGGAGAAGGGAAGTAATAAGGCGATTGTAGTAAAGCTGCAGCTCTCGAGACAGCACTTGCTTCACGAGTTGTTGTTGTTGCTGCTGTTGCTGCTGCTGTTTGATTGTGGTGCCCCGGTTCGGCGAGGAAGGTGCCAAAGGGAAGCCATTGCCATTGGGTAGTTGATTGGTCTTCGTGTCCGTTTGATCCGTTTCTCGAGGGATAGCAGGAGGATTTTCAGGGATCAGAGGTTGTACCCCTTCGACTGCTAGCCAATGAGCCGTCCAGTTGGCGCCTTTGGGTAAAGTGATCTTCTCGTCGCGCAGAACGCGGTCGAAGTCAATGTCTTCGTCCTCAACATAGTGTACTGTGCCAGCAGCGGCAGATTGGGGGAATGGAGGGGCGCGTCTGAACGTCGGGGGATTGTACGGCGAGTGCCCGTATAATGGCTCGATATTGAGTACGCGCATCGCCTGCTCTATGTCCGCCGTGCTCAACGTTGTCCGTCGCCCGTGGCGCATGAACCGCGCGGCTTCCTGTTACCAGTCAGACCACGTCGGGCACCTAAGAGCGTAACGCGCACCTCAACCACTTGATGTATCCGGTACTCTACATCGCTAGCCAGAGCCGAAGCCACGGTGTCTGAGATGCTGTTCAGACCATGCAATTCTGCAACATCCTGGGGGACGAGTATGTAGCGAGCTTTACAGATGATGTGGTCAAAACAAACCTTACTCTTATGGCATCTGGTTTGTATATGCCCGTCGTTTGGACTTGTGCGATTTTTGCCTTTGGCTTGCTCATCGGGCGCACTGTCAGTGGCCGTCGCTTGCGACCATCAAGTGCGCGTCCTCAGGGTCGCACAACATATACAAACAGCGCATTACTATGATAGCAGAAGAGAAATTCCGATGTTGAATAATGCTTATACTAACGCATTGTACAGATGCAAGATATATAACAACCCATGAATAACGAAGAGCAACGTGCGAAGGATAAATCTACTCATGATCCAGACCATGATACGGATAGGAAAGCGTAGAGTTCATCTTGGGAGAAACCATCTCGAATTGGGAGACATCGAAACTGGGCCTCGTCTCTTCTGAATCACGCGAGGACGCCATAGAGCGAGGAGGGGATGCCGAGCGGACAAGGGACGATGTGTTGCTTCTCGGCCGTGTCTTGAGCGACAGACGGTGATCTTGTGGTGGCGGCGGCGGTGGCCCAGGAGGTGCACCATTAGGGCTGCTACGCATGCCAGCTAGAAGGTGCTCGGGGATGCGAGGGCTTGGAGGTATATCGGACGCAGGCATATTCGGGGTATACGAATTTGTACTGGCTACACTCCCCCTTCTGGACCGTGTGCCAGGTCCTGAGCGATCCATGCTCGATCTTTGCGATTCGGTGGGGGACGAGTTACCGTTACCGCCGGATTGCAACGATTTCACCGCCTTCAGAATTGACTTTCGGACGCTCGTCTTCTCTGGTGCAGCGGGGGCTGCGAGTGTGCCTTGTTGATAGTTCTGCTGCTGAGGCGGCTGTGCGTAGGCAGGCGAAGGGGGCCGCGGAGAATATCGAGGAGCAGGGGGTCGATGAATAGGGTATGGTGACTCCTGGTCAAATCGTAGTTGCCCCATTGTAGAATCGCGTTGTGGAGGCTGCATCTGTGTAGGGAGGAACGGCGGTGCCAGGGACCCGCGAGGCGGAGGGGGAGCGAATCCTCCGCCGTTTTGAGGGGGAAGGTCAGGGCGATTCATGGAAGGAGGTAGCATTGACCCTGCTTGCATATTAGGGGAGGGCATCTGGCCAGGCTGCATCTGCATGTGAGGTGGAGGTGGTAGAGGGAAGGAACCGACGGTGGGGGTCATTGGCAGTGCTGGTAACGCTGATAGATCTTCTGAAGGCCGAGCTGATTGCGAAAGCGAAGCCGCTGGCGATGACCGACCACTCGTAGACGCAGGCGTTGACGAGATCGACGATTTATTACTCTTCCTCCACAGTTTTCTGAGACTCTTCACAGACATCAAACTATTAGAATTAGAGTTCTTGATAGACTTGGCGAGGACCTCCTCGTTGGACGTGGAATCGGCAGAAAAGCGGGAAGAAGGAGGCCTGCCCGACTCGGTTGGAGAGGTAACACTATAATAATCGACTTCGTGGGTGGCAGGAGCTTGGTCGCCTCCCCAATACGACGAGGGATGATGAGAAGAAGACGCTTCATTGCTCGAAGGGTATCGTCCAAATGGATCGGGAGAAAGAGGTATTACAGGGGAATCGGTCGTAGAGGACACGGCGGCATTGATGGCGGGGTATGTTATCTCCTGCCCTTCCATTTCGAGCTGTCGTTGCTGCGTCTCTTTAGATATCTCTTTAGAAGGCGATACGTTGAAGGACTTGGGTGCGCCAGTAGATACCCCGTTGAGGGCAAGCCTCGGGGGAGAAGGAGAGGCCAATGCGGCAGTTTGTGGGACGTCCGGCGCATCTTTCATTGTTGAATATGGAACCGATGGCCAAGCACCGCTGGTTGGCCTGTATGAAAGCATGAATACCGGTGAAAGTAGATGATTCTGAAAATCTTACGGAGTAAGGGTTGGGGTATCCGAAAGGCGAGACAACCCGGGGGTTGGAGGTAGGACCTCTGAGTTCAGCAGAACGCCCGATAGATTAGGGGACAGCGGAACGATGGTATCTGCAAGATCGGTCCTCAATGCCTTCGGCGAGAATTGAGCCAGATTCTACCCGCCAGATGAGTACTAGTCTAGAGGGAAAGAGCGAAATTGCGGCGTACCTTCTCGATCTCATCGAGTTGGGCTTTCATCATCAGTTGACTCCGCCGGCGATCGTTGGGGTCATTCTCATCGAACTGGACGGCATGAGAGATCCATCTGACGTGAACGGCGCCAAACTACTCACCTCTTCCGTGAGGTCCAACCCAAGGTCAAGATCGTCAAATATAGCCCCTTCCCTCTTCTCCGATTCCGCTGGACTCTTCACCCGCGAGATCTCATCCATCATCAAGTCATCCTCCTCGTGCTCCTCGTGCTCCGCATCCGGCGCGATAGGCTGTTCATCTGCTAAAGAAGAGGATTCAATGTTCTCCTCTGAGGTATTGGTGAGATATGCTAGGTGGGCACTACCTGAACTTCCGGGTAGTGGGCTCTCCACTGGCAGACTTAGATCCGTCGATATGGGCTTCAGGACGAGGGGCGGTGGGACGTGCTTGTCGCTTCGCGGAGGGGAGGTCGGGATAGATACGGAGAGGGCGGGTCGGGTCATCTGGTCCATTTGGTCAAGTAGGTCTGCGACTTCGTCCTCAGACCGTGTCAAACCAGTGAAATCGTCCTCGTCATCGGATGGCGGTAGCTCTGGAAGGTTTTCGAGGTCGGCGGCAGTTAATGCAAGGCTGACGACGTTCGGATTTGAAGGGGGTCGTTTCGCAGCTAGTTGGGAGTTGCGTAGCTCAGCCCAGGTTTCTTCATCGGTCCCAAACACGTCACTCAAAGGATCTCTGCCATTTGGGATTGAAGCTACCCGAGCAGTCGCATCTTCTTCTTCATCCTCCTCATCCTCATCCTCTTCGCCACCTCCGTAATCCGAACCTGTGTCGTCTGTCGTTGAGTCAGACAACTGCTGGTAGCCACCTTCCACCTCTCCTTTATCTTTGCTTGTCAAAGATCTCAGCGAAATGGGGCTTGCAGTCAAAAGACGTTCCGTCAACTTCAAACCAAGCGGAGCCCTGCGCTCCTCGGATGCATCGTCAACAGTCCCCTTCCTACTCGCTCGACTCTCCGCCCTCTTGACTTGGTTCATCTTCCTGCTCCTTACCCAGGGATCATACCACGGAGCTTTCCGACGGTCGACATCGAACTCCACTTTGGCCAGAATCGGAATGAAAGACGTGGAATTCAACCCAGGTAGATCGAGGCTGTCAGCGCGACGGGAGTCAAGGACAGAAGAGTCGGGTGTCTCGGCCTCAGATTGTGATATGGAAGAAGTACTAGGATGGGTGTGATGCTGGAGGTCTGATGCCGAGGTTGTGGTGGTCGTTGATGAGGAAGGTGTCAGAGGATACGGGGTGGTGGTATTTTCGTTGCCATTGGGAGCCGTGATACGAAGATGGTTGAAGCCGTTGGGGTTTGGAGATGATTTTGCACTCAACACGAAACCGAGGGGATTTGGGCTAGCACTGCGGGGGACCAACTCATCACGTTGCTCAGCTTTCAATACGCGTACCCAGAGGTGCTTCCATATATCTTCTGACAAACGCGGCCCAAGCTCGTCTCCCGGGTCCTCCAATCCGACTGGCCCGCTGGAGTTCTGAGGTACATTGGTGTTCACCAAATAGAGGATAAGTCCCATCGTGCTCGGCAACGCGTATTCCTTGGCAATCGCGCCGAGCTGGAGCTGGAGGTTGGGGTAAACTGGTACAAGTGTCCCCCTCTGAAACTGAGTGTGGTATCCAGAAGCGGTTGCCGGGGGCTGATTCGTTTCATCCGAGACATCGAAGTCGTGAAGGAGGTGTAATGGAGGGATAACGTGGAGGAGGAATTTAGACGTGGGTGTTTGATACGTACTGACGGCAGAAGAAGCAGACGGCGTTGGTGACCGTCGTAGGAATTCCGTAGCTGAAGATGGCGTTGGTAGAGAATTAGAATGAGACAAGTACGGCGAGCCAGAGCCAGTCAAGTAGGGTGAATTTGGCTGGGTCGCAGGCATAGGCGTGGACACTCCTAGCGCATTCGCCAATTTTGCTAGCCTATGAGGAGGAAGAGGTGACTTTGGGGGCGCCCATAGCTGTGACGGTGATCCAGAGTCCAGCGGTGATCGTGGTGGCGCATTGCTCGTACTAGACATGGGAGTCGTTTCTGTTGACATGATATCACCTCGTGTACGCGCCGAGTCGAATTGCGAGCGACCCGGAGATTAGAAAACAAGCTTCTATGAGGATATGGCGTCTATGACATGAATCGTTGGCCTAGGTCGAACTTTGGTCAGTTGGGAACAAGGCCGCCATGAAGCCGCAGCAGAATGGTCACCTTGGGCTCGTGGGGCGGGGGCGTGATGGTGGTGGTACGAGAGAGAGAGGCGAGTTGAGCTCCCGCGCTTTGCTGCCGTCGACGACGATGAACTTGAAGCAAAAATCAAACAAGCGTCGGGGAGGAAGAGCAAGCGTGGGAAAGTAAAGCCTTACTCAGTATCAGTCCCTCGCAACCCGATAAGATCTTGTACCTTGCATTCATTGTCTCTCATCAAGGGCGTACAAATTTCTACGTCCAATACTTGTGTTTCAGAATCCTTTCCAAACTTCATGAAGGGTCTTGCCTCGTCGTACTTAGGAGCGGGAGGCGAGGAGGAAGCTTTCGAAGCTTGAATACAGCACTGACCGATTGTATACGAGCCTAATGATCCATCGACATCGATCATGGATCAGACTTTGGTAATAAATCACGGGGGGGGGGGGGGGGGGTATAGTAAACGCTTTTGGCATGAGCAGTATGAGCAAAGGGACACACTGCCGCACTCTGCCACAGCAAGAGTATTAATGGCCAGTAGAGGTATGACTACATCGACATACATCCTGTCCAAGATATAGACTCTCGAAAAGATCAAGAGTACCTTGACGGTTCCATGATTCTATAGGCGGAAGTATCCAACCCAATCCACGAGACCGGGCGTCTCAAACCTTTCTCCGTCTGGGTTCTGAATGCCCCTATAAATGAGCCCCTAGATCCCAAATTCGAAGAGGAGACTACGAAGGTAGTTGTTGCAACGCGTTGCTGAAAACGTGTCCGAGCGCACCCAAGTGATTGAATCTATAGACGATTGAGCCTACAGGATCTGCTATGGTCAAGAACCTTGTTTGACGTATAACTTCTTTGGAAGCTGCGGTGGCGTGCCACAAACCCTTTACTTCCTGGTTCAAACGCTCATCAGCCTGGCAGCCGCCGACGATCATCTCTAGCATCTCCGGCACGGTAAAGTTCAACATGCATAGTTTGACTTGGCCAGACGTTCTACTATCAAATTCCAATGTACTATTGGCACCACTCATCGGCGGATGTATGGAGTGTACGACAGTAACGAGGCAAAGAGTTAGCAGTTGGAGCCATGGTAAAGCTCACCACCCAGGCCCGGCGAAATGCAGATCACCACGGTGTACGGTGATCCGGGTCGAATTAGGTTGGAATTAGGATGCAATATGTACTTCGATTCTGTAAGTTCGTATCGACGCGGTATGTAATATTTTATTTAATGTCGGTGAAACTGTGCAACCCGTGGATTCGTGCACCACATTCTAAAATATCTAATTGGGTTATATGGCGTGGAGTCATGGGTGGCGAGTTAGCGAGCCTCTTTCTCGAAGATTGAGAGAAGGGAATTCCAGGACACGATGCACAATACACAGGCTTATCGGATTCTCCTGGCAGTGGCGGTGGCTGTTTGATAGTCGTATAGTACCAGCCAGCTGGTACCAACCCAAGTACATCATATCCAGCGAACCATAGCGAGTCGGAACCAATGGGAGTTCGAGCGGTAGTTAAGTTAGTGGTTTAGCGAGTGTTCGAGTTAGAACTTAGTGAGATAGTGGGTGCATGAGTTGGTGAGATCGCGTGAATTAGTGAATTAGTACGGCATACTCTGATCAGCGATGCATCGATAATCCCAAGCCTCAACGAACTTGCAAACTCGTGGCCTGAGGGGCGTGTCCTGGTCCATGACCCTTTTAATCAATCAACGTTTAGTGATAAATGAAAAGGTTGGGAGCCGGGACGGTATACCACGTAGGCTAATAATTCGCTGCGACGTCTCTGAGAAGTCTCTGGGAAGCTGCAGTAATCCTCAACGCCACTTTCCCTATTTACGAAGGACTTTGGTAATTATTCGGAGTATGCCAGTGGTTTGTTTAGTCGAATTCCTCGGACAGCCGCTGCCAGTGGGAGTCTGAGGTCAAGGCAACTGATTGGAATGCAATAAGCGGCGATGGCGCTGCCAGCGGCTCAGCGGTGTTTACGACTGTGCTATGTCAGTAGTGATCGCCTTTCGGTGTGAATGTGAAACTGTTGCAAAGCACCCAATGCCATAGACCGGCTTCCCTCAGTGCCCTCGTACGCCGGCCGCGGTCCGCAGACGTCTTGAAATCCCCTGTCATCCGCCGCATCTAAATCCTAGTATGATCTATGTGTATGTATATGGGTGGGACTTCTCACTTCTCAAGTTCGCAATGTGATCACAGCTGTATGTATGTCAAAGCTGCGTTCTCCGATCGCATTCCATTCTCATGTCTTGAAGTTGAACATGCATTCTCATAGTACTACCTCATAGTACGCACATTCAGTCACTCCGATAGCCAGCAATTCCGAGTCTGCCTTTTAGCCTATCGGCGCACACGTTGTGTACTTTCATGATACTCGAAACACGAAACGCAATGCACGATTGTATAGTCCATGTCATGTTACTTCTCTGCGCAGAGGTCAGCAGATTCAAGTCTCCCCACATGCTGATCTGTGTCACCTGCACAGTGCAAAGACTCCCCCGTGTGTCACGCTACGGAAAGAGAGGCTCTTCGAAATTCACACCAGTCCGTTAACCTGAAGATCTGGCTGTCTATCTCCCCCGCTTCTCCGTCGTATCTGACGCCCGCTCCGTTGGCCGGGTGAACTTTGAAGACTGGGGTGAGTGAGAAGGAGCCTGTATTCCGTTGGTACCATCCGAACGGCAAGAAGGCAGAGGAATGAAGGCGTGGCTCCGATAGGAAGCATTTCAGGAAGAACCTCCCTCCGAGAAGTGCACGTTTTGTTCCTCTGGTAATAGTCACAATGCGTATCCCCCTGGGTCATTCAAGTTCATTGGAACTTGTTCACCGGCTACACGCTCCTATCAGAGAGATGATTGACGCTATTCGCTGGCTGCTTCGGCAGATAAACAACCGAAGTCCGGGGACGAAGTGGCTGTTAATGAACGGGCGTTTCATTAGAGCACTAGCTGGTCACGGTGTGGGGTATCATCTGCCTGCCTTGTGTCTGTGCAGCGTCTAGGACTACGGGTGATTGTACCGAGATTACTGGGATCGATACTGAAAGACGCCGGCGAGCGTTGAAGTCCTTGAGGGGTCGAGCTAGGGGCTCGTCGAAGAAATGTGCCGTAAACGCCGTCTGCCATTGGTTGCACAAAGGAAAATCGCCTGTAGATGCTCTCGTTATGGGCCAAGTGCCATGCAAATAACTCCCAGGACGTGAATCCGAGGAATGGGGACAATGGCAGGATGTTGTGTACAAAGTTTGTTGTAGCCAAACAGAGAGTGACTTTGGCGGCGAGTGGACTGGGAGCGTTTCTCTCTTTTCTTCCTTTGCAGCGGGAACTGGCCGTTTACTTACTTCCCATTTCTTCTCATTCCACAGTTTTCATCTTTACGAAAAATTCACGACCGTGTCGCCCACGAAAAATGGATCACCAGCATCAGCAGCACGACGAGCACAATCAGCAGCAGAACATGCAGCAGCCCCCATATAATTTCTACCAGCCTGAGCAGGATGCGCCCTATGGCATGGCTTATAACCCGCAAATGAGTGCTTACCAGGTCGTGCAGCCAGGACCCCAAACTCGTGGGTGCAGCGTTCCAATGCTTCACGGTCTGTTTCAAAACGCATGTCCATCTGATAATCGTCTCTACAGGACAATTATCGGTTACTGAGCTGCAGCAGCAAGGCATGGCATATCATAACATGAGCCTCATTCCGCCACATCAATATCCACCCGTTTATGCCCCTTCGCCTCATGGAGGCCTCGCGCTGTCTACATCGCCCCCTCCTCCCCCCTCACCAGATATGTACGACCCTCTGTCTCCCCCCATATCCGGCTCGGATACATCCGCAGACGGCATCTACAACCACTCCAACAGTAGCGGTACTGGTTCTCCTTCTTCCTCACGGGGTACAAGCCTTGTACATCGCCACATCCGATACAATCCCACATCATCTCCCACAAGCTCTTCTGGCCGAAGGCGAAGTCGTTCACAGGATTCCGACGAAGAAGACATGGGTGCACACTTCACCGAGAACTTGGCTCACTCGAGGAAAGAGGCAACGCGGCGGCAGAGGATAGAAGCAGAACAGAGGCGAAGAGACGAGCTTCGCGACGGATATGCAAAACTCAAGGATGTGCTCCCCGTGTCCAACCAGAAGAGCAGTAAAGTGTCACTTCTAGAGCGAGGTTAGTTTTCTTTCATTCTTCTGCCTTTGAATGAAAACCGATGGTCCTTTCAGCCACAAACCATATCGTCAGCCTTGAGAATACGAATAAGGAGCTTGTTGCTCGAATAGAGGCTCTGGAACAGGAGATGCAGAGGCTTCGCTCCATAAACGAGAAGATATCGCTCACGGCATCGTCGCCATCCACCTTTGACGGCCGACCACTATCTCCCCCACCCGACCCTCCAGTCATTAAAGAGGCCCCCTCCGACCACTCTAGTCCGTCAGCCTCAGAAGGCTATTGACCTTGCATGCTCCTCATCTCTCTGACCCCTCTCCATGTAACCTGCTTTCCTCGGTTGGTATTATATTTTCTACAGATCTAAACTCTCGGAGGTCGTTTGGACGATATACTGTGTTTTATGAAGCTACGGTGGTGGAACATGGAATGGCGCAGTCGATGGAACGGATGGGGTTTCGCATGCGACGCTAAACGCTGGCTGTTTTTCGTCAATTGCACACTATACTCCTGGTTACCATTGCACTGTCCTAGTCATGAGAGAGACTCCGCGACGACGACTTGATGTCTTTGCCTGGATCAGAAGCTGGGCTACGTTCATCCGAAAGAATGGCATCGTGCTTGATATTACACGTTATCTCCTTGATCGATGAACTATATTCTGCTCTCCACGCTTTCGTCGCCTCCTTCCTCCACCAATTACAACTCCCAGCGAGTTTACACTCTACTTCCTACCCAGGCTTCGAGCAATCTTAACCTTGGGCCTCGTTCTTCCTTCGACTGCCGTCCTTCTTACCCCCGCATTTTCCCCTGGTCATTTCCCGCGACGACATTCTTCTATACGCCGAACGCCACATTGCACTACAAACTACCCCACGCACCATACAATTCCACGAACTTCACGAACGCCACAGAACCCCCCTAACGGCAGTCGACATTCCAACGAGAGATTTTGACGATATTTATGATTCTTGACGAATATTAATACACGACCAAAACTAGTTGGGTTCGAGACGAGAAGGCAGGCGGCGACATGGCAAACACGATATCGATTTGATGAGGCACGTCCACGGCCAGCGCCATGCAGCTGGCTCCTCGAGAGGGAGATGGTTTGATTGGCCATGACTCTCTCGATGATGCTCAGCTTGTGTGGTGTCTGATTGTTGTAAACAGCCTTTGTAGTTCGTCTCGACGACGGAGGCAAGGCTAGTGATGGATGTAACGACGATATGGGAGGGGCTGGAGCTTGGGCTCGTCACCCTCTTCGTCCTGGAGTCTCGGATATATATGCTACGGAATCGTACACCTGTTTGGCCATCCCATTACCTTTTCTGCCCTCGACGAACTAGGACTTTCCCAGATGCGCTCTCATATGTAACTCGCTAGCATTTTTAGCATATCCATTCAACTATGAACAAATTGTATTTCACTGCACTTCTCTATCATCGCGTGCGAGAGTTACATACTCGTACGAAGCGCCTTTTAGACTGAATGGGGTGCTGTCTTCTCGAGCCCTGCAAGCTGTGAGCTTGAGTCTCGTACAGCATCTCAGGCGACAATTCAAATCACTGCGCATCTTTGCTTACACGGTGCGATCCGTTACAGTATAAACACAACATGCGGCTCAAATGTTTTGATACACGCATCACATCACAAAATGACTATCGCTTCTCCGGTAAATACTGATGCCTAAAGCGAGCAGAGCCAGTGACATCTTCAGCATTGGAACCTCATGGCGAAGTAGTATACGGCGTATATTGAAACACGACTTGCTTGCAGGAGTTCCTTACTTACTTAACCAGACTCAGCGAAAGTTTGAGCCTACACCACAATGGATGAATATGGCATATAAGGTATTGTTTCGACCGAAGGTTGAGGATGAATCGATGATAGCTCGGTGGGTCGGCAGTAGTTGCTAAGTCTGACAGACAGACTCCTTGAGTGGGCGACAGATATTCCAGAACGAATGTGGGGGGTGCAATTCGGCAGGTGCCTACTGAAACAAGTTGACCTGGTAAGAGTTGAAATAGCCTTAAGGCGTCTCATAAACCCGCACCCCTGCAGTCACCTGTTCGTCTAGCAGAAGCCACTAATGGTGTTATGGTATCACCCAATTCGACTTTCGCATGCCATACCTGCCCAAGTGTTAACCCCAAGCGAGTTCGTATTGGCAGGTCAGGTTTGACGGAGAACTTCGAAATGGGCGGACTATTTCTGTGTATACGAGAATGCCGGCTCATATTCCAAATAGGTCCGAGGACACGGAGACTGGCTGACATCCGGGTCCCTTTGTAATCGGCGTTGTCGGTATTGTGGCACCGATTCCGTCACTGGCAAGGGATCGAAGAGATTTGTATTCCAAGAAGGGACAAGAGAGTGACTCCCAGTGATAGTGGCCGCCTAATATTGGTAGGGTGACCTTCTTTCCTAGTGAACGGACCAATATACACCCTTCACGAGGGGCCTTGATTATCCACGGATCCGAAGGTACGCTGCGGGCGGAAGAGAATGGAATACCGTGATGAGATTCTGTTCCATACAGTTCATACCCGTTTGTGTATAGCTTACGGTACTTTGGAGGGTCCTGTGCTGCGAAGAAGCTTTGTAGCGCTAGACGGAGTTGATGTTGATGGAATCTCAAGTACGATAGTCGGGGGAATATTCCAGTGGCCAAGAGCCGGTGTCCATGACCATCGACTGACTAACCCGAGTTCGAGGGACTGATAGCAGAGACCACACGAGGCAAACGCAAGATCGATATCCGAGATTGAGATGAACGCGTGTTGGATTTAGGTTTCTAGGATCCACTCCGCTGGCGCGATGTGGACAATCCGAGGGAGGGAGGGAGGATGAGGAAGCAACTTGATGCGCGATCGAGGCTGGTTTGGGTGGGAAGGAATGGTGAAGATCAAGGCACCCAGAGGACGCCACAAAGTCACTGGACGATGTGGGATACTGTGTTTGAACGAGGATACTCGGGGGTAGAACATCACTTGGCCGAATCGATTGCAGATTGGAGGATCGGCTGTTTTGCGGATTTTGGTGGAGGTTCGCGATCGAAAAATGGTGCAGAGATAGAAAGTCTCCACAGAACGAAGTGCAAAAGGTTGACAAGAAAGACAGGCATCCATCGATTGCGACTCAGCGAAGACCTGGCGAAGTCGAACAGAAGAGAGGTAAGGAACTTTGGAAGATTTAGAGCGTCAAAGGGCATGGGTACGGAGAAACTGTGAAAGGTTTTCGTCCGACGACGAGTCCTTCCGGAGGAGTCCAGTACACTGGGAGTGCTTCGGATAACGGATCTATAGCGAGCAGGCATACTTGTTACTCGGGTAAGTGTCAGATTTTGGCAAGTGCCTTCGTCATCATCGATCCACACCAAGCGACGACAGGGTAGTACGTCGAACAGCAGCTACGCATCGATGGAGGCGATATGAATATGGATATTCCAGTGCTTGTCAGACGAATCCTAATAGAATTTTAATGAAACCGGTAAAGATAGCGGTCGGAAACCACATCCAAAGCCGCACTTATCTGTTTCGCTGCTTCGCGGCGTGCGTTATGGCCTATATTGATTTCCCAGCAAATAGACGGTCGAAAAATGCACCGCAGGTAGGACTGACTCGTGCTTCTTCACTGATACCATGGCAAGGTTTTGATCCACATTACCGTGGACGCCTGAACCCAGATAGTAGCTAGATCAGGTCACAGGTTCCCAGTCGGCGGTGATACCAATGCCGGCAGCCCACAAGCTTTCTTTCCGCAATGATACATGGACCTGAGTCGAAAATGAGCGTCGGGCCCCTCGAAATACAATGCAGTGCTGCGGTCTGCAGCTGGGAGGAAGTGGCGCAGAGGAAACGCGTGCAGGGGTTTGTTTGAGGATGTAACTCTGTCGGAGTGACACCTGTCGCTTTGTTTGTTCCAGTCTAATTCTGAAGCCCCTGCTGTTTCCAAACTAGGGTTCACCGCCTCGTGTCACGTCCCTCCCTCTCCCACCGACTCCACCGACTCTAAAGGCCACCCCGCACAGGCGGCAGCGCCCCCATCGTCAAGACCCCACCTCGTGTTCACCGCAGCGACACCCCGTTTACGATCCCTTTAACCTTCGTTTGCTCCCCGCCGGAGCTATCACCTGCGCCAGTTGCACTGCCTGAAGCCGATCTTTGATTACGATGTGGTTTGTACCGTTATAATCGCTAGCCGAGTGTACGTCCTCATGGTCGGGATCTTAGGTGTGATAACTGTCTGCTGCTTTTGCCGTTGGTCAGTGCAACTCTATTCGAAAAAAGCACTCGACGTTAACGATCACCGAAGCGTGGTGGTGCCATTGCGTGGGCTGTTGTTTTAGCTGTAAGCTGCTCCCTTTTTATCGATCATCGCATGAGCCTCGGCTCATTACTTTCTACTACAGCTGTACAGCATAGCCGGGGGAGTATTCTTGCTTGTCCTGGGTCAATATCTTTTTTTCACGTTCCCGGAATGGTGGGTCTTCGAGTGGAATTTCCTGACCCGAGACCTAACCATGACTCCAACCTACAGGCAAATATATGGGGGCATCGGTGTTGGTATTGGTGTCCTTGCCGTGATCAACCTCTTTGCTTTATCGAATGTAAGCATTAAGACGCTTCCACTTCTTCCATCTGGGAGCCTAGAATTCATCTTGTGTTTTCTGGACGGAGCGGGAGCTAATTCTGGCCTTCGCAGAGATCATACATCTGGATCCGAGTGTGCAAGTTCCTCTGGCCTTTTGTGATTGTCATATCCGCTGTTCGGGCCATCCTGATGATCGTGCAGCTCCAAAGAGGGTGGGTCAGAGCTCTCCCACTATTAGCGAACCGACCTCACCGCTATCGGCTGCTGTGGTGCCCCGTCCTTCTTACGCTTACCTCTTGTTTTTTATATTGCAGAAAGGACAAGATCGCTTGGGAGTGTAGCCACGGAGGACAAATGTGGACCGACACAGTCGAGACTGGCACTGAGACTCCGGCGCAAATGCCCGGCGGGTTTTGCGCAGCCGGCTTTTCTAATTTGAATGCCGCATTCATAGTCTGCCTTCTGGTCGACCTAGTCTTCCAGGTGCGTGGGCCATCTTCCGAATTTGTTTTGCAGGTGTCGGCTCCTTCTCCATCGTATCCTCCGTGATACTGAGTCCGTTTCGCCGTTTTCTTTACGTATTTTTTCTATCCGGAACTAATAAACCATACGCTAAACAGTTGTACATGTACTTCCTTACATGGCGTTTCTCCAAGCGACTGGAGCACTATTCAACAATGAAGGGACCATTTCACGGTGGTAGGTCCCTTTTCTGCTGCAATCTTTTGGCACCCACTGACGCGGGTCCACAGGGTATTACAATGCCTAGACGCGAAGACTGATCGGTAGTTTCCTTGGTCCTTTACTATTCATTGTTTCTCTCCCCATTTCCACACTTTTATCTTTATGGACTCGAGTTTCCTCTTCCTCTCTCACGAACTAGCTCTTATGACCCTTTACGACATCTTAATGACGCGTCGGTTCGCTTTTGTGCCTCCGCTTGCTTATCACGACTTACGCCACGATTAACCAATTTTGTGATGAATTATCTATTGGACCGAGAAATGACCCATTGTGACTACTTGTCTTGCAGGCTGCGTTGATTGACATTTCGAGATGAACGTTTCAGGTCATTTACGAAGGAATTTCCCCCGATGCCCAAGAACATAGGCTGGGGCCTAATAGGAACTCAGTGTTAAATGAAAGCTGCGCGTTTGATCAGGACGAAAACCGGCTCAGCTGTGTGGGTACGGAAAGGTCCCGCGAGCAGAATATCCATAAGGAAGAGGAATTCCGGGCGAAATGAAAACAACGTTGCGAGCGCTGTGACCTGTGTCGAGTTTCATGCGGGCAAAGTGTGATAGCAAAGGGTATTGGGATAGTTTTGGGAGACTTGAAATGGAAGAGGGAATTGGGACCAAGGTTTGATGGGGATTGCCCTTGTAGGTTTCCTCGGATCTTGATGAGATACCGATTATACGGTCCAACGGTACGAGGAGAAGGGCATGGATTTAGAGAGTCTAATTGGGCGAGGGGCAAAGTCTCGGGGAGATGGGAAACTGCCAGGTTAGCAGAAATAACCCAGCGAATAAACGCTACTAAACAACACGAGGCGAATTTCCTCTTTAGGGTTATCAAACATTCCCACTGACTATATAGTCCATTGCCGTTCCAGCAATCGATTTCTCCATCCCTTTCTCCTCCTCTCTCCCTCCCGCCCTCCTCGACGTCCTCCCCGACGACCAAATCACTCTCGTCGGCGTAGTCATTCTGCGATTTGCCGTCTCGTCCTTTGTGAGTCGTTTCCATACCATTCCAGAGGCCTTGTATTTACTTCCCTTTGAACAATAGGCACTTCTTTTCTAAGCTCATTTATTGCGAGCATTTTCTGTCTGCTTCCTTCCATTCTCCCCGACGCCTTCACTAGCAATGGATTTTGCCACCGAACCGTCCAAGACTTCCGCCTCGTTCATGGAGCCCATCGACCCTACGTTCTCGTACATGGACTCGGGTCTGGAGTTTATCCAATATCCTCAGTCGCCATCATTTGGTGTATCAATGACCCGTGAGTACAGAAGCTCCCTTTGTGAAAGATCAACCTGCTCAGCCGTAATCGCAGTCCCAGGTCCTTCTGGTTCCCCAGCGATCGGTTTCAATTCCCTGAACCTTTCGAACGGACTCGGTGACTACACCTATTCGTCCCCCGCTGCTTACGGCGCAGCTGCTTCTCCGGCTCGTCCGTACACGCCACCCGACGGAGCTAGTATCTCCCCGCCATCGTTGACCTACAACTTGAGCGCTGGTGAGCTCTCGTCCGACGGTATGGCATCGGGTCGGCGCAGCCGCGGCAGCGGTACTCATTCTCCCTCCAACGCTACGTTCCCTTCTTCCGTCCCCCGCTCGCACCGTTTCAACCCCATGGCGAGCCCAGCGACGAGACCCATCCACCGAAGGAAGAACAGCCGGGCGAACGATGACAGTGACGAAGAGGATGACGATTTCCAACCCATCGTAGCCAACTCCGCTGATTCGTAAGTGATATGCATCGGTCATTTGACTGCAAATTAATGATCGGTGATATAATAGACGCCGCGAGACAATCCGCAAGCAGCGCATCGAGTCAGAACAAAGGCGCCGCGACGAGCTCCGTGATGGCTATGCCCGCCTTAAGGACACGCTCCCCCCGTCCAACCAGAAGGCCAGCAAGGTCTCCCTCCTCGATCGGGCTACCAACCACCTTAGGTATCTCGAGACCATCAAAGACCAATTGGAGAACAGACTGAAGGCTGCTGAGGCCGAGGTTCACCGACTCCGAAGCGTTAACGAGGCGCTCATGCTAGGCACCGCTGGGCAGCGTCACAATGGCGTTGCTACTACCATGGTGCCCACGGCCTCGTTCTAAGCTTCTCGACTCCTCAATCAGAAAATCTCCCACCTCGCAACACTGTATTTTTGGCTTAGACCTGCAGAGACAGGTATCGCACTGTTTTGATTATTTGATGGACTATTTACACGCATATCTTATGACATCGACCACATCGCATTTCCCCTTCCCTCTTCCCCATATCTTTGTCGCGACGTGCTCAAAGTCTTCCCAGGCGCTCTCACTCCCTTCCCGTCGCCGGTACCGTTTACGTGGCCGTGCCACGTCGCTCCCCCTGGCGAGCGGAAACACCGTATTGCAGCAAGATGAACGATAGACCCCATGGATCAGGTTGACACTTGCTGGCGACACGACACTGACGCAGGATCGAGGGCTAGTGCTTGAGGTGCAAACTCGTTCACATACGTGGCGAATGCGCACTTCGCCTCCCTCGACGCTTTCTTGCTTTTCAAACCCGTCGAATGTCCCGCTATCGTATCCCTGTCCTACGACTGTCTGTCCGCGCTTGAGGCGACGACCACTTAATTGTGGTTACGTGCCTCGCGTGTGGCGAAACAACGACCTTCATTGCAACCACTCTACATCGTCTCAACGACCAGCGACTTTCACTTACGGAAGTCAACCACCCGACTTTGTGGCTCATTCACGCCTGCGACAAGATATTCCCCTCATCATCACGCATCGCAATTTTTTATTTGATTAACTGTCTCCATACCTCACACCGACCTCTTCTCTCCGCCTTACCCTCGCACTGGAACAGAACGGCTGATCACCGTCCTAGTCTTGCGCGCCCCTTATATTCGCTCCGTTTCCATCATCATCTTTTCCCCATCCCTCCGACGAGTCGGCTACGCTTGGTTCTTCGTAGCCTCGGATCGTCTGCTCGCCTCCGAGCAGGTGTTCGTGCGGCTATTGGATTCGTCGGCCAGGGAAGACAATTGATCGATTGGCGGCAGAGGTGACCACCTTTGACGTCCCGAACTGCGTACCACCCATGTCCCTTCGCTCGCAGCCGCTCTCCCCTCCTAGGCCCGCTCTCCCACAGGAAACTGCGACCGCGGTGTGCTCTCGCCTTCCAGCGCCGGCGATGCCAGTTCATTGCCTGCTCTAGATGTGCTGACGAGCCTCCGGGTCGTAGCTTGACAGCTTGTTGTCACTGTGCCTGCCTGTCATAGGATGTGGTAGATGAGCGCCGCTCGAAGGCCTTGGGACTATCTGCGGACGCTTGAAGTGTCTTCGGAGGCGAACATAGACACAATCGACCAGATCGATTGTCATTGGACGCACCCGTTCGATAGTATCGCAGTTCAACGCTCTCACTCACCGACACGCAATTCGCTACAACGCGTTTGATGCCCTCCCAATCTCCATGCCATCTACGACGAGCTTGATGACTCTGAACTTGTTCATAGTCTCGCTCCCTTACGCCATTGTCTACGGCAATCCAACGTACTTACACGACTAGCTGCCTCTCTTTACGAACTCCCTGTATCGTGTTGTCATGAAACTTGCGCTTGCGCTCCATAGTTTCTGATACTAGCAGGTCTGATGCACACACCCTCGTCCTCCCTTTACTCCCCACGCACGTATCTTCTATCTTCAGTATTTCTTAGTTATTGCCAGGTTGATGTATTGTCGTCTAGCGATCGTAGAATAACTGAATGGTATCCTTATGCCGAGTAACCTCCCCCGAGTGAATATTTGCCCAAACCAGAGGTACTTCGATACATGGAAGCTTCGGTGACTTCACGGCGCAGTCTTCGCAATCCGTAACTGAGATCGGGTTCCGCCCTTATCAAGATTATCTGATGAGATACAAGTACAACGTCACTGTGGATCCTATATGAGTAGTCTTTGGATATCCAGCGAACTTCACGATCGACTACCATGAGCGACGTACCCACCATCCGCAGAAGTCTGAAAATCAAGACCGGCTCAGCAAATAGGCAAGCTCCTGACTCACGTCTGCTTTACAGCTGTCCTAAACGAGATTGCAATACTTATATAGGCTGTTAAAGGAGCACAACCTCTACCGCAAAGAAGCCGAGGCCCAGCAACTTAAACTTGACAAATTCAAGGCCGACGAGAATTCGGAAGCTTGGGACATAAATAATGGAGTACGGCAGCCCTGATACATGTGTGTATGATCAACGGAGGTTCAGCTAACCCGTTTCATCAGACCAGGATGATGGAGGAAGCAAATAGGATGATTGCTGACTCGACCACCCGTCTTGGGAAGGCTGTTGCAGACCTGAGAGAGCTTGTGGTATGTGGCGCATACCGTACTCTGGGATTGCGAAGCTAATCGGGCATATGCCTCATGTTCAGATTGCGGCGAAGAAAATCCCTGAATTAGCAGAAGCAGAAGAACTATTGAAAGCAGAAGAGACTCTTGAGTCAGCTAGCATTTAATGAATCCCCCGCATGGGCATGGGATGGTGCCTTAGGCCTATTACAACCCGGCCGCCGAGTTGAGCGGTAGCAAGAGACAACTCACCATAATTAGAATCCTGGTCGTTCTTTGTTTTTCGGGGTTTTGCCCCAGATTCTATTTTCTTTGAGTGTCCGAAGTCTGTGCAGCGTGGGTTGCGCTAGGTCTCTCGTTCCTTGCGGCCTTGATGCGAGTTAGCGCATCGAGCACCCCTTTCCACGCATATGTTTCAATTCTCTCCTCCTGGAGCCCACGAGGCTTCTTGGATGATTCATCGACAGAGGGCAAACCTACCCCAAGTGACGGAGGGACGAACCCAGGCGGTGGAGCATTGATAGCCGATGGCGCTATGCGTGAGTGCTTGATGTGCGCAAGCGATGAACGAAGTGCGACCTGGATGGACTGGGCGGAAGCGGTTGAGCTGGCGTTCGGTGATGGTGGCTTCAACTTACGTCCAGCCGTTCGAAGTATTCGCTGACTTCGAGCACGAATTGCTCGGAGCGCTCTTCTCCCTGTGGGAGGTTGTCATCAGGGCCATCGGTCTGTGGCAAGGTCAACAACGATATGCACGACGCCGCGAGCGCAAGGAGTCGCGAAATGTCCTGTCGCCGCCTTAGAGATTTCCAGAAAGCAGTGGGGCAGGAATTACCTTCTCTACTTCGCCCAGGGCGTATATCTGCCGAGCCGTTCGACTTGTTGTCCATATTGGATCAATTTCATCCGTTACTTGCTCATGCTCGACGTTGTTGACGTCCATGATGAGAAGGGTAATTTAGACGCCGACCTCGTCCGGCTCCAACAAGTTTAACAAACAACCCCGTTACTTGTGACAAGCACAATTACTATACAAATGCAAAGAATACATAGAGGATGGCTTGCAATATGAACTATTAAAACAGATCGTCGTCGAGATCTACAAATGCGCCAGGAATGTTTCGTTGCGAGCTTCCTCTCACCGACGTCGACAGTCGATTCGAACGGCGCCGAGACGGTGATGAGGCGGACTCTTGTCGTTCCTTCTCCACAGCATCCTCCAAGCGCCTCAGTTTTGACATGCCTTTCCACTCATGCCGGGCAAGGCTACTGCCACCTCGGCCTCCATCCCACCCAGCACTCATCAACACTGGTTCCTGGAACAATGTTCAGTAGGGGTATCTATGGAGGGGAGAGCAGAGGTACGTACATGGCTGTGCCAACTTACGTCGCGCACACAGATACTGTGGTTTCCCTTGGGACGCCCAAGCTCGGGCTCAGATGGGTCAAAGGTGATGGGGTACGTAGAGGTGCGATCAAGCACTTGAACTATAGTCCCATCCAATGACCAAATCTTGGGATTCAAGATGAACTTCGTTCAGTAGGGTAGGTGGGGAAGAGTGATGTAGACATACATGTATTCTTCCGTCCGCCGAGCCGGAGTATATATACTGGCCACCAGTTGTTTCCGAAGGGCTGAAATGACATCGAATAAGAGTCCTCAGCACAGAGTGACCACGATATGTCATTACACTACAGTCCTTGGGATGTGCCGCCCGCCGAGGCTTGGGATAATTGGGATACCTGACGTTTCTGGATGAGAACTAGTCCGTTCAATCAAAGCATAATCCACGAACCGGTAGTCGAATTGGGGTGCGCTGAATTCGTTCCTACCTATACGGTCGAACTCTTCACTCGTGCGCATTTTGCGTAGATCCCACAGGCGCAGGGCTTGGTCTTTTCCGTTGGAGATAACATATCGTCCGTCGCCCTTTGCAGAAACGTAGGTGATGCCTTCAGTATGTCCAACTAGAACACCTGATGGCTTCTGTGAAGATCCAAGAGACCGTCGATCCCTGTCACGGGCATGAGCCTGTGTAGCCTTTACGTGCGGGTCCTGTTACTCACCAGACCTTCAAGTATGTATCGTCAGAGGCACTGACAAGCACATTCCCAGATGCGGTATCAGCCCAACAACAGCTGTTCACATCGTCGTCGTGGGCGTATATTTTGACCGTTCGCCTGTTCGCTAAAAGATCGTATACTGGAAACGGTTGTTAGTTGATAGCACAGGATGCGTGTACGTCGCAGTTCAAGCATACCAAAAATATAACCATTGCCCCCGGCAATAACTTCATTTCCGTCTGCCGAGAACCTACAGCTCCAGATACCGAAATGATCGTCGGAATAATAGGTATCCCTCCTTCCAGGCCTAGGATCAGAGAATGATATCGGTATTTGGGCGGACGATTCATCTTGGATATTTGTCATGTATACGGTAGGTGCCTATAGTAAAACTCAACAATAATCCCAACGTATGCGAATTCGTGAACATACTATTGAGGCATAAATCAACCTGACTGGGAAGTCAGGAGCCTCGTAAGTATGTCACAGGGGAGAGACTGTACCTCTCATTATCTGGAGAGAGATTCGCATCCGTAATCGTCCATCGTCCTGGGTGTCCTTGTACGCTCTTCTTCACCCGCAGGGTGGTCTGGAGGCCAGGATCTGCGCTGCGGGCGGGCAAACCCCCGCCTATGTTATTGGGCATGGCAGTTGTATCAAATACATGGAGCTTGAAGTCTATGACACACTGTTAGCCTTCGCAGAGTGTTCATGAGATTACTGACCCTGGGCGCAAGTATAGAAAAACGAGGAATCTAAATTATGGTTAGGTACTCGTGGATCAACCAGGCATATACGAAGTCTTACCCTCAGAGAACTGAGCAGTGTAAACATTAGCGTCGAAGGTGGCCACTACTGTGCCCGTGGAATTTGGCACCAGATCCTGCCGTGTGTGTAAATAGGTGCTTCTCGTTTGAACGGTCTAACGTACGCGAGAGAATGTCTCCCTTGAGTGCAGGGGCCGAGAATTAAAATGACGATTACGGATTTGCTGGGCTATGTTTTTGTTGAGGGTTCGCCGGGACGCTATTTTATTCGCGATGGGCCCGAAGTCACCACCCATCAATAGGTGTTCGCCAGCCTCCTGGGGTTCCTCGTGGGGTGGGTACCACTGGTGAGACGCCCTCCGTCGAGAACCGAACTCGTCTGCATCTTCATAATCATCGTCGTCCACATCGTCTTCGTCGTCATCATCATCGTCGAACATATGGTACCTAACTCTCCCCGAACCACGTAGCATATTGCCACCAGACAACAGCCTTGATAGATCTCGGAGAGTAAGTCCATCCAGGCGCAGTGAACGCTGACCACTGCCGCGTTCACTGTCATCCTGTAAACTGAACAGGTCTACAACCGATAAGCAACACGGTCACTGCGAACAGGGGGGCAGCGGCGGCGCTGTACTCACTGCTGAGGACGGTCTCGACTCCGTCGTGGGGGCCGTCGTTGGCATCGTTCTCATTTGTTTCTGAATCGCGGTCGGCCATGGTGGTCGTCTGAGGTGAGAAACGAATCTTCGCTTTCTACCCAGAGCGAAGCCTCCATGTCATTCGGTAAGCACATTCGGCGCCGGCAGCACATCGGCACAAGGAGTGGGTACTTGAGCACGTGACGCCTCCTATTGTGTCTCAGGAATTTACTTCGGCGCTTCAAGCACTTGTACAATTCGGCCACATCCTCCACACTTTTCTACGCTTCCACAACCACACGGGCGATGCTGGTTATGCCAGAAGGACCACTCCGCTTTACTGCGGACGATGTCAACATTCTGATTCATGCATATCTTCAGGACTCTGGTAAATACGCATCTTCTCCCGCGTAGAGCTGATGCACATGTGTCCATACAGGTTTCGAACACTCAGCTTTCGTAATTCGGGCAGAAGCCAAGCTCGAACAATCCCCTTCCTTCCACAAACATATACCACGCGGGGAACTCGTCGAGCTTCTAGCGAAAGCACTACTCTTCGTCGAGGTCGAATCGCATTGGAAACCCAATTCACAGGAAAACTGCAAGACGTCCTTTTCGCTGCTCGAACCACACGTGTGCTCTCTGGAACCGAACATACCTCCAAATATGCCGTTTATACCTGTCCCCCTCGCGCCTCCGAAGAATAACGGAGTGGTGAACGATGTCCTCGATGCGAACGCGAAACGCAAGGCCGACACACCCAATGGGGACGATACCCGCGCGGAGAAACGAGCTAAAACTGAAGAGGATAAGAGGGCTGAATGTGCGTCGCTGTTATCACTCTATATGTGTATCGTTGACTGTAGTAGCAAAAGCGAAATCTCTTCCACTTGTGCCGCTGGATGGCAAGAGGACCCCGCAACTACCGAAATCTATTCCAAATAAAAGCGTGCGGTTGCTCAAGGGTCACGTCAATGAAGTAACACAATAATTTGTACGTGATGGACTAGCATTTAACCTAGCGTTAGGTCTTCGTCTGCGCATGGAATCCGGCCAAACCAAATATATTAGCAACGGGGTATGTCTCTATTGACCTGTCTGGCTCCTCTTTATCTGACAATTCCCTCAAGTTCGAAAGATGCCGTTGTCAAAATATGGGACTTGTCAGTCGATGGCGATAGTCCGCCTTCAGTGACACGCGACTTTAGCAGCAGCGTACAAGCAGACCTCACTGCCCTGCATTGGAGTCCCGACGGCAACCTACTCGCTGTGGGCTCTTATGATTCGGTGCTACGAGTGTGTACAGTAACAGGACAGTTATACTTCTCGCATGCGCAACATAAGGTGAGAATGCTCCTTCATATTCTGCAACACATATGCGAAGTACTTATACCTTCTCGCCGAGAGAAGGGCCCGATTTTTGCAGCACGATTTTCTGAGTCTGGCCGGTGGCTGCTCACAGCGAGTCTTGACGGTACGACATGTGTTTGGGATGTGAAGAAGAAGGCTGTCCACATGCTTTACCAAGCTCATTCCGGTAAGTTATCCCTCCCATGCATGTCTCATGAAGTTGTTTAGTTGTCAGCAGATTGCTGTCTCGATATCGACTGGATAGACGATGAAACGTTCACGAGCTGTGGTGCGGATAATCTCGTGCACATCATGAAAGTGGGGCAGGCGCAACCCATTCGGACGCTCTCGTAAGTAAATCCTTGGATTTCCGTATGAGATAGTGCTAAAAGTTCTTCCAGTGGTCATCAAAATGAAATCAACCAGATCAAGTGCAATCCCTCTCGCACGTTGATTGCGTCGTGCTCCGATGACACGACTGCACGCATCTGGACGGTCGCCCCTCCCACTGCTCCCGAGGGAATACCCGGCCTTCCTCCAGTTGAGCAAGAGGTTTCTCTGAGAGGTCACAAACATTGTGTTAGTGGAATCGACTGGTGTCCTCGGCCTCCATCAGGTTCAAACGATATTCTCGCAACGTGCGTTCGGTTTTCAGAATTTTCCTTGTCCTAACGGTGTTGATGTTATACAGTTCCTCCTTCGATGGGACTGCCCGTTTCTGGGATGCTGTAACGGGCGACTGTTTGCACACGTTCAACGACCACAAACGGCCAGTGTATGCACTGGCTTTCAGCCCAGACGGTAGGTGGTTCTCAACAGGAGGCGGGGATGGATATATGTACATCTACAACACCGAGGTAACATCCTCACTTCCACCCAACCTCCCCTCTCTAACTTACCTTCTCTCCTCTTTTCCAGACGAAGGAACAGGTATTCGCATGGCATGCCGGATTCGAGAAGCCAGGTGTGTTCGAGATTGATTGGCAGCAAACAACACCGTCCGCAGACGAGCCTAAGAAACTCGATCGGTTGGCCATTGCCTTGGAGTGTCGGCAGGTGGGAGTGGTCGATGTCACTCTCATACCGGCGATGCAATGATCATGGTTATGGGGTTGATCATGGACGTGGCGGCAGAGTACTATAGCATGTTTAGACTATATCATTATTATGTACATTACCATAGGCTGCGGATGCATAGGGATAATGCTGTATTTCCTTTGAGATGGATTTTCGCCAAGTTCGTTGATGTCCCCTGAATCTCCTGAAAGTCCCTGAGGACTCCCCTGACCTCCTGTACCCTCCTATCCGCTTCAGTGGCCCCCTAAGCGCACTTTGAGGTAGCCAGTCATAGGCGGTACATGCTGGCGGCTTCATTGAAGTGATACTCTATGGCATTAGCTGCTGTGTTGAGAGATAAAACACTAAGGTACTTGCACTGCTTAGCCCAACTGCACGAGGAAAAGCTATCCTACGAAAAATTTAAAAGGACGGAGATGAAGCAGAAGGATGTTCATGTGTTCACCAATAAACTCGCGATTTCAAATGAATCGAGCTAAGCGTTCTGTGAGCTCTATAGCTAAATTTTGCCCGTTTGCGTGCGGTTGGAGTCGGATCCATGATAGTCGCCGCTGGTGCTCACTGTGTCGCTGTCACCAAATGTTAGCAAACACCATACATCACGTGCATTGCAGAATTGAATAAACGACGCGAGACGCGGGCCACACTGACACAAACAACTCTTGCCTCTCGACCACCATCTGCATCACCCGCCACCACCGCGCGGTGAACCAAGTCGTAAACAACAACCCCAAGCTCTAATCTACACAACATGTCTGGACGCGGAAAAGGTGGAAAGGTAATGCTCATTCGCCTTTGTCGGAGGAAGAAGCAATTTGCTTATTGGAGTCGGCGGTCGGTGTTGTAGGGACTCGGAAAGGGCGGTGCTAAGCGTCACCGCAAGATTCTGCGCGACAACATTCAAGGTGCGTCTTTCTGCAGTGTACTGTGTTCAGCGGGTGCTTACGAGTGGCGTTGACTTGTGTAGGTATCACAAAGCCAGCTATCCGCCGTCTTGCTCGCCGTGGAGGTGTGAAGCGTATCTCCGGCTTGATCTACGAAGAGACCCGTGGTGTCCTCAAAATTTTCCTTGAGAACGTCATCCGTGACTCAGTCACCTACACTGAACACGCTAAGCGGTACGTTTATGGCTTGATTGTGGCTTCGTCGGTGCCGATACTGACTCGATCAACTCTTCGTAGCAAAACCGTTACTGCTCTCGATGTGGTCTATGCCCTCAAGCGTTCTGGTCGCACCCTCTACGGTTTCGGTGCTTGATTGCATAACCACCACCGCTGCTACTGCGATTGTCCTGTTGTCTGGTTGTACTTGTATCTTGTACTAGTCATCTCTCCCTACCTTATTGCCGAATGTGAACGCTTTGTGTGTGTAACGTGGAACCCACACGGTGGAAGCATTGAATCTTTACATAAGCACGCCGAGATTCTGTTATTTTAGGAGGGTTTTTGTGTGCCGAGACGCGCGCACATGTCTTGTGCCGCAACGTCAGACATCGGCTTTAACATATGAGGACGTCTTGATCCTCCTTTGCTGACAATAATCAACAATACTTTCTGCGGTCGGGCCGTCGATATTCGGATCTACATGGGCGCGGATGAGTAACATCTCGGACAAGAAGATCCGAATTGCAGAGGCCATATCCCATGGCGCTGTTGCCCCCGTGGAGGCCAGTGATGGCGACAGCGACCAGAATGCACCTGGCAGTCGGTGGGCCAAGCGCCATGTTACCAGAATCAGTGAGTGAGATAAGATGCACGATTGGTTCTGCATGTGATTTGGTGACGGACTTGGACCCTGATCAAATATTTCCTCAGAGCCACGTGCTCACGTAAGGTTTCTATTACTACCCCAGTGTTCCCCGCATCCAGCATTATGCCTTCTTCTACTCGCTTCTCCAATTAGACGGTGGCCGCTCGAGACTCTTGAACCATGACCGCCACCATCCCCTGGCCCTTCTATCACAGCACTCCCACCACCGCCACCGCCGAGCCCGTCGTCAACAAAGAATCGACCCAGGCGTCGCTGCACCATTACTCGACGCCAGGCGTTGCACCGCCCTCCGCTCGTGTGGATCCGAAGTTGAAGCCTCTGCAGAGGAAACCAATCAGGCTCTGGCATGTCTGGAAATATGGCCTGGTCGCCGTGTCGAAAGGTGCGTAGGGATCGGCGGCCCGATTATTACGGCCAATTAACGGCAGCACGCGCGCAGTAACGGAAGTCACTATGGATGTCGTCTCGCACGGAATTTGGGGACCTCGCAGAAAGTCGTGGGGCATAGAGATGACAATCCTCTCCAGTATCATGCGTGGCGCTGGACAGCATTCGTCTTTGATCGACCTCGTACGTGCCACATTATCCCGTAATCTTGTGGTTTCGGTGTTAATTGCATCACAGAGAACACTCCGAATGCTGATGAGCATAGGTGGCCTAGTCCCTCTTCCCTCGGATGCACTTGTAACCCCCGTGACGTTTCGTGTGCGCAAACGACGTTTACGCGGTATATTATCCGAAATCGATTCAAAGGAGGACGGATCTCGTGAGCTATCTGGCGAATGGGTTGTAGGCCGGCGTACATGGCTCAGGCTGCAGGCAGAATGGAAGGCCAGCCACCAGAAATCGGGTTCCAAGGATAAGTCGCACAGGGTGAAGAAGGAGCGCGTAATTATGTACATCCACGGCGGTAAGCAAGCACAGCGTTATTCCGAGGAGGAGTATTCGTGTTTCGCGATGAGATCTGACACGGGAGTCCAGGAGCATACTATCTTTCAAGTGCAGCCGCCATGAGACTCATATCGATACCGTTATCGAAGTATACTGACGCCCGTGTCTTCTGTGAGCTTCCCCACACCGCATGGTCCGTGGGTTCCTCCTGACCTCATCTGATACTCAGCCCTGGACTACCGGCTCGCTCCCGAGTCGCGTTTCCCCGGTCCGCTGCACGATGCTGTCACCGGATACCTTCGTTTGGTCGAGGATTTGCATATACCGCCGGAGAACATTGTCATCGCCGGAGACAGCGCTGGGGGCGGCTTGACGCTAGCCCTCCTGATGTATTTGCGGGACAATGCATACCCTTTACCAGCTGGTGCGATATTGATGTCGCCTTGGGTTGGTAAGTATCAAATTTTTTGCAGTCTTCGATCATTTACTCATTAGCATACATTTGCGTTGCAGACTTGACGATGAGCTGCGAATCATGGGAGTCCAACTCGCGGTACGATGTTATCCCTATCCCCAATCCAGGCGATCACCTCGACCCCGTCTCAGCATATCTCGGTGAACATATGGAACGGTTCCTCACCCATCCATACGCTAGCCCGTTATTTGGTGACTTCAAAGGATTACCGCCGTTGCTCATACAGTCTGGTGACGCTGAAGTGCTACGGGATGAGATCACACTCCTGGCCCACAAGGCTACGCTTGCAGGAGTGAATGTACGACATGAGCTTTACGAAGATGCTGTAAGTCCTCCTGATTATTTAACCCTCGGTGTGCTAATGAATTGCTCACTTTGGTGCGACTAGATTCATGTGTTCCAACTATACCCCTTCCTCGACGCATCCCGCCGCGCGTTCATGTCAGCCCGAGAATTCGTGCGCAAGACCCTTCCTGATATCCAGAGCCGCTCGCCACAGATGCTCGACAACAAGGCGGAAGACGTGCTCGAACAGGAGATCGACAACGAGAATGCCACCGTTGTCAGAGGGGACGGCGTCGAGACGGTGTCTGGCATGGAGGAGGTCAAACATGAGCTCGAGCGAGAAGAGGAGATTGAGGACAGCTCGAGGGTAGAGAGTTCCGATAGCGAGGATGAGCGTGGGCCGAAGGAGTATCCTAGCTGGGGCAAGAGCCAGATATGGAGTTCATTGTCTTCGACTCCGTCAAGTATCGACGATCTGGAGCTCGAGGACGCGGAAGAGGATTTGCTCGCCCAGTCGGAACGCAGGAAGAACACGAATGCGGTAGAGACCACGACTTCGCAAGTACCTCCAAGGAGAACGCTTCGCCGTCGCGCGACGATGCCTACGTTAACGACACTGAAGCGTCTTTCATCCGCGATCTCGTATATCATGCCCGATCCTATGGTAGCGTCTCCCTCCAAGCTTGTTCATCATACCCATGCAACATCGGCATCGACCTCAACGTCTACTAAGCCTCCGCTCTCTCGTACCCATACCTCCGAGTCCCTCCATCGCCACGGTACTCGATCCCGTGTAAATACTCTGTCTTTAAGCATGGTGTCTCCGCCACCCTCCCCATCCATACGGCGGTTCAACTCGAGCCACCCCGATATCACTTCGCTGGTCGAACAATGGACTTCATCGGGTCCCGCTAATCGCACGATGATGTATAAACCACTCAGCCATTCTTCATCACAACAACAGCATTCATAAGCATCTTAGCATCTTAATACTCAGATACTGATATTCAGGGCATGTAGAGTCGCACCACCAGGTAGTCAGCAGGAAGTGTAACGGTTGTATCATTAGCGTCATCTCGTTAGCATGTAGATGTATGTAGGTATTAATCCCACAAAATAATAATAATACATGTAGTGCAAAGTGTAAATGAGTGGAGGGCCCGCCAACAAGAAACCCAAAGGGATGAAGGGATATGCAAAGGCGTACCACAAAGTCCTGGAAGATAATCCTTAAGCAGAAGTAGACGACCTCGATATTCTTGACTGTGTGTCAAGCCCCTTGGAATATATTTCTAGCTCCTCGATGATATTCTGCAGCGCATTTCTCTCCCAGTTGCCGTAGAGGAAGCCCTGATAAAGCATTGTCGTACCCCACCACGATATGGCAACTGTCACGATGATGAATATCGGATTTATCCAAGAATGAGGGAGCCAGGCGGTCCCGACAGCGATAGCCACCAACGCGAAGATGCACATCCCGAACATGATGAGTTCCTTGCGCGACCTCTGGGCGGAAAGGCGCCAGCAATTCGTCAAGCTCTGGATCGTAGTCAAAACAGCGGCGCGAGACAATGACGGGGCGGGATCGGGGTAGACGCCACCCTCAGCAGGTTGAATCGTAAAGGTCGCTTCCAGCCCGAAGTGATCCGAGTACGAAAAGTCATATTCGGGGACGCGTTCTGTGAGGACGACCTTGCAGTGTGTGCAGACGATTGCGTCGCGTTTCTCGGTGCGGTTGACGGAATGGGGGTGGGGATGACGGAAGAGGATGTAGTCCAGTCGTTTGCCGCAGAATTGAAGCGCGTGTCCGTCGAGGGGCTTACCGGCGGAGTAGGTACATAGCGGGGAATCTGCGGTTACGCCGTATTTGGTGATGGCCTCTACTGCTGGGTCGGGGGGACTTGTGCTGGAGTTGCGATTGGGGGGAGTGTTGGAGAAAGTGTTGGGGTGGGTGACAGACCACGCGTCGGAGAGACCGGCGTAGTCCTTGATGATGGTCATGGGAAGGGTCGTTGGGATGCTGTTGTAGTCTCCGGGCTAAGAGGTGATAAGAGAGGTGCGGTAGTAGCGTGTGGTGAGATTCTTACAGCAATGACATAACGGCCCAGCTCTGCAGCTTGGCGGATGAGCTTGGCTATCTCCCATGCGTTCACGTAGCGATGCGCCTCTGCCTCGCCGCCTTTCGCAAACAACTGGCAGGCGGCCTCGCTGTCAGAGTAGCTAGACATGGCAACAAAGAAGGCGACATACATGGGTATTGAATATCTGAACCTCGTTCAGTATGGGATGCTGGATAATGACACTTGCAGCGGCTTTGCCAACGAACCAGTCGCCGGCCGATACGTCTATTGGGGAGCCGTTCAACGAGTAAGGGTGTATATTACTTGCTACTATCGGGAAGCGAGAAAATATCGCGAGGCCTGCTCCCAGAGCACCGCTACCATGAGGAAAGAGATTGAGTCCCCCCCGAATAGCGAGAAGGAGCGTCCAAGCAACGTACCTATAGAAGAACTTTGCATGGGGCAACTTGGCCTGTACACTGTCTCTGACATGCTCGTAATCTGCGTACACCCATAGTTCTTGGAGGGTAACGACGTCGTAAGGCGCATTGGTGAGATATTGGGCGATAGCGGCGACACGCTCAATGCGATTTTTGGCGACAAATTTGAGTCCCCTTGGTGCACAATGAGCTTCGGATTCGTGGTATCCGAGCTAGAAAGGAACTCACCAGCAATTGAGACTGAATACTCTGATTTGGTGGTTTTCGGTGGCCATTGCGTTTAAAGAAGGTCGGTCTTCTACTCCGCACCGAGACTAAATATGTTTGGCGCTTGCTCGTGGGAAAGGACTCTGAAGGAGCGAAATCGAACTGAATCTGTCACCAGACTTGGCACGACGGTTGAAAAATTCTGTAAGGGCCCGGTCTGCTCGTCGAGATGTTAGTCCCTACCTGCCAAATTTGGCTCCCACGGTTGGACCAAACCTGGCCCAAACCTACTCCAAACCGACAGTTTGGTCTGCTGTACCAGGGGGTTTGCGGGTGGGTTAGGACCTTCCTGTCACATTATTATGTCAGCGTTAATATACCTGGTGGCACCTTGTATCAACTGCATTATCTATTCCCTCCAATAAACAGTACTACAGCTTGTGGTGTTTATTTATTAATGAATGTTAGTGGTGAGATAGCAGGACGAAGAAGTGAAAAAAGGACAATCCGTGGCTCGAACCCGCAACCTTTCCGTGCTAAAAAGTAGTACTCAAGCGCGCAAACCGCTAAACCAACGTACCACATGTTAAACTCTTTTGGACTAGTATATCACCTACTGAGCCGGGATACTTCAGGTCGCCGACAAGAAATACAAGAAATACCGAAAGCAGAAGTTTGCATGTATTTACTTTGTATCTATTGCCGCTTTCCCACCATGATGTCTGTGACTTATTTGTGACGATTCCCAAGCGCCCTGAGCAGACTCCAGCGCTAGGTTTTGTCAAGTTCAATCTCCGCCAACCCCAGGCCCGAGGGACTGACATCTCGACGAGCAGACCGGGCCCTAAGTATTTAGAAACAGATGGCCCAAGGGAAAGAGCAAAAACTCCCCATCGAGTTGATCCACCATATCATCTCGCTGGTGGATGGTCGTTCCAACCTCGCTGCGTGTTCTAGGCTTGTATGTCGCGATTGGAGCGAGGTCTGCCGACCTTACATCTTCGATAACTATACCATTTTCTTAAAAGGCGACAACATTGTTTCCCGCCTGTTATTTCTCCACTTCACGACTCCCCACCTCAGCGAATACATCGCTCACGTCGACCTCGCGTGGAACACAAGTGCTGGTTTCCTCCCAGACTGGATCCCCAAGTGCTTTAGGCGGTTCAAGAATTTACGTTCGTTATACCTTGACGAGGGCATCACGAGCTTGTCATCAATTCCACTGCCACTGGCCTTGGGTATCACATCGCTGCTATCTGCTCCTCGCATCAAGGAGCTATCCATTTTAGAATGGGCCATTGCGGAGGATTCGTCTGAACTTGTCGCTATGTTAGCCTCGTGTTGCAAGACTTTAGAACGTTTGATGCTCCAAGGTACTTATGTCTGCGACACCCCGACCAATTCAGTCGGCTCTGCGTTAATAACTGCGCCACCATCAATTGTATTCATGGAAGCCCTACGCAGCCTAGAGTTATTCCAGACATGTCATCCGACGCTGGATACTTGTCTTCGTTGCCCTAAACTCGAATCCCTGGAGATCCGAACACCTACAGTTATATGGCAGCTGCCCACATGGGTTCCAGATGGGTTGCAGGAACTCTCGATTTACTGTACGCTGCATTGATTGCCTCGTTGCTTCTTGTGTTTACTCTTCCACGAATGTAGCAACAGCTCGTCGATTTGTCCCGAATCTTGGCAAAATCATCCATCCTGCGCTGCTTGCGATCCGGGTTTCCGGATACTATCCATACCCCATGTTTACCTCTTGGATCCAGGAATGCATCAATCTCCTCCCATTCCCAGATCGCCTGCGCCGCTTTAAAATACACATCGGCCAACTTGGTATATGGTCGGAGGTGCCTTACCCCCAACTCTCGGACTATGGAGTATTGTTACGCATCCTCCAGCAGCTCCTTGCGCATGGTTCACTGGAGCGCATTGACTTGAAGATTGTGATCACTATGGAGGCACATACTCGCCCTGCCTGGGAGGCGGGCGATCAGGCGAGAGAGGCAAGCAAGCTTCTGGTGGGGCTTGCTCCGCTCTTGGAGGCGAAAGTGTTGCACGCAGTGTTTATCTTCCAGCGATGGCGCAACATGGATCTCGAAGTACTCTGGTCTTGGTCTGAGCCTTACTTTAAAGCGCCAAGGAAGTGCGTCGTAACTGATTCAATTCAACAGGGACTCAAACACCCCTCGTCTGCCAATGACTGATGCAGTTTGAATAACGTAAGTCCTCTAACTGTACATTCAAGATATCACATAATATTACATTGGGTAGATATTTATTTCCCCAGTCCTACCATCGGGCAGGAGGTGGTGCTCCCGAGGCCAGATGGACCGTTGCCATGGCTTGATTGTAGGCTTGTGCTTGCGCTCTGTATTGGTTGTATTGATCAAGGTATTGCATGTGCGCACGCATTGCCTGGGCGTGTTCTTGTTTACGATGCTCGATCCCCTGAAATGTTTCCATGCATCCATAAATCTTCTCAGCTTCCGAAAGCTCCAAGCAGCCGCACATATCAGTGGCCACTGCCCCGCCAATATTTACCAGCTGGGGCGTACAACCTACACACTGATGACGGAAGGCTTTCGAGAAGTCTATAATCCGCGGGCCGCTTATCGTGGACAGGATGTCTCTGGTGCTGGTGCCCAGGCTACCATGATACACTCCGAGTTGATGCAACTTGCAGATTCCCAGCAAGGTCTGGCGGCTAGTGGAGGTGCGATCAGCTTTCCGAAGTAAAGAAATGCTTGATACATACTCACCAAGTCTCGATTACGTTCTGGGACTTGGGGATCGCAGTGTATCTCTCGAGGAGAAGACAACCAATGATACCCCCGTCTGCCTCCCCATCGTAGAAGCCATAGAACTTAGGGACAACATTGCCTTGCAACGGCACCAACTCCTGCTTGTAGAAGGAGGCCTCTCTCAGAATTCCTTGATACTGGCTAACGTTGAAAGCCAGCTTGGCGATGACAGTACGAGTCTCGCGGGGAGACGACTTGTCGGTGAGCGTGGCGTTGTAAACTGCGTTCGATTGACGGTATGGTACGCCGTCGATAGTGAGGGTTCGGTGCGCACACTGGTGAGTGTCGGCTGAATAGAGTGGATAGGTGTTGCCCTGGAATGAGATGGTCAACCAACTATTTTTGTTGGATTGTGACATTGTTGGCGAGTTGACGATGATAGAAGGTGGTGGGTTGGTGTGTTGTGGGGAAGGAGGAGGTGAGGAAGAGGGCTTATATGTCTACAGCTGTGGCATCACTCCTCCCACTTTGACCACTGGCCACACCGAACCAGGCCACGGCGCCCTTTGAGAGTTGTGTGCTTTGCCCTCTTGGTTCCCTTCACGATTCTGGGTAGCTTTGAAAACTAAGAGGGTATAATAGATGAAAATCTACATGCCCATTGGTCTCGGCACGTTTATCTGTAGCTCTCGTGACAATTAATGCATTGGTGTGTTACAGAGGAAGATACGAACGATGTTAAATTCCGCTGAGGAGCAGGTATTTTCGGAGCGTGCTGCTAGAAGTAGAAACCACCGAGAACGAGCTCAACCGACAGCTGAAACTGGATCTATTTGCCAATATCCAGCACCAAGCTTTGGAACTCCTGTCCCTCGTCCGAGTCAGCGTTACTTCCTAGTTCTAAAGTCTAATTCTGAGCCAAACAAAGGGGATGGTCCCGGCGCTAATTCCAATCCTCTCTTTGTTTCCAACCACCACGAGCACTAGTATGTCCGTTGCAAGCCCACCGACCACACTCACACCAAAAGAGTCAGTGTAACCACATATCCTCAATTCAAGTCTCCTGAAGCTCGAGTGCAGCGTCGAAATCGCAACAAGGGCTGCAAATCACTTCACTCGCGTCTACTACGCGACTTATGACTCCGATTCGCGTGTCGCAGACCTGCCGCTCTTCTATCGACCCACGTCCTCCTTGACATGGAATGGGAAGCCATATCAGGGCGCAGATGGTCTTAGAGCTTTGATTGAGAATATGCCGCCAACGAAGCATGAAGTCAATTCTTTCGATTGTCACCCAATTCCAGGTCTGTTCAATTAAGTTACGTACATGCTAATCAATTGACGCGTGATGAGTGTAGGCACGTCTCCGCCATCTTTGCTGGTGACGGTTTCTGGCAATGTAACGCATGGCCAAGGACCTGCTGGTAATCCTCCGGACACGCCTGTGAAATCACCGGACGGACAACCTCGCGTCTTCTCCCAAACTTTCATGCTAGTACCAGATCCAAATGCTCCCCCTTCAAAGGCGGGAGAGGTAGCTAAGTATTACGTTGGCGCGGACTCATTGCGATTTGTCGGTTAGTTGTGTGGTAGAAGTTATAAGGTTCGTTCAAGATGTGCTTAAATTCGATTGATTGCTGATGATGCATTGGTGGAATGCAAAAGAGAATACTCTGTATTACATATGACAATGTTCAACGTGTTATAAAATCCGGCTGCGAGACTTGATGGATGTGTTACGGGCGAGACTGGAAGCCAGCACAGAATCCTTCCAAAATGGCCGCTATACCCCAGGCTCCTGGATCCGGCGGCAGCGTCCTACTCTCCTTTCCAGAAACGACATACACAGCTCTTCCTAACCTCGGTTTCATTGCCCTCGTACTCTCGGCTCCTTCTCTTGCTGCTTTGACCGCGTCGCTTAGTGGTTTCCCTGCAACTAGTGCTATGACAAAAGGTGCCAACGCGTCGATCGCCGTGCGATCGTTCTGTCGAGCTGGTGTGTATTTGAACAATGTCTCCATCGCTTGATTGATTGATGATGACAGTGGGATGGTACTCTCCAGCTGAGTATACAGTGCGTCGCACCATGCTGTAAAGAATATGGCGAATACTAAGAAGAATAGTCAACGCGGGTGAACGGTCTGACATCCGTTATAAAGCTCACGAGCACCCATAGTCCCGCCCATCGATTGCTCTGCGCATCTTCCAATCTCTTTCACTAACTTAATGAGATCCATTGATTTTATGTTGGGTTCAATTGCATCACAGAGTTTCAGCAACGCTGTCAAGGCAATGAGGAATAGGATAGTGGACCGTTCGTCTGCCACATACCTTCAGCGCCTTTGTAGAAAGTATCACCACAGTCCCCATCACCAAGGACTTCATCATACTCAGTGAGTTCGTTAATCAAGGATTGCACCCGTCGGCAGGCACTGCGGATTCCTCCCAGAACGGAAAAGGGCGAAATGTCCATGGCCGTCCAATCGACCGTCCTGCCATCGTTAGGCTGAACCATGGCCTCGACATTTATTTCGGAATCCGTCGGCCTCTCAAAGCTCCAAGATCGACTGCCGGGCCATGATGTTACGTCCGTAGGCGCGTCAAGCAGCTCAACAATGTCCATGACTAAACCATATTCGGCATACATCGTTCGTTCCACTCGAGAGATGTTCAGGACGGTGATGGAGAACCCCGGTGAATTGAGGGAGGTCATGAAGTGGGATTGGTAACAGCGAACATAGCGAATTGATTTACCCTCTGGATCTCAATTACAGTTAGACCCCCGTAGGTCAGTGACCTTCAAGATAGGCGATTGCGTACCGAGTTGTGACAATGTCTCATCCAAAATTGCGCCCATCTCTAGTTGCGACATCCCTCCTAGATTGTTCACGAAGACAACGTACTCGTCTCGGCGCTCTCCTTCAGTGGAATTGTCTTCACCTCCGTGGTGCCCGTAACGTACGAGGAGTTCGACCATCTCTGCGATCAAGCCTTCGGCACTCTTGATCTCAGCCTTCTCAACGCCAGCTTCATTGTGCAACCCAAGGCCTATTTCGCACTGGTTGCTCAAAAGGGGCATCGAGTCTACCTTTCGGCCGGGTACGTGGCAATGATCCAATCCAACCCCAATGCTGGACATATTGTTTACGACTGCGTCACCGAGTGTCTTTACGGTGAACAAGTCATTCCCTCTTTCTGCGTACGCGCCAAGGATTTTGCACACTAAGATGTTCCCAGCCAGACCGCGAGGGCCAACTGCGGATGGCGTACCCAGTAAGGAGACGTCGTCCGCAACAACAACACTCTCGATACGAGTCTTCGGCAAAAGAATCTGCGCCTTTTCTATCGCCAGCCCGAAGTTCAAGCGGTCGCCTGTGTAGTTGTTAATGATAACCAGCACATCTTTATATGGTGTTGCTGTAGGGTCGCCTCCGGTGATTGCGCAAGCAATGGCGGTTAGGATTTGGTTGGCACTTGGGCTGGCGAATATTTCGCCCGACACTGAAGCCGACAGCATTCCACGTCCAGTGTAGCCAGCGTGTGCTGGTTCGTGACCCGCTCCACCCCCTGAGATGATGGCAACTTGAGTATGCTGGCTTGGTTCGCGAACATAGACCACTTTGTTCGTGCTATCCCTGTCTTGTGGTTTGCGGGTTAGAAGATCCCTCGCTCGTTATGTTACGAACATGAACGAACAGAGCTAATGCGTGATTGAGGGTCACGGCACCGCGAAGGGACTTGGCAACCAAGCCTTCTGTAGCTTGAAAGACGTGCTTTGAAGACATTGGGAGGAGGACGAGAGGAAGGACGACGCCCGTGAGAGCGTCCTCTAAAGAAGAGCTCCTGGGCCACCTGCGCCTGTTATTATTGGATCAACACTGAATATTGAATCATCGAAGAAGCCTCAGTAATTCCCTCCTTCCAGGCGCGTGACCTAATGTGGAGCCAGACAAGAATAAGGCAATGAGACCGTGAAGACCACATAGGTTGATCATCAAATAACAGAGAAGTGCTTATTGAGTATTGAAGGAAGGAATACATGAGTAGCATACGATACAAATAGAACACGCTTAGCCGAATGTTTGACTCTACGAGCAAACGTGAGATGAAGAACATGGAGAGTAAATGAGGCACCTACCGAACGAGCACTTCTCCTGACTTTTGATAATCGCCATTCGTCTGCTTTCTCGTACTTGTTGAACAACGGCTCGATCTTCTCTTGCCGTTTCCGCTTGCTGATCTTATTTGCATCAGCAACCTGGAAGAATTGGGGAGCAACTTCGACGAGCCACTTGGGCTCTATTGCGGTGACGTTGTGGCAATACTCTCTTGTAGTAAGGATAAGTTCGTGGTAGACCAGCCATTCCGGAGCTCGATTAAAGAGAGCAGATGACGGATGAATGTATACAGGTGTTCCTTCTACGAGTGTCTTGTAGCCTTCTTGAGGATCCTTCTTGGCAGCATTTCGGAAGAAGCCCGAACATATGGCTCTGCGTACTCTGTTGAAATCACGGCCGGCGGAAACAACATCATGTTTGTACCTGTACCATATCCGTCAATGGGAAGTTGAGGTGGGAGATGGCGCATACATACCGATCCATGATACCAAGCAACTGTTTCCGAACGTCTTGGGCTCGGCGCATGCTCCGAGCTTGCACGAAATTCTCGTAACACCAAGGGTTTGAAAAATTGGCAGCTTTCCATCCGTTGTAGACAGTAAGTAAGGTTAAATGGTCGCCCTCGGGTTGATGGAACTTCGCCTTCTTCGAGTCGGCCTGTCCTTGCTTTTCCTTCGGTCGATAGAAGACGGTCTGCACGGACAACATGGCAACGATGGACAAGATCTCATCCGAACAGCCCAACTCCACAGATGCAATCAACATCTTCGCAAGCGGAGGCTCCATAGGGAAATCTGCCATTTTTCGACCAAGTCTGGTGAGCAGGCCTTCGTCGTCTAGTGCCGACAAAGCGTACAAAGACTCCAATGCTGTCAACATCGTTTGTGCGGGAGGAGGATCCATAAAGTCAAAGCTGAGCAAGTCGTTGATGCCCATGGCTTTCAACTGTAGGATCGTGTATGACAGATTCGTACGTTGGATATCGGGAATGGCGTTCGGCAACATTTCGTTGCGATACGCCGCTTCCGTGTAGAGTCGATAACATTTCCCGGGGCCGGTACGACCAGCACGCCCGGAGCGTTGTCGCGCTTGTGCTTGTGATATAGGCATGACCACTAGCGAATCCATACCCAACTTCGGGTCGAAGGCGTTCTGCTTGGAGAATCCAGGATCGATAACGTAGTAGATATCGGGGATGGTCAAACTGGTCTCAGCAACGTTAGTGGCGATGACAACCTTACGAGCACCGGGTGGCGTGGGCTCGAATACACGGGATTGAACTTCAGAAGGCAAGGCGGAGTAGATGGGGAGGATGATCAAATCGGGCACTTTAGGACCTAGCGCCTTCATACGTTCATAAAGAATCTCGCATGCCGTGTCGATTTCTTCTTGACCCGTGAGGAACAGCAAGATACCGCCCGAGGGCTCTGAAAGGTGAATCTGCATGACAGTGATCAAGGAGGCGTCGAGGTAGTCGGATTCGGGTTCTTTCGTATAAAGGATTTCCACAGGGAAGGTTCGACCAGGTATAGTGAAAATCGGACAACCAAAGAAGTACTTGGAGAACTTCTCGGCATCGAGCGTCGCAGACGTAACAATCAGCTTGAGGTCTGGTCGCCGTTTAACAGCCTCTGCTACCTGTCAGCAACGTAAATGAAACAGAGGAAGCACAATACTCACTCTTCATCAGACCGAACAGTACATCTGTTGCGATGGTCCGTTCGTGAGCCTCGTCAAGCATAATTACGGAGTAGTTGCTACATATCGGATCAATGAGACATTCTCGTTGAAGCATACCATCCGTCATGTATTTAATACGAGTTTCCGGACTGGTGCAATCTTCGAAACGGATGGTATACCCCACCTCTTGACCCAAGCGACAACCTACTTCCTCGGCAACACGTTTGGCGACTGACATAGCAGCGACACGTCGAGGTTGTGTGCAGCCAATGCGCCCCCTGTCTGCGTAGCCGGATTCGGCCAGGTATTGGACCATCTGCGTTGTCTTCCCCGAGCCAGTATCACCCACGACAATGAGAACTTGGTGCTGTTATTCAACCGTGAGTCAATGCCACCGCGGATCACCGAAATAAGAACATACCTCTGCGATAGCCTGGAGGAGGGAGTCCCGCAGCTTGTATATAGGCAAGCTCTTTCGTTGATCTTGGATGCTAAGACTCGTAATCTGACCGAACGTCGTGGCCTTGTTGAAAGTTTCCTCTTTCCACTTCGGCACCTCCCCTGCCCTCTGACTCCGCAAGTTCCCCCGCATATCCTGAGCAAACACTTTGTCTGTTTCGGTGGACATGGGATCGAGCCAAGGCTGACTGAAGTCGCGAGCTTGCGAGTCCGCTACCTCGTTGGCCTCCTGCTGACGCAATTCTCTTCGTTCCTTGGCTAGAGAAGCTCCCGCCAAAGCAGCCCGATTCAGAGATCCGTCGGGTGCCTTGACGATTTTGACAGGACTGAGGTCGAGTGTACGCTTTGTCTGGCCAGCAAGGAATGGAGGTTCCTCTTCTTTGATTTCAACATCTAGCTCCTCCTCTATTTCTGCATGGGCTACGGGGTTATTGAGATCTTCGTCAAGGTCTGCATATTCGGAAGCATCGACGAAACCAGAAGATATGAGCTGCTTGATTTCCCATCGTTCAGGAGAGGTGAGTCGCTTGGCCGAACGGGTAGTGGTGGGGACGTCAGCGGAATTCAGTGGCATCGCATTGGCACCAGATGACACCCGGGATGCCTTCTGACGTTCTTCCTCTAATTCAGCCTCTGATTTTATACGTAAGTGGGGTGTCAGATCCCTTCCGGTCGTTTGGTCCACATCCTTCATCGACAAGCTGAGACGATTCGTAGTCATGCTCATGACTTTCACTTTCACAGATTGACCTTTGCTCAAAAGGTCAGATGCTGAATTTGCTCGAACACCAGTTTGGATCATAGATACATGAACCATTCCTGCAAAATAACTGCGTGAGTAGGTTGTACAAGTATACGGAATGAATACACACCCTCTACACGTCCCACCACACCTTCTAAAGTTACAAAGGCACCAAAATCTTTCAACCCTGTGACTTTGCCGTTGTAAATTTTGAATACCACTGGTTTCTCGTCCAACTGCGGGCGACCGCGATATTCGTCTCTTCCATAGCCACGACTGCGTGGGGGGCTAGGAGAGCGCCGTCTCGGAGGTGGGCTTCGTGAGCGACTGTGACGGCGGCGCTTCGACGGGTGTTCCAGCTCATCCGATGGTCGTTTCGTCGGCACCTTCTTGCCAGAAACCAAGTCACCAATCTCTTTCAAGAATACATCGTCCGGAACTGCGGCAGGAACTTCCTGATCCTTCAATGCCAACCCTGGAAACAAGCGCTTTTTCTTCTCCTGCTCCGACAACATCCCTTCATCCGTGTCTTTCGCTTCTCCAGCCGGCTTGGACTTCTTCTTGTGCTTCGGGTGCATGCTAAGGATGAGGCGATCTATGTTGGCGACAACGGATTCGGGAAATGGTGCGCCAGCATCGCTGAGAGCCTGTTTGAAGGCTGCGAGGTTACTATTTGACTCTTCATGGAGATTAATCACAAACTCGGCGAGGGTTTTGTCGTGTAGTCCTGTATGATTATCGATCTCCTGGGTAATCTTTGCGACCAGAGATAGATATTCTAGGTTGTAGATGTCGGACGAGGCCATGAAAAGAAGGGAATGGGAGGGAGTAGGGGAAAGTGAGTTGGCGGTAAAGCAGAGAGAGAATGGGCGCTTCAAGTTCAGCTTAGGTCAGCACCCGTGACTCGAGCCAAGTTACCTCCCGGTTTCGCACACCACATTCTCACAAGTTCTCCAGTAGCCCTTCCACGGAAAGAAGCAATGTCCAACATTCTGACCTCTACTAGCCCTCCTGAATTTCTGACAAGACTCTACTCGGCGCTACCGCCTTCGGATGGTCGCCGTCCCCGCGTCACTCTCACGTTCGCCCAGTCCCTAGACTCCAAAATTGCTGGACAGGGAGGGCAGCAACTCATTCTCAGCGGAAAGGAAAGCATGATCATGACACACTGGTACTGTATACAACCATGGACGTGTATATACTATCGATCGACTGACGGTTTCGCGAGGACAGGATGCGCACGATGCACGATGCCATCATGGTTGGCATCGGTACGGCATTGAACGATAACCCACAACTCAATAGGAAGTCAAATTTGCTGCCAATAATTGAGCAGGATGAAATGACGTCCCATTAGCTCGACACCTTCCACCTCGAGAGCCTGATGCTAGCAACGCCCACAACAATCCCTATCACCTCCCCCGACCAATCATCCTCGATACAAACCTTCGCCTCAAAACGGATTGCAAGTTGGTACAAAATTTCAAGAACGGCTTTGGGCGGCGGCCATGGGTCATCTGTGCAGCCCCATCGTCCTCGGACGATGCCGACTTTGCCAGCAAGACGAAGCTACTAACGGACGTAGGTGTTCGGGTTATCCAAATTCCGACTGAGACAGGTTGATAAGTTTAGGAGAACCCTTATTTCAACCACTAAGAATATGTGTAACAGGGCATCAAATTGATATTAGAGCTATGCTGCAAACGCTGTCAGAACTCGGTGTTCGCTCTTTGATGGTAGAAGGAGGCGCCTCTGTCATCAAGTCCTTTTTCACAGGTGTCTCCAACCCCAGCGGAAACTTCGTAGACGCGGTCATCGTCACAGTTGCCCCTGTCTTCGTTGGCCAACAAGGCATAGGCTACGATCTGGACCTGCAAATTGTTCGTCGTTCCATTGCTTCGACGTTGTTTCAGCTAAGCTGTCTACAGTCGTCTGGATTGCAACATGTGCACTCTGAGATTCTGGGGAAAGACGCAGTATTGGTGCTGAAAAGTCATGGATCTTACATCTGATCTAGGGCGACTCTACACACCAAGTACTTGTACAATTTGACAATATGCGAACTACCGGTAGTCGAAGAGGCTACGTCGGGCACCAGTCGTACTCTGAGTCTGAGCTCTCATCAGTAGTCGTCATCATCGTTGCCACCATTGGCAAGCATCCTCTCCATATTCACTATTCTAGCCTCCATTCTACTCATTTTGGCAGTCAAGTCGGAGACTATTTGCAGGAGTTGATCGGTCTGTTTCGACGACCAGTCAGGTCTTCAGATGGCATCCTGAGGCTATAGAGGGATTGCAATGTAATTCAAGGAACTGTCTGGGGAGGGTTGGGAACATTAGTACTATGGGCGCTCCTTTGTGCGAGCCTTACAATGGCTACGCCAGGCCCTATCACCCCCTCAACCGATCATCCTCAATTGGAGCTTTCGTCTCGAGCTGGATTGAAAGCTCATTTAGATTTTCAAAAAAAATGGCTCTGGGCAACGGCCACGGGTCTTCATCATCCCAAGACGACGTTGTCTGACAAAAAGATGACGATACTCACCGACGTAGGTATCCATATCATTCCAAGTAGCAAATACTTGTATAATCTGACAAAGTGATGACCACTCGTGTTTATACAGTCAAGTACGCTACGTCGGCCCATCACTCGCAGTCCGAGTCTTTGAGCTCTCAGGTCTCGTCAATCGTCGTCGTCGTCGTCGTCGTCGTCGTTATCGTCGTCGTCGCCATCGCTCCTCCTACCATCGTTATCCCCCTCGCTGTCGTTGTTGTCGTCGTTATCGTCGTCGTTATCATCGTCGTCATATTTGGCTGGCTTCCCTGGCTTCCCGCGACTATATATTCCTGCTTCGTCATCGTCGTCGTCGTCGCCGTCGTCGTCGCCAGCCTTCCCTCGCCCGGACATTCCGCTCGATATTGGCTTGCCGGCTTTCGCTACCTTTACATTCGGGCTAGATCTATTTTTTTGCCCAGCGGGGCCCAGCTGTCCGCCGCCGCCAGCAAGAATCTTCTCCATATTCGCGAGTCTAGCCTCCATTCCGCTCATTTTGGTAGTCAAGTCAGAGACCATCTGCAGAAGTTGATCGGTCTGTTTGGATGAATAGTCAGATGATATCTTGCGGGCAAATACGAAGGTACGTACCTTGTCCTCTACAGCAGTAGCTTCGCTCGATTCTTCGTCCTCTTCCTCCTCGTCACTGAACACTTCATCGTATTCGTCCACATCGCCGGTCAATTGGGAAAAGCCATCTGCGTCAGCCTAGTAACTGCTTTAACGATAGCACGTGTGAAAAAGGATGCACATACATACCTTGTAGATGGCGGTGAAGAGTCCGTTGGCGAAGCTATCAGTGTATAGGTGAACGTCTACTTTCTGTTGCTTCCATCCTCGCTGTAACTCCTCAAATCTCTCGTAGAAGGCGACGAAGATAGAGGCGCATGTTTCACACATCGAACCAATTATCTCGTCGTCGGGTTGTTGCCCCTTGCGTAATCCCTGGATGATATTCATATGTTCCATCAATATATGCCCGAGCAAGGGCGCCAGAACCTTTGAAATGGACCTTGGTCAGTAAGGAATTCCGCGATTATAAGGGAGAGACAAACTAGTTCAATACGTTGCCCAACGATATACTCCAAAGTCGAAGTATCCGAGATACGGTATTGGGTTTCTTTCAGGAATGTAATGATTTCGGCGTCTTTGGCCTCGACATATGCATCCAAGAGTGCGGTTAGCCCATCGCCGTCTTCGTCTTCAACATCGTCGAGGGATTCTACTACGACATCGAGATACCCGAGAACTTCCAAGTAATCTTTGAAGGCGTCAGTAACCTTTCTGCGGTTGATCAAGGTCCTGATCGTTTTGAGGCAATGGGCGATATCTGCATAGTAACTGGGATAAAGTAAGAGAAAACTCCCAGAAGTAATGCAATGAAAGAACCAACAATGCATTGGACTGCGGCCAGACAACGGCCCAGCTAAGGAGCGACGGTGATTAGTCTCAAGCCATCATCATTGACTTATGCAACTTACAAGACAAGGGTCTCTGGCACAGTCCAGGATTTGACGGGACGTTTCTCGAGGAAGTGGTTCAATTCGTGAACAGAGACGAATCCACTCCCATCTTCATCGATAGCGTTCCCGATGGCCGGATGGTCTGCGGCCAACACATCAACAGCGAGTTTAACAACAGATCAGAAACCCGCGTACACATCACCTTGGCCAAGTATTTTAGCGTCCACGCATCATCAGGTGCCGACCCGGTTTCTTGCTTCTTCATGGCGTATTGACGTTGGAAGTATTCGTGCAGCGCTAGATGCCAATATATAAGCTTCTGATCAACTCCTTGGCGTGGAGCATACTTACCATCAACAAAAGGTCGGACTTTAACGCTGGTTCTCCATTTCTGAGAAAAAGGTCAAGGTTGTTGGCTCGGGATTATCTCTGGACACACCATTTCTACATTACTTGTTGGTAAGCACATGTAGTTCAGGGAGAAATGAGGGCATACCTTGCCAAAGAGCTTTCACATCGGGGTCGTCGATCAGCTCGTGAGGCCCGGCATCAAGCTGCGAAGGATATTAGCAACAATGAGATGCGCGACAAAGAAGAGTTAGTACATGTTTGATAATCGCCATCTCGGAGCGAGCGACGCTTTCTTCTATATTATCACTTGCTGCTTGCAAAGCGAACTTGAATTGAGTACTACAATCAAATCAAATCACATTCCATGGCCAACATAGGGGGAGCGAACGAACCGATCATGCTCAAGGATATCCTGCATATCCTTTCGAAGCGCGGCCTTGATTTGGGGCGGCAGCTTTTCTCCGAGGATTTCAGCCACTTTAGCAAGCAGGGCATCATCCTGTACGACGAGGGCTAGTCAGTACCTTCTTCAGTTTGCGTTCAAAGAAGTCTGTCTGCATACTTGGATGATGTTCCCGGCACCTCCATGCGCCTTGCTGTACTCTTCCGCCTTTTGCTCCTTCGCGCCAATAGCGCCGAGCATTTGAATGACAGTGTTGATGTTCGTAGAGACAGTCTGCACTTGCTCGTGAGTATCGAAGGTCGAGACCATGGTACGAGCTTCCAAGATCATCCGCATGTCATCCTTGAGGCGAGCAAATGTCTGGTTTATCTCCTCGAGTTGTTCCTTGTACTCTTGAGAGCGGAGGATACGGACTGTTTAGTATCAGAAGTATGTCAGAAGTCATGCGACCAACGAGGCTGCAGTGTGCAGGGGGGTACTCACATATAGCATGCTTCGCGGAATAACGATAATATGTGCTAGGATGTGTATCAATTTTTCTAACAGTTTTGCTGCCGACCACGCTGCCGACCACGAAGACTTACTTGACCAAATTACCTAGTAATGGGCGGGTTAGCTATAGTCCACGAACTTGAACCGGCGAACAGGAACATACCGAATTCTTCCATTGTTCGAGTCATTTCGCTGAGAGTATCTTGTAGATCGTCGACCACTTCGTCGACCTGGTCAAGCAGAGCCCCGAGATATCGGAGGGTATGCATTGTGATAGTCTACGTAGCATAAGATTTAGTAAGGATATGATTTAGAATCTAAGACACCGACGCACCATAGAATGATACACAACCGCGATCTGAAGGTTGTTGTTTTGACGGTTAGCCTCCATCTCTACCAAAGCCTGCAAACATAATTAGTTACACGCTTGGATGTCAACAAGTACGACTACTGGATTACCGCAAATATTCCTATCACGCCCTATCGAATGATGGCTGAGTCCGTTGAAAAAATCTACTCATGACCTAGTCACAGACCTTCGCAATGGGGTGGACTTCCGAAATTACAGTCAGAATTGGTAGCACTTGTCGGGCACCAGAGATGATCTTTTTGGCGGCGGCCTTTCCATCCTTGCCGCTGCTTTTGCGAGCTAGTAACAATGATAACGAGTCAATGAGTGGGAGATGAACAGCTTATGGGATTGAACTCCACGTACACGCAACAGCAGTGATTGCTTGCTCTGCCGTCTGCAATGCTTGGTTAGCAGCCGGTTCCAATCGCGCTGGGCATCAGACGGGGTTCAGTTCGACGACCCATTTCAACACGAAGGGGGAGAAGAGAAATCCTACCAATCGTCGATGCCGCGGCAGCTGGGTCGCTCTGAGTGGGATTCATAGTCGTTCAACAATGTACCCTAGCCCTGATTTACGCCCATTATAAACCTCCCCGTGTTATCTGATCGGCGCTTCACAGGCTGAATTCAGATCCGACATGGACGGTTTTATAACTGCTGACTGACCCCATAATAGCGTTACTGGGAAATCCTAGGACGAGGTCTGCGGAGAGCAAGCTGGCCTTATGCTTATGCCCAGGACCGACGAGCATCAGACTATTCAATAGGATAAGCGCTGGCGCCGTGGCGGAACAATCAACATGATTTGCGCCCATCAACCCGGAACTGGGGGGCAAGAGAATCATGATGTAGAAGTGCCATTGGCTAATACTAGATACAAGGTGTATACCTATGATACAGAATCAGACATTGCAGATAACTGAGAGGGGTGGTAATGACATGAATTTTCCGAAATAGTTGTGACGCTTCTTTATTTTCTGTTGTTTGAGCGCATTCCCAGAATCTGAACAAGGCGGATGCTGGAAAAAAAGAAATGGATGTCAATTGATGATGAGCATGTGATGAGAAGAGTTCTTACAATATATTGATCATGTCGAGTTGAAGACTGATGGATTCTTTCATGGGATCCTTACGAACAAGACCCTGCTCGGCCAGTCGTGCGTGGTTCAGAATCTTTTGGGTGCTGTGCGGATATATCGTCAGTCTTATTATTGTTAACGGAATTACGACATACTCATAGAGCACGAAGCCGCTAAAAACTGCGAGGCCACCATACAATGAGATTGCTTCGGCGATAGCGAGGCTACGCATGCCCATGGGGAGGGCCATAGGTGCGAGTGAGCTAAGCGCCACAACAGTGATGCCGGCTAACAAAGGACCGCCCATATACAAGTATTTGTCGTTCCTTTTTTGAATCCGAGTAAGAAGAGCGAAGACTAAAAGATGAATGAGCGCTACCTTGCCGTAGCGCCAACGTATGAAAGTGATCCTACAACCCCACACGTATACAGGGCAGCTCTCGAAAGGATGGCTGGGTTTACGAAGAAGAGTGGACTGAGTGTTGCGGCTTGACAAGCGTTAAAGGCCTATAGATGTGTAAGAAACCAAATAGATCCCGCACGTATCATGCTGTTACTTACAAGCCAGAAAGCATGCTTTTGGAATGTTTTCTCCGGAGGAGTGTAGTATACTCCGAGCATGGACCCAATTGACCCAGCAAGGCTGACACCAAGAACGACCCCTACACCGAGATGAGATGGGTGTGTGTGAGAGAGAATCTGGCTTACATGGGTTGGCGGACATGATTCTGAATGCAAAACCGTTCTTAAACATGGTTCGTGCAGCCAGAGCCGTAAGTACAAGTCCTCCGCCGGTATACTGGAATGTCTCGTGCAGGTATGACTTCTCTGCTGGCGATAACCCATCATTTGTTTCGCGGTTTAGGAACATGTTAGTCACGACAACCGCCCCAGCGACTCCGGCCTGAACATTTCGGTAAGCTTCAAGTTGTACCAAAGTAATGTAGAATACGCACCGCGGTTATCCCGAAGCGCTTCCATGTTTCTTCGCGTGTAGGACGAATGATGGTTGCTTGGTCTGTCATAAAAGTACGTGTAGACTGTCTGGTAGCAAGTGTAGCCCACGAGAAAGGCTTCATCTGAGCAGCCCTCAGAACATTAGACTGGCCACCATAACTACTGAAAGCGCGAGCATTGTGCAAGACTTTTGTGGGTGCTGCCTGGAGACGGACGCTGGGAAGTAGAGAAATAACAGACAAGCCTGCGCGCTGCATCGAGGGCAAATGGCGATGGTGGCGGTACGGGAAGAAGAGATGAAGAGCTGACAGACCAACGGAACTCTCTGGAACCCCTGCTTGAGGTGACCATGCTCGTCATGCGATCGGCACGATTAGGTAAGCAATTCGTTTCTGTCTCTTGCCGCCATCGTTGCACGCAACGGCGAGCTCACCGTAGACGACACATGCCGCCGAGAAAACATATCGTCAAGTCCGGAAACGCTGGAAATTCCTCCAAAGGCAAGGAAAAGGCGTCAGAACCGGTTGCAGATCCCAATAAGCCGCCGCCGCTTTTCCCTCCTGGTTCAAAGTTTCCCGCAAGCCTGTTATCCGAAAGGTCAGCTTCCGGTTCCTTTGATTCACTTTGGTTGCGAACTTGATGTGGTATAGATGCCAGAAAGAAGGATGGGAAAAGCCTCAAATTGATACCGTGAGCGCTAGCCTTAAAATACCCTATCATAGACTTCACTTCCAGGAATTCCAGCCCAGGAAAAATGACGGGTACTCGTTCGTCGTGACCTTGAGGAGGGTCAACAAGAAGTCAGATTCTGGAATGGATTCTGTGCGCCTTGAACCACATCCTCCGTATATATGCTCTACCGCCCTTGAAGCCAGACATTGGGGCGCTACATATGCACTCTACCGTGTTCGTCTTTCCTTGGAAGTCTATCGTCACTGGGTCGATCTTGAATGTATAATCGCAAGTAGTTTTGCAATGGGATTCGTCTTCAACTTGTTCTTCCGAAAGGACCCCGCGATTACTGGAATCAACTAGCGTCAGAGCATGCGCAGGCCCCAGAGCATCAAAGTTGGATGTACGAAGCCGACCCATTTGCAGCTAGAAGAACGGTGGTGGAGAGGCAAGCCAAGGCCGCCATAAAAAACGAACAAAGGGTCACAGGTTCACAGCAAGGCACCGGGTCATCCTCTGCAGAGTCCAAAGAGTTCGCGAAATGTCCTGAAGTACGAATGGCAACTAGTCTCAGGGATGTGGTTGAAAGCTGCATCAAGAAGGTCAGTCAGTCTTGTGACCATATAGATGCTTGGCCGATTTATTCGTCCGTCCAGGGTCTCTCCATGTACCCAGAAGTTGGAGATGCTTCCGCCGGCCTGACAGATTCAGTCATGAGCGTAGCGGCAAGTCAACTGAAGACTCTAGGGTTCACTGGTCAACAGGCCAAGAAAGCCACCGACTTCCTTTCTGCGCCTTCAACCCTTGCTTCCCGTCTCTTGGCTGGGTTGCCACCATTGGAAGCCTGTATCGAGTATCTCGTCCTGGATCTACCTGAATGCGATCTTCCTCCGCGGTTCTTACCTGCAGATCATTCCTCCGATCCATTCATCACTTCTGCACACACTGGCACTGATGATCTGAGGCAGCGCTGGATCAAGGAGAAGGCAATGAAGGAGGCTGGCTGGCCCAAGCACATAGTCGACGAAATCGCGTCGGACAAACGGTTTTGTCAAAGCTTCGAGGTTTTGGTTGCTGCACTAGGTCAACGCCTGATCGGGAACAATGTAGAGGATCTCATCGTCGAGAGCAAAGCAACGGAAGCATATACCCTGAACGAAGAGGAATACTCTGCCCTTGGCGCTCATTTCGAGGATCCGGGTCATCTGGTCATGCCCCTGTTCAGCGCACCGATCCTGCTTCACGTTCTCGTGTCGCCTGACCGATTTCCCTCCAGAGGGTTTGCCCCGATATATATCACATCTAAATCAGTCCCTGGATACGTTCGTTTGCATTTGTTGGCCCGTCTACTTGATGAACTCAGTGACCCGGCGCTGGCGAGCAGCGACGAAGACCTTTGCATGATCGCTATGCGTGTCTTGGAAGATGCATGGGCCGTAATTGAAGACAATGGCCCACCAGATGTCTCCGAAGTTATGAAACATATGCTCCCTGCGACTACACAGCCTTCTTTCCAGACAGAGAAAATTATTGAAAAGGACGTTCCAACGTCGGCTCCTTCAAGACGACGACGACCCGGTCAGGCTCGAGTGGACAAACGAACCGATGAAGAGGTTAAGCAAGAGTTCGAGGTGCTATGCAGGACCAGTAAGGTAGTGTCAGTACAATGATTACTACGCGCTTGTCCTGATCCTTTGCAGTACGGCGAAATTCTGGAGGCGCGCAAGAAACTTCCTGCGTTCGCAGCCAAGGAAGATTTCCTCAGGAAACTTCAGAGTAGCCGTGTAGTGGTCGTAGTTGGTGAAACTGGTGAGCCATTCGTCCAACTTGCATCAACATCCCCTGATAGTGCAACAGGAAGTGGGAAGACGACACAATGTAACGCCATACCTCCTTTGAGCTCTGTTCGTCGACTTACACGCATCTTAGTGCCTCAGTTCATATTAGATTCACTGATCTTCTCGGGGTCGGGATCCAAGGCCTCCATTATCGTCACACAACCTCGCAGGATATCAGCCATCTCCGTCTCACAACGCGTGCATTACGAGCGCACCCAGGACGGGTCCGTTGGCTACGCTATCCGTGGAGAGTCTAAGTATGAGCCAGGAAAGACGAAGTTATTGTTCTGTACCACTGGTGTCGTGCTCAGAAGGCTCAGCGCTGGTGACACGTTGAAGGATGTCACACATGTGGTCGTTGATGAGGTTCGTAGGGAAACGTATCATTCGACAAGCCCACTTTGACCCTCAATGCTACATAGGTCCACGAACGATCTGTAGACTGCGATTTCCTGCTCTTAGAACTTAAAGAACTTCTCAGCTCACATCCAACGCTCAAAGTGGTGCTCATGTCGGCTACCATAAATTACAGTATATTTTCCAAATACTTCAACGACGCGCCCTTGCTAAAGATACCCGGCTTTACTCACCCCGTGACCGACATGTTCGTGGTTTTAGGTCTTATCTTCACGATGCTCATATTTGAGTACCAGATACCTTGAAAACATTGTTCCTTTGATTGGCTATCGTCCTCAAATTGGGAAGCAGTTCAAGAAAGGTGGAGACAAGGAAGAAGAAGAATTCAGTGAACAACCAAACCTTCAAGAGAACGACATTCGTGCGATCCAGGCTGTAAGCCGCAACGATCATATAGATTATCAGGTAACTCCGCGTCGCCCTCTGTAAGACTGCTGGTATTGATCTCTGTAGCTGATAGCAGGGCTGATAAACCACATAATCAAACACGAAGCGAAGTCAGCGATTCTGGTCTTCTTGCCCGGCACCCAAGAAATCCGGCATTGCATCGAGGCCATCCGGGCTTCCGTTCCATCAGGCTCTGCGGACGTTTTCCCCTTGCACGCTAACCTTTCTAGTGACGAACAACTTCGCGTGTTCGCCCCCAGCAAGAAGTGGAAGATTATTGCCGCTACTAATGTTGCCGAGGTAGGCTCGTAATTCGTGGGGGCTATACCGTCCGAGGCTTACTTTCTTCCGGTTAGACTTCCATCACTATCGACGACGTAGTCCATGTGATTGACTCCGGTAAAGTCAAAGAGAATGCCTATAACCCGGAACTGGGGTTCTCGACTCTGAAAGAGACCTGGGTAACTAAGGCAGCTGCCCGGCAGCGAAGAGGGCGCGCTGGCAGAACGCAGCCTGGCAAATGTTTCAAGTTATTCACCAAGAAAAGGGAATCGGACATGAAGGAATTCCCGACGCCAGAAATGTTAAGGATATCGTTAGAGAACGTGTTGCTTACCGTGAAAGTCATGAGAGAGGGCGAGGACGTTGAAGTGAGTTATTGTTTCGCCGCCCACTCTGTGTGCTAAATCGCATGTCGCAAGCGCTACCTGAACCAAGCGATAGATCCACCTTCCACGGCAGCGATCAAGAATGCGATAGATACCTTAGAGGATTTAGGTGCCATCGATTCTGAGGGAACGCTGAGCTCGTTAGGCAAACACTTAGTAAGTGTTACCCGAAACTACCGGCCATTTTTATAAATCTCTTGAAGTCTATGTTGTCAGTTGACTTGCGGCTCGCAAAAGTGCGTATGTAATTCGAAACAATTGTGTCTTTACTCACCCTCTTTTACCTAGATGCTCATTCTCGGGACTATTTTCCGATGCTTGGACCCTATCCTTAGCATCGTGGCGATGTTATCATCCAAGTCCCTTTTTCTCAGCCCCGCCGAGCAAAGGGAAGAGGCTAACCGGTTAGTAAATGACCACATTTGAGTGCGCAGCGTGATTCTGAGGTTTCTCTAGCGCGAGAGCGAAGTTCGTCACTGGTAGTAGCGATCTTTTAACGGATGTGACCGCCTACAACGAGGTTGTTGGCCTTCGTAAGGCTGGGAAACCCCAAAGCCAAATCAAACGATACTGTGAGGAGGTAGGACCTTTATCATTCCGTCGTATGCCCTGACTTAAACAGAATTTCAGAACTTTCTCTCCCCCACAACAGTTCGAGACATCACGACGGTGCGCCATGAGCTCATCGCCACATTGGCCGATATTGGTTTTGTACCTTTACAAGTTTCGCCCGACGATCCGTCCCTCAATACAAATAGCAACAAGACCAATGTACTAAAAGCAATCGTCGCAGGTGGGCTTTGGCCTCGGGTCGCCAGAGTATATCTACCCACCTCTGCCATTAAATTCGACAAGGTCCAGGCAGGGTCAGTACAACGCGATAACTCGGCGAAAGAGTTTAGGTTTTACGACTTGAAAGGCGAGAGGGCATTCCTCCACCCTTCAAGCATACTATTTACGGTAGTTGCATGGAAGTCGCCCATCGTGGCGTTCTTCCAGCAGCATAAAACGACTAAGTCCTTCCTGAGGAGTGTGACAGAGGTAGCTATCACTACACAGAGCGTAGACGAGGTCTGACCATGTTCGTCAGGTCCCTGTCTACGGTGCACTCCTATTCGGGGGACCTGTATCCATCAACCACATAGCTGGGGGTGTCACAATTCAGAGCACCGTTGGCCACATCAAGTTGAAAGCATGGCCGAGGATCGGGGTTCTTGTGAACCAACTGCGGTACGGAACTTCCACCGAGCTCAACGTATATTTCCCCTCATTCCCCGCACAGTCAACTCTTGGATGTCCAACTACGGCGGTGCATGGAAGATGGGGCTACTTTGGATTTTGATCGAGATAATCCTGTTGCTTTGGCCATCATTTCTCTGCTGGAGAATGACGGATCTACGGAGTTTTAGTGCATGGTACCGGTTGCTTGCGAACGACTGCGAACGTCGCGATCGCGAGGATAATCACAATCCTGCATGGTGAATGCCAAGACTCGGACAATTGTAGGGGATCGATATCGGTGATCGAGTCTGGTACTGTGCGATGTCTCCTATTCCCCTCATGCTACCAATATTTTCGACGTCTGACAGAGAAGAATATTGGAAATCAATTTGACGACGACAAGGTGAGTTGTTGGCTCGGTGTCAGTGAGTAATAATTCTGCCGTCGTCTGGGGGTGGGGGTGGGGTAATTTGGTATGCAGACAGAGTGACTGGTTAACATTCCACCCGGTTACCGGCTGCCGAAGCTGCCTATGTTTTTGACAGGATACTCCAGGGTGCGATCAGGGTTCGCATCTAGAAATTTGGCTTGTGGGGCGGGCCCTGCAGCTGGCTGACACATATACGACCCACAGAAGAGCATCTAACATTCATTTGGACTGTGACTCGCCATACACGAAAGCCACTACTGTACTGCAGCGTACTATCAAGAGCGTCTGGCGTCTTACGGCCTTCCTTGGGACGTGTAACCCCGAAGATTGGAGGCGGTGCGGGGTTGAGATGGGGCATTCTGGGGTCCTGGGGGAATCCTGGGGGCGGGGAATCAATGATAAATGCAAATCGATCGGTGGGCTTTCGACCCTGAGATCGAGTTGAAATTGAGGGGCCCCTGGCAAGCCCTGGCCATGTCTGTTTTTTTTTCAAGGTAGTAACATTCCGTGCCTAGCTCTCTACGTACGAGCCCCTGGTCGGCGCGATATAAAAGATATGGCTTCAGCTCTAACTTTCGATAGGCTCGCTCGACCTGCTTGCTTCTCTATCCCCTCAGCACTCCGCCGCCATGTCGCCATCAATCTCTGAGAAAGCCTCTGCCGACTTCATCGAGAACGAGTCCAGTCAAGAACCAAGAATCGATGCTGAACACAACTTGAACGTCGATCCTGCTTTCGCCAAGCGCACCATGCGTAGGATCGACCTGCATCTTCTTCCCATCCTCGCTGTCTTGTACTCCATCTCACTCATTGATCGAGTTAACATCTCGTCAGTCACTTTTGCCGCAGATTTCTCTGTGTACATGTCACTGACCGCGATAATTTTAGAAATGCATATGTTGCTGGCATGGCTCGGGATCTAGAACTACAAATAGGTACACGGTACTCCTTGGCAACTTTGATCTTCTTCGTTCCGTATGTGGCATCTACCAAGTATCCTTAGCTTGGCTGACTCGAAATAGATACATCATCTTCGAACTTCCCTCCAACATCTTGATTCGCAAGATTGGAGCTGCGCGCTGGGTAGGTCATCTTCTCAAGTATTTCGTTGCATAGTTCTGAGATACCACCGCCTCTAGATCGGAAGCATCACTTTCTTATGGGGTTCTGTGATGATCGGGATGGCCTTCGTCAAGAACTGGTGGCAACTCGTCGTCTGCCGTGCAATCCTTGGTGTCCTAGAGGCTGGCTTCTTCCCTGCTTGCACCTACATCATCAGTACATGGTATATCCGACGTGAAGTGCAGAAGCGCATGACTGGTTTCTACGTCGTCTCCGTTATGATTAGCGGTTTCTCTTCAGCAATGGCCGGTGGTATTGCTGAACTCGAAGGGACTAGCAACATGGGCGGCTGGCAATGGATTTTCGTACGTCTTCGCCAACATCAATATCACAACAATTCTGACGACTTCTCTATAGTTGATCTTTGGACTCATCACAGTCGTTGGAGCTGTCGCGGCATATCTACTCGTCCAGGATTTCCCGGATAAGAATACTTTCTTGTCTCCCGAGCAGACGTCCTGGGTGCTCGCTCGCATTGATGCTGATCGATCAGACGCTCAATACGATCACTGGACCATGAAGAAGTTCTGGTCATACATGGTGGACCCCCATTTGTGGTCCTTTGCCGTCTTGTTCGGTGCCGTCTGCACTACCACATATGTGAGTGGTAAACACATGATACAAACAATCCCTCATCGCTAACGATGCAATCTTTAGGCTTTCGCTTACTTCCTCCCCATCATCCTTGTACAAGGAATGGGTTATACAACTCTTGATGCTCAACTCCTCACCGCACCACCATACGTCTTTGCCGCCATCTTCTCCTTCTCCTTGGCCATCCTCAGTGATAAGACAGGGTACCGCGGACCGTTCATCATCTTCCAGTCTATCGTTGCCATCGTCGGTCTATGCTTGACCGCTTTCCACACCAACAATGCTGTCCGATACTTCGGTGTCTTCCTCGGTATCGGTGGTGGATCTGCCAACGTCGCCTCTATCCTTGGTTACCTCCAAAACAACACCTCGGGCTATTCAAGACGAGGCTTCGCCACTGCTATCACGATCGGTGGAGGAGGTGTTGGTGGAATTATCGCTTCGACTGTCTTCCGCTCCAAGGATGCTCCAGGATACCGACCGGGCTGTAAGTCACATTCTCTAAACATGCGAATGACCCCGGTATTGATATAATGCTTTTCTTTAGTGTGGGTGGTCATTGGCGCTCAACTCCTCATCATTTCCACTATTTGCGCGAACTCCTTCTACTACTACACCAAGAACAAGGCCGTCCGCGAGGGCCGCTCGGACGCCATCCAAGGCCGCCCAGGATTCTTCTACACATTCTAGACTAGATGCCAGTCCAGTCACGTCATTTTCATGGTATTTAACGATAATGTTATATGTACCCACGAAGTCAAATGTATCTTACGGATTTATTTCTTCTTCTCTCTTGCCAATAAATTGGATTTCATCATTGCATGAACGCACGATTGAACGCCTCTGCCCAAGCATCATAAAACTCGGAAGACCTCGCCATTATGCTCTGCTCAATGTGGATGAACTGCCCGGATACCGTCGTAGCATCGGCGTCACGGACGCAAACGTCTTCCTCGGCTATCCCGTTCAGTAGTCTCCCAAACACATTCGTCGTCGCGGTCAAACCGCAAGAGCTATCCGAAGGAAGCGATATATTCCACGTCGTGAAAACCTGCAACGCCTCCCTCTGCAACCTCTTGATAGGCGCGTCGGCAGGTGAAGTATACCACGCAAGGGACGATTCCGACCGACCTATAACAGTGAGAATAGAGCGTTAGGCATGCTTTGACCGTTCACTCAAAACCCTGAGGACCCCAACCTAAACCGGTGGACATGAAGGCCGTATCCTCCGAACACGTACTCGCAGCCTTGCCGTGCATCTGGACAAACGCGCACGATGCCGCTTGGCAACCACCATGATCCTCTTGCCACACATGGACAGTTTTCGCCGCACCAAAGAAAGGTTCGTTCTACATATAAACCCCGATATCAGCACCATTAGCAACGTTACGTTCACGGGATGATACAATGTGGGGAACATAACTCCACACTGGTACCTCGCCATGCTTACCGTATCGTGCGCAGGATCCGTCTTAAAATACGGACCGCCCTCCGGGTCGGTTTGGATGCACAATGTGGGTTCTCTGAACGCTGTTCGTATGCGCCCGGCGATCAGCAAGCTCTTCGCGCCCGTGCGCTTGAACAAAGCCGAGGCTTGCATCGGGGTATTCATGTCGAACACGGGATGCGGCGCAGAAAAATGGAGGCTGCGCGCTGGCTGAGGACGAGAGGCTGGTACGGCAAAGAGACCCCAGCCCCGTATGTAGAATCCCGATGCGGGGTCAAAGTTGGTTTCGGACAGGATGCAGAACGACTGCGTCGAATCTGAAGCAGTTTCTTCGTACAACGTCACGGAGTACACATCCTGAAGGACGCTGGGAACGGAGACGGAAGTGCAGTTCCCATCGACATCGAGAAGGGCTGCAATGGTGTCGGTCCACGCGGTCAACTCGAAAGGCGTCGGTTGTGCTGTATCGTATGAGGATTGATTGTAGAATTCAAACGAAACAGTGAATTTGTCGAAGCAAGTCACGACGTCTTCTAGCGTCAATAGGGACGAATTACTGAGGCAGGGAATAGGCGGAGAAGTAGAGATGCCGCTGGGAATTGCCGTCAGGAAGGCAAAAAGGTGGGCAGTTTGCCTCCGGAAGAGAAGACGCGAGACGGTCGAGCTTGCTGAGCGTAGCCATTGTACAGACATGGCGACACATTCGCTAGAGGAATCATATCATATAAATAAGGTACTCAAGCTGCTTCTTATGCGTACCGCCACCTCATGATGGAAGAAGGCCACCAGCTCATGGTGGGAGAAGGAAGGGAACCTTGCTACTTAGGCGCCCTCTGTCACTATATGGTGTCAATGCAAGTATTTATTCAATGCGTAAGATGTGTAGGTCGTAAAGCTTCTATATAATGAATAATACATGTAATTCATGAGTACTTGCCAATTCGTGTCGTGGAATGATGAGTCGTGAGTGTAATTGATTGCCAAAATAGCCCAAGTAATAAGAATATGCGTTGATGCTGCGAAACCATACGGAGAAGAAGAGAATACAGTCAGCACATGATGCACTCCGTTAGTCAGAAGACAGGGAACTCACAATACTATAAATACAGATGAATGGTGTGGTGTTCTCAATCATGACCGTGACACACTTCTTTGTGCCCAGCTCTCACTCGTTGATCTTCGTTTTGATGACGGACGGCGTCCCAACCCAAGTTGGGCCTGCTCGATCGCATTGACCTGCCGCGAGTTCGGCCTACCTATCCTCCCATCCGATTCAATTACGATTGGCTCTGGTGACGCCGAGTTCCGAGCGGTCAGCCGACCCATTTCATCAACGGGCTCTCGCTTTACGACGGGTTCCTCAACAACATTCACATCATCATAAGGGGTAGGCATGGCGGCAAAGTACGGATATTCGTATGGTTGCGTTCGAGGGACGGGCGCCGACCGACGACGATCGACTTTCGAACGACAGAAACTTGCAGTAGAGACGGGCGTTGGAGTCGAAGGTCTGGGCGGTTGCTCGATCGACGATCGAGTTGACTGAGGGCTTGTAGGTTGGCGGGCGGATGACGGACGCCGAGAGAAAAAAGATCGAGCGGGTGAAGCGGTCTTGGGCAGCGTTTCGGATGTTGTATCGGATGTGATACTGGATCGAGGGAGGATCCAAGGTGGGACAAACCCAGAGGCAGGTCTTTTGCGCGCGGGCTTCACGGGGGTTTCATTCACTAATGCCCCGCTATTAGACGGAGCGACCGAAGAATTAGACGGCGCAGATTTACATTCGGAGGATATCGAAGCCGCTGGAGGAGATAATTCAGCGTTTAAGGAAGCTTTACGCGTCTTGCTTAACAAAAGCTTCATTCGAGGAAGGCGGGGGTGGGCGGAAGGTCCAGAAGACATACGCGAGCCATCCGATTCCACAGATTCGTCGCAAGTATCAAGGTGAGGCTGCTGGAAAGCCAAATGCTTTGGAGGCGTAGCAACCAGTGTCGAGGAAGAAGATAATTGGCGGTCATCAACATCCGCAGCGGGCGTTGGCTCTGGTGTATCTGATACGACTTGGACGGCTTCGCGTACGGTCGTGGTCGTGGATGGCTCGTGCGTGTCACGCGCTGTAGGCGATGTGTTTGCGCGAGCGGGGATCGCTCTGCGTTTTCGAGAACGCCGAACGGCGTTGGATCCAAACGAAGCGGGAGCCGACCGCCTTCGATGCGGCTTCTCTCGCGTCGGGGGATGAAGAATGGGCAATTCGGGAACCAGCGGCCTCGCCACAGGCAATATCCAATCCAGCCATATAGCCAGAACACTCTAGCAGAGACATTCCCTTTAAGCTTCATGCTTCCTTTGAGCAAGATAAAGAGACTCACCAATGCAAACCCCACCGAACTCATCGCCTTCGCTGCAAGAAGTGGCATTCGACCAGGTTTCTGCTGTTCCAGCTCCTTCGACATGGTGTGGACCAAGACGGTCTTGTGGGCGATTCGATTAAATTCGGAGGCGATTAATTGGTAGCAGGGTGCAGGATCACAAAGCATTATCGTCTGGTGAATCAGCCTGGAATGGTGGCGTGCACATTAAAAAATATACAAAGGCCAGCGCGACAAGGGACGATGGTTGTTGTGAGTTGAACTTGGAAACAAAATGTCGCGCCGTCTGATAATAAGGCTTTCGGGTGCGCGGTAAATGGGACGATTACGGGAGTGGCATGGTGCGAGCCTCGACGGCGCTGGACAAACGGTTTCATTGAAATTCTGGCCACAAGTATGACACCACTTGTGAAATTTCACGTAAGGCAACTTGACATATCACCACTTTTAGCCTGAGCCTGCTTGGCATCTGCTTCCGTGACAAACACTCTGCGGTCCCGAGACACGCCATTTTGATACCGTTACACTACTGACATGATTGCGATTACATGCGATAGATTATCATACTGCCTCTCCTGCCCGGCGCAATCCTCAGACTCAGACAGACTTGCTTGGGTTCACGCCGACAGCTTTGAATCAAACAAATCAGCGAAACGATCATCACGGTTCGACGTCGAGTAACTCACTGATATATCCGACGACACCCTCTGGCCAGTCGTCATTGATCGACTCGATGCTGTTGTGATGATCATCAGTTTCAGGCCCAGATAAGCTAGGGGAGATAACTTACTCAACAATCGGGGAGTAGCCAGAGCTGCTTGCCTTGGTGTAGTTGGGGTCTTGTGCGTTCTTCGTGAGCTTGTGGGTGTTTGTGTTGTATGGCGAAGTCATCGACACAACCTCCGTCCATCGATCGGTGAAGAAGACCTGGCCCACATGGGTGACTGGTGATCCCAGGGACTGCTGGTGAACCAGCAGGTTGATGTGATTGGCTCCGTCCGATGAGTAGCCGGGGAAGATAGTTTGGAACTCGGCGATACCGCTTGAAGAAGTCGCGGTAGCACCCCGGAGGTACGAGCCATAGTTCCCCTGCGCATTGGCTATGTACAAGAACGCAATCAGATGGCGAGAATTACGCGACAAGTATTTAGGCGGCCTACCGGACCAGACCTCGACCATCGTGTTTGTCAAGGGTTGGCAGGTGGTGATGTCCATGACACCAACATCGAGAGTCAGAGCGATACCGCTAATTATTAATAGGAGGTTAGGAGGTTCCTGAGGGGTGACCAATGAGGCATGTGCTCACGTTTGACCGTCAGTAACATCGGTGCGGACAGCCTGGAAGGGAAATAAGGTGAGGCACAAGTGTCGATCAGCGATAAAGCTGTCTCCTACTGGGTTGGCCACGTAGTTAACTGTTCAAAGAGTTATAAACATCTTGCTACAACATCAGAGGAGGCAATAAACTTACCTCTTGGTGCATCAGGGGACACGATGCAAGTAGCCTGATGAACAAAATAAGCACACGAAGGACTCCCAATGTAAATCATTGCCCTACGTTTTTTATGCTGTTGTAGAAGGCGCGCTTGCCAAGGCCCCTCTTCTCGCGGCGCTCGATGTTGAAACGGCGAACCTCAGCGGAGCAGTCGCGGGCGACAAGACTGTGTTCAGCTGGTGTGGGGACAGCTAAATACGACCAAGAGTGAGCTTATCCGACCTGTGGCGATGAGCAGCTAAAATGCCTCACCAGCAGCGGCGCCAAAAAGGACGGCGAGCGTTACTAGTGAAGAGAAGTACATCGTTATCGTTGTTGGAGAAAAGCCGAGAAGAAACCAAGGTTGTTCAGTAATGAAGAAGGAGGAGCTTCTGGTAAGGATAGTATCCATATTTACTGTACTTTTTATACCTGCAAGGCGAAGCTAGAAGGTCCAATCGAAAGGCACCAGCATTACCGTAATGCTAAGCCACTTCCTTACTCAACTTAGACGGTGAAATCACGGTTGAGTCGATGCCCCCAACAAGCAGTCTTCCATGATCAGAGCGTATGCCGATTAACCACGTTACCCCGAACTACCCCATGCACCAGCATCGCATGCCTGGCGGAAGGCAATACGTACCTATTGAATATATTTCCCTCCACTTCAGAAGGCGTTAGTAGGCCGCAGTTTATCCTCTACTGCTCCGAAGCACTGATGGGTAGATGGAGGCAGCCCGGAGGCGAGGCGTCTCCAGGGAACGGAGTAACTGTCGGCCAGACCGTGTGGGCTGCATTTCCAGTAGAGGAAGTGGGCCGTTCGAACCTTGTTGGCGGAGGAAGCGGTGCATTGCAGTATCTCCAGAGCGTGGTGGGCAGGTTTCCTCGACGGGAAATATGACGCTAGCGAGGTGCGTGGTATTTGTCATGGGAGTGGCATGCCGAAGCGTGGACAGATCTGGGGAAAACGCGAAAGGCAATTGAAGCGGACCGCGTCTGGGAAGAACCACGACCCTCGTGACAGAGTAGGTTGAGATTCGTGCGCCAGTGATGGGCCCAAGCGTAGTTAAGATGATCTATCATATGAGACAATAATGCCGTTGTTTCTATTATTGCTCACATGTAGCGATGTCGCTGGAGGTGCAGTGTGCTGTCACGGCGTATGGAATCCGGGTCCCTTGGCAGTGTCGCTTCCAGCATTCCAACGTGCCGATCCTCAGACATTATAGCGATGTGTTTTTCTTTCCATGTTAGGGGAATTTGTGTTGCTGGGGCAGTCAGTCACCATGAAAGTGTGAGGCGATAGAAGAATGTGCTATCGCTTGGAAGTTCCACTATATCAGCGAGGATTGCAGAAAGGGTTTACGAGGAGGAGCGAGCTTACTCTCAACCGGCACGCTGGCGATGCCAGAGCAGAAGCCGCCCATTTGGCATTTGGCATGGAATTTTGCTCCAGCTTCATTTCCGTAGATAACCTATATACGTACGCATTTCGTTTTGGATTCTGGCGCCAGAATTCAAAGGATAGCCATATGCTGCCGCAAGTAGCTGAGCTGGCTTGCATGCTCCTGCATATGCAATGCCCATATGAGATACTGGTCCTGCCGTCGGCGGCGATGGAGGAAGTCCAAGAAAGCTGCAGAAACGTGCGAGAACATGATGGCTAACAGTAATAGTGGTTCTGATGTTCCTTCTGGTTCCAGAATCGCTGGAGTAGATGTTCGGTCACGAGGACTCTCTGTACGATCGCACGTGATCGATCACCGCGACGCGACTGTGAAGGGCAACTCATTTCACGACCACCATGTCCGACTCTGAAGATTCGTACGGAGGGTACGACCTCTCAGAGTTTACCGAAGAGGACTTTGCTCGCATTGATGCTGCAATATCCAATATTTCGACGCCCCCACCGATAACCTCGCCGCCAAACGGAGGTCCGAAGCTTGCAATCACCCTGGAGTTATCGCTTCCTGATTGCCCAGCGGAAGTTGGCTCCTCAAGTAACGACACCGTTACCCCAATCTCACTCGACAAAACCGTCACTGTGTCTGAGAATAGCCCCCTACGCCGATTTCGAAGAAAGGGGTTCCTTTCCGTAACAGATTTGGTGTCACCAGCATGGTACGCGTTGATATCAATGACCTATGACCTAGGCAGGGTCCCATGAGCTATGATTAATCTCGCTGTGTATATGTAGGTGTGAACTTCAGTTTGATTATGGATTGCGGCAGAAGCGGTTCCTGAAGCCCCAGCATCGACCCAAGTCGTTTGTTTCGGGCTCAGGGAAAGAGATAATGGTGCAGCAAGCTATCGCACAAGAAAACTTCCAAGTTCAAAAGAAGGGCCATGTAAGTGCGGCCTATCGTGCGATGGTGATGCTAATTAGGTGATCCATCTATCTATCTTTGTGACTTAGTCTGTACACAAGGCCCTTGAGCGTGAAGTTAAGCCAGAGGCAATACCCATCCGCGTCAGAACAGAGGAAGAACGATGGGCTCTAAGGTAGCGTTGACCACCACCGTGACTTCAACAAACCTACAACCCTCCGACAGACTTGTCAATATGATGGCATGCTTTGAATCCCTTAAGCTTCTTGGGCTTGCAGTACGTCCTGACATGTCCATCATGAGTATCCCCATTTACCTACATATTCCTTCAGCGTGAAATCCCTATATTTGGGATTGTGGATGGTCAAGTCGTCGTAGGCATCATCGTAAGCATGTGAGGCTCTTCAGTACTTCTTCTCTTGATATTGTTGAAGCACAGGATGAACTCACGCGACTGCAAGTCACCGAGGAGGGAACTTCTTCGAAACGCGGCTCCGACTACGGGCAAGAAACTCCTCGGAAAAGACACAAGTCACCCTCTGACGAGGCACGAACATCTGAGGAGTCGACCCCCGCGCTCTCCATCCTCGATCTGCTGGTCCAACAAAGCAGCGATCCACCTAAGTCACCGAAATGGAAAGCAACGGCTCCACCCCGCCGGACTCCCCTGTACATGCTGCACGTCCTCGACACAAAGTCTAGACGCACGGACTCGCTGCCTCCGCACGCAGACACACTTCCATCCCGACTCCAAGTAATGCTATACCACCGTTTATTAGACAATATCCTCACCGCGCCCACCGGCGGCACGTTCGACATCAACGAAATATGGAAGAAACTCGATTTGGATCCGTTCAAACCGTTCTCCGATGAATTCTTAGTCCAAGCAGGGTTAATCCCTGACTTTGACGACGAACGTGTCCCCCAACCAACCGCGAACTGCCTTGACAAGCTAGTTCACACTTGGCATCACACAGTGGCCGATTTAGAGGTCATTGGTGTGTCGCCGTTGCTGGAATTGGTCTATCGCAAGCAACCGCAAAGTCGCAAAGGCAAGGAACGCTGGAGCAAAGCCACCGAAATCAATATCACGGTGTCCAAAGAGGATGTTGCCGATCAAGAAGAAGAGAAGAGCATAGCGGCGGCAATCCTCGCCAGCATCTCTGAATCCAGCGTGGAGGAAGACAATCAGCTGACTCTAGCCATTCAGGCCAGCCTCGAGTCGTATGGGCGAGAGCGAGACGGAATAACGGGCGACGGACCGTCGAATATCGATGAATCTGCTAATATGCAGAGCAGCAGCGTGGTACATGCCGCAGAAGTTGTGCCTGCCGCCGCTACGGGAAGCATGCCTTCGGCTCCGCGGGTAGGGTCGCCCTCGCTCGCTGGCACGCCACCCCCAGTTGCTCCCGCATTAGCTACTCCCCTCCCGACGGCCATTCAACGCGAAGACACCTTGCCCGCAATCGCCGAAGGGCCGGTTCACAATTTGACTGATGCAGTAGAGTCGAAGGGATATATCATAGGGACCAAGAAGTTCCTCATGGACGATATTTTACTCGATGAATACCTCAGGGGTGTTCTTGACTGGTGGCGAGGGCACCGAGAGGCGCGAGGCGTTGCCGAGTCGGAGGTTAAGCGATGCAAGTAAGTGTCCATATGGTTTCTTGCTCGTTTGCTTCAATAGTTGACCCAATACCGCCGCAGTACATGTGAGTATTGCGACGGATGCGAGTGGCGAGAAGCGAAGGCCACTGAGATGCAAGCTACGATGCAATCTCGTCGGGAAGCTTCATGATGATGATGGGTATCAGTGATTGGCACTAGTGTTCTTTCTTGTATAACAGCCATCGGGCAGCTAGAGTTCTTTTGAATACAACTTCGTACACGTCTCAGCACCATGATTTTTGCATGAAGAGCTGAGGCAGGCGCTTGGGTACGGGGCTCTCCTATTTCTGGCTTCGGCTTGGTGGCAACATCAATGTTGTTGCTCTAATGATCAACATCACCATTGCACTGGCCCAACTCTCTCCCATCCTTTAACTGACCTCACACAAGCGAAACCAATAACCTGAAGCAACCATGAGCGACGCGGATTCAGACGACTTGCTTGGGCCGTATCTTCACTGGTCCTTTATGGGCAGCGTCATATTGCTGCCTTCTATACAGCTAAACACTTTCTCGGGCTTTCTCATCGGCTCGCTTCTCACCATCGCGGTCTGTGTATCTGAACGGTGCGTTTGCTTTAGAACGAACGCGGTAGTGGCTGAGGAAATGCGCGGGGTGCTGACGACCCTTCATGCGTATTGACAGGTTGCTTGCATTGCTGAGCGAGAAACAGTGGGCGCCGTCAAGCGTAAAGCACTCGCGGTGGAAACATGCTGCTTGGCGGTCAATGTTGTACTGGATGACAACTTTTCTGCGCTTGTGAGTTCGCCCCCTCTTCGCGAGTTGGACAAAGAACCTAAATGAGTGTAGGATGTACATGCTTATTGCAATGTCGTTTCAACTTGGGTGAGTACACCCGGATCCTCTCATAGTCGTATTGAATCCTTATGTATACCCCCAGGATAATCATCGTTATCGTGAGCTTCCATGCACATTATCGCGTTCCTTTCATCCAATGTACAAAACACGTTCGCCAGGTCACCACGTTATCAATAGCCCAATTCTTTATCGAGTACCACAAGGGCGCTATTCCCCCTCACCAACAGTACGTCTACGCCAGTGCCTCCGTCGTGCGCTCCAAATAATCGCGTCGACACATAGGATGGGTGTGCACGGTCTCCACCAGCCGCTGCTAGATCGCAATGGCCCTGAATCCCCTTACCCTCTCCTTCCTCGCACACGCCCCGGCCCCAAAACACGACCTGGTGGCCTCTTTATCCACCCGAATGAATCAAACATCGCGCGTGCAGACGCCGTGGCCCTGGAGCTCGGATATGCCAGCAGCAGTAGCAGCAATCCTGATCACTACGCAGACGAGGAGGTCTGGGAAAAACAACACGCTGCGTCTCGGAAATCCCAAAATCCTGTACGAGACCCATTCCGCATATCTGACGAAGATGAGGATGGGTCTACGTAGCATCCATCTTCCCCACTCTTTCCCCTTTCTCATTTAGCTTTGTCTCCCTCGTCCTGTTTTGGTTCCACGATTAAATAGATGATACGTAAATCACTAAAGTAACTGTCCTATAGTATGCTACAGCTTCACGATTTACCGGAAGCACTCGTCAATGCAGTCCCTCGCTTCGCAACGAAACCTCCCCGTCGAGGAGCACCAGGAGTCGTCCCCTCAACCTCGGCTGTCTTGCGTTGCCACTGGTCAATCAGTCTCCCGACTCCTCGGTAAGGCTGGTCAGGGGGAGATTGATTTCCTTCATCATTGCCGGTAGCCTTCTTGAGCTTGCTAACAGCCTCGTCAAATGCCTTCGCCTCGTCTTTCTCAGCTTGTCGGCGCCCTATTGGGGCAATACCTTCCGTAATTGTGGGTGATGTCCGGCGCGGGGTCACATCGCTAGGGGGCGCTGAGAGATTTGACGGTTGTATCGGCTTGCGAGGAGAATCTGATTGCGGCGGCGATGTCGGAGAGATGGGCTGCAGTGCCGGTCGCTGGCTCTGAGAAAGGGATATAACATCGGCGGAGACCTTCCTAACGTTCGACGGACGAAGCGCTTTGAATTCTTGCGGTTTCGTAGCTATGGGCGGTGGCCCCAGGCCGGTCTTGTTGATAGCCTCGTAGTGTTGCACCATGTCAGAGATTGACGTCCGTCTTGTTGGACGTTTCGGAAGGTCAACCGGAGGAGACAAAGATGAAGAAAGAGCCGGTGCAGATGGATGCCCTGATCCAAGTGCGTCAGAAGCTCTGGAAGGGAAAATGAACATCGACTGAGGTCGTGAGCGTCCGGACGAGGGTGACGGAGTGGGGGCCACTGGGGAAGGTTGCGGTCTGCCAACGTCACTCGCGTCGGTCCCTTGGCTAGTCTGACGCGAATCAATACCAGTAGGCTTTGGAGAAGCAGATCTAGGAAACGAAGTTACAGCCGGAGAGCTCAAATTTACCGACGTTCTCTTGGAGGGGCTAAGTCGCGAAGTTTCAAGATTCGAAAGTGGAGCAACCAGATCCTTCTTGTGTTCCTTGCCGTCCGCGCCAGACGAGATGCCACCGCCCCATAAATCAACAAGATCATGCACAGAGCTCTGTCGAGCCTTGTGCCTTGTCTTCTGTGGCCCAGAAACCATCTTGGAAGGACGAGACAACCTAGCAGGGTCTTCAGGACCATCTTCATCGGGACTTGATTGAGCATCAAGGTCCTTCTGGTTATCCGTTGCCTTTCTTGACGAGGGTAAGGGACTCCAATTATCAGATAACGCTTCCGCTGGGTTATATTTCGCACCCGTTGTATTTATGTTGGTCAATCGAGTAGGAGGCTTGCTCTGTGTAAGCGAAGGTAGTCGACTTCGTGTAGCAGTGGGCTTTGGCGGTGACCCGCCAATCGACGAGGATAATGGAGTCGGGCTGGTTCGCCTAGCTATCTCATTTACTTGCGTTGTACGAGAACCTGCTTCTAGGTATGAACTGCGCTTGTTCGGGGAAGCTCGAAGCAAAGGCGTTCTCGGGCTTATGGACGGAAGCTGCTCATTGTCAGACCCAGTTAACCAGTCTGTTGTAGACCTCGTTGGTTTAGAAGCAATAGGCTTGTCCGGAGCTTCAGATGGAGATGGTCTGTGGGAATTGAACTTGGAGCCGGTGTAGTTGAAAGAGGTTGTGGTATTTGGTCGTTGACCAGATATCTCCGGAGAAGGTATCTTCGCAGATTTCGGGGCAGCCGCACCCTTATGCGCTTCCTGTGGCGTTTCTGTATCCTTCTCGGCTCGGAGTACTCGTCTAATGTCAGCGCTTGATGCGCCATCTCCGGTGATCTGAGTCGAGCGCATTGCACTACCTGTGACTTGCGCTGAGCGGGACCCTCCGTTATACGACGGTAGGCGAACGGGTTTCAATGATTCCGCCTTTGGTACGTCGATATCCAGACTCGACCTAGCCTCTTGAGCTTGCAACGCTCCAGATAGCTGAGCACCAGCTCTGATCCCGATAACAGGCGGTTGCTTGCTCGAGGCTCCCGTACCGAAAGAGGCATCGAGCTCCTCTAGCGAAGGGAATCTTGACTCCGCAGGAAGGTCCGCAGAAGGCGTCTGTATCGGCGGAGGAATAGGAGAAGCGGCAGGTGAGGCAGAAGGTTGTGGAGTGGTACGAGCAGGCGAAGAAGAAGCACCGCGCATCGGCTGAGATTGGGCAGCAAGATAAGTATTCCGTGTTGTACTTGGAGATGAGGGCGGTCGATAGGTATCTGAACGATTTGACTGTGTACTCAGTACAGCAAGTCCAGTTCGTAGCTTTCGGGCCTCTCCAAGGGTAGGTAGAGGCCGGGAATTTGGTTGAAGCCCAAGACCTTCGAACGCGTCCCTTTCCTTAGACTTGGAAGGTATCAATCGTGGTCTAACTACTCCTGAAGGGGTCAAGCCAGGAGTGCGGGAGGGTGTAAGTGGTTGATAATGCGAAGTCGACGCAGCATTGCTCGATGTATCTGTGTTCTTTGGCTTGGCTGACTGAGGATCAAACGAATCCCAGAGTTTCTGCCCGAAGTCATCTCCAAAGCCTTGGTCCTTGGGTTTATCAGAGTTGGCGGAGGTCTTGACTGTCCATGCATCGTCACCACTAGGCTTTAGATGTTCGGGAGCTTTGGTGGCAGCGATCGCTTTCCACGCTTTCTCTTCCTCTGCATCAAACCCACTATCTAGCCAGTTATTCGAGGGCTTGGTTCCCTCAGGCTGCCTTGCTGTCGTCGAGGTTGTTGGTTTATGAGGGCTCGCTGGTCGGGTCGATGATGATGATGAAGGTTCATTGGCATCCTTGCTGGCAGCAGGCCTACCGCGTCGCATGGGAGCAATGGCCTCCAGTACCATTTCCCTGGCTTGAACACCGGCGTTCTTGGACGACGTGGTACTTGACGACGTGCCGTTTAGCACTGGTGGACTAGTTGAAATTTGCTGAGGTGGCTTGCTAGTCGAGAAACCTGACGCGTTCTTGGATGAGGCATGCTTTGGCGACAATGGCTGAGGAGAGGGGATGTTGTATTTGAACTGAGATTTGGTCCCGCGCAGGCGATGTACTTGGTCCAAGACTTCGAAGACGGTTGGTCGGTGCACACCATGCTCCCGCAGCATTGAAGCTACGTAAAGTGAGCCCAACGTGACTAGAATCGATCTTTCAAGTACGTACCTATGAGTGCGTTCATCTGATTAGAGTACACGGGGTATGGCGGGGTCTTGTACTGAACGTTAAGGATTGCAAGGGGTCCGTGTTCTTCGAAAGGGGTGGTATAGTAGCAGAGCTTGTAGAGAAGAACCCCGAGTGCCCATACGTCGCTCTTCTCGTCAACGGGTCTTCGTAGGTAGAGGTCCACCATTTCTGGGGCTCTGTACTGAAGTGTGGTATGTCGGTTTAGATCAGCTTCCAATGCCCGGATCTCTTGGGCTGTTGAGGGTGGCCTAGGGGAGGCGTATGTTGCAGATCCAAAATCACACAGCTTGAAAGACGTAGGAGATGATTGCAAGATGTTCTCGACTTTCAGATCGCGATGCAGGAGAGGTGGACGTGAGCTGTGCATGAAGGCGACGCCCTCACAGACATCCGCAAAGATTTGGAGAATCTCAGCTTCTGTAAGACGTTCCCGGAGACGACGATTCATCATGTCAATGATTCCGCCACCTGCAATGAGACCATGAGAGCAGCCTGTGGGAGATCGTGGCCTGTACCGTACCAGGGCAATACTCCATTAAAATGAAAACCTCGTAAGTGCCATTCGCCATTTTGCTCCATGCTGCATCTATAAGATGAACAATATTGGGATGTCCTTTGAGAAGCCTCTATAACGATCATGTATCATTCATCCATACCACAGGGTAACAAAATACGTACCATCACATCGACTTCCTTCTTGACCTCTGTGAGCATGCCCTCACTGTCAACTGCTATACGCTTCAGGACATGATGTGTCGTGTTGTACACGGGCGTCGCCGTTCTGACGAGATATACATGCGCAAATCCACCTAGAGTCCAATTGCATATTTGGTGTCGAATTTGTCTCGAGTGACTTACCTTGAGACAAATAGCGTTCGACCTGAACATTGAACTGCCCAACCGCGATAGACTGTCCTGGCACGAGCGTTCCTTTATTCTGTCCGTGTATCTGATAAGGATTTTGGTTCGCCATGGGGTATGGGTATCTGGGCGAAGTGGTGGTTCGGGATCAAGCTGCAAGCGACATGAACTGTTGAGTGCTACTGTAACATGGCCGGATTGGGAAGGTGTGAAGTTGCTCTGAGCTACACGTGATCCCGGCGATGCAAGGGCGTCGCTTACATTCCTTTTTGGGAACACTCAGTTAGATTCCGAGCAGTAAGTTTGGGCCGCGCAACCCTCCTTGCCCTTAACGTCCTTGTCTGATCCCATGAGTGACCTCTTGCAGCGTGCTCTGCACTCCCATGTCCCCTACTCCCGCCCGTCCACCCCCATCGCCCATGAGCACCAGATTGGCTTCGTGGGCCTTGGTGCCATGGGCTACATGATGGCAAGGAACCTGGCAAATGACCGCGAAGTAGGATCAGTACCGATTCTCGTCTGGAACAGATCAGTATCCAAGTCAGAAGCCCTCCAGAAGGAACTAGGGGAGGGCAAAATCCGTATTGCTCAGAACGTTGAGCAGATCGCACGCGAGTGCGATGTGATCATCACCAACCTCGCCAACGATGCGGTGGTCAAGGAGATTTATCAAAAGTTCTCGGACGCACTAAAGGTATCTCTGCTGTATAATATTCTGTCACTTTCTGATGTGCTGATCCATCAATAGAGCTCACAACCGACAGGGAAGAAGACGTTCGTTGAAACAAGCACGGTAACGAGTTTCCCCATTATTGTAAAAGAAGAACTCAGATATTATTTGACAAGATATACCCAAGTCTCGCAGGTGAGCCACGCCGGTATCAAATTGACTGGCCGATGTCGAGCATTTTACAACAGGCGAACTTGATCGACTCATTACCTCCAACCCTAAACTCCACCTCATCACCTGCCCCGTATTCGGGACACCCGCTGTCGCCGAGATGGGCCAACTTCTCATTGTGATGAGCGGTGACTACTTGGCGAAGAAAGAGATCGCACACCTATTTGTGCCTGCCGTTGGTAGGAAAGTGATTGATCTAGGCGGTAACTTGGAGAAAGGTGTGTAGTTATCCTCTGTTATCTTATCATCTTATCAATATTCCGAAGCCCCAACGTTCAAGTTGATCGGTAACTCGATGATCCTTGGGACTCTCGAGGTGCTTGCGGAGAGCCTCACACTGGCAGAGAAATCAGGCATTGGCTCGCTACCAGTTTTGGAACTCGTAAAGGGTATGTGATATTTCAACATCTTGACTTAGCAATCCAAGCTCAATCAATGCAGATCTCCTACCTGCACCTGCGCAAGTCCCTCATTCAAGTAACACATGTGATCAATACTAATGTGCTGTATTCAGAATCGTGGCTTGTGCCGACCAAATTGCGCACGACAAATTTGACGGATCGGTTGGCTTTGCTATTGACGGGGGAATAAAAGATGCAGCGTAGGCCTCTATCGCGAATATATTCGAATTCACCTCCAATAATCATTCACAGGCATATTCGCCACCTTACTGCCGAACACAATTCCCCGATGCCCGTCATTGATATTGCGCATCAGCACCTCATCACCGCTCGTGCTATCCACGCTAAACAGGCAGCCCAAGGCAAAGAGAATTTCAAGACGTTAGATTGGAGCGGTTTGGTTGCTGGCCCACGCGTTGCTGCTGGCCTTGACGCCTTTGATAGCCAAAAGGTTAGTTGCACTTCGTTCAACGCCTCTAAGAGGATATTGAATGTATTTCTCGTTAGCATGCCAACGTCGTGAGGCCCGAGAAGATCGACGACGACGAGTAGGCAAATCCGAAGAGGCAAGCCGTCATCTGTACATTATCTGGATATCCAATCGGTCTAGAAAGAACTTCACCTCCGAAAGCATTACAGCGTGCTAGAACTCCACTAACAACTACATCTTGCTACCGATTTATACAAGGAATACAGCTATCTTCGTTGACATTTTGTTAGGTGAGGAAGTGGTCACAGGTATTCATTTTGCTACAGCCGCTACACACTCGATCTCGACTTCTGCGCCCAACGGGAGCGCAGCCACACCGATGCATGTCCTCGCTGGAGGTTTATCTTGAAAGAACTAGTGGCAGGATCAATTGATCTGAACAACTAACTATGCAGCGATCGTGTGCCTACCTCAGCATACACTTCATTCATCGCTGCGAAATCCTTCGGCAAATCGGTAAGGTAGATGTTGACTTTCAGGATATGCTCTAAGCCTGATCCCGAAGCTTTGAGGACGATGGCTAGATTCTTCAAAGCCGCTCGCTGTGGGCGATCAGATAGTTAACGTTCCGCCGGCCTGTCAGTTGCATTAAACCTGCTCACTGTTTGTCCTTGAACGCCTCCTTCTACAAGCTTTAGTTCCCTATCGCATCCGATATTACCAGAGGCGTAGACGGTGCCATTTGATACGATCGCCTGGGCTAGCTCGCGATCAGACGTTAAGTCCCCTCGATCAAGTGTCCGCGCAGGGTACGATCACGTACAATATATGGGCAGAGGAGGGTTAGCTTCCTCAGTGAAGATGACCTTTCTGTCTGACATGTTCGCGGTGCAAACAAGGAGGTTTGTATCTGGTCCGCCCGTATTTGCATTATATACTTAGGAACACCTGAGTCAGCTACGTGATCTCGTCCAATGTCTAATCGATCAACGGACCGGCCAACGAGGCCTTCAGAAAGTCATGCCATGACTGGGTCTGATGATAAGAACCACTATATCCTCCCACGAGCAGCTCCACTCCTTCTGCAACTACTGCTCGGGTGTCTTCTCTCCCGCCCCATTCGACGCGAGGTGTCCAAGCGACCAGATGCGCCCCGACATGGGTTACTACTGTACCCGCCAGCACTAATGGATCTAGATGATCTCGAAGTCGACGATATGTTTGAAGGAAAGCTGAGATGATGGCTTCTGCGCTCGTGCTTTGACTTGGATGGAAACGGCGCAATGTGTGGATTTCGGCGCAAAATTGGCCCAAATCCAATCCCTCCAACCCCGTCTTCGCGAGTTCCCAGTCAATAACGTAGATCGACTCTGCAGTTGGACTCAGAACAATGTTCCCCGGCCAGAAGTCTCCCATGACCAGCTGGGAACAATGAACATCAAAATCAGTGACCAGTAAATTGAGGTCAAGACGAAGCCAACTCACACAGTCCGCGCTAGCATTGATCTGGGAAGATCTCTCTTTGGATAGCATAGCGATGGTGTTCATTGTTTCCTTAGAGACGTTCAAAGGAGGATCCGAAAGCACAGGCATGTCTTCGCCCTCCAGCGTAGAGGCCAGCCGTCCATAAGTCGCCCATGACGATATAGATTTTCCATGTTCATTTGCATCAAAGCCCCGCAGCAATTCAACTTCACCACCGCTACGACGGTGTACATTTGCTATGAATTCCCCGAGCGCGTTCCCAACATTCTTCGCCGTGGCCTGCGACACGGCCCCATCAAGTAAGAGCTGTTTCAACGTTTTTGCGTCAAGTCCGACATCTTCCATAATAATGACCGCCTTGTCTTCGTCGAAATGGACAACAGCAGGAACTTTGACTGGTGAATCAGGGGCGATCCAGGTAGAAATCCATTTTAAAGCCTCCACCTCGTATGCCTAGACGGAATGTAACACGCTTTGGTTATAAAGAGATTGGTAGAGAAGAGCTCGAGCGTACCTGTCGCTGCAACGAGAAGGGTATGTTCCCAACAAATGGACGTCCATGCTTGAGGATTAGACTCGAATGTCCCTCAACCGGCCTCAACAATGATATCCTGTAGATGAAGTTCGCTGTGCCTCCTGAAAGGGGAAGAGCATCCGAGCACTCAAAACGGGTGCCTTCCAGATATTCCTTCACGCCCGAAACTGTGATAAGGTCTGGCATTTCGGGGCTAGGGATCCTTGTGCGAGAATTCGACTCTACATCTTATGCTTACGTTGATTGTCTGTGCTGATGTGTCCAGTCAAGCATCGTCCACGGTCCACAACGATCGCAGCCGAAAAGATGCTCAAAAATCAATCCCTTCGACGTTCGACTTCAGCGAGGAGTAGTACATACCCTCATGGAGAGATCCAAGACAGTTCATATATACTATATATTGCAACATCGTGGAACGGCACATACATACTATCAAAGAAAATCCGAGCCCCAGTCCAAGAAATTTACTTTCTTGACTCGTCGATCATCCAATAGACTCGTCGAAATGATACGAAGAGAGAGGATAAAGGGAAAAAAGCAACAGAAGGATGCGAGGCCAGGCGATTGTGGCCGCTCTTCAGCCCATTTGCCACCCAAGGTTGAATAATTCCGGGAGGAAGTATCTGCGCAGAAGTTCCCTGGCCGTTCGCTTGGGGGGTGATAAACTTATATCTGCTGTTCGTTCTACCCGAGAGAGCCGGCAAAGGTCCTCCAAAGTCTATTCCTTTGTGAAAAGGGATTTTCGGTGGCCCGGTGTGTTGAAGGATGACTACCCGAAAGAAATGATAGAAAGACAATCAGATGGCACCACTGCGTTAGGGTTGGGTCAGTGAAAAGGGATTGGTTGGATGCAGGCATGGTAACGTACTCCCAACATTGCCATCAGCTTTGCGACCTTGCCACCATTTACCAGTGCTGTCGGGGATGTCAAGGATGTCAAGGATTTCTCCTTTGGTGAACGATAGATCGTTGGGATAGTTCAAAGGTGCAATGTCTGACATAGCATGAATGGGACGAACGGCAGGGGAGGCGCAGACAACGTACATGGATAGATTGCTTTGGCTCGGAGGACAATCCCTGGCAAGGTAGTACCCCAATCTGACCTTGCACCCGCGCTTCCGAGTCCTAAGGAGTAAGAACCATCAATGAGCGATTTACCCCGGTAAACGGGTGCTATCAAGGCTTTGGAGGTCCTCTCCCAAGACCGCATCCGAGTTTTGGCAGATGTCTTCACAGATTCAATGAAGGCAGAGCGTTCGCCTGATAATACAAGAGGAGGCATACGCGAGTTTGCGGGAGGGAACCACCTAGGCTCTCGCGTTGACTTCGCAGGGTCCTTGGACTTTGTGGGTCGCAAGATGCGATGGTTTACTCCTCCTAATGTGCCGTTGTGTAACTCCTTGTGGGATTCCTCGGACAGTATTTCATGATCTGCAGGAAGCTTGGAATATGCAGGTTCTACTCGTAGAAGATGCTCGGTGCCGGTAGTGGTACTGAGGTATTCAAGTGGTGCCGAGGGTGGGTTCTCTGGTCCCTCAGATGATGCTAATAGATGTGATTAGGAAGTAAATGCAAAGTGCGGAGGGAAGAAACATACCCGATAATCTGCAATATGGTGTGCTAACCGACGAAGCGTCTATCAGGGCGGTGGTGGTTCGGCCTATGCATTAACGTATTATTGACAAGATCTACGAGATCACGATGAAGCACATACCTTTCAACAAGACCCTCCTCAGTCGCCTCTGGATACTTGCAAATGAGGGTCTCTGACTTGCTTCGTATCTCCAGCATTTCTCGGCCATGTCCCATGTAGCATCATCCATGCACTCAGGGCGATGTGGAAGCTCTTTCTTGTTTAGCACTCTGTGCGCCAACGCAGCATTATGCAGATAACCGAACGGAGCGAGCCCTGTGTAAAGCTCCCAGGCCAAAAATGCGAAGCTATAAACATCAGCAGGTTTATCAGGGAGCCCTCCACCCAGTAGCTCAGGCGCCATCCAGTGGGGCGTCCAGACAGTCTTCGTCCCCGTCGTCCCCGTCACTGACGCAATTTGATATTGCAGACGTGATAGACCAAAGTCAGTAATGACGGCCTTCTGGTCATCTCCAACCAACACGCTGGCCTGAAACCCATGTTCAGAATGTCGGCAGAGGGTAAAGACAGAAGTCATCACGAACCGCTTTCAGATTAGCATGAATAACTCCTTGGTTGTGTAGGTATGACATCCCCAAGGAGATCTCATGGAGCTGGAAGGCCATGGTCAGGAGGGGGGATAACCACAAAGACGTGAAGGGGACGAACAAAAACGGTGCGATTAGCGTCAGGCTTACAGCGCAGGAATTCGAGAATGGTTCCATTTCCGCAGAAACGAGTTACAATGAATGGCTGGCAACTGTTAGAATGTCGACAAAAAGGAGAGCAGCACTAAACTTACCCGTCCAAATTCTAAACAGGCACCGTAAAACGGAAGCAAGTGTGGATGAGCAATTTGAGACCATTTTGTGATTTCGTTCCTGATATACTAAGCCCATCTGTTAGTGAATGAACACCGCCGTAAAATGAACTACGTACTTTCAGTGAGACCGCAGTAAGCATCTGAGCATCACCGCCGTGCATTTCTTCGACAGCGACAACTTGTCCATTCCATTCACCTTTGTAGATGTTGCCGAAAGTACCTTGGCCAATGCAGCTCTCTCGATCACCAGGGTCAAATCTGACCTCAAGACTCGTTACAGCCCAATGTGGAATTCCTGAAGCAGTCTGTCCAGACAAGCGCTGCAGTGCTGATGAAGCAATCAGCAGAAAAGCTTCTGCGGGATCGTTTGGTACGGCTGGAGATGCTTGTGTGATTCTTTCGATGTGCTGGGTGGGCTGTTAGGTGATATTGCCTCGCTAGCCACATATAGCGCGACTGACTCTGGTAAAGGCCACTATCAATTCTTCTAAGCCTTGTCGTTGACGTCTGGCATCATCTTGCAAGGCCGCGAGGATCTTCTCGTCGTTGTACGCTAGGCTATCTAGCCGCGCAACGAGTTCTTCCTGGTCAGCTTTCTGCGCTGAAGCTATTTCAACTTGGAGGTTTTGTGCACTCAAGTGCGTCCCGAACTAGACGAGAGTCGCTAAGTAGGGCCACATTGTCTGCACTGTATTGTTGACTCACGTTGAATATTGTCAACGCATCGCTGATTGCGGTTTCTGCAGCAGCAAGCTCCTCCTTGATCTTGTCTTGATTCAAGAGTCTCCAAGCGAACCCTTTGTCCGCCAGACGTCCAATCGTCGTCTTCACAGTAATGCACGTCCTGTATATTTGATTAATTAGCGATAAGGGATACGAGGAACGAAGGCTACTCTTCGAGATTCTGCAAGTAGGGGGCCAGTCCACGCTTGCGTGCTGTCTTGCCCATCAGGCCTAGGTCGCTGAGCTGTTTGTTCACCTCGAAAAACAGGTCTTGGCATCGTTGTATCAGAAGGCGACACTGGGTTTGATTGCCTTCCACCTTCTCGTACTGAGTCCAGGAAAACAATAGTGCATCGTAGGCGACCTTGAGGACTTGTGGAACAGTTACCGCTGTGAGAACTTCCATGAGGGGATGTATCGGTCGTCGCGAACACCTTATAAAGTTGAGTCCAAAGCAGTACGAGCACTGATGGGCACATTGCCGTATCAATGTGTTGCACGTCGTGTGACAATGTTCTATTGCAACGACCTGATGATGAACACTACGGTTGATGTCTGGTGCTATGTATGGCAGCTTCTGCGCCGCTATGCATGCCTATTTGCTGGTACACCCACAGCCCGTACTAGAAGTGAATGAATTCATACTCTGGGAGCGTTGACGGGTTTATCTCATCAGAAAAGGCGTCCCAAATGCATGTGGTGATTGGGGAAATAAGAAAATGGACATGATAGTGAAAATACGGATCAATGAGGAGCTTGTACAACAAAATTGCTTTATATGTCTTTACAAAACGTGAACATTCATGTAACTTTCGTACCATGCTGAACAGGTCGTACAGTGCGTCGACAAAAACATATACCGAACAGCATTCATGATCATAAGCGAACTTAAAGCTTGTCGTAGTAGGTGTCGAGGGGAGGAATCTCGGGCTGTGCAGAGGTTGCATCAGATAAAGTTAGGCAATCACAGCAATGAAGAAAGTGCGAACCTTGAGACCCTTGCGGACACGGATCTTGGTGACGACTTCCTCGATCTTGCTGCCCTTGTCGAGAGGAGCTATCAAAACAACATAAGCATACCATCATCCATAATGTATACTGAGCAACGTACATCCAGGCATGATCTCCCAGTGATCGAAGACACTCTGGGGGAAGGCCTGTCCGGCAGTATGTGAGCGGAGCTCTCCGTTGAAGCCGAAGGATTCTGCGACAGGGAGGTAGGCCTTGACGGTGAACATAGGTGTTCCGACACGCTGTTCTTCGCTGAAGACCTGTCCACGACGCTTGTTCAAGCAAGAGTAGATACCACCGATGGCGTTCTCAGGACATTGGATTTCGACTGGAGGGAAGGTCAGTAAGAGCAGACTGATCAAGGGCATGGGGCATACCCAAGTAGACGGGCTCTTGGAGACCGGGGGTGGCGAGCAAGCAGGCGGCGTAGCAAACACGTCGGCACGTGGGGATGAGTTGTCCTCCACCACGATGGATGGCATCAGCGTGAAGCTAAGGAAAAAAATTGTTAGTTATGAATAACTTTTGGGGACAGGTAATATCGTACCGTAACATCCATAACGTTGAAACGAACACCACGCATGTTCTCCTCAGCGCAGACACCCTCCTTGGTAGCCCACTGGAGAGCAGCAATACACGAATCCTTAATTTCGTTAAGGTATTGCACACCCTTGGTGACATCGACGAGCAAGTTAGGACCAGTGGTGTCGGGACCGAAACACCAAATCTTTCGGGCATCGGTGACATCCCAGCCGTATTCGTCAGCGAGGATACGGGCGCGGGCCTTGAAATCGTCACGGGCGTTGACCTTGCCCTCTTCGATGGCCTTGGTGAGCTCCTCGTCAATGGGCATGGCCTTCATGTAGAGACGATTGTGCTTGTTTTGTGACTTGGAGAGAGCGACGATGGAGGATTCAGCCTTGACGGTCTCGCGGTATGGTACGACGGGGTCAGAGATCTTGAGGGGAACACCGGCGTGGTCTTCTTGCAGATCCTAGAATAGACAGTAAGTTCAACCTACGTAGTCGTCTCTAAATTTGTGCAGACGTACCTTCAAGCAAATCTCCAAGTGCAATTCACCGGCACCGGCGACAATGTGCTCACCAGTTTCCGATATCCAGGCTTGTACACAGGGGTCGGACTTGGAGAGACGCTTTAGACCTTCGACCAACTTGGGCAAATCAGCGGCGTTCTTGACTTCGACGGCGACCTGCACGACAGGGGACACGGAGAACCTCATGACCCTCATGTTGTGGGCGGTCTCAGAGGTGGTGAGGGTACCGCTCTTCAACAAGAACTGATCGATACCGACGAGACCGACGATGTTACCGGCCGGGCAATCCTCAATGGGCTCGATGTATCGGCCCATCATGAGCACGGTACGCTGGATGGACTTGACGAACAAGTCATCCTTCTTTCCTGGGATGTAGTTGGGGCCCTGGATGCGGACCTTGGGACCAGAGCGGACTGTGCCAGAGAAGACACGACCGAAGGCGTAGAAGCGACCCTTATCGGATGTCGGCACCATCTTGGAGATGTAGAGGACGAGAGGACCTTTGGGGTCGCAGTCACGGATACCGATGGCGGACTCGTCGTCCATCGGACCTTCGTAGAGGGTCTCAACACGGTAGCGTTGAGCGGTAGCGGGGGAGGGAAGGTTAATGACTATCATCTCCAAGAGAGAGTCACCAGCGGGCAAGAACTTGCGCATAATGACCTTGAGGAGAGCTTTGCCCTCAAGATCGCGTTCCTCAGAAGCGAGCTTAACGTCAAGCTTCTCGAGCATGGGTGCGATGGCATCCTTCTTGAAGTTCATCACGGCATCGAAGACCTTAAAGATGGGGTCGAGCACGAACATATTGAAAGCACGCTCAAGCTGCTTGCCATCGGCGTCCGCGCCCTTTGTTGTCCACTTGCGGGTAGCGGGGTTGAAGAAGTTGTCGCCCCAGAGCTTGGCCATCATCTTCTCCTTGTCGACACCGAACTTCTTAGCGTATCTTGCGGCGAATTGACGGAGAGTGAAGCCCCATCCGTGGAGACCAGAGCCGAAAGCGACGGTACCTTGATCGGGGTAGACCTGGACATCACCAAGAGCAGCGTCGTGGTACGTCGAGACAATGACGTTGACGGACTCGATTGTACGTTGGAAAGATTGGTAGAGATCCTCCTTCGTGACTTGGAGTTCGAGGAGAGCGCGATCGACCTTGTTGATGATGACGACGGGCTTAATACGTTCGGTAAGGGCCTGACGGAGCACGGTTTCTGTTTGCACGCAGACACCTTCAACACAATCGACGACAACGAGGGCACCGTCGGTAACACGGAGAGCGGCAGTGACCTCGGATGAGAAATCAACGTGGCCAGGGGAATCGATTAGATTAATCAAGAACTCGCTGCCTATAGACGTGGAGCATCTAAGATAAACAAATGGATTGATAGGCGACAGGCAAGGGATTTTTACGCACCCTCTGTTTTCTGCTTGATGGCGGAGACCTCGTCTTTGTCGACCTCGAAGTACATGGAGATGGCGGTTGATTTTATAGTAATACCGCGTTCTTTTTCGTCCTCTCTTGTATCGGTAAATCGCATGTCGCCAGCCTTTGCTGATGCGATGATACCAGCTTTCGAGACGAGCGAATCGGTGAGGGTGGACTTTCCGTGATCGACTAGATGCGAGTAGTCAGCACAGCGAAAATGCGCTCCATCGGTTTGATCTCACCATGAGCAATAACACTCATGTTACGGATGTTGGTGGGCTTGTCCATAAGGGCCCGAATCTGATCTGAATATCGGGGGGAATATCCTCAGCAACGAGCTCGTCGGCAACGCATACCATCGCTACTGACCTACGGTGAAGTTACTGTCATCGGGGACATCGATGAGCTGTATCCCCTGAGACGACACGATGAGGACTTACACCATGATTTCTAGGCTTCAGAGGGGGAACTGGGAGAATGAGTTGTTGGAGAGGCGAAATATGGGATTTTGGCAGCCCACACAAGCGAAATGTGAGGCCGGTCCTTGCTGGATGAGAGGAAGTTTAAGGTTCTGTATAGGAGACTTGATTATCGATCGACATTAGGGCAGGCCTCTGGGTCCTTATATCAGATCTAGGCATCGCATTCACATGATCTCAAAATTTCCCGCACTCAGCATGCTGCAAGCAACGAGTCAGTTGGAGATATGATAAGTATCGCAAGTCGTGAGTACAATGAGTCTTACATACAACCATGAACCACCCTGCCCCGCTGCAAACCAACCAAGCGACCAAAGAACCGTTTATCCGCCTTCGAAGACATCCTAATATTGTCGTGACGCCGCCCAGGCTTACAGACGCGGATGCCTTGGTCCACCTGCTAAACGATCCTCGAGTGCATGATTGGTTGAAGGGACCGCCGTATCCGTACACGCAGCAGGATGCCGAATCGTGGCTGAAGGTCACCACGGACGCATCGGGCGAATTGTTGGGAAAGCTGGAATGCCCGGTGGTGGATGGGTGTCCATTTAGCAGTCTCCGCGAAATCAGTGACGATGGCACGGATACGTTCATTGGCTCTGTCACGCTTGACAGATGGGGGTACCCTCTGATCAGAGACGAGATAGACAAGAAGTCGCAGCTTGTGAAAGAGAATTTTCAGCGAGCCGCTGGTGATCCGGATATTATCTGGACCATTGGAGGTACGGCCCGACGCATATTTTGGCGCCGCAATCAGCCTGACGATGGGCCACGCAGACTACCTAGCACCGAGTCATCACGGACGGGGGATCATGACAGACGCCCTGGACACCCTGCTGCATGACTGGGCGATTCCCAGAATGAAGGCGAGACATATCATTGTGACCGCGTTCACGGGCAACGTTGGGAGCGTGCGCGTGTTTGAGAAGCTGGGCTTCACTCTGCGCGAGACTTTGCCTGATTTTGAGGACGTCAAGGGGAGGTTTCGGGGCTTCCATGTGTTAGAGTGGAAGATGGACGCGACGCGCGCGCCAGGGACAAGTTGAAATGGTGAGATGTACGGATTAGGGAATGATTACGCAATATGCTCGCACGCTGCAGTGGCTTGGTTGATTCTGAGAGGGATTCCGCATAGCGTAACCAACTTTCCATCTCGACCATGCCTCCTCGCGGAAACGAAGGCCTTGACTTTACTCCAATTCTCACTCATTATCTCTTCCTCTTCACCTCCATCTTGGCCATAGTGCGTGCCTGCAAACCAACCTTCTGGCCCCCCACTGAACTCAATTACAGGTAGCATGGCTGCTGGCTTTCATATCCCAGGCGGTCGTGACTGCGCAAAGTCAGTATCGCTCTATTGCGCACACTCGTGGCTCATATATTGTATTGCAGTCGGTCGCTCTGCTGTGGGAGTTAACTGGTTCGGTATCTTCCTCCAGCTCTTCGTTATCCTCGGCGTGCTGTACACCCTCGCATCCGACTCAATATCCATGCACCGTTTCCAAATATCTATCTTTGGCTCGCTTGCCATCGGTTTTGCTGTCACTGGCACCACCGACGGCCTTTTCGCAGATGCTGGCTCGCTGAATGCTATGGGAGCGGGCTGGCTCATCCTCTCCATGGTCGACATCCTCTGGGTCTTGTACTTCACGTCAGAAGAGGACTCGCTCGCATTCCATCTCTTCAACTCAATGGGCACAGGCGGCCTGACTCCCCCTTCACGAAGACGACGCACCCGCAACCAGGCGTCTATGCACAACATGAACGTCAACGGCGGCGGATACTCAGCAAACTACGCCTCGGGCGGTGGGATTAGTTCTCAGGACATCCCATATGATACTAAGGTTGGTGCGGGAATGGGAAGCACAGGTCCGGGCCTGCGCAGTCAGAACAGCTTCACGCCAAGCGTTGATGTGGGAGGCGCCGCGAAGAGCATAGGAGGCGGAACGGGGGCAGGCAGCATCAACAACCCACCCAGCGCAGGTGCTGGCTCAGTAGTCGGCGACGGGCCTCACTCCCCGCTCATGGCAGGAATAGGCTCAGGAAATGGAAGCGTGGGCGCGCCTAGCTCAGCCCCCGATAGTACGCTACCAGAGACCGTCTACCGAGCTAAAGCACTTTATGCATGTACGTTATCTTCGCTGCTCCTATCGCTAGTACCATTCACGCTATTTCAGACACCGCCTCGCCGGACGACCCCAACGAGATATCCTTCACCAAGGGCGAGATCCTCGAAATTCTTGACAAAACGGGCAAATGGTGGCAAGGTCGCAAAGCTGATGGCACGATTGGGAGTACGTTGTTACGTCTGCATCCGTTAACTTCCTTGTAACTGACCCGTTCCTATCGCAGTCGCGCCATCTAATTATCTTTCAATCATCTAGTATTTTTTTAGTTCTATTGCTATCTATCTCCCCCCGATCTCACGAGTGCTTACGACGAAAAATGACACGCTACTACCTAAATATGATGTCAACTATTCGGATGTTGGGACTAGTACATTCCTCTTTAATCCCCGTCTAATGTCTTGCTGCATCGTAGACGACTGCAATGTGTATCCAGTGCATACTGCCGTGACTCGTATCCTCTCCATCTGATTCCTTGTCCTGTGGTTGTTCATCCTCTTGTCTAACTATCTATGTATTTATTGATATACCAATAGGAGAGGCTTCGCTATCACTAGTGCCGTACACGACCGTCAATCACTAGAATTCGCTCTGATATAATTGATGTACAATGAATGTATCGATCGATGCTCGATCGACGCTACAAGGATATAATGCTGTTATGTATGTGAGTTTATGAGGAGAGTTCATGGGACCGGTAAACTATCTACTTCGACCTATATGTGTACACCTGAAAATGGAAGATGAATTAGCAACTCTTCTGGTCGTTCGGTGTGGACCGTCGAGTTGGGTTGTACTATCAGCGCCGTCTACCGCCCGCACCACTTCCTAGAACTACTAGTTTAGTTCCCCTCTTCTTGCGCCCTCCTCCACCTCCACCGGTGTTGCCCCTCTCAAGTTCGTGCCAAGCGACGTCGATGTCCCACTCATCTTGCTGAGCAGCCTCACGGCGTGACGGACCTTGACGAGCCCTCGGCGTACTACCAGGAGCAGAGTGTAAAGCAGACGCAAAGCTTCTCGCACCCCATGCCCCAGATACTGGGGGTGGAGCGCTGTCTTGCACTTCTGTCGGCTGTGCTTCCGACAGTGCAACTTCGGCGGGTAAGTCGTAGGCAGCCATATAGGTATGGCTGTCAACCCGCACTGAATGCTGACCATTCGTCGCGTTCCTCGTTTCCCTATCACGCTCTCTGTCACGTTCCTCTGCCCGTGCTTTAGCTCGGTCGTCCTTCCTGCCCTTCTCCTTACGTCTAGACCGCCTCATCCTCAAAGGTCCTTCGAAGTTCTTCAAACCCTCCTTGCCTACGACGCCTTCTAGATCGGCCTCGACAAAGACGACGTCCGCGCCTTCAGGAAGATGGCCAAGGTACTTACAGCGCTTTCGCAGATCGTCGTTGACCGATCCCTCAGAGAGACCCTCCACACGTAGAGTGATAACATCAGGAAAAGACGCGTAGCTGTTGAAATGAGAGAAAAGGATCTTGATGTCCAGAGGGTGAAGGAAGATAGGCAGTCCAGATGCCGCCTGATAGTAGTAATATGTAGATGTGGAGGGTGGTGGAGGGTTAATGTTACGGCGCTGCTTGGGTGTCGCTCGATTGGGATTAGGAGATGGCGGTGGTTGAACGACATCGATTCTCGCTAGTGTGGGAGGCGCAAAGAAACCAGTAGACCGAGTAGCTAAAAATTCCTCTGGGATCTCAGCAGACGGATCGAGAGCCGGGTCTACCTCGTATTGCTTCGCGCGCTCTTGATCAGCGAAACGTTGCTCGATCTCGCGCTGTTCGTGGCGAGCTTTATTGATCAAGGCTTTGATGTGAGGTGATTCAAGGGCAGATGCTTTCACAATTTGCTGATGAATCTTGGCTTCAGCGGATTCGACGAAAACGATACCCAGCTCATCGTTGGTGCTAGCCAGCGTGCGACGTTCCGCCATAAGCTCGTCAAGATCTTGGGTCAAATCTTGGATGAGGTATGCTGGCGTAGCGAGCATGAACTTCGCGTAATCGTACACGTCGGGAAGGAAGTGAAATGGCGCTTGGTGAGGCGGAAGGAGGTCCGACGGCCATGTATGAGACCTTGGGAGAGCCAAGGTAGTAATCTGAGGACGTTGCATGAGGCGCATTCGCAGAAGGGCGCCTTCGCGAGGGGTAGCTGATAGTGTGTTGTCCGCCACGGACGAAGAAGCCGAAGGGGCGTCGTCCCCTGGTTCGTCGTCATATGAATGGGTAGGGCCGTCGAACCACTTGACGTTCTTCAGCTGCTTCTCGTTGACGGAATCGAAGCAGATGGGACATCTTGCCCACTTGTTATCCGATGTATTCAGATAGTGCAGGATACAGGGGTAACAATATACCTGGTGGGGCAAGGTTAAACTCGCTATCAATTATGTGTGCTGTCAGGACTTACATGACCGCACTTGGTCATCCGAGGTGCAGTTGGAGGGGCCAAACAGATTGGGCAGGATGTGTGGCCCTCTTCCTGACTTATTCCAGCACCAGCAGAAGCCAGTGCCGAAGAACGAGGAATAATGACCTGCAGAATATCCTGCCATTGGAAGAAGCTGCAAGCTCAATAAGACCATGCATTCCGCAGCGAAATCAGCGGGAATTCTCACATATCTGGGTCAGCAAAGTGGACCGTATAGTCGCCCGTTGGGTTCATCACGAACCGATACTGGGCATTGACGAAGCCTAGCGGTGGTGTTAGTACACGTCTGTATGATGAGATAAGACGGCAACTTACGCTCCTTGTTCCATACCCCATGATTCGCCGTCTTCCTGCTCCTGCGCGGCAGATTGTTCGCCGGCTGCGTCTGTCGAGGAGGTAAGGTGAAGTTCAGAAGGTGATTTAAGTTCAGGTTCTGGTTAGACGGCATCTTGGAGGCACGCTTCGGAGTGGACGCCTGGGTCCTGTTGGCGCTGCTCATCGGTGAGAGTCAAGGAAGCGTGGTTTGTGTTCGAGGTCGCTGTGGGGGACGATGAGGAAGAAGATGGACGCCTCCCTGCCAGTGGGGGCGATAACCACCGCTTGAGATGGGAGCGGGAGCGGGACCAGGGAAGCAGATGACTCATGCCCAAATGCGGAAATACGGTCCCACGTGTGCAGTCATCGTCAAGCAGAAGCGTGACTCTAAACTACATCGTACGCGCGATCATGGCCAAGGGCAAGAACCTAAATCCCGCAGATGCATTTCGTGAGTGATCACGATTTATATTCGCCATGTTGCTCACTATTCCGCAGGCAAAGCGCAGCGAAAGAAGGAACTCAAAAAGGCTGGTTTGCTCCTCGCTCTTGTGATTTCAACAGAGTCCAACATCATGATGTAGTAGAACAAGACCGAGAGGTCCAAAGCCCGAGACTTTGCGCTAGTCAAGAAGGACACCAAAGGTACTCCGTCTCCAGCACTTGCTAGTCAGGCCCAGATGTTGAACTTGGCCGTACAGACCTTGAGGAAGAGATCGAGAAGCTTGAGGCCAAAGGCGAATCAAGCAATGCAGACAAGAGTCGTCTTACCGAGCTCAAGTCCGAGCTAGAGAAGATTATGAAGAAGAAAGAAGAGTATGTGGCAGAGCACCCGGAGCATCGTCGACTGGTGTATAAAGCTCGGAAGCAAGACGGTGGTGAGGACAAGCCCGAGGAACAACCTCTGCCCCAGAAGAGGAATTTGTTCAATAAACATGGGCTCCCTCGCCACCCCGAAAGAAGTATATACTACGACCCGGTCATGAATCCATACGGTGTGCCTCCTCCAGGAATGCCTTACGCTGAACGGCGTACGTGAACGCATCATTGTGCCCACGAAGATACTAATTACCTTTTACATGCAACAGCTTTGCGTCCAGACGAAGTCAACAGTGATATTGAATTCGAAGATGGTGAGTCAAATACTGGTGATTCCAAAGACTCACTGCTGATATCATATTGGATAGATGACGATGACATTGCTATGCCTGAAGGCCCGCCGCCTGGTGTGTCAGAACTTCCTGTCGACAGTGACGAAGATATCCCGATGCCCGATGGACCTCCCCCAGGGCAAGAATTTGAGGAATCTGTGCCTGAAAATCCACCTTTACCTCCTGGTCCACCCCCACTTCCAGTTGGCCTTCCCCCGCCACCACCGTCCTTCCCTCCTAACTTCATGCCAAATTTCCCTCCACCTCCCCCTGGCGCACCCCCCGGTCAGCAATTCATACCAATGATGAACTTCCCCCCTCCACCCCCGGGATTCCCGTCCATGGGAGGCCTACCTCCACCTCCACCTCCTGGCTTCCCTGGGCATATGCAAATGACTGGCATCCCGACGCAGCCAGCTTTCCCTCCACCTCCACCTGGATTCTTTCCCAAACGATCGCAATCTTCTTCCGCGATGCAGGATCCCCTATCGTCCGTCCCTCACCAGACTTTCCAGGCGCATCGCGCGGGTCAGCACGCGCCTAACATGCCCCCTCCTCCTCCCGCACACCCTTCTCTCCCTCCCAAGCCCCCAGCGATTGCTGCGAGTCCCCGAGTCATGGTGGCTGCCACCGTTGAAGTTGCAGCACAATTACGAGACTTCAAGAAAGAAGCGACGGCATTTGTACCGGCAGCAGTGAAGCGTAAGAAGGCTACCCCGGCCTCCGCTGGTGGCTCCTCGGCAAGGATCAATGCTGCACCGTTACTGGGTGCGCCAGAAGGTGACGACGCGCTAGAGGACTCTGCTCCGGTCGCAGCACGTCCCAACCTTCTGTCTGCACTCAAGGGTCATTTTGGTCCCGCCCCAACGCATACTCCGCCAGCTGACAGAGCCGCTCCCGGTAAACCACAACCTGCGAAACAAGACGACTACGCTAAATTCATGGAGGAAATGGGTGATCTAATAAGTACGAAGTAGATAGTCGCCTCGTAATTTACCATCTTTCTGTCAGTCTTCGCTTTGACTTGGTACATGTATCAAATATGGCGTCAGAGGCTGAGATTTCGCGTCAAAATAGGCGCTTACTTACTTGATTCCCGACCGCGACGTGTCTCGACGGAGTTCCGTTTGCTCGCTACAGAAATAGGATAGTCCATTCTCAGTGATGGTCTAGGACACGCCTTCCAAGCTTCTCACCCAACCACGTTGTCTCAGCTCCACTCGATGAGCACGCAGACTCAGATTTTGCTGCAGCCGCGACCTTATGCCAGTTCTGCTGGTCGACTGCTGCTCCTGCCGTTGCTACCCCACAGAAGGCCGTTGAAACCACTTCCTTCGGAGATATGGTCGCACATATTCAACCTTGCTGTATTGGATGAAGAGGGGACGACGGGGGCTGCAGGTGCTCTCTTGACGGTGTGCAAGGGGTTCTCGGTATGTTGGGATGTCTGGTTGTTCACGAACCTTGGTGACCCTTAACTCTCGTCCACAGGAAGCTGTCCTTCCTTTGGTATACGCCAGTGTCTGTATATCGAAGACGTCGACTTTGGAATCGTTCTGCACTCGGCTTCATGCTGCGGACCAGAAGTGGGATTCCATTCGTCGGATACCTTATTCCGCGCCGGGCCGTTGGGTTCAAGCGTTGGATATATCGAATATAACATTTACTTCGCGACTTCAAGCGCTGCAAATGGACTCTCTTCTGACCTCGTTGTTCCCCTTAGTGCCATTCCTAGCACACTTCACATTGAACCCATCCTTCCTGCTCAGCAAACGCGCGGTCAAATCCTTAGCGCGCCGAGAGGGCGCCTCCAATATCCTCACCCTTCGGGGAATAGGCTATGTTCCGTCTATTTCCGCTGCGGCGGGCGTAGAAGGAGACCCACTAGTCGAGCTGATGCGTCGCTGTATCAACCTCGAGGAGCTAGAGGTCATCGACCAAGGCCCTGATCCCAGCGAATCAGAATTCCTGTCAGACTTGCCAACCGCCCAACTTCCCGAACACTTCACACCCCTCAGCCTTGACCACCTGCACACACTAACGCTGCTGTCGATGCACTCATCTCCCCTCATGTTAGCTATGCTTGAATCTCCACTCCCCGCTTTACGAAAGTTAACGATCACGCCTTACGACGATATTCCGTACCCTACTTCCATTGTCAATCAATTTATCGCTACTCATGGTACTGACCTTCGATCATTATCATTATTAACTCCGAAATCGTGGCCTTCTCGGCTCCATCCCTCACCTCCAGACGTTCTGCTTTCTTCCCCATCGCTGCGACACTTGTCTTTGGAATTTCCCCTTCCAGAGCTACGCCACCCCCAACGCGAGTCATTGTCAGACCCACATCCCCTGCAGATCCTTTCTATTCCCCGGCCGACGCTTGACTTTTGGCGGATCCTCCAACGTTTACTGCCCCACCTCCCGGCTCTCCAGGTCGTCCGCGCCCGAGACGTTCGATGGCTTCGCAAGGGCATGACTTCGCGTGCTCAGGAGGCAGGTATCCAAGGGGAGTTGAGAGAATGGCAAAGACGGCTGATTCGAAGAGGTATCCGTGTTCTCGACGCCGATTGGCAAGAGAACAACTAAACGACACCGATAATCACTAATTAGACTCGCGATTCTGTAACCTCCACTCATCGACTACTATACCCCCACTCATTAGACATCCCTCCTCACTTATGCTATGATTGGTATCCCACTATATGTGTTAATACCTCAAATATGGACCCTTGTAATCCTTGTAGTCGCTTTTTTTCCTCTGGAATCGTTGTCTGTCTTTGATAGAAAGCATATACCTTATCCTTTGACACTTGCTCGTGATAACGCTTTCCAATAGGCTCGGTGGTGGCTTTGCTACTTCCTGGTTTTCTTCGAACTCCGCCAGCTCCTAGACTCCTGCCAGACTCCTAACTCGTTCAGCCACGTGATCCATGGCACTGATTCGAAGAGCACCTCTCTCTCTTCTACCATTCGGATTTCGCGACGCAGAACTTGTGTTCATGGCCAGCAGACTTCTCTTCTCCACGGTGGACGTGACGAAGCAGACCTTCTATCGGTCGTCGTTATCGTTTGCCATTGTCAACCTCAAGCCCATTGTTCCAGGCCGTAAGCAGCAGAGTCAGCGCGCATATATGTGGCCAACTTAACGAAACAGATGTCCTCGTTATCCCAACCAGAGTGGTCACGCGTATGACTGACCTCCCGGAAGCAGAGCTATCTTCTTTGATGCACTCGGTGCAAGCTGTTGGGCGTGTCGTGGAGCGCGCATATGGTGCAGATGGTCTGACAGTAGCTTGCCAGGTAACTACATGCTACCCTACACCCCATGGCGTTCCCTGACATGACCATAGGATGGAAAAGCAGCTGGACAAACGATGCCACATGTTCACTTCCATATATTACCCCGGAAGTTACAAGGCGACAGATTCTCAAAGAATAACGACGAAGTTTATCCAGCGATAGAACAATCAGAAGCGGAACTATCCACGAGATACGAAAGAAATGCCCCGGTCCCGGCAATGGAAGGAACTAAAATGGACGCTGATGAAGATAGAGTAGCGAGAACATTGGGAGAAATGGAGGAGGAGGCTCGATGGCTACAAGGGTTCTTTGGGCAACAACAAACAACTTGATACCCAAGATATACCCAAGAACATAATTCCCTAGTCGCCTTCTAGCTACGACTCCGGTTCTATCAATATAGATATACCTCTATTAATCAAGCTTTCGTACAGTGAAGACCACTTCGGCTTCAGCATCATCGTTGGCCACCTTCCGAGTAATCGCATCGTCGCCAACGATGGAAATGCGGTCTTGTTCGCGAATGTCTGTAAGTGGGATTCGATAATCATCCACTCGTGAACTTCCTCGAAATGATATATAGGATCCAAGAACAAGCCCACGCTTCGAAGTGACGAGCTCCCTGGTCGCATACAGACGGCAGTAAAGATTATCCGGCAATTCAGCTCCTCCAGATTGGGGCATCCCTGGAAACAAGCCGCCAAGCTATCACTTGCCAGGAAGCCGAGGTGTTTTCCCAGTTCAACAGTGCGAAGTTGGTCCCCGTATGCGGCGAATAGGGTATCCAGAGCACCACTGCCCATCGGCGCATCAATGATGAGCGTTGTCAACGACGGTAACGACCACTTGCACACATTAAAGAGGTACATTCCGTTACCCAGCCTCAAACGCAGTGTCTTCAACGCGGCCAAGTGGAGTGACTGTTGATAGGAGGGGCTGTATGAAGGAATTCCGCCGATGAAGAGATGTTCGAGGTTCGGGGCGCATAGCAGAACGTCTTCGAGCTTGTTTATGCCTTTGGTTCTTGATGCTTCTGGATGGTGCCACCACTCCAGCCGCCGTAGAGATTGTAGGTTGGGGCATCTGCCAGCTTCGAACTCAAAGCGAAGAAGCTCCCGTGCAGGGGCTACGATAGGTGGTCGAACTAGCACTTGCAGAGAGGGGCACACATTGAGAATCTCTGTGGAGGTAACGGGTGTACAGGATGGCGTCACCGTCGCAGCGTAAGGTAGAATAGCGCGGCGAGCCTGCAGGATGGGGATGCGGTCAGCAACATGGAAGAGAAGGGTGAGCATAAGGTGAGCATACCCGTTTCCCATGTTCTCCGCCGCTTCTCCGCAAGGCTTCGTGAAGCGCATGTGAGTGATTTCTGATGATCAAATCACTGTACAGCAACTCCATCGCTAGTGACTGCCACCGACGACAAACGAGAACAAGAACCCTCCGGACCGATAGGAGTTCATGAACGTCTGTGTGCAGCGGAAGTCTGGCGAAAGGCTCATAATCTATTCTATATCCTTCAACTTCGTACGACCCTGTGGCCCATCGGAATATTTCCATCCATAACTCGGAAGGGAGTTGATGAGACGAAGCCATATCGGAAGCGTGTTGTGGCGTGTTTGGCATAAATGCTTGCTGGATATCGAACTTTACGGGTACGCCGCTGAGTTTCCAGTCCACTTACTTGGCATTAAGCTCACCTCAGTTACAGTTCTTTCGGAGTATCACTCAACTAGCCACGATGTCTCTCGCCTATGTATCTGGCAATATTGAGGCCTCTTGTACTGCATCACAAGGTCAAAATCTATTACCGGCGAAAGGCATTCCGTTCGCATGGTACATCCTATTCGCGTGGCCACATGGATGCGTCCGGATAGGCTTCGATTCGTCCAAACATGGTCCGACATATCTTGACAACAGGTCAATCATGCTGGGTTGCATATGTTCGCGGTATTTGACACGGAGATCCCGATTTAAGCATCATGGTCGCATACTTCCCCCGGTTCGCATCAGGACGCTATGACAATTCGAGTCTCCTTCTGCCGGGTTTCACGCGTGCCTTCGTCTTCGTTGCTTCATATTCTATTTTTGCGAAAGGAATCGCTGTGCTTCTGGCAATGATGTTGCTCTTATCGCTGTAAACGCACCTTGTGAAGGGCCGTGCTGTATCGCATGCTGGCCAGTTCGCCTCGAACACCTCTTGAGTATAAAATGGCCATACTCTTGGTATTGTAGATTCATCCTCACAGGCATCCACCGGCTGCATTCTATCAAGTCATGCAATTCTCATCCTCGTTACGATCAGCTTTGGCTGCAGTCTTCGTCGCAGCACTCTCCGTATCGGCATCTCCTGCCTTGACATTGAAAGTTGCCGGTACGTATACTTTTTCGACACCACAGAACACCGATTGATGAACAATACTAGGTCCCGACTCTGTGAACGGTGTTGACAACCTCAAGATCGTCACCACCCTAGTGAACACCGGCGATGAGACTCTCAAAATCTTGAACGATCCTCGAGGACCATTGTCCACCCTGGCAACCGACACATTTTCCATTACCGACGCAACGGGTTCTCGCCCCGCGTTCACTGGTGTCAAGGCAAAATATGTCCCAGCCTACGCTGCCTCCCTCGACGACGCAAGTGCTTTCACTATCCTTGCTCCAGGAGAAACCGTCGACGTCACGCACGATCGTACGTTCCAGTGATTCCTGGGTTTAGCCTCAGACTCGACTGCTAATAATACTGCATTGAAGTGTCCACCACTTACAACTTCACTGCCACTGGAGAGGGCGCTTACAACTTTGAGGCTCGCAACCTCTTCCACATCGTAGACTCAGACAAAACGATCACCCCCCTATACGCTGATGTCGAGACTCATGCAGCCAAGATCAGCGGCAAGCTCGCTATCGCCAAGCCGGCTCTCCAAAAGCGTGCAACTTTCGTCGGCTGCTCAGCCACGAGGCAGACCCAACTCAACGCAGCCGCCTCTCAGGCTCAGACCTACGCTGCTAACGCACTTTCGTACGTTTTCGACTGTCTGTCCCTCTCAGACGATGTACTAACTTTGGACTCTAATCTAGTTACCTCAACTCCCACACTTCGTCCACTACACGATACACTACCTGGTTCGGCACATTCGTCACTTCTCGTTACAGCACGGTCCTGTCCCACTTCTCAAGCATCAGCAGCAACACGTTTTCTTCATATACGTTCGACTGCACTTGCTCCGACGCTGGGACTTACGCGTTTGTCAACCCCAGCAAGTGAGTGCCATGGAGCTTGTACAGATAAACTTAGTTTCTAATCTCTCGACCTTCCGCAGCTTCGGTTACGTTACACTTTGCGGTAAGCCTATCTCGAGATGTCGCGTTAGTTTGGCAGCTCACTCTATTTCCCTTCTTAGGTGCCTTCTGGAATGCCCCTGTTGCTGGCACGGACTCTAGGGGTGGAACCCTCATCCACGAATCCTCTCATTTCACAAGGAACGGTGGCACAGACGATCACGTCTACGGCCAAGCTGGCGCTCAAAGTCTCGCTAGAAGCAACCCTGCACAAGCCATCGACAACGCTGACTCTCACGAGTACTTTGCGGAGAACAACCCCGCTCTCGCTTAAACTACTACATCTTCGTTATCAAATTTAACAATTTATATATTTGCCACTGGTAATATAAATGGCGGTGGACCCCACTTCTTAGAAGTTCCTATTACGGATTAACATCGCCAACGTAGGTGGGCCTTAACCCCGTAGTTCACAGCTTGGTTTGAACGGGGCAAGGCATTATGTAGTCATGCAGGACTTCACAGATCGCGTTGGCCAATGCGTCGGGCTTCTCTTGGACGATCTATTTACGAATTTCAAGATAAATATCTGTGTTGCGAGAATGCGAGCGTGCTGCCATATGCTCACCATATGCCCAGCTTCTTCTACCACTCTGGTTGATGTAACGCTTCTGCCAGCAGAGGCATCACTGAGCGAATTCCGTATGATTTCAGGGCTGCAAAGGTCAACGCGCTAATGAGTGCTTTGGCTTTGCTTTACGGTGAAATAGCGGAAGAACTCACATAATGTCCTCGTTTTCGCCCCATACCAAATGAATAGGTATGGTCTTGGAAATTGTGGCTAGCAGGGCGGCAGCCTCAAAATGCCCTTCTACTTGCGTGTATGAGACTGCTTCGTGCTTCCTATGACATTTTAGGCGAGCACCGTCCTCATGCTGCTCCAGCCCATGATCCTGATACAAATCATCTGTTAATAATTTCTGCAAGCCCATGTCGTCAAACCGAACTTACCGCGAGCAGCTTCACAACACGCGTGTCCCAGGTACTCCACGGATACCGCTTACTGAGCCAGGCAAAGGCTTCATCCTTGGATGCCCAGTGATCCCGCCGAGTCATAGTCATCCGTACAACGAATTCCATCTGCTCCATGCGGTCATCAATCGTCGCTTCGAAGAGTTCCTTGGCCACAACCGACGGCTCTACGAGGATTATGGCTGGATATGGCTTCGGTTGCAAAGGTAGATACTTGGTTGTGAGGACCCTAGATATAGCAAGCGAATAAATTAGCCGTTCGGTCGGGAGAGTCAGTGGAACTCAATCATAGAACATACGCAGTGGCTGCGCCTGCCGAATGGCCGATGGGAATGATATTGTGTCCCTTGACATGATCTGACCTGACAAACGCAGAAATTGCAGCAGCCCAGTCGTAAACGGCTGGTTCAGGTATAAGCTAGGGTACCACGCCGTACAGAGGGGCAACTCACTCACCGCCCCGTCGTCGTCTTTTCGCTCAGACAACGCGTTCTTGTTCAGCACCGCTGCATCGCCATGGTTTTGCCAGTCAAATGCCCACGCTTCTCTAATGTTGGATGCTCTTTCGAATATTGCTTGAATCGTAGGCTCCCATTGTTCTTTGTCTGTAAACACGAAATAAGCATCTAATTTTGGCACGCAAAGATATATTCCGAAATGAATGGACTCACGAGCACCAACACAATGCAAGAATAGCAGCGTCAAACCCTCGCTTTCGCCGGGGGAGGGAACGTTTCTCTGACGCTTCTGCGTCTTTGTATCGCGATACCTTTTTGCTGTAATGTGGAGACTGAGCGAAGCGTTCGTTGGTGGTAACACTGGCCGGACTACGCTGGAGATGGCGCCGGCAAAAACGAAGCTTTGAACGTCCAAGTTGCACATAATCTCACAGAAAAGACAAAAATATACGATGAAGTGGGTATTAGGTGGATCATAAAAGAAGTCAAAGTCTCGACATTGAAATAACCCTGAACGATCGGAGTCGTGCACTTATGGGTTGTACTCAGCGACCAGCGGCTCCTTCCAACTTCCAACTGATTATCTCGAGTAAGCGTCAAATGCTGGCGATTCCCAGTAAACGGTACAGGATGACCGAGAAGTTGACTAGCTCTACTAACTGCACGTTCAATGTGTAATAAAAGACATCCTACGCATCTTCTTTGTCGTCCTTCGCGGTCTCTCTGAGGCCTACTGGTCCAACAAGGGCTAACAGATGTAAGCGGCCATAGAGGTAATTAGTTGTAGACTCGTTTCCATACGCTTGATACAAAGACGAGACATTGTTCTTCATCTTCGGGGTGACACACCAAGCTTGCAACGGTTCCTCCGGTGTCGGGGATTTCTTGAAGTCGAATCCGTCTTCTTCGGTATACTTGACCAAAAGTGGGTTCGCTCCTCTCATCTCCAAGAGCGGCTCGTGTATCTGACCGCCCTCAGCCTGAAGCTCTCCTTCGGCGAGGATATCGGGGTACGTCAGAAACATCACATGGGTGAACGATCCATCGTCGGGGCCGGCTTCGTAGAGCAAAGTTATCATGACCCGGAGCTTTAGTTTCTTGCACGCTTGACGAACCATTTCGTCGGTACCCTTGAGTGTGCTTGGAAGCCTACCGCCGGCGCGGAGAGGGTATTCATGACTGAGCCCGAAACCAATGAAGCCGCCGCGGCGAAGGACTTTGGAATCCAGCACCCCACGGAGGCTCTCTTCAACAGCTAATTGAATAGGTGAAGGTACATGGACGACTTTGGTGAAAGGATCATCCATCTTGGAGTAGAGGTTATAGCTTATCGTAATGCGATGACCGGACTTGACTGGGAGCACTTCGTGCTCCACGTCGCTGAAAAATGCGATGAAAGCGATGGATGGCGAGGGCTGTTCGCTAAGAATTTCCGCAGAATCGAACGTCCATTCGTCGCCTTCGTGCCGTAGCATGAGCTGGCCACCCTCATGCGGCGTTGGAAGAACTAAGACCAAAGAACCGAACATGACCTCGCTCCGTGGCGTATCCTTATGGGGTTTAAAGAAACCGTCTTTGCCTATTAGAGAGGATACATGAGCCAGGGAGAGGGAACCATTTTATAAGACGCACCATAGACGTTCAACTTGTAGAGCTCGGGAACGAAGGTGGGGTCGGACCTTCCTTGCAGAAGGACGTTGGTAATCTGAGTGGTTATTTCAGAGTTCATCACATCGAAGTTGAATGCGAAGTTTTCTGCGTCGAGTTTCCCGGCCTTCCTGTATTCTTCGTCGAGTACGTCTTCTTTGTTCATACCAAAGGTCGCTGGTGAACAAGCTGCAAGGAGCTGCTCAAGTTGTTTCTTTTGAGGACTGAGGAGGTCAAGACGTCTACAATGAGAATTAATCAGCAGTTTATTTAAGACACATTCCAGGACAACATACCCAGCGTCAGTGGCTCCAAAATACAAAGCGGTAGATGTTGGTGGCAGCGAGACAGCTCCATGCACGAATGGTGGCTTCTTCGTGATAGCTGCAGTGAGAGACTCGAAGATCTGTTTAGGAGAACGTTTCGAGCTAGCCATATATAAACCAGGGGAATTGTTGCAAGAGGAAGAGGTCTGGTCGAGGGATTAAATACCTCCTGTGTGATCGTCCTCAAGCCAGGGGTGCCCCATAGGAGTCCAGGGGTCAACTTAGGCTTGACTCAGTCCGAGTCGAAGACCGTTTACGTGAACTGGGGTCGACCTGCATGCAAGTTAATTTGACATCCACCCTCAGTATATGACACCTACGACCAATCGATTACGTCTGAGATCTGAGGGGTGGCTTATCCTCTCCAGATGGGATTCCGTTTGAAGCTTGAAGCTTGTATTCGCCTCGGGCTGATTCTCACTTGGTTTCGGTGACGTCGCTTGAGATCGCGAGTGGTCAGCGCGATACGTTCAGAGGGGGAGGACGCAACCAAGTAGACATGTTTCTGTGAACTCGTATCAGCCATTTGATACTCCGTAATGTTCCCGATCTTCACCTGAGGTGGATGCCAGGGTTGAACAAGGGAACTTCAATAGCGTATTACTAGGATCAGTGACTCGAATCACTCAATCAGACTTGGAACCTTGAGGCGTAAGCTTGGAGGCGGAAGATTCAGATTATCGGAGGCAATGTCGGGCCTCAATTATGAGTGGTGACTCGATGTTGGATAGGGTCCTGTGGGCGTGAAGAAATTCCATTGGAATGCCCCAGAAACAAGCAGGCCATGGCTGAGTCGCAGTGTAGCCTGATGTAAGTACGGCGCTACTCGCTGGCGAAGTGAAAACAGAGCATTGAGTGATGACGATTGAAAAAAAATAAGATAGTACATGAGTCCACTTGGGTATACCACACTCTAGATTCTGAGATAGCGAGATTCCTCCCTGTTCCACCCATGCCTTCACGAAGTAGAGCACTATCAGTTCCTCGGCCGATGGAGAGTATTGTAGAATACGTACGAGAATAATCTGTAATAGTGCGTGAGTTCAGTCTAAAGTCTCGCTTGGATTTGATCCGTAGTCATCATAGCGGTATCGGCCAGTACGTCACATATGGCCTTGGCTATTAAGTCTGGCTTTTCTTGAACAACCTGAAAACACGGTGAACACAAAGTGGCGGGCTAGTGGCTTGTAGAAATTACCATGTGACCTGCGCCCTCTATCAATTTGATAGATCGTGCCGTACGTCCGTAAGCCGCATCGCTAAGAGATGCTCGGACGTCGAGAGGGCTACACAACGTATCTCTGTCAGTGCGAATAATCGAGGGCGTAAGGACGAATTCGGCCACTTACAGGTATGTAGGGTCTTTAGCCCAAATGTAGTGAATCGGTATTGTATGACAAACAGCCGTGACAATTTTCGACGCTTCGAAGTGACCTTCGACATCTGGATACGAGGACGCCTCTTGGTCCTTTTCGCATTTCAGGCGAATTCCTTCCGGCGTTTCCTCCATACCATGATCCTTTGATCAATAGAGAAAAGACAAACCACCTCAGCGCCAGAAAACAACGGTGTGGGTTACGACGTACCACAAATGCTCGCAATACGCGGTCGTCCCATGTCGTCCCAGGGTATCTTCGACGAAACCATGCAAACGCATCTTCCCTGTTCGGCCATAGCGTCCGTCGCTTCATAGTCATGCGTATCGAGAACTGCATCTTTTCCATCCGGTCGTCGATAAGCGCTTGCCACTGGGCCTCGCTCATGATGGTGGGTTCGACGAGGATATAGGCAACTTGCGGCGAGGCCCAAAGAGGGAAGTCCTTTAATGTCAACATGCTAAAGTTAATTTAGCGCATAGCTTCACGATAGATGAAGATCAACCCACACAGCTCCCGCACCGCCAGAATGGCCAATCGGTATGATCTTGTGGCCCTTCATATGATCAGACTTCATAAACGTAGACATGGCCTTTGCCCATTCGTACACGGCTACATCACGACATAGCCCACAAAGAAAGCCAATCAGCCATCAATATGAATGCCCATATATAGACAGTTAAGAACACGACAGGACTCACATACTCCTGGGCTGGGCCTACGCTGCAAAGCGTCCCTATTCAAAACCGCCGCGTCCCCATGGTTTTGCCAGTCGAACGCCCAAGCTTCCCTGAGCCTAGCCTTGGCAACGCTGCTGAGAGATGATCTCTGAAACACGGATAAGATAGTCGGTTCCCATTGTTCCTTGTCTATATTTCCACCCCAGGATATCAGCCAGGCGTAACACATCAATAGGGAGAAAGCCTCACGAGCACCGACGCCATGAGCAAACAGCAGAGTAAGGCCAGACTTGTGATCATCCGATGGCAAGTTGTCGGTACCGCGACCTGATACGCCTGACAAGTAGTCGGCTACTTTGGATTGGGACGAAGACGGATTCCATCTATAACGTTTTGCGACCATCTTGAGCGGCGGGAAGGCGGCCTCCGAGTGTCCCTGCGCCACGGGACCGTCGAGGACGAAGGTCTTCACCTCTACGTTTGCGTTCGACATGCTAATCTTTGCTGCGACAAATCAAGGAATTGAGCTGAGAAGATGGAGAGGGTGTACCGTTGAGTCAGGGCGTAACGCCTTCATAATAAACCAGACTCCCAATATCCCAAGAGGGGCGTATCCGCATCCTCAATATACACATTCGAGCGTACCTGAAATTTGCCGCGAGATGATCAACGATTTCCCACTGAATTGCACGTTTCTCTCATCATGAAGGGAAGTGCCGAGACCACCGAAGATTTTCTGGATCCTACGGAGCTCTACCAATAATAAGGTGGACTATTGTCGGAGGAGTGTTCGTATGCGGAAGTGTTGTGCTTTACTATTAGATCCATTTTCGCTTCATCCAACGGACCTGAAGATTTTTGCAGGGTGAGTTCGGGTATATGGATGCACGGAAATACTTACTTATGGCTGTAAAACAACCCCATTATAGGTACCGCTTCAGAATAAGCAGGGATATGTTGATGTAACGCCTCGGAATTCACCACAAACAGCCTGTACGCTTAATTAGTGAGTGTCAGTTCGCGGGACTGGCTAGGAACTCACCAGAACTATTTGCCCAGTATATTCGTCCATCTGTCAAAGATGGCCGCATACTGGTAAAGAAGTCAAGTCCTCTCCTGTCGGTGTGGAAGGACCTTGTGGCATTCCCACCATCATCAGTCACTCTCAACGGCGATCACAAGGCTCCAGCCGTGTATCAGAGATCGCCAGGTATTAGCACTCGACTATGCTTCAGCCTTCTTTGTAACCGGGTGATTTGTCGATGAAGCGGAGCGCTCAGCACGTTGCATTCGATTCGATTCAAAGAATGATCTCAATCAGAACGATTACCGTCAAACGACGGCCAATCTTGCCCAGGCCAATTCCGTTACCGTGTGGAACTGAGCGGACTCTGAGAGGCTTGTGGCACCACCGTGTTAGACTTGCAATTTCTAGGCGGTAGTGTCTGCGCATGGCCTCTATGCAAATACCAGCCGAGGCCCGTGCACCTTGAGGACAAAAGTTCGGCTCCCGATCTTAACCTATAGGCCAATGAGATCTATCGCTCCGACAACAACGGAGAAGAGCGTGTCGCCACATACCCCGATAGCACTTATTCTGACCAGGAAATACCTGTAAAGTAGGCTGTAACAGCTTTTGGGACCCGTTTGCGGCAATTGGACATTGTGAATCTACAAGGGCATTGGGACGCGTACAAATTCCGCTGATCTCGCGTTTCGAAGTACTTGAAGGATGCCGCACGGTATACACCAAACAAACTGAGAACTCGGGGTTGTAGTAGAGAGCAAGGAAGAACATTGCGATAGGCGCTGGGCGCTCATCGGCACCCTTTAACTCGTCGCCACTTGTTCTTGATCACCTTTTGTTTCCAGGAGCAAATATACAGGAGATTAGTACCAGTTTCCGTAGGTACTTCAAGTGGCTGTCCGATAGCCAACTTGTCGACAATAGAGCCGTGGCAGCAATGGCCCCAACATGACATTCCCCTTCTTCTGCGATTCGAGTTGCAGAAATCATTGAAGTATTTTTTCGTCTGTTAGTTGGTCGGGTTAGGAAGTTACTTTCGGCAAGAAAGGCGTTGGGTGCCCCCATTGACGTGCTGGAGATTGTTCTTAAACGCGGCTATAAATCCACTACCAAGTCTAAGGTCACTCCGCAGGACCTCAAGCCTCTGGAAAAAGTCGTTGAAGTCGTATTTATGTCTGAATGATGCTCACGATAAACTTTATGGCCATCATATTCATCTACCCTTTTACTAGTGCTCCGTAGCAATCAAAGCCTTAACTCTTGCTTCGTAACAGTCAGACGCGTATGCCCAAGTTGACTCTACAGTGGCCTGCCGATTCACAGTTACCTAAGATCCTGCATTTATCCCTATCAACATCCTGCGTATTCTATGAAAGTGGGTCTTCCGGTCATTGGCCCACTCGTGCATACGCGTTTGGTGGGACTTCGAGAATCCGCCCCTAATTCACCTAGCCCCTCTAATAGCCTTAATAATACTTCCAAGAATCTCCCCGCGACGTCGCGTCGCTAGTGAGTATTCGGGTACTCCGGGCGGTCACTACGAGAGTTTTTCGCATATTTCAGAGTAGTATGCGACGATCCCTCCCAGCAGACCTCTACGGTCTAGGTTGTTGGTTGTGGAATCATCCATCGAGATTCGAGAATGTCCGTTAAACCCTAAGTCCATGTACCAAGGCCCAGGATATCATGGCCTCAAATGACGCTTTGTCTGGGACAATGAATACTGCATAAGGCCACGGTCAATGAGGTGAAGGATGGTGGCTTGAGTAGAGCCATCATTGGCCAGGTGAGCCACTCAACGGATGGCCACCCAGAAGTGTTTAAATAGTGGGCGGATTGGGCAAGGTATCCTTCCATCACAAATCCCAGCATCGAATCCCAGCATCACATCCTTTCACCAAATAAAATGAGCTCTCTCACCTTAATCTGGGCGAACGAGGCGGCGCCCGTGTCGGGGAACAACCAAGTTCTTCAGCCCTGGATCACCCAACCTGCTACCTCCAACGCCAACCTCGTATGCCGCATCCACACGCGCATTCGCAGTCGCCTCTTCGTTGGGTCCATCAACGGCATCCCGGGACCCCTGGCCATTAAGTTTGCGAGAGACGGGTATGAAGTGGAAACCTTGCAGAAGGAGATTCAGTTCTACGACAAGAGTTTGAAGACACTCCAGGGCGACGTTGTGCCGAAGGTCTTCGGCGGATACAGGGGACGCGCTGATGGTGTCGACATCGCGGTGTTCATCATGGAATATTGCCAGAGTGTGGAGGAGCCCGACGCAAGGGAGTTCAAGTGAGTATATTCCCCTTACCTACGTAAATGACAGTCGTTGACGGAGGATCAGCCGCAAGGTTATGCTCGCAGCATGCAAGCTCCACGCCGCGGGCGTGATGCACAGAAACTTATTAGCGAGCCATCATATTATCTCTACCGTGAAAGGCCTGCGATTTGTCGATTTTTCCGACGGCATCATGCATAGGTGCCCAGGAGCCAACCCGCAAGTTCAGTGTGTTGGCCGCGGAAACCAACCTGTCGGATGTTTCGAGCTCGACGTCCTGGAGCAAACGTACGGGCAATACAGCGATGCGGGAATTACTCCCAAGGAGCCCTTCCATATCTTCGGGGGCTTGGATGGCTCGAAAGCCGTCGTGGGAAGGAGAACAGTTTAACAATGTTACACATCAGAATATGTTTACGACTATCATGACGACTCAGCTTGTTTGAATACACATTTCTCTCTCAAACTTTCCATCGCTTTGTTTATATCTTCGTGGAGATCGTGATGCCAGACTGGGCTCCATATCCCCGCCAGCTTGGTGCGCATGTCTTCATTTGAGTAACCTGATTTGCCGTATCTTGTGGTAATGCGACCCATCCTGGCGCTCGCTTCAAGCACCATATTGCCTCGTGGCCGACGGGCAGAGTCGTAGGCGTTTAAAATATGCTGGAGATATACACAAGTCAAAACCAGACTCTGAGTAAACAATGATTTGCCGAGCATACCTCTAGGTTTGATAGATTGGTTTCGGGGTGAGTGAGGAGCTCAGTAAGAACCACGACATCCTCGAAACCTTGTCCGACCCCCGCTCCTAGATGTGGCAGCATTCCATGCGCCTATCCGTCAATATAAGCATCCCGCCTCGCATCAACATTACTCTACACTCACCGCGTCGCCAATTAACGCGATGCCCCTCGCTGCATTAACGTAGCTTAACAGAGGCGGTTCCACGGTGTGAATGGACCATCTGCTCGGGTTTTCCATACAATTTAGCAGCTTGATGGCATCGGAATCAGCTCCCCAACCCCGGGTTTCGAAGGTCTCTACGAGTTCTTGCTTTGCAACCGGCTGCACCCATGGATGGGGCAGTTCGTCTAGTGCCCCGGTAGCGGAATTATCACGCGTAATTGTGGAGAAGGCGACCACGTTGATCTATGTGAGTATGCGTAAATCAGATTAGCACTGTGGCAGGACTATCGGGGATGGATGCGCACAATTCGCCCAGCTTGGATTGGGAACGTAATAATATGCTAGCATAACTACGTCAGCTATGTATGCACAAAAGTAACTCAACGACAAACCCGATCAATACCACAGAAGCAGACTGGCTGAACTGTCAAGTCGATCTTGACCCCGGCGGCCACAACGGTTGAATTGGGCAACAAGCCTCTGTATGCCGACGATCCTGAGAACGCCAGGTTGGTTTTGTTGTTCCTGTTAGTATTATGCTCCGCGTCGCCAGCTAGAGGGTCGACAACGTATTTGCGTATGGTGCTCTTGATGCCGTCCGCCCCGATGACAAGGTGAGCACGGTGCGACGTCCCGTCTGAGAAAAACAGCGTGGAACCGAAGTCTGAAGCAGTGGCCGAGACATGGGTGTGCTGTACGGCAATGCATCGCTTGTTGAGGTGCGCAATCTTCATGTCCGAGATTCCTATGATAGCGTCGAGGAAGGCGGCTCTAGAAACCGACCCCAGTCAGCCTTCGACTCAAATGAATAAATACAATTTACTTTACCTGTGAATTGGTAGGCCTCTATCATCGTCGCTAACAGAATACTAAAGCATACACCAGATAGATTCACCATGAGATCAAAACTACGAAGACAGCAGCCCACACGTACATCGTATATCACTTCCTGAGCATCGTAGCCCGAGACGAAAAGGAACGGCCTCAATACCGGTGATGAGTGCTCTGAGCGTGCTAGCACCGCCGACAGCACTCCCAGGCGGTCGAGGGCGCGAACAGCGTTGGGACCTAGTAGATGATCCAGTCATGTCAAAGAAAGTAATGATCAGCGACAAGTTGAGGCTGTTACCTAACCCAACACCCGCACCGACCTCTCCAAACTCTGGCTACGCAACAGTTCAGTTCATCAACCACCACCACGAAACAGATCAGGTCAAAGGACACGTACAGCAGCTTCAAACACTTCAACCAAGATGCCCGCCTTCGCGAGCGCGTACGCACACACCAGACCGCACATCCCGCCCCCGACGATCGCTACTGTAAAATCCTTGCTCGCCATAATTTATGAAGATACGAAGGGCCCTAGAAAATGCAGAGGGTCGCCGTGTACACGCAGATAACCTGCCGATAAGCACCACTGGTCCTGTGGCCTCCATACCCGAAGGCGGCAGCGGCATCGTGTTAATATGAGGATGTGGGAACGACTGGGAACAAGTGCTATTTATGAGGTTTGAGCCCAAATTCGAGTTCGGCATGTGCCTGATACAACTGCATTGTAGTCGGTGACGGCGTACGGCCAGGATAATTGTCGCGCAAGGAAAAGGAGCGCTTGTCGTCACTTACGCTTCCCACAGGGCCCTTGATTGAATCTGGCTTGACTCACTCTTTGTCCTCGATGCTTAGGATTCTGCAATCATGGAGAGCTGGTCTGGCTGGCTGTGTGGTAGCACTCCTCCTGCGGTACTATCAATCCCAATCCTCTGACCGCGCCAGCGTATCGTCGCAAGGCCCCGACGTCACCGCTATTGTCCTCAACTGGTCCCGCTTCCCAAATGTCGTCAAGATCGCCTCTGTGCTATGCGATCCAGCCTTGAACACTGTCATTCAGAATGTAACGATTTGGAATAACAATCCAGCATCTCTGAGCGTTGCGGTTAGATTCTCTAGGAGTTGACTTCTACAGCACGGGGTTCATTTGGCGGTGCTTGCATGTAGGACTTTGCGGACGCCAAGTGTCCGACTGGGAAACTACATATCTACAATTCCCCGACCAATGCGTTGTTCCAGGCGCGCTACATAGCGTGCCAGCATGCGGCTACGCCGTACTGTTTCATTCAGGTCCGTCCGATTGCGCTGTTGGTCGAGTTCAACGTGTTCTGAACTTCTGATGCACAGGATGACGACTATCTCGTCTTACCAGAGATCATACGAACGATGCGGTCTCGGATCCCCCAGTCAGCAGAAAGAGGGATCCACCTCCTTCCTCCTCACGAAATGCTATCCACTACCTTGCGGCCGATCAGCCCTCCGGGCACGGACATACACACAGGGTTCGCGTGGTTAGGACACGGTGCCATGATATCCAGAACGAGGGCTACCGAATTCCTACAGCTAATGAACGAATACGCTACTGACGAACAGCTCAAAATGGCTGATAACTATTATACCATTCTGGCGAATAGGATCCCGGAGGTGTGGTTTGATCAGGGGATACCGCTCGGTGGGGGAGAAGCCTTCACGGTCGGATCCGAAGGAGATGAGCGGAACGAGAGGCATATTGTAAGTCCATGATCCAGATTCTGGGGTATAGTTCTGATCGTTAATTGTGTAAGCAAGCGGAACGCCATCGAGATGCTGGGGAAGATATTGCAGACCAATGATAGTGTTCCCTACGTGAACCGGAATCCGGACTCTGCGTCCTTGGGGTCGGTCCTTATTGCGCCTCGAAGGGGGTCAGACGCTTTGTTTGAGACGAACATCGATGTTCTCCCCGCGCCTGCCGGCATTTTAGATGATGCAATACGGAATCATTATCTGGACCATCCGCCGTCGCACGCTGTCGACGGACGCACTGATACCGCCTTTTGTCCTATTAGTGGGGGTACGTGTTGATGTCCTGTCAATCAACGAGCTCAGCTATTGATGCCTGTACAGCTCAACGGGGAGAATACTTGCTGTTTGACACTATCAATGGTATATCGCCGCACCAAAATGCATCACTGGTGTTTCTAGTCGACCCACTTGGCTGTGCTGCCCTCCGTTCGAGCACCTTTGAAGGGTCAGCAGACGGCATGACCTGGGTGTGTTCAGACGTCACGAACCTACTATGGTTATCTAACCCCACGTTGCAGGGTTCACTGAGGCCTAGCCATCTCATTTGTGATCCAGAACATCAATCTATATCAGCCGAGACACCGAAGGTTTCGACGCAGTGCAGCATTTCTCTTGGGCATGCTGATATTCCTGGGCTGAGATATCTTAGAGCAACGCTCCTGGCGAACGTGAACCTGCTCTGGTGTCTGTACGAGATCTGGATTGATGCGGGGACGGCTGTGTAATAATGAAAACATGATGATTTTCCGAGAAAAGCCTTTGATTGGCGTGTTGGTGGGAGTGGGGGACCAGTGGACCAGAGCAACGCACCAGGAGCGCATGGCAAGGCACCGGTGGTTCCAGCGTCGGTGCGCGCTTAGCGCCGGTAGCGAGTAAGAAATGACGTCGTACCTGAAATGCAAATAACACAATCCTGTCTGACACAACACTGCCAGGGATTCCAAGGGCATGTTCGCTTCCTCCACTAACCACCACAGGCAGACACGCGCACCATGATCGCAGCCTCCTCATCGTCCGCCGCGACGTCCACGACCATCACCACGACGTCCAGGCGCTTGACAAAGTCCCCGCCCCCATCGCCCCCGTCCCCGCCCAGGACCAGAAAACTCTCGAAAAAGCGGCGCATACTCGAGTTTACGTACCTCAGCGACCATGATATTCAATCGGCCAGATCCTCTGTTGCCCGCTCGCGGACGCTCTCGTCTATCTCAGGCATTTCGGACCGGCTTTCCTTCAAGCGAGGGACCAAGAAAACGAACGTGAAGCTTTCACTAGACGAACGACGGGGAGGGGACGAAGAGTACGAGTTCGTGCAGCCCGAGCGCACGGAGAATTGGTTGCCACCGCTGAAATTGGGGTCCCCTGCCTTTGAGTCGGTACGTTGTCGGTTTTCTGGTCTCAGGTGTCCATAAAGTTGATTTGTGTCGTGCAGAGCCTCTCGTCGCAGGCTTCTCCGGCGTTGACGAAGAGTGCCAATGATATGGACTGGGATCCTGACCTCCATCTGCATAACTTTGCATTGTATGCCTTTGGGCATCATGACGGGGTTGGCGCTGATGGCATTGCGAATGGCAACAGCAATGGGCTGGGGAGCTTTGAGGCAGAGGGGCCAAGGATATCACTTTCTATGAACGATATCGACCCAATGGCACCAGGTCGTCCTTCAACGACGAGTTCGCGCGCCAAATTCATAATCGGTGACGGCGACGGTGTGGATCACGATGAGGAGGACGGCGAACATGATGTAGAATCGCCTGCCAGCCGGTCAGATTCAGCGCCATTGTCTTTGAAATGCATTTCATCCCCTTCTTCGCCCGTTCTCCCCGTACCTCCTCTTCTAACGCACTCGCTGTCTCAACCCCCAAGCCTACTTCCTCCTCTTTCGCCAACGCAAACTCGGCCATCACTGACAAGACGCCATGCGTTTGATGTCAACTCGCACTGGACACTCCGTATGGCACTGATTGATGAAAGGTTATCGGATGAGGTGCTTGTGAGGGTTCTGGAGAGGTGTGTCGGTGCAGGAGGGACGAGAGCGACGGGAAAGGATGAGCATGACTACAGATCGCGTCCTTTGCCTCCCATTCCAACTTCGGAGGTCGTGCTTCCGCTAACAAACCCGCTCCAAAACCTCCACCTTAATCCTCATCTTCCATACTATCTCCCTTCGCATAGCTCGCACCCCCACATGCACCACATTCACCACCCGCACCCGCACCCACATCCGCGCCCTCACTCACATAACAACGCGAAGGCTCAAATCAACCCCCAAAATCCAACATTCCGACATGTACTGTTAACCATTCGCGAACTCATACGCACGGAGAAGAACTATCTAGACTCGCTGAAGATGCTGTTGATTGGGTATTCGGGGCCGCAGGAATATCAATCGCAGCCCAATCAACACCTGCAAGTGCGCACACACGCAACGAACGCGTCGAGCGCGGCGAATTCGCGTCACCGGTACTCCTCGTATACCCAACCCAACTCTCCTACGCGCCCCACCTCATATGCGCGCCCTATGTCGACCATCGCTGCCAACCCGTATGGCTCAAATGGCGACGTGATCAGTGCTTCCCCGCAGTCCACTGAATGGACGACGGAGGATGTTGAAGTTGATGATGGATCATCTACTTCGCATTCACATACGCATCCGCCAAGTCATGCACATTCGTATTACTCACATCCACACTATCCACACCCATCTTTCCCTTCTTCTCATCATTATCCTCACCCCCATCCCTCGGGCCACCATCCCCACCCTCACCGCTCAAGTCACTTACCACCCAACTCGCAGTCGAACTCGAAACACACGCCGCCCCCTCTAATGCGCGCATACATCTCCGAGCTGGTTCAAGTTAGCGAAGCATTCGTTACGAGGATGGAGAAGGACTTGTGTGTCGGGGGCGTCGCGAGGGCTTTTGTGGGGATGTGTGGGAGCGGGAATAGCGTTTCCGGAGGAATGAGTGCCAATGGTGTTCCCACTGGGCCAAGTGGGTTTGAGGATGGGGATATTCGAGAAGAAGACGAAGAGGATATGGATGGAATGGAGGGGTCGTTGGAACGCGCGTATGTCGCGTGGTGTGGGGTTGTTGGGACGTGGTTTGTGGACGGTGATGAGCGCTCGGAGTCGGGTCATGGTCGACACTCGGGAAAGCGGGAGAGCAAGAGGGAAAGGGAGAGGAAGGTATCACATGGGCGAGGGCGAGATGAGGCAGGGAAGGATATTGAGGCTGGTGGCATGGGAAATGGTGAAGTGAAGAAGAAGCCATCAGGGAGGCGGAAGCTGAGCAAAGCGAGGCATTCGAAGGCTATGGGAGGGATGATTAGCTTGAACACTTCCTCGTCCTCGAATTACGCCTCCGACCCTTCCACCTCTACCTCCGCGTACGTCTCCCCACTCACCTCCACTCCAATCTCCACAACACCGTCCTCGAACGCCCTCACCGCGGTGAACACCAACTCTCCGTCCAATTCCTCGCCCGACGAGGCCGACGAAGGAAGGCGAATAACCTCAAAGTCCAGAACGACTAGCACGACGTCTTTGAAAAGGAAGATGAGTCAGTGGCGGAAGAGTCTACCGAGCGTACCCGGGTATTTTGGGATTGGGGCTGGGTCTTCTTCTGGAGGGTCGACCCCGGGAGGTGGGAGGGATCTGAGGGGGATGAGAGGTGGGACAGTGTCGATGTACGGAGCGGCAGGATCGACCGTGGCTCCGCCACTGCCCCTCCCGCTTCCGCCTTCTGTGATACGAAATGGGAGCGCGACACCGAGGGCGAGGCAGCAGACGCTCCCTCCTGGACTGACAATGACTATGACCGTACCTACGACTGCTGTGTCGACTGCCACTGCGTCAGCGATGCCATCCAGCGTGAATGGGATGACTCTGATTGATGGCGGGGAGAGGAAGGCTTTTGATCTCGGTCGCAACGGTATCTCGGATGATGAGGAGGAGAAGGGGGCGATGGTCACACCTGGGGCGCAGACGAGGGACACATTACTCGCTGTAGGGGTTCCAGGAGGGTCCCAAACGCGCAAAAAGAGTACGAAAAGTATTAAAAGTATCAAGAGCACGAAAAGCACGCGTTCACCGACACCACCTACCGCGTTTTCGATGCGGGGGATGCAGGATTTCGGAGGCGATGGGGATTACGGATTCGGCACAGGCGCGCAGTCGGCTTCGACCGTAGATGGACATGGGAGCGGGGCCGTCAACGGGTATGGAAGTGATATGGCTTATCTGCTTGCAGGGCATACCAGTCTCAATGGGCACGGGAACCTCAACGGTGCCGAAGGGACGCGACGGGTGCAAACCAGGAGTAAGAGCGCAGTGTCTGTTGGCATGGGTTCTATGGTTGGCCGTAGCCTGAGCTTCGTGGGTATTGGATCGCGGAAGAGCAAGAATAGCGACGGTGAAGGTACACACAGGAGAGGAGAGAGTATCGACATCGCTCTTGCTGGCGATAGCGAGAGGAGGAATGGAATTGATTTTGGTGGAGGTAGGGGTGGATGGGTCGTCGACGACCGGAGGCAGAATGCGGTGGATGGTGGACACATTCATTCCGCTGGTGCGGGTGGGGGTGCGCATGCCTATGCCCCTGCGTCTGGCTCGGAGCTCGGAGGCGCGCATGCAGGACGAGGGTTTGGAGAGTATGGAGGTGATGGGGACAAGACACCGCGTAAACTCCCGACCGTACGCGACCTTGCGATCCTGCCCACGCAGAGGGTGATGAGATACGTGCTTCTGTTCCGAGGTGAGTTTCTTTTGTTTTGACTCGCTCGTATTCTTGGGTGTTCGATCACAACATGCTTATTATCGAAACTCATCCTAGATCTGCTTGCCCATATCCCGACGACGTCGCCCTCGCGAGCAATTGTGCAGAAGGCCGTAGATGCTGCTGTGAGAGTCGCAGAGAAGTGCGATCGCGCGCAGGGGAATGCGGCGTTCTTGAGAGCCGGGTGATCGCGATAGAGGAGGGGAGAGGTTTGAAGCCTGAAGTCGTCAACCGTTTAGCTTTGCTGCATTTTGCATTCCAACATCTCGTATCACACGCATACCCCCGTTTCACTTCCCTTTCATCGAAACACAAACCCAAAATCTTCATCCCTATATCCATTTCCACTTCCATCGTCTCTTTCAAAATTCACACCTCACATACATACCGCATCTACGCCGCCGTGACCGATATGCTTGCTTCATCATCTTATTGCTTCCCCCTTTCTTGAATATTGAATATAGTTAATTGTATTTGTTAACCATTTCTTGCTTTTCTACTACTCAATCTCATTTCACCAAGCTCTCCATTCACCACACTCAATAATCATCGCTGTATATACATATGCGTATTTATGAGTCCGTAGTATCTCTAGAACATTCATCCATAGTATCACATCCATATATCTTCCCATCAGTTCTTCCAAGTCTATCGTGTAAAAAGCTTTCGATCCTTTGCAGTCACCGATGTACTTTATCTATCACAACAACCAAATACGCAGAATGCAGCGAACCGATCATGACTGTGATAGAGGTTGCACGATGTATGCACGTATGCGCGGGGCTACTGAAACTTGCCACAAGTCGTACGTGTCGCAATGAGTTCGGGCTGAAAGGGGGTTTCAGTTCGCTGATGATGAAGGAACGACTCACTATATTGTTACAGGGATTCTTACATAGGAATAAAGTTATACAAAGACATTAAGGAGCGTGATCATTAAGATAGTAGTAACCCAAAAGCCCTCCTCTGTTTCACTTGCTGCTTGCTACAGTTATATTCTGAAACGATTACCGCCCAAACGTCTCCCGTGTGGGCGGGGCGGTCATCGGGGGAGCAGCGCCTCCCGACGCGCCGTTGCTCTCCCACATCATCTCTCGCTCCCTTTCCTTCAGCAACATCTGTGCCGCAAACGACACCTTCGGCTTAGCACCCGCACCCATGGTGGCGCCTGCACTAGCCGGGGTAGGACCGAATGGCCTCGTCCTGCTTAACGACGGCCGGCCGTTCAAGTCGATTTGTTGCATTTGGCCGAATCCTGTGGGCGAGCTGGGTGGATTGGGGTTGAGTTGGAGATGTGCGGGGAGCATCGGTCTGGTCTTCCCGGGCTGGGCACCGAGACTCTTTCGAGGCGGTGCGGCTGCTATAGTAGCGCTATGGGGCATCGTGGTGAATCCGAACGACGGGCGTCCGGCAGTGAAGACGACGCTTTCCGTATCGGCGTCGTGAAGGGATTGTATGGGTATTTGTGTTTGGTGGGAGATGGGTCCACGGGAGGAGCGTGCCAGCGCTCTGCCATCATCCTGTTTGCTTGGGAAGCAGCCCATTGTATAAGTTGTTGAGGAAGGTTTCGCGGTCCGGGGAGGTGTAGGGCTTTTGTGCCTAATATACTAAAGTCAGGATGGCGCACAGTAGTTCGATGAAGTTACTCACAAATTCCGTCCAGCAGAGCGCACAAGGGGGTCAGTTGCGCATCCTCTCACCTTTATATACCTGGCGGGCCAAGCCTGAGACACAGCGTAGTTGTCTTAGCAGCTGATGATGGCGCAGACCCAAATCCCAAACGCCGGGGCGCAGTGGGTGAAACGAAACACTTTGCACCGTTTGCATGAGGACTTGTATTATCGGGCAGTGTCACAGTCCACCGTATGGGTTTCCCGAATCGGATGTCTGAACTACATAAGGTCACGTGGTGCCACGATCACTAGTGAAGAGGTCGGTGAACAGGAAACGTACAGTACACGTCCTCTCCTACCACCATCATCCAGCAATTAGAGGTCTCGAGATTCGCGAACTTGCAGTCATCAGAGAGGACTTGGCTTGAAGAAACTCGCGACGATGAGCTCAATCAGACCTTCAACGTCGCCGACGCTCCAGCAGGCGCAAACCAATGCTCTGCTCACGCTGCTCAACCTTAATACACCAGTTGACCCGCCTTCTTCATCGACACCATCTACGACGGCCCTCTCCAAATCCAATTCAAACTCATCGCATGGCTCCAAATCACCTGCCATACCACAGGCTTCCGGACCTCCAGTGTGGAAGATACTCATCCTCGACCCACCAACGCAGTCTATACTTGCAACCGTGCTGCGCGTATCTGACCTCCGCGAAGCTGGCGTAACGTTACACGTTCCCCTCCATTCCCCTCGCCCGCCTCTCCCTGACGTACCTGCGATATATTTCGTCTCGCCAACGCTGCAAAATGTCAAGAGAATAACGGAGGATTTGGAGAAGGGGTTGTATGAAAGGACGTATTTGAACTGGGTGGAGCCGGTTAAGAGGGCAGTCTTGGAGGAACTGGCATCAGAGGTTGTAAAGCGAGGAATAAGTATGGGCGGCGGCGAAGAGGATGGCGAGGGAGGGATTGAACAAGTTGTGGATCAGTATCTGGGGTTTATCACTCCTGGGCCGGAATTGTTTTCTTTGCTACCTCCACCTCCTGCTCCCGTACCAGCAGGTTCAACTGCGACGGCTCCAACAGAGCGAACATCTTACGAAATCTTGAATTCACCGTCTTCGTCAGAACAGGACATTGAGGATGAGATTGAAAGAATCGCTACAGGGCTATTCAGCGCCGTTGTCACAATGGGTGCGTGTACTTGTTATTCTACACTGATACTTCTACTTGATATCTTCTTCACATCGACTAGGCCACGTCCCAATAATCCGTTGTCCTAGAGGCAACGCAGCCGAAATGGTGGGCAAGAAACTTGAGACCAAGATTCGCGACGCGCTATTATCTGCCTCTCGCTCAGGTTCATACGGACCTGGCTCAAGCGGGGCCGCGAACCTTTTCATCCAAGATTCCACAGGCTTGTCAAACCTGCAACGCCCCGTCCTAGCAATCCTCGACAGAAATATCGACCTCGCATCAATGCTCTCCCATGGGTGGACCTACCAAGCGCTCGTCTCGGACTGTCTCTCCATGAAACTCAACAGAGTTACTATTGACCCATCTGGCTCCGCGTCCTCTTCCGCCGCAGACCCGCCTCTCGCGTCAACAGGCGCGAAGAAGAGGTCGTACGACTTAGATTCTAATGATTTCTTCTGGGCGAGGAACGCGGCGAATCCGTTCCCTCAAGTTGCAGAAGAGATTGATGTAGAGCTGAATAAATATAAGCAAGATGCAGCTGAGATTACGAGGAAGACTGGTGTCAGTGACGTCAATGATATCTCACAACTGTGAGTAATTTCACTGTGGCTTTATTTCATGAGTTCAACTTGCTAACTGCATGCCTGTTCCGTTTCCTTGCTCCTTTCTACCTTTTGCCGCCTGCTGCACCGAAACAGAGATCTCTCGGCCAACGCCGCGCACCTCAAAACGGCCATCACCCAACTTCCTGAGCTTACGGCGCGTAAAACGACGCTCGATACTCATATGAACATCGCAACGTCACTGCTAGAACAGATCAAGCAGAGAGGGTTAGACGAGCTATACAGCATGGAAGAGAACATTCAGAAACAGGTGCGTAGATATCAGTAATTGTCGCGAAGTAGTTTTATTCCATTCTATCTCTAGACCGTAGCCGCTATCCTTGAAACCCTGCGATCCCCCCGTCCTGACACTCTGCCGCCGTTCACGCCCACCGATAAACTACGTCTCGTACTCGTGTTCTACCTCTCCCTCAACGACAACCAACTCGCTGCCCTCACCAAGGACGATATTAACGACCTGGAGAAGGAGTTAGCTTCTGCCGGTGCTGATGTTGCAGCGTTCGAGTATGTCAGAAGGGTAAAGGAGATTTCGCGGATGGCTACTTTCGGTTCTGGGGGTGGTGGAAGCGGGTTTGGTGGTGGAGGGAGCGCAGGTGGAAGTGGGTTTGGAGGAGCGAGCACACCACAAGGAGGAGAGTTGTTGAAAGGATTCAGTGTGTTCGGAAATAGGGTCAGCCTCTTTCGATCTAATATTCCGCGGCGCCTGCTGAAACAATCCTTGATAGCTGACTGACCGACTCAAAGAAGGAGGTTTCGAGAATCTGATTTCCGGCGTTAAGAACTTCTTGCCTACCAACAAACTACTGGTCGTGACTCGAGTGATTGAAGCACTGATGGACTCTTCGTCTGCTTCAAACCAGTCACTGCAGGAAACAGATGAGTACCTCTTCTTAGATCCACGAGCTCCACGGAACCAAGGTGCCGGGTACCCTGGTGGTGCGTCGACTTCGGGACCAGCAGCGGGCGGCAGAGCGAAGAGAATGCATTTCAACGAGGGGATGGTGTTTGTCGTGGGTGGTGTAGGTTACGTCGAGTATGGGAACGTGGAGGAGTGGGCAGGGAAGAGCGGACGGAGAGTGGTTTATGGAGGTACAGACATTGTGGATCCTAGAGGATTCGTTGATGTGCTCGCGAGGCTGGGAAAGGGTACACAGTAATGCAGTGTGGTAGACATTAGGACATCAAAACACGGATTTCTTTCGGCATTACATTGATTGGTGCGTGCCACGAGGTGCCTCCGCACACTATTTACTTCTTGGTCTGCGGGACAATGGATAATTACCTCTCAGTTTATTTTGTTGCTCCTGGGCCTGGTAATTAGGGCACCCTATTACCCCATTCTGATCCCTCGTGCTGTCATGATCAGCGTCAGATCAGCTACTTCCAGGTTCCCCCCGAGCCGTGCCTGTTGCTATCGATCGTCGCCGCCAAACTACAAAGTAATCACACGACATGGGCTACGGGACAACGAGGCTCACAAGGGCTCACAAGGTCATCCTGTTTAACATCGTCGTTTGTGCTCTCTTCCTGGGTTCTTCCCTGGAGACGGTCTCACCTGTGAATCCATGGTTACACAGCCTATCGTAATTGTACGACATTGATTCTGGAATTCAGCAGCATCTCGAGAGCAGAAAGAGAAAAACAAAGGGACTTCGAACTTCGCCCACCGTTTTCTGCCTGCCGCCACCGGTACCGTTGCAAATTTCTCCAAAACATTCTCGCTGCGGTTAGCGGCTCCTGCGAAGGCCATCGGGTTCCGAAACAAGCACGAGCAAACAGGAACCTGGACCCTTGTCCAAAAGTAGTAAGCGGTTCGACTTGCGATCATCCTCGTTTTCAGTTTCCAGTTATTCTTATTATGACCGGTACCCACACTCTCTTCTAGTCCACGACCCTCGCTACTTGACGCAACGACAAGATACTGCACTCACGACTGGTCCAGGAATAACGGGACTTGGGGAACATAACTAGCCACTACGACAAGCAACGACGCTATATCATTATATCACTTCTGCGGGCTCCAGCCACGTTGATTGTGGGGCAAACGACAGTAATGACCACGAATACACACTATACACGAAAGAAACGACATGACACATTCAACAACCAACCAACTGCCCCGTCTGCGCCGGCAGGACAGCCATCGCCACCCGTTGGCAGTGGATCCAACTTTCCGCCTTCCCCCCAGCCGAATACAAGTTTCCCCGGAGGCCAGCCCAGCTCGAATCCTACATTGGGGTCAGGGAATGGCTCTGGGAATGGTGGGACTGGTGCCGGAGCTGGCTCTGGCTCTGGGTCCGAACCAAATCCAACCATCTCTGGCTCAGACCTCTTCGCGACAGAAACCCTGACATCGACCTTCCCCGTTACTACGATCTTCGAAGCTACGACGACGTTTACCTCATTCTCCGAATCTGTGTTTACCACCACTTCTGCGATACCCAATACCTTATCTTCACCTGCTTTTACTTCCTCAGTTCCTTCAATATCAATATCCAGCTCGGGTACGGCAATGAGCGCGAATGGCCCTCAAAGCACGTCGGGTTCTCTACAAGTGGGAGCACAGTCGCAGCCTATATGTGCTGGCAAAGGGATAGACGCGTCGGCTGCAGGTCTAATTGCGACGATCATAGTGCCTAGTGTAATCGGTTTGATAATATGGGTGAGCCTTCCATATCTTTGGTGTTCTATGTCCCCCTTTTCCGTTCTATTCCCTCCTCGGCGAGTCATAACCCACTCGCGGTCTATACCCCCCGCGTTCTTAAATTAGAACCTCGTGAGTAGAAGAATAAGCTAACAGAGCTTAAAGATAACATTTGCCATCCTACGACCGCGTTTCCGACAAATTTACGCGCTACGAGAGTGGTTTGTACACCCGCAGTAAGCCCCTCCGATACCAAATTGCTATCTGCTAACAAAGGTCAAATAGACTACGTCCAAAACCCCTCGGCAGCGGGTTCTTCGCATTCCTACATCCGCCGGTCCCCCTCGTACCAGATTTCCCTTCAGCATCCGATGCTCGTTCCCCCGATGCGCAGAAAGCCCTTCCCTCGGATGAGAACCTCGCACAACGTTCCCTATGGTTGGCCCTACTTATATGTCTTGGATGGACTGTGCTTGGGCTGGCTGGTGCGCTTCCACTATACTTAGTCAATATGCCTTGTCTGGCCACTTCGACTGGTGGCGGGGAAAGCAGGTTCGGTGGCGCGTACGGCACGTTGCAAGATCTCAGTCTCTTAAGACTCCTCCGCCTTCTAGACGATGGCAACGTCTCCACCAATTTCGCCGTAACATTCTCGCCCGTAGGCAAACGCGCTGTTATTGACGGTGTCGATTTTGAGCCACAAATACGTACACGGCTCATCATCCTCGTCGTTCTGACATTGGTTGTCGGTGTTCTCCCTGCGCTCTGGAAAATACTGAAGGAGTACACTAAGTTAGTTCACTACCGGCGCATATGGGCAGAGGAGAGGTGCGAAGGGAAGGAGATGGCGTGGTTGAGTGCGAGAGACGCGCCTGGATTTGCGGGATGGGGAGAGAAGAGGATCAAGGACTTTTTGGTGAAGAGTGGGCTAAGTGGTGGCTTCGAGAATGGAAGCGGGAATGGAAACGGGAATGGAAAGAGTAATGGTAGTAAGACCGAGAAGCTTGCCCCGGGATCGAGACGTATTAGTGGCCCGTATAGTCCCCGCAGTCAACGACGGAATGAACAACAACCATTGACGAGCCTGGAGGAAGCCGAGCTGGAGGTGGACATCTCGAGTCTATTTTCGATTGGGTACGCCTATATTCATCTTCTCGTTCGCCTACTCTGTACTGATAGATGTAGGGATACCCAACGCCTTGCGCTACTCATTGACGAACGCGACGAGATTCTGGAGAATTTGGAGATCGCGGAGACGAGATACATATCATCGTTCAGGTTAAGTACCCCGGATCCCTCAATAGCGGATTTCCAAGCGCCCCCTGTGCCCCCCAAAGACAATAGGCCTTACATCAGTAGACCGCTACCCTTGGGTCCCGCACAGAAGGTATGTCGCATTTCACCTTATTCTTGAGTTGTCATTTACTGAAAGCTATGTGACGGTGTTAGAAACGGACACGCCGTGGTCGACGCACTCTGAACCCTGCATTCGCTGCTTCCTCCCTCGCGCCTACATCCTTCGTTGCCCCGTCTCAATATTACAAGCTCCATGGTCTCCGTGGCGTGAGTGGCGGACGCTTTGGCGGCAGCGAATATAGCTACAGGGAGGAAGACGAACCCCCACTCTCTACTTCGATAAATTCGAGGGTTATTGGCAGCAGGTTCCAAGAAGTCAACAGGAATAGCGCAGCGTATGGACGATTACCGATGGGCACCTATGTTGGGGTTTCTGAGAAGGGTGAGTTGGGTGGGGGTGCAGGATCAGGAGGGATGCCGGGAGGATGGGGAAGTGATGCGGGTCGAGAGAGTGGATATGGGGGAGGAAGTGGGGGTGCCCCTGGTAGCGCCAGCGTTGGCAGTGGGAATATGGCTGGTGTAGGTGGAGGCATGGGCGTTGGCGGATTAGGTGGTATGCTCGACCGCGCTGACCGAATGGACATGTTCACCATCGAAGAAAGCGAACGCTCCTACATTCCCGATCCGCGACGGTACGGCCCCAACCATCTAGGTTACTCTGAAGAAGATGGCGATAGAAGGAGCCTAACTGGGCAGATCGACGGTGAAGATTGGGTGGACTTGGAGGATGAGGTGGATTACGATGAGATGCCCGGACCGGACGAGGAGGCGCCACCACAAGGAAGGGGTGGGTTTGCTTACGGCGCGCGGATGATGATGACGCCCTCGCCTACACCTTCACCTGCGCCTCCCATCGCGAGGCGAAGACTAAAGGAGCAACCACCTTCGAAGAGAGAAACATTCCCCTTACGGAGCAACGAGCCTGTTGGACACGCCGCAATGGACGAGATCCCTCCCCCGCATTTACGTTTACAACCCCACCAACCTTTCGTACGTCCGCTTTCAGGCAAGAATTTCGACGATTTGGGAGAGGTGTATGGTGATATCCGGCACTGGAGGACAAGATTGAAGGGCATCAACGCTGAGATTGCAGATGCGCAGAGAGACTGCTATAATGATATAGCGGACGGTTCGCGCGTTCTAGGGTGGTTGATGATAGGGAAGGGGCTGCGTCATCTTCAAGGCGCTCAATTAATCGAAGGGAGGGCGAAGGAGGATATTAGGTGGGACGTGCTGCAGAACGAAAGAACTGCAGTCGACAAATGGGTATGGTGGACCGTTATTATCGTGGTGGGCGTGTTGCTCGCTGCCGCATGTGAGTTCTCTCGTACGCGTTGTGATTGAATTAAACTAATTGACTATTGTGATGCGGCAGTAACTGCTGCAGCTGGGTTAGCAGTGGTGACTGCGCCTGATGTAGCACACTACCTCCCCTTCTTGGAGCCGCTTCTCGCTGCGCATCCCCTGGTTGCTGGTCTCGCGACTAGCCTCGCTCCTGCTGTGGCAGCGACTCTTTTCATTTGCTTAGCATTGATGGCCATTCATTGTGAGCGTGCCCAGTTTTTCCTTATCGTTTCGCTTTCTGATATGAATTACCAGGGGCGACCAATATCCGGGGAGCGGTTTCCGTATCCGGAGGGCAGCTACTCGCATTCAAGGCGACGTTCTTCCTTATTACCTTCGTCGTTGGGTTGTGGATTATTACGGTTGGCTCTCTTCTGTTCGCGTTCGAGGCGTTCAGTTCCGATCCGGCTGGCAATCGGGAGCGATCATCATCAGTTGCTAACGGATCAATTTACCTGAGTGCTTTCGCCCTCGCGATCATTGTCAACGGCGCCATCATCTTCCCTGGCCTGCTCGTGCTCCAACCCATACGCCTGTGGAAAGTAATGAAGGCAGAGAAGCAAGCTGTCACCCCGAGACAAAGGTTTAGAGGTGAGGCCGCGAATTCATCCACGGATTTATTGACTCTCGCTTACTTACACTTTGGGGTTTGTCAGCCGTTTATCCACGCACCTACAATCCGTCATTTGCTCTCGGAGCCTGTATACTGGCCATTGTGTTCGCCTCCACGTTTGCGGTCATCTTCCCGCTTATCGCGCCGGCTGTCGTCATCTTGATTCTCTTGAGCCTTGTCGGTGCGTTCTTTTTCGTAAATCTTTGGGGAGACGGGCCGATAACGTTTCTTCTAGCTCATCGCTACCTCGTTGGATACGTGTATGGCCGGACCCACTCGCAAACGGGCGGCCTTCTGCAAATATGGCTGTTACGTCGCTTTGGCAGCTTGCTCGCACTGCAGCCTCTCCTTCTGGGACTTATCTTATTAAGTCGACAGCTCTGGGTTCTAGGCGGCGTCTGCTGTGGCGTAGCCCTCGCGGTGGTTTTATTTGTCGAAGTGTACACGAGTTGGAAGATGAGACTTCCAGGACGCAAGTCACTCAAGCCGATCACCCAGAATTCCATTGACGAATTTGCCAACACGACCCGACCTCCCAGTTCCAAGGGGAGTCGACGGCCCATAGATGAAGAAAGCACCAGTCTCGTCAGCAGTGCGAGGAACACGAATCGTATACGTGGATCCATGGCTTCTGTTCTCGAGATGATGAGTTTGACGCTTGCCGTAATGCCATCCCCATCGGCACATAGAGGGCCCATTCCACTAGGTAAGCAACGATTCTTTGCCCTTCCATTCCCGTTCCAGTATGGGGCTACAAGCGAAATGATTCATTTACTGGGCAATGCTCCCCGGATGGGGTACATCGTTCACGCGCTGACCGTCCGCTGCAGAAACCGAAACGCTGGATGACCTGACCGCGACAGAGCGTGCAGCACGGACGCACCCTGACGCACCCCCTCTGCTGCCACCGCTCCCATTTACGGACCACGCAGAGGAAATGGCCTCGATATTATACGCCCCTGAACTGATTGCACCTCCGCCCATCATATGGCTGCCCAATGATTCTGCGGGCGTGGCGAGATCAGAGGCGGTGGATTTGCAGAAATATCATGATCTACAGGTAACTTTAGATGTTCGCTCGAGAGACGATGTGATGCCTCGACGGTCCTCATCGCGGTCGCGAGGCGCGCACGGACGATATTGATAGAAGGGAGTAATTTAGCAGCGGCGTGTAATATTTTCGTTATTTCTTTTTCTCTTGTTCCCTCGGACAATATTGTTGTGTTGAAAATATACAAGACATGCGCTATTGGTGCCATCTGAACTTGCATGTGTGGAACAATGTGGCGAGTCCAGACTGCGAGCGTGCCTTGTGATCTGACAGCGGACTCTGATTTTTACAGTTTTTGAGCTGATCAGGGCAAGTGACGTCACCGTACATCAGTATTTTGTCATAACGCTATTTCCTATTTTAGTGCGCTCGTCATATTATTTTTTTACTTTGAATCCACGAAATTGGCGCAATCTGGACTGAAGACGGTGTCTGCCAGCGAAATGGGCGGGAAATGAAGAAGATCGTGCGTGCGGCTGCCGAGGCCGATGAGGCTAAAAGGCCCAACATTCTTTCTGCTCCACCTGATGATTGATTTGTATTTTTCCAGGCGAATAAAAATAATGTTTAGTAAAGAGTACGTCTGACGAGATCCCGGCCGGGCAAGGCCATGGGCTTGTCCGTGTACCAGTGATGCCGTCTGGCGTTCTCCCCGGCACGTCCACGGTGCTTTATGTTTTTGCTGCATGTTTACATGAAATCAAGGCCTGCACAAAATATGAAAAAGGGGGCGATCTGAACACGTCACAGTGCAGCCTTGCTGATGGCCAGACTCGCTGCAGATGCCCATTAAAATTTCCCTTTTCGCGCCAGGAGACACCAACTGAAACCGTGTTTTGGAACCCACAGGTGAGTGATTCTCGGACGGCAGACGATTATCATTATGATCCGGACTTCGGGGCTCTATATACAATTACCAAACTCACTTCATCCTAGGCCTTAGCGCCTCGCCTCGACATCCGCATCAGCCCTCGACTCCCTTTAAAAAACTCGTCCACAGAGTTCGGAGTTGGCCATTTTTTCTTGCCAAGTTTGACCAGTCGTTCAAACAACTAGGCACGCGTGTGTCCCGCGTCGATTCACCTTTCCGTCATCCACTACCTCACACCGCACCTCGCTTCTCATTTATAAGCCTCCTGCGTTCCTACACGCAAGATCGACACAGACACGCTATAGAACGGCATGTCAAGTGGCTCTCCACCCCCACCATCCCCGCCGCACAGCGACGACGACATAGACTATGATAACGATCCCGTCATTCAATATTCTAGAGACTTGTACGCCTACACGCTACGGCTATGGACAGAGTCCAGGAGGGTCGCCGAGGAGAAGGCTCGAGCGAAAGCGGCGGCCAAGAAGGAGGAGGAAGAGCGGAGAAGAGTGCTGCTTCAGGCACAGGCAAAGGTTGAGACGGGTGGCAGCGTTGTGGGAGGGAGTGTACCAGGAGCGGAGGCGAACACGGCTCCGGGGGACTCCTCTTCATCGACGCACCACAAAGGCTCATAACAGTGCCTTTGTCGGGTGCCTTCCTCTGCCCCCACACCACCCACCTGACATGAACCATAGAGAATGGTAGGTGATCGCGTCGAGCAAGGAGTCATATATTGATGAGACTGTATTGCAGGCCATGTACCATTGTCGGTGCACATTTGTCGTCGCCGCTCAACCTACCGCTCAGCGTCTCCCGCTGTGATTCTATCCCCATATAATACACCAGCAATCGAAAGACGAATGACAGTCCGTCGTTCGCACTTGGATGGCTACGTACACAGACCCGGCCTCTCCTTGGAGGAGGCAAGGTCATAAAGGATTCTTTATTTATTGAATCTACAGTATGCTTTATTTCCAGCCGTTGCGTTGTATATTCCCCCTCGCCAGCTGTTTGCCTTCCCTCTACCTGCAGATTTGTCTAGGTGGTAAGCTTAATGCACTGTTATGTCCCACGACGTACTACTGGGCTGCTGGGCTGCTGTCGATCTTGCCCTTTGGCCACAGAAGGAAGAACGGTTGAGTGACCTTATCTGATGGAACAAGTTGACTGACCGTTGTTTAGAGTCTGCGTGTGAAGGACGACTTGTTTTTTGCTCCAATGCTGTGACAGATGGTCACGACAGATAACTTGGAATCTGGTACGCGGCATCTCGGAGGAAAGAACTTGGAGCAGACGACTCCAGCTAGGCACCGGGGGACTGAACAGTTACCTGATCGGGCTAAAGAGGACGCTGACGTCACTATTATATGTCCACGTGGGCGTGAAAGTATATGCTCGATATGCTGTGGGGAAGAAGCAGCGCAGACCAACGCCGAATTCCCACTCACACACGTTGCAGCTTGCGCGACTGCCATTGGCCGTGGAAAAATCCTATATAATACCAGTAATGCGCTTCGAATCCCCGACTGAATATGCGGGCGTTTCTCGTTTTATTCAGCCTTTTTTCCTCGGTTTTTGGGGCAGAAATCAAGCCGTCGACGCTGACCGTGCCCGGGCCATTTCCGACGTCCCTTTTCTCCAAATACCACAACTCGCCGACTGTCACGTCAGCCCAGGTTCAGCCTGTCATCTCAGACCCTGTCACAGTGCGTCCATATTATCATATTCCATTTTGTGTCTCAAACACCGTCTATTTCAGCATGAAATCTATCCTTTCTCGCTCACAGACCCAGATAGTGTTCCAAAGAACAACACTGTTGATCCACACCCGTTGCCTCCCACGGCATCTGCCTCTCGGCTAGTCGAAAACGCGTTTGCGCAGATTTTGTCGGTTGCCGCGAATCCGGTCTTTGGTGATAACAGATGTGCTCGGTGCATCGCCGGATTCGAGGCCGCAAAATTCCTGGCTCTGGCCGCGCCGAAGCAGGGCCCCGCCTTCGCCGTCCGGCTCTGCGATCACTTCAAGTTCAGCTCAACGTGCAGCACGACGTTCGGGCCTCTTGGAACAGGCGGGGTCATCACTCAGGTCGTCGCAAATGCCGACGTCGGTGGGCTCGATGGCCAGGTACCAGCAACTCAACTACTTTAGCAGTTCGACATTTCTAACATCCAATCTCCAGTATTTATGTCAGAATTTCCTAAACTTATGTCCCTTGCCCCCGCCGCCTCCACTCAACCTCACAGCGTGGTTCAAGAAGCCAAAGCCGAATCCCCTGCCTCCCCCAAAGAAACCGAGCGGTAAACGCCTCAAGGTGCTGCATTTATCAGACATGCATCTCGATGCAAGTACGTGGGCTGCTGCTATACGTCTCGGGTTTGTGCGGCTCTGACAACCTCGTTTCGTTCGCTTTTTTCCGAAGGGTACTCTACCGGTGCTGAGGCGAACTGCACGACTGGTCTCTGCTGCCGTAAAGGCGGATTCAACTCCCAAAGTCCTAACGCGACCCTACTTCCTGCCCCGCGATTTGGCGCATACCACTGGCAAGTATATCATTCCGATTCGCCCATTCGATTTCAAATTCGATTTCCCTTCTCCGAACTTATTCAATGAATCACGTAACGGGATTACTTCACCCGTCACCGCAATCGCGCAAAAAACTAACACACGGCGTGTTGATCTTGACAGTGACACCCCTCTTTCGCTGATAGCAGCAGCCCTCGAGGCAATACCCCCTCTCACGGAGACCCAGGGCACCGGGTTTGCATGGACAGTCTACACGGGGGATTTGGTGGCTCATGATGCCGATAATCAGCTATCAAGGTTGGCATCCTTCTTTTCCTGCCTTTCTCCACACTGCCCACCACGCACCGCTTGTCGGAATCTGGGGGCGTTCCGTATAGAACATGTCACTAACGGGCTTTGCTGATTTCTCTGATTGATCCTGATTTTACGCACCCACGCGCGCGAACGTACCCATTTACGGCGGCTTTGGGTATTTGGGTGAATAGAGAGTATGTTACATACGTGGAGGTAAGTCTCGAAACGTCAAGGATTTTCTTGCTCTGTGGTGAGGTCACGGTAGCCCTCACGCAGGCTGCCACCCTTTCCGTTTGTTGTCTTGGCATTCTATTATTGACCACCGCGAACCGATCACGCGTCATATCAGAACTGATGTTCTTCATAGACACTGCTTTACGACCTTCTGAAGAAGACACTAGGACCTGGCCCGGTCTATGCTACGCTAGGAAACCACGATAGCTATAACCAGTGAGCTGGCACGCCTTTAGCAGTGCACCGATGACAAACCTAACGGCATGGCAATTAATAGAGCCCAAGATGCCCCGCACGCCATTGGCCAAGGGCTCGCCGGGCAGTTTAGCTGGTAAGGTCCATCATCGCCTCGCTTCCAATCACCTTTCTATTTATACACCCCCAACTAGTTGTGCTGACCTTTCCATCCGCTGCATAGGAACTACGACCACCTAGCCCTCCTCTGGAAACACGAGAAATGGCTCCCAGACTCGGCCGTCCGTCTCGCGAGAACGCATTATGCGGGGTACATGGTCAAGAGGGCCGATAATCTCCGAGTCATCTCGTTGAATACGGATATGTGTGAGTGCTCTCATCCGCCTTCCGACGTCTGGCCTGCGCGGTGCTCAAGGTGGGGTTGCTGACGAATTATGCTATTGGACGGTGTGGTTAGGGTACCGGTGAGTCTCACACTACGGGGTTTTGTTTGTCCTTTGGAAATGGAGATTTACGGATTGTTCTCACCGCCAGCGCGAACTATTTCAACTACATCAATATGACGGATCACGACGTGTCAGGGATGCTGAGGTTCTTGACTGATGAGCTACAAGATGCAGAAGACCACGGAGAGCGCGGTCAGTTATGATGTTTATTCACGCGATTCCAAATACTTACGAATGGCTTATTGATCTCGTAGTTTGGATTATTGGACACGTCCTTAGCGGCTGGGACGGTACTAATCCATTGATCCCTGCCACCGATCTGTGTAAGCTTTCATCTAACTCCCCCAGATTTTAACCGTGAACGCTGACGGCGGCTGGTCGTGGTGTCCAGTTTACCAAATGTACGTTTTATTACATTCCCCTAATTAACCCCAAGGTTGGGGATTGGATGAGTATGCTGGGAACTGACTGGTGTGTAGAGTGGACAGGTTCTCACCACACGTCATCGCAAGTGAGGCCTTCCTTTGGCTTCCACTTCCTTTCTATGCATATATGCACATATGCGTATATCTTATAATCTAAGGAACCCTTCTCACTCAACGTTCTTTTGCTAACGGATAGATGTATTCTTCGGACACACGCATGAAGATCAGATGTCGGTACGTCCTTACGTTTAATTGGACCTTGGTCTGGTCGCAGGTGTTGGTATCGGTGACTGACCGCCGACGGACATGCCGGACTTACTGCAGATCTTCTACCGCAACAATGCGACTGTGATGAACAGTGACACGGCGCATGCGCTGGCTTGGGTTCGTTGCATCATGCGTGATCCTATACCTGGAACAATCACTCATATAATGATGCAGATGGGACCATCGCTAACCCCAGGGACGAACATGAACTCTGGATTCAGGGTGTACGAAGTTGATTCGGCGGTACGCTGAATATTCTCGGCTTGATTCTGACCGTTGCTAATTATTGTCAACGCGTTCATCATAGACATTCGAGGTTCTCGATGCACATACGTGAGTTGGCACTTGTCCGTGTGGTCAATCAAAAAGGATACTAACAACCCGACAGTTGGAGAAGCGACGTGAGCACCTTCCCGGGATTGGACTCGCAACTGGCGCTCGGTCCCACGTATGCATACGAGTACAACACGCGCGAGACCTATGGGAAGACGATCCAGGATTGGGGAGCCAACGATCCGCTGAACGCTACGTGGTGGCATCGCGTAACTGAGGGTGAGTGCACTGGGTGCCAATTGGATTTCTTTTTCCCGTGGAATGGATTCGTTTAAAATTTAACCTGGACTAGCCACTTATCGTATCACGCTCGGGTTCATTTGATTGGATAACGCTGATTGTGGAGTATTATTGTAGCCATGGAAGCTGATAGCTCACTCGTCGCCGTAAGTCCCAGTGATGTGCAGGGTTGCCTATACTCGTACTCACTTGCCTTTTCTTCCCTGTATCCAATAGACGTTCAACACACTTCAAGGGAAGAGCTCGATTCAAACTCGCCCGTGCACAGGTGACTGCATCAACGCCAAGATCTGTTATATTCGGAGTGGGTCCGCGCCGATTGGTAGGCGCTGCCCTCAAGGGTTCGGCTCTGTGCAGTCGTAAAGCAAGCCACAATGAACGATCACTTTTTTGGGTTAAGCTCATGTTTCGTTGTAAAGATATGGGTGAATGTCGTTGCCTCGATGGGCTCTGTAAATCTGTTAATTGTGTTGTCGCGCCCAGAATATACGACTTGGGCTTTTGGAGGTAGCAAATCAGAATTTAGTGAGTAGGTCCGATTCCGTGCAGGTCCGAGGGTACTCGAACCCTGCAACAGGAAGGCAGGGTTTTGGTATCTTGCCCTACCCCTGTCGAGTTAGATAGGAGAGCGTGGACTTGCTTCAGTTTCTTGGCTATGCATCACAATCGTCGTTGTGTATAGTCCATGAACGTTAACCTACATTCTGAACTAATTACCTTGTGATTGAAGTTTCGCTGGAAGCAGCTCGGGTAATACTCAGCGTCTTGGCAAAAGTCAGTGAGTGACAGAATATGATGGCTCTTTTAGAGAAGATGGGGGATAGGAAGCCCGTTCATATACACTACAATGGAGATAAACTCACCACAAAGTGTAACGATACCGAATCTGCGCAAGATGGGTTGGGGAGTGCCCAAGTTCCATTGTTCTTACTGATTACGGGAGACGAAAGTGTATAGTCCCGTATTTGTACAAGTGCAATCGAACGTAAACGAGGAGAACGTGTTATTGTTGATATTGCTGAAGTGGGCTTTGACCTTGCTATCATCAGCGCTTTTGATGCGGCCAAACCAGGTTGAGTAGACGAAGTATGGGCCTCGAGATAACTAGATATCTGTTGGAACGCGGACGAGCGGCGTGGAGATGCGATAACCTACGAAATTGCATCGCTGGCATATTGTTGTGCGTCAGCAGCAGCTACATTGTGTAGAGAGCCTGCCGCTCGTCAGAGCAACCAGTGAAAGATGCTCGCTTTTGAAGAGCAGGCCTAGCTATGGCGAGCTTACCGCTAATCTTCGTTGCATGGGGCTCTGCAGTAGCAGTTAGACCCGTTACGGCCCTGTTGGAGTCGACGATTGCGGGCTTCGAAGGTGAAAGTACCTTCTCCAGTGAGGGTGAAGTTGTATATGTGGACACTAAAATAAAATCCCATCAGAATGCAAACGGGCATACGATCATGTGTTATGCTGACAGATTGGCCTGGCGCAAGGATAGTGAAGATGCTTGCAGCATCGAGGGCCGCAGCTCGATCTGGGACATATTTCGCCCTGACACCGGTGAAGGCAGGGCGAGCGCCCTTCGCGTCGGTAATGACAAAGGCGTCTGTTGGCAAGGTGGACAATGGACCTCGAGGGTCGTTCAGAAGTCGCCAGTGTTCACTAGAGTAGTGACAAGCTTCAGTTGTCAATTACGTTCACAGAGTCGGGGCCTAATATATTGCTCGTTATATCCTGCTGGAAATGTATCAGAGAAGTCTAGACGCGAAACGCTCTATTTCAAATCTCGGGATGCCGATACAGGGAGTACTGCAATAAATGCGCCAGCCAAGGCCAACCGTAAGAGTGACAAGAATCGCATAGCTTGGTGGGGTGGGGGGCTGGGAACAGTGACGCTGAAGTTGTAAAGTACCATTCGAGACGCGACGCTTTCGCGATATACAGAGCGAGGCAGAGGGAGGTTCAAATCGGCTTAGTGTCCCGGTAAAAAAAGTATATCAAGGAACAGGAGTCTCGAAACCGAGGAATGGACCCGGTGGTTTGTTGGACGGTGACATAGGGATATTTTCGTCAGATGAGGTGAGCGGAAACGAGCTTCGCCAGTGACCTTGAGAAGAGGGTTGGCAAGGTACGATCTCTAGCAGATGGTGATACCACTGAGAATGCCAAACTCAGCGGCGTGCAGCCACATATATGGTACCTCAATAATGCTCTGAGTATGTGTCAAAGCAAACTTCAGATTTCTCCGGACTGCCAGTTGCATATCCCGCAGAGGCTGAAACGGGGATGCTCCTGTTTCCTCCTGGACTACTGGCGCGTCTTGCGCGCCCTACTGTGTCAGTAGGTACCGATCCGAGGCACATTCCCCGGTTGCCGTGATAGTGTTCTACGGATCCAGAGCATCAAGGAACTAAAAGCGTATGGTACCCGTTAGAATAGATACAGGCTGGTTCGAGTGTGTATTCGTCCGGAGATCCATGTCGCCACTTTATCGTCGATGTGCCTGAAGCTATAGGTGCAAGTTGAGCGGGGCCGATTAGCCTGGTTTGACCCTGCACGTAGCTGCCTAAGGAATCCCGGAGCTGTAGAAGATGTATTCCAGCCACTTGAACTTCAATGCGTTGCGGAGCACCACCGAAGAGCCCCTTCAGGCCCCGTGGCGTTGCTTGAACGCGAACGTAGGACGCCGAACTGCATGCCGTACCGACTCCACAAACCACATAGCGGCCGCCTAGCGGGGGTTACGAGAACATCAGTGCTGAGCGTACCGTACAACCGTGCCTACCCCGGAGAAGAATTTTCTGGCCATCTACCTGAGGGCAGATGAGAGGAGTTCGCCTCCTCGTCAAGATAAAGCATACATGATGGGTGGCGTAGTTTACTAGTGCACCACTGCAAGGAACGCGCCGCCTGGAGGTAGGTTATTCAGTCAACCCATGCAGATGACATAGCATCGAGGACTTGGCTAACGTATGGTGTTGACATCCACTCGAAGTTGAGCGCATGGAGTGACCGGTTGAGACTGACCCTGAAGGCGAAAGTAGGGATCCCCTGAACCTCATAAAGATCACAGTTGAGCGTTTGGAACTGAGAATTTGGACTATGCTGGTAGGAGACTGTATTACATAGTAACACGACTTGGGTATCAGATGATTGAGAGGTAATGATGATCACAAACATCATCATGCGCCTTGTCATGAAATACGACCTCAGTGACTTCTGACAGAGGTTCGAGGTCTTGCAGTGTGATGTTGGTCTTGCAGGTCTTGTGTCCACGCTCGAGAACAACCTCCAGTACATCAATGTCGGCACCCCGTGCTTTTCTCTCCAAAAGTATCTCCCTAACCCGAATAACCAGCCGCTTCGTATCCGTTAGGTCTCTCTCCTGTAACAGGGAGATCCTCTTCAAGCTAGGAAGCGCATAGGGCATAGGCACGTCGCCTTCGCTCAGCGTTTCGGGTGTATCATCAGGCTGGAGGATGAAGGTGATATCACGTAGGTCGCTGACACGTAGTTCTGTGACTGCAGTCATGGCGCGGAAGAAAGGAGCAAGGTCTTTGTCGCTCTGGACTTCCGCATATCCGTCAAAATCTAGAATGCGGATGGGGCCGAGAAGTGGATGGAAGGTATGAAGGGGATCGGTAGATCGAAAGCAATCCGTGCCCACAAATGCAAACACTAGGCCGACCGGTGGTTTATCCATAGGTTGGGCATTGAGTTTCAATACGGTTCGAGATGCAGGTTGATCCTCGTGACGACAAGCTTTGACTATGAACATGGTTTCGTGGGGCGGAAGGAGGGCGTGTATATGGCGAACTGTAATTGCTATGTCCTCGGGACCCGCAAGTTCGTCGCAGCCCAAAGCAATGCACTTTATTGAGGGGAGAGTCATGTACTTCAAGAACTTGAGGTCCCACATGTATGCCACCCGGACCTGCAAATCGTACAAAACTGGTAAAGTGACAGCAACAGGATGATTAAGTGACCAACATGGCTTCAAGCCATAGTTGATGTGTAAAGAGTGCAAGCGAGGCATCCCCTGTAGAGCGCATAGGAAATCTTCTGGAAAGACACGAGCCAAGTTGGCAGAATAGGTCTCATCGTCGAGCGATAAGTCTAAAGAAGTGAGGTTGCAGAGGAGGGGGCGAGTCGAGGTTGATGATAAACCCAGATATGGATAAGGATTGCAAACTCGGGACGCCCTCGTAAAGTGCGGTCTTTGAGAAGCGCCATCGCCCCTCATCGTTCCATTCGCCCAGTTCGTTAGGATCGATTCTACTTGAGAGGGTAATAGATTTGAGGCGAGGAGTTGGTATTGCGAACAATGAGTCGAACCACGCTGGTTCGAAGCCCATAATTTCGACTTGCACGAGACGGCTCGCATGGGAGTCGAGTACCATGGACACGGTCCGGAAGTTCGAAGTGAAGCCGCAAGCCCAGAGATACAACGGTGTTGATTTTGACCGCTGGTATTCGAGTTGTTGCAATTGCAACCTTTCTCCAGGTCTGGCATGTATGCGTGGCGGGGAGCCAGTCGTCACACGGTGTGCTCGTGTCAGACCGAGGATAGTCGCCACCCACGAAACCGTCATGATATCTGGGAGCATGAGTGCACTTGGGGGGCCGCGACTCGACATGAGCGCCATGGTGGTCCAACTTGACCAGGGACCTGGGGATGGATTGATCGGAGTGCCTGCCGTGTGGCTGTGTCCGCATACCGGCTTCTTCTTCGACAGTCATCATCTCAGCCAGGATGCCAAACGCGCCGTTTGTTGCAGAGAAAGAACGCGAGGAAGGATTTACACACGTTCTGCTCATCACAACAGGCAGCGTGGCCTCGGTCAAAGCTCCCTTGATCGTTCGGGAGCTCCTTACTGTTCGTCAGCGGCCTATCCGGCAGAAATTGTCAATGTAACGATGGTTGCAGTACAAGCGGATCAAGATCACAGTCGTGGCGACCAAGGCTTCGCTAGCTTTCTACTCCAAGAGTGATATTGAACAAGCTGGCGTCAGTGTTTGGGTGGACGCCGATGAATGGTCGGTGAGTAGTTGTAGGCTCCCGACACGCTTGAGATTCAAGGCTAAACGATATCAACGCAGCCTGGGTACAAAATAGGCGACCCGATTCTTCACATTGAACTGAGACGATGGGCCGACGTCGTCCTAATCGCCCCATGCTCGGCGAATACTCTGGCAAAGATTGCCTCTGGCATGTGCGACAATTTAGCGGTGTGTTTCGATGTATTCTCTTCGCTGCTCCAAAGCTCACATATTTCACCGCAGACATCATTGCTTCGAGCTCTTTCACCAACCACACCGACCTACGTATTTCCTGCGATGAACACACTGATGTATGAACACCCTTTGACTGCAGAACATCTGCGAATCGTTCGGGAGGTAATACGCTATAATGTCGTCGGCCCCATTGGTAAAGCATTGGCGTGCGGTGACATAGGTACGCAAACACCATACAAAGCTTTCGCGCACTTACACTTCCCCAGGCATCGGCGCGATGACGGAATGGAGCGATATCGTACAAATAGTAGTCGATCGCTTTCAGCTAGAACGGAAGGAATGAAGCCATGAAGTGCTTCAATACTTTCTCTCCGGTCCGTTTGCGAGTATCATGCTTCGTTCAAAGAAATCGACGCATATAGCCACGGAGAAGTATCGTCCTTATCAAGGAATAGGTTCAAATTGTTACGTATATGCTGAATGAGGGCTCCGCTCATATGGTCCACACTTGCCTGCACGAGGATGCCGTTCTGAGGACATCATCGAAGGAGCCTAATCCACCGTTCCGAATAGAACTTTCATCGATATCAAAAATATCTCTGCCAGCGTATCCTGTCAATGCTAGGCCTCTCATGTTGCGGATGGTGCAGTGCCTGGCGGTGCGCCAAAGGCAAGGGCAGGATGTTGGGGTTGCCTCGTTGCTACCTTCAATCCAGGAAGTAAATATTGCAACAGGAACGTGTGCCATTGACCGTTGCTCAGATTAGGAGTACGGTGCGTTGCCTTATCTCCGTCAATGGCCTACTGACATCCATTGTTCGCAGACTCCTTGATAGCTCTAATAAAGTGTCGGACAACCCGAATAAATAGTCTAGTGTAGGAAAGCACTTGAACCCATCAGACAAACAATTCCCCTCGCCCAAGCAACCTCAGCTCCCCCTTCAGACCCACGGTTTCTTCGTCTTGATGCCATGAGACTTTCAAGTCGCCACCGCGCGGACTGACTTGTCTCGCCTTTATTTCGCCGCTGCTCGCAATACCGAGCTTTCGAGACCAGTACGGCGTGAGGACGCCATGGGCGGATCCGCATACGTGGTCTTCACCGCCTAGTATCCGTAGGGGTGCGAACATCCGTGAAACGAAGCGAGCGCCGGACGCCTCATTCTTTGGGCCCGCCGTCGTAATGATGTTGATATAGAATCCGGTGGTACGCTGCAAACCAAAACAAGAAACAAGTCCATCAATGCACGATGACTACACACGTCAAGGAAGATACTTACCAACGCAGAGTTGTCAACGACACACCCCTCTAGATCATCTTCAGGTTCGAGTTCGATGAGAACCATGTGCTCGAATCCTTTCCCTCCTTTTCCGATGAATTTGACATGAACTTCTTTCCCCATCGCCTGACTTACTAACCCAGCTACATGTGCCCACTCTGCTTCGGAAACCGGTTCGACGCTACCCGCAGGCAAACGAATCTCATACCATCTCCCATCACCTTTATGCACCTTCAACATCGCCCCCGACACTGCGTGGAATTCCAGCGTGTCGACATCGTCAGAGACCATCCCAGGTGAGCTCCAGATAGCTCCCGCAGCAGCAATGGTTCCATGTCCGCACAAAGGTACTTCTTTTCCTACAGGCGTAAACCAGCGCACATCAAAGACCGCTGTGTTATTGTCGGTTGAGGGTAGTGGCGACGATATGTACGTGATCATCGGTTGCGTGAAGTTGAGAGCAATAACTCCCAACGTCTCGTCGGACGGTTTGGCATCTCCGATGAACAGAGTCGCGGCAGGATTTCCGCCAGATAAAGTGCTCGAGAAAGCGGTGGATAACACGAAAGGAAAGGACTCTGTTGACATGTTGAGTAGTGAAACACGAAAGACAATCTTTCTTAAGTATCATCGTCAGGACGGTACTTTGAGAGATCCGATAACGAGTCATGCAGCCTGGGCGTTGCACGGTTGATAATCCTGTGCGCATTGAGTCACTTTCAAAAGCAAAATCTTCTTTTGAATGTCAGCGATACGGGGACTATCCCCGAAGTTAAATGGGTATACGGGAGCGATTTCAAAGCGGGTTTGGAATTCAGCATCACTGGGAGAAGCAGCCGAGGTTTAAGGAGCGTCGTTTTATGTATTTGGAGACTAAGGGTTACAAGATAACGATGAAATAAAGCAGCCTGCAAGAAAATTACAAGTACACAATGAAGGAGTGAGAGTCACCCTTCTGCTCGGATACTACTAGTTCGGCAAAAAAACGGAGCTCATCTACATCTACAAACCCTCTTCTGATGAATTGTCGTCAAACAACAACACGTACTCGATATTCTCAGTATTGGTCGGGGGACGTTCGTTCGAGAAGTGCGATCGACTGTCTTCCCACACAACCGCCTCATCTTCTTCATCCTCATCGTCGTCGAAGTCAGCGACACTACTGGAAGGCATGCTGATCAAAGATACATCAGAGCCAACAGATCCGGCGTCCGAAGCAACGTCAGTGTTGGTGGATGCGAGCGACACCGTTGCTGAGATAGAAGTAGACGACGGCATTGAAGAAAGGTTTTGCTCGGTTATGGGCATGGTCTGGGCTCCGGCTTCAGATGCCGTCTGAGCCTTACTGGGGACAATAATAGACGACGAAGGCGAAAAATCGGATGTCGACCTTCGACTGGGCTCCTGAACAGTGATACTGCGGAAAAGAATCTTCAGCAACAAGCTCAATCTGATTGACAGGGAAAACTAACTCGATCCAAATGCTGTTTCCGAAGAGACCGCCGTTGCCAGCGCGCAACCTCCAGTAACTGACATATCGTCCTGGGGTATCGGGAGCCTAAAAATACAATGAGCTCAAAGCCAATCATACTAAAAACATACGAACCTTGAGTTCACCAGTGGACAATTCAACTTCTGTGTTCCCTGCAACAAACCCGACTGATTTCGGAGTCAAGGAGCCGCGGGATAGGGTGTCCCCAGCAACGTAAACAAGTTCCGTGTTCTCAGGCCAAGGTTTATCACTGTCATTGAGCATCTTCCAGGTCTTCACGAATTCCGCGCCTGGTGGGAAGACTTGTCCATCGGGAACAGTGATGTCTTCTATAAAAGTAGCATGAAGAACGACTGGAGGTTCGGGGATCGGGGTAGCAATTTTGGGAGCCACTGGGGGAGAGACGCTGGGCGGCAAGATAACCACCGGGGCGACAGGCGGGTTCACAGTAGCATCCTCAGACTTGGGAAGCTTGACGATAGGAGACTTAGGGGTCGCCTCCTTGGGTGGCGAAGGGGCGCGGTGCTGCGTAACGTCTACATTGAGGAGGGCTGCAAGTGAGCTTAACGCATTCGCAGACACGTCGGGAGTTGATAGAACATGACGGGGGACAGTGAAAGGAAGTGGGCGCGACAGTAATGCCTCACCAGTGAGCGGTGACTCGGTAGACACGTTTGGAGTTGACACCTGAGCCCCGTTGTCTGTCTGAAGTGAGAGTAGATGGTTGAATTCTTGGGCGACGCGTGGCCAAAACTCGCGAAGCAAATCACTTCCGTTGTCTAGCGAGAGAGGAGGAAGCCTGAATGTCGAAGAAGAGCCCTCCGAAGGCGCCGAAGCATCGGACGTCTTGTGGTCTGGAGTGGCGCGTCCGGAAGAAGCGTTCGAGGTAACAATGGCAGGCTCTGGAGTACTGATCGCAGGTACTTGAGGGGAGAAGCTGTCCGAGAGCGAAACAGTGACTTCTTCCTGCTGAACGAACTGCGGGATCGGAGGACGCGCGGTCAAGGATGGTGTCGAAGGCGAGAGCGTCGGGTATGCATAAAGAGAAAGACCATCAGCGAAATTATGATTATGGTTAGCGATGAGACCAGGTTCAGGTGAAGCGGCGTTCAAACGAGGCGAGTCAAAGCCCCCAGGGATGCTGAGGGCTGGAGAGCGCGGCGATGGTGGACTCGCAGAGAAGTGAGACCTTTCAGGGGACGAGGGCGCCGAGAATCCTAGAACGGGGTAAGGAGGACAAGGGACCGAAAACGAAGGAGGAAGAGGAATAGGGGATTGCGAAAGCCTGGCACCGGCGGGCATTGGGCGAGGAGATGCAACTTGGTCGTAGTACGAAAGTGCCGGCGATGCTACCCTTGACGGAACGCGAGCCGCGCCGCGGTATACAGTAGGAATGATCGTGTCGACAGACCTCATCTTCAGGAGCGGGTGCGTAGCCGGGTGTACGGGAATTGGCAAGGCCTCGCAGGCTTCACATAGATCAAAGTCAGGGCAGTCAGAATGCATGCACTTGTATCGAATGCCGTTGATGCCATGTTTGCATACTAAAACGTTGTTAGGGTGTGTCGAACGCGCGCATGTATACACTTACTATCGCATGTTGCGAAATGCCTCGCCACCTGGGTGACTTGCCTAGACGATGCGCGTCGCTGTCAAAAACGGATGAGAACAATGGTTATTGTGAACGACGGTTCGCTCACAATGTATTGCTTGGGGTCAGTTATCTTAACGAACGAGTGCTGCGGGTGTTGCTCGTCTGCAATGGCGAAGCAACTGCTGCAAGTATCGAAGTCTACGGAATAATTAGCGACAACGAAAGGCATTTAAGCATTCTCACATACCTGGACAAACGAGACATTTCTGGCGAAAGGAAGGTCAGATGGCGAAGACAGAGAGCTGAACGAAACGCACGTATCGATCACCATGAATGCGAGAGTCGCACATATCACAGTTAGCCGCGTGAACGGGGACCGCTTCGACAACGGGGGGCGATACCGCTGTGGGCGCGGCGGGGGCTGGGGGAGCACGAGTCGAAGGGGTGGGTTCCCTTTCACCCTCGCCGCTGAACACAGTGTGGACGATAACACGGCCCGGTTCCGAGATCTCGAAGAATTCATGGAATGGATTGTGACGTTCAGCGGATCCAGACATGATACATCCCGTGCACAAGTCGTAGTCTACAAGGGGGTTAATGAGTCTGCCAATGTGATTGATTGTGGTGCATACCTGGACAGTCAAGGCATTTATGCCTGACTCCTTCAACAGTGCCATTGCACGCATCGCAGATAATACCTTCGTGAACCACCACCGGAGGAACAGCGGGTGTGTTTGCATCTTGAACCGGAGCGTTAGGCGACGCTGCGGGGGGCGACACACACGGTAAGGCAGGCGCATCTGGGACTAGGCGCGGGCTGGCGACGGATGGACTAGGCGGGACAAATGCCGAGACAGGGGCCGGCGTGTAGATTTGTTCCCATGGCAGTATCGGCTTACCAGGTACGTAAAGACAAGGCGGGGGCGGCGCAGGAGCTAAATTAGGTAGGGGTGGCAGCGTAGAAAAGGCCGAAGATGTTGAAGATGCCGGCTCGGTGACTGGCGGCTGCCATGATCGCAGAGGAGACCATGGTCGAGGACAAGAAGGGCACGTCCTCTTGCTGAAGGAATGCAGGCTATCAGAGCTATACTGGCAGATCATATGTCCATTAGGGAAGGCTGATTGGCAGCCCGTGCACTGAACAGAGTTCAGTACGAGAAAAGCCCCAAGGAAGCGATGTACATACTTGAATGACAGGGCACTTCAGACAAGCGTGCCAAGGCCCTGAAAACCTCTTCATACATGTATCACACCAGTGAGCGATACACGACCAAGATTGATCCAACGAAGTCGTCTGCATCTTCGGTGGAGATATGGGTTGCTGTACTTGAACGGGAGGGCTGCGTGGCACCCCAGCGTTACTCCCATGAGTAGGAGAGGAGCCAAAGGTGGACGTCAAAACGTTGTCGAGATCGGCTTTGAAAGACGTAAGTAGGTCTTCGATTTGTTTCTTGCCATCTACACAGGCACAACGCTGCGGCGAGCTGGCTCGCGGTGCGGGTGGTGGTGGTGGTGGTGGAGCCTGCGGGCTGAGTAGTGCCCCAGGCCGAGGCCGGTATGTTTGCGAAGCTGGCGCAGTGTCCACATCCATGGGAGCTTGGGTGTATGCACGAGGAGGGGAGGAGTATATGATGGGTGGTGGTGGAACCATGAAAGGCATCGGTAGCGGCAGAGGTACATGATTCGGAGCAGGCGAGGTGTTGGGCAAACCAAGACCATAGCCGAGTACGGTAGATACACTGGAATCATTGTCCACAACAGTGTCCGAGGCGCTGTACGCTGACCAGCGCACTGACGATGCAGACGATGCACCAGGAGCCTTGTGAGGCGTTTCTTCGTACACTGCAAACCTCAACAAAGGATTTGACCAAGACTGATGAAGAAAGGGGCCGACACATTGGTCGTAATCGTCCGCTGAGTGAACTTCTTTGGCGATAAGGATACGAGACGCCTGATTTGAGGGAGAGAAGAGTAGTTTCGATAAGTAGTAATTATGGCTTATAGGGAAGACTCGGTAGAGCTGTATATGCCAGTTAAGCGCTGCGCTGTAAAGGGCGAAGCTCCCAACATACCTGGTTACACAACTCCTCAAAGGAAGGAAAGGTATTGACATTCGCAAAGGAAATCTTTCTAGTCTGACCACGATATGTGGCCTTTACGGTGAACATTGTGGAGAATTGGGGATGAGGATGTTCTGAGGCAGAAGGTGGGGTGGGGCGAAGTGCGCTCAGCTGTAGCGCAGCAAGCTTCCATATATAAGCTGCCGACTCGAAATAAGCGCCGTTACTCAGTCACGTCTTTGACGCCCGTGTCACGCCATTCAGGGGTATTGCAGTTTGATTTACTTGCACTCGTTCCTTTCCGTAACTGCTTGAATGTCCTCCCCGCCATCAACATATAAGCTTCTGAGCTGCACCAGATATGATCCCTTTCTTCGTACCCTGAACTGGAACAACGACAGCGATGGCAAACCGTCTCCCTTCTTACTGCTGCGCTTCCACGTTGACCGACTCGTCGACGCTGCGGAACGGCACGCATGGGTAGCGGCAAAGGCTGCGATTTCATTAGACACCGTCAAGGCTGCATGTCAGGAACTAGTGGACAACGTACCTGAATTCGCTTCAAAACCTTTGAAGGTGATTTTGTTTCCGTCCGTAGTCACGATCATTAACATATTCATCATCACAGATTCGGTTGCTCCTTGATGAGGCTGGTCGCTTCAGCGGGGCTGCGACAGTGATAGCTCCCTTGGTGTCTGACCCCCTTATATCCCTGACGTTTGATCCTTCCACTGAAGGCTTGATTTTTGGCCCGATCTACAACATCTACCTCGACACTCAACCTACTCCATCTTCCATCTTCACCTCCACGAAGACTACGGAACGCACCGTCTACGAGGCTTCGCGCGCCCGCAGAACAAAGCAAACAGGGATCATCTCTGACCCACATCCTGACGATATATTGCTTTATAATGATGACGAATTAGTCACGGAGTCAACTATCTGCAATGTTGCTTTGTATCGAGACAATAGATGGCTAACACCGTCTGCATCCACTGGATGTCTCCCTGGTGTGTTCCGACGCTGGCTACTTGAGCTTGGGCGAATACACGAAGATACCTTGGGAGAACTGCATATTTCCTCCGTTAAGGAAGGAGATTGGGTTCTATTATTCAACGGAGTGGCTGGTTGTCGTTTAGGGCGCGTTGTGAAGTCACCTGCTGTCATTTGAATGACGATGCAACTGTACAAGTCGCTTTTGGTAAATAGAAGGGGAGTACGTACATTTACTCGTCGACATCCATCGCCCCATCCACTTGATTATCGAACATCCCATCATCCATCTCTCCCAGTATATAGTCAATCATATAACTCTCCTGCACCAGCTTCTCAATCCTCGCAAGATGCCTTTCCGTGTACGGCACAAGTCCATCAATCAGCTCTTTCAACGCCGAGCCCCCAATAGCCTTCCCTCCCCCAGGCTGCGTGACCAACCCCTCCGTGATGAACGCCTCCTCCTTCATTTCATCTCCGAACGCAGACATCACATCCTCCGCGCTGCGAAGCTTGACAATCGAGTACAGTATCGTCTGCGCGACCTCGCTGCTCTTCGCATTGGCGTTCCACGCCCTGACGAACCGGAGTAATTTTGCGAGATCAGATCCCCCTAAGGTTTTGATCACCTCGTCAACCGAGGAGTGCCCAGTCAAAGGGGATACTGTCTCGGGATCCGAATTAGAGTGGACCTCCTTAAAGAGCTTGTATAATCGTCCCGGCTGTTCCATGATTATCGCAAGCTGAATGGCCTTCCGGTAGTCGTTGAGCGATAGATAGTTCATAAACTCTTGTTCCCTTTGCGGAAGGTTAGTTTAATAATAGATCGCCAAGCGAACCTTACTTACTTCAGAACTTGATCAGTGCGTTTCGCCTCCTTCTCCACCTCCTCTTCCTCCGTGCAGTCCTCCCAGAATGTCACCACAGAGTCTGCCGCCCCCGAAACGATGGTCCTGTCGTCGCTACTGATCGCCAGCGCCCAAACCTATAGCCACAGCGTCAATTCATCCAGATAACAACATACAAGAGACAAACCTTGTCCTCGTGGTTGTCCATCGTCGCAGTACACTCCTCATCCTTGACATTCCACAACTTCACCAGCCCGTCAGACGCCGAGCTAACGAGTTGCATCCCGGCATTGATAAAATCCACCCTGAGCACCGAATTCGTGTGCCCTTCGAAAGTCTTCACGCAAGACCAATCATCCAAACTCCACAACTTGATCGTCTTATCGCCACTCCCCGTCGCGAGCAGTCGTTCGTGGCGACTAAATCGTACGGTCCACACACCACGCTTATGCCCTTTGCAGATTCCCAGCAGCTTCAATTCGCCCCGTGGCGGACGACCTTCGCGACCTGGTATGAACTCGATTTCGAATACCTTCGCCGTGCGATCCTGTGAACCGGATGCCAGGAATCGATTATTCGGCGCGACGTCGAGGGAATTTATGTCTTTGTCGTGAGCTTTGTGAGTGGTCAGACTTTTACAGCGCAGAACCGCAGGCGAGCCGTCGTCGTCGTTATCGTTATCGCTGGGCGTAAACACCTGCGAAATCGGCGTCAAGTCCCACATTTTGATTGTCCTGTCCTGACTGCCAGTAAACATGAAGCGAGGATCTTCGTTGTTGGTAGTGCCTCCCGCTCGCGACATAGACAGAGCACCTATACTCTCCGCATGACCTTCACAAACGCCAACGCATCCGTACACGAAATCCGCTTCGTTAGTAGACGGTTTAGACGGCGCCCATATCCTCGCTGTCCTGTCTTTGCTACCGCTAGCCAGTAGGTTGCCGCTGGAACTTCGGTCCAGACATAGTACGATTTCTGAGTGGCCAGACAGCAGGCGAGCATCGAGAGTCGTATTGTTGTAAACTCGAATCAGTGAGGAATTCGTCGCCAGAGCAATGTGCGTGTCGCGAGCAGATGGTTTAGACGAAGATGTCGACGCCTCTGGGGATAAGAAGCAGGCGTCGACTATTTCGTCGTTGTAGCCGATGCATTGACGAGACAGTGATCGAGTAGTCAGCGAAAAGAAAAGAATATTTTGGTCACCATGAACTGATACAATGGTGGATGTGGATTCAATATACCTTTGGTCCTCATAAGTAGTCAGATGCATGGAGTGGCTGTATAACGTACATAGCGTCTAATATTTGGCGTTGTTCTTCAGCATCTTCACCGTCAACTTGCGGCGTTCCTAAAGTGAATAGAACTTGGCCTTCTTGGGCATCCCAGATTTTGACAATGCCTTGTTGGCCCGCAGTGAAGAACTTCAGTCTCATAGACGAGGATGAAGTCGCTAAACTATCTTCGTCACGCAAAATCCCTACAGCCTCTACCCTTTCCATGATTGGTATCGTTTTGAAGAGGATGGGGCCTTGGGCTTTGTGCTTCCCTTTGTCCTTGCTAGATTTCTTGGTCTCGGATTGCTTCGTCGCCAAATCCCAGATCAACACAACTGAGTCTCTCCCTCCACTGACTAGCCATCTGCCATCCGCGGAGATGTCCAAACCTCTAGGCACTGAGACATGTCCTTCTAGCACCGCTTCAGGTTTAGCACCACCCGCAGAACGAGCCATCAAATCGAATATTCGTATGCGGGTATCGTTGGATGCAGTGATCAATTGAAAGGTTCGATTTTGGGTGACCGAGGAGTTGTCGCGAGGGTAGTTGAATGTGAGTGCGCTGACGACGCCTCCGTGGCCTTTGAAAGCATGGGTTACGTATCCACGAGCTATATCCCAGACCTTAACAACACCGTCTGCCGCGCCAGATGCGAGGTACGTCGACGTAGGATCTATCTTGCAAACATGGACAGGGGAGTCGTGCGCGCGAGCAATTACGCGGATCGGTTGAACGGGCTTTGCGGCGAGATTGTCCTTCGGAATATTATACACTTTCAGCGCTGACGATGTCGTGAACACGACAATGTATTCGGTGGACGGCGAGACACAGAGCGAAAGCACCGATTGTGTGTCCTGTAAATGATATTACGGCAAATATTATGACTGAGAACTCCAAGTAACGCACCCCGGCAAAGCGGCATATCTCATTCCCAGAAGTGACATCTGTGCAGATTACTTCGTCTGCCACAGTCGTAAAGAGTTTGCTGCCATCCACGGAGACCGCGACGGGTCCAGAGGTGTACAAGGGAGTGATCGCCCGGGACTTCTTGAATCTAAAGCCACTTCAGCACTTCAATGGCATTGTACGTATTTTGCACTCACGAAGTTTTGAGCTTCGGCCGTGGCGGAGGGACGGTCATGTTCAGAGAATGGATAATATGGGCGCTTAAGATTTTTTTGGTGATCGGAAATGGGTGGCTGTGCGGGTAATCTACTTTCGAAATCACGCCTAAGTATTAGAGACGAGTGGAATATGGCTTATGCTGCTATGCTACATGAATTATTAGAGTGTGTCCTTCCGTAGCTTCTTTTACATCCCTCCTAAGGGCCCGCTCCCGATTTTCTTGGTTCAAAGGTTGGTCGATCATGCATCATGATCTACTGGGTGATGACAGTGGGTTTGAGTTACGTTTTTGTGATCTCAGCTCTCTGAGACTGTCTTCCAATAGTCGTCTGCGAAGGAGCTCTTCCTCCGCAAGTCGCTCAGCATCCTGCCGTCTCTTGCATTCCTGCTTCAGCTTGTTTTCCGCCGTCCGAAGTGCAGACTTCGCGCGCCAGGCGTCGGCCTGAGCATGGGCCAACTGATCCGACATACGCTGTGATAAGCAGGTTGCTTCGGATGTCTTCTTTCTGAGTTCGATTATTTCTTTACGCATCTGCTCAATCTGTTCGAAGGGGTCGTCGCAGGGTTCAAGAGCGTCCAAGGAGGCTACAGGACTGGAGGCAGCTTGAAGGTCTTCGAGAGGCTCGAGATGATGGACTGGTCGTAGTGTTGGCCTATCAAAAGGGTGGATAACATTCTCTTCCATGGCGGAGTCTTCGTCGTCTGTCAATGGCACCCCCTCGATATTCTCTCGAACTCCGCTCTCGCCCTCTTTCTCTTCTTCCCCTGGCCACGCTGGCTTCGCTCCCGAAGTTCCCCACTCCTTGACACTCGTCATGCATTTAGATATCTCCAAGTCTTCCTTTCGTGGCCGTCCACGTTTCCGAACGGGCGGAGGAGCGCCTCCCGGTCCCTTGGGTCGCCCACGCTTCCGAGGACGTTTCGTACCCGGTGGCGCCTCAAGATTGACCACCCAGTATGAGCCAAAGCCTGGATCAGTGACTGGTCTTGCTTGCCGTTCGAATAGACGGTTGAGAGAAAGATGATGTCGCACAGATTGCTATTTCATGGTGAGTATTGTATGGGATTGGTTATGAAGCCAAATGACATACCTTCCACGTCGGACCAGCTGTCTTGTAATAAGGGTATTTATTCTCCATGGCCGCGTATATTTCCCTTATTGTGAGCCGTTGCTTCGGACTGCCTAGAATAGCGCATCGCAGAATGACTGGCAAGGTATGCGGAGGTCGATCATCCGTATCCTGCAAACAATCCAACGTATTGGGGCAATCGGGATGTAGTTCATGGTCAATTGTATGATCCCTCGTGTAGTAGCTGCTGGGGCCTTCCTCTGGGACGGACTCGGTGAATGCATCTGACGGGCCATCACTTTCGTCATTATATTGGCTATGAAAAGGTCAGTACGCGCCTCATCCCTCGGAAAGAAGAAGTTACGCACCTGCTTTCTTGCGCCCTGCTGTAGTCTGGATTCAGGAGATTCGAGAGGCTGGCCATGGGAGCAGTGGGCAAAGCGCGTTTCGCTGAAGACAGTCATTTTATAAGGACCATTGTTCGTCTAAAATGGAATACATCATTACATAACATTCGATCGCCAGGGTCCACATTACAGACGGAGGTACTCTAAGTTTCGTTCAAATACTCTAAATCGAAAGCTTGTAATACATAAAGGAGGAATCTACACTTCACTTACTCAAGGCCCTGCGTAACACGAGATAGATAGCATCTGGAAATATTTACAAGCCCGGATAGAATCGATATGGAGGATTTTCAGTGTCATTCATCAGCCATCCCGTCGAAGGAGTATTTTGCGGCTGAGGGACATTATGGGGGTAGGCAATGGCTTGATTACCGACGTCATTGGTCGATGGACCTGCCCCAGGTGGCATTGCTTCGTTGGTACGGGGCCACCATTCATACCCAGGATAAAAAGAGGTAGAGGCCTCGATGCCAGGAATGTCAAGTCCCAGCATGTGGGCCATGATGCGCATGTTGAGATCTTGTACACCATTCACAGCAGCTGGGTCGAAAGAAGAAGGTGCCTCTGGTGTACTTTCTTGAGCGAACGCATCCTCCGCTAAGCGTTTGTTTCTTGCCATATTTTGTGGGGGCATGGTGTGTACTTTGTCGAAACCGAGTTTCACATTATTGAGCAAATCCCAAGCACGGCTTGCGCTCGGCCACACAATCTGGAATAGATGTCAGAGAAGAAGATAGCGACGAGTGTAGCGTCGCCTCGTACCGCCATATCTTCCAAAGCACTCAGACATTGTTGAAGTCCCAATGTCGCCTGAGGGTTCGATGATCGAAGCGTCACTGACAATTTATGGTAAGTCTGGAATATAACTCGGAAGGTGAGTACATACATGTCAAGATGTGCATTACGCTGAACGTTAGATAGTTTGTGGTTGTAAGCACTCAAAAACATAAGCACGAAAACGATTCGCTTACCCTGCGTTTAATAGATACGACGTTAAGAAAGGGGATGTTCGCTTCATGGTAAAGGTCTCGCGGAAAGATGTAACTGAATTATATGAGCAGGTACTCGTGAATGCGTGCCGAATTCACTCACTAATTGTACTGATATGACTAGCTGCACTTTGTGCAAGGTCGAAGGCTTTCAGTTCCTGCGTCGAGCTATGCATATCTGGCCCAGTACTAGTACGAAGGTCAGCACGCATAGAATCTGCTCGTCGCGAAAGGACACCGTACGTGCTCCAATTGGGGATACTGAAGAAGAAACCTCTTTGAGCATGATCGTCATGTTGAAGCGCTATTCCACTTACAATGCTCGCTGCAGCAAAAGCACTGCGCCCCAATAACGCACGTGCAGTGTAATAATATGCGGTGGTTGAGTAATCCGCTTATTCGAAGGATCATACCGGAGAGGCTGGGGCAGCTGCAAATACCACTGAGCGAGCCGCGCTTCCAACCCGGAATGCGCGTCCATTTGTGGACCGGTGCGGACAGGGTACACCTGCCCGATCAAATCGCCAACAATAACGGCTAGTAATGGAACAAGGTCAGTACAGGGACATGGAATTCTTGAAGAACAAGGGGGCAAAGGGAATCATCTTACACAGCGTGGCATTGGCGAGGAAGCAGTCGGAGTAGAAGCCAGGACACGGAGGAATATTGGGCTTAATGACCTCAAACTGTGGGGGCTCCCAAATGATGCGGTCCTCAGCCTGGCATTGTATAGGAGGTTAAAGCCGTTGGGGTGGGCAATGATGAATAATACCTCGTCAACGTCCGGTAATGGGACATCGTAATCACTTGCATGGATAGCCACCGGTCGCCCTGCCCGTTGTGTGAGTATTGCTGTGAAACGAAGCAAAGCGAAGTGATGCCCACCCATATACACTGATCCATACCTACACTAAGATCAGTAATGAGATAATCGGCGGAAGTAACAAACTTACACATCAGCAAGACAACAAGTCCACCATATGTGCCGTCTCGTCTGAGTTTCCTCGGGGGTCAGCAAATCACGACCGTTTCTCCTCCATTTTCCGGAATCACAATTCAGACCCAAGTCTGTGGCCTACGATCTCCGCAGTCGATCCTCAAGCAAAGATTGACATAGATGATCAAACGCACCATACGAATACCCATGCCTATGTCAAGATTAGTTACGGTATGTAGACGATCTCCTCAGAAGGACAAACCAAGAAAGATCCAAGCCTGTTCCATGGAGCCTGTAGAAATGAAACGTCAACGACTGAATACGGCTGGGCTGGAATTTTTCGTACCGATCCCAAATTCTCGGTAGCCAAGGAGGAGCAGAGCCTGGACAGTTGGCGACCGCGAACGATGGTAAACCTGGTCTACAGCTCGATAAGTCCAACGCAACTAAAGGAAATGCGACGATCATACTTAATATCTTTCGCGCACTGTCAAGATATTCACAACCCTCCTCCCACATCACACCCCGGGCAGTCGTTTGGTTTCTGTCGCAGGTGAAACGGGCAGAGATAGCAAAAATAGCAAGGAGGAGTAGCTTCGACACTTTCTGAGAGAAGTCGGGCTTGGTGGGGTTCGTGGTAGAGCTTGGGCTATTCCTTGATGTCTCGAGTAATCTGTTTTCCAACAATGATGAGGGTGATATGTTCGTGCGTATTCTGATCTACACTCACATGTGCTTGCTACGGAATTTACCGCCTCGTTTAGCGAACGGAGAACGGAAAACAGAGAAACATAAGCAGCAGAAATGATGACTTACTTTAGTTCATACTCTTCCATAAATCGTATTCGATGCAGAACCGGGAAGAGGGGGTGGATGTATGTAAAGTATAACTCAATGAGCCGATCCTGGACTTCGATTGGGGGGAGCCTAACGTCAACGTCCTCCTCGTGCCCAAAGTACAAGTTCGCATTTTGGGACGGAGGCCACATTCGCGCCATGGGCATTTTCCTAATGATTCTGAGTTAGTCATATGATGGTTAAGCAGAAAACTAATCCCCAACCAGATGCCCCCCTCATTTCTATTATCGGTTCTATCGGTCCGACTCAAAAGGTGGAGACCACTAGCTTTGCCGTGATATCGAAGCTGTTAGCAGATGGTGTAAAAAATAAGGAAGGCACCAATAAACCGGAACAAACCTCCTGATCTTCATCAAGGGAGAGTTGACCCATAGCATCTGTTGGTTCATAGCTACTAGCTGAAAGGAGGTCACGTCGTAGGAACGGAATGGCTGGCACAGAGGATACTTACTAGACTCTTGGGTAGACATTGGTGACTGCGCTTGCTGTGCCATAATATCTAATGTTCCCTCGTCTAAACGGCGGCGTTGGGAATGTGGAACTCCGTATGTGTCGAGAGAAGCACCGGGGGAGACAGGGCTGCCGTACGCATCGGGATGGGGATGTGTTGAACCTAACCGCAACGCAAGTTTGTCTTGCCAGTCGAGCGTCGGAACAACGGAAAGATCATGGTCTGCGGGCACCCTAAGGGTCCGAAGCTATCAATCAGGAAGCAATGTCTGCTTACCTTGTGTAGAGGACACAATTTCCCTCGAAACTCGTGACTGTCTCCGTGTCCTCGACGCATCCCCGCCCGACCCCTGGCTACTCTTCATAATCGTAGCAAAGAAATCCTCCTTAGTGGACTTTTGCGTCGTATGCTGTCTCCCAGAAGGCCCCTGACGTCCGAAATCCACGGTTAAGGTACAGATCAAAATTCGCGAAGCCAAAACCAACGTACATACGGTCCTGTGTCAACCCTATCAAGAATTGCACTGGCGAGGTTATCCCTCCGTAGGTCTTGTATCACGCTTTGTACTCGGGGGTCGTTGCATTGCAACAGCGCGCCGATTAGACATTCCACTTGATGCCATCGCTGCTCGATAGCATGAATATAGCCCTTCGGAGGGCCTCTTTTGTAACTTGGACCTAGTGTTGCAAGTTGTGAACGAATGAGCAACCGAATAGTATTGCACGAGCGAGATGTACCTAAGAAAGTGCAAGCTTCACGAAACGACGTGAGCCCAAATCAACTATCATGAGCACGCCAGACAGTTACCTGTGCCGCTCGCAAGACAACTCTTGCATGGTAGAGCTTCCCCGTCAGGTCGCTCGCACTTGCTCTTTGTTTTCCTGCATTGATCACAAGCTGTTTGGCAAGCATCCCATTAAAATTGCAGCTTCTTGTGAAGGCGGGAATTGCTGTACCTCTACTGCTGCGTTTCCTGGAGCCTGGCTGGGGGTCCTGATAACCCTCGTCGTCTGAGCCGTCCGTATCGCGAAGCATGGATGGAAGTTCTGTGTTAGGAGTCACTCATCAAACTCAGCCAGTAAACATATAAAGATTGCATCACGTGGTGTCAATAACCATAGATGAGATGACGACAGAAAGTAGAGTTCTGTAGCTAAATAGCATTCGGTAACATGGCCGACCACCCTTCTTTACACAAACTCCACCACATGTGCACAGCCCTCAGCCCGCGGCAAAAGTTCAAAAAATCTAGATTGGACTTTGACGGCTCAGTATCATTTCAGCGGGCTGAACTTGAGGGGAACGAGGATGAACGAGTCCATGAATTTCGCAAGTTGTGCGGTCTACGGAACGTTCAGCAAATATATCGGGAGTATACGCTCAAAGGGGACCCACCTTGGACACTGTATCGGCCCAGCCATCGATTTGCCAAGCCTCTTCACGCATTTCCTTCCGCTTCTGGAGAGAACTAGCAGGTAGAAGATCAGCCGCGGCGTGAGTGGTATATCATTGTGGGCGCGTACGGATATTGCCACATGTGATGGACTTGATGAAGACGACCGACCTGGGAGAACCAAGCTCCCACCGGGGCCACGAACTTCTTCCTGGCCTCAATGCCCTTTCGCCTAAGAATAACATACATTAGAGCCAACCCGCCAGGCATCGAAGCATTCGTAGATGCACCATGTGTTCTCCCATTCCAAAAGTGTTCCGGGTTTGAGCTGGTATGACCTCAGTTCGAAGACACCGCCCTTCTCTTGGGGCGGAGTTGTGGGGAAGAAAGCGAATTCTTGGGTGAGTTGCGAGGCACGAGAGTTAAGGTGAGGAAGCATGGCCTGGTATGCCTTGCGGTGCTAATTCGCGGAGTTGAGTGTGAAGTGGGGCGGATCGGTGATAACGTAGCAGACACGTACGTCTGTCGACTGTATGGCTTCGTACGCTTTGTCGTATCCACCGTAGTGTTCGTACTCTAGGATGTGCACGAATGTGTCTTGCTCTCCGATGACAGTTTCCCAGCTGCCGGTGAGTTTAACCTTGAGTGGAGAATCGGCCACGATGCCGGTGTAGTACGCCTCGCTACTCAAATGTTAGTACCCCCTAGAGATTGAGGCAAGGAGATACTAACGCCGCTTTCTTGTATTCCTCTACGCGGTCCGGCTTGACGCGATGAGCTTTGCAGTCGTCAACTCTAGTCCTTGACAACATGAGGCAAAGTGCTCACTTTCAAAGGAGTGTATGTATTTTCCCCTTCCGACAAGTCGCGAGTGCTGAAGAATCTCTAGCTCTCCAGCCCGCTTTGCCTCCGGGGACCCATGCAGCAATGACTGGAACTTTTGTCTGTCAAGTGCTAACGCCGGTGAGCTCGATGAGGAAGGCACCTGCACAGATATGGCTCTTGTAAAATTTGGGAAGACTTGCTTCTGAACTGCTGATTTTGAGAGCGCAGTGAGGAGAGACATGGTGAGGGTATACGGGAAGGTGGTGGTTCAGAACGAAGGCGCACGACCGACTCTTCCCTGCAAGGCAACCAACGTGATCGGCTTCAGAGCGCGCTTAGTGACGTAAGCGGGGAATCTCAACTTTCTAAGATAGTCCACCGATCAGTTATTGTGGCCTTAGAAAGGTCGGTTGCTCTGTAAATTTTGTACAGAGAGCAGGTGGCGAGCGTTGATCTCATCTAAGGGAATATTTTAGGTGAAACACGGCGGGATTGTCCCCGACCTCCGCCATCGACCTCCACGGGAAGCATAACAGCAACAACAACTGGTCGATGCGTTGCCAATGCGTTGCTTGGCGGGTGATTGCCTTTTGTCATGAATGAGAAGTCTTCAAGCTGCCGTATTCGTTATCCGCACATGTATAAAGACATGGTACCTCATGCCCGTGTTCAAGCTGCTCATCAATGCATCATACAGTCTAGTCGGGAATAGAAGGTCGATTTCGAATTGATGGGATGATCTTCCGCGCGCAGAGTGAGGTTGATGATGTCCACGCGGGTCGCTGCACCAGGAGGGAAACAAGTACAAGAAAAGAGCGAATAGCGCCATGGCATTCATACAAAATCAGTCCATTCTTCCTTTAAGCGTGCGAGTTATTATCTTATCCTTGGTGCTGTACACAAGTTTAGTGATCACCAGTAAATCAGGCAGAGAATCACTCACATTACGTGCACGACGCAGCCCCAACCAGAGTATGCATCGCGATCAACCGCGTTCATTAGAGTCTGCGAAATCGTCTCGAAGAGATCTTCTGGCTCCAAATCCGGCTCCCATAGTCCTTCGGCAACACCAAACAATTTTGAACTAGCTGTCCCCGCTACCACAAAGTCCTTGGCAAAGTTGAGGCATCCGATGAGATCTGTAGCTGCAATGAATGGCTTGAAGCCGCCTGAGGGTGTTTGGGATAGGCCGGCTATCACTGGTTCAATGAAGTACGGGCCGAACCGTCGCTCGTAGAGGGTCGAGGAGACCAGATGCGCGAACGTTTCAGGCTGAATTTCCCGTTCCTCCTTGATGGTGTACATGTTCACTCTGAACCGAAATAATTCTTGTCTGGGAACCCGTTCAATGAATCCGCCTGGGGACGATCATATGTACCGAACTCACAATGTCGTTACATCGGTGGCCAGTCCTGGAAGGCCGAGGTAGATACGATCTGTTACAGGGAATATCTGGCAGAAAAGTCAGCAGTGAACCAGCCAGTCAAGTACAAGGATTACCTTTTGGAAATTCGACGAGATGCCCAAAGCCTGATTCCCAAGGCGCAGGTCAGATGCGATAGCAACGCATTCCTTTCCGACCATGGCTATAACGGAGCCACCGTTGTATTCCATAATCGACTGATTTCAGGGCTTCAGAGTCGTGCAAATGCGCACCAGAAGCCGTTCTGCTCACCATTGTGGACGCTGCGCTGGTTGTGGTTTACTCGAAGGCGATGTTGTACGCGTCAGTGTCTGAAGCAGGATACAGTACTTGATCGTGACAGCACGCGTAAGTGTGACAATCGTGTGACAAACTCGCTTTCTCAGAAACTCCACTCGGTCAGTCGGTGCACGCATGCCTGGTTTGGCTCAGCTCACGCCGCTCAGAGGAGGAACCCCCAATGCCCATGTTTTCTATCCCCGTGTGAAGGATCGAACTCGTTTGGCCTGACAGCTCTTGCTTCTCTACCACCATGATCCGACATCCAAGGTTTGCCTTGGAATTGGGCAATATCGCTCGGAGGGCTTCCAGAACGCCCTCACGTTATCATTCTGCAGCACAAGTCAAGGTATACATAGCGTCTCTTGTGGCAGAACCTCTTACGCATGGAATTCCAGGCGAAGATCGCTCAGATTGACGCCGAGAAGGGTGTCGCTCCAGCTCTGGTAGACAGGTTCGAGCGGGAACACGACTACCTGCGGATTTCTTTGACCGAACGCTGTAATTTGCGATGTGGGTCCGTATTTTATTTCAGTGTGGCGCCGTAATGTGACCCATTGAAGGTTTCTATTGCATGCCTGAAGAAGGCGTGGAATTGTCACCATCCGGCCACATTTTGACAAATGACGAAGTGGTCCGACTGGCCAGGCTATTCGTGAAAAGCGGGGTTACTAAAATACGCTTGACTGGCGGCGAACCTACTATTAGGAAAGGGATTTCTGACATTATACGTGAGGATCTTTCCAGTCAATCTAGACAATGACAGACCCCGCCCACATGTTTTCAGGGGAACTGAATCAACTACGACCATATGGCCTCAGATCAATAGCCTTGACCTCCAATGGGATTGTACTCCACAGGCAACTTGAACAGTTCGTTCAGCACGGATTGACGCACCTCAATATAAGGTTCGGCACTTTGCGTTCAATACGAACTGCCGACATATTTGATCGTTGATTGTCAGTTTGGATACTCTTGACCCTCTCAAGTTCGAACTTATGACAAGACGGAGGGGACATGCAGCCGTGTTGCGAACATTGGACCTGGCGTTAAACTCCCCTTCGCCGCTGTCGGTCAAGTTAAACGCTGTGATAATCAAAGGACTCAACGACGCTGAAGTCTTGGATTTCGTGGCATTGACCAAGGATAATGATTTGTCCGTTCGATTCATCGAATTTATGCCCTTTGCGGGTATGTTTCAATCGCCCCACCTGTAACGCATGATGGTTCTAACCAAAGATACGCGGTCCAGGGAATAAATGGGATAAGTCGAAAATGGTACCGTCATCGGAACTTTTGTCGCGAATATCACGACAATACCCTGATCTCGTGCGAGCCCCCGATGAGCTGAACGATACAGCTCGCTCTTGGAAAATCCCGGGGCACAAAGGCAGCTTCGGCTTCATCAGCAGTATGTCTGATCATTTCTGTGCCAGCTGCAACCGCCTTCGCATCACCGCGGATGGTCAGATCAAGGTAAGTCGCGCTGTTGGTTCCTAGTAGCCGAGCTAATCCGTGCTTTCCGCCCACAGGTCTGCCTCTTTGACGCAAAGGAGGTATCCTTGAGAGACCACATGCGTAACGGCGCCTCGGACGACGACCTTCTGGAAACTATCGGCCGGGCGGTGTTCAACAAACAGGAGAAGCATGCGGGAATGGAGGACATAGATGTCTTGACCAACCGGCCAATGATTCTGATAGGGGGTTGAGTACTTCGTACATCATGATTATCATATATTTGTTCATATCTACTCGCTATTCCTACAGGTTCCATCACGATCCACCCCCGCCGACATGTAAGGACTAGTCTACGACACCCAGTGGCTTCCCAGCTGCGATATTATGGTACTAGTGCCAAACTGACACATCTGGATGACAAGGGAAGACCATCCATGGTTGATGTACACAGTAAGAAACCCTCTCGTCGCGAAGCCACCGCAACAGGCCGGATATACATTCCGCCACTCGCTTACCACCTCATCACCACTACTCGGCAAGACGATAACGGAACCGATCACCCTGATTATGCGAAGGCAAGGAGTAAAGGTGACGCCCTGACAGTCGCACAGCTGGCAGCCATCATGGGGTGCAAGAAAACGCCCGACCTCATCCCTCTCTGCCATCCGCTGCCACTTTCTCATATATCGGTGACTTTGTTACCCCAGCCGCCCGAACAAGCGCGTAACAATGATGGAGACATATCCCGACCTCATCGCCAGCCACATAGACACAGCGTGCTATGTACTGCAACCGTATCTTGTGAAGGGAAGACTGGAGTCGAAATGGAGGCACTGACGGCCGTCTCTGTAGGACTTTTGACGGTGTGGGATATGCTGAAGGCCGTAGCAGGTAAAGAAATGGAGATTGGCGAGATCATCGTAACAAAAAAGTCAGGTGGAAAGAGCGGTGACTTCGCACGGAACCTCTAGCTCGTATTATAGACGTATACTTGTTAGGATACTAATGTTTAACTTAGATGTAGACAATATCGGCATCGCGCATGGTACCAGTGTGCCTTCATTGATGCCTTCTGAAACATCACCAACGCCCTGTGATGGCGACGTCGAATCCAACCTCTAGCCAATCCTCGCGATCGTCTTTACTCTTTGCTTGATCTCCGATGCCGGAAAATCCCACTCTATCGTAAACGCGCCTCGCAGAATTGTTCTTGCCGACGTATAGCACGACGCTCTCTCTGCGAATCGAAAATAAACTATAAACGTCGCCAATCAGGCTGAAAGATATTTATGGGATTAACTGGTCAACTTACTGCTGGACCACATGGCGCACCAAGCGCTCTGCGAAGCCCTTGCTTCTGAAGGCTTTCGAAGTATAGACTTTGCTGATGACGGATGCGTGGTGGGAATGGCGAGCTGCAGCGCAGATGCATGCGATCACACCGCTGGAAGCCTCGTAAACCCAAACTTGCTGAGCTTTGATGAGCTCTTGTGCTTCCAATCTCGAGTCTTCCGCGCTGAATTCATAGGGAGCCTGAGAAGAAGATCGATGAGGCGAGTGAATCTTTGGATAGGTGGATCTCGTTACTGACCGACTCCTCATCAGCAAACCTATTGCAAAGCTCCGAAACACTGTCTAAATCTCCCATTGTAGCCAGTCTTGTCTTGTGCCCTTGGGGCAATGGCAGCATGGACCTTCCTTGACGCATGGTGTCCTTCGTGCACCGCGCAAGATACGCGTCATAATGAGGTTTGACGAGCATGCGTATCCCAGTGGCTTCAGACCACTTGGCGGTGAATATACGGGTGATATCTGCGGGCCCGAAAACAGAGAACACGCGCTTGTCTGGTACACGCTTCCTCAGAAACTCGACAAGGCTAGATGTTGCATCGCTCCTGTGCTCCGCCTTTGGAGGGGCCCAAAGGAAAATGGGATAATCTCCCAGAAGCCAGCTGCCGCACATCAAAATCAGCTCGAGGGCACTCCGCGACGTTGTTGGGGACGTCGACCAAACCGTTAACCAAAAGTCTCGCGGTCTTGGTTCGTTGATGCGTTTCTGAGCGTGGGCTAAGATGACGATGGCGGAGGTTTCGTATTGGAGAGTGAGTGAAGGTGACACGGCGAAAAGGAAGTCGCTTGGGTTGTCGTGGTGGCATATGGAGACTGACCTCGAGTCGTTGGTCGGTACAGAAACCTGAGAGTGGGAGCCAGAGGTTGAAGTAGGCATTGTAGAGTCTGGACGCTCAGGGAATGATAGATTATTCCATGGGACTTGGATGCTTTATAGTGACCATAAGACAATCCCCGACGGTCGAAAATCCTGCAAGATCCCGATATCGAGTCAGCGTTTCACCATTTCGTTGCTTGCGGTATCCGCGATATTACCAACAATGAAATGGTGCATACACAGGTTGATCGGCTAGATCTCGATCTGAGGAAAATGGTTGAATATTAAATACAGTCAACTGGTGGACAACTGTCAGCATAAAATTAGAAATGCGGGCTCGTCTCGTATGTTTGGGGAATGGCCGAAGAGTGATGGTTCGAAACTATGGTGGTTCAGTTCAGTCCACCTTGAGAAAAGGAGATATCGGCAAGGACGTACACAGGATGATCAGGGTCGTTCCCGCTTTGGCTTCATACTCAAGCAGCTTTGGGGTGTGATCTGTTGTTCGCCAGTCGACGACAACCAGGGCGGCGGATCAGTTTCAGCAACGAAAGAATGGTCCATTGTACTCTCCATTGATTCCCGCAGCCGCAGGGTATACCCAGAAGGGTCGGAAACTCGATCGCTGATACGCTCCATCAAGAGCTATCGTATCACATATAGACTTTGCAGGATACTAAGCTCGTGCGTCGTGCTATGCGGCTGCGACAGGGTCATTCCGTGATGAGGCTAGCCCGGCGTTGGCACCGCCCTTTGAGTGGCACCGAGGCTCATTGAATTGCGTTTGTCTCCTATCAGCCTGTCTGACACGCATATACTAATCCTCTTGCTGAACAAAGGCAGGTAGGCTCTCTGCCGTAATGTCTGGGTCCACCAATCGAGCTACCTCCTTCGACTGCGAAGATGCATTTAGCCACGCCACTGAGGTCACCTGTGAAGTAATGATGAGAAATCTACATACATCGACCACTTTAATGATGGTGGGGATAGAGGTGACATTGAATGGAGCACCGCGATATTTGTTGCCCGAATCCTTCCAGCTGTATGTACAGAAAAGCGGTTCGTTTTCGTTACATTCACGGCCAACTGATGGTATTGATGAGCTGCGACATACGTTGCTCTATCTCCGACGTAGATGACAATGCCATGAGGGGCATCCTCTGACGAGAAGGTTGCCTTGATCAGTTCATCCACCACACGGCAATCCTACCATCATCAAAGAATCATCAACTGCGGTGTGCCAAAAGCTACAAATTTCATACCGGGCACCAAAGTTGTCCGTCGACGATTGATGAGTAGAATATCAGGAATCTGTTTCCGGTGTTTTCCAGGAGACTTGAGGGATCGGGAAAGTCTTTGCTGTCCAAAGGCATTTCGCAAATGTAATGATAGTGATGTGGGTCCAAGGAGGTCCATGTTAATCGGTGCGGACGAGAATCGCGGAGCGCCGAATTCTACTTTTACTTCCAGCTACGATGGTGTCACACAAACCAAAGATGATGCGAAAGAAAAATCTATATGATGATTGCTACCATTACACGGTGCTCATGTCGGCGTTTTTCAGCAGCATTCCATTCACCGCAAAGCCCAAAGTAAAATACTGTAATGACCAACTACGGTGTGTATGTGCGAAACGAGCAGGAATCGACCCAGGAACCTGTCGCGGAAGAAAGGTGGGGGAAGCTTGAAAAACGTATTAAGGACATCAACGAATATAGTGAAGCGGCGAATAATTCAGCAAGAAAACAATAGATAAAAAGGTCTGTCCCTCTCTGTCCGTGATCAGATCAATGTGTATGTGCAACGAAGGGAATATCTACAAGCAACGACGTGAATGGATGCGTGACTGCGTGAGGGTATTTAAGCCGAAATGCTGAGCGTTTAGTAGCTGCCTGATGAACCGTAAGAGCTTCCTGACGAGCTTCCGTAGGAGCTGCCAGAGGAACCGTAGGAGCTACCAGATGAACCGTAGGAGCTACCAGATGAGCTTCCGTAAGAGCTGCCGGAGGAACCGTACGAGTTCCACGAGCTACCCGTGGCTTGAGCAGCGGCTGTGGCGATGGACTCCGACGGTGCAGCCCAGGAAGAGCTTGGGGCTGGAGCGGAGGCATATGTGTTCCAGCTGTTGCTGTTGCCCTGTGTCAAGCCCCAGCTGGACTTGCACCTGCCCAAGCAGTCAGAAAGAGCGGTCTGGAGGACAGTTTCGGTAGCAGTGGCAGTTTCCGTCGAGGTAGCTGTCGCGGTGGAGATCAAAGTGGTCAAGAGCGTGCGATCCTCAACCATGGTGGAAGTGATGGTGTTCAAGACAGTCTTGGTCTACGGATGGTAAAAGTTAGTCCTGTTGCACGTTTCTGATGCGGAATCTGATGCTTACGTTGTCCTTAACCTCAGTCTTAACCCATACGGATGTGAAGGTAGTGGGCTTGACGTAGGTGCTGACTTGTGTAACGGTCTTGAAATCGGTGACGGTGTCGGTCTTAGTAGCCGTCTCGACAGAAGTGATCTTGTCCGTTACAGTGGCCGTTTGCGTCTCCAACAAGGTCTTAGTGTTGTCAATGACCTTGGTCTTCACCCAGACGCTGGTGAAAGTCGTAGGTTGAACGATTGTCCTGAGTTCGGTTTTGGTGACGAAGTCGGTTTGAGTCTCCTTGAGGGTCTCAGTCGCGGTATCGGTACGGGTAGCGGTCTGAGTATAGACGTTGACTTGCGTCTTGGTCTCCGTGGCGGTCAAAGTGTGTTCGAGAACCTTGGTTCGGTCGATGATCTCCGTAGAGACCCAAACACGCGTTGTGGGGACAACTTCAGTCGAAGTGACAACCTGGGTGACGGATCGGATGTCGGTCTGCACGCGAGTCTGGACCTCCGTTTCGTGCTTCGTGACAGTTGTAGGAACAACTTTCGTCTCGGTTTTAACAACCGTGGCAGTCGCGGTGACGGTGTTGTGGACAGTGACGGTGTGGACGTAGTTGTTGCAGTACTGGCCCCACTTGTTTCCGTTGTTGATGATGATAGTGGCATAACATCCCTGGATTGATGGTTGGTACTAGGGGAAAGATGTAAATCAGAGATCAAAGATGGGCTAGATTGCAGGCGTACCCATGACTCAGGCATACAGTACCCCTGCGAATTCCTGGAGTGACCGTAACCACAGTCGAGGTTCTGGTATCCTCCGCTCTGGTACTGCGAGTAGGGCATGATCTGGTAGAAATCTTGGGCAGGAGGGCCCGCGGGTGCGGGTGTTGGGGCTGGTGGGCCAGAAGCGCCGTAGTTAACATCAGCAGGGCCTGATGCCGGGGTGCCCGTGGGGGCCACCTCGGAGGTGCTGGCGACCGGTTCCGAAGCAGAGGCAGCAGAAGAGCTGGCCTCGACCGAGACCATGGACACACCATTGACTATCTGAGCCGCAGCCGCGCCAACGAGGGAAAGACCGAAAAATATTGACTTCATGATGAAAAGAGAGTGACTGTGCAGCTGCAATATAAAGAATTGATGCTAATACGAAGGTCGAAGCGAAGTCGAAGGGGCTGTAGCGGTCGACGCTGTACTGGCTTGCAGTAGAATAGAGATTGGAGGGCGGGCCTGTAAGATGGGGCAAACGCTGCAAGTTGTGAGTGAGTACGAGGAGGAGCAGGGGCGTCGGAGCACATACCTCACCGCCAAAAAAAGAGGGAAGGGGTGAAGAAACGAAGAAAAGGAGAACGAAGGAAGGGAAGAGGGTGAAGAAGTGAAGGCGGTCGGCATGTCAGGTATTTGAGGAGATGGACGGTGTCACAGCGAAAGTGATGATCCAATCGCGATCGAGAGTCCCTCACAACCACGGCCTGTCACATCACTCCCTCATCAATTCTCCCACGCTGGTCATCTCGGTGTGATGCGTCTCCAGGCAAACTCATGCTCGTCCATTCTGTTCCTGTTGTGTGTCCGTTACTTTGGTTCTGCCTCAGAAGGTGCTGATTGGCTTGTATTTCCAGACTCTGCCAACCACATCACTGATCTATCATTCTCACTCCCAACACAGCGCTTTCTACGCTACCCCCGGCCGTGCTTTCGAAACAGGGCCTGATACGGCGCTGACAGACCCAGACGCCGCCGCTGCCCTCCTTCCAAAGTCCCCGTGCACGTCCAGCAGTATCTTCAGTGCATTCCGGGCCCGGATGCGCGACATGTCGTCCTTCTGAGACGTTAGCGCAGTCTGAACTTGCAGTGGTTTCTCGGCCCATGGATACTATTAAAGTTCCTGTCAATCTTCGGGGTTGATATCACAGGCGGAAAATGGCTCACCGGCATTACCTCCACGAGGCGGCGACCGAATCAGCTTTTGGTTAATTACAAGCTCTAGCGAAACACTCACATCCTTCAATACCTCGTAGCCGAGCAAGGTAAATCCAAATTGTGGACTGCTACGGATGACGCGCGCTGGGCCACCCTTGAACAACGCTCGGAATCCCTCTTCGCGATCTGTGCAGAGGCGGGGCGGGTGTATGATTTAGCAACATAAAACGTCTTGTCCAAACACAGCTTCCAGCCACTCACAGATTCTGACAAATGCGTCTCGAAGACCCTGATAATTCGCTTGACCCTTGCGTGCTTCGACCTGTAATCGAGTCTTCACGACATCTAGAAAAATCATCAGCACACTCAGAATGCTATGTATTTATAAATCACTGAAACATGCCTACCTGCTGGGGTAGTAAGGTATGCGGCTGGCATTCCTCTAGATACTCTGTCAATCAGTAATTCATTCGGAAGATCGGAGACCGACGCACGCAATGGCCGCCGATGCTAGTGTCTCCACGAAGGACAGCTTCTTTCCGTTGTATCCCTCCTGGAAGACATCCTTTTTCAAATGCCAGTACGCGGGGAAATATATCGCAGAGAATGGTATGTCTCGGAGCAAGCAGGCGCTCGCTCCCTTGTAAAGCCCGAAGATACCTAGTTGTCGAATAATGTGGACTGCGCCCCTCGGTACGATACCTTCGGCTTTAGCAGCCTCACCCTGGACCTGTAAGCGAATCTTTCTACAGCCGTGCATCAGTTACAGATGGCTATGTCAGATAGTCGATTCATCTTACACAATCTCCAGCGGGTTTGTGAAGACCTAAAAATATCCCATCAGCATCAGGCCCCTGCGAAGCGTATGCATACGCACGACTTGGCACCCGCCAGCCATGCCTCCTGCAAACAGCTCCCACCCAAGCTTGATCCGCCCCGTTTCAGGGTCCATAGCTCGGGCTCGGATGAGATCATTGACAGTGAGTTTGATAGCCTTTTCCGGGGCGACACCCTGTACAGACAGATGTTAGCGCAGGGTAGAGACGAACGGCGAGTGCACTTGCGATAAGTTGAGGACCCAGTCCGCGATAGAAACCTAGGAAACCTTCATTGCGAAATATCTTCTTCGCGCAATCGATACTATTCTTGTACAGTAGTTGTCCGACAACAGTGCTTCGCTGATTTTGCATCCTAGAGTAATGATCGCATCAGGTTAATCACAGAAGTCAAGGATTGTTACTGACCGTGTCTAGGAAATTGGCGTTCTAGTCCAGCAAATATGATCATCATCCACAAATGGTGACATACCTTGACTGCACCCGGCGGGTTAGTTGGTATATATAAATAGCAAAAAGATGGACGTACCCATGTCTATAGGATACACAATCGTCGCACCAAACGCTCCAGCAATACCTATCCAAGACGGATTAACAGCCAGCGCCAGCAGCGGAAGGGCACCAATTACCTCCCTGTCCGAAACTATACGCCGATGCCAAGGTAGAATCGAGGAAGGATGTTGATGACGGGGTCTTTGTCTCGAACTCTTCATGTGGTGCCCTCCATCGGGGATCCAGTAGTTGGGCAAAGTCCAAGAGCGCAAGACGCTGTTGCGAGACGCCCCGTCCTGCGAAGTGGAAGATGATGGAGGCCTCCATCGGGGTAAATAGGGAATAACGCGAGCTTGAAGCAGAGTGGTTAAGGAAGTCGGACTGGTCTATACGTCCGTCTCTACTCTTGGCCGTGGCTTCGCGGATAATACTATGTATATATGTGAGTCGCGAACTCAGAGTTAGACGATCGGGAAGCTGACCGCTCAACCATGTCCATCTCTGTTACATACTGGTTACATTGCGACACGCAAAGCAATGGTAAAGGAGCTCTCACCTCTAATAACATTATGGAAAGCAATTACTTCTGAATAAGATATCTTCTGGCCAGGGCTCAGAGTGCAAAGGGTAGGTAAACGTTCTATGACAGCATCGGAAAGTTTGTGGCCAGCAATTTCCTGCAAGGGCCGTTTAAGGGTGGGGAGAGGAATGCGGGGTAGGCGGGGACGCACCAAAATAATACGTTTAAATTGGTCTGGTTTGATAAACCCATCTTGGTCCGCATCTAGATACTTGAACGCCTGTCTAAGACGTTCGCCTTGCAATCCCTTCATCAGCTGCGTGAATTCATTGTCTGCAACGCGTATGCGTGTTAGCTTCTGTGCGGCATTTTTGCCAGTGACTGGACGTACAGCCTAGGACATGAGCGCCGTTCTTCTTGCCGAGGTACAATTTCACCCAATCGCTGTGACCGAGTCAGCTCCCTCATTCTGGGCTCAAAAGGGTCGGGCGTACCAGTCAAAGTCGAAGGGAATAGCTTCCGAGCCAATATTGGCGGAAAAGACATTCTTGAATTCATCGTAAGTGATGTACCCGTCATGGTCGCTGTTCAAGCAGAAACCGTCGGTTATAAGAATTGTGCATTTGAGAGATGTTTGTTGTACGAACACATCAAAGTACTGAAATGCCATCCAATAATCGGCGTCCGGTCGCTTCAACATCGTTTCGAACACCGTGAACTCATCCCAAGAGACTACCCCCCTCCTGGCCGTGTCCGCAATACGGAACAGTATCCCGAACTGAGCGCGCCCGATTTTCGTGAGGTCGTTCTTGGGTGCAATGGCATTGACGAAGCTGTCCTGGTCCAAGAATCTATATATTTCCACACAACAAGCGGTGAGTATTCAATTTAGAAGCAGTCTCTGGTACATGTGACTGAGGTTCTGGGAGACTTACTTCTCACCATTCACCGTTTTGGCATTCGCATCGAATATGCGCCTCCACCGCTTCAGCTCGGTCTCTGGGATCGCCACGGCAGTGCGCATGGACTGAATGGCCGCCGCTGTTCTCGAGGTGGTCGTTTCGTCGGAATCGCCATGTACAATGGGGAGAACCGGGGCGGTCATTGTCTATGTGGTATTATGTAGAGAGTAAGAAAGAAGAGAAGGGGGTATATCCAGGGAGGGTGGTGGACTCGTGTAACCCACGCTGGGTGATAAGGTAGGAGGGAGGAGGCCGGGATGGAGTTTGAGCAAAATTTTGCGGGGTTAGACGCGTACTCCGAAAATAGTAATACTTCGGTGACCGGATGCTTCCGACTCAACATCGGCATGATCAGACAGTGTAAGTAATAAATTGTCATCATACGGCAAACGCTACATCGGCGGGCAGCCTGAAGCTCACACAATACATCTCTTTGTTAGGTGCCACAGAACGCACTAGATGGAAGGAGACGTCTTCGCTGATAGCATGCCCCAACTTCTCTTCGACTCTCTGGACACAATTAATCAGTCAGATACGGCCGTGGAAGGCAGAGGTAGATAGCTACTCACCCGACGAATATCCGCCTCTGCTTTGTCTCTTTCAAGTTCGCGCGTAAAGCAGTGACAGTGGATCATTGGCAGCACTATCTCGCCGCTACCGCATAAATTCCGTTCGCTAGAAAGAAACGAGAGGATACCCCGAAATGCATCAAGGAACTGTATGGCCGAGTCTGGCAAATTCATCACATAATGTGATACCATTCGTCGGGGAGGTTCTGACGGTTTCTCCCTATCGCCACTTGACGGCGGCTGGGTCGTATCGTTCGTTTGAGTTTGAGCTTGACGGCGCTTCCGTTCTTCTTTCTCTTGTGCCCTACTTGGCTTGGGCCCGGTGTATGGCGGGAAGGGGTTGTCGTACAGCTGCCGCGCAACATGGAATATGAAGTCTCGACCATCCTCGCAAGAGACGCGCACAAGGTTCTTCACCTGGATGGAGAAGATCTGAGAAAAGGTGCTGCAAGATAACGTTTGTGGTGTGTGACTTACTCGGTTATCTTCCACGTTCTTGGCCAAGTATTTTGCGCTATTTGGGTTAAGATCGTTGGCAAGGACGCCACACCCTCTTTTCGCAGCGGGCAAGGCAAAAGGACCGACTCCTGCAAATACATCCGCAACAATATCCTTGGGCTGAAAAAGCTGCACAAGCCGATCGTGTTCCGTATGTAGCCGGGAATTCCAATACACTTGCGTAAAGTCAAAAGTAAACCGACAGTCCGATTCGTGCTGATGGAACATCAGACCACACGGGCACCGAGAAGAGGCGGGGAACTTACATGTTCCACAATATAATTGGGCTCCCCTGCAATCAGCTCCATCTTGAAGAAGCGGAACTGCGTATCGATATTATCAAGCTTGTTGACGACGGTCGTGATTCGCTTATTTTTCTGGAACATGATGAGCAAACCCCTCGCTGATCTCTATGTCACAGTCACGTACATCCAGAATGACTTGACCAATAAGGCTCTTGTATGGTAGATACTCGGCGTTTAGGTTCATGTGGGCAATGTGGCCGGTCATAGCGAAACCGGTAGGCGACCCGTCGCACAGCTCTTCGGGGAGTACTGCTTGCAGTATCTCGTCTGACGCAGAGCATTAGTGACCAGAACCCACTGTCCTGCAGAATACTCACCTGCTGTCCAATAATCATAATCCAATTTGAGTGTATGGGGAACCAAGCTGAAGGACCGTTCCTTGAGGAATTGCTGGGCTGGCTCAGGCAGGTCCGCTTCCTTGCACCTGAGTTCGCTTCAGAGCTGTTTCGACAGCCTTGCATGAACGCACCTTCTTCAGAGACGCGTAAAAGCACCAATCGATCGTCCGAAGAATTGGACGGGTCATTCACGACAGTCCGAACTTTTGGGAGATTCATCAAAGATCTTGAAAATTCCTGTTATTTTGCCATCACGAATCAATTACAGGCAGAAACAGCGCACCTCTTCATTATTTCCGACTTCAAGACCACCCCTGTCTGTGCTTGAGGAACTTTGGCAGCGAGCACAGGTATCGATTTCTGAAAGGCACCGCGTTCAAGCTCCATCATGCCCCGGTGGACAGGAGGAGATGCATCTAGCGTAACCTGTCCCCGCATGCTGCGATGTGGTAGGATATTCCTCTGTAAGGACCGCGCGCTGAATATTTTGCAGATCGACGAAAAGAAAGTCATGAGACAACAGGTGACCCGGGCGTCACGAATCACGGAGGTCACGCGTTACCTGCACGCGTTTACTTCCTTGTTCCCAGTTCCCATCATCGGCAGCAACGATGACAGTGACAGACGATCCCGCCGCAGCGACCACGCGCGACGGCGGCGAGCCCGTTGCCGCATGTGACGCTGTCCTTCGCCACGTCGTCGACGTCCACTGTCACCCAACCGATTCCCCAGCGACGCTTTCTCCTGATTCCATGCACCGCCTACCCATCACCATCTGTCCGATGGCCTCGCGCAAATCAGATCAGCCCCTCGTGCGTGCACTCGCACAGGCGCACCCAGATAAGGTCATTCCGGGCTTCGGTCAGTTGCTGCCTGCATCATTTCCAATGCTCGACGATTCATGTGGTTTGTACTGGAATGAATGCTGCTGTGTCTCCGATTTCAATTCCCCTTCGACATCGTTGACCATCCGATCATCATGAATAATGAATTTCATCAAATGTGAATGCCACCTTGACGTACCGTCAAAATACACAAACTTCCCCGCATGTTATCTTGGCCCTCCCCCAGGATATCATCCGTGGTTCTCTCATCAGATTGCGACAGAGCCGGTGATAAGCAAACGACACCACTATAGTAGTATCTTCCTCAAGGCTCCCATCAAATCTGACCACGAGGACCTCTTCAACGAGTTGCTCGAGTCTCTTCCAGACCCCATTCTTCTGACCGATGTCCTCGCCGAGCTCAAACAAAACCTCACGGACTTCCCCAACGCCATGCTAGGCGAAGTGGGCATCGACCGTTCATTCCGAATTCCCATCGACTTCGATGTATCACCCCGAAAGCTGACTCCCTTCACCGTTCCCCTGGAACATCAAATATCTATCGTCGAGGCCCAGCTGCAAGTCGCCGTCGATCTGGGGAGGAACGTCAGTTTCCACAGCGTCAAAGCCCAGAAGGCCACACTAGACCTGATAGACCGCATGGTGGAAAAGCATGGTGATCGTTGGTACAGAATCAGCGCCGACATGCACAGCTGTGGATTCAGTCCACAAACGTGGACAGACGTGCAGGTAAGGTATCATATATCATTCATTTATCATCAGGTATCGTTAATCACTATTGATATATAAAAATCTATCTTCTGTTGGCGCAACCACTCCATCCGTGTGCATGCAGAAAAAACATGGTAACATCTTTTTGTCGCTCTCGACGACCATCAACGAGAAATCTCCAAATCATAGAGAGCTGATAGCCGTATGTTCGCCGAACCGCTTACTGGTGGAGTCCGACTTCAACGATATTCGTGGTTGCGCCGAACGGACTTGGGAAATGGTAAAAATCATCGCTGACGTTAAAGGGTGGGTTGTTGAAGACGAATGGGTAGAGGGAGATGTTCTGGAAGAGGACTGGGGTGTGGTAAGGAGACTGGAAAGGTCGTTTCGGCTGTTCAAGCAAGGCCAGCATACACTACCTACTAGGAAAAGGAGCGCGGCAACATCAAAGGGAACATCATAATCTGGAGATGCCTGGATGGAGCCCTCATCAGAGGGGAGGATGCATGAATAAATTACGCGTGAAAACAAAAGTAGCTACCGCCACATGTATGTGAAGAATAGAATCAAGCAGATACCGATAACAAGACCCATTATAATCGAATCTCTCCGCCGGCGCGTCTTGATCATGGACAGGAGGTTATTAATCCCGGGCATCGTATCTGGAATCGACCTCAGTACTCGCTTATAATAATATAGCAACAGGAGACGACGCACTTATCACCCCCATCATTCGAGTATTAATACCGGCCAATGACGAGCGTTGGCTGGAGAACTCTGCCCGCGTTTCATAGGCTTGTCTATTATTGTAAAAGCCAAATTAGCAAGGGGTCCAATGAGAGCAGAAAGGTGCGCACTGAATCATGTCGTCCGTCATTTGATGCGAACTGTCTATTCGGCCGCGCTCTGCTAATAGGGCGTCCGCAGCTGACGATTTGTACGCGCTGTATATGGTAGAACATAATCAGAGCAGATATGCATAGCCAAGGGACCTAAACATACTCTATATCGTTCCTGACACCGCTGAGAAGGTTCGCTTGATCCAAGGCATGCTGGACATTCGTCTACTCCGAAGGTCAACAACACAGGTCGGCTACAAGGAGATGGATAATACCTTTGTCCGTCGAAACTCGCGTGACTGGTCCTGGAAGACGTCTCTGTGCCGCTGTATTGCACGCATCATTGACTGGGAAAGCGGTGCCTCCGCGTTATTTGACAGCGACGCCAGCTGTTCATTTGTTTCCTCGAGCTGCATGGCTTCGGTGAGTATCATCATACAGCAATATCATGGCTAGGATGCACGCACCTTGGCCAGCAGCTCATCCAATTCCATTTCGACGTCCTTCCACCTGTCCCTGGATCCCTCCGCCTCCACGTCGTCATGCGTCCTCGAGATAGTCGACGCCAGGCGCGAGTACGAGGTCAGTTTCGAGTCGAAGAGCGACTCCAATGTCCTGCATTGTCTGTGCAGCGATTCGTAGTTGGAGGTCATCGTGGTCAACAGTGAAGAGCGTCGTGCGCAGCCAAGTCCACAATGGCCAACGGTGCCGTGACGCCAACGGTGTTCGTCGGGAATTGCCGGTCTATTTTTAGCGGCTGCCACGTTTTCCAGTTCCCTCCAAGTCTGCAATCCGCCAAATGGACATCAATACACGATCCTGCGCGCGGATGACGTCGTTCCGTCAGAATCTCCCGCCCGACCTGCTACAGAAACTATATAAAGGGGTCTCTGCCTCGACGCACTTTCTTCCTAACTTTCATGCCCCCACGCAGAATCTCCTACACCACTTTAGGAATCTATTTCGTCTCGTTTTACTGCCTGTTCCGCGTATTCCTCATCATGGCACCCAGTGAACCTCGTATAAACGCATCAGGCTTGAAGCCCTTCGAAACAAAAGGTTTACCAGAGAGGCAAGCTCAGCCCCACGAATCGGCGATTATTCAGTCGATCAAAGAAATGTACTCCTGTTCGCCAATAGAGGTAGTTCTTGTCTGGATATCGCACTTTCTCGAAGCTGAAACTTCGTCAGACCACATTTGATGTTTATGCAAATGACTCCCAGTTTCATGACCCCATCGGAATCGCCAATGGAAGGGATTCCATCCGCGCTCAATTTGTAGGACTCGCAAAGGTGTCGCCATAATAGCACATCCCCGCCTTTGCTCATTCAGCGTGCACAGATTTTCGAGAAAGCTGAAATTCCGAAATTCCGTGTACTTGAGAATCCAGCGTCTGTACCCGCCAGTACCATTCTCATTGACCAAGATGTGTCATATTATCGTGACTCAAGCAAAGAGCCAACTAAGGTACTTCCGCTTCATCACCGTTCCTGCAGTTTATACTTAATCACTTCCCAGACGCTGAATTCACTGTTGACAATCACGACAAACGACAAACACCAAATCTTGCATCACACCGAAGAATGGAATCACGAGAAGAGCGTGTCTTCAGAGGACGGGTTCTTTGGAATGCTCAACGAGCAACGCAAGAAACTGACAGCAACCCTTACTCACGTCGCTGTCGGAAAGGACAAAACAGAGTGAAGTGTAGAACTATATACATTCTGTCAGATCATTTCTGTACAAAGATATCACAAGATTCATCGGAGAAATTGATACACGGGAATCTGCCTGAATCAGAAAGTTCTTGCCATAGGCAGCTCAAAACATCAACCACCTCTTCGCCGTTTGCTCGGCGGCCAATCGCTTAGCCTAATGAATGAGCTCCCGGTCTGAGTATAAGGTCTGTATGGAAGCGGCGCGTTGCGTACCTGTGTTACCATGTTTCTACTCCCTTCCTCCAGATCATTGAATCGATCCTGTAAACCGTCGAGCATTTGTCTGGAAACAACGGCCTCAGTAGGCGCTCTATCGAAGCCCTGATAACGACTCACCCGCGTTCACTGAGGGCCGATTGTAATCGGTTGTATATGCCAGCTTGAGCACCCGCCACAGAGGCTGTAATTGCCGAAGCATTGAAACCTGAGGACGTTCCTTCCTGCGCAACGTCACGAGGTTTTGGTTGGGGAATGGGTCGGTCGGGGCCGCCCACTGCACATGCCATAATGAGCGCCTCACTCCCGAAAATGAATGGAATAAGAATGAAACACGGACGTAGTAAATCGATTTGATCGCCCGATGTACCTCCGCCAAAGGAGAACCACCCGCTCAATAGTGAAGGGGGGCCCATTGATATCGGTTGTGGTGTGGGCGGGATAACTCCTTTCGTTGAGGCGAATTCAATGAGGGGATAGCCCGGCGTGCGACGGAAGTTGAATAGGGTACCATACGTAGCGCTAACGATCAAGGGTGCTTTGGCGTGCCGTTGCCATTGTATGAAATCGCCGGTGTCATCCATGGTGATTGTGCTGGAGGGGGAAGGGGTTGTTTAATTAGAAGTTTAATTGCAATTAATGTAAGAATAGGGTTAAAGCACTTACGAGAATCGGGTTGCCGGCAAAAGAATGGTGTGCAGGAGTTCTAGCTCTGGAACCGAATAGACTGACACAGTATTACTTCCCGACATAGTCACCAATGCGTGTGATCCTATGGCGCCGGAAATTGATTAATTGAGTTCAAACTGATGCGGACGAAGAACGTACCATTCTTATCAACGAGTTGGGCACTGGTGATAGAACCTGTCTTCGTATTCCAGCGAGCCTTTCCAACTTGTTCGCCCGTTACCTCCGTGAAGCTCTTCGCACTCTTCGCGCCACATATCACCCATATACAGCGCGAAGCAGCGACGGCATCGAAAGTCGCTGCAAGTAGCGCTGGAGTCGCACCGACGATAGCACCATACTTGCCGTCAATAACGAAGTTGCCTTTCGGAAGGGGGTTCTCGACGGACTCAAAGGTGATGGGGTCTGGGCGATCGCATTCCCAAGCCCCAACCTCCGAACGCTCGAGGGAGAATACCTCGGTCACACCGTTGGTGCGGACAGCGATGAGTCGTAGACCCATTGAAGCGCCTGTGCTTAATGTGCAGATTGACCATGTCAATGAATCTACAGGATAGGTTGAAGCGGAGTGCCGAGACAATGCCAATGCGATTGAATGGCGGGATTTGGACTTCTGGGCGGGGTCATGCCGAAGGATAACAGTCGGACCACGCATGTCGACGATATACAATGATCCGTCAGCGTAAGCCGAAGCAACAAAACCTAGTGTCGCAAGATCAGCACAGGTATATTAAAGTTTGTGCAGTCGTATTACCTATGTCGCATATAGCATACGCTGTTAAGAGGCCTCTCCCTGGGCTAAGCATGAAGTTCGGGGCATATTTTGCTGAAGTTCCCGTCGGAATGTGCGAGAGTATCACTATTTCTTCGTCCGTTGCTTCCCTAAATAGGGGCTTCTCGAACTCGTATTCGTCCGGTTTAGGCTTGTATACGAAAAGTTCACCCGAGCGTAATGTGACGAGACACTCAAGCGATTCGGAGGTAAGGTGAATCGAGTCGATACGCGGGGGTGACGTGAAATTGGACCGGGAAGCAACAGCCGGGTCCACGATGACGGTGTTGAGGTCGATTTTGAGGTGAGGGAGCGACTCGGGGAAGTCGTGCTCTATGCGACCTTCGGTTTGTGTACCCATCAGCAGCTGGGAACTGAAGTTCTCGAATTGAACTGTGAGGTCTATATGCTGCGTTACCAATACCCGTCGAGCTTGATACTATGTTACAGTGACATGTTAGCCCACGCTGCTGTTGGCCGGTAATGTTGGTTGCAGACCTTCGCATGCCTGAGTTCGGTGGCATGAGCTTCTTCGGCCCAAGCAGTGCCTCCTTTCAAAGGTAATTTCGTCTGTAAACTTCCGTTAGCTAGCAACGATTCGTGTGCATCGCGACCAAGGGTCAATAAGTGTCCATCCACAAGGCTCCGGCCATCCTCCAAAGCAACAGGCAAAGTGAGGCGCATGGGTTCACTATCCAGCTCCATAGCCTTCAAAGTTTTGGTTAATTCATCAATCAGATCGTCCTGAGCACCCTCAGCTCCCAGCTCTGGGTTGTTGACTGGTTTGGGTGTATCCGAGGTGAATACAGGAGGTGGAAATTGTCGGGCTTCTACAACACGTGTGTCTCCTGGACCTTCACATAGAAGTATGATGGCTGTTGGGTCAAATGTACCACCGAAGTGAGGGTTATCGCGAGACACCACCAAATAGTCCTGGACGATGCCGTCCGTTGGATAGAAGTGGGCGTTGTTCGCGATGACACATTCACGCATAGCGTTCCGAAAGAAGGTTGGTAGTTCATTCGGTCGATTTGTCGCAGGGGGCGTAGGAGGCTCGGGAGGGTTGAAAGGCGGTAAGGAATGGACTATAAGCCCTATTTCGTCGCCTATCTTTGTGCCGCCAAGTATGGTCAACACTGTGTCGCCACCACGCGGGTCTGTCGAGTTGGAAAGCCCGCTCCACGACAGTTTGAATATGGGCTCCCTAACGTCGTCTGGGATGCCACCAGGAACCGGGCGGCCATCTTGTGGTAGATACTTGTCGATCTTTTCGGGGTCTACGACGTTGACATCTACGTCATCGAGGGTTCTGACCATAAGAGGTTGGTCTTCATCCTCTACGGCCCAGAAGGCAATGGAACCATCGGAGTACCCAGCGGCGAAGAAATGCCCAGAGGGATGGACGGCCATACATGTGGGAGACGGTCGACGGTGGATCAATAGTTCCTGGAAACAAGGAAGTCAATGCGGTCCCTCAAGCCTGAATGGTAATAAGACCTTGCTTCCATATCCTGCGCCGCCTGGGGCACCAGGAGGGAGGACCAACTCGTACGCCCGCAGCGTATTGCGTTCAGCCTACAGCATGGTTTAATGGCTCGATTTATGGCCTGGGACAAATCGCTTACGAGGTCGGAGAGTATTATGCCACCTAAGGAGGGTGCATACCGTCGAGTCACATCAGGATAGAGCGAAATGAGACTTACCCGCATACACTACGAAGAGAAGGTTCAGGTTACGCGGATGTATGACTGCATCTAGGCCAAAGGAACTGAAATGACCCAAGCACATATAAGACCAAGTGTTGCCGCCAAGCTTCATACATACCTGTCTGGATTAAGCATGTCCGGCATTCCACTGGCGATGATCTTCTCCTCATATAGAGTCCACATGTTGGGCATGCTATACGGAGATTTACGCAGGCAGAGCAAATCATAAGTCCGGACGACGCCAGAGGCCAAAGTAATGAAAGCCTGAACATGTCTCGTCTAAGAGGCGAGAAGGGGACCATCTGTGGGATGACAAACGTGAGAGTGACTGGGTGACACAGTAAGAGCACTGCAAGTGATGTAGTTATCAGCAAAGGTACCATCCTTTACATTAAATCGGGCCTACGATGCTTCGTCGAATTTAGCGGTGATAAGATATTTAGGCTTGTTCTGCGAGAGCTCCTCAAGGTCCCAGACGTGCAGCTGGTTGCTCCCATCTTTCCGGGCCACGTATTAGATCGTGCTCGAGAAGAGTGAGATGGTATCTTACCAAGGCAGACCAAACGCTGTATTGACGCTGCGAATTGAAGGAACCTCACGGCCACGGGCTCCCTCAGGGAGACCTGGCATTGTACTCCTGGCGAGCCAAAGATGGAGACCACCCCTCCGCTTGTGCCTTGTACATTTCCGCAGTCGTGTGCAGGTCCACAAATATTTCAAAGGGCTCACCGACAGCTAGGAGGCCTGATACTGGCTCGTATGCGAAGCTGCTGATATCTGACAGGTACTGGAAGGTGCGCAGAGCACCCACGGCCCAATCCTGGCGGTCGCGCAGGGCCGATGAAAGATCCACGTAGATTTCCTGGTCATTGTGCTTGCGGAACATTGGCGATTCGGAGAGAAAGCCACGGCCCACGACCTGGCTGTGGCCATGCTTCATTTAAGCGCCCGCAACCTACTATATAGCCAGTTGAGACATTTGTTCCAAGTTTGAATTTACGCGTTTCCCCCTTCCTTCTGGCAGCCACTTCCTTGTGCACTGACCCCATTGGACCCATCGTCCAGCCCTGTGCAGTCGGCTGTTTTTTATCCTCTTTTTACAATCACCTGAGAAGTCGTCTTTCGGAAGTTCAACTTTCCTTCTTATCATTTCCCGTCTTTTGCCCAGCTTTCGTTGAAAGAACATCTCGCTGCGATGGCTGAAAAGGCGAAGGGATACAGACTCGAGTATGCGACTTCAGCGCGCGCGAAATGCAAAGGTAAGTTGTTGATTATGCACCGGTCGCTGTATCTGAACCGTGGGTTGTTTTAGGTGGCAAACCGTGTCAAGGTGAGTTTCAATGTCCTTCACTATAAAAATCTCTGTTCATCGAAACGCGCAGGAACACCAATTGCCAAAGGCGAACTTCGGTTCGGCTCTGTTGTTGATTTCCAAGGAAACACGTCCTTGTGAGCGCGTTCATCATGTATATGCGTCCATACAGCTAACATGCATTCCCCTCTAGTGCATGGAGGCACTGGGGGTGCGTGACGGCAAGGATCATAGAGAATATCAAGAAGAGCGTCGAGGAAGCTCCCGAGATTGACGGCTACGAAGCTTTGTCGGCCGAAGACCAAGCCAAAGTCAACAAGGCTTGGGAGGATGGCCATGTCGCGGACGAGGATATCCCAGACACCGCCAGGAAGCCTGAAGCCGAAGATGACGAGGACAAGCCGAAGAAGAAGAGGGCTCCCGCGAAGAAAGCTGCAGCTGCAGATGCGGACGAGGAACCTAAAGAAAAGCCGAAGCGCACAAGAAAGCCAAAGGTATCGTCTCTCTATGTGCACGGTTGCGATCATCATACTGATATATTTCTAGGAAAAGGCGGCAGACTCCGGCGATGAGCAAGAAGAAAAGCCCAAGAAAGCTGCTACTCGTAAACCCCGTGCTCCCAAGGTTTGATTCTCCGTTCGCCCGGTAGAGGAACACTGACCGGTTTGTACAGAAAGTTGAACAGGATGACGAGGGTGAAAGTGAGGCGGAGGAAAAACCCGCTCCAAAGAAGCGCGCTCCCGCGAAGAAGGCCGCTGAACCCAAGGAAAAGAAAGCTCCTGCCAAAAAGCGTGCTCCCGCGAAGGCGAAGGCCAAGGTGCGGTTGCTCCACGTCCTACTGATATGCTATGTTTACATCTTGCTACAGAAGGCAGACAGTGATTCTGGGGAAGACTTCGCGAAGGACATCGCTGAGGTTACAGCTGATGAGGATGATGCTGATGAGCCCGAAGAAGAGAAAGAGAAACCAGCAAAGAAGCAGCCAGTAAAGAAGGCTCCCGCTAAGGCTGTTCCCAAGAAGAAAGCCGCTCCCAAGGTAGCTTTTGATGTCCCTCCCAACTCAAATCTCTGCTAAATATACCCTTAGCCGGATACTGAAGATGAGGAAATGGAAGATGCTCAGGCTCCGGCCAGCGAAGATTCCGAGGGTGCCTCCAAGAAACGCAAAGTCAGGTCTTTTCCTTCTGCTTGCATATACCTTCACTCATTTCTTCGTCAGAAACCCGCCTCCAAGGCGTCGACTTCTAAGCCAGCCTCAAAGAAGGCCAAACCCGCTTCTTCGCGGGCCAAGAAAAGCAAGGAGGTCGTCGAAGAGGATGAGGATGAGGAATAAATATATCCATAACTTTCTTTGGTGCAAGTTCTGTTGTGACATGAGACTGGTGGTCGCCTCTTCAGTTTGTGATACTGTATAATGTGTTTGTTGTGTGTGTGTGCTGTCGAGTTTCCGTTCTTGCTAGTTTCTTTGATATTCCCAATGTTCACCGATGCTGTTTCTGTGACCAGGCAGGACCCCGTACCTGATCTCGATCATGATCGACCGGCGTCTAGTCACTCCTTCACCCTTTCAACTGTGGCTGCACGACTCCCAGCCACTATGTTCTTTGCCTCAGTGATCTAGCAACCCCCAAACGAGCCTTCGTTACCTTTCTAAGGATCACTGAGAATAACATCCTGGCATCCGGGTCCACCTTTCGACTCTGATTCACTGCACGGAAGCATCACACGGTGCACAGGCATCGTCGCGTAATATTGGCCGTGAAGCTACGGTGATGTGATCTGAGCTTTGCTCTTTGGTTGCGACTGAATCTCAAAAGTGCGCAGATACGCTTTTAAGTGATTTGCAAAGCTGGTGACCTGTCTGCCCAGCTGGACATCGCAACGACGTTGCACTGACGTGCACTCGGGGAAGGATAGTAATGAACATCTGTACCGACGTCAAAGACTAGCAAACACCAGTCTTTACTATCGATACGATATAGTAGGACTCCTACAGACGCTCAAACTTAGAAACAAAGGCGCAAGTTGGAGCTCAGCGAACAAGTGCCAACATAAAACTCCGAGAGAGTTGATTGAAACGGCGACGATACATCGTTCAACTAGAGCAAGTCGAACCACCATGGCATCGACATCCGACCTAGATCCAGTGCCTTCGAGAGCAATCATGCTACCGGATATCTTAACGCTTATCTTCGAATATCTCGCTATCAGGACCGATCACGTCCTTCCACGACGGGACAGAAGAACACCTTGCTCTGAGTGGCTCCCCGCGATAAACACTTGCCGGACATGGAGGAGGGTGGCGATCTCGACCACTCGAATATGGTGCTACATATGGACTGCCTTGTCCCCAAGTTTAGCTTGGATGTTCCTACAGCGATCCAAGGCAGCCCCCCTCTATCTATGGAGTTGCAACTCCGAGTCAAACTGGCAGACCGTGTCCATGGTTCTCCATCATACGCATCTTCATCGTTTGAAGGAAGTTGAAATCATGGACTGCGATCAACACGTATGGTTCAAGACCTTGCTCGACAATCCAGCCTCTCAACTCGAAGTGCTCACCCTCTGTGGCAGTACGCCTTGGGACAATGCACGATGTTGTTTCTCAACGAACGCACTCCATGACAGCGCGCCGGCTTTGCGGAAGCTCCATATATTTGGTTTCAGCTTTGAACTCGACCCGCGCTTTCTCTCCAACCTTACACATCTGAACTTATCGTTCTGCGGGAATGACCGTATTCTTGAAGACATGGATCGTTTCTCACCTTACGAACTCCTGGTAGCTTTGCAAGGCATGCCTCATTTACAGAAACTAACCCTTGGAGCCGTTTTGGACCCCGAATACGAAATACCGACGCTTGAGGACGATGTCGGTGTCAACCTACTAGGCCTGACCTATCTGGAGTTCGAAGTGGAATTCATGCTTGATTTTCAAATTTTGCAATATCTCGCGTTCCCTTCTATCAAGAGCATTGTTCTGCGATGCGATGAAGTTGCAGACCCCGCGGATATATCAGTCATCACTCCCATTCTACATGGCCTCCTTCCACCACATGATTCCTCCCTCACTCATACTGCAGTCGTCATTGAGGCAAGCGGTTCCAAGTTGTATAGTAAGCCTGAATCCAGAACGACGATCAAACTTGAGGCCGGACCCACGGAAATGCCCCCAGTCAAACTTAAGCTAGCCTTGGTTGGCACGACTTGCTTTCAATGCGAAGACTTTCTTGAAACATTCTATCCCCTTCTTGATTCCATTGACACACTCGACTTCGACGGGTACGCAGAAGCACAGGATGGCAAGGACCCTAGTATCTTTGCCTCTTTCTTCCACGTGACTGCTACAGAGCTACGTGTCAGCGGCCTGGCTGATATCATCTTTGCCCTTGCGAGCACACCCAAAAGACCTAGGGAAGATGGTCAGCCTCTATCATACCCACTCCCCAACTTGCAAGCTATCTCCTTGTTTCAACAGAGAGATTCAAAGGATACAAGGCAGTTGGTTGCTTGTATCAAGCGGTTACTTTTGGAGAGAAAAGCACTGGGTGCCGCCGTTGAGATATTGGAGGTCGTGCTTAAACGTGGCCGTAAGACCACAGCCGCGTACAAGATCACTCCACAAGACATGGAACCTCTCACGGAAATCCTCGAAGTCGCGTTTCTTCCATGATCGTTAGATACTTGTTATTCTAGATCTCTCTCGAAGTCGGCATGCTCGGAGTCATTTCACTCAACAAACTCCATTCGACGATAACAAAACGTATTTATAGGTAGAACTCATGCTACGAATGTAAACTTGGAGGTAATATACATAGATGATATGATACATAGCATGTGCAGCGTGCTAGCGGTGGAAAACACATAAGTTACTCGGCTATCGTAGTCCATGTCATGAATCTGTGAATGGGTCGAAGGTTGGCCGTGTAGAAGCCTGTGAGGAAGCACCCCTAATCTTCCCTAGCCAACTTCTCTTTGATGGCTTGACGGGCATAGAGCTCAGTCGTGGGCTTTTCGACGGCGACTTCCCTGTTGTTGGTCGTTTCGGAGATGCGAGTGATAAGTTCGAGCGGCTTGCGGCTTGTTGTCTAACCGGTGTGAAGCCGGAATGCAGTGACTGCAGCACTCTTCTTACGCGAGGTGTACGACTCTCTGGCTCTTCGCTTGGAAGGCTGTCCGCCGTGAATACTTGAGGCGGTACATTTTCGCAAATATCGAAGTCGTCTGGTGCTCGACGTTTCTTTCCAGCGGAGGAGGAAGACGCTTCGGTCGATACAGGTGGGGATGGTCTCTCGGGTGTTCTCGCTTTGAATATGGGCAGTGGGTTTTGCTGGCGTTCAGGTGTCTTTGCGCGTGGAAGTGCTGATGATGATCCAGATACAGAGCGGTTCAGAACTCGAGTGGAGGGCACAACAGCGTATTTAGATGGCATTGGGGGCATTGGAGGAGTAGCGGAAGGAGGGTGGTAAGGTTCTGTGACGGAGCGCAACCGCCGTGTACTAGAGGCTAGCTCGCGAGTTTCCATGGGAGTCGACGAGCTAGCAAGGGGTGGTTTGCCGCGAACGCTGGATGCAAGGCCATTTTCTTTAGGGCTAATATTCGGTGGTGTAGTTGAAGCGGGTTCGGCCGTAGCTTGTGGCTGAGTCGCCTTCGCGGCAGCAAGCTTCGCCTGCAAGTTGTTAACCTTGCGAGTCAGAGCTTCCACTTTGCTGTTTAGCTTCTTGTTATCCTTCAACATCCTACAGGAAGCTTTAGCAAAGACGTCATATGTGAAACAACATACTCACTCAAGGACACGGTCGTCATTTTCCTCAATCTCCGCACATTTAGCTCGCAGAAGTTCTTCCATCTCATTGTTCCGCTCTTCCAACTCATGGACGACGGAGTCCAGATTAGGCTTTGATTGTAATGCTGCAATTCGCCGCTGCATCTCAGCCATCTCCCGTTTGTGCTGCACGCCCTGAAGGCTGAGGTTCAATTCGGATGTCTGAGCGGCCTTTTCTGCTTGAGAAAGATCATCGCGAAGCTGCTGAACGGATGCAGTAAGGGAGGAAATGGATCGTTCGCTATCATGAGAAGTCAGTAACGAAATCGGTCTATTGTCGGATGGTGCCTCACCTTTCTTTAGCTTGACTTTCCATGTATCGATGCATTGATAACTGTTTCTGGACTTCGGCACCCAAAGTGGTGATTTCAATGAGAAGGGACTCTTTCTCCGCTTGCAAAGTTTCTAAGGTACCATTCGTCATAGCGAGCTCGGATTTGGTACTTTCAAGTTGATGACGTGCGTCGGCCAGAAGGGCATCGACCTCCGTCTTGTCTGCCTCCACCAAGGCAATAGCCTCTTGGTGGACATTCGCTTCTTGGTCTCGAGTGTAAATCTCGGCCTGTAGTCGCTGCTCGAGATTGCGAATCTTCACAGAGCACTCATCGAGTTGCTTCGCCTGATCATCAAGCTCAGTGTGCAGCGTGGCAGAAAGAGCTTGTTCGTCCTGAAGACATTTCTCTAACTCTTGGCGAACACGTTCGACTTGAGCTTCGGTCTGGGAGCGAAGGGCTTGCATCTCTTCTTGCTGCTTTGTCAACTCGAATGTCGCTGACTCAAGCTTAGCCTCAAGATCCGAGATCTTCGCCACATGATCGCTATTGAGTTGCTCAAGAGCGACTTGACTAGCATGACGTTCGTCCGAAAGTCTGGTCACGTCGTCGAGTTGCGTTTGGAGGGAAATGCGTTCATTTGCGACCGTCTCGAGGGAAAGTTGCTTGGTCTTGATTTCTGCGGTGGCTTCATCTAGGGCCTTTTGCACTTCTTGGAGTTGTCCACGCAGCTCTTCGCATCTGGCGCTGAGTTCGCTCACTTGCGCTCCTTCAGTAGCTTTGCTCGCCACCACGGCGTCGGAGAGACGCTGCTCCAGTTCGGCCTTCTCATTGTGAAGTTTGTCGACAATGACATGGTGAGCGGTCTTCGCGTCATCCAAGGAGGTGACAAGAGCATCGATCTTCTGCTGTAAGGCTGCTCGTTCCGAAGTCGAGTTTGAGTCAAGAGCGTCGAATTGTGCTTGCAAGTCAGAAAGGCGTGAGGTGAGAGTCTTGTTCTCTTCGAGGGAAGCCTCACATTGGTCGCGAAGAACGCTAGTTTCCGCTGTAAGTTGCGAGCGCGCGTCGTGCAAGGCCTTCATAACATTGACGACTCTAGATCCCTCACTTCGTGAGATAGCGAGAGCTACGCCCAGGCTCCGGATGTCTTCCCTTGAAGTAGACGCGTCATCCTCGAGTTGTCGCAGCGATTCGATCTTCTCCTCGAGCTGCGCGACTGTGCACTTGTGAAGGGATGCGAGTTCCTGGAGTTCTCCGTCCTTCAACTCTAGACGTGCCGCGAGTTGGTTGTTGGTCTGCTGGCCAAAAGCCTCAGAGGCCTTAATGGCAGCCCGCGACCTGGCAACTGTGTCCACAATAACGGCGATGAGCTCGACAACCGTGCCTTCAGTTTGCTCAGCCTGACTCTCCAATCGCTCCACCTCAACCTCCAGTTGTTCGATGCGCACAAGGGACTCATCTCTTGCCTCCCTCGCAGAAGCGCAGTCTTCAACCATAGCATCCTTCTGCGCAGCCAACGTCTCCATCTCCATCGTCATCTCCGTCAGTCTTTCCTCATGCAACAGCAAATTCGTCTCCAGACGCTTGATATCGTGCTGATGTACCCCAATTTGCTCCGTCCGCCTCATCACCCGCCCTTCCAACTCGTGCACCTGATCGCGCAACGCGCGGGTGGCCTCGTTGTCCGTCATGGCATCGAGCTGGTGGTGTTGGAGGTTGCTATATCGGCCTTCGGATTCTTCAAGTTCTTCCTGGGCAGCAATGAGGTCGCGATTGAGGTTGGTGACTTGAAGCCTGAGGGAATCACGCTCAGATTCGGTATCTTCAAGAGATTGGGTGATATCATCCAGCCGGGCTTGAACTTCTTCCAAAGATTCTTGGACCTTGGCCTTAGACGACTTGAGTTCTTCGAAAGTCTTACTCCAATCCTGGTTCTGCTGTTCGGATTGGCGGAGTAGTTCATCCCGTTCGGCTTCGAATGCTTGAGATGCTTGAGTCGAAGCAAGCAGCTTGCTTTCGAGGTCGGCAAGCATAGCATCCTTGCTTTGAAGCTGTTCTTGCAGTTGTTCGCGGGTGATTGCATTCGACTCGATGTCTTTCTGGAGTTGCGCGATGGTGATGGTCAGTACGGCAGACGTCTTCCTAAGGCGGCATATTTCTTGTCGCTGTTCGTCGAGGAGAGTACTTGAGGTTGAGTTTTCTTGAGGGGCAGACGGTTGAGTTGCTGCGGCGGCTTGTGCTAATTGGGCCTCCAATGCTTCAATAGAGTACTTTGATTCCATTTCGACGTATTCGAGATCGCGTCGGAGGTCGTCTCGTTCACCTCGCAGACGGTCAATGGCTCCTAGTAGTCGTTCGACATGGGCTGGTGTGTTGTCGTCGCCGGTGGAGGGTGTAACATCCAATCGCTGGCGGAGGTCACTGCAAAGAACTAAATCAGCCAAACGCGCCAAGGGTAAGATAGGGCTATTCTAACATTGTTTCGTTGATAAGCTCGTTAATACGCGTTTCCTGCTCGCTGGTACGACTCGAGAGTTGTTGGACTTGAGCGCGAGCTGCCTCGAGGTCATTCAGCGCCGAATCCTTCTCGGCTACTAACTCCAGGTGCTTTGCAGTCATCTCCCGACACGTAATGAAGAACTGCACTTCAACTCTCTTCAGCCTCAGTATCTCCACGTCTTTATTAGATGCGCTCCTCAATGACTGCTCCATCGCAGCGATCTTCGCCTCATCCTCCTCAATCCGTGCCATCAACTGCGCCTCCCTCGACTCGTCGCCCATCTGTTCCTGCATATATCGAATCTCCTCATCCTTCTCCTCCAGCTCCCCGCGTATCTCAGCTATCTCCTTGCTCGCCCGCTTCTCCACAGCCATCTTCTCGTTCTCGCATTTCACCAACGCCTCCTGTGCACGCGCCAGCTTCTGCACCGCACTCTCCAGTTCCCTGTCCTTCGTTGATGCTTCCGCCCGCAGACTCTGCAACTCCTGCTCTAACCCGGGTATCCTTGCGCTGGAGACCGAGGACGAACGTCGACGGGGTATGCGACCTGGCGTCGTTGTTGGTGGCGCCTGGCTGAGTTCGCGATTACTCGACTCGAGCTCCCTCACACGCGCCTCGAGCATCGCCTTCTCCTTCTCCAGTTTCGTCCGTTGCGTAGTGGTGGTGTCTGACTTGTGGGAGAGGGTTTGGATTATAGACTCTAGCTCGCGTGCTTCGAGCTCCTTCGACTTCATCTTCTCTTGTGTTGATACAAGTGTGCGTTCCATGTTCTGGGTGGCTAGCTTCTCCCTGCGTAGGTCTTCAGATGTTTGGAGGAAATTCGTTTCGAAGCGTATGGCGCGCTCCGTTTCTTGGCTCAGCTAGTGAACAGTTCAGTCGCCTCCGACAGTGTGCTATGCACAGCACGCACTTTATGTAGAGCTTCGTTTAATGCCGTCTGTATTTCATCGAGTTGAGCGGCTTGTCGCATTAACTTCGTTTCTTGAGCTGCGATGTGGCTGTCTAAAGTCCCAAAATATATTCAACTAGTTGAACAATCAGATGAGCAGACCACCGACCCTTGCTTGATATATGGTCCTTAATTGCCTGCGCTTCTTCGGTGACATCTTGTGCACCGAGCTTCCAGAGCGACATAATTAGCGGAGGACGTTGTAGTGTACAGTGGTGGAGAACCAAGTTCACACCACCGTGATCCGTAAACGGACATCCAAGCAAGCGCAAACAAACACGACGCGGTAACATCCACGTGATCCTGTTATCTCACCCCTGTCGATTGTCACACAACAGCACACAACTTGGAAGTACTACACCCAACCGTCTGTATATTTTTGCCTGGTTCGCATCAAGTTCTCATCGCCGATAATTTGCAGCCGATACCACGAAATTTCGACGCACGAATTAGACTTTCCGTTTTGTCGTCGGTTGTGTAAAACGGACGACAGACGTTATGTAGGTCCGTAGTCCACGTATCTATCGAGTATCAAGTTTTATGGCGCGCTTGGAGTTCTTGGCACCCTGTAAAAACGATGGAATGCCGAAGAACATGCAAGAAGTCCAGGCATCTTTCGGCTGAACATGAGACTCCCCACTCGGAGGTCTTGATATAGAGACATTTGATGTGTTCACGCGCTGACGCCGTCTTCTAGAAAGCTAGTCTATGGTCACACTCTGTGCAGCAAGGTTAAGCTCCATCACCATGTCCGCCGTCATAAAGGGCCGAAAGATGTGGCGGGGGGAGCGTTTCTCCGTTTGTCGGAGGGGTCGAATAACTGAAGGAGGAGTGGCGCATTGGGTAAGGTGCCCTCGCCAGCAGCCTGTGATTGCATCCCAATCGGTGGGGCTCGGGAGGTTCTGCAGTTGCAACCTTGGTCACGCCCAGAAGCCGAAGCCGGCACGCGTCCAATGACTGATCCCAGAAGCGCATTTATTCCATTTTGTGGGACTTTTCGTACATAATTTACGCTCATTGTGACCAGGGTTTGGGTGGAGAGCCAGTGAAACTTACGTGCTGTAGCTTGAAGCAAGTGAATTGGGCATCGGCGGGTGACGTCACCATGTGACCCTGGTTGCCTGATTTGGAGATAAGAAACTCGCCTTCAAAGACATTCCAAATAAATAATTTGGGTCTCTTTTTCGTATATAAACCGCCGTGCTTCACATCGCACAGCACCTCCTCCTTTCTCCCCCCATCTCATCTCCAAGCAACTCCACGCGCGCCCTCGCTGATCGTCGGTCGCCGAATTTGATCTGTTTCCAGTTACCCCTCCGTTTCAGATACCCTTCAAAAGGCTGGTACTCTTGATCTCGTACCACGGCTTTCCCTCTTTCTAACTCACTTCACTTACAGCTGGTCTGATTCTCATAACTTACCATCATGAACGGTACTGCTTCCGGTGCACCCACAAAGGTCACTCTTTCACTCGGCCATCTTCCGAGTAAGAAGGACATCAAAGCGCCATGGCCACGAACACCATCGCGGGTGCGTATGGACGCCTTTGTCTGAGCGCAGAGGCTTACTTGACCCTAGGTGGACCCCAACAACCCTCCTTGGCCGGCTTACCGTGGATATCACGAATACTCTTTCGCCCATGCCACCATGGGCGTTCGTCTCCCAACAATCTTGGGAAAGGGTATCGAAGATACAACTCGCACCCTAAACGAGCAGTCTTCCGAAGAGAAGATCGTCGATCTTGTCCAATGCATCGAACGCATGGAGGTATTGATGACCGATCTCAGTGGAAACGCGAAGCTCAGGCCTATAATCGACGATGGGGAGGGTGACGTCGCTTTATGGAACAAAGAGATCGCCAAGTACTTCCAAGGTACGCGCCGATACCTTTATACTCATAGTCTCAGCGTTTAACTCTATCACCGTGAACAGGAAAAGACTTCATGAACGCGCCATGGCTCTTTGCTGAGGCATACAAGTATCGTCGTCTCCACGAGTGCTTCAGTATCAGCAAGTTCTGGTCCGACTACGACGTATTCTACCGACAGAAGGTTCATCCCTCCATGCTATTCCATTTTCCAGATATTGACCAGAATACTGCAGTGCGATACTTTCTCGCGATCATCAGATGCGGTCTTTGAGCTGTCCATGCGCTTCGCTGAGCCTTTCAAGATCTCAGATAACCTCTCCGATTCCGAAAAGCTTGAGGCTGAAAGACTCATGTTCCTGGAACTTACGCAAGGTACGTCATCGCGACTGGTCCCGTTGGCGTCAACTCAACATCCCGCCTTGGACAGTGTGCCTGTGGGGCAACTCTACAGATCTATCGCTCTTGATCAACATGACCGAAGATCAGATCAAGGCACTCCAATCAACTGGAGGTGATCATCTGGCTGCGACTGAAAAGAATATCCTCGGAAACCATCTGAATCAGCTGTGGGAGACCGTAAAGGACCTCCGTGGAAAGACAGGTGGACGAATTGACTTCGTTCTGGACAACGCGGGATTCGAGCTGTACTGTGATTGCGTATATGGTACGTTGGACGTGGCACTAGTGGACGATCACTTATAACCCTCCGCCGTTTAGCCGATTTCCTATTGCAGAGTGGCCTGGCCAAGCAGATAAGGTTCCACGGCAAGCGCTACCCATGGTTTGTCTCAGACGTCACCAGGAAAGACTGGGAGTGGTTGTTGAACACCATGGTGTACGGTCAACTGTTCCCCAAAGCCTCTGACGCCGAAATAGAATCCCTCAGAAGGCTTGGTGCGCGTTGGAAGGTGAGACCCACTCGCGATCATGTTTACCTCATACCTAACACTATACCGTGCAGCAATACGAGAAAGAAGGCAAATGGGTGTACGAACAACACCCTTTCTGGTGCACAGGATACACGTTCTGGGAGCTCCACACCGAAGCCCCCGATCTCTTCCTCCACCTCTCGCGCTCCGATCTCGTGTACTTCAAAGGAGATCTCAACCATCGCAAGCTCACTTACGATTGTGCAGCCCCTGCTAGCACCCCCTTCGATGTTGCCATTGGCCCTATGGCTAGCTCTGCCGGCGCACCTAAGATTGCCAGCCTGCGTACCATCAAGAGTGATGTAGTCGTCGGCTTTGGTGAGAAGGGTGACGAAATCGCAGAAAAATTAGACGAGAGCGAACCGGGCTGGAAGATCAGTGGCAAATACGTGAGTTCCCGCGTCATCCGTGTTCCATTCCTATTTACTCATACACATATGCTCGCAGGCTGTTGTTCTTTTGTCCGAGGGCCGACCCGGTGAAAAGGTCCGCTTCGCGTGAAGTAGGAGAGAACTGAGGAATATGTAATATGTAACGACCACGCCGACTGAAACGCCTTTAGACAGATTCGAGTATTTGTAATATCATCCTGCTGTAACATCACGTTCAATCTCTCCTACTACTCTTTTTTGCTCAGATACACGGCGTCTCCTACGTTCAGCAAGACGTAGGCAAGACGGGCCATCGACACTGGTTTCGCTACAGCGCAGTAACGATATGAACCAGCACAAGTCTCGACCTGAGTCCATTACGCACTTACGGATGGAAAATACCAGCCCTATGTCCTTCGAATTACTCTGTCTAATGATGTCGGTCTTGCTATAGGTTGTCGCTGTTAAGCATTTCATCCGAGTTCGAACACTCGGCATCGTTCTCAACTTGCCAAGCAGTTCTTCGACGTCCTTGTCAACGACTAAGCCCAACAGTAGTGGAAGGTCGGTGGAGCCAGAAAGCGACTACTGATAAGCCTGAACCAAGTAAACAACGTGGAGACGCTGTTTCCATTGCGGCCTTTATACCCATCCCGTAGATATGCCCTGACTCCACCACGGGTCAAGGTCGGATTCTTTGCATCTTCCTCCCGGCTGTTCAACTTGGTGGATGAGAAACTATGAGAACCTGCTAGTTCGTCGGTCCCGCTACCATCTGCAACACATGATCTTCTACCATTATCACTCCGCCACTGGTACTCGCGACAAAGCTATTTATATATTTTCCTCGTGCCAAAGACCGCATGGACGTGGTGCATGAAACACTGGAAATGATCCTGTCGATGTCTAAAGGGTGAATGACTTCAAAAGAACCTCGGCCTGCGCGATTCCGTGCCGTGCGTATCTCTATCGAAGGACGTTGCAAACTGAGGAGGTACTTAGCTGAGCTTGAAAGCTATTGAGTGGGTCTTTCAATCCGCCGACACGGTAGTCCAACTAACTTCGAGTCAATAGAGACGACTTGCTTCGAATCACTGTATTGTCAGGATGATAGGTGCACCATTGATTTGGTTTGTGAATATCGCAAAGATAAGCAAGCGTGCTCCACATGTAATGGAAATACATGGCTGTCAGCTCACACGACGTAGAAGAAGGCTTAATGCAATGCAATGATGGTTGCAGATGACGTTTCTCAGCGCGTCGCTTTATTATTAGAGAAAAGTGTCTGAAGCGAGCGAGCGTGAAGAAGGGTCGGAAACATAAACATTTCCAAAAATAACTTCAGTGCACGTGGAAAGTTGGACCGTGGGAATACCATCAATTGATCGCCACACTGATCCGAGCGATCCCACTAGGTTTAGACCGGCGGTTTCTGCGTCTCCAAGAGAGCGGGCGAATTTCGCCCGCAGTGGCGCGCGATGCACCTCGGAGAACAGGTGATTTGGCCGACAGCTTGGGAACATCACACGACAGAGAACTGCGCTTCGTCGCTCTTCCTTGTGGTGTGTGCGACGAAGCGAGTTGCCGAGTACGCTGTATCGTGGTCCTCTCACGCTGACTTTGATATCGCCTCAACATTGGCCATAATGGTGGAAGCAGGTGAGTGTACGTACGATTCCTGTAAACCTGCTTCTTTGACGCCATCTTTTAATTTGAAGTAGGGTGCTTGTATATAAACACTGTAGAAATACGTATAGCATTCAGCTCACCCACTAGCTATTAGTAGAGATGTTCCCTGCCGCTGCACTCCTCACCACCGTCCTTCTTGCCCTCTCTGCCTCGGCTACCCCCTTGGTGACCATCAGGGACAGCCCCATTAGCTTGCCTTTCGCCAGGAAGACGAACTTCACGGGCAGTGTTAACCTCCTGAAGGCGGACCAGGCAAGGGCCAAGGCTCTTCGTGCTCGTGCAGAGGCAAAGGCATCTGGTCTCGCTCTGAATGTCGACGCCGTTATAAACGAACCCGTCGACAACCAAGCTGTCACGTACATCGCCTCAGTGAATGTCGGCAGCCCCCCAACCAACTGTAAACACCATCTCTTCACCTGATCGCTGCTTGTATCTAATTGTGTTCAACCAGTCCAACTGCTCATTGATACCGGTAGCTCTAATACCTGGGTCGGCGCTACCACCCGCTACACGCAAACTAGTACCAGTACACGTACATCCAACTCAGTTGTACGTGCATATCCCACAGTGACGGTCTATGAGTGCAACGGCTAATTCTGGGTGCCCTAACAGTCTGTCACCTACGGCTCTGGCTCTTTCTCTGGTACGCCTACAAGTGCCCCACTTCTAGTACCTGAAGCTAATCTTCCTTCATTATAGGAACCGAGTTTATTGATCGCGTAGACATCGGAAATGGCCTCGTCATTCCCAACCAGTCCATCGGTGTCGCTTCGAGGTCAACTGGATTCGATGGCGTCGACGGCATTCTAGGGTACGTCCGAATATCACCAATGTGAATCAAATACAGCAGTTGATGATACTCCTCAGGATTGGGCCTGTTGACCTTACCCAGGGAACTCTCTCACCTGCTACCAACACTCTTATCCCCACTGTCACCGACAACCTCTTCAGCCAGGGAACAATCACCCAGAACCTCCTCGGCATCTCGTACAACCCCACGACTGTCCTCGACACTGTGAACGGTGAAATCACTTGGGGTAAGCACTCGGCCAGATTTGGATTATGCCCGCTTAGTCGTGACATGTAATTAGGTGGTACCGATAGCTCGAAGTTCACCGGAAGCATCGGCTTCGCGTATGTCCTTTCCCGGATCAAAGTCGCGTGTATGGTAACTAACGTTCTATATCTAGGCCCATTACTACCACGTTCCCCGCTAGCGAGTTCTGGGGAATTAACCAATCAATTCGATACGGTGCTTCTACGTCGATCCTGTCCAGCACTGCCGGTATCGTCGACACTGGAACCACCCTTGTCCTCATTGCCTCTGGTAAGCCCCCTTGATTCTCTCTCTAGAAGCCAAAGGTGCCAATGGAGTCCCCAGATGCCTTGAGCCGTTACCGCTCTGCCACCGGGGCCGTCAATGATGCTAACACTGGCCTGCTCCGCATCACCGCTGCTCAATTCGCCAACTTGCAGAGTCTCTTCTTCACCGTGAACGGGGTACGTCTATTCCATCATTCTAACCAGTCATACGGGGCTCTAACCGGTATGTTACATCCAGGTCTCCTACGAGCTCACAGCCAACGCGCAAATCTGGCCTCGCGCCCTCAACACCGCGATTGGTGGCAATGCCAACAGCATCTACCTCATCGTCGGCGACTTGGGCTCCACCACGGGCTCTGGCCTCGACTTTATCAACGGCTACACATTCCTTGAACGCTTCTATTCGGTATTCGACACCACCAACCGCCGTGTTGGGTTTGCTACCACCGCGAACACCCACTCCACAGTCAACTAAGGGGGGGGGTCAGAGGAAGCCAGGGAGTAGCATTGAACTGTAATAATGACTGGATGAAATATAATTCTGCTTGATCTCTTTGATATTATCCTGTGTATACGCGAGGCAATGATAAAGCTACAACATCAGAGGCAAACCCATCTCAAATATCGATATGCTATACCTAGGTGCGGTGGGTATGTCACCGCGCGCATGTGGGGAGAATAAATATAAGGTATTGCGCATGGAAAGAGAATGCAAAGTATACAACAGCGGAAGAACATGATTATAGAAGTGAAATGAATCCCCGAGGACACAAATTAAACCTAGTAGGTAATCGAAGTGTACAGTCTATACCTATACAACATCATCCATCCGAAGTAACGTTCCGTATAGTGGCCATTAATCGAGATCTTCGTGCCACTCTCCAGGTATATGATCACGATCGCCAGTTGGTCTAGACGGCTGAGGCGTCGACGAGCTGCGCCGTCGCTGTTGGTTTCCGTTGCCACTTCCGCTGCTGCTTCCACTGGAGTTCGAGCTGCTGCCCATTATATTGTAGAGTGTCTGGAAGAGATTTGGGGGTTGACTGCCGCCGCCTGTAGACCTAGGCGGTGAAGGAGACGGTCTGTTGTTTCCTGTACTTGAGCCCTCTCCAGGGCTATGATGCTCTGGTTGTGGGACTAAAGCGAATCTGAAAGCAGCTACGTGAGAAGGAGCACTGACGAACCATTGGATAGAGACATACCTGCAAACCGGGCAGGTTCCACTGGACTTTAACCACGGTGTTATGCATGGCTCGTGGAAGGGATGTTTACATGGGAGGGTTATGACTACTTGTTCGTCGGGATCCTCGGTTCCTAGCTTGAATTGATCCTTGCATACGGCACAGTCCTTTTCTAAAAGGGGAGCTGGGACAACGAAGCATCATGAACACAGGTGTTATAGGAAAGTAGAGAAATTGCGTACATCCTTCCTCTAGGACAACCCGAGGTAGCTCCTGTATCTTGTCGTCAGGGGCAGGGACTGGTCGATTAGAGTTGGAATTCTCCATTATTTGAGTTATTACTTGATCGAGAGCTTCAAGGGTGTGAGCATGCATCAAAGCGCATATGTCACCGAAAGCACTACCTTCTTGACTGAATACATAGTCTCCGTACTGGCCGCGTTCCATAGACTCGCCGTCCATCCCGAACAGAGATGGGTTACGATGACCGAGCAGTGCCATCAGATATTGTGCCATCAAAGGTCCAGTGATAGTGGGGCCGTCGTTGGCGGCGCCTGGATCTCTCCGGAGGTACCTTGTAGTCCGTTAATATATCACAAGAAATACCTGCAGAGCAACGCACTCAGTCATTGTTGGAGGCTCCTGGTCGCCGCCAGGGGCCCCAGGTCGAGCACCCAGTGTGTTTGGTCCCCCGAATGTAAATGTTCGGGCTCCGCCGCCAGAGCGCACTTGAAATGTGAACTGTGCAGACGCTCGCAATTAGTACCATGAGGTAAACTTGGAGGCATGTTACACACGCCACTCGAGCTTGGCTGTTGCCGCCGCCGTTCGGCAAAGCCCCGAGACAACAGAGTTTGAAGGGAAACTGTACGTATCATTGAGCGGGTATTCACTAAGAAGAGATTGATCGATATATTGCGCACGTAATATTTCATCTGGTGAACCTCCTGGTCCAGCATCGTCCTCCGGGTGATGAGCACTGAATTCGCGAGGATCGTCGGCCGGATTCTCCATCTAAAGCGATAAGAAATTCGTTATGTGTCTGAAGGGTTGCGGTCCTAAAGCTCGCTCACGATCTCGACGAAAGTGCCATGACACGAGGCGCAAGTGGGTTGAGGGGCCTGTAAAGCCATCATTAGGTGCGTTGTGAGCACAATCACTGCATTGTGAGCTGACCATGAGGGCTCTCATTTCTGCATGGCACTAGCAGTATTGTCAGTGAAGCCCAGATACTTTGTGCAGAACATACTTCATGGCAATACCACATCGGATCGCGCGAGGACATTGTCGTAGTTCACTGTATACAGCTAAACCAGCGCCACTGGTCCTGCGTTAATCATCGCGCCAAACGGTCACGTGGCCATTTCCACGGAGCCTCAGATTTCGAATTCTTCCCGGTCCTTCCATCCAAGTTCCATCCACCCACCACCGCCGACACCGTCCTCCTCGTTCCGCTGGATGCGTGGCACCCGCAGCAGCCAGACAAACTGTGAGTCTCTCAAATCCTTGCTTTCCTGAGTAGGATGATTCTTTGGTTCCCTATTATACGACTCAGAGTCTTTGGATTTCTGGATTTGAGATCATATACCGGGTGTTCCTGATCGTGCTGCCTTCCTCCCTGCATCCGCGACACCAAACTCACTCGAAATTCCTGCCATTAAACAGGTCCTTGTTGCGTGTGTGCGCTCTCTGATTTGCGGCGTTTGCGATCGGGCCAGAAAGCAATGAGGAGCAACGTTGCCAGGATGGCGAGTTGTACTGTACATACAGTAGTTGCGTCGGATCCGAATATATGCTTGCAATCATTATCGCGATGCCCCGGTATCATGCATCATGACTCAAGATGAAGACGCTGGGGCATCAAAAGCCGCAGGTTGTGGGTGTGGGATTTTTCTCGCCATGCTCTCTGATCCGACATTGACGACGGCACTTTCAACCTTAAAATTCCAAATTCCATGTAGTATTATTCTGCTGGCTCTGCTCCACGACTTTCTCAAATATGTTCGAGCGTATATACCATCTGCAATAACGAGGCCATTTCAAAACTTCCTGACATTGGACGACTTGAAAACCGAGGTTGCAGTCCCCGTCCTAGTTCCGCTATGGAAGAAACGCGTACTGGCCTCACTCGCGTTCCTGGAGGCCGCAATCTGGCTCGCTAGTTTCTCGGCTACAGTTCTGGTCCAAAATGTGGAGGAATCACGGGAAGATCTGGTGTTGTTATTGGCTTGGGTGCGCGTCTGTCTGGTGTATACTATTTGACACAATGCTGACATTGCCCAGTGCTTTATCTTCGTCCGGAATGTCACCAAACCACTGTCGACGACGCCCTACGCATCGCTCGCCCTGAGTTTCTCGTTCTTTCTTGCTGCGGGACTCACCCTGGCCTGGAGGATATGGGATTCTGAATTCGACTACCTCGCTGCGCTGCTGGATCTCGTTCATCTGGCATTGTCGGGTGCTTTCACATGGGTGGCGGGAACCCTACCACTGAAGTCTCACTTGCCCGGCACTCGGGTCGCAAAGCCAGGCGATGTAAGAACGCGCCTTTTCCTCAGACTTAACAACAAGACATGAGCTCTGCTTTTATTCAGAGCCCATCCACTAGCTTCACATGTCCGGAAGACAATGTCACCCTGTGGTCATGGGCAACGTTTTCCTTCGCCCAGCCTATTTTGAACTTGGCCATGAAGAGGACCCTTAACGAGACCGATGTATGGTCTCTTTCGCCGTTCTTCAAACACAAAAATATATTCGAGAAGTTCCTCGAATACAGAACTGCGTACGTTCAAACCTGTCATTCTATGCTGCGCATTGTTAAGATTGTTCACAATGCAGCTACCCAAAACATTCGCTTCTGCGTTTCTTGCTGACCTCAAATTCGCTAGACCTGATCCTCAGTATAACTCTGGAGATGTGGAGTGCGGTGATCGGTATATATTGCCCCATCAGTCTATCTAGTACAATCTCATACTTGACGGATAGGATTCGTTCCCGCTTACGCCCTCCAGGAGATTCTTGCTCTCCTCAGCGAGAATGGGCCAGAAGCCAGGCTAAAAGCATTCTACTGGGCTGTCGTTACATTCCTCGCACACCTTACCTTTGCTCAAAAGGATCTACTCAAGAGTTGGCATACTCGCAGATGCTATGAGAGGACACGAGGGCAGCTATTCTGCAACCTGCACTATAAGGCACTGAAAAGGCAAGATGTCAGCAAGCAAGGAAGCCACGAAGATGACAAGCAGAGCAATGCTGATCTGGGAAAGATCTTGAACTTGATGCAGTAGGTGCTTCGGGCTTGCTTCTACTTTGAGATGCTAAAGCATAGCTATAGAGGGGATAGTTACGCTGTAGCTCAGCGCTTCTGGGACTTCTCTGGTCTGTTCGCATCGCCTGTACGCCTCGTCATCGCGTTGGTGTTCTTGTACAAGTGAGTGATTCCATGTATGCGCGGTCAAACGTGACTGAACGCATGGGCAATAGTGTATTGGGGTGGAGTGCGCTGTCTGGCGTGGTAGTAGTGATGCTGGCCTATGCTCTCAATTATCCGCTGCTCAAGTATAGCTTGTCGGTACGTATGATGAACTCAGAGGAGAACGAAGGACTCACATCCTTGGAAGATTTCAAAGTCGTCTTGGAAGGCAAGCGATGCACGAATGAATGTCGTCAATGAACTGCTACAAAACATCAGGTTCTTAAAGTTCTACGGCTGGGGTAAGCTATCAGTCACAAGCGTTGAACGTTATGATCGCAACTGAGTATCTCCCATAGAGAACCACTGGTCTGCCAAGGCCGAGCAGGCCAGAGAAACAGAGCTCATGTGGCGCGTCCGGTCCTACGTACTCAATACCTTGATAATTTTCATTTGGTTGGTCATTGCAACTTTTTGGGACTGCGAGGAGCGCTGAGCTCCTTCAAAGGATCTGGATTCCTTCAGCCACAGCACTCGTCTCATTCTTATGCTATACTCTGATCGCGGGTCAGCCGCTAACAGTGTCCAAGGCCTTCACGTCCATTGCGCTATTCTCTCAGCTGCAAGGAGCCATGATGGCGGTGCCCAGCGAGATCATGGCCATGCTCAATGGTGTGCTAACCTCTTATCTAAATCCCGTGCTTGATGTGTGCTCAGTCGAATCCAGCCTACGTGTCCATGCAGCGCATCGAAACTTTCCTACAAGAGGGGGAGATCCCTGAATGGGCGTCTTCGTTGGTAACTCGTGAAAGCGCTTCTTCCACGTCAAGTATCGGTATCACAGATGGTGTCTTTGAGTGGTATACGTCTTCCAGCGACAAAGATGGACCTGCTCGATTTCAACTGGGGCCCATCAATGTTGAGTTTGCGGAAGGAAAGCTCACACTCATTGTTGGACCCACTGGGTCAGGCAAGAGTGCATTCCTAGCTGCTCTATTAGGTGGTAAGAAATCGGGGCTCGTGTTTAGAGCATCACGCCTGAACGTTCTCCAGAAATGCGTTGCATATCCGGACAGGTGCACATCGATAAGCGCGACCACAAAATTGCCTATTGCGGGCAAGCCCCATGTCAGTCACCAGCGTCTTTTGCTTAGCGCGAAACTGACTACCTTGTAGGGCTCGAACACGCCACCATCCGCGATAACATCATATTTGGGTCTACGTCTGGGTTTGAGGAGGATCGGTACCGCGCTGTATTAGAAGCCTGTGCTCTTACTAAGGACCTTGAGATGTTTGATGCTGGCGATCTGACGGGTAAGTGCACATGTGCAGTAACCATGTCAAAGCTGCTCGAGGCTAAAGAATGGTTTGGTAGAGATCGGCGAGAAAGGCATAACACTTTCTGGTGGCCAGAAGGCTCGAGTTGCCCTTGCTCGAGCAGTATACTCGCAAGCCAAGGTTTGTGGAATCTTTCTTACAAAAGGGAGTCCGCGGCTAATTTAGTACCGCAGTATATACTCCTGGATGACCCGTACGTGAAGGTGATCTAGACGTCGGTGACATAGATGTTCAAAGTTCCATTACAGGCTGGCCGCAGTTGATATGCACACCGCTGAACACCTTCTCTCTACATGCCTGACTGGACCACTCATCACCGGCCGGACCGTCATCCTAGTCACTCACCATGTGAGAATGTGCCTACCCGCAGCGTCTTACATCGTCGAATTATCGAAGGGGACCATCTCCCGAAAAGGTACCGTCGATAAGTTCGCCGAACTAGGTGTACTCCAAGAAGTAGTGGAGTCTGAAGATCAACCATTTGTCGAAGAGGTTCCTTCGAAGGACATTCCGAATAACGAGGCCGACCAAACTCAAAAAAAGACAACGGCTCCGGCGAAGCGGTCGAACCCGAACTCTGGCAAGCTCGTGCAAGAGGAGGTTCGTGCGGAAGGTCGAGTTAATCCCAGCACGTACTGGTTCTACATACGTGCCGCAGGGATTTATTGCTGGATCCTCACTATTCTTCTCATGGGTGTTCAGCGGGTCGTCGAAATCGGTAATCAAGTAGGTGCATCGCCGTCTTGCCCTCTCTATATATTCTGGAACGTTGAGTTTCGTAGGTGTTCATCGCAAAATGGGGTGAAGCCTATCAGGGTTCTCCGTCAATCCTTCCTTCGATGCCTGATATCTGGAACCCCCTGCCTCCTCCAGACGTTGATGTAAAACCCTGGTTGATCGTATACGTCTTGATCTCCTTTGCTGGAGCCTTCACGGTCCTACTCTCCATCAGCTTAGGGTTTTATACTAGTCTTCAAGCAGCGCGCTCGCTCTTCGTCAAACTGCTCCGCCGATTGACACGAGCACCCGCCCGCTTTTTCGACACCACCCCCATCGGAAGAATCTTGAATCGATTTACGTCGGATATGCGGACTCTGGACGGGACGATCCAAGTTTCTGTTTACAGCGCACTCTCCGGTGTGCTTACATTCGCATCGTCATTTGTTACCATTGTCGTGGTGGTTCCGAACTTTGCACCTGTGGCCATCTTCGTTGCTTGGCTATACATTCGGATCGCGCCACCATATATCAATGCCTCCAGAGATTTGCGGCGTTTGGAATCCGTATCTTTGTCGCCTGCATTTGCAGGCTTTGACGAGCTTCTCCACGGCTTGGTACATGTCCGCGCCTTTGGGATGGAGAGCCGGTATCAGGAAGGCTTCTACAGAAAGGTAGGCTGACTGATAATATCAAGACCTTATTCGTGTAACAAAAGACGTACAGGTTGACAGGTTCCAAGCATTTGATCACGTCTATGTAGGTTTCTCCCCCGTAGTGCGACCTTATCAATAATACTTTCAATAGTGGCTAGTGAATAGCTGGCTTCGTTGGAGATACGACTGCCTAGGATCAATTGTTGTCTTCGCCACAACTCTGTTCGCCCTCTGGCGATCTGTTAGTGACGGGTCTGCGGCCATTGTCATAGTCCAGGCAGGAATTTTCGCCGAAGCGTCAAGGCAGTTGGTCAGGTTCATACCTTTATTACCTTCTCATTTTCTCGGCGTTGAAGTGAAGTGTCTTCGTAGGGTTGCAGCGCAAGTAGAACTGGACTTCAACTCCGTGGAGAGGATAGTCGAATATCTGGAAGTTCCGCAAGAAGCGCCAGCGATTAATGAGAAGAGTCGGCCGCCTGCTTACTGGCCATCCAGTGATGGCGGCATCGTTGTCGAGGATTTGGTAGTGAAGTACGCTAAATTTCTCCCAGATGTCCTACGGAACATCTCGTTCTCTATCAAACCTCGGGAGAAGATTGGTATTGTGAGTTTTAAGCTATATCCGTCGTATTCGAAGGGTTTACCGAGTCTTTGGTAGGTTGGAAGAACGGGTTCAGGTATATACCGTTTGTTACATCGGTCAACGCGCTTCCTCACATAGGCTGGACATCGTAGGGAAATCTACCTTGGCACTTTCCCTCCTGCGTATGGTCGAGCCATCCGGCGGCAAAATAATGTACGTGCGTCGCGCTAGTTGTGCCGCAGGCGATTCTGACTTTCATGCAGAATTGACGGTATAGATATATCATCTATCGGTTTAGAAGACCTCAGAACACGCGTGGTGAGCCCCATATTGTCCCCCGATTATATTATAGCAAGCCAACACCGCTGTAGACGATCGTCAGTCAAGACGTCTCCCTCTTCACTGGCACCCTTCGCAGCAATTTGGACCCTTTGAATGAGCACACTGATCAAGAATGCTGGGATGTCTTGGAAAGATGCCACCTCAAATCAATTATGAAACCGGTGAACGGGGAACTTTCGCTTGAGCTGCCGATTGGCCAGGAAGGGACGCTGAGCGCTGGTGAACGTCAGCTTGTTGCATTGGCTCGGGCGGTACTGCGGCGGACGAACATTGTAATCCTGGACGAGGCCACTTCGCAGATAGACAATAAACTTGACGATCAAGTGAGATAATTATACGATTTCTCTCGAGCCTCATTTTCTGACTTGGTATCGTTTATAGATACAGACCACTATACGAGAGGAACTCGCATCGGCATTGGTCATCACCATCGCTCACAGGCTGATGACAATCATAGACTATGATCGTATCCTCGTCCTGGATAACGGCGAAATCCTAGAGTTCGCACCTCCTCGCGAGTTGCTTGCGAACCCGGGAAGCGCGTTTAGGGAGATGTGCAAAAGGAGTGCAGACTGGCCGATCTTACAAGCTGGTCTGAACGGGGAGTCTTCGTGATGTAGTGTACGGCGTATGGTATTTACATTTAATTGTCACATGATCGTGAATGCCCCTGGCAGCTCCTATCCATGTCTCCTTAAGAGCACGCTGGGACGACTCTCCCTCATCCTTCAAGTATCCTTTACTATGCAAGCACGCTGGCCGCTATCCGTTCTTTGCTTGATATTTCTACAGCTTTGCTATGTGAACGCCCTGGTCGCAAAGGAGCCCAAACGACGCGGTTTATTCGGTAACGCCTTCGAATTCGACGAGGACAGAGAACACACGACTATCGCCGCTGCTACGAGGTCGACCACGCCAAGTGCGACGCCCACTACCACTGGAATACTTGGCGACATTTTCTTGACTACTACCCATTCTGCTTCTGGATCACTGTCGGCGGGCCATACCAAGGAAACGGACTCTATTCGCAGTTACTCCGTGTTGGGCACGCCGCCACCGCCAAAGCCTGTATCTGTCAGCGCGACACCGTTGTCACCAATAAGCTCTCCCCCGGCAGAAACGACGGAAGCGCCACCAGAAGTTCCTGCGCCCACGCCTGGCTCGACACTGACTACATCAAACGCAGAACTCGCCCAATGGAAGGTGCTTGGGGTGACGGTTCTTTGTATCGCAGTGGTGGCGGCCATCATCCTCTCCGTGATGTTCTTCGACACGTGGTGGGGCTTCGTCAGAGACGTGTTCCTTGGGAAGAAGCGCAGAGAGGCGGCTGAGGAGCTGGTCCCGGACTGGGAAAAGAGGAGCTGGGAGCTTCGGATGGTAAGCGAGGATGGCCATCGCTACCCGTCGCTCTCGTCGGTGGAATCTATCACGAAGTGGAAGGGCATGAAGGGGGGCAAGAAGACGCCCGCAGAGACGACGACCGAGAAACCAGACCTGGAGTTGCCTATGCCGACATATCGCCCAGACTACAACCCATACGCCCTACACTCACCCCCGAGTTCGAAGCCTTGAACGCCCAACTAATCCTCACGCTCCCTGATGAAAATTGTCGCGGTCTGTTCATATGATAACCCACAACTGCTAGCAGTATAATTTGAGATGTATTTGCAAGGCTAGGCATTGCTTGTCTGCTGCGGTGCTGGCACCTTCTTTTCTACAAAATCTGAAGCAACAATGCCGGCGATCCCAACCAAGCATAGGCCTAGTGAGATTTTGAGCCTCGCCGACGGTGGCAGAGCTGCATGTGTAGCCTGTAAGATGGTGAACTCGAACCGTGCCGGGGGACGCACCATTGTATGACTGCCAGAGACTTCGATTTGTGACTGCGGCTTTTGAGGCTGCTGCCGTGGATGGCTTTGCAGCAGGCGGCGGTGTGGTCGACGGGCGCTTGGCCATGGTGGCGGTCGAGAATGAAGTTTCTCGATCAAACAATCGACCGGCTTACGTCCGGCCCGCATCGTCACATAACAGCACCCCGTCATGTTCACTGGGTTGGTGAGTAGAGAAACTGCAAGGCTGCACGCATTTCTGATACGCTTTATCGCAGATAGAACACCTTGGAACGGTCCATGATATCCAGCGCGATGCTGGAGGCTGCACGCTCACCATCTCCGACTCTGCGCCCATCTTGGGGGACTGCCACATTGGCGACTCGATTGCGGTCAATGGTGCCTGCTTGACTGTAACAGAATTTGACCCAGAGAAGGAAGGCGGGTTCTTCAAGGTCTGGCTGGCGAATGAGACGCTGGATAGGACCGATCTAGGTGAGTGATTCGCGTTTTTGTAGTCGAATGTTTCTCAGTGCGCAGGCGAACGTAAGGTCGGCGATCAAGTGAACCTTGAACGTGCAATGGGAGCCCATGTGCGGTTCGGGGGGCACTTTGTGCAGGTGTGTCAATTCGCCCGTGCCAAACCGCACCCGTGCTGATTCTGTAGGCACATGTAGATACAACTGGTACCGTCGTGGATCGCTCCACGGATGGCGATTCTCTGCGCATGACCTTCCAACTCCCCGAACCCACCCCATCGCGGCCATCCTTACTGCCATACCTGATCCCCAAGGGCTATGTCACCCTCGACGGCACATCGCTCACAATTACCGGCGTCGACGACGAAAAGAGGCAGTTCAGCATCATGCTGATCCAGCACACACAGCAGAAGATCACGCTGAGCAAGAAACCGGTGGGGGCTACAGTGAATATCGAGGTGGACATGGTTGGGAAATATGTACACAAAAGCGTCGTAGCTGCACTCGGCGGTGGGGGAGACGAAGGTATCAAAGCCTTGATAGAGAGGGCGGTAGAGGATGCTCTGGCAAGAAAAGGGATTCAATAGCAACGTACTTGACAAGATAACTCTTCGGCTTCCCTCCTCCGCTCGGCGTTCAGTAATATGAGGAGAACGTCCTCCAAAGAGAGGTACTCAGACCATGACCGCTGACGATGGGCAGACCACAATCAAACTCAACTCCCGGGACTCGGGTGAGTGTCCACGAGAGCGTTGAAGTTTTGTTACGGCGTCAGAGACCAATTGGGGCGATGTTGACGGCTGTGCGTCGAACATAAAAGCCATACAATCCACTCAACCGCCTTCACACAAAATGATACACCCCCAGCAAAGCCCCTGCGTTCTACCGGGTGCCACTCAAATGAGGTACCTCCTTCGATTACAAGGGCTACGCGGGGACTAACTGCAACTCTTCAGAGAGCCATGGTTGACATTGGTATATCCTCTCGGGGCCAGAGCTGGCACTAATCAACGAGATATTGGAAGCAACAATGCCGCCGTGACATTCGACCGCCTCGCCTCTACCCCGCCATTCGATGGAGCCACGGGTCCTGATGGCGGCGACCGCACATTGCCTGCTTCATCCAGCAGCTCCATTGACTCACCTGGAAGGGCGCAGCAAGAGCAGAGAAATCTGCTGGTCCCTTCAGGGATCTAATTTCCCCTAGCATCGTCCGACACACAATGGCATGCCAACGATGACTGCATTGGCGGATAGCCGTCTGGTTCACCGACGAAAGCATGGCTGCTACATTTGCGGCAGTAAATTTACAACTAAAGCGAATCGAGACCGTGAGTTTCACTTCGCTGCTATATCTGCACGGCTATTGACGTACCGTGCGATTAGAGCACCTAGCTATGGTAGACACGCCTGAGTCCGATGACAGGCGTTAGATACGCGGCATACAAATGGAGTCTCGTCGAGCAAGAAAGACTCGTGGAGCCGGTGTGTTCAGCTGGCGGCAGGGTACAGAAAGACGCCAGCCCTCGCACCGACTTTGATAGGGAGAAGAACTGTCGCTCGGCAGGCAGTACATTTTAGTGAGACGGTCCGTCAGCCAGCTGTGAGCCCAAGCTTGAGAATGAGTGATGACAGTTACGAAAGGTGATAGATCCCGACCAAGGCGGTCATCCTGGAGGGACCTAGAGCTATTCAGGGCCATGTGATGCTTCGTTATTCGGCTTTGAACTTGCGGCTCATATCCATCGAAAGCTCAGACAAAGTTGGAGCTTCTTAAGTCCCGCTGAAGCGAGTAGCGTTTCTGAAACTTTAATCAGTATACATATTTACACGAGTACGAGGGCAGCTGGGTATCATACCGGACTACAGGCTTGAAAATAACTCGAGTCGAAATATCTCCAGAAGACTCATCGACGATGCGCTTGTTTGATATTCGCCCGCGCAGTACTTAGTGCTGTTGCCCGCTGCTCGACATAGAGAGAAGAGGCGCAGAATCATTTGGTAGCGTGTCGCCACGACGTCGGGAGCAACAACGGCAATGGTGACTCGTGAGTAAACTTTGTCACAGCGCTTATTGAATTCATGGTATTACGCAGATAAGATAAGATAACGGTCTTCTGCCAACATGTCACAAATTTGTGAAGAGCGTCGCTTACACCCACTCAACCTCTTGCTCCCGGCAAGGAGCTCGACGTCGGCCGATGGAGAACGTCCTCAAAAGAAAGGTGCGCTGATCCAGAGATGGAGCTCATCGAGGCTAACAATGAGCAGGCCACAGTCAAATTCAATCCCCATCAGAATGATGTACAATCCACTTCACGACCGCCCTCACCGTTCAAAGCACGCGTGCAGAACATGTCCTCCTCCTCGTCCTCTTCGAACGCCATGCCGGCAAAGTTGAAGGCGAAGGTGAACAGCACTGCGACCCCCCTCCGAAAGACCCCAAACGTGGTATCGAGCACCAAGTCGGCGACAGTCGCTGTTCGACGCGAAAGGAGCGTCACCACACTTAGTACAAGCCCGACACCACGGGCAGCGTCGCCCTTCAAATACAATACGCTCAAACCACCCCCGCGCGATGATTCACCGACATCTCACCCCAAAGTCCGCGCGACGGTCCGGACGCTGCGACCACATACAGCGCAGTCAGTAATAGGAAGCTCGGACACCCGCCAGCGAGCTTTCACTAGTGTAGCAGCGTCTGATGTTGGATCTAGAGGTCGTAATGGGAGCGTGTCATTACAGCATGCGGCGTCGTTCGCGTCGCTGCAGCGTTCGCAGCCGGGTTCGAGGTCAACATCACCTGTAGCACCCTCGCCAACGGACACGCTATCAGGAATGACGGGGTTGAAGATCAAAGCCAAGGTATCGGGGCTAGCGAAGCAGACACCCGTGAGTGGAGAGTTTTCACCATCAAGTCCACCGCTGCCATCCATACGTACGCCACCGACGCGCGCAAGAGCTGCGTCGATAACCAACATGACCTTTGCGTCTGCACCTCCGTCACCAAACCCTGGATTTATATACCCGATCACGACTGCCACTCCCGCTGCAAATCCTCACCGGTATGCCCCTGCGCGACCACACTACCAACCATTTCGTTCCCCCACTTCGGTCAAGGTTGATCCGGCCTCAATACCCCTTCCTCCACATTCTCCCCCCACCTCTTCGCTTTCTGTATCTTCCAAATCTTCTCTTTCTCGCTCATCTGTGCAATACCAAGTTTCGGCAGAGTCGAGCACTAGCCACAGTAACGCTTCAACGGAACATCTTCAACATCACGGAAAACACGATTCTAATGACTATGACGAGAGACTTCGCTCGACGCTGGACGATCTAGTGCGACACGTAGAGATGGGGGACGCGAATAATACATCGGGGGAGAGCGGCGACGACGATGCAGTATATGACGACGAACGTAAAGCACGAGCTCAAGCGAAGTCAAATCGAAAAGTAAGCTGTCCTCGCTGACGGATTTTGCTTCTCTACCTTACTTTCCTTATCTTGCCTGCTCCAGATCGAAGACTTGGAAATATCGAACCGTTCGCTACTTGCTATCAACGCATCATTAGAAGCTGCAAAGCATAAACAAGCGAAGGAGATCCGAGATTTGCGACGTAAACTGCGAGAATCGAGGCTGATATTACCCCCACGCGCATATCGCGCTGTCAAGTCCTCATATGGCCCTGACGACGAAGAACCCGATGACGAGGGGGATGATGATGCTGAGGGTGATGAGAGTGAGCCGGAAGACAGCGATATGGTGTATAAGCGCGTCAAGTCTTTGATAGAGGGGTTGCTGAGCAGCGGGAAGCGTGCGTTGGAGGCTAAGCCAGAAACACCGGTCTCCAGTAAAAGTGGGGCGAAAGTTCTCAGTGCTGAAGAAGTTAAGAGTTGGCGAGAGTCGTCAAATAGCGGGTCCGACCACGAAGATATAGATATGGACATCAAGCCACGGCGTAGTCGTCCTTCTTCTCGATCTCGCCGTACTTCAGGACGAAACGCAGACTCGGAGGAAGAGGTTGAGTCCATGGCTTACGCATTGACACCCTCTCCACCACCTTCGCTATCAGCATTCACCGGTTCCCGCTCTCCGCCGCCACCGATACTTGTGACAGAATCGCAATAATAATAAATACTTAGAGGTTTCGTTTCTCAATCCGTCTACTATGTTAACGTCAAGGGACAATGTTCATACCCGCCCACCTGCATGCATGCTTCACGATTTCCGCGTAATACCTTGTGCATTCATTTGCTTATCGGCATTAATCTATGTTAGTTCATCCATCCATTGTACAATACTGTATCGGAAAATCCGCAATCTACGTGTTCATCCTGATCGTCATCCATCTCCTACTAGTCGTCTCCCATTCTCTGAGCACGTTTCGCAAACTAGGGAAACAGATTATCAAGACCACGATGTTATGGATATGACAAGATGACTTACGGCAGCAGCCAGATCTAGCTGACCAACGGCAGCGGCAGGCTTCGCGACAGGACTCGGGCGAGGAGCTGCAGCGACGTTGGGTCTTGGAGCACTAGGGACTGGTGGTTTGCCAGCTACCTTCGGTGCGCCAGGTTTCGCCCCTACCGGAGGAGCTGGCTTCGGCTTGGTTGCTATCGGAGGCGGCGGTTTCGAAGAAATTGTGCTGGCGGTATTAGAGGACGATTCCGAAGCCTGCCTCTTCCATGGTGCAGCGGACCCATTCGATGGTGCCATGCCAGGGAAGACCGCTACTGGCTTCGCATTAGCGTTTGCTTGTACTGGTTTGGCTACAGGAGCTGGTTGAGGAGCTGGAGGGGCAACCGGCCGTCGAGGTGGTGGCGGGGGTGTTGGAACTGCCTTGGGAGCCGGCGCAGGTTCAAGGTAGTTATACGGCGCCCACCCTTCTTCACTACCTTTCTTGACTAGCCACCACCCATCATCACCTTGCTCAACCACTTCGACGATGTCATCCTTGTTCAGCGACATCTCGCCTTCCTGGCCTTCGAAAGGGAATTTCGCGCGGTATCTTGGCTTCTCGGGTTCAGCTGGTGGAGGCGGCGGCGGAGGTGGAGCTTGTCTACTAACGGCGGCGGCGGCAGGGGCTTTGGTGGCGGTCGACGATGTTGTCGCAACAGGCTTGACTACAGAAGGGGGCGGAGCGCTCGTCGCCGATTTCCCTGGAAGTGGTTGGGCAACGGGTCTTGGTCTCGATGATGTGGGCTTCTATATTAAGTTGTCAGGAACAAACAACTCGACCAAGGGAATGAATCCGACCTTCGAAGGTCCTCCAGCTTTAAGAAGCTTGCCTTGGGTGATTGGTCTCACGACGCCTGGTTTCCGTTTGGCAGGGGGACGTGATACACTATCCGGAGGTTCACCTGTTGCCACGCGAACAGTATGACTCTTGTAAGCGTCGTCCTTCGTCACAGTTTCATCCTTCGAGAACTTGATCAACTGTTTCTTGTCTTTCTTCTTGGCGTACTCGATACTGGGATACTCCTAGTCAGTGGACCAGATCACATATACATACAATACTACGCACGTTGGGCCGATCAAGAGGCTGATGCTTGACTGCGTGAGTGTTATGAGATTGGCCGCAAGTTCAGTCTTGAAGTAGGTGGTGAAGACCGGATCTCCTTCTTCGGTAGCATTGTTGATATTGAGACACTATGGGATTCGTTAGTTAGACGCGTAAACGAGGTGAATGGTGGCCCCATACTATCCAATCGTCTCGAAGGTAGGACATCCCAATGCTCCTGATGGTTACCAGAGGTATCTTCCGCTCCAAAGCAGTCTGAATCCGACCGTCTTTGTTAGTTGTGACCAAGATATGAACCGCCTTCTGTGTCTGTAGAGTAGGTTCAGTACAGGAAACCATTCCGTCCGTTCATAGCACCTACTACGACGATAAACCGAGGGCTCGGCTTACTCGACCGACCGAAGTGGGACACTAGGAGCTGAATCTTTCCGCTGAATGTAACCTCGTCAGCTAAAAGCGTAATCAGTCAATTGAAGATAGTGGTAAGGAGTCAATTACGCACATCCGACACCACATAATGATCCCAGCTCTTCGCCGAGGGGACTCTTGGTGTTAACGCCCAGGTAATCACCGAAGAAGCGACGATAACTGAGTAGACTGAAGCGCCGCCGTTCCTTACGTTTTGCCAAAATCTGATGTCCATATTCGCGTACTTGAGCGTAGACGATCGACTCTTTGTTGTTTTTCCAGAACCGTTGGATTCGACGGGCACATTCGTGCTTATAACGCATGTAGTTTCTGAACGCGCGCTGGATTCGAGCGGCCATGTTGTGCCAGTATCTGTCACGCATGGTCTCCAGCGCAAATAGCTATGTAAAACCATTAGAAACGGCGCGGATCACCGGTAATATAAGACTTACCGTCTCAGGGTTCTTGATGAACGCTTTGCTGACACCCATCTGCCATTCTTCCTTTGCAATACCAGTATCTGAGAGGATTTGTTGGCATCCTGACTTCGGGTCTCCTTGCCACGTATATTCTCCAGCGTACGAAGTCTTAGGCGACAGAAGATAGAAGCGCTCGACCATTTTCTCGAAGGTATTTCTGTAGGCAAAGCCAGCACGGCGAACTCGGATGTTCTCCTGGAGCCCGAGATACTTGATTTGATGAAGGATGGCCTTTAGATCATATTCGCTGGAGCTTCGGTTCTGATTTGGCTTGATCGTCCGAATGTATGAAGGCTGGGCCTTCATGAGATTTTCGACGAGGGCTCCGGCGGAAGACTAGTGGATGGTTTAAGTACTCTGCTAATATAGACAGACATATATTTACCTTAATCCTGTCTCCAGCGGTGGGTGGCCGCTTCTTGCTGTTGGGATCGGGTCGATCGGGAAAGAGGGTCTGCAAGAATTGATTGCTGCTAGAGGCAACCAAGTCCAATAAGTCCTTGAGTAACGAGTCCTTGTTCTTGTCCGTCATTCCAGCCACATTGTACATCACGTCACCAGCATAATGTTTCACCAAGAATTGGGAACCTCGGGCTTCGAAATGGGCATTGGTAGCGAGCGCCGCAGTTCTTTGGATGAAGCTGTTGTCTGCTGCAGATGGGTCAGCATGAGCAGTGGCACATGCATCGTTAAGCGCCGCGAATATTCCGGGGGGACGACGTTCTTCGATCAAGTCACAGACGACCTTGTTATTGAAGTACTTGATTGGTGTCCATTGGATCTGCTCGCGGACGTATTCCTCTTGCTCTGTCTTCAATGTCAACTCGATAAAAATCTGTTGCAGCTTCTCGTTGACATAGTTGATACAAAGTTGCTCGAAGGAGTTATCCTGTCAAAGTCATGAGAACCGGCAGCGCAATGCTTTGTTCATGATTTACCTCGAAGATCTCGAACCCAAAGATATCCTTTGGCAAAGTTAGAGCTTGTCCTGCGAAGCACCGAGCCGAAGCACGCACCAAGATCCCAATTACATGAGCGCTAGCTGATCTGGCCCTCATAGAAACGTTGATTCTGGAAACAATCCATTCGAAGAGATTGTTATATATAGCTTTGGCAAGGGCATCTCGGACGGACGACGCTTGCGCTGGATTGAGTGGTACATCATAGATAGATCCTCGTCGACCGCCCCGCTGTGTCTCCACAATCTTTGACGTTAGAACCTTCTGCACGGTGGCGGGATCGACCTCCATGAGGTACCCCACGAAGTCCGTGACGCCTGTATCACTGATTTGAGAGTTTCCATCGTCTTTCTCCTCGAACTGCACGTTGCCCAACCAAAGGACAATGGCTAGCATCCGGAAGATCTCGCTCTGTTCCTCTGGAGAAAGTCCGATGACTTGCATGGCTTGCTGAAGTAGGGGTGAGAGGTGTTGTTATGTATTTGAAACAACTTACAATGGTCTCGGAGAAATCCTGGCTATCGTCGATGCCTTGAACCTCTAAACAGTTACTCAAGCTAGTGTAGGCATAAGCTTCGGGTCCTTGGAGGCCGAACATCTCTGTATACGAGGTTGGGCTTGGAAGCTCACAGAAAAGGATATAGTCATACCTCTTTGTTCGTCTGTGGCGGCCTTGGTAAATTGATAAAATATATGGAAGTTACGCTCGTTCTCTATTTGGCCCACGACGCGACCTTTCTCGAGTAGATAGTTAGTTATCTGGGCGCCCACTGGCTCTCCTTGAGAATTGAACATGATCTCAAGGTACTTTCCCTGGAACAAAGGTACGTTGGTTAAGGGAAGATAAACGTAGTTGAATGACTCACATGCCGACTGGAGTTGTTATTACGAAGAGTCTTCGCACAACCAAAACTTTCGAGTAAGGGATTTGTGGCTAGAACCATGTCCTTTATTTCCTGGATGCTACTATCCGCGCCTCCCGAGACGGCTGCGATGTATTGCATGATACGTTTCGCAGCCTCAGTCTTGCCCGCTCCTGACTCGCCTGATATGATAACGCATTGATTCTCGTGATATGCATTCATGTTATAGTACGCAGACTCTGCGATGCCGAATACGTGAGGCGGGACCTCAAGCCTGTTCTTGCCGCGATATTTCTGCAGTACCTCGTCCGTATAGATTCCAAGGTCTTGAGTCAAGCATGAGATGGGTAGCGGTTCCAAGACTATACAGAGGGCGCACCGCGAAAAGGGTTGACAGATATCAACACTGCGCCGATATAGGTATATATCTCGCCGCTCGTCCACCTCTTCTGAAGGTTCTCATTGATGCTCTCGTTGCTGATCGTGGTCAGCAGGGTCATATCAGAGACTCCTACTTGCTTTTTCTTGAATCCCTCTTTCCAGTCGGCCTACTAGAAGATGAATGCATCGCAATCAGGAAATGTCGTGAATTGTACCTTGGCCACCTTCCCCCCTCCACCAGATTTCTTGGCCGTCGAGGTGACCTTTGTCCCCGCCTTCTTTGATTTCGCCTGGAAGGTGTGAGATTATGGCGTTTCCATGATTCTCTCGACGCACCATGGATGTTGTCAAGGTGAGACCGCGAAATTGCCGTAAAGCTGCGGTTGGACAACGGAGAAGTGATCGCTGAGCGTCCCGATATGGAAGTAGTCATCCATGTCGTCACGCGCAATGGGCGCGGCTCAAAAACTCAGACTCAAAGCCTGAAGTTCTTTGAATGAGAATCAAAATATTGTCATTGTTTCCGTAGAATGGTTAACGTCTCAAGCAGAGGCCGCAGCACTTCCTGTGGTGCCTTCGCCGCTACTTTCTCCAGTGACCTGGTCAACCCCGAAACATGAGCCTCAGTAATCAACGCTTCTCGCCTCTCTAAATCTGTAGCCCCTACGATGATATTCCGCACGCACACAACGCCGCGATGCATCAATCCTGGATTATCCTCAACTGAACCCGTGTCCTCCGTTGGATCAATCAATTGGCCAAGTATCCCAAAGGCCTTATGCTTCTCCAACTGAAGTTCTGCAAGCATGTTGCCGACATGCTCTGAGAGTGTCAGAGTAGCCAGAGCGCCGGAGGCAGCCACTCTCGTACGCTCGTCCTCGACATCTGACAACGCCACGAGGATCTCTAATCTCGACCTTGCGCTGGGAGAACTTGAAGCGCCACCATACCGTTCGAATATTTCGTCCGAACCGACTATGAGGTTGCATAGTAGTTCGACGGCGGCGCGGCGAACAAGAGTATTGTCGTCCAACATCATGAGCTCTACTTTTCCAACTAACCCCTCCACATTAGCAATGCGCTTGCAAAGCTCGGGACTCTGCGACGCGAGATTCGTTAAGGCCATCAAGGCTTCAAAACGTTGAAGGAGGTTGGATGATGAGTGTGTTAACAGAGTAGAGAACGGTCGTATTGCATCGTACATGAGGGATTCATTCGGCCCAAAGACCTGGATGGGGGAAGCTGTTATTGCAAGCTTTGCTAGGGCTCGGATAGAGTCGAGATACATGGCATCTAGGGGCTGGTCGTTGAGACCACGCTTGATCATTTGAAACAGAGCTTTGGCACCGCCGGCCTGTAGAACTTTCCCTCTATGCTCTTTTGTTTCTATGATGTTCAGAAGGGCTTTCCCCACAGTCACGCGAACCCCAACGCTATCCAACCTAGCCACCGATGCGGCGACCAAGACTTCCAACACTCCCGCTCCTACTAAACGCCTTATTCGTTTAGTCACGTACTCGCTTTGGTCGTAAGGGGACGGCTCCTTTGACTCCGCTTTCTTCTCAGCTCTAGCCATTTTCTTCAGTTTCTCTATCTGCGTCTGCTCTTCAGACATTTGTGGGCGGTAGGCGCATAACTGAGAGATGATGACAAGTATGCCATAAACCGTTGTGGCCTGGTCAGGAAGTGTATCGTTTTTGAGAGATTCCTTGCGGGGGACTAGAGCAAATAGACGAGATAATAAATTGGGATTGGCAATAATTTCTTCCTTGAAATCCGGATTTACGCTGAGATAGGCCAGCCCTTCGACAGCGTCAGCTACAGAAGAGGTATCTTTTGAAGAGATAACGATCTCTTTCATAAATTTGAAGCATTCGGCATCTTTGTCAGACACTTGGGCGAAAGATTGGGCGTCCAAACCGTCTGGACCAGTGTTACGCGACAATTTGACTAAAGCGAGCCCAGCAGCAGCACGCAAGGCAATGATCGTAGTTTGTCGGGCGGATATTTCGAGCCATTCTACCGTCAGAGATGTGAAAGAGGTGCGACACGGTTTATGACCAGCAGCTTGGGCGAACATCCGTGCGACATGAGGCAGTGACGAAGGCGGAGAGGTTTCAGCTTGATCTAGGATAGATTCGACCAAGCCGTCGCTGGTAAAGACGGTCGCAGCCGTCTCCCATTCCACTTGGAAGAATGCTGTCATGAAGCAGACGCCAGCAAGGAACTCCTTTTCTCCTGGATCACCGAGCTTGGACAGAATGGGAGGGCTGAAGACGCGCAATAGTTTATCTTTCCCCGCATTGCCTGATGCTGACGCCCTGGCGCTCTGACAGAAAGAAGAGAGTAGGAGATACGCTTTGGAACGGACGTCGAAGTCTTCAGTTGGCAAGAAAGCGGTGATCAGGTAGGCGAGTTCAGCGGGGAGGAGGTCTGTGGATGGAGATGATTTCGTTTGGGCGATCAAGCGATCCAGCGACAGCGGTTCCTGGTCGGCATTGGGGATCGCGTCTGGCGCCATCGTCGGTGGCTGTCGGCGAGACGGGGGCTGTCGCGTGCGATGCGGAGAGTGGCGAGCTTGGGAAATGCATAATTGAGAGAAGCTGAGACGATCGGCAACTGCCGCGCTCGCCATGTCCGCTGAAGAAAGTTTGAATTTCATTGAGCTCCCATCACCATGGCAGAAGAAGCATCGACGCAGAATAAGATACGCTCAGGAGACACTGTTCTTCTCAGAATACCGAATGGTGATACTCGAAGCGTAAAAGTGGAGAAGGATTTGTGCGAGTACCATTTCCCCGACCCCCGACTTCAATAGTGACTCCTGTTTAGAATCGTTTCCATCGGGAGGCTTGGTTCATTTTCATCGAATGAACTGATTGACCACCATTATGGTCTTACGTTCGAAATTGTGGGCAAGAATCTCGTTGTGTTGCCCCCTCAAAATATTCAGGAACTCGGTGGGTTGCTGCTCAAGAAACCTTTCGTGATAAGTTGTAATCGTTGAGACAGAGGAAACCGATGCCACAAATGAGCACATTGTAGGGGATGGCTCAGTGAAGCCTGTCACACCAGAGGAAATGGCAGCAATGAAGGAAGCTGGCGTCCATGTTTCGGTACCATTTTCTCAAAGCAACTTGAGGGAAGTTTGCCCATGCTTTCTGCAGGACATCATCAAGAAACAAATCGACCAGCATACGAATTTCGAGTTAAAGACGGAGTATAGTAAAGATAAATACAAGAAAAAGAAGGAGGCTAAGTAAGGGCGATGGTCCTCAAATGCCTTTGCTCGGCTCACCCGCATACCACAGATACGCAAAGGTTTTCACCACCATCCCGCCAACACTCTTCAATGTCTGCGAGTACTGGTATAACAAGGACCAGGGCCGCATCCGCGATCTCCGCATTGACGCGCTGTCTCAGATGCTTAACCTCGCGAATATCAGACCTGGCGGAAGGTATCTCGTCGTGGATGATGCCTCTGGATTGGTCGTCTCTGGTGTTCTCCATAGGATGGGAGGTATGTGCGATCCCTGGCCGTACGTGCTTAGTTCTGATCCCATCCTATGCAGGCCAAGGTCGTGTGCTCACAATCTGCGACGTGGAAACTCCACCTGCCTATCCAGTAATGACCCAAATGAACTTCCCGCCAGAATTCAAATCGATCATGGCATCTCTCAACTGGGCGACGTGTCAGGAAGACTACACCCCAAGTTCGTTCTTGATTTGAGACCGCGTCACGTTCTTATTTTTGTCGCGGATCAGTCATATCTACGTGGGATGTCGAAGAAGATCAAATCAGATCGGACAAACAGAGAATACGGGTGAACAAGAGGAGGGCTGCATCGGACTTCCTGCAGAGTACGCGCGAAGACCTATTTGCTGGAGAATTTGAAGCGTACGTAGGTACAACCTCTTGATGCTTGACAGGTTAGCTGATATACCCCAGGCTCGTCGTAGCAAGCGAATATGACCCTCAGTCAATATTGAAACGGCTGAATAAATATCTCGGTGGCTCATGTAATATCGTGATACACAGCCCATACGCACAGGTACATGATACAAACATGAAGCACGGTGATACTGACGATACTCGCAGATATTATCCGATCTTCAAGTCGTCATGAGAGCTTCTGCCGAGTACCTATCGCCAGCTTTGTCAGAGGTTTGGCTTCGACGTTATCAGGTATATCCTTCACACGAAGCTACCAGATCTCGGACTTACAGAGAACGTAGATATTGCCAGGTAGAACTCATCCTATGATGAACATGTCAGGCGCTGGTGGCTTTATTCTCCACGCAACGAAGGTGTAAGTCTTTCTTTTATGTACCTCTACACTGCCCTTCAGGCTTATCAGGCTTAATGCAAGCTACGATGACCCATCTGCAGTCCCGGTCGAGGCACATCGCCGCCTGCAGGCCAAACTTGCAACGGAAACACAAAAGAGTTCAGACATAGTTCCGAGTCAGCAAGAGGAAGGAGATGTTGCAATGACGGACGCTACATAGGTATCTAATTATGGTGTATCTTGATAATCGTGAAAGGTCGTTACATTCATTATCGAGATAAACCTGGTTGATTTATCTCGGGAAAAAGCGCGGAGAACACCTGGGTGAATATCAGACCGCAACTGATATGAAAGGGCAGGTCATACCTCGTCCACGACAGTGTATGCTATATGCTGGTTGAGTCGGCGATTTTGCAACACTGCGAAGATTCGTCGTGCACCTCTTCGTGCATTAGAGCGCCCAATCATGTTGGCGGCCAGGTCTGACACACGAACGTCAAGACAATCACATACCACATGAACCTTGTTGCTTACCAGGTATTAGCGAGGACAATTTACGGTTAGCTTCATCTCTGGTACGCAATTTCTCTTCTGTCGAACGCGGCTTGCCGGGTGGCTTGAGTTGGCCACCAGGCCAGAGTTGATCGCGGAATAGTGTCAAATAAGACATTAATCGCGATTCATCCAGTTGAGCCTTGAGGATTTCCCGGATTTTGCTGATGCTGCGTAAGAGCCTGCAAGATGGAAGAGGTAATGGTAGGCTCACCGTTCAATAGTACCTCCAAGGACTTGTTGTAGAATGATGACGATAGCTTGCCGTCTCAGCCAGTTATTCTTCTTCTTCAGCTCAAAAACGGCCAGCAAAAGGTCACAAATTGGGGAAGAGAACGATGACGTGCTCGTTTCTCCTTCCAAAGGTTTCAGGTCTCCGGATAGGTGGAGCAATGCAGCCTCTGACGCCGTCCTGCCAGATGCATCAAGAGCCTGTGCGACAATTTCTTCGTCGTTGACAGCGGCGCCAACAACACCTGCAAACTCAGCAGCCTGGCGAGTCAAACGTTGGATCATGACATCAAGCATGGAAGGGCCAAAGAACATATCGTCGATGCTTTCTGCTACTGAGCGATAGACCGTGCGGACTAAATCGGTACCGGGGAATGTAGGACTGATCTTCGAGGATGAGCGATGCTCAGTGGCCATGAAGGGCGAGTCTCGGGAAAGGAATGCGCGCAATTCATCGCTTTCGCAAACTGCAGGGATCGAAATCAAATTCTGGACGAAATATGTCAGGAAGGATGGTTATCAATAGAGCAGGATAAATACCTGAAGATATTTCTCTAGGGCTGCTCTTCGGTTGTCCACAAAGCTCCCCGAGAGCGCATGCACGAGACGCTTCCCTGGGAAATCAAGGTTTCTGACAAGCGCATATTTCTCCCGTAGCTTGATATGCGTGTTCAGGAACTCGTTATACCTACGAGCAACTACCCAGCCAGAAGCAAAACTTCCATTTGGGCCCAACTGCTGGACTTCAATCAGGTAGCGGACAACTGATTTACCATCCTCCTCCCCGACCGTAGAGTTCACAAGAGACACTCGTGTCTTGTCGGACAGGAGACGGTTCGCAGATTCCTGCTGCTCGTATTGCTTCTTCTGAAATTCAAACTGCCGGATTTCTCGGCCCATAGCCGTCTTCGATTTCTTGAGAAGGCGCAGCTCTTGTGCATCGCCCGTAAGTTCCGCTTTCTTGATCAGTTTATCCAACATCGCATCCTGAGATTGTAGGCTTGCGATTTTGCTTCCGAGCCGACCAATCTCGTAGGACAACTGGAGATCCCCAGGCCCGGCGGAATGGAAGGATGAGGAAGGGTCGGTAGCATCTTCGATCTTATCTTCGCTGTCACCCCCATCATCGTCGATGTCGTCATCGTAGTCGTCCTCAAATACCGGCCTCTGTGTCTCCACTGGCTTCGTGGTGCGTTGTGGTTCGCTCGGCGAGGCAGCATTACGACTAGGCCGGGGGCGCGCCGATAGGGAGGGAGTAGTCAATTTGCTCGACTTCTGGGTCTCTTCTTTGTCCGTCGCAATGATATCCGTGAGTGCAGCTTGTATCGCGTCCATTCGATTCGATTGTGATTTATCAACCTTTTGGTCTTCTGCATCGGGATCGTCAAACAATGGCGCTCGGGAGGAGCCTGAAAGATCGGGGACAGAGGACATGAGCAGTTCCATGTCCGGGGGAGGGATTCGGCGAGATAAATCAGCAGAGACTTGAGATCCTGAAGATGTTGCCCTTAGCATTGGGGCAGCCTCGGGGCGAGGAGGCAAAGACTGTGTGGAGTGATTCCCCCAGCTGAAGTGGAAAGGCAAGCTAGAGCCAACGAGAGCAGGGGAGGACACCGAGGTCGGACCTTCTACCAATGATGGAGCAGCCGACTGTTTTTTGCTTCCTACCTCCATGTCACCAGCCACACGGAACCAGAGCTCGGAGCGCTGGAACTCCTCGAAATCGTGTTCCATGGCTTTCTCGACTTGGCTTTGCGCACGCATAACACTTCGCCTGACCTTCCTTTGGGATGAGAGGGAAGGCGTGACTTCGGAGCGGGCAAATTCTTGGATTCTGTTCACGTACTTAGCAGAAATCGAAGAGAGTGCTGGGTGCGGTGTAGTAGAAGAGAAGTAAAGGTCGTTTATCATGGAGATATCCTCGTTCATGGTGGTAAAATTCGATGGATCCTGAATCGTCTCCTCCTCGTCCCCAGAAGATCCCGAGTCAACAGATTCGAGCGGGTTCTTGAATGATTCTACCGTTAGCCAAAATTGCACGAGGAGAGACCGATTTCGGCGGTCCATAAACTCCATGAAATAGGAAATTAAACTTGGGTTGGCCAGAATGTCGCGAAGGGTTAACCCCGACCTGATGCCAGAGTCCAAGGTGGTCGACTTCCGCTAAACCAACAATGGAGTTATAATTACATTGCCATCAAGTATGGCCAACGTACCAATTCATCCTCTCCTCCGAGCATGACAATTCTTTCTTCTACTGTACGTTTAGCAGTGTACAGCCTGTCGAGGAAAGCTACCACGTCTTCAGTCTTCTCGCCATTGATCCAATCCTCCTTCTCGTGATTGCCTGATGGCATAATCAATCCTAGGTACATATTCCCGAGGACTAAAGAACGGCGCACCAAGCAACATCCGCGTCCTCCTGATCTCGCCCATAATATCATTCTTCAAACGCCTTGCATCCAGCAAAGATGAACACCTATTTAAGCTCCTCAGGAAGGACTCAAATTGTCTGACATCCGTTCGTATAGTAATAGTTTCCGTCGTCGCTGCCACAGGCGGGGTAGACATGCGATTATGCGGCTGAGGTGCCTGAGCTTCCAGGACATTTCGAACCTTCGTAATCAATTTTCTACAAAAATCAACATTTAGTCGGACATAGCTACAGTCAGACTTACTGCTGGTGTATAGCCGCACCCGCCTAAACTGGGGTGAACTTGCCGCTGGAGTTTTGAACAAGGATGCACTCACAATGTCGTCGATCATACGGTTCCAGAAATCTGGATCGGCAACCATATCCATGATTGGGTATAAAACGGAGCAAGAAGCTATCTCCCGAGCGACAATTTTCAGGGCTTGGCTCTTAGCTTCAGTCTCTGGCAACATATAGGGCAATACTTTATCAATGATTTGACGAAGATGCGCCTCCTCTGTTTGTTTAGTGAACGTGGTCGATAGATTGTCAATTGCTGGATGTAGCTTCTCCCCACCCTTTGTGGCATAACGACTAGCTAACAGAATATCGAGTTCCTCGGACTGAGTTAAGCGGCGTTCTAACCCGGCTCCGCGGAGTGCCATCTCAGACTGCCGAAATTGCTCTATGTGGGCCGTTATCTTCGGTAGGATTCGGTTAACTAAGAGAGCAGCTAGGTCGACGCTCTCAGCGCGGTCGAGGAGTTTCGAAAGCGAGCTGTGCAGCACAGAGGACACTGCGGTAGGAAATGACGGCGATGATGATATGTCTTTGTACCAAGTTAGAACGAAATCGCGAACTATGAGGATGAGAATGTCGTTCAGAGTTGAAGAGATCATCTTAGATTCCGGGTAGAGAGGGGGGAATGTTTGGGGGGCGCTTTGAGACCATTGTGAACGAGTCAGAACGGCCTGCCAAGCTGCGGGAGTCGAGAAGGCGTAAGGTCTCGCGGCACTACTTAGGGAAGTCCTCCCATTCTTCTGCCACGAGTCCAGCCAATGTCCAATGCACACGTGCAACCCGACACTTGCAACAGCGATGAACACCAGAATGAGCGGGGATAGCAGCAAAAGCATATATGGCGAGAGAAATATGCGGGCGACGGTCGGAAAGCTGACCACGATTATGCCCAGCACAATGGCGCCTTGCGTGCTGAATGTGCTCATTTCGGGCCCTGGCTGAGCATCAGGAGGTGGTGGTCAGGAGGAGGAGCTGGTCGTAGTGATGGTCAAGAATCAAGCGGGGTAGCGCTGAGACTCTGCAACAGGACGGAATGCAAAGTGATCGGACTCTACGACGCACGTGATGGTATGGCAAGAAACCGACCGCCGGCTAACTTCTATACCATTAACCTCAACGGTCTCCTCGACGTCGAATGGCTGCGAAACCTGCTGCGAGCGGAGCCCATCCACTGTCAACATTGGAGGGCTTCACCTGCGGTGCTGTTGCAGCGTGTATAGCGGTTCGTTTATAATCCTTTGCATGTTCTACACGCTTACTGAGCCGTGGCAGGTCACCGTCTCCAACCCTGCTGAGGTGGCTAAGACGCGATTGCAACTGCAAGGGGAACTGGCCAAAAATGGCGGAGAACGGGTGTATAAGCATGCTGCGGACGTCTTCTCGAAAACATGGAAAAATGAGGGTATTCGTGGTATGCAGCGTGGTCTTGGTCCAGCGGTGAGTTCCGCACTAACACTATAGGGTATTGTAAGAGCTAATTTGATCTCTACAGTACATCTATCAGGTATGGTGCTAACAAATAACCCTGGGATTCAACGCTAATGCATACCACGTTCAGTTTTTGCTGAATGGATCGCGCCTTGGTTAGTCAAACATTCCCCGTCGTCCCCCTTCCCTATATTCATATTACCTCCAGGATTCTATGAGCCTTTCCGCCGCAACATCAACAAATTCTTTGGTGTCTCCCCGACCGATCATATACCAATAACGTCGGTGATCGCTGGAGCCTCCAGTGGTGCAGTTGGAGGTATGCCGCGCTATTGTCCTCTTGCGTTGCCGCATCACTCAGACCACTCGTAGCTGCACTCGGCAACCCGCTGTTCCTCATCAAAGCCCGTATGCAGGTTTGGCTTTGTGTGTGTATTTAGCCATGTAAGCAGCTGGCTGACCCATCCTCAAGGCATACTCACCGGCACTGCCAGTCGGTGCCCAGCACTATTATAAAAGTTCATTTGATGCTCTCAAGACAATATTCCGCGCGGAAGGTTATCGTGGCCTAGTTCGTGGCATCGACGCTGCCATTCTGAGGACGTCAATGGGGTCATCGGTACAATACCTTGTCATTTAGCTCGCTACACTTCGCTAACAATCGCCACTTGTATAGGTACAACTTCCGAGTTACAATTTCGCCAAGAGTCAATTATCAAAGCATGATATTCTACCAACGAACAGCCCTTGGTCCTTTTTAATCAGCAGTTCCGTGTCTGGAGCCTGTGTGGTAGGTGTCTGTTTCGAAGTTTCACTGCCAGCTGATGTCAACCACACTTCGCAGTGTCTTGTTATGCAACCAGCGGATACGGTGAATTTTGCGTGGCATCGGATCAGTATGTGGATCTAATATGTCTACCACTTAGGCTTTGACTCGCGTCTACAATCAACCAACGACCAAACTCCCGAATGGAAGAATCGTGGGTACGCTTTATAAAAACCCAATAGATTGTCTGTGGAAGACCTTTAAAGCCGAAGGTATAAAAGGATGGTACAAAGGTTAGACTTGATTCTATGTTGTTCGGCCTCTTGCTTAGCTTGCATGTACAAGGTTCCACCGCTCACTTCCTACGGATCGCGCCTCACACGTAAGTGCCGACGTTAACCTACTACACCGAGTATTTACACATTGTTGCTTTAGGATCATTACATTAACGGCAAACGATATAATCATTAATCTCTACCTCAAGACTCGGGATGGACGCCAGTAGATGTACGTAGACATGTGTGGTTATCACCAATCACAATGACGATGATACCCTGGAGTGCATATGTTGCGAACTCAAGGTCCGATTGAGAAGTGACTGTTCGCGCCCCATGTGGTCAAGTTGTCCCTTATCCCCACCAACCCCGCTGCTTTCCGTCTCTCCAGTAATTCCAAAAGCTGAGCTTCCACCTTTCAGGAGTCGGAGAACTGCTGGATCGTATGCCCAGGGCAACCTTTATGCCGCGAGCACGCGGCCATGGGTGTTCTCTACCTTGCCGAACAACAAGGGAGCCAACCAGTGACTGCCAACTGCAGCCCAAGTCAAGTCGCCTTTTGTCCGGCGTTGTCTTTGTTCCAGGGCTGAGGTAATTCAGGGTCGCTTCCCCACCTCCAGGCTAATTTTGGCCCACGCGCTTACCTCACTTCTTCTGCTCCGTCCATGTCTGACAACTCTTCGGCCCCCCACCAAAGCTTCAGAAACCCTCAAATGACCATGTTTTCTCATTGAAGTAACATATAGGAGTGGGTCAATTGATGCTGCCCAGCCCAGGTAGATACAAGGCTCGCGTGGGGGTATATCACATTGCGCGAGGCAACAGAGTCTGTAGTTGTTGGCGCACGCAGTACGGCAGGACCATGTCTGTGCATCCATCATTGGGGACAAACCGTCCCACACTGAGCAGGCTTCGATTTCGATCACAAATTGCTTGATCGGCCGTTCTCAAAGCTTCAGCTACGTTACGGCTCGTCCTATAAAAGGCTCCCATCTTGGTATTGCCCAACCATCTGCCGCCATTCTCTATACAGCATGCTACACTCATTCTTGAGGGCGGTGACCTGCCTTTCTATTGCGTCCTCCTCCCTCGCCATAACGCCAGGCTTTCCCTATGGATCGCAGAAAGTCCGTGGGGTGAACCTTGGTGGATGGCTCGTCCTCGAGGTGCGACATAATCACTTTGACTCCATACACGATGTTGATATCACGCTAGCCATGGATTACGCCGTCATTATTTGACGCGACGGGAAACGACGCCATCGTCGATGAGTGGACGTTTGGCCAGCTTCAAGACCGGAATGTTGCCACTGCCGCGCTCAAGAAACACTGGGACACATGGATTACGGAGTCTGACTTCGCCGCTATTGCCGCTGCAGGGTTTGCATTATCATAAGCTGCTCAATACTCGACACTGAACTCGGCGAGCAGATTAAACCATGTGAGATTGCCTATCGGCTATTGGGCATTCGAAGTGGCTCCTGGCGAGCCCTTCATTCAAGGACAGCTTCCATATCTCACCAAGGCAGTCACTTGGGCTCAAAACCACAATTTGAAGCTCATAGTTGATCTTCATGGGGCACCAGGGAGTCAGAATGGGTGCGCATTCTCCTCCCGGCACCCTCTTCGGCCGCCAATCGCTGTTCTTTTAGGTTTGACAACTCCGGGCAGAAGAAATCATTCCCCGGATGGCACTCAAGCTCCAGCAACATCGCACGCACCAATGCCATAATCAAACGCATTGCTTCCATGTTTGCCACTCAGACATCTACGGTCCCCATCATTGCGCCTTTGAATGAGTTGAGTGATTTTATCATTCCATCGACTCCGTGATTGATTTCATTCCGACAGACCCGCTGGCTTCGATGGCCAAGCTGTACTAGATGCGACGCGTCAGGTGTGTTCGCCCGCTACTTCGACTCCATAGCAAAGTTCTCACAATGCCCGAAGTACTGGTTCGATAGCTATGGTAACATTCGGTATGTACCTTGGAGTATCATAAACATGATATGATCTTATCTAAGTACTGATGTATGACTTTTAATAGCTTTCCTTTCGGAACATCACAGCAAGGCAATACGGTTGTATTGATCCATGATGCCTTCCAGCCCTTGAGCTTCTGGGCTGATTTCATGGACCCTCCTCATTGGGAAGGTGTAGCTATGGACACCCATATTTACCAGATGTTCTCAGTGGCGGCACGTCTGTTCTGAGTCCTTTCCTGCATCGCCTAACGTCCTCCCTAGGAAAACCAAATGAGTCAATCTCAACATATCCAAACGGCATGCAATAAAGCTTCGTCCCTATCTTCGTTTCACCTCTGGACGATTGTTGGAGAATGGACACCTGCGGCCAACGATTGTGCTAAGTATCTCAATGGTCGTGGTGTTGGCTCTCGCTTCGATGGATCATTCCCCGGCTCGACTCGAGTGGGCAGCTGCACAGGGCTCACTGGGAAAGCTTCTTCCTTCAGCGCAAGCTACAAGACATTCCTCAGGCAATATTGGGAAGCGCAAGTCATCACGTTCGAGAAAGGCGCTGGCTGGATTCAGTGGACTTGGAAAGCTGAGATTGCGGACGAGTGGACATATCAGGCTGGGTTGGCGAATGGCTGGATCCCACAGAACCCGACGAGCAGGCAGTTCCCCAATATTTGTGGATAAATTATTCCCGTTCGCAGTCCCCTTTCTTTTGCTTTCCCTTTTGTCATGTTTTATACCCTCATTGTTTTTTAGTTTTCGTGACATCGCCTTACGTATTATCATGGCAATTCTACTGGTCCATTGAATGAATTGTCCCATGGGACCCATTGTCTCAGCCTTCAATTCATATTCTTTCTACGTGAGCACTCTTGTCCGACTCGAACCGCATCCCAAATATTCAGCGAGTACTCGAGTACCTTCAGGCGGACCGCTTCGTCGTACATGGCAGTGCCAAGGGTCGCAGACCGTGAGTAGAGTTGGTTTGATGGAGTTAGACGACTCCTTGTTGGGCACAAGAGACTCGTAATTGAAAAGAACGCCCCTTCGACGCGTCCCATCATATCCCCCTCCTCCCCCCATGCCCACCTTCCGCCTCTACAACCTCTCCAATGTTACTTCCAGGATTCTCCCTCCCAGTTCCTCAGCCGGCGGCCCAAGTGAAATTCAACTCTCCATAACAGGATTGCAGGCTTGCAGGGCCGCTGATCCAAATTGGTATACCATGTCTCAGATGCAGATTTAGGGGCTATACGCTGGTGGCCTCTGCTCTAGGTAACACGGAGGGCAGGAACGACTTTGTAGCTTGTTTTTATACCTCTACAACAGTTGGGTGTTAAGCAATGGGTCTTGGTGCATGCTCATCGTCGACTGCGGGCGGCCGTTCGACCTATATTCTCCCAACGACTGAGAGAACGCTCGCTGGAGGCAGCTCCCCCTCCCTTTTCAACGGTCGCGTTCGTCTTCCCCCCGCCGCAGTCCTCGATTCGCGCCAGCAATCCTTGCCCACTGTCCATGTAATGGGAACGGTCTACCATCCCCTCGCGTCAAGTCGTCCGACGTTTATCGTCGGCAACTCCTTTCACGCTGTATGGCACGGTGAGCTGATTTTATCCCCCCTCCCCCCTCCCCCCGAGAACATTCGTCGCTCAGCGAAGGTATTCATAAGCCAACCAAGGCCCCCAAGCAATGCAGTCTATGTCTATTTCGTTGGACAACTCCCCCCCGGGACAGGAAGATGTGGAGGCCCAAGCCACAGCTAATCCCCGTCAAGGTAGTTCGCTGAGAAAATGGGCTCCTCTGGGATGTGTGATGCTCCTCACCATGTACCTATGTTTGTCCCCCGTATTACGGGGCCAGTCTGTCTCCATCCCCCCAGGGATACCATGTAAGCCTCCCCGCTGAATATGCTTTGATTATGCAACGACGTTTACCCTATTTCTGTCTCAAGGACACCCCACCAGCAACATGACCACCCTTCACCGTTGCTGCTCGTTCGCTCTGACTTGCTCTCTTTCTGCTTTTCGTGTAATTTCAACGCTTCCGGCAACTGTACTATGCGTTATAGATGAGATTCCTGTTTCATGAAAACATACAACGGATATACTTGTTCTAGTAGATCATCCATCCATATACTCTAGTGATTTCTTCTCAACTAGTATTCTCCTGAAGAGCCCTGAGACCTCCTGTATCGAAAGGGGGATCATGCCATTTCGGTAAGCCGTGCTAATAATGCTCGGCATATCATATGGGACGACTGCTAATTACGACTCAAACTCGTTCACCGAACATCCCCCGTAAACTGCCAGCATGGCAAGCAAACAGGTTGGTGTTAGTCGTGGATTTGCACGTCGACCAGGACTGATATTCCCCTCCAGCTAGGAAAGCTACGCCAGGTTAGCATTGTTCACCATTGCTCAGTGTCGATAACAGTGCATGGCGCTCATTATATTTACAGTGGGCTGGCGAAGTAATTTCGACGCGTGACAGGACCACGTACACTGAAGAATTCAAGGAGGTCGAGAAGGATATTGAGCTGAGGAAGAGCGGCGCTGAGCGGTACGTTGTGCAGCGAAGCATTCTGACGGTGCACTAATGTACCATGAACCCAGTCTCTTCGCGGCCTGTGAATCATACCACCGTGCCTTAACGAAGAAGAAGGACTCGGATGCTCTGGATGATCCAGAGAAGCTGCTGCCCATTGATGCCTTAGGCATCGTCATGATTGTGCATGGCGAGGAGGTCCCTGAAGAGTCAATATATGGTTGGTGAATTGCGTACGACACACATCGAGTCTGATATGTATCCATCATTAGGCTCTTCTCTGCTGAAACTTGGTCGTGCTCATTGCAAAGTGGCAACTCTACAAGAAGCATACGCCCTCACATTCCAGGACACATTCCTTAGATCTGTCGAAAGATTCCAAGAAGATGTTAAGGAGTACGAGGCTCATAAGAAGAAGCTTGAGAGTCGGAGGTACGGTGCTCATTCATTACCCGTTCCTGACTGAACCGTTTTCAAGATTGAGCTACGACGCAGCCTTTGCGAAGGCCGAGAAGGCTAAGAGCAAGAAGGAGAAGGACAAACGAGAGGCAGAGGAGGAACTGGAGCTTGCCAAGCAGCGCTAGTGCGTGTGATGTATGCTCGTCTCTGTTCTCTGACTGATTCATCGGCTTATAGCGAGGAAACACTCGAAGATGTCCGCGTCATGATGGAGGCCATCCAAGCCAGCGAAACCGAATTACAGAACGACCTCACCGCTTTTCTAGAGCTGGAGATCAATTTCGTGGAGCAATATCTCGCTGTGATGCAAGAGGTCAAAGCTGACTGGTGATTGTCTCTTCATGCTCAGTAGCTTATCAAACTCGTGCTCATACTCATCTCATCCACCAGGCCCACCACTATTAATAGCAACAAGCGCTCGCCACCACTGCTGAAGCACGCGATGTCGAAGTCCGGTTCTGTTCGATCGAAGCGATCGACAAAATCGACGCGTTCTGTCGGAAGGGCAACTCCTGTTGCTGCTGCCGAGGATTCCGAAGACGACTCCCCGCGTCTTGCCCCAGCGCTTAGCCGCAGGTCTTCCGCACATGGGCGTTCTGATTCCATCTCCAGCAAACCACCATCTCGTCCTGCTTCTCGGACATCGCGTAAACGCAGTGATAGTTCGGCCACAGCGAACGGGGATAAGGAGAAGAACGACAAATCACCGAAGAAGTTGGGCGTTTCTGGTTGGGTAGGATGGGGCAAGAAGACCAAGGACTTCTCGACTCTGGACGGCGATGAGATGACCGAACGGGAGGCCGGGGACAACGATAAGCAGGTTCACCACAAGGCCAGCAGTTCGTCGTTTTCCAGACGTTTCAAGGACAGCCTTTCCACTACGTCGCCCAAAGTCCCTCCGCGTGTCCTGAAGACCCCATCTCAACATGACCTGAAGACGGTCAGGGCCTTGTACGACTTCAATGGGTCCTCTGATGAACTATCCTTCAAAGTCGGTGACGAGATTGTGGTCGTTAACGAAGTCCTAGAAGAATGGTGGATGGGAGAACTCGGCGGCAGAAAGGGTCTATTTCCGACATCCTACACTACAGTCGTGCCTGCGACGCAATCACGGAAACCATCACCTCCACTGCGCAATCCTTTGCAAAAGAGTCCCAAGACGAAGCGACTCTCGATATCCTCTGAGGAAGGGGCGGTCCAAAGGCCCTTGATTCATGATGCTTCCGAAGCGAGTGAATTAGAAGACGAAGAGCACATACTCAGTGGACGTCTCGTATCTAGCGCTAGCCCCTTCTATCTTCCTGGTGCAAACAATGATAGCAGTGGCACGGAGGACGATGACCTGAATGATCGTGTGGCCAAGTGGAAGCACGACGTTAATGGAGGCTCTAATGACTCTCTATCTCATGCGAAGGCAACGGTTGAGACGACATCTTCTCCTTTTCATCCCCAGCCACCCCTGCTTCGACGAGCTGATACCTCTTCTGGCATAAAGAAGACCCCGCCACCACCTCCGCCACCGCGCAGGCACTCCACGAACTTACTCACCAGTCCGCCGTTGCCTCCGCGTAAGCCTGCTAGCACGTCCAGTTCGTCTATGTTAGACGTCACTCCAAACGCGTCAAATAACAATGTCGGCTATGATGTCTCGCCATTCGAGAGCACAAGCGAACTCGCTGGATGTAGCCAGTTCCGTCAGAATCCTTTCAAACCCAAGGGTACATGTAGTAACTGTTTCCAGTTTCATCACGATTTCTAGGTAGTTTACATATTATCTGATTGCTGCTCTCTATATAGTATACATCATTGTCGCGTTGATCGTAGGCTCTAATGCTCCCATATTACTTGTACACATTAGACTATCTCACATAGGATCATTTGGTTTATGACATCCCACCAAGTTGACATACTTTCGGGCGTAAAATAGTGGTAATCAAACGCTTCAAGTGTCACATCAACGTATCATGTACTAGGTGCTTCGTATGGCTGATTGGCAGTGGGGAATCTTGCCCGCCGAAGCCCAGGGCGCGATTCTCAAACATAATCATACCTGCGGTGAGACGCACGAGTTGCTGTGCACGTTGGTAACGCACTGTTAGATGTTGTACCGACGGCAACTACCGAGTATATATATTGCAGGCCCTTGCATTGTGATCATCATACCCCACTAGAGTCTCCCTCCAACCCATGGCCCCAATCGATAAACTCCAAGCGCGGTACGAAGCCGCTGGGCAAGGCCACCTCCTCAAATTCTGGCCTGAGCTCAACGAGACCGAGCGCGATGCCTTGAGAAAGCAGCTGGAGGCCCTCGACATCGAACGCGTCAACCGCATCTTCAAGAAGTCGATTGAAGCCGAATCGAGGGCGTCTGACCCGAGCGTACCCAGCGATCCTATAGAGCCCCTTCCACAAGAGCTGTCCGACTCCGTCGTCGGCGCTCCGGAGAAAGAAGCGGAATGGAGGCAGGTTGGCTTGGACGCCATCGCGCGAGGCGAGGTCGGGGTCTTGCTGATGGCGGGCGGTCAAGGGACGCGATTAGGCAGCAGCGCGCCCAAGGGGTGCTACGACATTGGACTCCCATCCCACAAATCGCTGTTCCAGTACCAGGCAGAGCGCATCGCGCGCTTGCAAACGGTGGCCGAGAAGGAGCGCGAAAAGCCAGCGGGGTCGGTCATCATCCCCTGGTATGTCATGACCAGCGGCCCAACACGAAAGGACACGGAAGATTACTTCAAGGAGCATCGCTTCTTTGGCTTGAGCCCGAAGAACGTGATCTTCTTTGAACAAGGTAATCGCGTTATCAACCCATTGGGAAATCTGTGACTTATGCTTTGGCTAGGAACGCTCCCATGTCTCACGATGGACGGCAAGGTGTTCCTTGACACCAAGTCGCATGTAGCCGAAGCCCCCGATGGCAATGGTGGTCTTTACGCTGCCACCCGCTCACCGCTCTCCCCATCGGACCCATCACGAACTGTGCTTTCCGACCTGGCCGCCCGAAAGATCCTGTACGTACATGCATACTGCGTGGACAATTGCCTGGTCCGCGTCGCCGACCCCGTCTTCATCGGGTACTGCATCTCAAAGCAAGTAGAGTGTGGCGCAAAGGTCGTCCCAAAAGCCTCGCCAACCGAATCAGTCGGTGTGGTCGCCTACCGTGGAGGGAAGCCCAGCGTAGTTGAGTACAGCGAGATATCCAAGGAGCAGGCTGAGAGGAGAGATCCATCGGGAGAACTTACCTTCCGCGCAGGCAACATCGCCAATCATTTCTACACCACGCAGTTCCTAAACTCAGTAGAGGCCTTCGAGGAGGAGCTCGCGTTCCACATCGCCCGCAAGAAGATCCCTCACGTTGACTTCGAGTCCGGAGAGTCCCTCAAACCGTCCAAGCCCAACGGCATGAAGCTCGAGATGTTCGTATTTGACGTGTTCCCATACACAAAGAACTTCGCCGTGCTAGAGATCGCGAGGAACGATGACTTCAGTCCTCTCAAGAATGCCCCCGGTACTGGCAGTGACGATCCTGAAACCAGCCGTAGAGACTTGCTTCAACAGCACAAACGATTCCTCGAAAAGGCCGGCGCGACCGTCAAAGAGGGCGTAGAGATCGAGGTGTCGCCGTTGGTGAGTTACGCTGGAGAAGGGTTGGAGGACATCAAAGGCAAAGTATTCAGTAAATCTGGAATGGTAGAAGGCGTGGAAGAGCTAGATGCGTTAGTATGAAGAGCAGAGCTGGAAACCAGCTTGGATTTTGGACTGGATTACAGGACTTTTCCTTTCGTATAGCATTTTCGTACTTTCAGATTATAGTTCTCAACGTCGTGTCGCCTAGCAAGAGAGAATCAAAGGTCCAATTGCAATTGTCAACTACCAACGGTGCCATTGGGTAACTTCGTCCCTCCTTTTTTCTCTAGCTCTTCTCTGAGAGACGCAAACAGCCGCTGCGATCGCTCTGATGAAGGCTGGTTGGATAGTCACAGGTTAGTCAATATCGCATTACGGGTTGAGGTGAGGTGAGTGTATGCGCACCTCTTTACAGCATATTATTAGCTTGTCAATGAGTTTCGTTTGCTCATTCTGTACGGTTTGCAGCTCCTTCTTTAACCGCTGTATCTAACGGAAGTTGAGCCAAAAGAATACGCTAAATGGGAGTGCATGCGAACCTCTTCTTCATGTTTGTCAGCTCGAGCTTTCTCCCCTTCTGCTAACGCTCGTTGCTCTGTGGCTCTTGCGCGGGACAGGAGGACTTCTAGCTCTTTCGAACGGATGACGCATTCGAAATGTCGTTCTCGAAGTTCGTACTGCCGGAGTACTTCTTTGATGCGGTCTCGAGTGCTATATTGCGAAGGAAGTCAGAGGGACTTGGTTTTCAGCGCAATAAAAGAGTATTCGATACATACACTCCGTCGAAGATCTCTTCTAGTGTGCGTCGAGCCCTATATAGGATGTCAGGATCTACGGGGATGGTAACGCAAAGAAAGCGCACTCCTGGGGATTCTCACTCCAATTCTTCTTCAGAGTCTGTCGCGCCGGCTCGCTGAATCCGTCCTACTCCAGTCAGCCCACCGCACTTATCCACCAGGTATATGCATATCCAGTAGCTCACCCATTCATCGAGTCCCGGGCCCACGGTGAGGTCCATGAGCTCAACGGCTAAGATCTCATCCCCATCCTCCATCGCGATATCTTCAGGCGTCTGGTCCGCCTCCACCGACCGCCCATTATGGCTGAAGATGAACTGCATACCCGGCTCGCCCTTCGCGCTCCCGTTCCCATTTACGTTCCCGTTCCCATTCGCCTGTCCCGAGGATACATGCGCTCCCCCGTCCGCACCGCCGTTCTCACTCCCGCTCCCGCTTCCATTCGTCAAAGGCCCCATCTTCCCGCCCGTTTTCTCCATCCGCTCCGTCCACGCCCCGAACAGCCTCGACAGCCTCGCCTTGCGCCCGATCTTGAAGAAGAGCTCCGCGCGGTATCGGCACACGACTTTGACGACGATGTCGGGGCTCTCGCGGAATTTGTCATCCTGCTGCTTCGCTTTGTCCGCGCGTCTGCTCAGGTCGTTCTTCATCTGCATGAGCTGGCGAGGACGTATGGATATGTGAGAATGGAGGGTAGATGAGTGGATGGGGGAGGACGGTACCTCTTCCTGTGCATCCTCGACACATTGGGACATTCGCTTTGTATCTTCCTGTATATTCTGATGAGTTGGAGTAGGGTTGAAGGATGAGTAATACGGACTCGCAGACGCTTGTTGTCCTGCAGCAGGCTGTCAGCAAGCACATAAGAAAGTCAATGGTATGGAATGACCTTCTGGAGCTCCCGGGCCAAGTTCTCGATCTTGGCCTTTGTCTGGTTGGCCTTGGTCAACTGCCCTTTGGCTGCAATCCCAGTAATTAAGATCTTGCTTTACACGAACATCCTGTATGACAATGGCGCACCTGTGTCCTTGTCTTTAACTAGCTTCTGCTTCTCTTTAGCGTGATCCCGTTCAACCCGCTTCAGTTCTGCAAACTATGCGCGTTAGACTTGGGTCAGCACAGAGGATCACTAGTACAGACGGCGGGCCATTCACCAGCTCTATGTATTTGGCGTGGATGGCATTTTCTCCCATCCCTTTCACCGACTTCTGGGCTTCTTCCGCTGTGAGGCCGAGAGAGGGAGATGAATACCGGAACAGTCGATGCTACGGGCTACGCACCGAAACGACGTTCCTCCTCCTCTTCCAGGACTTCCTCCTCTTCAAGCGCGGCAATCCTATTCTTCAAAGTTTCATACATTGTAGCAGGATCGACGGGTGCGTCATTGGCTTTCTTCTTGCCCTTCTGTGTCTGCGGGTGGGCCCCGTTGACGGTCGTGTGTGTATGATTGTGATTGTGGGTGTGGGAATGGGTATGCGCGTTTGTGCCGTTTGCGAGATTCGGGGGTGGGGCATGGGAGGTGTGGGTGTGGTTTGGTGGCCCAGGTGGCGCGGCTGCTGGAGCGGGGGGTGCTGGGCCGGGTGGTGGTCGCGCTGACCTGACAGGCGCGCTCGATGTGGGGTTCGGTGCACTCACGGCCGCCGCCATTCAAACCGTAAAGCAAGGGGGATGCTGGTGCAGATGCAAGGTGGGCGTGCACTATATAGCAGTATCCAGGTGCGGTCTGGTTTCAACAAAGCCTTTGTGAGATGGCCGTCGTTTCAAAGAAACTGCTGTGGTACTCACTCGCTGCAAGGTAAGGTCAAAGAAACGAAGGCTGGTGCAGCGGACAGTTCGTGAAAGAGAGGAAGAGAGCTAGTGGTAAGCTGAGGCTAAAAACAGCGAAACTCCTAACATGTGTCCTCTGGCAAAATTCTCGGCGGCACCTTTTCGACAGAGCTCATGCAGCAGATTCACCGACGGATTCCAGCTCACAGGACGTTGACAGCAAATCAGCTCTAGATGCTATTACCCGTATGATTGGTAGTAATTCAAACCAAGCGTCTACACAAGCAACACCGCAAATTTGATTGAGTTTATCCCAGTATTCGCCTCGACGTGATCAAATTTGCGGCGACCAGCAGCTATTCCATTGATCGTTTGACTTGCGAATTCTCTGCGACGACTGGCCCAATGATGGGACTCTTGTCACTCACAGATGTGACATCGCGTGACTCATTTACTGGACCATCACATGACGGGACGCGTCTCAGTTTGTCCCACAGTCACATCCACCGACCTTCATTCCGTACCATCATCATTACTGTCATGGAACCAGGTGAGACGCCCCTCCCTCGAGAATAACTGAATATATTGAACACATACATGCCAGCTCGTAAACGGCAACGCTTGTCTACGGGCTCCTCCCCAGTATATGAAGGAGACGTTCTCAATCTAAGTCAGGAAGACCTACGAGCCATGGATGAACTAGAGGCCAAACTGTCGCAACCATCGTCGCCGTCACACAGAAAGTCGATGTCTGGATGGCTGCATCGTGAGAGGTCTCCCTGGCGCGAAGAAGTCCCTGGCGGAGGCGCGAGGACAGGTGAAATGGGTGGTGCTCAGTCGCAGGGGGAGTCAATCGGGATACTAGGGGAACCTTCCTCCGTGCGTTCCCTATTTCAGACTGCCTCTACCGTCCATCCAGAGTCGGACGACGCGTCGGAAGCTCCGCCAGTGGACAACTACAGCGCTTGGTTTGAGCCAGGTTCCCCCTCGGCAGTCGCATCCTTCCACACGGCCAAATCTTTAGTCGTAGAAAGCATAGAAAGCACCGAAACCGCCGAAGAGGTTCCTTTCATCGGCTTTAAGATGACATCTGACAAGGGTATCGTCATGCCTTCAGCTGCTGCTCTGGCAGCTGCGCGAGATAAGATGGGGGAAATTTGGCGAGATGACTACGATGAGAATACATCCCCAGCTGGCGCATCCACACCACAAGTAACTCAGCCACCTTCTGCGCCTTCCCCAGCTTTCTCCCCCGAAAGACCTGCTCTTCGTGCTCGGCAGAATCAGTACTCCCCTGGAACGCCATCTCCATCTGGAATCGCGCCCGCAGGCTCGCTCGGACCCTCTGCAGGGAAGGGAACAGCGAAGGCATTCCAACCACCATTACTCAAACCCCCTCCACATCAAGCTCAAACAGCGGCCAGTCATATGAATTCCCCGCTCAACCCCAACGCCAAACGCAGTGGATTTCAATCTGCAGCGCATGCATCCTCGCAACATTCTCAACCTCAACCGCAAGCTCTACCACACACTCCAGCCAGTCTGCCATATAAAGTTCCTACTTCGTCCATGTTTACTACACCTGTTCGACTTGGCGCAGGGACACCCGTCCGTAGACATGCGCCTGCGCCCTTTAAGACTCCCTTTAAAGCTGGAGTGAGACCGCCACAAGCTTCGTCGCAAATGACTCCCAAAGCAACACCACAACCATTGGCTCGAGTTAAAGCTGTTGCTGGACCTTCGTCCCCAGCTGTGTCGACGCCGAAGAAGGTACCGCAGACGCCGGTTAAATCATCCTTCTTTAATTTAAGTAAGTTTAGACGCATAGTCGTAGGTCAATCTGTTTTCTGTTTGTATGCTGATAGGTTCGTCGTGCGCATGTAGCGAAACCACCAAACCGACATACCCTGGCTTCATCTGGCCTGCATCCTCAGTCTTACTCACTAGATGATCTTCGCACTTTGGGCATGTACGTGCAGATTTACCAAGGAACCGACGTGCCCTTATTAACGTCCATTGTCCAGAGACCCAACTGAACTATCAGCAATGACACCCACTCTCGCACCATTCTACACCTTCCATACTTCATCAGACACCCCGGCTCTTCTCACCACACAGGCTACGCAGATCACGAGGCTCGGACCCAGCGCGGCATTCGATCAGCTCATCGAGCGCGGATGCACACTTGCTACCAAATTGTGGGTGGAGAACCACTGGTGCCTCATCCTCTGGAAACTCGCCGGCATGGTCGCGCTTGAGCCCGAGAAAGAGGGCGATCCGGAGACGAAGCGGTGGTGCTGGAAGGAGGTGATGAGGCAGATGGTCTACCGGTATGAAAGGGAGCTGAACGGTGGCTCGCGGCCTCCGCTCCGGTTAATTGCGACACAAGACGCACCGGCGTCGTGTCCTATGGTGTTGTGCGTGTCGAATATTACGTGGTCTGAAGCAGCCGTTCGGGAAGATGGAACGAGTGCAGAGCCCTGTCCTGAGCTTGAGGTCACCGATGGGTGGTATAGGCTCCGTGCACGAGTTGATGAGCCTTTAGCCCGCGCTATACGCGCTGGTACCATTCGTGTGGGGAGGAAGCTGGCGGTTGCTGGTGCTCGGGTTAGTCAAAAGCCCTCTTTCTTAATTCGCGGCCGCTAATATATATGCTCCTCTTCTTCAGTTATCTTCAGAACGCAAAGACCCCATGGAGATCCTCGAAGCATACAACTCCGTGCAGCTGGTCCTCAGCGGGAACTCGTCACATCTAGCCCCATGGCACGCGAAGCTGGGATTCCAGCGCGGACCGTTTGTCTCCACGCTGAATAGTCTGACGCACGACGGTGGTGTTGTTTCTGTCATGGATGTCGTTGTTATCAAGGTCAGCATTCACGCATTTCCATATGATATGTGAGTACGTTGTTCAAGCGGAATGTAGATGTACCCCATCGCGTATATCGAGTTCCTGGAGAACGAGGCGGGCGAGAAGTCCCGCGAGGGGCCAAGGACGGAATCGCAAGAGGCCGCCGTCATGGAGAAGTGGAAGGTATTTGTCGTTACCCTTAATCTTCCTTCCCTGTTTTTCATGTGATCATTAGCGACGAAGGGAAGTCGAGGCCTCGAAGCTGAGGGAAGAGCTGGAGAAGAGGCTTTCCCGGTACGAGTCGTACGCTGAGCGTATGGAGCATAAAGCTGGGCCGCATTTCCGACCTGGTGAAGATGGTAAGTCTTGTCATTGACGAGAGGGAGCGTTGCCGGTGCTAATCATACTATGTGTGATTGGTTTAGACGGTCCATCAGACCGTGTCGAGAACCTATATGATGCGCTGGAAGATCCCGCCACTGCGAGTGCGACACTGTCTACTGTTAGGGCTTCCGACGCCGGCTGGTTCGCCCGTGTTATACGCGAGCGAATCGGGAAGGAGCGCGAAGCAGCCACAGATGAGATGGAACGCGAGCTTGATGTAAGTTTTGCCCTTTCCCATCTCCCGTTTCCCATCATCATCCCGCATCCGAACGCGACACTGACAATCATTAACAATGATACGCTTTCAACGCATCAACAGAGCATCTGCCCACCGCGGAACGTGCGCAATTTCCGTGTTCTGGAGGTGCAGGATACGTGCACGCGCCGGAGGCCTGCGAATCGCACTGCGCAGCTCACTGCGTGGGATGTGCTGAAGCTGACGTTTTCGGAGGGGGGAGAGGCGGGATCGTTCCAAGTGGGACAGAGGTTCCAGGTTACGAACCTCGTACCGAGTCAGCGGAGTGCGTGGATGGATCTCGAGCCCGGGTCGATGGTGTACCTCAGCACCCGCAACGATACGCGATGGACGAAGCTCAAGGCGACTCAACAATCAATGTGATCACCCGTCCCCGATACATACTGTATCCATTAGCTATTTGTTATCCATGATATGGTGGGAAATTATCAATTAGCACCAACTCAGATTCCACCACATGTTGTACTTACAGCTTACAATTGCATTCTATTTATGATGGTCTCAGTCATCTAGTCAGGCTATCAGTATCAGTTCAGTCCAGTCTCCAGTCATAGCCCAGTCTTGTCTTGAGCAAGGCATATCACTTATCTCTTCCTTGATTCCTTACTTGGAAGCTGTCACATTGTCATGGCTCAGTTTTTCCCTTTTCTCTTCCCCTATGTATCACATGACAGACAGATATTTGCTTATGACATATTGCTTATGTCCCTGGGCTGTATTACTAACTACCTTAGTCAGAACCTCACCATAGACACATGGGCACAGTATATGACATCATGCCTCATGGTGATATGTTAAGGATTCCATGGAAAGCCAACAGACTATGGCATGTAGGTAGACATGAGGACTATGCATGTACAGTAGTATATAGGATTGAATACCACACCCAGAGATGTTAACTTGTTCTCTATTACCACTTGCATTAGTGCCTAAGTCAGAACTTGCCTTACCTTTCTAAACATCTTTTACTACTATTACCTTGTCTCTCTTGCTGGGTCTGCATGCACTTTATTGTGTATTACTGTTGCTGTTATGGTCGGACGTTTCTTTTCCTTTCCAACTATCTTTTCTTATCTTATCAGGCACGTGATGTATTACGACATACTACTTACATCATCCAGGCCGTCTTACTAATGGTCTCAGTCAGCGCCTCGCCGCTACTGCATGGGCGCAGTCAACAAGCGTCATACCGCATGCAGCTGAGCTAAGCATTCCATGGAAAGACGGCAGGATACAGCATGTAGTTAGACATGAGGACGTAGCATGTATAGTAGTATATACTAATAAACACCCAGAGACGTTAACTCGTTCTCTTGGGAATACCGCTAACACTAGTGCCTAAGTCAGCGTCTTCGTTCCTGCTCCTCTCTTCTCTCAAACTCTTTATCTCTTACTCTGATTCTTGTCGGGTCCGCGTACACCTTACAGTGTATTAGCGTCGCCCTAACAGAAGAACGAGTTAACCCCTGTACGCCCACCCAGCAGCGTTAATCTGCGAAGAACCAACGTCAAACGCAGGATACGTTCCACCAAATCCTTTTCTCCAAATTCCTTAACATTTCTTCCATTTCATTCAATAGCGCCGTTAGCGCTTGATTGTTTATTTCATACCCCTATAGCCGTGCACCCTATTCGAACAACCGACTCTACACTCTAGCGGGGTAGCGTTTAGACGACTCTCTGAGTGAGTCTTCAGGCGTTGACTGATCACCAACCCTCGGGGAAGGGTCAACATGCAGAGTGCTGGGCAGAGAAAGAAGGCCCTACTCTGTTTGTTCAGCAAGACGGTGTACCGCTTCGCATCTAGTAGCCGACGAAACCTAAATCGTCAATTTCATTTGCTCAGGCACCGGCGCGTGCTAGTTTGAAACTTGAAATTGATTGACAGGAACCCCGTATGCCCCCATCCCGCTCCCATCTCACCCGATCACACATTTACATGGTCTTCCTGTACTACCTAATCCCCGACCCAACCCTCAACCGATGAAACCAATGAACTGCCATCCAGGCACTGAAGAGCACCCCACAACTCTTCGAAACTATCATCATCCCAGTCTCTCCATCTAACCTCCAAAAGCCACCCCGTCACACTCCCGCTCGACACTTCTTTAACAGAAACAATGTCATACTCGATGACAAGACCGATCGCTGTGCAGCCCTACGACAGGCAGCAGAGGCCCGCACTTCTCGGGAGAGATACGTCAGCGGATGCAGCGGCCGCCGCAGGAACTAGTATCTGGGGAGGGGGAATGGACCCCAACATGCCAGCCACCTTTATTCCAAACCCACCAACACCACCGCAACAATCGAATGATATGATGGCGGCAATGAGGGAAATGATGGAGAGTATGGAGGCACGAATGGAGGCCCGGATTCAGCAGGCGCTGAACCAACGGAGCGGACCACCCAGCACGGGCAGTCAAAGGCCGCTTCCCCGGATACCCAGAGAGGCACCGCCGCCACCGCCCGGACAACCTACACCACCGCCGCCCCCGATGCCATTTGTAGACCTTCCCGACGCACCCCAAGCCAGAACTGGCCCGAAAATGGTGCGCCCGGAAGTATTCAACGGCGAGAGGGCAAAATGCCGAACATTCATCCGAAACATCGAGGTTTATGTTTTCGTAAACGCATACCAGTTTCCAAACGAGGCAACAAAAGTTTTGTTCCTCCTTTCCTACGTCCAAGGAAAGAAAGTTGACAATTGGAAAAATACGATGACGGGCAGAGTGCTGGAATGGCAAAGGACACAGGTACCAGACGAGCAGGTCTTGAGTCTTAGGAGGATCTGTCGGAGCCTCCAGGAGGCGTTTGGGGACCCCAACCCGCGGGATACGGCCATCACGGCCCTAGCCCATCTTCATCAAGGCTCGGACACGGCGGAGGACTACGTCATGAAATTCAACGCATATAAGGACGACACAGGCTACAACAACGTAGCCTTGGTCGAACTGTTCAAGAGAGGCTTGAACGCGGGGTTACTAACCCGGATATACGGTAGGAGGCCCCTACCAGGAAGATGTGAGGAATGGCAGGAGGAAGCTATCACCTTGGACAGACAGTGGAGAGAAGTGCAGGCCTACGCAAAGGCAGCACCGGCCAAACCAGCGGCAAAGACAATGACAACACCACAGAACCAGTGGCGCCCGTACTACCAGAAGCAGATGCCGCCCCAAAACCAACAACAGCAGCAGCAACAACCTGCGAAGCCCACACCCCCGGCTCCGCTGTCATACTCCAAATTGGGATTTGTAGTAAGTGACATGAATATTAGAGTTTTATAGCTATTTCATACGCTACTATAAAACCAAGGCATACGCTTGCAAATTGAGTCAAGTCGAATGGACCTCATATAACAATCATAGACATTATTTCCTACTTTCCCCTATTTACTCCTGGGACCCCTAATTAATATCCCAACATCCTATTAAGTCAACAAGTCTTAAATCACTATTTTACATGATAAGTAAAGATTGCGGAAATGACAAGAACTGTACGGAAAGTTGAAGCACTTTACGGAACCTTCTAGTATTTTGCAAATACTTATCAAAGTGACATTAGATCTTGTTCATGAAAAGCTCAAATAACTTGAAAGACATACAAGAACATAGTAGAATGTCTGAGAAGTTTGTAGAACTTTCCAGGATGTAACGGAAAACTGTACTTACTAAGCAGCAAGCCTTAACTTACTAAGCTTTGGCTTGGCCATTACAAATCATTGGCTTACTCCTGCTGAAATATGAGTCATTCAGAGATTCAGCACAGCCTTGAAATGCTTGGCATTGCACTGCCTCCTTTTCTCTGTAGTCTATATAAACCCCAAATTGTAGTAGATAGAAAAAGAGACTTTTTACCATCTTTCTTCTCCTGCCCTCATTTCTCATCCTCTTCCCTCCTTTTCTTTTGCAGTACCTACTTCTTATTAAGTAGAGTATTACTGTAGGTTACATAGTAAAGAATAAACTTGATTAGTTGATAATTGAGTGCTTCGACCTGTGAAACCCCTGCTAGAGAAATAAGATTACGTGTCTTGTGTACACCTAAGTCTTTATACTTTAGTGATTGCTCCCCAGTCGTATTGATTTTGTATAGACCGTTGCTGGCTAAGCATTAGACTATAGAATGATTCTATAGGTGTTTAGTAATAATATCGGAAGTGATCTAGCAGAAACGTCTGATCTAGAGCTTCATATTTCAGTTGAATTGTCGTATCGCAGTTTTGTATTATTGGAGCATTGCTAGTATACTCAGTCAGGAATATTCCTCCGTCTCAGTGCTACTTGTCTCAGTCAGTTTACTATTTGTTTGTGTTTACCTATGTATTATTCACTTGTTGAGTAGTTCGTACTAACGTGTTGTGAAGTGTTTTACCCTACACTTCTTTCTTTCCTTCCGTCCCTTCTACCCCTTTCCACTCCTATTTCCCCTATCTGTACTACTCGGTAGTATAGTTCCCAAAGCCATTATTATCAATAACACACCTCTCAGCCTGCACAACTTGGGTGACTGTTCGATCTATCTTGACTGATCCAACTACATCCAAAGCATTTAGTGAAAACCCCACTGAGTGTGACAGCGTCCAGTGACTCCGGAGTCTTCCTGCACTTCGGACACTTCGGACTTGCTCGGACTTGCTTTGGACACTTCGGACTTGCTCGGACTCGTCTATACACTTCGGGGCTCGTCCGGGTTACCTCTGTCCTCCTTCCCCGCTTCATTACTCTTCGCCCTTACTTCCCCAGGTCGCTGGCACGACTCCTGTGCATTTACCCTCCACTTCATTATCACATGTTTCCTCGTACCTTGTGATATTCATTCGGACCTGTGGCTGGTGTACTGTACAGTTATCCTGCATTCCTCTCACGCTACTACAGTATATACTTCGCTTCCTAGCATGGAGAATCCCCATCCTGTTCTCTTTGGATTCTCCCTCTGCTAGGTGAGCAGCCCTCTCATGTATTGTAGTTAGTCTTATTCATTATCTTTGGATTCTCCCTCTGCTAGGCTTGCACTGTGCGGCCATCTTGAGGTTGCCCTTACAATAAAGGCCAAGACCTGATTGTTCTCAAAAAGTGGAAGTGCACCAAAGGTGTGAACACTCAAAGACAGTGACAAGATGAGAGGATCAAGGCACATATTTAAGAGTGAGAGATGATGGGGGTGTGGAAACTGGAATACAGTAAGTAGGTATGCATATTATATTGGTAACAATGAGTCATGTGATCGCGAGTCATCGCGAGTCGGGGGGAATAGGAGAGAAACCCTTGTAAATACATTTACACTTATCTCAACAGTTGAATGAACTACAGTGCTTAGTATATAATATTGAATTCAACAGATAGCACTTTGTAGTGAACATATGCAGGTTCACACCTTACAAGCAGCTTGAACACTTCAGGGCCCTTGTGCTGGTTTAAGGATGGGTAGTATATTAGGTCAGCAAGTCCCTTGACGGGATCAGCGACCTGCTCAAGGAGAGGCCTGGCAAAAATCGCTACATAAACGACGAACAACATGCACCCCCTCTAAGCGACTCTGCTCTCCCAGCCTCACTCAAAACGTAATCGCGTCGCCCACCAGCGCGTTCTTCTTCTCCTTCACACCACCACTATCCCAGCACCTCCCCAGCTGTAGAAACAATGGACCCGTTATATCCTGAGCCACTCGAGCAGGTAAGGCACACCGTCCGAAACGTTTTTCTTCGGTGTTTTGACGGTGGTGTGCTAGGCTTTTCAGAGAGTCGAAGCAGAGACTGAGAGGCGCGCCCAGGAAGAGCTGGCCGCTGCACAGCGGAGTGCCGCCGATGGCCCTTCATCCGGTAAGGAGCGTCGGAGGGGGAGCATCTCGATATCCAAGCTCGGAGAGGTCAGTGAGGTGATTGTAGCGAAGTAACGAGCCAGTTTTGACAAGAATGGGTAGCTCGCGGTAGCAGGCCCTTCGGAGCTGCTGAGTAGTGGCCCTCCGACACCGAATCGGTTGTCGATGATCCCAAGTTTCTACGAAGATCAACTAGTATGTTCCCTCCCCGACACAACTTTCACCAACATAACTAATGACTTGTGTTGCGTTCATTAGAACCACAGCTTCGACTCATTCAGTTCCGCTCATCTGGGGCAGGACGCCGACACGGAGGAAGATCACGGCGTGACGCAGCTGCACATAGTCGGCGGGCGCCAGTCGATGTCCATCTCCAAGGCCGTAGGCAACCTACTTCCGCGGAAACTCAGCCGGGCGCGATCCGCGACGATCGTGTCCACCGAGGCGAGCACCAACGTGGTGATCGGGGTGTCGGTGGAGGAGGCGACGGCCGAGGCACACGATGCGGAGGGCGGTGAGCACCCCGTCGTCGTGGGTGCTGTTGTGTCCGGCCCGAGTACGCAAAGGCCCGTGTCGTCGGACTCCTCGTCGTTGGGTGGACGGATAGTGGGCCGTGCGCGGAGCCTGACGGAGAAGTTTCGTCGGAAAAGCACGAATGGACTGCAGGATCTCTCTTCGTGATCTCGGATTCAGAAGCTGGGCTTCATTTATTTATGATCATCTTTTGCTTACTTACGGATATCATTCATCTTGTTTTCGTTGCACAACATCTGTCGCACAACATCTGCATCAGCGATGCATCAGCATTCGAGCCTGGGCCATAATGATATGGTTTATATTACCACAGGGCTGTGAATAAGTGGAGGATTTGTATGTATAACACTATTTATGAAGACGGAGCAATCATGCTTCACGAAGAGGCAACACTGTACTTCCTGAACACTGATTGCCAATCCCCCGTATCTTCATGTCCCATGCACACAACCGTCGGTTTATTCCCAGACTTGGGTCCAAAGATACGATTAGCGACACGCCGTATATCCTCCGCGCCGATAAGGTCAATTTTATCCGTCATCTCGGATACGGGGACCTTGCGATTGTGAACCAGGATCTATGGCCGCACGCGATCAGCTATATATACAATGGCGCGGAGATCACTTACCTGTCTACCCAAATCCTCAACCCCAACAGCCCGACTCTCCAAAGCCATCATCAAACTCGACTTAAGCTGGTTCTTCGCGCGGCTAAGCTCAGCTGCTGGTATCGGGGTATACAGCAACAAACTGAGTTGATGCACTAGATGCGGCATAATCTGCGACGGCGTATTCCCACCTCTTAATCCCGAAGAGGCAGGCACGAACGAGGCGAACAGGCCGAATAATGAAGAGTCGGTGTAGATGTGATGGAATGAGGCGCAGTGGTCGATTTGCGGGAAATGGTTGAGGATGTGGGTGTAGAGTCGGGAGTACATGCCCTTTCCTGGGCCGCCAGCAGAGAAACTGCCTCCACCGCCGAGGAGGACTTGCATCGTTGCGAGGGCGTATATGTCTTCGTCGTGGATGCCGACGCCCTCGAAACCGATATAGAGATGGTTGAACTCGGCTGAAGTGTCCCGTATGTACTTGTGACCACCCGTGTACGATGATTTCGTAAGTAGGGAAGGAGGATCAGATGGCGCGGGGGTAGAGGTAGGGAAGAGGTAAGATGCAGCACGGGTAAATTTAGACGGTGAGGGAGCAGAGGAGTTTAATAGATGCGGAGGTGGGGAGTTCTGCCGGGGTTGCGAGGACGATGTGTGAGTGGTGGAAGGTTTTAACGACGAGAAGTATTTGTCGACGAGTTCGACTAGTTCTTCATGCTGCATACCAGAGCCTGCTATGACCATCCTCTCCGGTCTGAACCAGGCTTTCATACCCCCGAGCAGTATATTCCGGTCAATCAAGTCGATTCTGTCCTCAGGACAGAGCATCGGATTCCCGAGACCTGTATGATTATACGCGACCTCGTGCAGTATTTCGGGGATGATCATTTCTGGTTTGGCTTTGATTTCGCGAATTTCGTACCGTGCAGCGTCCCGCTGGGAGAGAAGCTCTTCTTCGAGGAATCCAGGGTTTAGAACGGTGTCAGCGATGAGGGAGAGGGCCTGTGGTGTTGCGGAATTGAAGTGAGATGATTGGTACATTATAGCCTCCCGTGAGGATGAGCACATTATCTGGCCGCCGAGTGAGTGAATGGCAGTGAACATTTCTTCTTCTGACCGGGTTTCCGTCGTCTGTCAGTCACTTGTTAGTTCTCGAAGAAACGGTAGACACTATCGCCGCACCTTGAAAGCCATTCGGTCGATAAAGTGACAGACTCCCGACGTCGACGACGTCTCATAGCGTGTCCCAGCATCGACATAGAGACCAACCGACGAGAAGTGACCCGGGGTTGTTTCTGTCGCTACTCGTATTTTATTAGGAAGGGTCGTGTATTGGACATCCGGCGCAGAGGCCTCTACGGAGAGATTGCGAGGAGAAATGCCATGCTTCGAGCGGGGCAGGCGGCGTATGAGTGAGCTGGTGGTGGATCGCATGAAAGAGGACGCGCCGAGCACTTGCGCGTGTGCTAACTCAGCAAATGACTGAATATTCCCACGGTAAGAAAGAAGGAAGCAAAAAAAGCAGACCCGACCGTGATTTGAACACGGGACCCTGCGATGAGCTGCTCGCTGCAATCGCATGCTATAACCACTTAGCTATCGAGTCTTGCTGACATTGCATACCACACGGAATATGGTAGCGCCAATAGCCATTACATAATTGCTGCTGATATATATTCACAAGACGAGCCGCACCTGGCGGATTACAACTCTCCCGAGCTTCAGTCAATTCTCTCCGAATGGAACAGTCGCCAAACGGCTGGTGGGGACCAGTCACCGCAACGCTTGACTGGTGCGAGGTCAGTTCCGAGTTCATTCAGAGATGTAGATCGTCCACTCACGTGCGCCGCGGCACCGCTTGCTTGGCTTCGGTAGGCCAATTACCAGTTCTCCCATTACATTGCAGAGGTCGCCAACACCTTTTCCAATTTATTCACGATATGGCTCGCTCTGTTCGGGAGTGTTGCTGTATGGAGGGAATCGCTTCCAGAGAGGTTCCTGCTGGGCTGCGCAGTGAGTGGGCGCCATTGCTCGCACACGAGTCGATTACTAACAACGGGCGACCAGGGATTCGGTTTAGTAGGCATCGGGAGCTTCGCATTTCACGCTACGCTGCTCTATGAAGCACAGTTGGCGGATGAGCTTCCCATGGTCTACGTGGCGAGCTTTACGTTGTATCTGTTGCTAGACAGCAAACCCGGGTTCGACAACACCACCCGCCGATCCATCCTCTCTGTCGCGGCGCTCGTAGCATTTGATGTACTATTCACTTGGAGCTAGTGAGTACCCCACAACAGTCCCTGACCGCCCACTCACCTCTTCGGCAGTTACCTGTACCGGAATCCCGTGTACCACCAAGTCGTCTTCGCCAGCATCCTCGTTCTCGTTATCATACGCGTCACGACATGTCTTCGATCACCCCAGGCCAAAACACGCATCCCCGATCACAAAAAGACCCAAATAACGCGTCTCTTCACAACCGGTGTTCTATCGTTCGCGACTGGGTTCTTGATCTGGAATCTAGATAACATCTTCTGTGGCAAGCTCACGAGCTGGAAGGTGTCTATGGGGTGGCCTGTCGCTTTCTTGCTAGAAGGTTGGTTACCCGTGTCCTCCTAATCCTATGTCGATAGACTCACGCTCTGATCTGACAGGCCATTCGTGGTGGCACGTCTTGACCGTAGGTGCTGCTCACTTTCGTCCATCTTATAAATGCTCAACTTGTAGTAGGGCTTGGGAACTCACTACAAATCCATTGGGATCCAATGTACGTTCGCCTCCTCTCTGACGCATCTGTTATGTACTGACGCCTTGCAATCTAGATTTGTGTGTTTCCCCTGATTCGTCCTAAAACTTGCCCCAACTAACGATTGAACAGGATTCTTTGCATGAAAGACGACCACCGCCACTACATCATAGGCTATAAGTATGGGCTCCCATACGTGAAACGCGTACTCAAGAAGGTCCAATAATTCCTCGGTCTGATATCTTGTCTTCAAATTTTGTATAGATGTCCCTAGATGTACTTTTCATGTATCTGCGTAGCGCGTACATGTGGTATCTTGTGAGGTGGGGTCATAAATCAAGCAAGGCATCGTTCATAAACAAAATCACCTATGCGTCACCCTGACTCTCCCCAACAGTCCATTTAAAGAACTCCAGTACCTCCACGCCGCCCATCTCCTGCTCCGTGATAAGGCCCTGCTCCGTCGCCCATGCGCGCAAGGCTTGTTGCACAGGCAGACCGTTGTATTTCCCTCGCAGCATCAGGAATTCCTGCTTGTACAACACAGTATCATCCTCCTCACCCTCTTTAACTGATAGAGTGGGGAACCCGACGATCTGCTTCGCTATCGAGCGTTCTAGTACCTCCAGCTCCTCTAGGAATTCCGGGTTCTTGAGGAACTGCGGCAGTTTGTGGGACTTCAACGCCAACATGGCGAGAGTGCCTATCCGGCCTTGCGTCGGGAATTCGGGATTGGCTGCCCCATGTGTGTACGACGCGAGTCTGAGACCGAAGGAAGGCTCCTCGAGTGAGGTGGCACTGTGTCCGACGGTGACGACGCGTCGTAAAGAGATGTTCTCCCCGACTTTGGCGATGGTGTCGCGGATAGCGTCTGCGACTGACGCAGGGCTGGAAGCCAAAAACGGTTGGTCTGGCGAAGAGGATATGAGCGGTGCACTCTGTATCTGATCCATTTCCCACTCGCGGAACAGCGCCTTGGTATCATCAACTATGAATGTCGCCGTGTACGCAATGTCCGCGGCCAACTGCCCAAAGAGCTGATTCCGTGCCACGAAGTCCGTCTCACAGTTCAGCTCAATCATAGATGCTGTGAGCCGCCCCGTCGGCCGTCCATCCATGCCGGGCTTCATGTTGCCGTTCGATAGTAAGGAAGTGCATATTACCCCCTCGGACGTTGGGCGACCAGCGACCTTTGCGGCCTTCTTGGCACCGGAAGAAGCGGAGTCATTGTCGATCCATTGGAGTGCGGCCTTAACGTCGTTGTTGGACGCGGCGAGCGCGTCTCGTGCCTTTGATATGGAGACTGTGGTAAGTTTGCGAATTTCGGCGACAAGTTTGGCGGTAGACGGGCTACCGCCAGGTGTCGAGTACGCTCGAGAAAAGTGACCAAAGGATAAGGAGTTTAGTGCGCGGTGCTGGTAACGCGTTGCGTTGAAGGACAGCATGGCTGATGAGTTTTGAGTTTTGGTGGAAGTCGAGTCGCGTGGAAGCGGACAACGGAAGAACGCGACGACTCGGAAAGGACCCTATGTCGCGTTACGTAATGCGGACCGATCAAAAAATTTGGGAGCAACCTTCTTCGCGCTTTGCATTTACGGTGATCATGGATTCCAGCCAGTTCAAGGCCCCGACCACCACGCCTCAGGATCTCCTTCTGATCCACGACCTCATTGCAGATCAGCTTACTCCTGTGGTCCCACACACGGAAATCAAGAAACAAATTGCCGTTGAGGATGATGATATATCGTCTTCGTCAGACGAGGATGAGCGTGTGGAGGATTCGACTGAGAAGGACGATGCAGAGGAGATTGAAGTGGTCTCTGACTTACTGAACGTTGATGACGATGCGGAGGATGGAAAGGGGTACGTACGTGCGACGCTACCATTCAAACTATTCGCGAGCTCATATATCGCATTAGCTCTGTCCCCTCCTCCGATTCCGAATCTAGCGTTGACTCGGAGTCGGACTCAGATATCGGGGACGACCCTGCTCAGAAGGGGGACCACTCGAAAGCACCAGAGCTCGACGTGGAAGACGACGACGAGAACGACGGTGCACTTGCTCCTGGCGCTGTCCCCCAGACCAAAAATGAGATTGTGGACGCAGATATCAATATCCCCGATGCAGAGGAAATCGGTGAACACGAACATATGGAGAAAGTGGGCGAGGTCATGGCGATTCTCGATAACAAGGCAGTCATCGTCAAGGGCGAAGCATCTACGAACGCAAACAGGGGCTCAGAAAGCGCGTTGGACTCGGATACGTTGCTGGTGTTTGAGGATAGGAAAGTTCTGGGCTATGTGCGTTGCTTGAATCTCTTTCCAAATGGCCATCTCACCTTCCTGTAGGTTTACGAGACCTTTGGTCCCACCTCTCAGCCATTCTATCAGGTGAAATTCAACCAAAAATATCCCCTGAACCAGGAAAAGGTCAAGACAGGGCGAGAAGTCTTCCATGTACCTTCACGCAGTAAATTCGTATTTGTACGCGACATCAAACATCTAAAAGGGAGCGACGCAAGCAACCTATTCGACGAGGAGCCTGCTGACCATGAAGTGGAATACTCCGACGACGAGGCTGAAGCTGCCGCTAAAAGTCGTCGGAAGAGAAAGTGAGTCCTGGTTTGCATTTCGTTGGTTGTCTTATCCTCATTTATCCGTGGAATTCGTAGATGGGGCAGTGACAGTCGTGCTGGGTCGGTCGCATCCTCGAGACATTCGACACCAGGTCCTTCTCAAATGCGAGATCAAGATTTGAGATACATGAGTGGAGACGCGTACGCCGAGAAATCACCCTATGATATCGATTTCACCGCAGCCCCTTCCCGACCCCCTCCCATGCCATACGATGACGATCCTTATGCCGACGCTTACATACCACCTGCTGCTCCGAGTCCCAGCACCTCGCAGCAACAAATATCCCCACCACGCAACGCTGGTTCAGACGAGTCGAGATTCCGACCGGTGCGCCCTTCGAATCGAGGTGGAGACAGGCGCGATGGGCGGCCACAAAGAGGACGTGGAAGGGGACGTGGAAGGGGTGATGCACCAAGAAGAGGAAGGGGGGACTTTGGGCGCAGCAATCCTAGACCCGGGCCTTACAACGCTCCGCCCGACTTGTCACCATCCCCGTCTTCCCCAATTGCACCATGGCCAACACAACCATATTACGATCCCTCTGTCTCCCCTCAATTTAGCTATCCTCCCCCGCCGCCATCGGATCCGTCAGTGTCATGGGGTCTTCAGCCTTCTTATGGCCCGAATGCTGCGAACTTCCAACCATATGTTCAGCCGCACATCAACCCGCGATTCGCTTCCATGTTTGGTATCAACCCGAATATGGCGCCGCAGACACAGCACATGGCATTTGGGCAAGGAACCGGGCAAGGTACGACGATGAACGTGGGTGATGGGAGGAATCAATCTACTCCCAATTGGTCGGATGAATGGACAGTCCATCAAGGCAATCCCCCTAGCGGATAGAGTTCGAGTTCTATGCACGCACTTGTGATTCCATTCTACGAGTCCCACTTGGTTAGGCGTATCTTGGGCGTATCACGGTGGTTTGCTTCTGCCTGACATCGCTGAATGGACTTTCCCCGGTTCCGTGCCTTGGCGGGGATCATGTTGATCGCTCCAAGTGCGGTCGTCTACGGACGTCAAATTCAAAGGGTTTTATGGAGGCCTTTGGGGTTCAGTAGTCCTAGTCAGTGAGCAGCATCGCCCAAGCCGCTATGTTCTACCTCTTCCTTGTTATCCCAGTCCATCTGGCTTTAGCATCTGCCCAAAAATATCTTGCTCCCCAGACACCGCTCAGCTTTGTTGGCGATACGAACACTTTAGCCTTGAGTTCGAGTTGTCCTTTCGACAGTCCTGTTTCCTGTCACAACTCCACAGCTGAGAGGAATCTTTGCTGCTTTGAGGCACCAGGAGTAAGTTGCTCGAGTCTTCGTGTGCCCAAGACTACATGCCATATCCACTACTCTAGGGCTTGTTACTTCAGACTCAGGTGTGTAGCGACTATTTTGTGACTAAGGGCAAGAAATGACACTGTATCTACTAGTTTTGGGACACCGCACCACCGACTGGTCCTACTGATAGCTGGACTATTCACGGTAAACTATATTTCGCTTCTCCTAGGGATGCCATAGTTCTCATCGGATACACAAGGGTTATGGCCAGATAAGTGCGTAGCTTCCATCTTGCATAAATCGCTAGTTGATCTCCTAACCTACAGTTGCGACACTTCGTTTGAACAAAACTGTGATCCATCGCGAGCCTACACAAGCATCCCCTCTGTACGCCACAATGGTGAAAATATACCCATGCACATACTTATTGTTACGTGTCAGCTACTTATCAAAAATGAGGCTGCCGATGTCCTGGAGTTCATCAGACAAGTACGTCTTTATCGTTGTACTTTCGGAATGCGGTGATGATTACTTGCAACAAGTACTGGGTAGACATCAATGGTCAGAACGAACGTTTCTGGGAAGTAAGTTGTGCCTTTATTTGGCTCTTCAAGTTGTATGAACGGTTTGAGTTCAGCATGAATGGAGCAAGCACGGTACTTGTATGAGGTGAGCACGCGTACAAACGTCCGCGAAGAGCATTGCTACACACTAATCTTAGCACTCTCGAGCCTAAATGCCTTCCAGCTGGAAGCAGCAGGGGCGCGGAGGTAGATGTTCTATATTCGCAGCAAATGCAGCGAATAACATCTTTGGCTACAGGCTGTTGCGTTTTTCAAGACCGTGGTAGCCCTTTTCAAGGTACGGGGCCAAGGTCATCTATTTGATAGCAATTTCTCATCCGCATACTCAGTCTCTCCCTACATATGGATGGCTTTCGAGCCAAGGGATCTTACCATCGTCCTCCCAAACCTTCACTCTAGCGACGCTCACAGGGGCACTTACTACGGCCTCAGGGGTGGGTCTTACATCGCAAAGTGTTCACTAGTTTACCGCTCACAAGCCCCACTTAGGGCTTTACACCTCAACTTGATTGCAGAGGCCATAATCTAGAGCAGATCAGCTGGTATTTCAATGTAAAAGGATCTATCATCGACGGTGTCTTTCTCCCCATTAGTAAGACAGCTTTCTTGCCCGTACTTTATCCTTGGTTAAGTATTGGCTCTAGACGCTCCGAAGAAAGGATCCTGCCCATCAAATGGTATAAAATATCCTCCGAAACACAAATCGCCCGGATCACCTTCTCCGGTGGGTACTCATTTTCATGCAACGATGTACCAACCATCTCAAGTACACCTTTCTAGACCAAGCCAGTGAGTTGAGCGGCACTTCGTCAAGTTCGGTTGCTCTAACAGATGATCCATTCAGAGTCCAAGTCCACCCAAACCAGTGTGTATTAACCTTCCAAGATTGTTAGATGTTTCCTCACGAACGTGCGGTTTAGACTTCGGGCGACCTTCCCACCCGTGCTACCGTCCACGCGCTTCCAGTCCGGTCCAACGCGACTCTTGGCGGCCTTCTGTCTGCAGGAACCTGGTCTGTTCAGACGCTTGCAACGTTTAGTTTGAGTGGGACGCCCTCAATATTTATGTTGAGCTCCTCCAAAGGAGCCTGCGGTGTTCGCGACGGTGCCTTTAGTTGCGGAAGTCGCGTCGAGGGGACTCCATTTTCTGCCGTGAGTAATCATACCGTTGGGATCAATTGAGTTTACCCCTGATGGTCCGTTGTGATAACTAGATATCTTCTTCTGGCCACCTTCTCCTCGCCTCAGGAGGGTCAACTGCGTGGACTAGCGACGCTGCTCCAAGTGATACCGACTCCATGAAAGTATTTACCGGTTCCAGCAGGGATGCAGACTTTACGTTAAGTATAGTCGAGGCATAAGGATTCGATGCCCCTGTGACCCCCTATGTACCAAATCCACTCTAAGTGTTTCGATTCCACCTCTCCTCTTTTGTTCCTGATGCTTCATGTCCATTTTGAGTTCATTTGAACGTTCGACGTTCGGAGATTCTCCACTTCCTAACGTTAATCGGTATGTACCAGCCTTTGAACGGGCGCCACATGGCAGTGGAGGTACCACGCTGACCGGGTTCGGGGTACTGTGTATTCCGCTGATGCTAGAAGTATGTTCCCCTTATCTCTTCTTCTCGTATGGCCTTTCTGATATTTATGTCAAACAAGGACATATGCCACTTTCTACATCCGGGGATGGCCTGGTTTATAATTGGCATCGCCCGTGGCAACCTGACAAGAGTGCAGCATGAACATGCTGATCTCAGTACGAACCATGCTGCACGAAGTTCACGAAGGCTATGGTTCCTCTATTCTTATCGCTTTCTGGCCGGGCTCAGCTGCTTCCGTGCGCTGATTGGACCAGGAGCGATGGTAGTAACCTCAAATAGCCCGGTATAAGAAGGCTTTGCTGGGAGCAAGCCACTGTTACCGCTCACGAAACACACCATGCTCCGCTTGATCGTAATTGCTGCTGTAGCCAGCGCGAGCTTAGCTTCCCCATTCTTCTCCCAGCCTTTCGATTTGACGACACGAGCAGATTCCCTGACATCTAGCTGCTCGACAACGGGGTCGGCGTCTTGTCACAACACATCGTCTGTGTCCAACCTCTGCTGCTTCGAGTCTCCTGGAGTACGTTGTCGTCATTTCCATTCACCCACATCATTTTTCACCGTCTACTAGGGACTGCTCCTACAAACTCAGGTACATCATATCCATCGTACACTCGTCGATCCACGTCCAATGTAGTAACCCCGGAATTAGTTCTGGGACACCAACCCTTCTACTGGACCTTCTGATAAGTGGACCATTCATGGTGAGGATCACATCATCTTCAAGATCTGACGACGACTGATCTTGTCTTGAATTCATAGGGCTATGGCCAGACAAGTGAAATCGAACTGAATCAGTATCACCCCGCTGGTTTGCTAACGAAATATCTCAGTTGCGACGGGACCTTTGAGCAGAACTGCGATCCTTCCCGTGCATACACGAACATTGCTTCGGTATGTATGCTTCCCGTTGCGACTCGCTTCCTCAGGCAGCTCACTTTCGTGTCAGCTTCTGAGCTCCGGTGGCGCAAGCGATACACTCTCCTTCATGCAGACGGTGTGTGTACATCACTTCTGATCCACCTATCACCTTTTAATGGGTCATGCCTTGTAGAACTGGGTGGATATCAATGGCCAGAACGAACAATTCTGGGCGGTATGTGGCGCTTGGTGTATGATACGCCTATTTGCATGTTTACGCACAGTACCAGCACGAATGGAGTACCCACGGCACCTGTATGAGGTATGAATGGGTACTGTATCATTTCCTCGTTTATTGACGGCCTTCAAGCACCTTGCACACGTCATGTATACCAAGCGGGAGTGTCAGAGGTACTGAGGTGCGTCGGATGGCTTCAGCACGTTTTCTCAGACTGATTGACGTCTGGTTAGGCAGTAGCATTCTTCCAGACTGTTGTCAAGTTGTACAAAGTACGCAAACCGTCTCTCCAACGCCGTGACAATTTATCCGAATGATCCATAGACGCTCCCAACTTTCGACTGGCTTGCTGGCCAAGGAATTAGGCCTAGCACTACACAGACGTTCACATTAGCCACCCTGACATCAGCTCTCAAGACTGCTTCTGGAGTGCGCAACAATCATACCTCATTTATCCCGTCTCAATGATCAAATGCTTTATTTACGCAGGGCTTTACACCTGCATTGGACTGCTCTTCTGGTGCATTGAATCAGATCAGTTGGTACTTCAACCTTCGAGGTTCCATTATTGACGGCACGTTCGTTCCGATAAGTAGGTGCCCCGCGCCGGGATCTATATATTGTTCTGACCATTTGGTAGACGCACCGAAAGCCGGCTCCTGCCCATCTAGTGGAATCAGGTATCCCCCGAAGAGCGGCTCTGGTACTCCTGTAAGCTATAGTTGACCCGGCGACTACACGAGCGTTACTGACAGTTATTTAGACTACTCCGGTGAGTCTAACTCTCCGGCTTTAACACTACAGCACGATAACCATCAAATTTCCGGATATCGTAGCCTTCGGTCTGTACCTAGTTTCAAACGCACTTCCGCGTCTTCGTATTGACCGAATCCATTCCCCTTCAGAACCCTGGTGGATTACCTGCCAAAGCTACGATCCACGCCATTAGATCTGGTTCTCAAATCGGTGGCCTACTGTCCTTGGGTACCTGGTCCACGCAGACTCTGGCGACTTTTACCTTGACGGGCACAGCTTCGAGTTTCACGATGACTTCGTCGAAAGGGAACTGCGGTGTCAGTGGTGGAAGTTTTAGCTGCGGCAGTGGTGTGAGCCCGACGACCTTCTCTGCTGTAAGTGGCGAGGCTTCCTCTACATAGCCTCGATGGAGGCAAATTGACAATTATTCAATCGTCGTAGGTAACGTCAGGGAGCGACCTCCTTCTCGCTTCGGGTGGATCGACGGCGTGGGGCAGTGACGGTACACCTAGTGGCTCGACTGTATTCACTGTATTCACGGGATCCAGCCACTCGCAAGATTATACCTTGACTATCGTGGGTGCATAGAGTAGCAGTCTTGATTTAGGAGGATTTAGCTGTCGACATGTGTATAAGTGACTTTGCAAATATTATCTAACACCGACTATCACCGCACCGCCTCCCTCTGTCTCTTGCAGATTTTCTTCCTCAAACATCTTCTCGGCTTCGAAATCTCCCAGAGGCAATGAAGCAGGACCTCCGCTGATGCAGGACTCTATTATAAGTAACGCAAGGCTCCAGGGCGATTAAACTCCACACCAGAAAATCGTCTCCGAGTCTCGCAAGCATCCATGTCGACCACAAAGCCCTCGCGTAACAGCCCAGCCCTCCACTTGCAGGTCCTACCAGACCGTTTCTTTGTCGTCAAGTTGGAAACTGGGCAGGCGATACCCCCATGCGTCTTGAAGAACCTCACAGACGATACTGGCCGATTCTTCTCTCTGACAAGAACAAACGAAGAGGTCTCGCTAGTGGGCGAGGCTAGCGCTACCATGCCCGACTACTGCAAGCAAAATGCCGGGTGGATGTGTATAAAGATAGCTGGTCCGATGGACTTTGGTACGTTTCTGTCGGCTGAATGATCCACAATCAACTTATCAGAAATGCAGCCTTGACCGGGATTCTGTCTGATCTTGCGGCCGCGTTGAAAGTGGCCCAGGTCCCCGTCTTTGCGATGTCGACGTGGTATGTATGTTTTTCTCCTGCATGGACATTAATGACTGATTCGGGTGCGTAGGAACACAGACTACGTGCTCATTCCCGCAGAGATGATCACAGATGCTATCAATGTCTTGGAAAGAGACGGCTGGATTTTCGACCAGGGGGCAAGAAGGCAGGCAAGGCTCTAGGTGCGTCGATCCAACATTAATTTCGCACTGAATCCCTGACTCAACCACAAAATATAGCTCTCTATCGCTGGTAGTCGGCTGCCTGCGCTGCCTGTGTCGCCAAATTTACGTATGAAATTTCGTCGTCGAACCGGCCTAATTTCGTTGAATAAAGTATATATCCCATAATAAGCTGTATAGTTTAAAGTAGTCCAGAGCTGTGTCGATTGTCGATTGTATGATGTATCACCCAATTATGCGGTCGCAAATACAATTTCCAAAAAAGGAAGTTTGGCGGGATGGCCACCACTGCAGCAGTGAAACCTTCGCCTCCTTTACCAGTAGTGCTCATTGTTGGCCACATCGACCACCGGGGACGTGGCTTTCAGAGCCACCACCATCTTCAAGCACCTATTTACCCTTCAATTCTTGCGCTGTCTCTCCACCCACAAGATACACTTGCAGGTGCCAAGAAACTTGGACGCAACTCGAAAACATGGCCTCCTCGTCGAGTAAGACATCCGCTGCGCCCCAGACGCGCCAGAAGCGTATCTTGCCCTCAAGGTCACGTCGGGGTGGGCCCGGCGTCGGCAGCTGTGAAGTCGACGTGATGATTTTGGATACGTACAAGCGACAAGGTGCTCCTCTCTTCTGCTTATTCACCGGGAACACCCCAAGCTCATCGCGCTCTCTGTTCACTAGCTGAGAATGAACCGTTGATACCCGCAAACACCCCATTTCTGCTGACTACGGACAGTAGCCAAGTTCCATTGGCATCGACCTCTTCCTCTGCACCAAATACGAGTCTTCTACAGCTCAACCTTTCTGCTCGGGAACGGTATTTCGACCGGCCAGACGTTATCAAGGCGTACAAGGAGCAGTTGACCATACAAACACCCGAATATACCCAGCTGAGCGAAGATGCTAGCGTCGGAGGGCGGTTTCGTCCACGAGGGGTTGAAGATGTGCGTCCTTACATTCTCTCAACTGTATCGGCTGTAGTTGACGGTGTAATAAATCCCCTCTGTTGTATTGTTCCCGTCATACACACATTCATCCTCAAAAGCAGTCGACAATAGATACCTCCGATACTGCTTACGAGAAACGACATCGCAAATATGAGACGTTTGAAAAGCGGCAACGTTTGCGCGAGAAGGAGAAGCTCAAGCATGAGCAATATAAGCTGAAGGAGCGGATAGACCAGCTGCGTGCCATGGACGGCGCGGCTTTTTTATCACTACCCGCTTCAACCTTCACCCCGCCTCCCGGACACTCGGCCAACGGTGACGCCGAAGAAGACGAGTTTCCAGGCGCACACATCAACGGCGCTGCTGCATACAATGAAGGAGAACGACGCCGGAAGGAAATGCTTGATGTTGCCCTGTCGCTAGAAGAACGCTACCGCGTCCTTTTACCACCTGACAGAAACAAGAAGCCGCCAGGTAAAGCTGCGACCGTCACCGTCATACCAGAGCCAGAAATCGTGAACGAACAGATTGAAGAGGTCGAGTCTGAATCTGAGCCTGAGGAGGAGGAGGAAGAGGAGGAGGAAGAGGAGGAAGAGGAAGAGGAAGAGGAAGAAGCAGAGGAGGAAGAGGAACAAGAAGCACCTCCCAAAGTACAGAAGCAAGCTGAGAAACTGAAACTACGCATTCCTGCCAGGGCAAAGAATATACCGAAGCCGCCGTCAAAAGGGCCTTCCAAAGCCAACTCACATTCGCCGGTCAAGAACAAGGCGAAACACGACGCCCCCATTGTCGTCAGTTCTCGAGATACGGAGACATCGTCGCCCACCGTGTCTTCAAGAGCTCAGGCTGAACGCTCGTCTACTCGGGGGTCCGACATACGGGTCATCAGCGCTCCCAGTCCTGCCTACTCCAATCCTGAAATCGCTGTCATGGAGGATGCTAGATCCCATGCACCCGAGGTTCCAGCACCAGTCGTGCCTAATGGACCTCCGCGTAAACGTCGAAGAACTCGCGTTTCCAGCCCTCAGCGCGGCTCCCTTCCGCTTATTGAATCCATCTCTGCTCCCCTCCTACCTCGGGTGCCCATCACCATCGACCCAGATGAAACCAGGAGCGCGCTCGTGCTTACCGCCATCCGCACCTCGAAGATGCCCAGAGCGAGGAAGGTCCAGAGGCATCATATGGCATTTGGATTCAAAGTACCGCCAGAGATAGATGAGCTTAGAGACTTCGGGCTACCAGATTGGGTCACAGATACACAAAGCGTAAACGATGATTGGAATCATCTGTCATCTGAGGGACTATCAGGAGAACATCATCCGGACAGTACAATTGGTGTTTCCGCATCTCCCCCGGAGTAGCCTTTCTCTGTAAAGTAATTGTATCTTAGTCGCAACTAGTGTACAAACCCACTACCTGCTTTCGTGTCCATCTCACATATAAAATTATCTTCAGTCACTTTGTAAAACTAAAAGAGTCTATTAAATTGCTCTACGACAGCGTTCCTACTCTTGAACGGACGCTCGCACAACGTCACCTACAACACCCCTTTGAGCCAGCGATACATCACGGCGATGGGCGAGGACAAGTTGTGAGTGCTTCAAAGGACCAAGGTTCGCGTGGGCTGTAACGAAATCCGACGGCACCTGAGGTGCGTACTTCGAGTAATCACCACCAATGGTCTCCAATACCCATTGAGTTCGATCAGTCGATTCCATGAGTGCTGCTTCGGCAGGATTGAGAGTGGTTGACGCCGAAGAAAGCTGGGCATAGGTGCCAATGGGGTTTAACGTAGAAACGATATCCGTGGCGACGATATCGGGTGCAGTGGCACCAGCAGCATGAGGGGGAAGAGGAGGAGTCTCATCGGGATCCCATTCATCAGGCTCGTTGTCGGCGTCTGCTTCTTCAAGCGTGCCTGTGACAGGCGCCAACGGATTGAAATTCACCGGCGCAACGTCCTGGTCAACCTTGGGCCTGGGCTTGCGACGCTGACGATCACGCTTGCGTTGTGCATCGGGCGCGTTAGAGGAGCGCTGGGGACGAGATTGACGATTCGGAGTTGCAGGACCCCTGGGTTTCGTCGACGATATCTCTACTCCGTCGTAACGGCTGGGCTTCCGTGAATTGTCTGAGCTGGATACGCTACTACCCCCTCTCAATTGCTGTTTGTTGCGAGCTTCCTTCGCGAGAGCTGCCTTTTGACGCGCTGGAAGCAGAACTGTCCATTTCTCAGCGTCAGCGAGCGTAATTGCAGGGGGTCGTTCATCCCTTTGGGGAGGTCTCTGATCGTTGGTTGAGCTGGTTGATGTCGGGTTTCTCTTGGGTGGTGTGGGACGGTTCGTACTTGGCTTCAACGAGACTGGACCGTCTTTCGGTGTCGACGGGTCTTTTTGCGACAATTGCTGACGCGCCAAGCGCTGGGCGAAGCTCAAGTTCCCAGAGCTGCTCTTCAAATAGGATATGCTCGGTTTGAAAGACCTGGAGTTGTCGGCAAATGGTAGGTAGGCCATGTGAACATTGGGATTTCTCAGGACATCCTCGCGACTAGCTATTCGACAAAATCAGTAAATGTAAATGGTCAACAAAGGTCCCAGAACTCACGTATCGAAAGTCCATGGTAGCTAGACACCCGGGGGTGAGAGCTATTCTCCTTTGTAGGGGGAGTCGCATCGTCCTTGGGTCCTGTGGAGGACGTGGAATTCAGGCGGACTGTTTGCGAGCACGGCCCTCTGCGCGCAATCCGCTGTACCCCGAGCCGGTGCATTGTGAGGATGTGGAAGGACGAGCGGAGGAATACGACTTGTCGCGTCAGAGGCCGTTGCCGTCTGATTCTAACACAGACACACAAGCGCGGCGAGCCCGCGTAACATATTCAATACGGCCTGCCTTTGCCCACACTCTTTGCTTTCGATGCACCCTATTCTCGGTCGGATTGTCGTCAATTTTGTTCTCTGTCTCATCTGCTTCATAGCATACTCTTCGCAAATATTCATAATATGGCCCTGGTACGGCCGTGAGGTCTCGGTCGACCTCCTTACATTACTTGTACCATTCAAGTAAGCAGCGACGCACTTGCCGTCCGGCGGAGTCATTGACACGGTTTATTGCAGTCTTTTAGTCGGCATGCTCCTTTGGAACTATTTCTTAACTGTAACCACGGACCCAGGCGGCGTACCTGATAATTGGGTGCGTAATATACTTCGGACGCCGAGATACGTGGAACTGAAGTGATTCAAGAAACCGGACACGACGGAAGACGGGTATGAAGTCAAGAAGCTCACTGGAAAGCCGAGATATTGTCGATTCTGTGAGAAACCCAAGCCCCCCAGGGCTCACCACTGTAAAGAGTGTAAACGGCAAGAACTCGTTCACTCGACGTGTTGACTCCTGGAGCTTACTTGACGTTCCACAGGTGTATCTTGCGCATGGGTACTTCAAATCCCCTTCTCTACAGAAGTTCAGCATGATGACAACCCGCTTTATAAAGATCATCATTGTCCCTGGGTGAATAACTGCGTCGGCCACTTCAATTACGGTCATTTCATTCGGTTTCTCTTCTATGTCGACCTCGCCTGCTCGTATCATCTTGCAATGGTAACCAGTCGCGTACGGTCTGCTTGGGGAGTTCGCGTATGGGTGAGTCAGCCGCGCCACGCATCGTGGCGAATGATCAATGATTGACGAATCCGTTGGGTCTATTAATAAGGACGAGCCCTCGGCGTCAGAATTAATATTCATGATCTTGAATTATGTCGCATGCGTACCCGTTCTCCTCAGCGTTGGAGGATTTAGGTGCATATTCAACCACTTCTCATTCCTGAGGAGTTGCAGGTCTGACGATACCCTTTGTTGGCAGTATCTACCATTTGATATCCCTTCTCCGAAATACCACCACCATCGAGGGTTGGGAGAAAGATAAAGCTGCTACAATGGTGCGCCGCGGAAAGATTCGCGAGGTAAGTGCAATAATTTCCTGCAAGTACACAGCTTGACCAATTTGCTAGGTTAAATTCCCCTACGTTCGTTCCTTTCCTTAATACTATCCCGCTGATACTGAGTCTGAGTCACTTACAGAACCTAGGACGACGTCGCAACTTAGAGTCCATACTCGGTACTAACCCATGGTTGTGGTGCTGGCCGACCGTGACGCCGGGCACTGGGCTGAAGTACGACCTTGCCGAGAACGAGGGTGAGTGGCTCGAGCTCTCAACATTCACCAAGCGCGCGCGAGAGCAGTACGAGTCTGGGAAGTACGCCTGAGAACAAGTGTCGGATAGGGTGTAAGAGATGAACTTTGTTTTCATCTTCCTTTTCTCAATCTTTCCTTTTTCTTCGTTTAGCGTCTATCAGGGCAGCGAGTGATCTAATCTCGTCTTCGTAGATACTACCATGGTCTGGCCGCCGGAAGACCCAGACGCCAGAGAGTACGATGATAATGACGACGACGGGGCCGGGCAATTCGAACTTCCAGAATCTCCTTGGACATACGAGAACGGCGCGCTCAACCCAAGCCTTCAACCCTATAACTCTGAGCTACGCACCTCTGCTCTGCAACGGCGTCATAAACGACAGAATCCACAAACTCAGTCAAATACAAACGCTGATGAACATGTATATGAATCATCCGAATCAGAGAGTTCATACCAAGAATTCCCCAGGAAGCGTAGAGGTTCAGAGGGCTATGAAGTTCGTCCTGTCGATCGCAACGAGATGTTGAGGCGTTATCTGGAAGAGATAGGGGAGGCACCAGGACGTTACCATAGATATATTCCGCAGCCAGAGAGTGCCAGTGAAGACGATGAACTTCCTCTAGATCAAAGCCCAATACCGGCACATTGACGGACATATAACATGTTCGTCGTTCGCATTTACTTATTTATCGCAGTCACTTGCATAGTACATGCTGTCTATTTATCAATAGGAAGGGATTTAGGTGTGCGGAATCGGTTTGGCTGGCATTCACCGGTGAGATTAATTGTACAAGATGATACAAGAATGTAAGTTGACTATTACTCTAGTAATATACTCGAGAAAATGAAAGGCAAGAGAATGAAAGGCAAGAGCAAGACAAAACGAATAACGTATATACAAGCTAGACACCGGTCTTCATGACGTTCTCTCCATGTGGATATGCCATGCTGCACCCCCCTTCTCCGTCACCTCAATGATATTCCAACCAGAGGCGAGGTCGAGCGTCCAAACCTTCGAATCAGGCGTTGGTTTGGCCTGCCCATTCAATTTTACTCGAACATCGTCAATGGACGCAGCTGGTTTCCTCTTCTTCGACTTGACTGGCTTCGGTGCAGGCTTCTTTACTTTCGGCGGCCTCCCTCGTTTGCGAGCGATCTTCATCACAGGCTCCGCGTCCTCTCCCTCCTCGTCCTCCTGGTCTCCATCACTAGCATCATCCCCCTCTTCTTCCAAAAACACAATCCGCGAGGTCTTGACAGATTTCTCCCCAGGAGCCAATCGCATTACCCAAGTGGTTACGCCGTCCTGGTTGTCTAGCCCTATCATCCTATTACTTGGCTCGATTTTCAATTGAATAAACTTGAATGAGTGTTTGTTCTCGGGGTTGGGAGACTTCGAGGGCTGTGGTGTGGCTTGTGGTTGTAGATGCGGGAGAGCGGCTATCGCCGGGGATGCTGTCGCTGTTCTGACTGGTTGAGATGCTCCTGCTGGTGCGAGCTGCTTGACAGGTGCTGCTGTTGCTGGGATAATTGTCGGTGTCAACGTTATTGGCTGCGCTTGGACGCGTGGTTGGGGCGGGGTAGGAGGCTTTGGTGATGCTGACGGAACGGAAGTGATTTGCGCAGGGATGGGGAGAGCAGTAGGTGGTGGCGGAGCAGGCGAAGCGACGGCTTGTTGCTGTACGGGGGCAGGGGGGGCACTCGGTGCAGGAACGCGAAGCATTACAGACTTTGATGTGGATGCTGCTGCTTGAGGTGGTGATGTATTGCCGTTGTGCAGCGCCGCGTGATTCATGGGTGGGACTTTGAGCTTGAGTTTCGTAGCAGAGGGTTTGGCATACTGTGGTAGCGCATGTGGGGCAGGTAGGTCAGACATAAGCTGCGCAAAATAATCCTACGATATGAATGTGTGAGATGACTTCGCCGACAGGGAAGAAAAGCATATACCCGTAATGTTACAGCATCCTCCCATATCGGCGTATGTTCTTGATTGAAAGTTGTCGCATTCGAGAACACAAGTTCTACATCAGCTGCAAATTCGGCAGACGTCTCGTAGTCCTTGCGCTTCAACTTCCTCTACACATCGCATATCGCGAGTCAATCGCAAATCCAATAATACGGTGTCGCGCTATGCTACTCACAAATATATTCTCGATGCACATTGGCCGTTTGATTATCTTGTAGTATATTGCCCATTGCTTTTTGTTGGGCAACTCCATGAATTCGGTGGATATAATCCGGCCCCTAGGTCCACCTGGTCAGTATCCTAGAAATGATGATCACCGAAGCGCTACGCACGTAGAGTCATCTGCCTTGTCCACCAATTTCTGCAAACGGGCCTTCAGTAAGCGGTTCATACTGGGTGGCTTTGATTTCGCGCCATCCTCGCCCTCTTCGTGGGGGACCATCTTGTTGTACGTCTTATTCGCCAATTTCTATTCGCAGATACCAGTCAATCCCATATCCCGTGATATCCCTCACCTCAACACCCACAAGAGACAGCTAGAGATACTACGCACCTGCAGCTCCTTCGCGTCGCGCCATATATCGCTCTCTTTCTGATTGTACTGCTTCGCGTTCTTGAAGCAGAGCTCAAAATCCTGTCGCACGGCTTCGAGTGAATCGTATGCGCCATCCTCGATCTTCTTCCTGATATCTTCCAATGCAATGGGGTGCGCAATGAGCACGTAGTAATCTGGATAATGCTTTCTTGGTGGTTGGTGCAGGAAATCAATGGACATGATCCGGCCTCTGTATTGAGTAGACGGTCAGCGGGCGGGATTGAGTGGGAGGATTGAGAAGCATGCTGTACGCACTCTTTGTTCGTGGCGTCTCTGACCGTCTGCCACAGCTGCAACGCCCTTTCTCTAAGTCCCTCATCGTCGTTCCCGGTCACGTCCACTGTAGGCTCTAACGCTGGCGTCTCCGCCGGCTCCGCTTCCTTGCGCCTCTTCGGTCGCGGCACCTCAGAAAATGCAAGCTCCCTCTTCATGTCGTCCGTACCACTGAAACCCGGAAAGTATGCGCGGAATTGGCTGGAATACACAAAATATCGGTCGACCCCTCAGTGCTTCGCCAAACTCTGTTTAGTGGCCCACTGACGGACACGTGATACGAATATACCCCTGTCACAATAGGAGATAGGAACCACGACGACTCGAATTCTACACTAAAACCTCGGTACATTGTCCTCTACGCACAGTGATCTATATGGTGCCGCACGTTCCATCTACTATATGGTAGGATTATTGTCAACTAATCTCGCGAGCGCGAGTGTCACTAGTCGTTTGCGAGCAGCGCGTGAATGATTGTTCAAGCCACCACTAAAGGCCCACGACGCGTCGTGTACTTGATTGCTCCGCTTCTTCACGGCGCATTTGCGGAGTAAGGATGCACCACCAGGCTATTGACCCAAATGTTACTGTTGCTTCCCACAACAAGCTACACTGAACTTACATGCTCGCCAAGGTAAGACGTGACATCGACAGCATAGCCGTTAACGACCAAAATACAACGCCGCTCGTGCTTCACCGCGTATTCCGTAACTTGGTCGATAGTCCATGTTTCACCAACCCACTCCTCGGGTTGTGAGGACTCGGATTCATTTTTGTGTTGCATATATTCTAGAGCTTCTATGAGGTCGTCTTTTCTGGCGCGTCGCAGTCCGCGAACAAGCCCAAGCTGGTGGAGTAGAATGATTACCCATTTTGACGGGTCCCAGTCTAGGATAGAGGGCCCCGAGCGGTAATCGTGGGGGAATGCATGCTATCGAATATGAGTAATGCCCGGCTCGACGGGTATTCAGTCACAAGGCTTACATGCTACAAGAAAATGTTGGGTATCAATACGAATTACGAGATTGGGCTTGAAGGACGTACGAAATTGTGGTTTCCTTCACCACTGGTAAGAACGGCAAGTAACTGAGTGCAGATCAATACGGTGGACGCGGTGACAGCATCAAATGGTAAAACCCACTAGGTTTCCTCTGGAAGTATCTTCATCCGAATAAGGTTGTAGTCCTTCCCAGTGTGCAAGGCTATCAAATGATAAGGAATCGAACCTACTACTGAATAGGTCACGCACGAATTGACAAGGAAAGTGCAATGCCATACTAAGCACGCGAGAGGTGTTAGCATGGCTTGAAGGCAGTGAGAATGGACAGATGCCTACTGGCTAATCTAGAGACAAGGCCAGCCCACACGAATGCGCCCAACGAATCTCTCCATAGAGAACCGATGGCCGTCGGGAGAAGCAGCCCCAAGGAGAGCGCCAAAGGTACTGATGGAGCGTAATGAAGTACGTTGTAAAGTCACAAATAATGCAAACGCGTACCGTAGTATTTATGCTGAAGACGAACCACTTGACAACATATGTCAGTCAGCGCCCATTGATAGAGCCAGCTAATTTCACCTGGATCGGAATCGAGATCATTGCGATCAACAAACTCTAATTTCCCGTAGTTGGGCTTGAAGAATATCCAGCCCATATGCGAGTAGAAAAGGCCCCTCGTGGCAGCATATCTAAATATTCACGGCTGACTAGGCCCAATCGACACGGCGCGCGACGAACTCACGGGTCTTGGACAGGGTCGTCTGTGAATCTCTGCACAAACTTGAGATCAAGTCACGACACAAATTGCCTAACGACAACCTACATGATGTAGGCGATGTCTGAGGCACCTGTGCGAGAGTGAGTCCTGCCCGGTACTCCTGACAATCGATGTACGTACCACCACTACGTTATCTATGAGCAAAGTCTCAACCGAAATGGTTAAATACGCGCCTTTATGGACCCCTGGAACGCGGAAGCACCTAAGAGAGCGAGGACTGCCCGAACGATGAAATTGGCCCTGAAGGCGCGATGGGAATACAGTCGATGATAGCCAATGGTTATACTGCCGGAGATACTGAGTGCAACCGAAGAAATGAAATCATTTGTTCACATACCCGAATTCCCCTAGTTGCCAGGCGCCGTATGATAAGGCGATGGTTGCCCATGGGACTGTCCAGAGAGGTCGCCTGTACGCCCCGACCACCGCAGCTACATGAACCGCTACAAAAAAGATTCCGTTGGTCCACCAGATGGGCGGGCGCGTCGCGGCCCCTTTCGTGGGCGGCGAGGGGGGCATAGGGGACGTTCTGGAGGGAGTCAGTTGCAGAGATAGTGGTGGTAGGAATTCAAGAGACGAAGGTGGGCGTTGCTGGTACACCATCACTGTTCTCGGTGTACGTAAGCTTCCATGCCCGAGCACCTAGGCTGAGGCCGAAGCGCGGATCCGGCATCGACATCACTCAGGCTTCTCCAGTGTGCTCGATCTAAGGTGCAGTGATCGGTCCATCATGAAATTTCGACCAGTCAGCGGCCCGTGTGGACTCTGCAAAGAATTTCTGAGATTCACCAGCCTACAGTTCTCGTTCAAACCACATTGTATCTGCAATCACCCTCACCTGCCGGACTCTGGTCTCGTCAGTCGTCCAGATCCCCCACTCGCCCTCGCCGCCGACACCCATGCCAAATCCCTCGCGCCGGTGAATCATGTCACTTTTGAGCCAGCTTCCACCGCTCAGGTGCACCTCGCGAACGCCGACGTCCAGCAGCTCCCGAAGCAGGGGCCCAACAGTGTCCGGATTGACACCCGAACCGGGTAGAATGGTCGTTGGAAATGGTTGGTCGGCGGTCAAAGTCGATATATCCGTGCACAGGGACTTTAATGTCGTTATAGATGACGGGGCAGTAGTGCCATTGTGACCACTGATTTAAATAACTTTCAAAATGTATAGGACACTGGGAACAGGATACCCACCTTGTGAGTATTCGAGACACGCCGCCAATGCTCAAGACATCACGCAAGGCTAAGCAATCTCTTCAAGCGATGTATTGGAACAAATTGAGACCGCAGTCTACCTTCATCAGCGTCCCTGGTCATGTCAAACGCCCTGTGAAAGCAAACTGGCATTTCATGAGACCTCATCTGAGTCAGAGCAAGATAGAACCATATACGCACCTTCCATTGGGAGGGCTTCATCTACCAAGCTAGAAACAGTCAATATATCAGCTTGGGGCTTCTCCCACCGAAGTAACGAACACTTTAGTGCGTTCGACATCTACTGTGCCTTCCTTTGTAAGGACACCAAACACGACGCCTCGTGCGCCTCGCCGTTTGAATGCGCGGATATCTTCAATCATCACCTCGAGCTCAGATTCCGAGTACAAGAAGTCTCCCGTGCGCGGCCTGATCATGACCTACAATGATAGATGATGGCTTGAGCACCTGGCCACCCGACATCGAAAGCTTCAACGCGAGAAGAGGTACCATTATCGGAATTCCATCAGCTATCTTGTGCACTCGTTTATAGAGACCCATGCTGGGAGTTGTTCCTCCACCGAGCCCTAGATTACCGCACAATTCTAGACGGTCCGCACCCCCGTCGACGGCACTAGAATACGAATCTCAATCCTATCGTCACGGCGTAGCATCAGGCAAGTAGTAAACCTTACTTTAAAGCTGATTGGACTGAATCGACGCAAACCTCGACGACGATTCCTGGACCAGCCTCAGACGGCTCGGGAGACGGAGTTTGCCTTACCGAGGGTCCCGACGGCACAGATGCCTCTGAACTGGCGCTAGTAGCGGCTACTAGTCCCGATGCGACGTGATAGTCAATGCCCATGGCAATCGGGCGTGTGGATAGCGGGGAAGTGGGGGTAGGTAGTGCGGGAGGAGGGAGAATTCATGAACGTCGTCCGTGGGGTCGCCTCTGGTCCGTTATTCGGTCCTGAATATGGAGCCGAACTTACACAGCGAAGGTGAAATCCACTAGTCCATACATGACTGATGCTACAAATTACAGGTATATATACAATATACGATGGCGGAATACGACACTACAACAGAATGAGGGATATATGAGTTGAGAACATGAAGTCCTGGAGTCCTGGTCTATGGCTGGATGGCGAGGTCACTAATTCGGGTGACCCAAGGCTTCATACTGACGCACAATATTCTTCACGTCCGGGCAAATGGCAAGGATCACCCTTTCCGAGTCTTCCTTGACCAAACCTTTCCCCTTGCTCTCCAGCCATCTCCCGAAAGCATCTACATCAGGCTTTCCACTTGCGTTTACGACGGCCGTGATACACGCCCCCTCTCGCACCATCTTCGCTAGCTTGTCGCGTTGGATGGACCACTTGAGTTTCCGCATGACAGGCAGCAGGATACGCGACACGGCCGGTGAAGAGGACTCGATGTCCGGCAGGACGTGCGACACGTGAAGTGACGTGAGTGCATTAAGATGCGAAGTCGTACGTCGACGAAGGAAGGAAGATATAACGCTGCTCGTACGCCTTCGCTGTAGGAGAAGGCTGGCTTCATATTGCCTAACAGACTTGAGCGTGGACAGACGGACAGACATTGTCACCTTAGTCACAAAGCGTGAATTAAGAGGGCCTTACGAGGGAAGAGTAGAGATAGGTCCCCGTGCGCCATCGTCGCTCGATGTTCAAACCTCGCATGACGCCCCTGTGGACCAGGTCGCCCACTGTCGGCCTTAGCGCGACGCCCTCAGCACTTTGGCCGAACAGCGAATGGTTTACCCTCGAGGGTGTGATGATACGAATGCGATTATTATGCAAAGCTTGGTCCGATGCCAGTTCTTTGAACAGAGGCGACACTTGAGATAACGACGCCAGGTCGGGAAGATCAAGGAACGAAACTACACAACACGCGTGTAACGTCCAGTTAGCATTCAATCTCATTGGGAATACAGCCAAAGTGAGCTCACAGATATACAGAATAACTTCAGGAACTACATCCAAGAGATTGTGAGCCATGGTCATGGTGATGGTAGTAATGAAAGAACATATGTAGTGCTGCGCGAATGAACATATCAAGAAATTCGCACGCTTCTACCGTGGTCCCCTCGCCGGGACGTGTAGGCCTCCGAATCTCGCCTGCGGGCCAGAGCTGCCAGCACGCCCGACTCTGTGATTGCGCAACTTGGCGGGAGGTTCGCTCTTTTGGCGCGCTGGCGTTGCAGGCCCCCTGTGTATGAATAGGTAGTGACAGGGGCGAACTCCCTAACCCCTTTATGTGTTGATGTGTTGAAGGTTCTGAAGCTCCGATGAACACCAGCAAGCTCAATGCCTCACGTACAGTGGGCATTTCGGGCATGAGTTTATGCTGGAATGCTGAATATGATCAAACTCGTTGAGAAATTACCCAGTTATTGGCAGACTATCCACTTGTGGGCGGTAGATCTAAAGCCTACGGACGCCCCATTTCTATACAGACATGTTTCCAATATTATAACATCCTACTCTAAAATTTACATAAACAAACCACAGTAGTGTTGCAATAAGAAGCGTGGAATTGAAAGCTACCGACAAGCTAAGACCGATGTGCACGAAAGCGAAGAACACAAAATGCAAAATGAAAACAAAATTGCTGCCCCAAATGAGAAAACAGTGGGGGATGGGGCAAATATAACATAGCGGAGGACACCGGTGCTTGGAGGATGAGATAACAAAGAATGCATGATATGATACACTAGACCAACGAGTTCGGAGGGAACAAATGATAAATGCTATGCGGTGGGAAGTGAACGCTTGGGGATACATGGTTGTTTGTGACGAAAGGAAACTTTAGGAGCTTGACGCTACTCAGAGCTTGTTTCATGAGAAAAGAGGAGCCAGAAGTCCGTATGGAGGGTTCGGAAGACAATGGGGGCACGTAAGGAGGATCTTGGAATTTCGCTACATGGTGGTCGTAGTCTTCTCCACCTCCACCTTGATGCCGCAGATCTCGTCGGAACTTGGTCTGCGTGCCGCTCTGAATCCCATTTCGAGTGCATGGTATGCGGGTGCAGGGCTTGAGCTGGAGCCAGACTTCTCGAGGTCCTCGGAGTCTCCGCCGCACGTACTCAGTCGCCCTATCCCCATGCCCAGCCCTATCCGAATGTTCTCCATCTCGACTAAATCTTGTTCCATGTCCATCTCCTCCAGATCGGGCGCTAGGCTTCCAATCGTACTGAGCATGACGCCAGATCCCAAAGTATTGGTTAACCGAGTGTTCCTGCTGAACGTTCCCATCGCGCTTTTCTGACGATGGTGGGGCGGAGTGAATGGTGAACCCTGCTGCGCAACAGACTTGGTAGTAAACGCGGCCATTCCTGTACCCTCGGAGTGAGTTACTGTCTCGGAACCCCGTTCACGAAGATCAAGGATCTAGAATCCAATAAGCGGATAGATATAGAGCTTATCGCATGGTCCTCACCAAGCGACAGGCGAGGACAGGGGCCAGCATGACACTCAACGGGATGTTGATGGCCGAAATGACCTGACGTGGTCTATAGAAGATAATAGGTTAGCAGTTACTTCGTTGGCGGTTGTGAGCCCTGCGTACTGCAAGTAGAAGACACCATTGATCTAAGATGGGCTGTCTCAGCAAGGGAGTCGCGTGCGAGAAGGGGCCACTAACCAAGTTTGCAATCGAAATTAAAAGGTAGTAGAATACGCCTGTTCCACGCGATTGGTTGTTACATTTAGCTATAGAACGTGATATCTCACCTTCTCGAAGGAACGTCTGGATAAGCCGGCTGTTGGGGCCTCCGTTTCGGCGACGAATATAGATGGCTTTCCAGATGGTCATGAATGTGACCAGAGTATCGAAGAGAAGGGGTGCAATCTGGGTAGAAGAGTTAACCACGGCGGATAAGCGAAGGTGGGGGCGTACAAAGAAACCTGGTTATCTGGATAAGTTTGCAAGACGGTAATAGTTGGGTTCTGGCTTACCAAGAAGATGAGCGGAATGGGGCTTTGACATGGGTAGACAGGGGCCCTATGGCAGGGTTAAAGCACAGATATTTGTCTAGCTCGTGGTGCTCACGTAGGTATAGGGAGGTTTCACGAAAGGAAGTACTGTTATACGAGTTGAAAAAGTATTGTGAATGGGGTTAACGGAGAAACACTCACAGAGCATCTGAGTGCTATCAACGTAAAGTTGATAAGCTACGACGCCCGCCATTGAGCATATGAGGAACCATAAGACGAAGATGTTGCGGTTGAAAAATGCGTATGTCCGAATGAGGAGAACCGCTATGTGTATGCGCGTGAACAAGCATAGAAACGACCGTGTAAGTAGCATGCGTACATTCGGATCCGACTTGATTCCACATAGCGAGTCCCACAGGGATCTGCCAAGTGTCAGCAATGAGGCGTATCAGACGATAAACAGCGAATTACTCTGAAGATGCGTTCGCATGTTTCTCTTGGGTGGTCCATCACGAAGCAATACAGCAGATATGGGACGACGGCGATGACCCAGTACCTAGGAACTACTCAGATGGACGGAGCGGTCGATATAAGCGTGTAAAAGTACCTGCAGAATAGGTAGGCGACTTTGACGGGAGTCCAGTGCGTTCTCCAGACCTGCTCGACGATTGGCAAGCTGGAGATAACAAGTCGTCTACGACTCACAAAACGCCATTCCCTCGGCAGACTAATGGCCCAGTCCCAGAGCACGACAGCATCTGTCGCGCCGTGGACAGTCAACCAATTGAGCAGATACCGAGATGCTCTTGACTTACACATTGCTGGACAAATTCCAATCAATCGGGGAAGAAATTAATGGAGATGAGGACGAAACTTACAACAGAAGTATACCTGAGTGATATAGATGAAATGTTGCGCTGTCTCGCTGTCTTGCTTGGACGCCATGGCTGGCGAGCGGGAGGAGGGGAGATGGTGGCGGGAGGAAGGAAAGAGGGAATGGCGATTGTTATTGAGCTGGCGCGGGATGCAACTCCCATCGGCCCAAAACAGACAGTGAGCCAGCTCCCAAAGAACCAAGAATCGCCACCAATGAGCCCGCACTGAATAGAGGCGATATGCTTCCTGATCGAGCCTGTTTTCAAGATTTAGTATATAAGACTATTTTCTTAGCTCCCGCATACGGGCTGGCTTGTATTCACGAGAAACCGGTAATGTACTCCCAAAGAAAAGCCTCGAGGTGGATACGGGCAAAATCTGGCCATCATGGTGACCGAGCCTGCAGCAGGCAGCCGCAATAAACTTTGAACCAGGAAGCAAACAAAGGCGCCTGGCGGCAAAGAACCAGATCGGGTTCGGATTGCCACGTGAGCCGAACTCTTGACGCGACATTTGCCGCCGGCACGAACCTCAACATGGCCACCAACGCTGCTGGCGTGCAGCATATTCGCCTGCGCAAACCAGAACCCCCAAAAGCTTCAAATGTGACAAAAAGACACACTGGCTTGCTCCAGGACAAGATAAGACGGTGCGGGAAGCCTCTTGTTTTCTCTATATATCATTTTGACACCACTTAGGTCCGCTCGTGCGCCATGGGCACCATCGTTCTCCATGGCAGTGCGCATTCTTCTCCTCGTACGCTTCTCAGCGGCGATGTACTCAAATATATCAGATTGCGATGAAGGTATCTAACCAGATACTCCGCTACTATCACAATGAACTCATCATCGGCCAGTCTTCAATTTTTGGGAACCACTTCATTTCCTGGACCGCGGGCACGGATTCCAGACGTGGGAGGTTTCCCCCGAGTTCTCCATCCGAAGCTGGGCATACGTCCTCCTGCACTTGCTTCCTACTCGGTTGATTTCAGTGCTTGTTGGCCCGGAGAAGGTGAGGAGAGCTCCCCGTCTTGTCATCGGTCGGGCTTACGAAGTTATGTAGCGGCCGGCTTTCTTTGCTGTTAGGATCTCCCTAGCTGTCATGTCAGTTTTAGCAGAGTCCAAATTCTACAGAACAGCATACGAGAAGATCAACGAGCACGTCGGCCGGTACCTCTTCTTTATGCTTCTCACTAGTGCCGGCATGTGGAATTCATCAGCTGGTGCGCATTTCGAGATAGTTCCGGCGCAAGTAATTGAGTATGTTCCCCAGCGTTCTTACCTTCGTCGTTCACGATGTGTACCACAATGATGGCCTTTTCCTACGCGTTGGATCCCCCAAGTAACGCCAAGGCTAAGCGCACTCTCCTTGCCACCGTATGTTTCACTATCGGTGCTGTTGTTGGCTGGCCATTTGCGTTAGCACTTGCTATCCCCTTCGTGTTCGAAGAGATATTTGTGTTTGGCGGCGATCGTGTCCCTCCTGCTATTCGTACTACTTGGAGCCTAGGTCGATTAAGACGCTTCGTCGGAGCGGTGATAACGGCTGCTATGATCTTCGTACGTTCCTGCTATAACAAAAGACTACACACGCTTACGATACTCCAACTGCAGATTCCTGTTATTGGCATCGATTCTCTCGCCTATGGCCATCACACGGTAGTCCCTTGGAATATCATCCGGTACAACATATTTGGCGGCTCTGAACGTGGACCTGAATTATATGGCACATCTCCCTGGTATTTCTACCTCCTCAATCTGTTCTTGAACTTCAACATCCTAGTTCCTTTGGCCCTCATCTCGCTGCCGGCCCTCGCGATCACATACCGCTACGATCATCTTCGCCTTGGTGCCTACAAGGCGTCCCCAGACCAGAGTTCTCCATTCACGCTGCTTACTATGCGCTTGCTCCCGTTCTATATATGGTTTGGTATATTATCTCTACAAGCCCACAAGGAGGAGCGCTTTATGTTCCCAGCTTACCCATTGCTCTGTCTCAACGCCGCTGTAGCCCTATATCTCATCCGCGGTTGGCAGGAGGCTATCTTCATTAGCATCACCAAATCGCCATACAAGGTTTGTGAACTCCACCAACCTTTCATGCTATCAATTGACCCATCATATGCTCAGGCCGCTCAATCCTCCATGTTCCGTACCTTCACGTTGTCCGTGATCGTTACGGCTTCGGTGATATCTATCTCTCGCATACTTGCCTTATGGACGTACTACCACTCCCCGATGACCATCTCGTTCCTCTTCGAAACGGAAGAACTCCCCAGGCTCCTGAACGTCACTGGCTTTCTTCCACCCATCCCACCCAATACCCACGCAGATGAAATGCCCCGCATCGACCTTAGCCCGATCAAGGGTTTTAATCTGACTCTTTGTTACGGAAAGGAATGGTACCGCTTCCCTGGTCACTACCTCGTTCCGGATGGCGTCCGAGTAGACTTCATCAAAAGCGAGTTCGATGGCATGCTCCCTGGGCACTTTGGAGAAGGCGAGCTCAAGCATGTCAACGGACCGTCGCAATATCCTTTGGCACCCTTTTTGTTGAGGCCAGAAATGCGATTGGTACCCGCTGCCCTCAATGATTTGAACCGCGAGGCTCCTTCCTACTACGTGAGTGTCACCCTAGAAGTTAATATAAAGCTGGTATGCTAATCCCGGTTTATCAGGTTCCGGTCGAGACATGCGACTACATCGTGGATCTCGACTTCCCAAAACACCCCGTTTCCTCTGCCAATGAACCTAGGTATGCGGTGAACACTGATACCTACGACCGTGTGGCCTGCATCCCATTCTTGGACGCTAGACATTCAAGTCTTCTGACCAGAACCCTCTGGATGCCTGGAGAGAAGTGGCAAAGCATGAACGAGTTTGGAGACTATTGCCTATTGAGGAATAGGGAGAGAGTCCGACAAAAGGAAGAAGTTGTTCTTCGCAATAAACTGTAGTAATTCGCAACAATATCTACTTTAATAATGTCCTAGAAATACACGATGGGAGGCTCGCTTTGGAGTTTCAAGTGTCTCGTGACCGCTGCCCTCTGTCAGTTCCCGTCACCGACCTTAGCTGATTCTACGCTGTTAAACGTCGCTTTTGACGACGGCGAGCGATGAGAGAATCTAACTCTGACCTCGATGCGCTACTATGTGACTCGCCACCGTCACCAGTGCTCTCTGCCTCCGCGATGTCCGTTTCCCTGACGTCTGGAACGATCCCCATCTTCCTTGACGAAAGAGACGGGCCTGAACTTGGCGATATTCCTCATGGCGTGGGCCCCGACCACAGTATTCTATCACAACTGTTCTTGCTTTCTATCGAGCGACCAAGGGATGGGCTCCCTGAGGAACTGGCGAGCATCGACAGCCATAACCCGGACCATCAGGAGCAATGCGCTGTGCAAGACAGTTCAAGTCAGAAGAGCTTCGGCACATTTGGCCCTCTGGCAGCGCAAAGGACTAGCTCTTGGTGTCCCATAGACGAGGCGGGCGACCTTATTGCCTACATGCAAAATGAACAGGAGGACTCAGCGGATCCAAATCGCGGCGTGGATCCAGATCTACGCCTCTCTGAAGATGCCTTAGGGTTGGCCGTGGACCTTATACAGCAAGAGACCCCCGCCCGCTTCGTACACTGTGCTACAGACGCCGCTGCTGCTTTCACTGGCGATTCTGGCAATGGTGGGCTTAAGATAGTCGATCCCACGAGCCCACCACAGGAAGGACATTTGTTCACGCATGGGGCTCCGTGGTCAGAGAGGACAGGCCACGTTCAATCTACCCAGCAGCAAGACGATGACTGGCAATTGTATCCTACGCAACCTGAAGACACAGCAATGCCATCTAAAAGGACCTTCAAGGGCAGCCAAACCTTTTCCTTTCCTGCAAAATACCGGGACGAAGCTTCGGAACATCCCAATCACTCAGAGGCTCAGTCTGTCGTCGAGTCTACGGACGATTATCCCGAAGGAGCCCCCCTACATCATCAGTTGTATTCAGACACCCTTCCTTGGCTCAAGGACATCGCCGTAGACTTGCTCATTGACCAAGAAGGGTTCCGCTCTGTTCAGCCTATCTTCAAATTGACCGGATACTCGCCTCAGGCTCGTTCACTCCATCCCGAGGGCCAAGAATGCGATGGCGGTGTTGTCGAATTCATGCCAGTCCATAGGAAGACTTACAATTTCCATTACGCCCCGTTCGACAGCCCGCCAATCTTGCGCCGTGTGATGGTTAATAAACAAGAATCGCGCGACTACATTTCCCGCCAGGCCCTCCTCAGCATCAAAGACAATGGCGTATACACCGTCCGTGGGGTCGAAACCGCTACCTTCTCCGTCCCGTACGCAAAGGAAGGCTCTGGCTCACTCTACGCCCACGTCGACTGCAAAATGCGCTGGAAGTTCGAATATCTGGTCGCGAATCGACGGCTGGAGAAAACTGGGAGATTCTTGGACGGCGAAAAGACTCTGACTCCGTTGACGTTTGCATGCTCGCCGCTACTGCTTCACCCCAAGCAAGGCAAGAAAGTGAGGCTCATGCATCTTGTTCGTAAAACCGTGGCTGCAAAATTAGTTGCCGAGAAGATGGAACTACCAGCTAGGATGAGAGGTCCTGCCGTCGGAACTGTGCTCCATGGCGACTGGCAGACCCACAGGCGAGCGCAGTCGCACGCGCCTCAGGAATCTCACACTTCACTAAGTTCAGAGTCCTCGAGCAAAGGCCATCACCGCGAATTGCCCAGGCATGTTGAGATCGCCACCAATCAGCGACGGGTAGGACGACGTCGAGCATCTTCAGCAGGCGAGCGTCCTCGTAATCCTGGTTCTCCTCTGCATGAAGACATATCTACCATGCAACAAAATCCCCAAACCGGATCAAACCTCGTCACTGGTCGACATATACTGCCTCGATCTCAATTATCCGAAATGATAGACTCTTATAGTCCATGTTCGCCACCGTCTGCCATCACTGGAATGACTCCATTAACACCTTACAGAGGCAATAAATTCTAGGAGATATACAATACAAATGATAAATGCCAGTTCGTATCCCTGGATAGAAAAGTTCGTGCATGCAACGATGATCTAGTGTGCCAAGATACGCCTTATCTGGTCGGTAACGACCCTGGGCTCGAGATTGATGATCGTATTGATACCGCCAGGTTTCTCGCAATGACGTCCAGGACAATCCAACGGTAGGCAGAAACTGAATGAAGCCATTGGTTACCCCCAGGTAGCGGATATATGGATGGAATACATACTCAGTCTCGTGTACCATGTAGTGCTGGACGCCAGCCGCAATTGCCAACGGACTATAATCCGTCTGAATAGTAAGATCAGAGACAAGATACAGCAAACGAGAATGTCAAAGGCTTACGATAGTACATGTACGAGGTTGGAATTCGAAAACGGCGCTTCTTGGCGTAGGAGTCATCCAAAGCGAATGGGTGAGACCATTTCCATGTACCGCAATGAGGATCTAGGTAGATAGGTCGGCCTAAAACCATAGGACGCTACGAGTGCAGACTTACAGTAGCTCGTGCAATCCTTGCTACTTGCTCGTCGAAGGGCATACTAGAATTGAAAGCTTCCAAAGCAATATCGGCCACTCCTTCATGTTGCAACTGATAAAGCTCGTCGACCAGTGCTTCATGATCTTCCGTCACGAGCCGACGACTGCTATCTTGACGTTGGAGGTAAACGACGAGTGGCTTCTCCGGCATACCAAGCGGCGTGTCACCACGATATTCAGAGAATACACGCTCCCGCAAGGCGAGGAGCCAGTCGGGAGCGACGGGTAGGCGCAGGACATCGCCCCAGGGCTTGTAGGCTGCTGATGGACCAGAGTGTCCTGCGGCTCTATCGGCGAGAACAGCGGTCGTGATGCGGTATACTTTGCCGGAGTCGGCGCGTCTATCCCACACGGCCTTGGTATCCCACACAACGCCAGGGCTACAATAGATATCGTGCCCATCAACTTCGAGGAGGGACAAGGAACAAGGAACACGCACAAGAATTTTTCTGTGAACCAGATGTTGGCTCCCGGCTTATCATTGAAGATATCTTTGCCTGGTTTGGCGCCTGGCGGTGCGTCATTTTTGGAGTATTGCTGTGTAAACGCGACTCGCTTGATCATGGGGAGTTTCATTCCTGTCCGCCACCCATAGTTGCTCCACACTCGCCACGATCCCAAGAAGGTTTCGCCTAAACAGACTTACTGTTAGCAAGCGCGCTTCAGGACATATCTGGGTACAGGCGTACCGATCCAATGGTAATCTATGCGAAGCAAGGACGTCAAGCCTAGGTGGACACGATGGAATGGGGCTGGAACTTACAGTGCGCAGCAACTATGCAGGACAGTGAGTGAGGGATTTTGTTTGCGGCAATAAATAGGAACGACTCACAGTTGTCATCATTGTTAATGATCTTGATATCATTCTAATTTTAGCTAGACCTCAGTTTGGATAACGATGTTACCTACCATTGGTCCCTCAATGACCTGAGCGGAACCAAATTGACGTTCGGCGGCTTCGAGACTGATGGTCTCGCCGATCTGATTGCTTTCTTTAACTTCCGGACTGACAGGCTGTAATCGGATGCTTTTGATCTTCGCCACAACTCGTCCATTGGCAGGAGTGCGGGTGTCGGTGCTCAACGACGCGATTAGTTTAATGGGCGGGATCCGCCAGGGTTGGTCGGTGACCAGGTAGAATGTGCGATTATGCCAATACCTGCAACGGCGGATAATCACGCGGCTTCTAGAGGGCTGGCGATGAGTAAACTCACAAGTTCTCGATGACTGAGAACCCAGGGGCATGGGCGAGAACCTCAGTCTTGGGTAAAGTCTTTATGCGCTGGGCGGTAAGGTCGACGGGCTGGATCGCGCGGTATGGCAGCGATGACAACGACAAACGATCCTGATGGACGAATAACATGTACACCAGCAGGACGACGACGCCCAAGGCGACGTAACTGCGGTTGAGCCTTCCGAATCGTAAGTGGGACATCACCGTGAAGGCTGAGGAAACGGGGCAGCGCGGGGGGAGGAGGATGGTGTCGCGGATTAAGATGCGGGTATGGGGACCACGGCTTATATGTCGTGCTATGAACCCGATCGTGAGCCGCAAAACAAACATCTGCACACAAAACTGGCGATCACTCTGGCTCTGGGAAATAGGTCATAACGTTCATAGGCAATATAGACAAGAAAATACATATCATAGTATTACATGTGGAATAGCGGACATTCTCTCCGGGTGATGATGGACAAAATAGCAAGCTTAAGCACCAAACCCGTACAAGGTGCGGCCGGATCGCTTCAGAGCATAGACAACGTCGAGCGCCGTGACAGTTTTACTAAATGGGGAGGAGAGATAAGCACACGTCTAATGATGGAGCAAGGCCAACTTACCGCTTGGCGTGCTCGGTGTAAGTGACAGAGTCACGAATGACATTCTCCAAGAAAATCTTGAGGACACCACGAGTCTCCTCATAGATCAAGCCAGAAATACGCTTGACACCACCACGACGAGCGAGACGACGGATAGCCTACGGGTATAAGCAATATATGAACAAGCCACTCCCAGCACTCAAGCTTGATAACGCACGGGCTTTGTGATTCCCTGGATATTGTCACGAAGAATCTTGCGGTGACGCTTTGCTCCCCCCTTTCCGAGTCCCTACAAAGCAGTTAGTTTCTTAATTCCGAGTCGACTTGAATGAGACGCACCTTTCCACCTTTTCCACGTCCAGACATGTTTCTACGTTATATTCAAAGGTGGGTGTTCCAACGGATAAAATTGGGTGGCGCTTTGATGTGTTGGTGATGGGGGTAGTGTGCAAGGAAGAGAGTAGACGTCGCGTCTGGATCAACACCCTATATATACCGTGTCTTCCATCACGTGACGACCATGTATTACGTGTGGCCACTTCGAGCCTGGCGGCGTGCTTTATCACTCTCAAGATGGCCATTACCCACATCACCTCGCTTCCAGAACTCAACAAGACCCTCTCTGCTTCGAGCACGAAGGTCTCGGTGCGTGCGGAGCATATGTTCTATACTGCCTTTGACTCATTCTCGGTACCAGGTCATTGACTTCCACGCAACTTGGTTCGTATTCATCGCAAGTAATGTGTAATAGTCCTGATACAAGCATGTGGCTAGGTGTGGACCATGTCATGCCATTGCGCCTACATTTGAGGCCCTGTCGAAACAATACAAGAACGTGAACTTCTTCAAATGTGATGTCGACGTTGCGAAAGATGTAGCCGCCCATTACACCGTTTCTGCAATGTAAGGCCGCAGTTGTCTGCCTCTGATAGACTTATTTATTCGCTTTGACCAGGCCAACATTTATCTTCCTCAAAGGCTCTACAAAGATCGATCAAGTGCGGGGTGCCAACAAAGCGTAAGTGTAGCCAATTCCCGGGGCATCGATTCTGTTCTGAAGCAGGAAATCCCACAGGGCACTCGAAGGGGCCTTAGCGAAGCATGCTACTTCGTCGTCCAGTGCCTTCTCTGGCAAGGGCCACACGCTGGGAGGTGGATCTGCTCCGGTCGATCTCAAGCACGAAGCGCGTTCAGTAGCCAACCAAGCTTCTTCCGTGGTTACAGGCCTGACTCCACAGACGAAGGTCTTCCTGGGGTTAATCGCTGCCTATGCTTTCTTCTGGTATCTCAGCTAATTGAGTGGCATACGTGTAATTTATTTGATAGGAGCAAATCCAAGATATGAAGTCTGATATAGTAAAACGCCATGATATATCATCGAAGCCACCCCGCCTTTACGACCATCCGAGAGCCGCCCAGGCCTCTTGAGCGGCGACCTCCTTCGCAATTTTCTGACTCTTTCCAATTCCGGAGCCCATAGTCTCGCCATTGACTAAATAGGCACGGCTATTAATGGAGCACAAACAATATAAGTGGTCATGCATCGCACCTACACATTGCACAGTCCACTGAGGACTGTGCGGTTCACCGCAACGTTCAGCTGGGTATGTCACCTGCAAATTCCTCTGGGAGGCAGTTTGGTTGAGACGGGCCAAGATTCCGAGGGATGTCGGTGCCCCGGTGGGCGTCGTCTGAGGAAGTGGAGGTGGGACCGTGCCTGGGGGCGGGGGGGACCGGCTGGTGCTGGCACCCCCCAGTTGGCGCGTCGGGGAAGGGGGATTGAATAGCGGAACAGGTTCAGCGTCTGGATTGATAAGACGAGTGATCCAGTTTTGGATGGGCGTGACTCCACTACGCATGTACACCGCACCAATGTACGAGTAGAAGAAAAATCGGGTTTCCTGGAATGTTCAATCGTTAGCGTATGATCACGATCGGTTTAGATCATCACTCACATCCGCTTCGTTGATGCGTTCCGCGAATTCTTGGGTGTAGAGTAGTCGGTCCTTCAGTTTATAACTGTCGACCCAAGCCTGGATTTGTGTATCTGAAGTCAAGTCCCTCAACTTTTCCTATCGTGCTGAATAAGGGGAGAAATATAACCAGATTCATAGCAGAATAAACGAACAGTCATTTCGTCGGCTGGAATCATTGGCCGCTCGAAGAATAGGACGTTCGCGACAGTGAAATTGAACACCTTTCCGCCCAAGATCGAGAGGCGCTGAGTATCGCCATAGTCTTGATTTTTGGTTTCTCTGATAGATTTGTGGGTATAGACGTCTAGGAACAAGATCTACACGCTGATTAGTTGGAATTCCGCGTCAAGACAAGATCTGGCCTACTGGATCATCAATTTTGGGAATAGGCGGAAGAGGGCGGTCGGCCATAGCTCGTTGTTGGGGAAATCGTTTGTTAGTGTTGGGGCAGAAAATGAACGATCACATCGATTCTCAGTGAGAAACCATCCTTTTATAAATCTTGTGGGCGACTCTGCGCAATCAGGAAGTTCAAGCCTCGCGTTGCGCAGTAATAAAGCTTATAACGATCACGTGCCGGTCACCTTCTCTTCTTCCTCCTCACACCGACAAAGTCACTCTTCAAGTTCGATCACCGACTTGAACTGGTTGTCCAGAGCGCTGATATGTCTACGGACAAGAAGCTGCCTCCGTCTGCTGGACAAAATTCACTAATTCCAGAAAAGTACCTCGATGTACCGTCACAAAGGCTCTACTACCTCAGCCTGGGTTTGCTATGTCAAGTAGGTGACCTTTGCTGGGTTCCGGAGGCAATATCTCATAAACTGTACAGGCCATCAAAATAATGGAGTTTGGCTGGACGACTGTTGCTGGGACTGACGATTCGCTTGGTCCGTGTATGAAATGGCTCCTTGTGGACGCCCTGTATTGCATAACACTCGCGCTGCTCCGAATACCGAGACTGAACTACGGAAAAGCAGTCATATTTCTGCAAGTATCCACACTATGGTTCTTCGATGGACTGATGTTTGGGGGACTTTCTTTGAACTTTGGGGGAGGGGACATGCATTCACGCTCCTATGGGCGCTCAAGTGCGTCGTCTTATATTTCGCGTTCGTGGAAAGTTGCTGAGACCTTGTGCGAAATTGTTTCCAGACCAGCAAGAAGTTATCGGTACACCGGAGCCATTTAGCTTGCTGGACTTAGTTGCCCCGCTTACCTTCGGCCTTATATCATCCACTTCAGACAAGGATGCCCATCTACTCGGTCAACACACTGTGCGCATGTCGCCGATCAGCACAGCGCAGCTCTACCCCAATAGTCAGACATTTTGTCTATCTTCCCAGTCGAACTTTGTCCTCGTTCCGGTCCTACTCAACAACACCCATCCACATCACCTCAGATATTCAATTTCACCTCTTGGTCATAACGAACAAGGGGCGAACGGGAAAATCGAGTATTTTGACCTCAGTGCGAAGGAATTGAAAGCCATTGAGCAAAGCCGAATCGACGCGCTTCAGCTGGCGCGCCCAAATCCTACGGCGAATCACGACTCCGACGATTACGACGAATATGATGATGACGACGACGAAAACGACACAAACGGGAATGCCCACTCCAACCTACAGAAATCCCAATCCATCACACACATCAAAGTGACTAAGTCTGGTACAATCCGCTTAGAACGCGTAGTTGACTCCTCGAGCATCGACGCCCGGTTGATGTATCCAAGCGAGCTGAAGATAGCTCCTTGCCCGACCGCTGAGTTCGTAGGAGCTGGCGGTGTAGATGCAGATATCAAGTGCATTGGTCAAGATCCCGAATTGCCTTTGGTCATTAACATAGCCGGCGTAGCACCCTTGAGCCTCAAATGGTCGAAGGCCATCAACGGTCAACGGGAGCCTTTCCTGGTCGAGGGGATCGAGGGTGAACACCGATGGATCGAAGGAGGCGCCTCGAATAGCGGTGCAGTGCAGGATGTTCAAGTACCCCTGGTCGTAACGTTAGATAGGCTGGGAAATCACGAATATACCTTGGAGGAAGTCGTGGACTCCATAGGCAATGTGGTCCCCTTGAACACAAACTTAGTAAACCCGGGCAAGGTTTACAGATCTTACAACGTACTTCGCCATCCGTCGGTCTCTTTCAAGTCCTGCGCAGAAGGGCGACAGGTACCTTTGCTTATAGGCTCGGAGGCGACTCTCGCGATCGCAACTAACGACGCTGACCCGGTCGACGGTCCATGGGACGTTGTACTGAAGTACCAACCTTCTACCGACGCTGACGACGTGGACGTGAAGAGCTCCAAGAAGCATAAGCCATGGACGAGGACTCTCCAAAAGCTCGACGGAAACCGCGATTTGACCATCAAGGCGGCCACACCAGGACGCTATACAATCGCCAGTATCAAAGGAAAGGTGAAGATGTCTCGTATGTATTCATATACGCGTGTTAACGGCGTCTCAAGTATTGCACGGGAGATGTATTGTCACCGGAGTCCTGCAACGTCGTGGAAAAGCCTTACCCAACTGCTGAAATCGAATGGAAACGGATACACGAATGGTAGGAATATACTATCCTCATACTCGTTCAAAATCTAATCGGACCTTAGTTCTGGAGACACCGGCGTATCTGCGTCGCTTGTGTTCCACGGGAGCCCACCTTTCACCGTACACTACCAAGTGCAGCGTGATGCCGAGGCTGCTCGCGATCAATTGAAAACATTCAACACTGCCCGTGGCGAGCTCACGCTGCAACCGGAGCGCAGTGGTCGTTATATCTACAAATTCACCTACCTTAGCGATAGCAACTACAAGAAGGTTGGTCTAAATGGACCTAGTATCGACCAAATAGTCCACCCATTAGCCAGCGCTGAGTTTGTAGATGGAAGCAGAAGCGCTGCATCGGGGAGGAAGAAGGTCATCAATGTCTGCGAGGGCGCTTCAGTCAATGCGGACGTCGAACTCCGAGTACGCACACCAATACTTTATAACTATGTTCCTGCTGATGCCTCCTAGGGTACTGGTCCTTGGAGCTTGGAGCTTCAGATTGTGGGACCCAGAAAATCTGAGACCATCGTGGTCCAGAACATCACTGCGCCAAGGAAAACTCTCGAGATCCCTATTCCTAAGTCGGTTGATAAGGATGGTGGTGCCTTCGAGGTTGATCTTGGTACGGACCACTTTAGTTTGCCCAACCCTCCGTAAGCTGACCTTTGCTATAGTCAGTATTGAAGACGCCTATGCATGCAAACGGGCCCTCTCTGGTGCTGGAATTCTGGTCAATGTCCGACGCATAAAGGTAATACTGACTTTTTGAGTTCCATCCGTCGTAGCTGACGCAATCTAGCCCACTGTCAAATTCTATGGCAAAGACACGGAACGCCGTGTCGTCGTTCTGGAGTCAGACAAAGCTAATCTACCACTGCGGTTATCCGGACAAGGCGTATGTCACTTTCTGACATATCCTCTGTGTCACTGCTCACGCTCGCTGTAGCCTTGGAAAGTTAGCTATCATCGCATCGGTGACGAGGAAGTGATACGTGCAATGCTGGCAAGTCCCAACGACCATTTGCAAGTTACACAGAAAGGGACCTACGAACTTCTGGCTGTAAGTATAATGCTGTCCTAAATGCTGCTACATGTACTAAACATGCATAGGTCTCCGATTCGCTCTGCCCAGGCTGGGTTATTGATGAGAAGACCTACGAAGTCGACTGGGTCCCAAGGCCCTACGCGAAGCTTTCCCCGAAAATAGAAGCCATCTATGAGTCATTCAATAACTCGCACATATTGCCACCTATCTGCGAAGGAAATAATGTCCATGTAGACCTTGAACTAACAGGTAGCTGTCGTCCTTACAACCACTATCCTTCGCGTGGCTGACAGAGGCACAGGCCGACCCCCGTTCCAGATTATGTATAACATCGCACAGGGCAATGAAAATGGAGGCACAAAACTCCTCGATCAACCCGTTTTCAACAGCATCCAAGCCCAGACACGCTTCCAGCTCCATACCTCTCGGCCAGGACGAATGTACTACGAGGTCAAACAAATCGGGGACGCCGCTTACCCCCTCGCCCAACATAAGAATGCCATCATACCTCGCTCGGAACGCCTACTCTTTGAGCAACAGGTCGCAATACGTCCTTCCGCTCGATTCAAATCACGCAGCCGCCTATCCTACTGTTTGAACGAACTGTTCGTCCCAACGGACCAAGCAAACGGCGTGGTTGTCTTAGAAGGATCTCCTCCATTCACCCTCAAACTTTCAATACGGAGTATTGGAACAAGTCACATCCATACCGAAATTGTTGAAGTCAACTCCAGGGTGTGGCAGCTCAACCTTCCGTCGTATTCGTTCCAGACAGTTGGCGCACACCATGTTACGATAGATTCCGTCTTGGATGCATCCAAATGTGCTCAGGCCGGCCTTGATCCATTATCGACGTCTATCTGGGTGGATGTTGCAGAAACCGCATCGATCGTTCCCTTCGAAAGAAGAACGGACTACTGCGTGGGCGAGGTCTCGCAATTCCAGCTGGAAGGCATCCCACCATGGAGCATAGGGTTCGTTTCTCTTTGTCCACTTACGTTTCGACCAAGCTGACAATGAATTGAAGGTATCGTATCAATGGGAAATCATACACTCAAGAAGCGAAAACCTCGCCGTTCTCTCTGCTTCAACAACAGCCAGGAGAGTTCTCGATAACATCCATAGCACACAGAAAGCAGATGTGCAAGGCATCCGTTAAGGATATGGTATTCAATGTCCACCCGTTACCTTCGGCACAAGTTGGGCATGGAAAGCGCATCTTCCAAGACATTCACGAGGGTCCGTGCATCCTTCCGCTACTAACTTCATTGTATGCTGAAGGTACCTGTAGGTGATCAAGCTGAAATCGTCTTCACCCTCATCGGGGAACCACCATTCACTTTCACCTATCAAAGAGCCGAAGTCAGCTCGAAGAAAGGAGGGAAGGCCGGCAAGGTCCTCGAGACACATACTGTCTCCCGAGTCAACGCTCGCGAATATTCGATATTCTCTGCTTTAGAAGGTAACCTTTCTCTCGCCTGTTTCTATCAGACGTAGCTGAACTTCCATTTTTACAGGAACTTGGACAGTAACATCCATCTCAGACAAGTATTGTCGTTATCCTCAAGCACAACCAGAAATCGGCACCGACAGACGGCGAACCTAGTCGCGTATAACATATTATTTACCGCCGCTTATCCGGACAAGTTGTGGGTTGGGGCTTTTAAGTTGTATAGGTGCTATACGCTCAGACCGCTGAGATGACGGCTTGAAAGATGCTTTATATTGCGCTATAACGACATATATAGCTTCATACTTCATCCATACTCATACCCTATTGTCTAATTAGACCTGCGCAGACGAGATATAGAACCACTTCGAAACTGCAATCGAAAATCAGTACTTGCTCGAAAGTAAGGTAAGAGAGGCTTACTGGAAGGGTCAATGGGAGCAGGAGGGAGTCTTTGGCCTGCGGGGACGGATGTGTAAGAGGGATCATCCCGTCGAACGAACCCAGGGGAGTTGGAGATGGTGATGTTGCGACTGGATAAAGATGGTTAGCATGATGCCTTAAGTGAGAACACCGGTACATCTCACATGGAAAGGTCATAGGCAGCTGTTTTAGCAGCAGACTCTCCGGTGATAAGTCGACGCCAGGCTTCATGGCATTCGTGGATGATCTCGGTGGCGTACTTCCTGTTCTTAGCTTCTCCAGAGAAAGCAAAGGTGTTCTCCTGCTTCCCATCAGGGATCTTGTAGATCCTACAACAAGGTATGTTGGTTTGGATTACTAATTGGAGTCGGAGAACTTACCTGAACCATTCGTTGGTTGCGCGAATGAGACCGGGGAGATGGCGCTCGACATCTTCAATGTCGTTCAGCTTGGACGCGAGGGGGTCCCGTACATCAACGACAATGACTTTCCAGTCAGTCTCGCCTTCATCGAGAAGTGCCATAACGCCAAGGACTTTCACTTGCTTGACCTGACCGACGTAGCCCACTTGCTCTCCGATCTCGCAGACATCGAGAGGATCGTTGTCTCCCTTCGCCTTGGTTTCGGGGTGTAGTTCAGCGGGATCTTCCCAGGTCTAAAATCATGTTATCGGGAGATAACGCAATAATGTTAAGATCGTAGACTCGCCTGGGGGAAAGCACCATAGTTCCAGATGTATCCGTGATGAGGGAAGCAGTTGCGCACAAAACGCAACTTGCCCCTTTTGATGTCCTGCTTGATGGGATTGAACAGCTCCTCCTTTGAGATTTCCATCTTCGCGTTCGTCCACCGGGGAACCTCGACGACCATGTTGAAGATTCCGGCTTCCCGGTCGGCGAAGAGCGGGATATCATGGAAAGGGGATACGACGGCACCATTCTGCTCGATGTACACTCTGTGCTCTGCGCCAGGATATCAGATTCGCCTCGCGATTGTCGTGCCAGGCGTGTAAGACCTACCGAGGGTGTTTGGGGCCGCGACGAGCCTTGGTGTATATTCTGCAAATACTGCGATCAATTTTCGTAAAGCAGAAATATCATTAGGACGAACGCGAGGCCATTTTGCTGGAGGACTCTGATGAGAGATGTCGCAGTGAGAGAGAGAGGCGCTGTGAAACGCGTGCGGTGGACTTAGAGGTCATATGGCTGGGTATAGGGCTGAGTCTCTGTTCTTTGATTATCATTAGCCCATCGCGGGTAAAAATCAGATTAGCGATCATTGTGCCATCTCTGACCTGCGTTTTCAAATAAGGGCGTAAATATTGATCATACACCGCGCGCCGGCCACAACATATCCGAGACCACGAACTAGAAAGCATCGGAACGGAAGGAATGTAAGAAAGAATTCCCAACCCTGATCCCAACAATCAGCGTCAATGCGGCAACTGTATTAGGGGTGCGACGATGGCGAAAAGGAGCAGAAAGACAATGGTCAAGTCAACTCTGGATGTAGGTACGTCGGTATAGACTTGTTCCACGAAATTGGAATTTCGGTGGCGCAAGGTTGGTATGGCGTGCTTCATACGAGACCACCATCTTGCAGGATGTTGGCAGCATTGCCACCAGGCGGAATGTTCGACAAAGAAAAGTTACCGCTGAAATCAAGTCTGAGGAGCAGCCGCTCTATGTGTCTTCTCACTTCAGCACTGCCGTCGAACAGTTTTCCACCGCCTATCGCAGCCGCAAGGCTCAAGGACATGTTGTTGATCCCACTAGCGTTCATGAGCACAGACTTTGACGCGTCTGATGTCGTAAAAGGTTTGTGGGACGTCGACTCGGAGAGATGGTGGTAGAATGACCCGAGGCAGGCATGAAAAGACTGAGAAAGAAGGTTCAGGTTCTTTTCTGGATGGGACTTCATTCCGAATTGTTACCTTATTGATCTCAGCGACAATCTCCCACCGTTCTTGAACCATGATTCCGACACCCTGATCACCGTGTATGCTCCCTTCAAACAACAATGCAGGCAACACGTCTCCTCCCCACCTCTCAATCTGAGCCACTAACCGCTCACATACCTCAAAGATCGATCTTAGAATCGATGTGAGGGTGTCGTTGTTCAAGAGACATCCCGTCACCAGGCGATCAAGGTACATTGAATGGATGGTCCGCAGAGTGGTGAAGTCGATGTGGGTTGAGTCTGAATGGGTGCTTAACCCCGACGGTCTGCTGCCCAACAGCGTGTTGGACCCGCCTGAAGCATACTGGGACATCCCCTCTTTCCCAAGCAACGATTTGAGTTGCCTGTACTCTGTATCTACGACGTCGGTCATCACGTATGCCAAGAGAGTATCCAGAAACCACCCCATGTCGCGGACAACGCCCCATCCGCAACGCAGCAGGGTGGAACGCGCCTTGAGGTCTTCGTCAGTGCCCCCTTCTCCGAGACCAGTCCATCTCCGTCGGGCACGCTGCGCATTTGACAAGGATGTCCAGCAGTTATGAATCCGCGTATGTGTTTTTCGGAGTGAGGAGAGGAATGCATGGAGGTCGGTGTATGTGAGAAGGTCGGCGGAATGGAGGAAGAGGTCGAGGGGCCAGGAGACGGAGTAATTGAGTGTTATGGGAGTGCCGAGTAGGAGATCTTTGAATGACGTTGCCTCGGTATCTTCAACGCGGGGGGATGAGGCCTGATTTGTGGGATCAACAAGAGATGGTAGCAGCGGGCGCAGAGGTCCAGAGGGCAAAGAGAACCGAAGGTATGCGAGGGCGGGGTCATGCTGTGCAGAAGTCCCCAGGGAGGCGCGTAGTATCGCGAGATTGAGGTCTTGTTCCCGGATCATTGAAGAGACGCCAGATCGTGAAGCTAATCGAGACACCTTGAGGCGCTCGATTTCTCTGATGAGGGAGAGGCTGAACTCTCCATTCCGAAGGAGGAAATAGTTGGCCCTTGTCGACGATTAGGCCTGTCAGCGCGTAAAACTAGTAGTAGACATACAGTGAGTCGACAGCGTCAGAGACATCTTTCTCAGTGAGAATATTCATCCATAGCCAGTCGCTGACGTTGAGACGGATTTCCGAGATGACACGGTCGAAGATGATCTGGTCTTCTGGGAGAGTTGAGTCTAGTAGCTCCGTATGCTGGAGGGCTAAGTGGCGGGGGAGTTGCTTTTGCCACTTCGCAGCTTTCACCGTCCCAACAGCCCGGCCAACATACGCAATCGACTCTCGAGATTGCGATGACACGCAGCGTGGCATAGATCCTTCCACAAGGATGAATCTATCGTCAGCCAAAGGATCTGTGGCAGACATCGACCCGTGGACCAGGAACGCGGTTAATTGCGTCCTCCAAACGCGCTGCACAACCATGGATAGACGCGACAGTATGTCGGCTATTCGGTACACGCCTGTCTTTGACCGCAAGAGGAGCATGTCGATCAGAGGTCCGGGTGGCCATGATTTCTGGCCTTCTAGTTCCTGCACGAGGGAAACCAAGGTGACCAAGGGGGACTCCCATTCCGAAAATATTGCGCGTATGGTCGACAGGGGTACAAACGAACCACGGCCTACAAGCTCGGCGTCGCGTCGAAGGACCTTGGTTTCCGTCTCCAGTACGAGACTTTCATAGTCATACTTCAGGATCTGGTTCAAAGACGTGCATAACGCGCATACATATCGCGACGACGACGATGAGAGGGTAGTGCATGATTTCTTGACAGTGCGATACTGCAAGGCGATCTTTCCTAGGAATTCGAGGACTTGTTGCTCCCCTGGATGAAGAAGAGGCTGGAGTGCAGAATCTACTTGGCCGTCGTCGGTGAAGAGAGAGGAGCTGTGTCCGGCGAGGACAAGAAATATCTCTGCGATCATGGGCAGAGCTAGGGCACGCGCGCTAATCGTGCCGATGTCGAGAAGCGCCCAATATTGAACACAGCCACTAGCATACACCGTCGGGGACGCAGTCGCAGTCCGCGCCACGACCATCATCACCTCTCCTTCAGCAACGGTCACCATGCACACTATAGATTCTTTCGAGGACGCTGGCTCGTTCAGTCTCTCTTCCAAGCACGCAGTCGCCTCGTACGACATCGACGATGCCTTCTCCGATACAGAGGATCCAATATCCTCGTTTCACTTGAATCCGGAAGCAATACGAGCAGACTTGTCCAAGGCCATAACGTCGACATCTTGGGCGGGGCTAGAGAGCGACGACGATGGGCTGAACTCGCATCATAATGGCCTCTTCGACGCACAGGACACGTCGGTGTCCTCGCTGGACATCAATGGATCTCCGCACTCTGCGTCGACTTCGTCAGAGTACCTACCATCAAGGAGCCGGCCTGAATCACCCGTAGAGGAACATTTCTCCCAGATATCCTTGTCGAATTCTGAAGCCAATTCCATCGCTCACGCGGAGTACCCCTCGGAACAAGAGGCCCCTAGCGAACCTCAGAATGACAGTGGGTTGAATGGCACCTCGGATAATCCTCATCCACAAATCGCGGCTTCAAACCCGAATTCGGCACAAAATACACCGCTCAGTTCACCGCCCAGTGATGCTCAGAGATTCACACCGTCACCGCCGCACACATCACCACCAACCACACCGATGCCATATATCACACCACCAGCGTCCTTCGCCGCCTCTGCATCGTCCTCAGTTCCATCCCTGGCGTCACCGTCGCTACACCGACACTCTCCACGATCCTCTGATGTTGGCGCAGAACACTCACCACGGTCTATTACGTCTAACGCCGTTCCGCCTTCTCCTAGCAAGCCTGAACACCACCCTACTGTTCGTCCGACGCGATCAGCCGGGCCTAGCATATTTGAGAAAGTCAGAAGCAAAACTCGACCGACATTCCTCCCTCCAAAGAGTCGTAAAGAAGACGACAAGCACCTGGCTGACTGGCAGGCCATGATGAGGCAAAGTAGGATTGCGGGTAGGTGAAACCTCTTCACCAATATATTCCAGACGAGCACGACTAATTGCTGCTACCTACCGTAACCTACGAATAACGATCATCTAGCGGAGAAGCGTAGGAAGGCTCTGCAAGACCGGAGACTAGCTAGAGAAAAGAAAATCGACGAGTCCATACACATTTGGGAGAAGGAAATACTCCCAGACTGGAGAGTAGTTCATAAGAATCCTCACCTGCGCAAGCTGTGGTGGAACGGAATACCAACTAAACTACGCGCCCACATGTGGGAGAAAGCTGTAGGCAATCCTCTTGCTCTGAGCAAAGGTAAAATAACATGGCGACTTGACGACTTGACCTAATGGTTCTTTCTCTAGATAATTACCGGGCTTGCTTGGCTCGGGCGAAACGAGCCCTCTCCTCGGGGACTTTCCCTTCTGAAACTCTCTCACTAATAGAAGCGGACATTGCCACGACGCTTCCTGCGCTCCATATATTCCATTCGGAGATGGGGCCATTGTACCAAGACCTAAAGGACATGCTATGCGCGTGGGTAGTTTCGAGAAGCGACGAAGGGCTTGGATACACGACGGGTGTCAGCCGAGTGGCCGCTATGTTTCTCATCAGCATGCCACCGCAACAAGGCTTTGTAGTTATGCGGAACCTGTTGGAGAGACATTGCATGCGCAGCTTCTACGGAGGAGCAGCAACCAAAGATGATGTAGGTGCTGAAAATGGTTAAATCTCTATGGTACAAGCATTGATCACGTTTGCGTTCAATAGGTTGAAGCCTACTACAGGTGATTTCCCTACTCTCAGTGGATGTTGCAATATCTCAAGAGTTCCAGGATATTTGATACGCTCCTCGCTGACGGAATGCCCAAAAGTGATCCCTTTCCTTCATCCGCAATGACAACATGCTGAGTGCGAACCGACTTTAGTCTACTTCAACTTCAAGCAGCATCAAATATCGCCATCAGCCTATTTACCTGATTGGCTAATACCACTCTTTCTAGATCATCTGCCTTTTGAAGCTTGCGCACGAATATGGGACGTCATTCTGCTCGAAGGTGATGCATTCCTATACCGAGCCGCGTTAGCCATCCTAGCAGTGCTGGAGTCCAGGCTATTCTTCCCCGACCGCAAAGAATTGCTGGAACTGCTGAAGTAGGTATCGTTTTACGGCTTCTTCGGATGTTCTCTAACTTTGTCATTAGGGGAGAGAATAAGGCAGCACTTGACGTTGCGCAGCGAGAAGGACAACCACTGAACGGTGGTAAATATGAGATATACGGTGTAGATGAAGAGACTTTGTGGGAAAGGATACAGAGTATGGAAGATTGGTGGAAGGAGAGCACATGGACTCGATTGATACAAAGGGAACTGCCGGACTTGTAAAGGGTAATGTGGTATACTTGGTGGATGGGGTTGAGGATAATACATTGGGACGGACTACTCATTTAAAAAGGGTCGTTAAGGGGAAGCTGCTACGAAGGCGTTGAAGTTGTACATGGTAGGGTTAGTGCTGAAGTGGAAACCATTCGGCTGGAAGTCTATAACACGCCGACCGTCTCTCGATACGGTAGACGACGCGTCGCAGTCGCTGGTGAGTGGCAGCTTCAGCTTGGCGAGTCCTGCTGGTACATTCGTCGTCTGCACGCTGGGACCACAGGCAAGGGTCACCTGTCCTGGCGACGTTAATAAGACTACCGCCCAGAGGAAGTCCTGAGTCTGATTGAATGCATCAGATTTCATTCGAGCGAACCATTATCCTTTGGCATAATGGCATATACTCACGAAGTCAGCCTTCTCCGGGCGAGACACGGAATCCGCAGTAGATGCGGCAGCAGGGAACAGCCTTGCCCACAAAAACACGCGGTCCCGAGAAATCGAAGGATACGAGCCTATCTTGTATGCTTCAATATAGTACTGGTTGAGATCGAGCCAACCTGAAGGAAAAATAAGATGAAGTTCGAGGCTGAGCTGATCATTAATATCAATATTATTGATCCAGTTACTTACCTTGATGGTCGAATCCGTTGACCCATGCTTGCGAGTTCGGCTGCGCACCTTCTATCGGGCCAATGTAGTGGGATTCTCCATAATCATTCCATGTGATCACCTCTGCAATATCCACTCGGTCGCGGTTGGCGATGATGTCCTCCCATCGCCGAGCGAAAAGCCAGTCGTCCGACCGGTAAATCCAGTTCTTGTTGAATGATTCCGGACCGTAATGCTGATGCCAAAAGGTGGGTCTTAGAATAGAATAGGAAGTACCGCGAGACGCAACAACTTACCGTGAAGAACCACGGGGACACGGCACCCATAAACGCACGACCGCCCAAATTGCTCAGGTAACCGTTGTCAGACTCAAAGTCTACATCATAGTTGCCCATGGGCCATCCCCCGTTCCACTGATTGGCCAAGTCAATGTGTGGGTCACAGGCATTTAGAGCTCCTCACGTTGGAGAAGCCATCCGCAACGGGATATTGCTTGAACGTGGTGGGGTCGACGAAGAACGACGGTAAGAAGAATACACCGGGTAGTCCATCTTTAATGGTGGCCTGCCATCCGGCGTCGACATTGCTGGCGCCAAAGTAGCAGTTCTCGCCGGAGAATGTCGAGACGAGAACGCGACCGCTGTATGACAGTTGATTAGGATGCGACGCATATGCTGTAATATAACTGCGTAATGCGGCCGCGTCGCCCTTGCTTGAACAGGACATTGAAGTCATGTCCAGGGATAAAAACAATTTGAAGTTGGTGCCCGAGTTGGCTGCTGCGGAATAAGCGTCTGCGACGCGAAGAGGTTGCCAGTCACCACCGCCCACATTAAGAGCGAAGCCATCGATACCCTTAGAATGAGCGAGAGCGATGTCTGAATCACCTCTGATCAGCCACATATATCACCCTGACTATGAGTGGCCTACCTTTGGTCCAGTCGTCGACGGAGTAAGGGTAGGTGTTGCCCACCATGAAGTGTGCAACCACTAGCTTCGGCAAGGTGTTTCGCGGCATGACCGAAGTCTATGTAGTCGGTTCAGAATGATTACTTTCAGGAAGAAGGGGAACTCACACGGCTGGTAGGTATTGCGGCAACGCCGATAACGACCAGCGTGCATGATCGTACCAGAAGTCTGAGAACGCTGGTCATTGCACAGAAAGGACGTAAGGATGAATAAATCCAGCATATTGCCTAGTATTTATGAGGGGACCACTACTAGAAATTAGAAATATCCCTACTAGGTATGAATTCGCGAGGTAAATGTAAATGAACCTCTTGAGATACCAAATGGGCCGAATCGGGCTCCTGCTGCCCATATGCTGGGGATTGGCGATGGCGACGGGCTTGCTGGCGCTCCAGTACCATGTGGAATTTCGCAAACGATGTTCTCTGGGACTGACTTCACGTCATGCGGCTACGGCCCATGACCCCGGTACTGTTGAACAAGCGACGCGGGGTAGAGTCCATCTACAAACTGTAGCAGCGGAGTACGAAGTTTCCTCTAGCTTGTTACTTTCTCTGTGCCCTGGGCCTGTCGCGACTTGTAGAGTTTGTAGAGAACTAGACTTGGATGAGCACCAATATAGCGATGAAGTAGTACAACGGCAAGACTTGGCTTTTCTAACCCCCCGGCTCTTCAAGCTGATATTCATCATTCTCCTATCGCCCCTAGCAGACTTGATGCTTGACTTGGTCCAGCACCGTCCGTTGACCTTCGTTCCATCGATATCCTTCTTTACAGACTCCCACCACGGTGTCCATACGGAAGTGTAGATGTGGGCTGGAACTCCGGTCTTTGAATGTCGATGAAATCGTCGTCTATGTCTTTCCCACGTCGACCAGCGCCACGGATTGAAATTGCACAGGCTATGTCTTCAGATGTGCCGATTCGCACGATGCTGCCAAGTATGCGAATGTACTTCAACTTCGTCGCGTGCAGAAAATTCCAATTCAACGGGGTCTTGAAGATCTGGTCGGGGTGTGGAGCTGTTACATACGCGCATGAAGGCGTCATGAAAGGCATACGCTGGCGCCGAGATGTATCCAATAGCAAGTACTCCAGGCTCTCGGGCCTGCATGCCAACGAAGCTATCCCCAGGAAATCGAAAGGATCTGGGAAATAGGTAGCGCGTGCCAAAGGGAATCCCTTAACTACTTGGTTTTTGCTCTGTTCGGATATTGGTTAGCGGCGCTGGCGCCATAAACGGTGAAGCAGACGTCGGTGATTAGAGGCCTATTGTCGCCATGGGCACTCGGTCCCTGCTTCAACTGTTTCCTATGGTGATCTGTATCTTTTCGCTGGCCTTGTAGATGGGCTTCCCCGTAATGACCTCTGCCTTCTCCGCGCCTGACGGCAAAAGCAGCAATGAAACAGAAAGCCTCTCGATCACAGCCTCGCTGTTCGAAGCTGGGGGTGCGGTCAATGACCATCAGCGTTATCGGCTCCTCAAGTGCATAATTGGACTGGTCAGGAGGTAGGCGTCTTCTCATTACGGAGATTCCATTTCCATAACGGCGAGCGTGTATGCTTTCGGAGTTGGTCACCGAAGAACTCCCCTCTTGTTCTTGATCCGGCGGAGCATACTGAATGGGTTTTGGCTCGCGACGTGGCGCATCAGAGATGCTCAGAGCTGCATAGGTAGAAGAGGATCCTCGGAGGCAAAGCAATGATTCATGCATTCATGCCATTTTGCCGTGCCTTCCTTGCCCAGACCCCAACGTGGCGCTGGAAGTGCTGACAGTTGCCAATATAGAGAATGCAGTTAACGCCGACTCTGCAGCCATGCTGGTTTCCGGACAAAAATTAATCGTAAGCGTCAAGGTGATAATTGATAGGTAGTGGGGCTTGCGGCGCCCTCTATAATTCATTCTGCTTCTGAGCCATCAGTATATCGATGATGTCGCAAGATTAAAGATGGCACGACACCTAGTAGCCGAGAGCTGCGCCGCCCAGACCGCGGGACCGAAACAGTCGGTAGCGGGCATGCCTCGCCCTCGACTGTTCTCGACATACTTCCAGGATGGGCGCCATCCATCCAGGCGAAAGCCTAGAACACATCATGCCATCACGTGCCGGCCTGGCCGCGTCGCCTGAATAGGGGCCATCCCTACTGAAGCCTGATGGTCCTTCCAGACCACCGCCCGCCGCTGCCCTCGCTGCAGCTAGCGTGCATATGGGACGCAATTCAGTGTTTTGACAGTAAGTCTAGAAAAGTCGTTGTGTCGATGAGCGTCCCTATATCGCCCGAGGTGCGGTCGTATGCCCCCGACAGAGTATATAAAGTGCACCCATCGAGGCTCTACAAGACCATTCGCATTCAGCAAAACAATCCCACCAGTTAACAACCACAACTCACAAATTCTTATCACCCTCACCTCAACTAATCAAATCATAATGTACCCACTCATTGCTGCTCGTCAAAAGGCAAGTGTTTTTTCAGTCCTTACCACATGGGCATTAGAGCTAACTGAGCTCGCATTGCAGACCCTCTTGATCTGGGGCGGACTTGAGACAGCTCTTCTCTCGTATGTCTGGATGAGATATCGACAAGCAAGGTTAGTTGTACCTTCATCTGCGAACGCAATCTGTTAGCTAACCCGATTTCTATACAGTATGGAAAGAGCGAAGTTGGGTTTTCCTATGGCCAAGCCGAGCCTACCTTCCAGAATATAATCCATAGAGCCACCAGTGCAGAGAAACACACACGCACCTCTCTACCTGGCTCCCACTTCACGTTTCCCCATCACATTCCATCATCATCATCACGCATCCACGACAAGGATGTCGACACCACCATATCCAACATTGTATTTGATCTTTCTGTAAATTAATAGAATTTCTTTTGTGCACAAGGCAGTACATCTGAGGAGCATGAGTGAGCTACTACAACGAAGGGAGTTACTCAACCGACTAGTCATGGAGGTCCTCCCCGTCCGTCTCTTTCCATAAAGTATACATTTTTCGGCGATTCGAATCCTTCGTGTCGGGGTTACTCGCAGTGTCGAACAAGTATTTCGACAGCCCTTGCTTTAGAGGCACAGAACCGAGTTTGCCGCTCGATGGATCAGCGAGACAGGCGTTTTGGATAAGATGGGGGTACAAGGATTCGGAATCGGCTAATCGCCGTCGTTTCGTCGTACGAGCATTATCGTCCGAATTGGATGTAGATTGCGTAGTCACAGATCGGAAAAGAGGGTCCAAGAGTGCCAACTGGACACGACGATACGTCGTCGAATTGGGTGTTAGGGCGGCAAGGTTGAAGAACGGGGCGAGCACTATATTAAGAGGTGCAGGCAACGACTTTTCCTCGGCGGCCATGACCTTGTCCAGCTCCTCGATGTAGATATCGGCAAGATGGTACGCCAAGCTGGTGGGTACACGGAGATCTGACGGACTAAAACTGCGTTAGGAAACTGGAAATAACGCGAAGACAAGCTGAAGGTTGCACCATAGTGGTCCTCCCTCCCGAGTCAGAATATCGTTGTACTCTTCACAGGATGCCTTGTCCCATCCAGCACGCGAAAGGAGCTTGAAAGACGCATTTATGTACCGCCTCACGAGCATGTAGTATTTGTCGATCCTGGAGTGGAAAATGAGATTATCTAGCTTCTAGGATGCCGTAAAAACACACCGAAGACGATCAATGCCGCTCCATTCTCGGACCATCGTTTCCCAGAATCCCCGTAGGAAGGCTAGAGATTGGGACGTCGTCGTGATCATAAGCACCAACTCAGCCAGCTCGTCGGCTAACGCCTGCTGCACTAGCGGTTTATCTGACATCCAGAAACCTAACGAGAACCTTCAAAACCCATTGACGAAGTCAAACAAGCGATCTCACAGTAGAAGATCCCCTTCCACAGCTTATCCATATCTTCCTTGGGTAGCGCATTCTCCGAAGACTCTGACAGGAAGACGGAGAGTTTTTTAATGGATTTATCGCGCGTTCTTTTATCTGGAGACTGGCGAATTCAATTGCCCACCGCGACGCGAGCGCGATCTGGGGCTCACCTGTGGACGCGAGGTATTTGGCTAGCGGCGGTGTTGCAGACGATGCGGCAATCATGGTGGTTGGGAGGAAGCGCTCAAAATTATTTCATGCATTGAAGTCGAGCGCTTTCAGGGTCCTGTCAAGGCATGATGATGACATCCTCACCAGCGTGCTCCAAATTTCAGAGTATATAATGCTCAGCCCATTCCACTTGCTCTTTGCACCCGAACCACCATGTCCAAATCCCCCGTAACATGCCACGGTGCGTCCTGCCATGCTCGCGTGCCATCTACGCCCTCACATTACATTAGTTCTCGACTCATCGACAGGGAAGCCTGCGGACGGCGTCGCCGTAACACTGCAGGAGCTCACCACCGCCAAATACGATGGTGGTCCGGATATATTCGATCCGCTGGGTAAAGGGTACGTTGCCACCGCGCCGACATTCAATCTGGTTCTCATCACCATACAGCCAGACGAACTCTGATGGTCGATGCCTTGACCTATTATCTGTCAAGAACCCCCAGGACGAACCTTTCAAGCTTGTAGAGGGTCGCACATACAAAGTAGTCTTCAAGACGAAGGAATACTTCGACCGAACGAACCGCAAGTGTTTCTATCCATGGGTAGAGGTATGAAGCTTTGAAGTATCTTGTCACCTATGCTACATCTAATCAACCTCGCAACTGCTAGATCTCCTTCACCATCGAGAATCCAGACGAACACTATCATATCCCGCTTCTAATCAGCCCATACGGCTTCACCACATACAGAGGAAGTTAGAGCGAGATGGAATGTACATTAATGGTGTGTTGTATACAATGTCGGAGTAAACGAAACAGTATGTATCTATGCGTTGGGTCTACCCAGAGTAGTGGTGCAGCGTACCGATGAACTCCAAAGCGATGGTTGGATAGCAATAAATGCAGAGGAAAATGATGAAAGGTGACGGCGCCAGATATCTCATCCCATGACATTCTGATACTGGACGCCCTTGATGTTATATCCGCGCATCGACTGCTTCACATTCGATAAGAAGTGTTCGCGGTTCTTGATCAGTTCTTGCGCAGCATCTGTTGCAATCAGTTGTTCATCATCCCGCTGGTGATAGAAGACACAGATCAGACTTACCCTTGTTCAATGGATCGTCTGCGTTGGGCTCTAGGAAGAGGTACTGCAGGCCGACCATGACCGAGTTCAAGTTGAGCACGGGCTTCCAGTCTTCTCGAAGGATGTTTAAGCAGACATTTCCCTCGAGGTCTACATTCGGATGGTATATCTATATCAACGGATTAATGAGGCACATGAGGATACCGAGATGGGCACGCGCCGTCTGTGTGCATTTGACTTTCGGTGGCTCGTGAGGGTAATTGGTGTTGATCGCGAACGAGAATACGAAGGAGCCACCCTTGTACATGCCTTTAAGATTTGGCCGAGAGGTTATTCGAAATCGCGTTTAATAATAATAAAAGGCAAACACATACCGTCGTCGGGTGTGATGGTGAGGGTGAAGTTCAGGAGATCGTTGGGATCGGGGAAATGTGTCTTCATGGTGTCGGGGAGGTCGAGCTCAGTCAAGTCTATTGGATTCGGTTAGCAAGTCCCCTCGCCACCGACATCGGGCATAGCATACCTTTCTGCACACGAATCTGCGCTGCGCTCGTCTTCGGCTTCTTCTTGGCCACAGCGTCCTCATTCTTCTTCATACTCCATATCTGCGTGCACAGTACAATCAGTATGCGAGCACTGTGATTAATGCATGCAGCTGACCTTCAACATCGTGGGGGGAATTCAAGGAAAAGCGGAGGTTAGTGGCGGTTCAGGAGTAAGATCAAGCTGACTCGTGTTGTGCAGCCCTTCCACGCCTAAATATCAAGCGCCCAGCTGGGTGCTCCGAGTCCGCCATATGGTCCTTGTCAGGCTGGGAGTCGCATAAATAGCAGGCTTTCACGATAATGCATGCTCCTCACCCTCTCCCACCATGTCCAACGACTCCATGGATCTCCCCATCGTCGACATCGATGTCTTCCTCAATCAGACCAGGGACTCACTTGCGGTGTTGGAAGAGTGCCATAAGGTAGAGCTCCGGTCAGATTACCTCAAAGCGGACGTTTGTGTGCTAATTGGAGCTTGTACAGGCAGCCGAAGCCCTTGTAGTCTACGGCGCAGTGATCCTGCACGATTCCCGCGTCACAGAGGACGATAACCAAGAATTCCTCGATCTGCTTGAAGACTACTTCGCCCAACCACAGGAGGCTCTCAAAACAGACGAACGCCCTGAGCTCAGCTATCAGGTCGGCGTCACCCTCGAGAACACGGAGAAGCCGAAATGCGCTGTGGACGAACCGTGCTTGCGGATTATCGAGAGGCTGGACCCCGCTGAGCGGCCGCTCGATATCTCTGCGCATTCGCCGGATCCGAAGTGTCGGTTCTTCTGGAAGATGAGTGAGAAGCCCCCGTATGAGACGCAGTACCCTGGGCTCAACGCGCCGAACGTGGTCCCTGAGGCAGAGGACCTGAAAGCTCGGTGGACACCGACGATGGAGAAGTGGGGCAAGTCGATGAAGAACGCGTGAGTGCGACGTATTCTTAACAATCCTTACCATCCTCATCTTTGATGCAATGAAGCGTTGAAAACCTCGCCGAGATGACCGCTATCGGTTTGGGTCTCCCCGGTCATACTTTCAAGGAAGCAGGCAAATACGGCCCGCATATCCTCGCCCCGACCGCCTCAGATCTGGTGAAATACGGCCAGAAGGATACCATCCTAGCGGGCTTCCACTCCGATCTCAACTTCCTCACCATCCACGGCCGCTCGCGGTATCCCGGCCTGCATATCTGGGCACGCAACACCGGCAAACGCATCCCCGTGAAGCTGCCGCCGACTGGACGGTATCTTCTCGTACAGGCGGGGAAGCAGCTGGAGCACCTATCTGGGGGTCTAATAAAGGCAGGATTCCACGAGGTTGTTGTCAATGACGCGACTTTGAAGGTTAGAATCTACGATTACCGCGCCATGTTGCTGTTCTATGCTAATATCAACGTACGCTCAGGTCATTGAACAGCGTAAGACCACCCACCCCGATCGCCCTCTCATTCGTATCTCTTCGACCTTCTTCTGGCACCTTTCCTCCGATTTCGACCTCGCACCCCTTCCGGCTTTGGCTGATCGTGCCCGCTCAATGAGGGCGTCGGAAACTAGCATGGGCCCTGTCGAAGACGAAAGTACTCTGTACCCACCAATGAAAGTCGGACAGCAAGTCTCGAAGTAAGTGTTCAAGCTTGCTGCAGATTTGCGACTTACACTAATCATCTGCGTCTGAATAGCGAGCTCAAGCACATTGCATTGATGGCATGAGAAACACCGATATCAGAGAAAACATGTAGCATATGTATGTCCAACAGCGCAATTTAGCTCCATCTGGGAGTAAGGGTGAATATCGCATTTTTGCAGCTTTGTAGCACTACGCTAGACAAGGCGGTCACAGAAGTAATTTACTCAGGCAGCTCATTTTCTATATAATTACATTGCATATTATTTAACCAAGGAACCACTATATAAAGTCGTCACCATGGAAGGATCCTGCCTTCATTCTTTAATCCCAAGACTTTAGAACGCTATGCAGCTTGATAACCATTTCCTCCCATTCGTCATCGGCATCGGAGAGCGCGGTAATGGCGCCTCCTGCACCAACTTGCCACTCTTCATCCCGACTGTCCCCTGGCGTAAAGGAATCACTTGACGACGACGACGACGACGTCTGCGTGTCCTGGAACTTGAAGCAGCTGCGTATAGTCACCGACCAGTCCCCAGCCCCGCTGACACACCAGTAACCAAAGACCCCGGAATAAATGGTTCTCGGGCTGTCTTCTAATGTCTGTAGAATTTCCACACTGCGCTTCTTCGGTGCACCTGTCATACTACCTACGATCGGCGTGACCATATTAGTAGGCAACAGATACATACGTGGGGACACTAACCAGGAGGTAAACTTTTGCTGAGTACGTCCCATCCTAACTCGGCAGCCAGATCGACGTCGCCGCTCGACCCTTCAGGTAGTCTGCCCTCAATAACACTGACTAGCTGCCATACAGTTTCGTATTCCTCGACCTTGCAGAACTGGGTGACAGCCACGTCCTCTCCGACGACACTGTGCAGGTCGTGCCGTATCAAATCGACAATCATCAGGTTCTCTGCGACTTCCTTCTTGCTACCAGCCAGGGCTTTCTCCGCTATAGCGCGAGTGATTGTTGGGGACTTGCGTACTGTGCCTTTAATAGGACGCAATTGGCAAACTGTTCCAGGTGGACGCGAATATGAGAGGAAACGCTCAGGAGAAGAGGAGAGAAGGGTGGAGGGATGCAATCGAAGGTATGCGGAATGGGGTGCTGGGTTGTTCTTTCGCAGCTGTTTGTATCGCTGCCATGACGTAGACGTAGGGGACGGGGATGCTGGAATGGTGATTCGTGTAGGAGCGGTAAGGCATAATTCGTAAGAGTCGCCTGAAAAGAGGGAATCCTTGGCTTTATTGATACGAGATATGTAGAGGGATTTGTCCGGTAGGACTACCGACTTCGCAGTTGGAATCATTGTAGGGGAAGGCACCTCAGCATCTTGCAACACGATTTCCAGCTGAGAAGAGATGTCCGCAATCCAACCTTGATCGTCAGGAAGCAGCGATTGAATATGCGTTTGCCCAGTCTGGTTATCGTATACAATGCTGCGTTCGACAAAAACCATATTGACGTCTGGATGCCGCCGTTCAGATACCTTCAAGGGAACGTTGAGAGAGCTGACGCCGAGTTCGTAACTGAGGTAGCCAATCAAGCCACCCCAAAACGGGATATCGGGAGAGCCGCCGTGGGCCCTACGTCGGCGAATGAAGGATGCGAGCCAAGTCCAGATTGTATGGTGAGTTAATTCATGGCGAACACTCCGCGATTCGGTCGACATAGTTAACCAATGATCGCCGACGTAATAGGTAATCTGGGGAGAAGAGGGCATCAAGGATGCGATGATGGAATACCGTCCAGGTTTGGCGGCTGAATCGAGCAACGCGAACCGTTTGCTCTCGTTGTCGACGCCCAAGATCTCGCAGATTCTAGTGATGCTGACGCTGGCTAATTTAAGTACTTTCGTTGTCACGGCAGGTCGTTGAGTAGGGGATGGTGGTGCGGAATGTGGGTTGATATTTGGCCAAGAAGGACCTACAAACTGACGGACGGACGGTTCCCAAGGTGTCGGCACTCTGCCAACCTTTCTCGACCATTCCTGAGCCAATCGCCAGAAATTACACAACACGTCGTACCCTCCACCATCTGTGCACACTGATTCGGGGTGATATTGAACGGCCCAAAAGGGTTTGGATTTATGCTTGATGCCCATCACTACTCTGCCGTTCTCTTCCCCATCATCTGCCCAGCCGAGTTCTTCGATATCACCATCCTCGCAAAGTTTGACGTGGAGTGAATGATATCGAACGGCGTGTACGCTTTCCACCGCAGCAAATATATCCTCTCCGGTGTGATGAATCGTCGAGACTTGACCATGCTTGACTACCTTCAATCGACACAGCTCTGCACCATGTTCCAACGCTAGACTCTGGAGCCCAAGACAAACGCCGAAGATGGGGAGAAGGTGGGCACCTGGGACCTTCCACAAATCCTTGACTATTCCGATATCATGGGGATTGCCCGGTGATCCTGGGCCAGGACCGACGATGATTGCAGAAAAGAGTGACAGGTAGGGTATCAGCTGAGTTATTGTCAGATCATCGTTCTTGATTATGTAGATTGAGCAATTAGGTATGGACCGTCTGCATAGTGAAGCGAGGCTGTACGAATTTTGTTAGCAAATGAAGGTTTGTAACCGAGGCACTCACTTGAAAGTAAAGGAATCGTATGAATCTACGAAGAGAATGCGGGGGTGCTCTATGGTCATAATTGGGAGATAATTAGATTTAAAGCCGTCGCAAATCTGAGGCCCTTGCGGTGGTAGAAGAAATTTGGAGGATCCGGCTGCATGATAAGTGATCGAGGTGAACCAGGTGAAATGAAACCCCTGGCCAGCCTGAGTCCGCAACTCCGTGTCCTTGGTGGCTCGTCGGGCGTGGGAACATCCATCTCACCCTGGTCCACGCGCACTTCACGGCGCGTCCAAGACTCGCCCTCATGTCCACAAGTCAAGAATCGAGCGATGCTTTCAGAAGGGTAGGATTGCTCCTGCACGCGATCCTGGCGGACTGCAATTTGACGCGTTTCAAGTAGCTCAAAGCAATATGTGTTCCTTTGCTCAATGCATATCTCCTCACGCCCTCGTCTATCCCCCAAACGTTGCATCTGCTGAAGAATCTACACGATGAGCTGCGCGCCGTCACTGCGTCCGGAGACTCCATACCTCCTTCGCTAGCCGGATACGTGTTTTTCCCGTTGTCGTCCATATTGCGGCGCAATGCACCATTGGCTATTCCAGATCAAGTCATGGAGAAGGTCCTTCTCAATCTAAGTATCTTGATAGATGCTTGGTGGTGGAGCTGCGACCTCGGTGTATGGGAACAAATGGTGATGTTGTGTGGTGCCGTAGTTAGCGGCATGGAGAACAGGAATCGTGATGAAGAGACGAAAACGGCAGCCGCGCGATGTCTGCTCGCTTTGCTCCGTGAACGCACTGCCGAAGAGGCCGTTCAGCGAGCTTACGCCTCCACGCGTTCTGCTGAACGACTGCTCGAGTTTCAGCAACACGCTCGATCACCCAAGTTAGTGCCGATAATAGGACAGACACTAAACGCATTGCTGGACACGGCGCAATCCCCTCATCTAGCCTTACAAGACCTATGTCTCCAACTTCTATCTCTGTTGATCAGAATCTATGCACCAGAAAATCTGGTGCCGTCCGTATTACCAGGCGTATTGAGCGGAATGGTTAAGGTTGCGTTGGGTATTTCTCGATCTACAGGTCGAGCCTCCGGGTCAGCCGTATCTGGAGCGCTGCAAGTTATGTCGGATATCATTGTCCACGCCATCGGAGACGAAATCTGTATTGCGGAAGGAGCTATCCGCCCAGTTACTACACTGGAAGAATTGGCGACTCTGGGTCAACAAACACATCCTCCTCACGGGGTACAGGATCAGCCCTACATGACAGCCAGGACGCCTTCATGGCTACGCGGAACTTCGTCTCAGGTCCATATTGGGTTGAACTCATTGACCTCACTAGTCTCGCACCCCACTCCCTCCGCCTTGCTGGCCTTGGTCAAATTCTCCGCAACCGTTCTCCGAAAGACGCCAGAGACCTTACCCCAATCGAGCCCTCTTCTGCTTTCGCTCCTTCTCTCGCTTTCCAACAGTGATTTTGAAAGCGTGGCTACCTCTGCCCACGTGGCCCTCGTCGAGTCACTCGCGACCCAAGACAGATCACGGCATCATTTCACTCAAATATTGGTGCAACTGACCCGCGATAACCTCGCCTCCCTTCCACGATTCATTACATCCCAGTCGGAGGTGAAAGTTGCTCATGCTGCGAACACCATTTCTGCAGTATGCCATCTGGCATCCTCGCCGAACTCTCCTCAGGCAACGTTCAGCCAGATTCCTCATAGCATTGGAAAGTTGCTAGGACCCAGTGGGGGCATAGAAAAGTGGGGATGGACCTTACTCTCGGTGCTGGAGTTCGTCAAACCACATGTACTGGAATCCGACGTCTCTGTTCGCCAGATGCTAGAGAATGATCAGAAAGAAAAGATATCCTTCACCTACGTCCCTTTAAAGTATATCTCGTCTCACGACACGTATACCGCCCTGGCGAGGATGCTCAACGCCCTTGGTCATACCGCTGGCGACGAATGCCTCTTCGCTATTGAATGGTTCGCTAATATCGCTTATAACAACACGAACAGTCAGGCGGTCGCGGCGTTGTGGTGCGCCTGCCGCCTGATGGAAGGGCTGGCAGAAATGTCGCTCGCTGACAACAAGGTCCCGGACCCCGTCAAACAGAGACACAGCAAGAGGCTAGAAAAGACGGCAAGAATGTTATCGAAAAAGTTCAGTGGTTTATGGGACAAACCATCTCAAGAGCCTGAAGCAGAGACTCCGGATGGCCTCCAGACGCACGAAGAGTCGGCTTCCGTAGAATTCATACAGGGTTTGGTTCCTCTCCATCGTACATTGCGACTTGTACGTGAAGGTGCAGCGAAACACGATGTCCCACTGTCCCAGCCGTTCATCCACCAGACATTCAGCCTTCAGATCATCGCAGTGGCTGCCGGAATCTTGCGAGCTCGATTCGCGCCGTTACTTCTTTACACACTCTATCCGGTCCTGCACTCCCTTACCTCGCCAGATCCCCTCGTGCTCTCTACAGCTATGTCAACCTTAGATTTCATCACGATGTCTACATCCTACGCATCGCCATCTAATCTCCTTCTTTCCAACTTTGACTACGCACTGGACGGCGTGTCCCGGAGATTGACCAAGCGCTGGCTGGATATCGATGCCACTAAGGTTCTAGCGTTGCTAGTGCGCTTGGTGGGCAGCGATGTCGTCGATAAGGCTGGTGATATCGTGGAAGAGTGCTTTACCAGGCTAGACGATTATCATGGATATGATATTCTAGTGGACGGATTGGTCGAGGTTCTAGGCGAAGTTGTCAAGACTATCGACGGCGAAGAAATGCCTCATTCTCGGGTTTCACGGGTAGCTGTGGAAGATCCTCCCAATAACTCCCTTGATGGGCTGTTCCATTGGCTATCCCATCGCAATGATCCACCTGCCGAGGAAGATGACACAGACTATGGCCCTGTGCCTCGTGAAGCTTGGGGTAAATTCAAAGGGAAAGAAACCCAGGAGACACAAGAGGAAGAAGATATGAAATCCCCGGACAAGCCCGACGACTCAGAAGATGTGCCTCCAACTGTTGCGCAAACATTAACGAAACAAATTGTGGCGCATTCGCTCTATTACCTCACCCATGGTTCTCCCGTCATCAGAGCGAGAATACTGGACCTACTAACATCTTCCGTTCCAATCTTACCTCAACCAGCGCTGCTTTCATCAATTAACACCGCCTGGCCGTTTATATTGAATCGCCTTGCAGATTCTCAACCCTTTGTTGTGGGCGCAACTGCAGCGCTCATCGAAGCCCTTGCTCTCCACGCTGGCGCATTTATGTTCCGAAGAATTTGGGACGACATATGGCCGCGTTTCCATAAGATGCTTGAACAGTTGAACAAAGCAGACAACACCAATGCCTTGTCTAGGCGAGGATATGGAGCAGTGGGCACAGAATCTGCGTACAGCCACTCACACCGATTATATCGTGCCCTTCTTCGCACAATGTCAGCTGCGATGGAAGGCGTAGACCCACAGGATTCTTCCGTATGGCAGGTTCTACTATCGTTCCGTCGATTCCTTCATAAGCAAGCGCATGAAGAGTTACAGACCCATGCTCGGGCCTTGTATACTGCGATAGGAAAAATCAATGCTGATGCCGTGTGGCTGGTGTTGCGCTGCACCCATGCAAAATTGGATCCTTCCATGACATTCATGTATCAGCCTCAATGGGACATCAACGATAACGTAGAAGCTATTCTACATCATACAGCTTTGATTTAATACATGGAATTGTCAAGAATCTGCCAGTTTGATTGTTGGAATATGGAGAGAAAGACCCTCGTGGGTCTCACTTGTAGACAAGTAAGTCAATGCCTTGGGTATATATTGGCGTAGCTCAATGCCAGCTTCCTTGAATAGACTACCCGATGCATCGTCACTAGATAATAGCAGTCAGTTGGTTTGTATCTTTAAGCCCAAGCATACTCACACTTTGTATGATAGGTTGTAGACAACCTCCTTGACACCGGTTTGTATGATTTTCACCGTGCATTTGAGGCAAGGACACCTATGATTGTCTCGTGAGATGCATAGACACGAAACGGGTTTAGGACGAACGTGTTGCAGTACATTGTGGCACCATTGCCAACCCTATCTCGCCCTGCCTCCAACAGAGCATTTTCTTCGGCATGAAGGCACACACATTCCAATGGCTTGTCCGAGGATGTCGTTCCATTACAATGACCGCATCCTCCTTCATTACAGTTTGGCACACCACGAGGAGTGCCGTTGTACCTAAATCAAACTATATGTCAGTGGCTTAATCAATGTCGTTCCGGTATTTACACACCCCGTAGCGACAATGCGGTTGTCGCGAACAAGGACTGCACCAACACGGCGCTTCATGCAATTTGAGCGGTGCGACGCTAGGGATGCCAATGTCTATGGTCGTGAGCTTCACGATCGCGCTAGGGCATGACGCGTCTCACCATGAAGTACGCGTCCCATGTTGGACGTAGATGTGTGGGGTCAAGTAGGTTGAGGGCGTCTAGATGTGCGTACAGATCGCGTATAGACGCGAAGGAATTAATAACCTGAAGATTAATCACATCACCAAGACTGATTAATGGTGTCTCGGTTTGGGCAAAGGGTTGTTCGATGTTCCCATATACGTGGCGGTCTTGAGCCCCAATGAATTCTTCCAAGGAGCAAGAACGAACCCTGTAAAAATCATATACAGCCTCGCGTAAGTGGCTGGGCACGAGGCTGAACCTAGTACTTACGATTGCAAACGCCGATAGCGCTCAACGAGTGGTGCATCCACACTCATCAGCATGAAAAATGGTCTTCTGACGAACTTTCTTATTAACGTTCTATCGCGGAGATCCGTGGTCACAAAATTAGAGCGCCAGTTTGTGGTGACATGCTGTAAAAGACCATCGGCTGTGTCGAAGTGCAGGCTTCCCGGTAAGATTCCGAGTTGCAACTCCTGACCTATCGGTACTAGGGCTTAGCATTGTTTACAACAATGTCGGAATTTTTTGCTGACCAGGCAGCGCTTCGACCGGGTTTGCTACAGCATCCCTAACAAACGGAGGTAGAGCACCTGCACTAGTCTGCACAAATTAGCTATAGATTATATTGGCAGGAGTGAAAGTAGCGCTGGTACCTCCTTTTCTGCACTAATGATAACGGGAGAAAACCCTTTAGATACAAGGTAATCCCTAATAGTCTTCTTCCCAGAACATTGAGGCCCGATGATTGCAATAAACATGACTGGAGTCAGATTTGAAATCTCAGAGACGCTCATACTTCTGAATACACAGGAACAAGCGCGGCGCCAATCGACTACTGTAAACTAAGAATCCTCCAGACTCAGATCGTCACTGCTGCCTCACTTTTGCCCTTCTTGGCCTGCTTTGCTGCCTTGCGACCCGCTATTCTCTGTTCTTTGCTGGCCTTCATGTCAACGGGGGCGGTTGTTCGTAGCTGCTTGATGTGTGTAGGAACTAACTGTTCTCCTGTGGTTAGCCAAGGCGCGGCAATTGCAGAGATCGATTGCAGTAAAGATTGGAACTCGTCAATCGCAGGGCAATCGACCTATTAGCGTCGATTGAGCCTGAGAAATATAGAAGCGTACACAGGACTCACGTCAAATGCGAGGACTGCCGCCTTTCGCAAGCCCATTGCATTTGCAAGTGTGCCCTCAGAGTCCTTTGGCAGTGAGACCGTTTTGATAGGTTCAGAAGGCCTCGCAGAGTTATATGTGCCGATAAGGTGAGGAATGTGGCTGATGAGAAGGGGGGGATCGATGTCGTCCCGACAAACAAAAACAACCTTGATCTCTCGCCTAGAATCCGAAAGACTGTGTGCTCCCTCCGATGAAACCTTGACAGCTGTTCGTAGACCTCGTATTTGTGATTCTAGTCTCCGTGTAACCTCGTTGATGCCAACTATAACATGCTCCAGGATTGGGGGCTTTGGATGGATGGCTACGGTATCCGCGGATGGATTATCTACGACCAAGTCGGAGATACCATCGTTTTGTACAGCTATCCCGTCATGGGCCTTGAGTTTTTTCTTCGTCCGTGAGGCGCTCGAGTCTCGGCGCACACGCTTTCCATCCCTATGGGCCTTGTCCCTGGCAGAATTGTATTCAGAGACACCCTCTAGCACTGAAAGCAAGCGCGCAAGGATAGTATTCTGTAGATTAAGAGGCACAGATGGCCTGTTGGGAACAGAATCAGAACTGCGAACAACTCGGGCAAAGTAAAGTACCAGTGTATGCGATAAGGGCTCTCTAGGACGCTTTTGAAAACGACCTTGTTCTCTGGCGGAGCCCTTGGTGGCGGCTTTGCTCGGTTCGAAGTGTGTGTGTGGATGCGTGCGGACATGCATTTTTGACGCCCATAGGCATCCCATCAAATGACAAGCGCCAGCAACACTAGCCACCATCTCCGTATGATCTGGATTTCGAAACTTGGAAATTCTTGGAAGCCCCTGCGCCCGATATCGTGTTCATTTGCTCAATCCCGGATTCCTCTATCGCTAAAAGAGGAGATATATGGCTTAAGAAGGACGTTTACCTCTTCTGAGCCTTATGGGCCGATCAAGATTGCCGCTGAGGCGCTGAGGCCCAAGGCGAACTTGATTTAAAGTGGGAGCCGTATATGACTGGGAAGCCCAGTGGACCCCATATCGCAACGATGGCAATGTCTTCGAGGTCAGTCATCGTTTATTACCACTTCTTGTACCCTTGACGAACGCTCCAACAGTCTTCATCTCCGATTCTTCCTATGCCTCACTGGCATCACTAATCCCGTGAAGACCTCTCAATTGGAGGGACCATTTTACAAGGCTGTTGGCCACTGCTCCGACATAGTCGTCGATCCCCCGTATTTGTCGGCCCGTAGTATCCCCCCCGCAATCCTGGATCTCCTACAGAGCCAACCCCGAAGGGCAAATATCATCTTGTTTAGTGCCCTTCGTATCCTCCAAGAAGAAGAGACTGAAGGCCGACCATCAGAGAAGGGCCAGTTCTGGCTCGTCTGCCGCTCAGCGGAACAAGTCGACTTCGTCCTCTCTTGCACAAATGGACCATTGGGGACCTACCCAATCTGCATATACACACCCCATCCCGCCGACCAAATGACGGAGAGCTTTTGCCGGCCTCGTCTCAACAAATTGGTCAACGCCCTCCACAAACATGTTGACCAAAAAAGAGTTTTCTCTGTTTTTGCATTTGAAACCGTATCCAGAATCTTTGCCGAATTCTGGAAGAATTTAACAGGACTCGATTATGTAGACTATTACGCGGCCAAGCAAGCATTTTGCACCAAAGCTACATTCATAAAGGCCCCCCTTATGGCTGAGCCTGAACGGGACAATGTACGGCTGGCTGTGGAAAAAGATATCGAAGGCGTTGCAGAGCTTTGCTTCCGCTTTGCCCAAGACTCAGTTTGTCAAATTCTCGTCTTGCATTCCAATGCTGATGTTTGTGTAGGATCCTTTTTTTCTCACGCGGGAAGGAGCGATGAAAGAAGCGAACTACCTCGTCAAGCACCGTAGAGTTTGGGTTCACATTGCCAAGCGACCTGGTGCTTCAGACGAAATTGCATCGATATGTGCTGTAACACGGGAATCTGACACCGTATCTTCTATCACAAAGGTCTACACCAGTCCTAACTGGAGGAAGATGGGCTGCGCCAGGCGGCTTGTTAGCTTCGTATGCGAGACGTGGGTGAATGTCTTTCATTTCCGCGTTTGAAATCTAATATCCTGGAATCAGACTCCTGAAGACCAAAGAAAGTGTAGTTCTGTATGTTGGTCACAGTAACGAAGCCCAGAGTGTATACGCGCGCACTGGATTCATGGGCCTAGATGATCTGCGCCATTCCTTTCGGGATAGAGAAGATGGCATGGACAAGTGGCTTGAAATTGGGTTTGACAAGGACAAAGTTGACCTTGGTCATTGGTAGAGGTTCTTGTGGCGGGGGGTGGGTGGTGGGGTGGGGTGGATTTTGATCACTGGTGGTGTATCCGAGGAGGGCCTTTTCGGATGGAGACTGCATCCCCAATCCCAATATTGCCTTCACTTGCATACGTTATCAGTGCACAATGTCTTGTATTTGATGGGCCCTGTTTCGGCGCTACAGCCTGGTTAGTAGGCGCCCAATTTGCCGCCGTTTCCGTCTTTCAGAATTCCTCTTCACTAACGTTCAAAATTCCGAAATTCTGCTTCAACCCTTCATTCTTCCCGCTATACCAGAATGGAGGAGGGGGCCTTGGGACCACCCGCCCAGCTCGCATACACGCTTCATTCACAAAGCGCAATCACCAGAACCATTGGCCGAGCAGCAATCGGGGACACGCTGGTCGAATTTGGGATTGATGAAAGCGGCTCTACCACATTTATGGATGGCCAACGTATAGGCGTTTTGTCTCCAGGAGGATCCAGCGGTGAGGCTCGCGTGAAATGTGTAACCAATCCCGCCGTTGGCGAAGCTGCTTTGAGCCGACATGGGACTTTGCTTAGCACTGGCGCGCCATCCGGAAGAAATGCTGCAGAATTGAACTGTCTTCTCGGGAACTCGTCAGCTAAACTAAGAGCAGGAGCGTTGCTACTCCCACAACCTGGCCTGGGTCAAGTCACGCGGCACGACTTAACGGCCCTTGAGCAAGCTAAGCCACGCGCTCGGGTGGAGGTCGACATTATCTTGGGGAGCGATACTTGCGTCGAAGGAACCGCGCTTACCGGCCGCATCTTGGTGAATATCCGGGACCGCCTCCCCAAGGAATCAGCAATCATGATTGGCGGCGGAAAACTGAGGCTCATTGGTTTCGAATCTATTTCTAACGAACATACTCGGCACATGTTCTATCAGTGTGGCTCCCCAATATCGGCTATCTCCAAGGGTTCCGACGCTATGTATGGATCAAAACTGGACCAGGAAGGATTCGGTTTGGCCCGCGAAGGTAATTATATCCTACCATTCTCGTTACCCATCCCGTTAGACGGCGAATTTGGAAAGCCCAAAGGTCCATATACGAATTCTGGCGTAGCGGTCCGGTATATTGCCATGATGTAGGTTTAAGACGTTTCAAATCTTTGGTTGCTTTCTTATCCGCGCATAGCTCCCTTAAAGTGAAAGATATATGCACCAGCAAACGGTCTATAACGCATTTCTATCGGTATTGTATCGTATGGCCACGACTTAATCCCTCTGCCATCTTAGCTCCCTCGATCAAACCACTTCGTTCGTCTGTCTCCAAAAGTCTTTTCATGGGCGGCAACGGCAAAGTTGAACTCACGGCAAGTCTCCATCGACCCGGTTGGGTAGCTGGCCAACAATGCTGTGTTTGCATCTCCATTGTGAACCACACGAACAAGCGAATCAAGCGTATATCCATGTCGTTAGTTCGTTCAGTCATTGTCTTCGTCCCGCAGCCCGAATTGGACGCGTCGTCAAGATGCTCAGGAGACATCGATCCGGATTCTTGCCAAACTTCGACCTCTCGAAAGCAAGTCGCAGAATCGATCTTAGAAATGGGCACTTTTGGAAACAAAGGCCGTGCCAGCGCGAAAGGCTGGTGGACAGGTGTGGCGCCCAATGAACGTTACGCCTTCATGCATACCATCCTGCTTCCTGTATGTATGTTGGCTATTCGTCCGACGGTCAAAAATGCTGACTTGAGGTATAGTCAGATGCATTAACACTGAAGCGTTCAAGGTTGCTGGAAGTGAAATATGAACTCTGTGTTACCGCGAGCGCGGGCCCGCTTTCATCCAACCCTGAAGTTATACTGCCAATCGACATTGTGAACTTCTTTTCTTTGGACCCACCACCGAGTTCCGCTTTCTCACCGGTAATTGAGACTAGCAACGAGTCTCGCCACGGCCCGCCAGTTCCCCGTGTTGGGGTGCAGTTAGATCGACCCACAGCTTCGAACATTTTTGTTTCCGATGAAAATCATGGGTCGGATATACCTTCCGACGAGCTCCCCCTAGAAAGCCTGGCTTATGACACTACCGATTCACTGGAGCAGCGATCGCTTGGAAATAGCGACCACGATTCATCTGACGACCAGGAACAAACTGACGAGGCGGATGGTCCTGAACTTGGGAATCTTGCCTTACGGGATGACTGCGACGATTTCGTTCAACACGCTATTAATTCGGCCAGGATTGATTCGATTTACGGCGAGAATGCGCTAAGATTTTCTGATTTATACGTGCAAGACACACAAGAATCTTCGAACGCCTTGATTGAGATAGAAGAAGGTTTTGAACGGGATGGCGATCAGTTCGAGGAACGAATGCAGGCGCTAGAAAGTCCTATTGACAAATTCTGCGACGCGACTAGACCTAGCACACCTGTGCGTGAAGATCACCGCTCGCACGACTTGCCACCTTCTCATCAAATTGCGACGGGATCGCTGCGATATGGACCTAGGCCAAATCGACCTAGTAGGCCCTCTTTTGCTGCACGAGTTCAAGAAAAGATGAAAGCAGCGGGTTTTGATCAAGCCCATAACTTTGGCTCTGAAGCCGAGCAATTTGACTTTGAGGACGCTCATGAACCTGATTTGGGCAAAATTCACAGCTTAGCGATATCGGACCTCAACGCGGAGCCGCCTACAGACGACCATCTGATCTCCACTACCCACACCAACTCACAGGTTGGAGCGCAATTGCCCTCTAACGGTTCGAGGATGTTACCTCGACCTCCCGACTCGGAAGGACCAATCGCGCTGTCAATGATGGAGAACGATGCCCCGAACGCTTCCAAGACTCGGTCCGAAACTCCTTCATCCGTTCGGCCACCGCTACTTTCTGAACCGCTGACCGACAGTGCATGTGTCGACAAGCAACAACCTACTCGCCCAGCAAACTCCCTCGATGAGAACGAAGTAAACTCCCTCGGTGAGAACGAAAGTCCGGTCAAGAAGAGAATCCGAGAAATGGAAGAGAGACTCAGGGCACAAACATAAGATATTCCAAGATTACATGATCTGAAATCAACAGGATTATACGATACGCTGTCATATGGCTAGCACGAACGGATACACAAGAACGAATGTTGAGTGAGAATGGAGGCAATAATGGGAGTAATAGATACAGTCTTTATCCGAAAATGCCCCCACAAAAGAAGAGAAAGAGGAAGAACATAAGGAGAGAAGAATCAAGTACAGCCTCTCATGAATCACCTAGGATCGCCAAGGCGGTCCTCAGTTCCTTGCGGGCTTGGGCGGCATCTTCGTAGTCCAGCGCACTGATGGCGAAACGGCAGTGCTTCTGCGCTTTTGCTATGACAGAAGGGGTGAGAACTACAGGATCTGGAGGGATTGGAGATCCTGATGACCGCGGAACGTAGTGTGTCTGGGATTGCGCTGAAGGCAGAGTCATAGGCGGGTAGGAGAGAGGAGATTGGTGTTCAACTCGACGGCGATACACAGTAGGCGACACAGGATCCGGCGGTGTCTGAAATGGCGGCGGCGGCGGCGGAATGACTGGACTGATTGTGGTTGCCCCCAAAGTGAGGTCAACACCTGAATCTGGAACTAGGCTCGGAGGAATGTTTGCACGGTGCAAGATATTTTGGCGCGTACTTATTGGGCTATCATCGGGAACCGAAGAGATGAAATGCACTGCTTTCTTACTTGCATCGGCTTGAGGGAGTGACCGAAGCGAATGTAAGAGGTCATCTTCACCACTGCTCATAGAACTTTGCTTTATATGGCGTGGGCTGCCCTTCGGGGAGATGTACCCAGCACTATAGGGAGAATCCTGCCCGGAGTGGACGACCTCATTGCCCGGAGTGGCCGCAGTGCTCCAGCTCCCGGGTGTGGTGTCCCCTTCGCCAGGAGGGACGAATACACCCAGAAGAGAGTTCGACTTCAGCGGTGTATGCGGGAGATTAGCTTTAGCTATGTCGACTGGGTCCATGCGTGGAGGCGACGGAGAGACGCGTCGGGCTGACAAGGGAGGGGACGACTGGGGAGGAGATGAAACTTGACGATGATCTGGTGCGGGTGGAGGCTCTTCTGCGCTCAAAGTCGACGACGTTGACGGTGGTGCTACCATAAGCAGCGGTTCATCTTCCGTTGGAGAGGCAGGTGCACCAGCGGGCCCAGGCGTTGGTTTACGGCCTTCTTTGAAGGCCTTGGTGATGTCCACCGCTTTCCATTTCGCATATTTGATCTTCTCTTCAATCTGAGACCTATGTCAGTACCTGCAAACATGTAGGACGGTAGAATAATTACCGAGTCCGGGATTTCAGTTTTGGGAAATACCCGTAACACCTCCAAGAAGTTGGACGCAGCAAGGAATTTCTTGGCCGTGGATCTAAGCAACTCGCGATCAGGTAGATGCTCTTGAGCAGACCTAACCACGTCGCACCTTGTGGCAGCTCCACGCCTATCCTCATTGTCCGCCACGGCGAAAATCTTCAGCCCGAAATTCTCAACATAGGCGGCACTTGCAGCTTCCACATCAATAGCATCGTGGGGGCCTATTTCCTTCTTCATCGTTTCGAGGACACCAAGTAATTCGAATAGCAGGTTCCGGGAAGCGGCATCCTTTGCCTTCAGAGATATGCCAACCTGTGCGGCGTGATATGAACCTTATTGAAGTTGTGATATCAGTATAATGACATTAAAGCAATCAAATAGAAGCTACTGACACCAATAGGCCATGATCGGTTCCTTCGTCCTTAGCTCCTCAGCCCGCTGAAGGAACGGAGTAATGGACTTGAGTGCTGGAGAAATTGGAGGGAGATTGAGCAAACGTGGCGCAGCCATTCCAAATGTCTTTGGGCTGGGAGAAAAGTTATATGTTCCCGTCGCTAAGCTTTATAGCTGAACTCTAGTGAAGCGCAGCCTGGCACTGCCTCCAGTACAGGGACCGCTTAGAATCAGGATCAGGAGTCAGAGGCGTATTGCCTCGAGGCTACAACGTTTTCGTGGATTCGAGGTGTTCACGCTGTCTGAGGTGCTCCAGCTCCAGCGTAGGAAAATTCAATACAAGTTACAGGAGACAGAGATGGATTGGCTGTTACAATTAGGCGCGCGGAGCGATTTCCATATCATCTCATCACGTGGATGCTATATTAGGGCATAAAGGTTCGAAATCTCGTGTCTACGACCCACAAAAGGCTACCAAAGGCTGTTCCAGTGAATTCCACAGTAATAGATTCTCTTCGATCAACGCACGCTAGTCCTGTTTTACCTAGATGACGTGTATAGAGCCAACAGTTCAAACAATCTTGTGCCCATGACCATTATCTTGTTGCCTCCCATTGGCTTGCCAACTTTACGAGACGCGTTTACTGCTTAAAGCACTTGCGGAAGCAAATGGAAAACAAAGCCGCAGAAGTAGCGAGGTACTCCGATGTACACGAATCCACTCGCATCACAACGATCAAAGTAATACACCGGCACAAAGAGAGGCTTCAAGGACCGTCCGTTTTGCGCATACCCAAAGGGCAGTTGTGCATGAGACAAACAACGTCTACCTTCGCCCCGCCGGTTTTCATCGGCTGATAAAGTTGTGCCCTCATCACGTAGTAGCTATCCGCAAGCTTTCAGGGTTGGAAGCATATTTAGGACCGAGTCATGGAACCGTCGTATGACGCGAGGGGTACTCTTCGAGATGAAGAGAATTCGAAATGGAGTCACATTGAAGCGGACGGTATAGGGTTCCAGCGAACTATGTCTCTGGATCGATCAAACTTCCTATTGACTTCGGACTGTCTGTAATGCCTGGTGGATGATGCACACCAGGCGGAAACCCGGCTAAGACGTTAGCCGTCTTGATATACGGCAAGCTCTTTACTCCCATAGTCGAACGCTCAGGAGCATTTTCGCCATATGTGAGATCTTGAGGGGGATGTATCCCCTCTCCAGTTGATGTAGTTGATACGGGGGAAACATGCGGCTTCGATCCTCGCTCGAGGGGTGGTGCAGAAGGTTGATGTGGGGTCGAACTCCCAGAGAAGGCCAGGACAGGTGCTTGTAGCGCATGGAATTCCGTCAATGCCTTCGACAAATCACCCAACTTTAAACTTGTGAATGAACGGCGGAATTAAGACCGAAATGATGAAGCCCACCTTATCCATGATAGCGTCAACCTTCGCTTTGCGACCCTCAAACTTGCTCGCAAGGTTCGCAAACTCCTCCTCGCGCGCCTTCTTCTTAGTGGCTTCCTCGTCTTCCTCCACTCCAACGTCCATGTCCTCACCGTCACCCTCGGGTCCTGGCTCACCGGCCTTAGTCGGTAATGTATCCCTGCGGATATTCAAAGCCTTCCCATGGTCCAAGTCCCAAGACATCTTCGACCTCTGATTTGAGGATCCACTGCCTTTGCCATGCCCACCCGATAGCCCCCCGCTCGCCGTAATACCCTCCATATCGATGTGTAACTTTGCGATTTCACCTTGAAGCTCGAGGACTTTGGATAAGTGGGTCCACATATCCTGATGACGCAAGGAGAATAGATTCGTTTTTGGTTCACTTCCAGCAGCAAGTAGTCCAAGCGGGGCCCCAGTGAACGGGTCCTGTATTTGATCAGGCATGTATGTCCTTTGCACGTACTCCGAGTCATGGAACGGTGCATCAAGCCCCACCAAGAGCTCAGGAAGCCCTTGCTCCTCTATCCTGGCGGAGAGATCGATGTTCTGGTGCGAGCCCTGAAGCTCTGCGAGGACGGCATCGTGAGGTGTAGATATGGCAGTGGTAGTAGCCCGTTTGCGGTACTTTTCGTCGTCATCGACTACAGGATCATCGATGGTTGTACCGGTGACCTCGAGGCTGTTACCTCTGCCGGCCGTCGCTTCTTGGGGGTCGTTCGTGTCTTTGTTGTCATGCTTGCGCCATGAAGAGAGCATCTGGATCTCAAGGAGAGCTGTGCGTGATACTGACAGACCAGTTCAGGCCCACGTGCCATAACAGGGGACAGGGTGCCAAGCTTAATTTACTTCCTTGAAGTTGTACAGCCGAACGTATCACAAAGCCCTATGTACGTGCTATGGGTGATACATCAAAAACTCGTTCTCCTACACACATCCATCTGAGCGTAGAGAGATCAGAAATTAGACAGGCACAGTGGATGTTGGGACTCACTCGGAACTGATTGACCGGCGGAATTTACCCTGCTTTTCAACGAGCTGCTACCGCAAAGGAGCCCCCGGACAAACGATTGGGCTACCACGTTGGCACCTGCCGGTGATGTGTGCACATGGTCTATGGGGTAGAAGGCGGTAGTAGCCGTTTGTCCGAGTGCCTGATAGGCTTGCGCGACGTAAGCGAAGTGGTCAATATATGACACAGATGTTCGACCAGCCGTAGTTGCTGCATATGCAACGAATCTTGAGGGGGGCGATAGCTTGGTTCCTGTCCACAGGTTGTCTGGTGTCTGCGACGAGATGATGGGAATAGCCCCTTTCGCTTTCAGCGCGTCGACGGCATTTTGTATATAAAAGGGGAAAGAATGCACGAGGAAAGTAGTCCCGCTGTTCGGACATTCATTCAGGCGAGAGTAAGCGGTGAGAGAGGAAGACGCACTTTGCTGCGGTTACCAAGGATGTTGTATCGTACCCATCGCCGACCGCATCTTGTCTTCCGTTGTCCGGATTGGCCGTTCCGTCGTTATGGCCAAACTCGATGATCGCAAAATCACCGCTCTTCGCAGTATTGATGAGCGTTTGGAATCTGCCTTCTTCCGTGTAGCTTCGGGCACTCCTCCCAGCGATAGCCATATTGACGACCGGGATGGTCAAGTATTGTGCCAGAAATTGACCCCATCCTACGCTCAACGTTGAGATTAATGGAACTCCAGCACGTAGGTGGTACGCTTACCTTCAGTTCCGGACCCACCTCCACCCCTGGCCATGGTCGAGTCACCTGCAAGATACACCGTCTGTGCAAGCCCAAGTGCCCCACATGCGATAGCGAACAATGCAACGAATTTAGGGAACATCGTGTAAATGTGCAATAGCGTCGTAGATATTGAAGCCGCTTTTATACTTGCATTGCTTTCGTGTCACCGGAACGTTATCGAAATAACGCGGTCCGTCATACGTGGAAGGCGGTCATATGCACAAGCATCGAGAAGGGGAGCATCCAGTCGCAAGAACTCATCCCTTCGCGTATAACTCGGCTCATTTTAACAGGGCGGACCTGGCGGACCGATAATATGTCGGCTCGTTGGCGTGTGGGGCGCAGAACTAGGTATAGTATACATCGTCAAGCTGGGTAACATCATCGTACGTACTAAGTTTCGTAGAGGTCAAGGCCTGTCTTCTTCCTTCTCTTCTTCCTCCACCTCTTCCTCCTCGCTCTCCTCCTCGAGCGAGAGAGCATCGAACCTTCCACCAACTGCTTCATCTTCGGAAACTCCATCGCACTCACTATTTATGTCACTACTTACGCCCTCGTCTGCGTCTTCTTGCTCGGCAGAATCTTCTTCGTGGTCGTCGAATTCGGCGTCGAGTCGGTCGAACTCGTGCAACCATATGCCGTTGCCATTATTATCGCCAACTACGGTTATATCCGTCCCAGGAGGCCAGAACGCCCATGCAATTCGGCCCTCGACAAGTGCTCGCAGAACTAAAAGCGAGATGAGTGACGATATATTCGACATAATGTAACATATACGCACTGTCATTTCCTGCACGATTCATGTCCGGTCTCCCTGCTTTAGCGGTCACCCAACCTTTAGATCCGGCGTAAGCTATTAGGATATCTAACGCAGTCCATTCGACAGGCTTTTCCCTAGTCGGATGGGGGCCGGAGCCTTCTCTCCACGTCCGCTTGTCTTCACCAGGGGGTGGCGGGGGCGTCGGATGGGATAAATTGAATATCTTTTCGAGGGGGATACGCTGAGAAGAAAAGTAGATGCAGGCAGGGATAGCGGAAACGCGTGAGATGGGGAGCACCCCTGAGAGTACCTAGGGTTGAATTAGGAGGATACAGGAGATATATGAATGGACAAAACGAACCTGCATTTCCATAGGAATATTGTTTGGCATAACGAGTCCGGGGCAATCGACTAAGCGAAGTTCGTTCGTCCAGAACAAAGTCTGGTAGTGCTTGGTCTGTCATGTTGTTAGTCGAATATCGTCAACGTGTGATGACTGCAAAGGCTCACCTTGCCAGGCTGCTTGGAAGTCCTGACTCGGGTCACACCGAACAATGCGTTCAATAATGATGACTTCCCAACGTTTGGCTGGCCTATGGAACCGTATTGAAAGGTCATAACGTGGACTCGACTGACCGATCACACCAACGGTCAAAAATTCTGGCTCGACATGTTTACGATCCCCGCTAGCCTCTCCTTCTCCGCGATCACCTCCCTCTTGTTGCGCAGGTAAAGGGACGACCGCACCACCAACTTCACTCCCAACCTTCCCGCCTTGGGCGCTGAGTACTGCGTCCCAGTCGATGTTTTGTTTGACAGGAGGTGTCCACCTCTTGGCCCACGCTTCGTTCTTCTTGACTTCTGCGGGTGGTTTGAGCATCTCGGCGTGTATGTCTCGAATGGCTTCAACAAGCTTTCTACGGAACTCCGTTGGAATATGAGGTTCGTAGTGTTTCCGTCCTTGCTCTGCGTGTTGGACCTTCTTTTCAATGCACGATTCAACATGCGTGACTCGAACGCCGGGGAATGTTGATTGGAGGTAGGTCGTCCACGCTTGAGTTCTTTCCGGACCAGAGAGGTCGACTTTCGTCAACACGAGAATGACCTTGTGAGTGGCGAGATATGCTCGGAGACTTGGTGGATAATGGAGTAATGGACAACGGGAGTCCAAAAGTACAAGTATGATTTGTGAAATTTCTGTTACTCGCCATCTGCAAGGCAAGTGTTTAGCATATCAGCGTATGGAAAGAAGCACGCGACCTACAATTGTCGCCAGACTTCTGGATTTCGCTCGAAGTAGCACCACGACCGAGGCATCTCAGCAGGGAGCTGTTCTGGCGTGTCGATTTCCGGATCCCCTTCTGGTTGCTCCGACTCGGTAGTCGGTGGTTTCTCATCTCGCCACTCTTCTATGAGGTGATCCGTCTCGGCCAGCCACTTCCTGAAGACGCCATCTTCGTTTGCTTCGACCTCCGCCTTCGACATATCAAATCGCCACTTGGGTCGCTTGGGACAAGTGAAAGCAGTCGACGATTCCGATCCACCGTCATCTTTAGGAGGAATGGACGGAAAGACTGCAGCTTCTCCAGGGATGGGCCTCGGCAATATTAATTGCGACGCGATCAGCTTGGTCTTGTCTAGGTATTCTCGTGGCAGTTTCACGAAAGCAGATTGCAGCTTTCGGGCAGCATCAACGTCGGGTCGTGCTTCCGTAGGAATTCTACGAAATTCGGGGTGGCGAAGCTTTGGAGGCTTGGGCTCGAGTGGGGGAATGTCACCGCGCTTTGCAGCGCGCTTGAGCTTCTGCTCGGTTTTCTTTTGATTTATGTTCGTGATCTTCTTACGAGGCATTGTAGTTGAAGAACTTGTAGTTGTTGTTGATGATCGGGGCCGACCCGCTGATCAGTCTTATACATAATCTTGATCGGGACCGACTCGGAGATCAGCGAAATCTGAATCACTTGGACTGACTTGACCCTGACGGGCGCTTATTACGCAAACACTTTTCGTAAGCTTGCTTTCACGCAGTGTTGATTATGCCTAGGCTGACAGTCGACCAAAATGCTTAGGCAGAAGGTTTTAGTGCCTGGTAAAGAGGTGCTTCTGCAGTATAAAGTGTAGAAACGACGACACGATATGGTTCGTTCAATATCACTCAACTCACAATGTCCTACAAGAAAGCCGACGACCTCAAAAACATAGTCATCGTTGGTGGCGGCGGCGTTGGCCTGCACCTTGCTCGTGCACTCTCACCGAAAATAAATTCCGCCACACACCATATTATTCTCATCGACCCTCGTCCGTTCCGAATTAACCTACCAGCCACTCTCCGACTGGTCACGTCCGACATCGACAACTTGCAGGAGACCGCTTTTATCCCCTTTGACAAACTCTTTGTCAACGACAATGGCACGTTCATCGAAGCCTCTGTCACTTCTATCCAAAAAAGTGACGGCAAGGGCGGAAGCGTCACCTTGGACAACGGGGAAACCGTCGCGTTTGAATACTTGGTCCTCGCTTCTGGGAGTCAATTTGAAGGGCCCCTAAACTTCCCGGGCAAGAAGGAGGACGTCCTGCCGTTCGTTAAGGGTACAAGACAGCAGATAGAAGGCGCGAATGATATCGTTATTGCTGGCGGAGGATCTGTTGGGCTAGGTAAATCTCTCCATTATGCTGTTTGCCTCAGTATCTGAACATCGAATTACAGAGTTCGCTGGTGAAATCAAAGACATCTATCCAGTATGTTTATTTTCAATGGCCCTCCACTGGGTTCAGTAATTCTGACCGACGTGTAGAACAAGAACATCACCATCGTCCAGGGCAGCGACCACTTGCTCAACGACGCGTATCCGCTAAAATTCCGCACTTACGCCGAGAAAAACATCACCAAGCGTGGTATCAAAGTCGTCCTGAACGAATACATCGATGATATACCAACAGGGACCTTCACGAGCATCAAGACGCGTTCCGGAAAGACCATCACGGCGGATACAGTCGTAAGTCGGTTCCTGAGCGTTGCTTGTCAGAGCAACCTGACCTTTTTATCAGCTCCAAGCCAGAGGTGGGCGACCACGCACCGAATTTATCAAGACTCTGGGCCCCGACGTTCTGACGGACGGCGGGCAGGTGAAAGTCCGACCCACCTTGCAATTGGCGTCTTACGACAATATTTTCGCCGGTGGAGATATTCTCGACATCAAAGAAGAGAAACAGGTCGCGAAAGCACTTGGACATGTCCAGGTTCTCACCACAAACATCCTGGCTTCGATATCCAATAAGCCCCTTAAGCCATACAAGGGGAGCACCGAGTTGATTCTCATCACGAATGGCAAGGTGAGTACCATGGGAGTGATAGTGGTTCCGTGACATCTTCTGACGAGGCGTTCCCAGGGTGGCGGAGTCGCGTATTTGGGAGTCTTATGGGGGCTGGTATTCGGGGATTGGTTCGCGCGGATGCTGAAGTCGAAAGACCTCATGGTCCCGATGGCAAGAAAGGCTGCTGGTTACTAGGTGTTCAATGTTTGGGTTCTATCATGATAGTAGTTTTCTGGCCTGATTATATACCTCTAGATATGTTACCGTAATGTTATATTACCTTTTTTACTGTCTTTCTGATCCGCAGCACGTGAAGTACCGGCAGTGTCAGATAAATACTACGTATCTTATCGGCAAGTCTCGCTTATCAGATTAGGGCAAGTATGATCTGCCTGCGCACTTGGTGCCCTTGAATTATCACATCCATGTTACCGAGGCCAGTCAGTATAAAGGCTTGCGGAGGAGATGAAATGGGCCCCTCAAAATGTCAAGCAAGAAAACTGACGATCGCAAGAACGTAGTTATCGTTGGCGGCGGCGCCGTCGGTCAACCTCTGGCCCGCATCTTGTCGAGGAAACTCAACCCGAGTACTCATTACCTCGTCCTCATCGACTGTCGGCCTTTCCAGATATTTTTACCCCCTGCTCTTCGACTGGTCACTTCGGACGTAGATGACCTCCAGACGACCTCCCTCATCCCCCACGATAAACTCTTCGCCAACGGCGTTGGAACGTTCATCGAAGGAAAGGTCATTTCAATCCAGAAAGGTGATAGTAGTGGTGGAAGTCTTACGTTGGAAAACGGGGATGTTGTTGAGTTCGAGTTACTTGTCCTCGCGACGGGCAGTGGATGGGAGGGCCCCCTGAACTTTCCCGAGAAGAAGGAGGGAGTCATCCCATTTATTGAGAACATCAGGCAAAGGATCAAGGACGCGAATGATATTGTCCTCGCAGGCGGAGGATGCGTTGGAATTGGTACGCCCACCATCGTCTTGTTGGTTTACGACAGGAGCTAAGAGGTAGCTTAGAGCTCGCCGGTGAAATCAAGGATATTTATCCAGTTAGTTTGTCCGTCCTCCCAGTTGGTGACATTGTTTTAACGCGTATTGACCACAGGATAAGAATGTCACCATAGTCAAGAGTCGCGATCACTTGCTCACCGACGTGTATCCATTGAAATATCGCACTCGTGTGGAAGAGAGTATGCTCAATCGCGATGTCACCCTCGTCTTGAACGACTACATCGACGACATACCTACCGGCAAATACGATAGCGTGAAGACGCGTTCTGGGAAAATAATCAAAGCCGATTTGGTCGTAAGTTGACGTGAATATTGCCGATTTTTCTAGTTTACAAATCTACCTAGTTTCAAACCAGAGGTGGACGGCCCCATACCGACTTTATCAAATCTCTCGGCCCCGACGTTCTAACAGAACGCGGACTAGTGAAAGTACGACCGACCTTGCAGTTGGCGTCCTACGATGATATTTACGCTGCTGGCGATATCGTCGACTACCCTGAAGAGAAGCAACTCTTCACAGCAAACGCCCACTTTCGTGTGGTCATCGCAAATATAATGGCGGCAATTTCGAGAAAGCCGCTGAGAGTTTACAAGGGTAGCCCTGTGATGATACTCCTCACAAACGGCAAGGTGAGCTATTCGCGACATCTCGCCCTTCATCGATTCACTTGGAATTTCCAGAGGGCTGGTGTATCGTATTTTGGAATTTTGTGGGGGATTATCTTTGGTGACTGGTTCGCTCGACTGGTACATCCTAAGAACCTTTTGCTTTGGAAGGCGAGAGTCCTTGCTGGTTATAATTAGGGCCGTCCGGCGTGAGCTTGGCGTATTCTTTTCCATTCATTCAGGTCGAGAACCTGCATATGCTGCTCTTTGTATCAGAATATTCGTGGTAGAATTTATGCATTTGGTTCCGGTTGCCACTATACATGAGTGCATTGCCAGGGCGCCCGACTCCGCTATATGATAATCGAAATCATTGATCACAACATCAGCCGACCTGAATGACCACTGCCCCTCAGACGGAACGGGCGTATACGATGCTTTGATCCTCTCTCTTTCATTCTCACGAATATAGGACCGTTGTTCGCCCTATTTTCGCCATGATTCCTGCTGCTTCCCCCCAGATGCAGTCCGGAACATCTGCATTCTCGGCGCAATCCTCGTCGTTCGATGGCAAGAGACCTGGTACAGCGCGGAGAGAGGAGCCGCGGGTGCTCGACGGCCGGCTGTACCATCGGTATGATCCCGAAAAAGCACCATACCCTCTATCCTATGATAGGCAGGTCCTAGAGCTGTACGTCGGATCCATGTTTCCTATTATCAGAACTGCGGAATCAACCTGCGTGAAATCACAACAGGGAGGCCCTGGACAATAGGTTAATGAAACATCTCAAGGGCTCCACTTCCTTCATCAACTTCAGTGAAGGCCCACCGCAACAGTCGCTCGATTTAGGTTGCGGGGTAAGTCGAATTATTATCACCGCCGACATGGGCAACTCTGAACCGAGGGCATAGACGGGGACGTGGGTGATCGACGCGGCGAAAGAATGGCCTGACTGTTCATTCGTGAGTGCTGCACGTACATCACGGTCTAGTATCGCTTCTAAGCTCCCTGACAGGTGGGCTTTGATTTAGTGAACGTTCAGATTTCTCTGAGGGGGCTGGACCCAAGTATATCGCGGCGTATTCGTTGGGTCCACGGCAACTTGTAAGTCTGAGCTTACTTCTACGAATTACGGCGTCCTCAACATCACGTCCCAGCCTGACGACTAAACTGCCTTTTAAAGACGACGAATTTGACCATGTTCACATCCAGTCAATAGCAAGAGGAGTTCCTGAAAGCAAGGTCAGGATATTGCCCCTTCGTACATAACTGTGTCCTCACGCAATATCATAGTGGGGGGTTCTGTTCGAAGTAAGCGCGTGCCGTTTCCTCAGTGTATTCTTGTGAAATTAAGCTTGTATCAGGAAGTCAACCGGGTCTTACGGCCTGGAGGAGCAGTGGAGATTATAGAAGATGGTGCGTTCCTTCGATACTGCCCTGTGGGGGTAGATCACTCACGGCAACTTCAAGATATCATATTCCCCGTACTCCCGAGATGGTTTACGGCGCCGTTGCGAGCGCGACCGAGGAGAGCATCGTCGGTACATTTCCCAGGCGGCCCGCCACGCGACCTCTCCCCGCCGCCCAGCCTATCGAAAGATATGCATGACCACTCGTTGTTGGAGTCGCTGTTCACGTCTGTATTCGAGTCACGGTTCATTAACCTCAAGCCGACAGGTATGGTCTCGTCTCGTATCCTGTATCATGCCTAACCCATATCTCAGCTGTGCTCCCCAGCTATTTCACTACCTACTTCAGGCACGTCGTATTAGGCCCCGTATTACACTTTCCAATGCCTCCGCTTCCCCCGCTACAACCTCTACCACAACAGCTACCGCCTTCATCTGCATTCGATACCCTTTCCACGGATAGCGCAGACTCTAAGTCGCCTACCTTCCACCCCGTGCCCATGAATCGACCAACTTCCCTGTCATTATCTTCGACGCTGTCGGCGTCCACAAACGCCACCAAGAATTCATCATTATTTAGTCGCGCTGGGCGAGGGAAATCATCCTCCATTTCTTCAAACGGAGATACTTCGTCACTTTCCAGTGATGCCATTGATGAGGATAGCGAAACTCCAGTCAGGGATACGACTCCAGTTCCATTCCAACGATATTACATCGACCGATCGCTGACGAAAGACTCGACCAGTGTTTCGTCTCAACCACAAGCGCTCTTCCGCTCCGAGAATCTGGCTGCGCTGAACGAGCGCTCTCTGGCCATGCATCTTTATCGCGGTTACCAAACTGTCCTGGCCTGTGAAGGAGCCATGTGGGAGGAGCTCATCGATCGATTAAGGAACAGAAAAGAGGAGCTGAAGCCGTATGGCTGGGAGGATGACGAAGAGCTTGAAGCTTTACAACATCGCATGCGTTTCGAACGGCTTATCGAGCGATACCGGAGGTAGGTGTTGAGCAGTGAATCACTTAAGCTTAGTGGGCTTACATTCTTCGTAGTGACATGCAGGCAAGAATCGCTCTTTGGTGTTCCCTCTGCGGAATTGGTTGGCCATTTCCTCCTAGAGAACCGCTCACGAAGGCCGAATTGATTGAAGAAGAACGCATTCGGGAAGGAATGCTGGAGGCCCGGAACTACGCAACACCGGAAGATTTGCAGGCACCTTGTCGTGCTGTTCGTGCATTGGTCGGCTACAAGAGTCTGCTTGAAGAACGTTAGGCTGTGGAACATTGGGTAGGCTTCAAGGCCTGAATTCAAGAACTCTTAAATTAGTTTGTGGAACTGTTTTCTTTCATTCTCCAGATACCAGCGGATCCTCCATCACTGTATTGTAGTGCTCTCTTGACTTCCTGTACGCCTTTATACCCTCTCATCGTGCAATTACTAGAGTTTTGGTATGATCGTGTTATAAGCGCCCGCTATATCGAAAATGGCAAGTGTTTGTTTGGTGCAAATTTTTTCTGACCAACACCTTGGCCATTTCTTGAAGCCTGGGTAACCGACAGTAATCGATGGCGGCCTCGTCGTCAAAGCAGCCTCGCGGTGGTTTACCAGCTGCAAAAAGGACTGCAGAATTGAAGGCATCCAAGCCATCCAAAACTACATCGCGGAAGGGCAAAGGGAGGGAGCCAGTTTTGGCAGACTCGACAAATGCTCAGGGATCGGTAGTTGGTGGCGAAGGAGAGGGACTGGCAGTTTGGAACTGGGTTTCCTTGACAGAGTCTGCAGTCAGCAAGTGCTCACCGGTTTTCACGAAGAATGGGAGGTGCGTGGACAGCCAAATCTAAAAGAGGTGTAAATTATTGATCTCGAATCCGGCATGCAGTTACTTCTTTTCACTGGTCGGGCCCTCAGTAAAAGTACATTCGACGACGACCGGTCGGATCGTGTCCACCCTCACTGCACCTTGTCCAGAGGGTAGGGAATCGCGGTCGCAAGCACTGACTTGTGCCATCATAAACCCTCAAAATGCCTTCCAGTTAATCACTGGTTCACTCAATGGATGCATATCGGTGTGGGATTTCATGGAGGCCACTCTTCTTCAAGTATTCGACATTGAGAAGCCAATACATCATCTCTGTGCTCATCATAGACTCAAAGATGTGGTATTCGTGACCACCACCAAGACGAATAGAGGGCGTAAAGGTGCGCAGCCTTGTCGATTCTAGATATGAAGACGCCAACGATCGCTGGTTGTAGACGAAAGTGGGGCAGTGCTTCGTGTTTCTCTTTTGCGCAGCTCGTCGACATCAAAACTTGTACAGAAACCTGAGGATGTACTTTCAGTTGGCAAAACGCGGTCACCCATGGGATTGGCCCTCTCTCCTAGTGGTGATTGGCTTGTGGCCATAGGCGGCAACACATCATATGTCGCTGCCACTTCTGCACTGCAATCCGGCTTTACGAAATTTGTCTCGCCTGAGCATCTAACATGCCTCGCTTTCCATCCCACAGAGGAATATTATGCGACCGGAGATAGCAAAGGATGTGTTCGTCTGTGGTATTGCATTGGCCAGAATCCGCAAATTGAAACTGTTGGCCTCGAGAAAAAGTCCCAAACAAGTTCATTTCACTGGCATGCTCACGCCGTGGCGTCAATTGCCTTTACCTCAAATGGCGCGTACTTGTTAAGTGGAGGCGAGGAGTCAGTGTTGGTAATTTGGCAGGTTCACACTGGGAGAAAGGAATTCGTACCTCGGGTTGGAGCCGCCATCAATGCTATCACCGTGTTGAGGGAAGGAGATGGTCCAGAGGAATATCTGCTTGGCTTAGTAGACGCCACATACCTATTCATCAACCCCGCCAGCCTCAAGGTGTCAAGAACATTTTCACAAATCAAACTTGGTTCGTTCATCACTTTACCGCTATACTCTTGGGTTCTATGTATTCATGTTGGGCCAGATCCGTCAAGTTCAACGACGCATTCCAACGATGCCCCACTTGCCATTCACAGGCTTACCTCGACCATCGTCCTTCCTTCCTCCCATCCCTCGTCACTTCAAGTCTACGCCCCATTTTCCTCTGAACTCGTTTCTGAGATAGAAATTTCTCCGTCAAATCGCATATCCCGTCGCGATGAAACTCCCATAGAAGCATATCGAGTAGAGAACACTCAGATTTCTGCATCTGGAGAATGGATGGCCACGCTTGACTGCCGTGCCGGTGACGACAACTTCAGGGGTGACATATTTCTGAAATTCTGGAAATGGCATCACAAACCTGGGGTCTGGATACTGAACACCAGAATCGATCATCCTCATGACCTTGGCGCTGTCACTTCGATGGCCTTCAAGTCCTCCGATAGTGACGATCCTCTTCAACTTGTCACCACCGGAGCCGACTCTCATGTCAAAATCTGGAGACTCAAGTCAATCAAGACGCCCGGGGAAGTCGAAGGTCTGTGAAGCTGGATTTCGTGTTAACGTAGATGTTGCTCAACGTCCGACAGAGTCATGGGTGATAAGATCTGCAATCAAGTTTAAAGATGGCTCCCCCAGTCACGCCTCCTGGTCTCATGATGGCTCAATTTTGGCAGCATCTTGTGGGCCTCATGTCGCCCTCTACGAACCCTCTACCAGCGCGTTTCTGTGCAACCTGACCTCCCCACAATGCAAAAACATTACATCTGCATATTTCATCGGACGATCGGCACGTTATCTTGCCGCTATGAGCCCAGTTAGTGTTACCCTGTGGGATATTGTTAGTCAAACCGGTATGTTTTTGTTTGTCCGACCACATCTAGTCGCTCACCATGGTTATGCAGTACGATGGCGTTTCGTATCCTCTCAGTCTTTGGACTTCCTTGTCCCTCATTCCACCTGTGACTCGTTCGTCCTTATGGCCAAGCCAACAGAATCTGTTGAGCAGCCTGAAACGTGCGCTTGGACCTTCGACGTATCTTCTTCAGTGCCAACGTCCACCCAACGCTTGCCATATGGGTTCCGTAATGTTATGTGGTATTCCTTGCCGTTCGTCGCTCCTACCTCTGCATCCAATTTCCGGTTGGTGGGGATCACGCGGAGCTGGGGTGTTGTGATCATGGGGCAAGGCATTCAACCGTTATCGCAAGGAAGCTCTGGTACAGAGCGTCTCAGTGGGGAAGCGCCCGCGAAGAAAACACTCTTCCAAGACGTGTTTGGCGTGTCACTGCTCGACGCGGTAACCACAGCGTCCCCCAGCGTTGAAGAGGTGACTCGATCTCGACGGAGGAAAGAACGACGGACCCTTGTCGATGGGCCCACTCATTCCATGCCGCCATTGGACACTGTATTCGACACCTTCGTTGACTTTGTCATTCAAGAACGTGCAGCACCAGCCCTACCCAACAAAGGCGACTCTTCCCATGATATGGAAGTCGAAGAAGCAGCAGAAGACCCCGTAGTACGAGAGCGAAAATACACACGCATTGTTGACGACGCAGAGATGCAAGTTTTCGTCGATCTATTTAAACGTCAAGCCATTGATCACGTTCGTCCTCGTACCACTCATGTTAATGGTCATGCCACCCGCAAGGCAAACGGCACGACAAATGGCAATACAAATGGCGCTCATCACCGAACTCCCCAACCACCCAAGCCGACCGACCCCTCGCCTAATAAAAAGGGCACTAAATCGTCTTTACAACCGACGACACCTATGCCTGCGGTTATGCCATCGCCGTCACCTTCACCCATAAATGGCAGGAAAAGAAAGAAATCACTTGATTAATCGTATCTACTATAGTTAACCTTTGTCTGATGGCTTCCACTTGCATTCAACACATTGTTCCCTCTTGCACTGCACTCAAGTAAAATCATGTATTCACACCTTGATCCTTGCATGGTTGTTCCTGTCGTATCTCCTAGTCGTATTTTTATGTCAATCTATCACTGAAAGTTCGGCTGCTGACCCTGTAGTTGGTGGTGAAGAGTCCCATGAGGCATAGCCAATGCTCTGCGAACTCAGAAACATCTTATAATAATACTAATCGATACATGAAGTGGCTATATGTAGCGCAACCCAATACATAAAGTAGATTGGTAAGTATTGTAAAGTAATGGCTCATTAAATTGGTGGATACGTTAAGTCGGAAAATGTCCCATTAGCATTTCATTATCCCATGCTTAGTCCGCCATCAGCTCGACCTCTTCGATGGTCTGCACTGGCGCGGGAAGTATAAAGACTGGGGTTCCATCTGCTGTAACTGCTTTGCTTTGTTCAGGCGTGAACTTGGCAATGAGGTTATGGTCGACGAACACCTTACGGAAAGGGGCGCCTATAGCCTTCCGAGCCAGGACCAAACTCACGACCAATGCGGGATCACTGGCGTATACCTCAAGATACAGGAGGTTCGGTGCGATAGTCTGTCGAGGAGGGATGATCGTGTTGGCTTCCCAGCGGACGATGCCAGAGTTGGGATCTTCGCCGTCCGCAAGGAAAAGTTGGAGGAAATTGATTTTGAGATTGGCCATGCGGAAGAAGGCCATCTTGGGCATCGATTTTAACCACTTGACCATAACGGCTCTACTGGCTGGTACAGCGACGCACTCGACGTTTTGTACGGTGAGAAGCCGGACTTCCGGGAACGCGCCAGTCATCAAGGTGAAGAACGGGGCGTAGTCCTCGCCGACGAGGTTCATGAGCGTAAGTTCGCGAATGTTTGGCGCCGAAATCTGGGTCGCAACATACATGGCGTACTGCAAGCTATAATCGCCAATGACCAAGTGTCGGAGGCTAGGCAACACGACGGGGGGGAAAGCCGCTGCTAATGTGGGTGACCATACTGGGCCTGCTCCATCCAAGGAAAGACGAATAAGGTTAGGGCAATTTTGAAGGATCTCGCGGAAGCGAGGCAACGTAGGGGACATCTCGAGGGGTATTCGTCGGATGTCTAACCGGGATAGATTGGATAGTGGGGACCTGTTCCAATCGATGTGGACGCCATTGATAGTGATGCTTTTAAGTGCAGGTAGGATTGCGCCACCGAACAGTCTCATTGGATCGCGGTGTCGGTCTGGTTCATATCCTGCGCCAATCCATACATAAGGACTGCCGTTGCGATGGAGCTCAAATCGTTCTAATAATCCAAACGTCCGTCTCGTGCTATAGTCCTGGATCTTGTCGAGAACTACGAGTGCCGGGGGCCAGTTGTCGACGACGACGATCAGGGAACGGATTTGCTCGAGTTTCACGAACACTCTGTCAAGGAACACTTCCATTTGCGGTCCTGTCCACTGCCCGCCCCGGGGCTCTGCCACTCTAATATCTAACGTCGCCTTTCCCGCTCTGTCAAACCAACAAAACGACCTCTCGTGTGGCGGTTGATCGCGGAACCAAATGGCGCTCCATAGCGTAGAGTCATTGATCGCGACTTCTCTCCAACGCTTTGATACCCAAGTGATGTGCAACCGGTTAGTGATACCAGCTTCGGGTACAGTGCCAGACCAAACGACGTCGCGAAGGATGAGGCTGAGGATCTCGGTCGGCAAGTCATTGATGCGAAAGAGTTGCCAGTAGATCAAGCTTCGGATGGCCTTCGCTTTCATGAGCTTCAGGTTGTATTCAGGCGCTTTGTTTTGTGGGTCGAGTGGATCGCATGCGGCGCGCAATTCTAGCAAGTCGGCAATATGTCCGTCGCATTGCTTGCATCGATAGCGTATCTCTTGGGCTCGTGCTGGTGTCATTGCAACGGGCGCAGGCATATTGGCCAGCGTCCTTGACATAAAGTGTGCAAGCATGGCGTGATGATTAGCCGGCGGCATGGCGAACGATGGATTCTGCATGAAAGCGCTTGTCAGCTTTTTCTAACGGTGAGGTAGAGAAATACCACACCTGGAAATCTCGCGCAGAGCGTGGGTGGTAGTAGTAGGAAGTAAGTGAAATTGGGGGGTAAAACGGTGGGCTTTGTGGATTTTATACAGGCAGGCAGCAGCCAGGCCAGCAGGCAGAGGACAAGGAGATTGCCTGTCGATTAGGATGGGACGTGATGCTTTGTATTAGGAAATCGACGCACATACCGCTAATGCGTGTTGTTTGGCTTTGTGGGTCCAGTCCGAAAATACAAACGCCCACAACTCGATCGCCCTTTCACGTTACCGGGTTGCGCTGCTCGTCGATACTCTCTTGTTTTCGTGTTGGAAACGAGATGCAGGCGCGCATATAGATGATCGAGCTGATGCAGTCGGGATGTTTGCAAGTGCAAGTCCTCAGGCCTGTGTTTTCAGCCGGCGCTGCTGTTGCGGCGGCTCGTCTGGTACGGCGAAGAGTGCAAGGCGGGGCGGGGGAAAGGTGAGCAAACAGCGACATCCAGGTGCGCTTATGAGCTGACTCTGATAAAGAAGCTTTAAAAGACCCCCGATATTCAGTCGGTGGCCATAAAATGGGGACCTTCACAAGTTGTGACACGTCCAACGACATTGTACGGGCCGAATCCCTCATTTGTGGGCTAACCTGGTAAGAAAAGGGTAGATTTAGCACATTCAAGACAATCCATGCAGGGCGAAAGCTCGGACGCACGCCGAACGGACAAAGCAACAGTGGCGACGGGAGGGGTTATCTCTTTTTGGTAATCACGAATTCGGACAACGCCGTTCAACCTAATTGCCCGCCTCTTCATCCTCTTCAACGCGGAGGGCCTTTGCAACCTCGCGTCTTTGTGCAAGTCGGGAGTCGAGGCACGCACGCCTCTGCTTGCTGGTGTTTACTGGCGGCCTGCAACGACGAGCATCCGTCACCCCTTTGACACTTCGATTTTTTTGCACCCCAGATCCCGCCGTCGCCAATACCCCATCTCGCTCGCGCGTTCCATTGTACTGGATTCGTCTGTCTTGTCCGAACCTGTTCACGAGGCTCGCAACCCATGTTTGAGGATAAAGCAACGTTAACTCGAATCGGCCCTTTGCGTGCCTTTGAAACCCAGCGGCCTCTCCCCATTATAGCTATCACATCTTATCACAACTCCCGCAAAGGTAGGATTACATTGTCGAGGGCAGCCATCCTGGAAGGGCCCTTTTTAATGAATTCATTTCAGATGTGTCTTTGACGTCAGGACTATATTGCTAAGATGAAATGCCACTCTCGCCACCAACTCGCCACGCAAAACTCAAAGTCAACTATTCGATGAGGGAAAGCCTTACCACCGCGCGTGAGTTTTCTATCTCCATCGTGCAGTGAAATCTGCGAGGTGAACAGTGATCCAACACTAACTGTTGTAGTATATACATAAAAAATCACTAAGTTCCATACCCAAGAATGATGCCATTTTCCTCGATGAAGAACCATTTACCCATTAATACCAAACATTCTCCGGGGCCCCCCTTTCCCAGACCTGCTTGCGAATGCGAAGTCCTTTTAAGGCCGCAAGATAGACCGAAATATCGCATAGATGAAGCAGCTGTCTTTCGTGGCAAGGTTACAGTCATCATGAGGTCAACGACGAGCCTATCGGGGAAGCCCCGGACCGATATGTGAGAGCAATAAATACTGAGGACTTGGTGGAGCCAGCTGGGTGGAAATTGATCCTTCACTTGACCCAGCAGCATCTCAGCACTAGTAGATCAAGATGGCTACCGTGGTTTTGAAGCGTACTGGAGACAAGGTGAGTAGATCCTAAAGACCCCTGGCATCTCCTAACTTACTCCTGATTCTCATGGTAGATGCCATTGGTCGGGTGAGTTGATGCTTACCACGATTCGATGATCCTGATTCTAAACGTATAACGAAGGTTTGGCCTTTGGAAAGTATGTGCTCTCTCGCTGCATCAGGATCAGGCACTGACCAATATGTACAGGTCACCAAGTCATCTTGCGCTGACGTACGTTCAACCCTTCAATGTATTTCTTTGTGTGCATGGGGGAACTCTAAATCTCGCCTGAATCTCGCCCTCCTTAGACCGTATACGAGGCCATCAGGGCTGGCTATCGCCTTCTTGATGGTGCTGGCGACTATGGAAATGAGAAAGAAGCTGGAGAAGGTCTCAGACGCGCTTTGGCAGACGGTCTTGTAAAACGCGAGGAGATATGTAAGTGTTTTGTTCTACTACTGCTACACCGGGGTGTTAACAAAATATCAGTCGTCACTTCGAAGGTTAGCCAAGCGGCTTGTTGATGTTCGTTGACACTGACGCAGCACCGAAGCTATGGAATACTTTTCACAAGCGAGAACATGTAAGGTCATTTATATCCTTGTATGAGACATTCTGCCTATAGTATAACAGGTAGCAGCATTGGCGCAGAAGCAGCTCGAGCTTTGGGGAATTGACTACTTCGATTTGTTCTTGGTCCACTTCCCTGTTGCTCTTCAATACGTTGACCCGAACCACCGCTACCCACCGGAATGGTGGGGAGATGACGGGAAAGTACACCTCCGTGAGTCTATACGTCTGCGTTATAAGACAAGTGCTTAATTTTCGTAGAAAACACCCCCATGCAAGAGACATGGGAGGCTATGGAAGCGCTCGTCGACAGTGGCAAGGCCAAGAACATTGGTGTCAGGTATGGTTCAACGGTATTTCTGTTGCTAAATCAGTGCTCAAAGGAACTGCAGCAATTGCCAGGGCTCTATTATTTTGGACATCCTGCGATATGCAAGAATCGAGCCTCAAGTCCTCCAGGTGGAATTGCACCCTTACCTCACCCAGGAGGCTTTGGTTAAGCTAGCGAAGACCTTGGGACTTGCCATCACTGCCTACTCGTCGTTTGGTCCCCAGGGCTATGTCGAACTCGGCATTGAGAAGGACGTTCCCAGTTTGTTGAGCGTTGAGTCTGTTGCCTCGATTGCGGCAGAGCACAAGAAGAGTGGGTGAAATGCCTAGGCTGGGGATGAAGTCAGCTTGACTCCTTGTGATTTACAGCTCCTGCCCAAGTTCTGCTGCGTTGGGCGACCCAGCGGGGCATTGCTGTTATCCCCAAGTCCAATTCCGCAGCACGGCTCGCCGAGAACTTGGACTGCAACTCGTTCAATTTGACTGAAGACCAGATCAAGAGCATCAGCACCTTGAACATTAACTTACGAGTAAGCTTTCTTGTCTTTCACCTGCTGTTGCCTCACTTTCGCCACGTAGTTAAACGACCCTTCTGAGATCGATCCGAGATTGGGTATCTTCGCGTAGATTGCGAGAACACGGCCAACGGTTATTATTCTAAATGTATATGTACGCGATCACAGCAATATGCAATATGTCTACGAGTCAGAGGCTGTCAAAGGCTTAGAATTGCCCCACCGCAGTCGAAGTGGTCCGTTCGCGTGAAGTCAAAGGCGCAGCCATGCGGAGTTTGAATTGAGGTCTATATGGTCGCTTAAGCAGAGCAGCCATCCAAGAACCAACTCCAATGATCACCACTTTCAAGCTCACGAAGCGAGACGGCCTCACTCGCAGAATTACATTTCCCTCTTGGCCGGACTGGCAAACGCTAGCCCAGAAGATTGAATCCCTCTACAACATCCCCTTCGACAACATTGGCGTATCGTATGTCGACAATGACGGCGACGAGGTCACCCTGAGCTCCCAAGAGGAGCTCGAGGATTACCGTTTCACCACCTATGAACCGGGTAAACTGGCCAAGTTCACCGTGCAGGACATCAGCGCGCAGCTTATGGAAGAGAAATCCCTTCCAGAGACCCCACGAGCCTCAGCTGCCAGGAACACCTTTGGTGCGGACGGGCTCGTGTATACAGTTGGGATTGAGGACGACTGGCAGCCGCTTGGCCCGAATATCTTCATTCCTAAAGGCCCTCTGATGTCCGGTTCCACCACACCACACGCGTACGTTGAAACTGTGGACGACAGTGAGCCGGCCGTTCCAGCTCCACCTAGTCAACATAAAGCCTCCAGCGCAAGCTCCTCGGTCAGTTCAAGCCAGTTCGGCACCGTCAAGTCCAGTGCAGACAAGGGCAAGAGCAGAGCAGACTCCCAGCCACCAGTGCCACCGAGATCAGAGGCACTCGGAAGCGATAGCGACGGAATGTCTTCCACCGTTTCGTTGCTTGCTGAAGACTCCCCGACTAAACAGCCCGTTCACGTTTACAACAGGGGGGGCTCTGCTTCCAACAAGTCCGGATTCCATGTACCGTCCAGCAGCTCTCGGGCTTCCACTTCTCGTGGAGACGTGACTCCGGTCCAGGCAGAGAGTACACCGAAAGTCCTTGCGCAGTCGCTCAACCTGGAACACAGACGCACACCAGATGCCACGCCGCCAACAGACCCTGCTCCTGATCCTCCCCTTCCATCTATCGAATCCCCATCCCTATCAAATGATGTTGCATTGCTGCTCAACAACTTGACGTCTGCGTTCTCGTCGCACCCGGAACTCGCTGAGAGCCTTCGTCAAATCGTTCAGAATGCATCCAATGGTGCGTATTGGGTTGCTCACCGCGAGGCGATCACCAACGCAGCCCAAGAACTCGTACGTTCGGCTGAAGCAACGGGTCGAGCTGCTGAAGAAGAAGCAGGTCGACGCGTAGCAGAAGCTGTTGGTGGTATCGTCAAGTCTCTGGCTGATGCAACCTCGGGTATCGCTCCTACCAACAGTGCCGATGCGTCGAACACTACACCTTCTGCTCGTCCAGCACACCCGTTAGAGTCTGGTTACGCGCCATGGCAGCGTTACAGGGGGGCACCCAGCTGGCAAGGGAGTTTACAGCCTTTCGGCTTCGCCTACTCTAGGCCGCGGTGGCCGGACATGGGAATGTTTGGCCCTCCTCCGCCCCACCATGGCCATGGTCATGGTCGCCCCTTCCCTCCCCCGCCTCCTCCCTCGGGCCCCTTTGGCGATCCTCACCCGCCCATGTCCCCAGGAGGTGGTCCTCCTTACCCACCTCCGGGCTGGCCGCTCGGCGGGCCCCCTGGCCCAACACCTTGGGACGTGGCCCACGATTTTGGTATCCACGATCGCGAAGACTCACGCGCGCATGTCGAGGCTGCGAAGAGCCTGTACAAGGCCGAGAAAGAGCGCTACAGACAAGAACGCGAGGTCCGCCGTAAAGAGAAGGAACGTTTGGCTTCTCTAAAGCATGGAAACACCGAGTCAATACCACCGCTTTCTTTCTATTACGAGTATGCTAATCGTCTCCACAGGCTTCCTGGTGCTAGCACTAACAAAGTCGAAGAGGAACCAAAGCCCGCTCCACCACCGCCCAAGCCTCAGACACCTCCCATCGTTCAGACCGTCAGCAATGCTCATGGCGGGTTCCCCGAATTTGAAATGTACAACGTTCCGAAGAGGCACAACACACATCTTGGACACAGTCATCGCCGTGGAGCCTCCTCTGTATCGCGACCCGGTCCAAGTGCTGAAAACACCAGAGAGCGAGCCCTCGCTCATATGACCAAAAGACTTGCTGATGTACGTTTATCTGAATCTCTGAGTTCGGGATGTTGCTGACCATGCATCATTGTAGATGGGCTTCACTGAGAGCGCTTATCCCTCCCTTCCAGCGAAGATTCGAGCAAACATGCCAGAAATTGGTCCCGTTACTAAAGAAAAGGAAGATGACATCGTAACGACCCTCTTGGAAGACATGCTCGCCATGTCGCCCAAACCACCCAAGGGCCCCGGATCGCCCTCGGGCTCGACTCCTGGTGGATGGCGCTTTTGATTAATGTAATGTACTGATAGCGTTCTTGCCTCTTGGATCTTTTCTTTTACTAGGTAGGTTTAGTAGTAGTAACTCCAAGGTTTGTTGTAGTGTAATTTTGTAGTTTGTACAAGATGTATGTAAGTATACGAAGTACTACTTTCTTGTGTTTAATTTTTCGCGAGATCAGTTGGGCGTTGGTCAATCACTTGTGCGAGGAACAATGAACTAGACGTCGAGGAGGTGCAAAGCTTTCATTCAAGTACATATACAGCGTAAATACTCGAATGTCTGTCCCCAAACTACGAATGCAACCTAAAGTTCCAACGAGGGAAAATGCACTCAACTCTTATAGAGACGTGAAGCAACAAGATCTCCAGAAATCTGCTGCCATCAAAACGACGACAAGCAGGGGAGACGACACGCTGCGTTATTCTTCCATGACCGTAACAGACCCCTCGAGGAAATGATCCATGAAGAGGGCAGGAGGGGCCTTGACTGGGTACATGGATCGGCGCGTAGGCAAGAAAGATCAGACTCAAACTCGGGCGTCGCAGGTAATTTGGAAGTTATGGTATTGGACGATGGTGGAGGTGAAACAGCACGCTTGTAAAATCGGAAAATTTATAGTGTAGACGCCGATATAAATTCGCACGCTCAGTGCTGCAATGCATTAACTTAAACTAAGGTAATATTTGGTCTATTGGTATAGCACTCCGCATTTTAATGAGGTTCATTAACATGATATTAGCGGGCATCTCGACTCTATGCTTCCCGCCCAGGCCAACCAAGTACCCGTTCAAAAACTCGATTTCTGTCCGTCTTCCTCGCCGAACGTCATGCAGCATGGAAGAGATATTCCCCTTGGTCACCTCGGCGACGCGAAGGCACTCGGCCTGTAGCGCAGAACGCGTCAAGCCGCGAGGGAAGGTACCGACAGAGATGTTCTGCGTATCAGCGCCTTGCGAGGCTTGCTTGCTTAGGTAGTCCTCCGCCTCGGCACGCAACTGAGCGGTGTACGCGTCGGTTGCTTCTTGGCAGACGCGTTGCATGATGCGCAGAGAAGCCTCCGTTTTGAAAAGATCGCCGTTCCGGCAGTTCATCAGCGCGGTGAGGGGGTTGATCACTGCGTTGACGGCGAGTTTGCGGCGCATGGCGACCTGAATATCGGCCATGGGTTTCCAACTCGTGTTGAGGGATTTGAGCATTAGCAAGGCCGCGACGGTGTTACGAAGGGTGCGATAGTGGGGGAATGCGGGGTCTTCCTGAGCTTGGATGATGTCGTGGGGGTGAGGCTTGTTGCCATTCGCGAACCCGGCTTCGTAGTCGCGGCCATTGATATCGGGGACAATGCCAAAGTCGATAGCGCCTACACCGGTGTGGACTACTTTCTGCATGCTCTTGAAGAACGCACCGTGGGTGTTGGAGGCCAGGACAAAATGGGGCCGCAGCCGGGCGTTGAGAAATATCTCCGAAGCTAGCTTCTCGTATACACCCATGCCGTTCTGCAGAAGGACAATGGTCGAATCGCGTGAGATGCGAGGCAGGAGCCTCCGAATAGCTGGCACTGTCTGGTGGGCTTTGGTGGTGACGATAAGTGATTCTATGAATTCATCCGACTCGTATAAGCTGGACGACGGTGATTCCGTGGATTTTGGGTCCTCATTCTGGGTTTGAGCCTGTATATATGGTTGTTCGAAGACTTCATGGCGGAAGCCTACCGCCGTAGATACGTGGCCATCGCGTTCAACGGACACTGAGCCACCAGAAGAGATGGACTCCCTGCTCTGGCGAAGGTTTTTGTGGATGAGACTAACGGCATGGTTGGGCGGAAGAGCTCGGCGCAAATGGTACGCTATCAAAGAGCCGATTGGCCCTATTCCGAGTATGTGAAAATGCATGGGCTACCGCTCCATCGACTGTGGGGGAAAGGGAAATGTTAGATTCGTGCAGGTGGAAGCAGGGAAATATTATACTGCACTGTGGTCACGATCGTCGGTGTTGAGTCTTGTAGTTGCTAAGCGCCCGATGCCTTTGGTTCCGTACCATCACCATGACCGTATTCATCGATGCATCAGGTCTCACGACGCCAGCATAGCTCTACAGCCGTACAGCCTCAGTATTATCTTCGAGATAATGTCTACAGTATTTAAAGGTCAAAGGGCTTCCCCAGCAAAGGCCACCAGCTTGCAGTCACCCCACCATCATGGTCGCCAACGACTGCACCGTCGCATTCACTAGCAACCCAGACATCAGCGGCGTCGGGGTTCGCATCAGTTTCTATCTGCAAACCTTTCTTTTGGGTTCGGGTCTCCACTAGTACTCCATTGCAGTCTGATCTGACCACTCCATGCAGTTATCCTCGTCGATCGCTCTTGGGAAGATGCACCAAGTGCGCTGTACACCCTCATCGCCACTAGTGGAGGCCTGCAGGTTGCTGCTCTGGTTCAGGCCAAGGTCGGCAAGTTGTCCCTGCTCCAGGCGTTGCAGGTATCAAACCTTGTCTGGTGGGCCTGCAAAAATTCGCATTGCGTGCCGCCTATTAACTCTTCTGCCAAGGCTGGCGAACTTTGGCACCTTTGTAGCTCTTGCTAGCTACTCGCGGCAGAAGGCCAAGAGCAACAAACGCGATCCCGACGCAGCAAAGAGACGGGGGAAATTCCTGGATTACCACGTCAAATATGTTGCGATGTTGCAAACATTGATGTCCATGGCCCTAACTCTCTACATGTGGTACGTACATCCCCACGATGTTGGCTCAACCTTCTCATCGATCATCAAACATATAGGCTTACGGCGAAGACATTCGGCCCAGACGCACAATGCTCTGGCCTCCTGCGATATGTGTTCTTCGTCATCCGAGCTCCCGCCCTCGGTTCTGGCCGGTTGGCGGGGATCACAATATCTGTCCTCCTCGCAGCAGTCTATATCTGCGTTACTGCCCATGAACTTCATTCGTCGTATCTGAAACGAAACCAAAGAAGACAGCGAGGGAATAGTCCGGCAGTCCGAAACTCTACTACGGCTTCCGTTGTATACCACCTACCCACCGTCGCCCGCCCGACACATTTACGAGCTGCTTTCAACTCATCGACTGACCGACTCCCTCAAGACACTCGTACCAGTAGCCCGGAGTCCATCAAGCGAGCCACACGCCGCCGTTCCAAGAAGCGCCGCTGGTCTTCAGACCTTGATCCCATGTTTGTTGGTATCATGATCTTCTATGCGACGGTGTTAGTGTATTCCGTCGTCTCAACCGAGTTGATGGTGGCCTTCAACCCATCGGACGACGATGTTATCAAGGAATGGGGATTCGGACAGGTAAATGCCGCGTTCTGCTAAGATCCATTGTCCCCCATCTGACATTGTCTATTGCCAGATCCTTGCGATCATTGTCGTTATCCCTTCAGCCATCTCTGTTGCCAACGCTCTGGCCGAGCATGGCTTCAGGCGACTATCCAAGCCAAAGCGAGCTTGTGGACCCGAGGCTCAAGTCACGACCTAAATATGACGAACTCAGATATTCCGTTTCGTGGACTTTAAGTACAATGATAATTGATAATGCCTGTAGCACTAGTACTCGTATGCATCTACGACGTGTAGGCCCTCCTCCCACGATACTGAAGGTCGTGCGTCGTATCACATATTGCGTCCATCTGGTGGGCGCATACGAACGAGGGCAGGACTGGCATGGCTAATTCTGTCCAAACGAACGTCTCTCGATTAGATCGCGGTATCATTGAATAGAGGACGAAGACATCAAATTGTTTGCCTCAGCGGGCGGGCGGGCGCCCAGTGCGCGACCAACTGATAGCGATAGTCTCCTTAATAAGCATCTACTCTTGCCTCCTACTGTCATGAACCGCCCTCGTGGTCGTGAACTCCCTGATTCTCTTCTGCTTAGATGTATATATAGTCACACTGCCCATGAACTTGATCATCGTATCCAGAACGAAGCTGTTGGAGGGGTAGCACGGCTTCCGTTGCATCCCCTGCCCGTCGCCGTCGGTCTAGCATGCTTGCGCGTGACTTTCAGCTCTTTAGCTCGAAGGCCATCCCAAGGTGTTCGTATCAGCCATCCTGAGTACATCAAGCAGCACGGGAGACGCCGCCGTTCGAGGTGATCCCCTAGGGGTTCATAGAGAAGTACAATGTCAGTTTGAAGCTTGTAATAATGCATCTACGACGTATACATACGCTAAGAGTATGTACACCGCCTATTATATAAAGTTCGTGCATCGCACTACGTTTTGCGTCCATGGTCCATGTGATGAGCACATATAGCTCAGGAAGTCCCTTGAAAATCCTTGAATGAATGAATGAGAAGTAGATCGAGGCACATGCATGCGTGAGGCAGAATTAATGATCATCCGAATCTGGCCTGCCCCACTTGAACATCCTCGTCGCGCCATCTCGCCATGACTGGACCCTTCGGAGCGCGAGGATTGACATGGTCGATGTGTCCGTTCCGACGAACCCCATCCCCCCCGATTGAATCACGGCGTCAATGAGCAGAGGGTACCTTTACGTTTGCGGATGACATCGAACCGTTAGCCTCATGCGAAAGTGGGGTCGATATTCGAAATTGTCACTTACCAGGTCCCATACAGCTCGGCAGTCCTCGAATGGTTGACCTGCAGCCAACCTTGCTCCGTCACCTGATCCCACCACGTTGTATTCCTTTCGTCGCTTGTCATAATAACATGGCGGACATCGATGCCCTTGCGCGTTTTTAGTTCGTCCTTGACCTCCTGCACACGGCGAGCTATGACCGAGATTGGAGCAAAGCACTCCTCGACCGGGCGATCGCCGCAATATACCGCAAAGTCGCCATGTCGTACATGAATAGATATAAACTAGGAGATGAAGTGTAATGTTAAGCAACACCGGAGAAGGTAAAGAGACATAGGTACGTACAGGTGGCGTTGGCTCGTCCTCGTCCGTTACACCGATAGTGGCCCGAACATAGTCATCGGCCAGGCCTTGCAGTGCAGTGGTCCACCTCATGTGTTGCCCTACATATCGCCATGCAGGGCCGTAATCCTTGTCCCATTCGAAAGCCTAGGTCAAGATCAGTAAACGATCCACTACGCCATCGCAAACGAGGCAACGCCACCAACCTCATTAGCACAAACATAGTACAAATAGTCGAAGCACAACATCTGCTCGTCGGGGGGAAGCGACACATGGTGTTCGGGGGACTCTAGTGGTGGGACAAGATTCTTGGCTCGGGTTTCAGGGAACGCGAGGCTGGCGAGACTCCAGAAGGTGCTGCTTTTGTCGTGCTCGTAGTTGGGGATCCGCTTTGTCCAGTCGGGTGTTTTGGTGTAGGAGATGTCTGCGAATGGATGGTCAGCAACTGGATTGGGGAAACGGGTGTGTTGGGAGACGGACCGAGTTTGAGGTGAGTAGGCACTGAACTACCGCGTGGGCGGTGCTCATAATACTGGACAGATTCCCAGAGGTTCCAGCAGCCAATATCGTCGACAGTCTCGCTTGAGGTGTCTTTGACTTCGCGCCATTCAAGGACTGGTCGGCCGAGGAGTTTGCGCAGTCGCGGCACGTCGAATACTTCGCCAAAAGGTATAGGTGGTACAGCTCCGCCGATATGAGACGGTGTAAACATAGGAATGACAGGTATACGGTCGGTTATTAGGGCAAGGTAGATGAGGTTTCCCTAGTAGATTATTTGATGTTAAGTTCGGCTGGTATACATAGATGGAGGATAACTGCGCACATAGGTCATTACATCGTTGGCTACGGGATGTCAGCGCGTGGTAAGGCAGGACGCAGATGAGGACTCACTCCAGCCTGCTGATGGCCACGATGTTATATACTGAAGTTCCGGTCGTAAGTTGTCTAGCGGGAGTCAATGGCTGTATTTGGGAGGGCGGTGGGCGACTGCGTACCTCTGAAACTTGCCGTGGGAGGCCCTTTCAGAGATAATAAAGGGTCCAGTAGATTCACTTCGAGTATCGGTGAAGAATTCGAAGGAGGTATTATGAGCGGAGGCGGGACGTCCTCCGGGGTGATGGAGAGACCCGGCGCATGTCGCGTCGTCCAAAGGAAAAACAAGAAACCAGCCAATGCTACCAGTACCAAGGATATGCAGGCCACGAAGTAGCGTCTTGTTCTTGATGGTGACAGACGGCTGGGTCGCCACTCGGGAAGAGACTTGTCACCCGAGTCATAGTCCGAGCCGCCTAGCAGAGGTTCTTCTGAAGTGGACATGGGGGAGGGGGAGGGGGGACTCGTCGTCGGTCCCTGTTGCAGCAGTCGCCACTCTGGAGAAATATTTGTGTCCTTGTCTTCCCCATTTCCAGGCTCGCGTAGGTATTTACATTGAACGGCTATTCAATCGATCCTAGATCCCTAGGGTTGGAATTCCCTTTCCTGGAATTATCAGAAACAAGGGACAAACAAGGGACAAATAACACCTTTTAGTTTGACGGGATCTGGGGACCGTGATCTTCCCAGACATGTCCATGCCATGTTGCCTGGGGGTTCAGTCTCGGCTCAGCTCACGGAATGCACCTTGAGGCAGCCCGGCGGACGGATCGTCCTGTATAAATACCATACCGGCACAAATTTGTCCAGAGATTTGTACCAACCGCGATTATGCCAGGCCACTCGACAAACAACGATGCGACAGTTCTCCAGGTCGCGGGGGTGGTCAGTTTCTATATGTGTGCAGCGTTGGTGGTAAGTAGCGTATTCTGCGTGGCTTGCAAAGGTATTGACATGGATTGTAGATGGTGTTTGTGTAAGCGCAATCGTACGCGTCCTAGAGACTCGTGCTGACATCGATGCAGGAACAAGGCCGTGCTGAATAGCTCGCCAGACATCCCCCTGATGTTACTTCTCATTCAGCTCATCATCGCAGTCGTTCTCTTGCACGCATCAGCCTTGGTATCGAAGCGGATTGAAATCCCTAAACTAGAGCTCGATGTCGCTAAGAAACTGTTCCCTGTCGTTGCAGTGAACATTATCGGTTTGGTGTTCAACACCCTCTGTCTGCGCGACGTAGAGGCATCCTTCTTCCAGGTCCGCTGAGCCGTTCATCTGGGAACCTTGAGTTTAACTACTGAAATGACGTATTATAGATTGCCAGAGGCCTTAATCTTCCTCTCACAATATTGGTGTCAAGTATCGTTACGAGGAGCGTGCCCTCTCAGAAGGTCGTCCTTGCTGCAATCCTTGTCACATTCGGATTCTTGTGCGGCGTCACACCCTCATCGTCTCTTCCAACTAAAGCCACTCCTTCACTTGTGTCGCTCATTTATGGTGTCCTATCTTCACTTTTCATTGCATTCCATGCCGTCCTCATCAAGAGTTCCCTACCCTACTGCAACAACTCCGCTATTCAGCTTGCCTACTGGACCAACCTGGGCTCCGCTATCATGATTCTCCCATTCGTGCTCTTCCGCGGCGAGCCTGCGATTTTGCAATCACTAACGGCAACCGCGGATTGGAATAGCAATGTCTTCCTATGGGGAACTCTTGTCACGGGCTTCTTTGGTTTCCTGCTCTGTATCGCCGGTTTGCTCAGCATCAAAGTCACCAGCCCGATCACACACATGTTCTCTAGCGTAAGTGGTACCATTCGGCGCGCCGCTCTATCCAATTATGCCGTTCCATAGGCAGCAAGATCGGTATTACAGACTCTCCTTGGGGTCTGGATTTTCAGCGACATACTCACAGTGTAGGTGATAGCGAGCTTCCATCTTCATTTATTCTGATGGAATTGTTTGTCACAGCAACCGAGGCGTATCTATCATGATCATTCTAGCGGGGACGCTGTAAGTCATGCTGTTTTATATCCATCATTATCATTCATAACAAACGCCCAACGATTAGGTTCTTCACTTGGATTAAACACGTCGAGACAGCCGCAAAGGCTCCACGACGTCCCGCAGACATTGAATCCGGCGCTTCGGCATCAAAGACGGAATCAGAAGTCGAGACGGTCGTGTGGCAAGCTCCCGAGAAGCTTGAAGAAGATAAATAATTTCCCATCGTTTTTTGTTACACATAGAATCGGGCTTTGGATTGGACACTCTAGCACCTCACGCGGACATTCCTCATACGCGCTTGTACCTCTTACTCAACTTTCCCTCTTTTCGTTGGCTTCCCGTTGCTTCCCGCTTAATATCCGAGTGCACTCATGGGTCTCGCCTTTCTAATCAGGGAACGCATCGAACCAAACCGCCACCGCGCTGACAATCCTGACGTTGAGTGATATAACTTTGCGGCCAGGTACCGTCGGAACTACCTCATACGCATGGTTCTTAAAATATTATTGTTGGGCCACCGAGGCCCAGGGTGCATGTTAACGTTTGTTGTCCTATTTTTGCGACGCCTAGAATTTTCATTGGTGCAGTGGTAATGGTTCCACTTGGTCCTTGTTTTACGCATGCCCCTTTTGTTTTATCATCGATCTATCGCAGTCGACGCGACATTCGAGGAACAGTGTTACGGAACGACACTCGAGGTTGTGTTTCGGATGTGGAACTCAGCTCACGTTAACAGGTGACCGGCACTGACAGGTTTACATACCTCCCATTATACATCGAATCTCAAATTCAACATGCCGGGTGTCACTCTTGATCGCGGCGTCAGTGGTGGTACATAATCCTTTCAAGTCCTGATTCGGGGGCCGTTGATCTTATTGGACTGGCATTCAGATTCTTCAGGAACAACGTGGATCAAAGCATATCAAGCATGATCAGAATCTCGGGCTGACGGACAAGGCTGCCCTGCTCACGGTCGCACACTGCCGTACGCTTGTCTCAAGATCGAGTACTTGGTGCTGTAAAATGCCGAGACTCAAAAGGAACTCGCCCCGCGTTCAGCTGCGACATATCCACTGCAATGTCCAATGCTACTGGCTCTCTCCTTACCCCTCCGTTGGCTTCCGATGAACAGTTCAATCAGCCGAACACACCCATCGACATATCCGGAAAGACGGCGCCGAAGCCCCTGCTCGCGAGGCCTCTAAGTGACAGCGAGTCGTCGTATTTCCTCCCGTCTCGCGAGAATGGCGTGAACGACATGTACGTCGTCCCGAGTTCCTAGCGGCGATTACATCACTAATTACCTCGGACGAGCAGGTACCTCCATATTGGCTTCCGTGCGCCGAAAGGGCTGGCACGGCGTGAACGCGCAGCTCTTGTATGGACTATCCTTCGTATGAGGCATCCCCTCCTCATGTCGAATGTGGAAATGCGCGATTACGACAATATACAATTTGTGTACGTCGATACGGAAGACATGTGGTCCCTGACCCGCGACTTACGCTTGCCTGCTTAGGCTCACGCCTCCCGCTTCGGTAGCACATGCCTTGGAAGATGCCAGGAACAACTTCGATGCAAGCTCTCGTAGCAAAGACGGTGTGTAACTTGCGCCACTTATTCAATGCCTCGCTGTATCACTAACGGGCCGCAATTAGACCTGATTGACTCCTTCTTGAATGGCCCGAGGACACTGTCCAATCAACGACTGTCATATCTGTATTTCTCAGTACCTGACGATGCTGGCACTTCCCTCCCCAGTCCCCCTCTTACACCGGATCCAGGCTCAGCCAAACAACTAATCGAGTCTTACGTGACCTGTGACTGGATCGTATGCGCGACACACTTCCTCGGCGATGGGATGGCCCTACATCAGTTCGCCAACGACTACTTTAGCCTTTTTGGAAGCAGCAAGTCCGATGATGAACTTGAAGCGATCATGCAGGACGAATGGGCCATGCGATGGGAGAAGATCCCGGAGGAGGTATTTCCCCCAGTGTCGTACTTTGATTGGTGGCTGACGTTCTGTGGGATTAGTGCCCTGTAATTCCCTCGTCGATGGAGGCTAGATTTCCACCTGTCGTCGGCGGGAGGTTCCGACGTGCTGTTGAACAGATCGACTTCGCGAGGAATCAGGAAAAGTCGATTGTAAGGTTTATTCATATCTATTGTATGTCGTGCTCAGCTAACTGGAAGCCCTTGTGTGTTAGGGAGGACATGCGTTCCCTAGAGCCTCTGGCAAACCGCGACATACGATCGTGCCTACAGTACCATTCGATGCAACTGAGACGACGAGAATGCTCAAGCTTTGTAAGGCTCGAGGCGTTTCCATTTCCAGCGTTATGTTCGCTATTTGCAACATTGCTTGGATTCGACTAAACAAAGGGAATCCGGAGCTGCCCATGTAAGCATCAAGTCAATTAATCATAACCGCGCCGACTTAACTTCGTTTATCAGGATGATGTACTCTGCTCTCAACATGAGACCCTATCTTATCGCAAACAAGTCGTTGTACGAATCCTATTGGTTCCTTGCCGTCGGATACTTCAACGTGACGCTACCTGGGTTCTTACCTTCATCGAATGTCGACAAGACGTTCTGGCATCGGGCGCGTTCAGCCAAAGATCAAAGCTCCCAGGCAGCCAAAAGCCGCATGGTTGTGTCTCGAAGCAGACTAATGTCCATTGAACGTGGTCAGCGAGCCAGAGGTTGGGCGAAGGAAGACGACGCAAAGGCAAATGGGACATGGCAAGCACCGCCTCCATCAAACAAACCGAAATCCTCGAAACCACCATCGATCGCAACCTTAGGACTATCGCTCCTTGGCAATCTAGATGGGATGTATAAACATAGCACATACCCGGACATCCAGCTGTATTCGCTTACGACGGGATCTCGCCAGCGGCCTGGTGGAATGCTGCTGTTCGCGTACACCTTTGCTGGGAAGTTGTGGGTTAGTCTCGGGTACGACGAGAATGGGTTCGAGGAGGAGACTATTCAGACGTTCTGGGACAATGTTCTTTCTGGGATACGGGAATTCCTTCTAGTGTAACAGCACTTGAGCCGATCGTGGACATTTGTGATAGGCGCCCTGTAGATTAGATCAAATTCAACCAGCGCTTGCCACAGTTGCTTTAGAATCATGACTGTCATACTGCCCTACGACATCTACGTCCAAATTCTGTCGCACCTCCCGCCTACAAGGCGAGCTCACGACGACGCCAGCGTCAAGGCACTTGTATCCTGCCTGCAGACGAACTCTGTCCTACGGCAGGCAGCTTCCTCGTCTATAATATGGGAAGCACATTATCGGAAGCGCTATACACACCTGCCAATTCCAATCCCAGCGGATATCCATGACTGGAAAACTCGATACTTCGAGAGACGACGGATTGACAAGAGGACTTTGCAATGCCTGGACAGTGTTGTCTGTGAACGCACCAACTGGGAGAGTTTCTGGAATACGGAAGGACCATTCAATTTCGAGTGTTGGGATGTCTTGGAACTGGAGGTGGAGTACAACGTGCCCGAGAAATGCTTGGCTGTTATCAAGGACCCTGTACGCGATGGCAAGCCTCGCTCGCTCACTCGGGGCTACTGGGCGCAGAATTTACTCCGCACAATTGCACGGTTTCATGCTCTCGGAGTTTGGGAGCGGCTTGTAGCTTCTCCGACTTCGGTCTCATTCACGGAGAGCCACAATACCCTCTCGGTATTCTTTGGGGTCTCGCCATATACAGTGAGCTAACCCCCTTCGTGACTCAGTGTTTATCATTGAACGAGTCGCAGCTTGCCGCCCATTTAGATGCATTAGGGACGAAATACCTTAACTTTGTCAAATCTCAGGGTATTCCAATTCCATCAACACCGTCACCTGAGTTTCTAAAGGAGAAGTGCGAATGTATATGTCGGTTCATGCGTGACGAAGGGTTTGGACCCGCGGAAGGTAGCATTACGTCCGTATCAACGCCGAACCCTCCATAGCTAATCAGTCGATTTAGGTGGTGCTTTCACTCTGACCATGAATAGTTTCCCTCATGCCTACTTGACCACTCACAAGCGGACGATCCCCATTTCACTCGTCCACATCTTCGTATCCCTTGCCAGCAGAATAGGTATCACAGCGTTCCCGGTGAACTTCCCCGGAAGAGTTCTCGCTCACATCCCCCTCTCCGATGGTGATGGCTTCTACGTCGATGTATTCAACTCCCACTCGAAAGCAATCCTATCAAACGATCTATCCGAGTTTCAAGGCGTTCAGACCTGGAATTTAGCGGGCCTTACGGCCCATGGACTAGACATGCTCGTGAGAGCTGGCCGGAATATCTATCACTCCTCACAAAGCGCACGAGAGTATACCGTCGATATCCAATATGCCGTGGATACCGCGTCTTGCGTTGCCCTTGCAATGACAGGTGAACCCGGTTTAGTGCGTTTCCTCATGCAGGAAGCCTCTCTTGTATCCCCACTGGACAGTTACGTCGTACTTCCCGCTCTGGCCAAGATATTGCACCCCGATGGAACTCGACAGATGCTGACCTCTGCGTACCAACAAGGTCAGGATGAGTATCTCCAAGGCCGAGCCCGAAGGCGTTCTCGATTAGAGCATCCGCAGGTCAAATACTTCGTCGGCATGTTCTTCGTCCACGCCAAGTACCAATACCACGGTTGTATCATTGGGTGGGAGGTATGTGTATACGGTGCTGTATGAGGCCGTGTATCTGATCCTTGCAACGACAGCCCACCTGCACGATGTCCAAACAGTGGAGAGACCGAAACGGGATAGATAACTTGTCACGGGGAACACACCAACCCTTCTACTCATCGCTCTCTATCACCGCGAACAGTCAAGGCGTACTTCAGACATGTAAGTCGAACACCCTGTCGTCAACGCCTATGCACATCTTGATCTACTTGCTCTTGTACTCAGTCGTCGCCGAAGAGAACATTCAACCCATAGCACTGACTTCACCGGACTTTGTTTTGCAGTGTATTAAGTTTCAAAAGGACTTCGGGGCGTATTTTGAGGGCATCGACCCGCATCCGAATAGATGGCGCATGTTGCTGAGCTCTCAGCTGCGCCAAATGTATCCACAGGATGATGTGTTCGGTGCTTCTTGGGTAGAAATTATGAACACATGAGGCGCGTAGGGTATTTCCATAGACATCTTTACCATACTTTCAATTCCGGATGCAATTGACCTCTTTCAGCCAACACCGCCATTTGTGCGTTTGTACAGCGTGATGGATACAAGTGAACATTGTCAGGAAGACGAGTAGTGGGAGTTAAGTCCAGTCCAAAGTCTCGCCTTCTTCCACCTCTGAACCCATAACTATCGTATAACGGGTGGGGAGTAGTTACGTTAGTAGAAGTAGGCACGGTCGATTTTGACGCTTACATGGTGGTCTACTGGCTGGACACGCTGGCGCACTGGCTGGCGCGCCGATATACGTTTGTCGTGGATAGCTTGGAGGCTGCGGGACGTACAGTTGTTGTTGATAGTGACGATCTTCCCTCATACTCGGCATATGGGGATGAGGGTATGGCATCGCCCATAGCCTCGAGGCTGCATCGCCGTACGGGTCTCCTCTGCGTGCATGCGGGAAAGGGGGCCTATAATCCGGCGGACTGACGTGGTAGTATGGGACTATAGGTGAAGGGTACATCGAGACCGGATCCGTAGGGTACATGGGCATCGGCGTCAGCCTCGGGAGCCCTGCGTCAACGGACCTAATTCGAGCCTGACTATCTCCACCAAGTCGCCCTGCATTCATTGCAGAACGAGACTTGTATGTAGATGGCTTCGGTCGAGAAGGCCCAGCTGCGCTAGGCATCGGCTTAGCTTGCGAGACATCCTTTGCGTTCGAAGGTGCGGTTTGACTGTCATCCTCATCGTCGCTCTGCATGCCCATGCGGTGCGAACCAGCAGTCAACTTCCGTCGCTTCCGTCGCTTGGAAGCTTTGGTTGAACTGCTGGATGGTTCTGGGTTGAGTTCACCTGGCTCTAGCTCGGCGTCAGCTGCTTTGCGCTTGCCCTTTGGCCCATTGACGGTAGGATTTGTTGACGAGGTGGGGATTTGAAACCCGGAGTTGACGTCTTCGTCATTGAATGCTTGCCATACAGCTGCAATCTTGGCGTCTGCCTTGCTTGCATAAACGCTATCCGCTACATACGTTTTGAACTGAAGCTTCTGCCCTCCCGCTTTGGCGTCATAGGTGGCCAACATGGGCAGTTTCAACGTACATCCTACAGCTATATGTGTTCCGGTTATATATACAATGCATCCCCACGAGAGACTAACTTACCGTCGTTGTCCACGCGATATTCATATGCCTGGACAGGTTCGTGGAGTAAGTTTGAGGCTTTGACACACATTGAGGATATCGTTGAAAGAACTCGCTCTGTTACAGCTTTGCGCATTGTCGGTGTAACCTGACGCTCGATTTCTTCCGCAACCGAGCGAATGTACGAACCGAGGCCTTGAGAAAAAGCCAAAAGACAAACGGCCGACTTAGCGTCATTGCGTTTGTGAAAGATTGGGTCCACCAGATAGGACCTGGTATGTTTCGGTCGACAGACACGAAGGAGGCATCCGTGGACTATGAAACGGAACAATGTCATAGATAATTGAGATATATGGCAATGTGCTTACGATTGTGGGAATAATCACTATTCCAAATGTATTGTGCACTGAAACGGGCGCCTCGACATGACTGAAGAGCATTATTGACATATGCTACAGGAGCACGCGGTAGCTCAGCAACAGTCGTGGCATGGGGATCTGGGAAGTCGGGAAATGGCTTAGGTAGAGCATCAAAGAAGGTATGCAAGGTCATGTGGTCGTTTGAACTTGATGGAGCTGGAGGCATACTGGCCAAATGCGGTTCTTGGGAGGCTCCGCTACTCGCAGACCGGATGAACTCCAGCACACCACTGTCGACAGCTTCGCGGGCGCATGTGGCTTGGGCCTCCGAATAGGAAAGAAAAGTTACATCGGTAGAATAAACTTCCAGTAGATGAGGGGAAAGTTGGACGCGTAACGCAGCACCGTATTTAGCCGCTCCTGAGCCCCGATTCTGTTGGTCGACGACCATGAACTGAGTCCATTGGGGAGTGACCTGTTCGTTGTGCCATTGCTTGCAAAGAGATTCGATTTTCTCGACGTTGTTGATGGTCTCAGCGCCGTCATTCACAAGGGCAGGTGTATCGCACGAGCGTCGTGAACTCGAGTTACAACCGAAGGAAGTAATGAACTCGATGGCACCTAGCCGCAAGGCGACGTTCGCCGCGCCGGTTCGAGCATCCTGTTTGCGTGAATGAACGAACTCCGTCTGGTATGAACGAGCTTGGCCATCAGGACGACTAATTGTCAAGATGCACTTCCAGTGAACGCCAGTCGTGTCATTCTTCTCTAGAAGTTCGTAGTTTATGAGATTTGGTAGGCTGAACGCACGGCTACAGGCTTGTGCCAGGCGGGTGATAGGGGAGATGCCATGTGGATGACTGCCTTCGAACTTCTTCCCCTGGGTTGACTTTCGCAGGTCTGAGAGGCAGTCGTTGGGTAAATTGTTAAGATACGCGTCCACTGTTAGAGCTCCAATAGAACAAAGATTTTGGGAAACCAGAGAGAAGGGATGCTGCGGCGCGTCCATCGTGGTGAGCGTTGAGAGCAAGGAGCTTTGGAGCTCGTGATCTTGAGGAAGATTAGATTACTTGACCCCGTGACCCCGTGGCACTGATTTACGCGTAGGAGCAAAGCTCGAGCTTGAAGCGCGATTACCATCACCATGAGCATCAATCCTCAAATGTTGACCCCTCGGGTCGCTCAGGTGCAGCAGGCATACTACAGGCCAGCTCAGCAGCAGCAGCAGCAACAACCGCAACCACAACCACAACTGCGCACAACCTCTACAGTCATTGACGATTATGAACGTATGTTCTTCGCAATCTCATCCAAATAAGTTGTTTACGTTTTTACTTAGGCTGGTACATGGAACCAACGCACTCTAACAGAATGCTTCTGGCTGCAAAGTCCGGTATAGACGAAGAAATCAACTGGGCTCTGGATCGCATATCAAGGCTCACTACCAACGAGTACTTTACAGTGAAAGGAATCCCGAGTCTCTTGGAGGCACTCTACGAATGGCCAGAGTGGTATGCTGAGGAGGGATACAAAGCCACTAATGATACCCCCTCGTTATTTGCGCCGAACCCACAAGCGGCCAATAAAAGACGGCACGCAATCGAGTGCTTGCACATTCTCAAGTCTGTTGGTCTCAACGAAGCTCATGCGCAGGAACTTTTGTGGACCGTCCCGACACTTCCGTTGGTAACCAAACTCCTGGAAAATCTGGATCCCACGTTGGATGCGCATGTAGAATTCGTTCTTTACGCGCTGGACCTACTACAAATCATCGGTCCAAGTGTAGTTCTTCGACCCCAGTCATCCCCAAACCCAATACCTCGGCTGAACGCTATTCTAGCACGATCCTCGGACCGCTCTTTGATCATGGGGTGTTTTTCTGCACTTTCGATATTACTATCCAATCCAGCGAATGCCTCCAACTTGTCGGACTCCGCGCCAGCCATCGACGCGGCAATTCGTTATCTTCCACTCTTTCGGGAGGATATTGGACTTGTGGATGAATGTCTAAATTTTCTATACGCGCACCTCTCCAACGTGGCAATGTCAACTGCTTTTTTGCTGCGTCCGGAGATCTCAGGAGTGTTGAAAATCTTTGTCAACATACTTCTCGCTGACCAAGTCGAACTTGATACATTAACGCATGATGTTTCCGGCGTCGTACACACTACGCCTTCAACAACCGTAGTCACTAAAGACCACGAACTTACCAAAGAAGAACTGGATGCTCTTCTGGAAATGCCAGAGCCGCAGAGATGTTACGAGTGGTTAGTAGTTCATCCCTCATGATTCGATTAGACCTGTTTTAATACTTCTGCTGACTGTGTAGGATGAAGACCATGTTCGTCGCCAAACAAGATGGAGAGCTTACTCAAGTGGAGTTTTGGAATCTCTACAAAGATATTTTCATGCAGTTTCAAGATCGGTTCCCCCTCCTTGTAGCGTCCGAGGTTATTAAGAATGTCAACTTGATCTTTCCTCAAGGCCAGGCGATGGTACTCCCGGGCAACCCTGCAAGATTTGTCGTTCGAGGTGTAGACCGGAGGAAGGACATTGTCGTCGCAGAAAAATTCAAATGTCGATGGGACCGCTCGATATGCGGTACGCCCGCGTTTAAATCAGCAAGGGAGCTATACGACCACCTACTCGAGCATCTGAAGTCCCAGGATATTTCCCCATGTAAATGGTCGAAATGCACTCAAAAACCATTGGCCGCCGCAGCCCTCCGAGTACATTGTCTCACCCACATCGCAAGTTCCCAACCAGCGCCACAGGATCCCTCACAGAGCGACATTATCACTTTACCATCAGCAACTTCACAGTACCCTATACCCAATCCGACGACGCGGCCGCTCCCACCTGCGAGGGATGCTGTCATCACCTACAAAGCCCCGCGTGTCGATCCCTCGTCTACGGCCTTGACTTCTCTCCTATGCATCCGCAGTCTGTTCCGTGCGTCATTCGCGTACGAGGAGGCTGCCCCACGGCACGATGCAGACCATTTTGGCTTCCCTGGCATCGTCGACGAGAATGACGACGAGGTTACGGTGTCGGTAGCTGGGGATCGTGAAAGGGAGGCTGCGAGAAGGGGGAGGAAAGCCTTTGTTGGTGTCTGTAATCTCATGAAGGAGGTCCAACTTCGTGACGAAACTCTGATGGCGTGGATTACTGAGATGATAGATACCAGTCTACCCTTTCCATGACCGTGGTCCTATTTCATCACCTCTTCGATATAGGGTAAATAATTGTAGGCGCTCACACCTCTGTACCTTATTGTCACATCTCACGCGCCGACACCGATGAACGGTGGGCGGTCATTATCATTGACCCCGAAGTTCAGAGCCATCTACAACAAACTATTACAAGGATCGAAGCCTTCGCAGATCAGCCCAAATGACTCCGAGGACGCGTTCTTCTCCCACCTTTTCTCTCTGGACGTTGATCGAGCGTTCCTTCTCCAGAAGTTAAATGAACCTTCTAAGTCAGCGTACCTCGGCTACTTGAAAGTACGTCAAAACTACCGTCAGTATGGACCAGTGCAGTGGGTTGACCATATCTTGTAAAGCCTCTCCTGAACACCATATTCCTACAATGTGTGAAGCAGTTTAACGCCGCTCAGAAGGAGGACGTGCGTCGGGCGCATTGTCTGGAGACTTTGCAAATTAGCTTGAGGTGTATGTTCAATAAGAATATGTCTGGCTGGGAAGTCATGGAGGTCATGGCCGGCGGTGTTGGCCAAAGTGACGAGTACTTTATGGTTAGTCTCCTACCCAGATACTTCGTAATAGACGTGGTGTTGAATGTCTTTATATTGTCAGAATTTCGTCGTGTTTATCGAGGAGACCATAGTGGATACCCTTATTCCTGGTGAGTGTTGCGTACATTGTAATTGGTCGTAGAAGTGCTGCTTAACGTGTTCAGCAAGAGTTAGGCATCAAGCGTTACAGGTTGCTCTCATCTATATGTGCGGCATCGGGCAGCTGAGTCCTGGAGCGTACTTTCTGAGGCGTAATTTATTTCCATCTATTGCGACAGTCAGTCCAATTTCGTTGGCTTTCATACATCTCGACGGTTAACCTATCACCGGTAGTTCATCAAGACACCCGATACCGAGCAGTTCACGTTCGAAGCATCGCTATTGCTTGCTCTGCTCGCCAACTACCATAAGTCTGACGCTGCGAAACTCAACCCGTATCTGCAGCGTATACGGCAAGTCGATGACAAGGATCTCATTCGGCAGATATGTTGGGCATCAGATTATGCACTCCAAGCTGCAATTAAGTAAGTGTCTTAACGGCATCTACCGTTTAGACATGCTGATAGCTGTCTCAGAGCTTACCAGGAGGTCTCTGATGACTCGCCTCCTACGTTCACATCCACTCTAGCGTCTATGGTAATATCCATGCGACCAGATAGAGCACTAGCATCGAAGCCTCTGGACCCTCCGCGGGAATTATTCAAGTCGCTGTAAGTGCTGAACCCCACTGGTAATAGCGTTATCTAAGCGCGTTAATACATAGGCCCATAGAGGCGACTGCGGTGTTACTCCTGCTGTTTGAGTTCACAAGGACAAATTCAACGTTCAATTCAGTCCTAATAGACTATCTATCGCCAGATCTGGAGAAGCCGGGTACATCAAAACCTATCCATGGACGCCTACCATTAACCATACTCACACTCTCTTCATATCTCATCACCCATGCTTCATCAACCGCTTCACCCCGTGCCGCCGCGTACGCCAATCTGTGTCTCAATGTACTGCTGGCATTTGTGGAGAACGGTGCCCTTTTGAGGGCGCTCACTCCCCCTGTTCCGCAGACTATTCGACTTTGTCGACAGGTGAGTGTTACCGGCCACGAATATGATTTTGGATGGGTAATTGATAAAAGCCAGAGGCAACCACTTTTACCGATAATCAATGCGCCTTTTTCGCCATTGTGTTCGATACTGGACTGCTGTGTTCTTTGGCTGCGCCATAACTTGCATAAACGATTAGACACGGCATCTTATTTGTAGGTTGCCTCTCATGGGATGAATAATTTTGCTGACTCTGTGTCTAGACTTACTGTTCAGATTTGTTACAGGGTCCTATGGGATTTACAGAATGGGCAGACCCGATTAGGTTTGTATTTACCCCCCTCACCTGCACCACCTTGCTAACTCATGTCCTTCAGAATATCATTGGGGCGAGCTATGGCGAGCCCTGTGCGGATTGCTCGAATTCCTAGTGGCAAAGCAAGATAGCTTAGCTACTACGGGAGGCGTCGAGCAATTGTCAAAAGAAGTGAGTAAATAGAGCTGTCGTCGTGGATCCATCAAATCAACTGAGCCCTCGCGAAGACCATCTTGTGCATCTATCTGTCACTTTATCGAGCAGATCATTTTCTGCCGACGCCTCGCTTAATACACGAATTCATAGTAAGCTGATGCACCTACTTGGGATACGCATACTAATCCACTTCCCTTAGTATGAACTAGTCAGATCGTTAGAATGCTTTCGAAAGCTCGCTATTCTCCAGGAAACGCTCGCAGTACCACAATCGCCAGGAAGAAGAGGCTCGAACTCCTTCGAACTACCCATAGACAGACTCGGTCGAATTATCGCTACTCTGCAATACTACGAAGAGAAGATCCAAACAGCAGATGCACGGTCTGCCAAGGCAGCGCTGCGCGTTTTAGCAGGCGAAGTGAATCGCGACGGGGTACACGGAACACCTGAGCAGGAGATCAGCGAACCATCGTATGTCTGGATCCCATTCAATGAATCCGTGATAACGCGCTGAATCTAGGCTACAGGAAGCAACTGGACGATGTCCTGACGTTTGCTCGATATGCATGCGCTGATGGGCTATCGTTGATGCCATAAAAGGAGATTTCAGGGTGAAATCGTGGGAAGGCGGGGTGCCGTTGCTCCGAGCCAGTGAAAAAGTTTTTCTTGACCCGTTTTGGACAATTGGCGCGCCGACTGTGGACTTTGAGCTCGTCGTCCTTATCAGCGAGCAGCATGAATAGCGCGATGTTCGTTGTTGTCTCGAACGCTCAGAGCCAAGAATTGATTGGATTTACGCAAGATATCGCCTATCAAACATCGTTCCACTCCGATAAGCAAATTTACTCGGTGAACGGCTCGGTGAACATTTAAGCATGACCCTAGCTCCTCTTTACTGAGTTATTACTCTTATCCCTCCATCTCCTCTTCATCCTCAACCACCATGTCTGCCCTGCGGTGGTCTGCAGGCGTCAGACTCTTTGTCGTACCTCGGGCTCGTCGCACGCCATGGCGAACGCGCAACTTTGCGTCGCTGAAGCCAATCTCATCTCTCTTCGCTCCACTGGATACTTTTCCAGACCGCCACATCGGGCCCGATGACCATGAGACATCCCAGATGCTGTCGGCTTTGGGATACGAGTCTTTCGACGCGTTTATTGCTGATACGGTGCCTCAGCAGATTCGTGTCGAAAACACGGTGACCAACGGGACAATTCCACCACTCAGCGAATCAGAGCTCCACCGACGAGCCAAAGCACTCGGTGGGCAGAATGATAAATTTAAGAGCTATATTGGGATGGGTTATCATAACGCTGTGGTTCCTCCGGTTATTCTGCGCAACGTGAGTATCACCTCCCTTGTTTGCGAGTACATCACTTATAGTGCCAAGGTCATGGAAAACCCCCAATGGTATACGCCATACACTCCGTACCAACCTGAGGTTGCCCAAGGTATGTCGTAACTTCCCCATCTGCATATTCACGGCGTAATTGGTCTTCTAGGGCGCTTGGAGTCTCTCGTCAACTTCCAAACAATGGTTATGTCTCTCACGTCTATGGATATCGCGAATGCATCGCTATTGGATGAAGCTACCGCTGCTGCTGAAGGAATGGTCATGGCCTACGTCAACTCCAGTCACAGGAAGCGGTCTTTCTTCGTAGATTCTGGGGTCTCGCCACAAACTCTCGCGGTTCTTGAGACTCGTGCAAAGGGATTCGGTATCAATATCGTCACGGGAAACATTGATCGGGTTCTATCTGATGATGCCCTTCGCGCAGACCTCTGCGGTGTTCTCGTTCAGTACCCTGACGTTAACGGCACTGTTAAAGATCTTGGCGCTCTGACGGAGTCCGTCCATTCCGCTGGGGGCTTGGTTGTGTGCGCCACGGACCTTCTCGCTCTGACGATGCTCAAGCCTCCTGGAGAATGGGGGGCCGACATCGTGTTGGGAAATTCAGCTCGTTTTGGTGTTCCTGCTGGTTATGGTGGCCCCCACGCGGCCTTCTTTGCGGTCACAGACAAGTTAAAACGTAAAATGCCTGGGAGATTGATTGGACGAAGTAAGGATGCCACAGGGCGTCCTGCCTACCGTTTGGCTCTACAGAGTACGTCCCACACTTCACTTGGATTAACCTCAAGGCTTACCACGTGACCGTATCATCAGCACGCGAACAACACATTCGACGCGAGAAGGCGACCAGCAATATCTGTACGAGTCAAGCGCTCCTTGCCAACATGGCGGCCATGTATGCTGTTTACCATGGACCCGAAGGCATCAAGCGCATTGCCGAGCGGGTTCACGCATTAACACAGGTCTTGAAAATGGCGGTCGAGAGTTATGGTTACAAGTCGATCAACAACGAATTCTTTGACACCCTCACGCTCGACGTCTCTGCCGTCACTGGTACATCCGATGTCGTACATGCCACGGCCATGGCCGCGAACATCAACCTTCGTCTTGTAGATGATACCCACGTTGGTGTCACTCTTGATGAAAGCGTTGGACCTATTGATATCATGGCTCTTATCAACGTTTTTGCATCCGCTGCTTCGCTTCCCCCGGTTGAAAGGTCGTCCCTCGCCTTGCCCGAGAAAGTCGCTATCCCTTCCCATCTACGCCGTTCCACTGACATCCTGCCTCACCCGGTTTTCAACAAACACCATTCGGAGACAGAAATGATGCGGTACATCGAACACTTGGCGTCGAAGGATATTGGCCTTGTTCACAGCATGATCCCCCTCGGAAGTTGCACCATGAAGTTGAACAGCACCAGCAGCATGATTCCGCTAACCTGGCCGGAATTCAGTAACGTCCATCCATTTGCTCCCGCCGATCAAGTCAAAGGGTATCTCACCGTCATTAAGGTCAGCTGGTGGAAACGTAGTGCCATCCACACCTTTTTAAACTTCAGCTGTTACAGGAACTTGAAGACGATCTTTGCAAGATTACCGGCTTCCATGCCGCTTCCTTACAGCCCAACTCCGGGGCTGCTGGTGAATACGCTGGTCTCTGCGTCATTCGCGCGTACCACGAATCTCGCGGCGAGGGGCATCGCGACATTTGCCTGATCCCTCTTAGTGCCCATGGCACCAACCCCGCCGTGAGTCCGTCCCGTCGCCTTGTGGATAGCCGTTAATTACTATTCAAATAGTCTGCTGTCATGGCTGGATTGAAGGTTGTTCCCGTCAAAGCCCTCGCGAATGGTAATTTGGATTTGGAAGATCTCAAGGCAAAGGCTGAGAAACACAAGGAGAACCTCGCCGCTTTCATGGTGAGCTTTAACAGCCTTCTCTTCCTACTCGAATCTAATACGTTGCAGATCACCTATCCTTCTACTTTCGGTGTATTCGAAGACGGCGTCCAAACAGTATGTTTCCCGTTGACCTCTCTTCCAGTTTCTAACCATTCGATGAAGGCTTGTCAAATCATCCATGACAACGGTGGTCAAGTGTACCTCGACGGTGCCAACCTGAATGCCCAAATTGGTTCCACAAATCCTGCTACCTGTGGTGGAGATGTCTGCCATATGAATCTTCATAAAACATTTGCGATGTAAGTTGTTGATCTAATGTTACCAGTAAGAGTTACTCATTGTATGCCTTTGTAGCCCTCACGGCGGTGGTGGTCCAGGTGTTGGGTAAGACAGTTTCTTTCGGACATTCAGAGCTGTAACTGACTTCAAAACAGCCCTATCTGTGTTGCGGAACATCTGGCGCCTTTCTTGCCCACCCATCCTTACCTCGCCCAACAACATGATAGCAAAGCCATCAACGCCGTCTCAGCTGCGCCGTTTGGCAGCTCCTCGATCCATCTTATTTCCTGGGCATATATCAAGATGCTAGGTGGTCAAGGACTCGCCGACTCTTCCCGCGTCGCCCTATTAAATGCCAACTACATGGCCCACCGCCTCGCTGGTCACTATAGCTTACGTTACAAGAACGATAATAACCGGGTTGCCCATGAGTTGTTGATAGATCTCGCCGAGTTTGACAAGGCTGCTGGACTCAAAGTCACCGACTTCGCGAAACGCCTTCAGGTTGGTCCGGTAGAACGCATCATAACATTCAATGAGCTCACATCACTGATATAGGACTATGGTTTCCATCCTCCCACCTGCTCGTGGCCTATCTCGACGTGTATGCTCATAGAGCCCACCGAATCTGAAACCCTGGAAGAGATTGATAGGTATGTAAATCGAACTTCTTCCTCGCAACTCCTTCAAACAGATCTTGCCCAGGTTCTGTGATGCTATGATCCAAATTCGTCAAGAAGCCGAAGATATCATCACCGGGAAGATGCCCAAGGATAACAACCTTCTGAAGAATGCTCCTCATCCCGTTCATGTCATTGCCTTGCCCGAAGAGGAATGGAAGAGGTAGGCTATGTATGCCAAGATGTTTCATGCCCTTTTCTCATGTACAACGCCCACAGACCATACTCTCGTCAAGATGCAGCCTACCCAGCGCCCTGGTTATTGGAAAAGAAGTTCTGGCCCACGGTTTCAAGAGTTGATGATGGTAAGTCCACCCCTTTTGATGCATCGTAACATCAATAACCGAACGCATCATAGCCTACGGCGATCTCAATCTAATTGTAAGTACGACGTTTGGTCATCGCTTTCTTGTTACTGACGCATCTACTCCCTTAGTGTGATTGCCCCTCCGTTGAAGAATTGGCTTCATGACCCTTTGAGTCCTCGTTTAGCACGTAGACATTAGATGATGAACACTGCTCTACTAGACTTTCTACTCCTCTAGAAATTCTTCCTTCCTTTCTAGCATGTTCAACCACGCACGCACGCACATTGTATCATTATCACGTCGATCTCTCTATTTTGTACTTACATGGGGTTTCTATCTAGTCTATACATCACTTTGTCCGCAGATCATCAGGTAACTTAGCCCAAAGTTCCGGTAGATACCGCTCAATCCGAGATGCTACCTCCAGTTGCTGGCCGGACTTTCGCGCGAAAGACATGAGGACTCGAGCTGTATCGCTGTCGGGAGCAATGTCTTCTTGGGTCTTCCCCATTTCTAAACATGCGATCTTGACGGCCTCGTTGAGCATGCCTAAACGGCAAAGACATTCTATCCAGGTGTTCCAATTGTGCTGGTTAAAGAGGAAGTTGTCTCTAGACAACTGCAAGCAGACCTGCTTCGCTACCTTCCATGACCCGGCATGCCCGCATGCATCCAGAATGATGCTGACACCAACGTGGTCAAATCGTCCGGATAGATACATCATCTCCCAGACCCGACACGCATCACCGAAACACCCTAGGCGTTGATACGTGTCCATGAGCTGATTTAATAAGTGAGCATCAGGCGAAATGGATGCATCGAGGGTGATGTGATCGTGGACACGTCGGACGGCAGTCACCAGCCTTGGGAGAATTTCCAATGGAAGGGGTGAATCGGGTCGCTGGAGACGTGTTCCGACGATGGCAAGTTGGCGGAGAAGGATAGTGTAGACTTCCGGTGTCATCTTGTGGCCGGCATGTCGCATGTCGCTGACGATCTGGAAATACCTGGGGAGAGAAGGAACGTGGTCCTGTGGATTGAACGACAACTTGCAGAACGCGTTCAAAACGATTGCATAGCCTTTAGCATCAAGGCCACCGCAAAGCTGCCTGTAGAAGTTGAAGGCCTGGTCGAGGTTTCGTGAATTCCGCATGAGTAGGACTATCGTCGAGGTAATGACGATGCTATCCTCTAGGGAGATACCACGGCTTTGCATATCGTTGAGCAGGCCGACAGCTTTACTGAAATGCTCGGTGTTTGGGGATACGGCAAGGGCTCGGAGTAGAGTCGAGTAGATCTGCGTATCTGGTCCGTGTGAATGGCGTACAGAGGTTTCGCCATCTTGAGTGCCAGCATCCTCGACTTGGATTGGGGATGCCTCTGCAAGCTCGCGGTATATAGCCAGGGCCTGGTCGACGGCCTGGTCTGTGGGTGGTAGAAACGTACTCTGGCAGAGGGCCCTAATTATGGGACCGACCAAGGCAGCATCAATCGCGACACCAGCAGACTTGGCGTCGTTATATGTGGCAATAGCGGCAGCCGTATTTCCCGACCGACAAATATTCGTAATGAGGATGGACCAGTGCGAGGCCGTGGCAGGGAGATTCAATTCGCGTTCAAGAAAGATGATATCCTTGGATGACCTAGCATGCTGGATTATTGCTTTGAGAGTCGAAGAAGAGGCAGTACATCCGTCCTTTTCGAGCTCCCTGAAGAATCTGACAGCAGCCTTGATACCGCTAACCCGGGCTATGGAGGATAGCCATTCATTCCATTGCTGCTCCTTTTGCTCCACCGAGAAGGACATGTCGGGAAATGATGCAAGGTAGTACTGGACAATCTCAACGCCTTGCCGAGGGAAGCCTAGCTCGGCGCAACAGCTGTGAAGTAGAGCCGCTACAGAAGAATCGTAGGGTAGACCATCGCTCTTCATATCGTCCACTAAGGTCTTGAAGACAAGGGTATGCAGATGGGAAGATTTGAGGGATTCACACCGTGCTCGGATGAGAAATTTGTAGGTTTCGTTTGTGGGCTTGCATCCGGACGCGGGCATGTGGACCTTAACTATGTTGCGCACGTATTTGAACGATTCGGTGAGCGTGCCATTCTCAATGTTCTCCAGGAAGAAATGCCATTGGTCTCTGGACGGTTTTAAGTTTCCTGATTTGCGAGACATCGTTTGTAGCCAGTTACACGCCGCCTGGATGTGACCATTGCGGACGAAGGCTCGCAATAATGCATCATGAATTCCGGTCGTAAGCTGAATCCCGAAGACTGTAGATATGTCGTCCGCAATTCCCGAGATAATCGAAACGTCGGCTGGTCGTTTTGAAGAGCCCAGAGAGTCGATCACAGTGATGAAGTCGTCGGGTGTGAGTGTCGGAGAAGAGGTATCGTCCTCGGTAGGACTTTGATTATTCCGTGCCTTAACGAGGGCCTTATATGAAGCATGGATCTCTGCTATATCATTCTTTGCATATGCAGCGGCCTTCAGCGACTTCACCAGCGCTCTGAAGTTCTGTGTCCTATTTTCTGGCGTAGGCCTTGAAATCGCGATATTTCTGACATGGTTCGCGGAACGGGCAGTATGAAATTCATAGGCTGTGCGTCCGATGCGTCTCAGACTGACACGAAGGTACATTCATGCATGAAATACTGTCACAAACGAAAAATTCATGAGACCAAGTGCCAGCGGAGGGATTTGACAGAAACATACCCATGCGTGTTCTTGGTGGCGAGCTGAATGAGCGCCGAACGGAAAATGTCGACGTGGTTTCAGTGACCGTGGGAAAGCATAACCAGGTGAACCTCCGCCAGCAGAATTGCAACGCCATTCCTCACTCTCCTTTGTACCGCTACCATGTCCGACAAACTTCGTGAATTCATCGAGATTCCTCAACAGTTCGTTCGGGAAGGCAACCAAGTACGTTGGCCCACAAATTCGCCTGTTTTCTCGACGCTGACCTCCTGGGTTCTGCAGTTCCTCACTCGTTGCACGAAGCCTTCACAAAAAGGTTTGCAGACTCAAAATGTAGCATGAGGGCAAGGACTAAACCAAGGAACAGAGTTCACGCAAATCTGCAAAGCTGTTGCGATTGGATTCAGCATCATGGGATTCATTGGCTACTTTGTCAAGCTCATCCACATCCCAATGTACGTGTTCCTAATGTCCAAACACCGAATGGTCTCATTGAATGATTACGTGCAGAAACAACATTCTAGTGTACGTGGCTCTCGTGTCTTGTGCTTCATTCGTCTCATGTGGTCTCCAGTGGTGGTGCATAGTTTTGCAGGTCTACCCATCGCGTCCAGCTCTGTACATGTTATTTGCTTTAATACATTTTCTATCATTAATACCCCTCAACACTATTAACTAAGTGACTACCTCACTACTACTACTAAGAGCCACCATCCCGTTGCGCCAACGCACAAGCACTCCCGGCCGAGCTCAGACTTAGCGTCTGGGGCCATGCTCGTAATGGCTGAAGACAGCGTTCCATAAACCGTCGCTTGAGGATGCTGGTAGCGTTGGTCACGTCAGGCTGCGCTGCGACCCATGCACCGTCGTATAACTCGGTGTAATGGTTGTGGACGAAATATTGATGCTCTCGATATCTGGCAGAGACATAGGACGGCCGGTCGGGATATCATTGTCGAGCTCCCGAAATGATTGCACTTTGTGTTTCCTCCAGAAGCACCATGTAATGAACAAGTCCTAGAGAAGCGTTAGATGTTGGTAAACTAAGTTAGCCATTTGTACTAACCCTTTGGGTACCGAAGACTATCACAGCGGTTAGAGGCACTGTCATGAGCTGCTAAGCGAACGTGTTCAATCTTGGATAATGGAACAACGCACAGGCTGCTTGAACCATGAATGGCCACGGACTCTCGGTACCCGACAAAAAGAAGATACCGGCACTGACAAAGGCAAAAACATAAGTTGGCGGCTACAGGTGGAGAGGAAGTAGACGCACCTCAATGTAATGATCGAGTAAGCATTGAAAATGCCAACGCGAGCACACATAGATGCTGATGTTTGTCGATTCGCCAGCGGGAACACCCTCGAAATGCGGGACCGGATGAGGCAGTATCGCACGCCGATAGCAACTATAACCCAATCAAGGGATAAGGTGTGGATAGAAGATGACAAAACGACTCCACGTACGCTCCAGACCAATAACCAGAACCAGGATGACAGTGCAGAACATAGGCACCCCGAATCGACGGCTACGTTCAGAAAGTTAGTCCACGCCAAATTCCGATGATCAGAGGAAACTTACAAGGGCTCCTTATCTGTCGTGCAGTACAGTGCGTTGAGAGATATCAACGATTCAGGGTACTGTTCGATCAACTGTGAGATGTGTGAATCAGCTTGGACTGCTAGAATCAGAGTAACGGACGACTTACGATCGCTGTTGGTAATGCAAACATGCAGAAGGCGACGTAAGGGAGTATCAGTGTCTATACCCATGTCGTTCAGCATTGGATGTGATGAAGGGGACTCGTAGACATACGAGTAGTAGCCAGAGTGTCGCTGGCCAACGGGGCTTGAGCGGTGATGGAGGGGATGGGAAGTATAACGCAGTGAAGACCTAGTTCAAGTCAGAACCTCGTAGAAGTCAGAGCTAAGGAACGACGTACCTGTATGACGACAAATAAACCAGCTACGGCTGCCCTGTGATCATGGATGTGGTAAGTCTATTTGGGCTGGAACGAATAGTGAGGTTAACACACATTGGTGGTGCGCCATGTACCATGATCGCTTGCACCTTACAGTCAAAGCTATCTGTGGTCACGTTATGGTAAATGGATGAATACAGCCTAGGAGTATACGTATAATATGTCAGGTCCGCTGTACGTTTAAAACAGCAAGGGCGTCGGCTTACCGAATGCAGTATGATATTGAAAAGATGATCCACGTTATGCAGAAATTAAGGAGGGTCGGATGGCGGACGACATTCTTTGCGAATATGAAGGTAAGGAGGAGAATCGGTAGCCCGATATGGCCACCAGCGAGATGAAGAGCGAAGAAGTAGGGCGCGAGATGCTCAAGGTTAGGGGAGGACGCTATGATGGCGGAAGCGGGCCAATCAGTTGCCGGGGATATTTGGCCGGGCGAGAAGGGGACTCACCAATCATCCTGGCTTGAATATATCGCAAAAGCTCTTCCTGGACGCCCGAGGGCTATCGTCCACGGTGCATAGGTATGTCGTTGCAGTGGGTGCAGAGTGTGTTGGGCGGTGCCAACCGAGGTGTCAGGGTAGAAAAGCGGTATATATCCAGTTCGGAGCCGCACGCGGTCCACCTGTTTCACGGTCGCAAACGCTGTCAAACGAAATCCGGGTGAGAAATGGATGCAATGACCAGCATGGCACTCTGCAACCTGCAAGACCTCGTCGGTTTAAATGCGGTCTCCAAGCGAATGTCAATCTAAACCTGATGTGATATGGTTGATGTTGCTCCCATCGTTGGTACAGCTATGGATAGATTGTGCCAGGCTTGACGCCGCAGAACCTTCGATTCATCATATTCCATGCGGCAACATTCGTAGCTAGGCCTCACGTGTCCGAAGGTGACAGCTCTCCTTGGGGAAGCCGATTGCAAGTGATTGTCTAAATAGAAGGCGTATGTGGGATATGCATATCCGTACCATACTTATCTAGGAGCCACCAACTAGAAGCAATCCAAAACGAGTCGATGGGGTCGCGATAGTGAATGCAGGCTGGAACTGTTTATCGGTCGACGGCACTCCTTGCGGAAGAAGTCCCCCGAACTTTTCGCCATCAGCATAGGGAATGAATGCCAGAGGCGGTTGCAGGAACGTCGCCAACAAATTCTGCGCCCGCAAAAGGTAGCTAGAGACACCCTGGTCGAGAATCTGTTCCGACGGGGCAGTGTCGAGATACTGAGAGCGGGTTGTCAGGCTAGAATCAATCAACGACAACGATGCTTACCTTGGTCCGAATGTTGGCGATAGCTAGAGACAGGCTTGCCTGAATATCGCCCCATTCCGACCGGGAATCCGCAATTTTCTGTAGGCACATTAAGTCTGCGATGTATTCTATTCGCTGTATTCGATCTTCATCTTCCAATAGCTTAGAGACGAACGAACGAAACCATTCTGCTAGCGGATCGGTATCCCTTTTTTTGCGATAGCCGTTGAGGCGATGGCTTAAAGATTGGAGCGCGAGAAGTGCATCCAGTAGGTTACATGACGGCGCCCAAACTACGGTCAGGACGATCAGATGCACACATAGGGTAAACCCAACATTGCTACAGACCTGCGACAGATTCAAATGATGTCGAAGAGCTGTGATAATCACGAATCACTTCTATTATCGTTCCTTGTTTCCATTGATCCGCGAGCTGATCGCTCAGGGTGCGCAAATTATCACAGAACGCTAGAAATCCAACGTGAAGATGTGTCTTCGGCACCAATGAGTGTTGTCAGAAACATACAGTTGGCTTCCCCTCTCTGGCAACCCAGGTCTATGGGTAGGGACGGTGTGTTGGACAGCCAGTCAGATATCCTAGCAATGAACGCAGAGCCGTTGCGTGCTATCGCGTAAATAATGTCAGCTTCGGAAAGCGACAAATGAAGAAGACGCACCATTATTATCGTCACTCGAAGCGGCTTGCAAAATGGACACTACTCCTTCACAGAATCCGTTTGCCTCAGAAAGATGAACGGCTCTTAAATGCTGAGCAGAAGGGCTGAAAAGATGTCAGGACACCGTGGCAACCACTTCATATACCACGGGAATGGAGAACTCACTTTGCATCAACATTGTCCCGAGATTGAATGCATGCTAGATCACGTTGCAACGATTTTGCACAATTCTCCAACGTGGATAACACTTCATCCAGCAACGCTGTGCGATACTCAAGCTGTTGTTGTAAGCGAGACTTGTACTTTCGAAATGATTCGAGGGATGTAGACGCAGAATGGAGGACCGGGAGTGGAGGCGCTTGGAATAGAAAACCAGTGGAATCCAGGTCATCTGGCCACCATGATTTAGATAAACTTGGATAGTGAAATGAAGGAATCGCACCTAGATGCTCTGGGCTGGGATTTTTATTGACAGTCGCCACGGCCTCGCTAACACTTCGCTTGAAGGCCATTTGAGCGTCAGAGAAAGAGGTCTTCCAGATTGATAGCACTCGTTGATGGCATATATCATCAAATATCTGCGTCAGTTGCCCATATTCTTGCTTCTCCAGCCCCGTCGAGGATTGTATCCAATTATGTACCAAAGTCCGAACGTTCCAAACTTCCTTAACTTCTTGCAAGCTTGCCATCCATTGCCCTGCACCATTTACAAACGTATTGCAAGCGTCTGTAAACCAACCTTGAAGCTTTTGATTGACTTGAGCTTGCGGAATTGTCGATGAGGAAGAGGAGAGGTCAACATAAGGTTTGTAAGAACGAAGGTTCTCAGGTAATAGCAAGAGATGGGCAGACGACGGGAGGCTTGTTAATAGGGAGTGCGTCGTGAGGAGGAGTTCGCTATTAGTTGACACGGATGGCAGCTGAGAGGTTGAAGAATCGGCCTGGATATATCGTAGTACACCGGTGAGCAATGACGGTTGATCGTGGCCGTCAAAGTATATAATCCGGGAAGCCTTCACAGTAGTTGTGATTGACGACAGCACTGTCTGTAGCGTCTGCTTGTATTCGCGTACGGCTGACGGTTTTGGGACAGTGTTGCGTTTACGCGACATCGCTGGTATGTGTCCATTACCAGAGGATACTTCGGAAGCTGGAGTTGAAGCAGTTCGCAGTGCTCTCGATCGCTGGGCTAGGAATATGTTGAAGGTCTCAACCAGAGGTTTTGAATCGAGTAGATGGAGGGTAAGGAGAGCAGCGCAAGCGTCCTAGAGGGCCGAATGTAAGTTGGCTTGTATGTAGGCTGCTATATCATCTGACCTCAGGTGGCATTGTCACTTCGCGAAGAAACAGTGTACTGCGGTGGATGATCTGTGACCGAAACTGGGAGACGGCCTCCCATTGCCGTTGCACCAACGGAAATTGTTCCTTGATGATTGTTAAAAACGAAGAGATAGATTAGCATAGCTAGCTCACCAGAACGTCGATACCCTGATGTTGCCATGCGTCTTCATCTTGCTCATCATCATTGACCAGAGCGCGATAGACGACGCGGGATAGAAGAAACAACCAAGCAGCAGTGAAGTGCTGTTTCTTCTCGATCAGCCGCCATAAGTGCTCCGGGGCGTCCAAAAGCAGTTTCATATGTGCCGAAAGCAACTGCAGCGTCTGAAGGTGGGCGTCAGCTACAGGCCGATAATCAGTTTACTGAATTCAATAGGACGCGTAGTAAATGTACTAGCCTTTATTTCCGGGAAGGGAAGCATCCTTTAGTTCAGGTGGCGGCTTCTGGGACTGGATAACATTCTTCGCCTCTTCCAGCGCCGCCTTGACACGGGTCGATGATCTGGCAATAGAAATTATGGATGTAGACGCTTGGAGAAGGTCGCGGTATCGTTCTCTACGCTTCGAGATAAAGTCTGTCTGGCGAAGTAGCTGGACGAGATATGCCTACGCACCCAACCATGAGCCTCAGCTCCTCCTGCTTCGCGTCAGCGTCCTCCCTAATTGCGGCATCGTCAAATCATAATTGCGACCTCGAATGGGGAGGCTGCGCACCGGAGTCTCTGCTGCATGAGCTTGACTTCAGATACGGGGTACTTCGTGAACATCTCATCTGGATCGACGTTGTACCCGTCTGTAGGCAACTTGGCCATTGATGTTGTCCGTGTGTGCGAGAGCCCCGGTCCTGCTTTCGCCATCATTTCAGGCTGAGCATGGCCATTAGAGTATGAAGGGCGAGACGACATGGAGGTTCAGAGCAAAAGACGCGACACTCTGTATATGCCGCTAGGTATGGGGCTCGCAGTGACTGTCGTGGAACGAACGAACGAATAAATGCCATTACATAAGCCGAAATCTGGAAATTATGAATAGAATCGAAGTCTGTATGTACAGCTCATGATAGCAAAAAAATCCGCGCAAGTGTTCTTTCACACTTTCCCTAAGTCTACTGAATCTACTTCTGAAGGGGTCTTGTCATTTCCACTGGTATGCGATACAGCGCTGCCACTCGACTCTGTGCGAGTTGCAACAGGTGGCGGCCGTGACCCTGGTGTTTGCGGGTTAGGTGACAGAGAGGCGGAAGCAGTGTTGGCCAGTCGCTGGTCAAGTGCTTTCAGGGCCATTGCACTGATTTTATTTTGAGTATTCAATAGCAGCTGCCGGAAATAACTTAAATGCGTACCGTCGGCGTTCTGCCTCAGCCCGTGCGCTTCCAGGTACTTGTGTATAGATACCTGTTTCAACATCGCCATGGGTAGTTGGTATAAGGTGGAGCTTGTTGGCGAGTGAATAAACGGTGTTGCCAAGGAGGCCGAGGGGTTTGCTGCGTCGAAAGTGAGGTCAAGTTACTTGGAAGGGTCTGGTGAACGTACTGAACAAGGGGCGGGAACCAGGAAAGAAGCGAAAATGTCTCGCTTCGATCGCCGTACGTGACAATTCCACCAGTAACGTCTCCAGTGTTCTTCTTGTAGAAGCGCAAGTAGATCCAGCTCACGAACCATCCAAATTGGATGATGATCCATGGGCATTGGAAACCAATGATGCACATAACGGTGGAGAGTGTTAGGTACGCCATTGGGAGATTCTGCTCGCGTATGTTAATAGCACGACCTGGTTTGAGTTGCAAGATACTCACTTTGACACGAGCCTTCAAGACGCCCATAACTTGTACTTGATGCTCGGGCATGAGTTGTGTGAACGCGACGAGTATGCCAATTTGGAGGGCCATTTGGCCGCGATATTGCATTCCGTACCTATGAATGTGGGATCAATTGATACCGATAGAAAAGTAGATGTGAAGTACACACAAGAGCAGGTCTGCATTTCGCAATGCGAAGTATTCTATCCAGTTGAACCCGAAGGCGATGATATTGGAGAAGGTAATGGTGACGACGATGAATTGAATGGTCTCTATGCTGCCCCAAATACGCTCCAAGTAGCGCAATGATATCGGAACAAACAGCATTGTCGTAATGAACTGAAAATACGTTAGCGGGGCCCGGCTGACAATACAGGTCGATACGCACCTCAAATATGTTCGTCTCGACGAACGCAGACGTGAATAGCGTCCATGGATAGAACAGACTCGATCCCGGCAGCAGAGTAAGGTACGGCGTTGGCCCAGCGCCATGCCATTGTAGCCAGGCGTAGAGGGCGGAGAATGCAACGGTAGCCGCAGTGAACCCACGCGTCACTGGAGGCGTCGAGGTGATGACTTGCAGCGGTGAGCTGAGGATGGCCATGTCGTCTGAAATTGGCTTGTAGACCGTCGAGGGCCTCCGAAAAGCCTGAAACGTCGGGAACGAGGAGGAAGGCCTTGGGAGTCTAGCAGAAAGATTTTGGGTCGGGCGTAACTGCTCTTGGGCGTGACTTTGCCGAGACGTGACCCCGTGACGTATGTGCTTCTTGCACTCGACCACCCATGTCCGACTATGATTTCCGTCCTGGGGGCTCCCTCAAGCTCAAGGGGGGAGTCGCGGAGGGTGGAGTAGTGAAAAAGTGAGTATACCTTCGCTGCTCTGGTCAATGGTCTCGGCTGAACTCCTCTCCAGGAAGAAGAAATCGAAATCCAAGTCGAACCAGAAGGAGACGACTACAGACCCAGAGCGCGAGCGGGTCAAGGAGTTGTTGTTCCAAGAGGATAAGGTCTCGCAATCTCCGTCAGGAAGCGGCCGTAACTCTCCCGCTGCTTCAGGCAATAACGGCCGCAAGACCAAAGCGGAGGAACGCTTTGAGGAGGTCCAGAAACGAAGGGTGAGTATCAGGCGTGTTTTCTGTCTGCTATCCTGTTGCTGATTTATTACTTTCAGCTGGCCCAAAAGGTGGCCAAATTGGCGCATAAGACGCACAAGGACCGCGTCAGCGAATTTAATACACATCTGGAGTTACTCAGCGAGCACCACGATATCCCCAAGGTAAGCATCAAACGGTCTTGCCACCCGTTGTTGATATTCACACCATCTTCTAGGTTGGACCTGGTTAAGACTTGTTTTGTACCTTCGTACCCGCTGTATCATCGTCGCGCTTCGCAATATATCTGTTCTTTGTCTACGGGTCCTCCTACGTGCCCCCTTTGCTCGTGTACCGTTTAGCTTTGCTGTATATTACCGCGTGGATGAATTGAAGTGTTATTGTAACATATTTGTACCGCTAGTATGAAAATAACCGAAAACGTGATCAATATAACCACTCTTGCTTCCTCCCTTCATCCACCTGGCTATCATCCCGCGTCGCGCACCTGCCACAACATGGCTGCTGCTCCTGCGCAAGAGAAGAAGCCTCACATATGTCCGCCATCGACCGCCACCCACCCATCAGACCGATGGGAGACCATGTTCGTCTACTCCTTTATATGCAAGTTCACCAATCTCCGGGGGAAAGTGGAAGGGCTCGAGTCTCCAATGGAGTCAGTGTTCTATTCTTGACAATGCAGTGCTCCGTACTGACTCTCCTCAACGTGTTTGCGGCTCATTCAGCCTGGAAGCTGCGTTATTGTCTCCTGAGGCTAGTCCTATACTAGTGGACATCCTAGGGCGTTTCATCCGCAATCTGAGACCGCAAACGCGTAATATCGGGTGAGCGCATGCCCATCCAGTCTGTCGACCGGGCACGGCCGTTTAACCAACCTCGTTGGGTGTCTAGGGTCGATCATATATCATCCACAATAAGCACCGTCATGGCTGAATACTTTAAATCCTCAGAGCGCTCCGTGTTCTGGGATGACGCCCTCAAGATGAACGTGGACCCGTTTCATAATCTCCCCGGTGGTTTCTTCGCCGGCGATTGGGATTTCAAGGTGTGTGGTCTTCTCCTCCTTCCAGAGGCTCAATCTGACATTTAGTACTTTGGCGCGATATATAGCTCAAAATATTACGCCAACTCGTGGAATTGCAGCTCTGTCACAGTCCGGAGATTAAGGCCACTATTGACCACGCCTGGGGCGTGGTTCACAACAAGCACAAGAAGAAGGATTCTGCCGCTGCGAATGGGGACCCCGATTACAAGACTCAAGATGGCATACAACTGATTCCTATCGGCCAGGATATGCATCGCAAACGTTTCTGGGTCATAGATGGTCTGTGCGCGTTCCTTTTCTCCGTGAACCCGTATTTGCGTGTATTTGCCTGGGGACGCCAAACCATTAGATCTTGCCATGTCGCCGGCCTATGCCGTCCCGTCTAAGCTTCTGTTAAAGTCCGCATAACTCACAGCAACTTGTGTTCTACCGTAGATTCGCCTCGACTCTATGTCTCAACGAATCCTTGGAAGATGTCAGCCACATTCCAGGCTGTATCGTCATCCAAAGAGGAATACCTTGCGATACTCGAGAGCCTGAAAGAAATTGCACCAAAGGAACTCAAGAAAGGCGAAAGACGGTCTAAGCTAGAGCAAAACCATATCGCCCTCGTTGCCGCCCTCGAGGCTCGTATACCAGCAATTGACACCGAGCTCGCTGTACGTATTTTCCTATACATACGTTTCATATTTCATAACTGACGGCCTTGATTATCGATTTTTCTAACCGTTGGTTATCACGATCTGACTTTCTACCGTTTTTACCCACGATTTGTTTTTAGAGGGTTTCAAGAGTCAGAAAGCGGATTGAAAACAAGAGGAACTTCACTATGCTTTCTGAACTGCGGGAAACGCGAACTAGACGGCAGACGAGACGGCCAGACTACGTTTACAGCAACGACGTGGTCAGTGACGTTAGTCTGAGAATTTCTTGGACGCTTTTGCAGCAGCTGACTTGTTATTTTTGGAACTCAGGATGATGCTGATGAATACGTCGACCGAGGCGACGAAAACTACGACGAAGAGTTCGAGGCGGACGATTTCTTGAACTTTCGGTCCGACACACCTAACGGCCAAGGCTCTCGTCACTCTGCCCGCTCGACAGCGACACGGCGTTCGACGAGAACTGCCGCCAAAAATGTCAATGGCAAACGTGAAGCAGAACCAGATGCTTGGGAATGGCGCGGTGAAAGGCGATCTACCAGGCGGCTTGCGCATGCCAGCACGTCTTCCGATCCAGAGCCACCATATAAGCGTGCGAAAACGGAAGACAGTGTGGTCAGCACGAATTCTGTCGGCGGTATTTCGTCAGCATCCATGGCCTCCGCGAACGACGCCAATGGTATCAAGGTGAAGAAAAATGGCGCGGCAGCGGTCAAGCCCACGGAAGTTGCGTTAGAGCAAGTCGCTGGGCGGAAGAGGAGCAAATTCTGGTATTACGCCGTGGAGCCCATACCCAACGCGCCGACGACGAATGATCCTGGTGGGGTAGATGGAGCAGCGAACGGTGTGGATACGGCTCAACCCCTCGCGAATGGGGTCAATGGAGACACGCATGTCTCTTCGCCTCCGCCGCCGACTCGTGTTGAAGAGAACAAGGCCATAAGTATGGAAGTTTGCGCTTCGACGGCACCTGTAGTAGGCTCATGAGCGCTGCAATACCCCCTCCTCATTATCTGGATGTTATTTACTGGTTACCCATCATAGTATAGATCACATAACACAGACCATGTACCATAGGTATTTTTTTGACAATATCCACTTTCCGTCGCGTATTTTATCCAAGTTCTTGCTGGAGGTAATTGAGTTTACAATCGACCAATGGCAGAGAAGTGTTTAATCAGCCGACCCTGATCGGGCTGGATTTGACGCCGGAATCAGGCCGAGGTCGCGACTTTTCCAAGGTGGGTTCATTCGGACGAGTGCCTTCCTCGACATTCATGCTCGCAGCGCCAGCCAGAGATGCGCTCTTCAAGTCCACAAAGGCTTTGTTTCGATTTAGAGGCTGTCTCGTGGCCAAGCAGAACTCGCGGCGTTACATCTCAGCTTCATCGAGAACGCTAGCTCGTCCGACCACCACACCGCTTCCCCCTTCCCCTGATGACCAGGCTCTCGTAGCGGTCTTTGACCAGCCATCATCCTCGACATTCAAGAAACCTTTGTTCTCGACTCCGAGCGGTCTATTTGGACACGGGGTGCTGGCTCACCCACGAGGATTGATCACTCTCGCAGAAGCCACTCTCGTGCGAGCACAAATACTCACGAATCGCATCCTGCGAGCCAGGCAGTCTCGAGATGAGCTGATGAAGGTGGTTAAGAATCTGGACCGGCTCAGCGACATGCTTTGCAGCGTCATAGATCTTGCAGAACTGGTGCGAAATGCACATCCCGATCATGCTTGGGTTGATGCGGCCAACGAAGCTTACGAAACATTATGCGAGTTCATGAACGTATTGAATACTCATGTTGGCCTCTATGAAGTGTGTAGTCACTCTGAGTATGCATTCATTCATTCCCCCTTACATGTGTTCTATTCACTCAGGTTCTGAAGGCGGTTCTGTCGGACCCGTCAATAGTGAACTCACTGGGGCCCGAAGCTTATAGTACGGCCCAAATATTCTGGAACGACTTTGAAAAGTCTGCCATCAACCTCCCACCCGACCAACGGAATCGCTTCGTTTCTCTCTCGTCAGAAATTCTCGTCCTCGGTCGGGAGTTCTTGAGGGAGGCGAACTCTGCACGACCGCCAGCTGCAATTAAACCCTCAGAACTCGATGGTCTTAAAGACAAGGGGATGGGAGTCAGGCTGCAGCTTCAGGCCCAGTTTACGCAGCGGGATCTCATGGTATATCCAGACTCGCTCCAGGCGCAGATGATCATGCGTTCTGCGCCTGCCGAAGAGCCCCGACGAAAATTATACATTGCCGCGAACTCGAGCACACCGCAGCAAATAGAGCTGCTGGAACGTTTATTGCGTGCTCGTGGCGAGCTTGCACAGCTCGTAGGCAAGGAGAGCTTCGCCCATATGACGCTGGGCGACAAAATGGCCAAATCACCTGGTATGTCTTTTCCTCCGAACGCTAAGTACATTCGAAACTGATTCGATCTCGCAGAGAACGTTAATTATTTCCTTAATGCTTTGATGGATTATACGCGGCCCTACGCCCGTAGTGCTCTCCGTACATTAAGCCAGCGGAAGCAAGCACACCTTCATACCCCGCCCTTCCCCGTCATACAAGCATGGGACAGGGACTTCTACTGCCCGCCCGAACCCCCGGCTCCGCCTATACACCTCCCCCCGCTAACCCTCGGCACGGTATTTGCTGGTCTCTCGCGTCTCTTTCGGCACCTGTACGGTATATCTTTCCGACCGGCCGATTCAGCCTATGGAGAGACTTGGCATTCCGATGTCCATAAACTCGAAGTTGTAGACGAGGAATCTGGCGTCATAGGATGGGTTTATGCTGACTTGTTCGCGAGGAGAGGGAAGGCTGGTGGAGCAGCTCATTACACTGTTCGATGTTCAAGAAGGACTGATGATGACGATGAAATGGGGGACGGTACATATGAAGTTGCTGAACCGCACCTCAAAGTTTCCAGGGAATTCGAGGCTGCGAAAAGGCATCGAGTACGCGGTAAGGACGGCGTTTATCAACTACCGCTTGTTGTGCTGTTGTGTGGGTTTGCGCGGCCATCAACTTCTAGTGGACCTACCGTACTGGAATGGCATGATGTCCTGACGCTCTTCCATGAGATGGGCCATGCTATGCACTGTAGGTCGCCCTCTGGTATCGGCATTTCGGCCTTATTAACCCTTGCGTTTCTAGCCATGATTGGGCGTACCGAATACCAGAACGTCTCCGGGACTCGTTGTGCTACTGACTTCGTCGAACTTCCTTCGATATTAATGGAACACTTCCTTAACTCACCAACAGTCCTTTCTCTCTTCGACATGTCCCCCTCGACCTCCCCTTCCTCCACGCTCCAGCAAGCCGGCAACCACCATCAAGACCCCTGCCACGCCATCGACACGTACTCCCAAATCCTCCTCGCCTCCCTCGACCAAATCTACCACTCTCCAACCGTCCTCTCCCCCTCATTCCAATCAACATCCGCCCTTGCCTCCTTGCACAACACCCAAGGTCTTATCCCCTATGTCCCGGACACATCCTTCCAAACCCAATTCGGTCACCTCTTTGGGTACGGTGCAACGTATTATTCGTATTTATTCGACAGAGCGATCGCTTCGCGAGTATGGCGTAATGTGTTTGAACACGACCCGTTGAATCGAGAGTTGGGGGAGAAGTATAAGAACGAGGTGCTGAGGTTTGGTGGTGGAAAGGACCCGTGGAAGATGGTAAGTGTGCTGCTGGATTCTCCCCAGTTAGAGACGGGCGACGCAGATGCGATGAAGGAAGTTGGCCAGTGGCGCATCGAGGACGAAGTTGGCTTACCTGGAAGACACTAGTCCTGATCTACTTATGTTATGATAGAGACAGTATGATAGAGACAGTAGTGGTTACGATCCTGGAACTTTATACATTCGTTGGATGCAAAAAAGTCTACTGGGTAAAAATACAGTAATGGCATGTGGGATATATAAACCATGAATTCCTAGATGTATGAGATTCGGCATAAGAACATAGTGCGAGCGGAGGGTATAAGCAGCGAAAACAAGTGTACAAAGTAACAGAGCAAAACAGAACATGAAAACATGGAAAACAGAGAAAACAACGAGAAAGAGGAATGATACAAGGTAATAATGATATGATGAGCTTACAACATGAAGCGTGAAATGAATCTTCGTCGACCCAGCCTCTCTCCTAACAGCCTGCACTCCACGATGGCACGACTGGTGACACCCGGCATGCAGCAGCCGGGAGCTTGATGTGGAGTCGAACCACCATCACCGCTTACTGACCAGCGCGCAGCGCCCAATGGCCAGTAATAACGCAGTGACGGCGTGTCGTCTACCCAGGGCGCAAAATCGGCGATACGCCGAAGACGGCAGACGTTCAGCCAGAAACGACCCAAAAACAAGGTCTTCTGGCTTATACGAACGCCAACTCTTCCTGCAATCGCCTAGCCTGTGCTAGATGTTCCTGATATTTCCGTAGCTTCTCTGCTCTCGACTCTGCACTGCCTCCGGGGTAAGCCGAGGGATTAATCGTATGTGCAACAGTAGCCGGGGTGAGCAAAGAGGATACGACAGGCTGCGTAGGAGGAATCGTGTGGGGGATAATCGAAGACCAATCTATGTCAAAACCTCCTTCGTTGGAGCAGGATGCTTCTGAGGCCGAAGAAAGTCCAGGTGCATATAGTGGAAGCGTCGCCAAAGACGACAGCCCATCTAATTTGTTGAGTTCAGTATCCTCGAGCGCAGAGCCAGTCGAGGTGGGCTTGCTTGGGATGGTGCCAACGTAGGGCCAACCCATCGTCGCGCAGAAGTCCAATTCGAACTCAGGAAGAACCGAAACAGGAGCCGGTAGATCGAAATCGGTAAAGGTGCTGAGTGAAGGGATGTGTATCGCTGGACTAGATGATTGCGATATTGGGTCCGGTAGACCTATACTCCAAGCCGTCAGTACACACGCACTTGTATGAGAAAATAGAAGCGACAGACCTTTGCTTTTGAAAGGCTCACCCTGTGCCTCCCAATCAGTTCCATCGCTCGTCTCGCCACTGGATACGTAGTCGGCGAACTGAGAATAATCGAACATATCCATTTTGATGGGACCAGTAGTAGCTACTTCATCGGTGACCGCCATGAAATGTTGGTCGAAGAACTGAGACCAGTCGAGAACGGCGGGTTCATCTACGGGAGAGGGTGATGAAGTCAAACATGACGCCGATGAGCCAGATTTGGGGAGAGGGTCTGAAACAACCTGCGACCTAGGTCTGACCAGTGGTATAGGACGCTTGGGTCTCGGCTCCGCATCAGGGTCGGAGAATCTGCGCTTCCGTTTAGGTGAAGCGTCCTGCTGAGGAAGGGAAGTTGAAGTATCTCCGGAAGGAGTTGAAGGAGGCGGTGTAGAACAGGCAGTTGATGAAGGGGATAGCGGGAACGGATCAGGGCTGTTTTGCCGACTGGCAGAGTAGAACGTATCCACCGATGAGCATGAACTTGACGATGAAAGTATTCTATAGAGTTCCCAGTCAATAGACGCAACTGAACACGCAAGGACAACGTACCGAGATCTCTTTGCTGGTCGCTCGTCCGCTACTTGTGTGTCGTCACTTGAATCTTCTGTCGATGCGCGTTTACGGCCCGCGATAGGCAGTGGCGTCAGGTCCTCCTCTTCACTATCCACGGAACTTGGTGTCTCGAATCTGCGCTTCGGTGACTCTGGTTTGGGTGAGGGGGATGGGTAACTTTGCTCCACCTCCTTCCACCTTCTTTGCGCGTCCCGGCTCCGCTTATCCTCTCGTTCGCGTTCCGATTTTAGTTTTTCCAGAGCTTTCTCTCTCTTCCTCTCCTCCCTTCGTCTCTTCCTATCGCTATCCGTCATGTCTTTTACCATTCTATCCAAAGTCCCCGCGAGCTCACTCTTCGTATATTTTTCTAAATACAGCTCCTTCGCTGCATTTTCCATCTCAACAAAGGCCATTCGTATATTAGCCGGAAGCGGTCTGCGTTCTTCATTGCTGATTGGCAGCTTAGGATCGTCGGAGAGGGCACGGAAGGCCGCGGCAACCGTATCCACCTTTGAGCCACTGAAATATTTCTTCGAGATGCTCGTCCAACCAATGCGGCGGCGAGCATTGAGAAACCAAGCGTCTATGTTTTGAAGAGAGGTCCCAGTCGCACGGGATATAAGTTCCTTCGTTTCCTTCGTTGGGTATGGATTGCAAATGTTCTTGAGTAACCATTTGTACGCGGGGGCGATGTGAGGGGGAGAAGATGTCGACGTTGGTTCCAGTGGAGGCGCCTCTGATGGAGAGGCTCTGTGACTGCTCAGGCTCATTTGCGCAAAAAGTCCATCGAGGTCAGACAAGAAACTTGACTGAAAGCTGTTTGATTCGGTTTCAACTTTCAAGAATGCTGAAGCCAAGACTTCAATGCGGCTTGCAGTGGCATGCGCAAGGGCCGAGGTGTCTTCATCTAATTCTTGGGTTTTCAAGGAGTCTAAGAGCGTTGACCAAGAGTCTTTGAATCGTTCGAGTGCAGGAACGCCTTCAATGATAGAGTGCAGCAGAGGTTCTTCGGCGTGTAAAAGTCGGTTGCGGATCTCGACGACAGTCATAGAGGATGCGGATTGTGAGAACAGGGCGGCTTGAGAATAGGCCTTATGGTGTTGAAAACAATGAGCGGAAATTGCCGAACATTCGTCCATTGTTCTCTCTTTCCCACGGTGCATTGGCCTTTACATAAAGTACACTGAACAGGACGAGGACCTTCACCGCTGCAATGGATATCTTGGCCGTTCAACGCATTTTAGACACCTGCCAATCCATTCAATCCTCCATACAACCGCGAGAACCCCTTAATATCCATGTTGACTCCTCCTGCCCTCCCACCACTCCGGCCTTGTCGTTCCCCCCACTGCCCGACATCAGATCTGACATTCACGCCATCGGCCTCTCCACTCAAGCAGCAAACTTGTTGTCCGAAGTTTTCCGCTCCAAATGTTCCCAACTTCAAGAAGTTCACCAGATGAAACTCTCCAAAATGCTCTCCGTTAGCTCCTCTGGACTGCATGACAAAGTGGCCGCATGTGTCCAGAAAATGTACATTCAGTGGGTAGCACATTTCCGAGCCGAAGTCTTACGTTCTGCGACTGCGCGATGCGACAAATTACGCTCAACGTCGATTATGCCTCAGGAAAAGCAAGTGAAGACGTCGTTCAATCATGTGAGTTTCTGTCTTTGATTCATAGACTACTCTAATATTCGCCAGGATTATGTCCCCGTTCTCGAGAAATACTTTGAGTACAATGCCTACCCATCAGCAGCTGATCGTGCGTTAATGGCACGGAAATCAATGATGACGGAGAGACAGATTGAGGTCTGGGTATGTACTTATCTTCCATTCGTTTGGGGCCCTGCTTACTCGGGTATTAGTTCCAAAATCATCGCAATCGCGCCCGCAAGGATGGCAAAGCGCTTGCGCGTCTTCGAGCCTCGGACCTCCTTCCATCTGACGTTTCTTTCGACTCGCTTGATGAAACGATGGGTGACCTTATCCGCCCGGAAAGCGAGAGACTCATGATGGAGCAACAGGAGAACGAAGACGACGATAGCGATGGGATTGAGTCATTGGCGACGTCGTTCAACGTCGCTTCAAGTTCACGCGCAGGCAGTGTGGATAGCGAGCTGGGAACGCCCGCGCCATCTCCACAACCGCAACAGCCGACGCGGGATCCTCTTAACCCGTTGACACCGCCATTTGCATATCCTGCCCCTTATGTCCCCCAACTACACACCTTCCTCGGTGCCACATCTCGACCCGCAGCGTTCGCATTTCCTCGACCAACATGGGCCCGCCAAGCCTCCACCACGCGCTCAAACTCAACTTCAAAACTTTCCCGAAGAGACGTTGACGCTTTCGCAGATCTATTCGCCAGGTTGAGCGTTCGCGAGGGCGCGCAGAAGCAAGGTCGCCGCAGAATCGCACCACTCCCGCAATCAAGAAACTCGCCCGTCCCCCAACAGAGATACACAAGCCCTGCTGCTACATGTGCGATTACTACCATCCTTTGTCCTGGCCGTCATCCCGCTCTCATTCCCTCCGTTGCACCTCGTGCCACACGCCGTGCGCGAAAATCCCCTTCATCAGCACCTCCTCCATACGAATCCTGGAGGTCTTCCCCAGGCGCTGGACCTTCGAAACCATCTACTTCAACATCATCGACATCGACAACACCATTTACGTTCCAGTCACCACCTCAATACTCGCAATCGGCCGCGCCCACCAGCCCACCAGTAAACGCATTACCCAAAGCATCAACGCCAACACCTCGCCGCCGAAAGTCTCCACAGCTTCCTCGACGCGTCCCGGGCAGTCCCCCGGTTGCACGCTCATATCCACAAACGCAGAATCAGACTACATCTCATCCCACGCCCCAAAGGTCGCCCCGACTAAGTCACCACCCTTACGCTTCTCCCTCTCGGGCTTCCTCTTCTGCGTCATCCTCCCCTAATCACAGGGTATCATCCTCATCTAGCAGCAGTGCTTCTTCAAGTACTCCTACAACACCTAACGGACCGACGATGTCATTACCAACATCGTACCCTACCAACACCCCAAAGAACGCCAAACCTACGTCACCGGTGTTCACCGCGCAGAATATTGTCGATATCTTTGGCGACGCAGCTACATTCACTTCGCCTAGTAGCCAAGGCTTTAGCGGCTTTGGCACCGCTGGGTTTGACTCACCAGACTTCGGGCGTATGCCAATGGGCAATATGTTCGATTTCAATTACAATACCTCGCATGGTCCGTCGATTGTGCAGGCAAGATCATAACCGTTTCCCCTCTGTCATCGCTACTCTATTTTCTGCTATTCGTCTTCGTTCTGCTCTTTGTTTTCATTCTGCCACTTGTTTTCGTGCCTGCTCCTTGCTTCGCTCTGCTGTTTTGTCCTCCTCATCGTATCATTTCCCTCATATATCCATACAGTGTACAACACTATACCTGTCTGTATTTATACCTATCTATTCTCCCTTTCGTTGAACTACGCAAAATGTACTGTGTACTGTCAAGAAATAAATGTTCTTGGATCTCACTCTTATCGTTCGATCTCAAGCAAGCTATGAGACTCGTTCATGATCACGATAACGACGAATACAGAGGCAAGAAGCCTCGAAAGCAAGGTACAAATTTCTGATGTGCACAAAGTACATTTGAGTATAGTCCATTCCATCCGATACTACTCGACTTCTCTCTCTCTACTTGATGAACTTCGACGCCTAGAAGAGGACCAAGTAAGCAAACATCTACCTTGTTTCGAACGTCAAGATACTCACCAATCCCATCAACTGGCCTAATCCTCCTGAATCCTTACCGCCAGTCGTTCCAGCGCCACTGAACTTGGACTGGACCATCAGCTTCATAACGGTCATAGCAGCGCCGTTGACAGCATCCTGCTTGTTTCCAGATGCTGTGCCCCCGGACTTGTCGAAGAGCTTGGTGGCTTCTGCCATGGCCATGCTGATGAGCTTCGACGTGGAGTCGCCCCCGGATTCCTTCTGGGGCGCCTTCTCTGAGCCGCCGACGAAGTTCTTCAGGACCTGCATAGCAGCGGCACTGCCGAGGAGGTTTGCGCTCAGTCCGCCGGTGGAGCCCTCTTCGTAGACCTTCTTGTGGGCCCGTTGGACATCGTCTTCATCGACGGGCTTCTTCTGGTCATCCTGGAAGGATCGAACATCGGTTAGAGTGGTTCCAGGAAGGAATAACGTCGAGGGTAGTAATTACATACCTTGTTGTTGTTGAGGAAGCTCAGCGCCGAAGAGAACAGCGAGCTATCCCCCGATCCGTGCTCATTGGCGTTACGGACCACCTCATCGTGATTAACTGAAAGAAGTTAGCGCTATATCATCAAGCATCGTGAGCGTTAGACATTACAGGAAGGACTGTTGCTGCCTCCTCCTCCGTAGCTGTAGCCTCCGCCACCACCGCTGTTGTTGTTGTTGTTGTTTCCACTGTTATATCCTCCGCCATATCCTCCTCCATAGCCGCCTGAGCTGCTGTTGTCATTATTGTACCCTCCGCTGGATCCTCCTGAGTTGTAGCCCGGAGGCGGCCTGTTATCCGGTGAGTTCAATTCAGCACCGCCAGTCTTGGATACGTCCGCTGCGATTGCGCCATGATATGAGATCCTGAGTTGATGCCATACTGCTGCGATGGTACTTACGATTGGAGTCGTTCGACTTCTTGTACGCTTCAAAGCCCTGCTTCGCAATGTTGATGAAAGAATCCTAGATTAAATACCGATTAATCGTCACCTGGGACCTTGAGTACAGATGGTAGTACCATGATGAAAGTCAACCGAATAACATTTCGTGAAAGGGGCTCCCTATATTCGTATGTACACGTGCTCAGGGTGAGCTAACAGGGGCGAATAGGAGCCCCATTGTTCTCTCAAGCGAACCACGAACGATACCAAACAACGAGCGTAAATATTTGCATAACCTTACAACAACCCAAAGAACGACAAAATGAAGGAAAGCTACACATGAGCGGCGTCAAGCCCAGAATTCGTATACAAACAACTTCTCCCTCTATCCCAATCTATTTAGTTTGCTCCAAAGACGACATGGGCACCGTCTTGGTCCCTGGTCAGTACGTTGCCATTGAACGCCCACTAAGAAGGACAATGAGCGATACTTCCAAAGCTGAAGTGATGTAGCCTTACATTGATGAATCCTCCATCTCCGTGACGAGTGAACTCGCCGGACCTGAAGTTGTAGATTTCATATCTATACAGCCGGTAATTAGGACGACGGTGACACTCTGATGGGAGGGGAAAGTATGTTTACCCAACGGTGCCTCCGATAACAAGGTCGAATTCTTCGTGTTTGTGGCCCCAGTCGACGCCGCGTTCACCGTCAAACTTGTAGTCGTGCTCGGGATGGCAGATCACCCAGTTGAACTCTGGGTATTGGGCTCTCATCTCTCTGACAAGCCCTTGGGTATATTCCTCGCGGCGCTACGGGAGAGACCATAAAATGAGTATTTAGTAATGGAGATGAATACATTGGACCCACCCTGTCATCCTGTTGGATTCCTCCAATGATGCCTTCGACGAGACTCTTGGTCAATGTCTCCAGTGCGTGATCGGCACCGAGTGAACGAGGTTTCGCGACGGGCGCCGCTAAGACAGTAGAAAAGAGAGACAAAACGTGAACGAGAGCGAAAGCGAGGATCTGGAAGTTCATAGTGAAGGTGGTAAGTCGTACGCAGTGTACAGGTGCTGAGAAGAGGAAGGGTGTACAAAGGTGCACTGCACAGGGAATGAAAGGATGTCGTGATGCAGCACTCAGATCGAATACGAGCAGGTTTTATACTGCAATCGCATCCCTATCACTGGTGCGATCTGGACTGAATTGACCATCTACGGTTATAGGCCATTGTACGGCATACGGTTAGTTCACCAGCATCGACTGGGTGTCACGACGCCTCGGAGGATGAAACACTCCCGCTCATCCCTTCGTCCCTGTAGCCTGCATGTCGACCACCTGGCAGCAAACACTCATTCCGTTAGCGAATCTATACATCGAAGTAAAAAGAACAAAGGCTCCTCGTCACCAAGGCAGCTGAACCCGCATGGAAGCTGAGTTCCATTCAGTTTGCAGGGACGTACTATCGTCGGTCGATGAAACATATTTCTGTTTTCGGAGGGTTGTACAGATTCAGTGGAAGCGTAAACGGTAAACGATGTCGAGTTGGTGTCGACCATCAAATGCATCAAACAACAAGCGCTGGTCGGTAGGAAATGAACATGATCGCAGGGAGGACAGGGGATGGGGAGGTTGGATCTCCTCCGATAACATTCAGATTCCGGGCGAGGCTGGCGCCGGCCAAGACGTTTCAGTCCAAGTCGCGGTATAACCCCGCATCCAATTTAGGTACGTGGAGGAGACGCGAGTCAATCATTGTCTAGTTTAGGCATGAGTAGGGATGTACCGTTACTCTGTCGTTGAATCAAGACGCACCATTGTGTTGCATAATATAGCCTATTTTGTAGTGATCCCTCAGGCTGATGCTACTAGAAAGCTCGACCCAAAGGACTGGAAAACATGGGAGGCTGATCCTTGTCGAAGCCAGATCGTACAATGAGAGCAAGTACCGAGGAAGATCATAAAAAACAGGTGTCCAGCAAGATGGAGGAATCAGATATTAGATGTTCCCTCCAGGAAAGATGACCATACACTGAGACTCAATCGCGGGTCTCTCGACCATAAGAACGACCATGCGATCTCCTGTCATCATCCCTATCATCCCTATCATCTCTATCATCTCTATCATTTCTATCGCTGCGCCTATCCCTATCGGAATCATCCCTCGACCCAAACGATGATCCCCCAATCGCCTGCTGCATCGCGGAATGGGCGGCCATGTCCCCAGCAGAGTGCTTTGCTTGGTTGAGATGCGGTTGCGCGCCCTTCATACCAGACTCGTGCGCCGCGAGTAAGAACTCTTTCGTTGATTCCATCAAGGACTCTGCTCCTTTGTGGATCGCTTCTTTGAATTGGGCTTTGATAGCATCGGGGTCTGTGCCCGTGCTGGTTGAAGGGGAAGTATGTTTAGAATCTGACTCGTTTCTTCCGGTCTTTGAGTTCTACCGCGCCCTCTTCAGGATATGTGAGCTCTAGGACGATATCTTACCATACCTCGTCTACAGGGAATTGATGTTGAGTAGCGTGTGGTCAACAACGGACTGCTTACTCTGAGAACTACCATTGTAGGCGTCAAAGCCTTGCTTTGCGAGGTTTACGAGATTGTCCTTTTCACCACATATGAGTACTAAACGCGTCTGATCAAACTTGATACACACCATGGGGTGAGCTCGAGTGCTTGGTGACTGTGGCAGGTTGATGCAAGGGACGCTCAGGGTCGCCCCCTTAGGCAACGGTTGCTCGAAAGGAGTAAGCTTTAAGGAGTCCAAGTGAATAATGCAATAATATGGCAACTACGTGGTGATACATGATCTACATCCTTAGTCCTCCCTCGTTCCGACTGCGGGTCCAAGGTTCGTGGTGGCGTAAGGTGTATCTATTGTCTCTTTCCCTACTTGTAGCGGAGCTGAGCTGGCCGGAATTCCAGTAGACGAGGCCGGTGGTTGTATGCCTCCGCTGGGAGGATGTATGGCATTCTTAGCGTTTTCGATATGAGGGTTGGCCGCTTCAACGCCTGCCTGATGCGCCGTAGTTGCGAATTCCTTTGCCGAATCGAGAGCAGTGGTGGCGCCTGATTGAACGGTGGACGCGATACTGCTCGCTGTCCACACTACTGAATCAGTAAAAGAGGTCCCGTTGCCTCCCTCTGTAGAACCGCCTCCGCTAAGGCTAGTTGGCAGATACGACTAGGTCTCAATGAGAACGTGGTCTCCAAAGACTTGATGCAGCTCATACCTGAGCTGTCGCAAGGACGTTGTTTGCCAAGGTCTTAGCCTGTTCTACGTAGCCTGCTCCAACTGCCTTCGCCTCTTCTACATCGTGTTGTCCCTGCCCAACCGCTTCATTGGTCTTCGCCGTGACTTCATGACGAAATTGAGCAGCCGCTGTGTTGGGCTCGCCTGTCCATGCCTGTCCATGCATCTGAATACCTTTAGCATATTGTTCCATCAACTTCTGCCATGCTCACCTTAGCAGAAGAAGCTGCTTGTTGGGCGGCTTCATGGGCTACCTCGACGTTGTGGCCCACTTGATTGCCCACCCCGTTCTCTTGCGCCTCCATATGCGCCTCGCCTGCTGTAGTTTCCCGCTGCACGCGTCTGCTAGGGCTAAGTACTGGGAATTTCGAGAACAGCAAATACACTCACTCAATTCCATGAGGCTCGTTCGCGTTCAAAATTTGTGATGTTTCGGCCATTGTGGTGGTAAGAAAGAATGTTTCTGGGGCATCGTGAAATGCTCCGTTACCTTTATATATGATTCCGAGACCTCAAGTGGGGTAAGGATGATCAGCGGTGACGTCACTTCGTCATCGGACAGGTATACAGTAGACTGTCCGCATAAGGCAACAAAATGAACTAATAAGGAAATGTCTCATCTATTGGTGTAGGGGAATACAGACAGAGGCAAGGAGAGGCAGAGCAACAGTGGTGTGCATTGTAAACGAAATATAAAGAGTTGCAATGAGAATGACAGCAGCGTGATGAGGAGAGGGAGAGGACGCGGACATTGAAGGGTATATCATCGAACATATACGGAACAAAAACAGACAAGTGCGCATGAGATTTTGGGAGAAGCGTTGATGGAACGTAAAAATGTATCAAGGTTCGAGAAATTGCTAACGAAGTGCAGTAAACGTCCGTGACTGCTACAAACTCAAATGGCATCAACTTGGTCATCAGACATCGGTGGGAGATCGACGAGCAGCCTCGTCTTCCCAAGAGCCCATCTTCAAGAACCGGGCGAGAACCTCCTCCGAGCTCCTCTTGAACAACTCAACCCCTCTGGCGGGGTCCCAGACTCTGCTCGTCTTCCTCAACGTGGATGTAGAGGTGGATGGTGAAAGAATCGACGCTGGCGGCAAGGAAGACTGCTGGGTGTCAGGTGGTGACACGGGTCCAACCGACGACGGTGTAGATGTCGTAGACGAACTCGACTGCCTTCTGGATATGGGCGAGGCAGGCTTAACCTCTGCAGCTCTAGTAGGCTCCACCCTCAACCCAGCCACCTTAGCCTGCGGGCTCAATACTGCGTGCCTAGCCTGTGGACTTTCGGCTGCAGGTTTAATTGTCGCGGCAGGCGAAAGTACCGTGGTTGGGCTTTGTGCAGGAGCCGACACCTTGCCCTTGGGGGTCTGAGCTCCACGAGGAGTAATGCGACCTGGCGGCGGCGACGTAGGGAAGTGGAACTCCCGGGGAGATCGCACACCAGGTGGGACAATGGTAGGCGCATCAATTTCGGCGGGGGACCCGGTTTGGAAGACAGTTGGAGAGCCTAGAGGTAGTTCCGTTCCGGTACCAACATCGTGAACCGCAAGCGGAGGCAATGTGCTTGTGCTCGTGGCAGGTGTCCACTGCCTCTTGCCCATCCCAGCGCTTGAGCGTGAAGGTCTTCTCTCGGTCCTCTCCGTAGGTGAAGGCGTCAGAATCCTTGGCGGATCCGTCGAAATAGATACCTGTACAGCCTGACTCCTAGTCTCCTTCGGAACTGTTTGCACGCCTCTCACACGGTATTCCTTCCTCTTTCCCTTGATAATGTAACTTGCAGAAATAGATCCACTGCGCGATCTCATACGCGACGACGACGACCTCGAACTGAGTTCTGGGTCGCTATCATCACCCCATTTACCAGCAATCGGCTCCTTGCTGTTTTCATCGTCACCTTCGTCCTCGTCGTCAGCTTGACTTCCCTGCTCCGCCGCCCTGTCGTCCCAACTTTTGGTAGAGTCCCGACGCCGCCGAACGGGCTCCAAAGTCGGAGGAGGTTGAGAATGAGAGAAATGGGAGGGACGAACTAGCTTCGAAGCATACCGTTGAATACTGGGGACAGTATCCCAAGCATTAGAGAACGCGAGGTTAGCTGGCAACCCATACACCGGTGAACGAACTGGGGACTGGACCGCAGGCTGAGCTGGTGGAGGTGAAACTGGTTCTTCCACTGGGGGAGCAACCGGAGGCGAAGACGGCTGAATGAACTGACCAGGAGGCGGCGGCTCCGATGCAGGGAAGACGCGTCCAGGCATATGTCGCGGTTTCTCCTCCCACGGGAAGACTTGTTTAACCTTGTTCACGTCAGGCTGGGGTGGAGGAGCGCCCTCTTCACTTTCGCCTGTAACCTGTCGGTAATGCCCTTGCTTCCACAGGGTATCAGGGATCTCGGCTGGAGGAAGGGGTTGGAAGAACCCGCCGCGATCTGGCATAGACGTAGCAGTGTGGTGGACTTGATCATTCTGCTTTCCGGGGCCTTGATCCCAGATATTAGGGAAATAGGTGTCAGAAGGGAATGCATCTGCTTTAGGTGGGTCTTTTGGCGGAGGTTCAACGGCCGGATTCCAAAGAAGCATAGGCGGGGACGGCGGACGGGGGCGTTCCATGCGGTGATGTTCAGCTGGTTGTTCATGGTGCTGTACAGGATGGTGTTGAGGGGAACCGTGTTGGGGAGAATGGTGCTGGTGTTGAGGGGAATGATGTTGGGGTGAATGATGCTGAGGAGAATGCTGGGGAGAGTGCTGAATGGGATGATGATCATGTTGAGGAGACCGTCGCTCCCGATGTTCGTGAACAGGATGCTCATGTCGTCGCAAGTGAGTTTGAGAGTCATTGGTACGATGTTCGTGAGTCCGACGCGGCGCGTGGTGAACATGCCCATCGTCTTCACCTCCTTGGGATTCAGACAAATAATAATCCTCGGGAATCGGTTGCGGATAACGATCCCAAGGTTGTTCACCCCAATGTTCTTCCGTCTGGCCTTCAGCAGGACGTGCCTGATCGTGCGGGGCCCCGTAATCCTGAATTTGGTGTTCCTGCGAACCATGATCGACGTGCCCTCGTACCTGTTGGAAATAGCTTTCTCTATCGCTCTGCCTGATTGAGCCAGGGGTCGACGCCGGGAGCGAGTGAGGCGGGAGATGCGGGGAAGGTGGGTACTCGTTAGGACCAGGCGTAGGGAAGGTGCTCGTGCGTGGAGGCGACCAGTGTTCATGCTGATCAAGAGGAATTGAACGGGCCATCGGCGTAGAGTAGGCAGATACATCAGATCCAGGTTTATCTTCGACGATGGGCATGGGGCGCATCAAGTCAAGTCGGCCCTCGAGAGGCATACTCCTATACTCTCCTTCCCCTCGAACCGTAGGGTAGAACGACGCCGCACCTGTACCTTCTATAGCCATTCGTCTGAGGTCCTCTAATCCGAGAGCACCACCAGCGGGAATGGTACTTTGGAAAGCAACTATAGAACCAGCTGCGGGAGCATTCGAGAAGTCATCGCTCCAATCGGTAGCAAAGGTACTGTGCGTATCCATGCCAGAATCATAAGCAGGCATTCCCCAGGTAGATTGGGTTTGGAAGAAGTCGAAGTTCTGTTCGGGAGCATCCTGGGGTACACGGTAATGCCTGTCGTAAACTGCAAACCATCGGTCAACCAGAGAATTATAGTCGTAGGCTCGTTGTATTTCGGTGCCCGGATCGGAAGGTTGAGAAGAAGCGAAGGGGGCCCGATAAGCAATAGCGTTCCAAGGTTTGTTCGGTCCGATAAAGTGTATAGCTGAGATTTTGGAACCATACCGCTCGTAAGCTGGTGCATAACTGAGGGAAGTAACGAGACGATTAGTTGAAACCTGGGACAGCGACGAGGAAGAGTCACGGACGTATACGCAGCGGTCGGAGTGGTATTATATGTGAAGCTGAGCCTATGCCAATCGTCTCCACGCCATTCATTAAGAAGGCCTTGATCACCTCCGTCCCAACTACCCTTAGTTTTTAACAATTCATTAAGTTCTGTAAATTTGGCTTCGCCCGGGGTTAAGAGGAGGACCCCAGAGTTAAATATATCGGGCCAGCCAACGTCCGGAACGGCTGCAAACTCGTGAGGAAGAGTGAACAGATGAGAAAGTGGGCGAATGGGTAGAACGTCGGCGTCGAGGAACACGATTTTTGAATACTGGATGAGACGGAAGACATGTAATTTGGTAAGGACAGTGTTGAGGTCTGGGCGACCTAGAATGCAAAATGGTCAGAACGGAGTCAGTTGCACTGTCTGATATGACGCGACTGCAACAAAGGAAAGGCAATGCCCGAGATATCGAAAGGGGGTCATGTGTTTGAATTCTAGGCTGGACGCGTAGAAAAGTGTGGAGCATCGCAGCGACATGCTTGCAAGAAGGGCACCATTCACCGTATACGCGTCAGGGGGTTCGTTGGCACAAAGGAAGGCAAACAGCAAAGTAAATGCATACCTAGTAACCTCAAGCCAGAATCATCCTGTTGGACTATGGTTTCGACACCGACGACGACGTTGAATGCTCTTCGGAGAAGCTTTATTGAGGACACGTCGACGTTTTCGGGAGTGACCAGACAGACAGTCTCAAACTCGACCTCTGGTGGGAGAACAGGAGAAGGATGGACATCCTTGAGGGCGGCGGCGAGGGTGAGTGCGCCTGGGAGGTAAGCGTCCGAAGTTACGAGGGTGACGAAGGCATACGACGTTGCCATTCACTCGGTCGACGCAGCGCACAACGAGCACGACCGTCCTGCTTGAGCCAGGTGAGATGGCTGGTCGGGTTGAAGAGTTGAACGAAATTAATGGAAGTAACCGTTCACAAGGCACAGGTCAATACAGACAAACAATATCGGAGGCCCTTTCCGATGAAATTTACTCAGTTCTTCGTCGTGCGTGAGATCTTGGAGGAGCTTGAGAGGGTTCAGAAGCGAATGGGACGCTCCAGAAGGGCCATTCGAGAAAACGAGAAATATTCGTGATTCTCATCGCCAGGCCACCCCTGATGTTGATAACCTCGTGGGTCACGTCAATGCTTGTTAGGCGCCCATACCGCACGATCAGATTTAGCGCCCGATGCCTTTTTGCTGCCGCCTTTACCAAATGCAGCGCGTCGCGTCGGTGCCTCGTCGGTGCGCATCGCGGCTGGCGCACCCCTCCTTCTTCACCCGCCACCCGCCGCCGCCCCGATTCAGACGCGCTCTCATATGGGTTGTGCCCGCAACGTGCGGCGTTGCGCTATATCTCTCTTCGCAGCCCAAGAAGCCTCCGGATGTATTTGCTTCGCCTGCACTGGTGCCCTGCCGAAATTCTATCGTCCCGACGATCCTTTCCCCAGCAGAACCAGATAAGCATATCCTTAGGCGAATACTGGATATCTTGCGAACACGAATATGGGAGCCAATCCTTACTGCAAAGCGATTCGTTCGACTATTCATACTCTTCGCGCCGGTCATTATATGCACTCCAATGCTGTTGATCGGGAAGCCAGAGAAGCGACTTTACGGCGATAGATGGGGCGCGGTTTGGTGGTATGGGCTTCTTGTAAGCCGAATGGAGGCTGCAGGCCCGACATTCATCAAGGTGAGACCTAACCCCATCCCCCTCGTCGGCATTTGACCATTTCGCAGCTAGCACAATGGGCGGGATCTCGGACGGACTTGTTCCCGACGCTGTTATGCTCCCGCCTCAGCATGCTTCACTCTCAGGGGAAACCCCATGATTTCCGATACACCAAGGAGGCCATAGAGAACGTGTTTCAGCGGAGGTTTGAAGATGTCTTCGAAGAGTTTGATGAATCGCCCATTGGGACCGGTGCAATAGCACAAGTTTACCGTGCAACCCTCAAACAAGACCTCATCCCGCCGTCTTACCTTGGGCCTCGTCGGCACCACTCCAGCAAGCATCCTGCAGCGGCAGCTATCCTTGACAATGTTAACCAGCTCCCACCCTCGGTCCCCAGCGCTTCTGTCGCCATCAAAGTCCTTCACCCGCATGTCAACAAAACGATAACTCGCGATCTACGTATCATGTCCTTCTTCGCCCACTTCATCGCACTCTTCCCCGGTATGCAATGGCTATCGCTTCCGGAAGAAGTAGATGTGTTTGGGGAAATGATGTTCCAGCAGTTAGACTTGAGGCATGAGGCAGAGAATTTGAAGGAGTTTGAGAATCATTTTGCGCCGAGGCGAGTACCGATCTCATTCCCTCGACCACTAACGGTGTGGTCGACCAAAGAACTTTTGGTAGAAGAGTACGAGCACGCGCTGCCCTTGGAAGTTTTCCTCAAGAATGGCGGTGGTCCGTTCGATGAGCAGATTGCGACCGTAGGTTTAGATGCATTCCTGGTCTGTTGATTTCACGATCATATATTCCGCCGTCTGACTTCCTTCTAGAATATGCTGCTCCTCGACAATTTCGTTCACTCTGACCTTCACCCCGGCAATATCATGATCAAATTTGCCAAACCACCCTCTACGCGAGCTCTCCTGAAGAATCTCTGGGCCAGCCTCTTCCCCAAGCCATCAGTCAACCCTTCTACTGGCGCCGATCTTCCATCTTCCCCACATTCCGACGACCTCTCCGAATCAGACGACATTGTCACACAACTACGTTCGCTATCTTCCACACCAGTAGCTTGGAGAGCAGAACTTCAGTCGCTCTTCGAGAAGGGATATATTCCTGAAATTGTCTTCATCGACGCAGGTCTGGTGACAACGCTGGATGATAAGAACCGCGCGAACTTCCTGGAGTTATTCCGTGCCATCGCCGAATTCGACGGCTACAGAGCAGGTCAGCTCATGGTCGAACGTTGCCGTACTCCCGAACTCGCCATCGACACCGAGCTGTTCGCTCTCAAAATGCAAAACATTGTCCTCTCAGTCAAGAGAAAGACATTCTCCTTGGGAAAGATCAAGATATCAGATATCTTGAGAGATGTTTTGCAGTCGGTTAGGGAGCATCATGTGAAGATGGAAGGCGACTTCGTGAACACTGTGATCAGTATACTTTTATTGGAGGGGATTGGCAGGCAGCTAGACCCACAGTTGGATTTGTTTAAGAGTGCGCTGCCGATACTCCGGCGGCTGGGAGGGCAGATGGCAAAGAGAGGTGATGTGACCTCAGCGAAGGACCTGCAGACCAGTGGCCTTGGCGCATTTTTGAAGGTTTGTCTCAACTTTCTTACGCTTGCGTGTGTGCCATTCATGACGCGTGCTTTAGGTGTGGGTTTGGTTAGAGGCTAGAGAGTTCATCTCGGCATCGATTGTCAACGCGGACGATCTGATAAAATATGATTGGTGCGTGAACCAGCATGCCGACATTATCAGTTCATTCATTGCATTGCACAGGCTTGCTCCCAGCATATAGGCATAATGGACCTTTCCCCGTCGCATCTCCGTCGCATGTTTTCTGCTCTCATGGTAGACCGCCCAGGCACATTACACTTACTTAAAGTTAGATCATAGTGTTATTCGTCGATCAAGTACAATGTACATAAACACCAAGGAACCTTGCTCACTTCTTCGCGCATCTACAGCCTTAGCAAAACTTGACGGATCCCCGCCAGGATCCGCTCACAGGCAATGGGTTGATATCTTATCGTATCGTGGTCTGTATATGGAAGGATCTCGTAGTTGGACCAACCGAGTCCGCTGGGTGCGTCAAAAATGTTGTTGAAACCCTTGCAAATGAACGATCACCTTCTCCTCGATGTCGATCGCCTCTTCCGGAGTGCACGAAGGTCGGTTGTACAATCCAATCATTAGAATGAAGTGAAAGGCGATCAATACTGCCTTTGGTTTCTTGATGAACCCGGCCGACTGTAGGGGATGATGTGGGGTGGCAATTGGACAGAGAGGCCACGTTGAAGTTGCAGCACGTATATGAATTCTGCGAGCCCTGCCGCAGTTGGGTTGGTGATGAGGGCGGTAAATGGGAGCGGCACCTCGAACACGCGTCGAAGGAGGGTCCAAGATGTACTTCGCGAGTTAGGTTGAATTATCATTTGCGCGCCAATGGTATCCCATGTTGTTAGTGGATTGGTCAGTATCCATGACTGACCGGGCAAAAAAGTTCGTCGATGGAAGAGTCAAACATGTAGGCCCGGATCCACTTGCCAGTAGAAGATTCCTGGTAAGTTTCATTGGCCCCTTGACAATAATTGAGGACAGCAGAGTGTACCTTTTAACCTGTAAATCCATGAACCAAGAAATACATTTTCAGGTTACGTACCAGAGGTACCAGAGGAGAACAGTACATATGCTGGCTCTTTGCCAGTGAGTGAGCTATTCTTGCTCAGTGATACATTCTCCTCATGCAGTTCCTTGGACGCATCGATGATCGCGAGGCTCCGTGCTGCGCCGAGCCCGTTCAGGCGTTCAAGCTCTTGTGAAGAGGAAACAATGACAGCGGCGCCTGTTTGCTCAAGTAGGGCGTGAAATTGGGATGCGGTGGTATCCAGCGCGATGGGGAAGTAGGCTGCCCCGGCGGCCAGAGTTGCCAGCATGACCACAACATGGTGCAGGTTTCTCGAAATAGAAAACTCCAACGTAAGGGGTACCTTGGTAAGGCCCCCGGGGGGGAGTTGAGATTGGATACGAGAGGCCAGACGGCGAACTTTAAGGTTCAAGTCGTCGTACGAAACGTCGACATACGAGCCATTGACGACGTGAGTCACGGTAGTTCTCGTCGTGAATGTTGTCGACGCATGCTCGAGGACATCTTCAAGTCGCAAAAAAATGGGCATTTGTGGGGAGGTGAGGTTGTGAGCATGATTGCGACGAAGCTAAAATTATATAGTTAAGCAGGGTCCACCAGTGACCGTTATACCCTTATTTACCTGAAATGCGGTTCCATTGCATTAAATTTCACTTCAGTATTGATCTGATCTCGAGGGACCCAATCTACATGCTGGGCTTGAGCTGAGCTAGAGGGTAGAGAACTGGAGAATGAGAACTCCGTGGATTTCTTTGGTGCCCAAATGCGGTCGTGCTTGTGACTGTCACGTGATGTGATGGCACGCGATTGTGACTAATTGTGGCGCCAGTGACTTGCCTTTGTACACTTCGCAAGCCACCATCATGTCGAAATCCGACGCCAAACTACGCCTGCAACGCGAAGAGCCATACACTAAGCGACGACGGATAGGACCCACCAAATGCAACGTTTGCAGCTCTGATAGCACTATCACACATTCACATGATAGTCGCTTTTGGTTCGGAGACGGGGATATCGTCTTTCGCGTCCAAGACTCTTTATTCAAAGTCCATCGATCAAAATTGCGCTGTTCGACTGTACTGTGGGACATGTTTGAGCTCCCCCAACCTGCTCAAGTCGACAATGTAGATGGGTGTCCTTTGGTCGTCATGGCAGGAGACACAGCGAAGGACTGGTCAACGGTATTCCGATGGATGTATGATCCTGCGTAAGTCGCATTCCTTGCATGAGCGTTGCCAGATTTACCTCCCGCTTGCAGAGGCTTTGCGACACAGGCGGGAGTTTTCGACGTTCTGGCAGGCGCCTTACGAGTAGCCACCAAATACGATATGCCTGCACTCAGAGAAGCTGCTATACAAGGCTTGCAATTTCGGTGGCCCTTAAGCCCCGCTTCCATGACGCTAAATGCTTTTTCCAATGCAGCAGGTAACAGACATGCGTCAACCGCGCGTTTGAGGTCATTGACCCATTTATAGAAGCCATATCTCTCGCAAGAGAATGCGACGTACCTTCGATTCGACCAGCGGCCTTCTACGCTCTATCGATACAGCGCTGGAGCTACGATGCCGAGGGGGGATCCTCCCTATTGCATCTGTCGCCCGAGGATGCTAGACGTTTGATATGCGGACAACAGCTTCTAAATAACTTCCACCTCCAAATCGTCATAAACCCGTTAGTCAGCGAAACCGAAAGCACTAGAACTTGCGACCACTGTGCATCATATATGGCTGATTACTGGCGGCGGAAGTTCACTCCGGACGACAGCTCTCCCCATTCATGTTGGATGGTCAAAGTCCTTGTGGACATGATCCTCAACAATTTCGACCTGAGCGACATCGGCATCCAAATCTGCACTCCCTGCCAATCTTACCATCGCTCATTAGTATACGAGCGATTGACAGTATTGGTGAAGGAAATACCCATGATCTTCCGTTGATATCCCACTTGCCTAACAGCTTGCTTCATTATTTTGTACATTCCAATTAGGCCCAATCCATCCTATTTTGGAGCCTCGTTAATCTGTAATATACTACGGCGTCTATTTATTTCGTACATACTTCTTTATATTACCATGCTCTTTCATATTGATTCGCTGCTTTTACTGGTGTTCCCAAGGCCTTCGCAGCTGCGAGTGGCCAGTGTGGGTTTCGCAACAATTCGCGACCAAGGAAGACAACATCAGCCTTCCCATCTCGGAGATACCTTTCAACTAACGACGGATCCGTAAGCAACCCAACAGCGCCGATGGGTAACGAAGGATGTGCCTTCTTTAATGCCTCGGCGAAGGGCACCTAAAGGCAGGTTAGTCTGTGTGAAGTCGAGACCGCTGAGATCCACACCTGATAACCATGCTCGTAAGGGATCTTCTGCTTTGCCCAGTTGCCTCCCGAACTACAATCAACCAGGTCAATGCCCAACTTCAGCATTTCACCGACATAGACAGTGCTCTGCTCTATCCCCCACTGGCGATGGCAGTCAGCCTTCGAGTGATCGTAGTCAGGGTTGTGACACCTACCTGCGCCCAATTGCCGTCTTCTCCTTTCTCTGGTCCCTCTGCCCAGTCTGACGCGCTAATTCTGACGAATAAGGGTTTGGACCAAGCTGCACGACATCGCTGGACCACCCGAAGAGGGAATCGTAGGCGATTCTCTAGTGGTTGCCCCCCATATATGTCATTGCGTACATTCGAAAGCGGTGAAACAAATGAGTGGAGGAGATATCCATGCGCCCCGTGGATCTCGATGAAATCAACTATATAGACCATTATTTAGATATATGGCTGCCGATGATGATGGACTCACATCCAACCTTCTCACATCGAACGATAGCGTCTGCAAAAGCATCCTCGACGCGTTGCATGTCTTCCTCAGATGCTTCCTTCGGAAGGGGGTAATCATTAGCATATGAAATGGGGCTTGGAGCATATACTGAGAACCGAACGTGTCAGTTACTCCTGATCGTATTCGTCTACATCTTTGGACGAGGGGTGCTGACCTTCGTCAGGCCATCCGCCTTCGTCAACGGCAGCCGCACGCACAGGCCCAATCCAGGGAGCAAGGAGAGAAGCTTTACGACCCGCGTGGGCAAGTTGTATTCCAACTTTGGTGCCTTGAGAATGACAGAACTCGACAATACGCTTCAACGGCGCTATTTGGCTGTCTTTCCATATTCCCTTCGGTTTCATTGCTGTAAGATGATGAAACCTAGTGCAAGACAGAGAGTGCATACCGCATCTGATGGAGATATGCGTCCTTCTGGAACGACCGCAGTAGCCTCCAAGCAGATCGCGCCAGCTCCTCTGGTAGCAAACCCCTGTGCGTGTACAATTTCAACCGCTGTACACTGAAGTAATTTCGGAAGTGATTACCCCGATATGAACGAGATGCCAGTCAGTTGCATGTCCGTCACTGGAACTATACTGGCACATGGGTGACTGGTTAGGGTACTTTAGTACGCGCCCTCTGTTAATGCCATTGTACTAGCCCTAACGTACCACGAAGATTCTATTCTTGAAGGTTACTCCTCCGATGGTAATCGGTTGGAAGAGAAGAGGAGCATCCTTTTCGGCAAAGGAGGGTACATTGAACGGAAACCACCATGAATTGACTGCCCCGCACCTTCTGCGATAGCGCTGTTCCAATCTCTGGTTCGTTTAACGGATAAAATTCACGGGCTCCTGGCACGGGCGTGTTTAAGAGCGGCATGCTGTAGTTTGTTGCCTCTCGATGACCACGGTGAAAGGTTCCAGTAATTTCGTATCTCGGAGAAGACCTTTATACCACGGAACGTCGGCGGCGCGGTGTGCATGAGTGAAATCTGCCTGGTTTGTAAGCTTTCATGATAACGTGCCAATTGTGCGATGTGCTCAATGTTCCAATCAGAGAAGAAAAGTTCCATGAGCGTATCTTTCGTGTGGAAATATGGGCACCGGGTCGCATTTTCACGGCTGGCCACAGTGGCATAGTCACGGAGTCAACCATGGGTAGAACAACGGTAGCGGCAATCACTTTGAGCGCCTAGAATTTCCCTTCCGGACTACACCCGCCTTCCTGCTTGCCATCACTGGCAATTCGCAGCTGCCCTTGAACCACAACCACCACCTTGAACCGCCTGATTTGAGGACTGCCGCATCCTGAGTACCAGCCACCCCCCGCTTCATGGCAGGCCTCGAGCCAGGGCCCTCAAAGAACCCCGAATTGCCCAGCTCATCTTCGCCGTCACGTCCATATAATGCCACGACGCTCTCGACAGTTTCTCCCTCCCAGAGCGTTCGGAAATCTATGATAGCCACAGAATCTCCTGACAGGATGCCAGATAGAGGTAGTCCGGGGAAGCGAAGCGTCAGAGTAGTTGTCAATGAGCCGCGAAGACCTGTCCACCCGTTAGCTGCAGACCCTGCTCGACGCACCAGAATGCCTTCGGGTAGTTCTGGCTTCACCTCGCACACCAGTGGAACGTCTAGCCTCGGAGCGTTCTCGGACGAATATGATCTAGGTAAGTCCTGCCGCGTCCTTTCTTTGCCTCACTAACTTTGTGCATTGCAGCTCATGAAGGTGAGTAGGCAAGCTATGACAAGGCATCGGATAATAAAACATATAATTCAGACCCACAAATACTCCATGATGTGCAGAAGGCGATGAGGCTCAAGGCTCGCCGTGAGGCGAGAATTAAATCCGGACGTCCCGCACACCTTCCAAGGACATCACCAACTCCTCCCGACGTTTCCTCTCCGCCTCGTCAAACAGTATATCAGCCGCCGGTGGTATCCTCACCACAACATCCCACAGTAATAACCAACTCCGAAGTTGATTTTGGTCCGTCAATCGCTGCCAACACTGTGCCAGTAGTGCTTCATCCAGTACCTTCCTCGACGGACCATGGAGCCACACTCGACTGGGGTGCAGGCGCCGATATATCAGATGATGAGAGGGAGAAAGTTGATAAGCGGTGGTCGCTCTCGCTACCCAAACGCAAGGGCAAAGAGAAAATAGACAACTCTGCCAGTTCCGACTCAGGAAAGGGAGATGAAGCCTACAAACGGAAAATCAGTAAGATAAAGGGCAAGGTCACTAATAGCACGCTGAAGAAGGCCGACATCACGAGTCAGCAATTGGAACGCAAGTACAAACTCGTTTACGATCGGTTGGGAGGTGATCGCGTCAACCCGTTGAATATCTCCCGTTGGTGGCTTTCGCGCGACAATAATACTAAAGACGCGCTCGAGCGTGAAGAACCGCTCACCTGGCTCAAACATCTCGACAGGCAACGAACTCCCAAAGAGAGACAGAGGTTCTCGTGGCACCTGCCTGCTCTAGTAATGGAGGAATTCTTTCGAGCACAACGATATCCTCCTTTCATGGAGACAATCCTGGAGGATCCATCTAGTCCTCAATACTCTGAGAAACCGATGCCGTTTGTACCTGGCGGTACGTTGGGACTCCCTACCGTAGACGGAATGGCTGGATCGGCGCGAAATTCACTCGATGTTGGTTCTCGACGTAGTGGTGAATCCATTTATAGTGCTGTCAGCAGTTCCGGTAATCCACCGCCCTCGATATCTCCCACCGCAAGTCTGTCTCATCTTAGAGGGATGTCTACTCGTCGTCAACGTCTCAATCCTGGCAGCGAAGATGGTCGTTCTGCACCTCAGTCCTTGTCGGAACGGTCTGACGATGAAAGAAAAGATCGACCTGTTCCTCGTGCCAAGCGTCGCCCCGAAGACCTCCATCTAATATCTGCCCAATTCGTAACAGCGTCTAATCAGCGATCTACAGCATCTAAGGAGCTCTCAGAGGACGATGATGGGCCCTCGCCCAGCACGGCTGTCGTTGGATATCGCATTGTACCAGGAGTCATCCCGTATACCGGAGCGGAGCCTCCCGGTCTCGTCGCAACTAGAATGGAAGCTACGGTTCCCCAACCCAGACCTCAACATTCTGCTGCATCTTCGCAACAGATTAGGGTCGAACAAGAGTCGGAGAAGAACAAGCAGAGGTTGCATCAAGAATACGAACTCAAGCTTAGGTACAAGATTCAGTCCCTGCACCGATCATACACATTGCTAACCACGTCATAGGCTCTTGGATGATCTCAATTCTCAGAATACTCGCGTACGCCAGACTCTCAACCGCGTGGCAAACACGATTCGGGAACAAGACGCTCTTCACGCCAGCTTCACGGCCATGCTTGATGTCCCCCATGTTGGCATGCCTCAGGATGTACTTGATGCATTCGGACATGACCCCGCCGCTGTCACAGGCTCGACCCGTCGTCTCCGTGGATGGGAGGCTGTCGAAGATATACATCTGCGCGTGCTACGTCAGCGCGATGTTCTCAGACGGTTCATATACAGCGTCGAGGAGAAGACACCTGGACCAATGAAGTCTGTCCTAGATCACCCAATCGCTTCCCTTACTCGGGCTCTGGAAGATATCACGGTGCAACATGAAGAGATCACTGTCAAGGCCCAGGAGGTTGCGAAGGTACTTCAGAGCGTAAAGGCACTCCACGCAGATGTCAAAGCCGAATACAACGAAACACTTGCCCAGACATCTGTGGTATATCCTGAGGTAAGTCATAGGCATTCTTGGGCGTGGACGGGGCACTTAATTCGCCACAGCTCTCCTACATCGTTGCGCTGGAGGAAAGCTACAAAGACCAATACCAGCAAGTGTGGGAATTCGGTATGGACGCCCTCACATTCCTGTTGGACAATGTCACTCCATTCTGGCGAACCTACGGCAAGACTCTCGGCGTCGACATCCAAGATTTCCTCATCATCCCCCTTTACCGAAACGAGTTCACCGGAGAAGCCAAGCGCTATCCCATCAAGCACATTCCTCGACGTTCCTTCCGACATTGGCTGGGTTTCCTGATCTTCTTCGTCCTAACTTCCGCAATATGCTTTCTCCAATGTCGCGCTGCCATCACATCATCACGGAACTATCGTCTTCAGATTATCGCTCATAGTGGTTTCCGATGGCTTCTCGTTCCCTTCGTCTGGGTCAGCATCGTAATTCAGTGGTCAGCGTTCTTGGTCGAGCTATGTATGTTAATTGTGCAAGTAGCCGTCACTGCATGGTGGCTAGGATGGATCCTCCGGATTTTCGATTGACCACCTGTTTTACGATACTTCCCCTGCGCCTTCATTCATTCATTTACCTCATGCATTATTATACCTATACAGCATCTCGCTTTCATGCTATCATTTTACTGTTTATTCGTTCCTTCCCACTAAATTATGATATATTCATTATGCGGATTGTTACGATGTAGGGGGAGGCGGTGGTGGCCCAAATGGAACAGCGTTGGTGAAACCTTGTGTGGAAGGCGTACTGCTAGGAGCCGTGTAAGGATGATATGCTCGTGATGTCGATGTACTTGACGGTATTGCCCCAATCTGCCTTACTGGCTGAGGGATCTCAGTATTAGCTTTGCCCGACTCGACACATGGACGACAAAATCCTGTAGCGAGATGGATCAACATTCTGTATTTTCGGAGAAGGCGTGAGATACTTACTACCGCCCATGATCAATGGGACATTGGTCGCGTCACACGAGAAGCAAGCAATGCGAGGATGAACCGGTTGGTTTCGTTTCGCTGCTTTCTTTTTTGGAGCTGAAGGCCCGGGTTCGTTCGATGGTACCACCGCAGGTGGTGTCGATGTATTTGACAGGGAGGTGGGCGTCGTAGAGTAAGAACCTTGCTGAAGGTATGATGCAGACGCTGTCCCAGCCGTAGGGGGCGGCTGAGGGGATAAAACTAGGAAAGAGGGCGGCACGACTGTCGGGACTGGGTCTTTTTCTTTCTCCTTTGGCTTTCGAGGTGTATATTTCCTTTTCGGCCTTATGGCTCCCGGGGCAGCGGGGTTGATAGGCTTCATCGTGAAGTTTGGAGCAGACAACTAAAGAGCCGGCTCAATGAGTATCCTTCAGAATACCAGGGTGCTGGGCTCACAGTCTGTAATGTCGTCAAGAGCTGGCCTTCCGATAAACGTTGAGCAAGATATACCCTGTCCGTTTTCTATATGAAGCACCGTATAAGCAGAGATATATACACATCGGAGGTATCTTACTATCTGTGATAGAAACTGACGATTACGGGCGAGGCTCTCTTCGCCGCCTACCCATCGTGATATGGTATCCCAAAGCATAGCAGGGGCCGATTTGATCCTCATTGTCGATATCTGCGACGCTGGGGTAATCGCAGGATTCGTGGTGGCAGTGGTATTCGTAGAATTAGCAAAGGGGATGGGAACTGCGATCAGGATGTCTTGATAAGAGGACAAGGGAGTAGCAGCGTCTGTCATCCTTTCACATACCACATGTTCTCGAGGGAATAGAAATCGATCATAAGGACATTCTGGGAACTCGATGACTAGGTCAAACTCTTTGACAGGTGGTGTTGGTGTTGGAACGGGAGGAGCTGGTGGGTCCGTTGTTGGTGTGGACTGGTATGGGGTTCCGCTCGCTGCAGCGAGAGATTGTATGAGGAGACCAAGTGTCTTCAACTGATTAGGAGAAGCTTTGCCGCTGGCTGCTAGCTGTAGGAGATTGGCAAGTGTAGGGTTGGTGGATGCTGCGGAGTTGACCTGATGGATCAAGGCAGGGGTGACCGTTGTCGAAGTCAAGGAAGATAGCAAAGGTGCGGGTTGGCTAGCCGCAGCAGCCGGGGCTGACGTCGACGTCGAAGCCGCGGTCGTTGCTGAGTATCCACTATATGGCGTGTAAACACTACTGTAAGGTTGAGTAGTAGCGGAACTCGAGCTACTGGGAGTAGTGGTATATCCAGCTGACAATGAGAGCACAGGCAGTTGTTGAGGCTGGGGCTGTGGTAGCACCGAAAGATAATGTACTTCATAGAACAAAGTGTCGGGAAATATTATGGGCCCAATTTCGAGATCGCATCTGCCTCGAGTCTGGATGGTATGTGGTGGTGGGACTACATCTTGAGCTTTGCTCCCCCTGGATCTACTTGAGAATTTTGGAAAGGCAGAGAGCCAGTATTCTCGGGCTAAATATCATCTCAACCTGAGCACATCCAAGACCACAGCAGCCAATAAACTCACATTGTCGCAGTGATTGCAGAGTTATGTAGCTGGGGGAAAATCCAAGTCAGCATGGGTCGAGATATATACAAGGGCACCGCCACCTTTCCGCTACTGGTTTCAGAGAGGCCGCCTGGTCACTTTCTAGCTCCCAGTTTGGATTTCGCGCGACAGGAAGTGCTGGTCTCATGGTGGTACTGAAAGACGCGCTGTTGACGGTTGTTGTTCAACACCATCTTCTCTCGGCACTCAGCCATTTCAGCCATTTCACTTCTTGGATTCATACCATCATGACCACCCGCGTCAGTGAGTCGTCGACGCTGATCGTCCTCTGCGCAGTCATTGATTTCGCGCTTCAGACAAGGGTGGAACCATTTTCAGGCCGGCTGCCAAAGGCAAGGCGCGAGGTCCTTCGGTGCTCAGCAACGTCTCGCGTCAAGCCTCAATAATCTCAGACATTGCCCCGAGCAATGACTCTCACGTCCCCCTCGCAAAGGAGGCTCCCTTGCAGCCGCTCGTTTCGTCTGGGAGCATGCTGCCGCCATCAATACCGCCCAGCGAGTCAATACCATCTTCCACACAGGGGTTATCTCAGAATCCCGGTATTATTCATTTCTCAGTATCACCAGTTCAGCCTGTTTCTAGCCCATTCGCTCTAACCGCCCCCCCTTCCATTTCGATTGCACCCCGCCCGACGCCTATACCACCTCGGCTATCGCCTGTTGTTCCGTCACTTGCTACCGCTCAGCGCTCAGCGCTCAGGAATGGCTCTATGCCTCCAATGGTGGCTTCTGCGATACCTGCAGGCGGTGTTCGACAAAATACCCCAGCACCACCTTCAATTGCCTCTGCGGGCACGCCAATTGATATACCTCGACCAGCACCCACAAGTGTCGCTATAAGTACACTGGCCACTATCCCTCGACCATCACCTCCCGTTCTTCCAACATCTCAGCCCCCATCTTCCAATCGTACTATGTTCGACGACTTTGCGACTAACACGCTGCATGTGGTTGATACCGAGCCACCTAGCTCCTCCGCTACTTTGAATGATACTGGTCCCAGCACTCAGGCAAGTAACTCGGATCTGACCGCCCCACAGACATCGCCACAAGATGGCCAAAGATCTGAGCAGCCAGGGAGTAGTAAACAGAAGCGACAGTCCAGTCGGCATCATGCGGTTGCTACGGAGGATGGTACCGACAAGGTGAAGAAACGGCGCCGAAAAGCCACGACTCCAGCAACTGATGATGAAGATCCTGCCTCTGACCCTGCTCCTCGCCGCCGGCGCCGTAAGTCTTCAACAGCCGAAGAAGGAGAAAGGGAGACCCAACGCAGGAGGGTTCGCAGTCCGTCTCTGCCCCGATTTGATCCAGACGAAGGCCCCGGCGAAGAGCTTGACCCCACTGTGATCACCATGGCCTCCCTTTGTAGTGACACAGGCCAGGGACGAATTAGTTCCAAAGCCATCGAGATCCAAGAAAACTACGCTAGTTGGAGAACGCAAAGTAAACAAAAAAGGGCTAAGATGAAGGAACTTGCTGAGCTGAAGAAATATGGACGGTTGACTGAAGATGGTGAAGAAGCCCCTCCTCCTAGCGCTACGACGGCACCGAACGACCCGTCTTCTTCTACGTCAGTCGGTTCGAACGGCGTACAAGGAGGCGACGAAGACGGGTTCGATTACACTCAAGATGTACCTGGGAATCGTTTTAACGTACAAGTGCGAATAGGACCTAACGGCGAAACTATCATTGATGAGGAGTCACTTGTGGTCGATCGGGCTCAAGACGTGGATACCTCTACCTACACGCATGTCGTCGAATCCGATACCTCCAAGTTCATCAATTCTGGTACATATCGCAAGAAATGCCGTGGCTCACGATGGAGTAAAGAGGAGACGGAGCTATTTTTTAACGTAAGACTCTTGATTTTGATACATACACTGACTCAATCATTGCTCCTCCACAGGCCCTATCGCAGTACGGAGAGAATTACGAGCTGCTAGCCTTTGTGCTACCTGGTCGTGACCGTACAGCATGTAAAAATAAATTCAAAGTCGAAGATAAACGCAATCCGGATAGAATAAATTATTGTTTGAATAACCGCATCCCTGTTGGTACGTCTAAATATCGTCTTTCTTATTTTTCGCCAACACACCATGCTGACACTAGTTCGTAGATATATCTACTCTATCTCGTATGACTGGCAGAGATTTCTCCGGCCCGTGTCCGGAGATTCGACAACCACCGCCACGACTACCCCCACCCGCCCCAGTCGTATCTACAGAGCACGAAGAACATGTACAACACAAACAACCTAAGCATAAGAAGCGTAGCAGAAGCAGAAGCATGGCGTTGACGGACGATGTTGTCGTCATCGGGAACGCAGATACCTTTGATCCTACAGACGATTAACACTGAATTAATGAACTTCTATGTGCAATACTGTCCAGACGCTCAGTCAGGACTCCGCAGACTGTCTGCGTTGAAGAGGACCAAAGAAAGAGGAATGACCAAATTGCTCTTCAGCCTGGATGCCTCCTGGCTTCAGTCACGTGGTCTGTGGAGCCTAATGTGACTCAAAGACTCCGCTCGAGTTACAGCTTGGTTAAAACCACAGTGGACCAGTGGACTCGCTCGCTTTTGCCCATCCGAGCCTTGAAGCTGGTCCGACGATACATATACTTTAGGCACCACCCACGAACCTGATACTTCCGAGATATCTCCAGTGTTTCTATGCTCTGGACCCTTCAAGAATGGCAGACTCGGACGCAGAATCTCCTCTAACGTATGCCCGTCAGTCTACTCTCAACTCCACTCTCCAAATTCCCTCTAAAATTGTCACACAGAAACCGTCACTGGAATAGCTGAATTCAGTGCATACAATCCATAGCTCTACCATGGGTTCTGTGCCCATTACTCACAACTGGTCTCTGTTTTAGTTGAAGTTGCCATCCATACCATCTTGTATGTACGGCAGGTCTACCCCCCAGACCTCTTTATCCGCCGCAAAAAATTCGACACGCCGGTATTCCAGTCCCGACATCCCGCACTCAACGAATATATCTCTGGCGCGGTCAAAGCACTCGAAGACGAGCTCCTCCTCGGCATCGTTGATAAAGTCGTTGTCGTCATCAAAAACAAAGAACAGGTCGCACTAGAACGGTTCATATTCTCTGTGCAACAGATGATACAAGTGGAACCGTACGACAAGGAGTCCAAGTTCGTTGTTCTCCCTTCCCTCACGATTCGCTGGTTACTTAGTTGGTTGTCTGGTCTGAAGAGTAGAGAACGCTATTTCGCCGAAGTCGCTTGGGCAGTACTTCCGCTCGTTTCTCATCAAGCTTAGCATGATTGAATCCCAGCTCGGACAGCTAGATCCGGACGGTAGGTTGTTGACTCCCTAACTCGCTCGAGTTACCATTTAGCTCAAAGTCTAGACGACGTATCGTTCGCTATATTACTTGAACTCAAAGACGATAAAGCGCCATCGGCCTCACAGAAATCCGTGAGCTAAGCAATATGGTATTCTAACGGCCTTTGATGAATAAGACAGGACCCACCGCCGTGGATTCCTGCGGAAGCTCAGCACACGACGTCTGGTGCCTCAGATGAGGCAGAGTTGCATCTTATTAGGGCTGTAAATACTGGGATCATCAATGTCAGCATAGCTCACCATCTCTGATGTAACCGCAGAACTAAATGTGTCCTAGTTGTCACTTGCTGTCCAGGAATCCGAAGAAAAGCTAAACCCGGCTCGCGATGCAAAAGACCCCAAAGAAAAAGGGCCGGCGAAGTGAAGGGGTGTAGAATCTCGGCAATTGATAAGGGTGCGAGATGCACAAGGAAGGAATAGAGGGATTCGAAGGACTTTCCTGAATTTATAGCGAGGGGCATAGGTCATTGGCCGGCAAGCTTGAGGGCGGGTTGATTGCTATGATGGTAGCTATTGGGTATTAAGAGGCCGTCTAGATGGTTTTATGCTCTACACACCAAACTCTAGCAAACCACTACGATATGGTTACACTCCGTACACGGAGCGTGCATTCTCCCTGGAAATCTTCATGACCTTCTCACTGGTCCACTCGCCTCCAAGGAAAGTAGCAACGAAGTCAGCTGTCCAAGGGATCATAGCGGTATGACATATGGGTAGCTTTCCTTTAATAGTTGTTAGTGTATCGTATATGTTAGCTGGGACCATATACGGTGCGTCAGTCTCCAGCAATATTCGAAGATTATCCGAGGAGCCTTGTGACATCTGGTAGATAGCTCCCGACGTATTGTCGTTGCTCGTGTAGGTTATCACGCCTTGGAAAAGAAAGTCAGCTTATATCTATCACGATGGCTTACAAATTCTTTACCAGTAACGCCAATGTACAGGTTAGAGAAGTGCTCAAGGAGACGAAGGGCAAAAGCTGGCTCATCTGTGAAGCAGTGTATATGGATCTAAAAGACCTAATTAGTAGATATAAGGGACATTAGAAGCGGAGAGCATTCACTTTATGGTCCTTAGGCACTTCTTCCTTGAGAATACGCTCGGTATCTTCGTTCGCCTCTCGAGTATGTATGGTAAGTGGCTTGCCTAGCCGGACTGCATGCTTGAGTTGACGAGTAAAGACCGCTTGTTGGACGTCTCTCGGTGAAAGGTCGTAATGATAATCCAAGCCCATTTCTCCCCAGCCGACGCATCGAGGATGCGCCATGGCCTGTAGACTGCATAGGGATTGCGATCAGATGATGGCGCTGACACTATTAATTGTATACACACAGCTCTTCTTCCACTTCGTCGGTATAGTGTTTCGCTTCATGGCTACGCTGAAGTCAGCCATGATGAGGCGGCACGCTAGCCTGGCACTCACGGATGCACACCTGTCGTAGCCGTCTTCAGCGTTCATTGCTTCGAAAACGTGAAGGAGCAGTATTTACCCATAACAAACCAATATTCCAGACCACCCCAATTCTTGATCCTATCTTCCTCGGTCACCGCCGAATCGGCGAACTCCTTCCACAGCTTTCGTATCGGTGCTTCACACCAAACGTCCACGACAGCGTCCACATTTCGATTCGCTGTTACGCCTTTGATAAAGTCGAAGACGGTCTCATATTTCCCTTCCTTGTACTTGTGCCGATACGCCTCGAACGTCGACGCGATATGCGTGTGTGTGTCGACAATCGCTGCGGCTTCGGAAGTAGAGTGAGTCGGCAGTATAAGGTGGGATTCAGGGATCGGGGCCTTTTTCTTCGCCATGCTGCGCGTGGTATGGGTCTTGGAGTGGTTTCGAGCAAAGCAAACTAGATTCGATCTATGGTGGAGATTGAGGAGGCTGCGACATGATCTTGAGAGTGACATACAATTCTCCGGTGAGATCAGAGTCACAAGTGCAAACACTGCGGCTGCGAAGTTCGGTTCAAAATTGACATATGTGCTGTCTACTATTGTATTTAAACGAGGAGATAATGCTAACGAAATAATCTAGAGTGACTTGGAGAGCTGATACGATGCATACGAAGAGCGCGGTTGGTAATGTACAAATTTGCCAGAAGGAATAAAGGAATCGTGAACAAGGCGTGGTAGTAGGAGAAATAGTAAGTACTGTGAGGCTATTGTGAGCTCTCTTGAGCTTCCGTCGCCGAACCATTGGTGATAGAAAGCCTAGGAAGAAGCAACCCAATGTCACATCGAGGGTCGTAGTTTGCGGCAGCGCCGAGTTGAGCGGAATGGTAAGGGGATGGTGGATAGCGATCTGGATTAGCTAGCAGAAAGCCGAGGGCGTCGTCTGCTAGAGGTGGCATTGTAGAGTAGGCAGGCAGGCATCTAGGGTTGTCTAACGAATCCAAGGCAGACCCCATCTTCGAGGGAGCTGTGGACTGGGATGTGGCAAAAGGATCGGTGAAGATGGGCGGCGACAATGGGGCAAAGTAGGTTTGAGGAGATGATGTGTTGAAATTATTGAAGTTGCCAGAGGCCTGTGAAGTACGATGAGACCTTATTGGCAGATATTGATTGACACTGAGACTTACATAGTAATGTTGATGTTGTTCGGTGCCACGATACCCCTGCAGAGGACCAGTCCAAAGATAAGGCTTCGGGGGAGATGCGTCCCATCCTGGGTGTCCTTTAGGTGGTTCTATCCTCCCGAACACATACGTCGGTTCGTAGACCATGTTTGCGGGATAAGTAACGTCGTCCAAGTACGATAGCTTATTGTACGATTGTGAGTCGATTGGTGGAGACATCGACGCCGCATCCTCTTTGGCGATTTGGTACATGATCGTCCTGCTAGGTCGACGTGCAAGATCGTCCCGAATACGCGGAATGTACATCATATTAGGCGTCAATGTCTCCATGTTAGGTGGTACGGGCACAGCTCCAGGTGGTGGACAAGAGGACGAGCGTCGGTACGGTGTGGTGACGGTATCTGGAGTATATGGCCTTTGTCTTCCTTCCACAGTGTCCTTCCCCTTCTTTCGTTTCGAGTGGGACGACGCGCTCGGTCCGACGGGAGCATATCGATATCCAGGGTGCGCCTGTGAGTGCTTCTCCCTCTCCTTTTCTGCCATCGACGTCCAAGGAGCCTTCTCTGTCTCGCTCATCTCCCGCCATACCTTCCCAGCGATCCGCGAAATATTACGATGGTCACGTTCGACAGAAGCGGGTATTTTTTTCTGACGGACGAAGTCGCAGCGAAAGAGAATAAACGCGTTGCATGGCCTTGGAACATGACCTGGAGGTTGCTTTCGTGCATGCGACTTTTTGAGTGGCCTACCGGAACGCGCATTTTGGCCAGGTACTGGGAGCGCTGCATTGGCCACTGATGGCAAAGGCAAAGGGGAGTCGTACCCCGACGATGGAGTTGAGGGCAGAGAGTTTGACTCCGAGCCTGACATCGGTGGTCAACTAAAGGCGAACGACTGTGGGGGAAGGGGGAAGGGAGGACCAGGTGAAAGGTTTCGTAAAGCGGTTTGAATCGTCCTATGTGAGGTATTTAACGATGAAGACACGTTGCAAATAAAGAACCTACTAATGGAATAGCACAAAGAACGCGACTTGGTACTGCGACACGCCTTTACAAGTTGGACACAGGGACTGCAGTATCATGGAATAGTCTAACGAGCACCGTGCTCGTTAAGTACGACGACTCTGCATCAAAAGGGCGCCTTGTGCGCTCTTGTATTCGTCTGCGAATATCAGCAACGCAATAACATGAGTATTGCACTCACTCTTTCCAAAACCGGATGGTAAGCAACGCTTTGACCTCTGGGAAAGCGGACCCTGGCCTGAATTCAACATTGACTGCGAACCAACTCCGCGATAAAGCGGTTGCAACTCCATCGCATTGTTCTCCTACAGTCCGAAGGTTGCTTTCAGTAATTTGCCTTTAGTGTACAAGCATCGAGATCCAAATACCTTTGTCGTCTTCAACGTTGCAAGGGCCGCATCTGTGGCGTCGCCCACTGCTAGCCTCTCACACCAATCACGTATGCTCGGATATCGACTTATATAGGAATTCAGAACCAACCGCTGCCCATGCTGTATGCTGAGAAAGAGAAAGCACCCCCGATTTCGGCGGCGGCCCTGTATTTGACATAGATGCCCGCATTCTCTATTCTCTGGCTAGGCCGTTACAATCCTATCGAGTGCTGGCCGTCGGATAAATGGGTGCTCCATCTCCACTCACTGCGAGACACAAAGACACCAAAGCTAGGCTCATTCCTTCACCGCATCCGCTCCCTTGTTATCTACTCTCCTGTTAATGCCGCCTATCAGGATTTTGACCAGGTCCAACTTCTGGCCGGGCTCAGCAGGGGTCGTGTCCACTATATCCTAAAAATCGCATGTGTTACGTGGATATTAAAAACATGAGTCGCGTTAGGGAGATGCGGTACCCGAATGTTGTATTGCTTCCGAATGTTATCGTCCAAGTGGTTCAAGAATTCGGTTGCGATTGGGTCGTCGCCGATCTGCACAAACTGCATCCCGAGGGACGCGACAGGGAGATTTCTAGCGTCCAGCTCTTTAGCAATTTGCACGATCACGGCTTCCAAGTCGTCGGCTGAACAGAATGAGCGATGTTCCGAGATCATTTGAGGAAGGCAGGGGAACACGAACTGGGGGCCCCATCGGTTATCACAATCAAGTTCAAGGGCTTGACAAGCGGCACATTCGACGCGCCATCGCCGTCCTTTGGGTACCCTTTCGCCTCATCAATCGTCTTCATATACCCCAAGGCTATTCTCTGGAGTGTTGCACCTATTGGGGTGCCTGAGGTAAGGGTTTGGTCATCGAACAAACGCTTGACGTCGCGGCTGCTCTGCACCACAACGGTTAATTACTCGCTCCAGCGAAGTCACAGAAGTGGCGATGTACCTTTACATTGCGTCCCACCACTGGGGAGTTCAGGAAATGGATGGTGAGACCATCGGTGTCATATTTGGCTGCTACGCTTGCGAGCTCGGCCAGTGCACTTCGGGCCTGCGCAGTCAGTGTATATATAAGCTACAAGGTACTGAGCTGTGCAATGATGGTAGCTTACCTCCTTCCAGCGATTTTCATACTTCATGGAAAGTGAATCGTCCACGACCAAGACAGTGTCGTATTTCTTGAGAGACTGCAGGGCATTTTCCTTCGATAGTGAAGCTCCCATATTGTCGCTTGTGGTAGGATTCAGCTAGGAAAACACTAGCTTAAATACACCTGCTCTGCAGTGAGTCCAATCTTGGACGGAGGCACAGGAGCGGCGAAGCTGTAAACATATCAAGTGAGACTACATCCGTCTTCAACAAGGCTGTGACGCCGAGCGTTTATAGCTGTGCACAATGTTAAATCTCAATCTCAAAACCTCGGATATATACTGGGATAAGTACATGATGTACGATAATTAAACGTCGACACGTATGCGTTGTATTATGGGTATAATTCTCTCCCACTCTTCCATTGCCTATGGAAAAGAGCGTCAATGCGTTGGCGCCAATGTGCACGGCCAAGTTCCACTCACTGCTTTATAGAACTCAATCTGCCCATCAGCTAGACCTCCCAGCATCTCCTTCATCTCTGCTTCTTTGGCGTACTGGAAAACAGATTGTTCTCGAAGCGTCTCATCGCTGAAAGCATCCAAAGTCTCATGAGCAGTGGTCACTGCGTCTTGAAGCTATGCAACATTAGAATACTGCAAGCTGTAACTTCTGTGGGAAATTGCGTACCTCTTTGATTTTGATATCGAGCTTCCGCATCTTCTCCACCCTGCTTCGGTCATCATCCATCCCACGAAGAGCATCTACTCTGTCTTTCAGGTACGCGCCAATACCTAAACCAGTGCTACCAGCATGGCCGCGAATAACAGCCGATAACCTATCGCGTTCGGTTGTAACACCTGAAAGATAGTCGGAGAGTTCTTCAAAGTCAAGCTGTTTCTGGTCGCGTAGCTTTAATACGGCGCGGTTAGCATGGGAGTAGGCTAGCAATGATCGTAAGTGCATGATGAAGGGGTCCGTGGTTGTTTGGGTCTACGGCAGACGCAAAGCTAGTTAGTGGTGACTTAAATATAAGGCTGATTGCGTACCGTGTGGCGAAGGAGGGCGGAGAATTCGAGCAATGTATTCGAGAAGTGATTCAGAGGATCGGTGATACCTGATTCCAAAAAACCAAGACCTTGCACAGCTACCGCAAGGTCGTGATAGTCAGCAGTAAGGTCTTCAGCGGATTCAGGGTTTCCATCTCATTCAGCCTCAGATTAGCACGTAAAGTGTGGAACAGCAAACTCACCGCTAGATCGACTTCGTATTTTATTCCATAAGCGGTCTGAGACGTTGATGCCATCCTCGAACTTGTCTACATTCTCCCGCATCTCGAGGAATCGGTCGTCGGGCTTGCGCACTTTGGTGAAGGCATTGAGAAGTGTGTCGGAGATATTGTCAATTAAGCCTGGCGACGGTTCTGGGCCTGGAGGGTGGGCGACATGGTGATGCATATGAACGTGCTACGCGACAATCAGCTCTGCTACCATTTAACGTAACCCGAAATTGACTGACCCATTCCGTTGATTCGAGGAAGGCGCGAACGAGTGCACTCCGCTGCAGAGTCGGATGACGCGAGACACGCTGGAGAAACCGGTTCAGCCTTGAAGCCCACTTAGTAACGCGAGAAGTACAGCAAGTCTAATCCTTACTCTGAGCGCCGACGTTCCATGAACTCGGGACTGAACCTGTCTCCGGTGAGATATTCTGTCGAGAATACGTCATATCGGGGACATGGACAAGATAAGGAAGGACATACCGAGTCGGTGCTTGTCTGGAAGAGGTGGAATCACGCATGCAGGAAAATCTTTGACCAGATTCTCCCGCAAGAAGACAAAGTCTTGGAAGCGTCGGCGAGCAGAGGGGTTCGGGGTGGAATAAATGGGCAAATTCGTCTACACGCGAATGAGAATGGACAAGAACATGATTCACTGCTCGTCGTACCTTTGCAGAGACCAGATATGAGACATAGGCATCCTTCGTTTCAGCCAGCTCCTTGACCGGATCCTTGACTGTGGTGAAGAGATATCCCTCCCATTTGGGGTCGTTAGGGCCTCCCGAGTCTGTTGCGGTGCTCTGTCTGAAGCCAGGGCCTGAAGAGGGTGCGTCGTCTGGCACGTTCGGCGCTGCAGGAGATTCCCAGGTCACACTGTCGAAGACGTCCTCATCGTCGCCTAGCATGGTGCCGGGTGGTGAAGATGAAGAAGCGATGAAAGGAGCTCGAGTGCTATATTGTTTAAGCGCCCGCAGGCGCCTGACGCGCAGTCAGGGACGTGCGCTGCCGCCGTGGCAAATCTGCTTCCACTCTCCAGACACGACGTCTGCAACATCTCAACTCCTTTCACCATGGCTCCGAGTCGCCTATGGCGCTCATTCGGGTCTCTGATTTCTTGGGCGGCGGGGGCCGCGCTGGTTGTGTCGGCATACGAGGTACCGGTGTCGGACAAGGGTGCGCTAGTCTCCGCATAACCACCCATCGTGATGACCGACACTTCTGCTCAGATAGCCGACAAGCATGCAGTGGGATGTACGGCGGCGACAGCGCGTACATTAATGGTGCGCCAGACCCACCAATGTAATGAACCGTCTTGACGAGGATTCCGAAGTTACCTTCCAGGGCACATCCCAGGGGCAGCTAGCCATGGTCATGTACGAATGGTCGGATTCGAGCTACCTCGGAAAGTACCCTAGCGACGCACTCGACGAACGCGTAAGTCCCCTTGGCGTGTACACAGGCGTCGACTTACAGCCGACTCGGGCATAGAAGGTCTATATCTGTACCACAGATGCACTTATGGGCGGGTTATGCGACGGCTCGCAGCTCGGAAGATTCATCATAAACCTACCGCAGGGGAAGTCGATCAACGAAACTAGCTTCTGGTCGGCCCGCATTAATCTATCAAGCTCCACCCCCAGCTCTAGCTCAACCAGCGGGCTCTGGGACAACCCTGAGGGCAACCCAACACCGCCGCCTGGAAACGGTACAACTGCTTGGAAGACACGATCTTTGCTGTCGCGTCAAGATGGTCCAGTCGACGAGCATGGTCACACCGAAGTCTATCACTACACGCAGCCCATTAAGTATGACGTAAAAAAGACGGGATTCTATTGCGTAGGTCAGTCGCGGGCGCGTGAACGAAAGTCCACTATCTAACCAATCTCCTCCTTAGCCATTGTTCCTGTTACTTTGAAAAACTCGGCTCAGGACGAATCGGGTACCGATGTACCATCCCACCCAGTGTACGAAGGCACGATACTCTTCCGCAACACGTTCGAAGGTAAACTGCCTGCAACGGACTACCCGAAAGTCAATGTGAGCTCCACAACCGCAAGCACTCTTGTCCACATCTTATGTTTATCTATTTCTAGTTCTATTTCGCAATGCTCCTGTTGTACACCACACTCGCAGCTGGCTGGGGTTGGCTCTGTTACCGTCATGTCAATGAACTACTTCCTATGCAGGTCGGTAGAATACTCGACGGACATTCCGTATTGCTGACTTACTCTCACAGTACTACCTATCAAGTCTTGTAGGACTTCTTGTGATTGAAATGGTCGCCAATTTCGGTGCGAAGCATTTCAAGTCAACATGGAACCTGTACTGACAGTCTTCAGCGTATTATCGATATCTCAATGCACACGGAAAGGGCGCAGCGTCGACGGTGTTTCTCATAGTTGGTGAGCACACTTATATAGTCACTCAATTCCCTTTCTACCGCCTAATTCTAACACTCGTCCGTAGTTGCCATCCTGGATGCCGGAAGAAACTCACTCTCCTTCTTCATGCTGTTGGTTGTTTCCCTTGGTCTCAGTGTCGTCCGCGAAAGCCTCGGCCGCACTATGTTGAAATGCCAACTATTGGCAGCCGCTCATTTCATTTTCGGAAGTACGCACATCATCCCCAATCTCCTCATCATAGCTACGGCCCTAACCCAGAATCCCTGCTCTCCTTCAGTTTTATACGCCGTTGGCATCGTGGAGCTCGAGCTGGAATCGACATCTGCTTTTGTTCTTTTGATTTTCATTATCCCGCTAGCGTTTACACTCAGTGGATTCCTTCTGTGGATCATGTATGCTCTGAACGGTATGTTTCCTTTCTCTCGTTCCTCGGTCATTAACTGAGAGAATTGTAGCGACGATTACCCAACTTCGCGCCCGGAAGCAACGCTACAAGCTGAAAATGTTTGAGCGACTCAATCACATCCTCATCATCATAGTGATAGTCATCGCCATCTTCTTTGTTGTCTCATCCATGTCATTCTCAGGCCGTATGGCAGAAGGTCAGTCACCAATGCCTAGCAACCCGTACATTCGCTTATTTGGCTCTAGATTACGCTGCACAGTCCTGGAAATCCAGATGGTGGCTACTTGACGGTTGGCTTGCATTGTTATATCTCGTTGGTTTCTCCGCCATTGCGTATCTCTGGAGGCCATCAGAAAACAACAGAAGATAGGTTCTTTTGCGCATTGTTCTAAGCAACTAACTTACCCTTCCATTACATTGTCTATGTCAGATGAACTGGCCCAAGACGAGGAAGATGCCGAAGACTACGATCTCGAAGCACTGGAAAGCCGTACACACGCTCGTGATGACGATGATGACGACAACGCTACTCTCGTTGGCGATCGAAGAGGCGGCCCCGCTCCATTGCGCGACGACCATGTTGTCTTCGAGATCGGTGATGAAGATGCCGGTAGCGACGATGAAGACGAAAGCAAGAAGCAAGGGCGAATAAAACTGCAGTCGAGTGAAAATCTTCCTGGCGATGTCCAGGAACGGCAGGGACTCATAGGGAACGGGGCATCGAGGGACCGCAACGACTAGTGTATATCTTCTCATTCCACTCATCTGGCCACTACAATAGATAGACATTATATTTGCATTGCGTATAAGATACAGTATAAAGCGTGAAAGCATGGACCCTTTAATCTCGAATACGACCGGACGACACAGTGTAAAGACGGGCAGCGATGTTCATGCTTTGCAATTCCTGGAAGGTGAAAATGTCAGTTGTGCTCGAAAGATGTTTCTCAAGATAGCTACCTGGAAGAGGAGCTTAGCTGCATAGGGAATGTAAAGCTGTGAACATGCCGTCTTATTCTTACAAGCACGGCACTAGGAAACAATGTTAGCAAGCAGGAAGATGTACGGTACGGCGACATACCTCGAATGTTTGTTTTTTCTATAAGTGTTGTCAGTATGAGTATCATGTAGGACGGAGAAGATGTACTTACAAGATTCGCGATAGCAGTAAGACCACAGCTAGGAAGAGCAGTTAGAAGTATGCCACAATGTAACCACGGGAGTACATACATATCACAAACGTGTAGGCGATAGGCGTCACTGGCTTCGAAGAGACGTTCCTTCAAGAAACCAGCGATACCATGCGAAATCATGCAATCACGTTCCATCTCTCCGAAACGCAAACCACCATCTCGACTTCTTCCCTCGACTGGTTGACGAGTGAGGATTTGCACTGGTCCACGAGCGCGCGAATGGATTTTGTCGTCCACCATGTGCTTCAGGCGTTGGTAGTAGGTTGGGCCAAGATATACCTGGGCTTGTAGCTTCCTGCCGGTGTGACCATGGTACATCACTTCCAGACCACGGGACTGATAGCCCTTCTGCCTCAAGAAGGCGGAAACGGACTCCACCGTAAGATCGGTGAATGGAGTAGCGTCGCCTTCGTTCCCGATAAGAGTGGCCACCTTGGAAAGAAGACATTCGACAAGATGGCCGATTGTCATACGTGATGGAATGGCGTGGGGGTTGATGATGATATCTGGAACGATTCCTTCGCAGGTGAAGGGCATGTCCTCTTGCCTGTACGTTATACCAATGGTACCCTTCTGCCCGTGACGCGACGCAAACTTGTCACCAATCTGGGGGATACGTGTAGAACGAACTCTGATTTTGACAAACTTCTGACCCTCGTGGTTGGTGGTGATAAGAACTTGATCCACAATACCATTCTCTGTACTCTTCAACGGAGTCGACACATCTCTTCGCGTATGAGTGCGAGTTCTTTGACCCAGTTCTTCGCTGTCTGGAGGGATAGGTGCTGTTTTGCCAATGATAATGTCTTCACCAACAACACCAGTTCCAGGAGCGATAAGGCCATCATTCTCGAGCTTGTCGTACGTGCCGTGTTTCATGCGAAGAGTGTTGTCACGAGAAGGCTTCTCGAATTCTTCGAGCTGCTGAATCCCAGACTTCTTTTCGAGATCCATGTAACTGCGATAGTACATACTCCGGAATAGACCACGATCGACCGAGCTTTGGTTCATAATAACGGAATCTTCTTGGTTGTACCCACTGTAGCATAAAATGGCTACGATAGCGTTTTGGCCTGCAGGTAGCTCTCGGAATTTGAGATATTCCATGGAGCGAGTAGTTGCCAGCGGTTTCTGAGGATAATACAGAATATTGGCCATGGTGTCCATTCGGATGAGGAAATTGGTCAGGAAGATACCCATAGCTTGTTTACCCATAGCAGATTGGTAGGTGTTACGAGGAGACTGCGAATAAGTTGCGTGAGGCGCGCAGCATACATCAACGATGAACGACATACCTGATTGTGATCCGGGAAGGGAATGATACTCGCGCAAATACCAAGTATCATACTCGGGTGAATTTCGCAATGTGTCCATGTATGTGCGTGGGTACTCGCCTTTAAGCGGGCGGCGGGGTCATACTCCCCATCGTTCACCCTCGTATCAACACCAGCGTGCTGCAACCGGGAATTCTCTAGATCCTCCGGGGTCATGGAAATCATAACTGTCTCTTCCTCTTCGGCATCTAACATCTCTATAACACCACTCCTGATGAGTCCGTCCCACTTGAATGGCTCGCCCGCATCATCAACGGTTTGGTTGAGCCAGCGGATATGCTTCTTCTGCAGAAGCAGTTGATGGTTCTCGACTATGAACAACGGTCTGCAAACTCGCCCGGCGTCGGTGTACACCCTGAGCTCCTTTTCTCGGATGTCTCGCACGACAGAGACTTCAGGACTGATGTCGTCTTTCCTGCGAAGCTTCTTCAGCGTTTTGACGAGATTAGCCGGGTCCCTATGTACGCCCATCCAAACACCATTGACGAAGACCTTCGTACACGGTATAGATGAATGCGCGTTCTCTTCGAGGGACTCCAGCCCCCACTCCTCCAAGAACTCAATGACAGGCGCAGATATAGAGCCGACAGAGATGCACGACATGAGAGCGAGATTCTTGACTAGGCCACACGCTTGTCCTTCAGGGGTTTCTGCCGGACACACCATACCCCAATGGGTATTGTGCAGTTGACGAGGTTTGGCGATCTTCCCTTCACGACCCAGAGGCGTGTTGCAGCGACGCAGATGTGAAAGTGTCGAAGCGTAAGTGTAGCGATTGAGTACCTGAGACACGCCCGCTTTCGAGGACATCGACTTCTTCTGATCTCCCCAGTTCCCTGTTGCCAGAGAATATTTTAGACCGTTGGTGATTGTCTGATGTTTGACGGCCAAGGTGAGGTTGAATTCCTTATGCGTTTCCACGCACTTCGTGCAAGGTGAGCAAAACGGATGCCACAATTACAAGGCAAGTTACCTTCTGCAAGTAACGGTATACATCTTTGGTGAGCTTGCGGAACAACATCCGGAACAGATTGGACAGAAGAGGTCCAGCAAGATCGAGACGCTTCTTGCCAAAATGATCACGGTCGTCGAGTTCGCGACGCTCCATTGCAGCCAACAGCAGGCGATGAATCATGTAGCCGAAGAAATATGCCTTCTTCGACTCGGAGCCTTCCGCCATGGAGACATGGGGTAGCATCTCTTTCTGTAGGATCTCCTGGGCGTACCGTATACGGCGATCACGCGACAGACCAGTGGTTGTACCTCGATTGCCGATGAAATCGAGAGCCACTTCGCGGTCTTGAATAACGAAACCGTCTTCAATACAAGGCTTCAGCATCTCCAGCATTTGCACGTCCTGCATGTCGTAACATATGTGCTCGAGGATGTCGCGGTCAGAAATCACTCCAAGGCCACGGAAGACAACCCAGATAGGTATGTCGACCTTGATGTAAGGGATGGTAGCTTTCATGACATTACCCGACTGGTCAAGGATGTCACGCCGCTGACGGTAAGGAATGGGCGAATACACTTACAGTTTTCTCCTGGCTTCGGTGGAACATCTTCACTTGAAACTGACTGATCGTCTTTCCTCCCTTCTCGACTGCACTACGGATTTCTGCCAGGAAGTTGATCGGTGACGGCTGGGCCTTGGCAAAGACGTATACATGATTCGTAGCCATTCGCTCCTGCGCAATAAGAACCTTCTCGGAACCATTGATGATGAAGTATCCTCCGGAGTCGTATGGGCATTCGTTGAGATCATACAGGTCTTGGTCTTGTAAGTCGCGAAGGATGCAGAAAGTCGACCGAAGCATGATGGGAACCTGGCCTATCGTTTGCTGGAGATTCCAAACGGGCTATCACACACGTACCTTGCCTATCCAGACTTTGGTAGCATCTTCAGCCCTCTCCCCATGCTCCTGTACCCATGTTATTTCCCCTGGCACGTCTGGGTCTTCCCGCCCGATCATGACCTTTTTTCGCATTTCAATGTAGAGGGGGGCAGAGTATGTGAGATTCCTGAGTCGAGCCTCTTGTGGAAACACTGGAACCACAGAGCCATCGGCCTCCGTAACAGTGGGACGCGAGAGGTAGATTTGACCAAACTTGATCTCATAACGACGAGTCATATCAGAGTCATGGCCTGAATACTGGTCTGCTTGGTCGAGGATGAGGTCTGCATTTTCGTCAACCAACTCCTGCATGGTATTCTGAACGAATTCATCGAACGAGTCGAGTTGCTGTCTGACGAGACCTCGTTCCGCGAAGAAACTTGAGATGACAGTCCAGCAATCCTCCTGGGTTATCTCCTCGAACTCCTCGTCATCGTCCATGCCAAAGTTGGGGTCGTCATACGCGTACGGGTCTTGTTCATTTTGCGAGGGAAAATCTCCAGTCAAGATTAACATGGGTGTTAAACAGACATAAGGAATAGCACAATGGTATACCTTGGCTCATAATCTAGGAACTACGACAAAGAGTGGGGATACAGGAGCCGTCCAAGGTGCGCGCGACGATGTACAGCCTTTTTGCTCAGAAATTGTGGCGAGTCCGTAGCGTAGAGCACCTGCGCGACGTCCAAGGTGCTGGTAAGAGAGAAAAGGGCGACGCGCGACAACGCTCAGAAGTGAGACCCCTTAGTCAGCGGTTGGCACAGCTCTAAGCGCCCAGCTTCTTCCTCGTCCCACTATGCCCGGTCAACGTCTCCCAAAGGTCGTCTTAGATGAGCTCGAATCTATTGCTCCCAAGGCAGAATTCAGCGGCAGCATGCCACGAATAGAATCTTCGTCTGGATCTCAGTATTTCATCAAACTTGGCTCTCCAGGAGAGGCCGAACAATATGAGGGAGAAGCTGAATCTCTGAAGGCAATGGACGCAGCGTCCCCGGGTCTGGCACCCAAGGTCCTTGCTTCTGGCAAGGATTCGACCACCGGCCGACCCTACTTCATATCCCAATACAAAGACTTGACCCATTTAACAGACTCAGCATCTCGAAAACTAGGGCAGAGATTAGCGCAGGAGTTGCATGCATATAAGAGCTCGTCAGGGTTTGGCTTTGGTATGCCAACGTACTGTGGCGCTACGCGTCTCGAGAACGGCTGGTTCGAGACATGGGAAGCGTGCTACAGCGCAATGATAGGTGATCTGGTCAGACAATTACGCAAGAAGGGGAAATATGGCCTCTGTGGGGCGGCAGAAGAAGTTCGGGAAAGGTTAGTACTACCATGATGCCTACAGCATGAAATGTAATCATCCACAAGGGTTATACCAAAACTACTAGGTATGGATGCCCTTACAGTTTGAGTAGGCAGTGTAATAAGCCGTTAATGGACAGGATCCATCAGTGTTCCTCCCGTTCTTCTCCATGGCGATTTATGGGCGAGTTCATTCCCGGTCGAATACACCTGTTTGACCATCTCTGATTCATGCAGTAGAGCGGGAATACCGGAACCGATAGATCAACTGGCGAACCGGTAATATTTGATCCAGCTTCCTTCTACGGGCATAATGAAGCAGAGTGAGTAAACCTACTTCGTACCCGGCCGATGGCTTTTGCTGATGCCTGAGCTTGATCAGTCTAGCTATTGGGCGAATGTTCGGCGGTATCCCCGGGGGCTTCTACGAGGAATACCACAAATATCTGCCAAAGACAGAGCCGGTAGAGCAGTACGAGCTCCGGAGCGAACTTTACCAACTGTTTCATTACTTGAATCACACTCTCTTATTCGGAGTGAGCGATGAACCGTCGATAACTTATCTGTGATAGCTAACGTCAATGATACAGGGATCCTACCAATCTTCTGCGATGTCAAAGGCTAAACTCCTATTATCTGCGAAATTGTGACATTGCGCCGAACATGCATCAAAATCATGAACTACATGTGCCGGTATATATTGCTATTAGGAAGGGTAGCGCAGATGTGGCCTCGGAATGCGTATTGACATTATGCCAGCTACGGAAATCAACCGCAGATACGACGATAACAATTATTAGATATCAGGCGTCTCCAATAACGCTGTAATCGTTTGTCCTCGTTGGCGAAGTGCCAGCAGTCCCTCTGTCATGCGTGATGCTGGCGAAGGGCTGATATCATAAAAAATCCCTCGGTGATGGCGGGTACGAGGTACATCGGCTTCGTCATCATCCCTTCAGACTACTTCCGAGGCATCCACGAGTTGAGCCCAGATTGTTAACAGCCGGACCCTGCAGATGCCTACAACTTTTAATAGCACGAACATCAATGTGGGCGGTGGTACGACGGAAGATCCACTTTACCGGATGTGGGGCTTTTTCAACGATGAGATGAGGAAGTATGTAGCTTTACACCCGTCCGTAATTTGGCCTCAAACTGCTTCGCAGCCTGTATTATGGAGGGTTTCGCTTCTAACGGGTAGGAGGAAGAGCGGGCATGAGGCTGGCTACTCGTGCGGCGGGGTGCATAGGTCTTTCGAACCTGAGGATGTATATAGAGCGGCTGAATAGGCATGGTGGGTTGAGCTGAGGAAATGTTTATGATAGTGGGGGGTTAAGATTTCCAAAGCTACGAGGTTTATATACACGGGTACGCCTCCGACATGTTCGCTAATCTAACCGTAGATCCGCATGAGCGGCGACGCCCACCTAACGAAACAAAGCAAGCCAGCACAGAAACGTCGCAAGTAGTCTCTGAGGGCTATCGAAGGATCCCTCAGACTTCACATGGGATGACGGACAATGGCATTCGTGGTCGGTGTATGCCGAGGTATGTGATACAGACGAGGGTGGTGTGATTTTATAGAGGGAGGATAGGGGTAGGTTCAGAATCGGGGCAGCTGTTTGCCAGGAAATCGCTTCTTCGCGATAACGAGCCGAGCGAACATGAAGGTCGTTAGTCCGGAAAGTAGGTACCTGGGAAAAGGTCAGAGACAGGATGACCCCGGGGGCGAAATCGTACCAAGTTAGCACATAAGACAGATGCGCATTACGGAGGGTGACTGTCGGCGGACGGCCAATGGGGATGCCCTTAGCCAGCATCGACGCGGCTTCGCCAGCATGTCCCTCTGGAAGAGCTATGAATTCACGGCTCGGTTGAAGATGGGGTCACTTCGACGTACCGAAGACCTCCTCAATAAACACAGGTTGGACGTCGGCTTCTTCACCACCTGCGTACTGCGCCATGGCGTCTACATCTGTCCAATACCATTCCCCTGCATCTGGTTTATTATCCGGAGTGAACGAATTTCGGGGTTGCGACGTCCGCAACATGCCGAGGAGTTCGACTTTTCCTGGGTCCTCTAGAGCAAGAAAGTCTTGAATATGGTCGTTCGAGACGAATCCCCGGTCGACGATTAATGTCGTGCCGTCGCTCCGAATCAAGGGCGTCACCACATGCACGCCGTGAATGCCCTCCCGGACACGAAGAGTCAGGAGCATCGTGTGGGCATGGTCCCATCTGCCTGATATCTTCACTTTTCGCCAGATAAATTCCGGAAGTACTGAAAGACTGCAATCATGACCGTAAATATGCTCTTCGTTTCATCAGTATGGCACTCACTTTATACGTTTTGGGAGAGTCAATGGGGCTAGCTGCAGCTTTTCCTCTAACTCGTCAATGAGATTGATTTTCCATTTGAGCCGTTGCATTTGCCAGGTTCCTAGCGCGAACGTGAAGAAAGGCATGATCCCTAGCAGTATCATAGTCGGTGTAAGCCATGATTCCTGACGCGGTTTATACAGTGCTGGAACGTTAATACGCGCGCGACGAAGAAAATTGGGCTTTGGGGTGCTGTGGAATGCCCGCCACGGCGTGCACCCAATATTTCCTGGCCTCAGAGATCGAAAGCGGAGCCAAGGAAGCATGACTATTACTGCGATTCCCACGGCATCTACTGTTCTAGTTTCCTGTTCACTGCCCTGGAACCTCTTTCGTCTCTCCTCCCATCTCCATCATCTACAGCTGCTTCTATCCTAAACTATCGCTGAAATGTACGCAGACGCTGTCGTTGCGGTCTCGCTCATGCTGATATCTCCGCGCCAGGCTGAACGGCGGTCGGACGCGTCAGAATCCAACATATGACATAGATGGCGATGAGATGCACTACCCCACCAGGCCTGTGGACAAGGACAAGGCAGAGCATGAGCTCGTTATAAACATCAAGAAGGCCACTAGTCCAGAAGAGACTGCGCCAAAGCAGAAGCACGTCCGCAGTAAGTGTCGGACTTCACTATGTACTAGTGATATTAACAAGCGGTCCAAGAGTGCATTGTGTTTACATGGGACTATCATTCGTCGATATCATTCTGGAGTGGACTTCGCGTCCAACCTATACTGGCAGACGAAGTCCAGACATTCAAAGCTTTGATCACGGTTCACAAAGTGTTGCAAGAGGGACATCCAACTGTGAGTCTTTAATTGACTTTTCACTCTAGCACAGCTTAGGTCGTCACTTTAGACCATTAAGGAAGCCCATGGCCAAACAGCTTGGTTGGAAACGTGCGCGCGGACGGTCGGTACTGATGGCCAGCGAGGTCTGTTGATCTCATCCGCGTCGGTATTTGTAGCTGACAACAATTAAAAGGATATGGGCCTCTGATACGATCGTACGTTCAATTTATACTCGCCAAGCTAAAGTTCCATCGTCTACGGCCTGAATTCAACGGACTTTTTGAATACGAGGAATACGTTACTCTAAAGGGTATCGACGATCCTAATGAAGGGTATGTAGATTAGATCCCCTACCTGTTTGCAAACGCTAAACTTCTATAGGTACGAAACGATATCAGACTTGATGTCCCTCCAGGACCAGATCGAATCATTCCAGAAGATGATATTCTCTCACTTCCGGCACTCGACGAACAACGAGTGCCGTATCTCGGCTTTAGTTCCATTGGTCAAGGAGAGCTGGGGGATCTACCGTTTCATTACGAGCATGCTTAGGGCGATGCACAGACGTAAGTTCCCCGTTCGAATATTTGCCTAGGTTTGACTTTGGCTGGATATAGGCACAAATGATATGGATGCTTTGGAACCATTACGGGAGCGATATGCGGGCCAGCATTATAACCTCAGAAAATTCTACTACGAATGCTCCAATCTCAAGTATCTGACCGGCTTGATCAATGTTCCGAAGTTAGGACATGTACGGTCCCTTCATAATGTTTGTTAACGCGGGCTCACGCCTTTATTAGGAACCACCCAACCTCTTGGATGGCGGCGACGCCCCAGATCTACCGGCTAGACCCAAGACCGCCGTGAAGTCGCCATCTCCACCACCATCGGCTCCAGCCCCAAGCGCCGCGGAGATTGACGAACAAGCCCGAATGCTGAAAGAATACGAAGACAAGCAAGCAGCGCTTCAAGCACAACGCCAGGCGGAGGAACAACAACGACTAGAACTTCAGCAACAGCAGCAAATGGAGTTTGAACAACGACAACGGGAGCAGGCAGAGCGCGAACGTCTAGCACAGGAGCAACTCATGCAGCAACAGATGATGTACCACAACCAGGCAGCACAGCAACAAGCTGGCGACCTCGAGAGGGAACTCCTTGCCATGAGGGGTCAGTACGAACGAGATCAGATACTACTTGAGCAATACGACCGAGTGAGTCACGCTAAACTTGTCCCTGCCCGACCATGCTTATGCGGTATCTTAGCGAGTGAAAGCCTTGGAGGGCGAGCTCAACAGCATATCGCTTAACGTCAACTCGCAATTGTCAACGAAGGACGACTTACTAAAGCAAATGCAGGAGCAAATCAACCTTTGGCGTAGCAAGTACGAAGCTTTGGCCAAGTTGTATAGCCAGCTTCGCACGGAGCATCTGGATATGTTGTCGAAATTCAAGCAACTCCAACTGAAGGCCAATTCAGCTCAAGAGGCTGTCGATCGCATGGAGCGGATGGAACGTGACCTTAAGGCAAAGAATCTAGAGCTAGCAGATATGCTACGAGAACGCGACAGAGCGAGGTTCGATATCGACAGGCAGAAGTCATCACACAAAGAGGAGATTGATCGCTTACGCCGTGAGTTGAACTTCGCCAACGAACGCGCAGAAGATGCCTCTCGTTCCAAGAGCTCGGAAGTATCATCAGTTCTCAGCAAGTACAACCGTCAAATAAGCGAATTGGAAGACTCGCTGAGGGTGAGTTGTGACGACCTTGTCCCACATCTGCGATTCTTGATGTTATATAGGCCAAGCAAATGCAAATTGATGACCTACTGACTAAATTCGACGACGCTACTGCTGAAATGGAGCGCCTGAAGGATGAGAAGGACCAGGAAATCTTGATCCTCCAAGAAGGCATGGATGCCACGCTTCAACAGCTCTCCGAAGCCCAACAGGTGGGTATACTAATTCGACTTTTCAGTTTCTATCACTAATGCGCCCGAAAAGAATCAAGGAATAGTGGATGAAACTACAAATGCCCAGATCGACACTCTCATTTTGGATAACAGGAAGAAGCTTAATCAGATCATAGGTATTGTCTACATTTCTATCGTCGTGACGCCCACCAATTGTAAGCACAGATTCTATCCTCCAGGCATGCGTTCAGAAGGTGGACGATGCTATCTACGAGTTGGAGTCACCAACACAAGCCGGCAACCTCAACTCTACGCCAGAATATACTTTGTCGATGATCGAGAAGTCCATCAACAACGCAAATGAATTCGCGACCGTTTACCTCCTGTATCTTTCCGGTGATCCTGGAGGCGAGCACGTAGATGTCATCAAGGGTGCCAACGAGCTGGCGCAATCGTTGTCCGACGTGTTAATCAACACCAAAGGCATTACAAGGCTGGCCAGTGATGATGATGCCTCCGACCGTTTGGTCGGCGTTGCCAAGACTGCTGGAGATGTTGGGCTGCGTTTCTTCTTGAACTTGCAATCCTACAAGATGGGTCTTTTGGAACCAAAGCAACGTTCTGATGCAGCCATGCGCAACAATGGTGAAGTCAGGGGTGCCCTGACCAAGCTGTCGGAAGTCGTGGAGGCCATCATACCGAAAGGAACCAAGGGTGGTGCCCTTGCACGAGCAAATGGTGACATTGGCGACATCGTTGAGCAAGAAATGAACAGTGCCGCCCAAGCAATTGAAGCGGCTACAAAGCGACTTCAAGAACTCATGGCTCGTCCCCGAGATTCTTCGCGCTTCAGCGCTGTTGATCTCCAAGTCCACGATTCGATCCTTTCTTCTGCTATGGCCATCACCAGTGCTATCGCCCGGTTGATACAAGCCGCTACAGAGTCGCAGAAGGAGATTGTCGCTCAAGGGAAAGGATCTAGTTCGATGCAACAATTCTACAAGCGGAACAACAGATGGACTGAGGGACTTATTTCTGCCGCCAAGGCCGTCGCTTTTGCCACCAATTTGCTCATCGAGAGTGCCGATGGTGTCTTATCAGGTACACACTCGTTGGAGCAACTCATCGTTGCATCAAACGAAGTAGCTGCGGCGACCGCCCAGCTCGTTGCTGCATCGCGTGTCAAGGCGAACTTGATGTCGAAGACCCAAGAGCGTTTGGAGCTCGCGGCCAAAGGCGTCACAGAAGCATGCAAAGCACTCGTAAGACAAGTCAAGGCCGTATCTGCACGGCAGTCGGAAGAAGAATACGTCGACTACAAGAACATGGCTGTCCTCGAATTCAAGACACGGGAAATGGAGCAGCAGGTGGAGATTTTGAAGCTGGAAAAAGAACTCGGTGCCGCTCGCCACAGACTAGGTGCCATGAGACGAGCGGGATACCATACGGACGAGACGGATTAGGATATACTTTTTACTTTTCAGCGGAATTATCCATTTGTGTACGAGGAATACCCTATTCCACCCATAAATTGGGATTATTTAATAATATGTGCAGCTGGCGATCAAGAGGATGAAGTATGCAAGATGAAACCAGTCGACTGTATGTGAACAAGGAGAAAGCAACTAAAAAAACATGTCGAAACTGCAATTGAGAACGGAAAATGCCTAAGTATATAAATGCGGAGAAAACGAAAGTAAGTATTCAATGAGGACTCGCGGGCCATTAATGACATAGATAAGAATAAACAGAACGAGTGTGAACGCCAGACATAGATGCGACAAAAGAAGGCATTATTCATCTATTGTGCGAACAGTATCGAATGATTCACGGGCAAGGTCCAAAAAACTGTCTTCAATACCATTAGGCTCTTCCTTGTCGATGTCATCGTCTATCTCCAAGAAAGAAGGTTTTCGCAATAGCGACCGCCGCTGCAATATTCTCTCGGAAGATAGCTTTGGCACAGAGACCTTCCTTCGTGGAGGTGGGGCGAGGGGGACAATGCGCGGCGTGTGAACGAAGGAGGAAGCAGACACGGGCGTCTCGGGTGGAGGAGCAAGAGGGGCAGTGGAGGGACGTATCGGCCTCGGTCGAGGAGGAGGGGGCAAGCTGTTCGTCACAGGCTGGAAAGAAGTCGAAGGGAAGAATAAATGACTCCGTGGTGATGAAGCGGAGGTTGGAGAGGACGGAGGGGATATTGTTGCCTGCGATGTGGACGGCCGCACTTGAAGACGTGGAACGGGAGGCGCCTTATTAATCATGGACGCACTCCGTAATGGAGACCCTGTATGCGGAGGGAGAATCGGAAGGAGATGGATCGAAGTGGGCGGTGAATGGGGAGCAGAAATAGAGTAGTCATCATCCGACATTGTCGTTGATACCGACGTGAATGACGACCCCCTTGGCCGCACATACGTCAACCCAGCCTCATGCACGCTCGCCTCTATCTTCGCCATCTCTGCTGGGGATTTAATCCGCCTTGGAGTATAGTCCACTACCGACGAAGTGGCCGGACTGGCTGGCTCGTCGATGGAATTGCAATCCCACGATGACCTTGGAAGACTCGTAGATTGGGCAGCTGACGATGTAGACGGCATGTTCCGCGACAAGGACAATCCTTGCATTCTTTCTTGTTCCAACGGCAAGCTAAATACTGACCGTATATCATCATCCACAGGAGTGCACTGCGACGTTGACGGCCTTCTCAAGGTGGGGCCTGAAAATAACCGACCTCGGGTTGGAAGCGCGCCATGTGAACTGGACGTTCTCTGCGTTGATGTCGGTGCCGAAGGAAGGGGAGCTGTTGGCCCAAAGGAGGTAGCATGTCTGAGGGATTGCGGAAGCGGTGGAACTGGTATTCGAGGATACGAGCGCTGCTTTCGGGGAGCTTTCTCAAGTGGAGCATCTGTCGCAGAACCTGAAGCTATTGAGCTCGCACTTGTTCGGCGCTTGATTAGCGACTGATGAGAAAGCGCACGCTTGAGAGTTTGGGGCGACGAAAGGGGAGAAGGCGGAGGTTGTGGGGCTACAATAGGTGGTCGGATAATTTCTTTGGCCTGATACTGTTTTCTCTTTTTCTGACGGGAAGATGAATGACCCGGCTCTTCTTCTAATGAAGGTTTACGCGAGTGTGCAAAATAGGCGTCTCTGTTCGAGGAGGTGGATGATGCGAAAGAAAGGCCAGATGAGGATGTAGAAGAAGTGGAGATGTCGGGCAGGATATCGGAATCGTCGTCGGCAGTTGCACCGTCGACAAGCGCAGGAGGCAACGGCAAATCATGTGTTGGAGGTGCGCTTGGAGGGGGACCTCCCATACGAGTCGAAGATTGCTTCCGTCGAAGAGCAGAGGTCGGCGGTGAGAAAGTAGGGGACATGCGTCGAGATGGGGACGGAACGAGTGATGATGTTGATACCGAGGTCGACGACGACGGCTCACTTGGAGGAAACGATGGTTGCCTCATTCCTGTATCAGTCATTCCTCTGGCACGCATTGGAGGACGTGGGAGAGGGTTGGGAGGAGGTTGGCTGAGTCGATGCGGGTCAGACGGAGTGACAGGTGATGAAGAGGTAGGACATTTGGCAGAATGAGTGAGACTCTCCCAAGCGGAGGTCAGAGAACTCTCCGCTGACAAAATGGACACCTTTCGATGCAAACTGCCCTGAGAGCGACTGTTGATGCAATCAGTAAAGGCGAAGCAAGTGATAGATTTTCACTCACCGAGGCTTGAGCTTGAGAGCCGGAGGAGGCTCTTGCCACCGTGCTCCCGGGGACAGCTGCTGGTCTCCTGCTGAGGAAAACGCGGAAGAGGCATACGAAGTGCGCTGCATGCTAGCCTTCTTCGACATATAGTCCGAACCGGATGAACCGGAGTATACTGACAGTCGGTTTGGATCAGCGACGGCGTTCATCCCGTACGACGCAAATGGGTCTTGATCAGAAAGGGTCAAAAGAGACTGACGGTGGGGGTTGTGGTGTTCCACCGGGGTAACTGGCCCAATAGATTCCACGGGGGACTTTGTCGATGAGACCGATTTCGAAGGGGGCCTGTTCATGTACTTCCTGTCATTCTGAGGCGGAAGCTCAATGGCCGGTGAGACATTCGGGAAGCTGGGGGTCCTCGGAAGATACGGGGGCTCCTGTATGGCCAGCACAGGGTGTTTCTTCGACTTGAAGCCTATCGCGGAGGCCAAAGTGTTGAACTTGGAGCCCGAAGCGGCTTTGGCGCTGCCGGGGGCATCCTTGGGGGGATTCGTCTGCTTCGAGCTGGAGGCGGCGGCGGTTTTCGAAGACAGAGACCACCATTTGGAAGTGGAGGAAGATTGGCGCGAGGAGACAGACATACAAAGAAAAAATCAAAACGAGGGTGGAAGTGATATGGACGTGGTCAAGCAGGGCCTTGTCGCATATTCAGGCGTCGGGGGTTGAGGAGGAGGAGGAGATGATGGTACGGGTGGAAAAGACAGACAGAAAATGACGGACCTGGAACTTGATCAAACGCGCCGAGCGGTGTGATCAATGGACCCCTATAATAGTCCCACGGTCACAAATTACAGATCTTTCATCAGTATGATCTCTCCCACGCTCACACTCAATTGCATCCCCATACGTTACTGATCATCACACATATGATTGTCGCCTTGCTTCTTGACATGGCAGCATGCCAGTCCGTCCGTTTCATGCTTTGATCCTCATATACAGAATGCAAAAAATCTCACTAACGTAAGTCCATATTTTTCGTGCCGTCGTGGCTACCCGCGACTCCGTCTATATTTTACGTGGAAAGCACACTCCGTGTCCAGGACAATGTGCCCCTAGTGCGTGAGATCGGGCCCTCAGAGGCAACTCGAGCACTAATTGGGGCTTGGTAACCATAGTTGACTCGATCTGCCATCGTTAATGAAGTTCTCAGGTTGTTTGCAGAGCACACGCATCTATGCGCGAGTTCTGGAAGTAACAATATACGTGGCCTCGCCATGGCAAATGGTTTATCCAAGACGACCAACTTTCCAGGCATATGAATGTCACGCTTGTCGTTAGGATATCAGGGCAACGTTGGGGTAACGTACCTGAGGCCTTGAGGCTCGCATTGACAGCAGACATGGACGATTCAGGAAGTATGATCGTTACGCAACATAACCTAATACACAACGTACCGGCTTCCTGTTCCATAGAGGCTATCAGACAAGTATGTCGTACTTTCATTCCTAATGGTGATATATGCAGTGAACTACTATAGATGCATGATAGAACGCGAAACTGATACTCAATAAATAACACCGCAGTGTACGAAACACATCACCCCATCGAAGCCCACACATCCTCATCGTCTCGATCGCGCGCTGCATTCACAGCTTTCGGCATGGGTGTGAACGCGCCTCGCTGCGCATCGTTTGGCCGTTGTTCCGCTCCCGCATCAAACAGGACGGGATTCCTGCCAACCAACGGTCGCGCAAGCTCATCCTCCTCCTCGTGGTCACTATCAATATCGAGGTCAAGGCTGTAGCCTGCACGTCTCGCAGCATTGATATCAATGGGTTTTGGACGGGAAAAGATGGACTGCCCCGATCTGCGCCAAAATCAAGGTTGGTAAATCAAACTGTGGAGCAGTAATATTTGGGAATGGGCGGCGCACTGTCTCATGACCGCTGCTAGGCGGCCGAATTGGAGGACGTTACGGGCGACCAACAACAACGTGTCGAAAATTTCCTCTTCCTTACTCCCCGCTCCGCACTTCGCGAAGGCTAGCACCATCAACGTCAGGGCGCAGAATAGCGTTAGAATTAGGTCAACAACGTTGAACGGTGATTTCCAGAATTGCTGCAGGGAAAGGGTCCGACAATTAGATAGGTATAATTCCGGGACGCCATACAGGATACGCCACGCACCTGCCCAAGGGCAACGAACCGAATGCCGACTTCCAGTATCATTGCTGTGTTGATTATTATTTCCAATATGTAGAACGCCAGTCCTGGACATCCATCCGCCAAGCTCAGAGCTACTGTTGTGACTGACAGGGCGGCCATGCCGAGATACAAGAATATGTACGTCCGCGAGTGCACGAATCGGTTTGCGAGGCCTTTCGTTATCTCACTTCGTGTGAGAGCATAGATAGAACGAGTGGGACTGCGCGCCGAGACGAATTTAGATTGCGGGTATGGCGGGGCCGAAGACAGCAATAAAATTCAGAAGTATCAGATGAGTATAGCAATCGTCGCAAGCACACGGAAGCTGGTACCTACGCAGGCTGAGACTGCGGCTGCTCGTAGAAAGCGTCGCGGTTCAATGGATCCGTATCGCCGTATTCAACGTCTGGAAGTGGTGGCATTGCTTCGATGCTCTTCGAAGCCGAGTTTAGGGAACGAGGATGAGGGTATGTGGGGAAGGCGGAGGATGTCACAGTCGGGATTGCACACGCACTCAGCGACGCGGTCACACCGTGACATGTCACAACATGGAATGAGAACGAACATTTCTCGCGGCAAGTCAAGCCAATTGTGCACATGAACAGTCACGGTCAGCGGCATGAGAATACAAATCTCTATCTAGAACCCCCCATCAGCGTTGCGATAAGGCCAGTAACCCGCTATCTTGTCTACTTATTATCATGGCGGCCCCTGGTAATTCTGCGCCCTGGCAAGCTCTCGTCAAAGAGAAACAAGAGAGGCAAAAGGCGACCATACCCCCTAAATGGCTCATCGAGCTGCCTGATACAAGGACCCTTGACGTGACATCTATTCCAGAAACTTGTGGCTTATTGAGCGCAAGGGAACTAGAGATAACCAGGTCGAATGTCGAGGTATTGTTGCCCAGGTTGGCCAGTGGATCGTGGAGCGCGGTGGAAGTGACCACGGCTTTCTACAAGAGAGCTATAATCGCGCACCAGCTGGTGAGTTTGTTTCGTATACAGACGAAATGATCGTTTTGCTTAAATGTTGGATAGACCAACTGTCTGACAGAGATATTCGTCGATAAAGCTTTGGCTCGAGCGGCTGCGTTAGATGAACACCTTAAGACGACGGGGAAAGTTGTTGGACCACTTCACGGTCTCCCCGTTTCCTTGAAGGATCAAATAAATATTGAGGGTATCGAAGCGTCCATGGGTAATGAGCGACTGATTCGTGCCGGAGAATATAGACTGACATCCCAATAGGTTACGTCTCCTGGCTCGGAAAATATGCGACCAAGAACTCGGTTCTAGTCGATGTACTGCTCGAGCTCGGCGCGGTCCCATTCGTCAAGACGAATATACCTCAGACACTGATGGTAAGTTATCGATCTTCGTTGACATCCCATTGGTGCTGAACAGCGTCGACAGTGGCCGGAGACCTTCAACCACATATTTGGTAGAACTTCTAACCCCCATAACCGCTCCTTAACCAGCGGGGGATCGTCAGGGGGAGAAGGAGCACTCATTGGTTTGTCGCCCTTTTGGCAAGATCTACTCGTGACCGTAGCTCATGAACTCGCTCATAGCTTTGAGGGGCAGCCCACTAGGTATGTTTACCTCCAGGTGAATTGGCTGTCGCATTGATCACAGGAATAAGGCGTCGGTTCAGATATTGGAGGGTAAGCAAAGCTAAATCATCGTACCTCTTAATAACTAAACCCCGGGTCAACAGTTCCGTACGAATTCCTTCTGCGTTTTGTGGCGTCTACGGTTTACGGCCGTCATATAATCGCATCCCATATGGCGGATGTGTCAACTCGATGGAGGGGCAGGACTCTGTTCTTTCCGTTCTTGGTCCTATATCCAACAGCGTCGTCGGCCTTAAAGCCTTCACACAGTCAGTGATCGAGGCCCAACCGTGGCTTAAGGATCCTCTCGCCCTTCGAAAGCGATGGAGCCCCGAAGAGTATGATCTCATTGAACATAACAACGGAAAGAATCTATGTTTCGCGATCCTCTGGAATGACAGGCTCACCGTGCCGCACCCACCCATAATCCGTGGGCTCGAAACGACAAAGAAGGCACTTATCGCTGCGGGCCACACAGGTGAGCCCTCACTACGAACCGTGTACACGCACATATACACTATTCCTTGGCATTGAAACGCACCCCATAGTGATCGACTGGGTGCCTCACAAACACGGCGAAATCTACGAAACACTCGTGAGTTTCTCTTCGGCATCTTTTGCACGTTGGAAGTAGATCTGAGATGCATCATCGATGACGAAGAGGGCTGTCTGGGCAGCTGGTGCAGCCGAAGATTATGCTGTTACGACGTCCCCTACGGGCGAGCCTGTTATAAGCACCATGAGCCCTGATCCGGATGTTGCTGGGACGGAGGCGTCCTTCCGTCCGGGTAAGGCTGGGATATCTGCCTATCAGCTTTGGCAGACGCAGAAGCGCAAGAGGGAGCTTCGAGAAGAATACCTGGCTCACTGGCAGCAAACTGCTGGAACGACCGGCACAGGACGACCCGTCGATGCCATCATCTCCCCTGCAGCTGCCTACGCCGCACCACCTCATGGAAAAAATAAGTGCGTCTTTCTGGCACTTGCATCAAGGATAACGTTCAGCGCTGATAACTCAAACACCACATGTTTTCTTTACAGAAACGCCGATTACACCATGATATGGAACTTGCTTGATTATACCACGATGGTGATCCCAATCTCCAAAGTCGACCCAACATTTGATGTCAAGAAACCGGCGCACGAATTTTTGAGCGATAGAGATCAGATTAACTATGACCTATGTGCGTTCTGATATCTCTGATTGGATTTCCATTGCTGATTGCGGCGGTGCCAATAGATGATCCTGTAGTATTCGCCAATGCTCCAATATCCATTCAGGTCGTCGGACGCACCCTCGAAGAAGAGGCAGTACTTGCGTTGGGCAAGATCGTCGACGATGCAGTAAAGGCATTGAGTACAAAGGCAACCGGCAAGATGTGATACAGTTGTAAGTATGGTATTCGTTTACGGAGTTGCAGCGGGGTGATACAATGCAAGATGCTGGAAAATCAAGATGGATACGCAAGTGGGTCGGGCAAGTAGTAGTCGTCTGTGTACTGTAAATATCTTTCGTAGGCTCTTAGGAATGGGACAAAACGTACGATTATGCGCGAGTGATTTGCACTGCAATGTCAGTCATGAAAGCGAGTCCTGCTCGCTATGAAAGTGTCAGGCCACCAACGGCCTCTCCAGCTCCTTCTATCTCGCGTTCGTCGCCTTCCAGAGGTTTCGAGCGCGGGAAGGGCCTAAGAATAGGACTGGCCAGCCCCATGGTTGCCCTGAGAGTGGGGCTCGATGTGATGCTCATCGGTCGTGGGTATGAAGAAGCAAAGGAGCCGGCGATTGTGGGGGAAGACGCAGCAGAGCTTACGGTAGAGGCTGGGATCGAGATGGGGATGGCAATTGGTAATCGTGTGCTGGGGCGGGTGCTGAGCGGTGAGCCAATGTTGCCATGTTCTCTCAGATGCGACATGGAGGGCGAGACGGCGCGTCGCTTAGCAGAGGAGGGATAGGGATCAAAACGGTCGTCCACTGAAACTAGCATTACTTGAGTCAGAAATTTCGATATCAAGGATGGTAGCCTCACATTTCCGTTTGTTTGAACGCACGGCACTGCTCGTCGGAGGTGGAGTATAACGCCACTGGCTGGTATTGGTGAACGATGGGGACGCCATTGGCTGAAACGTAGAATTCAGCCAAATTACGAATGTAAAATGCATTATTTAGACGCACGATATCAATATCCATTGCTACCGTTCCAGGGCTCCCGCAAATTGATATATCATCACCATTGATAGAGCCTGCTATACTTCCTGCCACACTCCCGGAGGGTGTAAACGGTTTGTTGATGTTAATCGGTTCAGAGCCGCGAGGGACGAAAGTAAACGTGGGGTCTTCGCCCTCGTCTTCGTCGTCGCTCTCAGGCTCGTGTTGTGTGTCCTCTTCGTGCCCCGCTTCTTCCGGGTATCTACCGCGATCATGGGCATTCCTAGGCGTGCGGGGCTGAGTTGGCAGCTCCGAGCACGAAGCCACGAGGCGCTGGAATGCGGCTTCCGATTGAACCTCGGATTCAAGTGGCCGAGATTCAGCCCGAATCCTCAGTATGCGTGGTTGCTTTACCTACGAATTAACATCCATTGAACAAAGGTCTGGGGGATGTAGAATACAGCTTACTGGAAATGACAATCGGCGGTGGTGGTTGCGGGCTGGGAAGTCTTGAGTCTCAGTTCCCGTGGATGATTTACGTGGGGGAGTGGCTGGATGTTTCAATTTCTTGCGTGGGTGTCGGGTTTCCCCCTCAGAGCCTTCGGGCCCCCCAAGTGGTGGCGTAGTATTCTCTGAGCTACTGGACGGTGAGCTGTCAGTAAGCATGCGCTCTTTGTCGCTCTCGCCGTCCTCCTGCATGGCATTCTGGTTCAACCGTCTGCGGGCAGGGGGGTGTAAAGTGAAAGATGAGGCCAGGGGACTGTGAAGACGTCCATCGCTGAAGTAGCCACCCTTCGTCGAGAGCAGGCTGGGGCGTCGGAAACGTTGTAGCAATGGGGGGATGTCGTCTAACGGTGACGGCGACGCGAGGGCGGTCGACGAGGACGCCGGCAAGGCGAAGTCCGTCAAGGACGTTGGCAACGATGGACGAGTAGCTTTAGGCATTGTCGAGATTGTGGCCCATGTACATGCAAGTTTGAATAGAAGTCGAGGTGGTCTCTGAACTCAGGGGCTGGCCGAACTAATCAACTACTATGGCCACTTTTCCAATTTGGGCATGATGCATGTATTAGATTAGCTATTTATGCACAATTATATGTAGGTACGCGATTAAAGGTGCTTTGTAATGAGAGTGTGGCCAACAAGGTAGGTTGAGGTGAGCAGGAAGCCTGAAAAGAAAAAATTCAGCAAAAGATAATCGATGAGCAGACCAGGGGACCTACCGAAAGTAGACAGCGAGCCGAGCCAAGCTCCTCGGGTGTTCCTCTAAGGACTCTGTCAATAACAAAGCTCGTTGTCGCGCTTTTAGAGATACTCACCTTAGCGGGGTCTCCAGAGGTGTAGCCAGCGGTATAAGCGATGCGGGAGACCGACCAGAGACCAAGGCCAACGGCGGCGGGGATGGGGTACTTGAGGGCGGTAATGAGAGCACTAGAAACAAGTTCAAAACGTGATGGCCAAAATAAACGACAAGGCTACGCACGATACATAAAGAGGGGGGATGCTCTCGAGTGTGTTTTGGTGGGCACCTGGGTGATCGACCATGTCAGCCAAGGAATACCAACGGGTCCTAGTTCAATAACTCACGTTGGGCGCAATTGAACTTCTTGGCCGCAAGGGAAGCTTCAGCCTCAGCCTTGTCCGCGTACGCTATAACAGGATCATGAGCTATTTGGCCGGTCATGCACTATGGCGTGATCGTCACCTTGAGGGTACTTCACGCCTGCAGCTTTACGGTGCTTCGACACGGTCATCGTCTGGTACAAAAGCACCCATACCGTTGACACCAGGCCAGCGGTAACGTATTCGAAGCTGCAAGACACTTTGCATCAGTCTACTATGTCTTCTCGCAGAGCTGATCGCTTACTTTTCAGGAAGAATGATGGCCATTTCAGTCAAAAGTGCTGGAGAAGATCTTGAAAAAGATGGATGTGGCGGTTGCAATGTTGATTCAAGCTGAAGAAGCTCCGGGTATAAAAACAAATTTTCAGAAAGTCGACGCGTCACTCCGGCTGCCTTCAGCGACCCGGACCCTGGCAGCTCTATCACCTAACCTTGCACAGCGACGACAGAGGACGTGGCTCAAACGCTCCGTTTCCAACAGTCAACAGCCAATCGCTAGCTTCGGATGTGTCACGCAGCTGACATTTGCCGTCGGGATTAATCAGCCACAAAGAAATGTATTCTCATCAAGGTCCAGAAGTTGCTAGAACGTGCACGTATGCTAGAAGTCACCCAAGATCATCCTCAACACGACGTAGTAGCTGGCGTTGCATAGGAAGGCTTCGAAGACATTAGAATCAACGCTGCGGAATATGAGTAACACACTTACCTATCAAAATGAGCGTGGTAAGGAGCCCAGCCACGTAAGTCTTCTGTTGAATCGTTCAGCTTAGTAGTTTCTCTAGACCGTCAATGACACATACCTTGGTCGATTTCCCGGTGACCACATACCCATGGGTATACACTGCGGATGATATGGACCACGTGAATAATCCTATAATTGCCCACACGGGTGAATCGAGTCCCGTAAGCAGCGCGCTACATTGCGAGATTAGTGAGGGTCAGAAGTCTTGAAACGAGGATTCCATACGTGATGAGGAGCGTAGGGAGGCTTCTGAGACTGTATTGATGTGTGCCTAGTAGAAACATACACGGTTAGCGGGCAAATGCACGGTCTAAAGGCATTCGGCTTACGCTGGGCAAGATTAAATTTGTTCGCTGCCGGCGATGCTTCTACCTCAGACTTGTCCGCAAACACTGATGAAATGATGCGTCAGATCGTCTGAGTAAGGCCACCCCTCGACTTACTTCTCGGTTGCTCGATGCCAGCAGACTTGCGATACCTCATAACGAGTAAGTCCTGGTAGGTGGCGACCCAGATAGTCGAGAGCATGCCACCAAGAACATATACGAATGCTCTGGGGACGTAGACTGTAGGCATGGTGTAGCACGAGGTTGCTAGACTGAACTGAGGAGGACGGGTGTGTTTTTGATGTTATTCCACCTCACCATCGTCTTATATTTAAACACATTCGAAGTATCAGGCAGCGTCACCGCTGCGTTGACCTCAACGTGTCCTCGCTATCCGAAACGCATCTTGAGGAGCTGCGCATCTTGATCGTTGGATCCAAGGATTCATATGATCATGACTGGACCTGCGCAGCGATCGCATTGTACTGTTTACAATTTCCAAATCCGATCCGTGGTGATTAACAAACACGTGATCGCATTTTACTTTCTCTCTCCCAAAAATGTCGAAGCGATCGGCGACGCAGGTGCTCAATCCAAGCGATGAGCAGGCTTCCAAACGACCATCGGGGAGTGCGCCGAACCACAAATCCGAGAATGACGAGATGGGGGAGTTCGAGGATGCTTGGGAAGATGAGATCGAGAGCGACGGAGAGGTGGTAGATGCTGAGGCTGCTGAGGGCGAGGAAGGTGCGATCCAGCGGTCATCGTACAAGATATCCCTCGTTCTGAGTCTGTATAGGTATGGATGTAGACGAGGTGCTCCCTGCGATCGAGGAAAGCGAGGAACAGCCACCTGCGCCGTCTGTGTACATCCCAGGGAAACATACTCTCGGCGCCGATGAAATTTTAGAGGCGGACGATTCTGTATACTTGATGCGACACTCACTGAACGTAAACTGGCCATGTCTATCTTTTGACGTACTGCGCGATAATCTTGGAGACGAGCGACAACGATTCCCTGCCACTGCGTACCTTGTATCAGGAACTCAGGCCGATGTCGCGAAAAATAACGAAGTGTTGGTATACAAGCTAACGTCCTTGCATAGAACACAGAAAGACGGAGGTGAGTCGGAATGCCCTGTCGAGATTGTGTCAGTGGAGTACAAATTCCACAGATGATTCTGATGAGGACGACGACGATGATGATGACGAAAATCTGGACGAAGACCCGATACTCGAATACCGATCAATACCGCACATGGGTGGCGTGAACCGCGTTCGCGCGCAACCACTCCCCGCCTCATCCCCCCTCCCCCCTGTTTCCCAACCGTATTACACAGCGACATGGTCAGAAACAGGAAAGGTCCACATATGGGACATTCGTCCGCTAATAGAGTCTTTGGACGTTCCTGGCTATGCCCTCCCCAAATCACGGACCTCCGCTCCAGCGTATACCGTAGGTTCGCATGGTCGCGCGGAGGGCTTCGCTATGGACTGGGCTTCATCTGGAGGCGCGAACGCATCTTCGCTACGACTCTTGACCGGCGACATACACTCGAAAATATACTTGACAACCACTGCTCAATCGGGTTTCACCACCTTGTCGCAACCATTCGCTTCACATACATCGAGCGTCGAAGACTTACAATGGAGTCCATCTGAACCGACAGTCTTTGCCTCGTGCTCGGCGGACCAGAGCGTGCGCGTATGGGATGTACGAATCAAGAACAGGCAGAGTGTCGCCGCGATCATGGCAGCACACCCGAGTGATGTCAACGTCATAAGCTGGAATAAAGCCACCAGTTACTTACTTTTGAGCGGTGGAGATGAGGGAGGCATCAAAGTTTGGGACTTGCGAAACGTCAAGGCAACTGGGTACGCACCTTTTCTTTCTCTCTCTCTGACACATAATAACCCAGTCCTTCTAGTCCTGCTCCCACAGCGGTCGCATCTTTCAACTGGCACTCCGCTCCCATTACCTCCATCGAATGGCATCCCACAGAAGACTCCATATTCGCTGCGTCTGGTGCAGACGACCAAGTAACGCTTTGGGACCTAGCTGTTGAGCCAGACGAAGACGAGATGAATACCGCTTCCAACGAAGCCGACGACACTCAACAAGTGCCACCTCAGCTCTTGTTCGTGCATCAGGGACAAAAAGACATCAAAGAAGTGCATTGGCATCCCCAGATTCCCGGAGCCGTAGTCAGTACTGCGTCGGACGGATTCAACATCTTCAAAACTATCTCCGTTTGAGGGTCGTAACATTGCGTTGTTCAATTAATGGCAAAAGTATTGTAGAGAATCGCGGTAGCTGCTGTAGAATTGGAGAATCAATAGAGTCCCATGCCGTTGTTGCCTTTGGGCGCTCGTATCTGGCAACGTTAGTTCTCTGAATGAAATACCGAGCTAGACAATTTAGTACCTTGGAGATGTTCTTGTGAATTAGGTCAGTCAATACTGCGTAGATGTTTCGGATATCAATAAGGTGTTGGCGGATAAAGTAAAGTTGCTTCTCGTCATGTTCTCGCAGCGAGGCCTAGCAATAGCAGAGCATTTAAATACTGTATAGACGTCGAGTCACATGGACGTACTGCGTAGTCTTCGATATGCGGATATTTGATGAGCTTTGAGCAGATCTTGGCTCGTTGAAGGTGGTCTTGTCGCGCTGCGTCACGGACATTGTACGCGCTATCCTGGGCTCGCATCAATTCCGCCAATACCTCTACACAGGAGGAATGAGTGAGGCGTGTATCCATGTCTTGGAACATAGTTACCTTCCTGCACTTGTACGCCTAGGAAATGTTTCAGAATGAGAAAATAGGTGACCTCTAAATTTACATACCAAAGTTATCACCGCTAATGCCATAGTTTATATCAACATTGTAATCCTATTGTAAGGAAGGACATACTCTTCGATCCTATGAATTATGAGTAAAGTGATTGCTTGGTGCACTATAATGCTTACTTTGGCATGGTGAGGTTGACCCATAGTTTTACTTGATCCTTGAGAGGTACCCGGGTTAGTTAGAGCGCAGTAGTACGTATGCCTGTAACGACAAAATACTTACACACAAATCAGCCAACTGATCACACTCTTTCTTCACAGTTTCATGAAGCGAGCTTATATGTTCGTTGGAATGAACAAGGTCTGAGTATTTCGGACGTGGCGTGTGATGCACGTCACCGTTCTCAGCGCTGCCGTCTGCTGTACGTCTCCTCTTCTTGGTGTGAGGATCTTCTACGTCAGCATTTGAAGGAGGAGGATAGATTGTAGTATCGGTCTTCTTGGAGTGCAACATGTTAAACGGCGAATCTGCATCCGAGTAGGTCTGTATTATTTGATGCAATTCTCTGCAACGAAGTTACAGGTGAGTTTCACGTAACCAATAACACACAAACATTAGCTATGAGACGTCAGAAGTTCGTACGGCTGACGAAAGGGCAAACACGCACCTTGTTGGGGAAGACCTTGAACACAATGTCTTCGCCTTTGTTCGTGACGGACCTCCGAAATTCCTATAATCACCGTCGAGCATGGGGACGAGGGGTAGCAGACCAGAATTTACCTCGAGTTTGCGTGCTGCCTCTTTGTCCGTAGCCATAGTTGTCGACGAGGTGGCTTGTATGCGGGGATGGAGCTGGTACGCGTAAAGGATAAGTAATGGCCGTGACTGGCTGATCGCGTCAATAATTAGACGCCCATAGTGCTATAAGTGACTCTGCGTGACTAGACTAAGTTGGTCCCCAGGGGCGTCACGCACTCCCGGTCACGAACTGTGGCAGTCGCCTCTCTTAGCTTCTAACTACACCACTCCTACTCTCAATGGCGCACAACGACGAGAACGAAGCAATTTCCGCGCTCTCGGGCTTCTCCTTGAACCATCTGCTGGGTGAATTGTCACTTCCCAGTGGGTCAGGGTTGCAAAGTCAGCTCGGTATAGGCGGAGTCTCTGCACTCAGTTCAGAGCAGATCTACAACAACAAATGGACCGAGGATGAAGGCGCAGTCGGTGCGGAGGAAGGAGATGACTGGGAAGATGAAGTAGACCGAGAGTTGAGAGAGGAAGAAGTCGCGAACCCCGTCAAGATTGAGGTCCATTCTCCTGGTGGCTTTCGACCGAAGCAGAAACGCACGCGGATTGTGAAGCGTCTCATAGAACGGCCCAAGACAGTATACGAACGCTTCCCGTCGTTTGAGAAAGATAAAGTCCTAGATTTCAGTGACCTATTTAAGGGATACACGGCTCGAAAGTCGCGTCTATCGAGGCGCCCTTTTCTTGGTGAGTGCTTCGCTTTAGAGGAACTCGTAAATCCTGAGTATGTACAGTCGAGACTGTATATCCACGGAGAAAGGAAGTGACCAAGGGGTTTCTGGAGTCAGTTGTTGGGACGTCAAAACGCCAGGAAGAGACCAAGCGAGCTGCAGAGGTTTCATCCGGGAACGTTGAGAGCGACCTATTGAAGGCTCTTGAAGTACGTTCATCCCCATTAACAAAACACCGCATCTTGACCTCAGTAGGAACGCGACAAATCAAATCTACCAGTCTCTCTGCCCCTCCATGACCGCACATTTGACCTGGTGCTATTGTCGAACTGGGAAGATCAAATCATGTACGACCCAGCGCCGGCCAGTCAGCACTCCCAGACAACCGAGCGCAGTCTGACCACACCTATCAATAAAGTCCTGGAGTCTGGGGCTTGGACACAGAGTATCATTTGGAGCCCTCGAGCACCGTTCAGGGACTTCACTCAATTAGAGTTCAATCATGAAGATGATGTGGTTCCGGAAGATCGAGCTGGTGGGTATAGATGTGTTTGGATTTTCTGCGGCTCAACATGGTTGCTCTAGATTCTTTGAGGCCTCGCAAGCGCGTCAGACTTGATGCTGGGCAGCGAGACAAGTTCAATTTATCGAACGATCATTTGTACGAAGTGTCGAAAGACGGCGCCAAACATCGCGTTCGCCAAACATTTAGTCAATTGGTCGTCGAGCATGCATACCCTGCTCAGAAACTTCAACTACCCTTCGTACGTGGGCTATCTCTACCTCCATTGCCCTAATCACCTAATAATTCAACTATAGTACAAGACACGGCTTTCGAAACAAGAAGCTCGTTCTTTCCATCGACCTGCCCTTCAATTCCCTGCAAATATCGAACTTCATTTCAGCAAAGTTAGAACAGCCAAGAAGAAGAAGGATAATTCTGGTAGGAAGTTGGGCAAGGGCGCCAATATCGGAGAGGTCATGCACAGGACCAGTGATCTCAGTCTTCGTGATACGTCCAACTTCGTCTTATGGGAATATTCGGTGAGTCGGTCCTGCCACGCCCCAACCTTTGACCAATTGTAGCAGGAAGAGCACCCGCCAATTATATCAAACTTTGGCATGGGGAGCGCGTTGGTCAATTACTACCGTAAGAAAGATGAGAAAGATGAACACGTTCCGAAGGTACATCAATCACGCTTCTTGTAACGTACAATTGCTCATTCAGACAATCTAGTTCGACCTAGGAATCCCGTTCGTCCTCGAGCCCCAGGACGAATCTCCGTTCATGAAATTTGGTTATGTCTACCCTGGTCAGACCATCCCTGCCATGTACAACAACCTAATTCGTGCTCCACTGTTTCGGCAGAAGCCGTATCCCACCGACTTTCTTGTCGTGAGGTATCTACTTTCGTTTCTACGTTTTCCACGAGTTACCCTGAAGTTGGTGTTATTTAGGAATACCGTCAAGGGTGAGACGAAGTATTACCTGAGGGAGATAAAGAATCTCTTCGTGGTTGGCCAGACGTATCCCGTCACTGAGGTTCCTGGCCCTCATTCCCGCAAGATCACTAACACCCTCAAATTTCGTCTACAAATCATCGCCTTCAAGCTACTCAAGAAAAGCCCAGGCGAACGACTCAAGATTTCTAGGCTCATGAAGTATTTCCCCGATCAAAATGAGCTTCAAATGAGGCAACGCTTGAAGGTAGCATGTGTCTTGCATTCGCAAATCTCCATGGCTGACCCTCTGCTTAAGGAATTCATGGAGTATCACCGGCGCGGCCCTCACCAAGGCTTTTGGCGACTGAAAGCTAATTGGACGCTGCCAAATGACCCAGAGATGCTCAAGATGGTGGGCCCAGAGCAAGTGGTACTTACCGAAAGCATGCAAGTTGGTCAGCGCCACTTGCAAGACTCCGGGTATAGTGGTGTAGCCGATACGACCGACGACGACGAGACGAAACTGTCGGTTGAACAGCAACTTGCTCCATGGATTACAACCAAGAACTTCTTGTTCGCAACACAGGCTAAGGCTATGCTTAGGCTTCATGGGGAAGGAGACCCCACTGGTCGTGGAGAAGCTTTCAGCTTTATCCGAATCTCCATGAAGGATATATTCGTCAAGGCTGGTGAAGACTATGAACAGAAGCTCGGTTAGTTCTTAGTGTTGATGGTGGCGAGTGACTATCCTGATTTCATTCGCAGCTGAGGCAGAAAATCGTCCGAAGTCTGCTCATCGGTACAACGTCGCCGAACAACAGCAAATATACAAATCAGAAATCGAGCGGATTTGGAAGGCTCAGTTCGACTCGCTCAGCCGTAAGGATGAACCGCAACTCACGGAGGAAGACATCAGAAGGGATCGAGACGAGACAAAACGAATACAAGCTCAGCACAACATGAGGAGGGATGGAAGCAGGGCTTTCTCGCCTGGGATGTCGCCCATGCTCGCTGGTCCATCCTCCCCTCCCTACAGCCGAGCTTCCTCAGTCGACAGGGACAGAGAGATGAGTATGGGTCCAGATGGAAGTCGTAAGGTTCTACGTATCAGGCGTTTGGTGAGAACCCACAACTCAAAATAGCTGTGCGCGTCGCTTATTCCCGTGTTCACGTTTTCTAGATCGACGGCGAGTGGCAAACGGAGATCATCCGCGACCCTGCAGTCATCCGAGCATACATCCGTGGTCGACAACTTCTCGAGGAAGAACAAACCATGGCGGATAGCTTGGCGCCTACAGGCGACGCAGACAAGGACAAGCGAGCCAAGAAGAGGTAAGCCAAATAATCGCAGTCTAGATTCTCTTTGCATGTTTGCTGACCCTTTTGGCTCGTTATTAGACTGGAAGAAGAGATAGCTCGCATGAAGAAGAACCAAGAGCGTCGGCTACATAGGAAGAACGCCAAGATCATCAAAGAGGGGGGTACACCTCTACAACTGAGCCGGCCTTTGAAGCCAGATACAACGGTGAAAAAAATCCGCGTGTCGTGTGGTAGAATACACACTGATTGATTTAATTTAACAGCGGCGATGCGGGCATTGCGGGCAAATGGGCCATATGAGTAAGCCTTCGACATCTTTTCCTTCTCGTTGTCCCACAGATCTAACGAACGTTGCAGAGACCAATAGGAAATGTCCTCGATGGGCTGAATTCAGCAGCGGCACGCCACCCGTACCCGTGACCCCAGCGTCCGCGGGTAGTCCACCGCCGCCAGGTTCGGCGACTATACCTGGGCTAAACTTCAACAGAGGTCCAGGGAGTACGCCGTTCGGCTTTCACGCTGCTGCAGTCTCTTCTCCGCTTGCAACAAGCCCGCCTATGTCCGCAAAGGAGGACGGGGTGCCTTCAACTCCTTCGGCTAGTGGTCCACCAAAAATCAAGCTGACGCTCAAGCCAAGAACCTGATGGACATTGACGCTACGTAGTACTGACGTATGATATTTATGAATCTCGTTCACGCATCATCATGGCACAATATGGTTGATAATCGATAATTGTACACTGCATCTTACATGGCGACTATGGTAATAACAGTGAACTTGTATAAAATAATAAAAGTATAAATGTCATAGCAAGATGGAAAACTGAATATAGCGTGCACATTATTGTTACAATACAGAAGTCCTACGCAGTAGCCATTTCCACGTCCTTAATATGATGATGAGCATGGGAAGGTCGGGAATGGATGTTCAGCGACTCATAACGTTCCTTGAAATCAGTGTTGATAGCGACGAGCAGATTTCGGATCAGCTCTGCGTGGCTCTTGCGTTCGTCCAATGGGATTTCACGAGTTCTACTCTCAAGTTCTATTCGTCCAATTTTCCGAGCGAGTTCTTCCGACTGTTCTGGCGATCGCCGCGCGGAAAGGGTCGGAGATGCAATGGAACGTATCCCAGGAAGTGTGGTTGGCTGCGGCGGTGGAGATGGCGAGTGCGTGGTCGATGGCGTGGACACGTTAGACTCAGGCGACGGCGAACGATACTTGAGCGGTGGCAGCTTAAACTCAGCATCACCGGACGTAAGGAGCGGATATAACGAGCCGGATTTCGATGATGACGAAGACGCAAACGCTGGCGTGAGTTTGGCAGGTGGGCCAGGGTGAGGTGACTTCGGCAATTTGGATTCGACAGGTTCTGCTCGAGACGACGGTACAGATTTGAGAGGCACGATGGTGCGCATGGATTTGCCCATGTAGTCCACTGGCGCCAAATGTGCGACAGGAGCAGCACCTCTTGAGACACGCATGTAGTCGAATGCCGCCGCATTGTCCGGCACTGTCATCGGGATCTGAGGAGGGGTCGAGTTGACAGGGGTAGAGACCGCAGAGTGAGGAGATCCCGACTCCAATGGAGGAGTAGGGTGATGGTAGTTCTGCCCGGAAAATGAAGAACTTGGTGGGCCAAATTTAGACGAGATACGCCGAGCACTTGACGGATAATCGTTTGCGGGTGAATACGTGAGCGAAGAAGGATCATGCATCGCGGGATACACATATGGGCTGGGCTGAACTGATGGGTGAGAGGAACGTGATGTTGGGGGATGATAAGAGTTGGATCCGAAGCCATGGCTAGCAGGTCCTGTGTAGCCATTGTCGCTCGGGAACGACGACTCCGACCCCGGCAGACCTGGCATGCCGGTTAAGCCGAGCTGTCCTAGGGTCGAAGCATCAAAGTATGAGTCTGAGAAGCCGGTAGAAGTAGTTGGAGAGGAGGAGGAATGGTAACGGGAGCCCGAAGCTACGTCACGTCCGAGTGTAAGGAGGAATTCATTGACAGCTGCGAGTTCTTCTGGAGTGCGAATATCGAGAGAAACAGAACGAGGATTAAATTGTTGGCGATGGGCATTAGCCACATGCTGCGCGTAGGCAAGGTTATTTAGTCGTTCAGCCATCTCTGTGGATAACAAGTCAGTTAAGAGGAGACTGATTCAAGGATAAAGTACGGACGGGAGTCGTACGATGGCATAACACGACGCTTCTTCATGTCAGTAAAGAAGTCGTCGACTGCGTAGTCATGAGAACGTTTTGAGCCAGTAGGCACGGAGCCTGCGTCCGGACGTAGAACTTCCCAAGCTGGGACCTGATGGTGCAGAAAGGCATCATGCGTTGGAGAATGGTGATGTGCGAGTTCTGGAGAAGGTGAGGGCAAAATACCGAAATGAGAACCTAATCAGTACACGATCATTGGATGATGAACACATAGGGCGAGAGATCATGCATACCGTCGGACGCGGATGAGGATTGAGACTTGGCGCGAGCAACAGGGACTCGAGGCATAGTAGAAAGCTTCGATCGAGAATCATTCTTGATAGAGTCTCCCCTTACACGCTGGACGTAGACAGGGTCGACGACAGTGATTGCCTTGGAGTGCTTGTGCTGCGCATGGTGTTCCTCTGTGTGTATCTTCTCGTGCTTCTTCAAATCCTGGGGCCGCTTGAACGACTTTTTGCATATCTACATTGACGATAAGTAAAGAAGCACATGCAACCGTCACTGATAATCACCTCGCAAACATGCGGCTTTAGTGGTGTGTGTACTGGCAGTTCATTGAGTTCGGAGTGAGTCAAATGGCCTCGGAGAAACGGAAAGATGAAGTACCTCTGAGATGGCTGGTGATGTGATCACGCTTAGCGCAGGTTGTGCCGCAATCCTTCCACTTGCAAGTGAGGCAGAGGTTGTTTGTACTCTTGCGACCAATGTGGTCGTTGCACAGATGATTGTAAAGAGCTTCGGGATCAGAGAAGGACTGCGTGCATTCCATCCAGAGGCATTTGTGTGCTGGCTGAGGCTCCGTGGACTGCGTAACGCTGTTCGACGACTCCGGCGAGTCCGATTTAGGGGACTGGGGGCTCTGGGAGTCGGAGGGCGGGGAGTTGGTCGTCGGGGACGGGGGCGGGAGGGAGGCGGTCATGTATGCGTGATGGTGGTCGGTGAAGAAGAATGGCGGCAACGGGGCTTGGGTAGAGACTTGCGAATTGAAGTTGGACATTGCTGATTTAAAGGCGGCGCTTGCCAAGCAATCCCAAGAGCCTGATCGTCTCAAGTACTCTTGGCAATTGGATGACATAATCCAGTCCCAGCCTCCTCAATAACGAACCAGCTCGAACCACCACAACCCTGGCTTGGCATTCATTCTATGTTTACTCGTCACACTTGTCGTTATTTTCGTACACCTCGCAAACAGCCTGCAGGACATTGGCGCACCAGCTGGACCAAGCTCAGCCTCACGCTTGCGCTTTCTCCATGAATTTACTTCCTGGTCTGGCAACGCTGCAGGCTGGCAGCTCTCGTCGTACTCTCTTACGTTCAACCGAAAATCCGCCATTTGGGACGCTCTTGGGCCTACCGTATCCACTACTGCAACGCGGTGATCCCTCTTCCCGCCCCAGCTGGGTTTCTTTTGCTTGAACAACTTGGTACCCCGCCTATTACATCCTACTGCCACAATCTTATCACTCTGGATCCTGATAGACTGGTCTGGATAGTCTTGCAATACTCTTAGTATCCTCGTCTTGTCTTTTCCTTGGGTCAGGTGGCTGGAAACCAACGTCAGGCAACAGGAGCTATTGATGTCTCTTTCCCCCGCGCAACACCCAAGCAAATCAGACGCGGTGTTCATGGACTACTGGGGCATTTACCACGGCCAATCACACTAGGTTCTGGAGAAACCTCTTCTTCGAAAAGTGGGGAATATTCCTACCGTGGCAGACGTCTCGCCAGAATCCTCGCCGAGCGACTTGCTACGCCACAAATCCAGGCTTCGTCGACCACGTCCAATCCTAAAGCATACTTCCCGAATCTAACGTGGTGCGACATGTTCTGACATGACCTATTCCCATTGGTCCCGAACGCTGGCGGCGATTACAGCTCAAGATGCCTTTCTCTTCGCCCTGATTGGACATCTGAATGGCTTTGCTCTTCAACAGGCGAGGCCTCGACAATACAAATACTTTCCTACCACGGTCAAAACTCAGTGATGATCCGGCTCACGCACCACCCAAGTCACGCTGACAAAGGGTGTTAACGCGATCGTGATGTTGCTTCTTTCAACTCTAATGGTTACGGAATACCACACGCAGTACGATCGCGGTTCTTCTACCGACTAGTACAAGTGGAGAAGACGGAGCATGCCCTAATCTTTATGAACCACCAGCACGTCCCCCCTCCTCCAGAATCCGAGGTCATCCAGAATATTTCACCGCTAGAAATCAAGTTGCCCAACGTTTCAACCGTTGCGACAGCAGCACACCGTGCCAAGAGGACAGAAAGGGTCGGGGCTCTCTCAGACCTGCGTAGGCACCGTTTATACCAATTGGCGTTAAAGCGTCTGTCTGAATTTCCAACCCGCTTCCCACTGTTTCCTTACTTCTGGCTCCGGGCTTCCGTCTCTCGGAGAAAACTAAACAAAGTTGGACTTGGACAGATATAGGCATCAGGCATGTGAGTTTTCGCTGTCGTTCCTAGAAATGAGGAGCGGTTGGTGGAATAGAAACAGGCGAGTCTAATTTACCCCACACCAGGATAGCGGTAATGGGTTTAATAATTTATTCGGTGAAGCTATTATATCCCTCTCTCCAAGTTCGCTCCGCTTCGAAGCCCAACGAAGCAGTAAACGGGACCGAAGGCGTGCAGAGAAGAGGCTCTAAGGAAGTTCGCTGATAGCACTTTTAACAGAAATAGCAAATGCTTAAGCAAGATAATTTGCTTGGCTTAATCCATGTCACTGGCTTCCAAGCGCACTCAGCACAGACAATTGACCCAAGCCAAAGATCGGATCGGATGACATATTGGGCAGTCCCTAAGATGGCTTGGCAATTGTGAGGACATGGCTTGGCGTTTTGTCTTGGCGTTATATAGTGGGTCAGCTTGGCATGGAGCATGGCTTCTCTCGGCATTACCCCTGTGCCGAGATATGTTGTCGCACGGCACTGTGGATGGAGAAACCAGTGGTCTGGTGAGCCACGAGCTTCAAAGGAGAAATAGAAAGTTATACAGCATTGCAGTACAACTACTTCCAACATCATAGGCTGTCGTTGGCGGACGTGGAACGCTTGACACGGGAACGACGTTGCCGATGCTGCCGAACAAGAAGAAGCGAGGCGTGGATTCAGGAAGTAAACATGCAGGCAGGCAAATAATAAAGGACTTTACGGTGAATATACGTGGCGTGCTTTGTGCCCAGATCTTCCCCGCTATTTGACGAAAATGCGACGATTTGATTGACGGATCCTTTGTTCGGTGGTTGAGGATGGATCCGATGACTTTGGCCTCGAAGGCCCTGATATGGAGGAGCTTCGTTTCTGCAAATCTGACTCTACATACCAGGCTCTATCAGACCGGTTGAATTTGAAGCGAACGGGGTCTTGGCTTGGTCAATCTCCAATGGGTCAAAAGTGACCGGCCCACGAGTATGAGCCTTTCCAGAACTATCGGCGCTGTAAGGAAGTAGGTCCGTGGTAAAGATCAATAGTTCCAGCCAAGTGAAATCAGATACTGATGCAAGTTTGTACGACACCTTTGTACTGGCATGGAGGCATACGTGGGTTGTGCAAGTAAGGCCTAGAGGCAGCAGGCACAAAATCACTATGGGTGTTCAGGCCCACCAACATGTCACCATCTTAACAAAAGGGCATGGACATTGAAGCAACGGTTTCGCCTGGGTCCATCGGTAGCTAACAACCAGAACCCCGTTGCCGGCAAATACAATACAATCTAAATACAATTTCGAAGTTGTAAAGAATACACTCGATGAACTGCTCACGTACAGATGTGTGTAAAGATAAGAACCAGGAACATGCGGGATAAATAGTTGCTTGCGAAACTTGGGTATATCACTGCTTTCGTAACATGCTCGTCAACGACTGCGCGTTCGTGGATTTGATAACGGCGTAATCCATCTCTTTGAGCTTCTTGCCTGTCTTGATGCTATCAGTCACCCATTCCGGTTTCACGACGTGCACATGGTTTCGGGATTTCGCTGTCAGTTTGTGCGTCTTTGACCCACTCAGCTGTTGAGAAGTAAGAATATGAGTGGCACCGGATGGCGTTAACCTGGAGCATCCAGCAGATAAGTGAGCAAGACCACATGAACAGCGTGTTACGCGGCAAGAGCAACTCAATAGGAGATAACACGACTCACAAAACGTCGCCGCCGGCCCGAACCACAACTCTCTTCATCTCAATGTCGGTGGTATTGCTCAAGTAACCGTTGATGTATATTCGGACGTTGCGCATGACTTGAGGCTCACTCGACGCGTTCCCAGCTGCAGCTACTTTCTGCTCAGACAATTTCTTCGTGCGGTGCTCAAAGTAGGTTTTCTGGGGACCATTGGCACGACCATCACCTCGTTGATGACCAGTAGCAGCAGATACGATGTGTTCTGTTGAAGATGTTAAAATTTAAAGGCGTATCAATGGTGACAGGGGGTTCACCAGTTCGTTCATAGATATCCGAATGAGTGACTGGGTTGGACTCGTGCGAAAGAGTGCTCAAAACGAGCTTGTTCAGCTCGCGGGTAGATAGTTCCCCGACTTTGTTAGGCTTCGTGATGTTCGTTTCATCGCGTCCAGATTGGCGGGCATAAGGTTTCTTGTTCTTGTTGGTGTCAGACTTCTTCTCGGACGAGGCGCGCAGCGCGGAAGGCTTCTTCACGGCGAAGTAGGCGTCCATAGTAGCACATATATACAGAGAAGGGGAAAGGAAGGAGTGGAAGAGGTCGACGCTTCACGCGTCTGATGAGGTTGTGGTTGAGAGTCAAGTGTTCGCGTGGACGCGGTGTCAGTGGACCAGAGTCGAACCACAGCCCCTGACATAGCCAAAAAAGGAAACAATACCTTGTGCCAAACTTGTTATCGCGCCTCAAAATAATGCATGGTGCAGAGTTGGCGGATGCTGAGGTTCTCTTCATCCCGTCTCCTACGACCCCTTCTCCGCCTCGTCTGGCCCTCGAATACCCGCAGAATGTCCTCCCAGAGAACATACCAGTCTGCCATCGAGCATTTGAACTCACTGCAGTCAAATGCAGCAACTCTGGAGGCAGTACGCGCCTCTGGCTCTAGGATGCCGGAACACGCGATTCCAGAGATGCAGGAGTATCTCAGAAGAATTGGATATGCAGTATGTGAGCTTCTCTGCTGCACTCCCTTGCTAGCTCAATGACCAATTTTCTGCCAGCCTGAGGACTTGAACAAACTAAATGTCATACATATCACCGGGACCAAGGGGAAGGGCTCGACAAGTGCCTTTTGCGACTCTTTGCTGCACCAATCAATGCCTAGATGGTCAATAGGTATGTGTTGGCAGCGGGGATATAATGCGGTGCCGATAAGTTGACATTTAAAGGTCTCTTTACCTCCCCGCACTTGGTCGCGGTTCGGGAGAGAATTCGGATAAATGGGCAACCTATATCAGAAGAGGCTTTCGCTAAATATTTCTTCGACGTATGGGATAAACTCGAGGCAAACGATGCCGTGAGTCGCGTTCGTAGCTCACCCTCGCGAAGTATGAACCATGCCAAATAGAGAGCCAACCCCGATACCCCTCCGAAACCAATGTACTTCAGATTCTTGACATTAGTTGCTTTTCACGCGTTTATTGACCTCAAGGTGAGTTGCCCCATATCATTATCCTGCTCTCTCATTTACATTGAACAGGTAGACGCTACTGTGCTCGAAGTCGGCGTCGGCGGTAAATATGACTGCACGAACCTGGTCCCTAAACCAGTTGTTGCCGGAGTGACTTCCCTCGGAATCGATCATATATTCGTTCTTGGCAAGACATTGTCAGAAATAGCATGGCAGAAGGGCGGTATATTCAAGGTTTGTTCATGCAATCCGTTGCATCTCATGGCTAACTGTGTGCAGGAAGGGGCCCCTGCATTTACGGTCAATCAACCTGAAGAGGGTTTAACGATGTTACGACAGCGTGCAGAAGAACTCAAGGTCCGCGGCTCACCTTCTTTCAATATCATTCCTCATATCTTATCACAGGCATCTAAATTTGTCGTCGTCCCGCCCGCCCCAGAGGTAGCCGACATCAAGCTTGGTATGCTAGGTTTATCAAAGTTCAATACTTCCATTCTGATGCTCTCTATCCGCGATCAGGCCTCGCCGGTGTGCACCAAATTCAGAATGCTAACCTTGCTGTACACATTGTGCGAGAGTTCCTCGAATCCCGGGGGGTGCCATTACCAAATGATGGCTCTCTATCTCCGGCCTTCATTGAGGGCCTTGAGAAAGCTCGGTGGCCCGGACGTTGCCAGACCGTTCAAGACCCCAAATATGAGACAACGACCTGGTTCATCGATGGCGCACATACGACCGAGAGTTTGGATTGCTGCATCCAATGGTTCGTTAGCCCTGGCGTGGGTATTGGGTTCTCGTGAGTGCCGTATCGCGGGCTGGCTAATAGGTTCTTACACGAGTTCTTTAACGTCAGGAGTCCGCCCACTCGGATACTCGTATTCAATTGCACAAGCGGAAGATCGGGCGACGCATTCCTTGGAGGGATTCTCGCTAAAGCAGCGGCCCAGCTGAAGCTTCACAATCAAAACGACACGGACGCAACTCATCTATTCGATCACGTAATTTTCTGTACGAACGTGACATACGCTGATGGTGGTTTCAAAGGTGGTAAGTACTTTAGTATTGAACCCGTCTCAGTGCAGCATTGACGTATGTGAACAGACCTTACATCGCATGCCATCTCGAACGATGACCTAGTGCAGCTGAAGACCCAAAGAATGCTCGAGGCAGCCTGGACCTCGCTCGTCCCAGAGTTCCCGAAATCCAACATCCACGTCCTTCCTTCTATAGAACACGCCGTAAACACCATCCGGCAAGTGGACCGCGAGTCCGATACAAAGCAAACTCAAGTTCTGGTCGCTGGTAGTCTACATCTGGTTGGTGGCGTCATCGAGGTTGCTGGACTATCCGAGGTCGCTTTATAGATATTACACTTGGTCCATTTTTTGGTATATGTATAGATCCGTATCCTTAGAGGTTTCTTCGTCCCCAATCGTACAAACTAGTATCTCTGATGATTTAGTCGAATAAAGTAGTCCTCGCAGAAATAACTAGGTTTAACGTCGCTTCCTGACAGTCGCACCGTAGAAACTGATTGCCTGCGATAAATATGAGTGGATCCGTTGTACAGGAAGTTGGTGGAGACGTACGCGTTCGTCTAAAAAGAGTCTCAGTGCAGCGCGTGAGTTGGTAGTCGGCTTGTCGATCATCAAGTTCACAAATTCATCAAAATGGACGGGCTGAGCGGAGACGTTCAAAACATCATGATTGTTTACATGAAACTACATACCTCATATCGTAGAATGCGAAGGTGCAGTGCCGAGTTATTTACAATAGCGTCATTGAGTTGCTGGCGCCACGCATCACCGAATTCCTCTTCAGCTCGTGCTTTACCCTTCCGCCGAGGCGTTTCGCTGGCCGCCTTGGGCGCACGTTTGCGGGGTGATTTGGGAGGTGTGCGAGGACTGGCGGGCAGTTTGTGCGGAGGTGATCTGTTCGATTTGGATTGTCCGTTCTGGCGACGCCAAGGGGAATGAATGGGGGTGAGAGCTGCGGAAACGCCTGGGTCGTAATGTAGATAAGCATCATCGGTAGTCAAAGCATAGTCATGGAGTGAGTCCTCATGTCTAATGTCCTCGGTCGCTATCAGGTCACCAAACTCCAACGTGTTGTCCGTAGCAATAGTCCGAGCGGAATGGAGATCAGGGACTTTCATCTCTGATCGAGGCAAGGCATAGCCGTTTAGGTTTGCTTGAAATATCGCCTGATCCAGCCGGCTGATGATTTCGGAGCGTGTCGTTGGTTTCTATTACATTATGAGGTGTCTTCTACTTCGATGCTAAACGACACATACCATCAATCCTTCTAGTTCATCGAAGGTAGCGGTTTTCCGCTTGTTGATTGATGGCGAACCAGAGGTGCGAGTTGGACTGCGCCTTCGAATCGCGAGTTTCGAGGGTGCAAATTGGGGCTCAGGTTCAGACATGTCGCCGTCAGATTCAGAGTCATCTTGGTCTGCGAGATGGAAGAGAGTTGTAGTACGAGTTGCCGTTGCAAATTTAGAGGCGGCAAAGGCTTGGGTAGCTGGGAAAACATTCATAGCGTCGGTTTCGCCTAGTTCGTCGTCTGACAACGTCTGCGGTTCAGTGTCCTTACGCATGAGTGGTTGTTTGCTAGGACCAGCTCGTGGCGCCTTCGTGGAGTCGTCGACTTCGAGTCCGTCGTCAACGCGTTGCTTACTGTTTCTTCCTAGAACGGCTTGCGCTTTGCAGAGGATATCGCTCCGCGTCTCGGTAACGCTTCGAACAGTTTCCGTAACCTTGACTCGCCTTCCTTTCTTCTTCGTGGCATCGTGGAGGACGCCTTCAAGATACGTTTTAGTCGGGGCAGGCTTCTCGGATTCGTCGATTTTGGGTGGATCCGGTTCTTTCGGAGGAATCTTGGATAATGCAGCGGCCATCAATGAGCAAACCGTTTCGTCCGTGTAAGATTTCTTCTTCGCGCACGATTTAATATGGGCTAGTTTCTGTGGCGAGCTCTTCCTGGTTGTCCATTTTAACTCACAACAAACGCAGACAAGGATGAGGCTCAATTGGGAGTCGGTAAATTGAGTCACTAGTTGGCTCTTCATAGAAGGAGCCTTTGTCCTCTTCTTCGTAGTCTTGGAAGCCGTGATCGTTGGGGCAGGGACATCTGATATAGTACTTGCGGCGCGAGATGAAAGGCTTCGTTTAGGTACGTAGATTCCATTAGAAGCAGTACTTGGGGCGTATGCAAAACGGGCTAAACTGGGCTTCGGCTCTTCGTCTTCGTCTTCATCCTGAATTTCTGGCCTTTGGGACCTTCCGCCTTGGTCTATCTCGACGTTAACGGGTTCGGGTTCGTTTGCGACAGGCGATGCTGGGCGTCTGAAATATGATGAGGCAGGTGCTCCTATCTTCATAGTAGCAGAATGAAGTCCAGGGAAGTTACTCGATTCCACCATCACGGTCTCCGTTCGCAGCGCAGGGAGTCTGTCCTCATCGGAGCCTGAGTGGGAGTCGTCTGTCGCATCACCAACAAGGCACAGCTCTTTATAGCTCACTGGAGATTTCAATCACTTCCTCGCTCAGCACCCTATCCCCGCCCAGTTCAATCTCGACGTCCGACACATCACCAACCGTAACCATTCGGGCCTTGCCTTTATCAGGCTTACCGGGAGACCGCGACAAAGTGCGACGCGCTAGTCTCCTCATTTCCTCTCTTTCCGGCTCGGAGTCGTCTATGACCTCGTTCTCGAAGCTCCAGTCAAGCGACATGTCGTATCCCATTCTTCTCGTCTGGTGAAGGTTGAAGGCAAGGGACGCGGCAAGAAAACGAGTCTTGACTTGAACAATTCGTGGTAAGATGAGAAGCATAATTAAGCGCTCAACATCGTGACCGCGAATGGACGCGCCAGGAAAACAAGGCCAAATACACTCTAATGTGACATCACTCTAGAGCTTGTCCAGAACTCTGCGGAAACAAGTACTATCATGCCCGTTACTCGCCGACAAGCTGCTCTGAAGCAGGGAAAAAAGAAGGATAAATCGGAGGGAACAACACAGACCAAAGTTGAAGAGAATGATGAGGTGCAAGTTGGGGACAAACGCCAAGTCGGCAATGCCAATGAGCTCGAGGGCGAAGTAGAACCGCCAATGAAGAAGAATAAGGCAGAAGAAGACGAAGAAGATGACAAGCCTACCGTTTCATTAATTCGCCATACAGGTTAGTGAACAGTTGTTTTTGTAAGCATTCGATTGCTCTAACGCGAGTTCAGGAACCATTGAGCGCGGACATATATACTTCTTCTACCGACCTCGCGTCGAGATGGAGGAGGCGCACTCTATTGATGACGTGCAAAGGTTGCACATGCTACTGGTCCCAAGGCCGCCAAAATTCAGTGTCCTCGACGGCGAGAAACCCAAACTCGACAGAGACGACGCCGAGGACGACGACATGGCGGTCCTGCAAGAGGGTGCTGATGCCGTTCCCGCGAAGGCCACCCTGGATACATTCGAGAAACACTACCGCCTCATTACTATCGGAAAGAAGGCATTGCCGCATCCTGAAGTCACCAGTAGGCGCGAGCGTGTATTCTGGGCGGCAGTGACTGCTGTTGGGGATGACTTGCACTCGCTTGAAAAGGGATTGAGAGCGAAGTCGTATGAAACCAAAACTAGAGGTGGGCAGAGCTGAAATGCTCAGACTTACAACTTGAGGTTGATTGTTTTGGGGAAAGGCACGAGACACAAGGAAGCGTCTCGTCTGGCGGCCAGAGGTGTTTATGCGATCGTCAACAACGAACCGTCAGTTCCATCGAAAGCTGCGACGCACTTGGGGTTCTTCATTTCCCACCCAGAGAAAATGGGAGAGGTGCAAGAGGCCCTGGGTATTCAGAAGGCCTCGTCGTTTGTCCTACAGGTCAAGAATCCACTTGCTCCAAACACTGGCGGCGTGAGGACGCCATCTTCGAAGCAAGTCAATTACCCGGAGAGCATCATGAAGTCTGTCTTTGGTCAAGGGACCAAGGGAAGAGAGTCCTATGGTTTACGGTTCGTCGATTGTCAGACCATTGAGCTCCTGGAATATGAAGGTGCCGAGCTGCTGCTCATTGCGTCCCGAAGTGGGGAGGAAGGAGTAGAGACAAGCCTTGGTGGCGGACGCGGCGAAGGTGTGCACCGAGTTGGTTTGACTTCCGCTAGACCTGACAATTCATAGCGTTGGAGCAATTGGAGGAGAGCGAGGCTTCTGAGAGCATTGGCGAAATCTTCAGGGAGCTTGCGCTAGATCAAGATGAATTTCCTCAAGACGCTCTCAAAGGGGAATGGATATAATGCGATAAATACACTGGAAAGCATGCGAATCAGTTATTGGGAGCAAGTGGAAGATGAAGACGTACCGTGGTCAAATTAGTAAATGTACAATATGCGCGAGGGGTTGTAATTATATATTCTGTGCTTGTCCTTCGTTCCCCTCTTCATCTCCATTGACGCGGAGAACCTTCACCCATTCGCGATAGTTGAAGTTTCCTTGTCGGTCCGTAAATGGACCTTTCAAGAACCTGTCAATCTGTTCGTGGTTCACAGTCATTATTCTCAAGGACCCGATTCACAAGTAGAAGGGAATAACACACCTCCCGCTGGTCCATCCGTTCGCCGATCTCGCCTAACCACTTCCTCATCTCATCCACCTTGACCATACCGCTGTCATTCTCGTCAAAGGACTCAAACGCGCTTAGTAGCTCGGCTTCGGTATCGAAATCAAACAATCGTTCGCTCATCATCGTCAGGAACATCGTGAAGTTAATCCCTCGCTCCGAGGAAGAGTCGTCGTTATATGACGATGAACGAACATGCTCCCCCGGACGCGCGCTGAGCAACTCGTCCATCATTTGCTTGGAAGGTGATATACCTGTGAACCTGTAAGGGCTTATTCAGCTGCACTTGGAAGCGCACGTACCGAGACTCGCGAAAATCTCTTTCAGATCCCCCTCGTTCACCCAGCCGTCCTTGTCATGGTCGATGAGTTGAAAGGCCTCTTTGAACTGCTGGATTTGGGGGGCCTGGAACAGTGAGAACACGCCAGATGGCTCTCGCCGCGCACGGGATTTCTGCGACTTTGAGAGCTTTGTGGGCGTTGGGTTTGGCGAGAGGTAGTCGGGATAGCGAGACATTTCAGAAGGAAGACGGAACAATGAGCTAAATAGTAGACATGTACGAATACAGTAATTAGACGCTCGTGCGAACTAAAAGCTAAAGTCGCTTCGAGTAGATCCTCCACATAAACCACAATACCCAAGCCCGAGGAAGCCATTTGAAGAACGAGAAAGTGCTCGCATTGCCTCCCAAAGTTACATACCCTGGAGGTTTCGGTTGCAAGGCGTTTGACACGACTTTCGCCACGAACTTCTCGGTAGGCATCGAATTCCCTGCCTGGCTCACATTCATCCGGTAATAAATATTCTTGATGAAATCTTTGTAGAGCGAGTCTTCGGGCATCTGGAAACTTGCGGCAGAATTGTTCGCAATGTTGGATTTGACGGCACCGGGCGATACCAGCATCACGTTGACGTTGAAAGGTTTGGCTTCCATGGAGAGAACTTCTGTCAGCGTATGGAGCGCTGATTTGGACGCGGAATAAATGCCATTCCATGGGGTAGGACTGTCATGCGACATGTTAATTACAGAGCAAACAGGGCTTGACGCGCGCAGCTTACATTTCGCCCACAATAGAGCCGATATTCACGATAGTTCCGCTCTTTCTCTCCGCCATGGCCGGCATGACAGCCTTGGCGACGCGAAGGGCAGCAAACACATTGGTTTCAAAAGTCTGCCTGACCTTCTCCAACGGTATGTCCAACAAGGCACCTGTAGAAGCTGAGCACGACGATATGCAACCCCCGGCGGAACGTATACGCACCAACGCAGATTCCGCCGGCATTGTTAACTACCACGTCGAGCTTGCCTTCGGCCAGATGTATATGTTGGACGACACGTTGAATGTCGTCGTCGCTGGTCACATCCAAGGCCATACGTCCGATGGTCTCGTCCTTGAACGCTGCAATCTTTTCTACATCACGCGAAGTTGCATAGACCTTGCACCCTCGGGCAGCAAATTCCTCGCATCTGGGAGAAGGGTTCAGTAAGATCAGGCGATATGAAGCGACATGGATACTTGCAAGGCGTAACCAATCCCACCCGTCGAGCATCCAGTAACGAGCACGACCTTCTTCGACATGATTGTTGAGAAGCAAGCGAAATCTGAGACCGGGAACAGGGGTAACACTGCAAGCCGGAGACTTGATCATCCCCATTTGGAACGAGGGTGCATAACAAGGGCTGACATGAGCGGATGATCATTTCGCCTCTGCCTGGTTTCTGCTCTCCTCTCACCATCTCGGTTCCTTCATCCCCTGAGTAGAGCTTGCTCACTACCCTCACGACCCGTCCTCTCTTTCTCTTTTCCTTCAAGATCGTTTCTGCTTTTCCGTTATCACCTGCTCAAAATGCACTGTCACGCGCGCTTCTACTGTTCACTTGCGCTGGTCGCAAGCTCCTTGTTTTCTTTGGCTGCACAGGCTTCATCGTTGTCGACGCGGGCAACGGTGTGCAATGGCCATGCTGAGGTACGTGTTCTTTCTGCTCGGACGATGAGTGGATGCTGATGCTGCGCAGCTATGCGAGAGGAGTTATGGGAGCGTGTCCTTTGTTGGTGCCCACGATTCATACGCCGTTGGAGCAACAAGCAATGGTTAGCCACTCCTCCGATGCCTCGTGTAGCTCGCTGACTTGCTTACAGTGTTCGTCAATCAGGATCATGATGGTACTGTTTTGTTCTTGGCACTTTTGTTCCATTTACTCACCGAAACAACTAGTTACACAGCAACTCAATGATGGCGTTCGTATGCTGCAGCTCCAAGTTCACAATCAAGGTGGAGCCCTGCGGCTCTGCCATTCAATATGTGTAGGTTTTGTCTTGTCATTCACTCCAAGATGCACCTGATCAATTCAATTCAAGGCCATAGCCGACTCCGGTCTGTTACAAGATTACCTTAGCAAAGGTGAGAGAAATATTGGCATTCCCTTGCATTGCTTGGACGCTCACCGCTGTAATCAGTCAAGTCATGGATGGACAGCAACCCCAACGAAGGTAATGCCCCTGTGATTATCCTGGTGAACTGGCTCTGATCGGCCTACCGCAGTTGTGTCTATTTTGATAGTCAACATTGACAATTCACCCGCCCCTTCGTTTGACCTGGCTTACAAGGCGGCCGATTTGGATGGGATATCTTTTGCTCCTGAGACACCCACATTGCCTGCTTCGGGATGGCCGACTCTCGGAAGTATGATCGACTCGGGCAAACGTCTGGTCAGTTTCTTGGACAATGGCGCGGATCCTTCGATTCCCCACCTTATTGATGGTACGTCCATCTAACTTGCATATCGATAGGCTGCAGCAAATAACATCCCGTCTTGTATGTAGAGTTCACGAATATCTGGGAAACTGCATTCAACCTCGTCAACCCCGATCTCTTCGACTGCACGGTCAACAGAACAAAAGGAGATACATCTACACAGATGTTCCTGATCAACCACTTCCTCAACAAGCTCGTTGCCGGCCTCCCCGCACCAGATCCCGACAATGCTAATGTCACGAACGCTGCGACCGGCGCTGGTTCATTGGGGGCTCACGTCGATACGTGCAGAACTGTCCAAGGACGCCCACCAACCTTCCTCCTTGTTGATGTGAGATATGCGTTTACTGGTCTTGTTATACGTATACTTAATCGTCTCTTTCCCTCAGTTTTACGAGTTCGGCGGAGGTTCCGTGTTTCAAGTAGCGGCCGACATCAATGGCGTCACATACGCCCCAACAACCCCCATTGCTCAACCAGTAACAGCCAATTCCAGCACATCATCATCACCATCTTCCGGGAGTGGCAGCGGCAATGGCGCAACTGCCATGTCAGCCTCCAACTCAATGGCAATGGCGTTCTCCGTGCTGTCGGCAGTGACAATGGGCGTCGTCAGCGTGCTCTGAACTATCACCGTACATTGATCTATCAGGAATTTATTTGCTATCTTAGCTGTGGACGTATCTCACGGACTTCTTCATTTAATCTTCACGCATGTACACTCCTACGCACCAACAATCGTTACCGTGCTAGCATTCATATCGAACACTCATTTTATTTGCGATCATGTCAGCTACATGGACCGGACATTGCACATTTGGATAAAGTACAGTGAATCCGTTATCGTTTCCGCTCTCTCCGCCATTTGTACACCCTAGGTTTGTACGCTTGCTCGTCTACGACCTTTCTGCCTCCTTTCCTACTCCGTGGGTCATCCTCCTCGTCGCTGTTAGCCTCCTCAACCTTCTCCGTCCCCTGTATTTTTTGCCGCGCCCCTTTGCCCATCATCAGTCGTTGCATTTCAAACTCTCGTTGCGTATACCGCAGCATTTTGTCTCGGTGTAGTCGGGCACGGAGTTCCAGAAGGAGTTTCTTGCGAGCTGACGTTGATTCAGTTGGTTCCTCATCGGCTTCGTCCTTGAACGCCTGGGCATCAGCGGGTTGAGGCTGTGAATGCCGACGCTTTTTTGATTTGACTGCGGGTGCCTTCCACCCTAGATCAATATGTGTGCTTGGCTCCGATACGACCTTCGAAGTTGACGGCGAGGGTTGTTGTTTTCCGCTGCTAAGCAATTTACGAGCTGAGGAACGAGTGAGATTTGATTGGTGAACTACAAGCAGAGGGCATACCGTCGGCCTCGTTATCGACGAATACAATATGTTTTGTAGATTTCTTCCGCTTAGAGGTGCTGGGTTGAATCAGTCCCGCGTCGCGTAGTGTATCCAGTTCGACAGCGTCAAGTTCATCGTCGGCAGCTGTGTCGTCTTGATTAGGGCTTGGCTTTAATAGATCGACCATTGCAGTCAATTGCCCTTTAATCTTGTCTATTTTCTATATAATCCATAGTAAGTGACTGTTATAGTATGCTGTATGATGGACATACTTTTAGCCCAGCCGCACGTGCGGTACGGACGTAGTTCTCGTCCTGAGTTTTGAGTACTTTGACCATATCTGTAGGCAAAGCTACATTTCCCCGTTCTTTGATGTGAACGCCCCCCTGCGGTCAATGCATCAGATATTATCTCTTCCAACCTCGTCAATCTACTAACCCGCGTCTTCTCCTTGTTCATGGAAAAGTAGAATTCATCCTTGTTTCTCTCTGAAGCCTTCTGGCGCAGTCTTGTGAGCCTGTCCTGCTTCGAGTGGTAGTCCCTTGCACGCTTGACATAGTCCTTGTGCTTTTCGAGAAATCCCAGCTTTGAGCGGTGGGCTAGCTGGGACCTTTCCTTGTGGTTGCGCCTGTGGATCGAATTTCGTAGGGAAGAGGTCATGGTTGTAACCAGATATGGGTAACGAGCGTGACAAGAAGAGTGTGACAGAAGGGAAAGTTGCTGAAACGTTGCAATTTCCTTCCTAAAGTTTTCTCGTCCGTCCGGAATATTAACCTCAAAACTCAGGGAATTCACTGCGAATCTAGCTAATCTCGCCCGAAATTGTCCCAAATATTCCTCATCGTTCGCGACGATGAGCTTCCAGCATTTCAGGCTGGGCGAGCTCGCCATGACCCAGCCGCTCCCGCCCCATCTCATGCAGCACAAGGGCACGACAAACAACATAAATGGCGCGCCGCCAGATTCAGCGTCTCATTTTACCAGCCAGCCCGCCACTTTCCCCTCAAATCAGTCGACGAATGGTCCCACGGCCCTTTCGCCTGGTCCGTCATCTACCACTCCTACTAAGCAACCGTATGGCTCAGGCGATGCAGACGACGGTTACACACTGGTGTTCCCTAACATCGACGCCTTCCATGCCTGGCGCGTGCAGGAAGAGGAGACACAGATGGTCGAGTTCGTGAAGGGGGACACCCACGGCAGCAAGGCGATCCCCCCGAGATTCAGAGAACATACGAAACTCGTCTGTGCGAGGCATTATGTGGCGGGAGACAACCGGATAGGGAAGTGTCGCGTCACACGAAGTCACACAAGTCAAAGACAGGGGTAAGTCGTCCTTGTTTATGCAACTCTGCCCTACAACGTACATAGGGCTCGTACTTTATAGTAGACTACCATAGATACTGTCAGAGTATATAGACTATAGAAAGGAGGGACTAAGGTTAGACTAACGATAGTGATTATACTAAAGAATGTGGCTATGAGGGAGTGTGACTAACCAGCGCTAAACGTGGCTTTACCATATTGGGTATATTCTTGTTACATACGCCCTCCTGGATCTGTGAAACAGATTCACGCGGCGCCGTCGGCCGCAGCAGGGTCCTTGGAGATGGAAAGGTCTGCGAGTTCCACAGTGGGAACTTTGGAGGTAGGGGAAGCACTGGGTTTGTCTGGGCTATCGTTCATGTCCACATCTTCACTGATGGTCGCAAGGTCAGACGAGGCCGAGGATGGGGTATTGACAAGCTCGATATCCGACTCTGACGGCGAGGGACAAGTATTGATGGGAATGGTCTCGCGTGGCTTGTCCGCGTTGGGAATGACATCAGGCACCGGGATACCCGAGATCTTTTGCTCGCGTGAACTGGGGCTGGAGCCCGGATTGGTAGGAACAATGGTAGGGCGAACCTTCTTGGGACGTGCGTATGGTGTTGAGCTACGGCGTAAGGAAGCGCCGCTACGACGGACAGCGGGAGACTCGCGCACAGGTGGAAAGTTGGTAGTGGGAGTCTTGTTACCCATTACCATATCAAGGAGTAGATTAGTCACCACATCGTGTCGTTCCGCCGTTAAAATGAATTCTCCGGCCTCCGGGTGTCGAGGTCCATTAGAACTTTGGCCCACCGTTGGTCTAGACTGGCCCACATAATTAGGCGGGACCGTAGCACGCCGACCATGCGAGGTCTGGGATCGGTAATGGTTCCTGGGATCTTTACGAGGTATACTGGGTCGCGCAGCAACGAGTCCCAAAAATCGGAGTCCTGGCCCTGCGATGCGAGTCGTGAAGGCATGCCCATGAGGCAAATTAAACTTGGTGGTAATTTGGCCTTGTTTGTTATACAGGGTTGCGAACCCGATGTAGCGGGGAGGAAGGGACAGAGGATTGGTAAGGGTGCCACTGATAATGCGACGATTGGCGGACACGAAGCTGATGAGCTCGTCGCGGGTATAGGCGGCGGAGCAAACTCGGGAGTCTAGGTCTCTCAGGGAGTATGACCCTTCGGGGTTTCGGGTGAGAGCAGTATGAATAGGGTGTAATCTTCCCAGTTCTGCTGCAGACATAGAAGTGATGTGAGGATGATTAGAAGAATATAGATTATTTGGGTGAGTAGGGTTGCTGTCTAATCCTATCTCCCCATCACTTAAATAGCCATCATCCGTAACACTGGCAGGTTTTATGCAACCAAGTACGATTTGGGGGTCGTTAGGGGGGGTCCCTGAACCCCTAGGGAGTTCCTCAATGTTGCAAATTCCCAACGTTTCGAAATATCTTCGTAATGCTTCAAGATGACTGACCTTATGGTATGGTAGCCAGGTCCTGTCACCAGTAGGCCAAAGAATTTCAAACAATGCATGCTGCCTTACACCAGAATGACTCAATATTTCTCTAATGTTCCATTCTGTGCTAGCTGGTGTTGCAGACGCAATGATGTGTTCAAGGGAACGGCCAGGGAACAAGCGGTCATCATTGGGGATATGTACACGTAGTAGAGACGCATGAAAGGAGGGATGAACACCCCTCGCAACGAGATGATTAGGTAGTTCAATCTGAAAAGTATCATTACCAAATGCGCGATTGATACGGTAGGGTCCCATATATTTGGGAATTAGCTTACGTGCCAGCCCCTGAGGGAACGAAATATTCTTCGTGGACACGTAGACTAAGTCACCAATCTGAAACGGGGATGGTTGGCGATGTCGATTGGCGTCTCGGATTTGCTTCGTGCGAGATGCCAGTACCGCATCATGAGCCGTAATCACGGCTTCGCGAAGATGTTCGGCAAACTCTCGTACACCTTTGGATTCGCTCGACGAGGGCGTGTCCCACAGGAATGGTCGAGGCATGCGTCCTGTATTCAGAAAGAATGGCGCGAAGCCTGTCGAATCTGTTCGTGCAGAGTTAATTGCAAATTCAATTGCCGGTAAACGTCGCACCCAATCCTTTTGATTCTCGTTGACACACTGGCGAATCATTTGCGTGATAGTTCTATTGGCGCGTTCCGTTGAACCGTCGGATTGCGGATGATACGCGCTAGACATATTTAGTTTTGTCCCAATGAGTTCGTGGAGTTTCTGCCAGAAACGTGCCGTGAATAATGGGTCACGGTCACTTACGATTCGTCGAGGAAGACCGTGGTGCTTGTATACTTCTGCGAATATCAATTCGGCGACGTCAACAGAGCCGTAGGTCGTACGGCTGGGTACTAAATGTACCATCGCAGTCAAGAGGTCAATAATGACTGTAATTGAATCGTAAAATGCGTTCCGATCTGCCGACTTGGGTAATGGTCCTACGAAGTCGATGCCGATGGCATCCCAAGGGCGAGACGGAATAGGCAGAGGACGGAGAAGGCCATAGGGCCGGTGGTTTGATGGTTTACTGCGGGCGCAAGTGCGACACGATTCGCAGAATCTATAGACATCCCTGGAAAGGTGTCTCCACCATACAAACTCACGAAGGTAGGTTAGTGTCTTTTCCGGCCCCAGATGGGCTAATAAAGAGTGACCTTCGTCTATGACTATCTCTTTGGCCGTCCTTCCACCAATTATGGCATCCGGAATGCATAGTAACCGTCTCCCGCCTTCAACTAGGTAGAGCAGACCGTTTTCTAACGTGAAATTCTTGTATTGGCGCGGAGTGTTCACAATTGATGCCATGAATGTGTCGTTCATGTAGTTGTTGCGTATTTCGTTCATGAAATCAACGTTAAGGTCGCGTTTCTGTTGATGCGACACTACGTTCACAATAGAGACGGTGGGCGAGGGTTCTTTGTCTTGAGTAGACGGTGGTGGGAGTTGAACATTGCGTGGACTTAACTCGGAGTTAACGGTGGTCAGTGCCTCGTCGGCGCCAATTACCGGAACCAAATTTGATTCCGCACCGGGGACACCTTCCTTTTCCAGTAAACTGTTAATTGTTGTAGGTCCGTTGTTTATTTGGTTTACTTCCTCTTTATTCCCGCCCTCCGTTCGTTCACGAGGGCCTCGCAGAACGAACTTCCTGGCCACCATTCGTTTCGCAAAATCACGCGACTCCGTGGCTCCGCCACGTCGTACAGCGTTTAAGGTCAACGAAATGCCCTCCAGAGGCATACTTTCTAGCCTCGCCTCGTCGCCTACGATGACTGGAGTTCTGCGGCGAAAACTGCACGTAGAATCTTCGTCAAATTTGACGAATTCGGAGGCCGCACGCTCAGTGCCAGGTGCGTCGTTTGCATATATACGAGAGAGAGCGTCTGACAAAACGTTCTCAGTTCCAGGAATATATACCGGCGTGAAATCAAATTCAGACATCTTTTCCAACCAACGCGCCTGACGCCCTGAGAGATTGGGCTGATTGAGCAAGTGAACCAACCCCTTGTGATCAGTGAGCCAGCGAAAATGAACACCCTGCAAAATGTCCCTATGGCGTAGCATTGATTCGAGCCCAGCCAACATCTCGATCTCATGCACGGGATAATTCTGCTGTGCTGGGTTCAGCTTTGCTGAAAAGAACGCCGCTACACGCGCCGTCCGCCATTCCTTCCCCTGGCTCACGACGCCGGCCACTCCCGTAGCTGATCCATCCGTTATCAACCAGATAGGATCACTGTCCCGGGCGTAGGATAACGGACGGCGACTATGCGAACGAAAACGGTCAACGAGGAGCTTTACCTCGTCGAACGAACGCTGGTGAGTATCAGTCCATCGAAATGGGGTATTGTCGCCGGTTAATCTCGCTAACACACCCATAGGAATTCGTACGCCCGCAACGTCGTCTGCCAGATAGCCCACTGCCCCTAGGAACCCTCGAAGCAGGTCTCGGTTGGTAGGCGTCTTCCAGTTTACGACGGCGTCAACCTTGTGAGGGTCCATACGAATGCCCGATTCGTCGACAATATGGCCAAGGACCTTCAACTCCTTCTCAAGGAAGTGAAGCTTCTTTTCGGACAAGTACAGCTTCTCCCGCGTAAGCACGTCAATAGCGGTTTTTACATGCTGAATGTGCTTTTCGAGTGTGTCTGAATAGATAATTATGTCGTCCAGATAAACGTCCATGAATACGCCAATGTAGGGTGCGAATATATGATTCATTAGTGCCTGGTACGTCGCGGGCGCATTGCAATCACCCTGCTGCATTACCAAGCTGACCATTGTGCCGTCAGGTGTCGTCATTGCGGAGCGAGCAACATGTTCCGCGACTATTCGAATCTGTTCGTACGCATCCTTTCCATCCATGCTGGAACGGAATAAATGGGCGGCAATTCGGCGCAGTATCGCCTCAATATTCGGCATAGGCGTAGACATCTTTACCGTATTCGCATTACGTTCACGTAGGTCAACGACGATCCGCAACAATTTGGTACCCGGCTTATAAATATGCAACATAGGAACCGCATTCCCGGCCGTCGTGATTTGCCAACGTCCTGATTTTAAGTACGCATTCCGCTTCTCAACCCACTGCTCCAGTAACGGCTCCGGACAACGAGACGGTCGCCATTTATATACCTTTTTCTCATCAATCAAAGGTATGGTGTGGTTAATAGCTCGTAATGGAGGTAGATCAGTCTGATCCATTGTTTTACACAGCGGTTTGGCGTACTCAAGCAGTTCTTGCCGTGCGCGCACTATTTCCGCAGTATCGAAGTCAACTGACATGGATGCCAATCGTGATACACCAGGACCATCCATTGGAAGACTCTCTTTGGAGCCCACCACCACGCGCGCAGGATTCAGGCCGAGCAATACCCGATGCTGGTACATGAATGGTGTACCCAGAATTAAGTCATAGCTTGAGATGTTGATGACATCGAAAGCTCGTTCCTCGTCGACTGTCTGGTAGCTAATGTTCGCTTTACAGGACCAGTTAATCTTCGTTCGCGACCCCTGCACAGCGAGCTGCAGTGGAATCGGCTTGGCAAGCGCGACCTTCGTCTTACTTCCCAACTGGTCGGCCAACGTAGACGACATGAAGTCGCCCAAGGAACCGGAGTCCAGCAATGCTTTCGCAGGTTTTCCGTTGATCTGTACAGTGACCACTACAGGCGATGGTACAGCGCGCTCCTTGTCCTTGACGACTGACGCGTTTCGTTGCAGTGCAGGTAGCTTGTCACGATCAATCTGGACGCCAAAGAGGAAGAGTTCGTGCAGCAGCTTGCTGTCGCCATCATCCAGGTCGAATACATGGAAGCAAGAGAGATCCTTGAGGTAGGGCTCTAATGAATAGAACCTGTCGTCTACTAACATATCCGCCCAACGTTCCGATGCAAGGTCTTCCGTATTACGGTACAGGTCGGCAGTATCGTATTCAGGTTCACGCAAAAATGGGCCGTCATCTGGGTTAACAGCCCATGGCACCGAGTGCTTAGCGTACCATGAAGCCAGATGAAGATGCTCATTTCGCAGGAGCAGTCCACTTATCACGGCGTGGGTTTCCAGCTCATCTTCCGAGATATACCAACAGTCATTATTCCGGCCACAGGCACTGACTGTAAATGAGCTGTCCATCAACGTTTCGTCCCAAGTGAGTTTATGCTTGAGATGCATCCGTGCGTTGAATTCAGTAGGCTGAACCCTAGCATTATAGAATTCGTCGCACAGCATACCGGTCCAAAACGGCGCTACACGATCCATGAGGACCTGTGCATACCACCGACCAAACTGGAAAGAGTTATCCTGTAACAACTCGGCGGATACCTCTACACATATGTTGTGCATACGGTCGTTTACCTCATAGGTCGTGGGTGTCCTTCTTTCTACCGAGAATCGAAGTTCCGACCAAGGATACTGATACCCATTATCCCCAGGTAGACCTAGGTCGCGGCTTGTTTCGAGCACCCAGGTATACGTGTTTGCGTAGGCGTCACCCAGCCAATCGTGCGTGTAGCACCCGCTCAGGAATTTCTTCCACCGCGTGCCGATCTCGGTGATATCTTCCAAGATCTCATCCGAAGAATCGCTATCGTCAAGAACTAAGCCAGGGACGTCCAAGTCCGAAGATTCTATGAACTCAGCGTGCGACGCATATTCGTGTGATCCTAGCACGGCTAATCCGATGTGAGCTGTGTTTTCGTCGTCGGGGATATACTCATCAACTATGTGTTCTGCAAAATCAATATGATTCACGCGGACGCCAGGAGGCTTCCCTCCCTTGCCAGGTAAGGTGTTAGCCTTTGGACAATTTCGTGCTATGTGACCAGTCTGTCTGCACAGGAAACATTTCCCCTCTGACTGGAGCTTCTGACGCTCCTGCGGCGAAATGTCCCTACGCCCTCCGGATGTTCCATTGGTTTTACTACTCGAAGGATTACCAGAAGCAGTGTTCCGTAACATGTTACCAGATGACTGGTCCGAATGATGGTTGTTGTGATCTGGTGAGCGTTTACTATCACTGTTCTTGAAGTTGCGCGAACGTTGACGAAAGTTACTATTCCCAGGTTTGTACGAACTATTTGAGCTATGGGCTACCGACGACCTCGACTGGGTCACCGCGTCCTTTGAACGTTTATCGCCCCGAGAACCATCTTTGCGAATACTCGAGAGAACGATCTCTTCGTTCTCAGCCTCCGCAACAACTTCATCCCAAGATGCGTCCTCGGGGTTCAACCCCATGCGCCGGCAGGCGATTGCCAGCTCAGGATTCAGCCCACGGAACAAATGGACGACACACTGGCGTGCCTCAAGCCCTCCGATGGTGTTTATCATGTCGTACATTTGCGCAGCATACTCTTTAACTGATAGTTCGCTTTGATAGAAACGTTCCAGCTTACGGCGCTGTTTCTCCCGGAAATTAGACGGGAAACAGGCATCATAAATGGCCTTGAAATACTCGTCAAGCGTCCAGTTCGACTCGTCGTCAGCGATTACATTCTGGTAATACGCCTGTGCCTTGCCTTCGGTATAGCGCGCAAGTGCTCGAATTTCCTTTCGCTGTTCGACCCGCGCGTCATCAAGATAATGCAAGCCCTCACGCATCCATCGATTGAATAAATCAATCTTAGGTTCACCGGTAAACACTGTAGGTGCGACGGCCTTCAATTTTGAAGGCGCCTTCCTCTTTTTACGACGAGAAGATTGCAAACTTCCCCCTCCATCCTCAGGACCGGATCCATCAGAGGAAGGGTCACCGTCGGAATCGTGGTTACGATTGCGGGCTACACGATTGAAGATACGACCGACGTTTGACGACGGCGGTACTACTTCATTCGGTCGGGACACATGGCGACGTTCACGACGACTCCAGCTTGGTAGAATCGGATTTACCATAGCGCTACCACGAGTAAAGTCGCCACGGGCCTTGCGCTCAATATATTTGCGTTCATCTTCAGATAAAACTTCAGGCGTGAAGGTAGTGTGCTTAAACTCATTGGGCCTTTGAGGCTTGTTCTGAACTTGAGATTCAAGTCGGTCGAAGCGGTCTTGAATGAGCTTAAGATTCTTCAATAATTCGGTCAGGGTCATATCATTCGGATGAGTACTAAGTACAACATTAGGGGTGGTACTAGCTTTATCAGCTTTGGGTGAAGAGGAGAGATTTGGCTTGGATTGCCAAAATTCCAATGCTGCACGTTGCTCAGCGACTTCTTCTTCGGTAGGTGCGTCAAACGTATTGACGACTGGATTGGGCCCACCGAGCTGTAAGACGGGCTCGCCGCGCTCTCGCGGGTCGACGCCCTTGCCTTTATCTCTAGGCGTGGATTCGGTGTCCATGGAATCGTCGTCCGTAACGTGTACGGATGCGCGACGCCTCAGGATCGCGTCTCGCTGATCCTGGGTCAATAATTCCTCCGCGCGCCTGATATCGGCTTCTTGAGCGGGGGAGATTTCTGGAGTCGGTGTGCGGAGAGGGCGTCCGCCACGGCCGACCGTAATCCAAGGGTGTTCCTCGGCGGGAGAGGACCTGGATTCTTCGGGGTTGTCATGGATGACTACCCCGGCATTCGAGCTGGCATTCGAGGCTTTAGGGGAGCCGAATGAAGTATCCCCTCGAAGGGGAGAGGTTTCTCGCGGGGTGGTGAACCCGACACGAGTATTCGTAGCGGCGACGCTGGAGTACGAAGCTCCCGTCCCGCTGTTCTGGTTCAAGCTCGAGTCATCAGCGCTGGGTGTTAGTGGAGGTAAGGGGGACTCATCCGGGATATAGGCGGCTGGCATAGCCAACGGCGTCTGAGGCTCAGACGAGGACGCGGGATGAGACATTACTCCAATAGGATTAACCTAAACAATACTAGGTTAGTAAAATAGAGAAACTGAGTTACTTAACGGGATATAGTCGGATAGCCTTGGTTGATCAGACCGAGGGGTGCCCGAAGAGAGAGATTACGAGACAGAAAGAGATAAGATGAGAGAGTCGATGTGAATGAGAGATGAGATGGACGAGATGGTTCTGTCAAAAATATGTGGCGGGAGACAACCGGATAGGGAAGTGTCGCGTCACACGAAGTCACACAAGTCAAAGACAGGGGTAAGTCGTCCTTGTTTATGCAACTCTGCCCTACAACGTACATAGGGCTCGTACTTTATAGTAGACTACCATAGATACTGTCAGAGTATATAGACTATAGAAAGGAGGGACTAAGGTTAGACTAACGATAGTGATTATACTAAAGAATGTGGCTATGAGGGAGTGTGACTAACCAGCGCTAAACGTGGCTTTACCATATTGGGTATATTCTTGTTACACATTCCCGCAGCGGGCGCAAGAAGTATGTCAAGAAGCACCCAGATAGAGTGCGCAAGGTTCCAAGTCGGAAGGTGAGTGGCGATCCCGCTCAAGTGCGGACATACGAGCTAATACCTGAAATCAGCTTGAAGGACAAGGATGTCCAGCTTCTATCAGGCAAGGCTGACCTTCACTGTGCAAGTGCTGCTGAGATTGACCGTGTCACAGTTACAAGACATATTTCGATTCAGACGTCGTGCGTGCTTGCTGTGAGTATTTAGTTTCGTCGACGAGGCCGGTGAGATGCTGAGTCGCTTGCTAGACATGTCCCAGCATTCGCACGAGGTTGGTCTAGCGAATCTACCGTTTACAAGACGGGGACGTAAGGCAGCTACCACTGAGGAGAAAGAACGTTCGCGGAAGCACTTCCGGCCTCAAGATGATGCCAGCAACACCCTCTCTCCTACTCCGGCCCCAGATCCCCAGAATGCTCCCGCCCCACTACCTCCGCCACCAGTTCAGAACCATGCTCCGGTCCACAATCATAATGCCATCGCCGGCCCATCCAACATCCAACAGCCTGCCGCCACATATCCTGCCGCCGTATCTGCGCTTGCTCCGTTGCCCAGCCAATCATCCTACCAGCCTCAACAGGCGACTTACCAGCAGCCTACCCCTCAGCCGTATCCTCCACATACTCACGTCGACCCCAATGCCACTCGGCAAGATCGCTGGGACAACATGTCCACACTTTTCAACTCCGTGCGCGAACACGCTCGTAATTTCGCCTATCCTGCCGTCAGCGTGGCTGCACTGGAGACCATCTTAATCAGGTTGTATCTGGAAAGCCCCGTCGGATCGATTGCCAGTCCACATCAGCAGGTCCCGGGCCAGCATGGCCGGCCTCAAGCCAGCAATGGCGTTCTAGAAAGCCCACCATAGCCCCAGTACCACCTTCTCCTTGGGTTCTCTTGACTTGCCTTGGTCACCTGCCCCAGCCTCTCATTCTCCCTTGGACGAAACTTGCGCTTTCTCGCTTGCCCCTACACTACCAATTTGTATCCACTAAACGAAATACCTGTATTTGTTCCATCGCAGTCTCCCGCCCATAGTCTTTGCAGTTACATAACACGTCCTTTTGCGCTCTGTTTACTGTACTTTCGATAATTTCTGTTTCGGAGAAATGTGACGTAGAGTCACGCCTTGAACTTAGTCCTTCCGCAATATAGAATGGAATTCCTCCTTCATCCCGTCCACGATGTCTGCGATAAGTTTCGCCAAACAGGCGTTCGGTCGAGAGAAGCCGCATGTTCGTAGCCATCCTGCGATAAAGACACAGTCACTCAGATGTCTTGTTTCAGTCCTCCATCACCGACTGGGTGGAGATACTCACCGGAAGCAGCTACGAGGAGGAAGCATATGATGGGTGCGTGCTTAATTTCCAATGCTTTCCGAGAGGCTGTTCTAAGAAGTGGGATGTGAAATAGGATTCCAGAGCTTGTCGACTCAATTAATCTCCAAGGAGCAGGGTGCCTACGCCTGTTCCATCTATTCCGGGATGCATACTTACACGACGGACTGTAGTACAACGGAAGCATCCAGAGCGCTGCGCAAGAAACTCAAGCATGGAGGCCCCCACCAGCAGTATCGTGCTATGGTCGTACGTGATTGTGATTTACAAAGATGTTGTGCAGTACATAACGTAGGTATTCGAATCCGCAGCTCCTAAAGGCGCTTGTCGAGAATTGCGGTCATAAATTCCAGGGTGCGTCACGCTACCTCTTGGGAGTACTTGATATTACGACGACACACGTATCTCAGCTTCTTTCGCCGATGACATGCTCACCGATGCGCTCAAGCAAATAACTGCTGATCCGTCTGGTGACCCGAGGGTAAAGAAGAAGGTTCTCCTCGTCCTCGCAAGCTGGGAACAGCAATACAAGTCAGACCCCCAGATGGCACACGTAGCCGGGCTGTACAGACAGTGCAAGCAACACCGAATTACACAGCAGCAGACTATAGATAATGTGGTGACCTCGCTAGGACTACCGAGTCAAGAATCAGAGGCAGCGCGCCGGAAACGTGCTAAGAAGGAGGCGAAAGAGGCGAAGGAGAAGGAGAGACAGCAGAAAGAGGAGGAAAGATTGAGGCAGAACAGGCCGAGAAGGCCGGCCTTTGACTTCGAGAAAGTAAGAATCAAGGAAATCTATCAGACACACAGCTGACAGGTACGCAGGATAAACCAAAAGTTTTATCCAGTATCGTTGAAGCCTCACAGGCAACTAGTAACCTCATCAATGCGATAGTGGTAAGCCGGGCAATGCTATCTCCGAAACGCATGACTTATGGGATCTTCGAACAGCTGGTTAATACGGAGAAGGACAGCATCTCCACCAACGAACGAGTCCAGGAGTGCCTCGAAAAGGCCAAAGTAGCGAGAAAGCCCGTGGTCCGATATATTCAGGTATTTCCCCATGCCGGTCCCTGTCCCTTCTCCCTAATCACTCGCATAGCTGGTGGAGAACGAGGAACTGATCGGGACGTTGATCGAGACCAACGAACGGATAATAGGCGCGTTGGAGATGTACGACCAACTCTGCCTGGCCGAAAAACAACCACCAGCGGTGGACGAAACTGCTGCCAACGAGGTGGCCCCTCAAATGACAGGGGAGAGCGAAGTCTTCAAGTTGCAAGAGAAACAAAGGGCTGCAATCAAGCGGGCTAAGCAGGTCGACAACTCCAACGTTCACCCCGACTTGCAGGATTTGAACTTCGGGGCAATCGGCGGCTCCGCGGCCAATTTGCCACCACCGATGAAGCCTTCTGGCCAAGGTGAAGACGGTTCTGATGAAGAGCCGTACGACTTTCGCGGGTCGTTGTCAGATTTTAGTGACTACGTTTCGTCGGACGAGGAGACACATAACGCGTCGTCATCGAGGAGACCAAGGAAGGATTATGTCGATGTTTCTGACGACCCCGATGTCGAAGCGACTGTTGCCATAAGACCCCAAGCAGGGCAAGACGACCCGTTTGCCGATCCATTCGCTGACGAAGTCGCCATAGGTCCAACCAAACGTTAACGGAGAAAACGTCGAAGTATCGTATCGTATCTGAAGTGATATCTAAATGGAGCACCTATGTTGTAGAGTATATGTAAACCAAACATCTATTTCGGAGGGCGTCATCGCCATTGGATTTTCGTGTTGGGCATAACAGAGCGAGCGAGCCAGTGGGGTTCCAAACAGCGGGGTAGGTGCACAGCTAATATCTTGCCCTGGCTGTCCAGTTCGACGCCGTTTTCAAGGAGAGCTACTATAAGCCTTGGAATAGCTGCCGCAGTTCCGTTCAACGTGTGAGCAAATGGAAGAGCAGGCGCTGTGTCTTTTTGGGTTGTTGGTGACGGACTACCTTTGCTGAAATTGGGGTCTGCATTCGGTCGGTATCGGATGTGCAGACGCCGCGCTTGGTAGTCTGTACAGTTCGACAGGGATGATATCTCTCCCCAGCCGCCTCTTCCAGGCATCCAAGACTCCATATCGTACTTACGATACGCGCTGGCTCCGAGTTCCTCAGAAGGCATATCAAGAACCCTAGAGTGGAATGGGCGAATATTAGAATGCACATATGGGAAGGGCTCACCTGAATGGTATGTCGAGTGCGGAATATATGTCCATCTGAATCCGTTTCATTTCCTCCATCATGGCTGGACTTTTGTCGGGTGTTGTCACCGCGAATAACTCGACCTTAGAGAACTGATGAACTCTGTACAAACCCCTCGTATCAGCACCTCTCGCGCCAGCCTCCGCACGAAACGCTCTGCCAAGGCCAACAACTTTTTTCGGGAGGAAGTGTGCTGGGAATATTTTATTCGCAAACATTGCAGCCAGCGGGATTTCTGCAGTTCCAGAAAGTATCAACTGGGGAGACGAGGCCCCGGACTCGATGTGGTAGACTTGCGATACAGGGGGGTCAGAGTGGTCGCGCGGCTGGAATCCACATCTACTGGCAATATCTGAACGCACGACGTCGGGTGTGAGAACTGGGGTGAACCCATGATCCATGGCGACAGTAAGCGCGTAATTCGTTAGCGCAATTTCCAGGAGAGCGGCTTCATTTTGGAGGTAATACCACGACGAACCCGTTGCAAGGGAACCGGATTCAAAATCAACTAGGTCGAGGGCCTTTGCAGTGGATACGTGGTCGAGAGCAGGATTCATTTCGAGATTCTGGGCCTTGTGCATGTGTATGACTTTGGCGGCGGGTTCTGGGCCTATGGGTGTATCGGGGTGCGTATCATTTGGGACCATGAGTGCGAGGTGAAGGAGCTGGTCTGCGACCGTGGACAACTTGGCCTCTAGTTGAGCTATGTCTTCTTTCAGGGTTTTTGCTTCCTCCAATAGCACACCCTTGACCTCTTTATCTTTCGCAGCCCTCTGTATCTTCTCCCCAACGGAAGACCGCTCGTTCCGTTTCGAGTTGAGCGTCGTAGAAATATCCGTGTGTTCCTTGTACAAACTTGCTATTTTTGAGATTCCGTCGTCCGGTAGAGGTGCTTTTCGTTGGAGGGCATTGCGTGCCTTGGTTTCGGCATTCTGTACTATGGCCCGATAGTCTATACGCGGAGCAGGAAGCATAGTGCTCGTATGGACATGCTCTGGCTTCGCCGACGACGCGTAGTACCGGTGCAGCCTCTTGCCTCTTGCGTCCTTGAGCAGAGAATCTTGAGCGGCGGAAATAAAGACTCACAAGGTGCTTCAGACCAATGTCGGTTGAGACAGCGAGCGGCTGCTTTGAGAGACGGGCTTGAGTGCATGGTGGTCGTTGTGATCGCCGGAGTCGGACGCGCTTGGAATGATCGAGTGCATCCCGACGACTATTTGTCTGGTTCTTTAGATGTAAACAATCGCGCGACGATTCTGCCCTCCACGTGCCTTCCGCTTTCTTTATTGATCAGCATGATCGGCCATACGGACTCCAGTGCTCCTCCTCGACCGCCATGGCGAACGACCCTCAAGAAACAGGAGTTACAAAGCGTCTGCGCTCGGTCAAGAACGTAATCATCGTGCTCTCTGGCAAGGGCGGCGTCGGGAAGTCCTCAGTCACCACGCAGCTCGCCCTCAATCTATATGCGTCTTCACCCACTGCTCGAGTCGGGATCCTCGACGTAGATCTCACTGGGCCATCTATACCCCGAATGTTGGGCGTCGATGGGCACGGCGTGCATCAAAGCAGTGATGGCTGGGTTCCTGTGTATGCTGATGGCCCCTCAGCCCGGCTGGCATGCATGAGTGTGGGGTTCTTATTAAAGAACAAGGGAGACTCGGTAGTTTGGAGAGGCCCGAAGAAGAACGGCATGATTAGACAATTCCTGAGCGACGTGAGATGGGGCGAACTAGACTATCTGGTAATCGATACCCCTCCAGGTACGCCACGGACTCTCACAACCATATATTTCATCACCTCATTGCAAGTTCACCTCATTTAGGGACTTCTGACGAGCATCTATCCTTGTTGGAACACCTTGGCCCTGTACATGCGCGACTGTCCTCGGTCATCGTGACGACCCCGCAGGCTGTAGCGCTGCTCGATGCCATGAAGTGTTTAAGCTTCACGCGCGCCGTGAATCTGCCGGTTCTGGGGCTCATCGAGAACATGAGCGGTTACGTATGCCCCTGCTGTGGTGAAATTAGTAATGTGTTCTCGACAGGCGGAGGGGAAGACATGGCGAGGCGGGAGCAGCTGACCTTCCTCGGCAGCTTACCCGTAGACACGGAGCTGGTGACACTGCTGGACGCAGCAGCCGAGCATGATGCAGAGAAGTCGGCAATGACCAGCGGAACGGAGCCTTTCGCGCTACTGTCGCGATACGAGAAGACGTCGTCAGCCAAGCTATTTAAGGGAATCGTTTCTCGTGCACTTGGGAAGCTGACTGGCGAACACGCGGTCGAAGAAGCTGGGCCGTAATCATTCGAATTCTGGTGCGTCGACGGGATTTTCGCGGTCTCGTCGCTGATTCCTGAAGCGAGTAGCCAGAGAAATGTATCGATAGCATAGTTGCCTGTAATCCCAGATGCTGCAGTATTTGCCGGCGAGAAGCCGAACAGCAAGCAGTGTGGCCATTTGGGAGCCCTGAGGTGGATGGGGTAATGGGCCACCTCGAGGCGGTTATGTTGAATCAACAAGCTCAAAATGGCAATCGCATGATCACAGTTCGTTCACTCTTCATCCTTTACCTCTCTCTCTTCCTCTCCACCACCATCTCCCATGTCCCCGACAGAGTAATCTCCCTGTACGCCTGTACTTTTACCGCCTCCGCCGTTTGCGACGACATACCCGACGGTGAGCACGTCCGCGACGGGGCCTGTACACGCATATACTCACCTTTCAACCTGTAGACGCGTCTGATTCAAAGAATCAGCTCCCAGATACCAACAACAACCGAATCCGCGATGATATCCGCTCACGACCCCATCGACATCCCACACCCACCCCGACGAAGACGCTCCAGTCTGCTCGACCGCTGGATAAAGGAGCAGCAAACACAGCCCCAAGTGACGCTCGACGAGCCTCCAGGCATTCTTGGCTTTGACCCCACGCAGTCAAGCTCGGGGACGCCGCCGAACGCATACTTGGCCTACCCAGACTTGGCCCGGCGTCAGACGGCAGAAGAAGCCAGCGATGATGACAACACCGTGAATAGTTATGATCTTGTCCAAGACGATGACATTCCAGCCCATGTTGGCGTTGATCTCACACCGTTCGAGGTGGGTTTTGATTGTATCATTGATCCCGTATCATGTTCATGCTAAATATGCATCTATACAAAGGCTCCCACAACGCCCAAAATCCATAGGTCCTCCTCTTTCCTCCCCGCCCCCTCCTCCTTTCGTGGTCTCCTCTCCTTTCGCTCAGCCTCGCCCTCGCGTTCAATCTCTCGCGCCTCTAACGCTACCCCCGTAACGCCCTCCCGAAAATCCATATTTCCCCGACACGACACATTACACCCGCACAATCAACACTCCCGCGCTGCCAGCCTGTCGACGCTGAGCATATCAGGCCAAGCAACCTCCTCCCCTAAGCCCTCTTCTCCAGGTATGTCCAAATGGCGCCCCAGCGTTATGGGGCACTTCGGCTCTCCGTCATCACCGGGGAAAACAAGTTCAATCACAGAATCTACATTTACGCCCTCTCGTCCCAGCATATCCTCGTGTATCACCCAGACCTCGACTGCGCCAACGACCGTCGAGATGTCGTTCCACAAGTTATCGCTCGTGGATTCGCTTCAATCGACCGCGTCACCTAGTATGATCTTCAAAACCGGGGGAGCCCTGTCTACGCTATCTCGGAGTCGCCCACCCACGGCTTCCGGTGTCGGTTCATCTTACCAAGTGGCGACCGAGAATAGTCTGTCAGGACGAGCACCATTTGCACCGAAATCGAAGAACCGATATAGAAGCCACCGCGTGTCTGATGATGCCAGGGATGAGATTTCCGGCCCAGCATCTGATATGGCACGACCACATGTAGCCTATGCCTCGGGCAGCTATCGAGGCCCGATGGGCCGTATGGTTACTAGAGAGTCGAAGAAGAAAAAGCTAGTCGCAAGTGGCGTAGGGCCGAATGAATCTCGCAAGTTTGAAGCATTCCGGCGGTGGTGTGAGGTCAGTGTCCTCAAGACTCCGTCCACGTGATAGACGTACTGATCGAGATCGGATTTCATTTACATACAGAGCTTCGGCGAAGTGAACCAGATAACGCGGATGCCAGATGGTGATCTCCATGTCCACTTCCGAGATGCAGAAGTTGCAGAGACGGTGCGTGCACCTGCGCCGTTGCTATAGTCGATCATCCACTCAATTAACCCCACTTTAGGTGTGCCGGCTTCGCGCTCGGGTATTCATTGCAGGCGTTGGCAGTGTGTACCTGTCGTGGTATACCGGCAATAAGCGATGACCATCCTCATTCCTTTTTACCTATCCGAACATATGTAACAAAACACGACCTGTTTCCGCTGGTTTTCGGCGAACAAGGGCGTCCCTATGCCTTCTGCCTATTTCTCTAACACAATGACCTGCGACGATCTTTTATGCCGTGAGTTTGTGCCCAGCTTCTACCCTCCGTGTGGCTCATTTTAATTTAATTTGATCCCCCACTAGAACCCATGCCTGCCTCCACCGTACAAACGCAACTCTATTTATTGCGTTGACCTTGCCACATTCAGTACCCCCAATTACCTTACCTTCCTTTCGTGCTGGCCCAACCCCGTTTCCGCCCATCCCCCTTCCACATCCAGCCTAATTGCGCTATGATCACGCGAACATGAACACCTCAGACGTATAAATGACTTTCCTTGTGCATCGATGTATCACCAAGAATGCTTGCTATACCACATCATTGACGAATCATACCACCATTCCCTTGTAAATAACAATCTCCCCCTCCCTTTTTCGTGTATAAAGGACATCGTGCCCACTCATTGTATACTGGTTACTCAATTACTACTTACATACACGCATGCATACAAAATCAAAATCAAAATAGCGTACAGATATGAATATCCCAAACATCGGCCTGAACATTCCTTCTGTCTACCTCAATCAACGTTCCTTACATCAATGGATGGCATGACATGGGATCCCGGGACACGAGGTACAGGTTCGGTGGCTGAAGCAAGGGTACTCGGACGTAGGGAGGCCCTATTTATGTCGCGTTGAATAAGACAAGAATAAGACGTTTGTCACGCGGCCTCACGCGGTGGACCTACAACCCAAGCAAGAACCCTCAGTTCTAAAACAAATTGTTTACTTCCTGGATGGCCCACGGAGGTCTGCAACCCCCGTTATCGACATGATACGTCGACGGGCCTATCATCATCATCATGCTCGCCCACACTTTGTCGATGTCCGTCTAACTATCAAGGTCATTTGAATTTGAATCATCAACGTTTCGATATCAGATCATGGACGCTTGAAGTCCCTGACTCGCTGGCAGAGGTTTGTTATGTTGGCGGCGGAAGTGTGGGTCTGTGGGCCATTCATAGCCAAATTTAACATACGCCCTCGCGGGAAGATATCAACACAGTTCCCCATCACCATCAGCGCTCGTTGACACTACGCCACTCGACGGTGTTCTCAAACTTGTCTGAGACTCACGGGATCCTCATTGTTGCCGGCCATCCTAAACACAGCACGGACTAGCCTGCTCTTGGATGCGACTTCGAAATTGGTGTTAGGATCAGTCGTGTGGGAATTCCGATGTGTCCTGGCATTAATCAAAGCATATCTTCGACTTCCTTCAACTTCCTTGTCTTCTTGAGCAGTCGTGCAGTTTCTAGTAATTCGGTCTTCATAACTATTGTGCCATCCCGCGACAATTTTGAGCCTGGAAGTGTGGATTAAAAGGGAACTTGCACGATTTCAGAGCAAGAAGTGATAGGAGCAAAAGGGTGAACAGGGGTTGAGAGTTGTGTAGGAACTGGAAATTTTGGGAACACGATGGTGTAGGTAGGATGTCTACGCAAACGAAGTCAGATGGATCCATGAATGATCATGTGAATGACGAGAGTATAGCGTGAAAACTGAGGAAAACATGAGGGATGTAGTGATGAACGAATGTCAATGAAAAATGTCAATGGAAATGAATCAGAAATGAGTATGATGGAATGAATGATTTTTCTTGGTAAAATTGTCGAGAAAATGGGGAGATTAATTTGAAGAGAAACAGTTCCACTCCCCAGCCAGAGCAGACTCTCCCATGTTACCGTTACCCCGATACCTGTTCTGAAGAGGAGACCGCCCATTCTTGTTGTAGTTCATACCGGCATCTCTGCGTTGGCCACCTGCCACGGGAGGAGCCCACGGTCTTCGACCTTGCTGGGGTGCAAAGGCTTGATATGGGTACGGCGCCATGGGGGCGAAGTGGACCCATGGCGCGGGGTGTCGAGCTGGTGCGTGGCCGGGGATAGCTTGCGCCGGAGACGGGCAAGGCTGCCGACCTCCTTCGCTGTTGGAGGAGGCTTGTTCATCAGGAGAATGTTGAGTCATGTATTGACTCAACGCTTCTTGAGGGTAATACGGGATTAGCCCCCGATGTTCGTCTTGAAAGTGGCCGATGGCAGGCACAGGAGGAGATGGATAAACAGGCTGCCCAGCGTCCGTGTGGTCGCGTTGTTGAGAGTAGGTTGGGTGGGAAACGAATGGCTATATCCGGTCTCGTCAGCTATGGTTAATCTAACAAAGCATATGACTTACGCCGTACATCCCAGGCCAGTAAGGAGTCGGAAAGGGAGAGGAGTTGGCATCCGAATGTGGTCCAGCAGGGCCTTGGGGGACCATATGGTATCCAGAATAGTACGGCATGCCATACTGCATATGATGCATCTGGGGTACTCCCCAAGGTCCTGGATGGAAGTATGGAGCGGGCATTGAGTACGGGTGGGCGCCGGGGATGGTAGGCATTGACGGGGCGGTGGGGACCGACGGCTGGAATGGAGGTAAAGCGCCAGGGGTGACATTGTCAACCCCTTCGCCTTCGGTCGATGCAAGCTTCTTGGGGGAATCTGGCTTCTGCTGGCCTGGAGAACAGCCGCCGCGGGGTTCGCGATGGACGTCTACCTCCACGTTCAGACTTGCGTCGAGAGGGGGTTCAGCGTCGGCGGTGATGCTGAGAGCAGCGATGTTAGGAAGGAGAGCGTCGCTGGCCACGCATTGGACGCCCCCGAAGTCGTGAGGTGGTGCTGAAGGGTCTCGGTCGTCTCGCCTGTAACCATCAAAGCGACGGTAGTTGTTCATATAAGCTCGAACCCCCCTCCCGCCTCTGCCTCTGCCTCTGCCACCTCGACTGACATGGCGGTATTGAATACGGCCGAATCTTTCCTGACGTGGGGCTTTTAATACATACTCCAATGCTACAAGGGTTCACTCACTTGTTTGTTCTTCGCATACGCTGCCGATTCGATGTTCTCGAAGGATACTATAGCATACCCAGTCGGGGCATTCGCTGCGAGGAATTAGAGCCGACAGGATGGTCATGGAATTGAGGGGACATACGAGGCCTTATGACTTTCACATCCTTAATCCTACCGAAGGTAGAAAAGTAGTCTTCGAGTTTGTATTCCGTCCATGCTTCGGGTCCATGAACCAGTATGTTTGGGATATACAACGCGGACCTGTCAAATTCTCTCTGCAAGAAACCATCTTCAAAGCCGCAACCCATGCGAGGGTTATTGTTATGCCAATCCGGGAAGCCGAGGAGCGACTCTGCGTTAGATGGTGTTGATGGAAACTCAGAATCGTTTGGAGACACAGGCGACGTCCCCACACCGTTAGGTGTGTCATTCTTGGCGCCTTGAACCTGGGGCAACGAGGAAACTAGGGGAGCGATGACTGCACGAGGGGTGCTAGAAAATTCTAGCTGAATAGGCGACATAAACGGCGTAGAAAAGTAAATACCTTTCGTCGTCTTCGAGGTTCAACCTGTTTGCGCTGAAAATATGACCTTCGCTAGGTTCATCCGTGCTCCAGTCAAAGCTTTCCTCCCTCTTAGAAGGAGAGGGGGAAGTATCACCCTTGATACCGTCAGAGGGCTGATCGTCATTGTGAAGTCTCCCCAGGACGGCGTTTCGCAAGGGGTCGGATTGCTGAGCACGGTGATGCGCCCATGTGACTGTTATGAAAGGTATCGTCAAGAGGGCCTGTGCGTTTATTTTAGCATCTGATGATTGAGATCAAAATAGAGGCCGCTACATTTAAGGCAGTAACGCAATCGCTTCGGCTTTGGAACTTGATCTCCCAGCACCTCGGGTCCATGGTTGGGAGACGAGGTGCATCGTGAGGAGGGGGGTAAGTCCTTTCGCTGTCGACTCCTGGAACGGAGTGCGTACGTTAGTTATATGCACCTAAAATAACACACTGACGAGCCTACCATGATCAGAAGGCGCCTGTTTGTACAACTCAAGGCGTTCTAACGGTCCAAAGTGGGTCGCTAATTGGTGAATAACCTGAAAAGGGTTTAAATCGATGCCTTTATGGCTGCATAAACGGCAAACCGACCTCCGCGGTACAGATGACGGGCTGGAAGTACAACCCTGAGACGCCGTGTGTAGATTCTTCCGATGCGATTTCATTGAACACAACAGGAAGGCTTTGTAATAGTCAGAGGGGACGTGTATACTATGGCTACTAGCTCACCTTGCGTTTTTGCGGATCGTCATTGAGAAAGGAAGGTCGTGAGATTCGCTCGATACGGACACGGTGTCTTGCATATTAGGAACCCTAAATAAAAAAGAACATAAAGGATCGCGTAAGCAAGAGCTAACAATACGAACCTATAGGAAACGAGTAGGGTCCTGTGTGCATGAGCAAGCTCAAAGCGCAGACGACGGCCCAGGAAGAGCCTCTGGGAATTAGCCCTGAGAGTGTCAAGGAATACAGCGGCAGAGTCCACGTTCTGAGGCGGATTACGACGCATATATCAGCATAAAAGACGGTTAATACACCCGTCTTGGACCAACCTCAAATTGAACGAAGGCACAGATGCCGCCGTCTTTGCCGTGGTGGATCTTGACATACATGACCTTTGCATACTGGGTCAGATGTACCTGTAACGAGAAACGAAGCTCCTTCTCATCCATGTTCGTCGGCAGACTGCGGGATTGTCAGTAAGGCAGATATATGGGACGCGCCCACAGACCTTCCAACAAATATAGTTGGATTGTTGCAGCTCTGTTCACCCTCCCTACCGGACGACGCGTCCGATTCTGCGTCGCCGACATTTACGGGTGGGGTCTGAGTAACGGGGGACGACGAAGGAGACGACAGCGGCAGCGACTGGAAGCGATTGCCCCAGTGGCCGACGTGGGGAGAATAGTGGGGCATTGGGACGGGGAATTTGGGGGAGTGGTCGAGAGTGGGGGATAGAATGGGGCGATGGGAGATGGTGGTGGTAGGAGGTAGAGAAGGAATGGAAGAGAAATCGGCAGAAAAGCCGTTGTGGGGAAATATCCAGAAAGGTATCTGACTATATGTTGAGAAATAATATATTAATCGGAGAAATGGTGCCAAAGTTGCGATGTAAATGCGAGCATCGTGCCACGTGTTGTGACGCCCGACGTGTGAGCTGCCGGTGCGAGGAGATATCGCAAGGCAGCAGCGACCTCGGGGTGGGCCAGCGACGATCCAGGACGATGGCCACTCGTTACCTTGCTGTCATGTCACCGTTTCGGGGAATCGGTCTTCCGAAAAAGGAATAAGTGTTTGTGGTAAAATTTTACCACCAAGATAAAGCACTGGATTGGCAGTAATTTGAAATCGTCCTCAATGTTGAATGAGACGGCGTTTCTGCTGGACTACCCAGGTCACCTAACGCAAGTGGCAAAGAGCTTCGTCCAGGACCACGGAGATTGTGATGCAAAGCAAGTTCATCAACTTCTTCTTCACTTGTCAGGAGAGGAAAATTCCTAAAGAACGTCCAGAGTGGCGATTCACATAGAATGGGTGATACCAACAGAATGGCTGTGACGGAGAAGAAGGATCGTGGAAGAAGCGCCCATGTTTTCAAATTCCGACCAACACTCAGCCAACGCCTGACTCTTTTACTTTGACTCTCGTTCAAGTCAACCATTTGTTCGGATTACAGTAGGTCATGTCCGACGACGGCTACGGAGGCGGCGGGGCAGGGGACGACTACGACTACGACGGCCCTGGGTGCGTCATTTTCCCTTCTATCCCTTGACAAGCCTCATATTCACATAAGGTCCATTTAGGTACCAAGAAGATGCCATCGTATGTACTTTGACGTTTACATGGATGTAACCTGAATTCAATCAATGTCGATCTCTTCGTCTCGATCGACGCTGCTAGGATGAGCAATATGATCTTCTCGCGAACGACCTTGGTGAGGGCGAACCAGGCCGTGAAGGTGAAGGCGCGAATGGCGTAGAGGGGGCCCAAGTCAATGGTGTCAATGGTGGGGAACACGACCAGGAGATGGCAGGCGGGGACGGGCCGCAAGAAGCAAATGGAGGGGGAGGAGGTGCCGGACTGACTGGAGAACGGCAACCCAACAAAGTGCGCATCACGACACCATACCTCACAAAATACGAGCGTGCTCGAATACTGGGCACCAGGGCTCTGCAGATAAGGTGCGTTATTCTTTACCCCGACGACTACCTCAGCTTGAATGCGATTTTGACTATCCCCTCAGCATGAACGCCCCGGTACTTGTTCCCCTGGACGGTGAAACAGACGCTCTCGAAATCGCCATAAAAGAACTATCCCAACGGAAAATCCCCCTCATCATACGTCGTTACCTTCCAGACGGCAGTTTCGAGGACTGGAGCGTATCCGAGCTTATCACTGATTGATTTTGTTCTCGTTTGTTGTATCTAAATTATTTCGTTCGTATTGCAAGTCGACATTCCTTCGTGTATTCATCCATTTTGGCACGAAACATATGCTCGACTGCAGTGCTAGTAGCTTGTATATAGACAATAATGATACAAATAATTGTACAGTTGGGAATCCTGAGGAGATGAAGCAAATATCTTAGACCAGTGTTCGTCCTCGCCGTCTGGTCGTGACCGCCTTGACGGTGGGAATTGTCTTCATGGGTTTCGATGTCAGCGACTTCTGTCTTGTCAGACGAGTGGGCTCTTCCTTCAGGCTCATCATCGAGATGTCCCCATCCTCTGCTCCAACAAACTCCATGCTCAGGTCAAGCGTATCGGCTGCGTCGACGTTTGTATGGTCTCCGAACAACAGACCTCTCTCCTCAGAGGGTAAGGCGTGTTGGGCTTTGTCCGATATCCTTCGTTTCGATGGACTAGATTCCCCATCACCATAGTGTGATGCTCCACCCCGACGTTTGCTGGGTGACAAAGGAGGGGCGTTCGTTTTGGAAGCGACGACGTCCGGTGTGCTAAGGACCATATTTGTCGACGCCAAAGGAGCGATATTCTCCTTAACCTTCGGTTTCTTCTTGGAATCTAGGAGGTTGGGAAGCTGATTAGCATATGTTCTATTTACCAACGTCGACTTTGCTTTACCTTTGCCCTTCTTGACAGTTGCCAACTCCTTTGCGACCTTGAAACCTCCGCTCTTATTGACATCTCCGTCTAATGTTTGCTGGACCTCCCAATCCTGCGGCCTCGACTTCCTCCAATCTGCCTCCACTCGCTCACACCATGCATCTGTCTCCCCGGCGACATGGTAGTCAATAATGTCGGCCCATTCCGATCCAGGCGCGGTCTTGTTGACGAAGATAACTTTCCCCGCCATCTTCTTCGCCCCCGTGGCGCTCGTCGAAGGCTCATTAGAATGAACGGCCTTTGCGAAGTCCTTGACAAGTTTCTTGAGCCCATGAACCTTCAGAGAAGTTCCCATAATGATCAATATGTCAGGTCTTCGAGATACATCTGCAGCTTGAATCATGCCGATGTCATCACCGAGCGGATGAGGTTCGTCGTAAAGAACGATGGCAGGCCTGAGCGATCCAACCCTCGTAGCACGGGCAGAACGAGCCTTTCGGGCTTCACCTAGAAGTCCTGATTAACCACTGACGCGAATATCATTGTTGGATGAGATGACTTACACCGTGTGGCACACTCGGGGCATTCCGGTGGCGTGCCATTGTCAAACACGTCCAGATGCTCTTCTGCACAAGCATATTCGGCTGAACAGGAGACACATCGAACTCGATGAATGTCACCGTGCAGCTGGACATTGCGGACATCCTTAGTCTTTATTTTAGCTTTCCCTTTGCCAGATGACTTCGCCTCGTGGCTTGAGCTACTCAGCAACCCGGCTTTTTCCTCGAGCCCATCGATATTCTGGGTATATGAACGCAGTAGTTTCTTCTTCGAATCGAGAGTCTTAAGAAATCGATGCGTGCGTGATGGAGCTACCCCATCTATGGAGCGCTTAAGCTGCGAAATAAACGTATAAAATACGGCTGTTGATCGTTGGTCGCGGAAGAGTGAGGCGTCGAATAAGTCACGGCCTTTCAATACAATATCGGGATATTTTTGTTTGACAAGCGCATACAGTCCATCAGATGACCGGAAATCCTATATTCAAGGTGCGACATGGTTGAGCAACCACTCCTCCAGCATAAGATGCGCCACACATACCGGAATCCCGCATGAACACGATATACCCGCTCCAGTAACCACCACAATCTTTTTGCCCTTCGCGACGGCCAGCGAGAGGTCGCTAATGGCGCGCCTGGTATGTGGGTGCTCCCCCGAGCTGTGGAGGTCGAGTGTTATTGTCATGGTCAGAGGCCGTCGTTGGTGGTGAGAAGCAACAACGCGACAGAATTTGAGTTTGAGGGCCCCTGTATATTATTTGTCTTTATTTGTGTGAATGTTCAACCGCGTTCGCGTCAGTCACGTGTGCACTTAATTAGGACTCGCGTGCCAGTCAACGCAGCAAAAATAACAAAAAAACAACAGTATCTTCCACCAGGAGTACAATATATACATATGCATACGCTTGGTATTTACGCTCGGACCTCACGTTCAGATGACTTAGTTCGCTCGTAGTACCAGATTCCGGCAGTCTTAGAACAGGTAGAATTAGTCGTTGAATTAACGTTCTTGTACGTTCCAAATTGTTCCTAGGCAATATTGAGATTTCGAGTACTGAGGGGTAATATCTCACATACCGTTCCGAGAACGTGACTGAAGTACCAAACCTCCGTCAGAACAGTGCCGTTAGCCTGACATCCAAGGAAGGGTATGGCGCCGGTCTGTGACACTAGAGCCTTCTGGATACTGTCGAGGCTGTAAGCGGTTTGATTCGAGGGTACAATTCCAGCGCTAGAGTATCCAGTGTTTGAAATAAGTAATTCCAAGGCGAAAAGGGGGGGACTGGCAGACTTACGAGGCAAGCATGCTAAAAGTAGGGTATCTGTGGAAGGCCCGCACAACGGCATCAAAGAAGTTTACAACATCTTGATGCTTTTTGTATGATTGGTAGCAAGCCACATCAAAAGTAGAAGTGCAGGTTGCGTGCTTGGAAAACTATTGCGCAGCTCGTTACGAGATGTTCAGCGTGGATCAGCTCCCACTCACCTCGTGACCCCAGAAGTCGACGTTAGGCGCACCTTGGTTGATCCAGTATTTCTGCACTACGAAGAGAGTTAGACTTGAGATCCAACGAGACGAAAACGGGTGTCTCACTGAAATCAAGTAGATCTTGCCGTCCGAACTGGGAAACGAAAGTGTCGATCCCTGGACCTTTCCATGCGGGCACAACTGTTCCATCTGGCAAAATGGCAGGAGAAGGAGTTGGATCAAATTGTCTTGATAGATCGCAATACTGCTCGAATGATCTTATGTGTCTGAATCTAGCCTCGAGACATAACATCAAAATATATACACGCACCCGTCACAGTTATCCGGCCACAAGCCATGGATTGTCCAGCTTTTCTCGGGGAGCAACTGTCCTGTTCGCTCTAAGCCGGTCCACGTACTCCAGAACTGCGTTTGCAAGACCAATCCTCCTGGCGTCGGTGAACAGCATGTGTTATTGATCGGCGCTGTGTTCTCACAGGAGAAGGTTGAAGGTTCATCGACGCAGGAGGCTATGCTCGAGAAGGTGTCGGGAATGTCTCTGTGGGACTTCGTCTGGACCGCAGTCACAGAAAGCGCCGCAAGGGTAACAGCCAGAGAAAGACGGACGACCATGTTGATTGAGGGGAGTTCAACGGCGCTCCTACCAGAAGCTTTCGGGAGCTCTCATAACGAGGCTTTTAAACTGTCGCTTCTCCTCCTCCACATGGCAAGGTACAATCAATCCCCCACGGTGTCGGCCACATCCAACGAAGGTTGAAATGCGCTAGGGAGCATATCCCTCCGTTTAATTGGCTGCTGGCTGGGCACCATGCGGAACGCAAGCCATATGGACTAATCGTCCAATTTCTACATTATTTTGGGAACGAACGTTGCTGGTGTTGAGGCCACGCTCCCGTAAGTCGAGACAAGAAGCAGCGTCGTCGGGGAGAGGAAGACCGAGGCCCAGCGCCGACGCCTGTTCAGAGTTTGAAATAGTTCTATCAGTATTTGCCAGTCACATGAACTTGGATTTACCATCTGCTCTTCCTTCTTAGCAGAAAGATATCATTGAACTTCAACCAGCGTCGAAACGCTAACAATAACAACCATGGCATTCCCGGAGGACTGGTTCGAAGTTTCTGCTCAGGATGCAGTGTCACCGCCCACAGCTACTTACAAGGGAACTCAGGGTTGTCGTCTTTGTTGAAGCTATCCAAACGCCGGTCCAACGACGGTCATCCTGGCCTCGTCGCCAACACGAGTCTTGGCAAGATATATATCGCCAATCGATGGGCGCTTGTAACAGACCCAAGAACTTGACATCGCGTTTCGACAATCCGAAATCCCCTCTGTAACGCCACTTGGCGATGCGCCCAACGAAATACTGTCCTGCAAAGCTCTGTGGGATGGGTCGAGTATGAATTGAAATGACCATGTGTTAGCAGGCATGATTGCTATAAAGCTCATACCTTTCCCTTGCAGTCGAACATCCTACTAGTACCTGTTTCTTTCCCCTCTCGGTTCCGTCATGAAGTTACTGCTTCCTTCGTTGTTCGTTGTTCTGTTTTCCGTCCTTTTCCACACCACTTCAGCATCCCCTGTTGCGAGTCCCAATGCCCTCGCCCTGCCCCAGGAAATGTCGCTCGCGGAGCGGAGGTCCCTAGGTGCAGACGCGGCTATGGAAACGTTGGTCACTAGCGTTATCCAGGGCTTAGTGGGGGGCGTTCAACTAGATAATCAGGTAACACTAGTCTTGAACACTTTAGCAACCCACTCGCTGAAGGGCCGCATTTTCAGAAACGCGAGGCTTTCACCAAGGAAGTAGTGTCCGAGATGAGGGCCAGGTTCCCCCAATTCAATTGGATCATCGTGCATGTCAAGCATACGACCAAGTTTGATGGAACAAGGGGAGTCGATTGGGGCCACAAGCATCACGAACTTGATATCCAGATCGGAGGCACTATTGGGTATGGGCTAACCGCTGGACGTGGATAAATCTCAGCTGAAAATTCACCTCTTACAAGATACGAAATCTACAATTTCAAGTCGGGAGAATTCACCAGACACGGTGATGGCGGCTTCATCAACGTTAGTTTATCTTCTGCTGCTGCTTCGATGTTACGAGTACTCTAACATTGCAATTCTAGTGGGCCTTCCAGGGAAACTTGAAGTCGCGCTCCTCCGATGGTCGTCACCTCGTGTTCAACGCTCCTTGAAGTATACCGTGTTGTACTTATGGATTCTTTGTCTTCATCTTGTTTCCCCATGGACTGTTGTGTTGTGTTTGGACTCTGCTGGCTACTAGTTTGCTATATATTTGAAGTTGTTCTGAAGATTGTATAGCCTATCTGCAAAGGCTCCTCGGAGCGAGGCGAAGTCTTGTTAGGGGCTATCAGGGGATCCTCGCGATCACGCCAAAGTCATGTGCAGCTTGGTCCAACTTGCGGGGAAGTAACTCGATCCTTCTGGACCCTTTCACCTGCACCACCACCGTCCACGCCCGTCTGTCCATAGCCTGAGCTCAGTATGCCTCCCAGACGCGCACCATCTCATGCCTCTGTCTCTGAATCAAGGGTGCAGAGTCCACAACCGGACGAGGATGAGGTACTTGGCATCGCATACATCTTAGGGTACAGCTCATCGTATGCAGGTACCCAATTTCGATACTGTTGATGAGCTGCAGCAACATGTGGGGGTGATAGTATCTTACTTGAGCGCATATATTGAAGTCATGTGGCTGCCAGGGTATCAACGTCCAAGATATCGTGAAGTTGAAGGCGAGTTCACTCCAGGTAAAGGATAGATCTTCACAGCATGCTCACAACTGTGACAGTCAGCCGCGATACACACCGTGTCCGGCGTGAACATGACAACGCGTCGTCAACTACTCAAAATCAAGGTTAAACGTTCGTAACTCCGAGTCCTAGACGCGTCTGATGGTTGGTGTGCAGGGTATGTCCGAAGCCAAAGTGGAGAAGATCAAGGTGCGCATATCTTAGCTACTACTGAGCCCACTAGTTGAATTGATCACAGGAAGCTGCACATAAAATCCTCGTGAGGTCTGGGCGATCATGTTGTCTGCCTCAAGCTAAACAAATGATAGGGTTCTTCCTTTGCCACTGGCATAGAGATACAAGAGAAGCGTAAAAGAGTCAACACCATTAGCACGGGGAGTAAGAACGTTGACGTGATTCTTGGTGGTAAATTCGATCTTCTGGGTGATCTCCCTACGCCTTCACGACATTTGCGCTAGGTGGAATCATGTCGCAATCAGTATCTGAAGGTACGTCCGGCTCTCTTGGCAACGTATTTGATGATCATAATCCTGCAGTATATGGCGAGTTTCGAACGGGGAAGACCCAGCTCGCGCATACAATGAGTGTTGTAGCTCAATTACCACCAGATCTCGGTGGAGCCTCTGGAAAGGTTCGGTTCTTCCCCCCTCTGATACGCTTTGGCTCGAACTAATTTCACCTTAGGTTGCATATATTGACACAGAGGGTTCGTCAAATATTTAGCCTGAACGAAGTCGAACTTCAAAAAAATTCTACCTTGTAGGCACGTTTCGGCCTGATCGAATAAGGTCAATTGCAGAACGCTTCGGGGTTGATGGGAGCTTGGCTCTGGAGAACATCCTCTACGGTGAGACCATTGACATCATCACAAGGCATCACAAGGCTGCTGCTAATCCTTTTCCATCAGCTCGGGCATTCAATAGCGAACACCAAGTCATCTAGCATCATAGTTCGCCTGAGCCTCTTTGCTAACTTGAAGGGTTCTTGCAGATGGAATTAATCAACGAATGCTCCATGCGTTTCGCCGAGGACAAGGACTTCCGACTCTTGGTTGGAGCAGCTTCACGTCTACGCCAGTTCATACTCATGTCTTATTAGATTGTGGACAGCATTATGGCGCTGTTCCGTGTAGATTATTCGGGTCGAGGGGAGTTAAGTGAACGTCAACAGAAAGTAACGTTGTTTCACAGCAATTCTTTTTCCCTGCTGATTTTATTCTCTACCCAAAGCTCGCACAGGTTCTACACCAACATTCGATCGCTAAGATCTCGTCACTAACTAGGTATAGATGCTCTCCAGATTAACGAAACTCTCGGAAGAATACAACGTCAGTAGCTTCACGTTTCAGCTGGTGTAAATACTGAAAAGGTCACATCTAGATCGCAGTTCTTCTGACGAACCAGGTTCAATGTGCTTTTCAGATCTCATCTTCCATTGCCCAACAAGATTAATACCCAACCATGTCCTTCCATTCTAGCTGATCCCGGAGCGACGATGACATTTGTCGCCGGAGGCGCCCTGAAACCTATCGGCGGGCACATACTCTCACATGCTTCCTCCACCAGACTCTTCCTTCGAAAAGGTCAGGCTGCGAGCTGTCTTTCAACGTTGTGCTCGGTCTGAACGGCTTCTAGGCCGCGCCGAGGAGCGTGTCGCAAAACTAGTGGATAGCCCCGACCGTCCTGAAAGTGAAGCATCGTACAAACTCGACGAAGGCGGCTGGGCCGACGTCTAATCCTGCTGTTCCCTCCCCTCCTCGGTGACTGGACTCCTAGACTCGACCGGATTTGCTGCTTGCGACTGACCTTCCCTACCGATGATTCCGACGTTCCCGATCTGCCTTATGCTGCTCGCTTCGATGCTACGTTTACTCAACTATCTTGTGTGCTTGAACAGTAAAACCTTCGCACGACGTGCAAGTGCTTGTTGCAATATAATCAGTTTCATAACAGCCTTTCCGAGTCGGCGATAGAGCCAATTAATCATACATACGTGAAATACAGAAACGTATAAGGCAGAGCGAAGAAAGACTCTGGAAGAGTACATATCATTGCAACATCAGGCTAGTCAGCCTCAGCAACAAGGCCAGCTCGTCCCCTGCGTATCCTATCACCCAGATCGCCTGAACCACCAAATACTTTCTTCTGCTCATGGGCAAGGAAATTGCCCATACCCTTCGATCTCGCGCGGGCTGCATTCTCAGCCTCCAATTCAGCCTTTTCCTTCTCCAAGAGCTCGGTAAGTCGCTTCTGTCGGTCCACACTCATTGATTGTGCGTTCGAAGACATAGCAGCTAATCGGGCGGCACGGTCTGGTTCGGCATTGTTCGCGGGTGGTGGTCGGGAAGGAGGGCTCATACGGGCTCGCTTTCCATAAGGACTACGGCTACGCCTGCGAGCAATGGGACTAGGGCTGCGCGGGCGTTTGGCATATCCAGGACTGCTTTGACGACGTTGTCTAGGACTTCTATTTCGATGACGATCGAGTTCAATATCGTCGGATTCGTCGGACCTAGGATAGGGTTGGAAATCCCGCTTTGGAGGTCCAGGGCTACGGTCTCTGCGATACGGTGAGCGGCTGCGAGAGCGTCCACGTCGAGGACTTCGCTCTGCGTACCGTGAGCTGGAATGTCGAGGTGAAGGAGAGCGACGTGAACGGGAGTACGAATCGCGGGACGATGAACGTCGTCGGGGGCTCGCGGACCTCGAAGATCGGTGTCGTTCATGCCTTAACCGCCTACGTTCTTCCTTCTCTTTCCGTCTCTCTTCCTTGCTCCTCTTCTTGTCCTTCTTCGGTTTGATACCGTTTCGCTCCTGCATCGCACGGAGGCGAAGGGGGTTGGACATGAGAGCCTTGTACGATTCTTGCTCTTGTCGCTTGATAGCAAGCAGTGGATCTTCTCGGACTTTAGCCGCAATGTCTCGAATGTTGTTGGCATTCTGGCTGGCAATGAAGTTCTTATGTGAAGCACCAATCTAAATGCCCGTGTCAGTAGAGCTCGTAATTGGTAGAATTTAGTGGACGCACCTTGGCATTATCATCAGCAGTCAACATCTTGTCGACTCGTTTCTTTCCCAGCAGATAGTCCTCTAGGTCGTTAGGATTCTGTGTACTCCCAGTCGCAGGCGTTGTATACATCCAATCCAGCCGCTCCGTCCGCTTTTTACCAGTTTGCTCCTCCTGCAGCCGTTGAAGTTCCTGGAGTTGTCGCTCTTCCTCCTTCTCCTTACGAAGCTGATCCAGCTTCTTCTTCTCCTCAAGCTACAAACATCATGAGTAAGACAATGGCACTCAGCAATGATAACTGCATTGCGCACCGCTTGCTTTTCCTTAAGCCACACCTGCTCCTGATTCTTCAGGAGCAGCGGATGCCAGGACTTCTTCATGTTCAAATCGCCGCCACCCATTTTGACTGATGTGTGAGGGGAACTGGACGGTAAGTGTTGTGTTGGAGTCGGTGGTCGAGAGACAAATGACAATGCACTCGTTTGGCGCCTAGCTTCGTTGTTTACGCATGTTAGGGACGAATGATTCACCAACCGGCGCTTACCTCAAACATGGCCCCGAAGGAACCAAACCGCCATCAGCTCTCCTCGCGACTTGCTTACTCGCAGAACACTCCCACTTTCCTGAGGAAACTCCAGAACAAGTACTCGGGAAAATATAACGAATCTGACGAGGAATCAGAGCCAGAGTTCGAGCCTGATGATGGCTCAGGACGCCCACCAATTCCCCGCCGTCCCCGCGAAAGACCACCTATTCCGGAACGACCTGACAATGACTTAGGGAGTGCAGACGAAGACGGGGACGACGAGAAGCCTACGGTGGTTGTATTGAAGGAAGGGAAGCATTTAACTGAACGTGAAGCAGAGAATATTCGGCGGAAGGGTAAATATCTACCCCTTCGACGAGTAGTGCCAGGATCGCCTGGTGGTACTAAATGCCTTCTCAGAGAAGGGACTACCCCCGTTGAAAGAAGACATCCCTAACATTCCTACCGACTCAAACGAGGAATCCTCTTCGTCTACACCGTCTGCAAAGCCGAAGACCACCACCCAAAGTCTGTCGTTCTCAACGAAGAAGCAAGGAAGTTCGATCAAGGACTTGTCGACGTCTTTGAAGAGGAAAGGTGGGAGCCAGGCAGGGTCGAGCAGTGACACAACGAAAGAAAGCGGGGGCAAGAAGAAAAAGAAACAGAAAAAGACACTTCTTTCCTTCGGCGACGACGCTTGAATGTTACAATTCTCTGTACATCTTTGATATACCACCGTGATAATTTGATCTGAAACACTTCTAATATTCTCCATTGCCTTGAAACGATAACCAGGAAGTAAAGTAGCAGATAAGCACGTGGGTTTCGGTTTTGGATGATCATAGGAGCCTGCATCTTCGGTATTCCTGCGGCCTCGCTTACAACACGCTTACAACACACTCCTTACCTACGGGCCTGCTTCTCCAATGACTACAGCTCCCAAGCTCACCAAGAAGCAGAAGAAGTCGCTCGCATTTCGAGAGCGCAGCAAGCACGGGAAAAGTAAACATGGAATCGACAGCGAAATGGTTAATGACATTCCTATCCAGGAGAACCAGGATGAGGCTGCAATTGAGCTGGGTGAAGTGGAGGCTGCGGATGTTCGGCGGAAGGATGAAAGCACGGCTCGGCCTCGCGAGGGCGTCCGCAAGGCAAAGGCAGCAAAGGATGATTCTACGGTCAAGGGCGAAGTGGAGGCTCAGAGCCCGAAAAAGAGGAAACGTAGCACGGAGGAGAGCGAGGTGGCGGTGGAAGGTCAGGTCCCTCGAAAGCGAGCCAAAAAGCCTGCTCGCGAGGCTGAGGGCGGGTCTGAGGCCACCGAGGCTGAGAAGACGGACAAATCATCTATAAAGCAGAGATTTATCCTTTTTGTCGGTATGCTGTCCTCGGAATCTAGCCTTTGCCATGCTCATAGCAGCGATCAGGAAACTTGAAATACACTACATCTCTGGAGGCCATACAAAAGCACTTCGCAGCATGTGGTGAGGACGTTCTAGTGTTCGTTCATGGAGCATGTCGCTAAAACATACCCTTCACAGAACCTCCGCCGTCAGTGAGACTGTTGACACCCAAACCATCGAAGAACGCCAACGCTTCACATAAATCCAAAGGATGTGCCTTCCTTGAATTCTCACAGAAAAGCGGGCTGCAACAGGCCCTCAAACTGCATCAATCCGATTTAGACGGTCGGCGGATAAATGTTGAGCTAACAGCTGGCGGAGGTGGGAAGAGTGAGCAACGTCTGACGAAGTTGCGGACACGAAACAAAGAGCTCTCTCAGCAACGGGTACGTTCTCGGTATTTTCAGTGATTCATTTCGCTTCGTAGCTGATGTACTGTCTGTGACTTGTAGCAGAAACACGGAGAGAAGGGAAGCAAGGGAAGCGGTAATGTCGAGACGACCGTCCATCTGAATCCACAAAGATACTCCTCTACATCTGGTACGGAACAGAAGCCTGTGACGAAGCATACTTGGACGGTGGGCGATACCGTGGAGGATGAGGTTCATCGTGGAGGGGCGAAACACTCGAAGCAACGGAAAACGAAGTCGAGGAGCATGGGTACCGGTGTCAACGCCATACCCGTTGGTTGATGCACTAGCCCTCCGTGGATCAAAAGTACCATATACCCTCCTCTAATGACATTGCTCCAATAGTCAAATAGCATGGTGATCTATTATAGATAATGGGCGAGCACATGTAACTACTCATGTATCCATTGCGTTGAAAAGCATACACTGCATATAATCCTAGGTAATAAGTAAAAGTCCAGTGGTCAAACTGATGCCGGTCAGCCCAAAGTAGGCGCGCCACGATTAGCCGGAAACAAGGATGAAGACGAGGAACTTTGAAGGAGGATCAGCAACAGCCATGTGACGCCGAGAAGAGTACTCACGAAGACTATCAACACTCCGAACACCTTCAACATCAACCACCGGTTGCTCGAAATACTGGCATAGTACTTCAACAGCTCCCGTTGTGCTCCGCTGACATTTGAAGCGATGTCCATAGTGTCGGCATCTATACGCTGAACAGTTTCCCGTTGTTCGGCAACCATATTCGCTAATTGTGTAAAGATCTGCCCGAGCTCGGCGATAGTCGATTCTATAGACTCTATAGCTGTTGACCGTGATTGGATGTAGGAGTCCTATCGCCATGTCAGCATAACGTTGATAACATAGAAATGCCGGTTACGCACCTGCTGCTCTACAAGTTCCATCTGCATGAATGCTCCGCCGTTCTGCTGCCCACCTGTTCCTTCTTCCGCTGAACCGAGATCGAGGGCAAGGACATCACCATTCAACACAGCACGTCCTTTGCCTTTGGAGTCCTGGCGAAACGAGCTGCCGTCGCCCATAGGGTCATTGTGTTGCTGGAACAACACAGAGTCTAGACAAGCGATTCCCATGAGAATTGCCAAGAGAGCTAGTGGGGAGGGAATACGCACTGGTTGGGGCTTGGTTGGCAGCGGATGCGGCGGAATACATGAACTGCTCCGTGCGGTCTTTAGACTCCTTCATGTTCTGAGACAAAGAAACGTTTGGGTTGACGCAACACAGAATAGCAGAGGCATACATACCTGCGTCCGTACTTCTAAAACATCTTTGAAGCTCATGCTCGTCGTTGCGAGTTTGCTCTGCAACAGCATCACCACATTATGGTTATGCTCGTCGATTTGCTTCCCTTCAACGGATGTAGATTGTGCCTTCCGTTGCTTGATGTATGCCTGCAGAGAAGCAATTTGCTTGTTTATGCTCGCAATGTCTTGCTTGATTATGAACGTCAGTTCCTGTTGAAGGAGATCAGCTGGCTGCTCCATTCGTGAATCTGGTCCACTACGCACACTAATTTCCACTGGCCGGTCATCGAATAATGTCTTCCGCTTCGCCACTGGTGCCGCAGTCAGTTAGGCACAATACAGGCCTTATTGATGAAGTTGACGTACGCTGCGCGAGCTTTCCTAGCTTTATCGTCGTGCTGCTGATATCCTTTCCTATCGCAGAGGCCATGCGCGCGAAATCGCTCTTGCTCCCGCCCGTCCGCCCATTTGCCTGGTTCAAAAGGCGTTGCTTTGCTTCGCCGTGGCGTGGGGGCACGGACCTGTTTCGTATGGAATCGACGCAGGCCCTGAGCTCGTGTGTCCTGTCCTGCACGGGCATTGTCTATTGGATTCGGTTAAGGAGTGTGATTATGAGAAATCAGTTCGCTGTAAGAGCCAGGATGAATACACGTAGGTTGGGAGTCGCTGGAAAGGAATTGCCAAAGTTGGACTCCGCGTTGGGGAAACTCTAGGTTCCTGCTTATGTCAGCAGGGCGCTAATGGTTTTGGCCTTAGCAGTGCTCCTTGTAGCCTGTCCAGTGCATCAGCTCGTGTCCTCCATGCAGGTCATCTGAAAAAGCGCCACCCGCATGCTGAGGATACCCGTGTTCTCAAAGCTTGCCGTAAATTCAAGGCCTTTTCTCCTGCGAACGACATTTCACCGTCCACAACTTCTACCGTTCACTCCGCCACTCACTACATTCTTCTCTTCAAAATCTACCATGACCCTTTCCCCAGATAAATCCAGAGTAGTCATCTTCGGTGCTGGAAACTTTGGGAGCTGCCTGGCAGACCATCTGGGGGACTCTGACCACGATGTGTACATGTGGTCGCGCGACGCGAGCATCGTCGAACACTTCAACAAGTTCCACCGCAATCCTCAATTCCTCAAGGAGCACGCGTTCTCCGAAAACATAAAAGCAATCGGCCCCGATCTTCCCACCGCCGACTTCCTCAGTGAGATGGACGTTCTATTATTTGCCATCCCTACACAGGGCTTGAGGTGCGTATGAGTATTGGTGCCTCTCCCCGCGACCACTAATATATGGTGCCTAGGGAGAACTTGAAGTTGCTTCGACCCAGACTTGATGAGAACAAACTTCCTCTGCTCATATTTGTCAACAAGGGCATAGAGATGGGAACCAATGCTCTAACTTTGGAAATCATCGCCGACACTTGCGGGGAACATATTGCCCGAGCAGCTACGTTTATTGTGAGCGGCGTCTATCGTTGCTGTTTCGCTGCTCACTTCTTTCCATTGTTAGTCTGGCCCTTCGTTCGCGAAAGAGAGTACGTGATTGATTTGCGTTATGATGGGCGCTCCTCACCCAACCCAGTTGTCAGACGACGCCCGACATCAGTTTCTGTCGCATCGTTCACAATCTCGGAAGCAGAGAAGGCAACTCAGGTCTTCCATCAACCATGGTTCCGCTGGTACGTGTCTCACTCGTAAGTCGCGTGGGTTGCTACTAATAATGCGATCTCTAGTTACACCGGCGGTGATCCCATAGGCCTCGAGTTAGCTGGTGCCTTGAAAAACGTGTACGCTCTTGCTGCGGGGATGTCTGATGGCCTTGGCTATGAGAATAACACGCGAGCAAGTGAGTGAACACGTAGCAACTCTTTTATTTCCGTGACACAGCAAGACTGATTTGTCTTACTCACCAGTGATGATCACAAGGGGTCTGGCAGAAATGACATGCATCGGAACAGCGTTTGGCGCGGAACCCTTGACCTTCTTGGGCTTAGCTGGTGTTGGTGACCTCTTCCTTACGTGCAGCTCACCAACAAGTCGAAATTACACGGTAGGCTACCGGCTTGGGCAAGGGGAGTCATTGGAGACAATAATAGACACGCTTGGGAGCGTGGCGGAAGGAGTTTCAACGGCGAAGGCAGTTAAAAATATCATCGAAGAGCTGGATGTTAAAGCACCGATAGCCACAAGTGTGAGTGATCAGATGCTGGAAGTGTATACGTGTGCATCTGACGTGAGCTTGGATAACAGATTTACAACGTCCTGTACGAAGGCAAAGATGTCCGAACTGCGGTGTCTGACCTAATGGCGATGCCGCCGTCGCGAGAGCTGGAACTACCCCCGAAAGCTGGCGGACCCAAGTGGCGACTGGTGAAGAAGGTTGGTCTTGAGTGAGGTGTAATATATCAGTTATGATATATGAGATATGAGATGGACTTTCCCCGGGCCCCGAAGTACTGTCTGGGTATACCCATACCCACTGGTCGGTACCGGTTTAGAATACACGGAGTAGACTACCATAATAATGATCATAGAGAGTATCGTGTCCTCGGGTTACCGTAATTATGATTTGCGAGCGGGACCATTTCCCAAGGACGCCGGTTGTTGCAAGAGATTCTCAGGGAGCACCTTCCCGCAGAAAAGGCGGTGAGATGTTCTTGTGGCAACCGGCTTGAGTTGCCGACGGCCATAAGAAACGATCGGGATTGCCTAATCGAGCAAGATCGATCCCTCTCACGTGCCTTGAGTAAGGAAAAAATGAGTGCAGAAAATCAAGCGTACATCCGGACCCAAGTGAAGCCAGGAGCTTCAGTCACAACGCTTGTTCTCGAACCACCACCATCCTGTCAGCTTCCACTCCCTTGTCCCACCGTCCCCGCCCCGTCTCCTCCTCGTACCCCCATAAATTATAATGGTCTCGACGCTCTGGAAGGCCTGCTCTGAAGGAAACCTCCCCGAAGTAAAATCCCTTCTGCTCGAGGCAAACGAAATCGATATTGAGATCAAAGGTGCTTGCCATTTACCTGCCCCAACTTCCTCTCTGACCACCCCTCACCTCACCCTTCCACGTAATTGCGACCATATCGGCCCGTTGTAAAGACCATACCGGGTCCACGCCCTTGATCGAAGCAGTGAAAAATGGCCATGTCGAAATCGTGAAGCTACTGTTGGACAAGGGTAACTTTCTCTTATTAACCTTTCACTCTCACCAGATTTCTTGACGAGGACACCCATTGCAGGCGCCGATCCAAGAAATAGATCCAGTCAAGGCCCCCCAGAGCACTATACAACCGACGAAGCTATACTCGACCTACTCCGCAGTGCTGCCGAAGCGAGAGACATGGCCGCTGCTAATTACCCTCAACAAAACGGACAGACGCTCCCCAACGGTACGGACTCCCAAAATTACTACCCGCCGACGGAAGTGTACACGTATTTCCCGACCCTCAACTCAGTGCCCCCTCCTCTTCCCGAGGGTGCGGTATATTATCAACCTCCAGCGCCAGGGCATGAGGGCGCAAACGGGGATGTGCGCAACTTGCCCCCTGCCGACATTGCACGATTTATCCCTTGTAGATACTTCCCCGCTTGCCGCTATGGTGCCTCCTGCATGTTTTTGCATCCACAAGGACAGTACTTTCAAGGACCAATGCCGCCTCCAGCACAATATCCTGCACCATACGATCCGATGGCCCCGGCTCCCTACCCACTTAATTATTACGGACCTCAGTCTCCCAATGGTGTACCCCAGATGGCACCCATGTCGCCTTCCGCTGCGCCCATGCACCCAATGATGCATGCAAGATCAGGCTCCGAAGTCCTCTCCCCCGCGCAAACGCACTTTAGCCCGCAAGGAGCACCTCCACCTCTTCCCTATGGACCTATGCCTCCTGCCGCATACCACACGAACACAGCACCGGTTCCCATGGCCATTCCTCCACCTCCCGTTCATGCTCCTCAGGGCCTTCAATCCCCTCCAGTGATATACAATGGACCACCGTCCGCTCAGCCATTCCCCGTACACCCAGAAGGCGCGAGTCAGTATCCTCCTCTCCCAAGCATTGTGCCAGTACCGGGACCGGACGTTAATGGAGCCGCCAAGCCTGCTGCACCCGAACCTTACATGCAACCGTACCGCGACGGTTCAGGAAATCCAAGGAGAGGGAATGGCAGACGCAGTTCCTTCGCCAGCCGCAAGCCGCCTTGTTTCTTCTTCCCGGCTGGTCGGTGCAAGAATGGGTAAATCCCTGTCTAACCGTTGTTTTGTTCGCGACTCACTCTTAGTTATTAGGGACGACTGTCGCTTCCCACACATTCTTGAGCCTCAAAACCAACATTTACCAGCACAAAACGCTGGACGCGGTGGTCACCGTGGTCCAAGAGGTCATATCAGTGGGCCCAGCTTGGAACAAAAGTTCGGAGCAATGTCCGTTCGTGATGTAAGCGTCTGCTTCCTTACGCCTGATAAAAAATCTTACGACTTGATTCAGGATGGTGCACAACCCCGCGGTCCCAATGGAATCGAACGATCTATCTCTGCCGATAGTGGTCGACCACGTTTTCAAGGTCTGAAGACCAATCAATCCATTGCTAACACAAAAAAGGGACCGAGGCAGCTACAGCGTGTCCCAAACGCCGATGAATTTCCCGTCCTTGCTGGCTCAGTAACGCCGCCGTCTCGTAGTCCTGGCGCGAACGGCACATTACACATCAATGGCTTCAATGGGCCGACCGCCGCGCAAGTACTTCAGGCACCAGCGCCTGTACGTCAGAACAGCACAAGGGAATCAAGTACTCGCGGCACGTCCCCGGACTCGGCCAAGGCTGCCAAGATCCAGGTTAATAATTAATCCATTATCTTGGAAGGAAATTTCTGAATAACACTCCAACATAGGAGTCCACCGAAATCCACATCAATGGGACGAACGGCGTTAATGGCGTAAACGGCGCAGCTAATCATGATCCCTCTCCTGTGTCCACCAAGCTACCTATCTCCTTCGCTGCAGTCGCCAACGCTGCTAGCGACGTCTCTTCAAAAGAGATCTCCGTCTCGGCTTAAACCAAAAAGTATTAATGTCGTTCTATGTACAGTTGCCTGCCGCACATCTCCACTCCATCTGATGATTGGGACTGTCCCTACACGTTATTAGCCCTATCTTGCTTTCCTGGCTACTTTTTCTTCCTCAGCTGGCCGTCTCATTAGACTCTTGTCGATGTCTTTCTCTTCTTGCCTCCGCTCATGCTATTACGATCGACTCCTCATGCCCATTTCGCCCTCCACCATCACCACGTACGTTAAGTATAGCATATTGATATCTATCGCTCTCTCGTCCTCTTGCATTCTCTCCGTTTCATCTCTTTTCACTGCTCGGTAGAACCGCTTGACACTTTCGCTTCCTGTCTTTATTGCACCTTGGGATCTTGTCGATTACCACTGGCTATGTCCTCCGTTTCTCCTCCCTGTTGTCTCATATCTACCATCGCCTCTCCACATCCACACAACAAACACATTATCTATATATATCGCTATGTCTCGCGCAGGTTGTCTGCATTGATTTGGTGTATCTTGTATACAAAACTCATTACAATATCACTACCTACTGATTGACCCGTAATCACGATGGTACATTATTCAATTCGACCAAGTACTGACATTCCTCATCTCGACACCGGGTGTCGAGTTGACCTCGCCGACTCGGTAAACCTGCGCATCGCCGTTCTCCTGCAATATCCTGATAGCTGCGTCCACATCGTTCGGGCCGACGATAACGATCAGCCCCAGACCGTTGTTGAACGTCCTCGCCATCTCCAACGGTTCCACGGCACCGTGTTTCATCAAGAAACGAAATACAGGTGGGAGCTCCCATGTCGATGCATCAATATAGCAGCCCAGGCCTTTCGGTAACACCCTTGGGATGTTTTCAATGAAGCCGCCTCCGGTGATATGCGACATGCCCTTGATGAGTCGAGAGCGGACAGCAGGAAGCACCTGTTTGATATATATGCGAGTGGGTTCCAACAGGGCACGTCCCAGAGTTGTAGTGCTGTCCCAAGGACACGGTGATGAATACGTAACCCCTGACAGACCCACGATCTTCCGGACAAGGGAGAAGCCGTTCGAGTGTACGCCCGACGAGGAGATACCAAGGACGACGTCGCCAGGCGCGACATCGGGACGGGGAAGGATCTCATCCCGTTCCACGGCACCCACAGCGAACCCAGCTAAGTCGTAATCATCTTGGGGAAAGGTAAGCGAAGCAAGTAGGTGTTTGAGTGCAGCTACCCACCTCCAGCATACATTCCAGGCATCTCAGCCGTCTCACCACCGATCAGAGCACACCCAGCCTGCAAACAGCCATTGGCAATACCTTGTATCACCCTAGCTGCGACGTCAACACGCAACTTCGAGCAGGCGTAATAGTCGAGGAAGTAGAGCGGTTCGGCTCCTTGAACCAATAGGTCGTTTACCGACATTGCCACGAGGTCAATCCCTGTGAATGAATTTGACCTTTAGCAGGAAAGCGCAGTCGAGGAAATATATTGCCCTACCAACGGAATCATGGAAGTCAGCCTCCAGTGCTACGCGCAGCTTCGTCCCAACCCCGTCTGTGCCGCTTACGAGGACCGGGTCTCGGAATCCAGTAGCCTTGAGATCAAAGACTCCCCCGAACCCACCAAGCTCAGCGTCAGCGCCTGGACGCCGGGTGGACCGGACGAAGGGCTTAATCTGCTCAACTAACGAGTTGCCAGCGTCGACTGATACGCCGGCAGCAGCATAGGTCAAGGCTGTGGGTGGCTTGCTTCCACTGGCCGCACTTAGAGCGCTGAATGAACAGCCACAGAATGAGCAGTCGAGTAATGAAGTAGGGTAACGTCAGGAGCCTACCTATGTGCGATATCCCGCCGATATGTTTTCCCTTCGAATGAAACTGCCTCAACACCAGCATACGCTGCGTCGAGAGCACCCTGCAAGGTTGGGCTATATGCCGAGACAGCAATAACGCGGCCACCAGAGGTGACAAGTTTATCTCCAGCTATTGAAGTTCCAGCGTGGAAGACCACAACGTCTGAACAATGTAAGACAATGGTGCAAGTGAAACATGATTGTGCGACGTACCTGGTGATTGTATGGGCGCAATTTCGATCGTCTTGCCCTTTTCATAACTCCCTGGGTAACCTTGAGAAGCAAGGATCACCGAAACAGCGAATCCAGGCTTGAATGTGAGTGTCACCGAGTCAAGGCGATGTTCAACGCATGCCTAAGGATCATTCATGAATACATGCGCATTGCTAGACAGGGCTGTACTCGCCATAAAGACAGAAGACAGGTCGACATCCTCGCTTAGTAGGAGCAGGATCGCCTCCGTCTCCGGGTCACCGAATCTGACATTGTACTCAAGCACCTTCGGGCCTGACGCAGTGAGCATGAATCCGGTGAACAGCACACCCACGAATGGGAAGCCTATAATACGACATCAGGTCATCGCGTCCCGATCTTCACTGTTTCCCTGACCTTCTTTCCGCATGCCATCAATGGTAGGTTTTAGGGCCTTGCTCATAATCTCCTCCATGACTGCAGGTGTGGCGACGGGCGCAGGGGAGTAGGCGCCCATTCCACCGGTATTAAGCCCGGTGTCACCTTCGCCGATACGTTTGTGGTCCTGAGCTGTAGGAAGCGGCACTATCGTGTACCCATCGGTAATGGCTAATACGGAGAGTTCGGGTCCTTCTAGGCGCTCTTCTACGACAACGAGGTCCCCTGAGTTGATCGTATGTCAGAATGACGAGATGCTCGGATGAGAAAGATAGAAAAACCTGCAGATCCAAAAGCACTATCGACCATAATTCCCCGCAGTCCAGCTATGGCTTCCTCGACCGAATTCGGGAGAAGGACACCCTTGCCTCCAGCTAGACCGCTGGCTTTTAGGACGACCTTGTGGTTGCATGACTTGACATATGCGATAGCTTGCTCTATTTGATGAGAGGCAAAGACTTCGAAGTTGGCGGTGGGGATGGAGTGTCGCTCCATGAAGTCTTTTGAGAAAGCCTTGGACCCCTCCATCCGAGCCGCCAAACAGCTCGGACCAAATACCGGGATACCCACTACACAGTTGCGATTCAAGAATTGCAGAGATGATGCACATCTAGTATACCTTTCCTGAAGTGCGTTTCAACACCATCGACTAGGGGCTGTTCCGGCCCTGGCACAACGAGGGCAATCTGGTCTTGGTGAGTTCAAAGTTGTCCAAGAATAAACTGCAGCCGCACCTGATGCTTCACCGAGAACTCTACCAGTGCGGCAAAATCACCGGCAGAGATATGGTCAAGATTCATCGTTTTCGAGAGATTTGCTGTCCCCCCATTTCCTGGACAGACGAATATGTTTTCGACATATGGTGATTGGGACAGCTTCCACGCCAGAGCATGTTCCCTTCCTCCGCTGCCCAAAAGGAGGATTCGAAGCGACATGGATGTAATAGATTGAAGAGAAATTTATTGCGATGCGTTGATTACCCGATATAGACATGGCCATATGCTCGATTAGAGGTCTGCAGCCCTGCGCATTCTGTTTTCTACTAGAAACTGACGGTCCCTTTAGAAGTCGTATTCCGGCACCGTAGTCTTTGTGAACAATGGTAGGCCTGCTTTGTAAATGGCTGCGTGCCAGCCTAGCATGAGTTTGAATTCTGAAAGCCTAGCTGGGGTTCCTGGTCTGAAGCTGAGAGGATATGTCAGACTGCCAAGCTCTGCTGCTGCTTTCGCCACATCCATGTGGTTTCATTGATTGAGTTGGATGGGGTGCACGGTAAAGAGGTGGTAGGCGGAATAGACGCTCGGAGGAACACCGGTGGCGGTCTCACGCGTGCAAGTTGGCCGCGTTGAGTTGGAGAGCTGGGCGTGCTGCTGCTGGAAATCTTTCTTGCGCCCGAATTGCGTGTCCCCCAGCGACAGCGACGGCAGAATGGCCTTGCACAATATCAACCCTCTGCTTGAGGCAGAGCCGTATGAGATGGTACGCCAAGCTTGCGTTTCCACTGAAAAAACATATGTTTAAGTTGGAAATCTGAACCAGACGCAAGGCCCACGGCAGGCAGCCTCACCTCATGAACTCAAGGCCTTCTATCAAGATATGGAGAGAAAGGACCTTGAGCGTAGATTGAGCAAAAGGAATTCAAAAACTCGCTCACTTTGGTCCCGCAAGTCCCTCAAACGATCGGGCAGCAACCCCGGAAACGTTGCAGCCCAAAATCCTTCAGGGCCCGAACCTCCACTACAACCACCATCTCCTCCTCCACAAAACGCGGGCGCGGCCGCTGAGCGCCTGATACAGGAGGCGAACGAACTCGTGGAGGAACAGAAGGACAAGGCTATGGAGCTTCAGTCAAACTTCAACGCCACGGGGAGTTCCCTCGTACCCGACCCTTTAACAGAACTCCCAGCATGGTACAACAAAGACAGCTGGTCAAACGGCTCCATGTCCCACAAAGTTCGCTTCCCCATACACAATCCAGTCGGACCGCGATGGTACAGAAACTACCACCTTATACCGCCATCTCACCGACAGCGCTCGGCGCGCCCGCCGTCGGTGTTCTCCCCCTCGTTTCCCCCGATGGCCTTTTCGTCCACTCAACAGGAGCAGATCGACGAATACCGCGCCGGTCCCAGCAGAACACCATCTGGCTCCCCCCTTCCCACTCCAAACTCTTCACAAACCAAGGTTGAAGAGACGGCTGGTAAACGATCTCGCAAGACATCTCAGACTGCGCATGACAATGTGGATATGCTTGATGTCAGTGATCCGTGGGGGACGAACTGGCACCATCAGTCGCCATACGACATCGGTTTGGGGAATGGGCCTGTGTCTGTCGACATACACGAGGTGAGTAATCCACTACCTGTCACTGCTGTTCGGCTTAGTTATTTCCCCGTATCTGTGTCTCACTCAGAATCGTAATCAATCGCGTTCACGACTGTCCAGCATGGGGACAAGTCAAAGTCGCCATAGAAGCGTCGTTCCTTCGCCACTGTCACAATCAACCTCCGCAGTGCACCTACATGTCCCAGATCACGACTCAATACGACTGCCTCGGAAGCTGAGCAAACGACGAGCTCCTACCGTAGGCAGCATCTTCAGCGGAGGAGGTCCGCCCCCAGACGAGCCTGAGCGAAATGCCATATCTCTCCCGACGACCCCGACGGAACATCCACCAATACAGGCCGAACCCCCGGCGCATGGCATGGAACTTTCGCGCCGCACGTCCAACTTAAACACCCCCGGTCTACCCCCATCTTCAGCATCTCAGGTTTCTGGAAAGAAAGCAAAGCGAGGCAGTGTCTTAGGCAGGCTTGCCAAGAAGTTCAGTATTCTCAAAGGCCGGATGGACAAGCACGAGACCGATAACAATGGCACAACGTCTAACGGAGCTGATGCGCGGAAGTCATTCATCGTGGGCCGGCAGGCATCACCTGAGAGACCTCCAATAGATCCTCGACGGCACACAGAGCCCGCTAAACGTGTCCCCCCTCCTGTAGAGCACGAGGCTCCAGCTCCAGAACCTCCAGTTAACGCCGACTCCAAGAAACCTACAGGCGATCGTACCTCGTTAGCCTCCATAGACATGCCGTACTGGGGAAGGCTAACCATAACTAATCCCGATGCCCCCAGCTCGGAAACCAACACTCCCGTGCAGCGAGACGCGCCACTCCCTCCCGAAAAACATGAATCCGATAGCCACCACCATCACCACCACCAACATAGTTCTTCTGTAACATCACCTCCACCCGCTCCTTCCGCAGCTTTCATGTCTCTCCCTGCAGATCAGCCGACCAACTCTGGTCTCTCTGCCCCTTCACTCTCTACGGTTCCCCCAGACCAGCCTTCGCCACTCCTTCCTCCAATACCAGCCCCGTCGCCTGGTCCGCCACCGACTCCCGACAAGCAGTTGCCGCCTAAACATTCGCCTTATCAAGAACCACCACAATTTAGCAGTACAGTATCGTTACCCACCATTCCGTCGCCATCTCCCGGCACGCCAGCACAAATCCCCTTCCCCTCCCCCCCATTCATGAACGGTTCTCTTATGGTTGGCTCCCCGATGACCATCCCCTCCCAATTTGATTATAGCGATTCGCCGCTGTCCAGTGTCTCTATGTTAGCTAACCCTGGTACACCATACAACCCCGAGATATCCATGCCCCCGTCAATAGCCCCGCCTCCTATTGCTCTACGCTCCTCTTCCGAGGGATCCCCGCTGACGCGTGAGGTTCACCCTGATGGCCCCGATCAGCGGTCAAGTCAAGCTACGCGCGAGACTGAGACTTTTAAGCTGGTGAGGAGTGCCTCAGGTAACGTGTATGCATCGACTGACACCATCCAGGGCGGTGGAGAGCAGTGGGAAGTCGTAGAGTCGAAACCTGAGAGCCGATCTAAGGATGGAAGTCGTGATCGACAGTCTAAGTCCAAGCCTAAGGATAGGGATAGGGAGAAGGACCGCGAGAGGGAGAAGGAGAGGGAGAAGGAGAAGGAACGGGAGAAGGAGAGGGAAAGAGATAGGGAAAGAGAGAAAGAACGGGAGAGAGAGGAACGTCGTAGAGAAAGAGAGGCTGAGAGGGAGAGGGAGCGAGCCAAAGAGAAGGAGAGGGAAAGACAGAAGGAGAAAGAGAAGGAACGTCAGCGGGAGAAAGAGAGGGCACGAGAGAAGGAGCGAGAAAGAGAGAAGGAGAAGGAGAGAGAAAAGGAGAAGGAGAAGGAGCGGAAGGAGAGGGAACGGGCTCGAGAGAAGGAGAAAGAGAAAGAGCGGGAGAGGGAGAGGGAGAAGGAAAAAGAGAGGAGCAAGGATAAATCTAGGGAGAAGGACAGCGAACGCGATAGTCGCAGGGAGAAACGCCGCCAGGAGAAAGAGAAGCCCTCGAAAGAGAGTAGCTCATCCTCCCATCATGACAAGGATAAACGGCCATCTAGACACAGGTCTGCGCAGGAAGGCCACGGTTCTTCCCATTCCTCTCGCCATGCTAAAACATACAGCCTTGAAGTCAATGTTGGCACAGATGCTTCATCTTCTCGTAAAGATGACAGATCAAGCAGACGGCGCGATGGTGACGACAAGGATCGCAAAGCTGATCGCAAACACTCTCCCCCGGAAGGCAGCAGGCTCCAGCAGGCTACATCGTCGTCGAGTCGACGCCTGGAGCGAGCCAACTCCACATCTACCCGCCCAACTTCTGAACTTCCTCCTACTGCTGACCTGAATGCTCTTCGAGCGCGAGAAGCTTGGGAGATGGATCGGCTGTGGAAAGCAAGAAGTATGTATGGGTCTGACCCGAACAATCTTGCTCCCGCTCCATCTTCTATCGCCTCTGCTACCTCGTACATGGTGACGGAAGCCACTACCCATGGCGCTGTACACGGATCCAGCCATACCGCGTTCATGGTTCCTACGCCGTTTCAACATCATCCACACGGCCACATTTACAATTCTATGCCGAACGGTCCAGCTCCCATCATTTACGCTGCACCCCATGGTGCTCAATACCAACATCATCCACACCAATACCCACATACGCATTCTTACTCACAATCTTACACTTCATCAGACACCCTCAGTATGCCACCAGCCTCGAGATCCAACCCGCTTCCGGAACCGCCTCGAGAATCAACTATCATATTGGATCATAATGGCCGACCAACCGAATACTGGACCAAATACACTGGTGTAACGACTGCCCACTGATAATGCAAGCTTGTCGACATGTTTTTTTATGCATCTTCATGGTATATACGAGACTTTTGCTGTTATAGATCACCACATTCTTCCTGACCACACACGTTAACCAAAACCTTCGTTGGACAGTTCTGTACTTACTGTAGCCGCTATCTTATTAATTATTTTCGTTCTGGAGGGTATTATTTTGAATAAATGGAATATAAAAGCCCTAGATGTATTCGAAGTAGACAGAACTATCGACGAGTGAGAGTTTGCATGAAATCTGGGCTGGCCGCAATGTCTTCTGGAGAAGGGGAGACGGACTGTTCCGGCTCCGTTAGGACAGGAGCATAGGTAGGCCTGACACCGTCTTTCCAAAGTCGCACATACTCCGCACCACGCGACCATGTACCACCATTTTGTCGTTCGAAGATAGATTTCCACCGCTTTCGCGCTGCCATTGCACCCTCGTCCAGCTCTTCGCGTCTCTCCCAAGTTTCTAAACTCCTCTTTTCCTTCATGAACCCGTGTTCAATTTCAGAGGGCCCGAAAATGGCTCCCAGGTGGTCAGCTTCTAATGAAGCGTACGTAGCAGCGACATGCCGCCCCGATTGCAACGCACGGAACTGAGCCACGGAGCGGGAATATGCCTCGCTAAGAGGGACGTTATGGAAACGATAAAGGTTTATAACGAATTCGATTGCGCTGGTAATCACTGCTGTCAGTAGAATATTACGGGGGCCAAGATATGACATACTCTTCTGGAGAAGGATTTCGTCCCCTCTGCCGCAGTCTAGTCCATTGCTCTCCTCGCATAGAGTGAGGGGTCTGTATGGTTTCCCCCTCCACCAGCGACTTCGGGCGAAAAGCCTCAAAGGGATGGTCGCGGTAGAATTGACGACGGATGTCGTCCTCCAAGTAGTGTATTGGCAATGGCTTTGGTGTCACCGGTCTCATTTTCGACGAGGAAGACTGTTTTCGCGGTGCCAAATCGTAGTCGCTACGTTCCGGAGGCGCTTTTGGCGGCAAAGGCAGCGGGGGGTAGTCCAATACGGCCTTGTACCATACTGGTTCCTTCTTGATGAAGTCTGCGCGCATCAAACGCGAGACCTGCTTGTGAACCTGCGACGCAATTCTTCTAACCATGGTCGCAGTGTCGGGGAGTACAGTCTATTCGGGCGCTTCCTTGACGCGATCAGAAAAGGTGACTGTGCCAAACAACGACACACCCTTTCGGCGCTCTGCTCAGCGGAACGGAACGGCCACTGGCCCCCGATCACGAAATGGTACAGCCTGTAGCGAAAATGGATCAAAGAGTCATCATCCTCTGGGAACCCTAGCCTGAGTAAACCCCACAATGCCGACTAATCTGCCTTCCCTTCACTCGCAATGGACTCCTACAACCGCGCCAGGAGTTCCGCAACCTGGTTTCCGTTCAGCGACGATAGCTTGCGGGCATTCACACCGTGTGCTTCACTCACGGACACCGCAAGCGTCTCTGGTATAGGAGCAGACCTGAGTCAAGTGCTGTACTGGCTCGGCAAACAAGCCATCGGTGCTGCCCTTTCTATCTCGATACGCCGACGCCTTGCTGCCATAAACACGTTTATCTCAAACCGACCTGCCATTCGTCGCCTAGTTGGGCATGACATATTCATGCAGCAGTTACACGACGTCTGCGAAGATCTCCTGGAATTTTGTCGGTGCGCAGAGTATGATCAGCGCTTTCGCAATTCAATGGGTTAATCGAAATCCGTTGATTTGTAGGCCACAATATTCTGTGGTAGTTAGAAGCAGATCGCTTGAACTCATCATAAAGCTCCTACGGCCAACAGATGCATACTCTATCATCGTCATAAAGTCAGGCTTCCCAGATGTCCTAGCTAGCTGTGGCTTGGACCAGTCCCAAGACCCGAGGATTCTCTATCCAGCCGCTCAGCTGGCCCGCATCATCAAGGCGTACAAAGACCTCTCGTGTGATTGTTCAATTTGTCTCAACTACCACAACGTAGGTAAATCCACCTCTGCGGATTCAATCACTGATGTTTCCTAGGTTGAACTGTGTGCGCTCCCACGAGTCTCTTCAGAACTAGACAAGTCTTTATCTCTTCGTCACCTACTACATACAAGGTGAGGAGTGGAGTCCACCATCTTGTCCTTCTGATTACCGACTTCTCGATGAGATATCCAATCTTCCAAGTCCCAAAGCCTAGTTATCCATACTACCGCATGCGAAAGGACCTCTCCTCCCGGGTATAAAAAAGTTCGCAGGTGTTCGTACAACGCCCGCCCCATCGAGATGGTTGCGGGGTACGACGTAGGGTATTACAGTTTCGCTTGCAGTGGTGCATGTACATTACCTCTAGCAGCTCGAGCCTTGTCCCGGAGCACGCGTCGAAGGATCTGTGAACAATAAATTGATCATGAATCAATGATCAAGATCACCGGAAGCAAGTATCAACCGAATAACATACTTTACCACTAGGATTCTTCGGGATCGCATCGATGAATTCAACGCCTCCCGCAAGCCATTTATATTGGACCTTAGTATCGGAGACGTGCTATTGCGAGCAAGTATCAGTAAAAAGTCAGGCACTGTCAAGAACAACATTCCACCTTGGCAATTTCATTCCTCAACCTCGCAGCGCTCTTGTGGTCTTTAGCATGTTCTTCCACCGACTTGTCGAGGACGACGTAAGCCAAGGGAAGCTCTCCGCTATATTCATCCAGTATGCTGTAGATAAAGGGCTCGTCAGTAAGGGCTCGTTAACAGGTGTATTCCGATTAGTACCTACCTGACCACGCACGCGTCGGCGACGTATGGATGCATGAGAAGATGTCCTTCGAGTTCGGCGGGTGCTACTTGGTATCCTCGAACTTTGAATATTTCCTAAAAACAGATTCGCCGTCAGATTCACCAAGCCTCAATGATAAACCATCTTTCTTCAGTACCTTGACACGATCCAGCACAAATACTTCACTATTCTCGTTAATCATCACTTCGTCTCCTGTGCGGACCCATCCATCTATGAAGGTTTCTTTCGTTCTATAACAGGGGATGATCAGTACAAAATCGCCGCGAGAAATGCAAGTGACATACGCTTGGGCGTTATCAGGGTATCCGAGAGACATGGATGGGCCCGTCACGACAAGTTCGCCGACTTCGCCAGCTTTACCCAGCGAGCCGTCGGCCTTGACAACACGGGCTCTAACCCCTGGTATCAGCGTGCCAGCGCTGCCAATGGTTCCTATCCGTTGCTCTGGCGGGTACATGGCAATGGAGGTACATGTCTCCGTGAGGCCTGGATTACAAACAGAAGTTCATGACAATGGGAATAAGCATCTAATTTCAAACATACCGTAACCTTGGCCGATACTAGCGTTGGGCAGGACCTTGATGACTTGTTTTACCAGTTCTCCAGAGAGGGGGGCCGCGCCACAGACGGTCCATTTAATGTGGCTTAGATCGACGCCCTTCATTGCCGGGTGCTGAAATCAATGCATTAGCGCAAGAACTACACCCATCTGGCCAGACACTTGCCTTACACATCAGAACAATTTGAGGTGGGACAAGTCTGGGAGTTTATTAGCGATACACAATTTGCCATCGCGCGAAATGTCACTCACAGAAGATGCGTGATCCGATGTCGCACTATACTTCCCAGAAAGTCTGTGAAGCTGAACTTGGGAACGACGACTAAGTTAAGCTGTGTCCGTGTATCAGTGACTACTCTTGTTTCGATGTTGACATATTGCTTACGCCAGCAAATAGCATGAAGTGCATCTACATGGGTCTAGTGAATGAGGGATGCCGTCAAGTGGAAACAGCACGTCCGACTTACGTTAACGACGAGGCCATAAATATCTGAAGAATCAAGATGAGCAAATGGACGTTAGGTGAACTTTCTGACGTACGGAAGAAAGGTAGGACTACCGAAGATGAGGTCATTAGTGTGAAAACAACATTGTGTAAGCACTTACCAGCGGTAGCAACGTCTCCAGGACTAAAGGGACATGGTCCAGAGGTCTTCGAAGCGACGTTATAGTGGGCGGCTATTTGGATGATGTTCGCAATGACACTGTGATGTGGTATTGAAACGGCCTAGAAGAGCCATCTCCATCAGTATGTAGTAGTGGGTGAAGACGAAACGTGAGGAAACACCTTTGGCTTGCCAGTGGTACCGCTAGAGAAACTGAGGAAGGCCAAATGGCGTTTTGATTCCCCTTTCTTGAACCGTTTCTCCATATATTTCGTGTCACGATCCAAGCCAAATGTCACAAGGTCCCTGACATTCTCTACGCCATGAGGAACAATGGGCTTCTGCGGGTTGTGCAGAAGTACGATTCTATCTTCCGGAACACGCGCGCGCTTTGCAGCTGTCAGAACGGTACCCAAGGCATCGGAATGAACAAATATAAGGGCAGCTTTGGTGGTTCGCAACTGGTGAACTAGTTCATCAGCTGTATATCCCGGATTCGCGGGACTGAAGAAAGTTCTCAGATCCTCAACACGTAGTAGCAGACCGACGAGAAGCATCTCACGTTATAATGGCGCCGAGTGTATGGGTCGCCCATACACAGATAGGATAATCTATGGCAGAGATTCAGTTCGTGGATCTCAAGGAGAAACTATTCTATGTATTTACCTGTGTGGTTCGGACTGAAAATGCACACTTCGGAGAAGACGTGTGAGACTCGCGTAGGGAGGATAGAAATGCACCACCGAGCTCACCGACATCATTCTCCCCTAGGTTGGATTTTGAGCGTTGATACTGACAGAGACGCGCAGGGGCCGCACAACTTACTTATATTCCATTTGATGCTCATAGCATTGGCGAGGCCATGTGTCCGAGATTTGATCTAACGCGTTATTAGGTGCCATGCAAGCTCCGCGTGAGTGGAAAACGCACCTCTTGGAATCCAATGCTCCGCCCGCTGTGATCCTCAGTCAGCCACGTAACATTCTCCCTGCACGGCATACATGGATGCTTGTAATCCAGCATGAATTGGGGAATACTGAGGTCATCAGGAATCTCCGGCAAAGGTGCTCTCGAAGTTGATGTAAACTCTGTCATGCTAGTGGGTCGCGGTTATGAGAATTCTCGCACGGACGCGAGATAAGAGTGAATTTGCGATGGTGGACGTGGTCGAAGAACAGAAGGGGTTCAAACGCGATATCGCATTCTTGGCCTCTTTATATATCCACGCCTATGCGATCCGCCCACTGCAAGCGGGAGGAACTTGATCTTGTTCAGGTCTACTCCTCGTGGGAAATATAGTTCAAACCCAGCGACCCTTCAACACACTTCTGCGCCACCGACAGCCACTCACTCGTTTCGGAAATCTCACGCAGAATGGACGATGAGGAGGCTGAACTCCGAAATCCCTTTCCTTCACCGCCATCGCACTATGTGAAATATACGTCGCATAACTTGAACTTGCTGGCACTGCTCAAAGAACGTACTTCTGATGACCAGAACGCCAACCAGTACGACGTGCTCCGCGACCAGACTGATATACCAGAATGGCCGCTGACACAACTCGAAAAGCCCCGTGTGGACTGGATACTTGACGAACCGGATCCATACTACGAAGTCTACGGCGAACGGTGGCCTGTGAGTCCCTTTGGAGCTTCCATTGAAGAAGGATGGCCTGTGAATCCCAGCGCTTAGCTGAAGGACAGTATGCCGTCTCTGGGGGAGATGGGAGGGCTTCAGCTGTACCCGGAAGATCCCAGCGTCGGTGAGAATCACAATGCCACGCACCCAAAGCCCTCCGTTGAAACTGTTTCAAGATCGAAGACCGGCTTTACGGTCGGCGCTGCGTTCACTACTTGTAACCTACTCAGCCATGACAAAGTCTTTGCTGGCCCCGGCGCCTATCAATACAGACGTGCCTCCAGAATGGGGCAGGCACGCAGAATGGATAGATGTCATGGCTCAAAATATGATGTTCGCTGCGAACGAGCTGCGGCCTATTCAGGTTGGCATATCCTGTTCGCCGATCATCGCCATCTAATCCATTTATTAAGGCCCGAGCAAGCCTAGAGGGTATGATGAAACGGCAAATTGAGCTTAGGCGCGAAGAAACCGCGACGCTTCACTCGTAAGCAGATTGATTATTCACTCTATGTCACTAGGTTCAGTAAACTGGATTTCAGAAAATGTGACTCGTTAGAGGCTAAGCTTGCCGAACTGCGAGCAGTTGCACACTCCTCTACTCAAGCACCCGCCGCAATTAGCGAAGTAAGCACCGAACTCTTCCTTGAATCCTGAGTCTTAAACAATATGAGCAGCCGACGCCCAGCGCCTCTCATATACCAAATCCAAGACAAGAACCCAATGCGTTCCAATCAAGCGGGAAACCGCCACACCGGGAGGCTATAGACCAAGTTGATGTCCTTCGATGGGCAGAAGAAGTCAATTAATTGTGATGCGTCCAATAATCTCCCTTTTATTCCCCGTCTTGCTTGTCCTATAAATACCGTTAATCAATGTTGTTTCGTAGTATTTCAAGATACGGTGTAGGAGCGAGGCGATCCATCGGTCGTTGAATGGTCGGGTAACTGGCTGCTCACAATATGACGACCTGCGAAGTTGTTCGAGGAGCCATACAATATTTGACCAACGCAAACTTGACGGGATGGCAGAGGGCAGAGGCGCAACGGTCAACCTGGCGGGCTCAAACACCAGATCTTTCAAAAACGTGCTGCATGAAGAACCCGATGTTCAAACCACAAATAACAAAGTGCATCATTTGGTGCCATCAAATCGACTAATCCATGACATCGACTATCGCCAACTCCACCACTCCTATCACCAATGCCTTTCCTACAGTGAACAACTCGATTGAGTGCGGCTGACCCTACAAGTTGTGAGTCTCTCTTCTTCCATTGATCGAACGAGAACATACCATTAGGCATTGGGCCAGCACCCGCGCCATGAGCCAGTGACACCCTGGATGGCGTTGTTCGCTTGCCAAGCAAGGCCGGCCGTGGTGGAGAAGTCCGCTTGCCACCAGCCGTTGCCCAAGTCCCAGCATTGCCAGTTGTGTACGGTCAGACCCTTGCCACGGATAGCGTCGAGGAAGCATTGTCCCCAACGGTTCTCGCAGTAGCCGTCGAACTGGAACGACAGTCGCTTGAGACCGCCGTCGTTCCAGGCGCTGTTGCATCGCCAGTCGTCGGCGAGGACGGCAGGTGCTGCGACGGCGAGAGCGAGGATGGAGCAGATGCTGAACTTCATTGTTGCTAGAGAGAGAAGACGACGGGTGTCTGGCTGAGGCTATGGACTGGAATCTACCTCCCTTTTATACACGAATTCTGCAGTGGATTCTATGATGTTAACCATATGCTTTCTTCGAAGTACTGTCCTCCGCCCAAGTGCCCTTGGCGTTACGTGCACGATCTCAGAAGCACAATGAGCGCTATACACAGCGCTCCCGTCGACCATCGTTTACAGGAGGGAACCTGCTCGAAACAGGGAACGTTCGCTGCTTCCACTCGTTGCTTCCATCCGCAGGGTTGCGAGCAATATCAATGTTTAACTTGTGACTGACGACCTCGCGCCTTGTGGCTCAGCGCTCGTCTAGGATAACCTCATTCTAGCTCTGTTTAGATGAAACAATAGCTTCATCTCATAGAACCTTTATCCCGGGTTTGCAAAAACAGAAAGTACGTACTCGGTTGGGCGGTGCTTAATATGTTTTGCTCCATCCGCGGTCTATTTATCCTGAGAAAGAGGTAGATCCAGCATTTGTTGGCGCTGTTGACAGTCACTTTGAATCACCGAGACACCCTTGATAGAAATCAACTCGTGTGGCGACTCAGAAAATGAATACAGCCCGCAGATGGATGCTGCGCAGAGTAAATCAGCTGTTTACGCTAATAAACGCTGAGCAGATGAGGATCTTTGAAGTAACTTAGCACTTACGCGACATGGTGACCTCCCCTGAGCCCGTTCAATCCTAGGTGTGAGTTTCGGGCGCTTGAATTAAGCTTTCGTACCTCCAAGGCTCCAACTTACACCTAAACATGGCGACGCGGCGAAGAATCGGGGTCAATGCAGCGACGACAGAGGCTGCTCGTCGACAACTCATGCAGCCAGTTCCATGCTGGGAGAAAGTTTGGACTACACCGACCGAGAATGCGTCTTCTGGGTTGAAGATATACAAATGGGCGAAAACTGACAAGATTCAGGTGTGTGATCCCCCAGAATGAGACTCGATGTGTTTTCTCATTTGAATCTACCACGACCAGCAATTCAGCGACGATGAAGGGGGGATGGACGAGCCATTGGCTCCTTTGCCGGACGAACCCGAGGCCGTAGAAGGGGACGACGAGGAGCAGGATGAAAATGTGGCAGCAACACGCGAAGTATCAACTGCACCTCCGCCGAAGGAGTCTGAACCACCGTCCAAGCTACCTTCTCCGAAGCCACAACTCACCGTAGCACTGCAGCCATCCGAGGGTCCAATCGAGGAAGCGGCGGACGATTTGGACGCGTCGTTAAAGCCTATGGACGTTAGTTTGGATGGGCTGGTGCCGGACGGCATGGAGCTCGACATGTCGGGATTGGGGCCAGACGGTTTAGGATTAGAGGCAAACGGTGATTTATCTCAAATGGAGGACGCAGATGTGTTGCTAGGTGGTCCAATCATGGATCAAACGGAGGATCCATTCTCAGCGACTAGCTGAGGTGTTTATTTCAGGAGGGGCACTTTCCGTAAGTTACATATTCATTTATAACTTTAATACATGGTGATCATCATGGTTTTTGTCCTAGGCCTTATCATAGAGACTGGGGATCACGTTCAGCACTTGCATTCACCGGGCTTGCACTGGCAGCTGTTGTCACGATCGTAACCATTAGAATGACATCCGTATGGGTAAAGAGAACGGCTCCCACCTAGCGCCGCAGCCGCACGCAGAAGAACCACACCCGTTGTTCTTGTTCTTGGGTGGTTGGTCGCAAGCACAGTTGGGGTAGTCGCATCCGGAAGTGTTCTTGGTCTCGCAGTTGGCCTGGATCAAATACGGAGTGTCAACGTTGGGGCGTGCAAGGATCAGCTTATTGTCAACTCACAGGCATGATAGTCGATTTCGTGGGGTTTAGAATATCGGGGGGTCATCCTTGTCGCTCTTATATACTCTCTCCCAGCCCATTCTCGGCCCGAGTTCTATCGGCCCCATAAGCTGGGCGACGCATCACTCCAGAGCATTCGAGGCAGATGTAGAGATAAGATACGGATCAAATCACCAGGAAGGATACAAGCGCAAGAATTCAATCTCAATACAGCTACTACAGCTCTGGTGCGACGTGGTAACAGTGTAGGGATTCTTCCCCAAATCGTCCAGTTGCCCACAGCATTCATCGATTTCCATGTGCTCTCAGTATCGATTATCATATTCGCGTACTCAGAGCGGGAAATGCCATGGCAAGTCTACAATACTACAGAACACCATTGGGTCCAAGACTCACGGGCCCCGCCAATGACTATCAGCGTCCAGAAGTACTTCTGCTGACCGAGCGCCGGCATCAAGGATACTCACTGACCATGGCAACTCCAGCCGACATACTATTAGATGCTGAGCAGATATAAATTGATACAAATGCAGATTGTACTGTGAATTGATCATGACCATGAAGGAAACAGTATGCACCAGAACTGCACAACATATGTAATGTACGAGAAAACATGAAGGGAAACCGAAACCATGCGAAGGAGAAACCGAAAATCATAATCTACTAGATACAAATCATTGCTTTGGTCGTTGGTCGTCGTAGTGTGCGTGCGCATGCGTATAAAGAGATCAACTGTTTCGCGGGTCCATGGGGAACTCGGTAACAGGATAGTCGTCCCACTGCTTCTCGCCGTCCAGAAAGCGTCGCAGTCGAGCGACCTGGGAAGATAAATACATCACTATTATCTGCATTTGGATATCGAGCTTCAGCTTGAGGATATCCTCGCAGGCTTTCAGCGCACTTTGTCGAGTGGTGACAAACATATTGCCGGAGAACCCCAGATCCTTCAGTGCGTCTATAAGCTCGCTGAACTCTGCGCACCACCCCAGGACGCCTAGCTGATCATGTTGTCAATTCTTCTTCATGATCGCAGCAAAGAGAAGGGTGTCATACCTGACCATATTGTTTATATTTTCCGTATAGAACGTTAGGTGCGGCATCAAGAGCTATCTCGAAGTCTTTGTTAAGCTCTATCACCTGGGGTGAGGGTACATATGGAGGCATAGGCTCTGCGACAGGGGGCGGCTGCGAAAGTCTAAATAAGCAGCGTCGTAAATGAGACGCAGCTCACTCACCGGAGGATGCGATGGAGGATTTTGAAACCATTGTCGATCAGAGTAATCCCAATCCCCGCCAATGTCTACGACATCGTTGCGCTTCCCGGCGAAATCCATGTTAGAAACTGGCGATGTAAAGAAACCTGCTTCTTTACAGAGTGTGTCAAGGACGAGCTTAAATCCCTCGGGGAGGGATGGGAGTTTGAGATCGAAGTTGGGTGGTGTAGACTGCTCTACAGATGGAATGAAGATTTCTGGGAGGTATGGGGGAGGGCTGGTATAAGAAGCGAGGGAACGTGTGTTAGGCGAGGCGGGAGCTAGTGATGATGAGGAAGCCGCTCGCGGGAATTTTGTCTGTAAGCTTATATACGGGACGAGGCTGCGGTTCCGATCGGAGTTGATGAACGAGGATGCAGATAGTCCAATATTATGTGCTGTTGAGAAAGATCCGGAACGTTTTATCGAAGGCAATCGCGACACACCCTTAACGCATGTCCGAGAACATGTCAGCTGACTAATTATAGGTTGCAGAGGCGTCTGACGACATACCTTAGGGGACTGATTCTCTTTCTCGCGTAGATCTCGGGTGGAACGGCGCGACCTCGTCGAGGCTTGAGAGACAGACGAGATGGAGGGTTGGCGAGAGATGGAAGTGGAGACAAGGGTGCTAGGCGTCGAGAGGATGAGTTCTTGATCGGTTTGTACTCCAGAAATCTCCAGCGGAGACAGAGGTGGGGAGTCGGCCGAAGAGATCGTAATGAGTGGGGGAATGGGAAGGGGCGGTAGTGAAAGTGACTGGAGTGGTGATTGGTGGGCCTCTGGTGAGATCGGCGAGAAGTCAGAAGTTCCGAAGTTGCCAACGTTCCTACTTAGCCACGATGGTGAAGGTGGGATGAATGAAGTGCGTGCGGAGATACCACCAAGTGACTCTGCGGTGAGAAATGGGGAAGGGGATGCGGTGAGATCCAAGGGACTGACTAACTCGTAACAAGGAGCAGGTGCTTCTTCAGGCTCTTCTGCAAGCGTGAACTCGAAGATTGGCAAAGTCCGTGGGGCTGCAAAGTGGTCGAAAGGAATATACGGTCCAGATGCTGGCGGAGCTGAGGCTGGTCGTGAGCGAAGCTTGGTCGATGGAGAGTAACTTGTCGAGATCTCTGAGATTGGCGTATGGAATGATGTTCGTATGACAGTCGCTGTGAGACTGGCAAATCGTCGGAATGAGGAAGATTTGCTTGCAATCGACGGTGCGACTTCGGACAGAGGCGTCTCTGGTGGATTGGAGGAATGGAAGCTGAAGAGTTCGCGTCTGCCGCTGTCTCTGTGTTCGGTATCGAAAGGATCAAAGCTTACAGTGGGCGACGAGGTCTCAAACGGAACGCTTGCTGGCGGCGGCGGGATGGTACTGAATGTCGAGGAGACTGGGGTCGGGATGAAAGTCGGAGGCGCTGGAAATTCCGCTACGAGATCTGCAACGAATTCGGGATCGTCCTGCTCGTCCTGCGCTGAACTCCGCGAGAGAAATGGAAGCTTGGCGCGCCTTCGTGGTTTTCCTGGAAGCAACGGGTGCAGCGAGAGGCGGGAGACGTTGGCGAGCCTGGAGAAGACGGTGTGCGGGGGTGATGGCGGAGGAGAAGCGCGATGATGGTCGACGGTGCTGGAACTACCGCTGGCCGGAAGCGCGCTACTGATAGAACTGGTGAAGTCGTCTCTGCTGATCCTCTGGAAGTCGTCGGTGTCGTCGTCGGCGACGCTGTCCCTTCGTGGCTTTGTGAAGAGAGTGGTCGGGTGGAAAGCAGTCGAGTTGCGCAGGCCGCGAAGGCTTTGTGCGAATCTCGACTGCAAAAGTCTCTTGTGTGTAGACGTCGCGAATCAGACAAGTCCCTGTTTCTTCAGGACTTGTGCAGAGCAACGGCGCAGACTCTTGCGATTTTCAATGAATGACAATCAGGCTGCGGCCCACAATCAGTGTGGAGAAGGCGTGTCCACCTCATGTCCACCCCGCAGATGTGTTTCGTGGAGAACACGCGTTTCCAGGCTGAGGGCATGACAATTGCATTGGAGATACATTGACGCACATAGATGAAGCCCAAAATAAAAAGCAAAAGAAGAGTACTACATTACACAAGAAGAGGCTGCTGCTCAGGATCGCCTTGCCGCGCTCGAATCATAGCACGGATGTCGCGCTTCAGTTCGGTGAAGCGAGGGAGGCTGATAGAAAGGGCAGGCAGCCTTCGTACAGATCTGGCCATTCCAAGCCCGACGACGATGTAAAAGAACACGAGCACGGGGACATCACCCACGGCTGCGTACAACGTGCGTCGCCTACGCAGTGGATACGGGATTCCGATATCGCGTTTCCAGGACCCTTCGCCAACTTGTGTCACTTCGGTCAACCCATGCCCCGCTACGCCACTGACGCCGCCTTCACCTCCGTCACACCAGAGCAGGGTACCCCCTACTTCGTCCGCTCGCTGCTTGGCCTGCTCCCACATGGCCAACCCAACCGTCCTATGCCACGTTCGCGCTGGTCCGAGTATCAGTCCCGGACGAGAGCCAAGGTTGAAGAAGGGCGACGGGGCCGAGAAGTCAAGACATATTGATGCGGTGACGTCGATAGGGCGAGTATAAGAAGGTGGAGGTGCCCAGTCAGTCTTGTTATAGCCTGGCGGCGCTGGCAACAGCATCGTGTACATAGCCGGCGGTACGTCCGAATGTGTCATCGAGAACGATTCCGCGACTGCATGCCATATTTAGTATAATGTCGCTGACAATATGCTAAGGAACTTACTCGGAACCAAATGGCGCTTGTAGTACACGAAGCGAGGTATGGGATCATTGGGAGCAATCAGAGCCATACCCGTTCGTCGGTGGCTGACTCTGGGATTGCTGATCTCGCTATAGAATTCTTCGAACGATACCGCGACGTGGGCCCGGCTCACCAGCGAACTGATGTTCTTGAAAGCCTCGTCCCGTTCTTCAGAGTCGCGGAACGAAACCGCGCCTTCTGGCCATAGAATGATGTGCGCCGATGCTAGCTTCTTGCTTTCTTCAATAAAATCGTGAAGGACGAGATGGCGGTGCTTGTAGCGGTGGTAAGACGGTATGACACACCCTACAGACAAGGGGGTGGTTCGTGAGGACTCAATCGGCAGCGGCGTTGAAACCAAGACGAAGGATGGGATGGTAAATAGACCAAGCAGGCCAACGAGGTATATAGCGGCGCGGGATGTCAATTTATCAGAGGAATTATCTTGTGAGTCGACTTCAACGAGGAGGGGGGCATCCTCGTGCTTGTCTGGGCCCATCAGCCAAGCGCCAAAGGCTTGCGACAAGACAGCAGCCCACGCTCCGACTATCCAGTCGATACCTGTCGGGCCTACGAAAGGCAATAACCATCGGTATTGGTCCACACTGACAATTGGACTCCAGATGGCCAGCCGACCGAAAGGGCTAGCGTAGGATACGGACGACCAGAGGGATGCCCAAAGGGCTGGGAATATGGTGAGCTGAGACCACGGCGAGTTCAGTTGCAGGCAAACTCGGACATCGATAAATATAATCAACAAAGTGATCAGTGACGATACGGAGGATAGGCCTAATAGGACACCGATTGACGTGCCAGGGGTCACCAAGGCATGCAACGAGGGCATGATTTGTCCGATAGACATTCCAGTGGTTATCCCAAACCACAGCACGGTGGCGCGTAGAATGCGGAACCTGCGATACAGGATCAACCGGGCATAGACTTGAGTCGTCGCCACCAAAAACACCAATGGGAGGAACGATGGCGTTGCTGATAAGAATGTTAAAAAGGCAAGTGCGGCCGACGCGCTGGTGAAAATTGCCGGTGAATGTCGATAGAAGATGGCGGCGCGTAACTGGTCCATTGTTGCGGCTGGCAAGAAGATCCAAGGTCAGACGTCTGGTATTTGAGAGCAGCCTGGTGCTGCGCTCGTGGACAACACGACTGTGCAGAAGCACTACTTAAACTTTAACGCCCATAAACGCCAACTTCTAACGTCACGTGACGCTTCGCCGCAGTTCAACGCGAGGCTCGCGTGTGAGCGCGCCATGAACGTTTGTCACTACGGGTGAGCGGCAAGTCCTGATAGTTGAGCGTTGAGCATTCATTGCGCCCCGAAGGATATGGATTAAACTCCTGTTGATCCTTTTATTTATCGTATACAATCAAACATCTGACCGCACGCACCTACAGGACATCATACCTCGATCACGCGTCGAGCTTTGCTTTCAGTACGAGGGCTTGGGCCCGCGGGCAACCAGTGACTCCTCCGAGCCGCAAACTTAGGGCCAGGGATCATCAGAAGGTCACCATTGGCTCAACTTCCTTCGAGAGCCCCTAAGCGAATAGAAAACGGTTGCAAGGTTGAGGGAAACTTTGGGTCGACCGAGGAGGGGCTTACCGTAACTGCAGTTACGCGTGCTCTTTCAACGATTCACCAACTTTGAGCTTGCGCGGAGAAGCCTACATCTGGATGCGAAAGACGACTGCACATCTCGACAGGAATGCCACAATCTAGCGTCGTCGAGGCGCTGAACCTCCTTGTAGGCTTCGTCGTACCACCCAGAGCACCGCATTGTTGAGGCCCGAAAGCTTGCGAACGATGTAACACGTACATCAACTCTTCCGAGACAGCAACCCGAAGACATCGTGGTAGGCTAGGTGTCTTTGAGCCGACACTTGCTTCTAGCTCTGATGCAGCCACAGTTCGTCGTATGAGTGAGTTATCTATGTCAAGTGACGATTTTCTGCGCGTTGACGACGAACGCCGTGACCTCCGGAAGCTATAGCGCTGGTAGCATTGGATTGGTCAATATTTCGGAGTCATAGAAGCGTCAAATTTCCATTCGAGGTGCGCTGATTTGTCGCCGTTCGGGGAAAACGTTGCTTCGCGCTGAACTCAGATTAGGTTGTCGTTACTGAAGATAGGGGAACCTTACGAAGTTACGAAGACTAAATCATATCCTTGTTCAGCAGCTTGATCGCAAGTGCCTCCGCTCGTGCGATTGCCGACCTCGGTTGAGGTTGGTGGAGTGTGGCGCATGTCGTGTACTTGTGGACGCCTCATCAAATCCGTCCAAGAAGCTTACACTGGCGCTCCTTCACCGCCAGTATCCGGTCGTATCAACCAATGGATGGAGATGATTATGGAGATGGTTCCAAAGAGGATGTCTGCATTCTTGACTCCGTCGAACTCAGACCCAGAGTCGATATCAATCAGGCGGCCCGGTAACTTGTTGATCTCTACCGGTTCGGTGTTCCTTGCGGCAGACTACCAAACCCCCTTTTCGTCCATGTGATCGACAAGCCAAGGGCCCACTGGTCGGTAGAGAACATATCCCGCCAGGGACGATATTTGAATCATTTACCCCGCACCCGTAAATATGGGGGCCTCCGATACGTTCCTTAGCTCTCCCCATCCACCCCGACCCTCCTGCGATGACCATCTTCCGTGGCCCGCCAACGCCTTATATCCCAGATGACCTGACCATCCCCCAGTTCATCCTAGACTCTCATCATCCCACACGCCCCGTTAGGCCCCATGGAATACCGTGGTTGATTGACGATGTCTCAGGGACGAAAGTTGGCTTCGACGAGGTAGACATGTTGATTCAGCCTGTTTGACGCCGTTACTCATCAATACGCGCATCCAGCTCCGAGCACGGAGTAATGGTCTTGCGAATGCACTGAAGATCCAATATGGCATTGGCGAGAATGACGTTGGTACGTCCTTTTATCGTGTGTTGACAGAGGAAACGGTCGTGCTAACCGGCGGGGAAGTTTGCGTATTCAGCAGCAACCACATCGGTATGTCGCCGACCTTACGCGTTGAATAGTCGGAGAATTAACCTCTCTCTTTTAGACTATCCTGTCCTTGTATGGGCTGCTCACCGCCTTGGGGCGACCGTGTCGTAAGTCTCCCTCTCAGCGGTCTTTACTAAACCTCACTTCTCGCTCCAGCACCGCCAACCCTTCATATACAACTGATGAATTAGTCTACCAGCTACAAATCAGCGGCTCCGGCATTATTTTTGCTCACCCAGGCTCTCTTGAAATCGCTGCTGAGGCCGCAACTAAGGCGGGCATTTCCCATGATCGCGTTATCGTCTTGGACTCCGTGGCAGGGTCGCCGTATAAGACCGTCTCCGAGATGATCAATTTTGGCTTGAGGCGGCCCGTCTCGTATGTCGAGCGCCGCCTCGAAGCAGGTGAAGCAAAAACGAAGCTCGCTTTCCTATGTTTCTCCAGCGGTACAACGGGCAAGCCCAAGGTACGTGACGTGCCCCCGTTACCGTGTTCACAGATTAAATGGTACTGATTTAACAGGCCGTCGCAATTTCTCACTTCGCTGTTATCGCGAACGTAGTGCAGCTCGCGGTTCATCATAAAATAGACGACCCTACGATTCCTCCAGAAGAGGCTAGGTTTGCCGTTGGGGAGGTATGCACAGCTGTGTTACCTTTCTTCCGTGAGTAATACCACGTCGCCATCTGGTAGTTGAGGCTGACTTGATTCTTTGCAGATATCTATGGGCTCATTGTCAATGTAAGTTCGCCAAGATCATTCACCGCATGATTGGGAACTGATATCAGTACCGAAGCTTCATTTCGCTCTATTTTGCGCAGTAAGAATACCCGTCACTTTGTGTGTTCAGCATCTCACACTTTGCAGATGTCAATAGTTGTGATCCCAAAATTCAACTTCACGGACTTTTTGGCCAGCATTGTTCGTTACCGAATCACCGACCTAATGTATTTTGCGTTGTGCTTATTTCTTCTACCGTTGTACTCACATTATCACCAACAGGATTGTCCCACCCATGCTGGTTTTGATTTCCAAGGTAAGCTTATACCGCACATCCACTCTAAAATAAGTTCAACAAAACTGGATAGCATCCCGCCGTGAAAAACTACGATCTGAGCCACGTCAAGGCCACATGGAGTGGCGCCGCCCCACTCTCGATAGAGCTAACTTTGCAAGTGTCGAAAGTCCTCCCCAATGCGATCATTGGCCAAGGTTACGGAATGACCGAGACTGCTACCGCCGTCACGTTGATGCCTCCGCCACAGCGCCTGGGAAACGGCTCCGTTGGGACATTGATGCCCGGCTGCGCCGCGAAAGTGATAAAGCAGGATGGCACACTTGGTGGTGTTGGTGAACTGGGAGAGTTGGTCATCACTGGGCCGAACATGGCATTGAGGTATCACAACAACGAGCAAGCGTGAGTTATCTCATTCTACCTCAATACTTTCTATGGACTGAAACCCTCTCAGGACGAAAGAAACTTTTGTGGACGGGTAAGAAGCCTTTAAATAATATCGTGCTCTTTTTTGTATTGACACTGTTTAGATGGGTGCACACCGGCGACGAAGTTTACTTTGACGTAAAAGGCGAGATGTTCGTCGTAGACAGGTTAAAGGTTTGTTGTTCATTCCAATCTATGTCGGCTGGTTTACTGATGGTGATTCAAGGAATTGATTAAGGTCAGGGGTTTCCAAGTGCCACCCGCTGAACTAGAAGGTTGTTAATTTACCCTCCTCATGTGTTCCAAGAAGCTAAAGAAGCCCGTTTAGGACATCTTCTGGGGCACCCATACGTCGCGGACGTGGCCGTGATCCCGCTCCCGGATGATTATAGCGGAGAGATCCCAATGGCTTACGTCGTACCCAGCACCGATGTTGCGGCTCGTGTCCGGGACCCCAAAGAAGCTGAGAAGGTCAAGGCAGAGATAATTAAGGTAAGGGTCTTGTCTCTCTTGGGAGGATCGCCCACTAACCCCCTTGATAGTACGTCGCGGACAACAAAGTGAAGTACAAGTGGCTGGCTGGAGGCGTTGAGTTCATAGATGTGATACCCAAAAACCCGAGCGGCAAACTACTCAGAAGAATACTTAGAGACAAGGCCCGCGCGGATAGGGCAGTAAAAGCCAAGCTTTGATCTACTTATGTATTCGTAGATGTTCTCTCGATGATACCTCGCCTCTGCACACATCTAGATAGAACTGGACCATTAACTACATATTGGATATTGTACTTACCTTGTACCCTCAAGCTTCATGCCTCGATTTGTCCAGTCAATGTTCGGTTGCTGAAGGATATTACGATGATGCATAGCGAAGGAAACAAGGGCCTATATATCACGATTTTACAACACGAGACTGTGCTGCCTGGGCAGCATTCATTCCCATCCATGTCTTCTCCACGAGCCCCAGTAGTCTCTGCATATCCGAACTCCAATCGTTCATCACATCTTCAGCAGTTCGTTTCGCCCGGAAGTTTATGATGCCAGCTGGTCGGTCTATCCGTGCCCAGATGGTGCCAGAGACTACTAATCGCGACAGGGTTTCTTCGGTTTGTTGGGCGGTGAGATCGAGGAGGGACATTAGGCGGGGAATGGTGATGCGTGAGTAGTATTCTGCTATGATGCGGATGTTCTAGGATATGGTGAGACAATGGCGAGCGTCAGTAATAAAGAATACGTACATGCTCAATCACTCGTGTATGCAAGTCCTCCCATCGTTTCTCCTGACTGAAGACAGGGGTTTGCCGTAGGAAAGAGCCGTAAAGCAACTCGATACCTGGCCATCTCATGAGTTCGTGTGTGTGGAAGGATTTGACGAGGTTACTGTTCACAAGTGAGGATAAGCGGAAAGACTGGTGCGAGAAGACGTACTAGTGTAGTTCAAGCGGCTTCAGTGCTGGGTCAATATAAAGACCGTGCAGCATACCGGCCTGCTCGTTGTTATGCGGCGCGAGGACAACGTAGTAAGTTATGTGCTCAAGTGCCTGTATGGGAAGACGATGAGATCTCCATATTGAGATGAGGAATTTGTACTCACAATCCGGCCTTTGTCTGTCACGTCTTCTTTGATAGACGGTGTTTCCCATACTTTTTGATAATATTTGGCAACGTCGAGGTACGAGCTTTGGTGCAGAGCGTGTTGGATCATAAGGTCGTAGAACTTGAGCTTAAGGTCCTGCGGTGTACTAATGAGCAATGAATATACCAGGAAAGTTTTATTACCTACTTCGTTCTCCTCCTCCTTCAAGAATTCTTCATTGATCTTGCGACCTCCAACCCTCACTTTGGTCCATTCTGGGTCACCACCAGACAACGAATCTTTGCCCTCTTGCCCCGCCTCTGCATCCTTCTGACGTGCAACTGCCACAAGTAGTCTCATCTGCTCAAGAATGAACTCCGTCTTCTCTCTACGTTCCATTGACGAGTAAGTCTCCACCTGGAGCTCGGAGAGGAGCTCAGCGGCTGTGCGAAGCGACTTCTTAGCATTCTCGGGTGTGGCTTTTGGGTCGTTCGAAAGAACTTCGTGATGGTGAGACAATAACAATGTCACTCGAGCGCGCGGTGTTTCGAGGTATATCTGTTCGGATACTGAATACCGAAATGAGGGATACTCAAGGCCACACTGACCTTGCCTTCCGTGACGCCGCGCAGTGTTTCCAGTAGTTCCAGCCATTTGTCAACCCCTTCCCGCGTCTTGATCTCATCTAACCACTGCATGACCTTCTCAGTCATCGTCTGCACAGCACCCTTCAGTTGTCCATGTTTCTTGGCCAGAATCGAGATACTACTGTTGAGTAACGCGTAATCCCGCGCAGAGTAGCAGTGCTGAACAATCGCGGAAACGAGTCGTGAAGTAGATGCAAGATCGGCTGCCTATAATTTAGTTAGAGAGATATCAAGTACACCAGTGGAGATCACCGTACATTTCGCGTCTGTTTCTCAAGGACAAAGAGCTTGTCGAGACCCTCCTGAAGCTTCCCTGCCTTCGTTCTTGTCGGTTAGGAACTCACAAAGTAAAGGGTGCTGAACACTCACCTTGACGAGCTTCTCAGCTTCTGGCAGCAAAGCGTCCACCTCCGGCGAGAAGTCCTTTTCTTGTTTCCTGTTGTCAGACATGATATATTGAGGTACTTTCAGTGATCGAGACAGTCCAACGCGCGTCGCAGTGATCTTTGCGCTTGTTTGATTCAGAGGAAGCCCCTGTCTGATCCACTTCCCAACCAGGACTTCTCCTGACATGGACGATTTGCGTTCAACTTCTGCTGCAGGAGGCTGCTCGTTTACTTTCTCAGATTTTGAGGCATTATAAGTTAAGGGCTCATGTATTTCAACAACCTGGTACGGTGCCAGCACAAACGGAAAAGAAAACAGAATAGTAGAAGTAAGCGACATTGTAATCATAATAACAATAGATTATGGACGGACTTGAGGAGGGGTCATAACGCCGGGCATACTGTCCATAGGTGTATCATCATAATTGGGAGCAGGGTCCGAGGTAAGCTGTTTTTCTGACATTTCTTCCTCGTTGCTAGTGCGTCCCTTTCGGTGAAGTGCTGACATAGACATATCGAGTATTTTCAAGGGGATGAAGAGGGGGTAGTAGATGAGGGCGGACGTTGCATAGAAGAATAGATCATATGATGAAGGCCGGGCATAATTCTTTTCTGAGGGAGTCGGTTGGGGGTCGGATGCAGCGGTGTCGTTGTGGCTGCTGGAGGAGAAAAGTGCCTCCACCACTTTTGAGAGGGTAAATGCAGATGGATCGATGTGGTTGGAAACGGAGGTTGGCGAGGTTGGCGAGGTTGGCGAGGGGACGACACCGACGTTGGCAACATCCTCCGGGATGGTAGCAGGTTTAACTTCAGGTGCGGAGTCGACCTCGGGTAAGACTTCGACTTCGGGGACAGCGTCGATGGCAATTTCAACAGTGGATACAACGGCGTCGACAGAGCTCTCCGACGTTTCTACGACCGCATCGACACTCGCTTCGGATGTAGGAGTGGTTGCGTCGACGGATGTTGAAACTTGCTCCACTATTGCCTCGACACATGCCTCAACGAGTGTCGGCGAGGCTTGCACGGACAGTTCAAACGTTATTGGGCGTACGCTGACGCCTTGGTTCCTTGTGGACACAGTAGCGTCAACACCTTTTTCGTCGGTCTCTGGCTTCTCCGGTTCCTGGGTCACCACAGACACGACGACCGCCTGTCTCTCCATTTCCCGGACGTCTTGTAGGAATGGGAGCGCTTCGGCTACTTTTTGCCAGCCCAGATCGTTGGCTTCGACGTACCCCGGTCGGTTGCGCTCATGGAACCATCGAAGAGTGTCGCATCTGGAGGCAAAATGACTGAGGAGGATAGCGACCTGCAGTGGGTCCTGTATCCAGGAATGGCCAACGTGCAGTCGTTGGAGGGATGCGGATGATACGTCTCGTTGGTGAAGGACCTGTTGGCTACCACCTTGAGCATTTACCACGACAGACAGGGTATGGAGATTCTTGCAAGCGCGCAGGAGCGGTGCGATATCCTCCAGAGTGATCTTCGGCGCTCCTGTTTGTGAAGGGAAGATCGCTGTGGGGCACAGTCTGAGCTCCTCAAGGCCAGGGCAGACGGCGGCGAGGTGGGAGAGGTCGGCAGCATGGAATATTGTGGATTCAGGGAGATCGATTTCTAGCCGTCTGAGAGCGGGGAGCGCGGACAAGAACTCGAGGGTTAGATGAGTCCCTCCAGATGCCAGCTTCGTAGTGGACCGCACGAGGTCGGCGAACTTCGAACCGCCAGTGGCAGTGATCTTCAATGAGTGAAGACTACGGCCGAAATGTTCGCAGAGAACGGCGCAAAGGTCTTGCCAGTCGGCCCGATCTGGTGGGTCCTCGATTGCGAGCTCGAGGTGGGCTAAGCGACTCGACAAGTGCTTCAAGAATACAGCCATATTGGAGACCTCCCCAGTGAGCTGGAGTTGTCGTAGTTTGGCGAAAGCTCCTTTCGAATGCAAGTCACCTGTTAGCCTCAGTGCGGATTTGCGGATCTCGGAGAAGTCGAGTTCATCTGCTGAGAAGACCCCGCTGTCTATTGAACCGATCGAGTCTGGAGTGGAATCCCCAGAACGTGGACGCATCATGTCGAAGAACCCTTCGACAGCTATCACCGAGCGGCCCGTCAAGTCAAGCTGCAAGCTTCTGAGGTGTGGCAGGGCCCCGAGCCATCTGCCGGCACCGGGGGAGAGGGCACCTGGTGCAACGAGGTTCACGCGACGTAGGTCAGTCTGAGGGGCCAAGAGCTCGGTGAAGTCGTCAGGGAGGGGGGTAGGTGATGCGAATGAGAATGATGTCAGGTGTGTACGATCGGAGACGTCCTTCAGGAAGGAGCTGAGTTGGGGGAACCTCGTTCCAATCTCGAGGTTCAAGGTCTGGAGCTCGGGATTGAGGAACATCAAGCAACGATCCAGACCGACGGGCGTCTCCGCGCGCCAGGTTAAATGACGGAGACCAGGAAGAAGATATGTCCTATTTCATCGAATCAACGACCTGTCGCCGCTCGTGCTGCGATAATAGCTCACCTGGGACGATACTCCTCGAAAATGGGGAACACAGTAGTCGAGACGTTGTTCGCCGACTCCTCGTATGTGATGCGTCGAACCTTGTCTCCGTAGAGAGTTACCTTCTCCCAGTCGGCCTGCTCAGGCACCTTCGTCTGTGAGGTGCAATCAGAATACCACCCAGGTAAGCAGAACATATTCAACGTACCAAACCAAGGCCAGGCTTCTTGGGTCGGCGGAGGAGGGGAGAAGGGAACATCCCTATCAATGGAATGAAAGAGTACAGGTCTCTCCAAAGCACATTCAATGCCGGTTCCGAGAAGGCCTTGCATGTTCGCGCCAATCTGGACACCATTCGTTTACCGGCAGTCGAGTCAAGGATACCCTCCAGCAACTTCTCCAGCACAACCGGGTCCCTCAGAACAACGGTAATGGGAGACTGGGACTGGTAGAACTTGTTGTTCTCAGCAGCACGAGCAGCAATAGCAGCTTGTTCGGCGTTCACTGGATTGTGTACGGAACCTCTCTTCTTCCCCTTCCCTTTGCCCTTGCCCTTTCCCTTAGTGACTGGCTCCATGTCTTCCTGTTTGTGTCTGAAGAGTGAACGGGCGATGCTCTTGATACTGGCGATGCTAGTGGTCGACTTGACTGACGAAGCAACCGAAATAGTACTATCTCTGCGGCGAAGGAAGCTGCTGCCGGCGGTGCTGTCCTGACGGTGAGGAGTGTTACGCTTGGTGTGTGCGATGGAATGTAATGCGGAGAGAACGTCAGAGACGACGGAGTTCGAGGACATATAGTTAGTCGTTCGTTGCCTTGGACTTCGCGCTTTTGAAGCACCTCTTTCTCCTCGCGGCATCCATGATGCTTGCCTTGCTCCTTCTCCGCAGGTGGGAGGCGGCGAGGCAGGACACGCGGGGAGGTTGCGAAATAGGATGATCTGGAGGAGGTGATGTGACTATGGGTCGAGCCGGTTTACTAGCTACCTTCTGAGTTCTGACGTCTCCTTCGGTATGAGGCCTGGGGAGTCGCTCGTGTCGATGTTGTTTCAAGGATGTCGCGTAAACACATTGCCCTGCCAAATGTGAGACGACACGTTCACTGAACGAGGATGATCGAAAGAAATTAAAATCTGATACAGATATTGATTTCGAGCATCCACTGCGTGCCGCATAGCTAGAACACTGTGGAAGTGTGTTCTTCTAGGTGCTGGTCAACATACGATGGGGTATGTTTCTCTCGTGCCCGGTAACAGCGAGGTTACATGATGCTTGGGCAACCGAGCAATGCTCTAAGCGCCTTCGGGAGCCCCCACACGTTGTGCAAGTAAAAGTCCCGCTGGGTGTATGTATGATGGGCGATCCAACCACGGCAACCACTGCTCATGGCGTCCCAAGAAGCTATGAGCGGTAATAGATAGGCACGACGAGAGGGGTAGAAGGACACGGGGTCGGTTAGATCATCAAACAAGGCGTGTATGAGCATAATGATAACTAGAAAAAAGTTGGTGACAAACCGGGAGGGAATATGCTGTGAGGATGCAGCAAAAGCCCAAGACACATCATGCGCACTATGAAGCCGTCAAAAGGTTGATGTGTCGAAAGTTCGCATCTACACTGCAGTGTAAGCTAACCGGGGAGCCCAATCAGTGCCCAGAAGTCCGAAATGAATTAATAGTGCACTGGCAAGTTACAACTCTCCAACCTCCCAAGGAACTGGTTCGCCTTCCCAATCATCATCTTCCTCTGTGACTGCCCCAGCTTTCGACTTCAATCCGTGCCGTCCTCTGTCGACACCGGTCTTGCTCCCCAACCCAAGCAAATCGTCTTCTCCATCTTCATCGCCTTCATCGCCCTCTCCAACACCCCATATCTCGCCTCCTCTGCGCGGATCATAGAGGCGACCCTTTGCTGGCCGCCCATATAGCAAACCCCGGACCAACTGTCCTTCGTTCGGCCCACGGTCCTTCGAAGGGTATGCCGAATTAATAGATAAACCGGCGAGTTTTGCCAGTGGGGTGGATAGAAGCGTCGTTGACTGATCAACCGGTTCGTCTGCAACTTCTTCAGGTAGCGTGTCAACATGACGCGGCAATGCGAGGATGGGATCCTCTATGTCCCGCTCCATAGCCGTATCTACGTTATCTCCAGTACGTTGCTGAGCTACAGCTCTACGATTGACGATGCGAATCTGAGACTCCAAGGTGTCCCACTCATCCGAGCCATCACTACTCTCGTTATCGTCCGTCTTAGATTTCTTGGACTTTTTCCGGTTATTGGTGACGGCTTTATCCTTGCCGCTCTTCGCGTTCTGTTTATAACGTTTGGGGGCGTATGGATCAGCGGGCGGTGGCGACGGTGGTATTAGCTTGACGGCGTGTTGAGTACCGTTTACATCCGAAGAGTTAGGACCATTGTCCGATTCGCCTTTTGAGTCGTGGCCAGAGTGATCGTCCGATACACTTAATCGACGCTTCTTCCTGGCATTCCCCTTGGATGCTTGCTCGCCGGGCTTCGACGGGCCTGCCTTCAAGGGATGAGAGGGCTCCATAAAAGTGAGCTTATTAGATTTGGTGTTCGTGTTCGTCGGTTTAGTCGAGGCATTAAGTTTAGGGAGATCGCTGAAGATATCGGTGTTCTTCGAAGCTGCCTTCCCCTTGCCCTTCGTGTCTAGACGGAGGGGTGCCATGTCCTCGAAGAGCAATTTGAACGACTTGCCTCCGGATGGCTGTTTGACCGGCGATTCACCCACAAAAGACAGGCTCCCCACTTGCTCCGCGTCGCTCTCCTCGTCATCTGATACCGACAGGCGTTTAGTCCCATGCGACATAGAAGGGTGTTCCAATGGTTTGAATGAAAGCAATGTTTGAGCTTCGGGGTTGGCGCGTCGTCTCTTGGGTTTGTTCGGGGATGGAGACACGGGTTCTCCACGCAGCCGCTTTCGAGCGCGAGTGATGGCGGTGTTCGGGGCTGGCTGCTGCTCTGGGAGTGCTAGCGGATTGATCATTGGGTATGGTTCAGCGGTGCTTCTCCCTTTGCCCTTGACTGGCGTAGCGAACGGATTCGGCCGGGGTTTGCTCGCATCGGAGCGTTGGGGTGGGGTAGGTACGTGTTCCTTTGGCTTCTGCTTCTTCTTTCGAGGAGAAAAGGGGTTGAACGATGTCAAGGGCGCGGTTGTCTCTGCATGACGCGAATGAACGAGTAGTGGTGCCTCTAACGAGGAGAGATCCCGGGGTTTGCCTCTCGGAGGAGTTGAAGGGGGACTTGAACGACTTGTAGATGCTTTCACGGGCTGAGAGGCCTGTGATTCTGCCTTTCTCAACCTCTTGTATAGCTTATACTTCTCCGCTGCCAAAAGAGTTAGTGTCAGATATGCATTCAAAGGAACACTTGTCACTACCAATGTGCGGAAGCTCCTTGATATCGTCAATAGACGCGTCTCTTCCATTTGTTTCTTTAAAATACCGTTCCCATTCCTTGATTTCAGTGCGGACCGTCGCGATATCTGCTGGCATGGAGGATGTGGTGGTAGTGGGTAGAGTTCATCGCTGCTCTCGTCGCGTTAATAACAATCAGTCACATGACCGGCCACTGTTCAGGGGCCAGTTGCGATTAGCGATTCAACGTCGCTTGTTGTGATTTTTTCAAGCAACTCCACTGCGAATGAATTCCAAGAGCATATTCAATTTTCACAGCTAGGATACGACATCGTCATGTACGCTAATCTTCTTGCATTTCAGTATCGTCGGGCTCATCGCCCTCAGATGCTTCTTCAGAGTCATCTTCGGATTCTTCATCACTGCTCTCGCTTTCATTGAAGGTGAGAGAGATGAACTCGTCACCAAGCTGAGCTTTCTCTGCTGTGAGATGCGGACTAAGATCAGGATCAGTGGGAGCAGCAGAAGCAACAACAGAGACGACGGCGGGTCCAGGCTTTGAGACACTTTCGTCGACTTTGCGGTTGCGGTTGGCCCTAATGACATGCGGAAGCTTGCATCTCTTGGTCGTGCAGCTACCTTGCTCTGCAAAGTCGGGGCACTCTCTGACATGCTGCTTGTCGCAATCCAGGCCCTTTTCGCAGTAGCCGAGGACAGCAAAATCTCGACATATACCTTCACGCGCACCAACATTGACGTGCGGGAAAGGACAGTTTTCTCTGGTGCAGCGACCTTTGTTGAGGAAATGAACACAGATCGGGGTGCGTTCCGGGGTGGGGTCATGCGAGAGGTGGCAACTTGATGCAGTGTTGGTGCAACTACCTTGAAGGAAGTTCCAACAGATGGCGATCTTGGCTGGATCGTGCTGATACATGCAAGTTAATCCGCGGTTACAAGACCCTGCATTAACGAGAAGGGATGCATTAGGTAAAAAAAATCGGGCCAGGCGGCCTTACTTGCTCGACGAAGGGCTTGGACGTACCTGTTGTCGTGAACCGAGGACATGGCTTATTGATATACTTCTTTGCTCGTTTCGAGTTGCGTCGGGATCTGTGCAAGTACGGTTTAGGTGTTGAGTTCCCTTGGTAGAGGTGTTGAACAGACTGGTAAGGGCGTTTAGTGTTGTCCAGAGTCAGATTACGATTCCGTTTGCCAGGTGGAGCTCGGCGACGGGGTATAGGCCTCGCTTTGATTGGAGGTAGTACATGTCCTGGCTTCTTGGAATTAACGTATTTTGCGGGAGGTGGTGGGGTCGGAACTTTGAAACAACAGTAAGGAGACATATTCACTGCTACAATATATACTTACGGCCTTTGCGAACTAGGGATCGTCCGGACGATTTGAAAGCGACACCACCTAGAACGACTTCCTTGGGATGATTCGAGACTGGCAGAGAAGAACTTGGGGTAGGACGAGACACAGGGTATGTTGGTCGGATATACTTGGTAGCTTGAGGAAGTTGGTAGTGCGGGTTGACATAGGCGTTGCTCCTTGAATAAGGTGTGGAACTTGGAGCGCTGGGCTGACCAGCCTTGTGATAGCTTATCGATGCTTTAAATCAATTAGCTGCAGATATTGACTTTGATGCAGAAAGTGTATACCGGTTAAACGGGCGATTTCGTTTCTCAATTCGGCTTCTGATGCTGCAGTTGAGGCCATACTTGATGGGGTGGATGGGGGGAATGGGGGAATGGAACTTGGAAACGATTGTCTCTATGGCGCTTATATATACGGACTCTGCCATCCACTCCAAAGCTTTTGGTAAATAGCAACAAACAATGGGACCACAACGCTATTGAATTTCGCGCCTGCGATCCTTCTCAGAAACTACATTCTACGAAGCCGTTTGTCGTCGGTGCTCCCGTGTGCGTTAGGCAAGCTATTGAAGACTCAGCGGAAAGCTCAACTTTCTATGTCAGACCACCACTTACCGCAGAAACGACCGCTCTGGTCATAGATAACGCGGTCTGCACCCGGGCTACCGCCACTGTAGACCGATCCCCGGAAGACTGGGAACTCGAAGAAAGTCGGCGTGCAGCTGAACGAAAAGTCCTGCATAGCCGCTATCAGTCGAAGGACGACTGATGCCAACTACTTGGACCAACCTCGAAGTTGTTGTATACGTGCGGGTAATTACTATAACTTGCGTTCAGCAGATTTCGCCAGGTTAATGGATCAATAATTTACCCAGATCCCCCAGCCCTAGCGCCGCGGATAGCGTTCGTTACATCCGTTGTAGTGAAACTCCTTCCTGCATGACAGAGCCGTGGCTCAACGCCGCGCTTGCACAATAGTGATGTGTGTCCCACTCACCAGCACAGTTGCACGAACGCACCCCCGTCTGGCGCTCGACAATTGCTGCCTGTACGCTAAACAAGGCACCGAGGGCGAAGAAAATAGTCAAGAACGCGAACTGCATGTTGCGGCTTGCTACTTTGTTCCCTCCATGCCTCGCTTTTATACGCGCTGCGGCAGCGAACCGCGCATTCTTCTTGTCAAGGCCTTTTCTAGCCTCTTCAGCTAATTTGACAATGCTCACATGGTGCCCCCCTCATCCGCACGCTGCTCGACCTTCCTCTCCTTCCCCAGTCGTTCCTTTTGGCTCACGATTTACCTGTTGTGTCTGCCGGCCAAGGCCAACATTCGAACGTGGCGTTATATCGTTCAACGTTTTCGGAAGTTACGATGGGACTCACATGGATCGGCCTTACAAGGAATTGATGAACGGACACTAGAAGTGCAGAAGTGGATACCTCCAGCTGACTTTTCTTATCTACTTCTGCGCGCATGCAAAGTCCTTCCCCGGAATCCAAACGCCGGCGTTTCTCAGTGCACCCCATTCGCTCGTCGTATGTTCTTGTCATTGTATTCCACATGCTCATTTTCGATAGATAGTGAACGTTTCTTAGGTTTGCGCGCATGTTAGGATTCGGAGCGAACGCAATTTGAATTCATCTATGGATGTGAATATGCAAGCATATAAATACAATCTATGGGCTATAGCACAGTGTGGGGATGTTCGTGTATGTGGATGCGGTGGTTGTGTACAATGTGCGTGCAATGTGCGATACGAGAGGAACGTGGATGGAGAACATATGACGAGATAAAAACATAGCTGAATGAATAGGAATATACAGTTCCACGTTGAAATGAACCCGAGAAAATGAAAACTGACCGGCCATGCGAACGAGGGGAACTACATGTCGTTTCTCCTCTTGCTGAGCACCCTCTTCGGTATTTTCTGGCCCGCTTTCGGTTCTACCTCCTTCACTTGGACTTTCCCCTTCAGCATCCGCTCCCTCTCCCTGATCTGCTTCTCCCTCTCTTTCCTCTCTTTAGCCTCGTTCTTTTCTCTCTCCTTGGCCATCCTCTCCCGCTCTTTAGCCTCAGCCTTCTCCCTTTCCTTCTCCAATTTGTCCCTCTTTGCCTTTTCCTTAGCGCTCAACTCATTCCCACCATCCGCTGGCTGATACGTCTCCGGCCTTGGTATTGACTCGCTACTTCCGACCTTACTACGCTTCCTCAGCACCTTCCTATCCGTTGTCATCGGTATCTCTTGCGCACGAGGCGACAGACTCCGTGAAGGAGGAACACCGCGAGGATTGTAGCCTTCAGGCTGGAATGGCGGCTGACGGCCACGCTGCTGGTTTGGCATCGGTGGCATAGGTTGCGCGTTCTGGAAGTAAACCTGCTGGCGATACTGCTCAGGGACGACTGGTGGACCAGCTTGATCGAGAGGGGTGGGCCCTGGTCGCGGGGCATATTCACGAGGATAGACGTTCTCATCCAACGATTGGGGGATCTGACGTTCACCGCTGGACCGAGGAGGGGATCCATTATCTAATTCTTGAGAAAGGTATCCATGCGGGGGTGACATCGGCGCAGCGTGTTGAGGACCAGGATAGTGAGGCATGAGCGGGGGATATCTTGGTTGTTGCTGATATCTTTGAGGCGGCGCATTCGGATATGACGGCTGGTACGAGTTTCCTGTAAAGCCACCTTGATTCGACTGTTGCTGCAATGGAGCGGGCATCACAAGCTTCTTGGGTAGATGAGATACTCTGGGCGGGGGACCTCTGTTTCCACGGGAGATACCTGTTCGAACGCTGGATGCTGAGCTCGACGGAACACCTGGAATACCACGGGGCGCCACGAACTCGGCAGGAGGTGGCGGGGAGTCTGGGGGACGCGGGCCCCCATTGACCTCCATGGGTGGCATATTCGGAGGGGTTATTGGTTGCGTCGTCGGCTGGTTTGCGGCGAGACCTTCACGGGAGTGTCCATTGCGGGAGTTTTCAGGTTCTTGATCGTCAAGGCTGCTTCGTCCGCTACTAGGAGTACTGCTTCCTTTAACCGTGACCTGTTGACTAGCCACACTTTCTGCGGATACAGCGCCATTGGCGCTACCCTTAAGGCCCAGTTCGGGGGCCGAATTATTGAGCACTTGGGAGGCCCTGCGTTGCTGACTGGAATCGACAGGCAATGGAAGAGTATTCGAGGAATTCGATGGGGCATGTTTGACATCGAGGCCCCGGAGGTACGGGGTTGAAGGTGCTTCGTAGCTGGGAGGCAACTGTTGTGGCGGAGGCGGAGGTGAGTTACGCAGTGGAATAGATCTGACGGCCGGTGTTGCGGTCTGCTGAGGGTTTTGTGGCGCTGATTCCATTCGCTCTTGAGGAACAGGCATTGATAACGACGGTGAAGGTGCGTCATCAAGGGCGCGTGGACGAGCGGTAGGCGAATAGGAAGCGTACGGGTCGAATTCGACACGGTCCCCGGGGTGTGACGGTGGCTGAAGGAATGACGCTGTTGGCTGCGAGGGAGCGGGCTGAGCTTGGCGCGGAGGGGAGGGTTTGCGAAGAGGTGTGGTTTGTGGGGGCTGTGGAGGTTGCTGAAGTGGAAGGCGCGATTGAGAAGGGTACGGCGATGGCTGCGGTTGTTGCTGCGAGACCCGACCTTGATTGAAACCCTGTGCATTGCCAGAGGATACGGCAGCGTCGCCATCGGGAAACGGGCGGAGGAACGCATTATGATAAGAAGGGCCTGAATTCTGACCATGCCCCGGATCGGAGGCCGCACCGTGGACGTTTCGATCAAGATTAGCAGGAGGACGCTGGGAACCCAAGTAACTTGAGTTGGGAGCAGGGTACGGATTGGCACCATATGCATAGTCCCTTGGGATGACTTGGCCGGGTTTGATGTTAAGCGACATAGGCGTGGATTGAGGAATTGACATGGATGCCGAGACTTGGTGAGATCCATTGCGATGACCAACCTATGACCAAAAATATCAAACAATGCCCCGACATGACGACGGTGTGAGATAAGGACAGACCATATGTAGAACATTGGGCCCACCGTTCAGATCGGGCTGGGAATGTCATTAACCACAAGGTCTGCGCGCATCGACGAGGAAGAGCTTACATGTTTCTGCTTGCTCGTAATGAGTCGAGATATCGCTTCGTACGGACCACCGTGATGTAGATGAGAGCCAAATGGATTGGTTTCGTCGAGTTCATCAATCCGATCGAGGCTACGGACTTGAACCGGTTTGGGAGGCGGCATATCTGATGGTGCGCTGGCTGAACGTGGAAGGGGGACAGGTTGAACATCTGCTTTATGCAGCTCGGGCATTGTCGTAGACCTTGTTTGCCCCGGACGCGGTACTTCAGGAGCGGGAGGTTGTTCTACCTCAGCTACGGGTGATTTGGCCTTGGTGGGTGAAGGTGGTTTATGTGCCTTAGCGAGTTTCGATGGCATCGGTGGTGGGGGTGGGGGTGCAGCTGGTTTACGTCGAAAGAAAGAGAACGTCCGCTTCCTCTTCTCTTCTTTCTGCTGTGCTACTGCCGTGTCCGACGTGCTCGGTAGTATATGTGAGTTGGCGGACGAGGGAGGCGTTGTAGAAGGACTGGAGTCACTGGATGAAGAAGACTCGAATGGGGACATACTATGTGGTGGTAATGTGGTCGGAATAGAGTTCGAGGGCTCAGTAGCCTTGAACGGGAAAGTTACATTTGGCTCACGCAGCTGACCGTCACTGCGGAGCGTCTGATGCGGCCGCATATGGCGTATTGCAAAGACCGGGCCGTCAGCTTGAGGTGTGTTCGGTGGCTGGAGAGGGAGACGAGGCGCGTCATTGTCGTAATCCGAGCCTGGAAGGTACGTCGAGACTGTGATTGGTGGCAAGGGTGGTCGGCGCGCCGGGATCGTCGCCTGTAGATCTTGCTTCAACATTGGGTGGCCGGGTGGCACCGACAAAGGGTCAAAATTCGGTATCGTCGTCGCCGAAGCATTGCGCATCGCCCATGTTAATGGAGGAGAGGGTGCAGGAGAGTGCAGCGGATGCAGAGTTGGATCCTGAGAGAATGCGGGATCGTCCAGGAAGCTCTGGGCAATTGGAGGGGGTTTCGGGTACATGGAGGAGGAGGGGAGGTTGTGGTGGGAAGAGGAGAAGAGGCGAGCGAAGAGGGAGGAGCGTTGGCCTTGCGGCTTTTGAATTTGAACGTTGTGGCCGTTCATGTCGAGAGAGACAAGGCGGCGATCACTTCAACTTCCATGCACAATAATTCGTTATCGTATCTTATCTCAGCGCCTATATATATACAGATTCAATGATATCCTCCTCAGAACGCAGGAGCGAAACAGAACAGCTTGTGCTCCTTCCACGCCTCCGTCTGACAGTCGCGGCCGCAATACCTGGCGCCCTTGCACCTCGAGCAAGTCAACGTCGCGTCTTCTCCACATTCCAGATTGCCACAGCCATCCAGTTGTCCAAGTAGATGTTGACGCGTCGATGTCACGTATAGACTGTCCGGCAATTCTTCGATAGCACTGAGCATCCCATTGCAGCGCGCGACTTCCATGCGTTGGAATTCATCGATGTTTTCGAACCCCCTCGTTTCTTGTAATGCCTTTGTCTTCTTAAACAGCCCCTCCCTCACGACCGTGTCTATACATGCCTTTCCATCGTCCCCCAGGCTCGGATCACACCATATGAGCATGTTCATGAGCAACGTGCATATGTGACCTGGTCCACTAGGCTTTCTCCATGGGACGCCATCAAGGAACGCACGTCCGATTTGATTCCCAAGCCCCTGTACAAGATCCTTGTCTTGCAAGTATTTCCGGAGGAATGGGTTCAACTTGGGTTCGGGGAGGATGGTGAAGATTTGCACATATGTCGCGAAGAGCTTGGGCTGGTACTGCAGGCTGGTGTGCCGTAGCCTGGCACCCAGCAAATGAAGAGAATTCGCGGCGAACGCCATGTACTCAGCGCGAATGATGAAATCGGGGAGGATGAGTTGAGCGTGGATCTGTGGATACTCGGATCTCAGCATATATTCCGATGAAAGCTGGTAGCCTCACCTGCGTCTGGATCTCCTTATCGTCTTCTGCGCTCAGATCCCTGACTGCTGCTACAGCGTCGTAAAGCCTTGCCTTTTCTGCGAGCATCTGGGCGATACCCACCGCGTCTTTGGTGAGTCCTTCGATAGAGTAGTTTTTACCCTTGATATTTATGGTGCCTGACATCCTGGCGCGAGGTGTTTGAGAGGTCTGCACGCTGTGGAAGTTGAAACAGACTCTAAAATGCAGTGGCTCAAGCTCTTTGAGGATATTTCTACACCGCGGCTAATCTAATCTAATCTATGCAATTCTATGTAGCCGATCGTGCTGAATTTGGATCATCATTTACTCCGACCAACTCGTTGTCCTCGACGGTCAACTTCACCACTCATGGCTTCCCTTCTCCGAGCATACAAGTAAAGGCTTCAATCTATCTCATGGAATTTGAAACTAAACGCGATCGTTGTAGCTCTGCGTTGATTCGCAGGCCCATGTTGGCCCAATGTCTCACTGGAGGCATCCTATTTGGCGCGGGGGACTTCATCGCCCAGCAAGCCGTGGAACGACGCGGGCTATCAGACCACGATGTGAGGAATCGGCACAGGCTTCACTCTTTGGGATGGTAATATTGAACAGGCCCGACTTTACTTTACCTCACCGTCAACCTGAACTCCACGCGCTGGTGCAATCGTCGTTTATTATGGATGATGGGAAACTGCGGTATAGCTCAGTCGGACGGCGAGACTGACGTTCTATGGCGGTGTGTACATTTGCTGAAGTGAACACGTATGCAAGCGCTGATGCTTGTCAAAAGGCTGCCTTTTCGGACCCACACTCACAAAATGGTACCAATTCCTCGGTCGCATACAATTCGCGAGTCCCACGAAAGCCGTCATATACAGAGTGCGTGCTTAAATATCGAAACGTTCGCGAACCAGACTCCATGAAATTTATCCTCGATTCTAGGTATGGCTTGATCAGGCGCTGCTTACGCCCGGTGAGTTTAACCCTCCTCTTCGTGAATGGTCGACTGACGAAATGGCGCACTAGCTTCGATCCCATTCTTCTTTGGTGCCATGTCGATTCTTGAAGGGAAGCCACACGACGCTATTCCCCGAATCACATCTGTACGCCCCTCTCATGCGTGTACGTGTCCTAATTAACCATGTTTAACGCAGGCCTATGTTCCGACCCTCCTACGAAATTGGTGTGCCCATGTTCAATGCTACTAAAAGTTCCATTATGGCTAACTAAGATGTGAACTAGGTGTGTGTTCCTCCCAACCCAGATAATCAACTTCTGGCTTGTACCGCCGCATCTCCGATTTGTCGTTGTCTCCGTTGTTGGCCTATTTTGGAGTGAGTCCTATACACCGTGATGCCGGTCGCACACTTACTTGATCTACAAACGCAGATACATACCTAAGTATCGCAAACAGAGAGCACTCTCGCCAACATGTTGAGGCCAATCCCACCGTTCTTCCTGTTGTAGATGAAAAGGACGCAGTCCCTTAGTAGAGCCTAGCTGGCGTAGCTCATTTTGGTTATATAGGTTTCGTTGTAGAGGGACAGAGATGCCGACCACAGCTCACACTTATGCATACCCCAAATCGTCACTCGCACCGACATCGTGCGCTAGCAATAGCATCAAGTCAAGTGGTAATAACATTGTGCTGAAGAAGCCAGAAACTACAAGAAAACATGATTGCACCAGTAATAAACATAAGTAACTAAGCAGGTCGTCAGTAACTCATACGGAACATGAATTGGAAGCTGTACTGTTTAGTATCAGGATCCCAATGCGACCAATTCCAATAGCCAGCGTCGTCAGCCTCATCTTCAATCTCGCGCGCGGGAATACGGAAAGCTATAGTCTCATATGGTTCCGCTGCAACCTATATACTCTCCATTTAGCAAGGGACCCTCTGGACACAGAAAAAACTCACGATAAGGTACTGGTATGCTTTGTTGGGCGGCTCGCGTTTTTGCTCCCATGCACTCATAAAGCGTCTTCTAGGGACGACTCCAGGCTTGATTTGCGGCAGATGGACTTGCACCATCATACCCTCCTTCCCCGTGTCGTTATCTCTGACCTTGGTGACTCGGTACCCCGGCCGTCCAATCTTCAAGAAAACTTTTCTTTGGATGTTGCTCTGCGTCGGAGCGATCATCAACTGCGTGTCCTTGGCATCGCGGGCGGCGCGACGCGCGAGGTTGGTTTGGTGCTTTTTGCCTTGCGTGTGAGCGAGGTAGGAGCCTTCGTTGGTGTGGAGAGTCAGGCAAAGACGACATTCGAGAGAACCGAGATGGTTGCGTAGAATATATGGGTCCTAATTGAAAGAGTGAATGTAAAAATGGCTGAACCATAAGGTGAGGGGACAAGTACCTTCGCGAGATCAATAGTTTCCAAGGCAAGCTTCCTCAACCGTTCACGCCTATCGACATTCGTTTCCGAGGCACCTGCGACACCACCTCCACCGAACTTGGAACCGACACGATTCTAAGAAACAACACCGGTTACGAAGAAAATAAGGCAAAGAATTATGCGAAGCATACCTGATAATCTGCATCCAATGTTAGCAGTCAACTAGGAAGTTACTAGCACAAGCACTCACCCATTATTCCGACTTCAGTGCAAGCTTGACGGTCAACGGAAAGGACGAAGCTGCTCACGTAATCCACCTCTAAGACGAATCAAGATCTATCTCACGTGCGCCAAAGCCCGATCATTGCAAAAATTCTGGCAGGAGTTGAAGTCCATTAACGCGACCGTTCTGATCATCCTCTCCGCTCGCCAACGGCCCACGGTTTATTGATGGCGGCCAAGAAACGATCCAATGACACCTCCAACGATGACAGGAAATCCAAAAAGCCCAAGACGGAGAAGCCTACCACAAAAGCAGCACCGCCTGCAGCATCTACTCTGATTTCTGAGGAGGTCGACTTTCCTCGCGGAGGAGGGACATCATTATCGGCTCTAGAGGTCAAGACGCTGCGAGCAGAAGCGGTTAAGGAGGCTGATGAAGCACTCTTTGAGGTGCGCGAAACACCCGCTGCAATCCATGAAGTAGTTCATTACTTGATCGCTGTATAGGAAAATGCTGCCGCTAAAAAATCCAAGAAGCGGAAATCCACTACAAAAGGTGCTTCTGCATCGGGGCACACTGAGAAGGGGGACAGAATACGGATAGAGCACTTGAACTATAAGGTGCGCAGACCAGTATGCTCCCTTGCAACCCGTATGCTGAATCATGTCTATAGCGAATCAATATTGGGATGAAGATTCTTGGACAAATTGTATCAATACAACCGCTTGCTCTCATTGTATCACTACCGAACCAACTCTTCGCGCACGTTCCGATCACCCATATTTCATCACAATTGACCAGTCTCCTAGAAGGGCATACCGAGTCGGATGAGGAACCAGAGGACGATGAGGACGAGGAGAATGGATCACCTTCATTTCGGGTACCAGATCTTGCAGACATATTCACAGTAGGAGAGTATGTCCGAGCAGTGGTAACTGCAGTGCATGCTTCCGGCGTCGGAGACGTCTCGGTTATTGGGAAGAGTAGAGATGATGTGGTTAGGACAAGCCGACGGGTAGAGTTGACTCTGGTTCCGGAACGCGTCAATCAAGGCGTTCAGAAAGGTGACCTCAAGCCAGGCTTCGTGTGTATAGGTCCAATTACTTGCTGCGGCTATGGGACTTAACATCTATTGTTCAGACGATAACTGCTTCAGTGCAAAGCATTGAAGACCATGGTTATGTTCTTGATCTAGGTGTTCCTGACGTCCCCGGCTTTTTGTCATTCAAAGACGTTAAGAAGCACCATCCGAATGACACAACTCGGTTTCATATCGGACGCCTGCTCAATGTATCTGTTTCCGAGGACGCTGCGAAGGGACGAACTTGCAAAGTTACGTTAGATCCTCGAATATACACCACTACACTGGTTCGTTCTCCGCAAAACATCTACACCGTTACGTTCTGCTAACCCCCCCATAGCTCACTGAAGTCTCTAACGTTACTTCTGTCCTACCTGGGACACTCGTACAAGCACTTGTGACCGCCGTACATCCCAGTGGCCTTAACCTTCAATTACTAGGTTTCTTCGACGGCACTGCCGAGCAACTTCATCTTGAACCCAATCATACATACAAAATCGGGAAACGACTCAAAGCGAGAGTATTATACGACTACTCAACTACACCACCCCGCTTCGCCCTTTCGCTGAATCCTCATGTTGTCTCTCTCAAGCCGAGGCAAATAAAACGTGAGGAAGGCAGTGAGCTATCTACAGTGCAAGACGCCTATCCGGTGGGGACAATACTGGAATCGGTTAAAGTCACGCGAGTCGAGAACGAGCGGGGACTGTTTGTAGAAATTCAACCCGGTCTTGAGGGCTTTGTACATGTATGTGACGCCCACTGATTCACTCTATTTTCTCATAAATCTATTGCAGATCTCGCATGTATCAGACGACCACGTCACATCCCTCCCACCTTCCTCAGGACCCTTCAAAGTCGGCTCTATACATCCAGCTCGCGTGACAGGATACTTCGCTTTCGACGGCGTCCTCCAACTGAGCCTGAAGCCTTCCATCATCGCCCAGAGATTCTTCCATGTCGCAGAAGTCGAGGTCGGCGAAGTCATCAAGGGCACTATCAAGAAACTCACCGACAATGGTCTCTTCGTCTCGCTCTCAGGGAAGTTCGACGGTGTAGTGTGGCCCAACCATTATGCAGATATCACGTTGAAGCACCCCGCAAAGAGGTTCAAACCGGGCGCAAGCATCAAATGTCGAGTGAGTGTTGTACTCATCTCCTCCATCCGATCAACTGACGAAGTCTTAGATTCTCCACGTTGATCCAGAACGGAATCGTATCTCGTTGACTGCCAAAAAGACGCTGGTTGATTCTACCCTGCCTATCATATCAAAACCTGAAGACGCTCAAGCCGGTGTCGTGGTACATGCAGTCGTTTTCAAGGTTTCTGAAAAGCAGCTGTTGGTGGAGTTTTACAACAATCTCAAGGCTGTTATCCCTCTTAGAGAAGTCAGGTATGTGTATGTGATAGCAACGACACTTACTATAACGACATTAACGTAATTCTCCAGTGAGAGCAAGCTCCCTTCTCTAGCGGATGCGTACCCTATAGGCAAGGTCGTGAAAGTTCGGATACTATCTACCGATCTTGAAACGTCTCGCATCGTGGCCAGCATCCGTCAGGCGGCCTCTACCTCAGAATTCACCACGGTCAACATCGACGCAGTGGAGATCGGAGACACAGTAGAGGGCATCATCTCAGATATTCACAAAGACAACGCTGTCCTCATCTTGCAGCCGACGAAGGTCAAGGCCCTCCTCTCACTAAAAAACCTTGCCAACCATCGCGGTGTCTCTGTCGCTGAGGTTCAAACTGCTGCGAAACGAGGAGAGAAGCTTGAGGAACTAGTGGTGGTCACGAGAAGTCCAGAGAAGGGTCTTGTCATTGTGGCGAATAAGCCGAAGTCGAAGATCACCTTGGGTAAAAGCAAAGTCTCTCTAGACACCGTGACTATCGGCCAAATTGTCACAGGTCGAGTAACACGGCACACTCGCAACGGTGCCTTGTTCAAATTCGGCTCACATCTTGGAGGTATCTTACATCCCACGGACACTTGCGACGACTACGACGCCAGCGTACCGATCCCAGACGTCAACACCGTCGTCAAAGCCGCAGTTGTTGAGATTGCCACGGACAAGAAACAAGTAGCATTGTCGACCCGGGCTTCAAGACTCGACCCTGACGGCCACCCTCTCATAAAGGATCGTGAAGTCATAAATGCGTCTGACTTGAAACATGGGGACTCGGTGCGAGGTTTCGTTAAGAGCATCACTCCACACGGTCTGTTCGTCAGCATTGGTAGGCACGTCGATGCTCGAGTGCAGATCAAGGAATTGTTTGACGAGGTGAGTTCTTTATGCGCCTCGTTAAGTCAGGCAATAACTGTTTCCAGTTCGTGAAGGATTGGCAACCTCGCTTCAAGCTGAATCAAGTGGTGAAAGGGCGAATCCTGAGGCTTGTGCTTCTCCTGTTCCTCCGTAACGCGATGCTTATGGTTTGGTTGCAGCGTCAATGCCGAAGACAAGCGTGTGGAGATGACCTTCCGGTCTGGAGACTTGAGCAAGGCTAGATCTGCTCTCACTCTAGCGGACTTCAATGTTGGCCAGAAAGTTGAGGGGACAGTGAAGAAGATCGAGGATTACGGCCTTTTCATCCAAATACAAGACTCTAAACTATCTGGCCTTTGCCATAAAACTCAGGTTCGCTCTCTTCTTAGTGCTAGCGCTCCCATCTTTCTCACCGCAGTTTAGCTTTCAGACAACAAAGATGCTGATGTGACAGTGGCCCTTCGAGGATTCCGCGAAGGGGACCGAGTGAAGGCTCTCGTCTTAGACACCTCGAAAGGTCGTATATCTTTGGGCATAAAACCCTCTTACTTTGCGGATGACGAAGTCATAAACAGCGACCATGATGAGCCAGACGCCGTAGAGCCAAACGAGACATTTGATGGTGCCGATGAGCAGGGTGACTCTGATGCAATGGCCCTGGATGCGAAAGAGGCAGACGATCACAACCCAGATGCTGAGGATGACGACGAAGCGCCTTCAGACGATGACAATGACAACATGCAAATCGATTCTCACGATCTAGTCCAGCCTTCCACCTCGCAGCAACAACCCTCCCCCTCTACGTTACCTGTTCCTACTCTACAATTGCAAGGAGGTTTCCAATGGTCGGCTGGCGATTTCGACGCCAACGATGGGAGCGATGACGATTCATCGTCCGACGAAGACCAGGCCGAGGATCAAACAAAAAAGCGGAAACGGCAAAAAAAGCAGATAGAACATGATCTAACGGCAGATATGCACACGAAGACTCCCGAGTCGAATGCTGATTTCGAGCGTGTCTTACTTGGCTCCCCTAATTCCTCGTTCCTGTGGATACAGTACATGTCCTTCCAGCTGCAACTATCCGAGACAGACAAAGCCAGAGAAATTGCCAAACGTGCTCTAGCAACAATCAACTTCCGCGAAGAGCAGGAGAAATTGAACGTATGGATAGCGCTGCTCAATTTGGAGAACGTCTACGGCACAGATACTTCTTTGGAGGCTACGTTCAAGGATGCCGCCAGACACAACGACTCGAAGACTATACATCTTCGTCTGGCCGCCATATTAGACCAGTCAGACAAAGTCCAAGTAAGGGGTCTAATTTCTCCGATAGCCTATCTAATGCTTACATTTTTCTTCTTCAGAGGGCTGAAGAACAATACAAGCGCACAAGCAAGAAGTTTGGTCACAGCTCAAAGGTGTGGACTCTGTTCGGAGAATTCTATCTCCGCCGAGGGGAAGCCGAGTCCGCGAGAAATCTACTTCCTCGTAGCTTGCAAAGCTTGGAAAAGCGAAAACGTATGTCTTTCGTTGTCAGTTTGCTCAAATATTGACAATCCGATAGACATCAAGACGATATCGCGCTTCGCTCAACTGGAATACAAACTTGGGGATGCTGAGCGTGGCAAAACCATCTTTGAGGGGATAGTAGATTCACATCCCAAGCGATGGGATATGTGGTCAATATACATCGACATGGAGGCTGGGCAACAAGATATGCAAAGCGTCAGAAACATCTTCGAGCGTGTTTTGGCAATCAAGATGACCAGCCACAAAGCCAAGTAAGCACCAGGCTTCTGATGATGATAGTTTCTTACTCAAGTCCGACAGATCGTTCTTCAAAAAATGGTTGGAACTCGAGCGGAGAATTGGCGACGAAGAGGGTGCTGACCATGTCAAAGCAAAAGCGATCGCATGGACTCAACAAGCTGCTGGCTCATAGTTATAGCTATCTAACACAATGTTCTGACTTCACCTCACAATTATCAAGATGCAGATAAATCGAATAATATTATGGATGAGGATGATCGATAATAATCGGCAGTGGCACAACTGCCCATAAGCAAATAGATATATATACGATGACAATATCAGCAATTGAAAGGAGAGCGGGATGAGCACCAACAGAGATAGAAATCCAAACGAGCGTGATGAGCAACAAATGCGAAAGGGTATATATACAAAAGCATTAAGCAAGGATACAAAATAGAGATCATGACCGTGGTGATCGAGTTCGTTCAAATCCAGAAGACATATGGTCAGAGTCATTGAAGTCGCTTAGTGGTCGGCGATTGCTCATTGAGCTCGCCAGTTGCCGTTGCCAATCGTCCAATTCGCTGGAAAGATGCTCGAAAGCGAGAGCATTCTCGGAACTTGAGGTGCTTGCGCGACGTCCAGACATTGGTCTGCCTTGGCCAAAAGTGGGTTGATCAACTTCAAGCAGTAGTCCAATCTTGTGGGACAGTTGCTCGTTCTCTCGCCGCAAGGTTATGTTGTCGTTGCTCAATTTCTCCAGTGTCGTCTCTTCGCTGCCGCCTCGAGCAACTAGCAGGGAGTTCTGTAAGCGTTCGACTTCATGCTGCAGCTCTTCGATCTGGCTCAGTCGATCGTCTGATTCTCGTTGTGATACGACGAGGCTGTCACGGAGAGTTTCAAGGTCCCTCTCTAGAATATCTAAGCGATTTCGCAACTCTTTGTTCTCAGTGTGAAGCCTTTGCACTTGTCGTTGCGAGTCGATGAGTTGACTTCGAATGATTTCTGAGCCTTCGTCTGAAGACGGGGTTGTACGTCCGTTGAGGCCCCGCACCCTGGCAGCAGAGTCGGGAGTCTTGACACCACGGGCAGCGTCAAGATCAGCCTGTAGCTCGGCATTGGTTTTCTTCTGCTTTGTGACTTCGTCCCGCATTCTCCGCATCATCTTTTCAGTTCCCCTTGAAGGCAATTTGTTAGGGAACAAGAAATCACGAAACATAAAAAGACATACTTGACATAGCGGACAGCGAGCTGATAGTCCTCTTCCATTTGCAACATTCTGACTTTGTAGCCACGCTCCGTCTCCTCCAATTTACGCTCCAAGTCAGCAGCCCGCGCTTCTGCTTCGTTGGTTCGTGAAGGAGAGTGGCTATTGGCTCTGAGGTGGTCAAGCTCCGATATAAGGCTGTTGATCTGGTCCTCCGCATCTCTCTTTTGATGTGAAATCTGAGCGACTTCGCGTTGAGCATCTTCATGGTGGCGCGTGAGTTCTGCAAGTTGTTGTTCGAGGTCTGCGATAGTCTCCGGAGCAGAGTTGCCATTGAACTGTGGACGCATATCGTCGTCGAGCAAAATGCCATTCTCCGAGAGGTATCCCCGCAGCATATTGAGACGCAGAAGGGCATCCGATGCAGCTTTCGACTGTTCCATCGACTCACGCTCTTTGTCGGAGAGATCGCGACCAAGGGAAGCGCTGGTGTGCATGGCATTGGACAGCTGAGAGCGAAGGCCGTTAATTTGTGACCGAAGTTGTAAGCGCTCGATCTCGTTCTCGCGATTCTGCCGCCGTTCTGCCGCGAGTTGCGTTTGAATATCCTCGACGCGAGCCGTGGTTTCCTTGAGCATCTGGCGTAGAGAGGAGGTCTCCGTCTCCATTGCTTGGACTTTCTCCATATGCCCACGGACTAGGCGATCCTCGTCGGATTTTAAGTCGCGATGTGAGTCAAGTATTTCTCCCAGACTACCGGTCGTCAGCGCCCGATAAGCATCTGCCTCTTCTCGCGACTTGGCCCACGAGTTCTCCACCTCAGTCAGTTGCGCCCGCATCGACTCTACCTCCGTCGTGCGCGACTCGAGCTCCCCACGAAGTTCGGCGAGGTCGGCCTCTAGTGTGTTTATATGTTCACGAGAGTGCTGTTGTTGCGCATCTGCCTCGCTATTGCGCGCAGAGGCAGCTTGCACCGCCGATCGTGCTTGCTCCAGAGCGCGAACATGCTGATCACGAGACAGCTTCAGTTCCTCGATCTGCGCGAGCAAGTTCGACTCATCGGCCGCCTTCTGCTCGTACAGCGAAGTCTGAGACAAAAGTTTCTCAGTGTGATCGCGCAGCTGAGCATCGAGGCGATCGTTCAGTTCCTGCAGGCTACCCGTCTGCTCGACCAACCGCATGTGCGCTTCATTGAGCTTCTCCGCACGCTTGGTAGCATCAGAAGCCCGGGCCTCCGCGTGTTCGCACAGCGTCGTCTGCAGCGCCAGCGAATCGTTCAGCTCGTTCAGCTTCCTGTCCTGGTTCCAGCGTTCCTCCACAAGCACCGATACCCGCTGCTCCAGGTCTGCCACGCGCTCCCTCTCAGCCTGCGCGAACTCCACTTCGTTCGACGACTCCAACGCCGCCAGCTTCGTCCGATAGTACGCCGCTTCTTCCGTCGCACCAGCTCTCTTACGCTCAGCCTCAGCCAGGCGATCTGATGCTTGCTTCGCTTGCTCCACAAGTACGGTCTGCACCAACACCCATCAATGAAAAGCAAACGCAAGCTCAAAGCACGACCACCCACCTGTATATGTGCCTTGAACTGCTTAAACTGCAGCACCATCTCCGCCCGCTTCGCGTCGGCCGAGTCGTCCGGGTTTCCATTCGCCACCTCAGAAGGCGAAGCATCACTGACTTCATATATAAACCCAGACCGTGACGCCTGCTGCAACGCCTCCTTCATCCACGCCATTTTCTTCCTTGCAGCGTCCAGCTCCTCTCTAGTCTTCACATCCCGCATGGTGTCCACTGGCGCACTACCAACTCCAACCGTGCTATTGGCAGTACCAGGTCGATTGAAAGCGTTGGCTGTGGGCGAACCGTTAGGCGGCTGATAGAACGCATCTGGCGGCGGCTTGCTGCGATCGACAGTCAAAGGCGACGCGCTCCGTGCTGCTATACCCATCGACACCCCAGTGATATTTGGCACATTCCCATTGCCGTAATCCTGGCTCCCATTCGCCGGTGAAACTGCCCTACTAGCAACCGTAGGCGGGCTCTTAGCTCGAGTATGGCTAGATTGGGAAAGCTGCTCCGGTGACATGGCTCGTTCCCGGATGTATGATTCTGTGGTGGCGGATTCAAACCCATCGTCCGTCCCATTCGCATCATCTTCCTCTCGTCTGGGTCGCATGGGGCCCTTACCTTTGCCATTCACTGGGAAAGGTGGCTGCGCCACACCATTGACAGGCTTAGTAGTAGGTCGCCCATTGGCTGGCGACATGCCCCGTCGCACTTCCTCCTCCATGGGTCCATTTGGCGACACCGATCGCGCACCATTAGCCATCTGCCCCCCATTAGGCTGCGCCTGCGTAATACTACTCTTTCGTGGAGCTTGTGTGTTAGGTTGCGCGCCGGTCGGCGGCGGTTTGTTAGAATCAGGGTACTTGATATGTTCTGTAAGAGATAAGGATGAATGATCGCGGCTTGATAGACGGATTGAGCACGTACTTGTGTCCAGGACATGGATGACACTGGCGTCGTCAGACCTTGCTGGAGTAAATGATTCACCACCCAAGACAAGTACCCTAGTCCCCATTGAAGCCATAGCATGTCCGGATCGGCCGCTAGGTGATGGCCCCATGTTCTGGAACATATACCACCTTTGGTCTGGAGAAAGAGCGGTATTCAAGACATATATAGCTCATGAATGATGCTGGACGTACTGGTTATCTTGAACGCTGCAAGGTCTCCGAGATCCTTTCCATCGACCCCCCGTCCACCAAAGACGTACATCACATCATCCACCAACGCTGCCGCGTGGCCCTCCCGCGGCGACGGAATAAACCCAATACACTGCAGCTCGCTCCAGGTCCGCGTATTCATGTCAAACGCCCATGTGTCATTGTAGTGATACTGCCCATCAGTGCCACCGAATCTAGCAACACGCATCATCATCAATAACCAATAATCAGATTGAACACATAGAGCGTTAGAACCCTCTAAATAGAATAGAATACCCACATCAAAATTCGATCACCATGGGTAACACAGACATGCCCGGTTCTGGGAGCTGGTCTGTCCGCAGTGACGGGATCGAAGAGCTCCCAGGTTGCCTTCGTCCGCACTGAATTATGCAATGGATCAGAGATGTGGAACGGGGATTGACATAACGTGAGGATATTCACATGAGTTTAGATCGAATGCCCAGAGGTCGTTTAAGAAGTCTCTGTCGACTTGACCACCGAATACGAAGAATTTTGAGCCGATCATCGCTACAGCATGACCATAGCGCCCAACGGGGGCAGGTCCGTGCACGGTGACCCGAGTCCATTCTCGAGACACTAGGCCCAATGTATTAGTGTATATATGAAGGAATGGAACATGTACACACCAAGATTGAGAAGATACAGTCCATCGTCCTGCTTGTCTGTAGGTTTTGATTTTGGATCGGCTTTTGTGTCACCGCCCCATACGATGAGCACAGAGCTTACGAGGGCACTAGCGTGGCCCACTCGAGCGGAAGGAAGTTCGCCGCCGGTTTGGAGAAGAGTGGCTGATAGATCACGGGTGGAGAAAAGGTATAGGTCGTTTCGGGGGAGTTCATGGACGAGACCGCCGAAAAGGAAGAGATCGCCTGAGGGTGTCGCTGTGGCTGGGAGAGAGTGGCCGTATCGTGGAAACGGCGAGGGTGAGGGTGAAGTCGGCGGTACTACACCAGGTTTATTGATAACGACCGGCGGAGGAAGTTGTAGTCGTCGGGCAGACCATGGATACGCCGGTCTTGGCGTCGATGACTGGGACGATGGGGGCTGCTGCTGCACCGGTGGTGGGCCGTTTGGTTGTGTCGGCTGAGGTGGGTTATTTGGGCTGTTCCCCCGTATTTGCGCCCGTGGCTGCTGCTGGACACTTGGAGGGACGGCCGTATTGCCGTTGACGCTAGCAGGGGGTCTTTTCGCCATAAACAACACGAGAAGGAAAGACGATGAAGCAGGAGACACTCACCCATCAAGCGGATTTGCGTCCCGTAAACTACCAGATTGATGCTGGGGTGCATTGCCACTATCTTTGCTGGCACTCGCAGAGAGCTGGGCCAAAGCCTGTGTGGGCGTTTGGGCCACAGTGACTTGGGACGGGGCCGTTGGCGTGGCGGCATGGGACTTCTTCCTGGAGAAGAAGGACATTCTGCGAGTCCTCGTACCAAAGAGGGACGGTATGGCGAAAAGAGATATTGGACAAGGTAAAAGGATTAAAGTGGTGAGCCCTGAAACGGAATTTTCGCAGACGAGAGGGAGCGGGGGAGGAGGAAGTACGAGGAGGCCAGCGTTCGGTACGATGAGGAGGGGCCTGCCTTTGTTTGAGAAATTGGGGAGGAGAACGTCGAGGTCAACGTCAAGGTGTGAAGCTTTTCCTGTTGTGCCGACAGGCGTTTGATGCAGAGTACAACTTTGGCCCTGTTTGCACGCGAACTCATTATCCATACGCTTATCCAATAATCCACTACTGCTACAAGCTCTATTCGTTCCATGTAATAATATTCTCCTCGCTCTCACTGCTGTGCTCCCGCTTTTTGTGCGCAAGCAGCCTCTCCTTTGTGGGGAACAACCGCGAGCATCCTGTAAGGTCCCTTTAAAACAATCACACCAGTCTGGCCCAGCCAGAACATCACGCACCACCGTGAGCACATATAAACACGGCCGTTCTGCACACGTTTCAGTTCAACTCCCCCAAGATCTCTGAGCCATATGCACAACTCACTTTGCAGGCGTGGACGCCTCGCCTAGCTTGTAGGTAGCCTGCAACTGCTCTGGCGTGGTTTCAACTGCAGAAATAATGTTCCAGTGTCACCTCAGCAATATGCCTGTCTACTGACCATCTATGAGAGCCGGACGACTTGCGATTATGGAAGGCAGCGACGGCGGTCCCATTTACTGACTAGTTCGCTGCAAAGAGGCGTGACGTCACGGTCACACATGCACTCATCCAATGAGCGGACCACCTTGACCCAACGACTCGAAATCCTCCTCTCCTCCTCGTCCTCCTCCTCGCGCTCGTCCATAGACAACGTAGATGCACCGGAACAGCGCACATCGCAGCCAACAACGACGAAGCAGTCTCCCATGGCGCTCACGCGAGCTCTACCGAGCTTGAGGCTACCATCCAGCATCTCAACAACCATCGTGACCGAAACTACGTTCATGTCGTTTGGGATAGACAGATTCTTCTCAAAGTCGCCGAAAAGGACGATACACGAGGAGCTGCCTCATGAAGACGATGCGCGGATACAGGGGCCATCGCCTAGTGCACCCGTGCTACGCTGGTTGGGCGACTGGCCCGCGCCCAAGAAGAAGAACCGCCACAATCGCTCGCATTCCGACATTCCTGCACCCAGATCATCACCATCTCCCTCCAGCTCGGCGCCCTCTACCCCCGGCACTCCTCCCCCTAACCTCGCGGCACTCCAGGAAGCACTCTCCGAATCCCTGCCCAAGTTTCCCCCAATAGCACGCCTCCCCGAATCATTCAGACCAGCATCTACTATTACACGACCCCCGCCCTTCTTCGATAATCTCACCCGTTCTACATTACCCACCGCGTCGCTCTTTCCCCCTCCGTCAGAGAGTGATCAGAGCGTAGATATTCCACCGCTAGCCAACCCTAATGATTTACCCCCAGTAGTCTTGAATTCGCCGCCCAAAGGCTCTTCTCTTAATTCTCTACGCCGTCTCTCGCTGAGGGAACGCGAACCTAGTGGTCACAGTCAATCTGGCTCACTTTTATCGAAGTCGAGTCCGCCCACACGACCAGCCAGCCCAACAGGATGGTGGTGGTTCCAGCCGCAAAATAAGGGGGATGTCGACGCGTTGTTAGAGGAGGAAGATAGGGCACACACGCTGCAGCAGGAACGGTCACACCTCTCCCGCAAATGTACGTACGCGTCTGACTTCGCGTGCCCTCGCGTCTAACAACATCTCCATTACAGATCGCACCCCGAAGAACCCGCTAGTATTTTGTCACGGTCTCTTGGGCTTCGATTCAGTCAAGCTGGGTCCTGCTATCGCTCCGTTAGAAGTGACGCATTGGCGAGGCATCAAGGAAGTTCTAGAAGCCAATGGCGCCGAGGTACTCATCACTCGTGTGCCTGCGACCAGTAGCCCCATAGAGCGCGCTAAAGTCCTCGAGGAGAAGATATCGCAAACATACCCCGGGCGCAGCGTGCATCTCATAGGTGTGGCATCCCCACATCATTTGTATTGCACTTGTATTCTAACTCATTGCAGGTCACAGCATGGTGAGATCACCTTTCCGCCCGAAGGGGAACGTGTACGCCTAAATGTCTAATGCTAATTGTTTGGTGTAGGGTGGAATCGATTGTCGATATTTAACCTCGCGTCTGAAACACCGCAAATTCGACGTACTCTCCGTCACAACCATCGCCTCCCCACACCGCGGCTCCTCCTTCGCCGACCACTTCCTCTCGACCGTCGGCACGCGCATGCCCTCCGTGCTCTCGCTCCTTGATCTCTTGCCGAATGGGGGCGGCGACGGAAAGGCGTTTGAGTGCCTGACTATTGAGGCGATGCGCAAGTTCAATGAGGAGACGCCGGATGTGCCGGGGGTTAAGTATTTCAGCTGGGGCGCGACGTATAATCCTGGGTTTATTGATACGTGGAAATACCCTCACTCGGTAGTGCTAGAGAAGGAAGGGCCGAATGACGGGCTGGTGTCTATCGAGTCGGCGAAATGGGTTCGTCGACCACCGTTTACTTAATACGCAACACATTACAACGCAATACAGGGAACATATCTAGGCACACTAGAGGACGTGAACCACCTCGATCTCGTGGGCTGGATAAACACCGCACGGTATAAGTGGGCCGAGATAGTGGGCAAAGAGATCAAGTTTCGGCCGGCGACGTTTTATCTTGCTGTGGCGGATATGCTGGCGGGAGAGGTGGAGGGGCAGCCGAAACTGGCCGGGCAGGAGGAGGGGCCGAGTGGAGCAGGAGGGTCGGCCGCCGGGAAGGGGGCGGTGGTGAAGGATACACTTGAACAGGAAGGGAAGCAAGGTATAGAGGAAGGGGCAGGAAAGGATGCTTCTGGCGGACCGTCCTGTTCGGGTATTGAACATTCGGGCGAGAATGCACTTTCGCCTTCAACTAGTCGCAACACGAATGAAGATGAGAGCAATACTCAGGTCGAGTCACGGCGAACGAGCGGCGACCATGACAAGCGCCCGGAAAGGTGATGCCAGAGCGATGCGCTACTTGGTTATGTTTTAGTAGTACGTCGATTAATCTTGGAGGTATCATGTTCAACACGCAACAGCAACGATATCGATATCATATGCATAATACATCAATGGCATAGTATGAAGCTGGATGCGTTCGGTGCGTTTGTGTGTGTCATGCATCCTGTTCCGAAATCAGCCATTGGACAGTTGGATTGGGGTTATAATCATGGTGGGAGAAGATAATCGGATTGGCGGGAGACTTACCGCAGAATGTGCCCGTATTGGTGTACACGACGCGGTCGGCGCCTTGGGTCTTGGATTTATTGGAGTACAGCGAGCCGGCGAGGATGGGGAACTCCCGTAAGTTAGGCTTCACGCAGCCTGCTACCGTGAATGCTAGCCCCTAGAAAGAAAGGAGATGCAGTTCAGGGGGCGCTTTCGTGGATGCAAGTTGTACTGGAACTCACCTCCCCGTTTCCGAAGTAATGAGGGTATGGGTTTTTTACTTTCAGTCTACGGATTCACGTTCAGTTTCTTGCTATAAATGTGATTGAATATCGACTTACCCGACTTGTTGCTTAGCCGCCTCTAATCTCCTCGCTTCGTTAACTGCAGCCGTAGACTGGGTCGAATTGTAGGCATTGCCGATGGTGTTCTTCCCGACTTCTGTACATACGTCAATGACCATGTTAGGTTCAGCTAACGAACCAGCCAGCCAGCCAGCCAGCCAACGAGGTAAACGTACTTGCGGTACAGTCACACAACCCGGAAACGAGAGCCGCAACAAGGAGGAGGAGAGCGATGCAGGGACGAATGAACCGGAGTCCGAGCATGATGAGGATTGACTTGGAGGGCAGACCCAAGAAGAGCCGCCATGGTGCCTTGCCCAAGGCTATATAGCCTGAACGCTGGCAGATTCCAAACTTAGACGGTGCACTTCTGCACGGCGGCGCAGGACGCTAAGTTGGTCGTCTAGTGGGCCGCGAATGTCACTATGCGGAGCAGTAGGTGACTAGTGACTAGTGGCGCAAGGATGGATATGCCGTGAGTTAGCATGTAGTCTATGGTCCATGACGGCCAGCTTGGACTCAGAATTGTTAAATCTATGGAAGGTTACCAGAACTCCGTAGGATAATTGCTTCCGTCGTGCCAACAGATCGAGGCTCTTATGGCTGTAACATCTCGGACGTCGAACAGAGTAGTAATATGAAGGCCACGCACCGGGCCTCTGCCCAGCACGCCAAACACGGTACATTCTCAGTGATGAAAGGATCCACTAATTGTATCTACTTGATGTAAACCCATCAAGGGGCTACCTCTGCCAATATTTCAGACTTCTCGTACTGCTTGAACCTTTTTCGTTGGTATACTCCCTCTAGGAAATATACTTCCCCATGGAAGAAACGATTCTACGTAGCAAGACACCGACATAGTATAGTCGACCGCTGCGGTGTTTTGTTATGGGTTCAGATCGTTCACCCATCAGCGCGACATAACATTCCGGGAATCGGATGGAGATGCACCAGGTGGTGGATAGAGGCGGAGCATGATACACATGACGCCGTATTCCATTTCCATTTTCTGTCGAAGAGGTGGAAGCGGCATCTGTCGACATACGACGGGGTGTGTCCATCGAACCTACCAGTGATCTCCGTTAGTTCGACCAAGGCAACAGGCGAGTAATGGCCTCACTAAATATTCATCGGGTGAAGAGCGTTGTTGGCATCAGGTTCGTAAGGAGTCTGAAGGAAGGCGGTCTCACCATATCCTGAGAAGTATATTTAGTACTTTCGTGGCACCATAAAAGATCGCGTACCCTGAAAGTGTCCCAATCGACATCCTGGCCTTGTTTACCTAGAATTCCGTCTATTAATGCAGGGGTGAAATGATCAAGGTTGGGCGATAGTACAGGAGGAAATCGGACACGAGGTCGTGTTCGGCAACGCGTTTAAGGTGGCGCTAAAGCCACAAAACATAGGCTAGGAGGAGCCACGTCGCTATTGTGCTGAATCTCAAGTAAACAGTAGGAACAATAGCTATAGACAAAGGATCGTCGTCGCGTTGTGAAGACGAGCCCGCTGTTGGCAGTCTTCCTATCCGGGCCAAAGTCGCATCAATGGTGGATTCAGAGGTGAATATTCTCGTCATCTTAAGCACAAGGCCTGAGACCAGAGGGCCAATCCTCCTAGACATTTTATCTAAGTAATAGGGAAACATTCAAATAAGCGTCGTCCATCTTTCGACTGCCGACTTACTATGGTCCATTCCCTTTGGTAACATTCGCTTTGTGCTCCCAGTTGTTATTTTGTCCGGAATCCTTCGACGGTCGCACGGCGTCTTGACGGGTTATCAAGGTTCCAGCTTGGTTGCAAACTAAGTCATATAAGCGCCGAATATCGATCACAGCCGATCACACCGTGACAAGCGCCATTGCCACCGTGGACGTGGACCGTCAGCGACGTCAGGCTCTGTTCTGTGCTCAAGGTTCGTTCTCTCTTCTCCACCATCACCACCACAGTATATATGGACCCATACCACATCGAAGGTGGTCGCAGAGAGCCAGGATTCAAAGCTTACAATCACCGTGACCATGTACGTGGACTCGGAAGCATTATTGGGTGCGTCTGCACTGCAGTTGCTCACCTCAGTAATAGATGTCGCGGCGATTCTGGCGGCGGACTCCACGCCTCACGAAGGTGGTATATGCACTTATATTGTCGGGTTTGGGGACAATATGTTATCTGGTGCGTTCGTTTGTGCCATTGAGAGTACAGTCTTCGCACTTACACCCCTGCTGTGCCAAGTCTCTGTTCTCGTCGAGAAATGAAGCAAGGTTTCCGTTAGGAACCGATGAAGGCACTGGTACTGGGTCGGAGACGACATACTTGGAAGCTGATGTGCAGAAGCAGGAAGCCATAGTAGACGCTTTTAAGGTGCGTCTAGCTACACAACTAAGATTTACAGGCCATTGACTTAAACCTGCCATTAGCATGCTTGGAATAGTTATGGTTGGCTCTGCATCCCCCTCTGTGTGAACGCTGATACCAATAACTCGGGATACAGAACAGGATGCTATGGGAGACGATGAATACCACCCAATGAGCCATCGTGGATCAAATCTCTCCTTGAGCGGCGGCATTGGATACACTGTCGTTGATGCCATCGACACAATGCAAATTATGTCCCTCAAGTCAGAGTACAGTCGCGCTCGGCAATGGATAAAAAGCACGCTCACATTCGAGCGGCAGGGTAACTTCAACACCTTCGAGGTGCGTTATCCGCCTGTTTCAGCTCTGAAGTCCCGCACACTTAAAATTACAACATTCAGACAACCATCCGCGTGCTTGGAGGCCTCCTCTCTGCGTACCACCTTTCACAGGATCAGCTCTTCCTGGAACGCGCAGATGACTTGGGTTCTCGTCTATTGACGGCCTTCTCAACATCGTCAGGCTTGCCTCTGCCAATGGCCGACCTTGCGAGGCGTGTAGGCGTCCCCGATCAGTGGTCCGCGTGGCAAGTTAGCACTGCGGAAGCCGCGACTTTGCAGCTGGAGTTTCGCTATCTCGCTGAACTTACGGGAAATCAGGACTATTGGTATAAAGCGGAGAAAGTGATGGAAGTCATCCATAAGGCTTTACCTCCGCATCACCTTGTTCCTATAACTATGGAGTGAGGATGTCAGTCTTGCGTTGCGCCTGTATTGATTCCCTCTCTTCCAGCGCGAACACTGGCACTTTCACTCAGTCAGAAATACGTCTAGGCTCTCGAGGCGACTCTTACTACGAATATCTGCTGTAAGTCGTCGCGTGCTGTAATTATTTCTGCGCTGTCTCATTCCGTTCTCTTCAGTAAGCAGTACTTGCAGACCGTAAGGCTTCACGTCGACTATAAACACCTTATTGACCTGTTATGCAGAACCGCACCGAGCCAATATACAAAGAGGTAAGCATCCTTTATAGACTAAAGATGATGCTTTTTTCACCGCTATTGCCATCACCATAGATGTATCATGACTCAATGCAAGGACTTCACGATAAGCTGGTTCATAAGACGCCCACGAAGCATATGACATACATAGCGGAACTGCTCCCTTCTGGAGGGTGAGTCCCCCCCAGTGGTCACCTTGAATATATCACTAAAGATCCCATAAATAGCTCTTACACATTATCTCATAAACAAGACCATCTCGTATGTTTCCTCGCAGGCTCGTTGATGCTTGGAGCAACAACCGTTGGCGCCATCGACGGGAATGTTTCCGTACCTCCGCGCATGGAGGAACTGACACCGCAGGGGCAACGTGACTGGAACACAGGCGTGGAACTGCTTGAAACCTGTGTACACACCTATAATGGTTCCGAAACGTATGTAACTCCCTCCATTCTAACCACGATCGATGTTGAAGTGATGCACTAGTGGTCTTTCACCAGAGATAGCCATGTTCCATACCGAACGGCCCACCACGGGCAACAGAGACTGGTACATAAAGGGTGCTCAGTGAGTGCCCCTTTCCTCTCCTATCCCCTGCAAATTCTAATATCTTCCGTAGGAGAGGAGGACCCGCGTCGTATGACGCTCGCTATATGCTACGGTACGCTAATCATGTGTTTCATCTATTCCGGGTGTCGCCCTAACAGTATTAATAAGCCCCGAGACGGTGGAATCCGTCTTTCTTGCCTGGCGTTTGACAGGAGACACACGATACCGCGACTACGCCTGGAGAATATTCAGCGCCATAGAAAAACACTGTCGCTTACCGAAAGGCGGTTATGCCACCGTCTTAGACGTGGATAACCTCCCAGTGAGGCACCTAGATAAGCAGGAGACGTTCTTTATGGTGAGTTGCCCCATCCTCCTCAAGATTCTCGTGTTCCCGTGGGCTAACGCTAACTAAACCATCGCAGAGTGAAACTCTGAAGTATCTGTATCTTACGTTCTCTGACTCGAGTGTGATATCATTAAAAGGTAAGCTCGCGAAGCTCTTACGCTTCCGCCAGACTCCTTATGAAGCCCTTGAAAGACCACGTCTTCAATACGGAGGCTCACCCAATACCCATATTCAAGCCAACCATCAAGCCAGCTTTCCCATCTTCCCCGTAGAACCGGCTCATAGCTATCCGTCGCATTCACTAACCCATCACATCGCACTTGCATATCCGTGGACAACGCTATGTAGTACCATCTCTCGTAAATATATCCAAGTCCTAGTAAATAATGATTATTCCCGTATCTATATCATACCACCTCTTACTTCGCTGTCTGTACATCTCATCTCCACCCTTCACTGATGCCTCTGGCGCTTTCGGAGCATGATCTTGGACCGGAAGTCGGGCACGCGGTTTCCCTCTATCCAGCGTGGTTTCCGCTCCTGTTCTTTCCCCTTAGGTAGTTGGACGTCGTAGTGCGACACGATGTGCGCGACCAGGAGCTTGAGGATGGTGGCGGCGAAGAATCGGCCAGGGCAAGCTTCGCGGCCATGCCCCCAAACGAAGAAATCCGAGTTGGTGCTAATGAGCATGTGTTGTACTGATGTGGTTGGCAAATTTTCTTCGTAAGTTACGAAACGGAAGCCCTCGAAGTCGTTTGGGCGTGAATAACGTTCGGGGTCCATGTGTACGCTCCTCGAAGGGACGGATATGATCGTTCCTACGGGGATTCGCAGTCCATTTGAGAAGGTAAAGGGCTTGACGACCTTCCTCATCATGCTTGCTGCATGAATCATATTGAATGAATAGAAGCTACCGATCGAGAACCGGGCGACTAACCAGAGCGAATGTTCTCCCTCCGCATACTCTCCCTAACAAAACTATCCACGAAGGACATTTCCTCGATAGCGTTTCTGGACCACCCATCTAGCCTAGTTATCTTGCGCACCTCTTCGCGTAAAAAGTCGTTGTATTCCCTGTGCTTCGCAAGATGATGCAATATTCCAGCGAACACCTATGCCATTTATAAACATGCGAAGGGTGTAATGATAAACCAAGCAGCTTACTGATGTTAAGGACGACACGCCAGATAAAGCCAGAACTTCCATCGTTTCGCATATGTCCATGGAGGATGGCTTGAACTCATCGAGAAGCATCCACGAGCAGATGGTTTGTCCTTCTGGTGAGCTACGTGACTCTGATACATCTTTCCCATCCAAGAGTGACTTCAGATGGACATATATCTTCAGCCGGAAAAGCATACGGAGTATCAGACTATTGGTTTATAAATTAGCAAGGATTGCAGTATAACCAGTTGATCACTCGCCGAACGAGCATTCTGGGTAGACACCATGCCAGTAGCGACATGGAGAGAGCCATACGCAGGAGCGACCTGAAGCTAGCTATGAATTCTTTATTCCGACCTTCAATGCGAGATAAATAGTATGCCACTGGTTGGGCAGCATAGCACGTACTAAGGGACGGACCACCGAGTACACGACTCCATACAAGAGTCGTGATATCAGCCGACAGATTCAACGGTGAGAAGGTGGCCCATTCTTTGTTGTCGCCGAGCAGCGACTCTTGTGCAGCGAAGTATTGGGTTATTTCTTCGTGTACAAGTGGCACTAGATCACTAAGAGTTCGCGTGAGCCGCATTTCCACCAGTTCTCTCTTATAGGTGCTATGCAGTGCGTCCGAGTCGAACGAGAAGGTGTGGGGTGTTATTACTAGCTAATGCGAATCGGGTTAGTGTGCACGATATCCAACGGACGCACTCACGTCTGTGGCAGCATCACCCAAGCTCAGCTCGTTATTTGAGTGCATGCGCATTTCCTCGATCAATCTCTTGTCACGGACAAAGATATTCCAACCGGTGAGCCCTGCAATCTTGTATACACCTTCCGGGTACTTTAAACGCGTTCAGAGTGTGCCACTCGCGAGCAACACTCTTACCTTGTCGTAGCCTTCCTGAATGAGCCTATTCGCGTCAAGCGTGTATATGATAGCCGTTATATATGACAATGGGGGTGATGACCATCCAATAGTCGGAATCGCGGCCAACTCTTTGGCTGTCAGAATAGCGGTCTTTCAAAGGGAAATAATATCAAACTCACCTCGACGTCGATCTGCCTGCTCCTCCTGTAGATAAACGCGCTGACCGCTATTACTATGCAGGCATTGATGAACAGGAACGAGGACTGCTCGTCTGCGCCATGGTGGTTGGGCATAAAGAGCTAAGCGCCCATTAACGAACGGCGATCAAGTTCATTCAGGGGCTTCGCACTTCATGCACCGATGCGACGAGATCGCTCGGCTGGCGCAATGCAACGCAATTTTTAAGAACACACAACGGCGCGTGTACCGACGCCTTCCCAATGCTGGGAAATGTTCACCCACCACACGTGACTAAGAATCAATATCTTGAGTTGGTCCGACCGTCGCTCTCTCACTGCTCCATCTCATCGATATCATCTATCGTTCATGGCTGCTGCTCTGGAAAAGGTGTCATCAAACAAGGCCTTTGCTGGCGAACTCACAAAATATAAATTCAAAGTAAATAGTCCCACTTTGTGATGAATCGCGTCCAAGAAATACTGAAATCGATGATCGCGACAGTCTGCTGCATTAGGTGGATTGTCCGCCAACTTCAATATCTTCCTCCCCCCGAACGCAGCGAATGAGAAGGTCCCTATCCTAGTTTATCTCTCCGGCCTTACGTGTACGGAAGACAATGGGTAAAGCCATATCAGCTTCACGCAGCCGACAATCTCTTACCATATCGGTATACGGACCTTCAGGGCACAGAAGGGTAGCTTCCTCGGGTATGCATCTGAAGCAGGCATTGCTTTGCTCTTCCCCGACACTTCTCCGCGTGGTGCTGGGATAGAAGGGGAAGACGATGACTGGGACTTCGGGACTGGTACTTGAACGGTGCTTCATCGCCCTCATCGACGAAACTAACATCCCATAGGTGCCGGCTTCTATCTGAACTCGACCAATCCAAAATATTCGAAACACTACAATATGCTCACTCATGTAACTATTGAGCTACCCCAGGTAATCGAAGCTGCCGGGCTCCCAATTGTAGGATCAATTTCCCTTCTCCCATGTCGCCCCTGACTCCTGATTGTCAGGATTTCAAACGACAATCCATCTTTGGCCACTCTATGGGAGGCCACGGCGCTCTGACATTGTATCTAGCCTCCAAGAGCAAGCAATACAGGTCTGCGTCCGCCTTTTCGCCCATATGCAACCCAACAAAGTGCCCATGGGGGGAGAAAGCCTTCAAGGGTTATCTCCAGAACGGTATTGAAGAGGCGAAGGCACAATATGATGCTACCGAGCTTATTGCAAAGACTACTGATTCTGTTCACATTCTTATTGACTACGTGAGTAGAATTATGCAGGCGTACGCTGATCGAAATTAATCGACCTCTTCCAATCTAGGGCACTGGTGATAACTTCTATAAGCAAGGGCAACTGTTGCCAGAGAACTTCTTGAAAGCAGCCAGGGATGCTGGCCACGATGAGCTCAAAGTTAGAGTTCGCAGTCATGAGGGGTACGATCACAGCTACTACTTCGTGAGCAATTTCGCCGCCCGTTCTCCGTAGTACTTGCTGAGATTGGTGCTAGATATCGACCTTTGCTGCAGACCATATTCATTGTAAGTAATCGTTCGTCCACAATATTGTACACCATGGATGAAATCATTTTTCTAGTCCACGCCAACTTTTTGAAGGCTTGACTATCTCCACCGAAATCGTATGTGAGCAGTAAGATATAACGTGACCAGTGTACGGATATCCGTAGAAAATTGTATAACATTGTAAGCTTAGCATCAGTAAGCGCGGGGCGTTCCAACCTTCATGGCGCGGTGAAGTCGTCGGTCCAGGGCTATCCGTTCGGTCGACAGCACGCACGGCAAGCAGAAGTGATTGGCCATCAACAAGGAGCAAGTTACAATTCCATAGACCAGAAGCAGAGAGTGTCAAGGTCCAGCAAGAACGCGGTCAAAATAGGCGGCTTCCAGAGCAGGGAGGTCGTCGGCAATCCAAGCACTTTGCATTGATGAATAGACGGTTCCACGATTGAGAGGGCTTCTTATCAGTAGTCGGCCAACCAGGTCTCTTGCTAATAAACGTAGGCGTCAGGACAGATCTGGTATATGAATGATCGAAGAAATTGACCACGGGGCAGATTCCGCCAAATGGAGTCCTTGAATTCTATTTCTCCGGAAAGAATCCTCTGCTTGACGCGGTTTTCATTCCTAGCATAGCTTTGCGAAAACTGAGAGCACTGCGTATCCTGTTGTAGGTCGAGTAGGTCGAGTTCTTGGGAATCAGGCACAACCTCCAGCCAGTCGGAATCGGATGATGCATCGTAGTCAAAAGGATGAAATCCGCTGTGCCTTCAACGTCAGAAACAGCAGGGGGGCCCGAGTCCTCCCAAACTTACGAAAGCATTATAAAGAGGATAACACCAGCACTCCAACAATCCGACGGCATCCTACGTGCAACGATGTTAGTAAATGCACAACACCGCGGAGGAGATTCTGGCTACCCGACGTATCCCAAATGTTTGTTGTCCAGAGCGAGGATGCCTTCTGGAGGGAGATAAGAGACTGTACCGCAGACATTCAGAGTTTCTTGGTAGGCCTTGGGTCGAGCGAGACCGAAATCAGCAATCTGTATGCGTGGATAGGGACCAGGGGTGTAAAGTAAGATATTCTCAGGCTGGTCGAGGTTCAACTTGTATCTGCGTACGAAATTGAGTGGACGTACCTTGATATCTGGTTAAAATGGAAGAGTTAATGTTATCATGATAATCACTAGATGAAACTCCATACCTCGATGTGATATCAATTTATCGTGAAGGTATGTCAATCCCTTCAGCAGCTGGAACATGATGTATTTTGCCTCGCCCTCACATAGCCGATTTTCAGTCTCCTGATGGCTGATGATGTAGGTGAAGAGATCCCCGCCTGTGCATAGCTCTAGAAATATGTGCCTGGAAAGATCAACGTTAGTAACAGCAACACAAAGCATTTGAGCTCCGAACAAGAAGTTTCCGTTTTGATCAACATCATAGACGCGATTGATGTTCGGCTAGGAAGATGATCAGTATAGATCCAAGGACGAGGAGAATAAGTTTACATGATTCAGTGACAACAGTATCTTGACTTCCTTCCAAACTTGACTGAGTTCATGGCCTTTCCTAGCCTTGATAGTTTTGCAAGCGACCTGTCGATGCTTATGCTTGTTCACGGCCAGATGGACGGTCGCAAAGCTCCCACTACCCAGACAGTGAGACGTTACGACGTAGTCACCGACTCGCTAGAAGATATGAGAAACATTAGTAATCAATATGGAGGATCTCACTTTCTGGGCTGGTTGTAGGGGCGGGGTGGGGTCGAATATGTTGCCTTTGTCGTTGGGTTCGGCCCAAATATGCAGACATTTGAATGCTGATTTACGGTATGAGCAAGCGGGCACCGAGCATAGAGTTGAGTGCCCGTACTGAGAGAAGATGGGATCTCCAAGATGTCCCCATGCATCAGTATGACAGAAGTTCGTCGAATCATATGACCGTTAAGGACGAGGCCATTTGTTGACAAGTCCTTGATGACCCGTAAGTATATGCGCCACAACAGTAGTTCAGAGCATACCTGACATGATACTATTATCCCCCCTGTACCGGAACGTACGCTAATTCTCTTGTTGCAGTTGTATTCGACTCACGCAACGCGACTTACGCATATAGTTTGCAATGAAGGTTTGAGACAAAAGCATCCGGAATAACATAGGTACTGTTCGCAGTAAGTCTTGGTTGGTGTACTGTAGATATGGGGCGTACCAAAGCTTGGGATGACGACCAATGGTAACAGGTTTGTTGATGCTGAGCACAATCACTGGGACGCGTTCCTGACATCAAGTTGTGTGGATATACGCGTCTGACACCCACCTTCCTTGCGTCCTTTGTTGACCGTCACCAATTTCGCGCATACATGGCGACGGGGGCAGGGATCGTTGTTGACCATGGTGGTAGTGGAACGAGGAGAGCTTGGATGTAAAGAGCTCGCTGAGACCCAATTGAGATATAAGATAGGGGCGGCAGTAAATAGGCAACAACAAGGATGTACAATCTAATCGTAGCCTTTACCACTACGTTGCTTTACACGTTTTGTCTTTTTGTGATGCTTCTTCCCCTTTCCAACCTCATTGGCAACACCTGTGAGTGCCAGGAGCCTTGCCTGCCGAGCATCTAGTGGTGTGCCATCGTTGGTCACGGAATTCTGATGAGGAAATGCTTTCCCTCTCGAGAATTCGCTGCCGTTTCGAAGGGAACCTTGGACGAGGGGGCGGGATAAAAGCGACCCCTGGTTATCAAAGAAGTTATTATCCAAGCTTTGAGTTTTCAGGCCACCTTGCTTATTGATAGCACTATTCGGCGCGAACGCAACGAAAGTATCAGCGTTCTTTCCAACACGAGTTGTGGGCGCATGCTTCTTCTCGGCCGCACGAGTCATGGCAAGTTGGTATGCTTTCTCGTTGAATGCGTCGGAAGAGATGTCTGGCGGTGGGTGGGAATATAGGATTTTGGCGTTGACATAGTCTTTGAGGATGTATCGAGCAGCACGGGCTTCATCAGGATTGCCTTGACCCGAGCGCATAAAACCGCGACCGACTGAAGAATCATCAGACTAGCAGGATAATATGAAGGAGTTTTGCGTACTGGCATATGCAATCAACAAATCTTCAGCCTTGACCTTGCCGTCGCCGCCCTCGTCGGTATTTTGCGTTTTGATTGACAGACCATAGACGGCCTCAAGGATCTCTTTTGGGATACGATCTGCTACCAACGATACCGGACCTGTGTATTCTCGCAATTGGTCAATTGGCAGAACACCATCGCATACGAGGTCCGCCCGTGTCGTGGCGAACTGGGGGAAGACCAAACCGGGACAATCGCATAGAACGATGTGATCTGAAAGATGTATTGTTTGGAAGTGCTTCGTCTTTCCAGGTGTTGACGATACGCTGACTTTCTTTTCACCCAGCAGAGAGTTGATTGTGCTGGATTTTCCGACATTGGGATACCCTACTAGCCCCACCACGAGTTTCGAAGGAGGATTTCCTTCCGAATCTTTGAACTCTTGAAAAAAAAGGAGACATGTTAAATATGTTTAGTAATGAACGAATAGTAATTACCTGTTAGATCGGGACTGGACTTTATGAACAACTCTTCGAGTTCGAGGACTGATAGAACTCGTGCCCTTGGATCCTGTCCATCTGTCGTGTCCTCCTCAGCCGAAAAGTAGTGCTCGTCTTCGGATTCACTTGCGTCTGATTCCGACTCCGATGCGTCGTCTTCTACCAAATCAGGCTCGTCAGCACCTTCGGCAACATATTTCGGCTCGCTTTCTGAGGATATATCTTGATCGTTAGAACCGGCGACATCAAGAGCATCTCTTCGAGCCTGTTGGATGGCCGCAGCGTTCGCTGCAGAGAAGAAGGCGTATGTGATGCCATGTGTATCAAAGTAGTCTGCCCATAGACGTCTGTATATTACTGTCAGATCAGAATACAGGATCACCAGAGAGAGGATCTACCTTTGCCGTGCTGTAAGAAGGTCGGCTTTGTTGATGAGCAAGAGATTGCGCCTCTTCCCTTTGCCACTCCCGCTTTCACCTTCCGACCCTTCGATATCGAGAACATATGACTCCAAATCTTCGCAGCGGAACCGCAACGGATTTCGCGCATCGACGATCTGAACGACAAGGTGGGATCGTTCGACCACTCTCCATAGCTGCCGCCATACTTCGATATTGCGCTCGAACGGGGTAAGGAGGAAACCATCTTGTTCCTGAAGGCTGATATGCAGTTTGACATACACATCGAATTCCATAGCTGAAATCACTCACCCAGCGAGACCTCTCCTCCATTCCAAGAATGCATCTTTCTCCTGCCGATCTAACTGTGCTGTGGTCATCCCCTTTTTCCAATCCGGCCTCCTAGGCACTCTTAGTCTCCCCTTGTTCTCTCGTTGCCGCAGTAGGGTGATCTTTTCTTCTTGTTCACTGAGTAGATATGGATTACGACTGGATCCAGTGGAAGATTGTATTATTTTGACATTATTCCTCTCTATTATATAGGTTAGATGACTGGAGTGCAAGAAGAGAGAGTAGACGCACCGGCAGTGAACTCGGTCCCAGCCAACTGTGCAGTGCTGAAGAATTCGTCAAGGTCCTTCTCTTGCGTTACGGACTTCAGGCGAGACGTTGGATCTAGATCGGTGGTATACTTCACATCCATAGTAAGCATGCGAACTACTCAAAAACAAGCGGTTTGGGCTCACTAATCCCGACTCTTGCATATGCCGTGCATCTTTTATCTTTCTGTTGATGATCGCCCGTCCTAAGCCACTTGGGTTAGGATCTCTCCCCTTAGGAGGCTACTAGGTATATTGTGCATGCATCAGCAAGGTCGTCTAGAGCCTATGCAATCGTCCGTACCATTGTGAAGATGGGTGTTAAACGTTGAGGAAAGAGGTGTGCAGCAGAACGGATTTGTAGGGGCTGAGTCAGATGATCAAATTTCGGATTAGGAAGCACAAGCCTGAATAAAGTTTACTTCCACGTTCATAACGGGCCAAATTCACTGATTGGTAGGGACATGATGCATGACGAGTGAATGTGGGATCGATTGGGACAACAGATGCTTTGTCGAGACCGCAAATTCGATCCTTGGAACTGAGCGAGGACGTGGCAATATATACAATGCAAGAGTCTTGATCAGAGTACATTATGATTTACGCAAATTATACATCTTAAAATCAAGGAAGGTTTGGTCGGACTATTCGGAAGGATCAGACGCTAGGTTCTGTTGCAGGTTAAGGGGGAACTCACCACCAGCGACCCAAACGGGTTGATCGGAGCCGTCTGGGTTCGGTGTGACGGTCAATTCGTAGGACGTATCGAAGGAACCAGCGCTCCAGACTGTGAATCCAGCAAGCGTCGGGAAGTGGGACTTCACGAATGCAAGCTCTTCATTGACACTTTAAGGTATAGGCAGTGGAAATAAATGATCAATCAAGAGAGGAGATGAGTGAACATACGCAGTCTCGCAGGAAGCGGTGTTGCCTCCACCGGTCTCACTGAGGAGAGCCTGTCGGTTTCCGTTGTTCTGGAGGAAGGTGACCAAGTTGGTAAATACTTGGATGTTGTTCTGGCGACTGTTGAGTGAGGAGGAATAATAAATGTGAGAGGTGTACACACGGTGCTGCATTCAGTGTGAGTCCCACTGTTGTCGAAGTCAAGGTATTTGTGGACTGCATGGGAAAATTAGCAGGAGGCATTATTTCTGCCGAGAGCTAACGTACCGTCGAAAATTATCTTGGACTTGTCGCCAATAGGATCTGTCACTCCAAGCAATGCCGGGCCTGCTTCAGTAGGGAGAGCTTCGGCGCTCGACCAGCTGGATCCGGGAATGAGAATGAACTGGGATGTGGCACCAGCTGCACGAATGGCATTAACGGCAGCTTGTACAGATGTAACCCATGTGGGGATTGATGGTACGTCGTGCGGTTCGTTCATGATGCCAAACTAGGGGATTAAAGTTCAGGGTGATAGATGGTGGCAAACCGGAATGACTTACGATGATCTTAGAGTTATCCTTGTATTTCGCGGCGAGCTGAGACCACAAGCTGGCGAACTGCTCGTTGGTGGGTCCGCCTTGGGCGATGATAGCCCCGTTCCATCGGGCGTAATTGTGCTAAGTGTCGTAAATCAGTGCGTTTACTCCCAAAGAGCGGGGAAGTCTACATACCACGTCGAGAATGACGAATGGGTTGCTAGACTGCCTGAGAGCCGTCTGAACAGTAGCATCATATCGAGAGAAGAATTGAGGATCGATTGTGCCACCGACGGTGGGTGTCATCAATTGCCACGCTATATGTGTCGATTAATCTGGTGCCAAGATCACATAAAAATGATAATACCAAAGGCTAGACAAGGATTGGGTAAGTAAAGACCTAGTGGAAAATAGGTGGCCACGTACGAATTCTGAATATGTTCACCCCTTGTGCAGCGAAGTGCGAGAACTGACCCGTTGGAGGATCAGCGGAATCATTTTCAAACGACCCGTCCGTTTTCTGAGTGGATTGCGATGGGATTCAAGAGCGTGTGCTTCGAGTCAGTTGGCATTGTGTACATACCGATGAGAAGTCGTATCCAGCCATATTGACACCGCCTAGGAAGGAAGTAATACCTCCTGAAGGAGCAGGCGTGCTGCTACCGCCTGGTGCAGAGGCAGTAGTTGTCTGAGATGGTGCCGCTGCGCCGGGAAGACATTGAGAGTAATCTAGGGACAGCGTTCATTGATTGCTGAGAGGGGGTCCAATAACAACGCTTACAGTCGTTAAGTTTGTTGCACGAGGCTCCGGACACGCAGCTGGTAGCTCCGGCTGATTGAGAGTAAGTCCAAAGTCATAAGCACAGCGGTTGTACTCACACCACCCAATGCCTCCACCTTGTGATGGCGTTACATTAATGATTAGAAAAGTCGCGTATCGGCGTTAATGAAGTTGGACATACATTGAGCATAAAGCTAACAGAGAGATGGGTCAGAGTAATGCTTAGAGTATAGTTGCACTGCACGAGCTTACAGGTTGTTGGGCGCGGACACCCCAGGATGAGATGCCTAGCAGAACAGTGGCTGAAATAAAGTACTTCATCTTGGTCGTCGGGGTGCTACATCGATCTGACAGGCTTCATCGTATTATATATGTTGTGATACGGATAATTGACGGCACATGGAGACAAAAATATGTGGAGCAGCGGAAAATCCTGGCTTCGCATACTCGCATAGAACATGATTACCTTGGTGATGATAACGTCGGAACGGAGAAACCTATGAGTGTGCTATTTATAGATAGGCGCCTCGTAGGCGCTTGTGCACTTCCGTTCAATCCATGCCACTGCACCACGATCATGTCTCGGTCGCTGACGAGCCTTTACAGGGATTATCTGCGCGCAGTGCGCCAGCTGCCTCACATTTACCTCAGGTGCGTCGTAGCACACCCCTTTGAGAAGAAAGAAGTCTCATGAACCATATCAGACAATTCTACCGTATCAAGGCTTCGGACGACATACGCTCAGCATTAGCCCGACCGGTAACAGCCCACTGTCGTGTTAAACGAATATCCAAGGTCTGCCGTTTGACGTGCGCCACACTCTTCGGGTTAATAGGGGAATTACAGGACATTCGAAGAATCAAGGCTGCTACCAGCGGCAGCAATAAGGCCTTTGCACATATCCTCGATGTCGCTTATGGTAGGAAGGGGAAACTCCGCTGGGAGCTCATGGAAGTGTGTTCTTATGACACCATCGTGCTGCGCTGATGAGGGAATTAACGTGTCGGCAGCCTCTGTTAACAGATCACCATGCCTCTCCGCCCGACCCAATGTTTCCGGGTAAACCAGATTCACGACCACCAACTTATTCTCCGGAATTGAAGACCCTCCTTACCTCGTCTGGCTCTCGCGTCAAACCACTTTCGGAACGCGCGCTTCGCTTCCCCCCTCTGCTGTCCCCCCGAGCTGATCCAAAATCAGAGGAGGCAAGACTATTGGGCCCTCTGAGCAAGCGTCGGGAGCTCAATTTTCGATGGCGCTACTTCGTATCAGAGTGGAAGAAAGTTCGGCCACCTCTAAATATATCTTCTTCACCAACGTATAACGTCGAAGAACGCTCGACATTTGGTTTCCATGGGTCGCAACTATTTGAAGAAATCGAAGCCCTCGCTGCTCAAGACCCGAACCTAAAGAGGGGTACTCGGAGAGAGAGAAACACTTCTTGCCACGCAGCCCCCGTCCACGTAGATAGTCCCTCCCCGACTCCAAGATGGCTGCGACGGCGTTACCGGGAACTTCTCTCCAGAGTCCCTATACTGATCCAGAAGCAGCCATCGAAGTTCTTTGTATCGTCTTCCCCGCTAGCCTGGTCCTCAGAACGCTTCAAGGCACCTTTCATGTCAGAAGTTGACGATGGGGATATCGCCTGGATGATGCAGGCTGAAGAATACAAGCAGCCAACGGAAAAGTCCAGAAATGATACGAAAACATAATAAATACAACAAAAAGCGACCCTCCTTCCCACTGATATCATGATCCGATCTCTAGCCCGTGTAACTCAATCATATACATGCCATAATTCCTATCGAGGGCCCTGGCAATGCCGGCCTCCCCATCTGCGGTCACAACTCCACATTGGAGGTTCAACATTGTCTGGTACTCTTCGAAGCTGAATACGGCTTTATGCCGAATGCCCTCAAGCATGTCCTGCAAAACATACTCGTAAGTGTGTTCGTAGTTCCGGGCAACGAATGCGACGAACCTGTGGGGATATGTTGAACAAGGAATAGTATTGCTTGGGTCGACTGAAATCAACGACTTGGCCATCAAACGTTATAGCCTTGATATTCTGCTGCAGAGCTTGTATGTTTCGCAATATTTTCTTGATGCCGAATGAGTTAACCTTCCGTAAGTAACGTGCGTTGGAAACTAGAAGATGCTCCAACAGAGAGCTCAGACCGGAGAATACGAAACTGTTGGTGACGGTTAGCTAGATAGATAACTAGAACATCGTAGAAGACACACTTGTGAGCCTCCTTAGATAGTCGAGAGGATACCATCTCCTCGAATTGTGTTAGTTCGGCGTTCAGTTTGGCAATATTAGAATCGGGTTGCGTAGATTCACGTTCCAAGTCGTAATTCCCCTAGAAGGAGTCAGTTGCTGATTAGACATTGAGATATAACCGGTAGATACATTCTGGAACGCTGCGCTGAGGTGATGTATGACGCGACACCGTATGTCAATACGTATGGTGTAGAGAACGAGCTCTGCAAGTTGTTCATACGTCTTGAGTAAAGCTTGGAATCGTCTTGAGGCGATTATCAGCGCCTCGTTTACCAAAGGATACAGCGACTCACAATGCCATTTCCTTTGATAACGCTAGCTTCAAGCTATCATCCGACGAGATCGGTGGCAGCACAGGCAGCAGTGGCGTGAAAGGAGTCATAGCACTCAATGGCTCCAAATTCTGAGGGGACATCGGGGCACCCTCAGTTTTCGCTTTCAGCGCAGTAAGAGCGGTGCCAAACCACATCTACGCGACGCGTCAGTTACAGAAATACTGCACTCAGGGATCAAGACTTACAACACTTCGGTGCAATGTGCATAACGATGCAACATTCCTGAGGGAAGGTATCAGGTCATCTTGAGATATATCAGCTCTTCCCAAGAATCCCAGTTCCAATTTTATCTCTTGTCGACATAGTTGATTTTTCTTCTCCAGGTCCTTGACATAATATTATGAAAGGGGTCAACTACTCCAAGATGAAACTCACTAAGCATTGGACTAAATCATTTAAACACGGAGCCAGCTCGGATCGTTGGGCCCATTGGGCAGCCAGCGCAAGCTTCGGCTCTAGTTGCATTTCCATAGGAGGTGCTACAGAAACTAAGTCCTGGAAGCGGTCGCTACACCGTTGATAGAACTGGATGATGACGCCGAGGATGAGACGCGTATAATTTTCACGGTGGAATGGAGAAGTTTGCAGCATGGTACATAGTGAATTGATGAGTGCCATGAGCTGCACGCTGGCCTATAGTTACTAGGTTAGAAAGACTTTGAGAGGAGGAATCATAGGAGGGCATGGGCACCTTCAGAAGTGGCTCGTTCGACAAACGTGCGGAGAAAGGGTCAGGCTGGAAGGCTTCGGGTCCTGCAATGATGTTAAAGCTGCTGAAAAAAGTACGTAGATACAGCCATCTTACCAATGACGATTTGATGGAATAAGTTCGAGACTTTTTCTTCTAGCTGGGGCAGATAGACTTTAAGTACGAAGTCATCTAAAACTTCACTCGACGCTCTTGAGGCTTCCGCGCCGAATGGTAGAACCTCAGCTACGCGATCCAAGAAGCAAAGAGTAGGACGGAAAAGAATAGTGACGTGAAATGCATCCGGATGGATAAGGATTCTGTGACGCTGCCCTGTCCCTAGCAATCGTTCATCCGAGCCAACATTGGAAACCATGGACTGCGTAGGATTATCCGCCGAGCCCTGAACAAGTCCTGGCATGGTGTCTTTAATCGTTGCCATCAAACCATCTTCGTATGGTTTTAGTGTTTTGATGGTCGACTTCACATCTGTGTCGACAAAGCGAAAAATAGTCTGCAAAACAGGTGAAAAAACCTGTATTACAATAACCATTATATCGTACCTTAGTTTTGTCCCGGGTGAACCTCCCATCACGGAGTATCTCGTTGATGGAAGAGACAGGATTGCGCCCGGATGTTGTGCCCTGCTCCTCGTCCGTGATGTAGTCTGAAATCAACGTCCGTACCTGCGACAGTAGGTCAACAAGAAACAGAATATTAGGGGACGGATAACGTACCTCTGATTGTACGGCCGTCCATATCTCAGACAAAGGAAATAGCGACCCAGCCTTTGCACCCGAGGCATCCTTAAAGTCCCGCCGCTGTCAACTTCGTTTGAGTATTGGCCAGGACGTCATCTATCTCTTACTTACCGACCCAATCCTGTTGGCAACCTCGTAGACAACCCTTAATCCTTGCGCTACAGCATGTAATTTAGAGTAGACAGTCCAAAAGAAGTCTTTCAAGATTTCGTGGTCTAATTGACGCGCAGACGACTCTAGACCCGCTAGCCTCAGTGCAGACGCGTCCACGACGGAACCTGTATTCAGCACGGAATCGACTCCTGATAAAGCATTCGAGAGGAGATATACCCCGTCGGCCTGGGCGATGCTGGAAGCTGGTATCACCTGCATGGAAAGACGACGCCCGAATTCCGCTCGTTCGCCGACTTCGTCTAAAGTAGCTTCCACGAGCGAATACACCTCCGTCGGTAGCCGCTGGGCAACATTGTCAAGTGCATTCCCAAGTTTCCCCAGGACAGCTAGGGATTCCATCACAGTTTCCATGTATATAAATGAGTCGGCCTCGGGATTAGTTTGTGAGGATTGGGAGACGACACCAGGAACGAGGTTGGCCATCGTGGACAATGAAGCCGAGGTGCGAGCGCCGCGGATATTGGGTTCGTTAATGTCCAGTGGAGGGTCGTTTGGCCGTGTGGCAAGGTCATTGAGATATCTTCGCATGCGCGAGGGGCCAGGGGCTGCCGCGTCTGCCTGTGTTCCAAGAGGGGAAGTATTGTCCGGATCTTCGTCGAACTCGACTTTTGGTACTTGGAACAGACAAGAGTTGATCAGTGCATCCATGTTTTAGTCGTGGAGCCTACTCACGGCGAACATCTTGGTTTGGGACGTATGCGGCCCACCGTGATTCACACCAAAATGACTTGAGGTACAGATGCCCGTGGAGTTCATCCACCAGAATGTCCCTCAGCGTCTTCACATAACATGAGCATAAGAAGAACAATGGGGTGGTGACCTAACCGTTTCCTGTGCAACCAGGTAGCTTCGTAGGTCGGAGACAGCCCCGATTTCTTGCATGTCTGCCTTGTTAATCGTCTTTAGGCTTCGAACAAGGAGAACAGATGCTTGAAGTAGCCTCTTCTCAGAAATCAGTGTTTCCAGGAGATCGGGAACAGCCTTCAGGTGTTCACTAAATGCCGTTAGTAAGCGACAAGTTCTTACTGAGAAGGTAAGACTTGACAGAACATTTGATCAAGAAGACGCATCATCTCCTCTAAGGTCTGACCCCTAGACCATAGTTGTACTAGGTCAGATCGCTTGTTGCCCAACGACTCCTTGGCCTCTTGCAGCAACGTTCGGGTCTCTTTTATCTGCGACTGGGTTGCGGTAAGGTGCGTGAGGAGCGCTGCGTGATGTGGTAGAGAGTCGGCGAATTGCTTGTAATGCTCTAGGATCAAGCACTTCATGAGTACGGGATTGGAGGTAATTGAGAGGTTAAACATAAGGTCACGTACTATCCACGGAGCCCTTTAGGGCTTTTGCAAGCATATGTTTCGTTCTGCGAAACGATTCTATATCTTTTCCGACATTAGTATCGTCCAGAAGTTGCAAAGCAAGGTCGACGGTGTTAAACTAGCAACATCATGAGAAACGCTACATCGAGGAAGCAGGGACCTTACGTCCGTGAGCTCCCAGCCACCCTCTACTTGATCCAACACAGCTGTGGAAAGTAGGGTATAAGCCAACGGGGCCTTGATCTCTGTCGCGCGATCAGGACACACCGTCTATCTCTCCAGTCCGAGCACTGGTCGGCTGCCGACCAGGCATCTTATCTCGTATTCGTTTTTGCCTTGCCTTGTCCTCCTCAATTTCTTGCTGCCGTTCCCTCTCGTAGTTTAAATCATCGCTCCCATTCGTCATGGCGCGTTTGCGCACGCCTGCAAACTGGAATGCAGAGATGGCCGAGGCCAACGTCGGTGAAGTTGTTTCATCTTCTGTTAGGCCTCTTGCACTCCGGGGAGGTGGTGGCCGCGGGCCACCTGGCGTGTTGCTCGTCGATGTGCCTGGACGAGGCCGGTGTGGTGTTGAGACATCGGATCGTGTGGTGCTCATGCTGTCTCTGTAATAGTCGCGAGAGTAGTCCGAGGGCACGTCGGACACCCCTGATTGTCGACTTCTGAACTCTGACCTTTGAGGGCGCGAAGGTCCGGAGCTATTACTATTAGGCGAACCAGTTGGTCCTTTGACATAATGGCTCGACCCGTTACTAGGTGTGGTCGGCCGTGACGGTAGCCGGCCAATCTGCAGCGGCTTTGTAGATGATTGCTGGGAGTTCCCATTTGTTAGTGAAGGAGAGCGCGCACGTCGAGTAGGGAAGGGAGGGGCTCTGGACATCGAGCTCGTCGATGTCAGGACACGGTCACGATGCATTAGGCGCTCATTGTTAGGTCAATTATGAGCGCTTAGTATGCTGCGTCTTCTTACCATATTTGGGTGAAGAGGCGGGATTCACCACTGCCAAGTCGGGTATCAGAGTATGGCCCGGTCTGCCGCACGCGTTCTGCCTTCGTTTCTGAGGCCAGTACATCGCCTGCACGCAAATACTCGTGTAGCCGACCACGAGGATGCAGTATTCCAGCATACACAACCAATTGGTGCCGTGCACGCGCACTGGTGGTCTTCAGTTGAAGATGTCCCAAGGAAAGTAATCCTCTTCATACCTGGTGAGTCAACCCCCGTCCTTGACTGATTCCTCTATATCTCACCCATCCGTACAAGGAAATCCTGGTTTGCTCGACTTCTATATTCCCTTCCTTTCTGCACTTCACTCAAAGGACCGTCGAATGTCGATTCTAGCCCATAGTCACGCCGGGCATACTCCTGGTTTCCATACTTCGCCGGGGTCTCACCGGCTTTTACTGCAGATACAGAGCGCTATAGAAGCTTTCGATGCAATCAAGGTTGAATATGGGCCTGATATTCCTGTAACCGTTATAGGGCATAGCATAGGTTCCTGGATAACTCTCCAGGTAAGTAGTCTCAATCCATCGCTCCTCCAGTGCCTAAACTGCTGCTGCTCAGATACTGAAAGCCAGGTCTGACACGATCTCTGGGGTATTCTTGCTCTTTCCAACAATAACTGATATCGCATCGTCCCCGAATGGCCGGGCCCTCTCCGTGTGTTTTCTCTAGTAAGCCCCAAAGTAGTGGCTGACGATGCTAAGCAAGTGGGTGTTCCCCTGGGCTGTGACGATATCCCGAATTGCCAACATCCTTCGGGTCATTCCCTTGTCCTGCATATTGTCCTGGATCTTCCGCTCTTGGCCCGCGCATCAAAAGTCTGTTCTTGAAGGACTTTTGCGGTCTCCATCTTCCATTCTTGCAACGTTGTCTATGGCCGACGACGAGATGAAGCTAGTACGGGATCTTGACACGCAACTTCTTCAGCGAAACAACCACAAAGTGTGGATGTACTTTGCTCAATCAGACGACTGGGTAGGCGACTCGAAGGATGTGATCCTGCGCTCTTTCCAGCCCGACAAAGGGTCCGTTCGCGTAGTCCATGGCCACCACGGTATCCCACATGCGTACTGTATTGGTGAGTCCTCACTTTTGTGAACGACCAACTACTAAATTTGATTTAATCAACCAGAACATGGAGAGCAACTGGCGGATCAGTGCTTTGATTGGCTACAGGCCCTAGACTAATTTTTTCCTCAGACAAAGTAAAAGGGTCAATATTGCTCTCAAATATATGTGTAGTACTTCTAAGCATTGGCATTGTGCTTGAAAGCTAGTTTCTCTGCGTTACTGCGGCCGGACTGTCACGTTCTCACGTGGTGGTCCACTAACGCGTAAGGCAATGGACCCTTGCTCTCGTCGCGTATCATCCCTTTCCTTTCCTTTTGGTGGGAGATATGGTGAGGTCCCTCAGTGCTCTTTCTCCCGCGCCTTCTTCTCTGGGAGTCGTCGCGAACGATGCACGAAAGGCTAAATCACAGCCGTCACACACCAACCTCGACTGGCACATCGATATCCCCGTCTTAGCACCAGTGGTACAGAGCACATACCGGCCCCTGAACGAAGTTCCAATCAACTACCAAGGCCAGCAACTTTTTCAGCTGGACGAAATCATTGGGGAGCACGAGATCGACCATGTTCTTTACTATTACGCGCGTTGGAAGCGTGGCTTTGCGTCCAGAGTGCGTTCTCTTGCTTTTAAAGTGAAAATATCGTCTGACGCGCCCATAGTTCCCTGCAGAGGGTTTGCGGGAACAGCTTCCGGAGGTAGTCGCATCCTATTGTAAGATTCACTAAATTCCAAGGGTTCCTGTGTGATAGTGACGTCTTGTAGTGAAACGCAAAAGACGCGGGGAATTTGAGGACTTCGATCCTTCAGGCAAGGATGTGCACCCCACATCTCGTCTACGAAAGGAAGTCACAGTCAATAAACGCAAGAGTTCTACTGCCTATAGCATGATCTCAGGTAGTTCATCCCGCAGCAAACTGGATGAAGCTTCGAGCGAGGATGTTGAAGACAGTGACGACGAATATGAGCGGAGCTTGCGGCCATCTCGTAGAATCCTTCGAACAAGGGCAGTGAAGGCGCTCCCCTTCAGCCCTCGCAAGACGAGAGCGCAAGATACTACACACGGCTCGAGCATCGACAATGACTGGAAGGGTGAAGAAAGCGAGGAAGATCAGCCGAAGCGCCGTTCTACACGAACCCGGAAAGTTAGTAGGTTTGATACAGCGAATTATGAGGATTCCGACGCGATGGACGTGGACAGCGGCTCCGAAGCACCGCGTTCTTCAAGATTAAAGAAGAAGCCCAGGCATGGAAAGGCGTCTCGACCTGCGTACGGTAGTTTCCGTTCTGTGGAAGACCTTGGGTACGACCTCTGCTCCGACGAAGAGACCGCGCCCCTCAGGAGGCATCGCGACTTCTGTGAGAAATGTCATCGCCAGCCAGCTCATATCCTCTTGAACAACTTGAAACGGAAGAAGACAAAAGGCAAGCGGAAGAGAAAGGATGGCGACCTTGAAGAAGAGTCTGGTGAGGAAGAGGAGAAGCTAACGCATCTTGGAGGATGGGTGCGGTGGTAAGTATAAGCTTCACCTACATGGATTACCTTCTTACACCGCCAATAGTTTGAAGTGTCCCATCTCTGTTCACTGGCGCTGCCTTTCTAGCGCTCAAAGGGACGAAATACTGAAAGCTGCTCGGGAACGCGATCGCGAAGAATGGCGCAGCAGTCAAGCACACGACGATGTATACGACGAGAATGGGCAGCCAAAGTCACATCCAGACGAACCAAAGAAGAAGCCAGGGTTGGAACCGCAGCAAATAACAGAATTTATATGTAGTTCATGCATGAAAGGGGGCATCTGCATGGGCTGCATGGGCACAGCCCTGGAGCCCGATCCAAGCTTGAATAAACCAACCCACGAAGGGACTCAGGCGCAAGACTTAAAGCCGGTTGTTGACGAGGACGTGGCCATGGAAGACGCGTCAAAAGTCGCAACCAAACCGGTCGATCAAGGGACTTCCGATCGCCTCCTCTTCCGATGCATCCTTTGCAAGCGACTCGCTCACTATGAACATCTTGCCCGACCGCCCGACCTCGATGCTGACGCGAGTGTCGTGGAAGTCGCGACCTGGTTGCAAGATGAACATTGGAGGTGTTCAGACTGCTTGTCGTTCCAGGATAAAGTAGAGCATGTCCTTGCTTGGCGACCGTACCCTCCTAACGCAGTGGAGCCCCCTCGTCCTTCTGACGAACCTCCGAATGCTAAAGCATCGCTCCCAAGGGAATATCTTGTCAAGTGGGTCGATCGAAGCTACAAACGCGTTCAGTGGGTGCCGCATATGTGGCTAGCTTCCACCCACTTCTCCAAGCTCAAAAATTTCTTGGTTGGTGGCACGAAGGTAGATCTACTCCAGGAGCCTTTCGGGGTCGGAGAACCTATTGAGGAAGCTCAGAAGGTGGACGGTCCGTCTGCTCTGAAAATCCCTGAGGAATCTCGCGCCTCGTCTTCTAAACCTGGTACCGAGCAACACACCTCATCTCCTGGATACCTCGTAAATGCCGAACAGTATATCCCACCTCTTTGGTCGACAGTTGATCGCGTTCTGGACCTCGTCGTATGGAGCCCCATGCACCTTAGGCACGCTCAGAAGTCAGAGGCCAAGAAGTCTCGTCGCCGCCTCGTCAAATCCAGAGACGAAGATGAAGAAGACGAAGAAATGCATGGCGAAGAGAACGAGGAATCGCTAATGGCGTTTAATGAGGTATTTAAACATGGTAACAACCCCCCGGAGAAGGACTCCGAGACGCTTGAAGAGTGGGAGGAGCGGACAGGACAGATATTTTCTATGGAGGACATCAAGCGTGTCGTCTTTGGTTTCTTTAAGTGGTCAGATCTAGGCTACGATGATGGTAAGCACACCATTACTTTACCTTTCAACATTGCTAAGCGACGGCTTTCAGCCACCTGGGACTCGCCGCCTCGTCCTGAAGATGCTTCTTGGCCGGCTTTTGTGAACGCGGTCAAACGATTCATTGCTTCCAGGACCGTGTTCATTAAGAAAGGCACCAAATCCGTACTCGATCGCAAAGGCAAAGGTTGGGAACACAACGGATATATGAAGCAGCACCGGAACGATGTCAAGACACTCGACATAGGGCAGGATCCTTCATTCAAACTTATGGATTTTCAAGTGAGTTGAATTTCACTTGAGTAGCATGGTCTCTAATATTTGGTAATAGCAAGACGGGTTCAACTGGTTGTGTAATAACTGGTGGAATGGCCAGCACTGCATTTTGGCTGATGAAATGGTATGTTACCTGCCATGTTCATTCCTACCCTTTGCTGATACGAAGACGACTTTCCCGCACATAGGGACTGGTTAGTTTCTGGCTCTTTATTGCATAAATCATTCTTACGTCCAACAGGGTAAAACCGTCCAAATCGCAAGCTTCCTGGGTCATATTATCGATAAATTCGATGCCTCTCCCGCCCTAGTGGTTGTTCCTAATTCTACTTTACCAAACTGGGTCCGCGAATTCGAGCGTTGGGCACCGAACCTCAGAGTTGTCCCTTGGTATGGGGAAGCGCGTGCTAGGGATGTCATCAAGAAGTACGAACTCTTTCACAAAGACGTCAATACCAGCAGATACACAGATGCCAAGTTTCACGTTCTTGTGACTACTTACGAAGCTGTCATCAGCCCCAAGGATTTCGGACCCATTTTCAAGAAGCAACCTCGCTGGGAAGTGAGTGTCCTCGACTTCAGTTCTGGTGGCGCGTTGTCAATGACATGTCTATCACAGGTCTTAATTGTCGACGAGGGTCAACGATGTGCGTCTCGATGTTGTCATTTGTCATGTCGAAACTCACGCTAGCTCAGTGAAAAGCGACGCTAGCCTTCTTTTCCGCAAGTTGTCAGAGTTGAACACGATACACAGGATCATCATGACGGGAGTATGTAGACCTCATTTCTTCATACACTGGTCCTCATTATTTTCAGACACCATTGAATAACAACATTCGTGAATTGTTCAATCTCATGAACTTCTTGGATCCCATCGAATGGAACGACCTCGGAGCTCTTGAGAAGGAATACGCCGAACTGACCGATGAACTCGTCAAAGAGCTGCACATAAAACTCCGGCCATATTTCCTCCGTCGTATCAAGAGCGAAGTTCTCGAGCTCCCTCCTAAGGTAATTTCACAACAAATGTCGCGCTGCGCTTCTCTTACATTTACTAGAACGAGGTCATCGTCCCTGTGTCAATGACGCCCCTGCAGAAGGAGATTTATCGATCCATATTGAGTACGAGTATACGCAACTGCCTCGACTTCACGCTGAACCTAAACAGGTCACAACCTCGATATCTTGAAGGGCCTCACGGTCAACGGGCCTTCTGCAGCCGTTTCTGCCAAGAAAAGTAGGCTGACGAATTTGCTCATGGAAATGCGAAAGTAAGTGCTTCGTTGTGTTCATAATTTCTGTGTCATTCAGATTTGAATAGGTGTCTTCAGCATCCTTATATATACGCGAGCGATATCGAACCAACCAACCTCACTCCTCAAGCAACGCACGAGAAATTGATCGACGCAAGTGCAAAGTTCCGGCTACTGAAGCAGCTCCTTCCAAAACTTGAAGCCCGGGGCCACCGCATACTTCTATTCAGCCAGGCAAGTTTCTTCCACAGCACCACGAATGAACAATACCAACTAATGTGCTATGCAGTTTGTGATAGCCCTTGATGTCATTGAAGATTTCGTGGTTGGTGAAGGGTACAAGTGTCTGAGACTCGTAAGTTGGTGTTAGGTAGGGTACAAACCAGCTCATGGTCGCCTTGAAAACTAGGACGGCAATACGAAATCTCGGGACAGACAGAAGAATATGGACGAATTCAACAAACCCAATTCAGAATACTTTATCTTCCTCCTATCGACGCGCGCAGGGGTCAGTGTTTGAATATCGTGTATCTTTGATAGCAACATATTGACTGCGGCTCTAGGGCGTTGGGATCAACCTATATGTACGTGCTTATTTAGATTAGTTCCCTCAAATATACCAACACGTGAACTGATGCTATGTCTAGAGTGCAGACACAGTTATTATATTTGACCCAGATTTCAATCCTCACCAGGTTTGTACCCGCCCGTCTATGTGCTGCCGAAGCTGATGGTTTTTATAGGATCTGCAAGTAAGTTTCTTCATCTATACATATTTAGCGCAGCTCCTAACTTGATGCAAGGCCATTGCCCGTTCACATCGTTTTGGACAACAGAAAACAGTGTTGGTCTTTAAGTTGATGGTTAAGGACTCGGCGGAAGGTAAGTGACACCCCGTTTGACCGTATCGACAGATTAATGTTGACGATTTTGATCAGAGCGCATCATGCAAATGGGCAAGAAGAAACTCGCCCTGGAACATCTTATTGTCAAGAAGATGGAAGACGACGACTCTGCCGGAGAAGACATACATTCTATTCTCACATATGGAGCCAGGGCTCTCTTTGATGACAGCGAAGGAGCTTCCAAGGATGTCATATGTCCGTTCATCGTTAATAGAGGGGGTCTAACCATAATTCTCACTTTTTCTTCTAGACTCGGATGCCGACATTGACAAACTGATTGAGCGGACGGAGAAGGAGACTCAGGTAGTTGAAAAGAAACCCGAGGGCGGGCTTTCTTTTGAATTTGCCAAAATCTGGTCCGCAGACAAAGACAGCTTGGAAGAGGTCCAGGAAACGGATGGGAATGACAATTCGTGGTCGCTTACTTTGCAGAAGATAGCAGCTGAACAAGCCTCCGCGCGAGTTGCTGAAAAGGCGTCGGGGCGTGGTGTGCGTCGGAAGGCAACTAATGTAGCAGGGGTATGTTTAACTTCTTTGCCCTATCCCAACGAGTCACCTAACCTATTCACAGCCTGATGCGTATCGGGAGAATCCTCCGACCCCCGTGAAGTCGAAGAAGGCATCCAAGAGTCTGTCCGATGGTTCAGATTACGGTGCTGCAATTTTGTCGATGTCGTCGTCGTCGTCGGCTTCGGATGATGACGAAATTGAGACCACGTATGAGGAACCTAAGACAGAAGGCAAGAAACGGAAGGCGAAAACCCGCTCACCAAGACCCTCGGTCTCTCAACCTCAGTATGTTCCGTATGCATCGGGCGACATGTGTAGTCTCTGCCACACGAATCACGCAGACAACGGAGGGGAATGTGGGATGACAAGAAACTCGCAAGATCTCGTTGCGTTCCGATTGGCGTTGATGACCGATGACGACGACGAGGATATCGAAGTCAGGGTCAGTTACTTTATCGAACCCTTTAACTTACCACCCTTCTGACATGCTGCCTTCCGTAGAGAGCTGCAATCAAGGCTATCGACGAAACACTTGCTCGACGGGGCGACGGTCATCTCCTCTACAGACAACCGCTCTTCCTGCTTGATAAGCAGCCAGCTCAACACTCAACTGCCAATTCATCATCTACGAGCCACCACCAACCCGTTGTGCCTACAATATACTATGCCGCAAACGCTCCAGCCGCTCCCGTTGCACCACCTATTCCAACACATCACACCTCAGTCTTCCCCAGCACTAGCCAGATAGTAATGCACAACCCCGAGCTCAGTAGGCCGAAGCCGAAGAAGCACAAGAAACCATTCCAGTGTCCTGTTTGTGATCAACAGACATACCATCTAGTCAAGGATTGCCCGATTGTTAACCTTGGGTCTCGTAGGTAAGACAATTAACCTTTTTGTTGAACTCGTGGATGTTGAATCAATCCACCTCTCAGAATCGCCGTGGAAATCGCTCGTCTTGACAAGGATCCCACCAAGGCTGGTGTCGTCGACATCTTGCGAACTATATACGCTAGGTCGGTCAAGAGTGAAAAAGCCCTTGGAAATCCATCCACTTAGACAATGCCCGACAATCACCCTAGCAAATAGACTACCATTCAGTGCAATATATGACAATTTGTAGATAATATACGTATCTTAGCACCTGCCGGACTTTATCTGCACTCTGCGAGTCAATACCACCAAGTGCTTCTGCTTCCCAAATATTTGTACTCGTTAAGGCCACTCCGATCGTACTTCCAACCAACCTCCATTGCATCCTGTTCCATGTATGAAGCCGAAAAATGAACATCCCTGCATCTTCTGCCACTAACACAGGCGAGACACTGCCTAGTCGCAAACGCCCACGACCAGACGCGCTTTCGGACCCCCCAAATCATGATGTCGGACTAAACGTCCGTGCGCCACCCAAACTCCCGAAGGTGGATTGCGAGCTTCTACTGGAAGCATATACGCACAGATCACTACGGAAACCAGTGGGCGATGTCGAAGACCGGCTCTGCGATAATGAACGTCTTGCCGTACTTGGGAAATCAGTGCTTGGTCTGGTCATCACAGGCATTTTGTACAAGCAGAAACCGCGTCGCGATGCGGAAGAAATAGAGGTGAGTATCTCCAATGCGCTTGGAGTACTTCAAAGCAATAACAACTTCTTGCAATTGTGAAGGTTGAACTTGCCCAGCTATCGCGTGAAGTGGAATGGGCTCAGATGTACGGTATGGTAGAAAACATACGATGCCATCCAAATTCACGCGACGAGTTACGCGCGGAAGAGGTACGCATATATCTCTGCGGTGCAAAAATACATCTGACACTGCGTAGACGGTGCAAACCGTGTTCCGAGCGTTCACAGGCGCAGCATTCATCTCCAGCGGCCTCGATGCGATTGAAGAATGGATTGAACAATTACTGCAGACTGGTGACGACCTTGATGCTGAAACAACGATTTGTCCGCCACAAAACCACACTGCCAAGGACTCACATCCTCACAAAAAGGCAAGGACATCCGAACCAGCAAGCCCCCAAGTATTCTTTGCGTCTCAGCCCTTTCGAAAACCACTCGATCCGGCCCCGTCCATAGGAAATCCTTTGACACCGGCCCAACCTAATCTCCCTTTCTTGCCATCCTTTCACCAGGCTGCTTCACGCCGAGGTGTCTCTGTCACATATACCATTGAACATGCTGGAGCAAACCATTCCGGGCAATGGATTGCGCAGTGCCTCGGTGAGTCGACTCCAGTGAGACTTGCGATGCTATATCTGACTCCGGTCATCCTTGATTAGTCAATGGAATACTGAAAGGTGTGGGCTCTGGTGGGAATAAGCAGGCAGCAAAGGAGGCGGCAGCAAGGAAGGCGTATTATGCCATGGGTTGGACCTAAGTCAGCCGCACTTTGTCAGCGTCGCGATGGTGCCAGACAGCCATATTCCGATGCTGCAGTCTGACAAACACGCAAGACCGAGCCCCGGCGGCTCACCAGGACGCGTCTGCCTGCTCGACTGTACAGTGGCCTTGCTGGGATCAGGGAATACGGACCATAAACCTTTTTATCTAGCATAACAATCAGTACGATAATCATAATAGCACAATAATGGTTTGCCTGTCTGGCGAGGTTCCAGCAGCAGTGTGGCTCTGCGAGCTATGAGTCATGTGATGTTTACCGCTTCCGAGCCTTTGAGGTATTGCAAATTGGGTTATATATCGCGCTGACCTTCGCCATCGCCCCCCTGCTCTTCTTCCTCCCGACCATCACTGCCGTTGTTCGCGACAATGGCCTCCTCGTCGTCCCTCGTCGCGGCGCCCTCCCTTTCAAAGCTCTCCCTCAGCTCCGACTCAGGCTCTTCCCAAGCAAACCACATAGATCTCACTCTTGATGACGACGACGCCTATCACGATCCTTACGGCCAGGAACGATATGCCAAACGCCCTCGAATCGAGCGCACCGACTCAATGCAGTCCTCAGCCATATCTTTTCCGCCCGCAAACAACTTTCGATCTTCACCTATGAACCATGGCGGATTTGACTCTTCAAACGCTCATTCTGGCTATGCGGCTGAACCCAATGGCAACCGCGTTGCACAGAGTTCTTCCCATATTTCTCCCAATAGTTCCCCTTTCTATCAACCATACACACCGATGTCTGCTACACCTGCTGTGTCTCAATTTTACGCAGCACAACAGCGCCAAGAGGCTCACAATCCTGTTCGCAACTCAATGTCTATGCCAGCTATACCGTCTGCGTTATCACCTAGGCCTCTCGCTCCAGCCGCTTCAGATCCTCAAGTAATAGATTTGACCAATTCGCCCTCCCCTCCGCCCTCTCATCCCCTTCATGCGAATACACCACTACCCGACGATCTCTCTCCAAAGACACCCGTATGTATCGGCCAAGTCCATGCAAATGCTCTTGTCTTGTCTCCCATTGCCTACGTAATTGCGCCCAATGGGCAAGATAATGAATGGGCGAGCGTCAGACTCCGTTATGAACCCCCCAGCCCGGATAAGAGGGAGACAATCCAAATCAGGACGCTAGATGTGAAAGCAGCGAACGGTGAGCTGCTCCCGGGCGAGATGTTTGGCGTGGTAGAGCAGAAGGCCACCTGTGTCGTTGGACCCATGCTTTACAAAGGCCTGATCCGAATCGAAGCACAAGTGCGCAAGGTTGCACGACCGGTGAGCCCATCAAACAAAAAACCCAAACACTCCCTTACGCTGCATTAGCTTCCCATCCTCCCCCTTCAGATGCTCGTCTATACGCCAAAGGGAAATATACCCCATGTCGCGAAATTCTTCGCGGACTGCAGGCTTATGTTAGATCATCCCAGTCCTTCATTCGATCTCCTGCGCGTTTCTAAATACCCTTACTTCAACCCACATAACCCACCTCCTGGAGGATTCAATCAAGCATTTCTTAATAAACTAGGCTACGGTTCTGTCAATAATGTTGGCCGATGGGGGTCGCCATCGGTGGCGGCAAAGAGTGTTGAGGTTCAACGGAGTCAGGTGGAGGAGCTGTTTAAAAGTATGAAGGACGGCGACGAGCTTGTGGAGACGGATGCCAGTACGTTATCGAACACTTCACATCAAAGTAGTTCTCGGTTTGGGGACTAATTTTTCTCGACAGCTTCGGACGTCGCTACTAAACTCTATCCTCACCAGAAGAAGGCCCTTACCTTCTTACTAGACCGTGAACACGAGAAACCTGCAGGCGATAAGTTTGCCTCTCTCTGGAAGAAAGAAATGGATCCCATGTCAGGTCATCTCGTATGGGTCCACGTAGTGACTAAGGAACAAGTCTACCAAGAGCCCAAGGAAAGTAAGGGATCGATATTGGCAGACGATGTTCGTCTTCTTTCCCCTCTTTTGTCACTTGCACTGACTGATTTGAATCCTCTTGTCAGATGGGGCTTGGTAAGACCATTACGTGCGTCTCTCTTATTGCGGCCACTCTTTCCGCGTCCAGGGCTTTCGCAGCCGAGCCCCTAACACCTGTCGCCCCTCCATCCGGTCACATGGACCCCGATGCGTCCGAATTTGCAGGATCCGTTTGGGGCATGCCTGAGAATAACGGCGCAAGTTCTAGCAAAGCCCAAGCGAAGGCCGCGCGGAATCAGGAGAAAATGGATTCGGAATACGCTAGAGCATGCCGAATCAAGGTGCGCAGCCGGGCGACGCTAATCCTCTGCCCCTTGTCAACTGTGTCAAACTGGGAGGATCAGTTTAAGGATCATTGGAAAGGCGATGTTACAATAGTTGGGGGCTCCTCTGGTTGTGCCCCTCCTCCTTTACCCTCCGCTTCCTCAGGCTCTTCGACGCCCTCGCAGAGTACACTGCAGTTCGGTCAAAACGAATCCAAGGCCCAGGGCCGCTCCGGGACGTCCCTGCGGGTGTATATTTATCACGGTAACGCACGACGCCCAGACCCCGCCTTCTTGTCCGATTTTGATGCAGTGATCACCACCTACGCCACTCTAGCTTCAGAATACTCAAAGCAAAGTAAAAGTCTAGCTAACGTGGACGCTGAGGATGAAGATGAAGATGGCCCAAGTAGTGATTGCGGGGGCGTCGACGTCGACGACAATGGAAATCAAATACTGAGGTTGCCGAAGCCCAGGAAGTCAGGTTTGAAACGCAAGAAGAGGTGCACGGCAAACGCCACGGAAACCAGTAGTGCCCTCCAAAGTGTTCATTGGTTCAGGGTGGTCCTCGACGAGGCTCAGTACGTCTCTTTGAGTGTTGATCAATTCCTGACAATGAATAATCCTCTCCAGCTGTATCAAGGAAACATCCACAGTTGGAAGCAGAGCCTCGTGCGATCTTGTTGCGGACAGAAGGCTGTGCCTTACTGGTACCCCAGTCCAAAACAAATTGGACGACGTGTTTGCCTTAATCAAGTTCCTGCGTCTTACGCCGTTTGACGACAAGACGGCATGGACGCAGTACATTGGCGGACCGGCGAAATTTGGCCAACCGCTTGGTATTGCCCGTCTGCAGACCATCATGAAGTTCATCACCCTTCGACGCACCAAAGAGACTCGCACCCCCGACGGGCAAAAAGTGCTCTCCCTGCCACCGAGACGAGACGAGCTGCGGTACCTCAGATTTGACGAACAGGAGAAGGCCATCTACGACCAGTTCTTCCATCAATCTCAAGCCGAATTCCAAGAGATGACGGATAAAAACGAAGTCATGAAGAACTACGTGGGTATCCTGCAAAGAATCCTTCGGCTTCGTCAAATATGCGATCACCTCGAGCTCGTGCAGAACAAATCATCCGACAGTTCTGCGTCCTACGAAGACATCGTTGCTGCGATCAGCAAGGAAGGCATCAACCCGGCGCGCGCCGCTGCCATCTTCTCTATGCTCAGAGACTCCGCAACGGCTCAATGTGTAGAGTGCGGCACAGAGCTGTGCTCAGCGACCGATCTAGCCCAGGCTGAAACAGCCGAAGCTGAGAATGGAAGCACCGTCAAGAGAGGTAGGAAACCAAAGGGCGCCCAGTCCCGCGTCCCTACAAGACAAAACAGTCCAACGAATCCACAGCCCGTCCTCTCTCGGTGCTTGCATCTATTCTGCATTGAATGTTACCGTAACTCTATTTGTCCTGGCTGGCCCAATGTACCACCACAGACCACTCGCTCATGCTCAGCTTGCCAAACGAGCTTAAATCCCCAGGACGCCGTGGAAATCAATCCCGATTCCCTGAATATCGATGCGCCATCCGCGTCTACAAAGAAGAGGTCCACGAAGCGGGAGAAACGACAGAAGGCAACACTGGAGTCTTTCCATCCGTCTACGAAAATCAAGGCGCTTATGCAGGATTTGTTGGGCTTCTCTCGGGCGAATCCGAACTCAGCAAATTACGACCCTTCATCCATCGAAGTTCAGATGATTGATCAGCAAGGCAATTGTGTTGACGAAGGCGCCATTAAGACAGTTGTTTTGTAAGGCATTCCATTCCGCGTGGTAGTTGCGAAGTCTAATATCGATCCGTTTAGCTCCCAGTGGACAAGTATGCTCGATAAGTAAGCGTTGTGCGTTACGACCCGCTCTTGTTCTGATTGTAATTAGGATCGAGGACGCTCTCGAGATGGCTGGGATAAAGTACGATCGGCTGGACGGTACCATGAAGCGAGAAGACAGGTCTCGCGCCATGGATGCGTTGAAGTTCGACCCAGCTTGTGAAGTCCTCCTGGTCAGTCTCAAAGCGGGAGGTGTTGGCCTCAACTTGACCGCCGCTCAACGGGTATATCTGATGGATCCTTACTGGTACGTTCAACATCTTCTAGGTGCCGGAAAGGCGCTCACCTATTGCCTAAAGGAACCCTGCTGTAGAGAACCAAGCCGTAGATCGTATTGTAAGTTATCTTCAGTTCTATTGTCGGCCTGGCTCTAAATGCCGCGTAGCATCGACTAGGCCAGACGCGACCAGTCACAACCATAAAGTTCATCATTGAGAATTCAATCGAAGCCCGATTACTAGAAGTTCAAGCCAAGAAAACCAGACTAGCCGACGTAACGCTTGGTCAAAATGGCTTCAGCAAATCGGAGATTTTGGCGAGACGAATGGAAGACCTCACCAAATTGTTTTCATAGCGGACTTTGTTTGGCTGCTGGTGCACGTATTGTATACTCGCGTATAGTTATTTGTCTAGGCCTCCTTCCATAATGTAGAATACTTTGTATGTATTTCGACATGGGTTTATTTCCGTTGCAGTGAAAGTGTGACAAGTAATACATGACTTTTAGAATGCGAAATGGGCGACGTTTTTCCTTCTTCCTAACGTATATACCAGGACCTGGCTGACAAAGAGACCGATGGTGACACCGGACGCGACGGAGATCATGCGAAGTGCCAGAGTAAAGCCGGAGTAGTATTGTTCCGCCGAACTATGGAAGTTCTGAGCCAATCCCCCTCCTTGGGCAATAGCACTCTTACGAGTTTGTTAGTTTGCTGCCGGCGCTTTGGAGGAATCAGCCGTAGCTCACCGGGACCAGAAACAAGACGCCCGTAACCATAGAAGTAAAGGCAGTCCCACCGATGATCCGCGAGTAGAGGTTGCCTAAGACACCGATAGCGAAAGCTCCAGCGGCAGAAGACAAGTCGGTCCGACCAGGTACAGCGAGCGCAGCAGCTTTGTTGGCGGTGTAAGAGCAGCAGGAAAAGATGACCATGACCGGGAGTTGTATGCTGCGATAGGACTGCAGATTCGAGAGAGACGAACAGATCGAGTACAGTGGTACCAGAAAGAGCATGGTCCACCAGGGGAAGGGCTGTCTATACCAAGGCCAAGAGTCGTCCCGATAGCATCCTTGAAGGAGAAGGCGTGGACGTGTGAGAGTTAATGGACAAAGGCTACGGTAGTGTTACCTTTGAAGACATGCTCTTGTTCCAGCATCTCACCGATACCGAGGACACCGCTAATTACTTGAGAGGTATTTCCGCTATCGAAGAAAGAGAAGTGCCCTTGGGAATATGTCAGATTGGTAGGCAGAGCGCTGCGATAATATCCCCGACGAGCCCGCCGGTCGACCAATAGATAGAAGTCGGAGCCAATGGTAAGACCAAATCCCTGCGAATGTCAGTAGCTTGACAGTATGGTCGGAAATGTACGCACTAGGAAGAGGGTATAGATGATTGCATACACGACCCTAACAGAACCACAGAAAATGTTCTTCGACATCAATTCCAAAGCGCTTATCACTGCTCATTATCGTCAGAGATGGCTGGACCACCGTGGCTCCCTTTGCTTACGAATGGTAAAGCCAGGCAAAATGACCACAATCCCTGCAGAAGAAATCGCACTGTAGCAAAACAGATTCCCGTTGATGCTACTCAGGCCTCTTGCAACGAACGCAACGACAATGGATACTGATATCCTATAATGTGGGGTCAGTACCAGGACGTACACGGAAGCTTACTGGTCCTTACTCGTATACATTAGCGTACATTGCACTTTTGTTGGCTGCCGTCAAACCCAAGTATTGAAGAAGAGACGCACAGAGGCCACTGATCCACATGTCGATGATCGAGCCACCGAAAGATAGAACACAGATGATCGATGCACATAGAAAGGCGAGAAAGCATCGAGCAGCCAGAGGGTAGATGGGAGGTCGTCTTAACAACTCTTTGAGTGCCACTGTTCCTTCAGCCGCGGTAATGGTATCATGAAGAACGTCCCGATATATGAGGTGAACCTTGTGGAGAGAAGACAATGCGACGCGTCCTCTAGCGCGGACGAAGTGAGTTCTACTGGACTTGGTCTCGCCATTTCGTATGGTGACGATGAGGATATTCGGAAGATGTACAAATTCTGCATATTGTTAGTAGCGGTAGCAATGCCTTGACTTGGAAAATCTAACCTGCTTGGGCATCTAGGATTTCCGATGCAGCCTGTAATTGGGATTCGATTCGATGGGACGGGGCACCGTAGTGAAGTAGCGCCTTTGCTAGTTTGAGGATGAAGGTCCGGCGGATATTCACGTCTACCTAGTGTATGAGTGCCAATCCAAGTCGAAAGCTTTGTGTACTCCAACAACCTTCAATGTTTTTGGCGACGGCAGAAGAGCGCCGACGATGCATCAGCAAAGAGCGTATGGGTCTCAACGAAGCTACGGAAGCTAATCGTCCCGCCTTCGGTCTGGTGGGTGCAGTAGCGGGTGCGTCGGTAGTAGCTTCATCCATCGCGACCCGGTCCTTCGGTTCCTCGCCTGGGACAGCAGCCAAAGTAGCGTCTGAGGGAGCGTTGAGGTCCGGGACTACTTCAGTCACAGGCGTTTTCCGCTCTTCGTCGATTCTACTTAGAGGCCTGTTCGTCGGCTCAGTTCCTGGTTCGTGTACGTAAATCCCAAGGTTATTTGGCTGCTGAACAACAGGACTAGGGTCCATATATCGTTCAAAAGGGTTCGGTAAACTGTCTTGAGTATCTTGAGAGGTTCCATTGTCGTTATTCATGGTAGAATCGCCTCGACGAATGTCGCTGGTCGAGGAGAAAGAAGGTTGGCAATCTTGTTTGGTCAAGCCAAATAAGTATGGTTCTTGGAGGTAATTACTTGTTTGGTTCCCTTCCTCCACCCAACCTCCATCAACGCGTCTAGTGAGGTGAGGCCGTTGATATCTCCTTGCGCACGACATTATGGCGCATCAAACGTTGATGTTGTTTTCCATGACACTGTGCCATTCAGCAACCCACTTGTAATCGCGAACTTACGCAACAGAGGTGTTTGTGCGCTCTGCGGAATTCAAGGAGTCCACACTGTTTCCGCTGCTATTCAGTAATATATCGTCCCACATATATGCCGGGGCAATAAAGGAGAGCTTGAGTTGATGAGACGAGCTATCAGCTCTTTCCGTTAAAGTGGTGAGTCTGTTGTCAAGCAAATGATACCCCTTTGGCTGATGAGCTCGGCACCCCGTACTTAGATGCCCGGAAAGCTATCTGCATCCTACAGACAAGCTCTCTCCGATATTCCGGGATTCCCCGTTCTAGTTCCGTCTGCAATCGACTACCGAGCCAGCGAAGAGCCAAATCGGGTGATTCTGACATATCCTCAACCAGGCACCAAGCAATTCGTCGACGTAACATGGGGCCAGTTCACCCACGCAGTAGACAAGGCTGCATGGAAATACGACGCTCAAATAGGTGCACGACGTGTTTCTTCGGACCCCGTCAAAGTCGTCGGGGTGTTGGCACGCAGTGATGTTGCCTACATGGTGACAATATATGCTCTGCATAAATGCGGCATCACCCCTCTGATGATCTCAACGCGCAACTCTCATGCTGCAATTGTCAACCTACTCAAGTTGACAGGCAGCGTGGCGTTGCTAGCTGATCCATACCACAAGTTTGCAGCCGAGGCAGCAGTGGCAGAAGTTGGCGATATACCTATCTTCGTTCCTGCATCCCTTCCTGGCCAAGTCCTCGAGGACAGAAGACCCTTCCCCTTTAAGTTAAAGTACGCTGACGAATGCGACAACCCTGGAGTTATCTTGCATACCAGCGGTTCCACGGGTCTCCCAAAACCCGTAGCTTGGTCGACTCGCTTCTTTTGGCACCAAACCTTCTACCCGGACGAATATGTCAAAAAATACTTCGGTTCCTCTTTCCTATCCACCCTGCCTATGTTCCATGGCTCAGGCTTCTCATTGATTCGCGCGTCTCTACTATGGTTGGGATGGAAAGTGATATTTCCAGATCCGTCCAAGCCGGTCACGGCATCTGCAATCGCAGACATCTGTAACCAAATATCACCCGACATTGTTGCTGGCGCCCCGTCCGTCATCGAGGAGATTACTGACCTTCCCGGCGGGATGGATGTGATGAAGGGCAGGAGGACGTGGTTCTTCGTCGGTGCCCCGGTCCCTCCCCACGTTGGAGATCTCCTCGTAAAAGAGGGCGTGCACATCACGCCTAACCTTGGTTCAACTGAAATCGGGCAAATGAGTGTATTGGAGCCAGAGGGGCGGACACCGGAAGACTGGAATTACCACGAGATCAGGCCTGACCTCGATACCAAATTGCAATCGCACGGCTCGACACCGGACGAGGGACCCTTCGAGTTAATTATCTTTGCAAAAGATGGGTGGAAGCCCGGAGTCATCAATGTGACCATTGATGACATCGAAGGATATGCCACTTCGGACCTATACCAACGACACCCTACACATCCAAGACTACTAAAACATTGTGGTCGTGTCGACGATGTCATTGTATTGTCTAATGGAGAGAAGACCCTGTCACGCGCCATCGAAGTACCAATCGAAGCCCACCGTCTTGTACAGAATGCCATCGTGTTTGGATCCGGGCGAGCCCAGAATGGTGTCTTCATAGTACCTACTCCGGAGGCTGCGTTCGACCCGCGGGATATGGAAAGGCTTGCCGAGTTTCGTGAGGATATCTGGCCTTCCGTAGAAAATGCGAATTCCGTTAGTCCAACCCACTCTCGCATATGGAAAGAAATGCTCCTGGTCGCCTCGCCCGACGTAGAGTTGCCACGCACGGATAAAGGGAGTCTAAAGCGCAAACTCGTCCTCGAGTTATATGAAGACCAGATCGACGAACTCTATGCTACCATGGAGAATACAGCTTCTGTGAAAAGCCCCTCTTTACCAGAAGCTCTCACCACTGACACATTTACTGTCTATTTCACCCAACTGGTGAACGAAACTATGAACAAGGTCGTTCAGCCAACCGAAGACGTCTTCGAACTTGGAATGGACTCATTGAAGGCAATATTCGTACGGAATTCTTTGCTCTCCTCACTCAAGACAGATGATAGGACAAAGGATGTCGTCGGCAATGTGCCTCAGAACTTCGTGTTCGCCAATACAACGATTGAGCAGATGGCTAATGCTCTCGCTTTACTACTGGAAACGGGTTACTTGGGAGAAACGGGGCAAGAGTCGACCGAAGAGCATACACGGATGATCAACGAAATGGTCGCAAAATACACGAAGGGATTTCCGAAGCACGAGGGCCTAGATGAACAAAATGTCGATAGTGAAGTGGTAGTCCTGACCGGCTCCACCGGATCCCTGGGAACATACCTGCTCAATTCGTTGCTAGCTCAGCCATCCGTCGTCAAAGTGTACGCGCTGAACAGAAAAGGATCTTCTTCGTCTGAACAGCGTCAAGAGAAGGCCTTCGCAGAACGGCAACTAAATGCCGAGGGGCTTTGGAAAGAAGTCAGAACAGGCCGGCTTGAATTCCACGATGTCGAGCTCAATCAGCCGGAATTTGGCTTACCAGACGCTGTCTATAAATGCATCCTCGCTTCCACGACTCTAGTGATTCACGTGAGGCATGCGTGTATCAATACCGCCGTGCTGTGTTGACAGATCCTTTTAGAACGCTTGGTCTCTCAACTTCAACTGGTCACTCGGCACGTTTGAGCCTCATATAAAGGGTGTTCGCAACCTAGTCGACTTCGCACTCTCCTCCCCAAGGAAACACACTCCGCGGGTTGCTTTCACGTCCTCAATATCGACCGTAGGCACATATACGACCAGTGCGGTACCCGAAGCACCATTGGCTGACCCTATAGTTTGCATGCCTCACGGATATGCCCGTGCTAAATTTGTCAGTGAACGGATACTAGCCGTGGCTGCGGAAGAGCGTGGTCTATCTACGGTGTCCTTTCGGATCGGACAAATCGCGGGTGATAGCGTTCATGGCATCTGGAACTCGTCTGATAGCGTCCCAGCTCTGTTGAAAGGATGCCAGGAGCTAGGTGTCATACCAACTGATTGGGTGCCCTCTTTATCGTGGACGCCCGTTGACACTGTTGCACAAACGATCATTGACGTTTGCATGAACCACGAAGAAGGTCATGGCACATTCCACGTCTCCCACCCTTCTCCAACTCCATGGCTTGACGTGGTGCCTCACATTGCAAGCCGTCTCGCGACCAAAACTCATCCTGAGATCAAGGCCATAACTATGCGAGAGTGGGTCCTCCGGCTGAAAGAATCTGGACATTCACCTGAGACGAATCCGGCTATGAAGCTTATTGCATTCTTCGAGAATGCAATGAATGGCGGGGGCGTTCGCTGCCGACTGGATTTATCCAAAACGAAGAACCTGTCATCGGCCCTGAAGGAAGCCCATGCGCTCGACCGGTCTACTATAGATTTGTTCTTGAACCATTGGAAAAGCACAAGCTTTCTGCTGTAGTATTGCCTATAAGGCTCAAGATATTCACGGCTCCTCTGCACAGCGAGGATATCAACGCGCCAGTCTATCCAAACCTTTAGGAATCTAGAATTGTAAACTCTTAGCCTAGTGTCATAATGATGAGTAGAGTTGAATACCTTCCACCCATGCGTCAACGCCGCACGTTTATATCCGTCGAGGGCTTCCAATATACCGTAAGGTCTGGGTAAAGCAGCTTCAGCTGACCGCTCTACGGTAGAGCTCGACTACGTACCTATCCCAATCACGAGCTAGCTTCGCAGGGAAGGGTTCTAAATTGGATATCGCAAGCCTGATTTGCAGCAGCACAGAAGAAATGCTAGGAAGGTTCAGCTCGACATCTAGATAAACATAATTGAATGATCACCTACCCGTAACTAGGCAGCCATCCTGATAGATTCTCAGCTCAAAGATCCTACCGTCAATGTAGAGAAGTTACTCACCATCGGCAGTCAAGAGATCCATACATATGGAACCGCCTTCAATATCGTTCGTCAGCTCAGGAGCCGCTATTAAGTGTTTGGGAGCTGACCGAGTGTAATATGACCGCCCCCTCCTTGCGAAAACCCCAGAAATCTAGGAGTAAGTAGTCTAAAGAAGGGAGGGGAATGGGGAAAGTTTGGGGGAAATCGGATTTCAAAGATCAGCGAATTGATTCCCCTCAAAAGATGTCAGTTTCATGTTGGGATGGTTCAGTAAAGCAAAAACCTACTTTGACTTCATCTGCTCGGTGAGGGGCAAGCTCTCGTCGAAAGAATGTAGTTCGACAATCCACTGGAATAGGTTATCCATGATTCCGCCACCTTCATCATCGTCATCCTCGCCCAAGCTTGGCAAGAACCAACCCAGCTCACGGAGGCCTCCTGGTCTCCTACTCGCCGCCTTTTGTTCTTTCAGCATGTCACGTAGTTCTCTTTGGACTGCCGTCGTTGCGGCCGTCGATGCCTCAAGAGGAGGTGGCATTAGGTTCGCTACGGCTTGGCGGACATAATCCCGATTTGGTGTCCAGTCGGGCACGGCTGATCTCTGTCATTGAGCCAACGAATAAAAAGGAGACCACTGCCTACGTTGTGAACCTGAACCTTGGGTTGGGGCAACCGGTTCGGCTTCCCAGTTGAAAATTTCCTGGTCTTCTTCATCGTTTTCTTCTTCCACATGTTCGTCTCGACGGGCGGCCACGAGCCGCTCAATTTGGAAAGTGGGTTCGGGGATGATTATGGCCTTGTTATTGAGAGTAACAGCGGCTTTCGGATCTATGGGAACATTGGGTGGCACAGCACTGGCGGCTTGGGGAGGGTCATTAGCAGAGGGTGCGTCGGATTCGGGAGGTGATTCTTCGTCCGCGCGAAGGTTTCCTTTCACTAGAAGGTAGCGACTTAATGTATGTCAGGCGTGTATCGTATGATCGTTGTGGATCGTCATACCACATGATCCAGTTCGTATCCTGGACGACATAATACGGGTTGTGGCTGACGAACTCCTTTGGGACGTTCACGACTTCTGCCAAAGCTATGCAACTCGAAGGAAGGATTTCGCTATTCCTCCAGGCAGTGACGGTCGGCTGGCCATACCCCATGGATATGGAACCGTCCTTCGCCAAGTAGACACCTAGGGATCTTGAGTAATAGCTTCAAGGGGCACCATCGTCCATAATCACCATGGCCATAAGCTCGTCCGTGGGTGACCTCTTTGTACCATAGGCCATGTCGAACTATCTACAATAACATACATAACAGCATCCTATCACACGATGGTCAGACTCACGGAATGCCAGTTCTTCATGGGGGAACCGTGGAAAGCCTGCCGAATAGTCATCAGTATGCAATTGAACGGGAGAGAAAAGTCCGACATAAAGAGTAGGAAACTTCTTCGCGTTTTTGCACCGTCCTTGCGCCGCATGGATGGCAGTTTTGAATTTCGCTTCCGCGTCAGGTGCACCGACACTGAAACGGAATTGCCTCCAGGATGGGTCTACAACGAATGAGTCCTGGAGTGATATCAGAGAGAGGATATGACTCACCAATGTTGCCGACGATATTGTCGCCTTTGAGCTCCTCTAAATGAGCCGTACAGGATGCCACACACCTGACGCTCTATGTAGAAACTGAGCAAAACTTTCAGAGACGATGCTCACCATCTGAGAACAGACCAGGCAGCGGGGAGAATGGCAGGGTCGAGGTCCTTCAGCTTTGGTTTGGAAGACCCAGGGTGGGGTTTCTGTTGCAAATGCTTCTTCATTTTCTCAATCTGAATAATGACCACTGTCAATGGGCGCTGTGAGTGAAAGATGTACACTCACTGGAGGCAAAGAATTGATGAGCTCCGCTATCGCCATTCTCATCTATATGATGAAGTTAAACGTAGACAGCGGAAAGCCATTTATGTATACCTTATGCTTTGAGAGTTGATCGAAATCGTAGAGACCATCTTCGTCCGGGGTCAGCGGTTCCTCAGTCGCGGTAGCTTGAAGTGAAGGCATCTGGGCTAACCAAGCACCTGGCACCGTACGCGTTGGTAACGCTACTCGTAACGCCATGCCAATTGGCAAAGGATCGTCCATTACCCCTTCCGCCGCCGCCGAGTAAGCGAGTGCAACCAGGAGGTCCACCATTTCCGTATTGTGGATGATCTCGTACTGAAAGAGGATGAGAAATACTCATGTGGTATATATATATATATATATATATCTTACCTCGAGAGACGGCCCTTGGTTATATGCGTAGTATTGGTACGAGCACAACTTCGAGTCGCATACATATGGCTTTAGAGCTTCAAATTGGGCCCTCGTCTTGTTGTGGCACACCACGCAATAGCGCGCAATAAACTACTCTGCTTTGGCAATGAGCAACTACGAGATGACTGTACACTGACCTGGATTCGACGAAGAAGGTAGGAGAATGCGACTAGAGGTAGATTGAACTCCTCTGTCGGGTTTAAGTCTGCCAACGGATCATCTGGAAGCACATAGGTCACTCCCAGGTTTCGCTCTTCTTCGTCTTCCGCTAGGATGGCCTATAAACAGTGGGTCAATCCCTGGATCGTGAATTTCATAAAGCCGTACCTCATAATTGCCTTGATATACGTCCTCAGGCGAAAGTTGTTTCTGTTCCACCAACGAACAGAGGAATTCCGCGGCGGACCATCCCAACCCAAACTTGCGTCTCAATTGGATAATCTTCAAGAAGTAGGTATTCATCAAAGTATCCAACGGTGTGCTCAAGCTAAAAGTTTCAAATCGGCCATCGTCTTTCGCTTCTTCATTAGGCTCCGTTGTAGTTGATTCCCGGATGTCTAAAGGTGTAAATCAGCAACACATGTTTAAGCGGACCGGAGGGCCTGATCACCGTTCGAGACTAGGCCAAAAGTGCGGAAAGCTTCTTTTGCCTCCTTAGCACTGGCTTTATATGTACTCGATAAGCCTACCCTGAAAGCTATCGAGGTACCCGAGTTCGTAGCTTCCGTGTAGTAGCGTCCATCAGCTGCAAGAGGTGGATAATGTCCATGAAAGCCAGACATCAAAAGGGTTAGATGCTGTCGGCGAGAAAGTATACGTCGGTCCCAGGCCATGAGCGCGCGAGGCGGAATCATCTCGGTCAAGGAGACGATAGGCAGGGATATGCTAATGCAGTAGTCGCCACCAAGAAAACGAGTGAAGCCAGGTCGGTATCCGGCAGCCACTGTCTCGGTGAAGTCCCTACCTAAATTGAGTAATGGTAAGCGGGAGATGGAAGTTGGTTACTTATGAATCCGAGCCAAGGGAGCATGTGGTCGAGCTTCCGCTTTGCGAACATTAGAGAACCTATCATCATCGAAGCTTTCATAACCTTCATACTCATCCTCATCGTCGCTACCTTCCTCAGGGTCAGACATTTCGTGATCGCCCTGATCTTTCACGCGTTGAAGTCTCCTCGAGAGCGTTGAGAGTAATTTCGAGATCATGGATTCGATGGGTTGAGGAGAGAAATCAGCTACAGACTCAATGGCACCCTGCACAGAGTCAGGTAGATTGTGAGTAGACGATGCTGCGAAGACCGAATGGCTAGAGGGGTAATCCGAAGTATCTGGGGGACTTCAATATGAATGTGGATTTGATGGGACGAGTGGCAAACCTGAGACGAAGACATTGAGTTGGAGTAGGCCTATCTTATTCTCTATGTCTTTGATCGTAAGCTCGAACGAGCCCTCGTCCTCCCCCGCGCTACAATCTGGAAATGCCACAAGCAACGCATCATCACCCCGCTCAGTCAGTGTTATGACCAAGTGGTCGTTCATTGCTTACGCTCGAGTTTTAAGCCATCTAACACAAAGCCATTCGCGCATTCCTCTACCATGTCTGCGAGATCCGCTTTAAAGCGCCGTCGCCCTTTCAAAGACGCGTTCTTCGCGATATTTCGAGTGGGTGGCGTAGGAAGGGTCACAATTGATTCCCTAGTAGACGAGGAGGACGAGGAACTTGCAATCTGTGCCATATCGTAGTCATGGCCGCTATGCATCTCAAAGTCAGGGGACAAAGGGGCAGAAACTGCCGACGAGAACCCAAATTCAAGCAGACATGCGTTCAACACGAGGCACCGAGGGTAACGGCCATTTTTACACGTACCCACCGCAGCAGTGGCAACAAGCTTCCGTTTCTTTGTTTGGTGTTCTACGTCTTCTGGCTCTGAGTCTGGGTCGTGGATAACGATGACTTCGTGATTGAGCTTAGAAGCGCGACGCGTTACGGGGGCCATCCTTGCGAACGAGAGTCTTCAAAGGGCGAATGGTGGCGACGAAAATGCTCTAGTTGTGGTGGTCCGAAATATAGCAGTGTAATCATGACTCGTCTTTAGGCTTGCAAGGGATCAAACTCCCACGGTTACAATTTCAAAATAGTATCAGAAACAAAGACAGGAGTAGGTGGTATCCAGTAAATGGGTGTGTATACAGGAAGTGAATTGCATAAAGAGGATCAATGGGTGTTACAAACTGAACACAGCTGGACATTAGAAAACGAGGCGTTTTACAACAGGCATATACTTGTGGATTCGTCCATATTTACCAGATGGTTGGACCGGGTAGGTATTCCGTGGGCAACAGGAAAGCATCCATCCCGCTCTGCGTGAATGCGTTGCCGCCAAGCGTCTGATCGGACACCCAGACAGGCAGCTGTTCGTTCGAGGTCATATTGAAGGAGCGCCAAATATTATCGGCATCAGCAGTCATGGGAAGCTGGGGCTGTCCGTGCATTGGATGGGTGTGATGACCATGCATCTGGCTCACAGCATCAGGATGATGATGAGCATGATGATGCGATTGATGCATGTGCTGTTGCGCCTGCATCTCGGGAGGATACGCGGCATGTTCGTACGTTGGCGAGAAATTCTCGACTGGCCGATGCTGAACAGGAACTCCGCCCGAGTGATCAACGCGCACTGGCATTCGTTGCTGGGGATCACGGGTAGCCTTGGGCGAGAGCGATTGCGAATCCTTCCGCTTTTTGGCACGCTTCAGCATGACTTGTAAGGTTAGGGCATAGCGTTTAGCCGGTACTACGGAAGAAGTCGTTAATACCGCGGACAGGAACAGAAGGAAAGAAGTCCTACTCTGGGACATTAATTCCGCGAGGCGTTCGACTTGACTTCGAATTTCTTGAACATTGCACTCATTTGGACTACATCAAGCGTGGGTAATCTGATCGTACTGACAAGGAAAATGAACTCACAAGAGCCGAGATAAACGCAACAGAAACGATGCCGTAAAGGTGGCAGTTGCATGGGTATAATGGACAGCTACGTTCCGATGAGCAGGCGCTCACATTACAATTAATGTGAAGACTGACCATATTTCATCCCCTCCCTATACGAAGGTGAATTGACAGTAATATCGAGACCCTGGCGAGCAATTTGGATGGACCTCATTGCCAATTCACGCTGAACGGGTGGCATTTTCTGAACGTCGTCAGGTCCATTAATACCTCGAAGCGCTGTGGCGTTGTGGAAAAGCTCCGCATGAACTTGCTGAATTTGCAAACTTTGACGGTAAAAAGCTGTATGCGATGCTTCGTCAGGCACGAACAGCAGAGAATTAAAATATACGGACCAGCGTCTTCGTATTTTTGGGAGAATGCTTGGTCCCAAGTGGCAAACCAAGTTTGGAATTGGGTGCTGCCGTCACGGAGGGCAGCAAAAGCAGCTTCGTTGAGAGGCCCATCTGGGTTGATGATCTGGTTGTTCAGGCGCTCTCGTAAAGCCATCAATTCGACCGTTGAGACTAGTCGCATATCATCTTCGATGGCCAGTGGGTGTTGCAGCATCATGCGGCACCCCGCAATGCTTTCGTCGTCTTTCAAGACCGCTGGTCGTCCGGTACCGTACGAGAGTCTGCATGGATGAGCTAGAAGTTAGGCCACCGATGCAGAAGCTACGTACTGGTGCTCGAAGAGGTAGAGGCAGAACCACGTTCGCGATGCGATGACCAGATTGCGATCTTCCACCGTGTTCACTTTGTTAGTCTGCATTCGCCGGTATAATCGCGGCCAGGCCTTGTGCATAGCTGTAAAGTATCAGCGAATTTAGTCCCTGGGTTGAGCTTAATCTACTCACATAATTCCATGGCCATCCTAATGGCATGACCTCCGCTAAGCCAACCATTATCAGACCACCCAGACACTAGAACTACAAAAACATAAACAACACGACGGTGCGAGAACTTAATTTGCACTAACTCATAGCCTGAACTGCTTCATGGCGGGTAACTGGAGAAAACAAAGTCGCGCAAGATATCTTCTGGACTTCATCGAGGCATTTAATGTATGCTTCGCTTGGTTTACCTGCAAATTCGGGACGATGAGATGCTTGACCACATATATATCGACACCATAAGACTAACCGCCACCGTCGCGAACCTTAGCTGCTACCATGCAGATGCAGTCCACGGCAAATGGTGATCGTTCGTGAAGCGCCTCATACGTATCCGTATTGGCGTCGAACACAGGCAAGAAAGTCGAGCAGCCGTGGTAGAATCTATAATATCCATCAGGGTAAGTCGCGGCGGAGGGAGCAAAACACCGACATGCGAAATAGTTCTCTTGCATCGTGTTCACTGATAATGTTCTTAGTGACCACTATAAGGTGTTTAATAAAGGATGTTCCTTATATGTTCACATGAATGTCAACATACCATCAGGGAAGCTCGGCCCTTTATGTCGTATTTTTCTGCGCTTTGCTGGTCGCATTTGTCGATCGGGTGACGGCGTTCTGGTACGACTCTGAGGTTCACTACTTTCACCAGCATCCTGAAGATGTATCATTGAGTGGATGCTTCTGTTCTGTGAGGAAAGATTATTACCTTAGCGGCACGGCGAATAGCGACATCGGCTAGTCCCCTTAGAACTTCCCATGGTGCGACCAACCCAGATGCAGGTAGCTCCCCATTGTCATCGTCTTCCGCATCAGATGAGTCAGCGCTAGTGACATTGGACGAGGGTGGTGCATGTCGTTTAGTGGCTGACGAATGAGGTCTGGGTGGACGACCGCTGTCACCGGGATTATATCGCACGTTACTTTGTTGGGGTGCAGGGGGACCCATAGTAGTCGAAATGCTTGAGAATGGTGGCAGGACTTGTCCCTGATTGCCGGGAGCATTATTGTTGGCGGCGTTGGCGGGGTAGGGTTGTTGTTGTTGTGGAGCCGTCTGATACGCGTAAGACGACGGAGGTATCTGTGGAGGGTGATACTCGACGGTTGGCGATATGGGGCCTGTTTGCGGGCTCTGGTACGACTGATTGCTCATGGGGCCGCGAGCTTGACGCTGTGGTTGAGTGATCATAGCGCTGTGAGTAGAAGAGAACGAACTGGAAGAGCTACTGCCCGACATATCATTGATATGTTGATGGCCAGCAGGCGGGGTAGCCAGTGACGGAGAGTGCATGCTGGGGGATTGATTGTGATACGATTGTGGGTACGCAGATGGCGAGCGGGCGTGGTAAGCGCCATTGCGTAGGTGACTGACAATTTCTGACAGAATGTTGTGCATCGACGTCTGGGTATGTCGAATGTCGGCGACATGAGCCTCTAGGCTGCGAATGCGCCTGGGGGAATGTGATATGTTAGGCTATTACCGGTTGTGCTAGTACAACGTACTCAAGGCCCGCCTCGCCAGTTAAAGTTGCTTCCCTCGATGGCTTTTCAAAGAGACACTCCAATCCAGCGTGCCGGCACCGACGACAGGGGGGATTGTCTGCCCCTTCGCATCGCATTTTCTGTTTCCTACACGCATTCTAATGGAGAGCGCACGGATGAGAGTCGCGTCGCGGAACGAGCGTAACACAGATCGACTTACACAGGCCCCTTGAAAGATCAAGAAGAGGACTTATCAGAGAACCTTCCGCGGGAAACATAATGGGCGACATACTGGGAACCCGATTCAAGGTCTTGACCACGGGCTTGACGTCCTGCTTTGGGGGCTTGCTGTCTTCGGGGGCATCCTCCTGCTTCTTGACTGTGCTCCCGCTGGCGTTTGGTTCCATCGTGGGGGACAACGACTGGGGTCGAGGAGAGGACGACCTGGCGGTCAAGTCCTCAGATTCGAGTGAGAAGAAGGAAGAAGCACGAGAGTACGAGTTAAGGGAACTGATCAGGACATGGATAAACAGATGCAATGCCCAAGGCCCTAAGCGCTGGTTGGCTCCCTCATCGGAATTATACCGTATGTGCCTCGCTGTAGGATCCAAACAGGATCCTGTCCAGGCCAGATGACCTTCGACAGCCAAGGCTTGTACTCCAGCAATGCTGCTGGCCTGCAATTCGTTCTCCTCTCGCCTGGCCAGTGGGCTGTTCACGTTCTCCAATGAAAACGCACTTGCATTCCCACTGAGTAATCTATATCTGCACGGCACGCTGCTTGCCTGACTTCTAACCACGGATGGAATATGCAGCGCGCATCCTGACTCACGCTGCAGCTGCTATAGATGGCCCCCAATTAGCTCCGAGTCTCACAGCTGCGACCAAGAATACGGGTTGAGAACGTTCGTGGATGCGATCATGCGTATGCGCTCTGCCAGTTTGCCCGAGGTTCACCAGCAGTCCGCCTCACGACGCGGGGACGAGCGGAACATGGGCGGAACCAATTCCCAGTGGCCCGGCGTGCGACCCATACCGGCGCCGGCGCGGCCCTGTCTCCTCGGCAATCAGCCTGCCAAATTCAGCTGTCAGTCGCTTGCCACTTTGCGCTTCCATCACCGAGAGCTGCTGCGCTGCTTCGTCCTCAACCACGACCTCGACACGTCGGAATTCCCGTATTTATAAGTCTTTCCTTCAGTCGCCATCGATAAAAGATGTTCATCTTCCTCATATCGCAAGCACTAGCGTTCGTCACACGACTCGTTTCCCATGTTTTTCACATTGAAGCTTATCCTGCAGCGCCTGGTTTGCGTTCTTGCTGCCGTGCTACTCGACGTACAAGGTCATAAGCCAGACACCACCCCCGCAGGCTGAGCTCCAGCGATGGTCCACGTACTGGGTGGTTCTCGGCGCATTCCTCGCCTTCGAGCATCTCGCAGAGTGGTTCGTGAGCTGGTACGTCCCATCGCATTTCACAATCAGTCCATTCAACAAGCTCATGCTTTGCTGCCAGGTTTCCCTTCTACTGGGAGGCTAAAATCATCTTCTTGCTCTTCCTCGCGTTGCCTCAAACGGAGGTACGTCTCAACCCGCACCTCCTCCATTTGCACACTTGGTAACACCTTATCAATCGCCAGGGCTCGACCTACATATACAACGTCTACCTGCAACCCTTCTTCATCAAAAACGAAGCAGACCTCGATGCTGGCATCGTATCCGCGCAACGCAATGCACTCGGCTTCGTCCAAACGCGCCTCAACACGGTCTGGGAATTTATCCTGAGCCTGCTCAACAAGTCACCGGCTTCTGCTCCTGTCAACGGCGTCCCCGGGCAACAGCAACAAACGCAACGCCCCGCGGCTTTGGATTCAGTGATGGGATTATGGAAGACGTATGGCCCTGCTGTGATGGGTGCTATTCAAGGATCGAAGCCAGCAAGCGCTTCCGACAGGTCCACGCCTGCTACCACACCCAGCGCCACTGCATCCTCGAGCTCCATCCAAACGCCATCTGCGTTCGATAGAAGACCCTCATCAGAAGCACCTCTTCCCAACCCCTTTTCCTCTAATGCTCCCCCCGCCTTCCCTGAGCCGCAATTCAGTCATTAAACGGTTTATTGTCTATCTATTCTCGTAGACTACTAGATACCGTGCCTCTTGAACGCAGACTCGACGTCCCCAGGGGTGTATTCGAGCGTGATGCCTGTATCCGTGTAGCACTGCGCAATGCGTTTGTTGAAAAGGTCCGTGATCCTGAGGACTTCGTCTTCGCAGGCTTTCCATACACCGACCATGACAGTCCCTGGGGGGATGCCACTGGTCTCTTCCACGGACGCTTTTGCGTCGGAAGCTTCGGTAAAATGCTTCTCCACGCGTTTAAATAGCGCGTCGATCTGCTTCCGGATGTCCTTGGAGGTATACTCCTTGACCACCTTCTTCAGCGCCGATTTGCTGAACGACGAGTTGGATGGGATATCCAAAGGTGCGGTCATCTTAAGAAGTCGCTCGATGCCCTCGAAGTAGTCCTGCGAGCAAATGAGAACGCGGTCCTCAGTAAAACGGGGGTGGGCTTACGATAATCTTCGCGAACGGTCGTCGGAGGACGATCTTGACATAGGCATTCAGGTTCTCGTCGTACATCGTCTCTGCCCTGCGAGAGAACCCGTTCACCGATCCGATTTCCATCTGCGACGTCTCGGCCACGAAATGATGCATGTTCTCTGCGCACCAAAATTAGCAGTCCAGTCAGATACATCAATTCATTTCACCAGTTCATTTCAGCGTAGAATAGAAGCCGAAACGCACCGATGAGGATGACATGGTAGTTGAGCTGGCCTTTGTCTTCGCCCTCGCCGTCCATTTTTGCCATTTGCTTCAAAGAGTCGAACATGGCCTGCACGATTTTGTCGTAGGCATCATCGACGCTGCTCCGGATCTCGAGGTCATCGGTTCCGATGAGTTGCTGCTCGACGCGTCGGATATAGATAGGGAACTGCTTTACGAATGGCGCGACGCCTCTGCGCTTCTTACTGGTCAATTTCGTCTGCTCAATAGACCGAATTTGATCGTTCTACGCGAAGATCTTTAGATGTTAGTGATTGCCTTGAGTGGTGAGGAAGGACATACGATGTGACGATCGAGGCTGGCCTTCAGACGCATGTGTGCTTTGTCGAAGAGGTTCGAAAGGAACGCATTGTTCCGCTCGTTCGCGTCTATTCGACAGCGTTCCAGACATGCTAGAACACCAAAGAGTTCCCTGTGAACCGCGAGTGTCAGCGGTGGTTGGGAAGAACGTGAAAGGGACTGAGTCTTGCATATGATCCTTCAGCAACGCCTGGTCCAGCCACGCCTTCAGCTCGCCTGCCAGGAACCCAAATATCAAATCCATAGCCCCCCTCACAAGCTTCATCGTCCCCATGCTCAGCCCCGCCGACCGCCCCGCCTGCCGTCTAAAGTAGCTATCTAACCCCATATAATCAGCGAACGTCAGCGCGGCGTCGTTGATCTGGAGGAAGTCCGTGATGAAATCGCTCTCGCGGTAGATCATGGGCGTGATTTCTTCGAGCAGGAAGGAGAAGGCTTCGGAGGCCCGGAGGTCGCCGTCGGCGGTTTTCTCTTTGTCGCGATGTCGGGATTCGAGAGGAGATCGTATGAGGGTGCCAGCTCGACGCATACCTGTAGAAGCTTTGATGTTGCCGCCAGTGTTTGACGTTCCTAGAGCTGAATGTATCTGTTACTTTCGGAATCTCTCAACGAGGCAGTGGACTCACTGATTTCCTGGTCCTCTTCCGGCGCCTTCCTGACGTATCCAAGATATATCGACATCAGGGCTTTCATTTGCTCAGCATGCAGCTCGCTGACAGCAGAAAAGTACGCCTATATTAAATCGTTATACAGAGCGATCGAAGTGGATAGAGAGACCAGACTTACGCCGCACAGCTTGCCGTACATAATCTCGTCCATTTCCTTGAGATACAGCATCAAGCCCGCGTAGCGACCCAAATAGTCTTCCATGCTCTTGTGAGGGAGCAAAGCAGGTCGTCCACGTCGATCGGGCTTGGATATCCCGTTCTTATCGCCGAGAAGTAGTTTGGACTAAATGGCCAGGCGAATACATAAGAAAACACAGAAACAGGGCGAACGGAGAGGAATACCTGAGCAGTGAACATTATGCTCAGGAAGCCGAGAACGCGTTTACAGAATTGCGAGTTGTATGTTCGATACTCTTCCAACCTCTCCATCGTCGCGGCCATATCTGGGCCAATTCTTTAGTACACCCAGAGCACTGAGCATTATCACACACCTGTTTCTCGGCCGGCTTGCAGTGCTTTGTATAACTCTGCCGCCGCCTCTTCCAATCGCTCGATACTAGACGGCTTCTCCAACGATTCTTGGGTGAGAATCAGGAGCGCCTGTCTATCGACTTGAACAGTTTGCTGAGAGGTGTGGTTAGCAGAAGGAAGAAGAATGAGTCAAGGAAGTGGTTCATACGACTAGGTTCTCAAGCTCGCCAAGCAGAGCGCGTTGATTTTGTGTCTGCACTTGCAATCCCCGGCCTTGGGATTGGATGTATGAGATGTCATCACCGACGGCCTATGTATGGCACTCGTCAGCATATTCAACAGTACAACACGAGGACACGTACGTTCAGATGGATCTTATACGACGATAGAAGGCTATCCATGGCATCTAATTCTGTCAGCGCGTCGTCCATGTACTTAACAACAAGGTCTATGCGATCGTCAGACTCCAGGAACGAGTGGATATTGGCCTAGATGTGCTTCGTCAGTGATGTAATCTTATGTTCCAAAGCGAAGTCCTACCTTTTCCAATGCCATGAGCTCATCCAGCAAGCGAGCTTCAATGAGATCGGCTGCGCCTCTGGCGGTCTTTCTGTCAATAACATCGTCACTAGCCCATTCATATCCTTCCAACATCTCTTCCACATTTGCGAGTGTGGCCTGCACTGTCTCGTCCTCTCCATCCCCATCCTGCTCACCGTCAGCCACGAGTCTGTCTAGCATCGCCTGATTAGCTGGATCGTAGAACGACACTCTAGGGTTGATTTGCCGCATGGGTTGTGGTTCAGTTACAATAACGGGTCTTGGAGAGGGCGTGTTCCTCCTCGGGGGCTCAACAGCAGGCGATGCAGGTCGTGATCGATGTGGAGAGGGAGGGTATGCTGATGAGGGAGTGTGAGGTGCTTCATGGGGCGTTCGAGCGGAAAGGCTGCCATTGATTGGGCTTTGCGACGGTGTAGGGGAGGTAGATAGATCATGGGGTCGTAGTGTTGTTGGCGTTGGTAGGTTTAACGAAGGTACCTGACTTGACGTGGAATTTGCATTGGAAGGTCGCCTTGCCCTTCCGGGACGAAGTGTACTAGGTATGGATTGCGTAGGGGATGGTGGCCTCACTCGAGGAACGGGTAACTCTCTCGCACGGTTGGCGGGAGTGGTGGTTGGTGCTGGTGCTGGTGACATCCTGGATGGCGACTCGTTCCGAACTGGTGGAGGTTGAGGACGGGCTACCGGGTTCGATATTCTTTGTGAGGAAGTCATATCATAATTCGTAGACGGAGGGTCACGGTCTGTTTCGGGTGTCCTGGCGCGAAGTTGCACGGGCACTCTACGTGACGGTGATGACGACGATCCAGCCGGCGGAGAAGCGGCTCTCGGTGGTGGAGGGCGCATATGTCCATTCTGAGCAGGCGGTCGCGACGCTGATAATAATAGTCACTTCCTCTCACCATGCAGCGTGCGGTAAGGTCGCCTTACCTGGCGCAGCATCTGGATCTTGCATCCCCTCCAGCTGCAGCGGAACGGAATTGTTTGTGATTTGCCTGAATAGGCGGATTGTAGCATTGATGAAGTTTGCTTGGTCTGCCTGGCTTTCGGTCTGCCATCTGTAGGTCCTGGATATCGTTATATTGAAGGCAAGTGGCTGTTGTGATGACCATTGTCAAGCAAACGACAAGGATCGAAGTGCGACGTACGTTCAAAACTTGGATGCCGTGCAGCTCAGCAAGCCTCCACGTCTTTCCAACCGAGAAGGAACCGTTCGTATTCAGCTTCGACTTGTGGATGAAGCCGCTTCCATTGCTCGCCTCTACGAGACCGTCTTCGTTCACGCTTCGGCAAATGGAACACAGAAGTAAGACATACGTGAGAGCAGAATATATCGAGGCTTTCTTCCGCCTCCTTCTGGGCCTGCGTCCTCCCATATCTTCACATGCCCGACGTAGGTTTCTTCCAGAGAACCCATTGCGTTACGTCTTGAGAACACGGAACTGATGATTCGGTCCCGCACAGAGATTTGGTCAGCCATGGTTGATGCTGCACGAGGTTCTCATCCAATATGAAGAGAAGATTGGGCCAATTTGCAACAGGTCGTTGCCGTAAGATATGGTATGCTGCAGAGTGCTTTCGCAGTGCGCAAGTGTGATCGAGGATTCGAGGTCACATGACCTCCCATCGTCCTTCTGCCCTGCGTAATTCAGTCCGAGGTGAGGCCAAGGGTTCATCCCGCCACGACCCAACCCACTGGCATGCTCAGTAAACTTGCCCAATCGCATGATGGACGCAGGCGACCTTGACCGGGATTTTCTTCTTTTCACGCTCGCAATCGTGGGCTTGCTTTGGTACACCATTCTATGGGGAATTGGACTTCTTGGATGCATGACCGCGTATGTTCACAATCTTACTTCTGGACCGCAAAACTGAGACCCGTTTGAAGCCGCAAGCGCTACCGCTTGCGCCCGCGGTCCCCCTCAGCGAATGCTCCTCGCGAAACCACACCGGGTGTATCCATCTTACGTCCGCTCAAGGGCCTCGACACAAACCTATATGAAAATCTCGAGTCAACATTTACTCAGGAGTACCCCAATTTTGAGATTTTGCTTTCGGTCGCGGACGAGGAGGATCAAGCTCTCCCCGTGGTCAGGGAACTCATCGCCAAGTATCCCAATGTCGATGCAAAGGTCATTGTCGGTATGTTTAGTAATCCATTGAGCACACGGTGGGTAAAATACTGACTCTAGCTGGTCGTTAGGCGAGGAGGTTGTAGGTGTCAATCCGAAAGTGAATAACTTGGTCAAGTCATACCGCATGGCAGCCAATGACATCCTGTGGGTGCTCGATTCCAACATTACGGCGGACCCAGGGACCCTTGCGCGTTCCGTCGACGCGCTCCTTCGTCCTACACCCACAAGTGGGGACAAACGGATAGCCCTCGTGCATCATGTTCCCCTTGCATTCGTCAACGAACACAAGTTAGGATCACGGATCGAGGAAGCATTCCTCAACACCAACCATGCCAAAATGTATATCGCCATCAACACCGTTGCCATCGACTCCTGTGTAGTGGGCAAGTCAAATATGTACCGTCGCTCGGATATCGAGCACGTAAACGGGACGCTGAGGCCTGTTACCTCCAAGATGCACGGCGTCGTGCCGTGCGGGTTGCCAGCATTTGGTAGATTCCTTGCTGAAGATAACATGATCGCGGGCGCGCTCTGGCACGAACTCGATCTGCGGCATGATCTTTCGTGCGACGTAGCGCGCAACGCTGTGGGCAATATGTCGGTAGGCGACTACATTACAAGGCGCGTCCGTTGGATTCGCGTACGCAAACACATGGTTCTCGCCGCCACTCTTCTGGAACCATTCACGGAATCCATAATTCTCTCCTTGATTGCTGCGTCAAGCTCGAAATATCTTTTCGGGGTTCCGATGTTGCTGTTCTTCCCATTGCATTTCGCTGCTTGGTTATCGGTCGATTTGGATGTTTACGCTTCTCTCGCGGGATTCCCCCTGCCTTCCGATCGTACATGGGGGTTCTTGATAGCTTGGGGCGCCCGCGAAATTTTGGCGTTGCCCATTTGGGTTATTGCTATGTTCGGGAGTCGGGTCGAGTGGCGAGGGAAGCAATACCAGGTTCTTCGGAACGGAGAAGTTGAACAGGCTGGTTCTATGAATTGGTTTGATAGACTTAGATCCAGCAGGCGTCAAGGAGACTATGAACGCATTGATTTAGAGACATGAAATACAACTTGTTACAGAATGCGAGGCCGCGGTATGATTAATGCAATTCTATGATAGGTGATTAAGGCGAGACTATTGGCGTCCGAAAGTCATTAATTATACAAATGAGATACTGTAAATTGTCCGTTTCGGGGATATAGTGTCAGAGCGTTCAAGCGAGTGAGGGCGAGTGAGTGAGTGCGTGAAGTGAGTCAGAATTTAGGAACGTGGTGAGGGGGAGTCCATCACTGGTTCTCCCCTGAGCTGACGAGATTCATCAAGTCGTAGAAGCGTCGAGACCTTGAGGTGGTGGATCATGACAACTTCTTCGAAGAAGGCATCAGTCCACTCCTCAGCCTTGCAACAGTCGACTGCGACTGAGCGGAGCCGAAGGCGTTCACCTTCGCCTGAAACCATGCGTACAATGTCTTCATCTTTCTTTCCGTTATGCTTTTGCCTCTCGTTTGAGAACCAGTTCTTTACTTGCTTGAGCGCTCTGATGTTGCGTGAGAGATGAATCAGAACCCGGCCGAAAGAGATATCAGAATCAGACTGGACTCAGCAGACATACCTGCGAATTGTGACCGCAATGATTGCCATCCATGTCTCTGATGGATACATCGTGATCTGGTCATAGACCATTCGCAGAACGAGTAACTGTTGCTGGTTCACAGGCGAGTTCTCTACCGTCCTGATCTTGGATGCACGTTCCTTCACCTCCTGTTGCTTGATCTTCTTCTCGAGGCTGAGGGCGGCGAGATCTTTGGCCTTTGCGTGGCCGCGTGTCCTGGTCTTGGATCGTGTGGATGAAAGACTGTTGGACGCCACTGACCGTTTGAACGGCTTGGGCGGTGACGGTGAGGCAGCATACGGATCGCATGAGATATGAAGGCTGCCAACGATGCGGCGCGAAGGGGACTCGAGCCGAAAGCTGCAATTTGTCGAACGAGATGAGGACGACGATGAACAAGGACCGGCCTGGTCAGAATCTGAGTCCATATGATATTCCTCGATTACGGGAAGTTGTGAAGCGGCTACGTCCGCAAGGAGGTGGAGACGGGCCTCGCTGGCGTGGGTTGTGGTAATGACCGTGGACATGACTGAAATTCGTACAAGGGTAGAGTACCGGATCGTGAAAAAGAGCGACGGGATAACTGTGGGGGATGCGACTAGCGCGGTCTAAGGAACGAGGGGGAGGGGGAGGAAGAGTTATATTATTATGGGCTGTTCAAATAGGCATGCTGTTGTAGTTGTTGGGAAGATGCACACCAAGGATTGATTGTGGGACCTTTATAGGGTCAGGGACCGTATGAGTTATTGTCTTATTCCATTTCCGGCCACAGAAGTTGGGGCCACACAAAAACGACTCAAAGCACCCTCAGAATCCCTCTTGTTCGACGTCGCCAAGGGCGCAAAGGCTCATTTCTACACAATGCGCGATTGTACGCCGTATTTCTTGCGGGAACATACGCAAAATCAATCACAGCAGCGCTGCATTGCATGTCACATACACTGTGTTTTCCGTGATGGCCGGTTCATGTTGGAATCAAGAGAAACCGCCGTCCGTAGCTTGGGCGCTGCCCGAGGCATCATTCCATTCCGACATCGTCCAGTCCGAATACATCAACTGTATTTTTCCATGCCCTCTCCACGACTTCATCAAACGGAACACTGAGCAGTTTATGCATGACCCATGCAATACCACCGATAGCAGTAGGTTCGTTCCGTCCTTTCACCGCTTTGCCACGCACGAAGCTCTCGGGTTTCACACTCGGCGGAAAATACAGGGCGCGGAGGGACGCAGGGAGGGTAGCTAGATGTGATTTTGAGGCATGGGTTGATGTGCAGGAACACCAGGGAGAGTCTGACACGAGGAGAATATTTGACATGCGACAAGCTAGAAGATATGGGACCCACCAGTTTCCAGCATCAATTTATCTAGCGTTATGACAGCTGCTGCTTTCAGGTTATCTTCCGTTTTGAGCCCGCATCCGTTGACGCTGTTGCGTTCGTTACAACCAGAAACAATAGTCAAAGATCACCAGAAATACATACCTGATGTGAAATCCCATATCCATCTGATGCGGGATTGAGAATGACGATCATGTTGTTCATAATGTTGCGGCTCACCAACTCGACCGCTTCATCGATTGTGCCGGTGAAACTGTGCACTACACCTCCCTTGCCTCCGGCGGCTCTGCCACCATCTTCACCAAAGCCCTCTTCGCGAAGGATGGACACTAGGTCAGCGTGTGCGGCGCGTGAGTGAAGGAATAGAGGAAGATGGTATTTCCTTGCGAGGCCAAGCTGAGAGCCTAGGTATCGTAGACAATAAGATCGACGAGCCTTCACAGACGGGAGAGTGACTCGCGGAAATGTATCTTTGTACTTCTGGAACAGCGAAGTGGGTACGGTCGTAATCTGGCCTTGAAGTCAATGCTATTGTCCAATAGCACGATAATATGAATCCTCACCAAGTCCACATTCACCGATCGCGACAGCGCGACCTTTCCCTTTGATGTTGTCTTCCACCAACTGACCTAAAGCACGAATGTATCCTTCAGGCCCATCTTCTGCCTTGTCAAACTCAGTCGATCGCGTAGGATGGCATCCCACCGTAGCCCACATACCTGAAGAAGTCCAAATCAACACCGAGTATACTGTGGTAGCCACTGCTCGTGCTCACCCGATGCCTCTGCAAGCTCGAGGGCCTCCCGCGATTCCTGGAGGCTTCCACCAGTGATGATCATGCTCTTGACCCCCGCCGCCTTGCTTCGTTCCATCATAGCATCGAAATCATCTGCGTTTGCAGGTGAGCTGAAGATCTGCAGTACTAGCTGTCGTGTTCACCATCATGCTTTCTTTTGCCCCGATGTATACCTCGGAATACTGGATCTGTGAGATTTACTTTCGAGTCCGGCTTGAGTGAAGAGCTAGACGCAGAGGCTGTATATATAGCAAACCTCCGATGTCTGCGCTAAATGTCAGAAATCAGTGATCCGGAGAAAACTGACACTCACCAATGAATCTATAGTCCGTCCTCGCCACCTCAGATGGATTCGGCCTCTCGAGGAGGGTGACTGGCATGGTTCTCCTCAACCTGCTAAATGCTACCGCAAGTGCTACCGCCGTCTCACGTGTGCGTGACATCGAAGTCTCCGAGTCCGCGCGTGATAAGGGGTCCGAACCCAAGACAAGTGCGTCTCGTTCGCGCACCGGCTATGAGTTGAGTACGGCCGGATCACTAAGGGACATTGGCAAACTGTCGTTCGCCTATATAGGTCCTACATACTCTCAACCTTGAAGTCACTTTTTCTGCAACCTCTTCTTTCTGGCAAACATGGAACGCGTCAAGAGATTAGCTGCTCAAATTACTGGAACAAGCGGGGTGGCCGCGTTGGAGAAGAAGAGCCCCGACGATGTGGTTATCACCATGGCCATTCGCTCGCCCCTGTGCAAGGCGAAGAAGGGAGGATTCAAGGATGCAAGGTACGCCGCGCTGCTTCATGATACGCATAAATGCTGACAGAAGTTTCATAGGACTGACGAGCTCATGCTCGAGATGTTCAGAGTGCGTTTACCTGGTTGCGTTAATGATTTGCTGAACCAGACATGCGTGAACTATAGCAATCCATTGCCCACTCAAACATTGACCCTTCGCTCATTGGTGACATCTGCGTCGGAAACGTCCTCTGCACAGATGGAGTGTACCACGCCCGTGCGGCGGCCCTCGCAGCAGGCTTCCCGGAAACCGTCCCAGTGCAAGGCATCAACCGTTTCTGTTCAAGTGGTCTCATGGCAGTCACCACCATCTCCAATCAAATTCGCGCCGGTCAGATAGATATTGGACTTGCAGTTGGTGTGGAGAGTATGTCACAAAAGTAAGTTGTATCAATCATGATATAGTTCCGCTTACTGACAAATGGCGAATCAAGCCCTGACAACGGCGGACCCGTGCTCAGCGAAGAGATCGCGGCTCACCCAGCGGCAGCCGACTGCCCGAAGCCGATGGGTTGGACTAGCGAGAACGTCGCTGAGGACTTCAACATCTCTCGTGACGACCAGGACGATTTCGCCGCCAAGTCTTTCCAGAAAGCGGAGAAGGCAGACAAAGCGGGCTACTTCCAAGGCGAAATCGTTCCGTTCACCGTGTATCAAACCGATCCTGCCACTGGTGCGCGCAAGAGGGTCATCATCACCAAAGACGATGGAATACGGTATGGCACGACTAAGGACAACCTGGCTAAGATCCGATCGGCATTCCCCCAGTGGGGTAAGGGTACCACGACGGGCGGAAATGCCAGCCAGATCACGGATGGTGCTGCTTCTGTCTTGTTGATGACCAGGCGGAAGGCGGAAGAGTTGGGTCTGAAAATCATCGCAAAGCACGTCACCACCACGGTCGCTGGTGTCCCACCCCGCGTTATGGGCATCGGCCCCGTCTTTGCCATCCCTGCGGCTCTCCAGAAATCCGGTTTGACGAAGGAAGACGTCGATCTGTTTGAGGCGAGCTCAATACAATTTCCGTTTCGGTCGGGAAATAACATGTGCGTTACAGATCAACGAGGCGTTTGCATCTCAAGCTGTCTATTGCGTTCGCGAACTGGCACTGGATGGTGAGAAGGTGAATGTGAATGGGGGAGCAATCGCACTCGGCCATCCATTAGATATGTATATTCCATCTGTTTCTATGGCCTGGACTGATGCTTGGTTCGTCAGCACGTTGCACCGGAGCTCGACAGATTGCAACCGGCCTCAACGAACTAGAACGACGCAAAGGCAGAGTGAGTCAGCTGAATATCTGAATCTGCCTCGTTTAACTGATGCCTTCTCCTTAGGTTCTGGTGACTTCGATGTGTATTGGGACTGGAATGGGTGCAGCTGGTGTGTTTGTTCGAGAAGCCTGACGACGGTCAGACACGTAGCATTTTACATATATAAATTTGTGGAGAATGGTTGTATGATATGATTATGCACTGTTAAAGATAAGCCGGGCGCCAAAAATAGCTGCCTGGCATTCGCACGCCGCTTGAAGGCAAAGACTCGCCGTTAGGCACTCCAGCCTTTTTCTCATCCCATCACCTCGTTTCACTTTTCTCCCGCTGTACCCCCCTTTTGAGTTGAATCTCCCCGTCGTTCTTTAACTTCTTGCCTCTGCGCACCTTTGCCGTTTTCCTCCTGGTCACCGACCATGGCTTCTTACGACTCCATCAACAACAACAACCAGGCTCGGTCGCCATACGGTTCTGGCGATCCCTACTATAACGAATCTACCGGTTTTATATCCCCTCCCAAAGCTGCAAAGCGTGGCCTCAGCCCATGGATCAAGTTCGGTGTCCCCGTGCTTGTGCTAGTCATTATCGGCGCCGTCGTCGGTGGTGTGTTGGGAAGCAGGAGCTCGAACAAGAGCGATAGCTCAAGCAGCGGGAGCAGCAGTCCCGCCACCAAGACGGGCGAGGCAGCTGCCAGCGCTGCGGCGAGCGCAAAAGCCCAGATTGGGTTATTCCCCACCGCGACAGACAGCCAGTACATGCGACCAATCTACCCTTCTACGGTCAGTGACGGGCTCCATGTGAGAAAGCGCTTGGGATTTATGATTTATTGATAGACCAACACTGCCGCCTTTACCGAACCCACGATTACGCCCTCCAACAACGCCGCCCTCGCATGGCCCGAGGATCCCTTCAAACCTTCGAACCCTTCGGTCACAAACGTTCGCGAGGATCGACCCCGTCTCCTTGCACCCGCCTACAAATGGGAAGCACTACCTAACCTTATTCGCAACGATCCCTACCTCAGCAGCTGGAACGACACCATCTTTGGCAACGCTACAACCTACTTCAATGCCCCGCCTGTTCGTTACTTCATGGATGGGGACAGTGGCATTCTCGATAACGCCCGCGAAATCAAAATGAGGATCAAGGCCTTCGCCTACGCCCACCGCATGACTAAGGATACCCGCTGGGTCGATAGGACATGGGCTGAGCTTCAGGTAGGCAGTATCAGATTTAGAAGTGCATCAGTCATATTTATCGGGAATCATAGAACGCTGTATCTTCCGACTTCGGCCCCAACAACAGCACGAAATGGAACCCCTCCCATTTCCTCGATGCCGCTGAACTTTCAGCCGCATTCGGCATAGCATACGATTGGTTGCATGACATGTGGACCGACGACCAACGCAGCCAAATCCGCGACAACTTGATCACATACGGTCTCAGCCAAGGAGCTGCCGCATACGACGGCGCAGACTTTGGTTGGTGGAGGACCAATATCCAGGGTAACTGGAATTGCGTCTGCAACGGTGGCTTGACATTGGCTTCGCTCGCAATTCTTGGCGATGATACTACGGGAACTGCCACTAAGCTCCTCGGTCAAACTGTCAACAATGCGAAGCAGAACTGCGCCTTTGGACCTTCGGAAGATGGTTCATGGTCGGAAGGTGCTAACTACTGGTACTTTGGTACTACCGGGCACGCCGAAATGGCGTCGGCTCTCATTACCGCCACTGGCTCACATTACGGTCTCCTCGATACAAACCCCAACTTCCATCTCACTGGCCTTTACCACATGTATGTGACCGGCAACACCCTCTTCGATTACGGAGACCACGGTCCAAACAAATTCTCCACCACCGCCAACTCCATGTTCCTCTATGCCGATCAATACAAGCAGCCGGAGTACGCCCTCTTCCAACGTGATCAGCACGATGCCCCAGAGCCATGGAGCATGTTCTGGTACGATCCCAGCATCTCCGGCGCATTCTGGAACGGTCTGGCGCTCGACCACTCCTTCGACAGCGCTTCTGATCAATGGGTTTCGATGCGGAGCAGCTGGACTGACCAGAACCTCCTGTTCGTGGGTATGAAAGCAGGTACCAACCAAGGTCATCAGACGCACAATGATCTCGATGTTGGTGACTTCGTTTTGGACGCTATGGGCACTCGCTGGGCGGGAGATCTCGGTTCGGCCGACTATAACTCGCCTCAGTACTTCAACAGCGATGCTCAGGATGCCACTCGCTGGAGGTACTACCGCAAGGCGACTGAGGGCCAGAACACTCTCCTCATTGGCGGCGTTAATCAGCTAGTTACCGCCCGCCCGACAGTCAAATATCAGTCTTCAGGCACAGAGCAAGGTTCCAGCACTGTTTTCGATGTGCCTAGTGATTCCACCGCATTCTGGGTGACTGATATGTCAAGTGCTTATGATCAAGCGTGAGTTGATATCGTCGTTGATGTGATAGATCGCTGATCGATACTTGCTCCTAGAACTTCCGTCAAGCGTGGTGTTAGGCTCTTAAACGCACGCAAGCAAGTCCTTATCCAAGACGAAGTCAATGCATCGGCTGGTATCCAATGGCGGATGCATACCAATGCGACTGTTGCAACCGAGGGTAGCACGGCTACGTTGACAATCGACGGCAAGACCACAAAGATCACTATCCTAAGCCCGTCTTCTGGCTTTACTCTTGGTACGGCACCGGCTGCCCGCTCGTCCAACGACGCAAACGCATCGCCACCTGTCAGCGACCAACCAAATCCTACCGTTACCGTCTTAACCATCGACTTGCCTGCTGGAAACCATAATCTCCAGGTGCTGTTCAACCCACAGTGGCCGGGCATGTCAGATGGAGATTTCAAGACACCACCTTCCGTTCCTCTAGACAGTTGGTCTCTTTCTAGTCACAATTAATTGTAGGGCGTACATTGTGATGTTTTCAGGACAATGGACCATTTATTTTACACTGTGATTATACCTTTGGCTTCTATATATTGAATAAACAATTACATAATCACCAAAGTCGGAGGCTAACTGTTCCCTTGGTTGCGAGTTTGAGATTCCCACAATCCCCTCTCTGTTCACGACGTCCACTACGGCCTTTTCCCCTCTTCTCCTCCTCGTTCCCGCCCATCGAGCACAGGGACCGTCGCGTCCTCCTTCTTGAATATCCCGGGCTCGGTACTTGAAGTGCGCCTTGCTCGGTAGTCAGTCTCTTCAATCCAAGTGCGTTGCCATCTCCTGCATTCTTGACATCTGCCATTCTCTTTTATCAACCTTCTCTCATCGCCTCGTTTCCTGTTTCCCCTCTTTTTCTTTTCACCCTTTTCTGGCTGGTCCCCGTTCTTGTTCTTTGCTCGACGCTGATTCTTCCTTTCGCCCGCCGCCAATATTCCGCCCGCCCGCCAATAGCCCTCCTTTCGTCTCTCGGCTTGTAGCCACCGTTCCAAACCGGAAACCACACCACCCACACAATCTACACCCCCAATCCCCCCCAACATGCTTGTCGCAGAACCCCGCAAACTTACCCTCACACTTCTTGTGTACCTCGGTATCGCCCTCGCCCTCATTGGCTCTGTTCAAGCCAGCGAGCTTAATCACGAAGGCCTCCTTCGAAGGGATCACATGAACCTTAAACGCATGTTCAAGAAGCGTTCGCCACAAGGGAATACCACCCCCAATCTCAGAGCTGGGGACACCCCAGGTCCAGTTGCTGGTGCTGGAAGTGACCCTGCCAGCCTCTCTGAGTCTAGCTCCTCTGCCTCCGCAACCCTCTCCGCCTCCTCGATCTCTACCTCCGCTTCATCTACAGCGTCCTCCGTTTCATCAACCTCTTCTTCGGTACGTCACGAGTTCGCTGCGACTATTTGGTTTGCTAAGCTCGATTAAACCTTTATCTAGACATCATCGTCTGTAAGCAGCACCTCCAGCAGCGAAAGCGTGAGCTCGACCTCTGAATCGAGCACAACCGTCTCGTCCACCACTGTATCTTCGACGTCCATCACTACAGCCTCCCCTACAAGCACTCAGGCTCCCCCTCAGACGTCTGACACGCTCAACTTGACTTTCATCAATGATCCCGTTGCTGGCCCGTCATCGCGCACAGTCACTGCAACCCAGTCCCAAGCGCAGGCTGAAGCCACTGAATCTTCGGCTCCCAAAAAGAGCGGCGCTACCTCAACAAGCGGCAAGGTTCTGACGGTTATCATTGTCGTAGCTTCATCCATCGCTGGTATCGCCATCATCTGGACTATTTTCCGCAAGTGGAAGTTGGCTCGTTCTTCCAGATTCGACGAACGTTTGCAGCCAATCGACTGGCAACCGACCAACCCAGACGAAGGCATCATTCCCGCTCACCGTCGCGTCACGTCGGACACTTCATTCCAGTCGGGCTCAAACCATCACGGCGATAACCTTGCAGGACGCGGTGTCGCCGCAGGATATGGAGCCACATCAGATCACGGACACGGCAGCGCTTCTGATCACGACTTCGGCTCTGCTCACCTCGCACCCGTTGGTGGCTATGCTGATCTCGCTCGTGGGCCCAGCCCTCAACCGCAGATGCAGCAGCTTGCGCACGGCCCCAGCATGAACGGCCCCAACTACAACGTCGGTGTGCCCTTGCACCACCAGACTGGTTACGCGGAAGCCTACGACTACAATGGTGGTCCGGTCAGGTTCTAGAGGATCAATGTCGCTTGGCAACGAAGAATCTTGTTCTGATAGAGGTGGGCGAAGGCCGGAATACCATGCCTCGTACACGCTCCATACATCAGCGTATACATATTATACCAAGGTAGATTCGATTGCTAGAAGCTGTTTGAATCTAAGTCTCACCATTTCGTCTTACATTTCGCCTATTCTTATCTTTCTTCTTTGTCCATCACTTTCCGTTCTAATAAATGATCCTTCTACGACTATTGGACATAGTCCTTGTATACACATTTCGTGCAGTTGATTACAGCGAGAGACATTTGCTTGCGTATATTGGTGATCTAGGTAGAGTTTTTTCCCCGTATACGGTGATAGATAATGCGGTAATACAGGTATGTATTTACTCGTTTTGGAAAGCGTCAAGAACTGGGTGCTGTGAATTACGGTATGAATACGAAGGGTATGGTAACGAATATTCGATTTGAGGTTTCCCTCTCCACAGTTTCCATGCGAGGAAGGCCAGAACAATGGGTACGACGGACACTGCGTACATCCACTTCGGAATGTAGATGTGATTGTCCTGCGTTGGTTTTGATTTGCTCGCGTCGTCATCGACTAATTTTGTGCGCTCGAACAATCCTTCCAGACCAGTCGGTTTTTCTGGCGCAAAGAAGCGTTGCGGCCGTAGCCAAGAGCCGTCGTCGTCATCCGCAACAGCCTTTTGCTTGCCCTTGTACCTCGAGGCACGGGAGTCACTCTGGTGGGTATGAGATGGATGAATCGGCGTCCAGTCCATCGCCATATCATCTTTAGCATAGAAATCGTCGCCCTCCGTGGCATCTACTTCGTGGGCATCCTTCTGGGATGTGGCGCCAGAAGTGGAGCCAAGGAGGGATGGAAGCCCGAAGATGGGATTGGTGGGCGTGATGACTGGCTTTGAGGAAAGGCTGAGGGAGGCTAGAAGATCGGTATCTGCGGGAGTGGGAGTAGAACGGGCGCTAGCCTGAGAACTCGAGCGTCCGCCGAAGGATGGAATGGGAAACGGTGTAGAGGAGCGCGAGCGCGAATCGGAGAAAGAGGCGGTTGGATGGAGGTGGGCTTTCGAGTCCACAAGGCGTATCGTTGGAGGACGTTGCAAGCGAAGCGTAAAAGCAGATGCGATTATTATCTGAGTAGTATTAAAGATTTAGCGGCGTAAAGGAGAGGGTTCGGCACACAAGTACGTACGGACAACTCGATGAAGAGCGAGGTACCGAAATACATTCGGGCGGTTGGGGTAGTTGGTCGTTCAGATAGATGAAGGAAATCCAGATGCGGTTTAAACCATGATAGTGTCAACAAAATTGAGGTAGTGAATCGTAATAGCCATGCAGTCATTTGTAAAATCTTGAGTAGAGTTAGACATCGAGATCTTTGATTTTAATATAGTCACTTACATTATACTGTCTCTTTCCTCGGAGACGGACATCGCGACCTTGTATTTGGGCCCTGCGAAATGAGGCGTATGTGGGATCCCAAGCCGCCCAAAATAGAGACAAGAAAATGAAGATGGGAAAGGCTGGTTGTATAAAGGATATTGATGTGGGTAGCGCGTAGCCCTTCGCAGCTAACCATGTAATTAGTGAATCAGCAACGCAGAAATCGAGGCTCCGTCACTCACACAGCCCATTGAATGCAAGAGAAATGAGACTAGTTCCAGCCCACAGGCACCCTCTGATGCGCCATATAAATAGCTCGATGTTGACCTTCTCTCGCTCTACGGATGCTGAAACGCGCCGCTGCTTGTCCTTGCCCTTACTGTCCTTCAACCAGCCTCCGAGCGCCGAAACGCGCGCCATATTATCCTTGCGATGGATCTCATCATCAACTGACTGCTGACACATCTCGCAAACAGGAGGATAACGCGCGTGCAGGGACTCTCGGTATTCGGGCAACATGGCGACGCGCTGGTCGTATTGTGGGCTCTAATAATGCTGTAAATTATTTCGAACATATCGTACAAGGCTGAAACGTACCTTGGTAGATGGCAAATAGTTGGCCAAGAGGTTGATGATAAGCATTTGGTTCGTTTGGCAAGCGTGGCAGAAGGGACCTTTGCCATACATCGTTGGTAGTCGATCTTTGCTGGGAGAAGCTGGACAAGTGTTTGAGTATTGTAAAGTACGCAGAGCGTTCCAGCACTCACCCCGCCGAGCAAAAGACCGTCGATTCAGCGATTCGTCCTGCATCGCAGGCTCAAATGACATGATCTCTCCTTTCGAATCATAACGGTTCCAGCAATGGCATGCCGGACAACGGAAGTTATTTGGATTCTGCGGTAGTGGTACAGCCGACTGGCAGAAAAAGCAGGCGACGTTGCTGTGGCGTCTGAAGAGGCCGGGCATCGTCGGCGACGATGTGGAGGGAGTTGAAGAACAACGGTGGGACCACTGGTGACGGCGCCGCCTCGTGGTGGCGAAGGGTCACGTGAAACCTAAATTGTCTTCTTCACCGAAGGCTAATTGAATTTGGATGAATCCATGTCCATCATCCCACCTGCACCTTCGTCAAGTCGCGGAAATATTGTGGTGCAGCCCGCGTATTTCACATCAAATCTTTATGTGAATGCTATTCGCGATGACTTGATGACCTTGAGTCACAAATACATCCAACGCTACAATGCCGATTCCAGCAAACCATTTCAGCTATTCAAAGATCTGTGGCAAGGGGACGGATGGACATGGCTGCAATTCAAAGTATTTGACCCCCGGGCGAGGGAAGCGTTTCTCGACGTGACACTGAGGGTATTCATGGGTGAGACACCCTTCAATGCGTTGTTCGTGGGACTAATGCATGCACGAAGAGGGTACAATGCAAACCCAATCACCAATGAAACGGGTTGTATCGTTGTTTGGAATGTATACGTTCTTCTACACGCAGCCCACCTCGACTGCGCCTCCAATCCATGCGGTGTCACGCATCCCTATACCGATAGGTGCGCAAATAGACCGATCACCCGTGCAATTGACATATGTTTCTAGATCTGCTGAGGAGCTTGGTCGCGATGCCGACTTTTTTCGTCACGCAGCAACTTTCTCCACTGCAACCGTATGTGACCTACGTGATACAGGAGCTGATGAAGGATGAAGTTTTCGACATTCTACCGACGTCAGAATTGCATCCCCTGAACCCCCGCGTGCTTCCTCGGGAATATTATCAGGCATTTGGGACCTTACCGTCGGTAATTCTGGCGGGAAAGCGAAAGAGCGGAAGGCCATCGAGACATGAGAAAGCGAGCAAGGCCCAAGATGCACTGGACAAGCTAGACAAATGGCTGGTGGACACGTCGTATACTCCTCCGGCTCATGCAGAATCAACGACTCATCAGCTGCTGTCAACTGATCCCGTCGAAAGTCGCCTCGAGTACCAAAAGGATAAGTCCGAGCTATTAAAGAATCTGACGGTCCCTTCCCCTTCAAACGAGGCCGGCCAATCGGCGTTGGAGCATGCAAATCAGTTCGTTCTGATGCGAGTGCGAAAATTGGAAGAAGATGCGAAAAAGCGAGGGCTGGAAGTGGGCGGCGAAGGGGGGCATTTGACGACGCTGGCTCGGGTGGAAAAGGCTGCAGCAGAGATAAACAAAGGCGGCGGGGGTATACTAGGCTTGTCAAATGGCGCAGGAAATTGAAATCATGAGCGAGTGAGGGTCGGCGGTAGCCAAGCGAAGGTTACCGCCTGGAACAAAAATAGCCATCAGGGTTCCCACAAGCTCCCAGAGCGTCAGTCGCTGGTTGCCACAAATCCTGTCCCCATCCCATCATGCCCGCCAATAACCCCTTCTCCTCGCCGTACGCCACAAACTCTTACTCTAACCACCACCTTCCTTATTATACTCCTGATTCTTCAACGTCCTCAATGGCGTCCGCGCCAGCCCAGAACTCGCAGCGCCGCAATTACATCCAACAATTGGACACTCCTTCAACTTCAAGCCTTTTCCCTCTGTCCGCGCAGCAGGCGCAGAACCCCCCTCCTTTGTACCCTGGTTTGGCGCGAGGGCCGGCGTCGAGGTCCATACGCACCGTGTCAAGCAATGCATCTTTGGTACGTCGTCGGCGATGCTGTAAGGAGCTAACAATAACCATATCTCGGTCTTCGTGTACTCCAGAACGATTCACGATATTTCTCTGGCTCTGGAAGTAGGGTAGCATCTGGTACGGGTCCTTCAATTGCGGAGAAGGTAAGTTTCGGCGTTTTTAGACGGATGGCATAGTCGCCGCTACGGTCGAACTGATTTCATTATCTAGTACTCTCTATCGCCAGACCCATCGCTGTGGGGCACAGATATTTCGCCTAACCAGCCAGAGCCAGACGATGATCTACACAACCCTGATCCCCGGCGAGACCGCGTGCATGACGCGGGCGGACATGTTTTCACTTCGAGAGGTCTCGCCAATCTCGGTTGTATCATGGTTTTATGTGTCGGTCTCCTCGCGCTCTTGTATGTGTTTGATGGCCTTCCTATCTTCCGGTGACACTGTAACCTCACCTGCAAAAATAGTGCCGGCTACCCTATTGTCTCTCATTTTACTGCAAGCCCGTTATCGACGATGGGTGGCTTCAACATTGGAGGGATAAATGCAAGCGGGCAGGTGAGCCTCCCCTGTTCGGACATATTAAGGGATGCCAAGCAATAACCATGATGTCAGATTCCCGACATGCCAGGGAACCGTGGCCTAATTGACCTCGAGACGCCCAGGGACGCCTACAACAAAGTCTCCTACAACGACCCATCCGTCGAGTATCAACTTGTGTTCAGCGATGAGTTCAACACAGAAGGCCGCTCCTTCTATCCCGGCGATGATCCATATTGGGAGGCGGTTGACCTTCATTATTGGCAAACGAATAACATGGAGTGGTACGACCCGGAGGCAGTCACGACGAAGGGGGGTGCTCTGGAGATCACGCTGTCGCAGAAGGAGACACACGATCTACATTACCAAGGAGGGCTGATTTCAACGTGGAATAAGTTCTGTTTCACGGGTGGAATCATTGAGACATCTGTCGTTCTTCCTGGTATCAACAATGTTGTCGGTCTTTGGCCCGCCGTGTGGACCATGGGTAACATAGGTCGTGCCGGCTATGGTGCCAGTCTAGAAGGAACAGTAGGTCACCCACTCACTCCGAAGGCTTGCACGTCTAACCATATTGTATCTAGTGGCCGTACACATACGACGCTTGTGACTTGGGAACCCTAGCGAACCAGACACAGAATGGCGGCCCTCCTGCGGCTCTTAGCGGTGGCGATAGATCGCAAGGCGGCGTGCTATCCTTCCTCCCAGGTCAGAAGCTTTCGCGGTGTACGTGCAAGGGGGAGTCCCATCCAGGACCCGTGCACGCTGATGGTACCTACGTTGGGCGTTCTGCCCCCGAGATTGATATATTTGAAGCACAGGTCTGTCTCGCCTTTCTGATTGCAAGTATAGCTTGCTCACGAACGTTTACGATAGATCACGGGGGAGCCTCTAACGGGTCAGGTGTCTCAGTCCGCTCAATGGGGGGTAAGTGGATGTGGTATATCCTCGATATTGATGCTGATAGATTTGTGCGCAGCCTTTCAACGCCGGATATGTGTGGTTCAACTCGTCGGACAATTTGATCATCGATGACCCGACTATAACTGAGCTCAACTCCTATACCGGAGGTGTCTTCCAACAAGCAACCTCTGGCGTGACTGAGACGGGTGAGCCCTTTTGGTTTCGCTCTGGCACAGAACTCTTAATAGGATAACATAGACCAAAATTGCTATGAACTCCGTACAGGATGTTTCTCTGTATACGGATTCGAGTACAAGCCTGGTTTCGATGGCGCGGTATGTTCTGCTAAATCGTTGAATTTGGCAAATTTTGAGCTGACATTGGCATAGTATATAACTTGGCTAGCAAATGGCAAGAAGGCGTGGACGTTGAAGCAGGCTGGTATGGCGGAAGACCCCCTAGCAAAGATTGCTGCTCGGCCCGTACCTCAGGAGCCTATGGTATGTATTTTTGCATATCCCACGAGAACCTCTACTTAAATGAGATCTGATGCCGCCAGTATATCATCGCGAATCTGGGCATGTCCACTAACTTCGGGAATGTAGATATCGAGCATCTTACCTTCCCAGCAACTATGCGCGTGGACTGGATTCGTGTGTACCAGCCGAAGGATAATATTAACATTGGTTGCGACCCCAAGGACTTTCCCACTGCGGATTACATTAATCAGTATGTTTTCCTGTTTGGGATGTATGAGTTGATCTAAAAGGCCCGCAGGTACATTGATGCGTATTCAAATCCAAACCTTACCACCTGGAGGGATCCACCATACAGTCAACCATTCCCCAGAAACAGCCTCGTTGATGGGTGTTGAAACGTTGAACGATCGATCTACAACATAACTTGAAATGGCACGGTGGTATTATGGCAGGGATTTGGTAACGGACTTGCGCGCTGGATCGTGACTTACCACGTACGGTGCTACCTGCACACTCACACTTCCATGGACGTTAAATATTCTTGCCTTCTGCCGGTCCTTCACACTGTGACATTCTTTTCTCACCAGTACTCCAAGCTGCGATAGCTGTTCGCTTGCATTGTTATTGTAGCAAAGTCTTGTATTTTATTCATCTCAAGACGTTGTCTCACCTATACCATCGTCGCATTATCATTCATGTCTTACCATAGTGAATTATTACTGTCTATTTTGGCTTTGATCTGGTTGAAGTTGTGATTTCTGCGGAGATTTTCTCAGGGTCATCCGTGACTACAGCTTCCCGTCCACCTGCAGGACTCAAGCTTGCTAAACCGAGCGGGACTCGTTTCTTCGTCAATAGTGCTACCCGTGGCTACGGCTTCTCATCCGAAAGCCCTTGCACGCGGGTAAAATCTATTGGGGTTTTACTCAAGAAACACGTAAACGCTGCTGGTGAGCGAGCATCCCCAATAGTGTACCATTATTTCAAATCCTCCGTTTTTGGTGATTTTTTGGCAGGTATCAAGCCTTCGCTGCAGACTTAGTCGCAATGAACAGTTACACGTACCCCGAGCCTGCTCCAATGGGGTTCCAATACCCCCCACAGCACTTGGTGCATCGATCGGATGGCCACCCGCCGAACGGGATGTCTCACCATGTCATGCACCCCCAGCAACAGCCTCAGCAACTACAGGGACACTCTAATGGTGATTTACACCATCGAAATCACCCGAACGATCATGGACGCGGTCACTTTAATCAGGAGGCACACCTCGGAGGCGCGCCGAATTTTCCTCACCAACCCCAGCCAGGACAAATGCCACTTCATCCTCAGTTCATGGCAGCTATGGGAGGTGCCATGAATATGAATATGGGCGCTTTTCAGCCGTTTATGCAGTATTTTCAGCATCCAGACCCGAGGCCAACAACACCGTTGGGCTCTCTAGACGATCGGGATATTTTGGTGGACGCGCTGCACCGGAGTAGGAGGGAGGGGCGTACGTACAGGCAGGCGATTGAGGAATTGAATGGGGTACGTTGTCCTACCTTCTCCGTTTGATTGTGTTCCGCTGATACTTCTTCAGAGGAACAAGCATCCGTCCCAAGCATGGAAAGATTACTATCTCGATCATCATGACACTATTGACGGACTTGTTGCCAAGAAGTCCAATGCTCCTGTGCCTCCGGTCAGAGGCGCTAGAAAGCCTACGTTCAGTGACCTCGAATCAGACAGCCCTGAGAAACCAGTCTCCCAATCCATTCGCCCAAAGGTCAAGCCAAAACCACGACATTCTGTGCCTAGCCGACCAGTCGTGAAGAATGAGCCCGTAGAAATGACGAAACTTCCACCTGCACCACGCCGACGGCAGACAATAAATAGTTTGACTGCTCCGACGGCCGTGTATACCAGCAAACTCCCAGCACCAGTTACTGATATCAGAATACCTGAGCCACCCTCCAGTGAGCCTACACCACCTACGAATGTCATACAGACCTCGCGGGGAAATAAGTACACTCCTGAAGATCGAGAATACTTCATCCAATTCATTTCTTGGAGGCTCAAGGAACAGCCTGAGCTAAGTAAAATGCAATTGTGTGAGGAATTAGCCGAGAAAGTAAGCACTTCGCATTACAACCACTATTTCCCTGTATAGTAACATAGGCCCTTGCTTTTGACCAGGTTCCACATCATACTGCTGCATCATGGGGTTCACACTGGGCGTTACGCCATGAGCTAGCCGATAAAATCCTTGCACATGCAAAGAGTATACTTGACGCAGAAGAAGACGAGAAGGCAACTCGTGGTCAGAATGACGGCAAAGGGGCAGGGAAAGCTCAGACGGCATCGTCGTCTGCGCCAGTCCGTCGGCCCCACTATAAAGACTCTAGCTCTGATTCGGAAGACTCCAGCGAAAGTGAAGCTGAGCTGACAGACGCAGACGCGCATGGAAGCGACGATGAGGATACACCACCGGTCAAAAAGGAAGTCAGCACACGCGCTCGGCCGATCACTTTTGGAGACGAGGACCTGAAGCTGATGGCTCGCCATATTGCTGACACTCGAGATTGGGACGGCCGCACTAATGCGGACCGTTGGAAACTGTTCACCGACAAGGTAAAGCCACTGCTTTTCCGTACTCTGGTTACAAGTACAGTTGTTCATGTATACGTGAATAGCACACCTATAGATCCCATAGGGCATGGATGGAACAATACCGCCGCCGCAAGACTGGTATGTATACGGTAATTCCTGTGATGATCTGTTACTAATGACCCTGGCAAGAACTTGACCGAATGGCAGCTAAAATAAAGCGAAAGCGTGCTGCAGAAGCGGGGCAAACGAAAGTTATAAAGGAGGAACATCATTCTGATACACTTCAGACACCAAGTCCTTGTCCCCCATCCAAGTCTAGTGATACCTATGGGCCCCCAGCGAAGCGCAAGTTCCCTAGTGGAGTTGATTCCAGCGGACGTTCTGAGCGTATAAAGCGCTCAAAAGATATTTACGCTTAGGATACTTGCGCACTAATTTTTACTCACCGTTCACTTTTTCTTACTCTCTTTTTTGTCTGCCCTTCACTTGCTTGCCACAATCTGTGTATATTCAGCCAATCGTGGAACTTTTTGACATAGCCGCCGGGCGCACGTGGTGTCATTGCATATAATCGCAGTTAAAGCACCTCAGGGTAGCAACCATCTCTCCTTTTACCAACATCTCAACGACCGCGACACGACCATGGATGAAGAATACGACGTGCGTGCACAGAATTTCTCTCAGAATTCGACTGAGCTGCCGTTATCAGGTCATCGTGCTTGGTACTGGCCTCACAGAATGTATCCTGTCTGGCTTGTTGTCTGTTGAAGGCAAGAAGGTCCTGCACATGGACAGAAACGACTACTACGGCGGTGACAGTGCCAGTCTGAACCTGACACAGGTATGCACCGCCCAGAGATCGGGTAATCGTAGCTCACGCCCCCGCAGCTTTATCGCAAGTTTCGCCCAAATCAGGCTCCACCCTCCGAGCTTGGTCGCGATCGCGACTATGCCGTTGATCTCATCCCGAAGTTCATCATCGCGTCCGGCGAGATGACCAAGATCCTGGTGCACACTGAAGTTACACGCTACCTCGAGTTCAAGCAAATAGCCGGCAGCTTTGTCTATCGCGATGGCAGGATTTCCAAGGTCCCGAGTACGGAGATGGAGGCGGTTAAGAGTCCGTTGATGGGCCTCTTTGAGAAGCGTCGCGCGAAGAAGTTCTTCGAGTTCTTGCAGACTTGGAGGGACGATGATCCAGCGACGCATCAAGGTCAGTAGTTATAACATTAGACAAAGTGCGCGACTCCATCTTGCAACAGGCCTCAACCTTGACAGGGATAGCATGAAGACCGTCTACGAAAAGTTCGGCTTGGAACCCGGTACCCAGGATTTCATCGGTCATGCCATGGCTCTATACCTTGATGATGAGTACGTGAAACCAATTTCGGCAAACGGATGATTGTTCATCATCTCCGTATAGTTACATCACAAAACCCGCCCGTGAAACATACAGTCGCATCGTGCTCTACACGTCATCTATGGCTCGCTACGGCAAGTCACCCTACATCTACCCATTGTACGGCCTTGGCGAGCTCCCGCAATCGTTCGCACGTCTCAGTGCCATCTACGGCGGCACATACATGCTTGACAAGCCCATCGATGAGGTTATCACTGATGCTGATGGCAAATTTGTTGGCGTAAAGAGTGGTGGGGAGACTGTTAAGGCTAAACAAGTGATAGGCGACCCTAGCTACTTTGGCGCTGGCAAGGAGGCTGAGGGAGGTAAGGTTAGGGTTATCGAAGAGGGCAAGGTTGTTCGTGCGATCTGCATCTTGAAGCACCCCATCCCCGGTACGGACGACAGCGACTCCTGCCAGATTATCATCCCGCAGAACCAGGTCAACCGTCGCAATGGTACGCAAGTCTCTAAGCGAGACTGTTTTTTATTGATATTTTGGATTAGATATCTACATCGCGATGGTCTCATCGACCCACAACGTCTGTGCCAAGGATGTTTACGTTGCCATTGTATCCACCATTGTTGAGACTGACAAGCCAGAGCTTGAGATAGCTCCTGGGCTTAACCTCCTCGGCCCCATATACGACAAGTAAGCTCTCATTCTTCTCCACGCGAAAGTGACGCCGCTCAACTAGTTTATAGATTCGTTTCTGTCACCCCTATCTACGTACCCACTGCTCCCGGAACAGCCGACAACATCTTCATCACCAAGTCATATGACGCCACTTCTCACTTTGAGACCGTCGTCGAAGATGTCCACGATGTATGGAAACGCGTTGTCGGATCGGACCTCGTTCTCAAGAAGAGGGACACTGAGGCCGAAGTGCAAGGATAAACGACACTTATACTTAGCACACATCCTTCCATTCTCATCTTCACAGTTTTGGAATTCATATAATCATTGTCGTGTACTTCTCTGATCAATACTCAATCAATATGCACGTTGGTGTCACAGCGCATCACAGCGCTGTTCAGAAGAAGGCGCCCATGTCGAACTCAGGAACTTGGACATCGTGTTTGGCGGACTTCATCAGGCTTCCTAGGCCTGCTTTGCGTGCGAGGAAGTCGCCTTCGTCTTTTATTGGTATCGGTTCTTCTGGGATAGTGGGCTCCATCGAAGGGGCACGGCGACTGGGCGATGCGGACCGAGTTGGGGGAAGTGAGGGAATGTCCATGTCGATGATGATTGAAGATCTCCTGCGCATTGCGGGCTCCAAGGCGAACATGGAATGTCGAGATGCCCTTTCTTCATCCCGCATAGAGGACATAGGCGCTTCCCGGATGATAGTAGATGGTCTTTCAAATGACCAGGAGCGGACAAGATCAAGCCCTAGAACATGGCATCCTAAGCAGACAATCAGCACCAACAAACGATGCATATCGACAAGACTTACCCATTCGACAGAATACTCGAGCTATTTGCAGGACGAAGTTGAACTCAGATCGACTTGAAATTTCGCTCGTTCCTTGCGCTGCTTGAAGTGTCTTGGATCGTAGTTGTGAGAAGAGAAGAGCCAAACTAGTGTCATCGTAGTGGGGCTCTCCGATTTCCGTAACTTGGATATCCAGACTAGAAATTATGTCTTCCAGCGGTGTCTAGGGCATGCATTCAGTGATTTCTCCAGGATTGCATTGATCTGACTTACAACCAAGATGCGCACTGCCAAATCTCTCCGATGCAGCAACCAAAAGGCCCAGCTAGCAAGCCAACGGTTGCCTTTTTCAAAAGCGATTGGTAGGACTGTATTGTTTAGTATGGAAAGCAATATTGGTCCATCATTACTCTGTTCTCCGATACGAGCAAGGGCAATGGCTAGCTGGAAATCGTCGAGCTGTTTCAAACAGACGCTGACAGCATCTTTGAGACATCCTCCAAGTAGGAAGAAGGCAGCAGCGTAGTCTAGCAGGGATCAGCATGGTCCACCCTAGTCATGATTGAGTAGGCTCCTACCGAAGCGTTGCTTTCCGAGAAGGGCGTATGCATTCTTCAGGGCCGCCGTTCGCCATCGAGGCTCCGAAAAATCATTCGAAAGAAACTTCAGCATGACCGCTTGTTCCTTATGCCAGGCCGCCTGTCTCCACAACCCGTGAACGAGCTTAACCTTACCAAGAGCGAAGTAGAAGAGCGAGCAAGCGGTCGGATCCCGATTGTCGCCAGCCATATACTCGTTACGTCCGATCGTCTCCACTTGAGCTTTCTGTAATCATCACTATTCACAAGCTTGCATTAGGAGAGGTTACCGAGCTTACCAGTGTGTCGATCGAATTTAACCATAGAGCGATCCCAAGTGCCCTGGCATCTGACCAACACATCTTCCCATTGCATGCTGCAGTCGAAGCGTTTAAAAGGAGGTCTTGACTCTCGCTGTGGAATGCCCAGATCATGTCCCGGAAACGCAGACGTTCTCTACGACGCATTCTTCGGCGAGATATTCCGGAGGCTTTGTCCGAAGCAGGAGAATTGGGTTCAGAGGCTCGTCGGTTCAAAATGTAGAATGATCTCATTGTGGTTAGATATCGAAGACCGTTAGCATCCAGAGCACGTTTTTGTTCATCTACCTGTCAAAGAACGTCAGTTACTGATGGCCTCAACATCGCGTCTGCACACCTCCAGAGTGACTTGAATCAGGACGAGGAGATGAGCATTTTCGTTCGCAGTCAAATGTGGTAAAGGGTTGTTCTCGAGAGACTCGAGCAGTTGCAACACAAGTGGACGGGAGAAACCTTCCTCGTTTGGACTGCGGTAATCAATTCCAGCAATGTCTCGAGCAGTGTTAGTGCTTGAGACTTACTCTTCATGCTTTTCGACGGCCTCGTTGAAGAGGAACGAGTATCCAGGCTTGCGTTGTGTCACCTGTGATGGTGTTAAATCTCTATACCGTTGATCGACCATTCGAAACATACCGAACGCGTACTCGCGTTTTCATCCTTCTCAAGAAATCTCTCAACGGTAAGGGTAGTCCACCCATCACCAATTTGTTTCGTCTTTGAATTGATGGATGCAATATCTTTGGCGAGGTTGACAATAATGTCCTTCACTATGTCGACTTTCCCTAAAATGGTCTTGGTGAGTGGTAGCCATTCAATAGCATAACATTCCTACCCCATAACAAACACTGCAGCACCATCTGGGGATGATGGTCCACAAGTGGTCCATTATTTCGCGCGACATATTCAAACAGGCTCTCCGATGTGACTTCCGGCTTCGGTTGGCTGTACAAAAGCATATGCCGACCAGTTGCAACCAGCAGTGAACCGTTCGAAAGCCATATGGAATCTGAGATCGGGTATGGGGTCATACTAGGAGTATTTAGTCAAGTAATGAGAAGATATGTTTATGGATAGATGCTCACCCGCTGAGGTCTATTCTGTGGCATATCGCCCATCCAGGCGCGTCGTCGAAGTAGGTCATCCGCTGCTGATAATAGATATCAACATGATCCAAGAACCCTACAGCCAGAATAGATTGTGCATCCGGCGTGGAAGACCAATCCAGATCATTCACGGGAGTAGTAAAATGCCCGGAATACTCAAGCCCTGAAGCAAATTCAGACTCGTGTGAGTCCCAGATAGTCAGTTCTTCACCACCCTCGGACGTGGGTACGACTATTTCAACACATTCAACAACGTAATGCGTAGTAACGTGGGGACGGAACCTCACCAAGCGCGGACTTCTTAGCAGAGCTACACCTCGCCGTCCTTATATTCGACCTCCCCGTCCGGACCTTGCCCGTGCATTTCCAAGTCTCATCCTCGGTGTCCGTTACTACATCCGTAACCCAGAAGGCGAGCTCTCCGCAAGACGATATGCTGAGCAGCGCGTCCCGCTTGATCCAGTCTTTGCCTTTGTGAGGTGTTAATCCCCATGCCATGGGATCCACGGGGAGAATCATATTTGGGGGTAGTGTGAGTGGAAGTATCGTGCGGGAGGCGAGCCGTAGCTGAGGGCAGTCACTTGATCCAAGGAAGATGTGAAGGATAGAAGAGTCGGATGCTATGGCGAAGATAGTCTCCCCGCCGTTCTCAGAGGGCATGGTAAACAGGGACGTGATGCACGGAAGATCATACAGCACGCTGGGTGGTTCACAGTGAAGAGTAAGCGTGGATTCCGACGAGTTGTATGTGGCGAACGTTTTGGCTGAAGCATGTGGAAGCTATTATTGAAGGCAATCGAAGCGACATATTTGGGCATACCTGAATGCAAGACCACAACATAGTCCGCTTTTGTCCATGTTGCCTTCTTTGACAATCGCCTGCCACCTTCGGAAAGCCTCCAGGACTCTCCACCCCCTGAAGCTCGCAAAACCCCTACCCCTTGACCCTCTGGAGTACGAACAAGTTTCGCAATTTCTCCACGCGATTCATTCACCTCCTCCCCAACATACGAAGCTGATGATTCTAGCTTTAGACCATGTGCATGCGCATCGAAGAAGGATAATGGAGATAACGAGAATGTCATCAATGGGTGTGCTACAATGAGTTGTAGTTGAGATGTGATCTTTGGATGTGGTAAGAGCGTCAGATATGAAATCTGAGGGGGTAGCATTGCGGGAGGTGACTGCTGGAGAGTAAAGTGTCGGAGGAGTGTGGGCGGCCTACGATCTATATTCTACAATCATTCAATAAGACTGAACCACTGCGCGCTGATGCTAGCTTACCGCCACCGCAGTAATTATGATGGAGCCATCTTCAAGAATGCGGAGGAATAGATCCCATCCTTCATCCTTAATATCTTGTAGCCGCCGATACCGTGCATCTTCCTCGTGTTGAGGCATATCATTCAGAAGTGTCGCTAACGCCTTTCCCATGATCTCTGTATCCAGCCAGAATATCTTGGAAGTCGAAGGATGGGGGTATTGGCATGCAACAGAGAAGGGTATCGATGTGTAGAGGTCTATTGAAGCATGTAGTTGGAGATATTGAGGTGCGTCTAGGACCGGGAAGAATACGCGCAGTGTAGAGTCTGAGGTGATAGTGTAGAGAATTAGGTCATCGCTGGCATGTGTTCAGCCGTTTGGTATTAACATAGGAGCAATGGGAAGGTGTGACGGACCGACTTGACGCTTGTGAGTGCCTCCAAATCATGTCTGTTACTGGTCTTGGGTGGGGGATCGTTTGTGTTTGACGGCCTGTAGTGGTTGAGTATATTCGTACAGCATTATCAACCTGAGGGAACGTTAGATAGGTTTAGACTCTGGAGCGAGCCCAATCATACTTTACAAGCAGTGGCCATATACATGAGCGAAGGAGCAAATCGTACAAGCGATGGGTCGGCGGCACTGAGGAGCATTCTCGTCAGCTACCATCCTTGTAGCTGAACCAAACGGAATAATCACGGTGTTAACCACTTTTGTGACCATTTGAGCATGTCATTCTCCATGATCAACGTATACACCGACAGGCTCTGTTCGCAACCGACAGCCAGCAGTCCTAGTCTCATTCAGTAATTGTACAGCCATTGACACGCGTTTACAGCATACCGGAGCGAATGTCCGTGGTCGTTATTTTGTGCGCTTCTGGATGAGTGAGAGAAGAGTGCACCCTCCAAGTATCGTTCCGAGATCCTAAGGGGGACCATACAGCTATGCGGGTGTTCATTGCAGCGATCAACTACAACAAACGAATGTGAATCCGACTGTCGGGCCGACGAAAGACTCGGAGGACATACGAGCTTCATCGCGGGATCCACAGATATACAAGTAATGGAATCCGAGGCGTGCAGTTGTCCGGGAAATACTTCCCAGAAAGCCACCATTCGTACCAGACGTTGAGTTCGTGCATTCAGCATGATGACAGAGTCCGCTGACGGGTATAACTGTTGAATTGAAAGTCAAGGATCCTCTTCCAATCTGAATTGCGAGTAACGCACGATGAGAACCTCATCTCCAAGGACCAGGTGCTGTATTTCAGCAGGAACACGGTCCGCGTACAACTGGAGCAGTTCCAGCATCGAATTCGGTGGAGATGGTGGTTGGGACAAGAGAGCCGCGTCTGAGCGCTACCGATACGCGGGGATATCTCGTCACGTGCACCGATCGAATACGTCGAGCGCTTATCACGGCTGTAAATCCTATCTTGAACTTCATCTTGACTTCATCTAGTATGACGACAACTTCAAGCCTCATCGACACAATTCCGCCAGAAGTTATCGAGTTGGCGCTCAGTATGCTGGACTGGAGGTCGTTGATAAAATGCAAACAAGTCAGATCATTTCTTCAATATTGATTATAGCTCACAGAGGAACTACTTACCACTAGGTTTGTGGCACATTCCGTGCTCTAATAGACTCCAGTCCCCAACTACAATACACCATAGAGCTGGGAATTGCCCATATGGAAGACGGGCCACCCAGTTGCGTTGAATCGGCAGCAAGGCTCAAAATGCTGCGTCTATATCAGAGCAATTGGGCCAATATGCGATGGCAGCGTGACGTAAGGATCCCCATGGAGGACGGGGGGCTTTGGGAGCTCTATGGAAATGTGCTCGCCCAGAGACTAGCAGATAACTCATACAAGTTCCTCTGCCTTCGGTCTTGTAGCCGCGGAATCAAACAGAGGGAATGGACATTGGAGCCTGTAGATGTTGATGCTAGGGATTTCGGGCTGGACGAGTCGCAGGATTTATTCGTGCTTGTGGCTAAATTACCGTCGTCTAATGAACCGTTGAGTGGAACGTACTTCTATTTCAGCATCTACTGATCCTTGAATCCAGTTCAGCTGCCGCTACTACAGAGTTCCAAGTACATCTGAAGTCTCTGACAACGGGAAAACCCCATCCACTAGCACCGAACTCTGGCGTCCTGTCTTTTACTAAAGTTGGCAGAGATCTCCCTGTCTCTCTCACTGTTCAAATCTCGGGAACGCAATTGGCCATTCTTTTCCATAGTTTGGCGGAGGACGCTGAGAATGAGCTGGTCATATGGAAGTGGCATACTGGTGAGCGCCAGTCGGTTAGTACAGATTTCACATCGCTTGACACAAATCGTTGACAAATGGTTTGTTGCAGTTAATTGGCGATTCAATGAGAGCTTTCTCATTCCTCGGTGATCATTATGTCGTGATGGTTCTGATGCAGGATGACCCAGTAGAAGAGGACGTGCGACCGGTTATGAACGTATGGGACACACGCTCAGCAACCAATGGTGACGCAGTGAGGGTAGAGGAGGCGAATTTCGTTCGCTCCTTCAGGTTCCCTACCTTAAGCGACCGTGCGCATCTAACGGAGATCACCATCCGATCAGACCCAGCTCCGCAGTGGTCGCCTTCTAGCGAAACGCAGGCTCCATTCTATTTGGCGCGGGCAGCGAAGCTGTATGTCGTGACGTTCTGGGTCATCCTTGGCAACAACGCTCGTGGGATATCGGTCTTCATTCCTGCAGCAACGTTGCTTAACCGTGTTACCTCTGCTGACGCTGCTACGGTCGTTGATTGGGAGAATTGGGGTCCGCGTGGGTCATTGCTGTTGAAGAGTTGGATTCACCCAGGCAGCGTTTGGGTATGTTATGTGTACGGGGAAAAGTATGTCTCTTTTCACCCAGCGGGGGAGAATACGCAGTCGGTTGTTGTCTTCGATTTCAACGAAGCAGCAGCGCTTCGCTCGGGGCCGATGCCGGAGCAGCCCTCAGTATACAAGGAGAAAAATATCTTCAAGGATGAAGTCGTCACCAATATCCCATATCGCGCAACACTTTGTAGGATCCAGTCAGGGCCCGCGCATGGAATGTGTAGCGAAGATGCCATACTACTGGTTGATGTACGAAGCTTAAACTTGCCTCAAACGCGTTCATTTGGCTCACACGTGCATACCAGCCTCGCCATCGATTCTATCGAGTTTTGTCGTTTTAACTACAGTGGAAGAAAGGAAGAATCTCCGGGATGGGCCCGGTGTTGTATGACTTCATGTAGAGTTAAGATTATCTTGTATGGACTGTTTCTAAGTTTGAAGCTGAGTTATTATAGCCATTTGAGCGTTGTGACCAGGCAGCCTGGATACATCGGATATTACTTGGGCTTCCACTGGCAATATGGGCTGAGATATTTTTTGAGCAGCGTGGTTTCTGTCCGATTGAACGGCCTCCAGACGGTACCTGTGAGCAACTTGAGCTCATGGATGATTGGGCAGGAGGCTACCCGATTTATCACCAGCCATCACTAATCTTATCAGATAGTGGGCACACTGAAAATTTACGAACAGCTACATGCAGTATAAATCTCCATCTTCCCTTTCCCTCTCATGACTCGAAACCGCCCATCCTATACCCCCCTTCATTCAGAACCTCCGTGAGCCATGGTTCCCCATCCTCCCTCCTCCCACCACCTCCTCGCCGCTGGCCTCAAATCATGTCGGACCCAGACGGCGAAGGCGTTCTACGCGGTACGCTTATTTCACATGGTGGCCAGCCATTGAGCACTTGCTGACTTGTGGTTTATTGCAGACAGTACGCCCGCATACGGACACCCCACCAGTCGACCCAGACGAGCCACCGCCATCGGGGCACAATGTTCGTTGAATTCATCGAATATCTGTGTTCACAAGGGACTTACATCAGCGTCCAGGACTTTATATTGTCGATTCTGCGTGCAGGCCCGTCCTTAAGGGATTCGAGGTCGTACCTTGCGTCGTTCGGCCCTCGGCCCCAACAAAATCCGAAAACACCTCTTGTCCCACAAGAGGTACAAAATACGCAACCTGGCGTAGCCATCCCTGGCCTCGAGGCGAAACCCGACCGCGTAGAAGAACCGCCGAAGCCTAGTCCAATTGTTGCATCTATTCTTAATCCAGTCATTCGACGCACCGCGCTCGTAAAAGTACAGGGACCGTTCAATGATGTACAGCTCGACAGCATTGCACGAGGCTTAGTTTTCCTCGAGAAGCTCGGCCTGGTGACCGTAATAGTTGTCGAGAACGACAACCTTTCCCGCGGCGATGACAATGACCGAACAGAAATCATTGAAGAGACTATGCGAGTGGTGTCCATGCTAGAGAAGCATGGTGCTAAAGCCCGTCCCATTCTTGGATCAATAGTCCGGCTCGGACCCAAGCCCAACGACGACGCCTCTCTTCGGGATCCAACTATCCGATTACCTGAAGCACATACCATTCCTTCTGATCTCATGACTCTTCGTTCTGCTCTTCGTGCGGGGGAGATCCCGGTTATACCTCCGTTCGCCCTCGATTCGTTCTGTCGGTCGGTCCGCATCGACGCAAATGATGCCATAGCTGCTCTCGCTCGCGGCATGGTAGAAGCTGGCACCATGAATCCCACAGGTTTTACGTCCGACGAAGGCTACCCCGCTTCTTCTGAGGACGTCGACCTTACGCCTTTACGCTTAATGATCATCAATCGCGAAGGAGGTGTACCATCCTATGCACGTTCAGGGTATCCTCATCTTCTCATTAACCTTACCTCCGAATCATCCCATATCGAGGAAACATTCCATAAACAATGGCGCGAATCGCACCCCACTGCACTCTCTAATCTAGCTCTAGCTCGTACATGCCTCAGTTTCATGCCTCCGTCATCCTCCGCCATCATGGTTTCGCACCGCTCCCCTAGTTCACTGATCGGCAATCTCATTACGAACAAGCCCGCCTTAAGCTCAAGTCTTCCTCATGCTTTGCTACAAGGCAACCGCAAACTCACTCCGCACACACCGACATTACTCAGGCGAGGGTTGGACATTCGCGTTGTCCGCACCCTAGACCAAGTGGATAGGAAGAAGTTAAATGTGCTTCTGGAACAGTCGTTCCAGCGGACATTAGACCAAGAGGCTTTTTATAGTCGTTTAGAGACAAATTTGGATTTCGTCATTGTTGCGGGCGACTATGCCGGTGCAGCTATTGTTACGAACGAACGCTGTCCGAATACCGGCGCATCAATATCATACCTGGACAAATTTGCTGTTCTTCCGAACCATCAAGGGGACGGCACTGTTGACTTCCTTTGGGTGGCTCTTCACGATGAATCTTACGGCCTTGGGCATCCCTCTGCCGTCAATCCTAACGGTGGAAAAGAAGGCAAAGGCGAGGGCCGCGATCTGGTCTGGCGGAGCAGGGCCAACAACCCAGTGAACAAATGGTATTTCGAACGCAGCACAGGACACATGCGAATAGGCTCTTGGGTGCTATTCTGGTGTGACGCCGAGAAACGCCTCAAAACCGAACAAGGCCGCCGTGGCAGCACTGGCCTTTCATACATAGAAGATTGGGAACAGGGCCGCCTCTCATTATGGACAGATGTTATAATGAAAGTACCATCAGTGTGGAAATGATGTTCTGACGCATGTAACCTTAAGCAATGAATTCCTTTATTGTACAATCCGCGTATGTGTCGAATGTATATATATGTAGCACAACCATAGATGGGCCCACAGCAGACAGCAATAACATAGCAATGGATACAAACAAACGAGCTATCTCCGTCTTTTACTCTTCGGCTTCGGAGGAGTAGATAAAGAAGACGCAGAGATAGATGTACTCGGATTATTCTCCTTAGCTTTCGGGGCCAGGACGGACAATTCCCCGACCCTTTTCCATGGCTTGTAGTTTTTTTTGCCGCTGGAGACGCCACTCATCAACGTTTGCACGCCGTTGATAACACGTTGGCGGAACTTTTTGGAAGTCCATGTGTCGATGTTCTTGATGATGAAGTAAACTTGTAGAATGTCTCCTTCCTTTTCTAATTCCCAATCGTGGAAATGATTGAGCGAGAGATCTTCCCCATCTGCCTGATCGGCATTGCTGGGGTACGGTGCGGAGAATACGGCCTATTCATAGAAGACATTACATTATTCCGACATCAACGAAGTAGAAGAACAGCAAGGACCTACCAAACGTTTGCCTTCTTCCTGTTGACACCAATCAACATGCGCACGCACTGTCCCCGTCGCCCATACAAGGCCAAAAACGGGCACATCAATACACAGAGAATGCAAATGGCGAACAACGGCAGCTGTCGCCATTCGGTTTTGCCTATATGCATCGTCCAGCATGAGATGTGTAGGCTTCTTATCTTCGAAGACGCTACTGATAAACTCGAACCCAGGCGTTTCAGGCAACTGAGCACACGGTGTTGCCTGGTACCGGAACGAGCTGCCTCTGCTAGCCTCACCACATTTATTAACTTGGACATGGCGCTTTAATGTGTTGAAGGGAGATTTGGCGGAATTTGAGAGATCTCGAACCCGTCGAGCCGGTACGAAGACCGAGAAGTCAGGGATCACTGTCTTCGCGTTCAAAATACGAACAGCTTCGGGGACAATATTAGAGCGTCCCGAAGGCTGCGGTAGAGAAATGGAACATTGGAATCTTTGGTAGCGCGCGTCAATGATTATCTTCGGCTTGACAGCAAACTTACCTGGCGTGGTTATCCGCTACACCTTGAACACGAATCGGATTGTACCTATCGGCCACTTAATCATAACTTCCTGTCAATATTGGGAGCAACATACACATGACCGGCATAATCTGCCTCGGAGAATTTCTCTTTAGACATCTTCATTTTGCGAAGTCGCGCCCATGCATTAAACACTACCAATACTTCGGAGTAAAGTTGGGGGAGCGCTGCTTGGTCCATCGACTTGTCTCCAAACATACAAGGATAGGCTTGATGAGCAGACTTGAGAAATTCATAGAACTTCGGAGGCCAATATGTTTGTTGGTCCTTCTACTCAGAGCAATCATTCAGTATACGTTTGAGTGAGGTAAAAGCCTGAGATAGACTTGACCTCATCCAACCAGTCGATTGGTATCCTTTCCTTCACATTGAAGACGTCCGACACGTCGCTCACCAAATCTTGAGGAATGTCCACGTACGAGACTTGTTCGCATCCTTGATGTGAACTCCAAGTTTCGAAGTGCTTCGCGTTACGCGCAATCCTGTTGTATAACTTTCCAGTCAAGTCCACGACAACATCGGCCTTACATACTCTGATGCTGATGGAGTTCGCGCGATACGCGCCGTAGGTCGCGAGGGAGCTCGTCGTTTGACCTTTGAGGCATCGCTCAAGGAAGTGCTCATCTTGGTCGCGTCGTCGTCGTCAGCGCGCAGCACGATGCATTGGTCAGATTGCATACCTCAATATTGAATGCTTGACCAACTGTCGCGTCGTCGAAGTCAAGAAGTGAGATGCAAATAAGCGCTCATTGTTCAATTGTTCAACCAAGTGGTAAAAATGATCGGATCGGCACAGTAAATGAAAAGATTGCAAATTGTTGAGTTCTACTAATACAACGAACGAGCCAAGACCAATTGTCCACCGTAATACAATGGAAGTCCAATCAACTTGTTTGAGAAGCCTGGCGCTAAGAATTGGTCTCTAGCGACGAGGAAGTCGGAGAGATAGAAAAGAACTGCCCCAATCATGATCGTGGTATCGTGGGTGGCAAGGGCAAGGTCGAGCATCACACTGATGACAAGCATGTAAGCGATTACTGGTTTCTGAAGATCGTTGGGGACGTGAGGCGCCAAGGCGTGGTTGACCGCGAAGAAGATGACGGCGAGTGGGAGGAGGGCAGTGATAGCTGTGAACGCTACGAAGTTCGTTTGATAGAACGATATAGCGTAGAATAGATGGCCGAGGAGGAAACTTCCTAGCCCTAGCTGGAAGGTTGCTTCCCCGCCCGGGATAAGGAGGACATCTCCGACCCAAGCGAGGCAGAGGCCGGAGAAGAGGATCCCGTCAAAGTGGGGAGCTTGTAAGGCGAGTACGATGAAGCCACACGACGCGAGCGGCTTGCATATCCATGTGAGTGGCTTACTCTCAGCGTATTCTGCCAAGAGCAACCACGCTAAGCACACCACTGTCAAGATCACTCCCGCAGGCATATCGAGGGGCACAATATCTGGGTGACATTCGGTAAGACATCAATATCTGCATTAGTAGCCGTAGAACACACCTGTTATCTTTGAACGAGTTCGATGAGCCGTTGATCGACGCGATTCTTTATATATGAAACCTTTTAACATGTGAAGATCTACCATGCGGGCACTGAGGGCTGAAGGGAGACCTGAGTTGAATGGTTGAGTTCAGGATGCACGTGGCATCCAACCCTCGATGAGCGACCTGAAGGGTTCTCAACGATCTTGCACAGTACGACCAAATAATATAGCATTGCAAAGGAACATTGATTACACACGTCTAATCCCTGACGCAATAAGGAGATCTTTTGTGGTGGTATATTGTCTAGCTTAGAATAGCGAATCCAGGAGCTTCCGAGATGCCTCCACGCCAAGCTGAAAGGAACAGTCAATAGACCATCTAGATGGGTAGTATGAAGAGACGCACGAAAGTAGCTGCATTGGCTGGGAATGCTCTGCCCATGGCAGGGCCAAAGCCTTTCCACAACGCGGCAACGCCGTCCTGAGCGATCGTCTTGCGTGCACAATCCATGAAACCCGAGTAGGTACCCGTAGGGGCGGATTGAAGGCGGGATTTCAGCACCTAAACCATCAATCGTCAACCATGCGACCAAATACGCAGATTGAAAGGAGTGCGTACATCAGGGGGTATGGCGATGGCCCACATGGCTACACCTGCAGTTCCACCAGCAAATATGATGGCGCCGAGGTTCAGGTCAGCCGGTGTCGCACCTGCTGGCGTCAAGGCCTTCTTGGTTACTTCGTAGGCCGCGAAATAGCTAAACAGGAGTAAGGATATGTTTACGGTATTGCTGAGGCCTGCACTTACGCAGCACTGCCTGGCCCATCCCTAGCTAGCGTGGCAAATGAACCACGGAAGATACTCCGCATCCCGCCTTCTTTATATAAATGCTTCATAACGTCCAACACGCCGGTATACTGGCGCCCCGATCCTCCTTGTCCTTGGATCTGAGGACAGAAGGTTTAGATCGAGTAGGACATGTAAGAATGAACCGCGAACCTGGAGTAGAACCTTGGCCCGCTCGACAGGAGCAGTAACTAATGTCGTTGGCACGGCTGACATGAATCCGGCTGCTGCAAGCTCCCCTGTCGACAAAACGTCGCTCTTGCGATTAGGTGTAGCTGATAGTATGAGTTTCTTTGATGCATCATACGCCTGCATAGCGTGGTGAGTCCACGCAGTACTGCTTTATCTGAGGGGGCGTACCCAAAACGACAGTGCGAAGATTGGTGTAACTCCTAGCAATGGAGGCACCATCCCCCGGTACATCCTTTCAACCATATCTCAGCGAATATGCAAGCGCACAACAGATATCCGAACATACCCTCGGACGCCATCCCGCGCCAGAATCTGCTTCACAACATCAACGGCACCAGTGTATGCCCCAGGCGCTGCCGTTTGCAGCCGAGTCTTTGTCAAGTCGAACGGATGACCTGTGAACGACGTCCATGAAAACGTAAAAACCAGAAGGCTCAGTGCTTCTACGAACCAACGAGAACGGCAGAGACACCGCCAAAACCACCCGCGATAAAAGCCTTGACAGACTCTGTTGTCGCGTTTCCACTGAACTCTTCCGCCGCTGGTGCCTCGCTGCTCTGTAGTGGTTGAAGGTCACCGGGTCAGCAATGAGCATGGTATATGAGGTCGCTTGACCAAGGAATGATCCCCTCACCATCGTGGTCTCGTTGATTCGACTGGTTCAAAGGCAAGTTACGGGGGAAACCAGGGATTGATCGAGATTATAGGCTCGGGCCTCCGTGAAATGCAAATGCCGGTCCAGGTGTGGTCGCTTGCCCCGAAGGAGAGCATGGCGTGCCCTACTGCCCCTCGGCAGGGTCACTTTGTCCCCGCAACATGTGAATTATCCCTCTTGGTCGAACTGACCCAATCGCCATGATCAGAGATATGGCACCGTCATAAATTAGTACATGAGTGCAAAGTTCTATACATATTATATATTTCTATCCATGCAGCCCGATTATGATAAGAAACACTAAGCTTCATCGTCCTGACCGAATCCACCAACAGGCTCATAGGTAGCTTCTGTTGTATCTCTTCTCCATACAGCGCGAACCCCGAAGAAGAACAAGCAGATAAGCCCGACGCCGAAGACACCCACACCAACGGGTGCGCCAATCTCAAACCACCATGAAGGTTGATATGGTTCAATGAGCGAGTCGATCAAAATCACGCCGCCGGTACCACTTCCAATAGTTGACCGGCCCCATGCAAGCACGCGACCGTAATCGTCGCGACCTTCTGTACCGCGTGCACCTTTGATACCGACGACGTATGCCCCATCTTCTTGCTGTCTGAAGACGACATCTCCGTAGGCAGCATTGGGCGATTGCAACGTAGAATATGTCACGGAGTCGTCCATGACCAATGGTCGATTGTTATTTAGGTCATCGTGGGCATCGAAGCGTTGTTTACTCGGCATGGGAATGAGATGTTGGGCGACAACGCTTCGAAGAAGATCTTCGTCCTTCGTCAGCTCGGTGACATTGTGACCTTTGAATGCGTCATCCGTTGGACAAAGGAATGTCCAACCAACAGCGCCCAAGTCAGCCCACGGGGAATCCTCTGGAGGGGCGGTGCCGTTCAAGACCCAGTCCAGCCCCGCTTTGTTGACGAGAGTGGTCATTGTCGTGACCTTGGCTGCCTTGAGTAACTTCCCAATAGTCAAGTCAACGGACCGAGGAATAAGAATGTCTGTGAGTTCGTGTATAACTCCGGATTGCGTGAGGATGTTCTTAGTGACCAATTCGGAACGCATGCCCGTCCAACCACCACTGGCAGTGATCAACATCGAGTCGTTGATTGCGTGGCGTTGGAGAGTAATGTCACTGCCCTCGAGAGAGGCAAATGTGCGCTGTGATCCGTTGTGTAGAGATTCGGCGTATTCTACGCCGTCTAGGGTATGATGCAAAATAACTTTCTCTAGATCTGCCTTGGCCGAAGGGAGGAGGAAGTAGGCACTGACTAGCATCCCCAGGCGCTTGAAGGCAGAGTTATCGGGAATGAGGAGGGTGGTTCTTGGTGTCGTCTTCAGTACCTCGGCTAGGGAAGTAGAGAAGATAGCCGACAAAAAGGTAGATAAATCGAGGAAGGTGAATGCAGTAGCAAGGGCATCCGTCGGAGGGGGAATCGGCCGAGAAACAAAGTAAATGTAGGTACTGTTGGCATCTGCAATAAAGTGAGGATATTAATACATACGTCGCACAGAAGAAGGGCAACATACCGTGTTCGGCACTGACCCCCGCGCCGCCGAAGCTGATGGATGGGTCCACTAAGGCCTTGCCTTTGTCACTTCCACTAATCTGCACTTCCATAACTTGTCTGCCCCCATCTAACGCTTTCTCTTCCAAACTTGTCTCCAAGAGCATTCCTGCCTTCAGCTTCTTCTGTGTCCACTTCCCAGGAATGAAATGATATTGAAGCAGCTTCTTCAAATCCTCCGAGCCTCTTTCTGGTAGGTCCTCGTCACCTAACAAGGAGATAGTATCGTCACTGAGGGCCAGTACCGTGTATTTGGAATCCGTCGAGTTGATCAAGTGGGTCAAATTGACGGAATGGATGAGGGAAACGAAGGTGGTGCAGTTGAGGGCTAGTAACGACTTCTCCGGTGTCACTTTGAGCGTGCCTGGAGGTATGAGCAACGAGTCCACGAGGTGAAGAACACCATTGGAGGCATAAATATCTGGCTGAATAAGTTGTGCTGATGATACCATTGTCTTGTCTGGAGAAACGACGACCTCGAGCTGAGAGCCGCTGAGGGTGGTGAGATTTAGAGCAGGTTCGAAAGATTCTGACCAGGCGATGTGCTTTTGTACTACAGCGTGCTCGTTTAATATCAGCTTGAGATCATCCGTCGCGAACTGGCTTTCTAGGTAAATACGTTCGTAGTCGTCCAACACGTCCCAAGCCTTGTCGACAGGCAGGAACAGAGTAAGTTCAGAAGTGGTGTTTAGCAGGTGGATGATTTCAGGCGTGAGGACTTTGTGAAAGTAGGAGACAGAAGCGTGCTGCGAGACAACATGTGCTAGAGAAGATCGCGTGGGTTAATGTTAATAGACATAAACCTTGAACGTACCGAGATCAGACGGCGGTTCTAATACGTCCGCTATACCAAGCAAGACCCCGTTGCCAGCATCTACTTTTCCCTTGGTTATCTCTGCCCCTCCGGTGCCAAATGCATCAACCCCGACGAAAGCGCGCCCTTCCCGGGCTGCTACCCGGAGTCGTTGTGGTTCGCCGCCCAGGGTGCCCCCTGGTATCGGCATCCAAGGGGGATACGGAGGTGGTTCTTTCGAAGGTGGGTCTACGAGTGTGTGGGGAAAGTGAAGCGTCTTGTGCACTTGTGGGTTGGGTTCGTTGTTTGGAAGATCAGTTATTGAATAATTGAGCAAGTGATACCACAGCTGTTGTCGAAGCTGCTCCTGCACATTGTCCTTGAGGTCGGTAGCGTCGTCTCGCAATATAGAGCGCCATCCTTTATGTTTCTTAATGGCGTCATTTGTCGGTGCAAATAACGTGCTTCCGTTGAGACGATTGAGAGTCGGGACGAGACGTGCCCGCATGATGAGCTTCAACAGTGACTCATAGTCCGGGTCGTCGCTGAGCGCGGTGATCAGTGTCTTTGAGGTTGTCGTTGTGTTGGAGGACCACGCGACTTGTGCGCCGTAGCAGGAGACTACGGGGCTCAAGACGAGGGCCACCAAGGTGTACCGGAGGGCAGGCCAAAGCCTCATAATGCTACGATTCTGTGATTGCAAACGTGGTGGTGGTCGTGGAGAGAGATGAAGAGGAGTGAGTTGCTGCGCGTGGAAGGCTACGAGGTCAATGGAGCAGTCATGGATCTCAAGCAAGGCATTTTAGCGCCACCCTTAATCATGGGCGCTTATTACATGTCCGAAGATCACTGGCTCGCTTCGCCGCTTCGAGTCACGAATCTCCTGGAAATGGCCACAACCAGGAGAAAGCCAAAGGTTCGCTGATTCGTACTGCAGTTCAAAATATTGGCTCAATTTTCTGCCAGGTTTACCTTTTGGATCTCGTAAAGGACCCGGCAGATAAGTCGGCTATCGTGCTGGTATAGTCAATCCGCCTCAGCGCACAAAGCTGTCACCACTTACTCCCAGCGCTCTTAGAAAACATGGCTCACCGACGACTCGCCCGACATGCCTACACCCCACTGGGATGAACCTGGCTTGCTTGAAGAAGGGAAGATTGTCATACATTACGTTGGATCAGGACCCGCTGTCGTTGATGAGCAGATTGTACAACTCGTGGATCGGCCTAGCTTTCAACCGGGCGACTGTTGTAGGCGCACTTCAGGCGATATAGAAACAGGCGTCGTCCTTAATGTTCAGGCCAAGGGCAAACTTTACCATGTTATTAGTGGTGTAGCCGTCCCTGGATGGAGAACAGTCGACGACATAGATACTTCTGGGAAGGCACATGTAGGTTGTTACATCGTATATAATGACTGGATAGGCGAGGTGAGTCTTTAGTTGTTTAGGACGACTACTCAGCCCACTATCCTGACGGAGTATCTAGGTAATCGAGGTGAGCTTCACATAACCTTCAGCGGCGCGCCGATTTAATTCCCCATAGGTTGTCGACGAAGTCCTTGTAGAGACGAGTTCAGGGCAACTAGTCAGCTTCTCTGAGCTACGCTCCCCTTTTGTGGCCGGTGACATAGGGCAGGTTTGTCTCGAAGGGGCTACATATCTCACTGTAGCGCATTGACACTTTCTTCCTAGGACATATTGCCTTCAGACTTGAAGCAAAGGATTTTCACACGAATTCCCGACCCCAACGAACCTGACACCGTCCTCAATGTCCAGCACGTCGTATATGCCATCTCTTGGTTGGCGCTTAATCAGACGGTAGCTCTCACCACTGCGGAGTGCATTCCTCATAGTATTAACATACGTGAATTTCCTCCAGCTCTCCCCCGCAGAATTGCAGTCGCGCACTCCGCCCCAACGGTTTTGGTACGGGGACGATCTCAACAAACTCACCTATCTTAAGAATCCGTATACACCCATGACAGCTGGCGAGTTGGTAAGCCATATTGATTCCACGTTATTAGGATGAAGTAAAGCAACTGATCCGTATTTTTAGGTCGTCTTGAAAGACGCAGAGAATGCACCGACATCTACGCATACAGACAGCAGTGACCCTACCTTCTCTTTCACCGTCCGCCGGTGTGTTGTCAGTGAGACGCAATCGGTGGTTACCGTTCTGTGGCAGAATGGCACACAAGAAGTGTTACCATCCACCGACCTTGCTCCCCACCCAGTTGATGATTACGATTGTTGGTAAGGTACTAACTACTTACGGTAGTGGCTCATCTGATTCAAATTGCAGGCCAGGTGACTATGTCGTCTGGAAGGGCGAGGGGCAAGAGCGCCCAGTGGTTGTGCAGAAAGTGAATCCAGCTGAGCGCACAGCCATGGTTCTGTTCACCGACACCAACAGCACCGAGCTGGTGTCTCTCCTCGAGCTAGATCCCCAAGGATCGACGGATCCAGAGGTCTTTGGCACGTCAGACGAATATGGCGTAGGGCAAGGCGACATCGTTTTCATTCACCCTGAAGGGCAAACAAACGGTCACGTTCCACCACGTGTACCCCGCCTCGGTGTATTGGAGCCTTGGGCAATGGAAGCACCTGTATACGACGAGCATGCCTCAAACCTAGGTTGGCGGAAGGAAATGTGCACCATTGGCTCAAGCCTCGTTACGCCACGAAAGATAACGCCGCCAGCCCTGATGAAAGACAGTAAGGAAAGTAATGGGTCTTTGAATTGGCTTGGCCATGTGACAAGCGTAAGTCTCCTCACCCCGCATTTCAAGACTTTTGCATCGACTTATAATGTGGTGATAGCTACATTTAGATGGCAGCGTCGAGGTTACGCATCCTGATGGGACGAAGGCTACATATCCTCTTGTACGGCTTACAAAATTATATGACACCACGGAACAGCTTGAGGATCTGTTTGACCATGACCATGATCACGACCATGACGAAGACGAGGATGAAGACGACGAGGGCGATGTTCAATGGTTTCGTGATGCCACGCCTTCATCTGAATTGGACTCAGACTCAGATACAGACATGGAGGGCACAGAAGGAACAAGCCCAATTCCACCGCCAGCTCAACCCAAGGTCAATCAAGAAGACGTATCGATGGACACCTCCGATGACTCCCCCATTGACCGTCGCGGCGACCAAGTTGACAAAGATTCCCATTGGAAACGATTCGACATTCTCTCTTCTACACCACGAGATCATGCATTCTATTCGTCTTCTCCTGCTCAACCCTCAAAGAGCTTCCTCGGCAGATTACAACGAGAATATAAGATATTGATGAGTAGTCTACCTGGTACGCCTGGTCTTTAGCTCATATGCAACTCCGTCTAACCTTAAACGCTGCTGTAGACACTATCTTGGTCCGTGCTTTCGAGGACCGCACAGATCTCCTACGATCACTTATAATGGGCCCAGATAACACGCCCTACGAAGACGCTCCGTTTGTCATCGATTGGCAACTAGACTCCAACTTTCCAAACAGTCCACCAATCGCTCACTTCCATAGCTGGACGAATGGCAACGGCCGAGGTATGTCTTCAATGATATCATCTCGCTTTGTGCCGTTCTCAGCCTTTTGTCACAGTGAATCCGTGAGTAATGCCTGCCGTTGTGTATCACGGCATAATCAATACCTGATCATATAGAAACCTTTACGAGGAGGGTAAAGTCTGCTTGTCAATACTTGGTACTTGGCAGGGAGATCGCACGGAATCATGGAGGGCTAACCGGTCGTCTTTGCTGCAAGCCTTTGTTTCGATTCAGGGCTTGGTGCTAGTCAAGGAACCGTACGTTTACACATTGCTCGCCATAGGTATATGGTTCATTGTTCCTTGCAGTTGGTATTGCGAACCAGGCTTCGAGAAGATGCGCGGGACCGATGACGCCACTATGAATAGGTTAGATCAGTTGTGTCGACATACCTCTGTTCCTTGGCTAATCCAAAATTCGCATCGTAGCCGGCTTTACAGCGAGAAGGCCTACGTTTTGACAAGAGGCTTCGTGCGCCGTGCTCTGGAAACACCGCCTGGTGGTTTTGAATCTGAGCTTCGATGGATGTACTTCGATTGCGGGCGTCTTAAGAAAGTTATCACACAAGCTCGTTCGCATATCATTTCAAGCCAAGCACACGGCGAGCAAGATCCTTTGGCGGCCATCCCGCGGCTGACTACAGGAGGCATAATCCTCCTTGAGCGAACACTATCCAAACTTGAGGCCCTGCAGGAGGCGCACGCAAGCACTTAGATTACGCACCTGTGTTTGTACCACCACAATGTACAGCTGCAACATGATTAGCTGGACCAGGAGGAAAGAAAGATATATAGCACAAAAAAATAGATAACACAAAAAGATACACGCGAAGCTAATCCTCGCTCGTCTTCTTGCTTTTCTTGTCTTTCTTCTCCTTTTTGCTCTTCTTTTCCTTTTTCTCGGAGCCAACTTCGGCCTGAGACACTGTTAGAGACGAGGGACGACAAGGTGAAGAGTCGCTTACCTCGCCTCCCTCCTTCGCCTTCTCTTTCTTTGCCTTCTTCAAGGCCTTCTTCTCCTCCTTCGACAACTTCACTTTCTTCACCGCGTGCTCATCCTCCTCGTCAACGTCCATCTCTTCACTGCCACGTTTCTTCTTCTTCTCCTTCTTTGTTGTGACAGTAGCCTCCAGTGTAGTCAACGCCGGCCCCGAATTGGGGTCTCCCATCTCAACATCATGATCATTGTCTTCCAGGGCAAGATCCTGCATGACTTTGTGGATGACATCAGCGTTTTTGGACGGAGGGGCCCCAGTCTCGAAGAAATTGAGACGTTCCTCCACTTGGGCCCGCAACGCTTCACCGTACTTGGCAGTCGGGACATCTATAGTAGATGTGCATTCATAACGACACTCCGAAATAGTGCATGAATCGTACCTGAATAACAGTCTATCCGCGATGCAATTGAGCATTTGTTCGCGAGGAAGCGTGATATCCGGCCCTTGAACTTGGGTCCCGCACGGCCAATGAATGAGGAGTGATAGAGAAGTCCGTACTAAGTGAACGTGAGATCGGGGATCCATAAGCAAACAATTTAGTAGACGTACCTTTGGTGTATTCCCCTTGGTCTTCAAGGCACGGAACAGGGCCTTCTCAGCTCCCAGTATTTGCACAGTACTGGCCGGATACTTGCTCAGATTTGTGAGACTGCCGGCATGGCTTATCAGCCTGGCGCCAACACGTTCGCCCAGGAGTGCCGTTAAACTTGGGGCAACCAGGTTCATCTTTTCCGACAGGTACGATATCAACGACTTTCGATATTCTGACAGGGATACGACGCGACCAGCAAAGGCATTGATATTCAGCATGTCAATCTCAGACAGTGATGAACCCATGGATCCACGGGCAGCATCGAGGATATTTTGTGCAATAGTGGTGTCGTCTCCGAGGAGCGCAGCAAGGTCCGGGAGTTTTTCCTCGTTGAGAGTATCTTTGTCCCCGATGAATTGTGCAACACTCGCGTATTGTTGATTGTCGGGTACGAGTTTGACGAGTTCGGGGAAGTGGTATCCGTACCACTCTCGAATGCGCATCGAAAAAAGGTTGACATCTTTGTCGAGCTGATCGAGGAGCGCAATTGCTTGGATAATCATGTTGTCGATACGGTTAACGTTGAACTTTAGCTTAGCGCGAGAGTAGGAGTGACCGAGACCGAGTTGCGCTTTGATTAGGTCGTCCGATTGGAGTCCCTTGAGGAGTTTGGATGCGTGTAGACGGATTCCTCGGATGATTTCCTGGGCTTCGTCGGATACATCGCAGGGAATTTTTAGCTCTGCTTTGATGCTCGATGCCAATGCAGAATCAGACACGGCCAACACGACAGTGGTCTTTTTTGAGGGTTTCGGGATATTGAGCTCGAGGAGGGAATGAAGATATTCATTTACAATACCTGAGAAGTATTTCAAAGATCATGAGTAGATTGAGTCCAAGGTAACACATCAAACTGACCTTCAGAGATATCGTTCGCATTCTCCAATGCCTGAGCCGCACTTTTATATGGCGAAAAGCTGAGCAGCGACACAATTTTGCCAAATTTCGATAGATCTTTTAGAGAGTCCTGCATAGCCTTCGACTTGAGGGCAATATCATCGGTGAGCTTGACTTCGAATATCGCATAGCCTGAGGCCGACTCAAACAGAGCATGAGTTGGTGGCATCCTGGCCGTGGTCCTGGTCGAAGTTTTGAGATTGTTGGTGGGGCCAAGACGATCAGGGAATTTCAAACCGTGGGACTCTATATTCCCACAGTCAGATTCCACCTCACAAATGGCATGTGTTTGCCTGTCTACGCGTGTGTTTTGGCTGAAATCACCGTCCCAGACAAGATGACTCGACAGGCTCTCATAAAGACCTGCTTCAAATTATCCAAGGCCTCAAATCCCCCAATTTCTTGCCAATGGACTTGTCGGAACCCAACATCGCGTCTCGCATTGCCGCGCTTCGACAAGAAATCGTCGTCCTTGGCAAATACCACAACGCCAACTACGCGACGACCGTGAAGCTGCCCTCAGAAGTCCTTGTGCAGATCTTTGCCTGCCTCGCGCAAACACCCACGCACCCCAAACCTGAATACCCGGAGTCGACAGAGCCTCCAAGGGCTCACTACACCTGGATCAAAGAGGTGACCCATGTCTGCAGCACCTGGAGGTACATTGCCCTAGCCACCCCTCTTCTCTGGACATCAGTGTTGGTGGGTCCAAACGAATGGGCGGAGCAGGTCCTTCAGCGCGCGCAGGGCGTTCCCCTCGATCTCAAATTCCCGATGCTGGAATTCCTCCCGAAGCCGCCGACGGCGCAGAAAGAAACAGACACCGATCTCATCAAAATGGTGTTTTCGCGACCACAGAATATTCGATCCGTAGATATTGCGTTTGACGGGCATTTGGTCAACGAAACAATGGAACTAATGTCCTCCCTCCTTTCGGGGGCCCCACTACCCCACCTCGAACGGTTGAAAATCACCAGCAGAAGCATACAGTTTGATATTCTAGACGAGTTATTCAGCCAATCCCGCTTACGCCACCTTAGCCTCGATACCTGCGTTGCCGACCTCAGCACCCCTCGGTTTTCCCTTCTGCGTACGCTTAGTCTCGCATTGGATCTTGGTATCGCCGGAGTGTTAGATTCACTATCCGCAATGCCTGAACTTGAAGTACTCTTTCTACAAGACTCCGGATACTCGCGGAGCGCAATCATGGAGGATGCACCAGAGTCTGTCATAATGCCTAGCTTGCAGGAGATCACTCTCAAGTCGGATTTTTATGAGATCATGGATCTTTTCAAAGTGCTCGTCGCGCCCGTTATTTGCTCAGTCGTTGTTGAAACTGCCCAGATGGACGATATACAGAGTGTACTGCATGCGTACTCTTTCCTGCAGATGTCTCATCTCTCTCCAACTTCGGCTCCTCAATCCTTGACAATCGAAGAGCTCGACGAGGCAGGGGACTTCCGACTACTCCACTCATCCCCGTCACAGGACGGCAAGGACAAGATGATATCGATATCTGGTATCGTAGTTGATCTCGATTCCCTTTGGACAAGTATTCCAAAACATAATGTTCAGTCTGTTGTCCTCACCGCCAACATGCGTGGCACCCCTGCACCCCCACCGCTTATGCCCGCCGTCATCGCGTCCGTCGCGCATTTGTCAACACTACGTACGCTACAAGCCCCATACCTCTCCTTCGCTGAGGCCTTCACGTCAAACGAATGGCATTCGGCATCAGCGTTCCCATCTCTTCAGACCCTGAATCTGGATTGTCGCTTCAGGAAACCATCGAAAGCCTCACTGAAGCGGTTAAGAGGGTGGGCAAATTGGAGGGAGGAAAGCGGCTCACTCAAGATCCCTCATTTCACGCTGAGAGGCTGCTTCAAGGAGCCCGCTGTGGCAGCTTTACAGTCTTCAGCCGGGGAGTTGATAATGATCCAATCGACCTGATGGTAAAGCACCGGGAGAGGATTATATACGTGCGAGCGCCGCCCGTTCAACTACCATATTAATGTTGCCACTGCAATGTACGAGCTCGCGATACACTCTAAAGTACCTCGAAGGTTGTTGGGTTTTGTCGTCCGCCTGCATGGCCTCAGAATCGAGGGTAGTATTATCGCCCCGCGATTAGCAATTATGGGATCTTTGATTCTCAGTCATTGCTACTTCTTAACAATCATGAAGAATGATTTTCAGGCTCCTACTTGGAATCACCGGGCCAGATAAATCGACGGGTCGCAAGAGACCAATGTTCACCCAATCAAGGGATGGGGTGTCTGTCTGAGGGTCGCCTCACTTCGAGAAGAAAGTCTTCCTCAGCAAATGTCACAGCGCGGGCACCAATATCCCCGTCGCTTCCAAGTCCCCCAAATCTCCACCGGTTAACCCTGTCACCCCTCCAAGTTAGAACCACGGGATCACTAGACCTGGTAACCTCGACACTCCTCTTCTCTGGACATCGGCATTGCTGCGTCCAAACGAGTGGGCAGAGCAGGTTTTTCAACGTGCGCTAGGCGCTTCTGTCGACTATCCATTCCCGGTGCTGGAGTTTATCCTAGAATCTGCGACGGCACCACCGACCTCATTAGGCTGGCGTTCTCGCAGTCCCAAAATATTCGATCAATAGATATCCCGTTCGCGAGCCCAATGGTTAACGAAACGATATACCTGATCAGCTCGCTCGTAGCAGAAGCTTCACCGCCCCGTCTCGAATGGTTAAAATTATCCAGTGAAAGAATACCGTTCGAAATCCCAGACGAGTCATTCAGTTAGTCCCGTTTACGACATCTCAGTCTCAAGAACTGCGTTGCGAATCTTAGTTCCTTTTTAAAGGACTTGAGACATACAAGAACCAGTCGAAATACCCGGCTTGCGCGAGATTGCTCTCGAGTCCGACTACTCGCAAATCACGGATCTCTTCAACGTCCTACTCACGCCCGGCATTCCCTCAGTCGCTGTAGAGAACCAAGGCTTGACAACCATCTAGAGGGTATTACGAGTGTCCTCTCTCCTCCAGTTCAATGATCTCCCCTCAACCCGGCCTCAAACATTCAAAATCACAGACAGTGAAGGAGAATCCCTATCATTGCACACGACAACGTCTCCGAACGGTGGGGGCAAGATATCATCAAACTGGTCACGGTATCGACATTCACCTTGGTAGACTTTGGACATCTATTTCCAAACAAAATCTTCAATCATCCGTTCAAATGTCCGATGCCTTTGACCCCTCATAGATTGTACACGAACAGTATCTCACATCCGTCTGGCATCTACAGGCTCTACAAACCCTACAAGTCCCGTACACGCAAATCAAAGGCCCTGCTCACCGCGCCAGTATTGCCGTAGCTCCAGAGCGGCTCGCATGATGACACCTGGGAAAACCTCATTGGAGAGATTAAGAGAATGGTTCAATTAGAGGGAGGCACAGGGGTTCACCCAGCATTCTGCTTCGAGAAGTCGGATGTAGCAGTGCTGCGTCCTTTAACCGAGCAGTGGTTAACGGTGAAAGTAACCAGACTTCGGTAACGCCCGAGTCTATTGCTAGGCATAACTTCCTTCGCGCCAATCTCCAGTTATAACAACATTTTCAATTATCATTATATGCTTCAACTGCAGCATACGAACTCGAGGTACATTATAGAGATACATTGCTCGAAGTGTGTCATTGCGTTTCGTCAATTCGCAGATTAGGTGGTACGAATGCCATACTACCATCGGAATCGCGAGGGGGTGGTGAATCAGGGGATGGAAGATTGCGATCGGTGCGTTTGTCCGGGGACGCCAGAGGTGAGAAGTGCGAGGTCCGCTCGCTGGCCTCGATATCGGAGAAGCGGTCGTCGGTGCGCTGTGTGCTATCTGGTGTGACAGGACTCTTGAGGGACATGCCGATGTGGTCGCTCGGGGACGAAGTAATTTTAGAACGACTTGGAAGGAGGCGTGGCCGCGTTATGGCGAACAGAATTACGTTGAACAAGCCCGAAGACCAGAATGTAACGCTAGCGAAGGCCGTGGCCGCGAATGGAACAGATGCGCCGGAGAACGACATCCATCGAGTAACTGTCATGGGGAACACGGTGATCGTATACACGGCGGGGTAACTGTGATGTAGTTGTTGAATGCCGTAAGTGTCAAAAGTTAAATGGACGCACAATAACATTTGCACTGCAATCGCAGTGGTTCTACTTCTATTAGTATTTTCGACGGAGAGAGGGTCTGATTCCACCGGGGTGATAGGCCTATGAAATCGCACACTGCACCCGCTGAAACTAAGGAAACCTTTGAAGAGGGTTAACATAAGGGCTGGCAACAGGGTAACAACGTACCTTTGACAAGAAACGCAAGGAGTACGTAGATGACAATGTTGCCCATTGCAGCTAGCCACATCCAAAAATACTCTAGCGCTATTCGCTCATCCTCGAAGTGATCAGTGATCCAGCACCCTGCATACGTACGGGTATCAGAAATAAAACTTTTGGACACATGATATGATCACGGACAATATTTAGTGTCACCATAGTAGCCTTGCGCTCCGTGCTTTGCTGAGGCGACGCCAGTAATGAGAGCCAGGAAAATCCAAATTAATGCGATGACAACGATCGTCGAAAGGAATGGGGGGTGCCATCGCACGGCCAAGACACAGAAGGTGTACACGGCGATAGCCTGGCTCGATTAATGAGATGATTGGGCTGAAAGGTGAGATGCTAAGCTTACTAGAGAGCTTGGTGGACGTCAGAAACCAAAGGAAGGAATATTATCCAGCAACCTCACCATAGTGCCACGCCAACGTCGCCCATCTGTTGGAAAATTCCTGAATATTGTTTAGCGATTGTGTAAGCGATACTGTAGAGCCTGGTACCTTGGGCCGTACAATAGGTACCCTCTGTGACACCCTACGCAATAGGATTAGTCTATACTCGCAAACCACAAGAACACCTCTTACCATGTCAATCGTCCATTTGACTGTCATAATCCCCCCAATGCCTTGGACGACCTCGCATGCTAGGAGATTCATGAAGTAATAGTGTACATGGGTTGACTTCCATCCTCGAGTGACCTCAGGATTGTATATCACGGAGGTCTGTTGGGTAGTGCATTAGCAAGCGCGAGAATATGAGGGGAAGGAGGTAGATACCCCAATATACAACAGTAAGCATGAGACGGCGAAAGTGGAGAGGCAGGCCGCGACGACGACGAATATTAAGCCGATCTTCGTGCTCTGGTCGAAGTCGCCCGAAGGCATCTAGGCGGAGAAGGTGGAGGAGCCAGGACACGAAAGTACAGGAAAGGGAACCTAGTGCATGAACATGGAGCGATAGATAAGGTCGTGTGGTGAGTATGGGGTCTGGCAGTAGCGCTCAGGTACACCCACATAATTAATACTGTGAAAATGCGACAGGGTATATTTTTGATGGCAAAGTATTGATGCGATTGACTGATATGGGCATATCAGTTGGAAATTTATATCCATACATCCTCAATGAGGGTCACTGCAACGCAAAAGACCGAACCGCACGGCAGCAGGAGGTCCATTGGTTCACATGCGGATACTTTGATACTACGCAGAGGCTGTGAGGCTGCCATGAGCTAAAGGAAACGAAGATTTGGCTCACTGGAGAATCGAGCTCAACTATGAAGTCAATTTGGCAGTATTATCGCATTATTTCCAAATCATATTCCTGGAATTTGTATTCCAAGGAGGGTCTCGGAGGCAGTAGCAATGTTCTTGGTGGTGGTCGATCGCAAAGGGCTCACCAGCGCTACCGGGTCCGGCAACTCTTGCTTGGTTACCACTACGGTCACGCTCACCGACTCCCTCGACATCGACCACTATTGAGGGCAATGCATCTCTGAATTCGTGGCCCATATACCACTCGCATGGCCCTTAGATTATTGTCCAAACCAGGTTTCAAATGTACTGCTAGCCCGTTCGTCGCAAATTACCACGACTATGTTCGATGTGCTTCCCCAGGTGCGTCGATATGGGACATTTCCGGCGCGGGCGCAGTATACTGACATCGTGGTTCAAGGGGGAGCTATGCGCATCCCACTAGCGTCGCCTAAAGTCATTGGTGTCGCCAACTCCAGAGGGAATAGGGGGTTTGTCCCATCGCTGTCCACTATTGCCTCCATGTGAAGCTGAAAGCTGCCAGTCATCAAGAAGATTTCTATTCCTTCGCGACGCTGTCTCTGAATCCGGAGGAACTCCGCATTAGTGTGAAAAAGGCCCATGCCATAGATTGGGACCCAAGCAAAGTGGGAGACCTCTACGCTAGACAAGTTGTATTTGTAGGAATATACGACGGGTAAGCCTGCGATCCATTATGCGAAAGTTCCAGCTGTTCACCTTCTGAAGCCATGGAGGGTCCGCTGTATCTCAATATCTTCGCCAGGAACTACATGGATTGTTCGAGTCTGTAGATAAGTCTATGATCCCCGAGCTATACACATGGATCACCAAAGAAGTGGGAGGTTATTTCAAACGATATAGAGGCGGTCCGATGACCCCTTGGATCCACGGTGTTGAGAACACATCTGAGATGGATTTGGAGGCACGAGCAGCGCTGGCTTTTTATGAAGTATGTTATCCTTTACATTCTTTTCATTTCCACAGCACGTACAACTTCGACAGGTAGACAAGAATTTATCTTCGGATCCAGTTGCACAAAATTGTGGAGCAACCGCATCTCTCATCCTTCTGCATACCCTTGACAGCCCAGCGGCTCCATTCTTCTCCGCAAAGAAGACGGCGCTGACTGTGGCTCATTGCGGGTGAGTTGCTGAACCCCAATTATCATTATTCATATATACCCACAACGATGGTCGCCAGAGATACCCGTGTTTTATTATGTTCGACCAATGGCGGGAGGGTGTTTACAATGACTGAGAACCATCACGCAGACTCCCGAGTTGAATCTGCACGCCTGCGTAAAATGATGGGCTCAGCGTTAATCACTGATTCGTTTGGTGAATCTCGGTATGTCTCCACCCAGCTCCTTCAGTCTCCATTCTGATCAATTATTAGTTGGATGGGCGCGTTGGCAAACACGCGCAGGTCATCTTCATTTTGTTTACCCCACTCCTCAGTCTGCTAACCCTGGCTCGAACAGTCTCGGAGATCTTAAATACAAAAGGTTCGGCGTCACGCCAGAACCGGAAGTAAGAACCAAACTCTTAGAAGGTGGGGAACTACGTACAAACCCCGTTTTGTTGAATGGTATTGACTCGATGATTAGGATCAGAATGGGCGTATATTGTTGCCGTTTCAGACGGTGTATCATCGATGTTATCCGATGACGAAGTTGTAGACTTGGCCCGTGGCTGCAAGGATCCCAAGACCGCAGCTGATCGAATTCTCTCATTCGCACAGGAGCTGGGCGGTGGAGACAATGCCACCGCAATTGTGGTTCCCCTCGCGGGCTGGGGTCATATCACAGGGCCTGATAAGACCAAAGACTTACGTGAATATCGCTTGCAAGAAGCAGGTGTGTGCTCTTCCTGGCCTCCAATCGCACAGCGCTTAAATCTAACTCTTATTAACCCAGCTGGAAGCGAGCGGCTTCGGAGAATGTGATCCCGTTGCAAGGGCTCTGGATTTGGACATAGATACACGATGTTAATTACCAACCACGTCGAACATATTTATCCGCTGTTATATCTGCGCCGCAGCGTGCCCATCTGCTCGAAGGTCGGACCCCGCCGCCCATACCAGCTCTCCCGTGTCATTCTTGACCTTCTGGATGATCTGGCCTCGACCCATCATGCTTCTCCCAAACCCAGTGACGGGACGGGCATCATGGCCCAAATCTAAATGAATGATAGGTGATAAGGTTCTGTTCAGGTCTCTCCGTTGACAGAGGCCAAAACGCACCCCGAAGCTTCGCGATGGTCTCCGCGGTAATGCCATCTTCGAAGTAAACCTCGCTGTTGGCATCAACAACGTTTCCTGGCTGACGAGCGCCTTCGGGCATTCCAGGGGAGATGCAAAACCTAGGGGCATCCAGAGCATCTTGGACTGTGAAGCCTCGCAAGATGTTCAGAAGCACTTGAACGTGTCCTTGAGGCTGGACACTGATTGTGAGCGAGCTGATACGGTAATCAAAGGATACGACTCACTTGCATGTATCCACCCATCACACCGTACGATAGGAACAATTCACCATTTCGAGTCGCCAACGCCGGGATGATTGTATGGTAAGGTCGTTTGCCGCCCTACACCGCCAATGAGTTTATTTTACTGACACCCCGATGACACTCCTCGCCTGCAATTTGTTTGCGTGCGATTCATCGAGGATGAACCCACTTCCTCGATTCTGCAACGTGAAACCACACCCTTTTGGCACAGCTAAAAAGGAAGCTTAAATCATGATGATCGACCAAAGAATCCACGGAATTACCGCCCGTCCCAAAGCCTGAGTCGAGGAGTGAGGTAGGTAAGTTCACTGATCTTTACACGCATCAATCAAAATGAATCAACGTACCTGCGAAGTTACTCTGAATGTAACTACATGCGTTGCCCCATTGATCGGTCACTGCCACGCACTGGACGTTTATATCTCGAAGAACTCAATCGGTAAATCACTTACCAGTGAAGTAAACAGTGTCTGAGGAATTGAATGGCTTTCCCTGTTCCGCTGTCAGCCACCAACGAAGGAGGCAGTACGGTGATAATCATTACATGTTCTAATTTATCATTGGCCTTGCTGGAATCAAAAGTTGCCGCTCTGGCGGCTAGATATTCCTATGGCCGCATTTGAGTCACAAACGATATAGAACGGGGAAGTAGATTGATTACCTTGCTCAGCAGTTCTTTGACAGGGACTTTGCCAAAGTCTGGGTCGGTGACATACCATTGACTATCTATTTATTGATGGGGCGTCAGTGCGCCATTCCTCGCATGACATGTATAATCAAACCTGCAAAAGCGAGCCTGCAACCGGCTTAGTCGTGTATTTTTTTAGTGCAAGAGACAACAAACCGCATGGCTTCCACTACGGCGTGAAGATATTCGGCAGAGTTGTGCTCTAATTGGGAGAGGGGTTTGATTAGACCTTGTTCCTGCAGCTGCTCAAGGATCCCGAGAGCTAGGAGCGCTGTTATGCCTTGTCCATTCGGGGGACACTACCCATAATATCCAATTTAACCCTTGCCTTGATGGTACGGTGCTGGGATGCCTTACCTCGTAAACGGTGACTTCTCCGGCATATGTGTATGAGATAGGATCGACAAACGTCGTCTCATGTTTCGCGAGATCGTCCAATTCCATCACACCACCTTTGCTCTGGATGAGCTCAACAATCGCTTCTGCGACGCGCCCTTTGTAGAATCCATCCTTTCCTTTGGTAGCGATCTCACGGAAGGTCTGCCCAAGTGTAGGGAACTTCTTGACTTGGCCCGGCAGTGGTGCCTTGCCGTTCAAGAGCATCTCGTCGCCGTTGGGAGATGCATTCTGGATAAGCTTCTCCGAACGCTGCCACTGGGGATACGAGGGGAGGATCAATAGTCATTCACGACGGATGCGAGGGACTACTGCGAACCGCGTAACTGTGGAACTCGGACACGGGGACTCTGAGAAAGATTTAGCAAAGGAGCTGAATGTCAACATGAACGTATTACCCCTCCTCTGCGAGTCTGATGGCGGGTTCCAGTACTTCAGCCACAGAAAGTTTGCCAGTACCGAACTTTTCGACGGTGTCAACCCATGCAGCAGCAGCACCTAACACACAGTGGTGAGCTGAGGTGAACTCGAGCATACACCAGAAGATATGACGAGCCTGGAACAGTGACTGAGTTAAGATCTGTCGCGGGAATGCGTAGATCTCCCCCCGGAAGCCTTGACTTTGCGTATTCCAAAGTTAACTTCTGAGGGGAATGCCCGGAACCATTCAGGGCTTTCACGACGCGGGTCTTCGCATCGAAGAACAAACAAAAGGCGTCACTGAGACGTTATCAGTGGTATATTCTGAGTATGATCGCGAGAAGCGAAGCTTACCCGCCGACACCACAACAACTCGGTTCGGTGACATTCAACGCGGCGGAGGTTGCGACGGCAGCATCAGCTAAAGCACCGTTAGAAACAACATTTCACTTTGAAGGGGGGATAAATCGCACCTGCGTTACCGCCCTTGCGAAGGATCTCCAGGCCAGCTTCAGTGGCCAAAGGCTGACTTGATGACACTACACCTTTGGTACCGTATACGACTGACCTGCGACTTGGGAAGCGTCCTGGGGTCAGCTCAGGCTGGTCGACCTTTGCCCAATCGATCTGTACCGGGGAAACCATTGTAGACAGAGTGTAGATAGCGTCGCAAATATTTCTCCACTGTATATTCAAATTTCAAGCCGTTCTCAGCGGGCACCCGCTCCGGAGGTGCTTGAGAAATTATGGGTGAGTAGCACATGTACATCGCCGGCTGAACTGATGATGGTGCAATTGGTGAGCCCGGTGGGGCATCCCCTAAAGGTAACATGATCAGGATCTCGAGTCGGACACGGCGCGCGAGCTTCATACCATCATCCTAGAATGTCTCTTCAAGCCAAACTCCAAGTGGTGACTTCGGAATTCCAGAAACTTCAGCTTGACCTGTCGAATGCGGTCGAAGCTAGGCAACGACTGGAGGCACAGTTGTCCGAGAATCAATTGGTCAAGAAGGTAAGGTCAACTTGAGATAATCCTGATCGTGCACGTAAAGCTTGGCCTAGGAATTCGACCAGCTGAAGCCGGAGAGCGTCGTATATAAGCAAATAGGCCCGGTGCTGGTCAAGCAAGATCAGTCGGAGGCAAAGAGCAACGTCGATACGCGACTGGAGTTCATCACAGGAGAGATGTTCGTGATTTAAAGTGTTGTTTCTCAGCGTTCCTGCTGACCAGTACACAGCAAACGCGTAGAAAGCCAGATAAAGGAGATCGAGCAGAAGAGTGAAAAGAAAAAGACCGAAGTGAGTCAAGAGAGTCACAAATTTGATTATTATACTCTAAATAGACGTGACCCTCCCTCGTTCATCAGGTACTTGAGTTGCAGACGTCTATGCAGCAACAGCAAGCAAAAGCTAGCCAACCAGCAATCAAAGCTTAACACCCCCCCCCACCATTTATAAAATCTGCATACGGCGCGGTCATGGAGTTGCGGAGGATTGTATCGGTTGCGGAGGTGGAGGCAGTGGGGAGGTTGGCATTCGCTGTGTATGAGCTTTCTCGCGTTCGCCCTCCGGACTTTTCAGGACGCGCTCTAGTTTGAATCGCTTGCTTGCTGATACTGGTGGGCAATTGCGAATGAGGACAACATCGTCTTTGCGGAGGACTACGTGATTTTGACTCATTTCGTGGGTTGCAAGCAATCTATATCAGCTAACTCACTGTTACTGGGATCGTGAGTCAAGAATTTGGTGCTTCGCTCGATGCGCTGCAGAAGAATAAGTTTCATTGCAAGAGCAGAGGCAAGGCTCGTACCTTCCCAGTCAACTTGTGTACGACCCAGCGCGAGACAGTGACCGTCGCTGTCTTGTTCATGAAGCCAGCTTTTGTGACCACACCGGTAAAAGCCATCGGAGGCATGGTGTTGGATGTTGGACGGAGGAAGAGTAGTGCACCGCTGAGAGGCCGTTGGAGAAACGTCCGTAGACCACGTGCAATTCACGGATAGGGTTCGATAGGAGATAGGAACTGTCTGTTACAGCGATTATGACAAGACGCAGCGGAATGTTGTGAGTAGGCTACAGTACACTATGATATGTATAATTTGATTGTTTTAAGCCGGAGCAATGCTATGAATGCGAAGTCTAGATTTGATGAGAGTCGTAATAATCATGGCGAGTCCGTGAAGGCGAAACAACCCGACGTTTATGTGGGAGCGTACTTCGACTTTTTTCTCAGATACGGTCCATATCTAAGATGATATCAGACACCGTGCCACCTTTCGAAGGCGTGCCAACTTACTTCATGAGAACGAAAGGTATAGGCATCATCGCCACAGCGACGAAACCTAAGAGCGATGAGGCCCATTGGGGGCCTAACGCCTTGTACATTTCGCCGGCGAAAAGCTGCAAGATATCATTAGAAGAAGCCTATTGCAGGTTGGTTGGAGGCTACTTACTGGAAAGCCGGCACCGGCTAAACTTCGAACAACGGTGTTGCTGGCAAGGGCAGACGCGGCGGCCATAATATAGGCATCAATGATATACGTGAAGAGGGGGAGCTAATGCCGGATGAGTACGCGGAAGCTTTCTGAGGGATTAGTTGCGCTTACGAAGAGCCAACTGATGGAAAAGCCCATAAGAACGCCGGACATAAGAGGTGCCCAGTAAGAAATACTAGGATCTGAGGTCCACCTATGTGAATCCTCTCAGCAACATGCAGAGATGTTATATACGAAGTCTAAAACTCACGCAAACCAGAAGAAAGAGATTGCATAGAGTGGCGCGGCAATTAACGACATCTCTAACCGAAATTCTGGCGGTACGGGTGCAGGCGCCAGCTCCAGAGCTTTCCTTCGATAACGGGGTGCAAATATCAAGACATACTACGCATACGATGTTAGAAAGGTCCGATGGCAAACAGGGTACGAGCCTACAAGTGTCACAGCGGTGCAGCCTCCGATGGGCACACTCAGGAACATGAGGCCGGATATGCCGAGGTTGAATCCATGTCCTTCAGTGTAGACAACTGGGTACGCTTCGAACAGAAGGTATAAACAACCATAGACGAACTGAATTAATGCGTCAGCAGAATTTTACATATCCTCGTGCGGGAAGACCCACACTCATGTACGCGGTCATCGCGATCAGCATAGGCTCTGTGAAGAGCATCTTGAACGGCCTGGCCAGTGTATGTTCCAGGCTTTGCACAGCAGTGCGCTTGACTCTTTCCAACGGAGCATAGTAACGCTCATCGCCAGTCTCCTTACGCAGCCGTTTTGCCTTCGCCACGAGAAGGACGGGCCTAAAGATAATTCTCAAGGGGGAATTCTTCATCGGGCGGAAGGCCACATACCGATAAGTTTCTGGAATGGTGAAAAAGATGAGGAGCCAGCATAGCCCAGCCTAAGAAATGCACGGTGAAGACCGAACAAAATTAAGGGGAGATAACAACTTACAAAGATAGTGAGGATCCAGAACACCCATCGCCATGATACCCCTGCAACGGCAAGAAATCCAGCAACCGTTGGTCCTAACGCGGGACCACTAAACGGAGCGACTGTGAATATTGCCAAGGCTTTTCCCCGCGTCTCCGCATCCCAGACGTCAGAAATAAGGGCCCTGAAACCCAAATGATTACTAACTTGAAGACCGGTAAAGGTTACCGAAAGACATTTTCTTACCCGGAATTTGTGAGAGGGGCAGCAGCGAAGAAGCCACCAAGGAAACGGAAGATAAGCACCGATGCTGTATTCTTGGATAGAGCAGAGCCGACTTGAAATCCCTAATTGTGCTGATGAGAAAGAGGGTCGGGGACCGCGCCTGGTGAATAAGCACGTACTGTGTACGCGAGGAATGGCCAAACGAAAATAGGTCGCCGTCCGTATTGCTTCGGAGCATGTCAGGACATATGCATCATGGGTTCTAGTCTTACTAACCTCGCTGAGGGGTCCCCATAGGAGCGGGCCCACGCAATAGCCGGCGACGAATAGAGATATTGTCAATATGCCCACTGTCTCTCCAAGATGGAATTCCTCCATCAGCTGGGGGACAATACCAGAGGCTATGAGCGCTCAAAATCAGTAAATAGAATGGTGCAATGAGGGGACGACATACGCGCTGAACTTGCGAAGGTACTATTTTGTGAGGTCAGTGACGTCGCCTTCGATAATTTTATGGCACGCACGCATTCAGAACGAGGAGACCACTGGCCAAGGTAAGATACCAGCGTTTCAACCGACTCCAGTTCTAAATAAGCACGTTCAGAAGAATTCTATGTTTGACCTGTTCTGCCACTCACGAAAGGGTTTGCTGCTTCTCCCTCGTCGAACTGAACCAAGAAGGGGTCGACGATCTCTGCTTCTACTTTGATGGCGGGCTCTCCGAATTTTGAAGCGTTCTCGAGATCATCGTCTATAGTGGTCGATGATCGCGAACCACCGTGATCGAGTTGTTGATCCATGGAATGAGTGCGCGCGTGAATGCATGACAATGGCCGGCCTTATATATGTCGGCCTCTATCGCTGTATTGCACATGTATTTCAATTTTCCGAATCTTGACAAGGACCCTTGCGATCTGCAAGTTTCCAGGCTGGAGATTTCGTGAGTAAGAAGGAATGACTTGGTTCGCCGCTCCTTGCGCACTGGATGCCGGAGGAACGATCGTCGGCATGGCTCACGTGGACGTTCTTGGCCACCACCCCTGTTTCTCCACAACCACCATGGACTTCACCGAAATTTACAAGCAAACGTCCTCCCTGGTCGAGTTCAGCCCCGGCGCGCACTTTATCGCGACAGCGGTGCAGGACCGGCTTATCATAAGACGCGCTGATTCTTTCCAGATAACGCGAACATGGCTTATCGACGCGTCGCCGTCTGCTACGTCCGTGCTCATATCTTCGACAAAAGGCAAAGCGTCGTCGACGGGCAGTGAGAAATCGATATCTCACATTGGCTGGTCCTGTGACTCAGAATACCTCCTTGCTGCGTGTGCAAAGAGCGGTACTGTTCAGATATTCAAACTTGGCGATGAGGAATGGACGGCGCATATCGATTCAGGCGCGGAGGGCTTAGTGAAAGCAGAATGGGCACCAGATGGAAGAACTGTCCTTTGTTTCTCCGAATGGGGGGTACGTTGCTTGCTCGCCACCCGCCGATGTCTTGCTTCTCATCTCTTTAGCTCCCAGCTCCGAGTAACCCTGTGGTCACTGGTCACCGGTCGTGCAAGCTACCTCAACTTTCCTATACACCCCGACAGAGGTACGTTAATACCCAGCATGACGCTTACGTTACACATATCCTGCCCAGGGTATACTTTTCGGGCGGATGGCCGGTACCTAATCCTTGCTGAACGACATAAATCGAAGGATACCCTCGGTCTGTACGACGCAGCTGAAGGCTACAAGCCAGTTCGCGTACGTCTGATTCTTCTCTGGAATCCACTTGGCTGAGATATCGCCCAAGTAGCATTTCCCTTTACCCACATCGTCTCTATCCTCGCTAGCTTTATCTCCCAGTGGGAACCATCTCGCCGTATGGGAAGGACCTCTCGAGGTTCGAACTTTGCCTTTCGAAAGACCTGCATCTCTGATTCGCCCTGCCCTGCAGTATAAACTTTATATTATCTCCTTGAATGGTGATCTACTGGGATCTTTCTCCCCAGACCATGACCCTGGCTTCGGAATCCGCGGGGTTGCATGGCACCCCACCGGGATGTTCCTGGCAGTTGGAGGTTGGGATGACAAGGTAAAGATACGGAGCATCTAACGGACCGATAAATGTTCATGAAGCGCAGCTCTACATCCTTGACAGTCTCAGTTGGGGACCGGTAGCGACATTGGAGTTAACAGGCCGCCTGGGAAGTAACGTTGTACGCCATTCTTGATGCTATCCGCCAGTCACTTTTTGAGACATTCCCTTCTAGATCTTGTGGAAGGAACCTTCTCAATGGGTCGAAGATACTGATGGCCGGGGATTTCTTTCATGTATATATCTCCCTGGGGTCTTTTGCACATAATGATTCCTCGCTTCTTGTAGATGAACGGATACAAGGCCCTCAAACAATACCAATCAACCGAGTCGACCACTCCAAACTCCCTAAAGCAGGCGTCGTGCAAATAGAATGGAACAAGACGGGCACAATACTGATGGCTCGATACGGTACGTTGGCTATCTTCTTCGCTTCATAGTTCTTACTCGTGCTGATCAAGTCCATAGAGAGTGTCCCTAACGCAGTATACCTTTATGACTTTCCGACTCCATCTCAGGAATTCTCGCCGAAGTTACGTTCTGTGCTCCTCCATTCTTCCCCAGTCTTGCAAGTACGGTGGAATCCCATCCGCAAAGGTAATCTTGCCCTCTGTTGCGGATTACGCAGTATATATACCTGGAGCGACGAATGGCTCGGCGATAACGACGTAGAAGAGGAGATGGCTGAATGCATCGGCGTGCCAACTAGTAAGCCGACTTCCCTTGCTCTGAGTACGCGGCTGATCCAATGTCAGAACAATTCCAGACCAGAAGTTTCAAGTGGGCTCCAGATGGGAAGGGAATAATTCTGTTCGATCAAGGGATTTTCTGTTGTGCTTTTGAAGTCCAGAAAGAAGCCGATTCCGAATTCTAGGTCCCCGCTATTTCTTGTATGTCTTCGTTCAGCATGTTAATCGTTATGTATATTGCTCTCAGGCTGTACAGTGTCGTTTTGAAAGCATACGTATGAGATACATTCTTCAGAGTCAACGTCAACGCACCCCGAAGTTATGGGTAGACTATTCAGACGCTGAGGCCAGGACGGTATCGAGCCACGCTCCAAGCTCGTGGTTTACCTCGTCTTTCTTTTCCAAATGCAGCCAATGCCCCGCGTCGAATTCACGGACTGTGAGGTTCGGGCAAGCTTGCGTTGTGCCGTGTATCTGCAGCTTAGCGATGGCAACTACATCTCTGTTTGCCGCGGCAAGGAAAACAGGCTTCGAGATCGCAGGGGACCGAACGGGTACACCTGAAGACGACTGCATAAGACGACGTATGCTCAGCTCGAACGAGGGCTAGACCTACCTTTGTCGTCGTCGCTCGAGGATCCGCTCAACAAAACCTTGTACCAGCATAGAGGCCCGGCGATCCCGCCCTCGAGAAGCTCCTTGGTGTGAAATCGCCGTTCCTAATGGACATACGTAAATATATCTATTTGACAAGGCAACAGTGTGCATTACCTCTTCACTAATCCACGAGCCAACAGCGGTAGTCTTTCCGGACTCGAGCCAAGCACGAAGAGTGCCTGTTGGCGCCAAATCAGTCTTCCACAAGGCAGCATCCTCTGCGTACACCATGCTGAAGAACGAGTCGAACTGGTGCTCGAGCGTGAGCGCGATCAGACCACAGCAGGATCGAATGTTCCCTCACATTCTTCTCAATAAGCTCGGGAGCATCTGGTTCTGAGAAGAACTTCCAGTAACCAATCAGCTCATATCCCACCAATTTCTTGGTGAGTGCCAGCGCTTGTTCCATATTGAACTCAGTGCGAGGGCCTGTATATCCCCCACCGATGAAGGCAAAGGCAAGGAACCGGTCTTCGTACAGATCAGCCAACCTAGCTGTAAGTATCGAACCCCTGAGATGATAATTAGACAGTCCTATGGGAAAGGGAGACTTGAATCTACCAATCATGACCGACGACAATGCATTGCTTGATACCCTCTGCGTCGAGTACTTCGATGATATCCTTGCAGATGAGGGACTTTCTGTATACCTCAGGATCGGTGGGGATGGAGGTTCCTCCATAACCCAGCATGTCGGGGACGATCAAGCCGTATCCCAGGTTCTTGAAGTAAGCTACTTGATGTCGCCAGTCGTACGATGTCGACGGGAATCCATGCACGAAGAGAAGATATGGGAGATCTTGTGTTGGTGCGACGGCGAGGTAGTGGTAATTAAACCCCCTCGAGGTTTTGAAGTCCTTGTATAAGCTGGGGTCCATGTTCAATCCCGTGGATGAGTACGCTACATTTCCTGAGCTTATATACTTGGAATCTGTGATGTGACAGATTGTAACGAAACTTGATGTCCATGCGGTAAACTGGCGCTTTCGAGTGACTAGTACACTTCAACCACAACCATGCCTTACGGACTCTGAAAATGTCCGGAAAGGTTATCTGTAGCCGGTACCAGTCACAACTGGTCGGTTTTGCAGCACGTTCCGAGACTGAGATAGAAATCGGCTCATAAACCTACATCCTCGACAAGCGCGCCTCCTAACAACGCTCCTAACTCCTACCAATGCTGGTGCAGTGGTCACTACCCGCACCCGAGCCCACCTGACACCATGGATTGCCGACTTCGTGAGGTGTATTATGGCCGGGCGTCCCTGCGCCTGCCGCCGTCGCATCCAAATCAACCAAAGGCATCATCGGGCACCTTCGAGACGCGCTCTGGGTTCAGAGAATACCCCATGGTGATGTCGATTAGGTACATCCAGTTTTACAAGAACACAGCGCGCTCAGCGGAGGTGGGCAGCCTCCACGCGTTCGGGGCTGATCGCAACGTGTCAAGATGCCGGTGCTGATCGCGGGGTTCATCAGGAATGAGAACAAAGACTACCCCAAGCTGGACGCGCTGATTGAGGACATCAGGGTGGCCTGCGATGTCGCGCCCAGGAGCTTAGACCGCGAGGGGTAGGCATTGCGGGCGACGGACAAGGGCACGCCGGATGGGAGGTGATGAGTGCGGGAAACAACAGAGTCATGATTCATGAACGGTATGGAACAGGTTCTTAGAAAGTTTACTGGCCAATTTGGGAGGGACTAGCCTCGAACTTACGGAGTAAGCAACTAGGCCGACGCCGACGCCGACGCCAAGATTGCAGTGAACCACGCTCCAAGCTCTTTATTAACCTCGTCTTTCTTTTCCAACTGCGCCCAATGCCCCGAATCGAACTCGCGGACGATGAGGTTCGGGCACGCTTTCTGTGTGACAGGTATCTGCAACTTGGGGATGCAAATTGCGTCCTTGCTCGTTGCGCCGAAGAACACAGGCTTCGACACTGCGGGGGATCGAATTGGGACACCTGGGCACGACCGCCGCATAAGCAAATGGTTGTTTAGATCGTTTCGAACGCGAATATACGCACCCTTGTCGTCGTCGTTCATGATCCCGCTCGTTGCGACTTTGTACCAGCACACGGGCCCGGCCAAACCACCCTGCAGAAGTATCTCGCTGTGAATTTTCCGTTCCTAACAAAACGAACACACGAATCAGCCGCTTGGTCAGGAGAGAAAGGTCTCTGGCATCCCTACCTCCTCGCTAATCCACGGGCCAACAGCGGTCGTCTTTTCGGCCTCTATCCAAGCACGAAAGACCCCGGAGGGCGCTAGGTCCGTCTTCCACAGACTAGCGTCGTCCGCGTAGAGCAGGCTGTCGAATGACTCAAACTACCATATCACCTGGGGTGAGCTTGATAAAACCATATCGTAATCCATGGTTTACTCACGTTCTTCTCAATGAGCACAGGTGCATCTGCGTCCGAGAAGAACTTCCAGTAGCCGAGCAGCTCGTATCCGACCACTTGCTTGGTCCACGCCAGAACTTGATCTATGTCAAAGTCTGGGTTAGGGGGTGCGTATCCTACGGCGAAGAAGGCGAAGGCGATGAACCGGTCTTCGTACAGGTCTGCCAACCTGGCGGTAACGTACGAGCCCCTGAGATAGTGGTCAGCCTCAGGGGAGATAAGGGTAACTTCTTGAATCTACATCTACTCACCAATCGTGGCCGACGACAATGCATCGCTTGGCATCCCCAGCATCGAGGAGCTCTACAAGGTCCTTGCAGACGAGAGACCTCCTGTATGACTCCGTGTCAGTGGGAATAGAGGTTCCCCCATAGCCTAGCATGTCAGGTACGATCAGGCCGTATCCCAGGTCCTTGAAATAGGGTACTTGGTGTCGCCAATCATACGACATCGATGGGAAGCCATGCACGAAGAGAAGATATGGGAGATTCTGTTGAGGTGCTACGGCGAGGTAGTGATAATTGAATCCCCTCGAGGTTTTGAAGTCTTTGTACAAGCTGGGGTCCATTGGTGATTCTGAAGCTACACAGGAGGCTGATGCTGATAATCAGCATGGTGTATTCCCTGAGCTTATATACTGCCAGTGTGGGATCAATACAGCACTCGTCGATGAAGTGACAGATGGTTACCACACTCATCTGAGTCCATGCGAAACGTGGTTAGCTGCAGCTTCGAAGTGACCTGTAGGGGCTACCAGCACTATGAAACCGCTGTACATTATGAAGATTCATGGGTCTTGCCCCAGTGGCGAATTGTTTTCTTGTATTCTGAGTCCTGAATTACAAAACGCTTATACATATTGTGCTGCGAGGCTCCGATACTCAAGGTTTTGTGTCAGGAGTCGGCGGTGATTCACCGCGAAATTTATTTCCATCCTTCCATCGCTCCAGGGACCAGAGCTCGAGAAGCTTTGGCCGTCAGTACTTCAGTCACCGCTACTTTGTGCTGTCACGATCCACAAACTCACAAACTCACTTACATAATTGACCCTCTGCATTGAAGATCAACGGTCTTGTCACCCGAAAGAAGTGCCACACTGGCACACAAGAAGACGTGCCGTGGCCTGGAGGTGGCATGTTCCCGTTATATACCTTCGCCTTCACATATTATGCGCTTTATCGGATCTTCGACCAGCCTACTTTTGGGTCACGATGCCACCCAAGCAAGTCCGAACGTCGAACGCGGTAGATGATACGGCTGCGGAGAAACGAGGTCTGTGTCATCTGTTCTGCTCGTCGTTGTTCTGCAGAGACGAGGAATACTGAAAACCATGGTCGATCTACAGGAAATGATCCTGAACGCGGATGGAGAGGCAAGCCACACACTCCCGCGAAGCGCGCTGTCGCGCAGGCTTCTACTACGAAAGCGGCCTCAGATCGTAGTGGGGCGCGCAGGACACCAAAGGGTCAGTTACGAGTGAACGAAAGCAAACGCGAACCTTCGGACGTCGATTGGGGCGAGCCTGGCGCGGACAAGGCTGCTTGGGATATCGGGACATCTGCACACTGGCAGGCCTCGGGTGGCTCCGACCACAAGCCACAGCGAGACTACTGGGATACACCTATGCCAGGATATTCCGACGTTCAATGGGGGGTGGCTGCAGACGCTGGGGCCTGGGGCAACGCTTCGCTCGACGATGCGCCACTGACCATTGAGGAGTTCAAAGCCAGGGAAAGCCAGATACGTGCTGACCAGGTACATGATATGGTCCCGTTCTGGATTCGGGGGATCGAGGCTGCGAACGAGGGCTACGTGCTTCGGCTGGAGGAGTTTTTGGAATCGCTGGACGATAGGGATAGCTGGAGTGGGGGCGATGGTAGTGGTTGGGGGGACGCTTCTAGGGGATGGGGTGGTGAGGCTGATGCGAAACGATGGAATATCGAGACCGAGAGTAACAAACTGGATCGCGCTAATTCTGCCCATACCGAAGACGATGCTAGCCTGACGCAAGCCCGACGAAGGACAGAACCCAGCAATGCTGGAAATATGGTATTTGACCCTTTTGTAGAGGACGTGGCTCTGCAAGAGGCGGTCGACTCCGACCGCAAAAAGCGAATGCAAGAATTCTTGCAGGTAGGGTCTCTATCATTCTGATGCTGAATGAAGATACTGATGGCTGTTCCGCAGCTCAACACCGACGACAAGTTACGAGCCATTCAGGCCTTGATTCAAGATTTGAAGACGTGATGTTCCAAGGACAATAGCTTTACTTTTTCCTCTGCGATGTCCTTCGGTTACTAGCCGTATTCTATTACCCTGATGATGTTCCCAGTGCCGCCGCACTGCTTTCTACCGCTTTGCGTGCAGAGTCCAACTCTTCCAGGGGTTACCCCTATTTGGTACTAGTATGACGTTGCTGCGGAGACCAATGCAGCTGCACTGCCAGTGCGCTCTCTGGTATAAAGAGGACCCGGGCGCGTTAGCCTTCTGCTGCAAACCCCCATCATGGAACAACCTCTCCCAGAAGGCTGGAAGAAAGAATATGATCCAAGCACACAGCGCCATTTCTATGTGAGTTGCGGTAGTGCTTCTCTGCTCTCAGGGGTGCTGACATTCCTGCCAATTCCAAGGTTGATACGAAAGCCACACCACCACGATCAATATGGGTGCACCCACACGAGGACGAGCAGTACCTCAAGGAGCATCCAGAGAAGAGGGATACCTTGAAGCCACCACCGCCATACGAAGAAGAGAGCAGGCGTCATTCGTGGAATGGGAACGCTTCCTCAAGTCAGGCGGCAGCGAGCGGTAGTAAAACCAAAGATAATGACCGCGGTACATTTGGGAAATTCAAAGACAAGCTGATCGGTACGAAGGAGGAGCGGGAAGCTAAACGCAAAGAGCAAGAGAAGGTTCGTCTATCCGTGCTAGAGGTGCACTCCGGTCGAACTCATGCCCTTATAGTTAGCTGCTGAGAGGAGGAAGCAGCGACAGCAGGCATGTCATTCACGAAATCGAAGTAATTTCCATACTGATCGTGACACAGTTGATGGCTGAGAGGAATAGGCTAGAACAAGAGGTTAGTCCCACCGATAACACGTCAGTATTTCAATCCTCCATGCTAACTGGATATAGTATCTGGCCGAACGCATGAGGCAGCAGAGAGCAATGTACAACTCCTTCCCCCCGCGCGGATACCAAACCGTGTACACGTCTCCGGGGCCGTTCACGCAGCAGCCGTTCGGGTACCCACAGCGACGTCGTGGATTCGGAGGCGGTGGCTTCGGAGGAGGCGGCATAGGACTTCCACTTGTTGGAGGTTTAGCCGGAGGGTTACTCCTCGGCGAATTATTCGACAACGATCACGGTGATTTCGGCGGCGGAGGTGACTATGGAGGAGGTGGATTTGACGGAGGTGGAGGTGACTTCGGTGGCGGCAGCGACTTCTGATTTCGTGAACCTAGATACCCATTTTCACGCACCTACTACATGTATTCCACCTAGCTTCACTGATAGTCAATGTAAAACATAATATGTTCAGAATTCAAGTACTGACCGTGGGAACTTAACTCCATTCGCGGACTTGGGAATTACGAAGGTGCTCGTACTCATTGTGTAGACGCGCCGTCTGTATGGCGGAACTCTGCAATTCACCATCACGCTCCCGGTACTAGACAGCTTCAGGTCCAATGGCCCCGGTACTGCCCTCGTCTTTGAGCCCGCACGTTTGTGTATTGTCGTCGCCCGACCTTGATGAAACTTTAGCGTCTTCGTCCTTGCCACCTCTGCCCCAAATATTACAGTCATTCTCACCCCTACCCAACGGTAGTTATCCCCCAGACTCGTCCATTGCCTTCCAACCCACTGAAACTACCTCTTCGATAGTGACCACACGGACTACCTCGCTAACGAAAGTCCCGCATGCCTCATTTGCGCTGCGGTTCTCGGACCTGGCCGACATCGAAGCGGCGTGCAAGGAGGACGAGGCGGAGCGCGCCGTGCGCACCATAGACTGGATCAGCGCCCGGATCAGTAAGCAGTGCTCGAAGTGGGTCGAAGATGCGGAGGCGTTGAGCGATGCTAGCAATGCCAGGACGCCGTGGTGGGACGACGTGAAGAGGTGTGCGGAGGGGGACCATGTCCCAAATAGAATGGAAGGATGGAACCACCCAGTCTCCGGTACGATGATGAATGTGTGTTCCTCTGACTACTCAGCGCAACTCTACAGTGATCCTCGCTGCGTCAACCAATGCGCCGAACCCCCTCCAGGCGATCACGAATCTCCATGCCCGGCATCTCGAATTCCCCCCCTGGGTCGACACTAATATTATCCGGTATACCCTGATAGTGCACCCCCAGAACTCCTCGCTCACTGACGAAGAGTAAGTGGTACTTCGTGACAGTGATCGTTTAATCGCGTGGTTGACGGTATAACGCGACAGAGCAGCAGCGTTGTTTAACGCGGTGAAGAAACAGTATGGACTTGAGGTTTATTTACTTTCGCTGGAGCTTCCGAAACCCCCGCCGCCTGCTGTACCTGTTCCAGCCCTGCTACCCCGCCTGCCGCCGCCGCATCTACCTAGTTCGCCGAATTCAACGTCCAGATCGGCGCCTTTCGCTTACCATGGCGGGCCAAATACATTGCGTCTGGGCGAGAAGGATATATCTCAGACTGCCAAGTTCATGAAGGACTTCGTTGTCGCAAGCCTAGTCCCGTTCATGGAGAAATGCGTGCAAGATTGGAATGAATCCGTACGTAGCCCAAAATTCACGTACTCCCCACCTCACGTATCGTTCTTCTAGTTTTCATCTAACCGGCGACTCCCATCGCGATTATTCTCATCTACGCGACGGCTGTTTGGATCTCCCTCCCCTTCACCCGCGCCCACCCATAACACTACCTCTTCCGTCTCTTCACTCCCCGGCAGATCTAACACGTACAACGGCTCGACTAACGGCACGTTGGGCTCCTCGTCTATAAGTCAGCAGCGGCGCCTGGCGGAATTCGCGACTATATTAGGGGATTTCAAACTTGCAGTGAATGTTTGGGAGTCCTTGCGGAAAGAAGGCAAAGGGGGATCGGTCAGATTTTCTCCATTGCACACTTGTTGGGAAGCTAACTGGTACTAACAGGATGTTCTGCCGCTATTGTTATCGCCTTCGCCTGCCATACAACTGCATGCCTCTCATGCGTTATCAGTGCTTTGCCCACTCGATGCGGAACCACCAGTGCACGCACAAGTCAGAGCACTGGCCTACGCCGTGCGATGGGAAACTGGAATTGGCAGTCCCGACTTCTTCGACAACATCCTGGAAGGCGAGCGGTGGCTCATATGGGCTGCGGGTCTTGTAGGTACTCGTTGCATCTGCCGCCGAAACGCGATAAGCTGACGCGCTGATGCTTCCTAATTTTTTAAAGTCAGAAGAGCCGCACTCTGCGCTACTGCTGGCGCATGCTGCGTTCTTGAGCTATAGGAAGCAGGCGAAAAGACGGGCGGCACTGTGGTATGTGTATGCTGCGAATAGGCTGGAGAAATGTGGCATCGTACGTGTCTGTCTCCGCACCCCGCCGCGCTTTCAACGGCTAACATGATTGAATTATGTGGTTTATCAGAAACCGCTGACTATGTATTTTCTTCGCCGGGCGCACGATATGTATGCGAGTCCTCTCCCAAAATCCCTGTCCCCCGCCTTTTGGGAGTCGGAAGGGAAAGACCCCGCCAATCGGGAACGACCTGTATCGATTATGGCGGGCATCGAGCATCCATTGGGTAAGTGGAATTCCTATGCAGTGTGAACTTCCGTATTCACGTTTAGTCAGGTCGTTTGATGTATACGACCGGCGAGATTCATGCTGCTGTCAAGTATTTCCTGGGCCTCCTCAGTGGGACACGTTCCTTGAGGATCGCACCTGCTGCACCACCACCGGGACCGACTGAGGAGCCGAAAGCACCAAGTATCGATAAGGTCTTCCTCGACGATTTCAGGGTCGCTTTTGCAGTATGTATGCTCCCCGCCTTGGTACATCTACATCCCAATTAAATTGATTAATCCGTGTTAGCATTATAAAACGGTATCCGGGGATAATCTAGAGCTCGACGATCTCCTCCCGCCGTTCAAGCTTGTGCGTCCGAGGGAGACAAAGTTGCGGTTACCGAGAGACAGCTCGGCTGAAGAGGATAGTGTGTGGGAGAAGAGGGAGCAAGATTGGACGGCGTTTCAGCGGGAACAGGGAACGAAGAGCGTGCTGGCTAAAAACCAGAAGGTCACCGTAAATGGTACGGATTTGTTGATGGGGGTCACTCTGATTTCCTGTTGCTGAGACTATGGACAGAGACCTTCTGGGTGGATGTGGTCATTGAGAACCCACTGGATGCTGAGATCAGCCTTTCGAACCTCTCGATAACTGCGCAAGATTCAGCGAACCAGGACTCATCGAACCACATCGAGGCTGAAGTCGTCACAGAGATTATCTTAGCTCCCTTGGAGAATCAGACAGTGCGTGCAGCGTGGTTTATTAGGATGTGTACTTAACAAGAAACACCCAGATACCTATCGCGCTCAAGTCATCTCAACCCACTTCGGTGACAATAACGCATGTTACGTACGACTTCCTGGGCCTGCTCCCCGTCATTGAGCCGCTGGCCTACCGAGGTCGGCGGCTTCACGACACACAGGCGCAGCGTATCACCCCTACCTACGCGCCTGACGTACAGCTCAAAGTCAATGTCGCTGAAGCCAGTCATAAGCTGTTCATCAATTTCGTCGATGACAGCCGTTTGGTTCTCTCACAGGGCGAGCGGAAGACGATGAGCTTGTGGTTCTCTAATACGGGATCGACGCCGGTCGACGAGATATGGGTGGTTGCATCGCCGGATGATGAGTTGATATTTGAAGGTGTCGAGACGGGTGTTGAAGAAGGTAAAGACATCGCAACCGGACATGCAGTCCCACTGACCCATGTCCTAGTGTACGCAGATGCAGACGGCTGTCTGCGATCGTTAAACTCCATAACATCCCAGCAGCCCCGTCGCATACGTCTTCCGAACCATCCATCTCTACAACCAGGAGACAGCGCGTCAATATCTGTCCTTCTCCATGCAGACGGCGTTGGCGAACAGGAGTTGTGTCTCCTGTTTGTGTACCGAGTAAGCAATTTGTCCCTACTCTTACACATTATCCTTATGCCGGTTTTAGAACGAGTCGGACGGTGTGTTCCATCCAGTACGCGTAACACGCAGTTACGCGGTCACTCCTTCGTTTGAGGTATCTGCTGCAGCGGAACCTTCGCAAACTCTGGACCATCTCTACCGCTTAAACCTCGAATTGCACAATAGTACTTCGTCGACGTCCTTCGCCATCACACAGATACTAGCTATTAGCCCCACCTGGGAATGCGCAGCGTCTTGGGATGAAGAGATGTACGTAGTTATTCAGCACCGCTGCTGTGCAATTGCTGACCGTTCATCCAGGGGTTCTGTACCCCCGCTACAATCAGCCAATCTCACTTTGCAAGCGAAGCCTTGGGCGAATTCTACAGGTGTCCAAGATACCTATGAGTTTGTTTCGCAGAGATTAGCAGAAGTGCTTCTTGGTCGTACTCTTTCACCAAGTACCCCTCCTCCTATTGACCTCCTGTGTAGTCATGTGAACGAGGTAATCCCACTTTCACCTTATTTACCACTCCATTCCCCTTACATTTTCTTAGAAGGCCCTACTCAGCGTCAAAGACGATGCCGCGACAATGCACTTCATCCACAGTGGCCGGAGAAAAGCCATCTCGCGCTCCATTGCTTCATCTTTTCCCCACATTCTATCTCAGTCCCATTCATCTATATTCCCGCTATACGATCCAGCAGCCGTAGACTTTCTCGTCTTCTGGAGGATAGACTCGCAAGACCGCTCGGGGCATATATACGTTCCAGGCGCTACGCTTGGCGCTGGGCATGCGTCTTTGAAAGAAATCATTGAGACGGCTGAATCGGCGAAAGCCACTCGAAGCATGTACGCTGAGACACGGAGGGAGAAACAAGAGCTGCTGGATTCGATACGTCAGAGTAGTTGGAACGCGGAGATGGATCCACTTGTCGTCACTCTGCCTGAAAACGTGGTCATTGAACACGATTTCAGCTCGTCGTAGGTTTCCCTCCATTTATACTTACTCACTGTATCTGACGGGGCTTGTTAGCTCATACTCCGCGCCGGTGACGTTTACCATCAGGAATTACTCTCTGTCTCGCGCTTCCAGATATGTGCTGAAGCTCGTCTCCGACTCCTCGAAATTCGAGTCATTAACGTGAGGGCTCCTCGAATTCGTCTCATTTCTCGTGTCTAACAATCCACTAGAACCCGTATGCCACCGCCTTATTACGGTCGAATGACATTTCGAGGCACTCTGCAACCAACGGAACAGCGTTCCGTACAAGCAAGAGTGTGTATTTCCAGGCCAGGGACGTACTCTCTGGGAGGCTGGCATCTCGAAACCGAGGTCCTCGAGCTGGAAAACTCTGATACCCCACCACGGGTCCGTCATCAATACCTACAGGAATGCCCGGCGACCTATGGCCCTTGTATAACCGTTTCTGATACAAGTTGATACCTACAAGTCCTGGTACATTACGTCGAAGACTTATTTATAATACATGGATGAATAGATTATTCCGAATCTGACCAACCCCGGGAGCTGACCACAAACGCGGCATGGTAAACTGCGCGAGCTTTTACGCTGTTTTACGCGTCCTTTTCATCTCTGGCGGCCTTCTCTTCTGCCTCGCGCTTCGCCTTCGCTTTGGCCATCTGGACTCGCTTGGTTTTAACGTTGAAGACGGTCTGTTGGAAGAGAACATTAGCTGTAGACGGACACGAGGTTGAACACGTTACTTACCCCGAGGATGAATTGGATGCTGTTGAAGAATGGTACCCAGAGCTAGAAGAACTGTGAGTTTTTGTGTTAAATATAGTGTAGAGCGAGTATACCTCTATCGGGATGAACTTCTGAGCAATCAACAACGAAATGGGAGATACCACCCAGGAGATCTGTTAACATGGTCAGAGTCATGTTGGTGCCAAGAGGACATGGAACGGTGACTAACGCGAATGACGGAGAAAAATCCAGCCTTGACAGTGGCCAGAACCTCTTCGAATGACCTCGCACCAGCAATAATGGCCATCGACGCGAGATACGCTACGATGTCACATCCTCAGCGCGGGGCTTCGCTTGGCAAACGGTATACACTTACACGAAGTGGTTATAGGGGCAATCAGCAGGTTATTCGCCACAATTTGCCCAATCTTCGCCTTCGTGGACGTCTTGCCCGCGAATGCCTTCTGGAGGAGGCCTACGAGGTAGTGCGCAAGTGGCGCGGATACGAAGAACCCGTAAATGGCCATCTTGAGGGCTTTGGCGTCGATATGGGATTGAGCGAGCAGGTACGCGAGTGTAGAGGCACCCTTGGCAGGCCTTTGGATGGGGGTCTTCGCGATGTTGCTGCCAATGACTTCCTGGAGGAAGCATAGCGAACCTGGGTGCACGGTACACTAAGCAACTGCAACTAATGAAGTGAACACGGCCGAAGCGTACCAGTGGTAATTGCCTTGGTTCTCAACGGGTGGGCAGCCAGCTGTGCCAGATATTTGGCGAGGAGAGGATGCGTTTTTGTGCTCATGGTGTACAGGTTTCAAAGAGTTGGTCGGCGTCAATGTCGATTTTGGGGCAGGTAAATACCCCGCATTTCAGGAACAGCCGGTTCAAGCGTCACCGAGACCCGGCAAATATATACGTGGAAACGAAGCATGCCCTCTATCTAGTGTATAATGTAGAAGATATAACTATGTAGTTCTATAACATCATGGAAATGACAGTGCTGGCATATCAGTTAACGTGTTTTGACCCTAAGCAAAGAGAGGTAAATCAGTGGGCATAGTAAATGAAACGGCGGACGTACCAAGCTTTAACATAGTCTGCGAAGGAAACCATGCAAATAGTCTGCCAGATACCCAAGCCGATACGGGGTGTCACACCACGGTAGAGACCTTTTATGCCGTTCTCCTTGTAAATGTACGCAAGTGTGTTCATGATGGTAGGGTTGACGGGACGGTTGGCGGATTTAGCCATGGATTGCATCTATAGACAAGGGGTTAATGGAGGGAGGAAATAATTTTGATTGTCACTCACCTCGACCCGGATAACCTCGATGGGCTGATTCCATGTGGCAAGAGCACCGCCAACAGACGATGCAAGAATCTTGTCCAAGGCACCCAACTTATCATTGTCACCCTTGCCCCGAATCTTTCTGATACCAGTCTCAGCTAAACGCGCGAAACCCATACTAGATTAGCAAGCATCAGCATCATACCCCCATACGACCATATAGCCATCTAATCGGCGACGGAGACTGACCGTGAACCCCAGTTGGTACATTGACGGACAGCAACAGCATTGACACCCTTGTTGACGCCAGCAAGACCTTCCCGGCGGTAGATATCTGCGAACACGGCCCACGTTGACTGGGGCTTAACACCAGTAACAGCTTGTTTGTGACGGGTAATCTCGACGGTCTTCATGCAAGTTGTGAAACCTATGAACGCGTCGAGTCAACGCTAGAATGGAGGAGAGCACGGAAATGATCTAACCCATAGTAGCATAAGCTTGTGCGATACCTCCGGACATGCCACCGAGAAGACCAGCGGCAGCAGGGCCGACACCCATGTCAAGGACGGCCGACTCTACTTCGGAAGCGGTGAAGATGAGGACGGCTCCCTTTGTTGACGCTTCAATCCATGCCTAGGAATTTGCATGAAAAGCTGTGTGCCTATCGTGTGGGACGACATACCCATGGGATCAATCCTTGGTAGAAACCCAAGACACCTCCACGCGACCAAACCGTTTTCGCAGCCTGGGGCATTGTCTGCGACCTGTTCGCTGCCATCTGAGTCTTCAGGACCTCCAGCGGTTGACCCAAAGTCGTGACTTCCTAGAGAGCGAGCGCGACCGTTAGAAAATTAGTCGGCGCAACGAGTTGCTCCCCAAACTCACAAACTAACACCGCAACAACCCCACAAAGACACGGAACGGATTGCAGACCATTAGCCATAATGCCCAATAACTGTTACAGACTTGAATTCACCATGTTCATTATGCCCCCTTCATACCGATGTTACTTCCGTTCCTTTTCACGTGAAGAGACGGCGAACTCACCGACTGCGATGTTGGACCAGTTGATGCCCTTCTGGCCAGGTTCTTTTTGGATGGCCATTGCTAGGAAATGTGGAGGAGGGGGACCGGGGAGGACGAGGGTGGTGAGGGTAAGAGGACAAGAGGACTCAGGTGAAACTTTCAGCAAAATAGTTCTTGGGGTCGACTCCGGCCGTACCAATCGGCGTTAGCCGACCGCTTCCGTTCCACTGACACTCACGGGCGCGTCAACTTTACGCGTCGTACGATGCACTCGTGTTCGAAAATCAGTCGATGCAGGGTGTCTCATGGAATTTCTGGGCATCGCATGCGACGACGAACTCAACTCTGAAGAGGGGCTCACCAAACTCCACTCTTTCCCCGACGCGCCAGGCGCAACGCCGTGATGAGGACGGGTAAGAATCAACTCATGTGCGCGCTGGCAATGACTATCAAATCGATACGGGAACCCGACTCCGTGGATCATTAACACTCGACACATCGATGGGTATGTATTGGGTATGGTCTTATCCGGGAGGTAATGTAACGGTATGGAACGAAAATCCAGATGCATGGCCAGAGAGATGCATAAGTGGTAAATTTGGAGTTTAGGGTAACAATGATAGACTAGAGGGGGATGGTCGTGATGGGTGTTAAACAGGTCATAAACATTCACGGAAATTAATAACAGGAGGACCGAGGACGAGCATACGCCATGAGGGGAACACGTTGAGAGAGGAGCCGGGCGAGGTGGTGTGTAGCAGGATGCCAGTCGAGTTGTTCGGGCGTGTTGATGTCGCTCATGGATCACTGTGCCTCGCGGTCGCCTTAAGTTGATTCCGACTTCGTCTTGAGTTTGAGTTCGTCCAGTTCTGCCTGTAATCTGTGCAAAATAGCCATATGTGGCATTGATGGGGGAGAGGAAAACAAAACAAGAAATAAGTCAATAAATTATTCCCGGTAATAAATTAGATGATGAAGATAGAAATGAAATGAGGGCGGTGCAAAACGAGGGTGAAAATTATATGAATCCATAGACCACAGCCAGTGCCACCATTGCTCCTACAAAACTCTTGACGCCAAAGAATCGGACATACCGAGTAATGAGATCTTCGTTCTCCTCCTGGTTGTTTTCGTAAAAGCGCATTTCCATCCCCTTGTGTTCGAGCTCAGCCTTGAGTTCATCAGCCTGAGCCCGTGTAGCCTCGAGCTCGAACTTCAGACCCTCGAGTGCCTTATCGTAGGAGGCCTGCAGGTCATGTATTTTGAGATTATGCGCCTCGTGTAGACGTTGCAAGTCCTCCTTCGAAACATTCGAGGGTGGGGCATGTGGAGCGCCGTTCCCATTCACCTTCGGCGCAGGCTGTTCGGCTGCGGCGGTAGCCTTCAGCGTGGCCATCTCGCCCTCAAGGTCTGATAGTCTCATGGATAACTCAGACTTTTGGGTGACAAGCTGTGCCACTTCCTCCGCGTGAACGGCACGTATTTTCGTAACCTCGTCGGCGCGGGCCTGAGCCGCAGCCTCCAGCTCCTTCGTTTGGTTGTTGGACACTTCAGTGAGGGAAGCCTTGGTCAGGCTAAGCATCTCCGTCATAGCAGCGAGATCATCCTTGGTGTGCGAGAGCTCCTTCGTCAGACGCGCTATTTCTTCGGCCTGTATCGGAGAATCTGCCGAAGCAGCAGCAATCGCGGAAGTAGCCTCGTCACGCTGAGAAGTCAGCTTCGCGACTTCGATGCGGGAAGCCTCCAACGCCGCTTTAGCCTTGGCCAGATCGTCTTGCGTAGCTTTGAGCTCCAATGCTTGGTTACTGATCTTCTTCTCCAGCGATGAGACCTGCTCCTGAAGTGAGCTAGCATGCTCGGCCTTAAGATCGTCCATAGTTCTCTGGTTTTGAGCGCGAAGTTGCTCGAGCGTGACCTGAGATTCCGCGCGGAGAGCCTGCAAGTCTTGGCCGTGGGCTTCGCCAGCTTCGGACTGCCAGAGACGTTAGTTACATAGAAGTCTTCGGTTAGAGTTGGTTTACCTTGGCACGTTCGAATGCTTCCTGTAGCAATTTGTCGTGCTCTGCCTTTACGGCATCGACTTTGGCGTTGTACTTCGCCTCTTGACTCTAAACACGAACTGAGTACTTGAGAGACATTGATCAGGTAGATTGTGTTACCTCTAAGTCAGCAGTGATACGCTGGATCTCATTTGTGAGTTCAGTCTGCTTCGCGGAGTGGCTCTCCTCTAGCTGACTCAACATGCTGGCATGACCCTCTTGAACCGACAAAGCGTCCGCTTTGGCTTGTTCAAGGGCAGCTTGAGCAGAAGCAAGCTCAGCCTGCAAAGCGACAATCTTTTCCGTCAGCTGTGTTTGTACATCAGCCATGGCCTTGAGCGCGTCGTCGTGGGCCTTCTGCGCATCTTCGCTAGCACGAGCTTGTTGTTGCGCATTGGCCAGGGCATCATCCAGCGCCTTCTCGCTCTCGGCAGCAGCCTTAGAGGCCTCCTCCTGAAGCGCCTTGATACGGACCCCAAACTGAGCGTGAGCATCCTCTCCGGTTTCAACGCTTTCTTTGAGCTCCAGGATCTCAATCTCGAGTTCAGAGATTTTAGTCGCGGTCTCCTCCTTCTCCGCTTTCAGTTCGGCCAGCTCCTTCTCTAGATCCTCTACGCGCGCGGCCTTGGCTTCCAAGTCGCTGATTTTCGCATCTGCGTCCGCAAGAGCTTTGGCATGAGCGGCACTAAGGGCCACACGCTCCTCTTCGATTGCAGTGAGCGTCGCTTGAGCTTTCAGGAGTGCTTCGTGTTCAACGGCGGCCGCAGTTGCAGCATCGGATGATGAGGAATCATGAATAGCCTTGAGAGCGTCAAAGCTCTCCTTCGCGCTCTTGAGCTCCGCCTCTAGTGTCTGTAATTGGGCTTGAAGGCTCTGGACAAGTTCAGATTGCGTAGCGCTGGATGCCCTCGCTGCTTCAAGCTATAACAGCAATGATAAACTTCATACTACACAGGAAGCATCGGACACACATACCTCATCACGAACTGAAGTCAAGGTGCTGCCGACGTTCTCTTGAGATGCCTTAAGTGCCTCAAGAGCCTTGGCTTCCTCAGCCAACCTCGCTTCTGCAGTAGCTTTCGCTTGGTCTAGTTCCTCAGCAGCTACTCGTTTCGCCTCTGCTTCTGCCTGAGTCTCCTCTAGTTGTGTCTGCAGTTTAGATATCTTCCTTTCAAGTTCGGTGACGGCTTCCGTTCTCGACGCCAATGATGCTTCAGCCTCTTTCAGCTAAGACAATATTAGCTTCGGCACTTCATTTGGGAAGTAGGCAATATTACCTGGGTTCGGAGTGCTTCTAAGGCTCCGTTATCGGGTTCAACTTCTCTAATCGAAGAAATTGAAGTTGTAGTCCTTGTTGGCCTAGAGGCAGGTCCCGGAGCAGGCTTGGTTGTCGACGAGGATAAGGATGGTCGTGATCCGGGGCCCAAGCTTTGCCTTGATATGGGGGCTGTCCTCCTCGCACCTTCGGTGACTGCTGCCCGAGGTCGAGCAGCTGAGCTAGCAGAGGCCGTTGAACCTGTCGGAGAAATGACTGAAGAACGTGTCGCGCTTGAACCACTTATTGCCGATGGTCGAGCAGAAGTCGAGGAAGACAGCGGTGCCCGTGTAGTGGGCGCACCAGTTGTCGAGGGTTTCGTCGGTGCAATGGACGCCCGTCGTGCGGGCGCAGCCACTGGTTTCGTCGCTGTTGGTTTGCTAGCCATTCCAGAAGATACACTGACGGATTTCTTGAGAGCTGTAGCAGCAGCAGATGGTGGTTTCGTGGTAGATGAGGTAGGTTTAGATGCCACGGGCTTTGTAGCACCCGCTCCAAAAGTGCCCGAATTAATCACCTAGAGTGCGATTATCGCCACGGGGATTTCATTAAACAATGAGCCCACGTAGTCAAGCAGCACGGGCATCCGTTGCCTCACCTTCTTCACGGTTGGTGTTGGCGGTGCACTTGCGTTCTTTCCTGTCGTCGGTTTGGAGGCTAAAACGGGCTTCTTGGCTGGTGTACTAGGCTTTGAGGCTGTTTTTACTGCAGATTTCGGGGAGGCGTCGACTGGTGCTGGTGCTTCGTGTTCTGGCTCTGCTGCTGGGGGTGCGTCGGCTACGTGGTCGGTAAGGGTTACGATATCTCCATTTTCTGACTGTGCAGCCTCGTCCTCACCATGAGGCGACGGTGACCGACTTTGTGCAGGAGATGGAGTCAACGAGGCATGGTTGTGATTCTGGGGCTCTGCCTCAGCCATAAGTTATTAGCGGAGAAGGATGAGATAACGGAGGTAGCGGTGAAGGAGGTGCAGTCGTGGAAGTCACACAATGAATTTTTGGGCGCCTATTAGACGCGTCGCGGTGTGCAACTTGGCACTCGGGTCGACTCAATTGTCCGCTATATACAACTGCACAGCCGCTAATTTACTTTATGTCGGCATAAATATTCAAAGCATTCAAAGCCGGTTCCTTGAGGGTGTTATGGTTGTAACTCAGCACGGCAACCTATTCACAAATAAGTAGGTTGGTTAGTATCGGTATCAGCAGCTTTAACGGACAGAAATGGCTCAACTCCTCCTGGTTCGACATTGAAGTGGGTACCTATAAAGTAAAGTATATAGTTAGGTACCATGCCCCTGAGATCAACGCGCCCTACTAACCTAGGCAGAGAGGGAAGTTAATCCAACGCGAGATCAAGACTCGGTTGAAGTGGCCATGCGCAACGATAACCACGTCGCGAGTGTTCAGCCCTTCTTCGTGATATTGGCGATGATACTCGCGGACGTTTGCGATGACCCCGTCAACGCGGGCCTGCATTTCCTCAACGCCCTCGCCCCCTGGGCATCTAAGACACAATATTAAAACACGTCAACGTCAGGTAGCAGCAGACTCGCCCATCCTTCCAGATCAGCCAGTTGGGATTCTTCTCCTTTATCTCGGCCGGGCGAAGCCCCTCGTACTCTCCGTAGTCCCACTCCCCTAAGGGTTGCTTAGTGATATACCGGCTCTACATGCAAGTGTTACTCACTGCAGTCTTCGGATATAACGTGATGTGGCAGCTTTGGGAGGCCGTCAAAGAGCAGGTGGAAGGTCTTATGGGCGCGTTGGCGGGGCGACACATAGACGGTGCAGAGATTGCTGGGATCTATGAGTTCTGTGAAGGTGCATCATGTCAGGAGTCATAAGGAGAAACTATACAATGTAAGGACATACTGCCTTCGCCAACGAGGATCGTTGCTTGCTTCTTAACGCTCTCTTCACCTCTTGCGGTCAATGGGATATCAGAGCGACCTGTCTACGGCACGAAGTCAACACTGGGTAGTAGGCAACCATCAGTGTCAAGACATACATGGCGTCTGGCGCATTGTCAGCAACAAGTATAACGGAATGGAGCAGGAAAAGCACTTACCCGTTCAAAGACCATTCCGTTTCACCTGCGTTCGTGTTATCTCAGGGTAAGCAGGGGTGGATGGGAGACGCGTACCGTGGCGAACCAATATCAGACGTGGCATGGGACGCGACATGATTCGATATGTCTGCGACTCCGGCTGTCTCGACGGGGAGTTTGGTGGTCCTGGAGCAAGATGGGGGCGCCATTTAAATGAGGACTTGGTCAGTGGTCGGTGATGGTTGGCGATTGTGAGAGCGATAAGATAAGCTTGGGCGATAATCTCCGTTCGGCGACTTACACCCAAAATGGACCCGGCCCTGCAGCTGCACGCACACGCGCTTCGCTCTCCCGCTCACCATGTTCGACGAATGTAAGTGAGCATTTTGTAGATCGCGAAGGACTGTTCTCAACGTTACCGAAGTTGTCGAACACACCGCCACTCCAGCTGCAAATATCCCCGGTCATGGCTCGCTGGCGACGCCACAGGTCCAGTACGAAGGCTTTGAGCCATCACCATACAATGCGGACGACGGAGCAGAATTGGGTGACACCGTGCGCTTCACCGACAATTTAGAGCACACTACGCGACTTACGTTCACTTTCATAGGAAGACGGTCAACTCGAGCCAGCTGCGGCTGCGTCACCTCTCTTCGAACTTGGGCGGGTTCAGTACTCTTTCTCGGCGCCGCTAGTGTCGATGGCCGTCTGCTCCGACATCCTAGCTATGGCGCTCACTTCGAATACCATCGTGCAAATTGAGCTATCTCACGCTGACCAAGTCGTCAAAATCCAGATACCACGGAAACAGACCGAACTGACCCTCCACAAGATTTTCATGGATCCCTCGGGGCGTCATATCATCGTCACTTCGACTCAAGGGGAGAACTGGTACCTCTTTCGTGGGTGGAAGAAACCCAGGCAGCTCAAGGGGTTCAAGATGATCATTGAAAGCATAGCGTGGAATAGAACGGCGCTGCTATCCTCGTCACATAGCACATCCACGAGGGAGATGCTGATTGGTGCAAGAAACGGACAGATATACGAGGCCGTCCTTGACGCGGAAGAGGACTTCTTCAAGTCTCAGGAACGGTATCTGCAGTCTGTGTTCACACTACCGGAAAGACATCCAATAACAGGTATAGAATTCGTGTTCCACCCTCCGACGGAATCAAAGCAAGCCTTGGTCATTGTTACGACTCCGTCACGAATATATCAGTTCGCCGGTACTCCAGACCGACGTTCCGAGGAAGGGGGGCGGGTGTTTACATCTTTGTTCGCGGGGTATCGAGAGACTGCACCCAGTTCGTCCCCCTCCCTTCCAATCAGATACTTTGCTGATGTTGCGAAGAGATCCTGGAGCTCCCCGGGAACATCCCACAATCTGAACTTCATCTATACACCGACAAGGCTGATCAAGCGAATTCACTACCCAAAAGCATGGCCTGGCTGACATGTAAGTTAGTCACCAGTCACAAGTCGTTCACCGTCCCACATGAAATTAATATACCTGTCGCAGCACCTGGTATATACCACGGCAGCCTTAATTTCGAGGCGTCTAATGACTTCATCGACGGCGCACAACTACTACCGTATCCTGCGCTGACCACCTCTTCCTCACCTACTGCCGTTTCATCCGATGTCCCCATATCGATATCCCTAACCGAATTCCATTTTATACTTCTGTACAGAGACCGGGTTCTTGGCATCTGCAATCTAGATGACAGGACGACCTACGAAGAGGCGCTACCACTGGTAAATCTTGCACATATATCCCATCTCTCACTGGCATCAACTAATGAAATCGCTAGAAACCGAATGAACAAGTCAAAGGACAGGCCGTAGACCCAGTACGGAAGACGTACTGGGTGTATACCGACCAGTCGCTATTTGAGCTCATGGTGGGGAACGAGGACCGGGACGTCTGGAAGGTGTACCTTGAGAAGGGGATGTTCGACGTCGCTCTTCGCTACGCCAAGGTGATTAACTCTTCCTCTTATTTTGGTCGTTGAAACTGACGGAAGTGATCTGCTGAACAGACAGCAACTCAACGGAATCGTATCCTCTCCGCTCAGGGAGACGCACTCTTTGACCAAGAAAAATACTTCCAAGCTGCTCAGTGCTATGCTCAATGTTCCGTCTCATTTGAAGAGGTCGCCTTGAAGTTCATTGATGCAGGTGAACGCGACTCATTGCGCTCCTACCTCATTTCGAGACTAGAACGGACTAAGAAGACGGTGTGTGCTGTGACCTCACCGTGCCTTGGCGCATGCTCATGGTTTGTGGGAACTAATAGGATTATACCCAACGTATGATGCTGGCGACATGGCTAGTCGAGTTCTATCTCAGCAAATGCAACGAACTCGACGACCTGGTTGCATCCGAATCTATAACCCAGGATATCGACAATATCCAGGCCGAGCGGACCATCCTTGAGGAAGATCTCAAACACTTCTTCGAGACATACAAGAACAACTTGGACCGCAAGACGGTGTACGAGCTCATACAAGGGCACGGCCGAACGGACATGTACCTCCACTATGCCACCATCGTTGGCGACTATGAACACGTCATAGAACATTGGATACTCGAAGAAGAATGGCCGAAGGCTCTTGACACCATCAATCGGCAGGTCAGTTGTTGACAGTACATGTCATATCTTCACAGGCACTTGACCTTTCCACTCTAGCCCAATCTCGAATTGTATTATAAGTTCGGTCCCGTACTCCTGCGGCATGCTCCCAAGCCTACGATCGATTCCTGGCTCCGTCAACCCAGTCTCGACCCTCTTCGCCTCGTTCCGTCTCTCTTACAGCTTCAACATGCGCCTCGCGATCCACTATCCCCAAATCAAGCCATTCGATACCTTAACCACGTCATCTTCGAACAGAACAACACGTCTCCGACCATTCACAACCTCATCATCACTTTCTTCGCCTCCCCACCGTCTTCTTCGGGCCCCGAGGATGACGCTCTTCTTCTGCGTTTCCTATCGAATGCGCCATCAGACCCTATCACAGGCAAACCGTACTATGATTTGGATTACGCCCTGAGATTGTGCAAGAAGACTAATCGCATGCAGCCGTGCGTGCATATCTACTCGAAAATGGGGCTTTGGGAAAATAGTGTGGATTTGGCTCTGGAGAAAGGCGACCTGGAGTTGGCGCAGATCAATGCGGATATGCCAGAAGACGATCAACCACTTCGCAAAAAACTCTGGCTCAAGATAGCGCGCTATGTTGTGCAAGACAAGAAAGATATCAAGACGTAAGTCATCCCATCCGGAGCAACATGCTGAACTGATAGTGATCTCTTTTAGTGCAATGCGTTTCCTGGAAAGCACGGATCTTTTGAAGATTGAAGACATTCTACCCTTCTTCCCAGATTTCGTTGTGATTGATGACTTCAAGGAGGAGATAGCTCATGCTTTGGAGGGCTACTCAGCGCATATCGAAACCCTGAAGGGTGAGATGGATGAGGCCACGAGGACAGCGGAGGCAATTAAGCAAGATATCGCAGCGCTGAGAAACCGATTCATCACAATCGAAGCCAGTGACGTCTGTTCTGTCTGCTCTCACCTACTGTTGACCCGACAGTTCTATGTATTCCCTTGTCAACACACCTTCCATGCAGACTGCCTAATCGGTTTGGTGAGCCCCTTATGTCCATGAACCTAATGAAGAAACGGCTAACTTGGATTATAGGCGAAAGAATATCTTCCTTCACATGCATTGCGGCGAATTCTGACTTTGCAAAACGAGCTGATCAAAGTATCACAACTCGGCGGTACTGGGGCGCCGGCCCGGCAGCCTACTACTCAGCGCACCCTACTTTCTGCAAACTTTGCAACCACGCTAGTCACACACCCGCTACAAAATGCCAATTCGCTGGGCCGGAATATCCTTTCCGCGGGGGATAAACTACGCGATCTTATCATACCTGATGCTTTAGCCTCTCTGGTCTCTGCGCCAGGGTGGATACCTGTCATGGGTGGCGGTGGAGGCAGGCGGAATGGTGCGGAAACGGACGAAGGGAAGAAGGAGAAGTTGAGAAAGGAGCTGGATGATCTGTTGGCCAGCAGTTGTCCACTGTGTGAGAGCGTGGTTGCTGGATTGGATAAACCCTTTGTCAAGGAAGGAGAAGTTGATGAGAGTTGGGCCTTGTGAGCAGTGCCTGACATACTAGTCTACTATTGGAATTTTTACTTTCTCCGGGTTACACGACATGAGCGACAAGCCCTTCCTAAATGCTTCTTTTGCTGACACTACACTGGTGACCATTGTCTTTCTGATTGGCATAGCGGCCGTTTTGACTACGGGGGCATTTGTAGATAGTCTCGCGCTCCACCCATCGCGCTTCATCGTACACTCATTTTCGGTACCACATCCTGGGGACAATCGTTCCTGGAGTGAAGGAAGACGGTATCGTGAGGTAATATGCTACCCGTTGATCTTCTTGGTACGACCTGCTTTTCTCCGTAGCCTAGCTGCCTTACGAGCACCCATCTAATTACATGTAAGTGTCTGATCATCGAGGGTGGTAACGGCGAACCTTGGCCTTGTCTTCTTCAAGACGCTGTCGTTCTTCGGCCGCTTTTTTACGCTGCAACGTAATTTCTCTCCGACTATAGTAGGGTGGAAATTTGATCAACGCGATATGCGACGTCTGTGGGGTGCACAGCTTACCGTGCTATTTCGGCCTGTTTCTCGTCTTTGAGTTCTTGTTGCAGTCTTTTGATGGCCTGAGCTTTCTTTGCCTGTTCCATTCTGTCCTGCCAGCTCTTGGTCTTTACACCGTTGGGCAGATGTGACCGCCTGTCATATAGCGATTGAGCAACAGTGATGGGAACTGAGGTGAGATATGGACGAACACTGTGGCTGACTTTTGGCCCTTCCATGACTTGCCTGATACACGTCCATTTGATGAGGAAGCTACAGGGATCTGAATCTGGAGAGTATTATCGTCCATGGTGGATGGTGGTGAGAAGGAAAGGATGTTGTGCACGTGACGGGACAGGGGCTCTGGTGCTCACCTTTGGGCAGCCCTGTTCACCTCTTCCTTCCGTTCCACCTGCATCGTCCTCAACAGCGGCGTTGAAGATTGATGCATTCTGCCGTCAAACGGTAAGTTCCAGTTCCAGCGCGTCTTCAAGGGCCCGAAATTCGGAATCGTGTCAAGTCGTTTTGACCTATTTGTTAAAACCACAGGGCCTGATCTGGAACCGGGAAAGGCAGAGATGATGCTCAGGTCCCTTACCATCAACTCGCCAGTCGACGACCACGACGACCACCGCCTAAGGCGTCTCCTCGACGAACGCGTTGCTCACGCTCCTTTCCATGCTCACTGCCCTTCAGTCTCAGAGTTCACCGACACCCCTTCTGTTTATAGCCACCCCTTTTTTTCGCCCCGCCCAATGGCTTTCCCGGAACACGATCCCAATTTCAGCTCAAATCGCAATTGTGCGACGCAGAATAATTGGACATTTCCCCAAACGCGAAATACCTACGACCGAATGGACGATCCCGCCGCGAGCATGTTGGACATGGAGGACGATTCTTCTGTTTCCATGGACTTTCCAGATGAAGATAGCGATACCCACAGCCCGCGCAATTCTGACGGTGAGGACGATATCCCCCGCATGAGTCTTCTGGGTCCCAAGATGCGAGTCCACTCCAAAGCTCCCTGGGAAGTCGACGACGACCTTGACGAGGCCAACGAATCCGATACGAGTACACATCCTGTATCTGCACTCAAAAAGACCTTCAAATTCGGTGCCTCGTCGTCAAGCACAGGCAGGGCGAGCGACGAATCCAGTCGTTCTCAGAGCCAAGGCAAGGCGTCTCTAGATCTCATAGCACCACATGGGGTACGATCCGCGTTGGGGTGAGTTTATTTCTCCCATACATATCGTTGACAGAAACTAGATATCTCGTAAATATAGTGCACTTACTCAACAAGTGAGTTCACCGTCGACTATACTCATTTCTCCCGGCCGTTCTTCTCCCTCATCAAGGCGAAGGAACTTTTCTGGCCCGAATTCTCCGACCGTGTATCGTACACCTTCCCCTGCTCCCCCCTCGCCTCACGATGCCACACACTCGCCATACTCCGGCAATCACGTCCGACAAGACAGCCTTTCAGACCCACCTAATCCTCTTATGCGACTACAGTCCCACACCTCCACCAACAGCTCTCCCTCGTACCACAGAGAAGAGTCCCTCCATCCCTACGCTAATCCCGATTTCGCCGTTAATTATGTGCAAACTTCATCACGCGATCCTATTCCTCACTCAGCCTTTGAGACACCTGGCGTAACTCGTAGTGATTCTGCTGCTACTGTGACTGAAGGTCCTGCCTCCAGTTCGCATATGGGTCGCAATGCTCTGCGCCCTATACCATCATCAGACACATCAGATACGACATCTCTACACCGCGAACCAAGGAACCGCAAGCGCAGTTCGACGTTACACGGCAGGGAGATATCTTCCCCTTTGCCTTCACGACTCCCAACGGATATGACATCGCCTATGCCCAATTCATCCCCTCATCCCCCTCCGCTTCCCGGAGCACCCAACATACCTGGGTGGTTAGAACGCTCAGCTTCCCCGACGTTCGCGTTGATCTCTTTAGAAGAAGCTCGTGCGCAGCGATCTCGCAGTGCTACCGTTAATCACGGATCTACCCTGCCTTCATCACGGCTAGCTCATTCTTCGAGTGATGCTGAAGTTGAACAAGATACTGCCAGTATTGTGAACAGCTTTGATACTGGTCACAGCGACAACGCGAGTTCCAGGGCTCGGGCTCGTTCCATCAGCGCGGGCACAAGGGCCAAACAGGCCTTCCAGTCGATGGTGACCAGCAATCCCCCCAAGTATGAACGGCGGGACTCAGAGCCGTCTATTCAGCCCGTGTCTGGCCCGGCTCCGTCCAGCAAGGCCTTGAAGCACAAGAAGAGCGGGTTTATGAAGTTCTTCAACAAGGACAAAGAGGCTCCCCCTGTGCCCTCTCTCTCCGAAACTCTCTCAAGCTACCAGATACATCAATCAGCAGCGAAGCCACCGAAATCATTGCTGCATCGCATACCTGTCCCCCAGTTGACACCATCTCTCATGGAAGCTGATCCGATAGATATTAGAGAGAATTTGGAGAACCCTGCAGAGGCAAGTCCCACCTCTACTTTGCACAAGTATCAAAACAATCCCCGCCGCACGCCTCCACTATCGATCAACACGCACTCCCCATCCTGGGCTGGTCCTTCGCCCGTTAATGACGGATTCCTCCACGCCAGGATGGGAAATAAAAACTGGCAGTCCGATTCCGTTCCCCAAAGTGCTCCCGCCCATGTTACCGAGTTTCCTGCCCTTAAACTTCGCCCTGTATCGACCATATTTAGCTCCCATTTCCGTGATCATCTGGCGTTAGGCGAGCGATCGCCCTTGCTTGAGGCAGATTCCGGCATTCTTAGTCCAGATAGCGCCGGTACCGTCGGTTCCCCAGTCACGCCCGCCCCTCCTCCCATGGTCTCGGTCACACCTACGAGCAAGGGTGGCGGAAAGGATGACGCCAGCATCCGCAGTGTACACGTCCAGGGTGATGCAGATACCATCATCAAATCGTTGCAAGAACAGATTGTAACGGCGAAACAGGCGTGGCAGAGGCAAATCTGGGAGCTGGAGGGACAGGTGCGAGACTTGAAGGCGGAAGTGGAGGAGCTCAGAGAAGCAGGCGCGGAGAAGGGACACTGCGATGTATGTGGTAGAGAACGTCGCGACGAAACTCGGGAAGTAGGTAGCGGCATCGTAAACCGACCTCGAGCGCGCACCGGGATGTCGACACGCTTCGGCAGTGCACTTTCTTAGATGTTAGATTTGTTTTGTGGGTATTGTGTATATTGGGGGTGTTGTTTTGTGCCATATGTCTCCCCACATTCCTTCCTGTTTATTATTTTCGGAGATCTATATAAGTTCATAGTTTCGCATACTTTATCGTCTATTATTGTATTTTCTTACATTCCTTCATTATTCCTTATTGGCCATACCCGTCCGTCCACGGTGTCCCCATTCTTTGACTTCCTCTCTCAGGACTTCATCTTGGATATATCAAATCCCATGTAGCACCTCCTGTCGTGTCATTCCACTCCCTATATATTGTAGAGCGATGTTCCACCTTAAAATTATACCTCTCGTTGCATGTCGTTTAAAACCTCGGTTTCTTCCAGACCAATAACAATAACATGAGAGCATTACAGAAACGTATGTATCATACTCATTCGTCCCCGATAAGCCAACCAATGCCCTTCGACAAGACTCGTGACGCTTGGGCGGACACATCATCTCCCTCTGGTCTCCTACTCCCGCTACGCGAGCTTGCGGCGTCATCGAGATGCGAGGCTTGGGAACGTCCGCGGCTACCTACAGAGAACGGGAAGTTGGCAGCAACACTTCTGAATGTCCTCGTTGCGAGGGCTGCGGCGTCGGGCGTGCTGAGAAGGGGTGGTGTTGGCATATGGAAATGCTGCAATCTTGCCCGCAGAGACGCCGCTGGATATGACGACACAGTCGCTGCTGGTTTACGTTTCGCCGAAACTGTGGTTGGGTCGTTGCGGCGCATCTCTAGTCGCTCTTGACGCGCCTCGATGTCTTCCGTCTCCAATCGACGCCATGAAATTAGTATGTCATGCAGCTTGTCCCTGGGGCATAGCTCCAAAGCATACCCAAGCAAGGACAACTTTTTCTCCACGTCGTCGAACTCGGGCTGTCGGCCTAGCTGATAGCACGCAACCCAGCACACTTCCAACGCCTGTTTCACTTGGACGTCTTCCTTACCGAGTGGCGCAGATTCAATAAAGTTGTGAACGATGTCGATCATCCGCTTATTAGCATCGTACGCCCTGGTGAAGTCTTCTCCCTGAAGAGCGCTATCCGCCAGCATGGCAAGGGTCCTCACTTCGGCGACCGTATCATCACGGAACCCAAGCTTGCGGACGAGCTCCAAAATAACCTCAGTGTGTTTGTATGCGTCGGCGTTACTGGACAATACTTGGGCAACGAGAGATAGGCGATCCTTGGTGAGGCGTATTTCGATAGGCGAGATGGGGATTCCAGGGCGAGACGTGATGTTGAATGATGCAAGCCGAGAAGTTGCTTCGATGAATTCCTTTTCTTGGATAATCCGGGGCGAAGGGGGAGGCAAGTCGAGACTTCGGAAACGGAGTTAGTAACCATTGCTGCGTACCTGGAATAGACTACATACCAATCGTAGGCTAACTTCATATCACCGAACTTGTAATTCCCAGAACTGGCATTGTCGTAGAATTCGCGCGAACACGTCAAGCAGATATCTTCGATGGTCTGAGACTCTAACGAGAGTTTCGTTCGTAGTACCTTCAACAGCGACTGGGCTATGTCGAGTTCTTCGGTCACGGAGTTAGCGGTAATGGTCAAAGATTATACTAAGAAACGTACTTCCTGAGCTCAATAAACCACCAAGGAATATGCCGATGACCTCATTCCTGGGGAGAAGGCCAAAGGAACCGCGAAGCCCAGATTCTCCCTCGTTGGTGAGTTTTAGCATGTCTTCAAGCAGCCATTCCCAGTCGTCCAATGTATCCAACTTGTCAGAAGTACCTCCCGCCCGCCTTGCCATTCGTGTCGCCCAAGCCCGTTGTTGCGAAGCATCGTTGTGGCTTTGTAGGAACCAGCGCAACGGGGCGGGAACGCTCCATCGGGAGAGTATTTCACCAGACTCGAGATGGATGTCAAGGATGTCCAAGGCACGAGAGAGGGAAGCGATGGGAAGAGGTTTAAAGAATACAAGCAAGTCGGCTGGCGTACATTGTGCACGGGAGGTCGTGGGGGTTACAAAAGCGCTAAGCAATGCAATGGTCGTGTCAGCCGTGTCTCCATCGTTATCTTCGTCTTGTGCGATATCCCAAGCGGGCATGCATTCAAAGATACGGCTCATTGTCGGCCACTCGTCAAGACTCCCGCAGCCATATAGACAGGCCAAGGCCAGGCGAGCGACGTCTTCGTCATTACGAATAAGACGTTGAGATACAGGAAGTGTTGGCTTAGACGCCTCGAAAATCGAAGCAACAAGTGAGAGAGGTGCAGAAAGAATGTAGTCATAAAGGATACGGGTCGGTAGTGATGGATCGGGATTGCCTGCCCTTTCAGCACGCGCTTCAATTACAAATAGATATGGCAATACTAGTCGGGAGATGTCTTCAGCAATAGATTCCGGCGTGCTGTTTTTCAGGTATGATCGTATGACGGTAGATGAGTCCATGGTCCGCCATCGTGCTAACGTCCAATCATCATCAGATTGGGCGTTCTGAGGTGCATCGTATACAAGTCGCGATAGAAGGCTCAGCTCTTCTCCTAGCTCATCCAATGCGGGGACGCCCCGCGAGGCCCCATGTTGTACTATAGCCAAGGCTACATCGATCATCCCTGTGGATGAGATGATGTGATCCACTCGACGCTTGTACCACGAGGAAAGTTCATCAGATGAGAGCGGTTCGGGATGGGTGTGGGGTTCGTGGTCACCATCCTGAGAGAAGGAGAGTTCTGGGAACGAGACATGAGGGCATTCGGTTAATGCTAGCTGCGCTTCTGGCGATTCCGACCAATCTTGGCATGCCCTCCAATTATTTTCCACAGGAAGTCGTTCACCATCAGTGGTGGGGTCGATCTCAGGCAACCAATCGCGGTACTCGGTGGGATGAAGATGAGCCGGTATACAATGTAATATTGAGAAACGGTATTTCCAGAGCTTGGCCGAATGTCTTTGAAGAAGCGTGCGTGAGGCCTCGAGCCACTGAAGCGTCGTTAAGGATATGGCTGACTGCCACAAATCATCTGACAGAAATTCGGAAGGTGAGATGGGAAATTGAGGCGTGGCAGAAGCAGATGGCTGTCCGGCGGCAGACGAGCCTCCTTCATCCGCCCAAGGGTCGTCTTCCCAGTCGTCCGCTTCTTCACTCGCATCACGGCCTCCAAGAGGTGCCGTCTTGAGAATTTCCTCATAGGTGTTCAACCTGTCCAGTCTATCCAGTAATACCGAGCGCATCCAGCAGAGCCTGGCATCAGCAGGCACGCCCCGGAAGTGTGCTGCCAAAGCATCTGCGGAGGAAACAGGGAGGGTGTCTTCGGCGGTGGATGGCTGGGAGTTAAAGAGGGCAGCCTCCCGACTTCTCCCTAGAGCTCCCTCGCTCCGCTGCAGGCCGAGGTCCAGGAGTTCTCGCTGCAGCGGGACATCGTCAACGAGGCGGTCGAAACAAGCGGCGACAACCCAGACGTCGTCGGTCAAGGGTTTGAGTACCTGCTCGACGTCGTCCGCGGTGAGCTCAGCGTCGGGAATATTGGTCCATCGAGTGTACGGGTTCTGAGATGCAGGCATGAGAGCAGTCGCGGCGCGGACACGCTTGCCACGACACGGTCATGGAACCAAAAACAGGGGCTACTTTGCAACCCAGCGGCCATTTCGGCGCTAAACGTCTCAATTTACTGCTTGAACCATCGCCACCACCATCTCCCCATGCAGAGAATACGCACTTTATCGCTCCCCGGGAGGAACATTGCTTCTCTCAACCACCAAGCCACTCTCAAACCGCTTATCTTCGAGCCATTGAAGGTCATGGTCATTTATATCCTCGTTCTCTCACCAGTGTGTGTTGCTTCTTCAGAATAATCAGAATACTGTCTTCTATGGCAGCGATGGATCCCCCAGAAGCTTTCAGGCGGCTAAGGAATTGATTCAATGTTCTCTCTCTGGACGGGTTCGCATGCCATGTCGCCACCCGAAGGCACCCTAGACCCCGCTACTGAATGGGAGCAACATTATTGGACTTTCCGAGTGAGAGCACCTGAGAGAGCCAAGCAGAGCTCGCGTGAACGAAAAGTATAAGAGGGACTCAGTGCTTTGCCTATTTCTAAACCTCACTTGTACCTTTCCCAAAGTCTCTTGAGCATCATGCCACTCACTTTGAATCCATCAAATAGCGACACCCGCAAGTTCAAGGTCGCAGCCATACAGGCCGAGCCGTAAGCCAGCTTGCAAAACCGACAGCAATTTCTGTTAATTTTGAGCAGCGTGTGGATGGACTTGAAGGGAAGCGTAGAAAAGACCGTTCGGCTCATCAAAGAGGCATCTGCCTCTGGTGCGAAAGTCATTGGCTTCCCCGAGCTATTTATCCCTGGTACGTCGCGCCCCATTTCAATGTGTATCGCAGTGTGCTGAGAAATAATCCAAGGTTACCCATGGACCCCTTGGGCGAACGACTTCGTTACCTGCCAACCCGTTCTCAAAGAATACCAGGCAAATGCCTTGGCTGTACATTCCCCTGAAATGAAGGAAATTTGTGAAGCAGTCAAGGAGGCAGCCGCAACAGTTGTCCTCGGATTCGCTGAAACTGACGGCGGCTCGCTGTATATTGCCCAAGTCACCATCACATCCAACGGAGAAATCGCGAACCACCGTCGAAAGATCAAGGTAAAGTCTTACTTTCACCGAGTCCACCTGGATCGACGCAAGCGCTTAGTTTTATATCGATGGCCAGGTTACACATTATGAAAAGACAATATTTGGGGATGGAAGTGGTGCGTGACGGTGTTACGAAGCTTGCAGCTAAGTGTGCGCTGATGCATAAGCTCTGTCTAGCTCCATCGATCCATAACGTTGTGCAGACGGAATGGGGCCGCGTCGGAAGTCTGAATTGCTGGGAACACATCCAGGTGATTCGGAGATATGGATTTTCCTCAACCTTCGCGGGAACTTACTAATACAAAATACCAGCCATTCCTCAAGTGTCACTTCTATGCACAACACCCACAGATATTCGTGGGTGGATGGTGGCCAGCCTTCCTTCCTTACCAGGGAGGAGCTCCTTACATTGTCAGCGGCGAGGCGTCCAGCCGCATGTCACAGTTGGTAGCGATGGAAGGCGGGTGCTTCGGCATCGTTGGCTGCCAGGTCGTCAGCGAGGCTGGTGCCGCAAAGATGAAAATGACGGGCTTCCCGTGGTTCAAGTTCCCCGGCGGAGGTTTCTCTTGTGTGCGTTCGTGAAACCAAGCGGCGGCGTGACGTCTAAATACTGACCAACCGTAGATTTATGGCCCTGACGGTTCTACTCTCACCGAACCAGTGGACCCAGGTGTCGAAGCGATACTTTACGCGGAGATCTCGCTCGATAAAATCGCCGAAGTCAAGATCGTGGCGGATACTACGGGCAACTAGTGAGTCGACTTGACGAGCTATATTTACATCGGTAGCACTTGTGCTGATCAGCCATCGCCAGTTCCCGGAATGACCTATTGCATGTCGTGGCCCACGGAAAGAACTGGGATAGAGTGAAGTACGAGGATCCCGAGGAAGCTGCCGCAGCAGCAGCGCATAGCCGAGAGATAGACAACGTGGCTAGTGGGAAGTCGTTCTGATGAAGCGGTGAACTAGCGGCAACATGTGCTCAGATATGATTCCTCTGCGAGGTGGCCTATCACATAGCACTTACCTGCGGATTATCGAAAACTGCTTTACCTGTTAACACATGTGCATTCATGATGTGATTGTGATGCCCGAACGGAAGTGGAACGTTGTTGACAAGAATATGGAACGATGACTGGCGGATGGTATTCTTGGATCTCTCATCGAATTCAATAGAACATCCCTTATCTACAGCCCTGCCTGTGCGGAGGAGGCTTATCGCGTACCCTAAATTATAATCGCCGCACTACGGAGATGTCACCACAAGCCCATTAACAAAACATGAGGAAGACTAACTACCGAAGACAAGCACTTGAGGCGCTGGGTGAGGATTTGCTGTGCTACATGGTAAGATACAAAGTGTTCCCTTTTCAGCTTTCAAGGCGTACGCCCTGCATACGCGATAGAATGTATCCGAATGGTCTCGATTCCATACATCATTTTGCGATCAGAACAAGGTTTCCTGGGGACAAGATACCATAAGACGGGCTCCACAACAGATGCGATCAAGCATGACATACCTCATCCCTTAGATACTCGCCCACATCTCTGTGATCGGTATTTCGTTAGAAAATAGAAGTGAAGGGAACCTATCGGGGCACGTACGCCTGGTGGAAGACAATGATGGCTGTTGGATCAAGCTTGCGGGTATCTACGGTCGATCTGGCAGTAACCCCAAAACCCTGGGAGAATGTTGTCGTAAACTTTGGCCAAGAGAAATACTAGGATTTGGGGTGCTCACCAAAGGCACGTCCTTCATGCTGTACACGACCACGCCCTGGTGTTCTGGAGTGTCTTCAGTGATGCGGCCCAAGTGGGCCTTGAGTATGTGATTGCCATACAGATATGGCATCTCGCCATTCGGCTTAATCCACACCTAGAAGGGGCCGTTAGTGGAGTACCATGCGGGGAATTCTGAGTGACATACCTTGTATTTGGCATACTTCGCGATATAGTCGAGCGAGGTGATGTGCAGCTTGAATTTGCCACTTTTGCTGAATTTACCAAAGCATGTGCCTAGGCTGACGAGATTGGGTCGAGCTACGGATATTCCTAGGCGCATCGAGGACTCGGAGACATAGAAAACACGGTCCCTGTGCAGCCTGAAGCAATATGGCTCATCTGGCCGGTCGATGAGATGTATCAGATTCTTTCCCTGCAAACGAAGCGTCGACGGTCAGCACTGCGGAGATCCTGGATGAGGAAGGGGTACAGTACGATGTAGTTTGCTAGTTTCGTGAACACGGCCTTTGATTCGTCTTCTGTGAGGGGGCGCATTTGAGGAGGGGATGATGGGGAGGTGAAGGTGGCACCAGGCAGACCTTATATACAGTTGCAAAGCGCGTCTCGACTGCTAGATGCAAGTGGCAGTACTAAAAAATATATATGAGTGTCCGCGTTAGGTAAGCCCGATCACTACTCATCCGTCACGTGATCTTCTGGTGAGCTTCACTGATGCACTGAACAAGCTTGAACAGGGTTCGTCTGAACGAACTCGACAACGGACTCGGAGTAACAGCTCACTCGCTCCTTCTCATCCAACCACCATGTCTGCACCCTCATTCTCCTCGTTTCCCCCTTCCTTTTCTTCATTTCCCGAATTAGACTCTGGTCGTCAAACCCCCAACGAACCGTCGGGTTCGCACAACGACAAGCGTCGAGAGAAGCGCGGCCATAAGGCCGACAAAAAAAGCAAACACGACAAGCATCATAAACCCAAGAAGCACACCGAAGATGGGGGAAAGCGGCAGGCACACGGTGTCCCACCAGAGTCTGGCCAAGGCTCCTCGAAACGTGTCTATTATTCTGATCCTAAGGGGGATCCTCTAAATGTGTTGTACGGGGGGCTGCATGCCGGAGATGTACCTAAGCACCACTTGGTCGGCCGTACGTGTACATGTTTTCTTTTCCCTGACGTCTAATGATGGGGCAGGTGGCAAGAAGGTCCTGGGACTCTCTTCAGGCTGGACAGCATCCCATCGCAGCCGTAACGGCGTTGAGATCGGCCCACGAGAGCGAATCAAGGTTAGCCATGAGCTGTTCTCCTCTCACGTCTAATCACCTGTGTATCGACAGACCGCCAGCCTCACGGATTCCAAGGCACGCGCTCTCCTAGCGCTACCCCCGAAACGTAGGATCGTAAATCCCCCCGAGACTCACAGGTACGAGGAAGTGGACGGATTCATACGTCTTCCGACTCGTAAGGGCAACGGGGACCCGGAATCATCCTACCGTTCCATTAATATTGGACCCAACGACCACACTGATTCGAGTTCCTCCGAATCCGAAGGAGCCGATGATGCCTCAAGCGACACCGACTCTGCGACAGAGCTAACATCCCTCCAGGTATCCATCCAATCCTTGGAACAGGAACTCTCTGCGGATCCTACTTCAATAACGCACTGGCTAGCCCTTCTGTCTCATACGCTCTCTACAATCCCGATTACATCTAAGAATGCAACTAAAGCCCGTTCAGAGATTACACTCTCATTACTAGGACGCGCACTTGCCGCACACTCTCAGAACGCCGGGTCAACCCGCCTCCGAATAAAGTACCTGAAAGCAGGGGAGGAAGTGTGGCATGAGAGTAAAGTCCGTGCTGAGTGGGAGGGCGCCTTGAAGTTGGGCCGGCCTAGCCTGTGGATGGAATGGCTAGAGTGGAGGATGAGGAACGGAAGTAACGGAATACCAGGCATTCTTGACGACGCAAGACGTGTCCTGACTGCGTTAGGGGAGCTAGAGTTAGCCAAAATTAGGGTCTTTTGGAGGATAGCCGTTGAGCTTAGGAATGCAGGCTTCACCGAACGCGCCATGGCCATGTTCCAAGCGCAATCTGAATTGTAAGTCTATTTCACTCTCAGTGTGTCGGTTTAATTGGATTCACGGTGGCGAATCCGCAGGACATTTGAAGTGCCTCAAGATTTGTATGGTTTGCCGCTGCCGCATCTTTTGACTTCGCTGGAAGAGTTTTGGGAGTCGGAGACTCCAAGGATCGGAGAAATTGGCGCCAAGGGATGGTCCTCTTGGTTTACGTCCAAGAAGGTCGAGCAGGCAAGAAACTCAGAAAGTTCGTCGGCGCTCGGCTCGAACCTCAACATCTCCGACCCTTATCTACGCTGGTCTCTCCTCGAACTCCACTCTGACCGACATTTTCGCTTGCCCTCTCGCTCCTACGATGCGGTATCCGAAACAGATCCATACACAACCATTCTCTTCGCGGATGTTCGAGACACATTGATGGATTTGAAGACCAATCGCGCGAAAGACGCTTTTCGTCTATCCTGGCTCTCTTTCCTCGGCCTTCACATCCCAGGTTTTACCAACACCCTCATTTCGGACGATGGCATGGAGTCCTGGGATGATAGATGGGCGTATACTCATCTAACGGCGCCGGCGTTGCTGAATTCTATTTTCCCATCGCCATCGGAGCAGAAGGCGGTTCTCGCTGATGCCGTCGCGGGAGTCATTATCGGTCGTTCGAAGGAGTACACGCCCGTATTCGGACCGGTGAAATCCTGGGGGTACGGAGTGCTGGGGGCTTTGGATGTAGGGCTTGTATTTGCGAAGCAGTCGCTCTGGTCTAAACAAGAACTGGAAAGTGCAGATACCCTGTTGATGCGGAGGGTTTTTGAGCAGCTGCGGCTCAGCGCCACAGATCATGAGTGGGATGAGTTGGCTTTGGCGTTCGAACACACATTGAATGCGAAGGCGTATGCTTCTTAATTTTATCAGAATAGATTCATTCAGAGCTCACTCTATTATTCTAGTGCGACGAAGCTGTCGCGGACTTTCCTGTCGAAAGCACAAAACTCCCTGCCCCATTGGTCGTTCCACGCCAAACTCGAACGCCTACGCGGAAAGCTAGACGAGGCACGGAAAATCTACCATACCGTGCTCATCGCTTCATCACCATCTGCGGACACGCACTTCGCCCGAGGTAAGCTGTGGTGGGAATGGGCTGAGATGGAATGGCTGGCTGGGAAAGACGCGGAGGCGTTGCATGTGGTGATGAAAGCAGCTGGTGTCGAAGGGGAAGGAGGATTGGGCACGTTGAGAGCCAAGAGATCTCTGGAAGATGCCATCAATGCACTGCGTCAGAATGAAGCGTGGAAAGATAGAGAGGCTTGGATACAGATACAGGCACTACTGGTATTGTTGGTTGGAGGAGGTCTGCCCGCTGCATTGCAAGTTTTCGACCGATACAAGGACCATCATGAAATCGACGACGTGGCTCGGGAAAGCCTCACCGTGGCAGGTATTCTTATGACATACCGGTACGGTGTTGTGCTTCGAAACCCAATGCCTCCGGTACTACTGAGGGATCGGGCGGCAGCTGCGCTCGAGTCTTATGGAAGCAACTCGCTTGTGTTGGCGATGTTCTTGGAGGCTGAAAAGGGACAGGGTGTATGGGGACGAGTAAGGAGTATGTTAGGAGACGAAGCGGCAGGAAATGGACATTGGAAGGAGAAGGACGTCGCTAGGCGAGTGGAGGAAGTGTGGATTGCTGGCTGGGAGAAGGGAAGATGGTTGGGCGAGGTCGAACGGACACGAAAAGGTCTCGCCGGCGCTACAGAGAGCGAACGGTATGTTTCTGATGATGTTACCCCGCGGAAATCACTCAGTGTTCTATACTTCGAATGCAGAACTCGGGCTAGCTATGTAATATGGCGTGTCTACCTCGAATTCGAAATTCGTGTCGGCCAGCTAGAGCGAGCTAAAAAGCTGCTATACAGAGCGATAGGTGACTGCCCATTGGCCAAAGGCGAGTCAAAGCGACTACGGAATGCGTTATCCTAGCTAAACTACCGCCTAGAGCTATATCTCTTGGCCTTCGGACCACTTCGCAAGGTTTACACTCCGAGCGAGCTAAATGCATTCGCGGACACCATGGCTGAAAGGGGGCTTCGCATGCGAAGTGGGTTGGACGAAGCTTTGAGCGGGTGGAAGGGCGACAGCGACGAGGAGAGCCATGGCTCGGACATGGACGAGATTGAGCAGAACGCGGAGGAGTACCGGCGCTTAAGACCATATTAAATGTTGTATCTTATTTGTACACGGAGTGTGACAGCGTTACACAGCCAGCAGGGTTCACCGAGTTGTTTACTACACGAGGCCTTTTTCCATTCACACATCCACTCGACCGCCAGATGCACCCGCACTGAATCTCGCCATTGTCGACAACATCGAGGACATTGTCCAGCTCGCTATTATCCTTCCTTTTAATTCAGTTTCCACCCAGGCCTCATATTTCTCCCGAATTCCTCCTTCCACTCCCTCACACACCCCGGGTCATCTAGCATGACCACCATACCTGCCCCGAAGCTGGTCTTGACCCACGAGGAATGGCCCGACGCAGACTTTGACCTGCCAGAGGGCGAGCCGATCCATTCAGTCATCAACAGAGACGACGACGGCGATGAGGACTGGGATGTGGAGATGGACTTGGGCAGTACAGGAGGAGCGAAGGTGCAGGCTGCGACCGGATTCACGCTAGGTTCGTCCGGTTCGTCTCACAAACCCCAGCTCTTCAACATACGCCCGCCACAACCACAACCCATATCCGACGCGGACGACGACGACGACGAAGGTGTGTCCACAATCAAGGCGTCGGCGGTATTACCGAAACCCGTCGCGAAGATTCCGAAGCAAACGCCCATCGAGGAAGACATTGAAACGGCCTTTGCTCTTCCTGACGATCTCACACAACTTTCGCTTGCACCTTTGTCTCTGAACCATCGCTCGTCAAAGAACTCGCTAGAATGGGGCGACAAAGACCACACCTCGTCGTCACAGTCGTCGGACGCCTATTCATCTCTTAGCTTCGCTGATGCTTCTCCATCGAATTCCGCTTCATCTGTTTCTCAGCCTGACACCGGGGACGAGCTCGAAACAGACGAGGACGACGAGGGAGTGCTGGATGGGCTTCTCATTCCCACAGGCCTCTTCGATACCGGTCACAGCGGTAGAAAGCTCAATCGAATACTCGAGTTGAAGAAGAAGGTTGGGATGACCGACACTCGTGTCAAGATAGCGAGCCCGGATCCCGAAGACGACTTTGAGATGGGCCTGGTCATCGGCGATGATGTCGACCTCAGCCCAAGTCGCCTCCTTCTCGCTACACATCAGAACAAGGCCCAACTACGGAAATCGCCCAACCGTAGTACGAGCGCTCCTCCTCGTCGCCCAGCGCCATCTCTACGGCCGCCGTCTAGACTCAAACATGAACGGGCCAAATCGCCGGTAAATCCGCCACCATCCTCGACAAGGCAGCTTCAGAAGCTCCGCCTCACACCATCGCCACCGCTTCGTGGAGGTCCCGTCCGTGCACAGACCTTCCAAGCTCTCTCCCCTGCCCCCACTCCGCCATCATCATTCCTCTCACCCAAGCCCGGAAGCCTTCGTGGACAGAAGTCGCATTCCGGCCTCAAGCCCCCAACTCCCCCATCAACAACCCGAAAGCTCACACGGAAAGCATCGCTTTCATCGCTCATGGAAACGAGTCAACCCCAAGCGCCAGGCTTCCCGGCACCCATCGCAAGTGGCTCCAAAGCTCGATACGAAGAAGCAACATACGCCTCTAGAGCTAAATCACATAAAAACACAACTAGCCGCATCCATGACTACAAAGTGCCACCAACTCGACCATGTACACCGTCTAATCAGGCGGCTCTCCGCTTAACCATGCCCACTCAACGATCGAAATCACGGCCGGCACTTAGCACCGTATGGGGCACTGTCAATGCCCCTGACCCTTCGACAATCCGATCTGCCTCGCCACTCCCTCCTCCAAGACCTCCTTCCTCGCTATCCCTCAAATCACAGAAACCATCAGGTATTCCTCAACCCGTCGCCCCTAAAGTCCTTCGAAGACCAAAGCGTCAGCGGACTTACGGCGATGGCACAGAGCTTGACAGTATAGAGGACCTCCCCGCTGATCGAGAAAAAGAAGCTCGATATCGGGTTCAGCCCAAGGGATATGGCAATCGCATACCGGGGGGAACCTACCCGTCGAAGGCTACAGAGAAGGGCACCGTCCGAAAGAAGGGTCGACGCGAAGCCTCGGACAGTGGCCAAGGTACGCATAGAGCCTCACAATTTCCAACCGATTCTAATTGTAATGTAGACCACGTACCTCCCCCTCTCCCTCCCACAAATACACTCAAACGAACAACAAGTCGAATAGACTCACTCTCCAAGACAGAACTGCCTCTTCCGAAGAAGAAGAGGAATGTCTCATCTCCAACAACACCCGGGACAAGGAGAAAGCCTACGTTGATTCGTAATTTGGGCGGAGTAGGAGCCCCTAAAGGTGCCTTCTGTCTATATATTTATCGCGGACCTGTAGCTAATAAGGTTCTAGTCGTTGGAGATATGAAGTGGAACCCACAAACTCTGCGCTGGGAGGGCAACGATCATGTCCTTCGTGACTTCGATGCCGTCGTTGGGACTTCCACTCGCCCTGCCCTGATCACCCATCTCACGGGATCGTCAATTGGATCCCCCGTGGGCTCGTTTGCCTCTGGCGCCCGGATAGTCGGCAACATGATATTTGATCCATCACGGATGTGCTGGATATCAACCTTACCGCCAGAAGAGGACGAGCCCGATGTATTCGCAAACCTTGCAGACGATGAGGAAGATGCCGAAGACTGGGAAACCAAAGGTGGAACCATTCGAGCCAGTTTGCAAGGCAAAGACCTCAACTCGTCCGATGGTGTGGCCCATACAACATCAACTTCGTCGAACGCGTCTTCTGAAGCACCGAGCCCTTCGTGCAGTCGAACGCGTGCGATGTCCGATTCCGGCAGTGATCGTGGGTCCCGAGCGTCGATGGTTTGCGAAGTTGACGACACTTTCCTCCTCAAATGCCGGCAGGCTGAAGAACGGCATCGAACCGAAATGAAGGGGTGGAAGGCCACTCTATCCAAAGCAACGGAAGCTGCCGAGCCTGATCGTTCGTATCTCTACGAAATAAGGGCACTTGCCACGCGCAAGTACTGATCTGTTCTCATTTATCATCTCTCCTTTTCTCTCTTTCTCTCTCTCTCCTGGTTCCCATTGCGGACTGACACTCATTACTCAAGACTGTAAAGCCCATTTATTGCGCAGGGATCTATGCCTTTTTCCAATCCCGAAATGTTGTTTCGTTGAATTCCCCCTCCCCCTCATCGCTCTGTTTTCTCCTGTACATATCGATAGACCGCATTTTCTCCTCCTACTCTATTTCGGATATTTGCCATCCATACGCTCCTTTGCATCCCTTGATATGTAGCCAAGTACGCAACCCGATATGAACAAAATAAAAGACATGACACGCCGAATTCCGAGACCGAGCCTCTAAGTTCACTCACCACACGTTCCCTGCAAGATACGGTCGCAACTGACGCCTGCCCTCCTTTGCAGCATGTCACCTTCTGATGCCCAGCGACCGACCGATATCCGCAAGATCAGTGTTGGTGGCGGTCGTATTGTCCTGAACAAGCTCGCGGGCCAAATTGTGACTTTCGCCGAGCTATCGTCGACGTACCCACTGAAATTACTATCTCCTAAAGTCACGGAGGATGGGGTAGCTGTCGTCTACGCCCTAACATACGGCGGCGGCCTGGTCGGGGGGGACCGCGTCAATTTATCTGTAGAAGTGGGGGCTGCTACCTCCCTTGTGCTTCTCACCCAGGTCTGGTTTCAATACTGATGATTGTGTGCCCATGGCGCTGATGTCGAAACCAATATATTTGTGATACCCAGGGCTCGACGAAGGTGTTCAAAACACGTCCAGGGGATAGGCTGTCGTCCCTACCGACCCAGTTTCCTCGACCGGCTCACGAATCGACCTCGCCGACGACGCAGATAATGAACTTCGCCGTCGCGCCCTCAGCCGCGTTATTTTTACTTCCTGAACCAGTGACCTGCTTCCGCTCTGCAGCCTACAACCAGGTTCAAACTTTCCATTTAGCGGCCAATGCGTCCGCTGTCATTCTGGATTGGTTCACGTCCGGGCGCAAGTCTCTGGGCGAGGAATGGGTGTTCTCGAGATATTACAGTGCCAACGATATATGGGTGGAAGGCAAGCGGGTGGCCAAGGATGTTATGCTGCTTGAGGACGACCCGGTCGACGCATCCCCTCTCCCTCGCCGCCAGCTTCGCGACAAACTTGCACCGTACGCTTGCTTTGCTACAACATTTCTATTCGGACCGTTGGTACAACCCGCTATCAAGAAGCTGTCCTGCCGTTACGAGACCATACAGGTCTTCAAGTGTACAGCCCCGGACAAACTCATATGGTCACTGAGTCTAGTTGATGATGGTGCGGGCGCGATTGTTCGAACTGCGGGTTTAGAACCAGAAGACGTGAAGATGTGGCTCAAGGAGGCTTTACGAGACGTTGAAGAGTTAATTGGAGTTGACACGTATCGTAGGGCCTTTGCGTAAGGCCGGACAGCACAAGTACCTCGGTTTTTGCCCTATCAGCTGAGCATTTCCGGTGAAATTGCCTCCGTCTGCCTCCACAGGCGACTATCTGAAGTTTGGGCTGAAGTTTGGGGAGCATGAGGTCCCCAGAAACGCGTTCAAGATATTTCTCCTCGGTAAGTTGCATCCCTTCAAAAAAGCTATATATGCTCATTTGCGGTCCCGTATTGGTTTAGTAGGAATGATGATTGTGGTGTCTAACCATAGATACATGAACCATAAATCGCCTCTGCCGTAATTGTGACCTTTCCAGATAATATGTCCTCTTGGAAGTTGGACCGTAGCTGAAGCAACCCTGGGAGTATCACAATCTACCCCTTGGCCATCCAATTACACGCCTGTTTGTGATCTACTTTCTCAAGGTCTTGTGCCAGTCAAGTTTTCAAGGTTTCACACAGGCACCGACGCGCACGCAGGCCCATTCGGAGACCTCTCATCTAAGTGAATAATCTTCGACGAACAACCTTCAATGTTGAAAGTTTGCGGAAGCGAGCGATCACTGGCATTACCTTTACCATTTACATACCAGTGAGGTACACACCCAACCCGATCGTTTTGATTCAACGGACCTTTAGTGAGTGCAGAAATAGCCGATTCCAAATTGAGATGCACAGGCTCATTCTTGAGCGTCTTCCAGGCCTTATCAAACCAACAACAAACCAAACACTGGCTGTCAGACTTCGTGGAAATCCACGCACTGAGCCGAATCTACCGTACCAGATCCAAAGCCTATAAATTACCTTTTGAATGGACTCTGCCCCTCAGCTCCATTTTCCTTGTCCACTTGCACGCCTGGCATCCTCGCTAACATGGATCATCCCAAAGCGCCATATGACGAAGCAGAGACCGACAATGTATCTGGCCAGAGCATAACAGCCAATGAACTTTACCGACCCGATGTCGATACCTCCGGCGTCGATGAACGGAAACTCCTGCGACGCATCGATATTTACATCTTACCGTGGCTGGCCTTCCTCTACGTTCTCAACTTCCTGGACAGGGGGAGCATAGGGAATGCTAAGGTGCGCCTTTTCCCCTCACCTTCCCTGCGGAATTGAGACGGATCGCTAAACGCCAATGTGTTAGCTGTATAATCTAGAACGCGACCTTGGCATCACCGACAAGCAGTACCTCATTGCTTTGACAGTCTTCTTCTTTCCTTATGCCCTATTCGAGGTGAGTGGGTTGACTCATTGTCCGCACATAGCTGAATCTGGTCACCAAGCCCGTCAGTAACGTGCTGCTGAGACGTCTCCGACCGTCCGTATGGCTTTCCTCGATGATGTTATTCTGGGGCGTGATCATGGTCAGTGGCAACTTACATATTTGTTGCTCCTTGTGATCTCATTGCGTGAAATGTATATAGACCTTACATGGCATAGCCCACGATTATGGCGGCTTGATAAGTAAGCCGCATCGAACTACCTTGTGATCATCCAACGTATTGACCACTTTGGTCCCAAGGTCTGCGTTTTATGCTCGGACTTGCGGAAGCTGGACTGTATCCAGGCAGGTCCAATTCCGTGTTCCCCAGGCGCTGTGTATTCTAATTACGATTCGGAAACAGGGATTGTTTTCTATCTCTCATGGTAGGTGATGAATAGAGGTAGGACGATAGTAGCTCCCTAACGACTGCATCGAAGCTGGTATACTCGTAAGGAGCTCGGTTCTAAATTGGCAATATTCTTCTCCTCGGCTACTGTCGCCGGTGCCTTCAGTGAGTCCATCATCCCATGTGGCCCCATGACTCGCTGCGTGTTATAACTCTATCTTGCAGGCGGACTATTGGCTGCCGCTATTGCGAACATGGATGGCATTGGTGGTAAACCCGGATGGGCATGGATTTTTATACTGGAAGGCCTGATCACGGTGGTATTTGCCGTGGTATCTTTCTGGGTGGTTCAAGGCTTCCCGGAGAACGCGAAGTTCCTTACTGAAACTGAACGTAAGCTTTGATCCTTTTGCTGCCCATTACTATGGTTATAATGGCATTATAGGGGTTTTTGTCATAAGGCGACTTCGAAATGACATGCAATTTAGTGCTGGCGGGGAGAAATTTTCTTCAAAGTACATTTGGCAGAGCTTGAAGGATTGGAAGACCTGGGTCGCCAGTTGAGTCGCAGCCACTTAACTCTACTGGATGCCTGCTGACGTCCCCGGCCTTCAGTGGGCATCTACATGGGTTTCGACGGCCCGTTGTACGCGTTCTCGCTGTTCACTCCTACAATCATCAATCAGGTATATTCGTTCTGCTTTACTCCTTGTGTCCGGGCTGAACTTCAAATTTTCGAATTTCACAGCTAGGTATTCGAATTAACGTCACCATGTTGATGATGTCTTCACTATTCTTTTAGGGTTCCAGGCAACTAAAGCTAACCTTCTTTCCGTCCCGGTCTACGCATGGGGATGCCTCGTGACATGCGTTGTAGGCTTCCTCGGTGACAGAATAGGGAGAAGGAGTTATATCACTCTGTAAGAATGAAATGTTGACGCCCCTTGTCTTCGCTAACACACGGTGCAGCGTTCTTTTAGGAATTGGTGGGTCCAAGAAACATGCATCCGGGGATGCAAGTTCTCACTCTTAATAGGGTTGGTCGCCTACATTATCTTGTTGACCTCAAGATCTCCAGCATTATCGTACTTCGCGGTGTACCTGGCGGTTTCGTGAGTACCACTTTCGAGCATCTTCATCCCAGCCCTGACTGTCCCTTAGAGCTATATACCCTACCATCCGTAAGCCTGCCCATCGACTCTCACGTTTATAGTTGATCCGCGAACATGTTTCCATCATAGCGAACGCTGTGTGAGTAACGCTTCTTTGTTTCTACGGCTAACAACATACTGACGTCGTTGAGAAGCGCGTGGGTAGCAGGCAATGTCGAGGGGTCGTACAAACGATCCGTGACGTTGGGGATGGCCATTGGCTTGTGCGTTCTCGCTCCATTCGTGCCTTGCTCCCATGACCCACTCGCCGACGTTCTTCTTTAGCGGCAACATCAACGGTGCTGTTGCAGCGAACATTGTAAAGTTTTTTTTCCAGCTGATGCTCCCACAAGCGCTGACTAGTAATACTGGCAAATAGTATCGTGCGGAAGACAGACCGTGGTACACTCTTGGCCATGGGATTGTACTTGCATACATCGCCATCGGCTGGGTATGCTCTCTCGTCTTCCTGATTCTCTTGAAGCGGGAGAATGCTCGTAGGGATCGCGGCGAACGAGACGAAGTCATCGAAGGTATCGACAACAAACTGGCACACCCTAAGAATGGCACATACGAGAGCGTCGACGCTGCCAGGCTCGACAAAGGAGATGAATGGAGTGGGTTTAGATATAGTTTATAATCCGACAACATCTGTAGCTGTAATACCACTAACAAAAGTCAACCTCTTCGGCAAAAGAATCATTAGGTAGTAAAGTATGTATATGACCCCAATGGAGACTCTAAAATGCCTATAAGATACATTGATGCAACGAACGCTGGAACGGCGCTGAAAGATCCGAACCGGTATGCCATTAGTTTTTTAACTCGTCTTCTAACTTAGACGCAGCAGGAGCCGGGACAGGCTCAGCCGATGTACTAGGTTCAAGGGGCGGTGGTGCGCTTCTTCCCCCACGATGCTCGTCCAGCCATTTGTCCATGTCATCCGCTCGGTTGAGGAATGGTCGTTTGCCGAGGAGAGAAATCATGTCCTCACTGTGCGCAAGTGCCGTAAGTACTTCAGGTCCCAAAAGATAAGATAGGGCATACCGTGTGATCACTTCCTTCTCCAGGAGCAACTTCGCCACCTTCTCGACGTCTTCCTTATGATCGGTGAGCAGTTGTCTTGTGCGGTCATAGGCGGTTCTGTTTTCGAGATGAGCGGCTCAATACTGGAAACAATAGGTACAGTACTTACGTGATCATCTTGCGAACCTCAGAATCGAGCGTCTCCGCTGTCTTCTCACTGAATGGCTTTGTCCAGTTTTCCTTTGCGGCGCGGTCACCGCCATAGCTGACGGGACCGATGACTTCGTTCATACCATAGTTGGCGCACGCCTCGAACGCCATCCGTGTTATCTTCTGTAGATCGTCCTGTGCACCGGTTGTAATATTGGCTAGACCAAAGAATATTTCTTCAGATACACGACCTCCGAGGGTCATGCATATTCTATCAATCATCTGGGGAGTGGAGAGGAGATATCGATCTGGTGGGAGATACTATAGATCATATGAGCTGGTCATGCCCTGTTTAGAGAGCTGAGTTTGCTTACCTGTGCATAGCCGAGTGCGCCAGTACCGCGGGGAATGATGCTGACTTTGAGCAAGGGATCTGCGTGTTCCAAAAACCATCCGCAGACGGCATGTCCTGCTTCATGGTAGGCAACGGTCTTCTTTTCCTCAGGACTGAGCCTGCGGCTCTTCCGTTCTAAGCCCACGATGACCCTCTCGATGGCGGAATCGAAATCACGGTCTTCGACATACTCGGAAGCCCGGCGAGCAGCGTGGAGGGCCGCTTCATTGCATACGTTAGCGATGTCGGCACCTGAGAATCCGGGAGTGAGGACCGCTAGTCTGTGGGCAAGGGCATCAATATCCTTCACGTCTTCGCCGAGGCGCAAAGGTTTGAGGTGAACATGGAAGATGCCCTTACGTCCTGAGACGTCAGGGCGGTCGATGGCAATATGTCGGTCGAACCGGCCAGGTCGCATGAGGGCAGGATCTAGCACGTCCGGTCGATTAGTACCTGCGAGGACAACAATGTGCTCTTGTGTGCCAAAACCGTCCATCTCCACCAACAGCTGGTTAAGAGTTGACTCTCTTTCGTCATTGCCACCGAAATTGCCGCCCTTCGCTCTCGACTTGCCAATAGCATCGATTTCATCGATGAATATGATGCAGGGAGCGTGCTTCCTGGCCGACGCAAAGAGATCTCGCACCCTGGAAGAACCGACGCCAACGAACATCTCCACGAACTCGGAACCAGAGACGGAGAGGAAGGGGACGTTGGCTTCGCCCGCGGTTGCCTTCGCGAGTAGTGTTTTACCAGTTCCAGGTGGTCCAGAGAGAATGGCCCCTCGGGGGATCTTCGCACCAAGTTTCTCGTACTTCGCGGGATCCTTCAGGAACTGAACAAACTCCATGACCTCTTCCTTTGCCTCATCCATACCAGCGACATCCCTGAACCGGATTTTGACCTCTGTGTCCTTGTTAAACAACTTCGCACGACTCTTCCCTATGCTGAATATCCCACTACCAGAACCAGACCCGCCACGTCTTGACATCCAATACAATAGGCCGGCGATTATTAGCGTCGGTGTGAAGTTAAGGAGTGTGTTGAAGGCGGATATTTCGTCATGGTAGGCAACGGGTAGGCGTTCGTGACTAGGGATGCCGAGTTCCGCCTGAGCATCTTCAAGTTTGCGCTCGAAGGCTTCGACGCTGCCTATTGAGAAGTAGTATTCGCCTCCCACAGGTGCGGCAGGATACATAGCTCCTGTTGCGTTGGAATGTAACTTTACCCGCACCTTAGAGCCATTGACCACCGTAAGCTTGTCAACTAAGCCCTTGTCAAGGAACGCTGTTCGGAACTCCTGCCATGTAATCTCCCGAGCATTGGTAGAAGTTGAACTGGAGTACAACATGTACGCAGCAGCCGAAGTCCCCATTATTATGAGCTGATTGGTGGTGAATCCGTTCGGGTTGCCTCCAGGCGGAGGAGGGGGTTGCTTGCGATCGCCCGACGACTTGTTCGGCTCTGACTCTTCATGCTGTGATTCAGACTGACGAGAATTCTGCTTCGCCGACCGCTGGTACTGCTGGAAGAAGCCCTCGAGTCCCTTTGGTAGCTCTGGTTTCTGACTCTTCGACTCTTCAGATCCAGCGACATCCTCTTTCTCCTTGCCCTTGTCCGAAGGTGTCTTTTCGGCGCCGGTTTTCGGAGGCTCAGCAGGAGTCGCAAATAATCTGACACGGCCCGCAGACCGAGTTGCAGCCTGCCTTGATGCGAGCAACCGAGATGCTCGTATTGAGCGGGAAAGCATGGTGAGAGTAGAAGGAGAGGAGAGGAAGCCTCTGGAAGGGTACGTATCCTTCCGCTACGCGATGCCGTGAGTCGTGACCGACCCGGCTTTTCTGCTTACGTGAGTCAGCGCCAAGAGTTAAGCGCCTTAGTAGCCAGACTTCATTCTTCGTACTACCATCTTGCAACTCGAAAGCGTTCAACAGAATGAGAACTTCAGAACACATGTCCTTCGTCACTTGCAGACAAGGACTTCAAATCCAGGAGCAAATCTTCACCTTTCGGACTGCGTTCTCGGGAACCCTGGATTTCGGTCTTCCGGTGACTGGTCACTTGAGAGCTCCAGTTGACCACATTTCGCATGGAATTACGATTTGTCACATCACAAGGCCCCCAGTATATAAGCAATTTCAAGGCGATGCTGCGTGCTCATCCCCAGATTAATTCAATCATGGACCCCAGCTTGTACAAAGACTTCAAGACGTCGAGGGGATTCAATTACCATTACTTTGCGGTGGCACCTCAGAAGGATCAGCCATACCTTCTGTTCCTCCATGGATTTCCGTCAACCTCGTACGACTGGCGCCATCAAGTGGCCCACTTCAAAGACCGGGGATACGGCTTGATCGTACCCGACATGCTAGGTTACGGGGGGACCTCCATTCCCACTGATCCTGAGACGTACCGAAAGACACTTATCTGCAAGGACATCGTCGAACTACTCGACACAGAAGGCATCAAACAATGCATTGCCGTTGGGCATGATTGGTAGGCCCAAGTCCCTTTCCCCCTGATGCTGTCTGATCGCAGCTTCAGGGGCTCTCACATAACAGCCAGGTTGGCAGATCTGTACGAAGACCGGTTCATCGCATTCGCATTCCTCGCGGTGGGGTATTCTCCCCCTCGGCCCGTATTCGACATGGAGCAGCTTCTAGCACTCACCAAGAAATTGGCGGGGTACGAACTGGTCGGTTACTGGAAGTTCTTCTCAGCCCCTGATGCCCCTGAAGTCATTGAGAAGAATGTAAGGCGACCTCTGTGTTTCCAACGCAGTCTAATCACACTAATGTTCAAGCCCTAGTTCGACTCGTTCTTCAGCATAGTGTACGCAGAGGATCCTGATTTGTGGAAGACCGACTTGGCGCCAACCGGTACTCTTCGTGCATGGCTTGAGTCTGGAAAGACGACTGCTATTGGCTCATGGATTAGTGAGGAGGTCATACACTTCTATGGCCTCTCTGGCAAAGTCACTGACATCTGGAATGCTCATTAGGAACGCAAAATCCATAGTGAGCATCTGCTTAAAGGCGGTTTGGCAGGGCCTGTCTGTTGGTATAGGGTTTTGACCAGTGGGGCCTCAAGCGACGACGACAAAAGTGAGTCTAGTCTCCTCCAAGCCATATTCAATATATCTTACGCGATGCTGCTAGGTGTACCCATTCGATCTCCTGCGGTTACGAAGCCTGTGTTCTTCGGCGCAGCTAAACGAGACGCGATTGGTGTCGCTCAGTTTCAAATACACGGTACAACGCAAGCTTGCTCGAACCTCACCGTTCGCGAAATCGATGCGGGGCATTGGATCCAATTGGAGAAGAAAGACGAGGTAAATCAAGAGCTCGGAGCGTGGCTCAATACCGTCCTGGCCACCGCCCCCGCGTAGTCACTTGTAATCATATCGTGACTTCTAGGCGAGTTGACGTCGGCGGCTTCGAACAACTTGTACTCTATGCAGCTGTGCTGTAACACACTGTGAACAACATATGTACGCCAACTGACTGAGCAGCGAAAGCAGGATGCAAAGGCCTCTCCATATTTGGGACTACATTCGTACGACAATAATAATAAAAGCTGAGTAAGTGCCTATGACGGTCCTGGCAGAGGATCAACCCAGGTTCCATTTGGCCACAATGTAGCGGGCATTGTGAAGTCTCCGGTCGAATCTCCCGAGCGTAGCTAAAACTTAGTTAGTGACTACACAGAATACAAGCCTCAATACTCACAGCAAGTCGGAAGAAATGCGGCAGGCTAGGCTCGAGGGCTGCGAGAGAGTAGTTGAGCGCGGTGCCCGCGTAACGCTCAACATCATCTACAAGTAGCGAAAATGAGTCCCATCCCTCGGGCAACACGTCCCAAGAAATGGTCTGATTAATGAATGGTATCGATGCGTTGAAGCTAGTCATATTAGTGAGGAAGGTTGGTAGATCCGACCCCAGGGGAGCATCCTGCCGCAGCTAGAGAACAAAGCAATCAGCCGACAATTGGTTACCATATCCTCGCATGCTTACATCTTCCGCAGTCTGTAGTATAGAGTCGAAGCCGAACGCGGCCACTCCGTTCAAAAATAAGCCCAACAGGAAGCCCTGATACATTGCGGACAATCGAGTGGGGAACGCAGAAACAGGCATCAGTATTATGCCGATGATGTAGTGGTGCAGGCGCAGTTCCAATCCCGGCAGTTGGGAGAGAACCAGAAGGATCAGTCCTCCGATTATGTACCACCCGAGATAGTATGGTAGCCAGCCGGTCTTGCGAACGACGCGAACTTGGTTCAACGCGAGGATGAGGACAATTACGATTATGATGACGAGCGCAGTGATAGCACCGTTTCGTTGGAGATCGGCAGCGTAGAGACGGTTAATGGGGATCTTGCCCATGGTAACATTTGTCAGAACAGTAACCCAGAAGGGGCCGAGATACCAAACCATGGCCTCGATGGGTGCTTTCTGGAGAAAGACAGGGAGAACGAAGCGGAAGGCCAGTCTCCAGAATGCATACGCGACGAAGAGAGTTGGTAGGAATGTGCTGAAAGCAGTGTCGAGTGCGGGTGGTGGGCCGTGTGGTTGTGAAAAGAGGACGACATGCCAAAAGCCTATGCAAACGAGGCACCAATATAGGATGATAGGTTTGGGTCGGAGAAGTAGGAAGAGAAGGCAGGTAATGATTACATTGAAAGCAAGGACCGGGTCGCGGATGTCTTCGCATTGTGAATTGTGGTTTGCACCACCAATAAACCGAAAACCGATGGGAAATACGGTTGGGAAGCCAACGGAATTGAGGCCGTTGGCAGAGAACGGTAAGAAGTCCGTAAAGTTGGACAAGAGCTGCAAGCTAGCGCAACCGCCTTTATTATGCGAAATGAGCCCGCTAGATAAATCCAATGAGCGTGTCATTCCAAGGAAAAGATAGCAAACGCACGCTTGGGTCGCCGCAGAGCAAATGAAGCTATCCCCTCGATACGTCCCATTATCATCGCCGCCGCCCACGATCAAAGGCACCAAGGTCATCTGCTGATTGCCGATCGTCCTGGGGTTCTGCAAGATAACGTCAGCGCACTGCGCCGGGCACCGAAAATCGAAGGTCGAGCCATCGTCAAATGGCCCGCACAAGTCGCCGTTGAGACCGCATCCATCATTGGCGGTCCAATAGGTGGCCGTGCATCCAATGAACGACGATGCAGGTGTAAGGAACCACTGCTGTCGCGTCAATAGAGCGAAGCCAATGATGTACGCGGCGACAAGGAGGGCGAAGAGCCATGGATTCCTGAGGGGGCGGGTTATACGGGTCCACGATGATTCAATGGGTAGCTTGATATGATGTCCTTTGACCACCACATCGATATCGAGAAACGGCGAGGGCGCTGTTCAGTGAGAAGTTGTTAGACTTCGCACGCTAGACTTTGAAAGGTTGAATGGACATCACCTGGAAGATCTACTTTAGGCCGTGGTCCTCTCCAGAACTGGAATATCCTGTATACCCTAGGGGAACGAGATTCCAGCCTCTGTTCCAAGCGACGGTGCCATGGTTCTCGTCGGCGAAGTGAAGCGGCCTCGTTGTCCCGCTCGTATGTCTCCGCTATTGCGGCGTCGGATTTTTTCCTTTCAGCTTGGTGTGTTACTTCCTGAGTAAGGGAAGAATTTGTGCTACCATCGCTGGAGGAGGGTGTCATTGAGTCCAGCGGTCATAAACGAGGACAAGGTGCAGGTGTAACAAGGAAACTGAGGCTCGTGTGCTCTCATGCCGACCGGGGATCCACTCAGGCACGTGGCTCATTCGGATAAATACACCTCGAGCTCAATTCAGGTTCAAGTACATTTGATATCTAACTACTCTCTTTCGCTCAAGCGGAGGGTTCAGGAAGGGGTCCCGCTGGGAAGGCATTGCAGTCAGTGAGTGATAAGACGGACAAGAAACGAAGCGTTGACCATAGTCATAGACAAGACGGGCCTCAATCACTTTGCCATCGGGACCAGTGAAGTAAACGTGGCGGGTGTATCGCGTTACGCCGTCGATGACCTCGGTACCCCAGATCTAGGGCAGTATTACTACTAGAACCTATGTGGAAAGTAAACAACTTACCTGTTTCGCGATCCACGAAGTCCCGCTCTTGGGTGTATCGCTCTCAACGTACGATTCTATGGCTCCATTCGTGACAGTCTCTTCTGTCCATCCCTTCTTCAAGAACTCCTCCTCAATATCTGCGACTGGTATTCTCCTCGATTTGCCGATGACATGGCCAAAGACATGGTCATTATGAGTGCGTTCTTCATAGTTCAACACACGCTCCTCCCGAGTGCCCGCAAGTCCCGCAACAACCTGGTCGATATCAATGTGCTCGACGCCTTCGCTGTCCTTGTAGTGTTTGACGGTCAAATGCAGCGATCCCATGCTGATGGCCCTGCGCTTGAGCCAACCTACACCTTGGGCGGTAAGGATGGCATCGGTGGAATCGCTGAGGCTTTTGTTCTAGGAAACAACATCAGTTTCAAACAAATGGGATCAATCTTCTTTGATACAACGTACCATGTAGAACGTGCCGCTAATATCGAGCGTCGTGAACTCTGCGGGGACGGCCATGATTTGAAATGCGGGGTGCGGGGAATGTGGGGTGTGTTGTGGCCTTGAACGACAACTCTACTCGTTAAGTACCTCTTGAATCATTATGCTCATCCGTGCGTACAATCACATGCTTTTACATGGGGAATGACTTCACATGTAAGCGCTGCTCTTGAGAAAGTACCATGTGGCGACCGTATATCCAGGACATTTGGTCACTCGTGGAACCCATACCACCTCCTGTTTATCTTCCAAATCTAGGAAGAAACTTGACATCAAGGTTTCATGGAGAATGTCAAAAGAATGCCAGATCAGCACCAGACTGTATCAAAGCTACTTCAATATGATTCGTATGCAAACGAGCTTGTCAACGGATGCAGAGAGCACTCCGTCGTAGCCCCGCCGCTAGTAACATCTGAAATCAACCGTCAGGCTAAGCGAATTAGGAGACGGTGTCCCTTACCGACGATATCGTAGGTATAGCTTCAGCGTCACGAAGAGAATGAGAATGTGGTCGCAATAGAGATTGAAAGAAGAATCACCGATCATGTCTGTTCGGCTGGAAATATGGTGATGACTCGCCACACCGCATCCTTGCCTCTCTCCCAAGCTTGGGGTCCAATAGCTTCTTGTCCTCCAAATTCAACCATGATTCCATCTTTCGACCAACTGCAGAATATGCCGATGGATCCGCTAGAGGGACCTGCGCCGCCGCCCTTCTTGTCAGGTTCGCCCAATGCGTGCACAAATTCCTTCCCAGAAGTCTGCGGGGTAACACTGATTTCGGAGGGCCGCTCTACGACGTTCCCGTCCTTATCTTTAGCCTCGGCCGTCAAAGGGAGGTTGATGGGTGATATGGGATATGTAGAATATTTGAGTTCTGCGGTACGACGCGACTTGGCTTGCGCGTCCGTGGGTTTGCTCGGGGGCATATTGTATATGTCGATTCCGTCGAGTGCCAGTGATTCGTCCTTGAGCTCGTCGCGTTTCATGCCCATCTTGAGCTTGTATCCATCGCGAGGCACGAATGAAAGGCTGGCGCCGAGATGGTAGTAGTTGAAGTAAACGATATCCGAGTACGACTTCACATCGGGGACATCTGCGTTGTCTTCAGGGCTTTTCGCGACGAGGCCTTTGATGTACTCTTGGAACAGCGCTGATGAGGGCTGGCAACCAAGCAGGTCACGAACATTGAAGTTTGAGTCCACCACCATCGTCGCGACGATCCAAATCACGACCACGGGCGCTTAACCAACAACGTTGAACACTAACGGCCATGGCCAGCGTGACCGACCCCTCCTCCTCACGACAACGAGCGACGAGCGACGAGCCTCCGCCACGAAGGGGAATTGTGTCAACGATACTCTACGCGCCCCTGCGACTGTTGTTCGCACTGCTTTACCGGGCAGCAGCCTTCCTACAGCCCTATGCATCTCAAATAATACCAATATTCATCTGCCTCCTCCTCGTACCCCTTGTCATCTCCCTGTCACTCTACGCGGGGTGGGTCGTATGGCGGAGTGTTCCAGTGGCATGGCAGGTGCCTATCGACTTCCAATACGGGTGAGTGAATTGGCATTCGCCGTTTGGTCACTTCTGACCGTGTGGAATTAGCGACGGTGCCTCGCCCTATAGCCAAGCTACTATAGCTGGTGTCGCTTCTCACCAGCCGTACGATATCTCTCTCCGACTCTCTGTGCCGGCTACAGAAGCAAACTTTGGCCTGGGGAATTTCATGGCTGCCTTAGAGCTAACAACGCCGTCCAACAAAAGTATAGCTTCTGTACGCCGATCTGTACGTGGGTTCGCCAGGTACCCATTGTATGTCAAGTCTCATGCATTTCCTCCTTGATCTATCAAAAGGCCATCATTTTGCCCTCTTCATCGACTACTCTCTTCATCTTTTCCACTCCGCGCAAACTCATCGACCTTAAAATACCACTTCTAGACTCATTTTCTTTCGGGACTTCCAAGGCCATGGCGCGTGTTGAAGTTGGTCGCCGTGATCTGTGGAAAACGCTTGGTAGAGGTGAAGGACGCGAGCTGAGTGTTTATTCCGCGAGCTTGGTCGGAAGTGTGCGGCATAGCGGTATCAAGTACGTTCCCCATCATTAAATGTTCACGGTTAACCCCCGTTTACAGGGGTCTAGTGTCTCGATTCCCGTTATTGTCTGCAGTCGTCGCGTCCATGATTTTCCTGTTCGTATGCCTCCTTGTCGTGACTTCCTGCATTCTTCCGACAGTGTTTGCTAATGATGGCGAATACACGAATACGCCACATGAGTTGCCTCCTCCGAAGCCTGATCTTGACCCAAGTTCTGGAGGCGATGAGAAGCCACCAAAGCCACGGAGACGTTCTCGGGGAGCCAGGAGCTCTATGCGACGGGTGGTAAGTTTGGTCTAAATTCCTTTTGGATCAAGCCTTCACTATACTCTCGCCTTAGGCTGTGAAGCGTGAGGGATTCGAAGAAGACGTACAATTGGTACCCTCAAGCTCTGGTCAACGAACCTCTTCGCCACCTTTAAGAAGGCGCCGATCACGGGTAGAAGGAGGCCTGTCCGATTCGGATGTGTAGACTATCGTGTGCCTCCCGGCCAACAGTCGGCTCCGGTGTATACGACATGGACCTTAGAATGGGATAGTTTGCTGTTGTGGCATAATTGCATTGTTCTGACATCTTTCCACGTGAGTACCTGAGTGGGCGACCGGGCGTTCTTCCTTACCTCCTCGGGGACAATGCGATTGGACACACTAAACGATCTATGTTTGACTAGTATTTAGTCCAAGGGCGCGTTGATATAGTTGCACTCTTTCACCCCGTTTCACTATACCCAAGATGTCCACATCTGAGGCTGACAATCTGTTCAAGGTCACCGGCAAAGTCGTACTAGTCACTGGCGGAAGCAGAGGTATTGGTAAAATGGTGATTGATGCAGTAAACCTCGTGGTCGTTATTCGCTGATGCATCATAGATAGCTACTGGCTTTGTGAGGAACGGCGCCAAGGTCAGAATCGGACCAGACAGTGTTGGCGATAACACTCACTTGTATTGCAGGTTTATATTTCGTCTCGGTCCACGAACCAATGTAACGCCACCGCTGCAGAATTGGCAGCGATAGGGCCGGGCGAATGCATATCCGTCCCTGCAGACCTACAGAAGTTGGAGGAAGTTAAACGCCTTGTACAAGTCGTAGGATCCCGGGAAGGCCGTTTACATGTCCTGATCAACAATGCAGGTGCTGCCTGGGAAGAGCCCATTGATCAATACTCGGTAACTTGATTCCTTCATCATTTCCTTTCACGACGATAGACCTCCCTCCCTAGGACGCCGGATTCTCTAAAGTAATCAATCTGAACCTTCAACGTGTCTTCACCTTGACCCAGAAGTGCTTGCCCCTCCTTCGAGCTGCTGCTGCAGAAAGTATCCACGATGATATTTGCACAGATCCAGCGCGAATAATAAACGTTAGTCGTTATCTCTTCCTCCGTCCCCTCTGCTGACGCGAACAATTCATTATGATCACCTGTTCAAAGATTGGCTCTGTTGAAGGGCTAGGAGTGCCCAACCACGAGACATATGCTTACTCGGCGTCCAAGGCCGCCCTACACCACCTGAGCCGGAATTTGGCAGGACGGCTGGGCTGGGAAGGTATCGTTAGCAACACAATAGCATGTGGTAGGTCGGGCATACTTCCGGACTAAAGACCGAATTGCTTACGCACCCGCGATGCACAAGGTCTTTTCGAAAGTAGAAGTAAGTCCGCCCCGGGCGTACATTGCGAGCAGGCTTCCATTTATCACTCTCACAGTGACCGCGCAAACCTTGGCCGCTAATAACGGAGAAGAAGTTTTGCGCAGTGTTCCCCTTCAGCGTATCGGACGCCCCGAAGATGTCGCCGGAACGGCACTATACCTAGCTAGTCCTGCAAGTGCATACGTGAATGGTGCCACCATCACCCTCGATGGTGGATATTCCGTCTCTATGACCTTGCACCGCCTGTGATGGTGGAATGCATCCCAATATAACTTATATGCTACTGGATTATACCAATTGACAGAGGACATGCAATCGTAGGAAGCCATGAAATTACTTGGAACCCTCGGTCTCCTTAACCTGTTCCACTTCTTTCTTGACGTCCTCTGACGCGCTCTCCTTCTCCGGCACTGCCTCTTTGACCGGTTCATTGACAGTCTTCGCAGCATCCGACGTCAAAGAAGCCGCCTTGTCATTTGGTGCCTCGGGTTGGGTATCTTTCGGCGCGTTCGTGCTCAAACCCTCCACCAAATCCTTGGCTTCATCGCCATCTAGGCCCAGCTCCGCAACCAGATTCATCAATTCGTCCTCGGTGACCTTGACACCCTGCAGACCGAAGCCAATCAATTCGTCGCCTAGATCAAATAATCCCTCCTTCTTGTTCTCTGCCAATGGTTTGCCTTTGCCCTTCAAAGGTGACGATATGGGTGCGAGGATCTTCGACCGGAGGTGTTCTGGTGTCATCTGTAAGGGCGCGACCGCGCCTGGTACACCGATTGGCTTGGCCACTGGTGCTGGCCGGTCTTCCTCGATTTCCGCGTTCCAAGAGTCCTTTAGTCGCAGGAACGTCTCCAGTTCGCCATATTCGACGGCTTCTTCACTGTTGCCATGAGCATTGAGTGTCACGTCGAATAAGAGCACCACAGGGATTGAGACCGCGGCTACTTACAAGTCAGTGAATGCCTGTCAGGCAGCAAAAAGTCAGATACTGTGTTCGACAGTAGAAGCATTGATGACGTGCCCCTGGACAGCGCCCGCCGACCAGTATCCCAGGCAGTTGTTGATTTGCTGCACACGTCCACGGTCAACGACTTGCTGCAAAGTGCAGAGTGCACGAACCAGGAGGTGCTTTCCTCTTCCAAAGCTTCTTGGCTTCTTCGTCTGAAGCCAGATCGTAAGAGGTAAACGGGATCTTCTTGACCTGAAGGATCCTCAGGAGGTACTCTAGGCCAATAGGCTATTTGAGTATCAAGCCAAGGGTGATTGACTTTGCCTTACCTTGTCGCTGTCGCAGAGCCGGCTGCGAGGCGATTGTGGTCAAGAATATTTGGATTGGTGGTGAAGGCATTAGATGGTCGTAGAGAGCAACCTTGGTGCTATAGATAAGAATCAATGTGTAAGATCTCAATCTAATCTTATCATTTGTTTCTCTTGTTACCATTATGGTCGCCGATCCTACACTCAAGGTCCTCGTCGTCTGTCTTGGGAATATATGTCGCTCGCCGATGGGCGAAGCGGTCCTGGCAGACGTCGCAGCCAAGAGGGGGATTGACATCGAGGTCGCCAGCGCTGGCACGGCTGGATATCATGTTGGAGAAGAGCCTGACGAGCGGTGAGTAACTCTGCTTCATTGAGGTGCTTCCTCATTATTAAGATGGCGACTTCAGAACGGTAGCGACGTGCAAGAAGGTGCCCATCCTTAATGAATACTGCGTGTACGGCGCACGGCTTTATTCACGCAGCAGATCCATCGTGTAGCATGGTGTCGCCATCTCCCATGAAGCACAGCAAGTCTCGACGTCTGACTTCACGAAGTACACCCATATATTGGCAGCCGACGAAACCAATCTGCGGAATCTCATGAACATCAAGCCCAAATCGGCCACCGCTGAAGTGCGGCTATGGGGATCGTATTTAGACAACAAGCCAATCCCCGATCCATACTATGGAGGCATCGTGAGTGCCAGCCGTTCGCGACCGTACTGAAAGTCTACTGAGATGGATATACAGCGAGGTTTCGAGAACGTGTATGATCAATGTACGCGACTCTCCAATGCTTTCTTAGACGAAGTTACGGGAGACAGCACGAAGTCCGCTCTATAGAAATGAAGTCATGTTTGATTCCACATCTTTATAAAGTTGCTATGCTTGTTTATTTTACATGCGTGTATTGAAAGGGTCAGTTATGAGTTGGCATGTTGACGGAAGCACGCTGGCCTGCGGCATCTTCTGCTTTCCAGAGGCTGGTGATGGTCTAGAGAGCAAAGTCGGAAACAACGCACGAGTGGGACACGCGTGCTACTAACCTTGTTCTGCGTGTAGAAGTTGATTCCACTGAAGAGACAGTTTAGTGGGTTTTAGTCAATGAAGATGGTAGACTTACCCTTTGCCGTAGAAGCCAATGTCACCCAAGAAGCTGGCCTGTGGAAGTTGTTAGCAATTGACTTACACAGCAGCGTGTGCCCTGACCTTGTTGCCGCTCCAGGAGAACATGGGCAAGGGAACGGGAATGGGGACGTTGATTCCAATTTGGCCGACTTCGACTTCATGCTCGAACTTGCGGGCAGTAGGGCCGGATTGAGTGAAGATAGCAGTACCGTTACCATATTTGTTGGCGTTGATGATATCAAGCGCGTCATCGAGAGTATCTGCGGTCAAGACCACAAGCACGGGGCCGAAGATCTCCTCCCTGAAGGTCATTTAGTGGACATTGCAGCAGTAGGGACGAAGGGTGGAAAGCATACTTGTATGCCTTCATCTCCGTTGTCACTTTCACGATGGTCGGACCAACGAAGTTGCCCTCGGGATATCCTTCGACCGTGTAGCCGCGTCCGTCGAGGACAATTTCGCCACCTTCCTCTTGAACGGAAGCGATCAAACCTTCAATGCGTTCCTTTGCCTTGGGAGAGATCACCGGGCCGCTGAAAACAAAGGTGTTGGTAGGGCAGCGCGCAGCGTAGAAAATAACCTACAAGTCGGCACCCTTTTCAAACCCGCCGTTGACGTTGAGTTTCTTGGCGCGCTCAATGAGGTCCGGAAGGAATGCCTGAGCCTCGCCGACGAGGAGGGCTAGAACAAGTTGAGCACTGGCATCCGTGCTTTGGTGTGCTTCACTCACCGACTGAAATAGCCATGCATCTTTGTCCAGCAGCTAGTGAAGACACTCAGAGGATATCAATTGGTAATAATTAGGCGAATATGTACCACCGAAAGCAGCCCCAATTATGGAGTTGAGCGCCAAGTTTTTGTTAGCTAGAACCTGTTGAGCATCGTTGACTGAGCTCAAGAAAAACGAAACTTACCGTCAGGCATAACTACAGCGTGGTTTTTGGCTCCCATATTGGCCTATGGAAAGCAAGTAAGTCAACTGAGCAAAGCATGCGCAGTGGCCGACATACCTGGACGCGTTTCCCATGTGACGTGCCGCTATATTCATCTCAGATGTAGTTTATACACCGAATCAAATAAACGCACCGTTCATATATGTGCTTACCCGCGCGATCGCCTCCAACGAAGCTGATCGCTTTAATGGCTGGGTGGTCGCAGATTGCGTTGACCGTTGGGACACCACCGTGGATCACGTTGACAACACCAGGGGGGAGACCTACCAAGGGACGGGCGGTTAATACAGGCCAACTTGGCCAACTTTGAACTGATATTATTAGTACATACCCGCGCGTTGACAGAGTTCGGCGATTATCATTGCCGCACCAGGATCGCGCTCCGAAGGCTTCAAGATGAGAGTATTACCGGTAACCGCAGCCATTGGAATCGTCCACAGCGGTATCATCCTGCGAAGATGAATTAGATCCGTGAGATAGCACACGCCGAAATACATACGCTGGGAAGTTGAAAGGTGCAATACTCGCACAGACACCCAATGGAACTTTTCGGGTCTCCGTGTCCATGTCTTTCGCAACTGCGTATGCTGTGAGCATTCACGTCGGGGAGCCGAAACAAGGCGACGTACCCTCAAGCTTATCACCCATCAGGTTGGATGGGATGGCGATGGCACTCTCTACGACTTGCAGACCTCGAAGGACATCACCCTGTGCGTCTGAGCACTCCGTTAGCTACCGCGGATCAAGAGAACCGATATGTCTCGTACCCGCAAACGTCTTTCCTTGTTCTAGTACAATACTGGCTGCCAACGCGTCCGAGTTCTCTCGTATAAGTTGTTGAAGCCTTGCAACGGTGTGAGCATCCCAATGTGCGTGCGAGAGGTCAACAAAGGACCCACTCAATTACGAATCGTTGACGACGGATCACGCTTGTACGACTCCAAGTCTTGAACGCCTCCGAGGCAGCCTTGACGGCCTGTTCGAATTCTGAGTCTGTAGTCTGCGGAACACGCGAGAGTAGCGTTTGTGTCGACTATCGTTGTGATGGAAATCAGAAATTGTGCCGTCAGCTACAGAAAGAAGCGAGCTCACTGGATCCACAACATCGAACCATTCCGAAGTCTGACTCTCGACGAATTCACCACCGATGAAATTCTTGGTGTTGCCCCCTGTGGCACTGGTGCCCTTCCATTCCGCCGATAGCTTCTCTGCCTTGGGGCGCGCCAATGCGTTCAAGGCTGCCATTATCGATGAAGATGATGAGAAGGAACGCGTGCGCAATGAGGCAGACCCAATTAATCTCACTGGCAGGTTCAAGGTCAACATGGTGAGAGAAACCGTTTCCCGGACCTAAGCCGAACTCAGGCGCAAGCCCCTAGCTCACTCGCGCGCCTGGCATCTCAGCATCTCGACATTAGAACAGAGCAGAAGCTTCGAACGCAACTTGAACCTTCTCAGCCACGACGCGATACTCGAAATCAGAGCCCTCGATATGGAAACGCAAATGCACGCCGACGATCCTTTGCACTCTGCTCAATCTCCCATGTCTTTTAACTCCTGTGGCACCCCTGTCATGCACATCCCCAGCGCAGAAATTCAAGCCTTCCTGGAGGCGTCGTTCAACGCAGCTGTGCCTGTGGGGTGCACACCCGCCGACAAGGATATCCTTGTCAATGCCATTTATTCCGCAAAGCAGAATAACCTAGATTATCTGGATATCCTCAATTCCCTTCACGGTGTAAGACCCTTTAACGACCTATTAGTAGCGCCATTTGATCAACCATATCATCCAGACAAATGGACACGTCGCTGCCCAATGGAAAGACTACTACCTGGCGCATGTACATGAAATTGATAGGTTAGTCTCAGAGCGAATCACACCCGTTACAACTCCAGTCCGAGGCGCCAAGAAGCCTCGCTTCTCTTCCCCATCGCCGACTCCTTCGACTCTCAGCCTAGGATCTTCTGACTCAGAAGAGCTACCGGAGTTCTTTACGCCAACATCCACCCCAAGTAAAGTTTCCCAGCCTCGCAGGTAGGTGGCTTCAACTAGCATCATCTGGAAGTAATTAATGTGAACCTGGGCTTGATTCAAAGCCCAGGCAATGGTGTTCCATTTCGTCAGGGCGAATTAAATAAAATGGCGGGGTATATTGCAACATTGGATGACTGGGAATCCAGGAACCGAGTGTCACGTTGGAATGGCCTCTCAGCGACTGTATGTGTTTTAAAATACTAATCTGACTCCGGGATGTAGCTAATAACAAGCAGACCACACCCTTCCGCTCTCCCGGGGCCTGGGAAGCCCACTACCGAAAGCGAAAAGATAGTAAGTAATAGTCATCCTCGAAGGATACAATATTTCATGCTTCATTTTGGCAGTCATCGACAATTTGGTTGAGCAGCTGCTTGAGTCTCGCCAAATCCCTTCCACCGCCCCCTCGGAGTCTGCCTGGGGCCCCCCTCAGCAGTACCCAGGCGACCATTACCTGGAGGGCTCATCGTACGAAACAGGATCCACCTCGTCCTCGGAGACTCTCAGCGATGCGCCGTCGTCTGATTCTGACTAACCATTTCTGTTTTGGTAATCTTGTTGCTATTTTGGGACTATGAGTGGACTAATACATATTTTGGAATATGGAAGGACATTCTAATGGTATAGTTTAGTTTGCAGCTGTTTAGGTAGAAGGATGCCAATGAAAGTATATAGGATGAGAAATGAAGTAAATGGAAGCAAGCCAATAGCATGCCGAGACGTCCCACGAGAAGGGCTCGAGGTAAGACCAAGCAAAAACAGAACTCGCGCGAGAGCAGAACAGAAAATGAGGAAGACAATGAGACAAGATGATGAAAGCGAAAGCGAGCAATGCTCAGTGCTGCACTTACTTAGGTGAGTCAGCGTGTTCACAACTAGATGTTGGAGGACTTACTCAGTTCAGCTTTGATTCATAGACTCTGCGGCATGGCGAGAGAGTCGTCGGGGTCCACCTGCGTGGGTTCGTTCTATCATTTCTCCTCGTTGGACCATGCGCAACCGAGCTCACTCTGCTTGTCCATATCCCGCCGGTCTGATTGGTTGTTCCGTTTGGAGGCGCTGGGTATCATGTATACGATATTCTTCGGGACAGGAACGGCGGGGAGTCTGCTATGGACGACAACTGGGGTGTCTTCGTCTTTCAGACTTTGCGGATATTGGGTGGATGTTGGGTCGAACTCTGCTGACTCTGACGCCGCAACAGAAACAGGAGCAGGAGCAGGGGCAAGGGGGTCAGGGGCATTGAAAGCTTGTTTGCAGGGCTATGATGCTTCGAGAGTTGAAAGTCGTTTGGAATCAACGGCCCCATCCCCGTTCCCTTGCCCACGTTCTCAGCGGTAACAAGGCGAGTTTATTCATCGTCGTGTAAGTCGTTTCATGACATAGCCCAGTTTCTTGGGTGATTTTGGCTTCTACGGGAAAGGGTAAGTGAAGTGACATAAATAAGCATAGAAACCTAACAAGGATTTGGAATTGAACTCAGGCTTGATCTGTTTCTACCCAAAGCGGACATTGCACTGTTGCTCGTTAGCCTCGTTTGAGAAGGCATCGAAGAGCTGTGTGCATTGGTTATACATGTTCTCAGACCTCGCTGTATATCCATCTCAGTAGAATTCTTACGGGCGACAGCGGGTACTCACAATACAGACTTTTTATCTAGATACGAGCCCAATAGCTGCACTTCAGCGGTGGGTGACTGGGCTTGATTTCATGAGATTTCGCAGATTGGTTTCATCTGCAGCCAATATATGGATGTATTTCGTGAAGTCAGACGTTGAGACTGGCTCTGCTTCGCAGGAGGCGGCGACGCCATGTTGCATGATGAGTCTGTTGCACAAATAAACCGTGAACCACATGCGCCGTGTTGAAGCTTAAAGATGGGAACCTTCTTGCATGTCGCTAGCCGTCGCCTTAGAAATGTGGAGAGCACGTCGAAACATACTCACTCGCCGTTCATCGGGTTGACGTGATATCCTGGGGCCCGCCACGCCAGCGCTATCGACCTCGATGACAATCCCTCTTTTAGCTACAACATTTGGGAGGACTGGTTCGCCCATCGATGAGCGACATATATTTCCGAGGCAGACAGCGACCTTGAGTTCAGCATCGCGGCCACAGTGACGGCGGTGGTTTCAGGCTATACAGCCACCGGTGCTAGAATTTCCAAAAGGAAAGAGGTCACCGGTCGTCTCATCTGGATCAGACATTTCGGTTCGAGATATTTCAAGGGAGATGGCTGGCACCAACTCCAAGGGCTCTCTTTTTGGGACGAACCATCATGCCAGGCGATTTCTCGTCCACAGTTATCAGCCTCTTCCATTCAAAGCGGGCACAGGCTACTGAGCAGGTCAGCGCTCGACTTCATTCTGCCCGACGATCGTCCCGCTCACCATTCTGTTTTAGGGAGGACTCCTGAGCGGGACGGACCCGACCGAATTCAATGAAAGGGATCCCATACGACTATGGATCGTCCAAGTTGGTGTGTAACGCGTTGCTTTGGTCGCTTGGTCGCGCTCATTGTTGGATCTGCGTCTAGGGATCATCGTACTTACTACCCAGTTGCTGTCCTTGGCACTGCGCAAGATGAGGCAGCCCAAGGTCATCGCCGAGGTTCTTGGAGGGATCCTTTTAGGTGCGCCGCGCAGCCTTGGTACTCCCCTTACCGTAACTCATTTGCTTTTTCTGGCTTCAGGACCAACTGCATTCGGTTAGTTATTGTTTCAGTGCTACGCCAAACGACCAACTCAATCCTCTGTCAGGACGAGTGCCGGGATTCACTGATCACATATTCCCCCAGCAATCCATACCATACCTCACCCTCGTCGCCAACATCGGCCTCTGCCTGTTCCTTTTCCTCGTCGGTCTGGAAATAGATGGAGCCGTCATTAGGCGCAATGCGAGGCTCTCGACCATCGTCGCCCTTGCAGGCATGATACTTCCGTTCGGGCTCGGAGCAGCTTTATCAGTTCCGTTGTACAAGGAGTTCGTCGACGAAAACGTCAAGTTCACCCACTTCATGCTCTTCACCGGAGTTGCTTATTCCATCACCGCATTTCCCGTGCTATGTCGCATACTGACTGAACTCAAGCTCCTCGACACGACTGTCGGGATTGTGGTGCTGTCAGCGGGAGTGGGCAACGATGTTATCGGATGGGTGCTACTGGCCCTCAGTGTCGCTCTCGTCAATGCCGGCTCCGGTCTGACGGCCTTGTACATCTTGCTGGTGTGCGTAGGCTGGACTGTATTCTTGGTCGTGCCCGTGAAATACGCCTTGCGGTGGGTTGCGCGCAAGACCGGATCTCTAGAGAACGGCCCTACTATGTTCTTCATGACCGTGACGATCGTCCTAGTCTTCGGATCTGCGTTCTTCACCGATATTATTGGCGTCCATGCAATTTTTGGTTCGTACGACTTCCCTTGTCTCTATTTCATCATGAGCTTACAATCCTACAGGAGCGTTTATCGTTGGGCTAATCGTACCCCGAGATGGCGGACTTGCGATCGCACTGACCGAGAAGCTAGAGGATATGGTATCGATAATTTTCTTGCCATTGGTAATTACTTTCTTTGCTGCTTGATATGAATACGCTAACGATTCCTCAGTATTTTACTCTATCTGGCCTCAATACTAATCTTGGTCTCCTCGATGATGGTACGTTGCTTCTAAGTTATGTCTCTCCACGTGTGCTTTATGCGGGATTTTTCTAGGCATTACTTGGGGATATACTATCGCAATCTGTGCCCTTGCTTTCATTGGTAAATTTGGAGGATGCACCCTTGCATCGAAGTACATCGCTGGTTTCAATTGGCGTGAATCAACTACTATCGGGTCCCTCATGTCCTGCAAAGGGTCCGTATATTCAGTCTCTTTGTCTTCCCCCAATAACGAGTCTACCAATCTAGCTTGGTTGAGCTTATCGTTCTAAACGTTGGCCTGTCAGCTCACATCCTTTCACCCGTGGGTCCTCTTTTTTCTCGTGAACGAGCAGTGTTAACTTGCAGAGTTCGTTCTATAGAAAGTCTTCTCGATGTTCGTCCTTGAGGCACTTCTCTTGACCTTCATGACTACGCCTCTGGTTACTACTCTGTACCCTCCTCAATACCGTGTCCGAGTGGCCGCTACAGGACCTAACTTTAATAACGTAGCCGATGACGAACAAGCCCAAAGGCCTCGTCGAGCGACATCACGATTATCCGACAACTCGAAAATGTCCTTCACCGTGGTCCTAGATAAGATCCAACACGTCCCCGGAATGATGTCTCTCGTTCAGCTACTGCAGCCCGCTATCCCCAGTACCAAATCCGATGCTGAAACCTCTTCTCAAACTGGGAAGGTACGACGTTCGTTGTCCGGAAGTCTGGCCAGCCACGAGGAACAGAAGCTTCATGTCGACGCCCTGCGGATTTTGGAACTCTCCGATCGCACGTCTGCGGTGATGATGTCTTCAGCCCACAATACCCTTCTTCAGACGGATCCGGTACTCGCCATCTTCAAGACTTTCGGACAACTTCATGATATACCCATCACCACATCCATATCCATCGTGCCGTTCGACGATTTATCATATAGTGTAGCTGAGCATGCCCGTAATCATGGCTCAGACATGATCATGCTCCCTTGGCTACCGCCCAGCGCCATCACCGACCATCACAACGTACCGCCTGAAGCACAAACCCCAAAGGCACAGTCTCATTCGAATAACCCCTTCGATGCCTTGTTCAAGTCTAATTCCGTCAGTACTGAAAGGTCTGAGTCTATAATCCACTCGCAACTCGTCCGAGGGGTATTCGCCCAGTCAACCATCGACGTAGCGTTGTTCATTGACCAAGGGAATCCGAATAACCACTCGAAGAGCTCTCGCCATCTATTCCTGCCTTTCTTCGGAGGACCTGATGATCGCCTAGCGCTGGATTTTGTCGTTCGTTTATGTGCCAACCCCAAGGTGACTGCGTCTGTAGTACGGCTAACGAAAATGGATGTGGAGAGACCTGCCGTGCTCGCGCCAGTGCACACGTCGAAGGAGATGGAAGAAGTAAACGCTATTACTGTTGCATCCGTATGCCGATCTGAATCTTTATGTCAGACAAGCCACTAACTGCTATGGTTTAGGCTGTTGCAGGCATTCCCGACACTGTGTATGGCCGAGCCGACACAGAAGTCCGCTTGCAATCAGATACAGCGGACAACATCGCTTGGTCTCGCTACACGAAGCCGCAAGGCGACGACGTCCACAATGCAGCACTATCGCAGATCCAATTCACTGAGCTAGCGACACCAGTACCACTACATGCCATGCTATCTCAAGTCCATGCCTTACGTGACGATGTAATGCTCGTGACCGGACGTTCACGGCGATTAGCTGTGGAAAACCATTCGCTTGAATTGAAAGATATAATGGAAGAACACGGAGTTATCGGTACAGAGGTCAAGAAGGCCATCGGGGACGTCGCCACGGCATGCGTCTCTGTTGGTTGCGGGTCTGCAGTCATCGTCGTCCAAGCAGCGACGGCTTAGTTTCGTTCTTCAACAACCTTGCATCTCATTATTTATGTATCAGTCCATGTTACGACTTTCACGATGTTCGTTCTGTATAGTACATTTGCCACATTTAGCCTATGGGAAGTCATGCATCATGGTGCTAACTTTGGCTTCGCTTCGACGAATACCGTACGTGCTTCTCATTGCCGGATTTTTGTGGAGTACACATTCTCAGCATGAGATTGAGTATTCTTCTCCTAGTCCCAGCGAGCTGCGTCGCCACCCGTGTGTCCAGCTTTGCTGGGTCGACTTCAACCGCCGTCTTCCCGCCTCCCGCTGCTGGCACGGCAAGCCCAAACGACCCTGATTTCCCTGACGCGTCCCACGTTGGAAATGCAGGCGCAACGCCCAGTAAGTCGCGTCTCGCACTGCAAAACAATCAGGCTTTGAACATGATCTAGCGGGAGATGAGGCAAATGTCATCGCCACAGCTCGTGTCGCCCCGAAGGTCAAAACATACGGTCCTTTGGTCAAGCCGCGTCCTCTGAACAAAGGCCAGGGGTCCTTCGACGTATTGCAACATCTAGGAAATCTTTCGCCTTTCCGATCCGTCGATTCCTTTGGCTTGCCTGATAGCGACGAACTTATCCCGGACGGGTGCAAGCTCAATCAAGTTCACCTCCTACATCGCCATGGCGCACGGTATCCCAATGGCCAAAGTGAAGGGACTCCTGCGGCATTCGCGTCCACCCTGCATGCAGCTGCTAGCAAGGGAAAATTAAAAGTATCCTCACGTCTGCGCTTTTTGCAAGACTGGACATTTAAGCTCGGCGCAGACGGTCTGACGCCCTTTGGACGCCAAGAGATGTAGGGTTCCGTAGTTCCCTCTCGCTGAAGTCTGAACGCAGACTCTTGCTCTTTAGGTTGGATCTGGGTGTTGCTTTTCGTGTAAAATATGGTGAACTGCTTAAAGGATTCGATAAACTCCCCGTATTCAGAACTACTTCCCAAGGTAAGCTTTCAATGGATGGCTGTTAATGGTTACTGCGAAATAACCAACTGGTTAATGCAGCCCGGATGGTTGATTCTGCGTTAGTCCATTACTCTCTTTTAATATGGACACGATAGACGAGCTCACCATACGCCACTCTTAGCTTGAACTTCGCGGTTGGGTTCTTTGGCGTCCAGAACTACTTGCAAGACTACCACCAATTAATCATGATTGAAGCCTCTGGTTTCAATAATACTCTCGCGTCTGGCGCTGTTTGTCCGAATGCAAATAATGCAATAGGGAATTTCGGACGAGTGCAAAACGCGAAATGGGCAAATGTGTATCTGCAACCAGCGCTGAAGCGTCTCAGCCAGTCCATCCAGGGGTTGGATCTGACTATCTCTGATCTGGTCGGGATGCAGATGACCTGTGCTTATGAGGTAATTTGTGTAGATTCTCTGTATTGACGCAATACTCATCGGACATCAGACAGTAGCCCTAGGCTACTCCTCATTCTGCCGTATATTTAATGAAAAGGAATGGGAAGGCTTTGCCTATTGGAACGGTACGTTTTGACATACAACTATTCATTCTTGTATTACAACTATTTTCTTTCTGCAGATCTCTTGTTTTGGTACAGCTTCGGTAGGTCATGGCCTGCAACATATCCAGCAGCACATTAATCGCCGATATCCTTAATAGGACCAGGAAATCCCTCCGTCGCAGCTCAAGGTGTGGGATATGTACAAGAGCTACTCTCCCGCCTTAGTCGTACCCCAATATCGACATTCAACTCGAGTACAAATTCTACGCTCGCAAACGACATCAGCTTCCCTCTGGACCAACCTATGTACGTCGATGCCACGCACGATTCGGTCATGACTGCGAGTGAGTGCTAGACCATTTTCACCAATGCTACGTATACTCAGTAACTATTAGTCTTCACCACGATGAACTTTACATCCTTCTCGAGAAATGGACCGCTACCTGTAGATCGGATTCCGAAAGACCAAGTAACTATCAGTGTTTTGCTCCCGATTTTGATTGACCTATTTTATAAACAGACCTACTTTGTTCAAAAACTGGCGCCTTTTGCGTCCAATCTCGTTGGCCAAGTGCTATCCTGCAACACGGATTCCGCTGAATCGACGCACATACGCTGGATTCTCAATGACGCCGTCGTCCCCCTAACAGGAATCCAGGGGTGTCGTACGAATAAAGATGGCCTTTGCCCACTCCCGGCTTTCATCAGCGGCCTGCAACAAAGGCTGGCCGAAATTGACTACGAGTTCGACTGCTTCGCGAATTACACCATACCTGATCCAGACTTGATCACGGATGGAAGGTTCCCTCCGGCTCTCCGAAAGAACGTTTAGGTTTACGAGGAAATGTGTACATTGTGACTTCTGCGAATACTCTCTGTTCAATATCCATGGGACCGCTGAACCACGGCAGGCGGAGGAGATAACATCAACTCCAATGCCTTCTACATGAATCAAAAACACATGAACCGAAGGACCAACGTGCACCGTGGAGTCTCAAGGATGTCTAACCGCGGGAAAAGAGAGCAAAAATATCCTCGTATTCTGTACATGAAATCGAGAGCTGCAGAAGAATCTTGTATGTACCATGTGTGTCTTAGGCGAGTCGTCCACATGAGCACATAGAACGATGTAGGTCATCTCACGAGCATTTGAAATAGCTACTGGTAGCAGTCAATCGCGTGAGTGATCGCTTTCCTCCATTGGGTGGGTACTCGCTGACCATGTTGTCACTTTAGTTAAATATGCCATCTAATTATCCTCCTTGACGAGCACGAGGCCGTGAAGTATTATTATTCACTAACAGCTGCGACCTTGGTAACTGATGAAAATCTGCGTCCTCTCGCTGCTCTGGCCGTTGCAGAGCCTTGCCTCACATGTATCAACCGTGGCCGGGTCAACTTCAACTACAGTGTTCCCGCCTCCTGGTATTACATTGACACCGAACGATCCCAATTTCCCCCCGCATCCAGGCGGTGTACCTGGTGAGCCAACGCACTTACTGTTGATCAGGACTGAATTTCACAAAAAAATAGTGGCCGGCGAAGCGGAAGTAATTGCCACTGCACCCCATGCGCCCAAAGTGGACTCGTATTCCCCCTTGGTAGAGCCACGTCCATTGGGCGGAAGTGGTGGTGCGTTCGATCTGCTGCAACACCTGGGTGCCCTATCTCCCTTTAGGTCGGTTGACTCGTTCGGACTGCCGGACGCGAGTGAAAGTATTCCAAATGGGTGCAAACTAAAGCAGGTCCATTTAATCCACCGTCACGGAGCCCGGTACCCAACCACCACTTCCCAAGGCACGCCGGGGGCCTTCGCTACCAAATTACACGCTGCTGCAAGTGCGGGCAACTTGACTGTAAGGGCCCCCTTAGGGTTTCTCAAGGACTGGGTTTACAAACTTGGGAGGAATGACCTGACGCCTTTCGGACGCCAACAAATGTTTGTAGGCCGCATTCTTATACTCGAAATGCTATATCAATCTGTGATAGGTTTGATTTAGGTGCTAGCTTCCGTATCAAATACGGGGAGCTACTTGATGGCTTCGAAGAATTCCCTGTCTTTAGGACCACAACATCTGGTAAGGGATATATATTAGCATCGCTTCCACCCTATTATAACACGTCTTCACAGGACGTATGGTGGATTCTGCGTAAGTGTACGACGGCAATAAAAATACGATCATTCCTTCACTTCTACGCGCAGTTTGCATTTCGCTGCCGGTTTCTTCGGTGTACAGACGTTCCAGCAGGATTACCATCAACTCATTATTCCCGAATCTGCCGGGATGAACAACACCCTCGCCGCTGGGGAGGTTTGCCCCAATGCTAACAACGATATCGCTGCATTCGGCATTCTTCAGTCTCTGAAGTGGGCGAATATATATCTGCAGCCGACTCTTAAACGACTCCAGAAGTCTATTGATGGGCTCGAGTTAGATGTTTTCGACCTGGTCGCAATGCAGATGGCCTGCGCGTACGAAGTAGATGATGCCAATTTTATTCACCCATTCCTCCTAACCAGTGCGCCTAGACCGTGGCCTTGGGTTTCTCTGCCTTTTGCAACGCCTTCACCGAAGAGGACTGGAGAGGCTACGCGTATTTGAATGGTATGCTAAGCATCATCTACAGCATTCCACTCGCCGCTCCCATGTAAACGACTAATTTACTGCAGATATCTCGGTGTGGTATGGCTCAGGTATGAAGTCGACTCTCCGTACAACACAGAGCATTATAAACGACGCTTGACAGGTCCTGGTAACCCAGCCGTCGCCGCTCTGGGTGTTGGCTACGTGCAAGAACTGGTTTCTCGGCTCACTCGCACTCGCATCACTGAGTCCAGTTCAAGCGTCAACGCTACCCTCGCTGGGAGCGAGATCACATTCCCATTTGACCAACCGATATATGTAGATGCTACTCACGACTCCGGGTTGTCCGCTAGTGGGTATCTTTAATGTCTATTGCTGACTGAAGTTGACTCCACTCTCAGTCTTTACCGCAATGAATTTCACCTTGTTGGCTGCACAGGGCCCACTCCCTACGGACCACATTCCTCATAAACAGGTAGGCTATCTCCTCAGCTTAATCTCTCACTCACTCACAAAGGGGATACTAGTCGTTTTTTGTACAGAAGCAAGTTCCGTTCGGCGCTCGCCTAGTAGGACAAGTTCTGTCATGCAAAGCTGAACCCGAAGACACACCGTCGCACATACGTTGGATCCTAAATGATGGCGTGCTGCCTCTGACCGGAATCAGTGGTTGTACAAAGAGCAAGGACGGATTATGCGAGTTATCTGCTTTTGTGCGGGGATTGCAGCAGCGAATTGCGGAGATCGACTTCGCTTTCGATTGCTTTGCGAACTACACCATTCCAGATCCTGACACGATTGTCGATGGCAGGTTCCCTCCCGCCCTCAGGACGAGTGTACCATAGCTACATATGTACGATATAGGGTACCCCTGCGTATAACATTGCCCCTGAATATATTGTAGGCGCTTATTTACAGCATAATCGCAACTCCATGAATCGCCATTCAACGTTTATTGGGATGCTTTGCGGCTGACAGGACCAGTCACAGAATGGGCGGAAACCAATCAGTTCCCAAGGTTACTCCGCAAGACCGGGCCATCCTCGAGTAAGAAATCGGTATACTCTTATTTCATAGACCTAATATCGTTGTTTATTAGCTTGAAGCTCCAGCGGGATAAGCTGCGGCAATACCAGAAGAAGGTACGACCACTGTATACCGCGATCTGAAGTCATTGCTAAGCTCGCGGTGAAGATACAAGTTATCCTTGACAGGGAGCATGAGATTGCCAAAGCCCATCTAGCCGCGGGACAGAAGGACCGGGCTGTTATCGCCCTGCGAAGACGGAAATACCAACAAGGCCTACTCGTGAAGACAGATGGCCAGCTGGAGAATCTCGAGCAACTGGTGCGCCGCAGCACCTCTGCATTTGTATGATTGCAGCTAACCTGCTTGAAGGTGTCGACGATCGAGTTCTCCTTGGTCGAGGTGTCTGTCCTCCACGGGCTCAAGCAGGGCAATGAAGTGCTCAAGGAGATACACAAGGAGATGAATGTGGAAAGCGTGGAGAAGCTATTGGAAGAAACGGCTGAGGCCAGAGCTTACCAACGCGTGAGTAGCTACCAAGCATTCATTCTTCATGCGGCACCTTCGTTGACCATGACTATTCATTCGACAGGAAATTGATGAAATGCTGGCCAACACTCTCACCTTGGATGAGGAGGAAGCTGTACAAGACGAGCTCAAGGAGCTACAAGCTCTTGCTGTTAGTCCACTTCGTAGCGTCCTGCTTATCAGGCTAATGACATTGCGCGTAGATGGTGGAGGCAAAGCAAGAGGCAGACGCCAAGTTGCCCTCCGTACCAACGGAGAAGCCTGCAGAGGTGGCAGACCGTGTTCCTACTCCAGGTTGGCTGCTATTTCCCATTATACCACCGTCACTGACACAATGCGCAGAACCAGCGAGGGAAGCAGGCGACAGAGTCGCTGTTCCAGCTTAGCTCGACATATATACCCAGTAACCCAATCATGCTGTACCCACATAATACTATCTGCTAGACTACATAATCACCATCCTTCAAAGTCCCCGAAGCCGATCTTACGCTTCTTCTTCGCATCATCCCCACCAATATCCGCAAGCCCTCCGCCTAACGGTCTCTTAGCCGTGTTCAGATACTTCCCAACGCCACCACTAACACCACCTGGACCCCCCGCTTTCCCATCTGCGCCAACTTTGATTCCGAACCAATTTATATCATCACCCTCCCTCTTTTGTGTGCGCTTATCGCCAGCCTGCTCTGATTCTGCTCGTTTTGCGAGCTTCTTCGCAAGTCTTTTCTTGTAGTCCTCGAAAGGATCCTGGTATCTAGTAGAGATCTGAGAGGATGCAACTTGAAATGGGCAAAGTACTGCACTTACATGACGACCTCCGTGATCCTGACAGCCTTCGCTGGGCGTTCAGTTCCGTCTTTGAGGGGCAGCTTCTCCAGGGCATCAAGGACGTCTTCACCGCCAACCAGTTTCCCAAAGACAGTGTGCTTCTTATCGAGATTGGGTGTGGCTTTGAATGTTACGTAGAATTGAGACCTGGTGTGATGGAGGATGGTTAGGTATCATTTATCAGTGAAGACTAGATAAAAGACATACCCGTTCGTTCCAGCACCTTTGTTAGCCATTGCAACAACGCCCCGGGAGTCATGTTTAGCTGCGTTCTTGAGATCGTGCTCGTCCCGGAAAGGTGTACCCCAATGTGACTCTCCTCCAGCCCCAGTGCCGGTTGGATCTCCCGTCTGAATCTATAGTAGTCACAGTGAGCTTGGCTCGGAAACAACAAGTCGATACGTACCATAAATCCGGGCACAAGCCGATGGAACAGACAATTATCATATTTCCCAGCACGTGCCAACATGAGGAAATTGTAGCAAGTTTTGGGAGCCTTCAAATCGTCTAGGTTAGAGATGAGGGAGTATTTGTAGGATATGCGCGTACTTTCTCGCAGAATAACTCGAGGTTCAGGCTGCCACTACCAAGGCTGGTCACGATGCGAACATAGGCACGCCGCTTCCCAACATCCTTTTCTTTACCCTTTCCCTTAGGGGGATTAGCAATATCTTCGAACATAAGTTCTTCCTATAAGGTATGAGTAATTGGTGTATGTAAATATAAATATCTCATACCTCATCCCATAACAGTTTGGAGCTGGAACTAGATATTTGAGGGTCGACCGAAGTAGACGTCAGTGAAGCTCCTGGGAGACCGCTCGAGTACGGCGATATGTTCCCTACACAAATGAGCCTCTGGAGGATGCGGATTTAATGACAGCACCTACATGGAACGGGTGTCTTGTTGGTGGTGGAGGCAGCTGCAGACTGAGTGACAACTGTTTTGGTGGGGGCCGCTTGAGTAGATTGTTTCTTAGCAGACGAGGCAGCTGAGTTATCCACTGACAACGGTGGAAGACCATGTGGGTTTTGTAGAGTTATCACGTCTTGTCTATGTTGGGTGAGTAACAGGCCCAGAGTATGAACGAAGTACCTACTTCTTGAACGGCACGTCAGCAACAAGGTCCCTGTTTCCTTTAATACTCTCTGCTAGAAACACGTTCCCAGTTGTGGCGATAGCGACAATGTGCGAGTGTTCACTGAAGGGTTTGAATGAAATAGGATCATGAATCTCTCCGGAAGCTTCTTTGCGGGAGTAATGGAGGTGAATAAGGTCGTCCGGAGTCAGAGGTTCCTTCGTTATCGGGTTGGTGTTGTTGTGCTGCCTGTAAATAAATCTTGAGCCTGTATTGCATATGCTAGAGTCAAATATGCACGAACTTGAGCCATGGTATGATATTTACCAAGTCGAAGACGTTTCCAGTGCCATCCGGGTTACGAGCGCATACGGGGTGGGTCCATTGTTGAAATGAAAGAGCGCAGCAGTCGAACGGAGTCCTCGCGCCTGGATGACCTGGGTCTGCCTTGCTGCTCAGTTCCCGAGATTAGTTGTCACGAAGGGGTGGCTCGAGGGGAATTGAGCACTCACGCCCTGTATCCCGCCGACGCAGAGTGGTTTCCAAAGTAGCCTGCGTGTTCTGCGTGGGTGATATAGAGTTTGTCAGAATTTCCGTGTCCCATGGTGGACGAGAGCAAAGGAGAGGAACCGTGTAGGCGCCCAATAATGCGATCAAGGAAGGATCGACGAGCGCTAAAATATATGCTGTCTCGTGCTTGCACTGTCGTCCTCTCAGACTTTCTTGCTCCAGGACTCCTCCAGCGCACGGCCGGCTCAAAATCAATATTCCATGTGAAGCGACTGCAGCATGGACTGGCACCACTGTCTTCCCCGGAGCGACCACACAAGCCGATTCCGTTAACCCAACGCACTCCGAAGGATCGCGACCGAGCGGACCCATCCCTAGACATATTCAACACAACCACAACTCGGATACATCAAGCAGTCCAATCTCATAATATTGAAATAATATGGGACTACTGGCAATATTTGGAGCAGCGCCGACTCTTGCGACTCCTGGGACATGTCCAGCTGAAGCGGATATCTACCCTGCTCGTTGATTCATTCTGCCCAGTCGGTTTCCCCAAGAAGGAGTGGTCTGAGCTAGAAAGAACGGTGGTGGAGAAGATAGCTCTGGTTGCAGCCGCTCATAAAGCCCCCGACGCGTTAAATTCCTGCATGCTTGCTCTCATCCAGCGCAATGACCCGGACGCCGTGCTCCGGTTGTATGAGCGGTTCATGCAGCTGGTGGCAAAATCCGAGGGCGCAGAAGACGTATCAGGCGACGGACTCGAAGAAGGGGAGGGGAGTACAGAGTATGATGCTTTGGCGTCGGCGACATATTCCAGCGTCGATACCATGCCTTATAAACCAGGACGCGCGACCGTCCTATTATCTGGAATCACGGCCTGCGCCATGAAGGACGATTTCCTGGGTGCGTTGCACATGTGTCTCAACACCGTCATACGTCCCCAACACTATGCCATCACTGCATTTATGAACAAGCTGAAGGGGAATCGGCCTCTGCAGCGGAAGGTAGAAGAGTATGTGAACCGTCTCCGGAGCGCGACCATGGTATCCCATCCAACAGAACTCTCGAAGCGAGTCAATCAGCTTGCTACCTCCAGGTCTATCCGCTCTATTGAAAAGCTCTACCGGAGCATCATGGACGGTATTTCAGGGCCTGCGCCCTGCATGGTCGCGCATGAGTCCGCGAAAACAGTCGAAAAGCCAGTCGTGTTTACAGAAGTCGGCTGGACGTCATTCATGGTCGCTTTTCTCAAGTGTGGCCGTAAAGACCTGGCTGCTCAAATGTGGGATGATATGATCGGTCTAGACGTGCAGCCAGGAGTTTCGACATGGACGGCGTACATCGATGCATGTGACGGAATCTCTGCGTACAACGAAGCCGTCGCAGGATGGGGCATGATGCTCGAGCAAGGTGTGAAGCCAGAGGCTCTGTCATATCGCGCCATCATTTCTACCTACTTCAACGCTCGTCAGACGGACAAAGCCATGGACGCGTTTCGGACATTCCTCGAAGATGCTGCCAAAGGATCTCCAGAGCGTCAACAACTTGCAGTATATAATACCGTCCTGCACGGACTCCTCATCGCCGGACGGGTTGATGAAGCGACTGCCACCTTCCAAAAAATGGTCGACGAAGGGCCCAGACCAGACGTCGTATCCTACAACACCTTCCTGAAGTTCTGGGCGCGGACGAGCAATTTCAAGATGCTCTCTTCGGTAATGAACAACATGGTCGCCGCCGGCATCAAAGGCGACGTCTTCAGCTTCTCGACCATCCTCTCGGCCCTTCTCAAAGTGGGCCGCGACGACGCACCGGAGCTCATGATCGCCCTCATGCGCAAGCAGGGCGTCGAGCCCAACGTGGCGATCTACTCCGCCATCATGGACCAGCAGCTGCGCGAGCAGACCGTCGAGGCCCTCCACACTGCCATGCGGTTATTACAAAGGATGGAGCTTGATCCGACCTCACAACCAAACGAAGTTACCTACACCTCCTTCTTGGCTGGTATCTACCGCGGGTCGTGGCTTCCACCCGCCGTCGCGGAAGACTGGCGACGCAACATCGTGGATCGCATGAAGAGGCGCGGGATCAAGCTGAACCGAGTTACCTACCACATCCTTCTGAAGGCCTGCCTGGAATACCCCGAGCCCGAAGGTGTGGAAACCGCTATGGTGTACTACAGGGAGATGGTGAAGCAGAAGATTCACATCATTTCTATTACCTGGTACATTTTGTTATCCGGACTGCTACGACGCGGGGAGCTTGTGGCTGCGAACGAGATCCTGGCAGACATGGCGAGATCTGGGGTCCAGCCAACTGGCGCTGTCGCCGAGTTAGTGTATAAAGCAAGGAAGCGTGTTGGCAGGCGGGCTATAGCCTGAATGTATTGTCACGAATTATGGAACATCTAATACAAGATATTGGAGATAGTAATGGGGGAACATGTGCAGTGGTAGGGGAAGGGATATACTAGTGCTATGTTGGGTACACTGTGAGGATGGATGAAGAGACCAAGAAGCTGCAGGAGGCTTCCTCCGAATCACAGTTAGCAACACGGCGCTGCAGCGACCGGAAATACATAAACAATATTAGCTTATCGAGCATCACTATGCTGCTCGTTTCCAGTGTCTTCGTTGGCCATACTATCTTCATCCATCCTCGCGAGTTCCTATTCGTCGCCGCTGATTGGCTGGTATGCTGCACGACCATCGTCACGTCGCGTGAGTCGGCTCACCCAATTACCTTGCTGTCGTTTTGGACTGGGAGGCGAAGAATATTGATCGATCGTCGCGGTTCTGGACATCAACGACGCCCTTTCGGATTCGTTGTCGAACTGTTCTTCCCGCGCATCTACGTTAAATGCTAAATTAGAGTTGACGCATGAGAATGAGGCGGGGGCTTGCCTTCGCCGAAGACGGCATCCATCTCTTCCAAAGGCACACCCTTTGTCTCGGGATACACTAGAGGACATGTTAAGATACAACCACTATCCAGTACTGAGATGCCCTACGGAAGTACACTACGACAGGACTTAGTAACTGGTAATTTCTATGGAAATCATCAAACGTACCAAGGACAAAACTGCATGCACAGAAAAATCCGTGCATAGGGTACAGACGCCATTTAATGACATCTTGAAGGTAGGGGGTGATTTCGCCAACCAGGAAGTTGAATGCCCAGTTAGTGGCAGTAGAGAGCGAGACACCCTTGGCACGGAAACTGAGTGGCATGATCTGAGTTGAGGTATGATGAGCAGTCGGTCAAAGTGGTGTGTTATGAACAAACCTCGGGAGGGTAGAGCCACGGTAGAGGTCCCCAACTGTTACATCGTTAAGCAAAGGTTAGGCTTCATCTCGAAGTCACATACCTATATCCGAAAGCAGCGTTGAAGATAATAACGCAAACTACCACAGCTTTGGCGGTTTGAGGAACGTCAATGTACATCCACCAGCCAGTAGCGACCAAGGCCATCGACATCTACGATTACATATCAAGTTTCATTCCCAAGGAATGTTGGCGTATGACTTACAATGACAGCTCCAGAAAGCAGGATAGCCCGGCGTCCCCAGCGATCGACTAGGTACCACCTGGAGATGAGTTAGTACATTTTCATAATGTCAGAGCCAAACCCACGGTGGCAATGTGCTCAGCACATATATGATTGAATTAATGCCAGTCATTAGGACCGCATCACGTCCAATCCATCCAGCCTCTGTTTATAGAATGAGAAACGTCGCCGACCATACCATTGACGGACAGCCCTACCTTCGAAGACTCGAGCTACACATCAATTGTGTCAGACGGGGATTAAGGGAATGGAAGTTTGACCACATACGGGCATAATAAGAAATGACTTGATTAAGCGTCAGTATTGGCAGCCTCGGGGTTAAACATAGGCGACATACCATTGATCCCATTCTGTAGGTTGGGTCAATATGATTCTCAAATCGGTGATTGAGTGAGCTCACAAGTTGGGCAAATGCCTGAGAAGACATAGCGAGCAGCACCCGACGCTTATATTTTCTCCACATAGTGGCGTAGGATCGATCTTCACCAGAATCGCGCTGCAACAGCTCAGCTCACGTAAACCTTCACTGGGCATGCATGATTACCTCTTCTTGAACTTTGTCTTTGATCTCTTGGAACTCGGCAAGAGCAATCTCGTTCGTGGGGTCACCTCCGTGTAGGTCGGCGATGACTTGCATGCCAGCAGTGTCTTTCCCGGTGTCAATGAGCCATCTAAGTAATTCATATGAGTCTGTGTAGCTTATTGAGAAGTGTTTCAAGTTTACCGAGGACTTTCTGGCATCAAGAGTGAACCACCCGCCAGAATGGCTCCAATGACACATTGAAGAAACAAAGGTATTCTCCAAGACAGGTCGGATTCGATGAAAGAGCAGAAATAGTCGGTCCACTAGTGTCCTTCAATCGGCATTACGTGCTCAGTTGAATGGAATAGTGCTTACAACTGAAGAAGCATAGCCGACGATGTTTCCTGTGAATTCCATACATGCTAGCGCGCCGCGCTAACGAATGAAGGGTCGGAACAGCCAAGCACAGGTGGAGCATCGCGACTTACATGATTGGGAGGGGATATCTCGCTTTGATAGATGGGTACAATTGTCCTAAGAGCAAAGAATGTCAGAGCCTAGTTGGACCGCCAGCGGTAAAGCATACGAGAGAAGGCCGACACCGAAGCCGCTAATGATTCTCCCTATGATCATGGTCCAAAACCCAAGCGTAAACGTTTGTATGGCGCCGCCCAATGTGAAGACCAGAGCGCCGATGAACAAAGTGCCCTTTCGACCTATGATGTCCCCCACCCTGCCAGCAGCGACGGAAGTGACTGCAATGCATTAGCGAATGACCTCTCGGAGGACGTGGATTTAGGACTGTACTCACTGAATGCACCAACTTCGAGTACAGCGACCATGGTCCCGACCTCTATTGGTCCTGGATGATTGAAATAGCTGGAGAAGTATGGTCCTGTGATGATTCCACTCATGACACTAGATTGCCTTCAGTGGTAAATACTCGCGGCGCCGTCAAGAAGCTCACCCTTGGTCATAGCCAAACTGTCGCCTTCTGTCAATCCTTTTCACGGTTTTATGTGCAGAACTCGCGAACACGCACCAGGAAGACACCCAAGCTAGCAAATATGGAAATGGCATAGAGCAGAGGCTGCCCGACGAGGCGGCTTCGAGCGAGACTGTTGCGGTGATCGTTCACCATGCTGCATTGGAGGTCGTGCGCTGCGGTGTGCTTGTGGAGTTGGACACGATGGTGGGCGTTGGAGACGAAGGTTGATCAGAGCGAATTGCAGTGGCGGCTATTAGCCGAACTCGGCCAACTCCAATCCATCAAGCGCCCGTCGCGGCCAAGGAATCAGGATTACCTCCACTGCCCAAATATCCCAAATATCCCATTATCGTCGCGCTGTGGCCTCGAAACATTTCGCTCATTTGGACCCCATTCTCACATTCTTGAATCGGCATGCCCGCGTCTGATGTTTCCCTATCCGACATGCACTCGGAGGCGTCAATAGACTCGGAGGAAGAGTACCTGCTCGCGCAACAAGAATGGGAAGAGAGTCTGCAACAACTGCAGCAGCTCGTAGGAGCATTGCTGCTGCCTTACTTTGGGAAATGGCTGGGCAGGCAGACGAGCCACTGGGGTACGTCTGCGCTTCGCTGCTACCTCCGCACCAGGCTATATGTGCAATTTGACAGCGTACGCAAGATATCTGCGTCTGGGCCTTGGAAAGGCTTTCTTCGGGCGGCACTGAAACTAGTTCAGCTACCATAAATACCCATTGTCGTTCGAGAACCAAGCCCCCTACTCCCAAATTCAATAAATGCTTCGATGCTCCTTGTGTATATCATGGAATTCTGACTGTGGGAAACTGTATATGAGACCTTTTCTCCCCGTACCACCACTCTGCGCCAAGTCGTTCTTTTCACAATGGGGGCCACCGTGGGGTCGAATTCAAGTAAATGGCTGCCGATGTATGAGCCGTAGTGCGGAGGCTCATGCAGACGCCCTTTCATCAACTCCGGAGTCCACACCAGAACCAGTGAAAAAGGAACCAGTCACATTCAAAGATATTGGCATTCGAAGATCAATATACAGGGCCCTTGATGTCGTGTTTCCAGCCATCAAGCATCCAACAGAAACGCAACAGCAATTCATCCCGGCGATTCTCAGTGGAAAAGATGTTCTGCTCAAGGATTCTACGGGTTCTGGAAAGTGAGTGGCGGGATCTACTCTTGATGTGCATTGACTGCATGTACATCAGGTCTTTCGGCATTTTGCTTGCTCTGTTGAACAAGCCTCGCTCCGAGTTTCCAGGCCTTCAGTCTACCATTACCAACCCGTCATCCATCACGTCCCTCCTCCTCGTACCCCATCGCGACCTCGCCTATCAGTTTATGCACTGGGTAGATCAACTAACTGCAGCACCGGGCGTCACTTCCCCTCGTTATGGTGGTGTGGTCGCCAAAGCCATTGTCAGAGACAAGCAAATCGAAATGGCCACGCGCATCTCCTCTTTACGTAGTGATCCGCCTCACGTCCTTATTGGGACGCCTCAGGCTCTGCTCGACGTGCACAACGAAGATCCCGCAGCTCTTCAGCTGTCCAATCTGTCGACCGTGGTCGTGGACGAAGTCGACTATCTGATAGAAACGGTCCCACTCAAAAGTGGCGGCAAAACCTTCTATAAGGCCTTCCTAAAAGCCAAGAAGAAGATCGACCGTCACCCAAGCCCCACACGTCAATTATTGGACATCATCTACGCCTCGAGGAAAAACAGAGCCGAGCAAGGACTTACAAGTACTCACGAAAATTTACCGCAATTAGTTATGTCAAGCGCTACACTCAGGAAGCATCTGGATCTTTTCTTGTTCAAAGAAGGTCGATGGCTTCGCAGGGATCAACTAGTCAAGATCAAGTGCTCAGACAAACAGCGAGTTTACGATATCGGCGCCATATCATCGATTTCTGGTGACATACTGCATTCTGTTCTCATTGTTGCTGGGAATGGAGATATTAAGAACATGGCTGACGCAACATCTCTTCCATTGATATCCCCTGGAGATGAGCCAGTCACACCCGAAGCTATATTTGACGATCAATCTCCTGCAATCGAATCCCAATCGGAAAGTACGTCCTCACTGTGATATCCGAGTGCCCCGAAATTCATTAGCCATTACAGAAGTCGTTGATTCACCATCACCATTCAATCCGGATGCCGTGGAGGCCATTGCTACCGCCTTTGCATTGGACGTTCCTTCTATTGCGCTGCTCGTTTTACCGGCCTCGTCTCCCGTGCACCGTGCTGTCTATGAGCTCAAACAGCTTGGGGTGAACGCGAAGGCACTCGACCTCACAGTATCCGACAAAGGCCGTTTGCATCTGCTTACCGGCGGGAAAACAGCGGAAGAAGCACCGACGTTGCTAGTGGCGACCCTTGCTAGCATACGCGGATTGGACTTGCCCTCTCTGACTCATGTGTTTATCCTTGGCATTCCAGAAGGACCTAAGGTAAATGGCCAGACCATCGACGCCTACCTGCACATTGCTGGTCGCGTCGGACGCTTTGGTAAAGGCGGAAGGGTCGTAACGGTCGTCGAGGCTCAGGATCCCGACGGGAGCCATGGTGTTGACGATGAGGCGAAGATGCGGCGAATATTCAGGGAGATCAAAGTAAAGCCGGTGCGCTTTGAGCATTTCGATTAGCCTGCTGCTTCACGGCGGGCCCGCGGAAGGATCGAGAGAGGACAGGCGTGTCCCGCAGAGTTTGAGCATAAAATGTCCTCGTTGCTTCGATTGTCGGCGAGGCTCGTTGTCACGGTGCTGTGTGTAGTAAACTCGTGGGATGGAAGGTGGAGAATAATATGATTACTCCAAGTGTTTAGAACAAGTCCAATCACAGTTTCGCTGGTTTTCAAACAAGCTATCGTTTCGCACGAGGACTTGAATTCTTGGGCGGGCGATTCTGCCCTTCTTAAGTCCTTGACCTCTGACTTCCACCATATATATACCCGCCGGTTGGCATTTACGTTTCTTCTCTCCCGCCCTTCATGTTCCCCCCACATGCAATGCGGTTTCTTATCCTCGCCTTCGTTCTCTTCGCCGGCCTGGTTTCAGCCCAGGACTCGCCGTCGCCGTCGCCCTCACCAAGCTCAGCATCGCCAACCGCAACCGGGCCCAGTCCTAGCCTTTCGCTTTCCTTGACGACCAGTACAGCGACCGTAATAACGACTACTCGCTCAGCAGGACAGAATGTACCCTTAACTTCCATGTCTACGACCGTGCTGAACGTAACGTACACTATCACTCCGACAGCTACCTCGTCTGCTGCTGCCGAATCATCGCCAACGCCAGAGCCGATAGTACTGGATACACGGGTCGACCCCGCCTTTGGGGTGCTGGGTGCAATTCTGATAATTACGGGTCTGCCGAGTGCGTTCTGGGGTCACAAGAACCGATGGTGCGTTACTCTGCCAGTCACTCGTTCTGGGCCTAATGACTGGACATAACCTAGGACTTCTTTCTTTCTAATTGGATTCTACACGCTCTCCCTTACCTGCTTCGTCCTCATCCTCAAGTTCGGTATCCTCCCAGCAGTGAACCCGCCCAGCAAGAGCTTGCGGGGCTACTTCGTGCTGGCTTGTTCCGTTGCCGGCATAGCAGGCGGTGGCGTAGCAATATTCTTCTGGAAGGCTTCAAAATACTTTATTGGCGCATGGGGTGGGTTCGCCTTTGGGTTGTGGATACAATGTTTCCACAACGGTGGTGTAATTGGTCAGATTGGATTCCGCTGGATTATGTACATTGGTATGGTGCCGATAACCATCCTTGTGCTGCCACGCATACTCATGGCTATATAGGATGCGGCGTGGTCGGATTTATCCTCTGCACTATTCCCAAGGTAGGCTCCAGCTAGCATCACACGGCGATTGCTTACCGATGCCGGTTTCTAGATCCACTACCACATTCTTCTGGTTTCAACCGCGTTCGTTGGGTCATCTGCGTTTATATTAGGGGTCGACTGCTATACTACTGCAGGACTTAAAGAGGTGCGCTACGTCATGTTCAGGGTCGGGGCGCATGCTCAGGGTGCACTTTCAGTTCTACATATGGAACCTGGGCTTTGGCTCGCTGTTTGTCAAGTTCACAAGCAATGGCATCCAGTTCCCGGTCACACAGACAATGCAGATCGAGCTCGGTCTCATTGGCGCGGTATCATTGATGGGGATTGCAGTCCAGCTTCGTATTCTTCGGGTTCTACAGCGCAAGTTGGAAGAAATCGCAGAGGAAGAACGTAAACGCGATGAAGAGCAGCAGGTTGAAGGGACTGATCGATTCAAGGACTTAATGACCGAACGAGAAGAATGGGAGCGAGAACACCCACCTCTTCCCAAGCATTTTCGCAACGAGAGCGGATTCTCCAGTACGCCGCTGATGAAGGATCAAGAAACGCCGGGGACTCCAGGCTCTGGCGATCATCGTGCTTCGTCTTTCACCCTCACTGATAGTCGCCCGCGTGCTCATTCTGGCGTGTCGGAGTTCTTCGCTGCGACGCCGGACGAAGACACTCGTCGATATCGCAGTCAAAGTCCTGGTGCCTTACCAGCTCTCGACTTGGGGTTCACTATTCAAGAAGATGTGCCTAGTAACTTTATTGCCGACGCCGACGCTCGAACAAAATCCCCCGCCTTGGATTTGAAGACCACCGCTCAGGAGCTCGAGGAACTGAGGAAAAAACAAGCGCTCTTGGCTGAAATCCATGAGTTGCGAAGATCAATCGACGTTCTGAAGAGTGACACGCCTGTGCCGTCTTCGTCATCCACGTCTCGCCACCCGTCCCTTTTGTCTAGACGTCAAAGCTTGGACGCTACGACACTTCTTCCTGGGCCTTCTCGATTACGTCCTCCGCGCGAGACTGATCCCCGCGGAAGAGTCCACTCGATGGAAATATCCCAACTTACTCAATCCTCCATGCTCGGCGAGTCTATTAGTCGGCCTACTAGTGCTCCTCTCAGAGACAACGATTGGGACGCCTATCTCCATGACCGTAAGCTTGTGCAGCCGCCGACTGGCGTTTCTCCGCCGATCGCAACGAGAAATGTGGCTGCCGCGGCTTCTCAGCGACTCCCAGTTCCTCCGGCCGTTGTAGAAGCTCTTGACCAGCGCAAGCGTCGTGAAAGTGCACTCGGTGTAGGAACCAGTTACGATCCTGACGATACACCTCTTGCTAGGCTAGCCCCCGCCAGAACGAACTCCACCGGTGGACATCTCCCTGTTTCCATTCTTCCCCCTAAGAAGCACACTCCCGAAATCCACGCGCCAACACCCCAACGACCGGACGCTCGTCGGACTCGAACCTTTGAAGAGCTTAACGAGCGTCATAGGGAGAAGCTGCATGATCTCCAGGCTCCATTGACTCAGGCGGAGAAGGAGCATGCAGAAGTCGAGGCCGCCAAGCAAAGGTGGGAGAGATCGAAAGCCTTTGAACGCGATGCAGTTGCGAAGCGGCAAGCGGAAAAGGCGGCGGTATTGGAGCAAAGGAGGAAGCATTCTGGAGACGAGCTACGACGGCCTGTTGCTACTACTCTTGAGGCTCGACCCAGACATTCGAGATCAGCCAGCGGCGATAAGCTCGCTGGTACGGGCTCGTCCGCCAAGCGGACTTCTACTATGAAAGTAGAGGACTGGCAAAAGCACCAGGATGCCGAAGTTGGAGTGCGCGGAGACAGAGGGGGCCATACAGGCTCCAGAGTTGCTAGGGGCGAAGCAGGTGTACCGTTCCCTGGTGGCAGCAAGCATCGGTGATTGAACGAATTCACGAACTGTTCCTTTTCTTGGGCACGTTTTTTATTTTGGCATTTTGGACTTCATAACATATCACAGCACGGACTATCATTAACACTCTCACCACGTACTATGCATTCGTTCGTTGTAGCACCCCAATTCTGTGGATTTTATTCACGTACACCAGTTCCTAGCGTACATTCATCATTCATAAGGCCAGCCTGCTTCTGGGCTAATTATTGTCTCATGACCCATCCCATTCTGGAAGCAGCCAGACGCACCCTGGAATTGAATGGCATTCCGTATATATAACGGATCGGGTGCACGCTCAGGAGCTCCTCATTGCAAAATGTCTTTGAGACGAACGTATACATCACCCCATCCTCTGACGACAAAAGCACTATCTCCAGCGTTGCGCCGCACAAATTCACATCATCACCTCGCGTCTTTGTCGTATGAAGTCCCCCCGCAACAATCACCACGTGTGATCAAGGAAGACCCGTTCAGTCTCTCGGGTTTCTTTCCAAGTGCATTGGCCGGTACTGAAGAGGATCGCGAGGAATGGAACTGGCTGAGCCCGGAGAGCGTAGAGCCAGCGACGAGCCCCGAGTCGTACAGCTTGAACGCTGATTATGCGGACTTGGTGGACAACATCGTGGCGCTGGATGTGAGTGGAGAAGAAGAATTGATGACTCGAACGATTGAGAAGGAAGACAAGTTGGGAATACTGTCACTGGGTGAGATTTGGATCCTTCGTGCCCGTTTGGTGTATATGAGTCTGATAGAATAGCACAGCACGAGTTCTGGGAGGCAGGGACGAGGAGTACAAGCAGGAGGACTACAGGATGTTCTCACCGTACCTAGACGACAACGACCCAGTCGACGACAACGCGCTCTACATGAACCTGTGCGCGCGCCGCGAGTCGCATTCCCGGGTACATTCTGGGGGGACAGAAACGCGGTTTGATGGGTTATTTTTCCCAAAACGAGGGATCGACGATACTGCAGAGGCGGAGCAGCAAAGTCTATTGGAGACAATGTTTTTAGGGCGCACTGTCTAGCGTACAAGTAACTTTGGCGTGTGGGAAAAACAGCGAGCCCCATCAGGCAGGACCACGCTGGGAACATGATCTTATCTGGGGACCCCGGAAACTGAGGACCGCGGTTCTTCTCACGGGCACAACCCCCGTGGGCTTGAGAGAGCAGCACGTGCCTCGGCGCGGATGGTGCCGAGTGTGGGAGTGGCTGGGGTACGGGGGGAAAAACCAAATAAAGGGAAGTTCACAGGCTTGCGTGAGAGTTTGGTTCCAACAAGATTCCCATCTGCCTTTTATTCAAAATGGATGGCTCCTTCGACGTCCGCGACTACATTGATGCTCCCCACCAAATGCCTGCACCAATAAATTCAGACCAGTCTCCTAAGCCCCCTGACCACCCGCCCTCGCACTCAAACTCCCGCTCGGCCACCCCGACAAACGCTGCGGTACGCTTCCCGTCTCTCTCTTCTCATCCATGTACTGAACCCGCCCTTAGCCCCCAAATATCACTCCCCCGCCCCCAGAGGCGCCGCAGACCGATGCGCCACCCCCAGCGGCGCCGTCACCAGCTGCTCCTCCCGCCGCCAGCCCCGACCCCGGTGCCTCCATCCAATCGCTTCTTGCATCCAAAAAAGATGCCGCGAGCAACGGACCACCAGCTCCGCCAGCCTGGAGTCCGCAACAACCCCTGCATGCACCGATGAATGGGCTGCCTGCAGTGAGTCGCATCAACGTTGCACCGTTTCCTGAACCGTAAACACAACGTTTATCTAGCCGCTGGCCCCCGGCAAGCGCAAGCTCGACGATAAGGACACGGAGGATCCACATCACAAAATTAGACGCATTGTTGGCGATCACGTATCCCAGGATCCCTCCAGAGTCATGCCAATGACCACTGTAATATGTCTCCATGCCGCGGTCGCACAAAAGTCCTACGGAAGTGAGAAGCGCTTCCTCTGCCCGCCCCCTGTTGTCCACATTGAAGGCCCTGTCTGGCACCTCCGATCACAGCAGTTGTCCATGTCCGTCGTATCTGAAAACGGTGAACGCTCCTTTGAACAAAAGGCGCCACTCGACAACAACATGACTGCCAGCTTCAAGTTCTTGCATGTCACTGGTACCGCCAAAGCGAAGAGCTTCCAGTTGTCCCTCGATGTCGCAGAACCCGCTCCCAACGCAACTGGCTCGGAAAGTAACGCGCTCCCAGGTCGAGTTTGGGCTTCTTTCGACTCTGCTCCCGTAACCATCATCTCCAAGCCATCCAAGAAGACTGCGAAGACGCGTAATATATCGTCCTGCATCCTTGCTGGGGGTCCCGTATCACTATTTAACAGGATCAATTCCCAAACTGTTCGCACCAAATATATGACTATAGATCACGCTCAGTTATGCGCGAGTAACGTCGCGTGGTCTGCCTTCAATGTCAATGTTGTTCGACGGCCTGACCAGGCGAATCTCATAGGTAAGTTCACGTGATCGAGTTTCATGCAATGTACTCACCTTTCGTGGGATTTTCAGGAGCCCCGCTGCCAGTCACTTATGGGTGTGAAATTGTGCTTTCGGATACACACTCAGGTATCGCCACATCGCCGCTCATTATTCGCAAAGTGGACAAGGGAAGGGTGTCGCCAGACGATGGAGGCCCAGTCAGCCAAATGCAAAAGATTGCCTTGCAGCGTGTAAATCCCGATGGCTCGAGGCACTATCTCTCCGCTGCGGGGCCGATACCAGTGCCCGGCACCCCCGGCGTGATCCCCCCACCGGCGCCTGGCATTTCCTCACACCCAGGCACCCACCCATTGCTATTCCAGTCTCCTCGCGTTCGAGAGGAGCTCAAAGACGGCGTCCGAATTATCTCGGACGAAGTTGATGATTATTTGTGCTGGACCATCGTTGGTATCTGTAAGTATCACTTTATACACTGCGAGTCTGAACATAGTGATTTACCATATTTTCTAGCCAAATTCCAATATACATTCTTTGATGCGTTTGGTCAGAACCAGACGATACCGGAAATGCCTATCACTCCATTCCCAACCCTTTTCACTGCTCCCGTGTATCGCCCCGCTAACAATGCCGTCGAATTGACCGTATCCAACTTCTTCTACGAGGATCCTAAAACACACGTACAGACGCCTCTAGATGTTTATCTGGGTAACTTGGGACCTTTACGCCATCGGGTGTATCAAGCTGCGACTCCTGGTCCCCTAACCAATATTGCACCTTTCGGTCAACCACTTGTAGGTGGTCCCCCTCCACCTGATGGTTCGAACCCAGCAGCAGGCGACCATGCCATGATGGCGGGACCCTCGGGCGCTGGCATGTCTCCACCACGATTTGTTCCCACTGGGCCACTACACACCATCGTTATCGTCGAGATGCCCCCACTAGCGGACGTGATAAAGGCATTGGAGGAAGACGCCCTTCCACCTAACCACGATCCCTCGAGGCCGCCAAGTAACGGCGAAGGCTCGCAGCCCCGTGAGGGCTCCAACGGCGCTTCACCTCCACATCCTTCGATCACTGGTAGAAGTCTTCCATTGCTATTTATCCGCGCGTACGACGGAGTTGGCTATCATTCTGGGCGAACAATAGCGTGCGAGAACGTATTCCAAAGCATGGACCTGTCAGCTGTACAGAACCCAGCCAATCCCTTGCCGGGAGGCATAGAACCTGGGTGGCTAGCCGCCGCCCAGGCTGCAGCTGCAGCAGAAGGTGGACTACATGGATGGACTCTCAGGGTAATGTAGGGCATTTCTGTGTTTTTGTTTTTCATTTCGCTGTATCGTGTACCGTGTCGTCTTTTGCTGTGAAGTGATTATTTTATTGAATATACTCTGGTTATTTTGCAAGACTGCCACGGTCGTTAATGTTAGATGCCAGCCAAGGATCTGATGAACGTTGGATGCTGGTTGATATAGAATCTTTACCCCATCAAAGACATTTCACGTTTGGGGCATCGATAAGGCAACCTACAAATACATGGCGTGGCGCTCCTTCCTCCCTTGAGCCTTATCCATAGCCACCTCTCTACCTCCGCTGTCCCATTTCTATAAATTTGCTGATTGCCTGGTAGGCCTTCACATATTGTCACCATTATACTCATCCTTCGACGCATGCTCTCTAGATCTTCCGTCCGCTCCAGCATGCCATACGCAGCCGACGGAATTCGTTCTCAATTAGAGTGGAACTCGACTCTGAGTCCCGCAAAGGCCCCAGTCACCACAGAGGCGACCAAGTTCCTTCGCAAGGTGTGTTTCACTGCAGATCGTGACCCAGTGGGTAGAGGCTGACAGTGGGCGCTCTGCAGACCGCCATTATCGCCACCATTGGCAAGCGCCATCTTATCTCCCCGCGTTGATGGGATAATAATGTGTCGGCGATACCTTTGTAGGCCCCAAGGTAAACTCCGTCGAGAAGCTTGCCGCCCTCAGACGCGCTGGTGTTAATGTCGGTAAGTTGCGTTTGTCCAATGTGCGATTGCAGAGGTGTTAATGAGTGGGCATGTAGTGCGCATGAACTTCTCGCATGGCTCGTATGAGTACCACCAGAGTGTCATCGATAACACTCGCAAGATGGTCGCAGGTTCGCGTCTGTAGGCATCTACGTGCACAGCACCTATTGATGGGCTTTCTGTTCATTGTTCAGCGGACCCTAATGGTCGCCCAGTCGCCATCGCGTTAGACACTGTGAGCCCCTCATCCCCTACAAGCCCTGCCCGTTTCGCTGACATTAGACCGCAGAAAGGGCCCGAGATCCGCACGGGGCTGATGAGGGACGGAATTGATGTTCGTCTCGGCGAATTGTTATCCTCTCTTCTCATCTCCTCATCTCCGTTATCGTCTTCCATAGAGCGCAATCCGTGCCGGCCACGAATTCATCATCTCGACCGACCCAAAATACAGCGAAATCTGCGACGACAAGGTGCTGTGGGTAGACTACGTGGGTTGTGTTTCCTCGGCGCGAGATTATGTGGCTGAATTATTCGCGATAGCAAAACCTTCCCAAAGTTACTGCGCCGGGGAAACTGATCTACGTCGACGACGGTTCGTTGCCGACTTGGTGCCTGGCTAACATTCAACTGACGGGTTGCTGGTTTGTCTAGGTATCTTGTCCTTACTGGTTCTGACCATCGACGGACCGAATGTCCACGTCCGTACCCTGAACAACGGAACCCTCTCTTCGCGTAAGGGTGTCAATCTCCCCAAGACTGAGGTCGATCTCCCTGCTTTGTCCGAGAAGGACAAGGCGGACTTGAAGTTCGGTGTCAAGAACGGCGTCGACATGATCTTTGCATCATTCATCCGCCGTGGTCAGGATGTCGTTGACATCCGTGAAGTCCTTGGCCCTGATGGTGCCAACATCAAAATCATCGTTAAGATCGAAAACGAACAGGGTGTTGAGAACTTTGACGAGATTCTGAAGGAGACGGACGGTGTTATGGTCGCTCGTGGCGACCTTGGCATTGAGATTCCTGCTAGTCAGGTATTCCTCGCCCAAAAGATGATGATTGCGAAATGCAACATGGCTGGCAAGCCTGTCATCGTCGCTACTCAAATGTTGGAGGTAAGCCACATTACTCTGACTTTCTTGATGTTGCTGACATTGATGTCTAGTCCATGACGGTACACATTCACCAAATGTTCACTGCAGTGGTAGACAACTGACGTTCTGTGCTAGTACAACCCCAGGCCTACTCGTGCCGAAATTAGCGACGTTGCTAACGCTGTCCTCGACGGGTCCGACTGTGTCATGTTGTCCGGTGAAACCGCCAAGGGCTCATACCCCATCGAATCTGGTGAGTATCTACCCCCGGCTGTTCAGTAGGATGCGCTGACATGGGTTATCTCAGTGTTGATGATGGCGGAGACATGTCTTCTTGCGGAGGCAGCCATTTGCTACCCTCCTCTGTACGACGAGCTACGAGCTTGCCAACCACGTCCTACCGCCACAGCAGAGACTGTCGCCATCGCCGCCGTCGCTGCTGCATCTGAGCAGGATGCTAGTGGTATTTTGGTCCTCTCTACGAGTGGTAACACCGCTCGTTTGGTCTCCAAGTACCGTCCTCGCGTCCCAATCCTTACTGGTAAGCTACTCAGCAATCAGTGATAACAAGGTCTTGATATCACGCCTGTAGTCACCCGCAACCAACAAACGTCGCGCCAAATCCACTTGCATCGCGGTTGCTATCCATTCTGGTACCCCGAGCCTCGTGGAATCCAGGAGCACCAATGGCAAACAGACGTGAGCTAATATATATATCTCCACTGCCGGCACCCTTACTGACAGATTCCGCCAGGTGGACAACCGTATTCGTTTTGGCCTGAGAAATGCGCTGGAGTTGGGTATCATCACTCCCGGATCGACCATCGTTGCGGTCCAAGGGTGGAAGGGCGGCCTCGGCCACACCAACACTCTCCGTATCCTCACCGTTCCTACTGACCCCGCTGACCTTGCCCTGCAACCATTGGGCTCGCAGTAAATGGACCGTCTTCTAGATAACAACCTTCGACTATGAAATGTACTTACTGAGTGACTGAGTAACCTGACCTGTACAGTACTTATATACAAATATCGCATCTGCATTTACTGTCTGCATTGCATCTGCATGAGTATTTTTTCGACTCTCACGAAAGTCACAAGTGCCATCAACGCCACAGCCACTTGCGGCTTGAATTGACCTGCGCTAAATATTGCGCAGCGCGTTAGCTCGTCGCGTATTTATCACTCTTCCACGACCTGGTCAGTCTCTTCAGCTCGCCAGCTGATGGTCTCGTCCGTGTACTTCCCAAATCCACGGCAAAATGGATTCCGCGACAAGGGCAGAAAATCAACGCTGCCGTCCTACTCTTCCGCTGTCCAGGAGAAATTAGAGCAACGGGCGTACAAGTCCTGGTGGATACCCGTCTTCCTCCCGCTGCCCGGAGTCCGAACACGTCGATTTCGCGTCTACATCCCCAATGCCACGCGGATACACCAGTCCAGCATTGCGCGTTTCGGTCGCAAACGTGGAACGCTGGTGTCATGCCTGGCTCTCATTTTCATCATTCTGACAACCTTCGCTTTCACGAAGCGGTTTGCGACCAAGTCAAAGCAATGGCCGACTGCTTTTGTGGGGCCATCATCTACTCTAGTGTTTCGCAGACGGGACTTGCAGCGGATATGGCAATGGGAGATTGCGAGCGGGCACCACCCCAGTCGGAAGGACAGTACGTGACCTAATCATCTCTTATGTGCACTCAGGAGCGTATGTATTGTAGTTCCTGATGGTATACGTCTGACGGTCGCGCCGGAGAATCCAGCACTTCCCCCTCGGAAAGGAACAATGCCTTCTCACCTGAAGCCGACGTCTGGTCCCGTTCAAGTGCACACCACCGGCGTAGGTCAGCGACGAATATATCTTGACATTCAAAGTCGACCGCCCAACGTCGCGTACCCCCCTCGACCGGTTCCAGGCAGTATTGCAGACCTGGACATTGTTATGGAGCATTGCGATTTCTCCGAGAAAAAGGTGCGTGCCAAAAATGAGGCATTTTTGCGCATTTCGTTGACCATTTTCATAGTATGTGCGCGACTGCCTTGAGGTACTGCGCGTGGGCGCTGGCCTAGACAATGGCAAACGGGTGAGGAGGGGCAAGATGGACGACTGGAAGTATATTTATGTGGAGCATGTTGCCAATGGTACATATGAGCCACCTCCAATTGAATTCGAACCCAGTGATACCGACGTATCCGACTCTGGACTCTCCAAGAAGCGGGGGGTAGATTGGGAAGCTTCGCCGATTGCCCTCCCTCCACCTTTGCCACATAGACCGTATCCTACGCTTCCCCAGGGCCCATGCGACGAAAACCATCCACGAATATTCCATATGTTCTGGACAGGCCCGTTCACCGACAAACCATACGTTTCCTTGCTTTCCTTCCTCTTTACCCAAAATCTCGGACTTGAAACACAAGACGATATATCCGATATAATATGTAAACCCCAACTATGGGTATGGATCAATCCTGGACCTGCCGCCGCTATACCCACTACATCAGCAACTCAAAGCCTCTTCGAAGAACTCAAACACAATCCATGGTCTTCACCTTTCCTCCATCCCCGATTCAAAGAAGCTATACACTTCAAGTTATGGAATACCACCGAGCAGTTGGATAGTATACCGGAGCTCAAGGACGAATGGAGAAACTACGACTTATTTGTCTCCGGAGGCGAGATATACAGCATTCCCCAGCGGAAACCGTCGAGTACGGAATCAGCTGCAGGGAAAACATCCTCTGAAGACGATCTCTTCAACCGTACCGGTTCCAAATCATCTCAAGAGTATGATCGACTGTCGGTCATCCTTTCTGATATGGCTCGTTTCGTTCTATGCCATCGATTTGGAGGAACATATCTTGACGCTGACACCATTTTCCTCCGGGACTGGGAAGATCTTTGGGGATGGAAGGGCGCGTTTGCCTACCGTTGGTCTCGTCTGCCCAAATACAACACAGCAGTCCTCCACCTTAACAAAGGGTCTGCCTTGGGCAAATTCCTCATACGTACGGCACTGAGAAATAATAACGACTTCCACCCAATGGTCGTGTATCGATACGCGAAGGAAGCTCATATGGAAGGACTCTTGCTCCGACTGCCAGACGCATTATTTGATCCCGCTTGGCTGAATACCGAAGACTATCAACGCGACCGGCCAACGCAACCTTACTTTACGGCGTTCGTTACTTCATCTTTTTCTTCCGTGCTATCTAAAACCCAAAAACTTTAAATAGTTTCCCGGACTTCTTCAGTACGTCTGGCGTATACAGCGCTCAACCACAAGCACTTGGCTTCGAAGGCTTCTTCCGAGGGAGTTATTCCTATCATTTCCACAATTCTTGGTACGCCCTCATGTCCATTGACTCTCAATATCTCTAACATAGGCACCAGGTGGACAGCGTTTGACGAAGCGCGCAACTGGCCAGACCTCGGTCCGAAGTTCAGCGCGGCCGAGCGTGCTGCACGAATTATAGCGAAAGCCAACGAAACAAGCCCCGACGAGGAGAGCGTCGCAGATGATAACAGAGATCTGAGCTGGGCCACAGTGCTCAAGAGAACATTTGAGGCTTACATCCGTGGCGAACGACCGAATATGTACGGAGAGTGGTTGCAGTGGTGATATTGTTGCCATCTATGTTTCCCTTTCCAGCCTACACAATCCACGGCGCGCGCCAGGGGGATACCTGGCTACGGCTTTAGTCAGCTCTGAACGCGCCCCACGTGCAACGACCCGATGTCGGATTGCGCTTGCACGTCCTTAACGAGAAGACACGAATATTAACCTTCTAATCTGATCATGGACCAATTATGGACTGCAGGACAGTATAGATGTGATCCAACCATTGTATAGGCCCTTAATTTACTCTGCACACTTTATTTCGCCAACCTCGCTTGAGCCTTGTTGACTGTCGCTTTCAGTGTCGCAATAACGCCCTCGGGATCTTGGGCCCCGAAGATAGCTGTTCCGGCTACGATGACATTGGAACCTGCGTACGCGCTCGAACGGTAAATCCGGGAATACTTAAGCAGCCCAACTTACCTGCGTCAGCACAGGCGTCTACGGTAGCAGGACCAACTCCGCCATCAACCTCTATGTCCTTGTCAGGGAATCGGGCACGAAGTTCGGTGACCTTGGGTAGGCATCTATCAAGAAATTTCTGTCCCCCTCGGCCTGGGTAGACTGTCATAACTAGAAGCATGTCAGCTGCTGCGGCTACATCGTCGGCCACGGCTGCGGAGGGGGTGTCCGGAGAGATCGCAACACCGGCCTTCATCCCCCTGCTGTGTATAGCCTCGATAATGGGTAGCGGATCGGCTGGAAATTTTCAGTTTTCGAATAACGCTTGGACAAAATTTACGCACAGGTAGCCTCAAGATGGAAACAGTATAGCGATCCGCCGGCGTCGGCGATGTCATTGACCCACTTTCGGAGGCCGTTAGCTGGCTCGAGGAGCAGAGATAACGCTCGGCGCACCTTCTCTGGCTGCGCGACCATCATATGGCAGTCCATGAAGATTCCTGGTACACCTTTGGAGACACAGGATAGCACAGGCGCCCCTGAGAACGGCTACAACTCTATCGGTGGACACTGTATTTCATTGAGATGCCTTACCCATGGTGATATTGGGCACAAAGTGTCTTGGATATAATCGGTCAGTAATCGCGGCACAGCCTACTGGAATAGCGCAATGGTCACCCATCCATAACATCTAATGTCCGATCGCTCAGCACCTAACTGCGGGCACAGAGCAGTGGACAGCGTACCCATATGAAGCCATTCTGCACCGCCCTTGATCATCCGCTTACATTCTGCGGTGAGCTGACCAAAGTCGGAAGCGAGTACTGAGGGAGAAATGATGGCTCGAGGCATGGATGAAGGGGTACGCTGCGGTAACTTGGCAAAGGGTAAAGTGATCGGTGCCTATATTTGAGAAATGGCGGTGATGCTCCACCCGTCCATATAAAGACAGGTATTTTCTGCCAGACAAATTATTCCCTCCGTCCCCACCCATCATGTTCGCAAAAGTCTTGACGCTCTCTGTTGCCTTCCTTGCCACTGTCGGTGCCGTCCCCCAGGAGAGAAGACAAAGTGAGTACATTTTTTGATGAAATTTAGGAATATATCCTAACTTTGCCAAAGTCGACAGTGTTTTCAACTCAATAACATCTGTAGCCGGGTCGGCATTTTCAGTGGGCACCGCAGGAGGTGAGTGAGGATGATTAAGTTGTGACTCCAACTTACGCTCTCCTGGTAGCTGCATCCGTTTTTGATGATGCAACTTCGTTTGGCGGCAGTGTGGCTGCAGACGCCACGAGCGTAGCTGGTTCCGTTTTCACCGATGCTACATCATTTGTTGGCAGCGTTGCCGGAGATGCTACGAGTGTAGCGGCTGGTGTATTCCAGACCGTTGTTTGTGCGTATTTCGTATGTCTGCTGCGATCGTTTACTGACGACTTCCTAAAGCCGGTGTACAGGGGGCGTATACCGTTGTCACCAGCGTCGGTGGCGAAGCCATTACTTTGACCAACGTTGGTGGTGAAGTCGTGACATTCGCGGGATCTGTCTATACCAGAGCAACCAGTGCCGCCGCATCGGCTGCTTCCAACATAAACTCTAATGCTGGTGTGGCCATCACCCCGCTACAGTTGTCGTCAACGGCCCTCGTCTGCACGTTTACAGTACTCCTCAGCGCGTTCAGCGGAACGGCCATGGTTCTATTTTTGTAGACGGCGCGAACTTTGAACAGTTGAAACTATCTTTATCGGACATCTATAAATGTACATCCCCGTAATGTGGACTACGCATAGGATAAATTATCAAATCAATATCACACAAAGTCGTTCATTATCAAGCTCAACGTGGAGTGGCTAAGAGCGTATACACCCCTCAAACATCTCGCGGCCTCACAGCCCGCTGGACCGTTGGTGATCGTCGTCTCAGCTGTAACCTGAAACAGCTCTCGCCCACATAAACGTTACAAACGGGGAGCACCATGCTTCGCTTTTATCAGCACATGATGGTCTCCAAGTGTTCCACTACACTTACCCTTACTATTGGGAGGCGAGGAGCTGCAAGGACAGCCTGTAACCCCTTGGCGACTCAAGATCGTATAAATACCCCTCCTTATCCATGTAGATTCCTTGCGCTGGTAGCCTCCCACACACGAATTCATTCACGACCAATCTTCACGTTAGCTCGTCCTTTCTTTGCATTCTCTTTTTACGACCTTCTACGACAATTAACGAATCAGAAATCGATATGATGTCCAAGCTCTTCACCTGCTTCTTCGTCTTCTCCGCTCTGGTTCTTGCGATCAACGCAATCCAGCTCGATGGAGCCACTAATGATCTGGAACGCAGAAAGTGTGAGTGCATCCCGGAAAGTACTTGTGAGCTTGATACTAAAGCAAACTCCAGCAACTGCTGAGACCATCGTTGATTTGATTGACGACATAAAAAAGGCGAAGAAGAATTCTGGCAGCGACGACGACGACGACATCTTCAGCAACCTCTTCGATGATGATGACGACGTCCCCCAGGGTTTCTTCACCACCGTAACCAGTGCGTATTCCAGAGCTTCGTACTTTCTTTGCAGCGGAGAAGTTGACGCGTGAGCCTAATAGATGTGGGAGGCTCGACAGCCACAATAGTAACACGCAGCGGAGGTCCAGCAATTACACTGGCCGCACAAGGAAAGACAACTACTTTCGGTGGCTCAACTTGGACAGTCCCCACCGCAACGCCGACAAGTACATCTTCTGGTTCAACGTCTGCTAAATCTACCACCACTTTGTCAGGATTCACCACAATTTATACTTGTAAGCACATACCACGAAGGAGGTAGATGGCCTGTTTAAGTTATTTTTGCAGCACTCGACAAGCACGCGGCCACAATTGTTTCGAATGTGGGCGGCGCCGCGATCACCCTGACTTCGTCGAAGGGAACAACCACCACGTTCGGCGGATCAACATACACCATCGCTACCCATGTCCTCGCAGCATCGGCGTAAGCATACGAGTTTCACCTTCATGTTACAGCACATTGATAGTTTCCGCTAACGCAGGTCCAAATCAAACGCCGCTGGAGCCTCCATACAACCAGTGTCCGTCACAAGGGCTGCTCTTGGTGGTGTTTTAACTGTTGTCGCGAGTATCGCCGTTGGGGCTATGATTGTGTTGTAAGACTCGTAAAGAGTAGTTTGTAGAGTTAGGACGCAGCTGGCCTGTGTGTTATCGTGACGAACTACGGTTGAAATGTAATTGTATGGGTTACGCAATTGCCAGTGTGAACGACACTACACCTAGGGTGTGTCCAAGGTCCCGCCAGGGGTCTAGAGTCCACTAGACCAGCCGAGTAACTTCTGCCTCGGATGCGGACGGTGGATGAAACTGACGACTTGCTCACGACTCGTAAGGGAGAACTGGCCAAACGGATGATATTAACCAGTAACTAGTAGAGGACAAAGTAGTTTCCGGCGGAAAGGCCTTCTTGAATCGTCTAAGCTTCAGCTTCCATATCTTTGTTGGTCTTGAGAGAAAAGTCAGGAATCGCGGATAGCCATGAACAGTGTTACGCACATGAGGATTGTAGAAAAGGGTGTTCATTCCCCAGGGGAAGGGCTTGACTCTCCTGTTCATGTACTCGAAGGCAGGGACTTCGGGAAGGTGCCCGCCGTTCTCGGCCTTGCGATGCTCTTCGTGGGCGGCATGTTCAGCCTCAGCGTTGTAGACCCAGGCTACGCAGACAGCCACTGCGGTCAAAATATGAGTGTCCGCATGTGGTACCTTGAAGGCATCTTATAACAAACCTGCGGGGAAGCACCCGTAGAAGCTAAATATTACACGATAAGATGCATTCTTTCAACGACTAATCTCAGCTATGCATACCTTATTTTACGCCAAAGGTCGGTGGTGCCTGCGATGAACACCTTCAATAAGAAATCAAGGTACTCCAAATCTATAAACCCGCACCTGCTGCATGGTGTTCAATAGCAGCCTGCTCAGCAGCGAAGCTACCAGATCCCTGGGCAGCAGAGTAGGCACGAGATTTGGTTGCGCGGGTTGCGCGCAGCGTCGAGCGCAGAACGTTGCGGGCGAGGAAGGACATGGAGTTGGTGGTTTGGATTCAAGTGCAGTTAGCCATTCCAGGCGGGTTGCTTCGGGGTATATGATTACATAATGTAGCCCATATTGAGATTGAAACTCCGAAAGGGTTACTGAAGGTGACGCGTCCGAGACGGTTCATTCACAGTCCATTATGGTCAACCGCGCTCAGTCCTCAGCAGCTGGTGTTCTGGCTCTGCTATCAGAACCAGACCCAGTATTCAAGCAACATGCTCTCAAGGCTCTCATTTCCATGGTTCCCCAGTTCTGGGCAGAGATTTCGGAGCACATAGCCCTAATGTGCGCAACAATTATCGTATATGGCGACCAAGTACTGACAACACTCGACCGACCTACAGAGAATCATTATACGAGAGCTCAGAGCTTGGGAAGAACGTTCGCGATGCAGCTGCACTTTTAGCCAGCAAAGTCTACTACTACCTCGGCGAATACGACGAAGCTTTGTCTTTCGCCCTCGGTGCGGGGAACGCGTTTGAAGCAGAGACTCGCGCGCCAGGCTCAGAGGAGTATGCGGAGACGATCATCTGTGAGTTCTGCTTCTAGTGGTGCTGAGTGTAATGACCGACCTACCGCCATCAGCCAAGGCCATCGACAAATACATCGACCTACGTGGGCAACAAGAAGGCCAGAAAGAGAAGATAGACCCCCGCCTCCAGTCTATAATAGAAAACCTATTTTTGAAGTGTGTCGCAGACCGGGAATACAAACAGGCGCGTATTCTAAGCATATCCGTCCTTCTTGCCTTGAATTATCTTTCTAGGCCATCGGAATTGCCCTCGAAGCACAACGTCTCGATATAATATCGAAAATCTACGAACAAACACACGATACCGCACTGCTCTCTTATGCTATGGACGCTGTCTCGGACACTGGCTTCCCCTTGTCCTACCGTGACCAAGTCTTAAACTTCCTTCTCCCACTATTCCCCCGACCATCCAAAGACGGCTCCCCACATGTCCATTCATTGACACGTTTGCTCTTGACTCTCAGCAGCCCTTCGCATGCAATCTCATTGCTCACATCGTTGGTTCCGGATGACAAACTTTTGGCGTACCAGTTTGCCTTTGATCTCGTAGAAGGCGGCGCGCAAGATTTTCTAGAAAACGTTCGGAACGATCTTCCAGAGGGTGACGAGGTAAATCTCTGCACAATGTGCCATCTCACGTGGGATCTCACCGTAAAAATAGAAAACGAAGCCAATATTCGACAACCTACGGAATATCCTCACCGGTCAAGAGACTGTCAAGCTATACTTCCACTTCTTGAAACGAAACAATCACGTCGACCTTCTAATATTGAAAAATACACGAGTACGTCTATCTTCATTGGCTGCTACGGTGGCACGGTGGCTACGGTGTGTTCAATATCAGCTCGTAGGACGTTTTGGAAGCTCGGTCTTCGATATACCACACAGCACTCACCCTCCAAAATGCTTACATGCACGCTGGCACCGCTTCTGACATTTTCCTGCGAGACAATCTTGACTGGCTTGGACACGCTTCAAACTGGGCCAAGTTCTCTGCCACCGCTGGCCTCGGTGTTATTCACAAAGGCTACTTCGAACAAGGCATGACAATTCTGGGCCCGTACCTGCCTCAAAGTGGTGGAGAGAGCGGTGTCCAGGGCGCTGCATACCAGGAAGGTGGCGCTTTGTACGCTCTCGGGTTGATCAATGCTGGTTGCGGTAGCTCAGTCGTTGGCTACCTTCGCGATACACTAAAATCTTCCTCCGGAGAAGTCGTTCAGCACGGTGCCGCCCTTGGACTTGGTGTAGCAGGAATGGGCTCACGAAGCTTGGAAACTTTCGAGGACCTGAAGACCGTCCTGTTCACGGACTCTGCTGTCGCTGGCGAAGCTTGTGGTTACTCTATGGGGTTGACAATGCTGGGTACCGCTGCCCCCGAAGCTGTGAGGGAGATGTTGGTGTATGCTCGGGAGACTCAGCACGAGAAGATCATTCGCGGGTTGGCCGTTGGCGTTGCCTTCATCTATTACGGCCGACAAGAGGAAGCCGACCAAACAATCAAGTTATTGTTGGAAGAGAAGGTATGCCCGTTCACTTTCTAGATAATCACTCTTCTGATGTGGAATGCAGGACCCGATTCTTCGATATGGTGGTGTTTACACGCTAGCTCTCGCTTACGCCGGGACGTCCAACAACAACGCCGTCCGACAGTTACTGCACATCGCTGTTTCCGACACGTCCGACGATGTGCGAAGAGCTGCTGTGACGGCCCTGGCATTCTTGTTGTTCAAGAACCCAAGCCAGGTTCCTCGTATGGTCCAGCTTCTTAGCGAAAGTTACAACCCCCATGTTCGTTGTGGCGCGACTCTGGCGTTGGGGATTGCATGTGCTGGAACTGGACTACAAGTGAGGCATGTTCTGAGTGGGATATTCTTGTTTTACTGACCGTATACTTTCAGGACGCGGTTGAAATTCTTGAGCCTATGACCAAAGATTCTGTAGACTTTGTACGCCAGGGTGCATTCATTGCTCTGGGTATGGTCCTCGTACAACAGTCCGAAGTCACGTCTCCATCTTTCGCTTCTACGCGTGCCCTTTATCAGAAGATCGTCTCTGACAAACACGAAGACCCCGTTGCGCGCTTCGGTGCTGCACTCGGCCAAGGCCTCATCGACGCCGGTGGCAGAAATGTCACGATCTCCCTATCGAGTCGGGCAGGCAGTCGCAATACTAGCGCAATCGTCGGGATGGTCCTCTTCTGCCAGTTCTGGTACTGGTATCCTCTGGCGCACTGCGCTTGCTTGGCCTTCCAGCCTACCGGGATTATTGGACTGAACGGTGACCTCAAGGTGAGTTTTTTCTATGACTTGAATAGAACGCAGATCTAAGATATCCGAAGGCGCCTCAATTTGAGTTTATCTCGAACGCAAGGCCAAGCATGTTTGCCTATCCTGTCGACACTCAACCTCCGAAGAAGGAAGCTGTCGCAAAAGTTGCAACGGCCGTCCTCTCCACCACTGCCAAGGTCAAGGCCAGAGAAAAGCGCAAAGCAAATGCTGAGGGTGATGGGATGGACACAGTAAGTTAAACCTGGTTCCGACGCAATAATACAGTGCTGACCGTGGTTGACAGGATGAGAAATCCAAGGCTGAAGGCGATGTTGAGATGCGCGACGAGGGTGCATCTGGCAAACATCGAGATGTCTCACCCATCGACGGCCTATCCGACGAGGCCAAGCCATCCACGTCCAAACGAAAAGAGCCTTCATTTGAGATGCTCCCTAATTTGTCTCGCGTGACACCAGCGCAGATGGCCTACATCAGCTTCCCCAATGACTGCCGTTATCGCCCCGTCCGCATGGTCTCGGCCAAACCAAAGAGTGGGAGATCGGCGATACCCTCATCGTTAGCTCTGCAATCGGAACAATCTGGTGGTGGAGGCATCTTGATCTTGACGGATCTCCGACCAGATGAAGAGGCTGAGTTCATCGAGTTCGAGCCCACTGCACCGCCCGCTCCAGAAGCTGAAGTAGCTGTTCCTAATGGACATGCCGACCCTCTTCCTTCGGGTCCTCACATTGCATTGGATGAAAGTGCGCCCGAAGCCGATCCTCCAGAAGCGTTTGAAGTGAGTAGGTCGATAATCTCTAGGTATCCTTGACTAATCTATTCTCACAGTACCCTTTTGACCACGATACATAATGTTTTAATCCGTTCATTTCCCTGCATTATACTATTTTTCGTCTTCCAAATACGGGCTGATAGAGAAGAACACGAAGTTGTAATTCGAGTGATCACTTCACATGGCAATGCTATTATGGCGTCATACTCGGTGAGAGTGTGTGCTTAGTTCTTACTCAACCCTGGGATCCCATATCTCATCTCTTTCCTGACCATGGTGTACCGTGTTGGCATATTGGATGACTACCAACAGGCTGCGCTGAAGTTGGCAGATTGGACACCCCTTGGAAATCAAGTCACTATTGACGTGTTTACAGACACCATCCTCGATGAACATCTTCTCGTCGAACGATTAAAGGACTACGATATCATATGCATCATGAGAGAGCGGACAAAGTTCTTCGCGCCCCTGCTCGACAAGCTACCAAAGTTAAAACTCCTAACAACAACGGGGATGAAGAATAATGGTATCGATGTCAAGTATGCCAAAGAGAAGGGTATCGTGGTATCTGGTACAGCCAGCGTCGGAAACTCTACTCTCGAACATATATGGGCGTTGATCCTTGCTACGGTGAGGTACATCTCCCATGACGATGCAAATACAAAGGCGGGGAACGCGTTGTGGCAGACGAAGATACCCTTGGGACTGGCTGGTAGAACCATTGGGTTGATAGGTGTTGGTAGACTTGGTGCAAAGACAGCTGCTGTAAGCCAACTTGATTTGATTATTAATGCTCTGCCCTTATATTATTTATAGGTCGCGGAGGCATTTGGGATGAAAGTACTTGGATGGTCCCCCCATCTCACTCCGGAGCGCGCTGCAGAGGCCGGTGTCGACTTCGCAGCGTCCAAGGAGGACTTGATAAAGCAAAGCGACATCGTCTCTATTCATATTGTTCTATCCGAGAGTACTCGCCATTTGATCAAAGCAGCCGACTTGGCGCACATGAAGCCCACAGCATTCTTCATCAACACCTCCCGCGGTCCCATCGTCGATGAAGCAGCGCTGATTCAGATATTGGAGAACAAGGCTATAGCGGGTGCTGGCTTGGACGTGTTCGATGTTGAACCACTTCCACTGGACCACCCTCTGCGAAAATTAGAGAATGTCGTCTTGACCCCACACATGGGGTACGTTGCTGATAGCTCGTACGAGGCAAGTACCCTTTCGCTGATTAGCGTCCTTTGCTACTAACGACCTGTGCAACGATCCATGTTAGACCTTTTGGAAGCAGACAGTGGAAAATATCTCTGCTTTCCTTGCAGGCGCCCCGACGAGAGTTCTACAGTGAATTTATTCGTGTTTCCCGTATTTATAATGTTCACGAAAGATCTGTAACCTCCTGTAACTTCGAACTAGGACGTATTGTGTCGTGTGACAAGCTCGGCGTGACGGAACGCGTGATGCTGATTAGCGTGACAGCCTTTGATCTCAGCCGTTCTGAAATCAGGCTTGATCCTCGTGCATCTCTCCTCTTTGACTCTCACTCTCACTTCCATCATCTGAGCCACATCTCCCCAGATCCAAAGTAATGGACAACGGCGCAGAATCTCGCACTCAGAAGGCTCGGCGTGATGGTCTGTTATCATTATCTCCATCTCCCAATCTCTGGAGCTCACCGATACACAGCCTACAAGAACAAGGGTGGCCTGAAGCAGGACGACCTCAGACGTCGCAGAGAAGAACAGCAGGTGGAAATTAGACGACAGAAACGTGAAGAGAACATCTCCAAGCGAAGGAATTTCCTGCCCTCTGCCGGTGCCGACTCCGATGAGGAAGTTGGTGGTGGTAGCTGGGATCCACCAGTATGCTCTCGTTCTCTTTCGTTGAAGTACAAAAAGGTTGACTTTTGTGTTCAGTTGGCCGATGAGATGATTAGTGGCGTCTTCTCAGACGACGGGGATCGCCAACTCGACGCGACAACCAAGTTCCGCAAACTTTTGTCCAAAGAAAAGAACCCTCCCATCGAACGCGTTATCGAGTGTGGTGTCGTTCCCCGTTTTGTTGAATTTTTGAAAACTGGCGCCTCTATGCTCCAGGTACGCGCGGCGCAACGCGCTTTGCTGCCGTAAAGACATACTGATCCAATGTCTTTGTGCAGTTTGAGGCTGCTTGGGCTCTCACCAATATCGCGTCCGGCACAGCAGAGCACACACAGGTCGTGATTAACTCTCAGGCTGTTCCCGAATTCATTAAGCTCTTGTCTTCCCCCGTTCTTGATGTTCGCGAGCAAGCTGTCTGGGCGTTGGGTAACATCGCCGGAGACAGCCCACAGTGCCGAGACTATGTATTGCAGCAGGGTGCTTTGAGGCCACTGTTGGCCCTCTTGAGCGAGCAACACAAGCTCAGTATGCTTAGAAACGCTACTTGGACGCTCAGCAACTTCTGCCGTGGTAAATCGCCCCAGCCTGACTGGGAATTGGTACGTCGGCTTGTTTTGCATGTCGGCATCTGTTAAATGACCCGCTCAGATCTCCCCTGCCCTTACTGTTTTAACAAAATTGATCTACTCTCTCGATGACGAGATCCTGATTGACGCCTGCTGGGCCATCTCTTACCTCTCCGATGGCTCCAACGACAAAATCCAGGCTGTGATCGAGTCTGGTGTTTGCAGGCGTCTCGTCGATCTCCTCATGCACCCTTCTACATCTGTCCAGACTCCGGCTCTTCGTTCAGTCGGGAACATCGTGACCGGTGATGACCTCCAAACCCAAGTCGTCATCGCGTCCGGTGCCCTCCCCGCTCTCCTCTCCCTTTTGTCATCGCCTAAGGATGGTATCCGCAAAGAGGCATGCTGGACGATTTCTAATGTCACTGCCGGCTCGCCGCCACAGATCCAGGCCGTTATCGATGCCAACATCATCCCTCCCCTCATCAACATCCTTCAGAACGCCGACTTCAAGACACGCAAGGAAGCTTGCTGGGCCATCTCCAACGCCACGTCTGGCGGTCTTCAGGAGCCCTCGCAGATCCGCTACCTCGTAACTCAAGGATGCATCAAGCCCCTCTGTGATCTGCTGACCATGATGGATAACAAGATCATCCAGGTTGCTCTTGATGGTCTCGATAACATCCTGAAAGTTGGCGAGATGGACAAAAGTGCTGCAGGTCCTGGTGCGATAAACTTGTATGCGCAATATGTGGAGGAGGCTGGTGGCATGATTACGATCCATAACCTGCAACAACACGATAATTTGGAGATTTACAAGAAGGCGTTCAATATTATGGACAAGTACTTCCCAGATGAAGAAGACGTTGATGCTGCGATCAGTGCCCCAAGCGTCGATGCCTCGGGTGCATTTGCTGTACGTACTCATACGCGCCTTCTTTTTTCGCCGATACTGATCTACTTTTTTTTGCAGTTCCACTCGGATATCAGTGCCCCACAAGGAGGGTTCAGCTTTGGACAACAATAAACTAATGATCATGATGATTGTGTCTTTTACCTTCTCTGATTACTTTACGCCTGATCATTCAAAGTGTGTATCCATCCTTATGTACTAGTTTTGCAATATAAATGGTAGGTCACTCTGTTCTTGAGTGATACCCCGTCAAAGCTAGTGTCGTTTGCTTCGCTGTTACAAAGGTAGGGGATTTGGTATTCCTCGATGAGATGTTTCTACCGCGCGCAGATGGACTACTCCTTCGATTCCTCGGGTCCAGCACTACCAGGGATAAGCTAGATTATCGTCAAGTTAAAACACCTTCGTCAGGAGAGAATCGTAACCACACCGACCATGCAGATATTGTTGCCGTTGAGAAGTGTCTGGGAGAGCTTGGTCGTTTTCCTGCCTTGCGGCGTTTCTTCACTATGTGGTCGTCAGATCATTTCCTTGCATCCTGAGGCAGGGCCTTACTATTCTGTCACGTCCTCCAGGACCATATCTATAAACTGGATTGTCAGTGCTGTGAAAAATCACAAGCATGGAACCGACGCACTAACGAAATCGTCGAAGCCCAGGAGAGTTCCAGTGAACTCGCGATCGGTCTTCATGATGACCCATATCCTGGAGCCGATGCACCTATCAATCAGCTCTGCGTAAGTCAGCGATATTATCACGGTGGTGTGCAGGGAAGCAGACCTAATGGAAGGATCTGGGAGGCCATCTTTTAAGTTTGTGGTGGTGAGGAACTGACTCCTGAGTAGCGCGCGTGATGCCCGATGGGCGTCTCTCAGTTCTAACAGTTCTGTACTTTCATCCCTCACCGGCAGTCCCTCTCATCCTCACAACATGCCCATACGTCTCCGGTTTCAGCTCCACGGAAACCGCCACGACAAGATTTTCCACCTCGTTGCCATAGACCAGCGCGTCCGACGCGACGGCAAACCCGCCGAGATGCTGGGCATACTCAACCCCCGCCTCCAGCTCGGCCAGGAGCACAAAACGATGGAGTGGAGTGTGGATAGGATAAAATACTGGCTGAGCGTCGGGGCGACGCCCAGTAAGTCCGTGGCAAAGTATCTGGTCATGGTGCGTGGATTACGTCTCGTTTCGAGGAGGACGTGTGTGTGCTAAGTGCTTGATATGATATTTTGTGTTTTGTGTATAGGGCAATATCATAAAACCAGAGTCACGGCTTGCTCCGAAGCTGCTGCCTAAGCCATGAAGTACGACGACAGCACATTACCCGCACGACACGGCGGACGACTAGCTGCACATTTCTGGGACGTTGGCACGGTAGTACGCGCCTGCTAATGAAGGGACGGACACTATATTACTACTGCACTTGGGCTAGAATATCAACAATCTCATTGTGGCCAGCCACTTCCGCCAGTTCCAGCGCTGTGAAATCGTCTTGGTCCTATTACGCATCAATTCGCGACAAATCCAAGTCTGCCACAAGAAACAGGCCAACCTTCACGGTGTGGTCAGCACCGCTGTCTAGTAGCAGCCGCACGATATCTTTGTTCCCTCTGTCGGCCGCTAGATGCAGAGGCGTGAACCCCTTGGACGATGTAAGGAAATAGCAAGTAAGCAGTCAAGCAAGAAACGGCGCACAAATTCATCGTGCTGGTTCACATCGATGTCGGGTTGCATCTTCAAGAGGCTTTTTAAAGCCTCCACGTCGTTGGAGACTGCGAACCCGTGAATAGTGTTGTCCTCTGTTGTATCCGGAGGCTTCATTGAACTAACACTGGGACCCATCCCACTTGACCCTTTACCATCCGAGGGTCTGTTATCGTCGTCCCATATACTATCAGCAGATGTAGGCTCTGTCGACGCGGGCGGCTCGAGCTTGGCCTCTTCTGACCAGCCAAGGTCGCGCGCAATCTGCAGATACCGTGCCTCAGCATCCACAGCACTCGTATACTTCTTCCCAGCATCGTTCCACGCATCCCACTTCGCCCGCCCCGTCATATCAAATATCGACGGTTTCGAGGAAGTAGGCTTCGCAGCGACGGTCACGAACTTGAAGAGGCCATATAACTATCGATGCAAGATCCAGAACAGAACGTCAAGTTCGCCCGTATAACAGGACGAATGGGGTGACCTCTAGCTTGACCGTGTTCGAGACGGACGACAGCGACGACGACAGCGATAAATAGGCAGCGGCGGCATTGAATTGGGCAGAAGGCGTCGTAGCGGTCCCACCACTCGACATGGTAGAAAGCAGTCTTTAGATTATGTAAGCACTACGAACGTATCCTATAGTCTAATTCATCAAAGTCCTTAGGCCAGACCAGCAGCTTGCATGGCCTAAATGGATGGTCATTGGTCAGTATTTACGGCAAGGGAAGCAGTCCTTGACAAGAGTCTTACCTGGAGCATTTGCTGGCCGATTTTGGCGGGGCTGTCGGTAACAATGACGCCGGCACGTTCGAGAGCAGCTACTTTATCTGAGGCAGCACCTTTACCACCGGAGATGATGGCACCAGCGTGACCCATACGTCTTCCGGGGGGAGCAGTGCGGCCAGCAATGAAGCCGACCACAGGCTTAGGGTTGGCCCGAGTCTTGTTATACTTCTCAAGGTACTCCGCTGCCTCCTCCTCCATAGAACCACCAATTTCTCCAATAATAACAATACCTTGAGAGTAGAAGGTCGGCGTTAATTAGAAGCGGCGAAGAGACGCGGAAAGAGGGCTCACCGTCGGTGTTAGGATCGTCAAGGAACACCTTGATGACATCAATGTGCTGGGTGCCAGGGAACGGGTCTCCGCCAATACCCACGCAGAGGGACTGTCCCAAGCCCACATCCGTGGTTTGGGCGACAGCTTCATACGTGAGCGTACCCGAGCGGGACACGATACCTACCAGAGAACCACGGTAAGCGGCCATAGAAGACGCCAAGAAACGCGTGACGCGTACCTATTCTCCCGGGTTTGTGGATGTGGCCTGGCTGGATGCCCATCTTGCAGCCGAGCGGGTTGATGATTCCGGGGCAGTTGGGGCCGACGAGACGGGACTTGGACTGGCTCTTGAGGGCGTTTACGACCTGTCGCGCACTGTGAGCAACGTGCGTCGCGTTGTTGCGGGCGATAAGACACGTACGCGGATTTCATCTGCCTGGGGGATACCCTCGGTGATGCAGACAATGAGTCCGATTTCGTTCTCAATGGCTTCAATAATGGCATCTGCGGCGGTAGGAGGGGGGACGTAGAGGACGGAGGCATCCGGTTGCACTTCACGGACAGCCTGCGTGCGTCGTCAACGCGGTGTAAATCACCCTCGAGGATCAAGCTCACCTCCTTCACGCTCCCGAACACAGGTAGCCCGAGATGCGTCGTTCCAGCCTTCTTAGGGGAGACACCACCGACCATTTTTGTTCCGTACGCCAAAGCCTCCCTCACATGGAAAGTACCCTGCGAGAGCGCACTTGAGCTGGCTCGTTCGTCACCAGGTGGAAATAGCAGCCTACCGTCTTCCCCGTGAAACCCTGGCACAGGACTTTGGTATCTTTGTGGATGAGGAGATTCCGAATGGTATCATCGTAGCTGTTTCGTATTGAAGAATTTGAGAAAGTCCGGCGTCCGGCTTATCCAAAAGGTCAGCGACAACGACAACGGGCCCGGAATGCTCGAAACCCACCGCATCGTACAAAGGATTGACCAGCTCGTTGGAGGGAGAGCATCTTACAGAGTCAGGCGGGCCAGCAGGTCAAGGTTGAGGATCAAGGAAAAGTTGCGGTCTCTAAATTTGGCGGACGGAGGTCCTCCGGCATTCAAAACGAGTGTCGCACGCTCGACTTGACTTCTTATGGACTTGGAAAAATATACGAAAGTTTACTAGTTACCTTTGACATAGACTTGCTTGATTATGTAGAATAGTGTATGTACTATCGATGTCCGTCACCTGCTGAAATTCCATCTAACGATCCAGGCCACGTCTTCGATCCTTCGCTTTGCGGGACGCGCGATTCAGCGTCAAGATAGCGTACTTGACTTTGTCGTATTGCTTGCTCTGGAGGGAACTGCGAATAGTTGAGGCCCTCAAAATAGAAGATTGTGAGGTTAAAAGACAACGAACCTGCTGACGTCTGCGAAGAACTGGGTCTTGGCGTCCGCGGGCGCTGCAGAGTTCGGCAGCTGTTGCAGTATTGAAGGCAACCAAGTAAGCAACTGCTGCATCCATACGATGGCCGTCGCGCGGAATATCGATACAACAGTCGAAGCCGAGTCCTCTGGGAAGTCACCTATCAAACCCGCTAACAAAAGCCCCAAGAACTCAAAGCCCTCCTTTTCGAAGACACCCCGGATCGCAGCGGCGTAGAGAGGATATTTTGGTGGTGGGTTAGTTGTGTCCGTGAGACACTCGTGAGTGAAGATGATGCGAAAGAGATCTAGGGAAGCAAACAAGATATCAGAATGAACCATTGTAAGGGCCGCCATCGTCGCCCGGAATGCAAGAGGGAAGGCGGATGATTGATAGAAGACGTCTGGTGCGAAGTCGGCAAGCTGCAAGAGCATCTGAACGTAATCCTCGATGACTGGATTTCAAGTCAGGGAGCGGATGCCTCGTAGAATGCACAATACATACCATCAGGTATATCCCCTGGCGTCTTTTCTTGAAGTAGGGACACAACCTTACTCGTGGCCGTTTCGTAGACTCCCAAAAATGATGCACGAAGTTCTGGACTTTCTTCACTGCCATACTGACTGACAATTTTGCCTGCAATCCACAGATAACTTGGGAACCCCGTTATTGTGAAGGCTTGGGCCATCCGTGCAACAGCAGACGGGGCGACGTTGAGGCCTGCCTTGCCGTAAAGCGTTATTCCGTGTCGAAGGACGCGAGTTGTTCGCTCCGCGATCCCGTAATCGTTTCCGTATTTGGTGATGAAGTTGTCGAATACAGTCCACATCTCTTGGCAAGTATTTTGGCATGCTTCAGGCAGATCTTCGCCAAAGCCGCGAACAACATGCAACATTACTTCGAGGTTTTCCAGACCGCCTAAACAAACGATCAATATGTATATGATAATTCTTGCAGGCCCAAACAACTTACAGCCAACTACTTGCAGTTCTTGTTTCGTAGCTGTGCCCTTTACTGTGATGACATGAACTTGCGTCATGATATCCATAACGAAGGTCCTGAGCGAATCGGCCGCACGATCCATTGGCATGGCGGAAATAACATATGCAATAGCCTCATAGACTTCGCGTCGGTCCTCTTGTGACAAAGCTGCGCCTGTGGTGGTCAAGAAATTATGGAGTGTAGGCAAGAAATCAATTAGGTGCTATCAACAAGAGTAAGAGTCGTTCATTCCTGATTGGCAATGGTGTACGCACCTCTTTGCAATCTTGGCACAGATATTTCAGAGCCTGTCCTGCGGCTGCAGAGACCTCTATGTCGGAACTTTGGAACCCCGTTGAGATATATTGTAATTGAGCTTGAATATATTCTGGATGTTGACTGATCCATTCGGTATAACGAGAAATAATGAGCAGGGCGGCGTAGCGGACGCGAGGGAAATCCGGAAGTGAAGGTAGAAGATCCATTATTTTTGGGACAGCGGTGTTATCTCGGGGATCGACTTCTGCTCCCATAGACCTCATAGCAAATAAGGGCGCCTCTATTGCTTGCCACGAAACGGATCCTGGCGGTTGAGAGAGAGCATTGGCAACCATATTGTACGTTGCCGTGATGCACGTCTCTGGTCTGAGCACCATGCAACAATCCTTGAGAGTATCCCCCATAACGTGGCGGAAAGACCGGAACTTCTCTGCATCCTGCGCGGACAAAGGCTCTGCGTCTGGAGGGAAGTGTAAATGTTGTATGATGACGGCCATGAGACTGCGGTAGGCGTCCTGGAAGTGGTGAGACACGGATGGTTTCTTCCCGATGACTTGCGCGAGTCGCATCCAGAAAGGGAATGTGATGGGTACGATATCCAAGTCTGGGTAGGCCGAACATTCTCCAATGGCCTCGACAATGGGGAAGAAGGTCTCTGTATGTTGGAGGAGCAACAGGCGGTACGTTTCCCCGGCTTCAGCGAATATACGGGCGTATCCACGAATCTTCTCGGGGTCGTCTTTGTCTATGCTCAGACGGGGACGAAGCGCGATGACGTGAGGGACAACAAGCTCGATGACAGGCATGTTGTCGTCTATTTCTTGTGTTTCGTGGATCAACTCGCAGATCACATCGACGGCCGAATCGAAGAGTTCTTCGGATTCTAATGCGGCGAAGGCAAAGGCAAGGAGGGGAGTCGCGGCTAGGTCACTTGTCCTAACCTCACCAGCAACAAGCCAGCTTCGAAGACAATCGAAGATTTGGCTTTGAACGGCATTAGTGACGCCTATTAGTGGCGATCATCAGGTATGAGAAGGAACAAACACCAACATGATCAACTCACCAGGTGCCTGATTATACATAGCTAATAAATTCAGAATCTTCGTCGAATTTGCAGTAAGGAGAGATCCTGAACGCTCTCTATATTCATCATCCTACGTCGCGTCAATGCCTGCGATCCGAATAACGATCGGTGAAGCGTACCGTTACAGGGATCCTTGAGTTCCCGGTCAGCTCCTCGGGAAGCAGTGTCAAGAATTGCAGTAATGTTGGCACAGTCACTGGATTCGCGCCAAACATGTCTATCATGGTTTGTACGGCATCATCCCATGATGGTAGCTGAAGAGCAAGTCCGGAGATGGCTAGGCAGAGCTGTACGATGATCGTGCGGGGACCTATATGATATCTCTGCAGCGCTGCTAGCAGTCTGTCTCGCAAAGGGAGTAGATTATCTTGTTCGACCTGGTGGAGGTCGAAAGTCACCTGTTGAAGATCAGGCAATCAGTCCATTCCTTCCGTCGTGAGACCGATTCCGTGGCTCACTTTGGTCCTGAATGTCTGTGCAGCAAACAGCTGTGCTGCTGGGGGTGCGGGTGAGTGCAGGATAGCATCGCAGGTTGACCACGCTTCAGGCTAGGACAATGACGGATTGGGCTCAAGTCAGAGGTGCTGGTCGAGAGACTGGCCAGAGGCGAAATTTACAGAATGCTGGAAATCCTGGAGCCACGAATTTGCTTTATCGAGCGAGGCTTTATCTGGTGCGCGCGAGAATACGTCGAGCACGGAGAGAAGCTCCTGATTCTTATCGCTCATGCTGGTTGAAGGTGAAGGAAAGGGTGAACCAGCAAACTGATCATCAGCAGCGTGATCTCCTTGTTTGTATCTGATGACACTCAAGCAGTGGCATTTCGCGACACATCAGTGGTATATTTGCCATCAAAAAAGTCCTACGGCAGAGTGAAAGCATACTAAAAAGATGGACGATACGATATCCATACAGCAAAGAGCGAACGGTTCTGATCAACCACCAAGAAATGCAGCAAGCGCTGCAGAAAGACGAAACTACAAGGATCCGATGATAGAAATCCAAAACCAAGAAGACGCTTGACATCCTTCTCGAAGAGCACCTTACGTGCGTTGAAGGAATCCTTTCTTGCGGCCGGTCTAGTACCACGAATCAGCAGGGTTCGCACACGAGGAATGAAGAAATCACGTACACCGGACTTGCCGTCTGGTGTGAGAGGTCGACCTTGCTCGATTCGTCGCTTCTTTTCCTCGAGTTCGTTGCGCTGCTTCTCGAGAGTCTCCTTCATCTCCTTGTGACGGGCATACAGCTCCTCCTCAGACTGCTTGAGTTTGGCTTCCTTCTCTTGCACCTTCTGTTGGAAGACCATCTTCATTTCAGCCTCCATCTTAGCGAGCTTGGCCTCGTGCAGCACCCGCTCCTCTTGCATTCTTGCAGCAGGGCTAAAGTAAGGTTATTAGAACTCGTATATCATTGTCACAAAAAGTAACGGACTTAGTCTCCTTGAAGACAGCCGGGTCCTGGATGACGCCCATGCTGACCAGTTTCTCTGTTCGCCAGTTCTCGTAGAGGACATCGTTGGTGTATTCGCGTAGCTCCTCCATGTAGGTGCGGACAAGCATCTGCCTCAGCTTGACAAAATCGCAGTGCTCCTCGTTGTCGACCTCGACAACACCCCATGGGTATACACGACCCCGAACCTGACGACCGTCCGGTGTCTCGACGACTTGATTGGAGCCAACGACAGCGAATGGAATCTTGCTTGCAATCTCAGCGGCCTCAGCAAGAGTTTCCTCGTCCTCGTTTTCGTACGTGGGAGCTTGGAAGATATGGATGTTATGATATTGTATGTCGGCGAGAATCTGGTCATATTGATGAGGAATGTAAGGTTAAATGAGTAGCGGCGAATCTTACCCGTTGCTTGAATTCGATGATTTCTTCGTCAGTCATGGTGTCAGCCTTGGCTATAACAGGAATCAAATTGACACGAGTGTGTAGCCGTCTCATGAACTCGATGTCGATTTGCTTGAGCCTACAAACTAGCTTAGACTTTCATAGAGATGATATGCGAGTCTAAACACGTACGAGTGACCTGTGGGCTGGATGAAGTAGAGGCATGCGTGAACACGGTTGTCGACAATCTTCGAACGATTCACGCGATTCTCCTGCTCAAGATATGAGTCGAAGCGAGACTCGATGTTTTCGACGATGGGCTTCCAGCTAAAAGCGCGTAAATTTTCGCGTCCATTAAAGTTAAAGCAAAAATCCCACGTACCTGTCGTCGTTGTTGACGAAGTCACCGAAGCCCGGCGTATCAACAACGGTGAGGTGCAGCCGAACCCCGTTTTCCTCGATATCTGAATACAGTTCAGACTCGTGTGATAGAGACATCATTGAAAACTAGCAACGCACCAGCACCAATACTCTCAATGGCAACCGTCTTCGGTCGGTCGGCAGCGGGAGGCAAAGGCTCCTTTGGTGGGTAGAGAGTCGTATTAAAGAGCGTATTAATGAGCGTCGACTTGCCCAAGCCCGACTCGCCTGAATCCTGGGTCAACAAAGTGAAAACTGGACAGTTATGATGAAGACCTACCAACGACCATCGCAGTAAACTGGAAGCCCTTCCTTACGCTTTTCCTGTGGACCTGGTTGGGCAAATTCGAAAAACCAACGAAGCCCATGAGCTTTTTGCGAATGACAGAAGTCATTGGAGAGGATTGAGCGGTCTGTGCTAATGATGGGCTTGAACCATTTGGCACGCCGTTGTATGAGGCGTCGCCATTGCGAGAAGAGGCGTACGAGTCGGTCATCTAGCAGCAGAATACGGTCAAGACGGTGAGCAGGACGAGAAGGGAACAGAAAATACACTGTAGTGGTCGCTGACGAGAGGGTCGTCGTCTGGTACTGGGGGGAGGAAAGAAGTTGGGCTTGAAGCTTGGTCTTGTTTGGCGCGGTCTTTGCCTTTGATGGAGTCCAAATCTGGCTTGGGCAGCAAAAGGGTCTACACCGCGGCCCTATGCAGTCAGAATACCGCCACTGCTGAGGTTAACGACTCTATTACCCATGAATACGCCTTCCACTTGAATGGGTTCATTTACGTTGATGCACCGACACGCGCAGTGCGCCGTCTCTTTACATAGGTTCACTGCTTAAATTAAACATGCAGCTCAGGCGAGGCGATTGGACTAGAATGTATAGATTACTGCCAGGATGGAAAATAAATAATGCACAGGAAGCTGAACATGAGATAAGGAGTGGTTTATGCATCGCAAGCATCTATGTTCATGTACATGTCGAACATCTCCTGCTCCTCCTCGCTCCAGACGCCTAGGTCAGATGGCGATGGGCTGGATGAAGGCTCCGATTCTGTTCCGCTACTACCTCGAGGTGGCGTGGCCGGAATAGAAAAAGGGTGTTTCTTGGTCCCCTGATTCTGCCCGTAGGGCGAGTGGCACGGGGTTCTCTGTTTGCTCGTCGTGTGTGCATCCGCGCTGTATATGGTTCTGCCTTTGGCATTGAACGGATTGCGCGTCGGTGGGAAGGGGGCAGCAGCGACCTGACCAGCAGGATACTGACTCCTCATCAAAGGAGCGGACTGGTCGTGTTGACGACCGATAACAGAGAACAGGGCAACTCGGGCGTCGGCAGTTCTGTCCATGGTGCGTTGTCGAATGATGAGGATCGTAACCTGACGGAAGGCCCTTCTTATAGCCCTGACTATCCGTTCGCTTTGGCTGGTAGATATTGGATATATACAAGCCACAGTGGCCCAATCTTACGCGTGGCCACCCCATACACCTCGCTGGTCAATGGGGGTGCAGGCCACCCGAATATGATTGTGTCAAAGAGGAGCACAACGAAATCACTGCCATTGTGTTTACTGGGCATTTATGGTATGTTTACCTTTAGCTCAAAAACTACCGAAAACAAAACCCAGTGAGCACAGGTCCTCGATATGTGGATTGTGGATCTCACCGTCAGGCCTTGCATAGTGGCCCACGACATCAAGGTCGAACTTCCCTCGAATACAATCATCTAAGTCCAGCTCCGCAGTAAGTACCCCTTCAGATCCTAAAAGTGGCCCAGCGAGGACTTTGCCCAATGGGTTGATGATAACACTTCCACCAGCGATCATAATATTGTCTGGCTTTCGATTATTAGTATCGGCAACAGGATGATCCGGGGGGTAGTCCTTTTCTTGCGCAAACTGGCATGCCGACAAGACGAAGCAACGACCTTCGATGGCGATGTGGGTCATGGTATTCTGCCAGACTGGCCTAGCATCCACTGTCGGTGCGCAGTAGATTTGAGTGCCTTGCGAATAGTAGTAGGTTCTGACTGAACGCTGCGTTAGTTGACATGTAGAAGTATCGAGACACCTTACGCAAAGGCATATAATTCTCCCTGAAGAAGATGCTTCTGTGAATATATCAGTTAACAAATTGATTCGGGGACTACTTGCCAGCATATAGTAGCCGAGAGCTTCGCAGAAGCTTGCGCGCCGAGTGTGTCATTGAATTTAGCTTCGACTACTGGAAGAGTGGAGCCGTCCCCGAAGCCCCAAATCAGTCTCTCAGAAGCCGTGGGCATCAATTTCCTATGTTTTCCAACAAAACCGTCCTGGGGGCTGATGAACAGGACAGTGCAGTACAATGTCCCGCCATCGCGTTCAATAACACCGACCACGATGAACACGCCGAGATCCTTGCTAACGGACTCGATGCGAGAAACGGCAGGGGAAGGAACGTCGATTGCGGCGTTATAGTAACGCAAGAATTCTTCTCGGCCCTCTGGGGAGCGATCGCCCACTACAGTTCCGAATGTTGACATTTTGGGGTAGCCACCAATGCTGCAATCCCCTTGATTCAGTTCCCGTGAAGCGAATATTGAGAAGAGAACTCACAAGGCTTCCGGGAACACAACTAGTTCGGACCCATCCCTTTCCTTGCCAACCCGAGCAAAGTGTTCCAGTTTATCGAGAGTGCTGGATAGCGAGTAGCCAACCGTGCATGCCTGAACCACGGATGCCTTGATCATCGTTGGAAACAGGTCGCAATTTGCGAACCAGAGTGACAAATCCGATTCCTAGAAAACCCTATGCTTCCCCAGGGCTAACACTCAACGTCACCTGACACGGAAGACATATGGTGAATTCATGATTGTATTATAAGTATGTGAAACTACGCAATAGATGTAGGCGGTCCGGACGAAGCGACGGCTCCACCGGAAGGTAACCATTCAGCGGGGAAGTCTCTTATTGTGGGTCGGTGGAAGACACGACCACGAAGATGTTCACCTTTCTTGGCCTTTCTAGCCTTGGCGTATACATGCCGTAGGTCAAGAGGAAGTTTGGCGAAGGTGTCACTTGCATCCTATAACACGCCGTCAGGGTGCGATTCACAAGTATACATTGGTCACGAACATTTGCTGCTGCGACTAACCGGTCGAGCGCGTCGCTTGCCCACTTGAGGTTCATTGCAGGCTTCGGGAAGTCTTCGCATGATATCTTCACGTAGCCATTGCCCCATTCCTTTTCCCGACTGACCCCAGCATCGGTCGGGGGATTTGGCGTCCATCTCGGACCAGCCAGGAGTTTCAGCTTGTGAACAGCATGCTGGCCGGCGAGAGGTAGATCGTCGACCGCAACAACAAGAACGCGTTTCAATGCTGCCGGATGCTCTTCCCCTGCATAGTCCAGCGAGCGAACATGAAGCGGGGTTGACGAGTCCGGAGGAACAAACGGTTTTCGGAAGGCTAGACCAATATGAGCACAACATGGATATTCAGTGGCGAACACAATTACCGACGAGCTTCGGCATCTCGTGCTCTATCAGACGAAGGTAGTGGAGTATCTGCCTATGCTGCCTGAGCATCATATGGCCGGAGGAAGCAGTGTCGTCGTCGTCGAATTCATCGTCCAGCAGTTCTAGAGCATCGGTAGCGGTAATCTTCTCCTCCATTTTCGTGCGGCGTGCGAGCATAGCTGAAGACGCATGAAAAGAACGAATGTGGCTGCTCGTCGCGAGTGACGGCCTCACCTGCTTGGAGGCTGAGGTCAAGGCATGGTATACGGCGCGCATGCTCGAGTTCGGGATTTCGACAAAACGCGCTCCGACGTCGGGATGAGTTTGGCTGGGAGATGTTTGTTCGACAGGTTGTTGCCACGCGGAAACAAATATAGGTACCCCTGTCCAACTTACCGCTTAGTACTGGCACCGTGTTCTGAACGACGATCACCATCTTGGACAGCATCGCACCATGGTCGTGAGTCCCTCCAATCATCAGAACATTTGCGCAACTTTCTTACAGGCAATAAAGCGTCTACTACTCTCGATCAAAGCAGAATTAGAGAATGTGACCAACCTGGTGCCCGCATCAGATTCCTTCGAGTATTTCTTTCAGGTGGCTGAGTCCCTCGGTGGTGGTGCAATTCCCATTGAATTATCTCCCAGGTAAAATGCAACAGCTGCCACGAAGTCCACCCGCGTTTCGTTTCCCTCAATCGTGAAGTGCGTCACAGAACCATTCATTGTCTTACTACAGTTAATTTATCCAACGAGCAGGAAGAGCGAGATGTTTCAGGCGGCAAAGGTGCTACTGCGCACTTTGTTTGGCGATGCGGAATGTGTATGACCACATTGTATGGTCGTTTCCCCATCTCTAAAGCCGCCCCATCACTCAGGTAAACGGGAGAGCTCCGCCAAATTCGAGGCTACGAAGCCACTACCATATGCCGATGAGAACGGCCAATTCGCTCCCCTACTCACCATAGAGTGCAGAGGGCTGGAATTCGTAGGATTTGACCCGAGAGTATGCTAACTGGCGCTTCCACATGATTACGCTGACTTTTCGCGTAGGGGATCTGGCAATGTGAGGGGTTGACGGGTGCGAAATTTCCGGAGGTCGACCTTGAAAACGGCGAATGGGTGGACTACGACGAGAAGGTAAACTTCTTCCCAGTTTACTGGTACATCACCAAGATCCTGACCGTCCATCAGGCAGCACTCCCAGTAGGTGTATCAGGATTGGAAAGTCAGTGGAGCAGAGCTCCCTAGTAACGGTATACGTATCGAACGAGATCTATCAACAGCTAAGTAAGTACGGACGAAGATGCAGGATGCTCAAATTGTTGAAATCATGATGAGTGCAAGTTCTGTTGCTTCTCGCTTGGCGGTGGCTTGATTCGCCCGCGAAGAATGTCTTGCTTCCAACCGTGATGATCGCTGGGTGATGGTAGATGTAAGGCTTCCCTCCCTTCGATAGCTATTTCTTTGGCCTTGTCTTTGCCACCTTGAAGGAGTTGGCCCCCAGATTTCTTCAACTTGGTTATATGTTCGATGCTAGATTTAACATCATCATCGGGACTTGGCAAAGAGCATCTCCGACCGAGTACTCACCCCCAAAGTGCAGCTTCTGCCTTGCTAATCTTCGCTTTATGCAAGTTGACGCCCCTCTTTTCCAGGATTTCTAGGAATTGATGGAAATGCTTTGCAACGGTTAAGCGAAAGTGTATAATTTATTCAGAGGTGTCACACCTCGGTGGATGTTCTGCGTCCCAGTATAGTTTCATAGAATCACCCACAGTCAGCCAGACAGTAACAAATTCGCTCACCGATAATGCCCTGACAGAGGCGATAGTGTATGTATCAGACCATCCTTGACGGAGATCAACCCGGCTGAGGTAACGAGACCTCCGCCCAAGAAGGACGAGTGCTGGAATTCCCCTGTTTCTACAAGAAGTGTAAGCACGGAAGAGTGCATTCTAGAGCTCCCGATCACCTTTGATACCAATGAAAATATTGACTAAAAATCAGAATCAGTAAGATCAATTTAACTTATGTGGCGGAGATTCTGGCCGACAATTTTTGTCCTGACACAGTATGGTCAGCCTTGGTTGATCTTTAGGTCCGGCCTCGAAACTCACTGAAACGTAGATCCACGTATTGCGGCGCACCGTCTTTCTTAACAGTCGATTGAGGACACCGCGGATAGTGAAGTACTTTCTGAATAGCCGTGTAATACGGTACTTTCCTGCAATCGGTTCAGCATAGTGCTGGGGATCCGAGGATTGTACAGATGAAGAGCCCGAGTCGCGCCTCGTTGTTGGGACGACGCCACCAGGTAGTTCATCTGCTACGATACCCAGGCCTTCACCAGCCTCCTTCCAATGTCCAGCAGAAGTGTCGACAAATTGATGGTTTCGGGCCCATCGTAGCTTGCCCTCCTGATCGATTTCAACGAGATAGTTCAAGCCTAGCGTTTCGGGGTGAAATTATTCATCGGCCTTGTGAAAGTAGATCACTCACGTTGTTCGTCTGATAGGTATCTATCATCGGTGATAGAAAGTTTGTTAGCAAGAAAATGGGGTTATCAGCCCACGTAGAGGGAGTAATTGTAATTTGCATACTGGATACGCTGATTCATAGGAACTCAGTCCACTGTGACTAGATGGGGGATACAGTAGCTCACCTCTGCCTCTAGCTGAGAACGCGGACATTCTTTGAGTGAAAGGTCCTTTCCTGCCCCTTTGTCTAACCTAAAGATTTTTTAGCCGTTGTGAACGAACAGAAAGTATTGTGCAATAGAGTGCATACCATTTGAAGAAGTTATCCTGGGTATCCTCTTCTACCCATTTCCTATGATACCACTAGCCCAATACATATAAGCCCCCTAAGTGACTTCAATTTACAGCCAACTGGCCTTGACTGAGGGTTACTCTAGTGTTAGGATCGGCGCTGGTGCGTGTAGAAAGCGTTGTACTCAACGATTTGATCCATATCTATGTTTCCTAGTATCATATTGAGCATCAGATGGCAGAAACAGTCCATTGAGTTTACCCGTCGATGAGTTCGAGCCAATGCTGGGTTTCCAGCTGCTTCAGAGCGGCAGTAGGCTCGCTTTGACCAGGCAACTGCAGCCGTTCGTTGGGATCCCTCAACTTCTTGATCAGGTCGGAGGCGCGTCTCCATCGTGCCTTAGGTGTGTTCTGCCCTTGGTCTGCAAAAGAATTGTCCACCTGCAGTTCCTCGAACGTGAACTTGATTGTCAGGATTCAAAGCCAACGTGACGGCCCACCTCCAGCTCCGCATGTCCCACTGCCTGTATCCAGCGATTGTTGGCTGTCATGTACTTGGCAGTGGCCTCATTCCGCCTTCGCCAGGCATGCTGTATTGTGCGGGCTGCCCTGGTCCGCTCGCTGACATCCTCCGTTGATGTCGACATGACTGCAGTGGCTAACAGTGTGCGAATGATTAGAAGCGAAAGCGACGTCACAAGATGTGATTGAATCAACAGAGCTGCTACATTATGCATATTAGACTGTTACATGATATCATAAGGGATGGACTAATGAACATTGTTGAGTGTGTGTGTGTGAGAGTAAGAAAGAACAGATGCGCGACGAATTTGGATCAGAAAATGTGATATATGGATGAGATTGTAGAAATCCAGAGACAGAAATCCATCATGTAAACCCGGTGAAAACCCAATTGTCTGGGAGCGTGAGGTATTTATGCCTTCGCAATTCCGAGGCAGTGGGACGCTCCTCCGGATTGCTGCCAAAAACGTGAGTATGCGACGGGAAAGGAACAAGGAAGAAACAGGCTGACATTGCGAAACATTTCCTTCGGAAGTCATCTGCTAGAGGGGACAAGATAACATCGTCAGGGACTGGTGGCGGAAGTTTAGCTTGGTAGAGCTGTAGAAGTGTCATCAGAAATAAATTGCTGTAAAAGCGCATAGTTCTACCTTAAACATCACCGCGACAACTTCATCGCCATTCCAGGGTCGCATACCTGCCCACATTTCCAAAACGACACATCCCATGCTCCAGATGTCGATTTTGAAGTTGTAGCCTTTCTTCTGGGAGTTGATAACCTCTGGCGCCATCCAGAAAACTGTTCCTTTCATGGCCGTCATGGCGCCGCCCATATCGTCTGTGCGTTTGGATATTCCAAAGTCTGATATCTTGCACACACCCGATTTCTCGACAAGGATGTTGTCCGCTTTCAAATCCTAGGATGCCGTTAGAGTTATTCTAACAGTAGGTGCGGATTGAACAGCAACGTACCCTATGCAGTATCCCCTTTGAATGAAGATATTCCAAACCATCAAGAATTTGACCCGTGAACGACTTGGTGACTTCTTCGTCGAACTTTCCATGTTTCAGCAAACAGCTTCCAATTGATCCACCAGGAACATATTCCAAGAAACTGTACATATCCATGAGTTACCTTGCTTGCGAAGCACCGCTGTAACGACTCACATGCTGAGATTTGATGGCGTCTCTTCAAAACCGAGGTACTGAACGATATTAGGGTGGTCGAGGTCTTTCAGCGTCTCACTCTCGAATTTAAGGGCCTCAACAACCGTCACTTGGCGTGTATCATTCCTGTCGCTCAGAGTCTGTGGTATTTCGACTTGCTTGACTGCCATCATCTCTCCTGTGGTCGCGTTTAGGGCAAGATAGACTTGACCGTAAGTACCCTTTCCTATGAGTTCTCCGCGAACCCATTTGAAGGTCGCTGAATCTAAAATGGTTGAGTTAACAAACGTTATCAAGTAGATATTGTGCTTACTTGGCCCGCCAGGAGGTGAGTCGGGAAGATTGGCCCCGAGACTTGCTTTCGCGGCGTGCAGAGTCGTCACTTCCTCTACGCGACTGCCCCATAATTTCGTACTTCTCTTACGAGACATAGTCGTATGAGAAGCGGCGGCAGCGCGCGAAGCGCGTTTCTTATGTTCTTCGGCAACAATTCGGATGGACTTCTTACTCCTCACCCTTCCTCTATCGTTGATCTGCAGAGGTGGTACGGGCGGATATTCTGGAGCTGTTGGTGACGTGCCGCCCGAACTAGCTTCAATGACTGGTTTGTCAAGGTCATGTTCCGGGAAGAAATCTTCAAGTCGGTCGTAAACGTCTTCAGGTGGCGGTCGGGGTGCCCAAGTGTAGTCACGCATATCAATGAAAGTACTTCCACGTCCTGCATGTCTGGGCGACGGAGAGCGACTTGACAAGGGCGTCATCTTCGGAGCTGAAGAACGTATGGCCGATGACATGTCCGAGGCTGTACTGGGCACTGATACAGGAGAGGTGCTGCCATTATCGTTTTGAATCTGTACTTTCAACGCGGGACCTCGAGCTGATTTCGACGGATTATCAACCATAGGAGGCTTCGCCCACATCGACAAGGAGGTGCCGCAATCATCACGATCGCTGTCAGATTCATCAGAAGGTAAGTGACTTTGAAGGAGGGGTGGCGATAGCTTGGAAACATCTGATGGAGTCTTCGGCGGGAGCGGAGATGTAGGGACATCGGCATCGTTCCTGGGACGCACAAGCAAAGTTGCCTCGCTATTGTTGTTCTTCATATATTGAGCGAACACCCGTTGGGCGTCCACAGTGAGCGTTGCCCTGTTGTCTTCATCCGGAATTAATGTGCTAGATTCTGAGGCTGATACATCAGGACGTCTTTCTCGGGTAGGTGGCCGACGTGGACTCATTGGGCTCGTAGGGCTGCGTGGAGGTGTCCGGTGTACATCAGAGCCATGGTGCCTGTCACTAGATCGTTCAACAAGATTGGTGGAAGGTTTGCTTCCGTAGCCGCCGGCAGATGGGTAAGAACGAATGGGGGAGATAGCACGCGGAGAACGAAGTATGTCTTGTGGTATCGGATCGTGGCTGTTGGTGTAGGTGGGGGATTGCATCCGTACTTGGAACCGAAGAGAAGGAGAGTTCGGATGTTCACCGATGGCGGACTGCGGTCGAGGATATGGCTCGGTTGAGGAGGCAGATAAACCCGCCGAGGGCAAAGGAGGAGTGAAATTTGAGTAGTGACTAAAGTCGATGGAGTTCGAGTGAGGGGAAGCTTGCACAGGAAGCGGACGATGATGCTTCGGAAGGGGAGGAGGATTACTCGAACTACCAACACTACCAAGTCGACTTGCTGGATCTGGGCGCCGACCTAACCCTGGGCGCATACTGGGCGGGTGACCGGAGGCTTTCAAGTTGTCTACACTTCGAGCTACCTTCAGCATTCGCTTCCAGTGAGGACCTGATGTAATCATGGCTTTCTGTCCACCCATTTCTTCTTTAAATGGCGCCGGCCACTGAGGATTGGCGGCATTCCTACCCACCGAACGACCTTGGGGAGGATAGCGAGGCTCGAAATTACTGGTTGGTGGTACTGCCGGGGGTGGAAGTCGAGGGGGAGTCGGGATCTTGATTCCGGAGACGGAACGGTTTGCAAATGTCGAAGGTATTTTGGCCCGTACCGGAGAGAGTTGTGGCCCAGAGAACGGTATTGAGGGCGAGCTTCGGGTAATATCTCTGGTAGGGTCTACGTGAACCCAGTCGTCGTTCTCCAAAGGTAGTCGTTTATTATACTGGAGATCAGGTCGACTCTTAGAAGAGTGAAGCTGATGATGCCACCGCGACGTATTCTGTTTATGGTCTTCGCTTGCTTGTATAGCTTGCTCACGTTCAGCGGCAGCATCAGATCCAGATCGTCCGTGTAAGCGTTTTGGTGGGACAGCCAAGGTATGTTCGTCAGTGAATGAGGGTCGACTAGGGGACTGGGGAGGGGGGACTGGAGGACCATACGTCGAATGTTCGCCGTAAGTCGGACTAACGTCTGCAGTAGAGGGCCGCCTGCGGTCTTGAGGTGGTGAAGGAGGTCGAGGTAGAGGGGATACAGCGCGATTTGAGTTGGTACCATTCGATCGTCGGGTCAGAGGAGAAGGAGGGTTCGGTGTCGATTGAGGTGCGAACGGCTGATGAGGGGGCGGTCGCATGGTTGCTCGATGGCTATCCCAATCTGGGTTGTCGAGGTCTGCTTCATAACCATTTCGGGGATCACTGGTCGAAGATAAGCTGCCTTGTCGCGAACGGGATCGACGCTTTGGTCTCAGAGGGGCGGTGTCGGTGAAGTTGGGTGGAAGGACGGGCGGCGGGATTGGGTTGGGACTATACGAGATGGGGGGGTGGAGCTGGGCTACCGGTTCGTGAACCAAAGCAGACGAATAGGACACCAAAAGCTTGAGTGAACCTTTGGAATCCCCACGCTCTCGGCAAAGCTCGAACAAACGTTCATCGCTCAATGCGTCCCCAAGGGCGTAAGCTCCAATCTCCGTTACCCATATAGAGAATTGTTTTTGATCTTCTTCCTCCCAGATAGATAGCTATGCGATGTCAAGAAGAGGCAAAAGAGGGGAAATGAGGGGGACACATACCTTGGTAAATATCCTCTCTTTGATAAAAGCTGGATCCTTTGCACCACTAATATCGACAGTGTAATAACGTTCGGCATCTGGCGTCACGACGATAATGACCTTCTCAGCCACGGTGATAGTTGAATTGGTACTTGAATCAGAGCCAACCACTGTGGGAGACTATCACACCATGAACATTCGAAAGGGACGATGGGAAGCACTACGTACATTTACATTGCGAAGCGGTCTAACGGCTGGGGGCTTGAATTGCTTTCGCGCCGCAAAGTCTCTGTCAGGTCCATGATTATCAAAATCGCCGCTAGAGCCAAGGTTTCCAGGCGTGCGTGGAGGAGTAGATTCGGCTGCAGGAGAACTTGTGCTAGATGGGGACGAAAGACCAGGGTGCGCTGGGGCTCGTGAGATAGAATCTGAGGGCAGATTAGTGTCCACCGTAGGCGTTGGACGTGCCGGCGGATATGGTGAGGTGACCGGCGATACATAAGGGTACGTCTGGGGCTGGGGCTTGAACTGGACTGGTGGAATGTCGTCGTCGTTTTCCACGTCGGGGTTTGCGATAAAGAGATGTCTGATGCGCTTGCGACCGTCGGATTCCGACATGGCTAATCGAGCGGTGAGCATGACAGAGCTGATCACGAAAGCGTATCGCACCGACCAGCCCAAGGTCGATAGCTGGTATACGAGCGGGCAGAAAACTGGCAGGCTTGTGCAGCAACGAGACCTTGCCTGGTCCTTTGCGAGATGAGGAGGAGGAGGAGACGTAGAAACGATGTGGTTTGGGACAAACGAGGTTGGAGACAACCAGGCTCTCCTGGGCGCAGATGCAAGGGCAAATGATGACTAAGCTCACTCAATGGCAGCGCAACAATGGCGCCCACTTTCGTCCCTTTCACAGGCGCACTTGGCCTGCACGCTCCTCTTCCAAGTCTCCAAGCACACATGTGCTTTCCTCATGTTCTTGCAGCCATTTTACACCAGGGAGCTGCGCGCCTCGCCTGAATATTCGTATTTACCGCCTAGTTACCAGCTCTCATGCCAGTGTCACCCCGATCAGACAAACACAACTTTGATGTTACATCCAAATAGTGATACAACAAGGACACTCTACCAGACTGATCATTACCCATCGCCATTACACTCGAGAACCACTCATATCGACGTCGCGTTCGGTCAGTAACCCCGCACGAAGATCGACCTATCCATCAACCGTGGTCAATGCGAGAACCGCGCACCGTAGCACAACGACATACCTTGGGGAAGTCCGCCTTCTCTTCCAGCAGCGGCTCTGCCCACGAAAGAAGCTTCAGGAGAAGAATCAGCTTGACTTCTTTCCCTTGCCCTGAATTTTCCAAAATAGCAGCGTTGACCTCACCAGCCGTCTTTAACCTCTGTGCAGGTGACAATAGCTCCGCGATCGCTGGAGGAGCTGTCGGCGAAGAATCAAATGCGAGAAGAGCCATGGTTCTCTCCAATTCGGTAAGGAACTCTGGATTTTCCTCCCCTCGTAACGCCAACTCTTCTTGTGCAAATTGAAGCGCATCTGCCACCCGGCCTTGGCGGATCAGTTCTATCAGCTTCTGCTGTTGGAGGTGGAAATAAAGCGCTGGTCGTGTCTCGAGTATCTATAGAGAAGAAATGTGTCAGCATTGTGTTCAAGCATACACGGCAAATATTGGTTCATATTGAAGACTGAAGTTTTTGGTTGGAGTCTCATCATAAGCCTTACGGCTTGAGAGTGGTGCATGAAACCTTCTAATCATAACAACGTGACTTGCGTGCCAAAGCTCACCTCTGGATCAAGATCATTGACTTTCGCCATAGCTTCTTCGACATCACCTCGCTGAAGAGCCTCTCGAATCTCCATGCGACTCTCGATGCTGTCGAAATCAACGGGTGGTTTGAGACCGGCTTCTTGACTGAAGACCTCTGCTGCGGGTTTGTACCCTTCGGTAGCAAGGTAGTCCATTACGAGGCGGTTCAAATCACTGTCAAAGGTTGCATCAGCATTGCGACTTCATCAAAGATGTTGAGGCATAGAAGGTATCAGATAATACATGCAAATTTTGTACTCATCAAGGGATTTCAGAGAGATTCCCAAAAATGTTTATCATCCTGTCAGAAGAAGGGGAACGAGTACTCACTCTTTGGAAACTTGCACCTCATGCAAGATACGTTCCCATTCTTCTTTGCGGATTGATGTCTTCGGAGTCTGGCACGCTCATGAGCGAACATGCCCCAACGGACGAGGAAAAGCACAAACCATGAAAATTTTACTGGAGGGGGCAGCAGAACCGTTTTGATCAACTTCTGATTTAGGGCAGGCGCGAAAGTCTGCCAAGGCCACGCCCCTGTCTTCCGCAACATCCAGTGGGTCACACACGACAATTGTGCAGTTCACGGTGATTCGTAGTAAAGACAATGTCCCATAGAACGGCACCAATACAACGAAAGTATATCATGAGCTACTGCCTGTTTCCCACTTGCGTTGCCAGGCGTTCAACCGTTCCATCATATCCGCCCACTCTGCCTCCGTTTTTACACCACGCAACCACCGGTCCTGGATCCCGAGTTCTTCAACGCGCAGCCAGCCTCTTTTCAAGTACTCGTGGTTGAGCTGCGCGCGTCTCCATGGTTCAATGAACTTTCTACCGTCGTTCGGCAGTGCACCCTTCTGCTTCAGATGATCAATCAGGGAATCCATATAATCGTTTGAGGACCCGTTCAGCTGGCGGTGCCCAACGTTGTATGGATCAAACCCTCGACGACGTAAATCATCTTCGTATTCAAACAGCTCCTGTAGCATGTCCTCCCGCGAGGGAAGTAATTTTGGGTTTAGAATTGCGTGGACGGCGTACAAACTCTGCGCAGTGTCAGAAATGCAGTTTGCCGTGAAGATGGGGAGGCCGATGAACGCAAGCGCGGTGGGTGGGTAAGAAGGGCACAAGGACAGTATGTGCTTGTGCAAGGGGAATACGTAGCGAAGGTTGGTCACAAGGCCTTGCTTGTACGTGTCGTTGGAATGCGCGGCGGGATCCGTCACGATTGTTCCTCCAATGTCAAGGAATGGGAATTTATTTTCGTACCCAGTTCCTAATACAACGGCGTCGACATCGTCTAGGAACTGGCCGTCGGCCAAAGTTATTCCTCGCGCCGAGAAGTGAGATATCTGGGGCACGACGTGAATATCCTCAGGAATATCACCCTGAGAGGGGTCTATTGGGCTTCGTAAAGAAACATAAACCTAAAGAGTTTCAGGAGGAGCGTGGATCGTTTGGGGGATCTATCTCTGACCTTCTTGGCTATAGGAAGCGCTTGCTTGGCGACATCACTGCCGCTAGCGCGATACCCAACGACTAGCACCGTTAAATTGGCGTATTTCAGCGGATCGCGGTACCAAATGGTGTGTAAAAGCTCGCGTCGAGGTTTACCAATGGTATGACTAGCGAGCCAATCATCCTCTCCTTGCCAGTGTGGAATATGCGGGTAGTGGTTGTTTCCGGTAGCCACCACGAGGTGATCAGCTATCTTATGCCGCGTATTGTTCAGATGGTCGCGATAGGTGATATTCCACCTGCCGACTGCGGGACTACCAACCCAAGAAGCGGCAACAACGGTATGGTGGAATTTAATAAGACTCGTCAGGTTGTGATAGTCCGTATACCGTTGGTGATAGTCCTCGATATATTCGTGGCTGGGGTAAAGTGGCGTCCCTTCCTCAAAGGGAAAGCCTGGATAAGTCATTGTCGGCACTGGTGTATTGGTGTGTAAGCGAGGATATAGGGGTGTTTCGGGAAGGGACGGTGGAGGGGCCGTCTCCAGCTCGGGCAACCTGTGAAGCACAGGTGTTGCTGTGAGCTCGAGTCAGGTGCAGGAGCGCGAGGATAGCTACCAGATGCCCCCAACATTTCGCCGTTGCTCAAACAAACTCACGTCCCACTCTCCCCTTCTAGCAGCTGGGAAGTCGGACAACGTCTTCAACATGGCCAATCCAGCACTTCCAGCACCTACAATAACGAATGATTTGTGTTCAGGTTCTTGTTGCGTCCAATTTGTGGTGAAGATGGAGAATACGAATTGACGTAGATTGACCATGTTGAGTAGTACTAGTGAGAGCTTAGCGGTCAACCGCGAAGCGAGTGATCTTATATACACAGAAGCCCGAGCCGAGCTTAGTGAAATCCGCCATGGAAATGGCGTGCTTGGGGCTTACGCTCCAATCATTAGGTGTTATCAAAGATAGACCAGTGATATAATGTGAGTACCAAATAGCGGGAGGCCTAGAAGAGTGTTCACTGTTTGGATACCAGTCCTCCAGATCGAATCATGTCGAAGAAGTCATCCTTGACTGCCGCACCTGCCCGAAACGTTAGCATGGAAGAACAGCCGCCGAGATCAGTATTTGATGCCTACCCGCGTCTGTGCCCCGAGACTTTCGTTTTGTGTCTGCTGCAGGTGCTGGCAGTGTGGGTTTACCCGAGCCCCTCTGGGCCTTGGATTTTTCTATTGCCGCAGTAGCAGAAGCTTGTGACTGTTGAATAAGATTGAAGAGTTTGACGACTACATTTTGTTCGTGTGAAGGGCATAACAGAGGGCACTATATCACTGACCTCCTCGTTGAGCGACCTTTCTCAAGGCACGTTCATTCTCACCGCCCCAGCCCCCAATAACATCCACGATCCTGCCCTTATCCTCCTGTTCCTTCCTTTCCGTTTGCAGCACTTTCTTCGCCTTCAATTCTAATTTTTCATCGTTATGCTTCCGAGATATGGAAGGCTTGAGTGAAAGTGGGAGTGCTGAGGGGGCATCGGTGTGCAGAAGCGATTGGAGGGTGTCGCCAAATTTGTTGGGCTCTGTCGCGCGTCGTTTGCGTTTGCCGGTTTTGAGGGATTTTTTGACTGTAGCGATCTCATCATCGGTATCATAGCTCTCGGAACCGGATGAGGCGCCTGAAGATGAACCCTGTGCTACTGAATGTGATGAACCCGACTCGTTATCTGAATCAGGGCTCTGTTTCCGACGTTTTGAAGGAGGAGTAGACATGGTAGTCGTTGTAGAAGATTGTGCGACACGTGACGGGGACTGCAGTGAACGAGTTCTGGCCAGCAACAGGCAGTAACTACACTCGCACTCGCCGGTTGGATACAAATTGCTTCAGGACTCTGCACACTGCGAACTGGCGGCTTGCTCATATCCTCGATTTGTCCGTGACAACGCCATCGACAGTCGGGCATCGAATCTATGCTAGTGCTCGCCGTGTAGCGCTCACCACGGGTTTGCTTCACGGACAACCACTGCGACTAGAAGATAATGGATCCTGCCCTAGAATTCTCCCCAGAACCCGACTTACACCCCTTGCACCCCACAATACCTAATATCGCGCTTCTGCTCTCTAGTCACTCAGGGTTAGCGCCATCCCAGAAGGCAGAGCTTGTTACGCACTGCTTAACGCGTGCTTGCGTCTTTGGCGACTTGCAAGTACTTTCGTATCTCATATCAGACTCGCAGGCGCAGGCGTTTGTTGATCTTGGGATCCGCGACGATGAAGGCCTTGGCCTTGTCAGCTTAACCATCCATGGTTTCGGGTCAGAGTCGGACAAGGATGTGGAGAGGGAAGAGTGTGTTAGACTGCTCGTCTCCCAAGGTGGCAGCCTGGTTGCCGACGAAGGTGAGCCATTGGTAAATGAAGGATCAAATGAAGTGCATCCTGATGCAGTCACGCAGCTGGCTGGACACCACTTCATCATGCTGCTTTACTCTCCCCACCTACCCTGATATCATATCTCATGACACACGGTTGCTCTCCTTTTGATCGGACGCGCCGTGGACTTATGCCTCTCGACATTGTGACTGCGCATTCAATGCTTCCAGGTCGCGACGATGTTGCGCTATTGCTCGAAGAAGCTATGCGCAGTGAAGGCTGGACCGGTGGAAAGATGGAACAACACCGTCGACAGGTAGAGCGGCGAATACGGAAGAAGCAACAACGGCAACATATACAAGATGATGTTGCTCACGTACTCGACTTACCCCCCAAGTGGTGGGGTCCAAGTGCAGACTCCTCATCTACTGACTCCGACTCTTCTGATGAGGAAGACGACATCAATAATTCAGGCATATATGTAAGCTTCCGTTATTATCATTGTTTGCATTAAAAATCAACAACCTCATGATAGACTCCACCAGTCGACTACGCGTCAATGCTTGTCTTCTCCCCCATGTCGCTCCCACATATCTTCGATTCAATCATCACTTCATACCAACCATCCTTGGGTGACGCCCAACCTGCGAATGTCTTATACATGTTGGCAAGGTTCGCATGCCTGACGTGCGATCACACTTGGCTAGAGGACCTCATAATAGGCGCCACAGATGCCATTGAAGAAACCTTCTTCGTAAGTGGCCTATGCCTTGAGTTACGAGCTAGGCTAACTAATAGACAACAGAATCAAGGGGACGATATCACCTGCTTAGTCTTCTGGTTGTATAATACCACCATCTGGCTCCACCTCATGCAGTGTGACAACTCGATAAACGAAGCTTGTCAGATGCTTGGCTCCTTTGAGCTTATAGAGGAAGTCATAAACTCGGTTTTTGGTTGCTCCATTCTACCCCCGATGTGGACTCACTCTAACCCATCGTGTTTATAGTGTTCATCATTCGATTTGCTGAACGCAAGATTGATCAGCTGTTGGATGCCACTCTGCTGGAATACAAGCCCCTCGCTTCTGACCTAGATTCCGTTCAGTTTGAGTCGGACTGGGCATTCCTTCGGGCTTTCAGCTCCAAGAAGAGATCGCATACGGTCACTCCTTCAGCAAGCGCGTCCCCCTTGCGAACTTCTACATCGCCTACCCGAGTAGAGTCTCCAGCACCCTCACCTTCTGCAATGCAAGCGTCGCCCTCAGTACCAAAAGGCTTTTCATCCCTACGACACAGCTTTTCTCGGGTGGGCTCTTCAACGACACCGATTCAATCAATGTTCCCCGAATCGCCTCCGGCTCCATCACCAAATGACCTAACTTCGTTTCTCACTGCTCTTCAAACACTCCTTGTGCTATCGGGCATCAACCCCGCGTTCAGTACTCAGCTCTGGTCACAGATAATGTATTGGACCTCTTGTAAGCTCGAATTCGTCCGCGCCTTCTCCTACTAATGCAGTGTAGGCGAAGTCTTTAATCGAATTTTAACCCGCAAGAAGTATATATGCCGGTACTAAATGCATGCTCTTCTCACGTGGCGCCATTCAGTAATGACTTTTCTTCCAGTTCTCGAGCTACTCAGATCGCCATGAATCTTAGCGTACTAGAAGACTGGGTAGATGGCATGGGCCTACCTAGAGGTGTTCGGTCTCACTTTGCCCCTGTTCGCGATTTGTTGCAATGGCTTCAAGTCAGTATGCAGGTTTCCTGCGTCCTACCTTATATATCTATAACGTTGTTCCCAGTGCCTTTCGTCGATAACAGATTTCCCCGTCCTCATAGAAATCATTCAGGAAATGAAATGCATCAATCCTCTCCAGGTAAGTTTCCCCTTAATGGATGTGCTATGTGTTATCTCAGTTAATTTCGGGGGTCTAGATGCGACGGGCGATACGCGACTATAAATATGAAGTTAACGAGGGGCGGATGACCGAGGAATGCATTCAGTATTTGACGCAGCTACAGAAAGATTGGGAGCGCCATCGAGTCAAACTCGGAGTGGAGGCTTTACGGAAAGAGGTACGCACGGATAACTTGAATGCTTATAAGTTTGTGAATCTCTGGTCAGATTGACGAACGAGATCGCGACCGTGAGAGCATTTCCTCCATGCAAGATACGTTGGAGGATTCAAGGTCGGCACCATCAATACGTTCTATCTCCTCGTCAACGTCAGGCAGCCAGCATGGCGTTGATATCCTTTTTGATAAGACCAGAGATAAATCCGTATGGGAACCTGAGAAGGCCCCTCAAGTTCTGGGAGAACTACTCGATTCAAGATACATGCTCCCACTACTCTTCCCATCTGATCCACGCCTGCTGGCAGCCCTGCCAGGCAGGTTGAGCGACCACAAGGACCGTAAATCCGAGTCAGGAAGAGGCTACACTTCACCAAGAACACCTGACGCCTCTTCGAATCCTCGTCGCGGCTCCATGTCCTGGAGATCACGGAACAAAAAGATCCGTGAAGTGGGAATAGATGTTCTCCAGTGGGTAGATGGCATCCCATCTGCTGCTCGATGGGCCAAGCTGGCAGAAGCTGATGAAGAAGAGAACTCCCCAACATATGACACCGCCGACGTGGAAACTCCATATGGCGAGGAGCTGACAATTCGGACAAACGTCGTGCCCCTTACGCGACAGCCTTCCGGACGCAGCAAAGGACGAGCCAGTATGAATGGTGAACTCACTCCTGTCGAGTGATGTTCTAACGAGTTACCGGTTTGTCCGCTATGTCTCCATGGTATTTAAGGTTCTCACGATCTCGCTCGTTCTAGCATCGCATTTAGATAGTTACCCACTCCTCTACGTTGTTCCGCCACAATCTACTGTAATATCACCATTCAAAGTACGCACAAGATGAAATGTACTCGCCAATTCAAGGAATTTACGTGTCCCTCCACCCCGCCAGTATATGGGTGACGTATCTCCATGGCTTAAACTGTAAGTCTTTATCCGACCAACCATCTGTCCGCGAATGCTCGATGCATGCGGCCAGTCGTGTATTGTCATGCCTCTTGGATTCCTTTTGCAGCATTCATCACACGATAAGTCCTCCCGTGTATAATCGCTGCATATAAACAAGGGAGTTCTCTCGGCCGCTCTTGAGAAGGAGAAATACTCAGAGAGCCTTCGCTCTCTCCCTACCACACTTCCCCTTGATCTTCTCCCGCAGATGTCGATTCCGCCTCGCCTGATTTCCAACGCCGTGCCCTCCGTGGTCAAACCAACGACGTTGCTCATCCTCGTGGATGACGACTCGATCGGCAGTGGTTGGTGCGAACAGGTACCTATCCTTGTCTCGTCTGACAAATTGGAAAGGCACTTATCCTTGTTGCAGTTCAGTCAGGAGGGATACAATGTCCTGCATGTCAAATACCCCGTCGTTGAGGAAGACGGGTACGACCTCCGTCAGGCACTTCTGAAGGCCGATAAAGAAGTCAGCAAGTTGGGCGGCGACTGGGCCCTGATCACGTATGGACTATCTGCAGTGGATGCGAGGACCTTGCGATCCTCTATTCTGTTCTCGTGGAATGACTTAAAGGCTTGTATCCACTTCTGCCCCAACACAACGAGTGCAAAGCCTTTCTTGTTGAAGAAAAAGGCTGGAGGATACATCCCGTAAGATTTTCGTCAGTTTGCGATCCTTAAAAGTATTGATGCACTAAATCAGGTCCGTCTTTCACATACCCGCGAGCCAGGAGCTCATCCACGCTGCGCTGATCCCACATACCCAGACAGAACAACTTAACAACAATAGCCGATCTCACCCTACGATATCCGTGTTCACTTACCCACTCGTCCCGGAGAAATTCCCGTTCCCACTGATGCTGAACGCGCCGTCCCGTGCCGCGAGGGAAACTGTCTGCCCACACATTCGCTCCGCGACGACGCTGTCTCTCACTCGCACCTTGACGTTGCTGCGAAGATGCATCGGGCCTTATTTCGACCTGGAGTCAGTGTGGGAGCAACACGCTCACTATGTAAATTTATCTCATTCGGTGTTGCTCATATCGCTCACATCAAGGATGCTCAAATTTCCAATAGGAATTTGTTGAAAGGGACCCACAAAGTAAGTCACCAAACATCAGCAGATGTCTATACGACGCGTGAACTGTGTTTCCTTTTTATTAGAGACCTTGTCAACTATGGTAAGCGAAGCATTGTTCGCCGTTATACTAATTCTTGATTGCACTTAGGTTTCTGAGCCTTATGTGAATCACATTTCCACTTTAACGGGAGGTATGGGTCGTAAGGATTTATTGAGGTTTTACAAGGTTTGCTCTTGTTCGCTCCTTGGACTAGACTCAAGCTTATTCTATTTTCAGTATCACTTCACTGGTCTCGATGTACGCAGACAAACGTGCCTCCGAATCACGAAGAAACTCACAATGACGTAGACCACGCCTCCAGACACCGAAATGATCACCGTTTCGCGTACAGGTAATGTTGATCGCACTTGTTACACCTCGCTTAAATTGAGGGGACCCGCGTAGTGGGAACGGACAGAATCATCGATGAAGTGAGCGTATGACGGTATTTGTGGAGTATCGACTCATGTTTCCATCGTGTCAAGATGATATTCAAGTGCACACACACAACAGTGAGTTTCATCGTAGCCGATGGTGGAGCGAGTTTCCAAACCTCACCGCTACGACCCTTTAGGAAATCGACTAGTACGCTGCGTTGGATCTTAGATCTTGAATAAAATGGAGCTGACAGTAATTCCAGCTTTCTGCCCGGCATACCGCCCACCGGTAAGAAATTAGAATTCCCTGTAGTGGGAATCGTTGCATTTCGAGGGGACAAGATGTTTTTCGAGTAAGCGTCTGAAAGCTACTCTGAGCACCACGATCTGATATGACTTGCTAGGCATATGTATGAGGCTCCGTTTACGATGCTAATCCATGTAGGGCTGATCCAAAGTCAATTTCTGACTAGATATTGGGACCAAGCTTCCGTCTTAGTACAGGTAATTCGGAAAATGCTTCCGCTGTGTACCAGTAGCTTCGGAGTTGCGCGCTGACAGTTGATCGTAGCTCGACCTGCTTGATCCAACCAATCTCCCCGTCGCGGGTGTGGATGTCGCCCGGAAGGTGCTCGATCCATTTGGGGTACCGAGTAACACGTTGCTGGCGCGGTGGAAGACCAGCGAAGGCTTAGGCACTCAGTGATTCATGACGAGCATCAGTAGAAATTAAAAATACACATGTAACACCAGCGGTCGCCAGGTGTGTGTAAATGGGTGTCCACTATTATCAACAGCGGCGACCTTGGGGCTGTACGATGTGAACTGCCTACCGCAGTGACGGCGCGTGACAGGATGATGGGCGTTACTAATAGTAACGCTTTGAGCTCACTTGAGTCCACGCCAAGCGGCCTCCATCAACCTTGCTTTCAGCTGGACTTTGAAGGACGACCACCATGATCATTGATCCTCAATCCTCAAGCTCACCCCCTCCATTTTACTCTGATTCCAAGAAATCAGGCTATGGGGACGATGAGAAGAATGCACGGGGTAGCGTGGCTGGTCCAGACTACTCAAGCTCATCACTAGCTCCCACCAAGGACAAGGACGACCATGCGGCGCAATCGCTGAGCTTCCAGCACCCTTACGAGGACACGTCGTACTCGAGCGCGCACCCAAGACAGCCGTCGTATTATGACCAGCCCGATTCTTACCTGAATAAGAGTAATGATTCAGACCAGTCACTAGTAAAGAATGCTGGCCCTGCTGGCCGTACAAGTCGCTACGAGGACCTAGGTATGTGCTTTCAAGATGGCCTCGCACCTCTACGAATACGATCCTCACAGCAAACCCGACGTAGAAGTGGCCGATCCTCATGGAGATCCGTACGACTCGAGTCGGGCTCTACCTGTGGGAGAAAAGCCCGGCGCCATTGCGAAATTCTTCAACGGTGGTAGATACCCTCTGGAGCAGCGAATAGAGGACAAGAAGCGGGGCATAGGTCGTCAAAGATATCCGTTTGTCGGTGAGTAATCTCCGTCATACCGCCGTGACTTCTCTCTTTCTGACTTTGTTCGAACCAGTATGGGCGCTCACCGCTGCTATGACCGGTGTGTTCATCTACGAGCTAGTTCTAAATAACCGAGAACAAGGGACGCCACTGTCATTCAAAGTGCGTACGCTGCGTCCAGGTATTCGCAGGGTCTCTTACAGCAATTATAGCCGGTTGTAAATCCTATGCTGGGTCCTTCCTCAAGTGCACTGGTCAACCTTGGGGCCCGCTTCCCACCGTGTATGAAGCTCGTTGCTGAGATTCCTCCAAACACCCAGATGGCATGTAAGCTTCTAGGCTTGTGAACCACACGCACCATTTATTGATGGTTGTACAGGTATGAACAATACTGCCAACCCGCCGGACCGCTTCTGTACCGTTGAGACAATATGTGGCTTTGGAGGTATGTAGCCTGTGGTAAGTTTCTATCTCAACCTTCGCTAAATATTAGGCACATAGGTTTTGGTGGAAAGGAACCGAATCAATGGTTTAGGTAACTTTTTAGAATGAACTTGGGTTGTGCAATTCTCACCTGTGAATAGATTCATAACGCCTATCTTCCTGCATGCTGGAATTATACATCTACTGCTCAATATGTTGGCCCAGCTCACGCTCTCTGCTCAGGTCGGCATGCATCGAATAGACGTGCTTAGCATACTGACAGCAGTGATTTAGATTGAGAGAGAGATGGGTTCAGGTGGCTTCTTCCTGACGTACTTCGCCGCTGGTATCTTTGGTAATGTCCTTGGTGGTAACTTTGCCTTGGTCGGTATACCATCGGTGGGAGCCAGTGGTGCGGTCTTTGGCACTATTGCGGTCGGTTCTTCTCTTCACAACCGTCGGTCGTGGACTGATTTGTCGATGCAGGTGACTTGGGTCGATCTATTCGCGCATTGGAGGTATCATTACAGACCCGTTCGTAAGGTGGGTAAATTAGCGCATCTATCGTAGCCACACACTAATGGAAGATCAGCTCGTCTTCATGACCATCGAACTTGCCATCGGTGTCGCAATTGGATACATTCCATGTATGTCCTACTTTATCTGATTTCTAAAACAATGTTTAAGCGTCACTTTCCAGATGTCGACAATTTCGGTACTGTCATACCATCCCGCTGTACTTCGTTTACTAACCAAGTCCCATAGCGCATTTGGGCGGCTTCCTCGTCGGCATACTAGTTGGCACATTCTTCTACCCAGTTATCAGCGCGACGCGGCGGCATAAGCTTATAATGTGGATCTTCCGTTTGGCTGCCCTGCCGATCGCCATCGTTCTGTTCGTCGTGCTGACCCGCAACTTCTACACGTCGGATCCCTATGCTGGTAAGTACACTCTCGCGATGCTCGTGTGAACGATGTAGTGATAAAATTGTTCTATATAGCTTGTGCGGGCTGTCGATTCCTCTCCTGCTTCCCGACCAACGCGAATAATCACTGCAAAGGAACTGGTATGTGCCTTGGCTCGGTAGATCATTTCGTTTGTTCCTGGCTCATATATATTCTCCAGGCCTCACAACGGTGCCGGCATAATGTGAAAAGAGATTCCTGCAATAGTAGTACTCACACCTCACTGTCTCTATGGACTCTGCTACATCATCTGTACCGTATTTAATCAGGACATTCGAGTAATTTGTTGCACATTCAGAACCATCGATGGTGGTCAATCAGTTGTCACTCATGACGATGGTTGGCGAGAACTAGGCACCAGGAAATTGGAATTACGGAGGCAAATGATATTAACAGAGCACATTACAGAAGTACAAGGTATATATAGGAGATGGTAATCGACGCGTAGAACCTGAAAGGATATAGTCAGATATGTTGCCACGAAGAAGCGCGAAGATGGTGTCAGTATTAGCATGGTATATCCTCAACCCCACGTCCTTGAGACGAGGTCAGGGCTTGACTTCTATTTTGATAATCATTCGAAAGAGAAGTGGAAATCAAAACTCACCATGCAACCTGCAACGCTAAGGGCCCTGCTGAATCCTGGTACAAGAACTATTAGCCTTGACCATCAACGCGATATCAAAGAGCTCAGAAATTTGGGTATATGAAAGAAATTCATCAACCCGAAGGCTTCGAAGTAGCGATTCATTTGTGTCATCGCTGCGACATGAAACAGAGTGAAAGAGCTGACCTTGTAGTTGAGAGAACGGAACAGAGGGAAGAGCGACGCCGGATAGAAAAAAATTGCAATAAAAGGCAGTGTATCACGTGACATGCCAAACAACAGCAACTATACTTGAAGTGCATGGCCAAGGCTTGGTCTCGTTCGACGCTATAAAGGCGTTCACTTGACCTTCTCCTCATCACAATCCGCGACAATGGCCAACGTTATACAGGCCCCCATAGAATTTCAGCCACGGCCAGTGGGCCACTCTCCCTCGCCACTCTCCTTCGGTTTTGGCTTAACATCTCACTCAGTGGGCGCGTGGCCTTCGACTAGCCACATGAATCCCACCGCCTTCTCCCCCCACTATGCAAATATCCACCAATCGTCGCCATCGAAGGCACAGAAGCGCAGACATGACTCGGAAGAGAACGATGAGACGATGGACAGGAGCCCGACTCCGGAGAGACCAAAACGTATAATCAAGCGGCTCAAACCGACGGTGGCACAGGAACCGGCCTTGCATGAGAAAGAGAGCAAAGAAAACAAGGCGCCTGCGCAGGACGAGGATAACGATGTAGATGTTGGCCTATTGCTAGGTGAGTACGCTGAGTATTTAGCCGTAACATCCTGATGTTCATTGGTCCTTCCACAGCGAGCTTGCCATCCCAGTCCTTGCTCCCGATTTTGACTTCTCTTATCAGAGTGAACCCAAGTCTGAAGTCGTTAATACTGCCACTCATCCCTCGGCCGACTATGGAAACGGCCATCCAAGCGCTTGCAGCCTCGGCTAAGAAGCTACGAGACGCATATCCATATCACAACCCAAGCACGTTCACGCCCTCGCAGCCACCTGCCGCTTCGCTTGGATTTGGGTTTGGTCTGAGTGCGAGCAATAGATCAGGTATGATTCATGCTTACCAGAGCCAGCCTTCAATTGCTGACGACTGGGACAAAGTCCCTAGCACGAATTCAGGCGGCATGCGTGAATCTTATGTCTTGTCTCGCCTCACACCTCACATTAACGACTTCGTGGCTGTCGCTGTCGCCTACCTACCTTATTTTTCGTATATTGCTAGGGTTGGGCCTGCTACCTCGACATCCCAATCGCACTCCACCGCCCTTCAAGCCTTGCAGAAAGACAAGACGCACCCTTCAGAATCATTCGCATTTCTATCTGCACTCACGACTCACGTGCTTTCGCAACCCGAACTTACCCTGACCGCTCTTCTCCCGCAAATTCTGCCAAGAATAGCACAAGAGTGGAAAGCATGGGTGGAACGCGTCGACGAGATCGTAAATCGGCAAAGGGGCATGTTCGGACGTGATACCGTGTTGCAGTGGGAACGCACGCTGGACGAGTACGCCACAGCGAAAGGACCCGAGGAAGTCCAGATATTCAGAGAGATTAGAGATCAGTGGATAGTCAAGGTAGGATGGTTAGTGGGACGGCGCCTTCCGCAACAAATGGTTGAGTAGGAGATCTGATGAAGCCGGACATTTCTCTCTATCGTTTCTTCATTATGTTGCATTTATGGATATCATGTTCCCTGGGGCTCTGCTTGCTTCACATTGTAATGATCACCACGCATTTGTCTGATTCTTTCACTTCCGTTTCTTATACTCACTGAATCTTTATACGTTGTGTACGCCGCTGTTATCTTCTTACCCTGGCGCTGATACTCCCGCGAACGACATGAACGAAGTGGCCTGTCAAGCCTGAGATGACATCGAAGAGTGTGGGTCATTGAGGAAGAGATCGTGCTTGAAGTTAGCATGTTGTTCATTTGAGGGTGACAAACCGTGTACGGCACCATCATGCAATACAATATCGCCTTTTATATACACTGTATGATCCCCACGACGGAGCGAAATACGTACTAAGAAGTAGTTGCAATGGCCCCAGTGTCTGGCGCTGTGTTGATCCTAGGCAGCTTTGTCGCGACGTTGATAGAGTGGAGTCTTAGTCGGCGCAGTGGCCACAAATAGAGGCTTACTTCATGGCGGTCATCTTTACGGTCAGGTGAAAGCTTACGCGTCGACCTAAGATTCCGGCTGTCGAAGCATGATACTATGGAAGTGCTGGAAGTGTTCCTCCACATGTGTTCTCTGGATCAAATCTATCAAAGATTGCTGTAGTGTAACGTATGGGTGCAGTTTCACGGGGAGTGAATCGACGCTTAGTGATTGACTGTAATTTTAGGCAAGACGTAGGTTTCCGAGGGCAAGTGCAGCCCTAGTAACTTCCCATTGAACACATTGAATGAGAACCCTCGATTGCTCGAACACCCTGGTGGAGATAAAGAGAGCCAGCGTACTGGTCTGGAGCTGCTATTCGACGACAGATTAATGTTGGTGAAGGAACACACTCCTGCAGCATCAAGTCTTGGCCATGACCATATTGGGGGAGCTCCGTTTGCTTACGGCTTTACTTCCCAGTTTGTTCCTAGTTTGTCTCAGGGGTTGTTTGGCCATGCTTATTACAGATGGATCTTATGTCATCCAAAAAATGAGGACAGGTCACACGCAGTGCGGACGTGAACTTGAACTTCGACACAAACGCGCCCATGAATGCAATTTCGCGTATTCAGTTTCCATAGCCAGAAATTCCTGCCTGGTGCCCATGCTTCTACCCGAATACCCTGCAGGCCAGCAACGCCGACCCCAAGCTCATTCTTCTCGTCGGCCGGAGTCGGATGCGCGTCAACGGTGAGCGCGTCGATACCGAGGTGAGGGCACCTGTTCGCTGAACGTGGGCTGGTTGACCATATTGTCGACGCTTGTAGCCAGCAAAGACCATTGCCTCTACAGCAAAAGCCATGCAATCACTTGCGGAGACAACGGCCTGAGCCCAGCTTTGCGGTTAATCTAGCCTCAGTTGGCCAACCAGCGCGTAGGGCTAGTTCCTCGTGGAGAAGTAGACCGGCGAGTTTTCTGACTCCGGAACAAGTCACAGACGGCGACTTCTTTTCAATATCCATCGCAGATTACTCGGATACTCAGGACGGACTTGGTTATTCTGGAGTCGGCGGTACTTTGATAACTGATGAGTTACCAAATACCAGATCATCAGCCTCATCAATTACTCCCATGAGCGACTCTGCCACCTCGTTATATCGGAACCTTCTCCGTCTGCTCCATGATCCAATATACCCGCCGCAGCTGTCAGTGGCTCTGCATTACCATAATTCCCATCCTATTCGCATTCGATCAGCACGTTCCTACAATCTTCTCCTTGAGCTCGCTATTCGATCCACTTATTTCAGCACAGCCAGACGCTTATTCGCAGAAATGCGTACCTACGACATAAGCGGTAATATCGAGACCCTGAAGTTGCACGTTCGGTTATTGGTGCTCACAGGCCATTGGACGGCCGCTTGGGACATGGCTATTCGTTCTTCATCCCACCAATACCCTCGTTCCCGTCTTGCCGGACTCGGCTCAGTAAAGCGGGGGAAGGAGATCGCTCTACCTGTCTGGCTCGAGCTATTTCGTTCTCGGAAACGAACTTCATCCAATCGACGTCAAGCATCCTTTCAGCATGCCCTTTCTGAAGATCTCGCAGATTCGGTAGCCGATTCCAAAACTATCCAAGCATCCCAATTCAGAAAGTTGATGACGACCTTTCCCAAACTCACACCCAAGGAATCTGCCAAAGTGCCAGTGCGAGTCATTTACCACATGACAATGACAATGCTGCGCTTGGGCCAAAGAGGCTCCGCTCGGGAGATTGTGGATACTTACCTGAGAAGTCTGTCGCCAAATGCATCATACCGACGATGGCGCGCGTGCCTCGATGTCATCCATCTCTTTGTACGCTTCACACCTACCCCACGAGGGATCAAGAGGCATCATGAAGCGCTCCAGTCATGCCAGGAGCTGTTAAACTGCCATTCTTCTCTCCGCGCTACATCGACAACTTTACACTTACTGCTGGGCACGTTGCATCGTACCCTGCATTGCGGGACAGCAGGATACAAGCTTCTCCGTGCATTCAGGTCAAAATGGGGACCTCGTGTTGAGGACCGCAGGGTTAGACGGCAGATTGCTTCGTACGCTCTGAAGGAAGGACGACTGGATATAGTGAAGTTGATGATTGACGCTGAAAAAGGTTCACGGGTCGAATACGGGGTCTGGCGCACGCAGACGGAAGCGTTGGGGAGCAGTTCACGTGTGCCTACACGCCGGTGTCGAAGACGGGTGTTGCTGGCGGGCAGGGGCAAAGAAGAGGCAAAATGGAGGAAGTTGATTTCTAAAGTGCGGAAGAAGCTAGGGGAGTGATGGATTGTCGAAGAGGATGAGAGTATGATGGCTTGTTCGTACCGCTTCCGCTGTAGCTGTCGGTTGTTCATAAGAGGTTGAATGATCTGCGTTGTATTGTCAGTGTGTGCTCTCCCTTGCATCGTCGACATCTAGTGAGCTCCCTCAGAGCCGTCGATCACCACATGCAACCCGGCCACCAGAGAGATGGCCTTGAGGGCTCCTTTGCTAAAATCGGTCCCAGCGCCTCGTGTCGCATTGCACCCGCCCCAATCGTGGTATTGCACTCACGAATACTGACTGCGATCCCCGCCTCCTCATCGAACCACCACTAGACGCCTTAGATCCATGCGTTCTATTCAATCGTCCCTTCGAGGCAGCTCGGCCGGAGGAACCAAATCCACCAATGCCATACGATCAACACTTACGTGTCTGTCTGTCAATAGCTCGCATGTCGTAAACTCTGTCCAACATCAAAGCAATTAAGAAAATCACCCAAACATGTATACGATCGCATCTGAGCTACAGGTAAGATCGCGAGTACTCTTTGTGCACATAACCCGATATGTCGTTGACAGCCTCTCAAATATAAAAGGTCCAAATAGTGAGCATGGACTAGCAGCGTACCGAGGTACTCGCCTTCATCCCCTCGCCCTCCATGTCTTCTAAGCACCCACAGCCTACCCCCGACCAATTTATTGCCCTCTCCTGCGCCAACGTCGGCGTCGGCCCCGGAGGGACTACGTCCATGCTAGCGTAAGTCGCCATTCTGGCCGCGGGAGGTGCCTCCTAACGGTGCCCCTAGCCGGTGCTCCATAGTAGACTACAAAGGCAACACATTAATTGATTGCTATGTTCTTCCCACTATGCAAGTCAGTATCATATTTCAGATGCGCACGAGACATAAATAACTCACCGCCTCGCCCTAGGTCTCAGACTACCGTACAGCCACCACAGGGATCGAAGTTCACCATCTTCAATCTGGTGAGTTTATTTGTTGGACTCCACGATCATAGTCCAGACCTCCTAACGACGCATTGTTGCCGCATCAGGCAAAGCTATGCCCTTCAGCACTGTCCAGAAAACGGTCGCTAAGTTCATCAAGGGGTAATGGTCAAATTCTTGTATCGAGTAGTATCCATGCTGACGACGATGAAATTTCCAGGAAGATAATTGTCGGCCATTGCATATGGAATGATTTGTCTGGTGAGGCAACATTGTGAGTCCAATGACTACCTTGCTAATATTGTCAATAGTTCTCGGCATACCACACCCAGCGGTAGCGACACGCGATGTGTCCTTGTACATACCATTCCGAAACGCTCTTCGGTCCCCACACCAAGTCGTCGGCCTCCAAACATTGTGTTGGCATCTAATGTGCCGGCGCTGCCAAGATGGCCAACAGCACCCGGTCAGTCCATCAATGTAACTTGATCCCCGAACTGGCCACTGACAGGCGGTTTCGATTCTTCAGCTCGAAAACGCTCGAGCAGCGCTAGACCTATATAGATCGTACTCTGGTGAATGGGAGGCTTCCATTTCTAAAGGGGACTGGCCTTCCGCGCTGCCGCCGAGCACTTTTTCTCGCTGCTACCTCTAAGCTCTAGCAGCCTCCAGACAGTCAATGCGCGTTAAGCGCATATGTATAAAGTACCCCCTCTATCTGTATCCCTACTCTCAAGGTTTCGAGATTTTTCGTCCGTTATGTTGTTCGTATATATCTAGGTTCGATACGCATGTTGTAAATGTCCAATTATTCCCTTATGTGGAAGTCGCTCTCCAAGCACTTGCGGTTCGTCGGAAATTAGTGGCGTGTCTGCGAGCACATCAGCACTAGGGACAATGAGGTTGAAGAACGGCTTACTTTCTCCGCCCCAAGGAATTTCATCGTGCCTTCGTAGACAAAGAATGCACACGCGTTGACTGGGAAGGCTCGCAGGAGACATGGACCTAACCCCCGATAGAATCCTGCAACCCCGCTCTCAGCGGATATGAGACGTGCAGTTCGCAAGAATGACGGCTTGACATCAAACACATCTGATTGGATGGAAGTGGGGTATGGCTGAGGATATGGGTACGCCATCATGCGGCTGGGTGATGTGAGTTTAGAAGCCAGAACACAGTACAATAGGGATCCGGCCGCTCACTTTTTAATATTATCGGCGGGTATTGCCATGGCCCAGTAGGCAAATGCACCTAAGCCACCGGACAGAAAATGAGCAGTGCCTGTGCTAATCTGTAAAATAGGTATGTGAAAGAGAATTCAGAATTCATCTACATAGATAAGGCCTCACCTCATACGGCGTGTCCTTCAGACGACCGAAGCTTCGCATCAATATCTACACGCGAGAATGTCAGACGCTGGGCAGCAGAGGACGGGTAATATGCACTTCAAAGGAAAGAAACATCCAGAAGAAATTACTTCTGAAAGCAAGGCTTCCAGGAAGTCCCGTCCAGAGGCCAGCGATGCCCTGAACCTTGTAAATTTTGTGTATACAGTCAATGGGCCCCTTGAATTGCCGTTCCGATGCGGAATTCTGTAGCTGTAACTGCAATTTGACTTGGAGGAGCTAAGTACTCTACTCAAAGTATGAAGTCGGGCGCGGTAGAATACCTTTGATAAGCTCCATCGGCGTGGCAACAAAAGCACTAGATAATTTCAGCTTCGGCAAAGGGGAAGTTTTACTCAGCATTTACATACCTAGTGACGCCGGCAAAGAGACCAGCAACCCCGTGTCCCAAGATAGTGAGGCGCTGCTCCTCGTGTCCGGGAGTAGGTTCGGTGAAGCCACTTCGAATGAGAAACAGCCGGTAGTTATGTAAAGAGCCCAGCAAAACTGAGTCTATTGCTGTCCAACCGACTGCCGGCGGTGTTGCACCTTTGTAGAGGGCCAAGATCCCCTGCGACAAGGCCATCCGTTATCATACCGCTCATTGGAGTGATGATAACGGCAAATACTTCATTCCTGACGAGCTTTCCCAGGCAATCGAGGGCATTACGATACGTCCCAGCGGGTGAGCATTGCAGGCGAGTTTTGATGGTGTCGAACCTGAATGTGTTCGATGAGAAGAGAGACATACTAGAATGGCAAATTAATAGGCGTCAGAGATATATGGGCAGATTTGAAGAATACTTACCGTTTTCGTATACGAGGAGTCTACCCGTGGCCAACAGCGACCTTAATTCGTGCATCAGAAGGCGCATACAAGTTATAGAATACTACTGGGTGCAAACCTTGGTCAAACCTGAAGAATTTCGGTCAGAGACAGAGAGCAGAACGTCGACTTTCCTTCGCACCGCTTCCCATGCCAGCCAAGGCGCCGACGAGGCGTATTTGTCCATTTCGTTCTTCACTCGCGGCCATCCTTGATGGAGTGATGTTCGCCTTGAAGCAAGCCGTAAGTGGTCACGGGACCGCAGCTCAGAAAGGGCTTATTTGACGAGAGCGCGCCGGCCAAACACTGTCGCAGGCTATAGCAGCTGCCACGCCGACGATCATCTTATGCCACCAACTCCATCCACAGAAACAGAAGAAAAGCAATGTCGCATCTGCCTCGACGGTGTCGACGCAGAACCTGAACTCGGTCGCCTCTTTCGTCCTTGCTTGTGTCGTGGCTCAATAAGTGTAAGTCACTGATATGATTTAGTATGTGCGATGATCTGACCTGACACACGCCTAGTACGTCCACGTCAAATGCCTGCAACAGTGGAGGAACACATCTTCCTCTAGTAATGCATTCTTCTCTTGTCCACAATGCCACTATAAGTACAGATTTGCGAGAACACAGGCGCTGGGCATTGCGACCAACCCAAGTAAGTTACTCAGTGGTTACAGTGAGTGGGGGTTCGCTAACTATTATGCTAGTAATCGTCGGCTGCGTCTCTGCGATTCTGTTTACAACAATTGTTCTGCTAGCCTCCTTCATAACGACGTTCTTCATGTCTGCGTTCGAAGAGCCGACATATTACGGCTCTTCATGGTTCTACTACTTCTCTCCGTTCGACGCGACGCAGGACCTTGTTCGGGCAGCTTTGCGTATCATCCAAGACGAGACTGGTGCTGATATCCTCCACGACACGCCCCATCGTGGACCCCCTTTCGTCGACCCTGTAATAGCTTCGCCTGGCATCCTCAAGAGGTTTATTCGCAGATTCCTCCTCGGTCTTCCTATAGTTGGCGCTAGCTCACTTGTCCATATGTTCTTGTCGGCTCCTTTCATTGGGCCCGTTCACTGGCTAGCTCGCTATCGAGGCAACCGTCGAAGGGATAACTCTCGGGACATAGCCGCATTGATCATCGTAGGTTTGCTAGTATTAGGGGCACTGAGGTATGTCTGAGCCCCATAGTAACCATCAATCTACTGATGCTAATATGCCTGTCAGGGCTTTATGGAAGGTGTATGGTCTGACTGAGTCGCTCACGAAACGTATCCTGTTGCGTGCAGAGGATGCTATCCTCGAAGTGAACTAGTTGTAACACAAACATCTGTATCTCATACAGGGTATTACTATATCTACCAATAATGTCTGAGCTGTCGTTTGATGTTTTCATACAGCTTCCTGGTCTCTGCACGTGTAGGCTCGAGTTCAGCCATGTACTGATTGATAGCCAAATCAAGGCGACCAACAGGGAATTCTCCTCTCGAAACCAGGGTGGATTGTGGTCGTTTGGCTTCTTCGAGCCAGTCTGCAAATAGCACAGCAATCTCCGATGACATTGTCTGTACATTCGCTTGGTCATGGAACGGTGGGACCTAGGCATAATTTATCACCAGTCGCTCGCCAGAATGGCAACAGGACACTCACTTGTGATTCGTACATTTCATGAAGTACGTCCCAGACTTCTTGGTAGGGGATTTTACATTGCAGCAGGAAGCGTGCCGCCCAGCCTTGCGGAAGACTGTTTCTATGTTGCAGCGCGAACCGTACGACGAGCATTGCAATATGACCTAGGAAGAGACATAAGAGTGCGCCAAACATATACAAATGCAAGGAGCTTACGAAGAGGGAAGGCGCTCTCTGATGGGTAGAATCGTTGGCCTAGAGGTATGACCTTGGCGGATAATCTGTCTGCAAGCTCGACAGGTTCCCCTTCTTCGGCCAAAACTACGATTTCTTTAGCACCAGAAGTTCAACTTAAACACCAGGGATCACCTTCGTCAAATATTTGGCTCCATACAGGACGCACAACTGTCTCGTCTCTATGCTCCGATACATAGAAACATAGTAGTTTCATGACGGGCATATCAAAGGTAGCGGCGTAATCTTGATACAGCTTTGTCCTGATGTTAGACCGCACATTTAAGGAGCCGAGGAGATTAATACCTCGGACATAGTGAAGAGACGCTTTGAGAGTAGTTGTATTCTCTCGCCGACTTCGGGGTCATTCAAATGGGGTGTCAGGGTAGTATACATCTCCAACTGTACTTGAGCAACTTCAAGCTTCTCTTCTAAGTCGGTCAAGAAGGCAATGGCGGTCTCATGTCGACCGTCGGACGAGATTGGATGTGACTTCGCGTTGCCAACCGCGAGTGTCAGATATTCGTATCTCGAGCTTAGACTCAGGTCGAATCTATGGGATGTCAGAGCAGGGACTTCACGTACACAGGAGTTACTCACTCAGTAGATTCTGCCAGAGAAGCCAACACTTCTGCGGCTCGCAAAGGCTTGCCAGCCTTGACATAGAATTGCCATAGCAATTGGTATTTTTGGACGGTCGCTGGAGGGCGTTTGAGGTGGGCTTCTAGGTAGAAGGGCCGTAGCTAGAAGAACGTTTGACATGAAGTTCGACTTTCTGACGCTGGTACATACCTCTAACAAGTCGTCTACCATCCCGTGTTCAATGAACCAGTCGTACAATGCGGAGTGGAAGATCTCGTCGTCGCTAGCGAAAGCTAACTCGAATGCATGTGTCCGAACCGCTTCCTGTTCCCGAGAATCGACGGATGCAGCATGCTGTTCTTCAAACACTTGCAATGAGTCCAGGACGAGGTCGTAGCATCCGTGTCTGAGCTCGCAAATGGCCTTGTTTTCTTCGGTTGTTGCCGAGCCGGAATACCAGGCGTCGGAGGCAACATTATTGGCATCCATAGCTTTTGCACAAATCAACGGCAGTTCAATAGCGCCTATGAGAAGAACGTTGAGTTACTGCCTTGTATATGAAATGTTGCACTTACCCTTCGCATATTGGAGTTGTTGGTAATCCCCACATATCTCTCGAAGCTTTTCGAATTCAAGATTTCGGGCTCCCTTAGCAAACAGCCTGCCGGAAATCTTAACAGGAAAGACAGTAGTAAATCGTCGACACTTACCGCAGAGACTCGGCAAGCCAATTTTGCCGTTCTGTAGGACTTCTAGTCTCGACTGCTTTGCGAATGTTTTCTTTTGCCTGAGTAGTTCTGAGTATCTAGAATGGCATGATTTAGAAAGGGTCCCCACCTTGTAGAGCATCACATCGTCAGTACTGCAGAATGAGCCACATCGTTGCTGCAAAACTTCGCTGATGGTATCGACCTATAGAGCTGTTCAGAGGGGTTTCATCGAGATCAAAAGATCTCACATACACTGATTTGCTGCCCAATCTGCTGGTCAATGATAACGTTTACCAAGGCCCTAGATGCGACTGTCCCGTGAGTAGTGGTTATCAGATCTTCGATCGTCAAAGACCGAATGAGTTGCTGGGTATCAGCATCGCATCTAAAACCAAGGTTAGTAAAGGCAATAGCTTCACAAGCTTTCCGCAGCCTACAGCGAAATTAGCTCTCCGAGCTTGTAGTCATTCAAAAGTAGGATAAACGCAAGGGCCTCGATCGAACGGCCGAGTAGTTCCATTAATTGCGCCACAGATCGTTGCTCGGCCTAGATGAATATGATTAGTAATACACAATGGCTGGTCGAAAAGAAGGTCCACCTTCCAAGCTTCTTGTTCATTGCCTGCCGCAGGACGAGTACTAGCAGGTTCGCCCGGTGCGATGTGGAACAGATGTAGGTTCTGGTTCAAAAAGTCTTGCAGAGAATACAAGTTTTTCTGGATGCTCGTCAAGACATCTTCTGGGATGGAGAGTTGTTGGGAACCTGAAGGGCTATGTGTCGCCATGAGGAATGAACTACGAAGCCAATATACAATGCCTCTCACCCAGGTTTTGTCATTTCGACCTTCCATATCGGCCTTACTATCCGTGCGAAGTACAAGGCAAAGCCTTCTCGACGACCACTATAGATAGCGGAACCTTGTGCATCACCGCCTAGAGGAAGACATCGAATAGGGTATAAGTCAAAGATCTATTCGACATACCGTATACATGCCGTTCAGCCCACATCGGGCGCTCGCCAAAGTCGTAGAAGGCTTGCTTTGCCACAGTTGCAATGTCGACATTGGTGATATTCATGGGACTGGTGGCTGAGTCTGGCATGTCGAAGAATGTGTTTCCACAGGCCAGACCAAGGAGCATAGCGCATGTCTGATCTCGACCGAAGCTATAAGGAGCGACTCTTTGTGAATGCAATTTCCTCCACAAGATAGTTCTTTACCTGTCTCTAAACTCTATGATTGGCTGAGGATTGCTTTCTGACTGATACTCTTCTATAACAGCTCGCAAATAGTCCACTGCACGTCTCTTCATTAAGAACGTTAAACCCACGTTCGTAAGGATCATAAATTGGTGAGGCGGAGAGCAAAACTGATGTGCCAACTCGTTCACTACAGTGGGTGACCCAGGACCAGACGACGGTGAAGACCTGGGGACTGGGGCCATTGCCCACGTACGACCCGGTATCGAAAGCAGGGTAGCGTACTCTGCCAGTGGCATCTGATGAACGCCGGGGTTGGGAGCGAATGAGGGTTGTTGTACTTGTGGCTGCATGTTTACTTGACCAAGACTACCTATTCTCGTCAGGTCGGGGGATAGGCATAGTAGGAAGTCTGTCCCATCTGTATCGCCTTGTTGAGATGCCAGTGTCAAGCCCTGCGAGTAACATGAACTTTCAATGCTGGTCATGATGAAGGGCTGGGTAGTCGACTGTTGCGGTTGGGACGCGCCATACGATGGAACCGGCGGTCTGTTGCCCGCGTTCATAATGTCCGGATGGAGAAGGTTTGTAGGAGGAAGTCGGATATGCGTGAGTTGGAGAGCCCGTAAACCCGGCGCCGAGCTCGTACTAGGACCATAACCGTATGTCATGGTCGGTGAGAAATATAGGCGGACACCGTTCGCAGTAATTGCGAGTAGCTGAAGGCCTGTTCGGGATTCAGATATCTCGATAGGATGGAGAGCGATGATCTGGAAGTTTTGTGGGGTAAGGGCCGGCGATCCAGGCGCCTTGTCGGCGGCAGCCTTATACAGACCCGAAAGTGTTTGCATGTGCTGAATGGCTTTGTCTCCGTTTGGCTTATAAACAGAGATGCTGTTCTTGGACGTTAATGTGTAGAAACAGTCTCGGGAGGGATCAGAAACGACGGTGGTGATACGGCCTGAAGGATTCTAAGGACAACATGCTGCGAGGAGTTACGCGACGCTCACCATCCATGCCCGAGGACGAGAATTTAGGTAGCAGGCTCTGCATGCCACTTACTGAGTGATTAATGAGTTGTATCCGCTTGCCAAACCACGATTCCTTTTCCTGGTAGTGTAGTTCGTATAAATTACCGTCTTGGGCCCCGCACATGAATATCCGCCCGTCGCGTGTTCCACAGACAGAAGTCATCTCAATCTCGGTTGGAACAGAAAGGTCGGTTGCGTAGAGTTTGATATCTTTGTGGGCTCGGTTGTTAGGGCCCGATGAAGTTTCGAAGGAAAGAGCGATTAAGAGGACGGATATTGGGGTGCAAATGACGAGGATGTGTGATATTTCGTCGATGAACAACCCGGGTTTTGGTTTCACAAGGGCGACATGTGTGATGATGTCTGGTTGGTCCACGAAGGAGCTGATTTCCTGCCTAGAAATACGATCAACATATCAGTTTCAAAAAGCTGTAAGTGCCTGCGCACCCTTCCACATAGTCCCACAGGAATAACTTATGGTCGATGGATATCCACACGCGTTCAATCTCGGGAATTAGACCCATATGAGACGTGACATTGGTACCTAAGCCTTGTTAAAGGTGATTCACAGACGAATATTGCCCACTTACTGTTATAAAACTGGAACAAGCCCTCAGGAATACCAACAAGCCGTCTCTTTTGAAAAGGCACTCGGTAATCGTCAGGATACACACTATACAGCGCAGACGCAGCGCCGCCAGCTGGAATTCAATGAATTAACAAGCTAGCATAGTGAATTGCATTGACGTACGCGTCGCTAGAAGGTCACCCAGGTCGGGTACGATCTGTGCATCCTTCTTAAATTGGTCGGACAAGACAGCTGAGGCGAGCTGTAACGAAGATATGTCGGCCTGCGCCTGCTTCGGTTGTTGTGGCTTTGCATCCAAGTTCGACGGTAGCTTGGTCGCAGCGAGGTCGGGAGGAAGAGATGCCATGAGTCGACGGAGGATGTTCTTCACGGCGGGCGCTTCCAGACGCGCTTGTGCTGGAAACTTTGCAACACGTGTTGTCTTGTTACGTAAGCGATTCATCTTCACGGACGCGACGCGACCTCTGTTCCTCACTTTACGCGCAAGTATCCGTTACTTACGCGTTTTAAGACGTTTGATATATCAGGATGCCCAAACGACGCGCGCAGGACTCAGACGATGAGATTGATGGACCTTCTACGGCAGGGACTCCCGTCTCAAAGCGACCTCGTCCAGATACTGAGGCCCCGAAACCATCTCAGGCTCGACGCAAGGACAAGGGCAAGGCCAAGCAAACAGAAGAGATAGACGACGACAGTGATGAGAGTGATGAGGAGGAAAGAGAGGATCAAGATATCAAGAATGAAGAAGAACAACAATTCGAACAGGGCTACGAGGATATCATCCGTGCCCACATCGAAGCGAAGCGCAAAGTGCAGGGAGTAAGCTTCCAGTAGAACCTGACAGCCTCACCCATCTTACGATATCTTGCAGGGTGTCGCAGAACATGGAATCATTGAATCCATAGAAATGCACCAGTTCATGTGCCACAAATATCTCACTTTTGACTTTGGTCCTCAGATCAACTTTATCATTGGTACGCATATACTTGTACATTTACCGTAACATCTCTCTTACGAGTCCCCTTCCCAGGTCATAACGGAAGTAAGTACTTGGTACAAGCAATTATTGTTCAACCCCTAAACATAGATAGGTGGCAAGAGTGCGGTCCTCTCAGCGATTACTGTAGCACTTGGTGGGAAGACTACCTCTACTGGTCGAGGGAGTGGCCTCAAGTCATTCATCCGCGAGGGCCAGTCGTGAGTTGCATATATCATCCAATGATCTAGCTCACCCATTTTGTAGACAATCAGAAGTAACGATCACGATCAAGAATCAAGGCGAAGAGGCATATAAGCCTCAAGAATATGGTAAATCAATCGTTATTACGCGAAGGTTCTCCAAAGAAGGCTCGTCGACTTGGAAGATCAAGTCTAAGGACGGCCGTACAATCTCGACTAAGAAAGAGGACCTCGCTGCGATTTGCGATCATATGAATATTCAAGTCGACAATCCCATGAACGTCCTTACTCAAGACGCGGCTCGTCAATTCCTTTCTGCTTCCCACCCTAACGATAAGTACAAGGTTAGTCAGCGTCATGCCGGCTTGCCATTCCTGACCAAAAGCTTGTAGTTCTTCCTCAAAGGGACGCAGCTATCCCAGCTTTCCGAAGAATACGAACTTTGTTTCGATAATATCAAGGCGACGAGCAGGGTTCTCAATCAGAAGAAGGAAGCCCTCCCCGATTTACGCGCAGAATTCCGCGAAGCGACACGCCGATTCGAAGAAGCCGCGAAAGCAAGGGAGCTGAAGAAGAAACAGGACGAGCTGAAGAAAGAACTTGCTTGGGCGCACGTGAAAACCAAAGAATTGGAGATGGAGAAGCAAATGAAGGATACGGCCAAGCTAGCCAAAGGTGTTCCAAAGCTTCAAGACCTTGTTGATGGCGCCGAGGTCGGTTCATTGCAGTAACCCTGTTGCAATCGATTTCTCACCCAGATCACAGGCGAAATTCCAATCAGCCACTGAGGAGGTGGCGCAATATGAAAGCGAATTCAAGGATCTGGGTGATATAGGCCACCTCAACGACCGAAAGAAAGAGTTACAAGATCAAATCCGAGCTAATAAGAACAAGTTGACTGACTTCAGGGTACATTACTTCTGGTCATCTGTCTATTCCCGACTCATAACCTCTATAACCAGAACGACGAGAAGCAGATCGACTCCTCTATTAAGGGCATCAACCGCCAAATTGATGAATACACCCAGCAGATAGCCATCGAGACTCGAAAGCTGGAAGTAGATACACAGGCAAAGCGCGAAGAAGCCCAGCAGCGTTTGCAGGTCGCCAGAGATGCAGTCACCGTTGCCGAAAGCCGTCTTGCAGAACATCAGGAACAACGTCGCGACGCCCAACAGCGAGCCAATGACTTGAGAGCCCAGGGCATGGACATTGAGACGAAGCTGACAACTACTCAGGGGCATATTACAGAGTTCCAGGAGCTGATTTCGCATTGTCAAAAGCAAGTGAGCGACGGGCTATCTGCCTTTGGTAAGAATATGGATGCCGTCAGAACACAAGTGAAAAAGATGGCATGGCATGGCGACTTACCACTCGGCCCCCTTGGAGTTGGTGTCAAAATTCGCGAGGAGAACAAATGGGCTGCTGATGTGCTTCGTGCCCAACTCGGTAATCTACTAGTTGCGTGGGCAGTCACCGACGCCAGGGATATGCCAGCTTTGAAGAAACTGCTTCGCGATAGTAACAAGTAAGTGTTAATATACCCAATCTCTGGTGACTTGACCTTATCTATCCCGCGAATTCTAATCCAAGTGGTAACGTCAACGTTATCATTTTTGAGAAGGATCTCTTCGACTACTCTCAGGGCGAACCTGCGGAGGGTATGTTGACTGTGCTCCGCGCGCTTGAGGTACGTCTTCAGTACGCGAGTATTCTGTCCACCGTTGACCAGATTCGGTAGATTCCCGACCCTTACGCCCTGCGCATCCTAATCAATCAAGCCATGATTGAGCGTATATTCCTAGCTCGTGACTATAAGGATGCGGACGAAATGTGCAAATCCTCTCGCCAGGGAGGGGTGGCGTGGACCGCGAATGGCCTACGAGTGAACGTCTTCGGGTTCGTGTTCGGATGTCTAGAAGCGGCTTTCCTTGAACTTGCCCTTTTACAGTGGTGGAGGTGGTCAAACCACGCAATTGCAAACGCTTAGGGGCGGTGACCCAATGAATCTCCTACTTAGCGCGCGAGATGTCGCTGTTGATACCCAGTGAGTACGCCTCCCTATGGTTTCCCTATGCGAATTAACATGACTAGACATTACCGACAAGAGCTTAGCAAACATGAAGAGGAATTCAAGCGTCTGACGGCGGAAAAGAATCAACTCAAGACACGATTCGGCGCGGCGCGGCGCGAGGTCGACCAGATCATGGTATGTCCACATCCAGATGCGCAAGCCCACGAGTTTATTCCCTCCAGGCCGCGGAACGTAAGGCCGATACAGAGGCACGCGAGGCAAAAGTGATCGTAGATAATCTTTTGCAAGCGCAGAATGACGATCTCCCCGCCAACGTTGCTTCTTTGGAGGCAGCTAAACGCGTACGCTCCGATCCTCTCCGTTCTATATCAGACCACTCAACATCCTATCATACAGGAAGCTGAAGCTGAGAAGGAGACCATATTGGCTCAGTACACCGCATTGACCAAGCAAAAGAGCAAGGTCGACGACGCTCAGAAACCCCTCATGATTGAGTTCAATAGAATCAGGGACGAAATATCGGATTTCGATCGAAAGGGGGATGCGATTCGCGTGAGTCCAAGTTCTTTGGTTTCAGTCTTGCTGTACAACTCACTTTCTTCAAGAACAAAATCGAGAATGCGGTGACTTTGCGTATGAAGGCTCAGAGTGACAAGAACCATTACCAGGCTAAGCTTCAAGCCGAGCAGCGGAAGGTCGACGAAGCTGAAGCCCAGGTCAAGGTTCTTACTGAAGAGTTCATCGTACGTCTGCTTGAACGACCCTCATGCTGCCTCACCTATCTATGCAATATCAGAATTGGACCGCACGAGCGGAAGAATACTGCGAACGCGTAGAGAATCCCCGAAAGCCAGACGATATTCAGAAATCCATCAAGGCCGTGGACCAGGCCTTGGCAGATCGTGAAAGGAGGTGAGTTTTCACCTTGGTTTCAGCGTGTTGTTCCAGCGGCATGGTTGAGATTAAATGTCTCAACAGACAGGGCTCTTCAGTGGAGGAACTGACGATCCAAGTTAACAAGGCGAAAGCCAAGTTGGACCTTGTCGAAAGGGATCTGAAATCGATGGCTGTATTGAACAAGGCATGCTTCCGCTTCTCTCCCGCTGTATTTCCTAATAACGTCGCGCGTTAGACCCTCCGACACTCTTTATTCATTCGTCTGTCTAAATGGCAGGAATTTCGTCGACATATCGCCTTGCGCTGCAAACTCGTCTTCCAATATAACCTCTCTCATCGTGGTTACTTTGGCAAGGTGCTATTTGATCATGCCAACGGCACCCTCCAGCTCAAGGTTTATTCCATCTGAGTCGTCCACGGGAACACCTTTTTTATCAGGACTTTACAGGTACAAACAGATGACATGGCCGGTACGCAGGGGGCGCAGGACAAGGACCCGCGTTCTCTCAGCGGTGGCGAAAAGTCGTTCTCCACCATCTGTTTGCTGTTGTCTCTTTGGGAATCAATCGGTTGCCCCTTACGCTGCCTCGGTACGCCGTCCAACGCTCTGAGTCCGAACCGAATTTGCTGAGCTGTACTAATCAGATGAGTTCGATGTATTCATGGACGCTGTGAACCGTCGTATCAGTATGAAGATGATGGTACGACTCTCCTTCTGTAGACTCCACAGTTCCAAATAACGTGTTTCCTCATCCTAGATTGAGACGGCCAACTCATCTGACAAGAAGCAATACATTCTCATTACTCCTCAAGACATGACGAACGTTCAACTCGGTCCCACTGTCGTGGTCAATAGGATGCCCGATCCTGAACGCGGCCAAGGTCAGTTCAACTCCGTGTGTTCGAAGTATCATTGCTAAATGTAGCTGTTCTCGTAAACTTTCAGTTTCTCAAGCTTAGCAAAGCTGTCGATATCTCAAAGCACAATATTTCAGATTATAATCGACCTACGAAGCCACCTATTGTAGTATATTAGTTTCAATGAAATTTGCAGATCATCTAGCTCTAACCTCCACCCACCCCGCAATGAACTCACTAGAACATGGCCGAGAGGGTTCGACGGAATATATCCTGTCAACACAAGACTCTCCACCGCTGATAATCTGATCCCCAAAAGCGGGGATACGCACTCACCGTCGCACACACTCCGCACCGTGCGCTGAACGCCGTCATCATCTTCCTTTATTCTGCCCTGGATTCAACGTTATCTGTTATCGTTCCAAATTTACACCTACTCCATCTGCAGATTTGCATGGGATGCAAGTACGAAGTAGTGGTCGCCATCAAGCTACTCGGTTCGTACTCCACATGTCGATAATGAAAACGTACAACGTATCAACTCTACGCCTCAGGAGATATCGTTTTCCCGATGGCTATGTGGGCAGGCTCACACACTCTCTGTCCGCCACCATGATAGAGGGATCAAATCTGGGAGTTGTCGAGTTATTTCGACAACCGACTTGCAACCGACAGCCGACATGCGACTGACCGCCATCACCGGGCCAATCCCCAGCGTCCCCATTGTTTCTGCATTGCTTTCGTACAACTTCCGTATCGTCACAATAAATTATGTATCACCGTATAAACAACTATCGCGTCTTATTGGTATAGAAGGATAGACAAATGAGCGTGGTACTCGACATTCTCCTGGTCAACCATCCTCGACGGGCGCAGTGCGTAAATTTAGAAATGTTCCTGAAGAAATGGAGATATCAGTGGCTGAGCGAAGGAGATGAAAGAAAAATGGATCCCCACCTTCGCAAACTTGAAGTCAACAGTCGGTCCAGAGTTCTTGACAGTCGCCTCCTTTATGGCCTTCGCAAGAATGCTCGGTCCACAGAAGTAGGTCTAGACAAAACACGCGTCAGTAACATATCGTCAGGAACTACCCCCCCAGACAGCTTACCCCAACTTTAGTCTTCAGCTGAGACTTGCTTCCCGCGATGTACTGTCCACTTTCGATGGCCTGTCTCATTTGTCCGTAGATAGACATCCAGTCCGGACGACCGAACATAGTGCGGCTGCGCAGGAGAGTAAGGGGATCGTACTCAGCGCCCGCGTCGTTAACAGCAATGTTCCAGAGCATATCTTCCCCGATCTTCTGTGTCAAGTAGATGTTAATCCGGAGGAAGTTAGCTGTAACATAAAGATATCAGCTCAGTTGGCAACGAAAGGTACACGGGTGACACTCACGATCGGCCTGGGCAGCCTCGACCTCCTGCAGCAGACTTTGGAACCAACCAAACGAGGGGGCATCTCGGCAGACCCAGAAGAACTCGACTCGGCGGAGGGTGCCTAGGTTGCCGCGTTTCTGGCGATACCAGATATGCTTGAGGATCGAGGCGAACGGAGTGACACCTAAAAGTCACACAATCAGCACGGCTTGATTTGACGTTTCCATGCGAACAGTACTCACCGATACCGGCACCAATGAGGACAGCAACTTCACAGTCAAAGACGTCTTCTGCCGGGGCACCGTAGGGGCCGTCAAGGCGGACGGCGGGGAGGGCACGGGAGCCGGCGCCAGATTCTATCTCGACGAAGTCACCACGAGTAGCACCATAGGTCTGTTCTTTCTCAGAGCCCTTCATCGCTGCCTGAGTCATGGAAGCGACGACTTGTGGGCCTACACCGAGACGTTCACCAAGGGCCCTCGTCCAGTCACCGACTTGGCGAATGTGAATGGAAACATAAGGATCTTCCGGAGCCGATGTGATGGTAAACTACCCTGAATGAGCATAGGCGAATAGGTTATGGCGACGCTCCAGCTTACCGGATGCCATTGCCAGCCCGAGATCTCCGGGACCATGATGAAGAGCCATTGGCCTGCAGTATACTTGAAGCTAGGCTTGACGATGCGGAGTTCCATGGCGCCTAAGGTGAAAAGTCTGAGCTGCTCATAGAAAGGGGTATACGACTGCAAACGTACCACTGGGGTGTACAAGCACCTTGGAAAGTCTAGTCGCTCGGCGGGCACGGTACTCCCTCCACATACGCTCTCCAAAGTACAAAATACCAGGCCAAATGGTGTATCGCCAACTTTCATACCCTAGACAGTTCTTGGTCGTGTAGAAGGGGAAAACGTTGCTGTAGCTCGGGTCAACAGAATCTCTGACGAAGCATCCGGTAGCGTGCGTGTAAAGGCCGATCATGAAGAAGAATGCGAGGTGATGGGTGTACCAGAAGGCCTCGAAGCATTGGTTGCGTATCTTGTGGTGAGCGGTGGTGTACATCAAGAGCATGATGAGGAGCATGAAATGACCGGTGACTCCACCAGCCTGTTTGTAGTGAATGTCCAGGGCAGATTCTTTGCGGACCTCTGCAAATCAAAGAAACGTCATGTTCTGCCACTACTTTCCCTTCTTTGGCTACTCACGAGTGCGCTCAACGTTGATGAAGTTGACGTAGTGAGCTGTTGTGTGAACCATGGCCCAGAATGCCATCGAATAAGCCACTTGACGATGGAACCAGATATTCTCATCGGCTGGGAAGAGCCAAGTAAGCTTCGGTCGGACGACACGGATGATATTGCGCAACATCGGGATGAGAATCAAGCCCCCATCGAAAGCGAGGGCGAGACCAGCACCACGAGACGTCCACACCGAGAATCCGAGACCGTTGAGAGCGTTGAGTCGAACATTGGAGTACTAAAAGCAGATAAGAAACCCCTCTTCGGGAAACGGCGCTGTTTGCTCACTTGACTGTACCACCCGTAGCCAAAGAAGAAGAAGTGAAGACCGTAGAAAATTACATTGAAAGCGAGCCTCCGAGGAACGAGGAATTCCGCGTGGAACCAGCTCTTGAAGCCCATGGTGCTGGAGAGCGTTGTCTATGATAGTTGGCTGATAATAAGGTGAACCTGACCCAGCAGGGAGCAAATAATATGGTAGCAAAAGAAGGGAAGGGGGGAGGAGGAGGAGGAGATGGTGGTGGGAGGCAAGTAAATGAGACAAGGCAAGAAATGATGAGTGCCACTCGCTCGGGCTGTGACCATGACAATCACAACGCCAAATCAACCGACTCTCACTGATCTCATCAGTCACCAGCCCAGAACCTTGGGTATACTGTATAGCTCTCGCACTACGGGCAAGGTACAGAATCGAAACAAATCTCTACTGCAAGGCTATCAATCTTCGTAGCGGTATGCAACCATGGCCTCGATCCGGTGAACATCAGTGCTAAAACTCCTCATCTTCACTTGCTGGCTCTTGCTCGCTTCGATTGCAAGCGGGTCCGTGTCCACCCATTCGCCAGCTGGAATATCGGCTGACTCGGAGGTGTAGGCGAGAATATTGAACACCGTCGGTTCGTGGATCACAGGGAGGTAAGTGACCATGGATATAATCTGCTTCAGGATTGCCCGTATTTCGGATTGAATTTCTGCTTCCGGCTTCGGGGGCTGCCTGAGAAAGGAGACCACATCAATCAGAACGCATGGATCCCGGCGGAGTTGGCAGACTTACGGTTCTGTTGAATTGGCTGGCGGCTCGACAAGTTTGATGTCAAACACCCATCGTTCAAGGGGTGTTCGGGTGTCTTTGGATATGATGGCGAGCACCAGTTGCGTAACGGAGCCTGTAAGCAGCCATTCTACCGCCCCATGGAGCACGGTCAGTCCCCAAAGATCAGCGATGGTTGATGAACTGACTTTGCACTTGCGATAGAATACTATGGGCGGCATTGGTATGATGGAAATGCCGCATATTCTGAAACACACCGTTCGAGATAATTCTCCAAGGCAAGGTCCTGGGTGACCAGGACCGTCTGTCCGTACTTTTTCACCATATGGAAATCATCTGAAGGGTAGACTTCGCGCTGGAACAAGATTCTAAGACGGTGGCGTGAATACGACCTCCAGAGATCCGTGAACAAAGGCCGTAACTCACGTATTGACTGCGTATTTGAAGAACTCTGTCACGAGAGCTGTTGAGCCTTTGAGAGTGATAGCTTGTCGATTCGCTTGCTTCGAGGCCATGAGGGTAACTGCAGTCGATGGTCGTGTTCTGCTCTGGGCGCTTCTTATCAAGGCGCGTCGTGCACATTGATCACGTGCTCGATACCAGCTCTCTCTTTACCGTATGTCGGCTCAAGCTGGTACGCCTGCCGCGACTTCGCAGTCTCCCGCTGCATCGCCAGCAGATGCGCCTCCTCAAGATGCCGTGTCCCAAAATGCATCACAAGTTGACCGTGTTATCCTAGAATACCTGCGGACTCGAGGACATACTACCGCCGAAAGGGCTCTCCTAGAATCCCTCGATGGATCCTCTCCAGACAGTACTTCCAAAGAACCAGACAACATATCTGCGGAGGACCTCATCAAAAAGCTTGCCGTATACGTCCAGAAACCATCGCGACCTGGCGAAAATGTGCTCAAAGACTCGAGCAGTGTCTTGACAGGCCTCAGTGCTATGGGGAATCCCTCGAACATACACAGTCTGATTGCAAGCATCGGCGCGGTTGGCGCGGAAGAGGTCCTGTCGCTTGACCCCACAGACAAGCAGGAGGGCTTCAGGGAATTGGAGTCTTGGGTTGACGGCTCACTAGACATGTATCGCGTATGTGGGATTCGAATTGCGTACTGGAACTGCATCCTTATATCAATTGAACAGCCCGAGTTCCGGCCTATATTGTTTCCTATCTTTTGCCACTTCTATCTAGATCTCATTCAGCATGGCTTCAAGGAAGCTGGTATGTCGGCTTCTGATTGCCTCTCCAGCTGTGGTAACATTAATTATGACAGCAATCAAGTTTCGTGAAACATTTGCGCCATCTATTTCCCTTGCACATCATGCCACACTCCATCACTTATCCACGCTACAACTCCCAGCACATGCCCAGAACGACGAGCTGGCACAGCGCTTTCGCAATGAGAAGTATGTCGTCAAGATGAGCCGGTCGGGCTTCAACCTTCTCGTTGGTTGGCTGACCGAGGGGATGGGCGGTGAGGCTCTCGGAACGGGCGCGGGCTTCTCTGGTGAGGGCGGGAAACGCGGTCGTGCAGCGGTCATGCGAGTAGTGAATAATCATCTACGGTTCGACGGTGAGAAAGCGACGACATACTCGCAAATACCCAAATTCTCATGATTATAAGCTAGTCACGGCTACCAGCTCTGCCTCAGTGTCCGCCAACACATGGGAAGAGAATACCGGCTTGTTATCTTCGCTGATACCACAGGCTGCTGGAGCGACGACAAGCGTCTCAGATCCTTCTGCCTTTAATGCTTCCAAAGGCGACCTCAAGCTAGGGCCTGCACCAATAGCACCTGAACTCCGTGCTGAGGCCGAGCGGGTGCTGCACGAACAGGCTATGGTGGATCGCGATCCTAACGCTACATACGATCTCAACTATGCCCGTCCGCCTCTATTCCCTGGAATGACAGCACCGACAGAAAATGACCTTCTTCCCCATCCCCCCAACTTCAAAACGGCCGACATTGAACGTGAAGTCGAGAAGGTCCATGACGCAAAGAGGCGAATACGCCTCGAACCATCCGCCTTGCACAACCTCGACCCAGGTTCCGCGCAAGCCGCAGCTGCCCGCTCGCGAGCCCTACCCAGTATATGTGCGTACACCCTTCATGATGTTGCGGAAGGGTAGGTCAACATACTCGCGTAGGAAATGATGATGATGATGCTCATTGACCGTGTCCAGGTCGCCGTGTTGTACATTCTCGGCCGATACGTCATTATTCGCAGCTGGGTTTGCAGAGAGTTATATCAGAATATGGAATCTCAAGGGCGAGAAACTAAAAGGTCTACGGAGCGATTTTCAGAGTAGTGCTATAAAAGACAGTCAGTGCAGCCTCTTATATCTTGCATTCAATCGTAACCGCGTTCTTTAGTGACTTCCCTCCGCAAGATACGTGAAAAGAAAGCGAGTACAACCCGTAAGCTCATCGGCCACAGCGGCGCAGTGTACGCCTTGTCCTTCGACCCCATCAACGGTTCCGCTGGACCCCCGAAACACCTCCTCTCCGCCTCTGCAGACACCACAGTTCGACTATGGTCAATGGATACGTTGACCAATGTGGTTGCTTATCGAGGTCACCAGAATCCCGTTTGGGACGTGAAGTGGAATCCGATGGGCGTATATTTTGCCACTGCTAGTAGGGATCGGACAGCAAGGCTTTGGAGCACGGACCGCACGACTTGTCTACGAGTATACGCGGGCCATCTGAGCGATGTAGATGTACGTATTTCCCTTTCTTTCTGTGATGTGAAGTCTCATTCTCAATCAGTGTTTGCAATTTCATCCGAACTCCCTGTACCTAGCGACGGGCTCCAGCGACTGGACGGCAAGGCTGTGGGACGTCCAACGTGGAGCTTGCATGAGAGTCTTCATCGGACATCAGGGTGCTATTACATCCCTCGCTATGAGCCCAGATGGTCGCTTCCTAGCTAGTGCAGGTAATCCAACGGAAACAATCCCCCTTCAGCTGCTGAATTTCAAAACTTTTTCTAGGTGAAGACCTCGCCATCAACTTGTGGGACCTTGGCTCTGGGAAGCGCATCAAGAAGATGACTGGACATACATCGTCGATATACTCGTTGGCCTTTAGCGCCGAGTCGTCCCTCCTGGTATCTGGGGGGGCAGACTGGACCGTCAGATGTTGGGATGTTACTTCCAAGCCTGGTGGACCTAAAGGCAACGAGATCAACGGATCAACAACATTCTCCGCAACGTCCAATGGCTATTCGTACCCAGAAGAGGGCCAGGAGACGTATGTCGTTCAATTTGATATTCAGTATAGAAGGATGCTCATCCGTGTGCTCTAGCTCCGACCTGATTGCAACGTTTCCAACCAAACGAACGCCAATTACCAATGTTCAGTTCACACCTAGGAATCTTTGTTTAGTCGGTGGCGTGTATACCCCACCTGATGTACGATGAATCAACCGCGGGCGATTGTTGTGATCCTGCTTTGACTCCCCAACCGTTGTATCTGACTAATCTGAATCGCATTGTACGTCGTTGTACCATTCCACTACATGAATAACCACATCATTTTACCACATCATTTCTACGCTTTATTCGCCCCAGTGTGTCACACCTATCGTCCTCCCTTTAAGGACTCTTCAGCTTGTTCCATGGATCATACCCGGGGCCTTCCTTCACCCAATCTGCCTCACTGCCTTGGGAGCTGGGGGTACTGAATTGCCCATAGTGGGTGTTAGTGGGAGTCAGGGGACCTCCAGGTTCAGTATCGTGCTCATCTACGGCTAGGGAACGTCGTTATTGGACATGAAACTGGCGCAGGGGCGAACGATATACCTGTCTCTTCATCGTCGGAGAAGTGAGTAGTATCAGACGAAGTAGTTTCTTGAGAGGAGGAGAAGGAGCTGCTCGTCGTAGAATAAGACTCTTGGGACGACGATAGCTGCCAAGTAGTGGTATCAGAAGATTGAGAACTGAATAGAGAGTCGATAGATTCTTGAGTCAATGGCTGATAGTCGGCATCCTCTGCATCTCTCTAAAGGAACATTGAGTCGACGCAAAGAGAGTGGGTTGACGATGGACGTACTCTTTCTTCGTACTTTTCTACCCTTTTGTCGTCGGCGCGGATACCTTCAAGGCGAGCGTACTCCTCGTCGCAGGACTGTGAGGATGGTGGGGACGTTAAATCAGACATTCGGTCTTTGGCAAGTTGAGAGATGGGGGACATAACCTGAGCTTTATATCCTTTGAATGCACCCTGTGGCTCAAAGAACGGTCTTTGAGCTTTGTTAGTGAAAGGCTTTGGACAGGCTCCTTTGAAGTCGAATGGGGTGGCAGGACCGTTAGCCCGAGCCCCTGACCCTCGGCGATCGACCATCACGTGGGCCAATTAAGGTCCTGGACAGTGCATCCTCAAATACGCTCGACTTGAACTTCTTCATCCTCTTGACTTGCTCGTTCCACGAGAAATTGTAGCCGACGAGGGAATTTAGCTCATCTCTTCTGCACGCGGTACGCTAAATGTCCCGCGCTACCCAATGCCGTGCATTTCTGATTCCTTGCCCTGTTGCCCGCACTTGCCAGATGGACGAAGGTATGGATGTGGATGGTGGATTGGACCTGGCGACCGTGCCGCAAGAAATTCCGATCCGGACGACAATCTCGAGCAGTATCGCGGAGAACTTGGGTGAGCTCCAGAGCGTATACCTCGGATATGTCAACTGAGGTTGCAGTAGCCCCCATGCCACCGACATCATCCCCACGCGACAACTTTCGGGACATCCAGGTTAAGGTGCATATCAGACGGCCAGAGAGGGACTCTTGGGTGTATCTTGGACGGGGGGTCGTGACCCAAGAGGTCAGTGGGCATTCGTCCCGTGTCGGTGAGTCAATCAGTGTTCATTCGAACAGCGGATGGTGTGCCGATTCATTTTGACGTCCAGTGGTTCGTGGATCGACCGGAAAAGTGATAGCCATATTCAGCGAGGTAAGTGCTCCCAAACGTAGACGATCGGTCAAACTCAGTTTCGTTATTGAAGGGCTCCGACCTTCAAGCTGAGAAACGAGGCAACTTCGTGGTTGTCGGATGTGTGGAAGGCTCACGGGTGGTCTCCTGGTCTCTAAATGTGAGTACATACTGTCGCCTTCTAATTCTACACTTGCTATAATATGTGAATTTGCTTGCTAGGCCTTGAATAACGCAGAGACACTGCGCCTGCTCGCCAGCATCGAGCTAGCTTGCTATAAATGCAAACAGGCAATCGCTGATCCAAGGCTGCACAACAAAGCGCGGCGAAGGATAGAAAGAGTCATCAAGGACGACAGACGGCGGAGACACCGCCGCCGTAAGGAGCAGGAGGCTATGATAGATGCATTTGCGAAGCAGACACTCAGCACCGAATTGCCGATAGACGATGTACCACCACCACCGCCCGAGTAATGTTAGGTATTATTCCCTTCTTATGCTGCTTTCCAGGTAGTTCCATTGCTCCATCCTTCTTTTGTATAATAACGAGTACGCTGGAGCAACAGCGGCCTCGATTGTATGAATGTACTTCGTTTTGTCTATTAGAATCATCATTCTCCTTGCTGAAGCGTACAAAAGTCTAGCCAGATATCGCCATAATACTGCTCTCTCTCGCGCCAAGGCTATTTCATTGGTTGTGTATCATCTGGGCCCTCTGCTCCATGGCGATGGTCAACCAATGAGGTAGATTCTGAGACGACTAATCGCATACCTTGCTGAAGCTAGTACCCCTCGATGAAGATTCCACGGACGTATATCCGCTGTTGCCCCGTCGGTCAAAATATTGAGGAGGGAGCTCCACTACCTCCCCTGGCTCCATATCATCCATCTCCTCCATGTCTGAATGTATGATGACGCGTGAATGCTGGGTACTTGTCCTGCTAGGACCACCGCTTCTAATCGTTGATCCAAGGACAGTGGAGCCGCTGTCCACTCTGGGCTGAGACACCTTGGAGAGGGTACGGTTGGGGGTGCTTGATGGCGTGATTGAACGGACTGTTTCCCGTGTCGTCAGCATGAAGGGCTGAGGTTGAGGTGTATGCACCGACGACTGCTCATGCGCAGAGTTTATCCCCGGTCGTACGGAAGAGGCTGCGCTGGACATCCCTCCCGTAAGGTCGATGACATGATTCGAAGCACGAGGATCGTTCTGAGCCGACCGTCTTCGTTCATATCGAATGAACAGGATCGCGACAATGGGCAGAGAGGCCAACCCAAGTACCACGCAGATGACTATAGCTGCAATCACGCCAGCAGATAGTTTCCTGGGCCCACTGGTGGAAGGTATAGGTGTAACAGAGGTACCCAGACAGGACGTATCATTTGAGATCCGTACAAGCCTGATGTCTGCGGTACCACCATTACGACCCAGTGAGTCAATCATGGTAAAGATGATGGGTGTCCCGGCAGCAACGTTGGCGGTCCAGTTGTACGATGACCCCTCCGGAGGATGAAGGACAAACGACTGCCCTCCTGGAACAGCTCCCTGCTGGTGGTCAATCGGCTGCAAATTGTCTTACGGAAGGCGAACTCACTATGATTGTGATAGGTTGGGTAGCATTGGTGTATAGGGTAAATGGGTAAGGCCTAGCGAATAAGCCTGAGTGATGGATCCATGAGCGAGTAGCGAAGGACTCACTTGCACTGCTCTAGCTCAGAATCAAGCGAAAAGAAGAAATCGACGTCTGTGCAATTTGTTAATAAGCCTAGCCTTATGATGCTCACAGACAAAGGGACATACTCGGCTCCGTCGTGTTACATCCAACATTCGGAGGCGGGGGAGCAACAACCTTGAGTTCAGATGTTCCCCCTGAGACGAGGCCTGTTGCATCAGACATAGTAAGGACAAAGCGTCTATCCCTCCGAAGCGAAAGTCGCGTCCGAAAGGTCCCTCGCCCATTCGAGAAAGCGGAGTCAGGAACACTGATATTCCGCATCGTGCCCCCAGGCTGGAACGCTCAAAATGAGATCATCAACGCAAACGAGCTGGAGAATGGGAAACATACTGGAATGATCAGGAGCTGGAATGGCGCTTGTCCTCCTAGAATAAATTTGCGTAAGATAAGCGTAAATGTTTGCAGGAGTGGAGTAGTATGATACGCCACACCCACCTGTCCAATCGACAATGAGATCACTACATTCCGAGGGCACGGTCGCAGTGGTGAAGTTGAATGCCTGGACCGCCAAACAGAACTTCACAATGATAAAGATGAGAAAGGCGAAGGGCAACATGATATGTTGGGTGGGGTTAGTTGCGCAGAAGACATTGAGACCGACCTACAAGTATGGCTTCTATTGGACATGCCTTCAACACATTGAGTACACACGAACAAGCTGAGGTACAGCTGTATACGCAGCTCTGTGCACCATTAACAGCAGTCACATGGCTTCATTTCCAGGACACGCACCTTTCATTTCAACCTGTCTGATACAGCAATTAGTGTGGATGCACGCAGAAAGGAATGGACACACTAGGGTGGAGGCAAGGCGATTCGATGACACTTCAGAAATGGTGGAACAGCGAGTAAAAGATGGTTTTCGACGATATACAAACGCACAAGGAAGTATAGTAGCGATATATAGAGTGGGCATAGGCCAACGATAATGATAAATATGCAATCCTCCTCCTGGATAGCCAGTCGCATCCTGTGCGGCCCAAAGTCCCCGAACCTGAAAGAAGAACGAAGCCAGTTGAACGAGGCCAGAAATTATAGCCTAAGATATGGGTTATGATGGTGGATACGTTCGAGGAGCTGATGGCGGGTTTGTAGGGGGTGGAGAGGATGGCAGAGCCGCTTGCAGGGGATCTGTGATAGGCATGCGGCGCTCAGTATACTGAGGCGGCAGTTCCACGATGCCATCATCATTCGGAGGTGGAAGGTCATCTTCTATGTCAGTATGTAGGATAAATCGAGATGGCGGCTTGTAATTTGATTCGCCGGCCATTGCTGCTTTTCGTTGTGCAGCCGTAAGAGTAGTGGAAGCCATGGACTGGCGGCTGGACTGCTCGGCAGATGTGCCCTCTGTGAGAGATAGTGAAGGGAGACCTGGTCGATGACCATAAACAGCAGCGCCTGCCGCTACTCCCGCTGCCACACCAGCTCCTGGAACGAGTCCTGCGACTGGTTGTCTGTAGATGTCGGGAGTAGCTGGTTGAGAATAATCGGTGTAAGGCGGTTGGTAAGGGGTCTGAGTGTAGGGATTTGGAGGTGGAGGGACGTATCCCGCTTGTGACTGGTGCCCGAACGAATGTGGTATATCGGCCTGTGAGCCATATAGATGAGGTTGTGATTGCTGCGGTTGAGAAAGCGTATAAGGAGTAGGGGCGTATTGCGCGTCAGATGGGAGGAAGGGAGACGACCCAGGAGTGTGATTATCTCTATATGGATGGTAACTCGTATTCGAGTCTGTGAGGTCTATTTGTGACTGTAGTCTCTGAGATTGGCGGCGACTAGGACCGCCAGATGCGAACCGGCTTCTTCTCAGGAGGAAGAGACCCAGGGTAACTGCGACAGCGAGAAAGATGAGGGCGCCTATCACTGTCCCGGCGATAGCTGCGATTGAAAATCCGCCTTCAGCAGGAGCAGATGCAGCAGAAGTTGTTGCAGTCGGTGCGGCAGAAGTTTTAGTGGCCGATGCAGGTTTCCTCGTGGCGGGGGTGGAGGTAGCGGAAGTGGAGGTGGCTGTCGCGGATGTGGTCGTTGATGCGGGGGAATTCGCATTCAGACAAGTTGCATCGTCAGTTATTCCGACCGTTTTAACGTCCGAAGCCCCGCCTTGTCTGCCAGCTGCATCAATCATCATGAACACCATGGATGTCCCACTACGAACGCTTGCCGTCCAGTCGAAGGATGTGGGGCCTGCTTGCGGTCTGAGAATGACCGCCGTGCCTCCAGGCACAATCCCCTGTAGTATATGAGAATAGGCTGCACATTAAGACTCCAGGACGTACAATCGCAGTTACTGGTTGAATAGCTCTGTCGTAACCACTGAATGTGTACGGCCTATAAAGATTATAGGACTGGAAAGAAAGAGGGAGGTGATCTGACATACCTGCATTGCTGGAGAGCAAGGTTGAGCTCAAAGCTGAAAGCAACGCCTGGAATTTGTCAGATTCGCATCAAATAGAGTAGACGTGAGTCGCACCTGGATCCACGGTATTGCAGGTGGCTCCCCCTGCCGCAGCGCCGACGGTTCTCAAAGGTGAGTAGCCTCCAGTGCCGAATCCCGTGGCGTCAGACATCGTTAGCAGATATTGCCCGGCTGCCACGAACGGTAGCTGCGTCTTGAATGTTCCTGCCCCATTGCTAAAAGCTGCAGCTGGTATCGAGACGTTCCGTGCCGTTCCAAATATCTTTAATTGCATGTCAACTTAGATGTAAGGTCGGCAGGCGATAGTGACGTGACATACAGGAATGAGCATCAGCGTAAATGGCGCGGTTCCACCTGCACCAAACGTAAGGGGGAGCTCGCTGGCAACCAATCGTCTACGCACCTGTCCATTGTACACTAAGATCGCCACATTGAGTGCTCGGGCTGTCGGTGAAACTGAAGGCGCTCGCGAGCGTGAAAAAAGCAGAACCCAAGAGCCAGACACGGCGAGCGCGCATGAATGGCGAAAAAGAAGGTGAAAGGAGGGGAATGAACAGATTTACAGTTCGTGTCGAAATCGAAAGAGTGCAGGGCAAAAAGGAGTGAAATTGAGAACGCTGTGCAGGAAACGCATGTTTCCATTGGCTCTCCCAGGTCTGTCAAGGTATCAGAATTATGTAAGCACTGCCACAACGACGATCGTCCACATGGGTTATCCTGCCTCGAGGTTCCAGTTCCAGCGGATTTCAGAATTTGTGCATAGGCTGTCCAGCTAATATATACATAGATACTTCGGTGCTGAGGCTACATTTCTCGTACACTTGACACGCGTTGTGATCAAGCACCCCAGATTTCCGCCGCAACCTTCACCAGCAACGCCAGTTTGCGCTTCTCATCCTAGTAAAAAAGAGTCAGCTGTGGGTCGCAATGGAGAGGTTCCACGACTTACAGCTTCTGTCAGGGGGTTCCCCTCCCAAACGGAGGCAAAGCCACATTGAGTACTAATGCAAAGCCTATCGCGTCGCGCATTCAGTTTCAGAATCAGGCCTGAGAGTGAAAGAGAAGTCTTACTGATTCAATGCTACGCTCTTTGAGCGGTGGGGATTCTCCCGTGCCATGGCTTCCGCTGCTTCATGGACCCGTGATCTTATTACCTCGCTGGCTTCGAGCTGTAGCAACGACGTGGTCGCATCAGGGATAATTAGACAGGGATCTTGGCACCCACCTTGCCAGACTTCGTCGTCACCAGGCCTAGCACTGCAACCTTATTCAGAGGGAAGTGCTTCAGCGGAGAAAAATCACCCGAGCGTTCCGTGTCGTACTCCAGCTAGGCCCCAGCGGGAGATAAGCTACGCGAACCCACAAGGAAGAAGTCATACGTACGTAGAATACGTCCACGTCGAGGTCGTTGAAAGCCTTGCGGGCAATCCGGCCGTAGCCCCCTTCCGTGAAATGGACGCCGCCCTGTAAGTCACCGGTGAGCGTGACATAGCACGTTGAAAGCTAAGATAATTCACTTTGAAGTTTCCGCGGCACATATGAAGCCCGATGGTTAAATCGGAGGGTCGGTCCTGGACGCAAAGATTGATGGCGCGAATGTACGTGTCCAACAAGGCATCTGGGTTGACTCCGGCCTTTCGCATCTCCGATATCATTGTATCATTGCAGAAATAGCAGAACGTCGGGTCATCAATTTGGATGCGACCTGTGGCAGGAATTGACATGCTTCTGTATGGGGCAAGCTAAGGGAAGGTGACTCACGACAGCCAAGTTCGTAGAGTTCTCGGATTTCTTCACGATAAGCCTTGCCAATGTCTTCGAAATACTCGTCTATTGGACCGATAAATCGAGCTAGTAGGGAGTAAGGGTCTTGGGCTCACCATCGTTCTTGTAAACATCTAGGTCGTAGGTTAAATCGGATCCATGACGCTGGTGGAACCACGAAGGGGAACACATGGTTATTTTAATTAACTTTACATCCTAAAAGTTCTTCTCAGAGACCAGCGAAGATCAGGAGTCTGAGATGCAGAAGGACTCACCTCCCGACGCACTAAGCGTTTAAGGGATTTGAACTGCTCTGCGTAGAACGCCTTTCTTCTCCTAATCTTCCCCTGTGCGTGGCGTCCAGATTTAGTGTCAGTAATCAAGGGCCAGAAGACGTGACAAACTGAGCAATACACCGATTCTGACACTTTGAGCCCAGCTGCATACATCAGTTTTATGTGCGGTATGTATTTCTATGTAGAAAGCGATGAGGTTCGAGTCGTGCTAGGTGACACGGTACTGACCTTGAAATGGGTGATGGGACCTAAGACGTGGGGCTGTTAGACAGCGGAGGGATGCACGAGTATTGTCGATCACTCACGCATGACGATCTTCATCCCTTCGAGGTTCTCAAAGACACCTTCGAAGAAGACCTCCCTGGGACGATAAGTCGCTATAATTAGGAGAACACAGGCACAATATTCACCTTCTCACTTCGCCGTCAGTGAGCGACCGCATGCCCACTTCACGCTGAAGGTTCAGGACATGCGCAACAGCGTTATCTTCGGCGGCGGCCAGCTCCTGACGTGTACACAACCCCTTGCAATACAAGCGACGCTGCTGCAAGAGAGGTAGGGGCCTCAATAGTGAGCCGACATGCTCGGCGCGGACAAGCGTTTTAGCGTAGGGAAAGTTCTGGGATGGCATAGCGGATTAGAAGAGGGGGCGGATAGGAACAGATGTAGATCATGGCAAAGGGGTTTTTATATGATGTCGCTCCCAGAAGATGGCATAAGCTCAGTACCATAGACGTAATAAACCTATCACGAAAATTGAGTCAATTTCTCCTTCTTGTCAGCATAAAGTTTTCCTGAGAGTTAGGAATCAAGATGCTTGAAGGTAGATCGATTGATGCATAAATATGGTGCGGTGTGGAATCGGTGCATGTCAGCATTCCGTTCGTGTAGGCGTTTGAACGGTCCCGTTGGGCGTAACATTCTCAGATGGCAAGCAAGGGAATCCCTTTTTGGTTCTGAAGTCTGAACAGCATGTAGTAAGGCAGGGTCCTTCAAAGTTAGAGAAGGTACATACATTACACGTACATATCTCCCTGCATAGCGCACATTGACATTGAGAGTAACGCCCGTCAGTAGCCTAACGTTAGTTGATGGACACAGCAACTGCGCGGAAAAAGGACAATCGCAGTACTAGGAACTTGGAAGTAAACGGCATGTTTTTCGTAAGCGCCCAGGATGTTGTTTGATGGCAATGAAGTCCCGAATCTCGTAAAAGTCAATTCTGAGCGACAAGTCGGTTGCAATATTTTCCGTCTTGCGAGTGGGTGAGCCTTGTGGATGCAACATTCTTGATCAAGCTTCGTTCCTTGGCCCCGTCGTGGTCGAAGCTGGCCGGCTTTGGAGGACCGGTAGTCACCGTAAAGCCCACATGCTCTCCCACGATTTCGGTAATAGCCGGCTTGGTACTATGCAGCTGCAAGCCACCCATCCCGATTTGGCGGATAGTGCCAAAAGGTTTAGACACCACCCGCAACGACCTCAAGACATCAAGGTATGGAATTTATGCCCATGCGCTGCCCGAGACGTTGCTGACCTTCCTTCTCCAAAGACTAAGCCATGGGTTTTGCGCACAACAACGGTGAGTATAGCCTTGCAGGGAATATTATCAATGTTCTAATAATCATCGCGTGTAGTCCTTCACGCCAACCATTTCCGCAAGGACTGGCAGCGCCGAGTTCGCACTTGGTTCGATCAGCCTGGCCGCAAGCTCCGCCGTCGCAATGCCCGCAAGGCTAAGGCCACCACGCTCGGTGTCCGCCCACTCACTCTCCTGCGACCCGCCGTCCGTGGCCAAACCGTCCGCTACAACAGAAAACTCCGCGAGGGCCGTGGCTTCACTCTCGCTGAGCTCAAGGAGGCGGGTGTTGGAAAGAAGGAGGCTCGTGGCGTTGGCATCGTGGTTGACCACCGAAGGAGAAATCTCAGTCAGGAGGGCAAGACGGTGAATGTAGAGCGATTGAAGGCCTACAAGGCCCGTTTGATCGTGTTCCCAAGAAAGGCCGGCAAGCCCAAGAAGGGCGACTCATCGGTACGTTTGGTATCTATCTTCAACCTTACCTGCGATTTTGAATTGCTGGTGTAGCCCGACGACCTCACCGCGGAGACCACCCGTGCCCCCCTCCCTCTGCCAACAGCATACCCTGCCGAATCACCCCGAAAGATCACCGATGAGGAACGTGAGTTTGATGCTTACAAGACCCTCCGCCACGCCCGCGCCAACAAGAGATACGAGGGCGCACGAAAACTCCGCGCCGCAAAGGTTCGTTTTGAATTCGATGCTCACCCAAGATCTTCTCTCATATCTTTTCGATCTGCAGAAGGAGGAAGAGGAGGCTGCCAAGAAGAAGTAAATCTATCTCCTGGGTTTTGCCTCTTTGTGCTTCCACCACATTCATACACACATGCTTTCCTGGCGCTCCTCAAAAGATTGGTGTTTTTTGTAATCTCGACGTCCCATGCCATGCCCTATGCAGCCAATATGAGAGCTTCATTATGCATGATCTTGACTGCTCATGGTGTAATATTCTAAGTAATTTGGTTCTAGATAAGTAGTGGGGTATGTAAGATCATCCAGTCTTTTTATCGCTAACTTGCTCCCATTGGCTCTCCCACCGTTCGATAACTTCCTTGACCTCAGCTCCCGCCACTCTTCCTACAATCCCAACCTGCTCCGCAACACCACGTAATACCCCCACAACTTCTGAGTTCCCCTCTGCGAAGCCGAATTCAGCGTACACGAGTCCCTGTTCTTGAGCGAATTCTTTGACCAACATAGACGCTTTGCGTAAATTGTGTCGAGGCAGACGCGGGAATAGATGATGCGTTACTTGCAGATGGAGCCCTCCATGGACGAAGGCTAGGGAGGGTGGGCATATGACGTCTGTTGTTGTCCGTAACTGCCGATGCGGGAACGATTCGACAGGACCAAGGTCAGCCGTGGACATAGAGAAATGAGAGAGGACAATCTGAACGCCGTTGCCATTAGACAGGGTTGACAGTTATGGTAACAAGAAGGATATACCTGAACGTGTACTGGACTCGCAGCTATATGACTGACGAGTAGATACATAAATGCCTTCTTCCATGATCCACACCCGTACAAGACAGAGCCGAACCAGCACCAAAAGAAGGCAATGCCCGCGACCTCAAGCCACCAAGTCCACCTTCCGCCTCTGGCTCGTTTCTTATCAAACGCGCTTTGGACGAGGAAGACGTAAGAATTGCGGTAAAGGTTAAAGCGTGCCAGAGCCAAGACGACGTAGAAGATGCGATGTTGCAATGATATTAGGAACTGCGAGAACGCGTCGAAGGGCATGATGCGCTTGTAATACGAAGACCATAGATTGAAAAAGAAGGAAGGGGAAATGGCAAAGAAAGGAATATGCTGGATGTCGGGGTCATGAGATGGATGATTCGTGACAACTGAGAGAAGGTTAGTAGTGACAGATACGCGCTCGCGTCGTACTTACGGTGATGAACATTGTGGTTCTGGAGGTGACGAGTCAGCTCGAGAACCGGAGGACGCGACTAATTGGGACTTACGTGAACCCACCAGCCGACACTGAGCCCTCCAATCCAATCAGCAATTAGAATCGCGATGAGACGATCAAAGGTCCAATCATGTGTCACTCCCATGTGTCCTAGATCGTGAACGGTGAAGACCAGTTGGTGCCAGGTGAACCCAAGGAGAGCAGCGCTGGTCATGAGCCAGTTCCTGTAATACGCATAGGCTGACAGGCCAGCGAGCATGGTGTAGCGCAGAACTTCGGGGCCGTAGCCAGTGAGATAAGGTGTCTTGTAAAGTCCGGCGTCTACAATGCGCTTATGCAACAGCTTGTACGCTGCGGAATGATCTGCCTGGGCTTTCAGCGACAGTGAGGTCGGCGACGGAGTCAAGTTGGACAACGTTGGACCCTTTTCCACACCCAAGTCGTCTCTCTTCACGAGGAGAATGTCCGTGGTACCCTCCAGAGGCGCGAAAGTGCTGGACTCGTTATACCATTCCTTCGTTCCGTTACTGGCAGGCTTCCTGACCCAGCCTGTCATTATTGGGGGAACAAGGGCTTCCCAAGAGCCATGCTCGTCGGTCTCGACGGCGCCGACGGAGTATCTCTTGATGAGCTTGAGGGCGTGTTCTGAATGGTAGGCCTGAATCTCATCAGACGCGTCTCTGCCGACGAAATGCAGCAACGCCAAAGAGCCTCCCGGATGAGCATCGACCCAGGACTGGGGAATCTTGAGGAGCTGGCCGTCGTAGACGATGAGCGTCTCCCCGTCGAGGATGCGCTGGGCGATGGAGCTCCTTGGGATTGGGCTCATTTTGGGAGAGGCCATGGGTGACCGCAAGGGTTCGTCAGTTGACTTTTGTTGTGAGGCGCGCTTATATAAAAGTCCTTCTCAGCATCAACCGCCTTGGCGGGCGAAATCTCCAGCCACCACACTCTCTTCCGCACCACCACCACCGTCTCCAGCCCTCCCGACCATCGTCGTCGACGGCGTCCGTGCATCCAGCGAACCGTGCGCTCTTCAGGTGAATTCTCGGGTTCTCTTGGCGTGGGAGTCGTGTCCATGGGGCTGACCAACTGTCAGCGACCCTCTCCAACGTAGATCATGGCCTCAGTCAATCATAAATCGCACTCCAGGCGGAGGTCTGCCTCTGACCCGTTCACTGATCAAGCCTCTCCTCGACGCACTGCCCCGACCCCGCCGCCAAAATCATCCCACAAATCCTCCAAGATGCCTGCACAGGCTGCTGTCAAGTCTGCACCTGCCAACCGTGAGACCCATCGCGAGGTCCCAGAGCGAGACGCCGTGGTGAAGGTGGATGGTTCAAGCGGAAGAAACAGGATGGGAAGAAGTCACACTGCACTGTTCGTCTTTTTTGCCGACTTATCACTTCTCAATTCAAATATGACTTCACAGAACACCAACACGAGACTCCCCGCATCGAGCAATTCAAAGTAGCCGCCGTTCCCAATCGCAGGATTCTGCGCCAGCACCTGCCGGTGCCATGGAGAAGGCAAAGTCAAGCGGAAAACGCTCCGCCAAGAAGGGCGGCTCTCAGCACGCCGATGTTATCGATAGACTTGATTACACAGGCGTGGGATGTACGTATACGTTCCTTCTTGCACGAGGCTCGATTGTTCATTTCCCCGGTAGTGTTCCATCATGACGGCCCATTTGACGCCTGCGCACCATCGCGCAATCGCCAACGCAACAAAGCCCCTATGCTCGCATGGTCCGGTCGACCTGAGGAGGCTGCGCCTGAATTAGCAGCAAACAATAATTCTCCCTATCCAGCACCCGAGGCATACAAGGCATTCACTACAACGAATTACTACCAGGAACCCCCGAAGAAAAAGGTCGACGCTATCGCTGAAGCTTGGGGCATCCATGAACCAGAGCCATTTGAAGAGTTCTACGCAGGTGGAGGTCGCAACGAAACACCTGCCAGTTCAATTCACAATGGCCGCGAAGCGCATTCGTCTCGGTCTAAGCGTATCAAGGACACTCCTCGAGATGGTGCAGACGACGCTGCACACAGCCGCAGTCGTGCCAACCGACGGTCTGCGATGCCACCTCCACAACCTATCTTTGTCCCGGACCCAGCCACAGAGACAGAGGCTCCTTTAGATAGCCCGCCTACTTCAGCCCCCAAGCGATCCAAATCGCTCATGCAACGTATTCGTAAGATGCGTGATGCGCCGAACGTTCCCGTTTCAGGCAATGACTACCGTGACGAGGGCAGTGTGCCCTCGTCGCCAACGTCGCCCGTAATGGCCGAATCGTACCCTGGTGGAACTCGGCCGACACATCGCTCGCAGAATTCGTTCCTTGGCCGATTTGGGGGTAAGGCTACTACTCAACAGCAGCCTAACGCAACAGCAGAGCCATTCGTGCTAGTCAATAACACTAACGACAATCGTCAGAACAAGGACCTGCCACAAACCCCTTACGGGGCGCCTCTCGCTGAACCCGTTGCGGGGTACTTCGACGGACCCGGCAGTGGTGTTGGGGGCTCTCCTCATAGTCCCATGTCTGCAGGCATGGCGAGAAAGCCTAGTTTGATGAAGAAGATGCGAGGCGTCATGCGACCATCCAAGCGCGAGTAGAGAAGGACCAAGCGGTCATCCTTGCCCTTCCATTGTATATTCTTTTCCTGCTTCAGTATGTGTCATCCCTCTTTACCCACCTCTTCCCTTCCGATTTACGTCCTTCCTTCCCTTCCCTTGGAGCATTACACTTGTCGCGGTCGCCTCCTTCTGACAGATATGTATTCCTTTTGTTATTTTATCTGACCGTGCCTCACACTTCATGTCCTTTCCGATGGTCCCGTGGCGGGAGTATACCTAATGTATATTGCACTGTGCCGTCCTTTCAGTTTTGTAACAATACTACTGTATACCTTCTTGAAAATGGGAGACATCCGTTCATCCTCTAGGATCAAGTCCGAGCACTGATAGCATGTTCCTTCAAGCAGTCCTTCACCTCTCCAATTCCCACTTCACCGCGATGGAAGATGCCAGCGGCGAGTGCTGCTTCTGCCCCCGTAGCTTGGAAGACGTCGACGAAGTGCCTGGCCTTCCCAGCTCCGCTGCTAGCGATGACAGGAATCCGAACATTAGACTTTACAAGCCGGATCAAGTCTAAATCAAAACCGCGTCCAGTGCCGTCGCGATCTATGCTGTTGATGAGTAGTTCGCCTGCTCCTAGCTCCTCAGAGGCCTTGGCAAACTGAACGACGGAGAGGTTTCGACTTTCGCGCCCGCCTGAAACCGTACATTGATACCACCACGCCTTGTTCCGCTCGTCGTCTGGTCCATCCGGGGCTCCGAATACCAACTCATCCTTGAAAGGGCCGTCATAAAATGATGGGTCCACATAAACCCTTCTGGGGTCAATAGACACGAGGACCGCTTGTCGACCATAGGCATGCGCAATAGTCTCTATGGCACTCGTTCCACTGCCCTTCCTGTTGTTTTTTATGTACTCCTCGCTTGCGTAAACTGCCTCGGAGCCAATGCTGACTTTGTCCGCGCCAGCACGAAAGTATTCACCCGCGACTTCCAACGCGCTTCTCTTCCTTCCGTCCGGGTCGATGGTATCTTTGATGCCCCCTCCGATCGTGAGGGGGACGAAGACGCGCTCAGCGGCGGCTCGCACCACCGCGAGCATAGGCTGATCCTGGAGAGGCGAGTGACGGAAGGAGGTAATATTGAGGAGGCATATTTCATCTGCGCCTTGGTCGTAATATTGTGACGCCAACGATACCGGCTTTCCCAAGTTTCGGACCGCACCAGCAGCCTGGGTAGCCAAAGCAGACGAGGAATCAACGACTTTCTCTCGTACATCGTACTGGTCACCCTTGGTGACGACAAGATCCCCTTGATCATTGGCCCGAACGTCCATACACGCAATGACGCGTTTCGTTAAATTGTCTCTAGGCCTCGGTAGTCGCGCAAGTGGAGCAGATGCTGGTAATCGAGATCGCACGGCCTCTGGTTGCCTCAGCCAAGAGTCGATGAGCTGGAGTCCCGCTTCCCCGGATTTCTCTGGATGAAATTGTGTGCCGAATACGTTGTCTTTGAGCACGCTCGCGATAAACAATTCTTGGCCATACTGCGTTGTCGTATGCGCCCATTCTGCTGAGATCGGGTTGCGTTTTGGATCATACTTTGCGCAGAAAGAGTGCACGAAGTAGTAAAAAGATGATTCCTGTATCCCTTCGTCAGGACTTGTGTCACGATCCAAGAAGTCCGCAGAGTTCCAGCCAATATGGGGGACTGATTTGTCCAAGTCGTCGAACCTTTCGATCGCAGCAGGTATGATGGCAAGTCCTTGCGATTCAGGGGACTCTGCAGATGATTCGAACAGTACTTGCAAGCCAATGCATATTCCAAAATACGGTCGACCGGACTTGATATACTCTCGAAGGGGCTCCAGAAGTCCTCTATCTTTGAGTCCTTGAATGGCGGATCCAAATGCACCGACGCCAGGGAAGATGAGACTCTGCGATGTTGATTATCACCTGTATACGGTAAGGTGAGCTATGACTGACAGTGGCCTTGTCAAAATCCGATGGCGCCTTTATCCAAGTAAACTCATGCCCCAGTTTGCGCAGCGAATTCGCTAGGCTCTGCACGTTGCCAGCGCCATAATCGAGGAGGTAAAGTGCCATGTTGCTGGTGCAGAGTAAAATTTACTCTGTGGAAGGCCTCGCTCCTATTACCGATGCATCAGGGGCCGAGATGCCGATCAATATAGCTGAAGATGAAGGCAACATTATAACGAATTGATTCATTGATTCAGAGTCCAATGATATAAAAACACGCACGAACCAGCGTACCCTCTCCCTCATCTCGCTTTGCTACCATGTCCACACCAATCTCCATCCCGGGCAAACACAACCTAGCCGTATCCATATCCCCGACCACTACCACCATCCATGACAGATTTCAAACCCGGAAGACTGGTGCAGTCGGTCCAAGGACACTCCATTCCGTAGACAATGGCGATTTCCGTCTCCTTCTCCTCGAGAACATCAGTATGGAGGCCGTGAACGCTTTCCGAGAGAGGGGGTTCCATGTAGACCACCACGCAAAAGCCATGTCAGAGGATGAGCTATGCGAAAAGATTCCTCACTACCATGGAATAGGCATTCGAAGCAAAACAAGAATAACAGAGAAGGTCATCAGGGCTGCGACGAAGGTAGTTTGCCCCTTCTTCTTACAATGAACGCCAAGTTGATTCTGTGTTGCGTAGCTCGTAGTGATAGGGTGTTTCTGTATAGGCACCAACCAGGTCGATCTATCAGCCTCTGCGCGAGCTGGTATCCCCGTTTTCAACTCACCATTCTCCAACTCTCGCTCGGTGGCAGAACTCGTGATGTCGGAGCTCGTTGCGCTGTCACGCCAACTCTTCGAGCGCTCCTACGAGCTCCGTCAAGGGATCTGGAATAAGCAATCGAAAGGTTGCTGGGAGATTCGTGGCAAAACATTGGGTATTGTGGGATATGGTCACATCGGTTCACAATTGTCCGTCCTCGCGGAGGCATTTGGGCTGCGGGTCCTCTTCTACGATGTCGTCAACATCATGCCATTGGGCTCTGCGCGCCAAGTCGAGTCGCTCAGCGCCTTGCTCAGGGAATCTGATTTCGTCACACTCCACGTCCCAGAGTTACCGGAAACCATGAACATGATGTCGACGGATCAATTCGCCGAAATGAAGTCTGGGTCATACTTGATTAATAACGCTCGTGGCACGGTTGTGGACATACCTGCCCTAGTCGAGGCTCTCAAGAGCAAACACCTGGCAGGCGCTGCCATCGATGTATTCCCAGCCGAACCCGGTTCCAATGGCGCACCATTCGACGATCAACTCAATCCTTGGGCTTCTGAACTCCGCGCTCTCCCCAATGTCATACTCACACCCCACATCGGCGGCTCGACAGAAGAAGCACAGAGGATGATTGGGGAAGAGGTTTCTTCTGCTCTCAGCCGTTACCTTGGGTTTGGCACGACGCTTGGTGCTGTCAATTTCCCAGAGGTTGACCTACGTGCGATCACGACCGAGCAAAGCAACTCTATCCGCGTCTGCCACGTACACAAGAACCAGCCCGGTGTGCTCAAGCTTGTCAACGAAGCTCTTTCGCCATATAATGTGGAGAAGCAATACTCCGATTCGAAAGGCGATATCGCGTACCTCATGGCTGATATTGCGGACGTCAGCCTGAACGATGTGAAGCGGCTTAGGGAGACCATAGATAGGACGGAAGCTAATATTCTTACTCGCTTCTTAGCCTAATCACCAAAAGCTATGTAAGCTGGCGAGCATAGTAGAAAAAGATGTACTCAGCAATCGTAGCACATAATAATGTACATTTATTATTATAATCCATTGTCATGATTCTACAATAGCGAGCAGTCGGATTTACGAATGAAAGTGGAGTTTGGCCGAGGTTGAGAACATTAACTTTCTTCCTCGGGGTCTCCGATGCCGCTTGAGAGGATGGCAAATTGCGCCTCCATCTCGGGCAAGCACGGCGAGTCGTATATCTTGCAGGTTCGTGTGGTGCCGCGGGCTTTCTTGAGCTGAAGTCTATATGCGCCAATAAGCCGCACTTATCGCATACATACACCCGCGATGCTAACCTTGTGGTTGAGGCATGTGCTATAATATTCCCACCGATTGGTTTCTTCTCGTTGCCCGCGTATGGCCCAGCAGCAGCGTCTGGGTTCGACATCACCTGGTTCGTGATGACAACTGCAATCCCAAACTATGAAACAATAACGCGTGAAGCATGGTCGGAGGTCTAATTGGACGTAGATACTGACCTCATCGGCCAAACGTTGTAGAGTCCTGAGGAATTTACCGAGATGGTTCTGTCTCGAAGAAAGCTCCCCTCGACCACTGAAGTCCGTTCGGTATAACGCAGTGCACGAGTCCACTATCAACAGGCAGAATCTAGCCACGTATAGTCAGTGCTCCAAGCCAGAATGACAGTACACACCTCGATTCTGACATCAACGCACTGGCGCTTGTCAACAGTTGATTCTGGTGGTCTGCATTGTACGCCCTTGCGTACGCGACATTGTCCAAAACTTCTTCTCCATTCAAACCATACCGCTCAGCGACCGCCAGTAACCGGACAGGACGGAAGGTGCCTTCGGTATCGATATAGAGACATTTGCCCTCGCCTCCTCCCATGCTCACAGGGAGCTGGCATGTAACAGCAAGGGTATGACAGATCTGCGACTTTCCCGTCCTGAACTCTCCAAACATCTCGGTGATCGCGCCCGTCTCTATGCCTCCTGCACTTGAATGTGAGTGAACAAAGACTGCAATGCTATAGCATATACATACCTCCAAGCAGAGCATCAAGCTGTTTAGAGCCAGTGGTTATATGCACTAGCTCTGACCGCCGAGCATGAACCTCCGTAGCACTCTGGAAGCCTAGGGGGACAATCTTCTGGGCTGGTTTCTGAGTCAGCATGACAAGCCGCCATTTGGAGGCCAAGTTTGCATACCTTCAGCTAGGATCTTGTCTGCCTTCTGTTCCGATATGCCTTTGATCGCAATCAGAGCCTTCTTGGGTGTGAACGCGACGGATTCGACTGTGTTCAGCCCAGCGTCGGAGAGTTTCTTAATATCGTTAGCATGGATGCCTGCTTCCTGCAGTTTGCTAATGAGAAGAGGTCCTGTGGCTTGATAAGATTCGTCGCCTTCATCGAGGTCCTGTGATGCTTGGGACATGGTGATTCGGAGGAAACGACACTTTGGGGTTTGGAATGAGAGCAGGCACCTTCCCACGCGGCAGCAACGCGTCCTAATGAGTCATCACGTGGGCGTGTGTGCCATCAATGCTCATGCACATGAGTGAACCGTCTCAGCTCAGCCAACGTAGCACCGCTTGGGGCACAATTCAAAGCAGAGACAGCATATATTAAGATCATCTACGAATGTGGGTATAAATCATGCAACGAGTCCGGTTTGTTTGCAGAGTGTCTTCTCAAAATATTCGAGTGCCTTAAGATCCATAACGAGGCGCGGCCACTTCACGATGTCGTACACAGTGAGCTTGTCCGACGAAATCAGGCTCACAGAGGGGATATTCCTCATGGCGCGTTCCAACCCGGCAGGTATCTCCTCCTCTCCAGTTACGAACAGAGTTTTCCGCCATCCCAAGTTGTCAATTCGATGACTGAGATGCCTGGTTTTCCCGCTGGGCCAACCCAGACGGGACACTGCTGCCAGTTTCTGCTCCTTTACCTTTGCACTCAATGCAACCCGCATACCCATCTCAATCACCTTCCTCGGTAGTTTGGTGCTGAAGTCCCGGGGCTTCGGACCAAAAGCGATTCCTCCACCACGAAGCATGGGACTCTGACCGTCTCCAAGTCGAGCTTTTCCAGAGCCTTTTTGAGGGCGAATCTTGATTCCGGAACCACGCACTTCACCACGCGTCTTGGTGCTGGCAGTTCCCTGCCGTAAGCCATCCCTGTGATGGGTCACGCATAGGTGCAGAATGTCCCTACGAATGGGATGGCGGAAAACGGTCGGGTCAAGGGCAAGGACGTTCTGTTCCGGGGATACATCGTTGGACTTTGGGATGAGGGGAGTAGCTAATTCCAAGTATACGGGGTCCTGAGAAAATGAGGCTTCAGAAAAGTCAGCGCCAGCAACGGGTGAGTATTGTTATAGCCTCACTGTTGAAGTCCGGGGCAACGTCTGCAAGTGTGACAGACGGCGGAGCAGGAGAGGTCACGGTCGTGGTACCCATGGATCGGCGAGCTGCGTTGAAGACCTATGAAATATGAGTGTCTTTCTTCCATGAGGCCCATGTCGTTGTGGCGTACATTTGCTACATTCCTTCTGGTGCAAGCCAACATGTTCGAGGGGAAGTGGAGATGGGGATGAACGTAGATCGGCCAATAACGGGTTCAGCGCCCGCGGCAAGCTGGTGGTACGAAAGCAAGATGCTGACTCAGCGGAAATTGCCGAGTGCTCCTGTACAGTCGCGAAGCCACACAATCAGACGTCTCGTACAGGAGATCCCGCACGCCCTCAACGACCTCAAGAACAAGGTACGGCCGCGCCGCTCATCGTCGTTTGAAGGCTGAATGTCTCTCTGTAGCCGTATCGTCCGGCACATCACCGTATCATATCAAAATGGCGTCCACAACGAAGGCCGTCCAGACATTCGGCAAAAAGAAGGTAGATTTTCTCCTTCAGCAGCCCCTACGCCTCCACTTAATGCGTCGGACGATAGACTGCCACTGCTGTTGCTCACGCAAAGGAGGGACGAGGCATCATTCGCATCAACGGTTCCCCCATCAACCTCGTCCAACCCGAAATCCTTCGTCTAAAGATCTACGAACCTGTCCTTGTCGCGGGTGAAGATGCTTTCTCGCCTCTCGATATCCGTGTCCGCGTGAAGGGTGGAGGACATACGTCCCAAGTCTACGCCATGCGACAGGCCATTGCCAAAGCATTGGTTGCATACTACGCCAAGTACATCGATGCGTATTCAGCCATGGAGTTGAAGAAGAAGCTGGTTGCCTATGATCGCACACTGCTCATCGCCGATCCCAGACGGATGGAACCCAAGAAGTTCGGTGGTGCTGGTGCCCGTGCTCGCAGGCAAAAGAGGTACGTGCTGTACGCTGTCATTCGCGTATTCCATCTAAGATATATCTCTGGGAAGTTACCGTTAAGCTGTTGGGTGTTCTGTGGTGTTTCGCACTCACATCATGTACTGGGTTGTCACATTATGGTCGTATGCACATTGAAAATAATTATGACTATTCCAAATCATTATGCATCTTTCCGTTGATTGTGAGACGCTCGGCGCCTAGCGCTTACCCCAGAAACAGTGCATCGAAACCAAGACCAGCACCGTCGAGGGTGGTCTGCCAAAATTATAATCTTGGTCTCTACCGCCATATTGTGCGCATCCACCCTCGTTTTCGCTCGGGGGCTTGTCTTGTACCGCGTCGGGGACTTCCAAGGGCATTCATTCTCTTCACTCAACCACTCACTCCTCACGGTCTCATCCTCTCCGATCGGCCATGTCCAAGTTATTTTGTGGCCCAGAAGGCAAAGAGATGAACATCTACATATCCATAAACGGGGTCGTCAACAGGCCTCGAGTCTGCCGCCGGATAAAGGTACCTCAAATATGCTATGTGTTAGTCTAATTTATTGATTCTTGCCCCCTAGTCGAATGGGGGTCGCATATGCAACGACGCCCTCAATTCGGACGTTATCCTGGTCGAGCCTTCGACGGGCGACGGCCAAGAGATGGTCCACTTCCGTGGAAAAAGCCAGCCCGTCCTTGGGTATCGATGGGTCGAGGCGTGCATTAGAGAGGAGAAGTTCCTCGGGGCTGAAGAGAACTGGGGTGGATATCGTATTCATGACTCCGGGGAGCCTCTAGAGCTGCGCGGTGAAGAGGACGAAGATGAGGGCGAGGGCGAGGAGCCGGATGTAGATATGCATTCGGGCCCCAGAAAGTATGTTCATCTGTGCTATACTGTGCGTACCAGACTGAACAACTCTCAGCATCTTGCCCACTCCTAGACACACCCCAACCTCCCCAGCCGTTTCACAGCCTCCGCCATCCCAGCCCTCGTACCAGTCACCCCCTCTGCCTTTTAGCACTCCCGCCCCCTCTAACATCCCAACGATGCAGCCCATGCCTGCCATGTATCCCAGCACTCCGTTTCCGCAAGCCACCCAGCCCATAGATCCTCAGGCCGTGACTCAGATGTTCCAGGCCTTCATGATGGCCGCGATGTCCCAAGGTTATGCTGCCCCATCTCCCACCTTCGCCTCAGGTTCCACGACAGGTTGGCCTTTCATCCCGTGCATCCTGAAAAACTCATTAATTGAACCTGCCCCAGCGGCCCCGCCCCCGAGTCAACAACCACGGAAGGGTAAAGCAAGAGCAACCCAGCCCGAGGCGCTCAACCCCATATTCAAGGAGAACGGCAAGCCCCTCACCTTCTTCGTTCAAGTCGATTTGAAGAACAGGATTTCGGTGATATCTAATATCAAGGCAAGTGACCAGCCACCTCGCGCCACGATCGCTAATCTATCATCACAGAAATACGGCGGCAAGATCATCAGCAACAACTGCGATGCCGACTACGCGGTACTACATGCAGGCTCGAAGATGTTCCCCCAGCTATTATCTGGAACGACCGATGCAGGGAGGCCCGCTGTCAAGGCCTCTTTCATAACCGACTCGATAGCTTCAGGTGAGCTCGAGGACGCCTCCGCATATCAATTTGATGTGCCTCTTAAAGATAAGAAACGCGCCTCGACGAGTACTATCGAGACTCCCAGACCGAAGCGAAAGGGCCCGAACCTAGTCAAAGTGGAGCAAGCGGACGTCACACCATCGCTGCAACCACAGATCGGTATACGTAGTGCAGCCAAAAAGCGCAAGATTTCGACACCGACACCAAGCCCTGCTCGCAGCACTCCGTCTCCGACCCCGCCGCCAGAAAGTAGTCGTGTCGAAATGGCACCAGGGATGTACAGGTACACAGAAGACGAGCAGGCCTTCATGTTCCGATACTTTGAGTACCTGGTGCAGTTCGACGGAACGACGACGACGGCTCTAACGGCCAAGCGCCTTTATGAAAGGGTGTGTCCATTTATATCGGTATCGAAGGGGAAAGCTGAAAGGACCCTCAGATGCCTCATCATACCATTAAGTCATGGTCGGAATACCTACGTTCCCACCGTGTTGAACTCGAAGCCATACGGAAGCGCATCGGGATAGCAAAGCGAAAGGCGCAACAACTTCCCAACAGCCAGCGTGAATCACCGTCCCCGCCAAATATCAAAACTCCCTACGATATCGACATGGATCATTTCTGCACATTCTTCGCTTTCGGTCACGGTGATAATCTGGAGGATGAGATGGTCTGGGACAAGCTGGACAAATTGGTGTGTTTTCCCTTCGTCTCGCCTTTTGCAAGCTCATCAGTATCATGTGTAGCATAAATGCCAGACGGAGCCGTCATGGGCTGCCTTCAACGACCGGCATAACAAGGTTATATTCGAAAGGGTCAAAGAGATGACAAGGTCAAGTGGTTAATAATGGGACTTATGGTCTAGTGTCTCATCCCTATCGATGCACTTTTCTCATCGCATATTTATATATCAGCTGTATTTGTAGACTCTGTACATATGTACGAACGAGATGCATCGCGCGACCGCGGGTCGCCCAGGTTCTCTGATTCTTGGAAAGTGAGGTGGTGTCTCGGAAATCAAACCTTTACACCTCATTCATACGTCGCGTTCAAAAATGTCAATTGCTCCAGTAACAGCAATCCCATCGTTGGATGATCAAAGCAGGACCCGTCGATGATGGAGACCATGCGCTAGCGGTGAGATTATCTAGGTGTCATTCCGTGTAGCAGGCCCTCGTGAGGCGCACAGTCCACAGCTCTCTTCGCAGGGCAATAGAGCTCACGATTTGCTCAACGCATGAAGCAAGCGAAATATACTCGGCCGCCGCCGTCCCAAAGGAAGTTTATATCGAAGTGCATCGCGGCTACGACCTTGTGCTGCGTCGCGAGTCTACATTCTTGTCGTTGAAGCTCTCGAAGAACGTCTAGAGCCGGCGCTATGCAATGAATTCGCAACGTTGCGTCGGCCGCGGAGGTAATCTTCGACGATTGAAGGTATGGGTTGCTTAAACTAGCGGACTTAAGGGATAACTCGGGGAGTGAATGAATAGGTGAAGACTGATCACATAGTACATGGCAATATGATCTAGTCGGCAAGAGTCTGTGGCGGCTGTTTGAAGAAGCGTTTTCTTCTCTCCTCGTTTGATATACTCTGGTCTCCTGTCAACGAGCCGGCGTAGTCGAATGTACCCATTGCAGCACCCATTATGGCGCATGACCCAACTGCCAGTGGTAATGAACGGGCTGTCCAGAGAGTCAGTATGGATTCCTGCGCCAGAGATTACGGTGTGCGCACCACGTAGGCCTGCAAGGAACCCAGCCGCACAAGCCCCAGCCGCACCGTTGATAGGATCGTCTCGCTGACGCTGGTTGGCCACAGCAGCCTCGGTGAAAGCGAATGTAGCTCCCATCGCCGCTGCATTTGATGCATAATGAGAATAAATGAAGTCGTAGATGCGTCATGGGGCTCACCGAAGAAACCAATGGTCCCCCCCGTTCTAGTCAAGAATCCCGATGCACCTCGCGAATGTTTGTCTAGAGCATTTTGAATGGCGCTGACGAAGACGCCGACGGCGCCAGCTTGAAGACCAATCGTGGCCGCATGTTTGATAGGCGTCTTGGGAACGAAGACAGACTGCTCTGGCGTCGCTGTCGACATTGTCGGGTCGGAGTGGAAGTTAAAGCACCCAGTCGGCGAGCGCTCGCCAGGAGATTGTGTTTGGGCGCCTATGATTTACCACTTCGTTCGACTAGAACTTGTTAGAGTCACCTTGAACCTCCACGCGGATGTATGGATGGCTGAACCGGAAACAAGAAAAGGTCCTGATCTCAACTTATCTTTCAAACTCAAGGTAGATTTTACCCTATGCTCACTCCCGTCGAAGCCCTGACCTTTACCAACAGCTTCCCTCACCAGGCCCTCCATTTGTTTTTTTTTTTTTTTTTTTTTTTTTTTTTTGGTGGAGCGTTTTACTCATGGTCTGAGTTGCCTCACGGAACCGTCGTATAGTCAGTTCTGTTTGGCCCGCTAGGGTGCCGACCTATCGATCAGCCTGTTAGTTGTGTTCACCGCGAGGAAATGCTTTATGCACTGAGTGTGGGACTCTTGTGGACCTGACCTAACCGTTGTCTTGGTCAGCTGTTTCGTCGCTACCCACTAAAACCCCGCTCGATTCTATCCAGTTCTTTGGTAGTTTGTCTTCATTCATGAGGACTCCCCTCCAGGTTGACAATACAGTGTGTGTCTTTGTGGCTTTCTTTCCGTATCTTTTGTGGGTTAGTTTCCTGTCGAGGTCTAGTCTCTCGTTCATCGTTCTGCGCCACTTGTTCTGGACCGCCGTCCTTGTGACCGGTTGATTGTTGTCCTGGATCACCCTCTCGCAGCGTATCTTCCATATGAGGTATGCCGATTCTGCTATTAGTATCCTCCAGAATCTTGTGTCCCCGTGTTGGGTGACGCCTTCGCCGTCCATTATGGTTCTAGATCCGCAGGCCAGGATGTCTCCTATCCACGGTTGTCTCCATTCGTAGCCTTTCTTCGTCCACAGGTCTTCAGCCATTCTCCATATTTCTGATTGGCCCGGGGATTCACATTTGGTGAGTATGTGTGGCATGTCTTCGATTGCGTCATCGCAGTGTCGGCAGAGGCCCCTCTCTGTGTACTCTCCCCCAATTAGTTCCGTCCAGTACTTCCCGATCTTGTACGCGTCGTGGATGGACATCCATAGGAAGAAGCGGATCTGGCGTGAGAAGTCCTTGCTTCTGGCTGTCGCCCATATCTGCGGCTCGTTTGGTGTCGTTCCATTTGAGTCCTCCATATGGTTTTGTATCGTCGATATCATTGACCTCGTTCTCTCGCGTTTGTGCTTGGCTTTCTTCAGCTTCCTCTCTCGTATTCCTCTGTAGGCCGTTGCTTGGTTTAGGCTTTGGAGTTTTGCCCCTGAGAGGTTTCGATTTACTTCCTGGAATGCGTCCTCCGGGAATCCTTCCTCGCACCCCTGGCCTGCCAGGTGGTCCGCTCCTTCGTTTAGTCGGTCTCCTTGGTGTCCTTTGACCCACTTGAATTCTGTTCTGCCCTGCCTGTTCCTTAGTGCTGCGATGGTGCATTTTATCAGTTCCTTGTTGGCTATCCCGATGAATCCTCTGTCCTCATTCGCCTTCAGGTTTGACGTTAGGGATTTTATGACGTATCTAGAGTCCGTCAGTATCTCCAGGGTTTCGTTCCCCGGGAAGGATCTCGCTGCCTCTAGCACCGCATACATCTCTGCCACCTGGTTTGTTTGTGTCAGTTCTTTCGGTACTCGTAGGGACTTGTTCCTTTCGTCGTCGTCCTCGACGAATACCCCCGCGCCCGCTTTTGCTTCTGTCGTGTTTGCGTCTTTGCATGATCCATCTGTCGCGAGTCTGATCGTCTCGCCGTGTCCGTGGTCTACCATTGGGTCCGCTCTGTATTTTTCTCCTTCTGTGAAGATCCGGAATATGTCCTTCATTTCCGTTGTTGTGGTGTTTTTCCCGTTGAACGGGCTCCATCCGTCTCTGCTGGCCTCATTCGGCTCTTGTCCATCGTTCATTCCGGTTGGTTCCCACTGGGCGGGTAGCGTTCTCATGTACTCTTCGGCCTTCCGGTAGCATGCGTGCGGGTTTCTGCAGCCTATGACATCCCTCATGACTTTGCAGTTGGTGCATCTGCAGTTGCGCCTTGGCCTGTGCGCTTGGGCGTGCTGTTTTTCTGCTATGTCTCCCATCTCGCCCACTGTTCTGACGTTGTGGCTCGTTCTTAGGCATTCTGTAGCTCCGGGTTTGGCTCTTGGGTTTCTCGTTGTGGTTGCTTCCATGTGGTACCAAATAGGCATCTGTCGAGCTACTGCCTTTGTCACGCTCTGAGCTTCTATCCTTGTTCCGTATTTCTTCGCTACCCTAAGCATCTTCTTGAGCTCGTCTGGGTTCCTATTCTCCCCGTTTCCTTGTGATGACTTCCAGTTTTGCAGGAAGCAGTTCATTCTCACTTCCTCTGGCACTCTATCCGTGGACTTTGGGACGTTCTCCGCCAGGATACCGTCTGCGAAACGGGCCCATGTTGGCCTGCGGTCGTCCAGCTGTAGGTACGACTTCAGTTTCATGATCTCTATTGCCTCATTCCTGGCGCTGACGTCCAGTAGTTCCTTTCCCCCTTCTGCTCGTGGGGCGTGTAGCGTCTCTTCTTTGACTGGCGTCTTCTTTTCTCCCCAAACGAAGGTACGGGTCAGCTTTTGCAGTGCTATCTCTACTTCTTTGGGCATCCCTTGGACCTGTGTTAGGTATTGGGTCTTTCCCCCTACTACAAACTGAGTTATTAGTTTGCGGCCTTCCAGCGAGGGCCTACTCCTTTCCCATCTGCTTAGGTCGGCCTCGATGTTCTCTATCACTGGGGCCCATGGCGAGAGCTCGCTTGTTTCATTGCCCATCCATGCGCCCAGCATGCGGATCAGCTCCTTCTCTTTGACTATCTTGATCCCTGCCGGGATCGGGTTTATATGCACGTCGCTTTTCCTGTTTTGTATGAAGCGTTCCCTGTATTCCTTCTTCCCGATTGGGAGCACTTGCGTCTTCCTTATGTTGAACTTCGCCCCTGAGGCTCTACACCATTCGTCTAGGATGTCCGTCAGGGCGTTGAATTCGTCCGATTCGTCCAGGAAGACTGTGGTGTCATCTGCAAATAGCACGGCCTTTAGCTTCTCCTGCGTGCCGGGGATGTCAATCCCCTTCAGTTCCGAGTTCCTTAGCGCTATGCTTAGTGGCTCGATGGCGAGGTCGAAGAGCAGGCACGATAGTGGGTCGCCTTGTCTGACCCCCCTTGTCACTTGGAATGTATTGCTGAGGTGGCCATTTATCATCACTTTCGTCCCCGCGTTGTGGTACAGGCCTTTGACTGTGTTTATGAACCTGTCGGGGATCTGGAATTTTTCCAGGGCCCTCCAGAGGTAGTCATGTTCGATCTTATCATACGCTTTCTCCTGGTCAAGCGCTACTATGACTCCGTTCTCTTCCTTCGCCTCTGCGTAGTTGATTACCATCTTGATGAGGTGAGTTTGGTCTACTATTTTTCGGCCTTTCACAAAGCCGGCTTGGCTTTCGTGCAGGAGGGTGCCTGCCGCCGCTGCTAGGCGCATTGATAGTACTTTCGTCAGTGTTTTATAGTCCGTGTTGAGCAGTGTTACCGGCCTATAGTTTGCTATTTCGTTTCTCTCATTCTTTTTGTATATTGGGCACATCCATCCCTGTGCGAAGCGTGAGTTGGGTATGAGCCCTCTCTCTTCAATGTCGTTGAACGTCTCGGTCAGGACCTTGATTATTGTCGGGGTCTGGGCATTCCCCTGGCCATCGTTCTCGGGGTATGTCCCGTCTTTTATCAGTCGTTTCCATAGTCCGTTTGTTACTCCATCTAGCCCTGGTGCTGAGTTGTTGTCTGACAGTCGGATCGCCAGGATCACCTCCTCTGGACTGATCGCCTTCGACAGTTCTCGCCGTTGTTGGTCGCTTGGCTTGGCTTGGATCTTTGCCAGCACCTCGTGGATGGTTGCTTCTCGCGCCAGCTCATCCCTGTTTTCCCTACCGCTCATCTGTAGCTCGTCGTGATATTTCCGGGCTAGCTCTGCCATCTTCTCGGACGTCGTTGTCTCCGCGTTGTCTGGGTTATCTGGATCCTTTAGTGAGTATATGACATCTCGTGGTTTCAATTCTTTGTTGATTTGCATCCAGTATCTCGAGTTTGTCTCTCCCTCCAGCCTGTTCTTTACTTTTCCTAGGCTCCTAATCTTGTTGTGTTTCTTCTTTTCCAGCTCTGCGATTCTATCTGCTATCAGGCGTGCTGTTATCCTCTGGGACGGTTCCTGGGACGCGTCTACTGTCTGGAGGTCCTTCCTTAGCGTTGCGATGTCCCTCATGATTTTGGGCGTGAGTGTTTTGTCTCTCCGCCTCGCGCTATCGAGTATGTTGGACTTTAGGTTTGCGTAGACCGTCTGGGGGTTGGACTGGTCTGTCCTTGGTGTCTGTTTCAGCTCGGTTAGCTTCTCCCATGCGCTTTCTATTAGCTCTTTCGCTCTTTTTCTGAACGCTTTGTCTTCGACCACCCTCTCGGGGATGCACCAGCGTCCTTCGCCTTGGAGGGGTGTGTCCGCGTTTGTGATCTTGGCCGACACCATCCAGTGATCTGTGTCATCCAGTCCTGGGTGGTTTATGTGCCAGTCGTTTGACCTCCCCAGCAGGTGGTCCGTGACGTAGATCCTGTCTATCCTCGACTTTGCCCCCCCGTTCCTGACCGGTTGCATGAATGTAAATGCTCTCTCGTTGGGGCGGGTCTGTCGCCATCCGTCTTTCAGCCCTAGGTCTGACTTTAGTTCAGCTAGCTCTTGGGTTTGTTGTCCCCCGTCTCTGTGGGCCGGGTTCCTGTCTATTGCGTCTTCTACCATGTTGAAGTCACCCAGCATGACATCTGGTTTCCTCGTCCTTGGGTGGCTTTCAAAGAAGTCCCTTATTTTGTTCCAGAACGCCGCGTTCTCCCCTTGTTGGTTGGGTGCATATACCGCTAGGATCGTCAGAGTTTTCCGACTGCCCCATGCAATCGAGGTGAGGATTGCCCGTCCGCTTACGATGACCTTGGTTGACTCTGTGCTAGCGTCGATGAAGCTTTTATTTATCACGATTGCTACCCCCGCTCTCTGCGAGGGGGCCTCCTCATCTGCCGATGCAATGATATGCAGCCGTCTTCCAAAGATCTCCTGGATCGCGTCCCTTCTTTGTTCGTCCATGTGCGTTTCCTGGACAGCCAGGATCGCGATTCTCTTGTCCCTCATGATTTGGTTGACATGGGTCCATTTGTGCGGTGCCAAATCTCTCTGCTGCCCATATCCTTTTATGTTCAGAGATGCTATCGTTATCCCAGCTCGGGTATGGTTCTTCTTTTTCTTTCTCCCCGTTTGTGGCGCCTCCGGCGTATGCCTTTGGTTGGGAGGGGGGGTGGCCCTTGGGTCGTCTCGCGTCCCTCCCGTGGGAGGGGGCTGGTTGCGAGATCTGCCTGTCAAGTTCGATGCATCCAGGTCCCTGGGGGGTCGGCGGGCAGAACCACCTCCTCCCCCTCCCTGGACGCTCGTTGGGCCTGAGGCCAGGTTTCCGTTTGTGTTGTTGCTCGCAGCTGATGTATTTCTCAGCGATTGCTAGCCGGGCAGTTCGTCGAGTGGTGGTTGGGTTCCGTGCTCGCCCCCGGCCGTTCCTGTCGGTGCCAGGGCTTTGTGCGGTCTGCACGGCTGCCGCATGGTCGGGCTTACCTGTCCGAGAGTTCGTCAGTAAATTCAGCCGTCCCATTACCTAGTCGTTGGTTGATGTCTTGATTCCTGGTGGTTCTGGTTCATTCCGTGTTTTCTGGAGGTGTATTATTCGGCGGGTTATGTATCTACATGCAGTAGCTCTAGTTGCCCTTGCCTTTGCCCTTGCTCTTTGAACCCTTCTTGGGCCCTCGCTTCCCCTCTCTCGACGTTCTTGTGTCCCTGGGCTCTGGCGTGAGGGCCTCCTGGGATACGGGTGGGCCTAGCCAGTCCTTGACTTGTGGTATGGGGCAGAACGGGCTCGTGTGTATTTCCGATTTGCACCACACGCAACTGACTGGCCTCTTGTCTTGTTCTAGTACCGTGGTGGCGTCCATGAAGAAGTCGATTCGGCGTATAGCCCTCAGCCATTCCTTGTTGCTCCTCCCGTTCGACGTGAGGGGTCTGCCGTGTAGCTGCCATACCGGGTCGCTGCGGCCGTTCTCGTCGAGCCTGTCGACGAAGATGAGGCTTAGGCCAGCAATCGCTACCTGGATCCTCTCCTCTGCCGTGTGGCCTATGTTCTCGTCCTTGAGGATGCGGTTTGCTAGGGTTCGTAGGCCGGCTGTCGCCGTTACTTGGTTCCCAATGGCCTTGAGTGCTTCCGCCATTCTGCTGGTCTCCTCCGTGACTGGGCTGCCCCTGTAGTTGCATACTACCCATGACTTTCCTTCTGGCGATATCGTGGTGGCCGTGAACGCGTAGCCTTTCCCCTGGGTTCGGAAGGCCAGTGTCTTCGCACCCAGGAGTTTGCGTCGGAGCTCCTCGCTCGGCCTCCGCAGGATCATTGCGAAGGGTTTTGCGAATCTGGCCCCATGTGGGGGTTCTCCCTCGCGTACCGGTGCCGCTACTGTGTACTGGGAGTCGTCGTTTGCTATCGCGTTTATGAGGTCTGCGGCCGCTGACGTGAGTTCCCTCGCATTCTCGTATATTTTGTTTCCTGCTCCAATTGGCACCAGGGCCAGGTACTCGCTGTGGTTTTTCCTGAGCTCGTCGGCGACCTCTTTCCTCACGTTCCCCAGGATGGTTGCTTCAGGGAGCGCTACGTTCGGGAAGGCCGCTATCGTGATGGGGATGGCGCAGTTCAGACTTGCGCACGGTGGTGGGGTGGGCCTGTCGGCGGTCCAGTGGGGGTTTACCTCCCTAGTCGTCCCTTCGACTTGGTCCGCGAAGCCTGATACTACCTTCACAATCTCCCGGCTTCTGTTTCCTTCCCATACTATTCGCCTTTCTATTACCCACTCTACAGAGAGCCTGGTTGTCTTCCCTCCCTCTCGGACTGTGGGGGGTTGGCATGGGACGTGTTCCCTCCTCTTCTTTGCGGGACGCGTATTCTGTTCCTTTCCTTTATCGCTGCGCAGTGCTGTCTTCGCGATTACTCCGAATCCGTGGCCATGGGCTTGGGCCTTATTGCGGTTGGGGCTTGTGGGTGGGGGATTTGGGGTGCTGTCCTCGTCCCATTTTCTTTTGCCTGTTGCTACGGGGGGGAGGGGGGGAGGCGCGGTCATGGTGTGGTCCTAGTTCGGTTCGTGGCTTTTTCGTCGCTAGTTTTAGTGCCGTGGCTTGACCCCGTTGGGGTTATTTGGTTCCTTATTTTGTTTATCGGAGAGGGGGGGTTGTATTCATTATATAGTGGACATCGTAAGGTGTAATTACGTCTAGCTGTGTGAGAGGGGGCTGGCGGCAGGGTCTCTCAGTAGGGCCTCCCCCTGTTGGGTTGGCGCCTGTGTCCCCCCCTACCGCCTCTGTTGTTATCCCCATTGTGGTCTCTGTTGCCACGTCCTCTGCCTCCCCATTGGCCTCTCTCTGGGACGTGTTGTCCGCCTTCCTCTTCCTTTTTGTCTGCTTTCGCCCATCTTGCTCGGACGTCGCTTGGCCTCGGCCCCCTCCATCCTTGGGTTTTGGGGAAGGGGCATGCTCCCTCGGGGTGAGATTCGTTTTTGCAGAAGTCGCAGCGTTCGAAGCCCCTGGAGACGTCGACTGCGAGGATCCTCCCCAGAACGAAGCTCTTCCCATCCCTTAGCGCCTTGAGCCAGTTGTCGTGTTTTACGGGGTCGTCTGTGACCGGTTTTGCGGTGAGGTGCCAGAACCTCTGGCTTCCTTCTGTGGTGAAGGTTATGGCGAGGGTGGATAGGGCGTCCTGGACTTTGTCGTCCGTGGAGGCGAGGTGCGGTTCGGTTCTCCCGGCGTAGCACTCCAGCACTGATGCCCGGACCTTTACGTTGTCCTTGAGCTTCTTCTTGATCGCGGTGAGGCCCTCTTCCATCGTCTGCTGGTTCCCGGCCACCCCGTCCCCTGTTAGGTAGGCTACATGCCAGGATCTCACGTTCTCTTCGACCTCCAGGACCGTGAACGCGTGGTTGGCTTCTCCCGCTGTGAAGTCGAAGACCCCTACGCCCAGCAGAAATTCTCTGAGATCGGCGGAGAATCCGGACAAGATGAAGACCCAGGGCGCGTCGAAGTCGCGCTTGTACATCCTGGGCTTCTTCCCCTTTATGACAGTGTCGGTTGCTGCCCTGACTACAGTCATGCCTTCGCAGTCTGGGGCCCGAAACTCCTTGAGGTATTCTAGGATGTCGTCGCCGAGATTAGGGAACTCTGCGTGTAGTCGTCTCCCGGCTCCGTATGGGAGGAGGAGGAGGAAGTCCTGTGGATCGTTCAGCAGGTTTTGAAGGATCTCGGGGCGGATGCTTTTGAATAGGTCCCCGCTATCGATCACCGTTTTCGGGAATGGGCCTCCGGCGTAGCCCTTGCCTGGTCGTGGGGGGACTGTCATTAGGGGGTTGGCCATAGTCGTCCGGAGGTGGGGATTTTCGGGCTGGTCTGTCGCTGTCCTGCCCTCCGGCCCGGCGGCTGGTTCCATTACTACGTCTTGGGCTTGCTGACCTGTTGTTTGGGTTGCTGCCGGGTTCCCTTGTGGGAGTTGGGTCAGTTGGGGGGGCAGGGGCACCAGGAGTCGGGGCAGCGGTTGCTGGGCCTCGTGGTGCTGCATGGTTCGCGGCCTTGGGGCGGGTGGCGGGGTGGTGCCCGGGGGGAGGTATATTTCGGGTGGTGGGCTGTCGGCGAGCTGGGCGCCTCTGGTTTGGGAGGGGCTTCGTCGGGTTCGCCTGTGCTCGCTCCCCCCCTGGGAGGGGTCTCCTCCGTTCGCCTCATCGCCATCTTTGTCCCGCTTGTGGTAGGGTGAGTACAGTCGGCTCCTTCTCTCTTCAGCGGCGATGTCACTTACTGACCTCCCGGCCGCCGGTTCTTTCCCCTTCCTGCCGGCCTTCGTGGCCTGCATTCCTGCTGCCTGTGCCGGGGTGGGGTCTTGGCCGTTCTGTTCTATCTCCGTGGCGGAGGTGGCCGGGGGCACGGAGGTGTTCGCTTGGGTAGACATTGCTGATGGCTAGGTGGCTGGTGGTTCGGGTTGGGGAGGCTTCGGTCGTAGCGCAGGCCTTTATGCTATCTGCGATGTGTACCTGTCACCATCTATTACTCTCTCAAGTCCTTTTTTTTTCCTCCCTTTTCTCTGGGGGGGATCTGCGCTGCGTCACGCGGATCCCTGGTCAAGGCTTCCGTTGGGGGCTTCGTCGTCGTCGTCGCCCCCAACTCGGTCCCCGTCCCAGTCTTGGCTCGTCGGCGTCGTCGCCTCCTAGGTGTGGTTGACCTCCTGTACCGTCGTCTGATGCTTGAGGGGGGAGTCTCCGCCGTTGGGGTCGTGGAGTGGGTGGCTTATTGGTCTCGAGGAAACCTGGGTGGGGCTGAGGGGCCTCCAGTTCCCGGCTCTCTCTGGCGGCGCCCCCTTTTTATTTCCTCATTGTCATATCCATACTGTTCCCCTGTTTTTTTTTTTGTACTTGGTACCCCCGGGGTGGCCCCCCCGGTTTTCAGTCCTCTCTCGTATCCTTGTAGTGTGGTACGGTGTTGTTGCCCTTGCCATAGGTGTAGTCTTTAGCGCAGAGGGGGTTTTTAGGCAGCTAGTAGCATGGTGGCGACTAGGGCCTCCTCGACGTCCTCGACGTCCTGGGGCTTTTGCGTCCCATTTTGAACCAGATTACACTGAGCGTATCTGGACGTCCTGTTGGCTGCTCTTGCGAGCATTGCCTCCCCTGTCGCCCCGTAGAGGCCGGACGCCGAACCTCCATGATGGTGGTTCTAGTGAAAGGGGCAGGCCCTCCATTTGAAGCGGTAGCATTCTTTCCGTGGGGGGCACAAGATCTAGCCGCTTTATGGGGAGGAGAATATAATAAGGAACCATACACTTATTACTGGGCTGCAACAATCTCTAGCTACAAACCAGTGTTTGCCGCCGCAAGTAAAACTCACGCATGCATTTTCTCCTCACAAAATCCTGCCATACAACCATTAGACTTGAGACTGTCACAGGTATGAGAACGCCATGCCTCAGAAGTGAATACACCCATGACAAAAAACAATTCCAGGTACAATCCGCAGATGGATGGCCAACCCAGATTGCTTGGGCCCTTCATCCGACATCGTTTTCGCCTTTTCTTCTCATTGCGGTTGACAGGAAAGTGTTGATAATAGATGCGAAGACTGGATCAGTCGTAGGCTTACTACGAGGCCATGGCGGCGTATGTGTATCATCTTGCAATATATTCTTCAACTTATCGAGACACTACTTCACTACTTCAGACCATCACCTTCATCGCTGTCCACCCGACGTCTCCTCATATATTCTGCACGACATCCAAGGATTTTACAACAAGGATATACGATCTAACTCGATTGGCTACGGAACCGTCCACGAACCTTCACTGGGCCCCAGATCCCCGCCCCAGCGGTGCTGGTCTGCCGTTTGGGCTTCGGGCTGCTGAGCCTGAGGGACGTGGTCAAGGTCTCTGCATTACTGTACTCGTCGGAGGGAAATCAGGAGGACATAGGGCCGCAGTCCTCGGGGCCGTAAGCGTTTTCCCGTTTGGAATGGACAGCTAAACAGTATCTCTACACAGGCATTCCATCCTGTCCTTCCAGTGTTAGCCACCTGCGGAGTAAGTGATGTCGTTCCTCAGCTTACCTGCAAACATTCAGAGCCCATTGACGTGTTCAGACCGATCGGGCCCTCAAAATCTGGTATGTCCGCCCGCAGAATACAAAAACATTGGTCCGCGAAGACAAGCCGCTCTTCAGTACGACCAAGGTACATCAAGCCAGCATTGGATCTCTCGTATGGTAGTCATGACCTTGACAAAAAATCATAAAATCCGAGGCAATACTAAAGATTTCATGCCTAGGCTAGGTCGTGAACACCTTCTTTCTCACTGTGCAACACCTGTATTTCGGGCATGCGAGGGCGAGGAGACGATCCTAAAAACCGGCAAAGGGACCCTCGTAATCTGGGAGTGGCTGGCCATGGATCGTTTCTTCCCTCCCGAACATGCTGACTCCTGGCAGGACGTCCTCCGTGGATCTGCATCTGTACGTACGCTCAGGAACACCCTTCAAAGAGGATACAACTGACCGGATTACAGGAATACCAAGACAGCTGTACGTGGGCCATATTCATCCGTGTAATTACTCGCATTTCACGCTGGATACAGCGTCGCTCAAAGTTATCGCCGAATATGCATTTGAACAACAACTAAAACCAAATGTTATACCCCGCATCCACTCGTGCTTCAGCGGGGAGCCCCAGATCTCGTACACATATCCCGGGTCCCATGCCATCCAGGTCGTAGGGCTGGCAAGCGCCAGGCCTCGCAAGAAGCCCACGATCTCCGACCAAGGCAAGTTGGCTCCACCAGACCAGGATGCCCTGCAACGTCACCTTAACATCGAGCCGCTGGCGAACCTCGGATGCATACAACTTTCAATACCGCCGGAGGAAGGTTCATTTCATGCGTGCGCCATGAACCCCGACGGTGACGTTGTAGCGGGCGCTGGGTGTGCTGGGTCAGAGGCCGCAATTTGGGTGTGGTACAAACGTTCATTGTGATGTGGCTTTTGAGGGTCGGGCATCCGGGCCTTCGCTTTGTATTGTTATGTACTTAGATCTTGCTTGGGACTTGTTGATTTTGGAAGCTCTGGCAACGTGATGAAGCCCAGAAAATGGCATTGCTACGCTAGGTGACAATGACAACGGTATCCAGTGCATCAAGCATCAACTACAAAGGAGTGGACAGCAATACGATACACATCTAATAGTCTGATCTCATCCAAACCACGGGTTTGCACATCACCTATCTCAAGACCGGCACTAGTGAGGAGACATCAGCGGGGGATTGAGGAAGTGAAGGCGAGTTCGACACACCTTAATTGGAGTACGGTTCAATAGTGCCAGCAGGAGACTTAGTAGGGACTTCGGCGGGAATTTGTCTCTTGTTGTACGGCACAATCTGGCCATTGGGAGCTTTGGTTGCTACTTCGGCAGGAATTTGCCTCTTGCTGTAAGGGACTATTGTACCGGCAGGCGACTTAGTGGGGACCTCAGCGGGGATTTGGCGTTTCGAATATGGCACGATTGTACCAGCAGGAGATTTGGTGGGGACCTCAGCAGGGATTTGCCTCTTATTGTATGGCACAATCTGACCATTGGGAGCTTTGGTCGCTACTTCGGCAGGGATTTGACGCTTGCTGTATGGTACGATCGTACCCGCCGGAGACTTAGTGGGAACCTCAGCAGGGATTTGGCGTTTGCTGTACGGCACGATCGTCCCGGCGGGCGACTTGGTAGGAACCTCAGCGGGGATCTGGCGTTTCGAGTACGGCACGATCGTCCCGGCGGGTGACTTGGTTGGTACCTCTGCAGGAATCTGCCTCTTATTGTAAGGTACGATCGTCCCAGCCGGCGACTTGGTGGGGACCTCTGCTGGGATTTGCCTCTTGCTGTATGGCACGATCGTTCCCGCCGGGGACTTGGTAGGAACTTCAGCGGGGATCTGGCGCTTTGCGTAAGCAACGATCGTGTCTACGGGTTCCGGCGATCGTTCGGAAATGGGGCGCTGTTTCAGCAGCAATTAGGATCAGCGATTCGTGCAAAGGCCGAGTGCTACTCACCACAAGAGATATAGGTCCTGCGATGGCTTGACCGGCAAGTGCTGCGACTAGCGCGAGAATCACGGTGTGGGCTGCGAGCATAACGAAAGAAGGTGTGTAGGCTTGCAAAGGAGTTGATGAGGAGGAAAGATGCAACTGGAGGGCGCCCCGCGACCAAAAAAAGAGAGAACCGAACGAACTGCGAGGATCGTGGTCAGCGAGCGCGACGACGACGACGGTCAAAGAACTTACAGCGAATGGGTGGGAGAAAAGGAGCTTAGGGCAGCGACTGCATTCCGTGCTGAATTATATACCGCAGAGAGGCACGCTGTTCATCAGATGGTTGCCATCACGTGCCGCACCGAAATAACATTCATCTCTGATCTCACCGCGCTCACAACACCGACGGTGCACGCTCCCGCCCGAGTTACTGGAGAGCCCCATCACAATCATTTTACCCGTCGTCGTTGGCCTGAAACCCCTGACTGTGCGCGCCAGAGATGTCTGATCCTCGATTCGCAAGGCTCAAGACAGATCCCCGCTTCCGTCGCCCGAAAAAACAGTCGACAAAGGTAGTCGTCGACGAACGCTTCAAGGACATCTTTTCGACCAAGGGAAAGAAAAGTGCGTATACTATCATGTAGCTTCGGTTCTGGCACTAACGCAATCGCAGGACAATTGGTTGACAAGTATGGTCGCTCTTTGTCAAAAAACCACGAGCAAGATAATCTCCGGAGATTCTACCAGCTGGAGGGGGAAGCCGAGACAAATAACGGCGAAGGGAGCACATCGTTTCCTGACTATGCCCGCGGAGAGGTCCTCCTAGAGTCCTCAGATGAAGACGAAGCCGACAAGGAAGGCGAAGACGCGTCGGACGATGAAAGCGACACTGGTGGCATCATAACACTCGGGCCTCAAGACGGAAATGATGCCGAGGTGGAGATTGACTTGGATGAAAGCCGGTTTGCAGAATTAGATGCCCAGGCTGCTGCCTACAAGGACTCGCACCCAGAGGATGAGCCAGAGCCAGGTTCGCAGACACGACGCCTTGCAGTTGTCAACCTAGACTGGGATCATGTACGTGCATCACACCTATACAAAATATTTGCCTCTGTGCTATCTCCAACAACCTCGGCGTTGTCGGGGCGAACATCGAAATCGGACTCGACGAGGAATAAAAAGGGCCCCTCTGTCGTTAAAGGTCGTATATTGAACGTTCGGATATATCCTAGTACGTTCGGGAAAGAACGTCTGGCGCGAGAGGAGAAGGAGGGTCCTCCCCCTGAGATCTTCAAGAAGAAGAGAGAGCTCGACCCCGAACAAATCAATGAGAAGACGATATACGAATTAGGGGATGGTGAAGAATACGACGATGATGCTCTGAGAAAATATCAGCTAGAACGTCTGAGGTGAGTATTACTCCCTGATTATTGCTATAGTCGCCCATAGTCAGACAGATACTATTACGCGATTGTAACTTGCGACACAGTTGAAGCATCGGCCCACATATATCACGAACTCGAAGGCACAGAGCTTGAACGCTCTGCTAACATCTTCGACCTGAGTTTTGTCCCTGATGAGATGACGTTCGACGATGAATTCAGGTACTTGTGCGCCCTTTCCCTGTCTACTGACTATTGAACATTCAATTATAGAGATGAGGCTGCCGAGAACATCGACTTCAACTATAAAGCAGTCGACTTCGTAACTGATGTTCGTTCTAAGTGAGATTTCCAGTGACTTGGTGCTCACCATATCTTTTGTAGGCTCTTCGCCATTCCAAAGTCAAGTTGACATGGGAGGAAGACGATCCTGAGCGCAATTTGGTTACTCGCCGCAAACTCTCGCAGAAGGAAATTGAAGAATCCGACTTCAAGGCCTACCTTGCCTCTTCATCCTCTGAATCTGAAGCCGAAGATCAACCGTCCAAAAAGTTTTCCAAGTCTGCATCACGGGATAAATTACGGTCGCTGTTGCTTGGAGGAGAGGACGCTGAACTACCGGAAGGCTGGGGAATGGACGACGGTGCAGATGATGTGGACATGGAGATTACGTTTTCGGCAGGGTTGAGTGGTGCGAAGGATGGTGACGAGACGACACTGGAGAAGTACCAGAGGAAGCTCAGGGACAAGAAGAAGAAACGGAAGGAAGAGTTGAAGGAGAGGACTGCGAGCAAGAGTGGGGCTAAAGAATCCAAGGATGAATTCTTCGACGACGGGAGCGATGATGAGTCCGAGTTGCCCGCCAACACGAAGGCCCGACCGCGAGACGAAAAAGACAGTCAAAAAGGACGGAATATTTCGACTGCTGAGGAACTGGCCCTCCTCGCAGCAGTCGACCAGCCGGAAGACGATGACTCCCATCACTTCAACATGAAGTCGGTCCTTAAGGCTGAGAAAGCGAAGAAAGGCAAACGGGGGAAACTCAACAAAAAGAAACAAGTCGAGGCAGAGAACGAACTTCAAGAAGATTTTGCCATCGATGTCAAGGATGAGCGTTTCGCCGCGCTACATGAAGATCATACGTATGCCATTGATCCAAGCAATCCACAGTACGTATCAGTAACTCTCCTGTTCTTATCACTTTGTTAACTGCGCCGTAATTAGTTTCAAGAGGACGAAGAGCATGGGCGCGTTGCTCGAAGAGCGAAGTCGGCGTCACAAAAATCGGCACGAGGATATATCAATACCGCGTAAACCTTCGAAGCCTACTGAAGATACGGACGGCGGTCTTCAGGCTCTCGTTGATCGAGTGAAGCGGAAAAGCATGGCCACCTCAAATGATCGCAAGCATAAACGGCCGAAGTCGTAATATGTACCTAGCATCGTACTCTAGATTTGATTGTTGTAAGTAGCGTACAAGACTCTCATATTCACAAAGCGTATTCCAAACCAGTGTGTAACTGCAGGGTTCAGACATTCATCATGTTATTTTAGCGTTGGAGAAGTCAAGCTCGGGATGAGCGGCCTGGAATTTCTTCAAGGCCTAAGAGCACGGTTAGACCAGTAAACCTCAAGTTCAAGTTCAAGACACATTTACCTCCATCTTCTTCAGTTCATCGGAGGTTGGTTTACCCATTTGCTAAATCCATGCGTTAGGCAGCTAGTTGATTGAAACAGAGTAACCTATGCTGACCTTCTGTTGATTATCGAACTGCAAGACAAGAGCGTTCAACAACAACTATACTCCGGTAGTGTAAGAACATACCATCATCTTCTCGACCATGCCCCTGTAAAGTCGTCAGCAATAGGGTATAAATGACACGCTTTACACGAACCTAGTTTCGCCGTCTAAATCACTGAGTTGACTGTTCGGAGGCTCGATTTTCGTCGTGTCGATCTTCGGGTGGTGGGTGAGAACGTTCTCCCACCATTGTTCCTTATTCGATTTCTCAAGGTGGATAAGTACAAGTTCGTTGTCCTCTGGAAGTGGTTACGTTATCAGGACCTGATCGAACAGAACGCAGTGAACACATACGAATATTCCAGGTACTTTCGTCCACCTTGATGTCCTTGCAGAGCTCGCCTTCCATGATCGGCTCTTTCCCCTTTAATGCAACCTTGAGCTTCTTCTTTTGTATCGTAACGACCAGGTCCCGAGCACGGGTGCCTTTGGGCACGGGGACGACGATGTCCAGCTCGCCCAGCAACTGAGTCCATGTATATGGAAGTGCTTTGAACGTGAGGTCGACGGCATGCCGTGAAGACGATCGCGGAATTTACCAGCTTGCTCCTCTGCCTCGCGAGCTTTGGTGGCCTTGTCGCGTTCCTCCCTCTGCTCTGGGGTCAGCTTATCGTAGTCAGCAGCATCCATTGAGTTCAAGTCCAAGGGTGTACAACGAGCGCCTATCTCATCTTGATCGGAGAGCTGCTTGTGGCTGTAGTGGACTGACGGGATTGTCAAACAGCAATAAACACAGTGGCCTCGAGCAGTGAGCGGTCCTGGACGTTTGCAGTCACCAAAGCGAATCCACGATTCCTCCTGTCGCCTTGGGATCCTCAGGGCCGTTCACAAGTCTCTATGGCTAGCATCGACTCATGGGCAGACTTTGAGGTGAGAGCCTTGCATCCTGGAGAGCTCAGGCGCTGACAGTGAGCCATATTCAATGCCGTCCACAGACAATCCGTTCAGGGATTCGAAACAATACGGTCGACAGGCTCAAGCAGCTCATCACCGGCTTGAATGAGGAATGCCATGCGCATCTCTCGAAGACGGGCAAAAAGCAGGAGATCATCGACAGAATTCTGTCCGTTTTTGATTCTTGGAGGGCTTCGAACACCCAGGACAAGTGGCTGAAGGCGAAGAACGTACTGCAGCAACTGCGCACCACCGGCCAGTCAGTGGCGCCCTTTCATACCTCGATCAGCTCGCTCAATTGGAATCCCCTTTCTCCTAGCTACAGCCGATTTTCTTCCACGAGCACTCCTGCTGCTGCCGTCCCACAAACGTCGATGTCTGTCAATCAGTTTAGTAATAACAGACCAGCTCCTTACAATTCCTTGACGGGTACCTCCACGACCATTCCTCGATACGATCCATATGCGCCACCCCACAAACTGTCGACGCCTAGTTCATCCGCGCCGAAAGCCTCCAGTGAGTACAGTCCAGTGACACTACCTCCCGTGGCTCACGATCCCGTAGACCTGCAATTCAAAGCATCGCCCTTCTACAGTCAAGATCACGTCGTCACCACAGTCTGCGAGTGCCCAGGTACGTCGCCATTGGTATCTGCATCCACTAGACCACCGAACGGACCATATCAGAATCAACGGGCAGCACGGATAGAAAGACGGGGAAACTCAGCTTCTATCTGAGCCCCGATCAAACCGCCAAGCTAAAGCAAAGGTATGCCCATATCTCAACGTGCATATATGTATGTTCACCCAAAACCAGTTATCAAATACGCTTATTCTGTACCTCTTCGCTCTTTTATACGCCACAACCAGCCGCCTTCCGTACCCCCACCACCACTGCCTTGTGCCCTATCGAGTTCCCCCAAACATGTGAAGTTCGCGTGAACGGCGTGTTGTTGACGGCGAATCTCAAAGGGCTGAAGAAGAAACCTGGGACCGCTCCTCCTCCTGATATATCGAAATATGTCCGTGGTGGTAACCTCCAAAACAATATTGAAATGATATATGTGAACAGCCAGACGCCTCCCGCTCAACCCAAGGTTTGCTTATATTCCGAAAACCATTGTTATGGAGCTGACTTTGCGTCTAGAAATACTATCTTGTCGCGTTGATGGTGGGCGTTACCTCCGTTGACCAGTTGGTGGACAGGTTGAAGAAGGGGAAATACAGGAGTTGCGAAGAGATTCAGCAGCAAAGTAAGTAATCACCGATTCCCTACGAAATCGCCGTCTTACCTGTATCGTCAAAGTGGCCGCGACTTCGCAAGACTTCGACGACGTCGTAGTCGGCCCTCTAAAGATGTCTTTAAAGTGTCCAGTGAGCCCTCTCCCTTACGGTTGATCATCCCGTTCCCTCTAACCTTCTATAGCTCAGTTTTATGCGTATAAACACCGCTTGTCGCTCTAGCCATTGTGTGCACCCCCAGTGTTTTGATGCAACGTCTTGGTTCTCCATGATGGAACAAACCACGACATGGCTATGTCCTGTCTGTGAAAAAGTTCTGGATCCCGCCGACTTGATTATGGATGGGTAAGTTCTATGTCGTCTGCTGTGTTGCCAGGTATCTAACCCCCGTTTCCAGCTATTTTGATGACATCTTGAAGCAATGTCCCGACAGTGTTGAGGATGTTATGGTCGAAGCAGATGGAGAGTGGCACACGACAGACAACAAATATGCCTCCGCTGGTTGGAAGAGCACGCACGCACCAATCCCCCCACGTGCTCCTTCGCCGCCGAAAGTCCAAGCTGCTGTCAAAGCTGAACCTTCGGACGGGATGCTGCGCATACCCAGGCAGGAGGAGATATGCATCCTCGACTCAGATGACGAAGACGAAGGCCAAGTCAAACGCGAACTTTCGCCGTCTTTCGCGAGCAGATCGTCCCTGTCTGCCGGGCATTCCCTGGCTTCTTCCGTTCCTCCGTCCCAGACTGGTGATGTCATCGATCTCACCTTGGATTCGGAGGATGAGGCGTCCCCCCCTCCGACCGTTGGGCAGAAGAGGAAGACAATGGACACGCCCCGCTCGCCGACGGAGGAGATCTGGAAGAAAGGGCGTGTTGAGGCATCCCGAACGCTTGTCCATCCCTTCGATGTAAGCCCAATCCCCCTTCCAGCCCGTATTCCGAACATAACCACGCTTCCACCCATCGATTATGCAATGACCTACCGGGGCACCGGATATCAGGGCCAGCCGCGAGGAGCAGGAAGTAGCCAATTGCCTTTTAATGCCAACTTTGACGACTTTTCGCGCGCGCCGAATGGGGGACAGTCGAAGAATCGATGGCAGTAGCACATACATGTTTTATATTATTTACGTCCCATTAGATATTGTATCATACCTAATGATTATATTCCATACCGCGATGATGTACTCTGATTGCGACCAGCACAATGCAGAAACTCATGTTTACATATTAATCGCTCTCAGAGGCGAAGCAAGCGTCTTGTAGCCCTGGCAGGCGAGGCAAGGTAATCACACGGAGTAATCCAAGCCGGCGCTTGTCCGGTACGGTGATCGGGAGCAGCGGAGATAATTTGTTCCGGGAGAACCCGAAAGCCTTTTTGAGCACGCGAAAAAGTTTTCTGGCTCTCTCAACTTGACCACCAACCACCACTCATCCTCCATCTCCCTCTCCCTTTCTCTAAATCAAAAAAATGGCCGAGACTAAGAAGGTCAAGTCCCCCAAGGACTTCGCTAGTGCGTGCTCCCGTTGTCGCTGCTCGTCGCTGCCTTTGTCTGACCGTCGTTATTGCAGTTGACTTCCTCATGGGTGGTGTTTCTGCTGTAAGTTGAAGCCGCAGGCGCGTGTGCGGGATTGTTTGTTGACTCTGCTATCAGGCCGTCGCAAAGACCAGCGCTGCCCCCATCGAGCGTATCAAGCTGCTTGTTCAGAACCAGGATGAGATGGTAGCGCCCATTTTTCGTCGGCGCCTTCGCTATCTGACACGTCACACTTCCCCAGATCAAGCAAGGCCGTCTTGCCACCCCCTACAAGGGCATCGGTGATGCCTTCAGCCGTACCTACAAGGAGGAGGGTATGGTCTCCCTCTGGAGAGGAAACACCGCCAACGTCATCCGATACTTCCCTACCCAGGCCCTGAACTTCGCCTTCAGTAAGCTCGTGTGATTTATCGTGGCCTGCATCAATTCTGACGTCCATGTAGAGGACTACTTCAAGTCCCTCTTCGGCTTCAAGAAGTCAGAAGGTTACTGGAGGTGGTTCGCTGGCAATGTCGCTTCTGGTGGAGCCGCTGGTGCCTCTTCACTGCTCTTCGTCTACTCACTCGACTACGCCCGTACACGGTTGGCTAACGACGCCAAGTCGGCGAAGGGTGGAGGAGCCCGTCAATTCAACGGTCTTGTTGACGTCTACAAGAAGACTCTTGCCTCTGACGGTCTTGCCGGTCTCTACCGTGGTTTCGTTCCCTCAGTCGTCGGTATCATTGTCTACCGTGGTCTCTACTTCGGTGTCTACGATTCGCTCAGTACGTGTCTCCAGCTAATCTCTCCCTCCCAATGTCTGACCCGTTTATTCAGAACCTGTTGTCCTTGTCGGTGCTCTCGAGGGTTCGTTCTTGGCTTCCTTCGCTCTCGGTTGGGGTGTCACCATTGGTGCTGGTCTTGCTTCCTACCCTCTCGACACCATCCGTCGTCGTATGATGATGACATCTGGCTCTGGTGTCAACTACAAGTCCATGTTCGATGCTGGCTCCCAGGTACGCGTATTGCGCCATTCCTTGTTTCATATTTCTAACTTCGCGCCACTAGATCATCGCCAAGGAAGGCACGAAGTCCCTCTTCAAGGGTGCTGGTGCCAACATCCTCCGTGGTGTTGCCGGTGCTGGTGTGCTCTCGTTGTACGACAAGCTGCAACAAGTGATGTTCGGCAAGGTCTACTCCGGTGGATCTGGTTAAACGTGCCGGACTGTAGTCTTGCGTCCGTTCGTTTGATATCGCATTGTTTATGGCTGTGGCATCGCATTAGACACTTTTTATTACACTTGGTTGTCTTCGTAGAGGTTATAAATTTACCCTATTCCCTCATAGAAGGCTTTAATGCAACATGCTGTGGTCATCTAAGCTTTCGTGTGAGCATTGTCGGAATTGCAGGGCCGCTGAGATGTAGCTTGTTCTTGTGTTCGTCCAATGCAATGGTCGCTCCATTCGCCAGGACTGAAGGGCATTCGCGCTTTGCGTGGCCTGCGACAGCACGTTAGGTTGTTCGTCTCGCTGCGACCGTATCAAGAACACTGTCTCGATGCTTGTATACGCGCCCTCGACTCTGGATCCACTCGAATTGGTATATCGCTACCGACAGGCTCAGGCAAGACCACCGTGTTCTTGTCGCTGTTGTCGAGAATTCCCTCGCCAGAAAATGTTCCAGGCGCGACCAAGGCCTTGGTCATCGTCAACAGCATAGAGCTCGCGCAACAGGCTGCAAATCAAGCGCGTCTCCTGTTTCCCAACTGGTCTGTGGAAATCGAGCAGGGCACGAAGCACCACGCGTCTGGTCTGGCAGATATGTGAGTCTTAACATCAATCTCTACTTTGCGGAATGCTCTGACACTAATGCGTTGGAAGTACTGTTGCTACGTATCAGACTTTGCTGCAGAACCCAAGAATCGCCAAATTTGACCCCAATACATTAAAGGCTATTATCATTGACGAGGCACACCATGCCGCTGCCCCATCGTCAGTCAGAGTGCATATTCGTGTCTGAATTATCATCCTAATGCATCTGCATTTAGGTATCGCCGTCTTTTATCTCGCTTCGACGCGAACATAGAAAGTCCTGACCTCGACTTCCTTCCTCCGTCTCTGAAGCACACGATTCCTATCATCGGTTTCTCGGCGACTTTCAGTCGGCATGATGGGCTAGCGTTGGGATCAGTCTTCGAACAGATTGTTTATCACCGAGACTTCCTAGAGATGATCAAAGAACAATGGTCAGGATGTTTCATGTATAACAGTTCTAACTTGTGCTCATGATATTATTATCATTAGGCTCTGCGACGTTCGCTTTACCACAGTACGGGCACAACTGAACTTGAAGGACGTTACAATCAACACGCGAACTGGAGACTTCAATCCTACCAGTCTAGCACATGTCATCAACACGGATACTATCAATCGTCTTGTCGTTCAAAGCTGGATCGATCGCGCAGGTAATAGCCATCTCGTTCATCAGTAAATGGGCAATTTATGGTTTGATAGGATCGCGGAAGTCTACTTTGGTCTTCTGCGTGAGCTTGGAACATGTCCGAGCACTCACGCAGACATTCCGCAATTATGGGATAGATGCGCGATACGTGTATGCTAAGACACCAACAAATGAACGCAAGCAGCTTGTTGACGGATTCAAAGCCGGTGAATTCCCCGTCTTGATTAACTGTGGTATGTACACCTGACAGACGGCGGATTTACGATGCTCATAGCGGCTACTTTAATTAGCTGTATTGACCGAGGGCGCTGATATTCCGAACATCGACTGCGTTCTGATCGCAAGACCGACGCGATCGCAGAACATATTTGCCCAAATGGTGAGCAGGTCATAAGCACAATGTGTCATTAGTCTGAGGCCCGGCGAGATAGGCAGAGGGATGCGCCTATCTCCCAATACTGGCAAAACAGACTGCAGGATCATAGATTTCGTAGATTCGACGAGCCGTGTCTCCGGTGTTGTCGCTGTCCCTACGCTGTTTGGCCTCGATCCCGCGTCAGTGGACATAGAAGGTGAGGCTGACCGTGACATCACCCGTAGCGGACCGCTAATGGGAAAGTCGCATAGATGAGACGATCGAGAGCATGGAAGAGAAGGCAGCTGCGGAGAAGGTTCCCTTGGGTATCGCCGACGATATTCCTCAACCTCGATCAGTGACCTACACCGACTATGACGACCCCTTCTCCCTCAAACACAATGCCTCTGGTTCTCCCCATATCGCGACACTCAGTACGAACGCGTGGGTGGGTTGTGGCGACGACATCTACGTTTTAGAATGTCTGGGCAAAGGTCATATACGGATCGAACCAGCGAAGGAAGATGAACGTAAGTTTGTTGAACGCTGGACACGCGTTCCTGCCTCATTATATCCTTTGTCAGAGAAGGAACCGCACTTTCAGGCGTGGTTTGCCCCAGCTTCATTGGACAGAGAGACAGCTCAAGCTTTTAAGCTATCACCCTTCTTTCGTTCTCGGAAGATCGTTACTGCACCAACGCTGAGTGCTGCCGTTCGCGCATGCGATACATATGCTCGTACCAAAGTCATCCACGGGCCCATGGTGCAAGGGTGCGTGCGTTTCATTCACTCACTGGTAAGGCTACTAATGCCCCCATTTCTAGGCTCCTACGAACTGCTAAATGGCGGAAAGCGCTCGCCACAGACTCGCAGAAGAGCATAATCGCCAAACGGTGGCAGAAACGACCAGCTTCGAGTGGGCTGCTTGATGGAAAGACAAATCCTAAACTCGCTACATTGGAGGAACGTCTAGCACATATGACGAAGGGCGAGGCTGCCAATATCATCACCCGCTTGAAACACGGAGCTCAAGTCAGTGTATTCTGTTTTTACAAACGATTAACTTTGTCTTATCGATGCATGCACAGGCTCGGTATGACAAGAAGGTCAAAGCTACCGTTAAGGCTCAGAAAGTAGTTGCCAGCGAAGAGGCACGCCGTGCGCGATACGAGGTTAAAGTTGGTCCCATGCATAGAGCCTAATCTCGACAAATCACATCTCCATTCTTGTATTCACTATCGTAATTTAGATATTTCCGGCGCGACGGCTAATGGGCTCGCAAGCGTCAGAATGGCTGCTTGCTGGGCTAGATGTATAGCATCATCCAATAATTTGGGCTCCTGGAATAGACTTGGATGCTCCATCATGCTGGCTAGAAGCGCTCCGACGAAAGAATCGCCAGCACCAGTAACGTTGACTAATGTCTTTGCAACTAGGGCGGGGAAGTACGCTATGACGACCGCCTCGCCAGATGCCACTTCTGCGACAATGGCATTTGGAGGCAGCTGGTCGTTTTTGGCCCAACCGGATTGAGCCAACGTCTCTGGGTCTAAGCGGAACACGACGACAACACCATGTTCGCCACATTTCATGAGGATATGTTGGAAGTGAGCGAGGAGATGGACTGCTCGATGGATCGACCCTCTTGCCCATATACCGTCAAAGGAATCTTCTCGACTTGCTAAATCCGCTAGACCGTCTCCCAGCCGGCCGTGGAACGCGGCCTCGTATGACGTCTGCCAACTCGATGCTTTGGGTGATTCACTTTGTCGTGTGATGTTGTATATGTGGTCTAGTTCGAGCAAATTGGGGGATATCGAGATCTTCGCCTTATCGCCAGGCGTTCGTAAGTCGTTCTGTGTGACGGCGGGAAGGATGGCTGTGGCTTTGGTGAGGGACGTGGGTTCACTTGGCGAACAGTTTAGGTGGATGGAGCGGTGAGAAGTTGCACACGTACAAGAAAACTGAAGTGAAGTCGTTCAGTTCTCTGCGACAGGAAACTCAGATCCACTCACTATGTATTCCACGGCTGCTACACAAATCCACTACTCGGTTGATTAAATTTGGTTTCAAATTACCGTCCAGAGCAACTATGGAGGGCATGGTTTCGGCAATGGCATTTGCAATCTGCGATGTCGTTCATACCCATTGACGAGCCGGAGAAAGAAGCACCGACCTTGTCCTCATTTAACTCAGCAATCACCTCCATGTCCGCCACACCACTGATAAGATGTCCTTTGCCATCAAAGGTCATGTTACAGACCGATGTTCTACCTGGGCACTTAACGAGGCCATCAGTACGCAATCCCATCTTATCGAGTTCTGACAATAGGAGGCGACCAAAGCTGTCATCGCCAATGGCAGAAATAAGTTTAGTATCTGTCGGCGACAGGCGATGAGCGGCTTCAGCAATGTTCCTGCCTACACCACCTAATGTCAAGGAAACGGAGCCCGGTATGGTCGAATGGGCAGCCAATGCAGATTCGACATCTGGCGAGGCTTGCGCGCTGATGTCGATTGCAGCACATCCAATGACGAGGAGGCGAGGGTGTTCTGGTGACGTCTGCTTCGAAGGGATATCCACTACCGGTCTCGCCGCTGGCGTTGTATCCCGATGCGCGATATCCTAGATGAGTTGGGTAGACATTGTAGGCAAATTGGGATACGTTTATATACATTCAGTGTACGCGAGACGCATCGCTCACAGAGTTTTGTGCGAGCTTCGCATACTGTACTGCTATCTGACCGCCTGTCAAAAGCACTAATTAGAGGACGATGTCATCGCTGAGCATCAACACGTACCAATTGCTGCGGTGTTCTCCAACAGTGCAATATCTGCATTGCGATTAGATCGGTTTCATTAGTGTCCGTCATTAAACTCACTGCTGGCAAGGGATTCGCCTTTGGTCAACTCGCCGATTCTCATCAAGAGCCAAGGCGTGGCAGCCTTGCCTAGTTTGTTGACACCGTTTGCCTCCGATTCCGCAACAGCTTGCTCAACGGCCTTTTGTATAGATGCTCCTGCAGCTTCGTATTGTTCGGGTATGGGGCATGCAATCAGTGCTCCGTTCTGTAGACCGAGTTGATGTTGGGTATCTACGTGGTTGACGCTTTGAGTTGATAGACAAGCGAAGTGGGTGTATATTGGTACGTACAGAGTATTTGAGCTGCTGATACTGGGTTGTCGACGTTCCATGGGGACTAGGGGCGTTGAAGTTAGCCATTTGGAATAGACCGAAAGAAACAAAGATACCTGGAAGCCACTCTTTGGAGAGAAAAAGGCTGGGAAGTCCGTAGTCTTCCCATATGATATTACTGGAACACCAAGCGTTTCCTAGAAGGGACAGGGTGAGATGGTGTTCTACGTGTAAGACATCCGACAGACCAAGTACTCCAAAGTCCTATGATTCACAATTAGATGTACACTGGATTACAGGCATTGGAAGGACGTTACCTTCCAATATCTAGAATAGACTTCACCCCTGCCGATACTAAACCAACTGGACATCTTGTTAGCTCTCCTAGGTCAGCAGAGACATCCATGGCTATAGAACACAAGTACTAATCAGACGATACTTCCCCTTGGAAAGGAAACTTACTATTCTCTCCCCCACGATGAACACCACCCAATCTAGCAGTCTGAAGTTAGTAGACGTAAGTACGAGATGGTACCCACCCTACCCTCCTGTGGCAAAGACCTACGCGACTTTAGCAGGTGAACCATGCGAAGGAAAAGAAAACCCCAAACCTTGATTCCAGCGAGAGCAGCAAATATCAAGGTAGCACAACAGGTTGTTCCTGCCACAAATCTAGTCAGATTATTCCCAAATAACGTGCGGGTCCACCGAACCTCCGTTGGCTTTAGCAACAATTGCTGCTGCTATATCCCTTCGAGATATTTTGACAGGAGATGCCTCAGGTTCTGCTAGCAGCTCCAGCTCTGATTGCTTCAAGCCAATCTTGATTCGCCCGTTGACGAGACCAACAGTAGCTGGAGTGCTTCCGTTCTTGCGAACGATTTCCTCAAGAGACTTCGCAAGTTTGGCATTCTCTGGGTAGGGAAATCCGTGTGTGACCACCGCCGTCTCAAGAGCGACGACAGGTCTATTCTCTGCCAAAGCAGCTTCAACCTAGACAGAGAACACAGTTAAACCTTGCAGGCTCATTTCGATTCGGGAGTTACCTCGGGATGAATGTCCACTGGCAGATCTCTCTTATTGAGGACACTTGCGAGTCCCCTAGATCCGTGGGGCCGCTTGCAGACTCTCTGCAAAGCCCTCCTGGATATGCTGATCGACGCCATTGGTACTAGGAAGGGACGGGTCCAAGTCACGACCTTTATAGCTTGAAGCGCCGTCCGCGATTATCTCAGGGTCCGCAGGTTCGCTAAGTGCGATACTCAAGCGACTCGGACCATGGAAGGGCAGGATGCCTCATATGAAGTCGCTGTCGATGTCGACGGCGGCATCTGCGCCTTGTCATACAAGGAGCTCGATAGCACGCAGATCATAAAGTCAGTCGGCGATGATGCCGCAGGGGCGATTACCGTCTTCATTGGTATGTAGCCCAAATATTCTGCAGCGTTTGACAGAAGGAATTACTACGATTGTGTAGGGACAACAAGGAATTCGTTTGGAGGTAGGTTTGTTCTTGGAAAATCTCACTGCACCACTGGTACATCACCTGATGGAGACCAGGCAAGGTGGTCACTCGTCTGGAGTACCAAGCGTATTCAAAACTGGCAATCAAGACCATGGTAAAGATCGTGCAAGATGCTAGGAACTTGATCAGCCGTTCGGACCACCAGCCACCTTCTCAGAATATTTCGTCGCTCATCCGATGTGCTGTACACCACCGTCTCGGAGTAGTGCCAGTCGGAGAGCCTTCCATTGGTGGGTTCTGTTGCAAAGCGCCGACATAACGCTGAATCTACGCTTATAGTAATCGCGGTTTCGTCGCCTCACCGAAAAGAGGCATTCGTTGCATGTGAGTATATCCTAGAAGAAGTGAAGAAGAAAGCCCAGATATGGAAGAGGGAGTATTACGAAGGCGAAAGTGACGCTAACGCACAATGGAAGAGCAACGTATAGATGCCGTCCGGGCATAGTATCTGGTTGTGTTTCGCTCCCGTTATGGGCTGTGTCGTATATCATCATCATAAGTCCATAATTAGTCTACCTTCCAATCCTTTGCGACCTCATCGTCTTCGTTGCTGACCAGAAGCTCTACCCCCCATATGAACAGCGTGAAGAATACATTCATCCATCGCCACCAAACCTGTGAAGAATGATCAAGCACTACAATGTCATTTCGTCGTTAGCGTTAGAAGCGGAGAATGTAGTGACGGATTGACGTACGGAGCAGATGAGAATATACAGCAACAAAGATGGTTTGACGATATGTCAGCAGAATACGGGTTAGTGTGGAGGTCTGTACAATGCATTCAGCGAGAATGGTAGAAGGGGTCGGAAGCGAGCATACCGGCCGATCATCCCATCGACTATCGACGCCCTCATCAGATTCCCAGCTGTCCCCGCCAATAGTGGGTAGAATGCGGGAAGCTAAATGGAGTATTGCAAGACGGTAAAGAAGTGCAGCGAGTACAGGTTTCGGAAGTGTATTTGTCACGAAATTTAGAAGCGCTTGGAAATGAGCCAGAATATTGGGAAGAAGAGGCGCACTGTTATAACAAGTTCATTCAATGGAATCATGATAGATTGGCAAATAACTCACTAAGAAGAGGCTGGGTCCGAGAATGACGCTTGATCGATTCCACAGAGCCACACGTTGTAAGCCAGGAAAAGCAGCAAACTGGAGGATTCAATTATGTTTGTCCGACGCAGTGCAAATCCGATGATGGTGAGAAAGAGGAACGCAGTTAAAGCAACACCCAAGAGAGTCGAAGAAAGAGGGGAAACAGCCGCGGCGGGATAAGACTATACATTGATTAGTTCATCGCCACTGGCATGGAGAGAGAGACAGCACTCACGACTGCGATCCACCATGCAGATGTTACATATCCGATGGCGGTGAGTATCAGCACTCCAAACTGCCGGACTTCATCGTCCCCCACAAATTTCTTGCCCTCCTGTCCGAGTTTCTGGGCTACCAAAAGACTTGATAGTCCCTCCATCATGATGAACAAGGGGCCACCGTACTTCAACACGGTGCCCCACAGGTTGGTGATTGTCGCCAGCCATGGATTGACCGATGAAGAGAACACGTTGAAACAAACGAGGAGTAGGAATGGGTGCATCGGGACCTGCAGGACGGAAAGGGCCTCACTGCCCCACATCAGGATCATCGTGCCATGGATCAAAGAGTGTACGCTGAGTAGCAGGGAGAGAAGGAGGAAGGCGGGCGTCGAGAGTGTCGCCAAAGTGAGTGGCAGGAAAATGAGGATTTGGAGAACTGTAGAGAGTCTGTATAGAAGTTCAGTGATTTGCTGTCGCACGACGTATGCCCAACGTACCGTGCAGCGTTGGACACTGCAGTCCATAGGAGCCAGGCATTGTACATGATCTGACAAGAAGAATTGGAGCTTCTAGCTGCACAAGAACATAAGTAGCCCGCTGAAGAGTGGTGAAACGAAGAACGCCAGTGGCGGCTCCCCTAAACGCGCAGTTTGTGGCAGGTGCAGGGATCAACAACAAATATCCACAAAATGAGTTCTATAAACATTATGATATGCTACACAAAGGACAGCGATAATACAATTAGACTAGATACGATGGAAATCATGAACGCGACACGCTGAGGAGACCCTTGCCGTAGGCAAAGTCGGTGTCTCGCGTCAACGCAGCGGGATCTGACGGTGGCACGTAGAATTCATCTCGTATCGGTATTTGCAGGAGATTGAACTTGGGAGTGATCACCACCATGTGGTTCGTCCGTATTTCCATCCAGTCCGCTAGACACTAGTGTTCAGTATGTAAGGCATCGTGGGCTACACAAAGACTTACCCTTCTCGAATGTCAGAGGTTCACTTGCGATCTGGCCGACATAATCATCATCACAATCACCTTTGCAAACCAACACACATACCATAATGATATTCTCGCGCTTGTCGGCTTTCGACATCTTGTACTTCCCGCCAGCCGCGTATTCGCTAAATGTCGTGCCAGACGAATACCACTAGAAAAACAAATTAGATGACAGCGCGGACCACCAGGGTGGGGGCTTACAAGAGAGGCAGCTTCATCTGTTCGGGAAGAGATGTACCGCGTAGCTACCACGGACTCGCCGTCAGTGATGCAGAAATTCATCAGACTGGGCTGAATGGCAAACGAGTGAGCTCGGCTCAGCTAAGGGAAGGAGAAAGAAATACCTCAGTTACACCGGCTTCCTTGGCGAAGGCGTTGAGGGCCGCAATGGTATCAAGCATGGCCTTTTGGAGTTCATGAGGCGTGAAAGTATTTGCATCCGGGTTGGGTAGCTTTGGGGATGTTGGATGAATCACTCTATTTACGCGAGGAATGACCGTACCATAGAAAGGAAGAGAGCAAACGCCATCTCAGAATCTGATTGCGTTTCAGTGAGTGAATATGAGCACACGATCAAGTGAGATGCATACCAGTGTTGCCGTGCACATTGTCGTACGCACAATCCGGTAGGCAGTTCTGCACTTTTCGCTTCACTCTGCTCCACTCAGCGATGGCACCGTTGTGCATGAACTAAGACAGGCAGTCAGACGCATGGCTTTCATCAAAGGTGAAGATTCATTACCATCAGCTTGCCGTATTGGAAAGGATGGCAATTATCTAGCGACAGCGACCCCGCTGTTGTAGCGCGGACATGCGCGCTATTGATTCCCGCGTGAGTATAATGCAATGAACCATAGATCGAAAGACGCACAAAACCAGTGGTGATTTGATCTTCTCCGCCAAACGGGTGAGGTTGATATTGTTCCAAGCCTATACGCCCCCGTGTCAACGCCCGGAGCACCAAGCCATGCCAACAACACTCACTGGGGTGACCGAAGTGAAGATACATGGCTGGGTGCCTAATTCCGGGTCATAATTTGGATCGTACCAGCCTTGCCGACCACAAGCAACGGTCAAGCATAGTCAAGCGAGATCACGGTCTGACTCACCGACGCCAAAGCCGTCGCCATTAATGGGCCTGCGACGGTCAAGACGAAGTCGCGAATCGAATGCTTGGTTGATAATTGAATGGCACGGCCTGGTCAGAAGCTGGAGTCAAGAGTGTGAGACTTTTGGGTGGCGACCGTCGCAGACGCCGTGCACGCACATGAGACAGCTGGACAGGCGAAGTTCCCTTGTAGATTACAAAGCGACACATTTCGAAATGCTCGAGGTCAGGAGGGGGCAGCAAAAACGTTAACTAGCTTTCCCAAAGGACAGCGCACTCGTTTATAAAGATTACGTGCTATCGCGTGCACGCCAAACAGCAATTAGCAACAAGGCGAATAGCGCCTCAAAGGGACAAAGCATAATCTTTGGAATATCCATTCTAGACTTGGACAGCCTCTTAATTACATTCCAGACGGAGCGATCTTGCTACAATTGTGTTCGGGAACCCTCGAACATTCCGCCGGTCACAAGAATTCCTTAGGACGTGTGGCGGGGTCGCCTCCAGTCTCATCGTAAACCAATCCGGCGACCCGGAAAGCCAGTTCTAACAGCTATTCAGCAACTCGAATTCGCCCACAGAGATCGCATTCCAACGCACCATCTGCTTGAGATTTCACCACAGCTTCTGCGTACACCCTGACGACGTCTTCCGTTCCGCTGGGCCGAACAAATGACCGACCGCCCTCATATTTACCGACCAGGGAATCGATCTTGTCCTGTAGACCTACAGGACTGGTCAACCGCCTCTCAGCATCCACGGTCTTGAAGATATGCCTGTCTGCTACGACGACCTTGACGAGCCGATTTGGCAGATCCACATATAGGGAATCCCATTCTAGACCGCCATAGGCTTTGTGGGCGAGGACGACTTCGACAAGGAGCATATCCGACAACGCATCGCCGACTGTTTGATTAATGAGCTGTGTGAGATTCACGAGATGCTCCACTGCTGTAGACTGAGCAGGTGTCGAGGGCTGGTAGTCAGCGAGTTTAGCCAAGGTATCAGGTGAGAACAGGACAGTCCCATGACCGTTTGCCTCGAAGTAAACGCCCACGTCATAATGCTCAGCAGCATGATGAAGGTGCTTAACGCCTGTAGAAACGCATTTCACAGGAAGGCGCTGTAGCGTCGTTAGCGTATTCGCGATATGCACAATTCAGCACCGTTACCTCTGCGAGGTACTTCGTGGATGCTCCGTTCGCATAAGCTGTTTGAACCACGCCAACTTTGATACTTTCGTCCAGACCGGCTGCTTTGACAAGTTCGACGATAAATGCAGCCACAAGTGCGGCGATTTTATCGCCATCTAGCATGCGGAATTGACCACGGTCATCCAGATGGAAGTACATCAAGCGATCCGCATCTCCGTCCAAGCTGCAACCACGTTGTCCGGGTTTGATTATATTGGAAAGTGACGAAGGAAGCTTTTGCGTTGTCTTCACGAAGTCTGCACCACAAGCGTTGTTGAGTGCGCCCGGCGCGGTTATGGACGTGTTCTCCAGCACGAGCGAAAACGTATCTCCAAGGTACTCAGCAAGCTTCTTAGCAGCATTGGCACCCACGCCGTTCGCGCAGTCAATGAGCAGCGGCGATGGAGTTGGCTTCGCAGACTAGACTGAAATTCAGAACAGACAAGCTGTTAGCCGCATATTGGTACTTGCCACAAGCTTCTTGAAGGCGTTAGTCAGTTTGGTGTAGTAACCGTCCTCGCTATCGTCGCCGTACGCTTCAGCTGTACCCTTCGTGTTGATCGCGCGCACTAGGTAATGGAGAATCGGAGTAGTGGTCACTCCTGCATTCCGTCCGTCGGCACCAATAGCACGCAGGCCATCTTCGAGCGCCGACACTAACGCTGGGCCAGACGGGCGCGTGTCCATCGCGTATACTACCCTCGCCGGTTTGGAAAGGTCAATCTTAGCATCTCGCACGAACGCTTCGAGGGCGCTGATGAACTCGTCCGTGGAAGACGCATTGGACAGCGTCGTGGCGTGACTTTCCCAAGAAGATTCCAACATTTCGCCTCTTGGGTCGACTAGTTTGACACCATTGTCCTAGTTGACAGAAATATCAGACCCGCTTTGACGTTAAAGAACTACAGCTCGTTACCTGCTCTGGGTTATGGGAAGCTGTTACCATAACCCCAATCGTCTTTCCATCCAGTTTCTTGCTCCTCAGGCCAGCAAGGATACCGACTCTGAACAAAACGGAGTCAAGAACACTCGCTCTGTGCTCATCAGATATCTTGCCATCGCGCCGAGAGATGAAACACCTACAGCGTTCTGAAGCCTGCGGTTCCATAGGTGAACTTGATGTCCGATGGTTTGGGATGCTTCTCAGAGAGTTCTTTGATACTGGCTACGGGCAACCCAGACATCGCGGGGTGGCGCAAGAGAGTATTGATCGAAACAGCTTGAGATGCTATACGTCACGTGGCCGATTGGACTCCAATCTCAGTCTGACTGTCTCTCTTGAACTCTCTCCGTAGTCAAATCATGCCTGCAAAGTCACAAGCCCAGGTTCTCCTCGAGAAGGCGGACAAGAAGGCAAACTCGCCCGGGGGATGGTTCGCATCGTCAACAACCAAATTCGAGGAGGCTGGTGACCTCTACCAACAAGCGGCCAACTCTTTCAAGATCGACAAGTTATTCAAGGAGGCTGGAGATGCGCATGCGCGCGAAGCTGAATGTCGTGAGAAGTCCAAGGAGTCCAGCGAGGCTGCGAACGCTTGGTGGAATGCGGCGAAGGCATACAAGAGAGGATATCCTGATTGTACGTTCACCACCGACTGCTGGAACAATCACTCCGGCTGACCTAGTTTCTTTAGTGGCCGTTCAGGCACTAACGCAAACGATAGTACACTTGACTCAAGGTGGACGCTTCAGGCAAGCGGCTGATCGCGAGAAAGAAATTGGCCAAATCTACCTGCAGGAATCCAATGATCTCCGCAAGGCATGCGACTCCTTTGAGCGGGCTGGTGATTGGTATGCGCAGGAGGACGCAACTGCGTACGTTTGATGCACCTGGTACTCGTTTCGCTACTCATTGTCATCGCAGTACGGCCAATGCGTGCTACAAGGATGCCGCTGATCTTCACGCCGACTTGAATGAGTATCAGCAGGCGATTGCTCGTTACGAGCTCGTTGCAGACCATTCGTTAGGGTCAGCATTGACAAAGTACAGTGTCAAGGAGTATTGGCTCCGAGCAGGACTGTGTGCGTTGGCGATGGGAGTGAGTGCAATATTTCTCTTCGAAGCCGCCTCCATTCCTAATCACCGTTCAACTAGGATCCTATTGCTGCCAAACGCAACATGGCAAAGTACACCTCGCAAGATACCACGTTCGCCTCGACCCGCGAGGCCAAGTTCATCAACATCTTGATCGAAGCAGTCGAAGCAGGTGATCAGGAGATGTTCACTGGCGCCGTGGTCGAATTCGACCAAGTCACGAAACTCGACAATTGGAAGACTGGCATGCTGTTGAAAATCAAGCGGGGCATCCAGGATGAACCGGCTCTCCTTTGAGCCACGCTATATAGCATGTATCTACCTAATACATTTACAGACATTTTGGATTTTCACTCAGTACTGTACTGTACTGTAATCTTATCAACGACCTTGCTTCCTCCTCATTCTGCCCTGATCGAGTCACGTGCGCACTTGCCTTCTTTCTCGACGTGTCCCTCAGCCACAAGCGCAGTCCTCCACATTCGTTTACATGCTCAATTTCCGACTTTCTGTGCTCTTGTTCATCCACGCTATATATGCATTAACAGCAAAATTTCTGGCCCTTTGGAGACGCCAGCACCAGAGGGAACCTCTTCCTCTGGATGCACCTCGGAGCAAGATCCCCCGGCATCTTGCCATCGTCTTTGACCTGGATTCGACACGACACGACAAAATCGAGGAGGAGTCTCTGTTTAAATCAGTTTACAACAGCATTGCCTGGTGCGAGGCCGCAGGGATTGAGAAGTTGACATTGTATGACAACCAAGGTCGGGTTAATTGCCACCAGACGTGAAGAAAGTCGCTTAACTACTTGTAGGTGTACTAAGGAACGGCTCAGCGCTGGTTCGCGACCACTTATCCCATCTACATCCGGAGATTGATTCCAGTGAATCCGAGCTGGAGTATCCGCTAACACCACCTCACTCCGACGACTGCGATTCACGTTCTATTTCCCCAGACGTCGATATCAGGGTAGACCTCCACACGATTACACTTAATACGCGTCCACCGGTGCCCAGCAAACGGAGGAGTGTCGCTAGAAAGCGCCGTGGAAAAGGTATGTTTATGCCCGGGATCACCACCTTCCTAGCACCGATTCGTGTAGACACTCCAAAAGGGCCCCCATCTCTCCAGATCAAAATAATATCGCGCCAGTCCTCCAAGGGAACACTGGCTGCCGCTGCTCGCTCCATGGCCGCGAGGCGTCACAAATTACAAAGTATTCTCCGGGACCCCACACCTCAAGACTTTTGCATCTCCATAGAAGACTTGAATCTACTTTTAGAAGGTGAGTATCGGCGGGCTGAAACTTGTACCGTGCTCATTCGTTTGATTCCCCAGGCGAAGAAGGGTTCACATCACCCGACTTGATGCTTCTTCACTCATTGAAACCTCCAATCGCTCCAGTACCTCCACCGGAACTTCTGGGCTTCCCTCCCTGGCAAATCAGACTGACAGAGATCAGGTACGCCACCAGGGCTATTTGGAACCTTACGCTGACAATCCACCCTGTAGTTACTTCCCAACCCCCATTCTTGGTCTTGGCCCTTGTTCCGGCGGTCCCCAGGCGCTGACGTTAGATGAACGGACATTTCGAGCAGCTTTGGACGAGTTCTCTGGAGCACAGATGCGGCTCGGCAAGTGATGCATCCCCCCAAGGCGAATGGATGTTGGTAGATTCTTTATTTGTATATCGAGCTTCTTTACTGTATCCATCATTAATTAAGGACATTGAAGCCAGGTCATTGCCAGACGAAGTCTCATGCTGATCTTCGCGAAGCCTACGCAGCTCAATAAAAGGGATAACATTCCCAGATGGCAGTACTAGGTCTATTCCCGAGGTCGGAGCCGAAGAGCGCGCTGGTTGTTGTTCTCGGGATCAGGCAAATGGCTCCAACGGGGGAGCGCCTTGCCACAACAATGATGATGTCCAATTATCACTTACGGGCGAGCGTTTCAGTAGGACCGCCCGAAGATGAGAGGCTTGTTATATTGATTCCGGGGAATACAAAGCTACCGCCGCCGCCGGACGGATATATAAGTTGACACTTCAGTGGATCATCCGCCCCACCAACAACGCCTCATCATCCCCACACAATGTCCAGCTTGCTCTTTGCCCAGGATCGTGGTACCAGCAGCACCAACTCCGGGAGCTCGAGTCCCCGAAGGTCGCCTCGGAAGACACCCACGGAGCCCGTTCCGTTGTCTTTACGCGAAAGCATCAAGAAAAGAATCATTGTATGCTGCGACGGGTGAGTTTCCCCCAGCCACAGGGTCTAGTAGATACTTACTTCCTGGAAGCACCTGGCAGGATGGCATAAAGGGAGACACCCCGGCCAAGTACACTAATGTCTTGGTATTCTATGTTTCCCGCTTGTGCTGCCGAAAAGTATCGACATTTAGACATTTACTACCTAGCGACTCGCGAGGACTATAAGCCACGAGGATCAGAGATTCACTCCGGCCATACCGCAAATCGTCTATTACCAATCCGGCGTTGGGACAGACAGCAACTTGTACTCGGAATACATCGAGGGTGAGGGCGACTCCCTAGTTATCCAAGTTGTATTCGCCAAACTAAACACTGTTATAAATTTACCAGGTGCTACCGGGTCATCTCTAGGTTCGTGGTTCTCAGAGCGAACGTGGGTAGGCCTGAACTTCCCGCCGGTCATCAGCGGACAAAGTAGAAGAAGCTTATGCATTCATTGCGCAGTAAGTCGTTCAATATCTGCGTAAAATCCGATCACTCACTCCTTCCAATAGTAATTATGTGCCTGGCGATGAAGTAAGTTCACCGCACATATTGTCAACTGATGGAGCAACGCTGACTGTTCTTCCAGATCTTTCTCTTTGGGTTCTCAAGAGTATGTTTGTTTGAATATTGTAGAGTTAATTCTGATCCACATCGCTCATAGGGTGCATATACAGCACGTATGGTCGCCATGTTCATCGTAAGTTTCCCGTGGCCTTCATCTAGCTACATTGTATTAAATTTTTTTGTAGGGTGAAATCGGCGTTCTCGACCGCACGGAGATGGAGCACTTCGCGGGTATTTTCATTGCCTATCAGAGGATGGGAAAAACATCGGACCCTAAAGGTAGGTCGCTCCCCTTGTGACCTTATTTCCGTAGTGTTGACATAGTCGCAGAAATCGAGCAACTCAAAGCGAAGCTAGCCCCTTGGACCCATCACGATTCACCTGGTAAAACACGAGCGGACTTTGACTCGGACTCGTTTTCCGTGAAGTATGTATTCATTTCGTTAGCACCTTGCACCCTCTTATTTCGTTTTTTGTGTTCCTTTTTTTTAGGTGTATCGGTGTATTTGATACAGTAGGATCGCTCGGTCTTCCAGAAGAAATATCCCTCAAGAACAAACGTGCAAGAAATTTGTTCGGCTTCCCAGATCGACTTCTTGGGGAGCATGTTTATCGCGCATATCAAGCTTTGGCTCTCAATGAACCTAGAGCTGACTTCGTGAGTGCTATACTCGTTTTGTTATCAAGGCATACACTGAATGTCTGTAGGATTGTGCGCGATTCGAGCAGAAGCCTGATGCCCTTGCAAAAGGCCAGCTCTTGAAACAGGTCAGCCTACGTTTCTAGCCTTCTTTGCAGTCATTTACTTACCGCCCTGCCAATAATATAGTGCTGGTTCACTGGCTCCCACTCGGACGTAAGCTTAGAGGGATATTCATTGGAGTGATACTGATTCAACCTAGATTGGCGGAGGTTACGATGAACATGACCTGTCAGATATCACCCTCACCTGGATGGCGGTGAGTCTACCCTCTTATTGCATAGCATCCTCTGATTGATGCCTCTATCAAGTCACAAATCGAGGATATGCTAGCCTTGGATATGCGATACTTAGCATCTCGTCCCAACCCTACCGCTGCCTGGGGGAAGCAGCCGCCTCATGAGTACGCGTCTCCTGCCTGACTCGATCTTTGCATGTCTGACCAGTATAACCTTAGTCCCATGACGGGGGTTTTCGTGCTAGCCCACACAATCAAGCGCCGACTTCCGACTGCAACCGATAGCATAACCCATGAATATATCCACCCCTCCGTCTTAGAGCAATCGTCGTTATACCCCAGCGTCAAGGACGTCGTGACCAAGCACCCGGAGCTTATCTGCGAACTGACCCCTCTGGAGAAGGAAATGAAGCTTAACTGGCCCTACAAGGAGACATTGGTAAAGACGACGACTGAAGTTGACAGTCAGGTTACAATGAATGGAGTGACCACAACGACGTCCTTGTTGGTCGAGAAGACGGCTCTGTTGAACGGTTACGGGAAGGACTTGCTGGATAAAATGGCAGCTGACTTGAAATCCAAGGCTGAGGCATGATCCATGCATAACAACCAATTCGTTATATGTAGTGCTTGTAGTAATAATGACCTGGTCGATCGAATATTTATTGCTTTCAACAAATCAGAGGAGTTCAGGAGTTCAATAGGAGCATCACGTGGGAGAAAGAGTACCGTTTCGAGTGCATTAGGCCGAGCAGCCAAGGAACCACTCTTCGCATCATACTCGATGTCCTCAAGGCCATAACAGAACTGAAACATGGCAGTCAAAGAACTGGCCAGGCTATTTGAGCCTCCCCTCGATCCTGAATCCTCAAACCGCCCAACTAATCGACCCCGAAGAACCTATACCCACCGGAACTCTGATGATATCCAGCCACGGTCCCCTGCTCGCTTCATAGCGACATCGCCTACACCTATGCGAATAGATGGCTTGCCGACACCAGACCATGCGAGTCTGCCTAATGTCCTGGCCATCGACGACTACCGTGACAGCCTCGATATCACCGACCTGGGCAGTACGAAGTGCGTTACTGCCGTTTCCTTGCAATAGTGCTATTGACAATGGGACTAGGGACGCCACTCCATATAATACTTCTAACGACACCGAACCCTTAGTTGACTCGTCGAAAGACGCAACTACCGACGAAATTCACGAATTACTGGACCGATCGGACACTGCTACGTTGGTGGAGCGTCATCGGTTCCCGCCTCATACACCCGTGCCGGCCACGGTCGTGTTCTCTCGAAAGGCCTTCCCCCTCAGCTTACCCAAGCTCGACAAATATCTTTCGAACCTCCCCATGCCATCGTTTTCCCAGCACAGGCATGGAATTATTGAAATGTTCCTTCCTATGCAGAAACTGGCGGACTCGGGGCGCACAATAGACGATTTTGAGGCCAATTCCAAAGTAGCCCCGGCTTGGCGCAACAGGAAAACTATTCTAGGATCCGCAGTTAATATTATACTTGGATTTACCGTGCGTTAGATTTCTCAACATGAAGGCAGTATCTCATCTGTCTTCATTCTTAGGGATCGAGCGCCCTTGCGTCATTCTACAGCTTGCAAGGCTTGCTGAACACCATACAGATATTTGCTTTGCTTCTCCGGACGATAGGTCCGTTCCTATAGAGTTGTCCCTTTCCCATATACTGACAGCATCCTAGTTCCTGTCACCGATACCGATGTCGTGAATTCTTGGAGGCAATTGTTCCTTGGGACAATGTAAGCTCCGCACCCCCTTCTAGAAGTCATTTCGAAATCTAATCGATACCTTCCGAAAAGTCCCAACATCCTGGCCTTAAATTTTGCGTCTAATATACTACAATCGCTCATTTACCTCGCCGTATTCATGGCCATAGCCGGCGGACTACTCTATTACTTTTTCCGTTCTACCCCTTTGTGTGATCGTTACACCGCTATCGAAGGCCTACAGCGCTCCGAGCCGAAGTCAGGCAAATGGGGTATACTCATTGTCACCTTCCTTCTAACAGCACTGTACTTGCCACTTAGTACCATGGCGGTTCATGTCATCGTTTGGTCTGACGATCTCTGGGTTGTGCCGAATTACTACACCAACGCAACCTCTTTTCCTCCCTCCGTTGAACCGCTTGGCCCTCCCAGCGAATTCCGAGATCCCTTGGATTTCTGTTGGACTACCACTATGAAGAAAAACGAGATTAATTACGCCCCTGTGGTTATAATTATGTCGATCATAGTTGTTGCATCTGTAAGGCATTCACCTGTATGTGACTTGATTATGATTGACATACTGATCCTGGAAGTAGCTGACGGTTTGGTTTCCCTTGGCGCTCCGGAAGGTCATCCAGCGCTCTGCTCCGAAGGTGGATACGTTTACAGATCTTGGTCGCCCCAGAAACGAAGGCGACATGGATCGCGAATACCACCGCCTGCTCTTGCGTGATCGGAATCCCTTCTCTTTCCTCTATGGCGGTGTGTGTTTTCTCTTCGCGGCAACCTGATGCTCAACCCATCTTTCTAGGCTATCGACGCGGTTGGGGCACGTACCAGTCTACATACCTTTTCGCGAAACTCAGCACCCTTTTCATCATTGCTGTCATTGACTCTAACAACTGTTTGTTCCGCACTGTATCACGGACGTGGCTTCCGATAGTTCGCCAAATACTCTTGCTTGCGTCTACCATCGGCTTTTTCGTTGCACAGTGTCTACTCGCTCCCTTCCTGGACCCCGTCAACAATGCGAGCGAATGGGTATCAAGACTGAATTATCTCACCACTGCTGCTGTTGCCCTCGGAGTCGCCCTCAAGATACCCGGAAAGGATATTCTCAATACATATATCTTATACGCGTGAGTATATGACCTTTGTTCGTCTTGCGCCATGTCTCACAGAATTTCCCCAAAAGTATCTATGTTATAACTTATGGGTTCAGTATATGTACGTGCAAGCTCTTAGCCGTGATGACCCTAGGCTTACTCTTGAGTAGACTTCACGCTCATCAACATGAGCATCGTACATAGAGTAGTCAAGCGTAAGTTTCCTTTAGGTTGATCTGCACTTGACTTGCTCAAATAAACCTCTGAAGGCCTCGCTCGTCGTGTCGATTTCAGTGCGTGGATTTACTTCGTTAACTCTTGTTACCCGCATAACACTTGAATAGGTATCGACGTGTTTTCTCCTTGGTAAGCTGTTTTTGATCTCAGGTCCCCACCGCGTCAACAATTACTTAACCTCATTTCCGCAGGTTGGATATATCCCCCTCTTCCATTCATATAAGGCGTCGCATATGGCAAGAAACTATAACAACATTGATATTGACATCCCCGGATTGCCAAATCCCCCCAGAACAGGACATGCTATTCGCCCAAGCTCGCGACTCGGAGTTCCCGCCATATCTCCTGGATTTCCTCGGTTCGCCCAGCGAAAGGCACGTGGAGAACTTGAAGGTCCTTACATCTCCACTGCCTGTCGTTGTCTTTATTGAGGTATATTGTATACAGATCCTACGCGAAATCGGGACGCTAGCATATGCTCGAGGCGTTGCTTTGATATCTGGTGCCGACCATGAGCTGTACCGCGATATCGCCAAAGAAATACAAGGCAACTTCATCGGACCGGACTGCTATTGGAAGGCCCAGAAAGGGAGACCTAATTGTCGTAGTTTCTTTGGTAATGCTTGGTGGATTCCATTTCCCCCTACTCTGGTCAATTGTTTTCCTTTCTCTCTCGCTTGTTGGCGCTAACCAAGGTCTTTGTAGGTGATACAGTATGACGACGGTCCGTTTGCAATCATCCAAGGTGCAAAGGATTTGGAGGAATACATTACTCAGAATTCCGACCCCGATATCCGAAGACGGCGAGACATCCGTTTAGCCCTTCGAGCCCTCGATGGACAGGTAGTGAACTGGCCACATCGTCATGTCACTGTTCGTACTTTCTTTCAGATAGTACTACCAATCTATTCATCACTTATCCCCCAGGCCATTGGCTCTAACTCAATCTTCAGCTGTAAGCGACGCTACAAAGCTGATGTTGCCATCCAATACCATACATGCACTCTGAATATCAAGCATCGCGGAAAACTCTTTTGGAAAGACATACCCTTGGGTAGTGGTTTCACTCTGGAGCTAGTTTACACCAAAGATGTCTGCTTGAACGGCGAAATCATTGGTCTCACGGAGGACTTCGACCTCACACCGCCTCTGGCGCGCTTTCTCTCAATGAACCGTGATCTAATTCACCGAAGACTTGGAGCCCTTGATGCCGTCCTGGATGATTATCGCATCCATCATGAAGAGGAGTGTCGACATAAACGGGATACATTGACTTATGCTTTCCTAACCAATGTCTACGATCGACCACAACATTTCGCAGAGGTGGCGAAGTGGGTTACGGGCCACGAAAAGGACCTCCGAATTGGGCAGCTGATAGTTGGCAGCGAGGAAGCCCTGTCGAAGGCGTACGAGCGGTCGGTCGTTGTCGCGGAAACGGAGGCGGCAACTTGGTGGTATATCTTCTGGGTATGGTTTCTGGAACGATGCCTCGAGGAGTGATAGCTTATTCATTACACAGGATGATTTCTGGCGGAGAAACAACGATGCGATACCTGCTCTTCAGCTGCACGCGCAAGATTTCAACCCACATTATCCTACCTCAATAGCCTATACTCCCCTCCCTCGCCCAAACCTTGAGTCTTTTCTGATACAACGAGGTCTCATGTCGTCTACTCCTCGATGGAAGGATATCTTTCACCACGGCTTGTTGAACAAAATTTACGTTAGGCTCAATGATGCCGTATTTCGTGGCTCAAATCAGGTCTGTACTTTGCTTTATACACCAGTAATTCATGGCTGACATGCAGCTTTATAGGCTGTTATGTTTCATATGGGTGTGACGGGCTCGGAGATGAGTATGGAGGGTGTGGATATGGGCCAATCGTCGACATTAGGCACTGGTGGAGGAACAGATCACGACGACGAGTCCTTGCGGCCGCGGCCTACGTACAGATGGGAGGGCCTCCTCATGGATCCCGTCAGGGGTAGAAGGCGACGAAGAGATGGATGGTTCGTCAAACTCGGGGCTTATTTGGGGCTCACACCAATATGGCGTTCTGGGTCGCCATCGAAGGGCGTGTCATTAGACGTACAACTCCAGAATGGCCGCTACGTGGTCCTCGAGGAGGAAGACACTTCATTGGACTCGACAAAGAACACTGTTACTAGCTAACATTATTCGATTATGTAATCAAAGTACCTCTCAGTAATTACTTTCACGCATCTATCCCCTTCGTTACACCATGCCACACGCCCCGATACCCTCTACAAGCAAACTTACAAGACCGACACCTAAAGTAATAGATGCGAGAGATGCAGAGGAGTCGGAGTCGGAGTCGGACGCATCAGGCAGCGAAGACAATGATCAGGGCGACAAGGGTAGAGTAAAGAGAGTAAAGAGATCTAACAAGCATGCGTGAGTCGACCGTATCGCAGTGTGGTCGCTACTAAGGAATTATGGCAGGCCAATGGAGGTTACATCCAAAAAGCCCGTCACTCGTCGACGGACAGTCGTTGAAACGAAGACCTTCGTGAGTAAGGTCTGTATTTTAGTCGCTCCATGTTTACACTATGGATAGCAAGCTCGGGATCCTAGGTTCATGCCTCTTGCAGGCGAATTCTCTCAGGACAAGTTCCGAGAGCAGTATAGTTTCCTGGCCGAAAACCATGTGTCTGAGATGCGGACGCTACGCGATAATCTGAAGAGGGCACGGAAGCGTTTGTCTTCGGCACCCCGCGATCTCCGTGAAGAGTACGAGGCAGAGGTTGGCAGGTTGGAACTCGCACTTAAGAGGGCAGAGAGTTCTGTCAACAGGGACAAGCGAGAAAAGGCAGAGCATGGTGCGCTAGCCAAGGTCAGCGAGGAAGAACGGGAGAAGCGGAAACAAGGAAAGGGAGGATGGTGGATGAAAGAATGTAAGCCTCTGCCTGACATGATCCTGCAATTCCCTGACTCATTGCGCATCCCCGTAGCCGCCAAGAAGGAGCTCGTTGTACGTGCTCGGTATGAAGCACTGGCTGCCGAGGGTGGCAAGCGTGCCGTGAAAAAGGCAATCGAGAAAAAGCAACGTAAAATCGGGCAGAAAGAGAAAAAGTCGCGGCCGTACGCTGCTGAGGATGGCCGGCCCAGAAAAAGGCAAAAGATGCAGTAAAGCGCAGAGCACAGCCTGTTGTAGGATACATGCAATATTGAGGATGTCAAGTGCTGCCATATAAGTTAGACGCCCGTCGTCGCTTGAGCTTGAGCGTTGGACTCGCCTTTTGATTCAGAACTCCAACGCTCCTTTCTCATGTAATTATTTACTCTTGCGCTCGGCTGCTCTCATTCCAGCCCTGCCTCGAGACACTGGGATGTCCAGTGATCCACAAATCCCTAGCAGGCCGCAGCCAGAGCCCTTACAGCCACGTTCTCCGAGACACGATGACAGCGACGACGACGACGTCTACCGAGGCGACCATCCGCCGTTCTTTCAACCCCTGCAAAGCGTCGAATCCTTGGCCGAATCGAGCTCATCGTCCTCGTCTTCTTCCAGTTCTTTTTCGTTTCCTGGACGGGGGAGACTCGGCGCAATCGCAACGGTTGTAGAACATGCGATTTCTCGATGGGCACGGCGTCGGAGCTCTTCGTCGTCTTCGGGAAGCTCTGACAGCTCCTCATCAACCGACTCTATCGTCACTCTTTCTCGCTCGCAGTTCTCTGGGCGACGCAGGCGGCACCGAAGACGAAGTAATGCCAACCTACGAAGTGTTCAAAGCCTCCAGTCAGATCTAGTGATGGAGAGGACAATAACAGATCTCAAAGCTAGGGAGGAACTACGACAGGTCCCCCGAGGATTTGCTCTTTACCTTCCCCCTCCGTTGCGACGTCACAGCTCGAGAGCCGGCGTCGGCTCTGTACAACCTGTGACCCGAACAACGTCGCTGTCGCTGATAACCACTCGATTAGACCTCGCACTCAAGAAAACCACAAAGGAGAAGCGGAGGCAAGGACGACCCAGAGTTTCGCTACCACAGCAAGGTTTAGGTGTGCCTTCTGCCGCTAGAGGACGGCGGCCCCGAGGAACCCCACACGCTAGTAGTTCGCAACCTTCTGCGCAACGCAGGCATGGAAAGGATCGGCACGGTCAAACACCAGGTCCCCGAAATCCGTTGACACCTCTAGTCGAATCTTCATCTTCGGCGAAGGCTTGGTGGTTAGACGTAGCGAATCCGGATTGGGAGGATATCAGAGCCATAGGACGAGTAAGTGTTCCCCCTTGCCTGGCATTGACCTGGAGGTAATTGATCTATACTAGCTTCTTCACCTACATCCTCTAACTCTCGAAGATATATTCCAACAAGAGCCCCGAGAGAAGTTAGAGTTCTTTTCTAGGCTTGGATACTACTTCCTTGTCTTCCGAGCTATTGAAAGTCAAGCCACACAGGAGAAGATACAGCGAGCAGATCTACATCATGGACAGAGCGGAGGAATCGTGGGAGAAGCGATTGTATACCTTGTGGTGTTTGAAGAGGGTATATGCACTGTGAGTCGGCTGGAATTATCGAGGAGATGATTCTGACGATGTCTGCTTTTATCAAGTTCCATTTCGCCGACGCATCAGGTAGGGTATAGCTAAAGTATGCGCGCCCCCGTTACTAACATACTCTTTAGAGCACATCAATAGAGTCATTAATCGGATCCTTCTCCTTGAAGAGGTAACCAACATGTCTTCCGGTAGGTTCTACGGACTGTCCCTCCACCACCTTCTCATCATACATATTCCGTAGATTGGATCGCTCATGGGATGCTGGACTCAGTAGTAGACTCTTTCTTTCCTGTCCTAGAGAAAGTGGAGCAGGAAGTGAGTGAGATTGAGAAGCTCGTATTCTTCCCCCAAGAGGCCACGGGGCCGCCGACTGTTACTCCTCCGTCTTCTCAGCCTCCTTCTACCGTAGGGAGCGAAGATGAGAAATTCAGCAAGGCATCCAGCGAAACGCCTCTCCCGATACTAGAGGTTACTCGGCCAACTCAGATACGATTTTCTCTTCGGTTGAATCCACGGTTGATGTATCGACGTTTGAAACGATTCATCCGTGCACGATGGTCCGCTGCGAAGGAGGATGACATGGCTGCTCAGACGTATCAGAAGCCTTCGCCACTTCAGCGTATGGCTAGGACACGGAGACTGGTGACCACCCTCACGAGGTTGTTGGGCTCGAAGTCGGAGGTAGTTTCGCAGATGAGAAAGCGATTGCTTAATGGCTCTGGGACGGGGATTGAGAAGGGTGACGACGATGTTGCCATTTATATTGGTGATGTGCAAGGTGAATACTTACCCGAACGACAGGGATGTCCAACTCAACACAAATAATCTAGATCATATCCTCTCGCTGCAGCACTCGCTTGCTCACTACGAGCGCATGCTTAGCCAATCCCACCCCGCCTACCTCGTCCAACTGCGCACTAATCTTGCAAGGGCGCGGTCTGGCAGCGATGCTGCCATCTTTTATCTTACGATCGTCACTATTGGGGTATTGTGTCTTCAGGTTCTCTTTGGTCAGTTTGCATCGTCTCAGGAAAACGTTTGCTTTGGGCTGATTCGCATTGTTTTGTGTAGGTGCATTCTCACTGAACGTAGAGGTTCCGGGCAACGTTCGGAACCCAGAAGAGCCCTTTACGGTCTTCGGGGAAATGATTGCGGTTTCGGTGGTCATCATCTGCGCTTACCTTGCCAACGTCCGTCGGTGGTATATTCGTGCTAAGAAGCGCCGTACGGTCCTTTAAGCCTGCGTACACACTTATTTGACTTATACTCTAGCACTGCTTTGCTTTCCATAGACTTTTCAGGTATATATCAGGACGTTTTAATGAATAGATAATCAGCGTTCGACAGCGGCAGGCATAGATACAGTGGTGGTACATAGATTCTACGAGGCTTTATCGCTATATATTGGGCTGGGGCTCGCGTTTGGCGCGACATACAACAAGGGTGTGATCTGCCTCTTGGAAAGCATTTTGAACTGTGAACCCATTGTTACATATAAGTATTTGTCTCGGGGGATTGTCCTTCGTGTGTACCTTTGCCTTGGAATTCAATATGTCTGACTTCTAGTGCCCGGCGTTGTGTCGCGATGGTTTCCTCTACGCCGCGCAGATATTCAGCTTCGAGGCGAATCCTTTCTAGGCCTTCGATGACATGATTGTGAAGGGAGTCTAAGGCATTCATCTGTTCTGTATACATATCCTGCCATTGTCGGCCTGCGTGATGATTAGCGAGTGGCTAGCATTGTCAATCAACATCACAACATACCAGAGTCTTCAGCCTCCTTCACGGCGTTGGTGTACTTTGTCAGCTGATTGGTCAAATCGCGGTCATCAGCCCACGAAACAGTCTTGAGGTTGTCGACACTGGGAGCGCGCTTTAAGCAACTTCGACGCGTGCGGAGTGGAGGGGGTATGTATTTGTTTGAGGGTGAGCCCCCTTCCTCGGGTATAGCTGGTAATGGCATCTGTACGGGTTCTGGGGTCTGAAGTGGCTCTTCTGGAGCGGCTCCATCGTAGTACATATCATTGTTGTCGATGGGAGGCATTATGATTTCGCCTGAGGCATCGACCAATGACCGTGGCCGATAAGGAACTGGAATGGGTTCCGGGGAGGTTACGGAAGTTCGGGGCAGCGAGGGCACTGGTTGGGTGATTGGCTCAGGGATCTGGAGAGGAGGGGACGGGCTGACACCATTGGCGTAGCGAGACGTATGGGCGGGGTCATCTTCGACGTCGGAGTCGTCGTCCCCAGAGCCACCTGGAGACGAAGGGCGTAGCAAAGGTGTTCCCGCTGGTGCAGGGGAATTGCCGGCAGATGTACCAGCTTTGTGGTCTTCTATACAATTGGGCTTTGAACATCGATGGCAACAGTAGGAATTCCTCTTCGCTGCATCTCTAGTGATACTTCTACCAGCAAATGACGACAAGTTGACGGAGGGGTAGCCGTCGCGTCCCTCATGCTGTTTCAACCACTTCTCCATCTCCTTCAGCCTGAAATCCGACGGTGCAATGAATGTTTGGAATGCAAACGATTCCCCTCGTCCTAATCTCTTCACTGGGGCTGCTTTACATGATTTTTGACATTTCCGTATCATGCGTTCCTTGAGATGTCGGATTTCCAACAGTCTCTCCCATGACGGCTGTGGCTGCCTGTTCAACTCTGCGGTCTCTGCCTTGAGGAGCTCCTCGTAGAGTCCTGCGGTGCGTGGGGGCAACAAGACCTATAGATAGTCAACGAAGTGAGCTCTGATCTCGGAGTTGATCACTGGCAGGTAACCGACTTTGAGTTGGTTCGGAGTCTCTGTGCACTGCAAGAATCGACCAGGCCAGCCCTTGTTGTAACAAGAATATACCCAATATGGTAAAGCCACGTTTAGCGCTGGTTAGTCACACTCCCTCATAGCCACATTCTTTAGTATAATCACTATCGTTAGTCTAACCTTAGTCCCTCCTTTCTATAGTCTATATACTCTGACAGTATCTATGGTAGTCTACTATAAAGTACGAGCCCTATGTACGTTGTAGGGCAGAGTTGCATAAACAAGGACGACTTACCCCTGTCTTTGACTTGTGTGACTTCGTGTGACGCGACACTTCCCTATCCGGTTGTCTCCCGCCACATATTTTTGACAGAACCATCTCGTCCATCTCATCTCTCATTCACATCGACTCTCTCATCTTATCTCTTTCTGTCTCGTAATCTCTCTCTTCGGGCACCCCTCGGTCTGATCAACCAAGGCTATCCGACTATATCCCGTTAAGTAACTCAGTTTCTCTATTTTACTAACCTAGTATTGTTTAGGTTAATCCTATTGGAGTAATGTCTCATCCCGCGTCCTCGTCTGAGCCTCAGACGCCGTTGGCTATGCCAGCCGCCTATATCCCGGATGAGTCCCCCTTACCTCCACTAACACCCAGCGCTGATGACTCGAGCTTGAACCAGAACAGCGGGACGGGAGCTTCGTACTCCAGCGTCGCCGCTACGAATACTCGTGTCGGGTTCACCACCCCGCGAGAAACCTCTCCCCTTCGAGGGGATACTTCATTCGGCTCCCCTAAAGCCTCGAATGCCAGCTCGAATGCCGGGGTAGTCATCCATGACAACCCCGAAGAATCCAGGTCCTCTCCCGCCGAGGAACACCCTTGGATTACGGTCGGCCGTGGCGGACGCCCTCTCCGCACACCGACTCCAGAAATCTCCCCCGCTCAAGAAGCCGATATCAGGCGCGCGGAGGAATTATTGACCCAGGATCAGCGAGACGCGATCCTGAGGCGTCGCGCATCCGTACACGTTACGGACGACGATTCCATGGACACCGAATCCACGCCTAGAGATAAAGGCAAGGGCGTCGACCCGCGAGAGCGCGGCGAGCCCGTCTTACAGCTCGGTGGGCCCAATCCAGTCGTCAATACGTTTGACGCACCTACCGAAGAAGAAGTCGCTGAGCAACGTGCAGCATTGGAATTTTGGCAATCCAAGCCAAATCTCTCCTCTTCACCCAAAGCTGATAAAGCTAGTACCACCCCTAATGTTGTACTTAGTACTCATCCGAATGATATGACCCTGACCGAATTATTGAAGAATCTTAAGCTCATTCAAGACCGCTTCGACCGACTTGAATCTCAAGTTCAGAACAAGCCTCAAAGGCCCAATGAGTTTAAGCACACTACCTTCACGCCTGAAGTTTTATCTGAAGATGAACGCAAATATATTGAGCGCAAGGCCCGTGGCGACTTTACTCGTGGTAGCGCTATGGTAAATCCGATTCTACCAAGCTGGAGTCGTCGTGAACGTCGCCATGTGTCCCGACCGAATGAAGTAGTACCGCCGTCGTCAAACGTCGGTCGTATCTTCAATCGTGTAGCCCGCAATCGTAACCACGATTCCGACGGTGACCCTTCCTCTGATGGATCCGGTCCTGAGGATGGAGGGGGAAGTTTGCAATCTTCTCGTCGTAAAAAGAGGAAGGCGCCTTCAAAATTGAAGGCCGTCGCACCTACAGTGTTTACCGGTGAACCTAAGATTGATTTATTCAATCGATGGATGCGTGAGGGCTTGCATTATCTTGATGACGCGCGGGTCGAACAGCGAAAGGAAATTCGAGCACTTGCGCGCTATACCGAAGGCAAGGCACAGGCGTATTACCAGAATGTAATCGCTGACGACGAGTCGAACTGGACGCTTGACGAGTATTTCAAGGCCATTTATGATGCCTGTTTCCCGTCTAATTTCCGGGAGAAACAGCGCCGTAAGCTGGAACGTTTCTATCAAAGCGAACTATCAGTTAAAGAGTATGCTGCGCAAATGTACGACATGATAAACACCATCGGAGGGCTTGAGGCACGCCAGTGTGTCGTCCATTTGTTCCGTGGGCTGAATCCTGAGCTGGCAATCGCCTGCCGGCGCATGGGGTTGAACCCCGAGGACGCATCTTGGGATGAAGTTGTTGCGGAGGCTGAGAACGAAGAGATCGTTCTCTCGAGTATTCGCAAAGATGGTTCTCGGGGCGATAAACGTTCAAAGGACGCGGTGACCCAGTCGAGGTCGTCGGTAGCCCATAGCTCAAATAGTTCGTACAAACCTGGGAATAGTAACTTTCGTCAACGTTCGCGCAACTTCAAGAACAGTGATAGTAAACGCTCACCAGATCACAACAACCATCATTCGGACCAGTCATCTGGTAACATGTTACGGAACACTGCTTCTGGTAATCCTTCGAGTAGTAAAACCAATGGAACATCCGGAGGGCGTAGGGACATTTCGCCGCAGGAGCGTCAGAAGCTCCAGTCAGAGGGGAAATGTTTCCTGTGCAGACAGACTGGTCACATAGCACGAAATTGTCCAAAGGCTAACACCTTACCTGGCAAGGGAGGGAAGCCTCCTGGCGTCCGCGTGAATCATATTGATTTTGCAGAACACATAGTTGATGAGTATATCCCCGACGACGAAAACACAGCTCACATCGGATTAGCCGTGCTAGGATCACACGAATATGCGTCGCACGCTGAGTTCATAGAATCTTCGGACTTGGACGTCCCTGGCTTAGTTCTTGACGATAGCGATTCTTCGGATGAGATCTTGGAAGATATCACCGAGATCGGCACGCGGTGGAAGAAATTCCTGAGCGGGTGCTACACGCACGATTGGCTGGGTGACGCCTACGCAAACACGTATACCTGGGTGCTCGAAACAAGCCGCGACCTAGGTCTACCTGGGGATAATGGGTATCAGTATCCTTGGTCGGAACTTCGATTCTCGGTAGAAAGAAGGACACCCACGACCTATGAGGTAAACGACCGTATGCACAACATATGTGTAGAGGTATCCGCCGAGTTGTTACAGGATAACTCTTTCCAGTTTGGTCGGTGGTATGCACAGGTCCTCATGGATCGTGTAGCGCCGTTTTGGACCGGTATGCTGTGCGACGAATTCTATAATGCTAGGGTTCAGCCTACTGAATTCAACGCACGGATGCATCTCAAGCATAAACTCACTTGGGACGAAACGTTGATGGACAGCTCATTTACAGTCAGTGCCTGTGGCCGGAATAATGACTGTTGGTATATCTCGGAAGATGAGCTGGAAACCCACGCCGTGATAAGTGGACTGCTCCTGCGAAATGAGCATCTTCATCTGGCTTCATGGTACGCTAAGCACTCGGTGCCATGGGCTGTTAACCCAGATGACGGCCCATTTTTGCGTGAACCTGAATACGATACTGCCGACCTGTACCGTAATACGGAAGACCTTGCATCGGAACGTTGGGCGGATATGTTAGTAGACGACAGGTTCTATTCATTAGAGCCCTACCTCAAGGATCTCTCTTGCTTCCATGTATTCGACCTGGATGATGGCGACAGCAAGCTGCTGCACGAACTCTTCCTCTTTGGCGTCCAGATTGATCGTGACAAGCTACCTGCACTGCAACGAAACGCGTCAGTCGTCAAGGACAAGGAGCGCGCTGTACCATCGCCTGTAGTGGTCACTGTACAGATCAACGGAAAACCTGCGAAAGCATTGCTGGACTCCGGTTCCTTGGGCGACTTCATGTCGTCTACGTTGGCCGACCAGTTGGGAAGTAAGACGAAGGTCGCGCTTGCCAAGCCGATTCCACTGCAGCTCGCTGTGCAGGGGTCGCGAACGAAGATTAACTGGTCCTGTAAAGCGAACATTAGCTACCAGACAGTCGACGAGGAACGAGCTTTCGATGTCATCAACATCTCAAGCTATGACTTAATTCTGGGTACACCATTCATGTACCAGCATCGGGTATTGCTCGGCCTGAATCCTGCGCGCGTGGTGGTGGGCTCCAAAGAGAGTCTTCCAATGGATGGTCCTGGTGTATCACGATTGGCATCCATGTCAGTTGACTTCGATACTGCGGAAATAGTGCGCGCACGGCAAGAACTGCTTGAGTACGCCAAACCGCTGTGTAAAACAATGGATCAGACTGATCTACCTCCATTACGAGCTATTAACCACACCATACCTTTGATTGATGAGAAAAAGGTATATAAATGGCGACCGTCTCGTTGTCCGGAGCCGTTACTGGAGCAGTGGGTTGAGAAGCGGAATGCGTACTTAAAATCAGGACGTTGGCAAATCACGACGGCCGGGAATGCGGTTCCTATGTTGCATATTTATAAGCCGGGTACCAAATTGTTGCGGATCGTCGTTGACCTACGTGAACGTAATGCGAATACGGTAAAGATGTCTACGCCTATGCCGAATATTGAGGCGATACTGCGCCGAATTGCCGCCCATTTATTCCGTTCCAGCATGGATGGAAAGGATGCGTACGAACAGATTCGAATAGTCGCGGAACATGTTGCTCGCTCCGCAATGACGACACCTGACGGCACAATGGTCAGCTTGGTAATGCAGCAGGGTGATTGCAATGCGCCCGCGACGTACCAGGCACTAATGAATCATATATTCGCACCCTACATTGGCGTATTCATGGACGTTTATCTGGACGACATAATTATCTATTCAGACACACTCGAAAAGCACATTCAGCATGTAAAAACCGCTATTGACGTGCTTACGCGGGAGAAGCTGTACTTGTCCGAAAAGAAGCTTCACTTCCTTGAGAAGGAGTTGAAGGTCCTTGGCCATATTGTCGACGAATCGGGCATTCGTATGGACCCTCACAAGGTTGACGCCGTCGTAAACTGGAAGACGCCTACCAACCGAGACCTGCTTCGAGGGTTCCTAGGGGCAGTGGGCTATCTGGCAGACGACGTTGCGGGCGTACGAATTCCTATGGGTGTGTTAGCGAGATTAACCGGCGACAATACCCCATTTCGATGGACTGATACTCACCAGCGTTCGTTCGACGAGGTAAAGCTCCTCGTTGACCGTTTTCGTTCGCATAGTCGCCGTCCGTTATCCTACGCCCGGGACAGTGATCCTATCTGGTTGATAACGGATGGATCAGCTACGGGAGTGGCCGGCGTCGTGAGCCAGGGGAAGGAATGGCGGACGGCGCGTGTAGCGGCGTTCTTTTCAGCAAAGCTGAACCCAGCACAGCAGAATTATCCCGTGCATGAGATCGAGATGTTGGCTGGGCTCGAATCAATGCTACGCCATAGGGACATTTTGCAGGGTGTTCATTTTCGCTGGCTCACTGATCACAAGGGGTTGGTTCACTTGCTCAATCAGCCCAATCTCTCAGGGCGTCAGGCGCGTTGGTTGGAAAAGATGTCTGAATTTGATTTCACGCCGGTATATATTCCTGGAACTGAGAACGTTTTGTCAGACGCTCTCTCTCGTATATATGCAAACGACGCACCTGGCACTGAGCGTGCGGCCTCCGAATTCGTCAAATTTGACGAAGATTCTACGTGCAGTTTTCGCCGCAGAACTCCAGTCATCGTAGGCGACGAGGCGAGGCTAGAAAGTATGCCTCTGGAGGGCATTTCGTTGACCTTAAACGCTGTACGACGTGGCGGAGCCACGGAGTCGCGTGATTTTGCGAAACGAATGGTGGCCAGGAAGTTCGTTCTGCGAGGCCCTCGTGAACGAACGGAGGGCGGGAATAAAGAGGAAGTAAACCAAATAAACAACGGACCTACAACAATTAACAGTTTACTGGAAAAGGAAGGTGTCCCCGGTGCGGAATCAAATTTGGTTCCGGTAATTGGCGCCGACGAGGCACTGACCACCGTTAACTCCGAGTTAAGTCCACGCAATGTTCAACTCCCACCACCGTCTACTCAAGACAAAGAACCCTCGCCCACCGTCTCTATTGTGAACGTAGTGTCGCATCAACAGAAACGCGACCTTAACGTTGATTTCATGAACGAAATACGCAACAACTACATGAACGACACATTCATGGCATCAATTGTGAACACTCCGCGCCAATACAAGAATTTCACGTTAGAAAACGGTCTGCTCTACCTAGTTGAAGGCGGGAGACGGTTACTATGCATTCCGGATGCCATAATTGGTGGAAGGACGGCCAAAGAGATAGTCATAGACGAAGGTCACTCTTTATTAGCCCATCTGGGGCCGGAAAAGACACTAACCTACCTTCGTGAGTTTGTATGGTGGAGACACCTTTCCAGGGATGTCTATAGATTCTGCGAATCGTGTCGCACTTGCGCCCGCAGTAAACCATCAAACCACCGGCCCTATGGCCTTCTCCGTCCTCTGCCTATTCCGTCTCGCCCTTGGGATGCCATCGGCATCGACTTCGTAGGACCATTACCCAAGTCGGCAGATCGGAACGCATTTTACGATTCAATTACAGTCATTATTGACCTCTTGACTGCGATGGTACATTTAGTACCCAGCCGTACGACCTACGGCTCTGTTGACGTCGCCGAATTGATATTCGCAGAAGTATACAAGCACCACGGTCTTCCTCGACGAATCGTAAGTGACCGTGACCCATTATTCACGGCACGTTTCTGGCAGAAACTCCACGAACTCATTGGGACAAAACTAAATATGTCTAGCGCGTATCATCCGCAATCCGACGGTTCAACGGAACGCGCCAATAGAACTATCACGCAAATGATTCGCCAGTGTGTCAACGAGAATCAAAAGGATTGGGTGCGACGTTTACCGGCAATTGAATTTGCAATTAACTCTGCACGAACAGATTCGACAGGCTTCGCGCCATTCTTTCTGAATACAGGACGCATGCCTCGACCATTCCTGTGGGACACGCCCTCGTCGAGCGAATCCAAAGGTGTACGAGAGTTTGCCGAACATCTTCGCGAAGCCGTGATTACGGCTCATGATGCGGTACTGGCATCTCGCACGAAGCAAATCCGAGACGCCAATCGACATCGCCAACCATCCCCGTTTCAGATTGGTGACTTAGTCTACGTGTCCACGAAGAATATTTCGTTCCCTCAGGGGCTGGCACGTAAGCTAATTCCCAAATATATGGGACCCTACCGTATCAATCGCGCATTTGGTAATGATACTTTTCAGATTGAACTACCTAATCATCTCGTTGCGAGGGGTGTTCATCCCTCCTTTCATGCGTCTCTACTACGTGTACATATCCCCAATGATGACCGCTTGTTCCCTGGCCGTTCCCTTGAACACATCATTGCGTCTGCAACACCAGCTAGCACAGAATGGAACATTAGAGAAATATTGAGTCATTCTGGTGTAAGGCAGCATGCATTGTTTGAAATTCTTTGGCCTACTGGTGACAGGACCTGGCTACCATACCATAAGGTCAGTCATCTTGAAGCATTACGAAGATATTTCGAAACGTTGGGAATTTGCAACATTGAGGAACTCCCTAGGGGTTCAGGGACCCCCCCTAACGACCCCCAAATCGTACTTGGTTGCATAAAACCTGCCAGTGTTACGGATGATGGCTATTTAAGTGATGGGGAGATAGGATTAGACAGCAACCCTACTCACCCAAATAATCTATATTCTTCTAATCATCCTCACATCACTTCTATGTCTGCAGCAGAACTGGGAAGATTACACCCTATTCATACTGCTCTCACCCGAAACCCCGAAGGGTCATACTCCCTGAGAGACCTAGACTCCCGAGTTTGCTCCGCCGCCTATACCCGCGACGAGCTCATCAGCTTCGTGTCCGCCAATCGTCGCATTATCAGTGGCACCCTTACCAATCCTCTGTCCCTTCCTCCCCGCTACATCGGGTTCGCAACCCTGTATAACAAACAAGGCCAAATTACCACCAAGTTTAATTTGCCTCATGGGCATGCCTTCACGACTCGCATCGCAGGGCCAGGACTCCGATTTTTGGGACTCGTTGCTGCGCGACCCAGTATACCTCGTAAAGATCCCAGGAACCATTACCGATCCCAGACCTCGCATGGTCGGCGTGCTACGGTCCCGCCTAATTATGTGGGCCAGTCTAGACCAACGGTGGGCCAAAGTTCTAATGGACCTCGACACCCGGAGGCCGGAGAATTCATTTTAACGGCGGAACGACACGATGTGGTGACTAATCTACTCCTTGATATGGTAATGGGTAACAAGACTCCCACTACCAACTTTCCACCTGTGCGCGAGTCTCCCGCTGTCCGTCGTAGCGGCGCTTCCTTACGCCGTAGCTCAACACCATACGCACGTCCCAAGAAGGTTCGCCCTACCATTGTTCCTACCAATCCGGGCTCCAGCCCCAGTTCACGCGAGCAAAAGATCTCGGGTATCCCGGTGCCTGATGTCATTCCCAACGCGGACAAGCCACGCGAGACCATTCCCATCAATACTTGTCCCTCGCCGTCAGAGTCGGATATCGAGCTTGTCAATACCCCATCCTCGGCCTCGTCTGACCTTGCGACCATCAGTGAAGATGTGGACATGAACGATAGCCCAGACAAACCCAGTGCTTCCCCTACCTCCAAAGTTCCCACTGTGGAACTCGCAGACCTTTCCATCTCCAAGGACCCTGCTGCGGCCGACGGCGCCGCGTGAATCTGTTTCACAGATCCAGGAGGGCGTATGTAACAAGAATATACCCAATATGGTAAAGCCACGTTTAGCGCTGGTTAGTCACACTCCCTCATAGCCACATTCTTTAGTATAATCACTATCGTTAGTCTAACCTTAGTCCCTCCTTTCTATAGTCTATATACTCTGACAGTATCTATGGTAGTCTACTATAAAGTACGAGCCCTATGTACGTTGTAGGGCAGAGTTGCATAAACAAGGACGACTTACCCCTGTCTTTGACTTGTGTGACTTCGTGTGACGCGACACTTCCCTATCCGGTTGTCTCCCGCCACACTTGTTGACCCGGGGGTCGTATGGCTCGAGCTGACCGCGAACGGGGCTCTGCTTCAAGTAGTTCAGCGGGCCTGGTTGGGACGCTTTTGCGATTTCCTTCTTCATGGATGTGGGCGTCGAGCGCGTGCTATGTACATATGTTTGTGGATATGGGAAGGCGACGTTTGGCAGTTGTGGGCAAATAAAAAGAAGATTTGTTTGGGCCTCGTGGGGGCACTGGCGGCAAGGGCGTGCTGTATTACATAGTCATCAACGTCGTGGACAGCGACGAGGACGGCGGCGACGCCAACGCCAACAACGAGCGAGTAGTAAATTAGAGTGCCGCCGGGCTCGGTGTTCAGTTGGCCGGAATCAAGTGATTCAAATACAACTCTTTGCTCTTCCCCTCATCTTCCTCCGCCCCAGTTCAATGACATCCTCCCTTGCACACTATGAAACATTCTTGATCAACAACGTCTCGACAATCTCGACGTTGGAGTCGTCGTTGCGCTCCCTGACCTGGTTTCTCCCAGGTCGCTTCAAGGATGCGGAATTAGCTTCAGAAGCCCGTATGTCGTCCTTTCCGCTTAATGTCGCCCCATGGCCCTGATGGTTTCTTAGTTTCTGTTCTGCTCAACTCGACGAGCATGTACCACGACACCCTCCTTTCGAAGCTCGTGTACAGCGATCCCAAATACCGCCCTCTGATCCCGACTTCTCTGCATACTCGCTTTACGCGTGCTTGGTCCGACAAAAGCTCGCTGTACAAGTGGGCGGCCAGGTCTCTCGAGTTGATTCGCTTCGCCGAGCTGTTCATTGAGATGGCGCTGAAGCGGAAAGTGTCCCAGAGAAACAAGTGGAGGGGCGTCGTTTTGCTGGAGATCATCAAGTACGATTTCATGTCTCCGAAATGAACTGAGATTGACACCATATATAGAGCAGCTTTGCGCTTCATACTCATGCGGGTCTCAGGTAAACCCTTGGTATCGCCTCCCATCCCCGAGAGGGATATCGATCCAACTTCGTTGCCCTCGCCTTCATCGAATGCCTCGTCTCCCACTCTTGCACCCTCGTCTCTTGGACCATCTCCACTCACCACTCCCGAGCATCTCAAAAATAACTACATCCCTTTACCACCCCACCCGTTGTTGACCGCGCCTCCTCCACCTACGCGCTTAGACACGTCCGTCGAAGACTATTTATTGCCCAAGGCACTCACATCATCTTGTGTCAGGCCGTCTCTTTCTCTCATCCGATCCTTATCTTCCCCGAAGGACTGGTTGAGTGAATCTATCTATGTCCTTTGTCCCCTTATATATGGTCCGTTGATTCAATCGTTCTGATACTACTTACCGACTCGTGACACCTTAGCAACTCTATTGAGTTTCGACCGACGCTCGAACAGACCCTTGGTCGTAGCCCTTGCACTGGAGTTAATCGCACGAAACTTGCGCCGTGTTCCACCTCCTTCGGCGGCCCTTGAACGCTCGGAATATGCACGAAGGGACAGAGACATGCTGTGGTACCTCTTCCGCGGCTCCATTTGGGATTCATACACCCGGTGGGTTTTCTCTATATTGGTCCCATCGTAACGTACTGAATGTCGTACGTCCGCAGACCCAAGTTGGAAGCTCTGGCTGACAGGACTGCACATACCCCCATCTTGGGATTGCTGAGTGCCTTTGTGAAGGATTGGATACCATTGATTAACGAGTATCATTATTGTAAGAAGCCCAGCCTTTCCCTGTCGTTTCGCCGTCACTGACCATGTTGTCCCTTCGTGATACAGATACGGCACCCTAGTCATGTCATTCTCCTGTTGCATGTCGGGTTGTAACACATCTATGTATAGTACTGCTTTCCATGCATATTTAGGTGTTGCAGTTTGCTTTGCGCTGCGCATTGGCTAAACCAGTGGGATAGTAACGACAAGGTCCAATCAACTTCAAGGTGGGAGGTGCGTACGCATGGGCATGTGACAGATGATTAACACATTCTCCAGTGTTTCGAAGTTAACAATGAGCCCGCTAACCCAAAAGATAATGCCCATAGGATGTAATCAGCTTCCATCAAAGTTGTTACTTCAATTGGAAATATGACTATCTGGTTTCCGCCTCGTTTAAAGCCGAGTTGGGACTGTGGCAGTCGTAAATCCACTCCACCACCCGATGTCACCAGTGCTTCATAACCCTCAACCATTGGAATCAGTCCGCCGCGTGGTCGTTGGCCACGATGAGAGGGGCAATGCCGTAGTTCAGAGCAATGAGCTCATGTACAATGAAGTATGTTGTATGTTCATTGGTCTGGCATCTGAACGAATGTGTCCCGTTAGGATATGGCCATTGTACCGGGCGCCAAGTCGTCCGCTATCTGGGTTACGACAGACGGCCTTCCGACAAATGACACCAACAGCATGTGGGTGGTACTTCTACTGCTTCGCTGCTCACGCCTAAACTTATTCGCCAACCAAGGGAGGACGGTGCCACTCGTGTGATTGAGCCAAGTGAAAACTATGGGCTGGTTCCTCCAAGAGGGACCAACGTCCGATCTACTGACCTTGCGCCAGGTTAGGTCGTTATGTATTCATTGCTGTCCTCGCACTCATGGCTGTCTTCAGGCGCTATCACTCCGATGGTTGGTGTCGCTTGTCTCGTCGTATAATTTACTGTGCCTAAGCCCCGCAACAATTCTAGCATCGTACTTCGTCGGTGGACTACAACATACTTGGTGAGCACACTTCTGCTAGACCTAAATGGCTCTCATTCCAGGCCCTTAGTGGAGGGAGAAATTGTGCTCATAACAGAAGACGGGGCGGAGACCCATCTCAGGAACCCAGGCGACACTGTAGTCCAGAAAGGAACCATGCATGCCTGGCGGAATCCTGGTGCATCGTGGGCCCGATGGGTCAGTGTGCTGATATCTGCGGAGCCCGCTGTTGTCAACGGTCGGGTTCTTCACCCTGAATTTCACCAATGATATTTCCGGACCGTCCGGCCCACAATGATGTTCCCCCGCTCGGGTACGATGTTTGATGAATAATGTAACGAATAATATGCTACTGGAGATTGACAAACAAGCCCCCGTCTACTAGCAAGGACGCTCCCGTGACGTACCTGGCGAGGTCGCTCGCCAGGAAGACCACCGGCCCCGCGATGTCACTGGGTGCTGCAATATTCTGTTGCTTTGATAAATCTCTCCGCACATGGGAATCACTTACTGCCAAGTCGACCCAGAGCTGTTCGCTTTATCATTGATTCCCGCTTGTCAGTGTCAGCCAGGTCTTCTTTATTGATATCGGTCGCGATTGTTCCAGGAAGTATTGCGTTCGCCCGGATACCATACTTGCCGAGGGCAACGGCACAGCTCTGCATCAAGGACAGAATACCGGCCTTGGTAGGCGTATAATGGCTATCAGATAACGGTGAGTTACCGAGCAGAGTTCATATGGAAAGTCAAGCTAACCACTGTAGTTCGCCGCCCACAAGAGCCGATATCGACGATATCCCAATTATGGATCCTCCTTGTGGTACTTGGGTCTTCATCTGGTTGGCAACAGCTAAACGCGCTTAGGAATCAACGAACGGGGGTACATCGCGAGGACGTTACCTTGTACAATGTAAAAGGAGCCGTCTAGGTTTACTTTTCGAGTAATTTCCCAGGTTTCCAGCGGCATAGTCAGGAATTCAGCGAATGGACATATTCCAGCGTTGCTGACAAGGACATCGATACGTCCAAACGCAGCTACTGCGGCATCCACAATCTGGAATGAAGACGTAAGTGATCAATGCCGTGAAGTAGATCCCCCCACCTTTTTAGAAGTCAAGGGGTCTGCGATGTCTCCTGGTACAGATGTAACTTGGGTGTTGCTGAAGCCTTTGATTTCCGTTTCCAAGGTCTGAACCTCTTCCTTTGTCACAGCGTCGCCGTAGTAGTGTAGCACGAGGCCATGTGCACTTTGCCTGGCAAACTCCAGAGCACAACCTAGGTGCTGCCTGAGTGTCGTGTATTTTGTAGTTGGTCATGTTGTGCGTTGTGCTCACCTCTTCCTATCCCCCTAGAAGCACCGGTAATGACGACGATCTTGTTGCTAGCCAGAGACATAACGATGGGCAGTTAGTAAGTCTTGTTTCTTCCTCGTCTTTCTAAATAATACCCATGACTTCCTAGACGTATTATCATAGGGTGTTGGCGGGAGCGCGGACCGGCTCTGTGATATTTCCCACCGAGTAGTCACAGGGACACCTGGACAGACAGGTCCGGATGGTCTGTCCGGTCGTATCTTGCACTGGCAAGGTAGCTGCAGTGCGGTATAAGATGTAGCGGCTCCCACAGCGAAGCCCTATAACCACTCTACACACGCCTCACACTCTGAATCATCGATAATGTCTGCCAAAATGTAAGTTCGACGATGTCACCCCGACTACTGAATGAAGTCATAAACGTCATCTAGCTATTACGACACAGACGCAGACCTAGGTCTTCTCAACGGAAAGACAATAGTATTCCTTGGGTGCGTACATACATGGTTGGACATGCTTCTCACATTCACCTGTACCCTACAGCTTTGGCAACCAGGGTGCAGCGCAGGCGCAGAACCTGAGGGATAGTGGTATACCAAACGACAAGATCTTGATTGCCAACCGCGAAGACGCCTACGCAGAAGATGCCAAGTCGAAGGGCTTCACTGTCGAGCACGACTTTGCGAAAGCTGCTTCCGTCGCCGATGGTAAGATACCTCGTATCCTACTGTGCCCTCTGATTACTGACTTCCATTTGTGTAGTGTTGTTCCTTCTTATCCCTGATCAAGTTCAGCCGCGCGTTTACAACGGCCAAGTAGCGCCTACACTGAAAGCGAATGCCACCATCGTTGTTGCCAGTGGCTACAACGTCTTTTACCAGCTCCTCGAATTCAAACCGACGCAAGATGTCGTTATGGTTGCACCCAGGTATTTGAGCCTCTCTCTGTGTGAATAGATAGAATTTTCAGCGCTAACGTGTGCTTGTAGGATGATTGGCTCTTCCGTTCGTTCATTGTACGAAAAAGGCAAGGGATTTCCCTGTTTCGTATCGGTAGAGCAAGATGGTACGGGTAGCGGACTGGCCACTGCCCTAGCCTTGTCTAAGGCCATTGGCGCCACCAAGGCTGGTGCCATTGCATCCTCTGTCAGGGAGGAAACGGCGATGGACGTGAGTTTTGAGCGTATCTCTTGTGTGTCCTGACTGAACGTTGCTTTCTTTAGTTGTTCGCAGAGCAAGCATTGTGGCCCCAGATAATCATGCTATTCCGGTATGTCCGACGGCTGCTTTGATTTAAGGATGAGCAATGACAGTTATCCAGTGAGGCTTTCAGTGTTCTCAAAGAAGCCGGTTGCTCTGATGAGGCTCTGTGTTATGAAATGTACGGAAAAATCATCGCGTCCGACTTATCTATGCTTTACCTGGGCTTCTAGGTGGATGTCTAAAGAACCAGCCGAGATCTTTGAGCGAGCTGCAGAAGAAGGGTTTATCAAACAGGTAAATCAGATGCCTTTCGCCCTGACATCACCGATTAAATAGCTATCTCAGCTGAAGCACCATTCGTCCGTCTCGCAATTCGGGCAGCTCAGTGGTGCCCTTGCACTCGACGGTAAAGACGCTAGGGAGCACTTCAAGAACATTCTGTATAACCAAGTGAGAAGCTTCTCGGGGTCCTGACAGTACCGTTGACAATCTACTTACAGGTACTGAACGGGAAGTTTTGTAAGGAGTTCTCGAAGATTGAAGCCGATCTTGAGAAAGAAGGGGCTGAGAATCCATTGAATGAGCTCTACCGCAAGTCCGAGGAATCTGAACTCGGTCAGGCAGAGAAACGGGTTCGTCAAAGGTTGGCAGGCCTCTTGTAGACATATAGATCGATATTGTTATATTAGACCTTGTACGAAGGAAATTTCCGACATGATTTGAATTCGAATTCTGTTTAGCTGCGAAGGCGCTTGTATCGGCGCTTAAATCCAAAAAGATGATTACGGCAGCGCACAGCCGCAGTTCCCCTTGAGTCTTACCGCCTCACTCTCCATAGTGTGTAACCAAGATGTCCTCACCTCATGCAAAAACGGAGTCGGTCAAGTCTCCAGCACATAGATCGTAGGCATCTTCACAACGAATCACAGTTCTCAGTATTGAAACTCATTCTTTGCGTTCTTTTTCTTTCCTCAGATCGCGTGATCATTCCACAGACACTCTACGTACCCGAAGGTCACATCGCTCCGTGTCAAGGGACAAGTCGGGCAGAGACAGACGGAGAGATAGAGTCGATCCTGAAGAAAGACGCAAACGCAGTCGCAGTCGCGACAAATATCGTGATAGGTCGAGGGACAAGTCACACAGAGATAGAGACAGGGAAAGAGACAGAGACAGGGATAGAGATAGAGACAGGCGAAGAGAGAGAGACGTAGACCGCGACCGCCCCCGTGAAAGAGAAAGAGATGGTCGTAGGGACAGAGACAGGGACCGCGCTAGGGAAGACCGCGACCGGCGACGCAAGCGGGGCGACGAAGTCGACGGCTTTGATGATAATAAGGAGTTCGACGAAAGGACCAGCAAGCGTCTGAAATCTGACGACGGAGACGTGAAAATGGACGACGTTCCTCCACCACCTCCACCAGTAGGTGGACCTCCTCCAGAACCAAGCGGTAGCCCTCGGCCCAGATCCCCAGACCACGATCGCCGAACCCGCTCTCGTGATCACGAGCGCAACGGCGGTGATAGGCGGCGTCGCGATGACTTCGAGGACTCTCCTCGCTACGGACGGAACAGACGTCGGGACGACGAGTTCCATTCTCCTCCTCCTCGCAGGGGTTCAATGCGAAAGAGTTCGCCACCTCCGTTCAAGTGCGTTTCTTTTCTTTACCTCGGATGACACTGATGACATTTCAGAAGACCTTCGCCAACTTACGAGCCTCCTCCTCAGGAGGACTACAATCCTGATGAACCGAAAGAAGACGATTCAGAAGCTCGGTCTGTGTTCGTTTCACAGCTTGCTGCCCGCCTTACTGCCCGTGACCTGGGCTACTTTTTCGAAGACAAACTTGGAGAAGGAACTGTCATGGATGCTCGCATTGTTACTGACCGGCTCTCTCGGCGGTCCAAAGGGTACGTCTCAACATACTCTGTTGTTTCCCACACTAATTCCCGTTTAGCATCGGTTATGTTGAATTCCGTACTATCGAGTTAGTAGAGAAAGCCCTTTCTCTTTCAGGTACTGTCGTTATGGGATTGCCCATCATGGTACAGCTCACTGAAGCGGAGAGAAACCGACTTCATCCTGGAGATGGGTAAGTCACCTTGTTTCTGCCAACCCATGTCCTAATGTTTTCCCAGAAATCTCAATCTGCCTCCTGGCGTCAGCGCACCGCACGGTGCAATGCAGTGAGAAGTTTCCTTGTCTAATGTCCCACAAGCTAACCTATTTCCGCCTTTAGACTTTATGTTGGCTCGCTGCACTTCAATCTCACCGAATCAGACATTAAGCAGGTTTTCGAACCCTTTGGTGAATTAGAGTTTGTCGACCTTCACAGAGACCCAATGACAGGGCGAAGCAAAGGATACGCATTCGTCCAGTAAGCCTATGTTCTTCCGCTTTCTCTCGTAGCGACCAACTAATTTACTCTAGGTACAAACGTGCGGAAGATGCCAAAATGGCGTTGGAACAAATGGAAGGTTTCGAACTGGCTGGGCGTACAGTAAGTACTTTTCTTCAAAGCTGGAACTGGTTGCTTGTGCTTACATACCGCAGCTTCGTGTCAACACTGTTCATGAGAAAGGCACTGCTAAATATACGCAACAAGATACACTAGAGGAATCCGGCGGTATGGTTCCTCTTCTTCATTGGGCCCGTTCCTATTCTGAATTTGTGCATCCCAGGTAACTTGAATGCAGCGTCCCGCCAGGCACTAATGCAGAAACTTGCTAGGATTGAGCCCGCCCCCGTTGCTCCTACAGTCGTGTAAGCTCACGACCTGTCTCGATCCCATCCGTCGCTAAACTCATGAGGACAGTAAACCCAATATTCCTCAAGCAATGCAGTCGAAGTCCGTCCTCCTAAAGAACATGTTCGATCCCGAAGAGTCAGTGCATTTCCCTCGGCGATGCTTACCTATACTCAATCTTGTCGCAGAGAAACTGAACGCGACTGGGACAAGGACTTGGCGGAGGACGTCAAAGGTGAATGCGAGGAGAAATACGGCAAGGTCGAAGCTATTAAAGTTGAGAAGGAGACCCAGGTTAGTGGGCGCCTTCCCCATTATTCGATAGTCAGCTAAGCCATCACCAAAGGGCGAAATCTACGTCAAGTTCGACTCTATAGATTCGGCCAAAAATGCTATTCAAGGTCTAAACGGCCGCTGGTTTGGCGGCAAGCAAGTTTCCGCTACCTTCATATCGGACGCCATCATGCAAGCTCATCAGTAAACTTGGGATATATTATTCGTTAGGTTGCACACTTTAAAAATACTTTTGTCCGTTGTCTAACTGTCAATACAGGTCACTCAAGCCGATAAAAGATTCATATTTGACGGTTTACCTCTTTTTTTTCCTATTTGACTCTCAAATTCCATGTGAAAATATAGGTACCATATGCACAGTGCGATTGTTTGCAACCAGGCAGGTTAACGCTGATGTTTCTGAATGACTTCGTTACTAGATTATCACCGAATGAATCTTATTGCGTCGACGGTCCGTCTGAGTCACTTACATCGGCGAAGGTTGTACGACCTCTGTATTGACCAGTCTAGGAGTAATCTCATATCCTAGGTTGCTGGGTGATGATCCAAGTCGACAACACCAATATAGTACGTGCTACGGACCTATCCTACTCACTGTGCACAGTGCTTAGGCCTAGTACATGTATCGGAAACTAGGAGAGCTTGGACCCTCTTTCAGGATGCTCGTGTCCACATCTGCTGCTGTTATGTTGATGCCTTGGACGTGATTACGACGGCGATTTTCCCAACGCATATAAGCACCAACTCTGTCAAACGGTGCTCCTGGTCAGTATCTTGTTTAAAGTTCGCCCGTTACTTACGACAAGACGAGAATCAGACAAAGCCCTCCAAAGGCAGCTAATGACCTTGTCAATATATCAACCGCCAGGCTAACTCTCTCACTGACCTGATGTCGCAAGAGCTGAATATTGTTTTAGGATAACCTCATTGTGTGATCGAATTGAAAAACATAACATACCGGGAATATATCTAGGTTCGTCTTGAGCCCTGAAGACGTTCGTGGATATCAAGCCCGCGGAATTCGCGATCGCAACTACAATCCAAAGGTCAAGGACGATAGGTTCTTTGACCTTCGCTACTGACCCATAATGGCTGCTACGACGGCTCTCCTGGATTCGCCAGCCGTGTTGTTGGAATACCACGTTGCGACCAAGACGGATGGCGCGAACGCCTTGCAATTACCTTCAGCACAGATCCAACACGCAACTTATATATGGATACTCACCCCCATCGTCAAGAGGAACGTCGCAAAATACGCAACTTGTCGGTGCTCTAATGGATTGATTGCGCCAAGGATGATGAACCCCAGGATGCCCACCACCAACGGAATACAGCTGTAGAGCAAAATTAATAACTTTCTCAGAGCAATAATGCAGTGACCTTACTTACATATGAATTGATCTTTCCCTGAAGTAGTCGGACGAGAACGTAAGGAGCAACAGTGCGACGGTGCCAGCCACGTTTGGTGCCACAGTCAGAAGGTTTGTCTTGACGGTAGAATACCCTAAGCTAGCCACGATTTGCGGAAGGAAGTTGTTGACGCTGGCTAACGGGACACCGAAAGATAGGTTTATCAGTGCCCAAATCCAGTACATGGGATCCTTGAAAGCAGCAAAGGCGTGACTGATGTCAAGACGCTCGTCAACCTCTGCAGAGGAGTCCTTCAAGACACGAGCCCGAGCCAACGACCTCTCTCTTTCGTTTAATGATCTCCATGTAGTGGGAGAGCGGGGCTACTCCAAGCAATCAATCAGGTAACTCGAAAGCAGCTTTCATGGAATCTCACCAGCCAAAAGTAAGCAAATATCGCAAACAGCACGCTTCCTCCACCTACATAGATTATAAGTATCAGACGGCCACTCGGGATATATAGAGAGACCTTCAATCCAGAACAGATACTGCCACCCGTGGTGCTTGGAATCATGGATGTGAAAGACGCCGAAGGCAATCAAACCTGATGCAAAGTCGATCAGGGGTTCCTCAGGGGAAAGGAAAGACGGAGGAAGGAAAGACGTTGTCCTCACCGGAGAACGCGCCAGCGATAGACGCAGCAGCTGGGAATGATCTTTAGAGTCACCTTTATTTCACATTGGAGGGACGCACCGTAGAATATACCAAGCCTAGAGGCAAGCTCGTTCCGTTTGTAGAAGGTGGACAGATAATACACCTAGTTCATGGTCATGCTTAATTTTGGAGAATGAAGAAGCGTTTTGCTACTACTAACCACTCCCGGAAGCATCGCAGATTCGAAAATACCAAGGAAGAACCGGATGGTAAAGATTTCTCCAAAGTTTGTAGCAACTGCTGCTAATATTGACCTGATATTGGCGTTAAAATATGTTCACCGAGGATTGAAATGAGGAAGAGTACATGGTGCCCTATTCTACCGTGAGTTTCGATCCACTTCTTACGATAATGGAGAACACTCACAAAGCCGACCATCATCATTGGCAGCACTCGCGCGGCGGAGAATTTCTTGACGACCAGACTAATAGGTGTACCGAACCTGCGCAAAGGATCGTTAGGTATATTCAATTCGCTGATGCACAACTTACAAGCAGAAAGGGACCTGTATTGGGCATGTCAGCTGCATCGGTTTGTTAGGAGGAAGCTGTGCTCACGTAGAAAACCATCACTAGTAGGTAGTACTTGTGCAAGTTAGCGGGGGTATCTTCGCACATGAACATTTTTACCTGGTTCCCCGTGAGGTGAATATCCTACTTGTATGTTAGTATGGAGTACTAAGTTCAGACATTACTATTACTTTGTCCCACCCGTCTGTTTTCGCGTTGCCAACGTTTCCCTTGTCAAGGGCATTGCATAGATACCTGAGTAGATTTTAGTAATGTTCTGCTCAGTTTATGTAGGTTACACAGACATAAACGCGAGCGGAGGCAGCAATCTGGTGTCAAACTTCCATAGCAAGCGCCGTTCTTCGTCTCGTGGGACCTCCCGAAGCTCATCGGTGGGGGCAATGGATATTCCGCTCGCAGCGTCTTCAGACTTGATTGCTTCCTTCACTAGATCGTCGGAAGGCTGATTCGTAGACATGACTGCTCTGTCGCAAATCGGTCACACGGCAAGCTGAGAATGCATTGAGTCATCCTCAGTATTTATGAGGAGCACGGAACGAGTTTCTGATAGGGAAGAAGCTTGTTATCCCCAGTGGATGGGCGCGTCCATGCGGTGGCGCGATATCGGTTCCATAACTCACTTCGAATAGGTCAGGAGTCTCATGCCGGTATATTCTACCCTATAGCCCAAGGGAGCTGGGAGGGAATTGGGATACATGGCTGAAACTAGGCGAACGCCTCTCTCAATGCGTCTATAGCATCTGACACGAGCTGACGACCGACCGCCAGCACACTACACAGGGGAGAGGAACATCAACCCATGAACGAGTGAAGTACGTTAGGAAGCTTACCCTGTGACCCACACGGCACGGCACGATGAAATAATTTTAGTCGGGATGCATCACCAGACACAAACGACAAGAATGCGTACCGTCCATAGCCATGATGGGATGCGGTGCTGCCGGATAACATTTTACTTCGACGCTCACACCATTCTTCTTCAGCTTCTCGCCGTAAGCGATGCCTTCGTCCCTCAGGACGTCAAGTTCCGCAACCCCAATCCATGCCTTTGGTGTTTTACTTATCAAATCATCCGGAGCAAACAATGGAGAGCTTTCCCAGTTGGTCCAATCTGCTTCATTAGGAAGGTAGTTTCGCCTGAACCACATCATGCGTCCGGGGGATAGCCATGGGGTATTCTCGTTTTCGAGCCACGACTGGTGAGGGCTGCCCGTGGTAGAAGCTGTGTTATCCGTCACCGGAACGATCAACAATTGCAAGAGGATTGGAATGGGCGTTGGCAGTTGTGTAGCCTTTAGTGCAGCGATGGCAGCGAGGTTGCCACCACTTGTGATAAATCGGGTCAGCAGACAGTAGAGTAAGTAGACAGTGAAAATAACCTCGACGATCCGCCGATAGCAACGCGACTCGTGGAGATATTCAAGATGGAGGCACCCGCACCGACGATCCACTGGAGGGCTTCAAATGCGTCTTCTACTGCAGCAGGGAAGGGATTCTCTGGCGCAAGCCGGTAATCAACCGAGACCACTACACAATTTGCGCCTGTCGTTGATGGACTAAGTAGCGTATGCTATTCAAGCCGATGATCCCCACTCACGGATGCAGGCATTCGTCGCAAACGGTGTTTCACTAGCAATGTTTCCGAGAGTCCACCCACCTGCCAAGGAGGGGTAATGTCAACATCGACGCATACGAGTTAGCGTAACTCAAGGACGTGCCTCCATGGAAATACAATAAAACTGGCCATCCATCTGAAGGCGCATCACCAGGCGGAGTGAACACCCGTACCTTGCAGTGGCTCAGATCGTAATCCTTGGTCGATCCCACCTGCAGGGGTTCCGATGCCCCTGGTACAGCCGGACCAGAACGAATCGACGGATGCCATGGCAATGTATGGGGCGGGACAATGTTGATGACGTGCTCATTATGGAACTCAACGTACGCAGGGTCCAAGCGGGGTACCACAGCGGGATGAAGTGGTTGCGCCATGTTGGAGGTGTAGACAAGAAAGTGTAATAAGAGAGAATGCTGGATAGCTGATCGCGGAACGGCCGGTCCGATGGGAGATAACACACATCAGCAAGGCCCGGGTGCGCCTGAGCCTTCCCAGCCTTCCCAGCCATTGCCCTCGACGATGCAGACGTACACGCCTATTCATCTTGCGACAAAGCCGTCGAAAGATCGCCTGCTGGAAGAGTTCCGAGGAAAATCCCTGCATGCCGTCCGGACACCTGCGATGGTCATCGACAAGGCCATCTTCGCCAATAATTGCGGCAAGATGCACGCAAGAGCCAAGGAGTGGGGCGCCGCCTTCAGGGCTCACCTCAAGACTCATAAAGTAATGCCATTTCTCTAGAAGATATTCACCTGACGTGAGTACCACAGACCGTGGAAGGGACTCGACTCCAAATGCGATCCAGTGAAGACAAGACTGGGGCTGTGATCGTTTCGACAGTCATGGAAGCTTGGGAGGTCGTAGAAGCTGGCTTGTTTGCGGATGGAACAGTGAACGATGTCAGCCTCTCCGATTCTACGCTGAATCAACAGCCGTAACTGAATTATTGAAGCTCCTCTATGGCGTACCAGTCGCCATTAACAAGATAGCTGACTTGACGGCGCTTCGAGAGAAGATATCGGCTTCTGGAGGGTCACTTCGGTTGATAGTAGACCATCTAGAACAGGTCCGAGCATTGGAGGCATACCAGAAGGCGCAAGGCGTTACTCCGCTTTGGTCTGTATTCATTAAATGCGACGGGGGTCAAAAGTGAGTGCTAGGGGTTCTTCCCAAAAGAGGCGTACTTACCTTGACTAGGCGAGCTGGCGTGCCGCCTGATTCCCCGACAATGAAGGCGTTAATCAAAGCGAGTCTCACGTCGACTGCAGTAGAGATATACGGATTCTACGCACATGCTGGGAATGCTTACGGCTCAACATCCCGTCCTGGAGCAGAAACCTTCCTTAGTTCTGAGGTTGAGGTTGTTAACAAGGCTGCAGAGATCGCCCTGTCAATCCAAGCATCCCTACAGATCGAACGCGAATGGCCGAGGTTCAAGCTCTCCGTTGGATCCACACCGACCGCACACGCTGCGAGTGCTGAATCCAGGGCAATGTTGAATAGATTGCTGCACGGTGACTTGGAGTTACACGCAGGCAACTACCCGATGCTCGACCTCCAACAGAAACACACGACATTGGTCAACGATGAAGATATTGCACAGTGGGTTCTCGCTACGGTAATCTCGCACTACCCCGGGAGAGGTGTGGGCGGCAAAGATGAGGCCATGGTAGATGCTGGTGCGATAGCATTCAGCAAGGATACGGGGCCGTCGGGCGGATATGGGGACGTCAAAGGAAAGAACTGGCGGCTGGAGAGGATCTCACAGGAGCATGGTACCCTTGTAGCGGGAGATGGGGCAGACCCGGTCAAAATTGGCGAAGTTCTTGAGATCGTCGGCCAGCACGCCTGCCTCATTGCGGCGGCCTACCCTTGGTACTACATCGTCGACAGCCAGGAGGGCGATGGGCAGACCATTGTCGACGTATGGGTGCCATGGAAAGGGTGGTAGTCGTTGCTGCTGCCGTCCGCGTCGTCTTGTAAATTAATCCGGCAGTATTTGAATCTACCGCGTTCCATTGCCGCGCGCGTCGAGGACGGGTGAGACGAAGGACCAGGGTGATAATCCGCGTCGTCCAAGAATACTGACCGTGGGAACATTTAGTGAAGCGGGCCGACCTGTGCAACCTGAACTCATTTGGCTAATCGTCGACTGTGGCATGTTTGCTTTCGGCCACACCACTATCTAACCCTTTCCTCTGCCATGGCGTTCAACGACTACGACGCGGATGCAACAGAGCTGCTTGAAGCATATGGCACGCGCACTCTTTTTACAAGATTGACTCTATTCTCATGATTTCCCTGCAGACTTTCTCATGAAGTTCATTGTAATTGGTACGACCGCGCAACGGGCGCAGCAAATGGAGATTCTGACCAGCGTGAATCTTGTAGGAGAGGCGGGGACTGGGAAATCTTGTCTACTGCACCACTTCATCCACAATTCTTGTAAGAGCTTTACCTGCAATTGACGGTCACAATACCAATCTCGCAATCAAGTCAAGGATCACTCGCAACATACTATAGGCGTGGAGTTCTCAAGCCGAACTGTCAATCTAGGAGAGAAAAGAATCAAACTCCAGGTGAGCGACTAGAACTATCCCCTTCGCATTTCTCTCACACGAGTTCTAGCTCTGGGACACTGCAGGGCAAGAGCGATTTCGGTATGAACGCTTCTTTGACCAGAAAGCGCCACGGCGTTGCTAACGGTTACACAGCTCGGTAACGCGCAGCTATTATCGTGGTGCTGCAGGTGCTATTCTGGTATATGATATAACAAGGTTGGTGCCGGGTTGTGCTGTGCAACCACATAACCGAAGATATTCACCCATGCATTGTATAGCCGAGCTTCCTTTGTAAATCTATCTCGATGGTTGGCCGACGCAAAGGCTTTGGCAAGCCCACACCTTGTCACGGTGCTCGTAGGCAACAAAGCGGACCGAGATGATGAGAGAGAGGTGGAGTGGGCAGAGGCGAGTAAATGGGCTGCGGACAACGGTGAGTTTCCAGACTAGCTCCGTTTCGTCTAAAGCTTATCCCTCGGTAGATGTTCATTTTATGGAGACGTCGTCACTGACCGGCGATAATGTTGAGGCTCCGTTCTTGTTGGTGGCGAGGGCAATATTGTTGGCTATCGAGTCGGGCACGTTGGATCCAGAGAAGGCGGGGAGTGGTGTAAGTTATGGCGACCGGGCGTTAAGGAGAGTCAACAGCTCGAGTCGTCTTAGCTTTGGGAGTTTGAGTGGACGACCCAAGAAGGGAACGGTCCGCCTAAAGATGAAGAGGTGGATACCGGGGACCAAGTGCTGCTGAGGTCCTCGTGGCTGCCTATATTTTTGTGAGAGCTTCTTTGATAACTGTATCTTCTTATTCGCTGACGTGGCATTGGACACTCCAAGACTCGATTTTCCGGATAATACATCGCCTATCGTATCAGATTACACACTGCCCATTCGCCTATCCTATAATTCATACCCACTCATTTGCTATACCAGCTGCCACTCTCACTCCATTTGTGAGTCTTTTCATTATCTCCCATGAGTCTGTTTCAATCTGACACGTTAAAGTATAGCCGTTCCCACATATTACACTCTATTTTGTAGACATCTTTTGACTGATTTGTTGCCAATCATATTGGATACTGTATATTTTTGTGGATTAGTTAGTTAGAACCATGTAACTTGGAACCATATGCATGCCTTGACTATTTTTGATTCGAAATGTCGTTATGAGTGACTCACAGTGAAGGTCTTCTTCATGTGGACCATGACACGCCTTGAGGCTTCGGTTCTGGGTTCTACATACGGAGAAAGCCCATGGTGGCGTGCTCTCGCGGTAACTGCGGTAAGACGCCTGCGATTCTCTTGGGTTCTTGTCTGGGACCGTATGGAGCCGGTATGGCCAGCCAGCTAATCGCAGATCAACTGACTGATTCACCAGCATAGTGTCGAGATTTTCCCGCTTCCACGTAGGCTATATGATACTAGGCCAGCACTTGTCCGAGTTGCCTGCCAACTCACTGGGTCCCCCCTTCACAGAGTAGTACATTGCATACTAGCTGTGCGCTAGTCGGCTGATGACTAGCACCCCCGCTACGTCTGCTTCAGGTGTGTCTGTCGGTCTGAGTTGTAGTACCCTCTCCTCCTCCTCCCGACACTGCTCCAGTCGTTGGTTGAGACCGGTCCTCCTCGTCGCTGGGTCATGCTAGCAGCCTGCTGACATTTTATTCAACATGGATGACGATTCAGTGGTTTCGCGATCTATATCACTGTCTCTCTCAGCGCCGGCGGTCTCCCAGACGGTTTCATCAACCCCCCGCGGACTTTCTTCCCGTTCTGTGGACGCACCAGACGGGATTTCATTACCTGAATCTGCAGCCATCGTATGTCCAGAGTCATCTCCATCCGTAAATATATTGAGCTGATGACAATATAGCCTGACGGGCCCTCTATCACCTTTCCTCCCGGCGATTCAGCTTCACCCACTGCGAGCGTATCTACTATGTCTCATAGTACTACTGCCTCAGTTAAGCCGTCAGCGTCGTAGGTGTTTGTGTATTTGCTAGTCGCTTCGTCACTGATCGGCGCTCGCAGTCTGCCTGTAAAGAATCCTGCTGGTCCTGCGCTATCGGAGTCCAGCAGCTCTGATGGGGCTGAGCCGACGACGACGACACGAGCTCCTGCTCCGCCAGCGGCGAGTCCTGAGACTTCTACACGGCGATCCTCAGCGCCTGCTGAACCTGCGACCACAAGGCCTGTATCTTCAACGCCGCGCACAAACGGACAGACTCTTCCTGCACGTACGAGTTCTCCGACAAGTACAAGCACACCGTTGTCTATCGACGTCGTAGGAGCTAGTACGTAAACGAATCATTCCCTTATCCTCTTCCTAGACTGACTGTCTCCCAGTTGGCCAAGCGTCTTCGACGACCTCTGCAGTTCGACACATGATCACTCGTACTATTACTGATGTCCCAGAATCGACGTTTTCCCGACCCGTTTCCGTGACTGTAACCGACTCCATTAACGGCGAAACGTCGGTTGCAGCTCCACCTTTTGTCACCATCCTTAGTACTTCCACGGAACCAGATGGCTCGTCGATAACCTTCACGCACGTCATTGCCAATCCTACCGGGTTTGATTCGAATAACTCCGCAGTCAGTAACCAGTCGTAAGTCGTGTTTTTACAAGTCCAAGAGCATGAAAGCTCATACTGACGCCGATATCAGAGTATTGGATGACAGGGGCGCTGCCGCTGGTATTTTCGTCTCAGTGGGTCTTGTCGCCGCGTTGATTGCTGGAGTGATATTTGTGCTCTGTCGTCGGCGCCGTCGTAGACTCCGCCGCGAGCAATGGCTAGATGGCATCCAGAATCCCCGCCCACCCTCTGATCCGTTTACTGATCCACCCATGATTGGCGTCAACATTCATTCTGATAACACCACTCGATCAGCCGCTGGTAGAAATCTCCTTGACGACGAAGTGCGCTCGTCGATTTCGGCAGGACACCACCACCAGCCGATGTTCAGCCAGAGTCAGCCCGGTGGAGCATCAAACAGAGCCGGTGATAATCCATTCGGCGACAACGTGCATCCGCACACCAATATCGGTCTTGCGATCACCTCGGACCAATATGCGAGTCTGCATAGACAGTCAAGGCTGTCACTTGCTCCATCCACTCCTTCAATGTATCCCGCATCCTTGCCGCCATCAGACAGGGACGCCGACTCTGTGTATGAGCAAGAATCGAGCATCACTCATTTGAATCCTAACACTCTCGTCGCTCCGCAACCCGTTCAGCCGTCCGTAAAGCCTCTATTGACCCGGATCCCTGTACCACCACACCCACCTCCACAAGTGCCTCCGCGATCCCTCAGCAGACCCAAGTCGGCAAAGTTGTCGGATTATAATCCGTTCGGCACACCGCCGTCTTCCGTCTCGTCACACTCGAAACCTGCTACGCCCACGGATGATCATGGTCGTCCCTTGGTCCATATATGGGATGATCGTACCGTGACTCCCCCCGAACCCGAACAAATGTACGCCAAAAATCCAGCAGATATCTTGACCAGGCGTACTTTACTAGACGTAAGCGGTCATCCACTCCTCCATAGTACATAACTGACCTCCCCTTCATAGGTACGTCCAAAAGTAAACCGAGATACTTTTGGTGGAGTCTTGTCATGACATCAACGTTTACGGACTTAGATCATCAATCATCAATCCTTGAGCATAGTAATCATACACACTTTGTATTTCTTACATATACATGTTGTATACAAACAACCTCTTTATCGTTACCTTCCTCTGCCTTTCCTTTTGTTGAAAGAGAGCGTTACCGTAGCATTGCGTAGTTCAGCTCAATGCAGAGATCACTCTGGAAGTGTCGGTAACAAATCCGTAGCCCTATAAGGAAGAATGAATAGCTAAATTCACCTGTAAGAAGAGCATACTCACATTCCCAGCGTTATACAGCACATTCTCTAAACCGCCCTCAGGGGACGTCGTGGCAATTGCATCCTCGAGTGTTATGCAATTATACCCTCGGAAATACGCGTCCACGAGCGTGCCGAGTACGCACTGACGGCGAGCGTCAGAAATCTCAACAACGTAATTCGAAACCTCAATGAACCCCACCTGATCAGCATTAACCCCCGCAAAGAACAGCGTCTTAATCCCATTTTCCTCCAGCCACAAATCCAGAGCTGTCTGATACCCCCAAAGCCCGCTCATTCTATTCTTATGGATCCAGACATCCGTGCCTGCCTTCTCGCCCTTAATGTACTCCTCTTGCAGTGGGCCGTATAGCTCGGAGTTGTATTCGCCACGCATGAGGAGACGGCCGAATTTCCCTGGGAGTTGGCCCCCGAATCCACCACGCCCACTTTTCATGAAGCCACGGACGAGAGAGGGAGGGATTGTCTTGAGTTCATGCTCAGTGAGGCCCCAGTTGCTGGTATACAAAAAAAGATAAATGATAGGGGAGATAAGTGCTGATGTTGTAACGTACACCCAGAGTACCTTGATGCCCTTCTTCCTCGATGGTGGCACAATATTCAGGAGGGGGTCTACGCATTTCAATCCAGTTGGATGATCACGAAGGTCTGGATGTAAGAAGAAGCTGTACATTCATCACAGCCGATGTATCAGCCATAAGACCATTCTCAGAGGTACGTTACGGATACGTACTTCTGCATGTCAATGACCACGATCGCCGTTGCTGAGGTATCGATTCTAACCGTTCTTCCTCCATCTACAGGGATATCGACTTGATTCTCGCCCAACGCAGGATCAGCGTGGACTCCGTTCGTCTTCTCAGAACCGTTGGTGACAGTACCACCATTGGCCTGCCAGTGGTCACCGGGTAAGAGGTGGTGGGAAAGGGTCACATCGATGAGCCCAGAGGGATACTCCACCCAGAACGAGGCGCTGTTCCCGTATTCGACTGGGGCGGTGACAGGCGGGCGAGTGGTCATTCCGAGTATTGGAGTATCGTGGATGGGAGGCATATACTATCAGCTTTCCCTCCAGCCTGCGTGTGCGCCCATGGTTGATAGCGGGCTATATTTCCACACGGATAGGAATGCGGACGGAATTTGGTCTTGGGAACAAACTTGGAGTGACGGCGCGTGGAGAGATAACAATTTCTCCCATGGCGTCTCTCAGTGGGAAACATCGAGCCTAGAAAAGAAAATCAGTGGTTATAATGGCAAACGCTGACACTGAGCGCTAAGTGGCAGGATCTGCGGTAAAACAAAAAATTCACTACAGCATAAGTTGAACGTGGCCAGCCTATAGGAGCTTGACGGGAAGAAGAGCAGTTAGACGCCGGATTTCGATCATGATCGAAATGAACTCCGAGGATCAGGGGTGATCGAGTCGCAAGCCTGCATTCAACGTTCAACGTTCAATTTCCTCCACATCTCAAGATGAGTCCTTTCAGGCAAGAATGGCAAAATTGCCGAGGTCTCCCTTGCTTAATTGTAGGCTAGTAAGGGCTCAACCTCGAGGCCATCGACAAGATTATCCAGGTTCCCATGTCGGCGACCTTGGAAATGTCTTGTTCGCTCCAATCCCTAAACACATTCCACGTTCTAAACCCTCAGCGCCATCAGCCTCCGTGACCAGGGTGTTCGGCAATCATGTCTATTCCCCTGAGCACTCAGCTGCACTCAGCGAAGTCTAAATGGCATAAATGCAGATACACGTTTCAGGCCATGCATCCACCACTGATGGTGGCACTCCGTGCGGCGGGCAACGCTGCCCGCAGACAACTCCAGGCTTGTTTGCAGTTGGCCGGTGGAGTTGCCGAGTACAACTCGCGCATGCTAGGGTCCTTAGGGAATGCACGGAGGCACTGCATTCTTGGGGTGTAAATGTTGCACGGCAACGCCGCAACGATGATCACTAATTCGCAATTGCACTGCAAAATAAGGCCTTCGACATTCTGTCTATGAGCCGACCGGAATAAAGCATCGGCACGGTCCAGAAAAGCAAAAATATCAAGGCGTTCCGTCGCCGCGTTGTTTGGGCGGTCGTCTCCGACAGTCCAATACCACGAACTCCGAAGCGAATTAGACGGATCGGAAAATACATACGTCTGTATGTCACGGTATGTATAAATTGTACGAAGTACATATGGATGCAGGGGTGGCAATACCGTATAGGCTCCCAGTGGCAAGTGCTAGCGAACGTCCTCTACTAATACTATAAATGATAGAAATGATAGAACTGGTTGACCGACAAGTGGCAATGTGGTATATACAACAGCATGACATTGTCCGTGGTGATCGATGGAAATGTGAGTGAATTGGAAATTCGGGTTGAAGGCGGCCCGAGTCCCAGGTGCAAGAATGATGCTGAATCTCAAGAATGCAAAGTTGGGGGTGGAGGATGGGGGGAGGGGATGAGAGGGGTGGATGCAAAGGATATCATCGTGGGATGCGTACCAAGTGCCAGGTACGTTGGGAGCATAAGACATATGTGTATGTACGAGATAATAAAATAATATACATGTAGCCAGCATGCAACAGCCAAGCAACAAGAACAAGACGAGCAGAGTACGGCTTTGTTTACGGCACAAAATGCATCAAGGTCAAGGTCAATGTTCGAATGAAGATGAAGTGCAAGTGTGGAACTGTAAGTGTAAGTGTAGGGTCTATGTGTATATGGTGTCAGTAGCGTCAGCAAGAAATGGAATCGAAGGTGGGGGAGTGGCGAATCCGTGTGTGCGTGGTGGAATGTAGGTGGAATGGGGGGGATGGGTGAGCGAAGTAGAGTGAGTGGAAGGATGAGATAGGGAGGGTATAAGTACTGTAACATATTCTACATATCGTAAGCGTGAGTCTGAGTTTGCTTCATGAGGACAAAAACGAACGAAGAGGACGAGTAACCCGACGAACAGACGGCATACGGCATAAGAACGTCGCCTGGGAGGACTCAACACCCGTAGTTCAAGCTTCAAGTCCCTCGTAGCGTCGCTCCTTGCCAATTTTCATCAACCTCCTCTCCCCTCCCCCTCCTCGCCTCTACCCCTACTCCCACACATCCTCCTCATAGCGCCTCCCTACTCCCCATCCTGCTCCCCTCCCCGCTCCCCCCGGTACTCACATCCGGATTCCTCACTCCCAGTTTAAACCCCGGCCGCCCCGCGTCCTCCTCGTCCCGAATCAGCCCCGTCCCGATACTATCATCGTCGTTCATATCGTTGACGTGGAAGTATGAGTACGGGTCGTATGGGTGCTGGTGGTCGTCGTGGTAGTTGTCTTGGTAGGGCTCGTGGACTTCGTTCGGGCTGTTGACGATCGGGTCTGTTCGTCGGTCGACTGGGCGTACTCCTGCTCCTCCGCCGACTTCGGTACTAGGACCGCCGTCGTCACGCATTAAAGAGGGTAGTAAGTGTGTCTTCACACCATCATCGCCGCTCGAGACAGAGTATGTTGATGACCGACTTTGGCGCTGTGTCCCTGTCCCAGCACTCGCAGAAACAGGAAACGCAACAGGTGGACTCGAATCCGTCCTTTTCGTAAGAGACGTTCGCAGAGGATTCCGTGGCGGCACCGGGGGACTTCCGCTGACGCTATTTTGTCTGTTATACTCTCCTAGTAGCGGTTCGTAGCTCCCGCTCAAAGTATGGAGGTGTTGCTTGTCCCCATCTCGTTGGAATGACGGTGACGGAGATGTCGGATGCGTATACGTTGTTGAAGGGGATTGCGAGTGTGGATGGGGAGAGTAGAAGTAGGCTGCTCCAGCTGGCGGAGGCGGCGGGGATGCTGAGCCGGATCGGGCAAAGACACCCGCTATAGCTGGATCAACCCCACCTGGTAGGGATGTATTCGACGCATGATTGTACTCAGCATATGGATTGAACGGATCGGGATTATGTGAAGGCTGCGGTGGTGGAGGGAACGGATAAGCAGACGGAGGGGGAGCAGAGCCTGCATTTTCCAAAGACGAGGGCGAATCGTAATATCCTGTCGAACTTCTGGACTGTCTCTGCCCACCACCGCTTGATGAACTTGAGCCGGCGCCCGTTATGGCTGCTGCCCCACCGCCTACAGCGAAAGCAGTCGTTATCGCGTTAGGCAGGCCATGCATAGCATGCCCTGAAGAGGATCCTCCACCTTCCAACCCCCCGCCACCCCCGTCATCCCTATAAAAGCCCGAATTAGTCAACGAATTCATAGTCGAGTTTCTGTTCCCGTGCGTCAGCTGCGATCCGGACCGCGAGTTCGCGCTGTGAGGCAAATTCGACGTTTTCTCGTTGTTATTATGAGGGCCATCGTCGTCATCGTCGACTATCGGGGAGCGGCCGTAGCCGGCTGCGGCCAGAGTTGCGGAGACTGCCGTATCGTGTTCGATGCGCTGCGTGCGTCTTCGGCGACGCACTGCGAAGATGACGAAAAGGAGTATGGAAGCTGCCGCCAGCCCAACGAGGACGAACACCCCTGCGACCGCACCAGTGTTCGAGAAGAACCTATAGATGCGAAGCAAAGCTAGTTATCAGAAAATTTCCCTTATCTCGCGCGATGGAGAAGAAGCGCGATTATGGGAGTGAGCTTAAGATTAAGGATGGTACTCACGCTGAACCGACGTGGTTGCGACTGTCTGTGCCTAGGGTTGGGTTGAGGCCGATTGTAGTGGACGTGAGGGTTATGCCGTCGCTGTCTGTGATGGTGACGATCTGTGTGACTTGAGAAGGGGCGATCACTGAGGTCTGGCCATCTGCGTTGGTGCTTGTTATGAACACAGTTGATGAGAATGTTATTCTGTCAATAAATCAGTGGGGTATGTGAAGCGAAGTTGAGATATGACCTACGGAGGTGGTTGGGGAGTATTTGAGGAAGTTAGCGATGGTGGTAGGACGTTATTTGAGGATTGAGTAGTTGGAGGGGACGTTAGTGGAGGGTCAGAAGTCGAGCTGATTGTAGAGCTTGGCGGGGGAGGAGGCAAAGAGGATGGCGGTGGTGGATCTGAGGAGGGAGGCGGGGAAGGTGGTGGTGGCTCCGATGTCGGGGGCTGGGAGGTAGTTGGAGGCTCGGGTGGTTCTGAGGATGGAGGCTGCGATGTAGGAGGTGGAGAGGTCGGGGGCGAAGTCGGGGGCGGGGAGGAAGGAGGAGACGAAGGTGGTGGCGAGGACGGCGGGGGAGAAGGTGCTGAGGTCGGGGACGTTGTTGTAGTCGTTGTGGACATGTCCGACGAGGGATCGGACGTGGACGTGGTGGACACGAGGGACGGCGAAGGGGACGGGGTTGGCGTTGAGGCCGGCGATGAAGCCGGAGAGAATGTCGAGGTCGTTGAAGAAGCCAGTGAGGACTCTGGTTGTGAGGCCGTGATGGAGGTCGTTGAGGAGGACGTTGAAGATGACGTTGAAGTAGCCGTTGCTGAGTCGGAGGGCGTTGAAGACGGCGAGGAGGGCAGCGAGGACGACGTCGAGGACGAAGGCGAGGATGGTGTCTCAGAGACGGCGGGCGACGAGGAAGAGGGCTCTGAGGACGGGGACAACGGCGGCGGGGGACTGGTGGAGGGTGTCTGTGTGCTAGATGACATAAAGAGGTGAGTAGCAGAAAGAGAGAGGAAATGCGACGGACATTTGGGTTCAGGCAGAGCAGAGGATGCACGTTCTGAACATAAATTAGCCGTGAGACTTGACGTCAGACCAATTGCCCTATCCCCTTGCGGCTTCTCCCTTGCGTGCGAACCACCATGATAGTCACAGACTCGGACACCACAAAGCTCGTGCACAAGCCTTCTCCAGATTCCCCGCCCCCGCCCCCGCCCACAGCCCACCCAGCGTTCGACATCGCAGAAGCACTCCCGCTCCCCGTCGCAGGCGGCGAGGAGCCTCCCCCAGAATTCACCCCCTACGACGCAGAGTTCTTCTTCATCGACAGCGACAACATCGTCTCGCACGACCCCCACCTCAACACAGACGGGGAAGCCCTCTACCGCTTCCTCCTCTCCCAGTCATCCACCCCGCCCACATACCGCATCCACTGCCACGGCTCCCACACCGAAACCCGCTCACGATGGGTCACGCACGAGCACCACGGAAAGTACGAATCAAGACACGAATCCTACTCGGAGACAATCACAGACTTCGATTTCTACATCGACGTCCCCCAGTCTCTCCTGGGCACTGACGCCGCCGGCCCTCTCATGTGGTCAGTCTCAGACTCGGAACCGTCCTATCGTGGATCCATGGTGCGCCAAGTCCTCATCCCAGATGGCTTAGCAAAGCGGAAGCGCGAGGGCACTGCTGAAGAGATATCCGCCCACAAGCGCTGGTCATCTGAACGAGCCTCGCGCGGTATGCCACCGTGGATGACGGGCGTCCCCTCTTTCCAGTGGACAGAAGGCACCCCAGACATTCCTAATGGTGCGCCACGCTCTTCAATCTTACGCTCATCCAGGACCCTACGCGAATGGGCCGACGACTACTGTGCCAGCGACAAACTCCTCAAAGAATTCGTCTTTGAAAAAGTCCTGTACGGCTGGAATGTTGCGTCACTCTCGTCAGCCATACAGTCTGCCATCGCAGCCTCGCCGTACTCTGGCCACATCAAAGTCACGATCTCTACGCGCGCGTCGAAGATCATAGTCAGGCCAGATAACCAGCTTTCGAGGTTGCTCACGAAGCGCTGGTTGAGAATCATATTGTGGATTTTAATGATATATCCGTTTGTGTGGCTGTTCAAGAGGTTCCATCCGCGGGGTGGAGGCAGATGGGAGGTCTGTGGCGGCGCGTACGCGCTGAAGAGGTGGGTGCCCGTAGATGCAGACGAGGATATGGGTGCAAACGAGGCCCGGCGCGACGAAAAGCAGCCTTATGTACCGGAGGCATCGACATCAGCGGCGTCTCCTTCTGAACCCTTGCCACCGCCAGCCTTTCACACACTACAGTTGTCCCCATCCCCACTCGTCGACTTATCGAACGCGAACTATACCCCGCTCCCCTTCGCGCCGGCCCTCCGCACCTCGCTATCCGACCCAACGAATTCCATGTTCGCAGATCTGTCCCCTCCATTCGCGTCGTCGTCGTCCAACCCTTACCGACCCAATCCACATCAAAGTCACCCGTACCCATCTAATCCACCCTACCCAATCGCCTCTTTCTCCGGACAGCCCCAGCAAGCCAACGCACCGCGCATCATTAATACCCCCTCTGGTATGCGCAAGCTCGTAGGAACGCGAGAGGGAGAGTGGTTCCGCGCGTGGTACCCCATCATCGTGCGGGCCGTCACGAATAGGTATCAAAGCTCAATTCCCCTGACTGGACCTGAGGGCCTCACTAGTGGTTCGGTTATTGGCGCGGGGCTGGATGGCTGGTAATTTGTTAGTAGATGGCGCGCGGTAGACCGTTAACAATTAATATCTTGTGTTGACTCTTTTTTGGGATGGGATGGGGACTACTCCTCATTACTTATGTATATTATGATACCTGGATATCTGTCACTACTTAACCCTCACCTCATCATCGAATATACTCTGTTTGACGGGACTGACTCTCCTACTCTCCTCTCGGTTCAACCACTAACTACCCGATCTGGATATACACTGCCCATAAACGGCCCCCTACCAACGGGCAACCCACACCCACCCACCCATGTGCCTCGGCTCCGCTTCCCGTCTTCCTGTGCGACGTTCGAGCCGCATTGGCGAATAATGCATGCGCCATCAACACGAGTGCATTCGGGCTATGTGTAGGCTATGTTTGGGCTATGTTTTTTTGCAAGAAAATGTTTATGTGATATCAACTCGTGGGTTAACTGTGGAGGCGACGGGAGCCGTACGTAGTACCGCCGCCGTTACGCAGTACACCATTTCCTTTTGAAATTTGAAAGTGAATGTAATTATAAGGCTGGATGATTTATTCTGGTATTCCTGGAGTACTGCTCGGAGTACTTTTGATTGAAGATTGAAATGTCGGTGCGATGATGCTGTGTCTTGGGTTGGGGCAGCGCTCCTCATGGCGTACACAGGACAGCAAGCGACCGGTGCCGGTACGCATCTCCTTTCTGCGAATGATATTTGTATTAGTATTGGTATTCGTATTGGATAACTAATGAAGGCGAGGCCAGTGCCAGTGGGAAGCCGGGCCCCATACCGCGTACCGCATGCTTGCTGCGAGTTTACGTTCATTCGCCGCCATTTTGTTCAAGCTATGTGGAGTAGTCACTAATCCAATGACATGTTATACGTCGCCCTTGTTGTCCGGCTCCGTCGCTCCTCATCGAGCAGCAAATTGTCCTTGTTTCCAGCTCTCAGAGGTTACGAGTGATCGTGGATGCCTAGAATACATGATCCCAGCTACACGATGCATCAGTCAGATAGACTTTGTACCTGGCAGGTTTGTACGGCAGTTTATTTTCAACCATTGGCTCCGGCTGCCCTGTGACGATCAGCTTCTCACAGACACGCCCAAGACATACCCCAGACTCTCTCACACAGACTTTTCAACAAACCCGCGCCCACGCGTAACCTAACGACCTGCGCATGATCCATATGCCACTGCCCAATCACTACTACATGACGAGTGGGTGACGAAAATAACTCGTCATTGGGGGCTTTCAACTGCTGTTCTCCTACCGTTGTGCTCAAGTTTTGCTGTGGATTACGCCCAGGCTGTGGGTCTTCTGTTCCTCCGTTAGGCGGTCGGCAGCGTTGTGGAGTGGGCAAGAAACGAACATTGGGGTGGGGAAGACAAGGGCCTCGCGATGGGAATACTAACTTCCTAATTTGGCCTGTATCGCAGCGATCGGTTACCACAACCGTGACTGAACGTAAGGAAGGGAGCACCGATGAATGACCCAGATGATAGAAAGTGAAAGTGTAAATGCTTGGAATGAAGGATGTAATAATAACAAAGCGAAGTGATATAATGGGTAATAAATTACATTTTTTCTGCAAACGAATGAACATCCAGGAGCACGCTGTCCGTATAATTGCCGAAAAGCTTGTGGACAATGTAAGGGAGCGAGAGTTAAAATGCCAACCGTCCGACAGGCAAACAGCCCGTGTCACCTGCGTTACCGTCGTCGATGCCATTGTATGGCTTTCCTTACAATGTGTTTATCCACCTCTAAGAGATCCGTCGACTCGCCCCGTGCCTGCTTCGCCTCCCTAGCCATCTCCACCTTCTGATATCTCTCAGCCTCAGAAAACTCATCCCCATCCAACAGCGCCAACGCCGTCTCCAAAAACCATAAGTTTTTCTTGATGAAATGCACCACAATCGTGCCCCCAACGCGCTTATCTTCGTACCGCTTCTTGCGCCCTTCGCGGTGGATCATGGCATACTCCGGTGACATGGGGCTGCCTATATATTCCGACAAGCATGATATGGTAAGTCACCATAGAATGCAACGGGGACAGAAACACGGACCTTCACGAAGCATAGACATGTCGCTGCCTTCAACCAAAGCCTCCACGCTCTGGGGCGTCGTCAAGTCCGGTATCGGTGGAGCATACCGTACACCAAACGTGGAGACGCTCGAATGGGCCCACGAGGGAGGCGTAGGAGCAAACGCTCCATTGACCGAAAGCACTTCTTGAGGGGTCTTGTCCAGGTAGGAAGTGATGCCACGTTTGACGCGTGTCGCTTCCGAGGGGAAGAGGAAGCCATGGGAGTAACTGCAAATCTCATATTAGCACAGGAGGCAACAAGGCACGGAGAGATTAACGTACACGGTACCGGAGCGCGGATGATCGTATATCCAACAACGCTCGCTGACCCATCTGATCTTGTTGGCCCTCGGGTGCAATGTCATCCATTTAGCAGTCTGCTTGTCCTCTGCGCCTTTCGTCATTCCTTTCACCGTAGGGTCCTTAGCTATCCAATCCACCAAACTCCAGCTCAAAGCATAGAGCTCTCCAGCCATGAACCTGTTCTTCACTAAATATCCCCAATATATCAAAGGGTCATTCGGCGAAGTCGGCCGAGGATACCACAGCAACGACGTAGTGGGCTCCGTTGAATATGCCGCAGAAGTGCTGGAGTTATAAGACCGCTCAGTGGGCATGGTCGAAGTAGACGAAGAAGTGGGAGACGACAGTGGGGACGATTGTGGACTTTGGTGCAGCTGCACCCGTAATCGCGCTTCCAGCTCGGCTAGCATGACGAAAGAGTCATCGTCAACCTTGACAACGTAGTCGGGTCGCACCCATGACTTGTAGCGGCCGGAGTTCTGATCGTCCCAGGCAGCTTGAGGGTCGTGGGATGCCAATGGTAGAGGTGATGTCGAGTAGTTGGAGTACGAAAACTGTGGGGCGGACTGCGAGGTGTTGTAGACAGGCGGAACCCAGGCATTGATGGAAGCCCATGAAAAGAAAGTGTGCGTCTTCCCACCGTTCATGTTCTCCGGTACCGGAAGGATGATAATGTCATTGTAAGCTAGGTAACCAGCCAAAAATATGTCAGGTCAAGATCTCCCGGGAGTCACGAGACGGCGTACCTTCCATTTCAAGGCGGATGCGACGGTCCCAGTCTTTGCGAGGTAGTCCGAGGATGAAACGCACAACCGTGCGGGAAGTGCTGGCACCGCCATCGCCTTCTCCAGCGCCGTCCCTGCTGCGCGGATGACTGGCCCATGTGGTGCGCACCAGCATTCTCCGCTCGAAGGCAGAGTCCATCGAAAAGACGCCGATGAAGACGCCGGCAGGAGGAAGTTCATCAAGGTCTGGCGGGGGAAAGATCTGACTGGTGGATTCGGATGTCGATGGAACGGGGTAACTCGACTGCGGAGGAGATGCGAGGTCGGGAGGGTTGGTGGATGTGGAGGGTGCTGCGCAGTAAGCTCGCCACGGCAATGGCTCTTTATCTGGATTTAGTATGTATATTATAAGTAGAGTTATGGAAATAGCGAGCACGGAGAGGAGAAGGAGTGTCAGAATCTAAGCACAGATCGATTGAGACACGGGTACCACGCGCTAGAGAAGACTGCAGTACTCACGATAGTAATGGGCTGTCGTGGAAAGAGTGGATGTCGAAGGACGGCCCGTGCCCATTTCCTCAGAGTTCTCGCCCACTGTCTACCTCGTCGCCGCCGGCGCCGGCGCGTCAAGGGGGCGGCGCCAATGGTCCACCATCTCCTATCGTCTCTCCATTGGACTCTGCTACTCGTCCTTAGTAGCGGTGATTCGGGCTCGCTCTCGGTATCTGATGTACATGACGAGGGCGCTAGTGACGAAAAATACTGAGGCAACGGTGAGCCGGCGCGAGAGGGGATAGGTGTCGTCGTCGCCGTTGATGATGCTGAGGCCCGACCCATAGGAGGAAAGAGAAACTCTGTCCGCGGCGAGCCTGTTGCGGTCGTGGAAGCGAACATTCTCGAGCGCGGGTGGTGGTGATGGGGTGGCCTGTGGTTCTCCGAATCGTTGCTCGATGAGCTATCGTAGTCTTCGAGACGGGGAGAAGGCAAACGCGGGCTTGAAAGAGCCATGTTGATGGAAAACGACATGGCCGTCGGGAGAAAGAGCGTGAATGAAACCCACTGCACTGGGCCAAGGTTCGGTTGGTCTACTGCCTACGAGGTCTTGGGCTGGGCTGGAAAGAGTCGCACGATGCCAAATTAGCGATTACTTGAAGAGTAAATATGATTGAAGTCGACGCCGCGGCCGCACGCCTCTGCAACCTGCGCAAAGCTACACTCAAGTGCGCTGTCGTGGATGAATGAATCTGAAATTGAAGACGGTCAGGGCTCAATTCACCGCCTCACACTCCAGATACCACGTGCATACGAGTCGCATGAAACTCGAACATATAAAACAGAGCACAGGAGATATCTAGAGAAACGTATCACTATCTGTTGATATAATACACTACGTGGGCAGCAATATCTTGGTTCTATAAAGGTCGGTGTCGCAGGGAATGCACCAAACTCGACTGCGCTGGCAAGCTCTCGCGTAGCGGCCACCTGGACTAGAATCTTTGTCGAGGTTGCTCTGAAAGGCTCTATGAACGAGGAGGAGAATGCCATTAGAGTCCACAATGCAGACATCGGTTTTCGCAAGGCGCTGTTCTCCGCAAATTCGGAAGGGTGTACCCTCGGTGCATATCACGGCACCAGTAGCAAATGAACGGTCCATCCAGTGCAGGAACTTGTAGCTGCTGTTTTGCGTGGCAGAGTCTGCATGAGGTCTCGTCAGAACTTCATTCGCCACGGCGAGTGCTAGGGTCGGCCCGAAGAAGGCAACGCCGAAACTGGATTTCAGCGTTGTGCGCAAGAGTTTGGCCTTAGTGGTCCTAAGCCTTAAGGGGGAACATCGATGTCTATATCTATATCAGGCAGGGGTGCTCGAATTTTAGCTACGCGTCGCGGCGTTGCGGCTCGACTCATATAAGGCTTTCTGTATCTTTGTTTCATCAGACTAGTACAAGCCATTGCCATACACCTTCTTCCAGCTCGCCCGCTCGCCCACAGCATCCCAGAATGCAGCCAGCTTACTTTGTGTGGCAGCGCTCGCGCCCTCTTGCCGCTGTAGCTCCGAAAGGTGATAATCTTGCGGCAATTTGAAGCCGTTTCCAACGCGATTCTCCAGCTTTGCTATGGCAGTATTACCGTCGTCGCTAAAGGATCCACCTGCGAGTTTGATCATCCGGGCCAACCAAGCCATCAGATGGAGGTCGGCAACTGATAGTTGATCCCCTGATTGATTTAGGCGTCAGCGCCCTACGTCCAAAAATGACCCTTTAGTTCAACAATCTCACCTAGTACATACGGTCCAATCATCTCCTTGCTTAACATGCTCATCGACTCCTTGAGCTTGAGCTCCCATGCAAGCTTTGCCCTAGCGAAATATTCATCCCGCTTTTGCTTCAGCTCGAGGTCTAGCCCACTACCCGGCTTGTCAGCGTGACTGAAGATCTCCAGGTACGCATCAACCTCGCTCTTCCTTTGGCGCCACAGGCCCTTGACTTTCTCAGAGACATGGACGTCGCCACCCTCCGAATCAGAAAGCAGCTGAGACAGCGTTAAGTGTTGCCCCGTGAGTAACGGAAGGACCTCTTTCGATAGTGCCAACAGAGATGCGTCGTCGGTGGCGTCCAAGTACTTGAGGGCGGTTGGATCAGCATCGTCGCCATGCAAGATATCATTTATGATTATTCGCGATGTCGACGCGAACGCGATGGTAGCTGGAGTCAAAACCGGGGCTGGCAACGCGGATGTAGTATGGGTGCGGGAGAGTGCAGAGCGGGATTTGTCCAGGAAGTCAGCAATAGCCTGCCAATGATCTCAGAACCCTGGACTGTGTTCCACCGAGGATAATCCCGACGTACCACTGAATCAGTGATGGCTTTATATCGACTCTCTACATCTTCCGATAAAGTCTTTTGAAGCGGTACAATTAGGGTAGGGACGGTCGCTAGAATCGCCAACAATAAGATGATACATCGACATCGTACATGACTGATGAACACGTACCTTTGGGATTTAGGCGTAGAAAAGTAGGCTTGAAATGTTCTCCCTTGCCTGAGTGAACGATCGTCAGCCGCTCAAGACTTGACAAATGTATACGGTTATCCGACCTATATCAACGACTCTGAGATCAAGCTCATCGCGTCCGTATCCCTTTTCTTCGCTGAAAAAGCAGAAGATCATCAAATGGAACGTCCTGGAAGCAGTCCAAAGCAACTTACAGTGCCAGTAAAGCTGTGGGGAACGATGAAACTGATAGATCGCTGATTATCTTGTCTGCTCACCTACTGCAGACCAGGGATCTTCAGTCGAATAGTACAAAACGGCTTTGGGGACTTGGGTCGACATTGTCGTGGTTCTATTCCAACCCGAGCGAATGCAGGTCCAGACGTCATTATGGTGGAAAGAGGGATCTTATCTTATCTTATCTATCTCTGCGCGCACCACGTGATTGGACTCCTAATTAACTACTAGAAAGTTCCTTGCCTCGCGAAAGCTGTAGCACACGCTTTACCAGCGACTATCCCTACGATGGCCACCCTCAGGTACTGCACGTCCTCGGAATTGGCTACATTCTTAGAAACTAACGCGTCTTAGACACGAATTCTACGAAACTGACGACAGATTGACTCTTTCTGTCTTTGATCGCGGGGCCGATCCCGAGCAAGTCAAGGTCGACTTCGAACCACGCAAGGTTTGGCTTTCGTGCACATGTTCTCATGGATCGAATGCCTCACCCCTTGGCTCAGCTTGTCTATACTCATGGCGACAAATCATTAGTGCTGCAACCCCTCAAAGGGCAGATTGATCCCAGCGCGAGCACTTTCACAGTAGGCAAAGTCAAGGTGGAAATACGTTTGGCGAAGGCAGCACTCGGAAGATGGGGTGCACTGGTAGGCGATAGTCCCGATGGTGAGTCGTATCGGTAAGCTAGAGGAAGAAGGCACTCATCACTATCGACATCGACAACATACCAGCTCTCGCATCGACCTCGTATATAGCCCCTACTCCAGCGCCATCGGCTGTCAAAAAGAACAAGAAGAACTGGGACGGTATCACGACGGAAATCCTGACATCCGAAAAGGAGAAGACCACGGATGAAGACCCTAATGTCGGAGGCGACGCGGTCCTCAATGGCTTTTTCCAGAAGATCTTCGCCGACGCCGACGAAGACACCAAGCGTGCTATGATGAAGAGCTTCCAGGAGAGTGGTGGCACCACTTTGAGCACAAACTGGGAAGAAGTAGGCAAGGCCCCAGTGGAAGTCAAACCACCGCAGGGCGCTGAGTACAAGAAGTGGAATTAGGCCTTGATCTTGTGCTTCAATTGCTATTTGTTTTCAATCACGCGATCAATAAGCTTTGAGTGAATCATTACCTTCTCATCTACCATCATGTCTCGATTAACTCTCATCGTGGCCGCAACTAAAAACAATGGCATCGGCTATAAAGGACGTCTCCCTTGGAGATTGCCAAAGGAAATGGCATATTTCAGCCGTGTTACGACTCATGCGCCAGACGGCCGCGTAAATGCAGTGATCATGGGGAGAAATACTTGGGAAAGCATTCCATCCAAATTCAGGCCTTTACCCAAACGTACAAACTACGTGATCAGCAACAACGGAGAATATTCCTTGTGAGCATAGCGAAGGATTGTATCTTAAACTCCCCCTCTGACGTTGGACGTCAATAGAAACGCGCCGGCGACGCTACGCAACGATTTAGAAACCGCGCTGGGAGAAGCTGCAACGTCGGAAGAGCACCATCGCGTGTTCGTTATTGGTGGAGTTACGCTTTACACGCAATGCCTTGCGCTGCCGTCTTCCTCACCCACATTCGTTGATCGCATCCTGCTTACGCGCGTTTTCTCTCCGGCATTCGAAGAATGTGATACATTTATGCCGGATATTCTGTCGGAAAAAGAGCAAGAGGGAAAGGAACGATGGGAGCAGACGTCACACGCAGAGTTGTCTAGTTGGGCTGGATTCGACGTGCCAGAAGGAATACAGTCGGAAAATGGTGTAGAATACGAATTCCAAATGTGGATTCGTGTAGTATGATAGATGTGTCCATCCATAGATCTGTATATTGGCGTCAGGTGCCTATCCTTGCCGCTAGACGAGTAGTCGATATTCAGTCAGTAGCGCAAGGGAGTCAAAAAAGCAGACATGCACGCACCTGCTTATGCTTGGGGTTCTTTGAGCAAACAACATAGACTCTCCCCTTCCTCTTCACGACATGGCATCCATCGCACATCACTTTCACTGACGACCGTACTTTCATGCCCCGGGTTAGAGGCGGCTCGGCTCGGAGCGCGGAGAGGGCGGCATTATGGGAGTGAGGATGATGGTGGTGGGTAGCTGGCAGTCCAGCCAGACGAACTCGGGCTATCAATGGTCTCGTGGAGGCGAGCAGTGCCCTTAACATTGTTTGCGAAGAACTTCGGTGGTTGAGAACGAGGAGGGTAACGAAGCTGCTTGTTCTTGTTTGTGCAGCAGATCACCCCTTTAGCACTGCGCGACACTGAGGTACGCTTCACTTTTTGTCTCATTCTGGTGCTTCGACGTGGAGGTCGCACCCTCGTACCCGATGTACTCTTTGGTGACTAAAACCAGCCGAATTTCAGCACTCTGGAGCACTAATTTTGAAAGCTGATACACGCGTCGCGTCTTCAATCTATGCCACTCGTGTCGCTTATCAAGTGCTGCAAATAACTCAAGTTCTCTATCGATCCTAGGCGGGCATAGATCGCGTTCAGCTGTTGATTTGTTCACGAACTCCCACACCATACGGTTACATAGATCTTGAAGCCTTGAAGCCTGACGCGTCTGACGGTATGCAACCACGACGTACTATCTAACCAGACTGATTCAGACATTGAGATCTGCGTTAGAGTTCTTCCATCGATCTCACTATGGGCCTGTGGCACGGGTTTCCGCCCACGAAGTGTGGTAACTCTCGTCTTCGGTCCTAAAGACACCTGAGTGGCCACTATTTTGAGTGGTTAGCTTCAGAGTATTCCAACCTTGAGGTTGCGGCGACGAAACTGGGATAGATGAGACTCTTCGAGATGCCCTCCCATGGATAGCGGGGCGAATCAGAACCCGCACAGAGGACCTTAGCCCGAGCAGGAGCCCTCAAGTTTGATGGTAGGTACTCGGATCGACTAAGGGTACATCTCCCGAATCTCTTCCTCTCAGAGCTACTTCAGCGGAGATTCCTTTATCCAAAGCCAAATATACTACGGTCGCCCACCATGTTTCCCATCAAGGCAATCTGTGAGGCTTGGTATTAACTCCAAGCATGAGGAAGCGTAAATATCCAGGACCTTCTGAACACTTCCAGTAATCAGCATCATATCGGATGTCCTCGACAATATAGACCAGAAGTATGTATTGGTCTCGATCCGAGAAAACATTCCGAAGACGCTAGCGCTGATTCTCCGGCATCGGTTTCACTGTCCAAAGATAAAGTGCCTTCCCAACCCCATCTATATCTATTATTGATCTACCAGACACGAACGTTTGAAAGACAGTGACATAACTTACGCTCAGTCAGGTGTAAGAAGGGATCAGATAAATGGGAGGCAAATGGTGACCAATACACCCGTACATATAACTCTGCTAGCAACGTATAACACTCAATTTACAAAGGCTTCATCTAGAAGAGCGTACTACCGACTCCCGCTGCCGCCGCCCGCAGATCATCTATATTAGGTAAAGCGCCCTTCGGAACGGGGTAATAGGCGCCGACCTCAGCTTGTACGCCAGCGACGTGTTTAATCTCCTCGACGCTCGTCGGCTGGCTTCACGACGACGCCCACAACGAAGCTGACCACGAAGGCCACAACGCTCCCTGTATCTCATAGATGGTCCACCTCGACAATAGACTCGCCGTCGTTCTCTTCATATGCACCCTGCTTGCATTCGTGGTAGAATCGCAGCTGACCCAGGTGAGTACCCACGGCCCTCGCTTCTCTTCGTCGTGCCTGACAGTGGCGAGTAGTATGTGCAGACGACCTGCAACTATCGCCATCCCTTCTTCATATTGTGCGTTTCATAATTTCTGCCACATATGGCGACATGCCTAACTTGAACAGCTACATCGTGCACTCGTCCTTCTCTCTTATCCTACCAGCCCATATGCTCTATTTCATGGTGACTTCGAACCATTCGCCATATACCCTTCTGAATGGGCTTTCCCTCGCCATCAAGGATCATCTAGAACCTATCCAAGCTTCGGCTTCGACAACGTTCCCCCGGAAAGCCTTCTTTCGGCTAATCGCATTCTTGACTGTGGGCATCACATACCCAGGGCTACTATGGTTCGCAGCTATATCGATGGCCTCGTGAGTATCTCTGTCTCCTTGACCTATTTGTACCATGCAAACTGTATTATCTTTAGGGTTAGCGATGTCACAGCCATCTGGAACACAAACGCCTTCTTTGCGTACATTCTCACCGTTAAATTATTCCATCTCAAATGGGAACCTCGACGGTTAATTGCCGTTCTAATCGCGACGCTTGGTACTCTCGCTGTCGTTTATGGAGGCGTCACAACAAGCCGGGATGAAAACATGGAATCGCTTAACCTTCCCTCGTTCAAACCCAGCGCACCTCTCATCGGCGATCTCTTGACCCTGGTAGCGTCTGCTGGGTATGGCCTCTATCAGGTCCTATATAAGAAATACGCTGCTCTTCCTTCTGATCCAGAGCTTGTTGCGGAAGGCTTATACGAGGCCATATCCGACTCTGAGGATGCATCACATGGCGAAGCTTATACTTCCATGACAGACTCCATAACAGACAAGGACGATATGGTCTACCCACCTCCTTTCGGGCTGTATCCAAATGCGTTAACCTCTGCTATCGGGTGCTGTACCCTCGCATTGTTATGGATCCCCTTGCCAATATTGCATTACTTTGACGTTGAGATTTTCGCTTGGCCTCCGGACTGGGCAACTACGTTCGCTATCGCCGGTATTGCACTGAGCGGGCTCATCTTCAACGCAGGTTTCATGGTATGTCCGACCAGCCCTTATCTACCCATTTGAGTAGTTCTGACGCACTACTAGATTCTTTTGGGAGTGTGGGGCCCGATCATCACTTCTGTTGGTAACCTGCTTACCATCGTGCTGGTGTTCTTCTCGGATGTTATATTTGGTGCCGGGATTCAAGCCGTAACAGGATGGAGCCTTGTAGGATGCGGCGCCATCATCGCTGCTTTTGGTGTGCTTGCATATGACATGGCTTCATGATCATGTTCCGGACCCCATAGCAATCCATTCTCGGGCGAGCAACGCTGGTGCTAAGGCCCTTCAGCTCGATATACACGTATGTTTTTGTTATTTACCTTGTCATTGCGCATGTGACCTTGTATGTTGCACGCGATGCGCTGCCAAGAAGCTGTATATTCTCTGCCTAATCAGATCATCAATACTGATGCAATAAAGACATACCGAAGAGTGACTTGCTTCTTCATCCAGTGGTATCTGTTGGCGCTCACTGGTCAGCATGCCTTCTTCCACTATCTAGTCGCTATCAACCCCTCTCCACAAGGACGCTGCCAGGAAGCCATGTTCCAGAAGTGATTCCCAGAGAACCTCTTGTTCGCATGTTGCAACCGTGGGTAACAGCACACCGAATGTGCTACTCCGAATGCAAAGTGAGTTTGTTTGTCATGCATTAGACCCATTCCTCTGGCTGATGAGACCACCCGTCATGATCATACGTCGAGATCTTATCAGCAATACCTGGAATGGTGGTGATCCTTGCCCAATTCGTGGTGTCCGTTTTGTGACAGAAGTCGGACTGGGAGGGTTGTTGTCATGTGCGATGACTCTTTCGCGGGATGAAGTGTGCTTGCGGTGAAGTTTCCCGGTGCACATTGCTATCATAACGGCGAACAGCCATCTTCGGAAGCACGCCTGCAACAGACGATATTCGCAATTCCTCCTCAGTCCATATGCCTCATGCCTTGGCACACGTCCGTATACTCTCAACGATAGAGTATAAAATAGCTTCAGAGTTCTTCACCTAGTCCTTACACTTCTCCAGTGTTAACCAGAAGCCTCTAACCAGCCCACTTCTTTCAAGATGCGTCTCTTCTCTGCTGTTCTTGCATCCCTCGCCATCTTGGCTCCTGCCTTTGCCGCTCCTGCTTTGAAGACGGTCGAGAGCTTCGCCGGACAGCGCAACGATGGTAGTTTCATCGTCAAGCTCAAGTCTGGCGCATCCCGAAGTGGGCTCCTCAAGACCCTGGGCGTCAACGCAACCCACGAGTGGGACGCAGCCCTCAACGGCTTTGCTGGTTAGTGCATGCATACAAATGCGCTACCGAGAGACAAACGCTGACGCCAAGTTTAGGTAAATTCTCGGAGAAGGCGTTGAATGCTCTGCGCGCCTCCCCTGATGTCGAGTCCATCTCAGAGGATGGTATCATGCACACATTCGTCACCCAGTGAGTGACGACTAGCGTCCATCCACCCGGACGCACACTGACCTGGGCGCAGGACCAACGCTCCTTGGGGACTGTCTCGGTTGACTTCCGCGACCCGCCTCACCAACACGAACGTTGCCGCATTGACTTTCACATACACCTACGACGCCTCCGCTGGCAGTGGTGTTGATGTCTTCGTCGTCGGTAAGCACTTTCCACTATTTCATACGCTTAACAACGGCTAATTCAAATTCGTAGACACCGGTGAGATACACGTTAACTCCATTTCATGCAATTTGAAACTGACTATGCCTCAACAAAGGTATCTTCACCAGCCACGTAAGTCCATATGCTTCGAAAGCTGCCTTTGCCATTGCTCATCGTAATTCTAGTCTCAGTTCGGTGGCCGTGCCCGCTGGGGTGCTACATTTGGACCTTACGCGTAAGTCCTATTCGACCTCGACTGCTTGGTTCTATGTACTCATCGATATCACCGCAGCGATGCTGACGGCAATGGTCACGGTACTCATTGCGCGTAAGTTCAAAAGCGGGTATCGAAGAACCTCGGCTGAACCATCTATCTACAGTGGTACCATCGGTGGTAGCCAATTTGGTGTCGCCAAGGTAACTCCCATTTCGCCCCAAGCCTTCTGCAGTTTCTCATCGCACAATAGAGCGTCAACCTCATCGCCGTGAAAGTTCTCAGCGACGGTGGATCTGGCTCGGTTGCTGATATGTATGTGTACAACATATCCTACCCGGTCTTACCTCATCTCCATCCAGCGTCTCTGGCCTTAACTTCGTCCTGTCCTCTGCTCGCTCTTCTGGCCGCCCTTCCATCGTCTCGATGAGTCTCGGTGGTGGTGCTTCCACTGCCTTGGACAACGCCGTTGCTTCTGTACGCACGAATCCCTCACCCACACTTCTGGAGTTAACACTCAATGTCATAGCTCACGGCGGGTGGAGTCCATGTCGTAGTATGTTTCCTGTCCTCAACTTCAGTCAATACAACTCTGACAAGAACTTGTAGGTTGCCGCGGGTAACTCTAACGTTGATGCTGGCACCACCTCCCCTGCTCGTGCCCCCTCTGCCATCACTGTCGGAGCATCTACCATCACTGACGCTCGAGCCTCTTTCTCTAACTTCGGCTCCGTCGTTGATGTCTTCGCTCCTGGTCAAGATGTCATTAGCTCCTGGATCGGCAGCACCACCGCAACCAACAGAATCTCTGGAACTTCCATGGTAAACCAATTGTAATGTGTTCTTCTAAGCCTCGTCATTCTGATCACTTTTAGGCTACCCCCCATGTTGCTGGCTTGGCCGCCTACCTCATCGGCCTCAACGGTAACTCATCCCCTGCCGCCCTATCGACTACCATCAAGAGTTTGTCCTTGAAGGGTGTCCTGAGCGGTATTCGTGAGTACGAGTTGTCAGATGCCAGTCACCGTTCTAATCATTCTCTATAGCTTCGGGCACTCTCAACGACTTGGCTCACCACGCTTAAACAACCTCCTTCGGCATCGCCTAGATAGCAGGTTAAATGTTGATATATCGTTGGCAATTTCGTGTTCAATGTTGATATAAGTACTGTGAATGCATTATGATTTCGTATATCAATTCCTAGCATTAAAGCGGCGGAGTGTGAATGGAGAAAACCCGAGGGGAAACCAAAGATGGCAATGATTGACAATGGTGATAACGTAGGAAACCAGCGACTTCGCAAAAAGTCATTTATGTTACTAAGTGGGAGTCGAAAGCGGCAGGGGTGAAGGATATGAAAGCTCTGAGTAGCCGCGACGTGCAAATCTACTGTGTGGCGCAAGCCAACAGGACTTGCAAATGGCTCAAAACGATGACCATCCGTGGAATCTCCTCGGAGGCACATCGTGGCTGCGGCAACACTCGTTACGTCGGCGGAACACAGCAAAACAACTGATAGAGCTGCATCGTCGACGATTTATACGATACACACGCTCTCTACTGCGCCGTTGCCATCAAACTAAGCAGGGGGTTAACACGTTTCTCATAGGGGTATCAAAGACGAAGTTGCGATTACCTCTTTCGTTTAGCCTTGGTCATTTCTTTCCGTAAAGCAGCGGGATCTAACGGCTTCAACAACTCGAACGCACACAGAAGGTCTTCGGAGACACTGTTAACAGGTTAGCAAATGTACATAACAACAGATTAAACCGCATACCTCATGCAAGCACCGTAATTATCGAATTCTAGATGCAGGGTGAGGAAAAGGATAAAGCTTAGTTACTTTACTCACCGCCACAATAGTTCGGAGCGCTGAAGACCGTAACAAGCGTTCGATCATTCCAGAACTCGTAACCATCTTCAACCACCATATGTGCACGACATATTAGGTCCATATCATACCGCTGAAGGAATTCGTTTATGATTCCCTTGCCAAAACAATAGCTGACACCGCGTTCATTGTCTTCCCAGTCGATCGCAGTATCCGAGGGATCGGACCATAGAAGATCGTTAAGCAGGCCGTAGTCTGGAACATCGGTTGGGCGCTGTATCCGCTTGATGTCCTCCATGGAATGTAATGATGGTGAGAGGCCTCCGTGGACACAGAAGATCTTTGAGGCGACAACAGCAGCGATAGGGAGACAATTAAAGACGTCGATAAACGTCTTCCATGTCTTGATATTGCATCTTCGTTTGCATTCATCATAGAAGCCGTACACTGGGAACATCTGTATTTGAAACATGTAAGAATGAAACATGAGATAACACACGCACCTCGCGTCACATTTGCGCACTCGTGGTTGCCTCGGAGGAGGAAGAAGTTCTCGGGGTATTTAACCTTATAACACAAGAGTAATAAGATAGTCTCCAGGCTTTGCTTGCCCCTGTCCACGTAGTCACCAAGGAAGAGGTAGTTTGCTGCCGGAGGAAATCCACACATCTCAAACAAACGAATGAGATCAGAATATTGACCGTGTACATCTCCAACGATCTTGACAGGCGGCGAAAGCTCTATGAGTGTCGGTTGGGCCAGAAATACTTCGCGAGCAGCCTGGCATATCGCTGTAATCTCGGCATTCTTCAGACATAACGACTTGCTAACTTTGCCCGTGTACCCGACCTCGAGAAGTCGATGTATCATGTCGTCTACGTCGAACTTTGACCTGTCCTTGGCGCCTAAAGACTCGCTTTGGGGCATGCTGCTAGCTGAATCCGGGGTAAACGGTGTCGAAGATGTCATTATCGTTTGGGTAGCGGGGATATCGAGGGGTGCCGGGGGCGGTTTCGGTGAAGCGGCGGGGGCTATACTTGATGTTGGGGTGGAATGATCGTTGTTGGAGGAGGTGGGAGAACCGGACTGTGGAGTCAACTTCGAGCCTCCGGTAGATATTGAATCTACAGCAGTTTCTGACTCTGAGGTCCCTGCGCCTGCCGTTACGCTATGGTTAAATGTGGAGCTTGGACGAGGAGCTTCTATCACACCTGTGGCACGCGAAAGACTGCCTTGGGGAGTACTCTCGCTGTTGTCGTCGGGCTGACCATCTGCGCTGGCTGCTTCGGCAGAGTTCTCCTTCTCCTTGTCTTTGCCCTTCTTTTGTTTCTTGGACGTAGAGGAGGGCTGCTGGCCCATGGAGGCAGACTGGGAAGCCGACCGCGAATTTGGCGATGGCGAATGTGGCCTCGACCTTGAGAGTCTCGAGGTGAAGACGGAGAGGAGGGTGGGCGCCAGGATGGTAGTGGTTCAGGTTCAAGGAGGAATTCCAAGTTCAAGTTCGCGATTGAGGAACTCTCACACTCAAGACAGTTGGCAACTGAAATCGTTCAAGCTCGAAACTCAGGGCAACAGCCTGGGATTTGTTTGGTCGCTTGTTTGTCGCAATTTCACATCATGCTAGAGGTCATATAATATACGCAGTATTGCATGGGGCATGGCATACACTTCGCTAATCAGGCTATGGTACCAGAATCATATCCCCTAGAATTTAGAAAACGATTTGGTCGCAGCCTTGCTCTTCGACACCCGCAGAACATTGAATCGAACAGTCTTCGACAGTGGCCGGCATTGACCTGTAGCACAAGTCGCGACGTTCAATCACCTGCAATAAATCTGCACGATGGTTTGTAGCACTCACCAACGGTTACAACATCTCCGACATCCACTCGGAAAGCAGGCGAGACATGAGCAGCCAAGTTCTTATGTCTCTTTTCGTAACGGTCTAAATTACCCGGTCAGCAGGGGAACCTCCTTGGTGCATCGGCGGCGTACTGTATTTTGGGATGTAGTGGAGGTAGTCTCTGCGGATAATGATTGTGCGTGTCATCTTCGTGGAGACGACTTTGCCGGTGAGGATACGGCCACGGATGGAAACGTCTCCAGTGAAAGGGCACTTCTTGTCTTTACGATTGTTCCAAGATCCTTGAGCTTTTGCGCGCCGCCTCAGACACCAGCAGACTCACCGATGTATGTGCCGTTAATAGCATCGGCGGGCGTCTTGAATCCAAGACCAACATCCTTGTACCATCTCTTCTCCTTGGTCGAAACTTTCTTGCCGCCTTAGAGCCACCGCAGATTTCAATCGCCAATCGTCAAAACTCCAGATCCTCCGACACGGCAAGGGAACTGGACATACCACGGATTTTGGCGTTCTGGAAGAGGTGTTGCTTCTGGTAGGCCTTCTCGATCTACACGGCCGGGCAGATCAGTTCACCGGCCCAACCAGCAGCATGCCATCACACGCACTTGTTCAGCCATGGTGTCTTGAGGTCGTGTACGACGATGCCAGTCTAAACTTTTGGTGGGATATTGACGTATATTTGGCAACACCACTATGAACTGAAACTGTACAGTACTTCGGCAACTCCCGGCCATGCTCCAAAGAAAGATCGCGGAAACCATCCATAGTGATGTGTACTGTACAATTGTTTCTACGGGTACATGTTTGTAGGTCTTGACTCAATGCATAGCTTGAAGTGCTTCTAATACTTTCTTAAGGGAATCCATCGGTATGCTTAAACCCTCAGACGCATTTTGCCCAGCTACAATCTTCTGTAAATCTTCCGGGGATGTTGCGTGTATGAAGACGTATTCCAGAAAATCTCCGTCTAGGAAGCCTTTAGACGGATCGGCGTCGCTGCGGCCCCTGTTGTTCTTCGGTGCGCGGTATCTGTGGCAACATGGGGATCAGTGTCTCCAACAGAGCCCTTGAAGTGCATGCAACGTACTGGGCCAAGGTAGATTCTCCAGGGCCTTTTCGTATATAGGCCATATTTCGCTGAAGTTCATGAAGTCCAGTTGCCACGTTCATGTCCGAGACCTCGACAATGACACCGATACGGCCGGATGATGTCACGTAAACATATTCAGGAGTTAACGGGACATTGTTCGATGCATCAGGCGCAATCAGGGAACCTGTACAAAAGTATGAGAAGCGTGAATTGTACAGGAGATATTCCGGCAAAGCTTGCCTCGTATAAACTTCGTGACGAGATCACCCAGGTGGAAGAAACCGTCCCGTTCGAGGGTCGTCCTACGAGGTGATCGACAGACGGAGAATGTGAAAAGGTTTAATGTATCCTGCCATTGACTAGATCAGCTAACGGGAGTGAAGTGATATGTAGATAATCTTACGTTCGAACCAATGATAGTATCTTGCGTAGATGCCTCAATACTCACGGGCCATAGCGGAGCGTAGTCCTTCGCCATAGAGATCAGCTTTTCGCCTTCGACACGGACGAGTGATATGGAGCTGATATGATCGCCGAGAATCAGTTGGTTATCGAACGAAACTAGACTTGTCACGAAGTAATTGTGATTCCATTCGCTTAGCTTCTTGAAGGCGTAACGGGGTGCCTCCTTGTCGTCTGATGCCTCAAGTTTGAAGAGCATCACCTAGGGTGGACTCTCGTGACGAGTTCAACGTAATGTACAACGATGGGACGTACTGCTGAATTGACGGCAGCAGCGATAAGATCACCAACGACAGTCACGGCGTAGACACACCCGTTCACTTCTTCCGATGCCAGCACAGATATCTGCATCGTCGATTGTTGGTATGAAGCGGCGAAAGCGTACAGTCGCCCTCCAGTAGGCTCTATCTCCTGCGGTTTGTATCGCAGACTTCCAACGCAGTAAACAGACACGTTCTTGACATCGGTGACAAAATTCATTTTCGCAATTGCTGTAAACTCTTCGTGTGGCTCGCTGAAGAACTCGCATAGATCTAGAAGTGATGTCAAAATGGCGGAGATAGCAGGGATGTCTGTTTGCGTACTCTCGAATGTGACTTCGTCGAAAAGCTTGAATGAACCAGAGGGCATCTCTGCCTCGCCAATCCTTACTGGAGGTGTTCGTGAGCATATCACACCAAAGGCCTTCGCCGTTGCGTCATGTACGACTTTTCGAGGAATGTCCAAACCGAGCGGAACCTATCGCGAATATTAAACTGTACATACCAAAGGGTAACCCCGCCGACTTACTGGGCGAACGTGCAGTTTGTTAAGGTCTTTCACGTTGCCAATGACGAGACCACTCGGGTTTGCGAGAATCAGACAGGACCGGTAGTCGGGAGTATTGAATCGCGCGGCGGCAACAACTCTCTAGGGGACCGTCAGTCGGGATCAGACAGCCAGGTGGAAATGAAGGTTCACCTTCAACATGATAGGCGAATCCCTCAAGCGTCTACCATCCCAACTAACAACTGTCGCCTGTGTCCCGGCAGCGAAGACAGCCGTTTTGCCTTCGACCTCGCACAAAGACAAGCTGACCGGCGCGTATCCCAGTGATATAAGCTTCTTATCCGTCAATTCCTTGTTATCCTTCCATGCAAAGACCGCGACACTGCCATCTCCCAGGCCAGCAAGTACATACGGACGACTATTGCTGCCCGAGGACTCTGTGCCGAAGTTGTGGAGGACCAACGAGCGCACAACGGCCGGCAAAGACGGCGTTTTGGATAGGGATTCAAGTTTATTCCCCTTCCCCAGCCTAAGAATTTCGACCACATTTTTCTCCCAATAGGCGAGGGCAATGTATCTTGTGAAATAGGGGCTGTTGCCAATAGGAGCGCAAGAGATAGCTGACACTTCCTGTGAGATGTAGGAAGTCTGTAGCTGCCTGCGAAAGGGTAAGTGTCAGGAGAGCCTAGAGATGGGACGTGCGACACCTACAGTGACTGAAGCTTTGTTTGAGTGGCATCGATGACAACAGTGTAGACATTACCGCCTTTTAGAGCGACAATAACTTGACTGGGGTTGATGTCCGTTGCCACAATCTCCGCGCCAAACGAAGCTCTGGAGGGGGGTTGTAGGTGAGCCTAGAACCAGGAATACAGCTATGTTATATGAACGAACTTGTCCTTGAGGTCCCAATGGTTGAACGCGCTGACGTAGTGCAATAGATGGACGCCATGCTTTGTGACCTGTATGATCATTGGTGAATTTCCGTAAGTGTTGCCTACTTGGTTCAGCTGCCTCCCGGCCATGTTCGCGACGGCGAGGGTGCGTTCGTTTGTCACAAGTCCCTGGCCGGTCTGTTGAACAAACTTCAAAGTCTTATCCACATACTCGAAGAGGGAAGTCGACGTTGACGTTGATGTGACCAGATGTGAAACCGCACTGGATGATCAGTGAGTGCGTTAGCTAGGAGTGTAGAATGATTCTCTTGGTGCGTACTTATTTTCGAACTGCTGCTTGATGGGCCAGACACCAACAAGGTATTCTAAGCCAGTGACGGCAGCCAGCTCTCGGAAATCTGCACCGTTGCGAACTACGTTGAGGGAGCCGGTAGCTTTCCCTCCCGAGCAGGTGACTACTTGTTTCTAATCCTTTATGAGTACCGATGTAACACAAATGCCAGCGGTGACACATACCTGTCCATTCCCATCGAGATCGACTAGTTCTGCATCTAAAATCGGTGCAATATTCTTCCACGAATCGACAACTTGGAGATGTTCGTTCGTATTCGAAATGATGCGCCCCTGCTCAATAGCGTGCTTCTTGGCTTTCATCGCCTCTTCGTAAGCTTGTTCAACGCTGTCTGGATCGTCCATATCAATGTCCTCGTTGGCAGAACCGCCAGGAGCTTCGGAATCATGTGCTCTTTTTTTGCCTTTACCAACATAACTAGGTGATGTTCCATCTAGGATTGATGCGGGGAATGTGGTCGTGCCTACAGGGATGGGTAAGACCGATTCCTGTCGCTCGACTATCGGTGCTGGATTTATATGGACAAGTTGGGAATCGCTGAGGTGAGAGCCAACAAAGAAGACTTGGGAGGTCAAGTAAGTCAAGGTTGTGGGCGAGGATACCTGCAAAGATCGTCAAGATAGATTCTACGGGCCATGATGTAAACCGTACCTGGCCCATAGGGAATAGAACGAGACCATGTTTGAGAAGTTCGTTCAGAGAAAGGAGGGCCAATCGTCCATACGAATCACCGATAAGAAATTTCGTTGTCTCATCGACTTGACAGTATCTACGACGCCTTGAGAGGGGGTAGCGCACTTGTACCAGAGAGGTGTACGTACGCAACAACATCAGACCATGGCCAGTCGATGGCAGCTCTAGCTTTACGCTTCTTGGCAGCTCTGGCCTTCTCCTTTTCCTTGGCCTCATTGACCGTTGCATCGTCTGCACTCTTTTTCTTGTTCGCGATACGTTTCGCCTTTCCCTTGGCTCTGGTCTGCCATTCTAGGTCGGACATCTCATACAGAAGAATCCGACGCCCGCCTAGAACCATGACGCCTCCTCTGAAAGTCATTTCCGCTCCCGAAGAGAATGCGGGTACGTGGACGAGTTTAGGAATATGAACGGTACACGTAGGGAATATACTCTGAACGAGGACGGTCTGTGGGAGCCAGGTCGAAGCTTGGGGATCCAACTCCAAGTTGTCGATGCTGAGTTCGCGGGCTATCAACATGAGGCGCTCTTGATGATCCATGTGTAATATACCGATAGCATACGTATCCTCGTTTGCAGTAGGCAGAAACGCGATTGAGAAGACATTGAGCTCAGGGAGTCTGCCAAATGACGTATATCAGCCTGCCCTCAACGCCGTGAATGAAACTACACACGTTACATCAAAGTCCTGGCTATACATTCCATTCTTCAGTACGACTACCTTGAGCCTGCCCACATACGAGGACACAAGTAGGACCTTTCCGGTTGGGTCGATGAGGAGGTCGTTGCAGAACTCGGCTGGTCTGGGGAGACGTTCTCGCAAGGACTTGGTTTTCTTGACCGAGAGTTCACCTGTGCCTGCGGAAGACTCTGTGTATGATAAGAAGATAAGTTCTGGATCAGGATGGTCTAGCATTAGAACTAGATTCGAGATAGTAGACTTCCGCGATCATTATTAGTAGTTCTCATCGGAGGAGTCGACGACGACGCACTTGTGTAGGTATGGCTCGTAGCGCAAGCACACGTCCCCATACTTGGAGCGTGCATTCGAGGTTCAGCCCCTGTGGACCAATGGAATACACCTCGAGCCTGTCCGCCTTGCCGACTACAAGATGCTCAAGGTCCCGCGACGCAAGCCGACATTTGACTGAACACAGAATGGAGGACGATTGGTGAAATGTGGTCACAAGCTTCATGGCCCAGCTAATCGACGAGGACGTCGGCCAAAACAGCGGCTTCTGAGGCGTGAGCCCAACGGAAGCGACTGATGAGAGATCTAATGTGGGTTAGTCACGTGGCACAATATCTCGTCTGGCTGAGAAAACGCTCCATGAGCGCGTTGTTGACGCATGTTTGTGCTTCGCGTCGTCCGCTACCATACCTTGAGCTTGTCCCCTCGCTTTTATTTGTTTCTTCGTACACCAAAGACGCAGAAATTGAGTATGTCTCATCAAGCAAGCCTGGCCTCTATGTGGGGCAAGAAGAAAGAGAAAGCAAAGGCTGCGCCCGGTCCAAACGCGCCAATGTCGAGTCATTCCCTAGCGGAACCCATCAAGCAGGAGCCGTGTATGTCTGATTCTCTGGAGACATGGTTCCTGTAATATCATAGAACTTCCGTAGCTGAAGGCTCGAAGCGCAAGAAACCCTCGACATCAACAAACGGTATGAAGCACATGCCTCTTCACCTCTAGCCTCGTTTATCATAAGTTCCTTAAGCAGCGTCCGAAACAACGTCTACGTCCAAGAAGAGACGAGTAGTATACTCTGACGATGAAGATGATGCTCGTGCGTTGCTCTGTATAACGTCGCGAACTTGGAATACTGACTTTCAATAGCTGTACCATCAGCGAGAGCATCGTCTATTGCCCCTTCGTCATCCCCTGGACCCTCTCGTACATCGTCGCGTTCTCCGTCTCCAGTATCGAAGCCACGTAAATTAGCCACGGGGAAGTCGCGTAAGACAACGCCAACCATCAAGGACGAAGAGGTTAACGCCACCTCAAGTGCCGGAGAGGAAGAGATTGATCATGACGAGGACGAGGACGAGATGGATGTTGACTCAGGCGTTGCCTCCAAGATGTGGGTGGTACTACGCTCTGGTGCCCACGGCTACTGATGGTCCTGCCTAGTGCTGAAGCGGCACTTTCACGAAAGAACGACGTCGATCTACCCGGAGGATGGAAAGTTGGCTCCCCGTGCGTATACCATTCCGCTGCTTCGACTTCGCCTCATCATACGTTTATTTAGCGTCCCCTATTCAGCCTTAACAAAGGCATTCTCACAGATAGAGGCCACGACGAAGAGATTGGAAAAGAATTCCATTCTCACTGCTTTCCTCCTACTCGTCATACAGCGAAGTGCTCCGCAAGACACTAAATCCCTCTTGCAGACAGTCTATCTATGTATAAACAGGGTCAGTCCCCTGTATTGCATTAAATTTGCAAGTGCTACATTCCCGTCATAGTTAAGCCCAGATTACATTGGGATTGAACTTGGTATTGGTGAGAGCCTCTTGATCAAAGCTATTGGGGAGTCTACGGGAAGGAGTGTGGGGGTCGTCAAGGCAGACTTAAAGAAGGAAGGCGACCTCGGCCTTGTAGCGATGGTCTGCTCCTACATCCAGCCAATAGTCTATATACTGAATTCGGACGGCAGAATTCAAAGAATAGCCAGAAGACCCTTTTCAAGCCGAAACCTTTGACGGTCCCTTTCGTATTTTCTAACTTAAAAGAGATAGCAACCACATCTGGCCACTCGGTCAGTGCTCTTCTCCGTTAAGTTGTACCAACGACTCTAAACACAAACACCAGTCACAAGCGAAGAAGGTGTCTGTCATCACGAAGCTGCTCGCTGCATGCCAAGACTTCGAGGCTAAATATATTGTTCGAAGCTTGGAGGGCAAGCTCAGGATTGGCAATGCTGAGAAATCTGTCCTGGTAGCTATAGCGCACGCTGCGGTATTAGCAGAGAACGAGAAACGTATGTCCCTAACTTTGATCCATCGGCCGCGAGTTGACGTAGATTGAAGGAGCCAAGAGGCTGACTAAAGACAAACTGGAGGCTAGGTTGGAAGAAGCCTCAAATATCATCAAAGCAGTCTACAGGTACGACTCGCATATATCCCTGTGACTCTGGTTCAATGCTAACACCCATAAAGCGAGTTGCCGTCATACGACGAAGTGATTCCAGCATTGTTGGAGCGTGGTATCGACGGCCTACGTGAGCACTGCAAGCTGAGGCCAGGCGTCCCGTTGAAACCCATGTTGGCGAAACCAACAAAAGCCATCGGCGAAGTTCTTGACCGTTTCGAAAACAAGAAATTTACTTGCGAATATAAGTATGACGGCGAACGAGCTCAGGTACACAAGCTAGAAGATGGAACTGTTGCTGTCTTCAGTCGCAACTCCGAGGATATGAGCAAGAAGTATCCTGACCTCGTTGATCAGTTACCGAAGGTAGGTCGCTCATTCGCTGGTATGGTACGCTCATAACATTTAGACAGTGCATCAAAGAGTCAACGAAGTCCTTTGTCCTCGATGCAGAAGCTGTGGCTATTGATCGTGCAACGTTCAAGCTAATGCCATTCCAAGAGCTCAGTAGACGCAAACGGAAGGATGTTAAAGTGGAAGACATCCAAGTCCGTGTTTGTTTGTTTGCCTTTGACTTACTTTACTTGAACGGCGAGGTGTGTCACTATTGCTCTCGCATAATATTGAGCACTGACCATGTTTACAGCCATTGTTGAAACATTCCCTCACCGAGCGGAGAGCATTATTGCGAGAGCACTTTCAGCCAGTTTCTGGGGAGTTCGAGTTTGCGAAGTCAGATGACGGCGAAACTACGGACGAGATACAGACATTCCTTGAGGACAGTGTGAAGGATGGATGTGAAGGCCTCATGGTCAAGATGTTGGATACCGACGCTAGCTTTTACGAACCAAGTCGGAGGAGTATAAATTGGTTGAAGGTGAGCATCAACTCGCCGACCTTCATTCGACCTAGCTAACACGAATGATATATCTAGCTCAAGAAAGATTACTTGGCTGGTGTGGGTGACTCTCTCGACCTCGTCGTGGTTGGAGGATATTACGGCAAGGGAAAGCGCACAAACGTCTACGGCGCCTTCCTACTGGCTTGTTACGATGCCGACTCTGAGGAATACCAAACCATATGCAAGATCGGCACAGGCTTCAGTGACGAGATGCTGCAATCCCATTATGACCTTCTCAAGCCGTTGGAAGTAACCAAACCTCGGGGAGATATCAAAGTCGGCGGTGCTAAACCGGACATCTGGTTCGAACCCAAAATTGTTTGGGAGGTCCTTACAGCCGACTTGAGCTTGAGCCCAGTGTACACTGCGGCACAGGGTTTGGTGAGTAACCCGTCCTGACATGATTCGTGTATGAGCGGGCGCTCATGGCCTTTCAGGTGGAGGAGAGGGGTATATCCCTCCGTTTCCCGCGGTTCATCCGAGTAAGAGATGATAAGTCCGTAGACGACGCAACAAACTCCGAGCAGGTGAGCTCCAATGGCGGTCATAGTGACTCTTCTTGACCCAACGTCCCCAGATTGCGGAAATGTACGAGCGACAGGCCTTGGCACAGACACAATCCAAGAAAAAGGGTAATCATGGCGACGACGACTTCTGGTGACATCGGATACACTCGGTACCATTATATTAGCTAGTATATAGTGAAGATGCGGTCAAATAAAATATATGAATGCATCTACCAAATCATGGCTTTTTGGCTTGTTGAGCCTCTAGTATGGCCTCTGTCACCTTACCCCCTGCTGGAGCTTCGGTGGGGGCCTCTAGTCCCAGCTTTTTCTCTCTACCACCATTGTACCAATAGTTCACGAAGCGAGCGTCTTGTATCGACTGCGCCGTCGCGTTGGTGAAGTGGCAAGCAAAGAGAAGGTAGTTCCGGGGTTGTACACGCCAGGCTGCAAGGCAACAATGAGTATATGGGAGCTAATATGGTGTTAAAGACGTGCCAAATCGCATGAACACCATCCTATAACGGCCCTGGCATTAGAAACGACATATGTGAGAGGACATTGGTGCTCACGAGTAACATGCCAGGGCAGTCGTCATAGTCCCCGAAATCACTTCTTCATCTTTTCGCAAGTCTGCGAGCGCAGCCAGCGGCAGACCCCAATTCGCGACCTTAATTAACGTTCCATGTAAGTTGACGATTTCGTTGAATCACAAGTCACGAAATGCACGCACTGGACCCCAGAAGTGCGTGCCTATATGGTGCGTGGTGAGTATCAGACCCATGGATTCGGAACGTGAACTTACTGAAGAAGTACTCCCGAGCAGCAGGAGATCGCAGCCAGGTGAAAAAGGTCGAGGACATGGTTCCAAGGTTGTTGGAGTGAACTGTGAAGGAGAAATGAAAGAGTCACTCGGCCGATAGGGATAGGTCTGCTGACTCAGCGTGCCTCCGTCGACTTGAAATACATCTAAGCCCATTGGTGTCACCCGAATTCATGCTGATTCTTTATCATAACCCTCAAGACGAGACGGTTATGCGGAAAGATTACAATCAAGGTGTGGGCGAAGTGCCCCGTCATCAATTTTAAGGACTAGATATAAATACTACAAGAAGTACAATTACACTTAGAACTGGGACCAACTAGGACCGTTGAGTTCCTGCAGCGCAATTACCAGCTCATGCACCACCATCAATGACCGTTTTCGTATTGCTGGATTGGTCCCAACAAGCCATGCTGGTCACCGAGCCCATATGTTAAGGTTGTGCGCTTAAAAATACCAGGCTGATCGTCTACCTCGAGCTCCAGCTAGGTGACATGGTTTAGTAGCTTGTCTATTATATCGGTCAGATGGATGGAGAAGCGTACCAAAGAAACAATGTCATCCAAGAGATGCGCCTGGCCGACGGTACTGCCCAACGTACCCACATGATTGGCATGGACGATGTGGACGTGGAATCGATCTGTTTGACATTGATATGGATTTTGGCACAGTCACTAGAGAAAGATACGGACAATAACTGGGTTGGTAGTGAACAAACATCCGTAGTCGGTCACTCGGAAGACCGAACCTCTCCTGAGCTACTCTACCGGCTTCCGTACGGATAGATTTGAGTAGCTGAACATGACCTTTATTTTTCGTGAGATCCCTTAAGCTGCGAATAGAGGCGTCCCTCGCAATGGCAAGAATGTAGAAAGCCGACATGGTTGTGAGATCCCATTTCATGTCGGGAAGGATGGTGAAGTCTGGACAATCATATAAAACTTTGTCGGCTTCCGACAGACCGGAGAGGATGTCGTCCACCCTATTGACAGGTCAGAATCATAGGTGTTCGGTGGCATAAATACGGTGCTACCATTTTGTCCTCGCCGCCGGGAAGGCAGCGATGTATGGCTTTACTACTGCTTCGTAAATCTCTGGGGTTTCGTGAACCATAATTATCTGTTGTTCTGTGTACTGAATAGGGCATCAGGCTCTGGTATTCTGGGATCCACTATAAACTAACCTTTCTTATATGTACATCCGTGGCAGGACAAATGAGGTCTATCTTGACATCGCGGTCCCGATTGGTCGCAAACCATCCTAGGAGCCAGGTATACTATACCATTCACATGGAAGGTTGTGTAGATGTCAGGTAAGGATCTTACAATGTCTGTAGATTCTACTGCTTCGATGCGCTCGATGAGACCAACGAAGGGCTTTTTGGCGCTTTCAAGGTCGAATGCAGTCTTTCCTATGCGCACGATGGCTCTGTCGCGCTCTCCGTCCTGGGTCGGCTGCGGTGGACCAACAGATCCTCTCGCGAAGCTGCCAAGCAGGGTGATGCTCTTCCCCACAGGATCTAATTTATGTCCTCAGTGGGAGACAAAAGGGGTCAGAGTCAGTCTTGCCTTCATTCAGGATACTCTGGAATTCAAACGTCTGCAAGTCTTCCAGGGAGATTTGTTTCATTTCTGATGCCAGTGGTTGGAGGTAGACCAAAGGTAGACGCCACATTTAGACGCTGAGACTCGCCTCACCTCAGTGCCTCATGGACATGCTCTTCTCGTCCATCGTTCAGCATCAGCCCCCCGCCCTTCCGGCGGCCAGACGACCTGAACTTGGCGGGCGGCGTCGGGATCGTCAGCATGCAGCAGCAAGGATATCAACCCTTTCCTTATTACCACCAAGCTCTGTATCCTCCCCAAACTCCCCACCTCGGCGCCAACAACGGCGCCGCCAATGGCTACACACTGAATCCCTACTATCCTATGCAGCAAAATCCATACGTAGCTGCTGCTGCACCTGCGTCAGGTCCTACGCAAATGAATCCTGCACCTTTGGCTCGTCCCAGAAAGTATACTCAGCCAGAGCCAAAACATAACAGGAATGGGTTTCCTCCTCTGAGGTCTGCAATGAAGCAGCCTGCGCGCCCTGATGCGACACCTCTCAGGCGGCAGCGAACAATATCGGGTAAGGGACCAGATGGTCTTGCCCGACACCGCACGCGTTCGAATCCTACGCCTGTGGAAGAAGCCAGACCTGAGTTTATCCCCAGTTAGTGAAATCTGATCTCTGTGCCACTACGATCGCTCACGGACTTGCCAACAGTACACCTTTATTTGTCTTTTCACGGCAGCAACGAACTTCGCGTCGAGAACGGTGGTCAGCCGGCGGTCACAGAGTTAAGACGATTGATGAATACGCTGTGGCCGCCAGGCATAGAACTTGATGATATCGAGGGATACATCTGGCGTGTACGCTTCGCAGGTTCACCGTGGAACCTAAGTGGTCCCGACTCGTTGAGGCAAGCTTGACCGGATAACCATTTCATCAAGCTATGAATCACCTTCTGCATAGTGCGTATGATATCATTGTGCAAATCTTTACCTTGTTTGCAAGAAGAGTGAGTGTATATCTCACTGGTTCCTCCCGTATTCTGAATGTCTCCATTCTTAGGGCTACACTTTCCGAACTTTCATGAAGACAGGTTCACCAGTGAGTATCTTACAATATCGAGATATGGAAGGAGCTAATAAACATCCTAGTCACCACGTCTTATCTTTGAATGCACAAATCCTGACAAAGACTCGCGGTTTTTTGTGGCCTACTTCTCTCGGACTGGTCGGTGCATTACACTCGTCTCGCCTCCGGCTGTGGTCAACGCGGAAATAGGCCACCGCCTCGAAGTTGCTTTGCCTGGGGCGATAGAGTCTGATCAAGAGGTTGAAGGAGGCTTTCGCGTTATTAGACTGCGGGACGCTTACGGCGGTAAGTCGAAGCCTGAGCAAATGGGCTACACCCTCACACCCTTACTAGGACCCCTGTTTGGCAAACATTTGTTCATTGCATACATCCTCAAGATCATGGAAGAGCTTAATTTCTTACTCGAAGCCACGATTCCCTTGGGCAGACGCGTCTCATTTGGTCTTGGTCTTGGATTAGGACCAAAGCGAGAGATATTCGTATTCAAGGGCTTTAGTAGATGATTCCGCATGTATACCACTTTCACGGCGCTTCACACAGTCGCTCGTCGCGTACCATATGCATTGATTCGTTTGTATATGAGATAACTACTATCTAGGGTACTATCGCACCTATGACAAGTCTACACCATCGCAACGACCTTGCTACCATCAACGAGGCCACTAAGGCTTTTAGCGTTTACCTTGCCATCCTGTTTGCGTTTCATCAGCTCATCCCACCATCCGAACAAGAAGTCTCGCGCGATGAGCTTGAACCAAGGAGTAAACGAGTTTGCGGGGTCTTCAAACATTGCTTGCAGTTCCGCCTTGTCGACGTATTTGTGATCCCGGATTTCATTTAGGTTCGGGGTGACAGTAACATCGGCAGTTATGAACAGGATATAATCAACTGTGAGGACATGAATGAGCCATATGAGATTCGAGCCAGTGACAATGAGATTGACATACCTTCATGTTCTCCCCAAAGGCCATTCGAAGGAGCGAGGTAGTGGATTCGGGTCAAATATTGGAACATATCAATCGGGGTTTGCGACGGTGGAATGCCCAGCTCGTGTTCCAATTTCCGTGAAGCAGCTACTCTGACACCGAGCTGATCCTTCTCTACCTTCTCCGCTTCGAAATCGTCCAGGGGATGAGAGCAACATGTGTTCGTCCACATATCAGGAAATGTGATCTTCTCGGTGGCGCGCTGCTGCAATAGCAACTTCCCGTCCGACGGCCGGAAGACAAAAGCAGAGAATGCTCTGTGCAGCAGTCCCTTGTTGATGTTCTCCATCAGATGGCCTGACCCGCCCTCCGTAAGCCAATTAAGGGAGGCGTAATGTCAAACATCGGCTTACATGTTTTCTTGTCCATCGCACCAATTGCATTGTCTTGTTCATCGACGAGGATACAGCGCTCGTCCATCAGCCTTGACTGCTCGGGGTCATAAGTTGAGAGGTCGACGCTGGCCAACGCGGCGCGGGCAGCAATGACTGCACGAGATTCAGACATGGTCCGTTGTGCGGTGTAAATCGACTGGGGCGACAACAGAGGGCGGCTGAGCCTTCCTGTAGCACGGAAGAGCAGGCGGTTCAGTTTGGAGATGGAAACGAAAAAGCCGATGGGAGGGGGAAGGATTGGATGTTTTGTATTCCTTGGATCGTGCCATTCGGAGACTGCTAGAGATCACATCACACGTGGGGACTATAGATCTCAATCAGGGGATATCCGAGACGTTCGGTACAAATGACAAGGTTTGATAAGTACAGCACACAAGTACAGGGTTCGATCAATACAGCTGAGCAGAGGAGAGAATTAAACGGCGGCGATTGAGCAAGGGGGTACACTACGTGAGTTCATGCAATGGCAATGGTGATCGTACCGTATGGGTCATTCTGTTTGACCCGAAGCAATTTTTTTGTGGAGAGAACTAGTGCAATGGTTCTGTCAGCGCCGGGTGGTGAGACATAGAGAAGACGTACCAAGACAATGATAAAAGGCAGTCGCGGCAACATGTCTGGTGCTTGAGGTGGTGGGAACGATTCTATCAAAGGTCAATTCCCTGGTCGTAGCAGGGAGGGTCTGATATTGCATGCGAGTGTACCTAGACCCAAGGATGAATGAAGCATCCATGAGAAAGTGGACGACGCACTCAAGGAAGTTGAAAGAATTCTTCTCGAGGCTTATTAAATTCATGTCAGACATCTGGCTTTCGTCCACTCCTGATTGGTTAACAGCGTCTACATCCATTGGCACTGGCAGGGGGGCAAAAAGATAATCATCAGTGTGTGTACGACATATTGATCACAGCCGGCTCACCATCAAAGGCATAATCTTCGCCAATCAACTGGGAATTCTTTCCGAAGATAGCTGGAGAGAAGGTGCCAACTTGACTAGGGATCAGCGAATCTTCCCTTCGACTCAGGGAGCTCCCCCTTAGCCTCATCTCGGCGTGGTCTACAGCAACTCTGTCGGAGCCGTTGAAAGGCGCAAATCCGGCGACCGAAGAACTAGCACCAGCATTATCCCAAGGAAATAGCGAACTTCTCTGCGAGTTCCCTCGTTGCCCGTCAAGTCCAACACCGAAATCGAATCCAAAGTTATCTCCCAACACAGAAGGAGCACGCGATGCGTTACGGCCTTGACCAGGTTCCTATGAATGGATAAGTGTTGGTTCGGAACACCATGCCCCAGGGCTTCGCACACCTCAGAAGACCTAAGGCGACCAGCGTCCAGGGGCTCCATAGGAGCTACATGAAGTTAGTTAATATTAGCCGGGAGCTATGACGGGACAGGATACCTTCGAAGTCGAATTGCATCGCATCCAAATCTTGATGGAAATCGGGCATACCCACGTCAAAGTGGTGGGGTTCCTTGGGAGCATGTCGAATCTTGCGTCGTTTGGGGGATTGTACGTCTATATCGCAGGCTTCACATGGAAGCCTGAAGTAGATGAAGAACGAAATACCTGGAGGGTGAATGTGGAGCGCTCCAGTTCTTGCCTCCACCTGAACCTTGAAATTCTCCTGCCAGAAATCTATCAAGGAAGGAGCTTGGACTTCGGAGTATCAGTTTCGGAGTTTCCAGTCTCCACCATCCAATGTACGTACTTCCATGGGGCGCTCCCCACAGGGTGTCTTCAACCAACTTCATGCCATCCTTTTCGGCTTTCTTTAGTTCAAGTTCTTGTTTCAATGCATACTGGCCTCTCAAATATTCGGCACGCGCAGTCTATCGAGAATAGCTATTGTCGCATTGCGAAAGCTTGTGTCATCATAGGGCTTACCTTGAGCTCTTCATCAGTTAGCTCCGTTCTCGCATCAAGCAAGAGGCGAGTCTTCTTAGGTTTCTTCATTTTATTGGGTATATTTTCTTGATTGCGATTCAATGCAGTGATATCCGAGAGTGGTCCAGGCTGCTGTTCGTCTTGCGAAAGCAACATGCGAGAAAATGAAGTAGAAGGGCTTGGTTCGCGACCAGGCGTCGGTGGAGGAGGCATATCATCTGAAATCAGATATTGTATCAGAGGTTACGCTGCTGAGGGCAACAATATCCTAACCTTGACAGCCTGGGAGCGCCTGATCTCGGTCAGATTTCGACCCCACAGTAAACTGAGTTAACTACGTTACCTTTCGCTTCTTCGATGCCGCTTGGCCTTGCTCGAGTGGTTGTAGTGCTGCCGTGCCGTCGAGAAAGGGGTCGTCACCGAAGCCCAAGTCAAAGTCACCGCCAGTCTCAAAGAAGGGGATGTCATTTTGGAGGTCAAGACGCATACCACTGAAGAGTGTCAGATTCAGATGATACTTGCATAGCATACAAGGACACTTACAAGCCATCCTTCGCAGGCGATGCCCCCCAGCCTTCCCCCAACTCTCTAGCCAACTCGTCACCCACAGCACCGATGTCGAGGCCATCAGATTGGAAAAAGTCGTCAGTGGGGATATTGAAGGGACCACCAATCTGTGAAGACGAGGGGATGTGACCACCAACAAAACTTCCGTTAAAGGAAAGGTCCAGCGACTTCGAGAGGAAGTCTTCATGGTGCTCTTGTAACGTGTGCTTGTCCGTTCGAGGATACTCGGTTGAGGCAGGGGGCTTGCTCTTTAGTTTCAGTTTCTTCCCGCTGGGGTTGAAATCTTCGTCTTCTTCGGGCGCGTCGTCTTCATTACCTATGCAGTTTATATGTTTCATATGTCGAAGTTACTGTGCAAATGGACTAAATAGACTTACGGAGATTGAGGTAGTCATCCCAATCCTGGTGAATGGACCGATTAACATATACGCTTGTATTTTAACCTAATTTCTCACCGCGACAAAAAAGTCGAATCCGGCCAGCTCTTTGACTGCGTCTAGGGTTAGTAGCGATGATCTAGATGAAACTTTGGTGAGCACTGTCATCAAGGCGACGTATATACACACTTGAGCGTCGGTTGCGCCATCTGAAGCTGCATGTCAGTTGCAGTATGTAATTCGTGAACGATCTTCTTGAGCGAGTTGAAGCAAGTGGTCACATCGGTCATGAACATATCTTGTTTGACTGAACAGGGTTTGTCATGGGAAATGGAAGGTGGATAATGATCTGAGTCTGACCTTTATATACTCTGTCGAGATAAATGAAGGTTAGTCGTTCAGTAATATTATTGGGGATCGAACTCACCGAGCAACGCCCACCATCAAATTACTCGTCAATCTGAGAGCTAGTGGCTCCGCTGGTTGCATGATTAGATCGCACAGTTGGCTGATGTCCGCAGTCAATACATCGCGTCGGGGGAGCTTCTTCAGAGTAGACTTAGATCCCAACGTCGCTGCAAGCCTAAGAGGTCGTCAGACAATACCCCCGCACCGTGAGAGCAGACCTGCTTACCACAGAAGACCAAATCCCCCATCTCGTTTCTCCAAGAGCTCCGTAGTGAAGAACATGACGGTGTCAAAGCTGAATATTATCAGTAAGACTTGCTCTCATCAACTTGAAGCACTGAAGCCCACCGACCAAGCTAAATTTTTGAATACGAGGCAATGCTCGGGGAAGCGAATGAAATACAACAGAGAAAAGATACAGCAAAGCAAAGGACAGGAAGGCGAAGGGGAGGGGAATGTCGACGATGTCTCCCTAATTTATGTAGCTGTCGCGGAGTTCGAATGACCACCGCAGATCGCATATACTACTAAAAAGGATCCTTACCTGCCACTGGAAAGCCCTGTCACGCCCTCCTCCACTTCTGCTCCTTGGAGGCAAGTCCAAGCAATCTAGCAAACAACTCGTCTCTGCCGCCTACCCATCGAAACTTCTCTTCTTGGGGTGTGTCGTCCTGCTGGGTGTCTATCCACGACACAGCCAGTCCTTTCAACATACCGGACTTCTTAACACTGCGAATGTTGTCGATCGGGATGGTCTTCGTCGGATATGCCGAGAGGAGCGGTGTAAAGCAGACGTTGGAGAGTGTTAATGTAATCAGCCCCGGTGTCGAGATATTGTACGCAGGGAATGCTTAAGGTCGTCATTTTATGAAGAATCAACGATGAAATGCGAATCTCACATTGCGTTATTTGCTCTGACGAGGCTTGTCCAGGCGTTAATATCGTGGAGAGTTTTGATACTCGAGAAACCAACGATGGCTAGACCTGGGTGTTGGTCAAGGCTATCAATACCACTTGGAGAGGACGTACGTGTTGTTCAACCAATATCTGTCTCCCATTTGTGACCATCGCTTTACTCGAAGCAAGCTTCTCTCCCCATTTCTTCCAATTAACGCCATCTGCGCTGTCCGGAACACTTCTCACTTTGAGATCATTCCCGATGGCGGGTGAGTCAGAGGCATTCAGGCTAATCGTTGCGTTCTTTGGCCTTGTCGGAGTGACTCGTAATCCCGCAAGCGCCTGCTGTGAAATGAGCTTCATTGCGTAGTCGGCATCGGTGGGGACATCCGACAATGGGGGAGGGATTCTTAAAGAAAGGTTAGTATGTCAGAGCATCGAAGTTAAAGCAACGTACCGAGCAAGGGCATCTGGGGGTAAAGATGCTGCTAGTGGCATGACATGCCAGAAGCAGACTCCCAGGATGAAGTAGACGAGTTTCGCAAGGTATTTTGCAGGGAGAACTAGGGTGACGAAGAATACGCAAAAGATGACCTACGACATTGGTAAGTCGCTATCTCAACGGAAAGCACGCAGACTTACAATAGCGTACAAACGGGATGAGGGAGGATCTCTCCATATGAAGATGCTTTGCCGAAGTGAGTTACGCGTGGAGAGAAAAGGCCTTTATTAACGCACTTTCTAATCCTCTCGTGGAGATCGGCAATCGTGTCAAGCGCGTAAAGAATGTCGCGCTTTGCATTTGCCTCCGTCTCATCTTCTGCCACTGGTGACGCGTCAAGTGCTGTTGTGGAATCTGGGACTTTCGCTTCATCGGTATCAGCTGGCTCTTCCTCAGCAAATGCTTCGTCTTGCTTTGACGGTAGATTGTCCTTCCCAGGAACTTTGGACTTTGCTTTTCGGGCAGAGTTTATTAACTTGACTATTCGCCCGATCTCGTTGAGGCCAATTGTGGACGATGCGGAGAACCGGGTGTGGACTTCCTCTCCAAGTTCGTACGAACGGCGTACTTGAGCCTGGTGGTCGCGCAATTCTTTGACAGTGGGGTAAGGCAATACCCTTCGACGAAGAAGCGAGAAGAGAATGCGAAGGAACAAGATAGGCAGGAGGATGTTGTGGTACCAGAGGATCCAATATACCTAGTTGATGATACCTTGGTGAGTTATGGATTCGTAAAGGTCTGATGAATGATGGCCTCACACTACAGTAGAACAGGCTTCTCTTACGATTTTGCCAAGTGGCCAGCTCTATCAAGCTAGAGAAGAAAGGCCCGTAAACCGGCACAGTAGCCAGATAGAGCCTCTGTATGGCAACCTTCAATCTTCCAAGGGTGAAAGCAGGCCTAGGAGGGGCCGTCGGGAGTAGAAGCGATTCGACCCACTAACCAATTTCTTAGATATTTCATTGCAGCGGTTAGCTGATAGATATGGGAACATACGGAGCTTGGAAGCGTAGGAATCATATTTTCTGCTTGTGAATACCCATGATCCTCGATGTCACTTTGCTCGGGTAGGCTTGAGTCGTCAAAATGATCTGCGCTCTTGGCACTACTTTGCTCTGAAGGAAGACGGTGAACTTCCGTGACTGACTATTTCATTATGAGCAGAGCTTGGCAGTATAAGTGGACTACATTACCGTGGAGAATATATGAAGAAATCGGTTTATTTCATCGTTGTCATATATTTCTCTGAGTTGTTGTTCGTTGAGATCTTCGTACACTGGCAGAGGAGTTATGGTTTCCTCCACAGCTGAACCTTGCCAATTGATATTTGTATCAGGCATTCGAGGATGAGAATATGAGGCAATGAGCAGGTCCCAAATGGCCTTGCGGCATTGGAGAGTACATTGCTCCCCTTGCCGCAATGGGAGACGAGACCGTCATGATCGATTCTGGTTCGTGGGAAATCGCTGGGAATGGGACGCGTCCACGTGATGCAACGCGGTTCACTTACCAAATACTGGGACAAACAAACCTCCACTCTCCTGTTCTACATTCCTCAGGTTGTTCCTCAGTCGCAACCGCCATGGCACAACCTGGCCTACTACAATGGACGAACACCGTACGACTGACGATGGTCGAGGACTACGGCCGCCAATTCTTCAAGGATCAAATCCAGCAGCAAGGCTTCCTTTTTCTGGAGGACTATCTTGACAACATCCTGGCTGCAAGCGCGAAGGAGGAGTACGTTCATGGCATCATTCACGAAGAACTCTTTGAACTCACTACTTTGCAGTCCTCTAATTGATCTTGTCAAGACTCCGGGGCGTAAGAAGATGGCCAAGAAAGTGAAGCTTGTACCATCGAAGTTGAACAGCATGGTTTTATCCTCGCTCGATGTAAGTGTGACCATCAGACAGCACTGACTTCGTATCTCATCAAAGTACAGGCACCACTCGATACTGAGACTGTTCTACCCTCCGGTATAACATCGGAACATGCTGATGGCGATCCCTTCAAACATCTAGCAGTACCCTCCTTCGAGAAAGCACTTCATGTTGCGGAAGAAGTTACGACATGCGAAGATCAAGTTCCTCCAACCAATGCGACGTCTCCGCCTTCTTCATCAGCAATTGAGCAGAACAAGCATGTCCCCATTGCCACTTCTAACTCTGTTCATGAGCTTCAAACCCTCAATGTGGTGTTGCCCGAGCAAAACGAATTGTCAGTAATTGTGGAGGGTGACGAACCAGCTGACCGTAGTTTCGCCGTGGCGACGCCTGCAAGACCTGATGTCTCGTCTCACGGTGTCTCACTCGAATCTGTTGCGTTGGATAGCAAGCGTGAAGGTGGCATCTCACCTTCAGCATCTCTGCAACCAGATATGACGACGTCGTCATCGGTGGCAACATTCCACTCCATTACTCTCGACTCGCCACAAATCCCCAACGAGGAACAATCCGGTTTCCAACAACTCAGCGCCAATCTCTCGACACCCGATTCTGCACCTAAGCCGATACTAGAGCCCGAACCCCACCTTAAGGACGTACTGCGTAGCGCACCGCTGAACACAGAACAACAGACGCAAGAGAACGACATCGAGATACCCCTTCGAGAGGAGAATCCCCCTACCATAACTCGTAAGGCCAGCGTGTCCGCCTTTCCTATACTGCCGGAGCCTGCTCCTCTTCGCAAGTCTATGCGCAAGGCCACAGAACCACTAATGGGACCCCAAGCGACGCTGGGAGTGGCTACACCAGGACTCCCTGGTGGTAAACGGACTTCGTGGCTGAAAAAGGCTAGAGAGGTTAAAGCGATGGAAGAGACCAGTAAGAAATTCAGTACTCCGACTGGCTCGGCCCTTGCGTCAATTTACCCTCAGCAGTCCCAACCAGTCCTACAAGGGCTCAAGCGCAAAAGCGAAGAGGAGGGAATTGGCGGGACTGCAGACAGAGATCCCGAGTCGCGCAAACCCAAGGCCTCCAAATCTACATTAGGTGACTTCAACCTCTCGGTCCCCGAAGCCGTTCAATCTGCAGAAGAAGCGCCAACACACGACGCTGGTCATTATGCGCCCTCGACTGACGTTGAGAAGACGTCCGAGCGAGATGAAGTTGGAATCTTCAATACGTTCAAGAAGACGATGCAAGGTCTTGGAGCCCAGATAGGTAGGAATGGCAAGTCTCTTGCAGGCGCTTCTCTTGCTCTCGCCGAGGCCAGAGCAGCCGCCGAGGCCAAGATCGCGGAACGCGAGAAGCAAACGAACCCCGCGATTTACAACGATGTCGAGGACAAGACTACTCCGATGAGTATAGAGCAATTGGCTGGGAATGCCGTCGCTAAGTCCCACGAATCGGAACGACGCAGCAGGGAAGGACGCCTTAGTGTCTCCGAGTTGGTCGTCGATAAGAATACAGAATGGAGTAAAGATGCAGTATTCAATGCGAAGGTCTTCCATCGTGGCGAGTCGAGCAACCCGGTAACCTCGTCCCTAGGTAGTGTGTCCACGACACCACCTCATTCTCCCCCAGCAAGCACATCTGACTTCCCTCCTCCTGTTGCTGTTGCTGCTGGTCCCGTTTTCAACAAGCCTGTTCCTGTATTTGTGCCGCCCGCTCCACATGATCCTATTCCTCAAGCGAAGGCCGCAAGTGGACTGCCCTCGAAGGTAACCCAACCCACATTCTCGCTACCTGTGCCAATGTCCCTTGGCCTTGGATCTTTCCGCCCCCCTCCGAGTAACACTCATCACAACCCCCTTTCAGCTAAGTCGACGTTGGAAAGCTTGGTTTCGGACCGCGTCTTCAGTTCGCAAGACGAACCGGCGTGGATGCCTTCCACCCAGGATACCGAGTATCTAGACAGCTCGCAGATGTCGCAGTCGGGACGACTGGACAGGTTGAAGCAATTGGATGAAGACGACGACAGTTGGCCGGTGCAGGATCAGGTCGCTGGTGCGGTTCAATGGCCGTTCAACGTTGTTTCGAGCAAAGATGACAGCATGACATGGAGCAGTTTGCCCACTCAGAGTCAGAGAGGCGATACTGGCCCCTTGTTAACTGGCACGCACGAAATACAGGACGTCGAGAGGAGCCCGTCCCACGCCATTCCAGGTTCATTTGATATGGATTTCGAGCAGGGGGGCGTAGACGGCGATCTAGATGTTGCAGAGAGCGAAGGAAACGACATACAGACTGATATCGAAGAGCCATCCGAACATGTAACCGAAATAGTTTCCTCTCGCTCGATCGATCTATTTGCTGATTTTATTCCTAGAATAACGCTCCTCGCAGTCAGAGCCAGCTGTCCATCACATCTTCATCATCTTCCCAATCGCAAGGCGGATTCTTCAATCAAGCCACAAAGTTGGTCAGTAGTGTCTTGGGAACAAGCAAGAAGGGCAAGACAGAAGTCAAGAGTTTGCAACTCGCTGCTGCTGCTGCCAAGAAGGTTGATTGCATTATTCTGCCTTTTCTCTGTATACCGACCTTGTGCATTACAGCAACAAGAAGAGTCCGAGAAGAAAGCGGCGCGCCTGAAAGAAATGGACCACCGCCGTCAACTTGCTTTGCAACGGAAGGCTGAAGAAGAAAAAGCAAAGGCCGCTGAACAAGAGCGCAAGATGAAAGAAGACGCAGATCGCAGGAAAAGAGAACGTGAGGAGCACACCGAGAAACGACCGCTGAAGGGTAGTACCTTTACGAAGAAGGTTAGTCGCATCTTTCATTGGTAGACGCCCGACTAAGTCTGTCTTGGGTGCAGGAGGAAGATACAAATAAAAAGCGCAAGATTACCGTAGAGATGGACAAGAAACCGGAGATAAAAAAGCCCACGAAGTCGACCAAGCCCAGTCCTTCGACGAAGCCACTAATGAAGCCGATCGTCAAGCAAACCCCGGCACTTGCCTCCTCCGCTGCATATAACACGACTTCTCAGCCGCCCACTGCATCTAGTTCGAAGCTGCCTGAATCCAAAGCGTCGAAGACAGCGCTTGCTTCAGCGAAAGGGAAAGCAGTAAATCAGATTGTCGAGGATGATGGTACACAACCTGCGCAGTTGCTCCAAAGCCAGATGGCGGCTCGGGCTAAGGCTCAGTTAGACGCGGCTCGGGCTCAAGAGCCTGCTATACCAAGCGAGGCCATTGATCTACCTGACATAAATAGCGAGTACTCCGATTCCGATGACGAGGATCGACCGCGGACGTTCAACCCGCCTAGTTGGGCTCAATCCCCCGAGTTGAGGCAGGCATTGCTGCACCAGGGATCAATAAATCCCGACGATATATTTGGCGCCATCCGGCCTTTGCGGATGGAAGAGATTTTCAGATCGAGGACGAGCCGATTTAGAGCAAGAACTAGCTCTGCTAATTGGACGGGTACGGATCGTCTGACGATTGAAGAAGAGCGTGACTATGCAAGAAGGATGGGATATAGATGAGTGGCGACACAATTCACTGGCTCGTATTTATATATCTGCAACGTACGCTATCTTGTAATTATCTTCAGCTCCAGCGGTGTAACATTTGGTGTAAAGTTCAAGCCACTTGCAGCGCGTGACTTGCCTGTTCTGGTAAAATCGAGAGGCGCCCAGAGTTGCTGCTGGCCTTGTTGGGTGGCGTTGGCTTTGTTTGGTAAGATCCTTCTCCGTAACCTCCAACATCCTCAATTCTTGTTCTATATTTCCTTGACGCTTTCAACCACCACCATCCTGGCAGACGCACCAAATTCCTTCTCTTGAACTTATGACTTCCTCATCCTCCTCATCGCCCGAAATCCTGCCTTCAACAAGTACAGACCCACAGCACGAAAAGTTCTCATACAAGCACGCAACCCACGACGAAGTCCTTGAAGAACTTACTAGGTGGGTTTATCAACCGATTTACAGCTTATGCGGTTTGAACTCACTCGCCTTGTAGCCGCTTTATTGTCAATCTTCCCGAGGAAGAGCTTGCTTCCCTAGAGCGGATATGTTTTCAAGTGGAGCAGGCGTATGTTTCCCGCTTATCTGGATTGACCGTAACGACGCTGAATGCCCCCCTAGTCACTGGTTTTATGAAGACTTCATGCGCGAGGAAAATCCCAAGCTGCCTTCACTGCCGTTGAAGAAGTTCTCGGCCATGCTGTTTCGCGAGTGCCCGCTTCTACATCGCTGGCGTGATGATCATGAAGAGGCTTTCACCCAATTCATGCAATACAAGACCCGTGTACCGGTTTGCGGGGCTATCATGTTGAACGATTCCCTGGATAAGGTTCGTCGTCTTGTGATCATGTGCGAGTACGCTGATTGACTTGCTGGGTCTAGTGTGTGCTCGTGAAGGGCTGGAAAGCATCGTCTGGTTGGGGATTTCCCAAGGGAAAGATTAATCAGTCAGAACCACCCCATGTTTGTGCCGTTCGAGAGGTACGTCTTTTGGGAAAGGATGAGTAAGTTCCGGCTGATTGTTGCGGGACTTAGGTTTTGGAAGAGACCGGATATGATTTGGCTGGACAGATTGTCCCGGACGATGTTTTGACAACGACAATCAAAGACCAGAAAATATCCTTGTATATTGTTTCCGGAGTACCTGAAGACTATCCCTTCATGACGAAAACACGGAAGGAGATCAGTGTACGCACCTAAGGGTTCCGTTCATCACATCATAAATGCTGAAGTATCCTCAGAAAATCGAATGGTTTCGTTTAGTCGACCTCCCCACCTGGAAACGTAACAAAACTGTTGCTGGCAAGTTTTATCTTATCTCGCCTTTTATTGGGTTTGTCGTCATCATTGTTATGCATCACTACCTCCCACTCACCTATCCATGTATAGCCCCTTGAAAGCGTTTATCAATGCCCGACGACCCACAAGGCTGGGGCGGACAAGGCGTGCCCCTGCTCCCGCTTTGCCCACCACAGAAGAGGAGGACGAGGGGGCCGACCTTGTATCAGTTGGGCAAGGACAGTATGCAGATTACTCCGATGCAACGCAAGAATCTAGCTCCCAGTCCTCGTCGGCGGATAATGGCGATCCTCAGACCCCGTCTCCCCAGTATATACAAGCTGTTGCCCGCGCACCGCCACATATCGCCGCTTCACACCCAGAGCCCGTCGACCCGCATATGGCCCGGCTTTTGTCGTCCCTCACGCTGTCTGCCACGAGTACAGTCGTCGATGAAGTCTCAGCCAAGAAGGTCGCCAATGCTCAACTTGCTCCCAGCACGACGTCGTTCAAGATGCCCGCCGGTCGGTCGGTCAGTCACGAAGAGCCTCAGCCAGCGTTGCCCGTTTCACCACCACAACAATCGCAAAGGACTTCGTCTTCCCCGCAGGCAAGCAAGGCGCCGGCGTCCCGGCAAGCGCCTGTCGCAGCTGCTCCCGTCAATCCACCATCATTGATTGCCCCCACGTCGCCCATCTCTCCTCGATCGCGTGGGCTTGGCTCGAGGCGCACAGCAAGTACCGCAGATATCTCTCCTTATTTATCTCGTACCATCGAGGCGCCTTCTTCTGCCAAAACCCTTAAGCAGCTTGCCCTTCTAGAATCTATTGCTAATGAGTCGGAGAAAGTGACTCCAACCCTAGCCAATCGTGGCCTTCCTTCTGTTGGTTCTGAATTTTCAAATGCGGGCAGATTTTCTGCTCTTCCCGGGCCAATGAATGCGCCCTCTACACTAGCACCCAATCTAAACGACTTGCACGTGATCTATTCATCCAATCCCGTTGCAGGTCCGCCTTCAAATGCGCATTTCCCTAGCACATATCACCCACTACCGCAACCCGATCCTTTCCAAGTCCGTCCGCACACCAGCCTTTCTTATCGTAGCCCAATGCCGGGCCACGGTATCGTGCACATTCCTCAACCTGCACCCTACGTTATTCCTTCCCCCATGCAGTTCCAGCCATTCTTTCAGACTCCTTCAATGATGCCTCTTCCCCCAGCTGGCCCGCAAATGATGCAGCCCTTTGTCCCCCCGCCCATGCCGCGGCCTTCGTCCCAGTTCTCTGGTGCGTTCATCCAAGGCAACAACCGTATGGCCATGGCATCCCCAGGTGACTCTGCAGGGTTCAATCCTCGCGGTGCCGTTGCCTTCAACCCTTTGCTATCCATTCTCAACGCTAAGCAAGCGTAACGTAGATTATACTCAGATCTCTATTTTCGCTGATGATTTCACGTAAAAACGTCAGCTTGCCACATTCCTTGGTTTCAGTCTACTACTTCCCTGCTCGTATACACTATTATCTGCGGCTTTGCTCCCGTCTCATACATATATTTTATCTCCGCTGCATCCGCTTTCTCCCTCCCTATAGCTCTTGAAAGTTTCCTCTTCCCGTCAATAGTGATTACCTTGAAGCACCCCAATCCCTCCTCCGTAGTTTCATCTGACTCTTTACATATACGCTTCTGTCGCGCACCGCATGTACATCGCAGTATTTCTGTAGTCTGTAGCTTTTTACATATCACTTGGTCGTCTATCAATCGTCTTAACAATTGCAATCTGCCACTATTGTACATCCTTGGACTGATACTTGTTTTGTCTCGATAGTTGGATAAATATGAGGTTGTTTAACTTTGAACTGGTTGGGATGCTATTACGAGCCGGGGCTTATATTTAGTATGCAAGTAATTAGTGCTGAATCTATAGCTACCGTGTGGAGTTGACAGCCATGCTCGAATCTAGACTTCCTGAACGGTTTTAGCGCAGGGTCCAACCAATGGTTGATTCTGCCAAGAAGAAATAGGGAGGTGGGGCATGTAGATCCTTGCATTTCCAGCGCATATCAACGAGGGTCGATGGGGAGGACAGGTGGAGTCGTACTGGTGGGAATGCGCTCTGCATTTCGGGGCGACAACAATTGGAGCTATGGCGACATGTCAGCGCTTCAGCCTGAATCCGAAGATGTGCGTTGTCTCACGAACGGGAGCCCTTGCCGTCGGATCCGTCGATTGACGAGAGCTGTGCAAGCAAGATGGTTTCAACCCAGCGGATGACAGAAAAGAAGGTTAGGCCTCGGTTGATGCAGACACCACATGTGAGCTGTTGCGGCATCAGACATCGAAGCTTGTGGCTGACCCTTTGGCTTCCTTTGGGTGGAGAAGCATGTTAACTGCAAGCGGTCCAATGGAATAATGGAACATGGGATTCTGAGCTTAGTCGCTGTCACTGGGGATTCAGAATTCCGGCCATTTACAGCAGTGACATCCAATATCCTGTGGCTGCAGCACTGGATCCCCGGATGCACCATACGTGATACTCGGACTCGGACACCCGGCATATTCAAGCGCGCCGAGTCTCCGAACCTCCAAATGCAGTGATCTCGGCCATTTGTCAGCTCTCGGCGCCGAAAATGGATATTCAGCAGCAATTATCACCTTCAATCTTCCATTACAGCCTTCGTCACTCCTTCTACTACATTTCCATGGACGTTGTCTACTATCTATTATAGCTTTTGTCATTTTAGAGCTCACGCACCATGCTCAACGGCAGCAGTATCAAAATATTCTCTGGTATGTCTCGCCCACTAGAATTCACCGGCCAAGGCAGCTTTGTTCAGCTCAGTGCGATGCAGGAACAAGCCACCCAGAGCTGGCAGAAATCATCGCCAGGCGGTAAATTTGCTGCCAGATTCCTGCGCAGGAAAGATCGCTCAAACTTGGGGAACCCTTAGGATTGGTCTACCCCTCTCCAAGGCCGAAATTACTCGCAGCGGTATCGGCGAAACCAGTGTGCGCATCGCAGAATCCGTTCGTGAGGACGATGTGTACATTATCAACACTGGATGCAGTCCCATCAACACCGCACTCATGGAGTTGTGCATTATGATACATGCTTGCAAGATCGCGAGCGCAAAAAGGATCACCGCTGTGATTCCGCTATTTCCTTACGCCAGGCAGGACAAGAAAGACAAGAGTAGAGCACCCATCACAGCAAAGCTGGTGGCTAATATGATACAGAGGGCTGGCTGCGATCACGTCATAGTAAGTCCGTTAGTCGGGTTCTGGGAATGCATAGCATAAACACCTTATGCTGCCTAGACAATGGACCTGCATGCGTCCCAGATACAAGGATTCTTTGACGTCCCGGTTGACAAGTGAGTTTATCCAATGGTCTGGCGGGAATGCAGACTCACCATCGGCTATCTCGTCAGCGTGAGTTGACGCAGTAATCATCCGTTGGTAAAAACCCTTCATAGTTTGTGCTTGCCAAGCTTTATGCGGAACCATCGGCCATATTATACATTCGAACCAACTTCAAGCTAGAGGACGTCGTAATCGTTTCGCCGGATGCTGGAGGTGCGAAGAGGTAAGCGTATTTAATTACCAGCACGAGGCGTGACTTACAGGGATGCACGGACTTCTAGGGCGACTTCGATGGCTGATCGATTGGGGGTCGATTTCGCCCTATTCCACAAAGAGCGCAAAAAGGCGAACGAAGTGTCGCGAATGGTTCTGGTGGGCCATGTGAAGGACAAGACGGCGATTCTGGTGGACGACATGGCTGACACTTGCGGGACGCTCTGCCTAGCTGCACGCCATCTGACGGAGGCCGGTGTCGCCAAGGTGTACGCAATTGTGACACATGGTATCCTTAGCGGCAATGCCCTTGAGTCGGTGACTTCGAGCGTGCTAGAGAAGCTGATTGTGACGAACACGCTCCCTCAGCGGGCCAACCAGGCGGCGTGCCCCAAGATCGAGGTGCTTGACATTGGGCTGGTGCTAGGAGAGGTGATCCGTCGCAGCCATTACGGGGAGAGTGTGTCGAAGCTATTCCACGAAGTTCCGTACTAGGCTAGGACTGCATTTTGTACTAGAGTTCGATCGGTGTTGTGAGATCAGATATGTCTAAATGCAGGAAAAAGCGGGCAAAAAGCAAGAATCGAGCATGATTTTGATGGGAAGCGAGTAGGTGCAGGAGTCTGGGAATTGGAATTGATGGAAAAGAAAAGGGTTTGGTGACAGTCATCTTTTTTGGTCCTCGAAGCAAGCAAGCTGGACTCGGCTCGCTCTTGTACACTCATCTTCCTTCTTATCCTTATTCCTTACCATATGTTCCTCAATTCTGGCGACGGGCAATGCTAAGCGTATCATGTACCCATCTGAACACAATGTCCACAACAATCCCACAAACGGCCACCATCCCCAGCGTTCTCAACCACAGCACCACAAGGACCCAGTCACCGTCGTCGGCATTCCCTCCGTCTCCATCCAGAATAATCGTCTCGAGGTCGGCTCCTCGCAGAGCAGTCAGTCGCTCTCTTTTGTCGCCCACAGCCCTCTCACTCATCCTCCAATCCAGGTTCGACACGATCTTACACACCCCTCAAGGTACTGGGAGATGGTTCTTTCGGAACCGTCTGGTTGTGCGATTGGCATGGGACCCTACCCCCCAATACCCCTCTCTCTCCCATGCAATGTGGTCGGGGCGCGCGCCCGGAGTGGGCTGGGAAGCGACTAGTAGCCGTCAAAAGGATGAAGAAGCAATGGGAAGGCGGGTGGGACGAGTGCCAGAAACTCAAAGAACTCGAGGTGCGTTCCCGCTCACTTGCTGTTCTCTATCTTCCGCGTTGCCAACGCCGCCCCGCTTGGATAGTCGTTGCGCGCAATCCCCTTTCACCCCAACATCATTCCTCTATATGACTTCTTCCTGCTGCCGACGTCCAAGGAGCTCTACTTTGTCTTCGAATCTATGGAAGGCAATCTTTACCACCTTATCAAAGCCCGCAAAGGTAAGGCCCTTGCTGGCGGCCTCGTTTCATCCATTTTTCGGCAAATTGTCAGTGGACTCGATCACATTCATACATGGGGCTATTTTCATCGAGACATGAAGCCAGAAAACGTTCTCGTCACCACCATCGGCCTCCATGATTATGTCTCTGTCTCTCCTATCGCTCCCCCCAATGGCCCACCAGAAAAAGATGTCGTCGCAATCATCAAACTCGCTGATTTCGGCTTGGCAAGGGAAACGAAGAGCAAGCCCCCGTACACCGAATATGTATCGACGAGATGGTACCGTGCTCCAGAGGTGCTTCTCCTCAGCCGAGACTATTCAAATCCGGTCGACATATGGGCCTTGGGGACTATAATGGCAGAGCTTGTCAACTTGAGACCGCTGTTTCCCGGCTCCGGGCAGGTTGATCAGGTAGCACGCATTTGCGAGATTTTGGGCGACCCGAGTGAGGATTACGGTCTTGACTCGCATGGTTTCCCCCTTGGGGGCGGGAAGTGGGCTAGAGGTGTCAAGCTTGCAAGAGCCGTTGGCTTTGCTTTCCCGAAGGTCGGCCTCAAAAATTCTACGATGTCCTTGCTAAAGCTCACTACTGTTTGCCGTAGATTCATCCCAAGGACTTCTTTTCGCTATTTGATCGTAGTGTGCCGAGCTCGCTTGTTCAACTTATTGGACAACTTCTCAAGTATGACCCTGATAAGCGGTTGACAGCACGGCAATGTCTGGAGCATCCATACCTATTGGAGACCACGCCTCGCAATCACATACCCTTGCCGAGTGGTCTCCAACTTTCAATACCGTCCTCCACCAAGTCTCCGCGGACGGGACCGTTGTCCCCAACTTTGGCGTCACAGTCTCCGCGCTCCTTACCGCCGTCCCACTCTCATCATTCGATCCAAGATGGTACATCTTCGCACCGCGCACCATTTTTCGCCTCAACTGGATCTATTGCACCGTCTCCTTCTATATCAACCCCTGACTTCTCTAATGGTCGCATCTATCAGCAACACCCTGTTGCGAGTTCCACCCTGGTCAATGAAGAACAGCGCAATGGCTCACATCCAAATTGGCCCGCTCCAGATCAACCTCCTCAGAATGGCGATTATCCGATGCTTATCTCACCGCAAGGCGAGAAGCAGGAATCGTTCCCCACCAATGGGCATTTCATGGAGGCTGTCGAACAATCTCATGGGGATGTTCATCAGCAGGGAAGCAAACCAAGATTCGGATTCCGAAGATGGTTTGGTGGCGACAAAGCGCAGCAGAATGGATTGCCTCCGGTCGAAGAGGTCCCACCTAATCCGAATGGTCTTAAACGTGCCAACCCTCCAGATATCATCGCCGCTCCAGATTCTCCTGTTGTCGATCCTCCGCTGCCTCCAGGCGATCTCAAGAAAGCCAACAAGAAGGAAGCGCAGAAGGTTCAACGAGAGGCAGAGAAACAACGACGCGCGCTTATGGAGAAGACCCAACGAGACCAAGCACGAGCTGTAATGATGAAGCGAAACCAGCTTCTGCAGAAAACTACCGGCAACGATCTCGAATGGCTAAGTCACGGGAACGAGGCGCGTATAGCTTTCAATGACCCTCTAAACAAGGGTAAGGAGCCTGTATCGGGACGGGTACGTCAGCCCAGCAATTCATCTGGACATCTCGGGGCATCTTCGACCATTGGTGCGGCTTCGGGGATGTTTGCGCAGCCATCAGAAAAAGGGACGAAGAGCAATGAATGGCGGAGAGACGATGAACGAGCTACGAAAGTGCGACGCCAGGAGTTCGATGATGGGATGTCAACGATGTCCTCGTCTGATGTCCACAGCATCGGTCGAATGTCTTCGATATCCTTCGCAACCGTCGACAGTGATCCTGGACCGAATCGAATACGAAATCGCCCGAGTATATTTGGCCTTAATCGTATGACTTCGACGTCTTCGTTGCGAACATCCTTCGACGACTTCCCAGCCTCTGCTCGTAGCTCGAACTCGCTGTCATTAGAAGGCCAACTGGCCAACGACTTCCGTGTGCAAGCATCTGTTGACCCGGTAACACCTCTATCCGGCAGTGTCTCCCCACCTCCAATACATATGCTCTCGCTTTCTCCTACGCTTTCTCCACAAATACCCTCATCTCCGCCTTGGATACACGTCCAGCATCCGCAGGATTATTCGAATCAGAGAGATCATCAATATGTCTCCATACCACCACCTTCCCTTTCGCACCTTAATCCTTCTGGCCGACATAGTCCCTACGACTATTCGGGGCATGGTCATAGCCACCCGCCAAGTCCGGGGTATGACCCAAAGTCGGCCATAAATCCTATATTTAAAGTAGTGAGTACCCGATGCAATCCTTCCGGTTACGACCTCCAACCGACGCCTTCGTTTAGCCTCCACTACCAGCATCACCACACGGAGATGGCCTAGAGCCTGCCCCCACTCTACCTCCCTTCAGCCACCTGGAAGCTGTCGCAGAGGGTGAATATCCACCCCTTTCGCCAATGGCCTTTCATACGCCTGAAGATGTATGATGCATTAGAGGGGCATTCGTTCCTTTCATCGTTTATTTTCGCTATTTGTTTCTTCCGGCTCTTTCAGCAGCATATTCGCACTCTCATTGTCATCTTTTCGCATTCAATGTCGCATTCGTCAATGTCACACTCACTTGCCATGGACCCGGGAGGTTGTACCCTTAGGCAAAGTAACCTAATCAACCGTCATGGCTCTGCCTCTTGCACATCTAGTAGTCTGGTCACCTTTTATTATATCGTACATATCGTTCCACTAGTCCTACTTTCCGAGCCGGACTTACTAGGCATCTTAGTAGACAGACCAATTGTATTTTTATGTGCCGTGTAAGTCCACGGCAACCCTGCAATTCTCGCGCGTCAAGGAAATCGAGTTCTTTGTCTAGTTGCTATGTAGCCGCTCTAAGGTCGGCGCTACGAACATATCAACACAGCTGAGGTGGACGAACTACAGCGTAGTATGTGCGCTAATGATCGTGGGGTGCTTGTTCGAAACGAATCCCGCTAAACAACGATGGGCTGTAAGTCCTGGGGAAGCTCAGTGAGTCAAGCCAAGTCCAACGCACCAATACCTGGGTGAAGAACTAGATTTAGTCTAAGCTGCCACAGAAAAGAATAACACTTACCCGCATGGTCTGGGACCGGGTTGATCCTGGAAGAATGAGAAATAAGATCGGAATGCTATGAAGTTTTAGATAGACCGCACCAGATTGATGTAGATTTTAGGGTGGCCCAGAGGACCGCCACCTATGCAAGCGCGCTTTGTGAGGCCCACAGCAATTTGATAGCAAGCTACTCACCGCCATCACATACAGCTTTCCGGCCGTGAACGAGCCGAATGGGCTCATTCGCAATGAGTTCCATTGCGCTAAGTGGGTTGGGCTGCACTTCCATAGCTGTTTGCTCGAAACGTGGGCCCGAGCTTCCGGCTGGTCTTGGATTTTGACTAGTAGACCATGTAGACGGGTAATTGGGAGCTTGGGGGGACGTCTTTGATGGAACCGCTACGGTCGACGAGGCGATGGATGAGTTGGCGCGTGCGATCAGCCTGTGGCTCTGCCTGAGCTGCGATACGAGGCGACTGAACATGGTCGAGGTCGGGAATGATTCTGGCGCAACAAGGTCGGAATAGCAGCTAAGTGATTAATTACGTAATCTCATTCACAGGGGCGATTAGGAGTATGGATCGTTCCAAGTTATTTCTTTGGTGCGGTAGAGCTAGTCCGAAGTTGTTAGTATGCATTGAAGGGCTAAGAAGGCGACTTGTGAGCTTGAGTGTTCCATTTTCCTTTGGATTACTGAGCCACGAGGTCTATGAACTCGTGCTTCCCAAGGTTCCCCTTCGTTCCGACTGTTTATTTTGGTGCTGATAAGGTGCCAATCGGCAATAATATTGATAAGTTAGACATTAAAGCCTTGCGTGTAAGCGATTAGAAAGGTTCCATATGGTATAGTATCTCCGGGGTTCTGAACTGATAGAGTATGGACACAAATACTACATCGCCTTGCAGAATCTCTTGTGCCGAGGCTTCCAATCCTTGAGCTAAAGGGGCTTTAAAAAATGGTTGTGGAACGTTAAAATAGACTTACCTGACAAACATCGGAACAGTAGAAGACAGCCTAGGACGACGTCAATATTGACAATGGTACACAACTTGATTCCTTGCTTACCTTGCATTGCCCACACGTCGAGAGCTGCCCAATGCTCAGCACTGCGCGGGGGCACTTCAATGAGAAGTTAGATGAGGTCAAGACCCAGCAATAGGACGTCCGCTCACATAATAGTAGGCACATAATATCTTATTTGGTGCACCAAGAAGCCGCATATTCTTCGCGGCGAGTATGCGTCGAGTCATTTCGTAGACTTGGGCAAGATTCTCGCGCGATACAGCAGCGTCGAATACATGGTCTGGCCCAGCACGACTTCTGATGCCAACTGCGGTCATAAATTCAGACTCGGCTTCAGCTAGACGATTCATCTTCACGTAGAGTTCGCCCAACGCATTGTGAGAGGCAGCCGTTTCTACCGATTGAGCCCCGAAAACGCATGTTTTCGTTCGAACGATACGTAGGTAGAGTTGTTCGGCCGCGCAGTGATTGCCGGAATGTGCGGTCTGGAGTGCTTGAAAGCTGAGCTTCTTGCACTCCTGGCGCACTGATGTCTCTTGACCTGGGGAAGCGGCGGGGATCATTATAGTACGAGAGAAAGATGAGAGACCTCGTAAACCGCACCATTGACATCATCATACCCAGCGAAATGAGACAATGTCTCCTTGTTCTGCTGATCGGCTGTATTTCAGATGAGACCACTACATTCTGTACGAGTCTCGGATCAAGGATGCATGCCGCTGCAAATATCGCGTTTTCATATGTGCGCTCGATGTACACTAGAAGATGCCGGCGAGTCCAATATTCTGTCAACGATCGAAATGATGAGGACGCACCTAACTATCACAGACCGCCTACGCGATCCAGGAGGGATCCTGAGGGATCTAGAAGCGGCTGGTTTACCGATGTTTATTCAAGAAGGTGCCGTCGAGTCTTCCCACGTGGCTCAGTGCGTGACAGGAAGTGACATCACCCCATTTCGGAACAACTCTGAAGAGGCTTCAAGAACATTCGAACGATGTCCAGACTCATCCGCAACCCTCGACACGGTCCCGGTCATCTACGCTCAAGAAATAAAAGGTGGTGGTCTGGAGGACGCTGAGCCCCAGAATATACCACTCTTTCTGATACCCCCATCATGTCTGTTGATAATTTCGACTTTACCGACAAAACTCGCCGCACGATCACTGCTGCCGTCCAACTGGCAAAGGACTATGCGAATGCTCAAGGTAAAGTTGCATGTATGCGCATATAACCCCATATATACTCACGTCCTCGTGAATAGTTCACCCAGTGCATATCGCCTCAGCTCTCTTGAATGATTCAGGAGAAGATGAGCAGCCGGGAGGATTGGGAGACACTTCATCCTCATCTAGATCCCAATCCTTGTTCCATTCAGCAATCTCAAAGGCCGGCGGTGACCCAGTAAGTAGTTTGAACTGTAACTTCTAATTTCAGCGTCCTAACATCTCAATAGGCAGTAGTTAAACGCGGAATACAGCGTGCAGTCGTTAGACTGCCTACGCAAGATCCCCCTCCTGAAGAAGTTTACTTCAGTGGACCGGTACTCAAAGTTGTACGAGAAGCGCAGAGCTTGCAGAAGACAATGCACGACTCGTACATCGCTCAAGACCATTTACTCCTCGCCGTCTTGAAGGACGCGACCATCCAAACAATTATCAAAGAAGCCGGGCTTACCGAAGCTACTTTGAAAACTGCCATTGAACAAGCACGAGGAAACCGTCGTATTGAATCCAAAACCGCCGAACAGGGTTTCGATGCCCTGCAGAAATACGCCGTCGACTTGACCGCTCTGGCAGAGGAAGGCAAGATCGACCCAGTAATTGGACGCGACAATGAAATTCGTCGCGTCATCCGAATTCTCTGCCGAAGGACGAAGAATAATCCGGTTCTAATCGGTGAACCTGGTGTAGGAAAGACCTCGATCGCTGAGGGTCTTGCACAGAGAATAGTCAAGAGAGATGTACCGGCTAGCTTGATATCTAGACTATACTCACTCGATATGGGTGCTTTGATGGCAGGCGCGAAGTATAAGGGTAAGTACTCTATAAATCCTCCACAAGTGTATTCATGTGTTTATATTTACGATTACGAATAGGTGAATACGAAGAACGTATCAAGGCTGTCTTGAACGAGGTCGAGAAGGCCTCCGAAGATGGTGGTCCAGGCGTCATCCTCTTTGTTGATGAACTGCACCTCATCATGGCCGGGCGTGGCGCAGAAGGAGGAGGCATGGACGCCGCCAATCTCTTCAAGCCTCTTCTTGCACGTGGCAAGCTTCGGTGTATCGGCGCGACCACACTCGCCGAGTATCGAAAATACATCGAAACCGATGCGGCTCTCGAACGTCGATTCGCCCAGGTACTAGTAAACGAACCGAGCGTGCTGGAAACGATCAGTATCCTTCGAGGCATTCGGGAGAAGTATGAAGTCCATCATGGTGTCAGGATATTGGACGGCGCGTTGATACAAGCCGCGACATTGGCACACCGCTACTTGACATCTCGGCGTCTGCCTGATGCTGCTATCGATTTGGTGGATGAGGCTTGTGCTAGGTAAGCCGTTTGATCCTTGACTCTCGGTGTGAACGTTATGCTTATGCAGTATTTCAGTGTACGTGTTAATCGCGAAACAGAGCCCGAGGCGATCGACAAGCTTCAACGCAAGAGGCTTGAGCTTGAGATAGAAATTCATGCCCTCGAGCGAGAGAAGGATGCTGCAAGTAAAGAGCGTCTGCAAGCCGCGAAGAAAGCTATTTCCGACATAGATGAGGAATTGCAACCTCTTCAGGCCGCGTTCCAGGCTGAGAAGATGCGAGGCGATGAACTCAACGTACTGCGGCGGAAGATGGACGAACTCAAGGCGAAGATCGAAGAGGCTGAGCGAAGGTTAGTCAAGTTCTTAATATTTTTGAGCCAAATGCTGATAATAATGCATCTAGACGCGACATTACCACTGCCTCCGATATGAAATTCTATGCTGTCCCCGAAGTGCAAGCCCGTATCGAGCAGCTAGAAGCGAAGAAGGCAGCAGAGGACGCTTCGACCGGCTCTGCAGCCGATGTAGTGACCCCAGAAGCCATCGCAGATATTGTTGGTCGGTGGACCAACATACCCGTCTCGAGGCTCATGTCCTCCGAAAAGGAGAAGCTGCTGAGGATGGAGAAGATTCTCACCGAAAATGTCGTTGGACAGCCCGAGGCGGTGAAGGCTGTGGCAAATGCTATCCGGCTATCCCGCAGTGGGCTCGCGAACGCTCAAAGACCCATTGCAAGCTTCCTTTTCGCAGGCCCCAGTGGTACGGGTAAAACTCTTCTTTCAAAAACAGTAAGTCCATATCTCTTGGTTTCCTCAATCAGATCTGACCATTTGACTAGCTCGCGACACTTCTCTTCGACTCGCCTGATGCTATGATCCGAATTGATGGCTCCGAGTACTCAGAGAAGCACTCTATTGCTCGTTTGATCGGAGCACCACCAGGGTACATCGGCCACGATGCTGGAGGTCAACTCACGGAATACGTTCGCCGCAAGCCTTACAGCATCATCCTCATTGATGAAATCGAGAAGGCCTGTCGAGAATTTGTCACCCTCTTCCTGCAAGTCCTCGATGACGGCAGACTTACTGATGGTCAAGGGCGTGTCGTTGACTTCAGAAACTCGGTTATCATCATGACATCCAACCTAGGCGCCGCCTATCTCAACGACATGGGCGATGGACCTGTTCGCCCTGAGACAAGAACACTAGTCATGGGCGCGATACAAGGTCATTTCCCTCCCGAGTTCGTGAATCGTATCGACGAGATTGTTATATTCCGGGCGCTCTCACAGAAGAACGTGCTGAAAATCGTGGACATTCGTCTCAAGGAAGTACTTGAGCGTCTCGCCGAGCGAAAGATTACGATCGACATCGACGACGTGGCGAAGAGCTACCTCAGCTCGGCCGGATATTCTCCCGCTTACGGCGCTCGTCCACTGAACCGGGCCATCCAAAGTGAACTCTTGAACCCCTTGTCGATCATGATCTTATCTGAACAAGTTCGTGACGGCGAGGTCGTGAAAGTTCGCTTTGACGGACCTCACAATCGCCTGAATATCATCCCGAATCACGAAGCGACCGAAACACAAGGGATGGATGTAGATTATGACGACGACGATATTGAAATTGAAGAGATGGACTAAGGGAATGTCACCGTCATGTTTTAAAAAAAAGCTGTATCACTTCACTCCATGTACACCAAACGCATTAAAACTCAATTGTAGAATAGTATCACCACATGTACGTTTATAACATGATTTCCCCTTTCAATCCTAGGCTAAAGTCAGTTGTACTTGCACAGCCTATACATGTACAGTAAGTTCAGACTTCGACCGCTTCAGTGAATGTCCATCATTTGATTTAATGATCCCTCACACCGTTCGAGTCTAGCGGCTCCATTGAGACAGCTTTATAAAGGTATGTTCTATGAAAACCATTTGTATTAGCAGGCGGATCCGATGTCAGCGCCAGCGCCATCGAACAGCTTGCCCCAAGAAAGCACGCTCGAGGTGGTCACGATTGTGGGAGTACCGGAGTCCGTGACATTAGGAAGGGACCATCCGGAAATCGAGTCGACAGAAATTAGTCAGTCCTCGTTCATGGTTGGAAATTAATTTTGACTTCTGTGACTTCCATAGGCGTGAGGTCGTACACCGTCCTCAAACAATTAGGCGATGGGATGTTCGGGGTGGTTTGGTTATGTGATTGGCATGGAGCTCTTCCCTCCTCTGCCCTCCTCTCACCGGTGCAATGCGGAGACAGGGCACGAGAGGAGTGGAGACGCCTGAAGCATCTGGTCGCCGTGAAGAAGATGAAGCAAATATTTACTTGGGAAGAGTGTATGAAGTTCAGAGAGTTGGAAGTAAGTACACTTCGGTCGCTGCAAGAATATCATACTAAATATTACTACCTAGATTTTGCGCACTATGCCGCCTCATCCTAACATCATATCATTATATGATTTCTTCTTGTCCACCGATGAGCTTGCGCTCTGTATGGTCTTCGATGCGATGGAAGGCAATTTACATCATTTCATCAAAGCTCGCAAAGGTCTTAAACTTGCTGGTGGCCTCGTTTCCACCATCTGTCGACAAATCGTAGGCGGGCTGGATCACATACACTCGTCGGGCTATTTTCATCGAGATCTAAAGCCCGAGAATATACTCATCACAACAATTGGCCTTCATGAATATGTCTCCGTCTCGCCCAACGCCCCGCCCAACGCGCCACCAGAGAGAGACGTCATTGTCATCGTCAAAATCACTGACTTTGGATCCGCACGCGCAATCGAGAGCAACCCGCGATTCACGGAATATGTCTCAGTTCGCTGGTACCGTGCTCCCGAGGTTCTGCTACTCAGTCGCAATTATTCTGCCCCCGTCGACATGTGGGCTCTCGGTACCGTCCTGGCAGAGATTGTCAATCTTAAACCTTTGTTTCCTGGGTCGGGGCAAGTGGATCAGATAACCAAACTCACAGAGATTCTAGGCGATCCGAGTAGGGATTACGGAGTGGGTGTTGATGGGACGCCTTTGGGTGGGGGTCCATGGTCTGAAGGGGTCAAGCTAGCACGCGAAGTCGGATTCACATTTCCACAGGTACTTAGCCGTTCAAACTTTCAATGTATATGGAGTATTTGCTAACGGGCTTGAAGGACCCTCCACAAAGACTGTCCACGCTGTTTGATGCGCATGTCCCGCATCAGTTGATTCGACTTATCTTAGAACTGTTGCGGTACGATCCTACCAAGCGCCTGACATCAGGACAGTGTTTGCAGCACCAGTACCTCACGGAAGTAGCATCAAGAGACGATAGTATCCCCGTACCATCGGGTTTGGAGCGCTCATATGTGTGCTCATTAGCAAGCTATTACGGTCTTGCCACCCCGGGTGCTTCAGTGGATACATAGACTCTGATTCGCTGCATTACCGTTGTACCACCAACGTGTGCTGTATTAGGCTAGAAGAGTGCGGGATTGGCGCGGGCGATGTAATTCAAGGTTGTCACCAATCTACCATTCGGAGTAAATATATACGGCCTCGGTGTGGTGAATGGTGACCTTTCTGTTATCGATGTAAGTCTCAGCTCCAGGGCGAGCACTTGAGACAAGAACCCCTGTTTAGCCCCTTTGAACCACGTGCGACGTTTAGCAGCAGTTGAGCGTGCTGTTGTGGCATCAGAGCGTACACCATCTCGAACGTCCATCACCAACTTCATGGCACGATGAGCTCGTGGTCATCAAGCTCATCGTCGAGCTCAATTTCTGCGCAAATGGATCTGCACCTTGCCGACACCTATATCTCCATTCCTTTAGGCATATTCATTGGCCTTCTCGCTTCATTCATCCAATCTCTCGGCCTCACAATCCAGCGAAAGAGCCACGTTCTCAACCAGCAACTTCCAGAGCATGAGCAGCGTGTAGAACACCGCAGACCGTGCGTGAATCTCTCCATATGTTGTGGACAGCAATTCACAAAATGTTGCATGTTCTCGGCACTAAATCCGCTCTTCTGGACGTTGCTTCGGGAATAGTCTCTGGCTACTGGGCTTCACCATCTTCATATCTTCCAATATCCTGGGGTCACTAGTGCAAATAGCCTCGTTGCCAGTTGTCATTCTTGCTCCTCTAGGCGCCGTATCTCTGTTATGGAATGCATTCTTCGCAAGAATGCTTTTGGGAGATGTCTTCTCTCCCTGGATGATCCTTGGAACCCTTCTCATTGCCGGAGGAGCCGTCCTCATTGCCGTTTTCGGTATCGTCCCCGAACCCACACACTCATTAGAGGATCTGCTTGCCCTTTTCAGGCGACCTCCATTCGTTGCCTACTTCTCTACTCTCGGATCCGTCGTCTTCGTCGCTCTCGTTGTTGTAAGCTTCTTCCATTCTTTATGAAGTATGTTTCGTGATCTTAACTATGTATTAGAGCCATATAGTTGAATACTCCCTCTCGCGCCGCACCACCTCGTATGATACTCCATTGGTCACAACAACACCAGTGGTTCATGCTAGCCTACCAGAGAACCCGTCTACCCTTACGACAGGTGTGACAAACACACTTAGCGAAGCTATCACAACCGAAAGGACACCTCTTCTCACCCGCAAGAACCGCACATTGTCCTCTGCATCATCCACTAATTCATCATTCCTCACTGGCTCTAAGGGAGCATCCATTCAGCGAACGCGGCTTCTGCTAGCCATTTCTTATGCTTCATTCTCTGGCATCCTCTCGGGGATGTGCTTAATATTCGCCAAGAGTGGGGTGGAACTACTTGTGCTATCGTTACGAGGGCACTTTCAATTCTGGCGATGGGAGTCCTGGGTTCTAGTCCTGGGGCTCGTCGTTTTCGCCCTTCTCCAGCTCTGGTACCTTCACAAAGCACTTGTGTTGGCTGATCCGACCCTCGTCTGTCCTTGTACGTGCCATCACTATAAACCTTGGGAGGATTTGATTCTGATTGTTCAGGATATTAGCGGCGTTCTGTTTCTACAACATATCTTCGATCGTCAATGGTCTCGTATACTACGACCAGTTCTCCATGATCCCGCCTCTCCATCTCGGCCTCGTTGGCCTTGGTATGGCCGTACTTCTCAGCGGCGTCTGGGTCGTCAGTATCCAGTCCTCAGATGATGCGGCTGAAGATAGTGATTGGAGTGACGGGGAGGTTAGTAGCTTGAGTGACGTCGAAGTTGCGTCCTCCCCACGACAATTACAACCATCCACTCGAGTGGATGACGATGTCGAAGAAAGCAATGACGAAGACGCAGATGTCCTAGCGGAGCGATTGGTCAAGTCAGAGTCTAATATCGCAGAAATAGCGCCTTCCCTTGATCATGCTGCCGCTGCACAGCGTCTTGGCTTTGGACGACCTCCACGGCCAGTGTCTTCTCACAGAGAGGGCGACACTTCCACTCTATTGCCCCCAACATCCTCTCTACGACCCTCTTCTCATGCGAGACAGTCATCTGACACTATACCACTTTCTCTCGATACCTCCAATCGGTCAAGTCGACATCGTAGAAGGCCAACCATTGATACCTATACAGGACCCTTCCGTAACCACGGCAGTAATAAACATCTTACCTCTCCACGACATGCCAACACTCTATCTCATCTGTCCCCCGCGGTATCCACGCTTAGTGGATTCCAGATAGGGTTGTCTCCTGTGAGTCCTGGATTCTCTATCGTCCCGAGGGAACGGGGCCCTAGGAGAATCAGCGGATTGGGGGCTTCTTTGGGCGAGGAATCTGGGCATGAGCGGAGGCGACGGACAGTGAGTGAAGGAGACTTCACCCGAACAGTGGCATTGTTGGGCGAAGACGAACAGCGGCGCGCTGATTTGGCTGAATCTGGAGGACACGCTGAGCGCGGCGACGATTCAAGTGACAACGAGCGACGGGCCCAAGGATCTGGAACTCTTGATAGCGGCGCAAAGGGCAAGGGTAAGATGGGTAGCCGACCAGCGAAAGGTCGATGGAAGTGGTTGAAGGGCGTCTTCATGACGCGTCGGGACTGATTTTCTTCTGCATTGCTGGAATTGTGTAACTTACCGTGGGTTATACTGAGTACATGGATAAGTGCGGAATGTGGTCTACGCGCTTCTACGCGGTGATGCACGGTCCCAAAGGACTGTACAGTGAGTTTACGCGTTTACGAACGTTGCACGCCAAGATAAGCGAACCCTCGTAACCGTGTGGCACACAGGGCGAACCTGGGCGAGCCGGTTACCAGCCACCCGAAAAGGTTTGGTTCAAGGCACTCGACTGTGAGAGTCCTCCCTTCAGTGGCTGGAGACTGTTACGCAGTACGTATTGTGACTTACCTTGCTGCAGCGCAAAAAGTGTAGTAGGCATCGCGAGCGTATGAGAGCACGGTGAAGGGCAAGCTGGATAGTACTATAGTATTGGTGGGATAGAGCAGGTGTCACCGGGCATGAGAAATGCCCATATGGAAGTCAAAATGGAAGCTTCGAAAGATGCTTTGATGAATGTATTTTATCATATACACGGTTGTCATGGTCAGATGCGTACAGTAAGCTTGACCTTGGAGGGTATATCTAGAGGTCTTGTAGCACGACGCCACTCATGCAGTGTTGGGGAGCCCGAGGGAGCCCGTGAGCCTCCATTTGCCCTTCGTTGCGCCTTGCGACGCGGATGATCGACGCGCGAATACGCTGTCAGGAATCAGGGACATGATCGTGGGAAAGCGTAGTGCTATTTTTGCCGTTCAACGAACTGGTCTTTCGTGGTCGACCGTCGAGCTCAGAGTGAAGTTGGCCATGTGTGCAGCGGGGAGGTGTCGACGCCAGCCGAATGAGGTCTTCGGAAGGGAATATTGCGCACTGTGAGGCCGGTTATTTAATTGAGGTTCATGGCTGTCGCGTGGGGTGTGAACGCATCTCTGCGACCCTGATAGTGATTGTTGAAGATATTTTTCAGTGAGAAATAACGGATGGAATATTAGGAGAAGACCAAGGTTCGCTCGGTCCCCCTTTGCTGCTGTAATTCTCCGTTTTCCTTCTTTCTGCGATGACAACGGTGGCGACTGGGTCCCGACGGGCTGCTTTACCTCCAACCGCTGTCGCCGCTTCTCCGCTGAACGACAAGCAGCTCAAGTCCAGTTGGTCAGACCTGGCCCTACGCAACGACGCGGATAGAAAGTCGTCGTTTACGCGTTCTTTCGCCCAGAAGGCTGCTGCGAACCTCGTGTCAGCAAAGCCAGAGCCTAAAAGGGATACCGGCGCGTCTCAGTCGATCATCAACATTTCGCCGCCGCAAAAAATCGCTTCTCGTTCTAACCACCACAATCCTTTACCCGCCGCCCCCGCCGTCGCTGCCACAAACGGCCCAGAAGAACTCGACGCCGACGCGCTAGCGCGAGAGCTCGACTACATCACAGTGACAACCCCCGACTCAAACGCTCTTTCTCACCCCGCCAGAACTGATAAGGCTTCCCGCATCCTCGGCATCAAGCATCGCAAGAGTATGGAACCCATTCCTGCGTCGGCCAGGAACTCTATCATGTCCACCCATTCTGCCCGGGACCCTCCTCCTACTCCTTCAGCGACACCCACCCTACCTCTCACGTCCCTCTACGTCGTATCGGGCCTTCCAAAGTCGCCGCATACATGGACCCTTGCCGACCCAGACTCAGTAATGGGACTGCATCATAGTGACGGCGCGGTGAACAGGTGGTGGAGGCCTGAGGTCCTTGGAAGCACCGTTAGCCCTGGTGCAGGGGGCGGCAAGAAGAAGAAGCGAGGCAAGGGCGAGGAGATTCTGAAGGGCGCGGGTGCTCTTTCGAAACAGGAGGTTGGAAAAATGCTTTCCAAGGCTCTCAAGGTTAGTCTGGTCGTTCTCTCTTGCAGAAGGCAGCTCATTGCTCGTAGCTCTCCTTCACTCGAGAAGTCGAGATCATTGCTTCTACCCTGCAGCCGGCTTCCACGGTTCACACCTTCACTTTTACTCTCCCTGCTCCGTCAACGCCTCTCGCACCAACCCCCTCCGGTGACCTTCTCCGTGCATCCATTCTTACCACCTCCGACAGGCCCATCTCCGCTGTATCTACCTCCTTTGCGTACGCCCATGATGATCCATTTGCGCGCCCATCCTCCGCGTACCTGGGCCCTCCAAGTCTGCTTGGACACGGATCAAATCCTCATCTGAGCGCCCCGCGTCCCTTCTCTGCGCACTCCCCTTTCACTTTAAGCGGCCCTGCAGCCTCCTCGACGCCCACGGAACTCGCCCAACCAAGCACTGTAACATACCATGGCGTTTGTCTTACCGTCTGGTCTCATGCTGACGCCGAACGCTCCAATGCAATTCGCAGGACCCTTGAGGCAGGCCGTTCCCGCAAAGAATCGGCCCAGTCCCTTGTGGCCTCTCGTCTGAAGTCTCTTCGTGCCGATGCCAATGGTATCAACGTGGACTCGCTGAACAGCGGTGATCCCACTACCCAGGCCCGTCGAACGGCTAAGCAATCCGCCCGTGGTCCTTGGGCAGATGCTGAAACCGACAACGAAACGGAAAACGATGGCGCAATGAGTGAAAGCGACTTCGATGTCGCTAGCACTGTTGGACACGGTCCCGGTGAAAGCACTCTCTTCCTCCCTGGAGACACCGTCTTCTGGCTACCATACGCCCTCACGCTTGTTTCCCGGCATCCTATATACGACCTAATGCGCGATTACCTTACTCTCTCCTGGGCTCGCTTCTCCAAAGATGTCCAGTCGCACACCCTTCAAATCTCCAAGATTCTCGCTCACCCTGCTCCTCGCGCAGGCGAACTCATTCGGCTCGATGCGTCGCCCAAGACTGACGGTTCCTCCAACGATACGGCCAGTCTCGAAGTGATCGCTCGTTTCCCTGGTGGCCTGGACTTTGGACGTGGGCTCGTAGATATCAACTTCACTATGTGGCCACTGTTCAAATGTCTTAACATCGACAACATTCTCACCATTTGCGAGATCGCCCTCTCCCCTACTGGCCGTGTTCTCTTCTTCTCCCGTCACCCTGCTATGCTGGGCATCGCCGTATCAACAATAAAGTACCTCGTCGAGCTTCGCGGGTGGAATGGCATCGCACTCCCCGCCGTTCACTCCCGAGACGCCAAGATCTACATTGACGACCCAGGTCCATGGATTATGGGCGCTGCCACCGAAATGCGCTACGCTATCCGCCCTGCGCCTGAAGTGTGTGTATGCGACCTCGACATCAACTACCTTTCTTGCCCTTCGCCTCCTCCCGGCGTTGTCTCTGTCAAGCAACAGCGGGAGAAGTACCGTCGAACACTGCTCGGCGCGTTTGAGGCCCATTATCATCCTGATCATTGCATACCGAGCGAATTCAAAGAAGCCTTCCCTGCTGGTCGGTTTAGACCCGTGTGTAAAATACAGGCAAAGCGAGGTGCCGGTTCGAGTGCGGTCGCTGAGCAAATCAAGCCGCCAGAATGGTGGCATTCGACGAGGATTATACAAGCATTTGACATCGTTCTACAGGATAAGGTGAGCAATTTGTCTTGTATCTAGTTGGGCCCCAGCTAACGCACGGTATAGTTCAAGAAGCCCTCACTCCTGAAGCGTATATCGATGTTTGGAGCTGTCAAGCGTGCCCCTCAACTCACCGCAGCTGAGCAACTCATACAACTGTCTATCCGCAAGCGTGCAACTGCCTTTGTCGACGCTAGAGATGATCTGGAGACTAAGATAGGCCGACTTTCAAGACGCTTGAACTTCTTGATGACAGAGTCGGATCTTTGGAGAGACAAGTTCGTGACGTTCGAGCAGTACGCCGAGAAACTCAGTGCGGAGGCCACTCAACTTCGGGCAAAGATCACCAAGGAGCAGAGGGAGACCAAGAGGCTAAGCGGACTTGTGTCAATGACGACAGCTGAGAAGGCCAAGCTAAACAATCGTACGTTGATCTGCCTAGTGTTATTTTACCTGCTTCATGCTGACTTCCCATCTGCAGAGCTGAAAGATACGGAGAGTGCTCACAAGGAAGCTATGCTCGAGCTAGAGCGGATGAGGGAGACCATGGAGCGGATGGAGCAGGAGAGAGCTGAGATGGTGGCCGAAGTTGAAGCCCAGATCGAACGCGCACTTGCATCTATGACAGTTGACATCAGCGAGTCGGATTATGGAAGTTCAAGGCCGGGCAGCCGAATGTCGTCCACGTCTGCTGGCAATCCCCCCCCTGCATCCCGCTCTCGCCGCGCCAGCGACGCTGGGATGAGCAAGTCAAGTAACGGGCGGTTGCGTTCCTTCCCTACTGATACAACTCTAGCGGAGACATTCGACGGAGACGATACTATCGTTGGTGTTACTCCAGCAGCAGGAGTGAACAAGGAGAGGGAGACAGGTACCATCCAGGAAGCTGATGAGGAAGATGAGACGGTGTCGGCATCGAAGAAGAAGCGGTTCTCTGCTACGGATGTTGACGTTCCGCAGGATGGTATGAACGCCGTCGACGAGGGCATTAGCCAGAAGAGTGACAAGATTGCTCAGAAGGTCCTCCAAATCCAGCAAAAGGTATGCATGTAGCATGTGAAAAGCGATTGTATTGACATTGTGGTGTTGATAGCTGGAGACCGCACTTGCAACTGATCGCCGAACAGCGCGATGGCGGTCCCATATGAATGGGAACTACGAAAGTGGAGATGATCTTTCGGAGTCAACACACACTCGGCCTCGTCGACCAAAAGGAACCAGAAATAGAACCCGTTCTGGGACTCAGTCGTCGACCCAGACCAACAGCAGTACGGTCACGCATACCGATGATGGGACTTTGTCGACCGTTTCGAATTCGCGGCTAGTGGTGACAGTTCCCGACAACACGACTCCTACAAAGGCTCAGGAATCCGATGCTGATGTCTCACATCTCTCTGCAAATGCCTCAACCGTTTCTTCAGCCACCGCCCGCCCTATATCCCCTTCACAGTTGACACCGACGACCCCAGCGTTGACGCCAGTCACTGCTAGTGTGACAGATGATTCTGACACCGACTTCCAGAGCGCCTACTCGACCAGCCCCAGGGAAAGCTACGGGGACTTCGACGTCGCCCAGAACGCTGCAGATGCAGACCTTGATGATAGGGTCCCTGCTCCACTCAAGTTAGACTACCATCATCCCGATAATCTACCCGTTTTCGCCAAGAACCGACGTGAACGCCTATCCAGCACCAGTACTGCTACGGTCATAAGCCCCAGCGACATGGCAGAGCCTAGTCCGACTTTCAGTGAAGATACCATTGTGTCTCAGGGACGCAGTGTGTCTAAACATATCTAAATTATTTAGTGTCCAGTTTACGAGGTAAGATACCCGATGTGAATTGTGGTGCAGGACCGACCACTCTGATACAGGAAACACTTTAATTCATACAACTTCTAGTTGATATTCATTCACTTTTCATTCGTTCATTTTTTTTTGGAAGCCCGTCGTCCCCCACGTTCGTTCCGTTTGTGATTGGTTACCGATTGTCATTCGCACTGTACACATTTACATTTGGATATGTCCTGCATTTACTAGTCCATTTTTCGTCGCAAATTGAGCATCCGTACTACCGAACTTATCTGGTCGTAGAACCATGATTGGGAGGATTTATCAGGAATGAAGACAAATTTGTCCTGTTCTTTACCGGCTTTGTGAGTGAATCGAATGCCTGTATCTTCAATCGTGACTCCAGCCACATGAGTGAAGGGAAGGTCCCAGTCGAGCTTGAGTTTGTTAGACCAAAAAGATAGAACACGTGAAGTAGTCAGCAAGACCACGTTGTCGCCTCCATGAACATCTAACAACCGTCTCAGATATAAGGATTGCAGATGAAAGAATGACATGACACTCACTGATGTGGGCAACATACGATTCTTTCCGATAAACCCCGTTTTCGAGATCGCGCATCCAATATTGACCCGTAGCTTCCCGAGCAGAATAAGGCTGTAGAGAGATGTAATCAGGTACAGCGTTACTGAGCTTACTGTCCAACGCTCACGCTCAGAACACCGTCAGACGGCACCAGTCTCGGCTACAGTGAATCGTTAGACGTGTTTAGCTGAGCAGAAGTTGACTTGCACTTACCAGCCTTGAGCGGTCTCGTGCGGGGTTGTCAAATACGGTAGTGGTGTTCCGTATACCTATTTTGCGAAGTTGAGTAGATCGCATATATGGCACATTCACGGCCTACCTTCGGACACGTTCGAAGCTAAATCAAACACACCAACGACTGGCTTGGTTACGGCGCTACTTGTACTAAGTCACGGCATTTAGCCCAAGATATTGGAATGAAGCTCACCCTACCAATCCTTTGCCTACTCCCTTGAAGAATCCTAGTGCTCCTTCATTCTCAGCGCCTTCAATTGGTTTCATCTAGATGGAGTAAATTAGAAGAGTAGTAAGAGCGACCGTTCAGCGGTTACTAACCAGTACTCCTTCCATCGCGCTCGCTACACTGCTTGCGAAGGCTTCGCCTCCAGCCGCGACGCCATATCTGGTATGAGGCATAAATAACCGTGACATGAACGAAGAAGGAATCGCACATAGCATGTCGGGGCTTGTTCCTTCTCTGAGTCATACGACGCCGAGCCTGATATTCAGAATCAAAAGTAGCAGCGGAGAGGCCTTAAACAGGATCAGCATCCGTCGAATGCGCATCAGTTCATTGTCGTCAAACTGACCTTTGCCCACGCTGCTAGTTATTTTAGTGACACTGTCGCTTACGCCGAACACAGTCTTTTTGACGAAGCTGGCCGCGCCCTTAAAACAGCACATTAATACAAACTCGGGATGAACAACAATAGTCTTACCTTGGCGATACCAATGCCTAGCTCCTTGTTGCCGTGCATTACGACTCCATTGAACGGTTCGTAAAAGATATCCGCCACGCCAGAGCTAACGTTTGTGAATAGGCCTACTGGGTTACCTATGAAGTCCGCCGAACCGAGTATTCGATAGAGCTGACGTAGAACATCTTGTCTATAATGATACATAATCCTGTTCAACAACTCCGGCTGCGTAAGACGCATATCCTTGATGCCCAGCGCGTTGAGTTCGACAGGTGCATCATTGATGTTCCCGACAGTCATGGTCAGGGCGTTTAAGACAACAGCCAGCGGGTTTCGTAAACTCAATCTAACAAAGTGATGCTCGCTTAGATATCCAGAACCTGCAAGTGGACCGCTTACTTCTCGTCACTGTTAACGCGCCCGGTTCGCATAAACGACAGAGACAGCTTGATCGGTTGTAGTTCAAGGACTTCAAAATACAGGACTTGTCCAACAGCTGTTGCTTGAGGTTCGGGAATATCCGCGGGCTCGTTGATTAGGATACTAGAAGATGGCCATTGGACAAGCGCAACACCATTGCCAAGAAGCTACCCACTCGACAGTATCTTCCTCCCATGAGACACCCTTGATTTGGATGAGATCGTAGAGGGCGAAGAGGAGGTCCTCGTCCGCTTCAATAGTGAGCGCTTGCAGAAGGACGGAGAAGTATTTGATGTACAGTACACCGTGCGCTTGAAAATGGTGAGAGAGAGGGTTGAGTTAGAATCAGATTGCTTCTTACCTTGGTCTTTCAGCAGGGCAACGGAAGCCTGAATAGTGGGAAGGGCAGCAACAGCGCTACTTTCTTTCTTGACGGGAGTTGGCTGTAGTACTACTGGGTAGATCGCATCATGTAGTTGATTGTCGATTTGGAAAGCGCCGACTGCCAGATGGACTTCTTGAGCGGCAGGGCTGTCGGTGTAACCAAAGCTCAAATTGTCGACGGAGATGTATAAGACTTCCAGCGACTTTCGATTCAGCAACGATACACCAATGCCTGCCAAGTCGAGCGCGATAGCCAAGGACGGCGTCGTATCCTGAGCGTCTATTTGGAAGGCCTCGATGCCCTCTTGCTGGCGTATAGACGCTGTTGATCCTCGACGCTTAGGTTTATAGATGCTTCTATCTGGATTGTACTTTGTTATCCGTAGGATTTGTTTGGGCCCGTCCGCTCTGATATCCAGGGAAACGCCCTTCGCTGTCCTGCCTCCGGGAGGCTAGGTCAGAAGGGGAGTCAGTCGCTAGTTATCGTATCTGTTCCACATAAAAGGTGACCCACAGTGAGCATGAAGGGTAGCAAATCGCCGATTTCCATAATATCAACGGCTCGACGTTTCTGCCCCACGGTAAGCAGTATTTGCTTATCTCGGGCAGCAGGATAATCCCATGCGTAGCATATGGTGGTGTGTGGTTGTACGGTGTACTCCTGTACCGGATTCTTGGGAGGGCGTTCGTCCTAAATAGCGTTACTGACTAGAACGGCATCATAATGGCGTCCTTACCTTCTGAGAAACAACAAAAGCTAAGTCCGTGCGATTTTCTATTACGAACGGCCAGTCGTTACCCGCGGCCGCAAAAGTCACGAAGATCGTCGAACCGTCGACTTGAATGTCAGTGCGAATCAAACCACTCTTCCCAGGGTTGCGAAGGTGCACTGGACCGATATCTTCAACGTTAAACGGTGGGGACCTTCCGCCAAGGTTATAAAATTTCACCAGGAGACGGAGGCAAAGCTCACCAACGGTCGTCGCCTTGTCGTGGGGAAGTAGCTACTACGAGGAGATGCTCTTGGCTAGCTCGCAGTGTATTGAGGTGCCGCCGCTGACCGGGTTCAAGCTGTGTGCTGGTGGGAGTTCCGTGCTCGCGAACCCATAAGGCCTCGTTCAAGGCATTCTTCAAGACGAACCGAGGCGTAATTGTAATAACCTTTGTCAACTTGTACTTACCAAGCCCTTCTGCCCAAGCAAGACCTATATGAAGTTCCTCCTTTCTATTTTTGGAGGGCATGACGAGGGCAGTCTCCGCGGCAGGCGCTTCCAGGCTGATCATCTACTCCCGCCAAGGGTGAGTTGGTCGAATTATGACAGTGTAATTATTACCTTGGACCAGGCGAAGTCTCCCACTTTGAAAGTAAACTCGTGGGCGTGATTCTGAGGATGGGACAACACTTGAATGGCAATGAATGGGTTAGAATCACTGGTCGAGAAGATATATAACTTACTGAAAGGTTGCGTAGAGCTGAGTACATCTATCACACAACAGAGTTTAACAGTTAGGTAAATGGAAGAAATAAAATAGTACCTAGAGATGTATCCCCAGCGGCCTCCGCAGGAGGACCAGCACGGCCTATACGCGTGGACTTGACAAAGAACGGTAATCCAGCTTTATTGATCACCAAAAACGGACTGTAAATTTGAACTTTGAATGCCCCTCCGGAGTCCGGATATCGCCTACAGCAATGTTAGATCGTGTTGAACACGCATAACATACACTGACACGTAGTTCAAATTGAGCTCGAGCTTACGTCCCTGCGGATCACGCAGAGTAAGTCGCTTTTCAATATCGAAATCTGAGTTGCCGTCTGTATTGACAATCGCAAAGTCGCTCTGTTTGAAGACTACACAATTAAGAGAAACGTCAACATGAGCAGAAAGGTCTCACCAGTGTCTTGAACTTCTATGTTGAGTAAGACAAGATGAGTGAGTTCTACGCAATGAACTGGCATTATTCCGCCTTTGCGTAAGTAGCTCCGCCAGTTCTGGTCTGTATCCTTGTCGTAGACGCGATATTGAAGGTTATATGGCAATAAGTTTTCTAACTCCAGTGGTGCGCGCAACTTCAGCTGAATCCTAGGGATCTTCCTGGGCTAGGTTGAGCGGATTACTTCGACAAGTAAATACCTGACTCACTTAAACTGAGTATCGTCGCCGCTTGTTTGTGCCCATGCTTGAAAGCGAAACGCAGCTTCTTTGGGGTCAGTATGCGGGCACCGGATAGTGAACGACTTTCTGGCTATCAGATCCTCCCAACGTATAGCCGAAGACCATTTGTACCCAAAGCCCTCTGGAATATGGATTCAGGTCCAGCAATATGAGCGGTTGAGATATGCACTCACGGTCAGGTTGAATTCTGACTTTGGTTTTCCCCACAGTTTCAATCGGGAGGGCGTAGTCGTATCCGGGTGGAATCTTCTCAATGGAAGAGACTGGATGTCCGGTTTGGTCGACCAAGGTCAGTTCCAGAGGGTACAGCGTCTGGTTTTCAATCTGATATGTGGATCTAATCACAACGACTTTCACGGTGTCTTCAACTTTGATCTCGCACAGGAGCCGATGTGAATGTCTGTCGGCTCTTTGCAGGGGAAAGACACACTCCCCCTCTCTATCGACAGGGACACGTAACTCGTCCCAGGGTTTATTTTCGAACCCGATACCAAGATGATTTTGGTCTGAAGAAACGTGCTGAAGGGCATGTTCGAATAGTAATACGCGGCAGAAGATACGACAACTCACCTCTCTTTGCGTTTGCCAGTCACCAAATCTCCAGTCCACCGTCTGTCCGTGAGCTATTTTCGTGCGACTAGGAACTCGTGCAGAGTGTTTGTTGCCAGCAGTAGCATCAGGAGCAGCCCAAACCGAAATTGGGTACCCTGTGCGGTTCCATATGCGATATGGCGCATAGCTACCGCGAGCTCTCTGAAGGACTCGGTCACCTTCTTTACCCCACATCTTCCAGGTAGTGGCGACAAGTTCGGCGAATGCTGCGCTAAGGTTGACATCCAGTCGCTCGCGGGATGACATTTTCAAGTTCAAGCCTTGGGAAGGGACATTACGGCGGACCTGGTGAATGTGCTGCGTTAGAAACGCTTCCTAGGGAACACTGAGACCTACCGAAAGTGTAAACGACCAAGGATCGATCACTTGGAAAACATTAGAGGTGCCGATTGCAAATGAATGAGTAACTCACAAGGCTCCCAGTGCGAGTTTGCCATGTTCCAGTAGTTGATTTGCGCAGCAATAGTCGTGGTCGCTTGAAGCTGTTGTGGCGTTAAGATATAGTGGCTCCGGTAAGATGAGCACTCGCCTCTCCAGACCAATCCTTCGCGCCTAGGATGAAAGGCTTTACTTTCAAATGCAGCATTGGTTGTTCATGCATATCCCCGATCAGAATAAGTCTGAACCCATCGATAGATCCTGAAAGCTAGAAATCGCTCAGCATCATGAGCGACCACTAGCGTTGGTAACCAATTACCTGCTCCTTCGATGTTACTACGTTAGCCTGTCCAACGGGCTCCCGACTACCGGATTCCGGTGCCCGCACCATTGCCAGCGACGTAGTCGACTCATTGAATGCTGAATTAGAGGTTTGAGAGTTGGTCGATGAATTACCCGAGGAGTTGGTATACATAGCTATCGCTTTGTTTACTATACTCATAATGAGGGTGATATCGCGATAAGATGCACGAAGGACAATTGGTTTGGAGGTGATTTCGATGCTAGATAATTGCTGTGCGGATGATGACCGAGAATCCAAGGACAGAGTTAAGTCGACGTCGTCGAGGAAGCGGACGTTTTCCGTGTCTTTACCCATACGTAATAAAGACATGCCCAATTTGTTTATGGTGAGTGCAAGAATGCCCTAGATATTGTTTGTTATCGTAGACTAGCGGTGTGTTCGGTGTGTAACCAGAAAGTTGACCTACCTGCTGCGCTATTAGAATGTGTTCAATGGCTAATCTAATGGACTGTGATTCAGGGTCCGTATCGTCCGCGAGGACACTGATGGACACATCGTGAAGGTCGAGGCGGAAGTCAAAGGCGCCGGCGTTGCCACTACGTGGAGGAGCAGCCTGAGGGGCTACAGCACTAGATGCTACTTGTTTATCTTCCTGTGGCGGGAAGGCACTCAGACCGAAATCGAGTAAGGCGAAGACAGGGTCGATCGAGAAGATGATTTGAGGTGCATCTACAGTCAGAACAGCGAGAGATGTAGGGGTATCTCCACCAGACATTGTGTACAGCAGCATGAACTGGTTGCGGTTGTGGTGTGAAGCGGGGATAATCTCCCTGAATCTAGAGTTCCCCGGCCTAGTATTCGTGATAGTAAATGACTGAAGGACAACTTGAGCTTCTCCCGATCCGTTGGAGAGCATCTTGAAGCGCAGCGAATTACCCTTCAGCGCGAATCTCGCGATTCCATGGTCTTTGATGTTGGACGGGGTTGTTGCCTTAGCGTCGTACAGGTGCAGCTTGATGGCGTCCACGATGACAACTAAATCAAGTTTTGACCTTATGGTTTGACTGGACGATGTGGTTGTAGGACGAGGCTCTGGGTGGAAGGCGACAGCGGAATCGGCTATAGGAGATGCTTGGGACGCCTCAGCATGTGACAAGGCATCATTTGCGTCCGTATCAAAGGGCCCAGAGAAGATGCGAGGAACTGCTTGAGACAGTTGGAAGAGTAGCTTGTATTGAACCTGTGTCAGATGTAGACGGATATCCGATATGTTCACTGAGAGCTTTCAGGCAAAGAGTATTAGCTATTGTTATGGTAAAGAAGTTAATTACATATACCTGAGTTTCAGGCGAGTCAGTATCTTTACTGTACTCTACACCCAATCTCTGCAGCATTTCGGCCTTGATGTTGATGTCATCAATCATCTTCAGCGTTGAAACTTCGCCATCATGATAAAGGTGCGAGGCCAGTTGTACTCCTTGAAGGCTGGCATTCAGCTGTTGGTCGGAACCATCGTAGGCATTTGATGCTCTCATCTCTCCCAGGCGCATGACGAGGGTGTCCTGGCTGTTCAGCGGGTCGGATGGGAAAATAAGGATGGGCGTGCTGATGGAAATGTCGAACTTCATCCTTTCGATCTCGGAGGCTCGCTGAACGGCAGCTTGTGTCGCAGCATCATACAATCCTTTCAACTGAGCTAGCTTTGTGGTAAACATATAGAGGTCATGCAGGGGCTGCTCAATGAAGTATAACTTCATTGAAGCTGATTTGAGATAGACAAACGATTTGACGCCACTGTAATCTTCCGCAGTCGGATCGAATGTTTCGTACTTGAATTCAGCGAAGTTCTCCCCCTCGATAGACAAGATATCCTTGAAGTTCGGAAGAGCGCTGTGAACGTTGTCATTACTCAAAGCAAGGTTACCGAGTTTCCCGGTGATCTCCATAGTAGTGGGATGAAGGAGGACGGCAACATTTGCGGTGGACAAGGAGAGCGTGGCGAAGCTCTCGATGCCGTGGATGAAGCGAACTTGATGTCAGTTAGTACAAAATATGCCACGGGTGTGAATGCATCCTACCCTGAGCACTGGCCAACGTAACTAGCACACGAATCTTCTCCTTCTTCGCTTGCTGGGTGATTGCCTTCTCGTCAACCTGCGGGGAACTCAACTCGGCCTGTAATTGCGGGGTGATAGGAGACGCTTGGGCCACGAAGGTAGACATGATGAAGTCGTATAGTGAGATAACAGCTTCAGGCGCTGCCCGGAATATGAATGTCGAGAGCTTGATATCCACATGTTGATCTATCCCTTCAAAAATAGAGATGAACTCCGGCGAGGCTTTCTGCGCTCTGTTGTAAGTCATCGTAAGTAGGTCACCTTCCTGGTTCTCATCTTGATCGCTGGACGAAATTAGTTTCAAAGGTTTGTCGTCCGGCTGTATCAAGTCCATAGCAATAGACCTAGGATCAAGTTAGTGAGATGAATGTTATATAAACGAGGATTCAAGCTAACCTTAAGCTGATGTCTACTTTCATGTCGAACTTGGCTTGGGCAATAGACATAGCAAACCTTTGGAACGCTATAGATCCCAAAGGTCTCTCCGTATTCCGCCCAGTAGATTTTGATATAGTAGCCCGTAGATCATCGACTCTGAAGTCACACTCGAAGACATGATGATGCAACGCCAAAGGCTACATAATTAACCACAGTCAACTTCACAACCGGAAAAAAAGATCGGCGAACTCACATCTGAGCTGTCCTGACCGCTTTCACGCCCGACCTGTGATTCTTGGTCACTCGATTCCAAATCCGGAAGTTCCTCAACATGATACTCCTTTCCAACTTCGCTGGGAAAGAACTTCTTGTTGAATTGAAATCCCGTCTCTGGTCCCGAGGGGACCGACAGCGGGGCGTCCTCTGTGGGGAAATTGGGCATGCAGACGTCAATCAGGCGCATAAGGGCCTTATATTTCGTGTCCGAGAAATTGAGGTGTAAAATAGGTAGTTTGCCAACGATTTTAAAGCGCGTGATGTTAAGAGCAGCGGGCACAATAGAGCTTTGCACTTGGAATTCAAGGTTAGTCCGCTCCAGGAGATGTAAGGTGTCTCTCGATTGAGCTATGAGTGCATGCCGACAAGATTCCAGGTCGTCGCCGAGAATGAACTGCAAAGATTATTAGACACGACATTGTCTAGACATAGTTGAAGGAAGTACCTGCGCGGATTCCAACCTGAACTTGAATTTGTCGTATACCATAGATTCGAGCTCCTTATGATCGTGCTCCGTGTAAGCTTGTTTGCGTTTGGCGTTGATAGTCCGTTTATTGGCTTGGCGGTCGGCCAGCTCGCTCTCGATAGCGATGTGCCCAGCATCGACAATCAAGTGTTTGCATTGGGTAGTAGTGATGCTACTCGCATGTCAGTACACCCTCCGAGCATGAATCTAGCACACATACCTTTCGGGAATGATGATAATGGGCGCGCTCATGTCGACCTGTATATCCAGTGTCTTCGAGGTCTCCAATGCATACTCCAGTACGGCGCGACTTTGAGTTCGGAAAGCCTCCAAATTCTCACTCGCCGCGTTCTACACAGGGTCAGAATAGCATAAGTGGACGGACAGAAGGGGACGAACGAGCAATGCTTCAACGGATTCCAGTTGACTGGCTGGCGGTTTAAAGAACTTGTAGATGGCCTCGATGTACCCTCTATTGTAAACAATTTCCATAGGTCGCAGGCGGAGTGTGAGAGCGTTGTCGGCACGTTCATCTAAAGGATTCTTTTCGAATTTGAAGAAAAAGAAAGATTCGTCCTCGCTACCCGACTTGGAGGTAATCGCCTTTTCGTCGCTCTGTACATCCTTCACTTGAACAATCTGAGAGTAAAGCGTCCCAGAAGCTGTGTAATCATATACACTGAAATTACCGAGTGCAACAGAGGCCTCGATATTATCAGGCCGCTGTATCCCAGTGGCACGGAAATTTTCGAAGACAATCGACAAAATATCCTTCGGTGTGCCGCACGGGTCGAGCTGCAGCGAGAACGTGCCCTTCTTCAGGTGTGCACCGGCCGTAAGCTGCAACAAGTTCCGCGGAAGAGCCCCAGAGGGGTCATCTGCCTCGATCTCGAATTCTTCCTCAGGCTTTCCAAAATTCGGGTCTCCTGTAAGTTCCTCCCACATGGCCTGCGTGGGAGCACCGTCACGCTCTGGGTCCCATTCTTCTTCTGGCTGCTGGGTTGTACCCGTGCCAAGAAGCCAGCCCACCCAGCCTTGATTCTGCGCTTCCCGCTTGTTCTTGTCGTCGAGTAACCTTCGTCGTAGCCCTTTGTCCCGGGCTAGTTCGCTCGCTGCCCTAGAGCGGTAGGAGCGAATGTCCTCGTAAGAAAGCTTTCTTTCCAAGCTATCGATCTCTTCGAGCTCCTGAGATAGATACTTCAGTACAGAAGCGACAAAGCTCTGACTAGAACAAACGTACCTCTGGCGTGTGTGCACCTGTAAGTCGCTTCTGGTGGAGCTCGATGTAACGAAGGCGTCGTTCGCGACGTTCGGCGAAATATTCCCATGTCCACGTCTTGTTATGCTCATGAACACCGTCACTAATCGCATCCAGCGCAAAGCGAAATCGTGCTTTGGCGCTGTTTTGAGCAAATACTTCCTCCTTGGGCCGGTATTTTCGATACTATGCAAACTATTAATAGCGCGAATATTCCTTGGGGCGATATACATTACCTGCACCTGCCGAACATAGAAATGATACATTTCAATTAACGAAATCGTATCACGATACTGGTGTTCATCCAGTCGGAAACCGACTTCGCCAAACGACAGCTGAATGTCATATTTAGGACGCGTTTTGCTGATCCGTTTATTGATCGTCATCTAGACCGCCGAAACGCCACCATGAGTATCACAAAACCTTTTGCCGTCATAATGAATATTCACCCTTCCTTCACCGGAGATAGGTTTAAGGATGAACTGATGTTCGCCTGACTTATCCTCTGTGCTGATCTAGATAGCGTGTTAATTTACGTGACGTAGACTGCTAAACATAATACCACGCACCATTTCAGTAAACTTCTTCATGGCCTCCGCTGGAGAAAGTCCGGCCAAGCTCGGCGTATCGGTATCGAAGTAAACAGCTAATGATTGCAGTTGCCCCAGCTGATCAAACTTTGGGTGAGTATATGCGCCTAAACGTGGCTGCTGTACTATTTACCTTGTGTACGGTCCTGACGAAGCCTTCTATGAAGGCAGGCTCCCAGTTCTCGTTCACAGAGTACGCGGTGAAACCAGCCAAGGTAACGCCCACGGCGAACGGATGCTAGAAAGTGTGTCTGAAATGAAGCAACCTGAGAATTTACGTGTTTCGTACGCTTACCCCCGGCACGCTCAGCTTGTCTTCGTATCGGATATGAACGTTCTTGACAGTTATCTGCACGTTGTTGATAATTTTGGCCATCATCGCTTGGATAAGGCCTTGCGACTGCCGTTCGTCCGCATCATTGCCTTGTAGCAACCACATGTAAGTTAAGAAGCACCGTTCCCATGAATGGATGCTCACCCTGTATTTTAGCTGTTTTGGCGTCCGGTTTGACATCCAGGCCATTAACGCGGGCCATCTTGAGCGTATGCATCCGATCCGCTTCCTCCGCTGCATCATATTTAGCTTGTGCTGACGGGATTACTAGAAGATAGACATCTTCTATCAGCACCTCAACGGGCTGGTTTCCGAGGTTCAGCCAGTGTAGAGACAAGGTAAAATTCCCCAGGTGTCCTAAAGAGGCGAGAGGTCAGATAGATTGCCATGCGGTCAACCCACCATACCTTCCGCGACATCGACTGGAAGCTTCAATTTATCGAGCACGCCTTTCTTGAGCTTCAGGTTGCGGAGAGTGATTTGACCTAATAGTTTGATGAGATGGGAATCTGAGCATGGGTCGCCGCGGCTAACCTTGGCCGATACCGTAGTTCAGTTGATTCATGTCCAGATTCTCGACATACGGGGCCAAGATTCTATTGAATATCTGGGCAATGACATTCGTTACCCCGTCTCTGCAGAGCGTGTAGAATACGCACCCTGTTCAGAACCTCTTTGCCAGGGTTTAGCCACCACATGTTGGGAGATGATGGCGTTCACCAGAGCCGCGAATGTAGCGTGTCTTGCTCGTGGTCGAACTGAGGACTGGATATGGTGCGTGCTAGTGCGAGAGTGTTCCCATGTACGTCAGTGTTTGTGTTTGTTAGCTTCTGAAGCTTCTGAGACGACCGGCGCGCGCCTGGCCAGTGTCGGACCAGTGCTTCCTCGGACAGTCTCTAGAATAGATAGACTCTAGCCCGGCGTACAACCGCCTAGGTCTGCGATTCACCGTGTCCAAGGCAGTCGACCCAGCGGTGGTCCGGCGTCGCCCAACGCTAAATCCTTGGCAAACGCCACAAAGCAGTCATTTGCCAGAGTGAGCGCCGGGTGTGGTGGTGAGACATTTCGCCACTGGATGGATCCCATTGCCCGCTTGCACCTCATGACTGTGGAGGCAGAGCCTCCTATCATATTTCTAGCAAGACGACCGATTTCTTCGAAGCAGAGAACAGTGAGCTATATCTATTCATATCGCTGTGGGTTTGATTCCTTCATTCAGTTCGCGAAATCGATATGAGATGCATAGCCTGCACTTCAGATTAGCTCCGGCTGCACCCCAATTTTTTACCAGAGAAACCACCTGCCAGGCAACTGGTGTAAATATATAGGATGCCCGATCATTCCTGTTTATCCCGACCAGGTTCCGTGTGATGTGACCAGAAATGAGGCCCATTCGGTGCTACTTATAAGACATGGACTTCTCATTAGCGGTCGTGTGCCCGCTCAATCATTCTCCCCTTTACTGTACTACCAAACTACCAGCTTTTCAACATGGTCTCTGTCCTCACTCCAGCCGCTATGGCCCCCTTGAACACCCCCGAGCCCTGCTTCAACGAGGTAAGCACCGTGTCTATTTGCTTCCGCGCTCAGAATCACTGACTTCGGCGACCGGTCAATTACATAGGTATCTCGCCTACAAGATGCCGTAGAACCGTTCTCCAGGTCAGCATGGATTATGGATGGCTTCGCCCAATGACTAACTTGCGATTACCACGTTTGTTAGGCTCGTCGGCACGGAGCATGCAGCCATCCACCTCCATTGCACAATTCCCACTTGGTCGCACTCATCGTCCAACTGTGAGTGTGCTCGATTGGCTAGCCCATGAGTGCAGCGTTAATATATTGCTTGCAGGCCTTGACCTCCATGACCTTCATGAATTACGTTCACGACTGCTCGTCTTCATTCACGACCTCATCCAAAAACTGAGAGCTTCTGGGGTGAATTCACTTCCCCCATGACCGAGAGTCAAGCTTGCTGACAGCGCCCAAGATACACACTACCTATAGCCTCACCCCCTCTGATACATCCCTCTGCGTTGTGTGTGCATTGCCGCCAGGCTTGAACTCCTCGCAAGCCAAAATGACCGACGTGTCCGATTTGGTGCACCAATCCGGTCCCATTCAACAGTATGTCATCGCTTTTCAACAATGTCTCCATCGTTAATACATTGCCGATTTCTAGGAAACACGTTATTCTCGCGGACTTGAAGAAGGCTCCGTGTCTGATCATCTCTTAACCTCATTATTTTTTGTCGCATGCTCGTCTATACACTTGTACTATACCAGACGGTGGAAGCCAATTATACCGAAGGATTATGTTGTGCCTGCAAACCATATGCTTTTCGTGGCAACTGCATGATGCACATAACGAGCGCAGCCGGTGATTCCGAAAAAACGTGACAAATTGGTACGTGGAAATGGTCACGCCGTCACTCGATAGTCGAACTTTTTAAGTGTGAACTGTTCAGGCGCTGTTCCAAGTCGACTTTCCTTCAGTCCGAGACCCTCCTTTTTCCTTTCCAATGGCGCCGATTGCGGATTTCCTTCTGGCTTATGTACCTTCTAATATCCCCCATTACTTGACGACCTATGTACAAGGCAAAACTCCATTGTCCACCGACGTCGTGGTCTACTCAGCGCTCGCCTCTTACCTCGCCATCATCTTCGGGATTCAGGCCATCATGAAGAACCAGAAACCGCTGAAGTTGACGCTGTTGTTCCAAATACATAACGTTATCCTCAGTGGAGGCAGTCTCTTGCTCCTGGTCCTCATGCTCGAAGAAATTCTCCCCATATTTTGGAAGCACGGCATATACCACGCTATGTGTGCTGAGGCATCGTGGACACCTGTGAGTGCTTAGATCGCATCAATTCCCCATCAGATACTGATTGGAGCCTCGCAGCGCATGGAATTTTATTATATGATCAACTATTCGTTCAAATATTTAGAACTCTTAGACACGGTTTTCCTCGCGTTCAAAAAGAAGCCCTTAGGTCCGTACTTGTTCCTGGATCTTGGTTTTTTAGCTTGGCTAACTTGGATGCGTGTAGCATTCTTGCATGTTTTCCATCACTCTGCAACTGCTCTCCTATGTTATTCGCAACTCAACGGCAAGACTAGTGTGGTACGCTGCGTTGCCTCTGTATTTGTCATGCCGCCGATTACTAACTATCCCTGACTAGTCATGGGTCGTGATATCTCTCAACCTGATGGTCCACGTCTTGATGTGTACGTTTCACATATATATCGCCTCTTTAAGCCCACCCATTGAACCATTAACAGATTATTACTACTATGCCACGGCTGGAGGTGCTAAGATATGGGTTTGTGCCAGCATCTATCCCCGTTAGGCGCGTACTGACGAAGTCTTCCAACAGTGGAAGAAGTACTTGACTACTATGCAAATCGCTCAATTTGTCATTGACCTGTTTGTTGTTTACTTTGGCAGTGAGTCGGCAAATGGTTGCACCGTGTACGGCATGCTTACTTAGGGTGTTATCAGCCTACCAGCACTTCTCGTACGTCTACTGGGCCGACACCATGCCTCACATCGGTAACTGCGCAGGCACAGAGCAGGCTGCTTTGTTTGGCTGTGGTCTTCTTAGCAGCTACCTGCTCCTGTTCATCAACTTCTACATCCAGACGTACAAGAAGCCTTCGAGGGGTCCGAAGCCCACCGCTAATGGTAACGGCGTTGCAAATGGGAAAGCCAATGGTCATGCGTACGTGGAGTAGTCTCTTCCACCGATACGCTTCTCTAACGTTGTCTCATAGGCACAAGTAGTTCTGGTGATCACGTAGGATAAACCAAAATGAGATGTCTTCACTTGGATGCTATTATACCCGTTATATCCCTAGCATCCTACGATACTAGACAGGATGGCAGACTTTCCTTTTGGTTTTTGATTTGTCGCTCCTTGACAGATGGCCTCTCAGTCGTTCTATCATTATATATCGGTTACCCTAATACATGTGTAATGGTCTGCCGCTGCTAGTTCGTCTGAATAAACGCCAGATCAACTTGCATAGCCTCAACTGTGGTTAGCAACACCAATTCGGTTGCTAGACCCTTCGCAATCCCTCGATGACTACGTCCTGGGATTACCCTCCTTCGGGGAAGGGTGAGGTTCCACGCGAGTTCATTGTGAATAATGTCGAGCTGTATCTGTCACAGGCGGCCAGCGTTGCCTTTCGCAAGGTGCGTTCCAGTCTCATTTGCGGAGTGAGACATTGTTGAAGCGACCATATGCCGTCCAGCCATTGCCTGCACAACGCAAGAAGCTGGAGAGGAGAGAGTCTATCAAACCACTATCGAATCCAGACGACAAGAAGCTCAAGGGTGCGTCGTTCGATCTTCTAGCTTCGCTGGGCCTCACCCAAGCCTTTGCCAGAGAAACACAGCTGGCTGAGCTTGTCTAAGGCTACAAGTTCAGGCCAATGGAGATCTGCTACATGCAAGCTATCAGAAGAGGGCGACCGATGTTTGTTGAACATCTACGTTGATGTGAGTCTATTCGAGAGCCTTGATTGACGGGGCTCACGGGAAGCCAGGAAACCATGCTGTATCAAACTGTATCCATTCACCTCCTCAACCATACCGATATTCGGGAGGCAGATAGTTCCCTCTTCTTCAGGAAGTACTGTCTAGGAATCTATGGCAAAGCGTGCGCATTGGTTTGGTTGATCTCGTCACTCAATTCACAACGGTATCTGTAGTGCCCAACGTTGGAACGCGGGCTATCCCGTGGAACCAATCTACCTCCATTTCCCGAATGTCGATTCCTGTCATTCGTGGCTTGCGCTGTTGAGATCTTACGCCATTCCGGAGATCTATGGTCGCTACTTCTTCAAAGAGGACGGCGGGTCATATCGAATGTGGCGTCAAGTCGAACTTACCGTTCAACAAGGTCGCTACTTGGGAAGTGCCCGGTTTCTGGGAGACCAAGGCGCGAATGGCGCGGTGCCCCCATCCACCGAGACCAACCAAGAACCAGAAGTCATAGACATGGATGTCTCATGCGAGATATTCCTCAACGACGTCATTTGCGGCCGTACTACCGTGAAGAAAGGCATAGGCTCGCCCGACTGGCACGAGAGCTTCACGTTTCCCGACCTTCCCCCGTTCGAGATGTTGGACGTTAATGTGTGGCGCGAAAAGAAACTGTTCAAGCCGACGATGATGGGTTCCGTTCGCATCACCCTCAGCAACTTCAGGCGGGGCGAAGCTGTGGAAGGGTGGTTCCCTGTCCTCCACTCGGGAGTTGCGGGGAATGATGTTCAAGTCGGCGAAATCAGATTGAAGATTCGGGTCGACGAGTCAGCCTCAGTTTGCATTCATTCAGCGACTTGACTCTGAAACAGTGCTAGGGAAATCATATTGCCCGCTACCACTTATGAAGGTCTACTCGAGGTATACTAAATGATCTTCATTCTTCAGAGCTCGTGCTAAATTCCTTCCGCAGGCACTCAATTCACGCAACTTCCTCGACTGGATGATTGACTTCGAGACAAAGCTGCATCTGAAGACCATCACCACGCAATTAATGTCTATTGCTGTTGCCAGGAACGTACTCATTCCTCAAGTTCAGGAGCTGGCTGATAGGGAGGTAGATGGCACTCCGTCATGTAAGTTGTCAATTTAGTATCATAGCCGTGTTGACATTCTCATCTGAATAGCCCACCAAACACTCTTCCGTGGTAACACCATTTTGACCAAGGTCATGGAGGCCTGCATGTCTTGGTATGGAAAAGCGTTCCTTGAGGCTAGTATTGGTGATGTTCTCCGTCGACTATGTGACGAAAAGGTGGCAATCGAGGTGGACCCAGTAAGGAGCGGCAAGAGTACCCGAGACATGGATAAGAACCGCGAATTGCTGATTCAATGGTGCGAGAGATTTTGGATCCAGATACACTCCGTTCGCAACGAATGCCCCAAGTAAGTCCTGTTCACCCTTTGGGATGAGCATTCAGCTTACGCTGCGTCAGTGAAATGCGTAAATTATTTGAGCATGTACGCAAACTTGTCGAGGGAAGATATAATCTCGGAGATCTATCCCAGGAGCAGAATCGCGACCTACCGTGGCAGAGCGTATCCGCATTCTGCTTCCTCCGGTTTATAGTCCCCGCGATTTTGCATCCCCATCTCTTCGGCCTATGCCCCGGTACGAGACACTTCACAACAATGTCTTTACAGTTAATAACGATCTCTAGGTCTGCCGAGCCCTGCTGTCAAGCGCAGTCTTACTCTCGTAGCTAAGGTTATGCAAAGTCTGGCTAACCTGAATGCTGTAAGACGTTCGTTCATCTCTTCTGGCCCAACTAACACGTTTCTCCCTAGTCCGTGCAAAAGGAAGAATTCATGCGAGGGATCAAAGATTTCTTAGCAGACAACAGGGAGTCCATGATTGACTACCTGATAGTGATATCCACTCCTACCAATGAACCATACGACCCTCATCCAACTCCCATGGATGGACGCCATTCGCGCCTTCACATAGTCAACCATCTACGAAACAGAGCAGCTAAGATGCCCGTCCTCAACCGCGAGGCCATCCCTATCCTACCAGATCTCCTCGATACATCCAGACATCTCTCGATCATTGCTTCCGCTGTAATCCGCCATTCTCGGGATTATAGTGCGAAGAAAACCGGCGGGGACGATAATCAAGCCCTGGACCAACTATGTACAAAGTGTTTCGAAGTCGAAGAACACGCCCTGCGACGTGTCAGCAAACTTGCCACGCGGATGTCCACTGACCGGCGTGCATCCGTTGCGTCTTCACCGGTAAACCCTCTGACCCCGACGCCTTCGAATAGCACAACGGTCTTCGCGGCGAGCACTTCTTCCAACGGCACGCGTAGATCACGAAAATCAACGCGACCTTCTACGGCCCCCTCCGCGTCGGATTCGGATACTCCCCGTCATCGCCAAACCCACTTCTCAGGACCTTCTAGCCCAAATCGTCCATTGCGCGTCTTTGGAGGACACCCTCCAGTCACGCCCTCTTCGCCGCCAGGAGCCGAGGACAATCACACCAGAAAACGACTAAAGAGCAAATCCAAGTCCATTGAGAACATGCCTACATCTGGCCTTGACTTAGGCACCGCGAAGCCTGAGGCAGCTGCAGAAATGTCTGATGACACTGGAAAAGGAATGAGGGGCTTGGGTATATTCCGTGGTATCTTAAGGCGATAAAGTGGTATTATTATATATGGACTCGTAAGAGCGTGTAAATGTCCCTGATGTATCCCATTATTGTTTGTTATGTACCTTCTGCTTTCAGTGGCTTTTGTATGAGGTTCTTCACTTCCTGAGCAACTTCCTCTGATGTACTTCGAACAGTGAGACGACAGAGCTATGCAGAACCGTGAGACCAATACCAGCAAGTGCTTGGTGGGCTTACCTTAGCTTCACGATTTGGCTCTACCCGTAGTAAGCAACCAACTTTACCATCTACCGACATATGCAATACGCCGGCCCCCACAAGATTGCTAGGGTTCGGATCGATATCTGCAAGGATATTCAAACCATGCCCCGCAACAACATTACGGTTTTTGACAAGATCCAGTTGCCCCGAACTTGTTAGCTCAACAGGGAAAATGGCCTGCGCCTCTCTGGGAGGCCCACCAATCAACCGCCATCTTTCAAAGAAATCGGCTTGCCCAAGGCTGACATGCTCGAAGAATTTTGTGAGCACAACGGGCAACCGGACTGTTATCGTCTGATGAGAACCGGCGAGGAATGATATCGTGAGGATCGGGGGTGAAGTGAAGGCCTTTTTGCATTCGATATGCAGCAGTTGCTGGGTCTGGGTCAATGGTGGAATGGTACTGGGAGGGATCTTTGCGAAGGATGCGGTCAAGGCGTTCGGGTCGGGCACATGGACCGTTGTTGTGAAGGACGTTAGAGGAGCTGAAACTTTGTTTCCCATGTATATTGCCAGTTGCCCTATGTGACCTTGGTATCGCGATTTGATGCCTATTTGCAACTGCACATCCTCGTACAACACACCCTCAGCATTGTATACCAGCTTGTCGAACCAACGGTCTATGTTTGGTCCTGAGGTGAGCCTGGGTGCTTTGTCCGAAGGGAATGAGTCTTCTGTCGAGCCGAGTTGCGTTTGAGATGTCGACGTTAGGTCCAAACCAGCAAGAGAGTTCAGGATGTCTGAACCGTCTGCCGTGGCTGTCGCCGCGTCCGTACCGTTTTCCGTACGCTTCTTCGTAACTGCGCGATCCAGATTTGCCTCCTTCCCACCATGGACCCACGTCCGCTTATCCTCCGTATCACCCAGTTTCCGGTTCAGTCTTCCAAGCAAAGCGCTAACACGAGGCGGGAAGGGAGGCATTTCTTCGCACACATTCTGCAGGAGTTCGTCATCATCTGGACGTGACGCTAAAGCGTAGAACTCGCAGGCACGCTGTTGGAGTTCTGCATCGAGTACATGTCGATAGCGGTCGAAGATTGTTAATAACTGCGGCTTGATCTCAGGGAAAACGTTGACCCATTTAATGTACGTGGAGAGAAGTAAGGAACGTGTCGATGCAACGCAGAATTGAGACTTGGAGTGAAGAAGTTGGAACTGTTCGATGGGGCTGTAACCTCTTTCGTTGGCGATCATATGTCCGTACTCGCCAAGAATATATCCTGTGTGGCGGTCAGGAATTAAGGTTATCAGGGGGGGGGCTTATACACTTACCTCCAACCTTGACGAGGGACTCGTGTGTAGAAGGTGCCTTGAGGTGCTCGAAGACAACTTTCGCGGCATATTCTTGAAGATCCTCTGTGTTTGTGACGATTTGGACGACCCGGTACCATACTTCGTCGCCAACGTGGTCTCCGGCAGCGCTGATCAACTGAAGGATGGTGTCCACATACCACTTGTATGATGTGGCATATTTCTCGGTAAGAATGGCAATCTTGAGCACCATCTCTTCACGTAATGCATAATCTGCCACTTTGAGGTACCGCAACAATTCCCCCACTACGAGTTCAGAATTATCAACATCGCACATGCTGTACAAAAGGTCAAGAGCTCGTCGCCGAACAGATATATCTTTATCGCGCAGGGATAATATGATCGTGTTTTGGTGCTTCTTAATTGGCTCCAGAGAATCAGCGCGTGCAGCTAGATGCGCCATTGTGTCGAGGCCTAAGTATCTGACGTTGGTTTCCTTGGATGAAATAAAACGAGCAAGCAAGACAGCTGCAGTGCCGACAAGCGGAGATTTGGTGTCCAAGTGTATGGCTAGACCGATAGCTTCGAACAAAACGGCATGCTGAGCGTTGTTGTGTTGAACATTCCGTGAGGGTTCGGCACTATTGTTCATGATCGTTTGGAGGACTTGATGAATCATTGAACGAATAGTTGGGTCCTCTGAGGGATAGGAATGAGGAAAAAAGATATCAAGGGAGGTATATGCCGGAACGTACCAGACGGCGGGTAATATTGTAGTAGCCTTAGTAATTTGACGAGCAGCCACGGAGAGGGCACCTTGTAATAGGCGTATGTTGCTGCGTATTCATGTTCAATGACAATCTATCCCATATTAGCGTGTGAGGCACGCATGGACTTCCAGCTCACTCTGTGCAATCGATCTACGGCTTTGGTATAGCAAACGGCATACGCATCCAGGTGGTCCTGTGCCAGCGCCATGACCAAACTTGTAACGCAAACAACAACCCCCTTGAATGCTATTAGTAATTGATACTGGACGTGATGGATGAGGCCATACCAAGTCCGTGTCGTCCATGAGTGATACGATTCGTAGAGCCCATTCTGCAGCAGGGATCACATCTGGGTGTTTGCGGTATAGCCTCAGAAGAGTGAGAGCCGCCTTCTTCTTCACGAATGTCTGCGAAGTACTTTTGAGCCATGATTAAGTGGAGAACGCGCGTGCTTCAGTGCAATCCACATACGGGGATATTAATAACCGATGGACGTCCTCGACTAGAGCTTCTGCCATTTCACTTCCTCCTACGTTGGCTATAGCATGGAGCGCGAGGCAGTTGTCGATTTCGTTGTTGGCATCAAGATCCTTGCGAATAGAGTTCACCACGAGACGCAGGAAATCCGAGTTCTCGTGCATTAGCAAGGTGACGGCCAAGTATCCCTATGCCTGCAGTCAGATATGCATAGGAACCAGAAACAAGGCCTCGCACTATCTGCTTCTCGCTGTACTTTGCACTGGAAATGAGATTGACGGCTTCCATATGGCCGACATCGACTTTGTATCCCAGTATGTATGTGAAGATGATCTTCGCGACATATCTAGTCCAGTCAGCGGGAGAGTTCTGAAGTAAGGGATATAACAACTGACTTCTTCTTCTGGTACCCATCCAGATTACCGTCTGCAGCGCCATATTAGAGTCATGTACCCAGGATCACTCGACACGAAACCACACCTTTGAACTTCTTCCGTATATTCGCCATTTCTTTGTTGATCCTCTTCTCTTCCAGTTCGCGAACCCTGGCACCTCGAATGTCCGCAATAAACTAGTTCCATCGTTCGTCAACTGTGTTGATGAGACGAGCGAACTGGAGGCCCTCACCTGCGTGAGACCACGCATGTTGGCCGCCATGATTGCGACGTTATTTGGGGGGAAGTTACAGGTCTAGCTTGAGGTGTTCGATGAAGGATGAATGTCGCCGCGAGGGATGTAGAGTGCATCAAGTGTTCGCGCCAATGGTCGCTTAGGCAGCTAGTAGTCACGTGTGCCCATATATGCAGGTTGAGTTGAGTGTATTAAGTATGCTAAACATTCTAGAGCAAAACATGTACGACGATAAGCAAGATAAATAGATATTGTTTGATGTCCGTATGATATCCCAAGTGGAAGAAAAACATGTTATGATGTCTAAAATCGGCGGGAAAGCCGACTCGGTGTGCCCGGTCTTGAACTGAATGGCAGACCGTGGTGAGCAGGGGTAGAGTAGCCGGACGATGATCGGGGGAGTCGCATGGTAGGGAAGGAGGGGGAGCCTATTGGAGAGCCAATGGGCGTGACGGAGCGTGAGCTGGCGCGGGATTGGAATTGCTCCCGCTCGCTAGCGTAGGTTTTGAGAATGTTGACGATATCCCTGGAAAGATAATCCAGCTCTCTGATCTCATTGCGCGATAAAGAGAGATCCCTCCTCCCTTGCTCGTCGTCTTCGTCTTCTCGGGGCTCTTCGTCGCGCGACAAGGTCGGAGGGCGGGGACGCTGGCGGCGGGCCATAGTGATGCCTTCGAACACACGCAGCATGCAGGCGTCCACCGATATCTTGAGTCGCTGCACGTCATCCAGAGCATCGAGGTTGCCCACAATCGGGAGCCAGCCGTCGCATTCGATGCCGCGTTCCACGACTTCAAGTTTGTATGCACCGAAAAGCATGTAAGTCAAAGGATCCAAGCGAGTGGTCGTCATCTGGTAGGTTTGAGGAGTGGAGCCCACAACGGACGCGTTCTGTCTCTTTTCCAAGAAAGCAAACAATTGCCTTTCCCCTGCCGACTCAGCGTCTGTGTCGGAGGCTATATGTTTACGATGATTCACACTGGAAGGGTGGATGAAGGTTTTCTATTTCCAAGCAATTTCAGTATCACAACCATCATCCAAAGACAATCAACTGACCTTGTCTTGTTGAGTACGGTAAGTCATTTCACCAGTGCGAATGGAGAATTTTGGTTGTGATGCAATCGTGATCAATGCTTGCAGAACAGGGATCGAGTTTCTGTTCGTATTAAGCTCAGGGGGCACCGAGAGCATTCTACTACTCGAAGCGTCGAAAGTGCCGCCTCCAGAGATATCAAGAACACCGGCTTGGTTAAGTGACTGCAAAAGATGGGTCTTAATTTTCTGAATCAGCAGAAGCGTAGGCTTGGCGAGGAAATTGTCCAAACAGAACCGATTTGCCGAAACGTACTCGCCTCGGGACTGCATGGCCCACCAGGCGTTGTAGGCGCGAAGCGTCGTCAGAACGTCAGAGCGACACTCCGGGGGGCACCACGAGCCCTTCCGCTCCTGCGCCTCCTTGCGACGATGGAGAGGCGAGACGAAGGGGTCGCGGTTGGTCATGATAGCGGCCAGCGTCAAGGCATCATCGAGGCACCGGAAGAAACTGCCGTAGAGCACCAACCTGCCCATCTGGACCTCGACTGGCAGCTGAAGCAGAAGCCGTCCCAGAGACGTAAGGTTCTGATCCTCGTCGAGAGCGCCTACCATGAACAAGTCCTTCATCGCCGCTACGACGCGTTCTGGGGAAGGCGGCTCGATGCAGGCGGCGAGGACGTCCTCCACGGCCATACCGGGGAAGTCGAGAGCTTTAACGTGCATGACGACGTTGCTCAGGTCGACTCGCTTCATTTCGACGGTTTGGTGCGGATGGAGCTCTTGAGCGTGCTTTTGACCGAGAATGCCGAAATACTCCCCGGGTCTATGTCTGCCTGCACGCCCCGCCCTCTGGTTGAGATTCGAGGATCCAACCCAGGCCGACACGAGAGAGGACATATGACGATCTGGGTCGTATCGCTGTTCTTTGACTTTGGCGGTATCGACTACGTAGACGACGTCGGGGATGGTGACAGAGGTTTCCGCAATGTTCGTCGCGAGTATGATGCGGCGGACGCCGTCCGGGGGAGGCTCGAAGACGACCTGTTGCTCTGGTAATGGTATGGACGAATGCAAGAGATGAATAGAATATTTTGACCGATCGTTGAAGTTAAGTCGTGTAGGACCTTGTGGCGACAGTAGGGCCTTTTGAACAGATTGAATTTCTTCCCAACCAGGCAGGAAGACCAAAACATGACCCGAGTCCGTACGTTGCAGAACATGCGAGATCGTCAGCGCTATGAACGCAAACGGGAGCTCGAGTTCATTATCGTTTATCGTCGCACCCTGCTGCAGTCGAATCCCCAGTTGCGCGGCAGGCTGCACCCCAAGCTCCTTCACGAGATACTTGATCGTGGGTTCCTGGGAGAACACCCAGCGATTGGGCTGCTCGCTGACGAGTTGGGGAACGAAATCGTCTAAGAAGTGCTTCACCACAGGGAACGACCGCCCAGGCACTTCAATGACCTTAGCGGGCATCCCCTGCGTATCCGGGAAGTAGTTCTGGAACAACGTTGGGTTTATAGTTGCGCTCATCAAGATGACTTTCAGGGGCTTATTCCTAGCTTTCCGATCGGAGAGGAATCGCTTCAGGACCACCAGCGTCAAGTCCGTATCGAGATCGCGTTCGTGGACTTCGTCGACGATGATGTGGGTGACGCTGTCGAGGTCGGATGTAGACATCGCGTCCCCGATCCCGGAGAGCGCAGAATGCATACGCTTCAAGAAAATACCAGTGGTGCAAAAAGTGATGGACCCATTGTCTTCCGGGAGTTTGTTCTCGAACCGGACGTGGTATCCAACCGAATGGCCTAACGATTCCCCGCGCTCCTTCGAAACACGGTCTGCGACACTGATGGCCGCCAAGCGCCGCGGTTGAGTGCAGATGATATTGCAGGAAGACCCGTCGCCTCTTTTTATATAATCATCTAAGATCAATTGGGGAATTTGCGTCGTTTTGCCGGACCCAGTTGCAGCCATGCAGATTGTTACGTCGTTAGCTGCGACGTGTGCGAGGATGTCCCGAGCGCGTGTGTAAACGGGGAGCGACGCCCTCGTTGTCCGCATCCTCTCCATCCTGGCGTCGGCTAGATAGGCTTCATGGCGTTGCAGAAGCTTCTGAGACTTCTGCGCTAAAACCTCAGGGCCTACAATACGTCTCCGCCGAGGCGCATTGCCCATTGTAGCCGAAATCTCTGTGGGACCAGGGGCCGGCCGATTCTTGTAGAGCTCGCTCTTCTTGATGTCCGCGCACAGAGCCTGTATCCGATCTGCCACATTGCTCGACACCTGGAAGAAGACTTTTGGAGCCAAACCTAGATCATCTCCCGTCTTGGCAGCTTCGACGTAGGCCTTCCACAAATCCGAGTCACATTTCTCCAGATACTGCGTGACGTCGAGGTAGCAGGCCGTCTGGGAGGCTTTCTTGTTTGGGCCCTTTCCCAGCCCGATGCGCCGCTCGTCGACGGTCATGACCGCCTCCCACGTCGAGCCAGGGAGTGCATTGTAAGTGAGATCTGGCTTCCCGAAACGAAATCGCCGACAGTAGTAATCCATGAAGCTGCGGGCTTGTTCGTATGTAACACTAGAGCCGTCAGAAAGGGTGGCAGTCGATGCGACAGTGGCCGATGGGTTGAGAGAACGCGGATTTTCCAGCTGCATTCCACTCAGACTCGAGTAACGCGGGAATCCAACGAAGAGCACATACCAGTCCTAGTTTGTCTAGCTGATAGACTGCCGACAGCGCCGCCAATTTCTCTGATTCCTTCTTGTCAGTGGAATCCCCGACTCCCTCGATAGGTGGATCCACATTGATGACTACAGTCGTTCTAAAAAACCGTCAATAGAGCACCAGACTGAGTACGCGCGCCGTACCTCCACATCAGTGTCCGTTTCCCGCTGCTCTCGACTACGGTCCCCTGCGTGCATTTGTAGTCGGGCAGCTTCGAGATCGCAATCATGCAGAAATTGCCTATCGACGACTTGGGCGTGTCTTCGTGCTGCGCTTTCAGTGGATTGCTTCCTCGATATGTCTTCAGGATGTACGCTTTATCGTGTATCGGCGGATCGAATCCACTGCGCCCTCTATCACCCCGCCCTCTGTCGCCCTTCTCTTTCTGTTTTCCCTTTCCACGCGAATTCGATGCTGAACTAGAAACCAGCGGCGAGCCGCGCTTTCCTCTGGGTGCTCCCCGGCGTGACGAAGATGAAGATGGGAGCATTTTGAACTGGGGGGAAACTAGCGGCGTTGGCGTAGCTCGTTGTGTTGCCGGTGCATTCGAACGCTGATTCCGCGATAACGACGAAGGACCAGCTTCTTGCGAACCACCCTCAAATGAAGCTCGCAAGGTTGCGGTAGCCTGGTGAGCGAACGAGCGCTTCAACGTGGGGCCTTTGCAGTGCGAAGAAGGAAGGAAGGAGTGAGACGCGTTGAGCTTGGCTTGTTCAACTGTCACGAAGACGCAACGCCCGAGCTTGCGCAGGGGGGTGATGCGCATAATTCTTGTTCTTCAGGTGGGATCAGCAGACCACCGTGGGCAATGTCCCACACTAACCAAATACTGTCCCCCGAGCGTCTGGCTTGCTTGCGCGTATTCTTGCCGTTCTTTGAAAAGTCGAGCGCGTTCAGAATGTAATATTAAGCACGACGCGTATGAAAATGAGGAGTCGAGTCGGTAAAGGCCGAGCGGATGCCCCTGAGTGACTCGGATCGGAGAAGGACATTCCTGCAGGTAGCCTCCGCCGCCTTGCCTCCGTGGCTTCTGCGTACCTGAGCACTAAGTAACACATAGCTCGAACGTTCAACAACTAAGGTATGCGAGTACAATGACTAAGTGGGGATACGGGGACAAATGTCAGAATGCAGTGAACACAGCTCTTCCGACTGTTCGATGACAAGAATTTACGAGTGGGCATCCTCGTGAGCATGCGCAGCCCGCTCTATGCCTTCTAGATATTTCAAACGGATCGTGGCCTCCTTGACTGCAGCCCAGTCTTTTGCCTCAATCAATGTCTCAATCTCATCTATGATGTCCGATATTTTCCCTGCAGCACACATTAGCTACCAGAGATGGGTTCAAAGGCTGCATCCTGCTCACCTCGATTCTCCTCTCGAATGGCTTGGATTAAGACTGGATTGTCCGCGTTCTCAATCTCCTCCCGCGCCTCCATGACTTCCGAAATAAATATCATATCGTCTAGCTTGTCTTCCTCCGACATCGGGTGCCCATTGCGCTCCAGGATGTATTCGGCGCGTGCAAGCGGCTTCAGCAGCCTCTGGTACGCGTTGTTGACTAAGGAAGAAAGGGAATGTGCGAGGTCTTGTTTACCCTTGAGACATGTTACGACCGAAGCATCAAATGACACGGAAGAGATAGCACATACCTCCCCTTTTGAAGCCCATGAATCTGGGTGGCACACCTGCTGCGCCCGTCTGAAGTTACTCTTGAGTGCGGCCGTATCAATGGCGAATGGATTTGTGTCTGCTGGCAATCCGAGTAGTTCATGGTAGGAGATATCTGATGGAAGGCCCGCGATAAACCAGCAATTCGTGCACGCAGGTATGGAGGTCGTGAGAGGTTGATGGCAAGATGGGCATTTCCTTGGAATCCGCTCTACGCGAGTCGAGAAAGCAACAACTGGTAAACGAAGCGATTCTCCGATTCTGAAGGGACTGGATAGTGTCCGAAGGCGACATGGTCGTTGTCTAAGGATTGTAGAAAGTGGTCGATGGTAGAAGCGCAACATGTCCGAGACCGAGTGGAGCATCGGGATTCGGCGTCAGCCTCATGATATGGAGTCTCCGCAGGACGCGCCGGCGGTACGCTCGCTGCGAAGTGCTATTTGTTGGATTCAACGCTACATACTAGCATCGTAAATTGTCCGCTAATTGATTTAACTGTTACACAAATCCAGACTCCGTAAGCAACAAATCTGACTCAAACCTGGTCTGGTGGATGTGCGGCCTTCGTCGAGTTATCAATTCTAGGACGAGGTCTAGTCCTTTTGGTTGACGAGCATCCATATCCTTCATAGCATGACCCCTTCATTTCGACATGAATTGGAAGCTGAGATGAAGGGGTGCCGAGCAGACGCAGCTAAGTGACACGTATAACAAAGAAATGATGAAAAATCAGCAAAACAACGGAAACAAGACGCCTAGCCGCGACCCTGTTTGTCCGGGCCTTCAGAGAAGGAATGCGAGCGAGTGTAGTACGCAAATCACGCGTCTGCGCTGCGCTGTCCAATAAGTCCACAACTTGAATGGCATTTGTATCTGGTAATCCAAGTGTACGTGGTGCTACTAGACGAATCCTTGTGCACTGAAGGAGCTACAGTCAATCCTAGTTCTTGAGAACTGAAGCTGAAGAGGCTTGAAGGTGGCTGGCATCATGTGACCTGGGGGACTGTCGGCGTGAGTGCCCTGAGCAGGTATTTATGTCGCTTCTACTGACATTATGCTGTGAGTCCTCCAGAGGATGACCCCGTCGGCGAACTCCGTCCCCCCACCCTCCTTTCTTCAACTCGACGACGAGGAGACCGCAAAGCCTCCCCAGAAGCGGTTCAGCAGGTCTCCCTTTCGTCGCACACCACACCCGAAGCCCAGCAAGGACAGCGTGTCCAATGGGGCGCGCAGGACGCACACATCAGATGCAGAGAACAGCGATGGTGGACCCAGTACTACGAACGAAATTGGGGAACTGTCATTGAGCGACGGAACGACGACGTTGAAGCCGCATGTGTATGACCAGCAGGAATTCCAGGATCAGTACCAATGGGCTATCGTGTACGAGAATCAAAGAGGGTATGCATCTAGCATCTTTCTGCGTAGCGTATCCTGACATGCGATGGAATAGCCTGAATATATTCTCCACGGCTTACTATTCACATCTTTCTCTACTCCCCAATGACCCCCTGCCGTTTACCATGCCCAATGCTGGCAAGCACCGTTCTCAGCAGTTCAAAGTCTCCCTGTCTAATTACCCTTTACCCGATGGTTCTTGGCATTGGGCCTCCAAGTCCTGGATGGTGGATATGCGAGGTGCCACTGGGCAGGTACAGCACGACGGATTCGAGTATAATTTGCTTTTCCGGAAACACAAGTGGCACGCTGCCTCAAAGCTGAGTAGCGGGGCATTCGTGAGGCGTAGAAGGTGGTTGCGACTCATGGTCAGGCCTGCAAGGCAAGATACACATAAAGCGAGCCACCATACCAATAGCAACGATGATAGCGACACCCATCCTGTGCGTCGTGAGTCTCCGGATGCGATCTCAATGGGCACAGCACAGGATCCCTTTGAAGTTTACCCTCGCGAAGTCTTTGTGGGCGATGATGCCGACGAGGATTGGAAGCGGTGTCACACCCTTCTGAAGTCTGCGGGACGCGATGGGAAGAAGCTTGAGCTGTGGCATCGATGGCTCGGCCTGAAGCACATGGATCTGTCAAGTACGATTGGAAAGTCGAAGATGCGCCGACAAGTCGTCAAGAAGCAATGGTCAGAGGACAGCGAGCCATTACCTTCTGAAGTCGCAGCGCACGATGCGAGGATTGCCCATGTCCCCGTATCTGATCCGCCCGTGCAGCAGATTGGTGCAGTCTTGAAAATACACGTACGTTGCCTTCATTTTGTGATAATGAAACCAGGCAACTTTATTCATTTCGCTCTATGTTAGGCAAATCACATCATGGAATCTTTCGTTTATCCGGAATCTCGTGCGCATCTCGTCGAGCTGTTCGCTCTCGCCGGGGCTCTTCCTTATATTAGAGGTGATACGTCGAGTTGGCTCGCCAGATCTTTGGACTTCTACAGCTACATCAAAGACTTGGAGATACGGTTCTCTGTGCAGGGAGGAAAAGCTACTACAGTCGATTTTTAGTTCTTGATTATCCTTTCGGAGCAGTCATTCTGCATGCCGTATCTATTCACATATTCCATTTACATCCATCAATACCGCGTCATCTTATCATAGCGCCAATTGTACCTCTCATTTTGACGCGCCCGCATGTTTACATGTGATTCCCATCATCATCGTCTGCAACAGCGATGAAGTGGAAGAATTTGATGGATCGAGTGCCAGGTCTGCCCGGCGATCCCTCACACATCGCCCATGTCGCCTTGCGGACGTATTCCCTCGCTTTGTCACTTTCGCTGGGCCCGTCACTGCTGCCATTCGTCCTTAGCCGCGTCGCACCAAGATCCACCGGCTCGACCAAGTACAACGGCCGTGCCTTGCTCAAAGTGCTGCGAAGGGAACTGGGACATGATGGGTTCGCGTTCGCCATGACTCTCGCTATTGCCGGTGGTGAGGCTTTGAACCGGTATTTCTCAGCGGAGGCCTCTGGGGAAGTGCCAGCGGAGGGTAGCCCAACCGCAGAACCGCGTCGAACACTCCGCTCTTTGCTAGCAAGGCTCTCGGCGGCACAAAGGACATTCGTGGCGAACTTCGTGTCGTCAGCTATATCTATTCTCCTCATACAGGCTGGCCGCGATAGATCCCTGCGGCTGAGGAACAATCCCCCGTCTATGGATGCTATACCCTTGACAGTATCTATACCCCATTCTTTGCGTTCGGGCGTTGCGGTACCCTCACCTACACTTGATCTTACCCTCCTACTCCTCGTCAGAGCTGTCGATTCCCTCTGCCAAAGCTTTGTCTTCACGCGGTGTAATAACGCTCCGGAGAAATCAACTCTGCCTACAAAAATACCCGACGAGATGGATGATGTTCACGAAGAAGAAAAGCAGTTCCGTCGCAGGCGACTGGGCCTCACGACTCGTATAGATGCCCTGGTCTTTTGGGCTTGCGGCGCTAGGTTAGTTCGGCCCTTGCCTCTTCGTAGGGCAGGCCCATCCGTACGCATGTGCTTACCAAACCCTAAGAATAATGTGGTGTTTCTTCTACCGACCAGCAAGGTGCTTGTCTCAACTTCAGTCGATCGCGAGTGCTGGCTGAGTTTGTCCAAATAATCTTAACCAGGCTCCCTCGCGCCTACGTCAAATGGATCGGTTCCTTAGCAGCAGTGGACCCCCGTCTCCCTGAAGCACTGCGTGCCATCCGGACCGGGCGCTGGAGCTACATCCACGGCTCACCCAAAGAGTCCCATCTGTTGACATCCCTCTCACAAGACCTGGGATACCCCCCAGCATGGGGAGATCCGTCCGCGCTCCCTGCTTTCGGAGGGCGAGCTGCCAATGTAACTTGGACTAAACTGGGGGTGCACAACCGATCAGGCGTTGGCGGTATACCTTGCGAACTAGTTCATGGCGGTATCACCTCCCGCTTCGGGCTTGATGGCAGTTGCACCGCCAATGCGGTGGTCAGAGGCGCATATGCCTTCGCTGAAGCAATGGCAATATACCTCCCCGTAGGAAATTATCCGCCTGTCACAGAGCGCGTTTTGACTTTAGATCCACAGGTTCATCTACTTCCAGTCCTTCTGGGTCGCCCGAGCTCACTGCTCCAACCACATAAAGCCATTTCCGTGCTTCTAGGAGCCGCGCGAAGCGCCACATTCCTTTCTACGTTTGTGTCTTCATATTATTTTACGGTGTGCGTTACACGTACACTCGCCTTCGCGCGACTCTTTCCTTCCGTGTCGCACGACTTTTGGGATGGGCCGTACGGCTGTATAATGGCTGCGTGCTTGACGTGTGGAAGCAGTATCTGGATCGAAAATGGTAGGCGTCGGGGTGAGATGGCACTGTATGTCCTCCCGAGGGCTATACGGACGCTCCTCCCCAACTCCTGGCTGCGGGGCAACCGCCCACTGGCTCGGGGCCTCGAGCGGTGAGTTCTCCCGTCCCGATTATGGTTAGCTGCGCTGAATTCAATTGATGAAGTCTGGTGTTTGTCCTATCATTCGCAACACTAATAACCGGAGCCATGCACAAACCGCACTCCCTCCGAGGACTCTCGAAATGGACTGCCGCATTCATTTTGAAGGGTCCTCGCGCTGGCTTCAGGAAGACAGGCGATCAGATCAGCAACTGATTGTGGCTACCTCTACCTCGTGACGCCACCACACGAAGACGTCCCCGGGTGCGAGGTTGAAACCAATACCCAGATGAACAATAATCGATAATCAGAAATGTAATTGAATGCAATAATTGGCATTAAACGCATTAGGCGTCATTAACTCGTCGTATAGTGTCTAAGTATGGTCGTAAATCGCATAAATTATGATGGTATGATAGATTCGTGAATTGCGTGAATGTTCAATCCACCCAGATGGGATCCGTATGGAACTTGGCCTTGGGCGTGTATTTCTTTTGTTTCTTCGGGTTGTGATGCTCGTGCTCGGCTTCCATCCTGATCTTGACGCTGCGGTGTACTTTGAACCCACACGACCGCTGCCTCGGGATGATTCTCGATCGTGCTTTGTTTGGGCTGTGAAGAAAGCTCAATATGGATGGAGGTACACAACCATCGCGACGAATAGGAACATACCCAAAGTAAGAGACCCAGCGGTTGTCCTTTCCAACCTGGAACCGGTATTCCATTGGGATGAATTCCAGTATCCACCAGAAGGGCTTTAACTTAAGCTGGTCGTACTTCGGTGACAGCGCATCGAGTAGTTCCTCCTCTTCTTCAGAAACGGAAGCTACGGGAGGGAAAGGGGAGGGAGGTCGCGACAGAAGTCCTTCCTTCTCAGAAGGAGCGGTAGAAGGAGCAGCTGGCGGCTTCTTTGACCACGGAAAGCGCCATCGCTTTTCCTCCTTTGGTCGCTTCATGATCTTCGAAGAGCCGGGGGAACGAGAAGGTGGGCGAGGGGTGACAAAGGGGTGAAGTGTTTGTGGGTCAAGGCCAACGTTTTTGAGTCGCTCGGCATCAAACATGATTCCAGTATTCGTCTTGAAGCATTCCCGGATCATCCAGCGAAGTGATATACGGGCCAGAGAATGTTTGGTTTTGTTCGAAACGGAACCGCCGCCGACATCTATAAGCAGATGCAAATGAGTTATTGACTGCGACTTGCTAAGAGGTGCGTACCGCAATGGCAACCCTACAAAGGATATTAGATTGCTGTTCAGCTGGGGTAGAGGAAGGTAGACGTACAGCAAACCAGACTTCCTCGATATCCGTCGGTTTACCTTGGAGCTCAGAGTATTGCCTTTCCAGCTGGGTAAGCTCGTGCTCTTCTTCGCTGATTCTGATGAACGAAGAATGCTTTTCGCTTTGATCTGAATCACCAGTGGTCTTTTTGTGCTGCACTTTCGATCTATCGACCTTTGGAGTTTTGCTGGTCCCAAGGTTCTCTTCGTGGGGCAGTGGTTTGTTCCACAAATTCGCTTTGAACTTCGCTCGTCGTTCATCCAAGGCAACGGCGTGTCGGAAGGTACGAACAACAGTGTTTGATGTAGTGAACGGTAAACGCCTCGGGATCAAACCCACAGAACTGACAGTATCCCTAATAAACGTATGAGTAATGATACATATTATCTTGCGAATGTATGTCAATCATACCAAACACCGATGAATTCGATGGTGACATCGATAGAGAAGGCTTCCTTGAAAGCATTTGACTGCTCCCAACCCAGTGGATCCGCCCGCGTGAACATTTTATACGCGAAGGGAACTTGCTGGTGGTTGCTCGCGGGGAGGAGCCCCACTTTGTGTAGCATACCTGCCAGGGCACGAGCGGTGTATGCTCCCCTGGAGAAACCAAAAATACAAATGCGGTCCCCATCCATATCTGTTCCACGGTATTCGGTGAGCATAGGTCGGGCACGGCCCACGTCAAACTTACAGTTCTGCATCAAGAACTCATAGCCATCTGTATGGGTCATTCGATCAACGTGCGTCTATAATGGGTGAAGCAGATGGCATACCCATCACATGTGCATCCAAGTTCCACGCTATCATCGCGTCGAGGGTCTGATGTCGTTCGTCAGGTACTGGATCAAAGTTTGATCGAAGAAGCATACCTGGGATACTTTAGACATCACAGGCGTGGCTACCTTCGGCGAGACGTACGTCCCAATACCCGACTTTGCAAGTAATTAAGCAAAATATGGCAGCAAATGTCTTGAGCCAACTCACTTGGTAGTAAACCATCTGCTTAGTCTTGTCATCCTTCTTCAACAAGGAGAACAGCTGGACGATGTTTGAGTTATCCGCGTCGAACTGATCGCCAGTGCCTAACGAATATTATGAGTATAATCTACACAGGCTTTAAATGAACGGACGTACCATCAAAGCATAACACGAGCGTCCGATGATCGTGAACCGGCGGTATCGTTGGTGGGCTCTTGCGAGGATCAAGCGTGGGTTCATGAGCAGGCAGAGGCCTGGTGAACAGCGCGCGCTCAGGACTGGGAGACAAATAGGGCATTCCGTCGACTGGAGGCTGCTCAGTGGGCGAGGCGGGTAAAACAACTGGCTCCCCGACGTCGGCGCTGCCAGCGGCTTGATCAACATCTAATATCATGGCGGGTTCAGCGGTGTCGCGTCGTCCGTCGAATTCAGACATTTGTAGGCGCGTCGACGTCGCGGGCAAGGACTGAGTGAATATTTGGTCATGTAAAGTCAAGGACCCTTTATAAAGTTCGGAGGCTGAGAAACCAGTTTTCCCCGCCGGAAGCAAACCGAACTGCTATAAACGATCGGCCTGATCATCTGACGGCGTCTGTTCTGGTTCCGGTGTAACAGTGACGCCCAGCATTGCCAAGCGCAGAGACTCCGTTCAAGACGGTGAGAAGAGAAGAGTGATCATTATATCCTGGCGCGTAACATTTTTCAGCCTCTCCAAAGGCATAATTTGTGGTCATAAAATGAGCAACTACCAATAAGCGTTCGGTCAGTCTTATTCGTGGTTGTTCTGGCGTAGGACCAATCTGCGCCATATGCGAGTGATTGATGATCGTCAAAGCGTTTTGCCACAGTTCCTTGTATTTGCATCGGCGCTTTGTCTGCGCCATCGAAGTGGAGGATTTTGAAACCGTCATGCATGCAGGCCACCAGTAAGTCGTCCGCCCGAAGCGGGGATGGATGCCATTTCACCCTCCAAACTCCACCACCTGCGTCGGCTGTACCAACTGGGGCCACCGCCTTCCTGGAGTCATACAGCCGTACCGAGGTATCGTAACTGAGAGACGATTGGATGACTATCAATAACGATATACCAATCAAGGATAATAGAGTTGAGTTTCACCTCCCTACAACAATCAAATGCTCCCGATGGGGATTACTCTGCAAAGTTGTTACACCTGCCTCAAAACTGCACAGGTGACGACACCGAGCGGCGAAGATATGAAACATTCATACCGGCGATTCAAAAATACAGGCTTGGAAAAGCCCTCACGAATATCCCAGCATTTCAATTGCAAGTCGTCACCACCTGCCATTTTCTGTAAGACGCGCGATGTATAACCAGACTGGATGTTTACCCGAATAGATCAAATTAGTGTTCCAGTAATCCCAAGCAGCAATCCAAGGCTCGTAATCATGCGCATGCCATAATTGTGTGACGGCGAGGTTCTGGTCGTCGGGTTGCAATAGAGCCAATTGGCCGTTGGAGAGAGAAACTACTAAAGAGCCAGTCCCGCTGATCTACCGTAAAATCTTGAATTGACGGATCATTCGGTAGCGAGGAACGTCGTACGTTCCAGTATACCGGCGATTAGACCAGTCAAGGGATAAACAGAGAATATCTGAAGAAGCGCATTCTATGTCAGCTAGTTGACGAAGATTTCTCTAGTAAAGATGTTATTGGCACATGGTAAGGGCTGTCAAAGAGGACTAGAAGCACCTCGTTGCTCTCCCATTCATGTAAAGTTACGCGACCCTCAGAATTTGCCACTCCCAGTAACGGGTTGTTGGATTCAGACCGATGACTCCTACAATTTGGGTGAATATGTACCCGACGCTGACAGCGGTTTATTGCAGATACCATTTCATATCCGGAATAGCTGGCAGGTCGATCTCTTGTAATTTCACACTATATACAGTTCAGCCATTGATATCTACTGTATATCAAGCTCACATCTTCGGCTCGCCTGCATCCTCAACGGCAAATACAAGACATTGTCCACGTCTGTGCTGTGGTGATGGTGCTGCCGCTGGGTCTTCCGAGGCATCGTCTAGCTTGTACGTTCCACACACGAAGATATCTTGAGCAGCCGGATGCGGACAGAACTCGAGCGCATCAGCAGGATAAACGGTATCGACCTCGGGCATTCGAACTGTGCCAGTGGAAAGAGTTACAGCCACGGGCGTCTAAACCAGTTTCCCAGCGAATAGTTGCGGCTCAATCCCACTTTCGCTGCGCAGCTTCGTGGCAACCATGGCCGACTTCGTGCAGAATCTCGACCCCTCCAAACTAGTTCTCGGCGGGACGGTGCGCATGTGTATGGCTCACCAAAAGCCTTCCTGGCTCAGACTTGTTATTACAGGCACTCTCGTTCCTTCTCAGCCCTTTCGCGGCGCCCCCATACAACCTCCCAATATTTCTGTTTGGTATCTATGCACAAGAGAATACCGAAGGCGTCCAATCATTGCAAACTGTTGGTAGCCTTTGTGTTGTGAACATCCACTCGGTCATGCCTTAACTTGTTTCCCGGACTTTAGTTCACCGCGTTGCTAGGAATATCTCATTTCTTTGATGTCCTGTGGATGATGAACAACGAGCAGCAAGGGTTCGTAAAGTTCATGACCGTTGTCCTTCTCCTTCTCAAGGTAAGCCGAATTCGCGTTCCGTTCATGACAATATCAACGCGCTCTTAGATCCCGGTATTCTTCGCCTTTGGTCTAACCCTCCGGCAAAGAGGCGCGCAATTCAGTGGTTTAGGGATAAGAGGCGGCGACTTGAGTGGTGCTACTGGTGTGTTTTGTCTTTGAGCGTCGTTTCCAAGGCTGACACAGCTGCGCAGTTTGGTCAGGCGCCATGCCCGGCGGCCTGGGTAACGGTTATCAAAGTCTTGACGAAGAGTCTGTAGATGCCCGACCAGCGCCCAAAGTGGGAGCCAACCCTCCCCCCGGACCCCCTCCTACTGGTCCATTCCAGGTTTAGTACGGTCTACTGCGAAGTTTTACGTATTGTCTCTGCCTCTCGAACGTCGGTATAATCTACTGCGCGTAAATTACTCAGTCATCGACTCCGTACCGTCTCTTTCGACCTCTGTCTGTGTTCCATCAGAGTCTAATTCAACAATGCTGTCCGCCGAACCCTTCGGAAGGCCAATTTCTGCCAAGAGCATCCTCAAGGCTTCGAGATACTCTTCATTGTTGTCGCCTTTCTTCCTCTCGTATAGCCAAGGGCAGTCCAGAGATTCGCACTCAACCTGCTCCAATGGTGATGTACCGGCGCACGACGCACAAACTTCATGGACGTTGGTGAGACGCTTCTCCCCTTTCCTGACAAGATCTAGGATGCTTGCCATCGTGGTCTGAGGATGCGCCCTACAGTCATCGCAGACGGCTTTCTCACGTCAATTTCACAAGCGCAGCAAGAGACGGAGACGGACTTACCAGTCCATGCGAATTCCCCGCATGTGAGACATTGGGAGTTTGGAAAATGGCGATCCATAACGGCGAACCGATCACGTTTGCTGGGAGAGAAGATATCCGTTTGGCTAATCCTTAGCGGCTTGGGCATCTCATCGTACCATCTTCGGACATCGGCTCCAACGAGATTGAAGATTCGCTCCAATGGAGGAATCAATACCCTAGTTATATAGTACTCGGCATCGAGCTGTTTCCTGTGCCGAGGGATGAGCGTGGTTTCAACAAGGAAGTTAACACCTACCCCGCCGTCAGTACTTCCTGCGGAGTGAACGCTCTTTCAACCAGGCGGGATCCTGGAGGACCACGAGCTATGACATATGGTATCCGATCGCCATATTGCGGTTCGTCATTTGGATCGATCAATACTCGTCGAGCTGCGACTGCTACGCCTGGCGGCGGTGGCAATACATCGCTAGAGGATTTAGAGGTTAAAGAGGCAAAAGGACATCGAACGCCGGTGCGTACCTGTATGTTCCCATTCTAACTTCCTTGGCGAATATGAATTCATGGATGGGCACTTTGTGGTCGAGGATGCTTGTCCATGATCTACAGCAATATTCCTTGATATCACTGAGGTCTTGGGACCTGAAAAGTTTCCTGGTATCGCAATTAGGGCACTGTGCTTTGGAAGTGGTGGAAATGTTAGTATTCACTTGAGGCACACCTCCGTCATCTTCTGCTGAGCAGGTACGCCGTCCCTGCGAACTGTTTCAATTCCTTTGGCGTCAAAGATGGGTTCCGTATCGTCGGGGTGCTCGTACTTGAAGCCGACGTATCTCTTCTTGGCCATCAAGACGCAGGGGAGGTAAACCTGGCCGCGACACTGAGTTGGCAAGCTATCGTCACATAATCATGAATGGTACCTTTTCGAACTTCAATTTGATGGGGGCTGGGTTTCTAGCAGTGATTGCGTCGGCTATATCATTCCCGATTCTGAAAGCTTGTTCTTTGGTTCTGCCTTTAAGGTAGCTGCTCTAATAATTAACGGTGTGTTTAGCTTACAGGGCGCAGACGTACATGAACAAGCTGTCTGTGTCGCCATAAACGACCTGGTATAGAGGATTCACGGACACTATCCGTTGGAAAGAGCGACCACTTGCCTGAGCACCCCATTTTGGGGTTAAATCAATTAAGCGGATGGCCTATGTAACAGTTAGAGAATGCTCTCGAATTCGAACATGAGGACAACATGTACCTTTTCGAGGGTTTCTCTGCCGCTCTGGACAATGCTGTCCGCGATTTCCACTGCAGGCATCCGACCAGAGAAAGTGGCGCTAGTATAACCGTATGTTACATTGGCTATGTACTTCAGACCCAGCTGTCGAGCATTTAGTATCCTGCTGAGAGTCTAGAGTAGGAGGCGTCAGGGTGAACTCTCAGGGGATATGTCAGGAGCCTACCTTATTATCTTTGTTGGTTTTCATGGCTTGCTTCACCATTACCCTGGTGTCGAGGAGTTCTTTCAACATGCGACCCAGCAACCCTTGCCTCACTTCTTGCTTCACATACATTATACCATTCGGAGCGACTAGTAGAGCCATTTGAGCATCAGCATATATTTAATTAACAGGGTCATTTTCGTACTTCTGGTGTGATCTTTGAGAGTGTTCAACAATCCAGGTGGTAGGTTCAGCTCTGTAACGCCGAATTTGTTGGTCCCTTGGAACTCGGCTACTCTACCGAGGCATGTCGAATAGCAGTAATTGTAGGCGATCATGATTGAGGGATACAAACTTTGAAAGTCGAGGACCAGGAGGGGACTGCTATAGAAAGCGGACAAGGGCTCCATGATTAGGGGCATACATTCAGCTGCGTTTTGTTTTCCGACCTAGATAAATGTAAGCAGAGCTGTAATTTAAATGCCCAGATGACGAACATCAATCTTACTAGGGGAGAGAAAAACGAAGTTTTCTGGCTTCCCTAGGCGAAACATGAAAGATTCAACTTTGAATTGGGACCCTCGAGTGATGACGGAGAAGAAATCGACACCAAAGACTCGAGCAAATTCGCTGTGAAATGTAAGATGAAAGATACAGTGAAGAGGATAGATGAATGAGCACTAACGACGTCTTAGTGACAATCTGCGATGCCTCGAGTATTTCTAGCACCATGGACGTCCTCCCGACGAAGTAATCTAGCAGTCTGCTCACGCGTGCTGCCGAAGGTGAGTTGAACCAGGACGTAAGTGTCGTGCGTGAGTACTGCGGGACCCTGATGTTGTGTTGAGACAGTCACAGATGAAGTAAGACATAGATCGTACCGCCGCCGAAGGACATTGAACACGACATTCTCAAAACTATACATGTTGAGTGAGAGTTCGCCTCGCATTATTCTCCAGACATTGAGGACGTGTCTTCCCGCCACTTTGAATGTCGATGCGTGTCTTGCACCCCACTGATCTACTCCACCTCTGCGCCTAGCAGGGGCACGAGAGATGAGCTCATCAATGTCCAGACCTAAGCAAGCACTGTGAACGCCCATCTAGTAGAATATGACGTTAAACAAACCGTATACAGCCCCTCTTGCTTGCAAATAGCCCCAAGAAGACAGTTGTACTTCCCATCCACAAAGTATATCGGGATCGAGGTCGATGACGATGTCAACAATTCTGTGCAGTAGTTCTAGTTCGCTTGGTATTGTTTCGAATTGATGACCCCGTAATCGTTTCGGTTCAAGGTGTTCGCTGTCGACGGCAACGATGCCATGCTTAACTTCTAAAACATCGTCTATCCCGTGGTCGCCCTGGAATGCGAAGAACACCAGGGCAATCTCGTCCTCCTGTGGGATGGGTTGTCGGCCGCCATCAGACAGCGCTATGTAGGAGTACTGAGCAGCTATTGAAAGCAACGACAAGAGCTGGTCACACCGTAGACTTCGAAGGATAGAATTGACATCGTCTCATTCTTTTGGGAGGAGTTGGAATCTACTTTTCCTAAAGAAGACTTCAGCCCGTACGTATTAACCTGGGTAGGGCCTCCAATCTGGAAGCAGAGGCTCTTCATTCGTTTCCACCAGCTTCACGACAAAAGGAGCACATACCTGCGAGCGTGAAACAACTGGATTCGGGGGAGGAAGAATTGGGTTTTCAAGCAGCCACCGCTGAGCCACCTTCCTCTTGGGCGGAAACCCGGCGTATTCCCAGCCTCCGATTCCAGAAGGATCGAAGGTCTTCCCTGGAGCAATATCGACTTCATGTATTGTGTTCGTCGAAGTCTGCCAATCGGACAATGTGTCCAAGCCATCGCCACCTTTGAGACGGTAAACCAAGCCTGCATATTCCCTAGGTCTCGCAGGAGCATCCTCGGAATGGGAATAATGCGGATTGCGATAAATCCTACTGGGAACGTTGTACTCGTCCAATGTCTGAAGTAGATGGTCCTTTGTTGGCGGCAGATGTGCATATGCATAACACTTATCGGGAACGCTGTAGGACGATGACTTAATGTGATCTGACTGTGTTAGAGTGTGCTTTGTCTGTGTGAAATATTCACTCCTTCGCAAGCGCGTTTGTGTCCTGGGTTGGCTTTGAATTTCGCCATTAGGCATTTCAACTTTTCGCCGCTTGGCGGGGCGCTCGGGCTGTTCTGACTTTGGGTGAGACGGCTCCATAAGGCTTTACCGAGATAATTTTAGTGAAGCTGAACGGTGACAAAGGATGAAACGGACCATTCTGCATTCTCCGTTGGAGAAAGCTTCGCCGGTGCTTCGATTATTGGTGACTCGGTCGGGGCAGGTAATAATGGATGGTTACCGCTAAACGTTTCGCCCAAGGTATTGTCTTCCACGCTATGCTGCAATCTTGCGATAAAATCGTTGGCCCCGGCGGCGTCTCCTGCGCCACCCTCGCCATCCGCCTCCAGAGCGGCTGGACTGCAATTCAAAGGTCAGAACTATTGACATCTATCGATATAGGAACAAACCCTTCGTTATTGTCAAGGAAAGGATTCTCTTCTTCTTGTTCCACGACAAGGTCCTCTTCGAAATCCTTGTCGTATATGCCCTCATCTGGACCATCTTCAAGGGACTGGGCCTGGTCATTTTCGATAAAGCTCTCCATTTCATTGATGTACGGCTCAGGATCATCAGCATCTTCGATGGCTTGACTCGAGAGGAAACTCTCGTCGACATCTACTTCTTCATCCTCCCCGCTGGGTTGAACCGAAGCCCTGGAGACAGATGAGCCTGAGGTTGAGTCAACCGGCGCGGTGGAGCTTTCTGCTTGTTGAGGTTTCCACACTCTGAACGTAGGCTCCCATAGCGCTTCAATGCTTTGCGATGTTGTCATGACCCTCTTATCCCAGGAGTTGCTTGGTTCCAGGTGTTCAGTGGGTTCTGCTTCGATTCTTGCTCTCAGTTCGCGCCACCATCGCGCCTCCGCCGTCCAATCGCCACCGTCCCCCCTACGGTTCTCGCTCAGATCCACAGGCATATCCGGGGAAGCAGACAAGCCTCTCGCAAGCCTGCGCCTTCGCTCGTCTTCCCATAGTTCACGCACGCTGAGAATCAACGGTTCAGTCGGCATTGGTGCAGCAGGAATCTGGAGCTGATGATGAATGTCGCGCGTTGTAAGCCGGTTTCTGTTGAGGATTTGATGAGCGACAACATCGAATTCGAGATCCATCTTCGCCTGTTTATGATATGGGGACACGCGTAGAGTCGTCTTCTTGTCCGGGTCAACATACTCGTTGTCCAGCCCTCGCTGCCAGACTTCCCCCATGTCAATCCAACCACACCCATAGAGGCCAAAGTCGCACATAAACTGTAAAGGGAAGCTTAGATGACTCTCATACACACTGTACCGCGTCTGCATTACAGTTCCAGATCGTAATATTGCCACCCCCCGGTACAAGAGTTTAGGGTCGAACATGTAGATCTTTAGGAATGGTGCATACGACGCGTGAAAGCCATAGAACGGCACGCCTTTGACGACGACGACGGCTCGAATGAAGATAGATTTGGGTGAGTGAGGGTCCCGCTTCATGGAAAGAGCAATTGCGTGGTTCAACGAACGCTGCAGCTTCCGAGTGTATTTGAGTACTAGAGTGGCATCCATGAGCAGTGGATTATGAGCGCAGTGAGTATGCATACGATATGGCACGTCCATGCTTCCCTTGTACTCAACATAGAAGTACGGATAAACTTGGTGGATGTAGATACAGGCCTTCTGCCCCGACGATGTAGGGCCATAGACGCGGAGTACTGGCACAGGTGTTTTGGGGAATGGTGAGTAGTCCAGAGGCCCAGGAGGTACCATACAGTGATCAATTTGGTTGATACGAACATGAAAGTTAGATTCCATGAGTCGATTGTGGCGAGTACAGTAGAGCTTTGTACAAGAAAGCTAAGCGCATCGACCCTGTCTAACATTGTGCCACGTGACTACATTTACATAAGACAATGACCAGGGGCTAGGGTCAAAGTGAGTGAGATTTGCTTCCGGGAGATGTGATGGTCTGCTGCCCGATCCAAGTCTTTCCAGGCTCCAGAGAAAAGAATCCTCGAACGTGCCCCGGCTCTACGCAGACGTAATGGTCCCTTTGATTTATCTATTCAGTCTCAGGCCTACTCGTAGGGTCTGACGAACTTACCATCCGTTTACCTCCATATCGCCGATTTTGCTCCCAGCCTCCGCCTGAGGGTTCCAGACGACGACATCCTTGAAGTTTACTGTCTTAATCTCGACTCCTCCTTCGGGCCAGGTAACGTAATAATGCTGAGGTGCATTCTCGTAGACCGAATCCGTGAAACGACGGACATCTACGCCTGCCCTTGATTCGACTTTGGCAGTGGCTCGAGCTTCCTCTGTCGCCTCCGTCTTATCATAGTAGTTCAATTTTTGTAGATTAGATACTGTGACCTCTTTAGCGGGTGCCCGGATGTAGTTGTGAAGCAGGGCCTGGAATTCGAGAGGCTTGTCTGACTTGTTGGTGACGTGTAGATCGGTGCTGAGCTGATGTTCGGCCAGGGTCACGACGTAACTGAGTAGAAAGTCGTGAGGATAAACTGACTGAATGGCTTGGGTAGGCGATAGGGCTGGAAAGCATCATGAGAATTGCGCGGTCGTCAATGAGCCGGAAACAAACTTAGTCTCACGGAGACGCCAGCGTCGTTGTCCACGACAATGGAGTCAAAGTTCCAAGTTGAGCTTCTCGCGAAGCCATGTTGAGAAAGCTTAGCGTGCTCTGGATGAGAAGGGGCACCAAAGCACGGAAATACTACTGGGATACCGCCACGAACTAGATAAATTTAATGATAAAGCGCATTGCCAGCGGCGGGTAGGATCAGCTACACACCTGGCTTAGAGCCATCCAAAGCGGCCTTGGATGACACAAAGAGACACTCGACTGGTTCAGATCCTTGGCCGATCACAGACAACCATGAAATCACAGTCGCGCCATAATACAATATCTCAACGGACGATCCCTACATAATATTGCTGAGTGGGGTAGTAAGCCGATCAATGACTTATTTGAAGCACCTTTGGATGCTTCAGGATAACTCTGTCCTCTTTCTGCTCGACGGGCATTTCGCTGACCTGGAGGTAAAATATCGTAGATGCAGGAACAAGGCTGCGTGACGTCAAGTGCTGCGGCCACACCAGCGATAATCTAATCTATGGGATTGGATTATGTAACCATAGGGGGCTGATACAAGAAAACATTGCACCAAGCCGTCCAGAAGGAGAAGGAGAAAGGGAGGGTGAATTTGAAGTATTTGACGTAGAGCAGCGTGAAGAACGCGTAGTACTGTCAGTTCCTGTGCTCAGAGGCTATTCATGGCAAGCTGTACCCCGCTGTATCTTTTGTTTGGTCGTGATGTTACAGAAGTAGAGGCGCCGCCAATAAGCGCTCCAAGATCACTCTACATTCCATTCTCCAGTTCCAGCCTCAGTGATTGTTTCCATTTGTTCAATCTCCCCTTCAGTCCGTAAGTTGATCTCTTGTTCCAGTGAAACGCTTTGTATACGGCTAAATGCTCGTGCAGCTTGATTCACCCCAAGATTCCATGATGGATCCTGGATATTCAGTAGACGATGTCCGTATGCACCGTGTTTCTCACCGACGTGGTCCTCATCGTTGTATAGGTCGCCCCGATTGCCATTCTTATGGATGAGCTACGCTCAGAAGATGTCCAACTCAGATTGAACGCCATCCACAGCATCCCCACCATTGCCCTCGCCCTTGGTCCTGATCGTGCAAGGGAAGAGCTTATTCCATTCCTCCGAGAATCGGTGGACGATGAGGATGAAGTACTCTTGGCTCTGGCTGAAGAGCTGGGGAAAAACTTTGAAGAATATGTTGGAGGCAACGCACACGCGCATGTTATACTGGGACCATTAGAGAATCTATCAGCAGTGGAAGAGACGTTGGTTCGCGATAAGGTACGTCTATTCCTCTTGTGTAACTATCTTCTCACATCATTCTCTACACATGTGTGGCGCGACTCTTCCATTTCTTTCTCGTGTAGGCAGCGGAATCCATTACGAAGGTTGCCGCCGTTCTGTCCAGTTCTCAAGTAGAAGAATACTACATACCGCTTCTCAGGCGACTTTCTCGCGGGACGTGGTTTACGTCGCGAACATCATCAGCGGCCCTCTTCGCCGCCGCATACCCCAAAGTTTCACCCGCCATCCAAGAAGAATTACGAAAAGGCTTCACGATTTTGGGATCTGATGATACACCGATGGTCAGAAGAGCTGCAGCCAAGTGGCTGGGTGTAAGTGTGCGATCTATCCGTTCAGTTTTGCGCTTGAACCTCCCATCCTAGTCATTCATCAAAACTCTGTCGAAAGAACATGTGCTGTCTGATGGTCTGCCGATATACCGAAGACTGCAGATGGATGACCAGGATTCCGTGCGCCTGTTGACTGTGGAAGACCTGATCGTGATCGCTCAGCAACTTACACCGGCCGAAGTGGAGGAACAGCTCTTGCAGCAGATTCGGCTGAGCATCGGTGACAAGAGCTGGAGAGTACGATACATGGCCGCAAGTCACTTTAACGAGGTGCGCCAGCGATCCGAGTAGCTTCGATTTGACGATCCTGAGACATTTGCTAGCTCGCAGAAGCTGTTGGTGCTAACCTTGTTCGCACCGAGCTCATCAACCAATTCGTCCAACTCTTGAAAGACAATGAAGCAGAGGTTAGAACGGCAGCGGCTGGTCAAATACCTGGTATGGTCGCGTGCCCTGTCATCTTCGTATCTAGAAGTGATATATCGACTTTGCAGGGTTCTCCAAGCTTCTTGATAAGGAAGTGATTCTCGCCAGGATAGTTCCTTGCGTACAAGCCTTGTCAGAAGACACCTCGCAACATGTCCGTGCCGCACTGGCTAACCAGATCAGTGGTTTGGCCCCGCTCCTTGGAAAGGAAGCTACCATCGAGCATCTTCTCCCTCGTTTCCTTCATCTCCTTAAGGACGAATTCCCGGAAGTTCGACTTAATATTATCAGCAAGCTCGAAACGGTCAATACCGGTGCGTATGTTGCGAAATCCCCGCCTTGAATATGGATGCTTATACCACCATCAAGTTATTGGGATACAATTGTTGGCTGAGAGCCTTTTGCCTGCAATCGTGGAATTGGCGGAGGACAAATCGTGGCGGGTTAGGCAAGCCATCATCGAGTATATCCCTCTGTTAGCGACACAGTTGGGCCGACCATTCTTTGATGAACAGCTGGGCAATTTGTGCATGTCATGGTTAGGTGATACAGTCTACAGCATCAGGGAATCTGCTACCATAAACCTCAAAAAGCTGACCGAGGTCTTCGGTGTCGAATGGGCGAGGACAGCTATTGTACCCAAAGTTATGGGTATGGGCGGGCACCCCAATTATTTATTCAGAATGACTACGGTTCAAGCGATCACGGTGCGCTCCATATTTGCATTACAGCGTTTATGCTGACTTTTGGGTAGACCGTAGCCCCTTCGCTGAATGTTGAAGTGGTGCGCGCTGATATTCTAGAACCGTTGCTGCAGCTAGCAATCGATCCCATCCCAAATATACGCTTCAATGTTGCCAAATGCTTGGAGGTCCTCGCAGTGGCATACGGTGGCACGCCAGAGGGGAAGGAGATGGTTCAGCAGCGACTTATACCCGCACTAGAGCAAGCAAAGAATGACCAGGATGCCGATGTTCGGTATTTTGCCTCCCGTGCCCTTCAGAAGGCTGTTGAGGTGGCCTGAGGTCAGTCGATTGTACCCATGACGACTTCTTAATGATGACCCCAACTCCAGGGGGGATTGTAATGGACCGTACCCGGCGAGGAGTGTTTCCAGCTAGCTTCTATCATATACTTTCGGTTCAATACCATAAATCAAGAGACAATACAATGTGATACCTATCGTTGCAGGCCAATTAGTTGTCTAGTCCGTTCGAGTCGATTCGCTTTTCCTACGTCTGTCTGCTTCACGTCAGCTTCGTAAGTCACTTATCATTCTGTTACGCGGTCTCTCATCCCCTTGCCAAAACTAACCAAACAGTTACATCAGGCTCAACATTCAACTCCTTGTTCCTTGAATCTATCAGAATGATCGCGCGTGAGAACATGTAATGCAACTTGACAATAACATCATAAGGGAACTCAACGAAAGGTGCGCATACTCCAGCACTCGTTTGTTCTTTTCGTTCGCGCCTTATTCGCTTCCATCTTCAGGTATTCCACCATATCCATCAACAAGCAGGGGATGCAGAACTTTGCATCGAACGTAATAATGCTGACGATCGGGCAATGAATCAGACATCAAGATCATCACCTCAATCCCACACAGGTTCCACACATGTTTTCCATCGCCGATCTCTATTTTTGTCCGTTGTGCTTCTAACGAGTCCGAGATACGACCGCATATATAAGCAAAAAATGTTCATCTGTGCAAATTTCACGTCCTTTTCCTTCTCTTGTATTTTGCGCTCCCTCCCTAATTTCCTTGTCACTCTTTTCTGCCCCTCCCCGACTAATGGCGTTTAGTTTCCGACTTGGGGCTTGTCTGGCCATTTTGGCTGCCCTCCTTCACGTTACAGTAGCAACCGCTCCCAAGACTGGGCCAAGCAGCTGCCAGAAGACGGAGTTCTGGTGCGCCCATTCCGTAGAATAATTTATACGGGTCAGCTTGATTGTTCAATATCCCATATCCCATAGGTATAAGGATGCCGGTTGCTGTCTTCCAAGCGGTGGTCCCCCAAAGCCCCCGCCTCCCCCACCGAGCGACAGTGATTGCCCCCCAACTAGTCATTATTGGGGTCAGAAACAAGGGTGCTGCGTTCCTCGCAACCCGGCCCCACCTAACAACCCCCCTCCTCAGTGCCGCAAGGGCTGGCAGTGGGTTCCCGCTCTTCGCAAGTGCACACACGAACCTACCAAGCCCAACAACCCTAAACCTGCCCCATCCCCCAAGCCCAAGCCCGGGCACGGTGGTGGAAGCGGAGGTGGTGGTTACGGACATAATCATGGGGGATACGGAAGGCGTTCCACTAGCATGAAATCGCGATCAGATTCGCTCTGTCCCCAAGGCTTGGATGCCTGTCATATTGGAGGGCTAGGATCGCGTGAATACGAATGCATTGACGCGTCGACCGATCTAGAATCTTGCGGTGGGTGCACGTCCACCGGTCAAGGCCAAGATTGTACGGCAATCCGTGGAGCTTGGAATGTCGGCTGTGAAGCCGGACGATGTGCTAGTGAGTTGCTGTTCGCTTCTTTATCGTAATACTAATCTCAATTTGTCTTAGTCTATACTTGCGCTGGAGGATATCGTCTTTCAAATGACAGAAGTAGCTGCATCCACCTTTGATCTACCAGTGCTTCTGTCTTCGCTCGTTTATTGTTTCTGTCTTTACTCGTTTGTCTGAATGAACTTGTCGATGGACCTTAGGACATTCTTAGTATATACTTCGGACTAAATATACTTTCGATACCTGTGCTTCTCGTATTTAGTGACGCGCTTCTCCTGTTTAAATTTGGATTCACCTATGGACCCTCGTACCCAGTAGACGGCCCCTATACACGCACGTGATATGCGCGTTGTTTGCTCCGAAAGCAGCCAATCAGGGACGTTACAAAATAAGGTTCAAGCCAAACATCTTGGAAGTAAGTATAAGAAGGGTGGGCGCGCCCCAGCACAACTTTCTTTCCAACCGCCATCATCCTACCTAATTCTCCTAATACCAGTCCCTCAAGACCTCCCAGCGCCAGCCGCCTAACGCGAAATCATGTTGAACATCTCTCGCTCAGTCCTACTCGCCGTGTACGCCGCCGCCTTGCTCTCTTCGAACGTCTCGCCTATGTCCTCTATGCTGGCGGCTGCCTCTCCGATACCCACTGGCCTCGAACCAAGAACCATCTCAAACCGCCTCAGCCCCGCATCTCGCGTGTCGACCTACTTGGCTCGTTCTCAGTCTCGCGGTGGACACGCCCAGCCAGTCATTCGAGCTTCTACTCCCATTGGCTCGACGGGTTTCCTTGGACTAGATTTCTTACACTTAGCCCTGACGAACTGCAACCAAGGACGAGAAATGAACCAGAGATTCTGTTCGTTTGACTACTCTCTAGGAGGCCCTTCATACTTATTCGTACATATCACAGCCACGTTGGCGAGCGACTCGCCACAAGACCCAGCAAACAGACAGGCGACCATTGACCTCCTGGAAGAAATTCACCTCTGGCTCCAGAGCCTCGCCCTACTCTTGAAACCATTGGGCGCTGCCAAAGGTCTCCTCAATTACGACCGCAACAGCGAACTAGAGACTGCGTTGAAGGACCTTATCAACGTCAACAAGGACCTCTTGAAAGCAACCTACCTCTTGACCGCAGAAGACTTCCCTGAGCTCGCCGACAGTAAGTTTTCTCCTTGCCCATTTCCCTTCTGCATCCCATCTCATCGCTTGCTTCTTAGTCGTCTACGATATCAAGTGCATCCTAGAGTTCCTTCTCGACTTCACGGAGAACTCCTCCGACGGGCTTATCAACGATCTTGGCCTCGGTCTATGAAATTTGAAATCAGCCGCTGTGTAGCAGGTCTATGCGCATATATGATGTTGTATGAAATACACTGTAGCCGTAGCTCATATCCTTATTGTATCCTTCGTTAATCAATCAGTCTCCTCGCGGTTAAGAGAGACAAATTGTCAAGATTATTATTCCTCTAATAACCACCGCTCAGCCAATAAGCCCAATATAGGTATATGATACCGTGTAAGGTTACTATGGGTCACGTCTCTATATGCTCGAAATCTAAGGAAGAACATAGTTAGTGGCGCAGGAATTGGGCACTCGGTGGTGTAAGACACTTACGCCGTATACAAAGTTGTAGCCATCAGAGATATGGCAAAGAATGTGCGCAGCCAGGATGGAAACGACAGCAAGGATGCTACAATCCAGATAATAACCAGCGGAGTACTAACAAGAGCCGACTGGTACGCTATTTAGCATCAAAAGTGAGTCTAAAGGAGGTAGGTAAGTACGACCACAACTCACCGTGGAAGCGGACGTAGTCGTTCTGGGTTTCTAGGATGAGAATGACAAGTGCTGGACATGTCGTGAGTGAGTGATTCGCGGAAAGGAATGGTGTTGAACGCACCTGAGAATGGTCCTAATAGATATGCTACCGCTGCCAATACATCGACGCGCAGTCCATAGGTCGTCTCCCATTGGTTCACGTTTGCCTCTTCGTCGACCTGAGGGCCACCCCCGGTCATGGATGCGTTGAAGCTAGGTATGCCACCGGACTGATATGAGGTGTCTTCGGTATTTGGAAACCATACCCGCGCTGAAGGATGGGACGACGAGGCCGACAATGGGCCGCGAGATGGATCGTCCGGTGGAGGTGTCTGAATGTGATGAACTTGGCATTAGAGAAGATCCCGGTTGGATAGCATGCACCTCACATATGGCGCAAACGTCGCAAAACTCGACGAGGTGGTCATCTTCAAGCTTCAGGAGGCGTGGTATCGATCCGAGCTCCTTTGCTTGAATTGAGTGTTGAAACGGCCACTGTCTCTACGTCACTAAGAAGCGCTCAGGAAACGCGTCCCTTAGGTAAATGATGAGTCAGCAGTAGGCTCTCAAGTTAGACGCCCGAGCCAAGCCCAACAGCAAAATATATCGATGAATGTGCAGATTGCAGTATAATGAAGTAGTTGCGTTGCGAGGTCCTACGAGTGTGTGTTATATGGATGCTGCACCTAATAAAGTGCGCGCTCTCTACGGTTTACTGGAAAGGGAAGACGATCGCAATGAATCTTGTTGCTATTGGACCGGAAGATGCCGTTGGTCCTATATAGTCACTGTCAGCCACCGCATCTGACAAGAGTCAGCATTAGTTACCGGCGCTGGCCCCAACGACCTCAAGACCAAGGTTAGTAGCTATGAATTTGTTGCCGCCTATCTGTGCTGACCGCCGTGGACTTTAGAAGCGAAGTTCAGATTGGCAACAATGGTGAGTTTGGAAGTTTCTTCGAGGTAGGCGATATCACACGATGGATTGGGATGGAGTGATGGCACAGGAAAACAGGTTGTGGAGGTTGGCGACATTGTCTGACTCTGCGTTCACCTAGGCCGACAGCTCCGCCCCCATCACCCTTCGCACCCGTAAATTCATCACCAACCGGCTGCTTGCCCGCCGTCAATTCGTCCTCGATGTCCTCCATCCTTCCCGCCCAAACGTCTCGAAAGAGGAGCTCTCCGAGAAGCTCGCATCGATGTACAAGACTGAGAAGAACCGCGTAGTGACCTTTGGTTTCCGCACGCACTTTGGTGGAGGACGCAGTACTGGCTTTGCCTTGATCTACGACGATGAAGCATCGCAAAAGAAGTTCGAACCCCGGTATCGCTTGGTCCGAGTGCGTATTCTACAGGCTCGGGCATGAACCTGGACACCTTACTTACGATGCCTGCAGTCTGGGCTAGCACCGAAGGTGGAGAAGGCGTCACGTAAGCTGCGGAAGGAGCGCAAAAACCGTGCCAAGAAGGTGCGTCCAGACGTCCGTGCTCCGTTTAATTTACTCATCTCTCGCAACGCAGCTCCGTGGCACCAAAAAAGTCAAGGCCGCCGAGCCTCCGAAGAAGGGCAAGTAATCCTGGCGCGCCGTGTACTTCATATTGTTATCTACCCCGGAGTGCTGGTTTCGCGGTTTACTTGGTGCATGTGTCTCGTATGCTTTTCATCTCGTACCAATCCATGGCAAATATGATCCATTATGCCTCCAATTCACTCTGATTATTATGATTGCATCCATTGAAATGTCGCGCGAAAATAAGTACGGGGGTATCATAACAGCTACCGTGATATAATGTATATAAGAACTCGCCCAGGTCAATACTCTAAAAGCCCATCTTCTTGTGGATGATATCAGGATCTTCTTGGTACTCTTCTGCGGAAACCCACATCTACCGTACTGGTCAGTTTAACGTCATAACAGGAGGACTAGACCGTCCTACCTTTTTGAAAGTATTCAAGCCAGCCAAAATTGATCCACCGATCCATGTCGAGTATTTACGTTCAGGCGGTGCATAAATTCTTATCTTGACATCTTTCAGCGCAAGTTTCTTCACTTCGTTCAGCAGTCGATCTCCGAAGTCTACAGATCCAAATCATATCAGAACAGTATTGAAGGCAAATGCAGGGGTCTCACTTCTGCACAGAGTACTTCCGCCGCTCAATACGATATTGGAGAAGAGACTCTTCCGTAGATCAAGATCGACCCGATTTATTGAATCGACTACCACTTGGTGAACACCAGCGTACTCTTGCCCTATGAGTTCTGGATTGAAGAGAATTTCAGGTGCACGGAACCTCTCAGAACCAAGCTGACACAATCGTAATTCAGTGGCTTTGATCACATAAATGAGGTATCCATGCTCACCTGGATGACTTTCCCGTCCGGTAGCTTCAGATCTTCAGAGCGGCTTTGGGTATCCTTCTCCTCCTTGGCAGGATTGAGGGCAACATAACAGCACTTCTCCTTGATGGTTCGAACGACCTCCCGCTCAGCTGTGGTGTGTAGGTGGTGTCCAGATTTGCGGAGGAGTAATTGTAGATGATCAGTGACATCCCTGTGGACCAAAGCTAAGCTCGTCACACGGACGCGATAGTAAGGCTGAAACTGAGCCCTACCTTCCAGCAATATCAATCCGTCGTATGGCATGTGGCATGGAGAAACCTTCAAAGACCGGAACGGCGTGAGTGACGCCATCCCCAGAGTCAAGTACAATCCCTGTTGTTCGGCCCGAAGAATATCTAGAGCGGTGGAGATTAGTTCACAGACTCAGACATGAGTTAGGGGACACAAATACAGTGATAGAACCGCTTGAACGGAGCAGAAGAGGGCGGGGACATTGAACGTCTCGAAGAAAATCTGGGCGGCTGTTTCTCGATTACTTCGTGGATTCAGAGGTGCTTCGGTGAGCAGGACGGGATGCTACAGACGATATGCGCGCTGTATGAGATCTTGTGGAGATGATGTTATGTATCATAGCACACACCTCTTCGCTTAGAGTTCCCAGTTCCTCTGTATATACCCAATTCCATATGCGTTCCATGTCATCCCAGTCTGTCACTATGCCGTGTTCCATAGGGTACTTGATTTTCAACAATCCTCTAAACTCTTGCGCCTTCCTGCCTATGAAGACGTCGCCCTCCAAGGCGCCAGCCATGACTTTGATGTGCTTTGGCCGACCGACGCTAGACCCATACAGTCATACACGAGAACTACACTCTGTAATATCGCGACGCACAAGGATGGAAAGAAGCATTTAGGGTGGTCCTGTCCTGCGAACCCCGCCTTGATAGTCCCAGATCCCTGAACATTTCGTGTTAGCATCTTTGGCTTTATGCTTCGGAGGCGAAAAGACGCGCACATTGTCTATGACCACTGGCTGATTGGTGAGCACGTCGTCGTATTCAGACATTCTCCTGATGTTTGTCGGAGGCCGCTGCTCCCTGGGATAGAGCGATCACTTGGCACTGTTGCAGACGGCGACACGGGTGGTCTCTGAGCGACGCGTTAGTTCGTGTTTGGCGCAATTTGGCGCAGCTGTGAGGACCGGCGCTTCGTCGTCAACTCCTGACCATGACCACCTCGCAGTGTATACTGACCGTCGTTCTGGTGATCTTATGTCTGTCGGTGAGTGCAGAATCTACTCTCTACTTCTTCAATGTCTCAAACGTGCTTAGGGTAATGCTCTGGCCATTCTAAACAAATGGGAGGCCACAAACTTCTGTAAATGTATGTGCTGCACCGTGGCCGCTTGAACAGGGCTGACTAGGCACAGGTATTTGCTTCTCTTCCAATTATACCATCTTGCACTTGGCCATTCCGGATAATCCGTCCCAGCCTTGCTTGTCGTGTACTAAGCAATGGTGCCTAAATCAAAATCTGCCGATATGTGCTGGCGCGTCACTGGGCGATACGGATCCCGACACGGCTACTGGCAAAGAAGGTGACGTAGAAGCACGTTGTTTCCGTATGTCTTGCCTCACCTTTCCACCATGGCCCAAGTAACCAAATAAATCTGCATTTATCCCGTTTATCTAGAACGTGATTCGCCGCGAGACCAGCTAGTTGTCACCTTATTTGTTTTGACGGTATTCGGTCTTTTATTGGGAGCGGGGATCAAGAACAGGATGGCGAAAGCAGGGTTTGAGACAAACATCCCATGGGGTGCAGGCAGGAGGTGGTGGGAGGTCGGTGCTTTTCCCCTCTTTGTCTCCATGATGTGCTCTAAATCTCTCCTCATGCTAGGCTTGGGTACCGCGCCGATCGAATGAAGAATACGGTTTATCTAGACGCAGTTATCTTCCGGTGTCTCAGGCTGACAGCCCCAGATAACTGGTGAACGCGGACGACTTAATACGATGATCGCTGCAGTAGGTAGATACTGTATATGATCGTTCTAGTGGACACTTTAATTTATTCGTGGTCATGTTACTAACTTCCATGATGAGCGTACCCTTTGAGCTTCATGGCCGAAGTACCCCATCTGAGTATGGGTATTTTGAAATTTAAACGTCTGAACATAAAGCATCGGAACATATACGGGTAATATACGGGCGTCAACCGACCAAATCAAGGCGCTCCTTGACTCAACCGCAGCTCGAACTCATCCCTTACATTACACTCGTATGGGATCGTTATGCTCCAAGTCTAGCACTCACTCGGGCGGTCATACGGTGCTTGGCTCGACGGGTTCAGTAGGCACTCGACCAGCACCGGGAGCACAATCCCCACCCGATCCGCGAGCGGCGGCTGCAGCGGCTGCAGAACGTAGACAGCAAGCAGTGAGTTTCAAGTCGATCAATGACTGCATTCCTGGGGCAACTAAAGGGACCGTCTTTAGGAACAAGCACGGGGCACGCATGCCGCAAACCCTAAGCGAGGGCATCTTGCAGCTCAAGTTGGGAAGCCTTCGAGTGCCACCGCAAATAATGGGAAGGATGACAGATTAGTGGTGCGTCCGCCTTCGCTGCACTCGCCGTAGAACCTCGTTTCATAAAGGGTTCGTAGTGGGATTAATGAAGGAAGGCTGAGGTACTATGATTGCCGCCTATTGAGAACGAGGTACTGCACACAATAATGCAAAGGAAATTCGGTTCTACTATCGCCATCATGGCTTCTCGGGCATCTTGCGACTCGCCGATAAACAATGCGATTGGGAATTCAAATATTCGATGCCATGAGGGGCGGCGAACATTTTTCTGAACATATTGGGTGTCGCCGTGTACGCCTCATTGCTAGCACGTTGGACTGTGCCAACACCGTATCGCGAGATTGCGCACCAAAACAAGTGGTGCCACAAATATATATTTGAATTTTGATCAACACGACTTGAGATGGTGTGAATGAGAAACTGTGCCCGAGTCCGAGAACGGCACGGCCACCGTGTCTCTTTCCACGATGGGACATTGGGAGAAGGTGCTGTGGAAGCGGCAGCCCTTTCCCGACAATTACATCCCGCCCGATGCCTTCTTGTCATCGCTGAGGACCAATCGTGAGCTATAGAGTTCCTTCAAATGTCTTGATTGGTCCTGACTCGTGTACAGCGAATTTCCAGCCGTATACGTACTGGTCTGTGGTTCTTCTCTCGAGCGCCGTAACACAGCACCTTTCCTCGCTCTTTATCTTTCTTGGCATCTATGTTCGTCTAAAGGACCTCACGCTCCATCCTCATCTGCTTGTTTGGTCCTCGGTGTGCTGTTTCGTCGTGGGGTACGTGGCCTGGGTGCTACTGGATTTGTCTGGAGGCCTCGACGTCGATTACTATGCGAATTGTGCGGACACAGTCGTTATTGGTGGAGGCAATAATTGATTCTTCATTTAGTTGTCACCACACTCAAGTCTTCGATCTTGATGTTTCTGGCGTTGATGTCCCTCTCCCCAGTCTTGAGGACTCTCACAGCGGCGACATCTTCAGATTCTATTTGGGCTCTGTCAGCAGCTTTGTTCCTGTTAAACATTCTCCTTGCGGACTACAGCTCTTCCAAGCTTCAAGGGCACACCCAAGAAAGGTAAGCTATCTTTCTCCAAACATAGAGAAACGACACGCTGGACCACCTCCTTAGATTAACCTCCGTGTTATCTATGAACGCCGCGATTTCATCTTCGGTCGTCCTCGCCTCGCGCTTGTCAGATGATTTATCAGTATTTGCCCTTGTCCTATTCGCAGTACAAGCATTCGCCCTATTCCCAATGTTTCGGCATCGCCTACAGGTATGCCGTCTTGCCTAGGCTTCTCGGTCTTGTTCTGAATCAGCATGGCGGTTTACAAGGATTCGCCCGTGTTGTTTCAATCCTTGTTGACCATCACATTAGCGAGCTTCTCTCTCGTGTTGACCGCATCGATATCCACCACGATAACATGGCTGTTTTTCTTCGCCTTGTTTGGGATTACGTTCATTGCTCCCGGGGTGTTGATTTGGGCCCAAAGGTACAAGAAGTATGTCTCGCATTTTTTTGCTTTCAAGCGAAGCTTTTAGCCTGACAGAGCCTTAGTGAAATCCGAGGGCCTTGGGACGTCGCTGTACCCAGGCTTAATTGACTCTGCGATTGTCCTGCCCCTTCGGCACGCCTTCGACATCTCCCGCTCGTCATTGAATATACCGGCGTCGAATAAGCTCCGTGGTTCGCGACTTCAGCAACGCGGCCTATTGGATGAACGTGCCTGGCGTGGATTGGTGGGCGGCGCCGAGCGTCTGCTTGTTATGGTATTCGCAGATGACTTCGTGTCGACACCGCAGCCCTGGGTAGTTGTTGCCAATCGATCAGAGCCAGAATCAGTCGATCAGAGGGGACGCACCAAGTGTACTACATCGATATACGATCGATGAGAAGTCATATCGTAGCCGATTCATATGCCATTTGCACCCTGTTTAATATGACGACGGACATCAGAGGCGCAAATGATGGGGTCCCAAGATACCACCTAACATGTATGAAGGTTCGACTTGCCTTTTTGAGCAAACCTCCGGCTCCACGCCAGCAACGCTAGAAGGTGGTAAATGGTGAAGATTGTTGTATATATATACAATGGGTAGATAATATGTACAGTGTACGCAAGAAATATGATACAATAGCAATACAGGTATATAACAAATGTGGTATCACTAAAATGATTATATGTCTAGATTATCAGTCCTGTCAAAACTGGAAAGCATTAAGTGAAAAGCATGCGTGATACAAGAGGTCCCTCCATCCCGGAATTTAAGGAATACATAAACGTCGTCAAGGCATATCGTCGTCGTCAGTGTCCAGACGGGGTCGTTTATTGGAAGGCGGTGCGCCAACCCCCATGCCGATCCCTCTGGCTTCGAGGACATCCATGGCGAGGCGAGCGGCACCGTCAGAACCCTTTTTAGTTCTTGCTCTCGTCCGTCGCAGAGCGCCGAAAGCCTGAGCCTTGATTACCGCCAGGGTTCCGGAGATAGGTGGCGGGCCAGGTGAAGGGGAATGAGAAGTCCGCGCGGGCGCTGTTCCTCGGCGAGGACGGAGTCTTTGATTGAGGTCCCGGTCAGCGCTATTCTGGTCGCGTTGTGATGCGTGATCGTTGTCGGAGAGTGACGATAAGCTCGGCATAGGAGTCCGGTCAGAGTTAGATACAGGCGGCCGCGCCCCAAGCCTATACCTCAGTCCGTCGCTTCCTGATCCTGCTAGCGAAATGTCGGCCGTGCCTCCGTGAAGGGTGACCTCTGCCCCGGTGTGGCTTCGACGGTAGTCGTCAGGTCGATCGAGAGAACCTTCCGGAGGGAAAGCGAACTGGAATGGTGACGTCAAAGACGCAGAGGAGGAGGACGGGGGAGTAGAGGAGGGCGAGAGTGATCGGCTGTTCGAGAAAACGTACGGCGCGCTCTCCAGCGCGCTCAAAGGCACTTTCTGTTCATCGACTTGATATCGATTCACGAAGGACATGTCTGCGGATGTCATGGTCGGCGACTCTGTGTACCCTGGAGAGTGGGACGAATGGGCGCTGGGCCCCCCTGATTCACCGCCCGACGATCCACTCTGAGTGATCGCGGATGGCCATGGACCCTCCCGTCCTGGGCCCTGCATAGAGTAAGGGTACGGTGCATACTTGGCTACTCGCGTAGCCATTGAGTGGGAAGAGCAATCCCCCGATGGATCGATGTCGGGGCTCGCATACGGCATGGGTGGGGAATGATTTGAGTACGAGTTGGTCGAATATTGATTATTGCAAGCTGTGGGGTCGTCAGAAGCCCTGTAGGCCATTCCGTCGTTCGTATATTGTTGCATGTGACCCGATCCCAGCTGAGAGTTCATCGTCGCTGCAGGCTGCGCGAATGCTGGGAGTGGCGGCAGGTCATCCAGCTCTGGTCCTTGCCCGGTCTTTTTGGCTTGCCACAATGCCCTCCAGAACTTCTCTCTCTCGCGAAATTCATGGCGTAAGCGAGCGTTGTCCTGCTTCAGTTCAGTGGCCTCCGTCCTAGCCTCTCTGCAGGAATCCTGCAACTGGAGAACGACGGATTCGAGGCTCGTTACTGTGAGAAGAATACGGCGGTTACAACAAAGACCTATTCCAGCAGCAACGGGGACGACGAACCTGTCTCCTCAAGGGTGGCAATGTAGTTTGCACGCCTAGCTCTGAACGCCGCCTGAGCGTCTGCGTTCTTCTTCTTCCGGAGGGCTACGTCTGATAGACGCGAGGTATTGTCATCCTGCTGCAGTTTGTTTTCTGTTGGAGAGGACGGTGGGGACTTGGGCATCGATGGGGAACGATTTACTGCTGGATTGCAGTGTTGCAGGTGGAGATTTAAAATGGCATGGAAAAAAGAATTCGAATCAAGGGCACGAGGAGAGGGTCCGCGGCCCTGGACACTGCAACGCTGAACTTAGCCGATGTTGTGGACAATTTATTATTTAAGATTGGCTCGAAAGGATGCGGCGCTTCACGGTGTCACTTGCAACCTTTCTGGAAGTTTTGCGAGACACTATCCCCATCCATTTCCCGCCGACTCAGGTCCAAATACATTTCCTCGAGGCTGTTACCAAAACACATTGCAAGGAAAAACGCTACCCCCACGGCCCGATATCACATCCACTACCCATCCTCCCCCGAGCCCTCAATGTCTTCCCCATCTCCTTCCAAATCAAGTCCTTCCATTGCCACCCCTTCTTCGTTTAGCACGCACGCGACCCGCCGCCCTGCGAGGCCGTTCACAGCGACCGAAACACGCTCTCCGCCTTGGATGTTTAGCCGTCTGCGCCTTGTGATCATTTGTTTAACAGACCGCAGCTGATGCGCGTTCCAAGTTAGATTATACAATATTGGAGGTCCAACCCTACTTACTTGGCCTTTGTTCCATGCCTCTACTGTGGCCATGACTAGCTTCTCTCGGGCATAGATGTTTACGTACGCGTCAGCTTGCAACGATTCATACCCTAAATCATTGTAGCTCCCTGTCGCTACAAACACTGGTCCTGAAAGCTTCGATCACGATCAACAGTATCGCTCAGACTAGACATGCTCACCAGTCTCGTTCGGTAGTCGGTAAACAATTACCACATGTTCATCGTCGAAGAATTGTACCTCCAGTAAGTCCACCGGCATGCCTTCCTCACCCCCTTCAGGTAGGTAAAACTCGCGTATGGAGACCTCTACCCTAGACGGCTGCTGGTGCGTTGCGGCATCGTACGGCACTCGGAATAAACACACTGTTCATGATGTCAATAGTGGAGCGACGAGGCCGCATAACGACACAGTCCACATACTACAGCTTCGTCCCCCCGCGCTTACCAACGTGGCCAGAAATTGAGTGTAGCCCTGTCAAAAGCGTTGGTATGCAGTTCATTTGATGCAACAATGGAGCACTCAACCCCCGCCTGCATTATGATCCGTTCACGAATCACAACTTCAGGATTGTCTGCCGGTCCTAAACTCTCCGTCGAACCACATTTAAGGGTGACGGAAGCCGATCGAGACACTGCACCAGCAGCATGAGCGAATATGCGCTGGCATCGTGTCGCTAGCTCTTGTGCGAGCGCATCGAGGTTTCTATCAATGTGATCTAGATCTTTCTGGGAGGTGGCCTACCCATTGATTCATCAAACGGATATCATACAATTGGATGATAGCTGATCACCTTGCGCCAGCCTTCTTCTTTCCCCTGTTTCGCCGCTTGCCTCGCTTTTTCCAGCACCTCTTGCAGGGGTTGCCGCTGGTCTGGTACGCCAAGGTCTTCTGGCGTAAAGGTGGGGATTGGACCAACGAACCACTTGTCGATGGGGCTGGCCTGCAACCCCGACATGAAATAGTTATTAACCTCAAGGACATCGTACCGAGCGCCAGTGTTCCCTTCATTGGTGGTATTCAAATTGTTGACTGCTGCTAAGGGGTAACTAATGATGATTCAGACTGAAGGTTATCAAACTTACAAAACCGAAGCCAGGCAACAAACGAAGCGAAGCGACGAAGCTCTCGGCGAGCAACAGAAGCTAGCCAACTAGAAACCACAATTCCCCGGGCACAGAGGTGACGGCAGGCATCAACGTCGTCGCGCGAAAACTCAAAGGCGGCATACTGCGGACTATTTGGAGTAAGAATGTCAATTAGAGCAAGTTAAACTATACTTACAGCAGCGACCAGCCTTCAACTTCCTCTAAAACAAGGTGAAGTCGTTGAAAGGCAGGAGTGACCCTTTTCTCTGAAAAGTCACGCAATTTGATCAAAGTTTCCGAGACCGTCGTTTCCCACTTTTGTATGCCCTATATGCCAATGGATCAGTTTGTCATTCAGGAGGGTAATGCTTAGGAAGTGTACCCGCTCGCTCATCTGCTCTCCGCTCCCCAAAAGATCAGCCAGGGCCTCAGTGCTGCGACCGGTCAACAGAAGTCGCGTGAGATCCAAAATAGCCGCGGAATCCTTCTCTGAGGAGCAACGGGCGCGTGAGTGTGTAGCTCCACAATACCAGGGAGATCAGACCTCCGAAATCGGCCGTTTGCTTCATCTCCAACGCGCGAACCCACCGAGGCCCAAGTTCACGGGCGCCACTCATCGACTCGGAGCCAAGCCACGCGGCACGCATATCTTTCACCAGTCGCCAGATGTACCAAAGAAGTGTACGAGCCGAGGTTGAGCTTTTGGCAACATCGCGAACAAGGCGGTTGTCAAGCAGCGGCATTGTAATAAGAGTGGGGTAAAAACAAGACGGGGAGATGGTCTTTGCCGAGGACGCCAGATGGGCTGTGAAAACGGAGCGTGGCGAATGCTGAAACAATGATTTGATGGAGTGTTCGGTTTGCAAAGTAACATATCCTGTAGGATAACTTCCGTCGAGGAAGGAAAATAGACGACCCACGTTGTCCGCTACGAACAACAGACTTTCACCGACTACTGAGGCTTCGGCATCCAACGCTGTACTCTTGGAATTTGAGCCAGGCAAATGAGAGCTCATCGACGCTGTTACTGGATCGGATTGCAATGCTGGCCATTGCCTCATAAAGTCAGGGAGCTCTCGCTTTGTTTGAGATCGGGTCTGCGTCCCTTGGAAAGCGAATAGGTCGGCAGCACTTCACAACTTTAGCGTACAGAGCGAACGGTGAGGTGTACAACTTACTTTAGTTGGTTGTCGTCTTCTTGTAAGTGGTCAAGCAGCGGTAGAATCTTGAGGATGGAGTGCGCTGAACCTGTCTAACCGTCCAGTTGGCATTGACATTGGTATAACAGAGGGACAAGGCACTACAATAACGTTGTTCCGCCGGAATATATCAGCAACAGGAACCCCAGTTTGTTTTCGACTGTCTTGAGTCCACCACAGGCCAGTAATACGCGGCGCATGCAATGTCGAGGAGTGTATCTGGTCAAGAAGGAGCACTCGTTCCTCGTGACCATCCTGCATGGAATGCAGCGTCAATCCCGGGGGACTATGCGCCACCGCAATTGTCTGACCTGGTGCAGTGAGTAGGGAAGAGAGATGTTGAGTGAGAGCAGCACGCGTACCATCGGGACTCCACGCCACATTGACAATCTCTTGTATATTCGCCCCGACTTGGACTTCCCATATTTTAGGACCTTGAATCTTCCAGAGACTCAATCGATCCTTCCGTCCATGTCGCGAAACCAAAACGACGAGATCTTTATCTGGACAGCAGGCAGATTCAAACAAAGAGTAAGATGACTGCAGATTCAAGACTGCGAGCGAGGAAAACGCGTTCGTTTCCATTGTCGCGCTGGTCGACCGTAACGGGTCACAAATTGAGAACAAACAGAAATTCGAGCACAAATTGGTCTTACGTAAACAGTCTCACGCACTCCCCAACTAAGAAGTAAGTTTATCCCACGGTTCTACGCACACTAGTTAAGACCGAAATGAGCATGTGTATATGAATGCGCATTTACTTGAGCTTCCTCCGCTTAGAAGCCTTTTTGCCCATCCCTCCAATTGAATCTCCCTTTTTTGCTCGAGTGCCCTCGGTATTCCGTTGCCCTAAGTCCTTCTCAAACCCGACGCGGGACTTCTTCCGCGCGGCGCCTTTGCTTTTGGCGTGCCGAGAGGCTGTATCTGGAAGACCAATCTTGCTGGGACGAGAGGCCTTTTTGGCTGATCGTATGGCAGCATTCAGGGCCTTCCCGTCCCCAACAGCTTCGTCCTCTTCTCTCGCCATCTTCCTCCGTTTGGCCTTCCTTGAAAGGCCAGAAAATTTATCTCGTTTAGGCTTTCCGCTGTTTAGTATGGTGTATCATGTGAGAATAATGGTAGAGTTAAGTACCTTGACATCCTCGCCTTTGGAAGACTGTTTCTTGGGGTCATTGCCTTGATGTTGTTGTTTCCCAAGCACTTCGAGAGGCAATCAGATTATACGGAAGGTGCAGATAACCACGACGAACCTGTCGCTTGCTCTTTCTGTGCGCTACTTTGAAACCATGTCCGAGCGGGCCGAGAAAAGATCTCATCTTTATGCTCGATCATATTCTGACCTTTTTTGAGTTCCATCTCGGCCTGCCGCAACTGCATGCACATTAGGGATATACGACCACGGAAAGATGAAGACGACGAACCTGTTTTTCTTCCCGCTCCTCTTTCATGATTTCCGCTATCTCACTCTTCAGCGAATCAAGCTTCGTCGTCCATTTTGCGATAGCTTCTGACGGGACTATGCGATGCCTCACTTGATCCTCCCCAGCGCCACGCTTAATAGCAGCTTTGAGCATTTTGCGATCGGCTTCTCCGACAAGAGTGACAGAACTTTGAACACATTCAATGTAAGGAAGCAGATCAATGGGAGACTGCATACCGTCCTTGCTTGCCAGCTCTCGCCGTGCGTCCGACTCGGTGTAGATACTGGGAGAGTTGACTTGGCATGTCATAATTGATGACCGTTTCGACTCCCTTGATATCCAAGCCTCGAGACGCTAGATCTGTAGCCATGAGGAAGTCCACAGATCCATCCCTGAATAGCTGAAGGGATCGCAAACGCTGTGCACGAGAATTGAAGATAGTTGAGAACGGGTGCGACCAAGAGGTAGAGAACGGACGAACCTGCTCCTGGGTAAGATCACCATGCAATTCTTCACACTTCATCCCGAGAAGACCAAAGACGATTCGCATTTGATGGGCCAACTTCTTACTGCGAAGAAAGATAATGACGTTCGACTTGAACGTTCTCCGGCAGAGGGCTACAAGCAAAGCAGGGCGTTCCGCCTCCTTCCCTGCGCGAACACGCACAAACTCCTGTACCAACCCTCGAGCAGTTGTCCGTTTAGGATCCACAAACAATCGAACAGGCTTATCGAGTGATAATCTTACTAGCTCGTCAACGGAGTCCGTCATTGTGGCTGAGAATAGCATGGTTTGACGAGATTTGGGGCATGATTTGACAATCTCAGTGAGCTCATCTGCGAATCCGTCGGATAACATCCTGTCGGCTTCATCCAAGACGAGAATATCAAGGGCGTCGAGTGTAAATGTTGGTGAGTTCCGTATATGATCAATAAGTCGTCCTGGTGTAGCAATCACCACGTCTGGCTTGTTTCGCAGCGCAGCCTCTTGGATCTTTAACGATAGCCCGCCTATAAGAAGTAAGTCCCGACCTGGTTTTCCCGTTCACTGCACACGCACCGACGACAAGGCAAAAGTCGACGTCTGTGTGTAACGCTAATTTCTTCCCGACGTCGAGACACTGGACACCAAGTTCTCTCGTAGGTACAAGAATAAGGCAACGGGTGGCTGCAGATTTTTTGCCCTTCTCTCGATAAAGAAGCCGCTCTATCATTGGGATGATGAATGCTGCCGTCTTCCCTGAACCTGTGACGGCATTTCCAACCACATCTTTTCCAAGGAGAGCCACAGGGATTGTAGCGGACTGGATTGGAGTCGGTTTGTGATACCCTAATGCTGTGATAGCTTTTATGAGAGGTCGAGAGAGGTTCATAGCAAGGAATGATGTGAGGTGATCGGAGGTTGTCGTCTCGGAATCGAAGAATGCTGCCCTCCTGTCCAGCTCGGCTTGTGTCTCGGGTTCACCGTCGTCCGAAGCATCGTCTGCATCGTCCTCCTCCGCAGAGTCGGCTTCTTCATCCTCTGGCATAGCACCGTCGGACTCGGACCCTTCAGAGGCAGATAGTGGGTCCTCAACATCTGGTGCGTCCGGCCAAGCGAACTCGTCGTCCGTATCAGAATCATCATCTTGGGAGTCGGCCGAATGTTCCTCGTCGCTAGTACCTTCGTCTTCAACCTCTTGTCTTTTCCGTTTAGCCCTAACTTGCCGTCGAGCAATAATGTCATCCACGGATATAGGTTGCTAGATGGCTTCAGTAGGACTAAGCACAATGGTATCATATACATACCGGCTTTGAACCAGCCTGCACAATGTCCGCTATATGACTGGAATCGCCAAGTATATCGGCGTATGGGTCGCTAGTCACGTCGAAACTGAAGTCGGGATCTAATTGAGTGTCTTCGTTGGGAGGTAATTTGTCGGGTTTTACTGGATCGTCCTCCGCGTCAGACTCCAGAGTCATTATGTATTCCCCCGCCATCGTCAGAAGTCTTCAGCGGTGTGGTGAACGCGAAGTGGAGGAAAATAAAGCACGTTCACGTGATTGTATGAACGATAATGAACGCGACCCCTGGGCCTAAATATTGAATATCCCCCAACTCTTCAACACTACTTGTATTTTCGCATTGGCTTTGAGTCTTATCACACACACGAGGATACAAGGTATCAGATATGCAGAGTTACAACATGCGTACAGATATACCGACATGGAGAGAAAGCCACAGTAATGACGACAATGGATACGTGCAAGGGTATACTGCATAGCGGGAGGATGAAGTTATGAAATGATAAATATGAGTATGAGAGGTCCGTGTGATATCTGTGCGAAATGAAGGATGGTCGAGCTACCAGAAAACGAGTTTGCGCAGCAATGCAATATCTTTCGTCGAAACTGTGGCAGATTGTGGAGCGTGAGGGGGAATGGGTTCGTTTTCTCCTTCATCAGGAGGCGCGATTCTCGACTTTTGCAACTGCCATGAACCTTGTGGTAAGCAAAATGCACGAAAACGGAGGGACAAGGAAATACCTCGATGTCCATCACGGGCGTGTCAAATATGAGGGCCTTTATGTGCGGCTTCTCCTTGAAAGTATACTCGGTGTGTTCATCTCGGCATTGGGCCTGACACAGAGTTGTACTATTGATGAACCGACCCATCATGTTGAATTTACCCCAATGTATCTTATTGGGGTCTTCTTCGTTGAAATCTGGATTCCCTTCATGTGCGCGAATGAGATCGGACATATGGACCTCTCTGTGGGGAATAATTTAGCGGACGTATAAAGGGGGGGATGAGACGTACAATGCTGGTACACATGCCCCTTTGGTATTGCGCAAAGCTAATCGGTATGCCCGGTGAGACCGCATAGCTTGCAATAGAACCTCCCAAGACCGGAGATTTTTGGTCTGTTCGGGGGAATCTCTATTGAACTTCTCCAATGTCTCGTCTCCAGGGAAGGTTGCGTTGTTGATGCCCGCCACAAAGGCGCGTAGTGCAGAATAATTGTTATGGGCTCTCAACTTGGCTGCTATATCAACAAATTTTTCAATCTGTTTTGCGCGAGCCTTCGATTTATCGTGGCAGAGGATCAAGGAAACAACCCTAAAAATGAATGGTGTATGGGTGAATGGGTATTTGATGATAAATTTGCTATTCTCACCAGTCCCCGAGGCGGTTGGCTATGCCATTAAAGCGGGATATTGGATCACTGATGGGGTCTTTCTTCCCGGACACTAGCGTGTAGTACATCCAATTCCGAGGCTACGCATGGGTGAGTAGAGAACCGTGGCGCGCGAGCATCTAGTCTTACCGTAATGGCCAAAAAGGCCTTGACCTGGACCAGTGTTATTTGCTGAGCGATGGTTTCTGGGTCGATCATTTGCAATTCTTGCGCAACCCTAGCCAGTTCCTTGATGATGTGACGCGGCCCAGAACTGGACGGCGTTTTGGGTGTCAACAAGGTCACCGCGGTAAGGCTCGATTTCCGCTCCCGAGAAGCAGCTGTCGTGAGAGGTGGAGCCGAGAGAAGTGTGGTTGGAGAGGCGGAGGCTGGCGTCTCCGTCTCCGTCTCAGGCATCTTGGCCGTAAACTCCTCCTCATCAGATGATTCACCGCTATCAACCCGCTCGGGTTTCAGGGCCCAAGCAGCGTCTGGGTCGTCCTCAATAGTAGGCAGCATCTCCAAAAACGGTAAGAGGTCGGATCCGTAGTGAAGGAGATATGTCTTCGAGATGATCGACTTCGTGAGAGCATTGAGAGCGCCAGCGGTACCCGTAACGGCGAAGTCATGTGTATATTCTAGTCTCCATTGATGGAGAAGATGGCAAATTCTGCAGATCGCTGAGTTGAGAATGTCATTTTGGTGGAGAGATCCTAGAAACTAACCTCATCTGAGCGAAGCATGCAAACATAGGGTCTCCCGATGGATTGTCTAGTTGACGCATGCGTTTCTGCATAGCTAGTATTATTTTTCTTGGAGTTGCAAACCTTCGGTAAGTTAGCAGAAAATGCGTGATATATGAAGGATCTAGTAGAATATAGATCAGGCTGGATGTTTGAGGAATTGCCCGCACTCATACCGTCTCCGCTGACAGCCAGAAAGAGAAGCTTATCGAGAAGTTCGTCTAGTGTTGCCCATTGAGCCGGTCGTCTAGAAGCGAGTAAGCAATATGACGAAAGTAACAAGCGACGGAAGAACTAACGGTTGCTTCTCCCGCTCGTCCTTAGGTTCCTCATGCTGGTCTTCGACTCCATGAATGACCTCTCCAGCGCTTCGCGGGGCGTCCGAACTTGAACTACGAGGATCAGAGATGACGTCGGGAGCGATGTGCTCCGTTGAACGCTCTGGCCATTCGCGTCTCGATCTTTCGAGGCCGTGGAGTAGATCGCCCGTGGAACGAGTCCGAGTTGGAGAGCTTGGTGTATTTGGAGAACGAGGTAACGGTACATGGGGAAGGGCGGAATGCGACTGGGAGTTTCTCGAGCGCGGTTGCGATTGCGCTACGGTTCTCATAGATGACATCGAAGACGAAGCAGAGGGTGTCGCTGTAGGTGGAGATGAGGGAGAGTTTTCTGGGAGGGGTGGAAGTTTCAGCAGATCGGGGGATGCAGGATTGCGGTCATTAACGTCAAGCCCTTTAGTAGTCCCTACAGATCACAGCTTGAGAGTTTCACAGCATCACAGAAGTTCGAACTCACGAGTCCGAAAGATCACTTGCAAAATCCACTCGAATGAACGCCTCAGCCTATCCTTCCCCACGTCCTCGGTGGCGGTGACTTCTACCAACCCAACATCATACCTTTGCAGAACTTCTAAGGCCAGCTCGGGAATGACACGACGCTGCAGATCAGATTTGCAAGCTAGAACGATAACGGGAAGTTTGAGAGTAGCGCGATAGCCCTCTGGGGCATCATTAGCATTTGCAGGATTGCGAGGGAACGAGAACTCACCAAGAAGGCTTTCTACAGGACTAAATGAAGCCTCATCCGAGGCGTCGTAGCAAATGATAACGCCATCCACACGGGGGGTGCCCTCTGGCCAGGCGGTGGCTTTTGATGGCGGCGGGTCCAGCCTTGATGCGACGATATCGATCTCAATGACATATAAGGAACAGTCCGGATGGCTGTCGTTACGGCTGACGCGACCAACGCTTTGCGTGTCTAGGTCATTCGCGGTGAGAACAATCACAAGCTGAGCATATGGGCAGAAAGCGTACATCGAGACCAAGTATTGTTTTCCGATGGACCTTGGAGGGTGGCAGGCTCTTGCAAAAAGTAGGCCCTGAGACCTTTCCGAATTGCTAAAGATTTCCCGCACCCTGGGGCCCCAACGATAGCTAAAGTGATAGACGAACTGTCCGAGTGCTGGACAGATTTGACATGAACATCATGATGCTATCGGCAGCGCGAAAGGCTCACCGTCGAAACTTGCGTGTTGATCACCATCCTTATCCCACTATTGCTCGACGGATGGTAAACACCAAGACTACCACTACGCACTCTCCCAGTGGCGGCGTTTGTGGGCACGCTAGTGCGCCGCGGCATTGATTGCATTGACGTGGTACTGCGCAAGCGTGGCGAGTCTTCCTGAACGATGGAGCTGGTTGCGCTCATGCTACTGGCGCTGGACGCTGTACTGAGAGTCGGGGTTCGCGACGGTAATGGAAGTTCACCAGCGCGTACGTACGCCCTGAGTTGATCTGGAGCTTTATGAGAAATGCTTCTGTTGGTGGGAGTGGATCTATGGAACGGATCTGATCGTTCGACATCGGAGTCCCCGACATAGGGATCACCGTAATCATCACCGGTTGTGCTGACGCTCGCACCCCTACTGCGCTCAGAGCGGGCTCGTTCCCGCTCACGCCGTAGACCATCTGATATACCATAGACGAGATGACGGGGTGGATCGACTGCTGAGCCTGTGTTTCCTCGATTCTGCCGCGTCCCTGTTACTGGAGACGGTTCGTCACGGGCGTATTGTACGAAAGAGTCGACGGAGAGCGATTTTCGAAGTGGTTGTACCGGTAGGAGAGACGTGGAGCCATGTGGCGACGCCGGGCGCTGCTGAGGAATTGTTGGAGACGTTAGGGCGGACGAAAATGAGTCGTCAGGCGAAGTGGGTGAAGCAGCATGAGAATCGGTGGGGAGTAGTGTTTCTGAAGGAGCGTTGCAGTCGTCGGGGATTTGCACAGAGCTGGTTGCGAGTGGAGGTAGCGGCGGCGCAGAAGACGGGGCAGCCATGGTTGAAGTGTCAGAGAGCGATAGCGAGTGGCATCAAGTTGCAGAGCGAGCGTCAGTTCAGTAAATCAGAGACCAGAGGCAAATTTGGCCAGATGCGATGGCTTGTACCTTTTGGGTTACAGCCACCACCATGTCTCAATCCATCAATGTTTCCACTCCCAGAATATTGCTCACAGTACCCCTCAGTCACTTAATTTTATTGTATTGTCACTGATATTCACCTTAATTTCGCAGAACGACGATGGGCCTCCCTCGCGGGATTCCCCCTACATTTATGGCCTCTTTCGACATTTGACAACCCATCACGGTACGCAGCTCCAAAGTGAATTCTGATCGCCCTTGCTCAAGCTCGGCACCCAAAGGCTGGGATGTCAAAGTCGTCATTCCAAGTTCTCAGAAGAGTTGGATAGGTGTGTTGCCTGGGATTCCGTTGCCGACATCCCGACTCAATTATCGCAGGTAAAGCGTATCACATCACGGAAATCACCAAGGGTAGATATTACTACCCAAGAGAGCCTGGTATGTTCACATTTGATGATGGTATGTATGTACGGCATGATATCAATGATTAGATGGCATGGGCGAGATATCTGAAATTTCTAGACCGTTGAAAGATGGCGAAGTGGTGCGTCCGAGTAGCCACGCCCAAGACGTTCTCTGGACTGACAAGTGAGGAATGGATACAGGCCGAATGGATTCTCCTGGACGGCGTACGTTCTCGACAATGTACCATGTGCTTACTCGCTGAACCCCTCAACTGCAGACCCCTGCAACCTGCGCTAACATTGCGGTTCATAATATATACCCCGGACACTTCAACCTTGTGGTAACCTCCACTGCCTCGCCATTCACCTCATGACATACCAGTCTAACTGCAAAGTATAGATAAGCGGTCCTAATCTCGGCCGAAACACATCATGTTCGTGGATGAGTATCAACTCAATATCCATGGTCGCCACTATTAATGATAAATATAGCTGCATTTGCTCTCTCGTCGGGAACAATTGGTGCTGCGCTCTCATCATCCTTATCTCAGATACGCTCGATTGCTCTTTCGTACGGAACCGTCATACATCCAACACCTTCTACATACTTCCAGCCTGCACATCTCCTTGGTGCTAGCATTGTCCGGCATCTATGGGAGAACTGGGGAGAAGACGAAGGTGGTTTGCGGGATAATGAAGTAGATCTATACAGCGTGAATATCCCTTTGATAGAAGGATTGCTGGCCGAAGAAGGTCTGAAGGTCTGTTGGACTCGCATGTGGAGAAATTCGTACGGCCGCCTCTTCAAGGAAATTTCTGGAGACGCAGGAAGAACAATAGATCCTGCTGGACCCGATTCGCTCGCTGCTCGACCTTCTGATCTCGACAACTCGGGCAACCCCTCGTCTTCCATACCAACAAGGAGTCTTACATTCAAGTTTAAGCCTGACATGAGGGGTTTGATCACTCCAGACTCGACTTCGCTCCCAGTCGGTTCGGACGGCTGGGCAATTCATAACGGCTGGGTTAGCGTGACACCCCTACGAGCCAGCTTCGCTGAGCCAGACCATGAAGAAATCGCTATTGAAGAGAAGGTGTGGAAGATGAAGTTGTAAATGTATATGTCTCGATAGATACAGATGTATGTAAGTCTCTAGAGTGTCTTTGGGTGGGTGCCAGAACCATCAGAGGACGGATGCAGACAACACGAACAGCAACATGCCCCATACGCCGAGCTGTGCAATAGAAACTTCGAGACGGAACGCGGCATTCGCGGGTCTTGTATTAAGCATCGTCTTCCGATAAATCTTGAGAGAATTGATGATCCAAGTGGCGTTCTGTTCGCCAGAAGATCAAACAACTGTTCGACGTTCTGATATTTCTTTGCACTTACGACGAAATTGTTTGGATCCATGAGCCGGTCTTCGCAAGTACCTGGGCAACCAGATGTAGCGTAGGAGTTGCCAGCCCAGTCACCTGTTGAGAAATGCGGTCATGAACGCCAGCTTCGGGAAAGCAACAGAATTTCCTTACCACAAAAGGTGATATCTGTGCGCGGAAGATGTCGGTAAACAGTTTCATGAATGATCGGAATCACCTACCGAAAATGACGGAATGGTTGTAGAAGTACTTGCTGAGAGGATTACAATTGGTTGGCAACAGAGTACCCACAGGGACACCCCAGCCTGATGGATTTGGGCTACCGTCGGTAATGTCCTGAGGAACGGCGGCGCGGTAGAAGGACCCTTCAGATGATCAAGTTTTAGCCTACGTCAGGTTGGCAAACGTTAAGAACCTTACAAACTGATATGCCATTCTCGTCCCATTTCATGGCATAAACGCCACCACCTTGGGCATCGAACAGAGGGCCGTAAGACGCCCTACTCCATTCTGTTATGCCACAGCCAGGGTTGCCAGGAAGGAGACCATCACAGTCTAGATGTTGCTTGCCGTCCATTTCCTATCATGAGTGGAGTCAGGTGAAGGATCGTGCACAAAAGTGTGGAACTAACCACTACTGTACCGGAGAAGGTTGCGTTTGGGGTAAGATGGCAGCCTAACAGAGGAGATAAGAGTCTCGATGGGAAAGAGTTGCATGGATTCATACCTGATCCGCTGTGCCATGTAACTTGGTTATGTGAGTTATCGTGGACGCCTTCGATAATGTCGATCTCCCCTGACTAATCGCAAGCATGAGAGATGTAGTGTGTGAATAGTGGAGACACGCACCTGGGGCCAACCTCCCATCCCAACGGTCCAAAATGCAGGCCAAACGGCTATAAAGGAGTGTGAGATGTGCGTAACGAAGGGGTAGGCAAGGCCGTACCGCATCCCCAGGGTGCTTTGTCAACATCCAGGATGAACAGACCCGTATTGTACTGTTTGTGTCCTTGAATTCGAACGCTGGTACAGCAAGTTTAGGGATGGATCCTTCATTGTCCGGGCCATGCTCACCTGTTTCGAAACTGGCCCCGATCTAACCACGTAGTGTTATCACCCTGCATGATTACTTTGTCGTCGTCTGTGACAAAGGCCAGTCCTTGGGCAAAGGCAGCATCTTTATCGATATAGCTTTGAGCGTAGAGTAAGTCCCCCGTCACGGGTTCGAGGATTCCAGTAGATCGACCAGCAACTCACTTTACGCGCCCACTGCAGAAAGTAGAAGTTTGGAGCCAAGTTAGTCGCCGCCGGGATGAAAGCGCGGAATCTGGCCTACTTTGTGGGATCTGCCCATTTAAAGAATTCAAAGTTACTGCAAAGCACCAGGTCAAATATAAACTGAGCCCGTTCCGACATAGACATAGACATACTCGAAGAAAGTTTTGCCTTGAAAGACGTCGTCGATGAGCCATAGAAATGTGGTTCCGTTCGGATTCAAGTCGACATTGCTGCGCTTCAAGAGCGACGATGGGATCCATGGCTCCAGTCGAGAGTATAGAGGATTGAGAGTATCGTGCCATGGTCTAGCAGCGACAAACTCGGAGTTGAACACCAAGAAAGTCAATGCCCATGAGAGACAGCGATTTGCGTGCATCGTGGTAGAAGTTGGAGGTTATGGATGAAATTTGGGGATTTATACGTGATCAGCAAAGTCGAGTCAGGTCATAAATGGTCGTTTCAAGAAAACGCAGCAGGCATCATCCTTGGAGCATAGCCGGAGCAAAGTTTAGAACATCCCAAGGCCTCATGGCATCCAAATATAAACGCCGGTGGTCACGGCTCGGCACTCTCACTCATTTCGACAATCCTGGTAAGCAGTACGCGACAAGCAGTGTAGTATTTTGGGGTCGACTGATAGCATACATGCATATGGTAGCCGTCATGGAACATAAAATGACATGGAGATAATGCAACAAGAGAAAATCATCTGTAGCGGCGGAGGCTGAGAGTATTGTGTTTCTTCCAGGTAGACCGAGCAGGAGTGTGGTTGTGACGGTGACCTTTGCCCAAGCCACGGTTCTAGAGAGAAGCGTTGGTACGGACGAAATGAGGCAAAACTATCGTAAATACCTGTTTCCCGATGCTGGTAAGACCACGAGCTTCTCTGCGCTTGTGTACTGGCTTCGTAATCCAGCTGATCCTGGGATCGCGGCGGATCTAGAGCACATCATTGGTATCGGTCTTACGCATCATAAAGAACAAACTGACAGCTTTATGGTTGGGGTCCACGAGGATGACTTCGTAGTACTTGTAAACACCGTCTTGATTAACCCAGTAGGAGTTCAGGACACGAAGATTGCCACATCGTTTGCCAACACGCTCTTCAGCAGTACTTCTCAGACCACGCTGGAACTTCAGGTGGTTGACACCCTGGCGAACGGGCTTGCCGAAAGTGGCACCTTTGGATTAGAGTCAGCACCTCTTCCGCCGCAGAAAAAACCACAATATCTACCCTTGGGGACGGGCTTCTTTCGGTTTCCACGTCGGACGCGGATGCGGTAGATAACGTAGCCTTGCTTGGCCTTGTAGCCCAGGCGGCGGGCTTTGTCGGGTCGGGATGGTCGCGATGCGCGGTGGATGACATTGAGTTGACGGTACTCCCAGCACCTAATGGACGAGAGTATATGTGATCGGCCCAATGCTTTGAAAACTGAAGGACGCACCGTACACGAAGCAAGAATCGGAGGACGTCCGACTGCTTCTTCTTGTAAAGTTCACCGACGTACTTGTAGGCACCCATTCCGCGTCTGCGCCATACATCGTAAGCTCGTCGTCGTATTACCCGCTGGCATACTCACCTTGATGTTGAGGTTGTCGATGTCGGTGCTAGGCGCTAGGTACCTCTCCTAATTCGGTTGAGGGAGGCTTGAAACTATACAGCTCACGGCTATTTCCGACATAGACGCTAGTTGTGATTAGACGCCCTCTCTAGACGCGACTTTAAACTTATTGATTGGATCTACTTGTGTTCATGCGAACGGTGTTGAGGTTGCGATTATCCGGAATGTGTGGTATAAGGACGCGATATCTACATACACGTTGAGAAGGGTAACTAGTAAGATTATGCATTTATTAGTACGACTGTTCGTTCAATTCGTTTCGTGCTTCAACCCAAGTCTGAACCACGCGGTGCCCATGAATAAGACCCAGGCGAATATTATGAGCGATGCAGACAGGGTCACGAAAATCCTCCCTCGTCTAATTTCAGCTCTTTGTCGCATTTCGTCTCGAGTAGGACCAGAGCGCCTGGACATAGTCGAAGAATAACGCGTGTGTGAGACTTCCGAGTCGCCGAGTAGTGGTCTTTCTTGACTATGATCGGACCCAGATGCCTGAGGTTCGATATTCGACCCAGAGTCGTGAGGCTTCACAGTGCTGACACTGTCGCTGAGTGCCCCTTCCGATATGGACGATCTGTGCCTTAGAAGGCGCTTCTGACGTTGCTGCAAATAGGATAAAGCCAAGATACTGAGGAATTGTACGCCGTTGAGGATGACGAAAATGTTGAGCAGTTTCTGTATAGACGATTTCTGCGAAGGAGGTGTTGGTCCATTCGGGTCCTGCGGCTTCGGATTGTGCATGTCTAAAGCCAGACCAGCCATGGTTTGGAATATCGTCGAGCCTGTTTGTTCGAGCTACACGAGGCGGCGCGTGAGTTTCCGATTCAAGGAGGAAAACGGATTCAACAAATTACTTACACTTTTGTGGACTCCCAAGGCAGTTGACACATATTTCAGAGCAACAATCTTCGGAACCAACACAACAAGGAGTACTGTCGGCGAAAGGTGAGTCCAAAGACATCCCACCGGATGACATAAGACCTACGGGGAGCAAATCCGTGGCCGATACAGAACGAGAGTATACCTGGCCATGATGATCGAGTCCAAGAAGGTGGGAGGGAAAGCCATAGGTAGCAGCTACCCGTCAAAATCGACGATAACATGAACAACCGGATGACGATTTGCTTGCTTTTGTATCGATCAACGATATAACCACACTACACGTTCCCAGAGGTCAGACGACATCTTAAAGTAGAAAGGTTCCTTACGATAGGATAAAGAACAAGGCTCCCGGCGAGGAGGTAAGAGGCTTGATTTGCCGCATCTTCCTCTGTCATACCATACCGCTTTTCGACGATGTTTCTTGGAGCACCATAAATTTGGAAACCCACGACATGATGATGTTTGCTTACGCAGCAAGGTGAGTGAACGGAGACCAGATGGCACCGCAAAGTACATTGAGGCCGACGTAGCTAAAGCGGTGGGTTGAGCGCGTCGAAGCAACACAAGAGCATAGCCCTAAAGGAGATACTCACGACCAGAAGATATCCCCCAGCTTCGTAATCTCTTTAATGTGAACCCTTCGCTTCTCCGCAACCTTCTCCAAAGCCTGGGCCTGGCTTATATCATGACATGATCTTCTTCGGGCCTCTTCATCTATGTCGGCAGCTTCTAACTCGGCTCCTGCGCCGTCTACCAACCATCGGGACGCAGCGATGTATATGAGATTCACGAACACGGACAACGCCGCGAGACCGGTCGCGACATAGAATGGTGCACGGCTTCCAAACCGTTCGGTGAGGGGGTACGAAGTGCGGGCGGAGATGAACGAAGCACCCTTGCCTGCGATGAGCCCGAAGGCCATTGAGACTCCTAACCCATGAGATTTGAAGAAGCGAACAATGATAGTCTCCTGTACTACAGCAAGCGGGCTGACACCGAGGCCGAAGACGAACATCCCGAGCGCCATCATACGGACGTTGCCGTATATGTCGCCAGTGAGGAGGAGGATCTGGCCAAGGAGGATCACGCCTGTGGCAAGGATGCTAGTGAAGGTGGTTCCGAGGCGGCTAGCCATCACACCGCCAACGAGGGGTGTCCATGTACTGTTCAAGCTAAATGCGGAGATCAAGAGACTGAACTCGGTATGCGAAGTACCAAGCTCGCGTGACAGACGACTTTTCAATGGCCCAAGAACATATGAGGCACTGGGGGACGGTTAGGCGAGGCCGATCAACCATAAGAGTAGGGGGACACACTAATGACTCCCAATGCTCAGCGAGCATGCACACAGGAGGGCAATCAAACGAATGCAGTACATTCGCCATTTCCGCGCGGCGACGTCCGCCGCTGTTCGTCTCGGTACAGGCTGGGGGAGCACGTCCCCTACGCTCGCATTCGAGGAAGATTGCGAGGAGGCTATAGAATTCTGATCGTCCATGTCGACTTCAGCTTGAAACAGTAGTTCATCGCAAGACGAGCGTCGGTAGCTCTGCTCGGGCTCCTCCAGCATGTCAACGCCTTCTGAATGCTGATTATTGTTGTTAGAGAAGGACGGGGGAAAGCGAGTGCAACTTGGGGACGGCGTATTCACAGGCGCATTGGCAATGAGGGAACTGATCAAGAGGACTTTCTGGGACGCTTGGGGCTTCTTGGGGATGGCCTCCTGCCGACCGGCTGGACCTTAATCAGATAATCGAGTCCTGTCTAGATCGGAGTTAATCCTGTGATTTGCTTCCGCTGATTCCGAGTCCGAACACAAATCAGATAAGATTGGGATACTGCTCCCATAAAATACACAAGCGCATAATAAGTTACACTGCAATGAGTCTATGTGCACGACGGAAGAAATAAATCGTCAGGCGCAGACTGTTCAGGCATAGTAACTGGACCTCTGTAGATAGCATGTACATTAAGGAAACCCGTTTATCACGTTTACACCAGCTTTCGTGGATCACTCACATAGTTCCTTCGGCCAGTTCGTACCCATAGACATGTCGCAGTCTAGAAACGAAGGTGTCAATCACTCAAATGGAAAGCGCGAAGCGGGCAGCCGGATGCATCGTACCATTGTTATCAAACACAGGCCAAACTCTGTCCATCCCAGCGCTTCCACAGTCAAAGACTGCCTACATCTATGCGACAGGTGAGCTTTTGATCCGAGATAACTACTCCCAAGCACAAGATACTGGGGACTATCTTACGCATAGAGAAGGCGGAAGCAGATGTTACACACCGTGAAATGGGAGGCACACGCGCGCAATTGCCACCTGAGCGAGTGTTGTGCATGATTCCGGCAGCAGTACCCTATTTGACGTAAAGATGCAGTCGGTGCGGAAGGAATCAGAAATCAATCAACTCTAAGCTCGAACGCAACGCACCCATAGCACGGATGAGATTAGCAACCAAATCACGGACGATGCGATGCTCGCAAGCAGATGCACCGCGCCGTCCACGATCCATAACATGTACGCTGTAGAGAATGCCACTGTCCACACGGCATTGAAGAGGAAGAGAATTAACCTAACGAGCACGCGAACCAATTGAGGAAGCAGTTAGCCAAATCCATCCAACTTCGAAGGGTCATATGGGCCACTCACAGAGCATGGTATCTCGGGCTCGGCCAAGTGCCGTTTTCGTTCCCCGCGCTGATTAGGAAGGCCGTGAGCCCCAGCTCAGCCATGGCGGACAAGGTCATGAGGGCGAATAGAAACGGATGATAGTGCGCCTTGATAAAATGGGCCATGCAGGGCAACTGAGGAAATACCGAATAGAGGGAAGTCGAGGAAAGCGAGAGGATATTGAGTGGCAACGCCTGCCACTAGCGCAGAAGATATGGGGTGTTCCAGCAACAAAGAGAGTCAGACTATCCGTGCATGCGCGAGGCATGGCCACCGAACACGCATAATGTGCATGTGTGCTGCGACGAAACTTGATATGATAATTGTGATGCAGCAAGCGGGTGCCTCATTAATGCATCACAACAGATCACAACGCGAGACGCTGTGCGGGACTCGTGTCTGCCGCCCACTCAAGGGCCGTCCCGGTCATCATGTAACGCAATCGAACGTGGTGAGCACGCGGCAGGGTCCGTCGCGCTGTTCTGGTCCGTTCAAAGAGGAGCCAAAACCACACGCTTCTTTCACCGGGGCGCGGTTACGTTCAGTGGACCTCACCCTGATCAGCGTTCGGACTCGCCGATTTTCGTCACCAGTCTCCTTAGCGCAACACATTTCCATTCTTCATCTAGGTCACAATCAAACATCTCGAGTACGGAAATTAAGAATAGGCGAGAGGTACGTGACCGATGAAAAACGTTGATCGTGACAGAGAGCACTGGGTAAGATTGTAAGTCCAGATGCCAGGGCTGCCCTGGGCGACGCGGACCGAAGTGACTTGTGTAAAGTCACTGGCACTGAAACAGTGCCGGTTGGCAGGTACTGCTAAACAAGCCGTAGCCATGTTCGCTTAAGCGAACATCATCGCAGTTCGCGATGTTTCGAGGCTTTGAGCAAAAAGAAAACAAACTACGAGAAATTTGGACTACCGTCATGCAAGGAAAGGCATTAGATAGTCAAAGCTGCCACAGCCATAGCCATGGCGCCTTCCTTGGTCTTGTTGCCTGCAAGAACAAATGAAATCGGGTTAAGGAGGGCTCAAACCGAATCAAATTCATAACCGCATGAAGAGACTCGCCTCCAATGAATCCACTGGCATGAACGAATATGCCACCTTCAATTTTGGACACGCTGCTCAACTCGTCATCGCGCAGCCCTCTCCACGCCTCTGGCAACGCCTTTCGACTCTGGAAGCTCTCGGGGGAGACTGGCACGGCCTGAATGCGCCATGCGCCAGCCATCTCGTCTGGATACACGACGTAAATGGCCTTAGAGTCTTCGGGCGTTTGCTGCTGTTCCTCGAGTTCGAAGAGATGTTCCTATAAGGAACGGTCAACACGGGAGGGGGGTAGGAAGGAGGTGGATATGAGCTCACCTTCCAAGGGAGGAACTGCTCGAATACGATGATTTTGCCAGACGGGTCAACGTTCAGACTGTTCGCGATGGAGGCGATCAACAGGTTCCTCGCAGGCAACCAGGCATTGGCGTAGTACTTCAGGCGGCCGAGGAACTCTTCACCAGTCAACGCAGAGGCTTTCCCAAAGAGAACCTGGTAGAACCGATATACATTTCAGTACCCGACACCTCTGGCAGTGTGCTGAGAATCATCAGACTTACATCCACTGCTTGGGCGTCCACGGATTCATTCCAAGTGGGGTTCAGATGGCCGACGCGGCTCGAGAGGTCGGTGCGGCTCCTGTACAGAGGCTTGACGTCTGCAGGATATTGCGCAATGCCATTATCGATCGCGTCGATGGCTTCAATGAATTCCTACATCTGCGTTCAATATCGTGCGCATATATAGATGTCATCAACCCACATACCTTGTACATCTTCAACCACAAGGTCTCCACCTTTTCATCGTCCGTCGGCAGTTGAGTGACATTCGATATGACTTCCTTTCCAAAATGCCTGCAGGAAGGAAGGTTTGTTCGAACCAATGGAATCAATAGTTAGGAATATCATACTTGTATACCAGACCCGCGGAGGATAACTTGGTGGTGAAGCCATGGCCGAACACCTCAGTAAAGCTTCTCTGATGGTGATCAAATAACTGCTTGCTCTCGTCATAGACAGCTCCCACGTCGACGACAATGTCGCATGTTTGTAATATGGCTGGATCCCTGGTTCGCTTCAAGTCTAGTGGACAATTCAGCAGAATCCGATTGGTCAGGAAGAAAACGACTTACCAGACTCTCGATATGTGTTCGTCAATCTCAGCAGGAACACTGCTAGAGCCTCGTCGCAATGGAAAGTGCCATTGTGAGTACCAATGACCTGATGGTACCAGTTCAAGGGGAGACACCGGATGAAGAAATGTGAAACTTGCTTTGGTCATCTTCTGTTTCTTGCTGGCTTGTTCGCTCTCGCTGGACATCGTTCGAGACAACGGTTGTATGCGATGGTGGAATTGATATCGATGGATTGGAACTCGACTACCAAGTACCGGGCGCAGACGCCCGAAAGCAAAAGCGATCATAAGGAAAGTTCCACGCCCTCTGGCTTTACTTCTACAGCAGTATGCAAAATGGCACGGTGAGATAATAACGAAGGGTTCAGGGACGTAGTATGCATGCAGTAATTAAGGATAGAGATGTAGCCCTTGATGCGAGGTGTAAAGTCCAGTACAAACGAGAGAAAAGAAGTCCAAGTCCAATGCAACGCAGAACAGCAACAATACCAGACGTGGAGGGGACGTGAAGGGGCATACGGCCACCTTAAAGTAACATAACCGCACCTCCAGCAACTAAACCTGCCGCTCCCATGAGCACGGTGCTCCGTCTAAGCGCGAGGGCGCCAGCGGTGTAATCGTCGTCTGGGCCGTAAATCCCACCGCCTGCTTTCGCTCCGGGAATGGGTGCACTGTGTGTTTGGCCCGCGTCGATGCTCTGCGCGGTTGGAAGATTTGCGGGGGTCGTAGTGATGGTTGCTGAGGGAGCATTGCCGCTGCCGGAGGGCCGCACACTGCCCGAAGCTGAGCCGCTAGGGTTGTTGCCAGTGGCCGTCGGGGCAGCGGAGGTCGCGGCTGGCGTTACGGTAAAGACACGGGTGATGGTGACGGAAGACTCTGCTCGGTCAGGACCTAGTGTTGGGCTGACGATGATTGTTGTCGAGAGCTGGACATTGTTTGAGTTTCCGCCTGACTGCTGCTAGGGAGGAGTTAGAGCGCAGCGCTGGTTTGCATGGCAGCACAACGAACCTGGGCACATGCGAAGAGCGGGAGGAGAAAGAGAGGGAGGAGAGAGGATCGCATGTGTGGCGAATGCTGGCGATGGAAGACCGTTGCAAAGAGAAAGCTGCAGGCCACGTGATCTGGAGGTATAAAATGTCACGCATGGACCCCTGAAAGAGACACGATGATGGCGCCGGCCCCCTTTGAAGCGCACGACCTGGCGCTGGTGCTGAGCTCGCTGCACTCGTACTCGGGCGCGCTCCCTCCCGACTTCTTCTCCCTCCCCCTCCGCAAACGACACCACTTCCTCGCCATCGACCCCAGCGACCACCGCGAATTTCTCTCGTGGCCGTCGCCAGACTCAGCGGGGGCCGTCGATCGGCTCCTTGAATATGCGGGCCTCAATTCCCTGCCGAATTTCTCCGTGGCGTATACCGCGGACGCAGAATCCACGTTTGCCCATTGCCACCTCCGCTTAATCCACGACCCCGCATCTTCCCCGGACCTCCGCCTCGTATTCCACTGGGATGACCCGACCCGCCAATGGAAATTTCACAACACGGCTCTCATGCCCTTCCCCCCAGGAGCCGAGCCTTCTCTTTCCCAGTCCACCACCATGGCCCCCTTCTTGCACGATGATTTCCTCCACGAGCCCGAAGCCATTCGCGTAGACCACGATCACGATAACGACGACGCTTACTGGGATGCTTATGGCGATGACGACGAAGATGCCGCTGCCCCAAGGCGTATCGCCGCCGATCTCAAAGCAGATCATCAAAACGCCAGCGAAGATGCCTACTGGGCACAGTACGCGGTCGTGCAGGGTGAGCAATTTCATATCGTGTTATGAACTTACATCCAATTGGCTGATAACTTTCTCCAAGGCTCCGCAGATTCTACTCAGCCTTCACCCCTCCCTACCAAACGCAATAAATCCAACCATCTTCCAAACGACCCCTCCCATCCCCACCTTCAGCCTCATTCGCGAAACGAACCAATTGTGTTCTCTCGCTCGCTGTTCAACCCTCTTTCGAAGCTCAACCAAGACTTCCCATCACCCAATACCCTTACCGAAAGGCTTAACGCCATTTCTGCACGTCCGACTGCGTCCCCGCTTGATGATCCCGAGTCCGTGCAGTCATCCGACTTCACTACTGCCACTGATCCAATCACCATGTCTGACTCGGATTCGACGTCGCCATCACCACCTCCGGGTCTCGTCAAGCTGGGAGTCAAATCTGCTGGGTCACCTGAGAGACGCTTACCTGTTGATCTCAGCGTGGACACCGCTTCTCCACCATTCCAAAACCTGGGAAGCAGTCCCGGGCCCGCTTCCAAAGAGAAACAGTTTCCATTAGCCGGACAGGCTATGGGAAGTTGTGGTGACGAGGGTGCAGAAGCTGTAAAAGAAAGCATTCGGGGAATATACCGTCTGTGGAAAGCGGGCAAGCTTCAGGCGCCACCTAACGGCATCGCGACGTCATCTGAGCAGGACGTCTTCATCAATTTAGTTCGTCAAGCAATTCAAGAACCTTAAAGGCCGTTCACAGCATGTATACCTTCACTGGGCTTGACTTTGTGTATTACCATACCAGCATCTCACACACACATCACAGCATTCGATTATCCATGTATAACTGTAAACAGGTCAACAATGATATAGCACCAAAAAGCGGGGTATCGACAGCAGAACGCATAAGCATGGGAGGGACTACATAGCTAGAACACCTATTCTGAAGGAGTGGCACCAGCGATCGCCAGAGCACCGAGCTGCAGCATGGCAATGTTGAACTGGTTTACCACTTGTGGATCGTCTGCGGCAACGGTAGCTGCGGGCGCGATAGCCGTCGAGGAACTGGCCGTAGTTGAAGACGAGGAAGTCGTGGAGGTAGAGGAAGGTCGAGTGGACGTGGCCTCGCGCGTGGAAGTCGACGATGTCCTCTGCGACGTAGATGTTGGGGAGGGCTTTGGTGATGGAGATGGGGAGGGGGAGGGAGATGGTTTGGGTTCCGGTTTAGGCTCAGGCTTCGGTGATGGCTTGGGTTCGGGCTTAGGCTCTGGCGCCCCGCTCCCGTAAGACCAGGATCCGTAGAAGACACCGTTATTCGGATCATCGAATTGAGCAAACAGCGACGGAGTTAAGTCGAGGGCGCCGGACGGACATTCGACGCACTACCGACCCAATTCAAGCATCAATTGTGATGCTATAGTATTTGGAGAGATGGTACTTACTCTGTCGACAATGGTCGCTTGGACACTTTTACCTTTGGCCGTAATGGTCACTTTATCGAAACAGTGAGCACCTCCAGCCCAGTCCTGAGAACGCACGTTTGTATGAGTTTATAGGCATGAGGCAAATGGTGGATAAGAACGTACCTGGGCACTCATGGCAACAATCTGTGTTCATTCCTATATTGGGTGAACGTAGATATTAAGGATGAGACATAACTCACAGCATCGCTGTTTGAGTTGTATTTACCACATGCGCCACTACACACGTTAGTTGAGCACTTAGTACACTGCTACCCCGAGGCGTGGAGAGGAGAGGGGGAGACAAACACTCACAGGCCGGCATTGTACAGAGTAAACCTAGCATTATCAGCCCGTTTCTCAAGAACCTCTCCACGACCTTCAACATCCCGACGCCAGTCAGGGCGCGAGAATTGACCGGGCTCTCTGGGGATATTCCCACCGTCTTCGTCAAAGGAAGTGACATGACGTCGACTAGAGCTTCTGTGCAAGCCCATGCGAGGCGAGCGCGGTGCGTGGCTGTCGCGCTTGAGGTCGAGCGCATGCGCATTCGCACTGGGGGCAACGTTTGCTGAGATCGCGGCTAGAAAGACAACAAGGATCGACAGCGAGCGAGTAGAGGAGGAGTACAGCATAGCAAAAGAATGTGTTTGGGTAGGCTATAAAGAATGACAAGCTGCTATGGACAGCGGGGCGAGGGAGAACACAGCGGGGAGCTATGAATTTGGTGGTTGTTGTGACCAGAGAAAAGTTAAAGTAAGGCACCAGAAATCTTTGATCATTGATCAGCTTGTTCCCATGGTCTTATTTTTATCGCACTGGTGTCTGACTTCTCGTTCTGGAAGCGTCTTTTACGCGTTGCGGAGGCATGGAGGTGAAGTTGCAGGAAGCGCGTATGATGGCATGATAGTCTTTACACGATTTAGAACGGTACCAAGCCAGTACCAAGGTGATTCTGAATACTTCCATTACTCGCGGGGTTCGAATCAAGGTTCAGAACAGCGAAGCTCCTTAGCAGTTCGTCGCTTCAATGTCGATATTCAAGTTTCCTTGCTGTTAAATACGACGTACTAAGCAAGGTGACGATACGACGAAAAGAAACTCACAAAGGAAGATAGTGCGGTTCTAGCAGTTGTGGCTATATCCAATGCGTTAACGCCACTCGCTTCGCAAGCCTCGCGTGGATTGATAGTCTGCCGCGGCGAACATATCAGTATTCGCAAGCTGCCCTAAATTTAACGAATGGTAGCGTACGCCTCCAAATGCTGCGATCTTGCAGTAGTTCGCTGGGTGGGTTGCTGGGCATCTGTCTCACAATGAGCCCGCGAATGAAGAGAGTTGCGAAGCACCCACGCGTCAATGATTTTCACCTTGATGGTATTCCCCGAGCAAGCACCTCGAGTTTCTCCATCTAAGGAACTAGTACCTACACTCTCGTCAGTATTTGGACCAACGTGGCCTACGGGTCGGCGCACATCTGACATTGAAACACTATTCAGAATTGCTAAGTTACGAAGATCAAATAAGTTTAGCAACTTGGAGACTGACATGTCCACATTGCTGTTCGTCAGGACAAGCGGCTTCACCCATCGTTAGTAGATTAGGGCAGCGGACAAAGATGCCACCTACGCCCTATGCAATCATTACATGCACCTCGACCGTTGCTGGTGAAGCGTCGTCAACAATCACAATGTTTAGGACATCGAGGACGAACCATTTGCTGGCATCCACAGAGCCTTGGCACCGAGCACCTATCCACAACGGCGACAAATCACTCATCGCGGAAGCAAAAATACCGTTTCCTTGAGAATTCGTCGGTAGAAAGCCTAGCAATGGAAGTAAGGACCGTTGCCAGAAGTAAGGTAATCAAGCAAGTACCTGGACAAGCAACCCCGGATTGTGTTCCATACTGCAGAAATGAGCGATTTTGCAGGCAAATAGTAGTGTCAACGATTATCTTACGTCGTTGAACGTAGTCACCCCTGCCACGGCATGGACAGAAGGTACTGCCGTCAAGATAATGCCGAAGACAATCAAGAAGGAAACTGTAGCGAGCATAGTTTCTGAACCGCAGCCCACCTTCATTTTGGTTACTTATATAGCCTTCCTGGTTACAGAGGTTATTTGTTTAACCAATTACTTCACACACCATAGGAAGATGTTGATCATAGAATACCCACTGAATGGAGCGAAAGTCAGCAGGACGTCAGGAGGGACCGACAACAACGAACTTGGGTTAGCCCGTGTACTGGAAGTCCTCCGGGAGTATCTAATCCTAACACCGGTCATTGCTGAAACGGCTCCATTCCCATAGGCGGGTTTCTATGTGGACTGCGACGAACAGATCCAGTGAGCCTGTCAGGCGATAAGTACCGGGCGGGGTGCTAGCTGACAGAGAAATCAATGGACCGGTGATAGTCGAAGCGTCAGACACCGACGAAAATGAGATACGCCTACTCGGATGCTCTATGAAAAGAGTGTAGGCAACACTTTGAAGGTCTGGGAGGTAAAGGTTCTTCTACATGCATAGAATCAGTACAGCGTGGAGAAGACAACTGTTACCCTCATCTCAACGAAGGACTGGGAGAGTGACATATCAGAGCATAATCCTATTGGCGATATAACTATGAACAAAGCAATCCTAAATCAGTGTAGATGACAGCACAAAACATATGAAAGCGAGTAGATTCGAGTAAGCAGCAGCAGTCAATCATTGTCGGAGGCAGGCTCGCTGGCTTCTGCATTGTCGGACGGAGAGGCAGTGACCTGGGTAACTTGAGATCTCACTGGCAACGGCGGTTGATTGGGCAATCTCTGCTTGAAGAGTTCATATAGATAGCAAGGGATGAAATATATACTACGGACCTTGAACGCATATTTACAGACAAGGAAACCTTTGAGGCCCTTTTCCCTCCAAGCTTTCTCCACGACATATAGTCCGTCATATCGATACCTAAAATAAAGATTAGCTCCAGGCCCACGCGCTTCAGCAAATCACGACCTCACCCTTCGCTGGGGGCATACTTAGACTTCAGCTTGTATCCACGGATCACCCGAACGGGCTTACGGGTTTCAACAGATTTCTGGTTGATGATTTAGCGCAAGACGGAGTATTAGGGCAAGCCAAAACGTACCAGCAGGGCTTTATTGGACTACTGGTGCATCAGCACATAAGAAAAGTAACAGGGCAAAGGACACTAACACGGTTCTCAAATGTCTGATCAGAGTCCTGGGGAGCGGTACGCAACTATGTAGCTTGTGAGTTGAATATTGCCTACGTCCAGACCAAGACTCACATTCTTGGGATTAGTCTTTGTTCCCTTCAGATCGCGACCACCTGTGACAAAGAAATTGAATACATCGCAGGGAGGCTAAATAAAATGGCTAGCCCACCTGCTCCTGTGTACGTGCTTTCCATAATGTATGAAAGGTGTATCGCGACTGCTTAGTAGGGCCAACTCACAATGCATACCCTAGGTCTATGTCATCTTCGTAGCCCCCGCTGAGAGCGATGCTGTAGGCACCGTCTGGGCCACCACAGATCCCTGCAACCCATGCCCTGGTATAACAGAATGAAAACGCGTAGATCATTGTCAATCTCTCCGACGCACGCATGAATAGCATCGGTACTACAGCCTGAGCGCGTTTCCCACCATGTTCCAACCTCTATGCCAGGGATAGCACCAAATGTTTTCCTGTCAGATATACGGATGAACAAATGTCGCGAGTTTTAGAAAGCGAAGAGAAAGCATACGGGTCGTGCACACGCTTGCCCTCTTCTCGACCCATCGGGCCTTCGTTCTCTACTGATTTGATTCCACTCTGGACGGCCGCAGAGACCGTTGGAGCGCGAACAACTTCCTTCTTATAGTCGATCGATTTCCCAACGTTTCTTCCGCTTCTTCTAACACCGCCCTCCGGTATTTCACTGCTCTTGACGCGCTTCGGCGCGTCGGGGGTGACATCCGTATCGTCGACTTTGCGTTTTTTGTCAGTTCGCTTCGCTTTCGCCGGTCGTTTACTTTCCACTGGCTCGAAGATGGGTTTGTCAAGACCGAGCTCCTCCAACAGCTTCTGATTCCTGGCAATATTTTCGTCGCGCTGCCGTTCGTATTCTGATATAGCCATATGTGATGTCAAAGTAGTGGTCAAAGAGACAGAGCTACGATCAGTCTGGGAGCTGAAGTCACAGGGCCGCGTTCAGGAGAGGTCAGGGCCAACAGGGGCAAGGTAATACTTCATTCCGTTCACGAGATCCAGTGTCCCAATGACAAAGCTATACATGAGAGGAGCTAGAAGCCAGATGACCTAGAGCTAGTAGTCCATATAATACTGTATGCTGTCGTCGTCGTCGTCAGCAGGGTGATAATTTCCGAAAGAGATTGTGTTCAATCCCAAGCTATCGATTGTGTCATTCGAGCTCGTAGTTTGCTTCGGCTTTGAGTGCATTTCGGCTGGTAGAGACTTAGTAAACGGGACGCAAAGAACATAACTGGAGCCCTACCACCGCGAAATCTACAACCCGTCGGGGAGGCCTGAAGCAGACACGATGTCCCTTGAGGACAATGATGCCCCCAAATGCAGTTTCTGTCCGTGCATTTCCCTACTGTATTTGTTAAAGAGGCGAAGACTAGGTTTGGAAAGGACACAGACCATTATTCGCGAAGGTACAAGGGTTCTTTTGGGCTGCGGCGCGCATTTGACCGATCATCGCGTCACTCAAAGTCAAATCGTGAGCAAATCGGCAATCCCGTCTCTGACAACGGCCGGGATGGAGGTAGTAGAAATTGCAAGGCTTTGGTCCCGCAGCCTTCCCAGCAGCCTTCCCTGTAGGAGAGTAAAGCCCGTGCAACATGGAGAAATGAAATGCAAAAACACTAGTAGAATCCCTCAGTCAATTTGAATCATATTGCGATGTGGATGCTTACATTACGTTGTGGTTTCCGTGGACTGGTTGGAAGCTAGAATGATGTTAATGGCTACTTAGCGGTAGAAAGTAACACGGCTGACTTGATCAGTCCCTCCGCCTGGTATTTCTGTAAGGCTCATCACGTCAGAGGACGAAGAAGGTGATTTGGTGTGAAAGTCTAGCGGAAGAGGCTTGTTATTGCCCTTAATTGGTGACGATATGAGCTTCTTCGTCATAAAGATTCCCGTCGTTAATAGTTCTGTCAGTCTTAAATGTCGGATTTCCTGCGCGAGGTCCGAATATCCCCGCACAAGCACGACTTTGTGTAACAAACCCTCGGTTTCGAGGGAGGTAAGTGTCGAAGTGTAGCCATTATCGTGGCCGCCTGTTGAAATAAATCACGCATTATGTAGATAGATAGGGAAGAGCGGGCAAACCTCCGAAAAAGACGAGCTCAGTTTGTGGGAAATGTGTAAAAAGGCGAAGATGTTCTGCGTTAGACTCTTCAGAACGAACTGAAGCAGAGAAAGCCAACTACCGCACCTTTTATTTTCGTATCGGCCGCTTCCTTACCATTCCCGGCGTCGACAATTGAAAATAGATGAGTAGATTGGTTGAACCCATGGCAAAACCCATCAAACTCGTCCCAAGTACACACGTTGTTCCTCATTAAAGTCTCTTTTAGACCCTTTCCATTCCAGAATATCGTCAAAAGGATTTCGGCCCTATTGGCTATCCCTGGGGTTTTGTCTGCAACATATCCAAGTAATGCCTCTCGCAACAAGGTGGCGGCCTGTGGTGAGAGTTCAGTATCTGCAGATAGTATGCAACGTTTGCCTAAATTTCGACAACACACCGTTCTACCGCCAGCTTGACCGGCCGAGAAGAGGTCTTGAGTAAATAGATGTCCATCGCCGTCAATTAGGGCAACAATCAACGGTTTATCACCCTGTGTTGGTGAAGCTCACTATGTCAGAGGAGCAACCCTATTGAAACAAACTCACAGTCCATTTCCCAATTTCCTGTTCCAAACGAGAAACCTTCTTGACCATTGCATCTTTCTCGTCGCTAATCACTTTATGTGCTATCTTCCACACGGATAATTCTCGTTCGAGCTCTCGCACTTTGAGGCGAGCAGTTTCTATTTCTGTAGTGGCAGCGGCGAATAGAGCTGAGATACGTTCGTTTAGATTTGGTATACGACATAATTGCAGTCACGAACCCGTCTGCTTCTCTTGCAGGTTATTCCTAGAATACACATGTTCTACCACGATGCAGGCGTAACAAGCAGCACGCACCATTCCTGGAGGCCAGCCCCCTCTGATTCGTCCATAGTTTAGATTTGATTGTGTATCAATAGGTGCTCAGCATAAGTGACTGGTATCACAGAAGGAGGATAATAGCATGCATGTAAGCGAGAACAAAAGTGAGTCCCTAAATTGGATCCGTGTCCCAGCGGGCGTCTCCCCACCCCTAGTACCCTCTATTGCCATTACTTGATCTTCTTGAGCTGTAAAGAAAGCATTAAGCACGAGGAAGTAATAAGCACCGTGAGGACCACTTACACGCTCCGTATTCCTGAAGATCCTGCTGTCCAATCCAACCGTCTTTCCTTCAATGCGCTCAATTCGAGAGTTCTGGTTATCAAGCTCTTGACCCATGGCTGTGCCCAATGCTTTCAGCCGCTTGGTCATGTCACTAATCTCATCAAGGTTGTCGTCCAATTCGTCTTCCATCTCGTCGTCCGATGCGGTGGACTCAAACTTGTACCGCTTCTGCTGCTCCTTCCTTGACGCCAACTGCTCCGCTGTCTTGAATCTACTTCCACCCTCTTCTCGTCCATATGTTGCAGCTCGTCCAATACGATTCTGAGTCTCGCGAATATCCATCATGCCCTTCTCCCGTTCCTCTCGTTCCTCATCATAGCGAGCCTGCACTTTGGCCTCCTGTGCCGCTCTCTTGGCGTCTTTGTTGAAGGTGATCACGGGCCTGAATATGGACCGGTTGAGTTGTTTGAGTTCGTCAGTACGGTCATCAGCCCGCTGTGAATGGCCTTTGGCCACGTCAAGGTGGCGCTCGGTGTTAGCGAGCTTCTCTGAAACGGCAAGTATTCAGCGGCTGGAAGCAGTGCGCGGGTCGTGAAACACACCAGATTGATCACCAAGCCTTGTCAAAGTATTCCTTGCAGTCTCTTCTGCTTCACGGGCCAGCCGCAAAGCATTTCTAGTCGAGGCGACACTCTCCTGCTTGACGAAACGTGTCTGCTGCTTGATTCCTTCAACATCTTCATCGTTCTCCTCTCCAGGAGGGGGAGTGCCTCTACCAGACCTTGGCGGTCCGTCGAAGAATCTCCCTGAGCCTTGCTTCTCTGGATTGTATCCGGAGAAGAGCTCGTTGCGGTCCTGGTCGAGGTTGCCTTCGCCTCTAGAGTATGCATCGCCTACACCTCTGTTTCGACTATACCTATCCTGCAAAGACGTCGGCTGATCGTTGCTCGGGGGAGCTGGCGCAGGTGACGACCGGTAAGGCGCACTATATTGATCACCATCCCGGCTAGGGATGTAAGTCGCAGCACTGGAGCGGTACGGACGGGGCGAGGTGCTGTTTCCCCCCGACTTGAGGCTATCCGATTCCACTGGAGGGATGAGAGGCTTGCTATTGTTGCGTTTGAAGAAAGACATGGGAGCGATGAGAGATCGTCAACGGTTCTGCCCATCATTTATGTACTAGAAGTCACGTGATGCATAGAACAGCCTCGTTGCTCAGCGCAGTGTGCAAAGGCGCTTCACATTGGCGGGCACTGCGCGCGCGTTTGATCCAATCCAAACGGGCACTGATGCATGGTGGCTTCAGAGGACGATGTAAATATTGCGGCCGCCGCCGACAACCACGACGTTGGCCATGTGACCTTCTGAGCAAGCGTGAACGAAGATCCGGCGGCCACCTACCCGTATTCGTTATAAAGACCTGGGAAACGGACACGGTACGCGTTATCTTTCCCAACGTCGAAGATGCTTCATATTTTCAGGCGTCGTATCTCTCGCAGTGTCGCGGGCATCGTCAACACTCGTGCCGCCTCGTCTCAAGCAAACCCGCGTGGACGTGGACTCAACGCTGTCTTACAGAAGAACCCTGATGATGTTGTCATAACGTTTGCAAAGAGGACGGCTCTGGGAAGGGCACGTAAAGGCCAACTGAAGGACATACCCGTTGACGAAATGCTGACGGCAATGCTAAAGGTCATTATTTCCCAGTTAATCGTTGTAGGGTAACAAACGTGAACATTACTTGCCAGGCTACGTTTGCACAAACACACCTAGATCCAAGTAAAATTGAAGATATTTGCGTCGGTAAGTGCATTGGAACGTGTTGTATCGTGGTCAGAATGGTAACAAGCACTCTGCAGGCACTTGCCATCCCCCGTCGCCGCTGTACGTTTCGCGAGCAGCAGCGTTAGCGGCAGGCATCCCGTCCCATGTCCCTATTACTACTGTCAACCGACTGTGTTCATCTGGCCTAATGTCAATACGAACCATCGCACATGCAATACAGGCCGGGGAAATCACTCTAGGTCTTGCGATAGGTGTTGAGAGCATGAGTCTGAAGTACGTAGGCAAGGCCTAGTTTTTTGTTGCACGTTCTCATGAAAGCAGCCCACGACCCACTCCAGAGCTTGTCGACACAGTTGCCAGTCATTCCAAAGCCGCGGATGCCATACAAGTAAGCTCCTTTCGTTCGACCCATAGATGAGGATACTGAGGTTATGAAGCCAATGGGTTGGACATCAGAGATGGTCGCCCTGGATTATAATGTCCCTCGTACGAAGCAAGACGAGTATGCGCTCTTATCACATACCCGGGCCAATGAGGTAGGCCAAAAAACATACGTTCACGATCGAAGGTTGACTGAATCGATGATTAACAGGCTTCTTCTCAAGGTATTCTCGCAGAAGAGATTCTTCCCATCGAAATCCGTGGCACCACCATTTCCGTGGATGATACAATCCGACCAAATGTTACGATGGAATCCCTCACAGCTCTCAAACCTGCCTTCCCTCAATGGGCTCCTGCAACCACAACCGCTGGTAATGCTAGCGGTATTGGCGATGGGGCTGCTATATGCATTATGACAACGAGGGAACGAGCTGAAAAGGAAGGACTGCCGATCATAGGGAAATGGGTTGGCGCTGCGGTTGTCGGTAAGCCTGTCATCCTCGCCTAATGTTATGAATCTGAAGAATTGGCGTATCCGAAGGTGTTGAGCCTAAGCATATGGGTGTAGGGCCGATTGATGCTATCCCAAGAGTATTGGATCAATTCGGATTAAAGAAAGAAGACATTGACCTATGGGAGGTGGGAAGCTTTGCCCAAAACTTACGAATCTCGTCGTTGACAAATGCGCTTTTAGATCAACGAGGCTTTTGCGTCGCAATTCGCCTTCTGCGTTGAGGAATTGGGGATTCCCATCGAGAAAATCAATGTCAAGTAAGCGGCTTTGACGGTTTTACTCGACCATGAGCTGATGTCTTCTCAGCGGCGGATCCATCGCTATCACTCACCCGGTGGGCATGAGTAAGTTCTTTGCTGTGTTCGTAGTCCTATGACGTTTAACCTGACATTTGTAGCCGGCACCCGGCAAGTTGCCACTGGTCTGGCAGAATTGAGACGTTCCGGAGGTCATCTTCTATGCACAAGCATGTGTGTCGGTAGCGGCATGGGAGCAGCAGGGATCTTTGTTAACGAGGCTACCAAGTGATGTTCACCAAGGAATTGTTGCATATAGCGTACAAAGCAGTGCTTCTATAGAAGTGGTTGGTACAACATAAGAAAGTATAATCGGGTACCTGAGAACAAGATGTTAGCGAACATGTATCATCGAGCATAGTGTGATTGCCTCAGGATGTCATTCATGTCAGTGATCCATCAAGCAAGCTTGACGGTCAGGTCGACTAAGAGGTGCCAATGGGTTGTATGCAACACTCGTCATGGGCGATGGGGAAAGGGAACAGAAAAGTACTGACCAGTTGGAAATGAGACAGACGCGGTCGTGGTGTCAGGAAGAACGTGAGCGTGTCAGAACGCGCTCAAGAAATTTCTTAAGGCAAAGATTTATCACGTAAGCAACTGTACAGTTGTAAGGGACGAACTCTCACGGTACATTTCATCAAGCACTTGACTCCAGGCAGCGACCACATTCCTCAGCACCGTTGAGCCGACGTATTCAAGGTATGATCATGCCCAGATGCCGTTCGCAGAGTGATTTATGTAGATACTGTCCAGAAATCCAAAATGGCCACCCAAATCAGCAAGAAGCGCAAGTTCGTGGCCGACGGTGTCTTCCGCGCCGAACTCAACGAATTCTTCACCCGAGAGCTCTCTGAGGAGGGATACTCTGGATGTGATGTTCGTGTAACCCACGCCCGCACTGAGGTATGTACATCGCAGGTGCTCGTTATCGACGCCTCATTGAGTCTCGATCGGCATAGATTATCATCCGTGCTACTCGTACCCAGGAGGTCCTTGGAGAGAAAGGACGCCGCATCCGTGAACTCACATCTCTCGTTCAAAAGCGTTTCAAGTTCCCCGACAACTCCCTCGAACTCTTCGCCGAGAAGGTCCAATACCGTGGTCTATCTGCCGTTGCCCAGTGTGAGAGCTTGAGGTACAAACTCCTTGGTGGTCTTGCCGTCCGCAGGTAATGCTTTGTCTCCCGATTGAAATGATATTGTCTGACCGTAGACCTCCGTAGGGCTTGCTACGGTGTCCTTCGTTTCGTCATGGAATCTGGCGCCAAGGGTTGCGAAGTTGTCGTTTCTGGCAAGCTTCGCGCTGCCCGTGCTAAGTCCATGAAGTTCACCGACGGCTTCATGATCCACTCCGGTCAACCCGCCCGCGACTTCGTTGACTACGCTGTCCGCCACGTCATGCTTCGTCAAGGTGTCCTTGGTATTAAGGTCAAGATGTAAGTCGGGTTTTTCTTGAAAGCAAGCTGTTGCTTATTGCTCCATCCACAGCATGAAGGGCCACGATCCCGAGGGACAGACTGGACCCAGGAAGCCCCTCCCAGACTCCGTTCAAATCTTCGAGCCCCCTGTCGACAAGGTTGTGGGTGAGCCATCGTCAGAACAAAAAGACCCCATCGCCGTCCCTGCGCCCGCCGCTCCAGCTGAGGAGGCCTACGCTCCTCAGGAGCCAGCTTACCAACAGCCGGAAGGCTATGGTGCTGAGCAACCTGTATTCTGATTCTCTTCATGTACCCCGAACACGATATCATTTCATGGGCCCGCATAAAATTCAAGGTTATCATTTGAGTCAGTTGTCATTCAAAAGATAAAAAGTAAGTACATTGGATATATATGTAGCAAGGTATATGGTCATATCTTCTTCGTAACGCTGTTGCCAGCTAATCCGCCGGATGGCAAAGTGAAGACTAGATTGGAAGTAGATGAGCCGGTGTTTATTTGGATGGTTACTTGTTGTAGGCTCTGGGAGGGGTCTGAGACAGTTACGTCTCCAGTGCGGTGATTGAAGACTAAGGCGACGTTGCCGCTGGATTTGACGGTTATAGGTGCTGTTTTGGAGTTCGATGTGAAGCTCGTCGATCCCCCAGTGGTATCCCAGAATACCGACATAACGACGTCGCTAACCGGGTCATACACCGCCGAAATGTGGCCATCATTCTGCACGGAACGTAACTGGATAGTCTTGCTCTTGATGTGGAACGTGTCTTTGTCGATTCCAGGAAGCACAGTGTAGGAGATTGCTTGGCGGATGTCTTTGTGCTCGAGAGATGCGGCGAAAAGGTCGACCGTTGGTGGTGGCTGGGTTGATGTTCCAATGGCGGACCAGTTACCCTTCTTGTTGCCTACTTGGATATGTAACGGGGTGTTGGCGTTTGACCTTGGGAACACATATCCCACTCCTCCGTGCCATAGCGTCTCAGCGCCTGCCCTGGTTATATTGCCCGTCTCTCGCAACGAGACACTGTCGATGGAGACCTCGCCCACGTGAAGCCTTTGGTCGAGGACGGAGAATACGGGCGCGGTCGTAGTTGATGAGATATTGGAGACCATGACGTGTTGGATATCATTTTCGAAGAAGAACCACGCCTTCTGGAAGTGGAAGGCCTTTGTAAATGGGTTGGAGTAGCGCATTGCGGCAACGCCAATACGTCCTGTGGATGCTCCGCCCACGAAAGCCTCGATACCGGTGAAGCCAGTGCGGTCACAGCTTAATGCAGTGGCTCCATAGTCGACAGTGATCCCCGGTATTAAATTCCAGTCCCACGCAGCGGATATGTCTTCGTATTCGTTTCCTTGCAAATATGTGTGGACGACGCCATCAGAAAGATGGAAACCGAGCGGCTGATTTGCCCTAAGATTAGAACAACGCCGGATACAAATAGAGAATAACGTACATTCTGCGTGTTGGTACATTCTGTGTTGACGGTGCGCTTAGAATACATCTTAACCGAAGTCACATAATTCTGTCCACGGTGTACCTGGGGGCCTTGAATTAGCTCAGACCTTTCGAAAGGAATATACGTTATACCCACCATATAATCGTTGGCGTAGAACATTCGGTTTCCATTGAGTTTGGCTCCGTTGGCACTGTTGGAAGAGTTCTGGGACAAGGTATTGGCGAAGTTGATGAGAGCATCAGCGCCCCACTCTTCTCCAAGTTCGTGGACCCTCGATAAGTTCATGCCGAGGCCGGCAGATGCCCTACGAATAGAATAAACAAAATGGAATACTGTATTAAAATGAAGGTAACGCACTGGCCATCGATGACAGGGAAGCTGATGAACCGTCCCAAAGCAGCCTGCGAAACTCAAGGTCAGGCTCCTCGATGAGTGCTTGGAGAAAGGGAGTGTAACTCACGAAGTCCCAGAAATTTCTGCCAGAGAGCACGTTTCGGTACGTCATCCACAAGTCTCCGTCGAACAGAGTAGATAGTGCGCTTTGCGATGCGTTGTTTGCAGCGAACTCAGTGCCAGCTGCCTCAACTTCGATGTTGAGTAAATCATTCGTGCTGCACGCAAGTGTCAATTAGACGAAATCCTGCGCGGAAGTCCAGAAGTCCTTAGGAACTCACTAATCTTTGCCATAGTTTCCGTTGTATAGAATACCGGCATGTTGACCGAAGCTACCGTCGGCTCGAATGCCGTCAGCTTTGATGGCGTTTTGAATAACGAGTTCTCGATGAACTATACTCATCGTCCGATTAATTAACGAGCGTAAGTCTGCTGCCGGGGGTACGTACCACGACTGTACGCATCCGTCATGAGCGAGACATTGCTGGTAAGGAGGGCTTGATCTATGCCGACTTTGGCAACGTCCAAGGTATTGGCACCAGCTAGGAAAGTTGGGTTTCGAGTGAAAGTTCCGTATGCGCGTAGGGTGATGTGGGTACAATTGCTGAGTTGAGTAGAGGTCAATGTATTGTTGAGCAACAAGCAGGTTGCCGAGCTGAGTTCAGGTATAAGGATCGTCTATTGCTAGAGGTTAATCTAATGGATGGAAGAAGGTGACGGACACGAACGTTTGAGAACCAATTGGTGTTCCATAACCCAGGCTATATTTATTAATGACCGTGTGGAAGCGAGTGGAGCTGTTAACGTACTGTGTCGCATGGGCAGCTAGAACTCCCACCAGAGTCGATGCACGCGTCGTTCGTGAAGTCATTGGAGAACCAGAAGTCCATCGCTCGAGAAATGACTGCTCGGAAGGTGTCGTTCTTCACGAATTGAGAAGTGCCATCGAGGCCACCATGAAATGCCCCCGCCATAACGACTATGTATTTAGAGAATCAGATATCAGGACGGGGAGAGTTACGGGCGTCCCTACCGATTCGCTGCCAGTGTTCTTGAGCGGGCCAGTTCGCCCTCCGAGCAGCACAGGCTGTGGTATAGTCAACCTCCGAAGCTGGCCATTTCCCATCCGGGCCCAAGGTAGATATCCTGTTGGGGGAATCAGAAAGAAGAGCATACGACCAACACTTATGCCATACCAGCTAGAAATGCTTGCAGCCCTGTCTGTGCTCAAGCCCCCAACGATCGTACTCAAACGTCTCTGGGTGATGGTCTTGATCTCTGCCGCAGTTTGGGCTGGCACTGAAGTCGACGGAGACGCTGCTGTAGAGGCTTGGGTAGAGGTGGCTTGGATGCTGCTAGATGAAAGAGCGCTAGCGGACACGGTGATAGAGGTAGACGACGCTTGTACGCTCGAACGGACAGATACCGAGCTGATGGACGATGCTGAGGCAGTCGAAGACATCGATATAGCACTGGTACTACTAGCAGCAATACTGGAGACATCGGTCGCTCCGACGGTCGACAATGCAGACGACTGCGCCTGGGGATTTATTGAGCGTCCAAAATGTTTGCGACGCGAGAAGTGGCTGGCCCCATGAGGCGCGTCGAGTGCAGCTGATAGTTGTAGGAAAAGAGAGTGGATAAAGAAAGTGGAAGCGAGCGCAAGGGATCCCTTCATCGCGGGTCACGTCTTTGAGAGCACAGAGAAAGGATATTGGGGCATGGAAACTTTTAGGTTGATGCTTTATGGCCTGCATTGCTGGTGGCTTCCGACCGATGGCTGACGGGTTTCTATTTTGGTTGGCTCGTGCTTCTCCTGCGACTCGAGCGCTGTCGCCCACCCATCGCCATCTGGCATCGGCATCAGGAAGTCATCCCGGAATATCTTGGTAACAGAACCGAATCCAAGCACTCGACGAGAACAGCAGCGTAGTTGTTGTATTTCGGGATTCCGCTCGAACGCAAACAGCCAGACTCCAGCAAACAGCCAACGTTAGGAGATCTCTCGTGAATATCCAGTCCAGAGGATTTAGGGCATTGAATAAGTTATCAGAACGTCTATGGTCGCAGGATAGCCCACTTTCGGAGACAAGACGGTGGTAAACACGACCAGCTGACGATACGCGCCACATGGCTCTGGGATTCAGGGGCACAACAGTGACACAACCAGGAAGGAACGCCTTTGCTGGCAGTCGGCTACGGAGGAAAGCGATATTATTAAGTGATTATTTGATATTCTAGTATAACGTATCAGACCATCGCCATCTTCTTCTTCTTTTCAATCAGTAGCATCTGCATATGCGTTACGAGTGAGGCACTTGAACGTCTTCGTGGTGCTGCTGCCAGCGAATGCACCCGAAGGAAGCTCAAAGGTGATCTTCCTCGTATGTGGTATAAGATCTGGCAAGAGCTTCCTTTTTCTGTGGACCTTGATGCTGATGTTGAGTCGTTCCAAACTCTGCGAAGGATCGGCGACCGTGATTTTCCCATCCTTGTGGTTGAACACCAAAGCCGCATTTCCATCAGAAGTAATGGTTATGGGGGTGCACCCCTTGGGCTTGACGGTTACGGTGCCTCCGTTTACGTTCCAAAACACGGCCATTATGACATCGTTGGCCGAATCGTATACAGCGGAGATGTGCTTGTCGTTCTGAGCAATATCGATGGGGAGAGAAGTTATCTTCTTAGCGAAGGCATCCTTGTCCACCCCAGGTAGCACAATATAGGAGATTGGTGCGTTGAGGTCATTGTGCTCCAGGAAGGCGGCGAATAAATCAACGGTGGATGGGGGTTGCGAGGATGTTCCGATAGTCGACCAATTTCCGCTTTTCTCTCCTACGTCAAGGTGCAGTTGGAAGGCGGTCGACTCGGGGAACACGTATCCCACATTTCCATGCCATAGCGAGAGCGCTCCAGGTACATATGACTTGCCAGATGCTTGTACTACGTCGTTGACAATAATCTCTCCCTCATGGCGTCTTTGGTCGAGGACTGTGCGAATGGAGGCATTGGTGGTCGAGGAAATATCAGAAACCATAACGAGCTGGATGTCGTTGTCCAGGAAGAACCAAGTCTTCTGCCACTTGAGTGAAGCGCCAACAGGGTTCGTGTAGCGCATAGTAGCTATACCGACTTGCTCTGTGGTAACACCACCAACGAATGCTTCAACTCCGGTAGCCTTAGTGGTATTGCAGTGCAATGGGGTGACGGCATAGTCGACAGTGGTCCCCGGAATGAGATTCCAATCCCATGAAGCCGCAATATCCTCGTATTCATTCCCCTTTATGTGCGTGTAGACCGTACCGTCGGAAAGATGGAATCCTAGAGGCTAAAGGCGTGAATCAGCCCAACGAGCCCAAGACATCAAACGCAGCAAGGACCCACGTTCTGCGAGTTCACGCACTCCGAGTTGATGGTACGGTTCGAATACATTCTCGTAGTGGTGACGTAGTTCTTGCCGCGATGGACCTAGTCAACGGGGTCAGATTGTAGCCAACGAACAAAGCCCTTGAAATCAATTCACCATGTAATCATTTGCATAGAACATACGATTTCCGTAGAGCTGACCAGCATTGGCGTTGTCCGTCTTTGTAGACAAACTCGAAGCGAACTTCTTTAAAATATCGTTCTTCCACTGCTCGCCGAGTGCTTGAACTTCAGGCAAAGGGATCTTAATGCTACTCGAAGCCCTATTAGATGGTTAATTAGTTAGGAGAATTAGTGTAAGAAACCAGGCGTAGACTTGCTGGGCATCTTTGACGTGGAAGCTGATGAATCTGCCCAAGACGCTCTTGTGTACAAATGAGCGACGTGTCGAGAAATCAAGGAAAAGTACCACTGACAAAGTCCCAATGGTTGATATCGGTGATGGCGTTGCGGTAGATCATCCACGCGCCGCCGTCAAAGAGAGTTGCGAACGTAGCTTGCTGTTCAGAGTTTGCAGCGAATTGTGTGCCCGCAGCTAGCAGCTCAAACCCAAGGAGATCAACCACGCTTGATACAAACGGATGAGTTACTAACCAGATGGAAAGAGAAGAAATCCTACAAGTCCTTGCCGTAGTTACCATTGTAGACCAAGCCAAGATGTTGGGAGAAGCTCCCGTCCGCGCGAATGCCATCGGCCTTGGGTTGATCCTGTATGACGAGCTCCAAGTGTACTAAATACGAAGCGTCAGCACAAGCATAGATACACTCATGAATACGTACCTCGGTTATAAGCATCAGCCAGGAGAGACGAGTCGCTAGTTAAGATGGCCAGATCTATGCCAATCTTGGCGACATCCAGTGTATTTGCCCCAGTAAGGAAGGTGGGCCTGCGCGTGAATGTATTGTAGGAGCGCAGGGAAATGGAGGAGCAGAAAGAAGCTTGGGAGGACGTTAAGCTGTCGTTGAGTAGTAGACACGTTTGGGCCACGAGTTCAGGAATTAGTATGATCTAGAGTAAGGTAATAAGTATGAGGGACCGAGAATGAGTGAAAGAGACGTACGTTGGAGAACCAATTACGGTTCCATAAGCCAGGCTTAAGCGAGTTTAGTCACACGAGCATGAGTTGATGATGATTCACGTACAGTCTCGCACGGACAAGCAGCATTACCACCTTTGTCGATGCATTCTGGAGTGGTGAAGTCATTGGCAAACCACCAGTCCATAGCACGGCTGATCGCAGCATGAACGTCAGAGCTCTTTACGTATTGTTCGGTCCCTTTGAGGCCTCCGTGCCAAGCACCAGCAAGGACGACTTGATTGCAACAAAAGAGTTAGAGATGCAAGGTGTTTACGAAGAACAAGGAGAAACATACGTATGCGCCGCCAATGTTCTTGAATAGGCCAGTTCGCCCTTTGCGCCTCGCAGCCCCTCGTGTAATCAACTTCGGCAGCAGGCCACTGGCCGTCGGCCCCGAGCGTAAGGAGCCTGGATAGTAGTTGAAGATTAGTGAATTGTATATGGTTCCAACATGAAGGTGAACGCACCAACTGCCCAAGGTTGCTACCCGCTCAATGTTGGCACCATCACTTAGACCGTCGATAACGGATTGAATGCGGCGAGTGCTCATTCTAGATATGTCTGACGACGTCCCAGAGTCCACAGGCTGCGCCGGCGCAGAGACATTGGGAACGGAGGTCGGTGCGGCGGTTTCATTTACTGGGACCGATTGCTTGAAAGCTTCCGAAGCTTCAGGGACAGGAGACGTTGTCGCGGCTGGTACCACAGTCGCGTCTCCGAGTGTAGTATTGTCTGCAGAGTGCAGTTGCCGTCCGAGACGCTTGTGTCGCGAAAAGTGGCTCACGCCATGCGAGGCATCAAGGTTGGCAGATGTGAGTGAAAAGATAGCAAAGAATGTGGAGAGGAGTGCAAGATATGTCTTGGTCGACATCCTGCGACTCCGTGTGGAAAGGATTGGCGAAAGTTGGAGTTGTAGGGTGAAGAAGACGAAAGTTGGGGAGAGTTCGGTTCAGCCTTGTGCGCCTTTTATGCTGGTATACATAATCTGGGGCCAAGCAGTGATCGGAACCGCTCATGCTAGTGAGAAACGTCGATCCCTCCGGCAAGCCCAGTATGTCCGTCTTGACACGAAAAACTGGCTTTCTTGGACTTGCTGGGCATAGTAATTTCGTGTTGCAAGTACAGACCTGCCACGCTAAGGTGCACTCGCGATCAACAATTCCATCGACAGAACATTTGAAGCAACGGACTCGGAGGAAAGGTGGTAAGTACATGTTACATAACAGCAGTCCTTGGCAACATCCAAGCCATAGCACGTGCCGCGATCAAACATGGAAATTCTATTGCTAATTCGGGAGCGTTTGAGTAACGCTTTTACCAGCTAGGCCTCCGCTTGGGAGACTGAAGGTGACAGACTTGGTCTTCGCGGTACCCCAGCCAGCAGGCGCGGTACCACTTCCAAGTGTGAGGGTGACAGTGACGGTCGACAACGTCTGCGTTGGATCTGAGAGAGTGATGCTCCATGAATCCATGTGTAGGATTAAATTCGCGTTCCCGTTAGAGGCGATGGTAATGGGCGCGTTTCCGGTGGGAGATGGAATCAAAACAGAAGCCCCGGCAGCTGTCCAGTACACGATCATTGCAGTGCGGTGGTTCACGTCCAGTAGAGCAGAAATAGATCCATCATTTCTCACAGATCGAAGCTGTGTGGCTGCTACCTTCTCCTCGAAAGCGGCCGGTGTAGAAGTTGCTGGGTAAATGGTGTACGAAATTGGAATGCTCAGATCGTCGTGAGTCAGCCAGGCCGCAAAGAGGTCAACGGTTGTGGGCGGAGCCTTCGAGGAGCTGATGCTTGACCAAGAGCCGGTTCTAGGCCCGAGCTGCAAGGAAAGGGAGACACTCGGATTGCTGGCGTTGAATACATAACCAACACCAGCATGCCAGAGGGTTCCGACCCCCGTGTAATTCCCGCTATCTCGATTGACTCCATCCACCAACACATCTCCGGAGCGTCGCTTCTGATCAAGAATAGAAAACACAGGAGCGGTAGTGGTAGAGTTGAGCTTAGCGATCATGACGAACTGTACATCGTCTTCGAGGAAGAACCACGTCTTGCGCCAATTCAGTGTTTTCGTCGTGGGCGTTTCGTACCGCATAGCAGCAACGCCAACAGTGCCGTCAGATGCGCCGCCTACGAGGGGCTGAGTGCCGGTCTTTCTGATCGTTGCGCAGCTCAAAGGTGTCGCGTCGTAGTCAACGGTCGTCCCTGGAATCAAGTTCCAGTCCCATGCCGCGAATATGTCCTCGTATTCGTTTCCTTGCACGTATGTGTAGAGCGTCCCGTCGCTAAGATGGAAGCCGAATGGATTTTGCGAAACGGAGCACTCGGAATTTTGGGTTCGTTCGGAGAACATCTTCAAGGTGGTCACATAACCAGGCCCACGATGTACCTGGCGCTCTACGTGTCAATCGAAGGTGAAGGAGAGACAGAGTTACATAGATAAATACCATGTAGTCATTTGCATAGAACATCCGATTTCCATTCAGCGCGCCAGCATTCACAGTCGAACCGGGCGAATGCAAAGCATTAAACGCAGATGTGATTGTTGGCGAATCCCAAAGTTGACCCAGTACTTGTATTTGCGTGATATTGATCTTCAAACTTGCTGTAGGCCTACACTAACTATTGAGAAGCTGCCCTTCGTTAATTGGGGAGATATAATCTTACTGGTTATCAACCACAGGAAGAGAGATGATACGACCCAAAACACTCTGCGCTCATGGTTCGTGAGTTGTAAGAACTGCAAGAAAATTATGGAATCGTGGGTACTCACGAAGTCCCAATGTAAAACCTTGGTAAGCGTATTCTGGAATATCATCCACTGGTTCCCTTCTATCAGGGTCGAAAACGCGCCCATAGAATCTGCAGACGCGCCGAATTCCGTTCCTCCAGTAGCGATTTCGAGAGCGAGGACATCAACAACACTATACAACCATCGCTTGTTCAGTTACGTTACATTAGTCTCTCATAGAATTGGAACACAACTCACTAATTCTTCCCATAGTTGCCATTATACAACAGACCCGCATGTTGTCCAAAGCTACCATCGGCGCGTATCCCGTCAGCCTTCACTGCATCCTGGATCACCACCTCAGCATTGACCCTGCTGAAAGCTTCGGAGAGCAGAGTGCTATTCCCAGTGAACAGAGCCAGGTCCACTCCGACCCCGGCGATATCTAGTGCGTTCGCCCCAGTGATGCCAGCGCTGAGGTGGTTGATCCCGGTTGAGAAAGTATTGAAGGCTCGTCTTGTGATGCGGATGCAGCTATCCAACTCGTCTGCTGAAAGGCTGTCGCCGAGGAGGGTGCATACTTGGCCAACCCAACCAGGAATCAAGATAACCTAGATTATATCAGTCATGGCTTTTAGTCGAGAACCATAGTGTACGCTGCCGACTTACGTTGGAAAACCAGTTCTGGTTCCAAAACTAGTCGAAATAACGTTTGTTCATTAACGATGCTCTCAACGAATAGTTGGGATCACATACGCCAGGGGTGCCACAGGGGCAAGCGTCTTCACCACCAGAGTCCAAGCATGCGGGGTTGGTGAAATCGTTTGAGAACCAGAAATTCATGGCCCGGGAAATGGCCTCGCGAATTTCAGCGTTCTTCACCCATTGGTCTGCATGCGGAAATCCACCGTGCCAGCCAGCTGAGAATGTGTCTAATGCCGGTAGATAGTGAGGGTTGAGTTATTATGCAAAGAGATCAGGGATTGGGAGGGTACTTACTGATGCGACTCCAGTGGCTTTGTGCTGGCCAACCTGATTCCTGGGCATCGCAGCCCGTGGTGTAGTCAACGTCCGGCCACTTGCCGTCAGGACCGAGCGTTGATATCCTGAAGAGATACCATGTCAGTCTAGAGGAACTCTCTCAGCGATATTACGAAAACGTACCAGGTTGGAATAGAGGCGGCGCCGGTGGAACTTCCAACGATGACGGAGAGCCTACGTTCGAGGACAATGTCGATGTCTGCAGCAGATGTATGTAGCACAGAGGGCAATATAAGCAGCAACGTTGAGAGCACCGGGGCCACAGGAGAGGGCCTCATGTTTGGGATAAGCCGAACGGTGTTTCGCTGTCACCTCCATATTTTTATAGATATCACAGAAGCGTCGCACATGGTCCTTGACATTGTTGATGAGCTCGCAGGTATTTCACCCACGGGTAGTGTCCGTGAACGGAGGGAGAGTCAAACAGCTAGTCCCGCTGTTCACCTGGTGTCAAGCATCGAGTCCGGGGATGGGGAACGAGAAGGCGATAACCCCTTCGAGTTCATTTAGCTGCATATCTTTCGAGACTATCATGGATCACGGCATATATCAGAGCGATGTCGTTCCTGTTCCAGACCTGGATTAGTATGGGCGGAGGAGGAGCTGTCAACCTATACTTACCAATGCTGATAATACTGTGGGATGCAGTCCTGCTAAACCACCGCGAAGAAAAAAGTCACAAGAAAGGGGATCGTCGTCACGGCTAATTCCAATGTTCAAATATTGATATATTGTAAAGTATAGATCTGGGGTCGCGCGAATGTCGCGGGCCCTGAGACACCATTAAGAGAATGTTACAATGTGAGTAGACACAGATGTGTGAGGGTACAATGTATTGATACAAGTCCATGCTGTGCTGGGGTGGAGAAGACATATTGGACACGCCCCTACTTGGAAGGAGATGCCGACACGTTGAGCTTCGCGAGGGAAACAATGAGGGGTACAGCGTAAAAGGCATAAGCCACCCAAACCACTAAGGAGGATCAACGTCAATTCAGTTGAACATCGAACCGATGGGCCGTGATACGCACTTGTGAAAGCATTACCGTTGCTGGCAGCTAGCTTCGGGCCTTGTGCGCCCTGTGCCAGGATACTGTTATTGAAATCCTGGACGGCCTTTCCGAACCACATGCGAACGATCAGGAACGACGTGAGGCCTAAATATGGATGTCAGTCGTGGCATTGGATGAGGGGGTATATAGACTGACCAATCAGGAAACCGAAGAAACCAATCCACGCAGAAAGCCTTTGCACCAAAGGTTTATCCAGAGATGCGGAAACTTTCTCACCCATCTTGTGTCGGAAGGAGATCAAAGTGGACGTGAAGAAGAAGATGATGGAACATGATATCGCCAACGCCATGAATACTGGTGTGGTTGAAGTGGGCGCGGAAAGCAGGAGATTTGGGGCATTGCCAGGGAGCGCAGAAAGATCTAACGGGCGTACGTTGGGAGGGTGAAATAGCCAGAAGTAAATGGACATACCGTATTCAGGCGATATCGTTGGTGATGTACAGCTGATCTGACCACCATTGTTCGGCTTCGAGCAGGAGCCTAAGTCAACAATGAGTTACAACGCAAGACGCGTGTATGATCTTGACATTACCTAGAGGGCCGAGGAATAGACTGGGGCCATCAACGCCGTTGGAAGGTCCTGGCTGAACCAGTGCGGTAGATGGAGAAACAGTCAAAAGTGCGACTTGATCATGCAGCATCAACACGGGTGCAAGGTACGCGAATAAGGTGAGGAGGATTGTCGTCAACATGAGGACAGGGGACAAATAACTAGACATTACAAACATTTAGCGCCATGAAAGTGCCTTAGCTGATAAACTTACAGTGTGATGGCTTTGGATAAACCTTGAATCATCGTGTCCGAGAAACTGAAGTGAAAGGATTGAGGTCGTTACGGTAGAGACTCGGTCGTTGGATATGAATAACCAGAAAGAAATGGCCGCTCGCGGCTTTGAAGCAGAAAGAGAGGAAATGTAGAGAAGATGAGAGACAGAAAGAAAGAGTAGGCTGTGGTCGACATCATTGGGTGGTCCGGTTTATATGTAAAGGTTTGCATTCCAGGGTGCGGAACTGACAATGGCCTTCGTTGTAGAGAACAAAGGGCGACGCTGCTTACGTCAGCCAGACCATTGTTAAAGCCAAAATCCACGTAAAAGCGCTATTGTTGTCACCGTGGCCGGACAAGCGAGGCAACCAGGCGCTGGCATGTGGCGAGTACAAGAATTTTAGTATCGACGCGACGGGGGTGCTGGTCCGCCCTTGTATAGCTAGTGAAGTATCTCGATATTGACCAGTACTATCCCGATGGGGTGCAAAGTTCAAAGGCTGAAATCAAGGCAGAGTTAATTTCCGTGTTGCTGCCCTATTTTCGGAGGAGGGAATCCAACTTTTGTGGTGACTGAGTGTTGCCTACTCCCTGAGGACTGAGGATGAAGGTCGGGACGAGTCACGTTATCTGGACGCTGCGGACTTATGTACCGCTATCTCCGTGTAGTATTCTTAGAGTAATTTGCCGATCTAAATAAACACATTTCAGACCTCATCATGAAGCTCGACGCAACAGATCTACGCTATGTAACATCAGAAGAGTTCAGAGTCCTCACAGCGGTGCGTAAAACTATCCTCGACGATACATAGATCGCTGATGACAACGGAACATAGGTAGAAATGGGCTCTAAAAACCATGAAGTCGTGCCAACCCCCCTCATTGCGCAAATATCAGGCCTGAAGAACGGGGGAGTGAACAAGCTGATCGGATCGCTAGCCAAGAGGAACCTTGTATCAAAGGTGCAGAACTCCAAATGTACGCCTGCTCTATCGTTCTCAGCGATCGAATATTTTGAACGTAACGTTGAGATAGATGATGGATATAGGTTGACATATGGCGGATACGACTACCTGGCTATGCGTGCTATGTCGAAGCGAGACACTCTGGCTTCAGTTGGAAACCAGATTGGTGTTGGGAAGGAATCAGGTACGTCGTTCCGATATCCTATGTATTGCTATACACTGACGATGCGCACTTAGACATATACGTCGTTGCTGATGGCGAGGGGAAAGAGATGGTGCTGAAGATTCATCGGTGTGCAGACCTCCACCCCCAACATATCAACGTTACTCATTCCATGTTCGCTTAGCTTGGGTCGCATATCCTTCAGGACCATAAAAAGTAAACGAGACTACATGGGTAAACGAAAATCAGCGTCATGGATGTACATGTCGCGACTAGCAGCACAAAAAGAATGGGCTTTCATGAAGGTGGGCCTTTGTCGTATCGGTTGCATGAACTATCTTCTAATATCCTTTAGGTCCTTCACGAAAACGGGTTCCCTGTCCCAAAACCAATTGACCAAGCACGACACTGTATATTAATGGAATTCATAGATGCTTATCCTCTGTAGGTCCTCTATCCGATATCTTGACTTCCGCTGACAGGCTACAGCCGCCAAATAGCGGAGGTTGAGTCTCCAGGGAAGCTATACTCCCAGTTAATGGACCTCATTGTGCGATTTGCCCGTTCAGGATTGATCCACGGTGATTTCAACGAGTTTAACATTCTCATTCGCGATACCGGTGAACCAATCGTCATCGATTTCCCCCAGATGGTCAGCACATCGCATGAGAACGCCGAATGGTAAGGATACTTTGCTTTTTTTATCCATCAGTCAAGTCTGATATGCTTGTGAAGGTATTTCAATAGGGATGTGGAGTGTATACGGACTTTTTTCAAACGCCGTTACGGTTACGAGAGCTCCTTGTACCCGAGGTTCAAGTCAATACGATCCTCGGACGAGACTGAAGAGAGTTTCAGACTCGATGTTGTCGTTGCAGCCAGCGGATTTGGGCGCAAAGATATGAAGGTTTTAGAAGAGGTGGGTAAACTGTGTTACCTAACCCGTTTCTTATTTGCTAATTCTGTGTAGTACATGGATGCAGTCAAGGAGGAGGGGAGTAGCAAGGAGGAGGACGACGAGGAGGAGGAAGAGGAAGAGGAAGAAGAGGAAGAAGAGGAAGAGGAAGAAGGGGAAGAGGAAGAGGGGGGAGAGGAAATTGGAGAGGGCGTGCACCCGGACGGTGAGGAGAATGATTCACGGGATGTAGAAGACGACCCAACAAAACCAACAACGGATGGAAAGCTTGAAATCGATGCGTCCACCCCTCCGAACAAGGATGGACCATTACCTGAACCCTTCTCACCTCTTCGTGAACTGTCGCGCTCTCCCCCCCGCTCAAGATCACTTTCACCGACATCGATAGACAAAATGGCTGATGCAACCGCTGCCCTCAATATTCACGGTGTGAAGAGCATCGTCTCTTCCGACCTTTCGAAGACTCGTGCCAGACAACAACGACTGCACCATTCGAAGCGGTCGGTTCGGCAAGCTGGACGACCCCAAGGGAGTAAGGCCAAGCAAGATACAAGGGTAAAACTCGATGCCAAAGGCGGCTGGGACTATTAATATGTAAAGTGTTATATAGATGCGCCTTTGCGTTGCTTTGTACTGCACCTACATGTATTTTATACGCTGAAATGAAATACGGCATTGACTTCGTTCTCGGTCAATGAAGCAGCCGACGTGGTAAGCGCCACATTTGAATTGCGTAAGGACCATTTTCTCACGGTCAATCGTACTCTCCAACCGTCACCATCGCCGCATCCTGCACTCAGCACCTGGCTAAATGGAAAAGGCTGATCTCGAAACCTACCAGGTCCAACTCTCACAAGTAGAAACTGCCCTCGCAGATGATCCAAATAATGCTGAACTGTCTTCTCTTCGCTCAGAACTCAAGGAGCTCATTGAGCTCACTCAAGCCGCCCTAGCCCAAGCAGCAGCAGCCTCTTCCTCACGCAATGAATCCGCTCGTAAATCCAACTCCTCCGCGGCGACGTCGCAGATGTGGGAAGCCGGGAACGAATGTCTGGCGAAGTATTCGACCGATGGGCAGTGGTACCCCGCGAGAATCACATCTGTCGGTGGGTCACCCGACAATCGTGTATACAGCATCGTATTTAAAGGGTACAACACGACGGAACTGGTCAAGGGGTCGGAGATCAAGCACCTTCCTCCTGGCTACGCTGCGACTGCCCCAGCTGCGTCAAATAAGCGCAAGCTGAGCAAAGTAGAGGAAGAGGAGAGGGAGCGAAAGAAGAAGAAGAACGAGAAGAAATTGGAGGTGCGCGCTGCCAAAGCGAAGGAGCAAGTCCAGAAGCAGGCGTCGTGGCAGAAATTCACGAAAAAGTCTGAGAAGAAAGGCGTGCATATAGCTGGTGTTTCTGGAACGAGCATCTTCAAGACCCCAGATAATCCATTAGGACGAGGTGATTTTGTCTATGCCTTTTCATCGTAGTACAGTTACTAACTATTATCTGACAGTTGGTGTCACGGGCAGTGGGAAGGGCATGACCGAGGTATCGCAACGAGGCAAACACAAATTCGTAGCCGGCGCGGATGATAATCCATAATGCAGTGTGGCGCATGGTATGTCCGCGTCCATGATTCGACCTTGTCGTCACTTCAACTTGTTTACAGGACATTTTGCCCGTTCGTCCTTGGCTGTCCTCAAGTGTCTATGTTCCTGTGCAAATTCAAACTATACGTGATTTTTCCCTTTTATATGCTGTGTATTCTAGCCCTCCTGATATGTCCTCCTTCGTGCGTTTATTGCATCGTCAGAATCCCAGACACCTCTCGCAGTACATGCTGCGCGGAGAGCGACGTTTGTCCAAGAACTAAACTTATTATTGAGGTGATGGCTTCGCTATACATTCTGGTTCATGATAAGTATCATGCTGATTGAACTCTTCGATGGGCCGCGCATTTGATTGGCGACCCATGTTGGAACTGTCGTACTGTCTGTCCTAGCCCTTGCCGAATTGTCGGGTGCACGCCAGGCGGTCAATGCAGTCGTCGGAGCCTGTTGGACGTCATCGAGTATATTTCTCTCCGTGCATTCGCCACATCTGACTCTCCTTACGTCTTACTTGAAAATGGAATGCTCTTTTTTTCCAAAAGCCTTGCGACTGTAAGTTATCGACAATTCAGTACATCGGAAGTGACTACTTGTTGCCTGCGCCCTCGCCCCTCGCCTTCTGACCCTTGGCAGCGGCGATGTTGTCAATATGCTACCGAGTAGGAAAGAAGACCCATGTACCCATCAATCGCCTTGGATCACCAACAACGATTAGCTATTGTGATTGATTCAACAGCATTTCGCAACCGCACGTACTTCCTCGTAGATCTGCTGCGTGCGGCGATCTTGCAGATTCCTGGGCCGCAACTTTCAACAAAGTCTATCTTTACTTTCAAGGTTACTTCGAGCAAACTCAACAAAGTTTCGCTCCGTCGATAGACCGGTCCTTGTGACGATGGGGCGCGGACCAAGCATGTGTTGCCTCTGAGTGGGTGCTCCGTAGGTCTGGGTCTGAGGATAGGCATTCCACACCTAACCGGCCTCCGTGTCTTCGTGCCCTAAAATCACATCGCTTACTTTACCAGATGTTCAGATGTAGCAGCAGATTCGAGAGAGCATGCCAGCGCCACACGGACTCACACTCCAAAGCTCAAAGTGAAAGCTATCAAACAGAAATATTCACTTCACACTTCACAATTTCCTCCTCTTCCAAAGTTCCCAGTGGCGCCATTCTCTTCTCTAGCCGCCCTGTCAAGCATGCCAAAACTCAAGTATTCAACTCCTCGCTCGAGATTGCCCAAGACGGCTTAAGGCGGTGGTCTCCGGTGCCGCTGTTTAGTTTGCATTAGTTTGCATTCGTTTACATCTTTGATGATGTCCTCGTTGATTACTTCCCACTTCAGCGCGAAGCAGGCTTCACCTCACCTCCGAACCGACGATCGAGGGCGAAACTGTGGTGCCGGGGAACCGAACAATCAAGAACTCGAACGATCACGACATCCCTGCGCGGAGGTGTCCGTGTCCGTAATGCGCACCCAATGTTGGGTGCTCAATTCGTTGGGGCAGACCCCTCATCGTAATGCGAAAAGAAAAAGAAAAGGGGCGGCATGTGGGTACGTCCGTACTTCGCCCGACCTTCGAATTATTCGCCGTTCATATTTCTTTCTCTGGTTTCTCGTTTCTGATTTATGGTTCTGATTTCAGAGTGCAATTTGTGACCTTCTTTGATCTGCCGGATTGCTGTTAATTATTCGATTATTCGATATCGATATCGGTTATCGTGGTTATTATCCACTACCGTTAGTGTCAGGTGTAGGACCTGGGTAAGGACGTCACGGATGTTCTTTCTTTCTGATGTTCGTTGTTAACTTGCTCGCTTCAGGTCAACTTGCTGACTTTCCTGGACGCTGATACGCTGATGCGCCCGAAGGAGTGGGTGACCGGCGACCTCGCGGTACCACTCATCCCCACTCCAGTGACTTCGCTACGCTACAACCCACGGTGTAGGGGTGTGCCCGACCCCCTTGCGTGGATTTTGATGCACACTCGTACCTGTCGGCAATTTCTGGTCTCAAGTTTCGATTCTGGCTTATCAAAGGGTTTGCTTGATATGTCGCAGACCACGGTATGGTAAGTACATGTGGTGGGTGCGGGTATAGACGTCACGAATGTTCTTACTTTCTGATGATATTCGCTACTCGACTTGAGTAACGTGCTTGCCTTTTCGAGAGTTCATTTACTGAAGCACCAAATGGGAAGGAGTGGACGACTTCGCGGTACCGTGGTCTCCACCTCACGCGTCATGATGTAAGCAAGTACTGTTCTATGCACCGCGCAAATGTGATGGCGTTTCTCATGTTCGTTGCAGGCAATTTCAATTCCGTAGTTTTGAAGTTTGCCTTTCATGCAAATGCAATAGACCACAGAACCTCCGATAGTTGGGGCATTTTGCCAATTGGCCGAGGTTCAGGACGGGGTGGGGCGGGGATTTGCTCGACGCCGACGAGGCCGACTCCCCCATAGTCCTTCTCTTCCATCCCTCCTTCCGCCCATCCTTCTCTTTCCTTCCCCTTTTACCCCCTGATCGCCCCTCACCCACGAAAATGCACACAAAATGAGCAGATATCTCGCACGACTGCGTCGGGTTCGAAGCACCACCGCGCAAGTGCGGGAAGGCACGAACGTCCACGAACGTCCTGAAGGAGCCTGAAGGGCTGAAGGGCTGAGGGAAGGAGAGAAGGGAGGAAGGACGGAAGGTGAAGGCAAACGTCAAATGTCAATGTCAGACGCCAAACGCCAGCGGCCAAACCTTATGAACCTTACACCTTATTGAGTAGGGGAGAAAAGCGGAAAAGCCCAGCGAGAGCCCCAGGGAATCCAAAAGGGAGGATACTTGCTGTATCGGTGCGTCGTCCAACCCCAGGGTCCTTGGCGCATTTTTGGGATGTCAGGTCCTTTCGGGATCAGGCCGTTTTGGGAATGACGGCCGATATTCGAACGAACGACAGATTATCAGGCCATTGCACGGTCTGTAAGGGTCTGTAGTCACGGTCGGTACAGGGTGGTGTGTAGGTAAGTGGTAGGTAAGAGGAGACCGGATGCTCTTACTTCCCGGTTGCCCCCTCCTCGCTCCACAAAAACCTTATCACATTATTGAAATATTTTAACGTAGGCTTTTACGATTACGATTACTCGGTGGCAAAATGCGAGAACGGCTTGGAGTGGGGGAAGAGAGGGAAGGCGGACGGCTTTACGTCGCTACACCCGACGCCGCTACACCCGACCCAAAGTTCCCTCCTTCTCTGCACCTGGGGGAGCACGCCCGACTGCGCCGACTTCTTTGCTCCCTGAGGTCTGAGAGTGGGTACGTCGTCCGAGCGGCGCCGACGACGATTAACACGAAGAAAGGGAAGAAGAAAAGGCAGAAGAAAAGGAAGCCGTCGACAGGACGGGTGAGATTGCAATGCCCACAGCTGGATCTCTCCCCGAGTCGACGCTGAACATCCGAATCTCTGATTAATTGCTCCGCCCACCTTGGCCACCCAGCACCCCTTTCGGGATACCCGCGAAGCCTATCTCGATAGCCCGACGGCACTTCGCGCAGGAGGGGGAAACGGGTATCTGAAAGGGTGCGAGAAGCGGCGGCGCAGAAGAGAAAATCTGGGTGACGGGCGACTGAATTGGGATGCCACCGCGTCAGGCAAGCTATACCATGCCCTATCCCGTTTGCCGGTCTCCGTACTCCTCATTGGCAGTGTGAAGAAGGGTTGGGTACTGGTACTGAGTACTGGGGGCCTGACGCGGACGTCCGGGTGCCGAGTACGTATGCATGTCTACGGGCTATGCACTCATTGGCTCCTTGGGTGCTGAGAGACGTAATTTGTCTGTTTGTTTAGGCGTACGGCGGGCGGGCAAGTGGGTGGCGCGAGAGGGTATGTGAAATTGTGAGTGGGTGAATGCGTGAAATGGTGAGGAGGACGAGACAGTGACCTTTACGACTGGGCGGACCACACCAACTGTATTCCACTGGCCCAGGGCGAGACACGACACGATTATTCTGCGCAATTCTCTTTTTTCACCAATAATCCACCCATTCACAAACAATTATATTTCTTAGTGAAGGGACAGGCAAAGGCAAAGGGGCCGCACCACACCGCACACCGCACACCGCACACCGCACACCGCATACCACACACCGCACACCGCACACCGCATACCGCATACGTGCCCAGCGCAGAAGATCCAAAAATTGAAAACGGCGCAGGATCAGAAGCGGAGAAGTCCTGTCAACGGACGCGAAGGACGACGACGACGAAGAAGAGCGAGAAGGAGGTGCGAGAAGGAGCGCAAATAATATCGAGTAATATCGCTACTGCGAAGCCGACGATCCCTTCTGGGGCCCCTGATGACGCCGTCTTCCCGCTTCCTACAGCACTCTCGCACTTGACACATTATTTTATGACGTCTAAAGGAACGTGAATACGCGTGCGTGCGTGTGAGGTAAAGTGATGAGTAGGCTGCGAATGGGCGGGGACTCGGGAGTACGTCGGAGAGGGCCACGAATGAAGATTCAATATTCAATATTCAATATTCAATATTCAGCGGCGTAGCGGTAACGATGGAGTATCAGACGAAGAAGTCGCCGGAGCCTTCAAGCTTCAAGCTTCAGCCTTGTGCATGGTTACCATCTCGCCAGCCGCATCCCGCATCTTCACATCTTCACATCTCTTCCCAGTCCGAGTCCAATCGGCAATCGGGATTCAATATCAATATACAGGAGTCAGGAGGCTCCTGATTAGAGAGGAGGGGAAAGGAAGGGTTGAGTTCAACTGCGCACCTGCTCAGAATGTCTTGCTCAGAGGTTTGTTTGACATTTGAAGGGGAGGGGCAAAGAGTTTTTTCATCCATTGGTAGACTGGTGCATTATACGTGTGTCTAGGTAGTATGTGTGTATGATTATACAAGGATACAAGGATACAAGGATACAAGGATACAAGGATAAATGGATAGTGGATAATGGATGGCACTAACAAAGCCCGAGCGCTCAGGCGGCAAAACAACAAAGCAATGAAGCAGTAAAACAGAGGAAAGCTCGACAGCAGCAGCTTCAGGATAGCAAATTCACAGCAAGTGATAGGAATGGCAATCTAGCAATAAAACAACGAGAGCATTGAGAGCGATAGCCGATTCAAAGCAATGAGGGGTACAGAAACGAACGCAAGGAGAACCAAAACCAAAACCAGCAGCAAACGCGAAGAGAACGAAAGATGACGAGTGGTGGGTAGCGCGTGTATGTGGATGGCAAGACCATGACCAAGACCACTCTGAAACCGAAACTGAAACCGAAAAGCATCCGGACTCTAGAAGCTCTAGAACGCCTGCAACGGCACCGACTGCACACTCCCGTAGTGATACTGCCCATGCCCATGCCCGTGCGTATTCGTAATATGCATACTCGATCCAGGGTGGCCGAATTGTCCTGGATACACCTGGTGTGCTTGATGTGGATGTGGGGGTGCGTACGCGTCCGGGGCGTCGGTCCACGAAGGGGATACGGGCGGCGGGTACACCGAGGCGGAAGCGGTGTCGGTGTCGGGGAAGGTGTACAGCTCTTGCCCTTCCCCGTGTTGTTCTTGCCCGTGTTGTTGTTGTTGTTGTTGTTGTTGTTGTTGTTGTTGTTGTTGTTGTGAGGCGTACGACTGGGTCTCGGGCTGCGAGAACGTCGTCGATATATACGGGGGGTACGGCGCATACGACGAGTAAGACGGCGGCGGCGGCGGGTGCGGCGCGTACGCCTGCTCTTGGTGGTGCTGCTGCTGGGGGAGGCGGTACGGGTGGAAGCGCGGGTGCGGAGCGCGGATCGCGTGGACGCGCTGCTCCTCCTCTCTCTGCTGCTCACTCTCTGGTTGTAGATGCTTCCACTCCCCCTCCTGCTGCACGTGCTCTTCCTGCCGCATTGGATGTAACTGCTGCTGCTGCTGCTGCTGCACATCCACATACGCCACCCCATGCATCTCATACCGGCTCCGCTGCTCCGGCGCCGGCTGCGGGTCGAGGTACACCGCGGGGTAGGCGAGCATGAGGTGCTGCTCGTGGCGGTACGCGTCGGCGTCGTCGTACGCGGGTGGCTGCACGTCAACGTGGTGGTGAGCGGGGTGAGCATGGTTAGCGGACGAAGATGAGGGAGGTGATGGGTAATAAGGCTGAGAGAGCATCGAGAATTCTGCGGTGGTGTCTATGGGTGAGTTGTGTTGGGTGGTAGTAGTGGTAGAGTATGCGGGAGACGGGGCGGAGACATGTGTAGAGTGCGTAGAGTGGACGGGCGACACGGGGGAGAGCGCGTCTGCGAGGGACGACGGGGACGTGGGCGCCGAGTATATGGGTGAGGGCGCCGCGTATGCCGACGCGCCGGAGGAGGAACAAGTGTCCGTTGGAGAGGACGGTGATGTCGTCGAAGATGCGGATGATGGAAAGGGTTGGGAGGAATAGTAGAACGAGAGCGACGAGGGCTCGGGCAACGGGAGGGTGGGGAGCGCGATGGGCGCGCCTGACCCATTTCCGCTCGAGTTTGCATTTGCGGAAGAGTAGAAATGCGACGCGGGTGTGGATGCCTGGCTGTATGACGGGACTGGTTCTGAGATGGTTTGGTTTGGTTGGTTTAGGTGTGCGGAGAGGTCTGGGTAGGTGTATGGGACGCGTGGGCGGGGTGGCGGGGAGGGCACGAGAAGTGGCGGAGCTTTGGGCGGCAAACCGAGCGATTCGCGGAGTTTCGCATTCTAATCGACGCAATTCAAGTCAGCGGCTACCCACACACGCCACAACACACTACTCACCGCACGCTCGAGCTCCAGCAACTTCAAGTTTGTCTGTGAGATATCGTGCTGGAGGCTGGAGACCATGCTCTTTGCGACCTTGCTGTGGAGGCCGATGTATGGGGCGAGCTGGTCGTCGCGGACGGGGTAGCAGGCGAGGGCCTTGAGCTGAGCATGGAGGCGGTCGATGTGTGCCTCGAGGGAGGCGACGTATATGGGGCGGCGGTCCTGTGCGCCGACGGTGGAGAGCTGGAGCGGGGAGAAGACGGATTTCTCGAGGGCGTGGTTCCAGATGCGGCGGCGCTTTGCGTCTTTTTTTGCGTAGATGCGCGCGTACGGGTGCGGCACACTCACAGCGGAGGAGGAGGAGAGAGCCATAAGCATGACTAATGAGATGGCCAGCGATTATATAGCGACATGTGCAGATACACCGATGGGCGATGGATCTGCGAATCTGCAGATGGGGCGACTCCCACGATGCGAGCGCTGCGTATATATGCCGATCTGCTCTCGCTGGCCCACTTGCACGCCTGCCTAGTATGGACGCCCCTAACTCCAGCACCTCGCACGTCATCCATCCGTCGCTGCCCACCACCCGCTCGCCGTCGCCCGACTCCTTCCCCACGCCCTCCCAGCTCCTCAGCGACATCGCAAACGCCGCGCCGGCTCCGCTCCCTGCCCATCGTCCTCCCCCGCAGAACCAACGTGGCCAACAAGGCGCCCGAAAACAGAGGAACAGGCTCGCCAGTCTCGGCTTCCAGCCCACAGATCCGTACGTCTCTCCCGCCCCCTCCCCCCAACAAATCTCTAACGCGCGTATATACCCACAGCGAATCGATCTCCTCGCACGACAGGAAGCGGTACTACCTCGAGTGCATCGAGTCCTACTCGCTCTACCTCCAGGACCGCGTCCGCGCAGCAGGCTTCACCCCCGTCCCCATCCAGCGCGTCATCCCCCCGTCTCTCCACTCCCCCACAGCCTCGGCAAATCCCTCTTTGGATCTGCTTATGGCGAGCGGGGCTGGCGGTGTCGGCCCCGGTCGCACCGACCGTGGTGCTGCCCATCGCGCGCTGTGCCAGGACGCGGGGAAGGGGCTGTCGATTGAAAGTATACGCGTCAGTATCTCCTCCCTCCCACATTCAGTATAGCCCGATAATGTTGTGATGTAGACTCTGCTCGTGCACATGGAATCCACAGCGCGCAAGCTGAACGAGCAGACGCTCGTCGAGGAACAGCAGGTACTTCCTCTCCCTTTTCTCTACGTTATAAAATTGCTAACGCGGACGCTTGTTGTAGTTTGCAAAATTACGCGCGCAGTACGAGGCTCTGCACGCCAACGATCACTCCTCCGCCAATACTCTCAGCAACACCCCCCTCCCCAACGACGCCGACAGCCCCTACCAGAGCAGCATCAGCGGTGGGAACGGTAGCGAGCTTTCGGAGACCAGCGCAAGTGCGGGCTCGAGTCCGAACGGCGAGATGTCTTCGTGATTGTTTGGTGGTTTCTTGTAATTTCCGTGGCATATCTTACTTGATACCGGTACATGATAAATTGATACACCAAAATTCCATCTCGTTTCGTTTCCTCACCTACCTGTCTTCACCTCGCTCGCGTCGCAAAGATGAGAATAGCATCTCAGGCTGCATCTACCCGTAGTTAGCCCAGGAACCGCCGAATACACCGTCGCAAGTTCTGGTATCCTCCACAATTCCATCTATCAATACGAACAGCGCGGTGCATCATGTGCTTCTCACAACTTCGGTTCTTACAAGTAAACAGCCCCTCTATCGCCTTATATGGGCGATTTCCCAAGTTACCGCTCATAATCGTTTTTCCAGTACCAAGTTGCCTCTGCTAAATATTTTCCCCGTCTTTCCCGTCCCCTCCAAAGTCCACCCGTTAAACGTGGTCCGATACCCGGAGATGATAAAGGCGTGGATGGCGTGGATGTGGGATGTGGGATGCGGGGATGTGGGGATGCGGGGATGACTCCTGGGGTACTTACGTGGAGAGTCCGTCCGGCGCACTGATATGCTATGCTAGACCCGGGATTCAAGAAATAGCAAGAACCCAGGCAGCCAGGCCCCTGAGTACCTGAGCGCTCCTATCCGACTTGATCCGTTTTGCTTTCTGTTTCTGTTTCCGCTTTCGATTTAGTTTTCGGTTTCGGTTCACAGTTGTATGTAGTTCTATAGACTTTCTACTTTCGCAAACAAACACACACACACCTCCCTCTCCCTCTCCCCTGTCCCTCTTCCTCTTCCTCCCGTCTCGAGTTCCGTACTATCTACCAGTGGGTCGAACTTTTCAGAAACCGCGGCCGTTCCACACTTCCATCAATCGAAAATCCATACAGCACCGTGGCACGGCGCATGCGACCCGTGATACTTACGGCACGAGAGCGTTCTCGCGTTCGCCGTTCTTGCAAGTAAAGGCCACAGCATCGCCTTATTAGGGGGATTTCCCATTCTTTCCCACATAACACATAACAGGCACCTTCTACCTCTTCCTCTTCTACCTCCTCCCTCTTATCACCCACCCTCACTATTAATATGCACCCTCGCACTTGTCACCCCAATCACCTAGCTATGTACACGCATCTCCCAATCTCCCATCTCCCATCTACCCCCGTCTGCGCACTCTGGAAAGCAGCAGAACTCGCCGCGGATCTATGAGTGCTTATTAGTACCCCGTTCTATTCCATTCCACACAGCATGACAGAAGCAGGCAAGGAGGTGTGGGATGGATCAAAAGTCTATCCATCGCCTTATTGGGGGATTGTCCTTGCGCGGGTGGCACCCTGCTGTAACGTTACCTTGCTGCTTCAGTCTTTCCTTACTCGTCCTCGCGTGCACGCTGTAAGGCCACCCGGGCGCGGTGAGCAGGTCAACACCCCAGGCGGGTGGAATTTACGGTTAACAAGGTTAACTTTGACATTAACCCGAACCAGTCCGACGGTGCTTCATCCCGTCCAGGTATTCGGCCCCGTGTCCACACCTTGAACGTTATAGAATGTTAAACGCTCAGCGACGCTCGACAAATGAGGTGTCTCCGCCGTACGGGCGGCGGGAGATCGTCGGTTGACGTCGAGGGTTCGTTTCACATGCACAGTTACTTATTTACACTTACTTTCACTCTGACTTAATTCACAGGTATATGTCAGCGTAAGGTTCAACGGCGTGGAGCTCCTCAAGCTTGTCGAAGGCTTCGTCGACATCGCCATTTCATAATTTGGACTGGGACGGCGGAGATCGTCGGTGAAGCTTTGAAGGTTCGCTTTTACCTGCACACGACCTTCCACTCGCTTAATTACGTTTACGCTCATACTCACCCTTTAGAGCATACGCTCCAGTCTCTCCCTTCACGACATCCCAATTGACCCGCGTGTCTGACATACTGTATAACAGAGGTGGAGCTCCACAAACTTACAAACCCGCCGACGGCTTCATCTCCGTCTCACTATCAGATACTAGGCAGATCGTCAAGCTTGCGGCCGAATATCGTTGGCTTTACTCCACTTTCACGCGTTACTTGCGCTCTCACTCTCATTCATTGGACGCGCAGGCGTCACGGTATGGAGGGCAAGGTGTCAGGTGGAACGGGACGGAGATGAGATGAGATGATTACGGGGTTGGTCGGTTAATTAGCCGTGGACGCGGACACGGAGATAGAGTCATACCACATGCCCCGGTCGGATGAGAGGATGGTATGAGAGGATAGAGTGAGAGGATGCAAGCGTCGCGGCACGTACCACACGAACACGCACATACACACATGGCGTCTACATGCCAGGACTTTCCTCTCAGAGTCTCACTTGTACAGGCGAATTGAATTTACATTTTACACTAGGAACGATACAAATTTGTGCACAGTTGCATCAGCGTAGACGGTGACCAGATCCGAGGGACGCCGCATGTCTCATGTCTCATAAATCAGAAATCAGAAATCAGAGGGACAGAGGTCCTCCCGCGACTCTCGCCGAGATGCGCAGTAACCACATTGTAAGCAATGACCATAATGTAAACATACAAAGAGCCAGAGGGATCCGCACCACCATCCACCACCATCCACATGGCTACATCCAAATCGCCGGAGTCCGCGTCCTCCTACTCCCATGAACCTTTCCTAAGAACGTGCAATTTAAACGAGATTATGAGAATATGAGAGTATGAGAACCGATGGATAGATCGCGACGTTGCTCGGAGACTGCTGGAAACGAGCCGCGAACCGCAGATGGCTGAGTCCTTGCGATCGTATGTGCTCCAAGGCCGGAGATTATCATCGTAATTGTGGGAGTGGGAGTCGCTGGGAAGGGAATGGTATGGTATGGGAAGGCGATTGATTCTATGGTACATTGGTACGGATCCGTCTGCGTCGTCATTGTCACAGGGAATCACAGCACGAGGAAAGATGCTTGCTTTCCGCGAGCAGTTAGTGGGAGAACAGACGAATGGCCGTGTATGATAAAGATAGAACAACAAGAACACGGATAAGAAGAACCTGGATGACGGCAAAAACAGAAAAAGCATGGTACGGTAATTGCATATCCCTTTCCACGCAGATGACGAAGATAGTGATGTTGATGCTGATAGTGAGGGATCATCAAGTGGTGCATTCAGTATTGATGGGTGTTAATCACCGCTATACCACTATCAGCACACCCCTGACACCTGAGCGCCTCCTATTCGACTTCATTTCCGTTTCCGCGTTTGTGTTTCTCTGCCGCGGGGGCGCCATCGATTGTCACCGCCAATTCTAATGCTGGTAGCGATGTTTCGACATTCGGGCGTCCAATCCAGAGGCAACTTCCTACGATGGACTCGACTGGACTCGTCTGGCCAATCGCTGACCATAGGACACATGCAAGCCAACGTCCCCATGCAACGGTCATCTCAAAGCATTTCCCGCTTACTCCCACTGACCGTTCACAAGAGCCTCATGTCCCAGGTTCCTTCCGCTCATCTCTAGTTTCTAGCTCTGGAACGAGTCTCTGATCTCTGAGCTTTGAGTGACCGTACAATTTCGTGCGTCGTGTGCACATTACACACATGTTTAAGTGGACTACTTGATGTTAACGAGATCGAGTTCAGGGAGTCCGAGATGTCTTGCGTCGTTTACGCGCATGCTCCACACCCACCCCAGTACGGCTCTGTGGAAAGGCCGGGTGATTACAGTCTACTTTCGCGGCTTACTTACGGTGTAACGGAACGGGCTTTACAAATCCACCGAAACTTCGATGATCTCCCATTTGACAAGGCGTTGCTAGGCCGAATATGGTCGGCCTCTTCTCGCACTTGCAGCTACTTGCAATTGCGCGCAGGCACTCATCGGGGCATGCGAAATGGAACGGGGATAAAGGCGGCCCCGAGGTACTATAGGTGCGTTGGATGTGCTTGGCAGTTTGAAGGCTGTATAGAGGATGGCCAATTTACCGCGCTCGCTGCTCAACCCTCGAATCCGCGAACCACAAGTACAGCATACACATACCATACACCACCTCGGAGGTCCGGACCCGGATGTCGTCAGCTTTTGTTAGCGTTCTCGTTCTGCGGTGCCGGAAGACTTTTTGGTCTTCTGAGAACGGGAGTCAATGGTGCCATTGGTTCTACGGTTTGGCTTCGCATCAGGACCAGCATTCCACAAGTTTTCTAGGAACAGCTAGTCTAACGTCGAACATCCAAAGGCGAGTGGTCGATAAAGATAGAACGGATAACATAATTTTGAGATCCGTCTTGTTTTATCGCACCAATCACATTATCACATATCCATACAAAGTGGCATCCTTGTTCACGCACACCCTCTGTGCTCACTATTTGCTGGTGAGAATATTGATGAGTATTGTCTGATATATTGATGGATTTAAATAGGTGTAGTTGTTAATTACCGTCATGTGTGTTTTTGTGCTAGTATCAGATCACCCCTGAGCGCTTGAACCACTCCTATTCAACTTCATTTCCGCGTTTGCGTTTCCCTGCTGTGGTGGCGCCGTCAATGTCAGCGGCAGTGGTGTGTGCGTCCAGGATCGACCTATCTATACTTGGCTGGCCCTGCCTCGTCCCGCCTCGCCTCTCAGGCTGCCAATCACCCGAGTCTTTCAAATCTAACGTCCCTACGGCCATTCGTCGCGAGTGCTCCCCCAAGCGAATTTCCTCTAACCATCCGCGGCAGCCCTTCCATCTCAAATTGAGAGAGCATTGCATGCTACCTTACTGCAAACAGAGTCCCCATCAACGGATGAGAAATTGGTGCATTGAATTTCGATCACCTTACTTGAGAAACATTCACGAAATCTAAAGCTTCAAGTTCCTTCCGTTGACCTCTCAACAGCTTTAGACCTACCTGCCAAACGCCTCGCTACCAAGTTCCTGGTCTACCTCCTACCAATTCCCATTCGCTGTGAAAGCATCAAAGTTCACCTCCCTTCCGAGAACTCTGAGCTCTGGAACGAGTCTTCGAGCCTCGAGTCTCGAGTGACTACACGTAGCCAGGTCGAATGACCTAGAGGCCAGACAATCTAGACAGCCTTGATACTCGGCTCCGTCTCGATGTTCATAACATTAAGCGTTAACCGTACATAAGGCTACTCGCAGAAGAACGGAAGTAACAGCCTCGGAGCCACTGACCATGGATTGTATTGCTCGCCTCCGCATCCCCGTCTCAGCTAATAGGCCGGAGATCGTCGGTTTCATAACTTTATTGTGTGTAACGAGTATAGCGGTGTAGTGGAGATGACGCCTTCATGGAGATGGTGCTGATAGACTTATTGATGGTGGAGACGGTATAGACGCAAACTCACGCCGTCTGATCGTATGCACGTTAGCATACGTAAGTATGCAGTTCGAACTTGTGTTACGTCGGATAGAAGAGCATTTGTCGCGGTTGAAGCCGTTGGATAGGATAACGTCGCGGAACACAACGTAGTATATGTCTGTCGTAGTCGTAATCTTACATTTTTGCCAGTCCTTTGCTTTCACGCCCACTCGGGCACGACGAGTTCAGAGGAAACTTCGTGCATTCCAACCTCATTATCATGGGAATGGAAGGGTGTCCACCCAAAGGTAGTTACGAGGAGATTACTAGCTTTACCCGTGCCAGTGGGTCGTGCCTGGTCACTTACTTCAGAAAGTCAAAGCCCTCCCCTCAAAGTCTGGAATAACGCTCTAGCGGAGAATCGTGCCCCGGAGATACGAGCCCCGGGTGTCAATCAGAGGAGGTTCTGAATTCTCACTGAGCAAGTTCTAACTTCTTGAAGCCTAGAACTTGGATGCTCCAGCTTCAAAATTCTTTGTGTCTGATAAGTTGTGTGATTCTCCATAAGATACACCCCGAGTATCAGAGTCCTATCATGAAGCATTTTTGAAACACTGGATCTGCACGGAGATTTCAGGCTGTACTAGCGAGTCTCTCGATCCCTTGTTTCTGACAAAGGTGAACAGTAACGGAAGGGGCAGCACAGTCCACAGTTCTCAGAAGAGAGCCATCAAGAGAAGTAGTACTATTACTGGCTATAGTCACGGTGAGTGGATATCAAGCATCGGAGTATCAACGTTCTTTTGATATGGGCTCCATAACCGCGCCGCGCCGCGCGAGACGGTCTTCACGAGGTGAAAGAAGTAGACACAGGCCCTGTATAGTATAGCGGCAATACCATGCTGTAGGTGCTAGGTGGGGTGCTTGTTGACCAGGGATATCAGTGGGAATAGAACCATTTAATCACCGTTGTCCCCCTGAGCACCTGAGCATCCCCTATTCGACTTCGCCATGCACTGGTTGTGCTCTTGCCGGCAGAGTAAACTTCTGAGTTCTGTCTCTCGTCCACGGGGCACCCTTCCCGTGACACTTTAGGCTTCCATTATCATCAATCTCAGTCATAAAACCCCATCGACATCGATGGCATCAATCATTATACTCTTTTTACAGAAATTGGCATCCAGTGGGTCGTCGCAACCAAGGCACGCACTCACGCGCACTGACCAGTAATATGCAGTCCGCTTATGTGGTGGTGTAATATAGCCACTTCTCCGAGCCTACTGCCTCGTTTCGTACCTCGTCACTACCAACATTGCCACGGACCCCATTCCCGCTTAGCGTTAACATCAAAAAGCAACGGTCCCTTGAGAATCTTTTCATAAAATTTCTAGCAACTCTCATCTTATGTTATTCTCTCCCGTGTCCGCCCGACGCATTATGATAGATAGATACGATAGCCCGTGCGCGGACGTTCGCGGGCGGCGGATATCCGCGTATCATCCGTAATGAACCACCAAATGAATGACTGCATAATTGAACGGGTCATAATCGATACGGAGCCGTTGGAGATCATTACATGCCTTATTAGCACTTGGTCATGGGGTGAGCACTCTGGCTCGAGGTGCGGCTTTGGATCGCAGGTCCGATCATGTCGGTATATTCAACTTCTGGGATCATTGCAATTGTGTCTGGACCTGACTATGTCCTTCGTCTTCGTCTCAGCGCAGTGTTGATAGTCGAACTCTAACTTCTTGTCATTAGATAGGTCATTACTACTAACCATGATGGGAGAGGCTTTAAGGGTGAGTTCGTGAAGATATCTATATTAAATCATTGATATTCTCACTTCTAGGTCAGCATGGTACATCGGGGGGTCCGTCTTTCGTCAACACCACCACGCACACTTGAAACCATCACTCTGTACCTAAGTAAGTAAGTAATACGCCGTCGGTAGCGCACACGCTAGTGATTGCACGACTTGTAGATGAGTGTAAATTAACACGCACGCATTTGGCAATGAATATTGCACAACATTTCTTTAATAAAGAAAGCCCTGAAAGCCCTGACATCTTTGGTTCCAAAGTCATCTAGCCACAGGGTCTTCGTGATGGCCTGCCCCACTGGAAACATACTAGATTGGTTGATGGCGTTGCTGTTGAAGTGCGACAGCCGAGATCGTGCTTACCACTATCTCGCAGCGTACGTATAGAAAATTTTGCATCAAACACCATACGATGTACCCCTATCATCGAACTTGCTTCCAACGCATTCTTAGAAGTAACTTCCAGAAAATGGCTATATTTGGATGATCACCGCCCGTCCACGATGCGTCGCCCGTAATCCCACAGACCCCAGTGTACTCAGTACCCCAGAGGCCACCGATCCCTCCACTAATCCATACGAGGGTGGCTCGGAGCTTGGATCAAGAGAATGTCAACGGATATACTGACGACATCCCACGTAGTACGCTAGGATTGAGTGTATTAAAATTTGCAATTTGTGGGGTACATATAGCTGTGGCGTCCGGAAATATCGTCGAGATGCTGTTGAACGACTCTACTACAGATCGGACACCGCTAACCAACGCGAAGTCACATTGACAAGAAGATACAAGGGTAATCAATTACACGAGACCGAATTGTACAATGTCCATTTGATATACAAGTAATCGTTTACGCAAGAAAAGTGAGCAGGTTCGCAAAAAAGCATTCAATGGAGAGTAAACCCGTCAACATCTTTCAGTAATCTTGATACGGTGGCAACTCGTCGTCGCTTGGTTTGTGATCCTTGGGGGGGTTCGTCGACCCTCCTTCCCTAAGTACCTGCTCCCTACGCTCACGCTCCAGCCTCTTCTTCTCTTCCTCTGCCGTCTCATATTTCGCTGGTGCTGGTCCTCCCGCCTCAGCAGCAGGGGGCGGGGCCTCTCCGGTTTGGGCGGGGACACCAGTTACACCACTGCCACCCGAGACAAGTAATTTGTCTCTATCCTCACGTTGGAGACGTCGCTTCTCTTCTTCGGCACTCTCGAATTTGACGGCACCCGAAGGAGGTCCGCCTATCGCCGTATTGGGTGCAATCGTAGTAGTAGCACCACTGCCAAATGGATTTACAGGAGCCCCAGCAGTCGGTGACGCAGATTTCAGATCATGCAGGGAACCACTTTGAGGACCCGGCCCGCCAGCACCAGCAGCCACGGGCACACCTGTCTCAGCGACAGTAGGTAGTTGAGGAGCAATCGGCTGCAATGGATCGGGGGAGACGATTGGTGTTCTGAGGGTATTAGTTGTAGGGCTCGCCGATGTTGGCGGTATTGTCACAGGTGATTGATTGAGAGTCATTGGGTTGATGGGAGGCGAGGTTGGGTGAATATCAATTGGTTGGACAGGCGGGGGTGGTTGAGCTTGCTGCTGCTGTTGCTGTGCGAAAGGGGGATGACTACCAGGTGGAGGTGTAACCGGCAATCCAGGCAAACTAACAGAGGAGTTGGAAATAGAAGAAAGTTCGCTCGCATGAGTTTCACCGAAGCTACGAGTGTCGGAGCGACTCAGGTCAGCCCCGGGTTGGGGGAGGAGGTTGATGTGTCCAGTCTTGTAGTTGTCGAGCGCGCGTTGAAGGGAAGCACGCGCAGCACCGGTAGCTTGTGCGCCTGTGTAAGGGTGGGAGGGCGTAGGCGGGATTGAAGGCAGAGCACCGACAATGGGGTTCGCGGCCTGCGACAGGAGTACTAACTTCTCTGCGTACTATGGATGCAATCAGCATATGCAATAAACGCAAAGAAAATATGGTTTACCTCTCTGATGGCTTCCCATTTGAGTGTCTCGCCTTCACGGAGAGCTTTGCGCTTCAAGAGTTCAATTTCTTTCTCTTGACTAGCGTCATCCGCCTCGGCTTTGCGAATTTGGTCCTTGATTTCAAGAATCTTCTTCTCACCGCCTTTAACTTGGTCGTGCTCGAGCTTAGCAAGTTGGGCGTGCAAGCCGGCGCGCAAATTTCGGCGAGGTGCAAGACTAGCCTCTGCGTCTCTGAGAGCCTTGAATGGGATGCGTGCAGAGTCTAGCTTGAGAGCGAGAGACGATGCGAGCGCGCCTTGCACAAAGTTAAGGTATGCGAGACGGTCTGAGACTAGATGTGATTGGAATATGAGACAAAGGTCAAAGGTCAGGGGATTATCAGACGGACCATCTTTCAAATCCTCGTCTTCATTCTGGCCCCAAGTATAAAGCTCCTTGCTGTAGTTCTTAGCGTCGCGTGCAGCGCTATCGAAATCGATTGCAACGCCCTTCGCGCTAGTAATGATTCTCTGCGCAGGTGTCGTGCTCGAACTATTGAGTTCAGATTGTGTTACGATAAGATCTGTGGGAAAGGCATTTGCGACTCACGAGTATTGTTGCTGGAACGATCTCAGCTGGTACTGAAGTGATTCAAAAGCATGCGATCTGTGGCCACCTTGAGCAGCAGCTTCGTTGGCAGAAGGCTGAGTCGAGCCGTCGGGACTGACAGGACGGCCATGGCCACCAACGTTGGGCAGATGGCCAGCGAGGGGAGAGGCGTTGATGGCAGACTGAGCCTTGTCAGCGATGGACGCAAGGAAACCTGGGACTGGCATGATTGTTATGGATAAAGGACAAGTGGCTGATGAGGATCGCTTTTATACCTGGAGCGCAGCAGAGCAGGTCCCTTGGTGTCGTCATAGCCTCGGCGCTAAAATTCTTTGGCTGTGTCGTCGGATTTCATTAAAGTATTTATGTCAACAGAAAAGAAAGATCCAGTAAAATGACTATAAGTAAGCACGCCAGAATGGCTATAGCACAACGTCTGCGAACGGTCGACGTCTTACACAACAATCTTCTTCGCCTTGCCTTTCTTCTCCGAATCTTTGTGGGACAGGAACTCTACTTCCGTCGCTAAAGGCGCAGCCAGCTTTTGGCCTTCAGCATAGCCCAACACCTGCAGTTTGAAATGTCGTCCAATTTGTTCGATCCGCTTCCGCAGTGGGTCATCCTCTGCCTGCGACGGAGCAACACGAGTCCAAATGGAAACACGGTAGAACTGGGGTCGCGTAGACACGATTACACCTGTAATAACTGGTTCTGGGGGCGACCCAGCAAGATCAGCTTTGGTGAGCTCGGGATCAAACGTTTCTCCGATCGCTGCCAGCATCTGAGACACAGTGTAGAAGTAAGTGGCGAGAACTCGACGGTATAGAGGAAACCAACCGTATAAAGCCACATCTTGTCTATATTGCTTCTATTCTTGTCTTTGGGGAGCTGGATGCTCCACTTCCCACCATTTTTGTTAGCTTCGTCTTCCCAAGCCGGGATGATCCCTTCCTACAGTGAAATGTGAGCATACCGTAATGGATTAACACAGCTGTCTTACTTTGAATAAATAGTAGTTGGCCTTCTGCGGTAGTTGAGAAGGTGGCACAATGTTGTTGTAGAGCCTAGCAACAAATAAGAGATCGACATCAGTCACAGCTGACAAGGGAAGCGATCTGTAGCTACCCCCAGAACTCCTCCACACTGTCGAAGGTAATGACTCGTTTGATGTCCTCCATCCATCCTTGGGCAGCGGCAGCACCAGGGGTATTAGGAGCAGGAGTTTGTGGGAAGGCGGAAATGGGGGTCTGGGGCAGGTTACGCCCCTTCGTAGCAGGTGAATCAAACCACAGAGTCCAGGCAGAGTACAACGGATGCTAAACCGAGTATGAGTCAGATAAGCGTCCGGCAGCTCCGAGTAAGCGAGAAAAATAGATACCTTGACATTGAAATGGGTAGGATCGCTGAAGACGGTACGAAGGCCGTCTGCCTGAGCTTGCATGTCTACCTCTTGAACTTCGCCATCCTCGTCATCGTTAGAGGGCACACCGGGGTGATCGGAGAGGGCTGAAGAGAGCGCAGCTCTCGAGGCTTGGAGCGCTGGACCAGTCAGCTGAGAGGCAACGGCGGTCATTACGATGAAAGGATAGTAATGTGATGTTCCGGGGATAGCTGGGTATTTCGGTGAGGTGCAGCCAAAAGAAATAAAGAACCGTGATCGATGTTTGAAGAGAAAAGCAGAGGGCAGAAAATCTGGCGCAAGTTTTGGTGAGACGGGTGAGTAAGTGAATGAGGAGTGAGTGAAAGTGTATGATTTGCTATTGACTTTTGGAACGGTGAGAAACTCAAATCCTGCCATGTGGCATTTTCAGCGTCCGCCCCTGCCGAAAATTATCTGATAAGATCCTGACTGACGCACTTCCTTCCGCACCGCCCAAGTCTCCCGGTTCCCTCGCCTCCCTCGGGACAAAAGCCCTCAGAATGGATCCCTTCCGGGCAAAGCTCGTCGCAGCGGCGACAGGCTCTACACTGACCGCCCTTACCAGTATGTGGAGAGTCACGGCGTACCATACGGCATCCCTAACTCACGAATCATATTTTAGTGACTCCTTTCGACGTGGTTAAAACGCGACTGCAGACGCAACCCGTCCGTCCACCACCTCTATTTCCTGTACCGCCTTCAAACATATGTTGCCAGCCGGGCAGCGTCACCTGCGTACGGAACATGTCGTCTCTGGCTCGGCCATTGAGTCAAGCCGGCGAAGAGCTCGTATGTATATGGGATCATGGAGTCTTCAAAACAGAACGTGTCAATGGGTTCTTCGATGCTGTACAGCATGTTTGGAGGGCGGAAGGTATGAGAGGATTGTGGAAAGGCGCGGGCACGACGCTGTGAGTGCAATGTGTGAATTCCACGCACGCAGGCCGCTAATTTTACCCGGCAGAGTAATAGGCGTGCCTTCGTCAACATGTTACATGCTGACTTACGACCATCTCCTTCGCAATGTCATCCCTCAGCTAATGCCGTATCCCCTGCTCGTCCCCCTCACTGCGGGCATTGTCGCACGCTCCACTATCTCCTCAATAACCTCGCCGCTGGAACTCATCCGGACCAACCTTCAATCCACACCACTATCACCCGGAACCCCACATACACTGCGCTCCGTTCTAACATCTACACGCTCCCTCGTTAAAAGTCAAGGCGTGCTTTCGCTTTGGAGAGGGCTTGGCCCGACGCTTTGGCGAGACGTTCCGTTCTCAGGGATCTACTGGGCGAGCTACGAATCTTGGAAGGGTGTCTTTGCTCGGCGGCAGAAGGAGGGCGCACTGATAGCGTTCATTTGCGGAGCTGTGAGCGGCACAACAGCGGCACTGATAACTTCACCCTTCGATGTCTTGAAGACTCGACGGCAGGCCTTCGTCATGTCCGGAGCATCTTCGTCAATAACGGGGACTATTCCGCTGACAACGGAGATTTTACGCACCGAAGGCGTCTCAGCCCTGTTCGCTGGTTTACTTCCTCGAATAGTGAAGATTGCACCTGCATGCGGCATAATGATAGCGTCCTTCGAGGTGATACTCTTTTCAGCCAATCTAAATGCATCGTTGTACTCAATCATACTTACCAGGGCGTTGGAAAATTCTTGGCTAACTAAAAACGCATCATCACACAATTATCCCTACTCATCGTTAGACCCGATATTACGACACAATGGAAATAGTACTATTAATGTTCATATAATGATGCATACACCGCAATCTAAATGCATAGATCCAACTTCCATCGGACAGGCGAGGCTACCTAAGTTTGTTCATCTGCTTGTTAGCAGCCGACATCTTCCCGCCAACGCGGTCTACCTCGTTGTTGAGATCGGCTAACATGTCGATTTGAAGAGCTATTTCACTCCCAATAGCTTCACCAAGATGTCTTTGTCGCTGGAGGATCGTAGTGAGCTGCGAGAGTTGTTGATCTTGGCCTTGTATCTGGTTTTGTTGCAGCTGCAATAGACCATGGTCGTCCAGCGGACGTGTTTGAGCTGTTTCCTGTGCTGGCTGCTTCGCCGCAGCACCAAACACCCGGCTGAATGGACGTGATGTGCTGGTAGAACCGAGAAGGGCCTCCCTCTCCGACTCCGGCGCAGGATTCAACGCCGAAAGCCCTCCGGTAGCAGCTGCGCTAGCACGAGAAGCCGAGGACATCTTCGCGATGCTAACCATCTTCCCCAGCTTCTCGCAGTCATCCTGTAACCGTGATACCATATCCGTCCGCCTCTGCAGCTCCCCCTCACTCAGACCTGACTTGGCCAACTCCTCCAGCCCCATAGCAAGTGCGCCTATGCGGGTAAGCACACCGGCGAGCTTCTTCTTCGCGTTGACGTTGGACTTGTGCGCAGCTACGACGTCGGCGCGGTCAGCCAGTGCGTCTCGTTTGTTGATGTCGGCGCGGATGTCGCGGATGGAGTTCTGGAGCTCGATGTGTTCATCCAGCCAAGAAGACGAGGAGAACTGAGTTATCGGGCCCCCATTGGTGCCACCTTGCCGACCTATTGGCACCCCCAGGAAGTCTTTGAAGGCGAACGAATCCCGCCACTTTTCATCCTTCGCGCTGACTATTGCTCGCAGGTACGACTCGAGGCCCAGTCGACGTTCCTCGAGTAGTTTCTCGTTGTTGTGCGATCGGAATAAAGCGAACTTATGCTTGGGAGGTAGAGGGTTGGGCGGTGGAGAGCCAGTGGACTTTGTGAGTTCCGTGTGCAGATCGTCGAACTCGGAGTATCTCCTCCACATATTCCACGACCGCACATGTGCTTGAATCTCTATTCTATACACGACATGTATTTTGGGTTCCGTGCGTTCTTCGTAGCCTCGGATGTAGATGGCTTGTATAGCAGACATGAAAGTACAGGAATAAGCAAGGATCGGAGCCGGGCTACGTACTGGTGTAATAATTAATCTAATCTAATCTGCACGAGCGCCTGACACGATCACGAACCTTGCGCCTAGTCCAACATAGCAAGAGAAAATATGAACGGATAGCCACCATGCAAACCCTCTCGGGCTCAAGAACCCCATGAAACCAGGAAATACGTCCTCTGAGATATCCTCCATCTTGACATCCACGTAGCCTATCTCTTCCATAACACGAATGTAGTCCGTTGTGGAGATAATGTTCTCGCCGGGCATGAAATGCGCTGCTTTGATGAGGAGTCGGTTTGTACGACTGGATAGCGCCTCGGGAGAGAAGCAAATATCGGTAAGTGCTATACGCCTTCCTTTGGTCAATTTACGGAGGCTTTGAGACAGGAAGGCACGCCTGCTGTGGAAATGATAAGCACAGTCCAATGCCAGGATGGTATCGAAGGTCGTGGACACTTTTGGGTCGAGGGGGTGCTTATAAGCGACTGGGCTAAATACAGCGTCTCCGTGGTACAAGGTGACAACGGAAGCTGATTCAGATTTTTGCGTTTGCGACGCTTGCAAGGCATGTACACGATCGGACGACCTCTTGTGGTGGCTAAAGAGGCTGGTAATGCCGGTAACCGTGGCAGGGCGGGGAATATGAGGGCAAGACAGAAGGAATATGAGTGATTCCCCAGTACCATGTCCGACGTCTAGTACAAACGGTCAACGCTAACAATATCAGCAAACGACGGGAATACGTACCCAGCACTCTGTCTCCCTCTCGGTAGCCAGCAGCTAACGTGAGTTTCAGAGCCAATGCTAGAGCCTGGGGTGAGTCGAGTTGATTCGCAGAAATGCGCAACACCGACCTTCACATGCTTCTGGGAAAACCTTAGCATTCTATGTGGGGGTCTGCTCGTGAGTACAACTCTCGTTGGTAGCTTCGACAACAAACCCTCCAGAAACCCATGTTCAACCATTCAGTTCTCGGCGGCTCGTCGCCGATTTGGTTCAATGATAGATGGAATAGATCATATGGGTCCTTGGAGGTCTTGTATAACCAGTAAAAGAGACCTAAGACAGGCAGGAGGATGCTAACAAGTGTCCAGGTATACATCGAAAGCGCCGCAATGAGAGGAAGAAGATACGGTAGTGGCCTGTATTGGCCTGGGAACTGTTTGGCCCTCGCTGTCGAGTTTATGTCGGTCTCAAGATGATGATAGTATCAGAAAGGATCACTATGATGGAGGCGTGGTTGACTATACCTGCTTGGTGTATAATGACCCTCTTCTAGTTTGGCCTTCATGCTATCCATGAGCTCCCCATGGGAAGCCTTGAGTGTTCTGGTGATCATCGGCATGTTGAGGAAGAATGCCTTCGATGAAACAGAGTAAGAAGCATCCAAGAATAACAAGTAGACAAGAACAGCTCACCTCAACAGTGGTCTCCTCACTGACTTCGGTTTTGCCTGGCTCATCGCTCACGGGACGGGCTCTCCACTTCGACCATAGTCGCGTTCCCAGACCGGCCTGCGTTTCTGTGTCCACGCCATCATCGCGGATGGAAAAATCGCATGTATAGGATATTACTGTCTTGAAGAAGCCGAGGAGCGAAAGTCGGTCGCGTATGGTATAGTGGTTTGGCTTTGCGGGTTCCGCGCTCCAACCAATGACGAGGGGATTCAGGGTGATGAGAAACACCGGGTCTTGGATTGCCTTCAATGCCTCCTCCGAGGGCACGTTCAGCACTCGCGAAGCGGACACCGTGAACTTGAGGAAAAATGGCCACATGCTGAATTGAACGTTGGAAGACGGAGAGCGCTCAGTTGAAACTCGGGAATAGGTAAAACACTCCTGGAACTTGTCCTAAAGGTGAAGAATACACATAAGTCTAGATATACAGCTACATGCCGAAGTACATGATGAGGATCCGTTTATATTATCCAATTAAGGTGCTGGAGCAGGTGTATCAGGTTTCTGTGGAGGCTCTTCCTCTTGTTCGATGGCGTCGCCAATTGCAACTGCGCCAATGACATATCTCAAGACATCACTTAGAGTGATAATGCCTAGAAGCCGGCCTTTCTTGCCGCCTCGCTTTTCTTCCTCCTGGGTAATCGAAAGTAAGTACATGGAAAGAATAGGGAACAGACACTGCTTACATCTCCTTCGACGACAACCAGCCGATGGACGCGTCTCTTCTTGATGAGTTCTAGAAGAGTGCCCAATGAGTCGGAAGCAGTGCAAATGATGACACCAGGGAAGTCGGGCGAGCGTTTGGCGAGGGCTTCAGAAATGGTGAGATCCAGGGATTGGTAGGCTCCAAGACGGACAAGAGTCTACGCGATCATTGTTAGCCCTCGTGTTCAGAGGATACCACATTGATGGCTGACTTACGATAACATCAACGGTCTCGTACATATTAAGGACGACCCCATCATCGTCGATTACAGGGACCGCAGAGATAGAGCGTTCCGAGAACATGTGCACGACGTCAAACACGGTTGTGCTCAACTTCGCGGTGGCGATAGGGTGGTATGGATTATCCGAACCAGCGGAGTCACGCGAAACATAGGTGCCTATTTTAAGTTTGCGAAGAGACAGATTGAGTTGCTGAATTTCTTTGATACACTATGGTGACTTGAGTGTGAAACATCGATCAGAGACAAAAAGCCTACGTTGATAGATATGAATTTGAGGAGGCGATATTGCGTGAGCACGGAAACGATGACTTCATGGCCAGTATCTGTGTCATTGTCAAGAAGGGGTAGCCGCCGCGCGTGTGTCTGTATCAGTAACTTGGCGGCATCGTAGAGGGAGCTTGCAGGGTGTTCTCTATGCAGTGGAGGAGTAGCTACGCCTAACTCCTTCTCGATGTCTGCGGAGAATCTTTATCAGAGGTCTGTAATTCAGTTATAGTGGCGTACCTCGCAACGATTCTAGTCTAAAGGTTTCCACATCTGCCGCGGCCGTAGCCCAGTTTGCCGTGTGATAGTAGTACTGGATCAGATGGATGATGTCTAGGACTGTGAGCATGCCGGCAAAGGTTGATGTATCGCTGTTCCACAAGGGGGCTGAGACGACACCTAAGAAGAGGAGTTAATTAGTGGATGTACATTGGGGTGAATATGCCATACCGTTGAGAAGTAGGCACTGTAAAGCTTTCTTGACATTGAGCTTTGTATCAAGCACGATGAGCCTGAAGCTGACAGGGAAAGCATCATAATTTGTTCGACTTTTGAGGAAAGTCCGGATAGCGGTAAGGGCTTGATCGTGAGACTCCTGAGACTGGTACGGTGGGAGATGGGATATCCCGCGACGACGGGTTGAAAGTTTTCGCTTGGATGTCGACGTCGGGGAGAGAGCTGAGCTCATCACTGTAACAATATGAAATAGACTAACTGCTTAATTATCACTTTACAGCTCGCTGATCACTTCACTACTTTCCCACGGTCAATAAACTATCCCTCGGAAATCTCCGTTCGGCGTGATGGCCATCCTTTTACGCACACCGCAGAGTTGATCACAGCTCTCGAGTTCATTACTACCATCATCTTCATTGCTTACATGGCACAGGCCGTGGCGGCCCAACGACTCGACGATTTCCTGGAGCACTCTCCAGACGCACACATCATGCGAGATATGCTGGCCCACATCTCTGAAGCAGCCCAGACTCACGCCCAGGAGCCTCCACCGTCTGCTCCCCAAGATGCACTACTCGTCCTGCTACCGCTACTCATCGTTTTATCGACATTCTTATTCCTCTTATTGCTCTTCCTCGTATGCGTACTGCTCATGCGCCGGCGACGGGGTATCATGTTGCGTGAGCATGATGGCCCTGTCGACATGAGCAGGGAAGAGCTCGTAGAAGGCGAGGGCGGGTTCGAGGGCGTTGAATCACGCTGGTTGGAAAACGTTGGCGAGTCAGTCCGCAGAGAATACCTACGAGCCAAGGGTAAGTCGCCTGGGGTGATGTTTATGTGATTCTGACACACAACGACCAATCACAGAGCACCAGCTGCAGTACGCCCCGAATTCCCTTCCGACAGATATCACATTATCGCAATTTCTATCAATTCAAGAGAAAGGTGTTTCTGCTTGGTGTTTCGAACCCGACTTCGATACGCTCAATTCGTTGCTCGTGCATGCGCGTACCGAGATAACATTCCTGCCTGATCCAGCAAGCTCGTCTTGTGTTCAGTCAAATCTCCCTCTGCCAAAGCTGAACGAGGTTTACTACTGGGAAGTCAAGATGTTTGATCTTCCAGTAACCACAAATGTCGCAATCGGCCTAGCTACGAAACCTTATCCCACATTCCGACTTCCAGGCTGGAATCGTTACTCAGTTGCCTATCACTCCAATGGTGACAAATCCCACAACTATCCATTCACAGCGACTTCGTTCGGCCCGCAACTCAAGGAAGGCGACGTTCTTGGCGTTGGTTATCGCCCAAGGACGGGCACGGTGTTCTTCACCAGGAATGGGCGAAAGACGGAGGATGCGTTCGTTGGCCTCAGCAGATGGAATCTGTTCCCAACGATAGGCGCTGATGGGCCTTGCAGTGTTCATGTCAACCTGGGCCAATCAGGGTTTGTGTTTATCGAAGCCAACGTTAAGAAGTGGGGACTTGCGCCTAGCGTGGGAACACTAGCACCGCCGCCTGCGTATGGCAGCGAGCGCGGCAGCATTCTTTTGGACGTGGGCGGGGGTGTTCGACCCTCAGGCGAATCTTTACATAGTAGTCCTGGAACGGCAATTTCCCCGCCGCCCCGCCGGTCACATCGCTCTCGACTCGCACGTCGACCGCAGACGACCGTTCCTGCTGCTTCTTCGCCTCTCCGTACATCCGATATACCTCACACACCTCTCACACCACCGCCGCCTATCACGCCGATAGAAGAGGATCCTGATGAGGCCCAACCTGGACCCTCCAACTCCCGATATATATCCCCATCCGACCTCTCTTTCCACGCCCCTCCAAGCACTAATCTACCGCCCTCTCCTGGAGGTGGCCCTCATGAATTGGATGAAACGCGTAGCACCCGAACTTCGCCGATGTCATCGACGCGGTCCTTATCCCCTGACGCTTCAGGTGCGAGTCGTCCATCTTCATTTTCCGCCCCTCGGCGTCGACAACACTCGTTTACTCACATGATCGCCTCGTTAAATCCATCCTCAGACGCGGAGCAAACGGTTCAGGTACATCTACCTCCCGAATCTCCAATGAGCCCGAACCCGCCAACACCTAATCATCGTGACATCCACCTGCAGGCCCTCTCACGTCCACGCAATAGCGATGAGCGTAATCATGACGAGCTCATACCTCCCGATACGATGTCCAGAAGAGACCCTCCCGCGTACTCTCCCCTCGATGCGTATACCTATTCGGAGGGTGTTCACATCGACCTCCCCGCCGAGGTTATCGCGGCGGCTCTAGAGGGAAACTCTTTGCCCGCAAGTATTATTGGACAAGGAACTTCGCGCTCGGATCGTCGTAGTAGGAGGAGATAAGGATTCATCGCCTGGCAACGTATCTATTCGTTTGTATATTGTGTATTGTGAGCTGCAGGTTTCTTTATGACTGTCCCATCTATAGTAGCATCAAGCAAGTACCCCACCACCCCACTGTGTTTGTAGTAAACCTTTTTAGACTTGTAGTCTCCTGCCTTTAGTACCGACGTATATTTCGGAGGCTTTCATGGACTATCGGAATTCTCATGGCATCTCACTGACATCCTTAATGACTGATGATGCTTGAATTAAGAAATGGAAGGAACGCCAACGCTGTCTCAAATTTAAGGCGCAGGTGTCGCTATACGTACAATTTATTTCTACCGTTAACATTCCGACTGCATTGATCTAAGGTTCCAATCGCTTGGGGTCTCTTGGGAACATCGAGGCCCGCCTGATGTTGTTCAACTTCAGGAAGAGCATGAGAACACGTTCCAGGCCGATACCTCCTCCACCATGAGGAGGGCATCCCAAGCGGAAAGCATCGACGTAAGATTTCATCGAATCCGGGTCAACACCCTTCTCGCGCATTTTTTCACAGAGGAAGGCGGAGTCGTGGATACGCTGAGCCCCAGAGAGGATTTCTTCACCTCGCATGAAGAAATCGTAGGAGTTGGACAATGTCTTCATTCACAAGTTAGACAAGTGAAGATAAAGATAAAATAGCACTTACTGGGTCATCAGGGTCCGGCATCGTATAGAACGGACGAAGAGCCATAGGGAATTTGTCGATAATATAATAATCAGTGTCGTACTTAGCCTTGATTATGCGGCCAAGCCGCTTCTCGTTCTCGGTACTTGGTGGCCCGTTAACTAACCAATCGTAATACAGAACTATGGGCTTACTCGATATCATCTTGAGGTCCTCGTTCAACGCCGTCGGCAACGAGGAGATCGTTAGCTTCCTTAAAGGTTATCTTGAGTGTTCCTTCTGGCCCCTCACGCCATTTGAACTCATCAGCTGGGAACTGCTTCCTGACGATGTCGATCTCCTTGCTATACTTCTCCTTCAGACCCCGGAAAATGGCCAGGAATACGCTATCCAACAATTCCATGACTTCGTGATAGTGCTCTTCTATCGTCATTTCCAGATCGAGGCCCATGAATTCGGTCATATGACGATGGGTACGGGAGTTCTCTGCACGGAAAACAGGGCCGATTTCGTATACACGCTCAAAGTCAGCAGCGATAGCCATTTGCTTGGCTAGCTGAGGCGACTGGGCAAGGAACGCGTTCCCTTTGAAATAGCCGACTTTGAATACAGACGCGCCAGACTCGGTGGCCGCGCCCTGGAGCTTAGGACTGTGGATTTCGATGAAACCGTTATGGTGGAGATGCTGGCGGAATAGTTCTCCGATGGCAGCCTGAAGCCTGAAGACGGCCTGGCTTGTTTGGGTCTAAGAACATGATTAGTGAGGAAACTGAAGGCGGATATAGTGCATGAAGGGCTTACGCGAAGATCGATGACTCGATTGTCTAAACGAGTCTTGAGCAGTACGCGATTGAATTGGGGTTGAGCAGGGTCTTGCGTAGCTTGCGCGTCTTCCTGCTTCTCATCATCCTCGTCCTCGGGTTCATCGCCGGTCGTAATAGGACGCGTAGCATCTTCAATGGTAAACGGAAGGCGCGCCTCTAACCCAGAAATGAGATAGAGCTATAACTGCACGTTGGTATGACTAAGTGGCTTTATTCAGAGAGATAGTACCTTGGAGACGTGGATCTCCACGTCGCTTACACTTGCGCTCTTGATTGGTTCTGGCGCCTTGGCCACGACCCCTTCCACCAAAACGATGCTTTCATCGGAGAGGCCAGCTGCCCATTTGACCATCTGCTTAGAGACTTTCTCCGGAGCGACGACAAGCAACGCCTGAACGGAATCGGTTCGCTGGCGAAGGTTCAAGAAGACCATCTTGCTCCCTTGAGCACGAGATGTCTGCACTCGGGCTCGTAGCAGGACCTGCTCCCCATCTCGATCAGCAGACAAGGTGGAAATTTGGATGCGCGTTTGATTCGTTCGCGTTTGAGACTGATTGAGTGGAAGTTTTCCATACAGTTCTGCAGCAAAATCCTAAAGACAATTTAATCGGGTCGGACTAGGAAGTAGATAATGCAATAACGTACAACTTCGGCTGCTTGTTTCTGGGCATCGAGCTCCTTTTGCTTAGCAGCTTTCTCTGCGGCCTTCTTCTCCTTTTCGGCTTGCTTCGCCCTCTTCTTGAGCTCGCTTTTGGTTGGGCCGGCTTGACCTTCCGCGTCGACAGCTTGAGCTACCCTATAGATATAAGTAAGATAGGAGTCGAGATCGCATCAATAGAAAGCCTACGGCTCAGCTACGGTAGGATTGTTGTCCGACATTGTAGTTTGGTCAGGTTCTGTGAAGCTTCTAATCTACAGGCAGGGCGAGTGAGTCAAGACGATGATAGTCAATTGCCAAACTCTATACAGATCGATAACTTAAGAGTACCTTGATCACGGCGAAACCCTACCGTAGGGTTAGGAGTAAATCGGTCTGGCGCTCTCGGCTTTCCGGCGAAGGTACTTAAATCCACTGCGTTCAAAGTTTAAACCACCTCACCTTACCTCCACCTCAGCACACTCCCCCGTTACACGTTCTTTCCTCACCATGCTTGCCTCGACATTGGCCCGACGCACCGCCTTTGAAGTTAGCGGAAAGGCACTGAGAGCAGTGTCTACTTGGTCAGCTGTTCCAGCCGGTCCTCCCGATCCCATTCTCGGTAAGAAGAATTGTGTCTAAAATTCGATTTCGGTGTTCTCATTGCCTCCGGAAACCTTTGGGCCGTGTTTTTATTGGATTGCATCGTTGCTTTACGTATTGCCAGGCGTCACCGAGGCCTTTAAAGCGGACAAGGACTCCCGCAAAATCAACCTTGGTGTTGGTGCTTACCGCGACGAGCATGGCAAGCCTTACGTTTTGACCAGTGTCAAGAAGGTACGTTGCCTTTTCCGGATCCATTGGGTACTCACTGAGCGAGTGCGATAACTAGGCTGAGCAAATCTTGACCGCGTCCAATCCTGACAAGGAGTACCTTCCTATTACCGGTCTCCCCGAATTCACGAAGGCTGCGGCTAAGCTCGCGTATGGCTCAGAGAGCGTGCCGCTCCAAGAGGGCTCCGTAAGTTTCCTGCCTCGATTTTCCCGTTTAGTTTCTTACGCTATACTTGCAGATCGCCGTCACCCAGTCCATCTCGGGAACTGGTGCTCTCCGCATCGGAGGTGCTTTCCTTGCTCGTCACTATCCTCATTCAAAAGTTATCTATCTTCCCGTACCTTCCTGGGGCAACCATACTCCCATCTTCCGGGACTCCGGCCTCGAGGTTCGTGGTTACAGGTATTTCGACAAGAAAACCGTCGGCTTGGACTTTGAAGGCCTTAAGGCGGATTTGAAGGTTTGTACGCGATCTAAGTCCGACGTTTGTGGTAACTGAACTCGCGCTTGTGGCATCCTTAGGCGGCTCCAGAGCAATCCATTATTCTTTTGCACGCTTGCGCCCACAATCCCACCGGTGTCGACCCCACGCCTGAACAATGGGCTCAGATTTCTGACATCGTCAAGGAGAAGAAATTATTCCCCTTCTTTGACATGGCATACCAAGGCTTTGCGTCCGGCTCTACGACGCGCGATGCATTCGCTGTGCGCCACTTCGTTTCCCAAGGCCACCAAGTTGCTCTCGCCCAATCCTTCGCCAAAAACATGGGTCTCTATGGCGAGCGTGTGGGTGCCTTCTCGCTGACTACTAGCGACGCGGCCGAACGCGCTCGCGTAGACAGCCAGTTGAAGATTGTCATTCGACCAATGTACTCCAACCCTCCTCTGCACGGTGCTCGCATTGCTAGCACCATCCTGGGAAACCAAGAACTCTACGCTGAATGGGAAGGCGAGGTCAAGGCCATGGCCGACCGCATCATCGGCATGCGAGAGAAACTCTACAACACCCTCACCTCTGACTTGAAAACCCCTGGAGAGTGGGGACACATCAAGAGTCAGATTGGCATGTTCAGGTGACGCTCCCTGATTGCTCTTTAGTGATAATAGCATACTGAGTTGAGATGATGCCATAGTTTCACTGGACTTTCGCCTCCTCAAACGAAAGCGTTGGCTGAGAAGGCCCACGTATACATGACCGCTGATGGCCGTATTTCCATGGCTGGATTGAACAGCGGTAACATCGAATACTTTGCGCAGAGTGTAGATGCTGCTGTGAGGGGAAACCTTTAGAGCCGTCCTTATATCCAATAGATACGTTTTAGATTTCTCCCCGTGCTCTGTTCCTGATAAGGGGTTATCTGCTTGGACTAAAGTGGTAATAAATAATCCAAAAACGGAATTGGAATTCAAATTGAAATCCCTAGAGGCTTTGGATTGAAACTCGCCTTTCCTCTCTTTCTTTCGCTCATCCATGTCCTCTCTCCAGATCCCCCTTCCCGTCTCATTCCCTCGCGCTCCCTCCCCCGCTCCCGCCATCCCGGGGGCCTGGCCTACCACTCCCCATAATCGCTTCGCTGCGGACAGCTCATTTTCTATGTCCATCTCCAGCAGCACCTCTCGCAGCCTTGCTGAAGCGCAATCGTCAGACTCGGTTCAGACCAGCGACAGCACACTGGCACCTGAAGACGAATCGCCGCTGTGGTCCAAGGTGAGTATGCCGAGGCACATCCTACCCCAACCCAGTGCCTAGCAAATTACGCATGTAGTTCGATACTAGCAGCACTCTTGCTTCGTCCGCGGTGAGTGCCTTAATCGTTCTCACCAGTCCGAACCTAAAATTTGACTATATTGAAGACCAATTCAAGCCAGGGCCCACTATTTCGCCACGATCACAAGAAAGAAAGCCTGCAAGTTTCACCGTTCACTCCAGTCAAATGCACCGCAGCCGTGGCACAAGGCGGCGACTTCAGCGAGGTTCAAATGGTGCGCATATACGCATATATTCTTGAACTTGATCATCGTACTCAACCTTAAAGTAGACTTCGTCGCCTTCCATACGTTATCGAAGCAGTCCTCCCAAGAGAATTTCCATCCCACCATCGTTGGAGCTCTCCCGTCTGTCCCCAAACGAGTTTGCGTCGACTAGAAACTGTACCACAACTTCCCAGTCTCAAGCTTCACCTACATCAGTACCCTCTCCTACGACGCCAGTCACTCCCACCTCGCCAATGATTTTTGCATCCCCTCCCTCCCAACAGGCCTACCCATTTTCATCTCCAGAACAAAATCTTGACACCACTTGCTCGTCGTCGTATGAGGACCACTCTTTGGACACCTCTTACGGTAGCGAAATCATCGACGGGACGATTGCCTCTCTGGCTCGGCGAATAGACCGCCCGCCGCTGTCCATAGAGACTAACGAAAGTGACAATCTGATCTCCGACGTCGAATACGATGCATCTACCGAAGCGCGTACCAGAGATCTCTCTTCGAGCCCAGATACATCAGATCATGTCCCATTGGCTCACACCTTGGGCAATACCGTTCCGACCGATGTCGGGAGTACGGACAGGTCGTTAAGATCGTCGCTTGAGCTTCGTTCCCAAGAAGCCCCTGCACAGCAATGGACACTTTCCTTGTCTGCGGCATCCTTGGGCTATTCTGACTCAGAAGCTTTCGCCGCCGCAAGGTCACCTAACTACGGGACTATGTCCTTGTCCCCAGCATCTTCATACGGCGTCGAAATCGACACAGATGCCCTCGCGGCCGGTCATGCAATCATCTTGCCAAGGCAGAATTTCTCCCCAACTTCCTCTTCCTTCTCCTCCCCAATCATTGAGCATCGCGTGGCCCTGACGGAAGCCAATGTCTTGGGTTTGTCAGAAGCAAGCTCGAGTGAATTACGGGACACAGGTGCGGCTGAGTATGCAGCTGCAGTTGTATCGTCAGCTTGGGGTTCGGATGGTCACGACGGCTCAGGTCATTCATCAGCCTTGGGCTTGCACCTGGACGCGCGCGACACAACGCTGCATAGGGTACAGGAAGATGGTCTGAGAGCCCACGATGCAGTCGAAACGGAAGAAAGTGGTGTCTCGTCGGTACGTATCACAGATCTAGTAGACATCGAGTTTCATGCACCGCCAAAACGAGGGGTGCTGCAGAAAGTCATCAATTACGGTGCCCAGATGAAGAACTTCTTGACGACCAAGAAAAAGAAAGTACAAGGCGGTAGACATTCTTTCCACCATGAGGACCATTATGTTCCCTCATTGTGGCAAGAACCTTTGGCCCAACGTTCCCCTGCTCCCCGCGATTCAGAAGCAATAAGGGATGACAGAAACGTCGTACCACTTCCTAATATCGAAGAGTCCTCCTCACACATCAACATGCATATTCCCCCTCCTTTGATTCCTCCGGGATTGCATGTGAGTCCTCGTTTTTTGGTATTTGTTGGTGTTCACTGACTAACAGCCGCTGGTCCAGTCTCCTTCTTCCAACAAGAGAAAGACTGGTGCGACATATGGTTCACCCAGACCCAGTGTCCGCGCACAAACCGTGGCTTTACCTCCTCCTGTAATCAGAGTCAGCTCGCCTTCCCCCTCGGAATCAGTTCCCCCCGTTAACTTGGAAGTACGACGGAGAAGACGCCAACGCCCTTCATCAACCATTCATCGCCTTTCGTTCATGTCATTGTCACGCACGCAGGCGCGCCCGCCCTCTAGTGCACAACCTTCCTTCTCGACTAGGCGTCCTAGCGATGATGGGTCCAGTACCAACGTAAGGACCTCCGACATAGGCAGTGCTCCAAGGAGGTTCAGCTACGCCGACACCAGACCAGATGTCAACCCATCCTTCCTGCACCCTTCCAGAGCCAGCATGTCCAGGTCATATACTACGTCCATGGCGCCAGTGGAGAACCTACCCTCTATCACTCCAAGCAGACAGAGCGGACGCCGTCGTTTTTCACTGTCTACCGTATCAAGCCTTTTTCTGGGTCGCCAGCCTTCTTGACCATTGCCTACATTTGACGCCATAAAGCGCTCCTTTATCCTGCAAGTGCCCCGCGTTCATTACGGAATCTTCACCGCCTCAAGCCCTCGTCTTTCGCAGGCCAAACTTTCGAGAAGCCAAAGCAATTAGCGTAAGAATACATAGCGTAAAGACTTAAATATCTAGATCCTCGTCGGGATCGTCGTCGTCAATGTCGTCCGCGGAGTCCGGGTCATAGAAAATTGCAGCGCCTTGGATGGGATCGGGTTTGCCTTAGATTATACGCGATGATCAGCAAGCTCGTAGATAGGAATCAAGCTTATAACATACTTTCGTGCGCATACGGGAGAGGCACCTGCGCCCGGGATTGCTGCTGCGAAGGAGTGAGGTTCAAGTTGAAAGACACATTTTGAGTCGGATCGGGCGCAGACTAGCAGATAATATCAGTGCCGTAGAGTATGCTGGAGATAATAAACTGTGCCTGTTCTACGGTCTTCTTGGCTGCGTAGATCTTCTTCAGGCTGCTGAGTTCGCTCAGCTCGACATATATATTGTGCACCATACTCCATCCTTCAAGAAACCGTTCCACGCTGCGCCGTCGAGACGTACTCTTTCCCCCATACCGCACTAGAATCTGGACTATCATTTCCTCCTGGCTACCGGAGCCCCGTCCTTCCGGACCATAGACTAAGCGATCCGTTTCGGAGGCTCGTTCGCTGAAGGGAAGAAACACGCCCCAGAATTTGGGCTCTGGAGAGAGGGGGGGAGGTGGCGTTAAGTATTCCGTTGCAAGGTGGGTTAGGAGGACGGGTGGATAGACTGTAATATGAGTCAAGGACGGGGAAAAGGAGGATTGGACGAGGATGGGTTGCGGGGTGATGGTATGGATGATGAGGCGAGATGGACCTAGGACAAGAGAGCGTTCAACAAAGCCCCAGATAGACGGAGAAGTGTAGATGTACTTGGCCAGGATGCAACGATGGAGGCCAATTCACGGAGGAATTTGATTGTCTCTGCATCAGACCCGAAGTCGGAGGTGAGAGTGTCTACTGAGTCTATGACAATACTCAAAGCTCCTGCAGGAGCTGTCCACAGATCGAATGAGCTTTATGCATAGGTAGTATTACACCTGTTCACTGACCTTTCTCAATGGCAGCGATGATGGTTGTCCGTACATCTACATCATCTGTAGAGTATCCTGGTACACAATCCAAACAATCGTGCACTTGCACATCTTCGCGAGCACCTTCGACGAGATCAGAAGGGGGATACAGCAGGCAAAACAGTAACGTTGATGTCTGCGATTTCACCGCTAGCAACGATCTGAGAATTGGGAGAGCTGATTGACTGCTCGATGACTGAAAGAGCAGAAACTGTTGTTCTGGCTGAGATTTATGTAGAAGCGATCGAAGGGACATGATGATGCCAAGTCCGACGTGTGTATGTAACCGAAACTAAAGCGTCGACTGCCAAGTACTCCTGTCTAATGAATACAGCTCAACCTTCCAACGCAACACACCAATCCTTTTGATTTCTTTCACGACGCGGAAGCCCAATTTCTTATACGCCTTCTCAGCGTATGTCGACATGGAAGACCCGACTACCTCTATCCGTTCCAACTTGTCGTCCCCTTCAAAAGCAAACATGATGGCGTGTTTCAAAAGGTCTTCCTGAATTTCAGTAGGACGGTAGGGCTCGTCAACGAAGAAGTGGCGTATGGTCGCGACAGATGAAGTGCCCTTTTTACGCTTTTCCGAGGACTTTTGGGCAGGAGCAGTGTTCTGACTGTCCAGCGACGCGTCGAGGGCTAGAAGCCCGATAAACCGCTCACCGAATTCCAGCAACCAGAATCCAGATGAGGGCGACCGAGAGTAATACTCGGAAATATCGACTAAGTCGGCGCCTCGGATGGCCTCTTCCGCGTTAGCTTCGAAATATGGGCGATTATGCCTACAAGTTGTCTTGTAAGTTCTCCTGTGCCGAGCGAAATGATGTCCGTACTTACCAATCGATGTAAAATATGATAGGGAGCGCCATGCATGCAAAAGCAGGAAATGGCTGTAGGTAGCTCAATACCGTATCCGCCGGCCACCAGCCCATGTATTGGATGAACGCGCTCGACAGCCCCACCCATAAGCTAAGTGCCAACCAATGGGTCGAAGCTGGAATCCAAACGCAAGGATGAGCGACGTGCCCCCCCAATCAGCTAACCGCCCCCACCAGTATAGTTGGCCACCGCGAGCTTGCTCAAATTAGCCTTGCTAATGGCGAACTGGGCGAGCTTCAGGTCATCGGGCTGGAACTTGCGGATTCTTGCGTCGCTGTTCGCCATGGTCGCTGGTACAAAGGGTGACTGGTCGTGTTCGCATCGCCGACGTCTAGTAGGATTTGATGGTGTGAACCCTCTGCAGCCTACGCACGTTCGTAGAAGTTGGGCGCCTTAGGTTACCCCTAGACGCCCTCCTGTTCCCTCCTGTTTTCCCCTTTGCCTCCTATTTGCCTCCTCCGCCTCCGTGTACCCGATTTCCGGTTTAAGCGACAACCATCGGTTACATCGGTTCATACGGAGGGCAGTCACCAGGTCTGGGTCTATCCTCGATCTAGGCTCCTAAATGTGAGAGTATAAGAACTAGTTGATACTCTAGAATACTGCAGACCTCGAGCCCCCTCATCTACTATGTTGATCACCAAAGAGTTTCGCGACGTCCCTTCTCAACTCAACGGAGGAAAGCCAATCAGGATCTTCATCATTTCACCAGTCGTTCCAAACTACCCCCAAGCAAAGTTTCCAGGTTCATTTCACCTTCATCGCTTCACTGATCAAATGGACTGATCTCGACGTCTAGGCGTCGTTTGCTTCAGGTAATCGCTCTGATATGTGATCGTCTGTGCTAGAGTGTTAGCTAACTATCCCCAAGTGAGATCTACCAAGTTACCGGTCCTGTAGAACGATATGCTGGGCAGATCGCCAGCCAAGGATATGTTGTTGGTAAGTTCAGATCTAGTTGATCGAGTGATCATCTATGAAAGCTTATGGACTCCTGTTAGCGTGTCCTTCCGTCTACCATGAGTTTGAAGGCCCCGAAGCAATCCCTTACGATACGGAAGGTACGCTGTAGTAGATGCTCGCGTTCTACTGTATCACCCATCCCCACGGTTGTCTTCATCAAGGAACCGATCGAGGGAACAGGTACAAGGTAGAGTTTGTAACCTTGCAGGTTCGAACAACCATACTGAAATATCCGGCTATACTAGATAGAGAAAGAGATCGCGGGTTATGACGAGGTAGAGTGAACATACTTCTTGCAGGATAGTATTGCATCTGACAAGACGCACGCTAGGACTTGACTCTCACTGTTGACCTGCTGACTTCTCTCAGCAACTGCAACGGTCGCATCGCAGGTACGAGGATAATATCGAAGGTAGTAGCCCTCTTAATGACAGCTCGTCACGCCAGCAACTGGAATGTGCCTTGGAGGTCATCTTGTACGTCGTCTTCATTCTTCTTATCTACATCGCATGCTTACTGCTTGCACTTATGGTCCACCAGGCATTCCGGGTAAGCAACTCCAGCTACGTTAAAGTCCCAAATGGTCGCGTCAACTCATCGAACATTTAGGCCGCTTTCGATCCTCGCGTCCTTGCCTCCTTCTGTTTCTTCGCGACTGACATCCACAGCGCCACCTTGGGCAAGGGAAAACAAGACAACACCCTCATCAGAGTCCGGAACGGCGATCTAGAAGGCAAAGAAGTTGTGGTACGTTCTCCACGTTCTCTCTCCCCAAGCTAGAGTAGTAGTGTTGGGTATACTGAAGCAGTTGGGTTTTGTTCGTTCGAATAGATGATCTTCGGAAAACAAGACACGCATGTTCCCCGCGAAGGACGGGACCTCATTCGCAAAACCCTCGAGGACGCGAATGTCACAGCAACCGTGCGTCTACAGTCCTTCTCAAATTCAAACTGGCCCCGCTCAAATTTCACTGGTATTGCTAATTGCAGTTCATCGAGGTGCAAGCCCAGCACGCTTTCATTCGCGACGAAAGCTCCAAGGGCCGATGGGACGCCGCGTTGACTCGTTCTATGTTCACGTTCCTGCTGGAAGTGTTCGAAAGGACCGTCGGAAGGGACTTGGGCCCTCGAGTGGGCAACCAGGCAGAGCCCGAGCACGTCTGTTAGGTGGCTTGCTCTACAACCAACAATTTTTGTAGTAGTCGTTTTCACAACGAATGAAGATGAGTATATATGTGCAGTATGGAGAATTTCTGGACCGTGAACCCGACGTATTTTTAATGCGTTTGGTTTACCAATTTAGAAGACATCAAAGACCGGTAAGGTCGAGTAAAGCAGGCATCGATCACAGGCAATCACTACCATGTGTGCCATAATGGATACTAACTCCAAGTGAGCACTTCCAGCAGGGAACGCGGCGACTGGTCCTCTTATTAACTTGTTCACACCAGTCATAGCGGTACACTTATATTTCAACATCATACAAGGGCGTGACGCGAGGCACATGGCGCGCACCGCAAGTTTCGTATCGTGAATACAACATGACGAGAATGAAGGTGTGACGTGATGAGACAACATTGCGGTTATGGATACCAAGAAGGAAGGAAGAAATGTGCGAAAGAAGATGAGAAAATGATACAAATATTCTACATCTACGATTACTTCTTCTTGGTGGCCTTCTCCGCCGACTTCGTGACTACAAGGCAAAGTTAGTGAGAAGGAATAGCGACGAGTGGGGGAGCACATACGTTTGCCAGCCTTTTCGGTCTTGTCAACGGACTTGATAACACCAACAGCGACGGTCTGTCTCATGTCACGGACGGCGAAACGACCGAGCGGTGGGTACTCGCTGTACGCCTCAACACACATAGGCTTGCTCGGGACGAGCTTGACAATGCAGGCATCACCAGACTTGACGAATTTGGGGGAGGCTTCCATAACTTTTCCTGTTCGTCGATCGATCTTCTCGATGAGCTCGGCGAACTTGCAGGCAATGTGGGCAGTGTGGCAATCGAGGACGGGGGCGTAACCAGCACCAATTTGACCGGGGTGGTTGAGGACGATGACCTGGGCGTTGAAGGAGGCGGCTTCCTTGGCGGGGTCGTTCTTGGAGTCAGAAGCGACGTTACCACGACGAATATCCTTGACCGATACGTTCCTATAAATTCGATTAGACGAGGGACGAAATGAAATCGAATATTAGCACTTACTTGACGTTGAAGCCGACGTTGTCACCAGGGTTACCTTGCTCAAGTTGCTCGTGGTGCATTTCGACGGACTTGACTTCAGTGGTCACGTTGGAAGGAGCGAAGCTGACAACCATGCCGGCCTTGATGATACCAGTCTCAACACGGCCAACGGGCACTGTGCCGATACCACCGATCTTGTAGACATCCTGGAGAGGAAGACGGAGAGGCTTGTCGGAGGGGCGGACGGGGGGTTCGATGGCATCGATGGCATCGAGGAGGGTCTTGCCCTTGACGACACCGGCCTTGGTCTCCTTGGTCCAGCCCTTGTACCATGGCATGCTGGAAAACGGTAAGATCATTGCCTCTTTAGATCAATCATACGGATACTTACTTGGTGGACTCCTCCAACATGTTGTCACCGTGCCATCCTGAGATGGGAACGAAAGCAACGGCCTTAGGGTTGTAGCCGACCTTCTTGATGAAGTTGGAGGTTTCCTTGATGATTTCGTTGAATCGGTCTTCGCTCCACTGTGAAATTTTTCAGGATGCGGAGTCACAACTAGTAAATGCGAGTCACAAACCTTGGTGGTGTCCATCTTGTTGATGGCAACGATGAGTTGACGGACACCGAGGGTGAAGGCAAGGAGAGCGTGTTCACGGGTCTGGCCATCCTTGGAGATACCAGCTTCGAATTCACCAGTACCGGCGGCAATGATGAGGATAGCGCAATCGGCCTGGGAGGTACCGGTGATCATGTTCTTGATGAAATCACGATGGCCTGGGGCATCGATGACCTATGATAAAGGTCAAATCCTGCCCCGATCTTCGTAGAAACTGAGACCTACAGTGACGACGTATTTAGGGGTCTCGAACTTCCAGAGGGCGATATCGATGGTGATACCACGCTCACGCTCGGCCTTTAGCTTGTCAAGAACCCAGGCTAGATGGTTCATCAGTTTCAGCCCAGGAGTCGACAAATGAATTGTCTACTGACCATATTTGAAGGATCCCTTGCCAAGTTCAGCAGCTTCCTTCTCGAACTTCTCGATTGTTCGCTTATCGATACCACCGCACTTGTAGATCAAGTGACCAGTGGTGGTGGACTTGCCGGAGTCGACGTGTCCGATGACTGATAGATATTATCAGCGATCTTGAGATCGGCAGCATCTACTGAGTACATACCGACGACGTTAACGTGATTCTTCTCCTTTCCCATGTTTAATGGTTTCTGCGATGAGTGCAAGTCAGTAAAGACTCTCGATGAGAGATAATCGCCATGAAGCCCATCCCAGCGATGAAGATTAGATCCAGCGAAGCCGATGCGGGTCGGCTAGATTATCTGGGTGGGCGACGTCGACGACGACGAGTAGACTCACTTTGGGGTGTTAAAAAATGAAGTGAGGGAAAAGGTGGTGGTGGAGGGGAAGAAAGGTTGGAGGAAGGTGATACGAAGGTGTTTGGCCTAGTTATACGCCAGAAATCACCCAAAATTTTTTATCGATTGAGATCTGATCGATGATAAACGCACAGCGTGACTCCTACTCCTCCCAAATTCGGCTACCTCCGCACAGTGCAAAACATCTGCAGGCCCATCTGCAGGTTCCACCTTGACAACTTGTATGAAAAAATTGTAGCGTATTGTGCGTGAAATAAGATTACATGTGGTATGTGTACTCTACATACATCCTTTCCAATGCTGCATTGCATTTACATTGTTCGAAACATATTTCATGCCTCGCGCGCTGGCGATCACATGGCACAAGGACTGATGGGGTGTATCGTACCGTATCGTGGGCAAAGGGCTGAAATGTTGGAGATGTGAAGATGGGAAGTTAATTGTACAAAGCATAGATAAGTCAATACGCTCCGCGATGCGCACCACGATCAGTAAATCCGTGTTCTTGATTATCGATAAACGACGATGGAGAATTAGATGCGATGCGTGTAATTTGTTGTAGCCTCGTTTGCATATCGTTTGCGGGTGTAGGGTAGTAATGTTGACATCCGTGGCACCTAAGCCATGCCCCAGCCACCGTTGCCGTTTAAAAAGCGACACTGAAGGATTCTTTCGAAGCTGGGTCGAGCAGCAACATCGATGCGAAGGCATGCTCTGACTAGGGCCGCAGCGTCCCCAAGAGCCCCGCCACCGTCAGGTTCTTCACCCTCGGTCTCTTTCTCTGCACATCTGTCATCCAGTGATATAGAAGCATTCGCGAACGGTGATTCCAAACCCTCTTGGGCTTCCTCGGCTGTCATGAACGGACACTCGCCGACAAGCAGAACATACGCCACAACGCCGAACGCCCAAACGTCTTGCTCCTTGCCATAATACCGTTGTCCTTTCAGAATTTCTGGGCCAGCGTAATCGAGACTGACATCCTGAATGAGCAGATATATAACTCGAATGGGTTGATACTCACGTGCCGCTGAAAGTATCCCATCCGCTCTTTTTGACAATCCCAGAACTTCCGAAGTCGATCAATATGCACTTCCCGTTTGGACCGAGAACAACATTCTCGTCCTTGACGTCACGATGCACTAGCAATCGCATGTTATTTCGTGGTAGATTGCAACGAGGCAGATACTTACCGATTCCTTGTTTATGGAGGAAGTAGAGCGCGTCAGCCATTTGCCCCAGATAGCTTCTAACAAGATCCGATGGGAGCCCTTGTGGGTAAGTCTCCACCAAATCGAAGAGGTCTGATGGCGGTGACGGCTGACCAGGTTGTCGTTCGGGCGTCGTTGATGGTAGGACGAGGTAATAGTAATGACTGTCTTCGAAGAAGTCGAGTAACGGGCAAATGTTGGGATGGCCTTTGACTACCTTGCCTTCTACCCAGTCATCCTCGACCGTCGGATCAGGGTTACGTGCCTGCGAAGCAGCGCGAGACGGATCCCAAGGCCTTCGGGGAGGAAGAACGTATGAGGTATTGGAGATGGCTGACATGACGTATATCTCTATAGGGATCGTCCCATACGTAGGGTGCCTTTTCCAACAGTCGGCCAGTATACGGGACTTGATGATTTGCTTTATGACCAATGGGGGCTACAAACGATGTCAGAAAATGCCACTTGTGCATGCGCAGGGTTGCCAAGCTTACCCCGAGTGATCCGTCTGGCCCGATCTCCCGAGCACGCTTCACTAGCCCATAGGCTCCCTTACCGATCTCACTCTCAATGAAAAATTCGGATATGCTCCTGTTCCCAAGGAATGACTGCTTGTCGTCCGAAGGTGACGGGGCTCGCGTACTCGAGGCATTGAGGCTGTGGAGACTGCTGTTGGAGCTACTTGTACGGTGGAGACTTGGGGGAAGCAAAGGCGGGGGAGATGGTGGTTGTATGGGTGCTATTGATACGCGGCCGGCGATTAGAGATACGCGATGCTGAGAAGAACGTCTACGTGGGCGTGGTGATGAAGGGGTACGCGGCTGCGATGGCGGCGTAGAAGAGAGCGGGGATTTGAGGGAAGAAAGATGCGGTGATGATGAACGAGATTGTACAGGAGAAGAAGTGAAGTATGCATCGGAGGTTATGGCAGAGACTGGCGGTGTAAATCTAGGTTGCAGAGTCGGTGTCGCACTTGAGTTTGGGAGTTTACTGATGACTTTGGGTGTAACGATCTTTGGAGATGGTTTCGGTGATTTCAGATCCTCCGTTTTGAGCTTGAGCTCAAACTCCAAGGGCTGGCAAGGAGAATCATTGAGCGAGGACTGGGCCTCTGAATCGTCGTCCCAGTCGAAGCCACGGCCGATGGAGGTGACCTTCCAGCTATTGCCCACGGAGGCAGCACGGTAGAGCCTGGCTGTCAAGGGTGGAGCTTTCCATTCCTCGTCGTCGAAAGTGAGATCCACGGTTGGGCTCGATATCATAAACGGAGTGGGGGGCAGGTCGGAGACGTGTCGAGAGTTGGAAAGGCCGAGTTTTATGGCGAAGTGACTTGGCCCGAAGATATGAGAAAACGGAGGAGGACAAGAGAGCAACCGCCGCCGGACTTGGTCGAAGCGTGAGAAGTGGGCGCCATTTTTGGAGGCCGAGGAGAGTGGATGCTTTTGTCGAGACCGACCGCGGTGGACAGGCATTTTGTCGTCGCTACTGGGCTCAACCGCCATTGTCTCTGTGCTGCCACAAGTCCACTCTCCCGTCGTCAATGTGGTGGATGGCAAGGAACCCCGATCACGCAAGGCGGAATCCCCGTCCTCGATTCTCTCCTTATCTGCCAATCTTAAGCCCCTGTCACCCGATTAGGACTTGGCCAGTCTTTGCATCGGGTTCTGCCTCCTGATCGTACTCTTCTTCGTGGATATGCACACCTAGAGCTGGGCGAGTTCAACCCTACGGGCGATGCTTACACTGGTATATGTATACAAGCAACGATGTAGCCGGAACTGGGCTCCAAAGACCGCTCGGTTGGCCCGATTGTTGTCGGATCACTTTATGAGTATAAAGTTCGGGAAGACGTTCAGTGAGAGAGTTTCCTTCAGCCGGAACGTTGACAGAATCTAGTCTAGCCTCCTTGCTAAGCATCAAAATAGGAGAAACCACGTGATGGACTCGTGCCTATTCGCAACGTTGACTTCCCTGCTATCACCATCGGCTTTGTAGCATCGCCAGGACATGTCGAAACAGAACTACAATGGCGCACCTCCCAAGTACGTCCGTTCCAAGTGTACATGTACCGCTCTTCCTCTCAACATCAGCTCGTATGTCAGATACATCAACGATTTCAGCAAGGCTTTGGCGGCTGAAGTCCGCATCCTGCTTGATGAAGTTGGCAAGCTTCGAGATGAGCGCAGAGCACTCCAGTAGTACGTTCATGCTCAAAACCTCAGTTCTTCCACTCACGGTTTGCCTTACCACTGCGTATAGCGAGATTGCCGAACTCATGGCCGTGAAATCCAAACATGGGGGAGGAGACTATCCGCCAGACTGGCACCCAAGGGTACAGTCACATTACTTTAGTCTACAGCTGCGTTTACAAACGAACGACCCTTTAGTCCATCCAAGGACCTGAAGAACCCCCTGCTGAAGCCCCTCCTCCTCCGCCAGAAGAGCCTCTAGCGCCTGCCAGGCCCGGCTGGCGTGTCGTGCACAAACGAGCTGAACGCAAGGAACGTGCACACAAAACCCCCAAAGCCCTTCCAGCTCCTGTAGCTGCGCCACCACCTATGGAGCAGCCAAGACCTAATGTACCAGCATGGGCTCAGTGGAGACGTACGTCGTGGATATTGAGCATCGTTGTCGCCGATGCGTATGCTAAGCTCACATCTTGTAGCCAATCCACTTCTTGCGCCTCAAGTTGCCGCACCCTCTACTCCAACTCCTCAATCGCCTCCTCCTCGTTCCGGGCTGTTCGGTGAGTCCACTTGTGCTTTCAATTACGAATCACATCTGAGCCACACATCAGGTCCCTCCACTCCTCCTCCAAAGTAAGCGCATAGTGATCATAGCTACACCATCTATGGAAGACATTTACTGGGAATGTGTCAACTGTCTTATGCCTTCTCTCATCTTGTATTACTCTATGTACTTTTCGTTTCTTTACCTATTTCTATCATGAATATTTTGTATATAAGCCCTATGCAGAAATATACACCTGCGGTACATCCAGTAACTACTGGTAGCGGATATTTATAGTGTTTTTGCTTCTGACTTAACAACTGCATGCGTTAACGGTGAGGGGAGATGTGCCCCTATCTGAATGCACCCTTAATAAGAAACATATTCTCACATTCCATAAACCGCTACATGACACAAAGTTAAGCCCTCCGCGACGCCGACCACAACGACCAGAAGTCTGTGAGTACTATTTCACTATGCCCGTACGACCTACCGCCGCATCTCTGGAATCCAATGGCTATGAGTCTTGCCAATTTTCTGTCGTGGACTCGCTGCCAACGGTGGATGCGGATTCTTTGGACCGGATGAGCCTTGCCCCTCCGCCAACTTGATCTGTTTTCGTCAGGCCAAAATTTCTTATACCACTTTGCAGCCCCTCCAGCAATGGCCATCAAGATCATCAAGAAGCGCACCAAGCATTTCAAGTGTGTCCCCTACCCTCCCCCATCATGTCAGAATCTCATAAAGTCTTTGCAGGCGCCACCAGTCGGATCGTTATGTTAGCGTGAAGGAGGCATGGAGAAAGCCCAAGGGTATCGATAACAGAGTTAGACGTCGCTTCAAGGGCCAAACACCCATGCCCAAGGTGTGTTCTACGTGAATTTCCGCGTCGATCCCTTCTCATTTTGCAATAGATTGGCTACGGCAGCAACAAAAAGGTTTGACTCCACTGAGTTGATTATGTTTGGACGCACCATCTCATGTAAATCCTAGACACGCCATCTCCTCCCCAGCGGTCTCAAGAAATTCGTTGTTAACAACGTCCGGGAAGTCGACCTTCTCCTCATGCACAACAAAAGCTTCGCCGCCGAGATCGCTCACAACGTCAGCAGCCGTAACCGGACTGTCATCCTTGAGCGGTATGTCGTGATTATATTCTTCTCCTTTTCGCTGAACCAAATTCCTTCGATGTTCAGGGCGAAGGCTTTGGGTATCAAGGTTACAAACGCTGCTGCTCGTCTGCGGTCAGAGGAGTGATCGTTTCGTCTGTTTTCCTATTGCACACAACCCTATGTACACACTTGGTATATGCATATGCCGCACTGCAATTTCCATGCTCAGGATGCCCAGGTGTGATAAGTCACGATCATTGATAATCAGATCACGCATAGATTAATCGACATCAGTACTTAAACCGGTGTTCTTCCATAGCTCAGCACAACAGATCATTGCACTTGCTGCAGCACCATCGAACGAATGAAGCGAGGCATGCGCTCTTATTGGCCTGGGTGCTTTGCTGATTTGTTTTCCAGGAAAGACGTCAGGTCAGCTTCTCATGCCGGATCCTGGTACACTGACAACCGTACGTACTCGTCGTTCTCACTTGCACGAGGCTCCTGATACTAGGCATCGAACAGGGGACGAGCTCAACGAGGAATTGGAGGGCTGGCTAGAAGCTGTAGGGCCCTCCGAGGACTTCCCCGTCGCAGGGAGCAAAGCCATAATCGCACCGTTCGTGCCGTGCTATACAGAATTCCACCACCATATACTGAGATCCACTGATAGACACGCGGGTTACTCGTACTCTGGTCCTGCAGCCGCGTGGGCGTACAAGAGCATTGACACCACTGACATGTAGGGATCGCATCTCGACTCCTTGCTTTTGGTTGACGGGCATCCGATCCTACAGCAAGCGTGTTTTCATCCTTGGACCTTCTCACCACTTCTATCTCGAAGGATGTGCCCTCTCTCGATGCAAAGAATACGAGACCCCCATCGGAAATCTTCCTCTGGACATTGACAGTACACATCACAACAGTTCATGTGCTGCTCGCCCGCTGACCGCATGCCATAGCTATCAACGAGCTTCGCGCGACTAACGAATTCGAAGACCTTTCCTTGAAGGCTGATGAAGCAGAGCATAGCCTCGAAATGCACCTACCTTATGTTCGCAAGATCTTTGAGGGGTTGGTGCAGACTCCGTTTGAAACGAGCGGGAAATACTGACATATAGTGGGCCCACAGTCAAGATATCTCCATCGTGCCTATTGTCGTTGGCGCAATCTCCAAGTCATTGGAAGCTTCATACGGCAAACTCTTGGCCCCATTCTTGAGCAGGGAAGATACTTTCTGCGTGGTTTCGAGCGACTTCTGCCATTGGTGTGCCATTACCTCATGCTTACTCCAAATCCATGCTTACTATCAGGCTGGCATCAGGGGGACGAGGTTCTCATATACATACTACTACCCAGAGCCCGCACCCAGCGACAAACCTGGAATCAATCTAACTCGCTCCGTTCAACCCTCGACATCGCATCGCATCCACAAGTCGATCGAACGGTTAGACCGCGAAGCCATGGATCTCCTGGCCATGCCGCCCTCCTCCGCAAAGGATGCTCACGCCAACTTCGCAGAGTATCTTGTACAGACTCACAATACCATCTGTGGACGGCATCCGATTGGAGTTCTTCTTGGTGCATTGGCGGAATTAGAGGAGTCACGGAAATCGACGCTGAAATGGGTCAGATACGAACAGAGCAGTGCCTGTGTCAATATCGCCGACTCGAGTGTTAGTTATGCAAGTGCATGGGTACGGTTTTGAGGGTGTAAACACGAAGTTTGGGGTTCAATGTAGATCTTAAAGGAACAATTGTGCGATGGACTACCAGCTGTATGTCTAGATACACGAAAACCTACGTCTTCTACAGATTACTTGCAATCTGGGCTGGGGCCGGCGATATTTGCGCTCCAACAGGACCTTCGAGGTCTGATTCCGTCCCTGGTACCCCGCTGTCTTCCACCACCTTTTGGAAGGAGTTTAGTGACTCATGGTGATTTCCTTGGAATAAACGCGAACCTTCCCGTAGGCGACTTCAATATAGTCGAATCCCCATTCCCTGTCCGACCCGCCCGCAAGATGTTGACCGTCGGCCAGTAGTTTGGCCTCCCATCCACCCAATATCCTACTTCGCTCCTTGCGGTCGAAGATACTCAACGAACAACATCCCACTTTCAGAGGGTGATCGCGGTCCCCAATCAGCCCTCTCACGAGCGTGATAGTAGTAGCGGCGTGGGTGACTAGTAATACCCTCGAGTCAGGGCCGAATCGCCTTTCTACCTCAGGTACGAAGACCTCGAGAAATCCATTCGTTCGCTCATGGACTTCTTCTACATCCTCCCCTTTCTGGGATGTGTGCCATATCGAAGACCACGATGGATCTATCTCGGGAAAGTACGACTGGAGGTCGGCAGCAGAGCCAGGCCGTGGATGAAGCCCTGTCCCGGGAGCGACAGGGGAATACCACTCAGAAAGACCTGATGAAATCATCAGGCGTTGGATAGGGCACGCTGGTAATGTAGTAAATGATTATTACCATGTTCCACGTATATAGGTATGCCTAGGGCCTTGGACACCGGTTTGGAAGTCTGCAGGCAACGATCTACAGTAGACAAGCGTTCAGATTTGGGGCAGGTGAAGAGTGGTCGCAACTGACAATACGGAGAGGAGAATATCACAGTGGGCCTCTCCTCTTCGGGTAACGATAGAAAGTGATCAGCCAATTCTTGTGCTTGCTTCTACTCCTGGCATCAATGTTGCACGATCACGAATTCTCAGCCATGGTTCCAGCGCACCTCTCCATAAGCAGCTAGAGGGGGGTCGCGGGCCAGGCCAGTAGGACTCTTCCTATCATCCGTAAGGTCCAGATGGCATGCACAGATGGCGGATCTATGTGCTTACCAGTTGGTGTTCACCCAGTTTAGCCTGAAACCTAAACAAAAACCATCAGATAGAACACGACGACAGCATTAACATGAATCTAACCATGTCTTGCTATATAGATTTTTCGAACCATTGGTAGGTATGTTGCTCGCTAGCGCTTCGAGTTCAAGAACTTGTTATGTGATGACTTGCCCAATTGCCTGAATGGTGAGTCGATTTACTGACTCGCAGTATCAATCAGACCCTGTGTGAAGTCCAAAGTTAAGGCGAAAGAAATGTGTTGACTCCAAGTTAGCGCGGCCCACATACCCGACTCTACCGGCAATAAAGCGCACAACTCCGCATTGCGTCCCTTGCATGCAAGTTGTAGATCAACACATCACGGCCTCTCGTCTCACTTTCAGCGTGATCTCCGCGCCATTACAGCACAGAATGAGCGCAAAGTACTTCAGCTGACTCGACGGGCGGGCATCTGTGGGAGTCTTTCTTTCTCCGTCGGTGATAACGCTGCCTGTAACACTGTAGAATCATTCGTTCCTGTTACGGAGGCCTAGGCGTTTAGTAATTCCCTTTGTGAACCATCATTGGTAGAAGAGGAAAACTTGTACCCTACAGTCTACGCGTCTGCGCCATCTACGACCTCAATATATTCATTCGAACAATAACCAAAATCCCCAAGAATGTATATCCAAGCACTTTTGCCGGTCGGTACATACTCGGGTTAAAAGGCAGATATTTTTAGCGACTAGCGACTAGCGGATGCGCTGTCGCTGCTCTCTTTGGGCAATCCAGGCGGTGGGACGAACGCTTGTTATCCCCCACGATGATCACGAAACCACCGAATTCCACTCAACCTCAAGGAGATATCATCCTTTACTTCCTGGACGAGGCTTGCCGATAACCCAAGGGCAGAAACGTCTGTCTATCTGACTCCTTCCTCGTCAACGAACTCTTGTGCGTGGGTGAATATCTGCACTTTTGTTGGCAACTCCAGGGGACGACCATGTGAACTGCGCTTCTGCGAAAGCTATAAAAGCTAGGGTAAAGGTGACAGCAAAGCAGCAAGCTACCTGGCTTACTACTTCTCATTATGAGGTCTCCTTCTCTTGCTTCACTGCTCTCAACGCTGTGTATACTTCTCTCAGGGCTTTGCGCCTCCGCTGCGGACATTGACATCGTTCGCGACCGTAGGCTCTCCATCATTGTTGGTGGGACCACTGGTGCTACCTCAATTTCCAACTGGTACGCTTCACCGTTGCTTGAATGCATGTGTCCTGATTTATTTATCATATACAGGGTCTCAACGCTCGGCGCAGACGGCAAATGGCCTGACGTCGACTACACCACTGGGTGCGATGCCCAAACGTCGAGTTGGCCTGCTCAAACCCACTGGAGCCGTATCAGTAAGTGCCCTTTGTATTGAGCGCCGTATAAAGTGATTCAACAACACCGCATAGATACCTTTGCGGCCGGATGGCACGGTGGATTCAGGAATGCCGACCAATGGGTCAAGAATACTGACATTCGCACGGCTATCTCTCGAGCAATGAACTTCTGGTTCTCCAACGATTTCACCAATCCCGCGTGCCTAGACTTTGGTGGTCAAAGTGCTTGTCCTTGTGGCACTGCTGGCGTGAGTGGTTGCCAACCTTTCGTAAAGTGGAGTCATGAACATGTCATTCCATCAGCTTTGGAACACGAACTGGTTCTCCAACGTAAGTCCGCAGGATTCTCCTAAGGCTCAGAATCCATTGACGCGTGATCTAGGTCATATTAATTCCTGGCTGGGTTGGCCAAGTGTGTAGTCTGCTCGACGACAGTCTTTCAGCGACAGAGTTGCAAGGCTGCATTCGCATGACAAACCGCGCCTTCAACACCTTCTCAACTGGGATCAACGGCGTCAGTTCCATTACTGGCGCAAATACGCTAGATATTGCTAGCATCGGGGTTGATTTGTCCCTCTTCACTGGGAACGCGACACTTCTCTCACAAGCATTTAACAAAATCAATGCCGAGGTAATGATCCAGAACGACGTAAAGGCCGACGGTATCCGCCCCGATGGTAGTTTTGGGCAGCATCAAGGGATCTTGTACAACGGCAACTATGGAAAGGACTAGTGAGTTGTATCCTGGTCCTGCATAAGCGTAACTCAGCGAGCGACTCCGTCATAGTGCCAACGATGTACTCGCCCTTGAGATTGCCACCGGAGGAACCCAATTTGAGGCCACTGCAGATTCTATGAACGCGTTCTCGACGTTACTCGATGGAAACCAGTGGATGATATACAAGAATACCGCTACCAATGTTTTGCATTGGGACTTTGTGGGTGATTATCATCAATGATGCAACTTATTAGCTCACAGACATGACCGCAGAGTGTTCTGGGTCGTATTGTCGCGCTTCCCGTTTCAGATAATCAGTGAGGTTGTTTTATCCGTTGGCAAAGCCAGCACTCACAGTTTGTATCAGGGCAACGGCAAACCTGAAGACTAATCTTACACAACTCCAAGTGCTCGGTCAAGTCTGGGAATCTCAAGCGATCACCTCTGTGTTTAATAGGCTGAACTCGGCCAGCTCAACGGCGAACGTTGGTTCATTGAATGGAAATCGGATGTTTTATGCCAATGACTATATGGTATTGTCTTCTCTTCCATGTCAGTTCTCCTTTCACCTTCACCTAAAATAACCTACCAGGTACACCGCGGTTCTGGTTATGTGACGACGTTGAAGATGTACTCGAAGCGAACCCAAAACACAGAGTGCACTAACTCACAGAATCCATTCGGCTTCCATCTCAGCGATGGAACACTGTACACCTATTTGCAAGGGAACGAATACGAAGATATCACCGCTGCATGGGATTGGAACCTGATCCCGGGAACTACCGTTGATTACGGGGCTACACCCTTGACCTGCTCAACAGCCAGGAAGACAGGCACTCAACCCCTTGTAGGTGGAGCGACAGATGGCACGGTTGGTGTAGCGGCTATGAGATACGAAACACCCACCACGAAGACGCTGAATTGGCGCAAGACGTGGTTCTTCCTCGAAGACGATGTGCAATTCGTCATGGTCGCTAGGATCGAATCTACCACCACTGCACCTGTGTTCTCCGTTCTTGATCAGAAACGCCGCTCTGGAGATGTGTTGGTGGATGGAGTCAGTCGCGGTAGCGGAAATTACACAGGGGTAGGAACCCTCTGGCATGCTGGCGTCGGATATGTATTCAACACCAGCACGCCGAGCGTCTCCCTTTCCTTGCAGCTCGGGTCGCGTACTGGCGCTTGGTCGAGCATCAGTGCTTCGAAGGCCCCTCCTGCAACCGTCGATCTCTTCGCAGCGTGGCTCAACCACGGTGACCTGAGCGTCCCGATTTCGTACGCCATCTACCCATCGACATCTACTTCTTCCGCCTTCCAGCAGAAGGTAGCGGCTACGCAGCTTCGATCGGTGAGAAATGATGGATCTATTTCTGCCCTGCTGGACGTGAACCACCGCACTGCAATGATCGTGTACTGGGTAGCTGCCGGGGGCTCTGTTTCGATTCCATCTCCCACCGGAAATGCACCCATTACAGTGGCTTCCAATGGGAACGCCAATCTAATCCTGCATATGGATACGTGGGCCGTCACACTCTCCGACCCGACCCAGACCTTGTCGACGGTTACAGTCACATTCACGCTTGGGAGTGGCACGACACCTGCTGGTTGGGGAACTACAAAGACCAAGTCGGTTACCTTCAGCCTACCAAGTGGAGGTCAAGCTGGCAAAAGCGTCACCCAAACACTTCCAAACTAGTCGCCGCATTTGGCAATAGAATTTCCTTCTTTGAATAAGTCCCAAACACCTGTCTGCTCCTGCTCTGTACGCGTTGAAGATGCATCCGTTGTTATTGTAAAATTAGCTAGCTCCCCCAATTTTATCATGTGTTGTTGCGTTCGCTAGTGACGGGGGAATCAGTTGCGAATCCCAAACCGGGAAGTAAGCAGGGCCGTATCCAGTAGTAGAACAAGACCGACGAGTGACTTTTATTTCAACATTGCGTGTATTAGTGTTCAATGCATTCAATCAATTCGTACGGAAACAGCAGAGCCACACGGAGGGGAAGGAGCAGAATAAAAAAACCGATAGAAAAGCTGATACAAAGGAACTTCGTTGAGCACAACTTGACACAATTCATGAGACAGATAGAGCACTATAGGTACGGAGGCGGTCCTATATTTTCAATCGGGATCACCCTTTATGACAAGGAGGGGAATGCAGCCTCGTCGTCGACGTTCACGACACGGTTCCCTCCGTTGGATCGGCCGCCTCTTGGGGCGCTGCCGCGAGTGCCACGGGTACCGCGAGCACGGTCGCCACGTCCACGTCCACGTCCACCACGATCCGGACGCTCGAAGCGGGCGTCGATCTCAAGGTACACCTTTTCGACCTTGGGTGCACGCGACTTGGGAGCGGATTTGCTCTGGAATCCATGTCAATATAACGTTTGGCATAGGATACTGACTGCCGAACAAACCTTGCCGACGAAGTAGGCGTCTTCTTCGCCAGTCTTCTGGAGAGGCACGACATCCTTCCAGATGTCACCGTCCGCGCCATCGTTAGCCTTGCGCGTCTCGAGCTTCGGCACGGCCAACGCATCCTTTTGTTGGGCACGGTACTGATCCAGAGTCAGAGTGGTGTCCTCCTCCTCTTCCTCACGCTCCTTGCGAGGGCGTCCGCCTTCGTTGCCTGTTTTCTCGGCAGCATCGCCCTCGGCGGCAGGTGCTTCGGCGCCGTCAGCGGCGGGGGCACCCCAGTCGGCAGTGGAGGCTTCACCTCCCCAACTCTCGACAGCCACGTCGTTGCTAGCTGCCTGCTCGACTTGCAATTCAGCATTGCCGTCATCGCCACCCCATGACTGGTGGATCTTCTTGTCCGAGTCGCTATAAACAGTGTCAACGTCCCTTGGATCGCGGTGCATGGACTTGATGACCTACGTCTTGCCGGTGGCACTGTGTTTGTCGAACTGACGACCACGGCCACCTCGATCGCCACCGCGTCCACGACCTCGGCCTCGTCCGCGACCACGAACTTCGCCATCAGCTAAGAGAGGATGGCATACTTAGCCGGCGAGGATGATAGGAATAAGGCGACTACTAACATCTCCTTTGTCCGTCGCCAGGGACTTCATCTACGCCGTTGGTGGGGGCCTCCTTGGGGGCAGTCTTGCCGCCACGAGCGTAGTATTTGCCACCTCGAGCAGCGGGACCACGGCCTCTTTGTTGTTGTTGGCTGCGAGCGGGAGCAGCTGGAGGGGCGGGCGCCTGGGTAGCAGCGGGAGGAGAGGGCGCGGCATCCTCGTCTGTTACGATCGGGTGGTAGGACCAGGACGCATGTAAAAAACAGCAAGATCAGGAAATCAGATCATGAAAAGCCGTGATGTTGGCGAGCTAGCGGGTATACTGACCATCCAAAAGGGCGAAAGGGTTTTTGGTGGCCACCGACATCTTTGACGGGGCCTTATTCGAAGGCAATCAGTACAAGGTGGGGGAGGGAAGTAACAGTGATAAGGAGATCAGCCTGAAAGGCACGACACGCAACAACACGAGTTGTCGACGCTTTGGACTCTGGATTCGAGACAGTGGTCAAACAGGAGCGTGAGAAACTGCACTACAGTGATTATGCCCCTCCGGCATCGGCAAGCCACCGGAATCAACTGTACAGTTCCATCTCAGCCTATAAAACTGGCCATGGGGACGCCCGGAGCCTTTAACGCAAAAACCACAGGCGAGTAAATCCTTCTTTTGCTGTCATAGCGCAAGTGGCTCATGTCGCTTCTTCTTTAGCCTCTCAAAAGCATCTCGACGATGACTTGCCCGCCTGTTTACAGGACTGGAGTGGGTCGAGGACCTTGAGACCGTACAGATGGCTGGAGAAAAAGACGACCTTTGGGTACGAACGATGGGACTTGGGTGCGGTGGGTCCGTTATTTCAGCGATCGAACCTTCGTGTTCACCGTATGGGCTTCATCGCAATGTCTCGTAGTACATTCAATATCTATAACGCGGAATACATGTGCTTCCTACTCTCTGCTATCCTTCTCGCTGTATACCACATGCGTCCTGTCCTATAGTCCCAATTCTCAAGCAAGTTGGACGTTGGCACCGTGCGTGGCGGAACTCCCATCAGAACGACGCGATCATCCGAAAGGTATTCCGACAGGTCATGCAACATGCGGCTTCTTATCTGGACTTCAGAAGGTACAGTGGGGCACCCATCGTCTTGGACGAGAAGTATGAAAACCTGCAGGGTGTTGCACCGAAGGAGTGTGCGTAGGACCGGCTCTAGCACGTTGATCAACTGTGCTGCAGTCATTTCGGGTAGGATGCTCGCAACGCCCCCTTGGACTCGATAGTGACATGCGAAGTGGGTGAGCATGGGGAAAGACGCAGGATCTTGGTCCACGTTTCGAGGTATGTCACCGACACAAACTAGGTGGGTGAGGTTGGAATGCGGGGGTAGTGAAGACAAAGATCCAAGGTACGAGGGTCCACACGTAGTTATTTGCTTCAGAGACGAGGGCAATGCTGGCAGATCCTGGAGCCGGTTGAGGTCCCCGACATCAATATACAAGCTCTCAAGGGATGCACAGCATTCGGCGAGGAGGGGGACTGGAAGACAAGCGGGGAAACGGACGACAAGGTCCTTGACGTACTTCTGAAGGACTCTGCGGGTTCTTATCGTGGTTTCGAAGTTGGCGACATGGCTTTTGAAAGATAGGACGACGGTCCTATACAAGACAGGCTCAACCCACGCCTGGAAGTCCCTCGAGACCCGAGCTAGCGAGCAAGCACTTTCCGGATCATCGAAGGCGGCGATTTCGACGATGTGGCGCAGAACGTCGAGGGGAGGGGAGATTGTGAACGGTTGTGGGCTGTGGCTTGATGCAGCGCCCATTGAGCGTAGTCGATCGATGAGAGTCGTCGGACCGTGAAGTGCCGTTACGCGTTACACGCTGTTACGTTACAGCAGTGTGAGAACCATCAGACGATTACCCCGATCACAAGCAGGGTCATCCATTTCAAATCTTTCACACACAAAGCTCCCGTTTCCCCCTTGCACCCAACCACCATGGCTTCACGCCGACTCGACATCTCCTCTCTCCTCAACGACGGCGACGACGCAAAGCACCACCAGCCCTCCGCCCCCTCCCCCGCCCCCGCCTCTTTTTCCGCGCCCTCCTTCCAGCAGCAGCATATCGTCGCAGAGCCTGTCGTCCTCGCGCCCCACCTCAGAAGTAATTCTTCTCAACGAGCTCTCCCACCCCAGACCGAATACAATGCCCACAATTCTCTACGCGACCCCCACATCAAGGAGTCCGATATCCGCCCTCACTCGTCCTCGACCCGCGGCAGATTTCCAACACCAACCTCAACAGGAAGCTCAGACTTTTCTAGCAGGCAAAAGCCGTATTCCGAGTACGTCGAGCAAGATGCTGATCGGACACGGGCTGCGCACCCAGTTTATCGATCAGAGCAACCTTCTCAACCCCGTCCATCATCTTCTCGGTCCTCTAATTCGCCTCACGTCGCATATAGGTATCCACAGGCATCTACCGCCGTGTCGCCGACCGTATCCCCAAGCAGCAACGCTGTGATTGAACGCTTCCCTCCAGTTCATCACCCTTCTGCTTATACCAAGCACCCACATTCTATCTCCCAATCTCAGTCACGCGCAGTGGAACACCCTCAGGCAAATCCTTATCCTCAAGCTCAGACTTCGTCTTCCCCTTCAAATCCATTTAACCTTTTGGTCCATATCGCGAATGAAGAAAGGAGGAAGCTTAGCGGCAGTGAAGTCTCAGACTCGATGCCGAGGCCTGGTTCGCCGAGTAGACAGCACAGTCGCCGGTCACAATATGGCGGCACTTCGGACCTGGTTGCACCTGAATCAATCAAGAAGCCTGTAAGTTATTTTTTGCAATGATCCTAATCTTGGGTTTCAATGTCATGATTGCCTTTTCAGTCGGACTGGTATCCTGGCCGCGGGGACCGTGCGGACGAGGCCCATAGGGAAACACAAGCACCTTATCCTCATCGCACCCAGAGGATGCCCATTCATGACCAACCATCCCAGCAACCGCAGCCGTCGATGCCACATCCGTCTAATCACCATATCCCTTCTGTTCCTGAGCCACATGTCTCCCCTTCTGAGCCATCTGCTCGGCTACTTGACTCTCGCTTACGCATGCAGAAGCAAGAAGAACAGCGCCAGAAGACGGAGGAACAAAGGCGACGTCACCAATTGCGATTGGAGGAACAGAAGATTCTCAATGATCAGAGAGAACAGCAACGACAACTGCAGAGGTTGCAGATGCAGAGGGAGCAGCAACAACGTGAGCACGAAAGAATGAAGGCGGAGGTCGCAGCCAGGGACCGCGCCCGATTAATGGACGAGAAAGAGCGGGAGCACGAGGAAAAGAAGTTCATTGAACGGCCTCGCGCGACACCGCACGTGGAGGGGTCCCCTCACGATCGGCATCCAACTTCAGCACCCCCAGTTGGCGCGTTTCCTAGTGCCTCAGCCAGCCCTGCTCCCCCTCGCCGGCCGTTATCTATGGAATCCCTGCTACATCCTCAATCTCATCCTTCACCGTCGCAGCACCAACACAGGCCCTTTGGGTCCCCGGCCGAAGCCTCGACGTCGGGACAGTCACATCCCTCTAATACACGTTCATATCAATCTCAGTACGGACCCCTTCCGCCGCTTGAGGCTCCCCACCCTCCTCGTTTACCTCATCCGTCAAGGAAATCTGATCCAGGAGTTCCTTCTCTCGCGCAAGCTCAGTCCCCTCCGCAACCCTTGAAGCGTTTGACATCGCCTGCCACCTCACACCCACCAACATTGTCCCATTTAGTCGCGTCTCCCAGCCATCAGCCGCATCAAACAGTATCTCCTTCGCTGCACGTCTTGCTATCTCCATCGCAGGCTTCTATCCGACTGCCGCCACCGCTATCCGATCCACGACCACCTAAGAAACCCCGAGTTTCGCCAGAGGATTCGTACCATCATCCGTCCCCGTCCTCCACCCGACTGACACCAAGGGAAGAGCAGACGATTTTGGCGATCAGGGACGAAAAGCAGCGCAAGGAAGAAGAGGCAAGGCGGAGGGTGGAGGAACGGAGACAGCACGATGAACGCGAGGAACTACGGCGAAAGCGGACACGGGAGATGCAGCTTGAGCGCGAACGGCAAACAGAGCTAGAGGGACAAAGGATGCGCCAAGAGTCAGGGTCAACTTCGGGCAAGTCGCATCATGTTGAAGAACGGAAGCCAGACTTCCCCTACCCCATCTCCGCAGAGCCGACGAGTATATTCGCACCCCCACACCGACCCCAGATTATAGAACTTCTGCCGAGGGACGACCCTTCGCCGCCCCCACGACCCCCTCCACGACAGTTAACACGTACCCCCATCCAGGCTTCCCCTCCCGCCAGAACCCGCGTGTCCCCTCCCCGAGTCGTGAAGCTCGAAACGGTCGAAGGTCCCCCGGAAGTCCGACAACCGAAGAGATTACCCCCAGGTAGCCAGGAAGGGCGGGCCAAAGCCGCTAGAAGGGTGGATTCTACGTCATCCCATCTCACGCCGCACGAGGCAGTCAATCCTCCCCCTGAAACTTGGAGCAATTCTGATACGAAGCCAGTCGGTGAGGGACCCGCGAAGACTTTGATGGCGGACGTTGGGGAGGAGAGAATGGATGATGAGCGTGGTCCAGGTAGGGCTAAACAAGTTGCAAAGGATAAGAAGGGCTCACGCACTCATTCCCTTCTGCGATTCCCTGGTTCTGATGCTAAGCCAGTCTCTCCGCCTCCTCAACGCTCCGAGCCCGAGAAAGCATCTCCGCCGTCTCAACCATCGCAGAAACAGCCCATCTCTCCGAAGAACCACCCATCGCAAGACGACGTACACAAGTGGCTGCTTGAGCAGTCGACGGATGCTCCGTCGCCGTCGCGTAGTGACCCTAAGCCAGAAGCCAAAGCGTCGCCAGTCACACCGGCTGTGGGGCCTAAAGCCGCTGCAACCGATGCCACAACGAACAGCAGCCCAGCGATGACCATATCTGACGACGCCGTGACTGCGCTGGAACAAGAGCTGGAAGATATTTTGATGGAAGAGCCCGAACGGGAAGCAGACACGATTGGAGGTGACATTGACAAGGAAGTGACTAGTCTGGTTGCAGAGACACTGGACACCGACACCGAGCCTCCGCAGCATAAATCGCAGCCTAGGGAGTTGGACCGTGCGCCGCAACCGACCAGCAGCATGGAAGTCGATGTGGAAGATGAGTTATTAAGCTTAGTGGATGATAAGCCACAACACGCTGCACATCGTGGCAGGAGCTCACCTCATATGGCCACCTTGGATGCCAAACCGTCATCTCGCAAAGCCAGTGAATCTGGATCACGCCCAGCATCACCACCCACTAGACCTCCGTCAGCTCTGCAGACCAGCGGAGTCGAGCCAACACCAGAGCGCGGCTCCATGCCCCCTCCAGCCCCGAAACTTGCTACTAGCAAGAGCAAGGAGAAGGACTCGGAAAAGGAAAGCAGCAGTGCTCCATCGAAGAAGAAAGTATGCATCACCATTTTTACTCCTTAAATGTCGGCTGACACAATTCGTGCAGTCTGGCCCTAAACCCAAGGCAACTACTGTGACGGCCTCCAGCAAGGCACGCGCGAAACCTGCACCAAAACCCAAACCAAAAAACGCCGATTCTTCCACAGTGGCAGGGAGCAAAACGTCCAAGTCTGCGAGCAAGAAAGTACCCCCTGCCGTCAATGCTAATGCCAACGCCAGGTCTCGGTCAACGTCTGCTATGCCAAGTGGTTCCGTTGGACCCGAAGGAGAGACCGCTGTGGACAAAGACAAGGAAAAAGAGAATGAACCAGAGGATGAAACACCGGCAGATGACGATAAACTATATTGTGTGTGCAAGACCAAGTACGACGAGGATAGAGTCATGATAGCGTGTGATCGGTACGAACACTCGACTTTTTCGTTGACGCTTTTTTTAAGTGATGAGCGTATAGCTGCGACGAATGGTACCATACCCAGTGTGTCAGCATGCCTGACTTGGAAGTCGATTTGGTGGATCAATTCATTTGTCCGCTTTGCATACAACGTAAGGAAGCTGTTCGCTGGTCGTCTTCCGTAGTAAGAGCTAACTTGGTTGGCACCAGGTCACCCTCACCTTTCTTTATGCACTACTTACAAGAAACGGTGTTTATTCGGCTTGTCACACCCCACCCCATCGTCCCCAGATGCTTGCCATAAACCGGCGCGGGGTGCGCTCTCGAAGTACTGCTCTGATGAATGCGGGTTTAAGTGTGTACAGGCACGCATCGATGACTGGGCTAAACAAGGCGGCAAGCGGGAGACGCTTTGGGAAAACGTCAAGAACGCGGAGAAGCGCGAGGGCGTGGTCATACTTCATGGCGGAGATGGTCAAGAGGCAGAGAACGCGACTGTGCGGGTGATGCCTGAGAAGAGCAAGTCGGAGAAGGAGGTTGAGCGGTTGAATGGTCTCCTCGACCTGGTGGTGAATCAGAGAGAGGAGGTCAAGATGGGGATGGAGGTTGTGGGCTGGCGTGAGCGTCTTCTTGAGCTCGCTAGCGACCGTGCACAGCAACTGGGAGAATGCGGTTGGGACCAACGGCTGTGTTTTGGCGACGAAGAGTACGTCGAGTATGGCGAAGGCGTTTTGGAAAGCTACGAGATGCTTACCAGTGGCGATGTGCAAAGCGATGTGGAAAGTGAAGGGGAATGGTGGTGTCGTGGCCCAACCAAGTGTGAACGACACTTGGGGTGAGTGATATATATGTCTTTAGCTCTGAGTATAAAGCTAATTGGCTTTCCAGCTGGCAGGGAGTACGACACAAGGACGTCCAGAAGGAAAAACAAAATAAAGAAGAGGCGCTGCTCAAACTCACTACTCGAGAGCGCGAGATACGCAAGCTTATGGAAGACTTGGCGGGCCAGCAAGTATCCAACCCCGATACTCTCTCCAAGTCCCCCCTGGCCTTCGCCAATAATAAGTTATCGAACGGACACACTAATCACAGTAATAAGCCGAAGATAAACGGCGACGCGAAGAAGGGCAAGAAACGGAAGACGTTGGCTTGACCCCATCTGTATTTTTATCGTTCATGCTTGCTTCAGCTTCATAGGCACCATCTTGGGACATGGCATTAATTTGTTTAGCGTGTAATATTTGACTAGAGCCATAGCAATGTCGGTATGTATTTTGATAGCGCACAATACCTAGACGAATATCTCCTCTATATACGTAGCAAGTCCAACTGTGTCTTGATGGCATAATGAATCAGCCATATCGAGTGCTAATGCGTAGATGAACAGTGGGATGTACGATGATGGCCCACACGATAGACCATCATCACATTTAGTATCCATCGCCCTCCCCGCCCTCCTTGCAGAACCCTTTCTCTTCGAATAGTACCTGAGCCTTGATCTCCTCGCGTCGCTTCTTGATTTCGGCATCTTTCTTCGTGTACTGCTCCAGCAGTGCATAGTCGACTTGCTGAAGAGGAATCTCGTCTTCTTGATCGAGGTCCTGTGAATTGATGCCGTATGAGTCGGTAGTAGTACTCAAGGCATTGACACGTACTATTTCACCAAGGAGGACCACGTTCTCGCCACGGATGAGAAACAGACCGTGCCAGTTTTCTGCGAATGCATTTCCGTGATATATTCGTTCCACCGTATCCTCGAGTACGAGGTTAGCTAGCAAGGGGGGGGCACATGAGTCCATGCACGCAACGCAACGCACAAATCCCTGCCTACCAAACTGATCATAAGAGCGTAAGACGCCGTGCAGTTTTCTACCGTCTCGGAGGACGACTAGCATCTTCCCTGAACCGATGAATAGGTGACAATTGGCCAAGCATCCATGGAGGTGATATGATGTAGTGGGGAAGAGGGTGCTCAGGTTGGTACTAGCTGGAGCAAGGAGTTGACTTGAAGGACAGACGTACTGTCCACGCAATCCACGAGAGATCCCGAAGTTGTGAATGGGATGAGAGTGTCCATGTCGAGCTACAAGCTACGCCCTGCAGCGTATACGATTCAGGTTTTGGAACAAGCAGCGTGGGAAATTATCGAACCGCACTAGGGAGGGTATCTGCGAGGTAAATGGAAGAAGAGACAAAAAGTTCGCTGCGAGCAGGATTTGAACCTACGCGGTGAAACACCAAGTGATATTTGAACGAATTCAAATCACTCGCCTTAACGACTCGGCCATCACAGCTTATGGCTTATTGTCATACTTTTGAAGTCACTAGGTTGCACACTCTCGGGAGAACATTGTTGAAAATCTGCGGGCAACTTGTACTACTAAAGAATATGGTATATTATGTGGACGCGGTGGATTCCTGTCCAAAGTATTCCCATTGTCCCTGCGGAGGCTTCTCCTCCAATGGCTCCCAGCTAGCAGGTAATTTGTGAGGATATATCAACGTGACGAAGTGAGATCGGACATACGCTTTCCAGTCAGCCATCTGAGCAGCGAGTTTGAGCTCATCCGACGCAATGTCTAGTGATTCCTCTATTTGCCCCTCATCTAGCTGTTTCTCGACCGCAGCTATGTCCCCCTGAGCATCCTGCACAATCTTTAGCTTGCGCTGCGTAAGTGCCTCAACGCCCTGACGATAGACGGAGGTTGGCGGAATGGCTGCTAGCGCGGAGAGGGTTGATTCGTATGTTTTTGCTAGCTGCGGGAGGGGGTCCGGGTGCACGCTGAGGCCTGCAATGCCCGTCGTTCGTTTAAGGACTTGGAATAGAGGGCGACTGGCGCGTAACATGACGGCGAGAAGGAGGACTGCTCACTTTTGTGACGTGACACAGCGTGACCCTCTTTCCTGAAGTCCACGATCATGTCTGCATTGGCGTTGAAGGCAACGCGACTGGCTTTCTTCAGCATCCCCTCCTTTCAAGCCCCACTAGCGTTTGGTCGCACTGCGCTACTAGCCACAGTACTTGGCGCTGGTTCCCTGCGGTCGTTTTTGGAGGACCTATTCCCTCCATTTCTCCTTGCCGTACCAAAGAAGAAAGTTTCCCATTCGCGCAAGGCCATGCGCAGTTCAAATAAAGGCTTGAAGGACAAGCAAAGTGCGACTTCAGTTCTCTTGTCAAACTTTGGCCAGGTGCTGACTTGACCCCGCATCTTAGACCTTGTGCATTGCCCTGGTTGTGGGCTGCCGAAAGTTGCTCATCATCTGTGCGCGACCTGCTATGGGTCCGTGACGCGACTATGGAAATCAAAAGACAAAGTAAACGGAGGCTCCATGCCTGACTTGTCATAGTGTCTATTCCCGTCGGTAAGTCTAACGTTCCTCATCACGTTTGAATTGCACTGACCCCTCATGTGCAGATTATACTCATTATAATCTTCCGAGATATCATACACGAAGATAGGCTACAAGCACTGGGCACATCGATGGATAATTTTGACCAGTGCCGTGCAATGTATAGAGCGGGTGGTCAAGCCGAGACATCTACCGATTTGCCCTTCTTACTACCCTTCTTCCCTAATATATCTTTGTTTTTCTTCCCAACGACCGTCACGCCCTTGCCGGTCTTCACAATACCCTCTAGAGCCGCCTGCTTCTGCTTCTTGACCCCCTTCATCTTCGCGTACTTATCCACACCCGAGTCCAACAAATCCCGGGTCTTTTTTCTTGACTTGCGTTCTTTGTTGCGTGCGGCGCGTTTTTCAGCTGGGGCCATCTCGCTTTTAGAGCGAAGATCGCCCGCGGCCGGTATGAACACTTCCTCTGGGGCCAGCAGTGCGGAAGCAGATTTTGTCGTCGGTAAGGCGGACTCGAGGGTGGCGGTCGAGACGTTGGCAACGGTTGAAATAATGGCTTTTGGCTATGAGGCGTCGCCAAATCAGTGGGGACTGTCATAGAAATCAAGGCAATACAACCTACTTGTTTGGGCACGAAATGCGCATTGCAGAGCGCGTCCAACTTGGAACATATGCCATCCCACTGTTTTTCGAGCTCTTCGTGCTCCTTTTTTAACTTGCCGTCCCTATCGTCGGCCGAACCACCGTTTTGCGTCGCCACATAGTCATTCTCGTAAATCTGAGCAAGCGACTGTGAAGATTTTGTATCTTGCAGCTCAAATAGCCGTGAAGGCAAGAACGGCTTGTCGCTTATAGGTCGCAGGCGCACGACATCGTCGAAGCGACCTTCTAGTATACGCGCTTTGATACGGTCTTCTAGTGCCAGGATTTTATCTTCGGTTACTATTGGAACAGCCTTCATGGTGCGCTCGAATTCCAGGTCTTCTTCGAGGAGTGAATTTTGCGGCCGTGACTTCGAGGTAGCTTCTCCCATTAGCACCCAGTCTTTCTTGCCAACGTTCTCAGCTTCCAGAGAAGCGATCTGTTCCTTCAAGGCAACCATTCGTTGCTCGTGAGTAGTAAGGTCTGCGAAATGTGAATCCAATGAGCAAAGCAATATAGTGTTTTAGACTCTTACTAACCATTCTCCTCTTCATCCTCCTCGTCTGCAAATAGGTCGTCCTTGAGGCGCTCAATGGTCTCGCGACCCTCGCCTTCCTCACCCGATTCGTCATCATCACTGTCGTCGTCCTGCTCCTCATCCTCTTCGCTTTCGTCGTCGTCGTCGTCGTCATCTTCATCTTCATCTTCATCCTCCTCTCCGTCTTCGCCAAAAGCGAACCCCTTGCCGTCCTCGTCTTCATCCATACCCAGCTCCCCAAAATCATCCGCAAGCATTCCATCCTCATCTTCGTATCCCTCGTCGTCATCGTCATCTTCGTCATCTTCGTACATGCTCGACACGGGGAGACTCCTCCCTTTTGATTTGATCTTCTTGACACGCACTTCTTCCGCGAATCTGACTGTACCGGGCTTCTTTGGTGAAGTTGGAGCGGGGGGTTTCTTGCGTTTATCCTTCTTAGCAGGCAAACGAGGCGGTGGTTCGAAGAAGTCTTTGTAATAGGCCTCTGTATACCTTAGAGTCAGCGGGGGACATTACTATGTGAGGTTGAGTAGGACAGACCTCCAATATTATTATCCACATCCTCCTCGTCGAAGTTTTCAACATCGTCTACTGCAGCGAACAGATCCACAGACATATCATCATCAGAATCGTCGTCGTCGTCATCGCCCAGTTTCCCCCGCGAAACGCGCTTCGCCTCCGCTGCCTGAGTCTCAGCATTGAAGCTTGCTAGGTCAAAGAAGTCGTCGTCGAGTTCTGAGTGGCGGGCGCCGCGTCTTTTCGGTGCTGGAGGCTTTTTGTCGCGGAATGAACCCTCTCCCTCGTATTCCTCGTCCTCATCTTCCGAAGATGACGAGTCCCGTAGAGTGGTTATGTGTTCGCCGAGCTCCTCTTCCTCATCTTCATCTTCTCGCCCTTCCTCTTCCTCAGCATCGTCGTCGTCGTCGTCGTCGCTGTCCTCTTCGTCATCCTCTTCGCTGTCCTCTTCATCATCTATGTCCATTCCATCTAGACCGAGTGCCTCAAGATCCACATCTTCACCGTTCCTGAGAGCTTCGAGAATCTTCTGCAACCTCCCGTCGGGGTCACCTTCATCCATATCACTATCTTCTTCCCCTCCTTCGCCACCACCAGGACCACCCTCGAGCGCCAGTTCCAGTAAATCACAGACATTCTTCATCCGCAGATCAAGTTGTGACCATATTTGCTCTTCGTCGACCCCATCTACATAGAGCGCAGTCAAGGGTGTGGGCGCGAAGGTTTGCTTGGGCTTCGGTGGTGGACTCGGGGACCGTTTGCGCTTCCCATTCGCCCGTGCTTGAGCTCGCGTCTGCGGCGCCGATTCGGGACTCAGAGAGGAGATCAACTCGTCTATATGTGGCCGGGCTGCATTCTCCGACTGTATTGCTACATCCCGTTAAATAAGCTGAGAATAGTGTTGTATTCTGAAGAAAGACGTCACGCACAGAGGTCAAACACAAATTTAGCAGCGTCGAGTGCAGCGGCTCGTATATCTGGGTTCCCGATGGCAAGAGTCTCGGTCTTTTCGTCGAGGAGGTTAGTGAGCGACTGCAGCACTGGGGGTAGCTGGGGCTCGGTCGTGGTCTCCGCCATATTCGAGGGAGGTGATCTCAAAAACTTGAATGGGAATGACGGAGGATTTCCAAATCAAGACGCACAACTAGCGCCCGAGATCGAACTTACTTCAGAGTCTCAAGCAACCATGTCAGCAACGGGCTCGACTTTGGTAAAGGCAGCTAACAAAGTGGGCCGTCTTCACGAAGGGTAATAGGAGGTTTACCGTAGTCTTGCTTAGGCTACCGCGGAAGCTCTATCAAAGCTCATACCTTCAGAGATCGACACCAAAGGAAACAAGTAAGGTGCCGGTTATTCGCAGTCCCCTTTGTAGTGCTGACTATTGAAATATTGTACAAAGATACACATTAGAGGTAAAATACGCATCTGGCTTGCTCAAGGATGAGAAAGATACTTGCTGGGAATTTTTCACTGCAAATATGCAAGCCCTGCAAGTAAAGTTTGAACTAATCAAATCGAGCCCCCGTCAAGCTCATCGTCCTTGTTAGTTATGAAGCATCTCCTACCATGGGTTGGCATCCGGACAAGAAGAAAAAGGAGCTCTTTCATCCTCTCTCTAGATTTATCTTGGCCTACAACAACGACTCGGCGCTCGTAGCCTACACGATGTTTCGCTTCGAGTTTGAGGAAGATGAAAATTTAGCCTATTGGTATGTGCTTCCTCGTCACCACCTTGATAACGCTGAACGAATGCTTCAGCTACGAACTGCAGGTTTCTCCAGACTTCAAGCGACAAGGCCTCGGTCGCGTACTAATGGAACAAGTGAAAGCTATAGGCGAGAAATACGGCATGGACAAAATCACGCTTACAGTCTTCAAAGGTCTGCCCAGGTGTACTTCAAATATTCTCCCTTTGTCTGACAATTGCATAGACAACTCTGAAGGTGTACAATTTTACGAACGCAACGGGTATGCAATATGAGTAATATCACACTCGATGCTGAATATTCATTTGGCCACCAATTCTCTTTCTCCGCAGATTCGTGACCGACTCATCATGTCCTAGTCTTGATGGTGGTGATGAATCTCTAGAATATCGTATCCTCTCGCTCGAGCTGTAGTAGTACCTCCTGTAACAAAATAGGAGAGCTTTGTTTATCCATGATGCTGTTTATCTCCCGTTCATAACTCCTATCAACAACATCCATAACTTACCGACCTGCTTCGCCGTCTGCGTCAACCTCAACTCAATCATGTCACTATTATCATCACTGCGCACGCCCTGCCGACGGGCGTTCGCCCAACAGACACTCGGCCTGCGCACAGCGGGCAGGCGCAACGCCTCCCACGGAGCCCCCCAATACAACGAACCCTCAGGCTGGCTCTTCGGCGAAAAGGTATCACCCATTCAGCGATTCCTGCTCGAGTTCACTAACTTATCACCTTGCCTGAAGCCTCCCCCACCCGGTCAGAAACGTGTCAAGGAAGACTGGGAAAACATTTGGGTTATTGGGATGTTCGGCTCGATGGCGTTCGCAACGGTGATGCTCTACTATAAACCCGACACCAGGTATGCATGCGGCCTTTCTAGTTATCGGACGCCCGAAATTCTAATGCGTGCATAATTGTAGTATACAGACGTGGGCTCTTAAGGAAGCAAAAGCTAGGATGGAAGCTCGGGGAGAGAAATACCAATACGAGCCCTCTACGCCCTAATAGAAACCCTCTATAGATTGTCTCTCATAACTGGTATATAAGCCCTCTGGACGAAGTAACCGATGCGTGCCTCCTACTGGTCCACTCAATCCCCATTAGTTTTCGTAGCTGGCGCGATAAGCATCTGCATCAAGGAGTTTCTCGACCTGGTTCGTTGTCGGTGACAAAACAATCTGCGGGGACGTGTAAAATCATACCTCGGATGGATCAGAAAGTTTGATCTTGCACAACCAGCCTATAACGAAGGGTTGATAACGACACCGAGTGGATTGGCTAAGGACTAACCTTTGTCCTCGGGAGACTTGTTCAGCAGTCCGGGCTCTGAAGAGAGGGTCTCGTTAATCTCTTCAATGGTACCCGAAACCGGAGCATACTGGTAGGTCATGAGTAGGTACTCAGGAGAAGACGGAGTGACAACATACGATATCCGAAGCAGCTTTAACACTCTCTACTGCACCAATTTGCTCTGCAAGGGTTCACTTAGATAAATCAGAGCTGGGGGGAGTAAAGGTAGACCGAACTCACCGCCTTGCTTGACCTCCGTTCCGATTGTGGGGAGTTCCACAAATACAACATCACCGAGGGCCTCTTGAGCGTGGTCAGTAATGGTGATCACACCGAGACCCGTGGCATCATCGAATGAGACACTTTCGTGCTCTACGGTGTATCGTTTCGCTATATGGCATCCGTTAGCAAGACGGGACGCGAAGTCTGTATCCCGGGACACTTACTGACGAGCGTCCTTGCCAGAGGCCTGGCGATCAAGTTCGTGTGCTTTGGGACGCGGAGCGCCGAAGGATTGTAACGCGACATTTGACGGACGATAGACTGCATGGCTGGTGGGTCGACGGGTGAAGCTTTGAAGGTGGAGGGAGGTGGAGACTTGAGTGGACTGTAGGCAAGTATTGGCGAGCAAAAATATAGACAGGGGTCCGTCTATTTTACGTTGGTTCGGAAGGGCCAGAGTAATGCGGTCGATAGTGCGGTTGATTCCGGAACGCCGTCTCAGGTTGTGAGGCGGTCTAGGTTCGTTCAGAGCAACCTCAGAGCAATGTCTATTACAATTATCTAGTAATAAATAGCACGCTGTAACGTGTAAATAGGCCAAGTAATTTTGCTTGTGTATGTGACTTGGGGTAAAACTAAGAAGGAATGCCACCATCTCCAAGTAATCGAGGCGTTTATGCCGTCTCAATGATCTTGGTCACAATGCCAGTACCGACTAAAAGACCATCAGAAAGCCTGTTCGCGGGAAAGAGTCCAAAGGGTACTCACTTGTCTTTCCACCCTCACGTAAGGTGAAACTAAGGGAGAACATTCTCAGTAAACGCCGACAAGGTGCTGCGATATTGACTTACCGGGAGCCAACCTCTGCAGCAACGTCATGTACGAGGTCGCAAACCATCTCGACATTGTCGCCAGGCATGACCTAAGGATCCGACGTCAGTAACCAGTCTCTTTGGCATTTCAGCAACCTACCATCTTCTCAGCCGCATCGGCAGTTCCTTCAGGGAAAGTGAGCGAAACAGTAATGTCAGCAGTACGGATGAAAAGTTGAGGGCGGTAGTTGCTCATGAATGGAGTGTAACGACCACCTGCGTCAAGACGTCAAAATAAGTGCAGAGTATAAGGAGTTCAAATGCGTACCCTCATCCTTGGTCAAAACGTAGATCTGAGCTTGGAACTTCTTGACGGCCTTGATCGAACCAGGAGCGACAATGACTTGGCCGCGTCTGAGTTGCTCGCGCTTTACACCACGGAGCAAGCAGCCCATGTTGTCACCAGCTTCGCCCTATTTAAAACTGAGTCACTGAATAACGCGATGACACTACTTGAAGACCTACGCGATCGAGCTCCTTGTGGAACATTTCTGCAGAAAGAGATAAGAAACATAGCTCGCGGAAATGCAAGATTGAGAGCGTACCAATGCCAGTGAGGGTAGTCTTGAAGTTACCGCCGAGGCCAACAATCTCAACATCAGCACCCTTGTTTGCAATACCACGCTCAACCTGCAACAAGGATTAAGAATCGATCTGTAGTTACAAAAGGTTCACTTACACGTCCAGTTGCGACGGTTCCACGACCGGAGATGGAGAAGACGTCTAATATTCAATGAGCAAGGGAACCACGTAGTCGTTGGATGTACTGACCCTCGATGGGCATAAGGAAGGGCTTTTCCAAGTCGCCTAACCGTGTGTTAGTGAATAGTAGACAACCCACTGCAACGCAACATACGAGGGGGGAGGTCGAGCCATTCGTCACAAGCCTTGACCAATTCGAGAATCTTCTTTGAACCAATGTCGTCGTCCCTCCCGTCCAAAGCAGCCAATGCTGAACCCATGATGATAGGAGTGTTCTCGCCGTCGAAGTTGTAGGTCGAAAGAAGGTCACGCATTTCCATGTCCACGAGTTCGAGCATTTCCGGGTCCGAGATCTGGTCAACCTTGTTGATGAACACGACGAGCTTCTTAACACCGACCTGGCGAGCCAAGAGAAGATGCTCGCGGGTTTGGGGCATTTGACCGTCAGAAGCAGAAACCACAATGATAGCACCGTCCATCTGAGCGGCACCGGTAATCATGTTCTTAATGTCTGGTTCGGGGTCCTTTTTAGCAAGTAAATGACGAGGCACTCAGTGTAAACATACAATCAGCATGACCGGGACAGTCAATATGGCCGTAGTGACGAGAATCGGTTTCGTATTCGACATGGGAGGAGTTAATGGTGATACCGCGAGCCTTTTCCTCGGGAGCCTTGTCAATCTGAGAGTAGTCCGTGAACTTGGCACCACCTTGAGTAGCAAGGACTTTCGTGATAGCCGCTGTGAGGGTTGTTTTACCGTGGTCGACGTGGCCTATGCAAGGTGCTTAGGTATGTAGACGACACCAACGTGCAGAAGTCAGAACTCACCAATTGTTCCGATGTTCATGTGCGGCTTCGCACGCGAGAAAGCCTCTGCATAACCGCGTCGGGATACTGCAGGAGGCGAAGTGATCAGTAGTAAGCGACCAGCGACGCGTCACGACCCACCCAAGTTAATGGTATCTAGAACTTTTGGAGTTCTCCATGCGCTCGCTCGAAGGCACGTAGAGAGGACAGAAGCTACAACAAACGATGGTCAGGACGTTCAGGTGAAGGGCCCACCAAGACGGCTTACATCTTGAGGTGGCGACGCAGCGAAACAGCGCCTGGGGAGCTGCGAGCTGAAGCATTTTGGTGGAGAAAAGAGTTGTGAATCCAAATTTTGTTTCGAGGCGGTCTCCGGCGTGAGGACGTTGGCAAACAAGCAACAACAACTTCTCGATCATATGCCAAGTTTGGCGACGGGTAACTTAGATTCCGAGCGACCATGTCCTCTCGTGAAGAACTTGTCCGAAATGCTGTCGCCTTCCTCGTCGACCCAAAGGTAAGGCCTTTGCCAATGCTCGTTGCCCTTTTGGTTGATATGTGGCTCCCGTAGTCGCAAGCGTCGCCATTGGCCCAGAGAATCCAGTTCCTGGAAGCCAAAGGTTTAACGCCATCCGAGATTGACATCGCCGTGAGACAAGCATCTCTCAATTCCAGCGGGTCTCAGCCAACAACTGGTTTACCAGTATATGGTCCTAACTATGGACATGCTCTCGTGCCCCCTCGTCCTGTATGGGATTGGCGTGATTACTTTGTGCGTGGACGGACGTCGGAAACAATCAATGCACGGCTTATATGACTATTCTCAGATCACAGCAGTCGTCTCTGGCACCATTATGTATGGCGCTTCTGCCCTGTTCAAAGTCAGTCAGTCCGTGCTGCTCCAAGTCCCCGGCTCACTGTGTTCTAGAAATACCTACTCCCTCACCTTCAACCGCCGTCTTCAACTGCTTATGAAGAAGATCGCGATGCCATGACAGCCCAATTCGACGCGGCGGAGCAACTACTCAAGGAGATTCAAACGGAAACTTCTGCTATCCGGACGGCTGTTGAGAAGCAGCAAGAGGATATCGACAAAACAACGCAAGAAGTGAACGCCGTGGTCAAGGAAATGCGCGAAGGCGAAGTGAAAACAAGAGATGAAATGAGGGAAGTCAGAGACGAAATGAACACCATCCGCGAAATGCTTCCGAAGGCAAGCACATGCATCTGGTCCATTGCTCTAACTGTCTGACTTGGGTACCCAGATGATTGACAAAAATCGGGAGACTCAAACGCAGTCACTTGCTGACTTACAGCAGGAACTCAAGTCTTTGAAAGCATTACTTCTGAGCAGGGGCCCCGGCATTTCAATACCTACTACTCCCACAACCTCGTTGGCCGGGAAGCCCTCTATTCCCGCATGGCAGTTATCTGGTTCAACTGATACTGCCGCAAGAACAACCACTCCATCTATACCGGCATGGCAATTAGCCTCTTCAACGACCCCTGCCCCGTCTATTGCACCCACTTCTACTACGGATACTAGTATTTCATCAGAAACATCATCAACTGGCAAGGGAAAAGAGAAGGAATCCGACATCACTCCCCCCTAATAAATTTGCGTATACTTAGCTGTTTAATCTGCACGCTTCTGTACACCTCTAATCTTTCGCTTGTACTTGTTCGATCTTGGTGAAATAGTTTGTTTTCCCCCTGAGCAGATGGGCGCTTCGTCTACCCAAGTCCATGTTCAGGTTGCGTGCAACATTCAAGGCTCGCTACTGGTTGTTCATACTCGCTGCTCCCGTCATGTTCTCTAGCTTTCGAAACGCGCTCGAAAATTTAGCTCAAGTCCCACTCGAAAACCAGATTGTCCGGAGGGGCTCTGATCCCGTCTCCGCAGCTGGCCCGGGACGCGACCCACCCTCTCGATCTGCATCGTTGGACATACAAGGCTCGCCTTCATCACCTTCGCTACTATCATCCAGCCATCTAGCTGAGTCTGCACTGCTGAACCTCCGTAAATCTCTCGCGTCCAACCGTTCTGGAAGCCCCGGTCCGCCTGGTCGGCCCAAGAGCCCAGCAGTCGCCACGTCGGTTTCGGATGGAGCTATTCGACCAGCGAAATCGCGACTAGAGGAGAGACTTCGAGCAAGCTTCACTGTCGGGGACATTTCGTCGAGGGGCAGCACAGAGAACTCTACTAGAGCAACTCCTTCGCCCGCACCGGCCAGTGACCCGTCTGAAGTCGTGCCAACAGCCATACCCCTCCCAGATTCACTTCCAGTCTCGCCGTCGCTGGCGTCCGAACAGCCTAGCGTCTCAGAGTCCCTTCATCTCACAGATAGCAAGATCCCAGAGCAGGCGCAGGATCCTTTGGAGGTCTCGACGGCGGAAGGTACGACAGAAGAACACCAACCCGAGGCTGGTATACCACTACCTGATGGTGCAGAGGGGAGCCATGAAAGCGCTGACACGGAGCTAAATGAGGAGGACGTGTTACCTCCCCATCCGGAGGAACCGTTGGCGAAGTCACCCCCTTTAACCGACATTCCAGAGCTTCAGCCTGCCGTACTCGAGGAGCGACTCGAACCCTCTCCGCCTCCATCTCAACTTGACGCAACATCCGATTCCGTCATCCCGCCTCCGGAAGCAGAAACACCCAGTAACGATTCTGCAATAGAACCACACACACTAGATGCAACTATTGAAGTGGCTCCCGGGGATGTCGAGCTACCCTCTGAAGAACGTACTTCAGCAGATGAGACTCCTCTTCAAGTCAATGGGCACGTCACTGAGTATTCTTCAAGCACCGACGACGTAATTCAAGAGCAATTGCGGCAACTCGAGCGGCGCTTCGCAGGTAGAGGCATATTCGTATGCATTTACCTCCAGCTGACATGAACATTGTTTCTTAGAGGTTACAGAATCTTTTAAGAAGTTGCAATCGGAGAAGGACGCTGCTGACAATCTTGTCCGTACGCTGACCCCTCTAGAAGGCTTGGAGGATCTAGATACCTTCAAAGACTACCTACAAAGTTTGATACTGAAAGTCGAGGTAAGGATATCGTCTTCTGAGTGGGAGACTGGTTGTATTGATTGCTCAAGATATCCGAGGATGATATCAAGCGTTTGAATGGCAAACTCTCCAGTAAGTCAATATCTCTCGAACTTGAAACTTGTCTCAGTATATGCCCAGGACAGTCCGATCGTATCGACGAGCTACGTGATACCCACCGACTGGAGTCTCATTCACAATCCGATCAAATTGAGCGACTTCGCAAACAAGCGGCGGAAACCGAAGCACTGCTCAAGGCGTCGCATGATGCAGCCGCTCAAGCGGAGAGTGAGAACGCTAGTACACGAACGGAGTTGGAGACGTTGAAGAAAGAATTGGAGCGTACTCGGGGTTTGGCAAAGGAAGAAGAGGAAAAGCGAGTGAAAGCGATCAGTCTGTTGAAGACGGTGAGACAGAAGTTGGTGAAAGCGGAGAAAGACCGAGATGAGGCTCGGGGTGAACTGGCCGCTGTTAGGGAGAGGGAGAAGGGCGATAGGGACAAGGAGGAGGCAGAAAGGAGTAGACTTCAGAAGGAGATCGACTCTGTCAATGCCGAAAGGGAAAGAGCTGTTGCGGGGCTCAAGGGTGACAAGGAGGTCGCTGGAGTAAAAGAACGGTACGAGAGGGAGATATCGGCTCTCAAAGGCCAATTTGAACTCGAAGCCATTTCGACAAAGGTGGGTTCATCTACGAAACGAAGCTCAGCGCACTCAGTCGCTTGCATTAGAGCGGATACTCGAAGGAACTTTCCTCCAAGGATGCTCAAATATCGACTCTCGAGAAATCTGTCAATGCTCTTTCAAATGACAAGAACAACTTATTTGAGCAGATGCAGCTTCGTCAGGCCGAAAGCGAATCCCTACAATCCCATCTAGAGTCTCTACAGAGCCAGAACGCTGAGCTCCAATTCCAGCTCCGAGAAGCCAATGATCGTCTGGCGTTGCTGAGCGAAAACCTAGCAGAAGCGCGCCATGAGCAAGATGCGAAGGCTCAAGCACCCTTAGCCTCGTCCGAAGAAGTCGCCCGACTCTTGTCTGCCACGCAATCCAAGTACGAGACCAAGCTTGCGGATATGCGTAAAGATCTTCTGGCAACAGAGAAGGAGAGGAATGACGCAGAGGCTGACTGGAGCCGTAAGCTGCGGGAGAAGACACGCGAAGCGGACGAGCTGAAGAGAGTCCTGGCGTCCTCTGCAAAAAACCGTGAAGAGAGCCAAGCGACCGTTGATGGCCTGGCGAGCCAAATTGACCAGTTGAAGCAGGAGATTCAACAGTATAAGAGACAGGTCGTGGAGTTACAACACCAGGCAACAAGTGGCAGCGATCAGGAGGTCAGTATGTATACTGCTTCAACCCGTGGATACGATTTCTAAGGGGATTGTAGAATAATCTCAAGGATACCATCAACGAGCTGAAGACCAAGGTTATGGCTCTCGAGCGCAACGCCGAGGAAAACTCAAAGCGAGAGACTCACCTCAAGGCTACGAATAAGGTGAACGCCATAAGGCTCTCGTCATAACACAAACCATACTCATACCAAACCAGACGTTACGTGAGGAACTTCGCAAGGTTCAGTCATCTGCTGCACTTCTAGAACGCCAGAGACACCCGGGAGTTGGTTACTGGTCCAGACAAGACTCTTCTTCAACGGAGTCCCGAACCTCCGTATCCTCAGAAACACCCTCCCGGACTACGTCGCCCGCGCCGTCGCAATCGAAAAGTGACGAAGAAGTCAATCTGGAATACTTGCGAAACGTTATTCTACAATTCCTTGAACACAAGGAAATGCGACCTAATCTGGTCAAGGTCCTGTCTATCATATTACACTTCACTCCACAGGAGACACGGCGCCTCGTTGCCAAGGTTTGATGGATCATGTACATAGTAGATACCCCTTCGCTTTCATCTGCATCTGCAGGATGAGATACAACATGACAATGACCATGGAATGAAATCGTACACCACTTGGCCTTTTCTGAAACGCCTGCACGTGATTGGTTGAGCATCCATTTGGCATTTCGGTCGCGACTCGCGCGTCTGCAACTTACCACTATGTCCATAGCCGATCTGACTAGAAACTGCTTCCAAAGTGGCGTATCAGCGCCCAGGGTATGCTTATTTTCGTGGTGTAGTCTCAGCATTGAACTGACGTCCTTGGCAGTGGGTGAAACTGTGTCAACTCTACGTCTCAAAGAATGGGATTGAATCCACGCCTGATGTCGAACATCAAATAAGCAGTCTGTAGTAGGTTGCTGTGACCTGACGTAGAGAATCACTCATGACCCTGTGCAGACTCTGTGCTTATCCTGTACCGTTCGTATCCCGGAGAACCAGATCTCGTTGAATACTTTCGACAGGCGTTACAAGAATCTCTGGTCTCGCTACCCGTATTTGTTTCGACGTTTCTGCAAGCAGCATTCTCCCCCGAGATTCGGACGTCGGCGTCTCTCGATATGCTATGTCGTGTCGCCCTTGATGCTCACTATTCATCGAATGCTCCCCCTGTTGGTTCGGTCGTGCCAGTTGGCGCCACTTCTGCAGCCATCATGGCTACCGTCAAGGATGCACTTTCCCTACTTCGATCTGCTAGCACATTGCCTCCGTCACATTTTCACCAGTTGTCGACGTCTGCTTCGGAATTAGCAACCTTGCTTATTTCTTGCATCACTGATCTCTCTCAAGTACCCGTTGCGCAGGCCATGGTGCACCTTTCTGAAGTCAACTATCTGTTGCAAACCCTTCCCCTTTCCAACACGGCTAGGCAGATCTTCCAAACATATTCGCTATCTCTGGATATGGTTGCTGGCGCCGATGTGAAAGCCGCTCACGAAGCGCAGATGATGCAGAATATCAATGCTTCTACTTATGGTAAAGGAGAATTCTCTGATGCAACCTCGAACTCGGATATCGTTTCTTTCGGCCTTCTCTTGCATCATCTCGTACGTACCTTCCTCGTATTGAATCTCTCTCTCTAGAATCTAGTGTTGTAGGTACACAATCGAGGAGCCAAATACGGATCTGGCAGTGGTGGCGATCCCGTCGTATTGCTCCTTGAAACCCTTCGATGGAGCTCGTGGACCCCCGCTGTCTTTTATACTCAACTTATATCTTCAGCGTTCACGTGCCTATCGCAAACCTCTGGAAACAAGATCTGGCTATGGGTTTCCTTCATCGCTGGTAGAGTAGGCGTCTTGCTGCCCTATTTCCGCATTGTCCCGTTGATGCTAATTTTACAAGCTCCCGTCCATGATCTCTCAGTTTGAGGCAACGATCAAGTCGGATTCATTAGTGAACGCAGATTGGGTAAGAGACTTATATACTCAGACGAACCGAGCCTAATACTGCGTAGCGTTCCGCCGTTCAGACAGCCCTATCTAATGTCCTTCGTCGGTCCGAACTAATGGCACAATGCGACCACTTAATACAACAGCTGAATCTCGAGACACCAGTGTATGTGTTCCAGACTAGCCCCAGAAGTTCACTGATGATCCCATTGACTCAGTCTTCGATCAGCATCCGGGGAGCTTCTAGCTGGCCTGATCAATCGAAGTGTCATAGACTCGTCGTTTGCAGTCGGGATAGATGTGCGAACTGCGGAGGATAGTATACCACGCCTGAAGACAGAGGCAAGAGATGCTGGTCACCCGGAACTACAGGTAATTTCCGACTGCAATGGCTCCGTGCTTTCATCAATAGTTCCTTCTCCAGCCCTATATTACGTTCAAGATATCCCTCGATGCAAGTCTTGAGGAAGTCAAGCTTCTCGCCAGTCGTGTCTGGCTTGACCCCACAAGCCATGAAACATTCGCACGCGTGATAATGGAGGTACGACTACACCAATGGCATAAAGCAGTTCATGAATATGATACCCTCTAGCAAGCTGCGAAGCTGACTACAACTCTGGACGTTGAATCCATGAGCCATCTCTGCAAATTGTTACTCCAGCATGAGACAGCGTTGGACATCATTTCTTTGCATGAGCCGATCTCTTCGCTAGTATACCACGCCTTGAAGTTCATAGAGACGTATGATTGTGAGACTGTTGGTGAGTCCCCACCTTGGGTTGGAACTCGACCACATCATGACATAACCAACAGGCGATCCGCAGACAGCAGTTGGCCATCTCGGAGATGTGGTATTGTTTGCCCAGTATACGATGGAGAAGTATCATGTACGTGCAATTCTGTTCTCAGCTCCTTGCGAATGATTGTTCCTATGTCTCGTAGCTTGACATGGACACTTTCGCCCATGGCGCCAACGCGGTATCTTCACAGTTTATCAAAACTGTACGGAATATATACGGGTTAGATGAACTCACCCGAGAGGAGATGGTCGCATTTAATTCTTGGTTCAAAACGCTTTTCGACAGTACGAGCGAAGGAATCGAGGATTCTATCCTCAGGTAATTGCTAGGCGTTCACCCTATTTAAACTGCCTTACCAACGGCTTGCAGATCAACAAATCCGAAGATACTTCTACGGCTAGCCGCGACTTTGGTCTCACATGCCATAATAGCGCGAATGGCATCCAAAATCGACAACGATACCCTTCACAACGGCGTCTCATTCTTTCTTAGTCCACTGTTAAATTGGACTCTGGTAGGTGTCGTGAAGTCGTTGCTCAGGGAGATCAAAACGAAAGGGTACGTTCCTTCAGAATCACCTCCTCGTGCCAACGCGCTTAGATGTTGCACTGAAACAGTTTCAATGCTCCCGTCCATTTCGACATCCTACAAACAATCCTACTTTCTCCTTCATGTCCACCGACCGTCCATTGCCTTTGTGGCGCGCAGATTTTGACGCAAATCACTCTCCTGAACGTCCGAGTTCAGACGGCTTCGTCAGAATTTAAATTTGATGTTCGGGCTATTCGCCAATTAGCTGCTCGTGCAGTTGGCTACATAGAACCAGGTTAGCCATTCATGTACATACTAGCGGACCTGACAATGACCAAGCTTGTAATCACAGCGACTATGCCGACTCCTAAGCAGCAAGGACTATGGCCGAACCAACCCAGGAACGCGATTCTCATGGCGATAGGGACGGCGCGAGGAGGCAAAGCGCCGCATCTCGATGTAAAGCATTGTCTGGACGTCACACCGCCCGCTAAGTTCCTCCAGCTCCTCTGGAGTGAACTGGTGGTCGCGGCGGGTCTTGGAGAGATGGACATGTGCCGACGGATAGCGACCTACGTTCTGACAATGCCACAACCTCCGCAGACTCCGCCTCTGCTGCCCATCTTCCTATACATCGTCCTCCCCTCATTGATCGTCGCGATCGACAATCAGAACGTGGGAGAGCAGACGCTGGGGACGGAGCTGCTCTTCAATATCGTCACGTCATCGCTCACCGCTGCTCTCCATCTTGAATGGGCTCTTCGTGCAGTAGGCGGTGAACCATTATCTCCGTTGGGCGGGCAGCCAAGTACGATCATGGCTCGAAGGTTAGGGGTCAACCTCCGCATGAAGAAAAATAGCCGCACTTCGCGGTCGCTCCTGCACAAATTGACATCGTCGCAACCGTTCATGGCCAACTTCCCGCATTTCATGAGCGAAATAAACATTTAAATTTATATAACGAAGACATAATGTTCTACCTTGTATCTAAAACTGATTATTACTTGATCACACATCAACTGGAGGTGGAGCTGCAGAAGCAAAAATAAGACAAAGCTGACTTGAGATGAACCAATTGGAATGCACGTACGGCAGCAGGCATTTTCGTGTGTACATTCCTCGTCAGGAGGGCACAAAATCAAACAAGAAGTATCTGCGCTAGTCTGACGTACGACCAATCTGAGGAAAGTATTCTCATCTCACAATACAGGACTTACTTTGAGATTTTCTTCCGGAATGGTTGTTCTGGGATGGTGGTACTCGGGTTGGATGGTACTCGAGTGGATACCATGATGATGCAATACTTTTCTGATATTCACCGCGACTGGCATGAAATCATGGTTGCGGGACGTCAGGACGTGCACTGAAGCGACTATCTTGGTTTCCGAAAGTTGCCAGATATGCAACTCATGGAGTGATAGGACCCCCTCGACGTTCAGTATCGACGCGCGAACTTGCTCAACCGAGATGGTGGAAGGAACACCTTGGAGGAGAATGAATGACGTGCTTCGCACTGCATTCACGCGGTGAGCATGACATCAACGAGGACGAACGAATCGACTAACCCAATGGAAGCGCGGAAGAGAATATAATAATTGTGATCACTAAACTGATTATGGGGTCGAAGTAGAATTTGAAGCTCCATTCGGTTAGCCAGATGACTAGGCCGGTCGCGATCACGCCGACGTTCCCGAGGGCATCACCAAGGACGTGAAGCAGCAGAGCACGCATGTTCATTGAGCCTGCATGTGAGTGTCCGCCATGGGAATGGTGATGGTAATCATCGTCAACGGAGTCCGAGTCGAGTAAAGGAGTATCCTCTGAATCGTGGATCGCAGGGGAAGCTAGGAGGTTCTCGCTGCTATCAGCTTCTGCGATGACTGGTATATCATCGGTTGATAGAGCATTCCGACGCATGCCTTCGGTATCAAGCGAGAGTCTGGTCCGCGAAGGTGAGGGGGAACGTGTGTATGCGATATTGTTCGCGGTCTGGACCAAGGAAGCACGGGTGGCTGCGGGGTGGCCATACAAGGAGGAATATGATTCTGTTCGCGAACGAGTGTGCTTGCGTTTTGGAAGTCCTTCAAGGGCAGCATTTGCAGGTCTCGGACTGGATTGCGACGCAGCGGAACTGCTAGGCGTGGAAGGAGTGGGGTGACTGTGTGAATGACCGTGTTCTGCAGAAAATGAAAGAATGGGGAGGAAGGAGACGCAAGGCACTTGTCAGTCAGAGTGAGTTAATGAATCGGCCACATGATGATTACCATGGAATAGGAACAATCCAACAATGTTCGACGCTAGGCCGAGAGAACCGACGATGACTACGAGGCGAGGATTGGAGATTTCTGGTTAAGGTATTAGGACTTTGCCCATGGATGTGAGGAAGGCGGCTTCACCAGGGGTTGAGAAGAAGCGTTCTATAGCTTCGAGGGAAATGGAGAAGCATAGTGCAAGGAGGAAAACTCCATTAATCAAAGCGGCGAGGATTTCAGCGCGGTGCCACCCATACGAATATCGCGAGTCCGTTGAGCCCTGTGCTGTCAACTGTGGAGAAACATTACATTGATTCCTTCTTTGAAATTAAAACACAACGAAAGGACCTTGATTGCATAGAGTGCGACCACTAAGCTCATTACATCGCTATAACGGGGTGTCAAAGCTTTCCTGAGATATATTAGGCGAGAAGACGGACTTGAGCATGTGGAAGCTGTCAGCTACTAGTGCAAGCGAGCCGACCGCATAACCTGCGCGAATTCAGAAGAAGTGAGTGGCGTCCACATTGTGCGCAGAAGACTATTGCTGACCAACGATGAGTTCGACCCAGAAGAAGATAACATCAATGATGAGGAGAAGAGTTATCCTCGCTGAACGTGACATTCCCATCGCGATCAAGGACGGGGATGTGAGTTCGAGTACGAGGAGGTGGTGGTGGTTATGGACGGAAGAGATGATGCCTTAGACGCCCGAGTGTGTCATTTGAAGATACCGGGTCACATGCGCTCGGAATATCAGAATCCGATTCTCCTGGATCCAGAGGTACTTTCAGGAAAGTAGCATAGACGCTCCACGGTTCATTGATCTTTGATTCTCGCGACATTCTCAATCGCAGACAAACCTGCGAATATCAAGATTAAAGTGCGTTAATTTGGCATTGTTTGGCAAAGCCTTTAGATTTTTCTACTTCACCGTTCAAGGCGTCGAGCACTCGAGTATCTTCTGCCCAGCATGGCTGCAACATCCATGGCCGCCGCCCTCGCGGCTTCCCTACCAGCACCTGCAGCAGCACCAGCGCCCGTAGCGCCATCCTATGAAGCCATTCCTGCCTCCATGGCCAAAGTGGTCGACATCGAGGCAGAGATTCCGTTAACGTGCGTTCAGCTCGATGCCATGGTCAGTTGCCGCGCCTTCTTCATGTCCCTCTTATCCCCCCACGACTCCCCCACGACCCTCCTGCATCTGCAACTGCTTTCCCCACGGCTGCGATATACCGGACGTATGCTCATACTTGCGTCGTAGGTTGTCACCAAGATTCTGAAACATGCACGAGAGTCAAACTCAACGACCGCACACGGCCTCCTTCTCGGCTTGGACTTGGACGGGACGCTAGAAGTCTCAAATTCATTTCCATTGCCCCATCACGTCTCCGACGAAGATGACAAGTCTGCCAAATCAGTAGGTATGTACTCATGCTCGTACCGGGCGGTTTCAATTCCCCATTCATTAACAGACTTGTCATTTGCTTCTATGATAACGCAGCACGGTATCAGGCCTCTATGCTACGATCGCTGAAGGAGGTACAAGCAGACGACAGTGTCGTGGGCTTCTACCAGGCAATCACACTCGGCGCTTTCTTCAATCAAACCCTCTTAGACACACAAGCTATACACCAGGAAAAATTACGACACGGTGGTATTATTATCGTCCACGGTGCGTAGAACCTCCTTATAGAAGCACTTGGCATCTCAAGTTCCATTGGACGTTCTTTGCAGACCTTTCCCAAACTGCGAGAGGGAATGCCTCCTTCCGTGCCTTCCGATTGACGAGTGCATTCCTTGATGCGTACAAGAAGAACAACTTCAGCGCGGCCAGGCATGTCTGTCTCGTTCAATCAAGATTTCATGTTCCTAACTATTGCTATTTATTGCGCGTAGCTTGATCAACCATCGGCTGACATTCTCTTCGATTCTTGAGGAAGTTGCCCTCAAGGTTCGAACAAATCCTCTGCTAAGCTCGTTCCTCGGGGTTCTAACTGAGCCAACTCGCTCGGAAGCTACTGATGCTCCACCAGCTGCCGCCGCTACATCGGCGCTACCGCCGTCGTATGGCGTGTTAGATCTGGGCACGTCAGGCGTTACACGGAATCTGGAGCAGATCATCGAGGGCATCGACAATTATCGTACGGAGGAGGGCAATTTAGCGTATCTGTTGCGTCAGATAGCACGAGAACGCTCCAAAGCCGACAACCATGTTGCGAAGCGGCAGGAGGAAAACGCTACTCGGATAGCCCAGGGGCTCGCCCCCCTTCCCGAAGAAGATGTGAACAGACTTTTCAAAATCCCACCCGAGCCAAGTCGGCTCGAAAGCATGTTGCTGCTAGGGCAGGTTGATGCTTACGCAAAGACACTCAGCAGCACGGCGAGCACAGGGTTGGTTAAAATGTACGCTGCAAAAGCAAGCTTTGGGAATTGATGTGTAGATATACACCAATTGATCCAATTGGAGATGCAGTCCACCGTCCCGAGACCTCGCGGGTTCAACGTTTTAGGGGCAGTGTAAGATGAGATGTGCAAATACGCGACAACAAAGGATACAGTCTGAAAATTTCCACACCTGTTTCATTTGCTTCGTCCGGTCGTTTCTTCTCCTCAGTCGCTCGTTTACTTAAATACTCTCCCTTCCCCTGTGCCATTCTGTGTCCACCTCCTCCTCCCTGCCCGCCATGAAAGCTGTCTACTTCATCTCCCTCCTCCTCACCGCTGCCCCGCTCTCCGCCTTCGCTACCCCGCACGCTGCTCGTGGCATTCACAACCATCACCGTGCCATTGCAGCCCGCGTTGCCAGCCCAGCCGATGTTCCTTCAGCGAGCCTGCGCAAGCGCGCGTCGGGCAGACGCTGCCGCCCCCGATCATCAAGCGCGGCCCCCGCACCCGCTACGACAACCAAGCCCGTAGCCAACGTCGCACCCACGCCAGACATCGAGGACAAGCCGACAACCACCAAGAAGGCAGACCCGACAACCACCAAGGAGGCGACTACATCAAAGGTGGATACTTCTCCCTCTCCTACTCCAGAGAAGGCGACTACAAAATCGCCCTCTCCTTCTCCTTCTCCTACCCCTTCTCCGACTACGGAGAAGGCGACCACTAAAGCACCGTCTCCTTCTCCTTCACCCGAGAAGAGCACAACTCCTGACACTACTGTTGATAAGCCGAAGCCCACACCGACGCCCACGCCCGCCAAGCCCGCAGAGAACAACGACGATGGCGGCTCTGGCGGTGCTCGTCCATTCGGCAACTTCTTTGCTGGGCAGCAAACCGGCGAAGGTCAGATTCTCCCTATATCATCAATCCCCCCACATGCTGATGTTTCGTCCCCGTTTAGGTACTTTCTACGCGACGGGTTTGACCGCATGTGGTGAAACAAACAAGGACACGGATTTCATCTGTGCTGTGTCCATGAAGCTCTTCGACGCTGTCCCGTAAGTGTTTGATCTGCGTATCATGCAGCCTGTTTTAATCCGCCCTGCTTGTTTCAGTGGTGCTTCTGGCAATCCCAACAATAATCCCATCTGCGGCAAGAAGATCAAGGCTACATGTTCGTCAACTTCAATTTCCTGATATTTTCCCGCTTGACTTATATTCTTTATAGACAAGGGCAAGAGCGTTACCGTCCGCGTTACCGATCGTTGCGTCGGCTGCGCTCCTACTGATCTCGACTTCTCCCCGTCGGCTTTCGCCCAGCTCGCCTCCTTCGATCTGGGTCGTCTCCAGGGTGTTACATGGACCTGGGTCTAAACGCCCTTTACCCCAACCCCTCCCGCCATCCGCCTTTTCCGTCAATACTGATGCCTATACCTCTTTATTAGTTGTTTTATTTTACGACCCCTCGATATCGTTCGTTTCCAGCTTGACGCGTTACATATTGCTTTGCCTCTTGCGTGTCTCGATGGCGCGCCAAGAGGTGTATGCATTATCTCACTACGTACACATACCCTGCTGTTCCTTACGCCTCACCAAGGCATTCAGTCCTTGGCAGGCCTGTCCGTCGTTCGTTACTCCAGCAACGCAGTTCTGGATGTCCTTCAATAGTAATCATGTGTCTGTGCTGGGTCACCACCGCGTAGAATTGTCCATAGAATAGTGTACCAATTGCAAACACGCAAATGTACTGTGTACAGATGTAAATTTCAATAGAGCGAATGCCAAGAGTTTTTTGCTGCGGTAACTAGGGCAATGACAAGGTGGTGGCTGGGATAGATATTTTGAGGTCCTTTTCAGGACTCGGCAACATCTCTCCGTTGCGATGACATTGTAACCAAATTGCAACCATTATTTATTTGTCTGTGATTCTGTCATTGTCGTACCGAACACCAATATGACTGCATATCAGTACCGGCGACGGCGAGGTCAACGGCCTCCTCGAGAGCGCCGTCTGAAGGGGCGGCCCCGTTGTACACCTGAAGTATTGCTACCAAATCCAGGGAGAGATTCTGTAAACCTGATTCGATTGGTAGTTTTTTGAACGGGCCCATAATGCGGCCACGCGTTGGGTGCTCTACGCAAAAGTAAGGCGCCAGTCTGGACCTTAGCGTGGATATTGTCTGGCGGTTGTCTGGTTAGGTTATGATGGAGACAGGCGTTGTAATAAATTCCTGAACGCACGGAATCATGTATTATCCCTGACCGGCGCTGAATCAAGCGGATGAGACAGCGAATGATGATCTGTGTACGTCCAGAAAATAAGCCACGGGTGATTGATAGAAATAATGGTCACTACTGACTTCACTGGTGACGAGGCTCGTGGCCCCGAGTTCCCATAGGACCTTGGGGAGATGGTTAATCCATTCTTCGAGCGCGCCACGCTGGCCGGCGAAACGGGCAAGGCGAAAGGAACCCGTATAGCTGCGTTCTGTGTCCAACTATCGGCACGATGTCCAACAATGATGGGGAATGATGCCCGTTGATGAACATACATATGCAGAACGGAAAGAAGAGCAGAAGAATACGGAGCAAGGTGGGAATAAGACTCGTGGACTGTGGGCCAATGACGACGATTGCACCACGCACCAATGCAAGACGGCCGACAAACTCTATCGTGAGTTTCTTGATGGCGGACTTGGACGAGGCCCGCGTAGCATGGCTGAGAACCGCGGCAAGGATGCCGGCGGAGAATGAGTCGTTAGGGCCAGCAGTGCTGCTAACGAAGGACCAAATTGTTGGAAGGAGGGCAACGTATGCGTCGGGGGTTAATGCTCGGCCGAGTTGGGTTCCATTCACAGGCTCTCCGTTGAGCAGGCTGATCACGTACTCGCTCACAGCTTCTGCGTGAACGGCGGACGCATTATCTGGGTGCCCTTGTTTCCCTCGGGCCGATGGCTGAGGTGTTTTGGAGGTAAGAACCAGGAGAGACGTCAGTTGACAGTAAACGAGGTTCATCTCTAGCAAGGCTTCGTCGATCTAGACGGTGTTACTTAAATTTTAAGCCATGCATGTAACGTAACAACTCCACCTTGATGTCGCGGCTTCCAGAGCTACTGAACGGGAAGTAAGACGACATGTAGTTTATGAGCGTCTTCAGGTCGTCTCGGGCAGCCTGGGCGTCTTTTGGCATAGACTAATTTGCGTAAGCAACGGATCAACATGTGGAAGAATAATTACCGTTGTATCTCTCTGGGCGATGGACGAATACAAACTTCTTGCAATGTTTGCTACAGCCAAAACGAGTTTCATGTCGGTTTCCGAGGCTTTGCCGTTTGGACTGAATGCGGACGGAGCGAAGTCTAGAAACGTTGATATCAAAGTCCCCCGTAGTGCCCGAGCTATATGCTATACCATTACGATGTATCAAATAAGATCATCTTGAAGTAAGATAGCCACTAACCATTACAAGCGGTGCTTTTACATCCGTCTCATCAACCACAGCCGAAGAAACACTTTCTGACAAGGTTTGAATAGAGATATCCGGTGACAAAATGTCAGCGAAGGGGCAATACGAAACAAAAATGTCGCCGTCGCCGTGGTTTGCTTCGGCTCTCCATCGGCGCTTCTTGGCCTTACTTGGCTGAGAATGAGTAGGTCGAAGGAGGTCGTCGAAAGAGGTGTGAGCATCCTGTGAAATGAATGACGGACGGATGTACCACGAATCAAAAGGCGCAGTGTAGGGGTCGTCATGCGAAGTAGAAGCCCCGGAGGAGAGCGCATGGAGAAGGAAAGAGGAGAGAGATTGCAACAGGATGAGTTTCGACTAGAAAAGAGTGTCAGATTGTATACTGATAGGGGGAGAGTATTGTCTAACTGAAGGTGTGAGTATGACGCTTGCCGTGGAAGTCGCTTGGATCTTGCCTAGAGAATCTTTAGGAGGTAAAAAAGGATAAACTGCGTTCAGACAAACCATGATTTTCGTTGAAGGCTGTCCCAGCATTGAGAGCCCCGAGATAACCTTCAAGTATACGAGCCCCGTGTCCCGCTTTACCTTCGTCCCAGCCTTGGACGACGATTTCGGGAATGTTTTCCAGCAAAAGGTCCACGATGCGAACAGCATCTAGTCGAATCTCAGGGAAAATGTGGGTTTGTGCAGAGGTGGTAAATAATAAAAGAACGGAGGCATGGGCAATCAAATTCTCCTAAACCACATATTCAGCGACACACCTCCACGAACTATACGAACATACCTGAGGGATACGGGGTAGAAGCCACGAGAGAAACTGGTACAGAGACTTCCGCACACTAGCATCCTACAGGCACAAAGTTACTACGAGCCCGAAGTAAACATGTAGAGTCGGTTATTCTACCTCGTCGGCTATCAGTCGTACACAAGCATTAAGGAGAGGTGGTAAACTTGACTCCAATACCTCCCAATGTGCATCAAGGAGTTCCCGCATGCTTGATAGCGCATCTTGATAAGCAAATTAGATCGAGTTGACTGAAAATCGCCAGTTGCAAGTACCTCTGCGAATACCAGGGTTATAATGCTTCAGATGTGTTACGAGGTCGCCAATTGATAAGTTTTTCCGCGTAGTTGGCACATTCACGTCCTTTTCACGCGAAATACTCTGATTTGGCAGAGCAATTGCTAAGGCGCTATAGATGAGTTCATGTCCCAGACAGAGGAAGCATCTCTACACCTACATCGTGCTTTGAAAGATGTGTCTATTACATTGGAAGGTGTCTGTTTGCCCTTTCCAAGCTTGAGCTTGGCTTTCTACAGTGAAATTGTGAGCGAATCAACTTTATATTCTCTTTCCTGACTCACGGAGAAATCAGCAGCCTTTTCCTTCCGTTTCTTCGCACTCTTTGGCATTTATAGATGATGGTCGCAGTGACCGATGGTATTTGTCACCACGTGATTAAACCTCCGACATACATCCCGGTCCGCCACAACTACCGCAGCGCTCCTCTTCCGCTTTACCTGCGACGGATGTCCCTGCAGTCCATGTGATGGTCCAATAACTAATGCCCTTCTAGTGCTCAAGACCGCTAAGATCAATGTCGACTTCTCTCCGACATTCCTCCGTTTCTCCACTACTGGGATCGAAGTCGTCTGACGTGCCAGCTACACGCCTGCACATATAATGTTTCTATACTGAGTCGTATCGATTTGTAGTCTCCAGTACCTTCCATCTCTCTATGCGTTCTTTTCTGCCCCTTGTTTTGTTGGTTCTACAAGGCCTTTCAGTTGTACTTGGTGGTCCATCTACTAGCAAGAAAGTACCCAGAGGTTTTGTCACGACGCGTGGAAGAGATTTCGTGTTAGATGGCAAAAAATTCGTTTGTGTTCTAACTAATACAACCGAAATACTACTGACGAACGAGCAGGCATTCGTCGGAGCTAACTCTTATGCATGTTCCATAGTTGATCGCATGGGCTGAGCTGACCAGCTTCGCAGTGGCTCCCTTTGTTGACAGAGCAAGATGATGTCGAAAGCACCTTCCAGTCGATGCAAGATGCTGGAATCAAGGTCTTAAGAACTTGGGTAGGAACGAACCCTCACGTCATATAAAGTGTTCTTATTCTCGTCCTACGAAGGGATTCAATGCCATCAATGGCTCAGAATTAGATGGGGCCTTGGATTCCGGCCTCACATACTACCAAGTGATTTGGACCCATTTCATCACCGCATCCCCCTCTCATCAACCCTTTTGAAGGTATGGAACAGCAGCGAGTGGGCGCTGAATACCGGGCCACAGGGTTTACAGCGCCTGGACAAGGTAATTGAGACAGCTGGTAGACATGGCATCAAAGTTATTCTTACCTTCACCAACAACTGGTAAGTGGCTTTCCTTGCCGGAGTCTGCTACGCTAGTAATCCCGCCGATACAATAATATGACAGGGTTGGATATGGCGTAAGTTTTCCGACGTTTGTAGCTTCTCCTCGCAGCTTAATACGACGCTCGATGCAGGGTGCTGAGCTATATATCAACTGGATTGCCGGTGCTGGGCAACCTCACGATGTGTTCTTCACCGATCGACGTATAGTAGCGTCATATCGTGAGTGTCCCCTTCGAGAATGGACAATCCTTGCTGACAAATGGTGAAGAGCGCTACGTCCGTACCATTGTCGAAAGATACAAGAACTCTCCCAACATCTTTGCTTGGGAGTTGATCAATGAAGCCCGATGCTTAGGTGACCTTCCTGCAGGGCCAAATTGCGTTCCTTTCTCTGGCACCATCTCTCGATGGTATGAAGAGCAAGCCAACTTCGTCAGAAGATTGTGAGTGCACAATCACCGGGAGGTACTCATCACCGACACGAAGACCAGAGACCCATTCCATATGATCACGACCGGAGGCGAGGGTCAATTTACTTGGAGGAACCCGGTGAAATAGTAAGCTACATACGCAAGCTTTGGGGACGTCGCTTATATACTGCCTCTCGTTTTAGCTGGGCTAATGGCGTTCTCGTAAGTGACTATAACTTCAATGGTCAAGGTATGTACAGCTTGTTTCGATCAATGACTTGCACTCATACAGTTCCTCAAGCCGGAGAGGACTTCGACAAGGACCTCGCGTTGAAAAACATCGACTTTGGGACCTACGTTAGTTGGTCATTTGTCTCTCGTAGTCCTCCGCTAACGTACTAGGACAACAATCAGCATATGTATCCTCAATCCTGGTACAGCGACCTGGTACTTTCCTTTTCCTGTGGTCCCTTTCACTAGGTGACACCAAATCGCCAGGATTTCCCGGGATCCAATTTCACCTTGAAATCGTGGGGAGTTGACTGGATTGATCACCATGCCAAAGGTAATTGCAGCTCCCATAACCGCTATTGATGTTTGTCCTTACCAGCGTTAAGCTGCTAAGAAGATCGGAAAGCCACTGATCCTGGAAGAGTTCGGTACTTCGGGTTTCGGTATGGACACTATAACCACCTCTGCGGAAAGGCGCTGACTTTCGAGTTCACAGAGAATAAAACCGACATTTATCCTACCTGGGTGAAAAGGGCCCTGGATACTCGGCATGGGTAAGCTAGTCTAGTTATTGTGTCAATCAATTCGCCCACCAACTTACATGTCCTTGTAGAGGGTTTGTGTTTCTACGGACATTATCCAAGACTGCTTATTAAATATCGCTCTCGTAGAATCATGCCTTGGCAATTTGGGAAACTCGGACTCACAGAAAGCGGTGGAAACCGGCTCATCAAGTACGCTGATGCGCTCATAGACGGTGTAAGTGATGTTTCTCTGTTTTACGCTGGCAGCACGAATTGATTTCAACCTTCCCCAGGCCTCTCCTAACGACGGTTTGTCTTTCTCCTTTTTTGCTCCGTTGTAATCGACCTCACGCGAACCTCGCGTTGTAGGCTTCGCTATATATCCTAACCAGACAGCGATCTATAGTATTTTCACGTGAGTCTGGCGTCGAGCCATCTCTGTGGTGTAGGATCTTGATATTGCTTTTAGTTCCGCTGCCAGGGTACAAAATGCAAGATCCAGGTAAACGAATACGATCCATGTAGGAAATAGGCCCGACCCCGATCCCTCAGCTACAAAACCTTGTGTCCATGCTAGTTCAGGCTAGCTCCTCATGAACGAATTTCTCCTGCTACGTCATATATTATTACTTGAGAGTCACCGAATCTGCAACATGAGGAGAGCCTACCTTATTGGTCCTACGTCTGTGGACCCCCAGCGGTGGAGTGCGGCTAGCGGCGTGATGGTGACGCCCTCTATCCTTTGAGGTGTATCATTTTCGTCAACTGGCCTAGCGTGCCTTTGTTCGAAGACATATTTAAGGCTAACTTGAACGTCCCGCCAGATTCGTACTCTTCGTTGGTGTGTTCGTCACGGGCGGTTGACAGTGCGGAGGGAGAATCAACCTACGTTATTTGCGCCGCGTTGTCGTTCTGCTTCAACGTGTAGCGGTAGACCGAACCGGCATTCAAAACCAACGATATGCTTTCTTCTGGGTGAAGGAATATCCTTGCACCCTCGTTAGGAAATCCGTCAAGGTCCCGCAAGAGACGTAGTGTGGCGGGCTCGGTTGAATTATTTGAAAATTCCAACAGCACCTCGAAAGGCAGGGTGCTCGTTGGCATTATAATAGCGAGAAAGGATTAGGGTGTTTCGCCACAGGCCTGAAGCCTAGTAACCGTCTCAAGACAATAAGGGCCTTCCATGTATATAAGGAAGCGAGGGGCGCTGAGATGCATCTTCGTGGGCGATTGATATTAATTGTCCTTGAGTAGGTTGGCTAATTGTCTTTCGAGCCGAGCTCTTCTTCAGCCTGAATGGACATATATGGTGATTTCTGCGGTCCAACGATTGCATCAAGAATGCTTACCGGCTTGATGTAAATAAAAGCAGAAGTACTGGGGGTACTTCCTTGACTGCGATCCTCCGCAATCTCGACCGCGACAGTGGCATTGTTCAACGTGGTTGGCCTGATAATGAAATTAGTATGACATACCGATGACTTAGAATCTACTTCGTGCTAACAAAATTCCACAGAGGAATACTCCAAAATATTGTTCGTGATCATAATGCATTTTCGAAAGGAGGTATGCTACAAAGATACGCACTGTCCTATGGAAGCGGACTGGCCAAGAAGATGGAATTCGAAGCAAAGATGGTTCAGAAGCCGAGCGACTTGAAGAATGGACGCTTCATAAAGTTGACCCTCAAATCCAGGCAAACTAAATCGTCATCGTCTGCGGTATACCCCCGGACATTCACCACGAATTTCGCTGCATGAACATTCAGAAGAGAGATATGCGTACAGAATGGTCAGACGTACCTTTGGGAATCTCCTTGGGCAGTTCAACGGTCTGCTCCACTTCGTAGTCACCCGGTTCAACAGGGCACTTCACATCAGTGTCCGCGTTGCGGCTGCAATGACGTCGTCAGCATGCCACCGGACGATACCGATAGGAATCGACTTACGCCTCCTCGCAGAGATCAAACTGCTTGTGAAGAAGCTTGATAAGGCCAAGCTTCACGGTAACATCGGCATAGGCTCCTTCCTGGTAAGTTTAGTAGCAGCACATCCCTAGAACGAGTCCAGCATACCTCCACCCTTTCGATAGCTGTGGCCTTGACCTTGACGGTCATATTCTTACCAGGCTGGGGTGGGTCCGGAGTGACGACAATAGAGGTGATTTGTATCGGGTCGGTGGGCAATCCTGAAATTTACATATGAGTCCTTCATCGGAATACTGAAGCAACCGGTGTACGAACCGCAATCTGTGTAGCCCCAATCATCAGTCGTATGGACCGTATCACCGCCGGTAAGAGCTATTTGAGTGGAATCTAATGGGCTCGCACGAGAGAGCACAGCCAGTGTCGCTAGGAGGAACGAAAAAGCGTAACGGGTCATGATGGTTGGGGGCAAAGGTTGTTGGCGGCTGGTGGCGGTGGAACCACTGCAAGACGTAATTGGTTACGTGGGAAAGTATATCCTAGTTAGGATAACGTGGTTTGGCCATTGATGCGCGCTCAGTTGCCCGGCGCGCAGTACACTACACTGCCTTCTCCACTTTCTTTCTGTACCACCATAAATTGGACCACCGACCTCTTGATTCCCTTCCCATCGCTTCCACCCTTCACCTAAGAACATGAAGCCCCGAGACTACTGTTGCTGCGCAATACCGACGATCAATGCTGGCATTTACACGGTACTGGCGGAGCAGTTTAGTTTGGCAATTATTGTGGGAGTGCTCTCAATCGCTACACCATCCAGTGAGTTTCTGCGACTGAGATGTCATGTTTGTCTGACGGAAACAGTCGTCGGGGCGGCTACTCCATCTTTCGCACCTTGGATTCTGGCTATAATATGTTTTGTGGCTGCAGCCATTCAAGTATTGGGATTCATTGGGGCGCATGGGGTGCGTATCGCCCCCGACGCAACTCTGTTCGGAACTGATGCGCATATGCAGGAGAAACCTGTCATGTTTCGCCGCTATGTTACCCTCCACATTCTCATAACCGTCGCTGGATTCTCAGTGGCAGCCGTATGGGCAATAATATCGGCCACCCGGCACAGCACTGCCAAGCAGAACTGCATAACGAATTTCTTCCCCGATGAAGGTAGCAGGTCGCAGGGAGACCTGCTTTGCGAAATATTCCCTTGGGTCGACGTCGGGATAATGGGAGGCCTTTGGTTGCTCTTACTAGCGGTCCACGTATGCTCCCATCACCAATCTCTCCAGGGCGAAACGTTGATATTTGATTAGATCTATTTCTACGTCGTCATATCCTCGTACGGGACAGGCCAGAGACGAGATCATGCTAAGTATGATCAAATCAATGACACCACCACGGCCGGTGACAACATCCCAATGAACGCGCGCTATGATTCTAACGAAGACCTCCGTAACCCATCAAATGGTCAAACCTATAATCATCTTCGGCAGGATAGCGTCGGAAGCGTCGCAGACATCATGGGCGCGCCAGTACAACAACCGAAGGACGGATTCTCTAATCCTTACAATTATCCGTCCCCTCCCCAAAAGTACCCTCCATACAAGCGAGGTTCGTTATCCCAGCCGTCGTATGCCTATACGCAGGATCCTGGGCCGACGCCAATGGCTCAGGACTATTATTCCCAAGACCAGAATCAGCTACCAAGCACACAGCGGCATCCAGGTCAGTTTTAGACAAGCCATACTTTCGTAGTCTTGGGCCATGCACATAGCCTTCTGTGCCTGGTTTTCGTATGTCGACCGTCTGAGCCAGTGATGTCTCGGGACTGATTTGTTGCCTTAGCTGAAGGATCGTTTCGCCGCAAGACGCCTCGATTGACGAAGCCTAACATAGGAAGTTATTCATAGTTGATGCCCAGCGCATTGTGGACGGTAGCTTAGTTACTGACACTGACACTTTACTACAAATGTGTTCCGCTTATATTGTACTCTCCTACATACACTTCTCTCATCATTCCCCGTTTTCACAATAGACCCTGTAGCCACGGACGAGGAAGATCCTCGGTATCTGCGATGCCTGCAAGTTGCCTGCAATACGTGAGATGTGTGGTCTTGTGACTCCGAACCTCAAGGCAGTCTCAGGAAGTATGAGAGCCTTCTCAGGCTCACTCCTATCGATGCCTCATTGTACCTGCGTGGCTCTCTCATTTGGGGTCGCATTCCCTCCGTCTGTCATGTATGGGCCTCTACGCTATTCGGCCACTACTCGACCTTTCCATCTTTTTCGTTTCACACCAACAATAAACGCTGGTAGATGGATACCACTGGATACCACCGCGCCCGAATAAATAAACATTACATGCCTTGTTCGCGTGTTTTGTTGGCGCACAATGTGTCGTAGTTAGAGTGACTCCGGCGCGTGCACCCTCTCGGCATCATGGTCAACAAAAGTATCTTTGCCTTAAAACAGCTGGAGAAATCCCAGACTCAAATAATTCGGTTCTGCCCTTCCCGGTCTTCCTCTGGCCCTGGTCCTTGAGGAATTCTAGTGTATTAAACCCCTGTCCTGGTCTGACACCGAACCTGCGAACCTGGCTCGCCCAACTTCCTTCCCGCCATGCCCTCCCTCTATCATAGCTATGAAGTGCTGCTCGACTTCACCAACGACACGCGCGATTGCATTACGGTCCAGCTTTTGCGGGATTACGGGCGAAATGCGGGGACAGCGGTCTTATTGCCGCCATCTGAGAGTATCACTCTCGTGTTGGAATCCGGAGGCGTGTACAAATACGCAGTAAAATCGCAAAGCAAGGTAGCCAATGTGACGTACGTCTGCAGCGTTCATTGCCTCGAGGGGGATGTTTACTGTTGAGCAGCGCGCGTAGTTGGAGAAACATACGATGTAATGCATCCCATCTTTTTACAAGCGTGCCTGGCGCAGAAACATTCGACGATCCGCTGGTGGGCGGCATCACCGTTGATCATATATGGAGAGATTATCGGATGTACCTATGGGACCCTCAAGCTCAAGGCGAGGAGTATGTTCTCCCTCATGCCCACCCCCACGTTGTCTGATCTTTTCCTTTTAGAAGAACAGCCCTACGTCTCACCGCTACTGCATAATACCCCCGGCTTCAACCTGCTCGACCACGCCGAAAACACGTTTTCTCTCACTATTATGTTGGGCATTGTTGAGTTTCTTACTACACGGACTAGTTATCGTATATTTATCTAATATTATTTAATTCTTCCATCGAGAATTGTACTGATAAACCAGGAACCGCGCAATCACTAGCTCCTCTCCTCGTCAGTTCAATCAGTTTGTTGAGCAGAAGATCACGAGACCGTGATTCGGACTACAACCTCTCTACATTGCGCTGATCATTAATCGTCCTCCCTTAGGACCTTCTCCGCAGAACACCGGGATACTATCGTCCTTATTTCAGGATCTAAAGCTGAGCCGTTGCGATAGGTATGTTATCCTCATTTTCCTTGCGTATCTACTGATGAGTGTAGCAATTAGTTGGACTTCATCTGGCAGATGGCATCACCTTCTACGGACATCCATATGAGACGAAAATTCTCTCCTTGTAAAGTACGCAAAGTAAGTCCCACCATCATCCCAAGGTCTAGATATCGATATCTTCTTCCAAGTCGCACACGGAAGGTGCAAAAAGTCGAGATTTGTAGTAACGAGATTATTCTTGTAAGCTATGCCTGCGGTCTCGGTGCACAGTGGGCCATCTCACCGTTCGAAGGCTACAAGAGTACGTATACTGACACAGGATGCAGTATGATTTGGCCTCTCCCATATCGCTTAATATGTCAGTGTCGACAATATCACTAAGTCTATCTTCTCCGCTCGCGGGCCCTGCAGTAGATGAAGTCTTAGGATTCGTTTTAACTCAAAAGGCTTCGACACGCAGAGTTTGGAAGTTGCTATCAGCCCCAATAGCGAGATGTTGACAGAAAGACGGGTTGCTGCGGATGGTGCGGATGGTCCCCAATTCCAGCATCATTGTCGATACTTTGATAGAGATTGGAATGTGCATCGGGAGTGGGAAGAAATTCACAGCGATCAACTTGAGATTACCCCAAGACACCGGGCAAATTGGACCGGACGTGGTGCGCTATCCTTTGATGATATACTTACGACTTACCGATGTCCGCCTTACGTATAGCCACATCGCGCACTCTACGATGCGCTTAGCGTCGAACTACCGCCAAAGCGGAGGACTTTGTGGAAACGCGATCGTTTCTTGTCAAACCCCGATACACTGGGGTGTCCACATGTACGATGACTGATGGGTTACATCCATGTCGAAGAAGACGGAGTATGTATAGCAGGATTCGAAAGCCAATGTGTAAAACCACCAATATTCATTTCTATTACGCACGTGTGTCGTGAAGAGATTCAAGAAGCATCGCTTCGCCCCATAACCGCTCTTGCCAACAGCGCGCCATGTGATGGCACCGAAGCATGATATTCCAGCACATATATATACGGAGCATTACGAGGGCCTGAGCTTCTTTTCTACCGTCCCCCAGTCATGACTGTCTTCAAGAATGCGGTAGCATTGCTAGGGCTGACCATTGCCGAGCTTGTCCTTGCGAAGGCAGGGATTGGCGCACGCATTGCAGCACTGGAGGCGTCCAATTCTTCCACTCTGCAATACCCAAGCCAATTCACGCAAAATATCATGCCCAAACCCATTCACTCTCACAATGATTGTCAGTATTCCCCGTTTCGCGTCAATGCCATACTGAAATAGCACACGTTAGATTGGCGAGATGTGCCTCTGCTCACGGCTCTATCATTTGGAGTAACGAGCGTGGAAGCCGATGTCTGGTTCATCAACAATACCCTATTCGTTGGCCATGAAGAGGCAGCCTTGACGCCTGACAGGACTTTCGATTCTCTTTACGTTCAGCCACTTGTCCAAATCCTCGAACAAATGAACCCGAAGAACGCGTTCACCGAAGGTCAAACGCGTCCGAAGTAGGCATCTTCCATGCTCCAATGTCCGACTTCGTCTGATCTTCCCCAGTGGCGTATGGGATACCGCTAGTGACATTCCTCTCCAGCTTCTAGTCGATATGAAGACTAATGGCGAAGCGTGAGTTCCCATCACTTCGATAACGAAGCAAGGTCTTGACAAGTCCACATGTAGGACCTTGCCACCGGTCCTTGATGCGTTAAGCCCGTTGCGAGAGCGAGGTTACCTCTCGACCTTCACAGACGGCGCCTTCACGCAGTCTGCAGTCCTGGCAATTGGCACAGGCAACACACCTCTTGCTCAAGTTCAGGCCCTGTCACCTCGCGACTTTTTCTTCGACGCGCCATTGACAGGGTTGGAAGACACTGCTGTGAATTGGGATCCCACACTGTCGCCCATTGCAAGCACCGACTTCGCCGCGGCGGTAGGATGGAATGGATTGGGCACGATATCCGATGCTCAGCTCAGCAACTTGACCAAATTTATCAACGACGCGAAAGCAAGAGGGATCAACTCGAGGTTCTGGAATACGCCTGAATGGCCGGTCTTCGCCCGAGAGAATATCTGGAGAGTGTTACTGAACAATGGAGCGTTCTGGTTGAACGCTGATGACCTTGAAGCTGCGAGCCAATTTTAATAAGATTATATAGTGTGAAAGCAGCAATCAGCAGAACGAATTTATGCCGACTTTACTCGTCGAGTCAGCATGCTACGCGCCGTAAGAAGTCTTCCAACTGGTGGTGGCCGAGGGTGCGAAAGAGCACCCTTGGAAAGGTCAAGAACACTACGAGTTTCTCCTGGAATGGCTTGACCGGGCCTTGGTCGAAGTGAACGTGGTTTCATGGACGTTGATTTCTTCGACTGGGTGTTATCGTAAATTTCCTTAAAGGCCAATGGGGTGGCCATGAGTCTGTCCTGTTATCAAGTCAAGTCGTGAGATGGCGTCTGGAATGCGTCACCATATTGCTCGCTTACGACATAGTCTGAGGCCTTCCTGCTCACGTCCAGAAATGCGTCTTGATCTCTGAACCGCAACATTTTCTGGAGATTCCACCGTGTCATCGGTCGTAGGGTTCCCTTCTCACCGAAACCCAGACTTCGTTCTGTTCGCACAATATCCTGGGTTCCAATGGCACCTTGATTGATCAAGGAGACAGGTGCCTGTCGTCTGAGTTTCTCTCGTAAAATGTCCCACCCGATGGCGCGAGTCGTGAGTTCGTATCGAAGGTCACGAGGGTTATCCACCAGCTCCAAGACGGCCTGAGGTGCGTTATCGCCCTGACGGTTGCCGAACTTGTGGATTCGAGTGTAGCCACCGGGACGAAGTGCGTAGCGCTCGGCGAACGCGCCAAATAGTTTAGGAACCAAATCGGGTTTCAAGAGAAAAGAGGCGGCGCGTTTCTGGGACGCTAGGTCACCTTTTTTGCCCATGGTGATGATCTGGCTGAGTATAAGTGGTGCTTTCGGATATGTCAGGCGGAACGTGAATGTTCCGCACCTTTTCTGCCAACCTGGCCGCGTCTCTGGCCTTGGGCAATGTAGTTTTGATTTGCTCATGCTCGAAAAGTGAAGTCACCAAGTTCCTGTGAGACCGATGAGCGGCTGCTATGTCCAGAAAAGCTTTGCCTTACCGAAGCATCAACATCCGATGCGACGACGTCCTCGAGAACTTCCTAAAGGCCACCCCATGCTTCATGACCGCGTACTCGGGAAGACTGAAAGTGAACGGAAAGACGGGAAAGTATTCGCTTATGTAATCACCCATGTTCCCAACTTACCTAAAGTAGGTCGGGCCGGTAGCTCTGAGGTACGGCACAGCGCACTGGCCTCAACTGCGAAAAAATGGCGAGAAGCATTGTCATTGATATACTTGTATCAGATGCATGTGGTGAGGAGGCCGCAGCTCGTGAGCACTAGCGTCGTTTTGGGGAATATTAGATACAGACGCTTTGGGACAGGACCGGCAATCTCCTGTCGGACTTTCAACTGTGGCAACGCCCGCATTTCCGCGTTGCACCGTCTGCTCCCGTGGTTCGCACTTGCAGTAACTCAGAAAAACTATGTCTTTCATTCGCCTGGCCGCCCGTTCTGCTGTCCTTCCTTGCCGCGCGCTGACCGCGTCTCTGTCGCGACCTCAGCATGTTTTCCGTATGCGTTTCTCCGACGCTGCGCCCGCGGGGAGTGCTATTCCACGACCAGATATCGAGTCGCGTATACTGGAACTTTTGAAAGGGTTTGACAAAGTAGATCCGAGCAAGGTGCGCCCTTCTCCGTAGGCCATTGTCATATGGCTGACATGAAACGACGAAAGCTCTCCTCCACCGCATCGTTCTCAAAAGACCTGGGCCTCGATAGCTTGGACTCTGTTGAAGTCGTCATGGCAGTAGAGGAGGTGAATTAACTCCACTTCTCATTCTTTTTCGCGTTTTTCATCGTCATTCACTTTAGGAATTCTCAATTGAGATACCCGACCAAGAAGCAGACGAAATACAAACTGTCCAGCAAGGTTAGAGAATATTCTTATGTTCTGCCAATTGCGTGCGCTGACACTGCTTCGTGCAAATTAGCCATTGACTACATTGCCAAGACGCCGGAAGGTACACCACTCGCCTATCTTCTTCACTTTCGCAAGGCTGACTTGCCCTATAGCTCAGTGAGAGATGGTGGTCACGGAGAACCCCGTATCTATACTTGTGCTCCTAGCACCTCTAGAAAATATCAACATTCTTAATGCAGATTTTCCCAGCTATGGCTGTCGAGATCTAATGAGATATGGCTTGACATGCGCGATAGGAACGAGAGATCCACACACGAATGACGCCTTAACTATCTTGGTGAGACACGAGGACCGAGTTTCACTGGCTCTGGTTCAACCGGTTTTGGGATAATTGCCGCCGGATTTACATCTGCAATCTCGTTGATTTTATCTTGCTGTGTCTCTCACTTTCGGTATAAATGATCGGCCACTTCGTTCACAGTGCACCACTCAACTCGACTATCTATGCCATCAGTGCGTACAGTAACTGTGGATCAGCCTCTCCTCAAGGTTGGATGCACGCTAGGAGAAGGTAGGCCGGTAGAACATCGCATGGAACGCTCTCGGATTCAAATAACCTAAATAGGTCCATTGTATGACCCACGGACTTCCACATTGCACTTTGTTGATATATCGGAGAATAAGGTCAATTCTACCTCATGGATGAATGGTATAAGCCTCTATTAACTTTTGTGGTCAGCTCTTCCATTTCAATGTCATAGATCGTACTCTCGATGTGGAATACTTCCATGAGCCGGTAACATCGTTGGCCTTACGGCGTTCAGGCGGTGTACGCAACGTAGTTTCATTGTGCTATATAACGGGCTCACCATTCATCTATTAGCTCGCCTGCACTGCGGCCCAAGGCTTTGCAACGCTTGACGGGAAATCTAGACTTTCATATCTATCCAAGCCACTCCCAGACGGTTTCCTCCCCTTCGTCCGCTTCAACGATGGCGGGTGCGATAGCAGAGGTCGTTACTTTGCAGGAACAATAGAGTCGAAGGATCCAGATATCCCGGGGCAGCTATTGTCAGTGCCTTTGGTTCGAGATTCTAAGAGCCGCCCAGGTCTGACGGTGCAAGTAGCCGGTATGATCCCAGTGATGGTTCTTGCGTGGCTGTAGACGAAGGGCCATTCACGGTTCGTAATCGATCTCCATCTTCGCTGAGATTGACACTCAACCCCGAAGCAGGATTCGAATGGATTGGGATGGAGTCCAGATGAGAAGACGCTGTAAGAGATTAGCTCACATATAACGATGGCTGATCTGATGCACGGTGAAGATATTTCACGGATTCGTTGGTGAACCGGATATACGCGTACGACTTCGACTCGGAAGATGGCAGCATTTCTAACCGTCGGACGTTCGTCGACGCGATGGCGCAAGGCTATCCACAAGGCACCTTCGCTGACGGCCTTTGTCTAGACAAGGACGGATTCGTGTGGAGTGCGCGGTGAGTGAATTTGACATCGGATGCTCGAGACTTGTGCTCATGCACGGTGTCGTAGGTGGGGAGGATGCCGAGTCGTCAGGTATTCGCCGGATGGAACGCCCGATCTCGAGGTCGAGTTCCCTAGTGCCTTGAACATTACAGCGTGTTGTTTCGGAGGTAACGTCGACCGATACTAGCACTGGTCCGCGCCGCAACTAACGCAGGGATTGCAGGGCCCAATAATGATCAATTATTCGTGACCTCGGCGCACTGCGGTGCCAATGGTGGGGATGCCAGCAGACAAGAGTCGTATCCAGATTCGGGACACTTATTCGTTGTCGACTTTTGCGGAGAGTTCGAAGGAAGAGCACGATATGAATTTTCTGGATGAGTTGTAGTGTAGTTTTGGATATTTCGCTATGTTTTTTGCTTTCGACTTGTTAGTTTGCAACGCACATACACGGTACCACTTGCCCTTTGGACTCGGCATTTGCCGGCGGACCTGTACAGCTGACGGATTAGAGTTGTGTGACAATCTCTGGTCACACAAGCCACCCAATCTCACAAGGTGAGATAGAAGACGTTATAGGAACACTTGCTCACCACGACCCGCGACGGCCTCAAGACACTAGGTAGGTCACTTTCGATGCGCTTGCTCTGCTGTACGGGGGCCTCACGAAGCTACTAGACTTTCGACATGGCCACTTTTTCGTCGACGCCCATCATCATAGATGGCAAGGGCCATCTTTTGGGTCGGTTGGCGTCGATTATTTCCAAGCAGATTCTCTCTGGCCAGAAGATTGTCGTCGTTCGTTGCGAAGAAATCAACATCTCCGGTAGCTTCTTCAGGAACAAGGTGATTCAATACTCGGAAATGTAGACATGCCATGATAGTAAACCCTGGTGTTAGCTTCGATACCACAATTTCCTCCACAAACGCCATATCGTCAACCCCAAAAAGTCCGGCCCTTTCCATCATCGCGCACCGTCCAAAATCCTTTACCGAGCCATTCGCGGCATGACCCCCCACAAGAGCGCGCGCGGAGCAGCTGCTCTCGAGCGTTTGAAGGTCTTTGAGGGTGTCCCACCACCATACGACAGGAAGAAGAGAATGGTTGTCCCTGAAGCCCTCCGTGTCCTCAGATTGAAGCCTGGCCGCAAATACTGCACTGTTAAGGTATGATGTTTGACCAAGGACACCATGTTCGCGATCCTGAGCCTGTGATTTGTAGCGGCTGTCTCATGAAGTTGGCTGGGGTTACAAGGATGTCGTTGACCGTCTCGAGGAGAAGAGGAAGATCAAGGCCCAGGCTTTCCATGAGCGCAAGGTTTGTTAACTGTCTTGGCACTGTCGCTCGCATTGCTGACGATTTGTGTAGCTTGCCGCCGCCAAATTGCGCCAAAAGGCCGTATCTGATAATGCATCGTCGTTCGAGAAGCTCACACAGCTCGGTTACTAGTTGGAATATGCCATTTGATCCCCAACCCTACCCTACTATTATGATCCAATGCAGCATGTACCGCTATGTATTCTCTGACTACACCCTCGTATGCATCACGTTCGGCCCAATAACCATGAAATATGCGAATTCTTGAGTTGGCGGGATCTCGTCCCAATAAGGCTTATCAGTTCGGCTGATTGCGAAGTTGAGTTGGCCACGATTTTTTTGCTCAAAATTTCCAAGGTTGCACCCGACTCTCACCCAAACCCGCTCGTCCCTCACCCGCACACCGTTTTCCCGCCTCCCCTCCCGTTTCTCCCCTCCCCATCCCGCCCCTCCACATGTCCTCTGACACCCCAGCCAGGGTTGAGTCTGGTACGTATTTGCCACGCTAGCCGCCGCGCAGTATTGATTTGGCCCAGCTACTCCCCAGTCGCGCTCTCCGTCCCCCGATGACCACGACACTTTGACTTTACGCGCTCTTGTCAGCACAAAAGACGCTGGAATCATCATTGGCAAAGCTGGAAAAAATGTCGCCGATGTTCGAGAGCAAACTGGAGTCAAAGCAGGCGTCAGCAAGGTCATCCCTGGTGTCCATGAACGGGTCCTCACCGTGTCTGGTTCTGTACAAGCCGTTGCAAAGGCAAGTAGCCCCGTTTCGTGATCAGATTGGCTGATTTCTGATGCTATATGCTAGGCTTACACGCTCATTATTTCCCAACTTGTCTCAAATGCCCCGCCATCCCCCGTCCCCGTATCTTCGCCGTCCGTAACCCACACTTCCATACGCCTCCTCATCTCCCACAATCTCATGGGAACGATCATCGGCCGCAGCGGTCTCAAAATCAAAGCTATCCAAGATGAATCTGGTGCCCGCATGATAGCGTCCAAAGAAATCCTCCCACAATCGACAGAGCGCATTGTTGAGGTGCAAGGCGCACCAGATGCCATCGGCCGTGCCATCGAAGAGATCGGAAAGTCTCTGCTGGAGGACTGGGAGAGGGGTATTGGCACGGTTCTCTTCCACCCCTCAGCTGGCGAGGAGAGGGGGAACCGCCGGTCTGAGAGACCTTCGTACCCGCGTCGCAGCAACGGTGACAGTAGGGATCATGGTCGTTCGACTCCCCCACCTTCCTCCCCCACTTCTAGCCAACAACCCGCCAACCTACGTACACAGAACATCTCCATCCCATCCGATATGGTTGGCTGTATCATAGGGAAGAGTGGGACAAAGATCACGGAGATACGTCGTCTCTCCGGTTCGAAGATCTCCATTGCCAAAACGCCGCACGACGAAACAGGCGAAAGGATGTTCACCATCATTGGTACACCAGAGGCCAACGAGAAAGCCTTGTTCTTACTGTACAACCAACTTGAGAGCGAGAAGGAGAGGAGGGTGGGCAGAGACGCGCAGCAGCAACAAGAGGTCCAGGAGTGATTGTTCCATCATTTTTGCTACCGTTCGTTCGTTAGATGTCTTCTGACTCACCAAAATTAGCTCACTGCCCTCGCACTCCCGTCTTGGTCCTGCGCTTTCCGTTGTCACCACGCTCCCCGTCCTCTTGCCTTCGATCTCCGTTCCCAGTGCTCTTATGTTGACTGACATACATGGTCATGACTGTATATCTCTTGTATTTTGGGCATAGCTATGTTGAAAGTACACGCATCCATGAACATAAGTACATACACGTCGCGCGACTTGATCATAATTCTTGATCATAAGTCAGTAGATCAATCGAAGACCCTGTGGCTGTGCAAAATTTCATGTTTCTGCAATGCAACAACCATGGTCGCAAGCGAACTTAGGAGCTGACTACTACCAAAGCGGAGCGTACTCTTCGCATTATGCGCGAGCTTATATGCAATCGCTCGGTGGGCAGCAGGGATCCCATCCTGCTCCTCAACCATCGACATCGACATCCTTCTATGAACCACCATTCAATTCGGGCACTAGCAATGGTTATAACCAACAACGCGCTCCCTTTGATGCACGACCACCATCTTGGCATCAGCATGGATCCCACCGATGTACATACCCTAATTGCAGATTTACGGGGTCACCGAAAACGCTGGAAATCCACCGAATGGATCGTCACTTAATATATCCTCCGGGGTGGGATCAACAACGCAAGAAAAACGACTGGGACGCTGATCCGAGTCTGAAGGGGTACGCCCACTATGCTATGACATTTATTCGTTTTCTGACGATCGTTCAAGAAAGCCCATACCAATCCAAGGAACAAACATCTTCCTGGACACTCCAGAAGCAGTGAAAGCATGGAGAGAAGAACGCAAGCGACGGTGGCCCTCTAAGGATCGAGTAGAGGACAAGAAACGGAAAATGAGCGATGCTATTGCGCGTGGGCAACTTACGATGCAGGATATTGGTGCACATGGGAATAAGAGGCGACGGATGGATGATGAGTACGCGCAAGGAAATCGGGGTGGTAGAGGGAATGGCCGGGGAAGTAATCGTGGAATGAGAGGCGGTCGAGGTAGAGGCAGTGGCAACCAGCGCGGAGGTAGTACTTTTGCTCAACCAGTTCATCCGCTCCCGCCTCCGCCTCCGCGTCCTGCCCCTCCGGTTTCCCAGCCAGCAAAGTCACCATTGATCAATGAAGTCGCATATGAGTCCTCTTCGGACGACGACAGTGATGCTGCTCCCGAGGTCGTTTCCTCAAAAATCACGCCTTCGTTGGCCCCAAAGCCTGTTGAAGAAGCCCTTCCAGATCCAGAAATCCCTCCAGTTAAGCTGGATGAAGCGCAATCGCTGAGACCTGTCAAGAAACCTGTGGCCCCTCGACCACCGAGGCAGCTTCATAATCCATTCTCTTCACATCACACTCTCCTCCGCAGTGTCAGTACCTTCTTATCAGTCTTTGCAAATGATCTCAGCTCACTCATGTATATAGCTCCTCCTGCCAGAAATACGCATGACGGTCTCGAATTTATCGCAAGCCATACGATTCCTCGTGGACAACGATTTCTTAACCGACGTAGAGCTCAAACCCGGTGAGGCAGGGAACAGAAAGATTGAAGTCCTTCCCTCAACGTCGGCGGAGATGGCGAGGCAGTAGCGTGCACATAACACAACAGAAGATTTGACATGTGGTGTCTATTATCTCCGTACGAGCATTACTATCATTAGATTAATGTAGATACTAGTTAACTCTCCCAGTAAGACCTAACGTGCCGAATGATCACTGTCGGAATCTTCGTCTTCCGAGCCTTCCGAACTCTCAGAACCCTCCTCCAGTTCTTTAGCATCAACCTGTATTGACCTGCTATCGACATCAAATCCATGCTCGGACAGCGCAGCGGCTATGGGACCCGATTTTGAAGGGGCCGTCACGGCCACGGCCACTGAAGACTCGGCCTTGAAGAGCGGCAAGAAATACTTCTTGAGGACTTCGAGGACTTGTTCTTTGGTGACCTTTTGGTATTTTTCGAGGAGGTCGATCTGGAAGTTTTGCGGAACGTCCTTCAAGGCTTGGTTTGAGAACGAGGCGATGGCCTGACGAAGGGATGTCAGCCAATGGTCGCTAACTAAGAAGTAGAGAATACATACTGCTCGGCCCGCGGTGGATACTCCCTTCGCCACGCCGTAGACGATGCTACTCTTGCCAGCATCCAATGTTTCCTCGTCTAGTTGCACCTAAACGTAGGGTTATCAGTATATTGATGATCGATAAATGTAGACAGAGTTCGCATACAGTTCCATCTACGAGTTCGTTCATAACCTTGTGTGCTTCTTCGTACGCCTTGATGGCATTTGAGCTCTACAAATGATTACATGAGCAGCAGTCTTCAATGGGTCTCAACCTCGGCTGGACATACTCGGTACAAGGTGAAACTCAAGAGGCCAGCTTCTGGATCGATGGACACATAGGCTCCGTAAGCCAAACCAGAGCCACGGATATATCGCTGTCTTGATGTCAGAGGGGCAATGCTATCGATCGATCAGAACACCTACCCAAAGGAAGCCTTCAGTCGCATTGAGAACCTCGAGAGCAACACGAATAACAGGGTATTCGGGGTGGTCGAAACCCTGTATTCCTTTGGTGGTGTGCATGACGTACGAGCTCTCAACTGTAGGGAGACTCATGACAACAGCCTGAAGTATAGTCGTGAATGATCAATCGTACAGGGGAGTTGGGGGGGGCATACTTTGCGGACTGGGTTCTTGCCGAGCTCGCTGAGTGTTTGACGGGCTAACGGGACAGGAGCAAGGGGAATTTCCTGGGGGACATTATCAGCACAGCACAACGATGTATGCAGGTGGATATCTTACCGGGAAAGATGTCCCGAAATACTTGCCCCATGTTTGGCGTGGACTTGGGAGCGCAAGGACATTGCCAGCCACAGAGAAACGGACACCAGAAGGTTCAGTCACTGAAGGTAGCCATAAATACATGAGCTAGTCCAACAATTGCGTGCTCACTGTATTTCCTAATCTCTTCGAGGTCTGCGATGACTTCATCCGGAGAATCTTGAAGGAGTTTCGCTAGCGTAGGGATGAACTGTATCTGGCGGAGGACTCCATTCGCACGCTCTGTCGAGCTCTCGTCATAGATGAGGTCGTGCCATGTGGATACCAGGACAGTGTTTCCGTCACGCTTCATCTCCGGGAGAGATTGCTGTATTTTAGCTACGGTTACTTGCAGTCTGTCATGGGTAAGTACACGCACTTGAGGAAGAATAACAAACGTACCGCTCCTTGTCGAAGACAAGCCCATATACAAGGTCCCTGATCCAGGCCACGGCCTTCTCATAAGCAGCAGTTTCGACTTTAATTGAGACACGGACGAGCTCCTGGAATGAGCCAGAAAGACCATTCCCTACTTCATACGAAACAGTCTCGTTGTCGAGTCTGTTGATGACCTCCTCATGAGTCAAGGTTGATCCATCGTGTGTCTTTACGGGGAGCGAGAAGAATGCGGCCAGGTACGTAGAGACATATCTATGAGATGATTTTTCTTGAGCACTTGTAAAAAAACGGCTACGAAGAACTTACGGTCTAAGTCGATGCGGGAGGTGGGCCAGTGAGAAGTATGCATGCACGGTAACGAAATCGGACTTGGTGCTGAGTTCAGTAAGTGCGTCTCACGGGAGAGAAGTCACGACAACGCACTTGGACATGGTCGTACTGAACGAAGAACGGAAGAGGAGACCCGTCCGATTCGATGTGCTTGGAGAGCTCGGTCGAGGAGGGAGCGCGCCCGGCCTTTCTTCCTGTCCCAACCTCTTGCACACTCTGCACCGGAATCCATACGATACTCTTGACGTCAGGAACGGGGAAGGATTTCAAGATCTCAGTTGGTATCGGCACATCGTGCTCCGCCTTTGCAGCCTCCAACTCCTTCTCAGCTTCCTCCAATCCCTTTGGGCCAAGTCGCTTTATCTGAGTTGCGAGGCGCGCCTTTTCGTCCTTCTCGAGTTTCTTCGCAAGCGAAGCCGATGGTTTACCACACACAACGATGCTGGCAGCGTCAATAAAGTACCTATTTGTGGGGTGAAGCGTCAGCTGCTGTTGACCTTGGGGATGGGATGACACTCACTTCTTGAGAATACCTGTCCATTGGTCACTTGTCCAATTTCGTACCTGAGCGTACTGATTTATCTCATCCATAGAATCCGCTATGTCCGAGCCGTCCTCCTTGCCGTACAAGAAGTCAGTGATGATCGTTCCAGAAAAGGTATCTCCTTTGGCAGATTCGAGTTTGCTTCGTAGCTATTTAAGATATGTGAGGCACGGAAAAAAACAGAGGCAAAAATGCAATACCTGACGTTCATCTCGATCGATGACCATAGCCATTCTCTTCATATCAATACCTTCTTGTACTATGCGCTTGAAGCTGGCTTGAAGCTTCTCAGAGAAAGTTTCTAGATATTCTGTGGGTACGGAACCGATGTAGACGGGCAGGTTGGTCATTGTAGCACGGGTATCCTCGCTGAAGTAAATGTACGAGCTAGATTATAAGGTCAATATCTGTTTGAAACAAGAACATCCAAATGCAAATGTCATTACCAGAGTGGTGATTCTATTTCCACGTATTCCCTATTGAGCGGAGCAACGGCGGATGAGGTGAGATACGATCCTAGTAGATCGAGTGCCTATTCTTGTTCGTTACCAGAGCAACATGATAGTCAAAGTAGGTGCGTACCTTTCGCTCAAGGAATTCATTGACAGGAGGACCGAGGAAAGTGATGATGAGTTCACCCATAGCTAGACGAGATGTAAGTACCCTCGTGTAGTTACTGATACCATGAACATACATTCATCCTTTTCAGGGAATTCGACAATTTCTTGGATGTTCTTTGGAATTGGTTTACGGTTGGCACTGGGAGTTTCCAAGAAGGGTCGTTTCCAACCATTCGGACGAGGACCGTGATTTTGACCGTGAGCGATGATAGAGGGTTCGACCTCTTCCTGGGCGACCTTCAACAGCGAATCCGTCCCTCCGGCCAACTTACCCGTTGCGATAAGGACCAAGTTGTGTGGTACGTAGTAGGTTTGGTGATAATCCCGGACTGCATCCAGTAAGTAAAAGAACTGCAGTAAATGTAAAGGTGCCCCGACTTTGTTCTACAGTTAGCACGCGAAGTGCTTCCATCAGGCCGCCGGTTTCACTCCGGTAAGCACTCTCCGGTGGCTCGAGGAGCCGTTGGGCCCTGAAGGAACCAATGAGGGACAACAATGGAAACAGTTAAGTGACATCACGCACCGAAGAGCCATTAAATCTCCAGACGTGTTTTCCCTTCCTTGCATTTCACTGTACACTACCCCGGAGTCGTGTCCTTTTCCATCTATGTGGTGAACCTACGGACGAGGTGTCAACAAATTACGATCACTTTGCCCGTCTCAGTACGCTAACCTCTGTAACAAACCCAGCCTTAGTCAAAGTAGGGTAAAGAATGTGGTCGACGTAAATTGGAAGCAGTTGTAAGAATCCTTGTCCTCCGGCAGTAGAGACAGTGTAGGCTGTATGATCGTCGTCGGTCCAAGCATTGGTGCCGTTAGAGAAGCCACGATTGGCTAAATGATCGATAATCCCTTTGTATTTGTATTTTTCCGAGCCCATGAAAACCAGACTAATTGAGGCATGTGTATCGGAGCCCGCATAAAGTTTGAATGAGGACACGACTCACTGTTCAAGCGTATGAGGGCATCCACTGTCGTTAAAGACTAGGCATCGTCAATATGAGCAATCATTATATCTGCGTCAGCGCTTGGCCTACTTTCTGTAGCAACTACGAAATATCCGTTGACCAGCGGAGCTGTAGCAGTAACTTCTTCAGTTGTGACTTCGCCTGAGGGGAAAAGGTATGACCTTCATAGTCGAGATGCACAATGCTGAGACCAGTGACTCTACTTCTCCACTTCGAAACGACAACGTCCGTGAAGTCAAGCTTCACTCTTCGAACCAAGTCAAAGTTGCCATAAGTCTCGGATGGCGTTTGGACTGCTTGCATTGAACTCAGCGGACGACGGAAATGTTGCGTGAGAGTGGACGGAGCGAACGCCGCAGGGATCAGTGGTCGAGAACGAAAGGAAGGAGGCAATCGATGGAGAAGGCCAAGGACAGAGCTGTACCGGTGCATGCAGAGTTTCTGCATGGCACAATTGCAAAGGCGATCAAGGTGCCGAGTCACATGAGACCAGAGCATCGATAGGCGCGGTCACATCTCCTGTCCCGGCCCGCCATCCTGTATCGACTCTCGCGCCCTCTGGCGCGCATCGGAGCCAACTTGCGCGCGTCTCATCCACTCATGGCTCCCAAGAAGCCATACAAGCATACTCCCGAGCAGCTTGCTCTGGCAGAAGCGCGTAGGTTGAAGAGAGAACGCCTCGCCGCTCAAACGACCAGCGCAGTGCCAGGTTCCGAACCACAGAGCACCATAAAGCCACGCGACTGGCTGGAAGTTCAGAGTACCGCCAAGAGAGAGGTTGATTTCTGTGTAAAGGTCTTCACTTGGAATGTCTGTGGTTGCTTCGGCTGTCTGGCAAGTTATACGTGGTGCTGATAATAGTAAAGTTGCTGGCTCAGTGTCTAGTTCGTGCGTGCCTATGAAAATACCGTCTTCACTTCCATGAACCCTCATCAGGCCGGGAACTATTTCCTTCAAGTGACTGCCTAAAAAGCGGAACGCGCGAGGGAATGCTTCACGACGAACTCCTGACACAGAGAGCAGACGTGTTGTTCTTGCAGGTGAAGCGGTATCTGACGTCGTTCAGCTGCGATCGGCTTTCTGACACAAATCTAGGAAGTCGACCGACTTGAGAAGATCGAGCCTCTCTTGACCAAAGCTGGGTACAAGCATCAGTATGGCGCCGGTCCTAACAAGAAGCACGGTTGCATGATTGCTTATACTTCAGGCTTCGCCCAACTCGACCACAGAGTTATTCAATACGATAACGAGGATGCGCGGGTGGCAGACACGGAGCGAACGCGTCGTGGTAGCAGCTTCAAGACGAGGAACATCGGCCTTCTCTGTGCTTTGCAGTCGGTTCGAAATCCTACCCAAGGCATAATAGCCGCGACGACGCATCTCTTCTGGCACCCCAGGTAGCTATGTGCTCGATGGGCTAATGCATGTTCCTTGATTTACCGCTTGCTTAGGTATACATACGAAAGAGCTAGGTGAGGATGAGAGGTCGACTACTGTGAAACGTCTTATCCTTGGTTTCAGACAGGCAGCAATACTAAAGCGGGAGGTAAACCGATTTCGCGCTGATATAGGCCGTCCGGATTGGCCATGCGTTGTGGCAGGAGGTACATGCAGATATCCCGAATTCCGTAGCAACTTATGCTCACTGACATATGCTAGACTTCAATTTTGCTCCAGACGACCCAGTGTATTCTCTCCTCGTTGGCGACACTCTGCTCCCCGAACAAGAGGCCCTGATCTCACCTTCCCTGGTCGTTCACAAATCAATAGATCCCACCGTTCCACCTACTGGACCGAAAGTAGCGGAGGAAGGGGAAGATGGAGAGAGTACCGACCCCGATCGTGTCATTACCGATGCTCGTTCTGCTTTAGAAGGCGACGGTCTGCTCTCGATCCCAGAGCTCTTAGAAACGTTCCAATCGCATGCACCCTGGTGCAGTGTCTACGACGATGGCCTTTCACGCATCAAGGCACAATCACCCGATATCAAAACTTTTGGAGACCGAGTAAATATCCCAAGGACGAGGAAGGGAGCCCATGAGCCCGAGTGGACAAGTTACACGCACTATTGGAAAACTGTATTAGGTGATGATCAAGTCGATACACCAAATTCCCTTTACTGATCTTTCTTTGAGACTATATATTCGTTCAACATCCTCTAGAGAGGCAACTCAATATCCATGGCATTCTTGTACCTTTTGCAACCGAGGACCTTCGGCCGGGCCTCCCAAGGAAAGGCGTTTCTTCTAGCGACCACATGTCCCTCTGCGCCGAGGTCTCTTGGTCGAGACAATAGATATTATTGCACATTAGGGAGCTATGTTAAGGTTTAGATTCGCCCAGAATTAGTAAAGTACTAGCAGTGAGTCTATCCCGCTGAAAAGAAAGGAAACAAATGATGAGAGGTATCTACGGTAGGGTATATCGTGATGGTTCTAGTTGTGTGGCTTCAATCGCAGCGTTAATCACCGAGCGTACCTTGAAGAGAGCGAGTCGTCCGGAACCCAGCTCCTACTTGGTCGCTCTATCGGAGCCCGCAATAAGGCTCTCGAATAAACCATTCGCCGAACTCTCTTTTCGTAGCTGGATCATGTAGATGATGCCGGTACGGGAGCCATTGTTGCTTACTTCAATGGCTACTCCTGTTTTGGCGACGCGCTCGACACCATCAGTCAGTACGATTGTCGATATGAGAACCGCCTTGTCCTTCTCGGCTTCGACGACCAGTTGCTTGATGTTGGTGGGGGCTTGGTGATAAAGTTTAAGCTTCGCTGCGCCAAGAGATTTCCACTGCGCGTGCTGCTGCTGAAGGAAGACCTTGCACTTCATTTGCGCTGAGATAGTGGACGTCACCGGACCTGTGGGCATTGGAGGTTCGTCAACAGGAGAATCTGGCGGACTAGGATCTGCGAAAGAAGATCCAGCAAAAGAAGTAGCTCTAGAGCCCATTTGCAACGACGGAAGGACGGAACGAGAGTTCGTGGTACTTATTGACCCCTGTGAGTTACTTCTTGGAACGAAATTAGGGTTTGGTGGATAACCTCCGGGGAACGGTGGTATCGGAGGAGCGCCAGGCTGGTGTTGTTGTTGATCGTACTGAGACGTGAGCGATCGGGACGAGACCGATTTGCGTAAACCTCCATGGAAATTGGGGTCTGAAGGGCCGGCGCCATTCGGTGGTGGTCCTCCTGGCCCGGGTCTGGGAGGCAGGGAGTTCATTGCTGGGTTATGCATTTGCTGCGGAGGCATTCCGTCAGGATGGTGACCAGGGGGACCATACGGAGCGCGACCAGCGCCAGGATGCGGAGGAAGTTGCCAAGGTTGGTGGGGATGGTTGGGTAGGGGACCGGCACTAGGACTTCGTTCAGGGTAGGGATACGGGCCACCCATACTAGGACCCGCACTCGGGGCTCGCGAGGGGGGGCCGGCGCTGGGGCTTCGAACAGGCATGGGATTGGGTGCGCCGGGCGGCCCCGTACTGGGGCTCCGAGCAGGTAGACGACTTGTGGGCCCTGGAGGTATTTGCTGCCCCACTGCGGAAGTGGAACGCATAGGAGGATAGACGGGACTGCCGTTGGATTGATGCAAGGGAGGACCACGCTGGGAGCCTGGCGGAGGTGGCACAGATGGGTCGATCATAGGTAATCTTGGTGGATTCCAAACTTGACCAACAGCAACACCGTTTGTATGGCCGATAGAGGGCTCACGATGCGGTGTAGTTGGTGGAGCCCTGCTGTTTGGCGGGCTCCTACCTCGCTCGGGTTCAGCAGTGGCCTGGTTGGCATGCATGGCATTCCCATGAGTTATCTGGTGTATTGTGTTTAGCGGCGGCATAGGAGGGGGCGGCTGTTTTGGTACGGGTGCAACTGCAAGCGAAAGTGAGATAGCATTATATCTAGAATGGAATAATTACCTGTTCCCGCAAACTCAATACACTGGCTCAATTCCGATAGTAAACGATTCCGCGCTTCGGGCGACTCGGTCTCGATAATCAAAGTCTCTTTGCGCATAATGGCCGCTTGAAGTGCATTGTCTAAAGCAGAACAGTGAGATATATAGTGTGAATGGGAACAGTGTGGTCGTACCCTGACCCGGTACTTCAGACACCCGCAGAACCTTTCCAGCTAACGGCGGATAGCACAACCACATGTCGGCATCCCCGTTTTGCGCCCTTTCCTCAGGTGACATTCGATCGCAAACCAAAAATAAGTCAGACAGAAGGAAAATGTGACCGTGTGGATGAACTACTTCGACCCCGGTTGCGCGAGGGGTGAATCGAATGACAGCGTCAATGGATATGCGCATCTCACGAGTGAAGGGGAGATGGGGTGGCAACATTTGCAGACGAACCACCTTCACATGATGTCAAGCTAGACTCTGGAACGAAAGAGAGAGTCTACCTTCGGTTTCATTGTGAATATATCCAGAGTCCGTGCAGTCGAGAGCCTTCTCTCCAGATCAGAAATAGGCATCGTCATTGTTGCATTCGTTGATGTCCTGCTTAGAGAAGTAGAGGTCGTTTCTTGAGACGAACGCGGCCTGATGCTCTTTGTTAAGAACTATTCTAAGGCGGGAAATATAGCACGTACCCAGAAAAAGTACTCGCTCTAGCCGAGCTACTGCCCTCACTCACAGGCGTGACAGAGCCGATATCCTGTTTAGAGGGAGTGCTAATCATGGAGGCCATATTCGGCCCGATAACTACTTCGTCCTCTACATCGGTGGGCGCAGAAACGACTGGAGGGAGTACTGGCGCTCCGACTCGGATACTCGACCTATTCTCCAACGTCTCCAACAGTTTCTCCAGCTTCTCGATAGCACCCAGGAGGAGTCGGTGATCGCTTCTACCTGGTGTGGTGCTTTTAAGCAGTCTCGAGTAAAGTTTCTTGTAATACTTGAGACGACCCTTCGGTAAGAGAAACAAGGCGTCCAGAGACCAGAGCGGCGATTCTGAGGAAGAGGGAGGTGGGTTGGCGGCCGAAAAGGTGGCCATAACGCCAGGCAATCGGTTGTTGGATTGTACTGGCTCCCATTCATCGAAGCCACACACGTATTTGCCGCAATAAGAGGTGTACGGAGTCTCTAGATCATCGATCTGTGAAATTTATGAGCTTGAAGCTTGCATGGGAGTCTGTGTATATACCCATCGCATCAGTAAATCTCCTAAAGCTTTCGGTGACGAAGGGTTCGTCCCAATCTCTTTGAGTTTCTGTAATCCATTGAGTAAGATCGGAGGTACTGGACGCAACCATGGAATTGAACGGACCAGAAGCAGAGAACGGTTTGCCTTGTAGACGCTCTCTATACTTCGAAACATGGCATCAAGATCGGGTGGCGGAAGATTGGAGCGAGACCATGCTGCTGCGACTTTCTTTGGGTGTGTTACGGTCTATCTTCTTAACAACGCAACGTGTGACTGACCCGGATGATGCCTGTTAGCAGCTCCACATACACCTTTTCTGTTTCTATGAGGTCGGTAAGAGGGTTTGTCTTCTTCGATCGACCGCTGCCTTCTCCGGTGGGAGTGTTAGGGTCGGTGGGAGTAGTGGGTGTCGTGGGTGTGCTGGGGGTCAATGGGACTACAAGTCCGCCTCCTAAAGAAGTGCCAAGTATCAAAGAGCGGCCGCGAACGCAGAACCCCATAGAACATACCGGGATCCAGGCTTCCAGCGAATCTCGAGGGCGCAGTAACAAATTGTGATGAGGCATCGGTAGCATCGTTGAGGGCGTCAGTCATGGCACGAAGGGCTGGTACCTGATAGTTGGAATCAAAGGCAGCACTGGCCAGGTGGTGGTGGTGGCGGAGAAAAGGGAGAGTTGAGTGTCCGGACGTGCCTCAGCTCAAGACAAGTCTTTCGCTCACTGCCATGCAGTCACGTGCGAACCATCCTACCATGCCGCCACCAGGTCGTGAACTGAAGTACAATTTGGCCTGGATAGAGGGTACCTTCAAATCTCGGCCTAATACAGAACTACTGCTCGCCCCAGAACGCGAGGAGGGCAATCTTACTACGAACGACTACGAGCTCGCAACGAGGTTTCTGCCTGGACCACACCGTTACTACCCAGTGCGTCGCGTTCTTGGCAGCTCCCCTAGGGCATCTCCCTAATACAAGTTGGTGTTAGCGTGGCTATGGTGCTATAGCTACTGGCGCGACCTTCCTCTACGCACGGAGTAGGAGATGGTCAACCCCTCGCCTTGTCGTCGTTGGCGCCGCCGCTTATACTCTTGGTTTCTCGATTGGCCAGGCCGCGCGACTACGCCTGCATCTGAGATTCCTTTCCAGGCTCGAGAATTTCGATGGATTCTCCGTTGCCATCGATAACATCAATGTGAAGACCGGGGGAATCATGCCTCGAGGCCCGACGTTGGTTGTGTCACGCAAGAATGGTGGCTTGGGCGTCCGGCCTGATATCACCGGTGGTGAAGCAATGCAAGGTCCAGGGGAAGGAGGGTTCGGTATGGACGATACTGGAAACGATTCAAATGCACAAGATCGGGTCACTACTACTAGTATGGTTTCATGTGTTTCATTCCTCCAATTTACTAAGGAATAACCTTCCAGCCGACACATCCTCCGTGCCAAGTAAACCGACAAAGACCCGCTGGGACGAGATACGCATAGCAAATGCGCAGTCCGCTTCTCAGTCTTCGTGGGAATTAATCAGGCAGAAGAATGGGCGAGCGAGCATGCAAAACAACAAAGCAGCAGGAAGCAGGAAGCAGCCGGAGGAGTCGTTGGAAAATGCTGATGCAGAACGGAAGGCAGAGCAAGCGGGATTCGATGCAATGCTCGAAGCAGAAAGGAAAGCCGGACAGAATGTGTAGTACATGCGACTAACCAAAATCAAAATTGAATCATAGCGCGCAACCAGCATAGACGCTAATGCTTGCAGCGTAAAAAGCGCCATTCGATCGATGTCTGCACAGGTTTTCACTACCCTCATAGACATGTAAGCGGCGTGCTGTACACCGAAGGACGCGTACCACATAGCTCGGCCAACGATATCTATTGTACAATTTACGAGGGCATATTCGAAATCTATCACATTCTGTACCAGCAGAATCTTTCGTCAAATAGTCGATAATGATAGTCGTTGAAAATATATAACTGAACATCATTACAAGAGGGAATGCAAAGTGTTACTTTGAAAGTCTACACAAATCCTAAACGAGACGAAATACTTATATACAGACATTACTGAAACACTCGTAAAAACAACATTACCCTAAATAGAAAACTCCAAGCAGCAAAACAAAACAGATTATTCGAAAGCGTCCTGTTATGGGTCAAAAGTATAGTGATATGAGAATACTAGAATAGCGGCGGTTGTCCAGGAAGCGTGCTGGACTGTGAGGCACCGGGTGATCCAGCCAACCCCCAGCTGGACGTAGAAGATGCTGGCCGTGAAAGGTTGGGCGGGATATTCGCCATAGGGGGCGTTGCTTGCTGCGAAGGAGATAAGCCTCGTGGCTCACAACGACGGGTCTCGAGACTCACCGGTAGCGGGGCTAGGCTGGAAACGCTGTCCGGCGAGGCGCCTGCTGACCCGTCCTTTCTGAACAGTGTCGTATGAGAGAACGGGTACAACGGCACACCAACCTCAAGAGGTGTCTTGTGAGCTGTCATGCGTATAATCTCACGCATTAGCCCTTGCAGTAAACGCTCCTGTCGGGCTGCAAAATAACTGAGCCAGAAATAGTAAGTGATAAAACGTGGACCTACTGCCAATCGGTGAGCGTTTCCCATACTCGAGCATCGCAAATCTACGACTCTTGAGCGTGATTTATGATGTTGACAACGAGTCCCACTGACCTGAGAACATTGATTTCGCCCCATACCGTCGATTCTCTATCGGTATCTCCGATTTCTATGAAGTATTTGCATAGTTGCACTTGGACAACGGCTGCGAGGTACCAACAGATCTAGAGACGGGATTAGATTTCTAATATTGGGATTTAGGAAGTGCCTACCGTCACGAATGGATGAAGCCTAGTGATGTCAAGTGAGGTGGCTGAAAGCATGTAATACGCAGCGAGAATACAGCGAGCTGAGTTCACACATCTCGAAGAAGAGACATTGTTTGGATCCGTGAAATCCAAGTATGGGTTGTGAAGGGTGATGGTAGCACTGAGCGAACACACAATCCATTAGTTGCAAAAATGGAGTAGAAGAAAGCACCGCGCTTACGCATGGGGTATGATATGGACCATGTAAAGATCTGTGTCCAATGAGCTGCCCTCGGGCGCATCGGTCACGCCATTATTGGTCTTAAAAATGTGCGGTAAGCTATCCAGGAAATCCGTAGCGACCAACTTGTCCAGCGCTTCGAAACCTTCCAGGTAAAATGGGTTTTGGTTTTTGCTGGGCGCTGTGGGAGCTCGCAAGTTCCCGCGGACGTTGTAGTCCGTGACTCTGCCGAAAAGCATGATGGCCTTAATTAGAAGGATGAAAGAGTCTGTATACTGAGGCGGATGCCGGGTGAAGATATCAGGGGTAGACAAGTCCTGGGGATTGCTCGGCACCGCAACCTGTAAAGGCAAGAGGCATACAGAAAGTCGGTTGACGGATATCTGCAAGGTAGGCAGGAAGACGAACCTCTGACTCGAAATCGATATTCCGTAATGGGAGCTCTGTACCGAGGTCTCTCTCGTCAACGGCATGAATCCATCCACCGACTGATGCGATTCGATCGAAGACAATGGTCATCCACCACGTTCGTCGTCTTGACTCTAAGTCCAAGAAGTCTTTCGGAGGTGCTAGATACGCGCCAGGAGAGTTGTTACCGTGCGTTGAGAATGTACCAGGATAATTTAGTCGCAGTGGAACTGCAACACGTGTCTGGAAGCTGGCAAAGATCCACACTTCCACCCATCGACCTTCTTGGTAAAAATACCACGATAGAAGAATGCATGCTTGCATGACAGAGAAAATATCTTCTCCGCTGGCCATGGTCTTGTCAATATATTGGCGTGTTTTGCCAGCGTGGAATTCAGCGAACTGATCGCGTCGAGTACCATCTGGTAAAGAAACCACGTTTTGTGACGACCATCGCGATGCTGAAGCGCACTGGAGTCTCGTCAATAATAGCAGCCAGTGCAACATCGAGATACAACTCAACTATAGCGTGCAACAGTGCCGAATGAGGGAATCCGGGATCTTTTGGACTAAGATGCATGGAAGCCAAGAAGGATGGACGATGTAGGATTCGAGAACCACATGGGTCGCATCGGAAAAATATGTCGATGCTGGAGGAACATGGTCAGACGTAGATCATAACAGCAGAGTTTCACAAACTAGTGGTTGAGGACTGCTGGTTCAGGTAGATCCGGATTCCAACCTGAGAAAAGGAGATCCATGAAAGGAACTGAGCCAGATTTGGGTGTGAGACAATTGTTATCGGGGCTGCCATTGTGGCTCCGCAGGCCGCTAGGAGGACTATCGCCCATCATGGTGATCATTGATTCGTTCAACGAGGCATGCGGCAGAGTGATTCCGCCTGACTCTAAGGTTGGCTTGTTACCAGACAATTGGCTGTGCAAGCTTGGGTGCCGTTGGGGAGAGACAGACCGTTCTTGTGCGAGGAGTCGTTCTTTTAGTTGCGCTTTTGAGTCCGGTCAGACACAGATAGCACGGCCGCGAATCATCGATTGTCGCTCACTGATTTGTTCCTCCAACTCTTTTATTTTTTCCACTGGATTTGTATCCGGGGCGAGTGTTAGCCCCTCCACAGGGTCATAGGAACATTGTGGTTCGGTCGGATGGCTGGATGTTCGCTTCTAGTCACGAACTGCGGACTCGGTCTGCAGGGGGATCACTCACGCATAGCCCACGGGTGCTGGTACGCTGACCAGGGCTTGCCATTGCCTGCGCATCACCGATTAATTTCCAGATCATACCCCGAGGTAGCCGGAGAGACGTATAACAGACCTGACGCAGGTTCCACAGTGTGGGCGAGCAGCATCGCATTTCTGCGAGGTGAACTGTGTCAGATTTACCGCCACGAGACATTGGAAAGAAGCTGCCCACCAGTTTTCTCCTTCTGCACGATCGACAGGCCTAGTGACAGAACTGCTTAGGAGTCAGCTTACCAGTGAGAGTCGCGAGAAATACCTGGTTCCTCCTCAGAGCAGGTCGAGTAGACCCATTGGTCGGTGCTTTGGGCATCTGTGGTTCGAGGTCGCAAAATCCGTGAGGAGTTACCACTAGCGGCGCGGATGGAGTTTGATGCCAGCAGAAGTTCTAGCAGTACAGAAGGCTCCTCTGGTAGGAATACGGCCACTAGTTAGAAGAACGGAGAGATATTCGAGGGATGGAGGATCCGGGGAGAAGATAATCGTTCACGTAGCGGAAATTTGGTGAGGGCCTAATACACGGTCTTTAACAGATCGCAACCTGCACTATTTAGTGATTATTCGCCCACGTGACCAGAGCGCTAACTGCATTTGGTCCGAAAGGTACGTTACAGTGCCACCAAGGCAAGTACGTCTAGGTTTCTCTGCAGGGACATGCCATGAAAGACGGACACCCGGGGCATGGGAAAGACAGCTGGATCCTCTTTTCTCTCAACACTGTTCCTTGCAGACTCACAAGAGATTACACCTCGTTGCTCTCATCACGCATCATTGAAGGTCGCGCATTCTCACTGTTCCAAATCAGCGGTGTTAATCACAGTGCTATCACTGACGGTGGGGGTGACGCGTGAATGTCCTAGGGAGCAGATATGTAACAAAAGCTCAACGAGGCCGCGGCTACTTGCAATGCGACGATGCTACATGTGTCACGACGCCCTGATGGCAATACGTTGTCAACTTGCTCGATAGGAGTTCGATACCAATTTGCAGGATAATACCCACAGCCTACAACACCGTTGCCACGATTGTTCGACTATGAGCAAGATGCCTGAACTCCGTTAGGTAAATCCCTTGGCAACCACGGAAGTCACAATTGAATGTATAGACTCGGTAAAAGCAGTAAGTATTCACCTTGCCAGGTACCGAGATTCAGCCGACCATTCGTGACTGGAATAGAGATAGAAGACCCAACTAGCGACGCCTTGGTATGCGATACGCTGGTTGAAGCAACAGAAAATATTACTCATGGATCTTAAGCTGGGAAATAAAACTCACGAGTCACTAGATTACGGCAAAGTGCAGGCAGAAAGTGACACCAGTGAACACCAGTGAGTACCCGTGTCGAACCCACGATACTTTAGCGTTCACGTACTCTGGACCCTCATCCGTGTGACGCCAGTTCAAGTGTTCAGGAACGATGCTGTCGAGAGCCATATCCATGTCTACAAAAGATGAAAATGAACTCAATTATTAGCACACACCGACAGCCGTCTCCGGATATTCCATCAACACTCGCCTCGACGCACGTCTGAGATGGGAGACAACAATGAGTTAACCCAGTTCGGAGAAAACAAAGTAATTTATCAACCAGGGTCATAATTCTCGTTCACGGTCAACGCCGCTGATGTATGCTTTCTGTGTCAATAGTCGATCATTTTGTCAATTTGGAGGAAACACTGATGGCACGCACATGAAGAGGAAAAGCATCCCGATCTTCGTGAAAGATGAGTATGCGTAATATCAATGTACCAAGGGGAGGCATCGACTAGCCTGTACACCTTCCAGTCCTGGCATGATATGAGACATCACCTCGTCTGTGACTAGATGGCAGCCTTTGGAACGCTTCGATAGTGTGAATTCCTTTTGCCAACCCATGTTGAGACTTGGACGAAGTAGACGGAGGAGCGTCTCACTGATCCTGGTAACAGATTAGGATCTGATATGTACAGTACGATTATGTAAATATTCGGCTAATACACATATGTGAAGTACATGCCCCTAGTCCGAAAACCAGCCTACCAAAAGCCTCGCAAATGAAAAGTAATTTCGACTTAGTAGTGTAGTAGTGAATATACACGTAGACTAGTAGTATAGTCAAATGAAATGCGAGGGTCCGCCTCCGGCAGGACAAGTCCGTGCGACACCCGAATGAACTAGTGTGATAAACGGTAAGTCCGAGAGTGAAAACAATGACTAGGAAACTTCGGATGCTTCGGATGGCTTCGGATAGCTTCGGACGCGCTGGGACGCGGAGCGAACAACTTCGGCTTCGGATAGTACGATGAGGACGGCAGGAGAATGATAAGGACGGCGGGAGAACTGGCTTCGGATCGGACTCGGACTCGGACGACGGCGAACTCTGACAACGGCGGAGGAAAGCTTCTCGGACGACTTAGACTCTGACTCGATGTGGGGGGGAAACAATTCTTATTCTTCTAACTACGAGTGCAGTAGGTTTTTGTAGCTAAGAAAACATCGGAAATGTCCGAGGCGAAAAGGCACCAGGAACAAATAATGGGACTAGTATGATCAAGTATTAGAGTCCGAGAACAAAAGAGAACGAAACATTGATCCGCAGTGTCTGATCCGTTAACACGTGTGTCCGGTACGGGTTCGTGACGTCCGAGTCATGTGCGAGCGCGTCCGAGGAGTCGGAGAGGGGTGGATAGGGGATAGGGGAAGCCGGACTGCACGGAACGAAAGGGTTCAACCCTTACATCCCCCGGGGACTTTATGTGTTGACCCTCCGGGGCAACGTACACGGCGAGCAAGAATTGCGAAGTGGGAAGGTGGGCGGGTGAACGAAAATAGTGGCGTGGGACCAAAGGAAGCACGGTCACATGACGGATTGTTGATAATTTCGACGAAGTCCAACATCTTCTCTTGCTCTCTCCCTCCATCGCGCCCAGCATCACTGTCCGTACGACCATGGCAAAACACACCCCGTCCCGCACCCTGGAGGAACTCCAGACCCTTAAGAAGCAGGAAGCCGTTGCCGCATACGAAGAGGAGGCCGGCTACTTCGTGGACATGGGTACGGCGTTCCCGGAGCTCGACGACGAGCATCGGGTCGATGTGGAAATCGCCGTTGCCGACATGGAGCAGCAGCAGGTAAGTGGCAACATGGGCGACGACTAGAAGCAGGGCGCTGACTGCGTGCAGGAGTGGTTGATGGGCGCCGAAGACGTCCTCGTGTCGCGGAAACTGGAGAACACCGTCGAAGATGACGTGAAGGAGAAGATGGCCCGGGCCACTACGCAATTACTGGAGGCACAGTCCCGACTCGCGGAGTGGCAGTCCGAGGACGAGAGACGGGCACGAGAAGCACAGGAGGCTGCGGACGCGGAGGCGAGGAGGGCACAAGAGGTGCGTGATGCACGACGACGGGACGCGCTCGCCGCTGAGGAGCGTCGACGGGCTGCGCAGAGGCCAACGTTCGTGGCTGGTTCGGGAACCCTCGGTTCCGGGAGTACTCCCGTTGATCGTCCCGAAGCAGAGAAGAACTCGGACGTGGTCGAAATTCCGTCGGACGCTGAGGATGATAGCACGCCGGTCCCTCGGACGCGAAGACGTGCCAGCGCCATCCGTGCAGGAAAGCGGAAGGTGGTTGAGAGCGACGGCGGCGAGCCCGAGACAACTCCCCGGGCAAAACGACTTCGAAGACGCGCGGGCAACGTGGATGACACTAGGGAGAAGACTCCTCCAGCGCCAGCGCATCTCGACGTAACGGAGTACGGAGAGTACGATCCGGCCGGTAAGCGGACTCATCAGACGGTACCCCGGGACTAACGGACCCTTCAGATGCTAGTTCGAGCCCGAACAATGTCGAATGGGGGTGCGGGTTCGGTGCACCCAAGGAGTCCTGCCCGCACCCTGTGGTCGAATTCACGGACGCTCGCCGATGCCTGCACTGCCAGCAGGCGTACTTTACCTGCGTCGGCACCGGCTGCCATGCGTGCGAGGCGTGCACCGGATCGAAGGTCAGGTGTTCGCACGCGAAGACGCGCGCCAGGCAGGTGAGGACCTCGGAGGCGGAGGCGTCAGGCAGCAAAGCGGCGGGTGGAAAGGGGAAGCAACGGGCAGCCCCAAGGCCAAGGACACGGCGACGCGGAGGAGAGAGCGGAAAGACAAGCCGGGTTACGCGGGCAGCGTCAGGGAGTGCCGCTATCCCTACTTTGGTAGAGGCTTGCGCGGATCACGAGCTGCGGACCCTTGTCCAGGTCATGTCAACAATGGACGCTCGGATCGCCGCCCTCAAGCAGGCGACAGAGGAGGCGGAGAGCACCCGGGCCGCAGCCACACGGGGCCTGGCGGCGCTGATCCTGCGGAGGGAGCTCGAGGATGCTCAACGGGCTGAGGCGGCGGACGAAGAGGAACGAGAGGCGGACAGACAAATGGAGGAGGACGAGGAGTACGAAGGGCAGTAGGGCGGACGAGCAAAAAGGCACTTGGCCCGTAGAGACTTTCTTGTAAACAATATGTAAATATTATAACTGATTTTCTTGTGCACCAAAAAAAAAAGAAGAATGCGTGAGTGAGCGGAAGTGAAAGAAAGACACGCAGCGTAAAACCGGCAAGTCCGGAGGCTTCCGAAGGAGAGAGGATGACCGGAGTCGTCGGATGACGCATACGAGGCAAATGCAAGGGAATATAAGGATCGGACAGGAGAGAGATCAAATGAGAGAGGTGAAAGATGAGAGACGGAACAGGACCGAGGTCCGGGATACAACACAGGGCGAACCCTGGTCTGGGTGGAAAAAATTTTAGAGTACTAGACGGTTAGGCTGCCGCGAAGGCGTCAAAACTCGGTCGTTCGTCGTATTTTGTAGTCCGGCGAAGTTCGCGGCGGACTGAGGTTCCGGAAGATCGTCGGAGTCATCGGAGTCGTCGGGTTCGGCAGAATGGGGGACGGGAAGGAGATGGCGGTGTCGGGCGTAGTACGGAATGACGCGGAATGCTGCATAACGTAGATTTGAGATGGAACCGTCGAGTTCGGACAGGACGTAGGATCCGCCATGAGTGCGTCGGACGACGACCATAGGTCCCATGTAGCGAGGCAGATGCTTGAGTGAGTGATCACCTTCTATCTTCTTATCACGGACCAGAACGAGCTGTCCGGGAAGAAAGTTGAAGTCCTTGATCGTCCGGGCGAACCGACGTTCGAATTCCTCAAGGGAGGCGATCCGACTCCGAATAACTTTCTCGCGCATACGTTCGATATCGTCCGGACGCTTCTGGAGTTGTCGGGCCCGCATGGAGATGAGCTGTTCAGTGGTGAGAGTGGTATCGGGAGGAGGGGCGAGATAGGTAGCT